TTTAAAGTTATTAAAGAAGTTAGTTACTTATACTACTTAAAGTTGCCTACTAGCTTAAAGATATATAACATCTTTATACTAGACGTTTTGTGCAAAGACTTATATAATCTACTACCTAGTTAACCTATACTAAAGCCTCTAGGCACTTCTATAAATAGGGTAGAAGAGTAGGAAGTATAAGAGATCTTAGGTAGCTAGATAAAGCGTTACTAGTTAGAATACTATACTAGCTAGGTTAGACATAACCTAGACCTAACTTAGTATCCTACTACTAATTTTAAGTATGCGCCTTATAAGTTATAAGTATATTATTAAAGGTACTTATAATAGCTAGGCCCTCTACCTAAACTCTTATAGTAGTTATTAACCTAGTAAGGAGAGTAGTAGGTATAGGGAAAATAGTAAGGTTAATTATAATAAAGGAAATCTATAGTATTAGGCACCTCTAGTTTAAACCTATCCTATAAATACCTAAATAAAGGAAATATTAATATATATTAGAGCTATAATATAGCTAGGTTAGGTAAGTCTTCTAACTAGAGTTCTTTATTAGATAAGTTAGAAGGGATATTAGAGAGCTTGCTCTCTTTATCCCCCCTGTCTAGCATCTTAAGGTTACTTTATTATACTACTCTACCTTATATATAATAACTACCTCTACTATATTATAAACTATAACCCTAACTCCTACTAGTAGTAGAACTACTTCCCTAAGTAGACGCTCTAGCCTTATATATCTGCTAAAGGTCTACTACTACCTTCCTTAACGCCTAGACCTCCTCTATTAGGATACCTACCTCCTTAGTAAGCCTCTCTAATATCTCTTAAGCCTACGCATTATAGGTAGGTTACGTGTAGAAGTAGTATAGAAGAACACTAGTTGCTAACACTTCCTTAAGTTATATAGTTACTACTTATATAACACTAGAAAGCTTAAGCACTAACTAATAAACGTTATACTATATATCTACGCGCACTCTCTCTATAGTAGTAGCTTCTCTAGCTAAAATCCCCTCTTTATCCTCTACTAATACCTTAACCTATGCATTAAGTGCCTCTTTAAGATTAGCGTACTTAGGACTAATATAAATTAGAACCTTTCTAGGTTAGTATATAGTTATAATTAGGATAAAGATATTATAATATTACTAGTTAATACTTTTTATTCTACTATATATAGTATGTAACGTACCCCACGGGCGAGCGGATCAACGGGCGAGCGAATCACTTTTGCCAAGCCCCCACCAAAACTTGACCCATCATGGCCCAAAACACCACACTTTGGTCCTGCACGGTACAGTACAGGCTGGAATATCATTCAGAGACCTCTTCTACATCAATCTTGCACGTTCGCGCGTTGTGTCCTGTCTGATTGCACCTTCCACAGCGCCGTTGGGTTGGCTCGCCCTCTTGAGTGCGCACCTGCTTCTTCGCCCTCTTCCCATCACCACGCGCCCCAAACTCCTTTAGAGCTGCCAGCCGCTGCCCATCTTCAACTATTAGGGTCCCTTCCTTCTGAACTCGCTTTCTTTTATGTGATTTTCGTCGCATGGCGGCCTCGTTAGCCGCTCGAAGCTCCTTGATTTCCTGTTGAGCTAAAACCAGCTTGTGGGATAAGATTGCTCCCCCCTTTGCGTAGTGCTCAAGCGCGCTTAGAACAGAATTTGGTGAGCTGCCCTGCTGCCTCTTATACTTCTCTCGAATTAGAGTTGATTGCGACCCAAATTCCAGGGTGTTGCTGGGGGTTTGCGACTGCCAGGGTACGTTGTTGGTGGGGAGTGGTGGTGATGGAGTCCGAAGCTTCACATTAAGGGCTGATATGACCCGTTCTGGGTCAAAGGGGACCAATCCAGCACCTCGAAACCCTCCTTGGATATTGCTAGAGGTAAACACCGCATTATAGGCTGCTTTAAAGCATGGCAGGAACTCAGTCTTTGTGATGTGGCTGATTCGGTTGCGCATAAGCAATTCGGCTTGGCGCCCGTACGCTGTCTTCAAAGGGGCAAAACAGCCCACATCAAGTGGCTGCAGAAGGTGCGATGAGTGCGGAGGCATACATAGAGTAACAATCTTGTTATCCTTGCAGTATTTCTGGAATTGGAGCGATTCGTGGCTCTCGTGGCCGTCAATAACCAGCAGTCGGTGGGTACCAGCAGTACGCTCCTTTGTATGCGCGTCAAAGTGCTTCAACCACTCAAAACCAAGCTCATTAGTAGTCCAGCCGTTACCGGAGACTGCAATAACCCAATCCTGGGGCAGGTCTTCCTCCTTGTACCAGCCGGAGAGGTGGTGGCGCGCCTTGAAGATAACAAAGGGTGGAATGGCCCATCCTTTGGCATTGATACCCTGTATGACCGTTGTCCACTCCCGGTTGCCTGGCTGGACTGCCTTTGGCCTTCCTCGTCTCTCTGAAGCTGTAACAACTGCTCCCTGGGAGATCTGGCCCATCATGAAGCCTGTCTCGTCAAAGTTGTACGTGTCGTCATCTAGGATACCATACTTGGCTTTTGTGTTTCGCACCAGGGAAAACCAGCCCTGCACAACCCCAGAATCCTCGCAGAGGGCTCGCTTGTAGTCATACCTGCGATTAAACTTCACTTTGAGCTCTGGTTGACGCTTTACAAACGTACTGGGCCAGTTTGTGCCAATAGGGCCCAGATTGCGCTCTGCGCGCAGAGAATTGGCCATTGCAGCCACATCTGCCAGCCGAGGGCCAAATCCTCGCTCGTCCAGCTCAAGTATGTGATTAACAATCACCTGCTCCTCTAGATCATCCAGCCCTCGTGAGTTGGGCATAGTATCGCCTCGTGAAGGTCGTCCAGTAAGTCGATGGCTTAGTGTAGCTTGAGGAACGTTGTAGATAGCTGCAGCGCGTCGCTGTGAGAGTTTCGCGTCTTGTTTAAGAGCTTGAAGCGCAAGCTGTATTTGAGCTTCCTTTAACGCGTTAAGATTAGGTTGTTGTTGAGGCATTGGTATGTAGAGGATACTTTGGTGGGGGCTTGGCAAAAGTGATTCGCTCGCCCGTTGATCCGCTCGCCCGTGGGGTACGTTATACTAAGATAAGGTTCTTAAATTAAACTTCTATTTAATCTAATTGCCCTTTACTAGGGCACGCATAGAATAAAGGTAGATAACCTTATAGGCTACTATAAGAGCACTAGAAGGGACTAGTATTAGCATAGTAACTAAGAAATAAGCCTAGGGAAGGATTAGTAGGGGCCTAAGTTAAAAGTAAGGATGTTAACTTATAGTAGAAAGTAGTATCTATTAGAGAATATTAGTATATAGGCGCAATTATTTACATATTACTACTAGCTTAGGTGCTAAGCCTAGTTAGTTATACTAGGGATGCAAAATTACTATATAAATAGTATTATAGACCTATAAGCCCTCTAACTTAGCTAGGTGCAGCCTTATTAGCTGCTACTAAGCGCGCGCTGTATACAAATATAGAGTCCTTTATTAATATTAATATAATAAACAAACAATAGCAATATATAAATAAAGAACAAGAATACTAGGTAGAGCTAACACAGGGCATAAATAGTACAGCAATAAACGTATAGGCAGGCAATTATATTAGAGACAATATATCTACTAAGGAGGGGGGTAATATAAGAATTAGATTCTAAAATCTTAATTCTTCTAACTAAGATACTACCTAACTTAAATAACCTCTAATTTATGCCTAACTTAACCCTAAGTTAAGACTCTAGCATAGCTGTAGCTACTAAGGATCTAACACCCCTCTAATAGGGATCTAACCCTACCTAGTTATCTCTCCTTACCTATCTATAACTAACTAAGGCTAGTAGGTATAAAGGGTAAGCTTGCAATAGGCCTAGGATAGATAGTTTTTAAGTATCCTTTGTATCAGACCTATAGGAATAAGATTTTCCCTAGTTACTACTTTTCCTAGTGCTCCTATACACCTCGTAGTGGAAGCGGAACCGTATCAGAGGGTCTTATTACCTGTGTCGTTACAGATACCATGGCCTCGCGGACTAGGTAGCCTAACCTACCGGGGTGCTCTGGTGCGGTGGCCTCTTGATATGCGTGCTTTTGGCCGGAATATTTTCGTTCTCTTTTGGTATTCGTACAACAGCCTGCCTGCCGGAGGAAAGTGCCAGACGTTCAGCTCGCCTCTTGTTTACGGAACTAAAAATAAATTCTAAGTCTTATGGCGGGACTAATTACAGTGGTGCGTTTAAGTATATGTTTCATCGTTGACTTCAATAAACTACTGTACAGTACTCGCCTGTAACGGTAACAACATTAGATATGATACCATCCTTGGGACTATTCTGTGGCTGCCGCTAGTCGCTGTCAGTATGGTCTGGACCAGACTAGTACGTACTGGGGTGAGGCCTAGGCCTTCCCCTCTTCTTCTCTCCTATGGCTAAGCCCACCCCTACATATCTCAGACAGCCCGTCGGGGTTTATAGGACTATAGGACGGGCTGTTGGGGCTTTTCGATAATCTGTGGCGCATTGGGCAAAGGTTCAATTATGGGGTTGTTCAGAAGATCGACCAGAGCGAGTGTGGTGTTTTTGTATGGCTTGCTACCTGGATATGGACTAAAATTGTGATGTAGAACGATACAATTTCTCTGGGACAGTCAAATTGAATCCTGTCGTTTTTGTAGCTGTTTTGAGGCCCAGGTTGAAGGTTTGCGGGGCCGACCGACCGACAGTGCGGCTGAATGGAGGTGTAATGCACGTATGGTGTCTCAGCCTCACACTATGTACTAAGTACAAGTAAAATAGACATTGCTCTCCTTCTAATTTTTCATCTTTCGGTGTCTCGTGCTCATCTTCATTTGGGGTTTTTGTTCAATTCGACTCTTACTTGTAGTTCAAATGTTGCCCCTGTCGATGGTGAAGGCCTTGCGAACGGCCTGGCAGGACTTGAAACAAGATTTAAAGTCAACACGATGGCTTCGAGGCCTGGGCTGGTTGTTCGGTGTGCTCTGGATGTGTGGTCTTCTGACAAGCGCGATTATGATTCCATTATTTGCGACTTTCAGCAGTCCCGACACGGCTTGTCTGCCAGAAAATAGCTTTCGATTGCATCCAGACACTTACAACGGGTTGTCGTCTTCAGGATTTTTCCAGATCACACTGAGTAGTGGTAAACTGACTTTTGCACAAGCGAAGGCTATCGACATTTTGTGGGATGTTGTAAGTCAATCGGACGACGCAAGCATGCAAATGGCTGCTAATGGCTGACAGGGGGTGGGCCGTGGAGGTCAACTGCTGTTGGCAATCATATCGTGGCGCGAGTTTGCGAGGTATCTTACGATTTGCATGGAAACCGAGCCTATCACTTTCCAAGTGTTTCGGACAATTTTTCTTGAAAAGGATGCTTCTATTTTCTCAGCAGTTCGTGTTTCCAAAAGTCTCGTATGGCAACGCAGACTGCGATCGAAGGTTGCTATGACGTTCATAATAGTCACCATGCTGTTTATCGTAGCACTGCCGACGCTCGTCAGCGCGATGAGTGGCTATGATGCTAATGTCGCATCTCGCATTCTGGATCGTGATGATAATCTCATACCTTTCAACAACTTTTCAAGGGTGCTCTATGTCATTCATGATGGGTGGAGGATTGGCAAAGATGGCAACTCCTGGATCACGGACATCCCAAGTCAGGGTATGTGTATTCCCCGCTCCCGCATTCGCGAACTGGCCATGGTAATTGATGATGGTGAGCAGAAGATCCTGTACTGCGCTCGCCCCTTCTCTGCCTTTAATCCAATCGTAAAGGTCCCGTGTGCGACCTACTTAATTCGGTCTCTACTTGTAAGAATTATGCATGATGCACTTTATCTACGCGCTAAAAGTCCACAGATGTCGAGGCCTATGGGCTCGACGGAAAGTATAATGGAATCTCTCAGTTCGAAAACCGTACTATAAGCCCGCCTGCCCTCAACATCTCAGCATATGAGCATGACAGCCAAAGCTTTTGGGGTTACAACGTTTCTGGCTTATTGAACACGACTTGGGTAAGGGGAAACGAGACGTTCGACTATGCATACATCGAAGCCAATGGCAAATGCCAAAACATAGGGGTAGGATGCCTTCAGGCTTATGTATGGCTTTCATGAGACCGTACTAATTCTTTGCTGTAGGACTATCGGTGGGGTTTCTCCTTCTGGCAGCTCTTCATCTGCATCATGCTCCTCCTTGCATGGACGGTAGGTATCTACATCATGTGGATCTACACACACAATACCATGGCATTGCGCAATCGACATACTGAAGACGTGGCCGGAGAATATCGCGCAGTTCTCGAGTTGGCAGCAGCCATGCAGGCCGACCTCGACATTGAGGATACGGATCTTTCAGTGCTTCGGGAGAAGCAACTGAAAGAAAGAATCGATAAAGAAGCTCGGGGTGGAGCTATCGCATACGCCTATTCGAGCTCTTTACCCAATACTCATGGCATTCGCAAGGGTTTAGCAGTATGGTTCAAGATTGAAGAAGTGGTGGTTCCTGGCCATCTTTACCGTCTGCTCGACAGGGTGGCTGTTCCTGTTGGTCCCTCCCGTCATGCCCTTAGGAATTTGTCTCTGATCGTGGACTTGGGCGATTTTCCTTGGCCAAGTGTGGGCTTTCTGCATAGGTACGACAACAGGTAGTCGTCTGCTGATCATTTTGTTCTGGAGTTTGTTGGGAGGAATCATTGTTGTCGGCCCTCTCGTAGTCACGCTCCTACCGAACCGATCTCAATAGATATAAGTAGGGTACGTAAAGAAAGCGGGACAGTATCACTCAGTTTATGGATAGACCCCTGATCGTGGTCCATGTTTGTTGGGTATTCCATCTAAAACGTTGCACACATTCCGCACTGTGAACCAATGAAGACGCTCTATGTAGAGGCCGCAGCGACTAACGGGTTCTAACATTCTCGAGATAGACACTTTAGCGATGAGGAGCAACAGTACCCTTCCCACTTCTGTGCAAACTCACAACGATAGGGCTTATCTCATAGATCCAAATTACGAACTACATGTCTGAGTAGGTATAACACAGAGGACCGGTCTGAATATCCATGTAGTCCTTGACGATGGGTTCGGTGTCGCCAAGCGCCATGATAGGCATCGTGTCGTCAATTGAGGCAGGAATGGTATCTGCTTGATCTCGTTTACCCGTATAATCAACCAGGCGGGTGGCGTTGCGGCCCTGCCACTGTGATTAAGGTTAGAACTTGCTCTGTTTGCTCAGCAAAGAGCGAAAGGAAGAGGAGACGCACCTTCGCCCATGCACGATCAACGTTTGCGTGATGCAAGAAGAAAAGCGGCTCGTTGGGCGATGTAGCGGGACCCATGTCACCAAAAATGATGCTGTGGACTACAGATGTGTTAGCGTGTCCCTGGCTGGTATGTAGCAAAGACTGACTTTGTGCGTGCGGCAAGCCCTCGAGCATGCTCGCCATATCGGCAAATCGATCCATTGCGTAGATGGTGTTCATGACTTTAGAGTTGTACGCATCTGCTTGCAAGTCGCCCTTGATGAGATTTCCGTCTTCATCTTTGCCCAAACCGCCATTCAGCTCACGTGTAAAGCAGTGAAGGCGATTACCGCTTTCGTTCACATCAGGCCATCCCATTCCCAGTGTCAAGTTCGTGTTAGCAAAGGGCCCGTCAACAACGCAACGTTCGAAGCCTGGCTCGTTACTGGCGGTACGCTGGCCATCACCACCAAACCCAGTGGCAGGGTCAAAGACAGGCGAAGTGGCCACGCTCTTCGCGTCGGCATCAATACTCCAATCCCAATAAGGTTGGGTGCCTGTAAAGCCGCATTCGGTACGTAGGAGATCCTCGTGCAGCTGCACAAACCAACGGTGCCATGGGAGGAAACCGGCCACAAAGTGAATCTCATCATTGAGAGAGAAGTGGCTGTAAACCAATTCGTCCAGACGCGTGGTCACTGCGTCAACGGCGGCATATTTCTCTTTCGGTAGGCCGCGCAGGCACACAGCGGCACGAAGGTAGTTGTCTTGTTCAGTGCTGGTGAGCGTGCGCCACTCCTTCCGGACGGCTGGATTGGTGCATGCGCGATCAGCGCGGGGTACCGGTACAACGCTCGCGCTAATGACTGTGGCGATAGAGCATAGTGCAAAGATCGAAGGAGGAAGCATCTTGGGGTCGAAAGAAGTGCTGGGTAGACGTTTATTAGGTTTGCAAAAGGAGAAGGCGAGGTGCAAAACAAGGAAAGAAGAGAACACGCGCTGGGCAATAATTGTGTGAGAATTGCTGGGCGAAACCAGCAGTGAGTATCTACTTTTAAAAAAACGAAGCCTCAAACCTCACTTTATAGCTCTTACGCTACTGCGTAAATGAGATGTAGATTACATGGTGGGACTACGAGCTAAAAATACTCAAGAAGGCAAGCATTGAACAGATACGACATCCGACAGGCATATCCCTCCACTTTCACTGTCTCCTGACCTACTCATGGTAACCACAAGTCTGAAAGTCACGTTATTTGCTACTACATATTATTGGTTCGATCCTAAGGCGCAGCTTCACAACGCTCATTGATTCGTGGAGAAGAGCAGCATTTTCAACAAGATTTTTGAACTTGTGGTCTCCACTACGGGACAGTACGACCTAGTGGCGGGTACGGTCATGTCAAAGGCTCAAGCGTTGTAATTAGATTGTCGGTAAAACACGGAAGCGGCAGGGCTCAGTTTTGAAGTATGGAACAACACGAGCTCGTTCGTTTAGCCGTCTAAGTAGTTGGCAGGGTATGGCGTCCGTGCACCCAATGCGCGATCCTTACTTATTAAATAGCGAAAAAAGTCTCCCAAGCTACCGAAGTTATACGAGGTTCATAGACTAACAGTGTTTGATCTGGCTCAGTGTACTCACGTTTTGGAATATTTCAAAATTCACAAAATTTTCATTAATCGATCGCTTCTCGCTTCTCAGTGTCCAAACGCTAGTGTTCTAGTATTTATGGAAGGAAAGTTCTGTCAAATACGTCAGAATCACCCGAGGATCATACAAAGGCTTAACTTTAGTGTAGTAATGGCATATGAACACACAGGAAGTCTAATATCTAGTTCTTTTGAGGGAGGAGGCGTCCGGAGACTTGATAGGTAGGTAATCCCAGTCGCAACGAATCTCTACGCTTCTTCATCATCGTAACAGTAGTAGACACTCGCCGGAGGAACGTCACTACCACTCCCACTTGTGCATTAGGTACCTACTTATCAATCTTGGCTGCTGCCCTATGACGCGCAGGCCAAGCATCTCTGCCGACGATCCGCGAGGCGTGACACCGATCTAAGCCTCCTGCTTGGCGGGAGTCCTCGACACTGCTCCGGAAACACAAGTGAAAATGCTTGCTTTCCAAGGTTGTTCTCCTCCTTCACATTACCTACTCTCACCAGTGCATAGTACGAGTAAAACCTTGGCCCAGGCTTTGAACCTGAAGATAGTGAATTTCTGTACTGTCCAACCCCATCTCCCGAGTCTTGCAGCAATGGCGACAAGCACACCCAGGCAGACTACGAAACAGGAAGAGAGAAGGCAGGCCCAGGTCACCGGACTGTACAACCCAGCTCTGGGAACGCATGAATTGGGGTACGTCGGCCCACACAGAACATCAGCACAGAACACAAAGCTTTCGCTACAGGACTCTCGCGCAACGTCTACCGAGCCTGCAGACGCCGCTTCTTCGAAATATCCGCAGCCCGCAACAGTATCCAATGCAACTTTAGACCCTGCATCTGAAGGTCACCAACAATGCGGTGTTGTCGCGAGGTCAGACCATCTCTTCGCACGCATACTATGGAGCCACTGGACTCAACGATTCCTGGGCGTGCTTACTATCCTAATCTGGCAGTGGGCAGTGCATGGTTGGCGGCCGTGGTTTTGGGTCAGGACTCGCGAGGAGCAGGAGAGGTGGTGTCGTAGCTCTTGGTTTGAGAAGCTGATATCATAAACGCTACGCGTATGTACTTGATGCGGACAGGCTGTCCAAACCTAGACATTGGCGACAGAAACGCAAGAATTGCTTTCTATCCTTGCCAATGTCTACCTACTATTAGGAGCCTAGGTATTGTCGGACTTGAGTGACTGTCTCTTTTGGGAGTTGTCTGAGACGTCTACTGCAGTGCTTAATAAGGGCGACAATACTTGATTCAGTTCGGCCGGTCCATGTCCTACTGTTACTCGGGGGAGTCACTGCGAGCGACTTGCTTGCTGCATCTATCCCAACATTTATATTCGTCGCACACAAGGCGAACAACAACTAGGCTGAAGCATCCACCGCGCTCAAGTGCTAAAATAGAAGGAGCCACCAGTGATTATCGCAGCAAGCACCGACAAATGCTCGTGAAAATTCGGGAAATTGACTTAGGTACGCCGCAGCCTCTAATTGTTCACGGGTATCACCATAAGCAAGGCATAAGCTCGCTTAAAGGTTTTTGCGAAACAGTGAATGTACTCTGTGATTCAAAGACTGTGGACCAATTGTTTCACAAGGAATTAGACTGCAGCCTTTCCTTTCTACATTCTCATAACATGTGTCATTTACTAAGAAGAGTACAGTCTAAGAAGGAGCTACCTCTTCTACTCATGTATATAGAGATATACCTTGCACATTAAGGAAGTCAATACACGATAGTCTCTGAGCGCATATACGCAGGCAGTATTGATTATACATACAACTTGGGTCACTGCCCATCTCAGGTCACATGGTGGATGCCGTCAGTCAACTGCAGCAAAACAAATGCTTCAGTCTCGCTATACTATTTCCAACTTCAATTGGTTCGACAAGCGGGGTGTGGATGGCACGCCATTAATCAAACGTTACGAACATTACTCACTAACAATGTACCACAAATTCTGCCCATTATCAGGATCGCGGTAGCTTCGAAAATCGATACAGCTGCCGAAAGTCTGGCTATGATCCAGGGAGCGAAACGCTTACCGCTCTACTCTACTGTCATCAACTGCGTTAGCTATTCGAACGCGTTGGCCCTCTTTGGTGAAGACCTTGCACGCGATACCGAATTTATGAAAGCTGCTGTAGCAACCATTGAGAGCACTCTACTCATCGCCGAGATTTTGAGCTTACTGCCAGTTTGGATGCATCCGTAGGTTGTTCCATCGTGTGATGCATGTAATATCGCTAACAAAAACACATAGCACCGTCAGGAAGCGGTTCAACAGTGTCTCTTAATCTCATCAAGTGCTTCACAGCCGCCTGATACCTATCACAGAGCGACGTATCGAGGACCGCATTCGTAAAGCGCAAGGTCACAGTTTCTTCGCATGAAGACTGTATTCACTAGGTGATGGAATCCTCACCACTCTCTCTGAATAAAATTGTCCAATTTCCTTGCCACACGAGCCTTACCTACTCTCATGCCCAGGCGGTAAGTCCAAACCAACCGATTGCAGAGATAGCCACACCACTCGAGCCTCGGAACAAAGCCTTTCCTGGTACGCCCTCTTTGAGACACATGTAGGCATCGATTCCACCAAGGTAGGCACCCAAGATGAAGAGCAGCGTATCAACCTCAACGAACTTGTCCTGGAAGTAAAACGTGTAAAGTGTCATTCCAATAACAGTGGTACGGCCCATGCCAAGCGTCATGATGGACTGTGCTTCTTTGGAATCGTATAGACGCTGAGGAAACCCCATCTCGCGGATTGCAGACTTGGGATTAAAGATAGGCCACATGCCACCAAATGTCAGCGCTGTGGCGACGAAGAGGCCGGGAATGTGGTTGAGGGAGAAGCTGTCGAACATGATGAATGTTTGGCAACTGCTAGGTTTTGAGCGATCGAGATTTTGAGTACAAGCCGTCATGAGGTGGTAAGCTTACTAATACGGGGCTAGTGATGGGGCAAATGGAAGGGAGGCAAAAGGTTGGAGCGGCGGCTAGTCGTTTGCAGGGTGATGTCTATAAGGTATCGAGTACGGGCAAGTGAGAAACAGCCGGGAGATCGAACCTCAAAGGACGCTAAGTGCGGCGCAGTTCATGGTGCGGGCGGCGCGCTTGACAGGGATGTCTGTGGGGGCCGTGGTCGCACGTGGTGGGGCTTTCCAGGTTAAAACCTCCGCAACAACGGTCGGTCTCCGAAGACATGAGCTGGTACTTTGATTTTGAGACATCTTACTCGATCGACGCTGTTACTAAATTCACTCGGGGCCGATCCAGGCAATTCAGTTGAAGGTTACACCCGATGGGACTGTAGAACCACCTTGTTTTAATTGGGTGGCCGGTGTACATGGCATTGAAGTAGTTCAAGCCACAAGCACACAATGACAAACAACGTCAGCTTTAGCTCTGAGTCAGCACGTATATATCCGCAGTCGTGCATCTGTGTTGAGTTGAATACCGTGCAGGGACCCCTAGAGTCTATATTTTTCTGGTCTCAGCAATTCCCTTACTTCTAGGAATCGTTACACACTCATCATGAATGCTGTCAGCAACCTGGACCCGGGTATGGACCTAATGACTACTCCTATGGCTCCAAATCCTAGTGGGGAACCTCCAAATTTTGTTAATCCACCGTCCCTCAAGAATGCAACACTCAGCGTTGGTGTTCTGCTCATCGTTATCAGTGGCTTTATGCTCACGCTGCGGTTGTTCGCGAAATGGAAACATAGTAAGGAATTTCATCTTGATGATGGTGAGCCAGGATTCAATTGGTAAGAAACAAAAGCAATTCACTGAGTCTTGAACAGTATTCTGTCTCTTCGGATGGATCTGCGCAATAGCATACTGGGCTATATCGTATTCAATGGTTTTAGGAGGATCCTCAGGTAGGCATGCGTGGGACACGCCGATTGGAGTCATCCTTGCGCCAACATATATGAAGGTTCGTCATCAGAGAGCCGAAGTACTTCCAAGTCGCTCATGATTATAGCGGATGCTATCGCAGACCATCCTGGGTGGATTCAACATGTGGATGGTTCGTGCTGCAGTGCTGTTATTCTACATCCGAATCTTCAATAGCGTGCGCTGGGTACGATACACTTCATGGGGTGTGATTATCTTGTCTGGCATACTCTACACCAGCGGTATCTTCCTAAGCATAGCGAACTGCGCACCAAGAGCGGGCAAGAGTTGGAACTCGGTATCCTTTGCAAAGTGCTCGGATCCCATCGTCTCAAGGTTGGTTACCCGTGCGAGCATCTTCTGTGAGACGATATTGACTGAAACTAGGTTTTTCATTGCGAGCGGTGTAGCAAGCGTCATCACAGACTGTATCACTTTTGCGATACCTTTTCCTATTATTGTTAGGTTGCAACTCAGTTCAAAGAAGCGACTCGGCCTACTGATTGTTTTCTCTCTAGCTATCTGGTAACTGGTATCATTCCGACATATGGAGCAATAACTGATCTTTCAAGCACTGTTATAGCAAGCTGCGCTTCTTTAGCTTATCGGATCTTGGTCCACCAAAGAGTCACCGATGCAACTTGGGTTGGAATGCAGGCGATCATCACCTCGTAAGAGCATTCCCAATACTCTTATCTACTGGCTAATTGGCAGTTAGGTTGGGCGAGCGATTTGGCACTATAATGATTGGATGCGTACCCGGCGTCTCATCTTTCTGGTCCCATTTCTTCACGAAAACACGCTTCTACTCAAACATGCGGACACGCTTGTATTCAAGACGATCCAGCACAAGTGGAAATTGTCATCTCACAAGCCCGCGTTGGTATGGTGCACGAGGAAGTAGCGAGCGGAAGTCGAGCTACCAGTCTTCCACTGATGTAGAGTCCGCCACAGCAGGTCTGCAGACTACGGTTGAAAAACCACAAACTAGGATTGCGTTAGCCATCAATGGTATCACGCGCACTACGGCAATCAAGCAGTCAACTTATATAGTTCAGTAGCGTAGCCGTTCTTACCGCAGGATTTGATAGGGGAGAGATCCTACAATGACTTGCAAAATGCGAGGGCCCAACCTGGTTCCGGTACAAAAATGTAATCCAGCGCTTATGGATATTTATCATAAAAGCTATTTTATGGCCATCTAACTATATCTAAAATATAGCCACATAAGTTAAAGTGAGTATAGGTTTACATAACACAAACGAGCTGTGCGGTGATGGTTAATCTTCCCACAATAGTGCGTATTGAGACCTCAGACGGTCTACAGTTGTCTGTAGAGAGTCCACCGGAAAATTCGAGCCATTTGGAGTGTACAGAAGTACATCCCAAACATGATGACTGGTCCCAACTGCCATCCAAATTCCAGCCTCCAAGTTTTCCGTATCCATCGCTGTCACCACAGCGGAGGAGAGCGCAGTGGTGAGAACGAGGCCTTTGAACTACCACTCGGATCTCCATAGATAACTCAACGTTCGAAAGAGGCTTGCGGAGGTGTGTTTGGCACCTAGTTGTACTTGCTGAATGAGACACTAATCGCCACAGGTCGATCACGCGACAGTCCGAGTTCAGGACCAGTCGAAGCAATCGCCACCGCAGGAGGAGGGAGGAACTCAAGGCTTAGAGTGCAGCTTATTCACCACTATCCATTCCTTGTATGTCACAGTAGAACGACAAGGGTGCTTCCTGCTGTCCAGATGATTTAGAAACGCAGAAGTAAGATATCCACCGAGTGCACTTTTATTTGAAGCTTCAAGGCCAGTTAGGAGTGGATCTCATGCGATAGTGGTCACGATGATTGTTCTGATTGTTCAAGGCTGCAAATTCAGTCTCTGTGATTTAGCTCATCTTAATTTACATCTCATCGACGCTCTAGGTCACGCTGACTTGTGTAATGAAACTGACGGGAGCTAACATTGCTGTCCAGCAGCGTAGAGGAAATGTCATTGTAAGCTTTCTACCTAACCTCCTGTAGGAATGTCTATAGACAGTGGAGCTGACTTTCAAGCCTATGTATCGCAATCATGCGGCTTGCTGTAAGACAAGACCAATGCCGCTAAGTGACAGATCTCCAGACGCTGCTATGAAATGTACAAGGCTTCGATCGCAGACTGCCAGACAGTCGGGTTGAGCAGGTAGAGCTTTAAACACGATTTATTTCTGCACACCAGATTTTCTTGGGCTACCTGGGTTGCTTTAACGTCTTAGACACCAAGGTAGTCAAAGCCTCACATTCAGTGCATTGGAGTGCGGGTATGACGTAATGCCACTAGCGTGCCTTACAAAGTACCTAGCTAGGTAGCTGTACCTAGGTGACATCGCGGCTCTGCGAAATAGGATCGACAAAGTAGCATTTCCTGTTCGGCTGAGCTTCCGCGCTTAACCTCAGCCACGATGCTTGTGCTGCCAAGGACCTGCTTGCGCGTCTCGCGAGGCCTGGAATCCTCGTCCGGTGGGTCTTCGGGCAGGTACAAGATGCGGGGAGATCATAAATGGCGGCGATCAACACACGTCCGAGACCACACGGCTATTGATAGGCAAGCAGATCGTCTCGGCACGAAGTTCTAAACCTGCTGTCAGTGACAGCAAGCAGTGTAATGACGACTTCAAGGGAGGCCTCGTCATCCCAATGCGTATCCTCAAAGCCAAGTTAAACTTGCACACAGCCTCATTCGACGCGCCGCAGTTGTAGGACTGCTTTTGAGAAACATCGTGGGTTTCCCCGCGTGGTGCCACGTCTAGTGCCGGTATAGTGTGCCTGGGCGAGAATGTCCCTGCGGAAGGTCTGTGTTGTGAAGCCGTATAAGGTCGGCACTGTTGCCCTTGAGTCTAATACACTTCACTGCCGCTATACAAGCTCAAGTATACACACGACGGTCTTCTACATCAAGTAAAGCCGACATTCTCTCTTCTACACTTCCTACCATCATGCTCTTCCAAAAGCTATGCCTTCTTTCCGCTCTCGCGACCGCAATTGCTGCTCAAGATGTTGAAGACAGCGATATCCCACAGCAGTGTAGGTCTGTTTGTGCCGACTTAGTGCAATGGAGTCGGACCTGCGACACCAACAACAGTAAGCCGTTGCCCGACATTAATGTACTACGAATCGCAATTGACGTGCTTCAAAGATAACGATCAGCAAGAGCTCCAATGTGTTTGCACTTCCACAAACGCCGGAACTGTTGTTCCAGCCTGCGACGCTTGTGTGCGTAATTTCAATGGCGGCGATGGCGGAGACGTACACGATATCTTGACCAGCTGCAACTTCAGCACTACGAGCTATGCCGCCACGTCCCTTCTCTCCAGTCAATCTATCCCTTCGCCCGCGTCTCCATCTGCATCTCCATCTAGGTCTGCGGCTGCGTCTGCACCTGCTTCTGCTTCTGCTTCTGCTTCTGCTGCTGCTTCTGCTTCTTCTTCTTCTTCTTCTTCTTCTTCTTCTTCTTCTTCTTCTTCTTCTTCTGCGGCTCAAAGCTCCGTTGCCGTACAGCAAAGCACCAATGCCGCCCCTGCCCCTACCGCAGCAGCAGGTCTCGCAGGTCTCGGTGCTCTTGGTCTCGCACTTGCTGCTTTGTAACCGATTATATGTATAAGCAAGTCGGTAACAAGGCAACATGAGCAGGTGGAACATAAATTGCTTCTTTGCGAGACTCTGGCATATGGTCTACTTCCGTACGCGTAGTTAATATCTAAATTGACTTTGCTACTCTACGTTCTACATTAATGGTCCCTTAATCCAAATAGAAGTAGTCGTAGCGCATACTAAAATGGTCCTGCATACCTTTCGGCAAATTGGTTGCAGCCGCACAGGTATGCCGGGCTCTGAACGTTGAAGTGAAGGTGAAGGTGAAAGTGGCGACTGCCTAGTGCCTAATGCGTCATAGCGGCAGCTTGGTCTCGCGCCAAACAACCTTTATTTACCCCCGATAACACGCACTCACCCAGACGCGACTGTACATACTTAGTTCACGTTGGCACCGTCTACATCAAGCATGGCTTACGACAAGATGTAAGTCCGCCCTATCCCAGCTGCCACTCAAGGTTCTAACAAGATGCATAGCACTCTCAGCAATCAGCAGAACTCGCCTCTTCTACGCCTTCCTGCTGAGATTCGTAACAAGATCTGCGAGCTCGCCATAGGTGGCAACGAGATTCGCGTTTGGCGTACACCAAAGAACGCCCTGCTATTCTTCCGCCAACCTGAGGATGACTTTGGATCCGAAGAAGTAGGATACAAGAACCACCTGGACATTGCGGCTCTTGGCCAGTCCTGCATGCAACTCCGCCTTGAGACTTCCAACCTACACCTTCGACTCAACACGTTTCTGGGAGGAGTGACCGCCCTTGATTCTTTTATTCGAAAGTGCGGAGCCAACGCGAGCGCCCTCCACACTGTAGGCATCTGGGTAAATTCCGAAGTGCTTATGGACATGGCCTTCAGTCACGACGAGTGCGAGTGGTCTAGGGTCTGGCCAGAGTTTGTGCGTTCGCTACCTCGCCTTGGAGGATTGAAATGCGTCATATTGGAATGCCCTGACTTATGGTTCGCTCCCAACGCCATCGATAGGCTTCATTCGATATTGGGAAGACTTGAGTTGGTTCTACAATATTGGCGCCAGAATGCTCTGCGTGCGGGGAACGTCAATAGCGTGGGCCTTTGAGGAGTCTGCCCAAATGTCAGGAACAACTCACAGGAATGGACCGATGCTGGCTTCCGGCTGTATGCAAGTGCAGTCCTCAGATAGAGGCGGCTGATCAAAGTCGCAACGTAGCAACAAGGATGGGATATTGATTTGCCAGACACTTCCACTACTGTTATATTACTTCCATTTTCACTGCGCATTTTGTAGAAAGGCGAAAAACTGAAGCTCATCATTGCGTACGAGAACCAAGGGCAACTTAGTTTGCTTTGACTACCTGCAGAATTACGCAATCCGAACCACTTCCTCGTTCATCCTTGCGCATTGTAGGGCGTAGGAGTCTCTCTGAAGCCGTTACATGACATTTCAAGACTATGGTTCTTTGCCGTAGATCGGAGAACATTGGCGCTACGATTCTACTGAATCAATCTCCAGTCGACACTGACCTGATCGATGCGCGATTTCTAGGTGGAAGTGAAGTAGACCAAGTCTGCACTACCAAGCTTGGCTCGAACCTGTATCGCCATATTGTTTGCTATCTGTTCCTGACATTCCCCCACCATCCACTCACAATCTGTCAGCAGTATGCAGCGTGACAACATGTGGGATTCTCCGATACACATACAGCTCACTGATGAATCGTCCACTAACACCCAGCCCAGCACCATCCGCAACCAGCAGACCTCGCCTCTTCTGCGCCTCCCCGCAGAGCTGCGCAACAAGATCTTCACCTTCATCATCGGCGGTCACTCCATATCCGTCTTTGGCGAAGATGACGGAATCGCGAGGTCCAGCAACTCTGGACTCACATATCGTGCGCGGACGTACAAATCTCGCAAACCTCGCAAACACGCCACTCCTACAACACCCATCGTGTCCAACCTGCACCTCGCCTGCCGCCAGATCTACCACGAGACTTCGACCCTCTTCTTCACGCTCAACGAGTTCTGCGCCTCGCCACAAACCATGGTCAAGTTCCTGAAGCACCGCAATACCCAGGCGGACCTGATCACGCGGATCCGCATCGATCCGTATGATCCAGTCGCCACTCCCGGTCATCACGCTCCGTATCTCTCGAATGGTATGAGGCGGGTGTTGCGCGTCGCTCGCTCGCTCAAGAGCCTAGGCACCATCGTTATCACGGAGGCTAGGATGGCCGAAACTGTCTCATACGGGGTCATGCTGTGCCTGGTGGCGGAGGTGCTGGACAAGGGCACGAGAGCGGGCGAGATCAGACTGGAAGTTTGGGCCGTGGCACATGCGGCAAGCGTGGGAGAACGATATGCAAGGGGACCAAGCCGCCAGCTTCCCCAAAGTGGAGGAGAATTTCGCTCGTCGCGTACCGACCATGCGATTTGGCTGTCGCGTGCGATGATATTGAAGTGAAAGCTCCGGTGCTCAGCTTCAACCCCGAGAATGCAACATGTCCACCACAATGTACCTAACTCCATGGCAGTCGCGTGACCACCTGGAATCAGTTTAACTTCAAGTGCTGCCAATGACAAATCCCGAATACGCCGTCTTGAGTGTGAATGGTGAGAAAGTCGTACAAGGTTGTAGAATGTTTGATTCGTGCAATTTCCAACCAAAAAGCATCCAACTGGCTGTCTCAGTCTATCTGACGTTCTGTGTAATCACGTGAGAACTAGCCAATATGGTATGAAATCAGTGTCTCGTTTCTACAACGGCAACTGTTAGGTCTATCTCAAGGGTGTAGGGCAAACGGCAACGAGGACGTCTAGTCGACGATTCAGCCAACGCCACCCAGCACCCAGCACCAGCGCCAACGACCCGATCTACTCCATCAGCCATCCGCTCCAAGAACAACATCCACGAATGTGCACTCAATAGACAGACGACCCACACCACCAAGCCCCTACTCTGCTGTAACAACACCGCAAAGCTTCCAGACGGAGAAAGGAACCTTGCACAACAGCCCCACCAACTCGGGTCCGTAACCGGACCCTCCAACTGTTGCCTGACACATCTGTGGGGGCGGCGCGGACTCAGAGCAAGGAGTCCTCAATCTTGGGTCTCGTCCTCTGATGTCTGCAGCGCGCACCAATGGTGTTCTCCGACAACACAGTGTCATAGTCGGTGTTTTGAAGTGTACGCCATGGAGGTATTCAGTTCCAAGGACGACATCTGTACTATGGCCGTTAGTCCTTCTGCAGAGGCGCAGTCGCCTATTCATGCATGGTGTTGAATGAATGTGTGGGAGCGAAGCATTCATCTTCGCGATCGGGGGACAAAGCAAAAGCTTGGTGTGCGGCTTTGCTCCTTTGTGTATGGAGGTAAGTACCAATCACCAACTGCCAACGCAATACACATGATACTCGACAACGTATCTCTTTCATTTACCCGACATGGCGTCTCTGACAGAGTTGACGCGGGAAACGTGGTGCAAGCAAGGGAGCACCAGACCCCTCGACAAAGGTATAAATACGCACTGCACCGCCTTGGGAGCTGCAAACCGAGCGGGGGATTAGCCTCGACACCTAGACCTTTGTACTACCCGAAGGGATGGTAGTGCTTAGCCGCCCCAGACTCGCGAGCTTTCTTTGTCGTTCGGGTCTGGCAAGACTCGAGGCGGAGGCAGCGCGTGCGGCTCTGCAAGCATCACAACAGGGTCCGAACAAAGAAGCATGATCCAAATACCGCCGAGCGACCGCGCAAGCGCTGTCGGACTGCCTTCCGCTCTCCTGCGATTGACCGCGGACGGGACTTGTCATGATGCAAACCACGGGTGAGGACTACTACGACCTGGCCGACGATGAGCTGCCATCTGCCAACTTCGCGGCCCGCCCGACAAGCGAGATCAGCGACCTCAGTCTCCTTGACATCGACGGCCTCTGGACGTTTATGAATTTTGCGAACACGTCTTGCGAGAACACAGATAGTGAAGCGGACAGCGACGACGGTCCGACTCCAATTGCTCTTACCCCAGAAGCTACCAAGATGCCTCAGCCGGAAATGCCGCGCACTCCGCCTGAGACGCCGACGATAGCAGTGACCCCGCCTTCGCGGAGGCAGTCGCTGCGACAGCATTTCAAAAGGATGAGCGGCGTCGCCGCGATTGTGCGGAGGCCAAGTTCGCGTCAAAAGGCTGACACGGCACCGCCTGGCATGTTCAGCTCGCCGGAATTCACGCCACAGGTGCCGCGACGGGCGCTGAGTGCGAGACTGCAGAAGCGGGATAGTGCGCTGACGGCGAGGTACTCGAGACACTTGTCATCCGACAGCGATCTCAAAGCGAGGAGTATCCTCGGGATGACGGACAGGGTTTTGGAAGAGGAAAGGCCAAGGCGCGTAGAGGGACATGACGAAAGCGATGACTTGGAAGAGAATGAAAACGCCGAGTTTCTGCAGCCCAACGCGTCCTTCTCGCACAAGCCGCGGGTGCGGGAGACGCTGGACAGGATACAGCTGTCGAGGCTGAGAATGGACTTTGTGGCGACAGGGCCAGAGGAACTCGTCGACTCACCTCAATCGATGTTGGGCACGCCTCTGGAAATGTACGGTCCGCCCAAGGCACTGCCGCAGCCGCAGCCAGGGCGCTTCAGGCCGACGAGTGCAATCCACGGGAAACGGGGGACGTCCACGCCCGTTTCGCCAACGGCGCCCTCATTGCGTAGACCGCAACCACCATCAAACACCACGCGGGCGGGTGACGATCTCGAGGACCAGTATCAGACCAGGGTGTACGTGTCTGGGCCAATCTGTATCGAACGGCACCAAGCCATGCTGCGCAAGAACTCTGTGGCTACGTTGGATCCGTTTGCCAGCGAGGTTGATCCAGTAGGGCGCCGGCCGTCTGATTTATTGGCTCTAGAACAGATAGTCGTGTACTTTGACGGCATGGGGGTGAGTGAGACAGCCACCGACGAGTGCCTGGACCGCTATTGGCTGCCCACGCCGCAGCAGGCGCTGCTCGAAGAGGAAAAAGACGTAGCGGAAGTTGAGCCTCTCACTCCGCGGACTCAGCACAGCGGCAGCTCGAACGCTGCGTACAGCACACACTCCAGGTTCTCGTTCTCGTCAGCGTCATCGGGCGCCTCCGTGCCACAGGACTCCCCACAAAAGCGCCAGCTAATCAGATTAAGGAGGCTGCTTCTGCCGGCGCTGCCCGGGTTGAAGGGCTTGGAAGGATGAACAGCAAACGGAAGGCTCGTGACATGCCGGGAGGAAACCGTCTATGTTTGGTAAAATCGAATCAAACTTAAATGGAAATTGAAGACTCGTAAGCTGTGTTTGAGATGAGCCGCTCGGTGAAATTTCGCGCCAAGTAGCGTACGACTCGTCGCTGGCCTGATGAGGAAGTGCGTGATGCCAAAGCGTTCGATAGAAAGAAACGAAAAGTGTGCCTCGAAAGGGACGTGATTGGCAGCGTTAGCAACGGCACCAAACGGTGAGTTAGCAGGTTGGCAGGCGCGATCTGGAGACCCTTGTGGATGACGCCGCTGTGCCTTGCGACACAGGCTGCGCCGGCAAAAGCAACACCAACTCGACGAGGATACGCTGCAGAAGCGGCCGCTGCGTGCGCAGCAAAGTGGTTGCCCTTTCACCGAGTGTGGGCTCAGGATAGGGTGGATCCTGGCTAGGATGACAAGGGTCGGCGCGCGCCCTTCCGAAAAGAAAGCGAGGCGGCGAATGGTACTCGCCCACGTCGACACCCGTCCAATCACACCCGGGGCGAAGCAGAGCGATCATCGACTTGGATTGCCCTCCTGAGCAACACCTGGCCCTGTCACGACCCGCCCAGCGCGTCCCGCACTTGTCAGACGTCCTCCGCTCGAGCCAGCGCATCAACCGCTTGCCGCATTTCGGGTGGTGGGCTAAAAGCCCATTCTCCCCGTCATGGCCCGCTTGATTCTCAATTGCACGCCTCACCTTACTGAAGTACCTCATTCGACTTCACCTCCGCCGCTTCCAAAGCCAGTTGTTATATTGTAAGCTCAAGGACGCGCAGCAGCGTTCGCAGATCATTAATATCGTGCAGTTCTACCTACAGCAGACGACCTTAACATGGCCGATATCTATATGCATAGTAGTAGTAGTGCCTTTGCGATACTTGAGCAGGCTCGTTTAGAATTCTGGAACAGCAATGCCCACCTCACGGAGGAGCAGCGCCAGGAGGCCTGGGCGACAGCCTCGCTGTACCCAAACACGGCCTTCGACACCCCCGCACAGCCCTCGATGGCCCACCAGATCCCCCGGACGATGCCCAATAGCATGACGAGCTTGTCACAACTCCCAGTATGGACACAATCTTTGGTCGTCGTTCTCCCTTCTAACCGCAGCAGATGGACCGCACACAGTCCGCCCCGGTCTCGCGTCCCCGGTCCGCCGCGATCCCAGAGCCCCTCGACCTCCAGCGCTCAGCAAGTGACTTTGGCCTCTGGCCCGTGACCTCCGCCGAGCCGGCTAGCGACTACGCACTCTACTCGCAGCACACGATGCGCGCCCAGGCCAGTCTCCAGGTGATCCCTGAGACGACGGTTGAGTACACTCCTGGTGACTACGTCCACAGCTGTATCGAGGCGTCGTCGCCCTCAGTGCCCTTTCAAAACATGCACGTGCAACTAACCCCCCAATGGGGCCAATCGTCAGATTGCTCCACCTCGCCCAGCACCCCTCAGACTGCGCTGATGACTCCTGTTACTCAATCTAGTAGCGCCATGAGTCGTCAGAGCAGTCTGAACACCTCTTTCCTTGACGAGTCTTGCGTGCGCGTTCCGTCTGATTTGTCGTTTATGCCTATCCTCCCCGAGGATAGCGCGCTTTCCTTTTCATGTATCAATGGATCGAAGTTCGATCCACATTTCCTTTCCTTCACTGGCCCTGTCGCCAGTGAAACCGTCTTCTTTCCTGCCCTCTCTTCGTCTGTTTCTCCCGCAAGTGCACACGCACTTGCGTCTCCCGCGCACACGTCGGACCTGGCGGAGGATATGCGGAGGTCGACATCGCACGCCTCGCAGCGCAGCCACACCAGCCTCAGCAGCAGCAGCACCAGCACCAGCGGCAGCGAGTCCTCGACCTCGCCGCCGCGCCACTCCCAGCGCGCGCGCGAAATCAACTCCGCAGCCAGCCGCCCGCTCGCGCCCAAGTCCCTCTCCCCCGACACCCCCCCCTCCGCGTCCCCGACAACCACGCAAATCGCCCATCCGGACGGGACCACCAAAACCGTCGCCCTGCTCCCCAAAACCCCTTACATCCGCCCCTCGCACCCCAAGATCCTGTGCGCGCAGTGCAACGCGCGCCCCGCGGGCTTCCGCGGCACGCACGAACTGGACCGCCACGTTGCGCGCGCCCACGCCGCCGTGCGCAAGGGCTACAAGTGCGTGGCGCCCGCGTTCGACGCCAAGTTCCTCGACGCGTGCAAGCACTGCAAGGCCGGGAAGGTGTACGGGGCGTACTACAACGCGGCTGCGCACTTGAGACGCGCGCACTTCCACCCTCGGAAGAGGGGAAGGGGCAGGGGCGAGAAGAGGGGTGGGATTGGCGGCGGCGATCACCCGGGGATGGAGTGGTTGCGGCGGTACTGGATTGTGGAGGTTGAGGTTGGGGGAGGGGGTGAGGCGAGCGAGGGCGAGGCTGAGGAGGCGGAGGAGGGGTTTGATGCGGAGATGGGCGGGTTGGAGGCCGAGCAGGGGTTTGAGGCTGAGCGGGCGTTTGAAGCGCAGTCGGCGTTTGAGGGCCAGCAGCCCTTCGAGCCCCAACAGTCCTTCGAGCCCCAGCAAGCCTTCGAGCCCCAGCCCCAGCAGTCCTTCCCCCCCTCCTTCACCCACCCCCAGCCCCCCTTCCCCCTCCCCGCGGGCCAACACGCACTCCCCCCACTCCCGCTCGACTACGGGCTCAGCGCGAGCATCACCCCCGCCGACGCGGACCCCGTGCTGTTCAGCGACGCCTTCGGCTTCGTCGCCGAGGGGTACGGGTTCGCGCCGTAGAGTCCGCGGTCCTGGGCGCTGGCGAGCCTAAACGCTGTTGAGATGTACATACTCCCCACCCCCATTCCTCTTTCACTTTTTCTTTTCTTCTCCCGTCTGAAGCCTCGGGCTTTGGAGCACTGGGTTTGGATAGAGTGGCTCCACCACTCCAATCTCTTCTTTTCTTTTCTGGGTTCAACAGGCGTTTTGATGACTGAGACCACCGGCTTTTGGGGCCGTGGTAGGTCCGCATCCGAGGGGTTATTGGGTTATAGGGTTATTGGGTTATTGGGTTCTTGGGTTATTGGGTTATGGATTCATGTGGTGCTGTATCGTAACGTTGGGCTGTGGTGCTTAGTTAGGATAATCACGTTGATGTTCGATGATTGATGACTGAGGGTTGTTGAGTGAGTGGTGGTGATTTTCGTGGTGTGTGTGGTTGTTGTGTGCTGTATGAGGTAGGTGTGGCTTGGTGACGGTGGTTGCGATGAGGGGTGATGCTGGGTGGTGGGTTTGGGGATGCACAAGCAACGGCCTATGTTGTATGCACGGCATCTGTGTTGCAGGAAGACCTTGGGTTCATGTCGTTGCATTGTGTTTATTCATCGTGCTCGTCTCGCCAACGCTGTCGTCTCGTCAACGCTGGCTCCTCGCTTTTCCGCCGCAACGCCCAACGCTGCTCCCTTCCTTTCCAGCCCACTCCTCGCTCTACTGCCTCAATGGCCCGCCATTGGGATAATTGTTCTGCCCCACCGGATTCGCAGGCCCGCCCGTCTGACCCGCCAGCCCACCGTCCCGCGCCGCCCCCGCCCTATCCTGCTTAATCGCCTCGCGCGCCTCCTGCTGCTCCGCCTTCTTGCTACACACAATTAGCACACGCCTCTTGCCGTCTCCAGCGCGCCCAACTCACCGGTCCAAATCACTCGTGAAACTCGGCTCACTGCCGCCACCCCCCATCCCTTCGCCGCCCTTCCGCACAGCCTCGGCGACCCGCCCCTCGCCCGGCGCCGCCATCTGCTCGCCGTCGAGCTCCCGGTGGCGCCCGACGTCCTCGTGGCTCAGGCCCTTGCTCTCTTCGCCGGGCGGCGCGCCGTGCACGCCCGCGCCTTCTTCGAATTTGGCGTTGCGGTGGCCGGCGGCGTCGGAGGCTTGTTTCTGCGGGACGCGCTGGGCGACGGAGGCGGAGTTGTCGGCGGCGTTGAAGGACTGGGCGGCGTCTTCGGAGGGGTTGGTGGAGGCGGGGTTGCCGGGGGTTTCGTAGGCTTGGGCCTGGGATGGTTGCGCGGGGCCGGTGGGGGAGAGGGCGGACATTGTGGTGGTGGTGGGGTTGTCAGGTATGGTGGGGGTGAGTGGTGTTGGTTGCGAGGTCGTGTGGAAGTCAATGGCGCGGTGGGCGTTGTGGAATATAAGGTCGGGTGGTCGGTGAATGCCATGACGTAGGCGGGGCGCGTCATCCAAATCGCACCCCACGGCGCGTTGGTGCTTTGCTCTAACTGCCCTAGCACATCTCAGGCTGGAGCGCGTAATGCAGGGCACGCGTTGGCGAAGATTAAGCTTGACTTTTGCATTTGGTAAGATGCTGGTACCCTATGTCTCTACATACCTCGTGAAAAATAAAACCTGACGCCTGCGCTATGCTGTGTGATGCAATGATGGGTATTTTACTCCGTCTCCATGACCACGTCCTCCGACTGCTGTCTCGAGGCGCTTGGAGTGCTGTGATCCTCTGCGCTCGACTCTGCTGCTTTGATGGCCTTGACCTTTGTCCTGCGGTTCCACTCCTCGATCGAGTCGGGCCCGCCCCCTTCAATCTTGACAGGCCGGATCTCAGACGGTATGCCGAGCACAGTCCCCTGGAAGCGCGACTCGACGCCGGTCTTGCTGTGTTTTTTCATAAGCGCTGTGCGTGTCAGTGATGTCTAGAGACTGCGGTGCGGGCTTGACGCACTGTTGAGGTAGTCCTCCATCTCCAGCTGGTCCAGCTGCTCAGTGGGGTTCGTCGCGACGGGCTTGTATGTGCCGGCGATGCGGCGGATCTCCTTGTTCTGCTCGCCCGTGACCCACTCGATGAACTCGGCCACGTCTTGCGTGTCCTCGGCGTCGCGGCGGCGCTCCTCCATGGCGCGGGCGCCCGACTCACCGTTGTACGCGTCGAGCGGGGTGCGCAGAAACTCCTTCCAGAGCTCCTCGCCGGCGGTCATGGTCGGCACCAGCAGCCCGCAGTCCTGCATGGCCATGCGCACGTCGGAGATGTCGGGGGTGAGGTCGTTGTGGCTGGAGTAGGCGTTGTAGGCGGTGCGCTCGGCCAGCAGCGTCAGGTAGCGCGCGGTGAGGTCGACGACCGTGTCGACGGCCGACGGCTTGCCGTAGTGGAAGCCGGTCGCGCGCAGGATGTGGAGCACCGCCGGGCGCAGGAGGCTCACGAAGAGGTCGTGCTCGGACATGGCGCGGGGCGGGGCGGTGGTGGTGGCTGCAGAGCCCGTCGGTGTCTGCGGTTATTGCGCGGGCAGCCAGCGCATTGCTGGGGCGGGTGGGTGCGGGTGGTGGTGCAGTGAAGGCGCGTCGGAGCTTGGACTTTCATCGCGGCTGCCAAGACGACCTCCGCATCACGAAGTGCCCTGCCGTCGCAACCAACTCCCGTCGCAGCACTCCCGCCGCTGCCGCATCCCGCCGTGCGCCGTCGCGCTGAGCTGCCCGCCCATGCCCGGACACCCCACCCCGACGTCGCCACGATGAAGCTGAAGCTCAAGAACCCCAACGCCCCGGCCGGCAATGCGCCAGCAGCCGCGCCGCCTGCCCTCGCCGACGCCGCGCCCGCGCCCACGCCTGCAAAGCCGGGCGGCTTCAAGCTCAAGCTGAAGCCCGCTGCGACGCCAGCCGCAGACGGCGATGGACCCGCTGACCCGCTCAAGCCCAAGCGCAAGTACACCAAGAAGACCAAGGGCGACGACGGCAACTCGTCGTTCTCCAGCAAAGTGAGCTTCAAGAAGCGCGCGCGCGAAGATGGCGAGGACGGCGAGGCGCCCGTCGCAAAGCGCAAGCCGAAGCCGACGCTAAAGAGCCTGGAGGGCGTCGACGAGAGCGACGACGACGACGACATGGAGGAGCCGCCAGTGCCCGTGCGACGCCCGCCGCCGCCGGTTCCGAACCGCTCGACATCCCTCAAGCTCTCCATCAAGCCGAAAGCCTCGGCGGGTGCCTCTGCCCCGCGCGGCACGACGCTGCTCAAAGTCAAGGGCGCGGGGCGGCCTCCCTTCCGACCGCCCGGCGTGGGCTACGACAGCGAGGCCGAAGAGGCAGAGAAGGACCCCGCCATCGAGAGCCAGTTTATCCTGCGCATGCTGCCAGGGTCCGACTGCGACCTCCTGCGCAAGTCCATCGAGGAGAAGACCATCGGCCGGAGCGCCATGCAGGGCGGGCCGGGCGTGCACTTTAGATTCTTCGACAAGGAGGGCCGGAGAGCCATGGTCACGATACAGGGGCGTCACTACGCAGCCTCGATGGTCGAGCTGCCCAACATCATAGAGTCCATGAAGAGCTGGAACAAGAAAGACTGGGTCAAGACCGCCGACGTGTGCCAGATGCTCCTCGTTCTGGGTAGAGTCCAGAACGAGGACGAGGCGAAGAAGTACCCGCGTCCAGGCTATGTCGACGAAAACTCGCATCGCTTTCCTCACGGTCTCACCCCGCCCATGCGCTGGGTCCGCAAGAGGCGCTTCCGTCCGCGAAAATCCTACCTTGACGTCGAGCGAGCCGAGGCGGAGATGAACGCCCTGCTCGAGGCCGACGATAATGCCGAGAACACAAAGTACGATCTCGTCGAGGAGGGCGCAGAGTCTGAGGAGGAGTCTGCCTCGGAAGACGACGAAGACGAGCAGATGATGGACGCACCTGCAGAGACACCAATCGAGGAAGTCGACGCTGCTGCCCTGGAAGAGATGCTGCAAGCCGGGTTCATGGAGGACGACGACGTCGAGATACAAGCCGACGGCGACGACATCGAGGCTCTGTTCGGCGACGCCATGGAAGGCCAGACGCCTGTCACCGCACACGACGCAGCCATGCATGCACTGCAGAGCGGCAGAATCGTCGTCGAGCCCGAGACTGCCCCGGCTACGCCCACCGCCGCCACATCAGCCGAGGACGATGACGACGACGATGATGATGATGATGACGATGACTCGGAAGTCGACGAGGCCGCTGCCGCCGAACAACAGCGTAGAGAGCTGTTGGAGGCCGAGATTGCGGAGCTGGAGAAGGCAGTCCAGCAAAGCATGGAGTCGCGCGACAAGCAGAACAACCCGCTCTTCAAACAGCGCATGAACAAGACCATCGAGCGACAGCAGCAAGATCTGCACATCAAGAAGAAGCAGCTGAACGAGCTGAACGGCAACGAGGACGCAGACGACTAGGCCGTCGGCATGAAGCTATGCATTGCATCGGAGTACGACTGGGCATTGGGACGGCGCATATCATTGGGACGCATGGTGGGTGTAAGCATGTCAGTCCGTTTATCACTAGATACCATCTATGCATTCGAATCAAATTAACCAAAACATCGTTCCGGTCAGAAGTCGTGAATTCAACACCATCGCGGACAGATTGCTGACATGTACAAAGATTCTCGATGTTTCTCGAGGGCTGAGTGAAGGTGTCACGTGCGGTAAAGTTGAAAGATGATCTCGTAATCGTGCCTTCCGCCCCGCCACTCAGCCACTCGAACGCTCGACGGGCAACAAAGATTGCACTCACGTAGTACTAACCTTTGCACAGAGTAACTGATCATAGACACCTGAGTGAGTATCCAGCATGGCACCACCCGGGCCCCCACCGTACACGATGGAGCAAATCAGCGCGATGAGCACAGATGAAGAGCGGTTACGAGCGCGCGCCGAACTGAACAGTACGTGGAAGAGGAGGCTTATGTGGGAGGTGTATTGACGGTCCCAACTCAGGCTACATTGCGCGCATGAAGAAAGAGCAGCAGGAACGACTTGCATCCTCGAATGGCCACGCGAACCACGCCGATGGCGGCGCATACTCCACAAACGGCTATGCGCCTCGCGGTCGCGGCGCATTCAATGGCTCGAATCGAGGAGACCCGCATCGCGGAGGATATGCCTACGGAGGGCGAGGGGCTGGCTACCACCCGTACCAGCGCCAACCTCACGGCGTCAAATTCAAGAACCGGACCGTAGTGTTCAACAAGCCAGACGCATCTGCCGAGGTCGCTGGCACCGACACTGCTTCGACCCCCAGTTCAGCGCCTCTGTCGACTGCTCACTCCAGACAGAACAGCCAGCCACCCGCAGACCTGAAACAGCTTTGCGCAACCTTCACATCGACAGGTACCCGCCTTAACTTCGACGCACCACCCCCTCACGACTCCTCTGACTTTGAACAGGCCTATGTACCCGCCACGGCTGCCCCCTCGTCCACGATCCACACAAACAGGCGCTCTGCAAGCGCTGGCTCTTCAAGAGCGACTGCAACAGAGGGGCGCACTGCGCTCTGTCCCACGAGCCCACGCCGCACAACGTCCCGACCTGTCTCCATTTTCAAGAGGGTCGGTGCACGAACGAGGAGTGTCGTTTTGCGCATATCCGTGTCAATCCCGCAGCCCAAATTTGTGATGCGTTTGGACGTCTTGGGTATTGTGAAAAGGGCGCCGAGTGCGCGGACCTGCATGCGTACGAGTGCCCGGACTTTGCGAACAAAGGCGAGTGCATCCGCGGCGACAAATGCCAACACCGTCACGTCCACCGTGCGTCTCGCATGCGCAAGACGGCTGGCCGCTCGACGCCAGAAGACCGGTCCGGGGCGACTTCCCCGGACGTCGAGAACTTGGCGCGCAGCTGGAGCCCTGACGCTTCTCGCGCGCCCCTGTTCACAGAACAGGTCGACTTTGTCCCTCTCGATGCCGAGGGGTGACATGGCCGTGCTCGCCCCAAACCCTGTAGGCTCCCTCTCCCGCGCCGCACCACGCTTACCTAACCTCGTGCATCGAAGTCGTCGATTGCTTAACTTGGTAGGTGCTTTTACTTCTCTATTGGGCGGTTTTGACGTCCCAGTCTCGATTCAGCGTTGCCATGACATGGTGCGTATGCGATGATACCCCTTTGCGCTTGACGACAGCGTTTCCGTGATCCTCGGTAGTTTCCTAGCTTCTGGTGGTGACGGGCGGACATTCTTATATACGATAGTAGAGCAGAAAAACATGTACAGATAATTAAGAGAACACATTTCAGACAATTAAACGACCCTGTTGGCGAGCATTCCAACGTGATCGACGTACTTCGTAATCTCCAACGGAAATAGACAGCTGAGGAGGCTGAGCTAGGCGGGCTGGGGGCTCTTGGCTGTCCTACAGCAACTCACCTCAATCTGACATTACGCGGCACAACTCAGCCATGCTCGATGCATCGTGCCACCTTTACTGAGAAGCTGCGCCGCTACAGCACCACATTGAAAATAAAGTAGATCCTCCACGCACCCGCGCCCGCTGCGAGACTGCAGCTGCGACCGCATCACCCCTCCCTCGGCCGTCTATCCCTTGAACGTTGGACGCCCACCACTCAGCCCGACAGCCCGCCATGGCGCTCAAAGACCTCCTCAAGAAGAAAGAAAAGATCAAAGACGAAGGCGCCACAGGCGCGCCCGCCGCCCCGCCCGCCCTCAGCCCCAGCGTCCCCGAATTCCACTTCTTCCGCACGACCACCAGCACGCACGAAGCCATCGAGCCCCCCTCGTTCCCCGGCGACCCCACGCGCGCCGACGCACCCCTCCTGAGTCCCAAGGACGCCCGCGGCTTCGCCCGCTTCCGCCGCGCCTCGCACACCAGCGCGACCAGCCCGCAGCCCAGCCCGCGCACCAGCGACGACGCCGCGCGCCCGCGCTCCGGCACCCTCGGCGCCCGCCTCCTCGGCCGCTCGAAATCCCACACCAGCATCAACGTGCCCGCCAACCTGCCGGACCTCAGCGACGCCCCCGTCGCGCGCACCCCCGAGGACGAAGCGCGCTGGGAGAAGCGCGCGACCGTGCTCGTGCAGAGCGGGCCGCTCGCGGCGTCCGCGCACTCTGCGCCGCCAACCCCGACGATCGAGATCAGCGCCGATATGGCCGCGCTGGGCATGAGTCCCGCGCCCGTGTCGCCGCGCCCGGGGGTCCAGCGCAACCCCTCCACGGGCGCGGTCGCAGACGAGACGGAGATCCAGGAGGCCATCCGGCTGCACGAAAAAGGCAACCTCGAGGCCTCGACCGCGCTGTTCGGCCGCCTCGCGGACCCCGCGGGGCCGAACAATGCGCTCGCGCAGGTCCTCTACGGGTTGGCTTTGCGCCACGCCTGGGGCATCGACGCAGACCAGACGCAGGCCGTGCACTTCCTCTCGCTCGCCGCGAGCAACAGCGCGCAGGTCGAGCAGATCGCCTTATCCGCGGGCTTAAAGGGCGGGAGTGCGAAGGGCGAGCTCGTGCTGGCTATGTACGAGCTCGCGAATTGCTTCCGCAATGGGTGGGGCGTTGCGAAGGATCCGGCCGCGGCTAGGGCGTACTACGAGACTGCGGCGAATCTGGGGGATGCGGATGCGATGAATGAGGTTGCGTGGTGCTATGTCGAGGGGTTTGGGGCGAAGAAGGATAAGGTACGTGTACATGTTGCAAGCAGCCGGGGTAGTTGTGGTTTCTGGGTCGGAGGGATGCTGGGGTGCGTGGGTTGTTGCGGGCGCTGTGCTGCTCTGCTGCGCGGCTGGGAGAGGCTTCTTGCGTGCTGTACGGCTGCCGTGGTAGCCCATACCAGCCGCGAGAGCAGAGCTCACAGAGCTGCCAGCCGCGCGGATGCAGTCTCGAAGCAAGCCGGCAGAGCATTCAGCGGCGTGGCATCCACAGCCCGTTCACGCACGCACACAGCCTGTTCACGCACACACGCATCACGCCCAGGAATTGTACACACACGCGCGCGCGCACGCCTCACTGACCACCTGAATAGTTCAAAGCAGCGCAGTTCCTGCGCCTTGCCGAGTCCAAGGGGAATAAGACGCTCGGGAATACTTGGTGAGTTTGATTTCTCTTTTATCTCTGTTTCTTTGTTAAGTGTGTGGTGCGGTGGGTGGGTATGGGAAGAGAGGCAGGGGAGAAGCAGGGAGAAGTAGGGGAGAAGTAGGGAGAAGCAGGGAGAAGAGATGGCATGCAGAGAGAGAAGAGCCAGCACGCGTGAAAGCATCGCCACGACGCGTGCGACGCGTCCAGAGGGAAGAGATGGCACGGGACAGTGACTCTCTACGAGCCTGCTATCTACACGACATCGTGGGTGTTCTGCACCCTATCTTGCACTTGCCAGACACCGGTGGATCTTCCAGACACCTCTACAAGGAGAGCGGATGTATCAAGAGTGGGTGAAAAGATAGCACGCGTGAAAGACGATACTCCAACGCGTCAGAGGCAACGCGTACAGCACGCGCCAGACGACATCGCCGTTGGCACTGGTCCCCGACGACTCTCACTGCAGCGACTTCCGGTATCCGCACCCGAGTGAGTAGGGGAGGCGGCGGGCAATGGCTTCTTGCGAGCCTGCTATCCAGACGCCTTGCGGATGTTCTGCGGATGCAACAGGAGTAGCGAGACAGCACGCGTGAAGCAACGTCCCAACGCGCCCAGAGGCAGCGCGTACAGCACGAGCCAAACGACACCGGCACCGGCACCGGCTCCCAGCGACTCTCATTGTAACAAGTTCCGGTATCCGTAACTCCCGAAGCCTACCACGCCCGCCGCCAATCGTCGCTGCTGTCAACAGTGCCTACCCCGATACGTACCTCCTTGCTGGATCTACATCTGCATGTCCACGCCTATCCGCCCATCCTCCGCACCAGGCAGATCACTCGCACGCATTATCCCATTGGCCGCGCCCCATTGAATTACATTCGAACACCAACAACGACTGGTTTCGCGTCCCCGCGCCAAGAGGCCTCGATTGGCTGTCCGCGCTCCGTTGTTCGGGCAATATTCTGCCAGCCTGACGATCACGTTTTCCGCTTTGGGGCGTTTCGCTTAGCGCTATCAGATTCCTGCGCTGTTAGGACGCACCGGCATGGAGTTCGAGCAGCATGGGCGCACGCATTGACGGCGCGCTCGGGTCGTTCGCTGGATGGCGTGTTGGACGCTGGACACGGACTCCGGGCGTGGTGAAGGGGCTACACCGATTTCGCAGGTTTCGCTTACACTCCGGTTCTCTCCTATGGCCCGGCAGAATTCTCTGCGTCGCCAGGCCGGCTGGCTTGAGCTGCGATCTGGACGCTGGATGCGCTATGGACGTGTTTTCCGCACCCCTTGCGCAATTACCATCCCGCGTGCGTGCTGTCTGGACATACTCGCCAGAAACAGGATCAGGCATGACCGGATTCTTGCATCCGCGATGTTTCGCTTAGCGCCCGCCTGCCATCGAAGCTCTTGTTGGGGCTTACTGTCTGACATGGCGGGGCTTTGGAAGACGCAGGCCCAGGCAAGACGCATCATAGACACACCCTGTTTTGCAGTCGCCGGCCAGGCGCATCGAGGATGCTTTTCCGTTTTCCGCACCCCGTCGCGCGGTCGCCGAACGGGGGTGCATCGTCCGGACACACCCACTGAACGCCGTCGCCGCACCCCTCCAATCACAATCCCCGCTTAGCGCCACAGGTGGGCGGGGGAGGCAGCGGGGCAGCGAGAGTGGAGGGGCAGCGGGCTGGGACTCTTGCAAGCGTGCTGTCCAAACGCTTCTTTGAGCCACGCAGCCTCCGCGACGCTTTCAGGACTCCGAGGCAGAGCAGTTCCGTCGTCGCATCGCGCACACCTGTTTCCTGTCCAGTGGTTTGCTAGCCCTGGCCCGGGCCGTGGGTGGGGGTGGGCAACAACTCCTTGCGAGCCTGCTATCCAGGCAGGGACGTTGAGACTGCAAGGCATGGTTGTTGTTCCCGCACACCCAGTTCCTCATTCAGTGGTTCACTAGCGCCCAGGCCCGGCCCTGCCCTTCCGCACCACGGCGCCCCACCACGCTCCCGCATCATCGCGTGCCGCGGCGCTGCCACACCTCACCTAGTCCAATACAGCCCACGAGCCTGCTCAGCCTGCTCATGTGCCGCGCCGCCACGCCTCGCGACCGTAGCACGCCCAATGCGGTAGCGCGGCGTACACGTGGCACGTCGCTGCTGGCGCGCGTCGCTGAGGGTGTGCGGCGAGCCGCAGCTGACGGCCCGCTGACGAAGACGGCGCGTGGTTCGTGCGAAGGGTGCGCCGGGTGCGCGCAGGGGGCTTGTGTGAGATGGGCAGGCGGGGCGAGGTGAGATGGGTTTTGGGCGGGGCGCGATGAAAGAGCCTTGCGGGCTGGCTGGCGCGGTCGCCGCGTGTTTATTGGCGTTGCTGCAGTGACGTGACGATGATTTGCGGTGCGTGGGCTGACTGTTTCGCAGGATTTGGAAGCCAAAGTACGATCCCAAGTAGGCGTGACTGGTGCGGTGGTGTCGTGACGGGTGGTGCGAGACAGGCGGTACATCGGATGGTGTACCATGATACCATGTAGGAGACGGCGCAAGGAGATGGTAATGGCAGAACAAGAGTTCGGAGAACAGAGCAGACAGGAATCAGTCTTCCCCCCCCCCCCTGACTTACCTCCCTCCCCATCTCATCACCACCCAGAAGCAACACCCTCAACCCCGTTCCACACTGACCTGCCCTCGCGACTTCCGCTCATCGCACAAGCCTTCAAACCCGCACGCCGCAGCACCCGCCGTCGCACCCGCCTTGTACTCCCAGCCTGTCACCCGCATCCGGCCGCCGCGCAGCGCGGGACCGTGCCGTGCAGATGTTGCGCAGGGGACTGTGTGGCAAACCATAGGTCTCCGTGTCGCGCCTGAGTCGCGTGTACATATCCAGACATCTACTGAGTCGCGGGTACATGTCCAGACATCGCCTCAGTCGCGAGTCTGTAGCTCGCCGTGGGTACTGCTGAGGCAAGTGCGGCAGTCGTGCTGCGGCCATCGTACTGCGGCATTCTTGTCGCGCTGCGCCTGTCCAGTCTTTTCTCCCTGCGCATACCCAGTTGCTGCGGCAGCCTGCCTAACACCAGGAAATCTCTGACCCTGCGTCCGTTCTCCACAGCCGCTTCCGGTATGTAGAGCGCAGCGTCGACATGTACATGTACATGGTCGTCTGTCGCCCGAGCACGGCCCCTCGTGGTGGTACATGCGGCTCTGGGGCGCGCTGCAGGGTGAGATGGGATATGCAGCGGCGATCCGCTGTTAAGCATTTGGGGACGGAATCTCCGAGAGTGGAGTTGGGACGGGAGAGGGGGGGGTCGAGTTTTTCCTGGGCTCGGGGGGAGGCGGGAGATGTGAGGGATGGTGGTGTACGGCGTCGGTTTGGGAGTCGATGGGGGGTTCGTTGTGCAGCGGTTGCGGACTGTGGTGGTGGTGGTTACACAGCGGTACCTGAATGCAATGGCACTACAACACTGCAATGTCCAGCGGTGCAGCGGCATCGCTCGCTCTCACCACCTCGTCCCTGCCTCTGACCCTGACATCCGCATACCTACCCCCAGCAGCCTCAGCACAACACCGCGCGCCGCAGCCGCACCAGTGCCCTCACCACCGCCGCAGCCGCACCACCACAACACCACGCCGTGAGAACCGCCGCAGCCGCAACAACCTCACGATACCTCCTCCATAGCGCCGCGAATCCGCCCGCGGTGGAGCACCCGAGTATATACAGTGGGCCATTCTACAATGCACTTACGAAGTCATTACAGAGCACGCACGACGTAGCCGCAAAGCAGCAACGACGCTGCAGTAGCGCGGCGCCGCAGCACGACATAGCGGGCCCCATGCGCAGCACGGCTACCGACATCCCGTCGTATCGTAAGAGAAGTCTGCGACTGGCGAGAGTACGTCGTACGAAGCGTGCAGTGCCGGCGCACGCACTGCACGGGGCAGCTGTAGCTGTATGTACGCACAGCCCTCCCCGCTGCGCAGACGAAGTGCGAAACGAAGCAGGAAACGAGGTGGAAAACACCCGTCCAATCCCGCGATGTGCACTGCAGCAGCACGAAGTCCGTAAAGCACCGGCCGCGTCCCCACAGCGCAAGCAGTCGCGCCAATCAGCGCCGGCAGGCCGGAAAAATGCACGCGTGGGCGCGTTTCACGGCGCTGGGGGGGTGTCCTATCACGGCGGCGCAGGGCGGCCGAGCAGAGCGGAAGGAAGGCGGTGCGTGCGGCGTGCAGGAGAGTGGGGGGAGGGGAGGGCGATCCGGGAGCTAAGTGCGAGGGCCGTGAGTCACTGGGAAGTACTGTGCGGTCGGGAGGGGGGAGGGGGGTCAAGGAGGTCAGCAGCAGCGTTCAGCGTCACAGCGTTCAGAGGCACGATCAGGAGACATGGTGGAGTGAGACCGCATCGCGGCTCGAGGCGTGTAGATTGCCGTGCTCCCTAGCTAACAAGAATACCCACGAAGGAAAAACCCAGTGCAATCTGTCGGCGCGCGGGCAGCCGTGATTTCATATACAGTGTCGTAGCGCGTACATCGTCCCCGTGTGCGTGGTGTGCTATCCAACCGCGTTCATCCATCGTATAGACATAAGAAAAGGTCAAGACAACGCTCGCTCGCTACGCTCTGCAATAAACAAGATAAAAAGCAAAAAGTGGAGAAATCAGCAACGCAAATGGACGCAAGGGAAGACGCAAGGAACTATGGAAGCAATAAAGGTGGCCGTGGACGCCACCACGGCGGACCCCGAAGCAAAGTGCAACCGCCGTGTATGCTAGCGATGTAATCGAAAGTGCCGACGTTGCCGTCCTAAATGTAGAAATGGCCAGCGAGAAGGAGAAGGCGGCGGAGCCGACGATGCAGGTTGTCAAAGGAAGCCCGGCTCGGGCGGAAAGAAAGAAAGCGCTATGCTAGTTCAAACTGAGGCAAGTCGCGACGTGTCGGACAGGAGTGGTGTGGGGGTGTTTATTCGGCCTTGAGGCCGTCGGCGGTGCTGGGGCGCGACATGGCAGTCGACTCCTCAACAATGCGCTTGAACTCGTGGACAACCTCGGGTGAGATCTTGTCCCAGAGCAGGCTGCGCGTGTAGACCTCGGCGGCGGAGTCACCCTTGTTGTGCTCGCGCATGGCAGCAAGCGTGGCGGCGAGATTGCGGCGGTGCGATGGTTGCGAGGGCGAGAGCGGGTCACTGACATCGTCACTGCCGATGCTGTAGCGGGGGCGGGTGAAGTCGAGCGAGGTCATGCTGTTGTACTGCGCAGGCGTGATGGAGAACAGCTGCTCGGCCTCCTGCTCCTTGGTCGGGGCAGCAAGCTGAGAGTGGAGTTGATCGAGACGAGAACCAGAGAGCTCAGAGCCGGAGACGGTAGCCTTGGGCCAGGCCATGCCGGACGGAGTAGGCTCCAGACCAGTCACAGCGTTGGCGATGAGGCCCTGCTCGGTGAACGCAGAAGAGACACCAGCATCCTTGAGGATGCTGTCGAGAACGTCGGCCGAGGCAGCACGGACCTCATCAGGCATGCGGGGCATCGTCGGCGCGGCGCCGGAGCCAGACTTACTGGCGACGAAGGCACCACACAGGAGAAGCATCAGCAGAAGACCCGAAGCCACAGGCTCCTTCTCTTCCTTGGCGCGAGGCACGATAGCCATGGGCTGTTCCTGGGGAGTCTGGCCGTCGGCAGCGAAGTCGTTGACGAAGATGTAGTTGTCCCACTCGTTGCCGCCCATGTTGAGGTTGTCCATCTCCGAGGCGAAGTCGGTGAAGGTGGTGCTGGGTGCGACGGCCATGCTGTTGGAGCTGGCCTCAAGACGCTCAGTGAGCACGGCAACCTTCTTGCGAAGCTCACCGGTCTCGAGAGTGTGGTTACGGACAAGCTCTTCCTTGTCGAACTGCAGCTGGTTGATCATGTGATGCATGTCCATGGACTCACGATGCCAGTTCTCCTTCTCGGCGACGAGCTGCTCATACTCAATGCGCATGGTGGCGAAGTCGTCCTGCATGCCGCACATCTTCTCGATCCAGCCCTTCTTCTCCTCTTCGAGCTCTTCAGTGTGCTTCTTCTTACGCTGACGCGAGTCAAGACTGTCATGTGTTAGCGGATGAACAATGGAAGAGCGACCAAATGATGGATCGGGCGAAGCGAGGAGCGCTGAACCAAATTCCAGTGGGTACGTACGCGGCCTGTCTGTTGCGGAGGAGGCGCTTCTGCTGCTTGAGCTCCTTCATCTCATCCTCGTTGGTGCAGCCGGCGATGAGCTGGTCGATGTTGAAGAGGTTGCGCTCGGCGGGGATGTCGAAGCGGGCGTTCTTCTTGCGGATGCCGCCGTCACGGCGGGGGGAGAAGCCACGGGGCGGCGGAGTGTTGGGGCGCATGCGCTTCGGCCCGGGCCGTGAGTCCATCTCCTGCTGGTTGAAGGCCATCCAGTCCGAGTGGGTGTGCGGCGACATGGGCTGGTCAGCGACAGCGTTAGGGAAGACAGCACTGGGGCGGACGTTGGCATCGGGGAGTCCGTGGAACATCTGCTGCTGGGGCTGGGGTGCAAAGGCCGGCTGGACGCCGAAGTCGCCGGGGCCGAAGGGATTCGACGGCTTGGGGGCGGTCGGGGTGCGGATGCCGGAGGTGTCCATGGGCCACGACTGCTGGCCGTAGGTGGCGGCCTGGTTGGGGGGCAGGCGAGCGAAGGGGTTGTTGCTCTGCTCGGTGAAGAAGGGGTTGTTCATGTTGGAGTTGACGACGGAACTGCTGGCAGTGCGGTCAACGAACTGCCCCTGCGAGAAGTCCTCCCAGATGGAGGCGTCGGGCGAGAAGATGCCCTGGGTCGAGGTGGTGGGCGACATCAGGGTGGGCGTGTCCAGGATGGCGGCGTCCAGGGTCTGCTGGTCGTCGAAGAAGCTGGTTTTCCGGTCGTTGCTGCTGAGGGTCGACGAGGGCCGGTGAAAATCCATGTGACTCTGGTGGTTAGTGTGGGAAAAGTCCATGGCGAGGGGCGCGGTGGTCTTGTAGCGAAGTACCGGTGTGGGCCGGACTGGCGGTGTGGAGATCTCGTTTCGGCAATGTCGATGGCAGGTGCAGAAGCGCGTTTCTCGACGGCGATTGCACGGACGAGCACTGACTGGCAACGGCTGCGTGCGCGTTCCCAAAAAACGAAGACGGCGGAGGGCTGCCGGAGGGTGATGAGGATTAGAGCAGCGGGTGGGGAGGGCTGCTAGTTATCGCAGACGGCGGGGTGTGGCCCGAAGCAGCTGCTGGGACGCTGCTGGGACGCACGCTAGGCCCTTCTCACGCGGTGCGCAGAGCAGAGGCCTTCTTCCGTGGGATGCACGCGAAACACGGGCTGGCGCTCCCATTCGGCGCCCCAGCAGCGTCGGGTAGGCCTGCATCACCGCGCCAGTCGACCCCGAAACGAGTGGCTGCCGTCGCTGCGGTGCGTGTGCCCTCCGCCCTCACCACTCGCCCGCCCGCCGTTTGCTGAACGCGTGCCAGGTGCGTGTGCGAGCAGACGGCGTGCAGTCGCAGTCCCATCGCCGTCGCAGTGGCAGGCCCGCCGTTTGTCGCGCACAGCTCATGGCCGCCAGGTGATTGCCCGGCTGTCACTGTCGCGAGAGTCTGGTACGACAGGCCCCGTACCGCTGTAATCGATACGCTTGGTCGACTTGCGGGCCGGCCCATGAGCAAAATGCCCCCGTTGCGCCTCGCCATTGGCTGGCGCGCCGTCGCTGCTGTCTTGGCCGCCGGCGTCGCCCAGCAGCAGTGCGAAAACTCTGCCCCATGCAGACAAGTCCGCGTCGAGCCACCGCGAGCCTGCGAGCCCGCGATAGAGCCACTGCTGCTCTCCCGCCGTGGCCGCGCTGCGCAGCTGTGGACGTGACTGAGTCTGGTCTCATGCGCGGCGCGACGTGCAACACGGGCCGCCTTCCTCCGACGACCTCGCGCCTTCCCTGCCCCGACAGCGCCTGCCCCATCGCGATCAACCACCGCCAGAGCCACATCAGCCGACGCACTGCCAACTTCCCACTTCGCGTCGTCTCGTACTGCTGCTCTCGCCCACCCTGACCGATGGTGTCATCATCCCCGGCCAGCCGTGCACGAGTCATCTCACCGCCCGCACCGCGCGCCTGTCCCTGTCTATTCTGGGAAGCCAGACGTCCATTCCTGTGCTCTGTGTTCGTCTTCATTATCGTGCTGGGGCGCACCAGTGCCGTTGTATGCCTTGCCGACCTTGGGCAATCCGCCGTGCTGGGTCCCTCTGCTTGAGCATTCTGGCAAACACTGCATGCCGTTCTGTACCCTGAGACATCCATCTGCTAACCGAGCGTCTACCGACCGGCTGGCCACTGATCAGACGAGTGCGCGTCATTGGCTCACGCCTCGCATTTCTTTCAATTTCCTGCCTCTATTCTGGGTGTGCTGGAGAGGGACTGCGCTGCTTGTCACGCCTGTCAAGCTTCACTCCGGCGCACTCAGCATTTCCAGTCTACCACCGCTGCAGCGTAATGGAGCGTTTGGCAGACCCCGTGCAACCAGTCCCCATCTATCCAAGACATGTACAGGCTCCCTGCCCTCGTCTGCTGCTTTCTCCGCCGACGCCAGATCGCGTCACACAGCGCGGCAGCCGAGCAGCCGTAAGCAGCAAACGCCACGGCGCACAGAGCTGCTCTGTCGCAGCCCTCAGCCACCATCAGATCATGCCAGCCAAGCCCAGTTGGGCCCTTCTTGCACCCTGCCCTCGCGGACGACGTCTGGATCTTTGGATCGCCGCTGCCAGACCCGTTGATCTGATCTTGATCGGTAGCGAGTGATAGGGCAAGTACCTTTCCCCGGCGCGTACGCGTACCCTATAGCACCCAGAGCGGCGGCACATCACCTCCAGCCCTACACACTGCTTGTGACGGATCCATTTGCACCGTGACCCAACCCAATAGTATCCCCAAACTCTTCCTCTCCCACGCCATCTCAAACACGCTCCGACATTGACCGGCCACGACCACTTTGACCGATCTCAACGTGCTGCTGCCCATCAATGGCCTAAGAAACGCCCTGGGTTGGGCTGCAATCCTCGCGGCTGAAGACGCAGAGCTGTGTTCTGCACTCCCATTCGCACATCGCAGATGCAGCAAGAAAAGTGAGGCTGGCGGTGAAGGACCCACTTTCCGCGCTCCCGCCGCCGCCGCCCACTCAAATCCACAGCTTCTGGAACCGCGCATCGCGAAACGCTCCACTGCGGATTCGCAGCTTCATGCTGATGCACGCCTCGGCGCCGCGACTCACAGTAGAGTAAACAAACACCAGATTGCTAGGTAAATTGCCGGCCTCTGAGTCACTCACCAAGTCGCCCTGGCCAGCGCTGGGCGGCTGGTTCTGCCACCGGCCTTCTCCCTGCGCGCAGACGTCAGACTTTGGGACCGGCGGATTCGTGAAATTGCGCGCTGCTCGTCGAGAGTAATAGCTCTCTTTGCTAAGCTCGAGCGCTGGGCGCTCGTCGGCTAGTTGCGGCCAGATGACGCTATCAGCCCTACGGCCTGCGATCGCCCGGACGTGCCATCATATCATCACATCACCACTTCGTCCGCGATTCCGCGCGAGGTTGCATGTCGCTGGGAAGGGCCTGCGACGTGTTGAATTCATAGTTGAGCGGTATTTTTCCGCGAGTCTGTGTGAACAATAGTATAGGGTGCCTGGTCTTGCGAGACAACATTAAGATGAACAAGAAAACCCATCACGGTGAAAGTGTAAGTAAACACAGTTTTTCCACTCTAAGAGTGTGCACACGGACGTCGCGTGCAACTGTCCTCCACGCGAACCAGAGATTTCACAAGCCAGCGCCGTCTAGCGCAGTGTAGTCCCAGAAAAAGGAAAGACGTAAGCTCTGTGGACAGTGATAATCCGATACACAGACGCCGTGACAAACGTGAATGCAAATATCCACGATGGCGGCTATAGGTAGTGAACGTGCGTGGGAAACGCATGGTGGTGGTGGAAAGCAATCCCAGTCCCAGTCCCAGTCCCTTCCCTTCCCCTCACTTCACTTCTCATGAACCCCCTGAGTGTCCTACAGCCATTGCAGCCCCCAATTGTCTACATACACCATCCAATCCCGCAAATGCAACGCGGGCGGCAGTCCCAGTACCTCACAATCGTCTGCGCAGTAGAATGTGTGGATGTGTACGTAGACGAGCAAGACAGCGAGACGGCGCGCAGTGACGCGGTGAATATGTCTAGCTAACAGCACCGGCCCGAGTATCTGGGGGGCGTGGAAGGGACTGCGATGGTCAGCCGGTAGCGTACAAGTATTACATTTGTGTGGTTCTATCAGATATCAGAGCGCTGGTGGGCGGGCGTGTAGAAAAGGATTTAGTAGAGTAGTACCTAGTTATACATGCGCCTAAATCTCCTGTTGCACCCTCTAATTATCTGCACACTATCTACTCTTGCGAATGCAACGTAGTAGTGCTAGTAGCCTACAATCGCTTGTGCAGTAGAATGCGTGGATAGGCGCGTAGACGAGCGAGACGGCGCGCTGTGAATGCGTCTAAGTAGTCAACGGTGCTGGGCCCAGGTATCCAGGTATCCAGGGGGCGTGGAGTGGACTGCAAGGGAAGTTGGTAGCATGCAAGTATTGTATGTGTGTGAGTGGTTCTATCACCGGCTGGTCGGGAGGAAGTGTGGGCGAGGATGCAGTGAAGTGGTGTATGTCCCTACGATCGAATGCCGGCATTATATATGGTGGTTGGAACGCGGTCTGCGGTGGAGATGCGCAGATGTGCCGTCTCGTCTCGGCTTGGTCTACACATACTTGTTCTTAAGCCATCCATACCGCACACTTCCTCGAGTTCATCACCAACACCCTCGAGTAAATCCTACCCGTGCCGCACTGCAATGTGCCGCCGTCACTGCCCACGCAGTAGACACACTGGTGTCGGTGCTAGTACACAACTACACTACAACAACACCTACACGATACCATACTCCCTTATTGCTCTGCGCCGGTGTTTAGCGGTCGTGGTTGCTGTTGTTGTTGTTGTGTTCACCCCCCCCCCCCCCCCCAATCTGCAGTACAGTGGCTCGTGGTGTGTGCCCGTGGAGTGCGGTCTTCACCGAGCTCTGAGGGTCGCGGTGTGTGTGTGTGTGTGTGTGTGTGTGTGTGTGTGTGTAGTGTATGCGGTATTGACGGTTGGGGGAGGGGGGCAGTGGGTTCACGCTGACTTCGCTACTTTCACGGTACTTCCATGAAATATTCCACTGACTTCACGGTGTGTCCACGCACCCCCCACGCAACACGCAACACCCCAACACCCAATACTGTTGCTGGGCCTGTAAGCCCTGCTCTCCCGCCGCGTCTGCAGAGATACGGGAACTCGAGGTATTGATGCGGCACACCGTACCCAGGCATTGGCGCGGGTAAGTGAACATCCGCGTCTACAACCCCCGTGCTGGTGTCTGGACACATTGCGGTCTGCAGTTGGACACGTTGTGATTAGCATCCGCATCCCACTTACCGCCGCACTATCACACTGCACCCGCCCCCTTTGTCCCCAGCCAGCGCCGCCGCCCTTGTTCACGGGTATCGGGGGGTCGTCGCCCTTGCATACCGCCATCCACACCCATGTTTCAGGTCTCCTGACTACCTGGGTAATGTCTTGGGTACGTCGCTGCCGAGACACGCGTTCACGCTGCAGACACGGGATGCACGGCAGACGGCCACGCTCTGGGTGTCCTGCATTGCCGCAGCGGGCGCGTGGGCTGTTTGTGCGACGCAGATGGACAGTGGGGAGGACAGCAGCAAAAGGAGGGGAGGGGAGAGCGTGGGCCCACTGGTGCGACGCGAGAGTGCGGTGAGTACGCTGAGCACGGAAGGGACCGGGGACCGCAGGGACTGGAAGACATTGGAGCAGAGACGCAGAACAGAGAGCGCGTGGCCCGTTGTGTGCGAGCGACAGTGCGGTATGCACGGAAGCGACGCGAGGTGGCAGAGAACCCGCGGGTCTGTTTTGAGGAGCGCTAGGCAGCTGCTCGAGACTCCGGGAATTGCATGGTATAATAGTAGGAGAGCGGGAGCGAACTTGGGAGACGCTCAGACACGGGTCCAGAGGGACGCGCGTGGATTTGTTGCGTGCAACGCAAGAGCACTACAAGCACTGTAAGTACTGCAAGCACCACTAGCACCGCAATCACCGCGGGATTCCACAGAGTAAAACACGTCTCCGCAAGCACCCGCGCAGGCACACGCAGCACACCCCCCAGGACACCATCGCATCCTCAAAGCCCGCGTGGCCCCGTTCCGTGCGACCCCAGATTACCTACGGCGCGCACAGTACGTGGACAGCGAGTGCCAGATAGCAGTTGCCACCGGAGAAAGCAGGCCATACGCCATATACCCCAGGGGCCTCGCATATCCGACAAGACGCGTGCGCGGCGGGATGGTGGCCGGTACTCGCAACTCCCTCGGCAGGGACCTACTAACCAGCAGCAAGCAACGGAGAGGGATGCGCAGGACACTCCCCAAGAAGCGCAGAACCGGGGATGCGTGTGCAGATTGAGAGCGTGGACCGTTGTGTGCGACGCTCAGCAGCACGAGGGGATTTCGGGGGAGAGAGGGCGGTGGAGAAAGGGGGGAGAGAGGGATAGGCGGAGGATTGGGGGGGGGGGGGGGGGGGGGGAGATGAGGGGGGTGGGTTAAGGGGTTGTGGGGAGTGTTGGGCGAGTATGAGGAGAGGGTAAAGAGAGTGTGAGGAGGCAATCGAGTAGAAGCAGGGGAGGGGCAAACATATAGATGTGTGGAGGGAGAAGAGGGGGAAACGACGCAGGGTGGAGGAAGTAGGGATATAGAAAGCGGATGAGACGCGGACAGAGGGGGAAAGGGGACGAATAGAAATATACGAAGAAACGTACAAAGAAACGCGACGGAGAGAAGAAAACAAGAGTGACAGGGAATAGAAACAGACCAGTATCTTGTAGTGTATTCAAGCGTAGAGTGTCCTACCCTCTCTCTGATATGGAGAGGTATGCGTCCATCTATCATCGCATCTCGCTCCGTCGTGGCATCCAGCTTTCCCCTCCTGCTCCGCGCGGCACGTCGTCTGCGTGCGTGTGCGCCCGCGTCTCTTCAATACCGCGATCCCGTGGTTCCGTGATCAGACTCTACCCCGCGCACTCCAATACCATAATTCCGTGATCCATGATCCAGAGCTTCTTTCTCGCGCATCTTAAATCCCCCGCCCATCCTCCCGCGCCCACAGCTTCACCGTGCGGTCCTTGCCGCCGCTCACAATCCACTTTGCGTCGCGCGTCACATCGGCGCTGAACACGGGCCCCGCGTGGCCCTGCAGCGTCTTGCACAGCGCCCAGTCGTCCGCGGAGAAGACCTGCACGTTCTTATCAAACCCCGCAGACACGACAAAGGTGGACGCTTTCTTGGGCAGCGGCTCGCCGTCGGGGTTTTTTTGGAGCGGGACGCCGCTCGCGGGCCCGTCGGCACCCTCGAACCAGCGCACGTCAGTCACGCCGCCGGAGTTGGCGGCGATAGAGTTCGTGGTGCGCATGGCGCGCACGTCCCAGCACTTGAGGAAGCCGTCGCCGGAGCCGGACAGCAGGCGGTGGGCGTCGGCGGCCCAGGCGAGCCCGTAGATGGGCTTGATGTGGCCCTCGAGCATGAAGACGACGCGGCCGGTGCGCACGTCCCACACGCGGGCGATGCTGTCGAGGCCCGCGGAGGCGACGAGCGCGCCGTCTGGGTTGAAGGCGACGGTGTAGACTTCTTTCGAGTGGCCTTCCTGGGCGAGCAGCGATGCGCCCGTCTCGACGTCCCACAGGCGCCAGGTGGTGTCGTCGGAGGCGGAGGCGAGGTAGCGGCCCGACGGGTGGAAGGCCAGGCGGCACACGCGGTCGGAGTGGCCGGCGAGGGTCTGGAGGGGCTTCGGGGAGGTGAGCGACCAGAGCTGGATTTTGCCGCCGGCGCCGCCCGAGGCGAGGTTGAGGCTGTCGGGGGAGATGTTGCTGGTGGGCAGGGTGGCGCCGGGGGCCCAGTCGATGCCGGTGGTGCGCTCGGTGTGGGCGCCGCGGTAGGTCTGCTTGTGGTCGAGCGAGGGGATTTCGAGCAGGCCGACCTTGCCGCCCCAGGTGCCGTAGGCGACGTACTGGCCGCTGGGCGAGACGCGCACGATGCTGACGGGGCGGTCGGCGGTCTGCGAGCCGTACAGCTCGAAGCCCTTGAGGGTGTCCTTGATGGCGTTGCGGTGCTCGACGTGGGCTTTCAGCGGGATGGCGGCCTCCTCGCGCTGGTAGGCGATGCGGGCCTTTGCGCGCGGGAGCGAGTAGCGGGCCATGTCGCGGCGGGCGTCCAGCAGGGCCTGGGTGCCGGCCGTGTAGAACTCCTCCTGCTCGTCGGCGGGCGCGTCCTGCTCCTCCATGACGACATCCTCGGCATCCTCACCACCCGCCTCGGCGGCGTCTGCCAGCAGGGCGCGCAGGCGGTCGCGGCGCTCCGAGGGCCCCTCGCCGAAGAGGGTGATGGGCTCGCGCAGGGCGCGCAGGCGCAGCTTGACGTCGCGGTCGGCGGTGGGCACGATCAGGTTGGCGGCGCGCTTCTTGCGCTCGAAGTCGGCGAGCAGGTCCGAGGCCATGGCATTGCCGCCGCCGCCGGGCATGGCGTGGTTGCGGTCCAGCGCTGTGCGTGTTAGCTGGGCAGGCAGCAGCAGCAGACTACCTACGGACGCTCGCGTAGTCAATGCCCTCCATGGCATCGTCGGGGCCGTTCGCCTCCTCGACGTAGGCCTGCCGCGCCGGGTGCATGCTCATCGCGACTGGCGGTCCCCGGGTGCTGCGGGGTGCTGCGGGCGGGTGTGGTGCGGCGCGTGAAAAGAAGTTCCCCAGAGCCACAGGGCTTAGCGCCGTTCGGCCATGACACGCCGGCACCTGCAACGCGTGCAGTAGCCGCGACGGGCAGTGGACAGATCGCGGGAGACTGGTGCTGAGACTCTGCTCCTGCGCGGCGCCTGTATCTCCCTCTGCGTGGTGCTATGAACGTGATTGTTGTAAGTGCGCCTCGCCGGATCGGCGCGTCTCCCTAGCTCAGAAGTTTGTTCGTACCGTCGCCGTCGCATGCCATGCGCCGCCCGTCTGCGCAGGGCCGTCACCGCTCCTCACTCCTCTCCAAACCTCACTGACCTGACCGAAGGCCTGGGCCGCGGCCATGTCGTATGCGATTGCCAGCGCCGCGAGCGCTGCCCGCCTCCCCTCCCGCCGCGCCTCGGGGCTGCTCCTCTTCGCCCTCTCGGCCACCCTGGTTGCGCCTGCCCACTCGACCCGCACCGCACACCTGCACACCACGCGCGCGCAGGCCCCCTACGCCCTGCCGACCTGCCCCGCGCACAAGGACTCGACGCCAAACTCAGCAGGCCTGCGGTCGCTCAGCTCGTCTGCCCCCGCCCCGCACTTCTCCTACCACGTCGCCGCCTCCTTCTCCGCCAAGCAGGACCGCTTCAATGCCCAGCAGAACCTGTTCACAAACCCGCTGCACGACCCCTCCACGCGCAACGAGGACTGGCGCGAGTGCAAGCAGAGCCTGGACCCGCGGCGGCGGCTGCGCAGCGGACAGGACGCGCTCTTCTTCAGCCAGGTCGGCGACACCAAGACCACCACATTCGGCGTCGCCGACGGCGTGGGCGGCTGGACCGAGTCTGGCTTGGACCCGGCCGACTTCTCGCACGGCCTGTGCGAGTACATGACGTGCGCCGCGCGCTCCTTTCCCCACGGCTTCAACACCACCTCGCTGCACCCCAAGGATCTGCTGCAGGTGGCATATGACGAGGTTAGCGAGGACGACACCATCGAGGGCGGCGGCAGCACTGCGTGTTTGGCCGTGGCGGAGCCGGACGGCAACGTCGAGGTCGCAAACCTGGGCGATTCCGGCTTCATGCATCTCGGCCTGAATGCCGTGCGACACTTCACCCAGCCGCAGACGCACGCCTTCAACACGCCCTACCAGCTCTCCAAAACCCCCCACCGCATGCTCGTGCAGATGGCCGTCTTCGGCGGCCCGTCGACCCTCTCCGATCTGCCCAAGGAGTCGAGCATCACCCACCACAAGGTCCGCCACGGCGACGTCCTCGTCTTTGCGACCGACGGCGTGTGGGACAACCTCAGCCCGCAGGACGCCCTCGGCATCGTCAGCAAGCAGATGGTCGCCGCCGGCGCCTGGGTCGACCGCGACGGCGCCATCGACGTCGGTCACGATCTGGCGAAGCTGGTGCAGGCCGACACAGGCCGCCGCGCGGACAGCAAGTCGCTGCAGGCCGTTGTCGCTACCGCCATCGCAAAGGAAGCCAAGGACGCCGGGCTGAACACGCGCCGCGACGGGCCGTTCGCCAAGGAGGTGCAGAGGTACTACCCGGGCGAGAACTGGCACGGCGGCAAGCCGGACGACATTGCCGCCGTCATTGCCATCGTGCTGGAAGAGCCGACACCAAAACTCTGATTACGTGAATTGCATAGCAGGCGTTGCGGCGTGTTATAGACCCAGGAGGTTGTTTGACTGTTGTATATCAACCGATGTAGTCCCGTATATGGCTAGACGAAATAAAATGCTTGACGGTCCATTCGGCGTGCACTTGCGGGGCGGTGACATAATGGTGCAGAAGCCCAGACTGTGCGTGTTTACGGTGTGGTTGCCGGGCAACGGCGAGACGAACTCCATCCGCCGCACGCCCGACTTCATCAACCACGCCAGCATCCCTACAGCGAACAGCCGCCTCACGGCCTTATGCATGCGCAACTAACACTACAGCAACATTCGCTAGCCCGCCCGCCCCCGATTTTATAGCGACGCGCGACGCAATGGCTGCCGCGTCCCCCACGCCCATGGGCTCGTACGGCCGCATGCGCGTGCAGACCAGCCGCGCACGCAGAGACTCGCCCATGTCGGTGCTGGGCGAGTCGCAGGGCTTCTCGGCCAACGCCCCGATGATGCAGAACATCGACATTGGCGACAGCTCCGACGACGACATCCCGCAGCCCATGAAGCTAAGCGCCCTGACGACCGCGCTGCTGGCCCAGAGCAGCGACGTCCCGTCGCCGGAGAAGCGGAAGCCCAAGCTGAAGATCTCGCGCGGCTCCGCGTCGAATACCCCGGAGCGCGTGCAGCACGATATCACGCCCGCGCCCAGCCTGCGCATCAAGCGCGTGCCGCTGCGAGGTGCGCCCATGCGCCGCTTTCGCCGCACGCCCCAGAGCGAGGAGGACCACCCGCCGTCGCAGGACCAGGAGAATCTTGCGTCGGCGGTGCGGGTGAAGGAGGAGCATCCGAATGTGCCCGATTCGGTCTTGAAGATGACCGACTCAGTGATGAAGGTTAGAGATGAGCGCGAGGCGCCCCAATCGCCGCTGCAGAGACGCCAATCCCCGCTGCAGAAACACCAATCGCCGCCCCCGCCACAGGAAAAAGCTGCTGCGCTGCAGTCCCGAGACGCCAACACGCCGCGGAGACCCGCGCCGCCGCCGCCGCCCAAGATGTCTGTCCTGGAGGCTGCCACCGTCGCTGCCGGCGCCGCAACCACCACCAAGCAGCGCGAGCGCAAGAAGCGGAGCACGCTGTCGGTCAACGGGAAGCACTACTCGCAGATGGACCGCATTGGGAGGGGCGGTAGCTCGGCCGTGTACCGCGTCATGGCCGAGAACTTCAAGCTGCTCGCCCTGAAGCGCGTGAAGCTGGAAGACGCCGACGAGGCCGCCGTGCGCGGCTACAAGGGCGAGATCGACCTCCTGCAGAAACTGCAGAACGTCGACCGCGTCGTGCGCCTGTACGACTGGGAGGTCGACGAGCAGCGGCAGATCCTGAGCGTGGTACGTTCCCAATCACTTACCCCCGAATATCTCAGCCCCAAATATCTCACCCCAACATCCCCACTAACAGCCCCAGCTCATGGAAATCGGCGAATCCGACCTGGCCCGCATCATCCGCATGAAACTCGACCCCACCGACTCCTCCACCCCCGCGCCCCTCGACCTGGCGTTCACCCGCTTCTACTGGAAAGAAATGCTGTCCTGCGTCGCCGCCGTACACGCCCACGACATCGTGCACTCGGACCTGAAACCCGCCAACTTCCTCCTCGTCTCCGGCCGCCTCAAGCTCATCGACTTCGGCATCGCCAACGCCATCGAAGACCACACCGTCAACGTCCACCGCGACGCCCATATCGGCACGCCCAACTACATGTCCCCGGAGTCGCTGGAGGACAGCGCGGGCGGCGCGGCCGGGCAGCTGAGCAACGGCACCGGCGCCAAGGATCTCGCGCTCGGGAAACCGAGCGATGTGTGGAGCCTCGGGTGTATTCTGTACCAGATGGTCTACGGACGCCCGCCGTTCGCACACATCCCCAACCAAATGGCCCGGGTCCTCGCGATCGTGAACCGCAACCACCATATCTCTTTCCCGGACTTCGCAGGCGATATCCGTGTCCCGCCCTCCCTCAAAGCCACACTTAAACGTTGTCTCGATAGAGACCCCACCCGCCGCCCCACCGTCGCCCAGCTGCTCGACCCGCGCGACCCCTTCGCAAACCCAGACGACGCAGAGGATCTGCGCATCCCGCAGGAGTTGCTCGGCCAGATTATTCAAAGAGTCGCGGACAGGTTTCGGGATAAGGGGAAGCCGGAGCCCACCGAGGAGGAGATTCGGGCGTATTCGGGGAGTTTTTATGAGAAGATTCGGGGGTTGATGGAGGGGGGGTAGTGGGGCGTGAGGGGCGGGGTGAGGATGGGGATGAGGGGTTTTGGTGTTTTTTTTTTGGGTGAATGATGTGATGTGATGAGATGAGATGAGATATGGGGGGGGGGGGGGGCATAACGACCGGCGCTGTGGTGTTTGGTTCCTCGTTTCGGGTTTCTTGGTATCTTGGTTTCCTCGGTGTCTGGCGTTTTGCATACTCCGTTGCCGGCACGAGCACGACACGGTCTTGGATACAGTGTTTTTTTTTTCCTTTCTTGGTTCTTAAGCCTTGCTTCTCCGCGTTTTGCACGCGCTCGGCACTGTAGTATACCCGTTTCTTTAGTCTGTGGGGTAGCGTGTGCAAGGGTGGTTTGTGTGGAAATACGGATACGGATATGGACATGGACACGAGCACAAATACGCAAGCATGGACGTGGACATGAACGTGTACAGATACATGAAACAAGAACACTCACGCTCACACTCGCACTCACACTCACACTCACGTAAACACGGCCATAAACGCTCACACAAACACTCACAAATACAACCCACTCACGAACCCCCCCCCCCCCCCCCCCCCCCCCGTCCACCCCAGCTACAGCTCCCCCCACGCCCTCGTCCCGCCCATCTCCGTGGCCCGCACATCCACCAGCCTCCTCTGCGCTTCTCCTCTGCGTTTCTCTCTGCTACTGCTTACACCCCTGCGCCTCCTGGTCTCTGGTCCCAGGTCACACGCCTCTTAGTAGCCGTCTGCATCACATAAGAGTAGAGCTGAGAGCTGAGAGATGTCATACAAAGTAGATGCCATAGATGCCATAGATGCCATAGATGCCAGGGGGGTGGAGTGATTGATGTACTGTTCTTGATGTACCTCCCGTTCTTGATGTACCTACCGTTCTTGATGTACCTACCGTTCTTGATGTACCTACCGTTCTTGATGTACCTACCGTTCTTGATGTACCATTCCCGGGCGGGGAAAATGGTAGTTCTTGACGCGCGGGGCTGATGCAGGTATAGGCGTGTTGGGCTGGTGTGAGGTGTCGTAACACAGAAGCGTGGGTGATCGTATGCTCCCAAGGTGGTGAAGTAAGGGGTGATGAAGGGCTTGTTGGCAGATAAGTACTTTATATAGTACAGTCTGGATCCCGCAGCAAGTAGAGCTAAGAGATGCAGTGGGCGGCGGGCTGGTCGGCGGTTGATGTACCGTTCCCTGGCTACCTGATAGGGTGCTTGCTGAAGTTTGTAGACCGCACCAGGTAGTTCGGTACTTTGTATGGGACGCCCTGCTGTTGGAGAGCGTTCTGCATACCTGTGATGTCTTGCGTGAAGGTGCTAGGCATCTTCTAGGTCTCTGTAGACAGGCGAGTAGCAAACCTCTTCTTGTCTCTATCTAGCTGAAGGTTAAAGATGTTGTAACTGTTCCGTGACATCTGTAAGTGGCTACCTAGGTAGGAACCTAGTAGAGCAATACTGTAGGACCGTGGGTATAGAGAAGTCTAGTCTTTGTACCTGTTATAGGTGCCCTGCATTACTATTGTATATAGAGTCTAGCTCTCCCCTATATGCTACCCACGCATCCTATACCTCGTAGCGAGGGACACCCACACTTTGTGTCTGCAGAGGCCCACACTCCTGATCTAGAAGCGCTAGTATCTAAGCAAAAACTGGCGTCGCAGTAAGAACCACTAAACCTCTGCCAGACCTATCCTTCACACTCTACTCTTAGGGTTAGTTAGGGTTAGGGTAAGGTTTAACAGGTTAGGGTCAAAGAATACATCAAAATTTGGCTGCAATGCACGGGTTTGAAGTAGGTAGTGTAACAAGGGTGTGTGAGCGTGAAGGGAAAAAGCGAAGTCTACTAGTGTAACTAGTCTAGTCTTCTTGAGGTTGTAGGCATCTGTAGTCGCTATGTGTGGGCGTCCCCAGCCGCGACGCATTCTAAGCTATCTAGCCAGTTGGGGTGCGTGGGTACCACACTCGTGACTGTGACAGTATACTGTACCGGGTGGTCAGCACATATCGACAAACACCCATAGAATCTACACAGAACGTTAGCTCTTAACACGTAGGGCTAATTCAGTGTTGATCTGAAGTGTGGTAACACAGACGCAAGGTTGACGCGTAGACTGCAAGGGCGGCAAAGCAAGGGGGGAGGGGCGTTCGAACAAAGAACTTGTTGGCGACAAAGAACTTGTTGGCGATGAGCCCACTACGCGTTCATCTTCCCTCTCCTCTTGGGAAACGCATCAGTATGCTTCTTCTCGCTTTCAATGGCTGCACTGGTGCGCTTCGCTCGGATGCTCCATCGCGGTTCGGTCAAGCAAGCGTGCGTCCTTGCATTCCTTCTATTTCACGTCTGCGAAATCGCCCAGATACTACATTGCCTTTCGAACCCTACGATCGACGATGCAGCTCTCCGACCCGAGCGCGTATATATCGCCAGTTTGCACTGGAACAATGAAAAAATCTTGCGAAGTCACTGGAACGATGCAGTGGTAGCATTAGCGAATGCCCTAGGACGAGACAATGTCTTTATCACAGTGTATGAAAGCGGTAGTTGGGATGACAGTAAAGGCGCGTTACAGGAGCTTGATCTGGCTCTGGAGGCACACGGCATCAGGCGGAACATAACTTTGTCACCCACTACTCATCTGGACGAGATATCTGTGTCGACTCGAGGCCAGGGCTGGGTCGATACACCCCGAGGGAGGAAAGAACTTCGGCGGATACCATACTTGTCTCGACTTCGTAATCTAGCCCTTGAGCCTTTGAGGCAGCTGGTTTTACAGGGGGAGAGATTCGACAAAGTTCTGTTCCTAAACGATGTGGTATTCGATGTAAGCTATCGATAGTTGGCGCCTGTTCGGGGGGTCTCAAAAGACTAACGAAGGCATAGACCAACGACGTACTACAGTTACTAGACACCAATGGTGGCGATTATGCGGCTGCCTGCTCGTTAGACTTTAATCATCCTTCAAAGGTCTATGACACGTTTGCGCTACGGGATGCTGAAGGCCACGAGATGCTCATGCAAACCTGGCCCTATTTTCGGGCAAAGCAATCACGGCGAGCTATGTTGGCCAACCGTCCTGTGCCCGTTGCAAGCTGCTGGAACGGTATGGGTAAGTTCTGTATACTATTCGTTCTTCGCATCGCCTCCGTTCGATCTGCAGTCACCGACTAACACGTTATTCTCCTCAGTTGCAATGCCTGCCGAACCGTTCACTGCTCCATATCAATTAAGCTTCCGGGGCATTCCGGATTCTCTTGCAGAATCTCACCTCGAGGCCTCCGAGTGTTGCTTGATCCACGTAGACAATCCTCTCCGGAATCAGAAAGAGACATATGTAAATCCACGGGTGCTGGTGGGCTACAGCGGCGAGGCATACAATGCCGTCCATCCCCAAACACCACTGCTATCTTCTTGGCAAATCTCCAAAGCTCTATGGGAAAACCGCATCCGCAGATGGGCCACTTCACCTTGTTTGAAAGAGTGGAGGATGCGGAGAAGAGTCAGCAAATGGAGAGCGATGAGTAAGGAGCATGAGGAGCATGGTCAGGTCTGTCTCATCAATGAAATGCAAGTCCTTGCCGAGAATGGCTGGGCGCATGTTTAGGGGAACATCGATCTTGGTGTTCAGACTGGATCAGATCCCCATTGTTGCGCTAGCTTAAAACGCGCACCCCTTGCTTAACATCACCCGCACCCTTGCTCAACATGACCCTGACACAGGCCGTCAATGGACTGCAGACTCTTCTGCAAATGCAAATATCGACGAACATGTCCGGTAGCCGTAAACATAGACTCTTAAACGTGAACGTAAACATGTAAAAACGAAATTCTCAGAACGCGAACGGGTACGTACCGCCCTCACAATCTTCGCTTCTATCATCGGTGTGGCGGTGTGGAGACGTGCGCCCCGTTTCACGACTTGTGCGTGGGTTGTAGTGCCGGTTCAGATAGCCCATTCACCGTATGCCCCACAGCTCGCTGAGATCATCCACAAACGACTGAGCAACGGTAAAACCTCTCGTCGATACCAAGCCCAATAGGCGTAGGATTTCCACACGACCCACAGAATCTCGAGCCCGGGCACCAGCGACTCGCAGCGGGAAGAACAAAAGGATGCCTGCGCACCCTTGGGCCAGCAATTCCTGGCTCAACGCGAGAATACTGTCAACATAGCTCTCGACTACAGCGTCGTATAGCGTGGGACAGGCCGGTGCGGACGGTCCGGTGAAAGGTGCGTGGTACGAGAAGATGCCGTCGAGGTAGATGGAAATGGTGTAGTAGTACAACCGCGCCATGCTGGCTTCTGCGCTCGACTCGCCGGCACTAGTGGCACTTGATAGCCAGGACGAGGAATCCGAGTGCCAATTCAGAAGAATCGATTCCAGAAAAATGCCATTTTGGGCCAACGACATGGCAGTGGAGTCCTGCTCGTGCTGCGGTGCATCGCCTTCATTGGTGATGAATTCGAGCGTCCGTATAGCCAGGTCTACGAACTGCGGTAGGATGTCGAACAACGACTCCTTGGGTGTCCAGGCCGTCGGGTTCTGCAGCCAGTACACCTCGACCGCGGCACTCCACTCCGGTGTGGCGAGGAAGGTGGGTTCGGTGTAGATCAGGGCGCGCGAGATCTCGAAGATCCGCGCACTGATGAAGAAGGCTTGGTGGTGTTCGCTCTCCGGGGTCGATTGTAGAAGCATGCTAGGGCCTTGCAGACACAGCATTGTACTCGTGCCGTGCAGGAAGTGCGCGAGCCAGTTTGTGCCGGTGGGGTCCCGCATCAGCTGTTTGTGGTCAGTGATTGCAGCCTCATTTTCTTGGGTTTAGCTGAGTGGATACGCACTTCAAACACCCCTAGTAGCAACGTCGTCCACAATGCTGAGGGGTCGCGCACGATCGTTCTCGACGCAATCTTAGCCTGGAGGCACTTGACCGAGCGGGAATATGCATGGAGTGCGGCAGGATAGTCGCCCGTGGCTGACATATCATCTGTATGCTGAGTGATGTGAAGTGCGGATATCGCATTGATAGCATCATGGAGCTCGGAAGAGCAGTGGACGAGTGATGAAAGCGAGGTTCGGAATTGCGGAGACCTGCTGGTGAATGCATTCTGCGACAAGAACGATGTGAAGAAGTATGTCAGGTAGACATTGCTCCGCATAGGAGGGATCTGTAGAGGTAGCGCAACACCAGATCCCTTGTGTTGAACACAGATGCTTCTCGAATATTTTGTTTGCGTTGCGTGAACGAAGACTAGAGCCGTAGGTTCTCGCCTTGCCGTTCTCAGACATGTACGATTGGTCCTACTGCAATTTTGACAAGGGTCTCCGCCAACACACTGATGAAGTTGGTCAATCGACGATAGTGGAAAACCGTGCGTTAGTCATACCTTAATTCGGCGTTCCGTGCAACGGTCGCATCGCTTCCTTCGCATCTTACGTCCATCAAATGGTCCAATGGCTTGCGTCATCGTCCAAGCCGTAGTACGCGGTTCGTGAGAAGCCTCGCTACGCGTGTATGCTCTCGAGGTGTGTGTGGCAGGAGACTAAGGGGAAAGGGGAAGTATTACTGCGTGAGTTCGCTCGATCCGGCCGACGTGCGGCGTTATGAGTAAGCATAAGGCTGAGAACTTCTCATGCAAGGCAGATCCGGGTCGATACACGACATCGTGTTAATGATGGGATGGAAGATGGGTAAGTTTGGAAGGCGGAGTGGGGATAGACTAAACCAGATGTGGCAGAACAAAAGCGCGCCTAAACCGCGTTGGGCCTAGAGTAGTCGTGGTGACTTGGACTACCACCCATGACACGGAGATCCACCATGGATACAAACCTCCAAGATGTTTTGGGACATGAAAGAACGTTGCGAAGTTGTGGTGGAAATCTCCATACACATAGTCCTGTAGCATGGCGTATAAAGATGGAATCGCAACTGTCCTTCCTTAACGCAACAGCTTGTCAGCTACTCTTCACTCTCCTTCATCACCGCAGAACAACTTCCTCGTAATCACGATGACAGATCGCAGCTTCTTTAATCTCTCTTTCCTCGCGCTCTTAGCATTGCCCGCAGTCTCTTCCAGTGTGGTTCCTATCATCGGACCCCACCGTTTCGATGTCGGTATTTCGACTGCAGCACTGACCGACACTGGGCGCGTTGATCCTTTTGCGAAAGATGGAGGTCCTCGCAGAATCATGGTCTCCACCTTCGCACCTGTTGCCAACTGTCGCAACAAGAAAGTCGAAGCGTATATGCCGCCAGCGACTGCGGCATTCGAAGACGAGAAGTTCGCCGCCTATGGCCTGCCAAATGGGTCGTTCTCCGCTTTGCAACTCGAGACTTGCAAGTCCATCACAAACCGATCAACCAAGAGAAACTCGTTCCCGCTCGTGATATTCTCCGGCGCCCTTGGTACTTCACGTCTGCTGTACAGCGGCATGCTGCAATCGGTGGCCGCGGCCGGCTATCTTGTGGTCTCGCTGGACCACTCCTACGATTCCGACGTAGTCGAATTTCCGGGAGGCAACATCGTCCAGGGAGTCGACATCAGCGACGATGCCCTCGACCTCGCGCTCTCTGCCCGCGTGGCAGACATCACCTATGTCTATCAACAACTCCAGAACCAGACCTTCGCAAACGCAATCCTACCGGGATACAGCCGTGCATGCGCGCCGTCTCTTCGCAAGACAGCCGTGATTGGCCACTCCTTCGGAGGCGCCGCTGCCGCCGCCGCAATGCTCGCAATCCCGTCTATCCGCGGCGGCATCAACCTTGACGGCTCGCTGTTCGAGCCCGTCATTTCGTCTGGCCTCAAGCAACCGTTCATGCTCATGGGCCACGAGAATAAGACGCAAGAGACCGATCACACGTGGAAGGCGACCTGGCCCAAACTGGCCGGGTGGAAGAGGGAGTTCGAGGTGAAACACACTGCGCACTATAGTTTCTCCGACTTTCCGCTTATCACGGAAGTACTGGGCTTGCAGGGACATTTGCCGGAGGAAGTTGGCCAGTTGCTGGGTACGATTGAGGGGGCGAGGATGATGAACCTTACGGTGTCGTATATCACAGCGTTCCTTGATCGTGTGCTAAAGGGAGAATCTGGGCGTCTCTTAGACGGCGGTAAGGAGTTTCCTGAAGTGGTTCTGCGCGCTAAGTAATGTAGGGTAGTGTGTATGGCTTTCACTGGAGAAGGGCATAATTATTGCCCGTGCAGCTCTGACTTCGTGATAGTAATAACACCACATGTATCAGCGACACTACAAGCTTGATTCCGAGTTGCTATACAATATGACTTCATCCCCTCCCTAAATGTTGCAATATCTATACATAGCTCTCTGCTCACATGAAGCAAACTCTGCAATAGAGTACTCGCAGCCCTGCACTAGCACATCCACTCCGCTATCCGTCCTCTATGGCCTCTCAGAAAGTGATATCGCACCGTCCAACGTAACAGAGCAGTCTTCGACTCTGTTAGCAAAGCACACCAGTGTTTGCCAGAATAGATGGACCTCCCATATCATGAGTGTGAACCATCAGCAATTTTAGTAGAATACATATACTCTGGTCCGGGTGGGATCATTAGCCACCAAACACTGTTGTTCTGATTTGACCGCAGAATGGTGGTATTTAAAGAGTTGCTTATATCTCGAAACCTTGAAGTATGTGATGCTTCCTGCGTCAGAATCCATCAACCTTAACTCCGAAACCGGCTTTCAGTGGTGCGAAGCAAGTGTAACGGCACCACGGATTTAGACATCAAATTGCTAAGCAGTGGGTCTTCCCGATCGTGGGTCTGTTGTTTACTCATCAAGAAACCTACCGATTTTCAACCAGACATGGTTAGCGTCGTTCTAGCTCAACCGTCTCGTATGTTGTATGATGTATTCATAGAAGATTACTGTACGCGAGCGAAAAGGAGAACGGACTTTAGCTGTAGCCGGAGAGGTCGGTCATGATCACTATTCGTTTTATGGAAGATGTTCAACATACTTCAGAGAAAGCAGCCGGCCTTGGCCATGTATCATAACTCATCGCGTGAACGATCCTACCTGCACTTTCAAGATGACCAAAGAACTCGTCCTCGTAAGAATCCCCTTGGCTCAGACATTGTAAAAACGCGCCGATTCACGGCTGACCCACCGCTTCTCAGATTACCGGCGTCTCGGGCCACGTAGGCTTTCGCGTCCTCGTTGAAGCACTGTCCCGCAACTACAGTGTCCGCGCCGTCATCCGCAGATCAGAGCAGGAAGCCCAGATCCGCCGCACTGAGTCCATCAAGTCACGCGAAGCAGACCTACAGTTTGTGGTCGTGGAAGACTTGCTCAAGGAGGGCGCATTCGACGGAGTTCTAGATGGAGTCGATGGCGTGCTCCACGTAGCATCGCCGCTTCCAATGGCCGTGAGTTGTGTGTGCTGCGAGGCTACGAGACGGCGACTAACTACAGTCACCCAGACGGAAGACTACAGGCGCGATGTAATCGACCCCGCCATCCTCGCCACAACCAACGTCCTCACGGCCGCGGCAAAAGTGCCTTCGGTCAGACGAGTCGTCATCACGTCGTCCATCGCAACACTGCTGACAATGGAGTACATCACCTCCGACGACCGCACCCGCGTCTTCACCGGTACCCTGCCCTCCTCCTTCTGAGAGTCTCTCACTAACCCCCTCAGAAAACGACGTCCTCCCCCCTCCTCCTCTGGACAGCCCCTTCACCTCCCCCATCGCCGCTTACGCCGCATCCAAAACCCACGCCCTCGCGGCCTCCGAGGCCTTCGTCGCGCGCGAGCAGCCGCACTTCGACATCGTCAGCATCCTGCCCAGCATGGTGATTGGGCGCAACGAGCTGAGCACCGCGGCTCGGGATCTCGAGACGGGTACGAACGGCATCGTCATCGGGCCGCTGATCGGCGCGAAGTCTGAGATGCCCACGCTAGGGGCGTCGGTACATCTGCATGATGTGGCGCGCGCGCATGTCGATGCGTTGAATCCGGCGATGTCAGGGAATCGCAGACTGCTGTGTTCGTCTGGGGGATTGGAGGGGACGGTGTGGGATGCGGCGAAGGAGGTGGTGCGGCGACGGTATGCGAAGGAGGTGGCTGATGGGGTGTTTTCGCTTGCTGGGACAGCGCCGAGTAGACCAATGAGGTTTGATGTGTCAGAGACAGAGAAGCTGCTTGGATGGGAGTTTATTGGGTTTGAGGAGCAGGTGGTAAGTGTGGTGGATCAGTATGTGGAGTTAGTGACCAGTCGAGCGTCTTGAGACTGCATTTCCCTGCAGTCCTCCGAACACCATGGTCGTTCTCTAGTGGCGTACCAGACCTTGAATACTTCCGCAAACACTGTATTTGATCAATAGAATGTTGCTGTGTGGTACATGCACGCAATCCACATAGCGTCGCAGTACAGAAACACCAATTCTGTCTTGAAAGGGTATAATTCAGTCGAGCTCATGCTTTTGACACTCACGCTTCACGAGTTGTCGCTGCGCCGCTAACGCCACTTTTATATCATACAGTATCCGCCTCAACCGTCCAGCACGCCGCTCTCTTTCAAGCTCCTGAACAGCTCTGGCTCCAGGAACTTGCTGATAGTCACGTCTTCAGCCAGACCCTTCCTCCTTCTTGTCTTGAGCACGAAGTCTCTGGCGAGTGCTTGTGCGGTCGCGGGCTCGAGGGGTCGCAGCTGGATCTCCTTGTCAAGAGGATCGCCGGGCACAATGGACCAGCGGTCGAAGACAAGGGAGAGCGAGACTTGGCCCTGTGTATGGATCTTTGTTGTGTCAGCATGAATTAAGGTATCAGTGATAGTGTCGTTTACCCTCAAATCGGTCTCGAAGCCAAAAGAATCGATGACCGGGATGAGTCCCCTCACGTTATACAGCGGTGTACCAGCAATCGGCCCGTCCTGCAGCACGTGTCCTCTCCTCCTGGCAAGCACTGTGTACAAACTGCTCTTCGTATCAGCGGGACCAGTCATGCTGCAGGCGTAAACCGGCTCCATCAACCTCGGGCTCGCCATGAGGAAACTCGAGTAGCAAGCTCGGCGGCTGGTGGGGATGATCTGACCACCTCCGCGGAAGATAGCTTCTGATGCCAGCTCGACGTCTGTAATGCGGAACTTGGTGTTGCGAATGGGCTCCTCGCACAGCGGGCCTTCACGCGTCGCCCAACTGAATCCCTGCCGTAATGTGTCGCGGACAGTGCGGAGAGTTTTTGTGTCGACTTCTGAGGGCAGTGTGTCGTTTTGGAGGATGTTGGCACCCATGTCGTCAGGCCCGAAGGCCCAGATGTTACGCGACGCGAGGAGATCGTAACCGTAGTTCTCTTCGAAAAACTTACCAACCACGCGTACAGGATCCTTGATGTTAACTTTGCCAGCCTCAATATCCTCTGCAATACCTGGATCCAGCGGCTCAGCAATCATGGTGAGCTTATTCTTTTTGTTTGGCGTCATGGCATAGCACTTGATGGCAGACATTTCGACTACTGTCTCGCAGAATCTCGTTACCGGATCCGAAACCTTAATCTCCATGTCGGCGTACAGTCGTCGCAAATCGTGTAGAACGCAGTCCATGTACAACTCGCCAGTGCCCAGAATGACGTGCTCACCTGACTCTTCCACCTTTGTGGTGATGAGTGGGTATGACTTGTTGATCTTGCGGAGACCATCCAACATCTTAGGCAGCTCGGAGGGGTTTATTGGCTCCACCGCTACCTTGAAAACGGACTCAAAGAAGTGGCGGATTGGTCGGAAAATGTACGCTTCTTCGTCATCGGGAAGCTTCGATGCAACGATTGTTGCCGTCTTGACAATCGAATTGTCGACACCACCCAGCAACACCCAGTTTCCGGCTGGCACACCGCTGACTGGTACGTTGTATCTCGACTCGGCGATCCATGTGTCTGTGATGGTGGCAACAACCATATCTTCCTCATCCTCGATGGTATAGCCCTCACCAAGAACACGCACCGATTGCGGCGACTTGGCAATACCGCTCATGACTCGTCCTAATGCTGTAAAGGACTTCGCATCTGTGGCGTTGAAAAGCTTCGTCACATGTACAACAAGAGGCCCATCCTGGTCGCACTTTTCCATAGCCTCTGCAGTCTTCGAGTCCAGAGGCCCAGTGTAGTGCCTCTGAAGTAGCCTCTTCGCACCTTCTGCTGGCGACGGAACGTGTTGGGTGACCATATCAACAAAACCAGAAGATGGCCCAAAGTATTGCTGGCAGACCAGGCGCATCAGCTCCTTCGCATCTGTCTTGTACTCCGAGGGCTTGAGGTGAATGCCGAGTGCGCTCAATGTGTCCTTGAGGTCGGCCGAGCTCTCACTAAGCGTATGAGAGTAGAGCTTGTAGACTGGCTCGAGAATCCAGTGTACGAAAGATCGCTGTGAGCCCTCCTCTTGTGCCTTTCGGCTGAACTTTCGGCTACCTGAGTTGTAGAAGATATCGCCCCACAGTCGCAAAGCAAACTTATCGACATCCAAACCCTTCATTGGGACTCCAAATCCTGGCAACTTTGATGGTCCTGGGTAGAAGTCTGAGTACATCTTTGCGAAAGACTGAATAGTAAAGCACCATCGCATGCTGGTGCAGGCAAATGCAACATTGCCCTTCTCAGGGCTGACTCGCCTGCTCTCGCCTCTTCCGGGGATCGTGTTCTCAATGACTGTGTTAACCTCCTCAATGACATGCTTGATCTTGAAGTAGGCATCCTTGGGTGGGAGCTTTAGTTCCAGAATCAAACGATCCATCTTGTTGATGACCAAGGTCAATGGAAGATCCTCCAGGACCGCATGCTTGATGACCTGCTCCGTGTTCACCTGTACACCTTCTACAACGTCAACAACCAGCACCACTCCATCAACCAGGCGTAAAGACGATGCAACTTCGTCTGCAAAATTGACGTGTCCGGGTGTGTCCAAAACGTTGAAGAGATGCGACTTCGACTTTGTGTTTTGCAGGACCAAGCTCATCGGGGCGGCCTTGATCGAGAGGCCTCGTTCGCGCTCGAGGATGTGTACGTCGGTGTATCGCAGCTGCTCCTCCCTCTTCTTGCCCTTTTTGTAATCCAGACGGTCTTGGATATCATGTGTCTCCATCACCAGCATATCCATGAATGCAGTTTTTCCATGGTGCAGGTGTCCGGCAATCGCAATGTTTCGAATCTGATCTGGGAAGTTCATCAAGTCCGTCAACAGCTCTCTCGAGTAGTGCACAGGCGGCAGATCTGCCTCCTGCACTGTGAACTTCTTCTGCACAACTGGCGCAATAATTGGTTGCGCCAGCGACTGTGTATCCTCCTCCTGCACCAGAACCTCGACATCGTCGCCGTATACGTCCGCCGCAGATGGGTAGTATTGCTTGTCTTCGTGTAGGATTACGGCGTTTGAAGGGCCATCGTCGACTTCCATGAGCTGCTGATCGTTCACCTCCGCATCCTCGGGCTCGTCGTCGTCAAGAACATAGGCGTCCGCCCCGTCGCCATTTGTCTGGACTTCGTCATCGGACTCGGCCTCCCCAATAAAGTTACCAAACCTGTGCCACGTCAGTCGCGTAATAATTTACAGTCATATTGCAGGCTTACTCGTCGTAGAGATCATCCATGGCGGCGGTACGCGTGAATGCGGTAATGCAGCTCTGCGCGTCAAGAGATTCTGAGGATGGCGAGAATCTCTTGGCGCGCTAAGAAATTGTCGGCGCCCATGTCCGCTCTCCGACACGCTTCACCGTGAGTCTGCCACTCTGTAAGATGCAGCATCAGGCAAGAGAGGTCTACGAAAAAATCCAGGCACTTTCATGAGGGTGTAAGAGCTTGAATGGAGTCATTCAGTCGCAATTTTACTGCTTGTTGGCTGCAATAAAGACGGATTGGCCCTGCAAAGTGCTGGTCGGCCGTGCCTTGATGCAGTAATTTTATTTGTATTGGAGAACAGCGAATGTGATGAGGTAGATACCTTGCTAGCAACATATGGAAGTGAGGTTTCAAAACACTTGTGTTCCCAAACGAACGATTCCTTACAGGTGAGTTTGCGTATCTTCTGGCACTAGGACAAGCTACGCCATTAGCAAGTAAGGATGAATTCAAAAACTCATCTTGTTGGCGACGGAAGATACGAAGTTGAAGTGATGGTTTGCATCTGGTAGACGAGACCCTGTACATCTGTAAACACGACCCATCAGAAAGGCACTCACGACCGCCACATTGAAAGTTACTCCTCTCCTGATATTCGCCATACTTTACTGAAAAGTAAGCTTGGCTATGAAGCGCAGTTGTTTCTCCACGAGGATCCGAAGTCGGGGCATTTACCTACCCTTTGCTATTGTATCTTGTTTAGTAAACAGAGGCTGTTCTCGCAGCACCTTCCACTTCCCCCAATCATATCACAGTTACTGCCAATCATAAAGCTAACCCTGCACTTTAAATTCGCACAAGGTAATTTCCAAACCTTTCGACTTCATGAATAGTGCTAGAGGTAAAGACCTACTACTGTGCCTGGCATACCAACATTCGCTTGACTCAAGCGTGGAAGTGGGGCAGAAGATCAGCAGGGGTGTCCCTTGTAGTTCTAGCACGGAAGCCGAAGCTTCAGAACGTGCCGCCGCCATCGGGGGGTTTACTATCATCCCATCACAAAAAACAGCTTCTTCCCTCTACTCACAACCTCCAATACACCCAAGATGTCTTCCATTCCCCCTGTTTATATCGTGTCCGCCGTGCGTTCCCCGACTGGGCAGTTCCTGGGATCTCTCGCGAGCCTGAGCGCCATTCAGCTTGGTTCCCATGCTATCAAAGGTGTGTTGAAAGTAAACAGCGTCCACAAAAGTCAATGTCTAACGCCTGCATAGCTGCTGTTGACCGCGCCGGCTTGAAGCCTGAGGATGTCGAGGAGGTCTTTGTTGGCAATGTCATGTCCGCAAAGTAAGGAAGTTTCAGCAACAATAGTAGTGTTCGTACTGACGATTTGCAGCCTTGGTCAGAACCCCGCCCGCCAGTGTGCAATTGGCGCTGGCCTCCCCGAGTCGACCGTTGCCACCACCATCAACAAGGTGTGCGCCTCTTCGATCAAGGCGCTCATTATCGGTGCGCAGACCATCATCACCGGCAATGCCGATATCGTTGTCGCTGCCGGTACTGAGAGCATGTCCAATGTGCCCCACTACCTCCCGAACATGAGGACTGGTGCCAAGTTCGGTGACCAGTCGCTGGTTGACGGTGTGCTCAAGGATGGTCTCACCGACGCATACAAGAAGGAACACATGGGTCTGCAGGGTGAGGAGTGCGCCGACGACCACGGCTTCTCCCGCGAGGACCAGGACGAGTACTGCATTCGCTCCTACAAGAAGGCTATTGCTGCCACCGAGGCCGGTTTGTTCACCGCCGAGATTGCTCCTATTGAGGTCCCTCAGGGACGAGGCAAGCCCCCAGTCACTGTCTCCGTTGACGACGAGCCTAAGAACGTGAGTATCCACTTCCGGCCTGGTGTTCACTCATCACGAGCATGTTCACTAAACAATTGCTGATTAATCGCAGTTCAACGAGGCAAAGACACGTACACTCCGCAGCTCGTTCAAGAAGGACGGAACTGTTACCGCTGCCAACGCCTCGCCGCTATCTGATGGCGCCGCTGCCATTGTCCTCGCTTCCGAGGCCGCTGTCAAGAAGCACGGCCTGAAGCCCATTGGCAAGATTCTCGGCTGGGGTGATGCTGAGCAGAACCCCTCCAAGTTCACCACTGCCCCTTCTCTGGCCATGCCCAAGGCTTTGAAGCACGCCAAGGTCGAACTCTCCGCTGTTGATGCTTTTGAGATCAACGAGGCCTTCAGCGTCGTTGCGCTGTCCAACATGAAGATCCTTGGTATCTCCGAGGACAAGGTCAACCTCCACGGAGGTGCCGTGGCTCTCGGTCACGCCCTCGGTGCCTCTGGCGCCAGGATCACGACCACACTGCTCAGCGTGCTCAAGGAGAACAAGGGCAAGATCGGTTGCGCTGGTATCTGCAACGGTGGAGGCGGTGCCTCCGCCATCGTTGTCGAGTCGCTGCAGTAGAGAACGAAATACCCAAAATGATTTGACGCGTGACGGATAGACAATAAAACATAATTACAGTACCTGGAGATGATTTTGTGAGCGACGAATTGGTGCTGAGACATGAATGGTTCATCAAGCCCACCAATCCCGAGATGAAGCAGATAAATGGGATCACCCTGCGTAAAAACGTGAATCCGTATACCAACCGACGACATTCCGGAAATGATCCTTACGGAGTTCGCAGTCATGCATTAAGTCCAAAATCCCACTCTCCGCTGGCCGCATCATGAAGACCTCACGAAAATCACAGTCGCGCAACGCGTCTGCATGCAGGAACACGAACGCATGCCCACGTCGGCATGCAGAAGAATCTTCCATGCGCGCATATATCCCACTCTGATCGTAATGAGTGGATATTAACGACAATAAGTATATGTTGGGTACAATAGTTGGTGTAGAGAGCTCCGTTTCAGGCTTGTGGGTCGGGTCGCTTCTGCAGCGGCTCCTCTCGTCCAATCAGCCCGTTTTCCGTAGCGTCTACAACCACCTCGCGTTTCAACCTGTCTAGTCCGCGGCAGCCAACGGTGACTGTCACACCAAACAATACCTCCTCAGGCAAATCATTCTAGAGCGGAACGTCGAGCACTGGCCACGTATCGGCCAGGATTCCGGTATATCGTCCAGTGGTACCTGTTTCACGCGCCACTAATCGACGCCTGGCGTCCAGCCCGCGAAATGTCTATGAAACAATGCCGTCTTGGTCAAACGCTGCCAACGGTATTGTCGAGCCTCGCCAACCCCGTCCAGCCTCGTTCCCGATCCTCAGTGGTTGTTCTGGCATCCCGCCAACTGACTCACGGTGATTGCGATTCGTGCGCCATGTTTAGAAGTGGACTCTGGACTCAACATGCGCGACTATACTAGTTGAGGCGGTGGACAACCGCTCGCGTGGCGAAGCGAGAGATGCCCAAGGACGATCACTCGTTTAGTGCCATGTATATAGGCGTGTGCTCCCCAGATCCACACCTCGGTATTGCGCTGCTGGTAGTGTTCTCAGTCCTAGTCGTCGTTCACTTCCCTCGCGTCTAGTACGCAGTTCTCTTCGGTCTTCTCTTCGGTCTCTCTTCTTTAGCGTCTTGACGATGCGTTCATTCACATTCCTTCTGGCTGCGGCCTCACTTTTTGACCTTAGCGTAGCTGGCTATGCTTTGGAAGATGACTACATGACTGACTTCTACGGCGCATTTGATTTCTTCACAGCACCCGATCCCACCAATGGTACGTCTTGATATATGTGGTGGTCAAGTACTTCCTAACAAGGACTAGGATTCGTCAAGTATGTCGACGAAGCCACAGCAAGGCAGACGAATCTTATCAATGCATCCACCACTGTTCCTGTCGAGTGGGGCGTTGACTCCACCAATGAGACTCCGGAAGGAAGGCCTAGCCTCAGGTTGGTGAGCAAGAAGAAGTACAACGCAGGGCTGGTGGTCATGGACGTCGCGCACATGCCTACTGGTTGCGGTACTTGGCCTGCGTAAGCCGACACATCTCCTACTAAGTTTTCACTAACATATCGTCCAGCTTTTGGATGGTCGGCCCTGACTGGCCAACTGGTGGAGAAATCGATATTCTTGAGGGCGTCAACGAACAAACGAACAACGGCATGACTCTTCACACCGCGCCAAACTGCAAGATCGGCCCCGATACCAGCATCTTTGCCGGCGAAGTCACCACGCCAAACTGCGATGTCAATGCCAAGGGCCAGGACAAGAACGTCGGATGTTCCATCGAGCACCCATCCAAGGACAGCTTCGGCACTGGTTTGAACGCGATTGGTGGCGGTGTCTACGCGACGCAATGGACTGCCGAAGCTATCAGCGTCTGGTACTTCCCACGAGGCGCGATTCCAGAGGATGTTCTTGGAGATGCTCCTAGCCCGGCCGGCTGGGGTATTCCTGCGGCCAAATTCACTGGAGGCTGCGACATCGAGAATATGTTCAAGGAGCAGCAGATCGTCTTCAACACTGCATTCTGTGGTGACTGGGCTGGCGCTGTGTGGGAGACCGGGTCCTGCGCAAAGAAGGCTGCCACCTGTGACGAATACGTCCAGAACAACCCAGAGGCGTTCAAGGACGCATACTGGACAGTCAACGCGCTGAAGGTCTACCAAGACAACGGCAACGACACTCCCGCCCCATCCCCATCTGGTGCACCTGCGGAGAGCACTGTCATCTCAGAGCCGGTATCAGTCCCGACTGGCAACGCCTCAGTGCCCGCCATCTCCTCAGGCTACGCAACGATCCCCAGCGAGATCCCGACAAGCGCGCCTATCCTCTCGTTCTCAGAAGGCACATACGTTTTGCCGACAATCTCTGCTTCCGGAGAGCTGCCCGCGGAAACCAGTGCCCCGGTCGCCGAGCCCACACCGTCCGCCGGCATCCCCACGTCAGAAGCCCTGCAACCCTCCAAGACAAAGTCCGCCTCTAGCAAACCCACCGCCCCGACGTCAGCGGCCGCGTCCTCCAAGCCCGCAACACCCACCCAGCCCGCAGGCCCCGGCGACATGCCCGGCTTCCAGTGGCCAGGCATGAACGGCACCCGCCCGGCCGAAGCGCCCACCAGACCCACCGCCGCACCGCCAAACGACATGAGTCTGCCCGTCCAAGACCTCCCCAGCGCCAGCGCGCCGCCCGCACAGCCGACACGCCAGCCCGAAGACGCGTCCCCGCCGATCGTCCCCACCGACGCGGAACCGGCGCCCGCTGCTCCAACAAAGACAGGCGCAGCAGGCGAGCAGAAGACGGTGTATCAGACCGTGTACGTGACCGTCAGGCCTGGCGCCGAGGTCACGCCTGCCGCGGGCCTGAGCAACAAAGCGGCGCGGTACATGAGGGAGCACAGGCGGAGGGCCGCTGGGCACGGGCACGCGCGGATGTAGAATGCGCTAGCTTGGAAGGACGGGTGGGATGATTACATGACGGAGTTGGAGCGCGTATACCCCGGTTTCTCGTATATACCCTTTAGGAATTTACTTTTTTTTGCACTCAGCAGCAGGTACTGGATGTCACTGTGTTCATGTTTTGGTGTTTGTGTGGACTGGGCACACAGATCAGGGTCTACATGTTGCAGGGGAGAAGGACGAGCGTGGTGGCGACCCGGTCCCGCGGATCAGCCACGTGTGTCGTTATCTTCGATATTGGAAGGCTGTTTGTTACACGCGAGATCCGCGTGTCGTGGTGATAGAGCCGTCCTCGGTCCCGGAAAGACACACGCTAGGCCAAATCACCAATAGCGCATCCCGCCCCATCGGGTAGAGACCCTCGACACACATCATCTACTACCTAGCAACCTCACCCGCACTGCCTACAGATCCTCTCGCCATGCATACCTGACCGCAAGAAACCAACCATGGCGTGTCCTGTGCGAGTGTATCCCCTCCGGAAACCTAAGAACCACCGCCTCCCCGTGCCGCGGTACACGCTCACTCTCCCGGATGGAGTCGATCACGTGTACACCTCCTACATCGGGGTGCAGCAGCACTCGGACGATCCCGCGAGCGCGGCTGCAAAGCGCACAGTCTGCGAATACATAAGAACCTGGCTTCTATCCGCCCACCAGCCGGCGAGCTACGAATCCTTCTCGCTGCTCGACGGCCGCGAAGCCCCCGGCACCACCGTATGGGTATGCTACTGGGCCGACGCCCGCACCCACGAAAGCGCCCTGGCTGCCCTCGATCTCCGCGCCCTGCACGCCCGCACGCCGAAGCAACAACAACCCGCCATCGGCCTCTGGCTCGAGGCCTTCGCAACCCCCGTCGCGCGCCTCGAGACAAACTACGCCGGCCCCGACTACCTCCCCGGCCTGGCGCGGCTCCCCGGCTCCCGCGCCGCAGAACACGAGCTCGCGACGTACTGGGGCGCGGCGCGCGACCGCATCCCGGACTCCGCGCACGACCTGTTCCCGCGCCCGGCTGCCGCGGAGCGCCCCCAGGACCCCGTGGGGCGCGGCCAGTACCTCACGGGCACCAGCCACGCTAACCTGGTGCACATCCGCTCGGGCCAGTGGTGGGCGGCGTGCGGCGCGGCCGAGGCCGGCGCGTACGAGACGAAGCTGGAGCCCACGCTGCGCAAAGGCCTGCAGTACCTGAACGAGCACGCCGCGGACACGGGCGCGATGGGGCTGCGGTACCTGCGCAACACAGACACCGAGAGCCCGCTAGTCGATGATGACAGGAAGGAGACGTGCGGCGCGGGGTTCTTTGCGAATCTGGAGGATCTGGAGACGTGGGCGAAGACGCATGGGTCGCATTTGGCGATCTGGCGCGGGGCGCTGGCGCATTATAAGGCGTTTCCTGATAATAGGCGGTTCAGGACGTGGCATGAGGTTAGTGTTGTGGAGCAGGGGCGGTCGCGGTTCGAGTATGTTAATTGCACGCGGGGGACGGGGGTTATGGGGACTACGCATTTGGAGGTGGAGGAGCTGGATCTGTGAAGTGTCGTCAAGAGAAGGAGTGGTGTGAGCTGACTTGGTCAGCATCAACAGTGAGGGCCGGACGAACGTCGGAGTGGATTAACGGGTGTCATATGGAGATCCATGTCTCTGGACTCACTGCGCGCGACGGCATGAATCAAGGCTCGTTGATGATGCGTGCAGATTTGGCCGTCAGCATCTGCAACGAGCTGCCGGACCAATCTCGGAGGAAGTGGCACATATAAGATGGAGATATTGCCTTCGCACTTACTCACCACCAGCGACAAGACACCAATGGCGAAACCAAAAGTACTCATCATCGGATGCGGCGCTGTGGGCTTGTCCCAGGGCTACGTTCTCTCTGCCGGCGCAGACATCACCTACCTCGTCCGGCCTGGCCGCACACCCGCCTTCGCACCGCCAAAACAGCTCTACTCCTACAAAGACGACGCCCTGTACACATTCAGCTCCTACCGCGTCATCGAGTCCGCGACAGAAGTGAGCGGCGAAACCTTCGAATTCGTCTTCGACACCTTGGACGGGCACACGGCGCGCTCCCCCGGCGGCGTCGCCACGCTCTCCTCGGTCGGCGACCTCCTCAACGAGCCCCAGAACGCATCCAGCTTCGTGGCCTACGACGCGCTCGGCCTCGACATCGACGCGCACTATGCGCGCACCCTGCGCGTTGCGCCCGAGCGCCTCACCCTCGCCTTTAGCATGCTCGCGCACCAGCCCACGCCGCAGATCTCCGTCCCGGCGGCCGCGAACAAGGACCTCGTTGCCAAGGCAGACCTGCTGTACTCGCACATCCCGCCGAACGTCGGGCTGGCCGTTGTCAACGCACGTCCCGCGCTCACGAAGCGGATCGAGGCCGTGTACGCCGCCAACGGCAAGCTGCGCATCCAGCGCATGCCGGCGTGGATTATTTCCTGGGCCGGGCTGCTGGCGCCGCTGCACCTCATGGCGTGGAACATTGACGGGTTCGGTACGCTTGCGCGGCTGCGCGCGAACAGCGAGCTGTGGGCGCTGATGCTGCGCGCGCAGACGGAGATCCTCAGACTGCCGCGGTTTGGGTGGGCGGGTTGGCTGCTGTCGTTTGTGTTGGGGAGCTGGGCGACGATGAAGATGAACGAGCCGATTTGGAAGTTCGCGGCGCCAATGGACGCAGCGGAGTTCAATGCGTTTCACCATGGGGGAAAGGTGGCGACGCAGGATGTTGTGGTGCTGGAGGATGTCCTTCGGGAGGGTGAGAGGGTGGGACGGAAGATGGAGGCGTTGAGAGAGGTGGTCAGGAGGGTTAGGGCGATCCATGCTGCGTGAGATGGTGCTGCGTCGATTCCGGTTTCTGTATGCTGACTGCCATCTCCAATGAAACGCGGGCGTCCTGAATTCCCCACGCACTTGCTCATACCCTTTCTCCCCAAATGCTTGAACACGGGCGGAGTTTACGCAGCATCAACGGAACTGACTCTGTAGACTACACACGTCAGTCATTCCAGATAGACAGTCCGACGAGAAGCATCCTTAAGAACCACAGGCCCCTCATCCAACCCCCCTCCGTCCTCACACTCCGCCCCGCCAGCAAGACCAACGCGTACGAAACGCTCCCCGCGAGGTATAATCACAAGCGCCTGTCCATCGATACGCTGGAACTGCTGCAAGTCGCGGCAGAACAGCAGCACCGCGCCCGCCAGGCCGTCGAGCGGCATCGCGCCACTGTCAAACGTCACATAGACGCGCAGCACAGCCCCGTGCTCGGTGCTCACCGCAGCGTACACGCAGCCCTCGTGCGTGACGAAGCGCGGCGACACCGCCGTGCCCGTCAGCCGCAGGACCCTGGAGGCGCTGACGCGGTTCACATTCCCGGCCAGCGCAGCACCACGCGCCGTGTCGACCCAAGCCCCGGCGTCGAGTCTGAGCTCGACGCGGACGTGGCTGACGTTGCGCGCGTCGACGAAGAAGTGCTTCGCGCCGGCCCAGCGCGCCCAGGACCACGAGGGGAACTCCGGGCGCTCTTGGGCTGCTGGACCGCTGTTGCGCCACCGCAGACTCATCTCGGATTCTAAGGCAAGTCCCCAGCGCGGGCCGATCGGGACGCCCCAGTAGTGGGCGATGCCGCAGGCGTTGAGGATGCCGAGACAGGCGTTCACGGCGTCGGAGGGGTAGCTGAGTGCGCGGGGGCAGTAGGACATGAGCAGGGCTTCTGCGTCGCGCAGCAGGGGGCGCGACTGGGTCTTGTAGACCCGGGGGACGTACATGCGAATCCCGTAGTCTGGGATATTGCTGTGCTGCTGGCCAAGCGTTTGCGGGGCGTTCTCGACGATGCTCTCGAGGCAGTGCATCTCCTCGCACAGAAACATGGCTTCCTCGTCCAAGAAGACGAGTTTCCGCCGCGACATGCTGCCTTCCTGGAAGGTCCAGGCGCGGGTCGCCCACGAGAGCTGCGGCCGGGGGAAGGACTTCGACGGCATGTTGAGGAGCTCCATGTCGCCCAGCATGAGCCGTTGCTGTGCTCGACGCGCTGAGCTAACACCCGGCAGCCCTGTCCAGGCGTCACCTGTACCCGCGACGATGGTGAAATAGGCTTGTGCGTATATGTAGTTCATCATGTTGATCTGCGTGTGCTTCTCGGCTGCATTGCTCTGGTCAATACACTGCGCACGTCAGACTGGCATCTTGTCCGTCATCAAAACGGTGTGAAACTCACATAGCGATCTACCCAGAGATACCGCAGCCCCAACTCCTTCGTTACAACCATGCTGTCCTCAATCGTCTTTGGAAACGTCAACGGATTCCCATCTCTGCTATCAGGCGCACCCCACACATACGAGAGCGCAACATACTCAAACCCCCCTTCACCCGGCGCAACAATGGCCCTTGTCAGACAATCTATCAGCTTGAACCCAGGAACCACAACACTCTGCACAGGCACACACGCCCTCCCATGCAATCTCGCGCAAGTCTCCAGCCAGCCGCGCATCATATCGTAATCCACCGCATCCGTCTTTACCTTACGAACCCGCACCTCACCTCCCCGCTCAGCCCTCCCCTCCGCAGAAGCAGCGTCCCCCTGCACCTCCCACCCACGCACACCAAACGAGCGCTGCACACTCCCCCGCTCCTCATCCACACACACCTCCACCTCTCCATACCTCACCCGCCCCTCTTCCCACTTCTCGCGATACCTTACCTGCTCTCTCCCCGCCAGCGAACTACTCAGAAACACGCGCACGCGCTGCGGCTCGCTTGCCACCAGCGCGCGTATCTGGGCGCACAGCGGACAGGTATCCGACAATTCAAACGCGTAGTCGTGCGCGCCTTTGGGCAGTGCGCAGTATTTCTCGTACATGGTTGGGGGCGGTGGGTCGGGGGTGCGTAGATAGCGGACGAGGCTGCAGCCTTCACAGAGCTGGGTGCAGAAGGTGGTGAAAGAGGTCGGCGTTTGCTGGTCGGCCATGGCGGCGGCTGGGATCGCCGTCCGCGATGCGTTATTCGTTCAGAGCATGGAGATACTTGGGAAGTGTGGAGTGAGGAGGAGGAAGGATGGGTGGTGAGTAAGAGGGGCAGGTTGACGCGAGGCTGAGCCTGCTCCTGCTTAGGGTCTCCACCTCACGCTTCCCTCCGTTCGAGCAGTCATCCAACAAGCAACATTATCAGAATGTCTTGTAAGCGCACCGTGGACCTGGAATTGTTGTACGGCAAAGTCTCCAAGTTCCAGCACATCTCAGCTGCACGCCCCCATCCCAATATGCTCGAGTACGTCCTTACACGATGAACACTATCTTAAGCCACAAAGATCTACGCACCACGTATGACCCCCCACCCATCCTTACACACTCGTCACGACGTCCCCACACCCCCATCTCCCTCAACACAAACCAAACACCTCAACCCCCCCTCCCCGCCCTCCTTCTCCACACACCTCCGATGCCACAAATGCCTGCACGCAAAAACCACCAAATCGCCTTTCTCCTTCTCCTCCCCCTCCCCCTCATCTTCACTCTGACTCGCACTCCGCCCCTTCCCCTTCCAGCTGCCCCTGCGATCCCACCCCGCCCGCTCATCCACCTCCTCCTCGCGCCGCTTCACCCTTCCCTCTTCGCCTTTCACCCAAGCGTCCCACACGCCCCTCCCCACACCGGGCCCCCACGCGCGCGCACCGCAGCCCTCGCACCCGGGACCCCGCGGGCGCCAGCCCTGCGCGCGGCGCGCTGCGAGCGCGGCGCCGTGCGCGAAGGATTCTTTCGCGAGAAAGCTGTTGGCGACGGCGAGGATGTGGGCTTCGAAGGCGTAGGTGGCGAAGATGTGGGATAGGGATTCGCGGAGGTGGGATAGGGTGGGGGAGTCGGCGGAGGCGCGGGTTAGGAAGGCGGTGAGGATGCGGGGGAAGGCAGGGTTGGAGGGTGGGGGGCGGTGGGGGGTGGTTGTTGGAGCGTGGGAGGGAGAGGGTGGGGGCTTGGGAGGGGCGGCGGTGGTGGAGGTTAGTAGGGCGGAGAAGGTTTGCTGGATGGAGTCGCGGAGGTGCGAGGTGATGGTTGCGGTGTTGAGGGTTTCGGAGGGGTGGGTGGTGATGGCGGTGGAGGTTTCCTGGAGCAGCTTGACGGCGGCGGTGATCAGGTCCAGCCAGAGGAATTCGTGGAGGTCGAGGTCCTCCTCGTTGACCTCGCTGTATGCGGATTTTCGCTTGTTGGCGACGGGCGCCGGCGGTGGAGCGAGCTTCGTCTGGCCTTGGCTCAGCCAGATTCCCACTTTGACGTACTTCTGGATGTCCTCCAGCAAGTGCTGTGCGGTTTCCTCGGCGTTGGCGACATCCGGGCTGTCTCCCGCAGCGGCGATGAGTCCAGTCAGTGCAGTCTCGAGGGTGCCGAGATGCTTGACGAGACGGTCCATGGCATCTTTGACCAGACCATCGCGTGCCAGCAGCACGACTGCCGCGTCGATGACGCCGCTCTTCTCCAACGCAGGCAGCACGGGATCGAGCTTCAGATCGCCAGACTTGAGAAGGCCAACAAAGTCTGCGACATGGCTGCTGTTATACGTGCACATGAGCTGGACGTACTGCTCGACGAACCCAGACGGCAGGCTCTCGTCAATCGTCGCAGCTTCACCAGTCTGGATCTGCTCGGGCTCGATAAGAGCCTTGAGATAGTGGTACTGCGCGTCGCGCTCGTCCTCAACAGCGCCCAGAACAGGCTCGAGTAAGTCGGGTGCAAATGCCTTCAGGGTGACGGCCGTCTGCTCAGCATCGACTGCGACGAGGTCCGCTGCGCGATCAACAATGACCCGCTTAACCTCACTAATCTGCTTCTTGGCCAGGCCCTTGCTAGGCCTTAGTATGTCGCTGATACAGCCAAACACTGCCTCCTCGTCCTCACTGTCTACCAGATACGTCTCCACCAGCTTCGCGTACTGCTGGGCACCGCGGTAAACCGACTTCAACACGCGGTGGAAACCAGCAGTCTCGAACGTCGGCACCAAGCTTTGCAGATTTGGTGGGTGGTATATTGTGAGCAAGTACTCGACAGACAGCTGACAGTCCTCCTTCACGACCTCTGTTGGGTAGTTGCACAGACCGATGAGGATCTGGTGGAGTGAGCTTCCAGGGAGCATGATGTACTGCGGGTATTTTGGCAGGTTTCGTGCGATGAACATGTAGAAGTATATGACCTCCTCGGCGCTGAACTCTTCGGGGGTCATGATGCCGAGCAGTATGTTGACGATATACTGACGGGTCGGCGTGAGCGTCTTCCCATTTGTCTGGGTGCCGTTCGAGCTTTCAGCATCGCCGTTCAGAAAGCCGTCCTCAAAAGCCTCATTGAGCATGCTCATGAAGCTCGAGGCATCGAATTCGAGTATGAGGTGTAGGTATGGGAATGACGGTTCAGGGCTGTTGTCGTTTCGGATGAGGCGTTCAGGCCCCGAGTTCGGAGGCCAGCGCAGGTTCTTGCTAGAGAACAGGAACCTGTACATGTCTTTCTTGGCGCTGTATGCTTGTTCATCGTTCATGAAAGCTCCACCGGGGTAGAAGCGTCCAGTGAATGTGTACGACAGGTAGGGGAAGATCTTCCTGGCTGAGACGACAAGAATGTTGTCGGAATCGTCCAGACTGAAGTCGATCAGCTTGATAAGATCCAGGATGCTCGTAAGTGGGGTGATGAAGTCGCCGATGGTCTGGGTCCAGACGTGGATCAGTGCGTCGTACAGCATGTATTGCTGACAGATGGTGGTGACTTCGTTGATGTCAAGCGTCTCAGTGCTGAGACGACAGATCATCTCCTCGACTTGAGGCCCGCGACCCACGGAAGCGTAGAACGTGATCAGATCCTTGAGCACATCCGGCGGCACTTCCTCTATCTCGCCGTCGATGATATAAGGCTCCAATGTCTCGAAGAACGGCTTCCCAGTAGAGGCTTCCTCGAAAGCCTCGTACACGTCTTCGAATAGGAAGTCGAGCTCCTTCATGCTGAAGAGTGCTGTGAAGCAGACCTCGGCGAGCTCCTTCAGGCGCGCTTCCTTTATGTCCTCACTCTCATCGTTCTGTGCAAAAGCGTACTTGAGCGATGCAGATATCATCTCAAGCAACTTCTCTCGCACGAGAGTGTGTCGCGCTTTGTCGTCTTCTGGCAGCCCAACAGTGAGCTTGTCAGCGTCACCGACATAGTAGGAGGTCGCAAGTCCAATCGCAGCGATGAAATCGCCCTCCTCCATGAGCGCCAGGAGTCGGTCTGCCCAGTTTGACAGTGTGCCAATAGAGACATCATTGAAGCCGAGCAGGAACAGCCGCCCCTTGTAGGCTCTGAAGCTCATGTAGAAAGCATCAGCGACAACGCCGTGCAGAGACGCGTCTTCCTCGTCATGCTGCTCCACGACGGGGCGCAGCTGCCGTGAGAACAGGTCAGAATGATATATGTGCTTCTGCAGCAGATCAAACGAGTCTGTTGTCCGCAGCGTGGTGTCTTCAAGAATAAGAAGCCGTTGACTGATGGTCAGCACGCCGAGCACCGATCTGCTCAGCCACTGCACCGCAACGATAGCCTCGTCGGCCTTCCAACGACTCCGTGGTTTGAACTGCAATTCTGTGGGCTTCTCTTTCTCAGTAGGAGGCGCAACAAAGCTGGTGACATCCAGTATGGTGAGGACGTTCGACCAGCAGTAGACCAGTTTTGCCTTGGAGACAGCCCTCGCAGGGTCGCCGGTGGCATGCTTCAGCTTCACAGCGGGGAACCACGCCAAACATCCACTCATCGCGCTGTGTAGCGCGACTTCTTTCGGTCGTGGCGCCTTGTGCTGTGTCTGCGCGACGGGTGTCGTCGATACGATGACGAGCAGATATGGGGTGAGTAGTGCAGTCAGACCCATCACATCAGTCGGCTGCTCGACGTTACCCAGGGGCAGAGGGGCAAAAGCTAGAACGGAGCTGGGTTTCCTAGGCTTCTCGTGCGACTTGGCTGTGAGGGGGTATCTGCCTAGAATTCGAGTGATCTTGACATTCCTTGCGAGCGCGCCGAGCCCCCGGGTGGCCAAGTGGGAGAAAGCCATACCACCGTCGTCCGCAGAGACAAGCGCTGTGTGCCTCGTGCCCAGAAAGCCGAGATGAAGGATGGCTACGCCTGAGACGTGACCGTCAAGCTTTCTGTCGTCCAGGCTGGCGCGGTCTAGTGGAGGGATGTGCAGGAAGGGCTTTGCGGGTTTCGCCAACTCCCAGGTGAAGATGTGGCCCGTAGCGTGGCCACCCACGATGGTTGAGTGGTCCGCCGAGATGGCGAGGGCCGTGATGGCACCACACTCAACGGCTGCGGTAGTCAGTACATGCAAGAAGAAATGCGATTCTAAAGCTCACCCTTTGTGCCTGGCCCAATGATGGACTTCAAGACCTGCTGGTAGTCAAAGACCAGGATGAAGCCCTTGGACGTGCCGATGACCAGCGACGCAGCCACGTTCAAACACGTCGGGCGGCCGAAGTTGCGCTTCCCTACCTCGGAGAAGACCTGGCCCGTGATGATCTTCAGCTTCGTCCAGCGCACGACCTCCCATGGCGGCTGCGGCGTGTCTGCCTCGTCGGGCTGCTGCTGGAAGAGCAGGTGGCTGGACACCGAGGACTGGCGCGAGTGGGCGGACAGAAAGGCGGGAGAGGCTCCACGCGGGGGTCGCAAGCGGCGAGGGCGACAGGCGCGAGGAGAAGCGGCGCTCGAAGGGCTGCAGAGCGGGGCGGTTTGCGCGCGGCGAGTTGTACGAGTAGGCGACGCTGCTGCGGGGCGAGGAGACGACGGAGCCCTGGATCGACGGGGTATCATCGGGGGTCGAGGTCGATTCGAAGCTCGCCGGCCTGCCTGGCTTGGGCCGCGAGCGCAGCTCCGCCAGGTCCTCGTCCTGCGTCTGGCGGTGGCGCGTCCGGGCAAAGGTCAAGCCATTGGTGCTGCCGTCGGCCGACTCAAGCTCCTCCCCGTCTTGCTCAAGTGCGCCATTCGCTTCCTCATCTCCATTCACTATTCCACCTTCTATGCGCCCGGCTCCCGGCTCGTCCTGGATGCCATGGCCAATGTCGATGGTGTCGTCGGGGTCGTTGTGAGCGCTGGTGTGGCCCAACCCCGGTTCGGAGCTCATGAGGCTCGTCTGCTATGTAGCATCGCTTCGCGCGAGCATTCGATTGGTCTGTCTGGCTCTGAAGCTGCGTGGCGGGGTGTGCGGATGTGTGTCCCGCGTTGGCTCGTGATTGTTTAGCTGTTGCCTGTGCGAGAACGGCAGATGCACGACGTGGGCGATTACGATTACGGCTGGCAGTGCGGAAGCGTAGGGACGTTCTCGGCGGTCTGCTCACGATGGTATCGCAAACCCCAGCGAGCTGTGCGGCGTGCGGGAGTGTTCCATGCATCAAGGCGCAGTTCGCGATCGGCAGCCGCGGGCCGCACCAAGCTTGCGCACGAGCATTCGTCACTTCACGCCCACCCTCGCTGCACCCACACACCCACAATGCCTCCAATCGGCCCAGCCATGCCTCCACAGCCCTCCAAACGCAGTCGCGACGACGATGACACCCGCTCATCGAGCCCAGACGCCAGCGACAAGCGCCGCAGAGTCGCTGGCCCAGCACTCCCGCCCGCCGCCGCGCCGCGCACCGCAGGCCCAACCCTCCCTCCAACCTCCACCTCCCGCTCGAGCTCGCCAGACAGTGACGCCGGTCCCGCACCCCCACCACCATCGCGACCCGCCCGCGTCATGGGCCCAGCCGCACCGCCCGCGCCCCTCAGCGAACGCCCACCCAACCCGCCCCCAGACTCGGACAGCAGCGACTCCGACTTCGGCCCTGCGCCGCCCCCAGCAGGCGCCTCCTATTCCTCCACCCCCGTACCCAGCGCCTTCGACAGCGCCCCGCAGCTCCCGGACGCCCCCCGCGCCGCCCAGCGCGACGAATGGATGACGCTCCCCCCCACCGCCGACGGCCTCGCCTCGCGCCTCGACCCTTCAAAACCGCGCGCCCGGAAATTCAACACAGGGAAGAGCGCCGCATCGGGCCCCGCGGGCATCAGCAGCGCCTGGACCGAGACGCCCGCCGAGAAGCTCAAGCGGCTGCAGAACGAAGCGCTGGGCATTGCGCCTGCGGAGCCGGGGAAACCCAGCGGCAGCGGATCTGCGCGGCGCTCGAAGGAGGACGAGCGCGCGCGCGCCATGCGCGACAGGATCGATGCGACGAGGGGGAAGAGTCTGGTCGAGCAGCATCAGGGCGCGGGCAAGGTCGCCGAAGACGATCCGAGCAAGCGAGTATTTGATTATGAGAAGGATATGGCGGTGCAGGCGGACGTGAGTCGCAAGCAGAAGAAGGATATTATGGGGCAGAGTAAGGGGTTTGGGGACCGGTTTGCGGGGGGGCGGTTTCTGTAGCGCGATGGAATGCTATGTGAGAGGTGTGGAAGGGGGATTGAGCGTTGCAGAAAGCAATGGCTATGGAATTCACAATGGCTATGGAAGTCACAATGGCTATGGATTGGCATTGGAGGGTTGCCATTCTAGCGCTATGGCAGCTGGCGCCAGCATCACATCAGATGTACTTCGAAGAACAGCATCTGACAAGGCTGTACAAGCGAAGAGGTACTTCACAAGCAGCACAAGTCCCTCACGGACACGCTGCCCGACGGAACAAACATCCCGATCACGGCGCACAGGAGTCCGCCAGAGCTGACTGCAATTACCACATGGTGATGTCCGAAGTCCGAGAACGATGTTCAGAAATGGTCTAATCAATACCGAAGTTTGATCAACGCGTGGTACAGACATCATGCGGTTGAGGAGTTGGTCATGAACCTTGATAGAGGTTTCTATATGACCCTCGTGTCAAGTTTGGATACGAGAATTCATACATGCAGCAGTGTTTCATGCAGTCATGTTTGATGTAGAAGTCCAGCTGAGGTGCTTCACACCTCAACAATACTCAAGACAAACCCAATCGAGGCAGAGCTTCATCTCGGTCGCGAAAACGACTTGATCCAGACCTGCCTGACTTCGCTGCCCAAGCATTAACCTCAGGGATCCCGGACCAGGATGTCCACGTCAACGAGCTGCACAGCCCTACCCCAGGCCCAGCGACGCTCGCCGCGCCCCGGCGCCGGGTTTGCCTAGACTCGTCTTCCTAGTCGAGAGATCGAAGTTGTGCACGACGTTCCCGACGCGCGCCTTCACCACATCAAACGACGCGTCCGGGGAACTTACACTGTCTACGCTCAACCCCGCGACCAAGTCCACCCACGCCGCCTCAGGCTCGGACAGGTTCCACGCGACGCTGACATGGAAATTCTCCGAGCGATCAGTGCTTGCTTCATGTGAACGTGCAGTGGGCGAGTTGGGATTGGGCGCCATCGGCCCGTCCCCCTGACCGCCAGCGTACAGCGCCGCAAACCCAGACTGCTGCGCTGCGGCATTGCACGCGGCGAGCAGGCGGTTCAGCTCGTCGTGCGGCGGCTTAGCGATACCGAGAATGAGGAACCAGCGGTTGCGCTCGAAGTTCGGCACCCACTTTAAACCGCTGAAGGACGGGCTGAAGGCGGGGACTGCGGCGCGCCGCAGCGAGGCGTCGAGGGCTGCAAGAAACCCGTCGCGGTCCTCAGTCTTGATTTGCAGCGTGCGCGAGAGCGAAACATGCAATGGTAGAGGCGCGCCAAGATCGGACTGCAGCGACGGTATGATGTCAGGCACGGGAAGGGGTTTGGACCGCTTCTTGTTCTCAGCCGTGATGGAGGCCGTGATGGTTTGTATCAGGCTGTGGAGACCATCAGACTCGGCCTGTGAAGGGACCCCTCGAACACGTTAGCAGCCGAGCCCAATTCAAGGAACGGCGCAGGATCATCCTTACACTCGAGATAAACATGGCTTGGCCAATTACCTTCCACGTGAGGGACAGCCCGCTTACGGCCGCCGTGGAGGTTGGGGTTGTCGCTTGTGCTGACGCGCGCATTTGTCGAGTAGAGGTCGTGGAATGCAGCCGGCAACGGCGGAAGGTCAGTATCACGGGACGGGCTGCGCTTGCGCTTCAGCGCCGGCTTGGATTTCTGCGGCTTGGGTTTCTGGGCTGCAACGGCCGCGTCGTCGGCGCCAGAATCAGAGTCAGAATACTGCACCAGCGACATGGTTGGCCTGGCCCTGTTGATCCTTTGACAGGCCAGGCACAAGGTGTCGTCAGGGTCGCGGCTGACGACGCGCTAGTGTCCAAGTGCGCCCCACCCGCCCACGCACATCCGGCAGTGACGTAGCGTTTCTGGGTAAGTGCGCAGCAAGCGACGATGAAAGCGATCATGTTACGCGTCGTTCTCTTGTCGTTCGTGCCTGCCAAGATCGGGCTTTATCTATCTGCTGCCCTCCTGCTTCTCTCCTCATTCACAGCCTTACAAAATCAAGCCGTTGAAGTTGATCGTAGCCGTTACCACCGTTGAACCTCTAGTAATACGCCCACGAACAGAAATATGCAGGCGGTATGTTGTCCCTTACATCAGCCTCGTCGCATGCACTGGATATCGTCGTCACGAGTTGTACGTCGAATATGAGTTGATCGTTCCAGGCACACCACGCGCTGATCGATCCTCTGATCGAGCCACAGCCGAGCGAAGAGACCGGACTAAACTCACACTTCCGTTCGTCTTTTGCGCCGATACACGATGGCCCCATCACTCCACCCGGATCTGCCGGACTACCCAAGGACGGATCGGTGAAGATGAACCCGCTGGGAAGCAACCCTTACGTCCCGTCCCACCACACCGGCAGCTCGGTCGGAACCAACCCTTTCATCTCCTCTCAACACACCGGCAGCTCGGCCAACACCAACCCGTACCGCCGATCGAGGGCGTCGTCTGAGGCCAAGGCTCCCTCTGCTACAGTGTCGCAGATTGGCCAGACCACGCCAAGATCGAGCAGGTATGAGTACCCGTCCCCTCCGCAGTCTGCAAGCCCCCGCAAGCAGCACTTCCCCGACCACCGTGCGACCGCCTTCGGGTCCATGAACGAGAGCCGACCGCGCCGATCCAGCCAGCCATCATCGTCCTGGCCACAGTCGCACCACGTATCCGGACGCAGCCGCGGAGGGTCCCTGAACCACGGAGAGAGCTCTCCCCTAGACACGATCCGCAAAGAGACCAAGACTGCGCACCGTGCTCACCATCTTAGGAAAAAGAACTTCCAGGGCGCGGATATCATCGACCGGCTCGACAAGTCTGGCGTGTCGCGCTACCACCACGAGGGTCCGTACGATGCCGCCAGCCTCGCGCGCAACCGGGACAAGAAGTTCAGCCCCGTCGCCGCCGTGCAGGAGTCGAACGAGGAAGCACTGAGAGCCACGCCGCGAGAGAACATCAAGGATGCCCTCGAGAGGCACCGTCCGCTAGAGGGCGTCGCAACTGTCCCCCCGGGCATGACTGACAGGTTCGGCCGTGTCTACAACTACGAGGAAGGCACCGACATGCAGCGCGACCCCCTCAACCACGGCGACTACAAGCGCATCCCCGGCGTGGTAAGTCTCATCGCCACTGCTCTCATTCCACACTAACAGATCTAGGTATACCACCCCGACGACCTCAAAGGCAAAGGCGAGCCCTCGTACACCATCGAGAAACAGCTCAAAGACCACAAGCGGCTCGGCGCCCGCGGCACCGAAATGACGCCCCGCCGCCACAGCAAGAGCGTCGGCCACCTCGACGCCCCCGGCGCCATGCCCGCGGAGAACCCCTTTGAGGCCGGCGCGTCGTCGGGTGTCGGGCGCAGCAACTCGGGTCTTGGTAGTGCGCTGAAGAAGCGCTTTGGCAGTATTCGCCGCCGCAAGAACGATGTCGATGCGTAGGAGGTGTTGATGCGGAAGGCGGTTGATTCGGAGTATTAGCGTGTTGTAGGATAGTTTGCGTGAGGGGGGAGTTGGCGGGTTTTTTGGGTTTTTGGTGGAGTGGGTGCTGGGGTCCTTGGGAGACGGGACTGAGAGGATGCGGATGTGGGAAGGGGGCTGGGTAATGAATTATGACTTTACTTTACTTGACTTTTTATCTTTGTTTGTGTGCCAATGTGTGGGGGTTTGAAGTGAGATGTCAGCGTGTAAGACGCGTGATGAGGCACTGTCAAGGTTGTTGAAGGGTTCGGGTTCTGGTGAGGGTCTTGTGAGTGGTTCTTTAGTGCTCTGGTTTGTGAGTAGATGGTTGGCAAGCACGTGTATTTGCTTTTCTGTCTTCACGTCTTTATGTACTAGCTCCTCGGGCTGAGTGGCTGAGTGGGTGAGTGGGTGGGAGATGTGGGAGGTGTGGGAGGTGTGGCGGTGACCTTAGCGAAGCACAGCAGCGTTGTCTGCGTTGCCTTGCCCTTCTTCTTCTTCTTCTTCTTCTTCTTCTTCTTCTTCTTCTTCTTCTTCTTCTTCTTCTTCGGCTTCGGCTTCGGCTTCGACTCATCTTGAGCACTCGTTTCGACAGGTGGGGCCCTCTCCTTCGAGGAAATTGTAGTCGCCGCGCTTGGTTGTGGTTGCGCGGGAGGGTCGTTCTCCTGGGATGGAGTCTCGTGCGTGCCTGCGGCCCAAACACTCTCCCTCTCCCAGTCTATGTCTTCCTCGAAGGAAGTCAGAGGAGGCCTGGAGAAGTCGGCGTCATAGTTGGCAAGGCAGATTCCGTTGTATATAGCGATGGGTGCTGGAATAGGACGTAGCTGTGTAGGTAGATAGGTACCTAGGTTGGTATGTAGGTAGGTATGTGAGTTGGCTTCTAGTCGTTGATGTTGATATCCTATAATGCGCTATCCTATACTATGCTGTCCTATGCTGTACTGTGCTGTTGCTGTGCTGTGCTATGTTGTGCTGTGCTATGTTGTGCTGTGCTATGTTGTGCTGTTTCTGTTTTAGTGCTGTTTTTTGTGCTATATCATCTTATTGTGCTGTAGCTGTGCTGTAGCTATACTATACTATAATGTGCTGAGAAATGCAGTGCAGTGCCGTGCTATTCTATATAATGCTACTACTCTAGAGTGCAGGGCATAGTAGTTTAGGATGCTATGCTGTGTAGGGCGCTGTTAACTTAACTAGGGTTTAGACTATACTAGGCTGTATTTAGAGAGCTATAGGAAGCGTAGGAAACGTAGGGAGATTATGTGGCAGTACTGTCAGTGACTGCAGAGAGGTTGGTGGGTATACCGCGATTCGAGGTGAGACGGGAGGGATGGGGAGGCATGGGGGCACATAGTATCACGTATAATGTCCACCAATCACGAGTGAAAATGGGTTTGTAGACCGTTCGCGGCTCTGGGTCTTGTAGGAGGTGGTAGGTTGAAGCTACTACAAGGTCTGCATCAGCGACTGTCCGCGGGCATTTATTGCACTTGCATATGGCGATGAATCAGCACACTAGTGGCCCACTGCTTATATATTGGGGAAGGGGTGTGTTTGTGATGGTCAAGTTGGTAATAAATTCACCTCAGGTGACCAGGAGTGAATAGATGGACACCGCTAGCTGCGTGACCTCTGCTATCGTTTGGAGACACAGAGACTTGATGTTTGTGCCCACGAGGCTTTTGAGACTCAATGGCTTGTAAAGTAGAGCTTGGTCAGTGTACGTCAACTTAGCACGAGTATTGGAGTCGGTGATGGTAATCGAATCCAGAGCTGAAGTAGAGATAACCTTCATTCTATAGAGTTGTAATGATGATTTTCCACCCAGGGAACCCTTGTTGCACCCCAGCTCTCTAGTAGCGTTACAATATCAGTATAGTCCCAGTGTAAAGCCGCCTGAAGTGCATTACCATATAATCCACCCTGTGCGTTAACGTGAGCACCTTTTTCTAACAGTAGTACTACGATCTCCTCTTTTCCACAATATGAAGCCGCCTGGAGTGCGTTGCCATATTCTCCGCCCTGCGCGTTGATATCAGCGCCCTTTTCTAGTAGAAACTCTACGAACTTTTTACTACCAAGGCATGCTATAGCCGCCTGGAGTGCATTACCGTAGTAGCCACCCTGCGCATTAATATCGGCGCCTTTCTCTAACAGCAGTATAAAAGTTTCTTTGTGGAGTCCTGCTAAAGCTGCTTGGAGTGCGTTGCCATAGTGGCCACACTGCGCGTTAACGTCAGCGCCTTGCTCCAATAGCAATTCCACAACCTTCTTATTCTTGTAGTATTTTGAAGCTGCTTGGAGTGCATTGCCGTAATAGCCGCCCTGCGCGTTAACGTTAACGTTGGCGCCTTTCTCTAGCAGCAGTATAACAGTCTCTTGATGACCTCCTGCTAAAGCCACTTGGAGTGCGTCACCACTGTAACCATCATAATCCCCCGCTTTGGCGCCTTTCTCTAACAGCAATTTAACCACCTCATTGTGGCCTTCTGCTGAAGCTAAGAAAAGTGCGTCGCTATATGAGCGACTTTGCGCGTCAATGTCGGTAGCGTTCTCTGTTAGTAGCCTAACCACCTCTTCGTAGCCTCCTGCTGAAGCTGCCTGAAGTGCATTGCTGTACTCTCCACATTGTGCGTTAACATTGGCGCCTTTCCTGAGTAGAATTATGGCAATCTCTTGATAGCCTTCCCTTAAAGCAGCTTGAAGGGCGTTGCTGTACTCTCCACCTTGCGCGTTAACGTTGGCGCTGTTCTCTAGTAGCAACATGACAGTCTCTTTGTAGCCGTTGCTTGCAGCAGCTTGAAGAGCATTACCGACGTTTATATCAACACCGTTTTTGAGGAGGATACTGACCAACACTGTGTGTCCATCTTCCGCTGCAATAGAAAGCGGAGTTTTACCATCTTTATCCTTGCTATTGATATTGATAACTCCTGCAGCGAACAATGACTTCGCAGACACTTCCCATGCGTTCTTGGAAGCCCACCACAACACAGTCCTGTCTTCTACGTCTTGAGATTCGATGTCGAATTTTCCCGAATCTATGGAAAACGCAAGGACTCTGTCGTTTCCAAGCTCTATCGCATTCCAAAGGAATTCTTTTGAAGTTGAGTAAGCAAAGTCAGGGCCTGCATTGCAATCGGATGACTTGTGATGAAACCATTCGTCGTCTACTGCCGCAACAGTGATACTCTCAGCTCTCTTCACATCATTGGACCCCAAAAATACTTCAAGTATGTCCTGGTTACTTTGAGCAACCGCCGCAAAAAGAGGACAACCAAAACGCTCATTCTCCACGTCCAGGCAGTGACTAACTGGATCAAGGAGTTTTGCGAGTTCCGGGGCATTCTTCTCGGCCAGTAAATACAAGAGAGTACCCTGTCCTGTCCGTCTGCAACTCTGGTCCCGCATAAAGAGATTGTCGAGCTTGACCCATCGAAGCAGTGGGAAGTTCTCAAGAAAGTCTGTTTGAGAAATGCCTCCGCATTGCGCCGCTTTATCCGCGTGATACAATACGTTGTGCACAGCATACTCGAGGAAAGGAAATGCTTGCGTCGCTGATTCGCGCAGGTACGCTGCCGGTTGCGACGAAGCTTCGGGAAGATCATTAGGGATTTTCAAAGGCGTAGCGATATCCACTCTCAGTTGATTGAGGCAGCATTGCTTCAATCGTTCGTGGCTCTGGCCCTGGAAGTTGTCTCCGTACTCAGGCCAGATCTCGCCAAGACCGTTTTCTTTGAGCAGGAAGTCTCTGATCGACTCGTGGATGAACTGGATGCTTCGATTTGTGGATACAGTGGCCTCGGCGAGACCCTTACATGAATTGAGAATGAACCGCTGGATTACTTCCTCGGTAAACTCCTCAGGGTCCCTTGCTGTAACTGCATCTGGTTCAATACCTGAAAGAATGGCGTAATACAATTGCTCCGGACTAAGTGGTTGCCTCGCAAAAAGTATGAATTGGATACTCAAGATTAACTCGTCCTTGTTGTGTGTATCTCGCGTTAAGATGTCGCGGATCAAGTCGTTCAAGTCACCAGGGATCTCCCGTACTTTTTGTCGGAGCTTATGGATCTGCCCACGGTCTGACTCCTTGTTCAGGATGTTAACTACGAGAACTACCCACATGAAGACTCCTGATGCCTTCTCTTGCAACTCAGCTCGGACCTGCTGAGCTATTTTACTTTTTCCAATGTGGAGTTCGGCCTCGATGTAGTTCGTGATGTCTTGTGAGTGCTCTTCTTGTCGCTCTAATACTAGCTCCAGTCCATTGCGGATCGTGATAAACGGATAATGTCTGCTTGAGAAGCAGACCTGAAAGTGAACGCCCCGTGAGTGAGCAAGACCGCCAACGCGCTCGAGGAAGTGGATCATGCCTCGAATCTGCGCTTCGTCACACTCGTCAAGCGCATCGATGAAGCACACCACTGAAGAATCTCCTAGGCTCAATATAGCCGTCTCTAAGAGTGTTTGTAGCGAATCGACTGTCCACGGGTGATTTTCGCTGATTTTTGCTGTTGGTGGAGCAAGCGAATCGAAAACTCCCTGAAGCGCAGGAAGACTACTAAGAAGTTGCAGTAATAGCGACCGATATGTACCTGCCGTAGACTTCTCTAAGTCTTGGCCCCGTGCGTTGAAGAAGAAAGAGAGTGTTATGCGATTGATCATCATCTTGCGAGCGTTGGCCAAGGCAAACTTCATCAGGGTCGATTTTCCTGTCCCAGCCTTGCCTTTGATCCACATGAAGCCATGATGTTCCTTGAACATGTGTGCATCGTTCCACTGGCAATACCGATCGTTCTCCAAAAGCCATTTGCATGTCCTAGCGTGGGCAGTCTTGATGGTCATTTGACGGGCGTCAATCTGTACGAAGTCCAATGACTTTAGATAGCATCGTCTTTGTTCCTCTCTCATTTCCTTCTCCTTTCTCCGGCGTTGCTCATTCTCTTCCCGGAGGTCAGTTTCCTTTTCAAGGTCTCCCTGGGTTCGATCTCGGTAGAGAATAGAGTCTATGATTGTAAGAAAAGGTTACCCATCTAGAAGGTCAAGGCTACATACTTTCAGAGTCAGCAGAGATTCAGTGGGATATACTACACCCAGGCACATCCGACCAGCCATTTGGCAAGATGTGGCATCCGATAAGAAGTCGCTTTCTTATCAGGATGAACGGAGTTATCCAGTGTACCTTGCTGGCTGCGACAAGAAGAGGTCGGAATCCTACAAGTGTGCTGAGTGATCAGGCAGCACTTATAGGATTTAACTCACTTTGTTTGCGGCCAATAAGCCGTTGAAATACGACTGAATTACTCCGTTCATGCGTATACACTCGGACAAGGAAAAGCTGACAAGAGTATTCTTCGCTAGTCGGACGTGCCTGGCTGCAGTATCTATTCGAAAAGGCAAGTAGCTTACCCTGCAGGGACGATCTTTTTATAATCTAGGATGCTGGGCTTTCTTCGCTTAGAGATACCGCGATTAGGAGATGGCGACTGAAGGGACCGTTCTATCATCATATCAGCCTGGACGCATCATCTGTAGTAAAACGACCGCTGAACTGACTGTTTGCGCTGTTCATAGCATCCTCCGCTCGGCGTGTCTTCGTTACGTCTGCTGCTGGGATCACTAATAGCAGCTCTTTCGTATACGCTGCAGCCGTTCCTGCTGCATATGGCTGCCACCGCTTGTTTTTGTGAGAGTCTGCGTAGTCGCAAACGCCACGGATGACGAGGCATGGGAAACTGTTCATCAGGCCGGCAGCCTCCATCTCGAAGCAGAGTATGCCACCTAGATCAGCACTAACCCTTTGTCTTTCTCTAGCACTTCTCATAACCTGATTGCCTGACGCGATGGTCCCATAATGTACAACGATCTCTTGCTCCCGCACCTGGCGGTGCACTATGTATGTGTTGTCGCACTCATCGCATGTTCGCCCTCCTACGTGGTCGTACGTTGAGTTGAACAGAGCGTCTGGGCCGGCCTTGATACGCCCAAAACCTGCCAGAATCTCAAGTCGAGAAAGGTGGTCCTGCAGCGTCCCTCTGCGTCTCATATATCTCGCCTGCAAGATTGAGACCGCACTTAGCAAGATTGTAGGTGGGGCATTAAGGGACCCAGTTCGCTCGAATCCACTAGGCGTAGCCTTGCCAAAGTCGTATTGCACTACCCCACCATGTGTTGCGTGCGGGCTGCTCACTACCACATCTCCAAGTCGTATATCAGCATCCTCGCTAGGCACACCTCCTCCTATGCCTACCATAAGTCCAAAACGTATGTACGTGAAGGAAGATCGCATCAGGGAGGCTGCAGTGGCAGCGGAGCCTGTCCCTGTTTGGCCGCTGGGTAGGCAGGCGACTACAACATTGTGATCGCCTATGCTACCGCAGGTATAGATGTTGGTGTCATGGGCTTCGCATGGTAATGTGTCGTGCTCTTCGTCGAGCATCTCCTGCGCAGCTGCCAGCTCGACCGGCAGTGCGCACACCCATCCTACGGTGTAATCTTCGCGGCGTAGCCGGCGTGGCATGGCATTTGGGGCGTTCACGAGGGAAAAAACCGGACAAAATGACTTTTGAAAGATGGTTTTAGGGAGAGGACGTAGGTACCTAGACAGGCGCTGAGCGCGGTCCGGCGGCAAGAGCAACAGTTGCTGACACCCAGCCTCAGCCTCGCGGCAAGTGTTGCAACCCGTTGCATCCTTAGCTCTGCAAGAACCCCTGCAAGACCATGTGAGCTATGTCGAAAGCGGGAGCCAATTCCGTGCAAGCGAGTGTGTTGACAAATTGCATATTGATTCAGAGTCGTGTTGTTGCGACTGTGTGGGTGTCCACGGCATGGGCTGAGAACCGTGGAAGGGTAACACACCCAGGCACGTCCGATTAGCCACTTGGTACTTTTGTAGTTTCCAAACCATCACTACCGTAGTCAATAAGCCGCGAAAATACAATTGAATAACTTCATTTATCGTCCTTGCCTAACACTGCGTTTTACTAAGTGGCTAATGGGGCGTGTTGAGTGCAGTACGGCACGTGACTTGGCACCTTGATGCGGTGCGTCTGCCTGAAGAACATACAGTGTGCAGGTCTGTAGCTATACAGTAGCTGCCGAATTTACGTCAGGCAGGATTAAGTTGTCTCGATACGTAGCAGTGCCAAATTAATAGATCAGACTCACGCTCTCCGCTTCACTTGACGTCGCTGCAAGAACACCACCGCTTGTTGGCGAAACGCAACAAAGAAGTATAGGATATACAATAATACACCCAGAGACATCTAACGAACTACTCAGCATATTTGTAGGAGCCAAGTCGTGCTTATCGTAGCCAAAAAGTCGCACAAACATAGCTGAATAACTCCGTTTAGGCGCACACGGGAGTGGCTGGTTGCTTTCAGGTGACCGACAGAGTATGTTATAGTATTATACAGACTATGTACCCCGCTCTCCTCCCTCCCAAGCACGTCTCTGGTAATAATATCAATGAATGAGATCCAACAACAGCGACACCACCAATGCACGTCTTATCCGTCTCCGTTGAACAAGACAGAACAAATCAAAGCACCACAGCGCCGCGCAGAGCAACCAAAACACCACCCATAAGGAGCCATGCAAAGCCCAAGATCCCAAACAGCCACCCCCCCTCATGACCTCAATCATCTCACATGATCTTAATTGTCTCACATAACCTCCATTACCTCACATGAAACTCATCTTAACCTCCTTCTCCTGCCCGAAATCATCCTCAAACTCATCCGCCCAGGCATTATACCCCGGATTTGCCGCCGGCATCGTCGTCGCGCTGCGCAGCGGCGGCCGCCCAGGCGCATCATTGGTCTGCGACTCCCAACTAACGGCCGACGGCGCAGGCGGCGGCGAGTCCCAAGTCTCCTTGCGCACGGCGTCGGGCGAGCCCCAGGTGTCCTTGCGTACGGCTTCGGGCGAGTCCCATGCGGACCGCTCGGGAGCGGACTGTGTGGGTGGCGAGCGCGGGGCGCTCTTGGGCGCGGAGTTGAACGAGGTGTCGAAGGTCATGGAGACGGTTCCTGCGCCGGGGTCGTCGAATTCGTCGTACTCGTCGTAGTCTTTGGTGCCGCTTGTGCCGTTGCTGAATTGCGAGCCGGGCGGGAGGCGGACGGCGGGGGTGAGGGCGCCGGTGCTGTTGGCTTTGCCGCTGTTGGTTGCGGCGTTGAGGCTGTCGTTGAAGCTCTGTGTTTGGCGCAGCCCGGTGTATGGACCTGTGGTTGTTGGTGATGCGACGGAGATGTCGATTTTCATCGGTGGTAGTGTGCTCTTAATTTCCTTGATCTCGAATGCGTCGGCCTCGTAGCCGTTATACGGTTTGTCCGCGCTTTCGGCTGCGAGCGCAGCGACCTCTTTGCGGATCGCATCAATATCGAACATGACGGGGTTCTCAGCGATGGTCGCGGTATCGGCGGTTTTGTCGATGGGCACGTGTGCTTGCGAGTTCTTGTCGTAGACTTCCCAGTCCTTCTTGTCGCCCTTCTTCTTGCGCCACCAGGAGAGTTTGCCGCCCTTCTTCTCCTTCTCGACGTTCTTCTTTTCCAACTCACGACGCGCGGCTTCGATCTCGTCGATTAGCTCGCGCTGTCGCTGCTCGTGGTTTTCTGGGTCTGGGTCCTCGATTTCAACGAACTCATCGGACTCGACGAGCCATCCAGCTTCACGGAGCAGTTTGGGCATTGCCGTACGGTAGGCCATATGACCTGGTACCATCTCGGTAACGTTCATGTTCTCAATTGTGGGGAGTTCAACAGGTGCGAGACCCGCAACGCGGGCGACACCACCGCCGGTTGCACGAAAGAGGTAGCCTGTTGGACAAGTCAGATAATCGCCAAACACACAGGACAGGAGAGCATACCTAAGATCCAGTCATTGGTAGCATACCCATTGACGAATCGCCCAGGTACAACACTACGGATCTTGATGTATTCTTCCGTGTTTGCAACGATAGGTGTGCCGAATAGATATACGTCTTGCACCAACCCAAAAGCACCACGGGCTTGGAGTTCCCTCAGAGCGGCGTAGATAACTCGGGCCCCGAGTGAGAAACCGACTAGAGTGATCGGTCTTGTTCCGAGGTTGCGGTCAATGATCGAGTCTGCAAGAATGAGACCAGCCATGTCGGCTCGCGCTTGCGAGACAGACCAAGGGTTATCGATGAGGTAGGATAGCTTTGTGAGGGCGAGAGGAAGGGTCATGGCGGACATGAGTGCGGTCAGAAGCGTGCTGCCTAAGACTTGTTGGAGACCTTGAGTGAGTGCCTGTGTGTGGTCAGTAATTTGAACGGTGTCTACAGAATGAAAGCGTTACAAACCTCAGTAGCAAGGATGTTGATGGTGTCACCCATACTCCTAAGCATCTCTGGCTCCCAGAGAACTGAATAGATATCTCCCATGATTGGATCCACAGTACTATACGGCAGACGAACGTCATCAGCTTTGCCGCTCATCCAACCAGCCAAGGTAATAATGAGGTTGGTTCTCTTGTTGTTGTGCAGCGGACGGTACTCGAATGTCTTCACAGCACCGGTTCGCCTATTCATGGCACGAACACCAACTGTACCGCCAGTCGTTACAGCAATACTAGTGATGACCGCTGTTCCACCAGCACCAGCAAGGAAAGTACCAGTTCCCGCGACACCAATGGTTGTGAAGCCAGCAGCTAGACCTGCACCGATGACAGGAGCGAGAAGGCCAGCTGACAAACCAATGACCAGACCACCACCAACTGTCGCAAGGCCCATGAAAGCCAGACGCTTGCGCAGCGCTCGTTTTCGTCGTGTCTCCATGTGGTCATCTTCGTTCCAGTTTTCTTTGTTTGCTTCTTCTTGTATTTCCAAGGCATCTGTCACGCGTTTCTCGAACCGGCTGATCTCAAGCCAATCCACACTGAGATACTTGCCAACAACTTGGAATAGCTCTCGCGATCGCGAATCATAGACTGAGTCTGCGACAAGAAGAAGGAAAAGATCGCACAGCACGGTCCACCGGAGATCGATATCGAGGTTCTTGCTATCAAGGAGCTGTGACGGTGTCGTGGGTTCGGGGTATTCGTAGTCGTCATCTTCGTGCGCTTCGTAGGGTGGGGGTGGCGGTGATGCTAGTGAGTCGTTTAGACTTGTAGATGAAGCGTTCTTCGACTTCTCGTCGTGCCCTTCTGGACGTGGTGAAGAGATTGATGGACGGGCTGAGCCCGACTCTTCCTTCTCCTTCGAATCCTCGGCCACCTTCGCAGCAGGATTTTTCACTCGCGCATTCTGCATCAATGCTGGTGTCAAATCTGCAGGGATCACACCGTGCTCTGTGAGTTGCTCGATCATGACCTGTTCGGAAGTATTAATATCCATGTGCCCATACAGCCTGACCATCATTTTCTGCGACCACATCTTGGTTGTATCGGTCTGCATATCGAGCGCCTTCTTGATCTGGCGGCTTTTCTTTTCGATGATCTTGTCGAACTTGCGCTCCATTACGATCATGGCAAGGCGCACCAAGCCAACATATGCTACACGCTGGCCCTCTGTGAGAAGGTTCTTGGTGGCTTGCATCTGCATGAGCGGATCGCGCACAGCCTCATCCTCGTCGTGTAGCGCAGTTGTCTTCTCTTTGAAAAGATAGGCAGTGTTGTCATCCATACTCGTTTGAGAACATGCATCGTCGTCGACGATAACCCTGGTGTAGCCCTTTGCAGCGCCTCCGACATTTCCGTAACCACGCATGTCTTTCAACTCTTCAGGATTTTCCTTCGCAATCAACCGGTTATTGTCATCGTACATGTCATACTGCGCATAGGCGGGCATGGTCTGCCAGCCGCCATCGTCATCTTCCTTTTCTTCCTCCGCATTCGGTTGCGTAACGATATTCTGGTAAGAGTACTCGTTGATAGGGCTCTGTTTGCGGTGTGGTTCCACAGGCTTGTCGAGTTTGTTGGAAATAGTTGCTACGTTCGAGGTGGACTCGCTCGATGCAGTGTCCTTGTTGTCCGATGAAACGTTCTCGGGCTTCTCTGAGTGCTCAATCTTTGAGACATTCTCTGGAACGTTCGTCTGTGTTGTTGGCACGGTAACATTTTCTGACACGTCGTTTTTCGACTCCTTCAGCTCCTTGCTCTCCTCTTCTTGCGTGACCTCAACCTCGTCCACCCTAACGTGTCCATTGACGGTTGCTGACGCAGCTTGCGCATGGCTTGCCTCTGCTGCCTCCGCTGCTTCCGCTGCCTCAGCTGCCTTCCTCTCTTTAACGCGCTCCACTATGTCCTCTACTGCCTTCTCTGCCTCGACCTTGCTCTGCGGCTTTGCTGCTATGTCGACCTGACTCGCGACCTCTGGCTTCTCCGCTATCGCATCTTTAAAATCTTCCTCGTCTGAGCTGTCCTCTACAGGCGTCTTTGGCCTGCGCTTCCTGATCGGCAACCCAAAGTCGTCATATTCAATCTCGGGCTTCGCTTCTGCAGGAGCAATATGCGCGCCCGCGGTCTCGGTAGGGGGCAGCGAGGGAGTGTCGCTAGCCATATTGGGGTGCTACGGTCGGTACATCTGATCGCTTTTCTCGACGTTTGAAAATTGGGGGCGCGAGACTATAAGGGCATGTTGCGTTTCCGGGTATGTACAGTGGTGGTGCCCGCCCTCCGGCCATGCGTTTCGAATGCGGAGTGCTTCGGGAATGCCCATGTAAGTACGGACACGGACGCCGCACACGTAAATGCCCACGAGCCCTCTAATTGGCTAGACTCGCCGGCACTTCCTCGGCGACCGTTCATTTTTTGAATGCGGCAGCCTCCAATGCCCGCGAACGAACACCTCCATACATTACACAAAACATATCGCCGGCATGAAGCTCAAGCGCGCAAAGGTATGCGACGCCACTTATTGCGGTTTGCTATCGCGTTGTACAGGACTGACACGCGCAGGCATACAAGAAGCTGCTCCACCAGTACGAGCTCAACTTCGGCTTTCGCGAGCCCTACCAGGTCCTACTCGACTCGTCGATCCTACAAGATGCCTACAAGTTCAAGATCGACCTCGTCGGCCGTCTGGAAAAGGTCCTCGGCGCAAAAGTAAAGCCTATGATCACGCAATGCGACATGCGCCACCTTTACGATGCGAAGCCGAAAAACGAGACACTCATTTTGCAAGCCAAGGAGTACGAACGGAGAAGATGTGGACATCATGAGCTGGAGGAGCCGCTGAGTACGCTGGAGTGTCTCAGCAGTGTGGTTGATCCCAAGGGAAGCGGGAGCAACAAGCATCGTTATGTCGTCGCAACCAATGAGAAGGAAGTGCGGTCGAAGATGCGCAAAATCCCGGGTGTACCGTTAATATACATCAGCAAAAGCGTGGTGCTTATGGAACCTATGACAAGCGCAACTGAGGAGCACAGGGAGAGGGAAGAGAAGAGCAAGTTCAAGATGGGCTTGAAAGGGCAAAGGAAGCCGGATGCAGGGGAGAAGAGAAAGAGAGAGGAGGACGACGAGAAGGACGATAAGTCTATTGCTGCCGAGGCCAAGAAGAGGAGGCAGAAGGGTCCTAAGCAGCCCAACCCGCTCAGCATGAAGAAGAAGAAGGACACAACCAAGCCGCAGCCCGGCTCGGAAAAGAAGGCAAAGCCTGTTGAGCAGGAATCTCAGCCACCCGCCACAGATGCGCAAGACGATGAGGCTGCTGCGCCAAAGAAGCGCAGACGCAAGCATAAATCGAAGGCCGACGGTGGGGCCGATGGTGGAGCCGAGGGCGGTGGAGTCGCTCTGGAGGCAGGTGATGCTACTTCACCATGATCCAAGAAGCCACGACAGCGTTTCGGCAATTCGATGCTATAAGCTTCACCTTTGTCTAATGATACCCGATGTAGTATATCCGTCGTTCCAGCACGGGAGGTGGAAGCGCATGGACCGTACACGAAAATCCGCGGCGCACAGCGGGAGGTGGTAGCATGCCTATCTGTGTGACAGAGACATACGACACGGCTATGCAAGCCTCAGACCTTTTTGCCTTGCGCAAGGAGATCTGAGACCTTAGGAGGAAGCACCAATGTGCTTCGGTCATTGCGTTTGACAAATTCAACAATGACCTCGGCAGTCTTCTCTGGCTGATCTTCTTGGAGGAAGTGGCCTGCGGCAGGAAAGACTGCGAGTTGAAATTTGCCTGCGGACAATTAGAAAATATTCACCAACCTACGATCATGAACGTACCCTGCATTTGTCCAATCATCAGTTCCTTGTCCAGGCGATCTGTTCCAGCAAGGAGCAGCAACTTTGCCCCTTTGCCCTTGAGAAACTTTGCGCTCATTCCGTTAAACCAGTTCTCCCAGTAGGATTCGGTCTTGGAGAGATCTGTTTTCCACACCCAGCGACCTCCAGCTGACGTTTGCATGAAGAGACTCGGTACACTAGCACTTGCAGAATCCATATTGCGCAGCGTACGCGAGCGGATATGCCAGTCAATGGCGGCGTCAAGGTTGTCGAAAAGCTTTGGCCGAGTTCTCAGATACGCCTGCATGTGCTTGAGCGCTTCCATCGCACTACCCTCCACCACATCGAGCACTGCGAATCCCAAGATCTTGTTGCCAAGCAGACCCATGTTTGCAACGTGTGTCACCACTGCGCCACCAAGACTGTGTCCGATGAGCACGAGCGTGGGTAGTTCTTTCCAGCCCATCTTCTGCTGCGTCAGGGAGATCATGTCCACCATGTCTTGTCCCAAGAGGTCAACACTCGAATTGTTGTCCACCGCGCCGCTCTCATCCCAGACGACACTGCCGTGTTCTCTTGCTTCCAATGCAAGAATACCAATACCAGGCATGGCCTTTCTGATCTCTTTCGCAGCAAGAGCAAAACTCATTGCAGAGCTTCCTGCGCCATGGTGAAGCACCAACAGCGGGGATTGCAGCGATGCGGGCGGCGTAATGTAAACATGGAACTTGGAGCGAGGCTTTTCCCTCTCAAGGTAGAACTCTTGCGCATAGTAGTCTGACCAATGAATGGCGGGGGCGGGGCGCAGCACGTTTGACGGTATTACCGTTCCAGTACTGGACATGGAGCTTGCTGAGCTTGAATCATCTTCTTCCTCGATCAACGGTTCTGGAGGTGGCAGGGAGGACACCTTTGTCTTTGCGAAAGATCTGGCGAGGTCTGACATGGTCAGAGCTGTATCCTGCAAGTCGGCTCGGTATCATGCAACATGCAACATGCAACTCGGTGAGCGTTCAAGGGTCAATGCACGAGGCTGCACAGTTCGGCTTCCGCGATTCTGACGTCTGTAGAGGGGATTCAATTTGTGGGGCCTGCAAGCTTATCGATTGCAGGGAAGAGCTTCCTGCGCGCCTCCTTCCTGATCATGACGCTTGCTTGATTCCGCGGCGGCAAACACCTAAGTGCTGTATGCCAGTATAAGCCAACTGCGCATCTAATCCACGAAGGTGATCGACATGTGAGATGTTGGAACCAGGTTGCTCTTACGCGGGGCTGAGTTAGATCGCTCTGGGCTGCGAATCCAGTGATTTGCAACCGGGATCTCGTCCGTCGTCTCCACGCTAATGGACGAGCATGACGCATTGGTGTTGTTGGCGCGGCGGCAGCTTGAATGAAACCAGCTTGTCGCCTGCAGCACCAGCCTCTCCTCTTTACACAATTTCAGGAGCGTTGACGCTCATTCCTTCATCTCTTGTCCTCTTTTCAGGACTCCTAATACCCTAATTGACCCTCAGCTCCATCACAGCTGCGACGATGAGCATGTGGAAAGGCAAAGGGGACGCGCAGAACGGCGACCAGCTGGAGCCTGAAGCTCCTCACGACGATGGAGCTTCAGGAAGAGCTTCAAGAAGAAGTTACGAGCCTTCAAGACGTACTGTCGAGTCTCATGAGGAGCCGACTGAGCGAACAAGACTGCTTGATCGTCCTAGACCTGGCCCTAACGCCGATGGCTACCTCGACCCAGATGACCCAGCTGTAAGAAACCGTTCAATCAGATTTACATCCAGACTGACATCTGATAGGTATCGCCTTACAACCTATGGACGGTTCGTGCTATGCGGTATCTGACCATACTCTTCCTCATCGTCACTTTCCTGTGGTGGGTCATTCTGCTGGTCTCCATCTTTGTCTCTCCTCCTGGTCTCCACACCCGTGGCTCTGGCTTCTTCGACTTCGCCTACACATGTCTCACCCTTGGTAACCTCCTTGTGGTCACCATTTTCTTCATCACCCCGGCCAAGGGTCTGCGCATCACTACAGCAATTATTGCTGCTCTTCTGGCAGTGGACATGATCATCATACTGGCAGTTCCACGACTTAGGCTCGAAGAGGGCTGGGTTGGCATCGCGAGCGTTGTGTGGGCTCTCGTCATGGCTGTCTGGTGCGTTCTGACCGACCGTGTGGTTGCTTATGGCAAGAAGGAAGAGGAGGAGCGCCTTACTGGCCGTCCCGAGTCACGTCGCACGCTGAAAGAATGGCTTGCTGTCCTCGCAGCGACAGTTCTCACTGTCGTCTTCATCATCATCGTCCTCCTCATGACCGCCACCCTTACCATACGTTCAATCGACGCTGGCCTCAAGATGTACGGCGAGCGGGTCCTTGTTGACGGCGATAAATACGCTGTCCACCTTGCTTGCGTCGGCAACGAGACCAATACTGCTGGCAAGAAGGTCACCACAGTTCTTCTAGAGGCGGGTGAGAATCCAGCCGAGTACGACTTGGAGCATTGGGCATACGCAGCTTACAAGAACGAGACCATCGACCGCTACTGCTACTGGGTAAGTGCATATTCATTGATTCGATCTTGAGCAATTGCTAACCTCCGTAGGATCGTCCTGGCTATGCTTGGTCTGACAACGCTCCCTCTCCACACTCTGCCGGCATGTCCGCCGACGCTCTTTCAGAAGCACTCGCCAAGTCCGGCGAGTCAGGTCCTTGGATTCTTGTTTCTGCGGGAACAGGCAGCATTGTATCGCGTATCTTCAGTTCTCGTCACCTGAAGCAGGTCACTGGCCTTCTTATGATCGATCCTATGCACGAGGACCTCCTACACCGTCTCTCTAACCCAAGCCGTGGCTTCCTGCTCTGGGCATGGGGCATCATCTCTCCTCTCGGTACAGTCCGCATCGCTGGCGCTCTCTTCAAGGGTCGCACAAGCTCCGATCGCGTCTACGGCCGCAACGCATACCAGTCCGGCAAGTTCATCAAGGCTCAGCTACAAGAGAACCTTGTTGCGGACTCCTTGACCAAGAACGAGGTCGTTTCTGCTAGGAACATCCAGAGCGCTGACACACCGCTCGCGATTGTCAGCAGTGGCATTGAGTGCCGCCGCGACTCTGAGTGGGAGCGCAAGCAGAAGGATCTGACTTCGCTCACTGACAACCTTGTCAGCTGGGAGATTGTCAAGAAGACCCCGCACGAGGTCTGGCACACTCTGGAGGGCCGCGAGCAGATGGAGAAGAGCCTGGCTAAGCTCGTCAAGGCCGCGTCGAAGATCAAGTCGTCTTCTGAGTAATAATCCGTTCGATTTTGGAGGAAGCTAGGGTCGTTTCTCTTCAAAGTTCGAGTCTGTAGTTTTCCCTTCGCATACCCTTTCGCGATCCCTCTGTCCATAAGCACATCATGGTGTTTGGGTTGCTATGTTGTACCTCTATATCTGACAATGCACGAATCTAATATTCAATTGAGCCTGATACTCTGAGGTCGATTACGTGAGCAATAGAAACAAGCAGTTAACGTTAACTTCGATGAGACCCTTAGCTATGTTCAGTATAAAAAACAACTCAGGCTTGAAATGTTATCCACTGCGTGATGCATGCTGGACATGGCCAAACTTAGCGCATCGCGGCCGGACGCGGAGAATCTGCTCGCCGCATCTCCAAAAGTTGCCAATCGCGCAGCAACACCGCCAACCACACCCCCAGCGCCCACACACCCACAATGATCTGCCGAACCTGTCTGCGGGCCTCCCGCACCCTTGCCCCGTCGTCGCGGCGCTCGCTCTCCTCCACCGCAGCCCTCGCAAACGCAACACCCATCTCCGCCGCCGCGACACCAACACCACGCCAGGGCTCTCCCACATCGCCCGCCCCGCCCGCCGCAACATCAACACTCGCCGCGCAGCCCTTCAGCGCGCCGCTGACCCCCGCGCCGGGCGCCGCGATCAAACAGCAGGCCGCCAAGGCCGCGGGCAAGAAACCCACGCCGCTTGTCAAGAGCTCTGTGCCCGCAGGCACCGCGCTCAAGGGCCTGAACTTCGAGAAGAACAAGCAGGACCCGATTGCGCTGGCGGACGACGAGTATCCCGCGTGGCTGTGGACGATTCTGCAGCGCAAGGAGGACAAGAGCGACATCAGCGCCGCAGGCGACTTGTTCTGTACGTCTCCTACACTCGACACAGTGGGAATTGCGTGCGCAGCGTGCTAACAATGCCCAGCGAAATCTAAGAAACAGCGTCGTCTTGCTGCGAAGCGCCTCCGCAAGGAACAGGCCATGAACCCCGAACTCCTCACGCCCAAGATCCCGCTGTACGAGCAGACAATCGATCTGCCCACGGGCGACGGCAGCCTCGAGGGCGCGGTGCAGGCGGCGGGTGCGCGAGGCGAGCTGACAAAGTCGATGAGGAACAAGAGGAGGGCGGACATCAAGGAGACTAATTTCCTGAAGACTATGGGCTAGAGCGGTTATTGAGTGCGGCGCTGGCATGCGAGTGGGCATGTGTATATCACGAATCAAGAGAGGGTGTTGTATTATACACTTGTAGGAGCAGGTTGCATAGCATACGGGACTCCGAAAGGCAGAGCGGGGTTTGTACAAGTAGAATGTGTGAAGTAGTCGAACATTGGACTTTCATCACTGTCCTACTCCCCTTTTCAAAAAAAAGCGATCCAGAACCTCTCCCCAACGACAATTTCCAAACTCTCCAAGGCGTCCAGGCAAGTAGCATACCCACACATCTTCAACCCACCACGCGCTCACAGCCAAACCCCCCTCACCCATCCATTTTAACCCCCCTTCTATTTCCACCCGCAACCCTATCCTCAACCACAAATCTTCTGCAAAACACCACATGCGCCCACCCTGCAGCCCGAGCACCGCCCAGCCCTCAAACCCCCACAGTCGTTACGAACCTACCGCACATTCCCCAGACCCTCATGTGCAGTCCCCGGACTCTCCAAACCCAATCCGCCCGGCCCCCACAGACCCTGCATGCCCTGCATATCCCCAGACTCCATGGTCCCTCGACCCATGGAACCTGTATCCCAGTGTCGCACGCAACAATAGGCAGGAGGCCGGGGCTCGTGGCGCAGGTGCTGTGTCGGGCAGTTGGGATTCGGGATGGGATGGGCTGATGTGGTCTTGCACAGCTATGTGGTTTATGTGGTATTTGTGTAGCAGACGTGAGATGCGGTGGTGTTGTGAGGTGAGGTTGGGTTGGGGTGCGTTTTTGTGGTGCCGCGTGTAAGGAAACATGATGAGCAGAAAGACTTCAGGACGAGGGAAGATGAATCAGGAGTAGTTACATCAGCAGCAGGAGCAAGGACACGAGAGAGAAGCAGCGAAATGAGCAGACAACACATCAAGCAAGAGGATAGGTATTTATCGCTTATGTCTTGGATTTGCATCTCTGCTATGTGCTATGTGCTATGTGCGTGCAGTCACCACTGCAGCTACCCCAAGGGCAGCAGCCACCACAAGCCACCCGTTCCGCCGGTCGTAAGGTATCGTGACAGTGAAGACGTAAGGAAAGAAAAGTGTGTTGGCCTGTGGTGCAACTCGGAGGCTGCAAGACTTGAGCTGCATGACCTGAGTTGCAGAGAGACAGCAAGACAAGACGCAAGGCGCGGAGCGGACCCTTGATCTCGGAGCTTCCAGATTCCGCCATTGGCAAAACTCAAAACCCACGTTACGGCCACACACCCGGCGACCGCCCAACGCCTGACTCGGAGGCTGCGGCTGCCGTGGGGCAGAGTTTAGGTCCGATCTCCCCAGGTTCCGTGTCGCGAAACCCCCAGGATGCAGGGCGCACAACCCCAGGACACTGCAAAACCGCAGGACGCAGCCCAACCCCAGGTCGCAAAACCTTGAAGCCCCAAGCCGCAGATCAGCAAAAAGACCTGAACTGCGAAACACAGTGTTTTGAAGTATCCAACGCCACGGGGAAAAGAAGCCGCAAGCAAGATCCGAGATGCCCGAGGGCTGAAGAAAATGGTGAATAGAGATTATGAAGGAGAGTGAGAAGGCGCGCGGACGGTGGTATGTGCCGTCGGGCTAATATACACAATGAAAGATGGGTCTAGAGGTATCGCTGCTAGGAAAAGAGGGCCGTTGCGGGGAACACGAAGGAGGGGTGGAATCGCGGCTCCACAGTTGAAGCTCTCAAATCCACGCCATGCGCGGCGCCACCATTGCGCTGAACAGCGGCTGGATCTCCGCAAGATAGTCGGCGGCGCAGAACATCGCCAGGTTGCGCTGCCGCATCGCGTCCACGTCGGCCTGCTCCTCGACCGACCGCGCAACCCCGCTGAACTCCTCGGCCACCTCGTTGAGCTGCTCCAGCTCCGCGCCGAATGGGTGCGCCGCGGGCTCCTCGCTCACGGACTCAATGTTGAACATGTCCACGGACTTGCGCTGTTCGCGCAGTGAGCCGAGCGAGCCCCGCGAGCTGACGCTGGTGCCCCGCGATGGCAGGTTTTGCATGCTGCGCTTCTGCGCGAGCTGCACGTGCGCGCGCTTGCTGTGGGACACGGCACGCGTGGGGATTGCGGGGACGGGCTCTGTGGGCTCGCTGGGGTGCTCCCGGAGTTGGCTGAGCGAGTTGGTGGAGGCTGATTTGCGGACGACTTTGCCGTTGCCGGAAGGTGACGGGAAGTAGCCGGAGAGGTGGTTCGGGGATGGTGAGGTGGGCGACGACTCCACGGATGAGGCATCTGTTAGTGTGTCGCGCGAGACCTGCGACGAGGCCCGCGAGCGGCCGGAGATGCTGTGGTCGGAGTCGTCGGCGGAGTGGGTGGACTTTGCAGACTTGAAGGAGGCATCACGCCGGGCAGAGAAGTCCATGGTGGCGAGATCCGGGGCGTCGTAGACCAGCGTGTTTGTTGTCGAGAGCAGAGCAACGGGCAGCGAAATCTGGTTGCGGTCGATGTGTAGAGTTGGGTTCTTGACGCTCTTGCTGCGTGGCATGGCTTCCTCAGGTGCGGCGCTGCGCTTCATGCGCTTGGTCATGGCGCGTGCGAGAGACATGATGTGCGATTAATTCCGAATAGATTTGATGAATGTCGGTGTATAGCAGATCAAGTCCAGCCTCGGTTTGTTAGGGCCGGCAATATTCTTCGAAGCTGCGGTTGGTTGCTAGAGGTCAAGTGCAAAATGCGGGGGGGCAAGTCGCGGATAAATTGGACCGAAGACCACGAGGACAAATGTTGCTTGGTAAGTGTTCAGCAGGTGAGCCAAAGGCGCTTGTAGTACAGTAGTACAGCCAGTGAGAGACTCCTATAGGGGATATTGTTGTCTTATTGCGCCGTGTTGAGGATGCGTGAGCGTGGGGTTGCAGATGTCCTAATCGGGAATCGGGCTTGTGAGACGAAAGGCTGCAAGATGCCGCTGTGGTTCGAGGATCCGATACGTCCAGCAGTTACAGACAAGTTTGGGCAACTTTAAGTTCTTTGTTATGGTTGTTATTGAGTGTTGTTACTGACTAGCAGCAGGTGATGGTGAACGATAATGAGTGGGTGTCGTGAAGAAAAGCAATCTGTCAAAGAGCGTAGTGAGTCCAGCTGGGAGTGTCGTAAGGAGTGTCGACACCGGGCCGTGACAAGGAGTGAGTGAATGTTGCAATGAAGCCAACAAGCAAGCAAGGCAAGAGAAGGGAGGGAAGCCTGAAGAAAAGGGCAGTGCGACCAGGGCCTTCGCGTAGAAAAGCTGAGCAGCGCCGGCGACAAGCCGCGTTGACCTGTCTTCGAAAGATTGGGTCAGGATGTGACGGGGGTGGGCCAGGAACAAGCAACGGCCAACGAACCGCACCGCGCATTGGGCAAGCAGTCCGGATGGGTGGCGTGGACGATGCCTGGCTGAGCATAGCTTCACCTTGTGTTTTGCTAGATTCACAAAGACGGGCGAATGGGATGCGAGAGCGTGGGCCAGCGAGTAAATGCTAGCGCCAACGTGTTCCAGATATGTTGGGGTTTGCCTGTCCTGTGCATCGGTTGGGCCACTTAGAGCCGACTGTTTCAACATTTTGGATTAATTGCAGCCAGGCACCGAACCCTTTTCCCAGTGCAGCTGTAAGGCGGCATTGACAGACGATATTGACAGATGGCGGGCGAGCAGAGGATGTGGCACACGACGGGCGTACAGTGTCAGCTACAGCACCTGCTGGGTACCGTGGAACACTGCCGCGCAACGGGACAAGTGTGCCGTCTTCGGTCCAGCAAACCGTGGTTGCGCTGCGCCGACACGCCTCGAACCTTGTTGGGTAGCGCCAAAGCTGTCAGAATTTCCTCGGTGACTGCCGGCCGTACCTTGCAGACGCGCGCATGAACAGCTGCCGACGTGTCTGTCCCTGTATCGCCTGCACCTCGCAACATCAACAGCACACTGCTTGCCTTGACGCCGGCGGTTCCTAGTTTCGAAACAGCGCTCGCCATGTGTGGAAGCGAGGCGAGCAGACGGCCATTTAGTTTCTTATTACCGCGGACCGCGTTGTCTCGCATGACCCAGAACGACCTGAGGCACTGCGACCCACATGGTTCCCGTCCTGAGCCGCCAGGATCTGCCGCTGTTCTCGTTGCGGAAGAGGGTGACAGATCGCTGCCCGTCGTACCGTGGACGCTTGACAGCGCCAACAATGCAACAACAAAGAAACGCAGCGACTGCACGAACGGCCTTGGTCGGCGTGCTGGAAAATGAGGCTCGAAAGTGTGATCTAAAAGTGGATGCAGATCATCATGGGTGTGAAATGAGCAGGATCAGAAGAAGCAAGGGCCTGAGTCGGCGACAAGGCTGTTCTTGAAACACGTGCGGCTCAAGGCGTGTGGCGATGACGGCGTGTACGCGTCGATGACATTTCCAGGCAGTTGACAGCTACTGCAACCTCAAGTGTCAGGAGGCCATGTGGCTGCTGAGAGTGTTCCAAGTGGATGCACGGCTACCTGAGCCTGCTTCAGAACGGGATCGTCGCAGCTTCCTAATGTCGGGGCGTCCACGGTGAATTGGCAAAGGAAGGCATGACAGCTGTCAAGTGTCGGTCTATCGTTGAGTTTACGGGTATCTACTCCTCCATCGACTCCCAGCCCTTCTCCTGCTCTCCCTCGTCCTCGTCGGCGCTCTCGCCCTCGTCTGTATCCGAGTCTGTGTCAGACTCTTCCAAGCCCACAAGCCTCTCCTTTGCACCAGGCTTCATCTGCGGCACTTTGGTAGCGAACGCTGCGCGAACCGCCGCGTTGGTGCTCGTGTCCCAGATCTGGACTGAACCTTTGCTGCCTGCGACAGCCAGGCGGAACCCAACTTCCTTGTCTGGCGCAAAGGACGTCGAGAACACTCTGCCAACACCCAGGTCTCGTGAGACCACCATGCTTGGCCCGTTCTCCTGCACGTTCCAGAGCTTGACTTGCTTGTCAGTCGAACCTGTCACCAAGAAGCCGGGAATGATGGGGTTGATGTCAAAAGACGAGATAGACTCGTCGTGGGCCTGGAGTACCCAAGCAGGCTTCGATTGCGAAGGGTCTGCGGGCGCCATGCGCGTGTCGTGATAGTGGATCATGCCGTTCTCGGTGGAAATCTATTTCTGTCAGCCAGTGCTCTACTCAAAGTCAAATGCGCACATACGTAGAAGTAGTTGGGATCGTGAGGGTTCCACCTGACTGTCTCAACATCGCTCTCGACACCCCATCTCGGTGCTTTTGCCTCGGGTGTTCGCATGTCGGCCGCGACCACTGTGCGATCGTAACTGCCGCTAAGAAGCACCGTGGACTCGACAGGATGCCATGCGACGGAGCACACCTTGTCTGTGTGATATGTATACGACTTTGCGCACTTTGTTGTATTCAGGTCCCACAGCTTGACGGTTTTGTCGGCAGATGAGGAAGCGAGCAGATTCCTGTGTTGACGGTTGGCAGCAAGCGACAGAACCGAGTCGACGTGGAAGTTGTCGTTGGCCTTCTTCGACTTCTTCTTCTTCTTCTTGGGCTTGTCTGCGTTTGCGGCGTCCTCGGAGCCTTGCCCGAGAACTGCATCTGGGTACATGCTGTCGACTACGTCCAAGTTCCAGAGCTCAATATCAGGATCCATGGTACCAATGGCGACAGTGTTGCCTTTGCCGTTACCTGACCCAGCCGACTTGCCCACAGCCAGATCCAACCACTCGACCGCGAGAGGAATGGCCGGCAGCATGATGTCGTGGTGCACATAGAGGTTGTCGTCGGCATCCTCATAAACGTAGACTTCCAAATGCGCAACCTCGTCCTCTATGCGACCAGCCAGAACCAGGTTGTCTGTGGCGAGAATCTGCAGCTCTTCCCTCTCCTCGTCGTCCTCTTCGTCGGCGCCCTGCATGGTGATGTACGGGTCGTCCTCGTCGTTCTCATGGAAGACCAGATTGTTGGCGTTGCCAAACATGGCCATAGTGTCGCCCGCAGCTTCGTCGACTTCGTCGTCATAGTGCTCGAGGTCGTACTCGGCAAGGTCGTCGTCGTCGTCGCTGCAGTCCGTGAGCAAGAAAAATATATGACCGCGTGGTGTGGACGTACTCGTGGTTCTTCGACTTGGATTTCCCACTGCTCTTATCCTTCTTCTCGGCTTGCGCCTCTTCAAGGTCTTCCTTCGCATCGTCGAGCTGGAGCTTGGCCAGCTGCGATATGCGCTCAAACTCGTCCTCGTCGAACTGGTACTTCTCCGGAAAGGGCGCCGCAAAGCCGCGCGGCACCCACGTTGTCGCTGTGATCATCGACATGTTGCTGTATGTTCGAGGCGCAACACTCCAACTTTTGCGCGGGGAACTTTTTTGACATGGAAATTTTAGCGTGCTTCTTATCGATATGAACTTCATGCATCGCTGACGCGTGCGCGTTGCGCCCCATCTCTCACCGCCCCACAGTCATGGACCGCGGCCACAGCCCCAAGCGGCGCAAGCTGGACGATGAAGACTATGAGATTGCCCCGCAGCTCAAATTTCGCAAGCCGAACCGGCCCCGCGACCGCGACCGCGACCGCAATGGCGCGCAGAATGGCAACGGCGCCCAGAAGCCCTTCGAAGGGGCGGAGCCGCTGGTGGAGGAACTCGACTCGATGGCGCTGGACCGCGACTGGTACGGCGGAGAAGAGAACGGGCACACCTTTGGCGACGACTCGCACAACCCCTTTGGTGGCGCCGAGAGCTCATGGCAGGACTCGCAGCGGGAGGCCGCTCTGACGGAGAAGAAGCTGAACAACCGCGCGAGCATGCGAGCACAGCAGAAACAGAAAGACGTCGATGCGTGGGAGACCAACAGAATGCTGCAATCAGGCGTTGCGCAGAGGCGACATTTTGACGATGATTTCAACGACGACGACGAGTCAACCCGCATTCACATCTTGGTCCACGACCTGAAACCGCCATTTCTGGACGGCAAGAGGGTATTCACCAAGCAAATCGACCCAGTCCCCGCCGTGCGCGACCCGCAGAGCGACATGGCTGTCTTCAGTCGCAGAGGCAGTAGAGTCGTCAAGGAGAAGCGACAGGCGAAGGAACGAGAGAAGCAGACTAAGGAGGCCACGAGCGCGAAGGGGACTACTCTGGGCAACATTATGGGTGTGAAGGAGGAGGACACTGACAGCGCTGCTCCTGGGCCTGAAGATGGTGAGGCGAAAGGTGGCAGCAAGTTTGCCACTCATCTCAAGAAGCAGGAAGGTGCAAGTGCGTTCAGTAAGAGCAAGACGTTGAGAGAGCAGCGACAATATCTACCAGCCTTTGCAGTCCGAGAAGACCTCTTACGCGTGATCCGAGACAACCAAGTCACCATTGTTGTAGGCCAGACTGGTTCAGGCAAGACGACGCAGCTCACACAATTCCTTCACGAGGACGGCTATGGAAAACTGGGCCTGATCGGCTGTACACAACCTCGTCGTGTTGCCGCAATGAGTGTTGCCAAGCGTGTTAGTGAAGAGATGGAAGTCAACCTCGGCGGTCTAGTTGGGTATGCTATCCGTTTTGAGGACTGTACCAGCAAGGAGACCAAAATCAAGTACATGACAGACGGTGTTCTACTTCGAGAGTCGTTGGTTGAACCTGATCTGGACAAGTATTCCTGCATCATCATGGATGAGGCACACGAACGCGCGCTCAATACCGATGTGCTTATGGGCCTCATCAAGAAAGTTCTGGCGCGCCGAAGAGATCTCAAGCTGATTGTTACATCCGCCACGATGAACTCGGACCGCTTTTCTCGTTTCTATGGTGGAGCGCCAGAGTTCATTATCCCCGGTCGCACCTTTCCCGTCGACATACAGTACGCGCGTTCTCCGTGTGACGACTACGTCGATGGCGCTGTAAAGCAAGTCCTTGCTATACATGTCTCGCAAGGTCCAGGTGACATTCTGGTCTTCATGACAGGTCAAGAAGATATCGAAATCACTTGTGAGCTCGTCGCAGAGCGGTTGAAACTCCTCAACGACCCACCGAAGATCAGTATCCTACCCATCTACAGTCAGATGCCAGCAGATCTGCAGGCCAAGATCTTCGAACGGGCTGCACCTGGTGTTCGAAAGGTCATCGTTGCCACAAATATTGCAGAGACGAGTTTAACGGTTGATGGCATCATGTATGTCGTTGATGCAGGGTTCTCCAAACTCAAAGTCTACAATCCCAAAATGGGTATGGACACTCTCCAGATCACACCTATCTCACAGGCGAACGCCTCGCAGCGTGCTGGCCGCGCTGGGCGGACAGGGCCCGGTAAATGCTTCCACTTGTACACAGAACGGGCATTCAGGGATGAGTTCTACATTCAGACCATTCCTGAGATCCAAAGAACCAACCTTGCCAACACGGTTCTGCTTCTCAAGTCTCTCGGTGTGAAAGATCTCCTCGACTTTGATTTCATGGACGCGCCGCCCCAGGACACTATCACAACCTCACTCTTCGATCTCTGGGCTCTCGGTGCTCTTGACAACATTGGTGATCTCACACCTCTCGGGCGCACAATGACAGCCTTCCCTATGGATCCTTCGCTCGCCAAGCTGATCATCACCAGTGTCGAGTACGAATGCAGCGAGGAGATGCTGACAATTGTGGCTATGCTTTCAGTCCCTTCCGTATTCTATCGGCCGAAAGAACGCCAGGAAGAATCCGATGCTGCGCGCGAGAAGTTCTTCGTCCCTGAAAGCGACCACCTGACGCTGCTGCATGTCTTCACACAGTGGAGAGTCAATGGCTATTCAGATGGCTGGTGCATACGGCATTTCTTGCACCCCAAAGCTCTGCGTCGAGGCAAAGAAATCCGCGACCAAATCAAGGATATCATGGAAAAGCAGAATATGCCCCTTGTCAGCTGCGGCACAGACTGGGATGTCGTCCGCAAGTGCATCTGCTCAGGCTATTACCACCAGGCTGCTAAGGTCAAGGGCATCGGGGAGTACATAAACCTCCGTACCAGTGTCACGATTCAACTGCACCCTACTAGTGCACTATATGGGCTTGGCTACCTGCCTGATTATGTCGTGTACCACGAGCTTATCCTTACGAGCAAGGAATACATGTCCTGCGTCACCTCCGTCGACCCGCACTGGCTCGCGGACATGGGCGCGGTATTTTACTCGATCAAGGAGAAAGGCTATTCGGCAAGAGACAAACGGGTAACTGAGCGCGAATTCAACCGCAAGGCAGAGTTGGAGGCGAAAATGGCAGAAGACAAGGCAAGAGAGGACCAAAGAATTGCTGAAGAGGAGAGCGGCCCACTGATCAAGAAAGCTGTGTTGGGTAAGAAGAAAGAGGCCAATGATGGCGTTGTAAAGCGGCCAGTCATTGGTATGAAGAGCAAGTTCAAACGGAGGTAGTGCCGCGTTCAGCATAGTACGAACCAGTGGACCGAGTGACATCTGGGGTAATTCCGCGAAGCTAAGACAATTGCGAGACAATTCGACCGAACTATCACCAATCCTCAATTTCCCCTCCTATGTCCCAGTGACGATGGCAGTGCCGCTCACATTACAGAGAAAAAGCAAACATACGTTCAACCGGCGCTTGAGTAATTCCGCCCTCATTCTTCGTACATCCTTAAGACTCGCACAGGCCCTGCGCAGTGGCTTAGCGCCTCCGTGCCGCAGCTTGACATGCTGACATCGCTGTACCTGCATGAAACTAATTCGACTTGTTACAAGATGCTTGTGCATCGTGCCTTAGCAAGTCAAACCGTCGAGGAGAACATTGCGCTGCTCTATATTGGCCAAACCTTGCCCTATGCATGCCGCGTCGGCCCCATCTATTGCGCCGGCATGGGTAGGCAAGATGTTCCTTCCACCAATGACGCTGGTTGAGGATATACAAGCCCTCTTGAGGGGCGTCGGGCCATCCATCCTTTCCTTGTTCCCCGTTGACCTGGTTAACGATCACCAATCGCCTGGCCCGCCTTCTCTTCCGTAAATCTCGAACTCTGCCACAGTGTCCGGACTTGGGCAAGTGGGATCGGATACGATCAGCCGTCTTGCAATCCCTGGCCATGTCCCTCGACAGGGCTAATGAACGTGGTAGACACGGTGTGTCCAAAAGACATAATGGCACAACGGTGACCTGCGCAATAGTTGTCTCGGAGGGCTCACTCCGATTTTCTCCCATCTGTGTCCATCAATATTACCCGCCAGTAGCATCGTACATATCACAGGCTTACGCCTCACGTCTCACTAGACGTTTTGGCGTTTCGTCTGCCTGATTTCTTTTTGTCGATATCAGCAACACCGAGTGAAAAACCTCCGGAAGCCTCGACTACCTAGGTACATACACGCCTCGCGCTCGAGCAGATGATCGCCAAACACTCGCAACCATGAATAAAGCCACATTAGAGAAGTTTCTCAATGCACCTGCACTTGAACCGCCGCCAGGCGTCAAGCCAAATTTCAAAAACCCAGATAACCTGAGCCACCCAGAGCTCGCTGTCTTGCAGCTCACGATCACGACGCTGGTGGTGTGGATGCGGATCTTCACCAAGATACGAGTTTTGAAAAGGGTATTGGCCGAAGATTGTAAGCACATACACTGATGTGGAGGATGAGATCTGGCCATTCAGTGCGCTAACATGAAACTCCAGACTGGTTGATCATAGCATGGATATGCTTTGTCGCTTTCCATGTGATAGTCTTCATGTTTGAGGCCTTGCCTCTGGGCGTACACCAGTGGGATCTTACCGTTAGAAGAGCGATTGTCCACGCGAAGGTACACATCCAATGGTGTTGTCGCCATGTTCTCCATGCTCTTGTAGAATCTAAATCAATTTTACTGACAATATACAGATGTTCCACATAGCCGTCGCCATTTATTCCTTGATTATCATCCCGCTCAAGGTCTCCCTCATTCTACAAATACGGCGTATCTTCCTGCCACACGACTGCTCACTGCATGCACGCCCCCTTGTACTATGGGTCATCGACGGCTTTCTCGTCCTCAACGTCATGTTCTACATCGCGCTCTTCCTCTTCCAATTCCTCGCCTGCCGTCCGCTCGCCCATGCCTGGAACCCACTTATCCCAGGGACCTGTGTCAGCAACAAAATGGTCGTCCACATCGTCTCCGCCGCCATCAACACCGCCAGCGACCTCATCATTGTAATCTTGCCACAGCCCATCATCTGGCGCCTCGAACTAGGCCGCCGGCGCAAGTGGGGCCTGAGCGCTGTCTTTCTACTCGGGACCCTGTAAGTCCCGCGTCTTACGGCGCACAACATACACTAACACACCGCAGCGCCTGCGCCGCCTCCTCTGTCCGCCTCTACCACACCGTGCGCCTGTATCACGCTACGGACCAGACCTACCGCGGCGCGCTCATGGGCAAGTGGGCTGAGCCCGAGCTCACCTTTGGCTTCCTGGCCGCCTGTCTGCCCGTCCTGCCCGCCTTCGTCAAGCACGTGATGCGCACCTCGTTCGGCCTGCGCGTACGTCGCCTATGGACCCAGAGCCCGCCCTCTGACGGCAAGTCATCGGGTCGCTACGCCGGCAGTAGTGGCCGCCAGGTTCAAACGATTGGGAGCTACGGCAAGAGCGTGGAGAAGGGCAGCCGCATCACCAAGGTCGTGGAGATGGACATCGAGTTCGAGGAGCTGACGCGCGAGTCGCAGGACGGGGCGGTTCCGGACGGAGCGGCGCAGGACCGGAGTCGGGCGTCGAGCCGGGAGCGGGATGAGTGGGTGATTAGCGGACGGGGAGTGCGGCAGCAGGCCAGTGTTGGGCCGCTGCGGGCGTAGCTCTGCCTTCTTCCTCGTTCTAATGACTTTATGTATCAAAAGGCCAATGTATTCTTCTTTCCCACACACTTCCCCAAAGTCGCCCGCGAGCCCACATCACCAACCCCGATCGCCATCTCTCACGCGATCCCCAATCCAGCCCCGATCTCGATGTCACACTACTCACTCGCTCCCAAAGCGCCGCGTCACGGCCCGATCCCGCGTCACCCGATCCCGCTCCTCGCCCGATCCCTGCTCCAGTGTACATCGACACGCGGCGCCAGACGCATCCTCGCTTTGACATGTGGACCCCAGCACTTTGCGTCACGACGTGGTGATTTGGAATAGTGTGGAGGTTAGGGTTTCGCTCTCGTGCTGCAGACTCAGGGAAGCGGTTTGGGCGGGGCCGAGATTGGGTTTGTATAGCTCTGCTGGAGGAATGCGAGGGAAGTCTAGATGCCCCAAACAATACTGGGGGGCTCAGATGATTCCAAGTGTCTTTCTGGTTGGACGGTAAGAGTGATGGTGTGGTGGTGTTTCCAAGGTTGCGACTTGTGCTGCTATCTATGTTCTCAATCTCTACCTACCTAGTGTAGTGTCAGCGGTGCAGGACACCGAGAACAAGAGTACTGGGGATCTTTCGTGTAGTTGGATTTGGGTTTTCGCAGTAGGTGCGCTGAACTTTAATTTGTTTTGTGGTGGTGCTCAACGTGTTTGGTATGGATTTAAGCTTGATTTTGTGCCGAGTCAGTTTCCCTGTCTTGATTTTGCGTCGTCCCCGGCAAGTATATCATCGACCTCGAGATGTAATCCTCGCCTATTTTCAGCGCTGGCTGATTTGTGTGAGGAATCATATGAGTGCATGGTGACGAGTTCGAGCTCTTTAAAATGCTTTAGTTATCTGTGATACCGATGTCCCGGATTCTCAGAAAATGTCCATTTAGTGAAGATAATATTAGTTGGCTGAGTTTCCACTTATATCCTGTGAAGATTGTAGGCCTCAACAGCCCACTTCGAACCCCGGAAGATAGGGTTGTGAATGTTGGAGCAGCCTCTGATTCGCCTACTCGAGTACGAACTCCAGCTCTGACTCTCCAGATCGGCTTGAGAGTTCTTGTAACGACTGATTCTTCACATCAATCGAATAGCACGTCGTAACAGGAGGGGTTATTCGTCTTAAAACGGCGCGGTGACGTGCTGTTTTGTGGGGGGAAAATTCAGTCGAATACGTCTATTGCACGCATCCTAAACCCTTGATCGATATTAGCCGTACTATTACTCGGTTGAAGTGTTTAAGACACACCTGTATGTACTACACTGCCTACGTTAGTATTGACTGAATAGATATCGTATGGCAAAAGAGGCAGGTACTCGTGTCGTCCTTTCCGCTAACTTGCCTCTGACATACCCTGAATATCATGGCAAAAAGCTGTCACAGGGTAACAGTCTGCGCTGAAAATAGTACGATGCTACAAAGTTAGCAAATGACGTGCTCTCAAAGATTGGTAACGGATGATCGCATCCTCTGACATCGACTGAGGTCGGTTTCAAGGCACCCTTCAACATGAGATGTGCAACACTACCTGACCATTTTAGTGACAAAGTCTTTCGGATGAACGAAACTTTCTTTATTCGGAAACACATTTCTGAGATTCGTCAAGTTGGCGTCGTCTCCTCCATAGCATAAATGTAGGAGTGTGGACTCGAGTACCTCCAAACAATGACTCAGCGAATGCGTACTGCGTTACTTCCTTATCGAGTGCAATGCGAGAAAAGTCTGCAATTAGCATACTATACCTTGAGTGATTAGAAGGCTGTGATCACTATAGTACGTATACACAAGAGGCTTTCTAGACAGAGTTGGTAACGAACAACATAAGTAATTGATGGCGAGCAGACCAAGCTGAGCGTTGTGACAATCTCCATAAGCCTCTCACTAACCCGGTCGGCGTTGCAGTTCTGGTTGTAACCAACTCTATCTGTAAGGGATCATCTGCGAGATGGAGAACTTCGATGACTTGTCGAGTCATGATGAGGCGGTGTTCCAGCAGAATTCGCCGGAAGGCTGGGTGCGCCTGCAGTTCGTGTTCGCTTCGTCTTGATGGTTGGAATGCTGGTGCGGGGATAACTTCCGGCGTGACCACACCAAGCGAAACGCTGTCGGATGTCAGCCTCTTCGATGAGAAACTAATTATATAAATTCAAAATGTGTGCAAAAGTTCATAACAAAACGAAGGGGAAATAGCGCAGTGGTAGCGCGTCCGCTTTGCAAGCGTGTAAAGCTATATTGCGGAAGGTCCGGGTTTCGATCACCCGTTTCTCCATTTTTGCAGATTTTCGCGAGCGGATGCGACGTCTGCTTCTTTTTTTTACCTTCGGCGCTAGTGCTCATAGCGCGATCCACGTCCACGTGCCGCACATGCCCTGGCCTGTGCACGCCAAGGCCGCACAGGACCTTGCCTTTTTCTCTCCGCAAATCGATCTTACTAATCCCGATTTGGGAACCCTGCCACCTGCTCTTACTCGTGTGCCACGTGACATACCCGTCACAGCGAGTCGGTAAGTTGCTGTTGCTGTAGTGTTCTGATCATGCGCTAATTCATACGTAGGGTACCAGTCACGAAACTCCACCATGGCTGTATGGTACAACGGCGAACGTATCGACGGCGATATCGGCAACACTGACTTCTCTGGGCCTCCCTCATTCGAGGAAGACATAGATTGGGAGAGTGTTTGGTATGGTACAAACACCGAATGCACTCAAATCCAGCAGAACAATGGCCAGAGTGTTGGCCACAACGCCGATCTCTCTGCTCCCGCCTTCGCTTCATTTGATGAAGGCATAGACATGCAGAGGAATGGCACAAGCACCGAAAGCACTCAATCCCAGCAAAACAACGCTACAGCGCAGCCGCTGCAACAAGTCTAGCACCTGCAGTTCCCTCAAAGAGAGTTCATGATTTCGGAACAAACGCTCAAGATGAGCCGAAGAAGAAGAAGGGCAAGAGCGGCGCCGAAAATGAGCTGAAGAAGACGACGAAGGGCAAGAAAAGCGTCCCCTGAGCGCGGACAACCCTCTGTCTTTTGTGAAGGTCACTGGTAACAAGCCCTCTTCATTGCAGAGCTTTGGTGGAATGTATGATTCGAGAAGACAAGTTCGTGGCCCTTTATCTCTCTGCAGTACTGCACACCAATCAGCAGTTCAGTCTGCAAAATGGCTAGCTGGTCGAACAATTTCCTGGAGAAAGTCTTGGTTAACTAGTTCAATTGACTACTAGTACCAAATCACAACTTCTATGCTGCAGACTAACACTTTTGAATGTATAGCATGCTCGACAATAGGTATAAATTAGCAATTTACACAGCTGCTAAGTGACCACACAATTCATCATACCTCTCGTAGCCAATACGTTGCAATTGTATGTCATAATACAGTAGATTCTTACATGTTTTGGCTAACATAAGGTCGAGGATGTGTCTTCTCAATCCAAAGAAGACTATGTATAGGCTGGCCTCGGGATGATGGAGGATCCGATGCCTTGAGTGGGTCGCGCACAGCCACAACTTGGCGCGTCGCGGACGAACCACACGTCAGCTCCCGAACACAGTTGCGCCCAAGCCAGTAACAGTACAAGACATCTCTCAAACAAATACAATCAGTCCGTGTGATCTGCTCGTAGCACCAGCTCACGTCTCTCACCCCTTCCTACCGCGATCTCGATACCCAGCTTAGGCTACGTTGCCTGCACGCTCACAGCTCGAAGCTGAGCTTCCATAGCTTCCAACAGCTCCATACGCCATCACATCTAACACGATGGGATCGCTAGCCACATACTTCATGGACGTTGTTTACTCGTTCACAAATTGCATGGTGTGCTTCCCGAGCTCTCCGCAGCTCAAGATCAACAGCCGTAGCTTCAAAATACTGCGGTTGCTCGGCGAGGTAAGCAGGCTATCTGGACAACGCGGTCAAACAGCAATTGACGCAATTTACACAGGGTGGTTTCTCATACGTATATCTCGTACAAGACAACTCGAATCAGCAGCTTCTTGCGCTCAAGAAGATACGATGTCCCTTTGGCCAGGAAAGCGTCAGCTTGGCGCTAAAAGAGGTGGAAGCATACACGCTGTTCTCGCCGCACCCGAACATCATCCACTCAATTGACTACTCAGTCGAAACTGACAAGTCCGATCCATCAGCGAAAACCGTATACATCCTCCTCCCATACTATCGCCGCGGCAATCTGCAGGACATGATCAACGCGAACCTGGTCAATCACACAAAATTTCCGGAGAAGAGGTTGATGGATCTGTTCCTGGGAGTCTGCAAGGCGCTCAAAGCTATGCACCAGTATAAGGTCAAGGGCGGACCAGGCGGTGCAAAGAGCGACAGCAAGGCCAAGAAGGTCCGACGAGAGGCCGCCCGCGCAGACGCGGAGGCAGCACAGAGCATGGAGATGCGACCGAGCCGGAGACACCACGAGAACGACGACGAGGATGACGAGCAAGCAGAGGGGTTATTGGAGGAGAGCAACGTCACAATGGCACAAGAAGGCATCGCGGCTGGTGGAGAGAGGGCGTATGCGCATCGCGACATCAAGCCTGGTACGTATTCACGCCGACAGTTTGCATTCTATATACTCATGCATCACAGGAAATATCATGATCGACGACGACGGCAAGTCGCCTATCCTCATGGATCTCGGCTCCCTAGCACCCGCGCCAACCCCGGTTACCTCACGCTCGCTAGCGCTCCAAATCCAAGATACAGCCGCCGAACACTCAACGATGCCGTATCGCGCGCCTGAACTCTTCGATGTAAAGACTGGTTCTGTCATCGACACCAAGGTTGACATCTGGTCGCTTGGCTGCACATTGTACGCCTGTCTTGTAGGCAAGTCGCCGTTCGAGTTCAGGAGTGACGAGACTGGTGGTAGCTTGAGCATTTGTGTGCTTGGTGGCGACTGGAGATTTCCCGACGAGGGGCAACAGCGGGGCAAGCAGAAGCAGCCGGCCGACGGCGAGGGCATCAGCGATGCTGTCAAAGACGTCGTACGGAAATGCTTGATGCTGGAACCGAGTGAAAGGCCCGATGTGGATGAGCTGATCAGCATAGTCGAGGACGTGCTGCAGAGGCTGCCTGAGGACGGAATGGAAGACTGAGTGCAGCACGGATTTTGACGGTTCTGTAGAATCATATGTTCACATCTCTGGCGTCCAGAAAGGTTCCTTCGTTATATTATACCCAAGGTATCTCAGTATCTCCTCACGTTAAGTCTGCCTAGTGGCAAGGTGCTTGTTCATTGTTTCCATCCCTGCCATCTAGCTAAGTAGATGCACAGGTACCCCAATTCTTTTCCGTTCCTGGCAGCCTTCCTTTCCTGCAAAAAATCGCATGAAGAATCAGACTCGGGGTTTCCACGGATTTTCCCACGTGAAACGTACCTCACGGAATTTCAACGCACCGCCTACTCGATAAAGCTGCTCATACACAACGATGACCACCGGTGGCAAGTCTCTGTAGATGTGCTTTCTATCCGACCTGTCTGACTTCTCGAAAAACTTCCTCAAGCGTAGTACTAGGCCTTCGAGTGTGAGTGTACGAAGATTTGGGAGTGTGTTCAGGATCGGCTCGGGCAGGCGGAAGTCGTGGCACACTTGCAGGTGCCTGACAAGACCGCGATGCTCGTGTGAGAGTCTCGAAGCCCAATGCCGCAACATGGCCGGGTCGTTGGCGCAGAACACGCTCTGGGTGTAGAACATGTGGCCGATCTCGTTGTGCATTTGGCGACATACATGTTGCAGAGCTAATTGCGACTCCAAGTAGGCCCAATCTGGCAGCGAAATGGTGCTCATCAGGGAGTCCGAGATATGAGTGCAAAGTCCGATCTCTATCACTTTGTTGTTTGGCACTAGCTCGGCGTAGATGTTGTTACGTAGCTCAGCGGGGAGACGGAGGAGCGGCGATTGTTGCTGATTGCGTTGGGTCCTGCGGTGATCCGTCAGTGCCTGGTCTTATGTGTGTAGCTAGTTATGAGTTTTACTTCTGATCACACAGGATCTTTGTAATCGCCGAATTCGTCACCTTGGTCACCTTCGCTGGCTTGGTCACCTTCGCTGCGTTCGCCAGTGGCTTCGCGAGGCCAACAGCGCGACCAATCTGCTTTGTTTCAGTATTTGCGTGACGTGGCATGATTTTGTGTTGTTGTGTTGTTGTGTGTCTGAGGAAGCAGGGTGGGAAGCAGGGTGAAGCGTATGAGTAGAAAGTGGGGCAGGCAAACGAGAAAGCCGCAGTGAAGGTGAAGCTTCTACTCACAAAAAACTCAAGGGAAACCGAAGGTGCGTCTAGCAGCTTGACCTATTAAGCTGTAGCTGCTTCGTGCTGGTAAACTAATCCCATCGCAGACCGACCCAGTTTGTGAATTAGTTACCTGGAAATATGGCAGTCTTCATTACACAAGCTCTTCCATACAACAAACAAATTGAATCCCTCCACGCAACCTCAAGGTACGAACAGTTAAACTGCTATAAAGTGCGATGTTCACCATAAAGCCTCTAGAGAAAGTTTCTCTGTAGAAACTACACTGTAGATAGCTTTATGCCACGCATTCGTAATAGAAGACTCGAGCGCAGTGCCGTGAACGACTATGAGCTCGAGATCCCGTACCTCGATTTACTAAGTGCCACCCCAGCGTGGTTTCCCTAAACTAAATTTACTCCTCCTTCTAAGCAGTCCTAGTGTCTTAAGTCCTAGATACTTTTGTGACTGCGTGATGTGAACTCTAAGGTCTACCAAAGAACTAACAATGCGTGTAAAACCATGGCTTATTTATTGTGTGCTAGTCGGAATCAAAAAGAGGCTGCGTAGCCACCCTGCCCTACAACAAACACTAGGTGGTTGACCAGAGCAAAAAAGTGGACGCTGTGGGAATTGAACCCACGACCTTTCACAAGTACGTATCATAAGATGCGAAGCGAAAATCATACCCCTGATTGAATGTTAGCGGCTGCTGTTTAAGACAGTCATGAGTGATTCTTACCTAGACCAAGCGCCCTAATTGACTTTTGATACAGAATTGTTCAAATATTATATATATACTTCGTTCAAAAAAAGGTATTGGACCATCTAACAACGTTTTGTTGGCGCGACTTGCATGCTGTGTCGTGATCTTTCTATTTACCGTGTCGCAGCTACCGTAAGATAAGAGGGGCAGCTCGATCCAGTCGTCGGCCCTCACGATAGCGGTCTGCAGTGCTGTACCAGTGCTTCCACACAAGGCCAGAACATCGAGAGCTTGACCATCGGGAGCCACCCCAGAGATAATGGTCCTGCTAGGTGAAGGATACGAGGTATTGTAATGTAAGCTAGCCACTGTGTCTGATCATGTACAAATAGGGGCCTTGTTGCTTATTGCTCGGCATGTTGACAGACACTTGCAGCCCTGCACCACGTCAAGGCGACTCGTCCCCATTTCCCCAAACGCCTCCCTGATCGACATGCGATCTGAATAGGCCCAGCGCTAGCTACGTGATTAACATTCACGATAAGGAGAATAGGAGCGGAATGTATTCCGGTTGTTGACGAGCAGCTGGATGCATTCAGAAGATCAGCACGATGACGGTCCAGGCACATAGTATCTATCCAATCGTGCTATTCTATAACCTTAAAAGACCCGAGTACACGCCCACACGCTATTTCCTGACTGCCGTGCACCGAATCGTTGAGTGTAAGTTTGCGCTCAAGCCAGAGTCAAGTATCGCGAGCAGCCACGGGGCATCAAATCGACTCAAATCCTAGATCGTAGGATGTATGCTGTTAGCAAGTCGCTATCGCACAGCGCCTGCGATTACACAGCTCGAGTGCGCCTGATCTTCTTGTCCATGCCAGTTCTAGCCGTCTTGGAGGCTGGATCTTCCTTCTCATCGCCATCATCGTCGGGCTTCCTCCTCTTGGTGCCCTCAGACTTTCGTGCCGAATAGTGATCGTCCTTGCCAGTCCTTCTCTTCTTGTAAGTACCCTTGGAGTCGCCACGATCTGCATCGGACGCGCCACCTGAGGGGCTCTTACGATCTGTGCGCCCCGCGGTGGAGTCATTAGAGCGACCAGAACCACGACCGGCAAAGCCTGCGTCACGGCTCGAAGCTCGCGTACTTCCTCCACGACTCGTCTTGCCTGCAAGGACTAGAGAGGCGTCACCATCAGAGTCGCCGTCAGAGTCGTCATCCGAGTCATCACCTGAGCTGTCCACCGTCTCATCGCTGACGTGACCCAAACCGTCTTCTGTCTTCTCGATCTTTGGAAGCTTTACTCGAGCAACAACACTCGATTTAGCAGGACCAGCGGGAAGCTCACGGAAGAAGCGCGTAGTATCGATCTTGTCTCCATTCGGCAGCGTGCGTCGCAGGTTCTTCTTCTTTGACATCTTGCCTCCAGGTCGCAGGAACTCCCCTGCCAACAGCAACATGTTGTATGGGACCCGGCGGTCATCTTGGCCTTGCTCAGACAAATGAGCCATCGCCTTCAAGGTAATGTTGTGAGGATGATGCTTGTATTTTGGTCGACAGGCAAAGTTCATCAGCTTGGTGTACACGGAGTACGTTGGATGCTCTGAAGTGCTGACAGGATCCCAGTGGCCACCATTTGGTGCGATCTCTGAGAAGAACTGCTCCAGTAACCACAACAAATCGCTCGGTTGAGCGGGCAATCCTGGCTGGGCCTTACTCTTCATCTGATCCCAAGTAGCTTTGAGCTTTAGTACCTTGGCAGGGAATAGCAGACTTCGACAAGATGAGTACTTGTCGAAAAATTCCACTGGAAGGGACCCCTCCAATTGCTTTGAAGTGTCGGGCGAGTGCTCAGACATGACTTCGTCAGCAAAGACGCTCTGCGTCACATCTTCCCAATGTTCTACGAACGTAAGCGCACCGTCCAGGCTCACAACCGACATTGCGAGGAAGATCATAGAGATGGGCAAGGTAATGGTCTTGGCCTTCTTCGATGCTAGAGGAGCTCGAGTCCCAAGAGTGTTGCCATCAGCATCGCGAACATCAAGCCCGCACTTGTCGCTGTGCCAATGTCAGTATCATTAACCATTCGTAAAAGAAATTACACTTACAAATAAAGGAAACACTTTGTCGTGTTGTTGGCTAGGACAACATCGTCACTCAACGGGAGCGGAGCGATCTCCCAGGTTGTGCCATCCTCCTCCTTCCAGGAAAGCTTGTAGAACTCAGGCCTACCTGAGATGTTGGAATCCTCTTCAATTGACAACTGCCATCCTCCCACGGAATCCTTCACCACGGTAACAGCCGTGCTGTATCGGCTACGCCTCGCAGCACGAAATGACTTCCGAGGTACAATGTTGACAGGCATCTTCATCGTCGGAGCCTTACTTCGCTTGGCTGCAGCCTCGCTGTAAGCTTGGTGGCAGTCTGCATACTCCTGCTTTGCTCGGCTGAGAGTGCGGCCAAACTCAGTGGTCGGCCCTGCCAATTGATTGATTCGGACGATGATTTGCTTCGCGTACTCCTCGCGGCTGACAGGCATACCCTAGCTAGCAATCTGCAATGCACACGACATCGCACACCAGGCTACCGCAGCCGTGAGAACAAAGACTCGGGTAGCCTTATCCTTGACGATTCCGCCACGGCTCAAGAAACCGGGGTGGAAAGACGGAATGATAACGGTAGCTGACTCCGGGTTGTTGTCGGAGTCCTTGCCATCGAAATGACCCAAGTAGGGCACGCCACGGGGAAGAGCTACACCAGGAGTACGACACGCCTTCTTCCAAGATGCAAATGTTTGGGCGTTAGTCAAACCAAAGTTGCATTGAGCAGCGAAGAGTTGCTACGACAGTCAGTCCTTGCGCTTGCGCTCATTGGTACTAGATCAAACTCACCTCCTCACCATAGGTGAACACAATCATTGGACGTACGGCATTCATGTACCGTCCCAGGAGTTCTGACGCCTTGGCCGAGTCCTTGTCTTCCTTGCTGTACCATGGCCAACGGTCGACAAGAGGCAAATAACCGTCTCTAGCAAGCTGCTTGAACTTTTGTGGATCCACAGACTCAAGAGCTGTAGGTCCCTCCCAGCTAGCAAAGTGGTTGTAAATGTAACCAACGGCCTCCGCTGACCGTCCACCTGCCTCCCAGAAGCTGTCTTCGGAGCTGTCGTGGCCCTCGCCAAGGTCAGATGCAACAGTAACCATCACGGCTGACCCATTAGGCAACATTGAAGGTGTGCCTTGGTCACGAATCATGGCCTCGGTATGTTCGTTGAATGCTTTGTTCTTGGTCGTGCTGGGGTTCTTGTCCACATACCTACGCACATCCGACGCGTACTTGCGGATGTCCTCGGTTTCGGCAGCAGTGCAAGACCGAGTCTGGCTGTACAGTAGTGCAATCGTCTGAGACTGCAAAAGTTCAAAGTTGCGGCGATCCTCGTTGTAAAGCGTGATCACGTCTTTGCCTCCTGCCTGGGTATTTAGTGAGCAATCTCGGAACATAGCGATGAGAATTTGCTCGCGAAGATCGGCTTGCTCTCGCGAGACCGTCTCAATTGCCCCAGCCACGGAGTGGACCTTGATAGCACGCAGAACTTTCCTACCCTCCTCCGACTGACCAAGTGAAAGCATGAAACGGCCGAAGAAGGTTTCGATGCTCGAGTACATGTCTGAAGTGTGTCGCACCCAAGGGCTGTCCTTGGTTTGGCCACAGTATCGCAACGTAAAAATTGTCTCGTCATCCATCTCTTCTTCGATGCGCTGCTGCCAGTAGTGAACACGCTCTAAGGTGTTGTAGCCTTGCTCAGACATGTCGTTCAAGATGCCTTTAAGCAGTGCGACGGGGACTTCAAGGGTACGGATGTACAGTCGATTGACAGCGCTATTGGGGTCGACTTTCGGTGAGTCTGCATTCCACTCATGCAGGAGAATGAGGGTTTCGAGCATTTCCTTAGTCAGAGAAAGAGGATCTTCGAGCAGCAGACGCCAGAAAGGTTGATCGGGGAGCCTAGGAGAACATTTTAGCACACGAGAAGATGGGTATCAGTAAACATGGCAACTTACGCTTGCGGCAGGCACCATGACATATGCATATGAGTATCGGATGGATGTTTGATGTATTCGGCCTGTAATCGGAGCTTCACGAGACCAACGACGAGCTGCCGCAGACCTTCCAATGTCTCGACGTTCTTGCGCACGACTGCAAGATTCAGCGACCCATGGCCGGGAACAGCCCGTGTGGAACATCCCTCAGGCTGATGATAGAGGACATCGTAATGATCGTTATCGCTTGCAGTACGGCGCACCTTGTCGAGCAGCTGTTGAGCATTCCGCTGGTCGCGATCCGTGGCGATCCTGCGAGACATGTTGATAGAGAGAGCAGAAATCGATGCGATCAATCGTTCCGCTCTAAAAAGAATAGTAAGCATTCTATTCGAAGCATGTGGCACGTATTCGGCGGGGTAGCTGCGATCTGGGTCATACTTACAACTGTCTGTTGTGTCGCTAGGCTTACAAGAGATATGTGTGGGGTGAGAGGTCTCAGGATTGAGACATTGAGGAGCGGGCGGTGCGGTAGGGGCGACGGGCTGCGCTTTCAAGAATTTGTGCTTGCATGGCCTGTTCGCGCCAAGCGGAGTCGCAAGTGAAGGGCCCTGTCATGTGCCTTAGTGGCTTGTGCTCATCCCAAGTACTTTGGGAAACCTCCACACCTCGATAGCTCGGTAGAACTACACAAATATGATTCAAACTTCATCATCCTAGTTCCTCACAGACCCGTTACTGACACAACAACAAAAACAACGCGGATCAATCAACTCCTTGGCCAGGATCTACGAAACAATGTGATTCCAAGTGTCTCTGGCCAGTTCGAAGGTTGGGACGGGACAAGCTTGTTTCGGCTCCTGGAAAGCGCCCGTTTGACGATGAAGTGTTATCGAGATAATTAATATATATATGTATAGTTGACAGCCATCGCATCTTATCGTGCATGTTCATCTCAGTCAAGATGTTCAGCAACATCTCGATGATCGAAGCGTGGGATTGCGCCAGGATTATTATCAAGCAAGCACGCTGTAACCGAGGTCTGCCGACACAGAGCTCGTGTACGCCTGAACTTGTCGGCACCTTCCTCATCGACCTGACAATTAACAAAGTTTACACATCGTCCTGATAGATACAGCGATGAGACCACATACTCTAGCTCTTGCACATCCTATGTATTTATCCTCTCCAATGACTGAACTCTCGGAGAGCCATGCGAGTTGGGTCAGAGACTTTGATACAGCGAGATACCGGGGAATAGCTGCACGTACTTTGGAGTACGCCAGCCTGACCACCTTCTTCAATGCGAACGACTGTACTGAATCCCGTTCTGGATTTCATTTGGGGGCCGTATTTTCTGTTCAGTGATTCTTCATGCACAGCCTGGTTGGTGCAGGCAGCAATGAGGCCGACAACGCCACACCTGCAGCTGTGGGCGAACCATCAGCCTTCGCTTCACTCAGCTCAGCTCCTCAGCTAATCATGCGAATAGTGATGAAACGGACCTCTCTTGCAGCCTTGTGCCTGCTTCTAACCGGTGAATGCGAGGATTGCGACATAAAAGCCTGCCTCTCAGCCCTCTTCCATTTCAACCATCTCTTTCCATCCTCCTTTCATTCCACCAGTGTTCTGCGTTTTTATGAGCTCTTACACCGACGACGAGTGGACTCTTCTCAATCCCACCGCACCGCCTCAAGCAGATATGGATACCAGCGCCCACGAACTCCCCAGCACGGCTGCTGCTCCTGCCCGTGACTGCACCATCAATGTCAAGGCTGATGCCGACGCAAAGAAACACAACGACGACTGCACTTGCGAGACAAAGCCAGCGCTCGTCCGCAAAGACAGTATCGAGTCCTTCGATGAAGATTACCGCCGTCCGCGTCGTGCTGGTCGCGTTCCCCCTCCTCCTCAGCGTCGGTACACCCCATCACCACACCGATACTACCCGCCACCGAACCCCTTCTCATACCAATCCTCTGCAGTCAACTCGTCGACCCAACTGCTCGACAAAGTCGGCAAGGAAGACGGCATCGTCGAATTCCCGCCGCCTGCTGTCCGCAACGTCTACCTGACCACCTACCCCTTTGGTGACAAAGATGTGAAGAAGTGGTCCTGGCTATTCGCCTCAGGCGTCGAGGACGAGTACGTCGCGCAGAGCACCCGCGACATGAACGGCGACATGCCCAGCGTCGAGCGCGTCCGTCAGCGCCGCGGCGAGTTCCCCATCTACGATCCTGCAAACATCGACATTCCGTCTGTGTATCTGTCGCGGGCTCTCGATGTGGAGGTCGTCCCCGAGGACACCAAGCACAACGTGCGCTATCTTATCGTCACGCAAAACCGTCACCGACCTGCGGGATGTAAGCTGATTGTCGCCGAGTCCAGGAAAGCAGCGGGTGTTTTGATTTACTATGAGATTCTGAAGGGAGACTCGGTTCTGTTTATGGGCGCTACGGTGCACCAGTGCAAGACTGTCCATCCCAAGAAGTACAAGAAAGTAAATAGCCTGGAGGAGGCCATCAGTATCCAGGAGGAGGGTTTCGTTGGTGTCATCTGCTGAGCTGAGATATCATTCTGTTGCACGCTAACTGTTCCTCGTTCCTGCACCTTCGGGCTCTCACTCTCTCTGTTCTGGGTCTTACCGCACCAACGTTATGATGAGATATATGATAATGAACGTTTACTATACAATCAGCCCTGAGCTCGCACTTCCACAACTCTCATTCGCTAAATTGATGCTGACTCGGTGAAACCAACCCCAGAACCTACGTCAGCCGGAGCGGCCCCATAGCACCCTCACCACCACCGACCAAACTATAAAGACCCCCAGCAACAAACCCCCCACCCTTCCACCCCACCCCAACCATGGCGCCCCTCAACGACATCCAAAAAGCCTTCCTCGCGAGCCTCCCCCCCTTCAACGCCTCCCACACCTCCACCCACCCCGCGAGCTGCCACTGCGGCGCCGTCCAATACACCGTGACCCTGTCGCCACCACTGACGCAGCAGAAAGTGGGCAGTTGCAACTGCACCATCTGCACGAAGAACGGGTACCTGCTGCTGTACCCACGGCGCCAGGATGTGGCCATCCACCACGGCGAGCAGGCACTCAAGTCGCACAGCTTCGGGCCGAAGCAGCTGCTGCACCAGTTCTGTGGCGAGTGTGGGAGTAGCGTGTGGTTTGACCCGCGGCTGAAGGGGTTGGGGGAGGAGATGCCGGATTTGCTGGGCGTGAATGTAAGCCTTGGGCGCTTCGGTTGTGCGGTAGGGGACTGACGAGGGTAGGTCCGTATGTTGAAGAGTGTCAAGGTGGCGGAGTTGGATGTTGTGGCGTTTGATGGGTACAACAACTATCCGTTCATCGGAGACTCGACGCATTTGAATACGCCATAGTGCTTCTTGGTCATAGGACCGGATCGCTGTTCACACCTGCAGCTCAGAAGCCTGCAAAATTGCTCTTTCAGTTCGGTCTCACTGCGACTTTTCAGTACCTGAAAGTAGAAATAGAAGGATGGCGTGGAGCAAACATGATATTAATAGTCTTGTATTTAAAAGTGATATTTACATGCACCATAAATGAGTCGCCACTAGAAGATCTTCCGTCATGTAAGCTTCGAATGGAAACTCGTCCTACGCTGTCTCTGCTGACTGGGCTGCAACTGTGACCGAATTATTAGTAGCCTGCGTCTCTGGAATCTGCACTGTGCTTTTTTGTGCCACAACCCCTCGACCGTTCTCTTCCTGGACCGGTGTCTGATCCGATGCAGTGACCACTTCACCAGATGGTGTCTCAGTGTCATCATGCTCGTGTCCATTCGTAGAGGCTCCATCATCCATTTCAACGTCGCCGCCATTAGGAGTCTGAGTCTCCGCGACCTCGCTGCGCTCAACATACTCTTTCTTGACCCGCGGCGCGGCCTTGGTGGATTTGATTACTCGCGAACGTGGATGTGCAGTATGGTCACGATCCTCGTTGAACACCTGGTGGGCGTAGTCGTGCTGCTTCCGCGAGGAATTCAGCCCTTCCGGAAAAATTCTTCCGAGGATGTCGCGATGCTTCCTGCGTACGCTATCCGTAACATCCGGCTCATGAGAATCTCGCGAAGTCGGGCTTGGAGTGTCCAGCCCTGCAGGCGTTGTGTGACTGTATCCAGTAGGTGTGGACCCGGCCTCCGCCTCTCTTTGTTGCTCCTCCTTACGGGCGTGTACCTTTCTAAGATTCGCTGCGGATGACTGCGAACGTCTGTCTGGCCGGCCGTCTTTGCGGACTAATATCCCATCCTCATTACGGATAGGTTTTGATCTAGTCTTCTTAACTTCAATGGGCGAGTCTTGACTGTGGTAGACGGTACGAGGCCCAATCTCAGGGGTCCACTCATTCGAACGCTCCACTGACAAGGGTCCGCTACGAGGTCCAACGGCACCCCCACCGCGCCGCACAATACTTCTAGAATGGCCATCAATAACGCTTGGGCTGGCTTGCGTGTCCGGGATAGCTGTCCAATGATCTCGCTCCCAATCTGGCGTTCCCATGGAATATTCATGTCCCTGCATACTTTTCCGCACCCGCCCGCCCCTGCTGCCTGGTCCCCGGCCTCCTCTAGAGCCTCTGCCGCGGGCGGGACGCGACTCAGCCATGCGCTGAGATTCGGGTCGCCAGCTCTGATCCGATGGGCCCTCTTGTGTGCCATAAGGCGGGTAGGGCTGTGTCGGTGGTGGTCCTGGATGCGCACCTGGGTGCGGTCCTGTGAATGGTCCCGGTTGCGTTAGCGGCTGCGAGGCAACCACAGGCTGCGTCTGAGATAGCAGCATGTGCGGTGGCTCGATAGGAGGCTGTGACGGAAGGCTATCCTGAGACCCTCCGGTCACGACCAGTTTGGGACGCTTTGGAGACCCAGGTGCTGAGCTTGTATTCTGATGCGGGCTATTTGTAGCGCTCTCATATGTGCGCTTCACTCCAGCATTCACCGTCGCCCATCCATTCTGGGCAGGAACAGGCTCGGGTCTTTGAGCGCTTTCTGGAGGCATCGTAGCGGCGGAGTTCTCGTGAACAGGCACAACCTGTGGGTTGGATGTCGGCCGAGCGGGTGTCTGGAACACATGGACCGGAGGCTGAGGCGGTGGTAAGGGCGCGGCGTGCGCTACCTGTACTGGTTGCATAGGCTGATGTGCGGGATATGTTAGCTGTGGATGCGGCTGGCGAGTGGGAGCCGACTCGGACTCGAGCCTTTGCACTTTGCCACCCAGGATAGACACAAGGTCTCTCAGTGTTTCGAGATCGGTCGTCCTGTGCGATATGTCTCCGATTCGTCGAGCCATGAGCTCAAGAGCGTCATCTTGAATGGGCTGCATTACGTCGCTCGAGCGCCGTGCGCTTTCTGTCCTGGCGACGTGCACTTCGTGCCCAAGACCGACCATGGTCTGGCGGCATTCTGTAAGCTCTCGGGCTAGCTGATTTACAGTGTCGCCTAATCTGCGCAACTCTTGGTCCTGCCGCTGCAATTGACCCTGGAACTCACTGCGAAGACTGCTCTCGATCTGCCTCACAATCTCAGCAGACTCCACCTGAGTACGTGACTGAGCAGCCAGGACGCTGGTGTTCTGCGAGATTTGTGTCTGCAGGCGCTGAATAGCATCAAAGCGCACGTCGCGCGGATCCCGAGGATACTTGTGACCGTCGCTGTGGCCGTTGACAGCTGGCTCTGGCTGAGGATTTCGGATTGAGCTTCCGATAGTGTGTACAGATGGTAGCTGCGCTGGTTGCGGAGATGCCTGCGAAGGTGGTAGTAATGGAGGGCTATCCGAGCTTGCAACGCTCCGGTTGACAGGTGAATGTGCCGTGACCACTGGCGGCGGCAGAGTCACTGGCTGCGGTAGAGACACATTCGATTGCAATGATTGGCGTACAAAGTCCCGAGGTTGTGAGTACGGGCGCTGTTGCTGCAGCTCGGGTTTGGTCCATAGTGGATGCGAAGACGAGAGAGGTGTTTCGAACTCCATCGTATCCGGGGTGGTCTCGACTCGTGTGGGGGATGGGCTTTTCGACCCTTCGGAGAGTACCAGATCAGGAGCCACGTTTTCCTGGGGCTTTACGGTGATCGTCTTGTTTGGGGATACCTCGCATCGCAGTTCGATGTGTTGGAGCTTGAAAAACTCCCGACCACTTTAAGTCTAGAGTCAGTAAGGCCAAGTATGTGCAGAGCATTACGCAATGACGAATAGAAGCGTTGTTGTCAATTCGAGGCCAAGTACTAAAGTTCGGTTGCAGCGCATGGGTATTAAAGGAGTGGGCCGGGTAAGGGTGGAAAGCTCCGTTGGGTCTTCAAGGAAAGTGCGTTGCGACTCACCGAAATCGTTTCCCGCCTGCAGGTGTATCAACGACTATAAAACCAAGATGGTTGCTGCAGCCTGGACAGCAGGTTAAGTCTATGGTACTACCGCGTGTCAGCGATGTGCCAAAAACATATGAAGAAAGTGCGGGCCGAGGGTTTAATACTAATTATGTGTAGGGTGGAGATAATCTGAGATGGCTAGTGCATACGCGCCAAAAGAATTTTAATACAATGTACCGGACCATTGTGATTGGTGCCAGGATATGGCCATTAATGCTAGGGCATTATCGGGTGCTTGACTGGGAAAGGCAACTGTGCGACAATGCAAAATAGGGCCCAGATTGGGAGGGAGCATATGCACTTACCATCCTGCTAATTCTGTTGAATCTGACGCTGATTTTCGCCAGGCCGATGTCCGCAACAGGCTTCTGTAAGACCCAAGCAACGCAGGGCTGAAGTAACTGCTGGTGACCTTGTGCCACGAGTTGTAAAACTCGCCAATCTTGCCACTGCATTCTTTGCAGAATGCTGAGACTGAGCGATTGATTAACGTTTCAGGTTGTGAAGAGCCTTCCGGACGGGGAGAACCCTCATCAGCACCCTCGGCTACCTCGCCAACATTTGCGTTCGTGGCAATTGCAGTCTCAGGTACGGTAGATACTAGGTGAGACGCTGATCGCCGCCGTTGATGCGTTTTGATCGTGTCACGAGCCCGGGATCGCCGTCTCGTGCCTGCCATGAGATGTGTTCCTCGCTTGAACCTTTCTAATCTTGAGTAGTGTTGGAAGGTTTGAGTTGTACTGTAGCACGTAGAAAAGGGCCGACGACCTAGAGATGAGGAAAGTTGGCGCGGGCCGAAGTAACCGATCTTACGTGCAGATGCTCTCACTAGAACAGCGATAGTGGTTTAACGTTACGGGGATACGATCGAGTAAAGGCCGTATCGGTATTACGACATACGTGTGAGAGATGTTCAGCGCTCCCAAATGGTAAGCATACAGGCAGATGCGTGCAGCGTCAAAGTACAGAAGTGAGGGCAATTTGGCGAGTTGCTATACGAGATTGAGGGATTGTTGGGATCCGGAAAACGAGAAGGGCTTGCGCCAGGAAGCAGCCGATGGAAGCTCAGAGAGGGAACGGGTGTTAAGATTAGCAGAAGTTAAGGACCTAGCGTCTCTTACCTGATGCGCTAACTGGATAGACGCATTCAAACACGAAAAAGAGCGCACTAATCTGGCTCTACCGGCTTATGCGGTTCCAGAACCTGGTCAATATTCATTTGCTCACAATGCGTTGCCTATCGTCATTCCTAGTCATCATTAAGCTACCTGTTATCTTGTGGATGTCGTATGATCCAACGCAGAGCCGTCATTGGGGCGCTAACCGGTATACCCTATCATGCGTTATTGCATCAATAACTGAATTCGTCGACCTTCTGGTTGATTCACGGGCCTGCGTCCCAGAGTTGCACCCAGCATTTACTTTTGCGGCACATGCCACTTACGGCTCGACTAAGCACCGATGTCATGTGGCCACACGCAAGGGATAACACCTATTATGGTGACCAACAAAGAATCGATAGGACGCTTGCCGCGCCAACACTGTGCTTTATATGGAACTGCTGCTTATGCTAACGCGCTTGGCCACACTTGAATCCTCGTCAGGCCCGCGCAAATGTCTTGGAATACGGCATAAAATACACTTACCTTGCTAAACGCCATGCTATGATAAGCGATGATGCTCATGGACAACACTCGCTTGCTTTGGCACATAACCTCAGCTTGAAACCCATGTGCTACTGCGCATGTAGCACAAGCTAGACACAAATAATTGCATCTTATTTGACGACAATAAACCCAACACCGTTGCGAGCATCCTGGCAGGCTTGTGATAGGGCCTGCACCTCGGTGTCCGTCCACTTGACGGTCAAATTATCCCAATTCTTCGTGGCGTACTCGCGACGGTACTGCTGCTGCATCGCTTGCAAACGTCGGATTTCTCTTGGGTCGCCTGTACCACTATACACAATGAGTGCTGTGCAGCGTGGTAATGACTCGTAAATCTGTGTGATGTGATTGACGGTTTTCGCAACGGCATCGCCGAGCTCAGGGCCGTTGACTTCAACTTCGTCTTCTCCATCCTTCAGGAGCCCTAGCCTCTGCAAGGCGTTCTGTCGGATGAGCTCGACATCTGCAGTCTTCGCATCGTCCCACCACCCACGAGCGAGCTCCAATTCACGGAGACGCGCCCAGACGAAATCTACTTTGCAGATGGCACCATCTTTGGCCTCCATTGCTCCTTTAAGAGCGCTGTCGATAGCTTCAACAACATCGTCGTCCGTCTTGCATCCTTTTGAAAGCTGTGCCTGGCCGCCATGCCCACGTTGTGGCTCACCCCAATCAATCACGGCTCCCGCTCGAGTCTCGCTCGACTTCGGCCGTGGCGTGCGCCCCAGTCTCTTGAAGATAGATTCCGCATTTGTGTCGCCAGATCCCCACCTAGGGCCCTTTTCGCACTTCTGTTTGACCAGGTCAAGACATGTCTTTGAATCCTCAACACTATCATGACCGCTGGTGCCTTTCTGAACTTCCCGGTGAAGGAATTTCTGGGCAAGCCACTTTAGCGATTGCTTGTATGGCGGTCCGCGAGGGTGAGGAAAAAGAATGCCAGTGTCGATGATGAACGGGTGCGTAAGTTTCATTGCGTTGAGGTCGGAATTAAGTGAATGCCCGACGAGGATGGTGCGCGGAGTGATCAGCTCCAGCAGCTCCTTCTGTATGTCTGACAATGTGGTCGTCACGTTTTCGAGCATGGCTGGTGTGATACCTGACCACTGAGTCAGGTAGTCTTTTATGGGCACGTCGGGCTTGACCAGTTTGTCCATTGCCACAGTACCATCCCAGTTCAGGAGACTGATTCGGGTCAGTACCAGCTGGTCGTTCTCGGCTTTGCACATCTCGCAATCGATTGAAATGACATGGCGTCCGGCGGTCACGCTGCCTTGCTCAATCTCGCTATCAGGCACTTCACCATCTTCCAGGCTTGCAACATTGGTGTCTACCCAACCGTCGTCCGCAGACTGACCGCCTGCCTGCCTCTCCTTGTATGCCGCCGCCTTTGACTCCGGGGTCAAAAACCAAGCTGGATGGAGTACATATTCGTTTTCTTGTTGATCTGCAAGAGTCGCAATATACTCAGTGATTTTTGTACGCTTGTTATCCCAGTGCTTTGAATTTTGTGGCATGGGGCCTTTGTGGCCACCGTTCTTCTTCATCTGCTTCTCCTCTTTCGATTTTGGGATTTGAGAGGTCAGCATAGTATGGATTGGCGAGTGCACCCTGATAAACTGATTACCACGGTGTTCGCCCTGAGCTTTGATCGGCCAAACATGCTCAAAGATGTCAGACAGTGGTTTCAACACAGCAGGCAGCTTGTTAGGTTTCAGGGTCGCTGGATAATACTCGTTGTCTGCCATACGCAAGTATTTGGACTTTTGGTTTTCTGCCGTTGTGATCTCTTGGGAGTTGTGAGCAGTCCCGGCTGACGCTTGATCAGCAGCTGCCGTGTCTACGTCCATAGCTGTGGCATCATCCAATGGAACTTTGCCGGTGAACATGCCTGGCTCCAAACCGGGAACCATCAGCATGACAACCTGGCGAATGCTCCCGCGACTGCGCACAGATACCCATTGAGGTGCGTTGCCATCTGCAAGCAGGTACAGCACCAAAGCCTGCAGATCTGTAATCTTCACGTGCGATTGCAGCCGGGCATGGTGCGAATGCTCGATGGCAGGGTAGTTTCGCTCAAGCTTGCGCTCTTTGCGTCGCTCCTCCCTGGGCAGAGGTGTATCTTTGGGCGCGTCGTCGCCAAGTTCTCTAATCGTCGAGAAGGGGTTTTTCGAAGGGGCTGTATGTTCTCCTAGCTTCTCGCCATCTGTTGCGAACGGGTTGGCGAGAAGTCGAGCGTTGGCAGACTGTGGGTCTTGCACACCAGCGCCTGAGCCTGGGCGGCTGCCACGAGAGTTATCGGAGTCTGCACGCTCCTTTCTCCTCCTCTTGGAGCCGCCAACTAGGGTCCAGCTTTCGTCTTCCTCGACTGTACCTGATGTCGCATTAGGCTGCTGCTCGCCCTTCAATTGCGCGAGTGTCGCACCGAGTCCGACATCGACGAGATCTTCCTCATTACTCCCGCGCTTTCGTTTTGTCATTTCGTCAGGCATGCGACGGGCATGAGGTGGTGTTTGTGAGGTATGTTTCGAGCTCTGGTGTCGAGAAATGTTTCGAGTAGCAGCAGCTCTAGCGCCGCACTAGCGTATCGATAAACATGACGTGCATGGAGCATGAGCCTAGGGGTCTGTTCAATCGCATGCGGAAATATTTACCTACCTACTTTATTCTGGTCTATTCCCCGTTACAGTAATTACGGCATAGCGCAAATCATACTCGCATGCGTCTGCAGAGATGGTCATTGCAGCTAGACCCCTGACTAGTTCTGTATACGGAGCAATGAACCGAAAGCACCTGTCGCATTTGTAAATGCCCATTCCACGGCGTGAACGCGTTCTTCACACCACCACAGTCTCTCCAATATCACACAACCCTACTTCCTTACCCCACGTATATCCTTCAGCTTCTGCGCCCTTCTTCCACCGCTCAGCCGGCTCCAGCACAGGCTCATAAGCCGCTGAGTACGCACCCCTCAACGTTCCATAGTGCATGCCAATACTCTTCCTACTCCTCACGTCCTTATGAATCGACAACGAGTCTTCCGGGCTCGAGTGCTGCCCCGACAGCACCGATCTCGGTTTAAAACAGCCGATCGGTAGGAGCGCGAGATCAATCGGTCCGTACAGCTCACCCACTTCTTTGAACGCGGGGCACGGCGGGTACGGTGCGTCGTGGTGCGAGAACTGCTCGTCGTGTGTGACGTGGCAGTAGCCTGTGTCGCCAGCGAAGAAGAGCTTCTTGCCGCTTGGCTGCGCTTCGCGGAGGACCCATGAGCACCACAGTGTGCCGTCGAAGTTCCAGGGTGTGCGGCCGGAGCGGTGTTGCGCGGGCGTGCAGACGAGGTCTACGGAGCCTGCTGTCTCGGTCTGCAGTGTGATGCCGTTCCACCAGTCTAGTTCCGTGACCTGGTCCGCTTTGATGCCGACGCCGAGGCCGGTTAGCACTGCCTTGACGCCTAGACCACAGAAGAAGCGCAGTTCGCCGTTTTGTTTCGCGTTGAGTTTCTTGAGTGAATCTGAATCGAGGTGGTCGTAGTGATCGTGGCTGATGATGACAGCGTCGACGTCCGGGAGGTCATTGATAGCGCATGGCGGAGGCGTGAAGCGTACAGGGCCCACCATACCTGCCTTTCTGTCAACAATCATCTTGGTGGAGACCTCGTCATGACTTACCGTAGGGGCCCACTCTGTTGCTCCAAACGGGGTCTATTAATATACGCGCTCCTCTTTCAGCTCCTTCCTGTCGGCTTGTTTCCACCAGGAAGCTGGCGTGCCCGATCCAGGTTGCCTTCAAGCCATCTTGCTCTGCACCAAAATCAGGCTTGCGAATTTGAGGTAGGCCAGCACGATCCTGCGGAACAGGAACGAAGTTCTTCGGGGTATTGAATCGAGTGCGAATAGCACCGACGAAGCCAGACGTCCCGTATGATGGCCACGGATTCTTGAATCCAGTTGGTGGGTTTCCAATGTGGTGTGCTGTGGTGAACTTCTCGGGTTGCAGCGGCGGCAGCGCGCTCACGACGGATTTGGGTGGCATGACAACTCCGCCCTGAGTCCAACGCCTAAAAAATGACGGGCTTCAGCAAACGCGGTTCGCGCAGGCATGGCGAGACTGGCAGTGATGTTATGGTCAATGAGGTCGGAGATAGCGGGCTGAGCGTTCGCGCGCCGGACTGTGAGAGTGACCGACTGCCGTTCCAAAACACCAGACGTCAGGATTACACCAACCTGTTGGCAGCCCTTCACTCTCTTCTTGACCTCAACCTCGCGCTCCGTGCCTGCTCAAAGAAATTATTTAGTGAAGTTCACCTCGCGCCCGTGTCGCCCGTTCGGCAACGTCATGGGCAAGGCTTCGGCCTCCGCTGTCCACCTATCTCCCCACGTTTGCGCCTCCGTTCTCTCCAACCCTCAAAGCAGTCACCTGCCCGCGACACGGCTCTCATCTCGAGCTGAGGCCGACCGTCGCCGTCGAGCCGTCCCCAAAGTCATGCAGCCCCGGAGACGGCATCTGATGTGTACAAGCATTAGAGCACCGCTTGGGTAGCTTATCTCGCCCGCACCCAATCAACGTCGCACGTGAGATCAATCGACACCTTAGCCTCCCTGCAGGTACTCCGGGCGGCGAAGAGCGACGCAGGCTCGAGAGCTTCACCGCGGTCATTTACACTCACCTGCCGTATGCGGAAACGATTTTCCGACTGAATGTAGGCTGCGGGCAGATTTAAGTGCCCCGGCTCCCAGGTTTGTGGTAGGTTGTCATACTCTTCAATTGAGCAATTGTATCGCCCTTTGGCCACCCCAAGATGCATACTTCTTTCACCGCAGCTGGAGCCGCGGCTCTGCTCGCCAGCACAGCCCATGCCCAGCTCTACCCTGGCCAGAGCAACCTCAACCACACCTGCCAGCTCCAATCGCCGCTGCTGTCCTGCCCATCCCAAAACGCTTCAGACGTCGACTCGTGCTGCGTCGAGACCTTCGGCGGCCTCGTCCTCACCACCCAGTTCTGGAGCACCTACACCGGCGGCGAAGCCCAGGGCCAGTACCTCCCCAAGGATACTTTCTCGCTGCATGGTCTGTGGCCCGACTTTTGTAATGGATCGTACACGCAATACTGCGACCTCACACGGCAATACGACCCCATCCCGTCGCCCAACACCACCAACGGGCTGAAAAACGGCACCGCGGTGCCCGCCTACACCGGCCCCAACATCGGCACCTTCCTGGAGCCCTTCGGCCGCTACGACCTGCTCGACTACATGAACACATACTGGATCGCGCAGAACCAGGACAACCCAGGCTTCTGGGCTCACGAGTTCAGCAAGCACGCCACCTGCTTCAGCACCTTCAACGTGCCCTGCTACGGCCCGCTGTACCGCAAACACGAGGAAGTCGTCGACTTCTTCGAGACCGCGATCAAGTTCTACCAGCGCTTCCCGACCTACAAGTGGCTCAAGGCGCGCGACATCGTGCCGTCCAACAGCACACGCTACTCGTACACGGACTTCAAGTCCGCGCTGACCAAGAAGCACGGCAAGGTCCCGTTCATCGGGTGCTCCGGGCCAAGGTACAATGCCACCGAGGCCGGCAAGGGGTCCTTGGACAACGGCTACACCGTGCTGAGCGAGATCTGGTACTACGAGCATGTGTACGGCAGGCCGCAGGAGGGCAAGGCGGTCGCGGTCGATGCGAGTGCGTCGTATCAGACGAACTGCGCGAAGACCAAGGGCGCGGTGCTGTATCCGCTGAGGTCGAAGGGGTCGGAGAAGGTGCCTGGGGTGCCGTACAAGGGTTAAAAAGGAGATGTCGTACAGGGCTAGAAAAGAGATGTGTGTAGAGAGATAGGAGTAGTTTTTATAATGTAGAAAGAGCTATACCAATCCACCATCGTCAGTCCCCACACAAGCCCTGAAAAACCCCGTGACTCGCTTTCCACGCACACAGCACCACACAAAGCCCGCACATCCTCTCTTATTCGTTTCATTTCATTTCGATTCATTTCGATTCATATCGATTCATCCATCCCTTCATCACCCACCCACATTCCCCTTCCCCTTCCCCATTCCCATTTCCTGTACAAACCCCCAATCCCAACACCGACACCAGCCCACGCCCCCCTCACCACCCCTCCTCCCACGCAAACCCACCCCCCCGCACCCGCCTCGTCCCAAAACAACACCCCGGCGCCGCGTGCCCGCCGTCTGCGTCCCGCGGGCCGCGGAAACGCGCGGGTTGGGAGAGGAGCCAGGTATCGTAGCGCGGGGGGTCTTCTGTGCGTGGAGTAGACGGTGGAGGGGTGTCTGGCGGACTGGCAGTGAGGCTATGCACGACAGGGTCTGTGACTTGGTCTGCGACAGCGTCTACGACAGCGTCTACGACCCCGTCCGCCCCCCCCTCACCCCATCCCGCCATCCCCCCACCACCCTCAAAACTCAAACTCGCCACGAAACGCCTCGACATTCATCCCGGGCCCCACCGTATCCGCCAAGTCCCTGCGCCCCATCTGGCCAAACACCCTTCTGAGCGTGTCGTACAGATTCGTGCTCTGGTTCTGGTGAATCATGTTATCGAGCTGGGACTCCGACACCCCGGACCCGACGACTTCGCGCGCCTTCTCCTTGCCCTCGGCCTCGACGACTTTGTGCATCGCGAGCGCGCCGAGCAGGTGCTGCGCGGCCTCGGTGAAGCAGCCGATGTTGATGCAGCTGACGCCGAGATTGTAGCGGGCGCGGACGAAATTCGGGCGCAGGGCGAGCGCGCGCGAATACGCGTCGATGGCCTCCTCGCTGCGGCCGGAGTTGGCGAGCGTCGCGCCGAGGCGGTTCCATAGCAGGTGCACCTGCGACGAGGAGTTGCTGACGCCGGACTCGGTGCTGGCGAGGGCCGCGCCGAAGCAGTCGACGGCTTTGTCGTATTCCTCGACGCCGTAGAAGAGCACGCCCAGCCCGACTTGCACGTCTGGGTCCATTTGCTCGCCTGTCGGGGAGAGCTGGGCGGCTTGGATGTACAGGTTTGTGACTTTTTCGTGCAGCAGGTGGCGGTCGGTGAAGCCCATTTCGGCGTCGGAGGAGAGGGGTTCTTTCATGAGCGAGGGGTATTTGGTGGCGAGCCAGCGCTCGAGGGTGCGGTAGGCGGTGGATTCGTAGCCCTCGTTTGTGTAGCTGACGGCCAGGCCCATGAGGGCTTCGAGGTTGTTCGGGTCCTGCTTGAGGGCGTGCTCGAGGGAGCGGATGGCGGGCGTCTCTTTCTCGTTCTGGGCCTGCGACTCGCCCAGCTTGACCCAGGCGGCGATGTGGTTGGGGTCTTTCTGCACGGCGGCCTCGAAGGCGAGAGCGGCCAGCGACAGGTTGCCGCCCTCCTCCATGATCTTCATGCCCTCCTCGAAGGGGTTGGTGACGTTCTTGAAGAAGTTCTCCTGCTCGAACAGGTAGTCGCCCATGGACGGGTCGCGGGCCGAGTGGGTGTTGAGCCCGTCGAAGCCCTCCCACTGGTCGAGGTCGCCCATGTGCATGCCGTCGGCGAAGGCGGCGTCGTCGACGAGGTGCCTAGCGCGTTGAGTCTCAGCTTGGATGCCCTTCCAGACCGACTCGAAGTCGCCAAAGTCGGCGTCGGCGTCTACTGACCTGTCCATCTCGTTCAGCTCCGCCTCGATGTTCTTGGCGGCCTCTGCGTCCAGCGCGTCGAGGTCCTGGTCCGTCTCCTCCAGCTGCTTGAAGTGGGCCTCCCAGTCTTGGTCGTCGAGCTCTACCATGCGCTCCTTGCCCTTGCCAGATGTCTGCACGGGCGGCTGGAAGTTCTGCTGGCCGTACGACGGCATCATGCCCATGCCGCCCATACCCATGCCCATGCCCATGCCCATGCCGCTGTACTGCATTGGGCGCTGGTAGCCCATCTGCGCGGACGCGGCGGGGCTCGCGGTGCGCTCGGCGGGGTTCATCTGCTGGAACTTGGCGAACTCGGCGGGGTTGAAGCCAGCCGGGCGCTGCTCCTGCATCGACGGCCCCATCTGCGGCGCCTGCAGGCCGGGGTCGAACTCGGCGGCCCAGGCGGGCGAGCCGCTGTGTTGTGCGCGCTCCAGCTCGCGGCGCATCTGCTCCATGGCGAACGGCGACGCGGGGCCGGGCCCCTGGGGCAGCTGTGCGTTCTGCTGCATGAACTCGTTCATCATCTGGCGCCATCAGCTGCTGCTCTCCCGCTCGCCGCGGTCAACGTACGCCGTCCTGCGGGCCCATCTGCTGGCTGCGCATGCCCTCCTGCATGCCGCCAGGCCCGCGTCCGACCAGGCGGTCGCGCTGCAGCGACTTGTCATCCTGCACGTGCTTGGTGAACTGGCTGAGCGGATTGGCGCCCGTCGAGCACTCTGCGCCGCCGAGGAACGACATGGCGGGGACGCGCCGGATGTGTGGGAGGTGGGAGATGGGAGGTGAGAGGTGGTATGCGTGTAATGCGGTCGTGGAATACCGGCCCGTGAAATGCTAGGACGCCGGTCAAATGCGGAAAAGGGACAGTCTATGGTGCAGGTGGAGAGTGCAGGCAAGAGGCAACACGTCCCAGCATATTGATCAGCAACTCGTGGATGGGGTAGCGTGGCGCGGTGGGGCTGCGGAGGGCGACCTCGGCATTGCATGTCCGCTTGTGGCAGTCGGACGCCACTCGGCTCGCGGGTATCTGCGAGTATCACCAGCAGTCGATACCCCCAGTAGTCAATGCCACCACCAATCAGTACTTCAAGAGTCATGTATTTCTTATAAGATTGTGTCAGGAGATTGTGTTAGGCTCATTTAATGGTATACAACCCCTCATGTACAGTAGAACAAGGTGACAAACGCCAAACACTCCTCTACTATGGTACATGCGCGCCTAGCTATCAACACAATATGGAAGAACAGGGTAGAAGATGGAAGTGCCGACGCCTCCGCCAGTCATGATTTTGAACTCGTAATGCAAATGCCACACTCTACTCGCGATCGCGACCCTGCGCCGAGTCGTTCCTGGAGGGCCTGCTCTCGCTGGACTTGCTGAAGTCGATGCGGAGCTGCCTGCCGTAGATGGTCTTCTCCTTGAGGATCTCCTTGGCCGCGGTGGCGCTGGCAACGTCGATGAAGTCGGCGTGGGCGAAGCCTCGGGGCTGGCCGGTCCTGCGGTCGATGGCGACGCGGACGTCGACCACGTTGCGAATGTCGCGGAAGAGGTCGTTCAGGTCCTTGTCGGACATCTCAAACGACATGTTGCCGATAAAGAGAGTCTTGGTCGGGGCGTTGGGCTGGTAGGCGCCCGCGCTGAAAGTCTTTGAGTTGGTCTTGGCCTTGTGGAACTGGCAGACAAGGTTGCGGCCCTCGAAAACCTGCATGTCGAGGTTTTCGATGGCCGTCTTGGCGTCCTCGATGTTCTTGAACTCGACGTATCCGAATCTGTTCGACTGTCAGTGTCGGCCACGCACCACTCGAACTCAGCACTCACCCTCTGCTCAGACCCCTGTTGTCGAAGACAAGCTTGACGTTCTCGATCTCACCGAAGCGCGAGAAGACGCGCTTGACCTGGTCGGCAGTGACCTCGTAGTACAGGTTGCCGACGTAGACGGTGTTGTTGGGCGGCGCCTGACTCTGCTCGCGGCGCTGGCCCCTCTGGGGCTTGTCGGCCGAGTTGGCAGCGGCCTGCAGCGCATCGATGCCGATCGTCTTCTCGGCATTGGTGGGCTCAGCCTGTGCGTCCTGCTGCACCGGGGTCAGGCCGTCCTCGGTGATGGGCTCAGCGATGGTCTGGGCAAAGTCCTCGGGCGCCTCCGCGGCGACCTCCTCCTTGGTCACGACATCGTCACTGGCAAATCGCCTCTGGAAAGCGGAGACGGTCCACTTCTGCTGTGTGCGGAAAGCAGGAGTGAATGTGGAGATGGAACGGGGCGCTGTGAGGAAGGCCTTGGAGGGCGTTGCGCTGATGGCGCGGACGGCGGAGCGGCGGAGAAGATACCTGGCGCAGTCAGCAGATGCCGGCGATGGTGGTGCAGAATGCTTACATGATGGCAGCGATGTTGTATGGGGGGTGCAAAGGTACTTGGTAGTCTGGAGGCGAGATGGGGAGCCCAAATTTTCGAAGCAACTTTGAGATGCTAGCGCGCAGCGCGTCAGTCCAAGCTCAGCGCGACGAATCAATGATTCCAGGACTCACTCCAGGTGGTCGACGCCCGCGTTGTGGGGTACATACAGAGCTGAATTACGCTTGCATCGATGTTGCAGCTCTATGATTCACGTAGAAGGTTGCTGGTGTGAGTGTTTGTTCACGTTCTGGTGCGAGTGTCTGTTCACGTGCTCAGCAGCGGGTGGAAAGAGTGCACCCTCAGCTCAGTGTAGTGAGTGTACACTGACAAACTGCATCATGTGCTGCTATCTCGATCGGCTACAGCTGGCAATCAATTGACGAGCGCATCGCTTCAATTGATCAGGTACGCCGGCAATCGCATACATATATCAGTGAGCTGCACTCGTGAGTGGCCCCGCGGCAGAGCTCGACCGTGCGGCCTGGCCTCATGCCGAGGAGCAGGCTCGAGGGAGGGCCTAACTTCGCATGTCGTGATTGAAACGTCTGCCCCATAAGACAGACGCGCCTGCACTCATCGCGAGCTCGTCCGGTGATGAGCCGCTTTGCGTGACATGCAGCAGCGCAATGCTTGGCCGCCCGCGCTCGCAGGCGCTTGTACGCGGCGGTGCGACGGCCTTCGGAGGGGCCCGATGGCTGCTCCCATCTCTTCTGCTGCGGTCCCGCCAGCCTGACTTGCACACAAAATGTGCAGCGGTACCATGCGAGGTAGTACGCCCCCGCTGCTCCCGCGCCTCGCCATAACTGACAGCTCGCAGGTGCGTTTGCGGCCGACGCCGACGGCTCTCCGTCGCTGGGCCCTACCGTCAGCCATGACCACTCGCTCTCGTCGGACGAGGACGACGAGTACAGCCCCGAGGCGTCTGACCCGGGCGCCGGCAGCAGCGACCTTGCGCAAGGGTTCGCTGGCGCCAGTGGCACGGCAGACAGCACCAGCCTCGAGGAAGACGAGAATGGAATGCTCCCTCGCGACAAGCAGCGCAAGAACGCCTTCTACGACTACACGGCCGAGAAGCAAATGAGCCACATCGAAGCAAAGCAGTTCTACCAGCGCCACCAATGGGAGACGCAGCATGGCGGCTCGCAGGCTGGCGACGGCTACAGCCCAGCCCTGCGCGCCAAGACGTTTCCCGCCAGCTTCGGTGCGACAGACGGCATGAGCATCCGCTCGCGCAAGAGCAATGTCAGTCTGGCGAACCAGGGCCCCCATCACAGCGCACACCCGGGCGCGCCGTCACACGTCCAGCCGTCACAGGACCCGCGCTCGCACGCCGGCAGCCAAGCGGGCGATGCCTTCCTCCAAGCCGACCAGGACGCGCGGTCGCACACCAAGCACCCCGCCCTCCCCCACGAAGACAAGCCGCTGCTTAAAGACGAGGGCATACACGGCGCCGGCGCAGGCATCGGCGTCGGTTCGGGCGCCGGGGGCTTTGCCATGTCCGACTCCAGCGTCACCGCCGAGCTCACTGCCATCTACACCAACGTGCAGAAGGTGCTCGACCTCCGCCACAAGTACATTCGCCTGTCGCTGCAGCACGACTTCGACAATCCCCGAGACGACCCGGGCTGGAACATCTACCCACCCCACCCGGAGCCCGTGTGGAACGACTCTTCCAAGCAGCGCCGCAATGCCTCGAGCAGCATGCAGAACAGCACCGTCTTGGAGCCCACCGAGGCACCGCCGAAGCCTCCTCGCAAGATGGGCACAAACATCGGAGAGGACTTCTTCGAGGAGGATCTCCATCCGCTGCCCGGCCCGTCTGAGATGACCTTCCACATGGACAGCGGGGGTGTGTTCCAGGTCTACGAGAACGCCAAATCCGCCGAGCTCGACACTCCCATCGTGGCCATTCCCACGCTGCGCGAATTCTACATCGACCTGGATGCGATCCTGGAGATTTCCTCAGATGGCCCCAGCAAGAGCTTTGCATTCCGGAGACTGCAGTACCTGGAGGGTAAATTCAACCTGTACTATCTCCTGAACGAGTACCAGGAGATTGCCGACAGCAAAAAGGTGCCCCACAGAGACTTCTACAACGTGCGAAAGGTCGATACTCACGTTCACCACTCGGCGTGCATGAACCAGAAGCATCTGCTGCGCTTCATCAAATCGAAGATGAAGAAGTCGCCCGACGAGGTGGTCCTCTTCCGTGATGGCAAGCACCTGACGCTGAGGGAGGTGTTTGAATCGATCAACTTGACCGCGTACGATCTCAGTATCGATACACTGGATATGCACGCGCACACGGACTCGTTCCATCGATTCGACAAGTTCAACTTGAAGTACAACCCCATCGGAGAGTCGCGTCTGCGAACCATCTTCCTGAAGACGGACAACTTCATCAAGGGCAGGTACCTTGCCGAGATCACAAAGGAGGTCATCTCCGATCTGGAATCCAGCAAGTACCAGTTCGTTGAGTGGCGCATTTCGATTTACGGCCGCGATCTTGAAGAGTGGGACAAGCTCGCCGCGTGGGTTGTCGACAACAAGCTGTTCTCGCCCAACGTGAGATGGCTCGTCCAGATCCCTCGTCTCTACGACGTGTACAAGGCTACTGGGTTGATGCACAACTTTGAAGAGGTGGTTCGCAACGTCTTCCAGCCGCTGTTCGAGGTCACCAAGGACCCCACCAGCCACCCCAAGCTCCACATCTTCTTGCAGAGAGTGGTTGGTCTCGACAGTGTAGACGACGAGAGCAAGGTCGAGCGACGTGTGTACAGGAAGTTCCCAACCCCCAAGGAGTGGACGACAAAGCAAAACCCGCCCTACAGCTACTGGATGTACTACCTGTTCTCCAACATCGCGTCACTCAACGTGTGGAGGAAGCAGCGTGGCTTCAATACCTTCTTGCTTCGCCCTCATTGTGGAGAGGCTGGTGATACCGATCACTTGGCGGCGGCTGTCCTCTGCTGCCACAGCATCAGCCACGGTCTGCTGCTCCGTAAAGTGCCCCTGTTGCAGTACATCTTCTACCTGGAACAGATCGGTGTGGCCATGTCGCCACTCAGCAACAACGCCCTGTTCCTTGCATACGAGCGGAACCCGTTCTTGAGCTACTTCCGACGTGGCCTGAATGTGTCGCTGTCTACGGACGACCCGCTGCAGTTTGCCTTCACAAAGGAGCCGCTCATCGAGGAGTACTCGGTCGCAGCGCAAATCTACAAGCTGAGCGCGGTCGACATGTGCGAGCTTGCAAAGCACTCGGTCGAGCAGAGCGGGTTCGAGCACGTCGTCAAGCAGAAGTGGCTAGGCCGCAACTACCACCTCCCCGGCGTCGCAGGCAACGACATGGCGCGATCCAACGTGCCCAGCGTCCGCGAAGCCTTCAGACACGAGACCCTGATGCAGGAGCTCGCCATGATCGACCGCTACACGCGCGCCGCCAACGCCGGCGCCCAAGACCTCACCCTGTCGAACCTCCAGCCCGAGCAGCAGGTCCCCCAGACCCCCAAGACGCACCACGCCACGCACCCCGGTTCTCCCGTCCAGTCCCTGCAGCAGCCGTCCGCCACCGACCCGCACGAGCACGACAAGGCCTTCTCGCGGCTCCCGCCCTCGTCCTTCCCCGCCCAGCAGGCGCGCATCAACCCGTCCTCGTCGGCCGCCGACCTCACCAGCAACACCCAGCCCGCTTCCCCCGTCGAGGTGGCCTTCGACCGCCCCCGCCGCACCTCCAGCATGACCATCAGCCCCAGCGTGCTGTCGGCCCCGCCCCCCGCCCAGCAGGAGGACCTGGCCCTGACGCGCACGCCCAGCAGCGTCAATCTCGATGGCGAGCCGCGCATCTTCCCCGGCGTTGTGAGTCGGCGCCGCCGCAGCAGTCTGCGCGGCGGCACCGCCGAGGACGAAGAGGCGCACGCGCTGCACCGCGTGCCGACGGAGCCGGTGGTCAGGGAGCAGGACAGCGACGAGGATTCGTAGGGTGTTTTGGTGTGGAGATGCTCTGTTTGATATCGATGTAGTTACGAGGCTAGGTATCAACTACTTGGCTGTGTTGAACTGCGAATGGATTTGGTGTTGCAGTGTAGTGTATTAGAACGTGATGGTGCTACAATGTAGTGCTGCTACAATGTATTGATATTACGACGCATAACCCGGCTGATGCTTGATCGTGCCCCCTCCATCTCCCGTCTCAAGCTGCTGATCCAGATTGCTGATCCAAGTGACAACCAGCCTGCTGACGAACCCAGCGGCCCCGTTCGAAGACGTGAGCACGCCTTATCGCTTAGATAGCTGTCTCCACCTCCCCTAGCACCTCTACACCAACCTCCCGACATCAACATCACCATCACCATCGCAACACCCACATCAACATCACAACACCACATCAACAACCAACAGTCCCCACCAATCCCACAACACCACCATCAAACCTCCCGCACAAACACCACCGACATCCACCACACAGTCCTGTCTTGATAGCATAATGTCCACCCCCCTCGTCTTCCCCCGCCCCAACGCGCCCCTTTCTACAGGGCAAGCGCCTATCCGCGCCCCCTCCGAAGAAGACTTCATCAGCACGTTTGGCGCGCTGCTGCCGCCGGCGCGGTACGTGGAGTTGGCGGAGGGGAGGGCGGCGTATTATGTGTTTCCGGGGGCGGGTAGGGAGACTGCTGAGACCCGCGAGACTGCTGGGACTGGCGGTACTGCTAATACCCTCCCCACCCACGCCCTCCTCGTCCACGGCGTCCAGACGCCCGCCCTCGGCCTGCTCCCGTTGGTGCGTGAACTGCGCTCCCTGTTCCCGAGCACCACCTTCGCGCTGCTCGATCTGTGGGGCCACGGGCTGAGCGACGGCGTGGTGCGGGCGCAGGAGGGGGCGTTGTTTGAGGGGTTGGTTGGGGGGGTGTTGGGGGCGCTGGGGTGGGACAGCGACAGCTCGGAGGCGGGCGGGAAACGGGTCGCGCTGGTGGGCTACTCGTTCGGCGCGGTGGTGAGCATGGGGTTCGTTTCCTCGACCTCGCCCGCCAGCAGATGCGTGGCTAGTCTCGCACTCGTCGCGCCCGCGGGTCTGCTCAGGAAGAGCTGGTTCTCGGAGCAAGAGCTGGGCTACCTGAGCCCCGACTGTTCGCCCGCCGATGAAGAAGCCGCCGCGGACTGGACCATCCGCACCCTCGAAGGCGGCGAATTGACTGTCCCCGCAGACTGGCGCGAGAAAGTCGCAGCCGGCGAGATCGTCGCCCAAGCCCTCAAACAGTGGCAACTCGACCACCACGCGGGCCACGCGGCCACAGTAACAGGTATTTTCCGCGACGGCGGGGTGTTCGAGAACGAAGAGCTTTTTCAAAGGGCGAAGGGGACGGGGGTCCCGTTGTTTGCAGTATTGGGGGAGCTGGATGGGTTGACGGATGAGCAGGAGGTGCGGGGGTTGGGGGTTGAGACGAGGGTTGTGGAGGGGGTGGGGCATGGGGTTGTGAGGGAGAGGGAGGGGGAGGTTGCGCGGTTGATAGGGGGGTTTTGGCGGGGGTTGTAGGGGGTTGTGGTGGTGGTGGCAGTGCGTGGTGAACGGCAGTGTGTCTTGCTCGAACAACATTATCATCACCACAATACCTAGATCTGACTTGCTCGACACCACCACCACTATCCAATCTCCCCACCCCGCGTCCACAACATCCATGTCTACTCTCTCAAACCACATCACCGTGCCCTCAGCCATGCTCTCGCACCATATCATAAACGCCTGCCGTCACAACCACCCACCCTACGTCACCGCATTCAAGACACTGTTGACACCACTGCCAGCACGCCGAGCCACGATAACATGACCTCAGCGCACTGCAGCCCAGCAGCCCAGCCACGCACCGATCTGCGCCCAACGCTTGCCCTTGCCCCGCGGCCGCTGTGAACCGGGATCGACGTGTCCATGGGCATGCAGTACCTTGTAAGTCTATGGGCATGCAGTGGCTAGGCAATGGACATGCAGTGGCTACATAGGCAATGGGCATACGGCGGTCAATGGGCATGCAGTACCTACGCAACAGCCATGCAGCATGCGCTGTCCTGCACGGCTAGTCTTGATCGCGCGGCGTTTTGTCCCGCGGGGGTGGATGGGGCGTTGGGGCGTTGGGGTTGGGAACCGGGGGTTTGGGGCGAGGAGGTGGAGATGCTGCAGCAGTGGCTTGGATAAGATGCAGGACTGCAGAACTGTGAGGACTGCAGAACTGTGAGGACTGCAGAACTTTGAGGACTATGAGGATCTATGAGGGACTATAAGTGGTGTGATTGGGCACGACACGCAGTGACTTGTCGAGGGCCAGGGCTATGGCTGAACGGTGGCCGGCGTGGGCTGATGAGCAGGCTTGTACGTAGTTCGCAGGGAGTCAGGGACAGCGCATGCATGGTGTCGGTGTGCGGCCGGGCCGGGGGCGGGGTGGTGCCGGGCCGGAGAGGGCACATGTCAAGGCAGGGTGCGTGGAGGGAGGAGGGGGGTGTTAGAGCTGCTGGTGGGCGGTGGAGTGTGCAGAGGGTCAATTGGATGCTGCTGGATCAATGATTGGAGTGATGCTGGATCGATAATTGATGCTGCAGTGCGGCAATGGCATGCTGCTCAACAGTTGGGCATGCTGAGTAAGCGTCGACTGCTGCGTTGACTGCATGTATATTGTAGACTGAGCAGAGGTCAACGGTTAGCAGATCAGTGGAGCGTGACGCCGCAGCGCGCCCAACCAGAAATTCGCCCTGAGTGGGCATCAGCGCACAGCCGGAGAGGTCCTGGCCCAAGCTCTCGGCGCCCACGGCAGCGGCGCGGTGCGATTGGCCGTCGCGTCTGGGGCAGCGACCAGCGACTACGCACCTGCACTGCGCTGAACCGACGACACTGCCAGCAACATACGCAGACGCATCCGCCGCCTCACCCCGCCCGCTAGCCCACTGCATGCGGCCGACTGTCGCACACGCTCCGTGACCTCCTCGCCGCCGTCGCACAGCTGCGCCCGGTGCTCCCTCGCCGCTCGCGCCCGCCATCCCGACCCGAGGCCTGTCGCGCCGCCCGTTGTCGCGCTGCTGTCGCGCTGCTGTCGCGCATCGCTCCCGGTAAGCAGCGCCTGCAGCTCTGCGCGTAATCTGCAGCTCTGCGCCTTTCAGCGCCTCCGCGCCTCTGCGCCCACCTGCGCCCTGCTCCTCGCCGTTGCATGCCGCTAACCGCTTCGTCCCCAGGCCTTCCCGTCGCACAGCTTGGCGGCCGTCTCCGGTGACGTGGACGCCAACAAATCACTGAGCCCCCGGCCAGCGCACACGCAGCCTCGACGCCGGTCCTGCCCCTGCAGCCCGCCGAATAAACATGTCGTCCACCCCGCCGAAGAAGGACGGTGTGGAACCACCGCAGTCGCCTGACGACGACCAACATATGGACAGGAACGCTGAGGATACACAAGCCCAAGGACTCGGCTACGAATTCGAGGTCAAGGAACAGGACCGATGGCTTCCAATCGCAAATGGTGCGTCTCCCCCAGCCCTCCCCATTGCGCCCAACGCGCCTCTGCCCCAACCAGCCCGCTGCGAGTCTGAGACGCCCACTCCCCGTCACGCCCCCCGACGAGCCACTCGGCGCTGCTGCGTGCCTGGCTAGCCCTGCGCCATGTCGTCGTCGCCGCCCGACGAGGACTCGCCGCCCCTGGCGAAGAGCCCCACCAACCTCGCGTCCGACGCTAACATTCGTAACTTTGCTCCAGTCGCCCGCATCATGAAGACGGCTCTGCCCGAGAACGCAAAGATCGCAAAGGAGGCCAAGGAGTGCATGCAGGAGTGCGTGAGCGAGTTCATCTCCTTCATCACCAGCGAGGGTAACCCACCCCACCCCGTTCACGTCCCCACTGACGCCCCAGCCTCCGAGAAATGCCAGCAGGAAAAGCGCAAGACGGTCAACGGCGAGGACATCCTCTTCGCCATGACCTCGCTCGGCTTCGAGAACTACTCCGAGGCCCTCAAGATCTACCTGTCTCGGTACCGCGAGGTAAGCCCCCCTTGATCTCGTCCAGTGTGGTGTCTTTCTTTTGTCGTCTGCAACCCATTGGCGAACCGTTCTGAACCGCGTATTGATTGGTGCCTCGAGACCCTCCTCGCAAATCAGAACAAGCCTGCCGGCCAATTCGGTGCGCCTGGGGCCGGCGCCGGCGCGCCACCTGCCGACGGCGGCCAGCAGCATGTGATGGGCCCCGACCAGGAGATGGACGGCGACGGCGCCACCGCGTTTGGCTACAGTGTGCACAACGGGAATGGCACTGCCGAGTACTAGCGCGCTGTCCCGAGGGGGGAAGTCGCTGGGAGAAGAGGAGGACGGGAGAGCGGGAAGTGCTCAGAAGTGTGCTTTTTGGGTCAAGAGTTGGGATGCACGATGGGTTTGATCTTGGTCCGTTGGATGCGTGCACCCCCTCCGCCCTGCCTCGCCCGGCGCGAAGGAGTGCGCGTCTGCCAGCGTCTGTGCGCCACTGCAATAGACGCACTGCCTGCTTGCTCTCACGTCCCCCAACATGCCGTGATTCATGTGCCTTGATACGCCGTTGTGTCCTTCTATATGTCCTTCTATATGCCATTCTACATGCGATGCGACCCCGTGAACACGCTAATACGTACTCCCCGCCGCACTCCACCCCCCGATACTCGACCCCGTCGCTGCCACCGTCGCCGCGGTTGCTACCGCTGCTGCGTGCCGTCGGCGCGCGAGGAGGACGCTGAGGGGGACGTCGTCGTCGTTATCTCCATCTTCTGCATCATCGTCGTTTTCTTCTTCTTCTCTGTCACCCTGGCCGTAGTCCCGGTCATCGCCCCGCTCGTCGCCCCGCTCATCCCCCTGGTCGTCGTAGAACTCAATGTCCTCGTCGACGCCAAAGTCCTGCAGGCGCTCGCCTTCGGGGTTGCGCCAGGCTTCTTCGCCGGCCGAGACGTCTGCTTCTGGGGTCGGGGCGCGGGAGGAGGCGGGGGAGGCGGTGTCTGCGTAGCCATCGTTGTCGTAGTTGTTCCCGTGAGAGCTGTCGCCGTAGCCGTTGTCCGCGTAAGAGCTGTCCGCGTAGCCGTTGTCTCCGTAAGAGCTGTCCGCGTGGCCGTTGCTCCCATAGTCGTTGCTCCCGTAGCCATACCCATCCCGACGCCCACCATCCCTCACCGCCTCCAAGCGCTGCACAAACGGCTTCCGCCGCCTCACCGCGTCCAGCGCCTGCCTCGCCTTGAACGCCGCAACCACATCCTCGTCCCCCCCAGCCCCCTCGCCCTCCCCGCTCTGAAACGTAAACGCCGGCCCCTCCTCCCGCGCCCGCCGCCGATACACGCGATCCGGATCCACCGGCGGCCACGCCCCCTCGCTGAACCCATTGACCTCCCACCTCAACCCTTCCCCCACCCCCGTCCCCACCCGCGGCGTGCGCGCCAGCACATTGACCCAGCTCAGCGGATTCCACGACCCCATGCCCTGCGCCACATTCGCGAAAAACCCAACGTCGTACGGAAACTCCTGGCGCCGGATGCGCACGCGCGTGCCGTCGGGCGTGGCCAGGTAGCCCCCGAAGTGTCGCGCGCGCCGGAGCAGCGTGTCGTGCCGCGCGATCTCCCAGGACTCGATGGTGGTGGTGTTGAGCGCGAGGGCGTAGAGGTTGCGCAGGAGGAGGAGGGTCAGCAGGAAGGTCGTGAAGGCTGTGGCGAGCGAGGTCAGGAGCAGGTGGGTGAATAGCGGGAGCGAGGGGCCGAGGGTTGCGGGGAGGTCGCGCGAGGACCAGAGGTGGGAGAGGCGCGGGAAGAGGTGGGAGAGGAGCAGGATGAGGGTGGTGGTTGTGGTGCTGAGGAAGCGGAGGAAGTGCGGGAGGGTGGTGTGCGAGACGCAGTTTGCGGTCCAGGGGCAGTGGTGGTCCATTCTGGGCACGCAGCTGGGGGTGTGTTAGTGGTTGAGAGTCTGGGGGGTTGGCGAGGTGTACCGTTTGCACTCCTTGCAGTGGTGTGCGCGCGGCGGCTTCGCGGCATCGCATTTGCGGCACCATTTCCTGCTCTTCAGGCCGTCGGGCTCCCCGTGGACGTCCCCGTGTGCTTCCGTCTCCGCCTTCCCGCTCTCCCCGCTCTTCTCACTCGATATCTCTTTCTCCCACCCCCGCGGCACTCTCCCTGGATCCACAAACACCGTGCGTGTGTATGTGATAAACACCAGTAATAATGCGATATTGAACACGACCAGTTCGCGCTGCGTCAGAGGCCCTGGCTCCAGGTGCATCAGCAGCAGCTGCGACGGGTACCCCAGGACGGCAATCAGCGCATACACGAACGGCACGGCGAGCCGGGACAGCGCCGCCATGGTGGCAGTACGGGTGCGTTTAACGTTTAACGGTTCCCGTTCCCGTTCCCGGTTACGGTCTGGAGTGGGCGACGTGTCGGCACGCGCGGACGTCGCGGTCGTGCGCGCGCCCACGTGACCTCTCCACAACCCCATCCCCATCCCCATCTCATCCAACCTCAAGCCTCGCGCTCACATCACCAAAACTGAACGTCTCCAGCTGCAGGTCAGCACAATGCCGCCCCCCACATGGCCCGTCTTCGCCCTCCTCCCGGCCGCTATCCTGCTCCACCTCCTCGTCGCCCCGTACACCAAGGTCGAGGAGTCGTTCAACATGCAGGCCGCGCACGATATTCTAACGCACGGGATCCCGGGGAGTAACGCGGATGCGTTTTTCACGGCCAACTACGATCACGTGGCGTTTCCGGGTGCCGTGCCGAGGACGTTTGCGGGCGCGTTGGTGTTGAGCGGGTTGGCGCGGCCGGTTGCCGGGGTGCTGGAGGGGGGGAAGGTGCAGCTGCTAGGTAGGAATAGGCTACTCTGGGCTTGATGGGCGGCTTGCTGATGATGTGCAGTTAGGGGGATTCTGGGCTTGGGGAACGCGGCCGCGCTCACGGTGTTTGGGCGGAGCGTGCAGCGGGTGTTTGGCACGGGCGCGGGCGTCTGGTACGCGCTGTTCCAGGCCAGCCAGTTCCATGTCGTGTACTATGCGTCGCGGACGCTGCCGAACATGTTTGCGTTTGTTTTCAGTAGGGCGCTTGGTCGAGTCCATGGCGTGTGTGCTGACGCTGCCAGGCAACCTTGCGCTCAGCGCGCTCCTGAACGCACATGCCGTGTCGTATAGCAGGGACGACGCCAACCGCAGCATCCGCCTCTGTCTCTACCTGCTCACCATCGCGGGCATCGTGTTCCGCTCCGAGCTCGCGCTCCTGGTCGGCACCATCACGCTGCACCTCCTCATCACCCAGCGCCTCTCCATCGCCAAAGTGATCCTGCCCGCCGGTGCCGGCGGCCTGCTCATCGGCCTGCTGTGCACCGTCCCCCTCGACTCCTTCTTCTGGCAGTCGTTCCCGCTGTGGCCCGAGTGGATCGCGTTCTACTACAACACGATCCAGGGCCACTCGGCCGACTGGGGCGTGTCGCCGTGGCACTTCTACTTCGCCAACGCGCTCCCGCGGCTGCTGCTCAACCCGGCCACCTACCTGCTGTGCATCCCCGCCGCGCTGCTCAGCCCCGCGACCCGCCGCCGCAGCCTGGATCTGCTAGTCCCGCTGCTCGCGTTCGTGGGCCTGTACAGCTTCCTCCCGCACAAGGAGTGGCGCTTTGTCATCTACGCGGTCCCGGGGCTGACGGGCGTGGCCGCCGCAGGCGCCTCGTGGATCTGGACGCGCCGCGGCAAGTCGGGCGTGTACGCGCTGCTGGCGCTTGCGCTCGCGGCGTCCGTGGTGCTCTCGTTCGCGGCCTCCTCGGCCCTGCTGCTCGTGTCCAGCCTCAACTACCCCGGCGCGGCCGCGCTCAATGCGCTCCACACCGCCGTTCCGCTGCCGGCGCACCCCCGCGTCGCGGTCTTCGCGGACAATCTCGCGTGCCAGACAGGCGTGACGCGGTTCCTGGAGGCGCGGGGCGGGCCGGTAGCGATCGGGGGCGGGCAGAGCGCGGTGGGGCTGAGGGAGTGGGCGTATGATAAGACGGAGGATCCGGCGCTGTTGCTGGATCCGCTGTTCTGGGCCAAGTTCGACTATGTGCTGGCGGAGCGGCCTGAGAAGGTGATTGGGAGCTGGGAGGTGGTGCACGTTGTGTATGGGTTTGGGGGTGTGAGGGTGTTGAAGCTGGGGCAGGAGAGTGGGAGGGTGACCGAGGAGGGTGTTCTTGCGGTCGAAGCGGGTGAAGTGGGTGGAGATTGGACGGGGAGGGTTGCGAGGGTGTGGAGGGCGCTGGAGGGCGTGTTGAGGGATAGAGTGTTAAGAGGGTATTGGGTGGAAGTCAGGATGGAGCCGCGGATACGGATCTTGCAGAATCAGATGAAGTAGACTGCCAATGAGCAATCGATTTGTTCGCTACTCTTTGTTTGTGCTTGACGCCGTTGGATGCAGTGACGTTTCCCCAGAACAATCTCTCATCAACCTCCAAGCGTGCATACACCAGTCTCCTTCTCCACACTAGCTGGCACACCCTCACTGCGCCGGCACATTCGCCGCGGCCTTCTCCCCCTTCGACTTCTTCTTATCCTCGACCAACTCAATATTATCCTCGGGCACATCCTTATACTTCTCCAGAATAAACTCCTCAATATCCTCGCTCAAATCGCCCTGCACAATAATCTCCTCGCCGCCGCCGGGGAGCTTCGTCACACTCGCGCCCGTCGCAAACTTCTTCCCAAAGTCCTTGCTCACCTTCTTGATATCCAGCCCAAACGCCTCCAGGCCCGACACCGCGGTCACGTACTTGCGCTTGTTGCGCTCGATGCGCTTGATTGTGATCTTCGAGCTGGCGCGCGTTTCGGCCTCGCGCTTCTCGGCGGTGAGCGCCTTGGTGGCTTTCTTCGCGGCGTCTTTTTCGGCGCGCTTTTGCGCTTCGACGGAGAGCGAGGAGAGGTTTTGCGCGAGTGCTTCTGAGCGGGGGGTTAGGGTTGTATGGGGGAAGGTGGAGGGGGGGTGGGTACCTTGGGAGTACAGCTTGGCGTGCATGTCTGGGTGCGCGCTCGCCAGCCATTCCTCACACTTCTTGGTTGTGCCGCCGAATTCGCAGTACTACGGGTAGAATGTGAGTTGCTAGGCGCGTGAGATGTCGGGTAGTGTCGTACCTACTTCTGGAGGTAGTGTGCATACTGCGCTTGTTAGCGGGGTTTGGAGGAGCGCTGTGGTGAAATTTACCTCCGCAGTATGTGACCTTGACTGGTAGTGTGTCTGCCATGATGTGAGTTTGTTGTGGTCGAGTTGGAGCTCTGTTTGGTGGTAGAGGTTGCGGTGACGGCGCGAGAAAGCAGTCGTGGTGGGGCAGACGTGTGGTTGGCGGGGTAGTGCAGGGGTCCATCACATCTCGAAGATCAGATATCATGAAGAAGACGTTCGAGTGGAATGTCTAGATTTTGAATTTGAGAAACAGTGTGGTTTTGTGTGAAGTTTCCTGGCCGCGTATCTTAACAGGCAGAGCGTGATCAGCTCTCCTTCGAGACCTTTTTGTGCTACCATGCTGCTAATGCTCCCTTCTCGTGGTGTCAAAGTCGAGCATGCTAAAGTCAATATGGCGGCCTCTATCAACACCACAAGCTCAGATGAGAATTATGTCTGATCCCTTCACCTCATCTCGACGCTCTACGTGCAAGACCGACCAACCAGCCTCCACACCATGCCTTACACACGTCACATGCTCAGCCATCATCTCCTACTGCCTCCTTACAACCCTCCCTACTGCCCCGGCTGCTGCACAACCTGCACATTGTTCTTCTTCTGTACACTTGTTAGCCCTCTCTAATCCACCCCAGCCCCTCACCGGATCACCTACCTTCCACTTCTCCATCTCATCCTGCCGACTCTTGTACTGCTTCACCAGCTCTTCAAGCGTCTTCTTGAGCCCGTCCTGGTTGGTCTGCAGAATGGGCACGATATCGGCGACTGTGCGCTCCGCCAGCACTCCGTTGATCATGCGGAAGCACTTGCGGTCGCCGGGCAGCGGCTCGAGGGTCTCGAGGACGAGTCTGGAGTGTTAGTTCAAGGTCCGTGAACGGGGTGACAGGGTGGGGGTAATGGATTGGGACTTTGAGAGTTTAGAAGACGGAGGGGAGGATGTACTTGTGTTCTTCTGTTTCTTGCTCGATGTCGCCAATCTTCGAGGCGATGTTTTGCAGTGTGGTCTTGTAGTTTTGATATGTAGTCTGCAGCACTGGGGATTCTTAGTATGGATGACAACAAAACAAACACTGTACTCGTGACGTACGCTGCTGCTTGTCGAGCTGTGCTTTCGACGCCATTTCGGACTTTGGTGATGTGAATGTAGAGGCCCGCGCCTGGTTGCGGGGAGGCTCGGTGGTGTCGTGAAACTTTGCAGGCTGCACGCGACGCGACGGCGAGAATCTGCAGCTAACAGACCAAGCAATGAAATTTCCAATTGAGCAAACGAGACAAGAATCAGTCTGCTATGTGCAAGATATGAAAGCTCTCGCGTTGCGCGCTCCCACGTGCAGTCGAAAGTCGCAGTGCGCTCGGGCCAGCTTCACGAAATCTCGAGATGCCGATTGGATGACATCGGCATCTTGACCTCACTCCAATTCACGCCACTGCATATCCATCCACCTTTACACAGCGCGTCTCCGATATCACACGCCCAGCATGCATCCCCACCTGCACACCGAAGAAGTCCAGAAGAGTACGTCTCGCAGCTCCAACCGCACCACCCATACTAACCGCACCCAGGCTGCGCCGAAGTCGTCGCCGCCCTCGACGAATGCCACGCCCGCGGCTTCCTGTGGAAAGTAACCGGCAACTGTACCGACGCCAAGTACCGCGTCAACATGTGCCTGCGCGGGCTGCGGCTCGAGCGCACGCGGCTGAACCGCGAGGAGGCGCGGGAGAAGCGCGAGCACATTAAGAAAGTGTGGGCGGAGCTGGACGAGGGGAAGTACACGGAGGCAGAACGGCAGGAGAGGCTTGGGGGGCGGGAAGAGAGGGGATCGGAGGCGCAGGGAGTCTAGTGCGCGGGTGGTGTACGATGGGGTGTGTTGATATCGGGGCATGGAGTTCAGAGACTGGATTGTATACTATGGGTTTGGGTCGGGACGGATGGCGTTAGGAGGTACTTTGGCATGACATGTGACTCTCTGTGTGTGAAGAGGCTATCTTGAGTGAGCTCGTTGTGAGCGTCTATGATGATTGTTTTACATTGGTTCTTTGCCAGTCGACGTTGAAGCCCCGGACTGTCAGGACGGGGGCAACGTATTCATATTCTCCCGTTGCCTCGCTTTCCTCGTTGACGGCGAGTATCAGTACTTGTGGTCAGGAACCCAAAGTCCGCGATCATGGGTGGCTAAGAGCCATTTCCGGAAAACGTCGTCTTGCATCTGCTCAAAGTCAGCCGCGCAACTCGAACAAATCCTGGGTCTCTAAGAGAGAGGATTTGGAAGACTGGTCTATATTCATACCGATGCAAAGTTTGTGTTCTGGGCAGAACCTTCATCGCGTGGTTGGTAGTGCGCACGATTATGTCCCCGATCCCAAGATACTCCCAGGTGTTTCATAGGAGGTCTTCTGACTACTACTCGGATCTCGTGACCATTACAGACTGATCTGTCATATAAACGGCACACTTCCTCTGCATGCTCTTTCGAGGCCATCAGAACGTCGTGGAAGTAAAGGTCGCCTGAGGATAGCGTGTACCTTTGACCTTTCAAGACAGACAAAACGTTATACGTATGTAGTACTCTGTAGATCCAAGCGAGAGGGCTGTCAGGTCTTTTATGATGTGGTACAACGGGGAATCCCATAAAGAGAACATGCCGGCCTTCTCTGTAGCTGTCGAAAATCCCTGGAACAAAGGAAGTTTGCGGATACCGCAATTTTACATCCATGACTGATGAACTGGGATTGGCGAACCAGCCCCATTTTAGATCAACTGGGCCACTGGTCTCAGAGAACCAGGAGTTGGACCATGGTGTGATTTTGACTCTTTTGTCAAAAAGGACTTCTCCTGTCAGATCAAGAGCGGCGGGCACTAAGGACGGTGTTCTCAAGACAGCAAATGCTCCATCTAATGAGGTGGTATGATGATTCAGATTTTGAGCATCGTATATCATATGAACCCGGTCTCTACGAGCCATCAGCTTGGCCAAATTTGCACAAACAGTTGGTTCTCACACATGGATGTCGGACTCCTCTAAGAAGTTCCTGATGTCACACCCGATCGTAAACCTAGACATATCTGTCACGTGGACAGTCCGAGTCCGATCTTTGGGTGGAACAGAATGCTTGATATATCCCTTGAAGTCTCGGTAAGGTGGACTGCCCTCATCATGAGTCACCGGAGTAGTCGAGTGTAGCAGGCGCGTCAGAGGCGGACGAAGTGCGCTTAGAGATGCCGCAGCTCCTCGTGCAACTCGTCCGCCAGCTAGAGCATGTCCGTGGCGCGGCGCGAACCACAGCACCCGTCGAGAGATCATCATGAGTAGGGCCGCTGTGCCTCACAGAGACACGCTTAACTCAGCTGGTTGTATTTAGTAACGAACGCCTTGTGCTTGATGGAGATGGGTGGTAGAAGCAACGGATCGAGCTACTATCGAAAGGTTTTAGTAAACAACAGCTAGCCCGATCTGATCAGGTAACACAAACCTCACTACTCATGTGTCCCGTATACTCCATGTTTCTTACCAATTTCTAGTCACAGCCACACATCAATTGGGGACAACTGCACTGATAAAGGAAGCTTCCCGTTGATGCTGTTGACATTTGTTTTCAGCCTTGCAGCTGTCGCGGTGGCAAGTCGGACGCTCTTGGGTGTAGTACAGCCTTTGGCGACCAGGGGAGGTCTGATGACTAGTTCTTTGATATACTACTGCGTAAACGATTGTATTAAGTCCATTGATTCTAATCCGAGTCTTGTTATTGAGTTGCATGTGGTAGACCGTTTGGTCTGTAAGCCTTCCGGGGATGTTCACGCAACTGCGAGCTTTGAGGTGTGCTTCGTGAACCACTCTATCACATGAAATGTTTGATGTGTTCATTCGCTCAAGGCTTTTGCTGACCTTATGAATCCGAGTCCTCGCTTGACCTCCCGGCCAACGGCGTAGTGCCCAGACTATCTAGTCCTCTCTCGGTAATCAATTTCCCGTCGCCGTTCGCCGGCAGCGCAGGCAATCCCGATTCTACTCGGAGTTTTTCGTACTCGTCGCCCGTCTTCTGCAACTGCTCCTGGAGAAACTTCTTCCGCTCCTCGATCCGGGCCCTGTCGTCCTTCAGCTCTTGAAGTTTGCTCAGTATTAGATCCTTGCGCTGCTGCTTCGTTGTGTTGTCAATCTGTAGTCCCTCCAGCAAATCGTTCAGGTCTGGTAACGGTGTGATTTTGGGTGGTGTTTTGGTGCCGTCTTCCTCGTCCTCAATCTTCTGTCCATAGCGCCCAGCACGCGCTTGTGCAGCCGCGAAAGCTGTATTGCGCTCTTCTTCGGAATCCTCCGAATCTGAACCTGAACCCTCTGCGTCGTTGATGAGCTCGGCCATGTCCGCGCGCCGTTTGCGCTGCGCATCCCGCTCAGACTTCCGACCCAATGAGATTCGGCCGTCTTCTACGAAATCATCAAACCCTTCGGCTATATCCTCGTCCTCGTGGATCAGGCGAGTTTCGCCCCATTTGTCTTTCGGTCGGAGGGAGATCTCGTTGCGCCTCATGCGGAAGTCGTCCTCGCCTTCGTCGTCGGATGCCCACGGTCGCTCGCCATCGTCTTCAAAGGCTTTCTCTTCATGTGCAAGGCGCCTCCGCCGCGCCTTCTTCTCCTCGATCTCGGCGGCGGTAGGAATCGCAGAGGAGGTTTCGGCAGGACGGACCGCGATTGGGCCGAATTTCGATGCAATGTCAAGTGCGCGGGACTCTTCCTCCTCCTCAGCGGACGGCTTCAGATCTCTCGGCGTTGTAGGTGTAGAACCGCGCAGCTCTGCTATGTAGTCCTTGCTGTAGGAGGGTCTCCCCTCATCCTCTGAAGCACCCCCACCTGGTATTAGCGGCGATCTTGCACGCAGCTGTGCGCTCTTTTCTAGGGCTATCCGGCTCAAGTTCGACTTCTTGGGTGTGACGACTGCGTCGCTGGATTCGTCGCCATCGTTGGCATCTGATTCACCGGGCCCGAACGATATGCGCAGTGCCGAGCGCTTCTTGTTCTTGCCCACTGTCGGTCGCTTCACAACGGAGACTACATCGTGAGTTAGCACGGAGCGCCTACTGAGGTCAGAAAGAGGAGCCGACAATTTGCGACAAAGTGGGGACTTACCAGGCTTCGGTGCTTCGTTCTGTGAGCTGTTCGCGCTGTCGCCCGAATCGTCGTCATAGGCGCCAATCTTGCGCGCAACACGTCCAGATCCTGCTCGCTTCATTGTGCGTTTGGATTGTACGCGGGCGGAGGGAGGTCAAATCGAGCGTCGGCTTCCGTCTGCACGAGTGCACTAGCGTGCTTTCCACGCCAAGAATCTCGAAAACGCCCGCGCTGAGGTGCATCGCTCGACATCTCAAGCTCCCATTCCAGCTCGACGCCCGCCGCCACTAGAAATACGATCACTACCGGACCGTCGCGTAATAGCTAACCGCCAACATGCCTCAAGCACAGCCCGAGTTGAAGAAGGTGAGTGCGATGATTGTCAAAGATGATCAAAGCTAACATGGCCCAGTACCTCGAGAAGCGCGTTCTCGTCCAGCTTAACGGCAGTCGCAAAGTGATGGGCATTCTGCGCGGCTACGATGTACGTTGAACGCTCGTACCTACAAGCACGCAGTATCTAACACGCCCTAGGTCTACCTGAACATCGTGCTCGACGACGCATTAGAAGAGAAGGCCGGCGGCGAGAAGGTGCGCATCGGCATGGTCGTGATCCGCGGAAACGCCGTCGTCATGCTCGAGGCGCTCGACCGCATCAACCAGGACATGCCCAAGATCGGCCGGTAAACCCACCACGCGAACGAGCACACCTTTCGAGCACGGCAATCGAGACACGACCGCGCAGACGCGTGCAGCTGCTGCAGGCGCATCAAAAGACGGGGGCTTGGAGAGTTTTGGCGGTCGGGGCATGCATGGCGTTCAGGTGAAATACTTAATGGGTATGCTTCTCTCAACGAGCCTGGAGGATGTTGAGACAAGGATTTGCGTTGACATATATCTCATACTAGGGCAGCGCAGTGATACCATATCGCACGATCTTGTTCAGTTGGCAGATCTAGAGCCACAGCTCGAGTAGAAAAAAGTGCAGGTGGCAGTAAGGTGTCACAATACTACAGTGATGCCACGAAAGCTCCGCCCTGGCCCGTGTTTACTCATTCCTTCGTTTTCTGCTTCTTTCGTTGTGTCGTGCTCTTCCGTCTGTAAGGCTCCCAACTATCACGCTTTGCGACCGAGGACACAGCACCATGCACACGGGCCGGAGATGCATATACCCCATAGTACAACAATGAAGTCATCAAACTCTCTTCAAATTTACAAGACTACCCGTTCTTACGCAATAGTCGCTGTAGCCAGTACGAGCCCAAGTCACGACATGGAACAGCACTCCGCATACACAGTGCTCAACAGCTTCACCCTTACATCCTTGAAGGACATAGAGCTTTCACCCATCAAAACAGACGATCAAATGTAAACCACACACATCAATTTTTCTACCTACAGCTTCGCCTTCTCCCCCTTCCCATGCCCCCTCTTATACTCCTGCACAAAATCCCAAGCTACCTCGGCATACGGCTTCATCATAGCTGCATAATCCTTCGCCTGCGCACTACTCGCCTGCCTGACCGCATACCGCGCCGCAATACCCTGCATGATAATCGTATTGCGGTACGTCGCAAACGCGTCGCCCCAGGTGAGCTGCGGCCGGGGGTCCCAGCCCGCAACCTCCTCGTACCACGCCACGAGCTGCTCGCGCGACGGCAGCCCAGGCGTGGCGCCCGGGACAAAGCCCGCGTGGGCGCGGCCCACAGACGCGGCTTTCTGCGACGACGCGGTCACGTAGGGCGAGAGCAGGTTGTTGATGTCCGACAGTGGGTGGCCGATGGTGCTCATTTCCCAGTCGAGGATGCCGATGACGTGGGGCAGGGACTTGTGGAAGACGAGGTTGTCGATTTTATAGTCGCCGTGGATGAAGGTCGCCTTGTCGGGGGGCTGGGTGGTGGGGTCGGTGAAGAAGGCGACCATGTCGTCCTGGTGGGGGATTTTGCCGACGGGCTCGTGGGTCTCGATGTCTTTTGTGGCGGCTTGCGCTTGCGAAATGGTGTTGAAGGTCGCGATTTGCCGGTTGTAGAAGCCGCTGGGTTTGCCGTAGGAGGAGAGGTTGACGGAAGCGGGCTGCACGCGGTGGAATTTGGCGAGCGTGGTTATGGCAGAGTGCCACCTGGATTGTCAGTATGTGAAATTCATCTACTACAAGAGGATTTTAAACGTACATCTTCGTCCGCTCTTCAGGTGTCACCTCTGGGATTGCTGGGTCTTCGAAGATGCGGCCGTCGAGGAATTCCATGATGTAGAAGTCGCTACCTACTACGCTATCATCCTGGCAGAGTGCGTAGGCTTTAGGTACTGGGACATCGGTTTTCTCGAGGGCGTGGATAATCCGGTATTCACGGTCGACCTTGTGAGCTGTCTACAGACATTTAGTAACCTCCGTGCAATTGTCGACAGCTGTACGTACTTTTGAAAGAAGCTTGCCCGGAGGCTTCTTCCTCATGACAAACTTCTTGCCATTCTTGTCTGTGAGCTGGTATGTCGGGTTCGACTGCCCATACCCGAACTGCAACGCATTAGCTCGGTATCGTATGCACTGCGGTACACCCACCTGCTTGACGTCAATGGGCACAGCAATTTCAGGGACATTGGCAGTGATGTAGCGCTCTAGCGAGGCTACGTCTATAGGTTGTCGCACATTTCCAGCCATTGTGTAGAGCTGTAGGAGGTAGACATCTCGGGCGCGTTGAAGTGATGTAGGTCTGGCGAGATGCCGAGGTTCGGACTTCCAAAGCTGGGGTAGAAAACCTGGAGCCGACTCGACCGACTTCACACCCAGGAAGCTTCCGACGCACTGTCATAACCTTCATTGGCTGAGTCTCTTTATGAGGATCCTGATGGATGAGACACAGCATGTGTGAGATAAGCTCTCGCGACCTGATAGCCTGTTGGATGCTTACTGGCCCGGATGAAGATGCAGTACACCACGGGGAGGGTAAGTTTGGTCGTGCCTGCGCAGAGTTGTGATCATTGATCTATGAGAGACTGATGTACCTCTGTGTATCTAGCGGCTGTGGGTAAACATAAATACTTTACATATTTCAATGCTTGCTTGTTGATTGTATACAACAGACTGAACAATACTAGATACCTAGCTGTCGAAAACAGCGCTCAAGCACTGTTGGCATGTCAGGGTCTGCGAACAGCTCGAACATGATTCAAGCTAACAGACGCCGTTTCGTGGTCTCGTGGATCCCAAAGAGTTGGCCAAGTCAGCGTACAGGTCAGAGACCTGAGCACGTGAGTACGCGCGAAATTGTTCTTTCGCGTCGCGTGTAGTGAAGAGTGGAAGGCTAAAGACGCCATGCATACAGCTATTGAGGTCTGCTTTTTCACTAGATTGTGTCCAACAAATTAATATCGATGACAATGACTTGCGTGATTCATCCACAGTCGATCCTTCTGTTGGGTTTGTGTTCACTGTGCCCGTGTCATGGTTTGATGCGAACGCCTGGTATGCGTCCTCGAAAGCACAGGCACGGCCCCTAGATCGCGGAGGGGCGCGAATCAGATCCGGAGACGTCATGGCGAAGTGTTTGTTTTGAGGTCATGGCTGCGTGTTGATATTGGTGCACACAGTGCACACTGTGCAACCACGCTAAACGCAGCCAAACACAGCAGCCGTTTACGCTTCGACTCGAGCCTCCTGGTCGCTGGTGGTTGGCTTGTCTCTGTTGGGCCGCAACCGCCGCGGGATCGTCGACCCCTGTCATCAACAAATATACATGGCAACCCCGATACACGAAACCTTGCACAACGGCAACAGCGTCGCGCACTCACGCCAACATGTCAGGTTTTGGTAGCTCCATTAGCACCCCGCGCCGCTTGCGGCCGAACCTACGACCGGCAGAGTCGTCCCCGAATCTGTCATTCTCGTCCAGCACAATTGCGCGCCAGGCCTCTCTCAGCGCACTCACCGGCGGCGCATCGCCCTCTCCCAACAGCATGGCAGACGCACAGGACGTCGACATTGGCGACACAGTTGACGTGCCGGGCGGCATGCACGGCATCGTCAAGTTCGTGGGCAGCATCCGCGGCAAGAAGGGCGTTTTCGCCGGCGTCGAGCTCAGCAGGGCCTTTGCCTCGCGCGGCAAGAATGATGGCGCCGTCGATGGCACGCAGTACTTCACCACTTCCACACCTGGCTCGGGCATCTTCCTGCCGGTCCACCGCGCCCTCAAGCGCTCCTCGGGCACCTCAGACGACTTCCCGCCGTCCCCCACGACCCCCTCCTCTGCAGGCAACAACTTTAGTCTGTCCACCACCGAGAAGCCCAACTTCAGCCCCAGCACGCCTTTCGTAGCCAAGTCCAAGTTTTCGCAGTCGGTTGGTCCTGGCGCTCGCCCCCCAAGACGCCCGTCAGTGTCGCGCCCCGAGTCCCCGCTGCGTAAAACCTCCAACCTGGCCCCACCAACACCCGGTCGCAGCGGAAGCATCACCCCCTCCCAATTCTCCAAGAGTGCAATCGGCGCCCCACCGCGGTTCGCGAGCCCTGCACCCCCACGAACCGCTCCAGGTCCAAAGCCGCGCACGCCAGGCCCCCCTTCGAGGCCGTACTCGCGCAATACGAACTCTCGCCTCGGCCAACATGATACAATCGACGAGGATGGCGAGGACATGATGATAGGCGGTACACGCACGAGCAACGACTCCATGACAAACTTCAAATCCAGTCGCATGGGTAGCCGGCCGAGCTCAGCTCCCAGCGCGGAGCTTCAGCGGTTGACCAAGGTCATACAGGAGCGCGACAAACAGCTAGAGGAGCAGGCGATGGCTCTCACAGATATGGAAGCTACACTCGCGGAGATCCAGAGCCTCATGCCTGAAGGAGGCTTCGAGCGCGACCCTGCTGAGTCTGGCGATGTGCGTGAGCTGCGCGCCATGCTAAGAGACAGGAACGACAAGATCTCCATGCTCACAGCTGAATTCGATGCGCACCGAGCGGACTTCCGCAGCACGATCGACACGTTGGAGCTGGCAAGCACAGAGACAGAAAGAGTCTATGAGAAGAAAGTCGACGAGTTGCAGTCGGAGTTGATGGAGCTGCATTCTCGCAACGAAGACGTCGAGACTGTGGCCATGCAACTGAAGCAACTTGAGGAGCTGGTACAAGAGCTCGAGGAAGGCCTTGAGGATGCCCGTCGAGGAGAGGCTGAAGCTCGTGGCGAAGTCGAGTTCCTGAGGGGCGAAGTAGAACGCGGTCGATCCGAACTACGACGGGAAAGAGAGAAGGCTGCTGAAGTGTTGAAGAGCGCGAATAATATGGTCGATGGCCCGCCCCCTGCTGGCCAAAGAGAGATTGAGCAGCGAGACGACGAAATCAGAGGGCTGAAGGCCATCATACACTCTCTGAGCTCGGGCATTCCAGAAGACCACACTCGCTCGCCCCTCTCGCGCCAGAACTCTGCCACAAACACTGAAGAGCTCAAGACTGCACAGGTCGCCGCAGAGCGCCTCGAACGCGAGAAGGAGGAGCTGCGAGGACTTGTAGAGAGGAAGGCTTACCGAGAAGAGGAGCTCGAGCGTGAGATTGAGAAGCTCAAGAGCCAGATCGCCCCTGTGCAGCGCGAGAGTGTCATCAGCAACGCCGTTTCCGAACACACAGTGAAACAGGAGTCGCGCTCGACGGTAGGAGATGCAAAGGATTCTCTTGCAAGCTGGCGGGCTGCATCTTCAGCTCGCCGCGACCCGCCGATAACTCTGGAACCTATGGTAGAGTCAGATGGTCGCTCATCCGCCGCTGATAGTGTACTGTGGTGCGAGATTTGCGAGACCGGAGGTCACGACATCCTCAACTGCTCCGCTATGAACGGTGACGCGGCGCAGAAGGACGCCGCGTCCCACGATGGCGACGACGGTGTTGTCCAGGCATTGAGGAACCTCTCCGTATCCTCCGACCATGCTCGACCTGCTGGCTTGACCCCAACAAAGTCCCCAGGGAACGCTCCCACAACGCCCCTCCCCATTCCGTCTTTCAATCACTCCAATTCGTCGCTGGTGCCACCGAAGGGCGCTGCTGTAGCGGATCCAGACAAATGGTGTGCCCTGTGCGAGAATGAGGGTCACGATGTGACAGAGTGCCCAAATGAGGATGCATTCTGAGCGAAGCATATATAGAGTGTTCCATTTCAGCGATGATATCCAGCGTTGTTAGGTGCTTTTCGGATCGTTGCCATCCTTTTATTCCTAACGCTGATACCCAATTGTCTCTACCAAAGTCCAGCCTTCTCAAGTTGAATATGTGATGCCAGCCCCCAAACTCGTAACTCCATCACCGCGTTCTGCCAACAAATGTTGCATCTGCATATCTCACCTGGTGATTGGCTCACGTGACCTTGTTGCAACCTTCGGGAGCTTCGATTTAGCTTCATCATCAAAAGTTTCGCCGCACGTTCTTCCTCTTCAACGCAGGGCGCGCCCCGCAATCCACTCTCTATACCCACGACCTTTCTTCTCTCAGCCACTGCGTGTAAATAATTGCTGTCAAAACCACTTGGTTGTATCAATCACCGTCGCCCGCCGCCACACGGCCTCACTTACCTAGAACGCGCAAAGCGCAAAAGACGCGACAACACCGGCACCATGGCGCAACCTACGGGCAACAACCTCGCGCAGTTCAAGTATGCGGCGATGTCCAACCTGGTCCTCCAGGCGGACCGTCGTTTCACGTCGCGCCGTCCGGACGAACACACAGGCGACCCAGAATCGCTTGCAGGTCGCATTAATATCCGGGATATGGGAGGCAGGACTGCGCAGGACAAGGCGCCCACACAATCAAAGAAGCCCAAAGGGCTGGGCGTTGAGCGAGGGAGTCTCACAGAGGGTGGCGACGTGCTTGAGCGCGAGCAGCGCAAGCGAAAGCGTGACGATGGGACAAGCGCCTTCGGAGCCACAGCTGCCGCAGATTTCAACATTGAAGGTCTTCGGTATAGGCCGCGGACGCCAGCGACGCGCAACACCTTCGAGCTCGTGACGACCATTGTGAGCAAGGCTCTCGGCGACGTTCCAGTGACGACCCTCAGAAGTGCTGCCGACGCGGTGCTCGAGTACCTCAAGGACGACACCCTGAAAGACTTCGACAAGAAGAAAGAAGTTGACGACCTCCTCGGTAGCTCGATGGGCGCGAAAGAGTTCAATGAGCTGGTCAACCTGGGCAAGAAGATTACAGATTACGATGCGCAGGACGACGACGAAGACGGCGATCAAGCAATGGGGGACGCTGATGGCGCTGAGAATGACGATAATCAGGGTGTAGCCGTTGTGTTCGACGATGAAGAGGATGACGAAGAGGCCCAGAACTTCGAAGTCCGCGACGCCGACACCTCAGACGAAGAGGATGAGCAGGAAACAGCCGTCGAGCAGATCGGGATCGATAAGGATGACGAAGCTGGAGGTTTCGCAGACACAGAAGAGATGATCGTCCAGGGCGACGTAGCTGCTTCAGCAGACCGCAAGGACGGCGCAGACAGTTTGATACCCGCACACGAGATTGACGCATACTGGTTACAACGGCAGATTGGACAGGTGTATGAGGATGCGCATACCCAGCAGGAGAAGACACAGAGTGCGCTGCAAATCTTGGCTGGTATTGCGGAAGACGGTGAAGAGAAAGAACTGCGTGAGATTGAGAATGACCTCATGGAGCTCTTCGACTACGAGCACCACGAACTTGTTGCGAAACTTGTTCTGAACCGCGACAGAGTTGTCTGGGTAACACGATGGAGACGTGCTGCGGAGGACAACGATGAGCGGACAGCTGTTGAGCGGGAGATGAGGGCTGCCGGCCAGCAACAGATCCTCCAAGAGCTGCGCGCGAGAGAAACTGGTGTGAAGACGGACGATGCGGGACAGGGCAAGATGAAGTTCAACATCAACTCCATTAGCGCCTCAGACTCGAAGGATGTTGAGATGGAGGATGCGGCAAAGCCTGACGGTATCGTTGGCGGTCTGCAGCCCAACAGCCGTCTGGTGAATCTTGAGAATATTGTCTTCGACCAAGGCAACCATCTTATGACCAATCCCAGCGTTAAGCTACCCCAGGGCTCTACGAGGAGACAGTTCAAGGGATACGAAGAGATTCACGTCCCTGCGCCCAAGGCGAAACGCGATCCGAACGAGCGCTTAATGCCCACATCTGAGCTACCCGATTGGGCACGAGTAGGATTCGGTAACTCAAAGTCGCTGAACCGTATTCAGACGAAGTGCTTCCCGGCTGCATTCCAGGATGACGGCAACATGCTTATCTGCGCACCCACTGGTTCCGGAAAGACGAATGTTGCCATGTTGACCATGCTCCGTGAGATTGGCAAGCACCGAAACCCCTCGACCGGCGAGATCGCGCTTGACGATTTCAAGATCATCTACATCGCTCCGCTCAAGGCTCTGGTTGCTGAACAAGTTGGTAACTTTGGCAAACGCCTGGAACCCTACGGTATCAAGGTCTCTGAGCTCACAGGTGATCGCCAATTGACAAAGCAGCAAATCGCTGAAACTCAGATCATTGTCACAACGCCGGAGAAGTACGACGTCATCACCCGCAAGGCCACCGACACCAGCTATATCAACCTTGTCAAACTCATCTGTATTGATGAGATTCACTTGCTTCACGACGAGCGTGGTCCGGTCATCGAGAGCATTGTTAGCAGAACGCTTCGTCGAAGTGAGCAGACTGGTGATCCTGTCCGAATCGTTGGTCTTAGTGCCACACTGCCCAACTATCGAGACGTTGCAAGTTTCCTTCGAATCGACCCCGAAAAGGGTCTTTTCCATTTCGATGGCACATTCCGACCCTGCCCCTTGAAGCAGGAGTTCATCGGTGTCACTGACAAGAAAGCTATCAAGCAGCTGAAGGCCATGAACGACGTCTGCTACACGAAGGTGCTCGAGCAAGTCGGTGAACACCGAAACCAGATGTTGATCTTCGTTCACTCGCGAAAAGAGACGGCTAAAACAGCGAAGCATATTCGTGATAAGGCGCTGGAGGAAGAGACGATCGGCAAGATGCTGAGATCAGACGCTGCTAGCCGAGAGATTCTGAAAGAAGAGTCTGAATCGGTACAGAACGCTGATCTTAAGGACCTCATGCCCTACGGATTCGGCATCCATCACGCTGGTATGTCGCGAGCGGATCGATCAACCGTCGAGGATCTCTTCGCCGATGGCTCCATTCAAGTCCTTGTCTGCACAGCAACATTGGCTTGGGGTGTCAACTTGCCAGCCCACACTGTCATTATCAAGGGTACACAGGTCTACTCCCCGGAGAAGGGCAGCTGGGTCGAGCTCAGCCCGCAGGATGTATTGCAAATGCTGGGTCGTGCCGGTCGTCCCCAGTATGATACATATGGCGAGGGTATCATCATTACGACACAAGCCGAAATCCAGTACTACCTGTCCTTGCTGAACCAGCAACTGCCAATCGAGTCACAACTTGTTAGCAAGCTGGTTGACAATCTCAATGCAGAGATTGTATTAGGCAATGTCCGCAACCGTGACGAAGGAGTTGACTGGCTAGGCTACACCTACCTCTTCGTCCGCATGTTGCGTTCGCCAGCTCTTTACAGAGTCGGGGCGGAGTACGAGAACGACACGGTCCTGGAACAAAGACGAGTGGATCTCATACACGCAGCAGCACACATCCTGGAGAAGTGCAGCTTGATCAAGTACGACAGAAAGACGGGAGCGTTGCAGCCGACCGAGCTGGGGAGGATTGCGTCTCACTACTACATTTCCCACAACTCAATGCAGACGTACAACCAGCACATTCAGCCTGGTATCACAGCTATTGAGCTGTTCCGAGTCTTTGCTCTGAGTGAGGAGTTCAAGTACATTCCCGTTCGTCAGGACGAGAAGCTCGAACTTGCCAAACTTCTCGGACGTGTGCCGATTCCTGTCAAAGAAGGCGTCGAAGAAGCTCAAGCAAAGATCAACGTTCTCTTGCAAGCCTACATCTCCCGCCTGAAGCTAGACGGGCTTGCCCTGATGGCTGATCTCGTGTATGTAACGCAATCTGCCGGCCGTATTCTGCGCGCGATCTTCGAGATTTGTCTCAAGAAGGGATGGTCGCAGGTCGCCAAACTGGCACTCGACATGTGCAAGATGGCAGAGAAGCGCATGTGGCCTACCATGACACCGCTTCGACAGTTCCCTCTCTGCCCGCGAGACATCGTACAGAAGGCCGAGCGAATCGACGTCACCTGGCCGAGCTACTTTGGTCTGGATCCACCAAGCATGGGCGAGCTTCTGGGTATGCCCAAGGCTGGCAAAGTTGTATGTCAGCTTGTGGAGAAGTTTCCTCGTCTCGAAATCGAAGCCACACCTCGACCTATCACTCGGTCGCTGTTGAAGCTGGAACTTGCGATCAGACCGGACTTTGTTTGGGATGATGCACTCCATGGCGCGTCAGAGGCCTTCTGGATTCTTGTTGAGGACTGCGACGGTGAGACGATTCTGTTCCACGACCAATTCGTGCTCCGCAAGGATTACTCTCAGGGCGAGATGAACGAGCACCTCGTCGAGCTGACAGTACCGATCGATGAGCCGATGCCGCCAAACTACTTCATCACCGTCTTGTCAGATCGATGGATGGCCTCGGAGACTAAGCTTGCTGTATCTTTCCAAAAGCTCATCCTACCGGCTAAGTTCCCTGCACACACACCAATCCTCGATCTGCAGCCTCTGCCTGTCTCTGCGCTGAAAAGGAAGGAGTACATGGCCTTGTACGAGGACGTGAACCGGTTCAACCGAGTCCAAACTCAGGTCTTCAACTCGCTTTACACAACCGATGACAACGTCCTTGTTGGAGCTTCAGCAGGTATCGGCAAGACATTCTGTGCCGAGTTTGCTATTCTGCGACACTGGGCTAGTGATGCTGAGGGCCGCATCGTGTACCTCGCGCCGTTCCAGGAGCTTGTTGATAACCAGTACAAGAACTGGAGCGCACGCCTGTCTGGTCTTGGTGGCGGCAAGGATGTCGTCAAGCTCACGGGCGAGACTACAGCGGACTTGCGACTTCTCGAGAAGGGTGATCTTGTGCTGGCCACTCCTTCACAGTGGGACTCCCTGTCGCGTCAATGGCAGCGAAGGAAGAACGTCCAGAGTGTAGCTCTCCTCATCGCGGACGAGCTTCACATGTTGGGCGGCGCTAACGGACACATCTACGAGATTGTGGTATCGCGCATGCAGGCTATGGCTGCCCAGATCGAGTCGAAGCTCCGCATTGTCGGCCTCAGCGTATCGCTCGCTAACGCCAGGGACGTCGGAGAATGGATCGGTGCCACGAAGCACACAATCTACAACTTCAGTCCCGGCGTTCGCTCCGTGCCTCTCGAGTTGAAGATCCAGACCTTCACTATCCCTCATTTCCCGTCATTGATGATGGCGATGGCAAGGCCGACTTACAGCGCCATCACACAGATGTCGCCCGACAAGCCCGCGATGATCTTTACACCGAACCGCAAGCAGACTCGCTCGTCAGCTGCTGACCTGTATGCTGCTGCTGTCGCCGACGATAACGATGATCGATTCCTCAACGCACCACTAGAGGACATTCAGCCGATCTTGGAGAAGATCAATGAGCAAGCCCTGGCCGAGTCGCTGACTCACGGTATCGGTTACTTCCACGAGGCGCTGAACTCCTTTGATAAGAAGGCCGTGCAGCATCTGTTCAAGGTCGGTGCTATCCAGGTCATGATTGTGTCACGGAACTCGTGCTGGGAGGTCGAGAGCAGCGCCCACCTTGTCATCGTTCAGGGTGCTCAGTTCTTCGAGGGCCGTGAGCATCGTTACGTTGACTACCCCACCAGCGACATCCTTCAGATGTTCGGCAAAGCTGGTAGAGTCGGCCAGGACAAGTCCGCAAAGGGTGTGCTTATGCTGCCTGCAGTCAAGCGTGAATACTTCAAGAAGTTCCTGAACGAAGCACTGCCGATCGAGAGCTACCTGCATGACTACCTGCACGATGCCTTTGTCGCAGAAATCAGCGCGAAGACAATCGAGTCAACTCAAGAGGCTGTTGATTGGTCAACCTACACTTACTTCTATCGCCGCCTGCTGGCTAACCCGAGCTACTACAACCTGCACGACACCTCGCACGAGGGCCTCAGTGCTCACTTGTCTGAGCTTGTCGAGCAGACGCTGAAGGAGCTTACGGAGGCCAATCTCATCGAGCATGATGAAGAAGAGGACTCGATCACACCTCTCAACCCATGCATGATCGCAGCCTACTACAACATCTCCTTCATCACAATGCAGACCCTCATGATGTCGCTTAACGGTCGAACGAGTCTTAAGGGCGTACTTGAGATCATCACCGCCGCAACCGAGTTCGAAGACATTCAGATCCGCCGTCACGAAGACCACATCTTGCAGCGCATCTACGACCGCGTGCCGTTCAAGATGCAAGAACCCAACTTCGAGACGCCGCACTTCAAGGCTTTCGTCCTCCTGCAGGCGCATTTCTCCCGCATGCAGCTCCCCATCGACCTCGCAAAGGACCAGGAGATTGTCATTCGCAAGGTTCTGAACATCCTTAGCGCATCTGTCGACGTGCTCTCATCCGAAGCGAACCTTAACGCTATGTCCGCAATGGAACTATCCCAAATGGTTGTGCAAGCAATGTGGCAAAAAGACAGCCCGCTCAAGCAAATCCCCCACTTCGACAGCGACACCATCCGCGCTGCCACGAAATTCAACATCACCGACGTCGACGACTTCATCAACGCCATGGACGAAGACGAGAATCCTGAGTACAAGAACCTCATCTCAGCCCTCGCAGTTGACAACCGCCAACTCGCCGACATCGCCAACTTCACAAACAACTTCTATCCCAACATCGACCTCGAGCACGAGCTCGTCGACCCCGAAGACATTGCGTCCAACAGCCCCGCGCAGCTGCGCGTCCGCATCACTCGCAACATCGAGGAAGACGACCCGCTGCCTGCGGCCGTCCATGCGCCGTTCTACCCCGCCGAGAAGACGGAGAGCTGGTGGCTGGTCGTCGGCGATCAGAAGGAGAACAGCCTGTTGGCGATCAAGAAGGTGACTGTGCCGCGCAAGCTGGAGACGGTGCTGGAGTTTACGCTCGAGAAGCCGGGCGAGCACGAGTTGACGCTGTATCTGGTGTCGGATAGTTATCTCGGTGTGGATCAGGCGCCGACGTTTAATGTTAGTGCGGCGGAGGGCATGGAGGAGGACAGCGAGGAGGAGGAGGAGGAGTAGGCGTGCTTTGATTGGAGTGGGTAAGTCGGAGGTAACGGGTTGCGCCTGTGCCTGGCGTTGGCTAATTGCGTTGTAGTATATGCGTGTGGTACTTAAGTGAAAAGCATAGAGACAAATTCTATTCTTTACGTTCTACGTATCCTCCTCCGTATGTCTTGCTTGCCTAGCTCTTGCGAAAGCGATGAGCTGTGAACCATTAACGCGTCCAAGGCCTCTTTTTCACTGCACAAGCGAGTTCGGAAGTCCAAGCGAAAGGAAAGAGGGGATAAGCGCGTCTGCTAACGTTGATATAGATGACGCATGAATGCAACGAGTCACTTGAGAGAACTTTTACCGGAACGGTGAGTTAATTGACCGTCAGTGAGGTCGTAGGTGAAACGGACTTGCCCATACGTCATGCTGGGAGGCTACTGGAGCGATTGATCTTGCATACATAACCCTGGAACCCATATTTCACTGATACCTCTCAGAATGTGGGCGGTTCCGGTCTGAAGCTGTCCGCAACCTGCCATGCTCATTACCCCCACTTGCAGCAGTTATCTGTGACCCACATTGTTTTCTTCTACCCTCACTCCGAGAGAGACATCTTCTTCACCACCTTGTTCAGACACTGAAATGGTCCACGACATCAGTCCTCTGCGCAACAGTCAACGCAGTCAGCACAGTGGCGCGCGTCTCACTGTCCATACCCGCAAGTCTCTTTAGGAAGTCGACTCGGCAGCGCGCGAAGAAGTACCTGCTGTATTTGTACGGAAGCAGACGCAATTCCTGGCGGATTTGGCGGCATGTCTCAGTAAGCGAGGTGAACTGCGCGAATGTATCCTGCTTGTAGCAATGGGCGGAGATACACATATACCTGACCTTGCCGTCTTCCGTGATCATGGGCCAGATGTTGTTGCCGGCGAAGACGTAGGCGTAGATTTTGTTGCGCAGCTCGCCGGGGAGGCGGAGGAGGGGGGAGATGGGTGCGGCTGCGGATGGGCTGCGGATTACGTTAGTATGTAAGGAAATGGAAGGGGGAATGAGACGTACGCCATTCTGCAGGTTTTGGGCTAGATCTGCACCTTTGAGAAATAGGTTGCAGGCGTTGTGTTGGTGTTGGATGCGATACCAAGGTTTGCTGAGACCCTGATCCTTTACTTTCACTGCGTTAGTTTGCCGCTAGTCATGAAGCAAACGAGACCTTCTGATTAGAGAGCTGTTCAAACATGTACAAATATGAATGAATACCTCCAAATCTTACTACGAGCAAGATCAACACCGACATCATGAGCGAAACCAGGACGTGGAAGGGTAAGCGCGCTGCTACCCACCAACATGACTTTCAGGAAATGAAGCAGAAAAGGCTGTTGTCGACAGAACTGGGGCCACTGAGATCAAACTCAAAACTGAAGGCTCGCCTTCGGGCTGAAGAAGAAGCAGCTACTCGCTCGTTGTGAGTGTACCCAGGACATGGAGCGTTAATGTGTGTGATACTGATGCAATCCAGGGTCATGTCAAACCAGGAACAGTCTCCGTTCCTTCAACTCCCAGCAGAAATCCGGGTTCGCATCTACGAGTTTGCTCTCGGCGGCAACACAATCGAAACTGGCTTCATCCGCAAAACCGACGTTACGCCTGGACGAGTGGCGCGGTACTCCACAAACAGCTCCGCCATGAAGACGTTTAGAGGTGTGATCATGTCTTGCCGCGCGATCAGAGCTGAGACAAAACTCATCCTGTACCGTGCGTTGATCTTCAACTACACGTACAGAGACGACTGGACAGCTTGGTTCAAATTACTCGGCCAGGAGGAGCGCGCTGCCATCAGGACCGTTCAGCTGGAATTTGCCACTCCTCATCGCCTAAGGTCCTCGAATCTCGGTATCTTCCACGATATCCCGAACCTGAAGGTTATCATCTTCCACTGGCTCTGGTCCATGCAGGGGTTCGATGAGGGACCCATTCGGGAGGCTGCGCAGGCGAGAAACTGGCGGATAATCTCCGAGGAGGTTAGAAGCGAATGGGCTAAGAGAAACCAAGTGCATCCATTCGGCTGCGTTTGCTGCAACGGCTGAGGTTAGCTGCAGGCCTCTGCATGTGCTGAGAGTTGCAGCATAGAATACAAGTGAGGCCAGTATAGGGATGTAATGTGACTATTATTGTGCATAGTTGTGCTATAGTGGACGGTGACAACTATCGCAAGAATTAGTAGATCGTGCGAAGTAGATGGTAGCTTCGCAACATGATATGAGGTTGATGAGATGTAGAAGGCACGGCACTGGTCAAATGGAGTTGTGCGCTCGCAACTTCCTTCTCCATATTTGTTCGATCCACCTGAAGACCTCATACTCATGACATCGTACTTTGAGTCTCCAGACAGTCAACTCTATCAGCTCACATATTTAACATGTGCCAGAATTGTCAACTGCAATGTGGGCAATGTAACCAAGGAGCTTGAACAAGTGGAGGAGGGACGTCACGTTTGAAAAGAAGGTACATATTGAAGGTTGAGATCTCATTACTTCAAACTAATCATACAACAGCTGTTCGTGCAAAAGCAACGCTCGCTAAACAGATGGATGTGACAAAGGAAAAGTTTGCTGAAGAGCTGACATGGACTGAGACTAAGCACAGCATTTTTCAACGAGAACGCTGCAAATCGTTACGTCCGAGCCATCGACCTCAAGTCTGAGCACCTTCAGCAATTGACCTTCAAACCCCCCGATCTTCCAGCCAGAGCTAAAGGCTTCATCCTATCGTGTCGATGGTGTGTGGTATCATTTTTGGGCGATTAGGAATCATCAACATCATACCGCTCACGTCTATCAGACGCGCCGTCTATTTCTTGCCACCGAGAAGACCGCCGACGAGAGGAATGTTGCTCACGCCGCCGCTCTTCTTCTTCTTGTCATCACCTCCGAAGAGGCCTCCAAGGCCGAGACCACTAAGCAGCTTGTTGATACCAAGACCACCAAGAAGTCCGTTGACCAAGCCACCGAGACCGAGGCCGTTGAGGAGCTTGCCGACCAGGTTGAGAACACCAGTCAACAGCAGACCAACGGCGGCGATGATCTGGAACAGAGGCTCGGTGAGCAGGGACCAAAGAGGGTTCAGCTTCTTCTTGGCGTGGGGCATGTCGGAGATCTTCTTCTTTGCGTTGTCGATGGTAGTGACGACAGAAGACGTCAGCTCCTTCAGGTTGTCGGCAAGCTTGTACTCCTCGGGTGTGGCTTCGCCGGTCTGCTGGCGGCCCTTGGCCTGAGCGGCGATGCGGCCATCGGGATCGAGACCACGGAGCGAGCCGTTGCACTCGTTCAAAATGCGACCACCCTCTTCGATGAGAGGCTTGACGTTGTTGACAAGCTCCTCTTCGTCAAGCTCGTCGCGGGGCGTGCGGTCAGCCTTCTCGATGTGCTAGCAGCTTGTTAGTATGCAACATTAACAGAAAACCTGAGCTCGAACTTACCTCGGTGATTTGCTTCATGATGGGCTGGACACGCTCAAGAGTCTGCTGGCAGATGGCAGACATCTTGTTGGCGAGCTCAGAGTCCTCACGACGTTGCCTCTCCTCATCTGTCTCATCCTCGGGAATCTCCTCTTCCTCCTGGATGTTACCGAGAAGAGTGACCTCTCCAACCTTGTTGCCGTCGTTGTCAATGACGTAGCCATTGTCATCGATTTCAAGACCAGCGCAGTGACCAAGGTCACCAGCAGTGAGGCGACCAATGACATCGCCGTTCTCATCGCGGACATCACCCTCCTTGTTGACACGCATGCCAGACATAGGGTTGATGCGACGCTCCTTCTCCTCTGGCTCCCAGCGCTCGGCCTTGCCAATAACATTGCCGTTCTTGTCGTTGATGTCACCATCCTCATCGACGTGGTGGCCGGTGAGCTTCTTGAGATCACCTTCGATGACACGACCAATGATGTCTCCATCGGCAGTTTGGACGGTACCGTCCTTGGCGACAGAGTTGTTGTCAAAGCCGGCGAATGGGCCCTCGGGACCGGACGAGGCGCCGTGGACGAGCTCAGCCTTACCAACGATGTTTCCGGCGTTGTCCCAGATTTGGCCCTTGCCATCGACCTTCTTGCCAACAAGAGTTGCTGGGTCACCCTCAGAAACGCGTCCGAGGATGGTGCCAGAGGTATCGACGACATTGCCAGCCTTGTTGACGGTGCAGCCGGCAAGAGCAGAGAGGTCGACTTCCTCAACCTCCTCTTCCTCGAAAGGCTCGGCGTGGCCCTTGACGTTACCATACTTGTCGATGATATCGCCATCTTCGTCAACTGAGTGACCAACGAGCTTCTTAGCATCACCCTCGGTGATCTGTCCAACACGGTTGCCGTCGTTGTCCTCAACGAATCCATCCTTGACAACACGCAGGCCCTCGTAGCCGGCGAATGCTCCCTCTTGGCGAGTGACACGCTCGTTGTCAGGGATCAACTCGCAGCGACCAACAACCTTGCCAGTGTCTCCGTGGATGAGACCCTCGCCGTCGGACTTACGACCAGCAAGTTCCTTCAGGTTACCCTCAACGAGCTTACCGACAGGGATGCCGTCGTTGTTGACCAGGAAGCCCTGCTTGTTGAGAGTGAGGCCGTCTAGAGAAGAGAGGTCAGCAGGAGCCTCCTCCTCCTCATCTTCGATTGGCTCAGCGTGACCCTTGACATTGCCAAACTTGTCGAGGATATCTCCATCCTCGTCGACATGCAGGCCGACAAGACGCTTAGCGTTGCCCTCAACGACGACACCGACAACGTTATCATCGGCATCAGCAACCTGACCGTCAGCAATGACGCGGAGGCCTTCAAGGCCGCCAAAGATACCTTCAGGCTTGGACTCGCGCTCACTCACGGGAATGAGTTCACAACGGCCAATAACCTTGCCAGTGTCGTTGTGGATGAGGCCTTCGCCATCAGACTTGCGGCCGGAGAGCTCCTTGACGTTACCCTCAACCAGACGGCCGATGGGAATGCCCTCTTGGTTGACGAGCTTACCCTGCTTGTTCAGGGTGAGACCATCAAGGACAGACAGGTCATCAGGAGTCTCTTCCTCTGGGGCCTCCTCCTCAATGGGCTCGGCGTGGCCCTTGACGTTACCAAACTTGTCAAGAATGTCACCATCCTCATCAACGCGGAGTCCAAGGAGGCGCTTGGGGTCACCTTCGACAACCTCGCCAACAATGTTCTCATCCTCATCAGCGACCTTGCCGTCAGCGACAACACGCAGACCCTCGAGACCGCCGAAGATGCCCTCGGGCTTGGACTCACGCTCGTTCTCAGGAATGAGCTCGACGCGACCGATGACCTTGCCAGCATCGTTCCAGATTTGGCCGTTCTCATCAATCTGGCGTCCGTTGAGCTCCTTAGCGTTGCCCTCAACGAGGCGGCCGATGGGTACACCTTCGTCGCCGATGACGTTGCCCTGCTTGTTGACAGTCTTGCCCTTCAGGATCGAAAGATCCTCTGGCTCGGCTGCCTCCTCTTCCTCCTCCTCAATCTCCTCTTCCTCGTAGCGTTCGGCGTGGCCGACAACTGAGCCCTTCTTATCGAGGATATCGCCATCCTCGTCAACGGCACGGCCGATGAGCTTCTTGGCGTCGCCCTCAACCACCTTTCCGACGCGGTTGCCGTTCTCATCCTCAACGTATCCGTCCTTGACGACGACGAGTCCCTCAAGACCTGCGAAGGATGCCTCATCTTCAGCATCTTCCTGGGGAACAGTCTGGGCACGGCCGATGACGTTGCCCTTGTTGTCCCAGAATTGACCCTCAGCATCCGAGGTGATGCCAGACTTGGAAAGCTTCTTTGCGTCGCCCTCGGTAAGCTCGCCAACAACGTTGCCGTTGTCGTCAATGAGCTTGCCCGACTTGTTGACAGTAAGCCCGTCAAGGATGGAAAGGGGCGGGCGCGCATTTTCGGCAGCGTCCTCAGCACCCTCGACAGCGTCTTCGGCAGCATCTTGGGCGTCCTCAGCAGCATCTTCGGCGTCCTCAGCAGCATCTTCGGCTTGCTCGACCTGCTGCTCGATGATCTTGGGCAGGGTCTTGACCTTGCCAAGGACCTTGCCGTCCTTGTCGACGACCTCACCCTTCTCGTTGATCTTCTTGCCGGCGCACTCCTTGAGGTCACCCTCCTCGAGCTCGCCAATAGGCTCACCATCCTCGTCGAGAACCTGACCCTTCTTGTTGACCTTGAGGCCTTCAAGGGTGTCGAGTTCGGGGATGACTTCGACTTCTTCCATCTCGGGCTCGACCTCACCAAGGCGCTCTTTGAGCTCCTTCTGGGCCTCAAAAGCAGCCTCGCCGGCAACGACCTGGACCTTGCCGATGGGCTTACCCTCCTTGTCGAGGACTTCGCCCTTCTCGTTGATGGTCTTACCGGCGCAGGCCTTGACGTCGCCCTCGGAGAGCTCGCCAACCTCCTCGCCGTCAGCATCGAGGACCTTGCCCTTCTTGTTGACCTTCAGGCCATCCAGGATGCGGATGTCGAGAGCATCCTTGGCAGACTCCTTGAGCTTCTCGGCAGCACCCTCGGCAAGCTCAACGCTGCCGAGAACGTTGCCCTCGGAGTCGACGACCTCACCCTTCTCGTTGACAGTGAGGCCCTTCAAGTCCTTGACATCGCCCTCGAAATCCTCGCCGACTTGGCCGACAACATCGCCGTCGTCGTTCAGGACTTCGCCTTCAGAGTTGACCTCGAGGCCCTCCAGTGCCTCAACACCAGGAAGCTCATCCTCAATGTCAGCAGCCTTGTCTTCGATGTCGTCCTTGGCGCCATCAGTGGTGTCCTTGATATCGTCCTTGGCACCCTCTGCGGCGTCCTTGACGCCATCAACGGCTCCCGACTTGTCGTCGTCGATGAGGTCGGCGGCATCGGGGTGGAGTTCAGCTCGGGCAAGAACGTTACCATCCTCGTCGACGATTTCGCCATCCTCGTTGAATTGCTTTCCTTGGATGTCGGATGGGTCGCCCTCAATCAAGTGGCCAACAAAGTCACCGTCCTCGTTAAGGATCTGACCGGTCTTGTCGGAAGTCAGACCCTTGAGGAGGCTAAGAGGAGGTCCATCGTTACCCGCCCTTGAGCTCGTCAGGAAGCTGATCCTCGGGGAGAAGCTCGCAGCGGCCAACGAGGTCACCATCGTCATCGAGAATCTCGCCGTCATCGCCGATTGGGTAGCCAGCAAGATCCTCGGCATCACCCTCAACAAGGCGGCCGATAGGCTTGCCATCCTTGTTAACAAGACCTTCCTCATCTACCTCAAGGCCCTTGAGGAGGCTCAAATCAAGGCCACCGGTCTGCTCCTCCACAGAGTCCTTAACGTCGTCGGCGGCGTCTTCGACACCGTCCTTCGCGTCTTCGACACCGTCCTTCGCATCTTCGGCACCGTCCTTCGCATCTTCGGCTGTGTCTTTGGCATCGCCGACCGTGCTATCAGCGGTAGCCTTAGCATCGTCGGTCTTGTCTTTGACATCGCCGGTAACATCAGTGCCGGTAGCGTCATCGGCCTTGTCACCAACTTCGTCGGTCACATCATCGGCCTTGCTCTTGACGTCGTCGGCAACACCTTCAGCAGTGTCCTTGCCCTGCTCAGCGGTATCCTTCGCAGTTTCAGTGACGTCGTCGGCAGCATCGAGAGCAGACTTGTCTTGCACCTCCTCACTAGCATCCTCAACGGCACCCTTGGGGTCCTTGGAGGCCTTGCCAGCAAGGTTCGATGCGCGGCCAGCAAGACCGCGAGCGCCGCTCAAAGCACCCTCGCCAGCCTTGCTGGCAGTTTCTGTGGCATCGTCGTCGGTGTTGTCGACTGTGTCTTCGGCCTCATCGCCGGCCTTCTGTGTGGCGTCATCCTCACTCTCCTCGGTCTCCACATCATTGTCATCGATGGGTTTTGGCTCCGCTTCGGAGAGCTCGTCGCCCTTCTGTGAGACTTTGCCGGTTGTATCCTCGGCGGCGTCCTCGACATCGTCCTTAGTGTCTTTGACAGTGTCTTCCGCCTTCTTCTTGGCATCTCCCGCGGTACTTTCTACGGTATCCTTGGGGTCCTCGGCTGTGCTCTTTACTTGCTCCTGGGCATCTTCGGCGGCATCTTGCGCCTGGTCCTTGGTATCCTCGACAGTTGACTGAGCCTTCTCAGAGACGTCAGATGTGTCAGGCACCTGTGATTGCGGCTTGTTCAGCTTAGGAGCTGACTGCTGAACCTTCCTGCCAAGCTTGGTGGGAGTGCGGGGGGTATCACTCTTTCCTGCGGCGGGGGAAGGCATATTGATTTCGTTAATGGGTAATTCGTAAGTGGATTTCGTGGGTGTTCGTTGACTCGTGGCAGAAACGTTGCTGCTGATAGATCGTGAGCGGAGGGATCGGGGGGAATTCCTATTAGGCGTCGGGGGGAACGAATAATAGGTGTAAGAGTTGGAGGAGTTTTCTGTCATGTATCGATTGGCGAATGGGTCGTCTTTGTATCTGAGAAGGATGCGCAAAAATAACAAGGCAGGGTTGCATTTATGAGCTCAAAATGGGGCAGATGGACGATTTCTCAGTATGACGTCGACTTCCTGAGCTCCAAAAGGCATGTAACAGGGGGAGCTCGCGCCACAGTAGGGAGAGCTGGGCCAGCAGAACCTGTTTTGGAGCCCAAGGTTGGAGTGTGTACGACAGGCTGCAACGAACCAGAGGTTAGTTGCGTCACTTGCTCCAGCCTTGGGCGGGGCGATGCTCCAGTATCGCGGAGCAATGATGAGAGAGCTCCACTGGTGAGGTGACAAGCGCGGGATGGAGCTGCAACAGGGGTCGGGGAACTGTGGCGGGAACTGGGATAAAGACCCATCGACGATGCCTGCATATGCGGCTGCCAAGTTCAGAGATACCCTGACGGCACGCTGGTTATAGCACGCGTGGATGCGGACAATCGCCAGGTATCTTTTGTCGATGTCTGTATCGGGAATGTTCCGGTAACAGTATCAACGCCATTGTACTTACTGTTGCGACTACAGACCACCGTTCGCCAGTGTTCTTTGCAGTGACAATCCCTCGATCCTCAGGTTGCTCACCAGTCAGCCACACTTCGACTCGAAACCTGCTGTTTTTCCGTAACACGCTGGATGATCCAGACCAGATCGACAGTATGAACAGCCTTCTCCACAAAACGCCAGCGATCGAAAACGTGTATCCCTGCTCTGCCGCATTCCGCTCCTATCAGAGACCTGCAACGCGCGGAGGCTGGCAAGAGAGAGTAGGTCTTGCCGTGCGTTCAACCAAGCAGGATGTGCGTCCAGCGAGTGATGAATATCGCCATGACGTAGTGCGCCGGGGAGCACCCCTGCATAAACCCTTGTTTAACGCTCGCTTACGACGCGGCCCCCGCTGCGCATCTGCAACTTGGACGCAACGCGCCTGGACAGAGTTCGCACTGCGGCTTGGGAAATGAGCGGGAAGCCTCGATATCCATGCACGACGCTGCTGGTGATCAGGAACAACTTGTGGCGGGATTCAGCCCGAGTCCTTCAACGTGTAACTTAAGGATCCGTGGGAGTGCCCGCGCAAGCAAGCAGCCCGCTAGTTCGTACCACGAACCGTCTGTAGCACGCGAAACGCGACGTTTGGCCCGAGGCCGTTGGAATCGTGATTCTGGGTCCACTAATTAATGCAATGCCAGAGCTTTCGTCATGCTGATCTTTAGACAACGTGTGGCGGGTGCGGTGTACACGCACGGAGCGTTCATACAGATACGAGTAGTGATCTGCGACTTGACACAACAGCAACTGCTGCACTGGTGATACAGCAGTATTGCATGTTCACCGCATCGGTACTGGAAAATGCGCTCCCATCACGATACGGCGTGGTATCGGTACCTGGTGCAGACCACGGCTGCACGTCTGCATCGTTCGGGTCTCACAAAATGCGTTGTTGACATTGTTGACAGGCCATAGTATGCTTCACGGCCGTATAAGAGAATAGGTACAGCCGAGCGTGAAGCACAGCGTCGTCTGGTATGCACTGCAATTGACCAATCGCACGCGTCGATCTCTAGCCTCTTGAGCCGATCCAGCGACCACGAGCGGAAATGACAGCGCCTAGCGTACCGTCAACACCGTCAATCACCAGCGTACCAAACAATTACACAGCAGGAAACCTGCTCGGGCAAAATACTTACACATAGTGTACCATTGCGCCGAACTCCCAAACACGAAACAGCGACGCGTCGAGGCTCTAGAACCTCAGCAGGAAGGTACCTCACTGCATCTACAACTGGTATCCATGACCAACCATGATGTCAGTGCTCGCTACACCAAGCCCGCCGCGTCGCGACGCGACGGGAACGCGCGTGGAATCGGATGGACCTGATTTCCGGTTCCTGTTTCCCAGATCAACCTGCTTGATTCATGTAGCGCGGGCGGCAACGAGTGCACTTTCCGTATCTCTGGTCATCGAGATGGTCAGCCTGCAAGGGCCCGCGGAAGGGTAGATCATAGTGCGGAGTGCTATCGTTCCTGGCAGCGTGGAATGATGGCAGAGGGGTCATGGCCCCCTATCCAAGTGGATATCACAGAGAGCTTGGGCCGGTGCTGCACGGTTGTTGCGGTCCGGGCTTTGACAGCTCATTCACGTTGTTTCGAGGCGCTCAATGGCTACGCTGAACTCCGTCATCCAAAACACTGACACGGCTTATGCAGGAACACACGTCCACAGCGGCATCTGCGGCTCGGTCAACCCACTCTGTTGCCTAAAGTGCGGGCTGCTAGCGAGTGAGACGGCTCAGCGAGACGGCTGAGGGAGACGATCTTGATGTCAGGAGACCTCTCTAGCAACGATCACTCATTCTCATTCATGTCGACAATCAAGAGCAATCTCCAACGTGTTGTAGTACTGCTGCGGAAGTTGCAGTCATTATATCGTGGTCGTGTACTACCACGCGTGGCGCTCCTACACTCCACTTTCTCCAGCTCACGGCCCACGTGGAAGTTCCCAAGGTACCTTGCAGTGGTAGCGACCAGGTTGTATTCACGTGCAGTATACGAAGTTGTTGTCGTACTCCACCATCAGACTGTTTCAGGGTCTCAGAACCTTTCATGTAGGCTAAGGTGACAACTGTCTTCAGTGTGAGAAGCCTGGCAAGCTGCGAATGGCTGTGAAGGATCTACTTCTGTCACAGCCTCCGTAGGACACTGCTGAAAAAGCACGAAAGCCGTTATCACCAGGAACAGCGAAGTATGAATCAAGAGACAAATTTATTAAGAGCTCGAAAGGAAAAAGGTATCACTAAGGTCTAATATCAGGCCGACACACTGCTAGTCGCCTTGGGCTCCGGCGCGCTCTTCGACAAACTCTCTCTCCTTCCGTCAGGAGGGATACCGCTTTCAACATCCTGCCCAGAACGGCTCAACACCTTCTTCCTCCTCTGTTCCTGCGCCTTTTCCTTCTCGTGTGCCGCCGGGTCTTCCTTCTCGCCTCCTCGACTGATCTTCTTCCATATCCTGCGCTTCCAGCTCTTCTCCTTCCGCTCCGCTTCCTCTTTCTCTGCCTGGTCTGCAAGCAGCTGTCTCTCGCGCTGAGCACTCTTGCTATTGTCCTTCTGCTCCTCGATTTTCTGCTCGTAGACTTCGGGGTGCACGACCTTGGTCTCGACATCTTTGACTGCGCCGACGCCCTTTTTGACTTTCCGCCTTGTCTTGACATAGGCTTCCAGACCGACAAGAACTGCGTATGACCGTGAGATGCTAACTCGAGTCATGTCGACACCGTTGTCTTGCATGTTATGCACAAACGCACGGAAGTTCTTCGTGGGTGGTCGGTAGTGCCCTGATAGGGGGGAGAGACGGCGCAGTTGGCCGTCTTTGATACGGACCAGGCCTGCGGCAGATATGCGTGCGCCGTGGAGGAATGACGAGTGCTGAAAAGCGCCGGATTGCTTGATGCCGATATAGAGCCGGAACGAGGTGTCGGCAACCTGATCGGAGTCAGTTAGGACGTGAGTGGTAACGAAGTGCTGCTTACAAAGATCCATGAGTTTGGTTTGACTGAACTGCGCAGCAAGTGGTTCAAGATGGTCGCTGCCGAGACATGTTTGATCTTACTGAGTCCCTTTGCACGATCCAGATCCTCGTTGACATAATGTTCACCCTCGACATCACTGTGTTCGACTGAGGAGTCCGAACTGCTTGATGATATGGACGAGCTTCTTGAGTGTCTGAAGTTCTTACTCTGCCCATCATGCAGCAGCTGGCCATTAGGGCCGTACGCGGGTGTATCGTCGTCGACGGGGACGATCCCATTCACGCTGTCCTTGTACTCGGTTGTTGTGTTGATCCGTTCGCCATTCTTGGCCCAACACAGTCGACCTTCCTTATCAATTATGACCAGATAGTTTAGCCTTTCCTCGCGCGACAGGTACCGGACTTGCTCTTTCTCCAGCCTCTCTCTCGACACAGTCGGGTGCTCAAAGTTGCGGCCTGCACCTTTGTCCAGCCAGTAGAAGAAGTTCTCGTGCGTCTCAGCCTTTTTCCATTCCCCGTGATATGCGCGCAGGTTGGAGCCGTATCTGTGCTTCTGATCGACCATTTCGAGGAAATATTGCAAGTCCATCATCTTTGCCGTTTTGTCACGCTGGGTCTTCTGTTCGTCCCTCTTTTTCCGCTGGTCTTCGCGCTCCCCAAGTGAGCGCGAGTCATCGGTATCTGAGAAGGAGATGTCAGGCGCATCGTCTGCGCCGGCACGTCGCGCGATTTCACCAACACGCTTCCAGTTATTTCGCGCGGCTTCGGAGTTTGCTCGCGCATGTTGCTCAGGGGTCGTCAGTTGATCACGATGTGGGTAGCTGTCTGCGCGCGATTTCAAGCGTGTTGTGTTTCGCCATCTTGCTGTAGACAGTTAGGTGACGCTCAGAGCGCAGTGGATGTGGACTTGCCGTCTCGTACAGCCTATCGAACTGTCAATTTCATGGGCTCATGGGAGATTTGGAGAGTGTACTTCTGCCCAGCGTGCACTAGCATCTAGACCGATTCCTTGCAGTTGTCGGCGTTCTCTGTATCCACGGTAGTTGCGCTGAATCATCTGCGCAGCCTTTTGCTCCTCTTGGTCGTTGCCATGCTCAAATGAGCTATTAGCAGCATGGTCTACGGTCGCCGCAGAAGCAGCTCCAGCCTCCGCCATCGCTTGAGAAGTCGCAGTGAAGCGTCAGACACATTTGACGTCTGGGCGCGGGGAGAGGTGATAGGCGGAACGGTCGGCGGGGCTGGAGCTTCAAACCCTGGCTGGAATCCCTGTTCAACGGTTGTTCGGCATGGCACGTCACTGTTCCTGCTGCACAAAAGCAAAATCTAGCACCGTGCAGAGAAAGACGCGTGTTCGGGAATTTGAGAGAGAGACACGATGTCGAGCTCCAGTAATTCTTGCAGTCAAACGGGTCCCTGAATTCAAGGTCTGCCAGTTGTTCGCAACGACACAGCATCGAGCAACTTCCAAGCAGCATCTCTTCAAGACAAGGCAGGCATCTCAGAGCACCTGCTCAGACACATTGGATTTGAATAGTGGCAGTCATTTCCAAGTTATTGTCATTTTTGAACCCATCCGAATCGTCGACCATTTAATGGAAGCGAGTAAACGGTCCAATCGGAGCGACCCGCCGCGTGCCGCTGCAGGTGGTGTTGAGAGCATTACAAAATGTATCATGATTCAACATTCGTGTTGTGCACCACATTCTGAATTTTTCCGTACGTGTCAAAGCTAACAACCGTGGGGCAAAATCGTAGCTGGAGGATCAAGTCGTCGAACCTACCCACGAGAGAAAGACAACGGACGGTGCGATAAACATCATGTCAACATATCTCAACACTCGATCGAGGTTGCTAAGCCTCCCAGCCGAGCTCAGAAACCGCATCTACGAATTTGTGCTTCGAAGGACCGACGACATGCGTGTCGACGAAAAACTGGACATGATAGGAGTATCAGCAAGGTTCTTAGCAATCACGGAGACCTGTCGACAGATCTACACTGAGACCCACCTACTGCCGTTTATCTTGAATACTTTCATCATAGACTTCAGCTTGATTCGCTGGCTGCGTGCTTTGGATGTTGATCAGCGGGAGGCGATCGCTTCGATTGAGATCTCACACACCCTCACCATGTCGCTAAGCCACCCGGGTGGAACGTGGCACACTCTACCCGGACGCCAGAATGGGGGTTACGTGGGCATGTTGCTGGAAGTCTTGCCGGGATTGAAACACCTGAACCTGGCCGTCGAGATCACGCTACTCACACCGCTGGGCGACGATGGGAAACGCATGGATGTAAAACCAGACCAGCGCCGAATCGAGCAGACCCTGGAGCCGTTTCGAGCTACTTTCCATGGGAGAACAAACGGGGTGCTGATCACCACCACGGCGGAAACGCTTCCACCATGTGCCCTTGCTGCTTGTTTCCCACCACGTCGGTAAGGAAGAATTTCAGACAATAGACCTGGGAGGCGCAGCTCCCAATGCTCCTATTCACCTTCAGATTTGTGCACGTGTGCTGTTGATCTGGCTTGGTACGCGGCAATTCGTCGCGAACTTCACCTTCACTACGGCAAAATGGCAAGCGGCCCCACATTATATCACATACTTCACTAGTTCTATCACCTCGACCCTTTCATACTTTACCCATGAAGTCTTCCAACAAGCGCGACATACACACACCTGAGACGACCAGACAGAGCCAGAGGTCTTGTGTTGATGACGCCTTAATCGCCATGCAGTTGCAGCACGGTCTCGATTTCCCTACTGACTCTGAGCGAGAACGCAACGTCAAGCTCTACGAGGACAAGCGCAATGCTGATCAGAGGTAAGTACATCGCGATACCCGCGCTATTCCTCTGACAATGCTGACATCTGATGCTAGAGAGATACAAAACCAGATGCAGAACTTCTTGTTGCAGATGCCACAAGAAATTCTGAATCAGATCTACGAGCACGCATTCGACGGCCAGATCTTGCGCATCACCACCCTCTACAACAGGCTCAGTCTCGTCCGCGCGACCTACCCTCACCCTTTTGCCCTCCCGAGCGTGTGTCGCAAGCTTCACCGCGATACCGCGAAGTTTCTGTACTCCAGAGCCACCTTCGAGCTCGTAACCTTCCAGTTCGTATCCCTCATCGAGACCTGGCGCACTCCCATTCGATCCAACATTGCTACTTTCATCAACCCCCTCATGTCCATTCCGACCCCGATCAAGCGCTTCGAAGTTGTGGGTATGGGTGATTCAAGCAAGATGAAACTCAGTACGGTTTCGAGGCGCGAGGTTTGGCAACAATCTCGGCACAGACCAGAAGTCGACTACAAGGCGGAGCTCAAGCGGTATATTCGAACGGCCTTCCCGGCGGCTGACGTCACCTTCCGCGCAGTCCCGTCTGGCAGCAAGGTCTAAGAGATACGGGCATTGCATTCAAGATATGAAAGGTTGAGTAGGAACAGTGATTGTTCTGAATGCGTCAGTGTCGCAACGATATTTCCACTGGCTACACGACGCAACCTCTAAATATGGCTAGGAGATGCGCAAGATACCTGTACTTGGGTAAGGCGTTTTATCACAGAGTTCACAGTATTACGTGAGCGCTGGCTTCGGGATTTTACACCTCTTCTCGTGATTGTGTTATGCAGTACGTTGGCGCGTACCCGGCATAAGTCATTACGCTGGCTGGGAAACATGTACCGCACAGAAGAAATATGTCCCAATCAATTGAAAATCTATTACAAACGTCCACCCATGCAAGCGTAGCGTCGTGACTGTGTGTTCTTCATGCATCATCGACCTCCCTCCATGTCTTCCCCATCAGCGTGTTGCTCTCCCCACTCCCTTCGTCCACCAGCTTCGCCGACGTCTCCTTACCCGCCACCGGCAGTTTGACCTCGAACCTCTTTCCCTCTGCTGCCTCCTTCCCGTCGATCGGGTATCTGAATGGCACGTACTCTGGTAGCAGATCCAGTTGCTTGAGTGCAGTCGCCTGGTCCCAGCTAATATGCTCATGGCAAAGTCTGTCGCCACGCATGGCCACTACCGACGTGAAGGGAATCTCGAGGGTCTTGCCCGTGGGCGGAATGCCGGGGAGGAGCCAAGGCACTTCCTTGTCGTGTGTGAGCGAGAACACGAACTCGTCGATAACACGGTCAGTGCCGACAGTTCGAGACACAAGCGAAAGGGCCGTATCGTCGGGGTTGCTGAAGATAAAGTGATGCGTGTAGAAAGCCGTAAGGCGCTCTTTGCCAATGCCGCCTCTGTTTGGTATCAGCACAATTCTTTGAAGCGAGTTCGTATGTACTACTCCGCAGAAGCGTCTTTTTCTATCAGTAGAAGTGGGGACAAACTCACGTCATGGTCGGAATGTGATTGACATAAGGCTGCGCAACCATGGTAGCCATCGTCTTCTCCACAGCTCTCTCACCAAACTCGTACAAACAATGCTCATCCCACACAGCCTCGAGGTCGAAGTACGGGCCGTTCAAGAACGGCTTGAAGAACGCCACACTCCTCGTGTGCGCAATACCTGCGTTACGTTTCGAGTAGTTGGGGTCGGCGGGAAGCACCCAGTTTGAATCCCTGGCGGCATCTTCATAGCGGAACGTCTTTACAATTCCGGCAGGGCGCGTCTTAGTTGGGGATGAAGATGTTGGCTCCGGATCAGGCGTCAAGGGCACTGATTCTCGTCGTGCAACCTTAAGCCCCGAAACATGGACGAGTTGGGGTGGGAGAGCTGTTTCGGCTTCGTGGAGAGTGGACAGCTGGCGGCCGCCATAGGACACTACAGCAAGAATCTCGGGGTGCTGGATAACGCCTTCTTCGACGTAGAAGGGAAGGCGGGAGATGTACGCTAAGTTCAAAGTTAGTTTCTAATTCAATACACACAACGTCTGATTGCGTAGACTTTTTGTCACAGCTCAATGAATCGGATTTCCACTTGAAGATCTGCAAAAGTAAAGACTCACAGACAACGCCAACACCATCGCCGAATGTGCATGCCTCACACCCCTTGAGTACCTCCAACGCTTTGTCTAACGGAAGTTCGCCACCATCTTCTGTATTTCCCGGTACAAGTAGCTGGACGACGGCAAAGCCCTCCTCCGCCCATTTCTGCAGAGGCGGAGGATCGAGATGCTTATCACTCGATTCAATCAATGCATAGTGGTCGAGTACCAAGATGAGGCCAGGACCTTTCCCACGGCGAGAAAGAGGAGGCTGTAGCGTGATATGAGGCGATATCTGCTGGGGTGAGGGGTAGGTAGTGGGCGCTACTGGCGGGGTTGAAGGGTTTGTTTCGCCCATTTCGATAACAACAGGCAAAGGAAACGGTATCTGTTATCTGCCGCTGGGAAAGAAGGAAGTTGAAGATCAGGTAACCGAGATACGGGCGGATGTCAGTTAGTCTAGCGGTTACAAAAGTGTGGGGTAGCCTAGATTGGTTCGCGCCCACCATTGAGATGGAACGGCGTCAACAACGTTGCTCAGCATCAATGACATTGGTTGCACGAGCGCTCCATCATAAGCACACTATCCTAGTTTGAGAGGGCATATGCGCGAGCGCCATAGCCTAGCGCGTCGTGCTCCACATGCGCTGTGTTCGGTAGGTGCTTGTACCATCCAAAGCATGCAGAGCATGATAAATTTGGACATTTGTGTAACTATAATGAAAAGCAGTGTAATTGATTGGGGGGTATATGTCTGGGGCACGGGCACTGCGCGTGCAGCAATATATTGTACATGGAGGACCTGGAAGCATACAGAAGGCCTCATCGAATGATTATGCAGGATGTCCTGGATGCAGTATGTGTTGTACAGAGTGAGCAAGGAGATGCTTGAAGGCTCACGACAAGAGAGCAATCATTCTTGCGTAGGTTGATAAAACCTAGGCAGTATCTCCAATCGATGTTGGTTTCGATGACTTGAGCTTCAGCTTTTTACGAATCCCATCGGCAACTGCGATGGCGGTTTCGGGAAGACCTGGTGACAGTCAGCAGATGAAACCTGATCCTTTGGAATTGTAACCTTACCTGCAACTCGTGCGACCTTCAAGGCATGGCTTTCGCGATTAACACCTTTCTTCAGGCGATGGACGTACGAGAACTTGCCGTCTGGCTCCTCACGGACATCGTTACAGTAACACGCAAGATTGTCGAACTCTTTGGTCATATCGGTGAGAGCGTGAAAGTGGGTCGCAAATAGTGTTCGACACTGGTTGACGTGGTACAGATGATGCAAGCAGGCGTAGCCGACCGCAATGCCGTCTTCAGGTGTAGTGCCTCGACCAACCTCGTCCATGATGACAAACGAACGCGGTGTGGCTTCTTTGAGAATCTGTGCAGTCTCTAGCATCTCCACCATGAAGGTCGACTGATCGAGGAAAAGATTATCAGCTGAACCAACGCGGCTGAAAACTTTATCCACGAGTCCAATTTCCGCATACTCGGCTGGCACGAACGATCCCGTTTGGGCAAGAATCGATATCAGAGCATTCTGTCGAAGGTATGTGCTCTTGCCTGCCATGTTCGGGCCGGTGATGAGCCAAATGCGTTCTTTATCATCAAGAATGCAGTCGTTGGGTGTGAACTTGCGGCCTTGGTCGCCAATGCTATTGTCGACAACTGGATGTCGGCCTCCAATGATGTTGTGCAATGTTCCCGAAGTGATGATGGGTCTGATGAAGCTCTTCTCAACTGCAAGAAGAGCGAAGGCGCACGCGACGTCAAGCTCATCGAGCACAGCTGCGTTACGTCGAAGCCTAACGAGGTTTCGGACGACTCCTTCACGTAGTTCTCCCAATACTCGTTGTTCTTCATTACGAATCCGGAACCGAGTCTCGTCCATCTGGGCACCAAGCTGTGTCCATTCAGGGATCTGGAAAGAACGTGTAGACTTGCTGCTGCTAAGGCTCTTTGGATAATTTGATGTAACGCGGGAAACATCCTTACCCTTTACATGAGCGATATGTGCGAGGTTTGGTGTCCACTTAAGCGTCAGACTGGAGGCGTCCATTTGGTGGCGTAGGCTCAACTCGAGTTCTGTTTTAGTGTCGCCCATGGAGTCTAAGAACTTGTGTAGTCTACTCAACGCCGGACTTGCTTTACGCTTCATGATCCATATATCCTCACGTCCGTCCGTCGCGCTCTTATGACTACCCGAGATTGCGTGGGGCTTCGGTTGTATGCGCTTTGGCATGTTCTTGAGATCCTCTTCGCCTGCTTCACGACCCAGGACATCTTGGGCCAACTCGGACATCTCTTCCGCTCGCTCGTCTTCGGCACGATGGTACTCAGATAGTGCATCTTCATCGATCGCGTCTTGTATACGCTCCGAAAGCTCTCGTACACCCTCGAGGTCGAATCTTCGCTCTAGTGCAGACATGCACTGCCTGCGACGCGTTTCCGAGGATTTGCTGTTTGGGTCCACCACAATTGCGTTTCTTGATGTTGTATGTTCACGTACGACGTTGAAGAGATCGGACGTGGTAGCGATTGTTTTCGAAAGCTCCATCAGGTCATCGGCATCGCCACGGCCGTAGGTAAACTTAGTTACCAAGCGAAGAGAGTCGAAGGTCTGTCCAAGGAGCGATATAACGTCTTGTCTGAGCTGAGGATACTCAATCATTTCTTCAACTAAGTCGAGGCGATCGTTAATCGTTGAAAGTGACATGGAGGGAGCGGCTGGTGAATGTTAGCTTGACATGATAAGAGAGATCTTGCTGTACCCACATAAGCGTTGAGACAATAAGCGTGTGCCGCTCTTAGTGACGGTGTTCTTCAGTGAGTGCAGCAAGCTGCCTTCGTAAGCACCATCACGGATCGTACTCCTGATCTCTAGAGCTCTTAGGCTATTCTTGTCGATGCTCATGTGGTCTTCACTTTGGTGCCTCACAGGGGCTTGTAGCCGTGTTCGCGAACCCAGGAGTTGGTGCTTGACATAGTGCAATAATGATCCGCCAGCAGCCACCTCGCCAGGTGTGAAATTTTCAGGGTCAAATTCATCGACCACATCCTCTAGCATAGGTACCCAGTCTTTGACAGTAAGTGGCTCCTTTGAGGGCTCTTGGAACGTTATGATGTGTCCGTCTTCTTGCAGTATGGAGACTATACGTGAGTGTTCCGCCTCCTCAAAGATGCTATCGAGCACAATTTCTCTGGGCTTGATGCGAGCAACAGCAGTAGGTAACGATGCAATGTCGGTACTCTGCGTCAAGAAATCACCACTGGATAGATCAATCCATGCCAGACCAACCTCTGTGCGAGGCAGATTGAGCACCGAAGCTACGTTGGAGCTTCCTGGACTCTTGACGACAGCCTTGTCTTTCTCGAGCGTCTTAGGATTAACGTGAATGCTGAGGAGATAGTTGTTCTCCCATGGGTCCATGAAATGTTCATCTATCAAGGTCCCAGGTGTGATGATGCGAGATACTCGCCGGGTATACTGTAGCTCACCCTTTGCTCTGTTGGGTGCTTCGTTAATGAACTCGTCACATATTGCAACATGCTTGTTCAAATCCTGGACAAGAATCTTCAGATAGCGGTCGAGCTGATACGCAGGGAATCCGGCCTGATCATGTGAGTCTCCAGACACTAGGATCTCAAGTCATAAACTCACCATTGATACAGCAGGCTTCTTGCTGCCTTTGGAAGACTTTCGTTTGGCTTTCTTCAGATTCAATAACGGTGCATACTCGTCAGCGTGTTCGAAGTATAGCTGGCCTAGTCAGTGGAAGGATGTGTATCCGACGTTAGACACACCTCATAGAAACCACCGACTCTGGTCACTAAGACGCAATGATTAAATTTGAGCATGTTGTTTCGAACCTGCTGCAGCAGGGGAGGGTATTCCGGTTCAGCATCGTTCTGAGGTGGTAGTGCATCGTCTCCAATGACACCCTGCGGCATATCATCAAGATTGATAGTAGCTTTCCTCTTCGCGCCTCGACGCTGCAGTTCTCGATTCCATGCTGCACCTGTGAACGGTATTGCACGTGGTTTCGCGCGAGGTCGCGTCAAGCTCGAGAACGAGCTTAGTAAGGTTTTGTTGGCCGACCGCGGGGCAAGAGATAGATGTGGCGATAGAATCAGCCGTCCGAGACGCGTCGTGCAAAACGCATGCTTAAACAGCATAGTATCTGAATGGCGATGTTGCCGTAGAAGGTAGGTCGCGTCTGAGTTGTCGCGTCTGCATGCGGTCTAGTGTGACTTGAGAAGCGTAGGCGCGGGGTTTGTCGGAGGTCCTTCCATCACTATTGAATTCCGAGGCTGCTCGTTCTCACTTCACATCCCATAGCAATCATGGCACCGAATTTCGATGATATACCTATGAAGAATGATCTCATTCTGCGCACTGCGAGAGGTCAGTATCGAGTACACAACGATTTACATGGTCAGAACCGGCTGACATTCTCACAGGCCAGAAAGTGGAGCGCGCACCTATGTGGGTGATGCGTCAAGGTACGAAACTGTCCGTTGGTACCCTCCGCGCATTCATGATGCTAACAATCGTGCAGCTGGACGCTACCTGCCCGAATACCACGAAGAAAAGGGCAAAAATGACTTCTTCGAATGCTGCCGCAGCCCCGAGATCGCCTCCAACCTCACACTTCAGCCAATTGATCGCTTTGCCGGTCTTGTCGACGCTGCTATCATCTTCTCCGATATTCTCGTTATCCCTCAGGCGATGGGCATGGAAGTCATAATGGTAGACAAGAAGGGCCCTCACTTCCCCGAACCACTACAAACACCAGACGATGAGCAGTATAAGGAGGTTATGGAACGCAATGTTGATGTGAAGGAGTCGTTAGACTACGTCTACAAGGCTATCACACTGACAAGGAAGAAGCTCAATGGTCGAGTGCCTCTGATCGGTTTCTGTGGTGCGCCTTGGACGCTCCTAAGCTACATGGTTGAGGGTGGTGGCAGTAAAATGTTCATCCAGGTCAAGACATGGATCTACAAGTACCCAGATGCCACCAAGGCCCTGCTACAGAAGATTGCAGATCTTTGCGTGGAATACCTAGCTCTGCAGGTAGAGGCAGGCGCTCAGGTACTTTCTTCAGGACACCGGCACGTGAACAACACTAAAATGCTCTAGATGATTCAAGTCTTCGACTCATGGGCAGGCGAACTTTCTCCCCAATCCTTCAAGGAGTTCTCACTTCCATATCTGAACCATATTGCCGACAATCTCCCCGCCCGCATAAAATCCAAGGGCCTGGAGCCCGTTCCTATGACAGTCTTTGCCAAGGGTGCATGGTACGCATTGCCCGCCCTTTGCGAGTCCAACTACAACACCATTGGCTTGGACTGGCTGCACGACCCAGCAGAGGCATATCAGCTTGCGCAGTCGAAGGGCAAGGTATTGCAAGGTAATGCCGACCCTGGCGTTCTGTACGGCAGTCACGATGCCATCACTAAGGTTGTCGAGAACATGGTCGCTGGATTCGGTGGAGGAAAGCAGGGTTGGATTGCCAATCTTGGTCATGGTAAGCTCTATGATTTGGAACGCAGCCCAAAAATACTGACAAGACTAGGCATCACACCATTTGTCAAACCAGATGACCTGAAATTCTACTTCGAAGAGATTCATAGGCTGACAACATAATGCCAAATATAACAAATGTGCAGCCAGAAGAGCCAGCACTCTATTCATTCTCTCCAATGTCCTCGTACCAATCCCCAGGCTTCTCTTTGATGAACTTTTGCATTAGTGCTTCACACTCCTCGCTCTGCAAGACCACAACTTCGATACCCTTACTCTTCAGATACTCCTCGCCTCCCTTGAACGTATTGTTCTCACCAATTACAACTCGTTTGACCTTGTACATTACGCAGGCGCCCGTACACATGTCACATGGGGAGAGGCTGGTGTACATGGTTGCACCTTGGTAAGCCGAAGCTGGCAGGCGTCCTGCATTTTCCAGAGCGGATATCTCTGCCTGACGGGGTCAGCACGAAAGTAAAGTAAGGCATTTTCAGGGCGATACCGACATGCAGAGTAGCACTGCCTTTCTGAATGCGCATATTGTGGCCCTGACCCAAGACTTTGCCTTCAGCTGACACCAGGGCTGCGCCGATAGGCACTCCGCCTTCACTGCTGCCTTGGCGGGCCTCCTGTAAGGCAGCCTTGAAGCCAAGATCTTCTGTGGACATGGTGAAAAGACTGTACAGTGTTGAGAGGGAATCACGTAGCAGATAAGTATCATCACCAACGGTATTCAGGGTCCAACGCCGCCAATCATCGGTGCTTCTTCGCCGCGATAAGCTTCTGGTGATCTCGACCTTTGCCGATTGGCGGGGACGCACGGACTTCAGAAGGGAACTCTTGACGAACTGCGTCTTGTTACTTTTGCGCCGCGGAAGCCTCTTGCGGAAAGATTTTGCAGCTTTGGAAGTCCCAGTGGGGGGAGCTGGAGGGCTTGTGCAGGCTGAAATCCAGTTTCAGCCTGCTTTGGGCGGTTGGGTCGCGGTGGAAGGGCATAGAATCAGTTGGAATCTTCTGCAGCTCGGCGCAGTTGTCACCCCCGGTTGACTACTTTTAAAACTCCAAGCTCTCGCCTCTGCAGTGCCTTCACAAAACAAATATTGCCGGCCACTGATAGCAACGCTCTCGTAAGTGACATACCTCTCCTGGCCCTCAGCGACAGTCCGTGTGCGGCATGTCTCGGTGGACGCCTTCCGTGAGAGTCGTCGACGACGAACTAGCCGCGGGCGCCTGCCGCAAGGCTGAGCCGCTTGTTAAGGCAAACCCTAGTCCGCAACTCGGCCGCTGACATTCAAATCTTCAGACACAGCACCGTTGCGCATCCCCTCACCCACGATATACCCCCGGCGACCCCGCGCACACTTCTACGACTCGCATAGTCCGTTTTCGTTGCAACTACACACACCACGACCGCCAACATGGTGAAAGACACCAAGTTTTACGAAATTCTCGGGGTATGTACAGCCTTACACACGGAGGAAATAAGAGCTCAACTGACATGGCGCAGGTGGCACCAGATGCCACAGAAGCACAGCTCAAGTCGGCATACAAGAAGGGCGCACTGAAATGGCACCCGGATAAGAACGCACACAACCCCGACGCCGCCGATAAGTTCAAGGATCTCTCGCATGCATACGAAGTTCTCCAGGACCCCCAAAAACGACAACTTTACGACCAGTATGGCGAGGAGGGCCTCGAGCAGGGAGGTATGGGCGGCGGCGGCATGGCTGCTGAGGATCTCTTCGCACAGTTCTTCGGCGGCGGTGGCGGCGGTCCATTCGGAGGCATGTTCGGCGGCGGTATGCGCGAGCAGGGTCCTAAGAAGGCGCGCACCATCTCTCACACCCACAAGGTGTCACTCGAAGACATCTACCGCGGCAAGATCTCCAAGCTCGCCCTTCAGAAGTCTGTCATTTGCCCCAAGTGCCACGGTGTCGGCGGCAAGGAGGGTGCTGTCAAGAAGTGTGCTGGCTGCGATGGCCGCGGTATGAAGCACATGATGAGACAAATGGGCCCTATGATCCAGCGTTTCCAGACAGTCTGCCCTGACTGCCAGGGAGAGGGCGAAATCATCCGCGACAAGGACAGGTGCAAGCAGTGCAACGGCAAGAAGACTATCATCGAGCGCAAGGTTCTCCACGTTCACGTCGACCGTGGTGTCCAGAGCGGCCACAAGATCGAGTTCCGCGGCGAAGGTGACCAGCTTCCTGGCGTCGAACCTGGTGACGTTATCTTCGAGATTGAACAGAAGCCTCACCCGCGTTTCCAGCGTAAGGGTGATGATCTCTTCTTCCATTGCGAGATTGACCTTCTGACCGCTCTTGCCGGTGGTCAAATCCACATCGAGCATCTCGACGAGCGCTGGTTGACAGTGGACATCATCCCAGGCGAGTGCATCAGTCCTGGCGAGGTCAAGGTCATCCGTGGCCAGGGTATGCCTTCGTACAGGCACCACGACCACGGCAACCTGTACATCCAGTTTGACGTCAAGTTCCCTGACCGTCTCGGCGGCGAGGACGGCACACCCATGACACCTGAGCACATCCGCGCCCTCGAGTCTGTCCTCCCGTCACGAAAGGCTCCCGATGCCGTCCCTCCACCAAACGCCATGACCGAGGATTTCACCCTCGAGGCTGTTGACCCCACACGCGAGCAGGCACGCGCACGAGGCATGGCCAGCCCAGACGATGACGATGATGATATGCACGCCGGTGCCGAGCGCGTGCAGTGTGCATCGCAGTAAACCGTGAGCGATAGGGTTGATAGCGAACAATTTACGACAGACGAGCAACGACACGGCGCATGAAGGAAAGGGGCGGGGACGGCGTGCGAGCTTGGGAGACGATGTTTTGCATGATGGGCTGTTTAGGCATGCTGGCTACGCATATCACAGCCCAGTATGTCTGAGCAGGATGCGCTTTGAGGTTTGAAAGCGCGAGGATTTTCTTTTCATAGACCGGGTTGCGGTGGCTTTCCTTGTTTACAGCATTGCTATGACTGGGCAAAGGCGTTCTTAGACGGTCGTCCTTTGCGCAGAGCATATCTGCGGTCTCACCATGGATTGTGGGAGTAATTGAAAATTGCATGTGGTAATGTTCAAGACCTAGTTTTCTCTCGCTGTCACATGTGCTGTGTGGCTCGCTGTATACCTAATATAGATCATACACACCGCCCCAGAGCATTCGGCTTCCATCAATAACAACACCGGTCTAGCATGGTGTAAGAGCCGGAGCCTCGATCGCTAGCTTGCCGTTCTGCTCACCTAGACCTTATAGGTTTGATCAACAACAAAGTAATAGCCCCGATCAGAACCCCTGGGAACATTTCCCGGTCAGCGCTTATGGCCTTTGCTATCTCGTAATGCATCAATCACCTCACAGTCACATATTTGATCACGCAACAGCATGGCGGCGCGGCAGATAAGTAGTATAGAGACAAGCAAATGCAATTGGTATCTAAAGAAAAATTCAGCTCGCCTTAGAGCCACGCTTCCCACAGTGGGGATTGGGATATAAAGGAGTTTGTCGTCTAAAACCAGAGTATCAGTAACGCCGCCGCGAATGTTCATGTGCTCATTAGACCGCCCTTTTTTGACCTGTAACACCGTCTTCTCCAAGCAACCTGTTAGAACAGCACGTCTAGGGCAGCCCGTTCTTGATCTTGGGGCCCACAACCGCCTTCTCGAGCGCCTGCAGCACGTCGGCCACGAGGTCGGCCTCGTCCTCGACACCGCAGCTGATGCGTACCAGGTCGTCAAAGACACCGGCAGCCTCGCGCTGGTCCTTGGGGATGCCGCCGTGCGTCATCGCGCTGGGGACTTCGACAAGCGACTCGACGCCGCCGAGCGACTCCGCAAGCGTGAAGATCTTGGTCGCCTGGCAGAAGCGCTCAGCGCCCTTGTGGCCGCCCCGGATGCGGAACGAGAGCATGCCGCCGCCCATGCCGTCGCGGTGCTGCTTGAGCGCGATGGCGCGCTGCGGGTGCGAGTCGAGACCGGGATAGTTGACGCTGACGACGTGGGGGGAGGCCTCGAGCGCGGTGGCGACGCCGGTGGCGTTCTTGGAGGCCTCGCGGGCGCGCAGGTGCAGCGTCTTGAGGCCGCGGTGGGCCAGCCAGCAGTCGAAGGCGCTGGGGACCGCACCAATGGCGTTCTGCAGGAACGAGAGCTTCTCGAAGAGCTCGGGCGAGTTGAAGGCGGCGGCGCCCATGACGACGTCCGAGTGTCCGTTGATGTACTTTGTGACGCTGTGCACGACGATGTCGGCGCCGTGGTCGAGCGGGTTCTGCACGTACGGCGACATGAAGGTGTTGTCGACGACGACCATGATGCCGTGCTGGTGCGCGATGGAGGCGACCTTGCGGATGTCGACGAGCGTCAGCGTCGGGTTCGAGGGCGATTCGATCCAGATGAGCTTCGTGTTCGGGCGGATCAGCTCTGCGATGTCGATCTCAATCGACGGCGAGAAGGTGACTTTGACATCGTGGGTCAGCGCGACCTTGGTGAAGTATCGGTGCGTGCCGCCGTAGACGTCGGACACTGAGATAACGTGCGAGCCAGCGGCGAGCGATTGCAGGATGTTGGCGGTGGTGGCCGAGCCTGAGCTAAAGGCGAGCGCATAGCGGGCGTGCTCGAGCGCTGCTACTGCGCGTTCGAAGTTATCGCTGAGAGACAGTTAGCTTGAGGCGTTTTTGGAGGAGCACCAGAGAGCGTACCGATTGGGGTTGGAGGAGCGCGAGTACTCGTACTCGCCGACTGGCTTTCCGACTGCAGTCTGCGCATAGGTCGTAGACAGGGAGATCTTGAACAGTCAGTTTCCGGCATATTTCCAAAACGTCGGGAACTGCACTTACAGCTTCAATCACAGCGCCAGTAACGGGATCGTGCGGACTTCCGGCGTGAACAGCCAGTGTGCCGAACCCGTGCACAGGGCTGGCAGGGCGCGGCGGGGTATCGATGGGGTGTTCGGGGAGCGTCATGGTGATGATGGCGGCAAATCGCGTCTCTTGCAAATTTCGGAAAAGAGCACAAAGGGAAGAGGCTCAAGATATAGAAGAGGCGAGTCTACAGCTCGATTTCAATGTGTCAAGAGAACGCAGCTTTTCTCAAAAACTTTTTAGCGTTCCGTATGCTGCGGGGGCGTGTAGTCTTCTTCGACGTAAGAATTCAACCGTTGTGCCTTTGTTTGCCGATGGTACAAGATGGTGTGATGAGACCCTGAGAGGCTTGTACTGTCGCATCCGCTGCGTCTGGGTCCCCTTATATACGCCATTACGGTGCCGTACTATGCGAGCATTTCTCAGCAGTCGATTAATCATAGCCTCCATACGCCAAGACGTCGCAAAACATAACGGACCGTAGGCGGCGCGTTGGTTTCGCGACTCCGGGGTTAGCTTCTAAGGCGTCATTGTAATCCCCGATCGCTTTACGTCGGCCCTTGCATGCTTACATACCAACCCTATACCAGATCGGCAGGTACGGACTGCGTGGACGAGTATGGAAGGTACGATGAGTAGGCACGATTACACCATATCGCAATAGGCCGAACATTCCGTGCACAACGTTGAACACACGATCATACGTGATGCAGGATTCAATCTACGAATCGACAATAAGAAATCTAGTACTTTGCTGGGTATCATCGCTTCGAAGCTTCCTCACTTCTGCTCTTAACCTTGGTCCAACCGCTTGTGCCCTTCTTGCGCTCAGGAACCCCTCCCTCGGACATATCGTCCTTGTGCGACCCATTTGCGGTAGTTGTAGTGATGTGACTGCGGCCATTATCCAAGTCGGTGTTGCGTCGCGTGTCGCCCACCATGACTGGGTCCTCTGCGATGAGATTTTCCATGTCTTCCCACTCCTTCTGATTGAGCACGTCCCACTCCTGGGCTTGTTGCTCTGCTAGCAAGTATGCCTTCATCTCGTCGAGTATTTTGATGGGCGTCAGACTCCAACCGCTGAGATACTGTGCGTTTTCTGCCATGTTGAGGGTGGAATGTGACGTAGCATGTGACAGCTGCCCAAAGCCCACTGGGGCTCTTTTTATGGGTGACGCAGATGATTTGATGGCATGCATGTCTTTGTCGAGTGGGTTTTCTGGGCGTCGGGAAATGTACGTTTCCTGCAAAATGAGGAGTCGGTACAGGTTGCGGCCCATGGGTCCAACGTCTTCCCAGCCTTTGAAGTCGTCTTTCATGCCCTGCGTCCGACAGAGCCAAGCGATATTGTACGCTAGCAAAGACACGCCCTCGATGAAGGATGAGTAAGCCGGCGGGTCTTCAGCAGACAGGTGCGCCAGTGGCCGGTCGATGAACAAGGTACGAGGCTTCGGAAGAGGTACGCGCGGGTCGAGGGTGCGAGACGCCTCGGGACTGTTGCTCGAAGAATCAGAGAGCGCAGTGCCCGGAAATGGTACCTTTTTGCCTTGGTACGAGGAGGCAATGCTGAATATGGTAGGTTGAGGATAACCATTATGAGGCAACGTAATCTCGGCGGGAAGACGAATGCCCAAGTAAGCAGCGACGCGCACAAGCAACTGAGCGACAGCAGCGAGAGAGGCTGATAGAAAATCCGGCGGGGCGTCGTTCATGTCTCGGAGGTCCCAGATGCGCAGCTTTATTCCCGGTCCAATGTTGAGGACTTCCTTGATGCCCCCATCTTTGGTCCTCCTTTTGCTCAACTTCAGCCCGGCGAGCTTTGCAGATGTTGTGCACAGCTGTCTTCGCTGCTCGATGGTATCAAAGTGTACTTTGTCAGACTTGTAGTCCATCCTCTTCACCATCTGCTGCACCTTTTCTAGCTCGTTGGCTCGCCGAGAGTCGATGCCATAAGTGGCAGATGACAGGTCTGACTTGCGCTGGGCATTCACCGCTTGTTTTACTTCGATCGCTGCCCTCATGATCTGCATCTGCTCTCGGAGACGGGATGCTTGCTCGGTGATAAGCGTCATTCTCTCCTGAATCTCAACTGTTTCCGTCCTCGTCCGTTGCCAGTTCAGATTGTCAGTGCATAGCTGACGGTCAACCAGAAAGCCTCCTTTCGAATCTGACAGAGACACGCTCGGCGTGTCATCTGTGCCTTGTATAACAGCCTTGACGTGTCTTTCAACCCCGTCCTTGTCGATAAGCGTCTTCGCGAGCTCGATGCGGGGTTGTTCTAGGTATGAGCGGGCGCAAGTTATGCAGTGAAGTAGGTGGTCATGGCTGCCAGCCTTGCCACAAATATCGCATTCCATGTTTATGGTGTTAGGTGATCTCGCCTCCCTGAGGTCCGTAGAATGAGGGTCGAGAAGGGTACCGCGGGATCATGATGAGTTGAGGACTGCCCTAGCAGGTTGCGCGATTACAAACCCATGGAGTGGAAGAACCGGTGTTTGTTGCGTGTTGTACGAGGCAATAGCAGAAAGCGGGGAGGAGGGGAGAGGAAGGGAGAAGATGGGGAGAGAAGAGTACCTGGCGGTCAGAAGATCGCAGTGTAACGGAGGCAGCAGGCGCGCGCGAGTCAGGTCAGACGCACCTTCCCCACGTCATGCCGCGCTGACCCAAAATGGATGGCGCATCTACATCGCCACAAAACAACAACGTTTGATAGACAGACAGTCCCGGTCTCGTGCAGTGGTTCATCACCCTACGCGACAGAAGCTGCCCTGCCTGCTCTTGATCGTTCACTCACCCACAGCACTGACCACGTCAAGCAGCATCTCGAATGAAGAACGAGACTAATTAGTCTCTCACTCAAGAGGTCACGCCTCCATCTGTATCTCCACCACCATTATCTACCCAGTACTCGTTGTCCCCGATGGAAGATGATGCCGTTAAGTCTGAGCCTGAAGCTCCCCAGGATCAACAACAATCTCCTAGCCGCCCTAGGCACAAACGCGTGAACACTGATGAGACGGAGCGACCCGCTTCAGCACAGCAAAGTCGTGATGACACCCAAGAGCACGCTGGTGCCGAAACCGAAGAGAACATCTCGGACGACGATGAGGAGGCCGATCCTGCAGTGCAGATCGCCAATTTCGACTGGGATGACCTGCATCGGAGATACCACGCTGCCATCAAGGAATGTAGCCAAGAAGAGCAGGAGCTGATGCAGGAGTGGAGGAGTCTGATGGAGGTGCTCTTCTGCCATCTCACAAGGCACAGAGTGCATGGCTGACCAGAACCCAGTATTTCGCCATCTGGGCAAACTCAGGGCACGAGCACGAGACCGATCGCACATTTAGAAGGTGCGCCCATCAGGCGCTCTACCATGTTCGTGTTGAAGCTAACCAAGCGCAGACTCCAGACGAGAACGATGTATGTCAAGAACGAAGAGAACAAGCTCGAAGAAACGAGAAACCACTGTAAGCGCATTGGTATTCTGCCTGAGTCAAATTCTAATGAGAGCAGATATCAGCGTGGTGAGAGCATTCGAAAGTGCGCTCAATCTACTGAGGCGGAATGTCGCGTTCCGTGGTTGATGTAGCGCAGGAGTCGTGTACCTCAACCACCACCCACCTCGTGGACCAGCCACACATGTCAAATGTGTAAACACACGACCCAAAACGCAGTCATCTTGTGCGTTGTCTAGGACCCTGTCCTGTACTTTCCTGTAGTCGTGTTATCTTCAACACGTGTCGCATGTGCGAAGTTGCAGCGCACAGCTGGTCTCCACGCTCAATATATCGGTATAGAGTCACTTCAAGGATAAGATACCTATGCGAAAGACAATTGGTGTCGTCATAGATCATGTTTCCATTGCGCAAATCATCCGCATCTAACCAAGTCTATGCCATATATATGACAAGCCCACCTGCGCTATCCCATGCATGCAAGATTATCCCAAGATCAACCCCAAGTCTATATTGAAAGAAACGCGTCTCGTCGTCTACAAGAGGGGGTTGGAGCGGTACTCGGGCACGACGCCGTTGGTCTGGCTCTTCTCGGCCTGGTTCTCCTGTTCCAGGTCGTTGGTGACGGTATCGTCCTGCTCGGCGAGGAACTTCTCGGCCTCGAGCGCAGCGACACACCCAGATCCTGTTTTGGACGTTAGTCTCAATTCTGAGTATTGTCAAGTAGTGGTATGGACTTACCGGCACTGGTGATTGCCTGGCGGTACTTCTTGTCCTGGACATCACCGGCCGCAAATACACCCTCGACGCTTGTGTGGCCCTCACCCGGCTTGGTGATCAGGTAGCCGTCCTCGTCCATGTCGAGCTGGCCCTGGAACAGCTGCGTCGCGGGGTCGTGACCGACGGCGTAGAACAAGCCCTTGGCCTCAATGGTCTGCTCCTCCTTGGTGACGTTGTTGCGGACGACGAGATGTGTCATGAGCCCGCCCTTCTTCTCGTCACCCTTGATCAAAGTCGCGCCCGTGTTGAACATGACCTCGACCTTGGGGTGTGTAGTCAGGCGCCTGGCGTTGGTGCGCGACGCTCGTAGCTTGTCCCTGCGGACGAGCACGGTGACCTTCTTCGCCTTCTTGGTCAGGTACAGGGCCTCCTCGACCGCGGAGTCGCCGCCGCCGATGACGACGAGTGGCTGCTCGCGGAACATGGGCAGACTGCCGTCGCACACGGCGCATGCCGAGACGCCGTAGCCCCAGTACTTCTCCTCGCCCGGCAGATCCAGACGGCGTGCCTTTGCGCCGGTCGCAATGATGATCGAGTCGGCGGTGTGTTCTTCCTCCTCAACCTCGACGTCGTCGCCCATGGGGTGCAACCAGTACTTGAAGGGACGGGATTTGAGGTCGACCTTTGCGACGGTCTGGGAGACGATTTCGGTGCCGCAGGCTTCGGACTGGGCGCGCATTTGGTCCTGTAGTAGTTAGTACTCATGCTGGTAAGGTATGTATACATTGATACGCACCATGAGTGTGGCGCCCTGGATCTTCATGAACCCAGGGAAGTTCTCGACTTCATCGGTGGTGGTCAATTGACCTCCTGCGGCAATGCCAAGCGCCATGAAGCCCTCGTACATGACGGGGTTGAGATCGGCGCGAGCAGCATAGATGGCGGCGGTGTGGCCTGCTGGCCCAGAGCTGAAGGGTGTCAGTTTCAGTTTCGATCCTATCTTGGAGCAGTCCTCCTTATGGTAGTAACTTACCCGATGATAACGAGTTTCGAGTGCATCTTGCGCGAATCTACTTTGGAGAGCCCAGCGACGGGGGTGGTGCGTGTGTTATGCGAAGCAGCAGCGGCGACAGGTAGCGAGAATAAAGATAGTGGTCGAGAAGTTGCCCGGCGGAAGATTGAGGCAAACAGTTTGGCGGCGTGCGCGGCTGTCGCGTGTCGGTCGTGGAAGTGGGTCGCGGGAGAGGGATGTGGGACTGGTGTTCACGAGGACCAAGTGACGCAGAGGGCTTGGAAACTGGTTCTTGAGGACTGCGAGCTCAACGGTTCCAGCGATCTACAGCTTCGAAGGTTCTGTGGAACGTGGGCGAGGTACAAGGAGGGGTTGTTCGCGGGTGTGTTCAGTACTGCAGCACTCGCAATGTTAGCAGCGCACCTTTATAAATCTGGATTTGGCAGAGGTTCAGGGAGACACACACCTTGTTTGTACTGTGTGAAGCAAGAGTAGTGGCGTTGCTGCGACTTTTGAGAGAAAGTCTCGGAAAAAATACTGGGTGCTCACACTATACGCCATCGGCGCCCGGGTCGGGCTGGCTTGATCTAATCCCGGTGCCTTAGAAATCGCAGAGTACTAGACTCCCATCATATCCACTCCACACCAGCTCGTAGGCTTTTGCTGACACCACTGCTGCGAGGCGCCCCTGCCCACCGACTCGCTAGCCTCGGCCACTGTCGCTTGTCCTTGCAGTTGCGTAAGTGTTGGCTGCATCTCATCTGATTACAGCGGTGCGCATGTTAGTTTTGGCAACAGTCTTGGAAGGACAGCGGTCAATGACAGACCCTGCGCCTCTAGACATGCAGGTGGCGATCTCAATGTATGCAATGCGCGTGATCTCTTCATACAGCACCAGGATGGTGGTCTCGTCGGAGGCTCCTCGGATCAAGATGCGGCGCTGAACATGTCTCAGAGCCTCAAGTCACGTCACGCACATGCATAACATAATCGATAGCCGAAGAGTTCACTTTTGTCGTTATCGCGCAAGTTGACTGACTACTCCTCGGCGCCTGGACGCTTTCTAAGGTTCTCCACACTGTAAAGCATGTCTCGCAATGCTTTATCATCGGCCGACCCCAGACTGCTGGTCGCCGAGTCGTCGCCGCTAATCCCGCCAGACTGAACGTCAAAGACCTCATGGAACGGCTTCATTGCCTCGGCTGTTTGCGAGTTCTCCCCCCATTTGCCATTCTCCTGAGACGAGAAGCACTGCAGACGATGGGTATCCTGCACAAGTGTCAGTCCAGTTGATGCCGTAATATTTACAATTCCATTGACCTTTTCTTCGCGCACGTCCTTGGTAGAGCCTGGCTTGTGCACATGATCGATGGAAACCACTACCGTAGACGACGTTGGGGAACTGGATAGAAAAGCAACGTCTAATGCGTTACCCCTGAGGGCTATCGCGGCACTGTATTCTATCGTTGCACTGCTCGTGTTTGTCATCGCGTCGATCTTGAATGAGAACAGAGCTGGAATGCCCTCACACGACACAAGTACCTCGTCTTGAGCGGGGACACTCCAAATGCCAGATACGGCGACCTTCGAAACGTCTTCTATGGCCAATTCAGGTCGGGACTTTAGATGAGCTGCCACGACTTCCAGAATAGGTAGCTTCTTGAGCAGCTTGAAGTTCTGCCAGTCCCACACGAACAAGTCTGTGTCACCACCACCAGACACGAGTCGTCCGGAGCGGGTGATGCACAGCTTATTGATGAAGGCCTCGTGGCCAAAGCAGAAGCCTTCGATGATGTGAGCCTGTGGTATGCTTCGAGAAACACGGATATGCTCGTCCCGGTCTGCTGTGATAATGTATTTGCGGGCGTCAGCCTCTGCGATGACGATGTCTGTGAGCATGGAGACATGGCCTAACAAAAGCTCATGTTCAAACTTCATCTCTTCCTTGGGAGGCGCAGGGCCCTTCTTCTTCTGCTTGAGCTGGTCTTCTAAGGTTTTGCGATTCCTGCCGGAGTGGACAGTGAGCACAGTCGCGGAGGGCACCCAATCAGCTTCCTGAACGGGCTCTGCTGGGGCTTCAGGTGCTTCATAGTCAGGTGAAGGCAGTAGTGGGAGCGAGTAGACATCTCCAAATTTGTCTGCGCACAAGATCGTCGAGTTGTCTGATGTCAGAGTGATTGAGCACGGCCGCCTGGTCATGTATCTGTCGATATCAGCTTCGTCCTTCATTGTCTGAATTGTATTTACCTCTCACTGAGTTGATGTAGCTCGTTTATTGTATCTGTCTGAAAGACACGGATGCACTTGTCCTCGCCAGTTACGCCAATTATATAGCGCCCATCACTTGAGACGATCAGGTTGGTAAAGTTGGCCTTGCGCTGTTTTGGTGGTTCTGCCAATTTGACTTTCTTTGCTGGCGGTCCTTCTTTTTCTTCGTCCAATGGTTCAGGCTCCTGCTCATGTCAGCTGCTGTTTATTGCTTGCAAACCACTCGCAACAAGTCCAAACAAGCACATAGAAGCCCGCAACTCACCGTCACAGGATCGTTTGGCTTGATCCAAGTCGAGGTACCTCCGCTGCTCGAATGTACAACGAGCGTAGGACCGCACGCACCAAAGAGCGTCCAACCTCCCGGCCCAGTCTCTGTCGACTCACGTGATGCAAGGCACTGGTATGGAAAAGACATCTTTCCAGTATGTGTTCGTCAATATCATGCACTCCGAGCGCTGCTTTTTCCATGAGCCGCCTCGCCTCGAGTGGTTAGCGCGACGTCGCGCGCACGAGCCACACCACAGTCAATTTTCCTCTCGCCGAGCTTGGAGCTGCTAACACCATCATCACCATTTCGCAAAACTAAAGACCTTAAACATCCCTTTGCGTCACAACGAACACAATGGGGGGCAAGAAAGAAACCAAGGCCGCTTACTTCGAGAAGCTTGAGGTTCTCCTCAAGGAGTACAAGTCCATCTTCATCGTCACCGTCGACAATGTCTCGTCCCAGCAGATGCACGAGATCCGTCAGTCCCTCCGCGGTGAGGGTGTTGTCCTGATGGGCAAGAACACCATGGTCCGCCGTGCGCTCAAGGGTCTCATCAACGACTCCCCCGAGTACGAGCGTCTCCTTCCCCACGTCAAGGGTAAGTCCAACTCCGCGCGCCGCTCCGCGCACGCTATTAACAAGTGAACAGGCAACGTCGGTTTCGTCTTCACCAACGGTGACCTCAAGGACATCCGTGACAAGATCCTGGCCAACCGTGTCGCCGCCCCTGCCCGTGCCGGTGCCGTCGCCCCTGACGATGTTTTCGTCCCCGCTGGTAACACTGGTATGGAGCCTGGTAAGACCTCTTTCTTCCAGGCTCTCGGTGTCCCCACCAAGATTGCCCGTGGTACCATCGAAATCACTGCCGACCTCAAGCTCGTTGAGGCTGGTGGTAAGGTCGGTGCCTCCGAGGCTACCCTGCTCAACATGTTGAACATCTCTCCCTTCACATACGGCATGGGTATCTACCAGATCTACGACAACGGCAACACCTTCGCTGCCTCCGTCCTTGACATTGAGGAGTCCCAGCTCCTGAAGGCTTTCTCCAGCGCCATCGCTACCATTGCCTCCATCTCGCTGGCTGCCAACTTCCCCACTCTGCCCTCCGTCATGCACTCCGTCGTCAACTCCTACAAGAAGGTCCTCTCTGTTGCCATTGAGACCAGCTACGAGTGGGAGGAGATTGCCGAGCTCAAGGACCGCATTGCCAACCCTGACAAGTACGCCTCTTCCGGCCCCGCCGCTGGCTCCGCTCCTTCCGGCGGTGCTGCTGAGGCCGCCCCCGAGGCTGCTAAGGAGGAGGAGAAGGAGGAGTCCGAGGATGACGACATGGGCTTCGGTCTCTTCGACTAAGTATGTGCGATTGCTGCGACTTCGTCAGAGATCAGCTCGTACGGCCACGGCCTGCCGAGCCATGTCTTGGTGGCATAGAGCATACGACACTACGATAAGATGAACAAATCAATCGACGACTTGTGACGCCTGTTGAAACAGCGGCGTTCACTAAGCAATTGGTAAGCCCACCCACATTTCTCTTACACCTGCGATGATGATAAATTTTTAACCCTGATCTCCATGAGGATCAAATAACGCAACACAACTCTAATTTTTTCCTGAGCACTTCATACTCATCCTATTCGAATCATTTCTTTCGAAAAGCACGAGGCTGACCATCAATCAGATACCCAAGTTTTTCGAACCACCTCCCACTCATGTGTGATTATGTTTTATGTCTACGCTTGTGATGCATGTCTAGCCAGTGAACCTGCCCTCGAAAGATCTATTCGTACCCAATAATGCTTCCACATTGCCTTGCCCCCCAAACTCCTACACACACTTTCGCTCTGCACATTACCAACATACACGTCCGCATGACTCCACGCCGTCCCGCGTTCATCAACAGCCAAACCTGGTGCGTACTCACCAATGATTTTCGCCGCAATCGCCTTTGCGACCCCCTTCCCCCGCCACTCAGGCTCTGTATGGAGCGTCGTCAAGCTGCCATCCAGACCCAAGAACGTCCACGCGACAGCCCTATCCGTAGCTTCCTCAAACACACCTTGACTCTGCAGACTCATCAGCGTGCGCGTCGCTCGTGGGATACTCGTGCGTTGCTGCACAACAGACAGGTCCTGCTCTCTCATTTTCCCCCACCGCAGCCCCTGCGGCAGCTCCCTGACAGCAGGGAGGTCCTCGATTCTGAACAGAAACTTGTTCAATACAGCGGTTGCGCCAGGAAATTCTTCGCGCAGAATCCCTGCGTCGCGGCACAGCGACACGAGAAGATGGTGGCACGCGCCCAGCGTCACAACTCCAGGCCAGAGGAGGTGTCGCATGTACGTCCCCGGCGAGAGCTGGTAGATGACGCCGGGACCGGACTCTGGGTGCTCTTTCTCGTGCTGCTTCGCTAGCTCGAGACTGGGGAGCTCGTCTGGATGGAGTGGGGCGTGGGGCAGCGAAGACATGTAGTCCAAGAGTGCGAGGGTGGCGAGTTTACATTGCGAGCAGAGCGTTTGATCTGCCCGGGATGCGTGGTTTGGGTCCTCTCCTGCGGCGAATAGCCAGAGCTCGGTTCCAGGGCGTGTCGACCGGTCGATGTATGCTGCTGCCCAGCATGACGGGACTTCTGTAGCTGAGATGGGAATTGTTGATAGTACGTGTGCATGTTCTGATTGATTGGGATGTTGTGTGCGGTAAACCAGGTTGATGCTGTATGGAAGAGATGACTTGAGGGCTTTCTGTAGAATCGATGACGTGGGGGAATGCTCGTAGACTTCCATCCTGTCTAGTGATAGGAACTAAATGTGAGATATCTCGAAGCTGTACACGAACTCAGAGATCTCGGATTGCGTAAGTTGACAATGGGTCAAGAGCAATTGAGATAGTCACATTTTGACTCCGTAGAAAGCTGGCATCAAGAGCGTACGCATTTCGGACCAATCACAGAATTTCTTGCAGATTTACTCCGCGGGGTGAATTTAGTCCGAATCGCGGTAGCTCTAAGTACTTACCTGCCTGTCTGCCTTTGCACCTTCCATTCTCGACTGCGTAACACTGGTAAAGATCGTTTCCATCTGTAATTCGCAGACAATGCCGGCCTTGCCAGCCTTGCCAGCCTTGCTCTTATGCTACCCCATCGTCCTCAGCTCCCGCACGACATTCTCGATTGTGTTTCTCAGTGCCCTCAGTCTTTATGTGCAACCTCACCATCGCGAGAACCGGCAAGGCCATCCATTGGGAATCACAATTCAGCAGGAACCGGTGATCTGAGGTGCTCAGGATCTTTATGAGCTTCTGAATACGGGTATGTGAGAATGGCCAGGCACGAGGCAGGAATGATATGCATCAAACTTCCTTGCTTATCACGAGTAATCATAACTTCACTCTCTTTCGCTTCGGGTGACGTACTTGGGCGAAGCGAAGTCCCTTCTCATCAGGGTGGATTGACGTTTGGTGGCTCACTGATTCGCGCAGCCGTTCCGTATCCGTAACTAAAATAGCAGCACCTGCGTCACACAAAGCCTCCGATTTCAGGCAGCTGGTCACGCTCAAGGCTACAATTGTTGACAATGCCTCTTGGATAGGATACCGAGAAGCCGCTTACTCGCTTGGCGGGAAAGGCTGCGGACTTCTGTGCGGGGAGTCCGCAATCCGGAAATACTGGGATGTCAGAGCGAGCTGCCGATCCAACCCTCCCAAGACAGGCGCCTGTCAAATGCGAGGCATTTTACTCGGCGCAACAACCACTAAGCATCCTGAAGCATCTTTGGGGTTGCACGAATTTGATCCAGCTAACATGCTGGTCTGCGGCACCAAACCTTCTATAGTTACCGCGAAGCTACTGAGATCTATACGCCCAAAGCTTCATGCACATCCACGATAAAAACAACGCCAACCAGCGCCAATCCCGATTTCACTCCCGAGAGCACATCCGAATTAAGCGATGCCCGGACGTCATGGAGAAACCTCCGACTAGGCAATTGGGCCGTTCTTGAGTCAGATGAATGTAAGCGATGGGAAGGATCGTATATTCTGCGGTCAGATTGAGACCTTTACAGATCGTACCGTGCAGGCCCGCTCGTAAGGTTAGGAAATCAACCATTTCGGATCCCCAGGATCACCGTTACAAGAAATCGTAGCAACAATGGAGGTATATGAAGACCAACAGCTACGACGGTCACTGCACCGGTGCCCTTCGTATTCAGCGTTGCTAGACTCACAAATCACGCGAACACTGCCCAAATGATCCCGCCCGCAAAAGAGCATGTACCCGGCGGGTTCAACCCCTTGCACTTTACTGTGCTGTGCCTTACACTTCTCACACTTCGAGTATGACGTGCTGTGTTCCTGGCTTTACTTGAAGCTAACCGGACCAGTTCGCCTACGTGGGTCTAACATGTCCCACCAGACATCTGCCAGGACCCTGGTATACTCGCTTCACACATCTCAGACTGAAGCGAGCAGTCGTCACTGGTCAAAGGATCTTCTACATTGATTCGCTGCATAAGAAGTATGGCCCCGTTGTTCGACTGTCTCCCAACGAGGTTGGTGTCGCAGACCTCGACGCTTTCAAAGAAATTCACAAGATCGGCACGAAGTATATGAAGAGTGATTGGTACTTGCGATTGGCCAACTTCCCCAAGGCAGGCGTCTTCACCATGCTAGATCCTCGGGAGCATGGGCCCAGGAGAAAGCTCTTGTCTCGCTCCTTCAGCAGAACCTACCTTGTCGAGAACTGGGAGTCGACTGTCAGGGACAAGGCACTTCTTGCTGTCAAGAAGATCAAGGCAGACGCCATGAAGAGCTCTGCTGATGTGTATAACTGGTGGATGCTGCTTGCCTCTGATGTTAGCGCACATCTGGCTTTTGGAGAGTCGTTCGGTATGCTTGAGACAGGACACGTAGGTACAATCCTCAACAACACTGTACTACACTGACATATCCACAGCAAAATCAGTTCCTCCGTGTGCTCAAGAAGCTCACCATGGGTGCCGGTATCATGGTCGAAATGCCCTTCCTCCGTGTGCTGAGATTTGTGCCTATCCAAGCTGTACAGGAGATGTTTAACGCGAATGAGTACATAATACAAGGTGCTGGCCGAGCAGCTGAGATGGCACGGTCTCGCAAGGGTGAGGCCAACATCTTCGCGAAAGTCATTGAGGACTGTGAAAAGGAGGGCGACGGTCACATCGACGACATGGATGTTAAGATCGAGGCTATGAACGTCATCATCGCTGGTACTGATACTACTGGAGTCACACTCACATACCTCACCTGGGCTGTTCTCCAGCGCCCCGAGCTTCAAGCCTCTCTGGAAGCAGAGGCTACTGCGCTTGGAGAGAACTTCACCGAGAATGATCTGATTAGTCTCCCTCTGCTCAACGCTGTAATCGAAGAAACTCTCCGACTGTACGGTGCTGCACCCAGCAGTCTGCCCCGTGTAGTCCCTCAAGGCGGTACAAAGTTCTCAGGCCTCTACATCCCTCAAGGTGTCACCGTCGACACACAAGCCTACACCTTCCACCGCGACCCCAACATCTGGAGCGACCCTCTAACGTAAGCCCAATCCCTCCGAGTTTCCCTTTCCGCCACACTAACCCGTCTCAGCTTCAACCCCTATCGCTGGATCCCCTCGAAGGAAGGCTTTCCCGCCGAAGCCCTCTCACCCGCCGCCAAAACCGCCTTCCATCCCTTCGGCGCCGGCGCACGATCGTGTATCGGTATCCACCTTGCTCGGATGGAGTTGAGGTACGCGGTAGCTTTCATGTTTAGGGAAATGAAGGGCGTTAAGCTAGCGGCGAGCACAACGCCTGAGAGTATGGAGTTTGAGAATTTCTTCTTGATCGCACCAAAGGCGCATCGGTGCGAGATTACGTTTAATTAAAGTAATCTGAGAGAGGAATAGTAGTGCGTTACGATGTTATGAGACATTAGCGCTTGTTCATGACTTAATCAATGCACATTCAAGATAGATACCGAATGAAGTAAAATACCATTTAATAGACTGTAGTTTATTCTGTGGTAGAGGTATAATCTCTTACTGTTCCAAAATGCACTCCGAGCTCGAGACATGTACAAGCATAGCGTACGGACGTGCACTAAAGGTTATCTACCTACAATGCTTTTATCTGCACCGAAACCTCTATTCTGGAGGCTAGCGATATACCGGCAGAAACGATTATTCAGATCATATTAGCAGCCTTTGTCCGTACGAACTGAACACTGATTGCTTGGTCTGACACACCGATGACCACTACGGCCAGCTCTATAGCACAACACTATGAGACACCTGAGATCGATCATCCCCTGCACCCTGAATTTAGCTAAACGTTGACATCTATTCGAGCCAACTGGCAGACGTAATGATAAGATGGAAGGCTCAAGCAATGGTCAGATTGGCTTGGACTGCAGTATAAAAGATATCTGGTAATCACAAAGCTTACTGATCAGTGTCAGTGAACTTGGGATTATGGAAGGTCAGTCTACTAGAGAGCGGAGAAGTAATACGAACCAGATGTTGAGACGATGTTCATTGAGTTAATGTTTGTTTGATTTCGATGATATTACATTGTTGCGTTGCATTGCATTGCATCAGGCCATGCAGCTTTCTTAACCTCCTAGATCGCTCGCTTGACCTAGTGAGTCCATCGGTGATTGTAACTCGGAATAGACTTGTTGTACTCTGACTCGAGTCGAGAGTGCTACTCTTCTACGATGAACCGAACATCTCGATCCGATAGAACTCCTTTGACCTTCAGCTCGACTGCAGCCAACTCTTCTTTCGAGCCGTTTTTAGCCAAAGAGTAATCGATGAATTTGACGTCGACTCGTGTCGGTCCTCTGAGGGCTTTGACGATCTGCAACTGATGCCAGACCACATCGTCCAGAAAACATTCTTCCAGACAGTCTCCTTCTATGTCCTCGCCTAGCTCGACGTCTAATGCAGAGATTTCGACCAGTACGACACTGAGAACATCAAGACAAGGTAGTCTGAGGCAGGCACTGTCGAAAAGGGTATTGTAGCATGCTCGAAACTGGAACGTATTCACGAGGAAATACGTATAGCCAATCTCCCAGCGTATCTGAGAGCAGACCAGTTGGAGTATGCGGTCAGGCTCACGGCTACCATGTGGCACATGTCTGCAGCACGGACACTTTCCCTCATGGTAATTAGGATGAGACTGAGAGCAATAGACGATGCCTTGTTGGTTGGGGTAGATATTGACGACTCCGTCGCAAGTCAGCGCATAGCGGAAGATGCAATTGCGGATCTCCGGCGGTATCCTAAGCAGAGGTGACTCAGTCTGATTGCGCGAGGTGCTGTGATTGCGGGTCAGCAACTCGTAGCAATGATGTGTGTAAGTACTCACATTGCTTCCAAATCCATGTCGCTGGTGAATCTTTGTGGTGGTAAAGAAGAAGGGAAAGTTGCGGTGTTGAGATTTGCAGGTGGGAGAAGTACTATAGGCAACAATGTTAATCTAAATATAACTAGTCGTTTGTCGCGCTAGCGAGCACTAGCGTACTCAGAATGGGCGAGGAAGTGAAGGAGCGGGTCAAGGCCCAGATGCGGGGTACAAGCAGTATATATGGAGTGCTTCGCCCTATCGCTGCTCAGCCGCGAACAATCTACAGTCTACCAATTGAACCTGCAGCTAATCCCCTGATATTTTCTGATTACTTCGTGCAATACATATACCTCACCCTTTCCTGTGCCTCTGGTCCACGGGTTCTGACAGCAGTCATGTAGCAGGAATTCAGGCCAAAAAAACGGTTCAGATGACGTCGCTGGTGCAAATACGAGATAGACAAGAGAGAATACGACGATGCTAATGTTTTCTTTAATCGACAATACGCGGTTCCTACAGACTACTCGCAAAATTTAGTCAACGCTGGGGTCTTGTTTGTTCCTTCACAGCGGGCATTACTCGTGTCCATTGCGTTCTGTTGCGAAACAAGTCAAGGACAATCTCAAAAAGACTGCAACAGAGGACTGCTGCCTCTGAGCCTTACCTCAGAGGATTAGAAGCTTCGACTTCTCATAAGTGAACTCCACAGGCTGTCGATCCCAGCCCATGTCGAAAAATGCTTCCTTCAAGGTCGCCACGCCAACATGCCGCTTTAGTTTAGAAATTCGTGGTAAAAGCGTCATGTAATTCGATTGACAAGGGAAAATGCGACGACTAAACGAGACCTCGACGTGCTCCAGTCCGTACAGATACTGAAAAAATCGAAGCCTATCGATGAGATCGCTACTGAGGCCCAAGGCCGCCGGACCCTAAAGTTCGGTCGTCTTGATGTAAATTTCTGCGGTCTTTATGTAGCGTAGCTCAGGTATCAAAGGAAGGTTTTGAGTCGAATGATAAACCTCTGTATCACAGAGAATGAAAGCATTCGTAGCGTTGCCAAGGTTGGCAGCTTCATGACGAATGAGACGGCACGTACGTAGAAGCGGGAATGGTTGGGATGTCAAGCTGGAGGGGAAGCCAGAGACTTCAAATCTCCAAGTTTCGTACGAGGGGTAGATGGTAATGTCATGGCCTCCGAGAGCATACCCGTAGATTCGGACACGGATCTCTGGAGGCAGACGAAGGAGGGGCGATTCCCGCTAGTTGTGGAGGTTGCTGTAAAGAAGGTCAGTGATCTGCGAAGTGACGAGAGCTAGGGTCGTGCTTACATCTCGTCCATATTCGAAGTGATCGATTGATGTGGCGAACTTCAGACTTGGCTGCCAGAGTGAATCTGGGAGCTTGCTGATGTATGCCGCTCACGTCTCGGGGGGATCGTAGTTAAGATATAGTCTCGAGAGACGCTTGCGATTGTCGAGGACCAGTGAGACAGAAAAAAGTTTGGATTCGTAGAGCTGTACAGTTTGGTATAGTCAGTTCACGCCACGCAACAAGCGCTTGAGGGGACCCTGATCAATAAGGCAAATAGCAAAAACGGGGTTTGCTGTCGATTTTACTGTCCCAGTTTCAATACTGTTCTTCAAACAATTATACATCCTCTGTATGGTACATACAGTTCCTTGAGTGCATATCCAGGTAGCCACCTGTCCAACTCCGACCCGCTATGCGACAACTTGTGTAAAAGAAAATTGAACGGATGTCTGTGACTTAATTTTCTTGTCCTGTGCTACCCAGCAAGTTTCCGCGTCTTCAAGTGTCTGCAAGACCTAATTGTACGCGTCTGGCGGCAGATTGGGCTGGCTTTGCGTGAATAGCTCCCCCGCGCGATTCAGATCCCAGCCTCCCGCTTCTAAGCACTGTATCGCATAGTCTCGTTTAAGATTTGTCGCTGACTGAACATATGTGATCATCTCTTCTTTCTGTTGATCAAATGTTGGTGTTGGTGTAGGTAATGGCGCGCCGGCCGTTGGCTGTGGTGTCGCAACCATTGGGGCATCCGTGATCATACTTGCATCGCCAGCCACAGACTTATCAGTGCGAACTTGGGTCCCATTCAGAATCTTCAATTTCGGGAACCAAGCTGTGAGTTCTTCTTCCCAGCCGATGCTGCTGAAAGGTTCGATGATCAGGTGCTCCAGCTTCCTGAAACGACCCTTCCAGGGTTTTAGCGCATTGACCGAATTAAATGCGTTGCCGCTCAGATCAAGGTTTTTGATGTGATTCAAAGTCTTGCAAAGATCGAACACTACGTTGAGATTTGTGATGTTGTTCCCACATAATGTGACGCTTTCGATGGCTGCCTCCTTGGCTTCTCGGGTTTCGAGCATCTCGTCGCAGATGACCATGAGGGCTGGAAAGAACTTCTTCTGTGTAGACTCTTGTCGAAACATCCCGCTCTTTGCAACTTCCTCATCGGTGGCGATAGCTGAGAAGTTCAATAGTTTGGTGGACGCATCATAGCGCCGTGCTAAGAAACCTTTGAGGAGATCCACAGTGTTGCTTGTTGCTGCTGCTCGATCTGGTTCGACTTGTTGCTGAGATTCGCCCTGATTCTGAGATCTTTCACTGGGTGTGTAGTAGTCTCCGCGACCTCGACCTCGGCCACGCCCTCTCCCACGTCCTCCTCCTCGAGGCGCAGACATGCTGACTCCTTGTGATAGTGAAACGAGACGAATGAAATCTTGTTGTAACGCAAGATTGGTGGGGGAATAGAAGTGTGGGTGTTTTCTGACGGTGGGATTTGTAGTGTATGTGAGTTGACTGGTGGGGAGCGAGATGTACAATGTGAAAGCAAGAAGGTAGGTTTTATGTCAAAACTAGCGCGATCGTCCGTGCACGATGATCAGCCACAGCCATTGATTGGCTGTAGACACATAAAGTCCTCACAATAGAACAATTTAGCATTGCTAGGTCCCTGCTAAGACAGACTTACAGGGATGCTCGGGGAACGAGTTTTGGACCGATAGGCTGATTGGCCAGGCATGTAGGCTTTCCAGGCATCATTCGACGTTGCTGCCTGGTCGCGTCTTGATCTTGTCATATGTATGCATTTTCTACATGTACGCCCAAGACTAAATGTTACAAGCTGGCAATTCCCAGCTCAGCTCCAAATGCTCTTGACCTCTCGGTTCGTAGATCTAAGCCTGTTAGGCCCACCAAAATCCAAATAGCCGAATAGATACACCGTAACTCCTGGCCTACAGCCCACGAATATATCGGTCAGACCGCTAGTTGCTGTCCTGTCCAAATTGTAATGAAACAGATTTCCCGAGTTCAGTTCGAATGAATCTTCTTGATCTTGTTGACGCCTTCGTAAAGCGCACGGTCAACTGCGGCAGCCACTGTGAGTGTACCGCCAATGACGGCGCACAGACCAACGAGAAAGCCAGAGAAAGACTTATCGCGCACTTCGCGATTGATAACCTTCATTGGCGAGATATCCTGTCCCACGATCAGTTCATGTTGTTACCGAGACAGGCAAAATGCAGGACTTACATATGAGAAAAAGACACCCGGGATGCCACCACGTGCATGAATGCGCTCCTTGTGACCTTCCTGCTCGTCAGTGCCACCCTGAAGACTCCTCTTGTGGCTTGTAACGGAGTATTGATGCGTTTCGATGCTTCCCTTGTGGTTTCCCTCAATGACCGCACCGACGTCTTCGTGTGTAGGGTTGGGCGCCTCCTTCTCCCAGCCAAGCGGCAGGTAAGCAGTGGAGACGACCTTGACAAAGTACATGTAGTTGAAAGCCTTCTCGTCTGTGTGCTGGTCGGTACCATCCAGAGGATTGATGTGGTGGTTCGTCCAGCCACCTGGACCAAGTGCTTGGGGATGCTTCGCCATGTTCTGCACCACCTCGTCGTTGAGCTGGGGACCAAAGCGGAGGTGATGAATCTTGTGGGTGAAGGTATGCGCATACTCGTCCTTGAAGTAGTTTTCGAGGTCATGTACGTGTAGGTTGCCGTTGGAGAAAGACTTTCCAGGGGCAATGTGGAAGTTGCCAATGACCTTGTTGACCTTGATACTACCCTCGAGACGACATCCTTCCTGGCGCTGTGCATCAAGGTGTTCGGCGTAATGCTCACGCTCGCACTGCTCAACACCCTCGCCACGGCCGAAAGACCACGATACCGAGGCGTAAGCGTCGCGTACTTCGTCGCAAGTGTTGCAGCAGCCGGACCTATGTGCGTTGGTGGGAGCGGGCGCGCCGTAGCATTCGCCGCAGTAGTCGGGGGCAAGATGAGAGGCTTCATCTTTGTGTCTATCGCATATGTCAGCTATGCTCCCGTTCTGCGCAATTGATGTGAAGCCGCAAGGTAGGAGACTCACAGATCAAGAGCCTTAGTCTCGATGTCCGTGCTGCCCTCCTTCTCGGGGCTCAGTCGCACTTTGTTGATACCGTGTGCGACACCCATCTGCAGCTCGCCGGACACATCCATGATATCGAGGGTGAGCAACTCGCAAGGCATTCGCGGGAATGTAATGTTCAAGCTGATCTGCATGCGCTCGCCTCTGCCCTTGTCTACAACCAGCTCAGGGCGGACTATCACCCGCCTGTAGTCTGCCCACTCGCCTAATGTCAACCATAAGATCACCAGCAAGCTCACGATTGTGACAATTCCTCCAGAGGTTGTGCGGACGCGCGCATCTTCGACGGTTTTTGTGAAGGCGTCGAGACGCGTGAAAGCGGACTTGGGCGGCATCGTTGCGAATTGCACTGCAAGCAGTTGGGATCGAAAGGGTGTTCAGGGTTGTGAAGCGTGGATGTGAGACCGGGGAGTTGTAGCACGGGCAAGCAAGTGTCTCGGTCCGCGTACCGAGAATTGCAATTGCAGACGCAGTTGCAACAGCTTGTCGAGAGACGTCAAAGGAGTGAGAGGCCTGGCAAGATCAATGCCGTGGCAGTAATATCATTGTACAGAGAGAAGTGAACTGGAGACGCGTGGTGTTTGCGGCGCTCGGCTGAGTAAAGGACAGCTATGCGCTCTGGAACGCCGTCAAGGTACCCGTGCACTAGCGCAAATGAGGCAAAGAACAAGGTCGAACGCCGACAGGGCACAGCATTAGCGGTAGTTATCTGCCGTGAATTATGATCTAAAGTCTTGTGACGAGCTACGATATGGACATGTTCGACATCAGCAGTATGGTACATGTGCATATGCACCCGCTGAGAGCTGCTGCACTACGCAATATTATGCATGTGACGCGTGCAATAATCGCCACCATTTAGTCCTTCTTCCACATCTTGGAAAAGTTCCAGTCGTTCAGAAAGCCGCTCCCAGCCTAGATTTACTGTCAGTCCGTGGCATGAACTGCCTCGTAGGAGCACTTACGCAGAGATAGGTAGCAAAGCTGAGCCAGCCTAGGTAGGGCGCAAGCAACCACCCACACGTGGGATCGACTTGTCCCCAGACATAGGCGAGGTAGCCGACAATACCACCGAGGGCAAGGATGTCGACCGTGGCTGCGATAGGTCGTCCGAGGCCAAAGTACAGTGGTGTCCAGATGAGGTTGAGGGCCAGCTGAATCGAATACAATGTTGCTCCCTGCTTAGCCAGCGCTACAGTCTGGGGATTGATGGAGGTCGTCCCAGTTGTCCACGCTCGGTAGGCAGTGTAGCCCATCGTTGCGTAGAGCGCGGTCCATACCGGCCCGAACACCCAGCCAGGGGGGTGAAGGGGGGGCTGTCTAATGGCTTTGTATGAAGCCTGAGTTACAGAGGCTGCAGGAGTCAGCCACAACGCAGATAAATTGGACTCAAGGCCACCTACGACTGATTGAGAAGCCAACCGCAGTACCGCAGGCGACAGGCAGAAGGATGGCAGCTGCTGGGTTCTCGAACAGAAAGCTTGGAAGCGTGAGCGAGGGAATGTACGCGGTCATCTTGACGGCTGGGATAGGTCGTCCGCAAACACCAGATCAGTTGTTACAGACAAGCACCAAGGCTATCGAGAGATTTTGTAGTTGCGCTCGTGTCTCGCGATGCAGGTACGTAATCCCGCAAGCTTTCATCGAGGATCGAGGATCGAACCTCCATGCCTCGGTCGTTCTCACGGACGGTGGCGGCCCACTTGCCGCGCGCCGTGCAGTCCGTGCCTGTCTCGCGTCGTGCTAGCCCGTTCCATCTCCAGCCGCCGCGACCACTTCACCCTTCATCCACACGTCTGCCTCTCCTTCGCGAGCAGGACACTTTTCAGCATCTTCGTGAGTGCATTCGCTCTTATTCTTGCTGCAGCCTCATCTTGTTCGTATCTCCCCTTCGTACCGAGCTACCGCTACAGCTCCCCTAGCTTTGTCTGCCAGACGCCAGCCTCTTAGCTACCTTCCATCTCCACCTTTCTCTTCTTACGGTGCAGCTCGCGTGTGATCAATCGCATCGACTGCTGTCGTCATCTTGTTCATTCTTCATTGCTGCCACCCTCTCCAGACTCGTCGCGTTCCTCTTGTCACTTGTTTGTCCTCTGTCTAACCCGAGGCCACCATGGCAAACAGCACCCTTCGATTGTCTGGCGCTTGTCTGGCGTCACGTCCATCTGTCGATACCGCATACCCTGGCTAGCAGTGCCTCGGTGGTTGCGTCGATGACTGGCTCATCACACGCTATATAACACTCTACGTTGAGCTGCCGCTGCTACTCTGCGACAATGGACTCGTACACGTGAGTAGTTTACGAGCAAGCGACGCAGACAAGGGCACTGACAGTACTCAAGCAGCACCCGAGAGGACTCCAGGCCGCCAGCCGACTCCTACAGACGACGTTCCCCGGGTAAGCACGCGTTGGACGCCTATCTAGCACTAGCTAATCTTCTCGCTCACAGCACCCGGAGATCGCAGGCCTAGGCGACGCTCGCGCTCGCCTCAAAACATCGATAGGTACCAGCCGGACCGCGCACGAGACTACGATCACCCGCGCCGCGATGGAGGCCGCCGCCGCTCCTCTCCCCCACCTGTTCAGGCCGGGATTGACCGCTACGTTCCTGGCCAGGATAACTTCGCTCCTACCTTTACGACCAACCCGATCCCGAATCCCATGTCGCTCGAATACCAAGTTGGCTTCAACTACTTCGCTGAGTGGTGGCGCGTTGAGCAGGTTATGAAGGAGGAGAAGGAACGTGCAAAGAATGGTGGAAGGAAACCGGTGCTTAAAGGCGAGCGTGAGGCTCGCGAGGAGCGAGGCAAGGAGCGTGAACTCATCCAGGCCGCGTACGACGAGTATAAGGAGAAGCTCCAGGTGCAAATGGCCAAGACTTTTGTGGACAAACATAAGGGCGAGGAGTGGTTCAAGGAGCGCTACGACCCTGAATACGACAATGCCTCCAAGGAGAAGCTGCGCGGGTATCGCCATGGCATCTACGCCGACTGGGAGCGACAGATTGAGGAGGGATACTTCGACGAGTTCACACTCGAGGGTATCTACAAGAACGACTCAAACGGCGCGGGCGGAATCGTCGAGAAGGAGGAAGGCGAGACCACTGCAGCAAACGAAGTGCTGGGTGTGGGAGATCTTCTCCCGTGCAAAGGAGGCGAGATTCGTGATGAATCGGCCTTCCAGCCCACACTCCTGATCAAGACCATTGCTCCCACTGTCAATCGGGAGAAGGTTGAAGAGTTCGCCAAAGAGCACCTTGGCGAAGGTCCTGGTGGATTCAAGTGGCTCAGTCTCAGTGATCCCAACCCGCTTAAAAAGTGTCATCGCATAGGATGGGTCATTCTACATCCCAGTGACGAACAGCCTATGGTCATCGACGATCGCGGTGATGCGCGCGACGATGAGGGAGAAGATGGAGCTCTCGTTGAGGAACACTCCGCTCCTGCTCCGCAAAGCACAGCACAAAAAGCACTTGAGGCAATCAACGGCAAAACTGTTGAGGATGAAAAGCGCGGGAATTTCACGTGTCACGTTGGTGTGCATGAAACCCCTGCAGCACCTCGAAAGAAGGCACTCTGGGATCTCTTCTCAGCACCCGAGAGAATCGAGCGCGATTTGGAGCTTGCTGAGAGGCTTGTCAGGAAGCTTGACAGCGATTTGAAAGCGGCCAATGAAGATGAGTTTGGTGAGGTTGACGGTGTGGCCAAAATTGAGCAGCGTGTGGAGGATCTTCGGTCAAAAGGTTGGCTACAGCCTCCAGCCAACGCTCCTGCACCTCCCAAAAAGGAGCGGGACCCTGAAGACCTCGAGGAGGGAGAGGATGAAACCATGGACGACGAGGAAGGTGCCTACGACGAAGAGGTCGATGACGAAGACCTTTTGGTCAAGAAGAAGAAGCTTGACCTGTTGATCGAATACCTTCGACGTGTGTACAGCTTCTGCTTCTTCTGTGTCTTCGAGAGCGACTCGATCCACGAGTTGGTTCGCAAGTGCGCAGGAGGTCATCTTCGACGCCCCCGCGCCAGCTTGACCACAGCAGCCAAGGCAACTGCCAGAGCCACAGCCACTGGCGAGCCTTTCCCCTACAAGAAGTCTGAGTCAGGTGATGCTGAGAACGGCGAGGGCAGTCCCGTAGCAGAGCGCAAGCCTATGAAGCTGAGTGGGAAGAACCAGCAGCAGCTACAACGGGCGTTTAACTGGGTGAAGACATACGAGGAGAAACTGCTGCAACTACTCGAGCCCGAGAATGTTGATCTGCGCAAACTTGGTGGCAAGCCAATTGATGAGGCTATGGAGGATGAATTGGCCAGATTCTGCAAACAAGAGGACGAGTCTAAATGGCGTTGCAAAGTCCCAGAATGTACGAAGTTGTTTAAGGGACAAAACTTCTGGCGCAAGCACGTCGAAAAGCGCCATGCGGAGTGGCTTGAGAAGTTGCAGAAAGATGTGAGTACCAACGATGAGACGGATCTCCCGTACACAGCTAACGAGTAACAGCTCGAACTTGTTAATAGCTACGTCCTTGACCCTGCGCACATTGCTCCGTCGCGCAGCGACGCGAACAGTAACGGCCACTTCCCAATGGGCAATCACGTTCAAGCCACCGGCACACCACGCGGGTTCAATCTTGCCAATATGAGCATGGCCATGTCAGGCAATGGCATGAACGCAATGAATGTTGGAAACATGTTCAACCCAGCCATGGGTGGCAATTGGGATCCCTCCCTTGGTACCCACGATGCTGGAGCGATGCGTCGCGGCGGTCAGCGATTCAACAACCGCTCCGGACCATACGACAAGCAAAACCGCGATCGTCGCAACGGCCCCAGCGGTGGTGCCGGCCGACTAACGCCTCCGCGCGGCGGCCGACCAGGCACGCAACGGTACGGCGACGGCGGGCCTGGGCCTCTGCAGTCTACGCAGGGCCGGCAGATTAAGAGCTACGAAGACCTCGATGCTGTGGGCGGAGGTGGCAGTGGTGAGTTGAACTACTAGCCACGTCCGAAGCCGAGCTACACCCACAAACAAGGATGCGTTGGGTGCCCAGGTGGTGTGCCTTGATCTTATGGTGGGCGTTGGGGGTCGCTGTTCCGATTTACAGGCTAGTTATTATTTGATGTGCTTCGAAGAGACCAGTCATGGGCCACGGCGTTATTGGTTCGGCATGTGCTGCACTTCTGTGTACGCTTGTAACTTGTACTCATGGAAATCTTATGGTAGATAGTCAAGGCAACTCATGATTAAGTTTGCGATTGTTGTTTCGAACAACGGGGTTGAGGTGCAGGCGCTGGTTTCAACCGGTCTCATCGTATTGCAGCGTGGGATGAGATGCCTGTGATCCACTTGGCACGTGGTCCAGACCGCGATTCAGAGGTTGAGGGCAGGGTCAAGTGCGAGACAGGCACTAGAGGTGAGCTGCCATGGAACTGCGGTCGTCTGAACGGCTGCGCTTCTGACGCTCTCAAAGCGACGCAGGTGACGGACATGGGTGCATGCATTGAACAGCTGGGGTTGAACACCGCAGCTGGAGTTGAACACCGTCCGGAAAGATCAGAAACTGCGCTCCAGAAGCGTACGCGTGCGTATCGGTAAACGAAAAGGAAAGATCGTTTGACTGCAGCCAAGGTACAAGGGCACATCAGGTGCCGTGCGTTCCTTTGTCGCCCGTGCAGTCCGTCCGCGCAGACCAGGTGGATTCGCCAGGCGCGCGCTGATTGCCCGGCCTTACCGGCTAAGCCATGAGTGACGCAGTCCTGCCCACCAGCCACAGTTCTCTGCGCGCCCGCAGTGCCTTGCGAGCCGACAAGCATCGACGCAGTGTCCGCTGGGCGAATCGACAGTCGTCTTGATCTCCGACGAGGCCGTCTTGAGCATCGTGCACGCATACCCTGGCCAAGTCCGCTGGTGGAGCAGCGTGTAAGCCCCAGCTAACAGCCACACTTGGGTTGCAGGTGAGCCGGGCGTCATACAACACGCGTCGACATTACTTTATTGCTTCGCCGTGCTCGCGGGACCGAGCTTTCTATATAACTATTGTCGGATCCTTGCCAGCTTGACGCCTGCGCCCTCTTTCTGCCCCTCTTTCCCTTGTCCGTTTGTTTATCATGGCCCAAGGCACCCCGCCTAGCCTGGCAGTCAACGGTATTGCAGCGCCCGCCATGGACAATACGCCCTCCGTGTCCAACTTCGGCGAGCCTCAGACCACAGACGCAGGGCGACCGGGCCCGCGACGAGTAGACACCAGCTACACAATGGTGTCCATGATGTCGGTGCCGCCCGAGGGGTCCATCTTGACCGGCAAGCAGGAGCACTGTAAGCAGCCGAACACCGGCCGCCCGCAGACACTGACAAGCGGGCAGACCTCAAGCGCGAACTCATCTCCCAGCAAACCCAGTTTGAAATCTCCGAACTCTCGTCTCCCACTGCCCTCAAGCGCTTCGGCGCACCCTTCCACTCAGACGCCGGCGAAATCGCTCCAGAAGACTCCGAGCTCCCACTGCTGCGCTACATATTCGTCAACCATGTGCGAAATTTCCCGTTCCTGGACAAGGCCAAGGAGAAGGAGTTCTGGCAAGACAAACTGCAAGTGGTGAGTCGGTGACATCATTCCAGACACTATGGGCGAATGCTGACAATACCATGTGTGCAGTTTCTCCAGTCGTTCGCAAGCAAAGACATTTCGTCGTCGGAAGACCGCCTCGAAGAGACGAAACGAAGGAAGCTAGCGCTAAAGGCAGAGAAGTTGGTTGAGCTTATGATGGTCTCTGGAATTCCCACTGCGTCCGGCTACGAGGAGAGGATCCGCTTCTCAGAGATGGAGATTGTTGAGCGAGGCGCAAATGAAGAGGGTCTACACATGAATGCGCCAAGTGGACACTTCATTAATGGCTGGGATGTCAACGTCGCTGGCGTGCGCACTACATCTGTAAAAAAGCATCTCCGATATCACACACATGCGGTAGGTCAACACCTGAAAGCCCAGTCAGCCAAGTCTAATCAGCCGCAGGAATATCTCATTAGAGTCAAGCAAAGCGACGATCGAGAAATCTACGTTGGTCGACGTTACCAAGACTTCGTCAACCTCCACAAGCGCATACGTCTCGAGCTCCCTGGAAAAGTTCTGCCTCCGCTCCCTCGCAAGAATAAGAAAGATTCAATTCTGAGTTCGAATAAAGACGACGACGATGCGAGCTCCATCTCATCAGTCTCGACCCAAGGTCCAGCACCCGACACCTACCTGAAGACCGATGGCGGCGGTGGAGGATTGCGAAGCTACCTCTGGGGCGGCGGCCACAAGAAGAATGCTTCACAAACATCACTCGAGCCTCGAGGAGCACGGTCCCCGCGTGCGTCGGGAGAAGGCTTCGGATACCAACCGTCGCGCACTCTCTACCGCGAAGAGCAGCGTGTCTCACTACGAGCTTTCCTTCGATCGTTCCTAAATAATGAGAGGATTGCACATTCAAACGCTATGGCTGATTTCCTCACGCACGATCCTATCGAAATTAACGAGGAAGAAATGGACGATATCGAGAGGCGCATGATCATGGACGAGAAGCGCATACAAGAGCAGAAGCAATTCTACGAAGTAGCTCGGAAACGTGCCGCCGAGCTCGACATACACATGGAGAAGTTCAGGCGAGAGATTGTTGAAAGAAACGGCCTTTCCCACCTCTTCCAGGAGATCAGGGTGAAGAACTCGATATCGCAGCTCAAACCGGAGTACCAGAAGTTCGCAGAGTGGTTGCGAATAGAGGTTGCAGCTACCATCTACCACCTCTTCTTGGCTGAAGACAACTCGCCGGAACTCTTCGCACAGGCGAAACGGATACATTCACTCGTACCTTATGGAGTGTTGAAGAACGTCATCAGGATTGCTAACCCGGCAGCGGTAATGAGCGGCGTGCTTGATTTGTTCCTTGCGCAACCGTTTGGTGCAAGATCTTTGCTCCAGCGCATCTTCGGTATGGCCATCAATGACGGCGTTCATTCTGTTCAGAAGACGATCGACACCCTCGGCTCCACGAAAATTAAGGACGAGGTTCTGTGCGCAAAGATCAAAGCCTATGTTGAATCGGATGAAGATGTTAAACAGATACTACGGCAAGAGGCAGAGAGCGAGCAGGTCGACATTGTCGTGACGGTCCTACGATCCGATTTTTTCAAACCCGAGTTGAGCTCTCAGCAGGTGGAGAAGGTCTTTAATGCTTACGTCGCGTGGAACAACGCGGTCGAAAATGTGAGGCCGACTCGTCGCTTTAGCAGAAACAACAGCACTCGTAGCGTCAACAGCGTCCTTACTAATGCGTCTGGTCAGATCGACAAGGACTTGCGACAGGGCGCTGAACTCTTCGCGCATCTCAAACAGTATCTCAAGCTTTGTCTGAGACAACGAGACAAGCTCATGATGTTACAAATCATTGAGGAGGTAAGCATTCAGATACACAATCTATTGCGAGAGAAATGTTGGCTGACAAAAACAGCCCACCACGCTTCAACTCTTCCGCGACCTTTTCACCATTTTCTACGAACCGCTTGTCCGCGTGTATAAATCTGCGAACGTGTACAACAGTATCACTGACTTTGCCGTATTCGTCGATGACACGATCAAGACCATCGAAGCTTGTCAAAGACAGGAAGTCTCTGCAGATCCTAACCAAACGGTTCAAGCTTTCATCGATCTTTGCGCGCGTCACGAAGATAACTTCTACAAATTTGTACACGAGGTCCATATCCATGATAACGGTCTCTTTGACCAGCTTATGGGTTGGCTGGAAGGTATCCTCGAGTTCCTGCGACACGGCCCTGACAGTGGCGGCAAGCTTGACATGAATGCTTTGTTCCAGGGAGGTATGGACTCGGGCAGCATTGATAAGCGGAAAGCTATCAGGGAGATCAATAGTTTGATCAAGTGGCAGACCGCTCGCAAGAAGTGGCACCAGGACAAGACTCGACAGAAGATGGCGAGTGCTGGTGATGAGCCTGACCCTGTTTTAGGCGGCATGGCAGGGTTCAAGAGCAGCGACTTTGGGCTTAATGAGGTCCGTCAATACAATCCCACGCGCTCTCCATATAGATCAGAACATACTGACACCACACAGCTCGATCTCCAAGATCTCGAACTCGACGACGATGCCACCGACTCCGACGAAGAAGAAGAGCTCGACGACGACGACGATCCGATCCAAGCCGAGCGCACAAGCCGCGCACGCGCGGCAGATAAGCTCAAGAGGCGAGCGGGCGAGCCCAAGAAGCCGACGATCGAAGAAATCAAGAAGCTGCATCCGAGTTTCCTGGCCATGCTGAGGAGCGTGCTGGCGCGGTAGATGCACTTTCAAACGAGCGAGAACTACGTATTCCTAGATGACACCTAATGACAGCTGTATATGTGCAGATGGCTGAATGTCGACGTGATGAGAACAGATCTATCTTAACGCGTTTTGTTGCCGTATCTCTCAGCAATCAGTGTGCTGATCAGCCCAAAGTTTATTGCACCTGCCTTGCAACAGAGACAGCAAGAGCGAGGGTACACATGCTCGCAAGTGATTTCCTATGCATCGTATCATCATGAGTGACCGCATCATCAGGACTGCATTACCAGCTTCCTCCAATCTAAATTTATACCCAGATTTCCACGCGACCACTGCTGTCCACCTCCTCGTGTAAATGCGTATTTGTGTTGCCTACATATTATTCGCGTGGCAGAGAAGAGAGTCGCGTCTCCTATGTTCACGGCAAACGAAGGGTCCAGTGAACCATGCCAAAATCTACAACTATTGGGCCTGAATGTGCGGTATTATTCGCATTCTGGAACACGAGTAGCGGCACGAGGTGAAGGTCACAAACAGCAATCGTCCTGCACTGATTCTCTTCTCCAAACATTGCTCGTCACCTCACCATGGCGCAACACCTTCACCACAAAGAGCTCGAACACGCGATTCCACACAAATCCAGTCTTACGAGAACAACTCTTTACGCCATCCAGTCCAGTGCCACCATGCAGGTCTTTGCTCATCGTCCAGGCGTCTCAAAGCCTCGACGCCTTCTACCTGCCGCCCTGAGCCGCTCCACAGTACCAACGTAAGTCCAGCACCCAAAACCCAGACCAAAACACCAACACGGAAAGCACAATTGAAGACCAACTTCACTCTCCCCTCCTTCGCCTCCCTCTCCCAATCCGCCGGAAGATATACGCCTACGTACTCGGCAACCACCGCATCAGCCTCTACTTCCTCAACGGCGTGCTGCGCGCCCGCGTCAGCCCAGAAGACTACTACGGCCTCGCCTACGCCATGACGCTGCAGCCCCCCGTCCCTGTCAGCGCGCTCACGGCGCTGGGCCGCGTGTGTCGCCAGCTGCACACCGAGACGCGCGGAATGGCGCTCGCGCTCAACGAGGTGTGCGGGTACCCTTATCCGCTGCAACTGTTCCTGCAGCGCGTGGTGGCGTGTCGCGCGGACCCTGTTGGCGGCGTCAGGGTGTTTGTGATGGAGGCGTTTGAGGTGTTGGAGGATAAAAAGACGGTTGTCGGGCTGGAGAGGGATGTCAAGAGGGCTTTGGAGATGGTGAGAGAGATGAGGGGCATGAGATGGGTTAGTGTGGATTGGGATGGGAGGTGTGATAATAGAGGGGAGGCGTATGCGTATTTCAAGGGGAGGGTGATGGAGATCCTTGGAGGGTGTGCGAAGAATGGGGTGGAGGTTTTGGTGCCGAAGCTGGGGTTTCAGCTACCAACATGAGGCCAACAGATTAAAAGCAAGGCGAAGATGGTGTGAGTGTGTGTGTGTGTGTGTGTGTGTGTTGGAAATGTATCGCACACGGAGAGGTCGTGAGGGCTGTCAAACTCATGCATTCCTACACTGCAAAGAAAGGACAGACACAATCAACGGCCCCTTCGCTCAGGATCAGTAGCGCGGCCTCGATATGCATACGGTAGATAAGGAAATGAAGTAAGTGGTTCAATCAGCAATTAGATGCTACCACTATCACTGTGCCGTTTGCGGAGCAATGGTGGTGTTGAGCTCTGTAACTCTGGAGGACTAGAATTCGTACCAAACGTAACAAAGCCATACCTTCGGTTGCATATCGTTCTCTGGCAGTAGCATTTCCTTCGATGCAGATTGTAGGGTTGCGAGCAGGACGTCCTTCAGTCATTGAAGGGGAATGACGTAATCTCACCCAATTGGTCCATCGTAACCACGGATCTTCCTCAGTTCGCACACACAAGAAGTTTATCGGTTCACATCCCGCCAGGACGTGATTTTTGTTCCGTCACCCACTTGAACCGTTTGCGTCTTCATAAATAACCGTGTATTGCGCGCCTCATCCCTTAATCATGAGAACCGTCCTTGTCTTCGTTCTCATCGCAGCCATCTTATTTGGCAACTTCATCATGTTCTACTTCCTCGGCATCCCTAGACTCTTGCAGCAACTGATCGACAATCACCAGAAGAAGCAGAGACAAGCCGGCAAACAGGAGAGTATTGAGATGCAGACCGATGTGCACAAACGAGCCAAGGAGCGGAGGAGGAAAGAGGAGAAGCTTAGGTGGGAGCGCAATGCGGCGCGGAAGAGGAGCGGATTCTACGCGGAACTTGAGCAAGCTTATAATAAAGCTTGAGGTGGGCAGGGATCTGTATGGATCAGGGCGTTTGTTGGTGCTTCAAGGTTATGCCCTTGTCGGTACCTTCACTTTCGATCGCGCACATTTGGACCCACGAAACTTTTGCCCAGCGACAACAAGACCTTTACTTCACCCACGACCGTTCGCGCGTACATCAACATCAGTCGAGTGCATACGCACCCTGGGCAGCGACCATGGCTGTCGACTTGGCTGCTGATCGCGAGCTACTCATAACCCTCCTCACGGTTGCTGGCATCATTCTGCTCCAGATACTACTCGTCATCGCCTACCTCGCCTACCTGAACTGGAAAGGAAAAGCTAAGTGGCGACGCCTAAGCGAGCGAGGCATTGTCGTCATAAACGGACCTGCGGTATACTGGACAGACGATTTGCCAAGGCTGTCAATGCCCATTCATCCCAGCATGACACGTCTAGTTCAGACAGCTCGAGAACCAAGTCACGTTCAACTCGCCAGTCCGCCTAAAACTCCAACAGCGCAAGAAGAAGACATCGCTCGAAGGGAATGAGCTACATTGAGTGAGGGCTCTACGCCAAAAGTACACTTCCTGGTTGGACACTGAGAGAAATTGAGATTGAGATTGAGATTGAGATGCCAGAAGGATGTTATCATGTTGCCTTTCAGGTCGCTATGTCTAAGGACGGACAGAAATAAGCAGCCTCCAAACAATCCGGGTTTGCTTCTTGACGAAACCTTTGCACAACCTGTTAGTTCAATGGCTTTTGGGCCCATACAACGTGACTGTTATACTTGTTAGCGTCGTCTTAGCGAATCATCTGCCTAGTTTCACTCACAACTCTTCCATCAGATGTACTGATCGGTCCTTGAGTCCCGCTTTGATCTGCGCAATAAAAATCTGGACCTCTTCTGGCTTCCAGCCCTCGACACGAACGAGCAGACCCAGGAGCGCGGCCTCCAGAAGCTCCTCCAAGTTCACCCGGAATATACCGCCGATTTGTTTCTTAAAATAAGTTAGCCATTCGTCACCTTCGCCATAAACATCAGGTGTACTGACCAGCTTCTTGTCTCTTGCCCATGGGCCGACTGGCACTTTGCGCACGTCGTGCTGCACGTTGGTGAACCCAGCATCTTCTGCCCAGCCTTTGAGAAGGCGTCCCGGAGACCCATTTCGCCCCATCTTGTCGCAGGCTCTTATGAAAACGGTGCTGAACTCGATGAGTTTGTTGTCCTCTGTTGCGCTGCCATCTTCACTGTAGGGCAGAATGTGGAAATCCTGCAATTCGATCCAACCACCGGGGGCCAAGTTGCTGGCTAGTCAGTTCAAAGTTTCTGTGGAAGCACGGCCAGGGGTCTTGACTCACTCGTAGGATTGGCGCAGCAGTTTTGGCCAGTCTTGTATACTCCCCATCATATAGCGGATGTGAACAAAATCAAACGGTTCTCGGGGTGGCCATGGGCTCTCGGCATCGTCGATCTCGAACGACACGTTCGGTGGCACCCTGTTCGACGTGTCAGCTTCCAATAAAGTTAAGGACGCATGCTAGTCACCATCTTGGCTGTATGGGACTCAGCTCATTCCCGATGACTGCCGCGTTTGGATATTTGTCCCCCATATCCATCGCCCAGATGCCGGTCCCGGTTCCTATGTCAAGGACGCGGATTGCTTTGTCTTCGGGGAGTGGGGCAAAATGCAGCTTGTCGTCCAGCAGCAGCAAACACATGTGATGGTTCATGTCCAGTCTATCCTGCTCTTTCTCATCGTTGGGGAAGTTGTACGCTGCGAAAATCAGCCAAGGCGCTCGTTGCGGCGGGGCTCAGGCGTGTCACCTCCTTCACGATAGCTGTGGTAACGCCGGCCATTCTCCCACTTGTACTTTTCGACGCTGGACGACAAAGATGTCGCATAGCTCTGTCTGCGCAATTCTCAGAACACATTTCTCGTTTCTTCCTTAGTTCACGTACGCGTCTGTTTCGTCATAAGTCGAATCTAGGTCTGTCTGTTGTCGCTCGTTATTTCCTATTGTTGAAAGCGGGCGTCACATGCGCTTACGTCGATTGCGACCGTGACGGCGGTAGGCTGATTATCACTCATAGTGCAGGATCGATAAGAGGGGGTCAAACGGACCGGGGCAAGCGGCGAGCAGTCAAAGGTTAAGTACTGGAATGTGAAGGATCTATGCACCAAAGCGGCGGAGTAAGTGACATATCCATTGTAGTGGATCGCTGTAACCTGTAAGATTGATAGCGGCAGGGAACGGCGGCCCCGCGTGGCCTATGGGCTAAGGGACGGGAAGGCTCGCCACGGGAACTTCACCAAACGCGGCTGCGCCGAGCGCATGCACCCCACTTGTCAACCAGCCGTGACAGTAAGAAGCCCCTAAAACCAAGTCATCCTTCAGGATGGACGACTTTTGGAGGACCCCGCTCCCCTCGCGCTTCTTCAGCTCGCCATGTCGCTGCTTGCACAGCTGTACGCGCTGCGATGGCTCATTCTCCCTGCCGTCTTCGCTCTGTATTTTGCGGAGAGATATCGTAAATACAACCGCCTGCGGCATTTCAGCGGTCCTTTCGGCACAGGATGGTCCGAGTTCTGGCACTCGCGGGTGATTTTGGGCCTGCAATCGCATCTTGCATACAAAGATGTCAACGACAGGCATGGTGAGTGGCCCGACTAGCGCCGTGGGAGTACAGCAACGTGGCATGCTCATCCTTTGACAGGTCCTATCGCTCGAGTTGGGCCTAATGAGTTGATTACCTCGTCGCCTGAGTTGCTCGCGCACATGAACGCGGTTCGCTCGCAATACACTCGATCCTATTGGTTCAATGCTGCGACGCGCGTTGTGCCAGGCAAGGACCATTTATTCAGTGAACTCGATGAAGGAAAGCACACCAAGCGTAGACAGCAGATGGCTGCTGGTTATTCGGGGAAAGAAAACTCGTCGTTGGAGCCGGACATTGACGGTCAGCTGCAGGAGTTGCTTCACTTGATTCGCAGCAAGTACATCTCCACACCTGCAGTGTCGAAGCCAATGGATCTTGCGCGCAAGGTTCAGTATTTCACTCTGGATGTCATCAGTACCATTGGTTTTGGTGAAGCATTCGGCGATCTCAAAGCTGATGCGGACTTAAATGAGTACATCGAGTCCGGCGAACAAGGCCTGTTCATCGTGGCGGTGTCCACTGCGCTCGGTCTGACCAAGTACATGCAATGGCCTCCCATCGCGCGTCTACTTGGGCCATCAGAGAAAGACAAGAGCGGCTTCGGTAGGATGATTGGTGTAGCCCGTAAGCTCATTGACTCACGGCTCGAGAAATCAATGACAGGTCGCTCGGATATGTTGGCATCTTTCATACACCATGGAGTCCCAAGGGAAGACCTTCTTACGGAATCTTTACTGCAAATCCTTGCTGGGTCTGACACTACTGCTACGGCGATCAGAGCAACCATGCTATATCTCATTGCACACCCTCGCATCTACCGTCGCCTGCAGGCTGAAGTGGATGCGGCCGTACGCTCAGGCTCGGTCGCATCTGGTATCGTCCAGGACGCTACTCTGAAAGGCTTACCGTACTTACAAGCAGTGGCTCGAGAAGGTCTGCGTATCTTCCCTCCTGTGACCGACGTTGTGCCCAAAAAGGTACCCGCAGGCGGCGACCGCGTCACCGTAGAAGGTAAGCAATACTATCTGCCAGGAGGCACAGATATCAGCTACAATGCATGGGGCGTACACCACGATAAAGCTATGTTCGGCGAGGACGCAGACTTATTCAGGCCCGAGCGCTGGCTGCTCGAAGAGAACAAGGCGAATGAGGAGAGGCTGACTGCAATGCGGCGCACTACCGAGCTGATCTTCGGGTACGGAAAGTATCAGTGCCTCGGGAAGCCTATCGCTTGGCTGGAGCTCACGAAGGTCTTGTTTGAGGTTAGTCAATGCTCCAGTGTCTATGATAGATCTACTAACACTCTTCAAGTTTATGCGCCACTTCGACTGGGCTTTGACTCAACCTGAAAGTCCATGGAAGTCGACAAACTACAATGGTATCTGGGTGCAGGAGCAGATGTGGGTGCTCGTCACTGAGCGAGAACAAGTCGCCTAGTCAAGGTGTTGGAAGGGAATTTTGGAAGCGAGACCTTGGAGACTAAGCGTGCAACTACAATAGGAGCACCAACATAATTGACATGAATTACCAGTAAATTAATTCCTTCTATCCCAGCTAAATCATCAATCTAATCATCCTGCGATTCCTCATGGAGCTGGAGCCAGCCTGACATAACACTGTACCGGGAGATGTGTGAGTTGCTCAATAGCTTCGGTAGTGTCGAGATGATCGGGCACCTTGAGCATCTCGAAATGCCACAGTATCAATACTATCGCCAATCTGAGTTCGATATATGCCATCTTGCGCCCAAAACAGCTGCGTGGGCCCGCACCAAAGCCCAAGTGCGGACCAAGTGTCGCGTCGAAGATTTGGCTGCCATTTGCGTCAGTTTTCAACCAGCGATCTGGGTTGAAAGCGGCCATCTCCTCCGGCGACGTCTCATCCCATTCGCCGATCTTGCCGCCACCCGCGGTGTGATAGGCAGGGGAGCGCAGCGTATCGGGGATCTTATGTGCTGGTTTGAGAATACCGCCGGACCTGCCCAGCATAACACACAAAGTGCCCTTCGGGATCACATAACCAAGGACCACAGCGTCTGTGGTAGTGGTCCGCGATATGATGGGCGCAGTCTGACTGAAACGCACCGACTCTTCCATAAAAGCATCAAGGTAGGGTATGGGTTCTGTGGCGATCTCTTTGGCAGTGGGCACGCGTCCGTCGGTGAAGGCAGCGGAGTATGCTTTGCGGAGGTCACTGCGGAGTCTGGATTGGACTTCAGGGTATCTGGAAAACCATTTCATGCTCCACATCAGCGTGGTGGATGTTGTGTCGTGCCCTGCAACCAGAAGACCGAAGATCTGCGCATGGTGAGTCAAAATGCTATTTTGGCTCAAGTGGCTTCTCTTACCTCTGAAATCATGGCCTTGGAGTGGTACATAGGTTTTCTGTTATCCCTTTTGGCCTGTTGTGTCTCCCTGTGCACCATATGGTCTATGGCATTAGTTACCTTGCCATCATCGCCGTTGATGTTGTGCATCCTTCCCACGGCCTGATCGACTTCATCAAGAATCAAATCATCCTTGACTTTTATCAGGCCAGGATACCGATAGGTTAGATACTCTGGGAATTTACTGTCAGCTTGTTGTTCCTGCGTAATAGGGTATTGTAGTGACACTCACTTCCATACACACGAGGGAATGGAGACTTTGTCACACCCTCAAACATGTCGGTGAGTTTGATGACAGCATCAAAAGTTGGCGCTAGTTCTGCCATCGGGATATCGAGAGCGCCGTCGGAGAGAATCTTAACAGACCCAGGCTGGAGAGCAGACGTCATATCATACTGCTTCATCGTGATAGTCGCTGTTTCACCAGTGCCAAACATTGCTGCCCAAATTGCCTCCAACGCCGAGTGAGTGATGTCAGTTTTGACAGGAAAAGGATGCTGCTCTGGACCAGACAGGCGCATCTTTTCCTGCCACAAGACGATCAGCTCCATGAAGGTCTTGTGTAGATGAGGCCCGGCAACTCCATGGAGGAAGCCTGGCGACATGAGATCTTGCAGCCACTTGCGCTGTAACTTGAATCTCGCATCGCTTGACTTTAGCAACGTGTGGTGCTCGTGAGCCAGGCCATACAACAGATCGCTAATCATATCAGGCTTGTCGAACTCCTTGCTTCGACGGATCAAGATATCTTGTGATTCTTTGAAGTCGTTGATAATGACTACCGGTTTTTGGAACAAGTTGAAGAAGGTCTGAGCGATCGGAGAATCATGTTTGAGGTTCTGTCGCATGTCAGCCGTGATAGAGCTTAGAGAAATATATCCTAAGACTTACTTGTCCTTCCATCCAATCCGTTATCGTTTTGCTGTGCTTGAGATGCTCCAACATGTCCGGAATGTCACCAAAGATCGATTTCGTGGCCTCCGTGTTGTATGGTACTCCCTTGATTGGCTTTGGCAGCAGCCATTTGTAAAACATGTAGGACGCAAAGAACAAGGTGCCGGTCACAACGGCTAGGAAAGATGATCCAGATTGGGTGATAAGATCCATTTTGTCGGATTTTGATACTGTGAAGCTTCAGGTAGCGTTGATTCAGTGCGGAGACAACGCAGAGTAATATATATATCTGTTGGGTCAGGAGCTTTGAGCATGTACAGAAGCAGTACTATGCGCAAGCAGGGGTGGCCCTTGTGCGAAACGCGTTATGCCCCAAGATCTTACTATACAACACGGGCAGTCAGCTTATGGGTTGCTTTTCCATGGAGCGGGAAGTCGATATCCAATGTGTCACCATCGCTGAATGGTCAACTTCTGATCAACGCTTGAAACTAATACCGCTAATGCTGACGAGCTTGTGACTGCTGACAACAGTGTGACGCCCAAGGCTTACCAAAGGTGTTGGAGTCGTGCAAGCGCGCACATGGAACTTACTGCCCAGCCCTTGACGGGCAAACTCAATTTTGCAGATGAGTATCCGGTCTTATTGGAACGTCCGTTTGTGCGGGCTCGTCGCGTAGTTCACCCGCCTCAACAAGACCATTTTGTACGACATGTTAGTTCACTGTTTCGAGTAAGAATCTTGATGGGGATGAGAGTCAACGATTCATGCATCGATCGTTAAGACCGTAACGGCTACGAGGGGCGTTCGTCTGTCAAGAAGCTTTCGAATACTCGCGCTTATTTGAGCCGTCATTTAGCCAACAGTGTCAGGTCGCTGCTGACAAAATACCAAAACGTGCGCCAAGTGCTGCCGTGTTATGATCCTAAAATCACTTCACTGAACAGCTGCCTCGCACAGCCAAGCTTGCCCACAGAGACGTGTATGAAGGATCACTGCACGCTAAGAATTTTGATAACGAGCACATATACACAAGTCGATTAGCTTGCCCTAGAAGCTCGCCCGATGAATTACAGTATGATCACTGCAAAACTGACCGCAAGGAATTTTGTTGCTGGATCCACGTTGGTCAAGACTGGACAGTCCATTGTCTCATTCGTATGGATGAACTGTGATTGGTGTATAGTGTATGCCCGCATGAAGAGAACTGCGGGGGTAATTTAGACCTGAGACATTTGCCGCTGACTACATATGCAAACATTTTGGAGAGTAAGTAGAACACTTAGTGAACTAAATCAGGAGCATTGTGGCGTAGGACACGCTTCTGTGCTTGTGCGTAAGAAGATATTCAAGTGGCTGGAAGCTCGGCATGCGTGGTGACGCCATTGTCAGCTTCCAATCACGGACATTCGGATAAACGAGGTAGCCCCGAATCTCCAGGCAATCACCTCTCATGGGTCTGTTTGGAGAAACTGTCACAACAGTCGCCGGCTAGGTGCTACCTAGGCATACTGACTTGTTTGCTTGCGCATCTCCCGCACACTACCATATGGCTCCTCCCAGAGCTCGTTCATCATCGTGAACTCCACTGCAAAGATTGCACATCCTTCACACCTGCATCAATCTCACCCCTCAAATACTCCACATGCGGAAAGCCCCACTCTTTGCTTACTTCAATCGAGTCAGATGGCACCTCAGGGGGTTCGAGAGATGCCCTTGCGTCTCGCGGAGGGTCTGCACGCTACACAGACTTTGTCGCATGCCAGGCAGTTCGACGACTGGATGATGTAACACTTGCCACGAGAGGAAACCACTCAGTATTGGCAGACGATGACGTTGAATGGACGGACGAGTGTAAGGCAGACATGCCAAGAAGAACGTTGAACAGTCTCAGGTCAAGTGGTCGCGAAAGTGGTGCTTGAGCAGAGTGATCACGCATTAGCACTGTTCTGTGCAAATTGGCTTGTGGCCTTATCTGCCATCCAGGCTCGAGGGTATATTAGCCGTCAGGTGGAAAGGGTAAAAACGTCGCGGTGCGTACTGTATCCCCGACTACGCGACTGAAAAGGTCGGAAGCAAGTTTAGGGACAGGCCTCACTCTGAAAGGACTTTCCCGGTCTTCGTTCGACAAATCTATCAGAGGCTTGTCCTACCATTTCTACAGGCTTTCTTGTCGCCGAGGACGAATACTCAAGCCATCTTCCAGAATCCAATATTGTATTCACGGTTATTGATTGTTGGGAAGTGTCGCCCGCTTATTCTGAAGATAGTGGTATATTCTCTGGCCTCCGTAAAGAACAGTCTCTGCATTCTTCGCCTGATAGTTGTGTTAGTTTCTTATCATTTTTGTGAATAATGCTGTGAGTGAGTCTTGCCTATAAACATAGGGTATGTCATGACGCAGTATGGCATTGGCAGGGGCGCATACATTTGCAGCGATACCTAAAGCAAGCACCAAATTGAGAAGAATGCACAAAAGTGACTGTCGTAAGAGTGATCTGTTCTCTATAGATCTCTCTCGTCGATCCTAGAATTCTATTGATTGTACGATCTAGATCATTTCAAGGTTCCCGTTTTGAAACAAGACATACTGTCTAACGATCTGCGCCGATATCAGTATTAATGCTACCGATTCTGAAGTTTACATGTGATTCTCGGGTTTCTCCTTGACACCCTCCTATTTCACAATTTTGTTTCTTGGTCTACAGTGATCCCGTTGGAGAGTTCAAGCCCAAAAGGTAACCCTCGAACGTATTGACCATCATACGGAATCCCTCTCCGCTCAGCAAAAGCTTGGTCGATATCTTTGTACATGTCGTACCCGTTCATCTCTTCGATAGTCAGCTTCTTCGCTTCATTCTCTACCTTGTAATTTGAGAATGCTGTATTGCTTGAGAAGCCTAAGATTATCAATATCAGTAGATGCATCATTTGTATCAAATCAAAGGGAATCAATTTACCAATGCGTTCGTTGATGTTGTACGCTGCCTTAGCGGCAGAAGCTTGAACTTTTGTCGCTCGGGGCAGGCGGACCTTTTCGTACACGGCAAGGGATTCTTTGATATCCCCAGAGAAATAGGCCTTGCTGAACAGAATACCTAGCGCCGCTGCATCTTCAATTGCCATACAAGCTCCCTGACTTTGATGGGGCATCATCTATCAATCTTGATTAGGTCACGGATGATCTGAGGAACAGAGAAACTACTTACTGGGTGGCCAGCGTCTCCAATCAACACCACAGATTCCTTGACAAGGTATGGGTAAGGTTGATGTACCCATAACCGCCAAGGCTGGATTTCAATTCCTATGGCAAGGTGTGCCTTTACTTGAGCGTCGAGCTCGGGGTATGGTGCAAGGAGGTCTGCCACTGGAAGATCTGCACCTCCCCAAGTATGATTCGCATAATCACCTGCTGAGCGGGGGAAGAAGCAATAGTAGGACAGAAGCTCACCACCATTACATGGAGAAAGCACAATCTTGTCCCATTTGCCCTCTTGACCGCCCCAATATTCAAGAGCGTTGTTGAGGGAATAGTCCACTAAACCAAGTTTTCTGGCATCTTTTGTCAAAACATTTGCGTGCAAACAGCTGGACTCAGCAGGTCGCTTCTCGGGATTCAAGCCGATGATCTTTCGAGTTACTGATCCAATGCCATCAGCTCCTACAATCAAATCATGCTGGCCCTTGGTACCATCAGTAAACGTGATGGTACCAGACTCGAGGTCTATGGTCTGGCACTAAAACGTCGTTAGATCATTACAGAGAAGAACTGATTCTGCATGGCTGGAATGCACTTACTCCATGGTTGACCTTCAGCATTGCAGGTGTTCCGACACCCTCTTCTTGTAATGCGCAGTCCATGAGCATCTTGTGCATGTACTGCCGATGAAACATGTTATAAACATATCCCCATCTCTTTTCGTAATCGTCAAGATCGTACACGCTGACTGGCTCTCCAGTCTTCCAATCTCTGTTGATCAGCTTTTCTAACACTACTGGATCGCCCTTTGCCACGTCGACACCCCATTCGTGCAGCCAACGAGTGCCATTGGCAGCACATGATACTGAGGCTCCAGCTTCTCCAGCGAAGTCGTGTCGCTCGTAAATAATAACATCATGTCCGGCTCGACGCAACGCAATGGCAGCAGACAGACCACCGATGCCACCTCCTATCACAGCCACATTCAGCCGTCTCCAGACATTCTCGCTTACGGATCCCATTGTTTGCCGTTGTTCGTTGTGGTTGACCTGAACTTGAGAAGCCGTTCGTTGACACAGGTCGCCAAATTTGCAACAGGATTGAGAGAGATGCTCGCTGTGATTCCAGGTCAGTCCACTAAACTCTGGTGATATACTCGACTTTACAAATTAAACTTACACCTGACTTGAGATATGGGCTCAGCCGTGTACAATTGTTAGCGCATGTTCTAAACTCGCGCTGCCTATCCACATGCACCCTTGTCTGGACCATCTGACAAGACTGGCACCAGAGACGCGGATAGCGGCAAGGGTACTTTCCGCATGCGCTTTAGCGGGTGCGGATCGCAGATGACGAAGCGGATCGCGTCTTATTGGTGAATTGGTGGTGCGGGTAATGCACCAGATCGGTACACTTGCGTTCTGGTCGGATAACGCACCTCCACAACCCCACTACCACTATAGGCGATGAGTGGTTCCAAGCTCACCGGAAACAACCGTAAACAGGCATTTCAACCTCACGAATGCATGCAAAACTATCTGAAACGAGCAAGAAGAGGGGAAGCCCCGGGAAACGCACCCAACGCGCTCCTTCTAGCTTCGAATGACGACCCGCGCCGCCTTGGTCAGCATACTCCGCACAATGCATAAGTATCTCTCCTGTTGATTCTCCCATATGATCTAGTACTCCGGAAGTCTGTATCTGTCTTATGATATTGTTCCTCTCCTGTCACACCACAACATTGACATCCTAAAGTATCACAATTAGCACCCACGATGCTCGGGAAAATTATTCTGGAAGAGGCGTTTGCCTTACCTCGCCTAGAGGAGAAAACAAAATGGTGGGCTGGCATGTTCAGCACAGACGCAGAGAAGCATACGCAGGAGATCCAGGATCTGACTGATATTCGCTTGAAGTTTGCGGATCAATACGGAGTTGGATATACGATACTTTCGTACACTGCTCCAGGTGTCCAAGATATCTTTGATCCCAAGGAAGCCCAAGCGCTGGCTGTTGAAATCAATGACTATGTCGCCGAACAAATCAAGCCATTTCCCGACAGGTTGGGTGCCTTTGCGTAAGTATATAACATTTCTACCTCTACAGATCGTTTCCAGAGCTGAACATTTCGTGATAGCACACTCTCTATGCACGATCCAAAGGAAGCTGCAGAGGAGTTGCGACGGACAGTGACAAAGTATGGCTTCAAGGGTGCATTGGTAAACGATACACAGAGGGCTGGAGCTGACGGCGAGGATTACATCTTCTACGACCAACCGGAATGGGACGTTTTCTGGGAGACGCTCACAGATCTCGATGTGCCCTTGTACTTGCATCCACGCAATCCAACGGGAATAGTCTTCGAGAAGCTCTGGAAGGACCGCCAGTGGCTCATTGGCCCGCCTTTATCGTTTGCTGTCGGCGTGAGCCTTCATGCGCTTGGTATGGTCACAAACGGAGTTTTCGATCGCCATCCGAAAGCTCAAGTTATTCTCGGGCATCTCGGTGAGCATATTCCGTTCGACATGTGGCGGATCAACCACTGGTTTGAAGATCGTAAGAAGCTCCTCAAGCCTGGGCTAGAGTGCAAGAAAACGATTCGCGAGTACTTCAACGAGAACTTTTGGATTACGACTTCCGGCCACTTCTCCACAACAACGCTCAACTTCGTCAAGGACGAAGTCAGTGCTGATCGAATCTTGTTTTCAGTAGACTATCCTTTCGAGACTTTCGAGGATGGCTGCACCTGGTTCGATAACGCAGAGATGAATACCGGGGATCGCCTGAAGATTGGGAGAGAGAATGCCAAGGGCCTGTTCAAACTTGAGGAATACAAAGATTCAAGTGCGAAGGTAATCTAGATAGATCAAAGCATGAAGACAAGTTGAAGCTCACATCAGAGTGTACCTGAACGTTGCTGAATGTGAGGATTTACCAGAATGACGCAAATCGTACAGACTCCGCAAGTAAAATTCATGGTATGGGCTTTACTACTCGTTCGACCCAACAAGATCCTGGCGATACGGTTGCGAGATGGTGAAGTGATTATTTTGATGATCTGTCAGGGTTCTGAACGAGGGCGAGCACAACAGCGCTGCGAGGAATCGTCGTTAGGCAGTTGCGCGTCCACACTTACCTACTTTACATCCTATCTTTCCAATCTACGCTTGTGGTATTTCCATAGAGTGCCAACCCAAATTATTGTTACAGCAGCGTCGCATTTCAATAACGGGCTCGTTTCGCGCACTTGCCGACATTCCGTTTATCTTCGGATCATGCACCACGAGTCAGAGTACGCCATGTTACTACCCCGCGTTGCGCTACGCTTATCATTAGCTTGACTTGCGTGGAGCAATCTGTCCGCAGCTAACTAACTTCTGAGATCTACGGACTGCTATCGTTGGCTGCAGCGGCGAGGATATGAAGGTTCTACAACGTTATCTACAGCGGCACCCGCTGCCCCTTAACCGTCTTCCGCAACCCATTTCTCTCCCCACACTGAGCGGCTTTTGCACACCCACCTCAGCACCGACCTGGACTAGTCACATGACAGATTGAAGGCATCTGCCACGTAATGCCCCGACGGCCAGTGAAGCCGCAGGATCGTCAGCGAGTTGTCCGAGCATGCGATCAATGTAAAGCGTCCAAGAAGCGCTGTGATGGCGATCAGCCCTGCAAACCGTGCCAGAAAAAAGGTTGCGACAGTATCTGTCATTATACTGCTGGTCGGAGACATCACCCGTTGCCGCAGCCTCCATTGGTAGCGTCGCATTTGGCTCCGGCGCAGGGCGCACCTTTAATCTTTGAGGGAAGCGAGACCAATGAGGCTATGATATCCCCGAATTCATGGGAGTTTCATGGATCTACAACTATATCGGATAAACCAGGACCCATTTTTGCTCCTACCATACAAGAACATGTTCCTGAAGAAAGTCCTCCCAGCATCGACACCCGAGGATCATCGATTGAAGTTATGGCTCAGCCGTCTATCATGCTATCGAGCCATAGTGGAGAGAAAGGTAAGTACGCGTGGCCTGACCTTCTGTTCAGCTGAGTACTGATTTCGACATTCAACAGTATTCGTTGGCAACACTGCGGCAATATCGTTTTTACAATTCCTTCAGAAGACGTTAGAACGGCAGGTTGGTCCCTCTGGTTTTACCGATGCTCAAGAAAGTCGAAGGTTATTCGAGGCAGATGCTGTCGACAACGGATCGAGCCGGTTTTATGATGGTCTTTGTATTGAAGACAAGAAAGCCTATATTCAGTATTTTTTCGACGCCGTAGGTACTCCTTTCTGGCAAAGTGACTTTTGCAAGAGATTCTAAGAAGCCTCCAGTCAAACGGTCTTCTCGACCTATACACATGGGAAGAAGTATGCAATCTATTACAGATGGAGCCTCGAGCGAGCGTGCATGAACCGACCAGTCCCCCATATCCGAGAACTCTCGAACAGGCCTCGTTGTATCTTATGGTCTCAATTGGTGCCCAATGCTATGGACCCACCAAGGATGCTGTAGTCTGGGCGGCAGAATTGTTCTCCTTTGCCCGCAAGCTGGCCTTCGCACAGATGCTCGAGAATCCAAGCCTGGATCTTGTCAGAGTATTTCTTCTGATGGCTTTCTACATGTTTGGCGCTTGTCGGCGGAACTCTGCCTTCATGTACCTGGGTTGTGCCTCCAAAGCTGCCGACATATTAGGTTTGCATGTATCTGCTCAGCACAAATATGCAGCCCCTTCAACACGAGATGCCCGGTATGTGTCTTGAATCACGCCTACACATGAGTAAGCGCGACTAACAGCTCTTCAGACTCCGCACAGCTAAAAGTATACGTGTCTTCGACGTCGTCTGCAATTCGATTCTTGGACGCTCAAGCAGTACACCATCCCTTCGTCCAGGCCATCCCAGCTGCCCTAGCGACAAACTTGACAACGACGCCAACAGTATCTATAGAGCTTTGGCACTTAGCGCTACGTATGAGATATCAGCGGTCCTTGATACCGCAGTTCAAAAGTCCGGTGATGGCGAGCTGAATATTGACACCGCTGAAAGCTTGGTCCTGGCTTTACAACAGCGGAGCCGAAATTTTCCATCAATATTGCGAAAGTCCAACGAAGAAGAATCTACAAACAGCAGACATACAATCATTGGGAACGTTCACGTTTCTGGAGCTTACTACTTCAGTGTGATACTGGTAACACGACAATTCCTGATCCAACATGTCGTCCCGCAACTGTCAGAGACATCAAGATCCCGGCATCACAACATCGCAGGAAACGCCAAAGTCGACCAGTTGGCAGATGCATGTATTGAGGCAGCTTCGTTCATGGCGCACATGTGTCATCAGGTCATGAAATCGGGGCATCTACTTGGAAATATGTGCATCCTCAAGTAAGTCAACACGATCGTCCTGGAGCAACAACGGGTCTCTAACAACCGCCAGAGCATGGATCTTTGCGACAGGCCTCGTGCTGGGCTTTTCGCTCCTGGTCGAAGACGCGGTCAATTACTCTGAGCGACGAACGGCGTTCCTTAAGTCTCTACACGTGCTGGGCGAGCTTCGAAATCTCAGCCCTCAAGCTGAACAGTACTATGGAATTCTTTCAAGCTTCCATCAAGCTATCAAGGTCTACAAAGATCGAACACACAGGAAAAAGCGGGCGTCCCGAGGAACTCTGGTAGATTGTGTCTTCTTGCCAGAAGGCGCAGGTGACTCCAATGAGCCTGATATCATCGCAACACAACTTCCGAGCCCAGAGATGACTATGCAAGATATATCATCAGCCGACTGGCTTGATAATCTTCCTCTGGACACGCTGAACGATATCGAACCAGTCGACTCTACGCTGATGGGAGATAATGACATTATCATGCGCATGCTTTGGGAGTCGGAGAGGTACGCTATGGACTATCCAGCTGGTATGCTACCGGATGCGGAGTCATGCATGGATTCCTCTACTCAGAATTTAGCTTCTTTACTAAACTAGAATCGCTTCATTATTGAAGCTGAATACAGATGAATAACTCATATTCATTCGTACTATCCAAGTAATGAGCAAAATGTTGTTTCTCAGACTAGGCGACAGTGAACAATAGCTACCCACAAAGCTCTGATAAGCTACTCAGCGATAGTCTGCGGAATTACAGCATGAGTCCACATCTACCAAAAACTAAATGTCCGCGTGAAACATCTGACAAGATCCGAAGTCAGTAAATCTGGTCACTAACAATGCGACCTATTCGTTGATCTAGAAATTTCGACACACTATTCTGAATTTCGGGACTATCTTTCATGAGACAGTGAAACATTGTGTTGTGAAGGAATTGAGAAGCCTAGTGTAGATTCAGATGATCGATGTATTGGACCACCGATCTCTGATGAGATCAAATGGGACGAATATACAAGGAGCGAACGAAGTATAGTATCTCCGGCTCCTAGAGCGGCTCAGTCATGAGTCACGTGTTCAGTGACCTGAGTCGCTCCTTTGAGCATCACAGGAATGCTTATGACGCTCTCTGCGTGTTTGGAGCGCTCCACTTCAGCTCCATGTGATCTGCTGCAACGTATATGAACTGAATGTATTCTCTGAAATCTCTTGCGATGAGACAAAGCCTCCTCCATCGTACCAGCTAAGGTGTTCGTACCCAGACCTTCCGCTACATTATCTCTTACTCATTTTTCTGCTTGTACTCATCCAGCACACCGTCGTAGTCCTTTGGCGTATAAGGAGAAATGAGCTCTTGGATGAAGGTCGGTTTTCGCTTGTTATTGATGCCGACATCCTTCAGCAACATGTCGACATACGGGATGCCCTCGAATACGAAGTCCGGAAGACTTGCTCCATATCCACAAGGGTACCGCCATTTGCCCCATTGAGTGTGCATCATGATCTCTCTTGTGATAGCTTCTTGTGACGTGGGCTCCCGGTCCAGTCTCCCGTCGAAGAAAGCTGTGATCCAAAGGCCTTGGGTACTGGCGCAGATGGCTGTGCTGACCGAAGAGATCATGCCTGCAAAAGCAAAGTTGCGCTTCTCTACCATAGCCGAAGGTATCATAAATCGATAGTAACGGAGTGGCTCAGCTGCTTTCTTGGGTTTGGACCGTAGGACAGGCTGATTTTCCAAGATAGGGAATTGATTCAAGACCTTGGAATCATACTCAAGACTGAGGTTTGCCTGCTCCTTGGCATCTATAGGTAAGCCCAGACCTGCTTCATCTAATCCAGAGAAACGAATGGTTGACTCCTTTTTCCATCCCGTCGAGCATATCATCGCGTCCGCCGTGATCGTAGTACCATTTTGCAGTATGACCTGCCCGGGAGCAAGTTCCTCAATGTTCTCAATGTGAACCCTGACCTTGCCGTCACGAATCATATCGAAGAAGCTGGTGCTGTAATTCAGAATGCTAAGACCACTCCCGATCCAGAAAACAGAGTGCCAGGGCTTCAGTTTTTGGAGCTCGGGGTGATTGTCATATTTGTTCTGGTCAAGAACATCGTTGCCCATGACTAGATGCGTCCTCAGTATCAGTCTCAAATCAAGGTTTCAAGAAACACTCACGGCTCCAGAATCCTTTGACAAGCGCTCGGCCAACGACAGTCCGCTCCAAGAACCGACGCACAAACCCATAGCCATCCTCGTCGCCCCAGGGACATGGACTAAACCACGATAGCGCTCTGACATTAAGTATTGTGTCTATACGCTGCTTGAGCGGAGTAACATGACGTGGCGCAATCCAGACGGGACCATTGCTGTCTGGTCTGATGATGAGGTCGACCGTCGCGCCGCTGTCAACCATAGCATAAGCCACATCGTAGGCAGATTTCGCACCTCCGACCACCACGACATTTCGGACACCTTTCAACTCTTCTGCGCGTCGGCAAAAGTCCTTTGCATGGAATAGCGGCCTATCAAACTTCTCGGATCCATTGTAAACCGGCATGTTTGGCGTTGACGTTAATCCTGTTGCAAGAATAAGTTTTTTTGTGTCGACTTTTCTTTCCCCTTCCGGTGTTGTCACTGTGAGTGTCCATCCGAATTCTGTGGACTCGACAAGACTGACAGTGGAATTGAACTGCACCCGTTCCCAGATACGATAGTGCTTTGCGAAGTCGGTCAGGTATCGATTTAGTACTGCTCCAGGAATATGGCCAAGAGGTTTGACTCCATACTTGTTTTCTGACATGGGAAAGTCGGGAAACTCGTAACTTCCGAGCATGTTGTTCGACTTCAAGCCGGGATACAGTCGTGCTTCAGACCATGTGCCTCCAACAGTATCATTTGACTCCAAGACAGCTATTCTCTGATCGGGATGTGACTGAATGTAAGCCCGAGCGGACCCTAGCCCAAACCACCCTGCATGTAGATGTTAGCAGACTGTTACTTCCACGATAGTCAAACGTGGCTTCTTTCGTGGTTATGATCTAACTTACCAGAACCCACGACCACAAGGTCGTACGACTCGGGTGTCGTTTTGTGCATGTTGGAGTGGGGGGAACAAAGAACGATGAAGGTGAAAGTGAATTTGTCGGTGTAGACTCTTGTTCTGAAGGATGAATTGTGTGCCGTTCAAGAAGCTGATCGCACGCTTTTGAAATAGTTGAGGATGACCGTCTTACCGCAGCTTCTTGTCGTATCAAGGCCCAAAGCTCGACAAGAGGGTTTACCCGAAACCTGTAGCCAATAGAATATGACTGATACGATAGGGGAAACACATAACCTGGGGTACAGTAGCGCAGTGTTCCTATCTGGTGTCGGATAGCGTACCAACATGTGTGTCGGCTAGATAACAAACATTGTCAGCTCAAATTCAAACTATTTCCAAATGAAGACAGCGTAAATGACAAATGTGTTGTAGGGCCGTTTGCGGATAACAAAGAGTCGCGTCTTTTTGAAGGGCTCGGAGGATCCTCCGGATCCTTGTAGTCGCTCTTTCCCTTCCCGCCAACTAATGTAAGGGGCCCACTCCGCCCAGGAGGTCACGATACACTCAAGGCTCGATCATAGGTTGACCGCTTCCGAAGTTCGCGTCTGCACAACAAGAATCTACAGAAAAGGTAAACGCTGGCTCTATACCTGAGAATTCTGACTACTGTGGCTTGACATTAGAGATTCCACGCAAGGGTGGACTGTTTTCGGATTGTCTTTGTTACACAACTGACCCTTACAGAGCCTCCCTTCCTCAGGTCGGATTTCAGTCTGATCAGGATACTGGTGGCAGCCATGGAGCATTGCATTATGTACTACATTACGGTCATGACTCAAAGTGGACTGATAACACCATCAATGGTACCAGCGTGTAAACCCCCGGTGATCTGTATATCGGCAGCGGTTGTATGCCTCGCAGCATCACTTAACAAATATACAATTGCAGGAGTTAGGTCGTTCTGCGTGCTGAGTCTTTGCAAGGGTGGTGCAAGCCACATCTGATCGCCCTCTCTTTTGCTCTTTGATTCGCGCACATCTCGCGTCATCTGAGAGTCGACAAATCCCGGTGAGATCGTGTTGACTCGGATGTTGTGTTTGGCAAGTTCTACTGCAAGTGCTTTTGAAAGCATCAGAATGCCGCCCTTTGAAGCATTGTACGCTGCCATCCTGTAACCCGGAAGGCCGATATGAGAAGACTGGGAAGCAATGAGAACAATGCTACCAGGGGTATCCTGCTTTATAATTTGCTTTGTCACCAGTTGAACAATGAAAAAGACTCCGCGGACCTGTTTCTATCAGTCACACATGGTTGGCTGCGTCCATGTTGCTCGAAACTCACATTTATCTCTTGGATGCGAGTAAATTCCTCCCATGTTTGATCAACGAAAGGTTTATCGATGGCAATACCTGCTGCTGGAACACAGCCATCGATAGTTCCTCCGAGGCTCTCCAAAGCTTTCGTAAATCCTGCGTTGAGGCTCTCTTGCTGAGTGAGGTCGGTCTGGTGGTATGAGGTTTTGACACCAAATTCCGAGGCCAGCCCTTGGAAGTCGGACGTGGGGCGTTCCTGAATGTCTAGGACAGCCACATTGCCACCCATTTCGCAAATCGCTCTTGTAGCTGCGAATCCAATTCCCTGTGCACCGCCTGTGATGAGATAGTTCCGTCCTTTCAGCTCGAACATTGGTCGCACCGGGTCCAGTTTATCTGCCATGTTGATAGGATGTGGAAGCAGTGTCAGAATGAAGTTGACAGTTTCGAAGTAGACAAGTTTTGAATTTGGGTTTGGACTTTGGTGCGAGGGTTTGCGATTGATGAATGAGCTACTTTGCAGAGTCAATTTCACAGGGTCTGCGCCGGCTAGAAGAAATCTGAATCAGTGTTAGCGTCGGCAGCGTTCCTATGCGAACTATAGCTGCAGCCTTGCGTAGGACCCATGAGTAAGATCACTTATCAGTTCGCCACGCTCTCTCCGCGTTGTGTGATTGGAAGGAATCCAACTAACCCTAAGTGCATCTGCCGGGATAATCAACGATAACGTATTCGAGCAACTAGGTACTCGTCACCAAGTAAGCCTTGAGAGCAAACGTAAACTTGCTGTGAGGGATTCTGTCGGAGACGGAGTAGCTGACTTTTCTAGCCTGCGTTCTCTGCCACATGCAGAGCCGTATGGGCCTCCACAACCACGCGCCAGTGAAGTCCTCAGTCTGCATGAACTGCAAATAAACTAGACATCTCGTGCTGCGCTTGATACTCTGTACTGACTCAGAAAGTGCATTACCCATATCGCAGTTGCCGACTGATCGGAGGTACGACTGCCGCCATTGCACCGAAGTCGCACCGTAGGTAAGTTCGCGTCTCTGAGTGGTGTGCTACTCATCATTGTTCGGCGGAGTGAGTTCCAAGGTTCCGGTGCACGCGGCTCTCTATCTACAAGCGTATTCTAAAGAGATGATGCACCATGAGCGTAGCACGATAGGAAGGTGGCGGCATGTGTTGGTGTATATATGCACTCCGTGCCAGCATTTCATCCCACAGACTGTTCAGTTGGGTACTTACTTTTGATCGTATTTTTGAAGGTGTGCTATCATCATGTTCCAAGATATTACAAAACCGCCACCGTCGCTTCCCACAATAGAACTTCTTCGAGTAGACACAGGAGTATCCGTACTGTCACCACTAGTCCGTAGAGGTACTGGACCTCCATTGATCATCCTCACTGCAAACAACGATGACTCCACAAAAATAGTTGAAGGAGTCCCATCGCATCTGGTAAAATGGGCTGAAGAGGGATTTACGGTTGCTGAAATTCAGCAACACGCACTCGAGGAACATGCAGCCGGGGCCTTGAAGCGAAGTATCCAGGCTTTGAGGGAGAACCCAAAATGCGAACCTAAAGACAATATTGGACTCGTTGGTGAGTACTGTCCCGAGCTATTAACCGAATTCGAAAACTCACGGTATCATGTTCACAGCGTACGAACCAGCTTCATGGAACCTGGCTGCAGATGCTGTCAACGACAGACCCGATATCAAGGCTGCAGTAATTTACGCAGATGCCTCGGAAAAAGTTGCTATATCAGCTTCAAAGGTGGCTGTTTTGCATCATTTGGCAGGCAGTAAAAGCAACAATCCGACGAGATCAACCCTTCTAACAGAATATCACTATCCCGGAGTCGAGACCTACAAGTTCGCAACACCCTTTCATAATGCCTTCCACTACACCACGGAAGCACTGTCACATACTCGCTCTCTCACACATCTCAAGTCTCGCTTGGGTGGCCCTTATTTTGATCTCGAAGTCATTTGGGATGAACACTGTTACTATGAATTCGCGGATCGGTCGGTTGAGCATACCATGAGCACGATGGTACAAGAGCCATACGTCAATCACGTACCTACTGTAAGCGTGCCCCCTTGTAAAGTTTGCAGCCCTGACAAAATGCTAGCTTACAGGAGGCGTGAGCCGAGGGCCACTGACGGATTTCTACCGGCATAACTTCATTTTCAACAATTCTGCTGATACAGCACTGGAGCTTGTCAGCAGGTCTATTGCAATTGACCGGGTCATCGACGAGTTCATCTTCAGTTTCACGCATGATCGTGAACTGGACTGGCTGTAAGTCGTCTAGTACTGATCGACGGACTTGAACACTAACAATACTCATCAGGGTACCTGGAATCCCTCCGACAAATCTGAAAGTCGAAGTCCCATTCTCAGCTGTTGTTAACATTCGTGGAGACCGCCTATACCACGAACACATCTCGTGGGATCAAGGCACTGTTTTGAGGCAGCTGGGGCTGTTGCCCGAGTATCTTCCATTTCCTCACCCGCTGCCAGATGGTAGATCTCCTGCGCCAGGCAAATCGTTCGAATATCGAGTCCCTGTCGCAGGCACCGATACTGCAAACAAGATGCGTGACCGGAATCTAGTGCAGTCAAATGAGATGTTCGACTTCAAGATCAGAGAAGTGTAGATTATAATTAGATAGTACACATTTGAATGATTGCTACCTTCATCATGACCGCTCTTGAAACTCTATGTGTTCATTACTGCTCTGTATCATTGGCACAGGTTCCAATCAATCATTTTTCTCACACACAAGTTATCCGCGTCTGGAGGATCCAGTGGCGATATGTAGCGCGAGTGAAGTATGAACCATAGGAGGTCGCTGGAGGGACGTCTGAAAAAGCTTAGCAGTACGGGTTAGGCAGGAATATGTTACTGTGTAATAGCTGTACCTTTGTAACTGGCGTTTTTAGCGCTGATAGCTAATTGATTTTTTGCTGGGATACTATATCGAAGAAATGCGCCGAGGGACTTCGAATCAGCGTCCCTCAAATGCGCCGTGATGGTCCGCGTGACATGTCACTAGCGGCAAGCTGTGCAATCACTGGTCGGAATGACTGCCTCCGCTCTGATGGCTTCAAAATGACTGCGACAATACCGAGCTCACAGCTTGGTAAATGACGGACGCTAGCAATGAGCGCTCACAGGTCCGATTCATGGGCACCTTCGCGCGGCAATTCTAGTCGCAACATAGCAAGATCGTCGCGGCACCTCCTGATGCAATCAAGCGTCAAAGGCAGCTATTGCTCGGCAACAGACATCCTCCTAACGACCGCCTTCCCAACAACATAGCGCTGTGCTGCGCGCAAATGTTTCACAGCGACAGACACAACACGAGCTATGACTGTTTCGAACCGAGTTTAGCAACGAACCACGACGTCACCGCGTGCATAAGGGCATTGACGTACTGTATCTTAGCCCACGGCATCTTTAGGGCCACCAGGCCCACGATGATTACATCCTCAGGTATCGCGACCAGTCGCCCACACTTACCAGCACGCGATCCGCGTCCTCAAACGATAGACCACGGACCAATTATAGTCATGTTAGCGTGCAAGGCTGGTGCACAGGCCGTCTTGTACCTGCGTCTCGGCAGCGCAATGACCAGAAATGTTGGTTGAAGAATAGCCGTTGGTGTTTCCTCATTTCTGGTGCTGACATAGATGATGGCGAATGGGAGGCTTATGCAACAGCCACAAGCCATCTCGCACTCAGCTATTTCGCTGGGATTGTGACAACACGATACCCAAGGCTCAGATGACCCAGCACAGAGATTTGCGTTGCTGTCGGTCATCTCGGCTTCGTCGATGGGAAATTAGCACTAACCTCAACTAGTCCGCGCCTCAGCCGAAGGAACGACCTTGTCGCATTTCCCCAGGCCTCATCCCCTAAAAGCGCCGGCGTGCTGCACATCCTGGCTTGATGCGCAGAAATTAGCGCGTTCGAGTGCCCCAGTAACGACGTTTTACCGTTTGCGTACCTGAAGCTGCCAGGTTTAATCTCAAGGACCCCTATCCTAACGTCTTGGACGCATGGCAGCGGCCGTGCCCACGGGATCATGGGAAGTCTATCAAAAGCCCTCTGTTCCCCAGTTGCGTGCCTACTTTGCTTCCACCGCAAGGCTTCGTACGCATCAACAGCCTCGTGAGCAAAGTCAACGGCCTCCGCGCCCCGTCACTCGTTTACAACCAACCCGATTCACTCATTCAGCGGCCGCACACAAGCTAAGATCGAATCCGTCATCAACCCGACGTCAAGATGAAGGCCTCCATCGTCGCTGCTTCGGCGCTTGTCGCATCTGTTGCTGCTTTCGAGCACAAGAACCACGCTGGCTTCCACATGCGCCGGGCTGCCTATGAGCCCGTCCAGGACGAGATCTGCACGGTCTACACGACTGTCTACGTCCACGCCCGTACGTGATCAATCAAGCTCAACCAAAGCTAGAACTTCGTAGTTTGGGCAGAGGAAGAATATGTCGAGATTTGTTTGACTGACGTCTTTCAGTGCCGTCGATCGTCCCCAACACCACTGCCATCTATGAGCCCTCCACTCCCGCAGCGGAGACCTCGACCTCGTGCACCGAGGAGGAGAAGACTAGCTCTATCTACACCCCCATCGTGATCTCCACCAAGACACCTGAGGCTTCTCACCCAGCCTACCCCACCGTCCCGGTCGTACCAGAGGTTTCTAAGCCGGCCGTTCCTGTCTCCTCCCAACCAGCTGTCCCTGAGTATCCCACTAAGCCAGTTGTGCCCGAGGTGTCCAAGCCAGCTGTCCCTGAGTATCCCACTAAGCCAGTTGTGCCCGAGGTGTCCAAGCCGGCTGTGCCTGAGGTTTCCAAGCCAGCGGTTCCTGAGGTTTCCAAGCCAGCGGTTCCTGAGGTTTCCAAGCCAGCGGTTCCTGAGTACCCCACCAACCCTGTTCCAGAGTCGTCGAAGGAGGTTCCTCAGCCTTCAAAGCCTGCTACTCCTGAGTACCCTACCAAGCCTGTCGACACCCCTAAGCCTACTCCCACCAGCTCCAAGGCTGTCGACACTCCCAAGCCTACACCCAGCAGCTCTAAGACTGCTGAGAAGCCCAAGCCTACCGGAAGCTACAGCTCTGGTGGCCGCATCGTCACCAATGGCAAGAAGTGGGCCATGACCTACACACCCTACGCCCCCGATGGTAACTGCAAGACCGAGGCCGACATCAAGTCCGACATCAAGCAGATTGCCGATTTTGGCTTCACCACCATCCGCTCCTACAGCACCGACTGCGGTGTCTTCGAGTACGTCGTCCCGGCGTGCCAGGAACACGGCCTGAAGATTATTTACGGTATCTTCCTCGAGGCCGGCGGCAGCGGCGGCAAGGGTCCCTTCTCGCAGTACGCCAACAACCAGCTCGAGGACATCAAGAAGAATGCGCCCAAGGATGGCGTCGCTATGGTCATCGTCGGCAACGAGTGCATGTTCAACAACAACTGCGTGCCCGGCGAGCTTGCCTCGTACATTGACCACGTTCGCGAGCAGCTCCAGGGCGCCGGTTTCCCCAAGGACATTGCCATCACTACCACTGAGCCCGTCGGCACCTGGGAGGAGAAGGGCGCTGAGCTGTGCGCACACATCGACGTCTTCACCGTTCAGGTCCACCCCTACTTCACTGCCACCATCTCGCCCGACATGGCCGGCGACTTCGCCGCGCAGCAGCTCGAGCAGGCCGCCAAGGTGTGCCCCGAGGCCGCCGCCAAGGGCAAGTACATTTCCGAGATCGGCTGGCCCAGCGCGGGTAATTCCAACGGCTTGGCTGTCGCCGGAGAAGCGGAGCAGAGGGAGGCGATGAAGAAGATCATCGAGAGCGTCGGCGCCGAGTCCACGCTGTTCAGCTTCAAGGACGACCCGTGGAAGCACCCCGGTGCCCTGGGTGTGGAGCAGCACTTTGGCTGCATCGATGCGCTTACGTACTAAGCGCGCACCCTCTAGCATAGGCGGACAGACACCGAGTTCCAATGTCAAGCACTCTGCAGACCTGTCTCGATAAGAGCGTCTGTGGAGCACCTCCATTCGTGTCCACGATTTCGCGCCCTTTACGTATTAACGCTTGTATATGGTTGGAGACATTCCTTCTTGATGGCTGCCCCTGGTCGGTAGTTTAGCGACGGCCTGCGGTATTATTCTAGTGTGTAATTCCTTAATCTTACTACATATGACACCAACCTCCGATGACGCCCGTCCGTGCGTTACATTGTAATTCGCGCGCTCGTATTCATATTCCTCTGACGTGAGAGCGGCCTCACTGTCCCTGTCAGATCCCTGATGTCGAACGTTCTTTGTCGGCATTGTTGACTGCACTGTGAAAGTCGGGCTGTTTGTATGACCCACGCTAGTCCAGAGTTTCGGGTATGCTTAGGCTCATGGATGGTACTCAGCATCGCTTTGTTCGCTTAAACAACGTGATGAGACGAGTGAGAGAGACGATATCTTCTTCATATGGCTGTCAACACTGTGCATGAAGGGCAAACAAGTCTGCCTCTCCAGCTGATGCGACCTTCATTTGCAACACCGAGCGCTCTGTAATATTACTTTCGCAAACGAGACCTGTATTCTTCTTCAAGGCTCGCCATGCAGGCGAGCACTTAACGAAAAAAACCATCCATATGACAACGGACTGAGCATGCGGCTGATGCTGTTCGCAGGCGGACTTGCCACCCTCACGACATACACCTTTCGAATGGATATCCTGTCTGCATCCTCTTAAGTGTAATGCCAACTGTCGGGATGAAGGCGTATTACGTGTCACGATGAGCCAGCTCACCCAGGCTTTCAAGCACCCTTGACTTTGTACAGCGCGTCACCGTGTCCGCGCCACTGTTCCCACCAGGTACGCGCCGAATACACGAACAGAGGCCTACCCCTCAAATGGCAGCCGACGGGACGAACAGCGTAGAGCAGCGACGCAGCGACGCCCAACCTTTACCACGGAGGCCTTGTGAGATTCGCAAGGATGGTAGGCCTGCGACGAGCACCCGGTACGCGCAGCAAGCAGAAGCAGCGACGGAGGACGCGGGCGGAAGCGGCGATAGAGGACGCAGGAGATTGAGCGTTGACACCCAGAGTCGTATACCCCGGCGGAAGAGTGCTGGCATTGCTCAGTAGCGGAGGACTGTTGGCAGACTTGCACCAGCACAGTATCGCCAAAACGCCTGTCGGGAACGCGAGCGATGCACCGACACTTGTTATCCGAATGCGCATGATCGACCAACCGATCATGATGAGAACGCACTGCATAGTTGTGCTGACCCAACTGGTGCGTCTAGGTAGAGCCGCCAAACACCGAAGTGTTGAAGCGCACTCAGCTCCCAGGCTGGATGTTGTCTGGAGTTGGAACACTCAGAGGAGCTCGATAGACGCGTCGACCTCCTGCAGCTTCAAACGCACCCAAGCTCACTGGCTAGGAATGCATTGCCCCAGCCCGCCTGAAGCAGGCCAGTGCAGCCAAGTAGACCACCCGCAAAGCGGCACGAATCACTCTTTGTTTCTCGGTCTGAAGCCTGGTCGAAAGTGAAGTGTCTATCAAGCACATCCTGCGTGAAAGGTGGCATTGAACAATGCAAATCTAGAGTACTGTTATTGAATGAGGGGGATCCAACAAGGGCGCGACAGCTTAGGGATGACTTACGATGTGCAGAAAAGGTAGAGAAGAAGAGAAAGAGTGAGGGCGACGTAGGTTATATATGGCTCGCGGCGCTCGGCGCGGGAGCTAGCCGCTTTTGTTTCACAGTGAAGGTGAAAAGCTGCGAAGGCACTACGTAATTCACGCAAACTGGACAAAGACCACACAGAGTGGGTCCTATCGTTATTCATCATGAAGCAAAAATGCAAATGTCGCACCAACGAGCAAGCGCAGCTATACAGTTGCACTTCCGTGCAGACTTTACGATTTGGCTGGGGGCTGTTTCGTATAGCAAGAGTCCTGTCGTCATATCACATCGAGAGCCCAGAGTATTCTGGCAGACTAATCTTCCTGAAGCTACTGTGTACTCGCAGCGTGTTTGTATGTGATCGTTTCTCGTCAGTCATTTCCAGGCAGACGACTCGACCTCACACCGCCCGCTGTGCCCGCAATTGTCCTTTCATTTTTCGGAAAATTTTGGTGCCTGCAGCTATGAAGACAGTTTGATAGCCTTAGATCGATGCGAATCGGCGATTTCGCTGGGTACACAGGTGAAGTGAGGTGAAGGGCACGCATCCAAGTACCTCGCCTCGCGTACCCTTCGCACGCATGTCCACCAGCTTGTTTACTCCCAACAAGTCACCCTTCTTCTTGCGTTATAACAGCCGTATCCACAATGCCGAGCGCCATCGTCAGTCTTCCACGCATCGCAGCGCCACCTCAATGGCTTGATCTTGAGGAATACGTTGGTTACTATATCGGCGGAGGTACCGCACTCATCATCTCCCTGGAAGATGAAGTCCTTCATTTGAGCTTCTGGAACGGGCAGGATGCGAACTACACCATCAAGCCCCTCCGATGCCGGTTCCAGTTCCGAAGTTGGGCCACACACTTATTTCCGATAGCCAGGATCATGTCAAATGGCCAGCCGTCCGATGAATTCAACACGAAGGTACATTTGATAAGCTTCAACGTGTCGGACTCGAGGTCCCAGAAGATAACCTCGTTTGTGTGGCAGATGCCTGACACGACTTGCCCCCGGCGCTTTGTCAAGACGAGGCAGTCACCGCTGCTCAAGCTGCCACAAGAGATCGTCGACCATATCATGAAGTTCGTACTCACCACGAGTACCCATTTGAAAGGCGTCATCCATCTACACGAGGAAAAGAACCATTTCGTGGTTGCAGAAACCAAATCCATGCCTGCTGGAGGAGAACAGAAGCGTTGGAAAGGAAACCGAGAAGACCTTCCGCCGCTGTTTAATCAAGTCCAGTTTACGTGTCGTTCGCTCTTGAAGAGTACACGAGGGCTTGAGCTGCAGTACAACGTGCTCAAGTGCAATGGATGGACGTTCGATTCGATTCGCAGGGCAGAGGATAGACCAGAGCTACACCACCTACTCTATAACGCGCGTCAAGTTACACTGTCGGGGGACTTCACCCTAGGTCGTCACCCCGATGAGAACGTATTGCACGGCCTCATTCAATTTGGGAAGACCCACCCACTCACTAATATCCGGGTTGAGGTGAACGCAATGCACTTGAACGGAATCCGCTCTCTTAAAGGGTTCGTAGCGTTTGCTTTGTTCATCCGCGAAGCCATCCGGGGGATTCCGCGACCTAGGTGGGCACAAGTTCGTCAGCAAAAGATTGCCTATTGGCTTCGCGGCAAGGCGCCGGGGACTCTGAACATCCCAAATGTTGTGTTCTGTCCACGTCGCCCAGTCGATATCAGAGATGATCAGGATTTCAACCAGCAGCAGACCTACGAGCTGGTGAGGAATAAAGGAAGGAATGCTGAGGTCCTTCGCAGCCACTTCAGAGAAGAAGGTGCCTTGGTGCAGTTATTGGGCTCAGACGCGCCAAAAGATAAGACCGAACTGGCAATTCTCAACGCGAAGACAGGCGCCGATGCCTGCTTTGAGTTACTCAAGCACTGGTACACCAAGGGCATCTAGACCGCAGTAAGTATAACCAACTACTCGATTAGATCAACATACTGACCAAGCAGGTTGCGCGCACTGGACAGACTCCGGGGTACGTATCGAAGGACAAAGGCGGGACCGCAGCCGACCGGACTGATTCCAAGCTGGCTAATTCTGTACTGGAACGGGGAGCGTGGAGTCGCGTAGCAAGTGTGGGAGCAACCTAGAAGTAATTGAGGATCTCCACCATCGTCGGTATACACCAGAATCGTTCTTTCCCGACACAGAGAAACTGACCACGTGCTGGACCCCTGTTCCGACTCCGACTGACCTCATTGCAGCTGCCATTGTCAGTGCCCGAAGACGTTGCAAAGGTAGGTGATTAGAAAAGCTCAATTTGGGGTATGTAATCCTAAGCCAAGCACACCTTGCCAACAGGAACGCGCGCATCGAGTCCTGGCGAGGTTTGAGATCGCGACAACTCTTGCTCGGCGTCGAGCAGCGTAGACGTATTATACATAATAACAGCGTGCGGGAGACAGATGCGTAGAGACGCAGAATACGCAATGCAGTGGCGTGCTAAAGCCGTATCTCGGTGATGCAAAACAAGAGGACGGTGAAGGTGGAAGGAGGTGCGGGTCATGCGATAATCGGCCGTGAAAGCATCTTAATGATGAATGAGGGGGTATCGATCGTTTCAAGAGGAGGATAAAGTGCGGACGGGCTATGGCCACCAGCCTTGTCTCTTGTAGCTTGCGACGACCTCTTCGACGGCTTCTTTTGTGAGCTTCTCGTGGACGTACCTGGAGTGTTTGTTAGTGTTAGTCAGCACCGGATTTCGGAAAGCGCTTACTTGAATCCTGTGTCTTTCATGAATGCACTGCCATCCATGCTGAGGTCTGTGTCTTTCAACAGCTCCTTCTCCATGAAAGGACTCAGCGGACTTGACTGGCTGATACCAGCTGTGTTTTGGAGCTCTGCCCACGGGTCTAGCGTCTCGTCGTTGACTTCATCAACTACGTGGTCCATATTCAGCCTCGCAAATGCTGATATCAATGTGCCGTGGAAGCCGGTCTCGATTTTGAAGACATCGCTAATGATGTTGGCGACAGTTCTTTGTGCTACTGCATGTCAGCTCGTGCTTACAATCCGAATACTGGCGACTTACAGGTATTACCAAGATCCACGATGTTGTAAATTGGCGCTGATGTCTTCTTCGGCTGCTTGACGTACCACTCAGCGCCTGTCCACAGCGCTCGTGCCACATCGTCAATGTGCACAGTGTTTGTCTTCAAGTCCTCTTTCCACAACCATCTCATCTCCTTTCCCTTGCTCTGATACACCCTCGCCATGCACAGCGCTGTGCTGAGGTACTTCCCTGTGTACGGCCCATACGCATTCGCAAGCCTCATGATCATCAGATTGAGCCCTTCAACCTTGGCCAGATCCTCCTCAGCCTTGAGCTTCCACTTCGCCTGGTTGTTCCACGGCTTCAGCTTGTCCGTCTCTTTGCGCGGCGCTGACTCGGGCTTGTACACCATGCCTGTGCTGAGCTCCTGGAAGCACCGAACCTTGCGCTTCGCGGCTTCGCGGCCGACAGCCATAGACAGGGCGTGGGAGCGGAGTTCGTAAACCTTATCATCTTGCGAGAAGCGCGTCTCGCCGCCGCAGTTGAACACAAAGTCGAATTCTTTGCCGCCTTCTCGGTCGAAGATGCGCGCTAGCGAGCCTGTGGCTTGTATCAGTCCACGCTGGTTGTGAGGCGGAGGGGTACGTACGTTCTTGCGAGGCGTCAGCCTGCATGAAGCGCTCCCTCGAACACGCTTCGCGGAATTCGGGCGCGAGCCATGCGAGCTCGGGCAGGTGCTTATCGACAAGGCGAATTTCCGAGGCAAGGTTGTTGTCGTGGATGTATTTTGCGAGGTTTCGTCCAACGTAGCCTGGAACAGGTTTGTTAGCCCTCATGTTGCAGTTGCGTGCGGGGACATTTCGAGCTGCGTGACGTACCCAGGCCGCCTATGATCAGCACCGTTGGCTTTGCTTCTGTCGACATTGTTGCACACACCGAGAGGACTCTGCTTCCAGCGCAAGTGCTCTTCTGGGGGACTGTCGTGTGCTGTGCGTGCTACTGTATGCATGCAGTCTCAAACCTGGGAGATGAGCGGTGGTGATTGATCGCCGCGCTCAGGACTCAGGCCGCGCCGTGACTGCAGTAATAGGTACCGGTGCTTGGGAACTGTCACACCTTTGCGAGGAACAGGACGGGCCGCGACTGCTTTTACAAATTTGACGGAGGAGTCGGCGGAGCAGTAGTCCAAGAGAGGATGCCGCGGCGCAAATGTCATACAGATCCAATTGATCAGCGCGATTCATTGACGTGCAGACCGCTGCAATGGGGCGAGTGCGAGCCCAAAGCCAATACTTAAACCGCGGACACGACAGCTTGGACGGACCAGTTTTAAGTGCATTGTTTGGATTGGGGAGGGAGATACGCTCCCCGCGGACGGTGGAGCTTGTGGCTGATGCCGCATCTCATCACGTTTGCGCCGCAAAAGTGATCTATCGTTTCTTTTTCGCTTGCAGGTGCCGCACACTTCGCCAGATACAGCCAGATACATCACATGTCACGCAGGCTTGACTTTCGTCATGGCGCTGCAGGTACCGGATCTCTGCGAGCCGTCTGTCGCACGGCATCGCGGCAGGTCCAATATTGACTTCTGCGCCTTATGCACAGCGCGAGATGCGGGTGATGAACATTGGAACCGGACGGAAGCCAAGTAGAACGACGGCGCGCTCCCGTAGCCCTGGACCTTCCCTGAAGCCTCCATAGCTGGACTGCTAGGCTGTCGTATGACAGGTGCCCAACCATGAAGCGGGGCTCAGGGGTGACATTTTCTACCACGCTGGCAGGATTGCTGATTCATGGTGTGTATGCTAGGTACGAGTGTTGACACGGGTCGGCCACTTCACTCTAGAGCTCGCCATCTTTCACTGTTGTCGGGGTCTTTTGCGTTGCACAATTCAGCTCGATCAAACAGTTTGGCGCTGGTTCAGGGTTCTGCTGTCGTGCCCCTCATGCACTAGCATCGACCCTGCAATTCCTGCCCTGGCCGCTACACCTGCAGCAGCGTAAACAGTTCTGCGGTGAGGCCAGGAGCAAGACCCAAAAGCGACCTGGAGAAACACACTCGCTGTTCACACTTGCGGGGCGCCCGAAGCTACGGAGCCATGTGGCCAACAGACTCTTGCCTGAATCCTAGGGCATGAGTCGTGGTCGTCAAAGTTTGCACTCTTTCAAACATGGCTTGACGTCTACGGGTCGATATTTCCGCGCACCTGGCCACAAGCTCGCTGTGTTACACATTTTGGTGGATCTGCAATCCGTGGTGCAGCCGGGCGCAGTCTCCGCCTGATGTAGTCCCCAGACATGTCCGTGAGCAGCAGTTCCAGAAGGCTTCCACGGAATAATGTCTGATATTCATTTGTGGAACTGTCGTATACACGCTCAGACCAGACAGGAACGCCGGATTGCCGTATACGCTACGTCTTGCACAGGTGGCGAGGTCGGCGATCACGTAGAAATCGATATGCCACCGAAAGCCTCTCTGACGATCGTAACCAGAGGTGAGGTTTTAAGCAAGCCCGTGCATGCCGCGATGCTGCAAGTGATACTGATCGTCCCGCTGCACGATCGAAAAGTAACCAGAGCAAGCTCGATCGTCGTAAGCGGCATGCAAGACCGTTGCAGTGCTGCAGTATCGGGTTTATTGAAATTCAAATATCTATCATGAAAAGATGGTGTACAGAAAACCTGCACTGTGCAGCGAGGGAGCCTATAGCTCGCTAACTAGAAAAAGTGCAAATATCCGAATGCAGCTTAATACCCATGCAGAAGCTGTACAGATCCGCTGTGCTTTTCGACGTTCTCGCGGCAACCTTCCGAAAATGTCCGAAGAAATGATACCGATCTAGAACTCCCAATCCTCATCCACGGACTTAATAGCCCAATCGAACTTCTCGCGAAGTGTTTTCGAGAAGAAGCGCTCAATAGGCACGTCGAACTTCTTGGAAAAGACCACAGTAAGACGGGGGTCAATGTAGTTCTGGTGTTCGTTAGTATTCAAGCGCCCATACTGGTAGCTGAGGTACACTTACGATCTTGGATGTGCCCAGAGCAACCTCTTTGTTGCCCTCCTTGTCCTCCAACTGAACCTTCATGTTTTCGATACGTTGATTCAGCTTGTCGACGGCTGTCTCGAGCTTGTCAATTGACGGGCCCTTGCCTTCGGCCTCGACCTTGCCAGTCTTGTTTTCTTTTTTGTACTTGGCTGCAAGCTCGTCGGCCTTCTCGAGACGCTCTTGCAGCTCTTTGGGCTTCATCTCCTTCTCTCCCTCTGCGGCAAGCTTCTCGTTGTCCTTTTCGAACTTCTTGGTGATCTTCTGGCGCAACTCCTCTACCTCAGCCGTTTGATGTGCTCTCACCCAGTCCATGTCGAGGTCCTCTGGACGCTCAAAGTACTCGGCGCCCTTCTTTTTCTTGATCTTAGAATCAACGTCAAGCATCATCATCTTTGTTCTCCATAGCTGGTATCGAAGGCCGTTGATCTGCCCTATGTCAGAGATGTCGCGAAATGCGTGTACTTGGTAGACTTACTCTATCTTGCATCTTTTCTACAGAGCCAGCGTGACCAGCAGCGACAGTGCGTTTATGGTTGCAGAGAATGGCGACTTCGCGATTGGCATCGTTGTACGCCTTGACCTTCTCCTGGATGGTACCAGTAGCCTTCATCTCCTTGAGAAGCCTGGCCATAGTGTACGATGCATTGTAGGTACGGAAGACCTTCGCCGTGAGACCTGTCATATAGCTTGTAAGGTGCTTGTTGAGAGCAGACGTCGTGAGTCTGTCGAAGATGTCATCACCGGTTGTCTTCGGCTCCTTCTTGAAGATCTTCAGGTTCTTGAATACCTGTGTATCGACCTCGACTTCATCGTAGAATCGGATACTGTCTTTACCGAGGAAGTCGAAGACAACAGTGTTGGGAGGCTTCAGGGTTACATGCTGGAACTTCAGCGAACAGCAACCGACCGTGTCTGCCTCATCCTCGCCCTTCTCGTTACCCGCACGGAGCGCGAATTGATCGATCAAGTAAATAGCAGTCGCGCGTTGACGGTCGACCATCTTCTCCGACTTGAGCTCTTTCCTGTAGTCCGCACGGATGCGATCAATGTGTTTCTTGAGATCACGGGCCTTTTCGAACTTCTTGAAGTCGCTTTGACCCTTGATGTCCGAGTTAGCAGCTAACATGACGTACTTGTATGCACCGTTGATGTTTTCTTGCCACATAGCGAGCCATGTGCCTTCGTGATCGTGCTTGACTTCCTTCCACTTGTGGCCTGCAGGTGGCGCGGGTACCTCCGCCTTCTCGCCGATGTTGATGGTGATCTGTTCGGGCAACACTCGTTTTTTGACGCGACCAGTCTTTGGATGCTCGCCACGACCACGGAACAGACTCGGCGGTTCGACACGGAAGTTTCCGACCTTTTGCTTGCGTCCATCCCACATGCAGTACATGAAAGGCGTCTCAATCGCGTCTTTCTCTGCTTTGAGAGCCTTCTTCTCGGCAGCCGGGAGGGCCTTCTTCCTCACACGCTCGGCGTCAAAGTGTTCGAAGATGGGCTTGAAGTCGCACTTCTCGAACTTCTTGATCTTGATAGTCTTGCCGTCTTTGTCCTTGCCGTGTCCCCTCTTGTCAAGAACGGCAACAAAATCCTCGAAGAAATTCTTGTTGAAGGTGGGGTTCTCGACGTTATGGGCGGAGTTGAGCATGCTCCCGTAGAAGCCAGCAATCTCCTCGGCCTCTGGGTGCAGAGAAACTGGCACTCCGTCGTATATCAATTTGACGTTCTTTGGCAGAGGCTCGTATTCTGGCGGGAATACAACGCCATTATGCTCCAGAGTGTCCCATTTCTTGGTACCATCACCCTTCGCCTTGTCCTCCCACCAACGATACTCCTCATCTTCCTGATCTGCATCCTGGTCCTGTTGTTGTTCTTCCTCAGTCTTAACCTTCGCCTTGCCCTTCTTTGCTGGAACTGGCGCAGGCTTGGCTTTGGCCTTCTTCGCTGCCGGCTTCTTTGCGAGTGGAACGTCGGAGTCTGACTCTTCCTTCTTAACGCCGTTGGTCTTCTTTGCTGGTGCTTTCTTTTTCGCAAGGGGAATATCGTCTTCGGATTCGCTTTCGGTCTTGGGTTTGCGTTTGGGTGCTGCCTTCTCTTTTGTGCGAATTGCCTTAGCTTCCTTTGCAGCAGCCTTCTCGATCGACTCCTTCTTCTTCACCAGTTTTGTTGTTAGAGGCACATCAGAATCTAGTTCCTCTCCAATTTGATCTGCACTAGCCTTGGGAAGCACTCGGGCTTTGAGTGGAACATCGCTGAGCTCGGAGTCGGAGTCTACCACAGGCTTTGCTTGCTGAGATGTCCTTCGCCGCTTACTCTGCAGGAGAGTTAGCGCATGACCATATCTAAGAGGCCGGTCTTCAACCCACCAGTGGCTTGTCATCGTCATCTTCAGAACCGCTGCGGTCCTTGTAGCTGGCGGTTGGGATACTGCCACGAGACTTGCGCTTTCCGTTCGCCGTGCCGTTGGGCGCATCGACGTCCATCGCGTCTACCGGGCCCATTCGTATCGAGATACCGGGCTCGACATGGCCATTGGCTGGAAGCTGCTTATCCATAGCTTTATCGACAGACTTAGGAATGGTTTCGCTCGAAACTGCTGAGCGGTGAAGGTGGTAAGCACAGTGCGCAAGGACGGTGGGTTTTAGATGTCAATGGCGATGGACAAGGTTTCGAAAGCGCGTTTAGACCGAGCGACGCGTGGGGAATGGTGACAGAATGTGGGAACGAGGCAGGTAAGGCGCGGCGTGCTGGCAAACTCACCTCCGGTGTTCGCCTTCACTAGAGGCGTGTCATCTGAAGAAGACATTGTGCAGGCGGTTCGAACGCGTTGGTGTCGCGGAAACCAAGAGGACAGAACGGTTGAATCAGCTTTGTTCGGCGCGGACGCAGAAGCTCTAGCGGAACCGAATGAACGGGCGCAAGAGATGCGCTGGAGCGGTGGTGCAGCGCGTGCGAAAGTGAAGCAACCGCCCCGCAAGATCGATTTGAGGGCGAGGGAGGCGATGTTGAAGGAGGTGAGAAAACGATTGATGAGTGACGGAAAAGGAATGCTGGGGTTTATGTGAAGCCTCCCTTCAGCACTCGAGGCGACGCACGGGCTCCTCGGCCTTTACTAAAATGATCGCGCAGGAATCTCTGTGACGAAACTCGCCTTACCATATGAGCACCTGACGCGGTGGAAGAGATGTGCGGGACCAACATGTTGGAGAGACGCGCTGCCAGGCAACACAGCTGCATAGCCGGGTTCGCACAGGACAGGCAGCTGCGGTCCATTCATCACAGGCAATGCTCCTTCCACATTCAATGTCACTGTGTCCCAACCGTACTCCGCGAGAACACTCCACCCGTTATCCGGCCGATTGCAGTGCCAAAACAAGGCGACCGCAGGCCCGGTGACGAGTTTCTCAAGGAGCTGCAGCCCGCCGGCGATGGTCGTGGTGCAACGTCCTGCATGTGCCGCAGCGAGTGCTCGGCACGGCACGTGATCTGGAGCGAAAGAACGCATGGACGGCTAGCGCAACAGATTCCGCCCGACATCGTGAAGCTCCAACAGCCAGCAGCTCACCACCATCACCCGGCCGTCGCCATCTCCACTCATCCCAATTCCTCGCCATGATGCTGTCCCGAGCTGCCCGCCCCGCCATGAGGGCCGGCATGGCCGCCGCCGCCCGGTACGCACCCCCGACCGCAGCTTTTCACGCCGCGCCCTGCACTGGCCGCGTCCATTGCATCTTCAATTGCATCAAGTGCTGACTGAATGTTTGCGACCGCAGGCCCGCCACCCTCCCCGCCGCCAATGCCGCCGGCTACGCCACGCTCCGTGAGATTGAGGGCCGTCTCAAGTCGATCCGCAACATCGAGAAGATCACCAACACCATGAAGGTCGTCGCCTCCACCAAGCTCACCCGCGCCCAGAAGGCCATGGCCACCTCGCGCACCTACGGTCAGACCTCCAACGCCGTCTTCGAGAACGCCGAGACCAAGCCCGTCGACAACGGCAACAAGACGCTGTTCGTCGTCTGCTCCTCGGACAAGGGTCTCTGCGGTGGTATCCACTCCGGTCTGTCGAGGAAGATCCGCAAGATGCTCCTTGACGCCCCTAACGCCGACATTGCCGTCATTGGCGAGAAGTGCAAGGCCCAGCTGTCCCGTTCCAACGGCAAGAACTTTGTTCTCAGCTTCGCTGGTGCCGGAAAGGACATCCCCACCTTCGCCGACGCCTCCGCCATCGCCGACCAGATCTCGCTCCTCCCCACCGAGTACGCCTCCGTCCAGATTGTCTACAACAGCTTCATCAACGCCGGTTCCTACGAGGCTACCATCCAGGAGGCCTACTCCGAGGAGGCCATCACCCAGTCCGGTATGTGATGTGGAAAGCTTGTTTGGCGACCTGTGCTGATGATTGTAGCCAACTACTCTGCTTTCGAGATCGAGGACGAGGCTCTCCCCAACCTCCGCGAGTACGCTCTTGCCAACTCGCTCTACTGGGTACGTACGTTGTGTAGGCAGCGCAACGCACACTAACAGCATACAGGCACTTGCTGAGGGCCACGCTTGCGAGCAGTCCGCGCGCCAGAACGCCATGGACAACGCCTCCAAGAACGCCGGCGACATGATCAACAAGTTCCAGATTCTGTACAACCGTACCCGTCAAGCCGTTATTACCAACGAACTTGTCGAGATTATTACTGGTGCTGCTGCTTCCGAGAGCTAGACGCTGTAAACGGTAAACTAGATATCCCGAACATTTGGCTCAGTTGCGCCGTGTAGAATAAGTACTGTTCATAGCTCATTTGTCACCTGCTAAGCAACTGCAAGCCCGTTTTCAAATCACTGTGTTATGATCAAGTCTGTACTACTACAGTGCGTGAGGATGTGTCCGCATTCGGACCCTACAATACATACTGCAACCAGAGTCCCAGACACGTCCGGTCTGCCTCTTGGCACTTTTGAAAGATCGAGATCATTTTCGCTGTAGCCAACGAGCCGCAAGAGTACGACTGAACACCTCCAATCAAGCGTCACATTCCAATGAGAAAGCGCCTTCTTGCATCATGCTGCAGGCTGATCAGACGTGACTAGGTGCACTACTTACGCTGTCTATTTCTCGCTGCGCAGTCTCCCTGCATCTCCCAGACACCCGTCTCGCACCTGCAACACCTCAATGATATCGAGTCAGACCAGCGCCGCAACACCGGCAATGTGACCTGAAAACCCAGGCACCTAATGCAGGCCAGGCACCCTCCCAGCCCCGCCAGCCGGGCCATCAACTACTCCAAACGGGCCCTGCCCCCATCCCGCCCAAGAGCCGTTGAAACCGGCCATCACCAAAAAAATAAATAGTGTGTCTACAGCCGTGGATAAAACAGAGCGCGGCCAATCGCAGCGCCGCATGCACGCCCGTTTCGGCGCTGGTGCCTCGCCTGAACGGCGGTTCATTGGCCGCTGAAACGTGGTGCCGGCGTTGAAACAATCGCGGGAACGCGTCTGAGCAGGGCAGGAACCATGAGTGCTATAACAAGGGCGAGGTTTTCGGGTTTTGCGAATGTGAAGGCTCTGAGTGAATTGTTTGTGTTCAAGACCCTGCAGTGAACAAGCAAGTAGGTTCTTGTGTTGTCGTTTGTGGTTGTCGTCATTCTGGGTTCGCGATCGTCGACGTAAGTGTGCATCTGGGACACCAGAGCTAGGCTAGGGATTACTTCATTACGTCCAGCCTTCGCAATTGAGGGAGCTGGGCTCTAGTTTGTGCTGGGACACTGGGTTCAAGGTCTTGACGATTTTTGTTTTTTATCGGCTGGGCCTCGACTTTACCACTATCTGCCTTCACGGCTACCAAACGAGCTCTCGACGACCCAACGACATACGATATACGACACACGACATCATGGACGAGGCACGGTACCGCGAGCTCCAGACGAAAATGGCAGCACTGAAGAACCTCTTCGCGAGCCGGCACTACTCGCAATGCGCCAAATTCGGCGAACTGCTGCTGAGCGAGATGCACGACCAAGTACATTCCCTCCCCTCGCACCCCAACCCCACGCACAGCTAACAGCAAACGCAGACGCACCCCCTCCACCTCGCGCAACTCAACTTCTACACCGCCCTATCCCACGACACCCTCGCCCGCGAAGCCTCGCACGCACACCGCTGGCGCGCCCTCAGCCTCGCAGAAGCGCACTACAGCACCGCGCTGCTCGCCCTGTCGTCCCCAGCACTGTGCTCGCCCACGTCCCCGCAGTCCTCGATGTCGGACTTCCCGTCCCCGCGCCACCGCCGCGGAAGCTCCGTGTCGTCGTTCCAGAGCAGCGCGTCCAGCGCCACCTCGCTGTGCAGCGAGGACTCCGCGACGTCCCCGCGCTACCCCGAGCAGCACGGTGTCGCGACCCCGAGGCCCATGACGCCGCAGCAGTTCTACGCGACTGCGAATACGGCGGCGTTTGCGCGTATGCTGGATGCGCACCTGGCAGATGTGAGGGCGCAGAAGCGCAGTGCGGGCGCGCCGACGGTGCGGTTCCAGGCTGTGCCGGCGTCGCCGACGTCGCCGACGTCGCCGCGTGCGAGCATGAAGGCGGCAAGTAGGGAGGTGGATTTAGAGAGTGCGCGCGAGGCGGTGCGCGAGAGACGGCGGAACGTGCGGTTTCGGCCGCGGTTTGATCCAACGGGGGTGCAGAAGCTGTGTTGCGAGGCGCTGGCGGAGCTGGGTGGGTGAGGTGCGCTGACACTGTTTGTGTGTTTGGTTGCTGTATGTTGCACGCTGGGCGTATGTTTGGCTGCTGACGACGTTAATTTCTTCTGTGTGTATTAGTATACGTAATGTTTTGCACGGGGGACGAGGATTGCTGCGCTGCACCGCGGACGGCGAGATGTCGAATTCGAAGCACGCCGTCTATCTCAAGGACACCCATGATATCGTGACTTTTCCAGCCTGCTACCCAAAAACGCCTTGCAATGCTAACCACCCTCCGGCTATTTCGCTCTCTATTTCATCATCTCGTCCAGCCCTCGTTTTATCCGCTGTGCCTTGGTGCGCAGCTCCTTGACGCTCTCCAGGAACAGCTCGTCGCTCGCAATCTGGCCCGTGCTCTCGACGCGGAAGATGAAGTGGTCGCGCACGCGACCCAGCTTGACTTTGTCCTTGAACTCCGGGTGGCGCAGACACTCCCTGCTGACGGTGTCGTTCATGGGCTGGTCGACGACGGCGCGATTCTCGCCCTCGTGGGGGGCCAGCGCAGGGTCGGCGGCGGCGTCGGCGGCAGAGATCTTGTCGAGGCGGATCACGCCCTTGGGGAAGCAGCGGGCGAATTTCTTGGCGTCGGCGCCGACGATGGGCGACGTGATGTCGATGGTGGGCATGAGGCGGTAGCTGGCGGTCGCGACGGGCGAGTACTTGGCGTGGTCCTGGCCGATGCCCTTCATGGCGTGCATGGTCAGGGTGATTCTCTGGCCCGGGCGCATCTTGACGATCAGGATATCGGGGTTGGTGGCGCGGATGGGCTGGGCGTCGTCGAACATTTCGGCCTGCTTGCCCAGCGGGGCCCACACGAGGTCCTTTGCGTAGACCGAGTGGTTCGTGTACAGCTTGTCGGGGTCCGTCTCGCCGGCGACGGCGCGCTGCAGGCCGCCCTCCTGCCAGGAGCACTCGACGTCCAGGTGCAGAATGGCGCAGTTGAAGTCGGACGGGCCGCCGGAGCCGTCGTCGTCGTCGGTCGGCTTGACGTACCACTTCATCCACTCCAGGCCCTTGGGGTCGCCGCAGAGCGGGATCAGGCCCAGGCGGTGGGCGAGCACCTCGTCCTGGATGATGGACGTGTTCTGGTAGATGAAGACGTCCTCGATGGCGAGCGTGGGCAGCTCGGACAGCATGATGCGGCGGAAGGCATTGGCGACGGACGTGTCGACGCCGGTCAGCGAGAAGGACGAGTCGTAGGGCGTTGGGCGCGCGTGGAACTGGACATTGAAGTGCTGGTGCGGTTAGCAGCGGCGGACAGGCCAGCGGGGGCAGCGTGCCTGCTTGAAGTAGTCGAGGTCCCAGTCGTGGTTCTCGCCAGGCCAGTGGCCAGGGAAGTCGGTTGACTGCTGGTTCTGCACGATCTCGGCGCCGACTTGCAGCTTCTGCGCGCGCTGTTAGCAGTCATAGACTTCGAACTTGGAGTGACGGGCGCACCTTGCGCTCGGCCAGCACGGCGGAGCTTGGGAGCGCCATGGTGTGTCTGCGCGTCGTGGTGCGGGCGGGCAACTTTTTTTTGATACCATGTCGGCGGCCAGCCGCCAAGCGCCGACGCGCGGGCCAATGAAGACGACGGCAAGTCCATGACATGGTGATTTCGGGCGAGCTTCACCACCGCCACTCTCCACTCCACACGCCCATTGAGGCTTCACACGGGCACCGCCAGCGAGTCTCACCATGCCCGTCTCCATCGCGCGTCTGGCCGGCCACGCCGCGAAGCGCGCCCTCGCCCGCCCCCAGCTCCGCACCGCCCTCGCTCCGCGCGCCATTGCCCGCCCACTATCAACCTCGCTCCCCCGTCGCTATGCTGAGGTTGCCGACAGCCAGCGCATGCGCATCGTGCCGACCGCCGAGGACTTCAGCCCCATTGAGCCCGAGAGCCAGGAGCTCGACGAGGACGAGACCCACAGCGCCCGCAAGATCCGCCACTACACCGTCAACTTCGGCCCCCAGCACCCTGCCGCCCACGGCGTGCTGCGTCTGATTCTCGAGCTCAATGGCGAGGAGATTGTGCGTGCCGACCCGCACGTCGGCCTGCTGCACCGCGGCACCGAGAAGCTGATCGAGTACCGCACATACCTGCAGGCCCTGCCGTACTTCGACCGCCTCGACTACGTCTCCATGATGACCAACGAGCAGTGCTTCTCGCTCGCCGTCGAGAAGCTGCTGAACGTTGACATCCCCATCCGCGCCAAGTACATCCGCACCCTGTTCGGCGAGATTACCAGGATCCTGAACCATCTCATGTCTGTCCTGTCCCACGCCATGGACGTCGGTGCCCTGACGCCTTTCCTGTGGGGTTTCGAGGAGCGTGAGAAGCTCATGGTACGATCAGTTGATGATTTGCAAGATCCACGTAACTAACAGCTGCAGGAATTCTACGAGCGTGTCTCGGGCGCCCGTCTCCACGCCGCCTACGTCCGCCCTGGCGGTGTGTCGCAGGACCTCCCCATTGGCCTGCTCGATGACATTTACCAGTGGGCGACGCAGTTCGGCGACCGCATCGACGAGACCGAGGAGATGCTGACAGACAACCGCATCTGGATCGGCCGCACCAAGGGCGTCGGCATTGTGTCCGCCGCCGACGCCATCAACTACTCTTTCTCAGGTGTCATGCTGCGTGGCTCCGGCGTGCCCTGGGACATCCGCAAGTCGCAGCCCTACGATGCCTACGACCGCGTCGAGTTTGACGTCCCCGTCGGCGTCAACGGCGACTGCTACGACCGCTACCTGGTCCGCATGGAGGAGTTCCGCCAGTCGCTGCGCATCATCCACCAGTGCCTCAACGACATGCCCGCCGGCCCCGTCAAGGTCGAGGACTACAAGATCGCCCCGCCTCCCCGCGCCGCCATGAAGGAGAACATGGAGGCCCTCATCCACCACTTCCTGCTCTTCAGCAAGGGCTACACCGTGCCCCCGGGCGAGACCTACTCCGCCATCGAGGCCCCCAAGGGCGAAATGGGCGTCTTCCTCGTCTCCGACGGCAGCGAGAGGCCCTACAGGTGCAAGATCCGCGCCCCCGGCTTCGCGCATCTGGCGTGCATGGACCAGATTTCGCGCGGGCACTTGCTGGCCGACGCCGTTGCCATAATTGGGACAATGGATTTGGTACGTAACACTCTCACTCCTTCACACTCACACAACTTCACACAACTTCACTTCACCACATTCATTACATTAATTGATTCGGCGCTCAATCGGCTCGAGTTGGGCGCTAATTTCATCGATCAATTTCGGTGCTCAACTCCAAGTCCGCCACAACCCCCTTCACACACCACCCACACTCCCAACCACCATGCACAGCACTCTCTCCTTCACCAAACACCACGCACAGCGCGCTAACAAGCCCAAAGGTATTCGGCGAGGTCGATCGTTAGGGCGTTATGTTTCGTGTTCTGATCTAAAGCTGTGGGCGTGAAATATGGTGGTTGTGAAAGATAGTTGTGGAAGATGGTCGTGGAAGACGATTGTGAGAAGAAGTCACATTTTAAGCGAGGACAGACAGAATGTAGAAGGCGGGGCCAAGTGCCGCGCAGACTGTACATATGTACCCGTACTTTTCCGTTTGAATGTTAAGTCATGAGTTCGCATAGCTGTGTTGTGCTGGGTTGCGTGCCGGGGTCTCCAGTGGTATCACAACACATGGCAGCCTTGCGACGGAGGCATCTAGTCGCACTGCAGGAGCTTGCTTACGGTATTGGACAGCGGTTGGAGAGTACAAGGAGACGGGGGTTGGGAGGGTGAGCGCAGGTGCTGTTGTTCGCGGGCGACGAGCGAGAGAGATACCCGCGATGAGATACCCCTACACACCCTTGACTCCACGAAGTGCGACGACTCTAACTGCAATCATCCTGCCAATGCACTCAGTCCATTCAGCAGCAGTCCACATGTGATAGCGGGACAGACATCGCCTCACTCCTCCGCGTGAAACAAAGCAGTACTCCTTTAGCAGTTGACCAGAGGCACACCACAACCCGCATTCTATAGCCACTTATTCCCATGACGAAGCGAGCGATGCCTGCCCACCAGATACTCAGCCGCAGATTATCCGTCACCGCCGCATATGTCCCTATCCAGGCCGGACATCGAAAACCCTTCGCTGGCGCGGCTGATGTCTTGCTTTTTCCGCGCACGCTTCGATCTGGTAGTGACAGGCGGCGCTGCCGCGTCGTCTGAATCGACGGTGTCGGAGAGAGAGGGCGATGAAGGCTGGACGGCACGGTTCGCCTGGTGCTGATCGCGGTGGGGGGAAGTGTTGAATGTTCTCTGGCGGGATGGACGGCGGGCTGGTGTGTGGGTGTTTCACTGCACGTCAGCGAGGTAGGGAGAATGTGAGCAACGTCTGTAGAATGCTTTGTTGTCTACGATATGGGTGACACTTGAGTAGATGTTAGCTTTAGGTGTTGTAGTAGCTACAAGTTCTGTGTTGAAATTGGTCATCTCAAAAGGCGATTGTCCATGGTTTGTCCTGAGAAGTGAGAGGGTGCCTCTCACGTTGCAGGATGTACGGCGGATGACTGTGTAAGGATGTAAGCCGAGTATTCCACCATGCAACAGCCAAGTAGGGAAAACACTGGAAAACTCCATGCAATGTTATGTTACCTACACCGGGGACAACACTTAAGAAGGAATTTGGTTTCAATCATTATAATAGCTACAGTCCTTCCAACAACTCTTGTCCAGTACCCTTCCTACAAACTTCACACCCGTCACTGGGTTCCTTGTCCTTTGGCTTGAAACCTGGAGGATGACTAACCGTCCAAACCAAGTCCTTGGCGGTCTCTTTGGAGGCGGCAATGGCATTGTCGAAAGACCCTGGGACTTCGGTGACATTCGGAGCGTTGTTGAGAGTCTGACACAGTTCGAGCATCTCCTTGTTTGTGAAACGAGCGGTCTGGGATAGCTCTTTGATCGGGAAGCCAGAGATGTGGAATCGTGCCAGAGGAGAAGTGGATAGCTGGGCCTGGAACGGGTTCTCGAGCTGTGGTCCGAAAGGGTTGGGTCCCAGCTGGTTCCAACACCCCACCACGAAGCGTCGTGCGTCCCAATAGTGAGAGAAGAATCCCATTAGGTCTAGGTCAGTACCGCGACCAGCCTCCTCGATGCAGACAGCGTTTGCTTGTCGAATCAACTGAAATCGACTTGAGGCGGCAATAGAAGCAGTGCAGCACACTACGGGAGCGCGTTCCATGACTGAGCGGAAGGCGACATTGAAAGCTTGTGAAACCTCTTTCTTGGCTTCGGCGGACATCTTGCCCTCTGTACGAAGGTCTCGAGCGGCGTGCACGACAGGGAGGAGCTGGGTTGCGATGTCATCGCGCTCGGTCTCAGTCCAAGTGTTGGTGACCTCACTTGTCCAAGTCTTGATGACTCTAAAATGTTTGTGGAAGGAAAGCGTGCCGGCTGAAGTATGGCCCAAGCGGCGGAACCCTGAGCTTTCTGGAAGCGCCGATCCGTGATGCCGTCGGAGGTCGTCTGGTAATGACGGAGATAGTGGTTGAGGAGATGTTCTACTGTGGCACCCTTGAAGAGGTCATTCCGCTTGATGAATTTCGGGTCCTTCTTCGGTGCATCGACGTTAAAGGTGAGGTCGAATTCCGGATCCAACATGGCAAGAAGAGCCTTTTGCTCGGTTTGGATTGAGTGGCAGCGAACGAACAGCTTCATGGGAACTCCCATCAGTTCGCAGACCTTGGTCAGGATCTTGACGAATTGGTGATAACTGTAGTCCACGGTCTCGTTCTGGAAGCATGCATGCGTGATGCGGCCTTCCTTGTACTCGTCTGGCTCTTCATCGTCGGAATCCATGGGAGGAGTATCAGCCGCAACAGGCTCAGCAGCAATAGGCTCAACAGCTCTACCCTTGCCTTTGTCGAGACGCGGAGGGAGATGCTCTGGGAGCGTTGGGTACGAGAGAAAGATCTTGGAACACGTCAGCCATCTCGTGCTGGAGCATGTCACGGATAGCGGGTTCGACGAATTGAGTAGTTCGGGAAGAATTGAAGCATACTTGTCGCTGTCCTCCTCAAGTACGTCGTAGTAGAGTGACTTGTTGGAGTTTCCCTCATGGTTCTTGCACAGGAAGAGGTCGCGAAGTTCCTTGAGTAGCTCCTCTTTGCCAGCGTACTTTGCCACCTCGTTGTGTCGAACCGTCATCTTGTAAGGGCATTTGTCCAGCTTGCACTACATGTCGTCGTTGTCCTTGAACACAGTGATTTTCAGGGTGGTGTTTTCTCGAGCCCATGTCTGAAGAGCTCCAGTCGTCATGTCATTCAGGTCGGTAGGAGTCAACGTGGTATGCGGCTTGTCGTCGAACAAACCTTCCTCTTTGCTGAAAGGGCGATGGACAATGATGCACACTTGTCCGATAGCGGTAGCAATGCCAGGCGCGACAACTTTGCCCCTCCACAAATGTGGGGATGCTACTGAATCCTTGTAGTGGTAGAAGTCGACAGTGACCGGGTCGCCGACAGTAAGGCGCGGCACTTCGGGTTGAGGATCCTCCCCATGAAACTGTAAGCAGAGAGCGAGAAGGATGCCGTTGTCTAGTTTCGAGTGTGGGATAGGCTGCGCTGATGCCCTGCCACAGTGGGTCTGTTTGCGCATGCCGAAGGGTTGTTCGATATTCGTACCGACACCGGCGTGAACAGCGAGCTCTTCCCAGTTCTTGAAGCTGTTCTCGGGTAAGACATTAAACTTGTCTAGTCTATTGGTTGGCTTGATGCCCTTGTTGTTGATGTACGGATTCATCTTGTCGACATAGAAGGCGGAGTGTGGGTTGTAACAGCTGAGTTCGACAAAATGATTCATCGCAGATTCCGTGCGCAGGCCAACATCAGAACCGCGAACCAACACAAAGACCGTAGGGGCATCTCGCATGACAATGCGCAAGTTCCCGTGCGATGGTGAAGCTTTGGGACGAGGTGTGAACAAGTTGCTCGTTGTCGCGAAGCTTCTCGGCGAGGACTTCGACCGAGGCGAGTAAAATGTGCTCAGCCGCAGAAATCGACAAGCTGCACTTCGAGCATGATTGACGACTTTGTTGATCTTGAACGTTCAAGAAGGGTGCGCTTGTGAATTGGGTAGATAAACATTATCGGTCATGCTCACACCGGGATCATTGATCTGCAGCGAGGTAATCTCCGAGAGAGATTCCAGGCCTGGAACTTCGAAGGATGCAATGAAAGCGATGGCAACATTCTGAGTGCTCTCGTGGAATGTTGGCCGCTGGGCAGTGAACTTCACCCTCAGGCTCACCCTCGGGTTGATTCTTGCGGTGTTCTTCGGTCTGAGCCTTGAACTTGTCAGCCTCTGCTTTGGCTTCCTGCTGTACTTCAAGCAAAAGTCAGCACTTTCTCGTTGATTATACTTGTAGAAAGGCAGAGGGAGTAGCTACCATGTCTTGGTGCTTGCCATGCTTTGAAGCGGCACCATCATCGCGACCAGTTCGAAAAAAATTCGCAAGCCGAAAATATCCAAAGACACCTAAAGCCGCCCTATCTCAGCTCCGAAGCGGAGAAGGCAGACCTAGTGCTAGCTTGGATCATCTTTCTCCAGCAAGACATCATCAGAGAGCGTCTCTGGGGACCAGACCGCCACGTGATGGTTAATCGCAATGAACTCGGTGTGAGCGAGCTTTGAGGCTTGACCAACGTCGATGCCGAGCTGGTTAAAGCAGGGCTTGTTGAGGTGGGGTGATTGTGCAGCAAGAGCACGAGTTTTGCAACTCTCGAGAGGTGGAGGTAAGGTGCAGAGTCTGTCGAAAGCTTGCGAAAGTGAGAGGTGTACTTAACGGGGCGCCAAGCGTTTCTATTGAGTCACCGTCGCGGATCGAAGGCGGTCGAAGCGGAAAGTGAAGGTGAAGGTGAAGAAGGAAAGTTGCCAACGGCTACATGAGGGGAAGATACTGGGTATCTCTTGTTGCCCGTACTGCGCTTTCGACATGCTCGTCCTTGCAGTGTATCGGTCTTTGCGTTCTGATTATCGAGGCCGTTCTTTTCGCAATAGTTGTCTATGCCTTTGTTCTCCGGCTTCCGCTTCTTGGACGATGTTGAAGCCTTGCACGTCGAATGAGTTGACTTGTGCATCTGGATTGATCAAACGTGTAGCACACATCAACCCTGCACCGAGTCTGATGCAACAGCTTTCACCGATGAGATGAGAAATGCTTGGCCGGACGCCGCACTCCAGGTCTGGCATGACTAAGTGCTGTGTCAGGGTGTGAAGCTGGCGCAAATCACAAGTGACTACAAGCACCTACGGCCTTTTCTTCGCGAGGGGCCGCGGGACTGAGCAGCGACTCGCCGGTGTCGACCTCCATGAGGAAGTCTTCGGCGCCACCCAACGATGTGTTCCACCCGACGTCAAACAGTGAGCAGTGCAGATATCCTGGCCATGCAGATATCTGCGTACGATCAGGGTCCCACGTTCTGGGGCAGTGCTTCGCGGTGTCGGGGTGAGCGGACAGACTAGGGGATGGGCCGCACGCTCTTTCTGAGTACGAAACAGAGCGCGTTCATCCAGCTATGTTGCATCAGTCACCTTTCTATTTCACCTAGCATATAGCGCCATGGGGTCCACTTTTGCTATGGTGCGTATCCTGAATAGGCTTAGCCCCGCCGCGCCTCGTAGCTACATAACCAGGCTGGCTCCCATCACCTTGAAGGCAGCTGCCTTTGATCCGACAAGGTGCCCCGGCAGCTCACGTCAAGTCTGGTACCATTGCGTTCAAGCCATATCGCCCACATTGCGGCTCTAAACACACCCACACCTTCATCCAACAACCTCCGACGTCTGTCAACTTTGCATCGCGTTCTTGTTCAAGCTCTATGCTCCATATGCATCCTCGCGACGGAAGTTCCTCTACGGTAAGTATCCTTGCGACAACACTTCGTACATCAGTCTAATGTGTCAGTGGAACAGTCCCATTGCGGCCGCTGCAATATCCATGCTTAGGCATGCAAGCCCGCAATGACTCTCTCTCTCTCTCGTCGTGGAAGCACAACTGCGGGGAGACATTCCTGCGAGAGTAGAAGCATGGGAGAGGCGAGATGGTACTCGTCCAACCATCCGCAACTCCCTACGACCTACATCGAAGGACCCTGTTTTCTCGCAGCGCGGCCACGACCGACAATCTTTCGCGCCTCCATGCGAGCGCTATTCGCCCACACAGCGGCTTTAAAATCTTACCCCACCATAACCCAAGAACAACCTGTACCATCCAACCATACGCAGCTCCCTACGACCTACTTCGTAGCACTGTCTGCTTGCAACACTGCCACGACTGACAATGTTTCGCGCCTCCATGCGAGCGCTCATCGCCCACACTGCGACTCTAAACACATCCTACACCTTTATCTAACAATCTCCGACGGTCCGTCAACTTTGCATCGCGTTCCCGTACGTGCAGCTTCATAGCTGAGTAGGTACCCGAGCTTTGCAAAAAATGTTGTACCGACTTTAAGAAACTCATCTAAAAGTCGCGCGACTGTTCACCCCCATTATCCATGCCGCCCAAGAAACAGAACATCGGGAAGCGCACCCCGAAAGGTCTGGGTGTCGGCGCCGCGAACTTCGCACCACCTCGCCCCGTCGCACCGGCCGGTCTGGTTCTGCGCTCCTAGAGTCCGCTGTGCAGCACGAGGAAGGTGTCATGTCGGGGTCTAGTCTTACTCTGGCGCATCCTTGCAGGCCCGGTCTCTCTCGACTGACAATTGCAAGCTTGAATGGGCCCTTCCTAGGGTCTATCCTTGATTTTGCAGTCTCATTATCGAGCAGGCTGGCTATCTGCGGCAACAACACTCGCAGCGTGCTCCTTATGCACCTGTCAAGACCGTCAACTACACAGAACATTATCACAAGCTCAACATCTGTCATAAGCTTGCTGAAGATGATCCACTGCGCATCTTGAGACAACAGCGTCTGCCATGTCCTTTCCTGCCCTCTCCAGCGTCCTGAAGTATGGCAGCACGTGCTTGCTCAGCTGCAGCCGTTTGACGATAACCTGGTACACCAGTCCGTGCAGCACTGCCACAGCCGTATTACGCCTTTCGTCCTCGGCGCTGCAGAAGAAGAACAACAGCTTTGCAGCTTTCGTGCGTTTGTGTGAGCAGGCGGGAGGGTGTTGCCTGTCGTCTCAAACGCAATGACGCCAACCTCACTGGTCGCTCTTTCCCGCTGCCTCACCCCCACTGCTCAATTACCTACACTTTTCTCTCGCTCTCTGCTGTCACCCTTTGTCTCTCACCCCGCCACTCATCGTGGAACCGGCTGCAGTCTAGACCCCGACCCATCATCTGAGACTTGTCGACTGGCCTGTTCTACCCACAAACGCGATATCCCGACTACAGGTTTTCAAGACATCACAGTCTCCGCCTCGACGCCACGATCCAGACGCTACTCGACAATGGCAAGATAACACGAGATCCGTTTCGAGAGAAACAATGGCTTACCTGCGAGATTGTCAAGAAGCTCGTCACAACCGTTCCGGTGGACGCTGTCAATGGTGGCACAAAATCATGGGACGGCACTCTGGCTGGAACCTTCGCTCTTGTACTACAGTCGGCGTTATGCTCTAGAGCTGGCGACTTCATGAGGTCCGCGCAGTGACCTTATCGCCGCTGTTGACGATAATGCCTTCCTCAAGCTGAAGAGGTTGACCAAACTTCCCTGAAGGAAACACCACAAGTGAGTCGTTCTTACCATCGTGGTTGCAGTGACTAATCCATCGTAGACATGATCACAGCAAAGCTACTCATGGGTTGCTTCAGCTTGACGACAGTGACAGCGCCATCGATCCAACAAAGCTATGTGTCGCCCTCACGCTACGAACTTGACTGGTCGACTAGACTAACTGGCCGGGTTTCATCAACGCTGTTCTCAGTCGACCAAGCAAGCGTCTCACCTGGACGAGGCCGACCTCACCGGCTTGCTACGCCCTGAAACAGAATCAGCAACTCATCTTTGCGGAATCCGTCCCTGTTGATCAGCAGAACCGCTTCCTTTGTCGGGATGCTGTTCGGTGTCGTGGAGAGTGCGGGGTGATTGTCGGGAAGGGCTTTTGATACTGTGGAAGGGGTTGTCTGGACTTGTGTGTTTCGTTGATGTCTGACTCTGGTCATTACTGTGGTGGAGGCGCGTCCGGATTGGCAGCGTCGAGAGGAACAATGGTGGCCTGGCGGAACAGTTGACTTCACGCTTGTTACAGGAAAGCGCGGTGGTCAAGGTACATCAGGTCTAGCCTCCCGCTTGTCAACCGTTACACCTTCACCCCTCTCTACACAAACAACCATCAATCCACCTATCGCGTTCAACAGTGCATTTAGCCTCCTCAATGCGAGTGTCATTCACCCAAGAACGCCGTTAGATATTGCGTGCTCGCGCACAAGATGCCACCCCTCGGTCATCCCGTCCCGTGTTCGATCCCAGAGCCATAATTCGCTCATCGGGCAGCGCGAGGATCTACCCCACCTCGCCCATCGCACTGCCATCGCACCGACTCGGAGCTCTTCGGTGGTGCAGCAGCCTCACGATAGGGCGCGCGAGTCGCAATGGCGTCCCGCGTTGGCGATAAGAAAGGCTCGGTTGGGCGTCAGGCTCGTACAATGCGCAGCGGGGGGGTGTGGCGCAGCACGGCAGAAGTGGTCGCAACGGGTGTTGGTGTTGAGTCTTGCCGAAGCCGTCGTGAGCCAGTGCCAGATTGGTATGCTCCGGGGCGTCTAGAGCTATCTGTGGCGCAGGCGACTATGACGCTCAGCTTGACAGGGGTCGTAAGATGTGATCTTGCTCCACCAACTGCGGGGTCTCATGCATTGCGAGTCTTTTGGGCGGCTTCTGGTCCCTGTTTTTGATGTGGCTTGCCAGGCGCGAGAGAGGGGGGTACATAGTATAAGAAGGGGTGAGGTTCGGTGGGTCGAATGTCGACAAAACTCCAATCCCTTGATCCCAGCACACCAACACTTCCAAGTATCATTTTTACTTGACATTCAAGTCCAATATGTCTTACAACAACGACCGTGATAACTCCTACGGCGAGGACCGCAGCTCAGGCTACGGTAATCGCGACCGCGACGACGACAACTCGTCAAGCCGCAATGATAACTCGTACTCCAACAAGCAATCTGGGAGCTACGGAGATGACGACAATTCGTCCTCCAACAACAAGTCCAGCTACGGCAACAATGACAGCACATACTCCAGCGGTGTAGGCCGCAGCAACGATGACAATGACTCGTATGGCCGCCAGAGGAAGGAGTCCGGCTTCGGCGTCGACAACAACGACACCCTGGATTCGAGCGACAACAAGAGGTCGGGATACGGTGACAGTGCCGAAAAGCTGAAGCAGTTCGGCAGCCATGATGATGGCGACTCGTATGGATCCAGCAAGAAATCTGGGTATGGCAATGATTCGAATGAGGACTCTTATGGCTCGAAGAAGTCGAGCTACGGAAGCAATGATAACGAGGATTCATATGGCTCCAAGAAGTCAAGCTCCAACGACGATGAGGATTCCTATGGCTCCAAGAAATCCAGCTACGGAAGCAACGACAATGAGGACTCGTACGGCTCGAAGAAGTCGAGCTACGGAAGCAACGACAACGAGGACTCCTATGGATCCAAGAAATCGAGCTACGGCAATGACTCGACCGAAGATTCTTACGGATCCAAAAAGTCGAGTTACGGCAGCAACGACAACGAGGACTCATACGGCTCCAAGAAGTCCAGCTCCAACGACAACGATGACTCGTACGGCTCAAAGAAGTCGAGCTACGGAAGCAACGATAACGAAGACTCGTATGGCTCAAAGAAATCCAGCTATGGTAACAATGACAACGAGGATTCATATGGTTCCAAGAAGTCCAGCTATGGAAGCAACGACAACGACAACGAGGATTCCTACGGCTCCAAAAAGTCGAGCTACGGCAGCAACGACAACGAGAACTCATACGGCTCCAGCAGGAACGACCGCGAGGAGTCCAACTACGGCAGCTCGAGGCGCGACAACGACTACTAGAGGCTGTTGACTATTAGCATCGGAGGCTGTGAATGTGTGTAGGACGAGTGTTCAAGGGACATGGCGAGTATATAGCTGCCGTTTTGACTGAATATCAGGATATGCCATTCTCTGTTGTAATGCCAATACAGCCATGATTAAATCCGCTTTCGATTCGTGGCTTAATGTTATCAGTGTGTTTCCTTTGGGTCGGCCTGTGATGTTAGTATGATCAGATGCGCTACGTACAATGCCTTCTGTTCGTTCACGTCAACCCTACGATCCCTGTCTTACTACGGCACTATCATTGCGGTCTTATCAACTTCTGCTCACTGTAGATTCTCTACTATCCTGCCAGCATATTGTTGGCTAGCTCGTTGCCTGCTGTAGCAGTTGACACTTGCGCTTCGGGCACGAAGAAGCGGGAGGTCGGCGTACATTTCCCAGCTTTGCGCGGTACCAATCTTTGTTCGTTAGCTTTCTTTTAGGATTAGTGACTCGAGCACCCTGATGGCCCGCATCGTCCCACCGCCTCTTCCAGAAGGTTGGTGGGTATTTTTGGGTGTTTCTGTGGGATTCGCTTGACTGAAAAGTTCTGCTGTCGCTCTTTCGACCGAACCGTCAACCATGTGGTGGTTAGGAGGAAGACAAATCCATAAAGTCCATAGAATGAGGTGGCAACTTTCCCGATATTAGGTTTTCTGGCTCAGGGGAGTGACATTTGACTGCAGTCCGCAGAGAAGCCGAACAAATACGCTTACGATGGCAATGAGTTTGCGTGATCGAATCTGGCAGGCAACTGCTTGTAACGTGCTGAATCTCGATTCGGGCTGGCACTTTACGAGACACCTTACCGCAAGTCTGATCTTTCCGGATACACGGCCGAGGAAGCAGAATCTTTGACGATGATCTGGGAAATGGTTCCAGTTCAAATGTCGGACTGCAGTGCTCGGACGGGGCGTCTGCTGCTCTGGCAAAAGTCCGCGTGACACGTGTGGATTCGACCTGGAAGTCACTACGAGACTTGTGATGGGTTATGTCATGTAGAGACCCGTGCCTCTATGAAACGCGCTCGTAGCGCAATGTTGCAAGTTGATCAGCCGCAAAGAGGAATTCGTACGACGTTTAGACGTTTGACGTTTGGCGGCACGGTGAAGGCCCGCAAATGGCAAAGCAAACACGTTGGTCGTTCGCAGATGTCGTTCGCGGATACGACTCCATGCGCTCGGATTGATGGATCAAATTGGCCTTCTGCTCGTTTTCGTTAGGACGTAGAGTTTGATTTTTATGGACCGGCCGGGCAAATTGCTGTCGCCGTTACTGGCGAAGCTATGCACTGTGCACTGTGGCAGCTGCGAGGTCATACGATGAGTTCTCGAGATGAATTAATCTCGAAGGAATGCGAAACAACTTGTCTTGGCTGAACCAAAGTACATTCCCAAGGCTGATGTGTGAGACGATAGATGGGGCATGGGCTGATTGCAGATTGGGAAAGGCGTGAGCATTGACGCAATCGGGTGAGGGAAGTGGCGCTCCGTGCGCTCATTTATGGGTGATCGCTCATCAGTGCGGCGCCGCGACTCACCTGCAAATCATCTCAACATCCCACCTCCACACCACGCCTGCGAGCAGAGGAACTTTCGCATACCCGTTCCTGAGTTTCCCGTGATACCTCTGGCCACGACGGCCCTACACATCCCCCGCATATCCCCGGTCACACGAGTGAGCGCGCCAATACCGCAAATATGGGGTTCTCCAAGTCGACGCGCATTATGATCCTGCTGGGTATCGACTCGGCTTTCTTCCTGCTAGAACTGGTAGTAGGATATGCGGTGCACTCGCTGGCCCTGGTGGCCGACTCGTTCCACATGGTATGGCAACCCAGCCCCTGGTCTGAGGTGGTAATACTAATTGAGGTCTAGTTAAACGATGTCATATCGCTCCTTGTCGGACTCTGGGCAGTGAAGGTCGCGAATGAGAAGACCAACTCGAAGAGATACACATACGGGGTAAGCAGCAGTGTGGTGCTGGAGCTGGCAAATCTCTAACAAAACGCAGTGGCAACGCGCAGAAACCCTCGGTGCTCTTGTGAACGGTGTGTTTCTGGTCGCACTGTGTCTATCTATCTTCCTCGAAGCCATCCAGCGTTTCGTTGAACCTCAAGAGGTTTCACAGCCTAAGCTCGTCCTCCTCGTCGGCTCTCTTGGTCTCGCTTCAAACCTGATTGGTCTCGTGCTCTTCCACGATGTCGGACACAGTCATGGACCCGGCGGCCATTCGCACGATCACGGCGACGAGCATTCCCATGCCGAGGAGGGGCACGCGCACGGAGTCGAGGCACACGACCATGCACATGAGCACGAACATAACAGCTCTGCACAGACTCCTCGAGCACGCCGCAAGTCGGCTTCTGGCAAGCGGGGTCATCGCCACGCTCGATCTGGGTCTCAAGGATTCTCTACTCTTGACGAGATCTACGTACATCCTTCGTCATTCAGAAACAGCATCATCGAGTCTTCTCGCCAAGAGCTTGACGACACTGGCAGTGATAGCGGTGATGATAAACCCAATGAGCAAACTGCTCTTCTGGGCAAGAGCAACGGCCACTCTCACTCGCATGCATCGAAGGACCACCACAAGAGTCACAACCATGCAAAGCCTAAAGACCAGAAGGCCGGCGGTGGACATGGACATTCTCACGGCGACCTGAACATGCGCGGTGTCTTCCTCCACGTACTGGGCGATGCTCTGGGCAACGTCGGTGTCATTGCAACAGCTCTGTTCATCTGGCTCACCGACTACTCGTGGAGGTTCTACGCCGACCCTTTCGTTTCTCTTGTTATCACCGTCATCATTCTCCTCTCAGCGATCCCGCTCTGCAAGGCTGCGTCCCGCATTTTGCTCCAAGCTGTTCCTGAGAACCTCTCTATCGACGAGATCAAGGAAGACATCACAGACCTCGATGGTATCATCTCGTGCCACCACCTGCATGTCTGGCAGCTTTCGGACACCAAGCTCATCGCTTCGCTCCACGTCCAGGTCGACTTTGACTTCAAGGGCGAGGGCTCTGCACGCTACATGACACTTGCCCGCCAGATACGCGAATGCCTTCATGAGTATGGCATCCACTCATCCACCATTCAGCCTGAGTTTTGTCTCGATGAGACGCATGATCACTCAGCCGCCGGCTCAGAAGATGAAGCGACAAACTCCAAGGCACCAAGCGTTAAGGGTAACCCAGAGACGTGTCTACTCGAATGCCCGGACAGCTGCGGCAACGCAAAGCAGTGCTGTGAACCAGGACAGAAGGACTGCAAGGGCAGTAATGGCTCGTCAGCCTAGACCTTTCTTTCCTTTCTCTTACTTCATTCTCTTTGGTACCTGTACGATATTTCCTTTCTGTGTGCATCTGATTACCCACATACGTTTTAGTGTGATAATCCCTATCTCCTGTAGATTTTGCAATGTATGAGCATCCCGAGTCGAGAGAGATGCGTTATGATATGTTTGGATGGGAGTCGTCCGACTACCTTCAGGTTGCGGGAGGGTCGCGGAATAAAGTGTAGATGGAACAGCCATGCGAGGCTCAATACCAACCTTTGTACAACCTTGATACAGTCACACCTGCCAATTGTGGTCTGTCCTGTAATATGCATGCGATAGGTTCTGACAATGTGTCTGAGCTGATCGTACCAGAATACGAGCTACCAACCTTCTGGAGACGGGTCACTGCGGGACACGAATCTATTTGAGATCGAAGAGCACGCCTGAGACTGTACTCAATCCTCCTCGTGTTCTTATCTGTGTTCCCCACAGTCAATGTCCGTCAGCAAAACTCAAATCTCACCGCATCATTTCTGTTCTCTTGCTGTGGTCCAATGGTCCGTGGTTACGTGCCACACCACATCAATAAGATAATGCACCAACGCGGCACGGATGCCGATGCGCAAGCGAAGGCTTGTTATCTTCAAACATCTGCCTGATTGGCCTGATTCCCCTCTTGACGGAAGTCAAAGTATCGAATTACTGTGGAGTAAGAAGTCCACCTTTTACCTCGAAGCCATTCAGCTTCCAGAAGCCCTTCGCGCAGCTTCCCTCATCTCCACATGCAGGGCAACCGCGGCCTGCCACCCACCCTTCGCCACGTCTCGAATCTCTTGCCTGTCCATGCACGAAATTTGGGGACCCGTCCATTCCCATCCAGATGGCTGGGAGGTGCCAGCCGGGATTAGACCGGGGATGAGCGGGGCGCACGCACGGATTTCTACGCTAGGCCGATGATGTGGGCCCAGAAAGCTTGAATGCGCCTTCCGTGAAAGGAAGGAGCTTGGCATTACCACATGCACGAGGATTTGTGGGGCAGCTCCGAGGATGGTGTGTGGTGCTGCCGAGTACGAAGCGTGTTGCTGGCGTCGGCGGGTGTAAGGGGATGGTGGTGGATAGTTGGGGGACGGCTACGGCTGTGGGATAGGCGGCGTGAGGGGAAGGGGCTCGAGAGGCGTGGAATTCCGGAGGGTGTGGTGTGCAGAATGGTTGCGCTGGTTGCGAAGCATCGATGGACATGACACGAGTACGATAAATTTGTAGAGGTGTGTGCATTTTTGTATTTGCGTCGAGACCAGCAGTCCCCAGAGTTTTCTCGTACATTGATCGCACTATGCGCCGACATCGCTGTGTAGTCTACAAAACATACAAATTCCGGCATTGAGTCAAAGGGCGCGTGTTGTGTAGAAGGAGATGGTGGAGTGATATGACAAAGCACGTGGCGACGGGGATATCTGCGATGCTGAGCTCAGCGCACCAGTGGGATGCCGAAGGTGAGCTGACCGGCAAAGTGGGTTTGTGCCTGCACATCACGCTACCCGCGGGAAGCAGCGCGCTGTGTGTGGTTTCGTGGTGAGACGAGAACTGCTTTCGGGCGCGTCCGAGACTCCAGTCCTGGTCAGGATTGAGGCTCTCCGGCTGGGAGATTGGCTGTTACCGAGGCGTGCCCAGCCGGTGTGGAATCGGCAGAGCAAAATTCTTCACGGCAAGAGGCGCTGCACACTGGACGGGAGTTAGACGCTCGCTATGGATCCTGAAGGCGAGAATGATGTTGGAGGCGTATCGTGTCCGAACGTTCCTATCTATCTAGCTGCGACGTTTGTTGACTGCTCGCCTACCCGTGCCGCAATGATGGACTGGCGTTACATGCCCGCCTTCACCAATCCGAATTCTGGGGTTTGCTGCAGTTAATCAAGCCATTCGTTTTTGGTTTCACTATCGAACCGGCACCTTCGGCATCAGCACCAGACCAGCGTGGTTTTGAAATCATGAACGTAAGATCGCCAGAGGCGCGACCTGCTTTGGGAAGGTGGTCGCGGGCGTGGCGAATCAGTCGGCGTAAGTGGTGCGGATCGAAGCGTGCTCAAGCCTTTCGCGAAGGCTTCGATTTTCTTACCCCCGGACGTTTGCACCTTCCCGGTTAGCCCCAACACTATCAAGACGTTACATCGGTGCTTGTCCGAGCTTGGGACCTTGGCCTCGGTCTGAAGCGAACGTCTACGGCATGGGCGGTCGATGGGTACCACCGGGATCTTCGAGGAGGGGACCAGAGTTAAATGGAGGAGTGCAGCCGCTCGTTGAAACTCAGGTGTCCGGTCTTTTCGAACTTCATCCTGTTCTTCCATTGATCGTCTGATCTTTGGTAGTATCGCACTCTGTGTTTCAGTCATGGCCACTGCACAGGAAACTCCGTATGTTTATCGACACACAACCTAACGAAGCTTTGTTCTGACTAGTTCTCAGTGCTCACCAGCTGCAGCGTGAGCAGGCTGAGGCTGACCAGCACCCACACCTGAACGGCTTGTCTTTGAACAACGACAATGTCGCTGGTGCCGGTATCACGGAGAAGGACTTCGTCGAGAAGCCCATGAGCGTCAGCTCTGGTGCTTCGGTTCGCGACATCGAAATCGATGATGGCATGGGTGGTGTCAAGCCTACCGCCGAAGAGCTTCGCACCCTACGCAAGGTTGGCGAGCCTCTTCCCAAGGCCGCCTTCTTGGTCGCCATTGTTGAACTTTGCGAGCGTTTCACCTACTATGGTGCCTCCGGTATCTTCCAGAACTACATCCAGCGCCCGCTCGATGGCAGTGCAGGACGTGGTGCTCTCGGTATGGGACGTCAGGGAGCCACTGGTCTCTCTACCTTCTTCCAGTTCTGGTGCTATGTCACACCCATTCTCGGTGCTGTCATCGCTGATCAGTATCTCGGAAAGTACAACACCATTGTTGTCTTCTGCGGCGTCTACATCATCGGTCTTCTCATCCTCACCCTGACCTCTATCCCTGCTGCTCTTCAGGGAGGCGCTGGTCTTGGTGGTTTCGTTGCTGCTATTATTGTTATTGGTCTCGGTACTGGTGGTATCAAGTCCAACGTTGCTCCTTTGATCGCCGATCAATACAAGCGTCGTCAGATGGTTATTGGCAAGGACGAGAAGACTGGCGAGCGCGTTATCATTGATCCCGCGATTACCATCTCTCGTATCTACATGATCTTCTACTGGGTAAGTTGTTCTATCCTCCCGGCTTCATTCATAGTGCTAACGAAATCAGTGCATCAACATCGGTTCTCTGTCTCTGCTCGCAACTCCTTACATGGAGCGCGACACCGACTTTTGGTCCGCTTACCTGTTGTGCTTGTGCATCTTCTTCGTTGGTACGCTTGTTCTCGTCCTCGGTCGCAAGGTCTACATCGTTCGCCCACCGCAGGGTTCTGTCATCACCAATGCTTTCCGCGTTATCGGTCAGATGATCAAGGCACGCAACATGGACGGCCCTAAGCCTTCTCACCAGGCCGGTCTTGGAAAGACACCTACCACTCTTTGGGACGACCACTTTGTTGAAGAGGTCAAGCGCGCACTCGTTGCCTGCAAGGTCTTCTGCTTCTACCCCATCTACTGGGTCGTATACGGCAACTTCTCCAACAACTTCGTCACCCAGGCCGGTCAGATGGCAGGTCACGGCATTCCCAACGATTTGATGCAGAACTTCGATCCCATCGCCATCATTGTCTTCCTGCCCATCATGGATCAGTTCTTCTTCCCGTTCCTCCGCAAGCACAAGATCAACTTCCCTCCTATCAACCGTATCACCGCTGGATTTTGGATCGCTTCTCTCGCCATGGTCTACGCTGCTGTCATTCAGCACTACATCTATGAAGCTGGTCCTTGCTACGGTCACCCAGGTTGCCCGGCAAGTGAGATTGACGGAGTTGCTCAAGGCAACAACATCCACATTGCTACCCAAACTGGTGCTTACATGCTCATCGGTATTTCCGAGATTTTCGCCTCCGTTACTGGTCTTGAGTACGCCTACACCAAGGCACCGCCGAGCATGAAGTCATTCGTCCAGTCCATGTACCTGCTCACCAACGCTTTCGGATCTGCCATCTCCGAGGCGCTCAACCCTCTCCTGTACGATCCCGCAATCATGTGGATGTTCTGCGGCTTGGCTGTTGCTTCGTTCGTCGCTGGCTGCTTGATCTGGATCTTGTTCCACCACCTCAATGAGACTGAGGACGAGATGAACGCTCTTGACCAGGACTACGATAAGGACCCCACTCTGCGCAGGAGCAGCGTGCATGATGACCGCACCATCGGCCTCAGCTCCCACCACGAGGAGGATAAGAACGCCCAATTCGCTTAGAAGCGCTGGTGTTAGACGATATAATGTGATAATGTAGTGAATGTGCCGCTAGGGCTGCATTGAATGAATCTCAATCTCTTCAAGTACCTCAACTGTTGCAAGAATCTTACTCTGCATGTCGTGAACTCTTCTGATACTGCACCCAGGCAGGTCTGACCAGTCATTTGGCAGAATGCAGCATCAAATAAGGACGAATGACCTCATCGCGGCTTTTTCTCATTCGAGTAAATGCACTTCAACGGAGTGAATCAGTTGTAGTTGTGCAGCTTATCGGCTGCAACAAAGGTGGTTTGGATCCTACAAAAGTGCTAAGTAGCTATGTAGCTGCCTGGGTGCATTATTTGCAACTCATTCACGAGGTAGCTGTACCCTCTCTTAGCTCAAAGCGGTAAGGCTCCGGCCTCCTCTTCTCAATACAAGGTTAGCACGATGTAGGACCTCCCGCGATTCATACCACTTCAAACGTGAAGCTTAGATGTAAATAGTGAAGTGCGGCATTTTTTTTTCAAGGAATTGAAGCTTGCAACAAGGCATTGCGACATTTGAGCGTTCTAGAGCCAATCGCGGCGCCGCGTGTCGGCGTTTCTGTACGTCATGAGGGGCTGGAGCTCATGTGGGGTTGACACATCATCTCTCACTCAAGCTCAGGAGACTGTATCTGTTAACAACTTCATCAATCCAGCATTGGACCACATTCTCAGCAGGTAGACTTAGCATACAAAAGGTCAGTCGATCTTTGTCGTAATACGCCTAGCAACAGCAACAGCGAAACAGCAGTTGCACGCAGAGCTGCAAGCAAGAGTACCCCGCTACCTGAAGCATAACTTGCTGTAGCTTTGGTCAAATTGCAGTTCCACGTCAACCTGATTAAGTGTGTGGCTGACATTACCTACCTAGCATACAAGCATCCACAATGTCCTACAACGATTCCTACGGCGGTGGAGATAACGAGCGCCGCAACGAGGGCTATGGCGGGGGCAACAGCGGCTATGGACGCGACGATGACCGCCGCCAGGGGGGAAACAACAGTGGTCGTCAGGAGGGAGGCTATGGCGGCAACAGCGGCGGCAATAGCGGTTATGGACGCGACGATGACCGTCGTCAGGAGGGAGGCTACGGCGGCGGCAACAGCGGTCACGGACGCGACGACGACCGCCGCCAGGAGGGAGGTTATGGCGGCAGCAGCGGCGGCAACAGCGGATACGGTCAAGAAGGACGTCAGCACGGTGGCGGCTCTTCTGGAGAGGAGAGGCGCCATGAGAGCGGCGGCTACGGCGGTGGCTCCAGCGACGACAGGCGCCAAGAAGGCGGCTACGGCGGAGGCCGTCAAGAGGGCGGAAGTGGAGGCTACGGGAACGACCGACCCAGTGGTGGCAGCTATGGCCAAGACGAGCGCCGCCATGAGAGCGGAGGTCGCCAGGACGACTCATACGGCGGGCGCCCAAGCGGTGGGAACAACTACGGCGACAACGACCGCCCTTCGGGGGGTTACGGTGGAGGTAGCAACAGTGGGAATCGCTACGACGACAATGACCGCCCGTCAGGAGGCAACAGCGGAGGCAACGGTGGATACGGCCAGAGCTCATCAGGAGGCTATGGTGGCGGTTCTGGCAACCACGGCGGTCAGCATTCTTCTGGGACTTCTTACGGTGGCGGCCACGGTGGTAGCTCGGATGAATATGGCGAGGCTGCTCAGCACGCTCAGCAAGACGCTGGCTCTTCAGGAGACTCGAACCTCTTCGGTGCCGCCCTTGGCCTGCTTGCCGGCAACAAGCAGAAGCTTCAGAACGAGGATGTCGATGAAGATGATGCTGTGCAGCAGCATCAGAAGTTTTACGGCAATCAGAGTGGGGGTGGCCAGCAGGCTACTTCGAACAACGTCGGAGCGGCTGCCGCTATGCAGGCCTTAAAGATGTTCAACGGTGGCAGCAACGAACAGGCTCAAGGCGGTCAGAACAAGTTCATCGGCTTGGCCATGTCTCAGGCTGCCCAGCTGTTCGATCAACAGCAGAGCCAGGGGAAGACAGTAAGAGAGCTGGTCGACTATGTGTAATATAAGCTAATAGTTCTTAGGATCCCAGTGCTACCAAGCAGGACGCTGTTGCTCAGGCTGCTCAGATGGCCCTCAAGTTCTACATGAAGAGCGAGGCTGGTGGAGGTGGCGCCTCTGGTGGAAGCTCCGGAGGCGGCCTGGGAGGTCTTTTGAACATCGCCAGCAAGCTTATGAAGTAAGCTCTTGCGTTGCAGGATAAACGGCGGACGAAGCATGTGGGCCAGATATTCTACTACGCGGCAGTAACGTAGAGAGAATGCACAAAAGTTTTATACAACACTTTTTAACCTACAACACAAGCAATTCTTAACTAAATCTTAGCTTCAAGTATTATGATCGTTGCAAGTTTTGTGTTGAAAATTGGTCAGCTTGAAGGTCGCTTATCCGCCTTTTTTTCTGAAATTTGAGAGGTTAGGTAGGTAAGGACCTGCACTGAAGTAGTGCATTGATAGCGACGTACGACGAATGACCAAATCAAATCAACATTACTTCTTTGGAATACAGAGACAAAAACCTTGTTTTACCGCGTAGATCAATGCGGCATGGTGATCTTCGGTATGCTTGAGCGATGTGGGTGGATGTGGCGTAAATGTGCCAATGATGTAACAACATCATATCTGGATGGATCATGCATCGCGCTAAGATATCAGCACATTCCACGGGCTCACCAGACTCACGGATCAGAACTTTGCCAATGCCCATGACCCCACAGTACCGGTAGTCGCTGGTTGCATGATCCTACATCAACTCAGCAGTGATCTGGCAGCAACCCGCTGTTCTTTACTCTGAGACTTGTACTTTGAATAATGAACAAAGAGATGCTTTCAGCAGCTAGGCACGCGACCACGCGCGGCCCACAAAACAAGCAAGCCGGGAGGATCGTCAGCCCACGTCAATCCAGGCCATGACGGGACGCCTCAGAAGTTGGACGTGTGGCTTTTACTATCTCGCTACACTCAGGCAAGCTGTGTATCTAGCAGGATGCAAGTTATAAGCGCAAAGCCTGGTCGCGCAAGCGGTCTGCTTCTTATAACCTGATTGTGGCCCAGTCGTGCCTGAAGCTGATTGCTCTCTGACCTTGTCAGCCGTCCGGACCGCATACCGAATATCTGCCGAAGATGGGACTCCTGAGAGCTGCGACAAGTATTGGGCTCGTTAGTCTCTTGCAGCCAGTACTTTGTCAAGATTCAGTCAGCTATGACTTCAATACGTACGGTGCGAACGACGCCAAAGGAACGCCAGCTCAAGTATTCATGTCGAACGCGGGCGTAACGCCACCGCAAATGCATATCAATAAGAACGAGTCGGGACTGGCGGATGGCTACGTGTTCTTGGGTATGGATGGAGAACCAACGAGCGGGCAGAATTGGCCTACTATATACGGTCAGTAGTGCCAGATCGAATGAGCTTCGTCGATGTATTACTCACAGCGTTTCCAGACTTCTCGGAGGATAGGATGGGCACACTCGTCTGGACAGGTAACTACACTGAGCCCTTCGATTTCAAGACACAGACCTACAAAGGCCAGCCAGTACTTACATTCTGGTCTGGTGAGCTGAAGAATGGATATGGTCGCGGGTCCTATTATATCCTCAATCAATCGTACATCGAAATCGCGCGTTTCCAGGTCGCTCGCTTCGGCAACGATATGGGAGATATACACGAGTTCATAATCACAGGCGATGATACTGCGCTTGTTCCGACTTACCATGCCATTCCGTGGGACCTTACAGAGACTGGCGGAGTGGAGAACGGTTGGCTGTTCGATAATACCATTCAAGAGATCAACATCGAGACCGGGGAGCTTGTCTTCGAGTGGAATGCAAGTGCTCATGTTGGCATCAATGAGTCGTACAACGCACTTCCTGAGGACGTAGGTAGAGCTGAAGACTCCCCGTGGGATTACTTTCATGTCAATTCAATCGCGAAAGATCCTAATGGCGACTATCTTGTCTCTGCAAGAGTCATGGATTGTATCTATAAGATATCTGGACGAGACGGTCAAATCATTTGGCGCTTGGGCGGTAAGCAGTCGAATTTCCAGGTTGATGACGATGCTGTATTTGCATTTCAGCACGACGCTCGCTGGATCGACGATAGAAATCAGGTACAGATGACGCTATTCGACAACGGCCCTACAGATGATGTCGCATACTCCAGGGGCCTTCTTCTCGACGTGAACCAGGATGAGAAGACAGTCAAGCTCGGCCGCGAGTTCACCAATAGCGCGAAAACCTTTGCCCAATTCGAAGGCAGTTTGCAAGCCCTGCAGCTATCCAACGGGAACATGAACTACCTGGTCGGCTATGGAAGTCAGCCATACTTTGCGGAGCTGAACGCCCAGGGCGAGATCTTGCTGGACGTCCAATTCGGAAAGACGAATGCAGTGAACTGCTACCGCGCATACAAGCTGCCTTGGGAAGGAAAGCCGCTTACCAGGCCAGATGTGCATTGGGCTAAAAGCGAAAATAAGGCGTATTTCTCGTGGAATGGTCAAACTGACTGCGAAGAATGGGTCGTGTATACGGCGGCAAACGTGACGGACTCGTCGGTCTGGCGAAATGTGACGACCGTACGACGAACTGGGTTTGAGACAACTATCGACTTGTCGAATGCCCAGCTCGATACTTATGTACGGGGTAAAGCAGTTAGCGGTTTAGGTTCTGTCTTGGGCTGGACACAAGCCAGTGACGGCGATCAGCTGTTCGATGCGCCTGACGATGTCCAGGAGACTACCTCCACAGCACCTTCCAGCAGCACTTCGACGTCGATCGCTGCGGCGGCAAGAGCGACGCAAAATCTTGTGGAGCAAGTCGTAGCGGCGGCAGTCGTTGCGTGTGGCCTAGTGCTTATCTGAGGGGTCTGTCAGACAGCTCAGAGTTCATTGACCTGAGGTGTAGGGATGCAGTAAAGGATGCAAACAGGTGGAGGTAGCGTCTCGCCAGCGATCTCACTTTCCCCACATTTCGGACTTCACGATCTCACAACAACTGACATCGCTCAGAAGGCGAGGACATTATCGAAGAAATGACAGATGGCACAGCGCTGGTGGGATACGATAACAGCGCATATCGCGCGGCACACATAAAGAGATCTTTTAGGCCATCCATCATCTCGCTAAAAATAACCGCCCTAGACTTCTCACTACACAAGCCGCGAGAGTCATAACGGTCTGTCTGACCATACAAAGCTTAACACAGTGACGAAGGACGTCTAAGTCCATTTATCTCATACCTCACAACTCGCGCGCAGTCCACCCTGCTCACATCTGGTCTCCCCCGTTGCAAACACGCAACCATGACAACAACCCGCCCAGCACCCACGACAACCTACACCTACTACGAAACAACGTATACAAATCTCTCACCCATCACACTCTCCTCCTACCCTACGACCTACACCGACACAACATGGCTTCCACCCATTACCGCTGACACTCTGTGCGCCTCCGCAACCGCCTATCCCAGCATCGAAGGACCACTGGGCCTCAAAGCCGGATGCGTGATCAGCAATGCCGCGGAGATCAATCCCAACGCATTTTGGGACGTCTACGACTGCTGTCCCGGACACGATCTTTCCTCCTACGGGTACAGCTCCAGAGGCGACGAGGAGTCGAGTCCAGGGATATGCATGATGCAGTGCATCATCAACGACGACACGACAACGTGGCAGCAAGTCGGCGAATGTCTGCAGAAGCGCGTCAAGGAGGTCGTTTGTGCGCCAAAGTATGAGGAGCGCGACCATAATGCTACGTATCCCGGGGCTGAAGAGAGTTCGCTGGCAAGTGTCACTGTGTCGACTACGCAACCAGGAGGAGCAGGGGATGCATCGAGGAGTGCGAGTGCAGCTGGATCCACGGGTGCGGCTGCGATACATGATGCTGTGCATGCCAGTACTTCAAGGCTTGGACTCTTCGCGTTCTCGGTGCTTGCGGTGGCTTCAGCTGTAGGGATATTTTTGTGAGCAAGCAATTCCCGTCTATTGCAATACGATCGGCTTCTTGTCGTGACTTGTAGACGACATCAGCTTGTTTCCATTTCGAACGCTTTTCATATATGTTGTCGCTGATGTTGCCTCGTCTTCTCCGTTTTCCCCGAATTCTAGTATATATGCTCCAAAGTCACGTTGCACTCAATGATCTGCAGCTTGTGGAGTTCTATTGCATACATGGCATTGCTGGCTTCAATCCTATAAGATCGTCACCTCGAAAGATGTTCCGCACGATAGACACGCTCAGTGCTTCGCGGTGTGCAACTCGGAGTTGATGATCTCTTTCTGAGCCATTCCTGATTTGATGTCTGAAGACTCATATTTAGATTCAGTCGCTGAACGAGCTTTTATAACATCGGCTTCAGATTAGTTACCTACTTCCAACCTTCAACGAGTGCGACAACGGTCAAACAACCCTCAAGCCGTCTACAACAGCGTAGCATCAACAATCAACTTCAGCAACGCCTCCGGCTGACTCCAATTCGGGCAATGCCCCGAATCAATCCTCTTCACATCCACCTTCTTCCCACTGACCTCCTCAATCGTATCAATAAACCGCTGCTGAGCATCCGGCGCAACTACAAAATCCTTCTCGCAGAAAATATACGTAATCGGAAGCTCCTTGTAGCTCTCCTGCGTAGCGGCGGTGTTAAATGACGGCCCAGAGTGGTGCTCAAGCAACACGGCATTCTGGTACGCCTGCGCATACGGCAAATCGTTGCAGACAGCGTGCGCCATGATCGTAGGATCCATATGCATGTAGCCCTCCTGCGTTTCAAGTCAGCATATGGATTCCCGATGCGTACTCCTCCCTCGGTATCGCCGCTGCATGCCGAAACAACCCCGCACTCACAATCTCAGGCGGGAACCCCGATGCCGGCTGCAACGCAGTCTGCATCGTCTCGCCCACCCGCAGCGCAATAGCGCTCAGGTACACAACGCGCCTGACCCCGCCCTTGGCCGCGGATCCTACGCCCAGCCCTGAAAGCGCCTCGGTTGCGACCGCGCCGCCGTAGCTGTGCGCCACGACCACGACCTCTGTGCCCTCGCCCTCGGCGATCAGGCTCTCGACGACAGCTCGCACGTGCGCGGCATCGTCCTGCAGGGTGGCGGGCGGCAGGGGGTGGCGTTTCTGGGTCGAGGGGAGCTTGATGGCGAACGCGGTGAAGGACTGGGCGCGCAGGAGGTCGAGGAAGGAGTCGTAGATGCCGTAGGAGGTGAAGGAGCCGGGGACGATGAGGATGGTTGGCTTTGCGGGAGACATGGTGATTGGTGTGGGGTGGAGTGGGAGGCTGTGATTGACGATGTGTCCATGATGAGCTGGTCTGCATCTTTCTTATATACTGTTGTAGTCGAGCTGTGCTTACGTACAACTTTTGCACTCAAGGCTGACTGTACCCAGGCAAAAACGATGAATTGCCTCATTGGGATTTTGTAGAGTCTAAACCACCAGTATCGTAGCCAGGAAGTCGTAGGAAACTACTCAATGACTCCGTTTGAGAAAAAACATCCTATTGAGGCAATTCATCGTTCTTGTCTGATGCAGCATTTGCCAAGCGGCTGGTAAGACGTGCTTAATGTGCAAAACATCTGGGTTGCGTTATCGTCGTTGATCTGGAGTAAGCGGGACGCGCTCCAGGATGGGCTAGACCTCTTACAAATAACGAGGCCCCCGAGGCTGCCACGTTAGTAATCGTCTATCGGAAGAACAACAAAGTCATGAAAGGGCGTGGAAGGGCGAAGGGGCGTGTAATCATACCCATTCAGCTATTGACGACTACCTACGCTACTTAACCCTGTACCGCCTGTACCGCACCGATGCCCCACTACGTCCAGTATGTACAGTGCCTAAACTGGAGCACGCATCAAGCGCACCGAGTCTCGCAACAATCAAATTCACTCGCTCTTCTATGCTCACTAGAAGTAGACATTATGATAGCGCAAAGTCAGGACGCCTAGGAAATACGTCTGGACAATTACGCTCAAAACACGCACACAGGAAGGAGAGACGAGAGATAGGAAATGCTTTGGGCTACTATGAGCGCGCCAGTGGTATCAAACACACAAAATAAAATGCCAAGGGCTGTGAAGGAAATGCGTACCGATCGTGCAGGTGGTGCTGATCATGCCTTCAGCGGCCCTGTATATCCTGCTTCTTTTGTAGAAGCTGCTCCGGTATCCAGATAAAGGGAAGATCAACTTGTTTACTTTCCCACCTCAAATCCCACTCCGCGAACGGGTGAGTGAGGCATCCACCAGGGCCATACTGAGTATGTACAGTTCTTCGATGGCCGAAGTTGGAAAAGCGGACTCAGGTATTCCATCTCTTCCTTTGCACTTTCAATCGCTCTTATGCTCAACTAGCTCGACTCGAGGCGTACGCTCATATTGTAGGTGCTCGTGGACCACTCAGCGTTCCGAACAGTTGCTCCGGTGGTAGCCTTCCTACATTGCCCAGTCGATCGGGGTATGATTGTGGGGCTGGAGAATAACCCTGTGCCCTCTTGCGGTACCACTCGATAATGATGCCAACGACAACGAGGAGGAAGGTGAGTGCGAGAGCAATGGCGAGCGCAATAAGAACGATGAAGCCGACAGCCAGATGTTTTTCTGCACATCAAGTTAGCAAATTTCGACTCAATCGGGTTGGCATCGGCTTACTGGTCTGTCTAAAGAACATGTTGGGGTTTTCGACGAAGATTGACGACAGCCTTCCAGCAGTGTTTTCAGCTGTTGTGGCAAGAAGGAACGGAACCAGTGTAGATCCGTTGAACAAGGCACCAGATGCAGTACCAAAGCTAGTAATGTTGATCTGCCCCATAAGCAGTAGATCCTGGTCTCGGTCGATGATGTCTGAAGCTTCGTGATCCTCAGACAAACTCAGAACTTGGATGCCACGGATGTCTGTACCGGCGCCGAAAAGAGCGTTGTCGACGGAGGACCACTTGCTGCCATCGAAGCGTTGGAGGTATGCCGTGCCGTCAGTGCTGTTACCACTTGCCCAGAACTGGTCGCCTTCCTTAGTAGCGACGGTGAGTGCTGTCACGGGTCCTGGCAGACCGTTGGCACCCGCAATCTCGGTGAACTCATTCTTCGACTGATCGAATGAGAGGATCATGGTTGTGTTGTCGCCATATGTCAAGTTGCCAGCCACAAGCAGGGTGGTGTCCGAGGTCCAGATCAAGGCGTTGACCACACCCGCAACGTTGTTGTTTGGTCGGTTCCACTGGCTGGTTCTGGTGTTCCACATGCACAAACCAGGGCAGGTGAGATCTCCGCCAGACTGGAAGCGGCCTCCGACGTAGATCTCTTCGGACTTCGGTCGAGGTGCAATGGCGTTGACGGTGACATTACTACCCTGCAGCGCAGGCGGCTGAACGCTCGGGAAGCTGTTTGACGAAAGGTCATAAGCTACAATACCGGCAACACGCCTGTTACTAACGGTTCCAGTGATTACGCCTCCAGCGAAGAGTACGTTGTTGTTCACGGCGACAGCAGCGAAAGTCGAATTTGCGTCGACCTGTTCAACGAAACCAGTGACTTTGTCAGAGTCGTTGCCGTCGATGATAAGGACATTGGTAATGTTCTGTCCGTCTGTGCCTGAGGCAGCGAAGTGACCGGCCAAAATAGTCTTGTTGTTGCCATTCTCGTTGTAGAAGAACCCAGTGCGGACTCCAGTAGTCTGCAAGTCGTCGATCTCCATGATAGCTCGCTTTCGCAGTGCAGGCTGTTGCTGGTCTTCGATGTTGATAGGGAACGTGCGAAGTGATAGATCGTCGTTTTCACTGTTCAACTCAGCAGCTCCATTGGCACCGAGGAACCCCGATGTGATGGAGCCACCGAACCAGCGCTTTTCTGCTGCATCCGCATACGTCATCAGCCTACCCGAGGCCGAGAACGAAGTCGAGTTGAGGTTGTGTAGCCAGTTGTTCTGAGAAGGCACCCAGACTGCAAGTCCCTCCACAGCTGCGGAAGGGCTGCCATTGAATCCATTGACCGTGCCAAAGGAACCACTGACCGCGAGAACTTCTTCTGGAGTATTGACGGTGACGTTGAGCTCGAACGGAACAAGGAACAGAACGACACCCTGAACACCGGCGCCAAGGGCTTTCCATTCATTGTTGACATAGGAAGCCACGCCGTTCAGTCCCGCAACGTTGCCATCATTAGTGTTGGTGAAATTACCACCGACATAAAGCGTGTTGTCCTTGTGGAACATGACATTGACTTGGTCATCCAGTCCGTTACCATTCAACGCAGTTGGGCCTTGAGCGTTCCTGCCAATGGAGAAAATGTTGTTGCGGCCGTCACTTGAGGCGAAGTTGCCACCAACGTACAAGTTGTCATCGCCAGCAACTACGCTCACAACAGAGGCCTTCTCGCGGGGAGTCAGGCTGGCACCAGCCTGGTTGATCACAGAGTCGGAGAGCTCAATGTCAGCCAGTGCCTTCCCAGGAGTGTACTCGAAGAGACCATTGATGTTGCCAGATGTAGCCTTCAGGAGCGTGAAACGCACCCTCTGAGCGACGACAGTGACTGGAGTGGGCCCCTGGCCGGGGGCAGGCCTCAAAGTGACCGAAGGCCTGAAACCATCACTGATATCGATCGGCCCGTTGTAGATCTCGTCATATTTGTCGTAGTTGTTGGTTTGCCAGAGGATGTTGCCTGCGTCCGATCCACCTTGAGACATCTGTGCTGTGACGTTGATACGACCACGGCTTCCGCAAGTCCCGTCACCCAAACATCCGGGCGTATAGACAGTGACCGAATAATTACCAGATTGCTTGATGTCTGGCTGGAAGGTGACAGTGGCGGCGTCTGTGGAGATGTCTGGACCTTGCAAGACAGCGGTAAGGTATTCCGAGAAACTATCGTGCGAAGGTGTAACCTGCCATGAGCCGGTGGAGGTTGATTCTGATTGAGCGGTAGCTGTGGAGCCGCAATTTTGAGGCTCGTTGAAGTCGTTGATAGCATAAGAGTACATTTCGTCCTGGAAAAGCTGAATGCCATTCAAACCGGCTCCGTTGCCGTACCAGTCTGTAATGTCGACTCTAAAAGCATTCATTCCAATGTTGTTGACGAACGTGAAGTCTTGTGCTGTGGTGTTGCCTTCTGGAAGCGGGCATAAGGCATCACAGTATGCTGGTCGGCCGGTGGAGAGGTCAGTATATGTCAAGTTCATGATACCGCCGTCTGGAAGCGCAGTGTAGCGGAAGGTCTTGGTGCCGCGACCCTCGAAATCCGTGTTGAACAGGCGCAGCTTGGTGGGACGGAAGCCAAAGCCGAACTCAGCCTTCCAGAATCCTGGAGAACGGTCCGAAAGAAGCCACGTCGAACCGGACCCTTGCGTGGCGAAGTCGCCCTTGCAGGTAATAGCTGACGGCTCGGTAAAACCGGGCAATCCAGAGCTCGTCTGCGCCGAAATGGCGGCATTAGAAATGGGAATGATTTGGGTGTTGTTCGCTGTCGCGACTGTGGCATTACCGCCTAGACCGTTGAAGGCTCCTCCGAATATTATGTTGGTGTTTGGTGCCCTTTGGATGGAGTAGATGGGACCGTTGAAACCCTCGAACGACAGATCTTGCCACCCATCCTTCCATATTATCGCGTTGCGGGAATTGCTGCCTGTGAAGGATCCGCCGAGGTAGACCTGGTCGCCGTCGCAGTACAGGGTGTTAACCAAGCCGTCCAGACCAGCCAGGGCTGTCACGTTGCCGCTGTTGGGATCAAGCACCGCAACGCCGCCCGGAGTGGCAAGGTCTCCAACACTAGTGAAGTTTCCTGCGAACATTACGCGGTCCTGGTCGTTCGATCGGAACGTGCACATGGCCATGATGTCGGCATCGGTCTCGTTGATGGGCGCAAACACGCCATTCGGGTACCGGGATAGTAAAGCTCCGGTACGGCCGGTGCTTGCTTGGGTTTGGCCCTCATATTGATATATGGATATGGAGTCGAAGTCGCCAGCGAATGCGACGCGGCCGAGTGGGTCTATGTTAAGGTTGGGTGGTGCAACGGGTGTGAAGGTCAGTGCGTGGGTAGACGATGTCAACAGTAGCGAGAGAGCGAGCTTGCCGGCGCGCGAGGCCAGCAAGGAAGCGAAGGAATCCCGCATGGCGACTCGCCAGCGCTGAGCTGAAAGAATAGAAGTGGTGGGTGCGTCGATGGCGCAGTGCCCCGGGGCGCGATGGTGATGATGCTTGTGAGACTCAAGGCGCAGACATTATCCAGGGCCCGGCGTGCGTTCGCGTTCGATGGCAGTCGCGCTCGTGGACGGCGGAAGTCGCGACGGGTGGTGCGATTTGGTTTCAGGAGTGATGCGGTTGGTTGCTAAGCTTGGCGGGTGTATAGCGGATTGCGTTGGTATTAGGTGCCGTTTGCGGCGGGCGGCGGGTGTTGGGCGTCGTGAAAACGATTGACTACGGTGAGATGGGCGCTGGAGAGAGAGACACAGCCTGCACGGCAGCGCGAGGGACTGTCGAGCAACGCCGTGTGCTTCGTACTGGGGTGGGTCGCGGAGGAGAAAGGAGCCCCGGCGCTGGTCGTTAGTCGTTGTTGGCGAAGGAACCGATTGGCACGAGGAGATTGGCACCACTTTAGTCTCGGCGATAGCGCGACTGCAGCAGCTTTGATGGTGAATGACGACCCAATCAATGGCGCGCTCGCGGTAGTCTCTGTGGTGCAGCAATTCGATGGCTTGGGGACGCTCGCAGTGGTTCACCGTGAACAGCAGCTGCGGTGCAGAGGTGCAAAGGTACCTGCGGCTCTTCAGAACAGACGCCGAGCGACAATGGCCGGCACAAAGGCTGGCGGCGTACAATCCCGCCCCTTGTTCGCCGCGCACTCCTCACCCTGGCAGCCATAGGTTCCCGACGCCCTGCATCCACTGTTCACGTTGCACTTCCCTCCCGTCATCGTGGCTGGCGTAGCACCAGAGCGAGGCCCTCCAGCGCTGCCGTGCCACTCTACCAAGACTCTGCAGATGCATCTTGTCGTCAAAGGCTCACGCACCCCTCACTGTTTTCTCCTCACCTTGCTGATCCAGGGTCCTCCTCGCTCGACTGCCAAGTGCACGCTGCCAGCACGCGTTGACATCGTGGCAGTGAAGCTGTGTCTCCACTCGCATGCCGCGCCTCTCCGTCGGTGCAAAATTCCAACTTTCGCCCGTTGCCAATTCAGGCACCTACTCCTGGCAGATCCGAGACCCGCACCGTTTGGCCTGCGTGCCTGGCACATCGCTCCGGGGACACCTGAATCTCATGATAGACACAATCAGATCTGTAGATCCTCAGAGCTCCTGGAGCCTGGTAACTTTGACTAGTAGTTATGCAGACCTCGAGTCCGTCATCCAGCTACCGCAGCGCCACAGTCAAAGTGATGGCTTTATCGCGCGGTGATCTTGGGTGGTCCTGACTCCTATGCTGACGAGACGATGATGCAAGGATGGGCCTACCCGCACCACCCGTAGGCCGTCACCACGCGCTTGCGACCCTGGTCTGAAAATGACAACGGTTCGTTTCAGACGCACCCTGGTCGCTCTCACACCAGTCGATCGAGCAAGCGAGACCGACTATACGGGCAGTTTCAATAGCCACTCGTTGTTGAGCGGACTATTGTCTGACGAACGCCTCCATCGATAGTGCATACCACGAATTGAGACTGCAGCTTGAAGGGAGCAGTTTGCATTTTGTTGCTATGAGACGTGTCTTGACCACTGTGCAGTTGAGGTCTGGGCGTTTCAAGGCTGCCATCATCGAATACGCGTCGCAATCTTGCTTTGCATACTGATGAGCAAACTGTACCATACTTACAGTCCATTCCGGCCAGACTATAGTTATGCTCCGGTGTCATTGAGCAACAAACAATGCCTTGTTGTTTGCCGACAGTCGTTGTCCATAACAAATCACGCCATCTGCGACGGCAAGGTGTACGCTGCAAACGACACAGCGCCTTCACACGATTGACTAACACTTCGCTGTACAACCCCAACCCCACTGCAGCGGAGCAGAAGAGAGACCAATTGGCACATGCGAAATCCCAGACACTGCGTGGTTACTGGGGAGGCTGTTTGTACAACGTCGAGGCTGGAGTCACACCAAACACCGTTGCTCTCAAAATACCATCTCGAGACATCGAGGTCTGGAATTCTATGCCGCTCACCGCTATGTGCCATGCTCTGCGTCAATGTCTTGCTGCACTACGGTATCTTTTCTGGCATCCTTTCTGGTCTTGCATTCGTGATTTACTGCTGCACCTGCTCCTTCCCTGTTACGGATTTAGGTAACTTTCTCATACAATTGCATGAGCAGCAGTAGGAAAACCAAGAAGTGCTTCTAGGGCGCTGGTCGCTGATGTCATAACATTTGGAATTGATTTTGGTGATGTGGACTACACTGGCTTTTTTATGTCCAGAAAGAGCCCTTCACATGTTCAAAACTCGTGCTGCAGTAGAAAAGAAATACACCAACCCCCCTCAGCCCAAGTAAACTATGACCATCACCGGATCTGGCGTCCTGATCTCCGGCGCACGTGCAGACAAGAAGTTGCTTTTGCCATGTTCATGCGTGCGACCAAAAAGCCGTTACACTTCGTGCTGAAACCAGAAAAAAAATGCAACACCATCCATCCACGCCTATGGCATCTCTGTCGTGAGATCATCCTCAAGTCAACCACTTCCCCCCCATGTCACAGCCATGCTACCAGTCTGCCGTAATCGCGCCATCACTCTCTCACCATCGCACCGCTGAATCATACATCCATCAAACCCCCTACGTCTCCCCAACATGACCCCTCTCACATCACCCAATCCCCCTCCTACCTCCTACCCTCAAGCCAGTGTCCGGAATTGCAGTCCCCAATCTAGAATCTCGCCCTCCCCCCCCCTCACACCCCTCACGGTCGACACATCTCCCGCCGCCCCGCCACGATATGTAGCCGCACGTCCCGGTGTCGGCGCACGGTACAGCGAGTCTTCATCTGCGTCCGCGCCGCCGACGTCCAGAACCGCCGTATCGCCGTTACCGAGCAGCGAGTCTCTGCGCCGTTCATCGCGTGCTGCAAGTCCAGCAGCGTTGCCGTTGACAGACGGTGGCCCGGGCGCAGACACGGTAGCTGTGTCGTACCATCTCGCGCTCGGGATCGGGTAGCTGAAGTTTGGGACGAGGTTGACGGCGCACATGGCTACTTCGCCATTCTGGGTGGCTGGTTGAGAGGCGTTTGATCGGGCGCTAATGGCGGCTTTTATGGAGGGGTCGATGAGAGGGCTGGAGAGGATGTGGGCCAGTGCTGAGTTCCATGTTAGATGGGCAAAGGTGTGTGAATCGGGGGGTGGGTCTGTGGAGCTAGAGGTTGCGGTGGGCGTGCTATGGTTACGGTGAGTGCGGTGAGTTGGGAGATGGGTTGCTTGGCTGTGATGAGTGTTCGGTGCTGGATTTGTGGACTGGTTTGTTTGCTGTGGTGCGATTTTCTCGGACTTCGGACTTCCTTGGCCTTGGTAACGGTTGTGGTACGCCCTGCACAGCTGTTCGGTATCGTCAAACACATGGCTTTCTTTCTGTCTCTTCCTTCTCGCATTCTTGTCTCCAGTCTTTCTCTGAGTCGCGCCTTGCTCATTCGTCTCCACCATTTCACTGTTCCAATACAGGTTCACATCACCATATCTTTGCTCGGTGTACTCGCCCCTGTCCTCGATCTTGACGAGCTCATGCGGTGAGCTCTGAGGCGTTGATGCTTCGACACATTCATCACTGGCTCTTGGACGGCGCTTGTCGAGTCGTGTCCGTGCAGAGGGGGAGTGAGAGGGGCTGATAGAGACTCGACGCACACGACTGATGCGCAGGGGGTGTCGAAGGCGGTTGATGAGACTTGCTGTTGTCGAGAAATTCTGGGGACGCGGGGATAATGTATAAGCCCGAGGCATGATGTATTTCAAAGGATGTTCTGAATATTTAGCAGTGCACGAATGCGTTCAAAGCTTACAGGGAGGGAGGTTGCAGGCGAACAGGCGTTTGAAGAGCATACTGCGTGAAGATGCGGCGTTTGCTGATGATTTGGCAGTGACGGCACAGCGAAGTGGTAGATCAGCATGATGAATCATACAGCGTAAGCCAAACACACACGATGAGAAGTGTGAAGTTGATGGGGTGATTGCAATGCACAATCATTCGTAGTCAGATTCGCTCGACCGAGGTGTGTCACCAACAGTCTTCTGAACTATACACTATGGGTGGCCAAGTCTAGAAGGACCTTCTGTAATAACACAATCGTTGATGAACCAAGCTCATGTGCACCGTGTATGCGCCGATGACCAAGAAAATGCAAGTCGCTCCATAGCTATGCAATCGCCGAAATGCAGTGAACGCCCCGTGCCCCGGTATGGTATGATGTGGTATGCCGTGTAATCCAAGAAACGCCTAAGGGAGGAAAAGGGAATCAATATTTCTTCTTGGCCGCAGCCGCCTTCGACAGCGCCATTAGCTTTCGCTTCTTCTCTTCTTTCTCTCGTTTGAGTCTCGTCTCCTCTGCTAATGCTTCGGCATCCTCCTTTTTTGCAGCCTTGAGAGCTAATTGTTCTTCTTGTTCGACGTCCCAAATGCCTCCCTCCATGTCAGATGATCCATCGGAAGCGTAATCGCCCTCGTCATCTTCCATATCATCAAGGTCAGACCAGTCGGCGTATCCATCGTAACGGCCCTTTTCCTGCTTCGCCTTCGCCTTGAATGCAGGCGTACCGCCCCTGCTGGAGGGTGTAGTTGCACTCTGGGGGCGGGCGGTTCCTTTGTAACCGAGTGGTGCAGCGGCCTTGGTAGGACGTGCAGTACCCTGGTACCCCGCGTCTGTCGGCTTCCGTTGGGCCTTGGAAGCGTCGCTCTTCGCGTCTGTTGGCTTTGCTGCCGGTAATGTACTTAGCTTCTTCCCCTTGGATGCGGTTGCTTCTGCCTTCAATGCCAAGCGCTCCTTCTTTGTCGGGATGAAGCCTTTCGAAGGAACAGTGGCTGGAGGCGCCGCAGGCTTGGTAGCATCCCTCTCTTTGGCTTTCTGAAGAAGAGCAAGATACCCCTTGGGTTTTGATGTGGACGCTGTGGCGGTCGATGTCGTGGCTGCAGAGACAGGCTTCGGCGCGGGTGGAGTTGCTTTCCGAGGGCCAGGTACAATGCCTGCAGGGGCTGAGGGTTTCTTTGCGACTGTAGTTGCGGTTTTAGTCGAAGACGGTGCTGCTGTTCCACGGTATGGTACGGTTGTTGTGGTAGGCTGGGTCAGCCTTGCTGCTTTAGGGGCAGCAGTTGGACGAGCAGTGCCAGTGTACTGCGCAGGCTGTGCTGGACTGTCTTTACGCTGGACTTTGACTTGACTGTTGTCTGCTGGCCCTGATGCCTTGCGCTTAAGTTGTGGTGCCGGCGGCGCCCCGTTTGTACCCGCAGCTGGTCGCGGGGTAGGTTGCGAGGCTCCGGTAGGCTGTGATTGCGTTGATTTGGGAGCGACTGCTGTCTTCGCTCCTCCACCTCCGACTGTGGACATGATGTCTCGGAAAGCCTGAGGAAGAAGATTAGCGCAACGTCGGAGGGAGCCGCGGGGCCAAACTCACGCTCATGGTGGGCGACTGGCAAGCGCTTGACTCAGTGTTACCGGCCGTATCGCTTGGGCAAGTCGCACATGCTTTCCTAGCTGGAATGCGGGCGTAGGGATTTTGCCGTAAAAACGATCGCGGGCGCGCGGCGGGCGAAGGGGCGAGCGCGAAAGAATAGTGGTCGCGCAGGCAAGTAAGGAACAGGACAAAGAGCAAGTGGCGCGCGCTGGACGCAGTTTATAAACCGGAGGCCTGCAATCACGTGATCCGTTGTGCATCCGTGCACGGCTTGGTCGTGTCTTCCGATCAGTTTAGCCGAGCCGGGCGCATCCCACAGACATTTCGCTACCTCAAACCGAACTTTCAACCCACGACGAGAACTTGAAGCTCCAGTCTCCGTTAGAACGGTACGTGATTATTTTGCGACTAGGCCACTGTCGCTTAATTTCTAATTCTCTTAGGTTAAATCGATTGCGCTCCTGTTCCTACCCAGAAACACCCTTCGACAAACACATTCAAAATGAAGCACCTCGCGGCATACCTCCTTCTCGGACTCGGTGGTAACACCTCCCCCTCCGCTGCCGATGTCAAGGCCGTCCTTGAGTCCGTTGGCATTGAGGCCGATTCTTCCCGTCTCGACCAGCTCATCTCTGAGCTCGAGGGCAAAGACATCAACGAGGTATGCGCCTAAAGTGGATCGGGTCACCGATCGAAGAAATTCGCAAGACAGACACTGACTCCTTGCAGCTGATCGCTTCCGGCTCTGAGAAGCTTGCTTCCGTTCCCTCCGGCGGTGCCGGTGGTGCTGGCCCCTCCGCTGGTGGTGCCGCCGCCGCTGGTGGTGCTGCTGACGCGCCCGCTGAGGAGGCCAAGGAGGAGGAGAAGGAGGAGTCCGATGACGACATGGGCTTCGGTCTCTTCGACTAAGCGCATCGCCAACCGGATACCCCACCAACATCAACGAAGTATGATCACGCCAATCTCTCGACAAAAAACGAGAATCATGCGGTATGAACACGAGCCTTGGGCGGTGTCGAGCGTGCTGTGGGGAGGACATGAAGAACAGTTGGGCGACAATCCTCCGATGTTTGTCTGCTAGGATACCCTGAATGAAGCCATGCACCCTCACCACCTTTATTTGATCTTCTGAGTGATTGATGAGTGACCATGAACTGCTTGTTGACTAAAATGATTGCTGGACAAGCATAGTGACAAAGCTTGCGACCGAAGGCCGGTTTGAAGACGAGCGGTTGTCAAGTCGTCACTCAATACTATATGTACGAGCAATGACATCGTCAGACCTGATGTGGTGATTGTTCCTGATGCAGAATAGAGTGGTCTTGACGCGCTGTGCCTAAGAATCTTCATATTTCTTCATATTCTCGAATTTGCAGTCACAGATGAATTGATCAAATGATTGAAATGGCCACAATAATAGAGAGCGCCTAACAAAGAGCACCATCCTTACCTCTGCCACTCACTCACGTTTATCAAAATCGTTGCGTTCGTCGATGTTGATGTTCGCAGGGCATGGGGCTGATTGGATGGGAGGCGCCAAGTCCGATAGTGGTGGCTGCCACTCGCTTAGCGAATGTCGAAAATCGAAAGAGCGACCGACTACCTCCACGCTGTGAACATTGCCCTTGCGAACCCATCGAGTCAACTTTCTAGCTTCTCGACCACCGCAACCATGGCTGATTCCGAATACGTAAGTAATGCTGGGACCGACGACTTTGCATGCGCCTGCTAACACGCACACAGAACGCCGAGGAGGCTGCCGGTACGCTCCCATTCCCACTCCCACTTCCCTTCGCAAGCCCTTCACCGGTCCGCCACGATCAATTCACCTTCGAGCACGAGACAGCGGAGGATGCAGGCGGCACCTGACGGACGAAGAGGCACTGCGCAGACGCGAAGCAATGACGATGAAGGATACCGGCTGACAGGATCCCACAGCCCTTAAGGCCAAGCGCTCGTTCCGCAAGTTCTCCTACCGTGGAGTCGACCTCGACCAGCTCCTCGACCTCGGCTCTGAGGAGCTCCGCGACCTCGTCCACGCCCGTGCCCGCAGAAGGTTCAACCGCGGTCTCAAGCGCAAGCCCATGGGTCTGATCAAGAAGCTCCGCAAGGCCAAGCAGGAGGCCAAGCCCAACGAGAAGCCCGACCTCGTCAAGACCCACCTCCGTGACATGATCGTCGTCCCCGAGATGATCGGCTCCGTCGTCGGTGTCTACTCTGGCAAGGAGTTCAACCAGGTCGAGATCAAGCCCGAGATGGTTGGCCACTACCTCGCCGAATTCTCCATCTCATAGTGCGTAGACCCGGACACGCATAGCGGTCCAACTTTTGCGCCGCAGGACAGATGGCTAACAATCCTACAGCAAGCCCGTCAAGCACGGTAGGCCCGGTATTGGTGCCACTCACTCTTCCCGTTTCATTCCTCTCAAGTAAATGGTTTGGGTTACTGGTTGCATGGGTTTCGTGGGGTGGATAGTGTGTACTTGACGACCTCACAACGAATACAGGTGTTAGGTGCATTACACTTTCTATGACTTGGTGACGCACGAAAAGCGGTCACGATGGACATGAAGACAAGGTGTAGATAGCCTCTACATCCAAAGATACCTCCCACCCGAACTACATGCGACGTGATGACATTCCTCGTACATGTACTCACAGGGCAAGACTATCCAGCACGTTGTACCAACAATACTCCTTTCGTAGCTTTGCATCACTAAAAGCCACAATCGCGTCCCGCCCAATCATGCGCAAGCCAGGAGTAGGGAATACTTTGATATTGGATTACTGGCTATTGAAGCCGGGTATTGTAACAACAGGAGATTAGTCTCTCCAACACACTCACTACCTTCCCAAACGCATCTCGACCTTCGCAAAGTTATACAACGCACGCAAGAAAACCTGGTAATTAACACCCTTGTTATCAGGAAGATGACTGTATCCACGTTAGCCAGACTCCCCGCAACATGACCTATCAGACTTACAAGATCTCCGTCAACCTCAGCTGCCACGGCGGGTACCCCTTGAGCTGCACCGTCGGGCTGAACAGAATCAGCAAGTCAGGCTCGCTGCTCACATGATCGCTCAGCTGCGCATCGATCAGGTCCATGTTGATCTGCTCCTGGCGCACATCGCCCTTCTGCGCCATCTCGGCCAGCGTGCGTGTCAGATCCACGATAGTATCGCGGCCGTCATGCTCCGAGAGCAGCAGAACCGTGAGGTGTTGGCGCTCCTCGCCGACATCGCCGTCTGCGGCTGCGGTCTGGGGGGGAGTGTTGGGCGGCGAGTAGGAGCTGAGGTGGGGAGCGCGGAGGGAGAGGGTGGGCTTTCTGCGGGGCCCGAAGTACGCTTCGAGCGTGTTCCAGATGCTGGCGTGGGTCTGGGGTAGGTAGTTCTTAAGTGCACCTGCGTCTTTATTAGTATGTCGCGCGTGTGATTGGGGGTTCGGGTGCTGCGTACCGGTCCTCTCGTACACGCTCAAGAAAGGGATGCCGGCCGAGGCGGTCCAAGCTGCGATCTCGCACACGTCGTTGACTAGTCCTTCTAGGCCTGCGTTGCCCTGGTGCTCGTCGTCCTCTTGGTAGTCGACAATGACGCTCAGGTGCTTGGGCATCTTTTGGAGCGACTTGACATCGTGCGCGATGAATTCGGGGGTGCGGTGGTGGTACTTGAGCAGCTCCACAATCTTGCCCCTGACGAGTCTGTAGGCGTGGCGGAATCGAAAGAAGACAGAGAAGAGGAGTGAGATAATCTGGTATACGAGGACATATATGAATGCGCGAACGGGTCCTGTCCGCTTCTTGTGGATTGATTTGCGGCGCCGGGTGGGTGCAGCTTTCTTGATTTCGCGATCGGAGGACGAAGTGGGCTCAGATGGCAGAAACGGCTTCATGAGTTCCTCGCGCTGCTCCGATGTCAATTGCTTGCCCTGGTATGTGCCTCGGCGGAAGGCCGTTTCTTGGGCGGGCGTAAGGCCCGTTGCCGAAGCCATTGCAGGAGTCAGTTGACCTTGGAGGGACAAAATGGGCCGTATGTGTGCGTGGAAGAGAAAGAAGGACAAGAAACAAGGAGTGGATGCAAAGGAGACTGTTGGGCGCAATGCGTGTTAGTTTGGCGGAGGATGTGAGATCATATGGATCAGCAAAGTTGACAGGTTGAGCAGCCACGTTTTGTGGCGCCTCCGCCACTGCCGTCCAGGCCGGCCAAGCGCATCATATCGGGGCTCAGCCTTGTCGGGGCGGTGTCATTGCGCGTTTGTCGTCGCAAGTGTCAAGGATGACAGAAATCATGTCTGGTACGCGTCCGGGGTCTTGTCTTGGAGTAACAGAGTTGCGGCCTGGCTGATTTAATATGCATGCGGTCAGTTGTTCGGCAGCAGCCACTGGGTCGAAACGCGAGACGCGGGGCGCAAGCCACACCTCGCGACCTCGAGCTTGGGAGAGCTAGCAGCGCAGTGCAGGTCAGAACAACACCGGACTACAACAAGGTATCTGAGAAGAGTAGCGTATTGTGGCACGCTGCGAAGCACCAGGCTTTATGCGAATGTGTATGAGTCTCTCCGTCGTCCGCAACTGCCCCAAGGCGCCAGTGTGAGCACGGCACCACCTGGCCAGACAACCGCGGCAGACCTGCGCGTCGCCCGCAATTGCCTTCCACATTGCCTTTTTGAACGACTGGAGGAGTCAAACAAATTAATATGGCGAATCTCAATCCGGAGACAGCCTCTGTCCTTACGCAGGGGACATCGAGGACAGTAGCTGGTGGCCGCGCGCCGCAATTCACACTGGAGACCTTCTCGGTTGGCTCTTTCTAGTCCTGTCCTCACGACGTCGCACTGACTCTTATAGAGTAAAGACTTCATAGTCAAAGACTTTATCGAAGAACTCTCCGACAGTGCTGTGCCTGCTTCACGAAAGTCAGCACCAGCCTCAAGCCAGCAGGCATTCGACCCTAAGCCCCTAATTCGGACCTTCGAACATGCTCTGACCCGCCTGAATAGCCAGTCGCAGGATCTAGAAGAGAGGGAAAATGAGCTTTCAGGAGCCGTCAGGCGTGCTGAGGCGCAACACAACCAGAACGTCGAGTCCCTAGGAAGAAGGCTTGAGCAGGCCATCGATCGCTTCCAGAAGCTGGATAGTTCGCTGAATGGCGGCGACGATGGGGGCTCGGATTCTGGAGGCAACATCGCCATGCGCATTGGAGAGAGACTGGAAGAGCTGGACCGCCAGCGGAAGAGGGCTATGGACGCCAAATTCCTGATCGAGTGTTGGCAGGAGGTCAGTGAGCGAGGCGAGCTCAACATTCTAGAAGACCACCGCAGAAGTGGTGGCATTGTACGTTGCGCCGACATCGCGCGCCAGCTGCTGAGGATCAGTGCACGTCTTGACCCTGAGAATAATCAGCGTGGCAACGGTGTTGAAGTAAATGGCAACAAGAGAAAGACGCTGGCGCAACAGAAGCACAACACGAGAGAGGTCATCGAGAAGTTCCTGGAGAACTTGGAGCAGGACCTGCTCAGCAAGTTTGATGAGTGCTACAGGAGGCCAAATTATGACGGCATGCGTGACTGCGCAGTCGCGCTGAGAGGCTTCAGTGATGGGTCCAGTGTTATCGCAACTTATATCAGCCAGCACTCTTTCTTCATCGACCGTCATCAGCTTGTTTCAGAAGAGCTTGCGCTGAACGATGAGGCATGGGAGGCTCTTCAAGATCCGGATATGGAACCGCCATCTGTTGAGCCCACATTACAGTCTCTAATTGACGAGGTCCGAATTGTTGTGCAAGAAGAGTCTGCGATCATAAAGCGAGCGTTCCCCTACTACGAGGAGGTGCTTATCAGGTTCATCGAGCGCATTTTCCAGCAATCGATACAGCAGCGACTGGAGATGGTGTTGGACAAAGCAAACGACCTCTCGAGTCTCGCATTTCTGCGTGCGCTGGCAGCATCGAGAGCTTATGTCACACAACTTGTGGAAGATCTAAAGGCACACGGGCTGACAGAGCACCCTGAGCCTGTCACATCCCAGGTTGCAGCTACTTTGGACCAACAGCTCGAAGAACTGTTCTCTCGATACTTCATTGGCTCTTCATACATTGAGCGAGAGAAAAAGAACCTTGAAGAGCTGTACTCGTCCCTCCTGCTGAAATTTACAATCTACCACTCGCGTCGGAGAAAGATGCCCACGTCGTACTTCGGGTCACTGGCGCAACGTGGTAAGGAACTTGCATCCTCTGCTCGAGACGCATACATGGATCGACTAGAGAGCACTGATCTGCCTGCAAGTCAAAAGGCAACCCTTCTACGAATTGCAGGTGTAAAGGACGACCAGCAGTCTAGGCAGGATATTGAAGTCACAGATGAGGATGGAAAACTCTCTTTGGCAACCGCAAAGCGTATGTTGAAGTGGTTAGCAGAAGGTGTTGGAAGGGGTCTGGAGTTATCTCCAGGCAACGAGACACCCAAGGATGTACAGAACCTTCTCAATTTGTTGTTACAACAAATGGGCGAGATCTACCTGGAGACCGCTCTTGACGCGTAAGTTGCTCAACATCCCCAATGTTTTATCTCATGCTGATATTTAGGAAGTGCCTCTGATCACGCTGCGTCGCAAGAAAATATGAAGACACCACCCGATCTCACTCACCTCTCATCACTCAACGCCATTACGACTATCCTGCATCTCCTTCAACAGACCATGGCCACGATCTTGCTCCCACTTTGCACACCGAACCTGACTATCCGACGTGAGATCGAAAAGTCAACCAACACTACGATGGCAACATTGGAATCAAAACTGTCCAACATCCTTAACCTCACGCTGACAGCAGCCTTGAACTGGGTGGGCAAATGCCTGGCACAACAGAAGAAGACTGATTTCCGACCCAAGGATGACGCAGACCTCATGGTCACAAGCGAGACAGCAGCGTGCCGCGAAGTTGCTGCTTTCCTCTCTCGCATCGCCCAGCAAGCAACTGGCGCACTTTCTGGTCGCAATCTATCGCTGTTCCTCGCGGAGCTCGCGCGCGGTCTACGCGCGCTTGTCCTATCAAACTTGCTCAAGTTCACCGTATCTCAGGTCGGCGGTCTGAGTGTGTCCAAGGACATGAATCGCTACGCAGAGCTTGTACGTGCTTGGCCCACTGGTGATGAGTTGGAAGCCGGGGCCATGGATGTGCTCAGCGATGTAAGTACGTTGTTCATCATTGGGCCTGAAGCTCTGAGAGACAGACTCAGAGGTGCAGGTCAAGATGCTCAGGAGTTGAAGTTGTTCATCGCGAGAAGAGAGGATGTTAGTAGTGTTGGCGTGCAGAGCGTGCTCAACGGAATGTAATAAGACGGAGCTGGTATGCAAAGATGTGCTTGTCGTACCGTACCCGAGCGATCCACGCAGTCACACTGTTGGATCTATATGTACACACTATATTTCATGCGCGCATTGCTGCGATGTGCGAACATGTTGCTGTGATGTCAGTCGCCAGCCGACCAGCCGGCCGACGGCCCGATACCCTTTCAGGAAGCTTATCATCATCCCCGCAAGTCAACACGAAGGGGGCAAAGAATCCCCAGTCCCTTTCACTCCACATTTCTGCATTCGTGATGGCTCTAGATTTGGATACAATTGACCATCTGTGCGACTTCAAGGCCACGAAAGCGAAGCATGACCAGCCCAAGCCATGAGCAACACGCTGCAGCGCTGCACGATAGTACGCGTCGCGTGTCCCACCCAGACTCCGAGGAAGCTGTACAGATAGAACGTCAACGCGTTGCGCAAGAGCTGGGGCCGTATGAACGACGCGAATCATCGAGAATAACGTCACATGAGGCCAGTAGACATGACGGTCCCCTTTTACAGACGTGTCGAATATCGAACAGGAGCTCGACCGCGTCCAACGCGCTGCTTCAGAGTCGTGGCCCACTAGACATATATGCTACTGCGCGGCCTGATGCACCGCGTTCGCAAGGTAGCTCTGTCCGAGAGAGGCACTGGTACAGCCCTATCGTGGAGTTTTGGACGACGCATGTCAGGTACGACCCTGCATGACTTGTGGCTCACAGACTGTTGACGTGCGATAGCCTTACCATAGATGGAGGAGCTCATAGAGATCACTTAGGTAAGAATATCTCACAGTCGCGAAACCACATCCAGCTAACATTATCCAGCACTTGAGCGCACGTTCCTTGGATATCTGCGAACCTCTTTGATCCTTGTCATGACTGGCGTCATTACCGCGCAGCTCTTTCGTATACAAAGATCGGCGCATCCGAATCCTGTAATCGGGTTCTACGTCGTTGGTGAGCCGCTAAGTGTGGCGTTCATCGGAATGGCAATCTTTGTGCTGCTCGTTGGGGCGATTCGCTTCTGGAGGCTACAGAGTGCGTTAGTCAGAGGGAAGGCGCTGGCAGGCGGATGGGAGATAGCTGTGATCATGGCAATGAGCGCTCTTGTGAGTAGATCAAGTATAGGCTACAGTAGCCTGGTTGCACGGTGCTAACACTCCGCCACAGTTGTTAGTCGCAACGTTTGCGTTAGTATTGGCCATCAACATTGACAAAGCCAAGTAGTAAGACCCAGGAACCCGATTCCTTTTACACACGATAGCGTATGAAGTCAAGTCAAGGTTGGAACTCAAAGACAGCAACTAGCCCAACATGTGCATGATTGGGGTAGGCACATGCGAACTGACGCACAAAGCTACCCCAAAAAATTGGAGCTACAAGTGACACCGATGATATCAGAATACAGATAAGCCATACCAAGCACCAGTTACGATGTTCGCACCACTCTTATCTACGTTCGGTGGATACCCTGTTCGATCTGCACAACTTAGTACACATCCGGCAATCCGTATCCGACCCCGGATATTCAATGCGGAGACGCACACTTGCACCTACCACACCTTATCATTAATGCTGGCTAGAGTGGAGTGCGACCGTTGATCTATCACAATCTACTCCAACTCTACCCCGAATCCCTACTCGAGATGTTGTTGGCTAGCTATAATGTCTCCCCAAGTAGAGCGATGCAGACCCTGGCACACATATCTTACGAAGATCGATAAAAGAGCTCATAGCACCCCTCTCGATAATTTATAGGCACAAATCAAATTGCAACACTTGCAATGGCAGACTCTGCGGCAGCCATATTGCCTGTTGGCGCTGGATATGGTAGGCACGCAACCCCCTCATCACATCAACAACGCTAATAGCTCCTAGGCGTCGTCGTGGGTATCGGGTTCTTCTTCGCATTCCTGATGATGGGCATATCATGGATACAGAATAGATACACAGCATACTCGACAAAACAATCGGAAGAGTTCAACACCGCATCTCGGTCCGTCAAGCCAGGCCTTATAGCTTCGGGCATTGTATCGGCGTGGACTTGGGCGGCTACTTTGCTGCAGTCAAGTACTGTGAGTTACATGACGTTCTGAGCTCCGAGTAGGAGGTTGACTTGTTTAAGGTCGCATACACGTACGGAGTCGCCGGCCCATTTTGGTACGCTGCCGGAGCGACTGTACAGATCCTCGTGTTCTCGATTCTAGCTTGTAAAGTCAAGCAGAATGCGCCGCGATGCCATACTTACCTCGAGATCATCAATGCCAGATATGGTCGCCTGGCGCATATAGTGTTCATGATGTTTGCGTTCATCACGAACATCCTTGTCGGCAGCCAGCTGTTGCTTGGTGGTAGCGCCGTAGTCACTGCCTTGACTGGCATGAATGTCTATGCTGCTATCTTCCTCATTCCTGTTGGTGGGTCAAATTGCTTACTAAAAGAGATTCTGGCTAATGTGACTAGGCGTGTGCGCGTATGTGATCCTCGGAGGTCTTCGAGCGACTTTCTTGTGCGACTACTCGCACACATTGATCTTGATGATCATCATCCTGTACTTCATGTTCCACGCATACGCCACGAGCGACCTCATCGGCTCACCGAGCGCTATGTACGATCTGTTGAAAAGCGCCGCGGCTTCACGGCCCATCGACGGCAACCACGAGGGCTCTTACGTTACACTGAAGTCCAATCTTGGGCTCATCTTTGGTGTTATTCAACTCTGCTCTGGCTCTGGAACTGTGTTTCTGGATCAAGCGTACTGGCAACGAGCCATTGCATCTCAGCCCTCTACAGCAGTGAGAGCATACATTCTTGGTGGCATTGCCTGGTTCGCAATTCCATTTGGATTCTCGACGACTCTGGGACTGGCTGCTGCTGCTCTAACGGATCATCCGAGCTTCCCAACCTATCCAAACGTACCAAGCGCACACGAAATCTCGTCTGGTCTCGCAGCTCCGTACGCAGCAATTGCTTTGCTAGGAAAGAATGGAGCGGCCGCGTTATTAATCGTCTTGTTCATGGCGGTCACCTCGTGTGCCTCAGCAGAGCTCATTGCGACGTCGAGTCTTCTTACTTTCGATGTCTACAAGGCTTACATACAGCCCAAGGCTACACCTAAGCAACTCATATTTGTATCACACATCATGATCTGTGTATTCGGTGTGGTCATGGCTGTTTTTGCCTGCATCTGGAACGTTGCAACAATCGATCTGGGCTGGCTCTTTCTGTAAGTCTAATTAATTGTTATCGCCATCCAAATGCTGACCCACGAACAGAGTCATGGGTCTCCTGATCGGCGGTGCAGTCTTCCCCGCTGCATTCTCAATCATCTGGAAGAAGCAGACCCGTCTCGCCGCCATCTCAGGCTGTCTCTGCGGCCTCGCCGCCGGCCTCATCGCCTGGCTGACAACAGCATACCACTACTACGGCGAAATCACCGTTGCCACCACCGGCACCGAATACGCCACGCTTGCGGGCAACCTGGCCGCGATCATGACCGGCCTCATCGTGACCACCACAATCACACTTATTAAACCAGACGACTTCGACTGGGAGATCACCCGCGCCATCAATGCCATCCCCGTGAGCGAGGGCGTCACCCACGCCAACGCCGACACACCCGACCGCACCGCATCCCTCTCCGACCACGAGAAATCCGACAGCAAGACCACCCCGCCGTCTGACACCACCGCTCCCTCCGAAGCTGAGGTCGAAGCCGCTCTGCACGTGTCTCCCAGCCCCGTCGACGATTCCCCGTCGTCGCTCCGCAGCGCATTCAAACTCGCGTGCATATCTTCCTTCGTGCTGACCTTCATTCTGGACTTTTTGCTGCCCATGCCGATGTTCTTCAGCCACTACGTTTTCAGCAAGGGCTTCTTCACTGCGTGGGTAGTCATTAGCTTTATTTGGGTGTTTGTGAGTAGTGCGATCAGCTGCTTTTTGCCGATCTGGGAGACAAGGAGTTTTTGGGGCGAGTTGTATGGGAGGATTCGGAGGGGAGAGGTTGGCGGGAAGTGAGACAATAGTGTTCGATGAAGTCAGAGGGTGCTGTAGGTTCACGATTATGTCTTTTATGGGTAAGATTGTAGCTAGTAAAGCAACATTGTTATCATCTTTTTGAACCTGCAAGAAACGAGAGCTGCCACCTTAGAGGAGAAACAACATACCCATTTCAGGTTTCTCATATCTTGTTCCGCGTCATCTTAGAGCAAGAAGCATGCCCTATGCATCAGTCTTCTGCATCCCCTTCTTGAACAAAGGACTCTCCTTGATCCTCTCCCAATCATGCAACATCTCTGTATTCGCCGTCCCATCCCTGGTCTCCGTCCCGCCTCTCGTAATCATCTCATCCTCAAACCCCCTCATGACCTCTGCCCGATCAGCACCCTCCTGCAATTTGACCAACGCGTCCCGCAACTTGCCCGCATCAGTGACGCTATGGTTCAGCCCTTGCCCCCTCTGATACGTCATGGGATGACACGCGTCACCCACCAGCGTCACCAACCCACCTCGGCCATCCCAGCGCCTTCCCTCCGCGCCCGGATCCCAATATGTCAGCCCCAAATACCACGCCGTCGCATCATCAGGTGTCCACTCAAGCGCGCTCTTCCACGGATCGCAGAAACTACTCGCGAGTTCTTTCTGCTGCTTCACTCGCTGCGCATCGGTCCAGTGCTTGGTCGCCTCCTGCTCCTCCAGACTCGAGCGCCATGACACGTAGAAGAAGAAGGTCCAGCTCGAAGGATCGTTGGGGTCGGGCGCGTCCTGCATGCCGAAGAACGCGAAGGTGTTGTTTGGGTGCGCGGAGGCAAGGAAGAGCGGGTGGAAGGAGCGCAGATAGAGCGCTTGCTCGGAGGTGAAACGCTGCTGGATGAAGGTTGCGCAGTAGGGGATGTGAGTTATGGCGCCGAGGTCTGGGCCGAGGAGGAGGCTTCGGGTTTTTGAGCGGGCGCCGTCGGCACCAACGAGGAGGGAGCCTGTGGTGGCGCTACCGTCGGTGAAGTGTGCGGTGACGGACTGCTCGTCGGAGGCGTAGGTGATGTTTTGGAGGTGCTTGCCATATTGGATGTCAAGGCCCTGGGAAAGCAGGTCTCGCAGCTTGCTTCTTCGCAGACGATAGAATGGACCAAAGGTGATTGTTGCTAACCTCTCGCCGGTGTCGCCTTTCATCCAGATAAGATTGTCCAGGTCTTTTGTGGGCACGTGAGGGTCGACTTGGAGGCTTTGGACTTTCTCCTCGAATTGGCCATCTGGCATGAGGCTTTTGAGTGCTTGAGCACCCCAATGCAGGCCCATGTTCCAGTCCCTTTCTCCATGATGCTGATCGTTCTTCTCGAGGACAGTGCACGGTATTCCCGCCTGGTGATGTTAGTTAACGTTCGAAGTCGGTAAGCCACAACCGCTGATCGGTGAAGTAGATGACATAATGCTGCATAGTGAGGTTACACAGCGTCGTCTCTTTTCATTTACCTTTCGAAGTCCCTGCGCAAGTGCGAGACCTGTACTGCCTTCAACTCATAATCAGTTTGGTTCCACAGCATAATCAACCAGCCTCGTGCACGCACCAGACCCTATGATCAGCACAGGCAGCTCGCGTAATGCGCCATCGTTCGGCGCTTTTCCTGCCATTGCAGCCTTGATTTAGCGGAGGTCTTTTCGCATCGAGCTGCACGTTGATTCTAGATTTTAATTCAATGGCCGACGTCGTTGACAGAAGGTTTGCAGTCTCCTGAAGGAAGGCCACTTCTCGCATGTGTCGGCGCGCCATCCCAGTAGAGCGTCGATCCGGTCTTTCTTTCGGTGCGTCTTGCACCGGACCACATCAACGGCGCGTCGTCCTCCGTCTCTCTAGAGCACCGGACGAGGACGCCAATTCGCAGCAAGCTTACGCCGGCCGTCTTTTAGCGAAATGGCGGCACGGCTATGGACTCACGACTGGCTGTCGGCACGTCGTAAAGCGGGACCTTTCCACTAGTTCCCGCCACTGAGGAGCGATGTGCTTCAAGTCAGCAGCTGCCCACGCTCGTTGCCGTCCAATATAGCCAGACGGTTTCCGCGGAAGGGACGATGCAGATTAACGGCGGGGACGTTTTCGGCTATTCAGCGACCCATACTGCAACTGTTTCCCCCTGTACGGTCTCAAAAAACCTCGATCTTTTCTTTACCGCGACCATTCCACTGGGACTGTATTTCTGAGTTGCCTGTCATGACTACGATGAGCCGCATAGTGCAGCACCCCAGCGGTCAGGACAGCGGCGTTGATCTACACGCGCCCGCTGAGTTCCCGCAGATGAGCCAGCCCGTCGACGAAGCAACGCCAGAAGAAGAAGAGCGGATCCACGACTATTCCTCTGACTCAGGCTTTGACAGCGGTAGCCTTATGGACGACGAGACCGACTCCCTCGCCTCCAGTATCCTCCAACATCGGATAGAGAACGGCCGACAGTACCATGCATATCGGGATGGCGCGTACTGGGGACCCAACGACGAGCCTGCAAAAGAGATTCTCGATTTTGCACACCATATGTACCTGCTCACCCTCGATCAGAGGCTCCATTTGGCTCCCATTGAAAGCCCCCAAAACATCCTTGATGTGGGCACGGGTACAGGCATATGGGCCATCGATATGGCTGATCAATATCCCTCTGCAACCGTTACTGGCACTGATCTCTCGCCCATCCAGCCTGAGTGGGTACCTCCAAATTGCCACTTTGAGATCGACGATGTAACGCTGGATTGGACGTTTCCAGATGACCATTTCGACTTCATTCATATCCGCGAGCTGTTTGGGTGCATATCAGATTGGGACTTCTTCTTTCAAGAAGCGTATACGCACACGAAGCCTGGAGGCTGGGTCGAAATTGTAGAACATTCTGTGCAACCAATTGCAGATGATGATACAGTGGGACCAGATCACTTCTACCACACATGGGGCGAGACGGTCATTGAGATGGGTGACCGATTTGGTAAGAGCTTCACGATCTGGGAAGAGGCTAAGCAGAGGATGGAGCAAGCTGGTTTCGTGGATGTTGTCGAGGTGAGGTACAAATGGCCAATGAATGGATGGCCTACAGACAAGAGGATGAAAAACATCGGGAGATGGAATCAGCTGCGGCTACACGATGGGATTGAGGGGTTCATGCTGAGGCTGCTAACGCAGGTCGGCGGCTGGAGTCTCCCGAGAGCGCAGGTGCATCTTGCGCAGATGAGGAAAGAGCTGAAGAGTTACAGGGCGCATGCATATCTGCCAGGCACTGTTGTGTATGGCAGGAAACCACTGAAATGATGCCAGTGGTATCTTTCTTGCATTTTGGCCCTTCCTCCACGATTTCCAGGCTATGTTTGAAGCTTGCAGACCATCCCAATGAGCCTTCTCATGCCTCTCGATACAACGGACGCTACCTCTGGTTGACCCGCCCATCATTCCCGGCTGGCAGCTCAGAGACTTGATTTGTGCCAGTCCCTAATTCATGAGCATTGGCGGTTTTACTTGAACCCAACTCAGCTGTGGCTCTTCCATTTGAACCTAACTCAGCCGGGGCAGTCGGAGCAGCCGCAGCATTCACTTCCACGCGAGCGTCATCTCCATCCTTCTGGTGGATCTGGGAGCCGTCAGTCTGATATAGCGTGCCGTCATCGCTCCGCGACTTCTGCTCCCCAGCAGCCGTCACCTGGCTCGCACGTTTCCTTCTACGCAACAACAACAGCACCAGCCCTAGGATTGCAGCAAGCGCAACAAGCGCTCCCAACACAGCACCAGCGATCACGCCACCACTAGTCTTCTTCTTCGCAGACGAAACGCTACTCGACACTGCCAGCGATTGCGTGGAGGCATGCGCTGACGACAGACTCCTATCCGCAGTTGTCAGATGAGACGCAGCAGAACCCCATAACGTCCTTATCGAGGCCTTAGTCCCACATCCGATCACTGGCTTACTCGGCGCCCACCCATCAATTGGATGCGCCCAGCCCTGCGCACCCGTCGTACTCGGCGCCCAAATCTCTTGATGCGCCGACCCTGTGGAATCATACACCACGGCCGTCAACTCCTGACTAATTGGAATATTTGTGTAGCAAATGCCGCCATACGCCGGCCGCGACGCAACGACTGGTGTCCCTGTGGTCTGGAAATTGTACCCCGTCGGACAGCATGCGACGTAGTTGTTGTCACCTACGTACTGCGTGCAGAAGTTCTCGGGACACACCAGTGGGCTCATCGCCGGCACGATCGAAGATCCGAGTGCGCGTGCGCTCGTCGGCGCAATGGACGTGTACGAGCGCAGGAACTCGCTTGGGTAGCAGTCGCTAACTGTCACGCTGCTGTATGGTACGGGCTCGTTCCACCAGATCAGAAAGCCGGGGGAGGGCAGGATGTTGATCTGTGAGGGCAGCGCGCATGATGCCGGCGGTGTGAAGGTTGTCGACAGCGCGATTGCTGCAGTGGGTTGCCTGAGATTTGGCACGAGGGGTTGGGGAGTTTGCCGTGCGAAGAGGTGGTTTGGAGACATCTTGAGTACGCGCGAGCGATGTCGCGTGCCGAGTGGATTGAGAAGGTAAGCACGAGTTGGGGCCTAAGGTCTGCACTTATGGATTTCGTCGCGCGGTCATGCGCGATTTCAAGTGGCACAAATCATTTCGAGTCCGTAAGCAGGTGTCCGATCACTGCATGGTGGTTTATCGACCGCCCTTGCCTGTAGCCAATCAAAGTATCCTAGTGTACACAAGCTAGCCATTTTGGCCCCTTTGTATCGCGGGACATGCTTGGCTCTCACCGGTAATCAGGGGTTATTACTGTGCGGCTGAGCCTTGCTTTCGCGAATCGAGATCTTAGGATCATAGGATTCTACGACCAAATTTCTTCAATAGGTTTTTGGATACACCGCCATCTGCTGTTTTTCATTTTTTAGACCATCTCTCGTCCATAGTACATAATGTGCGGGAGGTTCCAACACTTCTTACTGATGGATGAAGTAATGGCATTCTGCTTCTTCAACGTTATGTCTGCTCCCTCCCACTGCTTCAATGAGTGGACTGTAGCCAGACTCACAGCTTGAGAGCATGCGAGCTGTTGCGCACAGCTTCTCGAGAGACTGACCAGATTGCTACTTTGGCGAGCGTGGTTTGTGTATTATGTATGTAAAGAGCTGATAACGTCTTGGTGAACGCGTGTATAACATCAAACATTAGTCTACAACGCACACTACAAAAGATGTAAAATTAACACGTCCCTTTCAGTGCATGCCCCGGCAACTGTCCCACACCAATCCCACTATCCCCACTCTCTCGCCCATGAACCGCACTCTCGATATATCCCGCAATGTTTTTGGAGTCAGGTGCAGGTCCAACCAGCCTTATACTCTGCTTGAGTTTCTCACTCTTGAGGTTCTTCTGGTGCTTCTTCCACGCATCGTGGGCATGCCTTGCCTTTTCGAACACGTTCAGTTTGTGGATCACGTTCTCTAAGGATTCTGGGACCAGATGTTCGGCGCCATGAGACGGAGGTGATGTAGTGAGCAGCGAGCCGATGTTGTGCGATCGACGGCGTGATTGTGGGGGTTTGTAGGTCGATGGTGATAAGGAGGGATCCTCGTGCGGTACTGGGGTGGGGAGAGATATCGTGGAGCGTGAGAAGAATCCTGGAGCTCGAGGTAGAGCTAGAGGTGAAGCAATATTCCGTTCGTGGGTACTTGGACGCGCAGCCTGTGGTTGGGAGTCGATACCCTGAGTCGAACCGCGACGCGAGAGATTATAGTGGACTGGTTCCTGGACGAGAAAGTCGAGCCATGAGCGATCGCCAGAGGGCAGCGTTGATGAGCCGTCAGCAGTCTGCGGCCGTAGCATCGACGATGAGGTCTGGCGTACTACTGTAAGACCACCTGGTAGGCGGAATACAGGTTTCGCCAGCTCGAACGGGGCGACGAAGGCCGGAGGGTTTGTAGGCGTTTGACAAGATTGTTGAGGTATTGGGAGCGAGATGAGTAGAGGCGTCGGAGGCTCAGATTGCCTGCGCAGTATTTTACGAGATATAAGGTCTTTACCCTGCTGAACGAAGTTTGCGAGGCGTGCCTCGTTCTTTATCTGTTGATCCACATCAGACTCAGGAAGCTTAGCGTGCGAAATACCCGCAGGGTCGCTGATGGATCGTTGATTAAGCCCAGTACGCGGATCTTTCCGTTTGCGATGGTTGATCCATGAACTCATCATCCTGAGATTCCTATATCGTCCAGAAGAGGAAGTAGCCGGTAGCTGCGGGCGTTCAGGCATTGTCGATGGTGGTGGGCACCCAGAGTCTTTCTTCCACATCAAAGGCCGAGGAGTGTATTCGGGATTTTGAGGAAGCGTCCTCGCTTGATCGTTGTGCCGGTATTGATCATTGTCATCAAGACTTTGACGTGCAAGGACATTGTGATAGTCCTGGGCGAAGATCAAAGCTTGCATCTTGTCGCTGAGTTCAAGGTCATCTGATCTATCGGAGATGTCTTCTGGGATAGCGCTCCCTTTCCTGAATGTTTCGAGCTTGTTGTCCTGCAAATTCATGCTGGGCTCACCCTCGAGCTGTGCAGAGTCTGAGCGCTGATGCTGATTGTCCCACATAATACCTTGATCACGCCGCGAACCCGGACCAAGCGAACTGATCGCTCTTTCGGTCATCGACATATCTTTCAGAGCAGAAACGAGGTCCAGAGGAGACGGTAGTTCTGTGGGAGATCCTACAGAATCGTTCTCAAGACTTTCTACTAGTAATCCATCCCCGTGCGTACTTGTTGAGTGTCTTGAATATACCGACGGCAGTGTGTCTCTCGAAACCCTTATGGTCGAGGCTGGGTATGACGCCGATAGTGTTGGTCTGGAAGGATTGCGAGGTGGGACCTCGGGCGTGACTGCAGTACGCTCCCGAATAGGGTCCAAGAGCGTTTGTTGGAACGGACCGTGGCCTTGTTGCCAGAGGATGGGATCTGCCTGCATTGCCGCGATGTCTTCCGGTGGTTCTGGTATGAGAGGAGAGTATTCCCGAAGAGCGAACGGAGGCGTCAACTGCTCTTGACAGTTTTCGTTGTTATCCCAGCTAGGGGGCGCTTCCCACAAGGACAATCTGGTACTTCGAGTCTGAATAGTAAGTATTGACGACAAAGACGGGCTCCTCGTTTCCTCAGACTTGACTGGTAATGGCGGTAGAGGCTTGTTCGGATTCGTACGCGGTGGTATCGCACGAATAAAGGACCTGAACGATCGGACTGGGCGTTGCATTCCTTGTAGACGTGAAGAATATAACATGCTGTGCTTGTCCGGAGACGGTTTTTTGGAAGAGGTCATTCCTCGACTTTCGCGAACGGTACTATTGAAGAATACAAGCGCTACCTTGGCCTTCTTCTAGAATATTACCTGACAAAGAGATGCCGTTAAAGCCATCGCACGTGGCTGAGCACACGTTCCCAGTAATGGCGTACATCCAATGTAGAACAAAGACCAGAAACAATCAAGACGGCTAGGACCTCAATGCCGCACGCGGCTAAGAGCTGCTTGGCTGAATACTCGCGCCTGAGTGACGATCAAGATCTCCTTACGGGATAGGTTTTAGACCCTGAGAGACCGAGTCTTGTCTCTCAGGAATGAGCATTTCGTGTTGTTGTTGAAGGACAGTGCCATCCTCTTCCTCGATTGCAAAGCGTCACGGGCGATGTTTCGTGGGACCATGTTATCTTTCGACCCTGCATTAGCTATATCCAGATTGATTACCTACTTTTCGTTTAATGAGGTTAATGAGGAACGAGGCTGGGACGGCGGTGGAGCAAGAATGCGAGTAGGAAGGGTCGCCGCTTTCAGCGCTAGGTGGGCCGCAGGCGAATGCGGCGCTGCAAGGCTCCACCCTTCAACAGCACTGTCCGCGACGATGTTAATCAGCGACTCATAATACGATATTATGTAGGTACTGCACTCAGGCCTGTCGCTCAGCCACTTGATAAAATGTAGCATTAGGCAATAAGGATTAATCATCTCATTGGGTCACTTGCTTCTTGGGGTGTGTACGCTCGAATAGAGTTATTTAGTAGGAGTCCTGCAGCTTATTGGCTGCAATCAAGATGGTTTGGATCTTACAAAAGTGCCAATTGGCTTGTCGGACGTGCCTAAGTGTAGTACGTAAGCATGCACATTACCCATGGTTGAAGGCCGAGAAGAGCATAATGGGCACCAGAAGCGGATCTGGACTGTGTTATCAGACACATCAAGGTACGGTCAATCTAACCGTCCAATACACGGAATCGCCTAAAAGGATCGCCTGCGTTAGCAACTCGAGTCAGAAACATGTAGATGTACGAGTAGTAACTGATCGCCTATCATCGTAGACCAGAGGAGATTTGCAGTGCCTATTAGGGCTCTCGACCTGCGTAGACCAGACTGTATCATGCCATCGGACACAGATTCTACTCACAAGAAATTCTGGAAGAGATGATCACAGCTGTTGCACAAATACGAGGTCTCATTCTCATTGCAGCCTTGCCCGACCATCTGGCAATCAAATTCACTAGTGGACCTTCCCATCAATGACGTAGCCGTGCATGCATCCGTACCCCTCCAGACGACCTCCAAACCGCATCGCCAAGTATCACCAAAGCTTATTTCACAACCCCTACCTTACATCCCCAGGTTCCCAATTGCAAAGATGAACTACGACCAAGCAGGTGTCACCCGCTCACTCAACACCATCCAAAATGAGCTGCAGTACCTTGCTTCGCAGGGCGTCATTGCACCTCCCCAGATGCAATCGATCCAGGCACAACTCCCAGTCAGCAAAACGAATCTGGAAGCACGTGTGTCAGCTGATCATGTATAGCGATCCGACGGCCAGCCAGCACAGTACATCGACCCCCGCTACGTGAACGGCAACCAGCAGTTCAACCCGGCGTTGATCGCACAGCAGGCCCAGGACCCCAATAACCCTGCGCACCCCAAAAACCCCAAGGTAAGACGGTCTGACCGGCGTGCTAAGATCGCAGGGTATACTGACTCCAATAGCACCATGAATGGGCGGGGAAGCTTGCCCACAAGTTTGGTAACGCGGCGGTATACGGCGCCGGAGCGACATTCGGTGCTGATCTAGTGAACGATGTTATGAGGAAGTTCTAAGCAGGCTGTGCGCCAAGCAATACGAGCGTGGATGCACCCGTGTTGTGACAGTTTGGTCGGTTATGGAATTGATGCTGTGAACTGATTGGGTATATAGCTTGAGAAACCTGTGCCACCTGAAACATTGACGAATTCTCCATCGGCTTTCGTTAAGCGTCTGTGGAGCATGTTCTGGACTGGCCCCAGTGTTCACTTCTTGCGGAAGGACAGAATCTAATCGCGATCGAGGGCGAGGCATTTGTACCCGTGCTTGTACTAGGGCCCCTCCTACATGATGCACAACGCTTTTGCTGCGCAACGGAGAGTTTGCAAAACAACATATAGCATGTTGCTTACCGGTCGTGTGGCAACTTCAAGGATGTCGCGGCTGGTCTTGTATTGCTTGTAGGCCCAGATCTCCACAGATTTGTTCTCCAGTGTCTGTTGAAAGTTGTGATGAAGCCTTAATCCTGGATCAATGTTCGCCGCGCCCTCTACCTCTTCCCCGACCTCCGCGCTTGTTGCCTCTCCACCCACCTCTTCCACCCCTTCCGCCGCGGAACCCTCGTTCTTCACCGCGCTCTCTTTCCTCCTCTTCCCTCTTCATCATCTCCCTCTCACGCTCTAAACGCTCTGCTTCAAGCTCCTCGGGGCTCTTTTCGATGCGCACCTCTGGCTTCTTGAGATCTGTCGGGAATCTTGGGTGTGCACCATCTTTACACTGTGGCCCTGCAGGGCAGAAACCGCACAAGTAGAACGGACATATCCTCTCCTTCTTATTGTGCTTGAGCGCGCAATGTGGGCCGAGTGGACAGAAACCGCGGTCATAGTGTGGACATGAAGGTCGTTTGGCTTCAGGATCAATGTGGAGGTATAAACAGTCGTCCCCATTAGAGCACGTCTGCGTTCGAGCGTAGTAGGAGCATTCGGGCATTCGTCGAAGGTTGTATTCGTGCAAGAATTCGCAGGTTTCGCCTTTCTTACATAGGCCACGGAGCCAATGCTTGCAGACCAGACTGAGGGTTGTCAGTACATGTTTTTCTAATAAGACACACGTAAACAGTAGACGTAACATACTTGTTGTATGAAGACGAGACATGATGCTTGTCAGGGCAGCGACTCCCCAAAGGGCAGTGCCCTTGCTGGTATGCTCTACATAACGGGCGGTTTGGGTCAAGGCCAAATCTGTACTCTCGTCGCAGGAAGTCGCTAAAGCTGAAGCTGTATTGAGCTTTGCCGGTCTCTTCGAGCTGCTGATCAGGTGCTACCGGGGTCTGCACCTCCGTCATAATGTCCGTTGATGGGGCTTGTCGAGTCGCAAGCTTATGGATCTGGCGTGGGCGCTGAGCTCAGGCTAAAATTGGCGTCTATAAATTCTCGAGGCTAGTCGCTTCTTTCGATGGGAGTCTCAAGACGCGCGTAAGAGATGTGCGGGTTGGTTGTCGTTCTGACGCTGGATATCTTTCAGTATGCGCGCCGACGCGTTCACTAGCGCCTCGTGCCAAGATCTGCACTCCTGCACCCCATATGCATCATCGGATGCCCTCTCTCCTGCAACACATTTGATTGATCTGCGTACCTGCAGGATCAGGGTCACAACACGAATGTATGCTCATTGACCGACGACTGGTGCTGTCACGAGATATCAGACTGGGAATTCCGGCCAGCATATTCATATCTTTGCCTTCGGGAATTTGAATGCATGTTGTGCTCCTCAAATCGGGACCTGTGTAACCACTATTTGCCTCCTCCACAAGCACGACCTTCCACACTATGCCACAAGGGGTCAGCATGCTTACGTTCGTTGCAGTCGATTGAACATGCTCATACGGTTACGGAGGGTCGATACCGAGCATTCCCAGTAGAGAACACACTACCCCCCTCCCACAGATGATCACACGCGTCTAAATACCTAGTGAGTGGTCGGAACAGGAGCAGCGAGAGACCTAGTAACGACTCTCTTCAACGTGTATGGTTGCTCCTCAAGCATAGACCTTCATTTTACAGACCTTGAAGCCATAGCTGATGCAAATGGTGATGATTTAAGTGTTGCTATCCCTTGGAAAGACATCGGCCCCACATTACCTCTTCTATATTGATATAGTAAGGAAGATGAAGATGAGCGAGTGTCTCTACTTGATACATCTACTTTTCGAGAAGCTGATCAAGTACTTGTCACCTAGTAGATTATCAGTGGATCATTAGTCCTGCATCAATCATTAGAATATACATGTCCGACTTGCTTGGATGCTAGTTATCAATTTGATCTAAAAACATGTCAACAACCCTAATTCATCCCATGTTGCAGTCTCGTAACGCGTGGAACATATAAACTTGCGAAAAGCAAGTACTCGCTTCGTAGGTGACGAGTCCTTGATGCACATGCATGTAATAATATAAAGGCACACAGTCTAAGCCAACGCACCGCCTCGTCACAGCCTCAAAGCCCCGCTGAGTATCTTGGCTGCTATTCGTCAGCCTCGTATTTCGACGTGCAACACCGGGAAGGCGGCTAAGCGGCAGCTAGCGGAAGATTGACGGAACCTTCCTCAACTATCCTCTCTCCACCACGACACCCATCTCTCAACACCATTCCTAAATATGCTTGCAAACGGTGTTTACTATCCTAATTGGCGCATCTACCGCGATCAGCCGCCTTCAACCTTGAACTTCAATGTCATCTCACACGTGTTCTACGCTTTCGCTTGGTAAGTTACCTGTTGTATCAATTGTGGCTGTGCACTAGCTGATCTCTCAGGGTGAAGGAAGATGGCACAGTATACGTAGGTATCTAACAGTCCATCGACTACTAGCTTTCATTGACAGAATTGTAGCTTAGCGATGAATGGGCAGACACCCAGATCGATGTTCCAGGCTATGAGGATGTTCCTGCCGCAAAGGGGTGTTTGAACTCTCTCGCCGAGCTAAAGAAGAAGTACAACATGCTGAAGGTAGTCCTTTCCGTTGGCGGCGGAGGTGAGGGCAGTAAGCCCTTCGCCGGGGTTGCTTGCGATCCTGCGAAGCGTGATCAATTCGCGCGATCATCATTGGAACTGTGCCAGCAGTTCAGTATCGATGGCATTGACAGTATGTCTCAGAATCATCTCCACGGCTTCACGATTACTCACAGTATTGCTAGTCGATTGGGAGCATCCCGAGAACAAGAGTCAAGGTGAAGATTATATTCAGTTGCTGGCAGCACTGCGACAGTACCTCCCTGGACCTCAATACATCTTAACGTCTGCTCTTCCTGCCGGCGAGTGGGCGTTACAAAACATCAATCTGCACCAGGCTTCCTACTACCTGGACATGATCAATCTTATGGCCTACGACTACTCTGGTCCTTGGGTCAACAAGTGCGGCCACCAAGCTCAGCTCTTCACGCCAAGCTCTCCGCATAGTCCGGAGGCGGCGATATCGTGCCACTCTGCTGCAGCGTACCTGCAGCGGCAGGGGGTGCCATCCAACAAGATTCTCATGGGTGTACCGGCTTACGGTCGATCCTTCACAGGTACGCGTGGTGTAGGCCACTCATTTTCTGGTCAGGCGGGTGAGGAGGGCACGTTCGAGTACCGCGACCTGCCTCGCCCTGGATCTGAGGAGCATGTCGATGAGCAGCTCGGTGCAGCTTACTGCATGGGCGGCGATGGTGGCTTCGTGACCTACGACAACCCTTACACGGTTAGGATGAAGGCCAACTACGTGCGCCAAAACGGACTCGGAGGGTTATTCTACTGGACCGGTGCGGGAGATGCGAGCTCCATTGACAATAAGGATCGCAGTCTGGTCTGGAACGGCTTCCTCGGTCTCTTCCCACAGTGAGGATTCCCTGCGCCACAACCTTCCACCTCACAGCTATGAGCATCGGCGGTACATTTTTAGACATTGGATACAAAAGTCATAGCGTAGCATAGCGACACGAGCATATATTCTACTACCTGTTCGTTCTGATCTGTGTTGCAAGGCCCTGCATGACGTCGGTTCTCACATGAAGGCCGGGGGTTAGCGCCGCGCTTGGACCCAGCCTGTGGACACGCGAATGGTAGGAGACGTGACAGGAAGGAGCTCAAAGCTCACAACTTCACGCTCCTTCCTGTGCTTCAAAAGCAATAGTTTGTAGTCATTTCTCTCCTCGTTTGTCGCCACATCTGCGGCGTACATTTCCCTACATCTTCGCAGCCGCAACTTCCCTAGCTGCGGACCGCGATCACACGCGGCTCAATGCAGGCCTAACTGCACTTCATGTCACTGGATTCTGGTATTACCGATACACGACTGTTCAATATTCTACATGATCACTGATAGAAGCCGCAGCTGACTACGACCCAATCGGCCACCTGAACGCGATCTTCAGTCACCCCGCAACCTTCCCCTCCGTTTCGAGCACCTCCGAGGCGCTCCGCAGCTACCAAGATGACTTGGACGAGGACATCGCCGTCTTCGTCGCCTCACAGTCTGCCTCTGATGCCGACAGCGTACAACGAATACAGTCCGCCAAGATCGAGCTGGCGGACCTGTTCAAGAAGATCGAGAGCGTGCGGGAACGGGCCATGCAAACAGAGCAGACCATCACCGACATGACATCGGACATAAAGCGCCTGGATAGCACGAAGCGCAATCTCACATTGTCAATGACGGCCCTGAAGCGACTGCAAATGCTGACGACGGCATATGAACAACTGCGGAGTCTCAGCAAGTCGCGGCAGTATCGCGAATGCGCTCAGCTGCTGCAGGCTGTCATACAGCTGGTGGCGCATTTCAAGAGCTACAGGTCAATCGATCAGATCGCTACCTTGAGTCGAAATGTGGCAGATGTGCAAGGCGAGCTGCTCGAGCAGGTGTGTGAGGACTTCGAGGTCACCTTTGCGAAGGGCGACGTTGCGCAGAAGAAGGCGATGCTAGCTGAGGCATGTCTGGTCATTGATGCGCTTGGCGACCACGCTCGTACACGGCTCATCAACTGGTATTGTAACACACAATTGCGCGAATACCGACAGGTTTTCCGTGGGAACGATGAGGTTTGTAATGATTTGTCAATCGTTCGGTTGTTCATGCTAACATTGTATAGGCTGGTTCCTTGGACAACATCTCGCGACGTTATTCATGGTTTCATCGCATGATGAAGACATACGACGTTGAGCATGCCGCGATATTCCCTGCATCCTGGCGCGTGAACGAAATGCTTGCCAATTCCTACTGCGAAGGCACAAGAGACGATTTCAAGGGCATTCTCCAGCGTTCGGTGCGACGAGGTGATGGCCAGACGCTAGATGTTGGTCTGCTGCTATCGTGTCTTCAGGAAACTCTTGATTTCGAGCACAGTCTGGAACGGCGATTCTCAAACGAGTCTCGATCATCGATGGACACAATTGTTTCCAAGGACGAACGACCTCATGGTTTCAGTCAAGCTATATCTGAGGCCTTCGAGCCTTACATGAGCTTATGGGTCGAATCTCAAGACAAACAGCTGGCCACTTTAATACCAAAGTACCGTCAGCAACCACTGCGAAACACCGAAGAAGAGTTCTCGTCACAAGCCGTCATACCATCGTCTACAGAACTTTTCCACTTCTACCGTCTTACTCTTGGGCAATGCGCGAAGCTTTCTACAGGAAGCCGGCTCGCAGAATTGTCGACGACTTTTGCAAAGTATCTGGATCAATACGGACAGCAAGTGCTTTATTATTTCCTTAGCGAAAGACCAGGCGCACAAGGCCCGTCTATAGAGGACGCCATTCTCATCATCAACACTGCCGACTACTGCTATGCTACCTGCAATCAACTCGAAGAGAAGATAAGAGGGCGTATCGATGAAGAGTTCAAAGAGAAGGTCGACCTGCAGAGCCAAGCAGATGCTTTCATGGGCATTGCCAGTGCAACTGTCCGTTTTCTTGTCAGAAAGGTCGAGCTCGCATGCGAGCCTACCTGGAGAGAGATGCGCAACACACCGTGGAGCAAACTTGAAAGTGTCGGCGATCAGAGCTCTTACGTTGCAGAGCTCTTACGTCATGTTAAGGAGACTTCAGCCGATATATTGAAGCTTCTCCACAAGCAACAATATTCGCGAGCCTTCTGCGATAACCTTGTTGACCAGATGGCCACTACATACATCGCAAACATCGTGCAAAGCAAACCTATCTCCGAAGCCGGTGCCGAGCAGATGCTGCTAGACTCTTATGTTCTGAAGAAGGGTTTCACGGAGTTTCCCATCATCAATCAGGAAGCCGGGACAGCTATCCCAGCCAGGTTAGTCACCTTCACACCTCAAATTGTATGATGTACTAATGACTCTAGCTTCGTAAAACGCGTAAATCAGGCCATGTCACGCATCGATCCCCTCCTTAAGACTCTGCAAGTCCGTCCTGCTCCGCCCGAAGCCCTTGTTCAGGCGTACCTTATCCACATCGCCGACAAGTCCGATACAAACTTCCGCAAGATCATGGATCTGAAGGGCATTCGCAAAGCCGAGCAGACGCAGCTTCTGGACCTCTTCTCAGCCTTCAAAGCCTCGCCCTCTCATTCCGGACTTGTCGATTACTCGCCCTTCCTCACACCAATTCAACTCCAAGCCCCAACTTCAGCGGCCAGCATTGGTAGCAACGTAGGCAGTGTAATGGGCAACATGGGAACACCCAGTCTGGCATCTGGGCGCTTCGATCCAGCAGGTCTAGGCAACATGTTGGTCAATGCTGCGAGGGATGGAGTGGATCGGTTTGGCAGTCCAGCACCAGGACAGCAAACTGTGGAGGGAGATGGGAAGGCGAATTTGAACGATAATCTAAAAAACATCGGGAAATTCTTTAGAAGAGATGCAGGTGGATTTAGAGGTTTCGGAAAGAGTGATGGGTAAAATGACAAAGTTAGGTATAATCGTCAAGTCTGGCCGGCCTTCACTTCACAATCATACTCGTCGTCAGCTACCGACTTATGTGTTGGCAACAGCATTTTTACTTGATCAGCTAAGGTGTCTCATCGATCCATTGATGCCTTCTTAATTGGAAATATAAAAGAACGAGCTCAAAGTCTGAGACTACGACAATGCAGGGCCTGGAACGGAGGCTTTTGGAACGGCTTGGAGACGGATTGAGAAGGTGATGCACCGATAGAAGAATACAAAACTTTTATTGGGAATCGAAATGAGGAGACTTGGTTTGAAATCAGACGCTGAGGCCCTCCTCGCCATGCTGGACCATGGTGTGGTGTGCCACACCATGCGCAATGGAGGGAGGGAATAATCAATGTTTCTAGGAAAGGCGAACCACCACAATTTCATCTCCACCGCAACCCAACGCTTGCTAGAACAACCCTTCCATGCCTTCGCCATCTTGCGTTCTCGTATCTTTTCACCATATAACCAGACCGAGTATAACCCACTTCTCACCAGCGACGGTTCACCTTTACTCGCCGCCGCCCACGCTTTCACCTGCCCTGACGCAGTGCACTCGCACAATGTCGCCAACATACTTATTCCCTCGAGCACGACGTCAGCTCTGTATCCAGGCTTCTACACATTCAAACACGCAACGCACTCAACCGTTAACTACTCCGACTACGCAGCGTGCATACTGGTATGGTGACTGCTCCTGATAGTGAAATTGGCGACATGAGCAGCAGCAAGAACGACGATAAGAACGACAGCAAGAACGAAAGCAATGTCAACGAAAGCAAACCTGTCGCTACCATCGACTGTAAGCAAAACGCCGAGTACACAGCGCAAAATCAGCGAGATACAGTGTATTGGCCGTCGAATAGACCGGGCTGCGCTGAGACACCGCAGTCGGGTCGTGAGTTATTTCGCGAGCGGTTTCTGCTGATGATGGGGAGTACGAAAGGAGGGCTTGGGAGCAAAGCAAATGAGGGCGAGAAGGGGAATGGGAGTGGAAGTGGGAAGACGAAGGAGGGTGGGTGCTGAGTCACGGGCTATGCTGGACATATCTCGCCGAGTCCTTTGCGATTAGCAGCGGGCGCGCTGTTGGGTGCAGAGCAAAAGCAGCAGACCGGCGTAGCAAGTCTTGCTCCTCGATGGCGAGATCAGATTGGGAAATCTGTGCCTTGAATAGTGAGCCTCAATCTTGCAAGCAGTTTCATTCTTACCGGACTACAATGTCGACAGAGAGGGCTAAGATCGAAGCTACGTTTACGCGCAGAGTCATGCCTAGGTCAAGCTCTGTGGGCTATAAAGATTATCAGATACCGCAACCATGCAGCAGGTCATGACCCGGACATGTCTTGCTGCAGACAACATCCGACGAGGAGGGTTATCCCTACCTTCATCCTAGCCGACAGATCATCCTACACAAGCGACTCGAGGAAGCTCCACAACACTGGCCTCACTCCAAACGTCTCCATTGCCTTATCACTTACCTGCAACAAATCTCTTGGCAACCACAAAGCATGTCATCCTTCGAAGTACAGCCCTGCATCGAGGCAGACATTCCCTGCGTCTTCGAAATCGTATCTCTGGCCTTAGCCCACGACCATGAGTACATAGACGCCGTGTTTCCAGCACACGCTACCCTGAGCAGCCGTAAGATAGGCGCCGAGCGCATGCTGCAAATGTTCCACAGAGACCCGAATGGCCACTTCATGAAAGTTGTCGACAACGATACTGGCACGGTTGTTACAGCGGCGAATTGGAATTGGCAAGGGTGGAGAAGTTCCTCCTCAGCCCGAGATCGACGGCGATTACTGGAGCAGTGGTGAGGAGAAGGAGTTTGCGCAGGCGCTGTTCCATGCGTTCTTTGCTCCGAGACAGAAGGTGATTGAGGAAACGAATGGACGCTTGGTTGGTATGTCGAGCTGACGTTTTTGGGCATGTAGAGACCACGCTAACATGTATAGCACTGGAGATGATGATGACTGACCCTGCTTATCAGAACTTGGGTGCAGGTCAGTTGCTGGTAAGATAGGGACTAGCTTGAGCAGATGAGCTGTGTATAGATGTGAGTTTTTAGCACTTAGTGGTAAGTGCTCAAGCTAATGGGTCAGACTACCGTTGGAGCTTTGGACAGAGGTCGTAAAATGTATACATCAGAAGGCTCTGACAGCTCACACTATGTAGTTCCTATACCAGAGAAGTCAACTACGAGATACAAGCAAACATACTAGTAGATGAGACGGCCGGCACAGATTGTAGCTCAGAACCCATAAGCCAGTAAACCTAAGCAGCTATCATAGTCAACTCCTTGGAATCGAGCGTGTTCACAATGTCAAGCCTCCATATGCGAAGAAAATGTATCGGCCGCTTGAAGTGTCTGGACCTCGCCACCATATCTCCACGCTCGCGAAAACTACTCCACTCCATCGCGCTCTCATCCGTCGCGCTGCCGCCGCTCAGCCGTTCATCTGATGGCCACGCAAATCTAGTTCTTCGCTACGCACGACCGACCCGCCGTGCATCCCACGCACCATTCCGCAAACCACCCAACGCGCCGCGATCGCATCTGCAAATCTCCACCGCCAACACATCCCCCAGAAATCCGCTTCGCAGGGAGAAATTAATAGCAGACGCATGTTCCAATCTAGGACACGGAGCACGGGGGCGGCTCAACCGCGCCACGAGCCTCGATCTCACGGGCCATGCAGGTACCCCGGCCTGTGACATGGCGAGCATGCAGAGCCCCTCTTTTCGCGGGCTGGGGTCCAATTTCTGCCTTCCATCGACCCGTTAAGCGGTTCGCGGTCGCAGGCGCGGCCTGCCTGTCGCGGAAAACGCTCCGGGCGGACGTGCCGTGCTGCGTGCCATGTGCAGCCCGTGGGCGTGCAAAGGCGCGGGTCCAGAGATCGGCGGCGAGGTTCCAAGAAACAACGTGCCGCTGTCAGGCTGGCGGCGCCCCTACCCGGCCTGTACGACGGTGGAAGTGATGCACGCTTCGCCGACTCGTAGATGTCGCATGATATCGCGTTTGGCATCGTTCGGGGTCCACCAGAGCGGCAAGAGTCGTCAGTTGTTCCCCATCGAGCGTAGCTGCAGGAACGTCAGCACGGCAAGATGGATCCCTGTAACGTAAGGCGAGCAGCGCGAGACGAGAGGTCCAAGACGGAAGTTCGCTGAGGGCCTTGCGTCGATGCCTTCCAGATGTGGATGCGCTCGTTCCTGCGTCCATTTTTGCGTCAGCTTTTGGTGTCGTTTGCAGATTATGAGGGTTCCTGCCAAGATCTGAATAGCCTGAAGGTACGTCACTAACGTACCGTACCTTTAGGCTGTACAGTCGAGATGCAACGGCATGAACTTTCATGCACAGCCTGCTTCCGAATCACGAGTGACACGGCGACATGGTACAATGTATTGAATGGATTGTCTTGGTCATAGGTTGTAATTTTGATGTCTAAAACCTGCGTAGGATTTCTATAGACGAAAATGATACGAGAATCTGCTCTTTTGAAGGAGTCGTGAAGGACGATGTTGACATCGATTGACCGATACAAAGAGAAAGCCGAAAGTTGGCCGAAGCCTTGTACAGAAAAGGGTACATTTGTAAAAGAAGATGAAGCAGCTGCTAAGGTCAAACACTTTGGTCCTTCGTGCTGTTCGTGTAGGCGTACAATTGCACGCCTCTGTGATGAATGTTGCGTGCGTTGTAGAGCCTCGGTGGGATGCTATATTCGAAGTGCGCCTTTACCTGCCCAAAATCATTATCGTGACTGGACGCTAGCTCTTGAGTGTGGAGCGCATGTGCTCAATAAACGCTGTCTGCTCAGCGCGTTTGCAGAGGTGTTGTTCGGCGAATGCGTATGTGTTTTTTAGTGGATGCTATACATCTTTTGGAATATGGTCGTATCCTCAATCATGTTATGGTCGTTCAGATCTTGGAGTCGAAGTTTGGAGGGTGCAAGCCCAAGCCGCCTCTTGCATGTGTACTTCTCGGGTCCCATTCTCCGCTCGGAAATGCTGCTATTGTGCCTTGTGAGAACGGCCTCGGTGATGAGTAGCTCTGCGTTGGGCTTCTATACGGCCTGTCCACCTCTTTCTGGAAGTAGTCTGGTGTACCGTCCCGATAATTAGCAGAGTCCGGGCTAGAGAAGGCGTGTGGTGGTGACTGGAGGTCCGTCTGATCGAATTTTCTCAACTCGTAGTTCTTGGGATTCTCCTGGTAGTTCTTGGCGTCCAAGGAAACAAACTCGCGGTTCTTGCTGAACTTGGACTTGAAGAATTCGATCCATCCAGTCACCATGCTCCAGCGGAGAAGCAACATGAAGACTTGCAACCCAGCGATGGATAACATCATCAGGATCGCAATGACGGTTGCCTGGTTGATGGCTAGCTGCTGACCATACTGCAAGCACGGCTCTGGGTTGAGGGGAGATTTGATAAGACATCGAATGTAGGGCTGAAGATCCTCGAGGTCATCCAGCGCATGCGATGAGATAGAATTTAACCAGATGAAGACGATCGAGAAGAAGATGACATCGACCAGAATGAAGACAACAATGGTGATGCCTCTCCACTGGAGCCAGAGCACTTTGCGCACACGGCGATAGACAGCTCGGGCGGACTTTGTGCGTACGCTACCGGTGTATGATGGGAGTCCGGCACTGCTTTGAGTTTCTGTCTTGTCATCACTCCACATGTTCTGGAGGTACACCTTGATACAGTACACGAACCTATGGCAGTGGTCAGTAGAGTTTGGAGGAGGCTCGTTCTGGCACTCACGTTGCGATCTGGATCAGCATAGCACCACCGGAGATGGCCAGGAGAGGGCCCCAAAAGTCCTTCATAGAATGCTCCGAGTTGACGTGACAGACGTCGCCAAAGCGATAGGAGACTCCTGTGATAGTGATAGTAATGGTGAAGAATGTCGCGGCAACTGTCCAACCCAGTCCTTGTGCCCAGTAGAAGAACTTCTTTCCAGGTGTTACATCCCAGCAAATCTGGAGGTGCATTGACAAGGCACGGATAAAGATCCAAACCGCGATTGACAAACCGCCTGAGATGAGGAATGCACCAGAAAAGGCACAAGTCAAGTTGGAGTACATGTCGTTGGGTGTTATCTCGTCGTAGCACTGTTCAGGCTGTGCGCCGAAAGGAATCACGAAACCAAGCTGTCACTTGTCAGTCACTGGAGAAGCATCAACACCGATAGACGTCACTTACAGCCATGAACGTGGCGGCGATGATGAGGCAGTAACTCAGATAGTGCCGGCGAGTCTTTTCAGCAGGAAGGACCAAGAAGGTTATCAAAAGGAGAACCATGCATATGAGACCGGCAACGTTCAGTGCTTCTGCGACACGGTACCATGTATTAAACTCTGGGGATGGGTCAGTCAAAGTCACAAAATCATGATGCTGTACTTACCTGCTGGGTACAAATAATCTGTCAATGGACAAGGCAAACAGCAGCTAAGACCCTTCACGCGATAATCGACCTGCGCGCAGAAACGTCCATCAACAACTACAGACGTCAGTGATGCATTGTTAGATCGTCAGGTAAAACATACAGCCATTCAAGCCAAATTGAGAGGCATCGTAGAAAGGTGGCGGGCACAGCCCTCTCAACGGACTCCGCAACGATGCTAGAGTTGCGTTGTCCATCTTGGCCGCCAAAAGTAAAGGTTATGCGCAGGACGTCTATTGAGAGATAGACAGACACGACATGGAGTATACTCAAATACCACCCCACTGAACTTCAGCCGATCTGCCGTGAAAGTGACCAGACCTATGGGTAATGCGGGTGACACGTCTCCGGTTGGTAAGTAGGTATAGCTGAGTGTTTCGTCGTACGGCCTGGTGAATTGCGGCGTTTCTGGACTATGCGGAATATGAAACTGGTAAAAGTTGAGTTCCTTAGGCTTGAAAGAGTGTTGCAGAGCAGAAACAGGACGGGAAGTAGCGTTGAAGCCGTTGGTGCAGACACTGGACGTGTGTCAGGCAGTCGGAAAAGGAATGATGGGGGTTCTGTCGATATCAGAAACACTCGGGTACCAAAGCAAAAGAAGGAGTGGCGGGACGCTGTATGGTAAAGTATGAGAGACCGTTACGGCACAGGAAAGGTGGCTTGCAGCCCAAGAGAAAATGGCCTCGAAGGCGGCTCCTGTTTGGGGCCACCGGCTTCATGGTCGTTGATCCATTGAGCGGGCAGACAGTAACCCCTGCAGCTGTATGCACTCTAACACTAGCGCTCTGCACCCCCGGCGCACTAAAAGCGCCAAGCATTAGGACCGTGTGTGCGGCAGGGTTTCAGTGGTGGGACCGTGCAGGGTACCAAAGTTGGGGTCCAGGAACAAGTCGCGTACAAGTGCTGGCACTGGCCAGATGGAAACAGACGGCAGCACTTTGGGTGACGGCACCCTGAGAACTGATCGTGGTGATTCGTGAGCATATAGCGATCCATACCCTTAGTTGAGAGAACCGTTCCTTCGAGCGCGCTTCGGTGCATGCTCATCCGCATATTTGTACCGGATCGGCATTGAGTTGGCTGTGAAGACGTCTCGGGGCAGCAATGACTGAATATGCATCCGATCGGCTGCATGCTGCGACTCTCACAAGCCGCTCGCATGCCGTGGGTGCTTCAGGATGCCCACGGGAATTCCTCAGTTCACAAAAAATCTCTTTTATGTAGCACGCAGTCAGATGCTGTGGTTTACCCCTGGGTATGCTGCTGCTTCTCGCTGCTGAGTGGTTGGAGCGTTTTCGTCAAGCGAACAAGAGCCCACACCTCAGCTCCCAATGACCATCGTGAAGCTCCAACCATGCGCGGAAGCTCATACCCGCGTCGGCGTTCTCCGAGCGGCGAAAGAGCTTTCAGCACCGAGTACTCGGCGGTAGCAGTATTATTTCGATTTTCGACAGTACTGGGGTGCCTTTGTGGCGTAGCGTGCGTCATCATTCATGCACAAAGCGGTGCGCTTCTTGCAGCAGACATCATACCTTATTGGGCAGGATAAACGCGTGACAAACGCGCAGGATGGTCTTGATATGGTCGAGTACGAGTTGCTGGGTTTGTCTAGAATCGTGAAAGACGGTGGTTGTGCGAAAAACAGCTAATCAGGACTAGTGCGTGCCATTCCCATCGCACCTTCCAAAGGCTGCTTTCCCGCAACCCCACAAAATGATGCATCCTCCTGCAGCTTCGAGAACTCAACAGCTGAATAGTGCTGGTCGCAAATGGAATCAATCAATACCGTTATCTGACGCGCAGCACATCGCCCTAAGCACAACGCATTCTGGTAACGAACGTGATAGTGGCTTGTCTTGGTCTGGGAGAAGGCAATGCATTATCCCGCTATGAGACGCATGGGGTCGCGCTCTTCTCTCTCGGCGCTCACGCAGGCACCCGTTATTCGCTTATGTTGCGTAACAGTTTTGTCTCGATGGAGTGAGCCACACAACACTCTTCCGACACAGATCTCTATGACGGTTAAGAACTCTGATCAACGTGTAGTCTCACTTTCTATGGAGCATCTCGAATATGCTTTCGGGTATGTTCATTGTCTATTGACCGGTCAACTTAGATGTAGCTCCATCCGAGATCCAATGAAACACTGATGGGCGACCCTATCGTCGATTACCTGTGATTGGACATGCTAAACGTAGCTGTCGAACGTCCCACTAACCGACGCATCCGTCCCAACACGGCTGTGCTGCATTTGCGGAGTGTCTCCGTCGCCTGGAAGAACACGCGCATCGGGCGTCGAGTCCAATGCGGTTACGCGTCAAACGTCGAACATCTTCCCGTTCCATCACTATGCTTCACTTCGGTAAATCTACATTTCGGCCATTTCAACCGCTCCGGACACGTTGTGAGTTGGACCTTGACAGCCACGAGGTAGTTGACACCGGAGAGGCACTCCGCCGCCTGTATATGGACTGGCAAGGATATGGAACTGAAAGACTAATGGAGAATGCGGCCTTAATAGCCGACTGTGTAGAGACAATCGACGACGACGGATAACGGCTGCAAATACCAGTTCGGTACCACGTTCAGCTGAGCCTGAGCCATTCTCTTGGTGTCAATCTCACCGGCCTTGCTCTCCTTGGTGGAGATCAATTGCCAGCCGAATACTGGGGAGCAATAAGCTCCAGCTGCAGGATCAACTACACAGCACAACGCCGTCACGCGACCAGCCATGACCACCCAGATTCATCCTGTTTGAAGCCTTGTCGCCCGTAGGAGGATCCAAAAGTACATGCGTTTTTTCGTGCAACTCTGACCAAGAGGTATGAGCGTGCCACCAACACACAGCGAGCTTCTAGACCTTGCCCGTGCGGTTTATCCACAGGGACGGGACCACCACCCTGGATTTGACACGGAATACGGATTTGCACGAGCATCGTGCCGCGTTCCTGGTTGGTGTTACCGAACACTGCCGACAGCATCAAAAGCAAAGTTGGTACCTGATCCCAGTAGATGTTGGACTCGGTATCTGCCGAGCCAACATTGTGGTCCCCAGATCAAATCTCGAGCTCCATCAGACACTATACCTAGGATCGTTCGCCATCGCTGTGCTGTGGAGTATGAGTGGTAGGACATCGGCCCGTCCGGGCCATTCGCAGGCCGCCTGCACGGCTTCCCACACAAGAAGACGTGTGCATACATAAATCCATGCACTCTTCACATGGTGATCTTCGTCAACAGGAGCGATCAGCAAACCGAATGCGGTATCTAAACGCCAATCACAGCTTCCTCGAGATGTGGTTCTTAACCAAATTCAACAGTGAGTGCATACTCACTAGACATCGCCTATGGTGGAATCTGGAGTGTACTATTTTCAATTTCCACCGACGTTGCCAATATTCTTCGCATCTTCCAGAAAGCGGCTCGTCAAAATCGACCCGTCCCTTGTCATCTCCAGTTATGAGCTTCGCCGTTTTGAGATCGCTTGTCACGCTATACAGGAGGCAGTCCGCTTGATGGAACTTTTTGCGTCTTAGGCAGGCATGGCTCCAGAATATCTAGCACAGGATGCAAGCCATCATCTCCCAGGACAGGACGACAATGGCATGAACCTCGTTTCTTCAATGAGCCATGGATAACCGGAAGCTGGTGTGACATCCTATGGCGCAATATTGTTCGTAAATTCAGAACGCCACGACGCAGGAACGTTCCGACTCCAGGCAGCCACTGTACCACTGCATCCAGATATGGTAGTCACTCCGCACTCCCCTCTTGGGAGATGTACACCCGGTCCGTGCCGGCGGTAGCTCGGCCATTCTGTCATTGCACCTCAGCCCTACCGCACGCGTCACGACTCACTACGGAAAAGGGAAGTCTGCCGACGACACTGTCGCTGGATCAACACCATCGAACAAGGCTTCAGCTGCCTACAGAAAGTACCAAACGCGACGCCCTCGCTTAGGCCTCCCTGAGGCTCTGAAACACTGCGAGCTAGTCGGGATCTCTCAAGTTTCGAACTTGCGCTTGTCCACGAGTCGCGCCCCGCACTGGTAAATCACAACCGCACGGAGCAGTGCACGACGCGCAACAATGATTCCGCTGTGATGTTCAGGACTAGCGTCCCGAAGGAACGGTCTCACCAGGCCCGACACGTGAGCAAGCGTGTCAGTAGGGACGATCCGTGTCAAACAAGTCTTATTTTGACTTGTGTAGTGATCATCCAAGCTATGCGAATTCAGCGGCGATGACATCGCTGATTGCCCGACTTCACGTCACAGCGCAGTCAGTTCCAGACCTGAGGCACCTACCATGCGGTTAGCAACCACGCGAAGATTCGACCGAAGACGCGCAAGCCTGTCCACCGCGAAGAGCGATGCCAGGACTTAACAATGCGCATTGAACACTGCCCCAGAACATAGCCTCGTGGTCAGTCGTCGCAAACTCGACGTCGAATCTGGCGCTCTGCGCCCTCATCAAGTCCCCGAGAAAGAGCCAGGAGATCATCATCGGGCCTACAGCGTAGTAGAACGCGCATCTTGACCAGCAGCCCCACAGACCTCGTGGTGGCCGGGGCACCCCGTCCTCCACGGCCAACTCAGCACCCATCACGTCGTCGTGCACGCTGCATCCCGGGAGCGACACAATGCCTTCCGGTAGCGAACCCATCATCCCCGAGATCGCCACGAAGCGCACATCACACGACTGGCCGATCCATGTTGGCGACCACATTGGGCGCGTGAGCTGTTCTGCTAACCACGACTTGCTCAGCGTAATTGCTATCGACACAGGTGTAGCTACTCGCGCAAACGCAACTCTGGGTCGCAGTATTGATTTGGATGTGCAGCGTCGAAGGTCGGCGCATGACACTGGCGATTCCGTGGCGCGAGATCATGTGTCGGAGTCTAGTGGGGTTTCGTGTCAAGTAGACAGACAGTTGACAGATTGTCTGCCTGACTACAGCCTAAAGCGGGGAGAAAGAGATGAGAACCAAACTTCGTGAGAATGGCTTTATTGGAGGTTTCTGCATGATTAGGAGCTGGCGTGGACTTGCGCTTGACGTAGCAGTGGTGGAGAATGGTAGGTGGTGTGCGACGGAAGTTCCCAAGTTGGCGACAAACGAATGTTTCATGGCGAACAGATCAGTAAGAGGCTTGTGGAGGCTGTCAAAAAGCTTAGCTTGGTCCGCTCGCTGTCAAATGTCTATCTGCTGCATAGAGAGAAAGGTAGGTCGCACACTTTGGCACATGACCGGATGTTGCTTCATGCCTACATGTATCCCTACAAATACGTCTATGTATATTCAAAGTGTTTGCATGTATCCGTGTGTACATCTCAAGGCCTCGCGCGAACCTTCTGCAGCGTCTATCCAGACAGCAACACATGAACAAGCCACGACGACCGTCCATCCACATCCCAGACCCAAAGATCCAGATTCCATCCACTCCACTCCAGTGCTGCACCCCAACCGATCAGCGAGCGTAGGTAGTCCTGCCGGAATAGCAGTAAGTAGACGCCCAAACCCAAAAGCGAAAAAGAGAACCCGCAAGCCACCAGTACCCAGCACTATAATCGTTGGCGATTTGTGCAGAGCCCTACAACCATGGAACAGACTACACGATGTAGGTACGTACTATGGTATCAAGTAACAGATCATCCGATTATTAGTTAATTCTCACGTTGTTGCTCTACAGGACGTCTAACCACTAGACTCCTATAGCCAGTTAGAGACCCTTACTACCTATTAGTACATCTCTGTTCCATGGTTGTGGGAATCTGCATAGTTTTACAAGCACCGATAGAAACATCATAAACTGCAAGGGTGTGTGTGTGCTGTGCGGCCTTATATAAAAGGGAGTAGGCAGCAAATGCAAGGGGATGGCGAGGGCCGTCGGGTCGCACACGGCAACCGGACAAAGCACCGGGGCCCTTCAGCGCGCGGTCCCGTATCACAGGTCCTCAGTACATCGTAGCAAAGCAAGAAGGCATTCGCGTTCATAATATCATACTATACAAGCAAACCACTCATCAACCCTCCCCTACTTAGCGCGTAAAGTCAATCTCGGCATCAACGTCCTTATTCCAACTCGGCTTAACAAACCGATGAAACCACACCATCAGATTCCTCTCCCACTCCGTTGCCGTCGGCGTCGGCGTCTGCGACCACTCCGCAGGCACCCCCGCGTCGGCCGCGAGACCCCGCCCCCGTCCCCCAATGTGGTTCCCGCGCGACGCCTCCAGCGTCTCCGTCAGCCCCTCCAGCGGCTGCGTGGGCCCCCACTCAGCGGGGTCGCGGTACGGATCCCACGCACCCGCGGGCACAGATGCGCCGCGCATGCCGTGCGGATCGAGGCCGCCGGCGGCCAGCAGCGCGTCGAGCTCCGGGTTCGAAGCGGGCGCGGGCGCGGAGGCGATGGATGGGCGGAACGGCAGGCTGGGCCGCACGGCGTCGACGTCGGCGGGGCGGCCGGTGGCGCGGTGCGGGCGCGCCTGGCCGAAGGGGTCGAGCGAGCCGGCGTGGCCGAGGATGTGCGTCAGGTCGACTTTCGCGGCGTCGTCGAGGTTGGGGCCGACGCTTTTGACGCCGGGAACGGGCGGGGGGATGACGGGGGGCAGGGCCTGGCGGCGGGCGAGGAACGCGGTGGCGAGCTGGGCTTTGGTGGCCGGGGTCAGCGCGTCGAAGTCGTGTTTCAGGGTGGTGCGCTGCGCGGCTACGGAGCCGGATGAGAGCGCCGAGGCGGTGTCGTGGATGAGCCCAGCCAACTCGGACTGGTACGACTCATCCAGCTCACCTAAAAAAGACTCCCAGTCGTTTGCGGCGGCTTGCTGGGCGGCGATGGCGGCGCGGCGCGCGAGGCGCGAGCGGCGGACGGGGGGTGTGGCTGCGAGTACGGGGAGTGTGGCGGGGACGTCTTCGGCCGTGGGGTCGGCGACGAGAATGTCCTCGGCCACGGGCAGTGCGGCGTCGACCGCGGCGGCGGGGAGTTCCTCAATCGCGGACTGAGGGGTGGGAAGGTCGTCGACCACGGGCAGTGCGGCGTCGACCGCGGCAGCGGGAAGACTCACCACCGCGGATTGTGCGGCGGGAATATCCTCGGGCTCAGCGATGACGGGAAGGTCCTCAGCGGTAGGCAGCGCAGTGGGCAAGACAGCCACGGCGGGGAGTATGCTAACCTCTGGTGCGGGCAGGATATCCGTAAGATCGGGGAGTGCGTCGACGACGTCCTCGATGTTAGGGAACACCGGAGGCACGAAGGGCAGTGTAGGAAGGTCGCTGACCTCTGGCGCGGCCAGTGCGGGCAGGATGGTAGTAATATCAGGAAGCACCAGCGGCTCAGGGAGCACGTCGAGAACATCAGGCAACGTGGGCACCGGCAACAACGACGCAATAGCATCCACAACCTTCCCCAGATCCGGGACCACAGGCACCGCCGGGATCACAGCCGGGACCACAGTCGCTGCGGAGTTGGCCGGAATCGCGTCCAAGATGGTCTGCAGATCCGGCACCTGGTCCTCGATGCCCAGCTTCGTGAGCAGCGACGACAGCAGCCTGACCACCGACTTGACGAGCGTGTAGGTTGCTTCCTTGGCGTCGGGGACTGAGCTCGAGAGCTGCCCGAGCACCTGGCGGTTCTCCAGCGGGCGGCGGCCCGTGGGGACTTGGAATGGCAGGGCGGGGGTGCGGGGAGGGGTGGCCACGACGGGGACGGGGGCGGCTACGACGGGTGCAACGGGTGCGACAACGGGTGCAACAGACGCGACTACAGGCGCAACCGGGTTCTGGAAGGGCAGCACGACGGCAACGGTGGGCACGGCGGGGACATCGGAAACGACAGCCGTCGGCAGCCCGCTGATCGCGTCGGTGGCGACGGGAGTGACGGCTTCGGTCAGGCCGGCGGCGCCCTCGACGGGCAGGAGATCGCCGGTCGGGAGCACCAGCGGCAGATCGGTCTCGACGGGGAAGCCGGCGCCGAATGCATCCTCTGCCAGCGCGGGGGCGGGCAGGTCGGTGGGCAAGTCGGGGACGGGGACGTTGAAGACCTCGTCTGGGATTGCTGCGTCTTCAGTGACATCAGGAACGACGTCAGCGACGACGCTAGGAACAACAGCGTCAACAGTCGGGGCTGGCAGCTCGTCCACGAAGTCGTCGGGGACGGGGATGTCGAGGAAGCTCAGATCCGTGGGAAGTGCGGCGGGGGCCGCGACGACAGCACTGGGAGCGACGGGGAGATCGACGGGCACGCCGTTCTCGTCGAGGTCGGGCCAGGGGATGTTCAGGATGTCCTCGGGGATGTCGGCGACGGTGTCGAGCGTGGGCACCGCAGCAACAGTGGGCGTCTGCAGGTCCTCGAAATCGTCGGGCACAGGCACGTCGAGGACATCCGTGGGGAGAGCGGCAGGCAGGATCGCAACATCGGGCGCCGCAACGTCCTCCACGCTGGGAACAACGGCGTCGAGCACATCTGTCGGCACCACCGCAGGCAGAATCGAGACCGCCGCAGGCGCATCAACGTCTTCGGGGACAGGCACCGCGAGCACGTCTGTCGGCACAGGAGCCACCGCATCGACCGCCGTAAGCGACTCAGACAGATCCTGCAGATCGGGCAACACGCCGTCGGCCTCGGGCTCCAGCGTCGCGGGCAGGTCGCTGAACGGCCAGTCCAGCACATCCGGGAGGTCGAAGTCGCCGAAGGCGTCGAGGCTGGTGGGCAGGGCGGGCGCGGCAACAGAGGGCACGATGACGGCGGGCACGACGGCGGCGACGGAGGAGACGTCGACAGCGGGGGGTTCCGCAACGGCAGAGGCGGCGGTCTCAGGCGCTGCCTTGACGGGCGCAAACGGGCTGTCGTCTGTCGCGTCGACACCGTCGATGGTGTTCGCGGCGTTGGTTGTGCTGTTTGCGCCGGCGTCGACGAGGATCAGGGGGACGTCGGTGACGTCGGAGACGGACACGGCGGGGACCACAACGTCGGGGACAACGGGCGCGGTGACCTCGGGCACGGAGACGTCAGGCACAGTTACCGCAGGCACGGCAACGTCGGACACCACGGGGACAACGGCGTCAACAGGCACGCCGTCGTCATCGAGATCCGGCACCGGCACGTTGAGCACGTCATCCGGGATCACGGGCTCGGGCAGCGGCAGGTCGTCTGTAGACGGCAGGTCGGAGAACGGCGGCGACTCGAAGGCGGCCCAGTCGATGCCCTCGATTTCGGGGAAGTCGAAGTCGCCAAGCGCGTCGAGGCTGGTGGGCAGCGGTGCGGGGACGGCGGGGGCGGGCAGGATCGAGGGCAGTTCTGAGGGGACGGAGGGGGCTTCAGCGTCGGAGAGCGCGGGCGTGTCGAAAGCGGGGAGGATGGATACCTCGGGGACCTCTGGCGCTTCCGCATCAGGCAGCGCAGGCACATCGAACGCGGGAAGAATCGAGGGCAGCTCGAACGACAGATCCGTCGTGAACGCTGGCAGCTCTATGATGGGCAGAACAGACGGCAGAACTGACACCTCAGGAACCTCCGGCACCGCAGGCACCGCAGGGATCCCCACGGGCGAAATCCCAGGCACAAACCCCACCAACTCATTCAGCCCCTCGAGAATCGCCGCCACCAGCCCAAACACAACCCCCGTGTCCAGCGGCGGCGCGGGCACATCATCCGCCAGCACCGCCGGAACCTCCGGCAGCGCCAGCTGGCGCCGCACGACCTTGGCCGCCGCCGCGCGTGGCAGCACCGGCGTGTCGAGCCCCGCCGGCACCGGGTCGACAAGCGGATCCCACAGCCCGTCCGGGGGCAGAATCGGATCGACGAAGATCTCGGGCGCGGCGGCGCCGGGCAGCGCGCCGAGCAGCGCGTGGATCACGGACAGCAGCGAGTTGGCGACCGTGGTGAAGGTGCTCAGCGGCACTGTGTCGGTCTCTGGGGTGTCGAGGTCGGGGAACTCGGGGAACGGCATGATGAGCGGCGGGAAGAAGGGGAGGTCCTCTGGTGCCTCGGAGTCTGGCAGCGCCGGGGTGTCGAATGCGGGGAGCGTCGAGGGTAAGGGGTCCTCTGGGGCCTCGGAGTCTGGCAGCGCGGGCGTGTCGAATGCGGGGAGCGTCGAGGGCGCGACGCCCGTGTCGTTGTAGGGCGGCGACAATGGGCCGGACAGCTCCTCTGTCGCGTTGAGCGGGAGCGTGGTGTTGGGGGGCGGCAGGTCGATGACCTCGAGGTCGAGGACGTCGTCGAGCACATCCTCAAGTGTGACGTTGAGCGGCAGCGTGGCATTGGGCGCGACCACGCCCGGCAGCGGCGCCTCGCCGATGTCGATGACCTCCGGCTCCAGCAGGTCCAGCACGTCGTCCAGCACGGCGTCCAGATCGAAGTCTATGGTCGGCAGGCCGGGGAGGAACTCGTCCAGGGAGTCGGGCAGCAGCGGCGTGGGCAGCGACTCGGCGACATCGTTGAGAGCCTCGGTGATGCTGGCGACGGCGGACTCGAGGGCGTCGCTGACGATGGTGCCGACGACGGTCACGGTGGGGGCGTCGACGGGTGTGGGCAGGGGAATGGGAGGCACATCTGGGGCGAGGGGGCTAAGGAAGGGGATGATCTGGGGCGCGGCGAGGGCGTAGGGCAGGGCGGCGAGCAGCAGCACGGTGGCTGCGGTGGAGTGAGTCATGATGGCTGAAGCCTGCCTGCGCACGCTTGGAGAGACGGGGGAGTGAGACAGCGCGGTGATATAGGGCTGTGGTGTTGGCCAAGCATTCCGCGGACGCGGGGCGGCGTCGCATGAGGTGGCATTCCGCTGCGCAAAGGGCAGCATACCGGCCAGCAGGTGGGTCACATGGATGATGCAATGAGGCAAGGAGGGTGCGGGGAGAGGCTTCCGTTCATGCTACATGGTACAAGAGGCTTAGCCTGGGAGCAGTCAGTAAAGGCTCAGCAACCCGGCGAATGATACATACCAGACGACAAAAAGGGAGGTCAATGTACAGATCCTCCGCTCCGGCCAAGGCAAAGCTAGTCCACGCCATGCTGTGGAAGCGTACAAGAAAGCTGTCAAGCGCCTAAACGGGTCAGCTAGGCGGATGGCTGTTGTGAGGCCAACTTACACAATGCGTCCTTCCCAAGCGGTGCAAAACAGCCGAATCCAGTGGAGGAATGGCATTTGTGCAAACGTGATCGTTCAATTCGTTGTGAGTTCGTACAAAACCTGCACGCCATGAGCCGCGAAGCCGCAAAATGCTGTGTAAAAATGCTTACCAGGCAACGAATGTGAGTAACTCCAAATGCGAAGCAACTCCGAATGAACGCCAGACTCGTGGGTCGTAAACAAAGGCACAAAAGGTCGTTTGACTCGTATAAAGACACAGAATCCCGTAGAAAGGTACAGAAATTCGTAAAGGCACCAGAAGATGGTGAAGTGAAAGCCAGACAACAGGACATCGTCCGAACATTGCCAAAGTGAATGGTGTTGTTACAGCGGCGAGCGCCCAAATATGCGATGGTACTGAACAGCGCGTCAAGTTGAATCAGTCGTGCTTCAATGCGAGGCGCCGAGAAATGCGCCAAATTGACTGTGATCACATCATACACAACAACGCGTCGCCCGCGTGCCACGTTACTTGCCACCCATAACGCGGTCCTTCTTGCTCTTCTGCGGGGCCTCAGCGGCCTTTTCGGTGGTCTGGGAGGACTGCGCAGAAGAGGCGGCCTCCTGCTGCTGCTTCTGCAGCTGCTGCTGGCGCTCCCACATCCTGCGCTTGCGGTTGGCGTCGTAGCGGTCGATGTCAGCCTGGGTGAGCTGGATGGTGGTGGGGTCGCGGCGGAGCATGATGGGCTGTGGTGGGTGGTGGAGTTAAGGAAAGTGGGTTCACAATGGAACAAAGGCAGGGATGAGTGAAGAGCTGGTGTGGGTGTGAGGGTGTTGCGACGCAAGGTGTGTGGGATGCAAGCCGGTTTAAGTGAAAGTGCGGGAACAAGCGAGGGCGTGATTGGTGCGCGGACACGTGGTTTGGTGAAGTGAGCCCGGGGGAGATGAGATGGTGAAGGTGAGGGCACGTGGGGCGTCGGAGCGGATCCCTGTCGCGCCAAGACGTCGGTGATGTCGAAAAGTCGACGACGCTCCACGGCGCCCCCATCCATTGCGGCCATGTACCAGCGAAACGTGAGCCCAACCGTGGGCGTGCTGCGGCGCACACTCGCGGCCGACGCCGCTGCGACACGGCAGAGCCCATCGCGGCCCTTCAGCGTGTCTGCACGCCGCCTGGAGGAGTCGAGCGACGCACCCTCCGCTCCCGGTACGCCTGGCCGCCTCCACCAACGAGCCCCCGCTGACCCGACGCAGCAGCAGCAAGCCCGCCCAACCGCCGCGCTCGCAATGCCGCCGCCCTCAGCCAGATCACGCGCCTCGGTGCCAACCGCCGCAGCGCGCCCGGCGGCCTCGCCAAGGGCATCTTCCCCAGCGGCCAAACCGACGGCCAGCCCGGCGGCCAGCCCGGCGGCCAGCTCGCACGCGGCCCTCCCCGCGCCCGCCCCGAGGGCAGCCTGAACATCACCCGCGAGCCCTCGGGCCCCGACGGGCCCCGCAGCGCACCCCCTCCCGGCGCCATGGCGCGCGCGCCCGCACGACTCAAGCTCTCCTCCGCGCCGCGCACCGGCAACGCCTCTGTCGGCGGCCGCCGCGGCCCCAACCTGCGCGGCCGCGACGCCAAGCCCGCGGGCAACAGCGACAAGGGCGGCCCGCGCAAGCGCGAGCGCACCGACAAAGCCGACGAAGAGGTGCTGGAACCCGGCGGCTCGTCCGCGGCCGACGTGCTGTCCGACGGCATGGTCAGGCACCTGCTGCGCATGCAGCGCTCCGAGTGGGACCGCAAGGCGTACGTGCCCAAGTACGCGCCGGGCAGCCTGGCCGCGAACCGGCTGATCCACGCCGGCCGCGAGCTGATGCGGGGCGAGTCGGCGCCGATCAAGATCTGGGGCGCCCTGGAGCGGCGGATTGGCGTCGTCGGCATGCACGGCGCCGAGGCGCATTTGAAGATCAGGCGCGTGCCCATGGAGAACGACGACAGGTTGGGCGAGAGGCGGAGGTACTTCGAGACGGGCAACGTCGATATCGAGGTCAAGGCGCTGCCGAGCAAAGCTGCGCCTGCTGCTGATGTGCAGGCAGCCGCACAGGCAGCAGCTAGCGCGCCTGCCCCGGAGCAGCCTGTTGCGCAATAGGAGCGTGTGGTGTAAGTTAGTGTAGAGATGCAGTAAATGTACCATCAACTCTGAATTCACGCGATATCAGTCATGGCAAGTAGAGGTCACGCTATGCCACACCACTCTCACCAACAGATCAAGTCCACGTGATATCAACAATCCAATTCGCCGTGCTAAAGGAATACCATGCAGATGCTGCGCTATGCCATACCACGCTGTGTTACACCACGCCATGCCACACACCATCCCGCCCTCAAAGTTTGCCCCCCTGCTGGAGAGCGATAACAGAAGGACAGACGCATGTTAAGCATCTCAGATCCAAGTCAAAGATACCAACATCATCCTTGCAGCAATTCAGACAATAAGAAAGCTTATGTCACTACATTGTATATTTGGCGATGTAATATATACCAGCTCCAGACATATAGGGGACACATGAGTACGGGATTGACTGTGTGCCAAGCTTCAGCACTGCCCCGCACTGCGTCAACGTCACGCTGGGATCTAGCTATACTAGGTGAAGACCAAAACTTCCTCCTGTAAATTAGAGAACTGTTGCTGCACATGTCCACTTACGCTAAACACTCCTCCAGGCCCATCTGCTACCCATCCACCTTACTAGGTAGACTAATCCAATCAACACGGGTACCTCGATGAGAGGCCCGACCGTAGCAGCAAGTGCCTGGTCGCTGTCAGGACCATATGTGGCAACAGCAACAGCGATTGCGAGCTCAAAGTTGTTGCTTGCCGCTGTAAAGCTTTGGGTTGCCCCCAGTTTGTATCCATATCCGAGCTTGTTGCATACGAACAGGGTGAAGAAGAAGATGACAATGAAGTACACAATGAGTGGTGCGGCGACTCGGACGACGGAGACGATTTGGTGGACCACTTGGCGGCCCTGAGAGGCGAAGAGAACGAGGATGGTGTAGAGAAGGCCGACGAGTGACCACGGAGCCAGCCACTTCAGAAATACCTTTTCGTACCACTCCGCGCCAACCAGCTTCCGCAGTATGAGGCGCGTCAAGATTGCAGCGCCCAAGGGTATGCCGAGGAAGACTGCAACGCTTGTCGCAACCTGCTCATAGGAGACGGCGACAGTCCCAGTTTCGCGGCTGATGACCTTGATGAACAGGATGGCGAGCGGAGCGTAGAGTATCATCTGGAGAATGGAGTTGACTGCCACTAGAATGGCACAGTATTCATCGTCGCCACCTGCAAGTCCGTTCCAGATTAGAACCTGGAGAATTGTAAGCACTGTGTTTGAAACGAACAAGGGATGTATGAGCGTACCATGGCGATGCATCTCGCCAGACCAACTAAAACCAGTCCTGTTCGCAAGTCGCCCCTGTCGGGTAAGAACGCCCACGCAAGACCTAGCTATGGTGTGTCAGTCGAAACTGGATTGAATGGGAGATAAGACGCACCATGAGAAGTGGGGCGACGATCCAGTTCATAAATATACTGAACCCGATCTGAATCCAGAGAGCGCGAGTTCGAAAGAGACGGTGCAGCGTCTCGTAGCGGACCTTACAAAGAATTGGATACATCATGACGAGCAAGCCCACAGCTATCGGGATTGACACGCCAACGAATTTGCCCTTCTGGAGCGCTGGCCCTGTCTCTTCGACAAAATTGCCCAGGAGGACACCGATAATCATAGCAAGAAGGATCCACACCGCAAGGAAGCGGTCCAGCCAGCCCAATCCCTTGATCACGGAGGCCTTCTTCACTGCTGTCTGTTCCTCCAGCTGCAGCTTCTCGAGATCGGCGTCATTGTGAGGAGAGACAGGTTCGCTGTCGATGGGTTGGGGCCCTTCCGTTGACGATAATGTCATGTTGATTGCTTTCGAACGTTGTCGCTGGGGGATGTGTTGTCGTAGATAGCAGAGCTGCTGCTAGCTGGCGTCCACAAGTAGGTTCTTGAAGCTAACGAAGATGATAATCGGGTCCAGCATTAGCTCCTTCTTATGTTCGAGGTCGCAAACGACAATAGCACACAGGATTGAGAGGCTTCAAAGCTAGCTTCGGTACGAACCAATCATCGTCCAGCAGTGACTCACCAGTGTGAATACTGCTTGTACGGCTACACGGAGCCGGTTGCTCTTGCATAACCTTATTAATGATCCCAGACCGTCTTCGCACGATGATCTTTGAGGTCACTCGTGTATTCCACAATCCTTTTCGAACAATGGCTACCGCAAGCATCACAGGTTCGCCCCCGCCATGGCACGCTGCGTATCCAGCACCTCGAAGTACGCCTGCCACTATTCGTCGAGAGAGTGTTCTCGACATGATCAAGCAGAGCAGAGAGACGTCCAGCAGCGACTACATCCTTATCGATTTGCGTCGCAACGACCACGAGGTACACGCGATTGATCGTCACCTTACACTTCTGTGGAAAATGCTAAGTAAAATCAGGGCGGCACCATCCGCGGTTCGATCAACCTTCCTGCGCAGAGCTTGTATCCCACCATACCGACCTTGTACACGCTCTTCAAGAGCGCAGGGCTCTGTAAAATAATCTGGTATTGCTGTATGTTTCCTTCCGGTCGTTTCGTAACGAACCGGCACTACGAAGCGCCTTCCCAAACATGTCCATGAGATTGACCAAGTCTGTCGTATTCTAGCTTCCTCGAAAGGACGTGGCAACCGTGCCGCTGGTTGGTTTGCCGACTACATTGAAGATCAAGGGGATGAACAGATGAAGAGTCTCGCGCTAGCTGAGGGCGTGAAAGGATGGGTAATGGCAGGCGATGAGTACATCCAGTGGATGACGGACTACGATGCTAAGGTCTGGTTGCAATCTTGAGGTCTGGTGCCGATCTCAACTTTCTTAGGGAGCGAGTTATGCTATGTAGGACGGGTACTTGAATTGCGAACCAGAATCAAGAAATCTAGACATTAATGCAGTGCGATGATAAGATCGGGGGTCGCTGCACTCATAGGCTATACCCGTTTGGGTATCATACCGGGTTTGCGCACAACATGAGCGCAGACTGAGAAGCTGATGAGGTGCACGGTCTGTGTTCCAGAGTGGATTCAGGCGTTGGTGACATACTGTACTGGTGACGGCCGCAGAGCCGCGTGCCGCCCTTAAAGCAAGAGGCCACTAGAGGGGCAGGGTAAGCTCGCCCTCAACGAATAGTGTACAACGGGTGACATACTCTTTACCTAGAAGTGACCCACAACGAATCCGAAACACCACTTCCGGTCACGCCGCCTATACACATACCGTATCGAAGACAAACCTCACTCTGTTTCTTAACAGCTGTGCAGCAATCCCATGTTCATTTTCCGTTCGCCCCGATTGACAGGCTCCTGTAGCAAAGCTAGACTCAGCCAAATACTCTTACGAACGATGAGTACTGCAACGAACGGAGACCTGAACAATACAGCAGCAGAGCGTGTTCGGGCTGAGATTGCCACAGACCCGGCGTACCATCGCACTTCGCTTGCGATACCTGCCTACGAAGACGAGGCTCGCCTCAGAAAAACGTATCGACCCTTTCTGCTGGACGATGCATACCTAGACCGAGATTGGGTCGCTCGGCTCGAGCTTAGCACAACATTGAAGATGGTGGATTCCCAAATCCTCAAGAGTGGGGCCGAAAGACTGAGGGTTCTTGTGTTGTATGGCAGCATGCGAGAAAGGTAAGATATGCTGCAAGTTGTAAAGCAGTACTGTCTTTTTGTAAAAGGGACTGATCAGGTGCAGGTCCTACTCACGTCTGCTAGCTTTTGAGGCTAGTCGCATACTCTTCCGGCTCGGCTGCGACGTGCGCATATTCGACCCGAGCGGACTGCCTGTAAAAGACGACACTCAGCACTCGCACCACAAAGTGCAAGAGCTACGAGACCTGAGCAAGTGGAGCGATGGACACGTCTGGATAAGCCCTGAGCAGCACGGAAACCTTGTGAGTATTTCATGCTGCGCGACAGACTGTCTTGTTGGCTTTGCGTTTAGCTAATAAACGTATTTCACGTAGACTGCGGTTTTCAAGAACCAGATCGACTGGATACCACTCTCAACAGGTTCTGTTCGGCCAACTCAAGGCCGTACGTTGGCGATTGCGCAAGTCTCCGGCGGATCTCAGTCTTTCAACACTGTAAACTCTCTGCGCATCCTCGGACGGTGGATGCGCATGTTTGCCATCCCGAACCAGAGCTCAATCCCTATGGCTTATACGCAATTTACGGAGGAACATGCAGACGAAGGAGGGAGCAGGCTTATGCCCAGCGGAAACAGAGACAGGCTAGTTGACTGTATGGAAGAATTTGTGAAGTACACCTTGGTAATGCGGCCACATTTCGATCTTTTCGGGGACCGATATAGCGAGAGAGAGGAAAAGAGGGTCAAAGAGAGGAAAGCGAGATTGTCGGAAAAACAGAACGGTGTCTCTTTGACTGAAATGTGATCAGCAATATGGGCGGAAGGGGGAAAAGATCCAATAGTTTGTTTGGTGTCTACGCTGATTAGGGCGCCAATAACTGTTCTGTACAACAGGATGGCTTTTTGTGTAAAGTCAGTACAAATGTATATTTGAATTTGAGCGTAGAAAAAAATACAGTAGCGAGTAGCTGTGTATGGAGCAATTATTTGGAGTGTTTGCTAAGCCACAGACTACCGGTAGCGCCCCTTGCTGCCGAAGTGACATGTTGCAGCGAGCTAGTGACATGCTGTAAACACCACTTTTATTTAACTACTCTAGAACACCCTGAGTGCCTGCAAACACTTCGTACAGTCTCCTATCTGATTTGGCTTGTGCAAATTGAATAGCCACTCAACCTATCGACCTGCCATCCGCAAGCATGAACGAGTTCGATGGCATAAGCGAACATGACAGCGCAAGCGAAGAGGCTCCTCCAGACGGTGGTTATGGCTGGATCTGCGTAGCGGCGTGTTTCACAATCAACTGCTTCACTTGGGGCACTGTCTCGGTAATCTTACGCTTTGTTCAATAATGCTTTAGATGCCTTGTTTCCGCATCCTACACTCTTGTTATGCTAATAGTGATTCTCTCACAGTCAGCAGTCGTACTAACTCGTCGGTCTAGGCATACGGCATCTACCTTTCACATTACTTGGCTGACGACATCTTTCCGGATGCATCTACTTGGGACTATGCGTTTATTGGCGGCTTCAACTTTGCACAAGCCATGCTTATAGCACCTATTGTTACTATTCTCACTCGGAGATTTGGGATACACGTGACAATGGTTGCTGGCTTGATCTTCCAAAGCAGTGGCTTCATCGCAGCCTCTTTCGCTACACAAGTATGGCAGTTGCATATTTGTCAAGGCATTCTTATCGGCTCTGGCATCGGCTTTTTATACATTCCTAGCCTTCCTATCCTTTCACAGTGGTTCGTTCGAAGGCGCAGCTTAGCCAATGGAATCAGCGCTGCAGGCTCAGGCGTTGGCGGTGCTGCCTTTGCGTGGGGCACAGAGGCCATCATTCAGCGTTATACTATTGGTTGGGCTCTACGCATCACGGGGATCATCGCATTTGCCGCCAATCTCGCCGCCATAATAGCAATACGGGACCGAAACGATGTGATCCGACCTTCTCAGCTTGGATTCGACGCTCAACTCCTCTGTCGATACGAAGTGATACTGCTGCTTATTTGGGCTTTCATCAGCATGCTAGGATATGTTGTCCTTCTGTTCTCCTTGTCCGACTTTGCTCTGTCTATAGGCCTCACTCGAGCCCAGGCTACGGACGTAATTGGTTTGTTGAACGTGGGCACAGCAGTCGGACGACCAATCATTGGCATACTCAGCGACAGGTGGAACCGAATTGACACGGCAGGTGTTCTGACCTTACTGTGTGGCCTTTTATGCTTCACGTTATGGCTGCCGGCTACATCTTTTGCGCTTACAGTGGTTTTTTCAACCCTCTGTGGGGCTGTCGTTGGAGTCTTTTGGATGGTACGTTACAAGTGCCGAACCTTCTTGATTTGCGGTACATGCGCTAACATCATTATACGCAGACTATAGGCCCGCTCTGCGTTGAGGTTGCTGGGATGAAGAACTTGCAATCGTTGTTGTCTCTGTCGTGGGCGGCAATAATAGTTCCTACTGTTGGTACGCCTTGGTTGGATTGCCATCTTTTGTACTCTTTTAACTAACAGCACTGGCCAGTTTCTGAAGGCATTGCATTGAAACTTCGACGGTCCTCTTCCTCTAGAGAGTACCTTTACACTCAGATTTTTGCTGGTATTTCCTATGTAATCGCGAGCGGGTTTATGTTCCAACTTCGTAGAGTGAAGAGTCGCCAGCCACAGGATCGTTTGGCCTAGTAGCTTCGACTATATCTTGAGATATGATACAAATTAATACCCGGTGTTAGATTATATCGCTGTATCATGGAGGGATGACCGCTGCTGCTTTCAAAGGATGCGTGATGCTAAACAGCTTGCTTGTGGTTTGTGTCTGTACGTTCCTGCCAGGGCCACACTGGCAGCTTTACAGGCAAATCGGTGACCTGGACACCGTTGCCGCTACTGACATGTGTACTCTGCTGCTGTGGTTGTAAGTGTCCCTTGTAAATGAGTCCTCGCTGTTTTGTCTCGTTGTTCTGCTGTAATGGGACGGTGCTTTTAGTGGACCTTTTCTGATGTGGTTGGACAGGCCGGAACTAAGTCGGCGAATCTTGGCATTTCGGCTACTGACGATACGGTTTACGACTTACTACGTATGATCTAACCTTGTTTGTGCCTACACCAACATATGTCAAACACTGGACGAACGTCCGATTTGGGCGATAATTGGCGGCTTGTTAACGTCTAATCTTGTTCGCCGACGAAAAGAGTGCACGAGCCCTTAGTAGCTGGCCTTCCAGGCAGCCACTTCAGTACTGCCAAAACTGGAAATGAGGCTCAACAAGAGCTCTGCTGCGAAAGGCAAGGTGCGGTCAATCATGGCATCCCAGCTTCTTGCGTGAGTACTGAACCTGAAGAACAGGCTACAGATCTAGAGCGCATCCGTAACAACCAACGTCGCTGTCGCGCGCGACAAAAAGAATACATCGCAAGTCTCGAGGACAAGATCCGTCAATACGAAGGCATGAGTTTTGAAACTACAACTAAACAGAAGCTTGAGGAGCTTGCTTTAGAAAACAGATCGTTGAAGCGGCTCCTGCAAGTCTTGGGACTGCGCGATGAGGTTCTCGACGCTTACAGCAATGCTGTTCGAATTGCTCCAGATATCTCGTGGCCGCTGCTGGGAAACGAACATCATGCTGTATCCAGAGAGTGTTCGGCTCCCAACCTCTCGCTGGACAGACTGGAGGTATGTAGATCCTACACCATTTGTACTCTGCTCGATATCTGATCTCGCCAAGCCACACATGCCACCTACTGCAACCCACGAAGAACACCCTCAACATACAGCTGGCCAATCGGCAGATATTTCAATCTCGGAACGAGAATTCTTAGACTTGCCGCAAACTGATGTACCTCTACCATGGGAGTTTTCCGACTTTCATGCTGCCTCCGCCTCTTCCCACATAGAGCAATATGACCAGGTGACTATGGATGCTTTGATGACAGAAGCATTCAGCAACACAGTCACTGCAGACGATGTATCAGACACGACCACGCTCTGTACATGGGCTTTTTCGCTCGTTCTAAAGAGTAACCTAAAAGGCTACAGCGCTGCAGACTTGGATCTTAAGCTTCGCGCTGGATACAAACATGGTGTCACACCAACCGAGGGTTGCCGGATAGACAACAAAGTCTTGCTAAATGTTCTTGCGGAAATCATGTAGACCATCGGCATTTACCGGCTTGTACTTGACTTTGGATGATTCACAACTTCAGTCTCGACAAGAGTCTAAGGTCCTTTTAGGGGTACCCAAATAGGACCTTAGACTCTACCCTATTTACTACCCTATCTGCAGCAATGCTTGTCTTTTTGCGAGAAAATTTAACCTAAGATGCAGGCGTGATAGTGACTGTTCGATTGGTAACGGGCCAAAATTGGTATAAGCGGGCTTAACTAGGTGACACTAAATAACCGCGTATGATTGCATCAGCGTGAGAGTTTTGTTTGTTAGTTTCCGTAAGCAGATGCAAGTCTGACCGAGGTACCGACGGGGGGTTTGCGACATGGCCAGATTTTGCGTGTCAGTTCCACTACAAGGCTACCATAGCGTTCTCGAGCAAGGGCAAGGGGTTCAGGGCTAGAGCTTCCCTTTTAGTGTGCACTCTAATTAGGCAACAATTGTCTCGTAGCGCTGTCATATCGGAGATGAAGCGTGCGGCTGCTCGAGCAGCCACTCACTGTTGCAAGCGTATTAGCGGCCGTATAGCTGTAATTAATTGCTGATGAACAGTCAGACCTGCTGTTAGGAAGCCCTCAGATACTATACACTACCTTTCCTTCTTTGAATGCTAGTGCGTGCGCAGAGAATTCGATGCTCGAAGTCGAAGTAGCCCACGTGTTTTTCTGTGGAGGGGGTTTTGCAGGCCTAAGGGATACAAAGACAATAATAGAGATGCAATAAATGTACCATTAACCTATTGAATTTACGCGATATCGATTATGGTTGCCACGCGAAGCACTGCAAGTAGAGGTCAACAACACCCTCGCCAACAGATCAAGCCCACGTGAGATCAACAATTCAATTCGCCGTGCCAAAGCAATACAATGCAGATGCTTCACCATGCCATACCACGCTATGCCACACCACGCCATCCCGCCCTCAACCCCCAAACCCCCCATCACCGCCCCGTGTCCAAACCCCCCCACCCCTTCCCCTCCCCCCTAACCACCCTCCGAATCCTCCTCCCCAACAACTCCACCTGCCTCTCAACCTCCCACCCCGGCGTCTCCGCCCCGCGCATCCCGACAAACCTTGCAAACATGCGCATCTTAACCTTCAACCTCTCCAGATCGCGCATGCGGCACTCCTCCGGCAACCCCGGATCCCGACTCAAGCACGCGCGGCCCCAGTCCATAGTCTGCGGATATGCGTTCGAGTATTCTGAGGGGCTGGTTTGGCTGTAAAAGGCTGCAAGGGCGTCGAGTTGCGGTTCCGTGAGGGTGAAGAGGTGGAGCAGGGTATGCGGGTAACAAGGGCCCGGGAGGCCGGTGGTGAGGTGCACGATTGGGGCGATGGGGAGGCGCATTTGGGCGAGTTTGGCGGCGAGGGCGGGGTTGTCGCGGCGCGTTCGTAGGTGGTATTTTGGGGGGTGGGTGGCGTCGTGGGTGCGTGCTAGGCGGCGGTCGCAGAGGCGGCGGGTGGGTTTTGTGATTTTGAAGGTGGGGGTGTTGGGGGGGGACATTGTGTTTTTGGGCGCAGGGTGAGGCTGAGTGTGTGGTTTGTTGTGTTGTGTTGGATTGTATTGCACTGGCTTGTATCAATACAGGCTGTCCGCACTGCAGAGTGGAGTTTGCTGCGTCCGCTGTCGTGGAGATGCTGATGCGGGCGACCAGGAGCATGGTGCTGGGCATATATAATGCGAGCACAAACGCTGAAAGCGAAGGTCGGCCATCTTTGTTCGCTCTTTGCGCTTTGTTGCGCGCACGCGACGCCCTGTCTTCACGCTGAAGAGGCTTTGTCTCAGTTCGTCACGTGTCCATTGTCTTCGAGCACGAACACGATTCTACACAACGCTGTTGTGCGTGCTTGTGCGGTATCCGTGGGTTTCAGCGCGGTGATGAATGGCGGTGGTGCATTGTGAATTGCTTCCAAGTGATGGCCCCTTTCACGACACAGATACGGCCCTGGCTGTCGTTTCAGCACAGGTGTTTACTTGCTTCTTGAGATCTGGGGTCAGCGTGGCGGTGGTCCTCGTCGCAATGCAGACTGTGGACTACAAGCCTTATGTGCTGAGAATCTGCTCAAGAGACACGTCGTTATCTGCGCCGCCGACGGGCTCCGTTTGAGCCCAGAACTTGCTGAGATGTCTTGCTCCGCTGTGAATGTTAGTCAACGGCCATCAACATGCGAAAGAGTCTCACCTGTCGCACAGCAACGTGACGATGCGGTGACCGGGGCCAAGCTGCTTTGCAAGCTTTGTAGCAGCCACGCCTGCGATTGTTAGTCAATGCGTGTGGTCATTGGGACGTGACTTACAGTTCACAGCGCTTGAACTGCCAACGAAGATACCGTCGTGTTCGACAAGCCAGCGCGCCATGGAGGTCGCCTGGTCATCGCTCACCCTGATCGCATCGTCGATGAGCTCTCTGCCAACGTCAAAATTGTGTGTGACGCGGTTGATGCCAATGCCCTCAACGATCGTGTCGACTTGATGGCGCCGGCGCGTGCCTTCTCTCTCCTTCGGGTCAAACATAACCCCATACTTGACGCGGTTAAATAGGCCGCTCCCTGGAGGATCGGCGAGCACAATCTTGACATCTGGAAGGCGTGATTTGAGGAAGAGGGCCACGCCAGATATCGTGCCTCCCGTGCCGGCGCCGCTCACAAACGCATCCAGTGACCCTCCTGTTTGCTCGTAGATCTCAGGCCCGGTACCGGCGAAGTGGGCGCGCCAGTTGGCCTCTGTCTCGAACTGGTCGGCGAACAGTCCGCGTCCCGGCTTGTCAGAGGCGGTATGCTCTGCTGCACGAGCTCGCGCAAGATTGACGAACTGCTTCTGATCTACGATGGGTGCGGGCTTGACTCGCTCGACCTCTGCACCTAGTTTTAGAAGGATATCGGACTTCTCCACGGCCATGTCGTTGGGCATGCAGCTGGACAGTCAGCGTGGTCTAGTGGTGGTGATCAGTCCTTACATGTGCGCCTTGTAGCCGCGTGCTCTGCAGATGGCGGCTAGTGAAATACCAGTACTGCCTACAGTGCCCTCGTAGATGGTGTCGCCAGAGTTGGGAACGAGCAGTCCCTTTTCTTCAGCCTGCAATCGTCAGGGCTGTTTGTAGAAAAGTGAGCCAGCCTACCATTTCTATAATACTAAGAGCAACGCGATCCTTTGGGCTATTGCCGGCCCCATTGAGAAACTGTGATGGTCAGTCTACGTGCAAGCACTACTCGTTGCACCTCACTTCGGCCTTGACTAAGATGTCGCATCCCGTGTACTCTGATAGAGACTTTATCCTGATGAGGGGGGTGTTGCCAATGCAGCCTTCGATGCCCTCCTTGATGTCAGCGGGGCGTTCGCCTTTATTCCACGAGCCATCCAGCTCCGCCAGAGTCTTCTTCAGCGTGTCCAGATCGTTGATCTTGGACAACCGGGCAAGCAGGTGATGCTGCTTCGATGCATCTTGAGATTTGACATGCTCTAATGAAGTCACCCGCTGGTTGTAAGCCACAGTCAGGGCGGCTCCTGCGAGGAACGCCCCTGCGACATAGTAGCCGGTGTAGTCAGGCATCCCGAGCGTGATGGAGCCGTGGTGCAGACATGCGGAGGAGCTTGACGAGTGCCGGCTTGGCAGGCAACGGCGACCCGCAACATCGCGCGCAGCCGCAGAGCTTCCACCACAGTCGCGCCAGCTGGACGACTCGCTCGGCCAATGGATTCGCCGCTGGCCACGCAACTCTTCCGCCAGCTCTTCTCGCACCGGGCCGCGCGATGTCTGGCCCGCGGAGCGCGACCGGCGCTCACGACCGCGCGCGCTCCGCAGCAGCAGCGCCGCGGGAAGGCGTCGCGGCTGGGGGAGGGCGAGACGAGCCGCGAGAGCCGCTGGACGCCGCGCACGACGGCATTCCCGCAGGAGCGGACGGAGGAGTTTGAGCGGTACCCGATGGTCACGTCGGACATGCTGCGCAGTCGGCGCGAGCGGCCACGGCGGGTGCGCATGCTGATGCGCGACTTCATCGAGGACAGCCTCTACAACCCCAGCTACGGCTACTTCTCCAAGCAGGTCGTCATCTTCTCGCCCGGCGACCCCTTCGACTTCAACGCCATGAAGTCGGAGCACGACTTCTTCCAGGAGCTGCGCCACCGCTACACCGACTTCGAGGACGTGCTCGACCTGCAGGAGCACAACGACCTCCGCCAGCTGTGGCACACGCCGACTGAGCTGTTCTCGCCGTACTATGGAGAAGCCCTGGCGCGGTACCTGGTCGAGGACTACAAGTACAACTTCTTCCCGTACCAGGACCTGATCATCTACGAGATGGGCGCCGGCAACGGCACCATGATGCTGAACATCCTGGACTACATCCGCGACGTGCACCCCGACGTCTACGAGCGCACCAAGTACCGCATCATCGAGATCTCCAGCCAGCTCGCCAACCTGCAGCAGAAGGGGCTGGGCCACTCGGCCTACGCCCGCGGCCACGCCGACAAGGTCGAGATTGTCAACCGCTCCATCTTCGACTGGAACCAGTACGTCTCGTCGCCGTGCTACTTCCTCGCCCTCGAGGTCTTCGACAACTTCGCCCACGACGCCCTGAAATACGACCACGACACCGGCACCCCCTACCAGTCGCACGTCGTCATCGACCCGCGCGGCGAGCTGTTCGAGTCGTACTCGCGCACCCTCGACCCCGTCGCGACCCAGTTCCTCGCCCGCCGCCACGCCGCGTGTGAGTCGTATCCGCACCCGCTGCAGGGCTCGCGCGCGCTGCAGTCTCTCAAGAGCCTCAATCCCTTCCGCACCAACCTCAGCACCCCGGAGTACATCCCCACACGCCTGATGCAGTTCTTCCACATCCTGGCCTCCAAGTTCCCCAACCACAAGCTCGTGTCCTCGGACTTCCACAAGCTGCCCGAGGCCGTCGTCGGGCTCAATGCGCCCGTCGTGCAGACCCGGTACAAGCGCCGCATGATCCCCGTGTCGACGCCGCTGGTGAGTCTCCATAATTGCGTGTTGCATATCATGCACCATGCACCATGCACCGTGTATTGCGTATTGTATCCACATGCTAACAGCCCAGGTCCACCAAGGCTACTTCGACATCCTCTTCCCCACCGACTTCACCGTCATGCACCCCATGTACACCGCCATCACCGGCAAGTTCGCACGCACCTACTCGCACGAGGACTTCATGGCCGGCCGCGCGGATATCGCGGAGACGAGCACGAAGAACGGGGATAACCCCCTCGTTACCTGGTATCAGAATGCGAGTGTCATGATTACCATGTGAGGGGGATTGGCATGTGAGAGGACACTAAAACGGGAGAGTGCCGTGGGATGAGAGATAGACGGTCTGTAGATCCAATACCCTGCGCACGAGCGCCGAGAAGTACCTCTAGTTGCGATGCAAATAAGACGGGATGCGTACGTGCACGTGGTGACTGCGTCGCGCCGTTGCGCTAGACATATCGGGTATTGCACGCCCAAGTCATGTCAAACGCAAGGCATAGCTGGATCTGCACACTATGCATCCCCTTTGCTCTGTGTACTGTGTCTCCGCAGGCATGAAAAGTATGTGAAGCGCTGTGGGCTGCCATGTACTGCTATGTACTGTACCTAGCCATGTCCAACTAGTCACTTGGCGGAATGCAGCATTGGGCAAGAAAGATCAATAATCATCATGGCGCTGTCTTATTGTAGTGTATGCTCAAACGGAACAACTATCCCCAACAACCACGATCCAGATCCAGCAAAAAAATCAAAAACATCGAGCATCCAGTTAGCGTGCCTGAGCTCAGCAGCCGCCAGCAAAGACAAAAAAAGGTAGAAACATTGGTTCATGTATTCCTATACAAATTAGTACAGGAACAGGCATTTATCCTTCAGCTGAAGAACGTACCTGGTGGGGATCGAACCCACGGCATCCGCATAACCCAGATGAGTCATAAGAATCTGACGAGTCTTATAAGAACGGCGCGCTACCACTGCGCCACAGGAATTTGAAGATCGAACTTTTAGATGGGTTATATAGGGCTCGGAATAACAGCTGAGTCATCGCGGCCAGCAGGCTAGCGCGGTGGAGAGTGGTGGGTGTGCTGCTGCGCACCCTCGCGCGGGCTGGTGGGGGGAAGTGCTGGGGCGGTGGTGGCGCTGAAGCGGGGTTTGAGACCGCTGGTTGGAGCCTGACGCAGCAATGCGGTACGGTACGGGATGTGCAAATTGCCGCTACCATAGCGCGTTTCGTAGGGTTTATAAAATGATGATAGTATGATGATAGCATCATTTCGTGCTGTGAAATCTTGCTGAATTTGAAATTACTGTTGTTTTGAACATCTTCATATAAAGGTATTCAAACGAACTGCTTTTGTACACAGGCGTATGTTAGGGCTCTATTAGAGTTAAATAGATGTTGAGATGTTGAAAATTAACAGGATTTTGAAAACCAACATATGTTGAAAATCAACACATGCCAGATACACAACAAATGCCACAGATCGCCATCACTTAATATACAACATATGATCTAGTTCGCAGTATGCTAACTACAATATATGTTTATAAAGAACATAAAATAAAGCTCAGCACCTTCATATAATAATGTTGAAGTCGTTATATGTTGTCGCAGAGCATATTCTCAGTATATCTTGACCGCATGCTTGGGATATTTTAAAGTCTAGCAGATGTTCATAGGAACCACAGATCGTGTGTAAGCACCAGTCCAGCAGGCTCGGATGCACAGCATGCGCAATAATTCTGGCAGCACATTTGATGCATTGATACTGCTACAGCTACAGGCAACCAGTTCACCGCACCCCACATCCGTATTTAGAAACCTATCCAACATCCAAGTCGCGACAAAACTGGCGCGACTAAGCAACGCGAGCAACGCAACTAACACAACTAATGCAGCGCGGCGCGCAGTGCATAATGCACTGCATGCCAATGCAACCATCCTTGTATAGAACCCCTGCACCAGCGACAGTCTGCTTGATAACTGTGCTGGGATCGAGCGAATGAACATCGGCAGTAATCAAGCCAGCTTACTCAATGCAAGGAGCGCTGCGACCACAAAACTGTACTAGGTGTCAGCTGGACGCCTAAAGAACGCCAGTGGCAGCGCACGCTTTGCGCGATTTCTGGCTTTAGACAGCAAGTGTCTCTACAGTACTGCTGCCCTAAAAGAAAATTGCAAGGAACAGGTGTTGCAAAGCGTTGCGATGTCTTGTGCCTTCGCTTAGACATCAAGGTGTAACAAGAGGGGATAAATGCTGCAAGAGATTAGCAGTGTGCCAGGAGAGTTCTGTGCTAAACCGGTCTACTCGCGCAGATGTAGCTGGGACAAATGTGTGATGAATGCAGTAACACCAACATGCCGCCTTGTATCGAACTTGCGCATAGACCCGTCAGCCTGTATAGAATTAGGTAATTTGCAGCGTGTTGCATGATTCTTACCTTAGGTAGATAACTGGCGTCCCGCTGTTTGTGCAAAAGCAGCTGTGCAAGAATTTTACCTTTACCAACTGCTATACAGTTAGCGATTCGCCTTACCCTTGTCTGTTAGACACTTACATCTTTGTCGATAGTAGCGGCGATAAGTCAACACTAAGGCGACGGCCTATACTGCTTGACCAAGACGCGGTGTTAGACACGAGTTCGACTAGGCCATGCGCCATGCTAGCGTCGAGAGCTAGGTTCCTAAGCGTTTCAGCAAGTCCACTTCTCGTCAACAACGGCAGGGTCATACGCCAGACGCTCATAGAGCATTTCGCCGGTATTGAGAAGCTTTTCGAAGATTTCAGCAGGCCGCTCTCTCCTTCCCATCAACAACGGCAAGGCCGTGCGCCAGACGCTTATAGAGCATTTCGCCGGCATCGAGAAACTGTTCGAAGATGTCAGCAGGTCCATCCGCTCCCTTCTTCCCATCAACAACGGCAAGGCCGTGCGCCAGACGCTCATAGAGCATTTCGCCGGCATCGAGAAGCTGTTCGAAGATTCCAGCAGGTCCATCCGTTGATGGGAAGAAGGGGACCAAGGCCGTGCGCCAGACGCTCATAGAGCATTTCGCCGGCATCGAGAAGCTGTCCGAAGATTTCAGCAAGTCCACCCGCTCCCTGCTTCCCATCGACTACAAGCTCGTCGGCACCGAGAAGCTGTTCGAAGATTTTAGCAAGCCTATCCGCTCCCTTCTTCCCACCAACTACAAGCTCACGAAGTTGACAAAGCCACCCGTGCCGAAGTTGGAGAGCGGATCCCGGAGCTCGAACAAAAGGTCATGCAACTCGTCGAGGAGCCGTTCGAAGATTTCAGCAGTCCGTTCCCTGCTTCCCATCAACTACAGGCTCACAGAGGGTGGCAAAGCCACCCGTACCGAAGTAGGAGAGCGGATCCCAGAGCTCGAACAAAAGGAGCTCGAACAAAAGGTCATGCAACTTCGTGCCACCCGTACCGAAGTTGGAGAGCGGATCCCAGAGCTCGAACAAAAGGAGATCGAACAAAAGGTCACGCAACTTCGTGCCACCCGCACCGAAGTTGGAGAGCAGATCCCGGAGCTCGAACAAAAGGTCGTGCAACTTCGTGCCACCCGCATTGGAGAGCGGCCGGAGCTCGAACAAAGGGTCGTGCAACTTCGTGCTTTGCTCCCTGTTCGCACCAATCAAGCGGAGAATGGCATCGACGTCGACAACATCAGAAGGGGACTGCACTCGTTGAGACGAGCCAGCTCCCGGGCGACGTGCCAACTCTTTGCAAACATTGCACTCATCATTGAGACAATGGCTAAGTGCAAGAAGGCCAAGCCAGCTCCCGGACGGCGTGCCAGCTCCCGCTGCACTCATCGTTAAGACGATGGCTAAGCGCAAGAAGGCCGAGCCGGCTCCCGGACGACGTGCCAAGAAGATCACGACAGCCTCACGATCAACCATTCCTAAGGCAAGCTCAAGAAGGTGCCGCATGGGTGAATCTGTATACGTCAGCAGATGCCTGTTGCGCTATTCACTCTCACCTTCACCGCAAATTTGCTGCCTTGCTAAGCGGCGCTAAGCCCTGCTGTACAAAGCAGCAAACGTTTCGCCAGCGAACTCTTTCCCATACCTCTACTTTACCTTGACGCCAACACCCTGCAACAGCAAAAGGTACACGTCCCTCACCAGCTATACCATCAGTACTAACCCCGTGCTTTAGTGAAAATCTGCGACGCCATACTTATCAAGGTACTTACCTTTGTGGAGAGGGACGCGTCGCGTGGTGGTTTTGATCGACCAGCTCCAGGCGAGTGTGGTCTCAAGCCGCCACGCGACTGCGTCCCTACTTCACAACAACAACGCCGCGCTGGTGTTCCCACCCCGCCTGTACTCGACAGTGCCCGCCGCACGCCCTCGGGCCTCTTTTGAGCCCATTCCACCTGACGATCGACTTACGGAGAGACTTCGCGGGCTCCTGGTCCCAAACAACGGGCCAGGAGCCCTGACTTCGACGTGCGACGTGCGAACTTCCGTCGAGACCGCAGACAATTTCCAATATGTGGATCGCATTTCGTATGAGGTGACGGAGCACCTCCTCGGCCACAGCATTCGAGGAGGTGCTTAAGATGATGACGGTCGGCGGTCCAATATGTGGATCGAATTTCGTATGAGATGACGGATTGCCGAGGATGATGGCAGTCAGCATGTAAGTCATCCGAGTTGTCATTGCGTGCGCCATACTGACTTTTGCTTGCAGCTGGGTCACAATCTCGCATCCATCCACGCAATTCCCTGCACGCGCGCCCTCCACGAGCTCACGAGCATCTTGACCGTCCCGCCGCCTCGCGTCTCATTTTTTTCGGACAACATCGGACAATGTTGGTTGGATGTCAGTCATATCAGTACAATCTTGGGGCTTCATACCGGGTGGTGGAACATCATGATGCTGGGCAAGGATGTGCCATAACTGTTGCATGTCCCGGAGGCTGGGTCATGAAGTCTGGGCTGGTCAATGGGACTGGGTGATGCAGGGCTTGAGGAGAATGGAACTCGTCCTGAGGGTCGTTCACTTGACAAATGCCAGGCGGTTGGACAGGAGGGCTGGTGATGAGGCATCCGAATGTCCGTGGTGGTTGCCGATGTTCGGAAGAGGGTGGAGGGTGCTGTGGAGGAAGAGGTCGAGCTGGAGCTGTAGGGTCCTGGAACAACTGGCATAGGTTGGTGAAGTGAGATCCGCAAGGCCTGAGGGCAGTTGGCTGGACTTGCCTTGCTGCTGAACACCATGACATCGAGACGCATTTTCATGACATCGAGACGCATTTTCTGGACATTTTGGACATCCTGGACATTGCGCCTGTTTCTGTCAGTTGTTTGGTAGGTATCGTCACCTAGGACATGGACTTAGCTAAATTTTGCACTCTCAACTTTGTCACCTGTGCCATGTACTTAGCCAAATATCTTGAGCGCGTGCGCCTGCAGAAGTCGCGCAATATGTGTCACCTGGGCCGTGGACTTAGCAGGATCACCAAAATGCGTGGACTTAGCAGAAAAACGCGTGCGCGTGTGCCGGTCCTTAGGATTCTGACTTTGCTGGTGTATGTTGGACAGACGCGCAGCGTGCAGCCGACGCGACGCGCCTCTGGATCCCGGACCAAAAACCACGATCTCGTTTGGGAATGTGTTGCCATACAGGCACTGGCTGCGCTGGCTGCAATGGCTGCCTGCAAAACGCCATGGTCTGCAAGAACCGCAAGACGTGTGGCGAGGGCGTCGCGATGCATGCTCAACATGCTCGATGTTGCGATGTTGTAGGTGAGATGATGAGGGCTGCTCGGCGGATCTCTCACCGGCCGGGCATGGCGCCTTCCTTGAGACGAGATTTCTGCAGTCACCACGCACCGTCTACTTTGTGGATACCTTTTGCTGGTATGGCTGCTTTACATGATTTAAATCCTCTTCTACATGTGCAGATGTTTGTCACTGCCTATCTACAGCGTAAGACCATACCTTAGCATATATGGTGTCAATGCAGACATCACGATGCGGACCTCCGCGCCATCCCGTTTGTCAGGCCTGCCACCGCTACATCATTGAGTTTACCACGAGAGTAAATATCACTACATTGGTTGTTTTGGGATGCTCTTGAAGTAGAGATGTACATACATTGATGCTTGCCCGTAGAAGATACATACATACTTTAGCACCAATCACATGCCTAAAGACCATTCGTGAATGCAAGCATTGAAAGGATGTCGAAAGACCAGCAAGCAAGACTGGCAAGCAACATTGCCCTTGACGTCTGCCAGTCGGCTTCGCAATCAACCACAAGATAGAAGACGCAGAGTTCCCAGTCAAAAGAATCAAACCTCAACTTGCCATCATTTGGTGAAGTTATCACAGTCACCGACCCACGAAATGCGTACCTACCTATCACATAGTTCCAGAGCTAAATCACACAGGCGAAGAACTTACCCCAAGAGTTGCCCGTAGAGCTGAGACTAGGGCTACTGTAAATCCGCCGCAAGATCTTGCCAAACGCAGGCGCTTGGAAATAGTTGATCTTGGACAGTCTGTGACAAACAGCTATGGTGGCGTTGCGACATTTAGTGCAAAGAAGCAGTTGCGCTCACCCAAACAGTAGGCATCCATTCTTGAAGTTGATCATTGTAACCTGACTGAGACCTTTCTAGTTTTGAAGAGCTTTTCATAATCCCGGAAGATCTTGCGCCTAGCCCCGGCGTATACGTTCTTTGCCTGTTTTTCGAAGACGAAGAGTTCTTCTATGTCGGTCAATCAACGAATACCAGAAGACGTGTCGCCAGTCACTTCAATCCATCATACCGCGCTAAGAATCCCTCCCTTCTCTACTACATGTGGGAGCGGGCAAAGATGGTGAAGGTTCTGTTGGCTGTGGAAGATCACCAGCAAGCACTTGCGCATGGTGGCCCGGCCTTAGACGTCCTAGAGCATTGGGTAGCGCTGCTCTTCCAGGCCCTCCAGCTCCCAGATCTCCAGAGCAGTATGTCTGATAAAGCAATGGAACTCCTTCTACTAGAAGGTAAGTTGAACCATGGTTTAAACATCAGAGAACCGCTTGCACAGGCTTTTAAGCCAAACGAATGGCCAGTGCGAGGGATATCGGCTCTGAAGCAGTCACCGGTTGAAGAATTTCGGGATTACTATGAGTCTCGAAAGACGCGCAAAAAGCACATCACAGTGCAGCATGAGCGACGGAGGCTACTCCTGGAAGGCCAGGTATACACTCGGGCGGTGTGGCTTCGTAATGGTAAAGATTGCCGAAAATTTGGCAAGTTCTACGTTTTCCGCTTGATGAACATTCTTGTTCGCATAGAGATGGCAACATACGACAGATGGAAGCCAAACACAATGAGAGTCCATCTGGATCTCACACCAGAAGGGCAGACACACCCAAATTCAATCATCAGAGGGAAAATGTCCCCAATCAAGTACCAGGACCCGGCTCGGCGACTGGGCATCAAAATTAGTGGAGTCTTGAACGGGACTTGCTGGGAATCGCTCGAGGAAAAAGACTCTGCAGCATACCAGCATCCTGACACCATAACTTCTTTTTTCTGGGCTCGCCAAGAGGGCAACTCGAATGCATGGGTGGCACGGTGGAACAAGATTGTTGACTGGCTTGAGCGGAAGGACGAAAGAATCATCAGACCCCGAAGATGCTACCTCCGCTCGACTGAATCGCTGCGCGACCAGTACTATGGTTGGCGTAAAAACGATCTCTATACGCTGCACCCAGAAGATACAGATAACTGGAAAGAGCTTCACACCTCAGAACAATATGTAGCCTTCAACAACGACAAGAAAAAGAAGGAGCCGTCGAAAATCCCTTTCCCGACGACCGACCAGCTGACTGATTGGAGAGCGCACTGGTACAGTGAGAACGCACCAGCAGCAGCAGAGGTAGGCGCAGCTGATGAAGAATTGGCCAGGGTAGACATTTCCGGGGCTGATGATGAGGAGGCGGAGCTAGAGGAGAATCCAGCGACAGATGGAGAGGAGGAAGAACTCGAGGAGACTGAGTTGGGCATAGATATCGCGTTTAGTACAGAGGGCGAAGAACCAGATGCCTGGGACTGGGTCTAGGTAGGTATCTAGGTAGCTCCACTTAACACATACAATGTCCTACTCCCTACACTTACTAGCCTGTTTAGCGCAAGCTAATTTTAGATAACCTCTAGGATTCATGCTATTAGTCTTAGTAGAATTAGCATCTAAGATTATAGCCTAGTTATAGTAGTAGATAGACTTAGTTGCGATAAAGGCTCTAACTTACAGAAAATCCTTACCTACAGCATAGACTTGGAAGTTTTAAATTTGCAAATAGAGTAGCTATGCTTAAGAATGCTTTGAAAATGCGTACCAACATGTCATAATGTCTAGGTGCAAGCTAGGTACTGTTAATGTCCCTTAGCTTTTAAGGCCTGTAGGTGTCTAGCCTATGCTTTTCAACACCTTCCCCCAACCCTTCAGCCACCACACTATAGCTAGTGCTCCTTAGGCCAACATCCTACTACATATCAAACCATCAGACAATTCAATTAGGTAGGTCCCACAGCCCTTTGGTCCTGCTTGAGTCTGCTCAGGACCTGGACACGCCGTTCCGTTCCTACATTTCATCAGGCTCAAGATCAAGCTGCCTGCCTACCCTTCAGACACGACGATCCGTTCCTACATTTCATCAACTTTCAGATCTAGCTGCCTACCGTTCGGACACATGCTTCACAGTAGCCCTTTGAAGCATCTGGCGCTGACACCTGGATCGCTTTCACAAAGGGTGTTCAAGACTTGTACAATCCTAATTTCGTTTCCGGTGGAAGCGAGGATGAGAATGTGTAGGAGAAACAACCGCCACCAACCGGTTTGCGGAGCGCGCTCGCTCTCCTGCAGGTCTCGTTCGTTATGACCGTCTTCGCGGACCTTCGCCGGCAGATACAGCTACAGGAGCACCAGGCAGCATCAGCGGCGTCTTCGAGAACCCCAACGACAACTTCGCTATACATCTTGATGGATCTGGATCGCTAGATTAAGCTAAGGATGTAGGCGAAAATTATGCTATCTGCAATGTAAACTGAGCTCTCGGGATATCAATGTCGATGTCGAGATGACGGATGCACCTGACACTGAATCCCCTGCTGGAGGTCATGTCTCGGAGATTATTGAGAGACGGAGAGAACACAATCAGCGACGATCAGTAGATCCGGTCTATCGAGTTCTACTCAATGAGCTTCTTGTCCTCGTACATTCAAAAGTCCGTGAGCATCTGACCATGGTGGAGCTAATCGGCATATCATTTCAAATCACGGGTTCTGGTCGCGTCTGGCCCGAACTAACGATGAAACGAACAGTATATAGTGATCTGGAAACTCTCAGGGTTTCAGATAGAGTAAACACTAGTATGGGGTGTCGGATAGAATTTCGTCAAGACATTACCAGTGCGCTTCGATATCTACATCGTCATGGTGAGTTTAACTGAGGGAACTTCGAGCACCTATCTAAACTTTCCGGGTTTTTTGGGCAGAAGTAAAGCCTGATAACATGCTCATGGACTCCAACGTTTCTGGAGATTACGCTCCTATATTATTCGAGTTCGAATTGAAAGAGGGGTGCTGATACCTCCTCAAAACCGTGGCATTCTCCAGAGCTTGTACAAAACGAGACATATGTTATCGCGGAAGCCAAAAGCATAGGCCCACTTTTTTGCATTGTTCTCCTGGTGGCTCTTAGTTCGTGATCAGGACTCCTCTCCATAGTACTCATTCGATCCGCAAAAGAATATTTTAATGAGTGTACTTGCCCTAAAATAGATTCGCGAAAGTTGTCGGAGCCTTGCGCCGGAAGCTTCGCGCACAATTGCCGAAGCTGAGGATTTTGCCTTTGATACAAGAAAGGTATGTCACGATTATTCCGTGCCTCCGCTTTGGCCACTTGTTCGTCTAACAGGACGCAAAGCCTTGTCATCTTGAAGGGCAATTGCGAGATCAACATGCCCACCACTCATTCCGGAACCCTGTTGTGGCCAAACATCTCACCAAGATTCTCGGTATGTCATCACCTGCATATCAATCCCTTTCCAGGCTTCCCGGTCGAAGTTGTGATCACATTGCATCCTCGTTCTCCTAGCCCTGTTAGGTCAACCTTCGCGTCCGCAGATGAATGTTCAAACAGCTACAGGAGATCTACGAAAATAACACGGATCTGAGGGATAGAGATATCGGCTTCGAGCTGGCTGCATGTCTGCGTACGGTACCTTTTGTCACTAACAGTGTTCTGAGCGAACAAATTTGCCTTTGGAGATCCGTACAGCTATAGAAGCGCTTGAACTAGAGATACAGTACTTCAGTTAGGCGCGCCTACAATACCACTCGCAATTCTCTGAGGAAGCTGACGAGGAGCTTGGCCCCGAAGTTTACGCAAAGGCGGAGATGACAGAGACAGCCTACAGGGTCCAAAAGGGAGGGCTCAAACGCCTTCAGCAGACTCTAGGCAATCAGTCAGATTCAGTGCTCTCCTTGCAGCAGAAATCGGCCAATTCATGTGTCAGATCCGGGAAACTTCGAGATGACGACGCATCCTAGAGCTCGAGGGGCTCAACCAATTGTCGGTGCTGACCACTACTGAAGTAGAAGAATCCTACAGCACCTAGCTATCTGCTATTTGAACCGAAATTAGCTGGATAAGGCCGAAGACCTGCTGAAATGTTCACTGTCAGAGGAATTAGTTCCGTTTACGGGAAACTTCAGTGACGAAGATGATTTTGCCGCACCTCGGATCAAAAGTACTCTTGGTGGAGTCTATGAACTGCAAGGGCGGTTATCCGAGGCGGAAGAATCTTGGCAAGATCAGCTGAGAGAGCTGAGCAAATGTATAGGATCAAACGCTCGTCGAGTGATGGGGCTTGAGCGCCGCTTAGTCTTTCATTGTTTCAGGCAAGGGCACAACCAGTAAAGTGAATAGCACTTTGAAAGAGCTATCGTGAATGCTACATGGATTATTTGGTCGGCACATGATGCCATGCGGCCAAACAGCGACTGACCGACTCCACGCAAGTCTACCAGCGCATTTTGAGAGCATTTGATAGACAACCCGATTATTGGAGTACCACGAATTGGCCGAGCATTTCTTTGCCAGGGCTTTGGAATTGTGCGAATCACAACTTGGAGGTCAAGCATAAACCATGTTGACGATCAGTCATTGCCGCGGCTTCAAACTTCGCCAGATGCATCGGGACAAAGAAGGTTCAGCAATCCTGGGATCGGTATTGGCCTCACGATCGTTGCTGCTTGGCCATGAATATTCAACCACAATCCGCAGTTTAGAAATTCTTGGCTTCTACAAGAAACAAAAAAAGCTGCGGTGGTTTATATGTAGATAGAAAGTATCAAACGTTCCTCGGCTCCAGCAAGGCTTCAGTTCCCACGAATAATTATGTTCCTTCTCATTCTTGTGGTCTGCCCTTCGCCGATGCTGGTAATTTGCCCGGAATATCCGCAAGCTGTTGGACTGTCAGTCTCGAGAACTCTGGGTAGAGGCCTTTATAGGATTGCTTTTCCTTAGCCGCTGGCCAAAGTGTCATCTTGAATATCTCCCTCCAGACAACGATGCACCATTCGACGATAACGACTCCCAGTCAAGAACGCCAGTCTTAGAATCTCTTCTTCAATTGGTGCGTTTGCCTTTGGTTCGTTTCCCTTTACTATCAGAGAAAATGATATACAGAGCCTGATTTTGAGAAGAACCAGGCCAAAGCTGTAATACTCATACTTCTAAGAGTAGAACTTCTCTTTTCCTACCCTCTGAGTCCGAAATCCACTTCTGGTGCTCCGGACCGCTTGTTGGGATTGATGCTGAACATGAGCTTTAACAAATTATCCATCAGTTGCACAGTCATGGATATGTGTTTCTGCCTTTTGGCTAGCCAGCCTGCAACTGCCGGAATGTGTTCTTGGGCGCAATGAAACCTATGGCTCGTTTTCACTGCAATTTCTTCTCAGGCTCGGCTATTGGAGAAATCTATGACACCCGCTGCCGAACCTGACTCCATGAACGTTACGACCTCAGTCATAATACATGCCAAGGATCAGATATCGCCGGATTGGTGAACGGTCGGTTTACCTCTGTCTTCTATATTTCTCCAGCATCCTGGGGGTGCTTAGTGTGGGCGAAGCAGTTTCCACTCGGTCCTGGAGCCTTCGTCCTCGCCTTCGAAATTTGAGAGGCCAAATTCAGAAAGCAATGGTCTATCACAATGGTCCGGGATGTTCGATGGTTCTAGATTGCGACAGCATTCAATTAATTTGGGATCAGCTTTAGAAGAGAATAAACGATAAGCTCTGTAAATAGCAGAAGTTAGGCCACATAGAGCTAGCAAAGTGTCGGCTTTGCTTCTAAAAAGAACACTTTTGTTAACACTATCAAGACTATCTATAAGGCTACTGCTCTTAGCCCTTTAAAGGATTAGAGTAAATCTTATTCTATACTTGTAACAAATCACAAGCTTTAGGATTGAATAATTTCATAGTGTTTCTACATAGCTGCTGTTATTAAATTAAGAAACTAAATTCTTTGCGGACACACTACTTATATCTTAATGTTGCAAGTCTTTCTCAAAGAAAAATTGCAAGCCAACTTGGACCATTGTGGTATCAATAATTGAAAACAAGTATCTCTATGCTTCAGACTTGACCGAAACTGCCTTCTCTGAGATTCATAGCTTTCCTAGAGGATAAATCGTCCTGGGTGCCACCGATCTGGAGAAACTAGTGTCAAAGGACATAGGTGCTGCAGATATGCATTGTTACAAGAAGAAGAAATGTTCGCTAACGAAAGGATTTTCGTTGGTGCTAAAAATGCGTTTGAGACTGCTCTGTGTGAACGGCAATGTGAGTCAAGAGCATCATTATCCTGAACGGAGCATTTCTTGAACCAAGTCGCTTGAATACCTAATTAGTTACCAGGATCGCGAATATGCGTTGTGCACCGCGCAAGATGTGTATCAGGACGTCGGTAGTGCGCGCCGCATCAATCTTGCCACCTGTCTTAGATTCACTATCGTACAAGGCCGCCAGGACCTTATCCTCCGTCATGATAGCACAGATGTTGTCTTTGGATACGAATGTACCGTCGAGCGTCTCAAATTTCAAGGCTTTCGCAATAGCGCCTTGAAGAATATTGCCATGCTTCCTTCCGAAGTCTGCCACGCATTCCTCCTTCTCTGGATAAGCTTCAGACACCCAAAAGAAATCGCTAACGCCCTGCTGTTCGAAGTGCGCATCGATGGTGAGAGTAAGGGCTACCGCGGATAGGTAAATCAGGCTCTAGACTTAGAATAGATCGGCAATTTTCGCAGACCTTATGCGTGCGCTACTTGAAGGCAGCGATGCTGCTAACCCTGATAGTAGACCGGACTTCCTGTTATCGTCGCCCTAATCCTGCTTACCTCCCGTATCATACCAGCCTGCTACGACACATTAGACATTTTCTTTAGCAACTCTAAAACAATTAGTAGCTACTATGGAATTTAACTGCTAACAACTAGCGTTGTTACTATAGATGTCGCGGCACTATAATCTATCTTAGCTTTTTTGGGATATTGCCTTATAAGACAGATTTTAGCTTCTGTACCTAAATAGCTAAGTCTACACAGCTACACAGCAATAATAATCTTAACTAGGACTTTGCTAAGTACGTGTCCTATAAGAGACTAGCAACTGTTAAGAAATAACTAAGTCTTGTAGGTAGATACTTCTAAAAGGCTGAAGTGTTAAAAATATGTGCTCAAATGTCTAGGTGTCTAGGTAGAAGACAGGTGCTGTGAATTCTTCTTGAACTCCAAGGAAGTACAATGCTATGGGAATGCTTAGCCAGACCTCTAGACCACCAGCGGCCTACTGTAGGGTAGGCACCACCCATCAACACAGCATCCACCAGCATCATATGCCATCCCGCCAACCCATGTTCCACTCGACCCTGCTTGAGGCTCAGACAGCCCATTCACATCTTGCATCCGCCTTAACCCTGTCCAGGACCCAGACAGCTCATTCACATCCTGCATCTTCTTCGACCCTGGCCAGGACCCAGACAGCCTATTCACACTTTGCATCCTGGCTAGACACACTCAGCCTCCGACACACAGTCCAACATCGGACAGCATCTCACCTCGACACATCGTTCCAACTCACCCTTGGCCAGGTATTCTTTTGTGTTGCCCGGTGGCTCGGTGGCTCGTGAGCCTCGAAGGAGTTGGTCGGTTTGGAGCACCGAGATGATGGAGGGACTGACCAAGGTATGGTTGCTGACATTCTTACAGATATGGATCTGTTTGAGCCGTGATTAGGGCGTCACGAGATCTTTGACCTCTTGCAGTTCAACCACTCAGCGTTGAGCTACGAAACTTCATGGACGACCAACTGCTGGCCAATGTTAGTACGGCGGTTTGTGTGAAGAGCAATTGACCTACAAGCAGCGAGCCCATCATATCGACCTGGTTCATTGGCGTTCGGGTGGTTGATGTCAAGTGGAAGGAAGCTGGAGCAGGTGGAGGCGTTGCTATTGAGCGAATTTGCGCAGGTCTTAGCGTCATCGCTAGCGCTGATTGCGCCGTTTGCGCCGTGCTGCGCTGCTTTGTGCTGGCAGCCGGCTACGCTGGCGCCGATGCTGGCGGCAGGAACAGGCAGCAAGCCACGGTGAAGGTGAGGACAGTGCGCGGTGCTGACGTAACGCAGAATGGACAGTCCATATTTTCTGTCCACATTACGATGGGCAGGCCGAAACGCGTGTCCGAGAATGGTTGTTAGCGACGAGTCTGTGGTGTTGAGGATGCGGCTGACATTGTAAGCAATTTGGTAAGGCTGACCGTAAGGTTAGCAAGGAGGCTGATGGAGAATGTCACATCGCACTTGTGTCACGCTTGATATCATATCAATATGTCTTCAACCTTGATTTCAGAACGGTATGATTTGATGTTCACAAGCAATCCATATGACAATATATCAACTTCGACACGCCCCAGATATGGTAACGCAACGACATAGCCTCCCCCTGATATGCTTGTAACATCATCTTCGTCACAAACGCCATGTCCACTTGAGACCGAGGTGCGCAAATTCTACACTGTTGTCGTACTACCAATCGACACAGTCCCGATACGCTTATGTAAGCCTATCAAGTACCCCCTGATGCGTGGTACGGAGTAATTTGGCGGCCACGAACAAGTTAGCATCGGCAATCGTCCTCTGGTAGATTTGCACCGGTAGAGTGTCATGGAATCTGTAGCAGATGTAAGGTATGAGAAGAGGAAATGGTTCATAAAATCGCGCGCTCGCGAAAGTGCAAAAACACTCCATGTTGACGGATTCCGAGCAGAAGACCCGGAACGCTACCAGCGAGCTTTCGCCCTTGATCTACAGTAATTTCAGGTCCTTCTGGATCTTACTATAGAGCCGTCTGAGGGAGCCAAATACCATGGTCGATATGAACTGTAGCGCTCGCTTAAGTCTGCGTGAATGGAAGGTGAGATGTTGTCAACGGAAGTTGTTACAAAAGGATCCTGGTGGTGTCAGCGTCCCAGTCCCTTACTGCGTGTTGCTACTATATGTCAACCCACGCCCTAAATGTACATATTCTATCACATCCTATCACACCACTGCGCCACAGGAATGGCTTGCACCATTTTTTGAACACGTTGTGTCCCTGTTTCAGAAAGCGTTTTAATGAGAATGCAAATTCTGTAACCTTTATATAGTCCAGCAAGATAACTGCATGCTGACACGCGTTGGCGAGATCTGCCAGAGGATCTGGTGGGCTGGTGGGCTGGTGGGGCGCGAGAGGGGTTGCGTTGATGACGCTGCGAAGGGGCGGGGAAAGAGGGTGTGGCTGGGGCGGAAGGGACGAGCCATGACACCGCGCTAGACTCCGCTTTCTGGAGCGGGCTTCGCGTGTCATTCATCAGTTACCGTGAGGACTACAGTGTTGGAACTTGTGTGGTCGCGAGTTCAATTGAGGTGAGTTGCACGGGTTGGGTTGTTGTTCACAATGCGATTGCCCCCTTCAGCGCGCTGGCTTCCGTGTCTACGCGCGAGAGCTCCAGTCCCGAGCAGTCCACGCGTGCGGTGCAGCAGTCTCCATGTCTTGAGCGGCGGCGTGCAGCGGCGGCAGGACAGGGATTGGACGGGTTCCCTGCGTGCATTGGGCGGTTCTGTGCATGGCCAGCCTCACTCTGCATTCCCCATCCATCGCCGTCTCTATTCTGTAATTGCGGCACCAGAACACGAGACTGACAGCATGTAGGCTTTCATCCCACGTCTTGCATCACATTCACTCAATATGACTATCAGGGCCGCGCAGTTTACGCCAAAGGTGCTGCTCAGCGCACCGCGCAGATCCGAGGGCATTCCGAACTCGGATGCGTCCAAGGTGCTGTATAGCGTGTCGACGTACAGCTTCGAGGAGCACGCGAAGAAGTCCGAGATCCGGATTCTTGATGTTGCTAGTCAGCAGACCACGCTCGTCACAGACGACAAGACAGCGAGCGAGCCTGCGTGGATCGACGACGACAACGTGCTCGTATTGAAGTCTGGTGAGGACGGCGTTACCACCCTGCTCGTTGGAAAGGCTGGCGACTTTGAGAGCGAGTATGTTTGCCAATTGCTCTGAAAACTCATCATTAACTGTCGCAGCAACTACACTGCTGGCACTATTGAAGGCCCAGTCGGCGACCTGAAGACGTACAGGCTCAGCGATGATGAGATTGCGTTCGCTGTCTCCGGCAAAGCCAAGCCTGATGGCACCTTGTTCAACCCCGAGAAGGCCGAGAAACCTCTCACGTCGGGCAGGCTGTACAAGTCCATGTTCGTCCGTCACGTAAGCATCACCAGTGACTGTAATTCCCCACTAACACACACAGTGGGACCACTACGTCACAGAGAACAGGAACGCACTCTGGCTAGGCAAGTTGGTGAAGAAGGATGGCAAGTTCGAGCTGTCCAAGCTCAAGAACGCACTGAAGGGCACCAAGCTCGAAAGCCCAATTGATCCCTTCGGCGGCAAGGACCATTTCGACATTTCCAAGAACGGTCTTGTGTTCACGGCGAAGGACCCCGATCTCAACCCTGCCCTGCACACGAGGACTCACATCTACGTTTCCGCGCACTCCGGTCCTGGCTTCTGGAAACACCCCGACTTGTGGTCCGATGAGACGTCAGAAATCCGCCAAGTGGATATCGCGAAGAGTCATGGATTCGAGGGTGCCTGCACAAGCCCTGTGTGGTCCAACTCAGGAGACATGATTGCGTTCTTGGCCATGCGGACCGACGGCTACGAGTCGGACAAGAACCAGCCCTTCATCATCCACGACTACAACAAACTCGACAGCGTGACAGTCCTCTACTCCACCAAGGATGGCAAGGGCAAGTGGGACCGCAGCCCGCAGTCCGTCGCTTGGAGCCCGGATGACTGGCACCTATACTTCACAGCCGAAGACCACGGGCGCGGAAATCTCTTCCATGCTGGACCGCCCAAGCGCCCAGGCGAAGACTCGCCGCTGCCTACAGTTCTTGTCAAGGGCGGAAATGTTGCGGACATGAAGGTGTTAAAGTCAGGCAATATCTTCATCACCTCGAACAGCTTGATCGAGAACAGTCTGTACTCGTTCGTCCCTGTGAGCGACCAGAAGAACCACGCAAACACGTACGAACTCCCGCTCTCCGACAAGTCAACCGAGTCTGGCAGCCTCACGACGCGCTACATCTCCTCCAACACCCGCTCCGGCTCCATGTTCGGCCTCTCCCGCTCCCAGATCAGCGAGATCCACTGGGACGGCGCCGCCCCCGGTACCTCAGTGCACGCCTGGGTCGTGAAGCCGTCCAACTTCTCCTCGGACAAAACCTACCCCCTCGCCTACCTCATCCACGGCGGCCCCCAGGGTGCCTGGGAAGACTCGTGGAGCACGCGCTGGAACCCCGCCGTCTTCGCCGAGCAGGGCTACGTCGTGGTCTGCCCGAACCCGACCGGCAGCACCAGCTACGGACAGGCCTTCACCGACGCGATCCAGGGCGAGTGGGGCGGGCTGCCGTACGAAGACCTCGTTTTGGGTTTCTCGCACATCGAGAAGAACCTGTCATACGTCGACACCGACCGCGCCGTCGCCCTCGGCGCCTCCTACGGCGGGTAGGCTACAATACCCTAATACATCTACGAATCAAGAAACTAATAAGACTTTAGCTATATGGTAAACTACATCCAGGGCCACCCGCTCGGGCGCCGCTTCAAGGCCCTCGTGACGCACGATGGCGTGTTCAGCATGGCGAGCCAGATGTCCAGCGAGGAACTGTACTTCCCGTTCCACGACCTGCGGGGCGCGCCGTGGACACACCGCGACGCGTGGGCGCGCTGGGACCCCTCGGCGCACACCCAGCACTGGGCGACGCCGCAGCTGGTGATCCACAGCGAGCTGGACTACCGGCTGCTAATCGGCGAGGGGCTGGCGGCGTTCCACACGCTGCAGGTTCGGGGTGTAGAGAGTCAGTTCCTGACGTTTCCGGACGAGAATCACTGGGTGCTGAAGCCGGAGAACGGGCTGTTGTGGCACGAGACGGTGTTTGGGTTTGTGAATCCCAAGGTGGGGCTCCCGCCGCTGAAGGCGGACGAGTAGTGTAGTGGTGTGGTGTAGTGTTAAGGATAGTCCGTAGCGATACATGACACACACTTCTCACCCACCCCCGCGCGTCGCTTCGAGCAGAGTACAGCTAACCGTCTGTATCAGAGAGAGAAGACCTGGACGGCCCTAGTGGTTCGAGTCAGTCAGGGTTCTCTGTAGCTACTATGCAGCATCACAAAACTTGTCAACCCCCCACTATCCAAACCAACTAGCACCAACCCTATACTCCCACCACCCACCCACCACCCCCACAGCCTCACATCGTTTCCCAACAGAGACCCCTCCTCTCAGGTCCATTGCAGAGTCTCTCACGTTGCCAAACAAACAGCGGACCGCAGAAGTGGGCCAAGCACACCACACGACAGCAAAGCAGGGAAGACACTCGAAAACCCTATAGAATGCTATGTTACCTACAACACAGGTACTTCTCAACCACATTCTAGTTCTTGGTGTTGTAATAGCTGCAAGTCGTGTGTTCTGGGAATTGGCAGGCTTGGGGTCTTGTGCGCTGTTTTTTGTGGGATGGTAGCTCGTGTTGGATCGAGAGACTGACACGCAATGCTACAGCGCAGCACCACGTACTCTCCTTGCGATGCCTGGGACGGAACGAATGCAAAGGCAATAAGACCCAACTTGGCCTGGCCACGCACTGTTAAACCCTCCACCGTCCACAGTGAATCCATCCAGTTACGCCGAGTCCCCTCTCTCATCTGATGAGAAAATTGTCCACTCATAGGAACCCAGTGACACGGATCACAATGGGTTTGCAAAGCATTGAACTGTCTAGCCAGGTGATCGTGACGGCAGTCGATTCATTTGGGATCAGCTTTAGAATAGACGAAATGATGAATTGTGTGAATGGCGCAGGTTAGGCCGCACAGAGTTAGGAAAGTGCCTGCTCCGCTTCTGAAAAGAACAATTTTATCAACACTATAGAGACTGTCTGCAAGGCTACCACTCTCGTCTCTTGAAACGATTAGAATAAGGCTCATCTCATACTCGTCACAAAACACACGATAACACACAGCGGCTCTTAAATCGAGTATTCAAATCCTTGCGTACACACTTCTCGTATTTCAACGGACCAGGTCTTTTCCGAAGAAACAGTTCAAGCATTGCTTGCCTGGAGAGGACTCGTACCATTGTGGTATCGATGGTTGGAAACACATATCTCTGTGCTCCAGACCTGACCAGAACTGCCCCTCTGAGATTCATGGGTTGTGCAGAAGTGGGAATCGTCGTGGGTACTAGCGATTGGAGAAACTACTATCGAAGAATACGGGTGCTGCGGACTGGCCAAGGTCGACGGGCACGGCGTGTAGGCGTCGAGTCGCGGCCGTGTCGCGGACGTAGCGAGAACATATGTCATGTCATACAGGCCCTGTGTACGCGCTCCGCCACGTTGTATTGAAGTATCGTAGATCTGTGGCTTCTCTTGCTCTTGCTCTTGATGTAGTTTCTACGTTGCTGATATGCATAGCCTACACAGCCCCGGTGTCTACGGCCCCAGTGCAACAGCCCCGGTGTCCGTCCACAGCACCGTTGTCCACAGCTTATATTACACAGAATTTCTCGATAACATGGGTAGAGCTACTCGCTACTCGTACAACCCCCCGTCATCCCCCGCGTCGCCGAACCCGCCTTCGGCGATGTCGATGCTGCTTTTGCTCGCGTGGCTGGGGTGTGCACTCCCACTTGCAGTTCCGTTTCCGCTTCCACTCGCGCTGCCACTCCCACTTCCGCTGCCACTTGCGCTTCCGCTGCCACTTGCGCTTCCGCTGCCACTCGTGTTGACACTCGCGCTGCCACTCCCACCAGCCGCAGAACCAGAGACCTCGGCGTCCTCGTCTGCAGACGGGGCGGTAGCTCTCCCCTTCCCCTTTCCGTTACCGTTTGGAGCGGGAGTATGCGTATCGGCGCTCGGCGGCGCTGCGTTCGTGGGCTGAGAAGGCGGTGCCGGCCTCGCCGCGATGCGCATCTGCTGGCCTTGCTGTCCGGCCTGACGCCCCGGCCCCCCTTGCCCGGTCTGACCCCCCTGCCCACCTTGTCCCCCTTGCCCCCCCTCCGCCTTCCCCTCAAACATCTCCCTAACCCTCTGATAATGCCGCAACTCCTCTTGACTAACACTGGGCACCAGCTCCCTATTCGCATCCAGATAATCCTGCTCCGTGACCACGACCGCGGTGTCTTCATCTGTGGCGAAGTGGTCGAAGAAATACGCGACGCTGATTTGCTGGTGCGGGTGAGATAGATTGTGGGCGCGGACTTTGGCGTCGACGAGGCGCGCTTGCCGTGTTATGGCTTTCAGCATCGCGTCGGAGCAGAGCGCGTACATGTCGGCGCCGGTGTAGGTGAAGGGGAGGGTGGAGGCGATGGTAGTGAGGGAGAGGGAGGGGTGGAGTGTGAATCTGGGGGGTGTTAGTATCGCAGTGGGATATGTAGGGATGCGTGGGGATTCGGGTGGGGGGTAGAAAGATAGAGATAGAGGGGGTATACGTACTTCCTACTCAACGCCTCCAGAATCGTCGCCTGCTTCGCGTGCGTGTCCGACACGCCCAGATACAGCATCTTATCGAACCTGCCCGGCCGCAGCAGCGCCTGGTCCAGCAGATCCGGCCGGTTCGTCGCGCCGATGACGAACACGCCCTCGCCGCCGTCGCTCATGCCGTCCAGCTCCGCCAGCAGCTGCGACACAATGCGGTCCATGACGCCGCCGCTGTCGCCCTGGTTGCCGCGCTTCGGCGCGACGGAGTCCAGCTCATCGAAAAACACGACGCAGGGCCGCGCGTCGCGCGCGCGCTGGAACACGCGCCGCACGTTCGCCTCGGACTCGCCAATGTACATGTTCAGCAGCTCGGGGCCCTTGACGGAGAAGAAGTTGAGCGAGAACTCGGTGGCGATGGCTTTGGCGAGCAGCGTCTTGCCGGTGCCCGGCGGGCCGTAGAAGAGGATGCCGGAGCGCTTCTTCATGCCCTTTGCGAACAGCTCTGGGCGGGAGAGGGGCAGCTGGATGGTCTCCATGACGGCGTCTTTGATGTGCGACATGCCGCCGACGTCGGACCAGCCGACCTTGGGGATCTTGGGGGCGCCGATGGCGTCGGCGAAGTTCTTGCGCGCGGCGTCGACGGCGGCGTCGAGGTCGGCTTTGGTCAGGCTGCTGCTGAAGGGGCCGCCGGCGAGCTCGACGTCGCGGCGCGTGACGGGCTCGCTGGAGGTTTTGCTGGCGGTGGCGGCGAGCGCCTCGATGCGCGTCCGCTTTGCGACGACGGCGCGGTCGACGACGTCGACGAGGTCGCCTGCCACCAGCGCGGCGGTCTTGACGGCGATGTTGCCGAGGTCGACGTCGGGCGACAGGCGAATGCCCGCGTCCTCGATGATGCTGCGCAGAATGCCCTCTCGCTCGCCCTCGTCTGGCGCTGTCATGTCCAGCTCGTGGGTAAACAGCCCGCGGATGCCCTCAGGCACCTTGTCAATCTCAGTCGTCGTTGCAATCAGTACTCTAGCATCAGCCAAGATCTCCTTCAGCGCCGTGTTCATGCGGTCCGCCGTGAGCGCGTCCACATGCTTGATGAGCAGCGCCGTGAACTCTGCACCACAGCTCAGCCCGCGCTCCGCCCGCGCCTTCAAGAAGCCCTCGGTCTTGACGTCGCCGCCGCCCGCGCCGCCCTCGGTGACAATGTCAAACGCATCGATGGCGAACGTGTGCAGGCCCAGGTCCTCGCAGGCTTTGGTTGATATCGCCGCCTTGCCGATCCCGCGCTGCGTCGACGTGAGCAGGATCGCCACCGGCGGGAGCCCCATGTGGATAGCGCGCGGGCTCGTCGCCACGGACATGAGCTCGCGCAGGCGGCGGCGCAGCGGTGAGATGAACGGCTTCGGCAGCTCGTCCATGGCCATCATCTTCTGCGCGGCGGTGACGGGGGTGCGCTTGGCGCCGAGGTAGTACTGCCACGCGTTGTCGATGGGCGCGGGCGTCTTGCCCTGCTCGCTGCCGTTCATCTCCATCTTGGTGCTCGCGGCGTCGACGGTGACGGCGCCGCCCCAGATGTCCAGCTCGTCGCCCTCGCGGGGCGAGACTTTGGATGAGACGTTGCCGATCTTGAACCACGCGACGACTTTGGGGTTGGCGCTGTCGACGTCTCTCTTCCTCGAGGTGGACAAAAGCTCATCGCTTCCGACGTCGTCCTCGGTGGACGTCTGGAAGACGGCCCGCCCGAGCGACTCGTCGATGGATATGCCGATCAGATCACCAGCCTTGACCACGCGGCGCTTCTGCTCGAAGTGCTCCTTCAGCGCAGCGAACAGACTCGGCTGCAGCAGGCGGTCGGAGGACAGCGGCGTCGAGACCTTGAGGAGCGTGACTTCCCGCGCGGACGACGGCACCGACGAGCTGGTCAGGCGGGGTTTCTGCAGCGCCGTGCGCGGCAGACCAGGCACGTGCGGTGCAACCAGGGGCGTGATGCGCAGATGCGACGGGCTGCCGAGGTTGGCCAGCAGGATGGGGGAGAGATAGGCGGGGAGCGAGGATGATGCCGGGCCCGAGAAGCTCGATATGCTCATGCGCCGCTCGCCGCTCTCCGACTTGTGTACTGGATACCGCGCGACCTTCTTCGACATGGTCTCGGGCAGCCCGTACACCCTGACGGGCCGCCAGTTGGAGCTCTCCTCTTCCTGCGCGCCGCCGAACGCGCCCAGCCCCCACAGCGAGTGCGCCGACGGCTCCTCGGATGCCTCGAGCTTCACCCAGTCGCCCGAGAAGCAGCCGACCTTGACCAGGGTGTTGGTATCGACGAAGACGCGCGCCTCCTCGTCGTCGTCGGCGCCGGGCTTCGGGTGCACCAGCTCGTCCGAGATGCTGTGCAGCAAGCCGTGTGCCTTGAAGACCTTGCTCTTCGACGCCGGCGCGCCGCGCACGGTGCTGGTCGCGGTGAAGCTGGAGAAGACGGACCCGGGCGTCGCGATGCCGGTGCGGAAGTTGCCCGGGCGCGGCGTGGCCGATGTGAAGGCCGACAGCACGCCCGACGACTGCGGCGGCAGCATGGGCGCGCTGAGCGAGATGATGTCGTCCGACTCGTCCGACAGGTCGCCGGCGTCCGACCCCGAGAAGTCCGAGTTCAGGTCGTCGGCCGACTCGCCGTCGGGCGGGCTCGCATTGCGCGAGTCGCCGCGCTCGTCGGCCGTGTAGAAGGCGTCGTTGGACGTGTCCTCGGCCTCGCTGTCGTCAAACACGTTGGCCACCGGCGCGGGCCGCACGGGCGGGGCCACCGTCTTGGGGCTGCGGTGCGACTGCAGCACGACGATGCGCGTGCTCGGCAGCAGCAGCCCCTGGGCGACGGGCTCGCAGGCGGTGATCTTGAGCGGCGGCGGCGGGACGTGGGTGATGGGGTGGGCCGGCAGCGGCAGCGGCAGCAGGTCGCCCGTGTGCAGCACCGTGGGCGACTGCAGCGCCTCGCGCACCGCTGCACGCCACGCCTTCTCCTGCGCCGCGAGATCCGCACGGGGCGCTGCCTTGCGGCCCTGCACGTCCAGATTGCGGTTCTTGGGGCCGCGGGCGCCGGCCGCGGGGGTCACGAAGCCGCCGCCGAAGCGCGCGTGCACGTCGTCCAGCTTCCGTAGCGCGTCGGTGTCGAGGTTGACGTAGACCGTGTCCAGCCCCAGCGGCACGACGTGGTGGATGCGCACCTCGACGGGGGCGTCGCGGCGCTGCGTCCGGTTGGGCGCCAGGCTGTGCAGCGCCTGCGAGAACGACTGCAGCGCGAGCGCCGACGCGGGGATTTGCAGCGAGGCAGTCCCTTTCTCCGCCGTCGACGACGCAGTCGACGATGCAGTCGACGACGCATTCGCCGCCCCCTTATCCGCCTTCCCCCCCACCCTGACCGGCAGAACCGTCCACCTCGCCTCCGCCTCGCCCGGCACCCACGGCGCAATCGCAATGTGTCGCCGTGTATTCGCCTCGTCTCGCACTGCCATGGTCAGCCCCAGCGTCTCCCGCGTCCCCTCTCTCATCCCGAGACGGGAAAGAGAAACACTCACAAGCGCCCCGCCCAAACAACTCCCCAAACCCCTCCTCACTCAGCACGCCCACCTCCCCGCTGCCCCGTTCGTCGACCACTAACCGCGCCGCCAGCGCGGGGCGATCGAGCCGCCGCCGGCGTTTGCGTGTGCTGTTCGTCGACAATCCGTTTGTGGGCAATCCGTTCGTGGACAATCCGTTCGTAGACAATCCGTTCGTCGCATGTGCGCGAGCGCCGTTCGTCGGCGTACCATTCCCGTTTGTATGTGCGCCATTCACTGCGCCATTCATTGTGCCATTCGTTGTGCCGTTCTGCGCCTCCATCTCTTTCCCGTGGCCTGGCAATTGCAGCGTTGGTGTGTTGCGACGGGCCTTGCGGAGTCGGAGGTCGCGCGTGGTCGGCGCGGCGCGTGGCTGCCAAGCGGGCGTGGTCGTGGGCCGAGGTACGGGGCCGAGGTACGGGGGTCCGGCGGGGAGTGTACAGGCGCCGAGATGCGCGAGAGGTGGAGTGGAATTTCTGTTGTCAAGACGTTCAGAGCTGCGATGGGTGGTGGAGGGGTTCAGAGACGTGTTTATTGACCGTGTGTTTGGGCGCTGGGGGCTGGGTCTGCTGCGTGGAGGGAGTGCGGCTCCGGGTTCAATGCGAGCTGGAGGTGCTCCACATGCTTCACTTCACGAACATACATGGCATGTGTGTACTGTGTAGAAACGCCCATTGGCTTGCCTCACTTTTCTCCGCACTCGCGTATACACAGAAATAACGTGAGCCATGCTGACTACATACAACACAAACCCGCTCTGTCGCGGGGATATCAAACGCCGCCAACACCTGCCATGCATCTTTTCATCGCCGCCACATGTCCCTTCTCCTGCAACCGACCTATTTCCTGCCCTACTTGTCTCCTGCACACCTACTTCCTGCACTTACTTCCTGCTCTGCTTGGCTTTCTTGTGCTTCTTTTCGCTCTTCTCTTTGCTCTTCTCCGCCTCCTTGTATGCCTCCGCCACCGCCTCGCCGGCCTTCCTCTTCTTCTCGCCCGTCTTGACTGCCACCGTGAGCGTATCCACGCGGCCGCCCTTGGCTGCTTTCGCGACCGAGCGCTCGGCTTCTGTCCAGTCGTCTGCTGCGGCGCCGATCTCGTACCTGTACTGAATTAGCACTAGCCATGGTAAGTGAATTGGGGGGCTTACTTGTGCAGCGGCAGCGCGTCGATGAGCGCTTTGGCGCGCTCGCGCTCTTCTTGGTCCGCGAGGAACGCGTCGCCGCCCTCCTGCAGCTCCTCCTGCAGATCCTTCTCGAGCGGCTGGAAGCGGGGGTCGGCCGGGGCCCCGCTGTGCGCGCCTGAGTCTTCGAGGTCCATGGCCTCGGGCATCTCCTCGCGCACCGCACCCTCGAGGATCCCGCGGAAGGCTGTCGCCACTTTGCGGATGATCTTGACGAACATGGCCATCAGCTGCGAGGAGGAGAGGTTGAGCTCCTTCTCTACCTCGCTGAACTCCTTGCGCTGCAGGCCGACGGAGAGGAGCAGCGCCGTCTGGACACCGGTCATCTTGAGATGCGACTTGAGACGCCCGGTGAAGTACAGTGTGGCGATCGCGGGCAGCATGTCGAGGATGACGTGGTAGTCGAGCATGTTGTTTGCGTACGACTCCAGTCTCTTCAAGTCAAACGGACTGAACAGCGCATCCAGCTCAGCCTTTGTGATGGGCGTGGCTTGGAGCTCCGCGTCGAGGTCTGCGCCTTGAGATGCGGACTCCTCAATGGAGAGTGATGTCATAGATGGGAATGTGCGGAAGTGGTAGGAGAGGAGGGAGAGGAAACGCTTCTGGAAGTCCTTTGCAAATGCAGCAACCCACGACCCGTCAGACGACGTTGTCTCCAACGAGCGCAGCATGATACATGTGTGCTCGCCGGTCAGATCGTTCGGTGTCTGTCGCAGGTACACAGGGACGAAAGACTGGCGCTTCCAGAACTTGTGCAGCTGGCTTGTCAGCCCGTAGCTGACGCCTACATAGTCGAGCTTGGGCGATGCGAGCTCAGACAAGCGCGCGAACAGAGGCGGCATCTCAGACGCTTCGCGGACCTTGATGCTGTCTGTCTGGAGGGTGGCAGATTCGAGATCCTCTTCTGTGACGCGCTTCATCGTCTCGATCTCAGCCGGCGCCGACTCGGACAGAGACGCGAGCTTGCCGTCGTAGAAGTCCACGAGCAGCGACAACGCGCGCGATCCGTAGCCCATGTTGACGTAGTCAGGGTTGGTCGCAATACGCACAACGCGTGCGCCGGACAACGAGGCAAAGGTCTCGTCTTGGAATTGCTGCGACACGATCCACGGGATGAGGTCACCACCCGCTCTTTGTCCACGGCTTAGACTGCTGAGAACGCTCTCTCTACTGATCTGGCCTTCGAGAGCCACCTGGATGACGCACAGGGGCTCGGGGAGTTTGTTGTCCTCGGCCGGGGCGGTGAGCACAAACAGCTGGTGGGCGGGCGCATCGGACATGAGCTGGAGATCGTTGGGTGTGTTCTTGTAGTGACTCGCGACGTAGAGCGCCATCATCTTCTGCAGGAACTTCTCCGCGGCGGGGTTGTAGGAAAAGAGCGTGTCGCGGTTGACGTGCAGCAGCTGGCACTCGTCGGGGTGCGGGCAGCCCTGGGTTCCCAGCTTCGAGCGTGGCAGGGTAGCATCCAAGCAGAGGAGGTCGTTCATCCATCGTTCGACCGAGTCGCCTTGGGCGTATCGAATAGGCTCTGACAGTGTGATTTCGCGCAGTGAGCGGCCGGCCATCGAAGGCTCTGTCCCGTCCTTGCTCTCCTTTCCTGTAGCCCTGTCGACCACAGTAGATGAGCTGTCGCTCTTTCGCCCTCTCGACTGCTCACGAAGCTGGTTGATGAGTTTCAGGGAAAGAGAACGTCCAGTACCCTCATAACCGTTGATAGTCGAGGCCATGAACACCAGGTAGGGGCCCATCAGCTTGCGCACGAGCGGCAGAGGAATAGCAGCCGCCTCATCAATAACCAACAGCTCAGCCTGACCCAGCTGGTTCGCGTCCTGCGGCTGGATGTACTGAATCGTCTGCCTGTGCTGTCGGTGCACGTTGACTCGGACAATCGCCTTGTTGAAGTCCGCATTGGTCGACTGCAGAATGTTGTAGTCCTGGTGTTCCATGTATCCGAGAGCGTCGAAGCCCTTGAACACAAACTCGAACAGTGTCTTCAGGTTCTCCGGGCTGGGCGAGGTGATGAAGATGTTGCTGTAGCCGTGTGCAATCGCCGCCGCAATCGCCACACCCAGCGCCGCAGACTTTCCGCGACCACGCGCGGCTGTCAAAGTCACGGTGCTCTGCAGCGTCTTCTCTGCGATCGCATCCACGAATGTGAGGAGCGCCTTCGCCTGGTCGACAGTCTTCGCCAGCTTCACGAGATCGCCCACGGGAGGGGTGTCTGCCAGCGATTCTTTGATCTCCTCCAACTCTTTCGCCTTCGGTGTCTTGCCCTCAAGCTCTGGGTCTGGTGGCGCCAGCTGCTTAACGTGCTTCCCGCCGGAGATGGGCAGCACGTTGAGCTCGTCGTCCACCACCAAGCAGCTGTCGCATTTCCCGAGGGACAGCAGGAATCGTTCGTTGAATCGGGCGACGACATCGCTGTGCGCTTCGGTCCGGTACCGCGAGTGGATGTCCATGGACATTGTGTAGAGCTGCTTCAAGCTGTTCATGCCTTTCAGCAGCAGAATCACGAGTCCGCCTCCCTCGACTGTCTCGATTGTGCGCGCCAGCAGGTTCGGTGTGAGCGCCTCGAAGTCCTGCAGGATACACATGCCGTATGTGTTACCCAGGATCTTCTCCGTCTCCTTGTAGTAGACATAGCGGATGTTCTGTGTCGAGACGAACAGCTCGAATGGGTCTTCGGTGTCGATGTCGCGGATGCCGCGCTTGATCTCGCTCTTGATCTTCTTCTCGCGTTTCTTGCGGTGACTCGAGAACCCAAGCAGCTTGTTCTTGTATGCCCAGAGCACCGACTTGTTCAGCTTGACGTCGACATTCAGCAGGATATGGTACAGGTTGACAATGACATCTTTCTGGCGGTCACCGACGACTACGAAGAAGCTTCGTTTCTTCTCCTGCGCATTGTGAGCATGGCATGGATTGAGGTGCTTGATGCACATACCTGAGCGCCGTTTCGGATCAAAGCCGGGATACGGGAGTCACTTGAGCATTGTAAGCCATTGCGAGTCCAGCAGTCTGTGCATCTTCACGTACATGGCTTTCTTCGGCATCTTGACAGCTCCGCAGGCTTCCCCACCTCTTCTCTGGGTATTGTCTGTTCGGGTTGTGGGGTCGATCGTGGGGCCTGTGATCGATCGCGGAGGTAATCTGAAGCTGTTCCGGGAGTTTCAGCTCTTCAGACCTCCAGGTGCGTGGGGTATGCGCGTGGTGGCTGCGAGAGATACGGGCCGTGCTCCGCTCACTTTTTCGAAGTCCAAAAAGTTCTGCCGCAACGCTAAGCATCCGCCTTCACCGCCTTCGGACTCACATAGACCATAATGAGGATGGATGACCACAAGTTATAGATGAAAATGCTGTATACTTGCATGTCTACTGCAACATGTAAGATTTAGTCTATTCTTATCGAAACAAATCCAGTAAGCTGCAGAACTACTGAATCACTCCGTCTAAGCGTGTACACTCTGATCATCTGATGAAAAAATATCGCGAGATCATGATTCTTTAGTGCCTGCTTTGCACTTAATATGTGGCTATTTGTATGTGCCTGGTGAAGTATAGTCTTGACGAAAAAATGTACGGGTATACGGTGTATGCTCAGAAACGCCCAACCAAACCCATTCCTAAAAACCACAAGATTACTCCCGTTCATTGCTCGCAGACACCTCTTTCTCAGCCTCCAACCCCTCATATCCCTTCCCCTCACCGCCCCCAATCTGCTCCGAGCCCTTGACCTGCTCCGCACCCCTCTGACTCCACTCTCCCGCCGTAGCATCTACCTCCCTCGCCGCCCCCTCTCTGCGCCCCTCGCTACGCCGATAAAACTCTCCAACATCCTCACATCCTCTCGGCGTACGGCACACTCTCCTCGCTTCCTCTGGCGCCGTCTTCCACAGCACCGCTCGCACCTCTTTGCCCACTTTCTCGATCGCGTCCATGGCCCAGATGACGTCGAGATGCTCGTAGCCCTCGATGACTTTGGAGTGTACGACGTCAACGAACGGCTCGCGGTTGCGCTCGAAGCGGCGCAGGAGGCGGCGGCCGTCGACGAGCTCGTCGGCGCCACAGACCCACAGCGCGAAGGGGGGCGTGTGCGGACCGTACCAGGCGAAGCGGGCGCGGCTGCTGTCGCGTGTGTGCGAGTTGGGTTGTTGGCCGTTCAGCGCGGTGGTGCCCACGTGCGCGTCGTCTGAAGTCTCTTCATCGGAGTCGCGTCGCGGGCGTGAACGGGACCGGGATCTGTCCTCGTCCTCGTCCTCCTCCTCTTCGATTGTTTTCTCTTCGCGGGTAGACAGGATGCACTTGTGCTTCGCGAAACACTCGCGGCCGAGCCACCACCGCATACTCTCTGCGCTGACATAGACGGGCGAGAACTGGAAAAGGCGGTCTCGGAGACCGCGGTCCCAGCGTTCGTCGGTCCAGTTGAAGAGGAAGGAAAACACGCGGTAGCCCATGGCTCCGTATAGCTTGCCGGGAAGCAGAGAGTGCATCGTCATCATGAAGGGGATGAATGCGTGGATTCCGAATACGATGCGGAACATGGAGGGCGAGATGACTTGCATGAACTTGAAGTAGGCTTTCTGGATCAGTGGGCCGGCGTACGCTGCTGGCGCAAGAGCACAGAATACCGAGATCTTGTCGCCAATCTCGGGACGCTGCTCCTTGGCGAGAGCGACAAGAGTCTGTGTGGTGCCCTGACTGTGAGCGATGAGACCTAGCTTTTCGAAGCCGGTCTCGGAGAGGACTCGCGAGATGAGCGCTGGAAGATCCATAACGCCCATTTGTCGAATGTTCCAAGCCCACATTCGTGGGTCGCCGTAGTCGAGCAGCTTGTGGCGAGGGTTGAAGCCGCAGCGGTTGTTACCCAGCCAGACATCGTACCCACTCTTTGCCAGATAGAAGGCAAGACTATCATCGTCATTGGTGCAGTAGGCACCGGCTGATTGCAAAAGTCCATGGATCATGAGGACAGGATATTTCTTTTCACCCGACGGGTACTGCAATCCTGGAACTCCATTACACGAAGTTGTTCTCCTGAAGACATCTGGCGCGCGTGGTGCTCTGTCGGAGTCATCTGTGCGGTCGTAATCGCGTGGATTGTAGAGGTGCCAGAGATCGATGATGAAGCCGTCCTCGGTCTGGACCTCAAACACTTCGCAGTCCAGCCCTACCCGGCGTGCGTAGTAACGGACGTCGCACTTCAGCTCATCAGAGCCGCCTTCCAAGGGCACGAACTCATCCCCCTCTTTGCCCTCCTCGTTGTCGTCTCCGAGTTTCTCTGATTCCACGTTGTGCTGCTTCTTCCACGCTACCTCTGCCGCTCTCCGTGCCTTCTTCCGTCTCTCCTCTTCTTCGAAGAACGGTCGACGCCGATCTGGGTTCTGTCCTTTTAAGCGAATCCAGACGTGTACTGCAGCGGTTGGTATCGAAGTGACGGCTGCGCCAAGTATGATGACTAGCAGGAATTGGAGGGACAGGACTGCGGACGAGATCCGCAACAGGATGCAGTGGAGTTTCCTTAGCGTGCTTGGGGGACCATACACAGGTACAGGCGGGAACATAGGATTTGTGTTTGATGGAGCTTTGCTTTCACCGAGGGGGGCATCTGTTCCTTCCCGCTGCCCCTCCGTGTCGTCCTTTTGAGGTCGCACTCCATGAATGGTCCCATCTCTTGACTCGCGTGACTCTCCTGCCACAGGCTCGTTCTCAGACGGATCGCGGTCCTCCAGGACATCTCTAAGGCTGTTGAGTTTCCTGGCTTCCTCAATGGGTACAGCTGGGAGTCGGTCACCGCCCGCTGTCTGGATCACGGGATCTTGCGCAGTGACGAACCGTGCCTCAACGGCCTGGGTCGAGCCAGTTGCATCGGTCTCCTGGTCTGGTGCATACTGCCCAAGGCGTTCGGCCTGCTTTGCGAATTCGATCGCTGCTTGTGCTTTTGTTTTTGTCTTGTCGGTTGCTTCGTGTATTTTACGCTTCACGTTTGTAGTAGTCGCCATGCCGTAGCGCGGTGTAAGTTCTGGTGAAACAACGGTCGGCGGAGAAGTCCGAGGTTGGCGAGTTGGATAGTACGAACAAAAGGTGGGTACGCTGCGAGACTACATCAATTGAACTTCTGCATGAAGACGCAGGTGTAAACAAAGGAAAGGGTCAGACATGGCGATGCACACATGAATCGCAAAGTCGGTGCGCGTATCAGATAGTCTTGGAGATCAGCGCACCTATCTTGGTTGCGAATTTGACAATGACATCACAGATCTCGCACACTCCGCGGGCTTGGTCGTGCACGGCAACGAATCAATGAGAACTATTTCCACTCGTGTGCATCTCAACGACAGATACAAGGATCGGTGGATGGGTGAGCGATGCAGGGATGGTACGTTTCTGTAAGTGGCTTGCATAGCTAGCTGCCCGGGCGGCTTCCGACAAACATGTGATTTCGACACTGCAAATGCGCAACTCGGGTACCCGCCCAAACTTCAGATCTACGTAGTCCAGGCCACAGTAGGGAGCGTCGTGTTTAGGACTCCATTGTTGGAACAGGAGAAAAGAGCGCCCCCTATTTGAAATGTACATCACGCCTGCAGCTGAGTGCACGATGTGGATGGATGTCAGCCCACAAGAACAGCGTTCGGTCCTCTCAGCGTTCCGGAATTACCTGTTCGCTTGATTGTAGAGACGTGCCTCTTGTGAACTGACAGCACGTTGGCACATCCAACACAGCGATACATACGTGCTGCGCTTGGCAAGGCATAATAAACGCTTGACCACCGAGAATGTCGGGACACTGGCAGGCGCAAGATTGGCAGGGAAAGAGCTTGCGCTCCTCAGTCTCGACATTCGCTCACAGCGAGTGGATATATTGCTCAAAAATGACCGTGGCGCCAACCCAATGCATAGATATCTTGATACACCAGTATACAATCTGTCGCAACTCCCCAATGGTATTTACTTTCTCGCCGCAACGGCTTGCTGAACAGCAGCTGTTGTTCCGGCGGGCTGCTGCGATCGTACGAGGGGCTCGTCAGGTACAATGACGTCTTCGAACTCGTCCTGGGAGATGGCGTTGATGGTGTATGTGTCTGTCGATTGTGAGTCAAGGTCAGCACAAGGTTCTGGAGAGCCTACAAATGCCAATGACAAGCGAGCAGATTGCGAACCCCGTGATGGTGTTCTTCAGCAGATACGGGGCGCGAGCACGCAGCAGCGCCGGCGAGGCGCGCATGCGTGCATCGTAGTAAGTCGACTGGAAAGGTTTACTGCTCATGTCAGCATTCACACGCGCCCAAAGCAATCCTACTCACTATCCCATGGTAGCGTCGTGGACCTCTGCAGTTTGCGGGGAAAGTCAGGATTCGCCGCGGTGGTGAGAGGCTCCTTCCGCATGGTTCCTTGGCGCCGCCGTTCACCAGCGTGACCGGCAGCTGGCCATCGTCGCTGCCAATTCAACCCCAGTAGACACCACCACCAACACACGCGCCCTTTCGCTTCCACACGCTCCTTCTACTTCCTGACCGCGAGCTTTGCAGGGAATGAGGGGTTGGGCACAGCAGGCTCTGGGCTTTGTCGCGCGATAGTTTGCCAGCTTGCGCGTGAACAAGCGTCACCATTGTGCACGACCACGCTGCAGGGAACAAAGCCTGTCTCTCGTGCTCTATTCTTTCGCACCACCATGAGTCCAATTCAGCAGCTGCAGTCAGCCCGCGCGCTCGCCTTGGGCGATGGGAGATACTACCCTACCATCATCCCGGGCGTGCTGCCCATCATAAGCTTCAGTGCAGACCAAAGCCTCGAGGTACAACGATGGGGCGCAGACTTCTTGGCCGAAGCCTTCGCGTCCCCAGCGTGGACGTCAGACGTGAAGGAGAACAGCGCGCCGTCGGTGCTGGCTACGCTGAAGGACTATTTGGAGAATATCGACGACATCAGCGTCGTCAAAAGCGCCATACAAGCGGCTGCAAGTGTGTACCCGCTTGTCTACAGACATACGTGAGTGGAACCCTCCAACCTTCAGATAGCCTTGTCCTTCACCTTGAGTGCAATGTGTGTGTACGCTCACTCTTGAATGCCCGTACACGCCTGATTGCACTTTTGTCGAACCCTGTCTCATACTTGCGTGCACCAGTGTTCACAACTCCAACGATGCCCAAAACTGGCAGCTCATGTCAGCTATCAAAGCGAATATTCTGCGACGAATGGACTCGGCCCTGCCGGGCGTGCGCGTGTGCTGCGTCAAGCTCCTTCAGCAGGTCGTGCTGGTACAGACACCAGGCGTAGTCGACCCACGGGTGAGCAGCTTCAGTCTCTCAGGAGATATGACATCTTCTCACACATCACAGCGACCGGACCACAGCGATATCTCCCTCGCCCTCGTACCCCGCGACCACCCCGTCATATCGTATGTGAGCCTCGAGGCTGAAGGGCATGGACTGCTCGATCGCTTGTTGGATATCATACATGGAGATCACAGGTCAGATAGACAAAACCAGACTCCTGGCATAGCTCTGACAAGGAACAGTGATGGCTTGCTCGTCACAGCAACGCTCAATACGTTGGGCGTGCTGATGCACCGACGCCCTATTGCTGTAAATAAGATACTGACTAGCATCTTCAACTTCAATCCCTTCAAGCTGGCCAGCGCCCCTCTGACGCCCAGGAACAAAGTCATCATGAAATCAATTGAGCGCACAACAAGATCACTAATGATGAACATCATGAAGAGGTACGTCTATACATGGAATGTGTACGAGAGATGCTCACCATGACTAGGGACCCTCAAAATCCTATCAACGGCAGGATCCAACAATTCCTTGAACGTATGCACCGTATGCGCATTGAGATGGTTGACGAGGTCAACCGCAAGCGACCAGCTCCCAGTGAGCCGACTGATGGCCTTGATCAAGCCAAGAGGCAGCGAGTAGCCACAGGCGCACCCCCTGCCGTAGCCCCAGAGCCCCTACCTACTGCGCCCCCACTGCCACCAGGACCAGTGAGCTGGCGCCAGCTATTTACACTAAACCCTGCGGGTAGTACAGTGAACTTTGACGTGCAGGCCTTTAGAGATCCGGAACAGCTGGTGAGGATATTGGTACCTGTTCTACAGTCAGTGGACAATGTCAAGCTGGGCCATGCTTTGAATGTAAGTTGCCATGCTACTTGCTGTTATGCCAATCCCCTTGGTACGCGACGAGACTCTTTCTAATGTACAAGCAGATCGTACGTTCTCGATACTTGAGTCTCAGCCAGGCTACTCGTGGTTCTCAAACTACAGGTCATGCTGCTGAGGACGATGAGGAGTATGAACCCGACTTCGAACCTGAAGATGCAGAACAGATCAACAACAGACTCGATGGCCTCTCGCCATCTGATCTAGCGTTTCAACCTGGACCATCAGCAGCACTAGCGCCGTACACACTTCCCGAGGCACCTCCACTGACAGAACAAGAGGTTCAGCGATATGGTGATATGACTGTGTACCGAGCGTTTGGCATGCTCGGCAGCATCGATGACGCACAAAAGAGCAAGATCGCCAAAGGAGGGTTCAACAGATTGGCAGCGAGCGACTATGGCCGCGACGCGTGGGTGACGATACTTTCACGATTGGCTACACGGGCCAGTGCTGGCCTCGAGGATCCTCAGGAAGGCATCAAAGACGAGCATGCCATCAACAACGCGAAAGGAACTCTCAGCATCAGCGACACCGTGCGAGACGGTATGTACAACTACATTATCTCTGACTGGAAAAAGCGCATCGACGTTGCTACGCTGTGGCTGAACGAAGAATGGTACAACGACACCGTACTAGCCCAGTCAAAGGACGTCGCCACCAACGGCACCGCCAACGGGGACACTTTCACATCCGTGCTCAATGCGCCGAACGGCAACTACCAACGCTGCGCACTCCGCCTCATCGACGGTATCTTACCGTACGTCGAGCACACCGACAAAATCATCCTCCGCTTCCTGTCCGAGGTCCCCGCGCTCAACTACGAGCTCCTCATACGGCTGAAAAAGATGGCCGAGGATCCCGAACGCATTGATCTGGCATGCAGTGCGCTGCACTACCTCCACATGTTCAGGCCCCCGGTGCGGGACATCGTCGTCAACGTCTTGACCGAGATCTACCAAACAAACGACCGCGCGAGACCAAGCGCGAAGAAGCTGCTGGCCAGATGGAAACCGGAGGTTCTGAGCGCAGAGGATGCGCCGCCGGTCAAGACCGAGGGTGCGCAGGTCGCGAAGGAGAGTGCGAATGGCGCGCTGGAGGTCAAGGCCGCGTCGTAGGACAGCGATGTAGGGCCGAGACGCGCATGGAACGACGGGGTTGCTTTCGATATATGTATACCCACCAGACTTGCCTCGGCAATACTTATTTTAAGGGCGTAGCGGTTGCATGGGACGGTTTGCTGCATTGTCTGGATGTGCGGTCGGGACTGCTTTGGAAATTACTATATATTCCATCTAACTTGAAATTCTGATGTTCGGATGTCAGTCAATTGCAATCTTGTGTGCAAAACTGCCTTGAGGCTGGCCATGTCATAGCGTTTGAACACGACGTACGATTTGGGCGAATCGCCCTTCGGAGCGCTGTACTACGGATCACTCGAGATGTCCGCGGGTGCAAACATCTGAGGGAATGTTCTCGTCAACTGGACGTGACTCTCATGAGCTATGCGTGCGATAATTTTATTAGCCTGACGTGTCTAAACAGGCTGTTTTCAGTGGTGCAGTGCGTATGGGAGGACACTCGACACCAAAAGCAAGTGACCCAGGTACGGCAAGGATATGAAGGGAGATTGTGACAGATGGTTTATAGTTGTAGGTGTAGTAGGGACGATTCAAAGCATGCAACAGTGTGCTTTCAGTCTTCCATACACGCTACGCTGCTGTCCCAGACGACATGGAGTTCAGTCTTCGCCAGCAGAACGACCAGGACCAAACCCTCCACGCACGCTCACCTAACATACCGCAACCAAAAACCCTTGAGAGTCCAGTAAACCCACCTTGCCAGCCCTCACACCCCGCTCTCCGCCGCGGCCTTCTCCTTCTCGGCCTCGATCTCTGCTACCCGCGCCTCCGCCTTCTCCTTGGTATAGCTCTTCCCGTCCATCTCCTTGAACCGCAACTTCTCCACTTCAACGCCCTCGAACATCCGCACGTTGACGATACTCACGCCGTCGAAGAAGCCCGGCCGGATGCTGCGCGCCATGCACGAGCTGCCGCAGGTGGGACAGAAGCGGTGGGCGACAGAGTGCGTTGCGAATGTGTAGCTCTGCAGCGGGGTCAGCGGTGTGCTGTGGTGACAGGTTGGGTGGGAAAGGGTGGGTCAAGGCAGATGAAAGGGAGGGGTTACCTTTAAGTCGGCGAACTGGCCGGTGGTGAATGTGATGTCGTCGTCTGGGACGTAGATGTTGTAGATGCCGTTTCGGAGACAGATGCTGCAGTTGCAACGCACGACTTCGGTGGTTTCGTGGGCGAGCGAGGCGGTTTTGACGGTGTACGCGAAGGCACCGCAGTGGCAGGATGCTTTGTATGTTTCAGTGGGGGCTTTGGCGTCGGACATGTTGGTTTGCTGTTGTTCGAGGAGAGGCAGAGATGGGATGGCTGGGCTCAAGTATTTGTTGCTGTGTACTACAAGAGTTGAATGGTCTATTGGTGGAGTTATCAAGAATGTTGCTGCCTGAAATCAACCTCTCTTCAGATTCAATGCCTGAATCGCATCGATTTCCGCTTTGAGAAGTGGGTTTCGAAGCGTGCAGCTCCACAATACGGGTCTACCTAAGGCCCCCAGTCTCGGTCGCAGCCAACCAGGCGCGTCGGGGTTGCGCGTGCCACACGCGAGATCACGTTTTAGCTGTACTGTACTTCGCATTCGTTTCCAACAGTTGCCTGGATGCCTTGAGTCACACCACTCGCTACACATGGTCAAAAGTAGATCTGGCTGGAACAACCAACAAGGATTGTAGTCATTGATCCTGCGGGAGCACTACGATTAGACCAAAGCTATCACTCAATGCGTCCTAATCGTCTCTCGATCAAAGAACATACCTCCGTGTTCCTAGTGGAAATCCGCACGTAGTCGACGCTTATCTCCTTACTTTGTCCACTTCAGACCCAACTTGTGCATCTCAACAGCCAGCTGCAGAATGTAATCAATGCTTTCGCACTGAGTCTTCGCCTTGTGGACGTTATCGCCCCAGACGTATCTATCATCTGTCAGCAAACACAGCCCAGTTTCGACCAGAAAAAGCAACACTCACATCCCGTGTCTCCTGACCAAGATCGCGTATGAATCTGGGTACTTCTCCATCGCCTCCTCCAAACTCTCCCTCAAATCCTCCTCGTGCGCGGTGTTCTCAATGATCGGTATCCTCAACCTATCGTAGTACCCCAGATTGCCCTGCTTGCCACGCCCCTTTGGGATGCCCTTGATCTGCTCGATCTCCTCAATTTCAAAACAAGCATCTTTGCCAAAGTCGCGTTCGACGAGCAGCGTGACAAGGACAGCCCACTGCGAGTGTGTGTGTATGCAGCAGCCAGCGCCACGCTCGAAGGCAGCCATGAAGAGGGGAGTGCAGGCGGAGGGTTTAAGAACCTGGTGAAATGTTAGCAAACATCTCAACTAATTGAGGATGTGTTACGTCTGGAGTACATACCTGTGGTCTCCGGAGGTATTCCTTGCTGTTGAAGTCCATCACGAACATGTCCGTTGGCTTCATGAGCTCTTTCTGCACACCGCTGGGTGCAATGTAGATCTTGTCTTCATGGCGAATGCTGGTTCCTCCTCCTGTACCTGTGACCTAGTGTTGTTTTCACGTTAGCATTCACGCTCAGCTTACTGCGTCAACCCCGTCCCCAAAATAAACTATCATACCCATCCTAAGGTGTAGAAGTGCGCGCAAAGCGTGCAGATGTGGTTTGCAGGGTGGTGTGGATCTTCGGAGCGAATGAGGGCTTCTGCATCGTGAGAATTGGCCGACATGATGAATTTGGTGTGATTGAAGTGCTTCACGAGGTTCAAAACTTTTTGGAGCAATGACGCGATGGCGGGCAGTCGCGACCCCACGTGGTCCGTGGTGCCCACCGCGGGGTAGTCGGACTCTCCACCATCACATGTAAAAGAGACTCAAGAATATCACTGTTTGCTTTGATAACTATAGGACCCTGAGACTGAATAGGGTCTGGGTATCATAAAGCTCCTCCATTGGTACCATTATCGCCTCTCTATCATTCAAAATCATGCTTCAATAGAAGCGTGGGGTATCACTGTTTATCTCCAACGGTAGTCTCCTGCGCGAGGGGAGAAGACTCATGCTTCTTGTCCTTGTCGAGGTGAAGCACATGCTTGATCTTGTCGCCAAGGCCCTGACGATCGGGAGACTTGCTGTGTCCTCCATGCTTCTCCTTGAAAACGTTGCCAGCACCACCACGCTGTGCCACTGTCAGTCATGACCGGAAGTAATGTATGAGCCTAAACATACGCCTGTATGGAACTCATCTTGAGCCTCGCGTGTCGCAAGTTCAGGAACGACATCGGTGGAACGACGAGGGCTGTCGCCGTCGACAACCTGCGGTCCAAGTCGAGGCGACTTCCCTATGTTTCCAGCACCTCCGCGGCCAGTAGAGAACTCGTTGGCAACAGACTCGCCTGCGAGGCCTTCGCGGGTGATAGCACCATCGGCGTATACCGTATCATCGTGCCCAATGTTACCGGCTCCTAGAACAGATCAGCTATTGAGCCCGAGGATGGAGCTGCTCATAGGGTTATGATCATACCTCCGCGGCCTGTAGAGTGGAGTGGTGTAGTGGACATGTTGTGAGCTAGTTGCAAAAAAGAAACTGTACTATGTCGCAGTTCTGGGGTGTATTTGGAAGCTAACAAACAGGGTGCGACCGCCGCATCTTATATTTGCTCTTTCATTACGCCGAAGCAGACCAGCAAATGACGCAACTCCGTCTCGTGCAGCTTCAGGGCAGCAGCAGCCATTCAACGCGGGATGGGCGAAGCTTCCGAGTCGAGAAATGCCGCCATGATTGCTAGTTTGTAAAGTTGAACCAAATGAGCAGTCAAGCCAAGGTAAAAGCGAGCCTGCGGTACAAATATTTGGTCGATTACCTGATTACGCCGCTACAGTTGTGTGATGGCGTGAGGTGATGCTTTTGGTGGCGAGATAAGAGGAGTCCTAGTGATAGGCTAAACTCGTGACTAAGCTGTGTGCATCCTTCAACATCCCACTCGAAGGTGGCTCGACAAGGTAACCTTTCGCGAGGTTGGAACCGGAGTGGTTGTGGCTGCTAATCTGCAAGTGATGTCAGTCATGCGAGGCACGAGATGATCTGACAGCTGCCGCCCTAAGGCAGGGACAGATGATGGTTCGCATAGGGTTAATGAGCCGTCACCAAAGTGTGCTGTCGAACATGATCAAGGTCCCGCAGTAAGTTACTGCCACGACAGTTGCTGAGCGGAAAGACTTTCAACTACGTCATCATCCATGATGGCTAAACACTTGTAAGCCACGCGCTTTAGTACTGTAAAGAATTGCTTGATTAAAGATTAAGAAGGGATATCGAACAATTATAGCAAGGATGACAACATCCTTAAGAAGTCCTGAGCCCTTCTTCGTCACTTGGTCTTCCCGCACGACCTTCCTCCGCCCCTCTGCTCTGCGTCTTGGACTGATCTGCATGCTTCGCTGGATCGAACACGTAAATCGGGAACTCCAAGAAAATGGTTCTCTTCAAGATGACTGGCATCTTCTCGTATAGCTGCGGCGGGAACGGGATCAAGATACTCGTCCGGTTCAGCCATCGCGCATAGGCTGGCCAGTTGTCGCCCTTTTCGTATCTTTTCTTGGCGCCAGGTCGTTCTTGTAGGGTCAAACCCGAAACGAACATGAGCAATAATGTAAGGAAGAAGGGCCCTAGAATGGACGCGTAGAGAGCTGAGTAGGCTCCGCCCGAAACGTAGTTGTACGCGGCAGGTGACACTGCGATCGTGAACATACCAAACTGGATGATCATCTCGCCAAAATAGTTCGGATGCCTGGTCAGCGCAAACAGGCCAACATCGCAGACTGCGCCGTCGTGTTGATGGACACTTCTGAACCGGTACTTTTGGATATCGGAAATGCTTTCCATCAGAAATCCGATCGAATAAAGGACGACGCCAGCAATATCTCTGCCGGTACCGAAAGCTGGCTGAGCGAATTGTGTAACGTTTGGTGAGTTAAGGATTGTGACTGGCAAAGAGCATGTCCACACCCAGAACATTTGGCTAGAGATTATTAGTCTTGTATACAATTCTGTACGCAGGCCTGTCACATACAATACCCAAAAGCCGAGAAACGACCAGAACTTGTCGCGCTTGTCGTCGAAACGGTCGTCTTTTCCCGTTTTAAGGATCCTGAACAATAAGAAGGCACTCAGACGTGCTCCCCAAGCCATCATAAACACCGACACCACAATATTGCGCGCATCGCCTCTGTTCTCGCTCAGACCAAGCGTCAGGATTGAGAGGACGACAAAGTTTGTGCCGCCAGCAAAGTCTGTCAGCTTATCAAACTTGAAATAAAAGGCAATCGCAAAGAAAAATAGCTGGTATGCGACGGTAATGAGGAATGTGATCGCGAGGTAGTAGTTATCCAGCACGTGGACGGCCATCTTGAAGATGATCGCCTATGTAGAATTGTTGTGTATGTAGAAGTCAAAGCCCGAGGGAACTGCACCCATTATACTCAACCATCTGTACGGTCTCGGCCGCTGCGCCCCCGAGGCTAAGCTGTCGCATTCTTAATCTCACCGACTCCGGTCGATGCGCGTAGGCCATTTCGAGATGGGTGTGCGATTTGGTTATGTACGAGAAAGGAACGGTGACGACATTGAACGTTCGAATCGCCAAGCGAGTGCGATCGACTGCCGGCCCGCAGCGCTGACGGTCATCTTCTCTCGGCCAAACATCAACGGCGGTGCATCACGAACATCACTTGGCCATAAACAATCTTGGGAGCACTTGTTATGGAAGAGACGGCACCGAAAGTCAGCAGCGGGAGCGCATCACTGCTTAGCCCGTGGGCAATGCCGATCAGTTGAAGACTCTCTAGCTATCGTGAAACACAACCGGTGTTAGGCACGCCGCGTCTTGCAAGTCGCGTCTCAGACCTCACCACCCTCGCCGCTGGCCAGACCATGATGAAGCTTAGAATCCTCCAGAACTGCCTTCCCGAGGCCTGTCAGTCTGAGTCGCCATGCGTTCTGCCCTGCGACAAAACTTCTTGGCCACGCCATCCCGACAATGTGATGCTTTTCAGTATGCTCCTTTCATCCTAGGACATAGGCCACACCCCTGAGACACGCCGGCAGCCGTACGAGCAGCCGCGCGGATTGACTTGCTCGAAACTCATCACGTTCTTAGAAACAGACTGAGCGGGGCGTGCGTCGCATTCCCTAAGTACCATCGTTTCCACCTCAGGTGTCACCTTTGAAAGGTTTGGAATTGCCATACCGGAACTTTACGCTCGTTTGGATCCGGAATACCTGTCTTCTCACCCATTCCGCCTTTTCGCTTTCGTAACTCCTCTTCGACCTTCTGCTGCGCAGATTCGAACGGGTCTGCATGTCTGCGACAGCCTTTTCGACTCCATACCAGCTGTGCTGTTGATGTACTAATCTTAATTTGCTCTATTCAGACTTCGCCTACTTTCGAAGTGTTTCTTTCATCGTTATCAACATGAAGACTACCAGTTCTGCTCTGGGCTTGGCCTTTTTATTGATCAATGCAGTACGTCGCGCTCGACAGGCTAATTACAGGGAGACTAACTACCATAGGTGGTTGCGGAGGCAGGAGTTGATCTCCACAGTAATAATGTCGGGCGGGAAGTGAGAGGAAGGAAGATCGAGAACCTCATTTCTGGAGTTGACCGGTCGACGGAGGATGTGGCAGAGCTCGATCTGTCCTCTGTCAACAACGTGCGACGCAGCGCTAACACCAACGCACTGGAAGCCGACATTGTCAAGAGACTCGCTCAATTGGATGTTGGTGCGCTCCTCAACGCTGGCGCACAAGGACAGGGAGCTAGTCAGAGGCAGGGTCAAGGACAAAGTCAACAGCAGGGCCAGGGCCAGACGCAACCCCAGAGTCAGACTCTAGGACAAAGACCCACGGGCCCCAGCGATATCAACACCAGCAACATCGCGGGTGACCTCGCAAACCAGATCGCAGAAGGAAACAGGTCTACTGTCGGCACAGGAGACATCAATACGAGTGATGTTGGGGCAGCTCTCGCGAACCAAGCCGCTGGATTTGGGACCACGCCTGCCGCACAGGGCCCGACTGTTGGACAAAGCCAAGCAGCAGGACAGGTTCCATCAGCTGAACAGCCACGGCCGGCAGCCGAAGCACTAGCAGCCGGTGCTCCACCAACTCCTGAAGCGCCACGGCCAGCAGGTGAAGCACCGCCCGCTCCTGGAGCACCAAGGCCAGCAGGCGAAATGCCGTCAGCTGCCGGAGCTCCACCAGCTCCACCAGCTCCCGAAGCACCACGTCCAGGAGCCGAACAACCTCAGCGAGCTCCCGAAGCTCCACCAGCTCCCCAAGCGCCAGCTCCTCAAGCCCAGGCCGCTGAAGCAGCACGACCCAGTGGACAAGGTCAAACTCAGGGCACAAAGCCTGTAGGGCCCACCGATATCAACACCAGTAACATTGCAGGCGACCTTGCAAACCAGCTGGCGCCCAAAACAGGCGTCAGCGGTCAGCGTCCAGCAAGCAATGATGCTGCAGGAGATCTGGCGAACCAGCTTGCCGGTCAAGGTACCTCGGCTGGAAAAGGCCCGGGACAGGCTGCTGCTGCGATGAATGGAGGTGCTGGCGGCGCGATCATCGAGATCAGATCTACCATCATCCAGGAGGCCAACGGCCAGCAGATAGCGACGGCTATCATTGAACAGATAGGACAAGGACAACAACCTGCAGCACCGCCAGCGCCCACTGGAATGCCTGCAATGATGCCCCCTCCGGCCCCAGCCCCAATGGAGGCCAAGCCAACAGGAGCGGCTCCAATGATGCCACCTCCGGCTCCAGCTCCACCAATGGAGGGAAAACCTGGGGAAGCTCCAGCTGCAATGCCTGCTCCAGCCGAGCCCAAGGGTCAATCAAACACTACGGAGGCGGCCAAGCCTGAAGCGGCCAAGCCTAAGGGTATGAGCGCAATGGTACGTATTCAAACATGAGAATGCATATTTATGCTAACACAGAACACAGGCGTCAGCTCCTACAGCGCCTGGTACAATTACTGAAATTGCCGAGGGAGGTAAACCTACCGCAGCGGCAGGTGAGGCTCCAAAGCCAGCCGGGGAGGCTGCAAAGCCAGCCGAAGGATCGTCCGCACCAAGCAGTGCAAACGCTGCTGCTGCAGCTCCTGCTCCTGCCCCTGTGACTGTTAGTGCTGGAGGAGCTCCACCACCTGGAGCCCAAGCTGCTGCTCAATCATCGTCTACTACTCCGGCTACAGTCAACTCTGCCACTCTGACCGCAGATGCTCTTGTGGCTTCTCCTACAGTCACCGCAGCAGGTAACCCAGTCACCGTACAGGCAGGCTCAGGTGGAGGCGGCAATGGGACAAGCTCAACCAGTGGAGCTCAAGCGGCAGCCGTTACTGTCGTAGCAGGAACTGGAGGCAACTCGACACGCTCAGCCGGCGCCGGAGCAGCAGCTGTCACCGTCGTCGCTGGTTCAGGCTCAAGCTCCAACTCCACCTCGACTGCTGCTGCCGCTGGTGCTGCCGTGACCGTCGTCGCTGGCTCGGGTGGAGGAAATGCCGCTGCAGCAGCAGCGAATGGTGGGTGCAACTGCGCATGCATGTGTCCCGCAGGTTCATTCCCCATGTCTGCTCCCCAGGCGCAACCATTCCAGCTGGGTTCCATGGGCGCCGCAAGCACGATGCAAACCATGGCATCCGCAATCACAGTGGTCGCGGGCCCAGCACCCCCCGGCGCTCAGCAAGCCGTTGCCTCATCCTCTTCCAGCTCGACTGTGAGCATAAACTCCGCCACTCTGACCACCAACGCCCTCCTCCAAGGATCTGCAGCTCCGCCCGCCGGGCCCGGCGTCACCATGATTGCCTCCGGCGACCCAGCGATCTCCGCGTCCGCGTCCGCTGCTGCTTCTTCCTCCTCAAGCTCCTCAGGCAACGTAGCAGCTGCGCCCGCAGCGACCCTTGCCAGCGAATCAACCAGCGCGACAAGCAGTGCCGGTACAAGCGTCCCGGCGCAGAGTGCTGTCGAGGGCACGCCGACAATCGGGGCTTCAAGCGCACCGGCCAGTGCTGCAGTAACAACATCCAGCGCCGTGCTGCCGGACAGCACGGCGAGCCTGCAGCAGAACCAGGCGCTGCCGTTCGACATCTCGACGGTTGCGCTGCAGAGCCGGGTGACGGTGAATTTGGGCAAGCGGCTGGAGAAGCCGACTGAGGCTGCGAGGAGGTGGCTGTGGTGAGGCCGATGAGTTACTTAGACGAGTCCATGCAATACCCTCATGTTTCTTTCTTTTATCTTTGTAAGTATCGCGGGCATTGAGTGCTCTGCAAGATTAATATATCAAAATTGAGGACATGCATATAAATTTTGCCTTGAAGTGATTCGTTGTTTGTCTATTGGGTATCTTTGAGGTGTTTACTCGTTTGTTCATTATCTTGAAGTGGATGGTATTGGCAGAGAACAGTGATGTCTCGCCACTGATTGCCATCCTTGCTTTTACCAGCCAGACAGACTGGAAATCATCCAGCGTACTGCATGCGAACCGCTGACGGTCACCAATATAAGGCTGAGAGGCCATCGGTGACTCGTCGGCGGTTCGCACGCAGTGAGGGCGTCCTGGCTACTACCTATTCTGGAAGGTCCGCATCGTGTAACCGATCTTGGACAGTGAATGTTGTCAGAATCTCATTTCTGCTGTCTTCGCCATCTCACGCAGCCTCCTTTTCTCCTGCACCCTGCTTAACCTGCTTGAGGCGCTTCTGCTCGCGCTTTGAGGCAGGCTTCTCTGTCTGAGGCGCAGGTGTACCCTCCAGACTCTCACTGGGCCTCTTTCCGTTCAGATTCTTTGCCTTGCCCTTGCCATCCTGCTTGTCCTTCGACACGGTTGCCGGCTTCTCGCCTCCATACACGAAATCGATAACACCCTTGAAGCTCTCGCGCTTCAGCCGCGCATGCTCGACCACATTGCGCGCTTCTTTCGTCAGCCCATCCTTGCCCTTCTCAGACCCCAAGCCCCACACAGATGCCAGGTTGATAACGTCGCTGGGCGCGCGGATGCCCAGCACGCTCTTCGCTTCGGAGCTGAAGATCAGGCCTCGGCCGCGGGTGACTCGAATGAGTTGTGTCGCGTTGCTGATCAGATTGCGCTTCGCCTGTGGGTCGCTTGAGAGAATGCCCTGGCTGTAGCACAGCTCGATCTTGATGCCGCGCGCGATCGCTGCGCCTAGCATTGGGAACTTGAAGTGCTTCTCGAACCGGCGCGTCAGGTCCAGCGAGATAATGTCGACATCGAGACTTTGGCACGCTTGTTGCAGGGTGCGTTCGTCGGTTGGTCTCGCAGCGACGAGGTCATAGTGCTGTTGGAGCTGGGGAATACGGAAATTCGAGGCGCTGTCGGTCAGGAAGATGTTGCATCGTCGCAAAATTCGCAGTCGATGTGGGAACGGCAGTGGACTTGGTATTGGTGAACTCTGTTTGACCTATATTAGCAGCGTATCTTGGTCGCCAGGGCCAATACGACTCCCAGAAAGCTCAGGGACAACGCAACTATGGTTCGAGGCGGAAATATTGCTTCAACGTACCAGTTCGTTCGGTAGCTTGCCGCTATAAGTATGTGTAAGGGCAACCACGTCGTATCCTACTACACAAGTCAGTCACGATCTCAAATCCACGCAAGGGCGCCTCGTCTGCGTACATTCGTCTAAGAAGGCCACTGTGCGCTGCAATTCCCTGACAGCATCTGCACCCGCACCCGGCCACGGAACGTTCAGATCGTGGAACATGGCCAGTATGGGCGATATTTCGTCTGAAGATGTTCGCGGCAGAATGGGTGAGTGGATTGTCGAGAGCGCGGTGCTATCATAAATGCATGCTTACATAACAGGGCCAGGGTCGTCTAGTGGTTCTGCTGAACACCACCCTCCTCCCCGCACCCAGTCAAATCTCGACCTCTCCGCGCCGCCAGCCAAGTCTCAGCCGGCTGTTGCAGCTCCCCAACCGCGCCGCGACACCATCCCTCCTGGGCGCGTATCTTGGAACAAGGCAACTGCGTTCGGCGTGTTGTGTGTCGGCCTAACCTGCCTGTGTCTGCGCCCGTCTCCCGCCATCCTCCGCTTCCTCCCCCCACCACTCGACCGCGTCACCAACACCACACTCGCTGCTCCCCAGACAGTCGCTGCCTTGTCGCCGACTGTCACCGCCAAGCTGGCTGCCACCAAGATGACGACGAACAGCAGCGGCGCGAGCATCGCTCGCGTCTATGCCGACGTCAATGCCAACATGCCTCGCTCGTATTGGGACTACGACTCGGTCAACATCTCGTGGGGCGTGCTTGAGAACTACGAGGTTGTCCGCAAGATTGGCCGCGGAAAGTACTCGGAGGTGTTTGAGGGCATCAACGTCGTCAACTACCAGAAGTGCGTCATCAAGGTCCTGAAGCCGGTCAAGAAGAAGAAGATAAAGCGCGAAATCAAGATTCTTCAGAATCTGTCTGGTGGCCCCAACATTGTTTCGCTTCTGGATGTGGTGCGCGACAACCAGGTCAGTAGCGATTCTGAAGAAGACTGCATGAGCGACCGCACGGTATTGTGCCTCGCCCGCTGTCGCGTCCTAGATACGTTGCTAACATGTGAGCTTTAGAGCAAAACACCCTCGTTGATCTTCGAATATGTCAACAACACCGATTTCAGGAGCCTCTACCCCAAGTTCCAGGATTACGACGTACGATACTACATCTACGAACTGCTCAAAGCCCTGGACTTCTGCCACAGCAAGGGCATCATGCACCGTGATGTAAAGCCCCACAACGTCATGATCGATCATGAGAAGCGCAAGGTAAGTCTGTCTCATCGACCGAAAAGATCTATTGCTAATCACATGCAGTTGCGCCTGATCGATTGGGGTCTCGCCGAGTTCTACCACGCAGGGACCGAGTACAACGTCCGTGTCGCCTCTCGATACTTCAAGGGACCCGAGCTGCTCGTGGACTTCCAAGAATACGATTACTCGCTCGACATGTGGTCGTTGGGCGCCATGTTCGCATCGATGATTTTCAGGAGAGAACCATTCTTCCACGGCAACAGCAACTCTGATCAGCTGGTCAAGATTGCCAAGGTGCTTGGAACCGAGGATTTGTTTGACTACCTCGACAAGTACGACATTGAGCTGGATGCTCAGTACGACGACATACTCAGCCGCTACCCCAAGAAGCCATGGCACTCATTCATCAACGCAGACAACCAGCGTTTTGTTAGCAATGATGCCATTGACTTCCTTGACAAGCTTCTGCGTTATGACCACCAGGTAAGAGCGCGTCCCGTCTGCAGACTTCACAATACTGACTCAGCTAGGATCGACTCACAGCCAAAGAGGCGATGGCTCATCCTTACTTTGCCCCTGTTCGACAAGCTGCTCAGCAGAACAGCATCAGCGCGGCCTGATTGATACCCTTTTCAGTACCTAGATCTTGAGTAATGGCATGAGATTGACGAACGATCCGACGCCCGATATGGCTTATTGATCCTCCATCGTTCTGACCACCGGTGTCTCCCCATCGATGTCTCAGTGCATATTCAGTCATACATGTCGCGGGGACAGGCGTACGAGTCGGTGTGCGTCATGGCCGGGGCGGGATTCTATTGGAGTATGGGGCGCAGGCTTGGGAACAGAACGCGTCAAACATGCATGGAATGGCGTCAATGTGCTATCCGACATATACAAAGACTCATATTATTCACGATCCTGACTGTTGTGTTGACTCTGTGATACATGATCATCGCCCATTGGGTCGGAGCGGAAACGCTCGGATACTTCGTACCTCAGGAATTGGGTGTTCATGCCGCGGACCACGCTAGGCTAACTTAGTGACTGTACGTCGACTCACTGCACCGCAAAATAATGCCCCGCCTGGATTAATGCTGCCCCTCCTCGGTCCTATATTGCGTCGACCGCACTCCCTTCGGATCTCTCTACCACATCCACGCCACCGCTCTCTGCACTTTTTCTACTCGCCTGCGCTGCGTAGTGCTCAATTGCGACCACAGCCCTACACTCTCTGCAACACCGAGCGCCTGCTCGCACACGACTACACCACCGCCACCATGGCGCTCAATGCTGCCTCACACAACGCTGCCGGCGAGAAGACCGGCCCTGTCACCGCTGCGCCTCCTGCCATCAGCGATGAGAGCAAGAAGGAGCTCCTCGAGGCCGCTAATGCGGACGGCACCGGCCAGTCTGCGCCCGGACAAGAAAACGAGAAGGGCGTAGAGAAGAAGGAGAAGACGGCCAAGGAGCTCGAGAAGGAGCGAAAGAAGGCCGAGAAGGATGCCAAGTTCAAGGCAAAGAAGGCTGCAGCTGGCGCTGCGCCGGCGAAGGAGGGTGCCTCGAAGAAGGAAAAGAAGAAGGGCAAGGAGGAGCAACAACTGCCCGAATTCAAGGAAGAGACACCCAAGGGCGAAAAGAAGCGTCTCAGGAGTCTTGACGACCCCTTCACAAAGGCTTACATTCCCCAGGTCGTTGAATCAGCGTGGTGTGAGTTTTGCTCTTGCTGGCTTTCATTCTGTGTGCTGACCTTTGTTCAGATGACTGGTGGGAGAAGGAGGGCTTCTTCAAGCCCGAACTCCAGGCCGACGGCACCGTCAAGAGCGCTGGCAACTTCGTTATCCCGATTCCTCCTCCCAACGTTACTGGCAAGCTCCACTGCGGACACGCCCTCGCCACATCGCTGCAAGACGTCTTGATCAGATGGCACCGCATGCGCGGCTTCACCACACTCTACTTGCCTGGTTGCGATCACGCAGGTATTGCCACACAAAGCGTTGTTGAGAAGATGCTGTGGAAGCGCGAGAAGAAGACCAGGTACGACCTCGGTCGCCAGAAGTTCCTCGAACGTACACACGAGTGGAAGGAGGAGTACCACACGCATCTTGTGCACTCTCTGAAGCGCATGGGTGGATCTTTTGACTGGACACGCGAGGCGTTTACAATGGACAGCAATCTTTCTGCCGCCGTAACAGACAGTTTCGTCAAGCTCCATGAGGATGGCCTTATCTACAGATCGAACAGGCTCGTCAACTGGTGCACAAAACTCAACACAGCGCTGTCAGCACTTGAGGTCGACAACAAGGATCTCGCAGGCAGAACGCTGCTTACCGTTCCTGGCTACGAGCGCAAGGTCGAATTCGGTGTCTTGACTCATTTCAAGTACCAGATCGAGGGCAGTGACGAGACCGTCGAAGTCGCGACAACCCGTGTTGAGACTATGCTTGGTGACTCCGGAATTGCCGTTCACCCTAACGATGCGCGCTACAAGGACATTGTCGGCAAGAAGGCCAAGCACCCCTTCCTCGACCGTCTCCTGCCCATCGTTGCTGACGAATATGTTGATCCTGAGTTCGGTACTGGTGCCGTCAAGCTGACACCGGCACACGATCCCAACGATTTCAATCTCGGAAAGAAGCACAACCTTGAGTTCATCAACATCCTCAACGATGACGGCACACTAAACAAGAACTGTGGCGACTTTGCAGGTCAGAAGCGATTCGATGCGCGTTACACGGTTGTTGAGGCTCTGGAGAAGGCCGGTCTCTTTGTCAAGAAGGCCGATAACCCAATGAAGGTCCCCATCTGCTCGAGGTCTGGAGACGTCATCGAGCCAATCATGAAGCCCCAATGGTGGATGAAGATGGACGAGATGGCCAAGCCTGCGATCGACGCTGTGCGCAACGGCGACATCAAGATTCGCCCTGCGAGCTCAGAGAAGACATATATGCACTGGATGAACAACATCCAGGACTGGTGCTTGTCGCGCCAGCTCTGGTGGGGCCACCAGATTCCTGCGTACTTTGTCAATATTGAGGGTGGCGATGGCGACCGCACTAGCAACGAGCTTTGGGTCACTGGTCGCACAGAAGAGGAGGCCCAGAAGAAGGCTGCGGAGAAGTTCCAGGGCAAGAAATTCACCCTCGAGCGTGATGAGGACGTACTCGACACATGGTACTCTTCTGGTCTCTGGCCGTTCAGCACGCTCGGCTGGCCCAATGAGGACTCCGTCGACCTCAAGAACCTCTTCCCCACATCTGTCCTCGAGACTGGTTGGGATATCCTGTTCTTCTGGGTTGCTCGCATGATCATGATGTCGCTCCGTCTGACAGGGAAGGTTCCCTTCAAGGAGGTATATTGCCATTCCTTGATCCGTGACTCTGAGGGCAGGAAGATGTCCAAGTCTCTCGGAAACGTTATCGATCCTGTTGACATCATGGACGGTATTACTCTTGAGAAGCTTCACGCACAACTGTTGGTTGGTAACTTGGATCCTAAGGAACTGAAGACCGCCGAGAAGTACCAGAAGACCTCCTTCCCTCAGGGTATTCCAGAATGCGGTGCTGACGCTCTGCGTATGGCTCTTGTTGGCTACACAACTGGCGGTGGCGATATCTCTTTCGATGTCTCCGTCATCCACGGCTACAGGCGATTCTGTAACAAGATCTACCAGGCTACCAAGTATGTTCTTGGTCGTGTTGGTGACCTTCAGCCCCGTGCGCAGGTTGAGAAGGGTGGCGATGAATCGCTTCCTGAGCGCTGGATACTGCACAAGCTCACCACTTCCTCCAAGAAGATCAATGCTCATCTCGAGGCACGCGAGTTTTCGCTTGCCACACAGGTTGCCTATAGGTATTTCTATGAGGTAAGAACACGGACAACGATTGTGTCAGATTCAAATGCTAATGCTCAACAGTTCTTATGCGATACCTACATCGAGAATAGCAAGGCAATCTTCGACCACGGCAGCGAGGCCGAGAAGGAGAGCGCCAAGCAGACCCTTTACACAGCCATTGAGGGTGGTCTGACCATGATCCACCCCTTCATGCCCTTCCTCACAGAGGAGCTGTGGCAGCGTCTGCCCCGCAGGCAAGGTGACAAGACTCCCTCCATCACTGTCGCCTCCTTCCCGCAATACAACGAGACCTTCGACGACGAGGCCGCCGATGCCGAATACGAGCTCCTCGTTGATGTTTCCGGAGCTCTGCGCTCCCTTACTGCCGAGTATGGGTTCAAGGAGGATGGCAAGACCTACGTTCAGCCTCTCAGTGATGGTGCACGCAAGACGCTTGAGGCCTCCACATCCCTGCCTTCCATCCGCTCATTGGTTGGAAAGACCGTCGCCGAGATCACGATCCTCGGTCCGTCAGACCCCCTTCCCACCGGCTGCGCAGTCTACACTATTGGCTCCTCCGCGACAGCATTCCTCGATGTCAAGGGCCGTATCGAGGTCGACAAGGAGATCACGAAGGCGCAAGACAGACTCAAGAAGGCAAACGAGACGGTCGAGAAGCAGAAGAAGATCATGGATGCCGACTGGGAGGAGAAGGTCTCTGATGCTGTCAAGGAGCAGGAGAAGGAGAAGCTGAGGGCGGCGGAGATCGAGGGCAGGAACTGGCAGGCTAGCATTGAGCAGTTCGAGAAGCTTAAGCTGTCTGAGTAAGAATATCTGGAGGGTTTGGAGAGTGAGTAGTTTACTAGAATCGATCTGCAGAAAGCAAGTTCACGTTCACTCATCATTCGCTCCTTCCCTTCCAGAACCCGACCCGAAGCGAGGTGATTGCCTACCAGGCCATTGCCTAACTTTCAGGATTCATTCTCTCAGTCTCTCATACCATCATTATTTCGCAAAATTTCCCATCACTATTTTACACAATCTCTCTGCACAAAGCCCAGACCGGCATCGACTACACACCCCTTCAACCCAGTTCGGATAACGCTTCGTCGCCATGGGCTATGATGCTATGTTGGTTGTGCACACGCGTGTAACACTCCAAGTGCTAATCCATTAGTAGTACACGTCGAAACCGGGAACAGTATCCTCTACTTCGGCTCCCGGCTGAACTGCGCAACAGGGTCTACGATTACGCGATCAGTGGCTACAAGATCGAAGTGAACAGGCATCGCGGCCGTCTGTCCCTAAAGTACAAGAGAACAGACTAGAATCGGCGTTCGTCTCCGAGAGACCGAATGCTGCCTACACTAGAAACTGTGTCTCGCCAATTGCGTCACGAAACGGCCAACATGTACTTTACGAGGAACGTCTTCGTTGGCAGTGCAGACGACATAAGCAGATTCATCAGGGATGTAGGATACAAACGAAACTTCATCAAGGCTGTTCGTATCGTAACATGCGCAGGCTATTTCCAGCGGTGGGACAAGAATAGGCCTAGGTTGAGTGGACCGTGGGATAAGATCATTCGAGTTCTACACGACTTGAGCACGCTCAATAGACTTGAGAAAGTCGCGGCGACAGCAGATCTTAGAGATGTGCGCGACAACAAACTTAAGAGTGGGATCGAGAGAATATTTCGCGAACTCGCGTCTTTAGAGGATGTGAGGCTAGAGCTAGAGATTCTATGAGAGAGGGCGCTGCCGTGGCAACAAGCGGCATACAAAGACTGGTAATCCTGGAGCCTAGGAGTCGACAGGCATCATTGAATTGTAGTTCTCTTCAACTTCTGGAGAATCAATCAAACTACAAGTTTCCACTCTACCATAACATTCATGCTGTACATTTGAGAAGATGGATCGCAACGACATGTACGCCTTTGAACTTCATCCCGAGCATCACTGATGTCCTCTAGCACCCTGACCAATCAACGCAACTCACCTCTCTTGCGCCTCCCTCCCGAGCTTCGACATAGGATCTACCAGTACGTCTTCACTGGGCACGAAATAAACATCTCGCGAGTCCAGCCAACCATTGACTACCTGCACTACCGCTCATCACATCCCCCCAACACCTTCTGGAGCACGCACCCCTTCCGCTTCACCCTGAACCGCACCTGCCGCCAACTGTACCACGAAACCGCCCGTCTCACTTCCCTCTTCTGGACCCACAATACATTTTCTGGCTCCGCTCTAGGAGTGGCCTGTTTTCTGCGCCGACATAGTGCGGAGGCGGATCTGCTCCGCACGCTGCACGTATACGTAGGAGGCATAGTGAGCACGAGCAGCTACGCGTTCAAACCGCTGGAGCTCACGATGTCGCTGAAGGCTCTTTTGCGCAGCTTACGCGCCTTGGCGGCGCTGGAGACAGTGGTACTCGTGCAGGAGACGCAGCGGCTGGCGGGGTATGAGCATGAGCAGGTGCTGGATGAGGCTAGGCGGGTGTTTGGGGCAGAAGCAGGGCAGCGACATCATCAGGTTGACATCCTATTGAGGTGTTCATGATGTATGCGACCGCACGGTGCAATGTCCCAAGTGAGGTTGGCGTTGTAGGCGATGCTTGCCATGGGCACCGGTGCTCGTTAGCGGACAAGGAAGGGGCGGGTACACGGCCCGAGCGAGGTTTCTCTCAACGATATGTATGGCTGAACTACGATTCAAGAAGTTGGTTAGGGCTGCAGGGACACGTGCAACTAGCGGATGGGTCTTGGACGTGGGAGAGGGGACGCTACGGGTGCCGCCTACTCGTAGTCCAGGTACCAAGAGTATGGCTCCGGCAGTGGTATGTGAACTGGGAGGTGTTAAATTCTGGAACATATAGTAAGGGCCCACCATGACCAGCGTTGCTAAGTTATGCGTGGCAAAGCTTTGGTTTGATTGGCACTCGCCGCGCAGCCCAATCATTCTTGCAAAGGACCCTTTGCACCCGGACCCCAACTATCGTAGAGTCAAGTCTAACCAGATGCACAAAATGTAAGGTACGATGTTCCTGTTCTCCTTGTGGGGCAGTGTCCAGACTTTCGTGGTCAGGTCTCGCAGTCCACTGTGGGCACAGCCCCTCTCCCCATTGACAGCGTACACCACGATACTGGGAACCCAGAGTCTGTTTCTCCAGGGACTGATTACCGGTTGATGCATCATATGACGTTCTGTAACACCACACTCGACATGATTCGTTGACTAGCATGCACCTAAGGATTCGATAGGACTATTGATAGAGAGCGGCAGCGGGCCGTCCAACGGTTCCTGCATCGCCCTCCTGCCTATCAACTGCTAGATCCGTTCACGTAAGTGCCTACCAGATTCGCTTGATAGTCGCTAACTGTTTTTGTCCGCACACTTTTCTTCGTCACGCGTGGTCGATATGGTACCCACCAGTCTACTTTTTCGTTTCTGGAATATCTCGATCGTGTACACTGTCTTTGTATAGCTATCACCAGAGAGTTGAGCTAGAACTATCACAGTGGCAGTAAGTAGCTGTTGGGTAACGAAAACGTATACAGCTCAATCACACGGCTATTGTGGTAGGTGGGTGATGCTGGAAGCAACTTTGCCTACAATATGGCACTGATAATGATGTCGGAACACTCTTGCCTGGAGTTATGTGCTGTCATTAGCGCGTGATTTCCCCATGGTTTTCGTCAACAGCGTATATTTGCTAACAATGCCCGACATCAAGGGCGAAATGCTCACTGTGTCTACGCTTGTTGTAGTCGACGCTAGTGCTTTATCCGCGTCTCAAGCTGTAAAGAGCGAATTTCTAGCGTGTATAAACAAGCGTAGTTTCCTTGCGCTAGAACGTCGTTACCCAAGAAGACGAAGACTAGAGATAGTGTGGAGCCGATTCCCATAAATGCACACCGCCCCCTTCCTCTCGCGGAGAACCAGTCGCACTTTGTAGCAACAAAACCATGTCCAACTCTCTCACTCTTCTCCCACTGAATCCGCACTCATCCTCACTCATTTTATTCAGCACACACTCAAGTCAACATGAACAAGAAAGCGAGAACCTCACCTCCCCTTGACACGTCTTCGGGAGACTTCTCCAAATCCCTGGAATATTTCAAGTACAATAACCTCCCCTTGCCAGCCACTAGCCCATGCTGACCAAGCACAGTTCCTCCTGGGTCCGGCCGGCCCCATCACTACTCCACATGCCGCCTGAAATCCGCCACATGATATACGACCACGTCTATGGCACCCGGCGAGCGATATCCTACGCTCACGACTGCCACACCGTGCCGGAGACCTGGATGGAAGTTGAAGCCGCCGACGCCGACGAGGGAGAACTGGAGAGGCTTCGTTCCTCCTACCCAATCACCGGTCTCCACCACACTTGCCGCCAGTTACGCCGGGAGACGGTCGACTTCAACCCGCTTTTCAAGAACGTCGAGGGCGACTCGGCGTCTCTGCTTCGCTTACTTGGCAAGCCGAATCCGCTGCAGCGTCTGCGCGCCGTGACGATTTGCTTGCGGCCCGGCGACACGGATTTCGTGGATGGTATGTTCACTCTGTCTCGTGATTTCCGTTGGTTGGTCTGCCGGCTCTCTCGCATGAAGCAGTTAGTACGCCTGAACGTAGAGGGATGTATTTCTCTCTTCGATCCGGAGGAACATGCTGCTTTTGCAGCGATCTGGTCGGTTCTCTGCCGGCGGATCTTGATATGCGGGGATCTCGATGTCGTTTTCACAGCATCGAAGTATTTCGGCAAGTGTGATTGCTGCGGCATGGCGATATGCAGATGCCTGGTTGTCTCGAGCTGGGCGCAGCATGTGACGATGGTCACGAGGCAGGTTTGATGTTGGGATCTGAGGTCGATTGGATGAGAAGACTTTGAATCCTTCCCGGATCGACCATGGTTGTTGTCGAATCACCGTTTTCAAGGTTCACGCAAACGACATAGCGATTTGTGCTGCGCGTCTGCCTGATTTCATGATCTGTTTCCATATAGATAGTACTTGCGAGAGATACCCATTTGTATTTACCAAGAGCATTCAGAAAATCCAGCTACTGGATGTCGAACCTATCAAAGGTCAACCCCAAGTCCCTGCTTCTGTGTGAGACACTTCCTGCTCATAGTGTTGATGATAAGCCGTGAGGCGTTCGATGAGTACTTGTGGGTCCCGCTATGCATCAGCGGCATAGACTGACTGCGTAAGCATAGGCATCCACTGCACCAGATCATTTACAGAGCACTTCTCAACAAGATCAAACCGCGTAGGGCGACCTACGTCCCCCAGAAGAGGGTCTGTTTGTGCTCTGCCCGTACAGCAAGTCGCAACGTAAGGTGGTGCAGTCACGCACGAAGATCTTGGACTTATGTAGGATGTCGTGCTTCCATAAGACTATGAGATAGCGTAGACCGTGTCTCACATGTGTATTCGACTCTAATACTACTACATAACAAGTTCTCAAGTACACGGTCGATGTGCCGAAGGCTGCAAAGTCTCGAAGAATAGAACGCTGTTGATAGATCTTATAAACATGATAGTCTATTTCAAAAAATCGTTTCAGAAGCAACGTAGATGAAATGGATAGATTGTCGCAAACTTGGTATCCATTTTCGTCCTTGAAGACTAGTCCTCTATATCCGTAGCCACTTGCACCAGCTTCCAATGGATAATCCCGATCCAGCTCCTGAACGAATGTGGGGTATAGGGGTATGAGAAGAGAGTAAAGCACAAAAAGCAAGAAGGGGAATACAACAGGCATAAAGCACAATAGCCAATCAGTCCGTCCGTACAAACAAGTGTACCATACCCGACCAGCCTGACATGTGTGTATAGTCGGAGCCGCTAAGGGCGCCGAGTCGTTTGTTGGTAAGACAATTTGATATCAAATGGTGTGTCGGTCGCACAATATGGATAACATATAAAAGCCAACCGTAGACCCGAAAGACTCGCTGTCGTAATTCGTCAATAAGGTGGGGTTGTTGTGAAGAGTGAAGTCGAGATTAAAAGATGTAGAGGTCGCAGCGTGCATCCGGAGGCCTCCTAGATGCGAGTGGGTTTGTCAACCGTACACCACGAGCATGTCGATTGATATAGGTCTTCTTCAGGCAGTTCTTGGGAGCCGAATCAGGCACTTAACTGTCATCCTCAGGATCATCTTCGTCATCATCCTCATCTTCCTCGCTGATGCTCTGCTGCGCTTTGGTCTTCTTGGGTGGGCCGCTCTTCAGCTGAGTCTGCGAAGCCTTGCGCTTGGGTCCTGCACTCTTGGCTTTGGGGGCAGGTGCGGCAACATTGTTTTCTTTGTTGTCGGTCTCGCCATCTTTACCTTGCGCGTCCATAGCAGCGACCTCCTCAGCGGTCAAGAATCGACCACCAGGTCCACGCGGGCGGCGCATGGCGTGGTTGTGTCTCGACTCGTGCAGGTACGGCTTGCGACCCTTTGAGGTGAGGCGGAGTGCATCTTCCAGCTTCTGTCTTGCAAGTCGGCGTTTGAGAATACGGTGGAATTGCTTAGCGTTGACGTAAAGTGGGGCTTCCTCAGCCTGAGCTCCAGACACGAGCTCAGGTGACTGTTGATGCTGCGGTGGCGCTGCCATCTGGGGAGGGACTGAGATGGACGAACGAGGTCCTACGTGACTCATCACGGGCTGCGGTTGCTGCATCGCAGGACTGCTGATCTGTGTGCTCATTCTGCGCTGTTGCATCTGACCTGGCGTCATTTGGACTTGGGAAGCAAGAGGCCCAGCCATCCCCGCGGACACAGCAGTGGGCGATCGTGGCGCAGGGCGCCCATCTTGCTTCAATTGTCCCCCAGACATGCGTGGAGACGCTCTGGGGTCTTGCGCAAGTTGTCCGTGCATAGCATTCTGATCATATCCGTATGCGCCTGCTGGACCTGCCGCGGCGGCTGTGGCCATGGCTGCTGCTTGTGTCGGCGACATGCCATATGCCTGAGGCATGCCAGACATGTAGCCTTGCTGTGCATAAGCCATCTGCTGGGGGTGCTGCTGGTGCTGTGCGCCAGCTTGGCCGTACCCCTGCGACGGGAGAATAGGCGATGTCTGTTGATATGAATGCATTTGCTGCTGTTGGGTGGGCGAGGTTATTGATGGGTTCCCGGGAGCCGCGTTCTGCGCTCCACCGTATGGCTGAATGTGCCCGGGCGCATGCCCGTGGTGGGGCTGCTGGTACTGCGCGTAATCGGTCATGGTAGGAATATGTGATGTTTGTGTTGTGGGTGCACAAGGGAGGCTCGACGCGCGCGAGTTGAAGGCGGCGTTGCTGTGAATATTACCCCGGATGCGCCACTGGCTAACACAAACACTGGGTCCTCGATCCTCGTGGAAGCCTCAGCCGTATATGGAATGAGCCTCAATTGCGAGCGCTTGTGTTGTGCGTTGCCTATAAGGGAGTCGCGTTTGATTCGTAGAGTTGTGATGGGCGCAGGGACGCGACTTGGATAAGAACTCTATGAGGGTTGGTTGGAGGATGGTAGCCTGGAGCTGGAACCGAATTTAGTACGCGACCAATGACGCGTGTTGGGAAGGTGTGGATGCTTACGGAGGATTGAGTCAAGCCTGGTCAATGTAGTCGGTGGCTGATTAGACCGTGAGCTAGGTGGTGAAAGCTATCGCGGTGGATGCGTCGTGCTTGCGATCGAGAGCGGGAAGGGAGCTTCTAGGCGCGCAGCACAAGCTGATCACGTCGCGGCAGGCTTGATGCTCGATGCGTTGTCAATGGCCACGCTTTTGAGGCGAGGTGCTTTGAGAGGCGCACGGTTGTCGTCTCAGCGCAGGTGTTGAGGCGCAATGATGGCGATTGGGCGCCGAGTCAGATCTGGGGCGGTGCACTGGGACAGAGGTAGAGTGGACCGGCGAAGGTAAGAACGCGCAATCTAGAGGCCCGCTCCGTGTGGGGAAGAGTCCGTTTCAGGGCTTCACCCAGTAAAATGTGACTGCAAAAGATGTCTACACTGTTAAGAGTAACCGTCAGCTAGTCCGAGGCACAGATACTCGAGCAATTGGAGGAGGGCGAGGGTGGCATGTGTTGGCGGGCGGGCGATTGGAGGTGATGCGTTGGCAATGCAGGTTCATGCATGCCGTAAAGACACTTACCAACTTGAATCAGCGCGGCACATGCACGTCGCAAATGCAGGCCTGATTGCTGCGCCGGCGAGGTGACGCTTCTGCGTGGTAGGGCTCTGGTAGCGGTGTTGCTAGAGCGTGCTCGGATGGCGGCTCCAGTGATCAGTGCTTTTTAGGGCAACCAGCAACTGTGCAGCGATATATTGAGCAGTGCAGGTGATGACGGCGACAGCAGGGTCAGTCCAAGTAGCTAGCAGTGTGCGAGATACAAGGCCGAGCAGCGTTAGTGAGTCGTGTGTTCCCTGTGCCTGTAGGGGCGTTGTTAGCAAGAGCGCATGGCAGGCCAGGAAGGCGCGACGGGGTCGAGCGCTGGGGCCAGCATGAAGCTTCGGACAGTTGGGTGGGGAGAGCTGCGAACGTCGCGCAAGAACAGAGCAAAAACATGGCGGCGCGTCGCGATATTATCAAACGACAGCGAGGCATCCCAGGCAGGTGGGCGTGGTGGACTTACGGATGCAGTAGGCCGCAGCAGAAGTCAGTCACGAGATTTTGTGGTGGTGAGGAGCGCGACTCGCGTTGACTGGCTGAGAAGGCGGCAAAGGCAGCTCTTGTCTTACCGACGCGTGCCTCTGGCTGCGAGAACCAAATTTGCGCTGGGCAGCACGCCGTGTGGAAGCGCCGAGCAGATACACAAAGGTACCCGGTGCGGTTTGACGTGTTGTGACCACGAGCGCGTTGTAGCGCAAGACTCGTGATTCTGGTTGATGCGATGGCTAGTCGTGGTGGTGCAGGATGATTGGAGAAGGAAGGAGAAGCTGTGGTTGGGCGCGAGAGGGAAAGGGCGACGGGCGGGGTTCTTCTATTCGCGGAAGGCGCGGGCTGTTGCAGGGATGCTCTGCCAATAACAAGTCAGCCACGGGCGTGTCTTTCGCGACGCCCCAGCTGCGCACTGGGGTTTGTTGTCTGCTGTGTGCGTCCATGCTGCACATCACTCTGGGGCGTCTGTTTCCACACACCATCATCGCCTCTCCAAAGAACAGCGTCGTGGGCATGCTGTCCAGCGTGCCGCGCTCTGGCGCTCCTCACGGACAAGGGAGAGCCGCCGGACGTCATTGCCCGGCTCAGAAGCGGGCAGCATCAGAGCGGTCAGCCCGAGGGCTACGCAATGCGTAATTGAGTTCCGTGGCAGGTGCAGGCGAGCGCGAACGTGCTCGTCGCTTGCCAGGCTCTGCACTGCTCAGACGCGAAATAAATGCACATCTCACAGGCAAATCACAGTCGCACGCCGCCGAAAATCCCGCGCGCGTAGCCAACGTGATCCCGCCGCGCTCCTCTTGCCGTGTGCCCTTGCGGCCGATTCGCTGCTCGCCTGAAATTGCGGCCGCCCCCAGTTTTGCACTGCGGCGCGGCCGCGCCCAAGCGTTGTGAGGAACTACGCTCCGAAACCGCAAGCAGAAAGCAGACGGTTATGGAGACAGCAAACAATGCTGCTGCTCATCGGCACTACTCACTCGGGTCAGACGTTCGTCACAGTCGCACAGAGCACATGCTGCCATCTCACCAGTGCGAAGCCTGTCTCTGCATAACTAAGCCTTGAAGGGTTCTCCAGTGCCCAACTGTTGCCCCGCTGCTTTGGCATGGACTCTCCAAAATCCAGGGCGCCGCCTCGCGCTCTGCAGTGTTGCGCGCCTGTGGTCAAGCTGTGATGCTGCTTCAGCTGTCCGTTGGCTCAGCCGCTGTCTCGTCTGCGTCTCAGAAGCATACAACGTCAGCACGATGCCATGCAGCTTAGCCCGCGCCTGAGCGTCAAAGCTTCTGATCGGCATGCCGGGGCCAGCGTGCACATGGACGAGGCGTGTTCGCGTGTGCCGATCGGATCAAGGCGCTTTGTTCAGATAGCATGTCTCAGCTAGGACAACCTTGTGTGCACACCTGGACGACCTCTTGTCTTGACGTCCTGGATAGCTTTGTTGAACAAAGCGCATAGCGCAGGAAACAAGTCCCCAACCCTACCCTGCCTCACTGCGTCATCCCGTCCACCGTCTCCAGCCGACGGCTGCTCGCCCGCCAGCTTGGTCCCGGCCCACCCTCGCCGATACGTCGAGTTGCACCAACCATGACAGCGTAGGATCGATACTGCGCACAATACCATCCTACCGTGTCGCAAAGGGAAACTCGACGGAAGAAACCAGTGTTGTTCGAGAAAAGCGATCGGGATGTGCATGTAGGCGTTGCAGAGCAGTCCGCCTACCTGTTCAGCAGTGGATCTGCTCAGACCGAATTTGGTTTAGACTGGTAGCAGATTTAGAAATCGGACCTTCGTATGTTGCCATGTAATACTCTTGTAAGCCTGAGTCCCTTCACAAATGCTTGTTGGTAAGAGTCATTTCTCGCTCACCGACCCGACTTGAGTCCGCCCGTCGGTCTGCATTATGCCTTACCTCTAGAGGGCACACAACTGCGACCCTGATGGAAATGCATTCCGAGTGAACACTGAACACAACAGCGATTCACACCTGCACGCGACTCTTCCCTGTTTTTCTCCAGACGCAGTGCCACCATTGCTATATTTGATGTGGTGCACACGATCGAGTCCTGCATTATACGTCTTGTATGCTGTGGCTCGCGACCATCCTACTCTGCGCAAGCGGCAATGTTCTCGGTGCGACCTCCTCGAGCTGTTCTCAAGTATCCTGCAAACCTTGGTGCAAGTATCGTGCAAACCTTGGTGGAAGGTTTTGATCGTCATTCTTGAAATTATGCATTATCTCTATTATAATACACAACTGAACGAAACGCAAACGACAGTATGTCCGCCAAATGTGCGTTTGAAGACAGCAGGGATATCGCTGAGATAGGAAAAAATAAAACAAAGGTCGTTATGCGTGAGAAGCGCTGATATTGCAACATATCCATCCTTTCTCTAGCTCATACATCTTCCTTGAGGCGTTACTGGCCTTGATATTGATACGAGTGCTGGTGCTGATTCGTCAAATACTGCATAGCCTGATATGTTCCTGTGGGACTTTGTTGCTGATACTGCATTTGCATCGTTGGGTCAAAGCTTCCCGTCATGTTCTGCTGGTCCGGAGTGAAGTAATTGGGGAACGCCGTCGTCTCTGTAGGAGAATTTGTGAACATTGCTTGGTCCTGTTGTTGAACCGTAGACATAGGACCTAAGCTGAGGTAGGAGGGATTTTGCATGTCGAAGCCATTGGTAAACACCAGAGGGGATTTCGGCGGATTTTGCAGACCCGGATAGGTCTGATTGGAGTATGGTAAGCTATTGCCAGCATAAACTGGATACGCACCCTGCTGTGGCGGGACTAGCTGAGGCGGCGGGTATGAGTGCATTACACTGGTCGCTGCCTCAGGTGTATTATTTTGCGGGACTGGACTAAACGGGTTGATGCCTGGCGCGAAAGTCGTGCCAGCAGTATGGTGCGATGGGCTGCCGCCGACTGGCTTCCTAGTGAATTGTGCCGATAGCTTGCGTTGGTCCGGGAACTCCTGTACAGGGCTTATGATAGTATCGGCATTGAGCATTTTCTGTTCAACTAACGGAAGTATGGGCATGCTGATCTGCTCCATGTGTTTCGCCAAGTGAACAGTGAGCTTCTTCCAGCTGTTGCAAATGTTGCCACAGAAGCGACATGCCTCGTCCTTGGGCTGCTTCGTTGTATCTTGGCGGCATCTCTCTACAATAGCCCAGATATCGTCTACCAGATTATCAGCTATTACTCATCAAGTACACTTCCGCAATACATACCTGGGTCGCTACTCGTGGGCGGATCCTTGTTGGATGCCCGCCCGGTCCGCTGCTTCGGTTCAGCGATCTTGTGCTCTCGGACAAGATGTTGCACGAAATTATCCTTGCGAAAGCATGTGTGGTTACAATCGGTAATGTTGCACGTCCAGTTCTCGAGCTGTCGATGGCGCTCATTCTCGTGGCGAACCCAGTCAGCTTTACGCTTGAAAGACTTCGGTTCTTGACAGTTCGGGAAGGTACACGTGAAAGGCTGGACATCTTCGTGTACATGCTTAGTCCAATCAGATGGCTTGTAGAACTTCTTCACCTTGAAGCACAGAGGGCACTCAAACTCTGCTGGCAGGCGTTTGACAGGCGGCAGGGGAACGCCCGAGGGAAATTGAGCAGCCACAACCGTACCTTCTGACGGAAGTTCTTCGTCGTCTTCCTCCTCGCCTGGGGCTGATATCTGGAAACCTATGAAAGGCACATCGGGATCCTTATTGCCAGCTTTGGGTGGGAGCTGTCGGGCTTCCCCTCCCAGCTCGGTGCAGAACTTCACCGACGGGCAAGTTTTGTTCTGCACAACATTGATATGCTTCACTCGGAATTCAAGAAGTCGTTTGTATCTTCTAATTTGCTCTTGAGCAATGCGCTCCACCATGAAGTCCGCTAGGCGAGGGTTCAATTGGCGAGCATGCGTTCGGAACCCCTCTTGGTTTGGGATGATGGGATCAGTACGCACTTTAAGGTCCATTGTGATTGCTTCTCGTTCGTCATCGTCATCGTCCGCATCAGCGGTGGGGCTCGGCTGCACAGACTGTTTTGTTGCTTCCGTATCTGCGAGCGGCGAGGCAAGCATGGGCATTGGTGGTCCCCCGTGCTGTGTCATGAGCTCGGCAAGACCAAAAGACTTGCCAGAATCGCCTCTGCTTCTGCCGATATCACTCCGACTACGATTCCGTCTTATGACATTTCTCGCACCCTGGTACCACGGTCCTGAGGTCCCCAGTGAGCTTGACGGGGTACCTTCTTTACTCTTGTCGCTTAGGTTGGTATTCAGCCTTGGCGATTTGGGTCGACCCCAGCTACCAATGCGCTTCGGCTTCTCGAACATGGGCTCCTTGGACTGATCCGAATCTATGTCCATAGTCTGCTGCACAGGCATACTACCCTTTCGCTTGAGCAGATTACTTGGAGTCCGTCGAATATTACGCAGAAAGCTTGGTCGGCGTTGTCTCTCGTCGCTCTTTCGCTCAGGCTCTATAAGTCGTGCGATACCTGGCGCTCCACGAATGCTGGCAAGATCGGGCTCGCTTAGACGGCGCGACCCAACGGTCGCTGCAAGCGATGCAGACTCAACATCCTTTGCTCGTTGTCGAAAGCGCATCATTGCAGCGTTCGAGGTTGGAGGCTGGTAGTGGCTCGCTGCTGTCGACGGCTGGATGGGCACGTCCATCCACGGTTGCACAATCGCGTCTGGGGTCGGACTAGGTTCTCGCGTAGCAGGAAAGTATGACTCGTCTACCTGGTCTGCGTGTATGTTCACAGAGGCTGGCGGCGAATTTGATTGATAATCTTCGTCATCTTCATCGTCATCGTCATAGTCGCTATCCTCGTTTATGAACCTGGGGTTGAATTTACCAAGGTCAGCACCGATATTGGGACTGAAACTTCCCTGCAAAGCCTGACGGTTAGCATCATTCTGGCTTTTGGCACGACGTCGTCCGGTGTGGGGCTTGAGATAGTTGCTCGATGAGCCAATGTCCCCTGCCTCACTCCCAACTTCGCTCTTCGTAAGCCAGTCCTGCACTTCGAGCTTCTTCTCCATTCTTGCTCTACGCTCTGCGATTTCATCGAGGCTCGGTACGAGGACATTGCCCATTGCTCGACGATCCTCAGGACTCAATCCGGTTTGGCCTTGAGCACCCGTGCCCAGCCATGAACCATCTGCGTTGCGTTGTGTTTCTCGATATCTGGTGTGGGTGCTTCCTTGTTCTTGCAGGTCTTCCTCGTCAGAAGATTCGCCTTTTGGATATGGAGAGAGGTGATTGCCAGATCGCCGACTACTGAGACTTCGTCTGCTCATGCCCCGGCTGTTATCGGAGTGTGATGGCGAATCCTCTCTACTACTGTAGTTCTCTACTCGTACAATCGGACTTGTCATATGACGAGTAAGCGGACGAGGGCTTGCCAAAGACAAATGCCCTGGAGTGTTCGTCAGAGGCGGACTCTGCAACGGCTTCCTTGGTATGGTGTGTGGCATATGCGTTGCTGGTTTGGGAGACGTGAAGGAACTCTGGTCTTCTCCAGCATATTGCATGGTTGTGAATGCCGAGTTGTCGTTGCCCATTGCAGGACTAGAGTTATTTGTTATGCTTGGGGACATCAGTTGGCTTTGATGGGCGAAAGTTCCGTTGGCCGTCGACATGTGGTGCTGAGCATTATATGTACTCAAGGTGCCGGACGTTAACATGGACATGTCTACATCTGCTTGGTAAGGGGGGAATGCTGTGGTCGTGGGATCCTCGGTGAAGTTCAAATTCGAGAAGGATTCGTCGAGGTATTGGCCATTGAAGCTCGGTGTGGTGTAGTTACTGAGATCGTGCTGAGTAAAGTCGCTCGCGTACCCAGGCTCTGGGCTGAGGTGCTCTGCTGAGTGCGACGGCGAGATAGCTTGACCAATATTATTGTAGACCCCTGGTGAGAGGCTCTGGCCTTGACTGTACGAATTGAGCGGAGGGTATGAGCGACTAACCATGTCGGGGTGGAGGGTGGAGTCAAAAGAGGATCCAACGTTGGGGGCAAAGACAGAGTCTTGACCCGGGGAACTGGAGGGTGGAAGGACCATCATCGGATTCTCGTAGGACATGGCTGTGGGCTCTGCCGAAAGGGCAAATGCGCCTTGCGCGTCTGGCATCAGAAAGGTTCCGGTGCCAGACACAGGGTAGCCATTGGCAGGCGCAGCCTCGTAGTGGCGGTGCTGACGCCGCTGGCCATCGTGTGGCTGCATACGAGCGTCGATCGCGTTCATGAACAACGGCTGTGAAAGCCTGCTAGGGGTGCAGATTGAACAACTTGATGGTGACTGGATGTGTGGTGGGCAACGGGTGCAATCAAGCACACATCTAGAAACAACGTGACTTCGACACCGCTGTTCAATGAGGCATGGCGCTGCCTGAATGCTGTGGAGGGATGTGCGAGAGGCTGTGGAACCAACAAACAACAACAGAGAGCAGTTCAGTAGCGCATCGAATCGCGCAAACAGAGTATGTACAGAGAGGTGACCCAGGTAGGTAATACCTTTGCACGGTCAGAAATGAGTGAGGCTAGCCTGAGGCCTGACGTTTGCGATCTGCCTTGCGCAAGGTGGTTGCTGCAGTGGTAGAGGCGGTGTCAGGCTTCCGCGAAGTCGACCACTTTACGAAGGACCGAAGGGAGAAATGGGGAAAGCGCGTGCGAGATACAGAGGTAATGCGTCAGTGGGTCGAATGGTAGGCGAACGCAGCGCCAGTCTCGTATGGTTGATGCTGCTGCGGCTGGTTAGGGGAGCGTAAGGCGGACTTCCCTCGCGAACTTCAAGTGCTGACAGGGGTTGGGGAACGTTTGTTTGCCAAGCAGATGCTTTTCGTGGCCTAGAAAAATAAACTCGGTTGTTCTGCTGGTCCGACGAACACTGGTGGAAGAGAAATCGAAACAAGCGCACACATGCAACGGGAGCTGCGAGCTTGAGTGACAGTGAATCTGCCTGACCGGTTCTTGGCATTTCATGGTACAAAAGCACAGCCCCAACCCTCTGAAACGGGACAAGTGGCTATGCCACTATGATCGAGACTCGACACTTTTGATGCAGGCACACTTTGACTGCAAGTCGGAGCAACCCTCCGTCATTATAGCGTGTTTGAGACTCGATGCGGTATCGTCTCACGCTCCTTGCTTGCACTTTCATCTCAACTTCACGGTCTTCAGCACCAAGTTCCTGGCTGGCGCTTAGATTGCAGTTAAGACCAAGAGCCGACAGGTGCTATATAAAGACCAGCCAAGCTTTTGTTTGCAGGTTAAATCGAATCCTGGCATACCGAAGTGTCTTGACACGAGCAAGTCAGGAAAAAAATGCGTGCGGAAGTACTTGAGTGTCTGCCTGGCGTTCGCATCAGGTTGTAATTGAGCTTCAAGCATTGAGCCCAGTGTGGCGGAGCACGCTTGAGCTTCTGCTAGCCACGTCGCGGATCTGAGCTGGCTCAGTGACCGATGCCGGCTCCCGACGATTGTGGGGCAGCCCGGCTAGAGGCATGCAGTTGATACCAATTCAGATTGAAGATAAAGCTGAATGGTTTCACATGCAGCAATCCCCAACGATATCTGATAGTTCTGATCGATGTCATGGTGAGCTTGCCTCCCAAGCGCATTAAGGCCCCTGTCTGCACCCGGACAGCCCGATCCTCATTCCTACTCGGCCACGGTAGCGCTGTGCTGGTTCCATCAAAACTCTGGGGGCCTTAAAATATGTACTCAATCGATAAAGCCCGCACTGCAAAGAACATCAGGTTTTCAAGTAGGTATAGTCGTTTATTATCGACGTCATCGCACATGCCACATGGACACGCATTAGAATAAAGTGGCTACTCTTGCACTAATATTATCATCTAGTTATAATGGTACATGCCGCTGATGCACCGGAATTCACATCCACTCCTTCGATTGTCTTGTGTGATCAAAGTCGCCGTGAGGACTGCGTTTGCAAGATGCACGATCTAGGGCAACAGCACCTCAACGTGGGGCGTGCCATTTAAAAGCTGCCGTTGGGAAATCGAACGCCGTTGATTGACGGACGTGAGGCTCAACTTTAGCCGCGGTCGTCGCAATCTGGAACTTTTTATTCAACGTTGCCGGAAGTCGACAACCGTGCGCTTCAAACAACTGGACCCTCGATGTTCGGCGGAGCGGAGGCTAACTCCACGGCTCCAGCTTTCTGCTGCCCGCAAAACATGGCTCATTTCCAGAATGCAGACATTTCACTTTCCCTTTCTCTACCCAGACATACTTCTATTCATTATTAATCCCTGCATTCTACTCCGCATTTGAGTGCTAGTCTCCCCGCGCTTCAGTGTTCGTGTCTGCATGTGACGGTATCACCAGACTAGCAATCGGAACCCGACATCTAGATACAACAGGCAGGTCTGGTCTCAACAGTTACGGTTACCGTGCAAATCTACCACAGTGGACTGCCACATCAAAAGTCGCTGCAGACACCCACCCATCGCATTCTCCTCCGCAATCATCAAGCATGCCTGGACTCGACCAGATCATCCCACAGCCCGACTCCAGGGAGCTCCTTCCTCCACTACTGGCTTGTCTTGCAGTATCAGGCAAAGCGAAAGAGGCCCCTCCAGGACTGTTGCCACTTGTCTCGCCAATCCTTCGCCAACGACTCCAGCTTGTTGCTACAGACGACTGGCTATCCCTCCTCTGCTGGGACCAAGACATCGCTGCGAGGTTACCTTCGGTCATCGAAAAGATACACGTTGAACCGCACCCCGCCTCGGGCGAGATCGAGCCAGAAGATCCAGACCAGATATCGTACAGGCGGTCTGATCCAGAGACACTACATGCAAGACTAGTGTTGGGCGAATTTGGGATCATACCAACATATCTCTGGTGCACAGGTGGAGAGGGTGGCAGCAAATGGCTTCTTGCTGAGCTCAGGGGAATAGCAGATGCCGATGATGGGACGGAATGGTTTGAGAACCTCAGCGAAGCAAATGCAGCAGGCTTCCGCCGCAAACCATCGAAGAGCAACGGCATTCCCGCACAGGAGGCTCCACAGTACTCGGAACCGCAACATCAGGAGGACGAAGATGAGGACGACGGCTCCTACTGGGCTGCATACGATCAGACGCCCAACACTCGCACTCCTGCACAAAAGCGCTCGCCCGCACCGCCATCGATCAGCCGCACACAAGTCGGGCCTTCTCAGTCTGAGCTTGAGTACTTCGCACGCTATGCATCAGAGGTACAACCCGCCCTTGACGCGCACGACCCCGACGAGGAGAACCCCGCAGCTGGCGAATCAACGCTCAACGGAAACGCCCTGAACTACACTCGTGCCCCACAGACCGAACCGCTCGAGACGTCAAACCTAGGCCCCTATGGCTACGACTCGTCGCTACCGCCAGCGTTCGCGAACGGTTCGGGCGAAGAGAGTAGGGCAGAGCACATTGAGGCTGTTGACGACACACGGCACGCCGCCTTGAGCCACCCAAGACCCAACTCGTCTTCCTCGTCCAGATCGGTGGAGAGGCTTGAGAGGGAGGCTGCGAACCACAGCCAGGCAGAACTCGCTATCAAGCAGCACATCAGCACTGATATCAAGAGTCTGTTCAGGCTGGCGCGGGCGTCGGGTATCGATAGGCAGGAGTTTGAGAGGATTATCCAGAGGGAGCTGGAGGTTCTGCCGTTATTGGAGAGGGACACAAACTAGGTTTTCGCTGGTAGGGATGGAGATGGTTATGAGGCCACGGCTACAGCATTGTGATTCACGTTTTCATCGTCTATAGCATTTACAACCTAGTACAACATATTTCACAATCGATATTCACTCCTCTTCGAACCGAACAAATAGTATGACATTTGTCCGTGATGTGACCCTTGATTCTTTGAATTTATTGCTCACATTGAGCGGATGCAGCCCATTGTCCCAAACGCCTACAAGATGATACCCCAGCAATTCTTACTCCGTTTTCTCCAAGACATGCTATGCCACGCCGTACCATTCACTCACTTCCTCCTCCTTCCCTCGCCACTCGCGAAGCTCGCTCCACTGGCCTTCAACTGGTTCAGCACATCGATCGCATTCGAGCTGTTCAGGTTCAACTCCTGCGTCCCACTTCCTCGGCCAATGTCCTCCACGACATTGTCTGGGTCTGCGGCGCCAATAACCGGGATCTCAGAAGCAAGCCACTGCTGGAACGGCTTGGCGGTGAAGTAGCCGTCGGACGTGAACCACCGTGTCATCGCGGCGCGGATATGGAGCTTCTGCTCGGGGTTCGAATTGTAGGGCGCAGGTCTGAAGACGACGTCGCATTCGTAGACCGGGAAGTGCTTCTTGGTGGACGAGGAGATACGGATCTAAGTATGTGTGAGTGCTGAGTCCAATGTCTCCGGACGGTGTTCGTGAACATACCTTCCCCGTCTTGCCCTCGCCTTCGTACACAACACCCTTCTCAACGAACCACAACCAATACGAGAACGCGCCGTTCAGGAGGAAGTATGCGACCACCGCTGGCGCAGTGTATGGCTTCGAGGCCTCCCAGCCGAACTTCCAGTCGAAGTAGAAGAGCACACCGGCAATGATGACCGCGCTGTAGCCTAGCGCTAACCTCACGTCGGTCTGAGTGTGGATTTGCTTGAACTTGAGGGAGTGAAGGTAGTTGGGAAGGGCATCGTCGGTGGTATTCTTAAGGTCTGGAAGCTGTTAGTTTACTGCGGGCGTGAGTGTTCACACGAGTATTCAGGCGCGAAGTACCGGACAGGGAGTGGACAGCGATCTTTTGTGTCACCGACATCTTGAATGAATTGTGCAACCAAGCGCCAATCCTGCAGCGATTTGCGTGTAAGAGGCGTGCAGTTTAGGTGATGTTGAAGCTGTATAGCTCGATTGATGGAAGACACCTTTCCAGAAGGAAGGCGCGGAGGTGACAAGGGTCCGGCGGCCGCGCCGCACGAGGCTCCATCATCAAATGAGCCACTTCAACCTCACGTCTACTCCACCCTCACCCAGACTTCGCGCGCATCTTGTGCACGACCGACAAGATGGCTGAACCTATTGTGCAGACGATCCATAGGGATCCTGCCCTCTTGTACGTGCAATGCGCCGGTAGACCGTGATCAGGCACTGACGAGATGGTAGCTGGTGGATCCTGCTTCCCATCACGGTGGTCATGGTATGTTATTCTGCTGCATCTGTAGCTTCGCATCTAATCATTGCACAGGTTCTGACAGGTATCCTCCGCCACTACGCGATGACACTTCTGCAATCGACCCCCAAGAAGCAAGACCTACCTAAGATTCGGCAACAGCGGTCGCTGGCTCGCGGTCTGAGTCTGCGCCAGAACGCCAATGTCATCTCTCCCGCTGCCTTCTCTGCCAGGAAGGCATACATGGTGCAGGCGTACCAGGAGGGCAAGTTTCTAGCAGAGCCTGACATGAGGGGCAAGCCTAGACCGAACCCTATGAGCGACCCTGCGGCTATGGAGGGTATGATGGGCATGATGAAGGGCAACATGGCTATGATGATTCCACAGACACTGATCATGGGATGGATCAATGCATTCTTCTCTGGCTTCGTTATTAGTAAGTCTGTTTTACTACGTCAGAGGAGCTTCCGGGGAATTTGCACGCGAGGAAGAAGCAAACCAGCACGCGGAGATTAGGATGAACGGCCAGTGCGCTCTGTGGCGCTTCGCGTACGCTTTTGGGGTCAGAGAACGACCTGCTGACCGCGATGACAGTGAAACTTCCCTTCCCGTTGACCCCGCAATTCAAGTCGATGCTCCAGTCTGGTGTAGGGACGCGCGATTTGGATGTGAGATGGGTGTCCAGTCTGTCCTGGTACTTCCTCACCCTATTTGGCCTGCAGCCGGTCTACAACTTCATTCTCGGCAGCAACAATGGTATGCGTTCCCGTGTTTCCGTTCATGCGAACGCAGCTGACCTCCAATTATAGCCGCAAGCAACGTCTCACAACAGATGGCCATGCAGAATCCTGGTGCAGGCATGATGGGACCTGAGCAGGATCCGGATAAGCTGTTCTTGGCAGAGGCCGAGAACCTCGAGGTCCTTGAGCACAGATGGATCCTCGAGGGCATCGAAGAACGTCTGGTAGCAAAATATGCGGCGTAATGTACGTGATGGTGGTGGCCGCCGTCAGCTCGCAATCATATTGCAATATAGATTATCAACAGAGTACCGAAAATGGATGACTATCATCCCGCAGTGTAACCTGCGTTAGTCGTCCGATCCGCGCGACCGGCCATACGATAGCAATAATGTCAATGTTATGACAGTCCTTCGATCCGTTGTCTCGGTACTGTGACAGGTGGTTCGATCACGGACTGCGGGGACCGACTACGCCAAGGGTAAGCGTAAGCTCTGGGATATGATGGCAACCACGACGGGAACGATAAGCTCTGATGCAGCAGAACATGAAGCAGACCAGCAGCATCAAACTCGCTTCTTGGGACAGGAATGTCTGCTTTGCCCCTGCAGCTGGCGCTTGGAGCAAAGTGCTGTCATGGAGGAGGTCTGTTCGCTTGAGCTTCGAGGTCCTTCAACTTCCCCGCCCGGCCGTCCAATCCCCTTCATCCAGCTTCCGCGGGTCGCACCGCCCCCAATGCGCTGGAATGCGCCTCAAATCCTCACCAGCAGGACTGCGACAGCCATCGATCGATCTCGAGTCAGTTCACGTCTGCCGAAGTGAGAGGAAGCGCGCGCGCAGCCCCCGAAACAGCCTACCCGGGCCCGGTCCGGTCCCTCAGTGACCCTCACCCTGCAAGTCTGCAATCGTCATCTCGAACGCCCTCTTATGTACTACGACTCAGAACGAGGCAAACATCTGTGCTCCGCCCTGACCTCGCTGCCTCGTTCCAGCAGGCTCTTCGGCAGTGCGCCGCAGATGGTGTGCTCCCCTGTAATAGCTCTCCAATGGAATGAGACTTCTCCACCACCTTTACCAGCAGTTTCCCAACTGGGGTTGTGCTCACCATCTTGATTGGGGGCCATGGTCTGCTCCGTCATAATTTCTTTTTACTCTGCGGCCTTGGGCATCCGTTCGATGACTACGCCCCTGATGCATGTGCGGGAGTACAACTGTCGTCTACGGCGACTCTGCCACGAGCGGCTCCAGGTCAAAGATGGTGGTCTGTTCTCATCATGCGTCTAGGTGTTCGCTATTCGCTGTTCGTCACTCGCCGCTGATCCTTCACCTGGCTTCTAAAACGAACCCGCGGAGCAGCACGCTAGGAATCACAGGACCCAGATCGGCTTCCCTGTTCGAACCTGCGTGTACTGTACGCGACAGTTCGCGCACGGCTAACGCTTTGGTACGTACTACTACCACATGGCAATGATTTGCGATGCTCCGCCCATATTGCTTTTAAAACTGGGGCTGCGGTCCGTAGGCCAACCTTATCAGATTTGCACGACAAGAGCTAGACGCTTAGACAGCTGAGTGGCAGGTGTGTGGTGGCTGTCCAGCTGTCTCTAGGCCTCCACCGGTGAGCGCACCTGCAGGGCCCCTATGCAAGTCGAGCACTAGTCCCATCAAACACCCTTGTCACTCGCTAACCCCAAAAATGATGCGGCTCTGCTATGAGACGGCATCATAAAGCAGGTTGGGAATGTGAGCTTGAAGGTGGAAGTACACCAGTCTAAACAAGTGGCAGTGCAAGTCAAATCCGACTTTCAACTTTGCTGCCTCTAGTCACCGATATTCTACTCGATGCTGCGCCCCTTCTGCCCATTCGCTGCACAACACCTATTCGACTACAGCTCGTGGTCGACTTAGCACTTGAGTTGCTTGGTTGAGTAAATCTGCCAGCATTTGTTATAAGACCAGAGAATACCTCCGTAGGTCAGAACATCCATCTCAGATGTTAGACTATTCACTTACACGACCTAGCACTTCAGCATTTACTCTGGTGCGATCCGTCACTGTCGTACTTCTGTAGCACACCTCCCTTGCCGTTTCCATTCTCGGTTACTTTGAGCGCACAGAAACCCGGTCCGCCCAATTCGCATCCAGCCAACATGCTCTCCCAACAATTCGAAGATCTTCCACAGATCCAGTACGGGGATGATGCCCGCTTCCAGGGCTGGTCTTCTGACTACTGTAGCTATCCATATGCTGATAAGCAACACTTGGCTGGCTTTCATGTCGTTGAAGATAATCTATGTATCGACAGCCTCGAAGATGGCATGAGCATGCAGCCAATACACCGCTTCATGTTCGATCCATCACCGCAATCCTTTGGTTTGTTACAAGCCAACTTTCCGTTACAAAGTCAGCACCAGAGGCAATTCGCCTGTCAATGGCCTTCGACCGACTGCTTCCGCAATGCTTCACCTGATCGGACATCAGTGTCTGGAACATCGACCTATGCTTCTCAGAACGAAGTGCACTCGCCATATCCCTACAGTACTGTGACCTATGGAAGTCCAGTCGAATCCTTCCAGCATGCTCTACCATACCATGCCGGCGATCAGTTCAGTGATATACCACATATACTTGGCCCCTCGGGGGCAAGTATCAGCCTGAAGGAGATTGAATATACGCGCCACGATTCCGAGTCCGAGCCCATAACTGAAGAGGTTGACACCACCAGCGTTAAGGATGAGCCCACCATCGATGCTGAGCAGGTCTTAGTCAAGACTGAGCATGATACCAACATATACAGAGACGACTACACAGATTCCGGTATTGGCAACTCAGTTCGAGACGCCGAGTCTGTTCAGCCCGTCAATGTCAAGGAGGAATCTGACGAAGACTCGGACTACGAACCAAACAACCGGGGCAGCAAGCGAAAGCGATCTGGCACCCACGCCGCTCGAGCTCCAAGGCGACGCATTGGTGCTCGCAAAGACTCCGTAGTGAGCATTTCAAGCGCCATCAAGTCAGGCCGACGAGCTCGCGGTACACTCAAGTCCAATATCGAAAGCCAATACCAAGAGGACTGTCGACCCTTCCCCTGCCCACTCGCCGCCTACAACTGCAAGTCGACGTTCGCTTCCAAGAACGAATGGAAGCGTCACGTCAGTACGCAGCACATCAAGCTTGGATATTGGCGCTGCGATCTCTGCGCACCTAGCACCGACTCTAATGACCCTTCCGTACTCTACTACAATGACTTCAACCGTAAAGACCTCTTCACGCAGCATCTCCGTCGCATGCACGCTGCGCAAGGCTCTGGCGCTCGCCACAATAAGGAGCATCCAGTCAATGAGGAGAACATCGGAGATCACCAGGCGCGCTGCTACCTCCAGCTTCGTTGCGCTCCTCAGCAATCCATCTGCCCATACCGTAACTGCGATCGCGAGTTCATTGGCCCATCGAGCTGGGACGAGCGCATGGAACATGTTGGACGCCACATGGAAAAGGACAGGAAGAATGGTGCCAACATTCTTGACATCGCGAGCTGGAACGTCGATACCGCTCTTCAGCAGTACCTCATTGACGAAGACCTAGTCGTCTGGGAGCACGGCACGTGGAAGACTGGCGATGGCAAATTGCGACGAGTTGGCAGCGATTCCAGCGATGACGGCTATTGATCCTTGCCTGAGCAGCAAGTCCATGCTACGAATCTCTTTAGAACCTGATACCCTGAGGCGTTTTGCATACATTTACACTAGCATTCTCTTGAGTAGATGCACTTTCGGTCATTCTGCATATCCGAACTCGATTATGAGCATAATTCATACTGTTTTCTGATCACCATACACAAAATGTTCGTATTGTAATTATAGTCTTTGATTCTACTCTGGATAAGAATATCGCATGCTGTTGCAAAACAAGAAGTGCTTATTCCGCTTCCTATCCTACACGCTTCCTACCTTGAGAGCCTCACTAGGGGTCCAAACGAAAGCATGGCTGAAATCCATCAACGTCACCGACGCGCCGACAATCATGCAGGGCTGACTGCCGCAGATGACGAAGAAGCCTCGCGATTGCCTGGCCCCAATATCTCAAACGCGATTTGACTACGAAACATGCGCCTGATGGAGGACTGCACTGACCGGAGGCAGTGAGAACTTTGTTTGGAGATGTGCAACCGCGCAGGAGGGACATTGTAAGCGAAGGATTTTGAACCAAAGAGCCCCCACACCTTTCGGACTACAGTCCCAAAAAGAATTGAAGTACGGATAGGCAGTCCAATTAGCATCAAGTGTACTTAGCCACTGTTGCGTTGGATTTCGTGCGAGCCCGGGGAGGCGCAGGCAATCAACTCCTGCATGCAAGTGGCTCCGCCCCCACCTGTCAGAACGTGGCTTTCTGTCGAACTTCAGAGCTTATCTGCATCGTCTTTGAACTGAACTTCCAAGCTTGACAGTCTCTATTATTGTACTATCCAGTGAGAGTCCGATGGCGTCGTCGTTGGAAAATGCACCCGTCCGTATTGACCCTAGGCCTAAAGAGAACGCGATACCAGGCAAGCTTGCGAACACGTCACAGAGGACCACAAAGGCCACAGTTGAGGACTACTTCTCCGATGACGAACAGAAGGACCGTACAGGGGAGAGAGAAGATGGAATGAAACAGCCGCAACCAAAATCGATCATCGTAAAATCCACGATACCAAAACGCGCCAGTGTCAGCTGGCCAGATGAGCCGTTGGGTTCACGAGGCAAAAATATTTCATCCATAAACAGAACGAGCAGGCTGTCAGAGGCTCAGACTGTCGTGGGTTCTGATATCGACGATGGCGGTCGTCCCCCAAGCCCTGGCGTTCGTGGTCGCTCCCCTACACGAAGACCAGGTGAAAGACTACCTCTAGTATATGGTCCAAGGGTCCGAGAAGCCGAAGGCGAATACACCAACAGCGAAGAGGAAGATGACTGGTATCCCACGAGGGCAGTGAGGGGACGTGTAGCTAGGCCGGGACGTGTGGCTAGGCGCCGACCCAGTCCGGCCATGTACATGAACTTCGAGGCGCCTACAGCAAGTCGTGAACATACGATAAGTGGACCTAGAAGACCAGAACTTCGTCATGCTCGCCACTATGAGAACGTAGTTACGCCTGCACCGTATCAGTCTTGGTCACATCCGCATTCACATTCCTGGGCGGAGCCATTCGAGTATGTCAGGAGGACAAGAGGATCTGCGCCAACTCATCTTGAACATCCATCACTCCAGGTCCCATACGACGACTATCCACTGCCTGCTTCGAGTCATCGAGGGTATGCACCACTATCTCGACCTCGGGGAGGCCCAGTGGTGCAACCAGCAACGTTACAGAGACCAGCAGCTTCTCGTCAAGACAGTGGTGAAGCCTCAAACACAGCACCGCAGCACGATCATGCCAAGCAAACACAAGTAGTCGCTGTTAACGAAGCGGGCCAGGCCGATAATCACAAGGACTCCATGCGCAATCTCCAGCCAACACCGAGCCAAGCGCCAGCACAGGCCAAGGGCATACCTTTGACAGACATCGATCTCATCCCTACCCCAAGATTGCTGTCCGCAACAGAAACACAGGCACAAGTGGCTCTGACAGATCTCGAACTGATCAAGCTCATGGAAAGGCGCATGCAGCTTCTGAAGCAGAAGAATGAGGAAAAGCTTTTGGAAGCCAATCAGGTCCTGGACTATCTGAAACGAGGCTCACAGAGGGCAATGCTGAAGCCCGATGATAAGATTGAACCCCCAGCCGACGTTGCTGTGAACGTACCGAATGTGCACGATTTCCGGACTCCCGAAGATGAGACGGACTATGACCATGACAGCGAGGACTCGAGTAGCTCTGATGGAGATTCGGTCGCTGGGAATTCTTCAGGCTCCAGTATCTCGTCTTTGGGCCAGAAGACACGTCAGATCAGCTCTCCAGGTCACGCAGCCGAAAGCCGACTGGGCGCGCGTACCGACAGGCACTCTGTAGAATCGACGATTGACGAAACTCTGAGCAGCAGTGATTCTGACCAAGAGTCTACATCTGGGAGTGGTCGATCAAGCGATGGTCCAGATATCACTGAGCCTATTCACAGCGGCGGGCCTAGGAGCACACTCGTTGAGCATGCACCAAAAACCCAAGCAAACAACGATATGATGGATGAAGTGATTACTCTGCGCCGAGACCTGTCCATTCTCAAAAGACAAATGGTAGGATCGATCTCCTTCCATTCCTAGTATTCGACTGATCTCGATTAGACCCGTCAGAACAAGAATTGGTTTGGACACTCAGTTGTTACTCGTTGGAGGAAATACTTCAGTAAGGCGCCGCGTCCCGGCACACAACGTTTGGAGTGGATATGTGTGAGTGCAGCAATCTCGTTTCTTGTTCGAGTTTGAGACTGATGCTCTTTAGGAATGCGGAGAGGAGATGTATGCGGACCTGCCCATTGAGAACAGTGCCCAGTACCAGCAGATGCTCGAGTTTCTCACAAGACCGGGTCCAAAGACTCAACAGGCCAGTCATAATCAAAAGACACCCTCACAGCTCGAGGGAGGTACCGGTCAGCAAGACTACGCGTCACTGCAATCGAGTCAAAGTAGTTTCATGCAAGGAGCGGCACCTGCACCTGCATCTACCATAGGTTCTGGCAGTACATGCGTTGGAACAGGCATCTCGCAGTTCCCTTCTACACAGCAGACCGATCCTTATGCGCGAAACAAATATCTTGAGCTCTGTGTGAACGTCGGGAAGTACGAAACAAAGCTGGCCGAGATCCAGGTATCCTCTAGTCAGTCCAACGGTGCAGCCATCTGCACCGATGCACATCTCTTCCGTCAAATTTACCACCGATACTTCGCACTGCGGAAGCACACTTGGCGTCGGTTCCTGTACCGGCCCGCAGGTATCAAGTTCGTTCACTTCGGCGTCCAAGCCGGATACCGGGTGAGCTTCTTCTCTAGCGACCCCCTCCCATCCGAGGATGAGATCGCAGCGAAGCGGTACGAGTACAATCCGCAGCCCCCTGTGCCGCCCCCGATCGACTCCCGCACGTTCTTGCACTACTTCTACAATCATTCCATGCACTCACATAGCACTAGTGCGAAGTACGTGAACCGACTGCCTAAGAAGCTTGGAGATAGTCTGACCCGCTCGCTTGGAGTGGACGATTTGCTTGAAGGATGGGGCATCCACATTATCGAGGGGCCAAACAAAGTCGCAATCTGCTGGGCGCTCATGATAGTCCTGATAGCGAGTCTTGGAGTTTCGGTTGGCTACAATTTGGTAACGAAGTCCGAGGACAGTGGCTTCGCAATCGGACAGTGGATGGTCGCAGCATTGACCGTGGCGCTGTCAGCACTCTACTTTAGCCTGGAGGACGATGTAGACTCCACTTTCGACTGAGGATCGTGCATGAACCCTCGCGCCGTAATGACATTCCCGTTCCGATCTCGATTTGTTTCACGAAGCGAGCAGGATCGCGACATGAGTGACATCCGTGTTGCGCGGCTTCCTTCGCCCAAAAGAGGCAGCCACGACTCCTATATCAGGATTCGACGACCCTGTGGGTTTGTGGCAAGGTATCCCTACCGCGATCGTGCTGTGGCTTGCCACGTTGGTGTTTGCCTTCTTCCCGCCTCGGCTTGCGTGCAGCAGGCAAACGAGGCTGAGACACGCCCCACTAGTGCGCATACACGAGAAGTCCTTCAGCGGCTACGATCCGGTTCTTCCGCCAGTAGCGGCTCGGTTTTACTGTTGATCGCCAGCTGGGAAGATGTGGGGGTGAAAGACTTGGTGGAGCGTGGGTGTAAGAAGTTATCTATTGCGCAACAAGGCGCTCTTGACGCTACCGGTAGATGAGTAAGGAGTAGTCCTCCTCTCACCACCCCTCTTTGTCAAGATTCGTCACTTCCGCTTCGCAGCAGTCCTCCTCTTTGACAAATAACTTTGAGTCTTTTGAGTCCTTCTTCTTGTTTTATTTATTCTTTCTTTAAGCTTCGCCGACGCCTCGTTCGAAGCCTGCTTGTCTTCAGGTCGTGCTCTTTGAGTCACCCAAACCCCCCTTCATGATTTGTAGTCGGTGTGTAAGAATAGTGTCATGAATGGCAATGTGCCTACCCTCCAGATGATATTTGTCCAAAGAGCCGCATCGATTTGCGATAGAAGTCCGGCTCTATCGAGAAGAACACCGAGGCTTGAAACGTCGTTGAACGTTCTCCAGTGTCATGAGCCTCTTGCGTACTTAAGCATCTCTTGAAGCTTCTTGCACCATCACTAAGAGGTCATCTCGCGTCGATATACTTCAAGAGTTACTTGGTGGTGTGAGCGGCGATCCATCCGACGATGAGAGTGTACAGGAATGTAGCTGCAGTAGCTGTCGTGGGTATGGTACCCGCTTGGGCTCTGCATTGCTGAGTCACCGCTATTTGTGCTGTAGGAACGTCCTCGCCTGAGGCACCACCGCATGCCTCTACTCCATCTTCAAGGTAGCGAAGCGTTGAAGTCGGAGAATCTGATCGAAGATATACATACGCTGTCAAGGTGCACATGGAAAGAGGAGATGTCGTGATATGCAAGTCACTCTTTTCGACTCGAATCACAAAAGATCTACACTGAGCGTTTGCGAGCCTCCCACCAGCACATCGTCGACAGATATAGGGCATAGTCATGATGACGAGACAAAAGGTCTTCACATGCACGAAGTAGACTGATGTTGTGGTAGAGCATCCGGACCACCCGATGTTTGGTACCCTACTGCGCAGCATCCAGTCATCACAGACAAAGAAGCTTTTGACCGGTACTCCAGCTCTGGTCCAATAGACTGCAAAAAACAGCGTGTCCAACAACCATTCATAAAGCTGCGTGTCCTGCTTCTCATGGTACGCACTAGAACATCAGTAGAACGGTCCGTATGTATTGAGGCTTACCAAGACGTCCCTAGAGGACGGCCCTAGCGAGTCACGGCCCAGTGGTTCTCATAACTGACCGTAATGCCTTTGAGTTTTGGGACCGTGAACTGAACTACTTGTCCAGGCTGAAGAGTAGTACTTTCGACAACCATGCACAGGTGATACGCCAAAAAAGCAGAGATCAAGACGCGGCCGCGACAGAGCAACTTCATCTTCACATTTTTGACTTCGGAAGTCGAAGGTCATGTAATGTTTGTTCTTCAACGACATCGGTGGCTTCCTTCAGGCCATGGAGCCTCCGTGAACCCGTATACTGAACAGTGTTGCATCATGAAGGGAGTGAGAGGAAGCATGGAAGGCACAAGCGCCCTACATTGACCAAGCCATCTACCATGGAGTGTATATGTACATCCTCGCAATCGAAGCCCAGAACCCAGTCTATATCCGCAGTCTTATTATGGTTCAGCTGTCGAACGACTCTGATGGGCCTACATCATGACAATGTATGATATGTTTGCATCCTTCGTAAAATCCCACAACATATTGTGTGCATCACTCAAGATCGAGCACCTTGAAATCACGATACCATGATTGCTGGTCCTGGCGCAGAGTCATTGAACATGCTTCGTCCACAACCACAAAATGCTAATTGATCCTCCTCATTTTAGTTGAACCTTATTCAAAATTATCCACAGGCACGTCGTTCCCACATCTCATGTACACATGATGGATATGTAGTAGTATTTCATTCACACTTTACTGGCATTTTACTGAAAGACCCGGCGAATCAATGCACGAATGTTGCATGTACAATTGCAGAGCAAGTGACGATCTTATCTACAACAAATCCTCCGCTTGTGTGCGAACACAGGAGCGGCTTCAGCCCCACTGACACTGCTGTAACATGCCGATGCAGCCGGTATAAGAGAGCAGAGATGGTAACTGTAACGACAACGTGATGTGAGAAATGCGCCGGCTGGCCGACTATAGCGCTTGTATGCTGTTACGACCAAATGCTTGCTAAGAGGATCGTGAATAGCGTGAAAATCGTGTGGAAAAAGTATAGATTCGTATCTGGCATATGACGACTACCTGTTGCCGGCTTCAAGCTGGCTGGGAGTAGGCTGTGTGGTGGTGTTTGCTTGTGGCTCGTTGCGACTGCGACCAAACCATGTGGTGAACGCTGGACTCTGCGTCGTCCTGTTCGGTCGTAGCCTCGACATCCACCCTGAGTTCTCGGCAGTTTGCGGTTGCTGCGTCGCATCACTGGTCGCATCACGAGTTTGTCGGCTGGGCCGAGTCGAACGCCCAAACCGATCTACGCGGTCGGTTGGTTGTGTAGCTGAGTTGCCGATGATGACCACGCGCGAGCGGAACAGGCCATTGCGGGGGCTAGTCCATATCGCCTGAGGTGATGTAGGCGATCGCATTCCCATTGCAGAGCGACGGCCTGGGCCTGTCTGATCAGCCTCACCCTCTGGGCGAGGCTTGGGGACATAGTAGTCGGCTTTGCAGAGGGGACAGCAGGCACGGCGGCTTGTCAGCCACGGGTCAACGCAGCTAGCATGGAAAGCATGGCCACAAGTGAGTCCTCGCACGTCGTCATCGTCCTCGAGTGTATCCAAGCAAATGGCACATGTGTCTCCAGGCTCAGCCAGAAGCTCAGGAGCGGTGGCGGTGCGGATAGGATCGTCTTCATCATCAGAATCGTCGTCATCGACGCGATGACTGTGTGCTGGATCCACATCCTTCCCGGTAGTGTCAACGGTGTCTGTCCTTGTCATGGGCGATTTCTCGTCTTCGGGCTTCTTCGAGGCTGTGACGGTCTCCTTTGCTTCAGCTGGAGACAGACTAGCTCTAGGCGATGCTACTGGATTCTGCACATCCTCACGAGCCATTGCAAGAGCAGTCCCAAGTTGAGGGCTCGCAGCACCGTCCCTTGCGGAAATCGTACCCTCAACGTCCTTCAGACTGGCTGCTCGGCTCTGAGGTGCTGTCGCGATTCCACCGTTTGCGGGAAGTCCTTCGGTCTCTCGACTTGACTTCCATTGCTTGTACTTCGTCAAGGAGAACTGCTCGTTGACCTCATCCATGGTCATCAGCTTCTTCTCGCGCCTCCTCCTATGTGGTCGTGGCATGGCTGTCATGTCGATCGGTTCGCCAGTCTCGCCAGCAGCAGCGGCCGCGCGGCGGCGGTTATATCTAAAGCAGTACTTCACACCCACGATGATCCTACAAACAAAGTTAGTTGAGCCACTTTACACGTGTGACGAGCAGGGCGATTACCATAGGTTTGTGAAGACAACACCGAATCCCAGCGCAACAAAGAACAGCAACGGCGAGCTTGTTGGTCCTCCCCCACCGCCGCCGCCGCCGCCTCCATTGCCCGGGTTGGCATTGGCACTGCTAGTGCTAGCGAGCGCCGAAGTAACTGTCGTCGACATCGTGGAGTGATGTGGGTCTACGGGTCCATGTGTTTATGTAGCTTTATTGTTCTAACACAGAACTCCTGTGAAAGGGCCGTCAGGCTTAGGGATCAGGCGGGAAGCCGGATGCGGACGGCGAGGCTTGGTCGATACGGGGCCAACAACGAAATTGCGCAAAGCTGGAACACACGATGCCCTTTGAAAGACTGTGGTGTTGCAGCCGCAGCGATGGGTCGGCTTTTGGGTGGAGCCCTAGATTCGCCCGAACCGGTAGGGCGGGAGATTGGTGACGGTAACGACTTCAGGTGCTGCGCAGTGGCGACGGGCTGACTAAAAGTTGCGACTGCGGCAGTGGACGACGGGTGCACGTGAGTTGACAGCAGCTCTGTCGGCCATGCGCTTTGAACGGTTTGCAGGTGCTGTTTGACGGTCACGTCGAGTGCGACGGCGAGTGAATGTCGAAACTGGGTTGGGCAGGAGCGGCAGGGCACAGGATAAAGGACGCAGCCGCAGCACGCTCGCTAGATGGAGCCAAGCAACATGACCGGAACCTAACGAAGGCCTGCCCGGATCAGCGACTGTTGACAATTGCCGCTTCACGGACGAAGCACCGACGGCCTGTTATTTGCAATGCTTGCTTCGCAAAATTGTCACACTGAGATTCGTCATGCTATCAGGTGTTTGGGACTGTTGACGTTGCGCTGCATGGGTCCTTGCCAGTCCTCGACTCTGCTCGTGGTACGCACGACTTCAAGATCCGAAACGGACAGCATCCAATCCCGGTGAGCGCGTACGGAGTACAGAAGCCTCAGTCGCAGGAGTGGTGCTGTTACAACACCTCGTATACGGCTCCTCCGTTCCTCAACCTCAATCTTCGGGTTATCTCTCGCTCTCAAAGCGGCAGGCAGGCTTGCGCAAGTCGTCAGCACCGGTCCAATCCCTGCTCAAGTGGATACTTTTCCCCGTACACCAACCGCTTAGAGCTTGGTTCGAGTCTTTATCCTGCCTTCGGCGTCACTGGTGAAGCAGGTCAAGCGCACGATTTTTTGCGCTCTCCCAGAGATCTTCGGTGTGCACTTGCTCCGGCCTGCGACTTCTCCGGGGTGCATCTGATCGATTTCAAGGTCGTTCACTCGACGGTGAGACCCCGCGCTGTTGTTCAACCGCTGAAGCTAATGTCACCAGTCTAGGCCTGTCCCCCATCAGCCCTACTGCAATCACTTTGCACCGCCCCAACTATGGCGGACGCAGCCGAGGATAAGAATCCAATCGTGTTCTTCGATGTCACGTTGGGAGGTACGTGCCGCTTTCTCCAGGTGGTGTGGGCACACTCACCCCGCGCCCTCCACTCCGCATCTCCCTTAGGCTTAGTCCTGGTCAGACTGTCACCGCTGTCGGCACCGGTTTCGTGTGTTTCCGATGCATTTACTGATGTAAACTTGCAGGAGAGAAGCTGGGCAGAATTCAGATTGAGCTATACAAGAACATTGTGCCAAAAACAGCTGAGAACTTTCGCCAGTTCTGCACTGGAGAGACCAAGAACAACCGTGGTCAGCCACAGGGCTACAAAGGATGCAAGTTCCACAGAGTGGTAAGTACTACCTCGTTCCACTCAACTAAACACAACGCTCTCCAATCATTTTCAAGTTATGTACACAACCGATACTAATAGTAGCGTAGATCAAAAACTTCATGATTCAGGGAGGTGACTTTATCAATGGCAACGGCACTGGTTCCAGGACGATCTTCGGCACCGAAAAGTTCGCGGATGAGGACTTCACACTGAAGCACGATAGACCGGGTCTACTGTCTATGGCGAACAGCGGACCAAACGTAAGCTATTTCGCAAACACGACAAGTGCTGCGCTGACAACGTATAGACAAACGGCTGCCAATTCTTCATCATCACCGCAAAGCACGGAACGCCTCACCTGAATGGTAAGCACGTCGTTTTCGGCAATGTCATCGAGGGTATGGACGTTGTCACCAAGATCGAGAACACGAGGACTCTCGCAAACCCGGAAGGAAAGCCGGTGCAAGATGTCGCCATCTCCCAGTGTGGTGAGATGTAAGAACTCTTGGATTAACGAGCCACCTGTGAATGTCCCATAACACATTTGCTTCTGGTTCCCACCAACACTTCAGGGTGGGACGACGAGCCATGGCACCGACACTTGATGCCTGTGCACCACCACGTTATTGCACGTAGTTATCTAGAGTAGGCTTGTACCTCCAGCTACGACGTCAAGAGCGGTGTTCGCTGCAGATTCTGCGGTTCGGGCAAAGAATGATGGCGTAGTTAGCACAGGTGTAAAGTATGGCCGAGTAAAAAGACGAACGGTGACGCCCAAAAATTGCGGCCAGTCGAGCTGCACATCCACTGTAGCCAAAATTTCAAAGATGTGCATTTGAGCCCCACAGACATCATGGCTGCTTCAAGCATCACAATTCTGTATTATTCGTAGGGCCTATCAGAAGTAGGTTGTGGGACTCAAGCTTTTTGAGAGGACCCACAGAAAAGTTGAATTGAACGCCCAGGCGCCAGTCCCCGCCTATCCGTGCAGAGTCGCGTGTGTGAAGGGTTCACCATCCCACTGCACTTTCACAAACGGCCTGCCGAACCACGGAACGTTCGTAGTATTCCTCTCCTGTATTGTCTTTCCGATGTAACGATTTCGCACACGTCTATCTGCCCAACATGGTTTCTCTCGCTGCTCCACGCGTACCCCCAAGCAACTTCATGGCACCGACTGTTAGCAGCAGCCTGAAACGGAAGCAACGCGACTCGTCTCCCGACGCTGAGAACAACGCTCTCGCCCAAACGAAACGTCGTCGTGTCACCTTTGACCCCAACATCAATGTGCAGATAGTAATGGAGGTGGAAAAGAGTACGGAGCTGGTGGCGGAGGAAGTGCGCCGGGCAATCGAAAAGCACGCAATCGGCGAGAAGGGTGAATACGACCAGCTGCGGAGTACCTTCTCAGACTCTCCTACCACACCTGGTGCAGCTCATTCTGCACTGCTGCAAAAATACGTCATCGCGCTCAGAGAAAGTGTACCGCTGTTGGATTACAACTGCAAAGGGCTCGTGCATGCAATCATAGATTGCAGCTGGATCGCGCGCAATGAGGGCTTCGTGCGGGAGTACCGCAATCTGCTGCGGTCGCTGATCTCGGTGCACCCTGCGTACATGTCTACAGTTCTCCAAATGCTAGTTTCCATGTTCCTCAACCCGCCCCCTACAACAGCTAGGGCGCAAGACGATCCTGTTATTCAATCGCCACGCCTCACACAACGGATACACGAATGCCTCCGGTCATTTCTACGACAGAGTCCTATGACAAGCACATATCTGGGACCCATAATCGCATCTACATTCCCCTTCGCCGACGACACGGCGAAGGCGCACACACGATATATCAGGAATATCCTTCAAATTTCCGAATATTGTTCAGAGTTGAAGGGTGAAATATTGTCACTCATAACCGACAAGATTGTCAAGATCGATGTTCAGATCCAGGTAGACATGGACGATCTGGAGGACGACGAGGAAGAACTTGTAGGGCGAGCGATTAACGATGCGGAAGAGGAGGACATGAGCGACAACGAGTCTGTGTCCAGCGAGGAGAGCCTAGAGCCCGAGGACCGCCGAAAACGTCAAATCCAAGAAAACGTGAACAAGCTTGACGCCGTAATGGACCTCCTCTTTTCCCACTACGACTCCGTCTTCGTGAAGGGCGACCTTTTCGACAGCGACGAACTATTCGAATCTCTTCTCTCGCAATTCGCCAACATTGTCCTCCCCACCTACCGTTCGAGACACGTCCAATTCTTGCTGTTCCACTTCAGTCAAACCTCAGCCGACCTCACCGAGCGCTTCGCAGGCTGCTGCTCGCACCTCGCATTCGACCAGCTGCGCCCCCACATTCTCCGCGTCGCCGCCGCCGCATATCTCGCCTCCTTCATCGCGCGCGGCGCCCACGTCTCCGGCGCCGTCGTCCGCGATGTCTTCGACCTCCTCTGCCATCACCTCGAGCGCCTGCGCATCCAACAAGAGCCCGGCTGCAAAGGCCCCGATCTGCGGCGCTACGGCACCTACTACGCCATCAGCCAAGCGCTCCTCTACACCTTCTGCTTCCGCTGGCGCGACCTCATCGTCACCCCTGACGGCCACACGCCCACCGACGAAGACATCATCTACCACGAGGGCGACTTCACCTGGTACAACAACGTCCAGGAGATTATCCGGCGCAACATCTTCTCCGCCCTCAACCCGCTCAAGATCTGCGCCCCCAGCATCGTCGCCCAGTTCGCCCGCATGGCGCACCACCTGCGCTTCCTGTACGTGTACCCGCTGATCGAGACAAACAAGCGCGTGCGCCTCGCCCGCAGCATGGCGGGTGCGTATCTCGGCGGCATCGGCGGCCGGGAAACAGCGCTCAGCCAGAAGAGAGGCGACGACATGTTTCTCCTCGACGCGTACTTCCCGTTCGATCCGTACGTGCTGCCCCGCAGCAAGCGCTGGATCGAGCCCGACTACGTGCAGTGGAAACCAGTGCCGGGCATGCCTGTTGAGCGCGACGAGGAGGAGTCTGAGGACGAAGAGGAGGGCGATGATGAGGACGACGAGTCTGAGTCGGAAGTCGAGCCGGATGTTGCAGAGGACGTGCCCGAGGATCTTGATGATTTGAGTACTGAGGCCAGTGTCTGATTTGATGCATTTGTTTTATCATGTACGCGGCGTTCAATGGACGGATATGTTGCATAGCTTGGCGCTGGGTTGGGCATCTGCTGGGATTTCTGGTTGCATCTGCAGTCATGTTGGGACTCATGAATGCAAGTCCAGTAGGATATGAAGCATTCACGAAACGCAGTAAAAACCTCATACACATTAATGTTTGTGTCATTGCAAGTATTCGTATTGTACGTGTTACTACATGTCTTGATCAAAACGCCGAAGCGTTACTCTTCCATACCCGGAGCCCATCCCAATGAATCCGATTTTGGCTGCCAAACGCCAGCCTGCTAAACGCCAGCCTGCTAAACGCCAGTGCGCCCATTGTACCAATACCTTTCTAGCAGCGCCGCTTTACTCCCCTCCACGACTCGACATTCGGACTGTGCTCTGGTCGATCTCAATCTCACCCTCCTCGACCTCGCTCAGCTTCATCGCCCTGAGCAGATCTCTACTTGCCCTTGTGCCGTCGCGCAACTCTATCGCACCCTTGAGTAACAACTCCTGCAGCACTCGCGGGTCACTGTCCACTCCAAGTAGGGCCTCAACATCTGGGCCCCGCGGTACAGGAAAGTCGACGAGGGGGCGCCCATTGGGGCCTGCGCTGACTCTGCTGAGGCGGTGGTACGCGTACGACGGGGAGGATGAGTCAGACTCGGCAGTGTAGGGGTAGGTTTCGTCTGTATCACTACCGATGCCTAAGTGTAGACTGGCCATACGCGGATCGGACGACTCGTCGACACTTGTGTTGCCAAGGCGGCGTGCTGAGCGGAGCGGGCCGTAGGACTGAAATTTCCGCTGCGCGTGTAGGGTCAGCCGCTCGAAGTTATCCCAGAGCTCGTCTACATCTTCTTCTGAAAGCGAGGTATCGGTGGTCACGCTCATTGCGGGGGATTGATCGTCGGAGCCGAGGCCATATGCGTGAGTGTGTGACCAGCCGTCCCATATTTGCTGGGAGCGTTGGTGGGAGTGGTGTGAGTTGAGGGGCGGGATCGAGGTTGCGGGTGGTTTGTTGTGCGCTTGCATCTGCGATACTGAGGATACACCACGAGCATGCATACTTGGATGGTGCGGATCCTGGTTCGTTGGTAGGCCCTGTTCGTCATATTGTTGCGGTGTGAGGAGGCCCGGGACTGCGTGGTTGGGCTCAGACTGCGACTTCATATGAAAAGAAGCACGATGATTGTTCTGTGACAATTGGACCTGATCTTCAAGATTGAAGGGGTTATCATTCGCAGTGTAAATGGAAGCAGGGTACGTTGACTCTGAACCTGATGTCGATGGGCGATAGTCCTCAACCGTGGCCATGTCCAAATCTATCATTGATGAACGCAGAGGTGAGTTGGGGTCAGAGCTCACACGCGGGAAACCATCAGAGGTTGGTTCAGTCGCAGCTTGTCGTAGACTCGGGCGGAATCCAGACCGAAGCGTTGGTGGTGATGAGTAGTCATGCGTAGAACCACTGCCATTTTGTCTCTGCTTGGGGCTTGGACTGCGCATGGGGAACGAAAAGTCCATGGTGCTCCTGTTCTCGTCTATTGCCGTGGTCGCTGTAGAAAAGTTATACTCCTTCGTCTCGCGACGACGGGATGTGCGATTTCTCGGAGCATCATATTGTGCTTCTGCCATAGCAGCGTCGAACGTCCATTCAACCGTTTTCCTGTTTGGTTTCGGTGGCTCAGCGGCTGGAAATGACCATTCCATAGTTTTGCGATTTGGTTCGGCTGCTGGAAACGACCACTCCATCGTCTTCCGATTATCCAGATCTTCCGTTGTGCCCGGTTCTTCCGCTGGTGCATCCATTGATGGGAATGTCCACTCTCGCGTCTTGCGATTGTCTGCTGCAGACGGGAACTTCCAATCTCGAGTCGCACGCTTCGTGAGTTGGTTCTCCGCCTCAAACTCTTGCTGTTCACGCAGCTCTTGCTCGCGTTCAATCTCACGTGCGTCCTCCTCTTCCATTTCTCGTAGCAAGCTCTTGATTCGATTCGCCTTGATAGTTGGCACTTCGCCAAGATCAATACTAGGGACATGGTCGGTGGACGGGAGAGAAAAGTCCAGATCAATGACTGTCTCCCTATTCGGAGCGCCTGGGTTGAAGTCGCGAAGGACGAGATCCGAAGGCGGTCGGCCTTTACTGTCATCGTCATCGTCGATCATACTGTATCTGTAGGGCGTTGTCTCTGTGTCGAACAACTTGTTCAGGCGCTTCTGTCCTCTTGTGATCGACTCTTCCTTGAATCTAGCCTGCAGCTGTTCAAATCGTCCCATATCCGCCACCGGAGGAAGTCCCATGTAAGAGTGGCCCGCAGCGCCGCCGATGAATGGATCCGAAAACTGCGGCGCATGCTCTTGTTCGAATTCTTCAGACGTACTAAAAGTCCAATCGTCATCTTCGTCATCGTCGGTCTCTGGAGCGAGCGGATCGGGGGCTTGTGCACCAAAAACGTTGAAGAGTGACTGACGAGCGCCACCTTGTTGTTCCCAGGCATAGTAGTCCTCGACCAGCTTGACCAGCATCACCGTAGGATACATCTTCGTCGAGTCCTTCAGGTAGACGTGCTCAAGAATTTCGTCCGGCGTAGGACGATCTTGAGGATCGGGCTGAAGCAAGAAAGACACGAAGTCTTTGAGCTCGTCTGAGTACCGATCGCCCTCGAGCACTGGTACACCAGCGTTTGGCAAATCGAAAGGTGCCGACCGGTGATGTGGTGGGAAGCCGCAAGCCATTTCGTACACTGTGCAGCCATACGCCCAGATGTCGACTTCGGAGCCGTACAGAATCTCCCTAGGCTTTGCTAAGCTGTGCGGATCGGCGTCTTTGATCCACTCCCGCTGGAGTTCGGGAGCCATCCAAAAAGGCGTGCCCACGATGGTCGTACGTTTTGACTTCTGCGGCTCAAGCGTTCCAGATACACCGAAATCGCACAATTGCACGCGGCCGTCTTCAAGAATGAGGACGTTGTTTGATTTCATGTCTCGATGCAGAACGCCAGCCTCGTGAATATACTTCAGACCGAGTGCCAATTCACGGGCGATCGGGATGATGAACTTCTCCGGCAGTCCAGGTCCAGGATCCTTCAGCATTGCCATCGGCTTCATCAACGTAGCAACACTGCCACCGCTGGCGTACTCGCTTATGATCCAAAGTTCGTTGTGCACTGCCTTCGCTTCCTCGATGATGTTCACGTAGGGTCGTGCTCTACTGTCTCTGAGTTGCTGCAGAATGTCGATCTCTTTCAAGGTCTCAGACAAGTTCTTCGTCGTCATCTCCTGGTAGTCGACTGTATCAATGTCGATGATCTTGATAGCGACAAGATTGTCAGTCCTGCGGCTCTTGCTGCGACTGCATCAGCATGATCTACACCTTCAGCAACATCTACTACTCACCCTTTGAACACACGTCCGTAGGCGCCCTTGCCAATAAGTTCGTAAAAGTCGTACTGCGGCGGCTCATCGCCACTGCGTTTCGCCCTTTCTGCCACAAGCGCTTCCATCTCCTTCGCCTGCCCTATGGCACGGGCTTTCGTGCCCGTCACCATTGCTGGCGGCAGCAGCGAGTTTCGTATTGTCTCCATGTCTGCCAATCGTCTGTCAACTCGGTCGAGGTCCAGGTGTTCGCTGTCGTGATCGCAATCGAAGGGCGTCTCTGCAATGCGCTCGAGTGGGCTCCCTATCACAGTGTCCGCGCTGCTGAAGCTCTGTGCGGTGGGTGATGCGAACGGTGGGTAAGCAGCGATTCGCGGTCGAGCTGGCGGAGACTGATTGCTCGTGGGATCAGAGACCGAGTGCGTGTGTTTGGTAGCTGGGCGTGCAGCTGTGAAGAACGGGTGCGGACTTGGATTAGATCTCGTCTTGACCAGTGGCGACGGCGATGCAGCGAAGGGCGAGGTAGGTGTGAGTGGACACAAAGGGCTTCTTGGATCTGTGATAGGACTCGAGATGCTATCCTTGTCGATTGTAGAGCTTGATCGGCTAGAGTTTGATCTGCTCTTTCTTCTGATCGAGTCAGTAAGTTTGGCAAGGTTGGTCAACGAGAATGCACGAGAGCCTCGTGTGCGCGGGGTGCTCGAAGCGTTGCCACGAGGAGTAATCTCGCCCAAAGGAACGAGATCATCTACATCGCTTTTGGACCGCTTCAGCGACCGGATCGTATCTTCACCCAGCATGGTTGCGCCAATTGAGGTTCGCTGGTCGCGTGCGCAGGTGGTGTTGCATGGTGGGTGCGGAACAGCAACTCACGTTTGTTGTTATGTATTTATTGGCGCCGCCTGGGGATCAAGTGAAGGCTGGTCATCGTGTGCGTTTGTTGCGGTGTGCGAGGCGGATGTTCGTCGACATGCACCGACCCAGGGAGCAGTGGGGGCAGAGGGTCGTCAACACAGCCAGTCAAGGCGTGCTGGTCACGTAAACTGAAGGAAAGTTCGATGCAGTGTAGATGCACAAGGCACAATATAAATTAGATGCGCAAAGAGCGTTCGTGAAGGAGACACCGACATGTCGTCCAGCGACCGCGAATGCGAAACGACATCCAGGGTCCACCTGTGCTGCGAAACGATCGAGCCTCCGCACTAGTCGACAGCCTTGTCCTGATAGGGAGATGGCGCCCGCCCCGACGTTGTGTTCCCGCCTCGACGTCATGGGGCGATGTGGGAAACTTGATATGGGGTAGGTGTACTGCAGGAAGGGTAGAAATCCTTCATTCGACCTGCAACTATCTCGAATAAGACGTTGAACTATTGCGAGACCGTCTCCACTTCATCGAAGCCCCAAACATCACCACAATGGTCGCCCAACCCATTGGCACAAAGAAGTCCGTCGCAGGTCCCAAAACTACGGGCCCCAAAGCCGTTGGAGCAGCAAAGAAGCCCGTATCGGCCCAGACGAAAACGGTCCCGTACAAGAAACCCGCCACAGCACCAGCAAAAAAGGCTATCACATCCAAAACAGCGACTAAGAAGCCCCTTGGCGCCCCTGCTGTCAAGAAGCCTGTTGGCTCGCAACCGATTGGTGCAAAGAAGGCCATCCCACCAGCACCAAAGAACGTCGTAAAGCCGCAGAATAAGAGCTGGCTTACAAAGGCCATTGGTGCAGCGTCGTCAGGCATCAGTAGCGCGACAAGTGCTGCCGCGAGCGGCGTGGGAAATGCTGCCGGCGCGGTAGTAACAGCTGCTGGGAATGGCGTTGCTGGTGCTGGAAGGGGTGCTGGTGCAAGGTTCGTAGCCCCAGTATGAGCCTGCAACATCACTGACATTCGACAGCATATCAAACACATCGCGAGGCTGGGGTGACATGGTCCGCGAGTATGGCAACTCCATCAAGGACATGACTGGCGCCGCGGGCAGCCGGGCGACTACCAAGGGAAACCCCCTGGGTCTATCAACAAGTGCCGCAGGAGGCGCTGCGAGCATGGCAACCAGGCCTGGCGTCACAGGTAGCACAGTGAAGAAGTCCAGCGCGAGCAATCCCCTGGGGCTGTAAGACACGGGCAGAGAAGATAGATACGGTGTAAGATATGAGCGGTTATGGTACACGAAAAATCAGGTCTATGAATTTGGTGGGGTATCTTGGAAATATATGGTACAATGAAGTTATGAGAAATGCAATAATCTGACCTGCTCTTGAAAGGCCGACAGAGAGAGGAGAGTGTTACAGATGCAGCGACACTGACGTACTTATATGAGCCCGGTGTACGCAAAACGATCAGACCTGCGAGGTATTAAAAATGTCAAAGACAGTGCGATCTCCAGTCGACATGTGCTGGACTCCAGCTACAGTCGCAGCACTCGAAATCAGGCGTTCGACGGACTCCATCGACCATTGTGCATGCAGAGCATATCTGACGAACTCACTTATTGCGTTGAGCTCGAAATCGCCCTTTTCCTCATAGCTGTACGCCCAGTACATATCCTCTGAAATGTCCAGTCGCTGTAGCCTGAGCCAGAACATATGCTCGTATGTATGCTGAAGTCTCTGTAAGTTTCTTGCATTGTTTTTACTGAGACCAAATTGTCTGCGAACCGACTCAGTTTCGTCGTGCATAGCCTGCCATGCCTGTTGCCGTATCACTATCCTCGCCGCGTCCCGCGTGGGGTATATTTCGAATTGCTGGCGGAGGACGTGCAAAGCCACGAGGGCACCGGCTAAGTCTTGTGCGTAACTGAAGCAGTGCAGCATCAGTCTAGTGATGGCGCCCTTGTTATCGGTAGCGAGGCCATGGATAAACCGGTGGGCGTCAGGTCTGTGGCGAACCAACATCCACCAGTCTATTGTTTCGCGGAGTAGTTTGCGTGGTGTCGGCAGATTTGGATCCTCTCGATTGGCTGGATCGCTGAGTGCAATGCGAAGGGTTTTCCACAGAATTCTCATAGTTTCACCGTCAGGGTACACGGTTCCAGCCCGGTCAGGGTCGTCCGTGATTGATGTGTAAATCTGCCATGCTTCGCGGAACTGCCCTTTGTGACATTTGTTATCAATGAGAACATTCATGATAGCGCAGTTTATTTCAACCTCAGCCAACCTTAGCTGTCTAGTGAGATAGTCCACATGTTCCCATTGTGAGTTTGAGGCATGATGGCGCATAATGAGGGCAAAGGTTGTCGCATTTGCCGCAGGCACCGAGGCTGCTGAGTTACCATCAAGCATGCCGACGTTCTGTAATTTTTCTGCGATAGCTTTGACCCGACTTCCCGAAGGATGCTGCTCCGTGGGTATTGACGATAGGCGAGCTTCTTCAATCATTTTCCAGCCAATATCCTCTGCCCTCAAGATATTGTCAGGTAGCTTCGTTCCGAAGAGAGTTCTCAACAGCAGGTTGTAATCTTCAGTAACAGGTCGATAACCTCGACGGATCATACTGTCGAGAATATGAGCAGCGGCTTCTGGGGACCGTTCAGCCAGCGCAGACTTCATCCAGTCGGTGAATATGTGTCCATGATATGCCACAGGTAAGACATCGATAGCATCCAATGCAATCCCACTCATGCTTGTTATGTTGGTGCCCAGAGCATACAGCAAGTTGAGTCTCCGGATGACTCCTTGAACATGCGATTCGGATCCTGTGGTCTCCAGGCAGCCCGCACGAATCATGTCTTGGAACACTCGCTTCGCATCTGGCAGCGATCTTGTTTCCAGGAATCCAACCATGCAGGAATCGTATGCCTCGAGTACACTTTCAGTCCCCATTCTTTCCTTGATAGCACGATACATCTCCCTCGCTTTATCAATGTGCTGGTCCAGGCCCGAGCTGGTGTATGCGCGGAATACTGCCATTATTATAGTCGGGTCCCAGTTCGGGTCTAACTGAAGAAGATGATCCATGATATCCCGTGATTGGTCCGCATGGCCAGCAAGCGCGTACAGTCTTGTGCCCACATCCAGATACTCGGGTGCCGTAGCAAAGTCATGTCGACTACCTGCCCACATGTCGAGAGCTTGTTCTTGCATGCCAGCCATGAACTTTTGTTCGATGCTATATGCCACTTGCCCAGCGACCGGAGATGTTGGTGCCTTGAGGAAATCTCGGTTGAGTTTGGCCAAGTGCGTCTCGCGGCGCGAGACATCAAGGAAATCAGCATACCGCGACTTCCACAGTATATTCCAAGCCCTTTGAGACAGGTGCTTCGGTACGGATGTTTTGTACTTCATAGCCAACAAATAAGCCTTCCATAAGGGTGCTCGCAAATCCGGGCTTATGACATCGTCAGAGTTCGCAAGATTCAGCAAGTACGCTAGCTTCTTCATAGCATGTACGATCCTCGAGCTGCTACTGTTGACTTCAATGACAACATCTTCAGCACCATGCTGTTGGGGTTTGACTCGTTGCCAATCATCCTTGACGTCGCCAGTCGGACTCTGCTCGAGAGTGGTTCGTGAGGATTCGTAGGGTTCGAGAGACTCGATCGACGTCTTCGATGGGCGGCGCGGGCTATGTATTGTTGGATCCCACTGTTTGGTGTAGGTAGGAACCGGGCGAGGTAGTGTTTTCAGAGTGCGCGTCTGGGAAGTTGGCGTGGAGTGGAGAAGGCATCGTAGTTGGCGGAGCGCAAGCATCAGCGAGCGCAGCGATCGCAGGTATTGCTGCAAAGAGGACTCGAGTTCGCAGAGATTACGAGTTCATACCCCATCTGGTCTAGAAGTAGGGATATAAGGAAGGCTGAGTATACAAAAAAGTAAACGCGGACGTGATGGCGATGCGTTTCGGGTGCCTCCAGACGCGCAGTCTCCTGCAGGCGAAAGTTGGGAAATTTCTTATCGATAACGAAGATCGTCACGTGCAGCTCTGTACTACGAAAGCTTGCCGCTGACAGAAACCGACTCTCTTCACCATTTTGTAAAAGAAGGGTCCACTAGTCACGTTTAAAGCGACATATGTTTAATTAAGTGTGCCAATCCTGGCCTCTTGGATGCTCACTCCTGCTAGCGGTCTACTACAACATTACATCTGTCTCGACTATCAAGACAGTTGATTCCAGCAACTACGGCTCTCACAACAAACACGTCACGACATACTGTTGCGCACAAAGTGTAGACTAGGCACCCAAGGTCGAACACACATGCAGCTTGCACCGTCTGCTGATGAGACGATCGAAGGCTCTGGCAAGATGCAACCTCCATTCTTTAGACTTCCGGCCGAGCTCCGCAATGTGATCTACGAGGACGTCCTCGGCGATCTGAGCAACGCTTTCCCGTGTTTTGGGGGCGTGACGTATGTCCAATATCGCCGCGTCAGTCTACTATTCGTCAATCGGCAAATGTACTTGGAAACACGCCTGCTTCCGTACTCCATGAATTCAATCACAGCCGGCCCTCGCACCGGATTTGAAGAGTGGAAGAAAAGACGTACACCTGAACAATTGAACGCTATTTGTAGATTACACATCGTCGTTGCTAGTTCTCCTTATCATACGCCTGCGGAGCTCCCACCCGATGCCACCGACTTTGGTTATACTATTGCCAACAACCTGGCAATGAACAACCTGATACAAACGCAAATGGCATTCCCGGAAATGAGTAGGCTGAAACACATTCTTGTCGAACTCCGGTCTCATGCAGTGGATGCAATGGAGCTCATGCAGCAGATCGAATTCCTTCAAGAAGCAAAGACTCAAGTCAGAAGGATGAATCCTCGAGCCGACGTGGCGGTCGACTTGATCTGCCTTGGGGACAAACTCCGTAAAGCTGTTACACCTGATTCTTCAACGACTGGTCTCCGCATAATGCGTTTTGACAAGCTGTGTGAAGGAACCGGACGTTCTCTTGATGATATCCTGAAGCGGTGCCAGCCAATACAGTCCATATACAGTCACCAGGAGAGGCTGAATATTTTGCGCAGCACATGGGCAGTCTCTGAGTGGATGGCTCTGCGCGGTGTATTCCACACCCATTCCTGAACCACTAAAGTCGAGCTGAGTTCTTGATGGCATCTTATGCAGAGCATTTGATCACACGCCTCCTTTGATTTGCATTCTCTGGATCTCTACACAAGATTTGCGGCTTTGCAGGCAGCCGTATTAGAGTACCGCACTGAGGCTACTGTCGTTCGTTCTTTCCCTTTCACCCGCCGTGCTGCAAGCGCGTTGGGCACCCGACGTCATCGATTGTGGTTCGTACTTTGTTGTTTTCCTCGCAAGACGCTGATCGTCACACTGCCACCCCCGCTGTTCGACGACGATCCAAATTGTTCGGTACTCTCAACTATAACCACGAAGAGCTCCAGCATGTCGGATGTTACACCAGGACAGGTGGAGAGGCTGGATCGTCACCGGAGGCTGCAGATCGCTATGGAGCTCGTTCTCGCAAAGTTGAGACATGATGCTGAAAGCATTACCACAGTAGATGCTCAGATTCTTGCGGACCATGCCGAAGATGGGGATCAATGGACAGCTGACATCATTGCTGCTGTCGCAGACCTCGCCATACGTAACGAGGACGGGGAGTCAGCTCTGGAAGACGACCGCTCATCCATGGTCCACCTGCCTAATGCCGTCGAGGACCTCCACGCTGCAGTCAAAGCCAATCCCAAGAGTGTTACAACAGATGTCCTTCGGACCACACAGAGCATCGTTAGCAGTGGGTTATATGCTTTGCTAAATTGCGAGAGGCTATCTAACGCAGATTCAGTCATGCAGAAAGCCATTGGTCACACGAATGCACCTCATCCAGAGCTGGAGGCTGAGCTCCAACAGGAGTACGCTAAGATAATACCCAAAGTTGAGCGTGGCATTGTCACTAAGGCCGAGGCTGACCGCCTGCATTCTCTGGAAGCCCGAGCCCATGGTCATACAGAGAGGGGCGGACTGACTGCCATAGCTCAGTCTGTAGTAGCAAGACGTCAACGACAAGTTTCGATCAGCAGCGCCTCCCCGGAGACCAGGCCGCGTATCGATAGCCGTATCTTCATGCCACATAGGCAGCTTCATCACAAAGCTGACGCCGATCTGCCTGAAACCGAGACCGAGATTCGTACGGTCCATATCGATACTGCTGGGTTAGACTCAGCCCATTCAAGGCGACAGCGCTCGCCAGAAAAGAGTGCTGTAGTACCGTCGAACTCTTCTATGAGGCGGTACTATTCACTCAGCGACTCTACCAACGCTACTCGTGGCGACAGCAGGCACGATGTCACGTACCCCAAGTTCCACAACTACGGTTCTGCCGACACAGGCGGCGGTGATACCGAGAACTCTCCTCATACGAACAAGCGGGAGAATGACCAACCTGTCGTGTGATCTGGCGACGAAAGAGTGTGGTTCAGATGATGCGATGTCTCGACCTAGACTTTCATGTCGATCGAGGAAGGACTGGTGTCTTCAGCCCCAAAGCACTTGAACACGATCACTCCTATTACAAAATCGAGTTATGCGTGTCATTGTTATTGCAGGTCCTACCCAATCAGGCTGTTATTAACAACACAGAGGCACTGCTTGTACGAATAAAAATCATGAATTCTATGGTATCGACTCGTTATGCATCTGATCTACACGATCCAGTATCCTGTGCGCATCGCACAACGTCCAAAGCAGCATCAGCATGATCTTTGCCTACTTGATCTCAGCCTTGGCCAGGACATCGGCCAAATCGTCGACCTTTACGTCCTTCTCTTGTGCTACTGGCGAGTCTTCGGCCCGCTGTTCCTCGACCAACTGTCTCGCCGCGCGCTCCTCGACCTCAACGCCCTCCTCATCGTCATCACTGTCCTTCTTCGCCTCATCATCGCTGTCCTCCTCGTCTTCATCCTCACTCTCCAGCTCATCCAACTCGTCAAGACCCCAATACTCCTCATCATCTTCCCTCTCGCCGCTCTCCTCTTTCCTCGCATCCAGAATCTCCCGGAGCTTCTCAATGCTAGAATCCTCCTCATCGAACTTGTTTCCGTTGAGCTCGACGCGGCGCAGCGCAGGGAGTTTCGGCGCGGCGGCAGCCAGGCCCGCGAGACCCTTTGCGTTGATGTCGTTGAACTGCAGGCGCAGCACCTCGATGTTCTTGTTGTTGCCCTTCTGCAGCGCCTCAGCGAGCGCAACGCCGCCGCGGGCAGAGAGCAGACAGTCGCCGACACCGAGTTCGCGCAGGGCGGGCCACTTTCCGACGGCGTTGCTGAGAGCCTTACCGCCCATGGATGTGAACGTGTTGTCCTGCAGGTCGAGGGTTTCGAGCTTGGAAAGGTGCGCGATGCCGTGGCTGAGGAGGTGTGTGATGCCCTCTTGGCGGATGCCGTTCTGTGTCATCTTGATGGTCTTGATGCCCTGGTTTGCTGCGTATGCCTTGGCCCATGCTTGCATCGAACCGTTCTCGAGGCGGTTGCGGCCGCAGATCACGAGCTCGAGGTCGGGCACTTCTTTGCCTTCTTTGCGCGCGGCGTCCTTCTTTCCGGCGAGAGCTGTGAGAGCGTCGGCGAGGAGAACACCGGCTGCGGGACCCATGCCATTGTTGTTCAGGTAGAGGAAGCGGAGCGGGGTGTGGGCGGAGAGGAAGTCGACAAGGGGCGCGACGGTGTTCAGGCCGAAGGCGTTGTCGCAGAGATCAACTGTTTGAAGATTCGGCAATGTAAGGAAGGCGTTGACGAGGTGCTGAAGCGCAGCTGGGATTTCAGAGAGCAGGCGGCCTGTGAAGATGTCGGCGAAGTTTGCGATCTGGTCATGTGTGAATTGTGCGCTCGAGACAGAAGACAATGTAAACGTACCTTCAGGCTCTTCTTGGTCTCCAGAACCTTTGCCAGAGCCTCGCAAGCCTCTATGCCCAATGTGTTGCCCAAAAATCTCACTTCCTCCACATCGTTGTTCTCCTTGAGGGCCTGGAGATGCGGCTCGATATCGGCGGCAGAAGTGAGCTTCAGGCCCTTGCCTTCGAGCGAGAACAGCTTAGACATGTTGATCGGAACCAAAGAAAGGAAGAATAGTCAGGGTAGATCTTTGCCAGTACGCGGACAGCAGAGCGAAGTGTGGCGCGGTTTGACTTGTTTTGGGGGCAATGTTTTGGTGGGGTATTTGCACAGGTCGAAGACCGGCGAAGTGGGCTGCCATCCCTGCAAAAATCAGGGCCAGGCAGGCGCTAGGCAGCGCTGGAGACGTGCAGGCGTTCACTCGGCGAGAGGCGGGAGAGCCAAGGCGCTCGTCGGCGCGCTGGGATGACATCGCCAAAAGTTCACGCGCCTACCCGAGCCCGAGGCGATTTCTAAGCAGCGCTCCTGCACTCCACCACCACATCGCACAATGTCTTCAGGTATGCTGGTGATGCAATCGAGTGTGTCGCGACTTGCATGGCTGATTTGAAATAGCACCGACCGCCGCCAATATGGGCGCAGACCTCAAGGACACCACCGCGCCGCAGACCAAGTACAAGGTGCGTATGCATTATGTGCTTTGAGATAGTCTGACTAACGACAATAGCCGTGTTGTGTCTGCACTGATCAGAAAGCAAAGCGCGACGAGTGCATGCTGTTCTCGACATCGAACGACCCCCAGAAGGAGTGCGCCGACCTTGTTTCGCAGTACAAGACATGCATGGCCGGCTACGGGTTTAAGATCTAAGCTGGCCAGAAGGATGTATCATAAGAAGATTTAGAGTCACTGTACAACACACAGCATGATGGCGTCTAGCATTAGATATGGGTATTTTACATTCGCGGTATATATACAATGTACGACCTCAATCTTCCCTCCAATGCCGGGGTATCTTTCGAAAGAATGCAATGAGACCGAGGCAGACTACTGCGTCTTGCTCTTCGCTTGTCCAAGAATCTCGCTCTTGGTAACCAGTCGCCACAGACACCAGAGGTAGCAGATGCCAAATCCACCTGTGCCAACGATGGCATTTGCAACCACCCACAGATCTGGCTTGTCGGCTGGTGGAGGATAGAAAGCCTCAGCAATGTGCCAGCCCACCATAGCCAGATATATGTTAAGATGGATGATTTTGCTAAGCAAGTTGAGACCATTCTGACTGCCCTCGTGGTACGCGGCGAAGGAGGTTGGCGGAAGGCCCAGCAAGTAGGCCCAGAGGAGTGTGATGACAAAGTACGGGACTCGAAGCTCATCCCGCTTCAAGAGAGGAAACATTGTCCAGATGCCCAACATGTTGGCAAGTCCGACCCAGGCGCGAGTCGATGGTAGCAAACCTTCTTGTCCACCTAGCAAAAGGGTCATCGGCAGCAATGGGAGAAGCACGTTCTTCTCATGCACCTGGTACGAGCACAGGAAGAACCCCCAAGATACTGCTGCAAAAGTAAGAGGCAGGAGCTCCTTCTTCGGCTTGAAAAATATGATCAGGCACGGCGGTAAGATGGCGGCGGAAGTAGCCAACAGAGCTGCACGCTGAAGAAGTTGCTGTGGGTAGCGGTACAACTTGTGAAAGGTATGGATAGTGCACCAAATGTTAGCAACCTTGTCCTCAAACAGGCCCCGGGAGAAAGGGAAGATCCGATGGATTGACTGCGACATTTGCAGAACAACAGAGTAGTACCAGGCGTTAGTATCCCATCGGATTGGCAATGAGTCCATGAGTGGAGGTACTGGGAGCCCCTTGTCTGAGATGCCTCTGTAGATGTCGTAGGCCACGCCCACCAAGAAAGGCAGATACAGCACTGCGAAAGCCGCAAGCGTTACAAGTGCGATCGAGAAGAATCGCACCATGTTGATTCTGGGGAAAACGCAGATCCCTAACAGGTATGCGAAGACGGCAGGGGCGTAGAAGAGAGCCATCTGCTTGAATCCGAGTGCGGCTACGAAGAAGACGCAGCCCCACAGTGGCCGGCCAGCAATCATGCTCGACATTGTTGCAACGGTAAAACCGAGCATGACGGTGTTGTACTGGAAATGCCCATGGTCGATGAGGATGGTGCCTGGCTGGAGGAGTATCGCGACCAGCGCGATCGAGCCCTCCCACACATTGACGCCTTCTGACTTCGTGTACCGACGGAGGAAGACAACGAGTGCCGGTACGTAGGCAAGGTATTCGGAGACGAAGACGGTCGCTCGCATATATATCTTCAAGTTGGGATCGTCAAGTGCACGCGACCTGTCGAGGGCGAACCATTCTGGATTGATGGCGGAGCCACTGGTAAACTCAGTACTGCTAGCTGAAGCTTGACATGTTGACCTACATGACGCCTAAGACCCAGCTGTGGTAGGCCGTGAGGGGTGGATAGTCCAGGCCCCACCACTGCAAATCGTAGAAATACCATTGCGACACGGGGAGATGCTTGGTGATCTCCATCCAGTGCCGTTGAGCCTCAAAGTCTCCGTGCATAGGAGGCGATTGGTAGCCAGAATAGCCCCATAGACCGACGGTCCATCGAAAGAGGCCAACGGCCATCAAGATTAGAGGTATTGTCACCCATAGCGACACAGTACCCTTGGCTGGCCAAAGGAAAGCAACGAGCGGGAACGCAGGCTTCCGTGCATTGGTGTTTTCGTCGAAATCGAGTGTCCCGTGATTAACATGGGCGAGAGAGCCCTCTTCGATCTTCCTCCGTCTGCGCGGCTTGTGTGCCGCTGGTGATGCCATGGCGACTGCTGGAGCTTTACTGGACAGCAGTTCTCGGCGCGTGGAGGTGGCAGGGACTACGCTAGCTCCACACCGCCTGGCGCTTGGGCCACCCAACCCGCTGAAAAAAAGTTCGGTTTTCTGCCCTGGCCTTCCCGAGAGCTTAAAGCTGTGCGCCTCCCGATATTTTCTCTACACTCTTCCTCCACACCTTTACTTGTCGACATTATCTTGTTCGACACTTTATCAGCTTTACGAGGTTCTACTGTGGGCTATCAGAAACTATTCAAGTCAGTGGGCATTTGCGGCTTTTCCTTAACACACTAGAGGACAATGTTCGTCGCTCGCTAGAGCACGACAAGATCAAACCAGAGGGCTTATGGCTACTATGAGGGTTTTCGTCTTGTCTTCTCGGCTTTTGTGGGAACACTCTGCCTTGAAGCCAATTCTTCTGTGGGCATCTTGTGGGCTTCCGTGGGCTTGAGGGCACATCGCTTCGCGCGATCTCGAGAGATTCCAGTGGGCTTTTGCAATATGAGGCATCCAGTTGAACAGGCTATCTGCGCATGATCTTCCTATGGAAGTCAGCGCACGAGCATACGAGCTCCGTCTCGTCTTCCTCTTTCCTTCCGTCATTTTTAAAACTTTGTCATCACCTACATCATACTGATACATTGTAGATCTAGTTCATCATCACCAAAATGGGAAAGTCCAAGGTCGCCGATAAGAAGGAGAAGAAGTCTGAGCTCTCGAGCGTCAAGGCTGGCCGCGTTGCCAAGGTCGCCGAAACCCCCAAGGCCAAGAGCAAGGCTACAGGCAAGGCTGCTGGCAAGGCTGTCGAGAAGGAGGTGAAGAAGTCCTCCAAGAAGGCCAAGAAGGAGCCTACCCCCGAGCCCTCCAGCAGCGAGTCTGAGAGCGAGGACGAGTCCAGCGACTCTGACTCTGAGATCCCTGACGCTCCCGCCGCCGCTGAGGCTGAGTCTTCCGACTCTGACAGCAGTGACAGCGAGAGCGAGGAGGAGAAGCCTGCTGCTAAGACCGCTAAGGTCGCTGCTAAGGCTGAGAGCTCTGACTCCGACTCCGACTCCGAGTCTGACAGCAGCGAGGCTGAGGAGAAGCCCGCAGCCAAGGCTGATGCTGTAAGTGTCCTTCACCCACCTGTCCATTCCACACATGCTAACAATGTACCAGTCCTCTGACTCCGACTCCGAATCTGACGCCGACTCTTCCGACTCCGACTCGTCCGACAGCGACGCCGAGGCTCCTTCCAAGAAGCGCAAGGCCGAGGAGGCTTCTGAGCCTGCTGTCAAGAAGTCCAAGACTGAGGCCGTTGAGAGCGAGGGTATCAAGAACCTCTTCGTCGGCAGCTTGAGCTGGAACATCGATGAGGACTGGCTCTACCGCGAGTTCGAGCAGTTCGGTACCATTACCGGCTGCCGTGTCATCAGCGACCGCGAGACTGGTCGCTCCAAGGGCTTCGGATACGTTGAGTTCGAGTCTGCTGATGCTGCTGCCAAGGCACAGAAGGAGATGATGGGATACGAGCTTGATGGCCGTGCCCTCAACGTCGACTTCTCTACCCCCCGTGAGAAGCCTGCCAACAAGACCTTCGACCGTGCCAACAAGTTCGGCGACAAGCGCTCCGCTCCCAGCAACACCCTCTTCCTTGGTAACCTCTCCTTCGACTGCACCAACGACGCTGTCCAGGAGGCTTTCCAGGAGTACGGAAGCATCTCCCGTGTCTCTCTGCCCACCGACCGTGAGACCGGTGCCCTCAAGGGTTTCGGATACGTCGACTTCTCTTCTACAGAGGAGGCTACCTCCGCTCTCGAGGCTCTTAACGGAGCCGAGATTGCTGGTCGTCCCATCCGTCTCGACTTCGCTGCTGCTCGTGACGACAGCGCCGGCGGTGGCCGTGGTGGCTTCGGCGGTGGCCGTGGCGGTGGCCGCGGTGGTCGCGGTGGATTCGGCGATCGTGGTGGTCGCGGCGGTGGCCGTGGCGGCCGCGGTGGCTTCGGTGACCGTGGCGGCCGTGGTGGTGGTCGTGGTGGCTTCGGCGACCGTGGTGGCCGTGGTGGCCGTGGCGGCGGTTCGTTCAACCGTGGCGGCTTCGGTGACTTCAAGGGCTCCAAGGTCAGCTTCGACTAAGCGTCTTGTCCCTCTGCCTCTGATTTCCCGTAATTGCATTGATCATCTCGCAAGAGTAAGTAATGGGTCGTCGTGTATGATACCACATGCGGCATGAGCTTCATGAACTTGGGCTCCAACTGTCAGTTCTCGATACTACTGTTGGACACGGATTTACTTTTCATCTTATGGGTCGGCGTTATCTGGGTAAAAAGTCTTTCGTTTCATAGCACGAGCAAACCAAGCTGCGTGACAAGGTCGTGTAGATTTACTTACATACCCAACTACAATATCTTCTTATATTCTCCCAACAACTGTGCACATCGCGATGTCGAATTACCTAGACAACATGGTCGATGAAGCGTATCCTAATTCCAGACACCTGATCATGGCTCCAAATCAAGAGCAGAAATCTGATCTTTGATCTTGAATTGTGAACCCTCACGTGTACGGCCAAGCCTTCAAGCCTTGTAGCAAGTTGTGTTATCGATAATGATCGAGCGATGGTGGTGTGACGGCATCGAAGCCTCCGGCCACCAAAATTTACATCGAGCTCGGCGCGACGCTTTTAACATCTCCGAGCAAGAGCAATTGCCTGCAACAACCATTATGCCAAAGCGCAAGAATCAGTCGCCCGCGAACGGCAAGTCGAAAAAGAGAGCCATCTCCGACGACGAGGCGCACAAGAACTTTGATGAGGGTCTGTTCGAGAGCAAAAGGCTCGCCGGCTACACCAAATACTACGCCGAATCGCAACCGTACGTCCACCTGCCTATTTATTCGGCTCATTCTAACGCCGGCGTAGCTATAAGCATGCTGTCATCAACAAACTTGTCGACGATTCGCTCCTCCGCAAAGTACGCGAAGAAATCCGAGAGCACATTTCCTTCACACCCAAGGAGACCGACATTTACAAAATCCACCAATCTGGCGACCTAGCGAACCTCGATGGCCTTGATGACTCGGCGCTCAAGCGATTACCTTCTTTACTCACGCTGCGCGACTCGCTGTACTCATCGGCCTTCCGCAAATACCTCTCCTCGATTACAGGATCTGGGCCATTGAGTGGAAAGAAAACAGACATGGCTGTCAATGTATATACACCAGGATGTCATCTGCTTTGCCATGACGATGTCATTGGTAGCCGGCGTGTAAGCTGGATCCTGTATTTGTTGGACCCGGACAAGACATGGAAGCCAGAGTACGGAGGCGCATTGCGACTGTACCCTACTGAGCACAAGACAACATCCGATGGCTCTGACGTTAAGATTCCGTCACCTGAGTTCTCGCTCGTCATACCCCCCGCCTGGAACCAGCTGTCCTTTTTCACTGTCCAGCCGGGAGAGAGCTTCCACGATGTTGAGGAGGTTTACAGAAGGGGTGCGGACGAGATGAAAGAGGACGACGGTGGCCGTGTACGCATGGCGATCAGTGGTTGGTTCCATATCCCGCAAGAGGGCGAAGAGGGATTCGAGGAGGGCCTCGAGGAGAAGCTGGCCGAGAAGAGTTCACTTGCACAATTGCAGGGTGGTAAGGCAGACGTCTTTGACGAACCACAATCACATTGGGTAGAGAACCCAGATTGGGAGGAGCAAGCCAAGCAAGACGATGATGACGTTGAACTCACAGAGACTGAGATTGACTTCCTCATCAAATACATGAACCCTAACTATCTCACACCTGACACAGTTGAAGAGGTCTCGGAGATGTTCCAGAACGAGTCTTCCCTTCGACTTGCTGGGTTCTTGTCAGCCAAATTTTCAGCACGCCTTCGCGAGTACCTCGAGTCCAAAGATCATGAGGCTAAACCGAGTCTGCCATCGAACCCTACCAACAAGGATGCAAAGGTCGGCATTGCGCGCCCGCCACACAAGCAGCGTTACCTCTATCGCCAGGCTATCCAGCCCCGACCGGTAGAGGGCTACCCGGAGAACGCTGGCTTGACACCCTACGACGAGCTCATTGACGGTCTCTTCCCGCACCCAGCATTCTCAAAATGGATCTCCCTCGTCACAGGCGCTACGCTCACAAAGAGTAATATCATTGCACGCCGATTCCGTCGTGGCCTTGACTACACACTCGCAACTGCTTACGAAGAAGAGGAGCCTCAGCTAGAAGTCACTCTAGGTATTACACCTTCCAAGGGATGGGGTGACGAGGAAGAGGAAGAGGAGGAGGCTGAGGAGGAACCCAAGCAGAACGGTAGCTCGAGCAAGGGCAAGTCCAAAGGCAAGGGCAAGGGCAAGGGCAAGACCAACGGCAAGTCCGAGCCTAAGCAGAAGCAGGAGGAAGAGGAAGTTGGCGGCTACGAAATGTACATGGCTGGCGAAGATGAGGACGATGTGCCCGCTGGTGAGCCCTCGACTAGCACGGGAGCGGGCCAGAGACGCAAGGCGAAGGCTGATCCTGCGATCTACAAGAGCGCTGGTGACGACGAGGACGATGGTATCCTGTTCAGTCAGCCTGCTGCGTGGAATAACCTTGCGATAGTTCTCAGAGACAGGGGAGTATTGAGGTTCACGAAGTACGTCAGTAAGAGTGCAAAGGGCGATAAGTGGGATGTTTGTGCCGAGTATGGCGTGGAGTTTGGGGACGACGATGAAGAGGATGATGAGTAGAGCAAAAGACGACTAGACGAAACGACTACATTACGAGACGCTTTTCTTACACCTCAAAGCCAATTTCTCCTCAACCCACCTTGCCCAATTTCCATTTTCCCCAAGACAAGTAAGGACTAGGGAATTCCTGTGGGTGTGTAGCTTACAGCTCCCACTCGTTCATCCTCTTCGGCTCGAACTTGATCTCCTTATCCAGATCCTCCAAGTAAGTCAACAACTGTTTCTTCTTACTGTTCTTTGAGTTCATCTGCTTGGTGGCATTGTACCACGTGCGCTCATAGTTAATCTCGACCTTGGTGTCAGGCAACACGCACCACTCGGGCAGCCTATCATCGTCATCCCCACCAGGCCTGTACCACCAGTGGCGCGCACTCCCGTCGCTCTCGGTCCGTACCGCGCGCCGCCAGTCTCTAAGCGGGTGCGCCGTCTCCCAGGCCCAATTGTCCCACTTCGTAAGCACCGCGCGCCGGTACTCAACGAGCGGGTGGATGTACTCGTGTGTCTTGAAGCCCGTCGGTGCGTCGCGACGACCTTTGATGTCGGTCCACTCGCCTTCAATCTCCATCTGCTCGTGCCCAGGACGGCGTGGGCGCGGCGGCCCATTCTTCCGCAGTTCACATGGACACCAGGAAACTACATCAAGAAGTGTTAGTGATTTTCGAGACTTCCACTGACAACAAGACGCATTCACATACCCAGACTTGCTTCAACTCGGGCATAGTTTTGCCTTCGTTCGAGCCGCCTTTTTTGAATGAATTCGCATCAATGTACCACAGAGTGGGTCGAAAAGCCGATCGGCGTTCATCCAGAGCTAGAGCATGGTATGCATGACTGACATCTATTTCTGCGTTAACAGTCTGCGACAAAACCAGCTGAATGGGCAGACGTACGGCTTGACAACTTGACGTTGTGAAATCCATACTTCTTTCGCAGACCTCCGAGGTTCTGACCCGCCAAGTCTGGCATGCCCAAGCTACCCACAGTATCCCAGACACCGACGACCTTGATCTGGCGACTGGCATCAGTAGGCGGCTGGTCAATGAAAGTTCCCAAGTTGATGAGCTTCTTCCATTCATCAGACTCGCGGAAGCATTTGCCCGCCTTAGCGTCAATCGCAGCCTGAATACCAATGCTCTTGCCGGTCTTGGGGTCCTTGGTTTCCTCGCTGCCGTACCTCATGTAGGCACGGTAAATCCGTGGAAAGTACTGCATCTCAAGCGGTTTGATAACACCGATGTCTGCGATCAACCCGGATACTGCGCGTGCAGTAAACGCCCCACGTGAAAACCCAAAGCAGAAGATTTCATCGCCCTCTTGGTAGTTCAGGACGATGAAGTTGTATGCCTCAATCACGTTCTCCATGAGACCAGCACCTGTGCCGCCCTGACGAGCGGCCTCCACGCCACTTAGGCTGCCAGTTCCGATGCCACTGTCATAGTACACGAGTTGGTGCCAGTTTCTGGCCTTGTCTGTCTTTTTCTCGCTGTACCGCTTGATGAGGCGGCATAATTTTGTGACGTTCGAGGGGACATTCTCCTTTTCGCTGACACTGGTCTGCCAGGTACCATCGCAACAAATGACGAGGCGTCGGCCCCAGGGCTGATCAGCATCGGCCATGATGATGTCCTAAATTTGGTAGAGGGTAGAAATTGGATGAAAAGAGATAAACTCTAGAAAATGTGTGGGAGAGCGGCTATAAGCTATAACACGGTGCTTATTCACACATATACTTCCACAGCAGAGAGAGAGGGTCGCACGGTGCGGAGTTGGAGAGACGCAGGCTGAAGGAGGAAGCAAATAATTGGTTTCCACGAGCCTTTATGCAACAAGGCATACGCTTGCCTTACCGTTTAAGCCCGCGAATCTGACACCGCGGCCCTCCCAAGCCTCCAAGTCCCCCAAGCTGAGCTCACCGTCCACCCCGGTCACACCGGCGCCGCCTCACAGCCCTCCATCACACATGCACACAGGGCTGAAAGACCGCATCTGCGTGCGTTCACCGTTTTCGCGCTCGCTGGCTTGGCAGCTGTGTTGTTCTCCACGTCTCCAGATTGGGTACCTGCAGTTCTGGACGCGGCTGGGCAGAGACATGCGTCCCGAACCGTTCACGGACGGAGCGGGCTAAGCTGAAGCTTAGCTCTTTCGGGAGATGAGCTGTACGCTAGTGATGAATGGCTGGCGGATACTTCAGCTTGAGGTGAAATGCACTGAGTGTATTGGTCTGCTTTATTGAAAGATCGGTGGGGTAAGTATCAAATGGAGTTCGACGTTTGCAGGTCATCCGCATCCGCTAAGCAGTTCATTCGATTATGCTAGTCAAAAGTAGACGTAGGCAGCAGCTACAACAACACAACGAATAGCATGGCTCGGCACGTGAAGAGATTCATCACAGACTTACGGTACACTGTTGAATCAGATGACTTTATATCACATTATCTGTGTCATAAATTCGACTTGTACTTGACTGCTTGCGAGCATAGTAACTGCCTAAGCGATCCAGAACCAGATCTTCTGCAATACGTTCTTCGGCACAGGCGCCCCAGAGATATCGTTCGCACACAGCTCGTCCATCTCTCTCTTGCCGCTTATAACATCAATGTTTTGGACTTTGATGTAAAAAGCCGTTCGGTACCATATCTTGTGACCAAAGTACAGGGCGAGGAAAATAGGAAGTGTGATGTATGCTGCCAGGAAATCAGAAACGTTCCATCTTGCGTTTGTGAAGACGCCAAAGCCGTTGGTGATGGTCAGAAGCGTAACGACGCAGAGTACTACCCAGACAAAGTAAGGCTGGAATTTCGTGCGGTAGGGCAGCTGGTCAAGCATGTTGTTATAAATCATGGCTTTGCGGAAGCGGATGTAGGTGATCATAACAACGATCCAAGCAATAAATCCAGAAATGGTGGAGATGTTGGAGAACCAAGTGAACACCTGGGCACCGGTGCTGGAAACGTTGAGGTACGCAAGGAAACCGATGGACCAGGTCGCAAGGACTGCGACCCAAGGCACACCATTCTTGTTCGTCTTGCCGAAGAATTTTGGAGCGTCACCATTCAACGCCATACCGTATAGTACACGAGAGCCAGAGAAGAGAAAAGCGTTTCCAGCTGACCAAGCGGATGTCAGCACTGCGGCATTGATGGCATGGTTCAAGCCACCAATCCCAGCCCTCTGAATACCGATGACGAACGGCGATGCAGAAGCATTCGAGTTCGGGCTGAGGAGCTGCTCATTGTCCGAAGGAACGATGACACCAATGATGAAGGATCCGAATCCGTAAAAAATGGCCAAACGATAGATGAAACGACCGGCTGCCTTCGGGATATTGCGTCGAGGTGCGATGGTCTCTCCAGCGCTGAGTGCAATGAGTTCAGGAGAAGTGATGAAGGCAAATCCAGCGCGGACAAACGCGGTCCAGAATGCCAGAAAATTGCCAGCATGCCCTTCAACAAGATACGGCTTAAACGCTCCAGGATTGTTCCAGTATCTGAAGCCAAGGCGGCCTTGACCATTGGGACTTCCACCCAGCATGATCGTAAAACCAACGATGATCAGACCTATAATTGTAATGAACTTGATAGAAGCGAACCAAAACTCAGCCTCACCAAAGATGCCAACAGCAACGATGTTCAAAAACAAGACGAGGACGAGGAAGATAGTGATCCAGACTGCGCTGTGAACAGGCGTCTCCCAGTAATCCAAAAGAATAGCGCCGGCAGTCGCTTCAGCTGCGATCAAAATGCTGTACGCGTACCAATAGTTCCAGCCGGCGGCGAAGGCCAACGAGGGGTCTACGAAGCGCTTGACGAAGTAGGGGATGGTGATACCCTTCATGGGCAGATAAGTTACGATTTCAGCCAAGTTGTTCATGACATTCCAGACGACGATCATCATAGATAAGTAAGCCATGAACAGCGGCGCGGGGCCGACCAGGGCAAGGATCGCACCGGATCCGACGAAGAGACCTGTACCGATGGCACCTCCAAGGGCTCTGTATGCGCGTTAGTCACTTCACTGAGCGCGTTTGACACTGGGATATCGTACAAGAACTGGATGTGTCGACTCTTCAGTCCACGGTGTGTGTCGCCTCCTCGTCCGGTAGCTTCTCCGATCGTAGCAGCGCCGTGCACAAAAGGCCCTTCAGTGGTCGTTGTCTGCTTGTCATAGCCATACTGAGCATGACTGTATCCCTTCTCGGCCTCTCCAGCACCAATAACATGACGATTGGGCATACTGAGGATGGACTGTGGCAAACTGCGTAGCTATGCCAAGGTGAGGGAGTCTGGAGGTAAGAAACTCAGGATCCCCAATCCGGTCTGCACACTCTCACAAGCAGCGGCGATCCAAATACTCTTATAGCATCACCCATCGTCGCGCCAGGGCGCTCAAGCAGAGATTTTCAAGTAACTTTCCCGGTGCGTCAGACGCTGATATGCCAACATCTTGGCTCCTACGCATCCCACACCTCGAACCGGTAAAGGCAGGTCGCTTCGATTGCAACCGCGGCAGGGATGCAACAACCCTGCGCTCAGAATCCCCAGACTGTAGCCAATTACTGTTACGTACAACCCCAGATCTTGCGGCAAAACATGCCTGATGGTCTGAGTTGAAAGTCGCGACTTCTGCGCTGGTGTGAAGGCACCTCTAAGGCCGAGTTTATGCGGGCAACGGTCGCGCGCGAACGGTCGTCGGGAGGCGCTAAGTGATCAGTGCGCTCCCCCGGGACTCGGTTTTTGTCGGAGTGAACCTGTGAGGCTCAACCCACATAGCTGGAAATGTCGTTCGAGAAGCCTGCTAGCGTTTGACCAGGCGTTCGCAAATCCAAATGGTGGGTTATGGGGTCAAATTCTGAGCGTGCTCGTGGGTCATGGGAAACGCGGGGAATGACGCTGATCCGCGGTGGTTGGCTGGCCATGCGAGCCTCGAGCGTACGCAGCAAAATCGAAGGAAGCAACCTCAAAGGATTTGAAGAGTTCTCCGATTGGTATCAAATATCTGCAAAGACATGCTCAAGCTCACAAGCCTATCTTGGCTTATCAGTGGAGGCTCTAATCTGATTGGAGATACCCAGCACAGTAGACGCGATGCAATGTACGGCGTCCAGCGCGGAATGGTCGCGGACGCCGGGGAATACTACTCTGCCTGGGTTCAGTACCGGTACAAGACTCTTGGTCTGATTAAGCCAAGTTTCGGCCGCAGCACTGGATAGGTACCTAGGTCGAGATGCGCACGCGACGCAAATGTCAGACGTCACAATGCATGGTCAGCTCGACTTTAATATGTATCAACTGTTCAGAGCATCAAAACTTTTGCGAAGCTTCTCTAAGAAAGTCCAGGCATTGTGACATGTCAAACCACTAAGTCGCCATCGACACCCATACGATACGTAGACACGTAGACAAAGTCGATATCCACAAAAGGCTCCTATCTTCGATATGTCTACCTAACTGCCACATGTAAACTCATCGCGCAACCCAGCACCTCTTGGTATCATTGCACCAAGATCCTCTGTACTCCTGTTATACAATGCCAGAAACCAGTGCGTAGTGCGACTGATCAGGACACAAACGACCCAGGTCCACTGCGCCATTGCCATGGCGATGAGACGCGGTGTAGTGAGGTGGCTGGCACAGCATCGCTGACTGAGGCTATGTTCAGCATGGGTGTGTTGGAGCTTACTGTTGCGCAACCAGCTTAACTGATTGGACAGCCATCGCTGTAAACGCAGTCAGTATCCTCAAGAGCTAGTCAGTCAACTCTTCCGAGCGGAAAGACTCAAAGGATAAGATTTCCGTGAAAAGCTACGCGACAAGATCGGATAGCAAGGCGTGCTGCTGAATGAAGTAGTTCAGGAGGAACGTGTTGCGTTGTGCTCAAGTCGTACTACCACGTGGCCTTGGAAGGCTCCCGGGAGGGCTTCGCGGTGGAGTTGGTCTGCTGAAGTTGAGTTCAAGACCTGGGCTGGCTGCCGGCAATGGTACTGACAACAGCATATCAGAACCAGATGAAGGATGTAGGGTCGAAGTATCGCCTGAATTGGAACGAAGATGCGGTGAAGCTCGTGGAGCAACGCGAGGCGTAGTGGCCGGACTCGGACCATTGCTTTCGATTTGCAGTTCCTCTGTCGAAGGATCCGTTGAGTGGCCTTGTGTGATCTTCTTTTGTTGCATATCTAACACAAAGGACTCGGCGGCCAGTGTGTTGCCCGATTTCCTATGGAAATGTCGTCCGAATCGGTTTTCGCGATCCTCATCCTTCTCCTCCCAAAAGCTCTCCCATCCAGCGAAGATTGGCAGGGCCAGTAACAGGACGGGGAGAAACTGTCCAAAGTTCCATTTGCTCTCGTCTCCATCGATCTCAACTCCTGCCGGCGGCTTGCCCAAGGCTTGAGTGTACTGAAGTCCGTCGCCGGCCATGTAGATACCGTAGATAGAATAGGCTGGAGCGACAATCCACGTGCGGAATATTGCGCCCAGATACCAGATCCACCACCACCATGCGCCTTTCTTATTCGGATCGGGGTCTTTCAGCCAATACATGGCGGCTATCACAGTGACATGACCACCAATTGCGCCAATCAGAAGCGCAGCCCATTTACCGCCAAACGCGGCTTTGAAGGGCGGGCGCTCTCCCTTGAAGAAGCATGCCAGATCGTCTGATAAGTCGAGGTGAACGATATCATACGAGTACGACACGAACGATGTATATCCCAAGAGACCAAGGTTTCCCAGCATAAAGAAGATGCGCGGCAGGTTGATCCACTTGTTTTTGACGAAGTAGTTGCGCAGCGCCACCACGGTGAGAAGGTGCGTCACAGTTGTGAGGAACGCGAGATCGGTAACGATACGGAAGTGGTAGACGGACATGGAGCAGTGCTTGATCAGCGCGGTGAACTGGATGGCCAGGCCTGTGAGTAGTTGTGTATCTGAGAAGGCAAGCAAATTCTTGCTCAGAACACGCGACCAGAATGCGACCGAGCGCCAGTACTTTGTGCTATCATCGTGGTTCTGTTCGTACGCTGTTTTTCGGTTTGTGAAAGTCCTCCGGTAGAAGTTGACGATGTCGTTGAAGCGGTCTAAAAACAGTACTGTGAACGCGATCAAGAATGCGAGACATGTCGAGGATAGGAAGCCGACAATGATCTGGAAATTGTCAGCGTATGCCATCTCAGAGCTAGGGAGAGGTCTGTACTCCAATGCCTGCGACATCTGGATCTGCAAGAACCCGTGTTTTATTCTCGCTACAGTTGACTGAAGAGTCTGCGCAGTCAAACAGCCGCCAGCCCATGGTTGGGTATCATGCGAAAACAATCAGATACGTAACGTGGAGTCTTATTGAAGCCAGTGTTTGCTTATTTGGTCTCTGAACAGGTAAAAGAATCAGCAAGCTACGCAGAAACCGATGGCAGGTGTCTGCTCGTTTGTCTTTATGTGGAAGTTGCACGTCTCAGCTCGCCCCCACACCGACAAGGCTGGGGCTGCGTCAGGCGGTCGCGTTGCAGCATGTCAGCCTTGGTGTTAGGTTTGAGCCTCAGAACCGGGCTGTGTCGGGCGGACGTCACTCCGCAGATTCGCGATTTAGGCACCCTCCTTAGCCAAAAAGGAAGATCTGCACTGCGGTGCGTGAACAGTTCGCAACAAAGTTAGAAACAAAAGCCAGGGTACTGGGACTGAACAGATGCATTCGACCGAGAACTAGGATCTCATTGGCAAATGCGTGGGGCTGAGCCTTGCAGGTGTAACAAATTCGGCATTTTGCCACTGTTAGTAGGCTATGTACCGCGCTCAGTACTCGATTTAGCTTAGTACACAATGATCGCTTTTGTACACAGTAATCCTGACCATAAGAACTCAACACCATGACATTTCCTTGATAATGTGCTTGCAGAGGGAGGTAGGCATTGGCGCCATGACTGGCTAATTCCCAGATAGAAAATTTAATTATGGCTACCTAGGTACTTGAAATAGTTGTCTCATATCTTGGAGACTTTGAGAAGCACTCAAGATTGACTGCTGAACTCAGCACACGGGTATAACTTGATGAGCTATCCGGAAGAAGCGCAGGTTACGTTGGTATCTCGTAGGTTATAGTAAGGTATCAAGGTTATATGATCGTCTGATCTATAGTAGACCACTATCAGTTAGATAGCTCTGGTCGCCTACATCGAGCAGTGCACCCAATCTCTGTCACCTGGGCCTCTTGGTCCATCAGCCTGCTGTAAATCTGTCTTGATTTTTCCAAGGATCTTCCCTCCTGCCCAAACGATTTTCACCCAATCCCAATCCCAAGTACTGAGGTTACTACCGCCGAAGTATGTGCCGCCGTTTAGATCACATGTGTAAGAGTCTCCCATGCGCCCTCTGAAAGTCGCCCATACCTGATCATTGACTGGCTTGCCTTCTCGATCAAGACCGAGCTGAGTGAACTCCGCTGGTGTCTGCCAGGGTTTCCACCAAATTGAGCCGTCTCCGTAGCTTCCGCCCAAGAAGTTGCCAATCATGGCGACACCGGTGATATTGTCTTCGTATGGATGATCACCCTCTATCTTCAAGTTCCAGCAACTGTGGTTGTTCAATGCGGCACTGACGATCGCGTGCTTCCCAGTGTCCGTAGGGTCCGAGGTGTCCCAATCGCAATCGCCTGGAGCATAGTCTCTCTTGTTCCCATGTGCTTCGAACTGACAACTAACAACATCACCAACATTGATCTTCGAGATCGTCATCATAAAACGTTCCAGGTCTCCAGGATGTTCCCCAACAGTCCACAGCTGACAGTTGAAATCTGTACCTGCACGCTCGCCTCTGACAGTCTGACCATGCTGGCCGGCGTAGAGGAATATGTAGTGAATGTACCAGTTTGAATCGTCTTCTTGGACCGCATAGTAAATAGCTGTGGCCGCAGGCTGATTGTCTGCCCGCCATCTGTCATCGTTGATATCGATCCACCAGTCCGGGTCATCTGCACAATTGACCAAATCCTGTTGCGTCGGATTTGCTTTATCTGGTGAAGGGGTGATCTTCGCACCCGTACAGGAACTGACCCAGATCTGCTTAGCGGAACTTGTTCCGGAGAACGCCATGTAGGTTCGATCTTTGAAGGGGAACATAGCTGGCCAGGATCGCGCTCGCTGATCCGCGATTTGGAAAAATTGCCAGTTGACACCGTCGGTGGAAGTGCTTGCATACATGTCTGCTGAGTGGTTGCCACTGTACGCCATGATTGCGGTGCCATTGTATGTTGTCAAGCCCACCTGATGAGCTTGCTGGCCGTCGATCCATTTTGGATCGCTCCAACCCTTGCTAGTCGTGTAGCGAGTCTGCAAGAGTTGATTGTCGTCGCCCCTATCGTTGGAAGGATATACCATCAGCAATTGATCACCATCCGGCCCAGGAACGACTGTGATAGCAGGGATGTCGCTGCCTTGACCATCGATCTCCTTGAGGTTGTACCAGTCCCAGCCATTATCTGATTGACTTTGGTACAACTGAGAGCTATGAGCGGCAGAATAGCAAATGAATAGGTGATCCTCGAAGACTGTCAAAGCAGGAACGCTAGTCCTCTGATCAGCAATCTCCCTTGGGCCTTCCCAATGTTTGCCGTCGGCGGTGCAGGTGACATAGAGCTGTATTTCACGTAAGCTTTCCAAGAACAAGATAGCGAAAGATCAGTTGTTTTCGCATACTTGCGAAGAGTGGTGACCAGTATAGACCATCCAAAGTTTGCCTTTGTAGGCAGTTACTGCTGGTATACCTGTCTGCTGGCCGATCCTCTTTGCTTCGGTCCAATTTTGACCGTCTGCGCTCTTAGTCACGTAGATCTCCATGTCGTCATCAGTATAAAGCATGTAGATAACATCATCCAACACAGCCACTGCTGGTACGCCAGTGGACTGGTTAGGGACCATCTCTGCCGGTCGCCATACGCGCTTCTTCAGAGTAGCTCCCAGTAGCAGAAACTCGATATTGGCAGGGAAGTTGCGCTCATCGCCGTGGAATTTGACTGTAGGTGCGTATTTCGTAACGTAATCTGACGGGAGTGTGGAATGTGGAACGGTGGACATTGTGTCTTCTTAGACAGGAGTATTTCGGGTGAAACGATGCTATAAGTTTTTGTGTTTCGAGTGGTATGATGTTCTAAGCTTTGCAGCCACAGCGGATGCCCAACTTTATACCTTCTGTTACTGATCTGGGCCACCATAGATCTACCTGGACAGCATACACGTGCAAGTATGCTCCGCAGAACTCCTATACGCCTCGATTCCTGTAGTGCTGACGGCGCCTGGCGAGTGGTATCAATGCAGTATGGCTATGGCTCCGAGGAGAGCATTCACCACTGCTCCACTCAGCTCCCTAAAGCCATGTGGAGATCATAACAGCTGAAGCTACCCCAGCAATATGGTACACACCCATCATCTTCGGCCCGCTCATGCAAGCCGCGCGTACCTATTCCGACCAGAGCATGAGCCAGGGAGCGAAGGACTGGCCGGTGAATGATCCACGGCTCAAAAGAGCGCTAGGTTGTTTACGAAGCTCATCTCCCCAGTCAGCTGCCTCATCCCTTCAGCACCGCATGCCGGGGAACACAAATGATTAATTCGTATCAACTCTGGATGCAACTTTCCAGGAGCGCAAAACACTCAAACCTGCCATCAGCATGGGATCGAATTAGGCTTGAGCATCGCGTTGGCGGGAGATGTGGACGAGCAAGGCTTGACCGTTTGCCGAGAGACGAATCAGCTGGCCCGGGGAATGGTCACCACTAAGACGCGCTAAGAGATGCAAAGGTTCGTCTGCATCTGCCTCTACGAGTGCATGGTCGCAGACAACTCTTGCTACTTCCTCAAAGCTGAAATAGTTCTCGGTCAGCTCAGAAAGCCACGCTGAACTACTTTGTTGACATTCCTGCAGAAGCTTCAGTCATACATCTTGATTGTTAGAATATACCCACAGCTACAGCAACTTTGTTGCTAGTGCGTCCTGGTGTTCTACATCGTGTAGCGGGGTTTTCAATATTGAGTAGGGCGTATGGTCTCTACCTAGATACGCCACAGCTGCTGTGGCGTCTTCTGCTAGAGCTGAAGCCCCAAGACTTGCACAGCCGCAGATGATGGGCAAAGCTTATTGACACCCGATGCAGGTAGGTGCCAGCTGTGACAGGATCAAGCGAAAGCTTGTCAGCCAGTTTTTGAGCTATGAGATGTTGCTGCTGTACTTTGTGAGTAGTTATCGCTTACAGGGAGGCATAACAGGTCTTACTTAGGCATCAGCTCCCATCTTGCTTGATGCTTGTGACCGCATCCCCAGGCTTTGCTCAATGTCCTGCATGTTGTTCACCGCCGCAGGACGACCCAGCTACAGCTGAGACGGCCGCGTCGTAACCACACAGCCCTATGGTGTGCTTGGGAAAGGAACGGCTGGATGCTAAATGTACCTGACTCGTCATGCCCAAGCAGCCTCAACGTGTGTTGATTGTCGAAGACGTTGAGCTAGTGGTCGTTCGTAGCGCTGCTTATCGTACATGTTGCTTGACCGGTTCTGCCGCCTCGATAAGATTGCTGCCCTCAGCCGCGGCCTCTGGATGCACTAGCAACGGGTGCTTGTGGTAGAAGTGGTCTGCTGCAGTCGTATAGCCTTGCTTTCATATGGCTTTGCTCTTGCTTTCTACCAAGAAGACGGCTGAGCAGTCTTTCTTCGTATCGCTGCGCGTGCACGGTGACCGTCTTGCAGGGCAGCTCTCTCCATAACTACCAAGCTCTCCATCCTGAGAAACAAAGTGGTCGACCTGCGACGTCTCCATTATGCTTAGATAGACGATGAGGAATTTCGCGACTTCATTGGAGTGAACTAGATAGCCGGTGGCCACTGATGCTTAGCACAGCTTTCCTATAATCGTTTAAGTGTAATATGCACTGTAATAATATATCGTTCTACTTAGGTGTTTCTTTCGTGTTATGTCAACATTACAGCCATTATCTAGGCCCAACGCTTCTGTTGAAGACTGCGTCTTCCTTTCTCTCCCTTCCAGATATTATGTAGCAATAGGATGAATGTATCCAGAAAGCGGAAATCATTATAGGACAAAGCTATGTCGAAGTGGTATGGTGCGGGGACGTCTATCGTAAACCCAAAGTGCGCCGAGGCATGCATGCATGAAAGAGTGGGTGAGGCCGTCGTGTCTAATCGTAGCCCAAGAAGGGCGATGTTCGATTCTCCGTTAGTTTTGCTCGTTACTTAACGATCAATCGGTACGGCCCTTCTCAGGGTGGGTACCATTGACGACACCATTAGATTTGGCGTTCATCTCCCTTGTCTGTTTGGGGATGGTCAAGCAGTTGATGCCGAGGTATTCGCAAATGCTGGTGATGACCAGGTGAGCCCATCGGCCGTACACAACAGCTGCAAAGACGAAGTACGCGCGGAGGTACCACAGTTCTGTGGCCGCAGATAGGGGCCCGAAGGTTGTACCAGGAATCGTGAAGTATGGGTGGTTAACGAGTAGAGCGCCTCCAATCATGGGCGCGAGCATGATTGTCCAGTATGGGAATGGCTGGTGGGTAAGATGAGCCAGGATGATCTTAGTTGTCATGCGCCCAAAGACCAGGGACATGGTCAAGCAATACAACACCAGGTGGTTCTCTTCGAGCAGGTGGGAGTATGGGGATCCGAGCCAGGCAATGGTGCATACAGTGAAGATGACCAGCGGAGTCCACTCGTAGATGGTCGGAAGGAAAGGCTGATTTCTGGATCGGCGTGCCTTTGCAACATTTACCAGACAGGCTGGCACGTGGGCAACGAAGAACGTGAAAAGGATGATAGGAACCCAGAGCTCCTTCAGGGTAACGTCGCCGATCTCTGCTTTGTAGGACGGGAAGTAGTGCGCCAGAGGAGTCGACCAAATCTCAGGGCCGAAATAGCCGGACATGCAGATGAAGGTGCATGCAAGGATTAGTCCCTCTGCTGTGCGTCAGTGTTTGTAAGGAAATAGACCGGATAGGCGGCAAACCTGTAGGGCCGTTGAAATAGCCAAGATACAGCGTGTGTGTGTGATATGTCTCCCAAGTGGAGAGGAACATAGGCAGCACCGGCACAAGGGCAGTAAAGGCGCCAATCTTGGTGGAGCCGTACCCAACAGCGGCAGTCTCGAGAAGGCTAGCAAGAGTGCAGTTCAGAGAGTCTATCCCATGGCTGTGGCGGGGTCAGTCGGGGCTTTGGCGCATGAGGCTTAGGTCACGTACTCGAAAAGCTCTCCGAGCGGGCTTGAGGTTCCAGTGCGGCGCGCTTGTTTGCCGTCGACATTGTCCATAGTCGAGTACATCCACATACCAAACGCGAAACTGTAGTATACCCATGATGGTGCCTGTCGTTCGTGAGCTTACTGTCGCATCGCAGAAAATCATGGGGCGGACTCACCGGTCCGACCAGATCCGGGATGTACAGCTCCAACAACGCGATATTCCCAATAATGAAGAAGAAGCCTAGCAAAGTGACAAGGTTTGGCGCAATCCACATGGGAAGCAGCTCCACGAAGCCATTCCACTGCTTTATGTCAGGTCGTGCGCAATCGGAGCGATCGCGACAGGGGCCGTACGTAGTGTTTAAGGATGTAGCGGGAGATGAAGGATTTGTCCACGCTCGAGTATTTGTACGTCTTGAGGTGCTGCAGCGCATCCTCGGAGACACATTCGTGCCTTGCAGTTTCTAAGTACAGTTGTTAGCAGACAATTCCGTTTACGAGCGCACGCGCGTCAGGGAGGTCGCACCTTTGCTCGGCGGCATCTTTGGACTGGTGACTGGGGGAGGAAGCGACATGAGTGTTTGGAGGGGACGGAGAATTATATATAAATGCGAATTCAGGCCATGCACATGCGGGGAATCGTGCAGGAGAAACAGCTCTTGCGGTGTGGAGTGGCAGATTATTGGGACCGCGCAGCCATCGCCATCAAACTTGTAAGGGACCTGCCGCTTCTAAGGCGCCGCAGGGATCAATTGTGGCGCTGCGCGTCATTGGCGCACCAGCCGTTTTAGCACGTGAAGATGCACCAGGCCTGTTCCTGCCATACATCGTACCTTTTGGCTGATCCTCCAGATATTGCACGACGATCAAACACCAGCGAGATCGACCCTAGATCCTCCAATACGTCGTCTCAGACTCGCACCCTTGAGTCCTCTCACTCTGCAGCGACCTGCACAACCTTTTGTTTTGACGGTGCGGCACTGTGCGCAGCCTTAGCGAATCGGGTCGGGCGACGCCTCCCTGTTCTCCCCTGTACAACGGTCTGAAATGATCCACCAGGGCTGCGCGCGAAGCCACACTCACCGGCTTCTTCTCCGAAAGGTCCAATCTAGTAGACACATATGTCGGGATTCGAGTTGCACGGGGACACGCTGCGTCCACGAGTTACAGGAACAGCTTGCCTGTTGGGTGTCTAGGCACAGAATGAAAAGGTAGTTGAAGATTGGAGCTTGAGCTTAGAGTAGTCGTGACATGGCAAAGCGTCGTAAAAGGTGGCCTCGAAGGTAATGTGCAGGTCCAGAACGAGCTGCTCAGTTCACCGCAGATTTAGTCCCACGGAGATTCTTCCATCAACTCAAACGCCGGGTTAGCCCACTTCTGCATCCATCTGGACTCCGAACCTGTTACGCTGAAAGTCGATCGTTGGGCCGGAACGTCAACATCGACCTCATGAGTGCAAGGGAGGCTTGCTTTTCTTCTTCCTCCATCTCTGCCATTCCAGATTGTTTTCGTGAGCCCTGTATTGAATACTCCAACCGATCTTCCAATGGCTGGTGCGGCGATTACCGAATTTCAGCAAGGAAGGAAACTTGCGATGTTGATTGTAAGAGGAGCTCTGGAGATCGTGAAACCCCAATTACTGGTTGGAAGGACTCGCTAAAGTGACTTGAAAAGACACGTGAATCGGCGAGCGAGATGGCGTCGCTGGCATCTCCAAACCAGATCGGTACAACACCACAAGGTGGCGCCCAGGGATCAGGGGCTGTCCATTCAGCCGTCTCATGTGCTCGAGCTCGGGCTCTCCATACTTCTGATAAAGCTGGGCTGGGTGAGTATTGTCAACGGAACTGGGGAGGCGAAGCGTAGTATTGGTTTCGTGAAGATTTGAAGATCTGATCAGCAGGGCGTGGCGAGATTTTATCTCATCTAGTCCGGTCACCTACCTGCGTGGATGATGCCTCGAAAGTGTGAGAAAGCAAAGGCTTTGATAAGCTTAGCAGCAATGGCGCGAGCTACCATGGGTTGTAACAGCCGGCTACTGGATGCCTCTCGCGCTTCTGCAACACTCACTCTTGCTGGTGTGGTAACATTGACCAGCGGCTGCAAGCTCTGATCACTGTTGGCACTGGCGTACTTATACGGTCAGCGTCTTCGCCTGCAACAATTGTGGTGGCGCCATAATTGTTGTTCAAGTTGAAGAGATAACCCTCTTGGAAGCGGCCTTGCGTGGTACGATCAGCAATACATTTCAGATCTGCAACAGCCCTTGTCCTGTAATACGATTTGTACATGTACTGGAGTAGAGTAATGGTGTTCTACGTTGAAAGGGCGACACAAGTAGAGAATATCTACCTAAAAAGGTAGACGAGCCAATCTTTCGAGCTAAGTACAGTGGACTATTCTGATCGGTACTACTTACGTCTAAGAACCTTCGTTTACAGTTGGCCGAAAAAAGAGACGAGTTTTGTCACAGCCTGGTCCACGTATTCAGGCTTGTCGTAGAGCGCAATATGCGTTGCTCCTTCAACGACAAACAATTCCTTGGGCCCTCCGGACAGACCATAAACCTCGTCACTGTAGATCTTCGTGTCCGCGTTGCTGCCAGCAATCAAGAGCAGGGGTTGTGTCAAAAGAGTCGGAATCAGAGGGTAGGTCGAAAAGGCGAACATCTTGTCCATGCTGGTCATCAAGAAGCGGCCTACAGAGTTCGGGTGCTGACCGCGCGGCGTCTTGTAGTAGTCGTAGCCCTCGCGGAGCATGTTCGGCGTCTGTTCGTTGATGTCTTCCAGCTTCTCGGGAACAAAGGGAATGTAGATCGGGGCCGCTCCATTGGCCTCTGCCGTTCGCTGTGCTGCAGCTGCCTCGAGCGACTTGATTTGCTCGGCAGGAGGGATGTCTGCTCCAAAGAATCGCCTGGCTGCTTCACCCATTGGTGTAGCACTCACGCCGGCGACGGCCTTGAACCGGCGTTCGGTCTGAGCCACGGCAAGCGCGTAGCCGCCACCAGCACAAATGCCGAAGACGCCCATGCGATCGGTATCGACGAAGGTTTGGGTGGATAGGAAGTCTGCAGCACAGCGGGCGTCTTCCACTCTGGTCGTGGGGTCCTCTAAGAGACGGGGTTCTCCTCCGCTCGCGCCTTGATAGGTGGAGTCGTATACGAATGTCACGAAGCCATGCTCGGAAAGACGCTGTGCGTAAAGACCGATGGTTTGCTCTTTCACACCTCCTGCAGGGTGAACGCCCACCAAAGCAGGGTATGTCTGATCTTCCTGGAAACCTTTTGGGAGATAGAGGTGCGCAGCAAGCTTCACACCTCGGTTCTCGAAGGTGACGTCTTTCTTCGTGGGGTGCATGATGATTGCCTGTGAACAGTACGTGATGTTGCTTTGGTTTAGGATTTGGGTTTGGATGAAGACAGTGAAGTAGATGTGTGAAGCAGATGTGTGCAGATACCTGGATATATACGGGAGGCAGTGGATTTATAGCAAGTCGGACGTCCATTCGCTCAACCAAACGAAGAAGGTCCGTCTACGATGGACTGAGTTAATCTCAATAATGCTTGCAAGTGGTGTTGTTGCAGTCGAGACCAGATATACGAAACTAGGTTAGACTCGAACGCTCGGTTCTACCACGGTCTCTCGCTGCATTAACTATAATCGGAGGCGCAGCCATCCGATTCATGGTCTTGGGTGGTTTTGTCCACTCGTATTGGTTATAGTCTGCCATCAAAGCTCGCCTAAAGTCCGAGAAGCATTACAATTGGTCTTTCCTCGCGAAGGACAGCCCCGCAAACAGCAACTTTGGCACTACGTACCGGGCAGGACGCCGGCGCGGCATACATACATCAGGTCAGAACGACTAGGAGCAAAGTGCAGTTATTTTGGATCGGCCAACGTTGGCTACAAGGGACCCTAGAAGGCCTTTCTTGTTGAACAATCGCCGATCGCTGGTAGGAACATTATCCAAACTTGCCCTGTTGTGCACAACAGCAAGAGCAGATATATAATATATGCTAGAAATACCAGTAACGCCTTTGCTGCGTGTCTATGCAGCTATAGATACTTGGTCAAAGTACTAAGTCATATGAAGAAGAACCAGAAATCTTTCCATTTTTTTCGTCATAATCCTTTAAGGAGGAGGACATCCCTGAGTCCATGGTTGAGGGCCAAATCAGGTCTACCACAAGTAACGACTACATTACAGGCTGTCATATCTAAGTACACTATCAACAGCATGATTTTTGTACCCTACGATTTTAACACTTAACTCCGCAGTAGTATCAAGTTTGAGACTGCCTTACGAGCACAGACAGGTGGACGGACATACCCCACGTTGTGTAAAGCCAGGACCGGGGGACATCGATCAGCTGATCAATGTGTAAGAATACGTGATATGTTTCACCTATTGAGCTATCCTGCTCTAAGTTGATGTAGATACCTTGATCTGCTCATGCAGTAGTCTCTGTTCGTCCCACTACAACTTGTGGAGCGGTGGCACCACCCAGATCGGCTTACTTTCCCACGCCTTTTTGTCCTCCTGTATACAAAGTTTCTGCTTACCATTGTCGTCTTGATAGCATTTGTGACACTTTGCTGACTGATCGTTATACGTAAGGTAAAGCTCATAACCATCAGTGATCAAATCGCCAAGACTCCCAGCCTTCGAACTCACCCCTCTCCACCAGACCGGGGTTGGTGAATCGATCTCCCCAATGCATTGAAGTCGGCTCGTCCTGTTCTTGTCGCCCGATCTGGTGAAAGAGATCAAGAAGCTCAGGGTCGGGGCGCCACTCTCCCACATACCACCACATCTGAGGGAAAGCGGCAAAATTTTCGCCTACGACTTCCGTGAAGGCTCGCATTCCTGGCTTCGCGTACGCCAATCCCCATGCTAGCTCGCAATTTGTAGCATGGGCTACTTCTTTACAGTCGAAGCCGGCGTACTGTTCCACATGCTCTGGGTCGAACGTTAAAGGTGCCCACAACGCAGCTTCCCTGAGCGAAGGCATTAGTGCTGCAGCCTTAGCGAACGCTGTAAGAAACGGAACCAGCGTTTTGTTGGTGGGCTTGACACGGTATTGAGCAAAGACACGATGAGCATCCCAGTCAACCTCCCAGTCAAAGCTTCCATCCGCGATCTCGTCTTCTTCTGTGGTTTCTAATGGCGGATATGATGAATCATCAATCTCAACCCCTTCGTTCGCTCCCACGTCGTGCGGCCCTTCGAAGTACCAAGCACCCGAAGGAGAGACCGCGTGGAACATGACGCTCAGACTCTCAAGATTCGGCCATGAGGGTGTGCTTCCGTCAGCAGGCCAGAACAAAGTCTCGTCAGTCACTACTCTCAACTTCATTGTTCGGAGTTGATAGGATAGCAGACGGAGACTCGAGCTGAAAGGGTCGTACATTGCCGGTTTGACAAGATTAGGCATTGGTAGACGCTGGTCAACCCAATCAGCTTTATAGATTGGATATATGAAGTCCAGATTTACGTGGCTCAAAGTAGGAAGCTGGATGACTTGAGTTGCTTTTGCAAAATTGTGGCGGGAGTCACGACGGGGGCCTGGCCAGTCTTGGACAGTGTACATCGCGTCATCCAAATCGAGAGCGGCCATCCATTCGTCGCCGCCGACGTTGCACTTCAATACCTGGAGGTTTGGCAATCTAGCAGCAATATCGAGGATCATACGGAGATCTGGTTTACGGAACGGAGGATCCGGCACATCGTGCCACTCGAAATCGGTTCCATTTCGGATGACCAGGGAGCGGATGCACGCAATCTGCGGAAGTGTCTCAGGCGAGATTATGTGTATGCGCCAGCTGGTGAATACGCGATGGAGGCAAAACTCGCTTTCGTCCACAGCTCGTGTTGGACTGTGTATCTCGAGCTCGAGACCCCTGTGTCCATCTAGGAACCCCGCCTGCTCAACTTCGTGTAACATCGTGAAGAAAGAACGGATTTGGCGCGTGAACTCTTCGTCCATCTCTCGAAGTTCGTCAATGGTGTCGCGACACGGATTATCTTCGAAAGCCTCTCTGTTTCTCTTGTAGGTGTCCATATCGAGTGCAGGCAGGCTAGGCCAAAACTTGATGTTACGCAGATGCTGCACGAGGCGTCCACGACAGAAATTGACGAAATCGCCATTATTGTCTTCGGAGATAGTGTAAGTGGAAAATGCCTCGGAGTACTGTTCAGCTACACGCTGGAATTTAGTAGTCAATAACAGTGTGTTTTTGAGATCATTGCGCCCAAGATAGCTGCTGATATGGTCGACTAGTTCTTGAGGGAGGCTGTCCATGCCGTAGAGGATTACAATTCTTTAACGAATAATGCCTATTCAGACTCTAAGGGGCGGACAAAGAGCCTTCGTCAAGATATATCGCAGACTCGAGGTGGTCTCGCGGAGGAGTGAGCGTGATCGTGTTGAAGGGCGAGGAAGAAGAGACCTCTTACACGCAGTACTTAGGCAGTAGCAGCGAGCAACCATTCTGGTTTAGCGCCGGAATCTTTATATTCCCGGACGGGCTCGTGTGCTTGCTGGCTGACAGTGATGTGTTGAGGCATTCTACCCTCTAACCTCTCTGCCTTTTGCTCCGTCGTGTGATCCGCTCCTCAACTTCAAGAATCTGATGCTCGTTCTCCTCTGGTTCCTTCTTTATGCGCTTACGTTTGACAGTCTCTTGCTTAACAACAGCATCAGTCACAACGTCATTATCCTCTTTCTTGACAACCGTCTCTTCTTCCTTAATTTCCGTCTTGGCAATTGTCCTCTCGGAAAACGCCTTGAGATCCGCTGTGAACAGGACCGAATGCGCCCAACCAGCCTCCTTGCCCCATAGTTTGCGGAAGAGATTGCCAATTGCGACGTACGTCGCTGCAGTCAGACTGCTGTGCTTGCCTTTGCCGAACTTGTAATCGCGCTGCGCAATCTGCCAGACATGTGTATCAACGGGTACTGACTCGAGCCAACCAAGACCGAAGAGGCAAACACAATCAGCAACCTTGGGACCAACACCCTGAAGGACAAGTAGCTCTTCGTGCGCCTTGCGATAGCCCTCTCTGCCACCCTCCACCAGTTCGCCAGCCGATTTTGACTCGACCCCAAATTGTGGGTATTCTGGGTTGCTCAAAGCCTCCAGCCATGCCAGCCCTCCCTTCTCTTCAGCGACAATCCGTGCCGTCTTCGCAATGTACTTTGCTCGATATCCGAAGCCTAGCTTCCTAAGATGTTCTTCCACTTCTGGCTTACAGAGAGCTTCTGGTGTTGGGAAGTCATGATAAGGCACGTCGTCGACATGTCCTATCAGCGGCCCATAATGTAAGCAAAGATTGTGCACCATTCCTGATATCCGGCTGATGTTGTTGTTGCTACTGCATATGAAGCCTATCAGCGCTTCCCAAGCATCTTGTCGCAGTATCCGTATGCCAGTGAACTTCGGCGCTCGACGTTTGAAGTTGGCATCTGCGGCTGCCCATTGTTCGTACAGTTGGCCGAGGTTGGGCGTCAGGTTGAAGTAATGATTTATGAAGGCGAGAGTGTCGTCATCATCGGCAGCGACTGATGGTGTGGTAGATGCAGGAGGAGTAGGTAAGGCAGGTCTGGAGGGGAAGGCGGCGCGGTAATGAAGGGCTTCAGCATCTTGACGCAGGGAGAGGATGCGGCCATGCATGGCACAGGACCATATATCATCGTCGGATTTCCGCCATCTATAAGAGGGACATCAGAAGTGAGTCTATACTACATGCATGAAGCAGAGGCTACCTGAATGATTGACCGCAGCGCAGTGTGGTATTGATGCAGAGTTCTGTCAGGTTAGTTGGCAGTCTGCACCAATCTGCCGCTCGCAAAGCCATGGTGATGTCTTGTAGACACAAGCCAATGCGACTCGAGTATTTAGTCGGGGACGCGCTTGCCAAGCTTCATGTAAAAGCACGCTAGCAGTGGTTTCTCCGTGAACTCGCAGTTTCTCGCAGCAACGACAACATCACCACCCGTCCAAGCATCGCGTCCTAATATTCGGACTGCTGCTGGAAGCTGTGTATTTTACGTTGCTTAATCTCAGTTTGCTAATTGCAGCTGTTAAGCTCTTCTTTCCGCCATAGCCAATAGTATCCGGCTGAAGGTCCTCACCAACGCGACAACGGCTCTAGCCTGCGCTCCAGCTGTTAAGATGAACGGTGACAGCTATTCCCGAGGTAAGCTAGTCTCAGTACACGTACTGACTGGTGTGCAGTGCCCCACAATGCAATAGTACTAACATGAGCAGACGGCGGCCGCTCTGGTGGAGGCGGAAGGAATTACGTGAGTGCCACTACGTGCGCAACACTGACGGCCGACTGACCAAAACGAAGTCCTCCCGGGACGACCACCGCGACCGCGAACGGGGCGGCGATAGGCGCCGCCGCCGTTCGCGCTCGCCACGCCACAGCTCCAGACGCGAGTACGAGGTCGATACGTATTCGTCGAGTCGCGACTACCGCGAGCGTGAGCGCGAGGATACCTATGCGCGCCGCGAAAGGCGAGATGATCGTGGAGCCGACCGCGAAGCCGGCGGCCGTGAGGCAGGTGGCCGCGAAGCCGGTGGCCGCGAAGCCGGTGGCCGCGAAGGTGCCGGTCGCGAAGGTGCCGGTCGCGAAGGAGGCGGCCGTGAGGGAGGTGGCCGCCGGGACTGGGGTGATTCGTACTCGAGGCGCGACCGGCCGCGTGATCGCGGCGATCGTGGCGACCGCGACGGTGATGACCGCGGCAATGGGCGACGCGACCGAGGTGATCGCAACGACCGATTTGGCGGAGAGGATCGCGGTGGAAGGGGCCGACGAGACGGAGGGGGCGGCGGCTGGGGCGGCGGTAGGGGAGGCAACCAACGCCAGAAGTCTCCTTCTCCCGTCGCAAAGCAGCGCGAGCCTACGCCAGACCTGGCTCCATTCACCAATATCCAGAACCGCCCGCGCCGCATGACACAGTGGGACATCAAGCCGGCCGGATATGAGAACATCACCGCTGAGCAGGCGAAGCTATCAGGCATGTTCCCTCTGCCTGGCGCTCCTCGCGCGGCGCCCATGGATCCCTCGAAGCTGGCTGCCTTCATGAGCCCATCTGCTGGCACGGCCTCATCTGCCGCGCTTCAGACTGTCAACGCAAAGCAGGCGAAGCGTCTTTACATTCACAACCTACCTTCTGGCGCCACATCTGAGGAGATCATCGAGTTCTTCAACTTGCAGCTTAACGGCTTGAACGTCGTGTCTGGCAGTGATCCATGTACCTCCGCTCAGGTCGCAAGCAGCAACGAGTACGCACTCTTGGAATTCAAGACTGCCGAGGATGCGACTATCGCTCTTGCCATGAATGGCATTGCCATGCGCGACAACGCTGCAGGCCCCGATCAGACCGGTCTATCTATCCGCCGACCCAAGGACTACATTACACCCACCCGAGATGAGAACGCATACTCCGGTGACGAGGTTTCGACCGACGTCAAGGACAGCCCTAACAAGCTCAGCATCGTCAACATTCCTCAATACATCGAGGAGGCGCAGGTCTACGAGCTGGTGGAGACGATGGGCAAGCTCAACGCATTTGTCTTGGTCAAGGACACGAGCACTGGCCAACACCGTGGCATTGCCTTCTGCGAATATGTCGACAACGAGATCGTTGACGCTGTCATTGAGGGACTGAATGATATCCCACTTGGTGACGGTCACTTGAAGGTTTCTCGCGCAACCGTTGGTCTGCAGCAGACCTCAGGTCTCGATGGCGGTGTACAGGCCATTACTGGACTGGCTGGTGCTGAGGCTACGAAGGATCATGAGCACAGCCGCGTCATTTGCTTGATGAACATGGTCACCTCTGACGAACTGATTAATGATGACGAGTATGACGGTACGTTCCCTTACCCCTTATACCACATGGCGATGTTGCTAAAGGTGTCCAAGAAATCAAAGAGGATATTGAAGAAGAATGCGGCAAATACGGCCCCATCGTCGAGGTCAAGATTCCTCGCCCGGCTGGAGCCCGCATCAACCTCGGTGTTGGCAAGATCTATATCAAGTACCAGGATACCGACTCCGCACAAAAGGCCATCAAGGCGCTTGCCGGCCGCCAGTTCTCCCGGAGGACAGTTGTTGCCACTGAGTTCTCGGAAGAGGGCTTCGACGTTGAGGCTTGGTAAATGTTATCACAGCGAGGGGATGCCTTTTGATTGCAGACGCGGCGTTTTCTTGGGTTTAAAAAGCATTTGGTGCATGTTGGCACAAACGCTTCAGACTGCTTTGTACACTAATTTGATCATAAGCAAAAGCAAGCATAGTGAACGAACGCGAGGTTTGGAGGCCGTAGGGACATGCTCAAATCTTTGAGTGCATGGACGAGTAGAATGGTCTTGTATCTCAGGATGTATACGATATCTATAACACATCACGTCCAGTCATCATCACACCCCTCTTCCTCATCCGCTCGTCCATCATCCTCTTACTGTACTGTGTCTCGTTGCCACCGCTGAACAAGTTCTTCACCTTGCTAAACACCAACTCAGTGTACTTGGTCTCTGGCGCAGTGAAGTCCATTGTGAAAACCGAAACACTGACGCCGCCACCAGCAACAACCCACGTCTCGCCCGGCAGACTCGTGTCGCCGTTGTACGCTGCGTTGATGCCAGCCGCCACGGGATCAATGTTGTCCCAGTCGAACAGCCCAGTCGTCTCGTTGAACACAGCCACATCGGTATTCGCATTGCCCGTCAGCCTAGTCTTGACAACAGGCGGCGTCGTGCCGTTGACAAGCGGCGGAATGTTAACATTAACGCCATACCCGAGCGGCAGAACCGCCTGGCCCTTAACCGTGTTCTCGATGAACTCGTTCACGACCTCGAACGAGACCTTCGCCGCGAGCGCAGCGGGGTGGCCCGCGCCGGTGACGTTGAAAAACGGGACCGCTTTGTTGCTCGCGCTGACGGCGATGCCGGGGATGCTGCGCGAGACCGCGGCGAAGGTCGCGCCCACCGTGCCGGACAAACCCATGACGAACGCGCCCAGGTTGGTGCCATAGTTGGGGCCTGCGACGAACAGGTCCGCGCTCTGGTGCCACTCGGGGTAGTATCGGGGCAGCACGTAGTCGAGCGCAACGAAGGTACAAGCGGCGGGCGTGCCGTCGTAGTACCAGATGTCCTCATCTAAGGGATCGCGGCCGACGGACGGCGATCCGGCGGGCACGATGTTGTATTGCGATGCAACGGTGAGGTTGGCGCTCTCTGCCCAGATGACAGTTCCGCCTTTGCCGGACTGTTGCTGTGCGGGTGCGACTACAAGGACTGCATGATGTCAGTTCACTGTGACTGAAGAATTCTTGAGTGATGGCGGGTTTACCTTCGTGTCCAGCGTCTTTGAGCAGCTTGTACAGTTCGCGCAGATTACCGCTACCGAAACCGTCGTCATTGCCCATGAGAATCTTGAGAGCATCGCTGGAGGAGGCGAGGCCCAAGGCTGCGGTGAGCACTGTGGAGAGAGAAACACGCATGTTGACAGGCAACAGAGATCTCGGAGTCCGATTGAAGAAAGATAACCAGGTAATGGTCAATTGAAGGCTTCCTGACGTCTCACCATGCCATGGCCCTCCTTTTATATTCCACCACGGTATACACTGCTCCCGTTCTCAAGTCGCTAGTCAGGACCATGACGATAGCCTGTGATAATCGCTGCAGGAACGACCGGAATTCCGGGCTCTAATCGCGGGGAAAGGCTCACCTGCGCTCAACTCCTGATATGATTCGATGCTGATAAGATGGCTAGTCGATGGGATTGACAAGGTGCCGGCCTGATCCCAGACTAGAACGAGATAGGAAGGAGGGCACGTGGTGCGGATAAGCATTCATCGGAACTCGGCGGTGCTTAAGTCGTATGTCATCGAACGTCAATGCCGCTCCTGCTGGTAATGCTGGACTACATTGTATTGCATAGACTTCTCAGGTTTCTCCGCAACCTTGGAAACATGGCCTTAGTGTATGGGGTAAGAAGGCGTTATCGTTGCCCTTTTGCGTCTAAGAAGTAGGTCCTCAAGTTTGAACCTAAGATGTCTCGGCGATACCAGGAGTGCTTTTTGGCGTTGTACCTCCGAGTATCGTTCCATCGGCAGGAGTGTATGCCTTGGGTGAAGGATGAGTGGAGTGCGAAGCCGTGGCCAGGCTGGGATGTTGTCTCGCGAACTCAATGGGCCATTCTAACCACTTCTTGAGCTCTGGTGTCGGCGCAAACAGCTCTTCGCAGGCTTTTGTCAACCTGGCTAGCCAGCCGGTAAGCCACCAGGAATTTGGGTTGCGGGCAATAAGTACAGCCCAGTAGACAATGACAAGAGAACTGACACTGTTGCGAGCGTGGCACAAGTCTAGGAATTCGGTGGTAACCTTTGCCGGCCTATTTAGTTATTAAGCATTGTCGTTTTGCACCGATGATCGGACCATGCACAACGTACCAGGTCATGACGATACTGTGTTCTTCCCTCACTGTGGAACACAGAGTTGTCTTTACGAATATCTTGTGAAGATCCTCGATCGCTACTAAGCATATTTCACGCTGTGGCGAATCCGTTTGTTCTGCAAGTTGCCTCAATTCAAGGAGAGGAACACATGTCGTTTCCTCGGGAAGGTGCATCTCTTCCAAGGTACGCACAGGGGTGAGCAAATTGTAAATGATATCGTTCTGCTGAAGCTGCTCCCAGTGCTGGCCAATGACAACTTTGACTCCGCGAAGCAAGCGAAAGCAATGTAGAATGGCATCAAACGGATCCTCGGGCTCCTCAACCTGGGCACTAGCAAGGTTGTATGCGAAAAAAACTGAAGAAAGGATGAAACAAGGGACCACGGTCTCTGTTGCCGATTCCTCGATCAACCGCAGATAAGTCGCGAGGGAGGCAGACATGTGCGCATCAGCTTGCGCAAGCAGGCTGGCACGTTTCCCCGACGGATCAACCAGCGTTTTGTGCAACGCTGCAAGTGCAAGAAGCCCATGAAGAAGGAAGGGGTGTTGGAAACCAAGCTCGACTACACCTTCACTCCAAAGCCTTCGGTCTTCTTCAACGCTAGCATCATGGAACAAGTACACTTTAGTTGTCCAGTGGTGTAGCAATTGCATATCTTCGAGAGTGAAAGCTGGACCCTCTCCAACCGCATGTGTCGGTCGATAGCTTATACTAAATGAGTCATTTCGAGATGCAACACTGGGCTCGGAACTTGGTGATACAGTCTGAACCTTGAGCTGTGGAGGAGGCCACTCGCATTTCACGTCCAGCCGAATGCAGTTCGCACACTGCGGGTGCTTCTCATTACACTGAAAACACACTGTCAGCCTCATGCTAAACAAGGGATCAATTCGGGCACCTGGGTGGGGACGAAGTACGCAATGGCTTCTATAGGTATGTCAAAAAGAGCCGTCGCAGCGAAGGCTCCTTATTGGTTGAAGGGCAAACACCGCGTACGTGCGCAGTACTTGCCTTCGTGTGTCTCTTCTTGCATTGCAGGCAGCCTGCTCTTGACTTCGAATGTGTCTTTCGTTTTGCTGGAACGGCTGGCATTGGAATTTTCTTTTGGTAAACTGATCGTGCAGTTGTAAGGGGTACGGAGCAAGGGAGGCAGTGTTCAAGAAATCGCGTCGGCTGCGCCGGCTCCGCCCAATACGGTTAACACGTTAACAATGCCAGGATCTGATGTGTTGGCGAAGAGTAGCATGATATATATATATATATCTGACATTTACAATTTTGCGCGATCTTCTTGTTCCGTATTGACGAGTACATATCTGTATCTCGCCTTTCCGTCTTCCATATCCACAACGCTCTTGTTTGCGTTTTTCATATCGTGCTGTTCGATCCACGGCTTGACGCCTTTCTCTGCAGCGAACTTAAGCATCTCTTCTATGTCGCTCGGGCTACCGATGTTGCTGCCCCCGATCTTGACACCCTTCTGGATGAGGCTGTAGGCACCGATCCTTGGTAGCTTATCTTCTGGTGCGCCGACCTGGATGAAAGTGCCGTTAGTCCTAAGCAATCGCAGGTACGATTCCAATGGCATGTCTGGTGAGCTGACAGTCGAGATGATAAGATCAAGGGATTGGGAGTGTTTGCGAGCCCACTTGTCGTCCTCAGAGGTCGCAATGTAATCAGTAGCACCCATATCTCTTGCATCTTTCTCCTTGTTCCTTCGCCTTGAAATAGCGACGACCTTCTCACAGCCCAGGGCCTTGGCAAACAACACGCCGAAATGACCCAGACCTCCCAAACCCACGATTCCTACTCTCTTTCCGGGACCTGCGCCATTCTTCTTCAGTGGCGAGTACACTGTAATGCCTCCACACATCATGGGCGCAGCATCCTCGCTCTTGAGCGCGGCAGGAATCTTGATCGTGAAGTGCGCCGGAACACGTGCGTAATCTGCATAGCCTCCCATGCTGAAACTTCCATCGGGGTATTTGCCATTGTAAGTGCCAACCATCTTGCCGCAATGTTGTTCCAGGCCAGATTTACAGTCCTCGCATTCCATGCAAGAGAATGCTTGGGCTCCGACTCCGACTCTATCTCCAGGTTTCAGGTTTGTGACTTTATCCCCAACGCGCACAACATGTCCGACAATCTCGTGTCCGACGCAGACCGGGTAACGCGTGCTCTTCCACCCGGAGCGCAAAGTGTGGATGTCAGATCCGCAGATTCCACAGTGCGAGACCTTGATGTCGACATCAATGGCGTTGAACGGCTTAGGTTTGAACGACGTCCAGGTCATATTGCCTTCAGCCGCTTTGTCGTCGTGGCCCAGCCATCCATGAAACTCTGCTGGGGAAGTCATGTTGTTTCAATTTGCGGGACTCCGAGTACAAGGTATGACGAATTGGATATGAGTTAGGAGAGACCTGAAGATGAGCTGTAGGGAAGATTTCATGGAGCAGACTCACGATATCACTCTGTTGAAGCTCGCCGAGCTTGATCGCTTCGAAGTCCTTCGTACCGAGGCATCTTTTTGCCCCTTCCCCGCGAAATCGGGGCTAAGCTCAGCTTATCACCGGTGGCTCTCGATATACTTACGATACGTTAAAAGCTGACTGTAAATTTGCGACGCAGCTTTCTATCAGTCCGCTTATGTCGCAACATCCTTGCTGGCAAAATGTCGAGCTTCAGACCAAGAAAAAGTCTCGCAAAGACACACTAGCAGCTTTAAGGATCTCTACGAAGTAGTAACACGATAAGTCATTGTCGTTCTGTAATAAATTCCGACTTTAGTCGTCGCTTCTTCTAATAATTTTGCAGGATCAGTTCTCATCCTCACGGTCCATTTCCTTTGCTTTTCTCTTCCCCTAGTTTGGGGGCTCTGAACCTTATTGAAACCCATACATAATTTGCTGACAATGTCTTGTAGTCGTGAACATAGCCCGCCCTTAGGCCACCCCTCCTCTCAGGTCAAGTCCCGTCAGCTAAGTAATTCAATATCAATTGTTATAGTTATACAGCAATCAACCGGCAGTCTCTTCACTTTAATAGATGCATTGTGGCATGAACCGTATGACAAGTCTCAGCTATTGTAAACTGGCAAGCTCAGAGCAAATACAACTTCTCGGAACGACAAACAGATCCAGTGCACAGACAGGTCCTCCATGACGCATAACGTTAGTCAACGAGGGACCAATACTGCGACATTGGAGAAGTCCTTTCGTATAATGGCTATGGAAGGCGCACTTGTTTCTCTTGAAGGACTGAGACGAGTCTCATAGAAGGATACTTTGTAACACTTTGTTCTAACATAGCAACGTGTATAGCCCAAATAGCAGTCTCAGAGCGCTTGATCTCTATCTGACGCATTGCTAATTAAAGAGTACCTTGTCCTAGATTCCATTATTTAAGATGTAGCCGCCTGCCCTGCATGTAAGATCTTAGCGGCTCCTCTCGGACCAGTAATGTGGTGAGAGACAATCCCCGACTCTGGCTGATGGACGCCTCAACATCCTTTCGCACCCCTTCATACAGGTTGCCTTAGAATTCAAACAACGGCGATGGCACGAGTTCCAATACCACATAATAATAAATATCCACGTCATTTCAAGTCCAGCCAAACACTTTGATTCTAGCAAGAATCTGTTTTCTGGGCACGCTGCACATCCCAACCCCTATGCGTAACGACAACAACTCTAGAACGGTACTGACTCAGCGTCAAGATGACTTGCCGCCAGCTAGACAACTGTTACGTCCAGAAACTACAGATTGTGTCAATCCGCACGCCTTGATAGATCGTGAAGCGGAGAGTGAACACGACTGTCACGTATCAATTTGGAAAACGGTGGCGAGCGTTTTGGGACTTTTATCTTTAGGTGAGATGCTCGTTTTTTGGAATGACTGTTCCAGAATCTGACGCACAATGTAGCCTTTCTGTGTAGTGTAGCACACTACGTGCTCTTTGCTCAGCTAAATCACCAGATTGCCGATGACGATCTTGCACCTATACGACAGTCATATGTCACAGCATCTTCACTAGTACTTGCCAACTTGTTCAGAGCGACTTTGCTAGGAAGCGTTGGCATATGCTTTGCGCAAATGCTCTGGCGAATGCTGCGGGACCAGTCCTTCCGTGTCTCAACCATTGAAAGCCTATTCCAGATGCGATCGAATCCTTTAGCACTTGCAAGTCTCCATGTAATGAGAGAGGGTACACTCCTCTTTCTCATAGCAGGATTCATGTGGGTGGTTCCTGTGGCGGTCACTTTCCCTCCTGGTGCTCTGACGATATCTACGCAACCTTTCCAGAGCACGGAATTCGTCAACATGTCAGTGATAAATCCTCTTCAACCAGACGACTTTGATCCATTACAGAATACAACCGAGACCGATTACTTTGCCCGGCTAGATTACAAATCTGGAGGTCGCACTGCCAGCTGGAAACATCGGTACGTTACCCATTCTGGAAATATCAATAGGCTTACACTAAATCTGGAACAGTAATACTACCTATGGTCTACAAAATGCACCGTTTTTGAGCTTGATACGCCAAGTCATCATGAGTGGAGAGATCAGTTCATCTTTACCTCCATCGCCAGGGCTGGATTCCTCGCATACATATGAGTTCTTGGCTCCACAGCTTATATGTACTGAAGAGATTACCAGAAGCTTTGAAGATTCCACAGGCCATCCATGGAACTGGACCATGTCAATCTCGACTAATTTCGATGGTCAATTGGAGATCAATCGAGTACAAGCTTTAGGAGCTACCAACTGCCAAGATGATTCAGATGAAAGCTTGAAATGGTACGTTGAGAATAAAAAGATGGTTTGCAGGTACAAACACGTTCAGTACTCAGTCAATATTTCTTGGACACGCGGCATACGCAACATAACGTACACGATGTCAGACATAGATACACAGCCCAGCTTGGACATGGGAACCCGATTCCCTGTCACTACTAGTAAGCCGGACTCGAGTGACCGTCCTGACATTTCGAGTCTGCCAGGCTTCAATGATTGGAGGGATGTTGTCCGTAAAAGTCTGAACTACTGGACTTCGTTTGCTTTATTGGATCATTTCGAGTATGCGATAGGTGCTCTAAGACAGCTAGAATGCTTCGCTAGAATGAGCTTTGATTGCAAGACCAGCACTCTGCCCAATGGTACTACCATGGCACTTCGAGAAGTAATTTGCACCACTCCGGATATGACAAGCTTTAGCAACGACGGCAAGTATTCTCTCAAGGCGGCCTGGCTTTCGCATGTCACTACGATGGATCCAATAGCACTCTACTAACTCACTAAGCAGCTGTCGTCCTTTTGAGCGACTCTCGTTTGAACCCCACTCGGTTCAAAGACACTCATTCGAGCTCGTTGGACGATACCCAGGCGCGGTTCAACGACTTGAACATCACGGAGGCCTCCCTGAATGAGCTATTAACCAACACCACACTATCCACGGTAGCTCTCGATTTGTGGCACCGGCCGATTCCGGTAAACGTAACCAGGTACCACAATACCTATCAATTTTCTCGGCCTATCAACCTGTTTTTACCATATGGTATTTGTCTGGGTATAGGACTTGTTGTCACTGTCCTCGGACTATGGTCACTCTACCATAACGAAGTTGTAGCTGCTGATGGTGGCTTCCTGCAAGTCATGATGGCGACCAAGGGGGACACAGAGTTGGAAAGGCTCGTTGTCAAACAAGGCCTCGTGAGCCCGAGGAACATATCAAAAGAGCTGCAAGGCCTCAGAATTCGGTACGGTGAGCTGTTCAATAAGGAACAAAGTGGTACAAAAACGATTAAGGAAAGATATGGCTTTGGCACTATTGAGGAGACACTAGTCTTGAGAAAAAGAAGGTAAGGTCACAAAATGAATCCTAGATCCCAAGCTACACTCGTTGGAATCTTTAGCTAATATGCACACAGGCAGATGCATAAATAAAGATAGATGCATAGATTGTCACGGGTATGCCTGTACAGTTCGGCTTCTTACCTATATTGTTGAGCTGTTCATGAGGACTAGAAGCTTTTACTGTTGAGAAGTGGAGGTGGGTATCTGGATCCCGGGCTTGAGAGGTGCGAGTCAGGTAAGGAGAGTGGGTCAGTTAGAGCGAGGGATCAGTGGAGCTTACTTAGATCGAGGATGCTGACCGATCTCCGTGCGATGATGCGCATGACTTTCCGGGGAAGCCTCGTGTGGCGGACTACAGCTGGACATGCATGGGATGTATACGAACCCGTGGTGGGATACGCGTTATGCTGTGGATTTAGCCAGGAGACATGTAATTGGTTCAAGAGAGTACAGGTTGGAGGTATTCGAGTCTCATTCGATTCTAGCTTTCGCCATCTTTTGGACACAAAAGCACCGTGAGCATTCCAGCATCACAGCCATCCAATAAACAGAAACGTCCTCCAAATCCGCCTCGTATGGCAGAATTACAATCAAGCCGCTGCGGTAACATGATGCAGTCCGCGCGCTCCAGCCAGCACATCAAATACTGGAACTAATTATGAATGGAAAGTAAACCAGCTCGTCGTCAACGCTCAAGAGGGATATACAAGCATGCCGCTACGTGCAAATGCTTATAGACATAGGGAAGATAATGTAACAAAGACATAGCCAAATGAAAATGAAAGGAAATGGTGTTGATGTGTCCAGAAATGGAAGGAAATTTTGGCCCAAGAAGCGAAGCGGTGCCATGCACCGGGCAGGTATCAAAAAACGAACAAGTACAAATGAAAGTAAAGCATATGGAGCAAGCAAATAAGCAAACAAACAAACATACAAACAAACAAAAACAATAAAGCAAAAGGCAGATGACACAGGCTCTGGATCTGTCTGTTCGCTCATGGTATATGCAAAACAAGCAGGCAGACGCGAATCCGAGGACGCCGTTGCCAAATATGTAAAAGCCAAGTCGTGGGTCTCATGTACAAGCTGTGAACAAAGCTCAGTTCGAAGATACCGTGTGGCTCTTCTTGCGGCTGAAGATGGTACGCGTGCGGCTCTTGTCACGAGACTTCTTTTCAGAATTGTCCTTCTTGGTTGACCGTCCGGAGCGGACGGAGCGAGAGTCGGAGGTGCTGGTAGCGTCGTCATTGTACTTGTCTTTATAGATCCTGTAAGAAGTCAGTGTTGTTGCAAGATGGTTTCAGGGGTATCACTCACCAGCTGTTGCCGACCATACTAACTCCCTTCGCTTCAGCTGCGCGGTAGAACTTGGCTCCCTTCTTCATATCTTTTTTGGTTCCTACGCCTTCGGCGTAACAGTAACCAGCTTCGACCAATGCGTCAGGGTCGCCCCAGTTGCCTGCGATTTCGTAGCAGCGAAGGGCAAGGGTTTTGTCTTGGGCAGCACCCCAACCATTCATGTAACACTTGCCGAGCTCGTAAATTGCGACAGCGTATTGTGCACGATGCTGTTTCTTCTTAACAATATCGGTAGAGTTGCCTTGTTCGTCGTCTGCGATCTCAAGGTGCCCAGAGTCGACTGCGCGGCGCAGCCACTGTAGGGCCTCTGGTTTGTTCTCGCGCATGCCCCAACCATGGCGGCAGGCGAGACCATACCAGAGCATAGCTTCCGGGAGCCCTCCACGAGCTGCCAACCGAAGATGGTAGGTGGATTTCAAGAGCTCGCCCTTCTCATGCAGCTCAATGCCCATGTCGCAATGCTCCTGGGCAGTGACTTCTGCAGTACCGGCGGTGGCAGCGCGAATTGTGCTGTTGCTCGAAGTGAGAGACGGTGCCTGTGTCGGCCGGTTCTTGTCGAACGAACGAGGCGGTGATTCAGGGGAAGGTGGCCTTTGTTGACCTTTGGACTGATCCCAGGTGATTTCCTTCTTGAAGAAATCGTCAATGCCAACAGACTTGCGATCGAGCTTCCTACCGCGAGGTAGGTCGAAGGTGGAATGGATATAAGAAGGTACCGGGTTGGTGGGGTAATCGCCAGATCGGCGGAAATCCTCACTTACCATGCTGACAGGGGTGTGTACAGTGTCGTTGGCATGCTGAGCAGCGGGACCGTCTGTGTTGGAATTCTGGCGCTTGAGGCTACTGTCACAGTAAGGTCTCATGGACACACTGTCGTCTGAAGGCTGTCGTGACGGCATGTCCAGCGACGGTCGGACACAATCAATGGAAGGTCGAGTACTCTGTCGGCTGATGGGCCGTGAGAAATTAAAGGCTGGGCGAGCGAGGTGTCCGCTGGGAGAGTGCTCTGAGGTCGCAGAAGGGGAGCGAGGCATGGTGGTAGTGGGTGTGAAAGGGGACTGGGCGCGGGAGAAACTGGAGCTGGGTGACAGAGCTCTGTTGCGCGGGAAAGAATCGAACGAGCCACTCAATGGCATATCATCAACCTCGTCGGAGCTATCTTGGAAAGACCTGATGCTCGGTGATAGTCTCGGCGAGCGTTGAGAGCGTTTGCTTGATTTGCGGGGCGGAACCAGGTTGGCGCCTGGGTGTGATCGGGGCACCGAATCCGAGGACGGTTTCCTCTGGGGATTTAAGAATAGCTGAGAAGTTGGCGTAGGGCCAGAGGGGCTGATGGGCGTGGCTTCTCGCACGCCGATGTGAGGTTCCACCGAGTCAGGCGAGTGCGACCTGGGGATGTCGAAATAGCCGCGAGATGGCGCAGAAGCAGGACTGGTCTCTCCAATGGGGCCCAGCTGGCTGTAGGCGGTCAGCGAGTGCGCCGAGAGCGGCTCCTCGTTGCTGATCTGCGGGTAGTACGATCGGTGCCTGTCCGACACGTGCTGGCGCGGGGACGCGTCGGGCGGAGGAGCGACGCCGCCGGGGCCGGCGGAGATGGGGCCCAGGTCCTCGTTGGGAGAGCTGACGGTCGACGACAGCGACGAGAAGTAGCCGGAGCGGTTGCCAAACTCGTTCTGGATGGTCAGCGGGGCCAGTCTGCTGAGGCGGCGGCCGCTCTTGTCGGCCTCGAAGCGCTTCGCCAGCAGGCGGCCCTGCCAGGCGAGCTGGTCCAGCGGCGAGAGGGCGGGCGGGGCATCGCCGGCGCGCGGGCTGGGGAGGTCGGCGAGCGGGAGGTTGCTCATGCTGGCGCTGGCGAGACTGGCGACGCTGGGGTTGGCGCTGGGAGGGTCGTGAGAGAAGGAGCGCAGCCCGAGGGCGTTGGGGCGCTCGGGGCGGTCGACCATGGCGGGCGACGTGTGGGCGAGGTGTTCAGCAGGCGCAAGGATATCTCATGGAGCAGGGCGAGTGGTGACGCTGGGTCGTCATGCGCGCAGCAGCGGGCGACTGGCAGGGCCGGAGTCGAGCAGCGGCGCAGAGGCGGGCTTTAGGACGCGGGCCTGCGGGCTTGCAGCGGGTTTGCAGCGGGCGCCAACACCGTCGCGGCGGGGTGAGACAAGAGGAGCCGTGCCGAAGGGCGCGGCGTGCTGAGGGTCGTCGTTTGCTGGAGAGCGCGACGATCACTCGGCATGGAAGGGGGCCTGGGGTGTGCGGCGGTGGCTGTGGGACTGGGACTGGACTGGGCAGTAGTGTTTCAGGCGGGGTGCAGCAGCGAAGGAGCGAATTCGACACACGGCCGAGGGGCGACGGGCAGATACTCGCGGCCGCAGTCGCAGTCTCTGTCTACCTGGGGACGCGGGCGCCTCTTGACGAGGGTGCACCCAAACTTTTGACCTCCTGAAATCGCTTGGCAGGACGGCTTCAGAGTGCATCAAACCAGCTTTGTCTGGGGAGCCCTCCCTGCGCACTAGGAAGGCACACGCCAATCGGGTAGCTGGAGGACCAGGCCCTGCATCGACGCCCGTTACGCCGTCAGTCTGCGACCGCTACTGCAGTGCCATGAATAGCAGCAGCGCGCCACCACCACAGATGCCACCCACCCATGCCGTCGCCACCAACACCGCGACGCTCTGCTTGCACACGCAGCGACACGCACGGCGGCCTCTTCTCTGCGCCGTTGTGCGCGCTGCAGGCTCTGTCCAGCCCAGCGCGCGCTGCGGCGTGCAGCGAGGTCAAGTAATAACGGCGCCTGCCAGTTTCGGACGGCACCCGTTGCTTGGTGGCACCCACTGCGCGTCAAACTTCATTGGCGCTCTGCGGCTGTGGAGACAGAGCGGGGCCCATTGCGTTTGCGACAGCTGCACCTCATCAAACTCACGAACGACTGTTCCTGCAGCGAGCGCGCAAGAGCTGAGAATTTTTCATTGAGTGTCGCCGCCAGCAACCACACTGGCTGGCTGCCCATATGCTTTTGCTGCTAGCTCACCGAATCAATAAACTTCGTATTCCTCCACCACCTTTCCTAATCGCCTGCGGGACGCCAAAATAAGCTCTGCGATGCTCATGTAACGTGACCAATCACGAGTCGCACGCATCCGCGTCATGCTCCAGACTTCTTCACACTGATCTGCATTCTGTCGGTTGCCGGGTAGCAGCCAAGATTAACATGGCCTGCTTCGAGCGCTTGTTAGCGCCACGTCTGCCTCAAGCAACAGCCTCGACCCTCTCCCACGACTGCACGCTGTCCTCCAACTTCGGCGTCGATGCTGTGTCGAGCGACACCCGTCTTAGGCCCATCATCCAGCCTACTAGCGAGTTGGGGAGCCAGGACCCCACGAGGCCGTAGGTCACGCTGCCTCGGCCCACGCGCCAGACCTTGCGTGGACGTTTCTGCGTCACGGCGTCGAAGACTGCGTTGTGCAGTTCGCGCAAGGAGGTGCCTGGGCTGTTTTGGCTGAACAACCCCCGACTCTGCCCTATCCGTGCTTGGTTCGTGAAGTTACTAGCATACATCTCGCGCGTTCCTGCAGGCCAGCCAAGCGGGCTTGGAGCTGTTTTCGTTTGGAGGTGGTGTTTCGGGCCAACGTTCGAGTAATCGAATGTCCCGAGGTGAAATTGGATCGCGTGGATGCCCAGAGTCCCGAGCTCCCCTCTCAACGTCGCAAGGAACCCCTCGAGCGCAGACACCACCGTAGTCTCGACTCCGTGGAACGGCGGCCGTAATGACGCAACAATGCTCGGGGTAAGCATGAGTACCCTGGATTTGAATTGACAGATGGTCGGCAGTAGCGCCTGGGTCACCGCTATCGTGTTCAGTACTTTGGCATTTAGGGCATCCGACCACAGCTCGGGGTGGATGGTCTCTATGGGCCCCGAGGGGAAGATCAGATCCGGCACCAAGACGACGCCGCGGAGATTGAGATTGTGCGGACTTGCGCCCTGGAAGGCGACGTGCGGCCGCGTGAGCATGGCGTTGAAGCGCTCCATGGCATCGCGCGTGCCCATGGTGTCTGCAATGTCCAGATGCAGCGGCTTGACATCTGCGCGGCATTCACCCAAGACCTGCTGCTCCTCGTCGATGCTCGAGCACACAATGTAGACGATGAACCCGCGGCGCTCGAGATCCGTCGACAGCGACCGCGTGATGGGCGAGTTTGGCGGTCCAGCAATCACCACAACCTCACGCCGGGCGCCGTTGCTTGCGCGCCGCGCTCTTCTCTTGCGGTTGTGAGATCTGTTCTGCCTCCACAACATGTAGCTTCCTGTGCCACAGAACGCGACAATCGCCGCCGTGAGTGCACGGTTGCGCGACACCCAGTCCTGCAGTCGTTCCATGTAGGCACCGGTCACGCCGTGTGGCGGAGGCGGCGGCGACGGTGGCGGTGGTCGCGCATACTCGGGCAGCCACTGCTCAGGGACGTGTCGCTTCACGTAGCCGGCGACGCTGGCAAAGTGCCGGTCGCTGGCATCCCAGATGGAGCCGGTCAGAGTCCGCACGTCTTTGGTGTAGTCCGCAAGCTGCCCTCGTTGTCCGTCAGCGCAGTCGCGAGCGGGGAACATCAGCACTCACCACATCCAGCAGGTCGTCGGCGGACATGGTCGCTATGGTCTGCTTGCAACAGAATCGCAAAGAAACAGCGAAGATTTCAGGGTTGCTATCGGTCGGCGTGATCAAAGGCAGGCCCCACTCCACTTGGCCGTCGATTAGATACGTCAGGGCGGAGCGCGTGGCCACGTGAGGCTGCTCTTTGCGCCACCTGGGCACCACCACGACGCTGCTGCAACGGGCTGCCTAATTTCCTCGCCGCGGAGAGGCTGCTGACTGCCGCCGATCGCCTATCTCGCTGCATTGCATTCTATATGCGAACCTGCAAAGTCCTTTACCGTGCACAGGCACTTGATCATAAGTCGGCTCTGCCCTCAATGGCGCTCGCCAGCGACGCGTGAATATCTACGTGATAGCTTACGTGGCCGAACTCAGCGGCGTTGCCTCTATACTTTCATCTCGCTGCTTTTCTTGCGCCTGGTCGTCGCCTTTTCTGCACCCATGTCTTCTTCACGTCGGCTGCACCTCTCAATCTCCTACTTTACCTGAGTACTTCGCAGCCGGACGGGCCTCAGCCGTGTGCACAACTGCCCGTTGCCAATCTAGATTTAGCTTTCCCACCAACACCTGCTGCAGAACCAGGACAACATGAGGGAGATCGACGCCCATTTCGATGCGTATGAGCACCTGAAGCATCTGCCAAGGGATGGCGAGGCGCTGCACATGCTCCGCAAGGCCGCGTCCATGGTCAAGCCTATGATGCGGAAGCGTGGCTGGAAAGTCGGCACGTTAGCTGAGTTCTTACCAGATGAGCCGCAGCTGCTAGGTGCGTCGCCTTGTGACACTGTGAGGACCTCTGGCTGAACACCTTGTAGGTCTCAACATAAATCGCACAGAAAGGATCCTCATCCGCTTGAGATATCATCATGATTCTAGGCAGTTTCTTTCCATGGAGCAGGTTACAGATACTCTGCTGCACGAACTTTCGCACATCATCTTTGGACCGCACAATGCCGACTTCAACAACCTCTGGAATGAGCTCCGCGATGAACATCAGTCGCTGCTCACAAAAGGTTACACAGGTGAAGGTTTCCTTACACAAGGTCAGAAGCTCGGAGGTAGGCGTATACCAGTCGACGAGATGCGTCGTGCCGCTAGATCGGCCGCAGAGAAGCGCAAGGCTAGCACTAACCTGAACGCTGGTGGTCACCGACTAGGAGGCGCTCCTGTAACAAACGGGGTCGACATGCGCAAGGTCATCTCGGAGGCAGCCACGCGACGGACTAGTATCACCGAGGGCTGCGCAAGTGGAAGTGCCCAAGCTGGAAACTTGCTGCATCAACAAGAACAGGATGGCTTTAGGACCGCGGCTGAACAGAACGATGGGAACGACGAGGCAATCGCACGGGCACTACAGGATCTTTTATACGAAGAGGAAATGCAGAGGCTCGAAGAACTTGGCGCTCCGACGGGTGGTGGTGGCCTTGCATGGGATCGACAGAATGGACTACAATTCGATAGCAACCCTCCATCGAGAACAACATCACCTGTACCGAGTGCGTCGCCGGGGCTGAATTGGAGCAAAGAGCACGGATTGTCTGCGTTACCAGCAACAGCCACGTCTCAGCGCCCTGCAGCTTCGCGTACGGTGTCTAATCCCGCACAACGACACCAGCCCTCGCGCCTGCTTCTGGAGACGAACCGAACGTCTTCTTCGTCACGAACGAATCGCCCAGAGTCGCGCCTGATCTCGCGAGACGAGCAGGACCACCGCAACAAACAACTACCGTCCATACCGCCACCCGTCTCGCCACCAGCGTCACCACCAGTGCCTACCAACCTCGACGAATGGGCGTGTCCGCAGTGCACGCTTCACAATCCTCTAGATTTCCTGCAGTGTGGCGTGTGTGGCCTAGAGCAGCCTCCGCAACCAATCCCACGACACAAGCGTTTCGGCTCTTCACATACAGCACCCAGTCTGCCCGCGCCGCCGCCACAGTCCGGGCTGCGAGGCGCAGGAGCAACACCTTTTGAGCCCGCAAAGGGAAGGATTGGCTGGAATTGTCTGCAGTGTGGTACGTTTATGGAAAACCAGTGGTGGACTTGTTCACTCTGCGGTACGATGAAGGCGGATTCTTGAGAAGGCCAATGTTGCGAGACATTAGAGATGGAAGCTGCGAAGTTGCGCGGGACGCAGTCCACCGACCTATGCATAAAACAGTAGCACATATACCACCTGGACCTGCTTTAGTCGCATCAATGACAGCGTATGGCAGATTGCTGGGCCTGATAGCTAATCCATCTGGAAGTTCTCTACGTCACGAGCTTAATGTTTATTGCGATCTTTCCTCCCAAATACGATCGTGCTTTCCTCATTGACATGGCCAAGGATTGGTGCTTGGAAGCCGGAGCTTCTCACAGGATCTGATGGAACAGCTCACATCGTCCTCCAACGATTGCTCGTGCTCCTGCCGCTGTCCGTAAAATGCCAGGCAGGTCAAGTCATGTTGACGTGGCCTCACAAACGCGACAGCAGCTCCTTCACATGAGAAACAGTGCTCGGGAAACACGATCCTGGCCACGTACACCAAGCACTTCCGACTCGGCATAGTATCCCTGCTAACAGACCTCGCTGGACTTTTTCTGTTGCTCCGTACAATCGCGGCAAACCATGGTGGTCCGTGTGAATGCTCGACGTTCGATCGCATAGCGATACCGGCTTCATCGTTCAGTATAATTTTGACACCTTTTGTCTGCCTTCGAGATGTTGCAGGTAGCAGCTCAGATTCTCAAAATGCTTGACTGACTGAGCGAGCTCCTGCGGATCGGTCGCTGCAGTCACATTCTTGATCATCCTTTCGCTCCCACCTTTCACCTTTCACTTCCATTTGCGTCACCCTGGCAACTGACTAGCACCGCCCTCTCAAAACCATAAACCGAAGCCACTTATATCCGGTGGTCAACACCACCGTAGGTAGCGCACCAACACGCGATGCCTTTGCTCAAGGATCTGAACTGCTCCATCGAGCTCTCGGGCGAACCAGAACCGCTGCAAGAGCTCGGAACAGTCTACGGCGATGCCTGCGTCGAAACTTTCATCCCTGTGCCCAAGAAGCAGCAAGCTTTCACAGTCCACCTCTCATCAAATAACTTCATCGCGCCAGGCATCGCCATGTACGTGTTCATCGATGGCATCTACCAGTGCAACCGCAACAGGCAAGACATGAAGCTTCGAACGCCTCCGGATCGCCGCTCGCTCGTCGACTTCAGGGTTAGACAGAAGGAAGAGATGCAGAAGGACGGTTCGATGATCGCGCGGGAATGGACATTTGAGAAGCTCGATCACGGTAGGCTCCCTCAATCTTGACGTCGTTATGAGGTTATAACTTTGTGTAGCTTTAGCGGATAGCGCACCAAACTCATGTTCACCAAACGTTCTCGAGAATATTGGCTGCATCGAAGTTGTGGTCCTGCGTTGCGCTGGCACGCGTAACGCAAAGACTGCGGCAAACATGAATATGGACGGTGCTGCTGACTATTTTGACTATTTCTTCGATCGCAATAGCAAGTCTCGAACATCAGCCAAAGACGATCAAGAACCCCCTGCCAACCCGCTGCAATCAAAGCTAGCCTACCGATTGCCTTATGCGGAGACGGTGCGCAGCCGTGGACAAACAGAGAAAGACAACTCACGATATTCCGAGCCCGTAAGCCCACGTACACGAACTTACCGCGATATCCCAGCTCCAGCATTCCAGTATGGTAGCGGACCTCTTCCACCGCGGTCACGCACAGAGATTCAGAAAGGAGTCGTGCCTGATAGCACGTCAAGGACTGCTCCTGCGGTCGGCCCAGATATGCTCGGGAAGATCGTTGCAGATGCTGTCAAGCGTGGGGTCGAAGAATCGAGGAAAGAAGACAAAGGTCGACCTGACAAACAACCGTATGACGATGGTTGGGAGAGCTCCAGCCAAGTCCCTGGAGCATGGCCGACATCCCCCAGTCGTGTATCGAAGCTTCGAACGCACAAGTCAGCTCCTTCCAAGCGCCACAACCATAAAACTGGCCTAGACGACGAAGATTCAATTTGGGAACAGCAATCAAGAACCACCAAGCACCGCTCGAGTCGAGGCAAAGCGGACACGCATGTAACTTGGGGTGAGGAGCCGAACTGGGGCAAGCAGCCTACAGCCGATGGGTGGGACAACAAGGATGATGATACTTGGGATACGGATGAGACATGGTCGAACAAGCAGTCTGATGGGTGGGAAGAAGCTCGTCGACGACCAAAGTTCAGGTCTCACACGATCCGCGATCCTTCTCCTCGCTTGGCATCTCAAGTGTCGAACCGTACATTTGAGCGTCGACGATCAAGGCAAGGCCGCTCTCAATCCAGGGCCCGTTCCCACTGGGATGACGACGCAAAGTCATCTTCAGAAGACAACGACGGGTGGACTCGCATCAAGCCACCATCAGATTCGTCCACGTCTCTCGAAAGATCAGACTCAACAATCAAGCCCTCGCACTCTCGTAGCCAGGTGCAACCGTCAAGGAGCAGATCTACCCGACGCAGCCGCGCCGGTCATGAGCGGAGGCTGTCACAGCTCACCGAGAAAACGCAGTGGTACCCTGAGAGCGTACACTATGCCCGACCGCCGTCTGTCCTGGTGACGAACGCGCCTACGATAGTCTCCACGCCGGTTCCAAAAGTCCTAACGGGCGTCCGATCAAGAATTCCAAGTGCATATATTCAGCCAGCTGCGTCAATCACGGCACCGCCACCAACATGGGGATGCGCGTCCGAAGGGCAACGCAAGCACAGCACCACCACAGCTTACTTGCCTCCTGTCCCGTTTAGCTCTGTGGGTGAAGCTCTTCGACAGAGCCGTACATCAAGTGGTTCATCATCGTGGGGCGTTACGAACAAGAAGGCGTCAAAGAAGCTTAGAAATGAGAAGCTGCAGATGACTTCTTGGGGCAAGAACGATCAGTCTGCTAAGACGAAGAATGCTTGGGGAGATACTGAGCGGAAGGCCAAGGCGAAAGGCTGGAGAGACAGCAAGGCTATTGAGCAAAGCGATGACAGCTGGAACGCAGACAAGAAGGGCAATGACGGATGGGGCGTCTCAAACGAGGCAAAAGAAGCGACATTCGACAGCTGGAGCACAGACAAAGCAGTCGGCAGCTGGAACACGACCAACAGACCCAGCTGGGACCAAAACAACGCAAAGCAGGACAAGACCGACGCCTCCCAGGGCACCAACGGCTGGGGCTTCGCACCAAACACAAACACAGCAGGGAACCCCACCGCCGCCACCCCCGATCGACCACCCAAAACCCCCTCCCACCGTCACACCTCCAAATCCCTCTCCAAATATCGCCAGCTCTCGACCCCACGCGCCCACAACGCACACCTCGCCTTCCCCCCCTCGCCCCCCAAAACGACTCTCCACCCCTCCCACACCTCATCCGCCGGAAACGAACCCCCCAGCGTGCCTCCGCAGACCCCGCACCCCATTCCTCTCTCCACTGCGGCGCTCAAGGGCGTCCAGCACCAGGTCCTTGCGGGCCGGGGCACGGCGTACGGGCACGCGGTCAGTCGGCCCAAGTACGTCGATGGGCTGGAGAAGCCGTATGCGGTGTTTCGGTTCAAGTACCGGGGGCGGGATGTGCTGAGGGGGATGTTCGGTGAGGAATGTTCGAAAGGGGAGGGTAAGAGTGAGGAGGGTGCGGGACTTGAGGGGTTGGAGGGGTTGTCGAGGGAGGAGTTGGTCAGGCGGTTGGCTGTTTTGGAGGGGAGGGTGGCTGGGAGGAGGGTTTCTGGGGACGAGGGTGGGCGCACAGCTGAGTGGGTTAGGGAGCATTCGGGGCGTGGCGGGGCATGATGCGGGGCAGTTGCGCGAAGGCGTTCAGACGGGAGGAGGCGAAGTGGTGAGGTGGCGAAGTGGTCAGTGAGGCCAAACCCTGCGGTTCAGTACTTGTTCATTGTGGTATCATAGATCTGCCCCTATCCCTTCTTTTTCTGGAGACAGCGGGCCTTGCGTCATCTCTCCGGCCAACTTTTGTCCTGCCTCGCCGTACAAACGCCGTGTCTGACCCCAAGCCCAATAGATAACGCCGGAAAATGCTACACGTCAAACTCTCATGCCTAGACAAGCAGGACGGCGTTCAGGCAACCGTCGTTCTCGGGGTTGTTTGTGACCTCTGTTGGATGTTAGCGCTGTCCTCTCAAATGTATAGACGCTGAAACTTACGAGCATAGCGACCCCACACGACTTTGCCACCGGCCGTCACCAGACCTAGCTCCGAGACGTTGACCTCGATGATGGTTCCCTTGGTGAGCACGCCCAGCTGTGTGTACAGCGGGTTCTGGGGGTTCTTCTTGACGGAGATGATGGGCAGCTGAACAGTGACGCTGAGCTCCGGGTGGGTGACGTTTGCCTTCTTGTAGCGCAGACCCATGGGGCGAATGAAGCGCTCGTACTTGACGGGGCGACGGGTGAAGCCCGGACCAACAAAGGTGGGCTTGGTGATCATGCGCTTCCAGGTCTTCTTGGCCGTCTTCTTTCCGGTCTTGATGACGCTGAACATCTCCTCCTCGCTGATGCCCTTGACCTTGGGGATGGGCACGGAGAAGCGGGCGGCCTTCTCATTGCGCTTCTGCTTGATGGCCGACGACAGGGCCTTGGCGTTCTTCTCGTTGGAGCGGTCCAGCAGGTACTGCGGCAGGGCCTCGGTGGAAGGCTCGGCGGGCTCCGAGGTCTTGACGTTGCGCTCTTCGTGGGCCCGGATCGTCTTCTTCATCTGGATCTTCTCCTTGCGGCGCTTCTCGGCGTGCAGCTTCGCACGCAGACCGCGGTAGTTCTGCGCCTTCTTGCTGCCATCGTGGCCCTCACGCGCTATTCTCTTGCGCTTGCGCTCGTCATGGTCGAGGCGTTTGCCGTGGCTGGTGGGGTCAGTATATGTGGGAGAATAGAGGAGCCTGGTAGGGGCGGGATAGCGGGGCGGGTAACACGTACAGCTTTGTCCAGCGCTCGATATACTCGTTCTGAGGCATGGCTGGTGGTGTTGAGGGCTGGTGGTCGGGTGGAGACTGCGCCCTAAGAAAGTTGACAATTTCGCGGGCGCTAGCGCTGCAGTTCACTTTCGCCTTGGCGCGGACTTCCGTCCAAAGATTCGGCGGAGGCCCGTGCGGCCAGGCGCTGCAACACCACGAGCAGCGACCAGCGCCCGCGGCCGCACAGCCAATTGACAGGACGCAGCCGCCGCTCACGCCCGCCATGGCTCTCCTCGCCCGCACAGCACGCAGCGCCCTCCGCGAGACACGGGCTACCCTGCCGGCGACGCTCCTGCCTCTCCGCGCCCACATCACAACCCAGTCACACACGCTCGACGACGGCAGCATCCCCGAGCCGCTGCTGCAGTCCGGCCAGCGCGTCTCCGCCGCCTTGAAGGAGAAGGTCCAGTCGCACACGCTCTCGCCCAAGGCGCCCGCGCCGGCCACACCGCACACGCCCAACACACGCCTCGATGTCATCTCCAAGAAAGTCACGCCGTCGATACGGAACCTGCTGCCCCTGCTGCACTCGCAGCCCGCCCACTACATGACCCTGCACATTCACGGGCGCCCGTACCTGCTCACAAAAGGCGACACCCTGCGCCTGCCGTTCCTGATGCCCGACGTCAAGCCCGGCGACGTCCTGCGCCTGACGCGCGCCACCCACATTGGCTCGCGCGACTACACCCTCAAGGCTCCGGAGTCGCTCAAGGGCAACGCCGACCACGCCAAGAAGGTGTTTTACCTCGACGAGCGCCTGTTCACCGTGCGCGCGCGGGTCGTTGGTATCGAGACAGAGCCCATGCGTGTCGAGGAGAAGACGAAGCGCAGACAGCGCCACACCAAGCACGTCTTCAGCAAGATGCGATTCACCGTGCTAAAGATCAGCGAGATGGAAGTGAAGAGCCTGGAAGCGTACGAACAGGCGCTGACTGGCGAGGGCGAGGCGTAGACACGAGGGTGGTTTGGATGACATGTATCTGTTGATTCACGGATCAGTTCAACAGTATTGGATGTATTATATGTGTCGATATCATCGCCATGGGATTCTTGGCTGGAGTATAAAACCGTGTACACGCTATTCGACACGAAATTCATCATTGCATACGACATCTTCAATGTCTCGATTCTTTCAGGTGTCACACGCATCTCCCACTACGACGAAATCACTCTCTGCAGGTGCAATTGCTGTTGCCAAAAACTAGCACCTTCGCAGCTTCCACCCTTCACTAGCTGGCTCTCTAAACCCATCCCATACCTCAGCAACCCACCTCTCAGGTATCCGCAGGACAGCAGACCAAACGGCAAAAATGAATGTATTACATACAACAGTGGGGATTCCCCAGTGGTCACCCACCTGAGTACTAATCCACCGGTACGTTGCTTAAATAGGGCTGAGCGAACGGGAAGCCTTGTTTTCAACGTCCTATGGTCGTATGTAGAATGTGAACTCGAATTAGACGTATATATTTCCAACAAACATCTGTGCTCTAGGCCGCTAAAAAAGCTTTTCATTGCATACGGCATCTTCAACAATTGTGCACTCTAATATATACAGTAGGACAATCTTTGTTTTATCAATTATAGCCTACCTTCAATGCTAATACTCGAAAGTATTGATCTATATTAGGTGCTCGTGGAAAACACATTATCGAAGTTCAACACCCTGTCTAGATCCGTAAAGTCTGGGTTGATGAGGGACTGAGAGATTGCGAAAAGATCGTCGTTATCAAGCAGCGGGTCCATCGTCCGCTGCCCTTGAGTTGGGTTCCAATACTGTGCGGAGGCATACGGCACCTCAACCCGTGGCAGGCTGAGGTCTCTATCGTATTGGAGAGTGATATCCATGGCGCTGTGATGTAGATCACTACGCGCAAAGTCTTGGTGAGTGTTTTGAGAACCGCCGGGTTCCGTTAGAACAATATCTTTCATACTCTGCTGTAACATGCCAACCATGACCTCCTCTGACCACCAGTGTCTTTGTCTTGGCTCAGTGTCAACAATCGAGGAGCCAAGCGGTGGTTCCGCAACATTAACACCATGAGACGAGTCAACGTGTGATCTTCCGTGCAGCATTCTCAATCTTCCAGCAAGCCTGCAGAATATATCCACTGATTCATTCCCTTTGAAACTCGAAGCATTTGAACGTTGTGCCATACACTCAAGAGCCTCTATGAGGTGCCAGAAGTCGCGGACAAGCGGACTGTGGTGCTCTTGCGAGTACACTGAGACTATCAGCGTAAGATTCCCGAAGAGAAACGCAACTTACTCAGAAGGTTTCTTGCGCTGACGAAAGCACAATAGCTAAAATAAGGACCCAGCGGATACTCTGATTTCCTTTGCTGTAAGAACTTACGAATGATGCTACACACCTCCAGTGCAGCATTGCGACACGTCTCCGCGCTTTGTGACCATGGAAGGGGAACAAAGCGAAGCTCCGCCTCTGGGTATGCGATGCGCTCATGGAGAAGTATAACGTTTGTGTTGTGCAAAGCGTTCGCTTCCGTCATGACCGGGTCCATGACACCAGGCAATACGTGCCGCGATATGCCGGAATCAGTCCATTGATGTGGCAGCTCGGACTTCCATCTATCCAGTGTCAGATAAATCATTGAGTACTAGCAAAGAACAAAAGCAGAATACAGCACTCACCGGAATAAACGGTTGTCGAGGTCTTTAAACATCTTGAGCCAGCTTGAGACATTATCCCGGTCGCTATACACTACAGCTTGATGGAGATGATCTAAGATAGCGCCCATGGACTCTACGGTATCGATGAAGAAAGCCAGTGATCCTTTCCATGTGAATTGGTCCATCTGCAGTTTGTGGCTACTGCATGCCTTGGCTGGAGAGCCTCGACACGCGTCGCTATGATGATCCATTACGTGAGAGCAGTTGAGAAACGGCGTTTCCCTTGGTCTATTCGAGTACCAAAAACTTGCGCATGCAGGAAGCCTACGTGAAAAAGCAGTCACTGTAACATGCCCCGTGCCTCCAATCAAGGCTGAGCACAGTCTGTCAAGAATCTGTACGTTCCATACCAGCCTCCGCTCTTCTTCTTCGCTAACCCAATCAATTGTGGCGGTGTTCTGGACCGGGGCATCCCTACTCTTGTTGCTGGACGGCTCTTGATGAATATCTAAAAGTTCCAGCTGTCTAGTAACTAAGCCAAGTAATGACCTTGCTTGCCGTATTTTACCATCGACGATATCAGCATAAATGAGAATAAGGAGAGCTTGGACGTGCTCAATGCACATAGTATCTAGTGCTGTGGAAATTATAGACTTGCGGGCTTCCTTTATGTGCTCAGACGGTGTGAGGTTCAGTGGTATAGTATGTCCCTCCAACGGAAAGGTGGCCACCAGCATAGCCTGAAGAACTAACTCCATAGACTTGGACAGCCGCTGGTCATGGAATTGCTTGCGGAAACTTGGCTCGTGAATGATGGAAAGCCACGGCTGTATACGGCTAAAATAGGCATCCAAGACTTGAGCATTCTGATAGACAATAGGGCCAGCAGAAGTTGCACCCAACCCATGAGAAGGATCAATGAGCGTGAAGACACCGTTGTCTGACGGGACTCGCCTTCTCTTGTTTGGCGGCGTTGATGACACAAGCGTATTGTCGACGATGCGGCCGTGTAATGCGTGTGACTGTGCTGCAATGACTGCATTGGTAAGACCATGGAGTTCTTTGGTCAACGACGAGAGAACATTATGGGTAGACTCAATTGTGTGTTGGGTAGTATCTTCGATGATACTTCCATTGCGGTGTAGATCTTCTCTGTTGTGTTGCAAGGGGGTCCGATGCGATAGAGCAGCCTCCACAACCTCGAGCCGTCGACTTAGGCTCTCAACTGCACCGATTTTAAGGCCTGGTTTCTTTTTGTCAAGATTATAGATGCAATCAACTTGAAAGTTGTCGCAATTGATACAGGTCGGCTGTTGCCGGCCACATTTCAGCTTTCGCCTTCGGCAGCTTTCGCAAGAAGGTATACTTGTATCACTAGGATCTTTCGTGGCCGCATTACAATCCATCGAAGTTGTCGGGAGTAGTGCTGGCCCGGCTTTGGGGCAACTGCACACTTTAAGAGTGCCACAAAGCGGGGTCGGCGAGTCGGTAGATCATCGCACCTGACTCGTAGTAAATTTCGAGCTTTCTTTCGAGGCAAAACAAATATCATAGTGCGCGCATGGGGCTTGGGAATAATGGCGTATCAAGACTCTACCTAGGTAGTTTCCAACACATGTCTAAGCTATTTTGACACACTTTTATATCTACTCCGTCAAAACATTCCAAACATGGATACCTCAGTAGGTATCAAGAACACGAAAATCAACATAGGAGGTTTTTCAAAAACCCTGTGCGCTTCATGGTATGACCTATTCAGAGATTTGGCCATTCATTGCCGTGATAACCCTAACCGGCGATTTTGCTGGTGTACAGTGCACGTTGACTACTTCTTGCTTTCTTCTCGATGCTCCACTTCGATACTGTGCGCTGTATTCGTGGTAGCAAACTTCCAGGCTGGCACGCCACGCTCGAATAGCTCATCGAGTTCACTGTAGGTCCGACCTTTTGTCTCCGGAAACAGCAAGAAGCATGGAATGAGGTATGCTGCTGTTGTACCTGCGAAGAATAAACCAGTTTTCTGGCCCCAGCCAGCGTTCTGATTTGAAAGCATCAAAGGTACTGTGTAGTTGAAAAGTATACCCGTGAGGTACTGTACGGTGACGGCAACAGATGCTGTCTTCGCTCGAAGCCTTGGACTTGATGTTTCGACGAGGCTGATCCAACCTGTTTTCAATTAGCCCTGGGATGGAGGTAGAACGATGTGGTGCAGTGTAGACGTACCTATGGGTGCTAGAGAGTTTGCGTATACGAAAGCCCACAAAGAACAAAGGAAGACAAGCGCAATGCCCGATGCGTTATTCTGCTTCATGAAGCCAAGACCCCCGACGATGGTGTTGATGACACACATGGCCAGCCCACCGCCCAGCAAGAGTGCTCTGCGGCCAACCTTGTCCACGGTGTAGAATGAAGTCAATATGCCGACGACGAGGACTAGCTGCTTTATAAGGTTACCCAGGAAGGGGTCTTTGACCCCAGCCAACTGAAAGAAGTAAACCGTGTATCCAAACATCAGCGGCACACCGCACACATTCTGGAACGTGAATGGGAGTGTGGCAACGATGCATCGGACAAGGTTGACTTTTGATCGCATCGCTTTCCAGTCGGATGTGCCAGCAGCCTCAGCAAGCTCCTTGGACCTACGAGTCTCATACTGTACGACAGAGTATTCGTGATCAAGGTCGTAGCCTTCGACGTTGCCAACGAGACGATGAAGGGCTGTTTTGGCCTCCTCGTGTCGACCCTTTGTGCAATACCATACTGGACTAGTAGAAATTAAATACAATGATGATGACGTAGAACTGTGAAAGCTTACCTTTCTGGCACCCAAAGCAAAGGGATGAGCCACAATGCTGTGAAGATGAATTCGGAGTAGAACATGTGTCGGAAGGCCAATGGCTCTGTCTCCTCAAGAACCTTTAGGCCCACGGCGAGAAAAACTTGGCCTAGTGCGAAAGCCATCGAAAAAGCGGCTAGCAATGCGCCACGAAACTGAGGCATGGCAATTTCTGACATGTATACCATGCATGATGTACCCATGAGACCACCGGCGCATCCAGCAATCAAGCGCGCGATTAAGATCTCCCACCATGTCTTGGAGAAGCATTGAAGGAGGACAGACTAGGACCGAGTTAGTGGAGCTATACATTGCATCGTCTTTGGAACATACCAGTGTGATGAAGAACGTGATACCCCACATGTTAAATTTCCGGCCGAACCGATCAGCAGTATATGGCGCAACCGTCTGGATACAAATCGCAGTGACGAAATACAGGGCACCCCAGAGGGAGATGTGAGTTGCGTTCAATGCAAGTTTGCCAGTTTGTGGGTCTCTCACGGTACCGTACTGATTGATAAATCCCTGGTTGGCCACAATGCTACCAATGACCGAGTTTGCATATCCAGCGTATCTGATTAATTGCTTTGTGAGTTTCAAGTTCAACTCCAGGGTACTTGACTTACAATCCTGCCACAGATACACCCAGACCGCTGCCATACAGTCGCCAGAACTTTCGGACGCACTGTGCTCTAGTCCATGTAGCGAAAGCTGACACGGGTGGCACATCGTCACTTACAGTTGGGTCTGTCTTCTCAGTCATCTCAGTTGAGATTCGCTTGTCTTCCGACATTGTTGATGATCGGAAGCAAGAACGTTTAAGGCAGATAGGTATTTGGGAAGATGTAAGGACTCCACTGGGTCAGCGCTGGCAATAAATACATCCTAGGTAAAGTCGTCGCATAGGTGCAATTGCCGTTCTGGCTGTGAACAACCGGTAAACCTTGCCCGGCCGTACCATGCCATCAATTGGTGTGCCACGCCACTGGTGACACTTATTCTGGGGTTAGATGCCTCCCCCGTGATTTCCCCACGATTTCCACCCAAGCTGGAGAGAGTGAACGAGGCCGAAGTTCTGCCTAGCGCACGCCCCTTGACCCACTTTCGGTCGAGGTCTCGCACGACACTTCTACCGCACGCCCAAAATGAAGAGAGCGTCCAAACAAGCCCTTGGCTCACCTGCAGTGATGGGCGAGTTGTCGTGCGATAAATATGCCGCACAGCTGTCAGGCGAGTCTCACGTTATCACGTCTGGTAATTGGACCCACTCGGCAACCACACTCGGCCTTTCGCTGCTTCGTCGGCAATGTTGTAATTCTGTGCTCTTAATTACCCTTCTCGATCAGCAATTCAGAGGAAGAACGATATAACACACTAGGTCCAGCTCTCACTTCAAAATTCCTATTCTTAGTCTTCCTTACCTTGTCTCGGCTGCAATCATGCTCAGGCCAAAGTCGACAGCGACCCGGGAAGTTGTGTCCTTGGACGGACTGTGGGACTTCGAAGTCCTGGCACAGACACCAGACCATGGTGAACAGTGGACCAGCCCTGTTCGATCTATGATGCAGGCACCAGTTCCGGCAAGCTACAACGACGTCTTTCTTGACAATCAAATTCGCAATCACATCGGCTGGGTGAGATATCAAAGGAGACCACGAGTACCACAGGGATGGTCCGACCGAAGATATTTCATTCGATGCGACGCTGCCACACATCGTGGGAAGGTTTTCATCAATGGAACGTCCACAATCGATCACCACGGCGGCTACACACCTTTCGATGTGGAGATCACTGAATTGGTTGCCGCAGGAGAGGAGTTCCAACTCACGATCGCTGTCAGCAATGAGCTGACTAATGAGACCATCCCGCCTGGGAAGATCAACACTACCACGGGCGGGAGAAGGACCCAGACCTACCTGCACGACTTCTTCAACTATTCCGGGCTTGCACGATCTGTCTGGTTGTACTCAGTCCCGAAGCGATACATATTAGATGTAGCAATTGCGACCGACATTGACTGGGACACTAACACTGGCCTAATCCAATGTACTGTTCTGACAGATACCGGCTGTGGCAATGACAACATTGAAGCAAAAATCATAGTCAAAGACGAAGACGGAAGAGCAGTTGCAGAAGTCATGGGTCTCAAAAGCCAGATAAGGATACCTTCTGTCCATCTTTGGCAGCCCGGGGCACCATACCTCTACACTGTTGTGGTCGTATTAAACCATGCTGACGACAGTACGCTCCTTGATACATACAGTATACTCACTGGAGTTCGGACGGTTGAAGTCAACAATGCCGAGTTCCTTATCAACAAGATGCCCTTCTACTTTACCGGATTTGGAAAGCACGAGGACACCGCCATTCGTGGCAAAGGCCACGATCCGGCATACATGGTGCACGATTTCGAGCTTATGAAGTGGATAGGCGCGAACTCTTTTCGGACCAGCCACTACCCTTACGCTGAAGAAGTCTTGGACTATGCAGATCGCAACGGCATTGTAATCATTGACGAAACTGCTGCTGTTGGCTTGAATCTCGGCATCACCTCTGGTCTCTTCGGCGGCAAGCCGCCCAGCACTTTCGCACCAGATGCATGTAACGACCGTACACAAGCTGCGCATGCGCAAGGTATTCGCGAATTGATTGCTCGAGATAAAAACCACCCTTGCGTCGTTATGTGGTCAATAAGCAACGAGCCAGCGTCTCATGAGGAGGGCGCTCGCGAGTACTTCGACCCTTTGGTCAAACTCACACGTTCGCTAGACGGCCGTCCAGTGTGTTTCGCTAACTTCGGCCTCGCCACAGCAGCAAAAGATCGGATCTCAGACCTTTTCGATGTCCTCTGCCTGAACCGGTACTATGGCTGGTACGAGTCCTGCGGAGACCTGGAGTTGGCAGAGGCCGAGCTTGAAGCAGATTTGTTGACGTGGCAGAACAAGTACCCCGAGAAGCCCATCATCATGACTGAGTACGGAGCAGACACCATTGTTGGTCTGCATTCTGCAGGCGTCACACCCTGGAGCGAAGAGTTCCAAACAGACGTGTATGATCTGTACCATCGAGTCTTCGACCGCGTCAAAAACGTGGTTGGGGAGCAGGCATGGTCCTTCTCAGACTTTCAGACAAGTCAGCATGTATTCCGGGTCGATGGCAACAAGAAAGGCATTTTCACCCGCGATCGACGGCCTAAGAGTGCTGCGCAGACATTGAGAAGAAGATGGCGGTTCGAAGGCAGAGGACTGTTTCAGTCTACAAGGATGATTCCGCTTAGCAAGGAGACATAGGGAAGCTTGCAATAGCGGATAGCAATAAAGAAGGCTTTCAACGGACGACAACGTGCTTCCTCTTATTGACCCAGCTACGCATTTCTGAGGTCGACCTACGTTCTCCAGGATTTTTCCAGACTTGCATGACAGCTATCAGTACCGTAGGAGATGCGCGCATATAGCATTAGAGCGACATCGCAAGGTACCAGTGAGCGGCCATGATCCATGGCGCTGGCGGCTTGTAACCTTGATTAATTCGCGCTATCAGCTTTTACCCGTCAGTAGGGATTTGTTGAGAGACTTCCCCCGCTCCAAAATTGAGGAGAAGTTGCGGATCTTCCGGAGCGAGAATGGCTGGAGGCCTTGCAGGCCCACGAAATTATGTAGTGTGATTGGCCTAGAAACAGCGCTTCATGCTATAAGGGAAGGTGCACGGGAACCGCACCGTTCCGCTGCTTAGTCTAGTCCCTGTTCAGCGCGCCACGTCTATACTGTTAGCAGAACTCCAACGCGTTGCATACCTAGGTAGGCGAAGTTCTACTTCGACTTTGACTGTCAGCATACATGCATTGTTAGCTTTGCTATCAAGGCTCATTGTAATGCGATTGAGAACTGGAATTAAAAAATACGTGGTGAGACGAAGGTTCACTCGTTGATATGAAGATTTAGTGAGAAAGACAGAAGCTCAACCACTGTGTGCTGGGAGTTGCTTGTGCGAGATCTATTCTTCCAGACTTCGTCCAATGAATGGATGTGTACGTCCTCTCTCTGTTGTGGCACAATTGTATAATCTCCGCCAGGTTCTCACTGGTTCTTAAAGAGGTTCTGCCTTTTCATAACACAATACACCCTTCTGTCTTTTACTAATATAATACATCTTGGTACTCGGAGTTAGGACAAACAAGGGCACGAAGACAATTCGAACATTGATCGTACCATTTGGGCCTGCAAAGCCTGATTTTAATATATTGATCAGATATGTGAGAAACCAAAGACCGCGCTCTGTGGTATATAAAGGCCATCAGAATGCCTAGTAGAGAGAGACACCAGCACGCACTTCTTCGTCCCCATACTTCACTACATTCTCCCGAGAACTCAACATCTCTTCTTACCAGCCAATCTTTCAAACATGGCTCCCATCTTCAAGTCTATGGCCATCGTGGCTCTCAGCATCTTCTCCGTTCTGAGCTCTCCGATCGAGCAGGCCGAAAGTGTTGCAGAGTTCGCTCCGACCCTGGAGACGCGTCCTGACTTCACGCCTCTGGAGAAGCGTGCTGACTTCCAGTGGAGGTTCTGTGAGTTTTCCACACTTGAGCTTTTGGCTTCACAGTGTGAAACATCAGTACATGGATAGTTGCTAATTGTGAGCATCAGACAGCAATGGCGGGTGTGACCACAACAGCAATCCGTCTAACACGTTCCCGTCCAACGGCTCTCCTCCGTAAGTCCAAAGACTCCAAATATACACTCCAGCCATCGCCATGCCAATGCCCTGAATCTACCAGAGTCAAACTAATACGTATATTGCAGTGGCCAGGGCACTGTCGGAAACTGCTACTCTGCCCCAACTGGAGTCAATTGGAACAGGGTCGAGATTGACATTTTCTTCGGCAACGGAGGCGGTAGTACGTATTTCCCATATGCATGTTCTTTCGTTCAAAGTATCCTACAGCGGATATTCAGAACTATACCCGCTGCTACGCTCCTCAGTTAAAGGGTCTGTCTGCTAATCATGTTCCACGCGAATAGGGGGCCTCCAGACCTTCTGCAACGTCAACTGCGCAGGCGGCGCGTCCGTCAAACAGCAAGGTACCAACTGTTACTTGCCCATCTCGGGATGCGCCATCGGAAGCTTGTAAGCACTTGTGATCCTTCACACCACAGGCTTGGCTAATATGAACTTTAGCCGCGTCATCAACTAGGCTCTACAATACTGCCGGCACAGGGCCGATGTGCAGGGCATCGGTATTAGTAGGTATGCAGACTTGTCAGCAACACCTAGGTACCTAGGTATATATGTGCTGTGGAAGAGTCGAGAGTCGGAGAGTATACTCAGGGGATCGATGTATTTCGACCATTAACATTTGTTAAGATCAGATAGGACATATTCATGTAGAAAGCCTCCGGAATATGGATCCTACGAGCACCTCAGTCCATTGTTTGTGCATGTGACCCATGACTGAGAATCAAATTGAATGTATGCATTCACAACAGATACTTGTATTCTAGGTCACTAGCAGAGCTTTCCAAAGTTACAGCTATCCCCGGAACCACCTGTGACCTTCACATTCGAGAAAGTGATGTTCGAGCAGCTGTTGCTACCACAGAGGATGTAGTAGTTCTTCGCTTTGGACGTAGCGGTACCGGTAACGCTCTTGAAGGCCACGTCCTGAATCTTGACACCGTTGGTAGGTGTGCCTGTTGGACCGCCGTTGAGGTAGTCCTGCTCCACAACCTTTAAAAATAGTCAGCTCTAGTCAGGCATTCGGGCAGCTTTGCGTCCACTTACAATACCGAATTTGTTGATGTTGGAAAGCGTGATATTCTGGAACAGAATGTTTTGGACTACGCTGTTTGTCGCGCCGGAGACCGTCTTGACTCGGACGCCGTTCTGGCTGTTCTTCACCCTGGAGTCGTAGAAGAAAACATCTTTGATGGTTGTATCACCTGGCTTGGTCAGTAGGGAATCTGCGAGGTCCGCGCGAAGGGTAACTTACTGCCGACACTGCCAATGGACAGGCCGTGACTTCCGTCACATGAGGCGTTCCTTACAGTGACGTTTCCAGCGCCTCCGCTGACGGCGACGCAGTCGTCCTGGTTGATTACGGTAATGTCTTGGAGGAGGACATTTGTGGCTTTCACGTTGAAGCCGTCGGTGCTGGCATCTCGTTAGACTGAACACTCAATGTGGAAGGTAGCTTATATCGTACTTGTGCGCAGCAGGCTTCCCCCCTGAGAGGCTGTTCGGAGCATCGCCAGCCGAATTGTCCAAAGTGACGTTCTTGACGACCAGGTACGACCCTCCAAGTGTAAAACCGTGAGCAGGATAGTTCTTAATGAAGAGGTTCTCAATGCGCGATTGGGTACCCGCGGCTTTGACCTGGATGAAGTGGCCCGGCCTGCGACATGTTAGTTGTGCGCAAACAAAACGGTCGGTAGGGAGACTCCATACTTCTCGACGCCGTTATCACCTTGGCCATCCCACCAAGCCGCTCCGTTTCCGTCAATGACAGCCCCAGGTGCAGCAGTGATGTGGAAGTCAGTGCCTCCAATCAAGATGAGAGGACTTTCCCAAGCCTTGAAGCCGAACGTCTGTGACAACGTAGTTTAGCGCGATTTCATAATGAGTAATGATCATAAAGCGCAGACTAACCGTTGTCCCAGCAAAAGTCACAGTAGTGCTCGGCTTCACTTTTGTGAGGTCAAGCTGGCTGCCAGCGGGAACCGCAATGTTACTGAGGGTTATTGCCGTACATGAAGCGACGGCCGCAGGGACTTGGCTGTAACTCGTTGCTGTGCATGAGGATGCTGTTGGGGCAGCGAGTATTGTGTTGGCAAGCAGAGCGCCGCTCAGAGCAGCGAGGATGGATCGGGGCATCTTGGTTTTAGCTGAGAACAGAAAAACTCGCGTTCAAATTTACACCAGGAGGAAGTGAGTGCAGTGGTACCTATTGACCTGGCTACGAGGCATTATGTATAGAATGCATCGCAGTCACTCGTACCGCTGCGGCCAATATTTTGATGCTCATGCATCTTGACTCGCTCTCTTAAAACATGGCGCCTGTGCTGTTCAGCCTTGTGCGTTATTTCTCCTCCAGTCCAGTCAATCGAGACTCGAACGTGCAATGAAACATTAATCTATGATGGACGAGTTCGTTCAAGCGTTGTTTCATCGAGTGATTTGATTCGCGTGGTTTGCCAGCTTCGCGTGTTGCACCACTCACTCTTGCGGCCAAGTGTAATAAGCTTCTGTTAAGCATGGATGGGCAGAGCTTGTAAATGCTTGGTGGCAGTGGTGGGTGAATTGATGCGGGAAAATTAATCAGGGGCGAGCTACGTAGATTGGATCGTGAATCTGGCTAGCTTGAACGAGACCCTAATTCCGCAAATGAACGGCTTCTGGGTTTCGTCCTGTTCAGACTGACTCAACGTACGATCCGCAAGGCTTACTGCTCTCTTGGTTAAATCTACCTAGTGTTGGCCATAGTGCTTGGACAGCCAGCTTAAAGGGCGCCGCCCATTGTCGTATAAGCCACGAGACACCGCCGAGCAGCGTACGAACGAACATGAATGTCCGTAACCAACAGCCGCCATACTTAAACCTACTTAGGTAGTTGTTTACTATCATCGAATTAGCACAGTAAGAACAGCTAGAAGACGATCGCTCACGATGTCTCTCATAGCCTAACATCTCTTGTCGAAGACGATCACGGGCGCAGTCATCCATAGCGCGCACCCTAGGGTACTTGATTGAGGCAGGACATGCTGTCAGAGGAATGAAATGGTGTAGACAATATGTTAAGTCTTGATAGACTGGCACAACTCTGTTGTAGATGAAAGCATGTTAGGGTCTGCTGCTATGTTAGGGGTGACACGATGTTAAGGTAACACGCTGTTAGGGCTCTATCAGGCCTGCTGTTATGTTAAGGGTAACATGATGTCAACGTTCCTGCTCTGTCAGCCCTTAAGCCTGGTGTTTGTATCTCTTGGCATTTCTTACTTTACCTCTTACGCTGTGAAGGTGCACGCCAGAAGGCTGCAACCTAGATAGAAAGGTGCAGCAGGCCTACATACCTATAGAAGCATCCTCTGCAGAGGTATAGGTGCACCTTCTGCAGAGGTGTAGGCGCCCTGTTAATAGGTACCTTGTGTTGATGTTCCTGTACAAAGGAAGGCACAGGTCTGCTCCTGCCTCTACCTCTGACAGACTCCAGACATCGTGTCAGCCTTGACATCGTGTCAGCCTTGACATCATGTTAATCCTAACATGCTGCACGGCTGATACTTTGTTGCGGGCATATCATACTGATTTTAAATCACCTCCTGACACGTCTTAGACGTCATGTCCTATGTCTATCAAGTACCCTAGGGTGCGCGGTACGGATCTGTAGACGGGCTCGTTTTGCAGTGGATTATTGTTCAGTACATGCACTGCCTGACATAGTACTTGGCCTGCGGTAGGCCTGAAGTCAATCAATAGTAGAAGGAACAAGCACAGTTGCCAAGACGGACCCATCCGCATGACGATCGAGACCCCACCATGGTGTCCACCAACCCTTCCTGGCGGTACGGCTACATCATAGCCTATTTTCACAACCTTGCACTTGCTCACTTTGACTTACACTAAATCGGCCACAATGACCGCTATGTACGAGCTGGACGATATATTTGGCTACATGCCTTTTGACCATTTCCTCGTGGTACGCTTAACGGCCTTGTTAGAGTACTAGCACTCGTAGCTGACATTGTTCAAAGGACAATTGGGATCCAGAATTGATTCTCGATCGAGAGACGCAAGAGCAAACCCTTGTGGAGACATGGATTAGCCTTGGTAGGCATGGTCGTTCTGTAGGATCTCTCAACCCAATTCCCAAGTACCTTACATACCAGCCCACTCACGCAATCGTCTATTAGACCTATATCGATCGATGCATGGAAAATGGGCAGATTCCTGTCCCTGGTCACGCTCCTAGAGATCTGTCGGCGTTTGAGAAGCGGCAAACGGTGGATCCAGATGAATGGAGTGACGCCAGTGCCATCTGGATTCGAACATGGTATGGCAATGAAGCAGAGGAGGGTGACCTCCCAAACGAGGAGATGGCCACCCGCGCAAGTGCTGATGCTGCGTATGCTCGCTTGTGGCAGAAAGCCTTGTGGCCCCTGGAAAAGGACGGATTCAACGACAGCATGTTCGGCCCGTACATCTTCGATGACAATGCTGGCATCTACGGGGTTTCAGCACGAGATGCAGACGATGAAGTGGATCTAATGGATGGAATACCGTCTTTCATCTTGAATGCTCTGGTGCGGTGCCCCGACGCGATGGAAGGCAGTAGTGGGCGCGATGCAGAAGACGACGAGGAGCTAATGGGGTCGCAAGCGTTGCTCGTAGTGGTCGCTGATGGTGAGGCATGTGAAGATGGGTGGGTATTGCTGGTAGCTATGAATGACAGGGGTCAGGTATTGCACAAGCGTGTCAGGTGCAAAGCTTCTGATGTCGGGCAGAATGTGGCCTTCTGGAGGGATGGAGGTGAGCCGCTGGACATTGATAATACCAGAGAGAACGTGATAGACTACCGGGATCCCAATCAATCGGGTAGTGGCTGGGATGACGGATAAACACTGGTAGACATATGATGTTATCTCCCAGGTTAGTATTTGGACGCCTGTCCCTTCTTATAGACTATGTCAACCAGGTCTTCTTTAATGTGTTGCGAGGAAGCCACCCAACGTCTCTCAGCGCGAGGAAGTAATGCCTGTGACGTAACCACCAGCTGTTGAGGAAGCGAAGAACGACACTAGTATTGTCCGTTATCGTAGGTAGGGGAGAGGGTTTGCTCGGAACGAAGTCACAATTTGTACCTAGGTACCTAGGTACAAAGGAACCCTGTTTTCTGCCGCAGTAGGAACGTTACTGGTTCACGTATGCAGCAGGGCACACTTTTCTATGGAATGCATATGTTATGGAGCTAGCCGAAGACATCATCTGGAGCAATGGCGACGATTATACGGTATTATTCAACAACTGTCAGCAGCTTTGTCGCCAGATACATCGCTGCATTCGCATACCAACATCTATGTACATGCTGATCGAAGCCGTATTCGCTGTTCCCTACCGTTTTTCGCATCATGAGATTCAGCGGCAGCCTAGGGAATGGGAAATGTACAGTCGTGGACATTTAGATCCATATAGCCCCACTCTAGAACCACCGCGGATACCCGAGGTAGTCTCCTCTATCAGCTACGTTATCTTAAATCTCATGTACGGGATATTGTCCCATCCTCTTTGGCTCGAAATTATTGTTGCTTCAATCGCAGCCAGCTTCATAAGTATAGACTCGCCGATAGCACTCTTCAACCGAGAGTGGATCCTGAAAAGCTCCTGGCGTCACCAAGTACTTCGAGAGTACGAAGCAAAGCATAGCGAACTTGCAGAGAGCGTTCGAAAATATCGAACAGACCCACGGAAGAGCAATGCAATGGTTAGAGATGTGATGTTACTTCTCATCGCAACGGCTCGCTGGCTATATGCTCTATGGTGTGGGTGTGCCTTCGACTGGCCATCGCCTGTGAGATGGATGGGACTTGTGGTGAACATTGGGTATGTCATGGGAATCTGCCTAATAGGAAGGTTTCTCGAGGAATCGAATAATTCCACGCTGCTGTTTTTCATGTAATAGCTATAACGCTGGCCGAAATGTGCGGATCAATCCTATCTTGGTCCACATTAAGGGAAGCCCGCTGTTAGAGGGCCTCCCGCATGAGGTATCTTATCTTGGTAAAGGTGCTAGACTATCCAAGTACCTAAGCAAATGTAGGCAGGCAAGTTTGACATGCTGCTGGTGGCTTGCCATATCCGCACATGTATAGACTTCAAACCCTCTAGGTAGCCTGAAGGACTTCGGCAGATCGCGGTGCTCAGGCCTCGAATCGACACGGTGCCATGAGATTGCCGACGCAACTTCCCCGTTCGCCGTTCCCAGCAACCGCAGCAACATTACTGGTAGCGCGCCCGACAAGACCGAGCAGCGAGATCCTGATCACGGTGCAGTATACTCAATTCGGGAGTACTTCGTAGTATAGCTGCACCTCCGTCTTATTGCAGGGGTCACCACGGTTGAGCATTCCCTGAGGATCTCAAGCGCGCACCCGCCAACAGCGATGCGCGGCGCATCCTTTGCTCGCCGCAGGTGTCTTCGCAGATCGGGCGTGCTGGCGTTTCTCAGATGGGAGAGATGGTGGCGGTGCTGATGACAAGTGATGTGAGACAAAGGGATATTGGGCGTCATGAAGGACGGTTACGTCGCTGCGATTGGCTGGTGATTAAGTGGTGTTTCTGCTTTTCTTGGAGTAATTCAGGACTTTGTGGGGCCTAGATTTGTGATTTTGGGCTGTGTTGTTAGGAGGCTTTTCGAGCTGAGGGTACGACATCCGCGAATGATGAGAAATCTAGGTCTTGCTTTCGCTGTGTGAAGGTGTGGCACGAAAGTCTGGATGAAGCTTGGGGTGGGCTTTGTTCCACTCTCGCAATTGAGTATGTCGAAGGCTTTGATTCTCTGCTTATCATGTAGAACATCCCGCGTTCTTCAAAGTTCAGACTCGGGCGCTCGGTACGTTTTGTGTCACGTTTCTGGCAGGTGTGATCTCCAACATCCCTACACGCAACTTACCAAAGCATTAAACACTACATGACGACACTCCTCATGAGCAAGCGTCGTTCGGCTTTTCTTGGCAAAGGAAGGATTGCAATGACACATAGATAAGGCAGAGAGGTGTCGCACGCATGAATGAAGGTGGTCTGACTGATTACTCCGCGTATTCGTTGCACCTCCACACAAAGTGCGTAATGTCCGGACCCAGCCGCCTCGGCCACTTGTGTCTCAGTGCGCGTATCTGGCCGACTGCGATGGAGACGACCCCTCCACACCCACGAAGGCGATCAGGCACTGCGCACGAGGCCGATGGCGAAGCCACCCCAACCGAGCGTTGGCGCGCATCACGAAACACATAAAGACCGAAGTTATCACAAAGATGATTTGATGTGAAACGCTCAATTTGTTCTATAAACGGGTATCTTGAAAGGAACAAGAGGAAACGGTGTTTCGCTAGGCGCCGCCTTCGCGCGCGCGCCCAGTTCAGTTCCACCGCTTACGAAGCGAAAGCAGCGCCGACCTCGTTGAGTGCGGTACCAGCCTCGTTCAGCAGGAACTTGAGACCACCAGCGTTGGTGGTGGGGGCAGCCATGTGCCAGGCGTACCTCTCGATCCAGGGCTGCTGGTCCATCCAGGGAAGGACCTCCTTGAGGAAAGCGGCGGAGTTGCCCTCAGTGACACCGAACTCGGTGACCCAGACGTTCTTGTTGAAGGTCTCGTGGAAGTTGGTGAGGTAGGCCTTGAAGTCCGCAGCCTTGTCCCAGGCATAGTAATGGGCGACGACGAAGTCAATCTTGCAGTCACTGCACTGCGACATGAAGGACTTGAGCCAGTTGATGCCCTTGGCCTCGCCTACACCGTTGGTGACGGAAGGCGAACCGACCCTCAGAGAGCCGGCGAGAGGCTGGATGTACTGCTTGTGGGCTGTGACGGCGTCGGCGACGGACATGCAAGAGCCACCACCACCGCACTGGTCAGGCTCGTTGAAGGAGAGCACGTGCGAGACCTTGTAGTTCTTCTGAGCATTGGCAACGTTGTTGGCCCAGCCTGAGGTGCACCAATCCTGGTTGGAGTGAAGGAGGGGGACGTATTCGAGGCCAGAGACAGGTGTGCCGTCAATGACAGCCTCCCAGTCGTACATCCATGTGATCTGATCATAGCTGTCGAACAGATGAGTGTAAGTCGATCCAGCGACACCGTTGTTCTGCTTGGGGAATGCAAGACCACGCTTGCCAGCGGAAGCACGCTTCGCTGGGGCAGCCTCAGTCAGGGCTGAGAGGGCAGCGAGGCCCAAAAAGAGAGTGGATTTGATAGACATTTTGTTTTGAAAGAGTGACGTGTGCTGAAAAGAGTGAAGCACCGCTGATTTTCAATGGGAATGAGTGTAGTGACAAAAGAGTGTCTTGCTGTAATTCGAACCGAACTCCAGAGTGCCTACATCTTCTATATAGTAGCCATGAATCGGAAATGAAAGCACGGCCCGCAGGGCCAGCTCCTGCACATTGTCCGGCGGAGCGTTGGCGTGGGTTGGCGTGAGCCATCGGCGACTTGTGTCGTGTTTCAAACAAAAACGTAAAGTCCGGCTATGCATGCCGCTCAACTGCAGTTCGAGAGCGACTCTTGACGCGGTCATATTTGCAGTAGTTTGAGGCATTTTGCACTTTCTGCACCTCGGATTCGCTGGATATTCGACTCTTGCATGCAGGAACCAACCCGTTTTTCAGGAACCCGCTCGGCGTTCAGGAACACTGCACCTCCATTATCGCACTGCGCACACCAGGCACGCCACCCCGGTCATGCGCGCTGTCAGCACAAGACATGGCACTCCAAGCAGTACGACAGCACACCGCACAACATGCTCTCATGTGCAGAGATCGATGCAGAATTCGATTTGTGAGGTCGTGGCGTGTGTGGGGCGAGCCAGGCGCGCGGTATGTCAGTGGAGATCCACCGGCAGCTAAGCACAGGTACCGGGCCAGAACTTCGCTAGCCCTCGGTTTCTTTGCGAAGGTCCGAACGGCTGTTGGCTGCCTTCACAAGCGTCGTCACCTCCTGTAATTTGCACATGCAGGCCAAGAAAGACAAGATTCAACACACTTGACGTGGCCTTCGGGTTGGTCTTTTCGGCGTCTGCAGGTCTTGCTGAGTCTGATTCTGCCGCAGTGTCTAGACTGGGTAGGAGGCCATAGCCCGTGGAGCCGACGGAGTAAGCGCATTGTCTTTGGCGTGTCTGCGTTGGGACTTCTGTCAGTGCCGGTCAAGCCGGGCCGATGACAGGGAATGCCACGTTGCGACCGTTGCTCAGGGCGAGCAAGAGGGCACACGTCACCCCAAGTTCCCCATGCTGAAGATCCTTCTCGTGTTATAGCCTCAAAATATATTCTATACGATATCAGGGGTATACAGCAAAGCAGCTTCTCTATATATGCAGCGAAACGACGGTGTAGAGACAGGTGGGCTGAGAAAAATCCCACTCAATGTGCGCCCAGTGCCTGCAGAGCGATTCGTAATTCTTTGACTGCAGTAGCCGCATCGTCGAAGTTCAGCGCCGAGATGGCCCACTTGGCATGTTTCTGCGCTTGCCTGATCGATTCCTCGTCGTCTCGGAAGGTGCCCGACGACGAGGCTACTTGTGGCGGCGGGGCTGCTAATTGAGCAGAGGGATTTTGACGTGGCGCTGACGAGTACTGCTGAGAGGGCGCAATGGTCTGAGGCATGTGGTACGGCTGCTGAGGGGGTTGAGGCGATGGTGCAGGGAAGTGTTGCTGTGGTCGCTGGGGTGGCGATGCATACGGGTTCAGTGGAGAAGCTTGCGGTGGTTGCGTCACCAGAGGAGGCGATGCAGGGTTCTGGTAGAAAGCGGACGGGTCAGGCACTCCAGACGCTTGCGGTGTTGACCCCATCGCGACATCTGGATTGCCCAGGGAGCTCGTCAAGGGGTCATCAACGATCGAGGGTGCTGTTGGCAGGCTAGGGGCAGTGTTGTCCGAGGTAAACGTCGGTGGTGCGTCTGTCCTTGGAAAGTACCCGCCCCCAACTGATACCACAGACCCCTGGCGGGACGTTGCTGGCTGAGAGATGGGAGACACGTCGTCATGTGCGTTGGATGTGTATCCGGAAGGTACTGTGGGCAAGTTTGGCGGGGGCGATACCTTTGGCGCTGAGAAACTGGGTGACGGCTGCGCATCTGTGTTTGGCGCTGACTCCACGTAAGGCTGGTACGTATCTGGGGCGGGTGGCTGTGACGTGCTCTGGTTGATGCGCTGGACGTCTGGGTCGGTTGGGTCAAGCAGAGGCGGCGTTGGTGGCTGTTGCTCCTGCTCTCGCACAGGATTGGTCGCGTTCGGATCCTCGCCAGCCTTGATGGCTTTGATTATGCGCAGAGCGTGGTACTTGGCGTACTTGGTCTTCGAAGCTATCTCCGGGTCGTCTTTCTTCCATACACCGAGGACGTCAAGGAATGTCGACGCGGCCATGAGCGTGTCCGCGGTGGCGGCTGTGACCGTGTTCTCTGTCATTTCCTTGTCGCCCTTCCCCAAGGTCTGCAGGGCGAACTGTTCGCAGTATGCGCTCGCAGCGATATCGTCCAGCAGCGCGTCTTCGCCAGGCATGTCTGCCTTGGCCTGCTCGAGCTTCTCCATCAGGTCGGTGGTGTAGGAGGTGCATTCTGGGTCAGCCGAGTGTAGTCCAGAGCTGATGATCTTCTGCACCATGTGGAAGCGCACTGGTAACAGTATCAGTCTCTTGCTGCCTCACGTAGAGCTGCACGGGTACTCACACCAGTATGTGACGATGGGCCTGAAGCGCTCGAGCTGCGCCGCCCTTTTCGCGAACGACGCAAGCTGCAGCGACTTGAGCTTCGCGGGTATCGCATCGGCCATGATGGTTCACAATATGTACAGGGACACTCGCTGTGAGTTTGGTGGAGGTGTTGCACGGCACGCTGCATGTGCCATGTGGTCATAGGCGGTAGGAGCCACCCCTGCTCGCCCCGCACTCGAGCTATGGGCAGCTGTTTCCGGGCCTCAGTTACAAACAGCCTTGAGGACAACTTGCATTTACCTTGAAGTTATGTGAGCGCCGCAGTCCAAGCACTTGCTGCTGACCCTCTCTCCATTCACCAACCCGCAACCGCATACCCACTCAGCCATGGTCCGCCTCTCGACCTATGTCGCCGCTACGGCCGCGCTGGCCCTGAATGCGCATGCCGAGAGCATGTACAGCAAGAAGTCCGGCGTCCTCAACATCGGAGGCACCGACTACGACAGAGTCATTGCCAAGTCCAACTACACTTCGGTGAGTCGCATGCTGCAAGAAGCACTGGACGCGGACTGACATGCCGCTAGATTGTCGAGTTCTACGCGCCTTGGTGCGGCCACTGCAAGAACCTCAAGCCCGCCTACGAAAAGGCCGCACAGTCCCTCGCCGGCATTGCCAAGGTCGCCGCCGTGAACTGCGATGAGGAGATCAACAAGCCCTTCTGTGGGCAGATGGGTGTCCAGGGTTTCCCGACTCTTAAGATCGTACGACCAGGCAAGAAGCCAGGAAAGCCCATTGTCGAGCCCTACGATGGTCCACGCTCGGCCAAAGCCATTGTAGACGCTGTGAAGGACAAGGTCCCCAGCATCGTCAAGAGGGTGACCGACAAGAACCTGGACGAGTGGCTGCAGGAGAACAAGAGCGGCGCGAAGGCCATCCTTTTCAGCGAGAAGGGTGTAGTCAGTGCAACTTTGAAGGCTCTTGCCATTGATTTCGCTGGCATCGTCTCCGTGGCCCAGATCAAGAAGTCCGAGAAGACGGCTGTTGAAAAGTATGGCGTTACCGACTTCCCGTCTCTTATCCTCGTGCCGGCTGGTTCGGAAGAGCCCATCAAGCACAAGGGCAAAGTCGAGAAGGATGCCATGGTCAAGTTCCTTTCCCAGGTCGCGCCACCGAACCCTGACTGCCCTGGTCCAAAAGAGAAGAAGCCCAAGGCTAGTAAGAAGGATGCCAAGAAGGAATCGAAGTCTTCCAGCAAGTTCGCCAAGGCATCGGGTTCTCACAAGTCTGCCGACGCCTCATCGGCTGCTGCATCTGCTACGGATGAGACTGTCGAGGAGCCCATCGCCGCGACAGAGTCTCCCGACCCTAATGTCAAGACTGAGGACACCCCAGACCCGGTCGAACTGCCTATTGAAGAGGCCAAGCCTTCTGTACCCTCTATTGCAGATGCTGCCGAACTCCAGGCTCTCTGCCTCAACGAGCAGGCTAAGACTTGTATCCTGGCTATCTTGCCCCCAGACGATGCTTCTGATGCTGCCATGTCTGCCATGTCCGTCATTACCACGTTGGGAGCCATTCACAAGAAGCACGGCGCCAAGCTCTTCCCCTTCGTCATCGTCCCTCCTTCAAACCCACTCGCAGAGACACTTCGTTCCGAGCTTAGCCTCGGCGTCGATGACACTCTTGATCTTATCGCGACTCACGGCAAACGTGCCTGGTACAAGAAGTACCCTGGCACTAAATTTGGCGCCAAAGACGTTGAGACGTGGGTCGATGCCATCCGCATGGGTGAGGGTAAGAAGGAGAAGCTTCCCGAGACATTGATTGCATCTGGAACTCAAGAGACCGTCAAGGAGAAGGTTGCCGAGCAGGAGCCAATTCAAATCAATGTTGAGGAGATTGTTGATGATTTACCCGAGCATAGTGAGCTTTAGAGACTTCTTAAATGGGCATTGTACATTTAGCATAGTAGCTTGAGCGAATGTAGGGGAGGCGCAGGATTTATGACCTCTGAATACAAGACTTTTAGCGATTCAATGACTTCAAGTTTTCGGTCTTCGTAAGCAAATGGACGTCTGAGATACGTCTTGACATGTTCAACAAGACTCATAATCGAACACCGTATGAGAGGGTATCATGATTGTTGTTCGGTTCTGTGAAGATGTACACCGCCTAAGCCTAGTTTAGCCTCAGTGCACGTGCGTGCATCCCCAACCTCGCATCAGCATCAACACCTCCAATCAACAAGCAAGCCTTTCATCGCGATGTCCATAAGATAGCACGAGGCTTCAAAGACCACTCCACACAACTCGCACAAACATGGCGCCCGCCACGCCTTTCAACGCCGCCGAAATAACAGAAAAGGCGCGGCGCGACCTGCTGCTGCTGCTCGAGGGTGTAAGGCAGCCAATCGCACTCCCAAAACCATGACCTAATTTGTTCTCGCAGATTCGGGGAAAGAAAAACCTGGTCCTTGAGAAAGCACTTGCGGGCCCACTGAACTTGCTGGTTAAGTTCTCGACACTTCAGGAGTACGGTGTCGATAAGCCGTTTTTCCTTGAGAACGATAATGCCGATGCTAGTCAAAGGAATGTGGTCTTCCTCGTCAGGGGAGAGAAGGCGAAGACGGTGATGAGGGTTGCTGGTATGTGTAGTTGATTTTGTTGTGATTGAGAGTGCGCTAATCTTTCACATTTGCGCATCATCTGTTCTTCCTTGATATCTGCACTTCGATGTCCAGGAACGCACGACTAACGTCAGGTAGAGCACATCAAACGCATACGGAGAGAAAGCGAGATTGAACATGAATTTTCTATCTTCTGGGTGCCGAGGCGCACGCTGGTCTCAGACCAGCTGCTCGAAGAAGCTGGCGTGCTTGGTGAGGCCAGCGTGAGCGAATGGCCGCTCTTCTTCGTACCTTTGGCCGACGATGTGCTGTCTCTCGAGCTCGACGATGCAGTATCCGACCTATACCTTGTACGTCTGTGCATGTCATGCTCCACCAACTGCGACTGACCCGCCCCAGCGCAAGGATCCTACTTCGATCTACTTAGCAGCAAAAGCACTGATGCTTCAGCAACGCAAGCACGGTCTCTTCCCGCGGATCGTTGGCAAGGGTGATAATGGCAAGCGTCTCGCCGATCTCCTCATCAAGATGCGCACGGAAGTCGCAGCAGGCGAACCCCCAAGTAACGCCGGTCCATCATTCCTAGGTCTTGCCCCAAGCACGACGGTCGACAGCCTGATCATCATCGATCGAGAGGTCGATTTTCCGACTGTCCTGCTCACCCAGTTGACGTATGAGGGCCTTATTGATGAAGTGTTCAACATCTCTGCCAACCAGACTGAAGTCGACTCCTCGATCATTGGTGGTGCAGCAACACAACCAGGCCAGACTGGTTCCGCATCCACCAGCATGAAGCGTAAGATCATGATCGACCCCAAGGATACTCTCTACAACGACTTGGGCGATGCCAACTTCGCCATCGTCGGCTCTCTTCTCAACAAAGTAGCGCGCCGTCTCCAGACGAGTACGGAGCGCAACAGTCTCGCCGCAAAAACTACGTCTGAACTCCGCGACTTTGTTGCCCGCCTTCCTGGATATCAAGCCGAGCAAGCCAGTCTCAAGCTACATACCTCACTTGCCGAAGAGATTATAAAGCACACTCGTACTGACGCATTCACGCGCTGCCTCGAAGTCCAGCAAAACCTCACATCCGGCGCCGACCCATCCACCCAACACGATCTCATCACCGAGCTGATCGACCGCGGCACGCCCCTCTCCACCATCCTGCGCCTCCTCTGCCTCGAAAGCACCACCAATGCCGGCATCCGCCCCAAAGACCTCGACACCTTCAAGCGCGCCATCATCCAAGCCTTCGGGCCCCAGCACCTCCTGACTCTTCAGTCCCTCGAAAAAATGTCTCTTCTCACGCCCCGCGGCGGCGCCACCCTCGCCGGCGGCACCGGCAGCTCCGTCAAGCCCGGCAGCGTAACCAACTACACCCCCCTGCGCAAAACACTGCGGCTGTGGGACGACGAAGTCAACGAAGCCCAGCCCAACGACATCAGCTACGCGTTCTCGGGCTACGCGCCGCTGAGCGTGCGCCTCGTCCAGGCCGTCGTGCACAAACACACGCTCGCCAACACGATCAAGCCGCAGCCCGCGGGCGCCCCGCTGAACGCCAACCCGCTCGCCAACGGGTCGCGCTTGTTCGACGACTGCGCCAAGTATGTGCGCGGCGCGACGTTCGACGAGGTGCAGAAGGGCGAGGGCGCGCAGAAGGCGCTCAAGGCAAGGCAGATGCTGAGTGGGCACGGCGACGCGGGGAAGACGGTGGTGGTGTTCTTCCTGGGGGGCGTGACGCGGGCAGAGATTGCGGCGCTGCGGTGGGTGGGGAGGAAGTTGGCGGAGAGCGGGGGGGAAGGGCGCGGGAGTAGGATTGTGGTTGCTGCGACGAATGTGCTTACGGGTGAGAAGCTGGTGGATGCTGCGACGGAGAAGGGCGTGTTCAAGGCATAGTGGAGTCTAAGATGGAGAGGAAGTATATTCATGCTAGATATGTGTGCATGGCGACGATGAACTGAATGGCTGCAGCATGCTGTCGCCAGGCACGTCAGGCCAGCCACTTGGCGAGATGCAGCAGCAGGGAAGAAAAATAAATGGCCACACCAGGGCAGTGTCTGCACTTGAACAGAGCTATCCATTAGTAACTGTGCGGCTTATCGGCTGCGATAGAGATGAGTTGCATCCTAAAAAAGTGTCAGGTGGTTGGGTGGCTGGTTGGACGTGCCCAAGTGCAGCCTGTCCACACAGGTATATGCTGGACCTTGAGCAGTTCAGGTACGCAGATCAGGAGTATACAGAGCAGAGAGTATCACGGTCATCAAAGATGGTGCTTGTAACATCGAACGTTCATTCAATTTTCCTTTCCTTCGCTTTCGACTACATCTTTCCGCTAAGCGTGAGTCATTTTTGTAAGACATCCATTGGTCGTCAGGGCATCGTCGTGAGAAGTACATACAATACTTTTGCGTCCCCCCATAAATGCCGAAGAGAACCGTAGGAAAGAGAAAGGAGGTAGAACCAAACACACCAAGTCTATCGTGAAATGCCGCAAAACATTGAAACTCCGTTCGCAGCGCTAGCGCACGAGGCAGCGAGCAGTCTGGGTATATGCCCCTTGCACCTGCGGCTAGTCTTGCCCGACATCCCTGTCATCAAAGCGTCCACGTTTATCGGGTGGAGAAAGCCTTGGTGACAACGCGCTTCAGCGCAAGCTCCTTCTTCTTGAGGTCCTCGGCGGTGGAGTCCTCGACCTCGAGCTGGGCCATGGCGTCGGAGAGAGCAGCCTCGATCTTCTCCTTCTGGCCGCGCTTGAGGCGGATGGCAGTGGTGGGGTCCGAGACCATCTCCTCGACACGGGAGATGTAGGACTCGAGCTGTTGCCTGCCCTCGAACTTCTTGGAGAAAGCCTCGTCGGAGCTCTTGAACTTGGCGGCGTCGCTGATCATGTTCTCGATGTCCGAGGACGAGAGCTTACCAACGGCGTTGGAGATGGTGATGTTGGCGCTGCGGCCGGAGGTCTTCTCGGTGGCAGTGACCTTGAGGATACCGTTGACATCGACCTCGAAGACGACCTCGAGAACGGCATCACCAGCCTTCATGGGAGGGATGGGAGCAAGGGTGAACTCTCCGAGAGAGGTGTTGTCCTCGCAGTTGACACGCTCACCCTGGAAAACGGGGAACTGAACAGTCTGTTGGTTGTCCGCAACTGTCGTGAACGTCCTGAAAGATAATAGTCAGTATGTGAATGTCTGGAAGTAGTCGAGCATGTAAGAGACAAAACAGAAAAGCCCGGACCCTGAGAAGGTGGCGACATGATGATCTGACGATGATACTGGTGGATACTGGACACGCCTGGAAGTCGAAGTCGAGATGCGAAGGACAGAATCTCATGAAGATGGTGCATGCTGGAGGTAGACGATGATCTCCTCACATGACATGTCGAAAATGTTCGATAGCCGAAGATGCATCGTGAGATGTAACGAAGCACATGCAACGGTAAGGTACCTGCCGGAAACCGTTCCAAGGATAGGCCGTGGGGTCCAATGCAGAGCGCATTGTGGTCCAAATGAGAGGCTCATAACCAGTGACTCGTTGCTGAAGGTAGTCGATGCTTTGATGAGAGACCTACTGGAAACGACGGTACCCGTAAGGAGCCATCTCATGTTTTGCGTGATAATATGAGGGCGTGCATCATCCAATACGCGAAGGAGAATGTGGCCTCCATAGCATAGAAGAGTAGACGATATGCAGAGCCCATAGCAGCAGTTGGGATAGGGGCGGACACCAGGATGATTATGCGTGATCTCCATTCCGGCCTTGGTGGCTTTGATGCCGCCGCTTGGGAGGTCTTCAGTGTTGTCGCGGAGGTGGAGGTTGTGACGAAGAGCACCCAGCAGGATGTCACGCCACAGCTGGCTTCAGAGGCAGAACCATGATAGAGGCGCGGAGCCACTCCGTCAAACTCGAAGACGAGAACATAGACTCTCAAACGTCCGAGGTGTCTGGCGAGGGAGCTGTTTGGACCAGTCGACAGAGGGCGGAGCAGCACCTTGAAGGGTGTCCAACAGGCCAGAGGCGAAATCCCAGAGAACGATAGTGGCGATCTGGGTAACAACCACAATCGCGAAGAGACCTAAGCGAAGAGCTTATTCTGGCTATCGGGGACCTCCAAGCAGGCCCACACCTGCAGGATGATGGGCTGCAACAGGTCGCTGGAGGCAGTCATGGTGGTGACAGGCCAATGAATCCCTTGTTGAGTGAGTCGAGATGAAGTGAGCTGCTCAAAAGGCGAGGCAACAAACGTTCACAGCCGACCTTGGAGGCAGACGCAGTATCGTACTGTGTGAAGCAGTGGAGACATTGCTGCGAGGTGCCCGAAACCGACGATGTTGGTTGTGGTGTGGGTGTGCGGTGGAGGTTTGATTGTGAGAATGAGCAGCTTGCAGCCTTGTATGCCACCGTGAGTAGGCTGGCACCGCGACGTCAGGCGAGAATGCATGTGACGTGCAAATGCATGCACAAATCATGCAGTGTGCAAACGCGCTCGCATCACCGGCAGCGAATGGAAGACATGGGTGCCTCCAGTGTTGAATATCCAGTTTCCAGTATCCAGTATCCAGTAGTATCATCATCAAGGTCCGACTTACCAGGTACACCACTTACCAGAGTGTACCATTTTGGGGAAACAATGGGATGGAGAAAAATTCACGAACCTCTTCTTGACTACAAAATGGTTAGCAGCGTTCAACAGCAGGAATTTTTCCACCCACTTGTAGGAACAGTTTGTCCACGGGGGACGACGGGAGCGAAGATGTTACCCTCCATGGCGACACCAAGGGAGAGGGGAACAACATCGAGAAGGAGGAGGTCGGCAGTCTCGGCGGAGGTGGCCTTTCCGGAAAGGATACCAGCCTGGACGGCAGCACCGTAGGCAACAGCCTCGTCGGGGTTGATGCTCTTCTCGAGCTTCTTGCCACCGAAGAAGTCGCTGAGGAGCTTCTGGATCTTGGGGATACGGGTGGAGCCACCAACAAGGACGATCTCGTCAACCTTGCTCTTGTCGATCGAGGCGTCCTTGAGGACCTGGGCGACGGGGTCAAGAGTGCCAGCGAAGGCCTTCTGGTTCAGGTCCTCGAAACGAGCACGGGTGATGTTGGCGTTGAAGTCCTCACCGTCGAACAGCGAGTCGATCTCAACAGTGGTCTGGGTAGCGTTGGAGAGGGTACGCTTGGCACGCTCGCAAGCAGTTCGGAGACGGCGGAGGGCGCGGGCATCACCAGAGATGTCTAATCATGTTAGTTGCCGACTACAAGCTTGCGGGGGTGAAGAGTGGCAAACTAACCCTTCTTTGTCTTCCTGGTGAACTCCTTCTTGAAGTGGTCGAGGAGGTTGGTGTCGAAATCTGGAGAATTAGCAATGAACTACTTTGAACGGTACACAGAAAAGCTCACCTTGACCACCAAGATGTGTGTCACCGGCAGTGGCCTTGACTGTGAAGACACCACCCTGGATGTGAAGAAGGGAGACATCGAAAGTACCACCACCGAGATCGTAGATGAGGACGTTCCTCTCCTTCTCGGACTTTCCGGAGCCGAGACCGTAGGCGATAGCGGCAGCGGTAGGCTCGTTGATGATACGGAGAACGTTGAGACCGGCAATGGCACCGGCGTCCTTGGTGGCCTGACGCTGGTTGTCGTTGAAGTAGGCGGGAACGGTGATGACGGCCTTCTCGACCTTCATGCCGAGCTTGGTCTCAGCAACCTCCTTCATCTGTTGGTGGGGTCAGTGATTGCTTCCAGGCTGTGGTGTTCGCAGAAACGTACCTTGACGAGGACCATGGCGGAGATCTCCTGGGGGGAGAAAGTCTTGCTCTCGCCGAGGTAGTCGACCTGGACCATGGGGGAGTCGCCCTGGGCGATGACCTTGAAGGGCCATGACTGGATGTCCTTCTTGACGGTCTCGTCGTCGAAGCGGCGACCAATGAGACGCCTGGAAAAGTTAGTAAATCGCACGTGTGAGCGCTCGACATGTCAAAAACTCACTTGACATCGAAGACGGTGTTCTCGGGGTTCATGGCAGCCTGGTTCTTGGCCGCCTCACCGATGAGACGCTCCTCGCTGGTGAACGAGACGAACGAGGGAGTGGTAAAGCTACCCTGCTCGTTGGCAACTGTGGGCAAAATCGTTAGGCTCGGTCATAGCGACTCAGGAGGGCATGCGCATACTGATCTCGACATTGGTGCCCTCGTAGTTGGCAACGCAAGAGTAGGTCGTGCCTTTGCGAAAAGTTAGCGGACCATTGTGGGGTAATATTCAAACTGCGAGTGTGCGCACCAAGATCGATGCCAATGGCACCCTCGTAGACTTCGTCGCTCATATTGGATATATTTAACAGGAACGACCTGAAAAACTTTTGGGAGAGAGGAGTGGTGGAGGGAGGTGGGAGGCGGTGGGAGCTTTTCACACACGCTTATAGACTGAAAAATTGTGGGCGGCTCGCCCGCAGAGCGTACTAAGAGCCCGAGCGCGCTAACGTTCAAGTGCGCAAAACCGCAAAAATTATTCGCCGATTGTAGGCCTATCGATAGTGGACGATTGCCAACCGAGGCGAGATGCGGCTCCTTGCTTCTGTTGGTGCTGATGCTGGTGCTGATGCAACGACGGGTCTATGCTTGGCCTTAGTCAGTGTGAGATTCCGGGGAGCGCACCTGTCAAGGCCTCGTGCATCGTTCCGTTGGTTCGGTTTTGATCTACGCGACACTCGTGGTTGTTTCCCAGGTCCTTTGACACTTTTGTAGCAACCAACCAACAAACCGCTGAATTACGACTGAAATACTCCATTCGAGCGTATACTGTCAAATGAGACATAACTCTGATGAGACCTTGACATCATTGCTCCTTCTCGCCTGGAACTGCAGTTTGCCAAGTGGCTGGTTGGACGTCCTCAAGTGCAGTACTTCAGACGGTGTTACGTATGTGTTGCTCATCAAATATCAAAAATGTTCATTGCTGGGTATAGTCTTTAGTGTGGATACTCCCTGTAACGCCATGGCCTAAATGAATGACTCCCGGGCCAGCAGACCCATATCGACGCCGTTCCCAAGCCACAAAAGCTTTCCTAGTACTACGCCTGCAAGCACCCGCTAATCTCTCATACCTGGGTGTCATGGAACACAAAGTTAATATCTCTGGGTCTCTGGGTGTTGAAACGAACAAAGTTCGCATCTCCAGGCGGTCGCTCCTTCTTGGTGTTGCTCGTGAGCATGCTTTGAAGACTGACACAGACACTCTCCACGTTGTGTACAGGGCTCCAGCCTGCTTTGTCGAGAAGGTCGAGGCAGATTATGCCGTTGGTGTAGATGTGCGGGTGCCAGGGTATCGGGTGCGTATCGTCCCTGACAAAAATTACTTCAGGGGCCTTGAATGTGGTTAGCATGTGTAGCCGTGCAGATTGCAGATTTAGATGGACATGAGGTGTCGGAGTCGCGCTGGGGATTGGAAGCGTACCTCGATTGGGTAGTTCTGGCTGAACATGAACTTGAGTCTGTAGGTTTCACCTGCGTAGATCGGGTTTCCGTCAAGCACCTGGATATCCAGAAGCCAACTCTCGAAGTTGTCTGCGCTGACGAGCTTTATCCCAGGCGGAAGCTGGCCCTGCATCTACGGCAAGCAGTCAGCACATGCGATAGTATGCTCCTACGAGAATGGGACAGGGTGCCGTGTGGAGAACGAGGAGGTCGACGTACCTTGCTAAGCTCCTGTACACGCGTTAGCTATGGTCATCGATGTGCATGAGCTCGGGCTCAGCGTTGCTGAAGATTGCGCCGTTTACCTTGCCCAACCGCCTTGTTGCAAACATGTTTGCTGTGGTGTGGTGATGTGTTTGTCGTGTGGCGAGACTGAGATTCTCTACTGAATTTATGTGGTTGCTCTCTACGTCGTTGCCCGGCTGTCCGTGCCAGGCAGCTACCGCTAAGGTGGGGTGCGGGCGCTTTTTGTAGGCGCAGGAGCAGAAGTGAAGCTGGCCTGAGCCTGGGGTGTGCACAGATCAATAATCGGGTTAGTGAAGAGAGTGAGCACTGTTTGTCATAGAGTGTGATGCTCAAGCACTCGCGACGTGTTACGGGGAGCGTGAGCTCGAGCTCGACCCACATGCATGGAACCATTTTCCCGACCATTCACATGGCTGACATGCCAAGCACATCGTAGTGAGACTTTCTTGAATAATGTACAAGAAGCTATGCATTTTTTCACGTGACATGATGATATCTCTAATAAAACCGAGAGCCATGCGCCTTGCGTTGCTTTTCCAGCTAATGATATACACCCAAGATGACCAAACCCTCGTATAAGACGTGTACGCTGGCTTACGCACGACATTGCAACGCAAAAGAGAACCCCAAGACGAACGCCGCAAGAAGAATCATGAGTAGAAAGCGCCCTTTTGGAAGCTCTCAACTCCCATGTCGCCAGCCTTGCCCTCAATCTTTGGGCCTTCTACCTGCTTGCCGACCATGGTAGGAGTCGGACTCGCGGCACTGTTGCTCGTCATAGTCTGCGCCCTGCTGCCTGCTGGGCTACCGCTCTGGCTTCCGCTTGTGATCTGAGCGGGCTGCTTGCGCTGGATAGGCTCGAGGTAAATGCCCGGGAGGTATCCCATCCTTCCGTCTCGTGAGCGGCACTTCCACCATTCTGACGCGTTGCCCATAGGGTCGCTCTTGCTCAAGACTGCAACCATGTCACCTTTCTTGATTGCCAGGTCCATTCCTGACATGTTCGAGTCGGGGGTAAAGTCATAGAGCGCGCGGCAGAAATCGAGCTTGTTTGGGTCAATGGCTGCGGCCTGCGGGTTCTCCAGCATGCGGCGCTTCTCCGCCTCCTCTTGTGACCGTGCGAGCGCCTTGATAAGCTTGCCCATCAGATACGGCAGGCCGAAGACTGCAGCAATGAAGAAGAAGAATGGCTTCTTGGAGGGCTTGGGCGGTGCTGGTGAGCCATCTGGCAGCTTGCCTGTGAACGCATGGAAGCCTGCGGGCGTCAGGCCCATCGCATCTGCCGGCAGCGGTCGCCCTGTGAGTTTCGCGAACGCTGTCCGTATCCAGCGCATTAGCGTGTAGATTCCGAGCACCGAGCCGAGAGTCTGTCGTAGGTTGCCGAACTGCTCAGCGACCGACACCATGGCTGTCTTCGAGTTAGCTGTGTCCAGCTGCATGAGAGAAGGTAAGCTCACCGAAGAACGAGGAGTGCGTTGCCATGTACGTGCTCTGCAGCATCTGCGCAAACCCGCCGAAAGCGCCCACGATGTTCTCAATGAGCTGGAACGTCGCCTGCGTGCTTTGGCTGAACGACTGCGTGAGACTCTGGGGGTTGTTTGGATCGCCAGGCATGCCCATCCCACCATACATCCCGCCGCCGCCGTACATTCCCCCCATTCCACCCATTCCGCCATACATCCCGCCGCCGTAGCCGCCGCCGCCGTACATGGAGCCCATACCGTACGGCGACGAGTAGCTGTTGTAGCCCCCGCCGTAGCTGCTGTACGGCGAGGCGCCGTAGCCGCGGTTCATGTTGGAGTACGTCGATGCGTTTCTGTTTGCGACTGTGCTGAGCGTGTCTGGTACCGATGGGAGGGGGGGTGGTGCGCCTGCTGATGACATTTCGGGTGTTGGACTCGACCCTAGGCCTGTGGGTTTGTTAGAGGCGATCGGCGCAGATTGCGTCGCCGGCCACTTACCAACCGAGGCACTCGTGGCTCCGCCGCTCGTCTCCCACGGCTTTGGCGGTGATGGCGCCGACATGTCTGAAATGTGTCTCCTCACCACGCCGTCGTGCACCGGCCGATTGTCGCTGTGTGGAGCGCTGCTGTCTCGACGATATCGGGTGCGCCAAAGGGCTGGGAAACGCGGATCCGGCCTGTCGAAGCGAGTTTGCGGGGTTCGCCGGGGTGCGCGGTGACGAGGTGGTTCGACGAGAAGTGTGACAGAACCGCGTGCTGCAGACAGAAATTAAAGGGTATCAAGGAGAAAATGAGAGGCGCGAGTGTCGCGGGGAAGCGTGCAATGATATGGTCGTGATCGCTCGGGATGCGGCAATCATGCCTCGGTTTCTGGCACTGTCTTTGCACATGCCGCGCGAGTCATCGCCACTCAACGCACGCATGAACGCTCCGCTGCTCGGACTGCCGCTACAGATCGGGCGTTCCGTGCGAGATGATAACAAATCAGTGTGCAACGGACAAGGCTCTGGCGAGATATCGCCGACTGCTCTTTTTTGCGCCTCACATCAGCACTCCCAAGGCTCGCAGCAGAAAAGAACCACCGTACAACAGACACGTTATGTAGGACTTTACGACGGAATAAGCATCTAATTGGCATGTATTAAAGAGATAGATGGTCTAAAGCAACCCTGCTGTAGACAGATGTTTCCCTTCAGTCGCCAATGGGAAACATTGAGTGCACCCAGCTGTCAGGATCATAAGCTACGAGGGCATCGATCTGACCTTCTGCCAATGAATCAGGGAATTCGTAGTCGTCTTCCATCACTCTGGCTGTGATGTGTGGAAAGTGCCACACCACCGCAAATTTCAACTTCTTACCCACAGGCCTTTTGAAGTAGTTCGAATCCCCTCCCTCAAGATTCCCCTGTCGATGCATGGTGCTCTTCGCCCGTTCCTCTCCATTGCCTAAAACCTCAAAAGCGTCAAATTCACCACAACCAGTTGACCAACACGAGCAAGGTATGTTATTGCGGTCGCTGCCGTACTGGAGAATGCGAGGTATTGCGGCATTGAGGAACCACCATGCGGGCGCGTCGGATATTATGCCATGATCGCTGCCACGGTTCTGATAATGATCCATCTGAAACTCAATGAAGAAGGCTTTGGAGGAGCCGGACCAACCGTCTATGAGCTTGTTAGTGAAGTTCCCCATAGCGTGTAGATGGCCACTTACAATGTGACGTAGCGTTCGGTCTCGAGTATGGACAATTCCCGTCACATTGCTTGTCAGAGAATACTGCAATCTCATACTCCGAGGTGTCAAGTGTGCCGTCGAAAGGTTGGCTTTCAGGCGCCACCTTATTACCAGCAGGAGTGACAAAGCTCAGTGAGTTGCCGAAAGCACTATCTCTGTCAGCAATACATCAAGACGTCAAAGGAAACACATACTAGTCAAAGGTACCGGATTGGCGCGGATCGCCTAAGTTAGCAAGGAACGAGAACCCGGTTGCTTGAGCAGGGGCTGTCGACGTATAGTATGCAACACGATCCCAAGCTCCAGCTCTTTTGCGCACTTCAGCAACGTCGGTTGCTGGTTCTGACTGTTGGGCTGGCGTGGGTCTCGACGCAAATCTGGGATGCTCGTGTCCGAGATGCTGGCTGACTGTCTGCGTGTTCTGACATGTGCACTTAGTGTTTGAGGAATTGGTGCCGGTGGGAGGCCAAGCAATATTAGGAGTAGGTAAACACGGCAATGGCGGGCCAACATATGTCGTGTTGGGTAAAGGTGCTGGAGTACTGCTAGAACTTGTTCCACAATCCGTCACTGTGACAGTCGAGGTAACAGTAGACATAGAGTCGCATTTGGTAGTAGTTGTCCAAGTCCGCTTGACATGTGGCTGTGTATAGCCCGTGTTGCCAACTTCCATACTGCGCCGTTCCGGGTCTCGCCGTTGATTGTAGAATGGGGTAGAACTCCGTTTCCGCATTCTGAACGCTTCGCTGGGCACCTGGTACACAGCAAGCTGAGATATGTTCATGGGACCACGGAGGTGCATCGATACCTGGCCATTTCGTCAGTGTGGGAAGAGAACCCGTGACAGTGATGACCACCTCTCCAAATAATGGTGTGAGTGAGCTAGTAGCTGGGTACCGAACAGTCTCATGACCACAGATTCCAGTACTAGGGTCGACGTATGTAGTGCGGTTGTATGCGCCAGGCTGACTGATGTTTCTGTACGTGATAGCCTGAACTTCAGAGCAATACTAGTTGCCATCCGAAGCACGCTCAGCAGTGCCAGCGCATAACTGACCAGCTGTCTTGCTGTGCGCAAATGGAATAAAAGTGGCAAGATATAAGAGATGCCTCATGTTGAATATGTGCGATACGTTGATGCGGAGACTGATGTAGTGTGATGGACAGCGCGCAAGCAGAAGAAAATCGCGCAGATGGAAGCCTGATCAGGAATGTGAACGCAATCACTGACCACGCTACATGGTTCTCATATGGAAGCAGCGATGCCGTGAACGAAGGCACGTAATCTGGTCGTCTACAGCACCTGCCGTTGAATGCTTTTGAACCTGCCATGTAATAGACCTTGAAGGCGCGGCTTTCTGCTTCGTGACTCTCAACAAGGAGGTGCACAACGCAAAAAACAGTGACGAAGGATCAACATATCGAGCAATCTAGTCTATCGAGCAATTAGCGCTTGTTCACAATCTTGATTGAAAACAAAAGTATATGCGATGGCGATAGTATCAGAAGAGTCGAGTTGAATGCATCGTCCTTAAAGGGACTGATATAAGAGGTGCCAGAAAGAGCATCGAGAAATCATCATTGAGGAGGTAACGCGTGTGGTGAGTAAACTTACACTATAGTTTCGGGCTCTTTATTGCTGCGCTACCGATGGGCAGTCGTGGTGGCAGGATGAAGTCTTAAACCACACACGAGACCAAAGACTGGCTGGTGAGTTGTACTGATGTTGAAGCGTCTTCGAAGATTTTGTATCGCGCCAAAGGCTTGGCAGCCGTGCGCCTGCCATTTCTTCAAGCACCCCCGTTAGCGCCTGCCTAAGCGAATTTTGAATTGTTCACCCACTGCAACAAACCCTCGTGCCTCATCTCGACTCCAGTACTAACTCCAGCCTCTCGCCAAATCCTCAAAAATGGGTCGTCTTCACAGCAACGGAAAGGGCATATCGGCCTCCGCCATCCCCTACCTCTCGCAACGCCCCGGCGTGGTTGAAGACCACCCCCGAGCAGGTTGTTGAGCAGATCAGCAAGCTCGCGAAGAAGGGTGCCACTCCCTCCCAGATTGGTGAGATCCTTCGTGACTCTCACGGCATTGCCCAGGTCAAGAGTAAGTTTTGCGCATTCCAACCCGTTTTGCGCACGCGCTAATTATCCGCAGTTGTCACCGGTAACAAGATCCTCCGTATCTTGAAGTCGAACGGTACGGTACCCTGCCCATGTTGAAGCGCAAGTCAACAACAGCTCTGCCCGCGTGCATCTGTAGCGCTATATAAAACTGCCTCTGTTTAGTGCAAAGCTGACAGAGAGCCATTAGGCCTTGCCCCCGAGATCCCCGAGGACCTCTACATGCTCATCAAGAAGGCTGTTGCCGTCCGCAAGCACCTTTCCACCAACCGCAAGGACAGGGACTCCAAGTTGTACGTTGTCACAATATCTGGATAGGAGAGGCATTGGACTAACATGACGCAGCCGCCTGATTCTCATCGAGTCCCGTATCCACCGTCTCTCCCGTTACTACAAGACCGTCGGTGTCCTCCCCCCCACCTGGAGGTACGAGAGCGCCACCGCCTCCACCCTCGTCGCATAAGCGTGTGTGGAAGTAGTCTGAGAGGGCGTGGAAGTAGAAAATATCCAAATGGAGTTTCACGGGCATGGATGCTTTACGGACTACCCATGAAAGGGAGCCGGGTCATGATCTGGAATGAATGAAAAGCATTACCTCAATTCAAACACATTCTCGTGCATTCGGTCTATCTCTTGCATGTGATGGTATGCGTGTGGGGATAAAAACGAAGCCAGGCACAAGATACCCTCTTCGTTTTGATGTTCGTGACTTGCGGACTACCACTCAGTCGGGTAATGACACTATATATGACACTATAGGGTAAAACTTACTATGCTGGATCATAGCCTCAATCTGCCACTGTCTTGCATGCAATCGCTCACAATTCATGTTGATCGTACTCAACCGTTCATGGCTACACTGCAATGAGAACATGATCAAGTGGATATTCGTACTAGATACTTCGTCAGTTTCGCAGAAGAGTAGCTGCGAGGCAATTGATTGCCTGTCACAGAAGCCACAACGTCCATCCACTTGAACGTTGCGTGACCACCCGATCCCGCCTGTGTCCCTGACAGACAACATCGCGCGCAGCGTAGACCCTCCGCCAGGCATCGCATTGTCTGGTTCATTCGTATGTGGTATCATGCTAGCGGTGCATTTATACTGCGACCCATGACAGCCCGCTCTCTTCACTGCTCTTGTATTGCACACGTGCCTTTCATCATGCGCTGTCCTAGCTGCTGTAATCCCAAAGATCTCACCCCTCGATCTCAGCACTCTTCATAGCCAAGAACTCGCTCAAGAACTTCAATGGCTTTTCCGGCTCGTTTGTTGCCAAGTGCTTCATCGCCTCGAGCAAGTGCGGTGTGACGTGCTGGTTTAGGTATACGCGCGTCGGGCTGCCGTGCGGGATGGGATGCGTGGGCGCTTGCTGTGGCCCACTAGGGTGCGGGGAATTGCGCGACGAGACAGGGGCTGCTGGCGCGGGCGTGGGTGTGGGTGCTGACACGGGTGTTGGTGTCGGTGCTGGTTGCGATTCCGGTTGCGCTTCGGGCTGAACTTCTGGAAGTGGTGCTGTTTGGGATTCTGGCTGTGGTAGGGTCAACAGAGGTCTTTCGAAGCCAAGGGTATGAACTACCTCTGTAGAGACTGGTATATCAGTGGAGTCTGCCATTGTCACGTCTGCTGTCTCAGTGGATGCAGCTCCGTTTGTGATGGGCGTGGGCTCCGTTTCTGCGACTTGCGACGCGGCATCCAGTGTAGGTTCGTCCATGTTCTTTGTTGTTTCTTTGGAGCAGAGAATAATTCAGTGTTCTCGGCGCGTTATTCGCGTGACCGAGGGTCGTTTCCGAGGTCCGTTGGCTGTTTGTGAAAGTTGCGATGTGAAAAGGCTCGTCGATGATGCAGTTTCGCGCTAGTCACCTTGCTCTTGTCCATCATCACAGTCCAATTGATCACAATAATATGTATTCGAATACTCGAAGTCCTTCTGGAGCAACTAAAACTACACTTTTTGATCTTCTATTGCACTATCGACATGGGTTCACTAAAGAACCGTGGTGATGAGGGTGGTTTAGGCTTCACGTCTCATTGTCATGCTATCTTTCACATGACCCTCGTGACATCGACGAGTGACCAGCGGTGGCTCTTTTGTCTTTATTCAACGCTTGTAGACTAACATTAATTCTACAGTGTGAACGTTCAACAAAGAACCTTTGCTCGGCACAGCCTGGTACATTAAGTACGCAAGTACTGCAAATGATCATGTGCGACACAAGGATCTTCTCACACGACTCCCGAATCAATGTGCTACTACAAGCTTCATATCTTCTTGCGCTGTGGGCATTCGACGTTTTCAGAGCTGCCGGTGGGGTTCTGCAAAGCGGCATTGGTCGTGCCTATCCACGTCTCAGGGCAGAGGGAGTCGATCATGTCAACCAGGCCGAGTCTCTCTCCAAGAACAGACAGTGTGCAAGCTAAGGATCAACAAGCTTGTGAGTCTGACTTGACAACCAAGACGATGCGGCCATGCAATGTAGCTCAGATACATCCATTGCAAACCAGACGATTTGAACGACTTTGCGTAGTCTGTGAGGGCGAGAGAGTCCAGAGACTAAAGGATCTCGAATCACTGAACAGCAAAATCCACCTCGAGCCCTGGCGATGGCAGTTTAAGTACCAAGGTGGAAGCACCTTTGTGCAGCAAGAAGATATATCCAAGGGAGCCGTTTCCAACACCGTTGACGGGATCGCACGGGGCGTAACTACAACGTTGAGCAACCTCATCACTAGCAACCCAGGCTGGACGAGGGACTGGAAGCGGTAGGAAATTAGCATTGTTGATCGAAGTCGTGGTGGTTCAGACCAATTGAAAACATCGAGATGGTGATGATCAAGTCACGTGGGTTTAGCGCGGTTCGGCTTGCGGATCTCTCGAAGCTCGACTTCACAGCAAAGCGCGACAACGAACTGCTATTCCCGCCGCCAATTGACCACTCCAAATCGCACGAACTCCCTCGCAGTCACTTTCGAACGCTCAAGTCGACGTCGCACAGCGTCTAACCACCGCAATGCCTACACCGGAGTCCGCACTGTTCCTGGCCAAGAAGCCAAAGGTTGCGCCCACTTTCGATGGGGTCGACTACGAGGACAACGTTGCCTTCAAGGGTGCACAAGATGCCATCATCCGCGAGCAATGGGTTCAGAGCATGATGGCCAGGCTGGTCAGGGAAGAGATGGGCAAGTGCTACAGGAGGGAGGGAGTCAACCACTTGGAGAAGTGCGGGCACCTACGAGGTACGGCGCACTCACGAGCCCGCTCCGCAAATACTGTCACTGTGCCATTCTCAAGAGTGCTTTTAGTGACGATCGGAGACGCGGGACTGGGTCAAAGTGAAATAGGTCATTGCTAACGGAAGCTTGACAGAGCGCTACTTTGAGCTTCTGAAGGACGCCAAGATCAAGGGCCACCTTTTCCAGCAGCAGAACTACAACGATATGTCGGCATCGAAGCCATAGAACATCCGTCTCGCGATACTTGGGGATATGAGAGCGAGACTAGTAGAAGGTCGAGAGAGACACGTGCGCAAAGACTACACGCACTTGTGAAGATACGAATTCAGGTATTGGACAAGCACTACAACCAGAGAGGATTACTCATGTCAATCTGCAAAAGCAGACCTGTACATATACCTGGCAAACAAAGAGAGGATGAACATGCATGATTTTGGTTTGAGACCAGTTACATCATACTCGTACCACATGCACTGTGCTCTTTCGTCAATCTGTCTTGTAGAACGATATCCGCTGACGGTGCAAAGGTCTACCGGCTGCTTAGTTGACCATGTCCAAGCCATCATGATGCGGCCAAGACTAGCGTCTTAGAACCCCACTATGGCTGGGTACCTGCATCATACCATGAACAACGCACCACAAGATGCCGTTTCCTTTCGCGTTGCCAACCACCTCAAGCGTAGCATTTACCGACTATTTCAGCAGCAACACGCATCCCTCTCTACCGAACTGCGCAACAACAGCTCGAGGCGTGGTCCGCGATGTTCTGAAACGCCATAAGCGCATCCCTCCTTCCTCGCAAGCCTCGAACTTGTCGACCATACTCTCCGCGCTCAACGATTACATTCCATACCTGTTCGCATTAGATGCCGGCTTGAGTGGTACAGCTTGCGCTGGAGAAGAGATTGACTTGATCCTGGTCAAAGAGCTGGAGGTCGAATGGCGCTCAACACTTGGTACTTCAATACCTGGTCGTGAGCCGGCAAGAATCAAGCTTAAAAGCCTTGAGAGCGAGCTTTGTTTTGTGCTTTCGACTCTGGCATACGTCTACAGTCTGCAAGGTCGAGCACAGCTGCACATTCTCTACAATGCTACGCTTCCAAATCCTGAGCAACGCGCAACGGCGATAGGGGCTGCCATGAGGCACTTCCTCGATGCAAATTCAGTACATACCTATTTGGTCAACAGAGCAGGACAATGGCATACTCAGCCTGCGGCGATAGACATCTCAGCTGCTGTCATGGGCGCGCTGGCTGAGCTCACTATGGCTGAAGCTACACTGATCACAGTCCTCAAAGACGACCCATACCCAGCGATCGTGATTGAGGACAGAAACAAGGACAGCAAAGACTGGATGTTTAGAGGGGTTGAGATACCCAAAGTCCGCGCGCATCTCTTCGCCCGCCTGTGCCTTGCGTCCTCGGAGCATGCAGCCAAAGCTCAAGCGATGCTTGGCCAATCTTCGAGAGTGGGCGATGATTTGATCAAATACGTCGACGACCTACGAAGAACTGCAAAAGGCAAGGCATGCCGTTTCCTAGCCTGCGACTCTGAAGCTGGAGGCAAGACTGGAGAAGGTATTGCCTGGTTGCGCGGTGCAAAGAAAGAATTAGGGTTTGCATCTTTGGGTGTGGATCAAGAGAAGAAGTCTTTTGGTTTCTCCAAACTCAAGAAGGAGTTTCAAGAGAAGAAAGAAGACCGCAAGATCGAGAAAGGCGAAGGGTGGGGTACGGATGCAGGAAAGTTTGAGGAAGGTCGCATTGTCGACATGTTAATGAAAAAGTGGGAAAAGATGAACGATACGGTGAGTAGCATGAATCTTCGAGAAGCTATGTTGCTAACACGCTTACCAGGTGGGTGTTCAAACGATTCCGCCTTCGGAGCCGCTGCTCGCAAGCATGCCATCTGGTCGAGAATACCACACAGCAAAGATGTGGATCGTTCCGGCTCTTGATGAACATTCGCTCGTTCGCATGAGGGCACCGCCTGACCCCAGTGAGGCATTCGAGGGCGAGGAGGAAGATAGCGCAGACGAAGATCAAAGAACAGCTCCAGGAGCCTTCCCCGCCCATCCTACAAACACCAGCTACTACTGAAGTATCATTCGGTCTCCGCACGGTCTTCAGTACGCCCCGGATAGCAAGGCCTGCCTGCTGGTCATGATCTCGATCTGATAGTTCCTGTCGGATGAGAGGCTGATGATACCGTGGGTACAATGACAAAGTTGCTACCCCACGATTTTTGACGCCCTTCACGCTGCCAGTTTCAGCGACAGTGAATTGACGCAGCGTTTGAATACACGCTTTACGTTGTCGTGCAGCTTGTGGGTATCGCGCCCGTTCCACGCCACGGGTAGGACCGTCGCAGAAGACCCAGTCCATTCCCGTTTCAGTAGGTCCAGCCGCGCGGAATGAGATCAGCCTGAGTGCTCATGGTTAGCTTGTAGATACCGGAGGAATTCCGTATCAAAACGGCAGCAATCTACATGAGGAAATGAGTCCTGATACAATCAACACAATAGCAAACAATTAAACGTAAAGATCCTTGTAAAGCGAACAATTTGTTCTTTGTTCTGAGTTTCGTGGTCCTCTTGTGGCTGTAAGGGCGCATTGGCAATGTGTCTGGGCAGCTGCTTGCATCACCGGGAATGCCAACCCAGCAGGCAAATCATCCCCACACCCACGCTAGCGACCCCAATCATCTCGATAAAGAAGATAGGCATTCGAGCCGTCTCAGCCCGTCATTCGTGGCCCAAATCCCAAACTCGGCAAGTTTACGCTGTACCCGACAGATAGGCGCACATTCGTACCACTGTATCGCGCTTCGCCATGAACCTGTTGCTAAGAACGGCGCTTCGCGTTCCCCGCTCGTGGCTTGTGGTCACGACTGGGGGCAAGATTGGCAAGTGACCTTGATATAATGCATGCCAACTTCGCTCGTTGTCCAGCTGTGCAACCTAGCCCTCTTATATCGTTCAGCTCGTGCCTGACGTCGTTGCTGCTCTCCCGTTGTCTTTAGCCTGCCGTCAAGCCAGCCACCGACATCGCTAGTCTTGTGAATGCACGGTCATGGCATCCATTCACAAGCACACCGTAGCAGACGAGCCTGTCAGCAGCGTCCTGCCTGGAGGCGATGTGCCGTATGATCCAACCCACGAGTACAATGCAGACGAGGAGATTCTGGCAGCGCTGGGATACAAGAGTGAATTCAAGAGAGAGTTCAGCCTCTTCACGACTTTCTGTGTAAGCTTCGCAGTGTTAGGTCTTTTGCCGAGTTTTGCGAGTACATTGTACTATGGCATGGGATATGCCGGAACCGCTGGTACGTTGAATCATCGTTGTAGCCTACCCTATCGCTGACATGACCAGGCATGGTATGGGGATGGATGATAGCTATGATCGGCATCCAGTGCGTGGCATGTAGCATGGCCGAGCTATGTAGCTCTATGCCAACAAGCGGAGGGCTGTATTATGCTTCAGCAGTCCTTGCGCCCAAAGGCTGGGGCCCATTCGCTGCGTGGATTACAGGCTGGAGTAATTGGCTTGCCCAGATCACTGCGGCACCGTCCGGTCAGTACATGCGGGCCTATGTGTATGCGTCGATTGTGTCAACTGACTTGCAAGGCAGTGAACTACGGCATTGCAGCTATGATACTTGCCGCAGCTTCCATTCGCGATCCTACCTACACCCCAACCAACTACCAGACCTTCCTGCTTACCGTCTTCATCATGATCTTGCATGCCATCATGTCCTCCCTACCAACTCGTTGGTTGGCGCAGATCAACTCCGGTGGATCGACATTCAATTTCGTCGCCCTCATCGTCGTCATCATTCTCATCCCAGCTGGCACTGACCGTGAGGAGCGTGGCCTCCCTAAGTTCACACCATCTCGCGAGGTCTGGGGCGATATCTATGAGGGTACCTCCTTTCCAGCAGGCATCTCAGTACTGATGAGTTTCATCGGCGTGATCTGGACAATGAGCGGATACGACAGCGCATTCCACCTTGCAGAGGAGTGCTCGAACGCGAACATCGCAGCACCTCGCGCTATCGTCCTTACCTCCGCCACTGGTGGTATCTTCGGGTGGGCTCTGCAGCTTGTAGTTGCATACACCGTGGTGGACATCGACGCCGTACTGGAATCCGACCTTGGCCAGCCATTCGCTGCGTATCTCATGCAATGCATGAACGAGAAGACAACGCTTGCTATTCTCGCGCTGACCATCATCGCTGGTTTCTCGATGGGTCAGGGTTGTATGATTGCTGCGAGTCGAGTCACTTTTGCGTATGCGCGCGACGACTGTTTCCCGTTCAGCAACCTATGGAAGCAGGTGAATAAGCACACACTGACACCGGTCAATGCCGTATGGCTGAATTGCGCGGTTGGCATTGCTTGCTTGCTGCTCATTTTCGGTGGAGAGCTGGCAGTCGGAGCGCTGTTCAGTATCGGCGCCATCTCTGCCTTTGTGTAAGTCTTACCGCACCTACATGGTAGACCCCGTCATCTAACACATTTAGTGCTTTCACGATTCCAATCTTCATCCGTGTCTTCTTTGTAGGCAACCGCTTCCGCCCAGGCCCGTGGAATCTAGGGCGCTACTCCATCCCCACTGGCGTCGTCGCTTCTGCATTCGTCGCACTTATGGTACCAATCCTGTGCTTTCCTAGCGTCACAGGTGCAGATCTGCACGCAGACGAAATGAACTGGACTTGTGTTGTGTACGGTGTGCCGATGCTTTTGGTATCGATTTGGTGGGTTGTGTCTGCACGAAAGTGGTTCAAGGGCCCAAAGGTCAATGTCGCGCACATGATGCTCGGAGACGAGCAGCAGATCCTGGACGGTCAGAATGTGCAACGATCGATTTCTGGTGGATCAGGAGATGGAGTGCCCGAGAAGCTGCAAAAGGTAGCATCTCCCTCTGCCTGATGCGGAAGTTCGAGTAGTAAATCGGCCAAGGTAATTATTAGTTATGCAATACATGTGTTACCTCACAAACGTGGATTCGTTTTCGTTAGTGAGCTCGGATACTTTGGGTCGAAGAGAGGGTGGAGACGCTTGGCCTTTCCCGTGATAGTTGAAAACTCTATCAAAGCAGACCCTCATTGAACGACGAACCCCCATGCGTCTGCGATGGGAATTTCTCACTGGCCGGAAGGATAATTGTCTAGGTATTTATACTTTCTAATTGGTCCATCTTCCATCGATCACATCTCTTCCCAACGAACAGTTGGATATCTTCGATAGTATAGTGGTCAGTATTTCTGCTTGTCATTCCTCGGAACAGCTCGCAGGAGGCCGGGGTTCGATTCCCCGTCGGAGAGATACGATTCTTTTTGCGCATATCGAGGCCGTGAAGTGGTGTGTTGCGGGCAGACTCGTTCATGGGTTTTTTTGTGGACTTGGGGCTGAACCGAGGCTCACGTGTGGCACTTCCAACATGCGACTCCTCAACACCAACTAACTTTTATTATGCTGGCGCCTGAGATTAACTGACTTTGTTTGACTGAGCCTGTCCGGAAACGCACTTTCCAGGCTCCGTCCCTTCTCGCGCCATTGACCTTGGCCAATACAAATTCTGCAAACTGTTGACGTACATCACTGTGGCACACTATCTAACACCGAAGCCGGTGGTCGTTTATTGCATTGTTCATTACAATGCTTCATGGCCGAGGTCACAGGGGTCATTGAAAGTACCTAAGTAAATGACAGACATGTACATCAAGTGAAACGACACGTCTGTCCACCAGAACAGCATACACACAGGGCAGAGGTTTTTTCATCTACGACGACCGTTACTGGACATTTCAACCAGGAGCCCGGGCATTGACCGAAGATTTTAAGAAGATCAGGCGATCAAGCAGACAGAGATGCACGCCGCATGCCACCGTTTCAAGTTTTGATGTTGACAAAACTCGACTTTCCAGCACATGCGTTTAGATATCGTTGGGTTTGGACAACATATGGGAGAAGACATGGCCAGTACAGAATGAGAGAAAGAAGGCTTTGTACGGAACTGTAGACAGTCCAGCGCAAGGACACTCGTACGATGGAGGGATAATCAAGCAAGATGTTCGTACTTTCTGGTGATCGCTTGCAGGAACCCACGAGTTTTCGATTTGCGACAGTGGCCTTTTCTTGAAGAAACTTCAAAGTCTAAACAGCAGCAGGGAACATGTTGTGTTTGTCGTATAATTTTTGAGCTAAGCAGACATGGAGTGGCCGCTCACATGGTTCTGAATTTTGTCCATCTCCAGAACAAGAAAGATTTAAGTTGAGGGTTTGGTGATTTGGCGAGGAGAAGACTGAGTATGGGCGGCCTTCTTATATAGCACTTAGCTGGCAGCGGCAAGACATGTGTGAGCGAAGCTCAATTTTCAGAGTTTTGTAAGCGTGATGCATATCAGTTCTTTTGATCCAGAAAAGAACATCGTCTAGCTTGAGGCAACAAGTCCACTGCCGATCATGAATTCGGTGGAGCAAAATCTAGGCTCCAAAGACACGCTAAACATGTAATTTATCGATACATTTCGAGGATAAAGGGCGGGTAAGACCTGTGGACGCCATCGTCTTGGTTGTATCATCATATCGGAAGCAGGAACATCTGCGGGACCGTTTCGCCTTTAGGAGCAGAGAGAACGCTTTACGATAGACGATGCAAGTAACAGACCTAGTATTAAGCTACCCTTCTCTGTGGAAGATGATGATGGCGACAACAGTACACACATGAAGTGGTCCTGTTGGGTTCAGTGGGAAGCAGAAAGGCCTCTCACATGACTCTTTATCTTTCGTTTTTCGTATCGGGACATCGGTGTTTTTTTGATGCAACTTGCAAAAGCAAATATTTCGTCGTCAAGTTTACTAGTTCGAAGGGAAACAGAGAAGCCGCGCACACATACAACATTTCAATCATTTTTACCATGATTTAGTCGTATGTATCGAAGACAAGCAGTTCTCGGAGCGACGAGGGCTTATTTATGCGTTGACTCAGAACAAACGACAATGCCACCAATGATATGACGACCATGCTTTAGCTCAAGTCATTCATCGAAACCGGGGGAACGATGTGGAGGTAACATAAGGTTGCGGATGATGTAATATTGAACTAAACATATTGCCAGTACATGCTCGCTGAAAACCAGAATGCTGGTATGCTGACACACTCGCTGTCCTCCATACTACAGACATGCCTTGGAGACTAGTCCAGGACGCTCTCACCAGCCTTCGTTGCGTCCTTGGCGTCCTGGGCTTGTGTCTTCTGCACGTCGTCCTTCTTGGGCTCTTCTTTCTTCAGCACATCGTCCTTCTTCGGCTCTACTTTCTTCTCATCGTCCTCCTCGTCGTCTTCCTCATCCTCGCTGTCTTCTTCTTCCTCGCTTGTCTCTTCGCTACTGCTTTGCTTTGGCTCCGACGCAGGAACATCGTCCTTGGTTGTCGTAGGTTTAGTCTCTGTAGACTCAACGGCCTTGGTCTCTGCAACCTTAGTCTCTTTACCCTCTGTTGTAGCCTTGGGCTCCGCGGACTCAGTAGCCTTGGCTTCCTTGGTCTCAGTAGCCTTAGCCTCCACTTTCTTTGCCTCGGTGTCAGCTTTGGCCGAAACCTCGCTCTTCTGGTCGCCGCTTACTTCTTCCTGTTCACCCTCTTTTACGCTCTCGCCGACCTTACTCGCGTCCTTGGGATCCTGATCTTGGGTCTTCTCTGCCGCCTTTGCCGTGGTGGAGTCTTCGCCGCTTTCCTCCTCGCTGCTGTCCTCGCTGCTCTCCTCTTCATCATCCGAGCTTTCTTCCGGGCTCTCCTCCTTCGCCTGTGTAGTCTTTATCGGACCAGCGGATAATGCAGGGTTCCCTGCATCGACGTGCATCGACGGCGGTGCGTGGATGGGCTTTTGCTGTTCTAGCTTCGGGGCGGTAGTAGGTGTCTCGGGCAGTGGTATTGAGCGTGGAGAGAGAATTTCGGGGGCCTCTGCCTTCTTAGGCTCGACTTTGTTCTTCTCTGTTGTATCGGCGTTCGGCGACATGGGTAGCGGTGTCGACTTCGGGCTTAGGATATTGGCGGGGCTATTTGCGTTTGTCTTCTCGGTCAACAACGGGTTTGTTGTTGAGATTTTGACTGGTGTAGGCTTTTTGCTCGCGGCCAACTTTGCTGCTTCAGCGCCCATTTGTCTGATTGCAAGGTTCTGCTCTGCGCTCGCAATAGGGGTGTTCTCCTTTGCCCTGCCTCCAATACCACCCAACGATCCGAAAGCGGGACCGGCTGACGATCCGAACGAGAAGCCACCCGGTAGTGCATCAGCAAGCGGCGGCGGCGTTTTGCTTGGTACAGGCTCGAAGAGAGATGTGGGCTTTGGTGGATAAGCGGTAAAGGCTGTGTCCACGCCTAGTGCTTCGTGCAGTTCGTCGTATTCGTTCCACTCCTCGATTTCCTCGATACCCTGTGAGACGCGATCAGTAGTCGTGCATTTCGAGCTTTACTGATACATACGCCAAGTACATATCCCTCCTTGACCAGCAGCGGGAGCTTCTTGCCAGCTGCCCGCCTCTGGAACAGCTTCTTGCCCAATTCATGTGTTGCAGTGTCGAGACCGATGAAAGGGATCTTGTTCGCTCTCAGAATCGTCTCGATACGCGACGTTGCCGTAATGATATGGGAAGAGCCAGCGGTCAAGGATGTGAAGAGGTAGATATTGGGGTCTTTGTCGAAGACAGCGAGTTCGGCCATGCTGGGCGGTGTGAAGCTCCGAGGAATGGCGGGGTAGCTTTGGAAGACAACACAAAGATATAGAGAATCTGAAGGAGAAGCAGCAGAGTCGGGCTTAAGTGGAAGAAACTCTTATCGTCCAGATTAGAGCCAGGGGTTTCAAGATGAGCGATGCCAGGTCAGTGTTTGGCATGAGGCCATTGCGACGGTCGTGGCGCACCCCTCCCGCCACGCAGGGTCCCGCATGGAATCCTTGTCTGGCCCCACAAACGTGCATAAAAGGAACAGTAGAGTAATGATGGATTTGAATTGCAGAATGGAGTGAACGATATTAAATATTACACCAAAGTGTGGCTGGCCAATATATCAAATAAACGTGAAAGTCAATGTTGCTACGCGCCTAGCTGCCGCTCGCCCTTCCAGCAAGAGCGGTCATCAGCGCATCCTGCACTTCGAACTCCTCGAGGACTGCGCCGAAGCTGTGCACTGTCAGCAAATGCTCGTTATACAACGCTCGGACGCACTCACCCATAGCAGCGCACTTTGGCGACCAGCTCCTCTTTAATGGCGCTGATTTCCGCCTTTGTGAGTGTCTTGAAGTTGTCATTCTTCAAAATCATCACCCATGCCATGATGGGTGTGATCTCGCCGTCGAGAGGCAGCCTGGCGCTGAGATCAAGCAGTTTCATCAGGTCTGGCATCGCAACATCCGGCATTTGATGCGGGTACTTCTCCTCTGGGTGATGCGCAATATGCGAATCGGGTGGCGCGGTCGCCATGAGCGCGTGCCCGCTGATCGTTTCTTCAGCATCGTGGGCCCGTACCATGAGGAATTGCATGTGGTCCATGCAGGGGCGCTCGAGACTGCAACGCGCAACCGTCAGACAAGGAGCGTTCCAAAGTAAAGAAATGAACGTACGGAGGATGGTGAACGAAGGGAAAGAGGTCACGTAGCAGGCCTTATACATTATTGTTGGGGTGGAGGAGAAAGGTAGGGCGTTCGGTCGTACGTTAAGACAAAGTCAACACCGATCTGGTCGTAGTCCAGTCCGCCGACTTGTTGGTTTGGTTGCATAGCTTGTGTGTGCATCGCCGGCGGCATCATCATATCCTGTGATATCGATCCGTTCCGGTGATGAACGCTGGGTGGTGAAGTGTATCCAGTTGATACAGACCCAGGCCCATATCCAGATACGCTGCCGTTTGAGCTGTACGTCGAGCTTCCGACGTTGACAGTCAAACCATTGATGGGGCTTGTGATGCTATCAAAAGCAATACCATGAGCCATGAGCAGCTCTCTTAATCGACGGTTCTCTTCAGCATACTGGTCTCGTTCTCGGCTCGTTGTACCAAACGTTTCTTTGAGGCGAAGAACCTCTTGTTCAAGAGCTTTAATATACATCTCTTTCCGTTCACGATGTGTGCTGAAGATCACGTAAGCGCGTGTCCGACATCATCGGACAAATTGACGTACCGTTGTGCCTGTCGGTTGAGCTCTTGTCGACGAGTCAAAGCCGGTTTGCTGTCAGGCTTGGGGCCTCTTCTTTTGGGAGGTTGCCCATCTACTAAGAATAAGCCAGTGGCAATATTATCGTACGTCTTACGGACCTCGTGTTGTTTTCTTCTCGCTCAGGTTCTTCAGAAATCCAAACTGTGAAAGCGGGCTTTTTGATTCACTGCCTGCAGATGACCACTGCCCTTTGCTCTCCATTGCAGACACAAAGCCAACCGAGCTGTCTCTCCGGCATCCCTCCGGCGGACACAACGAAGGTCGGCGGGATGCCTGAGGAGTGTACTCGATGGCAGTGTCGCATGGAGAGTAACCGGGCATCATAGTCAGCAAGTCTGGCCAAGATGCGCGATGTATGTTTGACATTGTAAGCCGTGAATGTTGATGACAATAGAAATTACAGGAGATGTACGCAATGGCCCCTAGAATGGCATGACAGAGGCATGGGGATGTATATGTAGGCCTGCCTTGCGCATGGTACACCGAGGACGTGCATAGATGCTCATGCCCGGCATACCCATAGCCGTGGGATAATTGGACAAATCTTATGCTGACGTCTGTACAGATAGTCTTGGCGAGACCTGTCTTGTCTCTACAGTGTGTCTGTAGCTGCGGTAGAAAAGAGGGCGGATAGATGCTTGGCCAGGTGACGGAGGATGGGAAGCCTTACGTATCGACGGAGACAGTAGCGCAGCTCAAACAAGTCGATCTCAAACGTGGAACGGGCAAAGCATGAAAGGAGTTGAAAGTATACTCACCACTGCCGCTGTTGTAGTCACCCATGCCAGGGTCTGCCTTGATAGCAGTCGCCATTTGTTTTGAGTTACCAGAGAATACCCACAAGGAGTTGAACGTAGTCCCTAACGATGATGCTCGTGTACAGTACTCTGAGTCTGGGTTGATACGTGCTAGAGGCTGTCAGTCAACGTTCAACCCCTGCGCCAATCCGAAACACACACAGAACAGTTACTACCGCACTTTGAGGTTGACAGGCAGGACCCAGCGAACAGGAAGCCGGGTTACAAGATGTGATCAGAGTCACTAGGAACAGAGGCCCAACGCGCAATTGTACAGGAAATGTGTTCCGAGAGACGTGAAAAGAAGTGCAGTGGCACAGTTGCGTGGTGGCTGAGGTTTTATCGAGCCGAATGATGGTGCTGCCAGCGTCGCAAGTGGGGGATCTAATAAGGCAGTGGAAACCAAAAGAGCGAGCGGGTTGCAGCCAGAGAGAAGCCTCGGAAGACGCTCTTACACTTACGGAGGAGTCCTTAACGCGGTCGAACGGGCTCAATGCGTTGCGCGAACGAGTTCATCGGCGAAAGGAGCACAGCCCCCCGACTGGATATTTGGAATTGAGTGTCGAGCCTGAGTATGCACGGAACGAGCCGGCGGGCACTGGATCGACTTGATCCGAAAGTAGCAGTGTGGCCTCCGGTGGTGTTGACGAGTAGATTTGTGGCTCTGCTGGTCCAGACTCCAGAGGGGTTACTGACTTGATCGGCGACCGTCTCGTGCTAAGCGCAACACACGACAGGAAGCAAGGAGTTTGACAACAGCGACAGTTGAGGGTTAGGGAGAATAATAGTTGCGCCGAGGGCATGCAAGACACGATTTGTTCTTTTGATGCTGATGGCTGATGCGTCCGTGACGACCGGTCTGGCCTTGCTGCATCCGGAACAAGCCATGTGCGCCAGGAAGATCTCGCCCGCGACCACTCGCAAAGATGACGCTGCCCAGCCCCCGAAGTTCATCGGGCTCGGATGTTCCGCTCACATCACTGTTCATCACGTGCACGGGGCAGGAAGCACGATCCGTCCATCCACGGCCTTTTCTGAGGAATGGCGGGTACAACGCGGATGGGCAGGAAATTCGCTAGGGCATATCGCTTGCCACTAGGAGTATTGGCCCGATCTCCTGCACAGAAGCTCTGATTGGTTGGGCTGAGCTTCAATCCACGCATGACTCCCAAACCACCCAGGCTCTGGGTGTGTGTGAGCAGAGTAGCCGACTAGGACATTTTGCATCCTTAGAAAGGGACCCAAAGGTACACGAATATCTAGACTCGGCTGTTTATCACGTAGGCGGCCGATGAAATTGACGCTGTGGTCGCATGTATGATGGGATTGCTTGTTTGTTATTGGCCAATTGTCTTTGATCACCTTGTCGAGTTACCTTCCCCTACTCTCGAGCCATGCATGCCCCCCTTTGTCAAATGGTCCTTTACGCCAACCTGCTCAAAGCTTTGAAGACAGTCACGGCTTGTTTCCAAGGATACCCTCGATCTCCTCCATAATTTCTGGTGTCAACTTAGGAAGTAGCTTGAGAGCAGCACAGTTGTCATGAACCTGCTGCACCTTACTGGCACCCAGAATCACGGTCGAAACGTTGGGGTTCTTCGCGGCCCAGGCAAGCGCGAGCTGGGCGACCGAAGCGTCGAGCTTTTCGGCAACCTTCGTCAACTTCCTGACCTTCTCGATCTTCGCCTTTCCTTCATCGCTCTTGAGCCCATCGAGGGTGTTCTTAAAGAAATCCTTGTTGTTTGCGAAGCGAGAGTCTTCTGGAATGCCCTCGTTGTATTTGCCTGTAAGGAGACCAGATGCAAGCGGGCTCCAGATCGTAGTGCCGTATTGGAACTTCTCGTATAGGGGAGCGTACTCCTTCTCGAATCGTTCGCGGTGGAAGGCATTGTACTGAGGCTGCTCCACAATGGGGGCAATGAGGTGGTATTTCTCTGCGATCTCTGTGGCTTCTTGGATCTGAGCTGCAGACCACTCGGAGGTACCCCAGTAGTAGGCAAGGTTCATGTGGATCGCCTGCGTGAAGGCCTCGACGATCTCCTTCATAGGTACACTGGCATGTGTAAGTGCTGGTAAGATTCCGAGAACGCATTGACTTACTCAGGGTCGTGGCGGTGGGCGAAGACAACATCGACGTAGTCGTGCTGCAGACGCTTCAAAGAGCTCTTCAGGCCCTCGATGATGTGCTTCTTGCTCAAGCCGCGGGTGTTGGGCTCTTTCCTCGATGTTCCAAAGAAAACCTTGGTAGACAAAACGTACTCGTCGCGCGGCCACGCGAGTTCAGCAAAAGCATTTCCCATTTCGATCTCGCATTGTCCGGCCGAGTAGACTTCAGCGGTATCGAAGAAGTTGATGCCATTGTTCCAAGCAGCCTCCATGATCTCCTTCACGATGTTTCCCTTTTGCTACGAGGGGTGTTAGCTTCGTTACTTCACCTCAATCTCAATCAACTCTTACTGTTCCTCCGTACGTTAACCACCCCCCTAATGAAAATACAGACACCTTGAGACCGGCAGGTCCCAGGCGTCGGAACTCCATATCCTTGGGATCAAACTTCGATTCGACGGCAGGCATTGTGATGGTTGTGAGGTATTGGTGAAAGGTGTTGGAGAGATGTCAATGGAGAAAGCTCAGCTGCTCTAGAAGTACCGCACCGGAGTTAAGAAATATGACGTTTGTCATGCCCCTCTTACGTTGCATGATAAACGGCGGACTAGGCATGTGAGGCGGATACTCTACTACGCGGCAACAATATTGGGGCAACGCACAAAAACTACACAGACTGCTTTTGTGCCTACAATATAGGTAACTTAAATAGATCCCAGCTTTTGGTATTATACCAGCGACAAATTCTTCATGAAGTTGGTCGGCTTGGGGGTCGCTTATCCCCCGTTCTTTCTGAGGCCCCCACTGCGATGATAGCCCCGCCATTTTCGGTCGAGTTCGAAAGCGGAAGGTGCTCCCATCGCTCTACTAAAGTACATTTAAGATCTCGTCATGACTGCAATGAGCGCGGCTGGCGATATAGCATTGGGAGTGCAGCATTTAATTATTGGTGTCGCTTGCTGATGCTGTCCATTACAAATATGTGAAGCGAGCGAATTGCAGACGATTCTCTCTGCCGTGTAGAATCCTTCAAGCCCGCCAGAACGCTCGTCGGAGAGACTCAGATAATACGCGTTTAAGATCTCCATGACTGCAGTGAGCGCGGCTGACGATACATCATCCCAGGTCCACTGTGCAGGATCAGCCTGACGCGAGCGTGTTACCGCTGCAGCTTACTTATGTATGCTGCGGGTGTGACTTAGCACAAACAGCCACACATGCGCAAAGCCCGTGGAAAATACGAAGCTGGTGCACCTAGCAAGAACTGGTTGGAGTTAGACGGACGCGGTTGGCAAAAGCTTAGTACTGGGGCCTGTTTCGAAACACAGGTGTCGCAGGAAGGGATGACAGGCGCGGAAAACCTAGCGAATCACAGCCCCAGGACGGGTCAGCACTTGACCATTCACAATCACCGCACCGCAAGGACTGGTAGGCCGTTGACGTTCAGCTCAATGCACCCCTGAGCACAAAATGCTTACTCCGTAGAACAAACATGGTCAGCTGTGATTAAATAGCTGCCTTGCCTCCTTCCACGGCCCTTCACGCACTCACTCAGCCACCTTGCTCTCACTCCTTCGCTGGTCGAGGAATTCATACTTTCATTCTCAGTCATTCATTCAAAAGCAGCCGTCGCTCGTGCCTTCCGCTTCACAGATTCTACATCATATCAAAAACGGTCCAACTCTATCTCCAAGTCTCCAGCCCTACCAAAATGCTCTGCAAGGCTTCCATTATCTTGGCCGGTGCCCTCGCACTTGGTGCCCTCGCCGTACCCATTCCCGAATGCCCTAACAGCCAAAACGACAATACATCCACCTCTCCTGATACCAACACCAGCAATCCTGTCGGTTCTGTAACCGCCGATCAGCTCATCAAGATCGCGCCCGCGACCGCATCCTGCTCTGGCGCAGATTTTCCCGAGGAATGTGTAGATGCTGCCACCGCGGCTACTGCCCTCAACAAGTCCTTCGACACGTATGGTATTAAAACTGCGGGCGAGAAGGCAGCGCTCATCGCTTACACCTTGTTTGAATCCGGCAACTTCAAGTACAGCAAGAACCACTTCCCTGGTCGTCCCGGACAGGGAACCCGCATGATGGCTATGCCTCCTTTCGTTGCCAAATACGCCACTGCTGTAGCCGGCGCAGATGCTGTCGCTACGGCAAGCGCTGCAGGAGGTGACGCTGGACTGAACGCTGTCCTGGCGCTTGTCAACAGCGATGATGCGACGAGCTTCGGTAGCGCGGCCTGGTTCTATAGCACTCAGTGCACTGAAGCTGTCAAGACTGGTGTGGCCGCTGAGACCATTGACGGCTGGCACAACTTCTTGACAGTGTGTGTCGGTACTACCTTGGACGAGACACGCGACACACCATGGGTTGCCGCCAAGGCTATCATTCTTGGTTGAGTCTTAGCTGAATGAGCCTATGGGCAAACTGAACTTTTATGATGATGAGTGTTCTTTCTTGGGAGCGATGGAGCTGGGAGTATCCTTATATCTTATACCACTTGCACAAACAACGAATTCAAATTCAAACTTTTATTACTCTATAGCTATCTCCTGTCTTGCTTCGTCATGTGCATTTGATGATGTGCAAAGTAGGCTCGACTTCTGTTGCATAATGCCTACCCGATGCAGACCGTCAAACAAACGCACTCACGTACGCTTCATATCTGAACGCTACAACAGACGCGTAATTCGACATTGAACCTGGAGACAGAACACATGTCCAATGACTGGAACGCTCGAGGGTCTATATTCCAGGCCTGTTTAATCGCTTCGTAGCCACAATAGCGCGAGCCTTCTCCCCCTTGGTGTTCGAGGCCTTCGTGCAGTAGCGCTCGACACCATTATCTAATATATTCCGAGAAACAAGGAGTATTCTGATCGCTGTTTCGCGTGGATTCACTGCATTGTCCTATTCGAACTGGACTCTACGAATGACGAACAACAAAGATACAACATGATCGTGACAGCATGTGCAGAAGACATCACGCACGAGGTTATGACGACGACGAAGAAGAAGAAGAAGAAGAAGAAGAAGAAGCTGATGAACTCGTTCTGGCTTGAAGAACATACGATACGATCTCATTATGATTAACAATACTAATTCTTTTCCAAATTTTATATCCAATGCCTTCCATCTGCGCGTCCGCCCAGTGCATCGACAGCAAAGGCGCCGATGTCTTCATACCCCATGTGCTCGCTACATTCTGGACAGACACATCTCTCTCGTCTGTCAATGCTGTTCTCAACCCATGCCTGCATACAGGACGTGCATGTCGAGGTCTCGTGCCAGCAGTTCGCCGTGATGCGTCGTGTACTGAAGTCATCGACAGGTCTCGATGTCTTGCAGAGGAGACATGCCCGCTCAAGCATTGGTGTGCCACGCCGTGGTGTGGAGGACGATGTGCTTGCAAACGCAGGCTGAGGGGGGTGACATATTCGTGGGCGAGATGAAACTCAAGCGTGAGTGTGCAGCGCTTGAACCGCTTGTTGGTGATGTTAGGCTTGAGGCCATGTGCGAAGAGAATGTGCTGCTGCGGTGGGAATGCAGCGATGTGGGTCGACTCTCAAACGTCTCGCGCGGCGAGCCTGGACTGAGAGGCGAGGAGTAACCATGACCCGGAGACAGCAGTGGGTTGCTGCTCTTCCGTCGTTGAGGATTGTTGAGAGGGTTGGAGACTGAGGCCGGTGGGCTGGGCGGCGCGGCGTTCGAATCAGCTGTGCTAGCCCAGGGAGCGAATGGAGGTGGCAAGACGGCAGAGCTGCCTGTTGACTTGTCGAACGTCATGGCTAGTGGGGAATGCTGAGGCGTCGGCAGGAGATCGAGGGGCTTGAGCTGCGATTGAGGATGTGGTGATGGTGTAGACTCGACGTCTCTATGAGACTCATTGTATGAAGAGTAGCGGTGGGTGATGATGGGAGTCTGGTTGGTCAGTTGAGGTGCATTCTGGCTTACACGCACAAAGTCCTCAACGACAGCAGCCCTGTCAAGTTCGTTGGCATTGGAAGCACGACGCTTCACAGGCTTTGAAAACTTGAGTATGTTTGGTATCGTGGACCATCGATGTTTTGCTTTGTTTGTTCTCGCGGCTTTGGCTGCCTTTTCTTTTTCAACCTCCTTCTCTTCTTCACTCAGCATCCTACCTCCAATGCGCTCGAATGTATTCTTGCGTGCAAAGGGCGGCGCAGAGAAAGGCACTGACGACTCTGCATAAGTATCAGGCTCATGTCTTGTCTCTTGTGAAACAATCTTTGTGTCCTGCTCGATGTGCTCGTCAACTACGATACCCGGGTTCTCACCAGACATCTTGCGCGAGAAGTTCGGGTATGAGTTCAACCGAGAGCTTCTCGACGATGCTATCTTCGTCTTTGATCGATTGCGTGCATGATATGTTGCGAATGACAAGGGCCGCGGCCTGCCATCCAGCCATGGCTTCTCCATTGACTCAAAGCTCTCTCGCCCAGAATCGTATGACTCGGAACGCTGCGGCTGCGTTATCGTTTGCGCTGCGTGTGCCGGGGCGACCCATGTATGGGGATGGATGAGACGGAGGTCTGGCTCGCTCTTGTCAATGGACGGAAAGATAGGGGCTGAGGTCAATGTAGGCTTTGCGAGGAGGTTGGGATTGTCGAGACGTAGTGACACAGGTCGTTGCTGACGAGCGTTTTGTTTCAGGGTATTTGACAGAGCAGCCCATTCTGGGGATGACGAGTATGAGGCTATCGACTGTATCTCCTCGTGGTTGTAGGACGGCGGCATCCAGTCTATCGTCTCTGTTCGCTTGATGTCGAAAGATTTCTCAAGCTTGCTGACCTTAGGTTCCGCGAGCTTTTGTACGGCCTCCACCGAGTCGAAAGACGCTGGAGACGGTCGATCTGGCTTGTTCCATCGCTTCTGTGGTACCTCAGGTGAGATGTCGTACTCTTTGGTGACGTGACTGTCTCTATTGACGGAGGCAGGATTAGCACTTGTCTGAGGCATGACGGACGGCCTGAAGTCCTCGAACATCGAGAGCCTTGACGGCTGCTCGAAATCGAAAGCTGAATGCCTCCATTCCATGTCGAGAGTGTCGAGTGAAAAGCGGAGAAGGTAGGGATTAGGGAGTGGTAGAAAGTAACTTACTGGCGTGTGTGGGTCTTGGGTGCCTCGAGGGTTCGAGGGGAGTCGTCATCGGTCTCTTTCTCAGACTCCACATCTGAAACATCCAGATGCGCATAGAGCGGCTTCTCTAGCCATCTTGTAGTGATCGATTTCTCGCGGTGCAATCTTGCTTCTTCCGAATCTGCAATTAGGCCCAGCATACGCTGCGCTTTCGCAGTGTCTCTGGTAACTGGCCGAGGGTGTCGCAGAGCAGGGTGCTGCGATAGGTCGGGCGCTAATATGGGCATGGCCGTTGTGGATCACCGCTATTGAATTTGCCAACCAGCGATAGAAAGGTTGCAAAAAGTGAGTGAATGGAAGGCAAAAACGAATGTAGGCACGAGCAAAACGATAGGGCGGCGATCAAGAGCTACTGCATGTCGACGGCGTGGGACTGTATTGTGATTATCTGCATTCGTGATGCCACCCTAAGGCAACCTAACACGAGGGCTGGGGTCGCACGTCCAGCCCACCGCGTTATTGCGGCTACACAGGACTTGACAGAACCGTTTCAAAGATGCAGACCGTGCAAACAACGTTAGCCCACCTTACACGGCAGGATGGTCTGTTCATTCGCTGTCGGACGGAGGATTTCAAGGTTGTGTTGTCATCTACGCCCGGCCCGCAGGCGAACGATCCAAAAATAGCGCCAGGAATACGTGAGCGCCGCGACGCTTGCAGCACCGAGTATTTCGAGGGTTGGTCATTGTCACGAGAGTGGAATTTACGCGCAAATAAGGTTACGAGTCCGTACCGGCGATCCAAATTTAAGTCACGATAAATTTGAGCTATAGTGCCTCCAGTCGTCGCCGACGGTCACCCCAAGCACGACACAGCCTTTTGCAAGACGTGAATCGCTCACTGCATTTCAACGTTGCACTGTCGTCCTGGTTGCGCGTCGTGCATTGTTGGCCTGCATTGCTTGGTGTCCGGGGTTGGGTCTCCGAGACGATAAGGAATGCCCTAGAGATAGGGTGAAGGTTTGGTGGCTGGTGAATGGCAAGCCTCTCACAATACGCGGAAGCTGTCATTATATGCTGCTGGATGCATCTCATGGCAACGAGCGGAAGCGACGGCAGGGAGCGTTTGCCACTAGTTGAATTGTGGAAGGATGATGATGGAGTTTCTCACTTGTGCATCGTATTGAGGCATGCTGAGTGCTTGAAAGTCGAGGCCTATCGGGTTGTACGGTGTGCGCACTTTGGCTATGTCTGCAACCACACCGAACCCTGCTAAGAACACTAGAAAGCTGTCGGGGATCGGTGAACCGCAGTGTCTGTGTCATCAATGACATATGTCTAGGCATCTGTCTGAACATTTGGTTGACGAGAAACATCTGGGTGACGAGAAGGGTGGCTTGCGAAGCTACACTTTTGTCAGGGTTTTATGGGTTCACCTTTACTCTCATCGCAGCAGACCTTTGATGGTTCATCGTGATCGTGATTGCAGGTGAGTGTAGCACGTGATCATGGACACAGATGTCGCGCCTGGCGCTAGCGCGCCTTCCGCGCCAAGAAGCTCTGCGAAGCTCTGAGGAAAAGTCCGCGACCTACGAACGACCACTTTCCCACCAACCTACCCCACATCGTCTAGGAACGCGCAACACAATGCCCGGTCCGCGCGCAGGAAAGAGTTCTAGGGCCATCGGTCCCTCCGATGGGGGCTCATCCGGCAAACAGTCCCTGAGTGAAGCACAGGACACAGAGTTGTATGGCCAAAGCGACATGTCAGGCTACAACCTGTCTATCGCCGCTGCGGATGGAGACGATGATATGGAAGATGTCGGACTCAATGGAAGATCTCTTGTTGGGCAATACACAGCGTCGAAGGACATGCTAAACGAGTTCGCGCACGGCGATACTGCGGAAGCAGACATCCTCGATAGCCGTGAGAAGCAGGCGCAGATCGCTTCGCGCGAAACCGATTATCAAAAAAGAAGATTCGATCGTAGACTGTCACCAGAACGTGCCGATGCATTCGCGAAAGATGGACAAGGCGAGGGCGCCACGTACAAGGAGGTTATGGCGGAGCGACAGCTAGAGCGTGAGGAGGAGCGCGTAAGGAGGGCTATCGAGGACAAAGAGAAGAATGGTAGCAACGAAGTGTTGGACCACAAGCCTACGCTTAAGGATGATGCACCGGCACCAGTCAACGGCGATAAGACTCCACCTATGGAGAAGAAGCGCAAGAGAAGAAGATGGGACGAGGGTGGCAAAGATGAAGCTCCAGTCGTGAAGACGGAGACGGAAAAAGAGCCAGAGGTGAAGAAGTCGAGATGGGAGACAGGGTCTGAGGAGCAGAAGGCACCAGTACGATCACGATGGGACACCACAGCAGTCGCACCCTCGAGCGGCGCAACCCCAGCACCGGCCACAGGTGCGAACGGTGCGCGCCCTGCGGCGCCCGCATACGCCTTCGGCACAGACATCTCCAACCGCAACGCCCCGCTATCCGATGAGATGCTTGACATGATGTTGCCTGGCGAAGCCGAGGGCTACAAGGTGCTTGAGCCACCACCAGGCCACGAGCCGGTACGCCGACCAGTGGGTGTACCACAACTACCCACAGGATACCAAGGCTTCTTGATTCCAGAAGTAGACAACAGTCTGGCAGCTATGGGCAAGCAGCTACCAACTGAGATACCCGGTGTTGGAGATCTACAGTTTTTCAAGAACGAGGACATGAAGTACTTTGGTAAGCTCACCGATGGGGCGGACGAGAATGAGATGACCGTGGAGGAATTGAAGGAGCGCAAAATCATGCGACTGCTTTTGAAGGTGAAGAACGGTACACCTCCGATGAGAAAGACCGCTCTGCGACAGCTTACAGACAATGCCCGTCAATTTGGTGCAGGGGCGCTCTTCAACCAGATATTGCCCTTGTTAATGGAGCGCACGCTCGAGGACCAAGAGCGGCATTTGCTGGTTAAGGTCATCGACCGAGTTTTGTACAAGCTCGATGACCTTGTACGACCCTACGTGCACAAGATCCTTGTTGTCATTGAACCGCTTCTCATCGACCAAGACTACTACGCACGAGTGGAGGGCCGTGAAATCATCTCCAACCTCGCAAAGGCAGCTGGCCTCGCCCATATGATCAGTACTATGCGCCCAGATCTGGATCATCAGGATGAGTACGTACGCAACACTACAGCTCGAGCTTTTGCTGTCGTTGCATCTGCTCTCGGTATACCAGCTCTTCTTCCTTTCCTCCGCGCTGTGTGTAGGTCCAAGAAGTCATGGCACGCTCGTCACACTGGTGTGAAGATCGTGCAGCAGATTCCTATCCTAATGGGTTGCGCTATTCTACCTCACCTAAAGGGTCTTGTCGAATGCATCGGAGAGAATCTCAACGATGAGCAGCCAAAGGTCCGTATGGTCACAGCTCTCGCCCTTGCCGCCCTCGCCGAAGCCGCCAGTCCATATGGTATCGAGTCATTCGATGAAATTCTCAACCCCCTTTGGACAGGAGCACGCCGACAACGTGGCAAGGCCCTCGCTTCTTTCCTGAAGGCTGTAGGCTACGTCATCCCTCTCATGGACGAAGAGTACTCCAACTACTACACCAGTCAGATCATGGAGATTGTCATTCGCGAGTTCCAGTCACCAGATGAGGAAATGAAGAAAGTCGTGCTGAAGGTGGTCTCCCAGTGTTCGAGCACAGCAGGTGTCACGCCTGTGTATTTGAAAGACAATGTGCTGCCAGAGTTCTTCAAGCACTTCTGGGTACGACGCATGGCTCTCGACAAGCGAAATTATCGTCAAGTTGTAGACACCACCGTCGACCTTGCTCAGAAGGCCGGCGTCGCCGAGATCGTTGGCCGCATTGTTAACAACATGAAGGACGAGAACGAAGCCTACCGCAAGATGACCGTCGAAACTATTGACAAGGTCATCAGCACTCTCGGCGCCCACGACGTTGACCAGCGCTTGGAGGAACAACTCATTGACGGTGTCCTCGTCGCATTTCAAGACCAGACTATCGAGGACCCTATTGTCATTGATGGTTTCGCTACTGTTGTCAACGCATTAGGCGAGCGTACAAAAACTTACCTCCCACAGATCGTTGCTACAGTTCTTGCCCGCCTGAACAACAAGTCTGCTACTGTGCGACAACAAGCGGCGGACCTGATCTCACGAATCACATTCGTTATGCAGAAGTGCGACGAAGATCCACAGCTAATCAAGCTTGCTCAGGCATTGTACGAGTACCTTGGCGAAGAATATCCAGAAGTGCTGGGTTCGATCTTGGGCGCTCTCCGAGCGATCGTCACTGTCGTCGGCCTTCACGCCATGCAACCGCCCATCAAGGATCTTCTGCCCCGACTCACACCAATCCTTCGTAATCGACACGAAAAGGTGCAGGAAAACACCATCGATCTCGTAGGACGTATCGCTGATCGTGGTGCCAATTATGTCAACCCGCGTGAATGGATGCGAATCTGTTTCGAGTTGCTCGACATGCTGAAGGCACACAAGAAGGGCATCAGACGTGCTGCCAATAACACGTTTGGTTACATCGCTAAAGCCATCGGTCCTCAGGATGTGCTAGCTACACTTCTGGGCAACCTTCGTGTGCAGGAGCGTCAATCCCGTGTCTGTACCGCCGTCGCCATTGGTATCGTCGCCGAAACCTGTGCGCCCTTTACAGTTCTACCTGCTCTCATGAACGAGTACCGTGTGCCAGAGCTCAACGTTCAGAACGGTGTTCTCAAGTCACTATCGTTCATGTTCGAATACATTGGCGAAATGGCCAAGGACTACGTATACGCCATCACACCTTTGCTCGAAGACGCTCTCATCGACCGAGATCAAGTTCATCGTCAGACTGCTGCATCAGTTGTCAAGCACGTTGCCCTCGGCTGTGTTGGCCTCGATTGCGAGGATGCCATGATCCACCTGCTCAATCTTCTGTGGCCCAACCTGTTCGAAACCAGTCCTCACGTCATTGATCGCATTGTTGAGGCCATTGAGGGTGTCCGCAATGCCGTCGGTACACCCTTAGTCATGAACTACGCATGGGCTGGTCTTTTCCACCCTGCGCGCAAGGTTCGACAACCGTACTGGCGCATCTACAACGATGCATACGTACAGTCAGCCGACGCCATGGTGCCTGCGTATCCAGCGTTTGAGGAGGAGAAGACAAGGAGGCACGAACTGGATATCTTCATCTAGGAGCGAGACGTTTCGGGCTTCGTTTTGGTAATGTCATCCACTATATATATCCTCTTGGCGTCTGTAATGGAGTTTGGGGCATTGTTAACTTTGTATAAAAGCGATACAGGCAAAACCCGCAAGAAAGGTCTTGTTATGGAGTGGTAGCGGAGCACCAAGTTTGGTAATGAAATACAATCTGTAACCCAATCACGAGCTGATCAAACCCAGATATTCGTGAGTCTCTGTTTTCCATGTGCGTCCGTGCAGTCTGTCTATACGGTCAGTCATACATGCCCCTGCTTTTTGCTCTTAATTCTTTGACAATTTCTGGTGCGTGCGAAGCGTGTATGTCCTCCTCAAAATGCATCTGCCGAGCGTCCAGACCGCAAAATTCGGCCGTCACGTTGGTGACTTCTGCTGGTGGTGCTATTGGTTCTTCAGTTCACACCGGATGCTGGTGATAGAGTCCACTAGATGAAGTGACTTCAAGCACAACGTGTAACTTATGCATATCTACAAGATATTTGCAATGGAGTTCGAATAGGCAGAAAAAAAGGCAAAATAGAGTCCAAGAGACTCCAAGGAGCTTTTGGTTCGTACCTATGCAGCGTATCTGCTCGCAGCGTTCAAATGAAGCTGTCTGCAGCGCGTTGCCATACCCTTCACTTTGTGCGTTGACGATTGAATCTCTGGGATGGAATGTGTAATACGAAGAACAGGCGATCAAATGCTTAGAGATCACGAATGAAAAGCACTGCACCCAAGGACGTGTATGTGCTATGAAGCTCGGGGTCAACCGGTGATGAGGTGGCGCCGCTGACGAAGCATCACGAACGTCCCACAAGCTCGCCCAAGTTACCATGTCTTTCAGGATCCGCAGTATTCTTGCGAGCAGAGTCCAACAATTGACAGAGGGTTCGTCACCCAGATAGACAAGTGTTTGTACTGCTAACACCACCATGACGTCGGTTGTCGTACGCGTACGGTCGTCAGTCACTCGGCTCAGTAATTCGAAGGTCTTAAAAAGAAATAGGGATCCAACTTCTGTCGAACCGCATCCATTGAAGACCTTCAGCTCTTTGGCCTTGACCTATCAAACCAAATCATTCGCATCATGACTGTTCCAAACAATGCTCGCTTCGACTTCATTATCATGGGTGGAGGGACTGCTGGTAATACCGTCGCCGGCCGTCTTGCTGAGAATCCGAATGTCCGCATTCTTGTGTTAGAGGCTGGCGTTGCCGATGCGAAGGATAACGAGAGGATCCGGACTCCTGCGGAAGCCATGCAGCTCAGAAACAGCGAGTACGACTGGGCCTTTAAAACAACCATCGTCAAACGCGACGACTACGAGCGTGTTGAGAAACCCAATACTCGCGGAAAGGTCCTTGGAGGTAGTTCATCATTGAATTACTTTACCTGGGCTCCAGGTTCCAAGGGGACCTTCGACATGTGGGAGGAATATGGAGGAAAAGAATGGACTTGGGACCCCCTTGTTCACTACCTTCGAAAGGCTGTCACGTACTACGATGATGAGAATGCATATTCCCCAGAGATGAAGAAGATCGGTGGTGGTGGTCCGATTCCGATCTCTCACTCTGAGCTTATACCAGAAATGCAACCCTTCCGCGACCTTCTTACCAAGGCCTGGAAGTCTACTGGCCAGCCAATCACCGAAAACATATTCGATGGCGAAATGCTCGGTCTCACTCAAAGTGTGAACACTATCTACCAGGGCCGTCGCTCAGGTAGTTTCCTGGCTGTCGCGGACAAGCCAAACATTACTATCCTGGCAGAAGTGCATTCGAAAGTGCTCCTCTTTGAAGAAGCGACCCGTACCTGTAAGGGAGTGACTGTCATCACAGCCACAGGGGAAGAGCTGAGCTTTTTCGCGACACGCGAAGTCATCGTTTCAGAAGGTGTATTCGAAACGCCAAAGCTGCTCATGCTGAGTGGTATCGGTCCAAAGAGAGAGCTAGACAAGCACGGAATTCCGATCATAGTGGAATCGCCTTGGGTGGGCCAGAATCTCTTGGATCATCCCGGAGTGCCATTTGTCCTTCGTGTAAAGGACGAGTTTGGTATGGACGACCACGTTCTACGCAAAGGAACCGTGGGCCACGATCAAGCTTTGAAGGCTTATGGCAACGGCCATGGAGGGCCTATGGGATCTGGATTCCTCGAAATGGTTGGCTTTCCTCGCATTGACAAATATCTGGAAAAGTCTCCGGAATACCGCGCCGCGAAGGCTTCCAACAATGGACGCGATCCATTCTGTCCGTACGGACAACCACATTTCGAGCTCGACTTTGTCTGCTTGTTTGGAAGCGCTTTCCAGTGGCATTACCCTACGCCACCCACGGGGAGCCATATCACGGTGATGGTAGATCTTGTCCGCCCTGTGTCCGACCCTGGCGAGGTCACACTGAACAGCACCGATCCTCTGCAACAAGCGAACATCAACCTGAATTACTTCAACAATGACCTTGATATTATTGCTATCAGAGAGGGAATCAGATACGCCTACGATATCTTGAAGCATGGGGATGGATTCAAGGACGTCATCCTCAACGAGTATCCCTGGGAGATGCCATTACACGACGACGAGCTGATGAAGCACGCCGTACTCGACCGCTCTCAAACATCGTTTCACCCTTGTGGAACTGCTCGTCTTTCCAAGTGTATCGAGCAGGGAGTTGTGGATCCAGCTCTTAGGGTTCACGGTATCCAGAACCTTCGTGTTATCGACGCATCCTGCATCCCTGTGATCCCTGATTGTCGAATTCAAAACTCCGTCTACATGGTCGCTGAGAAGGGTGCCGACCTGATCAAGCAGGATCACAAGGACATATACCACTCTTAACTACTATCGATCTAGGTAGGTGGTTTGTTGCTGGAGGTATGAGAAGAGAGAGACAGCTTCCTAATTGCCGAAGAAGTGGACCTCTATTAGAGCTTAGACAGCACCATCCTTGCGTTAATTTTAGAAAACCCCGTCCATGTAGCTCCCAATTCATACAACTGATTAAGCGCTGAGACTCTATAACTTCTGCCACCATGCACTCCGAAAAGCGAAATTTGAATAGCCTGAGTAATGATGTAGCACAATGTTGCAATTGTGGGCTGACTGTATTCTTGTATGTATAAAAGCGTGCAGCTAACATCACAAGGCTCAGCCATCTGTTACAGCAGCCGGCTGAACCGGGAGACCGCGAGAAGCATCTCTAGGCATCTTCAATGTAGTGTCAAAGCTAGAGAAATTTCTGGAGCCATCTTGATTTGTACTACTTCTCCGTCTCTTCAATGGGGGACTCTATCGGCTTTCCCCTGGCTTCTTGATGGTGGATGTAGAAGCGGAGAAGGGCGATTAGAAGTGCTCCTGCAAGCATGGTTACACCAGCGAATATCTTCAGGTAGGTATAGTCGCCATCATTGGCTTCCACTAGTGCACCTGCAATAGGGCTACCGGTAAGGACACCAACAGAGATGAAGAAGTACAGGATACCAGTACGGTGACCAATTTCTGCTGGAGGCGACACCTCTACAACCAATGCAGGAGTCAGTGACACGTAACATCCGGAGAAGAACCCGAAAAACGCCGCAAAGGAGAGGGTGGCTGCGTTGTTATGTCCAGGAAACCAGAGCGCCAATGTGAGAATGGCTGATATCAAAGTGCAGACCATCATCATGTTGAAGCGGCCAAAGGTGTCTGCAAGAAACCCAGGCAAGATTCGCCCAAACACGCTTACGGCGTTCAAGATGGCTATCGCGTAGATGGACATCTCAAAAGACATGCCCAGGTGCTGTGCGGCAGAGGGAATGAAGTTGAATGGAAGGAACAGCCCAAACCCGAACAGTGTCATGGAGATACAAAGAAGAACGAAGCTCTTCTCCTTCAGAGGAGTTATGTATGTGTGAAGGTAAAAAGGAGTTGGAGCGTGAGCCCGGTTTGAGCGAATTGTGGCTGCGGATATAGCCACTCCGAGAAGGATAATGAATGCCACTGCCCGCATGGTCCAACCGAATCCGACTCGAGGGATGAGACGGTTGACCATGACTGGGAAAATGACACCGCCGATAGAAGAGCCCGAGGTGGCAATCCCGTAGGCAGTGGCTCTTCGCACTTTCCACCACGTGGCGAGAGCGCCCAAGGTACCGTATACAACAGCGCTCGCACCGACAGCGCTGCAGATGGCCTGCGCGAGGAACACTTGGTAGTATTCTGTCGAGATGGAAGTCATCATGAGGCCGAAGACCTGTGTGAGGCCGCCGATGATGAGGAGCCAGCGTGGTCCGTAACCGTCGAATAGTTTACCGAGGACGATGCCTGCGCTGTAAATCAAGCACTATTGTACTGAGGCGATCCAAGAGATTGCTGAGGGAGAGTAGTCCCGCAGGAGAGTCTGCTCATAGTAGGACTGGAACACACCAAGTGAGTTGACCCAACCAAAGGTGATGAAGACAGCCCACCAAGCACCAAAGGTCGACAGCCAGGCTCGACTGCCGCCATCGATTGGCCAGTTAGGTGCTTCTTTCATTGTAAAGACGATGGGTAACGGATCGAGGTCAATTCAAAGAAACGACTGTTTGCTGGAAGAGATACACTGGACAGCAACAACAGAGACAATTAGGTACCTGTCTCAGCAGAGAATGCCTACTTGTAGCAGTGATTCTAGAGAATCTAGTAGTTGCGCGTGGCTATTATTTTGCCCTATGTTTCTGCAACAATACCGAATCTTAATACGAGGCTGTTCCGAAAGATGACCGTCACTGTGTGCAATACAGGTGCTGACAAACACTGCAGCTTACAAACAATGTCATACGAATCCGCCAGCGAAGGATCAGAATGTGGGTGTTTACTGCGTTGTCGAATGGTCATAGCTTAGCTGCAACCCGAATCCTGCAAAGGCTTGACTTGTGCAGTTCAAGCACAAGCAATGCCAATGCCAACTAGGGTAGTCTCACAAGAGTGTGGGCGGCGCTGGTGTGTGCATGTTGATCTGTAAGACCTGACCATACCGTATCTTCTGGTGAACATCGAATCGTCTAGTACCTGGCTTTGAGAAGCCTGTCCAGCCAGCAGTGGTTGATCTTCTATGTGAGCACGAAGGTGGGGATAAGACGTCCAGCACACGACTGCGAGAGAACTTACATGTGGGATCTGGTGGTCCACGGGATTCTCACATTACTGACAATATAGTATGCCGTCTCGACCTCTTCTTTCACATACGACCATAGGACGTTGAAAACAAGGCTTCCCGTTCGCTCAGCCCTATTTAAGCAACATACCGGTGGATTAGTACTCAGGTGGGTGACCACTGGGGAATCCCCACTGTTGTATGTATTTTTTGGAAGTTTGTCGTTACCGTCAGAATTTTTTGGTGGTGTGGCCAAGGTCCACAACTGACGTTGAGGCGCACGACCTCAACCACCAACCTTAGGAACGTTGCCCCACATTAACAATATTACTGCTACACTTTGCGTGATTCCACTGTAGGTACGGTGATTTGCGGTTGGACGTACAAACGCGCGCCCAACTGCGCTGGTAGCCTCCAAGGCATTATCGAACATCCGCGTTACACACAGTATTAACCACCTCGACTCAGAGCTACTACAGTTCCTGGATCATCCGACCGCAGGGAAATTCAAATATGGGCAACTGCCTCAAGACTTCTGGTGATTGTGAACGACCAGCACGTTTAGGAGTGCACCACGCAGATAAAGTCACTGTTTGTACAAGATCTGCCTCTTTTTAGCATAGAAACGATTCCATGATCCTACTAAAACACTCTCGTCTACGAGCCCATCTACACCGACGGCCACTTATAAGACATCCACTTCTCCAGCGTGCCATTCCACGCCCCGCTCCCCAGCTGCACATGCACAAACAAATCCAGATACTGCTTCCACACCACATCGCGCGCAACCATATACCCCAGCTCCTCAAACGTAAACGCCTGGTCCGGATTCACAATACACAGCACGTCCGGATGCAACCGCACCTGCAGCTCAACCTCAATCACGTCGCTGATCATCGCATCCGCCTCGCCGTCCATGACCGCCTTGTACACCGCGTTGTTATCCGGCACCACCACGATCGTCGCGGTTTTCAGATTCGCCCGGTCGAACGCCTCGTTCGTGCCACCCGGGTTCACCGCCACCCTGACGCCTGCGGCGTCGATGGCCGCGAGCGACGAGAACCGCGCCAGGTCTGCGCACCGCACGCACGCTGCTTTGCCGACGCGCTGCACCGCGGTCGAGAAGAAGACTTTCTGCGCGCGCGCGAGCGTGATGCTGACGCCGCTCATGGCGACGTCGAAGGCGTGCGCTGCGAGGTCGGAGGTGAGGTTTGCCCAGATGGTGGGGACGAATTGGACGGGTTTGGCCAGGCCGAGGGAGTTGGAGAGGGCTTGCGCGAGGTCGATGTCGGCGCCGATGTAGGTGGTGTTTATGGCGGGCGTGGCAGGCAGGGCGGTGCGGTTTGTGACTTTGTAGGAGAAGGGCTTGTAGTCGCCTGTTGTGCCGACTTTGAGGTAGCCGCGGGCCTGGATTTGGTCGAGGATGGAGGTTATGTTGCCGTATGAAATTGGGGTCGAGTAGCTGTGTGGGGTCAGTTCAGTGGACTTCCAGGTGGGTAGGTAGGGTGTTACTTGGGTGCATATTCGGGTTTATGCTCATTCTTTCCACCAGAGGCATTGACGAGAGGGCTGGCGAGCAAGCAAGCTGCAGCGAGCACTGAAGGGTTCACCATTGCGAGAGATTGCTGCTGACACCAGATGTCGTCCGAAGTCCAGGAAGCTCCGCCTACTTATACTGATCACCGACCTCTGCAATCCTGATTTGGGCAAGCTCCATCAAGTCTTCAGTACCATGCTCAAGATCCTTGCGCATCCGGAGGTACCCTGGTCCCCGCCGATGCTGAGATGAAGACCACCGACGCTGCTCATAGGTCAATCCTGAACCACCGGCGATTGTCTGAACGATAGCATGAGTCGTCTCTCGGCCAGGGCTCAGATAATGACGTGCCGTAATTGGGCTCCGAGTGTACGGTAGCGCAATTGCTCCGATTGGAGTCCGCGTTGACCTAGTTGGCCCGACGAAAGCCCGCTCTGGGGTTGTATTAACTCCAGTTGTGTAGATGTGACAACACTCATATACCTCAGTGTACATTATGACAGCGCTACAATCAAGTCAATCCTTTTCATGGGATTACGGATCGAGACACTGGTTGAGTCTGATAATGCAGGGAGGTTCGCAAGTTGGTGATGTCTTGGAGGCTCGCGATACGAGATAGACACCAAGGTCGCTGGAGACCTCCCCGCTACCCCGGTATCGCAAGTACTACACTACGCCGGGCTGCCTGGGCATTCTACCCTGGAAGCACGCGGCAAACCGCGGACCCGACTTTGCACTGGCCAGGAACCGGGAGCCAGGAGAGACTCACGTGACCAATCCTCACACTTATCTTCACAGCGACCGCCGGTACTGTTGGCGGAGAACAACGGCTACTACCGTCCAGTGTCAAACCGGCGCGAACATGCGATTGAAACTGTATCTGGGACTTTATGTCCAGTCAATGACAGACTATAGGCTTGAATCGACTTTCGAGATTGCTGATGTGAGGTTCGTTGATAGGTAAACCCAGGCTTGAAGCGGCCGGAAGGTTGTACAAGGTTACACAGCGACACCTCGTCTAGTCAATGGTCAGATGCATCGATGCTAACGAGGCGCAATGTCAGGCTCGTGGGTGTTCCATGTCTTGTGTGCTAATTGCCTCATCCGGCAAGAGGCTCCACAGGCGTATTGCCGTCAAACGTCTCCTCCCGGCATGGCTCTCACCCCAAATCTCACGCCGCTGAGTAATACCTCCCACCGCGCCTCACACTGATGAGTGCCCGCCCGCCCGGTCTCGGCCGGCGCATTCGGACATCTACAGACGGAAGCACGTCACTGACAGGCCCCACACGTACCCCACCGCCGCCCTCCCGCCGCCTAAGTACATAGACGGACAGCAGCCGCGGCACTCCAGCTCCAACGCGCCTACATTCACGACTCAGACCACGTCTTACATACCGACTCGACCCCGAACCAGCTCAATCGCCCAATGCCCACAATGGGAGGCGGACCGCACCCCCCCACCTCCGCGAAGGAGCTCCTCCTCGCGGTCCTCCCGTGGCCGCAAGCCCAATGCGCGCCCGGCATCGCCGCGCTCGAAGCCGAGTTCCCGGACCTCGAAGTCGCACACTTCTACTCGCACTTTGCCAACGGCAAAATCACCGTGGACCCGATCCCCGACGACGTGCCGGCGCGGGCATCCTACCTCGCCACGCTGTTCTGGCTGCCGCCCTCGGCCGCCGCGATCCCGCACGCGCGCCTCATCCAGTTCTTCTCTGCGGGCACCAACCACGTCGCCCAGCACCCCATCTACACGGACTCGAAGATCCCGCTGTGCAGCGCGAATGGCGTCCACGGGCCGCAGATCGCCGAGTGGGTCGTGATGATGGATCTGGTGCATAGCCACAAGTACACGGCGCTGTGGGAGCTGCAGAAGCAGCGCGAGTGGAACCAGCGCGCGGGGATGGAGGTGAGCGACCGCGTGGGGAAGCGCGTGGGGATTCTGGGGTACGGGAGTATTGGGCGCCAGGGTGAGTGCGGGGTGTGTGGCTAGCGAGGGCACTGCTGATGTTGGTGTGTAGTTGCGCGCGTGGCGACGGCCATGGGCATGGATGTTATCGCGTATACGGCGTCGCCGCGCGACACGCCCGAGTCGAAGAGAGACGACGGGTATATTGTGCCCGGCACGGGGGATCCGGAGGGCACGCTGCCCAGTGCGTGGTTCAGCGGGACGGGGAAGGAGGCGCTGCATCGGTTCTTGGAGCAGGAGATTGATCTGCTGGTCGTGGGCGTGCCGCTGACGTGAGTACCCGTGTGCGTGCGTATTGGATGTCACTCACTCCCTGCAGCAAATACACGACGCACCTGCTCTCGACGGCCGAGTTCGAGGTGCTGCACAAGAGCAACCCACGCGGGACGTTTGTGGCGAACATTGCGCGCGGCGCGATCATCGACCAGAAGGCGCTGATTCACGCGCTCGAGACAAAGCAGATTGGTGGCGCGGCGCTGGACGTCGCAGACCCGGAGCCGCTGCCCAAGGACGACCCGTTGTGGAGCGCGCCGAACGTACTGATCACACCGCACGTCAGCGGGTCGAGCGATGCGTACGTCGACCGCGCGTTCCAGCTGCTGGCCACCAACATCCGGCGGCAGCGGAGCGGCGGCAAGCTGGTCAACGAGGTGAACCGCAACAGAGGGTATTAATGTGACGCCATGTACATGAATGACGATATGAATGCTACTCGGGCTCTGAATGCTACTCGGGCTCTTGATGCTTCCACTTCTCCCGCACCGCCGTGACGTCTATCTCGCACGCCGCCGCGTGCTGCAGCACAGCCCGTGCCTTCTTCACCACCGGCACATCGATCATCTTGCCCTCGAGCGTCCACGCCCCGCGGCCCGCCCGATCCGCCTTCTCGTCCCCAATCACCACGCGCGCCGCCCACTCCACCTCGGCCTCCCCCGGACTAAACGCCCTGTGACACACGGCCACCTGACTCGGGTGAATGCACTGCTTGCCATTGAACCCCAGCCCCTTGCCGCCCAGACACTCCTCCTCCAGCGTCTTCAACCCCACCTCGCCCTTGTAGCTCGTGCACACGAGATCAATCGTGCTGGGCAGCAGCGCCGCGCGCGCCGCCGTCGCAATCGCGCTGCGGGCGTACAGGAACTCGGTCAGCGAGGGCGTCCGCGTGAGACTCATATCCTTTGCGAAGTCCTCGGCGGCGAAGACCAGGCCATCGAGGTACGGCGACGCGGCGCAGATCTCGCGCAGGTTCTGGACGGCGCGGGCAGACTCGATGAGCGCGATGATGCGCAGCGGCGGCTGTGGTGCGTCGGGGCTGGGGCTGCTGGGGTGCCGCGCGGGGAGCACGTGGCGCAGCACGTCGGTCACAAAGTGCAGGTCGGCGGCCGACTCGCACTTGGGCAGCATGATGGCGTCGAGGTGCGGGCCCTGCAGCACGTCGGTGAGGTCGGCGAGCGCGAGGCCCGTGTCGACGCTGTTGATGCGGACGCAGAGTTCGCGGACGCCGGCGGGGCGCGGCTGCGACAGGATGGGACGCAGGTTTGCGCGCGCGGATTCTTTGAGCGCGGGCGCGACTGAGTCTTCCAGGTCGAAGGTCAGGTTGTCGGCGTGCATGGCGAGGGCCTTGGAGAGCATCTTGGGCGACGACGCGGGGACTGCTGAGTGTTAGAGCTGCTGAGGAACGCAAATGGGTGAATCAATTACCGTACATGCACGCCCGCCGAATCATTGGGGCGGCCATTGTGCAGATGCTTGCCACTGGCAGCGAGTGCAGTCTTGTCAGCGCTGAGCGCTCGCAGTGTTGCAGCAACCGCGGCTACATCCGGCTATATGGCATCTGACACTCGCCTGTGGGGAAGGGAGCTCGGAGCTCAGCTCGACCGCCGACCGCCGACGACGCTAGGGCGCGTACCTGAGCGTCGGTGAAGCCACGCGGCTAACTGAAGCGCATCACAGCTCACAGCCACGCCCGCACTCGACCACGCATTTCCCGCCATGGAGACGGCCCAGCAGAGCCCCGCGCCCGGCGCGCTGAGCTGGAGACTCAGCAGCCACCCCATCACTCTGCTGACCTTCCTGTTCTTCCGCATTTGTACGTCCACTCCACCGCAGGCACCACACCTGAGCCCTCAAAGTCCCCCAGCTAACGACCTGGCCCCCGCAGCCTCCCTGCTCGTCTACATCCTCGGCCTGCGCCTGCTGTCCTCCAACTTCGTGCTCATCTTCATCATCACCATGCTGCTCCTCGCCATGGACTTCTACTACCTCAAGAACATCGCGGGGCGGCGCCTGGTCGGGCTGCGGTGGTGGAACGAAGTGGACACGGCGACGGGCGACGGGCGGTGGGTGTTTGAGAGCGCGGAGCCCGGCGCGCGTGACGAGAACGCGACAGACCGCCGCTTCTTCTGGATTGCGCTGTACGCCCAGCCCGTGCTGTGGGTGCTGCTGGCGGTGCTCGCGCTGGTCAGTCTGGAGTTCATCTGGCTGACGCTTGTTGGTGAGTTTGTGACGTGCTGCGCGGTAGTCTGGGGGCACAAGGCTGACCTGTGTAGTTATTGCGCTCGTCCTCACCATCACGAATACCCTGGCCTTCTCGAGGTGCGATAAGTTTGGCCAGGCGAGCGGGTTTGCGTCGAATGCGCTTTACGGGTCTGGGCTGGCGAGCAATCTGGCGAGTGGGGTTATTGGCGGCCTGTTCAGGCGATGAGCGGGTGGCATGGGGTGATAAAGCGAGTACTGGGAGTGGGCATGGCGCATGGAGTTTACAGTCTGGAATTACAGTCACGGCGCTGAGTTTACACCCACACAGCATGATAGACAGATATCCTATGAATTTGCCGTCAGAATGCATCTTGTATTGAGCATATGCAAGACATTGCGCTACGTATGCTCCGTCAATCTCGCTCTAATCAGACTGTGACCTGCTGACTGATCGGATACCAGCAGCCTACTTCTGGTACACCACCTTGTACTTGAACTGCGTCGGGAATGACCTGTCGGTGATGAGAATCTCCTCGCCGTCCTCAACCAGCTCGCTCAGCTTCTTCTCAAGGTTGGGACGCGTCTGCTCCTCAAGTCCAGCCATCTGCATGTACAGCGACTTCTCGCCGGTGCGAATCGAGGGCTTCTTGAGTTGACTGTACCATGTCAGTATTCATCATTTCCGTCCGGCATGTAGATTGACTCACGCTTCAGGCCTCTCTGCTAGCCCCTCAATGAACTCTTGCAGCGTGATATTTGGGTTCACCGGCAGAGGCCGTGCAATGTTGCCAGCACCACAGACAGGACAGTCGTCCTTCTTCTGGTGCTCAAACGTGTAGGTGTATACGCTGTCATCACCCGTGTACATCATGTAGTTGTCTGTCCCCGGGAAGCCCATGAACGGGTTTGTGTTTGTCGCAATCTTGAACGCCTCGTTGCAGCAGCTTGCAGCAACAATGGCGTTGGTCGAGGCAATTGCAGGGATGATGTTCTTGACGACGCCCTGCGTCATTGAGTATGTGACGCCTTCAATGTTAAACTCCTGGGCGCGCTTGAGGGCCTTCTGGTACAGCCAGGTGATGTGCTCTGGGTCGTCGTTGTCGAGAGTAATGTCCTTGCGCTCCTCGTCCCACGCGATGATGTGTGCCCACTCGATGCAATGTTGTGGCTGGCGGGGGATGGTGGCGAGTGTGCAGAGGGGGACCGCAGCGCGAGGCGCGTGCATGTCCAGCTGGCACTCAATACAACTCGTCATGGTCGGGAAGATGACCCTCGCTTGGCCCTTGAAACCTTCAGTACCGCCGTCTACAAGCGGCTTCATTGAATCAGGGTTTGTCTCATCAACCATGCCAACAAGAGTTGCGTTGATCCACCGACGAGCCTCGATGCTGTCCAGACCGCATACTATCATGGCGAATTGCATGTAGTACGCTTCGTCTTTATCCTGGATCTTGCCACAGTAAGGTGTGATCTTGACACCTTTGACACGCTTCTCGACAAAACGAGCCGCGACCTCGGCCTTGAAGCTGCCAACATCTGCCTGACGGAAGAGGAACTGCCGGTTCAGGTTGCTGACATCAATGGTGTCCATATCGATCACGTGGATATCCTTGAAGCCAGAAAGTGCGAGGTTCTTAAGGATCTCGCATCCGAGACCACCGGCTCCACTAATCGTGTGTTAAAGACAGTATGAGATGGGATGGAGTAAACTCACATGACTCTACATGGCGTTAGCTATCGGACTCCATGTTGGAAATTCTCATTCACGCACAATACTTTGGCTGTACTCAAGAGCTCTATGACCGATTCACCCGGCTGAAACATATCAGGATCCGTGAATGGCCCACTTCGCGTCAACACCTTGTCCAAGTACTTCCTATATCGTGTTAACCGCCGGAAATCACTCCAGATGAGAGACCTACCAGCGTGCGCGAGGACTGGCTGTCGTACCAGACAGGGGGTTTTGAACTTCGACCGACATCTTGTGGAAAGTTTGGATGAGGAGTGAGGAAGCTGAGTCGAGCAAACGCACGATGTACGTAGGCATCGGTGTTGGATGGAGTTTAGCGCATTGCCAAGAGCCTAACGTCTTCTAGTGCCAAGGCAAACATACGGCGAGCCTCAAGACATCTACTTAGACGTATAATCAAACTTCTCGAACGACCTCAAAATTGTGGAGAGGGTGTTGTGAGTGTTGGATCCAGATAGTCTGATGGCGAGCACGAGCAGATGAGGTCTGGTGGACAAACATACAACTCCACTCCACGCTGTGTGAGTGATAGAACGTCTGTATGATTTAAGTCGTCCTAATTACTTTGAAGTGACGAAATTGCTGCATGCACACCCGCAATGGCCGACTTTCTCACTGCCGTCTCCACCAAGAAGATTAATTCTCAGCCGACTATCCAAAAGATCCAGGACTTGAGTATTCAAGATGCAGTGACAGTCGACTCAGCGCAAACTGCGCTCGAGGCATTGAAGGGTCAACCAAGTCATGATACATTCATCGGTGTTTTGAAATTTCTAAATGGTCCGGAAAACAGCCTTGTCGTCTCAGAGCCAGTATACACAAGTATAGCGCACGAGCTCGTTAGCAACACTATCCCAAACTTCTGGAGGGTACTCAAGCATCGATCCAAGGACTCTCGCGCTCTTTCCCTCGCACTTCGTAATCCTACCGGGGTCGGGCATCTACTTACGAGATTACGCTCGCTCATTGCGGACAGTCGGCAGAAGAAAGTTACGGTAACTACGCAGAACGTATCCGAGTTCATCGAAGACACATTGGATGTGCTCGAAATAGTTCTGAGTGGAGATGACGTGTCTTTCTGTGTGTGGAAAGAGATTCAAAACTTCGGCAAAAATGACATACGCAAGAAGCTGATGTGGAAGGAATACCTCGCCCAAGTAGCATCAGGCCGCGTGTTGTCAATTAGGGCCGAGGCCGAAGACATATTGAAGGAGAAGGGAGTCGAACGCTCGCCGTCGAGTGGTAGTGACTACGCAGGATGGCTTGGCCGCAACATTGTTCACATGTTGGCCAACGGCGACAAAAGCGAGACATTGGCCGCAGCATTAACTGAGCTAAGCTCAAAGATATTGAGTTTGGGATACACTGGTAAGTCAACCTGTTCGAGGTTCGAGGTTTGTACTAAATGTGGTATCAGACCGGCTCATTGCCACTGTACTCGACGCTGCTATCGAGCAAAGCCAAGTGGATCAGTTTGTGGACCTCATAAGCAGAATGAAGTCGTTCGAACAACGAAAGTATTTGAATGCTATCATTGTCTATATCACAAAGCAATTCTTCCAATCGGAGATGGTTGCCAAGGAGGACATCCCTATCAGCCAGTCACCCACGATATCAGGTGCAGCGTGTCTGCTCAACAAAGTCATCCAGGATAACGAAATACTCAAGGATCACATTATATCATCGCTTACACGTTCTACCATACCATCTCTGGATGAGTCCTTGGCGACGCGTCGTACTGTGGTTGCCGCCTTGGCCCAAGACGAAGGTCAGTAACGGAAGTTCAGTCTCACAAACAGACCTAACGCCACGTAGATAAGTTACAGACGATGTTCGAGAACTGCATCAAGACCTTTGGAGACTCTGTCTATATCAAACACACGCCCATCTTACAGCAAGAAGGTCAGCTCCTCCTGCCATATCCGCAGACTTAGACTGACTGTCATCAGCTCTTGCGCAAACGTTAGCTCTATGCTGCGGCTACGTACAGCGTACCCAGCCCATGTTTGTAATGATGATGGCCAAGTCGACATATCACGTCAACGGCATGTCGAGTCGTATCGGCGCAGCCTCCCCTCGAGCACGCTTCTTTGGGATCGCGGTCGGATCAGCAATGTCAAGAATGGTTGACAAGCCTGAGCTGCAACTGAAGATCGAGCTGGAGGGAAGCGAGGCAGATGAAGCGAAGTGGTACGAACGTCTCACCAAGGTCGACGATAAGATCGGGACAATGGCGGACCTCCAAAAGAAGCAGGTTACCACAGTGCCTCTGGTTCAATCGACTGCGAAGCCGAAGCCAGTTAAAAAGGCCTTGAAGAACCCAGCAATTACGGAGGTCCAAGGTCCCCGTATCGTTGAGGTGCTTTCTGATTCCGAGGACGAAGATGCAGACCTGATTGCTTATAGCAAGCCAGACTCAGATCCAGAGGATGAAGACGAGGACCCCACTGCCCTCAACCGCAATAAGCCTACAACGCCTGTATACATCAGGGATCTCGTTGCCGGTCTTCGAGACCAGGAGAACTATGATCGTCACGAGCTCGCTCTGGCTACTGCCGCGTCCTTGATACGACGCAAAGCCAACTTCGGCACAGAAGTCGCAGATCACATTGAAGACCTTGCCGCCATTCTGACCGGCCTACAAAACGGCTTAGAACTTGAGTCGTTCGCACAGCAAAGACAGCAGGCATTGATCGCCGTCCTTCTTGCGCGACCCGCACCAATGGCACAGTGGTTTGCACGGTCGTTCTTCTCCGGTGACTACAGTTTCGCACAGCGCATCGCTATGCTCACTACGCTCGGTCTTGGAGCGCGCGAGCTCGCAGGCATGAAGGACGCGGCCACAGAGGATCTTGTCCCAGTAGCACCATCGTTCCCGAGCAAACAACTACCACCTCAGCTCCACAAGTTGTATACCGAGGACAAAACCGCGAATCCAGTTGCCAAACTCACGAGCAGTATGGCACGCGCCATGCTTTCCCCGCTCGCCTCGCAAGCAGCAGAGGAACTCAGCGGCCCCAACGTGCTCAAAGTGCGCACCTTCAGCACGCGCATGGAGGTCGAAGCCGCGCGCAAGAAGCCCATACCCAACGCGCTCGCCCAGATTGTCGCCGACAACTTCTTCTTCCCTCTGACCGGCCGCTGGTGGCTGCAGATCCGCTCGAGCAGCGACTCTATCTACGCTTCCACGCATCTCCTCCCGCCGTTCCTGCAGACCTTGTCGCTGCTGCTGAACGCGTCGGGGCCGAACACGCTCTCGCTGCCGCAGATGACGCGCGAGTATTGGGATTTGCTGCTGTCCGTGCGCGGGCTTGCAAGCAACGATAAGGCGATTCTGAGCGCGCTGTTGTTTGGCTTCTTGATGCTGCTGGAGACGAACGAGAATAAGGAGCGGCTCGCGACAGAGCAGGGCAAGGAGCTGATGGAGACTCAGGCGTGGGTCAAGATGGTGTTTGAGGGCCTCGGCGCGGGCAGCGAGGAAGATGAGCGGATCAGGGTGCTGGCGGCTGGCGTCGTGATACGGTGCCAGGAAGTCGTGGACAAGTACCAGCGGAGGATGGCAGGCGCGTTGATGGACTACTGATGCGTTCGCTGAGTATGGAGACCGAGTACATAGAGACCTGCAAAGAATCAATGTCTGTCGCGCCTGCGAGCGCGCCTCGATTGCACGACAACTGAGCATGTCGCGTCGCGCACAAACAACACGTTGCGTGCAAAATTCCGCAGTCTCCATGGTATCACAACTCTCTTCTTCCTCAACGCCCTGCACATGGCAGCAGCATCAATGAAAAAGCCACGCAAAGCGAGCAAGCAAGCAAAAATTGCGCCGGCGGCGTCCCCGAAGGAAAGCCGTACCCCAACCAGTCCGCGCTGTGCAATGCAGCTGATCAAGGTAGAGGAAGCAGAGACTTGATCCTGCCCCTCCCAACAAGGTAAGTATGCTGAATCAGAGCTGGGGCGACCGGCGAGAGGTTTATATGCGTAAGCGAAGGGGGACGTGCGTCTAGCGTGCACGTGATACGCAGGCAGCAGCAGGCACGTGATCGGCGGAGGCGCAGGCCGGGCGGGCGGGTTGCGCGGCTGTGGGTCGGGGGACCTTACGCGGCGGGCTTGGAGCAGCGGGCGTGCTGTGCAGTGCACCTTTTTCCGGCGTCCTGACAGGCGGCGTGTGTGTGAGCGCGACGCAGGGCAAGGTGGCAGCCGCGGCGCCGGCGATGCGGTGAGGCGGTTCTGGTCCTCTGGTGATGGAGCCAATATATTGGGGGCAATCGACGGTTTTTGCAAACTGCCGCATGGGGTAGCTTGGATGTGCGACAGGCCAATATTGAATGCCGTATTGAGCATTATCTGGGTTTCTACGAGAGCCTTCTGGCTGCGTTCTCTGCACTAGAGGCTGCATTCTGCCAGGTTGCGCCTTGTTGCTGGGACGAGGGCTCGGTTGGCTGGAGTATCGAATAATGTGGACGCGGGAACACAGCCTGGCCTAGCGAATGACGTCTGTGTACCCTATTCTAGCATGCCAAACGTCAACGCTGTTATTGATATATACAGGCCATTTCGAAATTAGTCTGTGTGTGCATTGTCACAGCTCAAGACAGGATAGCACCGTTGGCCTTGACACAGCACGAGCATGTTTCACTTTCTGGCGTTGCACCACCGCTACCGTTTATTCCCACATTGGGAGGCATGTATCTCGATCACCTGCAGCCCCAGATTGAAAACGGCCATGCGGGACCACTAGCCCTGCAGTGGGCTATAACTACGCACGAGCCGCGTCAGATTTCACATGTGTAAGAAATTGCAGTCCGTCTGCATGTTGACATGAATGATGACATGCTGCTTGGAGAAGCCTTAACGGAATACTCGCATCGCAATTTGATCCAGTCTCAGAGTTTACAGATCACAGCCGTGGCACTCTTTTCTTGGGAGACACTTGCCATCCAAAGCTCTACTTCCGTCAGCTGAGGTCACAAAGGCAAGCAGTAGCGCATCAACCTACCGGCTTTTCGACCTTTCCACTACGAATCATCACGTTCACAATGACTGGTACCTTTGCGTGGAAGCCCTCCACAGTAGCTCTCTCCAGCTCCTCCGGCGACCGCACAAAATACCCTTTTCCACCACATGCTTCCGCGAGCTTCTCGTATCTAGTCTCGAAACCCAACGCCCAGCTCCTCAGACCCAGCTCGCCTTTCATTGTCCTATCTCTCTTCTCGTTGTAATCTTCAGCCGAGTCGGAGTCACCGAAGTAGATGCCACTGTTGTTGATGACAAAAACAAGCACGTCCATGCCCATCCTCGCCATGGTCTCGATCTCCATCCCCGAGAATCCAAGCGCAGAGTCGCCTTCGATCGCCACAATCTTCTTGCGAAGCGCCGGGCCAGACGAAGCTCGCGCGTTGGGCGCATTGTATGCTTCCCAGGCTGCTATCGCGTAAGGAAGCCCGACGCCCATCGTAGCAAAGGTGCCCGCGTCGAGACGCAGACGGGGGTGTTCGAGAGGGAAGATCGAGCGGCTGATGTCCATCGTATTTGCGCCTTCTGCAACGTAGCAGATGCCACCAGACGAAGGTGGTGATAGCGAATGTAGAACCGTCTTGATGACGTGGAACACGCGCGCATATGTGAGTGGCATTGAGGGGTCTTGTGCTGCCAAAGAGGATATCTTCTCGTTTTTCTGCTTGGCCTGGGCAAGCTGTTGCAGATAATCGTGTTGCGGTGTGTAGGACCAGCCCTGAAGAGATTGTGACAGCTGCCTAACGACAGCTCCAACATCTCCCAGTAAGGATTGTTCGGCGTCGGCTGCGTTGCGGCCCATCTCTTCGGACGATATATCAACCTGAATGAATTTCGTTTCGGAACTCCATTTCGGCGCTTCCCCATAGTGCATGATCCAGTTCAGCCTTGCACCTAGGATCAGTACTACATCAGCCATTCTCATCACTGCACTACGAGCCGAGGATGCATTCTGAGAGTGCGAATCTGCGACAACACCCTTTCCCATCGGAGATGGAAGGAACGGTATGCGAGTCTGGTCGACAAAGGCACGTATTGAGTGTTCAGCGCGCGCATATGCCGCACCCTTTCCAATTACGATTAAAGGTGCCTGCGCGGCCTTGATCAGGCTGACCGCCTTTGCCAGCCTTTCCTCTTCTGCGGCTCCTTTAGGGGGATCCGAAACTCTAGGCACGTCTGGTGCTTCTTCAAGATCGTCCAAAGCTAGCGGGTCGTTGATAAGATCAGCAGGTAGATCAATAAAGGTTGGGCCGGCTCGACCATAGAAGGAAGCTCGGTAGGCATCGGCTATCATCGATGGCAGCACGCCAATGTTCGACGGCCTCAGAGCAATTTTCGTGTGCGGTGTTAGAATCGCGATCGAATCCATCTCTTGAAAACCTCCCTTCGTGACGAGATGAGTTTCGATGGATCCGCCGAGCAGGAGCAAGGGAAAGTTGTTCGCGCTTGCGTTACCAACCTAACAAAGTCACCCTAAGCCAGCTGCAACCCGTATACCACTATTCATCACCATAACAACAGTGGACAGAAGATAGAGCACAAATAGACATGGTATGCTTACGCCAGCGATGGCATGCAAGACTCCAGGACCGCCGACGACGAGACAGACACCCGGGAAGCCTGTCAAATAGCCATAAGCCGTCGCCGCATAGCTCGCAGCTTGCTCGTTTCGGAATCCGATGAAGCGTATGCCGATATTAAGAGCTTGCTCCGCGATGTCTGATACAGGCACACCGACAACACCAAAGACAACGTTGACGCCAAGGGCTTTGAGAGTTCGTGCAATGACAATGGCACCCGTTGCGGCAGGCGAACTTGCGGAAGACATGATCGTAACCCTGAAAAAGACAAAACTTGCCGGGTTGCAAGAATCTGGCTGCTGTGCTCGGAGTTCTAGTGCAGTCTGAGAGAAGAGGAGTGGAGCGGAAGTGCCGAGGTTGAGAGGTCGTGCGTTTCGATCGTCACAGTGTCGAATGTGCTCAGATCTGAGCCCCATCACAACATAAAAATAGGTGCCAACAACAGGCCATCTTGAAAACGTGTAATGCGCTCACTTAAGACACGTGGTAGGGTTTCCAGAAAAGGGATAGGGTTGTCTCCTAGTTGTACCTCTGTTGAAGGATGAGTACCTAGGTATAGCTTGACCAATCGGAGCAATGTAGTAGATCGATTTAGGTGTAGATTAGCGCACTGGTACAGGAGAAGTGTAAGTATGGTACATCTGAGTAGAGTACTTCGATAGATGAACTCCATTACTCATCCTCACATTGATCAGTTGCTCAAGTCTTTTAGCTTTCCACAGTCTTTGGTTTTATATAATTAGAGTGGTAAACATAATCATGGTTCTATCGTAATCGTAATTCCAGGTCAAATCTCTTCAAGATCGCTGGTGGGGTGGGCCACCTTTCAGGTGGGCCAGCTTATTCAGTGTGTCGAACTGTCTGGAATAGGCACTGGCCCTACAGGCGGCTTGACTGTGGGCATGAAGGCTTGGTGTATCGTCCTAACACCCCAACTAGCAGGATAGTCGATATTCGAATGGAGCAGGCCATAGCTCCCGAAGATAACGAAGTCGTGCTCCTCCTCTGGACCTATGTAAATATGCTCGGGCTGGATGATTCTGCTGTGAATTTTATCCAGAAACTTCCTTACATCACCCAAGTCATCGATGACCCTCGGCGTCTCATCTGGGCCGTTGCGGATAAACAACCGACAAGTCAAGTGATGCATACACTGGAATGACTTCTTGCCGGTGACGGGATTGACCCAGACCAGCGGTAACTACAGAGTTAGCGTTCGATAGATCAGCCCCCTCTAAGTAGAAACATACCTTCTTTTGCCAGTCTTTAGACGCCCCATCTACTAACTTCAGTAGCTCTTCTTCTGGCTGCTCTCTGCCCTCAGTTACCACGCCTAGGCCGTTGGGAGCATAGTGGCAGTCCTTAAGATTCTCAAATGGCAGGCAGCTGTACTCAGCCCAACTATGGTCTGCCATTCTCTTCTCCTCGTCGCTTAGCATGTCATAGAGTTGTTCAGTGTCCAAAAACGCCTGACGTCCTGGTTTCACTTCCATAGTCGTACCTGAGCCGTCAGCCCATTCTACAGTCTGTTTGTCCAGGCCTTCTGTCGGAAACTTGATCATTCGGAGCATGGTCATCTTCGTGATATTGTGTCGCCAATAGAATCCATTCATGTACCACACGTGGAAACGGGTACGTCCAGCTTCAAAGTCCTCATCTGAGAGTGGTACGCTGTAGTAATGGCTTACATTAGCGTCACCCATGTCTAGACCTGGTTTGCCGTAACGCGGATCGTCTTGGGGGCCTTTCCCAATAAAGTAAAACAAACCCGCATCAGGGACCTTGATAGCTTGGAAGGAGTCCTTCATTTATTGTTAGCGCTATGCTAGACTTTGCTGTATTGTTGATGTTTTAGTCCGCTGCTGACTTACTCTGAACCACTGGTGAGGGTGGAATAAATCCATCATCATGTCGTCCGGTTCAACTATCATCTCTGGATCGAGAGCTTGCAGCAACTCCCAGGCACGCTTCGGTTTAAGGTCATGTTGACCTTTGACAATAAGGAGTTTATGCTCCCAGGTCGCTTTCTCTAACTGAGCCACTATCTCTGGAGTGAAGTTGTTCAGATCAAGGCCAGTTATGACAGCGCCAAACTAAGCAATGTAATGTAAGCAGGGATCATACAAAGTAGTATCGGACAGGGTTAATGACTCGTACCTTGCATGTCTTCCCTTCAGGATGGACCAGAGGCTCGATCTTGAAGTTGCTCGCCATAGTGTTTAGAAGTTAAGTCTTGCGCGAATAGAATGTGGATTGCAGCTCTGCAATTACCCAACAAACCTTGGGATGATAGGATAATTATCAACTTATGTACAAACATGTCTTCGCTGAATAGAGCTCTATGCGCAAATTCGGAGATTTTCACAGACAAGTTCGGCTAGTCGAAAGTGCATGTCGGGGTCCGATGTAGACCAAAACACGCCGAAGCCTGTAACTTGCACGCAGCCTAGGCAAACATCGCGGCGATTAGGTGCATTTCGAGAGAATATGTCGATGATCATAATACTGAAACTGTTGTTTCAAGTAGCTGCTACGCCCATCTCGTCGGATAACCCTCATGAACCCTCGAGCCATACTCGGGAGAAGTATCGCATTAGTACCTCGGTCGCACTCAACACTAGCGCTGCGACTGTAGAACAACGCAGCGCAACACCACAACGAGGTTACACTATACACAGTATAGTAGGATTAGCCAGAAGTATTGCTCTATTCTTCCTTTTCTGTTTCTACCATGTAGGTGCGGGTACACAGTAACGCGCGGAATCCCGACACCTAAAACAGGTAGGTAACCGACAACAAATACCAGGTAATTAGTCCCAATACCAAACCGTGAGCTTTGATGGATCGCGAGATTGTTCTCATCGTCCTGTGGTTGTATGTGGGAGTGGATGAAGAAAGAGCATGCTGTATTTTCAGAACGTCTACCGCCTTCTGCTTGTGGCTTGATGACGACATCGGACTTTCTGTGCATGTTCTGGCCACCATTGCACTACCTGGTGTAGAAAAAGTCACTCACTACCTACCAAGCCTGCTCACCGCTTAGGTCAGTGCAAGGCTCTCAACTACTGACGAAACTATCCACCTTGACAGATAACAGATCTCCGTACCCTACTATGTACACTTCTCAGAGCAGTTGGTCAGCAACATTTCCTGGAGTTCTAGCATCAGGTTGAAATACCTTCCAGCACATAATCGCAACTACAACAGCGTTTCTTACTAATCATTCAAACTTACAGGAATATATGCCTGTTCTTGCTCCTTTATTGAGTCTCTTCATGAACTCTCAGTCCCAGATTGCTACCAGTTGCCGTCTCCGATCAGTGGAGACTAAAATGAGGACCTGCGACAACTATTACCTTTGAAAGATCTGTGAAAGTATATGTTTACATATGCGCTGGCAATGGCCATGATATGCTGGTGCCTGCTTGCGAATGAGCTTTTTGTTCCACCACACTCAAATTTACGATGCTCAGCCTTCCAAGGTTCGATGCACCACACTTCAGCCTGTTATCCAATTCCGGAATTCAGGATCCAAAGCTATCCTGGGTCGTCGAATCATGATTTCCAGGCGTCGGGTTCCCTCAATGTCCGCAGTGAATAGACATTGACTCGCTGACGAACCCCTGTCGCTTACATGGCAGCCGACGTACTGTGTGACCCCAAGGAAGCTGGGCATACATTTGCAGTGGTACTGGAGGACTTATCTGCCATTGGATTGGGTCGCTTCGAATGCAAACCCTGTCTGGCGCTTGCATGATTCAGCCATTCTCACAAGGCTGAGAATGGGGGCGAAACGGCCATCCATGAGGCTCTTCTTATTCTTCAGCCTGGTGGCCGACCTTCTCCAACACCATAGAGACCCGATCCGATTATTCTGATTTTTTTCTCAGTCATGGAGAGCATCCCACTAATTTGTAATGGCCCTGGGCTTCCGACAGATCAAGGAAACAGACTTACAGCAATTACGAATTCGTGCAACGAGCTATCGGATAGTTACCCGATCAACTCTGGAGTTACCTCTGCAATATCAACCAATGCATCGTCCAACAATGAACGACACATTACTTCAGTACTGCGTCCAATGCTTCAGCAAGACATCAAGACCAAGGGCCTCCCGGACTTGAAATTTGTGCCTCTACTACTCCGCACGGGCTGGATGTGTTTGGGACTTGCCTACAATCTCCTCATACTCGCTCTTCTCGTCCGCCTTTGGTACAGACCCAGCTTCACATTTTCTCACCAGTGGGGCTACTTTGCTATTCAAATTCTGCCCCCTATCCTTGGCAGTATAACATCGTCGCTCATGCGAGCTGTTATGATCAGTCTCTATCGCGTCATGCCATTCATACTAGCAGCAGAACCAAAAGGATCTACCTTCAAAGCGACTATTCTTGCTTCGTATTTCCCGGGACTCGATCTGTGGAGCTCGATCCGCACTAAGAATGGGTTGCTCATCTCTGGCTGGATCATAGACTTCTTGGTCGCTTTCATCCTAGCCTTCAAATCGAGTCTACTTAATACTGATCGTTACAGCGATTACGTCGACGTCGTGGTCACTGACTGGGCAGTCCTGTTTCTCATTGTAATCTACGCTCTCATGATCGGTTACAACCTAATCCTTATCTGTAAACTATACAATCGTGTCACTGGATTAAGGTGGGACCCAGTTTCGATTGCGGATCACTTCACTCTCCTCCGTCATAGCGACTTCCTCGATAGGTTCGAAGGCACAGACATAGCGACTAGAGGCTCAATAGAGAAACTTATTGGGCACGAAGGTCTCAAACTTGGTTATTGGAAACGAGCTGACGAAGTCTGGCACGGATTTGGGTTATTCCCTGGTCGAGAGAAGCGGAGCTCAGGTGCGTATGACATCAAGACGTCTGACGACAAGCCATGACTGAGCAATACCAGGCTCCAGAAACGCACCGGAAAACGAGTTCGGAGAGCAGATCGAGCTACAGATCACGAAACCTACATCTCGAGCAGTTGATACCCAGAACTGTAAGTACGGGACTGCCTTGAGCTGGGTCTCGAAGCCCTAACATGAATAGATTCCTCACGGGTAGTTTCAGAGACTCGTTACCGTTCGGTTTGGCTGAACTTTGAACACTGGATGGCATATATCTGGATGCTGATGACCTTGGTACTATTTGCCGCATTCACTACTGGCCTGATTGTTGGACTTGTGGATGGCAAGTCTATTTCCATATCGTACGGTTGGGCATCCGCACTCTTTCAGTTCGTCCCTACAGTTCTCATCAGCCTCTACAACTGGTTTTGGCACGACTTAGATCTTTTCGCCCGATCGACGCAGCCCTTTCGAGGAATGGTGCAATCGGAAACCGCAACGAAAACGCTACTCCTCGACTACAACACTCTCCCTCCTTTCGTCGTGACGTACTCCGCGTTCTCCAACAAGCACTATCGAGTGGCATTTACGTCAATCGTAGCCATCGTGCAGCGGATCCTTCCGGTTCTCGCAGCCGGATCAACCACAGTCATCCCTGAAGACCAAGGAGTGACGATTTTTGCGTCCAAGCCGATTTTTATCATCATCGCTGCTTGGCTCGGACTCTATTGTATCTTCATTCCGCTTGAGGTGTTTGGCTGGAATACCTTCAGCAGCTATGGTAATCGACACCTCCCGCGGTGCTATGATGCTATCTCAGATCTCATATCCTGGACATATGCTAGCAAGATTCTCCGCTCAAACGATGGCAATGCATTCGATATCAACATGCTAAACAAGGAAATGGCTGAGAGATGGTACATGAACGCCCGTTTAGTGACCGAGCTAGACAGTAGTGGAAAGGATTTCGCGCGATACTCATTCGGCTTGTACGAGTCCGTCAATCATAGAGGCGTACAGTGTCTAGGTTTTGACGTTGTCTCAAACGTGAAGACAGTTAAGCGGCGGAGGAGGCAAGACCCGAAAGCAGCAGAGCGAAGCATCGTTATGCATAAGCCGAAAGACTTGGTTCATCTTCTGGGCGAGAAAAGTGAGCGGCAGACCGACACGCGGACGAACTTCCAGCAGACTATTCCGGGTCAAGACCAAGAAGCGTAAGCTAAGAAGAGTGAGGCTCTTCTGCCCTTCGATGGACCGCATCTTTATCAACGAGAAACACTAGGCTACATGAGGTGATCAGTGTTAGACGTGTGCCGACGGGACGCAAGTAAATTCGTGTAATGGTTGTCAGCTCTTATACCCTACATGGTCTCGTTCTCAGTTGCATAGGATGCAACGTTGAGTGGTCACAATATCTACAGCTTTTAGCCCCAGGTATTTTGATATGTACTCCGAGATCTGTATTGATCACGATCGCTAAAACACGTCTATTACATTCACACTGCCGTTTGGTGCGCATAGCTGATTGAGAAACAGCGGAGACCCCCATCGACAGCTCATAGTCTCAGGACAATGCAAAGACTTAGGAAGAGTGCCGAGCGGGCCGGGGTTGAAGTCCAGTATGAAGCCTCGTGCCATATCCTCGTTCCATTTCCGAATATAGTGTTGCACGCCTTCTTGGTAGTGAAATTTGAAGTTCCTCGTCGCAACGGCCAAACTCCAGCCGGGTCATTAGGTGATGGTGTTCCAGGTGTCGCCGAGTAGAAAGTCGACGAAACGTGACCTGTAACAAAACGTGGCGTTAGACGAACATCTCACTGTGACGGGTAGTGAGCGTCCCGTCTGCGGGAAAATAATAACTCCTAGCGTTAATGCTCTTGTTTGGTCGATGCCGGTCTTCCATCGTCCGGTCTGTAGTCCGGCGGTTACCTACAAACAAACCGTCGTTCTCTGAGACTTGCCGGTTGCATCCGCTGTGGACCCACTATGGATGTTGCCTGTCATTGAATAAGCCTGAAACAAGTGCTTGTAAGTGCTTGCCAGCGCCTGCCAGTACTTGCCCGCACCTGCCAGAACAAGTGATAGATGTCATCGGCTAGCAAAACACTGAGCACAGTAACATTTCCAAGCATGGGCACCACATCACATCCTCTGCTTCCGACGTCGCGGAATACGGGGGACTTGTCTGGAGAAACTCTGAAGCACCGAGTCTTCGATACATAAAGTGGTGCTGATGACCGGTACCGTTCACGAGAGGTCTGCACGAACTAGAACTCGATACCATCATGGCTGGCCAACTTCATTTTCTTCTCGTCGTTGCTTTTCTATCTACTCAATGTACCGCGGCGCCGGCGTCGACACCCGTGGCAGGACCTGGATATGTCACAGGCTCTGTTCAACATTTCATTGGCAGATCGGGGTCCGCTCTTATTCCCACCATGCAACTGGGTTTTGGAAACCCACCTCAGAAGGTCACAGTCTTACTCGATACCGGAAGTAGCGATCTCGTGGTTCCTCAGACAGGTAGTGCTATCTGCAACGATCCACAACAGCAGTGCACTGCCAACCGCGATGCGATTGTCACAGGCTCATTCAATGTAAATAATTCAACTGGAGTAACAAAACTTAGAACTACGGTCAATGCAACATTTGTCAACGGCGTTGCTTTGCAGGGAAATCTTATCAAGACTGCCTTGACAGTGCAGAACCAGACGGTAAACCAGCTGCAAATGGCTCTTGTGACCCAAGGTCAACTGCCTCCAGATGAGCCGCTGTTTCCAATATTTGGTGTCGGCCCAATACAGGGAGAGGCAGCGCAAGATCTTTACCAGAATATACCCGCGGGAATGAAGGATGCTGGAGCCACCAATTCAAATGCTTTTGGTCTTTACCTAAACGATTTCCGTAAGTATTCCCGCCACTCATGGATTACTCTACCAAGCACGGATCTAATGCATACATAGGAGGCCCAGATGGCTCCATTGCATTCGGCGGTGTAGATACAGCAAAGTTCCAAGGCGACCTCAAAGCCGCGCCGCTTGTGCGCGACAACGACGGTCTTCTCCCATCGTTTGTCGTGGATTTCAGCTCAATGATGTTGCTCTCTGGTAACAGCACAGCGCAGAAACTACAACAACGTCAAACACAAGATAGTTCTGTCGATTTGGCCCCAAGAGACGGCCTTGGCGTCGCACTGATTGATTCCGGCGCCCCAAGTCTCGCCATTCCGGCCTCGTCGATGAGGGCTCTTGCCAGAGCCCTCGGTACCGCTTTCAATGAAGACGATGGCTCCCTAGGAAATTTACCGTGTGGCCTGGCCCAGCAGGATATGAGCCTTGGCTTTGGCTTCAATAACGACAACGCACAGATCCAAGTCCCCCTTGAGCTCATGTTGCTCCCGAATCAGACTACCGTGGTCGGAGAAGCAAGAAGCGGCGCCGATTGCATGCTTCCTATCTTCGCGACAGACGATCTTAACACATTGGGCGCGCCCTTCGTGCAGGCGGCGTACGTTGTGTTTGATATGGATGCACAGCAGCTTTTGATGGCCCAGGCAGTGATCAACGCAACGGAGTCTAATGTGCAGGAGTACACGGCCTATATGTCACGTTCGATTAAGTAATAGCAGCGCTATGAGTGAAGTCGAGATAGATGTTGTGGAAGATATGCATCATTAATACTCAGGAATATGTACATAGGAATGCGGACAGTAATCACCTGAGATGAGGGTGAAAAGGCGGCAAGGCGAAGTAGAAAGAATATACAAAGACTTGCCAGTAGCTACATACCAGTCGATAAGTGTAGCATATCAATGTATGCTTTGATTGATCTGTAACAAGACACGTATGCAACAGCACAAGATACAGTTGTTGGTCCAATGCATGGTGCCTTCTCAATGCTCAGCCAATGATGTTTTGGCATGCTAGTAGTTAAGTGGAGGAGTGGTGGATGCCCGCTGGTGTAAGCTCTCATCGAGTTCTGTGGGGATGTAACTCTATGAGGAGGCTTTCAAAGACATCCAAGCAGCAGGTCAACAGACATCATTTACTCCATTTAAAACCGACAGCCTCTTACCAGCGCCGACGGGTCACCAAAGGCACTGCAAGATCAAATAAGGATGGTTGATACCTATTTTCAAATTGGCGTATAGTATAGGGCTGTAGAGCTACTCTAGAATGTGAGGTACCTTATTGGCTGTGTTTGCTTTTGGCTTGCAGCGATCCCAATGCTTCAGATGGCTCGGCGACCCGTCGACGATGATAAGAGGCTGTAGAAAATTGCGGCAGAAGTAGCGGCTCAGATGATGATAGCATCGATCAACCCCTGTCTGACCTGTGCAACAGACATGCTTCCATCCGCCGGTACGATCAGTGTCGCTACAGTATTCGGTGCGGCTCCCTTCAGCGATGTGATTGTGGTTTGCTTGTTTATCTGTACTTGCAGGTTGTGCTTCGCAGGCTTGTCGCTAGTCATCTGGATTGGGTAAGTACTTTGCCTGCACAGGTGGTAATGTCACTTGCGCCCTGCATGTCCAGACGCCAGTCAGTGTCCTTGAAAATTGTCCCTCCGTTCGTAGCAAAAGCAGAGAGTTTCTCATCAGGGATGCTGTTGATAAACTGTGTACAGCGTTTTGTGTTCTTGCCCATGTTGACTGAAGTGGAACGAGGCTCTAATTTGTCTTGAATATGTGTAGATTGTATGACCAGATCGCGATTAGAGAACGACGGGCGTGTCGTAGACTTATCTGCAGTGAGCAAGGCATTTTCAGGTGTCAGAAGATGGCGCATCAGGCTGAGCTCAGCCTAGTACCGACCAGTTGGGCGTTGAAGCGCCAGGCATTGGCGGCGCGTATCGCGACGGTGCAAGGCTGTGCTCGCGCGACCCATTTAGGTTCACCGGACATCCCCTCATCTCTACTGGTAGCTCGGAATGCGGCGTGGCGTGCAGCAAATGTTTTGTGGATTTCTCCCGTTGTCATGCGATCCGTAGGAGTGACTATTTGTTGAACTCGGCGCTTAGGCTTCGAACATCTCCAAGCACTAACGCGTCGATCCAACGCTTGATTATCTTAAACGCCAACCCACTGTCGCAATTGTGCACAGCCATCTCGAAGTCTGCCTTGAGGCGGTTGTCCCTCATGATGGCGACCCACTCGGGCTGTGTTTTCTGCATCTCAGTGAGGAACAGCTTGCGCAGCTGCGTCATCTCATACTCCAGAAGATGTTCCCAGTAGAGATCCGCCATTCCCTCATTGTCAAGCCCGTCATGATCTGTCGCGTCTACCTCGTCTGAATCAGCGGCGTACGTCTCCTTGTCGGGCTTCTTTTCCCGGGTCCGCTGATCAAGCAGCGCGGGCACTTGACAAGCCCTCCACAGTGGCATAGCAGACACGCACTCCCAATCGATGACTGCTGTCAGCTGTCCGTTATCATCGACCATGATATTCTGCATCGATAGATCGTCGTGGAAGAGCATGCTTGGCTCGCTAGAGCTGTCATTGGGCAGAAAGATGGTGGGAAGGATGTCGAGCAGCCTCTTTGACAGATCTAGCGCGGCCTCGGCATCTTCGATCTCATCTTCATCACAGGTGGAATCGAGGATGCGCTGCTGATCAGTGAGAACGAGCTGTAAACGTGCCTTCAGCCAGTCGTGGCTTGACGTGAACGGCCCACGAGAAACATCGTGTGTAAGGTGGTCGCCCCAAAAGAAGATAAGAGATACCATGCGGTCAAGGGTGAAGGAAGTTGAGCTTGCTTGCTTTTCTGAATTGAAGATGTTCCCAATCCTGTGCAAGCGGTGTTCGAACAGTCGCGCGTGGTTCTCGACAAGACATTTGACGATGTTCTCTTTGGCGTCCCATGACATCTTCCGCCAGCCTTTGCGCAAAGTGATGCCAGGCATCATTTCCATCAAAATCCACTCGAACCCTAGCTCGTTCTCGTTGTGAGAATCGAATGCGATGATATGTGGGACAGGCAATGAAGTCTTTTGTCGCACAAACTCAATCGTGGCAACCTCGCTCTCAGTTTTGTAACGCGGATCAACGGGGAGACTGACGCGCATCAAACAGGTCGTGTCTACAGTCGAGACCTTGTAGAGCTTGTTGAAAGCACCTTGAGCGTAGAAGCTGATATTTGGCAATGCTTCTTCGTCACAGCCCAGGTGCGCGCGCGCGATAGATGCTATAATGTTGACATCTGGTTCTTTTGTCCAACGCGGCTCCAGGCCAAACGTCTTCTCGACCCATTCCAACCCATCCTGGTTTGGCATGGTTGCTCGGTATTCACTTCCCTGATGAGTACAAACCTCTGCTTGCTCGTGAAGGGCCGCAATAGATGCAGGTCTATGGAGAGCGACCTTACGTATTTCGTGTCGTTTGAATGGGATGGGAAGAAGTTTGTGTCTTGTGCAGTCGCCGGCAGGCAATTCTAGTGTTGAGAGGTGCGATTACCTTTACGTGCCTGGGAAAGGCCGACGCTAGAGATTGAACGCCAATCGCGGGCTAGCGCTCGAGCCACGAGCACCAAAACCCGTAGCCTGCAGCACGATCACCAGCCAGCCGTCAACACCAAACCCTCAGGCTGAGGCTCAGAGCGTGTTGCAACATGCCTAATACTGTGCCTGCACGCGCAGCAAAGATCCTCATAGCACCACCACGCCAAAAAAAAAGATCTCTGACAACGAACAGAACACCGCCAAAAAGAATACATTCAACAGTGGGGATTCCCCAGTGGTCACCCACCTGAGTACTAATCCACCGGTACGTTGCTTAAATAGGGCTGAGCGAACGGGAAGCCTTGTTTTCAACGTCCTATGGTCGTATGTGAAAGATATGGTCAACAACTCATGCCATATCTTTAGGTTTTCAGCTTGTAGATGGATAGTTAAACGCAAAGGAGAGAGATTGTTGAGTCTGGGATCCTGCTCAGCACCCAAACTCATCTCTTCCGGAAATCCAACCGCTGAGACTTTCTGCCTGTTTTTTAACAGGCCCTTACCAGACAGGCGGGCTGCAACACGCGACTGTTGCACGACTAGTCAATGCAGCTGGACACCCGTGATTGATACAGGAGTTCCTATCTTATATATTGCATGTAAGCTATGCTCTACTCCCTTCTGTAGGTAGTCGACGGCTTAGCGGTGATGGGATTCGACAGCATTGTGGAAGATTAATCTTCAAGGGCTTAGTTAGGAAGGATGTCAAAACAAATACTGAATACCAAGAGTAATGTTGCCTGCTTGTACCTACTAAATTGGACGCTCCGCTCTGAGGCATGGTGTGGATGACTGGGAAAGTCACTGGGTCGTACACGATAAGCTACCTATACCTAACTACGCAGGTAAGTACTAGTATACTTATTTACTACTTAACTAGGGCTAGGGAAATGAAAACGCGACTCTTAATCCTGTATATGGTGTTTGCTATATCGTACTTGGATTAGAAATGTAGGGGGGGTCTTTGACTAGCTGGATATATCTAATTTGACGTCAGACGGCGTAAGCTACACTGTGCCCTACCCCTACTGCACCCTGAGGCAGAGGGTACCCATTTACTAGCCTAAATTTATCTTAGAAGGACTTATCTTTAATATCCTGTAGTTGTATATAGAAGTAGTTTTGAAATGTAACCATAACTTAAGGCAGTATTCTACATGTACTATATATATTTACAATCAGGTAGACACAGCCGTATAGCATGGCGGTTGCGTTATCCTACAACAGAAAACTTAATTCAAGAGTCGCAAGCTTCGTAGATAAATCTTAACCCACGTGGAGCCTATGATTCAGAGGGTTCCTCAACCTGATCTGGGGTCCACCCCGCGCAGTGCTCACGCCCAGCTGAGGTTCCCCACCTTTCACATTCACCGGCAAGGGGATTCATCTCACAATTCTTTCCGGTAGTGTCAACCAACTGACAGATAGTAGTTCTAGGTATATAAGTCAGCAATATACAGCGTGATCGGACCGGACGACAACTGACGTTGATGGGTTAGGGTTGGCACTGTAACAATCGGCGATCGGGTTGGTTTCCGTGCACGTCTCGGCCAGAAAGACGTACATCTTCTGTCCAAACTCTGTATGGTGGAGCTAGGTACAAACGTGGTAAGCAAGAGACTGGTTTTGAGTATTCAGGTTTTAGACTTACGACAAGAGTATCGGTGTCGGCGGGCTTCACACCTCTCAGGCATGAGCTGGGAAACTCCTCCTTGGTTATAATCTCGTATGAGCCGTTCCCAGTATCAATGCTGTTGCCGGCGGTTTGCTGGACATTCAATCGAGTCTCATCAGGGCAGCGGAAAGGATCCCCGACGGACCAAGTAGTACCGACACATCCTCCTGCACCATCACAGATTCTGGTGTTGAATGCCGCAAGAGCAGCAGAGGAAAGAAATGGGATGATAATGAACGAACGCATGTTGTATGACGAGATGGCTTGGAATCCCTGAAATAAATGCTTGAAAGCTATTGTGCAAGAACAGTATCAAGCAGATAGTTCCTCCCTATATACTATTTCACAAAGTAAAGTCTTGTGGTGTACGAGATTTGACCGCGGTAACGACCGAGATCGGCGGCCATGATAATCCTGGATTGGAAGTAATACCGATAGATTGACGGCTTTACTTTGGTGCAAGGGGGTGACATGAACGGATGAGAATACGAGGTGACCCTACAGAGACATCTCGACGATTCTCAATGCCCAGTACCCACATCTGACACGTCCTATTGGTCAGTTTAGGGTCGACACCTACAGTCGTATTCTCACTCATTCATGTTACCCCCTTGTAAGAAACAGTTGAGACTATGCATGTATTTCGCGCAATTACAGAAATCTAGTGACGTTATTGAACATACACGACAGTGTAAAAGAACCCAGATTGTAACCATCTTGCAAGATGTGCTTCCAAGGATTATTCCTTGGTATTTTGCTTGTCCTCATTTAGAAATATAACACATTCATCTATCTAAAACAAAGAACCATATGAGGTACTCAATTGTTATGTTCACAGACTCGATACCAGTCTTAGGTATAAGGCAAACGGCGACATTAGCAAAGACATGTTAAAGGTTCAGCTGATGCATACCTTCAGGTGGGTGCGTTTTGGCTTAGACGTGTGGCCATTCTTCGTAATATCAGGGGCTTATGAAGTATGTTTCAGATATAAGCACAGCTTAGGCCGGCTTAAGAAAGCAACAACACCACACACAGCAAGGACGAGTTCTGGAGTCCCCGCCTTAAGATTATTTGCTAGAGGTCGCACTAGTCTCCACATTAAGCCCATGCGTTTCCCCGCATTGGTTTCATACCCATATTGTACACAGTAGAACCTCCGTGCGGCCTTGGCAGGCATGGCGCAGGTCATCGATGTGACATCCTATTGATTTCGAATCCATACCTCCAGAAATAGCATCCGCCTTCACCCCGTTGTAGTATGCTTGTTTCGTTTCCTCAATTGAGCGTTTGATAACAATCGTCGGCGAGCAGTACCTAGACGACCTATGCTCGGAGCATCCTTTATATATTATATTGGGAGTGCTGCGCACCTTCATGGCGCGGGGCAGCAATACACGACCGTTGCGCAATTAATAAATGCAGCGAGTCAGCCATGATTGAAATAAGAGACACTATCTTATGTATTGCATGTAGGCCGGCTCCACTCCTTTCTGTGGACGTTCTGAAAGAACCATCTTGAAGCGGTAGGCTAGGAAGGAGGTCAAATCGAATGGTGAACACCGAGGATACCGTGACCTGCTCATACCTCCTGAACTGTATTCTCTGCCCGTACCATGGTGAGGAGGACTCTGAATGTCGTGGAGTCGTACACGTAAGCTGATGACGTCACCTAGGTAATCTTAGCCCTCTACGAAGAAGCTCGTTTTTTGTGAGGTATCACTAGCGGGGACACAAAAATATCCTTCCAACTTCCATTTGTGATAACTTATTATCGCAACGAGATAAATGCCTTTTGTAAGTATACATGTTTACTAAAAGTAATTCTCTATCTTGTTGTGCAACTTATATAGTTAACATTTACGTTGTGCTGTTGTAGTAGCGTGTGTGATGCCTCATAAAAAACGATTTTCTTCGGTATGCCCTGCTAGCACAGATGGCAAGGTTGGAGTGCTTTCTGCCCACAATAAACACTCCAACACAACCAGACCAGGCCACCAAGCACAAACGCAGCCTCAATTACAGAATGGGCATGGACGTTGGAAAGTGCATTGACCTGCACAATTCCGTCATCTCGCACGCTAGCTCCAAGCTCTCACCTTACCGACAGCCAAAAGTAGAACGCAGCTGGTTCGCCGCCCACTCCTTGGACGCATCTTCGCCAGACCTCGACATTGAAATTGACGATGACCTCACAGCATTTCTCTCTGGCATCGATATCGTCATTCCTGAAGATCATCAGCACCTAGCCTTTACCCCGTTCTTGAATGGCATTTCATCTCCCAATGAATTGCAGCCAGATATGTGGGAAGGTATAGATGAGTATGAGGATTTTATCTTGCTGTATAAGGGTATGGGACATGATCCCAGTGGTCTCGTCTACAGTCGAGTTACCCATCAAGTCTGCTTTGTCCGCGACCCCTTCGACGAGCCCCGCGAACGCATGTGGGGCGATCTTGATGCGGTTTTGGAGCTTTATTTGCAGTCGATCGAGTCGGGCAAGTTCGTTGTTGATGCAGAGCACCCTGGGTTTGGCGATGGGGATGGCCTTGTCACGCAGGGCTGGAGAGTGGCGGAGTGGACGGAGAAAGAGTTGGGGCAGGTACTTGATATTTGGGACAGTTTGGTGAATACGATCACTGCACGATTACCGGAGTCTACCGCGGCGTCTGGTGGGAAAGAAGATGATGGCAATGAAGCATCCCAACCGAAGAAGAGGAGAAAAACGGAAAATGTTGGTTTGATTACTGTCGACATCTTGAACAAGTATCCTGCGATACCGCCTTTTGCGCGCATCTTCCTGTCTCAGGCAAAAAAGCCGCGCTTTACTTCTATCGCGCCACAATTGGATGTCCCTAATGAAGCCTTCATCCACCGCGTGGGCGCTGAGCTACGATCAAGGTACCCCGATGCTTCTCTCGCTACTCCCCAGCATGACCTCGTCGATTGTCCAACCTTTCTGCTGTTTCCATGGCGCACACCAGGCGTGCAACTTGTTTCGCAAGATGAAAGAGACCGATGGCAATCTCCGCGACAATCAAGTCTTTTAGACAACCGCGTCGGCCTCTATCTTCTACCTGATATCATCCACGCTCACGCCAGCACTCTGCTTCTACCTTTTCAGCTCGGTCAGAAAGGTCATGTAGTGATGGGGGATGGGTCAACAGTAGATAGACCGGCTCAGGACGCGTTGTATCGACATGGCGTATGTAACCCTTTCATGCCTGACCACGGTACACCGCTGGCTGCGATTCTGGTGAATTGGTAGGAACAAGTTGAGAACAACTCTTGGAACGTCAACGCGAGTGGCGTGGATGGTGGGGAAGAGCTATGGAAGAAGGCAGATACAGAGGAAGACGCTGAACATTTTCAAAGCAGTTGGTCTTGTTAAAATTAACATGTCATAGGTTTCTGCCGACATGTTTGAACAGCCTGTTGCATAGCCTAAGTTCTCCTCAATAATCGTCTCCTTTCTCCAGCTCTTGAATAGGAAGCTGCGCGTACCCGATATGTGGTTCCCGGTGGGGGAGCAGGGTAATGCTAGACAGTCTGTCGTAGGTTCTGAAGTCACGGTGATTGGAAGTGTGCTGCTAACATAAAGGTAGGGGTATTTGTATAAGCTGGAAGACAGGACGCTCGTAGTCACTAAGCTGGGTCTCGAAGAACAGTCTCCGAGCGTGTATAGGATTGAATAGCGAGATGGTTTCCGTACGAGACTGGCACGCATATGAGGACTAATCCATGTCACAAGTAGAAAGACAGCAACTGCTTCCAAACACTGCCGAATCACCCCCCAACCCCTACCAGCCCCGCAAATCGATTCGCCCTCGCACTCGCATACGTCTCATACTCATCCGCGCCGTCCTCGTACCCCGAGTCTCTGCGCTGAACCCGTACTCCCTTACTGCTCAATCTCTCCAATTCGTCCTGGACATTCCACGCAATCCTCTCCGCGCCAATGCGCGCCCCGACCAAATTCGGCGCGCCAGGGCCCAGCCGCAGACCTGCCAGCCTTCCTGTGACGAACAGTGGCACGCCAGTGTCCCACATCAGATCGTCAGTCAGACAGGGCAGACCGGCGACGCACGTGATGGGGTGCTGGACGCGCAGTGAATCGAGGAAGGGGATGGTGCGGATATCGGATTGTATGCCAGTTGCGAAGACGATGTAGTCGAGTGCCGGGAGTACGGGTGGTGGGACCTCGGAGGTTGTTGAGCATTTAACGTCTGTCCAGGACTGCGTGTCAGCGTGCCACGATAGGGAGGCCAGCGTGGTATGTGTGTGCAGGACTATTCTACCGCTGGCGATGTGTGCATCGAGGATCTTGCGGTAGCGTGGGGTGATGCTGCCGCCATTGCGGGCTTGGGCGATCATCGTGGAGCGCTCTTCGTCTGTGTCTGCACTCCAGAAAGCAGCTTGGTTGAAATTGCGGAACTTGCCTACCCAGTCGAGATCCACGTCGAAGTACTTGACTTTTAGTGGCCCGCGCATGAGGAGGTAGACCTTTGTCACCCCTCGCTTGATGGCAAGGTCGGCGAGTTGGACGCTGGTGAGGCCGCCGCCGACGATAAGCATATTGGTTGAGCGCCGAGCCTTGACTCTGGCGGCAACGTGTGGTGGCGGAAACTGCTTGATTTGCATTGCGTGTGTGTAACCTTCGTGTGGACTCGGTGTTGGCAGACCTGGGATGGAGGGTATCGATGGCGCGTTGCCGGGCCCGACTGCTAGAATGACGATGTTGGCAAAATATTGGGTCTTGTCGGTCTTGACGCAGAATATTTTCCTGTCTTCATACGACGCATCATCTGAGATAACACTATCGTGTTCAGCACCACCAAAGCTACTTGCTTCCTCGTAGCGTACGTCCAACACACGCTCCTGTCGAAGCATGTCGGGCCCCAGACCATATCTCCGAATGACTTCTTCGCAATGCGATGTAAATAGACTTGTGCTTGGCGTGAAGTAGTCTTTCCGGTCTCGCTCATCAACATCTGGCCCTGACCCTGGGAATCTCCCTCTCTTTATCTTCTTCTTCTTCCGGTGCTTGCTGATCTCCTTACCCGCACAGCCCGGCAAAGCTTGTAGCTCCTTCTCTCGCCCCTTCTCGTATGCGTAACCAAGGAGTGCATCGCGATCCGCGGGGTCGATCTGGAAGAACATTGGGCTGCGGAGATGATTGATACCGAAGGTCTTGAACAATCGATTCCACTTGCTCATCCAATCGGCACCATCCGCATCCAGCACCAGCATGTCTATAGAGGTGTCACTGGCCCTTGCATCGCAACTGCAACCGCATGCAGATGTGTCGGACGCAGGCCGCAATGTCGATAGAGAGTCTTTGTTGGTCCTGTAGTTCTTGACGTTCATCTTGCGACCGTGCTTTCGAATCCAGTGGTAACGCTGATGTTCGTCGTCCGTGAAAGTTGCTATTTTGATCAGTCAGAACGATGTGACATGACTCGGAATGAACCGTACCACTGGGTGTATGCTCTCGCAGTCTTGCTGCAGCGGCAAGCCCGGCAGGACCGGCGCCGATGATGAGGACGTCATGGACATGCATAGCAGCACAGTGTGTAAAAGACAAGGAGTTTCGAGCAATTCAAGCTGTTTGGATGGTTTCTATGAGGCTGCGTCGATATTTGAGGTGTATGTCACGCCTCGCACCTTGATGGCTCCCGAGATCGTCACCGTTTCGGTGAGACCATCTGGGTGCTCACATGCACGCGACACCTACGCGTTACAAGTCGCACAAATCTCATATCGTTGAGTAGTATGTGAAAACAAGCCGCATGCTAGCGAGTGCCGAGCATTTTCCTAAACTGTTATCGAGAGATCCCGACATGAGGTCTGGTCACAAACTTCGTTAGGCGCACATGGAAACACGGCACCGGCCCTTTAGACAGAGGTCGCGAAGCGCGTCAACTTCGCGCAGGAGAGACTCGAAGGGCTGGTGGCTGAGTACCGCTCGGGGAGACTGCATTGGGAGTTTAGCGGGCATTCTGGGCCGCTCTGGAAAGGCTGCAAATGGGCTGTTGAACGTGATTTGACATTATATTGCTTTGGGCGTTGCTTCATGTCGGGGCGTTATAATTAAAGTCCTTCATGCGGTCTTGTTCGGTCCGCCATGTCATCGGGCTTTCAATACTGATGTCGGTCGAGGACTTTTCATATGCCTTCACGCCATCCAATTCGATCGCACTGGTGATGAAAACGGGTCCGTTATCTGCACTTGGGTTTCGGAACGGGTCGTTGATCTCTTCCTGGCTCTCGGCAGCGCGGAGATCATCGCGGTAGATTTTCGATTTTGTCCGAGTTTTATTTTGACTCACCCAATGGCTGTGGCTTCTTGCGGTGCCAAAGGTGTTTGTTCCTCGTGTGTTTGTTCCAGCCGCCTGGATCGAGTGAGACTCCCCTGAGTGGGAGCTCCAGTTGCGCAGGTTGAAGACTCGCTGGATAAGAGGGTACGTGAGGGGCAGGTTTGCGCACAAGAGGGCAGTATATGACTCCCGAAGATACCACAACACCCAGTCGTTGCCGAAGGGGTTGGAGAAAGAGTAGTACTTGTTGAGCACAGCGGCAACAACCTATTCATGTTAGCACGTTTCGACAAAATAGTGAAGAACTCACGGTGAAAAGTCCAATCAAGAAGATGCCAATCAAAATCAACTTGTTCTTTTTTGGCAAGCGAACTTTGAACAGAAGTGGCATCGGTATGCTGAGAATGATGAGGTCTGAGCTTATGTTGAACACGGCGTTTGTTATCAAATGGTTTGTTGCTGCAGAACATTGTACTGGGCGGTCAGCATGACATCTTCCACCGTGAGTCCAGGCACTTACTTGAGTTAGTGGGCATAGCAAAGTACTGGTTGAAAGGACGGCACCACACGCCGAAGTAGAGGATCTCCATGATGACGAACGTAACTCCAACGTAGATGGACGTGGCAACAACCAGCTTGCGCTGCGGCAGTACGGCCGTCATACGGAAGTACATGATGAGCAAGCATGCTTTGACTAGCCAGATGGTAGCGATCTGCATCTGTTCTACCACCAAGACAAATTTGGAACCAGTGATTCGAGCATTGATCTCGGCTTGAGTGTACTGCGTGACATCCTCACCGGGCGGGATGAGGTTGGTCGAAGTGGAGACTACTCTCGTCATGGCGACGAGCAGAACAGTGACAGTCACCTAGAGTCTCGATTAGCAGATGTTCGGAGTTAGAACACTGTCATGGTCATACCATAGCACAGACGATCAGGTAGTCATCCAATTGCAAACGATTCCATGCTCCTCGATGGAGACGTCGTGATATCAATCGCACAATTACTACAAACCAGCACACTCCATAAAATATACCAGCCTGTTGCAGTTGTCAGTAGTGGTAGTCACATATGAGCCAGGGAACGTGCCTCCGGCTGGAGAATTGACGACATGGGCGACGTCAGGGCTCAGCACCCAACGCTGTAGAAAATAGCAATATGTGGAGGCAGTCGAGATAAGGGATCGTCCATGAAGATACCAGATGTTCGGTAGACACAGGCTCAGGGACAAGCGGCTGCGAGGTCGTGAAACAGGGCCGACAATCGCTGTAGGGGTGGGTATAAGTCTTGGGAACCAGCGGCGTCACAGGCGGAAAGCTGACCGCGGAGGGTTCGAAAGGTACTTGCAGATGGCAAGACTCAGGTGGGCACTAGGAATACTGGCGGCGTACTTGGATCGCGGGGGACGATTCACTGATAGCAGCGCCGGGATCCATCGTTGTCACTGCTGCATGCTGACTCGGACTACCACGCGACGATGCCGACGAAAGCCGCCAAGCTGAAATGAGGTCAAGCATCTCTGCGAACTTTGTTGTGCGCTGGAACAAATTCGAAATTCTCTCATCGCCACTTGACTTGCCGTGGGCCGGGGACCGGAACCCATTGGATCGTCGTGGAGGCGGAGTCGGGCCTTTCATTGGCACTCTGGCGCCATTGAACCGCGTGGAGTAGCGGACAGGCGCAAGCGGAGTGTACTAGCGCCCTTTCCCAACCGCATGCAGCGAGTGACAAGAGTGAAGCGCGGTCGAGGTTGACATTTGGAAAAAATGGTTCCCGAGGTTGTGTTTCAACCACGTGAATAGAGAGACGGATAGGACGTTACAGGGTTGACCCGAGCCATAGCTCGTGCCAGAGCAAGGCAATCCTGACGAAACATGTTGCAGATTGCGACTCCAAACAACTCGCAGTGCATTACTGACCGAACACATGCTCGCGCTCTGCAAGCCGCGGATGACAAATGGAACTAAGTGACATGCTCAGGGGGCGCACTCCACCCAAAATCATATCGTCGTTGTTGAGAGTGGAGTGGGCGGCAGAGAAGGCGCTCGGATGGCTGGGGCAGTAAGCCGCTTGGCTGGCGCCTTAACCACTGAGATAACTTTCATCTGCTATACGGCGGCTCCCGGTCTCACACATGTCAGAGCTGCATGCTTCTGGAAGAAATGTCGGAGACTTGCGCCGGATTAATCCAGGATCGCGAGGCTGAGTGCTCCGTGCCCGACAGAAGGGTTGCAGGACTCATGCATGCATCCTTCGGCATGCGCGTGCTGCGCCTGCAGAGTCGCCATCGCCACGTGCTGCACGGCACATAGACGCAGGCACGGATGCATGACAGAGCCATGGTTGCGTAAATGCGCTCGAGTGTCAATCGCGAAGTATGGTAGCATGTCTTATCGTGACAACCACCTCGAGTCAGTAGCTTACTTACTACGCCTATGCATTCACGTCCGGCACGTTGCCTCGTGTAGAGTGTTCTTCTGCCAATTCCCTCATTCATGCAGCTACGGACATGTCAGTGACCTTAAGTGAAGCCTCGACACTACGTGCTTTGCCGCAGGGCAGGATTGCCGAAAAAGAAATTATGATGCGATGACCATATTGTGGAGAACGGCGAGGACATCGGTGAAGGCAGGATCAGAATTGGGGTTGATGTTGCACATCACTTGACATTTGTACAAACTGTCTTGTACGACGGGACGGACCGTTGCTTCTGTCTACTTGCTGATCAGCTGGTGGCAATGGAGACGCCGAGTTGTCACCGCAAGTCTAGCAGGTAGATCGCAGCGCTTTCGAGGATTCTTTTGGTGCACATATGGCCGCAGAGATGCAATGGCGGTCGTCCGTTCCGTCCAGTAATGACGTCGAATATAGTGTCGGAGGCCTTACTCGCCGACCTGGCCGCTAGCTTCGGTCGTCTTCACGGAGGGAGTGGACGAGAACGCGTCTTGGCTTCGTTGAGTATGTACGACCGAGGTTTTCATGATCGGTGTGTTGCTGACACGCAAAGTTCAAACAGGTCTCCGAGTAATCGTCCATCATCCGCAGACACACGGAGGTGTCAATAGCTTCATGTACGAACAGGGGCATCTGCCGTGCTGCATGTTCTCTGCTGCATCCTGAACAAGTGCCCGACAACAATGTGGCTCACCTGAGACATGTGTGGAAATCATGAACAGCAAATTGTGGTTCCATCAATCATCGTATTTTGTCCGTCACCACCAAATCATGCGAGCCATCAACATGGTATCATCGCGAACTATACACACCCCAGCACGCTCTACTCGTCATCCTCCTCAACCGGACCCAGCTCGATCTCATCCTCCTCCTCGAACGTGTGCATTGGCACGCTGTACAGACGCAGGAGAGCCTTGTTGGGGTCCTTGACAAGGACGTACTTGCCCTCTTCCATACGCAGAACCATGTCGACGATTGTGCGCACGATACCCCAACCGTTGTTAAGGTTAAGCGCCATCTGCGAAGCAAACTCGCGGGGCTTGTTGGTGAGCACGCCGAGGATGACGTGGTCGTTGTTGTTCTTGGGGTTGGTACGGGATACGAAACTGCTCTGTATTAGCATTCTGGTCATGTTAGGGTACTCAGGAATACGTACCCAAGCTTCATAGTGTCAGCCTTGGCAAGGATGGACTGGACAGCCCAGCGAGCGAGCTTGCATGAGTTGTTCTTCATCTCAGTAGCAAGGACGGCACCACGCTGGCTGGCCAGCTTCGACCTCCAGTCCAGAGCACCACCAGCACCCTGGGCCTTGTTGTCGAACTCGTTGAGCGCCTTGATGGTCAAGAACTGGTCCTCGCCGTTGATGTTGTTCTTGACAACGGCGTCGAGCTCAGTTCGGACAATCAGGTGCAGAGGCTCCTGATCCCTCTCGAGCGAGAGATCGAAGCGGCGGTACCTGTACGCCTTGGAAGCAGCGGGATCGCTCTCGACCTCCTCGTTGTAGAAGGGGTGCTCGTGAGGCATGCTGACCTTCTGGGTCTCCGATTCCTGGACGACCTGGAGAGGGAAGACGTTGTTGATGTGGGTAGCCTCGAGCATAAGCGCACCGGGGCTGTTGATTGAGTCCTTGTTGCCCTCAGAGATCTCAAGGGGCGCATCCGCGGCATTCTCGTTAACGGTGACCATGTCCAGGCTGGATTGGTCGCGCTTGTCGATAAAGACCTTGTTGCCCCTCTTTGTGAAGACCAGATCCCACGAGTAGACAGACTTGGTGGCGCACATGAGCATGGAGAGGACGTTGTCGGTAGCGAAGACGGTGGCCTCGTCCTTGTCGGCAAGCTCCTGCAGGATGGGATCGCTGGAGGTGGTGACGTTGTAAGCGGCGCGCTCGAGGACGTTGAGCTTGCGCTCCGAGGTCTTCGCGCCGGGCTGCTTGTCGTAGCTGCGGTCGTAGTAGTAAAGGAAGCCGTAGTTGTCGAGGTCCTCGCCCTCGCCGGTATCGAGGTTGAGCTTGGCGAGACGCGAGAAGTCGATCTCCTCCTGGACAATCCAGTCGGGCTTGGCCTGGACTGAGGGGTCGCGGTTGCGCTGGGGCTTGTCGTCCCACCGTCCGAAGCGGCGTCCACCGCGTCCGCCTCCACGGCCTCCACGGCTGTCGTAGCCTCCCTGCCCGCCACGGCCGCCGACGCGCTGGAACGTGCCCCGCCCGCCGCGCTGTGCCTGTCCACCTCGTGCTCCGCCGCGGCCACGGAAGACTGTGCCGCCGCCTCTCCCAAATCCGCGTGTGCGGGCTGATGTGCGTGTGTTGTCGACAACGGAGAAAGTGGCCTCTTCCTCCGCGACCTGGACGGCGAAGGGGTTGCCGGCAGCGTTGGCGCCGTACACCTGCGCATCTGTAGTGGATGTTAGTGCCCGCGTCTCCTTCGGCAGAGTCCCGGAGTCTTCTGTGCCTACCTCTGTAGTTGCGGTTGCCGTACTGCTGGCGGCCGCCCCTGTCGCGGTCCTTGCCGTCGGTCCAGTCGGCCATGCGACCCAGCTTGTCGGCCTTGGAGTAAGGCGCAAAGGGCACGCCGTCGAGCATCGTCTCTTCAGAGACCGCCGGGCCCCAGCCATCGGTGGTGGGGAGCGCGGACACGAGGTCCAAAAGTGATGATGGCGCCATGTTGGTTGCTGAGTGTGGGGTCGAGTCGCTGTTCAATCGATTTCGACAATATCAAAATTTGGCGAATTTGGCGTGGCGTTAGCGCCGAATGGGAGCTGCCCCGCCTCATTGCACCGCACCGTCACCAAACATGTGTTCACCTCGAAGCACCACATCTGCTCGCAGAATCCAAGCCGTGTGTTTGAGAATGTAAGTTTGAAAATATAACGTATAGTCGCTTCGAGTCTCTGCATCTATTGCAGGATGTGTTCTCATGTGGTGTGCTCAGCCAAACGTCCATTGCAAGTCTTCAGTCAAGGGACTCTTGTGACAGTGACCGCCGCAACTCTCTGCCTCTCCTCTCTCTCTCGTCACCCAGCCCTAGTCCTTCCACCCCTTCCATCGCCTCAGCTGCTCCATCCTGTTCCTCTAGCACCTCCTCGCCAACATCGAACCTCTCCAACAACCCTACATCCCATCCTTGGAACTTTCTTGCTGTCGGCGGCACCACATCCTGGCTCTCATCCAGACTCTTTTCCAACTCTTCATACAGTTCTGCTGGAAATTCCACATCTTCAATTGTTGCGCTCTCTGGCTCGCCAGGCTGCAATGGTGCCCAGGTCTGCTTTTGAAAGAAGCACTTGATCGCCCTGGTTGGGTCTGTGCGATGTGGGCGTACGATCGAAGACGAGAACATGAGATCTGGGGTGAAGACCCAAACGAGAATGGAAGGCGTTGGGGAAGGCGATGTGGCTGCTGCCGTTGATACAGTGGGAGATGGTGGATGGTGAATGTGGAATTTGCGCACGCCGACGTTGTCGATAAGGTACAGCAGCCGCGCAGATATCCACTTCTGGACACTGTATGTGCTGTATGAGGGCGAGGCTGTTAGGCCGGACGAGATACTGAGACACCATTTCCATATCCGCCAGCCGTCTGCTGCTGTGTCTTGCTTGCCGAGCGTGTGTCCGCAATGTTTGCATGTGACGGCTACATCTGATAGTGCTTCTTCAGAAGAAACCTACACCATGTCAGCATGCTATAGGACTAGATGTAGAGGGGATAGTGAGATGTAGTCTATTGCTATCCTGTCAATCCCAAGAGTCTTAGGGCAGAAGGACAGTCAAACGTAAGGCAGCTCACCCAACAGCACCGGCGACCCATCGACGATAAGAAGAGGATCTGTCCAGCTTTGAGGGTATGTGTTGAGCGCATCAATATGGGGCGGTTGTATCGACGAGAATGCCACAGGTATTGGCGAGTCTGTCTTCTTGTGCGCCCAAAAGCGCATTTGCACCAGATAAACAAAGGAATGGAAGTCGTCTTACCTTTGCGCCCACGCAGTCCTGTGTCTTCAGCAGAAAGCCTGTGAGGTCCACAAACCCCACCCCTTGTGCTGCCTGCAGGCGATTCCCCGCAGCGTACCCTTTTTGTCCGCCAACCTCGTGTGTATGATCATGCAGATGATGCTCATCGGGCTTGTGGCAATGCCAGAAGTCCATCATCTCCGCCCAATTCTCATTCGGCAGGTCTTTCCATTCTCTTACTGCACCCCTCTCTAGCAACACACCCTCGCAGTTCTTGCACCTAAGCTCGATGCCGTCTTGCTTGCTCAGCGCCACGCCGTCCCAAGGCACGATATTCGCTTTACGCGACTCGGCCATAAGCCCCAGCATGTCGCTGTCATCCTGCTCTTCCAGCTGCAGCCGCAGCGTCAGCTCTTTGCTCGGCGGCTGCGCGGGCAACTCGAGCGCAGCATCGCCTTTGCCGTCGACCTTGACTGGGAGTCGTATAGTCGCACTGTACCCCTCATGCGACACCGTAATCACGTTGCCGGCTGCGTTGAGCAGCACCTTGGTTCCCCTCATGTGGTTGCTGCGCAAGCTCGCAAACAGCGTGATGGTGCGCACGTGCAGCAGTAACTCTGCATACAGCATGATGTGAGATCCATTCTCCGGCAGGCGCTGGGCAAAGTCGGTCTCGTTCTGGTGCAGCTCTGGCGCCAGCAAGGGTGGCGGCGGCGGTGGCTTAGGGTTCATCAGGATCCTGACAACACTGGGAGGCAGCCCGAGGGCGGAGTATGCTGACTCGGGCAGCGCTTGGTGGTGCGACATACTTCATGTTGGTTGGTGATGCTGGGAACGGCCATGGTGTGGTTGCGCGGGGTTTGGAGAAGAGGACTATGGTTGACGCGAGCGATGAAAGGTACCGAGTCTGGGCGCCGGATCTGCGACTAGCTGGGCATGGAAGAGAACCCGTGGGGTGAATGAGCCACAACAGTTTGTATTCAGATCAAAGGGTATATTAAATTACACTATGTATGATGCGATGTGCTATTTTGTCTACTGACCCTTCTTCTGACCTGCCTTCTCATCCTGCTCGAGAATATATCTCACACCTCTCCTAACGCCCTCGTCCAAAGTCACAAGCGGCGAATATCCGAGCCTGCTTCTCGCCTTCGCGATGCTGTGGTACTTCTTTAGCGTGCTATACCTGACTTGCGCCCTTGTCAGGTTGGGTGTCTTGCCCACCAGCCACATGGCCCACTCGGAGAAGAAGCCAATTGTGCTGGCAAAGCCGGCATCCAAATGCCATACCGACTTCAAGGGGAGACGATCGCCGGCCTCGTGCCATACTGCGCGCGCAAAGTCCCAGAAGTAGACTGGCTCGCCATTCGTGATGAAGAACGCCTCGCCGTCGACGCGCTCAGAATCAAGTGGCACGGTAGGCAGGAACTTGTGCGTGCTGAGGAGAGCTAAGACTCCAAGAACGTGTCCGTAAGCTACGTTCTCAACGTATGTAAAGTCGAAGAGGTTGTCGTTGTCGCCAACCTGGAACTTGGTCTTGCCGTCCTTGTATGCCTGCACCATCTTAGGGAGTAGTTGTACATCCCCCTCGCCAAAGATTCCCGCGGGACGAATGGCGCAGGTGAGAAAGCCCTCCGGCTTGCGATTCGCTTCAAGTACGGCCGTCTCGGCGTATGCCTAGCATGAAATTAGCAAAAGCCTTTGCTAGTCTTCAATTGGATGCCCACCTTGGTAGTCGTGTAGTACTCTGGCTGGGCGTCTCCAGTCACCAATGGCCACTTCTCGTCCGCGTTGACAAGTTCTGTGACTCCCCCGAAGATGACACTAGCAGAGCTGGTGTACACAAAAGCCTTGACCCCCGCATCCTGCGACGCCTTCAACAGGTTCTTGGTACCCTCTATGTTGACCTTGTCGTGAATCGCAGCCGGTAGGTTGAAATGGGGAGATGCTGTGTGGATGACGGCGTCCGGCTTGATTTGCGCAAAGAACTTCTCCATAGCCGCAAGGTCGGTAATATCGCCATCGTGGTAGGAGACAGTGCTGCTCGCGTTACGGTTCGAATTGGTGCGTAGGTCGAGGACCGCGATCTGCGTCTGGGGATGGCGCTTGACGATGTAGCTCACGATGTGGCTACCCAAGAACCCGCATCCGCCAACGACGACCACCGTACCAAGTGTCTGAAATTTTGAAGGGGCTGACATGTTGAATGGTGTTCAATCGGTGGTGGTGCAGGGGAATGGGTTGTCTTGTGGAGATTCGGCGGAGCGCCTAGCCCCCGCAAACAGTCCAAGGCCCGCTCCTTCGATAGTCTTGGACGGAGTCTCTCCGACTGAGTAGATGCAATATTCAAGCTCACATGTACACAGGCTGACCTACGTGCCGAGGATCATCTCACACTTGTAATGAAATAAGAGTCTCAAATCATCATTAAAGTTCGACCAACTCCTATGCTATGGTAATCGAGAATGCTGTGCGCCAATTCCATCACGAGCGCCAAGTATGCAAGCCGCGAGATCTTGAAGAGACCAAGCGTGGGTATCAATGTACAGTATAATCAATCTTCCTTGCGATCGGCCGTGTAGTCATCATGTTGGATGTGTCATCAGGGTATACTATGTCGCCGGGACAGATTCTGGGAGCACAAGCCCGTCCGCACGCGAACTTGTGTATTAGAAGCAGTTCCTAATAGTGATCAGTAACGCTACGAGGCTATTTGTAAAACAGTACTTACTCAGCACTATCCTGTACAGAGCGCCTCAGACGGCGATTGTACAGCTTCTTCTCGTCAGGTGCTCCCCAGAAGAGCTTTGCAGCTTCTGGGTTGACAAGCGTCCGTGGGTCGTAGGCTGGAGATTCTTCCTCGATGGCCCCAGCAATGGCCTCAATATGAGATCGCATGTCTTGCTTATTCGCTGCGTCATAACATAGAACGCCGTCCGGGGAGACGCGGTGGTGGAAAATGGGAGTTTCGAAGCACACGCGTGGCAACACGTCAGGCCACCTAGTTGGATTGATGTACAGCATGATCCTGAACATACCACCATCCAGATTCGTCATGGGCCGACCAAAAAGAGTAAGCTGCCAAACAAACGGGTTCTTGTCAACAAGGTTGAGGTCCAGCGTAAGAGAGTCCTCCCTCTTGTATTTCTCGACGATCTGCTCGAACTGACGCTGCAGATTACTTGCAATACTCGTCTCCTTCTTGACAGCTAGACAGCCCTCTAAGATCCAGCTCTCTGTCTCCTGGTTCAGTGTTGTGAAGATCTTGTTGAGTCGCTCCCTAAGCGCTGTGTACTGGTAAGTACCCTCCATGGTGTTACCTGGCCCCTCGAACGGCATCTTTTCGAAGCGGTCACCATCTTTGTGCTTTAGGGCAGCCTCGTCTATTACTGCGAGGTACGAACGGTAGTACCAGAGGAATCGGCGCTTACAAAGGTCCTTGAAGGGCTCGAAGGGAGCATCCTCTCGTCCAGACTGGTACTCTTCCTCTGCGTTGTACACTGTGACTGCTGGCCTCTCTCCACGGATATTCAGATACTCTTCCAATCGATCAATAACTGATATGCGCAGTGTCTCGTGACGAATCTTGTCAATGTATGCTTCCTGGTTCTTCTTGTCGTAATCTGAGTTTGCGTCCTCGAAGCCAGGCTCGTTCTCGTACGGGTTGCTAGACATCAAGCTCTGTATGGAGATGAGGATTGACTCGAGTCCTTGAGCAGACGACCACTCCTCTCCTCGCTCGCCGCGCCATGTACTACGAAGATTAGCATCCAATAGTCGTGATCTTGGAGGGCTACCCTTACCCTAGGATTGACAGGCACACCTTGCCACCAGCGTATATATTTGGATTGAAGCGTGTTCTTCCGCCATTCGTCGTGATCGCCAGCAAGCTCGGTGCCTTGGTTGGGTATTCCCTGCCAAACTTGACAGTAAACTCGAAGAAGCCGAACTGGTAGGGTGTATCAGGTGGGCCAACGATGAGTGCGCGGACATGGCGCACGTCGACGTCGCGCCATGCGACTGCGAGCGAAAGATCGGAGCCATTTTGGATTTCGTGAAGCTCGCGGGTGATCCGAAGGATCGACTGGTTGGACATGCTGGAAGGCTCAGGCTGTGAGCCTCAACCAAATCGCAGGGGCAGGCAGAAGTAGTATCAAGGGCTGTGCAGCAGTTGCGGGGTAAAGACGGGGAAAGGGACGCCGAGACAGCAAGTTCACGGCGTCCAAGGGAGGTGACTAGAGGAGCTGCCACAGTGTTGGGGACGATGAGAGTAGAGGTGTTGAGCAAACACCTCCACGTGCATGTGGGGCGCGCGTCTCCCCGCAACTTGGACCTCGCGCGACGGGGCACTTTCACCACCAACAAATACGCGCGATACCCACGACCGTTTCGCATTTGAGCGTTCTTGTAACCCGTCCTTCCTTGCCATTTGCTGGTACCCAAAGTAGACCGAGGATCCCGACTCACGGATTAGAACTAGCCAATAATCCCCAACTGTCACCATGTACGAACACCTAGGAGCTCCATACGTCCACAGCTAACCACCCTCAGGGTCGTGTTTGCCCTCATGATCGTCTCGAAATCTGGCGGCCTAATCTATAATCGCGAATTCCACACGGGTCTGTCCAAACTGACCTCTAACGACTACCTTATCCTCGCCGGCTCCTTCCACGGCATGCACGCCATAACGTCTCAGCTCTCGCCCACCCCGCGCGTTCCGTACATCACACCGCAGAACAACATGATGGCGCCTTCGCCCTTTCCTAACCGCCCGACAGGCATTGAGGTCATGGAGTCCAGTCATTTCAGATTGCAGTGCTTCCAGACACAGACGGGGACCAAGTTCTTATTGGTCACGGAACCACAGCAGCCGAATGTGGATACCATGATGAAGAAGGTGTATGAACTGTACGCAGATTTTGTCATGAAGAATCCGTTCTACACTGTGGAGATGCCTATTAGGTGTGAGAAGTTCGATAGGGGGCTAGATGGGTTTATCAAAGTTAGGGGATGAAGGGAGACCTATATGAAGAGAACACGAGCAAGCAATCATGATAGGAAAAGTCAGTCTCACGGCAAGCAAGAGGGTCTCTGCGCGACGAGCGTTGGCCACTCAGCTGAATGGCACATCGCTGAAAGGGGAAGAGCATCATAGACACTTCGTCCTAAAGAGTCCTTCATCGGCTCCCAACACGAACGGAAGAGCACAGAAACGCTATGAGGCCGGGTAAGCGACACAGTACCCAAGGACTGCAAGAGCATATGGCTTCGTGATCGACCACTGAGTCAAAAAGACAGCTGCTAATAGTCGATCATAGCCTGCGCGCATATGACTATTATAATGTAATGATTATCGTAATCTCATTGATCCATGCAAGCTGCTGTAGTGTATCATCTAGATGACTGACGCCATGAATGCCTGTGTAGCATGTTGCGGCCTGGACAGATCCAACCTTTGAATGCAAAGCACACGTGTGATGGGCAATCATGCTGTGTCCATCTTGTCATCGTCGTCCTTCTTGTCTTTGCTGCTGCTACCCTCTCCCTGGTCACCCAGCAGAGGCTGCTTCTCATCGCCTTCTGCAATACCCTCGAGCTCTGTCTTGCCTTCGGCTGCTTCCTTCGCCTTCTTGTCCTTCTCTTGCCGTGCCTTCTCCTCTTCGAAACTCATTCTCAGCGCTAATGCCAATTCTGGGTCTACTGACGGGTCCACGCCGAACTCGAAGTCGTTACCGCCTGAGCCACCAGCCTCGCCTCCAGATGGCCCTGCGCCTGCGCCACCGGAGCTACCGTCTCCACCAAGAATGGGCGTTGTGACAAGCGAGTCGCTGAGAAGGTTGCCGCTAGGTTGTACCTCCGCGAGATGAGAGCCCTCTGCGCTCTGCGAGTTCTCATTGAAAGCCCGGAGCTTCTTCAGTGTCTCGTCGTTGAGCTCACCGAATGCAACAATGTCGATGCTGATGTTTGTCTTCTTCATCTTCTTCGCCAACTTGACCAGGCTCTTCTCATCCTCCTCGACGGGGCTGCAGTTGAAGATGATTATCCGCTGCTTCTGAGACTTGTTCTGCCTGTGCTTGAGCGCCAACTGTCCAAGCGGTTAGCGTCACGCTGAAGACGAGCTTCAAATCAACATACGGCTGCGACGTTGATGCCAGTGACGAAGTGCGAGCTGCCCTTTATCTTCGTCCTGTGCAACCCATCTAGGACCTTGCCAATGTCTGTTGTGAGAGTTGTGAGGATCTCTGGCTGGTTGCCTCCCATGCTCATAAGGCCTACTGATGACTCAGGATTCGCATTCGTTTTCGACGAGAAGATGAGGTTCACGGCGTCGGACTGGGCTTCCCATCGTGAAGGTACGTAATCGCCGTTGCGGCTGGCTTCGCTGTTGTCCACACTGTGATAATCAATAAAGCACTACATTAAGGTACTGAGCGTACGTACACAATCATAGTAGCTTCTAAGACCATCTTGGCGGTTGTATGGCGGTAGTTGTCTGGTGGTGCGGCAAGGTGGGCGATGTTGGATGAGCTCAAGGCGGCGTCGGAGGTGGTGGAACGCCGCGTACCAGGGCGCACGTGCCAGCGCGGCTCTCTGGGTGAAGCTTTGACGTATTGATAATTGGATAGACGTCTCTCACTGTGCACACAAATATTTGCGATCAGCGTCGTGAGCAGCGAACCCAACTTTTCAATACTGGCATACACCGTGCGACTGTTCTCTGTGTCGTTGCGCTGTGCTCATGCTGGGTGGATGTTTAGCGCCCTATAAATCCCCCTCCTTGTCCATCGTCCCTTCCCTCCACAACACAAACATCAGAAGCAGCGATCACACCCAACACCGCCCTGAGACACTTCGATACCGTCATAAACGCCCACCATACGCTTCAAAGCTCACTTGGGCCATCAATTTCTTGTCTCCATCCACCAGATAACTCGTGTTTACGCGTTGTTTATTTGACACCATACACCATGGTCGCGCCTGTCACAGCAGAGGCCAAAGCCGCGATGCTTGCCAACTTCGATCTTGAGGGTAACTCGCTCATGCCGCGCAGTTTGGAACTCTTCTAATGTTCCACAGTCAATGCACGCAAAGAGAAACTCCGTGCAATGTGCGAAGCCCAGTGCGCCAGTCTTCGGTCGCGTCTCGAGCGTCGCGTCAATCGCGTACCAGCCACGAAGCGCCAAACGCCTCTTATTGAACTCCTCGCCCCTCCGCCACCTCAACCAAAGCCCGCACCTGCCCCAATCAAAGCGGCACCTGTCAAGAAAGCGCCAACTAAGAAGGCACCAGCTGCTGCGCCTATTCCTGCCCTTGCTCCGCCCCCGAAGACTCGTGCTGCTCCTGCTACTACCACGTCACGACCAACGACCGCCAAAGCAGCGCCGAAGCCCGCGGCCAAACCTGCCACCAAACATGCAACATCCAAATCTGTCCCGACAGCCTCCCTACGTGGGAAAAAGCGCAGCAGCGACGAAGCCACAAGCGAAGACAAGGAGAACGTGTCTGTCGAGCTCGCAGTTCCCAAGAAGAGAGGCCGAGCTGCCACCACAGCGACAAAACCATCTGCCGTCCCCAAACCTGCCGCTCCCGCTGCAAGATCCACACGCGCAGCGTCACGAAAGACCGCTCCCGCCGATGTTCTGTCACCCAAAAACAACAACACCCGCGCAAAGTCATCCACCCGCAGCGTCAGGCCACGATAGATTTATTGATTCGGACGACTGGAGTTCTTCAAGGAGTTTTCGGAGGTTCATTCGCTAGATACCCATGATGTTTTGATGGTTCCACGGCGTTTTGGGATTTTAGGGCTTTGAGGTTTCAGGTTTCCATGTACTACAGTTTTGTTTTTATAAACCTTCTTCCAGGTTCGAGAACCCCTCAGTTGAGTCTTGCTCTTTTGGCTCGCTCCTGTGTTTGATCTCGCATGGCGAAGGTTGAGTTTGAATAGCGTAACGATGATTGACTCACTTGAACTGTTGCCAATGCATATTGTGATGCTAGAGCAACATACAGGGTCGCCATTGCCTCTGTTCACTTAGACGCATGTCGCTCTGAAGTTTGGTTATTTGGATCCCAGTGGAGCGTGACAAAGATCCATACACAGAAAAGGTCAGACATGCCTGCCTCTAACAAAGATCTCGAAAGTCAATATATCAATATCTCATACTACATACAGGGCTTCTGCTTCAGTTCGTCATTGTCTAAAGCTCCATATCCACTTTGTCCCACCCAATGACGGCGTCCTCCACAATTGGCCTGAACACCTTCCTGCCCGCGCCACTCTTGTGCGTCCAAACCATCTGCCTGGCACTCAGCTCATCCGCGCGATGCCACGGCTTCAACTCAATCCCCTCCTTGTTGTTCTCAAGCGCGTCCTTGATAACCTTGAACAACGCATCCGCCTGCTGCTGATCCACACGCGTATCGTCGCGCACAGTAAGCACAACCTCGCGAATCTTCTCCTTCTTGCCTGTCTTCTTGTCCTTGATCTTGTATTTGTTCAGGCAGATGCTGATGTCGACACCGGCCTCTGCGGTCCATGCAGCGTGCACCGCGAACCAGTCGAAGAGCTCCGCGAAGTCGGTCTTCTTGATTTGTTCGTCCAGCGAGTACGGGATGGAGGCAAAGCCGAGCGAGACGGTTGGGGTGCGCGGCGACGGCGTGTCGATCAGGTCCCCCTTCCAGTCACGACGCAGCAGGTCGCGCAGGCCAAGTTGCGAGATGTCTTTTTGGGCGGATGAGAGTTCGTCGTCTAGCTCTTCCATGACTTTGGAGAGATCGTCGTCTTTCCAGTTGCTACGCGCTAGGATGCGCTTGGCGACTGAGATGTCCTCGTCGGTGGTCTTGTCGCTGGTCAGGCCGCCCGAGTCAATGGCGATGGCGGAGAGGATCAGCTCGAGAAACTCATGGTTCAGATGATACTCTTGGGGAAGCTTCTCGAGCTCGTTGAGAAGTTCCCGAGCAACAACAGTCGTGCAGGATGCCACCTTTTCGAATATCCGCGGTGAGGCTTCCGGCGCAGTACCGCGGTCTTTGTGATGGTCAAAGATGCTGATGATCTTTGCGTCGCGCCATTTGCGGAGTGGCTCGCCGTGATCCACAAGAATGATACCCTTCAGCTTCCTCGAAAGCGTTTCTGGATCTTCAGGTACTTCGTCCGATGTGAGAAGATCTTCATGATGTACAGTCATCTGCGAATTGTCAAGCGCGAGCTTGTTCTCCGGTCGAAGATCGAGAGCGTGGGAGGGGGTTTGTAGGAGCGCGATGGCCTTGACTGGATGCGTGTCGTTTTCCGTAGCATGGTCGAGGTGGTAAGCCCACGTTATGGCGGCCGTCATGGAATCTAAATCACCTCCCTCGTTTCCCATGACGATCGTCCATTCAGAAGACTTGCCAGCTTGCCAGTCCATGAGGAAGGCCTTCTTCGTAGCCCGGCTCCATTCGCTAAAGTGACCGACACCGATGTGCTTGGAGGGAGTCTTCAAGACTGTTTGCGATTGCGCACGCAATTGCGGCATGGCAGCCGCGTGGCCGGCTGCCAGAAGGCCTGGTAGTGCGAGGAACCACTTCATATTTGCACAGTGTGTGGGATAAGAATGTCGAAGCTGGAGGAAGCGCAGGCGCATTCGAGCATTGAAGTGGTTAAGACAGAGCTGAGCTTCCAGGTTGAGCACTGACGTAAGAGCCAAGCTCGCTAGGGCTGGCCATCAAGGTATTCTGAAACTCAAGACATTGAATGGCCTTGGTCGACGTACAGCCTGCGAAGCTTGAATCTGCATAATGATCTTGATTTGCTCTCTGTTAAGGTGAAGAAGGCTCGTCAGGCTTGATGTGGATGAGGTACTGGCATGTGCGCGTGTCGAATATCGAAACTTCCGACACGGTGCAAAGGCTTGGGCACGGATGTTAGTCGCATTTACTCATTTTGGCCAGCATTCGGAGCGATACGAAGCAAAACCAAGGATTGGCTCCTCCGGCAAGCTGCGGAGGTTGGTGGCTGCATCGGCTGCATGCATTGCGCCAGAGCCGGGGTCTGGTAGATCGTTATGTTGAAAAGGGCAGTGCGGCAAAAACATGACGTGGGGTTGTGCAGAACATCAACTGCTGAGAACATAAGCAACGCCATTTTCCCATCGTTATCGCCGAGAGCTGCACGCATATTAGACCCCATCGCACCTTCTTACAACGTTGTCGCTGTTTCGCCAACCTAGATTGCTGACTAGACAACGAGCTTGGAGCCCGGTTGCGGCCGGCACACCTTTTAAGAAGGCCCTACATCATCCCGCGTGCCCCAAGCTCAACGCTATCAATTTCGCCAAAATATTCAGAGGGAGCGTGTCCCGAACAACACCCCTTTGTGGTGTTTCTTCTTTGAGACGCGATGGCCGACAGATCCACAGACGATGGGCAGCCGCTCGTATCCTCAACGACGTCAACCACCACCTCAGGCCCACATACAACGACAACAACGACCAGCTATCCGGCTGGGCCGGGCCATGTCACTACTCACGGTCCCAGCTCCACTACCATCACTCATCCTACAATAACAACCACCACGCACGTTCCCTTGTCACCATCCCAGGCTCCCCACACCCACACCCGAATATCCCAGCCGCAATCCCAGGCACCATCCCAGCACCAAGCAGTTCAACCCCAGGTACCTGCGTCTACGGCTGCGCCCATCACTCGAACACGCACTGGCTCTATTCGCATAAGGCGACCTTCTTCGGGCCGTGACATTCCCATTGCGGCCCCTGCACCAGCTGCTCACCCGTTGCAGACGATCCCTCAGGCCCAGCCACCATTGATCTCTCCACGACCTACTCCAGTCAAAGAAAACAGCTGGCAGGGACAGGGCAACCGTAGAAGAAGCAGCTCCGAACCTCAGCGTCCCCCTGTAGCATTACTTGAAGCTGAGCACGAATTGAGACATCATCCTACAGCCACAATGCCATTGCAGCCATTATACGAAGACGAATCGCAGACCGGTGCCAATGTGGGCGCAGGGCCGCCGCCTACCAGAGGTGATAGTAAAAGGAAGAGGCCAGGCATGAACCGGATGACATCGGCCATCAATCTGCGTCGCAGAGACCATCAGCAACGTGATCATGAAATCGACAACGACATGGTTGACATGCTCGACGTCATTGGTAGATACTACTACTGTTCTCTGAAGATTTTCACTAAATTATTACAGATCCGGAGGTTTCTGCATTGACAACCTTGAATAACCTTCAAAATTCACTATTTCTGCCCAACGTACCATGGCTCTACAATCGCCAACCTACCTACGATCTTATGCAATCAGCATCAGAGTCCTCGGATGAAGAGGCAGGTACGCGACGTGGAAGCCAAACTGACAGATTAGCCGAAATGACTCAACCTGGAGAACACGAACAAGCATCCCGTGGGGAGCTTCGTCGAACTGACACGATCGATTCGACATTGTCCACCCTGGAAGAGGGTCCGGGCCACCATTTCGCGGTCCTTCCACACGGCGCCTCACTTCCTGGCTGGAGTCAGGAAGAGAAGGACGCTCTAGATGATCACGTACGACATTTGCTACATTCGCGCCGAGCAAAATTCAAGCGTAGTATGCGCGGGTTTGGTCGATACTGCCGTAACCCCCTCGGGCTCCTGGTCACCGTCTACTTCTTCTTGATCACTTTCTGGGGGGCTGCATGGGTCCTCTTCCTTATCGGTTGGATATCCGTTGCTGGTCGACAGGCATACTTCGTCGAGATCTGTGATCAGATTTTGACTGCCCTATTTTGTGTTGTCGGCATCACCATGTTCCCGTTCCGACTTTACGATACCTACCACATGTCGTTCGTTGCTTTATACGCTCACAAGACGTGGCGGCTTCGCAAAGAGCGTGGACTAAAGAAACTGAAAGATCATAACGAGCTGCCTGCAATGCCACCTCAGTCGACGCCATATGACACTGCGGAGGAAATCGAAGAGGAAGTGCGTATCGAAGCACCCGTCCTGAATGACGAAGAACAGAAGAAACTCGAGTATCATCAAGGCAAGCTGGCCAAGTCGCATACCTTCTACCGACCGCACGAGACCTATACCCATCACGCGTTCTCCATTCGACTGCTCATCACTATCATCGTTTTGCTGGATTGTCATTCAATGTTTCAAATTGCGCTTGGCGGAACAACCTGGGGTATTTATTACAAGGTGCGACCAAAGGCACTTACAGCTGTCATTCTTGCATGCAGTCTTACATGTAACATCGTCTCGGGTATCATCATTGGTATCGGCGATAAACGCAGCCGCAAGACACTCGTAGTCGAGCAGATGATGCGACAGGGTCTTACTGAAGAGGCTTTGAAGAAGTTGAGGAAGGAGCGTGGTCTCAAGGCCAGAGGCTTGCCCACCAAGGAGAAGAAAAAGCAGATACAAAAGGACATTGGCGAGAAGAAGAAGAACCCTCTGGATACTATTCTTCACCGAGGGTAGTGTCCTCGTATGAAGGTCTTCACAACATAGTAGCAGTAATAGTAATGTTAAAGTTTGCCATGGATGGTGGAGCAACGCATATACTAGGCAAAAGAAACACGCAGCTGTGGTCCAGCAGGACGGCCTCGATTCTGGACGAATCCCATGCGACGAAACAAGAACAGAGCGAGCGTTCTCGACTGATGACGCAAACATCGCCAAAACCAGTCACGACCCAACGATTTTACCTGACCAGTAACCTACATTATACTCTCCCCTTCCATCCGGATTGTTTGGCGATCACCTCTGATATACATGCGTAACAATGTTCGGATCGTAACATGATGATAATCGAGCCAACGATCGCGGTTATTGAGGGCTAGCAGCCACGTTGTATCGTTGACAACAATTGAGGACCACTCTACATATGGTACACTACGCGGAAAGGCCGTTGCCAAGCATGGGTCCTCCCGCGTGGCGTTTGTGGAAGTGCTGTCGTCGGTGTAGCTGTGAGGTTGGGAGTCGTGACGTTTAGACTAGTAGCTTCTCTGATTTGTTATCGTAGGTCGTACCACGGTATATAAAGACCCAGCCCGCCTATGCATCCTACACGCGCGTTCTATCTGCTAGAGCGCTTAGGAACTGCTTATAAACCTGATGCAGTACCGTGGAAGGTGGTCGACTACGAGTGTTGCCATGCATTGCTAGTAGAGTAGGGTCGTTTTCAGGTCAGCCAATTCCTTTTCGGGGACCGATGTCCGGCCACAGCATGGTTTGTTAAGATCATGAGCTGCACGGTCATGATCCAATCAAAAGTGCGTTAATGCTGCAATATTCTTCCACGAATACTAGTGACTGTTCTGAGCTTCGGCAAACCACAGTTGTTGGTACGTTTGATGGGAAAGCAGACATTAGTCAAGCGTGACAAGATAAAGAGGATGCGTGTGCCCTCGGCACCAGATTTGGATCGAACACATGTCAATTACAGGTAAGTAGCAATTGACCAGCCTGTTCAAAGGACTTGAAGAAGTTCTCGTGCGGTTGTCAACAAGTTCATACCCTCATTTCTCCTTTCGTATCCCCTCCAATTTTCTTCCTTGTTCACAGAGGATGACACCACTATCTTCCAGCGTTTTCAGACCAACATGCATTAAGATACTCGCTGGATTGGTTGTCTTCGTTCTTGCCCTACAGTTCGTCAGTCTCGTACGTCCCTCATTACCACCCACAGAACGAGTCTACTCCATCTCAGGTTCTTTGTCGGTTCCTATTTCCAAGACTGCAACCATTACCTGTTCCTCGATTTAATGTTTACGGCACCACGAGATGTCTACCGCCAGTCTCGCCAGAGATGATTACGAAATCTGTTAAGAAGCACGCCGTATGCTCGAAGTATTCTCCTTTCTCAGCTCCTAGGACTCGTATCGCGACGGTGACCGCACACTTTGGGGGGCTTGAAGGCAACGAACACTACACCCGAGCCTTTGCAACACACTTGGAAAATGCTCTCGTACATGGCAATGAAGTACATGTTCTATGCGATAAGATCATCGACGATCTATGGAATAAGCCCGCCTTCATACTTGACCTACTTTTCAGAGAGATGGCCAAGCCACAGAGCAAGCGACTAGAATGGCTCGTTTGGGTCGACCGCGACACACTCATCCTCGATCAATGCCGCCCTCCAGCATCATTCCTACCTCCTCGCTCGGACGAAACGCCGGTCGCAAAGTGGTGGCGCCAGTACGGCCGCGCTCGCAGCGATGATACCAATACAGCTCCGCCAGAGGTAAATCTCCTGGCCACAAACGACCTCAACGGCCTTAACAACGGCATATTTTTCTTGCGGGTCTCGTCTTGGGCGATCTACCTCTTCACGTCCATTCTCGCGTTCAGGCACTACAATCCTACCGTCGAGCTGCAGTTTACAGAGCAACCCGCCATGGAGTTTGTTATGAAGGATGACCAGTTCAAGGACCAAGTCCAGATAGTGCCACAGCACTGGTTCAACACTTACTCGGGCGGCGGATCCAATGCTTTCGTGCAAAGAAACGATACCATGGACGAAGGTATGGAGGATTTACATGCTAGGAGGGGTGATTGGCTAATCCATTTTGCGGGAATTAACCACAAAGATCAGGCTTTGAATGAGTGGACTTCCATGCTTGAGGATATGGAAGACGTGTGGGAGAAGGATACGATACAAAGAGATGTTAGCGGTGAGGTGAGGTCGTTCTGGGACTGGAAGGGTTTTAGGCGGTGACCTGGTGATCTGAGCTTGGCGGATGTGAACAACTCTTTCGATGTACTCTCTTGCATGCATACCTTATTCGATGAAAGAGGTCATTATGAGCGATAGGTGAGCTTGTGTCTCAATCGGCAGAGTAGATCTCAGCACAACTTTAGGTAAGCGACAGCCGCTCCTTCCATGGGTGCGACAAGACGAAGGGTATATTGAAGAAAATTAGGGATGGAAGGATTCAATCACGTTCTTGTCAGACTTCAGACTGTATTAGTGGCAGTATGTACGATATTTGCAAAGTCACAGGAAAAATCGATGGGTTGGTTCCGCACACAATGTAAATCTGCGCCTTTTCCATGTGTTTTCACAATGTATCTTTGTTTCACCTCCTCAGCTTGCATGATGTCTATGTCTCACACACTGTCAGTATTGATATCATCTCATGTTTGGAAGAAAATACCTGCCTTTCTGATCTGCAGACAATCAACCGCATCAAGATGGTCACCCTGAAGCTGATTCCCTCTAATGCAAACTGCGACTGCTCATCTGGCAAATGCGAGCACATCGCCACATCTTCTAACGAGACATCTAATGAACAATCAACACAGACACAGATGCATACATCGGTTGTGCATCAGTCATGGCACGGGAGCCATCAGCGGATTGCATCACCACCACATCCGTTCGTCGCGGCTGTCGAACCAACTGACACCACATCAGAAGAGCGGAACCAAAAAATAATGTGCCAGAAAGTCGTCGTTCTTGCCGCCCAGTTATTCCCCGAGGCTAGATGTTCAGCGGATTTGCAGGTCGAACATGTGGGCACCGGCACCTTTCACGATGTCATCGGCTTCACAAACCCGACGCCGAAGCTCACACTTAAAAAATCAGACAACACAACTGGATCAGGTCGTTTCGTCGTCGAGCACGAGAAGTATGTCGTTCGCATACCTCGCTCCGACGTCACTGACCATTCTGCAGCCATGCGACACGAAATTGCCGTACTGCGCGGTCTTGAAGGAAACCTCCATGTACCCATCCCGCGTGTGATCGCTTTCGATGTTGACAAGAACAATGCCATAGGCTCACCATACTCGCTCGAAACGCGTTTGCGCGGCCGATCGTTGGAGGACTTAGTTGGCAACGATACTAATGAGGCACAGAACGTTGATGTCTTCGAGAAAACCATCCGTCTCGTGGATAGCTTCGCTCAAGTGACCGCGCCGTATGCAGGCTGCATTGCGGAAGAGTTTGGTAAAGGGTTTGACGCACATCTCTGTACGAGCCGGATACCGATGAAGATGCTTGAGTTCCCATTCGATGTGAGTACTCTCACTCAGTTGCCTGATCACAACCCCTTGACTTTCATGCTGAAACTAGTGGACCTTTGGGTACAGTATGAGCACGAACACTGTTCGGGCGAAAACAATACTGTGCTTTGGTATGAGATCAAAGGCATTCTGCACTCACTGCAGCGTCGTGGTCTGATTGGTGAGACGTTCCATCTCTCACATGGCGATCTAGCGTCTCGTAATATCCTAGCTGAGGTTGTAGATGACTCTTCCATCGAAATTACTGGCGTCGTGGATTGGGACTTTGCATGCTTCGCGCCAAAGTTCTGTGCTTATCAAGCCCCCATGGAGATGTGGAGTGGAGGCGAGGAAACGGCTATCGAGGAATGTACGGCCGAGTTGATCGAGATCTTTAGGAAGACTGCCTCACCAGAGTATATACGATTCGTGTTCTCACTAGAGGCTAAACTCGGGCGGAAGATCTGGTACACACTTTGTAAGGGTATGATGAGCGAAAATCAGCGGTGGTTTGCTACGAGCAATATTTCGGAGTGGGGACGACTGCATCCGGAAGACAAGATTGGCGAGATGCAATGAACCTTACCATTGCAAAGACATGTGTGGCACGTGCAACCAACCAAGGGCCCTGTTCTCAATCGATCTCTATGGCATAGCTTTGCCCTTATTTCTCTTATCAGAGAGATGATTCTTACGGCGATTGACGTGGATTGTGGAACAACTGTGTCAGTGACGGCTGAACATGATGTTATTAACAGGTACATACTCAACAATTTGGAAGCTACGCAAGTGCTTCGCATGATGAAATGCACTCTAGCCTAAGTAACATTCTCGAGAGTATCCAGTGAGCGATTTCATGCCATGCGATAATGCAAAGAGTGTTGGTAGTGTCTTGAGCTAAAGCTGTAAACCTTGAAATTGAGGCTGGTTTACGACATGCTCAACAACAAGTAGACTCCAAGGCATGGCTCTAGGGACATTCCACTGGCTGTGCCACAGCCTTTTTGACCCCAAAGCGTTCTCCGATGACGACCCATTGAGCGACAGTGAATGCAAAGCGCATCGCGTTCGGATCCTTCTGCTCAAATGCTTTGGCGACAAGACCTTCGACTTTGACCCACGAGATGAAGCCAAGTTGTTCGACTCTATCCTTAGTGAGGAGACCTGCAAGTAGCTTTTGCAGAGGACCATCTTCTGGGTACGTAGTCGGCGCCGAATACGGCTATCTCTCGTTAGTTTCACAAACGCATCTTCAGCAAACTTGCAACACCATATCACTTACGTGCTTTTTCCTCTTGTAGAGCTCCTCCGTGATGAAAGGTTTACTTGCTTCCCGAAGAATCCACTTCTCTATAAATCGCTTCTCACCAGCATCCCACCTGATCTTGACACTTGGAGGGAGTCCATTGACATACTCAGTCAAGTGATGATCAAGAAATGGTGTCCGGGCTTCGATGGAATGTGCCATCTCTGTCCTGTCACCCAAACAGGAAAGAAATATGTTGGATAGGTGGCCTTTCTGCCACACATATAATGCTGTATGTAGCGGATGCCATTCATCCATTATTGCTTCCCTGATTCGGCCATCGACATTATTTGCAATGGTGAGCTGGGGGTCGCAGGCACCGAGACCTTGGGTCCAGTCGGAAAAGAGCGTATCAGCGGAGAATGCTGTCATGGAAGAGACAGTAGTGATGTCGTTTAGCATGCGTCGAGGCAAAGACGGACCACGATTGGCGCCATCTGCGCCGATTGATTCGTAGTAAGCACTGGCCTCCTCATCGGTCTGGATGCATTGTGCCTTGCGCACGTGCTCTGGTAATGGATTGGACGGATACGACGCATCTGCTTCGCGAAGATAGTCCGGGAGGTACATTGGATAGCCACCAAATTGTTCGTCTGCGCCCTCGCCGGTCAAGACAACCTTGAAGCCAAGCTCTTGAGGCACTTCAGAGAGAGCATATTTCCCAACGTAGTTGAGGTCAGGATTGTGGTGCTCGCAGTGCCAGGTTGCATCTTCGAAACGAGCAGCAAGTTCAGCTTCGCCCATGTGCTTCTTATAGTACTTGACGCCCAGGTGGTCGGCGGTCCGATTTGCGATTGCAGACTCATCAAAACCACTATCTTCGTCAAAAGCGATACTGAAGCAGCTGACGCGTTCGGTTTCTTTGTCGTTGCCCATTCGTTCGCCTTGCTCCTTTACGAGATGAGTGACCATGCCGGCGATGACCGATGAATCAATGCCGCCACTCAAGTAGACGCCGACTGGAACATCAGCTCGTAGACGCACGCGAATCGCTTCCAGCATCTGTTCTCTGACGCCTTCGATCATTTCCTGGTCGGAACGTGTTTCTTTCAGTGTCTGTCGGCTGCATCAGACCAATTGATGTTGGGCGGAGGATGAAATACACACCTTCAAGGGATATTCAATATCCCAGTAGGGTCGTGACTCTATATTGTCGAAGGAACGGCAGGTGATGTAGTGACCTGGGCGAACCTGAATTTATTAGTACCGCCATCAATTCATGTCATTGCCGTATTTTTACTTTTCTAACGCCCCTGAAGATGGTGCGAGCATCGTGATTCCATCCTGCCTCTTTTAGACTTGTAACATCCCATTCAGGCTTCCAGCCTAATGGCAGGAAAGCCTTAGCTTCAGCAGCGACCAACAATTTGTTGTCGACAAAGGTGTAGAATAGTGGCTTGATTCCATAGCGATCTCTCGCTGCGACAAAGAGTTGAGCGCGTGCATCGTAGATGCAAAGCGCAAACTCTCCGCGTAGTTTGCTCAGGAATGACAACCCGTAATATTTGTAAAGTGCAATCACGATTTCGCAATCGCTACGGCTCTTAAACTTGTAGTCTGTCTTGTCGGCCAATGACGCACGAATGGCTTCGTGATCATAGAGCTCGCCATTCACGACAGCATGAACGTCACCGTCCTCATCATGGAACGGCTGGGCACCGTCAGGCGAGAGATCGTTAATTGCTAATCTGACGTGACCGAAAGCTATGTAACGTCAGCAAGTGGCTTTGGATACGAATGGTGGTGTCGCATGTTTGGGAAAGGTTGCAAGGACAGAGTACCAACTTTGTTGTCAGGGCTGATCCATTGGCCTCGTGAGTCAGGGCCGCGATGCTTGATCAGCTCAAGGCTGTCGTCCAGTCGCTTCGCTAATGTCTTGGTATCACTCAGACGGTCGGCAGTGTGCCCCTGAGGGCGATCAAGGCTGATGATGCAGCTAATGCCACACATGATGGTCAATGATTGAATGGAGCGGACAGGAATCCTGCAGGAACCATCTTTTGGTGTTTGGGTGCAAGATATCGGCCCTTGCGGCTCACTAATGCAACTTTGCGTGACGTATTGGAGATAAGATAAGGATGCACTTGGACAATCTAGTCCTAGCCTTCATATCGTATGGTCGCCCTGAGTTCCTAAATTAACCCACCATCTCAGTGAATCACACAAAGGTGAATGGTGTTGGTCGGTTTACAAAGAGCGCATGAAAGAAAAGCTGAGAATCAACCTTGATGTACGTTGAACTTGCTCACAGATCATAAAAGCGAGGCAGTGCCAATGATCATAGATTGAGGTGTGATGCTTTGATGCTATAAATGCATGTGGAGTAGCCAAAGTGTAGAAGTTCCCTGTAATCTAAATATGGTAATTGGATTTACCAATTCATAGCCACAAACGCCGTGTAAATGCCCCAGTCCGTAATCTTCCCCCGAATCCTATCCCTAATGGTATCTAATGAAAGTTCGTAGCCCCAACGTTTCGCTCAGAACGGCATGGTGTTCATACGGAACCGAAGGGTTCTGTTCCAGCCGGAGTACTGTTACGCACTAATCCAGGCATTGCTTTTCTCGAAGTGCTCTTAAGCGAATTCGAAGCGCTCGTTGCAGTGAGACATCTCACGGAAGCAATGAGGGCAGAGATTGAGGCCTTGTGCGGTCAAAGATGCAGTAGCACCGTGGAGAGTCTCGCGAGTGGACTGAGTGGGAACAGTCGAGGCCGGGGTAGGTGCCGACGAAGGGCCCGCAGGGGTAGAGGAGACGGAGTCTACAATAGATGTCAGTATACATCTGAAGTAAAATTGGTTAGAACTTACCCTTGAAAGATGGCATTATGGAGTTGTTGGGTGAGCAAATATAAGTGGTTCGGGATATTTGTATTTGATAGACTTGACTGGGTTGGATATCAGATGCGCTGGTGTGGTGACCAGACGGCAGATGTGCAGATGTTCTACTTATACAACTCTGCGCCTCCCTTGCCCTCTATGAGACAACCAAAGTGTCATACATAGCGATAAATTCTCGCGAAGAATTTATTCCGGCTTGTCCCTAGCTCTGATCGAACGACATGACGATGATGGTGGAATGTCGGTGGCGCCGTTGCCTCATGACGCTAAGTGGAGTGATGCTAACTCCACTTTTAGCCGCAAGCGATCAAGGATTTTCAGGTTGCTCTTAACGTTTTTCGATCTTGTCAAGATCAAGTCAAGTCCTGGAATCGAAAAAACATCGCCTTCCCAACGTGTTTGGCATTCTGTAATCGAGTGCGGCGAATGCAGGCAATTTTGAACACGGCTGCAGAACATGAATCTGGAGTGTCGCAGTCGCACGCTAAGCAGCTTGATATTTTCGTCCAAGAAGACCAAGGTCTTGATAATAACGCATTCAGGTTACCCACGTGTTAGTTCCGGCTAAGCGTTGCTCAGCTCATTGGATTGTTTGCGTCGCTGAAGGCCATCAACTTCTTGCTGTGTATGCAGGGCCCCTCTGCAAGTTCTGTGCTTTTCCGGTAATCTTCACATGACTTGGCTGGGCGCATTGAGCGGTGAGTGCTCTGGAAGTTGTAACTCGCGTCTCTTCAAAACTTGTTTCGCTTTTCTTTCCCGGCGAAAGGCAGACCGAACCCTCCAGTATTTTTTAGGATTGCAAATGTACTGCTTCCACGTTCGACGGCGTTCTTGTGGGACCACGATGCGTCACGCCCAAACAACAGTGCGACAAAAGGTGACTTCACATGTAGTAGAAGTAGCCTTGATGATCTTCCTCTCCATTTCAAGTTCGTCAATGGCTGCTGTTGACAGATAATCTTCTTCTGATTCCCATGGTGGCATACGCAATTGCCAGTAGATCTCGACCCTTTTCAGGCCACTGAACCAAGGTAGAATATCCAGCCAGGCTCTGGATAACGCGATATTGGCCGGCATGTACGAGCATAGTTGTAGGCTACTGACCTGAGTCAATTGCATATGTAGACTAGCTACACATGCACGGGGAAATGGCTCCTCTCCACATAAAGCCGTGTTCAGACAGTAAGGCAGGAGCCTTGTTTCACTATGCACTTGTCGGCAAGTGTACAGAAGGCCGAGCACGTTGGTTGGTTGGTTGCCAATGCGCAACGTATGGCTGCTTACAATCTGGTAAGGGTCGGTAGTATCAGGCCAGACGTCAACCTCGAGGCTCTTCTCCAGTCTTTGACTTGGCCTGATTGCTATGACCAAGCCTTGGAACACGAGCTTATAGATCTGATTTCGAAGCTCAGCTGGGAGAGATAAGAAGGACGAGATCTCTCGCTTCTGCTGTGCCCTTCGCAAAGGAATCAGCACTGTCTGTTCATGATTAGGCTTAGCTATATGGACTCACGAAGGCAAGATGTCCGGTCGGTTTGGTGCCTGGGTTTGACGAATAGAAACACCAGCGTAAGAATAGTCCCTCATACTCGTAGTGGACTCTACACTTATAGTGGTACGAGAAGTTCACGAACCATGTAAGAGCTCTACAGATTATCGTGTAGGTTCGCAGATTTATGTGCTTGGACTGTCGACAGTAGGTATGTTGTAATGTCACCGCCGTTTGCGTCAACAGCGTTCTGATGACATGCGTTGTTGTACGAATATCGGAGCAACCTATGAAATACGACAAACCTAGGATTTTATCCCACTCGCCTGGTTTGTGAACTTTGTCTCTGGGTGTGGAGGTGACCTCGGGAGAAGGCGAGGTGGGGTACCTATCTACCTAGTTCATTCGTGACGCGCAATTGCCCCTCCCCCACGATGAACGCCGTAAACTAGCAATTGTGTCCCGACACCACACACCAGATATTGACATTCACCATTCTACTTCTCAAAATGGCGCTCCCAGATCACTCTCATGGCCCTTCCTGCGACAGTTCCGCCATGGGCATGTATCGAGCTTCGCCTGCCAGATTGATGTTGTATGGAAATGGTCAGGGTCTGATCGCATATTACGAATGTGACTGATCCTGGAATAGGCAAAACAAGTCAGCTCAAAGATGTGATCACACAGCTAGGAGGTACAAAGGCATTTGTTGTTACAGGTCGATCGCTATATGAGAAGACACCGGTCATCAGAAACGTCGAAAAGCAGCTGGATCACATGCATGGTGGAACATTCTACAAGATTGGGCAGCATGCGCAAGTTCTGTCACCAGGCAGAGCCGACCCCTAAGCTGATCGAAAGCAGACCCATCCGACTTATCCGAGAGGCAACCGCGATGATGTCAAAGTCAGGTTGCGACATTCTGGTTTCTGTAGGGGGCGGCTCTCCAATTGACTCAGCGAAGGCTATCGCCCATAACATTCACGAAGAAACGGGGAAATGGATCCCCAGTATCGCTATTCCAACTACACTCAGTGTCGCAGAGACAACGCAAAATGCCGGATTTACCACAGATGAAGGTCACAAAATAGCCGTCAGCGATCCCGAACAGGTACCGAAAGGTGTGTATATTTGTCATCGGCGTGCCAGCAAGTAACTGATTTCTATTCTTTTAAGCTGTCATATACGATGGCGAGAACGCCATTCACACACCAATGAATTTGTGGTTAAGCACAGGAGTAAGGTTCCAAAGCGTTCTTGCGGCACTCAAGCATCACTAACAGGGAGCCAGATGCGAGCTCTTGATCATGCTGTCGAGCTGATGTACCATCCACTCGCGTCCGAGATACCAACGAAACGGCTATGTCTTGAAGCGATCAGAGATCTATTCACGTACCTTCCGCAATCGAAAGCCAATCCCAGCGATGCCGAGATTCGCACGAAGCTCTTCCTTGCATGTTACGCCTCTCTTTTCCCATTCCTGTTCAGCGGTGGCGTTGGTCTCAGTCATAGCATAGGCCATGCGATTGGAGCTACTTATGCCATTCCTCACGGTATTACAAGCTGTCTGAGCCTTGCACCAGTTGTGCGTCTAAAGGCAAAGAACCCCGACGAAGCAAAGCAGATTGCGCGTATCATCCCCTATATCAATCAGCAGACCGCTGGCGACAACGTCAGAGACGCACAGAATGTCGCAGATGCAATTGCCAACCTCGTGGACAAGCTTGACTTGACGACAACATTAACAGCCGTAAGTTGTGATTATTAGCTGATACTACAGAAACTTACAGACCGTAGTACAATGTGCCGACTGGTGAAGAGGAAGAGGACGCTATTGCATCTCGGGCTCTGCATGGTAATAGAGATCACCAGGACTTTGCGAATGGTAAGATGCTTACGCCTGACATTCATTGCCTGGTAGCTGACTTTCCAACCATAGTGAGACGGATCATTCGTAGCCTCTACTGAACGCCAATGTGAATTTGTGTCACGGGAATGGAAAGGCGATGGACACAAGCGCAACGGGACGCGAATCAGTACACAGAATCACATGGTGAGGAAGGATACAATTTTCTGAAAATGGAAAACGTGCCCTTATCCGCACCCTTGCCTTCTTCCGACTCGCTCTGCAGCCAATTATATTATTGTACCGGACCATTTCCGAACGCTGTGCGGCTAAGTACTTATCCACGCCAAGTGTGGATAATTTTCCGGCTTCCAGAGCTCCACTGGCGCCGGCACGGCAAGTGTATCGGTGTCCCGAATACAGTTAGCATCATGATGCAACGCTCCGATAGCTTGTGTGGGGAGCTCCAGATCGCGAAACAAAAAGATGGAATCACCCATTGTCGCGTTACGTCCCCAGATACCCCATTCGCAAATTCTCGTGGATTTCAAGCTTAGATATCCGCGTTCTGGCTGTCATCAATCCTGCCTTCCCAGCGACAGAGCGATACAGGAACATAAATCAAGCTTCCTACCAGTAATAACTCTCCTCGAATTGTGACCTACACATCTCACAATGCAACGCACATTTCAATTCGCCGGTCGCCGGAATGGCAAGATTACGCGATTCTTTTCTACTACAGCGGCACGGCCTGTGATTAACAAGATCTTTCCCTCCGCGTCAGAAGCAATCAAGGACATGAAGTCTGATTCTACATTACTGGTTGGCGGTTTCGGCTTCTCCGGCGTACCGAACACATTAATCAACGAACTTCGCGATCGGTCAGATGTGCAGAACCTCAGGGTAGTCAGCAATAACGCTGGTATGCCCGGCGTGGGTCTTGGTCAGCTCTTGGAGACCAAGCAAATCGGCACTATGGTCGCAAGTTACATCGGTGACAACAAGGTTTTCGAGCAGATGTATCTCAAGGGCGAGCTCAGTTTGGAATTGACGCCCCAGGGTACCATCGCCGAAAAGTGCGCCGCTGGGGCCGCTGGAGTTCCCGCTTTCTATACACCAGCAGCGTACGGCACAATAGGTATATTGCAAATCATTATGTCTGCAGTCTTTCAAACTCTAACCTTCGCCAGTACAAACCGGTGAGCTTCCCGTTCGCTACAACACCGACGGTACCATCGCCAAGATGGCTCCTCCTAAAGAAACTCGCGAGTTCAACGGCAAGTCCTACCTGCTCGAAGAAGCCATCTTTGGCGACTATGCCTTCGTCAAGGTCGCCAAAGCCGATCGTCTCGGTAACTGCCAGTTTCGCAAGGCACAAAACAACTTCAACGAAGCCATGGGCAAAAACGCAAAGATCACCATCGTCGAGGCTGATGAGGTGGTTGAGGACGGAGAGATCGCACCAGAGGATATCCACCTTCAGGGCATTTACGTCAAGAGGGTTATCAAGAGCACTGAGGGCAAGCAGATCGAGCGTACAGTGTTCTACAAGAGCCCCGAAGAGCAGAAGAAGGCCATCTCTGAGGGCAGCTCGGAGGCAAGCCAGAAGCGAGAACGCATCATCAAGCGCGCCGCGCAGGAACTCAAAGACGGCATGTACGTCAACTTGGGTATTGGAATGCCTCTTGCTGCTCCCGCCTTCCTGCCAGAGGGGACTGAGATAATCCTTGAGTCGGAGAACGGTATCTTGGGTATGGGCCGCTACCCCAAGCCCGGTGAGGAGGACCCGGATCTTATCAATGCCGGAAAGGAGACTGTTACGCTCAACAGTGGAGCATCGACTTTTGGTAGCCACGAAAGCTTCGGTATGATCAGGGCTGGAAGGATTGATGTCGCTATGCTGGGTGCTATGCAGGTCAACCAGTTCGGAGGTATGTTGTAAACACCCGTTATTAGAACCCCCCCCTAACTTGCTTCGTTAGATCTTGCAAACTTCATGCTTCCTGGAAAGGTCAAGGGCATTGGTGGCGCCATGGATCTCGTCGCAAATCCCACACAGACCAAAGTCATCGTCACAATGGAGCACGTCGATAAGAAGGGCAACCCCAAGATCCTCAACCAATGCACATTTCCTCTCACAGGACCCAAGTGTGTATCGACGATCATCACAGACCTTGCTGTCTTTGATGTTGATCGCGTCGAAGGTCTGACATTACGGGAACATGCCAAGGGTGTCACTGTTGAAGAGATCAAGGCAAAGACTGAGGCGCCCTTCAAGGTTGCTGAAGATCTCAAGGAGATGGAAATCTAGGAAAAGGAAAAGTGAAGCGTCTAGTATATTGTATAGCATTGGCGTTCCGGCTTTGTAGATTTAGGCACCTCGCTGCCAATGAAGTAGTTCAACATTGACCCGTCACTTTGTTTTACTATGACTTCCCGGCCGAGCATGATGTACCTGCCTTGGTCATCGCAAGAACTAGCTTCTGCATGCAGAGCGAGGAACAAGTGACTAAGTATGTCGTTTAGCCCCTCTCAAAGGTATGTGTCCCTCAGCTTGTCAACTAGCAAATCAACAGCCATGTTGGTGTACTTGACGATGGGAGCTGTGATCACCCAGAACATGGTAGCTGGAATCATACCGATGGCATTGACGAAGGCGGGGTGCTGCGGGTAGAGTATCAGCTGCTTTCGAGATTCATCCGGCGCTGACTCTGCATCAGACATATCTTGTCGAGGGTCCTCCTGCTTGTCCGTGAACTGAGGCGCAATATCTATGACCTTGCTAACCCCTGCAAACATCATCTCTTCCAAGTCCACAAGAGCAGATGTTGTGGGCGATACATTTGTATCTGCAGTCTGAGACGTCTTCGTCTGGTCAGGCGGGCCTGTGCCAGGATCCGTATGGGCGATGACCTTTGCAATCTCCTGAGGTAAAGCAGTGTGGCGACGACGCTTGGGAGAAGAGTTCTCCGTGCCTTGAAATTGTTTGTAGTAGCTCAGTGTCTTGGTGAAAGGTGTTTCAGGAACGCTCTCATTAGCAGACTGGAGGTGGAATTGATCGGGGAATTGATCAGGAGCTGTTGGAGTATTAGGCACTAACAGCTGTGCCTCCTCATTTTCGTTGCGAAATGGACTAACGAGGGGTGAAATCTGCATCTCGAGCTTTGACATGCGACGGTGCGGGCTCTGATTTATGCCTTTAGTATTAGGGACTGGAGGAATGCAGATATTACATACCTTTTGGCGTTGGGCTCTTGATGACTGGGGAACAGTATCTTCCTTATCTGCATCGGGTCCATCGAGATCAGAAGTCTCGACCTTGTTCGTTTCTTCTTGTGCCGCACGGGGCGCTGCAATGATAGCGTGAGGATCTCCTTCGACACTCTCATTTTCTGGCAGTATGGGCAAAGAGTAGCCCAATTGATTTGATAGCCTAATATCTCCAGGCGCTTGTTGTTGATCTGAGTCATCTGGTAAGTTCGTGGTTTCCTGAACAGTATCGTCTTGGGTGGTTCCGTCAGTCTTGTTATACGTACACTCGTGCTGCTTGAGCTTTGGATGCATCTCTGACCCCAAGCGGCGATCTGTGTATCCCAGCGTAGACTTCTCGTCGTGCATTAACACGCTGTCCTGTAGCCTGGGAGCAGACCAGGAAAGGGACGGTGAAGCAGAGTTACTGATTGTATTCGAAGCGTTGTAAGCAACGACTCCCTCGGTGCCGTCACTCAGCTCCATGCTGCCGTCCTCATCCTTATAGCCAGCGTCAGTCGCTTCATCGCCCACAAGGTTATATCCCCCATATGCATGTGTGTGATTCTGCAAGGCACTGGTGCTGCGTGAGTTGGAAGATCGACGGTCATCCAGCTCGATTGCGCTTGGCGTCTGCGGAGCGGAGTTGCTGTCTGTGTCTTGCAGGAGCTTGTCAAGGGTTCGACAGTCGGCAGGCGAGAATGACAACCGTTCAGAGCCTCCGCGCGCTGGCGGATATGGCAGGTCGTTGTTTCTGTGCGACTGGAGGCTTGCTTGAGTGGGTGTAGGTGATGAAATTGCAGGCTCAGAGCTTGGGGTAGCATCCAGAGCCTGCTCTGCTACTGGCGTAAGGCGTGAAGGATCTGCTGGATGATTGAGTCTCGCCATTTTGACCTGAATGAGTTGCGGGGGATCGAGAAAGTGGCAATTGAGCAGGTGTGAACTTGCTCAAATATGACGAATTGGGAAGGCAACAAACGAAAAAAACAGATGACGCAAACAGATAACGCAACTCTTCACTTCACTGATTATGCCCACTAGGCACTGATAAGATACTCAGTAGCACAATTCTGTCAAGGAGAAATTGTTTTCGTCTTTACAATCCACTCTCAACTGCTGTTGCACCTCCACCTAAAGATGATCAGCCACGCGAACGTAATTGTTTACTCCATGTGACGCATGCGTACGCAGGTAAACTGCGAGCCGATGATCTGTCCCTACAGCTTCATTGAACCATACCATATGTGCTTACCCCAAATGACGTAACATTCAATAGTTTAACACCGTGATGCTAAGGACGTCAACCGGCTTTGCAAGTGCTGCAGTGCGAGTCGTTCCAAGAGCTTAACAGCGAAGCTCTTCCTCGGTAGCGGCCGTTTAATATTGCGAATGGGTATGTTACCATTATCTGCCAGTGGTCCCCTCGGGCTTTAGAATGTGATCCTCGAATTCTTTCAAAAGCCTTTCTGTGGCCAATACATTCTGTTTGGCCGGCCACTGATGGTTGCGAACATCCTCGGTCTGCTTACTTAGATGGCCCGCAAAGCCCTGAGCCTTCAATTCATCAAACTCTGCCAGAGCATTCTCAATCCCCGCCACCGTAGTCCTTGCGTTCTCCCAACGCTGGCGAATCAAGTCTACAGTCTTTTGCGGTATGTGGGTTTCACTCCAGTTGTCTTCAAGGGACGCAATCTCCTTTCCAGGCAGAGGCATTTCGAAGACCACAGATGAATTCTCGTTTCGTATTTGTGCGATTCGCTTGCGGGCATCAGCTTGCGCAAAGGATATAATGGCAAATCGAGTATTGTAGGAACAAGCTATACTGTTGAGCAGCTGGAGCTCACGGCGCAATAGGTCTTTCTCGGGATCTTCTTGTGACAATTGGTGCATCTTGTGCTCTTTAGGTGCCATTACCCGCCATATGAATGCCAGCTCCTTCGCTTCGGAGTCACGAAGCTTCTTCAAATGATCCAGGTGCTCTTGCAATGTTTCCAGATCTGTATCTGTCGGATCCAATTTAAACAGTCGATAGCCCTCCTCGTAATCGGGCGCAGCCAGCTCTCCTTTGTCAAACTCAACCAACATTATAAAATGCTGCCCTGCATGCGCTTGCGCTGCCTGCCTACGCGCAGACTTAGTTTGGGCACTTTGAGCAAGTTCAGCTGCGATACTACTTGGGGTTGCGGCACCAGATAGACCTCCAAATGGCTTGCTGAGCGTCCGCATAAGAGGATTATCTTTCGTATACGACATGAGCAGTGCTTTTCCAAACCGTGATAGAGTTGACTTTGCGTTCTCATCTTGCGAGAGTCGCTGATATGCTGCGCGCTGTTGCATTGTGCGTATCATTTGTACACGCGGTGCATGAGCGTCGGCCCATTCTGCAATCTTCGTACTAACAGCACATCCTGCAATAGCCACTCCAAAGAATCGAGAAAAGCCAGTCGCACCAGGGAAAAGCCGCGGATTTGACGCCATGAGTAGTCCTGATGCGCCTCCAAATAGCGAGGCATCCTCCAGAGTCCAATGCTTTGAGCGCTCCCATAGCTTGAACGGCTTTGGATTTTCTAGGCCGTCCATTTTGAACACTGCCTTGTTTATCTCTTGTCTCCCATATATGTCGCACGCTGTCACGACTCCATCAATCAATCCGACGAAGGTAACGTTTCTGAGGAATAGGCCAGGACGTGCAATCCCAAGGATAGAACCGAATGCGGTCAGACCGGTAGCAACAAGGCAAGCTCGGTACGCCGAGTCGATCAAGGAGGGCTCCGCGGCGGAGAAGCCAACGGGTGGCCTGCGAGTGAGAACATGCTGGTTGTCACCTACGCGACGTTAGCTACCTACGCAAAGAAGTGTGTTGAAGAGTCTCACCAGCAGGCACACACAAGCGTACCATGTTGAGCTTTTCGTTACCCTAGCCACTTATGAATGCAGCGATAGATACTAAGAAACCATCGTGGCTATCAATTCGAGGAATTGAAGGGCGAGTGTGCAGGTGTAGCTTGACGCGTTGACGTAGGCTATTCCGGTTTCGGCGCGATCGTCATCCGCGCGCTAAGGTGTGCGACATCCATTTCGCCTCTTACCGTATATGATTGAGAGATTAGTCACGTCAATGCCTCAAGACGATTGGATCAATCTAGATATGTCCATGAGCTGTAGGTGATGGGCATCCGCACTCGACTATATATACATCTTGAGTTACCAAATCTCCATCGGTCCTGTGGTCTAGTGGTATGATTCTCGCTTAGGGTGACTAAGCAATTTGCGAGAGGCCCCGCGTTCGAGTCGCGGCAGGACCCTTTTTTTGGCTGATGTGTGCTTCCCTACCCTCTCGAGGCAGCAAGGTGGTTTTTTGACCATGTGGACTTCGCTAGATACTACGCTAATCACATAGTATTAATCACGAATTGTGGACTTTGTGTGAGGTCAAGCTGACATGTGCTGAAGTGCATGTGCCTTGTATCACTATTAACAATGGAAGATGTCTTGCACACGAGAGACGATTTGGATCGGGAGCACTACGCGTAGCATGTGAAAAGATCCTGCGACCCTCATAACGTAGCTAGACTGCTTACTCATGCCTTGCTCAATATCTACAGTTCATCCTTCTTCTGCGCAACTCCAAAGGTCGCTCCTCCCTCTGACAGGAATTTAGTCTCCTCTAATGTATTCTCCCGCCCTAGTGCGATATTTCGATGCGGATATCTTCCGAACTTATCAAGGATTTCTATGTGTTCTCTCTCTGCTTTCAACTGGCCTTCCAGTAACGTCTTAGAGCCTGCACACCCTGGCTGCTTGTACAGATCCAGCTGCAGATCTTGCAGTAATCCATCTACCTGTTCATGCGCCTGGGCCTCTTCAGAATGGAATAGCGGTAGGTAGAACCACATCCTGTGTGCCGTGGAATTGCGCCACAGTGGATGCTGGTCTGGCCGTGGTATGGGCGAGTTTGGTGAAAAGAGCTTGCGAATGAAGGCTTGCGCGATCCCATCATAATGGGTGTAGACCTTTGCCAGGCCCTCGTTCGTACGGAAGATGTTGCGCGGCATCTGGTCTAGCAGGATGGCGATACCCAACGCTGCAGATGCAGCACCCGCACCATCACCCTTGGGGTCGCTTTGCGCAATCTCAGCCACTTGGTCGATAAATGGGTCGGCAGTCGGTGTGGCAAATTGCACTGGGCCGATTGCTTCGAGCGCATGGAGGAAGTTATCGCTACATATCTTGTCGAGAGCTAAACGCTCTTCTGGTGTGCCCATGAACCATCTTCTCGCTACGTCCATGTTGACTTCCTCGCCATTGGGATTCACACCGCCAAGCCAGATCTCGTGGACCTTCTGGTACAGCGCTGGTGTGAAGATCTTGCGGTCCAGTGTGAACGAAGACATGCCGCGAACGTGAAGGAGGGTCGCAGAGAGGGCAAAGCAGCGCGTTGTTGCCCGGAAGAAAGGATGCGAGATCATTCCTCAATCAGTACCTTACGAGAAGCTAGAATTTAATAGCAGGTACGCGCCTGTAGTACGAGTCGTTATATCTGATGCTCGCGCTTTACGGCCTCCGACGATTGCTCAGCATTGTACTAAGTACGGTCTTCGTGGCCAGAGCGCAGCAAGCGAGTCTTGGAATTATTTTTGTGACACCACATCAAATTACGAGTGGCCAGGCCATTCCCTGATATTGATGAGATCTTCGCTAGATCGTATGTTGGAGGGTTGAGAAGTTGTAGATGTACTGAGTGATCATAGTGATGATGTTGATGGTCGTAAAAGATGACGTAACGGCACAACGCAGACTCCACGCGTATTCTTTTGCCGCCGGCCTTGCTCCGCGGGTCTAGACATGGCAGTACTCACACAGGCACTCCGTCTTCAACTCTCCACAATACCCCGACCGTTGAAGATGCATACGATACGTCCAACAGCCGCACGAGCGCTCCGAGCAGCTTCGACTTCAGGTGCCTACAGGAACGTGCAGTCGACTGCAACACCATGCCTCTTCTGCGCGCACCGCGCATTGCCGCAGAGACCTTCGCGCCGTTACCAGTCGACGTCAAATGCTCGCGAGGATTCCTTCAAGGCCCAGCCAGCATTGCAACAGTTACAAACGCATTACTCGTTCTTCCCCAAGTCCATCTCCGCTGGCCCACCTCCGGAGGGACCGTTCACCCTTGATCTGAATGCTCTGAAGCGAGAATTCTTGCAGCTTCAGGCCAAGGCGCATCCTGACCTACACCCCCAAGAAGACAAGAAGAGGGCTGAGGCAACCTCGGCGAGAATAAACGAGGCTTACAAAACTCTTCAATCTCCATTACATCGTGCACAGTACCTTCTTTCGCAGCGTGGTATCGAGACGGCGGAAGACGAGACGGCGAAGGTGGATGATCCAGAGCTGCTCATGGAGGTCTTAGAGGCGAGAGAACAGATAGAGGAGGCGGAGTCGGAAGAGGATCTCATCGGGATGAAGGATGAGAACGAAGGCAGAATACAAGAAAGCATCAAGGCGCTTGAAGAGGCCTTTGCCAAAGACGACGTGGAGTTGGCGAAGAGCGAGACCGTCAAGCTTCGATATTGGATGAACATCAATGAGAGCATTGCGAACTGGGAGAAGGGCAAACCGATTGTGCTCGAGCACTGAATCACAGCAGTCCGCCACCGACCCCGAATATATCCTACATCACCTTGTCTGACACTATCAGAGCTCATAACATCGAAATCTTGCCGCAAATCGTGAGGCCTTCAGTGATATGGACCGGCGACCTCCGGGCCATCCAACCAACAAAGGAAGCTCCCCGCGGACAAGCCTCGGCCGGGCCCCACCACCATCATCATCGATAAAGCTGCCCGCGTCGCGCCGACTCTCCCTTTCCTTCCTTTCCCTTCACGATGTCCACATCCTCCTTTAAGCCTGTCGCCGCGGAACCCGTCAACGAAGAGAATGGTTTGATCCACGGAGTCTCTGCGCAAGAGCTGCAGATCATCGGCGAACAATGCATCGACGCAAAGACTAAGGCATACTGTATGTTAGAAATTCCTCAAGGTGCAAAGCACAGGATGTTGATCCGACTTTGTAGGCCCGTATTCGCTTTTCCGCGTCGGCGCATCACTCCTTCTGCATCAGTCGACCTCCTCGGGGCCTTCAATCATTGTAGGCGCAAACGTCGAGAATGCTGCATATCCTGTCGGCACTTGCGCCGAGCGCGTCGCGTTCGGTACCGCTGTGATACAAGGCCACAAATTGGGCTCCTTCAAGGCCGTTGGCGTAGCTACCGATATTGACGACTTCTGCTCGCCGTGTGGAATGTGCAGGCAGTTTCTCAGAGAGTTTTTAGAGCTGGACACACCCATCTTTATGTTCAACAAAGAGGGCAAATATATTGTGAGGACAATGGGCGAGCTGCTTCCATTGAGCTTCGGGCCGGATGTGTTGCCACCAAGAGAGCAACTGAAGAAGAAGAGAGAAGAGGAGAAGACGAAGGCTGCATAAGCAGTTCAGTCCAGCGTGACGCGCACGTAGTGATAGAATACAGCTCCGAGGCTAAATCGCAGCAATGAATCAAGTAGTATCAAATCAGTACTAAAGGCTCAATGTGCTTGTCGACGCAAATGCCTGAAGCTTTCTTCCTCATGTGGCACCCCCGCGGCGAACCGTGACCCAGTGCCCGCCAGCCCACCTGCGTTATCGTCCTTATCGCGCTACACAAGCTCAACCAACCGCCGCCTACACATTATGCATCTCCGCGCTCCGGAGATGTGTCAAACGACATGATTGCTTCTCTCGCATTTTGTGTGATTGATTTCGCATCAACAAAATCTATGGCTGCCCCTCGCGCCGCTGTCCCATCTTCGCTCACGCCAGGTTGAGGTTGAAGCTTCAAGATGGCAGCGATCAATGGAATGAGCGATTCAGAGCACTTCTCGCCATACAGGGCAGATGGCAAACTTGTGAGTACATGCAGTAGATTTGTGGAGCGATTGCGGAGCAAAACTTGGACAGTGTGCTGATTCTACAATTACAGTACGGCTTTGTGTGTGTGGTGACCGGTGCCACTCAACCTGTTGGGAAGGCGATCGTTGCTGAACTTGCTGGTACGTGAAGACTATGGTCAAGGTTGTTCTTCATTACCAACAATCGCTTTCGGGTTCAACCCCGTTTCTCCCGTGGGCTTTTAGCTGGACAAACTACCCAGGCTTTGCGCTTCTTTATGCAACTCGGAGCAAAGTTCACGTACTGATATATCTCAGCGCACGGCGCAGCATGCATATATGCCTGCTCTTCCTTACCCGATGAACCCTACGCCGAACTTGCCTCCAGCATCAACTCGCAATACCCGAACACCAAGGTCATTGGGTATCCTTACAAGATCACTTCTGAAGAAGATACTCTGGCACTCATCGACGATGTACTGAACTCCTGGGGACGCCTTGACATCTGGACGTCCTCAACCGGACTTCTCGGTCCACCGTCTATCACCACTACTGGCCCGAGAGATCTCTACGCCGCGTTCGAGACAAATGCTATGCCTGCGTTCTTTGCTCTCAAGTACGCACCAGCCGCAATGCAGAAGACCACACCCAAGGGAAGCTATCCCAACGCTGCGCCGAAAGATGCTCCATACGGATCCATTATAGTGGTCACTTCCGTGGCCGGCACTTATGGCGGATGCTGGGCCCCAGCATTTACTATGGCGTCTCACGCCGCACTGGGTGTAGTCAAGTCTGGCGTGACGGTCCTCAAAGGTACAGGTGTTCGTATCAACGCTATTACGGCTGGACAAATCGACGTTGGCGTGGACCTCAAGGGCAGTGGGTTGAAAGAGATGGAGAGTGGGCAGTTTCCGCCGGCTGCGTTGCAGGACAAGGAAGTTCAGAAGAGGACTATCGGGCTTGAGAGGGCTGGCAGACCTGAAGAGGTCGCGCGAGTAGCTGGTTTCCTGGCCAGTGGATTTAGCAGCTACATCACGGGCGCGGAGATGAGAGTTGATGGAGGTGCTGGTGTCATGAACCCGCTGACTGTGCCTGTGTAGTCAAATCTTAAGGACGCAATGAGAATCATGATAAGACTTCGAGAGCCAAAAGGTTACTTACTGTATAGTTATAGCAGACCTGAGGGTAGCATGCGGGATGTACAAGAGTTCAGCCGCAAAGACCTGCGATGTGAATGACGGAGATGTGCAGATGGCAAGCAGCTGTACAATATATAGGTTTCAAACGGAATGCAACGCACACGAATCCACGAGTCTTCAGTAACCAGCGCTGTTTCTCTGTACCCTCCCCATTATTGAGAGTTCGCCGGCCTCACCGGACTTCGACCACACACGCTGGGAGCCTGCCTTTCTATTCAACAATTTAAAGCATGTAGCAGGTTGCTAAACACTGATTCGATCATCCATTTGTAATCTAACTGTATAGCTGACATACCGACAGAATCTGGACAAATGCATATAGGTATAACGTATGCGGATCGCATTCTGAATGCTCTTATCACCTTCCTGTTCTGGTAGTTATATGCAGATCCGCTACTGTGCCGACGATGTCGCGATACGCATCATGATGGCACTATCTGCGATATGTTGTTAAAATTAGCGTCGCATGATCTTATATAAGTCGTGCATTATCTAAGATGCAACATTGTCACCCTTCGCCATGCGCCTCACTACCTTTCTTGGCGCTGCCATGACAGCAGCTACAGCTTTCGCTCAATCCATCAATGGAACCAACACGACCTACATAGGTCCTGAGAATGGTCACTTGGTCATCGTTGGTGGTAACCTGCAGAGCGACAGTATCTGGCAACGCATCATCGACTTAGCCGGCGGCCCCGAAGCTCCCATCGTAGTCATTCCCACAGCAGGCGGCGAGCCAACCTACGATGCCAATTTCTCATCGGCAGTATCTTTACGCCGTCTCGGCGCCAAGAATGTCACGGTGCTACACACATATGACCCAGCTGTGGCAGACACAGACGAGTTCATTGCACCGCTACTCGAAGCTAAGGGCGTGTTCTACGGTGGTGGCAGGCAATGGCGTCTCGTCGATGCATACGCAGGCACCAAGACAGAGAAAGCGGTTCAGGCCGTGCTTGATCAAGGAGGCGTTGTTTCTGGATCGAGTGCCGGCGCGAGTATCCAGGGCAGCTTCCTGGCGCGAGGTGACACAGCGAACAATCAGGTCATGATCGGCGACCATACCGTTGGGTTCGGGTACCTGAAGAATACGGCGATTGACCAGCACTTCCTGGTGAGAAACAGGCAGTTTGATCTCTTTGATATTCTGAAAGTGTATCCTGAGTTGCTGGGAATTGCGATTGATGAGGATACGGCACTGATTGTAAGCAAAAATGATGCAGAAGTGTTCGGAAGTACTTATGCTGCTTTCTATGACGGGGGATTCTGGTCAAGGGAAGGAAGTGAATTGAAAAACCTGCCACCACCTGAGTCCAGATTTTACTTTCTCAAGGCTGGAGATAAGTATGATCTGGGCCTCAGGAAGGTAGTTGAAGCAGAAACGATTGCAGAACGGAGAGAATTGTAGGAGGCCGGGGGAAGGCAAGCTTTCAAAAGACTTCACCTGGGTTTTCGCAAGCAGTGCATGTTAAACAAACAAACATTTGTCTAATTGATGGAGTCTTCGTGGTGTTCATCGAGTGTATGGAGAGATCCTGAATGAACCTGACATTTACAAACGGCCAATGCTTGTCCCGTGGCTTTCTCTGCAATGTGCTCATATTGTCAAGGTACTGTGACTTTCGGGTCCTCGACAGCGACAGCCCGAAATTTTGTCTTATCGCTGAATGCCGCCTGATCATCTTCCAATTCCTGCTTGCGCCGACTGTTTGCGAAAACGCGATGGAAATGCGCTTCATCTCTGAACTCTACCGTAGTGAGGCAGTCAAAGTCGGTGGTTGCAGGTGGTGAATGAACATCGCTCCCTTCGGCACTACCTGGGTTGCTCCTGACGTAGTGTCGAGTATGGCGGACGGGGGCGTCGTCGCCGATGATTTCAAGTACGAGAGGAATATGCTTGTTCTCGTAATGGTCGACAAAAGCTTCGAAGCTCATGCCTGGCTTTCGGGTGACGAACATGAGTACAACATAGCCCATGGCGACGATTGAGGTATAGGGCTGAATGTTGATCGGGAGGGTTGAGATGCGTTGAATATCGAAGGTGCAGGTGTCTTTCTTATGTTCCGTCTTTCTGATCCAAGAAAGGACTCCGCCAACGTCTGTAGCATGGCGCTCCTAATAAGTATCTCAGCACTAGTCCATCTCACCTGTAAGCTGACTGCCAACTCATCTAGACCGGAACTCCACACGATTGCGGAAGAGCATTGCTTGGATAAGTATGGTGCAAAATGCTATCTACTTCGCCGACTTGCTCGTCTACTGGGTTACGCGATGTGCATCAACCGATGTTCACAATGCGTGTTGCAAGAGCAAGCGCTGTACGCGGTGTGCCACTGCGTACTTATATGTAGCCAGATCGCATGCGGCTGATATAGTCCGCATATGACCTTATACACATGAGACCATGGCAGATTCGTATATGTTGTTGTTGTTGTTGTAGTAAAACACTCGCCCTGAGACGTATGTACTGACGACGTTAGCGTCATCCTTCTTAAATGTGCCTCGGCATCTTTCGGCTCTAACCATCCAGGGAAGAGCGGAGAACTTGTTGCAACAACTCCAGTACATCAGCGACCTTACTTCATGTACTGTAAATTGGCACCTCAATTCCCGACATCGTAACTACCTTCTACTTACCATGACCATCGACATCGTAGCCATTATCTCGCCTAAGGCCGGTAAGGCCTCGCGGGTACGTCCCTAGCTTACAACGAAGTCATGAAGACCAACATGCTCATATGAATCCAAGGTCGAAGAGCTGCTTCTGCAAGCAGCGCAAACAGTCAAAGCCAACGAGCCTGGTACACTGCGTTACCATCTGCAACGTGAAACCAAAGGCGATACCCCGGTTTTCGTTATGCTAGAAACGTACAGGTCTCCGCAACCCCGTGCTCAACCCGACTAACTGCGTCAGTTATAAGGATCAAGCCTCAATAGCCGCGCATGCGAAGAGCCCGGACTTCAAGGCCATGGGTCAAACAATGAAGAAAGAAGATTTGTTGGCTGAGCCGATGCGAGTTATCTTCACGAAAGAGGTGGGCGGGTATGCCAGCAAGCTGTAATTTGGTGAATGTTGTAGAGGGAGGATGCAGTCATGTAACGCGATTCGATTAGGAGAAGCTGTTCAATTATGAAGCGCATGGACGGCGAGTGACATTGCACTGCAATTGACTTCCTGCGGACGCTGATTGGGTGATGTAGATGGAGGCTGGGCGTCGTGTCTTTTGGTTGAGGAAGAAGTAAAGAAGGGGCTGGAACTGTCTCTGCCTGCGCCATTTTCCACACTTCAATTGATGGTTTTGGAACAACCTGGTCTTGTGCGATTGTGGAGCTGTGTACAGATACCTCAAACCAATCTCGGACCGAGTCCATGTATCTAACAAGGTTTGATCCTACTCCCGTAGGGCGGCACATTGTGCCGGTGCGGGCACAAATCAGAGCAGAACATACCAGGGACGAACGCTTCTATTTGCAAAGGTCAATTCTGATTTCTATATATGATTCCTACGTGGATATCGCATCTCCGATAATCACGTGCAGTGCTGCACGAATCAACGGACTTCTGAGCCTCATCAAGATCGAACTAATGCTTTCTAGTGGCAAATAACGTGACTCTCTGGCTAGTGGTTATCGTGAACACACATTCAAAAGCGGAGATTAGCCCCTGTTTTGACTGTGGAATCAATTGCTAGCTTCAACGCAACTCAACGTGACAATGTCGCCTTCTATGGGGAATGCAACTCACAATCCTACAGTTCGGACGGCAGACTCCAGCTCATCATTGCCCATCATCGTCTTTACCAGTATCATAGCAGCATTAGGCTACTTTGTCCTCTTGCTGGTCCAACGAAGGCGCTTCTATAAAGATCTAGTATGTTGTTCATCACTATGTGCAATGGGAACGCCCAGACTTTGATCTGCTCTTCCAGTGGTTCAGCTCACTAACTCTTTCAGCCGAAACCACCTCACTCGCTGTTATGGGGGCATCTCAAATTAATGGGCGAGATCTTTGCCATTCTCCCCAAAAACAGCCACATCCAAATTGCTGTGACCACCATCAGCCAGAAGTACGACCTCCCCGGCATCTTCTACCTTGACCTGTGGCCGCTGTCTACGGGTCTCTGTCTCGTAACAGTACGTAAGACATAGATGACGATGGTGCCAGAGGGCTGATGACCTCCAGGATCCCGACTTGGCCCACTACATGACCGTCACGCGTAACCACGAGAAGCACAGTGTGGAAGCGAGGGATGTCGATCCTCTAATCGGCGAGGGTAATGTCGTCACATCCGAGGGTACGCGCTGGAAGAAAATGCACAAGATGCTCGCGCCTGCGTTTGCAATAATGCATGTCACGAACATGCGATCGATGATTGGGCAGAACGTGATGCAGTTTCGAGCCATCCTAGCCAAGCTTGCTGATGCAGGCGAAGCCTTCGAGTTCGAAAAGTACATGGGACGGCTTGCGCTGGATGTGGTGGGCTCGGCAACATTCGGTCACTCGTTGGATGCACAAGCAATGGGCGATGCCTGCTCCGTGATACAGCATTGGGAAGACATGACTCGAGCGAATATACACATCCGTGATCGCTGGAAGATCGACTTCGTCAGGAACTACATGGCGTTTAGAAAACGAGACGCGGCAAAAAAGAAATTCGACGCCATACTAACGAAACTGGTTCAGGAAAGGTTCGATTACGTTCGAGATAACGATGTCAATCTGGAGAAGCGGAAAGACAGTATCATCATTGACTTGATTCTACGGGAGTATTTGCAGGATGCAGCTTACGACAATCAGCAAGGCTTGAATCCGGTATTCCTGGATGACGTGTTGACACAGATACGAACGCTAATTGTGGGCGGGACTGGCACAGTAACGGATACGGTTTGCTTTGTATATATGCTTCTCTCAGGATACCCAGACGTTGTCCAAAGATTGAGGGAGGAGCATGACCAAGTGTTCGCACCAGGCATCGATGCCTCATACGACATTTTATGCTCCGAGCCATACAAACTCAACAAGTTGGATTACACCACCAACGTCATTAAAGAAGCACTTCGACTCTATCCTGTAGGCTGTACGGCTCGCAGAGAGCACAGCGACGGCTTCCTTCCTTATGATGGCCGACAGTACACCACGAAAGGCTTCCTCATCTTGCCAGTGGGGCACACCATGCACCTGAATCCAGAGGTTTTCCCGAATCCAAAGGCATTCGACCCAGATCGTTTTGCGCGTGAGGACTTTCCACGCCATGCCTTTCGATCATTCGAGCGAGGACCACGAGCCTGCATGGGACAGCCGCTGGCTATGGATGAGATGAAGATCATCCTGCTCTTGACAGTTCGAGATTTCGACTTCACATGCGTTGGTTTGAAGCCGAACAAGACGCCTCGAGTGCCCTGGACGGACCTGGATCTGACTTTTGGAGACCGAGCTTTTCAGGAGTATGTGTTCGAGTCAAAGCCTAGGGACGGTATGTTGATGAGTATGAAGAAGTCGCACTGGAAGTGACTGTCACTCGTATTGAATAACAAGTCAAGGGGAATGCCCCATACTTGCGGAACATTAAATCGATATTAAGACTTGGCCTCCCCGCCATTGAAAGGTCTCTTATCCATCGTCGTGATCGAGACCGTTAATCTCAGTGAGATCGTCGCTCATTATGTGTAGAATCTGAGAAAAAGTCCTGCTCTTCCAGCGTCCCATGCCTTCCATGAGGTCAGCGCAGTGCAGCAGGGTCTTGCGAGCCGCAGCATATCCTGCCTCGAGAGTGACGTTACTCATACAAATAGGACCTCCCTTTCGAATGAAGCGAACTGCTGCAGCGTTTACGCTAGCAGATTGCTCAGTACTAGATAGGCCCAAATCTCCAACGGTCGTCCAGTCCACTGACTCTGAAAGCTCATAGCTAGTGCGATCAATATACTCGGAAGATGAAACGGAGAAAACATAAAGCCCAAGGACCAATGCAGCGTGGAACAAGGCAAAGATACTATGTGGATGAACGATATCAGAAACTTTCCGGTCAGACAGTAGCTTGTAGATGTGTGCTGCGTGGAGAATGGAGCGTCGCGCCGTCGAGGTTTGCGCCCAAGCAGCGATTTGTTCCAAGGCTGTCTCTGCTGGGCCCGCACCAGCTCGCCCAGCAGCAAGCTCAAAGTATTGCATGTTGGCACTGAGTCTCATGCATAACATATGCCAGAGGACGAGCGAGTTCAGGTCGTCTATGGATCTGAAGCTTACCATGAGCGATACTATGCCATGGCTACGCTCATCTTCGGCAAACACACGCCATGGTTCGAGCTGATAGGCGTCAGTCTTGACGCCAAGCCTGTCGTGAGCCTCCATTATCCGGATTGAGATGAGCGTCAATTGATTATACGCCAGATCCGATACATGCGGCTGTAGTTCAGGAGCCAATTCCGGATATGGCGCAATGGCGTCGATGTGGGCGGGCGTGCCGCCATTGACGAGATTACTCCACGCCGTCGATGACTCTGCTTGGTACAAGCTTTGGTTTGTCACAGGATATACCTGTACAAGTTCAGGACGTATAATTGGCGAGGTTGATAGGTGTCCTGACCACCAACAGTCTGCTTGGAGCAGGCCAAAGGTGACCCTTTTTACGCATTCGATATTGATCCAGGCACTCCACTTATTCTTTTCATCGACCAGTGAGTCCAACAAAGCGCCAACATCCGTGCCATCGTTCACAGAGAAGAGACCTTGATTCTGGGCTACTGTGAGCAGTTCGATATATAACTCCTCTGCCTGAGCAATGCGGTTTTTCCTGCCGGTGATTGAAGCAAGGTTGAGAGCGATAAGGCCAGTCGCGATAGTGCGCATGTGTCGATGCGGTGGGTACTCGCTTGAGCGCAAAGAGCGAAGATCTGACAACACAAGCTGTAGTAAGCTAGGGAAGCTTTGTGTGACAAACTTCACGGCTCCTGCAGTGCCGATGATGCTCAGTCCGACGAGACACATTGAAAGCAGGAGCGGTCGCGCAGCTTGCTTGACCGAAAATGACGGGACATGGATGACAGGAAGCGTTGGGTGGAAGTAATTCTGGTACATCTCCAAGGCAATATCCAGGATTTCGGCCGGCGGAAATGGCAAGCTGTTTCCAGTTACAGCTATGCTGTTGCCCACCAGACTTCCCCTATGGGTTGGTCGTGAAGCCTCGGCGAGCTGTGCTTGGGTTAGGGCGTCCTGAAGTGACTTTCTGCTGGCATCGTCTAAGCACCATCGCGAGTTCTTCCGTTCATCATTGTACGGGGCTTGTTCAAACGTGTGAATCATGTCATCCCAAAAGATGTTCGAACACCCGCGTGACGCAAGATCCTGCCACAAGATGGGCATTAGACGTGTAGTTCGTGATGTCTGAGGCGGCCAGCAGTTCGCAACTCTTGCAAACCGCTCTCGAGGGATCCTCGATGCTATTGACATGGCATCAGATGGGCTGCCTTGGCTATTGCGTTGATTCCCTGCAGCGTCGTGATAGAGCGTGTCCTCCAATTCCGGCCGATGAGATCCGTTTGGTGTGTCCATGTTGCTCTCTGGCGGGAAGAGCCATGAGCGCAGAGCCTGAGAGGGCGTCTGAGCGAGCATGGATTGATGAGTTTGTGTTATATCAAAGGCCCACGGATCAAAAGTGTTAACATTTCCAGATGGCGCGAAAGTGAGAGATTCCATGGAAGGGTCAATCGGCGGTCCCAGGCTGCTGTCATGATGGCCTGCTAGCTGATAGTTTTCATGATGTATTGAGCTAGGTGACTGCCATGCTGGGTAACTAGTGGGCTCGAGGTGTTGCGCTGCGTTGATGAGAGCTTCCATACGATGCCCACTATCCGCGTGGATTGCCGGATCATTCACTCCTTCTGCCAAAGACATATCCCCACCTTGCAAGGATGGCGCAGGGGTGGGGCCAGTCATGTGTCCCGCAAGTTGGTATTGCGGGTGCTGATTTGCCCCATCTATGCTTGGGATTTGTCTGTAATCTTGCTCCTCATGCTCTTTCTTGCGATTCATCGCAATCTGATTGTGGCCTTTGCAGTGCCTGTACAAGACGTCGCTGTACTGTCGCGTTAGATCGTGAGCTTGGGACATTTGAGCCAATATTACCTTCTCGAAAAGCTCTTATTACATGTTGGACATTCATATGGGCGTTCTTTGGTATCTGAAGTGGCATTAGTTCTGTAGTGGTCTCTCCGTCGATCACGTTCGACGTACGCGATCTTTCGTGTCGCTTGAGGTGTTCGAGTTTGGTGAATGTGCGATCGCACATGCTGCACTGTTTGAGCGCCATAGCCTAGCTCTTTTTCAGCTCTGTGAGCGACTCGTCGACTGAATGGCATGAATGGCGCGTAGTGACACGAGTCGACCGAGTAAGACAGTGAGCTCCAGCCCTGAAACAAGGATGCGTCCGTGTCTGCAGGAAAGTTCACGGGCTAAAATCGGATGCGGGGACAAAGCGCGCCTGGCCTGCCTCGCACTAAGCTCAATTTGGCTGAAATGCGTTCATCTTTCATGTCAATGTTGTGAGAGCTTCAACTTTGCGATCATTGGCCTCATGCAGGGATTTTCACTTGCCGTATATTTCCAGATAATCCTACATGGCTAGCGAGCCGGTTTCGACATTCACGCTGGTAATTGCCGGACAGTGTTGAAAGAACTATTTGGTCCCAACAAGCATTGCGGAGAGATATCGAGCTGTCTTGAACTGAATTGGTATGACAGAGAATCTACAATTCGTCTTTATATACTTCCTCACTCCCCTCATGTGATTCCTCCTCCCACTCCCCATCCTCCTCGTCTACAGCCTCAACTGGTTCCTGCTTGCCAGCCCCCATTCCTTTTCCAGCGCCCTTTTCTGTTTTGCCTTGCTTCGAAGCGTTCTCCTCTTTTGCTTTACCACCCTTCTTTTCCTTGGACGTCTTCTCGTCCTCATCATCAGCTTCAATGATGCCTCTGAACTCCCTCCCTCTTGGCGTGTCAACAAGATCGAGCTTCCATCCTTTCTTTCCAGCCAACTTTCGCAGATTGTTCTTCAACTTCTCAACGTCCTTTGGATCTGGGATATTCAGTCTCTTCATCTCCTCCTTCGACATTTGCGTGCCATCACTGCTTGCGACGGTGCCGACGTAGGTCTCCTTGCCGCCACCAACCACAACACTCTTCTCGATGACGTTGCCTTCGCTGCCAACAAGAGCCTTTGCGCCAACCTCGATACCACCGATGACGGGTCCGCGCTTTGTAGAGCCTTCAAGACCGTCGGTAATATCTCGTAGAGGGTTTGTGTTCGCATTGTCTTCTGACTCCGCCAGGGCGAGAAGGCGCTCTGTTTCACGGGCCTTGGCTTTAAGTGCAGCAGCTGTCCATTCTTCGGCGTCGGTTGCAGGAATGACAGCCTGACAGGTGATTGGGTGTGCGAGATTCTTCTGCGGAGGCAAGAAAGCCACGTCATGACAAAGTCGCGGCGTATCTATGACCATGAGGTAAGAGCAGGTGCTCGTCTCCTTGATCATAGCGATTCTATCGGCGGACTGAGGGTTGCAATGGAACTAGCATTCGGTCAGTAATTTCCCCTAAGGTAGGTGTGGAAAACAGCTTACCTGTACGTCAATCTTGCGAGGCTCGTGAGTCAGATCGCACACCGTTCCATCTGTGAGGCGCTGCACCATGTATCTGCTGGAACCCTTCGACTCCAAGCGGGGGACTTCCAATGCCTTCTCCTCTTCATCCGGCGCGTTGCCCTCGTCGTCAAGAGCGTCCTTGCTGCCCTGTTCGCTGCCCAGTGTCTTGCGCGCGTGTTCTTTCTTGCGCTTGTCATCCTTGGAGAAGCGACCGAGCACAAAGCTGTACACGCTCGTGTCCTCAACTGGAGGGTAGATGGGCACGCCACGACTTGGGGGCAGCTGGTGGAATTGCTTGACCTCATCTTTGTAGCAGAAGCTGTAGCTCCACCACCCGCTCAGGTAGTAGATGCAGTTGCCACGCATGCCCTCTAGCAACTCCCATCCACGGTCTGTTGCACGCACGAGCTCCTTCTCCTCCTCCGCCTTTGCCTCTTCCGCGCTTGTAGAGTTATGTTGTGGCACATCATCTGGTATGTTGGGTATGCTGCATAGATATCGCTGTCCCTGCAGAACCACAGCTTCGTATATGACCGGCAGCGCATCTTCGACGGGGGGTGCATTTGCGGAAGGTCGCTCGTGTTTAGCAAGATCCTGTGTATGCTGCGAGTTGGCCTTGCCCGTGCTGGTACTGCCGAGCGGCGTCTGTTGGTTGAGGAGAGCGGTCGCATCGTCCTCCAGTATGAATGTGTCTGGCCATGCGACCTCGTACTGGCTACTGTAAGCTCGTGCACCTCTACTGGTCTGAACCGCATGCCGTCATACCTGTGGAAACGCGAGCAGGTCGTCAAAGACGCTGAACGCATGCTGGTGCGCGAGAGTAAGGCGCAACACTGCCGGTAGCGCCCAGAAGCCCCTCATCTTGGGATACTAACAGGTGCAGGGCCGAAGCTCGAGAAGGATTATAAGCTGTAGCTTGGATGGAGACAGATGGTCACTTCCGGGACCTGACGCGCTAAGCTCGGAATGGTGGACCACGATAGTGTAGACCTCGAACAACAAACGCGGTAATTTATTGATGATCATTATCTCTACTATACATCCTGTTTTCTAAGATCTACATAATTCTTTCGAGCCACCGAGAGACGCTGCTATTCGATGTCAGTTTGAAATGGTCCCTGTTCTGTAGATTTGCAGGCCAGCTATATAGCGACGACACGACAAACAATGACTATGGCAACCGTCAACACCCGCTAACAATTCAAATGGATATCATGTAAAGTACGAAGAGAAAAATACAAGGAACGGTCGTATCATGTCTCGGTAAGTCCATCAGCTCTCCTATTGCCTGAGGACTTCGAAACTTTGGTTAGTGATCCTTGGATCTTTGCCAGAACCTAGATAGAACTCGCAGCGAAACTTGAGGCATTCTGTGCCACGCGAGTCCTGATACACCTGGATTATATCACCTGTGTGAAGATGTCCAAACAGAGCTCTTCCTTTTTCGTCCTTTTGCTTGAGGTGCTTGCCGTTGACCGAGATGCCGTGTGTTGCGCATGTCCAGATGCCCACATTCAATCTCTCGAGGCTTGTCCAATCTTTGTTTCTCTGTGATAATTGCTGCACCGTCTCAGCACTATCGCCACCCGATGAGTACCAGAAGATGATGAAGGCCGTCTTTGGAATGCGGGTGTCTCGGCTCTGATCGTACACAATTGTATTGTTTGCAAGTCGTCCCCAAGATGTCTTGCTTTTGTCAATATTAAGCACAAGGCTTGGCACGAAAGAATCAGCAGTCGCTACCAGCTTGCCCAAGCGTCTGGGCGGAGGTCTGATGTCAAGCTCAGCTGGCAATGAGGGTACTTCTGCAGATGGTGATGAAGCTTGCGCCTCACCTATTTGTGACCCACTTGCAAAACTGCTGCTTGCATTTGACCCTCGTGTTGTTTCTTCATAGGCGGAGGCGCCAGCTGTTGCCTCTTTTTGAGCACCAACAAAATCGAACCCACTAACTCGCGATGCGTGCTCCAAGTTGTGCGTATTTGGATCGAGGGGATCGTAGTAGTAGGAAGCTGTCACAGGGAGGCTAATCTGGCGATTTGACGCAGATGGTCGAGCTTTTGGTGTTGGCTCGCTAATCTGACTGGCAAATCGAGAAGATTGCTCAAGTGAATTGTGCTGAGGGACATCCGGCGTTCGGGGTGTGGCTGGTTCGTTTGGACTGTAGACCCCAGAGCCAGGCGAGGCTGGAGAGGTCATGTACAACTCTCGCACGAGAGACTCAGTACCCAGAAGGCTAGGCGAAGAGAAAGCTCTGTCAAGATGTGGAGGAGCACTGAAGGGTATCTCGCGCTCCGCACCACCTGTAGTATGGCTAAAGATAGGCGCACTATCACGGTAGTCGGAGCCAGTGAGGTCCGGTTGGGAGAGCGCTTCTTGTGCATGATCTTGCAGGATGCCGGAGCTTTGCAAAGCAGACTGGCCAATCTCACCAAAGAGTCGTGGTTGCCGAGGCGTGGGCATGACTTTAAAACTCTCTTCCTCGTCGATGACACGGTCGGATTGGAAGGAAGCTTCGGCGCTTGATTCCTCATCATGGTCGCGCACCTGATTGCGAGGGTAAAGAGGATCTGCACGTATGCGCTTCGGTTTTCTGCTTTCCCCGACAAGCGCAAGCAGCTCGTCATCTACATCCGCTTCGTCTTCCGACTCGGGTATCTCATCTTCTTCAAGTTCGTCCCCGATGCTCAATTGAGACAGTTGTGATTCGGCCTCCTCTTCTTCCTCTTCAACAATGGATTGAAGTGCTGGGTCAGGTGGAATTGCGGCGCCATCCTTCAACCAGGGATGACTGAGACAAGCGCGGGCGTCAGGTCTCTCAGAAGGGTCTATCTGGAGCATTTGCATAAGAAGGTCGATGCATGGAGCTGATACTCCCACTTTTTCAAGTGCTGTAGGCTTCAGTGGGGTAGTAGTAATGTTGTTGTACATGGCCTGGCCAGTGGCATCGGCAATACCCTTGAATGGCGGCTCGCCACACAAGGCATACCATAAAACGCCGCCAAATGACCAGATATCCACGGACGAACTATACTGGTGGAATTGCTTCGCTCCTCTTCGTCGCTTGGTGCCTTTGGACTCTCCAAAGTCGGGAAAGACCTCAGGAGCGCAATACAACAGAGTTCCACAGAACGTTTTGAGGAAAGTCTCCTCGTGTTTGACGACTTTTGAAAGGCCGAAATCCGATAGCTTGACTTTGAGTGGATCGACATCAGAGATGAGAATATTGTCCGGCTTGATATCGCGATGTGTGATCTGTGAGCGATGGAGGTAGGTCAGGGCACCCAGGATCTGCTGGCCGATGGCTCGGACCAGTCTCTCGCTCATTGGGCCGTTCTGATTGAGGTATGCCTGGAGGTCGCCATGGCGCACGTATTCCATGATGATGTACAGGTAGTCGCCTTGGTCGTGGTATTCGACAAACTCGACAATGTTTGGATGTCGCAGCCCCTGCATTATTCTCATCTCGTTGTCGATTTTCTTGTCCAGCTGTCCATTCTTCATGAAACGACGCTTTTCTAGCTCTTTTGCTGCAAGAAGCTTGCCCTCCATTTTAGTGGCTAACAGGTGTACTGTTGCGAACGCGCCTTTGCCGATGATACCTGATACAAATAAGTACTTCACCCAGGGGAATAATGCTCAGCAACATACCAACAATGTTGTAGTTCATGCCACCATCCCATTTCATCGTTGGGCCACCATAGTTCTTACCGATGCGCTGCGCAACTTGGCGACGTTAGCACTATGCCCACGTTTAATCAATTACAAACTGACCTTTGGTCTTGTCCTCGCCTTTTGCGCAGTCGGCAATATATCGCTGAAGGTTCTCTCGGAAGCGATCGGAATGCGACACACGGGAAGGTACACGGACAATGAACTTGATCATTTCGGCGTCGTTAGAGCTCTGTATGCAGATGATGGATCCTGAGCCGATCATACGAATCTTGCCGAAACGACTGTCCTTTTGCTTCAGCAGCTGATCGTCGACGATGGTGCCGTTAGTTGACAGGTCTTCTACCATCAGTATACCGTCTAGATTGAGATAAACACGAAAATGTTGGTTGCTGATGCGCTTGCCAGAATCTTGACCAAATACAACATCGGCACTGTTTGGGTTTCGTCCGAAGATGAAGCCCAGTTCTTTGAATCGTAGAGTATTCGCTGAGGACATACGCAGAGCAAGGTCGGCGCCTGCCCTCGAGCTTTGGCCTACTCTGTCTCCATTGCCATTTATGATGATCGTTTCCTGTTCCTCAATATCGACTATAGATGCATTCATCGAGTTGGGGTCGAGAGAGTTGCGGAATAGAACGTGCTGAGGACGGGACTCTGCCGTGTTCTCGACAATCTTAATTGCAGATGGCGTAGCAGGGTGCAGTATTACAAGCACATCGGCAATGTCGCCATCGTTGAGTCCCGAGTTGTTCCGCCCCAACCGACGCGGGTCAAGAACTTGCTGTGTGGACGGCTGGGTCTGCGACATGATTTGTGAGCGAGAGTATGGTGGCGGAGGTGTATTGGGACGATCGAGATACTCGTGCAACGGGTCTTGTGGAGCGTTACGACAAAGTGCCATGGGGTGGTTGGTCTCCGAATGGAAAGCCTGTGTTCGATTCGTGCGAGGGGTTGCGGGTGCTGAGTGGCAGTCAGAGTGGATAACGGTTCCCCTAAGGGTTTCCCGTGCTCAATTGCGCCGATTTTATCACGTCCTGTCTTCCAAGCTAATGAGACATAATAACACTGCCAATAGCAATGCGTCGAGCTCTATACCAATAGCTTCCCGATAACAGCGCGATCTCTGGCCGAGCGTAGTGTTATCCTGGCGCCAAAGAGATCCCAAACTGTAGCAAGTGGTTTATTGTTGACCGATGACGTATTCGTCTCTACTGCTTGAAATTGCGCGTTCTCACAGCGGGTATGATCGCGTCAGACTCGACTCGTCGCTGATGAGGCAGCCGTGTGCTGGTGTGGAGCGAAGCTCCCGAGACGTCGATCGAAGGTACGGCGTAGGTGTAGCGAAAGCTTTATGTAGAAAATTCTGTAAGGCGTCGCAAGGCAGCCGTTTGCCTCGTCTGAAGGAACGTGTGGGGGGATTCGACGCGGAGGGTTGCCCTGGGAACAAGATCGTCGTCGAAGCTTCAATTGTCAGCGGGAGCGATCGCGGTGGGGCGTTTCAGATGGAAATGCTGCAATTGCTGCGAATGCGACGACGTACAATGCGAAAACCAGTAACAAGAAAACCGCGACCGCCGTAGAAAGTGAGGGTGAGCAGTTCTCGTGGGTTCGGAGCTGTGAGACATTCCGGGCTGCGCAGCGCTGATTGGTCAACTCAGCCCACACAGGCAGCACCCCATCGCCACGCAATCACGTTTCTGACTGACTCGACGCGTTGAACCGCTAAACGGACGCGTCAAATATTTCATACGTCACTTGTCATGTCGCCAGACGACATTGCATGACCACCAATTGGAGCCGTCTTGTCAGACTTTGTTTTCTTCACGCTAGCAGGCTGCAGTATTGATTTCAGGGCTCATCCAAACCCAAAGTGCGCAAACAGTATTCATCTCGGGAGATCATCTGTAACTCAAAGAGCGCCGTGCAGTGTGCACCGACCGCGTATCCACTTTTCTTCCCGTAGGCATTGGCAGTGACAAACAAGTGGTGTATTTTCATCAAGATTTTGCATTGCCGATGTAAACATGCGGCCTCGAATGTATCTACATACACCGAAAATGACATAGAAACATCACGAGAATCGTGACTTGAGTCACCCCACAGTCCTACAGGCAGACGTGCAAAGACGACACCCAAGTCGGTACTGTGGACTCAATGCGGACCAGACTGTAGCCAGCCTGCAGGTAGCAGCATCCATCTCATGTCAATTTAGTCTGAAAACTGCACATTATCAAACATCAAAAGATCCTTTGGTTCCAAATAGATAGCACCATTCAGTACGTATCAGGAGCTTCATCTCATCTGTCACTCGAATTATGGCAGATCACCTACACGGGGCGCCTCACGATTTGCATAGGCCATGAAAGAATGTATTAACGATCTAGAATTGCATCATTAAGACAATGTGTAGATGACATCGCTGATTACGGAATGTGACAATAGGTAGGCTTAGGAGGTAAAGACGCGATACAGCAAGATCACGGTGCACTGGTGCGCAAGGAGCTTACATCATCAAGAGCATATTGGAGCGGCAACGTAGGATATAGAACGAAACTTGAATTTGCTCGAACGAGTTGAAAGCTAGAAAACTATGTACATAAATGTCTTCACATCAGCGTCGTTGGTAAAAAACCCTACTCTAATGAACCATACTCTTTCCAATCTCACTTTCCCAGTTGTGCGCCCTCTCAAAACCGTTAGAATGTGTTTGGTAGTCAGTCATGGCCTGAATGACCTCGTCTCTCGATGTCACAACGAAAGGTCCATACTGTACAATGGGCTGGTCAAGCGGCAGGCCAGCGACAAGAATGAATCTCGACTCTTTCTCTGCGCCCTCTTCGACCGAAGCTTCGATGCTGTCACCGTCCGACTCAAAAACAACATTGTGGTACTGCTCAATCGGTCGCGACTCGCCGCCAGAAGAGAATATTGTGGTGCCGTTCAACAGGTACGCGAAGGCATTCCAGCCCTTGGGCAAAGACTGCTTGACGGTACCGCCGGGCTGGACTGTGAAGTCCAGAAGCCAGACGGGTGTGTACGCCAGTTCCTTCAGAGACTCTACACCATAGGCTTGACCAGAGATAACCTTCGCCGTGACTTTGCCGTCTTCTGATGTGGCCTGAGGGATCTCCTTGGCTCGCAGATCGCGGTACCTCGGTTCGCAGGACTTGAGTTCCTTGGGCAGATCGACCCAGAGCTGCATTCCTACGTTCGCGTCGCCGTTCTCGTTCTGTCTCGGCATCTCGGCGTGCACGATTCCTTTCCCTGCAGTCATGAATTGCAAATCGCCTGTCTCGATTGTGCCCTTGTTGCCTGCGAAGTCCTCATGGTCCACAGCACCAGATAGCAGATATGTGATAGTCTCTTGTCCACGGTGAGGGTGGTCGGGGAAACCAGCGCCAGGGGGGATGCTGAAATGATCGAGCATAAGGAAGGGCGAGAAGTTGCGGAGTTTGGGTGTGCCAACAGAGCGGCGGACGCGCGCGCCAGCGCCTTCAGACTGCTCGATCGCAAGGAAGGACTTGGCGATCTTGCGGGGTGCTGTGGTGCTGAATTGCTCGTCTGGGATGACGGGCAGGCCGCGGAACATATTGGAAGCCATGTCTGTAGAGGTAGTTGTGAAGTTGCGTGTAGGTGTGAAGTGCTTGGTTAAGCTGGTGAAGCGTGCTAGCATATATGGGTTGTTGTAAATTGCTGTAGCAATTGCGAGGATGGCGAAAAAGATAGAGGAGAGGACCTTCATCAGTCAAATGGAAGGGCTATATACGACAAAGCTCGAGAATCTTCGAGGTGGGCTTTAAAGAGACTCATGACCTGTGCTTGGTAAATATTTAGGAAGCAGCACATCAGGGCTGTAGGGCTTAGCGTACTTTCTGCTTTGTCAAGCTGAGCAAAGCAGATGAAATGCGATGAGATGTGGGGCACGTGGGGCATGCGGAGTGGCGGAAGGCGCAACAGCCAATAGCCGCGGACATGATTCCGCACACAAAGTTCACTGCTGTCGGAGTTGTTTTAGTACGTCACGTCTCGGATATCACAACAGCCGTGGAATGTACTCTCATTTGGAAATTTGTCAGCTACGAAATAATGATGTGATGAACACCTGCAAATTGAGAATCTCGGTGCATATCTCAACGAACAACGTGTGAGGCAGAAGGTATTGATCCTTTCAGGTACACAATTAGACCTGCTCACGCCTGAGCGTATCGCGCTTCTCGTCGTCACTACTGCCTCCGTCACTGTCCATCCTGATGGCTGTAGTATCGCCCGAGAATTGGTCGACATTCGTCTTCGCAAACCTCCTTGCGGACACCTTGTTCTCGAACAAGACGTCCAGCTCGGCAAACGTCCGATCCTTTGTCTCGGGCAACATGAACCACATGAAGGTAATGAGCAGGGCAGTAAGTCCAGCATAGAAGAACCCGGTCATACCGGCCCAGTTCCATTCTGTGGGCGAGAGCATACGTGGAACGACGATGTTGTTAAAGATACTGCCCTAGCAGAATGTGAGTACGCCATTTTCACCATCTTGCGGATTCAGAAGAAACTTACCAGGTTGTATACATTGCGTGCGAGAACCACAGTCTTGATCTTCAAACGTGTTGAAGACATTTCCGCAACGAGAGCATAGCACACAGGTCCAACTGTAAAGTTGTAGAAGAGCGTGTAGACCAGCAAGATGCTTCCCAGAGCCCATGCTGCACCAGTGTTTTCGCGGGAAATAACACCGAGACCTCCGATGACCATAAGGAAGCCAAAAAGGATGACCAGGCCATAGATGTACAGCGTTCGACGTCCAATGCGGCGCATGAGGAACCACGAGCCGATGGTCCCAATGAAACCAAGGCAGTACTGTCCGATGTTTAGGTTGAGAGCACCTTCTTCATTGAGTCCGGATTCGCGATATATCTGTACCGAGTATCCCATCATCGCAGCACCGCACAGCGCTTGCGTAAGCCAGACGACACAAGCGATGACAGTTCGTCGCTTTTCAACACCTTTAAAGCAATCGAGATAATTGACGCCCTCATTCATTGCTTGTTCGAGGTCATTCGTATGCCTAATCAAGGCAAGAGCATGATCTGGATCGAATCGGACGTCAGGCTGTGGGGTTGTGGCTTTCACAAGAGAGGCCCTCGCTTCCTCGTAGCGGCCCTTACGGACAAGCCACCAGGGTGACTCGGGGGCCATGTAAGCCCCGAGAAAGATGAAAGGAACCCAGACCCACTGAATGGCGACCGGAATGCGCCAGCCCCAGTCGTTACCAAGCGTTTGGCAGCCGCGGAGTGCGCCTGCAGCTACTAACTGGCCCATGACCCAGCATAGATTGATGTATGTCGTCAGATAAGGGCGAATGGTTGCGGGCGTGATATCCGAGGCGTAGGTGACAGTAAGAGTTTGGAAAATTCCCCAGGGCAGTCCGAGCAGTACAGAACCAGCCACGACCATGCCGATGCTCTGAGCGAAGAAGTGGAGGAAGTTGAACAAAATCGATGCAAAGACTGCTCCATACATGGTCTTCTTGTACCCGTACCATTCTGAGATATAACCATTGGCCCAAAGACCAATGATAGAGCCTGCTTGGACACCATTTTGGATGCCGGCTTGCCAGGCGGCTGAAATCCTCGGGCTGCCGTCTGCATCCAGCTCTGTGCCGAAGCGCTGACGGAACTGATCGTATCCTAGGAACGAGCCCATTGCGGCAAGATCATACCTAGAGGATGATTAAAAGGACTCTGAGGACGGGAATGGTCAACTCACCCTTCCATCACTACCGCCAAGGACATGATCATACTAAAGATAATTGCAGGTTTGTATAGGCGGATAGCCTGTCGAACAGTCATAGACTTCTCTGCATCGGTGGCAAGCCTCGCAGCCTCCTGTTGTTGCCCCATGTTGGAGCGGACAACACTGAGCCGTCGCATGGCCTCGTCGTTGACACGAACCGTGCCATCATTGACATGGTCGTGTGCGACTACTGAAGATAGTCGTCTTTTTTCTTCAGACATGGTGTTCGATAAGATTAAATTGTAAGTGTAGGTGCAGAGTTCATCCAAAATTGGTCGTGCGTGCAACAGCAAGAGTCGCAACACCGGATGCAGGCCTGACTATATACTTCAGACATCTCATATAGAGAAAGGCTCATTGCCACCTACGGAGGCCAATGCCTGGCTTGACCTCATGGATGGTTGCGGCACACTTGTGTCCAAGAGCCGAGAGCTTGAGCGGGTTACCATAACCACAACGTGAGCCAAGGTAGGTCGACAAGAGCACCGGATGTGCCACCCCGCGAAATTGAGCCTCAAGAAGCTACCAAGCTCGGACGCCAAGGGCTAGTCGAATCTGGGGATCTGGCGATGGCAAGTGCAGCCGCATACAAAACAAAGAACCTGGTCCCATTATACGGATACTACGCTCGAAAGTGGTTAAAGAGAGGCCTAGAGACCATGCAGCCCAGTTTGGAGCAAATCATAGACGTGATCCGACCGGATGCAGGAGAAGGCTAAACACGTGGTGAATCTGGGGTAAACACACAGCTGGTCCTTGCATTGCTTGTTGTTCGGATGTCGGCTCGGATATGACGATGCCCAGGAAAATTACGCGCTGTTTTATGGTGGCGGAACTTGTGCAGAACGACAGTTCAACAACTTGTGTAAAACCGACCCTCTGGATCGAAGTCCGGTGTGATCTTCGCGTTGGCACAGATAACTGCATTCTTGAGTGTTCGCTAATCTTCTTGGCCATGAGATGACCTCGAGTCGTCCGCTTGCAGCTCAACTACATTCCTGCGCTGTAAGCAATAGCTCCAAGTATATACTAAAGCCCGATTCAGCCAGAAAACAAACACCATACGGAGCTGCAATGGTAACAGATAGCCTACACATGCGGACGGCGCTAGTCGGAACTGGCGGCGTGTTGGTCGCGTGACAGTGAAAGACAGTGCGCTACTTTGAGCTGGGCACGAAGGACCGGAAGTTTGCAATTGACCGCCTCATTTCGGAAACCTAGAGCTTCTACATGCGAGAACAGATGGTACATACTAGCTAGCACACATCTTTCACCTTGCACGAAGCCCGGGATCTGGTATCGTGAACAACACAATTTCAAGTGTGGGGCTTGGAGGTATAGATTTCTCTCGTCGGCATCGTATAACTCCCCATCCGCACCTTGCTCTTATCAATACGCATTGCGCGATGGGTAGTTGAGCTGGAGACAGATAGTGTGGGTTGGCGGTGCACGGAAGGTGCTACCAATCCAACACATTGACTACCTCACCTATGCATCACACAGTCCTCAAACCTGAGTGGTGTCCGTTCTCATACCTACCAACCCATTGACTCTTCATTCTTAATCAGCGATAATAATGCCGGGGACAGGTTATGCACCAATCTTCCCGCGGTCAGAAATCGTCACATAGGATAGGTGTAGGCGCTGGTGTTTGCACACAGTGGAAGAAGAGAAACTAGGTCAGCTGGTTGCTGTGAAGTGACTGACGGTGTTAAATTGTCACCTGTGACGTAGTTGGTGGAAGTTGAATATGCAGCTTTGTAATGTAATACTGTCTGAGCATGTCTCAGACGACCCTCGCCCAAGCCTCATCCTCCTTTCAAACCCCTTACTTACAAGCTGGACCACTCTTCATAACCACGAAGAAATAACGGCAGACAATGCAACTTGGTCGACAACGGTGTTCTGCTCGGTGATTGAGCAATACAAGTCGCCATTCCAAGGTATATTGCGCCTTCAAGACTGTGGTTGAGAAGCCAAGAATATTAACAAGAAGAAAGGGATTCAATCTGGAAATTGCACAACCAAATGTTGCAATGGGCTTTGAAGATCCTCTTCCACGGAAAACCCCCAGATCAATCGACAATGTGGTGCACGGGACCCGCCAGTCTTCGTTGAACCTCGGACCAAGAGGCCATTCTCCTCTTCTCAAAAGCCCAAAGTGTATCTTTGACGGCATGCGTCCAAATCCAATTGTCGCAGAGGATGAGATCGTCGTCGTCGCCGTAGAAGCTAGTTGGGACATCTACTTCCCAGATTCTGACTGCGTCGTCGTCAGCCCAGTCTCGGGTGTCTTTTGGGGTTCGGTGGTTCGAGTTGACATCTACCAGGACAACATCTAGGCTCCGTCCCTTGTATGTGGTGAAGAGGCTGTTGATATCTGTTGCGCTTAACTCCACTGGTCGTAGTAGGACCAGCGTGTGCAAGGTGGATACAGAGAAGCAGAATCTCATCGCTAGATCGTGGAGATCTTGTATCGTAATAGCCAGCCTCTTCAAATTTGGTGGTGGGTAACGAAAGTAATCGAGCACATCGTAGCTTGCGACTAGCTCTTCTAGATTCGACATGCCCAGGAATATGTCCGTTCCCCTTCGGGAAAGTCTGACGTTCTCAACCTCGCTTTGTGTCGAATAGACAGGCTGCATGTCTAGCATCAGCCTTTTGAGGGTCGGGCCTATGTGGTTGCAAAGATCCAGGATTTGTGGGAGCCGAACCATAGGGGTGTGTCGAGCGCTTCCCGGTTCCTCGTTCGGCATTTCCATTGGTGATATAAACACAGAGGCGATTGACTGGGTAATCTTGGAAGTATGCCACAGCTCATCAAGGCGTCCAGCCTGCCCATAGGCAAGTGATTGAGGATGGTTGCCACCAAGGTCGAGTCCCATCGTTCTTCTAAAGCATGCATAGCTCATACAATCTCTCAAGTAGAGGCAGTGACGATATAGGTATCTTGATGCAATTGTATACATTGAGCGTGAAGTGAGAGAGAGTGCTCGCAAAGTCTTCGTAATGAGGCTTGAAGGATCGAATATAGGGTGTTCTTCATGGGAAGATCCAACGAGCTGATCAAGGACGTTGAGTATGATCTCCAGCGGTAATCTGACATGCATCGCCATTGCTGTATACATGCAAAATCTGAGTATGTTTACAACTGAGATATTGACTTATGAGGTTTGGTGAAGGTGGAGAAACACTTCAACAGCAAGAATAACCGACGATGACTTACGTCACAGGCGCTAGCGTAGGCACTATACTGTAGGTAGCCACCACTATGGTCCTACACTCTTGCTTAACACGACTAGACAAAGCAATACAAAAGTGCGCCTTGCAGGTGTGTCTGGACATGGAGATTGCCAGAGGGAGAAACGAAGGTTCTTTCACATCTGGTGCAGGCGCCCACCACCCCGGACATACTACACTGTTACGAATGATAGAAAGGCAATTGATATAGTGTGGCTTGAAATGAGTTCATATGCTGCTCTTATTAAAAATTGTATCTTACAGTATGTGTAGTTAGTATGTATGCGTCCAGCAGGGCTATGCAAAACCGCAAATGAACTTTTCAGATCGAACATCAAGCCTTGACCTCCTTGTCGTCCCCAGTTGCTGGTGGCGCATCGCCCTTCTCCGTATCCAGCGGCAAACTCGCCTTACTCTGGCCCTTGCTAGCTCTCTTCAACCTCTTTGCCTCCTTCTCCGCCTCCCTCTCTGCTCTCCTTTCCTTCTCGATATCCAAACCGGTCTTCGTCTCCTCGTGATGCTTGTCCAATACATTGACTCCAATGAGTAGGGAAATCAGCAATCCGAGTGCGCCAAACACGGCATAAAGAATCCACATCTTGCTTAAGCTGTTTGCGAACGCGTCTCGCGCAATGGCCCTTTGCGGACCAGGGAGTGAATTAATAAGGCCGACATTCGCGCCTGCCGCGCCGCCACCAAAAGACGATGCGGTCTGATCGCCGAGAGAGGCACGCAGGTTCCCTTGCTGCGCTTTCATTTCATTTTGGAAGATCACGGAGCCGACGACGACTGAGATGGCCGAGCCAAGGTTGCGTGTGAAACCGAAGGTCGCTGTTGCTGTTGCAATGTCGCGTTTCTATCAATAAGTTAGCACATTGATATATTCAGATACCGATGACTTTGTTTGGGTCGGCACTAGCCCGTACTCGGAGTTGCACGCCAAAGTAAGGAGAGTCTGCCCCGCTGAAATCTGGATGTGGGGGTACTTACAGGGACGAGACTCTGCATGGCGATAAGAGGAGCTTGGAAGTTTGGTCCTACACCGATACCGGCAATAGCCTGGTAAATGATGATCTTCGCCCAACCCGAGTGCACTCCAAGGTCGATGAACAGTCCCGTACCAAGGGTCATCATGAACATGCCGAACCAAATAATGGGGCGATACTGGCCAGTCTTTCTAATCGTGATACCCGTCATAATCGAAAAAATGGAAAGAGCAATTGCAGTCGGAAGCAAGTAAACACCAGAAAGAATTGGCGTAGCACCAAGAACAGCCTGGAAGTACAGAGGCAAGAAGTAGTTGCCCGGAATGAAAACGAAGGCGTGACAGAAGCAGGTCCCGAGAGCAGCAACGTTCGAGCGCTTCGAGAAGATGCTCAGTGGCATAAGCGGGTAAGGTGCCAGTCGAGACTCGATCACGAAGAAAAGGCCAATAGTGACTGCACCAAAGATGATGAGACAGAGCACGATTGGCGAGTCCCATGGATGCGCAATACCACCATATTCTAGGCCAAGAAGAACCATGATGGTCCCTGAGACCATGGTCAAAGAACCAAGCCAGTCAACGGCTTTGAGGCCCTTGCGCAGGGGCGTCTTCGGCGTGTGGATGTCAAGGAAAAAGATAAGGATGATGAAAGCCAGGCCATCGAATGGTAGGTTAATCCAAAAACACCATCTGCGAGGGTCAGTACATTTCCGTGAGGTCCTTCGGAGCCAAGACTAACCTCCAATTAACCTTCTGCGTAAACAAACCTCCAACGATAGGTCCGAGACTGCTGGCAAGCGCCCATACACCTCCAATGATACCAAAGTATGCACCTCGATCGCGCATGGCGAACAGATCAGATATGGCAATGTTTACCAGCACAATGAGTCCTCCACCACCCATGCCTTGAACCACACGGGCTCCAATCAACATGTTCATGTTGACCGAGAGTGCGGCGATCAAGGAGCCGATGAAAAATATAGCATTGGTGATTAACAGACATGGCTTGCGACCGAAGATATCTGAGACCTTGCCCCAGATTGGAGTGGCGGCAGAGTTTGCGATGAGGTAGGCTGAACCAACCCATGTGTATCCAGATGCAGAGTTGAACTCTTCGGCAATGGTAGGCAGCGCAGTGGTAACAATCGTGATGTCGAGTGCGACAAGAAGTACGGCGATGGCGAGCGAGAACATGATCAGACTGATCTTCGCCTTGCTGCGCTGTGGCCGCTCCTCTTCTTGCGCTGCAGGCGCGGCAGGCGTGTCGGCGGCGACATCGTCCTCTTTGCTAGATGCGACCTCCTCTTTATTCTCATCCAATGTGCGCAGTGTGCTTTCTCCTCCTCCTCCTTCTCCTCCTGTCAGGGTGCGATTGCTTTGCGATGATGTCGGCGAATCGGTGGCGTCGTGACGTGCAAGGGTTGAGTCCGCGGTCAAGTCCGCTGTGTTCTGTGTTGAGCGCCCAGGCTTGTCGGTGTCGGTGGATAGGTCCATTATGTAGTCTCAGTCATGCGGGTGAGATCAGGAGAATGTAAGAGGAGAGCCGCTGCATGACAGTCGGCTCGGTAGAGCCTGCAAAATTACAATCGAGCAATAATCGCAATTGAGATCGCGCTTTGCGATCGGAGCTTGCGTACCTACCGACGCAGGGTTTAGCAGCCGCAGCGGCCTAGAACGATGCTTATTTCCGGAGATCATCGTGGGTGTGCTTTAAAACCTCAAATATCGTCAATTGGTGGGCAAAACATGTCAAGTCTTATAACGTTGTAAGATGCGCATTGCATAGGTTACACAGGTGCATGTACGTATGTACAAGCTCGCGCTGCACGTCTCACTCGGCAAACAATAGACCGTGACGCCGTGAAGTCCAGGGTGACAGGTTGCATGTGTCTTCGAGAAGGCGTAACGCAAAGTCACGAGCAATTTCAGTCTCGAGATTTGCCAAAAGAGAATGGATAGGAGGAACTCAGTAACATGATGCCCTCGAAAAGTATTTTGAGGCCCTCAATCTTTCTATCAATTTCCTGTTCTATCTCGCATGTGCGTGAGACCGGATCAAGGCATCATGGCCCACCTTTCAACAATGCAAGAGCGGGCATGATTGAACCGCCCCTTGTCCATAGAAACGATAGTGTTGTTCATCGAGAAGGTCTGGGGCGAGTATCAAGAAGTGGAGCGGCGATAGTGAGAGTGCTGTAGACCTATCGGGATGCCTGTTCAGGGAGCAGACTCAACACCAAGTCATCGGTTAGAAGTGCTTGTCTGCAACATATGTCATTTGTAGGTCAGTCAGCACCGAGAACAGGCTGTTTCATCGGCTACAGCTTCCGCAGGGAGCCAGACACGAGGAGCAATGCACAGTGCACCGAGTATTGCATATGCTGAAATCAGCAACTGCAACTCTGGATCGAACGAGCTGAGTTGCATACACAAAGGAGTACTTTGGGGCTGTTGAACCCCTTGTCCCCACTGCACTACGCGTAGGCTGTTCTAGCGGTGCTTCTAGTGTCAGCTCTGCAGCAGAGATGGGCAGGGCTTGGTGGACAGACGGGGTACACAGTCACCAACGAGTGGCTTGGAGGTGTCGATAACAATGATGGCGACTGCCTCCAACCACCTAGCGGTGCGCCGGTTTCGTCATACGAGGGACTGATCGAGATGAAGCGACGGGCAGACGGGCAGTCTCCACATGTTCCCCCAGCGCCTGGCGTCCACAGATGTGGAGAGAGCATCGGCAGCCGGAGCGGCGACAGCTGAGAACGGCCACGGTGGCTTTCGTCATGCCACGAGTGGATGGTGTATGGTGTTGAGAGACTAAGCTGCAAGGCTAGGCTATCGCGCAGCGCCCGAGCAGCGAGTGCAGCGAGTGCAGCGCGGCACCGCGGCGACGGATCCAAGGCACTCTGGAAACGTTATCAGCCGCCTGCGCGTCCTTGTTTGGACCAGCAGCGTCTGATTGCAGCAGCCCCTCACTTCCCCGCCTGCAACCCTGACTGCGCGCGAATGCTGCGATCTGTCGGGCTTGGGCTGCGACTTGTTCCGCAAGGCTCCTGGCGGCCACGCAGGCTGACGGTCCAGGCTCTGCGTTTTCGTTGGCATGCACAGCCGATCATCCGAGACGCAGCCGAACCGAGCTGACACGGCGGCGCAAGCAGGCCGGCAGCGCAGTCGCCGTCGCAGTCGCAGCGGGCCTGCGACGCAGCACCGCACCAAGCTGGCTGCTCGAGCGCTGGAGCGCTGGCGCTGGGCTGGAGCCGAGTGCTGGGAGTTGCGGGTCGTTGCTCGCACGCAGCTAGCAGTGGGCCGCGTGCCTATCACGGCGCGCTGCGTTCCATGGGGCGCAGAGGCCCACGCTCGACGAAAGCATGCATCGGCGGCGCCCTGAACTTTACCGTCGAGGCATTTTGCTTGGCCTAGCGCACTCACTAGGCCCCGTCTCGCCGCCAATTCGTCTCCCCAACGCCTCCAACGTGCAAACTCATTCTCCCTTCCATTGCACCCCCACGCGCGCCCGCAGCTCGTCTTGCACCTGCACGTTAACGGCGCCGACCCGCACGCTGCCCTGCCCTTGCATCGCCCCCCATATTTGCATGTCGACCACCACAACAGCCCCCGCGCCTGCTTGACCACCATAAGACCGCACACACGCATACGCATGTCGACACCGGCCAGCCGGAGGAACACCGCGGAGGGCGTCTTGGAACCGGACATCACCTCGTCACACTCGCTGTGACTGCTACTGAGGCATTGAGCCCGCGCACCCGCGCACCACCGCACCACGCCATGACCGAAGTCCTGCACACGCCGCGCGAGGGCTCGCCGTTCGGCGGCCCTGCCATGGCACGCACCACCTCGTCGAACAACCTGTACAGCGCCCTGGCCTCGCCGCGGCGGAACCACTTCTCGCTCAACGACCTGCGCGTGCAGGCCGAGCCGTCCGAGTCGTCTCGCGCCTCGTCCCTGCACTCCGAGTCCTCCAGCAGCCTGTCGCTGGACACCAGGCTCGACGAGTCGAGCAGCGAAGACGACGCCCTCGCCTTCCCCGACTACAGCAAGAGTCGGCGGAGCTACGGCACCGCCACCGACGCCTACGAGCACGACGACTCGCCGAGCATCAAGATCAGCGGCGAGCAATTACCGCCGTTCGAGCGCCCCACAGCCGTCGAAGATCCGTTTTCATCCGACACGCCCTTGACGACACCAGACCCAGTGCCCGTCTCCGAGGACGACACCGCCGTGCGAAAGGAGCCGTCGCATCACGTGGACTATCTGTCTTACGTGTGGAGAGAAGAGGACATCTGGTCCTCGTGGCGACACATCGTCGAGCACCGGAGCGTTTACGGCGAACGCTCCAGGCTCGAGAATGCCTCGTGGCGGACGTGGGCCAAGTCGCAATTCAAATTAAAGACGGTGTCGCCCGAAACACTTAATTGGTGAGTTCCAAGCTTTTTGTGATCGGCACCCCTGTCTTTCTCTAGCGTCGATCATCCCCATCCGTGCACAGCTGTCCAAGTTTCGCGTCGGAATCGAAAGCTAATTACCCCCTCAGGCTCAAAGACGTCGACGTAACATGGCTGTACGGGCCCATGCAGCCTGCATGCAACAGATTTGCCTCGCAGCAGAATTCGGAGCCCGTCAGCCGCTTGTCCAAGAGCAGTTCCTTCCTGGGCAATGTGAGGAAGCCAATCCTTAAGAAACGCAGCATGTCGGAGGCAATGCTGCAGAAGTCCCTGTCGTCGTCATCACTGGTGGCCGAGGCCGCAGAGATGGCTCAGCAACAGCGTGCTCCGGCCGCTGTGTCACTTGAGCGCCGGAAACCCCGACCAATCATCGGCCGCAAAACCTCCGATTTCCCCACCGCCTCGTCATTAATGTCAAGGACCACGAGTCGGGAACCCACAGATTATTTCACCTCAAGATCCACATCAGGCCTCCACACGCCGTATGATGGCGAGAAGAAGCACATTCGGTTCGACGACAATGTCGAGCAGTGCATCGCAATTGAGACAAAAGACGGAGACGAGGATGAAGATGACTTCAACCACAACCCCTGGGCATCGCAGAATGACGAAGATTCGTCGTCCGATGAGGGGGTCGTCATGATGAAGCGTTCTCGGAAGAACAGAAGGAAGCCGCTATCAAGAACCTCGTCAAAGACCAGCATAAGCAGCAGCAAGATTGGGAACAAGACGATTGAAAAGCTGCCGTCCACGACATTAAAGTATCGAACGGACTCTCCAGACGTTAGCGAGCAGCAACAGTCTCATTCATTGGGATTCTGGAGATCGAGCAGGTTGTCACCCTCGCCATCCCAAGAAACCCTTCGACCATCGCATCCGTCGTCAAACTTCCTTCTCCCCGATGATGAGGACGACGAAGAGGGTTTCAATCCGTCGGGGGCGTTTGCCGTTCAGCGTACAGCCACACCAACCACGTCGGACCTATACTCGCAACGAAACAAGCACCTCGGCATCGCCTCTGAATCAGGTGGTTTACGGAGGACAGCGTCGGGCATGATTGCACCCTTCGAAGACGCCGATGACGAGCCTCAACGTGGAGGCATACTAGGCAGCGTTGTAGATACAGTGAATACCGCAAGAGACATAGCACACGTGATTTGGAACGTGGGGTGGAAGAATTAAGAGACCGGGATGTAGATGAGGAATGGGAGGTCATCACTAGCGACAGGCGTTCTCGGCTTCCTTCTACTGTAGCATTCTTTAGGATACGGTTCTGTACGGGTACATGCATACGAGGTCTAGGTGGAATGGTCTGGCGGTGTACATTTTGAATTTTAGACAGCGCTCCAAGGCCCGTAGCTGAGGGGTTTGCATGCATTGGCACGGACTATGGATATAGTTTCGGCTCGCGCAATAATACAAGTTACAAGCACTCCTCCAATAGTTCACAATGCGGTGAGCGACACGTCACAACCGTGGTTTGACAATGTCACCAGGCTAAATGAATGGAACCGTGGTTAACTTTGGTCCAACAGGCGACAGCTGACAACCGATCTCCCAACAAGGTCATCACCATGCGCGATTACCCCGGGTTTGAAATGTGGAGACGCCACCCTAGGGTTTCCAAGGTTGCCTGATGTCACGTGCTCGATAGGCATTGGATGGTCCGGTCCTGGACGAAAGGCGTGCTGGTCACTCGGCAGCATGTGTGTAAGATGTGGCTGCACGTTTCTTCGGCTGCATTGCAGAGGCCGAGCAGTCCATGTACCGCACCATTATCGGAGCTGCGCGACCAGCCTCGCTTCCAGATATGTGTTGATCTTCACGATCATCGCGCGCATCGCTTACATACAAACGGCGTGCACACAAGATGAAGAACACCCCTCATAGTTTGGCCAGAAGCCTGTGAAGCAGTGTTAGAGCCAGATATTCGATAATGCAGTCTGTGGGCTCGGCCACGACTGCACACTGGACACTGCTCTCGGAGCAATTCCTGGGAACGAACAACTGTCTCGGTGCTACGGCTGCGGACAAAGAGCTCCTCATCCTAGCGAGCGCCTAGCGCCGACAGCTTGTGCTGCGGGGACTGCAAGGAGGCTGCAGTCGAAGTGAGCGCGGTTTGGAAGAAGGGTGGAGCTAGAAACACCATGTGAAGCTACGTCGTGTCTGAGAGCTCTTGTTTCACTTGAGCAGCTATAGAAGTGAAAGGCCAAGTGTTCGCTCTTCTCGAATAATCTATGAACCGTGGAGGCTTCAGATCCTCGGGAGTGCAGGGGTAGCGCGAAACAGCCAATGAGCTTCTAAGATCCAAGTTGACACGTTCACGTTCAGAGCTTCCACCCGCATTTATTTATCAACGCCGCGTCCCAGCTTGCGCCTCTTCCATTACTCACCTCTCAACCCTCTACCTAAGACCTCTGCCCTTTCCCGACAGCAGGCAATAATAATGCGCTTCTCAATTGGAGCTACCGCTGCGCTCGCCGCCGCCGTTGTGCGCGCCGAAGAGCCCGCCGCCGAGGCGCCTTCGTCGGCTTCCGTCGCGAAGCCTACCTTCACCGTATGTGGTTTCCGCGGCTCCCGGTGACTTTGCGTGCTAACAACTGTCACAGCCCACCACACTCAAGGCTCCCTTCCTCGAGCAGTTCACAGACGACTGGGAAACCCGATGGAAGGCCTCCCACGCAAAGAAGGACGTCAAGGCTGATGATGAGGAGTGGGCGTACGTCGGTACCTGGGCCGTTGAGGAGCCTACTGTTCTGAAGGGCGTTGAGGGCGACAAGGGTCTTGTTGTCAAGGACAAGGCTGCTCACCACGCCATCTCCGCGAAGTTCCCCAAGGCGATCGACAACAAGGACAACACCCTGGTTGTCCAGTACGAGGTCAAGCTCCAGAGTAAGTCCAACGAACCGTGCTCGCGCGCAAACAGTAACTAACCACCTGATAGACGGCCTCGAGTGCGGTGGTGCCTACTTGAAGCTCCTGAAGGAGGAGGCAGCTCTTCACGCCGAGGAGTTCTCCAACGCCTCTCCCTACGTGATCATGTTTGGTCCCGACAAGTGCGGTGCTACCAACAAGGTACGGCACTCCGCCTAATTGTACACTTCCCCGCTAACAACCACAGGTTCACTTCATCTTCAAGCACAAGAACCCCAAGACCGGCGAGTACGAGGAGAAGCACCTTACAAACCCCCCGATGGCTCGCATCGTCAAGACCTCCACCCTCTACACTCTGATCGTCAAGCCTGACCAGAGCTTCGAGATCAAGATCGACGGCGAGTCCACTCGCAACGGTACCCTCCTCGAGGACTTTACCCCCTCGGTCAACCCCGAGGCCGAGATCGACGACGAGGACGACAAGAAGCCAGAGGACTGGGTTGACGAGTCCCGCATCGCTGATCCCGAGGCCTCCAAGCCTGAGGACTGGGATGAGGACGCTCCTTTCGAGATCGTTGATGAGACCGCTGAGAAGCCCGAGGACTGGCTCGAGGATGAGCCCACCACCATCCCCGACCCCGAGGCCGTCAAGCCCGAGGACTGGGATGATGAGGAGGACGGTGACTGGGTCGCCCCGACTGTCCCCAACCCCAAGTGTGACGAGGTCTCTGGCTGCGGCAAGTGGGAATCCCCAATGATCAAGAACCCTGCCTACAAGGGCAAGTGGACCGCCCCCTACATTGACAACCCTGCCTACAAGGGCGTCTGGGCCCCTCGCAAGATCGCCAACCCCAACTACTTCGAGGACAAGTCACCCGCCAACTTCGAGCCCATCGGCGCCGTTGGTATCGAGCTTTGGTCCATGCAGAACGATATCCTCTTCGACAACCTCTACATTGGTCACTCCGTTGAGGATGCCAAGAAGCTCGAGGAGGAGACCTTCGTTCCCAAGAAGGCTGCTGAGAAGGCCGAGGAGGAGGCCACCGCCCCCAAGCCCAAGGAGTCGCCCAAGTCTCCCTCAGACCTCGTTTTCAAGGATGACCCCGCTCTTTACATCAAGGAGAAGCTCAACTTGTTCATTGAGATTGCCAAGAAGGACCCCGTTGAGGCTGTCAAGTTCGTGCCTGAGGTCGCTGGAGGTATCGCCGCTCTCGCCGTCACTTTCCTTGTTCTCCTCGTGTCTCTCTTCGCTGGCTCCAGTGCTGCTCCCTCCAAGGAGCAGATCAAGGCCCAGGCCGACAAGGCAAAGAAGACTGCTGTTGAGGCCAAGGACAAGGCTGCTCAGGCGGTTGCGACTGGCTCGGAGAAGGTTCAGGCTGAGGTCAACAAGCGCCAGACCCGCTCAACTGCCCAGTAGGTAGTAAAAGTGGCTGGAGCGTTTGGGTGGTGAGATAAGTGGACGAAGTCTTTATTTTACAGCGACAAGCCCCAGACAGAGTCGTCTAGGAGGCAATTGATTGGTATCGCGATAGCGATTGGGTTTCATTGTTCACACGTTATATATCGTCCGGGTAAAAAGGCGCAGAGTGTATCATAGCCCGCTGTTTTGGAATGAGGCAATGGAACGGCATTGAACATTTTACCCACATTTGTTTCCTATCGTGAGGTTATGGAGTCCGCCGATTGATGGAGTTGAATGCTCGGAATGAAGGCCGAATTGAGCTCTTGACTTTTAGCGTCTAAGGCGTTTACCTATCATCGGTCGCAGTTCTCCGCGTCGGCGCAAGGGTGCGGCTTGAGCTCAACCTCGGAACTGCGGGGATCGATCTCCACATCTATCGTCAGTCACGAAGGGCAGGTCGGAGCCGCTTCCTTCTAAAGCCGCGAACAGCCTATTGCATCGTGGTCACTCGCCTGCTCCGAGCCTTCTAAAAGTAGCCGGGCCCTTTTCTGGCGGTCAATTGAGCTTCTACCTATCCTCGCTGTCCTCCCTCTGTCGGTTTAGCGGTAATATGGCCTCCCGTCGAGCTATCGCGCGCATACCGGCGTTGGCCGCTCGCTCCTCTCTCCACCGCGCAGCCCCCCTTTGCACCAGAATGTCGTCTCCAGTGAGCGCCAACAAGGTCGCTGCCAGGCGGCTGCATGCTACAGCACAGCACTTGAAGCCTGTGGGTGTTGCTGCTGCGGAGAACTACCCGACCAGCCACGAGCAGATCAAGTCGCCTGAGGACACGCCGAACTTCCTGGACAACAAGTTCGTCGCCTCCAAAGCGACCAAATGGATTGACCTGCACGACCCTGCCACCAACAACCTGGTGACCAGAGTCCCCCAGAGCACCGATGAGGAGCTCAAGGCCGCGGTCGACAGCGCCGAGAAGGCGTTCCCGGCGTGGAAGGCGACCAGCTTGCTGCACAGGCAGCAGATCATGTTCAAGTACACACATCTTATTCGTGAGAACTGGGACAGACTGGCTGCCAGCATCACGCTCGAGCAGGGCAAGACCTTTGCTGATGCGCGTGGCGACGTTCTCCGTGGTCTGCAGGTCGCAGAGACATCCTGCGGCATCACCACTCAGATGACCGGCGAGGTTCTCGAGGTGGCCAAGGACATGGAGACTCGCAGCTACAGGGAGCCCTTGGGTGTTGTAGCTGCTATCTGCCCCTTCAGTAGGTATTTGCCTGGCTCGACAGGATTATTTTACTAACGTGCTGTCAGACTTCCCTGCCATGATTCCTCTCTGGACGATCCCCATCGCCGCCGTCACTGGCAACACTGTCGTTATCAAGCCCTCGGAGCGCGACCCCGGTGCGTGCATGATTCTCGCAGAGCTAGCCGAGAAGGCCGGCTTCCCTGCCGGTGTGATCAACATCATCCACGGCTCAGCTAAGACGGTTGACTTCATCCTCGACGAGCCCCGCATCAAGGCCATCAGCTTTGTCGGCAGCAACAAGGCTGGAGAGTACATCTACTCGCGCGCCTCTGCCAACGGCAAGCGCGTCCAGGCCAACCTGGGTGCTAAGAACCACGCCGCTGTCCTTCCCGACTGCAACAAGAACCACGCTCTGAACGCCATTGCCGGTGCTGCCTTCGGTGCTGCTGGACAGCGATGCATGGCCCTCAGCACTCTTGTCCTGGTCGGCGAGACCAAGGACTGGGTGCCCGAGATCGCTGAGCGTGCAAAGGCGCTCAAGATGGACGGTGGCTTCGAGCCGGATACCGACCTTGGCCCTGTCATCAGCCCCGAGTCCAAGAAGCGCATCGAAGACTTGATCGCCAGCGCTGAGGAGGAGGGCGCCACCATCCTGCTCGACGGCCGTGGCCAGAAGCCTGCGTCTGGCAAGTACGCCAACGGCAACTGGGTCGGTGCTACGATCATTGCCAACGTCAAGCCCCACATGAAGTGCTACACCGAGGAGATCTTTGGCCCGGTGCTGGTCTGCTTGAACGTCGATACTATCGACGAGGCCATCGACATGATCAACAAGAACGAGTACGGCAACGGCACAGCCATCTTCACGCGCTCCGGCGCTACCGCTGGCAAGTTCCAGCGCGAGATCGAGGCCGGCCAGGTTGGTATCAACGTGCCGATCCCCGTGCCTGTAAGTGTGCCCGTGATTCAACGTAGAAAACGACGACTAACAAAGCGCAGTTGCCCATGTTCTCCTTCACCGGCAACAAGAAGTCGATTGCTGGCGGCGGCGCCAACACGTTCTACGGCAAGCCCGGTCTGCAGTTCTACACGCAGCAGAAGACGGTGACAAGTCTGTGGAGGAGCGAGGACGCGATCGCGACCAAGGCGGACGTTGCCATGCCGACACACTCGTAGATGGCATGAGGCACTGGAGGTGGACGGCCAATTTGCATACTTGTATATACCACACGTGGCGTTTTGACTTGGCATTCAAAAGCATCCAGTTAGCTCACCGAACGTTATTTGAGATCATTCCAGGTCACTTGCGATGACTCCACGTCGATGAGATGAATGGCGTGGCAGAATCAGACATGACGAAACGGCGACTCTGGCTGCCTCGTGAAATTGTGAAGTACCTCGCTCGTGCAGCGCGAGACAGGCGCCTTCTGTAACCAGCGGGCCCAGCGCGCTGAAACTCCATGGCACTCCTCATCATGTAGCAGCATGCACGAGCGCCGCACAACACAGCACAACAGTGTGTATACTTGGGTATGTGGCAAGGATGCGATAACAAAAACATGCACTCAAGCCAAGCCACCCACTCTTCTGCTACAAGGCGGCTATGCCGATCCACCGCGACTGGGGATTGCGGTGGGCGGGTATGGGATTCTCAGCGGGGGACTGTGATTGGCACGGGGAGGGGCGGTTGTGGGGCGGCCTGCTTTGGGTGGGGTGCGTCTGCGTTTCAAGCCACGACAGGTTGCTGCTTCGTACCCACGACGGTGCCAAGGGCTGGTCGGCTGCAGTGCGTGGACATGTACATAGATATTCGAGGGTGGTGCCGTCACGGCCAATGGGCTGGGGCAGGATATGGGGGCTGTCGAGACTCTGTTGGCGTGCTGGCAGTGGGCAGACGGGCAGCGTGCAGGCTGGCGGGCAAATTTGGCCGCGGCGTTGCTATGGAACCGTTTGTGGCGGTGGCTGGCGATGTGCTGGCGGGCTGGAGGGCGGGCTGCTGGTTGCGACGCGGATGCAAGCGGATCAGCAGCGCGGTGGCGGAATGGCATCTGGGCAGGCGACAGCGACGACACGCACGCAGCAGCGAGACTGCACAGCGCAGGCCGGGGGCATTGGCAGCGCTCCACCGCGCGGGCGATGGCAGCGTCACTGAACGTCAGCGTCACGGCGCGAGCGTCAGCGTGTGTCGCTGTGTGGACGCGAGGGCGGTGCTCCGGCGCGTTTCAGCAGCTTGCAGCGATCGGGCCTAGCAACTGGCCCAGCGCCGCCGTCCCGTCGCACCGCGCGATTACGCAGCGCGGCCGGGCTCAACACTCGCATTGCGCGGCCTCTGGACGCTGATAATACCGCCGCCGCGCTCGCCCTCGCCGCCGCTGCTCTCGCTCCTCCATCCCCACCCATCACTCGCAGCCGCCCGCGCTGGAATCCGTCGCACACCCCAGCGCCTACCATCACTCTCCATTGCCGCGGAGCCCGCACAGCCCACATCGCACCACGCACCACGCACCACGCACCACGCACCCCAAGCGCTCCACCGGCTCGCTCACCAGCTCCGCCCGACCCACCGCCTGCGCTGCCCGCCGCGTTTCGAGAAAACCGGGACATGTCGGCCGCGATGGATGAGCACGCCAGGCCCGAGCAAGGGCGCGCGCGCGCAAAGTCCAACACGTTCAGCTTCCGCAGCCACACGTCCGACGACGCCCCCAAGAGCACCAAGTCCAAGCACGCCCGCAAGGAGAGCGACAGCGAGCGCCGCAAGACCCACTACGACCCGACCACCAAGGCGAACCCCAACGCCGCCATGAACGAGGCCCAGCCCAGTATGTGATGATGTGCCTGACGCCGTGACCGCCGCTGACCGCGCCAGTCGCCGCCGCGCTCGAGAAGCCCACGCTGCAGTCGCTGCGCTCGTTCCAGCATAGTGATGTCGACGGCAATCCGATCGGTGAGTGGCGCCCGCCCGCCCGTCTACCCTGCTCGCCCACCTGCTAACCCGCCCGTCCAGCCGAGCCCGACCTCTCCAACCCCACGCGCTCGCGCTGGGAGCGCCCGCTCGACACGATCCGCTCGTTCGAGGCCGCCATTGACGGCGAATACCGCCGCCGCGCCTCGCACATGCGCTCCGACCAGACCGACATCATGTCCAGCTACGGCGGGCCCTCGCGCCGCTCCTCGTACTACGGCGGCGGCGGCCCCGACGCCCGCCACTCGTCTGCCAGCTACTACGCGAACCCGCACGCCCGCCCGCCCCGCGACTCCTACGACGCGAGCTACAGCCAGGGCGGCCCCGTCGGCGGGCCTCCCCGCGTCCGCTACGGGAACCGCATGCAGTCCGACCCGGGCTGGGGCAACGGCGCCCGCCCGCAAAACCAGAGCGTCTACGCCCAGCAGCCGCCCAACGCGTACCAGCAGAGCCGCGACACCGTCCACACCAACGGCTCCGGCGGCTCGGCCAGCGACGCCTACGCGACGGACCCCCACAGCGACAATTCGTCGTTCGAGCGCTCCATGCCCGTGCGTCCGCCCCCGGCCGACGACGTGTATGTGCAGCAGGCCGGGTACTTTCCCCAGCAGCAGCAGCAGCCGCAGCAGCCGCAGCAGTACAACGCGGCCCCGCCGCCGCCGCCGCAAAGCGCCAAGCCCCAGCCCAAAGCCGCGCCGATCAAACTCGGCGGCGGCGGCGAGGCAGCGGGCGGCGGCCGCCCGGGCGTGTTGCGCAAGGAGAGCCAGGGCGACGACAAGAGGCGGAGCTGGTTCAAGAGGCGGTTCAGCAAGGACTAAACTCTCTCTGTCTAGCAACTTTCGAGAGAGAGGTGCAGGCGGCGGGCGGCGGGCGGCCACACATGAGCACGATTCTTACGACCTTTTACCACATTCTTGCATTCGGGGCTGGCGTTTCTTCACCCGCGCCTGTCATGGTATTCCTAGCACCCCCCGCGTGACGCACGGCGGGGTGCGCACGCGGTCGGTGTATGATGGCGTTCGGGTGCTTGTTTGGTGCACGCAGCAACGGAGACGATGGGGCGGCCTGTGTAGTGTGTGCTTGCTCCGGCATTGGAGTGCGTTGGAGTGCGTGAGCTTGGATTGATCTGCAAAAGCCGTGTGTAGTAATTTGTAATACAGCGTGGTGTTATTCTTTTGGATACTTGATCTCTATCTACTCTTGTGTGATGGTTGCGTGTGCACATGACTATTCTGCCGTGCACAGTTGTGTCAAACAGGTGCCCCAGCCCTCCGCTTGTCTCAAGGGCAAGTGATACTCGTAATGACGTACTCGTAATGACTATGTTTTTCAATCTTCTACAGTATGCGTTTTCTTTACAGCGCCTTCTTCTCTGCACCGGCTTCCTCGGCCAGTTCCCGCTGGTCGTCCATGAACGCCATCACCACGTACCCGATCAGCACCACGTTGGCCATTAGCGCTGCCAGGCCGCCTGCATAGGTTGCGTTGCCTGAGTGTGGTCAGTCCACCATGGGAGTGAGTAGAGAAAGAAAATATAAACATACCATTAAACACATACGCGTTCGTGAAGAAATACGTCCCGATCGGCAGCGTCACCATGGCAAAGGTAAACGCCATCAGCTTGAAGATGACGCCGCTGGAGAAGTCAGGCGCGCTGAATAGGATATGAGTATGAGGACGAATTGGAATATGACATGGGTTGGGTGGTGTTGCTCGTCGACCATCATGCAACACCGACCATGTCGACTATGCAGGCAGACACAACGGCACTGGGAGACTCACGAGGGCACGGCTGGCGCTGTGTTGGACGGGCCTGGCGGGCCCCGGCCATCGTCTGCGCTGATCGACGAGCTGTTGACGGGTCTTCTTGTCGTCATGATGGGCGTGTGGTGGTTTGGATGCGAGTCCACTCCAATGCGATTTCACGTGGAGCCGTAGACGTACGTGTCGCACGGGCCCATCTTGACGCAACGGCAGCTTTCAGCGCTAGCCGTGCGACGCTCGACGCTAGCATCGAGCGCTAGTACCGAACGGCATCACTTAACGCGCTCTGCCGAAAAGCGCGTCTGGGGTCGGGCACGAGAACTCGGTTGACTTTTTGGTTCCTAAGGCTCGCTGTGTCGTTTTCCATACTGTTGGACTGTGGTTGCTGCATGGCTTATACGTCTGCCGCTTTGTCCGCCCTTTCACGACCCTGTTGTTAATCGCCGTCTCTTTATTCCTGCGCCTGTCGTTGCGGCGGCGAACCTCGTCAACTTCACCTCTCGATCTCACCCTCTCGACTTCACAACCCGCCTCGACGCGACCATGTACCCCGAGGATCCCATAATGTCGTCGTCGCCTCCGCCCGCCGCGAATCGTACGCGCTCAAGCAGCCCAGACAAACAGACCTACGTCACCCAGCCTACCCAGCCCTTGCCCGCGCGCTCGCCGTACTTCGCCTCCGACGTGACGCAGCCCACGCAGCTGCTCACCCCGAAAGCGCACCGCACGCTGCCCATCGAGCTCGGCACGTCCCCCGCACTGCAGGTCCCCCGCTCCTCGCCCGGGCTCGAGCGCTTCTCGTCGCCCGCCCACGAGCAGTCGCAGCCGCAGTACGCCCCGCGCCCGCACGGCTTCAACCCCATGGCGCCGCCGGGCACGGGCTTCTACCCGCCCCAGGCCGTCCGCAAGCCTGTGTTCGACCTCACCTCGGACGACGCGCCCGTCGAGCGCGACCCGGACGAGGACGAGACGTCGTTCCGCTCCAACATCCCGCTCAGCAAGGTCGAGATGGGAACCCGTGCGCTGCGCGTCGAGGAGACCCCGCCCAAGCCGGCCAGCTGGGATCTCTCGGGCTATGCGTACACGGTCGTACAGCAGGCGTCGCGGAAGCGCGGCGGTGAGTTCAGTCAGAGTCCGCCGTCGAAGAAGGCCAAGCCGTTGCCGCGTCAGGGCGGGCCGAGTCGCGCGATGCCTGTGGCTGAAGAGAGGGAAATGGCATTGAGTGACATCCACGACTTTGATCTGAGGCGGAAGACTACGAGGCTGCAGGTCATTTTCGGGAGCAAGCCAATCAGTGTGCTTTACGAAGCACTTGTCCGTAAGAAGGGCCACTTTGAAGACGCTTCTTCGTATCTCTTGGAGCAAGATTCGGACGATGAGCTGCTCAAGTCGCCGCAGATTGGCGTCGCTCAGCGTAGCGCCAGCACCGCAGAGCCCAAGAAGACGGCGCAGCGGAAGCTGAATGCGCCCGTCAAGTCGCTGATGGACAAGTACTCGAAGCAGGCACCCACGTACAACACGCCGAGCGCAACGGCGAGCCCTACAACTACAGACGCTGAGCAGCCGAAGAAGCGCAGGCTTATACGTGGGCGGCGCAATTTTCAGCCCGAGAGTGACGACGAGCCTATGACACCACCGCGGCCACAGACCAAGGTCTCAAAACCCCCAGCGCAGGCGCCAATCGTGGTGTCTGATGACGAGGATGAGGGGATCATTGCCATCTCTGACAACGACTCGGACGCCGGTGTGGCATCGGAGAAGGAGCACACGTTCAGCGAGGACAAGCTGCTGGATTTCTTCAACGAGTGCTCGGTGGAGGCCATGATCGATTTGTCTAATCACAAAGAGGAGGATATTGCCGAGCTGCTGAAACAGCGGCCTTTCAAGTCCCTCGACGCAGTCCGGAAGGTCCACGTCGACGCGAAGGCGAAAGAAGAGCAGGAGAAGGGCAAGAAAAAGGCACGCAAACCCAGGATCACGTCTGGTGCCCGGCTCGTTGAGTCTGCCGAGGAGATGTGGGACGCCTACTCGACCATCGACTCGGTCGTCAAGCAGTGCGAGGGTCTTGGAAAGCCGATGGTGGCCGGCATGGCTCGCTGGGGGATTAACATCTTCGGCGCCTCGACGGATGGCGAAGTTGATGCGGTTGCGCTGGACGACAGCAGTGACACCAGCTCGACCCGCGACTCGGGGTATCACACACCGAAGAGTGGTCACGGCAGCGACAATGAGACCGATCTCCGCAAAACGAGCAGCAAGCTTAAGCTCCTGAAGCAGCCGGCCATCATGAACAAGGATGTTGAGCTGAAGGACTACCAGGTTGTTGGCTTGAATTGGCTCAATCTGCTCTGGCAGAATGGCATCTCCGGAATTCTAGCCGATGACATGGGCTTGGGCAAGACGTGTCAAGTCATCGCATTTCTATCGCACCTCAAAGAGCAGGGAGAAGGGCGGCCGACGCTTATCGTTGTTCCTGGATCGACCCTTGAGAACTGGTGTCGTGAGTTCGAGCGCTTCTCGAGCAAAGTCAACTTCACACCGTACTACGGATCGCAAGCCGAGCGATTCGAATCGCAAGACACCATCCGCGATAACATCGAGACGGGCAACTGCGACGTCATAATCACGACCTACGACCTGGCATACAGGAAGGAGGACAACGCGTTCTTGCGCAGGTGCAAGCCCCAGATCTGCATCTTCGACGAGGGCCACGTTTTGAAGAATGCAAATACGGCGCGATACAAGAGCTTGATGCGCATCACGCCCAAGTGCAGGATCCTCCTGACGGGCACGCCGCTGCAGAACAGTCTGCAGGAGCTCATGTCTATTCTGGGCTTCCTCATGCCAGATGTCTTCTATGACAAGCAGGACGACAGCGTGCAGGAGATGCTGCAGATCTTGTTCAAGCACAAGGCGAAGGTCACCGAGAGTACCTCCCACAGCACGCTGCTCTCGGCACAGCGCGTACAGCGCGCTCGGACTATGCTGACGCCCTTTATCCTCCGCCGCAAGAAGGCGCAGGTGCTGAAGCATCTTCCAAAGAAAACGTGCCGTGTCGAGTACTGTGAGCTCACCGACACACAGAAGACGCTGTATAACGAACAGTTGCAGAAGCAGCGCAAGATCCTTCTTGATCGCGCTGCCGGCCTCCTCGTTAAAGATCACGCCAACGTCATGATGAAGCTGAGGCAAGCTGCCATCCACCCCCTGCTCTTCCGCCACCGCTACACTGACGACAAGATCCGGAAGATGTCCAAGGCCTGTCTGCGCGAGGAGACGTTCGCCGAGAGCAACCCCGACATCATCTACGAAGAACTACAGCTGTACCAGGACTATCAATGCCACCACCTCGCCCTCAAATACCCGCGCGCGCTCAAGAAATTCGAGCTGAAAGACCGCGAATGGATGGACAGCGGCAAAGTCCAAACCCTCCTCAAACTCATCAAACAATACCAAGCCAACGGCGACCGCGCCCTGGTCTTCTCGCAGTTCACCAGCGTCATGGACATCCTCGGCTGGGTCTTCGACGACGCCGACATCCCCTTCATGCGCATGGACGGCAGCACGCCCATCGCCGAGCGCCAGGGCCTGCTCGACGTGTTCCACGGCGACGCCGGCATCCCCGTGTTCATGCTCAGCACCAAGTCGGGCGGCGCGGGCATCAACCTCGCGTGCGCCAACAAGGTCGTCGTCTTCGACGGCTCGTTCAACCCGCAGGACGACGTGCAGGCCGAGAACCGCGCGCACCGCGTCGGCCAGACGCGCGAGGTCGAGGTCGTGCGCCTCGTCACCGCGGGCACCGTCGAGGAGCAGATCTACGCGCTCGGCGTGAGCAAGCTCGAACTCGACAAGATGGTGCAGGGCGAGGAGGCCGAGGACGCGCCGCCCAAGGGCCGCAAGAAGGGCGCCGTTGCGACGGGGAGTGGCACCGCGACGCCCGCGCTTACCAAGGCCGATCAGGCGGGCATCAGCGCCGTCGAGGCTATGCTGCTGCAGCAGATGGTCGACCAGGGCGAGAAGGTTGATGTCAAGGACGCGTTCCGGATGGGGCTGGAGAGCGCGGGGCTGGACGTGGGCGCCTAGGTGACGGCACAGCGACGCTGATTTTCTGTTGGTGTTCTTTGGCCGTTGGTGCGACTTGGCCGTTGGTGCGACTTGGCCGTTGGTGCGACTTGGCCGTTGGTGTTGCGTGGGCGTAGGCGTAGGCGTAGGTGTGGGCATAGGTGTGGGCATAGGTGTCCCTGGATTGATGTGGTTTCTGGATTAAACAAGGCGGGTTTCTGGATTGACGATGACGAGGAGCATAGCGATGGCGTTTTTCGGAGGGAATTGGGAGGGGGGATGCTAATGGGATACAGTATAGCAACGACAGCGATAGCGAAGCAATGCAATGCAATGACTAGTAGTTTCTTCACTGGCATTTATCTCCCACGTCACAAGCTGTGTTGGTTCTCAATAGCTAGGCATGCTTGCGCTGCTCCACCGTTACTATACTATGAATTGATGGATACAGAGTGAGACGTGGATCACTGGACGGGATGGGATAGACGTGTGAAGTGCGTTGGTTTGGTGCTGGAGAGCTGTGTTGGTTTGGTTTGGCTTAGGCTGAAGTATGGTAGGTTGCGGGGGCTAGGTATGATGGTGATGATGGTGGTGTTATAGTAGTAGTAGTAGAATTGTAGTAGTAGAACTGTAGTAGTAGAACCGTAGTAGTAGGTTTAGAGTAGTAGGATTGTGGTAGTAGAGCTAAAGTAGTAGGATTGTAGTAGTAGAGCTATAATAGTGGCGATAGTGTAGGTGATACAGTGACAGCGATGGATGGTAGTCTTGTGTTTCTCTCCACCTTCCAGTTCTGGTATGTTAAACACAACATAGACGTTGACGTAGGTGTAAGGGCGAGGCTGGAGTGAAGTGCCTTTTCGGGGGTTCAAACATATCCTCCTTTGTCGTTTACTTCTCATTTTGCTTTTCCTCGCCTCCATTTTGCCACATGCATTCTGCATCGGCGTACCAATCATACCTAGGGTGGTCTGCATCATGCACACAAGGCTGATCAGATAGATGGTCAGTGCGTTTTACCCCACCTGTCCTTCCTTGATGACTTGACCAGGCTGAATGTCTCACGAGCGAACATGGATCCATACTCCTTCACTTTCGTTGCGGTACGATACGTTTCTTGAGTATTCGACTCCTTCACCCTGTCCATCCAGGGTCTTTTCCGTAGCCCGAAAGCTAGACTCGAGTCCCATGCGTTTAGCGCAAGTGCTTTGACATAGCGCCTGCCCAGTCGAGTCAGCATCGCTCTTGATCCGTCTATGCGGATTGCCTTTCTGGCTGTCCTGAACACAGGTGCTCAAGTACAGTGTTGCAACATCTCACTGCCAGTATGAACGAAGCTACTGGCATCAAAGCTCTTAAATGGCTCAGCCAAGAGAACTATGCTACCAGACACGCTGAAGTCAAGTCGCAACGATTGCCTGCCATTGCGAAGATGTCAGAATGGATTATGAACTCAGCTCAGTTCCAGACATGGTTGGCCGATGAGCAACAGGTACTGCTGTGTTTGGGAGCACCAGGCACGGGAAAGACGGGTATCACTTCTATGGTCATAGACAAGCTGTTTGAAGAACATGGTCGTGACTCTAGTATTGGGATTGCATTCCTCTATCCTCGGACCGGAAGAAAGAATCGAGACCCTCAGCAGCTGCTGCGAAGTGTGTTGCTGCAACTTGGACAGCGCATGCCATCAGTTCCATCCGTATTGGTAGACCTCTACCGCCGTTCTAGTACCAACGCATCTCCACCAACAGTTCAGACCCTACTAGGTGTCATGTCAGGATTAGTCGCCAACTGGTCAAGGGTTTACTTGGTAATCGATGCCTTGGAGCAACTGTTCAGTACCGATGTACGCAGCTTATTGTCGGGACTACTCGGACTACAGGAAACCCTTCCGATCAGTATATTCGCTGCATCCGATTCTCGGTCAGACATCATCGAGCAATTCAGGCAATGCCCGACCATAGACATCGGTGTCGACACGAAGCAGGACGTGCAAACGTACATTGCTTATAGAATATCAAATTTCCCCAGCTCATTACGAGATTTTTCTGACCTCATTGAAAAGGATGTGATGAGGGAATCAGAAGGATCGTAAGTAAGGTGTTGGGCGTCGAGTGATCTCACTAACCAGGGTCAGGTTCCTTCTCGCCAATCTACTACTAGATCGTCTCGCCACTTCATCAAATTATAAGCGTGCACGTAAGATCTCAACGCAGTTTTCAGTGTCGTTGAATGACCTGTATGAGAAGAAGATGAAAAATATTGAACAAAAGCCGGATGAGGAACAGGGTCTCGCGATAATGGCTTTCGCATGGCTCCTACGTGCACAGAGACCCTTGAAAAGAATGGAGCTTCAGACTGCACTTTCAATAAAAGTTGGCTCGTCTGAAATGAAAGACGGTGACTTTCCAGATGATATAGAGATTCAAACAATATGTGAAGGCCTTGTTGTCTTCACGGACAAGTCCGACACATGGTCTTTGATTCACTCCTCGGCCGCTCAATATCTGCAGAAAGCTCTAGATACATGGTATCCTGAATCCAAAACTATAGTAGTTGAAGGATGTCTGACTTATCTGGCCCTCCACACGTTTGGCGAAAGTTATTGCACGTCAGATCAAGAGTTCGAGCTGAGGCTGCAGCAAAATCCTCTTTACGAATATGCTGCAAAGTACTGGCCGAACCACTTTCGAGACTGCCAGGATCTACCAGAGGGAATACTTCGTTCATTTCTGCTCAACCAAACCAAGGTAGCATCTGCAAGTCAAGCAATGAGCTTACTGGAGACCGAGTTCCGACAACCGGGGTATAGCCAGGATTTTGACCATAAACAGACTGGCCTTCACCTTGCATCACATCTCGGATTGGAACGTATTGTAGAGTTCTTGTTGAAACAAGGACAAGACCAAGCATTGAGGGACTCACAGGGACGAACCCCTTTGTGGCGCGCAACGGAGGCTAACCGCAACATGATCATGATCATACATAGTCGTACAGACCGAACAACCTTCACACTGATGCTGGATAGGAAGGAGAGTCCACTCGCCTACTCACTGTTGAGAGTCGCAGGTCAAGGTGTTAGAGATGTGCGATCAAGAAACGCTTTCCACATCGGCGTCGTGCGTCAAGACTCAGACTTGATACAGCACGCCGTTACTTGTGGTGTAGATATCGATGAAAGAGATATAAATGGATACTCAGCACTCCAACTAGCTATGCAGATCCAATGGACGTCGGGTATAGACCTACTGCTCCAAAATTTAGCCAAAACAGAAGGCATCACTGCGTCGAGCTGGCTAAAATGTCACGGAAGACCACTATCAGATACTGTTGAACTATGGAAAGATAGTCCGGGATGTACGAAATTCATTTCCTCGACTACACAGGAGTCCAGTCGTAATGGGCTGCCCACGCGTAACAAGAGGCGCCTTCGGTATGTGGTATCGCACTAAACATCCATTGAGTCATGATCTAATCGTTACCTCATAGTGTATTCTCTGGGATTGCTGCCTGGCCAATGGACGTTAGCATCAATCCGAAAAGTAGTCAGAATGGTGCAATCTCGTGGTTGAGACGCGAACTCGCCAACACATCACTGAATGATGATTATCTCCAACATTATTCGGTCGTTGCGCCAATGCCAGTGCAGGGGGATCTTGGCAATGATAGAACCTTCAGCTACCGTTTTAAAGATATCAGAATTGGCTGGACCACGGCGTCCTTTCCAGACTCCAGCGGTGGAGACCATCTAGTAGCAGTTGATTATCTCAGTACGATTCAAATTGGATCGGTACCAGAGAGCGAAGCGGCGTTGTTCAAGATGTTGATCCATACTCTTATGGAAGGATGGACAGACCTTTGCAATCGTATTGATGGTCATTTGATCGACTGTGTAAGTATTGACCTTATTTGCACAAGCAGGATAAATGACATTAAGCTGATACGACAAAACCAATATACAGCGACCTGACGTCCTTGCTGCGAACGGGAGTGATCCAAAGCTCATCCGTCGTCTGCTGGAAGATGCAAACACCTGGTTTAAGCTCCGTGACATACTTCAAAGACAAATCAAGACACTCAGAGGGTTCTGGGACGGGAACCTTCAAGATTTTGGGAGCATCGCTGTCACTACTGAAGCCTTCGCGCGCGATGTCAGCTTACAAATCGACAGATTCGATTCCATTTCGGCTTCTCTGGTCCAGATTGTATGTCTCGAAATAGCTGCCCCAACATTTTATGACATCCATAGAGTAGCGGAAGGTCTTGCTGATATATGCACAGGACTTCAACCTTACTTCTATCAGAGAGGTACAAATGTCGACATCGCTGAATCGTAGCATGAAGCGTCTCAGCTGGATCACAGTATGACTCAAAAGTCCCTGCCTCTCGACCTTAGCTGACGTATCAGTTCGTATTCCTACCGCTTGTATTTGTCTCTGTAAGTAAAACCTCGGATACGTGACTCGTGAGAGTCTCACTTCTAACCGCACTCAGGGCCTCTTTGGCATGAATGTCGACATTCTCGAATCGAATCCGTCGTGGAAATGGTGCCTAGTTTTCATGGCTGGAACGTTGAGCCTCACAATGATGGTATGGATCGTCTTCAAAAGATTCCCAGATGTAAGTCAATTTACCCTTGCCGCAACTCAATTCATGTTCTTCTACTGAAACATATTTGGCAGTTGGAAGACAAGTTGGAGGACAGTTTTGGCTGGTTGGCTAGGCCATCTGTTCGCAAACAACCCCTCAATGATCCGGAAAAAGGATTGGTATCAGGCAATGAGAAAAAGTTCGTTTGATTGCAAGGTCGGGAGTTAATCTCTTTCAGTACATCACAGTAGCGGTTTCGCTGCTCGTTTTTATATATTTTTTCATAGTCATATTAGTCATTCTTAGTTGATTCCAATGCTTCACTGTACATGTTGAAGTGACGAGTGTCTTTCCTCCAGCACGAGTGATCAGCCAAGAAAGATCCTCTTTGAACAAGTTTCGACCTTGTTCCATTCCAACTTCTTTACACTTGCCAATCCCACGATACGCAATCTTCTTGTCGTCATCCAACTCGTTCATCTAAATGTTTAAATCAAATACTCAGGAAAAGCAACACCTTGAACACCTGAACGTTCGGTGTTGAAAATTTGCATTGCGACACTGTAATCTGCTGTATTCTGCCTTTGTCTATCCTTGTTTGGGCAACAATCCTTTCTGTCCTACACTGAACCTTTCCACGATCTGTTGCACATGTCTCTGCGACTCTTGTTCATTGCGACGCTGATCAACGGTCCACACATCATTCTTGTGACGCGTCCACATCCTCCTGGTCATTGATACTGCGCTTCTTGAATTGTTTGTGGTATGCAATAACCTTGTCTTCATACGTGCCCAAGGTAGTACCAAGCTTGGCCCCATGAACGTAGTCAAGCTCGCGGAACTCAAAGATAGGAGCCTCTTTGGTAGAATCAAGGACGAGCTCCATTTTGTTGTTGAGACTGCCGATCTGTCCGTGCCGCATGGTCTTGTCCATGAGCTTCAGTAGATCCATCTTCGGGAGTGTCTTCTTCGTCGTCTTGTCGAAGCCTTGAATGTGGTTGATGAAGTCGTCGATTTCTAGCTTCCCAGTCTTGATATTGTTGGCCTTGCCTGCCCAGTTTTCTGGGATAGTCGCGATGGCTCCGGTGTTCCATTTGAATGCTTCTTTGGCAAGCTGCGCGTTTCCAGAGACTTTGACAACGACATCAAGCAGAGACGTCGTCTTGTCAAGGAATTGTTTTGTCAATTTCTTTTCTATGAACTTAGTGTATTGCGCAACGAAGTCGGTGCGAGGCATAACTGGAAGTAGATGTTTTGGTCCTTTTTTAGGATCGGTGAATTTGGCCAGGACGCAATAAGACGTAAGGAGGGAGAAGAAACCAAGGAACTCATCATCAATGTCGCTTGGACTGATTTTCTTGAAAGACGCGAAGTCGGCCTTTGTGAGTATCTTGATCCTGGCTGCATCTAGCGCTCCGCTGCTAGCGAGCGGGTTCTTAACCGTATTCTTCGCTTTCGCATCGGCAAGGATTTTCAGGACGGCACCCAGGGGCATTGCAGTCGTGACCTGGGGACCGAAAAGCATCTTGTCTGAGTCTATTGGTTGCATTGGCCATTTGACTGACCATTCGCCTAAGTTATCGAAGCCGTTGATCTTTACCTTGCAGCCTTTAGCGGAGCATGGAGCCCATCCTTTCTGCGAGTGGAGAGAATTAGCAAAACTGGGAGTATGAAGTTGTGCTGGTGTCTCAGACGCTGAAGAACGTACAAAGAATTGGAAAATCTGATCTCCAATGACTTTTGTTTGGTGGTCCCCGACTTTGTTCTTGATACCATCGACAATGGCCTCGGGTAGAATGTTGGACTCGCCAACCTCTGCCGTAAGTGCCCAGTTGAGCTTTGGAGCTCCAGCGAAGCCGACTGGCGTCATAACAGCGCCCTTAATAGCTTCCCGTTTCTCTCCGACCAACGGCTTGCCTGGGCCTACAATGTTGATGTTCCTGATTTCGAGTTCTACACCAATTCCTGGTTTGACTGCACGTCGAATCAACTCATTGCGAGCATGATGAAGTGGTGTTGCTGATGCATATCCAAGAAGGATTGTGAATACAAAGAACACCCACAGTACAAAGGCAGCCCTGAAGCGTCTCGGGCCTGGTAAGCCGGAGGACATTGCTATCACTAACGAGTAGATACGATATGGATTGAACGAATAATTTTGCAAAGAGAGAAAGGGTTGTTTAGGTTTCCAACGATGTTAACAAGTGTGTTTATGACGAGCCGAGGGGAGAGAGCATTGAGGAGCTATGTAATAATGGCTACCGGACTGTGGTGCTTTCCATAGCCTTGTCAATACAAGGATCAGTCTGCGATACTCCATATCTTCATCTGACTGCTACAAGAAAAAGTAGTAACTGAAATCCGCCTGTCTTTGAATCCGCGTTTCAAGACAAGCTCAATTCCGGCGGCATAGGTGCTTTGGAGAGTCACATCTTGCTATATGGCCACATACGGGACATCGTATGCTGAATATGTTCAAGAATAGATCGGCTCTCTGATATTGCCGGGGTTCATGTCATTCCTAAGGGGGAGGCACAGCGAAGCAAATGATGTGTTGGATGGTGGTTGTTGGCTGAGTACGCAAGGCGACGAGAGGTACCAGGCAGGACCTTGCCCCGGACGTTTAGCGCCCGGTGGGCCCCCAATCACAATCCTTGCTACATTCGGACTTACTTGACGATTGGCTGCACAGCTCATACAAAAGTGGGGTCTTTTGAACATCGCATCCGCGCTTAGCACCTCTACTGACCTTACAACTACTCTACTTGTGTAGCTTTTGCGAACCCTCAAGCCACCTCTGCTGCCTCTCACACCATCAACGACTTCCTGAGAGATATCACTCCTCGCTCAGCCCGTTGCTCATTCACCAACGTTCGGAAGATAGTTCTCTGTGATCATGGCTTCAACCCGTCTTCTCTCGAATCTCCCACCCGAGCTCATATGTCGAATGTTCGAGTTTGCTGCCGACTTCTCAACAGTGGCTGCTCTTGCGCAGACTGCACGTCCTTTCTACCAAACGTGGCGAGCATTTCCAACCGCTATCTGTCGAGCCGTCGCACCCCGTGCCTTGTTCAGCCATGCAGACGCCGAGAGATTGCTTGACATACAAGAGGAAGCCGATCCATCTCAATTTGGTTCTGCGCAGCGGTCTATCTCCCGAGCCAAGCGTCTCCTGTTCAACGCCCGGTGTGCATCTGCTGTGACCAAGGATTGGATCGAACTCTGTGAGATTGAACTGAGCTTTGACCGGGAACACGATCCAATGAGACCATCCGAGATTGCACGCTTCCAGCACGCTTTCTACTGTGTCTGGGCCATTGGAGTCATGGCAACGGTTCCACATTTACAGCATAATGCATCGGAATTCCTCGAGAAGTGCAGTCCACGTGAACTGTGCAGACTGGGTGAGATGGCATCATATGCTGAATACTACAACCACAATGATTTTGGGTCTGTGGGTCTTGATTTTCAAGACGAAGTCTGGAAGACAGGCTACGATCTGGCCTCGACGCGCTGGGCGAAGGTGGCTTACGAAGGGCGTCACTACAGATGTGTCGATGGTCCCAAACTCAACTTCTTCGCTTTCTTCGATGAAACTCAAAAATACCTCGAGACAATCGACGATGAATAACAATGAAGTCCTCGGTCACTGTGTATGCATGGCAGGCGAATCATCTACATTTCAATCGAGTAATATAATACAGGAATGGTACAGGACGAATGGTGCGATGGAAAAAGGAAACACTCTCTTGTAGAACACATACAGATGTTATTACTACTCTTGGTCCAGTGGTGCAAGGAGAATACCAATAGAGTGGACGTTTCGACGCGATCTCTGCAGCGATCTCTGTAGCGATCCCAAATGAGTTGCCCGGAATACTTAATAATACTGCTGACCCTCCTCCGGCCTACAGATCGACAGTGACGAAAGCGAGCAGTGCCTGTAACCTTCGATGAATTCGCTGCTGTCAACAACGCCCCACTGTACCAGCTTCAAGTGCGGCTCAACATCGTCCTTTGGAGGATGGCAAGCAGCGCTGATAGTGAGACTGTTCGACGAGGCTTGGGGCATATGCGTAACCAATTTCTGGTTTGCCACCACTCGAACGATAATCCAAAGGCCAAAGAAAACGACAAAGAAAGTCGCAAAGCTAACTCCCAATGCTCCACACGCTGAACGAGATAAACTTGTGTCTAGATTGTCGCCTTTAAAGACGTCGATCCGCACGAGAAAGAACGTTTGCGAAAGAAGCCAGTGGAGACCCGTGCTCACAGCTAGGAGGGGGACAGCCCTTTTGTACGGAAGTTGAAGGAAGTAAGTACTGCGTTGTTCGCCCCTGGAGTCGCTGACGCGGAGTCCCTTCCTTGTAGCGCCTAGATTGTTCCATTCTTGGATTCCTGCCATGGCTGTGCAAAAGCTGTTCAAGCTCATGTAGCAGAACGACAGTGCGAGCTGAGGCATATTGGCAAGCCAAGCGGTGAGATTAGTGGCGGTTACCGGTCTGATCGTGAATTCTAGCACGGAGTTGGATGCAACGCCCCACGCCCATGCACCGCCTTTCGCGTCTGACATGAAGCCGAACGAGATAGCGATGATCATAAGTATGCTGAAAAAAAATTAGCAAGATGATGCACAAGGATTGCAGCTACTTACAATGGAATCATAAGTCTGGCATGTTCATTCCGGATGAGTGTGAAATAGCTCAGTTTCCGTACACGCCAACCGGTGTTTGCTACCGAGTGTGGCCTCCGGTCATTCGTTGTACTGTTTGTGTTTTTGTCCTGAGTTCTGCTCGCCTGAGTAGACAGTTCGCGCTGCTTGACAATATCATTGTCTTCGTATAGACATCGTCCTTCCGTAGTTGGGTCAGGAGAAGATAAGAAAGACGCCACAGCATCACCCAACGTGACTATGTACCTTGATCGATCTATAAACAAAATGTTCAGCATAATGAGAAGCTTGAAGAGATTTGCTGTAATGACAACCACTATGAAGTACAAACTCAGTTGGATTCGACTTTGCGTGTGAGCACGAATCGCAAATGCATGCGCAACATGTATTTCAGCACCGTCCTCGGGATTGAAGTACGGCAGAGGCGAAAGCCAATCCGTTGCGTTTATGTGGTCTGCTAAGGAAATGTCGGAGTGGGGACGAGGACGAAGAGCGCCTAACAAATCTCGCCGTTCGACGGTGGAGTTGTCCGCTATTGTACGGGCCATCTTTGAAGCAACTTCGTCGTATACAATAATGAGTTCTGTATAATCGTAGCTTGTGTTGAAAGTAACGAAGTCTTCTTTCCATTGCGTATTTGAGAGATTGACGTAGGACGTGTTGGTGGCATGATGCTCGTATTCAGAGGAGTAGCGATGGACACCCCGTACGGTATACCAGTTCTGTGCAAGGACCTTGAAGGTAGCAGCGTTGTAACTATTCCACTATTAGATTTCCTACTGTATTGACTTCTTGGTAATCTTATACTCACAATAAATGTAAGGGAATTGAAGATAGGCTCAGAATGAGGCAAAGAACTACGCGCTTCTTCGAGATCCGTTTCCAGTTGCGAAAGCTTGTTAATCCGATCGCAAGCCAATCTCCCTGACGATGTGCCCTGTCAATCTCTTCTCGTGTTGGTGAACTCATGACCTGTATTGTGTAGTTACTTCCAGACAGTAGCAAACTGCTTAGTATGTTGATACCGATGTGGAGAGCTGCATTGTACCAGGAGATGCGTTCCCTGTCCCCGTAAAGTAGATTTGCGAAACCGTCGTCGTTGAAGCCACCCGGACGAGTAGCGCCTATCAGGAGAAGAGTGACGTTGCAGCAAAGAACGAAGAATGCCATGCAGCATCCGATCAGAACGCCCATGCGCCATCCATGATAACGGCTTCGTTCCTTTCGCTTGGCTATCCAAGCCTGCAGCCGTTGCCACAGATTCTTTCGGTTTTGAGTGCTAAATCACTGTCAGAAAGTGATCAGTTGTTGTGCCGATGAGTCTTACTCTATAGCTGAGGCTGTATCGTCCTCGAGCAAAGGCCTTTGATCGTTCGAAACTGCAGAATTATACTGAAGATGGTACGCGGTAGCCTGAAAATGATAGTTACTGCGCCCTGGAGAGCTGTCTTCGAGCCTTCGAGCAGGAGAACGTGCGCCAAGATCAGGCTCGATGCTGCCGAACGGGATTTCTTCAACACTGTTCGTGAAAGCCATCTGATCTGCGGCAATGTGTGTTGAGGCAAAGAGATGGAGGAACTTGGACTGAGAGTGTGTCTTTGATGGTCTTTTGTCATCCCACGAGGCTGAGACATTCAACAAGACAGGCTGAGCATTCCTACAAGGCTGAACATTCCCGCAAGGCTGAACCGTTACTTCACCTTCACCTTGGCATGGCGCTCCAGTGATGGCTCGAAGATGCTGTATTTTTTGACAGGCCTTGCCCAAGAAGAAATGTGCTCGACCTTACTCCAGAGTAACACTGGAGCTGCGCGCATGTAGGGCTCAGATTACTCCGACGGACAGAACAGAAAGAAGAACTTACTTCAAGCGAGCTTTGCTCGAGTGTGGAAGAGGCGCGCGCGAACGTGACATGTGAAGTAAGTAGGGTTGTTTTATAGTAGATGGCCAGATCCCGCTCACCACACCCCAAACACCATCTATGTCGCCAGCCAATGCCATTATCGTGACCATATGCAACCAGAAACGCCAAACCAGCGCCTGTACCAACCATGAAGGAAACATGCGCGCTCGAAATCAGAAAAACAGACGCCGTCAAATGGATGCCGAAGCTCAGCAAAGTAAGATACCACCCATGTGTGCTTGTTCCGGAAATAATGCAAAACCAAGCACTCGCTTCGTGTTCGTAATGTCCTAATTTCGTCGGTTGTGTTCAGACGCGAACAACTGCGCCTCCAGTCCAGCGGAGTCTGCGCAAACCCAGGCCAGTGCCTCGTACGGCTTCTTTACCACAGCTTCCAGCTTCGGTGCCAGCAGCACCCACCTGACCCATGGCTTCGGCGTAGCCAGCTTCGTTGCCAACAACGTATCCTGCAGAGAAGCTGAGAGCGCTCACGAGGACGACCACGCCGGCACTGACAACCCATGTGAACAGCGTTGGGCTAATCTCCTCGATCAGAGCACTCTGCTTGCGTACCTTCTTTGCGGCATGGCGGTCTCTGCTGCTACTTCGTGCCCCTGCAACAGCTGGGCTGGCTTTGCGTTTGGATTTGTCGGAAGGACTGCTGCTCGTGGCACGAGAAGACGACCCGTTGCTTGTTTCTTCGATGATCTCGCCCAACGCTACTGACTCAGGCACCATGCGGAGAGATGAGGGATCGATGCGGCCGGTTGTTGCACCCTGTGCGGCACGAGAATGACCAGGCTTGGGAAGGCCTCTAACTGCAGCTGCAGCAGAGAGGAGTGTGGAAAGACTAGCTCGCAGTGCCTCGTCGTGATCAGCTTGGTGACTGGGTGAGATGACGTTGTAGGGGGAGTGCTGTGGATATGAGTGTTGTCGTTGAGAGCCTGGTCTTGTGGGCCTTCGGGGCGTGTAGACCGTGCCCGACTGTGAGCGCACAATGTGCTCAGAGCTTGGGTGCGAGAATGCATTGGGACGGGGCTGGAAATGCCGACCGGTGGACCTGGGGTAGTTGACCGCAGTCGCATTTTCGTCTTCATCATCGTCCTCTTCCTCCCTTTCTGACATGGTATCAGAGGATGCAACCGAATGTAGCACACGAGGGCTGTGGTGCATTTCCTGCCTCAGAGGAGAAGGCCCTATATGCTCGTTCGAGGACGTCATGACTCTGTCCGATTCGCTCTCGCTTTCATCATATTCCTCCTGACTACTGTTGCCTCCACCGGTGCTCGCCACACGGTGACCAGTGCCTATATGAAAGTGACCACCGCGCGAACGCCTGTTTCTTCTGTGCAAGTTTGAGTCATGTTGGACCGTAAGACCCGTCGTGATGATCTCGTCAGTAGCGGAGGACAGAGATGATGAGGATGGTCTTGAGGTGATATCGATCCAGGACTCTAATAACACTATATTAGCTTGTGAACAGCAAGTGGGTACAACTTGGTAATGTTTGAGGCGCACGTCTTTCTACCTCAGAGCCTTCAAAGCATACCGAACAGTGAACGCACCTTCTGAATGTTGCCTAGACGGTGATAATCTCGAGTACGAAGGGGCCATAGTTGAGCTCCGTGAATGTGTCTCTTCAGGGGATGCAGTGTGACGAGCGGGTCGTGGCGGGTGGTGATCGTGCATAGTACCTTGGCGAAATGGCCTGGTACCCAGCTACAAACACCTAGGTATCTGCGAAATCGGTGGCCTAAACTGCCTCACTGTTTCACGCCGTGCGTAGGTTCGTGATGTAGAGGTATGCGCGTAGGTGGGTCTACCAAGACGGGCAGTTCCGATCTCGGTTCTTTGTCTCCAGGCGCGTTTGCGATGGTGGGCTGGAGGAGTAGAGGAGAGCAAGGGCGCGTTGCAAAGGAACAGCAAGCAGCCAGCACTCGGTAGACAACACACAGCCTGACGCTGTAGGCTTCAGACTGCGCGTGGTTACCGTTGCAGTCGGAGATACCAGGGCGCAACCGCGGCTGACGCTATGGCAGAGGGTGGCTCGATGGTCCGGAACGCAGTGACGTCTAAGCGGGGTGCGCTTGGTGGGGCGCCGGGGTTGCGACACGTCGGGGCTGGGAGGACGAGGGAAACAGCAATAAGAGAGGATGAAAGCAGAAGTGAACGGTCAAAGCGAAGATTATGACACTCGTTCCTGACCCCGTGTGATGGCCAGCCTCTCTGGCAGGGTCACGTAGACAAAAAGCGGTGGATGTGCTCATGAGCGAATCACGCTACACTCCCGCACACCTTCGGCTTGGAGTCTAGCCGTTTCTGGTGCTCATCTGGCCCCGATACAAGACACAGCTGCGTAACTTCAGGTCTTCTGCCTTGCATAACGCAATCTCGAGATAATGCTGCGCACCTCTCTGGCGCTTCGCTACCATACACTTGGAGAGGGTATATTTGCCCTAATCTCGTGCTTGTTTTCGCTGTGGCGCTTCGCACTCAGCACGTCATCGAAGTGTAGATGAGAACATAAGCAGTTGCACGTTGGTCTGACATGTATTTCCTTATGTCGGTAGCTGTTTCAGCGAGGCACGTCCCTAAACACTACTCTAGGCATACATATCGCCCTGACTCGACTGCTCAGAGAGAGTAAACCACAAAACGCAACAAATGAACGCCAGTATTATGCGGATGTGATGGTAACCCATACATGGGTGCCCTCAACGGACAACAAGCAAGTGTAATGAGATAATTTAGATGACCTCAATCGAGAGGGAAATGGTGGAAAGACGCAGCTCTAATGCCAGGACAATTTCGTGGGCTTCGTCAAAGTAAAGTCGAAATGATAAGAACAGCAAAGCTCTCTAGAAAGCGGACAAGCTCAGCCATGATCCGCTCTGGCTGGATATGATACAAGATACGGCGACCTCTGTTGCGAGGTATAAGACGCGTTGCAGGTCGACGTGCCCACGCAGGTATGGCGGCTCAAAATGGTCGATCTCCGCAGAAATTAGATATGGCGAAGGTGACGGCGGCTCTACGTAGCGTTCAGTTCTTCTTCTCTTCCTTCTTCTTCTTCTCCTCCTTCTTCGCCGGCTTCTTGAAGAAGTCGCTGATCCCGTCCTTAAATTTTTCCCAAGGGTTCCGATTCAGACGGTTACTGAGTTGGCGGTAGTTGTACATCTCAGCCCAACAGTCGCGACCCCACTCACAACCAGCCATATTGACCAGGAAGTCGCGATCTTGTTCCCTGTAGTGGATGCTGACATCGTCGCCACCATCGCCACACGCACCGGGTGGGAAGCTGTTGATCTTGCGTTGCTGAAGAAAAGCGACATGCGGTCGAATCCATGGCTGGTTCTGATACATGTATTCGAAAGCGTCCTGCTCCTTGTGTTCCCACTCCATATGTTTCTGCTCGTAGCCAACAGGATCCCACCAGATATCTAGAAGTCGGTCGGTCCAGACACTCCTTCGCAACATGAATGAGCCCAAGTTGAACCCACCGCAGTCCTGTGGTACTAGCATATTGATAGACTCGACTCGACCATCACCGACCGGTGACCGCGTCTCGAGATCAAGATATTCGTCGGTCAGAGGGTGTGAGATGTTGAGGGGGTTGTATACGTTGATATCGCGGTATGTGATGTCTTGCAGGTTCTTGAAGATGTGGCTCTGGAGAGAGTAGGACGGTTCCATGATGAAGGTGTTGGTATCAAGCCACCAGAACCTGCCACGGTCAGTCGTTGTAGCCATGAGATTTGTACTCATACGTACCACTCAGCCTGTGGGTATTTCCGCATGGCGTTGCGGATAGTGTCCACTTTCTCCCAGCTTTCTCTCCACTCGTGGGCATAGCGCTTCTTGGTGCTCATGTCCACGATCTCGAGGTCGTATCCCCACTTCTTGGTATACTTCTTCTTGTTCTTGACGCTGTCGCGCTCAATGGCCCATTCGCGAGGACCCTTCCACTCCATGACACCTCCACCCTGGTTTGCTGCGAGGATCACAACGTATTTACTGCCGCCGCCGAAAAGTGCAGATCGTCGGTATGTTCGGTGTAGAGCTGGTACCGTCAGTAATAATCTGAGTGTAGCAGTGGTGTATGCTTACGTGTCGCGTAGAATATGATGATGCTGAGGAGGATGAACAGAACCACCCCTAGTGACCGTCTCAAACGCCAGAGATTCCAGCCAACGCGGTTCACCATCTGCGTCAATTTATTGCCCTGAGTCCGCCCACGACCAAGTTTCTCCTTGTCGCCGTAGCTCATGGGCAGGCTTGTGGATATCCTGCGGAAGTGTTTGGCGAAGAAGCCCTGGTTCCTCGGGTTGAAGCCTGGGTATCCCTTCACCTCAGCGCTCCGCGCCTGGGCAGAAGCCCAGGTCACATTGTGCGACGAGCCATTGGCCCCGCCTGAATCGTACGGAGTGTTCAGGCCAGGACTCGACCAGCCGCCAGGTCTAGGTGAAGGCGATCTTGACATGTCGGCCGCTGGTGTGCCGGGGATGGTGGGCAGGCCGTCGCCCAATGAGCCACCCGAGAGGCCACTTGTCGTCCCTAGCCGGTTGGGGAGGCCAAGATTGAGATTTGGTGGTTGCGTTCTTGCGGCAGATGAGCGCCGTCGGCGTTGGCCAGCGTTACTGGAGAAAGAGGATTGAGAAGCCAGCGTGCCTTTATCGGGGTTGTAAGGTGCGCGGAATGCACAGGGTCCGATCGCGCGTGGCTTCTGGCAGCAGGGCTGTCAGGCTGTAACGGGGCTTAACGATAAGCAATGCGCTGCCAAAAGCAAGGCGGATGATTGCGATGAGGACAGCTGGCTACGAAATGAAGCTTTTCGGTCGGCAAGGCGAGGCGGTCGCACCTCCAGCGGGAAGGGAGATCTGCAGTGCAACGTCAAAGGACAGTTTTGCTTGCGGGCAGCTGCAGTCAAAGGCACAAGATCAAGGTACGGCAGCCTGTAAAGAGCGAACGCCTGCAGTGGAAAAGGAGCTCCTTGCGATAGATAAAATTACCGTCCAATGTCAAGCTTGGCGGGCTTCTAATCATTAGGAGGTCCTGACTAGCAGTCTAGCACCTCGCTCCACCTGCGCATCGACTCGGTGGCATCGTCTTGGACTCTTGGGTGTGGGCATTCACTCTCGAAATAGACAATACGTTCCTGGATAACGAAGCCGAAGAAACGAGGTTGCGATTATGCCGGCGAAGCAATGCTGCAGTAGCTGCTCGTGTTGCTGACCGCAGACGCTCTCCACGACCTCGCAGGGTCATGATCGATAGGCTCGCCATTTGCTCAGAGAGTACTTGATAGACTTCAGGAGTCGCTGTGCGTCCATCCCTTGCGGGACACTCAACAAGCTCTATGGCACCTTACCAGACCGCGCTCGCACACCTGTGCGTCCCAGCTGTCAATGCACGACGCGAGTATATAACGAATCGAGAAGGAAGCGGACTGACGGGCAATATATGCCGATCAGCCAGCCGCCCTCTTTAACCTTTCTTGCTTCTCGTGAACCTTCGACGCAACCTTGTCAAGACCAAAAGTCAATGTGATGTGGAACGTGGTCTTCTTGATCGACTTCTCTTGGCTGCGTGTCCCCAGACTCATATCAACGTGGTTTGTCTCAAGCACCTCCATTGTCGCTCGACAGACATATGGTCAGACACATGCACGATACAGACATTTTGTGGCAGGCACGCGACTTGAGTGCATTAAAGTCAGTGTCACAGACAGAATGTTGATGGCTTGAAAAGGTTACACTTCTTGACGAGCGCTATTCAACGGTTGGCGCTCAGCGACGGCGGGCGCTTACGCTAATTCATACTCGCACCTCACTGGCCGACCCCTCATATTGCCTGCCACGACGTCCGGCTCAGCCTCTAGAGCGTCTCAGATCCCGCCCCGTGTTGTACAATTCTAGCTTCAGCGAATCTTGGGCGGTTATTGAGCCTCATCGCTGGAGAATGGCGCCCGCCGCACGACCGATCTGGATGGCTGCATCCAATCATATCGGCTCTCTGCCCATCGTCGACTATTGCTGGGATGAACTGCAGCTCGTCCAAGCCAGCATACCCGGTACTCTTGACAAATGAGAAGGCGAGGCGGTATGCTGTACAAGGAGGCTAATGACATGCGGTCGGGTAGCCTGTACGCTCGAGGTAATTCAAGAAGATCCGTGGGCGTGGAGGTCGTGTGTCCATACGCGAGACTTCCATTTCGTTCTTTTGTCTTTGGTGTCTTGTTCCCTTCACGCCATCTCTAATCGTCTTCACTTTCACTTCATTACCTCAAGCGGCCAGTGCTTCGTATTGTCCGTATTGTTACAAGCCCGGGAACTCCAGAGCAGAGCTCTTCGTGATCAGAACCCACGGCTTCTACGCACCCGTCACTATAAATTCCAACCTATTTTCTTTTGAGAACACACGATATCTTGCATCCAGCAGTATGAGTACAACAAATTTCGGCATGCAGCCATCGACGCACCTGGAGCGAACAGCGCGACCTGCACACTTCGAGTTCGACTCTTCCACACCGCAAAACGATCGTGACGACCACATAGTGATACGTTTGAACGGACACTTTGATGGGACAATCGCTCTACCAAAGACGACCCAAGAACGGGAAGCATGGGATAGCGACGCTCAAATACCTGTGCAGAGGGCTGCCAGCAAGACAACTTCCAGGCCGTTTACATCACGCGTATCTCGACACAAGAGCAGGAGGCGCGAACTGCTAGGGCGACAAACAAAATTAGACACGAGTTTTGCGAGACACAAAGGCGACACACCGCATCAAGTGTTTCCTGAACATGGCATGCATGGCATTGGACAGGCAAGGAAAAGCTGGTTCAGTGTTGGACGTTCGTCTATGAAGTTCAAAGGACTAGGAATCACGAAAGGCACCCCTCAGCCGGGAGTGTCACATCGCAGAGTCCCGAGCATCGATCGTGAGCCCAAGACGGCAGACTCGTTGGCTCCAGCCCCAGGTACCGCAACCTGGAATGAAATCTCGCCATGGGACCGTCCCATACCTATTGGTATCACGGTTCCGACAGACAGTGTTTCTGACTTCAGCCCATACCAAGGAGCCCGCCAGCGGTCAGGAAGTGACCTGACCTTAGTCACACCCAGCATCGTCATCACACCTGCCATGCCAATGCAATCAATCTGGTCGCCCGACACCCCATACACAGAGTCTGACTACACTCCAAGTGTTTATTCTCGCTACACATTCAATCATCAAACTGACGTACCCCCCGTTCCAGCGCTTCCTCTGGGCATGACCGGACCAGCCGGCGCACCAGTTCATGTAAGGCCAGCGCCTGATTCGCCAACACACAACAGGAACGACACAGTCGACTCCAACGAAACGGCTTTCGAAGAATACGACAATGCTCAGCAGAAGAACCGTGTCATGTCAAGTGATACTTTCTTTGAGGAGGATGAGACACCCTTACGCGAACGGACCGCCGAGCCGTCTCTGGTAGTGGACACTTCGCTTGTGCCAACACCGCGACGCTCACAAGGGTGGTGGAATTTCATCACAACACCGTTTGTCACCACGCCATTGACCGGAACGTGGCCTAAAGGTGATCAGAGCACCCCAAGAACACCTGACGTGCCAACGCTACCACTTGAGTACAGCCGGAGCAACGCAGCGCCAGTTTCATTGCCTACTGACAGTTGGTCGGCGGTGGAGCAGTCCTACGCTGACCGCACTCTGCCTTCGAAGGTGAGATTTCCTGTTGTGGTGCCTGTGCCGGTCAGTGAGAGCACGTCATCACGACATGCCTCTCCTATGACGGCGGCGAGTGAGATCTCCGCAGACATGGCTCCTAGGCCCATAGTGCAGAATAGGAACCACCAAACTGCAGCAACGCCTGACCGTAGTGTGACCTCGCCGCTATCAGCAATGTCTGCGACCCCTGTCGTTGGTACAGCAGCTATGGCGACAGTATTGATGCCACGTCAGGTGGAAGAAGCACCTCGACCTATCAACATCAACATTGAGATGCAAGATCGCCGACCAGATGTCAATGTCCAACTCTTGAATGCCAACTCGCAGCCAGCGACGCAACAAAACCATACATCTTGGCCAGCACCACGCTTTCAGGGCGTTGCGTCATACAACTCAAGGTCTAACAGCCCTTCTCCAAGTCCACCAACGTTCGCTCCTCCTCCTACCTTTGCTTACAAAGGGTCCCACTTCAGCTACGACCACGCAAGCAAAGCAAGCTCATCGATCTCTGTCTCAGATCTTAAGCGACAAAAGAAACACCGAAAGGTGTTTGACGTGAAAATGTTGCTGCCATGTTTGCAGCGAAAACACCAGGAGAAGACAGAGGAGAAGAAGCAGCAGAAGAAGAAGAAGAAGCGGGGATGCTTCTTCTGGTGTTGCGGTTGCTGCCTTATCTTGGTTGTTCTGCTTGCAATCCTGATCCCGATCATTGTTGTTTTCTCCCGGAAGAAACACGACGTGACTCAAACCACCCCGATCGTAAATCAGCCAGGTGGTGAGTCAAAGTCCGAGTGGCTGACCTTGACGAATCTCCCTCCGATCCCTACTGGTGTATTGACTATTGCCCAACCTGAAGCAGTAGAAGAAGAAAGTGGATGCGTTGCACCTACGACTTTGTGGAGCTGCGCACTGCCAAAGGAATTGCAGGAATCGGTAAAGCCCAACAAGCCAGATCAGCCAAACTTCAGGATCGAGATCACATTCGATAACAGTAGCTCATCAACAGCCTCGAAGACACAGACTAAGAAGCGAGCTGCCAATGCCGTCTCGGTCGGTGCGTTCATCCGAGAGCATTTCTTGAACGCTCGTGCGGCAGCTTCGCCATCTCCTGCACCTCCAAACAATGATGACATGGTTTTTCTGGGAAAGACGACAGATGGAAACAGTGCACCATTTAACGGCGAAGAGACACCCCTGTTTGTCTCTTTCCAAGACCCAACGGCCACAGCATCTCGTCTCGCGAAGCGCGCAGGCAATGACCCCACAAACATCACCGCTTCCATCCCTGCTCCGATGCTGAACCCAGACGGGACTGCCGCGCCAGCCAACTTACTTCCCTTGCCTTCTGCGCAACCACTTCGGTTGTACAATCGTGGGAAGGATAATGAGCACTACGGCTTCTACACGTACTACGACCGATCGATATTCCTGAAGCAGATCACCGGAACGAATCGCGGTGGCAACCCTGCGGATACGGATGGCGGCAGCACAGAAGAGGCAGCTACGCTTCGATGCACGTTCTCCGAAACGCGATTCCTGGTTCAGATATGGACGCGCAGCCAGTCGAGCAAGCCACTTCTGCAGAGCTCCACACAAAACGGTTCGGGCAATATGCAGCGGCCAGGAACATTCCCTTACCCGGTCACCGTCACAATCGATCGACATGGTGGTAACGCAGCAAAGAAGAATCTTTACTGTTATGACATGGAGAGCGATGGGACCATCAAAAACGAAGCTTCCAAGCGCTCGTTCCAATTCGAAGATCGCGCCTTCGGAGGCAATCTCGTGAACGGCACTCAGGGGCGCCCGGCCGTGACGGGACCCATTGACGGAGGATCGGGAGGCTGCTCATGCAAGTACCAGAACTGGCTGGATTAAGGCGTCCGGCAGCAGATTTCTGCTCTCTTTACATCGTACCCTGTATTTAGTGGAGCGCTGGATTACATTTTGTCCGCGGCGGCCAATTGGCAGCCTGGAGTCTGCCACGATATGGCAGTGCGTGGCATTGCTTGTCATTGCTTGACCACGGCACATCAGTGAACGCGCACGGCTTGGTCCTACTCGCGTAGCTTAATGAGGACCACTGGATGGATCCCTGTAAAATAATATTACATAGAGCACATACTTAATATTGACATCGACTGTATCATATCACTGCACTGTCCATTTGAAGCAGATGCATGTCTGAGGCTGTCAGAACGGGGCAACACTTCCAGCTGGCCATCGATCCACAAATTGAGCATAGGAGTCTTCGTCCACATCGAATTAGTACATCTTGAGGATAGTTGAGCGCCCTCGACGCTATCCACTGCGAAGGTGCCACCCGCTCATGGCTCCATATGCCGTTCTGACCACCCCCGCTAAAATGTATCAGATCCTCCTCAGCGGCCCACCTCTATTCCCGTCTCCGCGACATGCCCCAGAGGCCAAATGTCGGGCACAGTGCTAGCATGATATGGAGTCGTCTGATATGCAGCCTCAATCGCAGATGGTAGGGTGCTTCACACCGTTCGGTCCTGTGACCACGCCCCCAATCTCACGAAATTGAAATGGGTAATATTCCTGCAACATCGACCATTATGCATTGTCGGATGCACACACGACACGCCGCGCGATGTCACTTCGTGGATCGCGTTGAAGGCAACGGCAACGGGGTCCGCAAATTCAAGCTTGTCAGGCGAGAATCCATGCAGCTCGGGCCAGGATGTGGGTCCTTGGCTAGACTTGGCTGGACTCTCAGAGCGAGAGAACTCACCACGTTCTCACAGGACGCTACATGATTGGTCGGTCGCAGCTTCAAATCTTCGAAGGCTTTCGTCGGCTCCGACGCCAGCGACGTTGCAACTGCAGCGACGGCGCCCGGACGGTAGTCTTGCGCCGAGCAGCAGATTGGCGCCATGCTTTGCTTGGACGTGCTTGCGTCAGCTAGGCAAAGCCTTGGTGGGCAAACTCTGACGTCGACGCAATGTTGAAGAGCTCTGTGAAAGTGATTCTGGGGAAACAAGGCTACATATACGGCTCAGGTATTCTGAGGTTAGCAGGTGGGGTTGCCCTGAGCAAGGTGCATCGAACGAGACTAGGTTTGACCTGCCAGAACGCAGACCGCTGCCGTTTATGGCCATTTATGGGGCACACGCGAGCTATTGCCGTGTTGGTCGCGCCGGGGTCACTTGAACTTTCGATTCGCGCCTGCCCGCCGGAGGCGACCGTGGAGACACTAGAAATTTTCAGACTGCTGTTGCTTGTATATAAGCTCTCAGGGTTCTTTCCTGTCGTTCTTCAGCCTCTCTCATTTTGAGCGTTCACACTTGCCGTGCTCTCGTCACTCTTGCCCGGTCCTCCCCCGTGGCCTCCCTTTGCTCAAATTTCAGCGTCGAGGTGCATGCATATTACGCTCTGATACCAACGTTCGACATTGGTTGTCGGTCACCTGCACTACTACACAGGGTCTACCATTTCCACAACCCACCGGAATTCCCGGAAGTATTAATTCGGACACTGCAGCCAGTCACAACTAAGCGCGAAGAACGTGTTACGTTGCAACAATTTACCTGGTATACACTCGGAGCAAGATATCAGGGCTCCATTAGAATCAACGTCATCGGCGACACTAGGCGTGATCCACCATCCAGCATCAAGGTTCAATAGTCCGAAGCTTCGACAACCAAACTGGAGGCTATAAGAGCAACCCTGATTCAAGACCCTAATACCAAATTATTAGCCTTGAACATCTTGGCCGCCATTTAAACCCACCAGAACCAGCACCGCAGCTGCGAACGGCCACAATGGCTACCACACACAGCGAGGAGAACTCGATCCGCGACTATGGGGTCGCTGCGCCTCACGGGCCAAATACCTCTGGTCACCATGCTGCAACACAGGACGTCGACATCCGTGCCGACATGACATCCACTGAGGCAGACATTTTCCATGCTCTGCTTCACCCAGACGATCTCTATGATGCACAGGGTACCTACTGGGCCGATATGCCTCTTGGTCAACGTATCAAGTTCGTGACCAACGTCGACAAGCAAGAAGCCAAAAGGGAGTTTGGCGAATTCTGGCAGTCCTTTAAGACCGATCCGCTCGAGCCCGTAAGGCAGTACTTCAGGAACTACGTGATTCCCGGTGCCGGTCTGGGTCTCGAAGGGTGAGTTTCTCTGCAAGTCCACATTTGAAGAGCTGCATTGACATGTTTTAGTTACGTGCTCTTCTCAATTGGTAACGTCAGGCCTCTTCTGCAGGCCTCATTCCCGCAATGCTGGACAACCTTCGAGATCTGTAACGAGATCTGGACGCAAGCCGTGGACTACCTGGAGATCTGCGGTATCATTGTCGGTCAGATTCTCGTCGGTATCATCGGTGACTGGCTGGGTCGTCGTCACGGTCTCATCCAGGATGCCGTCATCATGTTTCTTGGTCTTCTCATGCTCACTGCTGCCTGGGGTGTTACCCAAAACGGCTGGGTTATCTGCTACGTCTGGTCCCTCTTCTTCTACGGTATCGGTGTTGGTGGCGAGTACCCCATGACTGCAACCGCAGGTATGGAGAACGCTATCGGCTCTGGCAAGGTTTCGACCAAGGAGGATCGTCTGCATCGTGGTCGCAAGGTTACTGGTGCTTTCCTGATGCAGGGTTGGGGCCAGTTCTTCAACCAAGTCATCTTGATTGTCTTGCTTCTGATCTTCCACTCTGGATCCGCACCTCCTTACTCAAAGAAGGTCACGCAGTGGACATACCGCGTCTCTTTCGCCATCCCCGCTGTTGGTACTCTTTGGCTCGTCTACTTCCGTTACTTCAAGATGAAGTCTGCGTCGAAGCAGCTCCAGCTTGCCAAGAAGAAGGCACATGTCACCGGCTACGATGTTGCTTCTCTAAAGCTCACCTTCAGCTACTTCGGACCTCGTCTGATTGCCACTGCCGGTACCTGGTTCGCTAACGATGTCTTCTTCTACGGAAACAAGCTGTTCCAGCACGAGTTCATCAAGGTCATTACTCCCGGCAACAACTCAGTCATGACCGGCTGGCTCTACAACCTGATCAACGTCGGCGTTTCTCTCTGTGGATACTACCTTGCTTCGGTCTTGATTGATAACAAGCTGTACGGACGCAAGTGGATGATGATTATCGGGTTCATGGCTGACTTCATCCTCTTCATTGTGCCTGCTTTCCACTTTGAGTATTTCACACAGCCCGAGCACGTCCACGCTTTCCAGGCCATGTACTTCCTGTCCTCGTTCTTCAACCAATTCGGACCCAACTCCGTCTCCTTCCTAGTTGCTGCCGAGGTCTTCCCTACACCTGTCCGTGCCACCGCCCACGGTTTCTCGGCTGCTGCTGGTAAGGCTGGTGCTCTGCTCGCTTCCATCTTGTACAACTACATCGACACCCAGACCAAGTTCTACTTCGTTCCCTGGTTCGGTCTCATCGGTGCTGCCATGACATGGGTCTTTTTGCCCGACACAACCGGTCTCGACCTCAAGGAGCAGGAGCGCAGATGGGCATGCATCCGTGCCGGTCGCGAGCACGACTACCACGGTATTGCCATCCACTGGAAGCATCTCTCTTGGTGGGAGCGCATGCGCGGCCAGCACAAGGGCTACGACGCTAAGCTTGATTATCAGCAGAAGATCCAGGAGATGCGCGAGGAATGGGCTGAGCACCAGCAGCACAACTTCTCTGAGAAGAAGGGCTGGGAAGAGGCTGAGCACGATGACCAGTTTGACGCCGATGTTCACAACTACTTCAAGCGTACGACTGACGGCAACGGCCAGACATCGTCGGGCCTGTTGCAGCCTCAGGGTCAGGAGAAGAGGGCGGACGGCAGCGATTCTGGTGTTAGCGATGAGATTACAAGGGAGAAGTAGAGCACTTCTTCCAAGGGCACTTGCATCATTCGGCGTATTAGGAAAAGATACCACATGATTACATTAATGAAACATGTCACACTTCAAGCCATTTACCCATGATTTAACCACGTTGCTTGTTCGCAAAGAAAGGCCACCGAGCGACGGTCACTGGTGGTCGACACAGGGTTTCAGGAGGTCCGACTTCATCAATATCCAACCTTTGGCGGCGCCATAGCTCACCCTATCGGCGACCAGCAGGCGCAAGACTACGTCCCAACGGTTCACAGAGTGTCCAGGCCAGGACACAGCATGTTTCAGGCAGGAGCCAGACTCGCTGCAAGCCGACCAAAGACGATCGTCATGACAACAAGAAACACGCCCGCACAGCACGAAAGTCGGGGTACTGCATGCAGCGCTTTCGATCGGCTTGGGGCCGGCGGGGTTGCCGGGGTGCTACAGTGCGATTGATGGGCTGTGGTGCGATTCTGTGTGATGCCAATGATGGTTGCACGACGGAGGCTTAGAACCTACCTAGAAAGGCTGGTAGCTGGGATCAAATGCCGGGGCGGCAGCGGTCGCGGAAAGGATTGGCAGTGCGCACGTCGATTTGATTTGCGCCGCGCATTCCAGCAAGGGGAGCGATCACCGTTGGGGGGGTGGATGCAGAGACGTCAAACGAGGCTGGTCATCGGTGACGCAGAGGCATGAACAAACGGCTGGTCCTTATCCACGCGCTGCGTTCTGTGCTGGCGACCGTCGGCGTTGGGCCGACTATTCATAGCCTGCAGCAGGTCCCAGCAGCTGGTGGCTCGCTGCACGCGCAGCTTTGTTTGTTGGACGGTGGCGCGTTGGGATCTCCGAGTCGTGCGCGGCTTATCGCGCACTGGCCTGTGATTGGCGTGCCTGACGGCCCGCGTAGAGCCAGCGGGAGACGGGCGTGGAGCCAAACGGCCAGCAGCGCGTTGGGCCAGCCTCCAGACTCGCTGTACCACGGGGGCAGGCTGCGGGCAGACGCACACCGCGGGCTCACTGGGTGCGCCTGCAATTCTGCAAGTCATTGTGATACACCAGGAGCGCTAGGGCAGCCGATGCGGTGCTTCACCGTGGTTGGAGGCTGGCGACCGGGCTGCTAACAGGCTTTGAGGACGTTGATGCGGTCGATAACGACTTAGTGCCGCCTTCCTGGCAAGGAGCTTGTTTGTTTCCCTGTCTTTACACCGTGGGGCCGTGCGTGCATTCGCTGGGGCGGGAAGGGAGCAGTGAAACAAGCTCAGCAGCCGCGCAGCTGCTGGCAATAAATTGAGTGCATTCCTCTCGCTTTCGCTGCTTGCTTCTCCTCACCCAGTCCATCATCAATCCCGCGCATCAATCAATTCTTCGCCCAAGTCGACCGGTGTCATCGCTATCACTCTCACAGACCAAACACACTTAACCGCCAACATGCGTTTCGCTGTCTCCGTCTTTGCCCTGGCTGCCACCGCCGCCGCCCAGGTGCAGACCATCACCCAGATCGGCGACGGTCAGATCCAGGCTCCTCCTGTCAGCGCCACTGCGCCCGTCTCCTCGGTCCCCGCCGTGGCTTCGTCGGTTTCTGAGGTGCCTCCGGTCTCCATGCCCTCGCCTGGTAAGTCACTTGACTACAATCTTGGACCCATCAAGACTCATACTAACACTGCTTCAGTCGCGCCCCCGGTCTCCATGCCCTCGCCTGGTAAGTCATCTACAATCTTGAACTCACCAAGAGCAGCGTACTAACTCCACATCAGTCGCTCCTCCTACCTTCCCCAGCTCAGCTCCCGCTGTCCCCACTCTGTCCACCTCGGTCACTCCCCCTGCTGCCAACTCCAGCGTGCCCGTTGCCAGCTCTGCCGTGCCCTCTGGCACTGCTCCCGCTTCATCTGCGCCCGCCAGCGGTGCCAGCGGCACCTCATCTGTGCCTCCCGAGTCTACTGGCGGCGCATCAGCCAACATGGTCTCCTTCGGCGGCCTTGTCCTCGCCTTCGCTGCCTTCCTCGCATAGACGAGCAGCGCGTGCCTGCGAACATTCCATTCTCACGACTCAGCGGCATGTGAAGGCAGCGTCTAGCTGGCGCCACACCGCGCTTTTAACGACCACACTTTTCGCTACATATTCTCCTTCAACAGCTCGTTGCATGGTCGGCTATATCCGAAAAGCTGGAGTATTGATTACATGGCGGGTAATAATTGGCTCTCGGGGAGGGAAACGGCGCTCGGTCGGGGTAATGACTACGTACTAGCGTCCGCTAATGCAGATCGTCCACGGAAGCCGTGTATAGATAGTCTTGACCAAATACACATGCACCACTGGTGCCGCAATCGTTTAGTATGTGCTGTTCGTGGTTGTGACGTGTGTTGTGGCTGCTCCATGCCTAGTCCACGATTGAGTGACTTCTGAATGCTCACCACTCGAGCCCGGTTGATTTGATCCTCCACCCATGCAGTCTCGATAAATCTCCTCATCTCCACCACTATACACGACCAAACGTTCATCGCGCTACGGGAAGCCCCGTGCATTAGCCCAGCGCCCGCACAGGAACGCGCAGCCACCACTGCCGCTAGAGAATATCACACTACTGAACAATCAAGCTATTGGATTGCTTGGGCTCGGTGGCGCGCCAGCGTGTGTTTCAGCGTTGAGTGGCGGTTTTGCGTTTATAGGCGGGTTGTGATGTGTTTTCCTGTCATGGGTGGTTTGGGTGAGGAGGCTGTTTGGGCAGGGGGTGGATGATGTAGCGTGCGTGGGAGGAAGGTGAGGAGGGTAGGGTAGGGTAGGGTAGGGAAGGGGAGTGTATGTATGTGTTTGCCTAGCTGTCTGCGGGGAGGGATAGTTATGGCGGTACATGACATGACTGGCCTGGAGCGCGGAGGAGAGATGTGGATGATCGAGTTGCGTGGAATGGGTGGTTGGAGGTAGTATGCTGATGTGTCGTGGAGAGGATAGGATAGGATAGGATAGGATAGTCTAGTCTCATCGGCTGCGTGAATTCGTCTCCCATCGCGCTGCGTGTGTATTCGAATCACTCGGAACGAAACACAACATATTCAAGTGATATCAAGTGAGATGCGTCCTGTGGCTTCACATGCCATGCAGCACAGGTTTCTCGCCGCAGTCTGCGGGTGTACATACGCTGGCGTAGGCCGGCGGGGTCAGGTCGCTTGCATGCGGTGCGACGCTGGTTGTGCGTGTCGTTGAGTGTGCGTTGTGTGTGGGTATATACATATGTACATGTAGGAGAGAGAGCGGGGGTGTCGGCACCAGGCCACAGATTGTGTAGTGCTTTGCTTCGTCTTCATGGTGATCTTGTCCGCAGCGATACAGACACGCGGTCAATACCATCGGTCTTCGCTATCGACCTCGACTGCCAGCCTCCGTCTCCGGCCTACGCCAGCTCCAGCTCAATCAGCGAATCCAGACTGTGCGCATGCCGCCACATGCCCACGATCTTCAGTCCCGCGCGCGCATACAGCGCCGCGTGCTCGGCCTCGGTGCGGTGCCGCGACCCCAGCGCCGCCATCAGCTCCCAGTCCAGCGCCGTCTGGCTCCAGTGCGCGCCGGCGTTGGGCACGACGAAGTCGTTGATCAGCACCTTCGAGTAGCCGCGCTTCAGGGCCGGGACGAGGCTGCTCAGGATCTGCGTGTTGACTGGGTCCGACCAGTCTTGGATTATGCTGTGGAGGAAGTATGCGCGGGCGCCTGGGGTGGGTTAGTCAAGTCGGGGGGAGGGACCGGGGAGATGTACCTTTTATGGGCTGCTCGGTGAGGAAGTCGTGGGGCGTCTTGGTGTCTCGGGCGTCGATTTGGGCGTGTTCGATTATCTCAGGGCGGTCTTGGAGGATCAGTTTGCCCGGGATTTGGTCGTTGAAGGCAGCTCTCAGGTCTTTTATGTCGTGGCCTGGGTGCTGTTAGTGAGGTTCCTGATGCCCGACGAGATCAACATACCAGTCCCACCGCCAACGTCCACCAGAAATACACTCTCTTCTCCATCCACCGGGGTCTCGGCACCCTCGATCAATCGCTCGGCAACAGGATAGTAGTCTGTGTCAAACCACCGCTGCCGCCCCATACTCCACACATCCATCATGCTCGCAAACCTCCTCCCCATCTCCTGATCAAACCGTTCAAAGTACTCAAAGTAATGCACGCCCTTCTCAAACGCATGCTGGAACGGCGCCTCGACACTGCTCGTCGGCGCCTGGAACCCATTGGCGCGGAAGAACGCCGGCACCCCGTCGAGCGCTGGCTGGAAGTTATCCACGATATACAGCACCGTGTCCTGGTAGTTCGGTGCCGCGTAGGCGAGCGATGTCGCCGTGGGCGCAAACCTGTCCGGCCCGGTTTCCAGCACCGTCGACATGGCCGCCAGGTGCCGCAGCATGCGGGCCACCAGCACGGGGTCGACGGCGCCCCGCGGCTCGCAGCGTGCAGCGATGGAGGTGCTGGACTCGCCGGCCGCGGGCGTCGTGGTCATGGCTTGGAACAGCTTGATTTCGACGGCCAGGCGGATGACGTTGAGGTGGGTTGGCTGTGCCCAGAGGAGCTGCAGGGCGTTCTCGGTGGGGTGTTGCAGCGAGGCGGTTAGTCGTGAGGCGGCGGCCAGAAGGCCTTCTCTTGCGCCCTGCGCGCCGGTCTTGAGGGCATCGCCCAGGGTGTTGATTTCGCTGAGGATGTCCAGGGTGGCCTGGGACGGCGGTGGTGTCGACGTCATCTTGGGTGTCTTTCTGGCTGTGCTGGTTCCGGGAAGCCCTTGCTCTTTCTCTACAATCAATAACAGCCTTGTGTGATTCCGTCCGTCGAGGACACGTGCGATCTGCGGTGTTGCGGGATGGTGATGTGGGGTGGCCTCGTAGCATCAAGACTCGCTAAACTGGAAGCGCGCATAGTGTGTTGCTGGAGGCAGTAGGATTTGGTTCACAAAGGATTGGCAGGATCTGCCGAGCAAAAGGCGTCGGAAATAAGTTTTGATGCACTGCTGCTGCCTCCCAAAACTGCGTGACGAGAAATCCGCGCCGCGATCATGCAGGCGCAGCAAGACGGCATGGAGACGTCCTCGGCTGTGGATTCTGGGGTCGACCAGGACTACGATCAGGAAAATGACGCGCATCACGTTATCGAGCCGCAAACGGACACGGATACAGCGTCAAGCGACGTTGATGAAGGGTAAATCGGAAACATCCATTCACTGCTTCAAGCTCATGATAATGTAGATACGCGGACTCGGACGCGTCGTCGTTCCTCTCATCCATCCTCTCGGAAGTCAGACGCGGTGTCGAGATAGCTGGACGGCTGTATCCGTCTTACGGCAAACATGAATACGGCATGCCCATTGACGAGAAGGAGATGGACCGCAACGACCTGCAGCACCACAAATACCACCTGCTGCTCAAAGAGCGGCTCTTCGTCGCACCCATCCCAGATGACCAGCTCGCGTCAGGAAACAGCCGGATCCTCGACCTCGGCACGGGGACGGGTATCTGGGCCGTAGACATGGCAGACAAATACCCGTGCGCCGAACTAACCGGCGTCGACATCGCCGCCACCCAGCCCGCCTTCGTCCCGCCCAACTGCACCTTCGAAATCGAAGACATCGAAGACGACTGGGCCTATCGCCCCGCCCACTTCGATTTCATCCACGGCCGCGACCTGATGACCGCCGTCCGCGACTGGCCACGCCTGCTCGCGCAAGCCTACACGCACCTCAAGCCCGGCGGGTGGATCCAGCTGTGCAGCACGATCCCGGGCGCACTGACGGATGACGACAGCATCCCCGCCGACAGCGGGTACGTCGAGTCCGGGCGGCTGTACTTTGAGATGGCGGAGAAGATGGGGGCGCCGCTGGACGCGCCGAAGCAGTGGGCTGAGCAGATGCGGAGCGTGGGTTTTGCAAACGTGCAGGAAGAGGTGTATAAGCTGCCGATGGGATCGTGGCCGCGCAGCAAGCGGCTCCGAACGGTGGGCAGGATGGAACAGATCATGATTTTGGATGGCGGGTTTGAGGCGTATATGCTGCGCGGATACACGCAAGTGCTTGGCGGCAGGCCAGAGGATTTGCAGACGATACTTTCGTCTGCGAAGAGGGAGGTTATGGACCCGAATATTCATACGTATGTGCAGTACTGGATAACGTATGCGATGAAGCCATTTTGAGGATGTGGTTGCTTTGGACATGGAGTTGGCGGCGCTGGACGGACGGAAAACTTGTCTTTGTTGTAGACACTATGTAATGTCTATCTTGCTTCTATAGCTTGCTGGAGCAACTGGCCTATTGGGTTCAGACCTTCCTCGGCGGTGAAAATGTGCTTGGGTATCTCGAATTCGACCTCTGGGTCTTTCTTGAGGTCTCTGTCTAGTTCGGTATCAAGGAGCTGATTGTATTAGTAAGAATCTACAAACTTGAGTGTGATGACTTACAGCTGTGTATGAGTGGTCTAAGAAGTCCTCCAAATTGTAGGATCGTTTTGTAAACTGCTCGGAGATGATTTTTGCTAATGTGGCCACGTTCGGGTGGTAGTGTGACTGCAATGCCTCGAGCTCCCACACACTGCTCTCGATGGCGTTTGTCTCCATCGGATCCAGCTCGTCCATGTCAAAGGGATCGTCCATGCCTTCAAGGTCGAGCTTCTCCTTTAGCGCAGGATCACGGACCTCACGATGCATCATGAATGTGCAAGCCGGGTGGCGCTTGAACATATTGTAGACCCAAGGGATGACAATGACAACGCCGGCGGGCGGGCCGTGCAGAGCTAAGCGTGAGAGGCGTTTGATGAAGCTGGCGACGAGACCCGCTGGCAAATGCGTCGAGGACATGAAGGTATCCAGCAATCTGAAGAAGCGCGACCGGTGCTTCGAATGGAGGAGGCCTTCGTCCAGCAGAGAGTATAGTTTGAGGTAGAATGACGGGTAGTCGAGGTTCTTCTCGGATATGAGATAGTACAGGCCAGACAGAGCGAGGAGCGAGGTGGCGCCGCCGACGTCGTAGGAATCGGTCAGGAAGTCCATGAGCATCTCGGGCTGCTGGAACCAGGGCGCAATCTGGTACGAGAAGACGGTCAGGATGGCCTTGCGCTGGTCCTTGTCGAGCCCGGCGCGCATTGTCGCCAGCCAAGCCTCCTGCGCCTGGAGCTTGTACACCTGCAGTGTCGGGCGTGAGCCCTTGGACTGCGACGCTGTGTGGTAGTTCTTGATGTCGTCTTTCGATTGCGGGACGGTGTCGAGCGACAGCAGCAGCGACAGGCTGTTCGCGGCCACGAGGGTCTTCTCTGTCTTGTCGAGGTCGGTGGCGAGGATGGTCTTGATGGTCTTGAAGGTGTGGAAGCGCACGTCGTCGAAGGTCTTGAAGTACTTGTCGGCAAACTCGTCGCGGTTGGCGTCGTCGGCGGGCAGGCGCAGGAGCGTCTCGATCAGGCGCGAGAGCGGGCCGTTCTTGAGGCTGTACTCGGCGGTGGCCTTGGACTCTTCCTTGACCAGGCGCATGAGCAGGGTCAGGGCGACGGACTGCTTCGCGGGGCTGTCGCTGCGCAGGAAGGCGTGCAGCAGCGTGTCGACGAACTCGCGGTAGCGCTCCTTCAGCCAGGCCACGACGGTCGCCTCGGCCTCGCCCATGCCCTTGCTCTTCGCCATGTCGCCGGCCACCAGCAGGCGCGCGAAGACGCGGCAGAGGGCGACGGCGGCGAGCACGGGGGCGTCGTCGGCGGGCTGCTTGGCGAGCTGCAGCAGGGTCGCGATGTTGTTGTAGTGCCGCCGCGACTCGAGGATCTGCGCCTCGAGCTGCAATATCTCGGCCTGGACATCGCCGTCGTCGCTGGCGGCGCTGGCGGGCGACTTCTGGCGCTTCTTCGACCTGGCCTCGCGGCGCTCGGCCTTGGCGGGGTCGCGCTTCCTCTTCACGCCCGGTGCGGCGGCCGTCTTGGAGCCCGGCATCGTTCGTCTGGTCGCGGGCGGCGTGGTGGTGGTGCGTCTGGCGGCGGGCACAAAAAAGTTCGGAGCCCTTTCGGCTAGCGCGCGCCAAGCGGCAGTCAACCTGCATCCCGAAGAAGCTTGCAGACGGACGACACCACCTCGACCCTCCCCACTTTCATCGCAGCAATGGCTTCTCGTCTCGCAAGGAGCGCGGTTGGTAGGTGTCCGCCGGCTGATGCGACATTGATGCCATTGGCCCGCCACAGCCCCCGTGAGCACGCATAGTAACACTGCACAGGCGCCGCCCGTCTCCGCCCTGCCCTGCCTCTCCGCACCGTGCCCTCGCTCGCCGCCCAGGCCCGCTTCCAGTCCTCGCAGGAGGACCCCAAGAAGAAGGCCGCGAGCATCATGGAGGCCATCCCCGTCCCCGGCAACAGCCCGCTGACCAAGGCCGCCGTGCTGTCCGCCGGCGCTGGTCTGTCCGTCGCCGCCATCAGCAACGAGCTGTACGTCGTCAACGAGGAGTCCATCGTCGCCCTCTCGCTGCTCACCATCTTCTGGGCCGTCGGCAAGTACGCCGGGCCTGCCTGGGCCGACTACGCCAAGCAGCAGAGCGAGAAGATCTCGGGCATCCTGAACAGCGCCCGCGCCGACCACACCAAGGCCGTCAAGGAGCGCATCGAGAGCGTCCAGGACCTCGGCGGCGTCATCGACATCACCAAGACCCTGTTCGAGGTTTCCAAGGTAGGCACAGTGGAGTGTCCAGGAAGAGACACGGCGTGTGCCAGTGTTAGTGTTCAGCGCTGACACCCACCAGGAGACCGCCCAGCTCGAGGCCCAGGCCTACGAGCTCGAGCAGAAGACCGCCATCGCCACCGAGGCCAAGACGGTCCTCGACTCGTGGGTCCGCTACGAGGGCCAGGTCAAGCAGAGGCAGCAGCGCGAGCTCGCCGAGTCCATCATCGCCAAGATCGAGAAGGAGCTCGAGAGCCCCAAGACCCTCAAGTCCATCCTCGACCAGTCCGTCCTGGACGTTGAGCGTGCGTGCACCCATGCCCGCGCCCCGACCAGTGCTAACAACCTGCAGGCATCGTCTCCCAGAAGGCATAAGCGTCCTACACTAGACAATTTCATGTTACATACATCTGTGCAATAGTCCCTGGTTCAATAAGACTACCCTAGGCTTGGAGAACAGCCGAATCGATTTGTTTTTCCTCAGCGCATACACTGCTTCTTGGTGACGGTTATATGTACAGTTGAAGAGTGCTTATTGTCTACAGTTTCGGTCCGCCGTCCTTCTCCAGCAACCCCGTAATCGTCTTCGCCCACATTTCTGCCGCTTCGGGATCAATGGCGTTCATGTCGTAGCTCACACCAAACCCAACGCGCCCTTCCGAGTCGGTCGAGCTTCCAATCAGGAACTCGTTCTCTCTTGCCCGCACACCCATTCTCAGGCCTCTGTAATCCGCGACAAAATCTTTACTCTTGTTGTGCAAATCATAGTCTCCAGGCGCGAGGAACCCTTTCAAGCTCCCCACACTGCTGACTCCACACGTCGCGCTATACCCGCCGTTAGCTTGCAACTCACCCTGCGGATTGCCAACGCCGAGTTGTCTATGCGGCGGAATTTTCGACTCTACACGCTCCAGCATCGCCAAATACCCCGTCGCCAGCAACCGCCCGGGCGCATGCTTGTCCAGCCCAGCGCTGATCTCGCCTTTGTCCGAGGTCTTGAGCCGTTTCTGGTACGCTTTCAATTCGCGGTTCGCCGTCTTGGCTGCGAGTCTGAAGCGCTTCTCAATGGGCAGACTAGAGGGCGTAAATGGCATTGCGACGCCGTCACTGAAGGCGAGCATGCACGAATCCGTGGGCGGCGGGTTGGTAAAGAATGCGCGCGGGTTTAGCGGGAACGAGGCCGTCATGGCGGGAATTTCGGAGGCGCTGAGTGACGGATACCGCAACGCGTGTATGTCCATCATCGCCAGTCCTGCGAGCGCGAAACAGCCCGCCCCGATGCTCAGCTTTGCGGCGCGGCACAGGCTGATCACGCGTGCCGATGCAGACGGCGAGAGCGTTGCATTGATATGGCCCGTTGACATGGGCGGCATGTCTGCGCTCTCGTAGGAGAATAGCTGGGGGTACTTTGGCTGCAGCGGCCTGGCTTTCTCGAGCCGCTCTTGCCGGTACAAAGGGTTCTCGAACGTCGGCGGAGGCGCGCTTTTGACATGCCGCAGCACCCGCAGAATCGCCCATATCCACCGCTGCCTCGCCCTGTTCCCGCCAATCCGCGGATACAAGTCCTCCTGCGCAGGCGGCAGCCGCGCCTCCACCACCCCCGGCTCCAACGACGCCCGAATCTCGTCCTCGATCGCGCCCACCGGCAGATTCAACAGCCGCACAAAGTCCTTGAACCACGCATACGCACTTAGCCCGTCGGAAATCTCATGCGCCATCACCACCAGAAACGCAACCTCGCTCACCCCGTCCGCCCCCCGCCGCCCCGGCAACACATGCAACTTCGACATGCACTCGCGCGGCTCAACCACCCGCCCCGCGTTCAGCGCATGCTCGTGCACATCACTCGCATCGAGCCCCTCGCACGCCCACACCGTGCCCCGCACCGCATCCCCCACCGCCCGCTCCACGTCCCCCGGCACCTCGACGCTGAAGCCCCGCAGCCCCGTGTCCGCGGCGTCAAAGGCCCGGCTGAGCAGTAGCACGTGCCGCAGCCGCAGCGCCGCCCACGCCAGCCCGATGCGCTGCCGCCACTCGCGGGCGGAAAGCGAGTGCACCACGCCGCACCGCAGGGTCGCCGTGATGTCGGCGCGGCCACCCGCGTACTCGCCATCGGCGTCGAAGGATGTCTCGACCAGGCCCAGCGGGCGCGTCCAGCGGCGCGGGTGCGACGCGTCGCGGGTCCAGGCGTGGTAGGAGGTCGCGTAGCGGTCGAGCCAGTGCGCGGCGCGGCGCTGCGTCTCCATGGCATTGAGCGCGCGGTTTCCATTTTCAATTCCTTGCTCTTTCGGGCCCGGCATGGCGGGCTAGTCTTTCTGCGCGGGGTGAGAGGTGTTGGGGTGGAGGGTGGAGGGTTCCGCGCCCTTTGGGGCGCGGCTCCGGGCCCACTGGAGACGGCATAGTGGTGACGATGACGGGTGGTGGGCGGCCACTAGGCTCGTCGGAGCAGGAGTCGTGCGCTGGACGGGCGCTAGTGGGCCGCGGCGTCGTGATCTGACTGTATGCGGATACGACGTGAAGGGATAGTACAGATGAAGTGAAGCACTGTTAGACACATTCTGAATCTCTTTGCTTGATATGGGATTGATCTGGTATTATTGGGGGTATACGCAAGACTACTAAACGCCTCTATGCATGTACAGAAACCGTGTACAGAAACCATGTACAGAAACACCGCTGAAGAAAACGCGAGAAACCTCCATTACACACAGCACAGCAGTCTGGGCCTCTGCGGCGGACAGAACAATGAAAACGTCATCCAGAACCGCTGCGGCTTCTAAACCATCACGTCTTCCATCTCGTCGTCTTCCGATTCGTCGCCGCCGACGTCCGGAGCCAGCGCTGACTGCTGGTTGCTGAGCGTGCGGCCGACGTTGAAGTGCTGCTGGCGCTGCCAGTGGCTCGCGAAGGAGCCCGATTTGACCAAGTGAGCCAGCTCCGGGAGCACCTCTTTGAGGAACTGCTCGGGCTGCCTTGTGCGTGTCTTGAGCGCCTTCATGGACCAGTACTCGTACTCGTCGAACAGGCTGTGCAGCATGTCCAGCAACTCGCGGTGAGAGATACGAGCCGCCTTGTTCTGCTGTGCCTTTGCTTTGGTGGTGGGTTTGATGAATGAGGTGAATTTGCTCTGGACGCTGTTGTAGTTGACAACGCCGGGATCCTTGATGATGACAGTCTCCATGTGCGAGCCTTGGATGGCCTGCTTAAGACGCTGCTGCTCAAAGTCCTTATACTCTTTCGTGGGCAGAGGGATGGCCTGGTACTGGCGTGTTGCATGGCCGATCAAGGCTGTCTGCTTAGGGATTGCCTTTCTGTACTTGCCGCGCTTCTGTATGCCGGCTTTGGGGTTTTGCATGCCATAGCTTCCCGGACCGCCTCGGTAACCCTGGCCAAACCCATTGGGCTTGTAGCCTGGGAGGTCCTTCTCGGTGAAGACATATGTGTTCCCGAGTACGGTATCTGAGCACTCTTGTGGCCGCACTTCATATGCAGTGGGCAATTTCGCCTTGGCGCGCCATCGGTCGTTGAAGAACATCCGCATGGGCTTGCTCTTGTCGATGCCTGTGGTTGTGTTGAAGGCGAGTATTTCGCCAATTTGGATCTGGTCGTCGTCGTTGCCTTCTGCGAGATCATCCCAGTTGGAGACAGCATCGTACAACCACTTCTCGATGCGCGTTAACCAGACGTCGCTCTTGGTGTCTGGCTCGGGCATCGTCATCTCCCCGGTATCCTCGAAGAACTCGTCGTCCATGTACTGCACTGGCGTGCCCGCCTCCGCTTCTTGCTTGATACCGTTCATTTTTGTGAAAGGAGAGTGTAAGGTTGGTAACTGGCTGGAGCCTATTGCGCGACTTTGGGATGCGTCGTTGAGTCTGTCTGTAACAGCGGGTGTGAGTATGATGTGGCTGGTATGAGTATGATGTGGCGCAATGTTTTCTGGCAGAATTTTCGTAGTGAGTGGACGAGTTGGTGTGGTTTCGACGAAATTGTTTTTGAGGAATAAGGATGTAGGTGGGACAATAGATATAGAGAGTTGCGAGAGCCGCATTCACGGTTCGCGCTAACGGCTGCCTGCCAAGCTACCGCGTTTCGTTCAAGAACGATTTTTCGGAGCCATACGTTGAAAATTCGACGATATATAATTATATTAGAATAATAAATACCACTATATATAGCACACAGCCCGTTATATGAAATATAAGCCATCTCAACACTATGCTAGTAAATCGGTCCCGGGCTGGGAGTCTGGGACCAAGGGCCAGATACAGTGGTAAATGGGTAGAAGGCCACGCACCTACTTACCAACGTAGACATAGCTAGAATAATATTAATACTCCCCAAATATTATAGGTAAGTATAATTCTCAAAAATCGTTGTTGCACGAAACACGTTAGTGAAGTAACTAGTCCGCGGTACCAAGCGGTCATAGCTCCCTCCGCCCCTCCCCCACATGAATGTTGCCTTGCACCCTTGAGATATACTGCGCGATCTCATACAGTTCCGTGCTCTGCAGACAATAACATTGCGCCAGCCTCCAGGCCAAGCTCGCCATCACCCTGAATCCTCGACTCTCCGAGCTGTTTGCTCACCCCCGCGGAGATGGCCTCGCCAGCAGTCGCCTCTGCGCTCCAGGACGTACAATCCGCCTCGACCGCCGACAAGCCCGCGCAGTACACATCAATCCTCCAACAAATCATCGGCTCTGCAGATAACCTCGCCGAGAACCTCAACGCATACGCACAAACCCTCCTCGACGACTCAATAGGAATAGTCCAGCTCCGACCGCTCCTCGCTGCCTTCGCAGACGCCTTTGGCCAGGTGAAGAATCCAGATGTCAAGATTGAAGTTGGCGAGAGAGTCGTCACGTTGTTGCAGTCAAAGGGCGCTGGACAGTACGAGGAGCAGGACACATCAATCAAAGAGGCGCTGGCCGACGCATATGAGGCCATCGACGACTTCAGGAAGTCGGCGCAGATACTCGCGTCAATCAACCTGGAGTCAACACAGAAGTCCATAACTGCAGACGACAAAGCAAGAGTATGGATCCGGATCGTGCGGTGCTACTTGGAAGAGGATGACCCAACAAGCGCCTTCTCGCATCTGAATAAGGTCAAGAACATCATCTTCAGTGTCCAAGACAAGGAAACGCGGATGCACTTCCAGCTCAGTCAAGCTCGTATCTACGATGCCCAGCGCTCCTTCCTCGACGCAGCAGCCGCATACTATGCAATGAGCCAAGAATCGCTGGTAGACGAGGAGGAGCGCCTGTCGTCACTAGGAGCTGGCATAATCTGCACGGTTCTCGCGCCAGCTGGCCCACAGCGTGGTAGGATGTTGGCCAAGCTGTACAAGGACGAAAGGGCCAGCTCGCTGCCCGACTACCCCATCCTCGAAAAGATCTTCCTCGACCGTCTCCTCTCGCCCGCCGAGATCAAGGCTTTCGCTACTAAGCTGAGTCCACACCAGCTCGCCAAGACTGCGGATGGGTCAACTGTCCTCGACAAGGCGGTTCTCGAGCACAACCTGCTTGGCGCATCGAAGCTGTACAACAACATCGGGTTTGATCAGTTGGGAGAGCTGCTGGGCATTGACGCCGAAAAGGCGGAGGACTACGCGGCCAAGATGCTGGAGCAGGGTCGTCTTTCGGGGCACATTGACCAGATTGACCGGCTGATCTTCTTTGAGGGCGAGGCCAGTGGCGAGCGGAAAACGGGGCATGCAGAGCGCGTGGTGGGCAAGGAGCTGAGGAAGTGGGATGCGAACGTAATGGGCCTTGCTGAGGAGGTGGAGAAGGTAACGACTATGATCCAGAACCAGTATCCAGAGTTCTATGCCTCGCAGGCTGTGGCCTGAGGTAGGGTAGAGTATGAGCGAACACGAACTCACAATCCAACCGCACTAGCCCAGTGGCTGCGGAGGTCGAGCAGATGGTGTCAATGTGGGTAGCAACAGACCACGACTGTGCGTAGAAGAAGCAAGCCAAGCAGACATCGTGACAGGTAGCAAAGAACTTTAGATGTATGAACGACCTTCATGGTACACGACAAGAATGAAGATACGATTGATTCAATTCGGAGTCTCTTGCAGTAGATCTCGTAGTACAAACATTTCACACCCTAGATACCTTTGTGGCGCATCTACTTCACGCAGCCCTCCTGCAGCACAATCAACCACCACACCAACCATCGTGGCCACCGAAACCCCAACAAATCCACAAAGCAGCATCGACTACATGATCAGAATCCGCGCTCAATGACTACCACATGCGCATCCAGCTCAGTCAGCGAGCCGCACTAGTGCCGGACTTAAGACGGACACACCGCCACCAAACACCATAAGTCCTCCTGGTACCAGTGCTTCGGGTAGTAAATTTGTTCTGTTGCCCGGAGCGGGGTTCAACTATGCCGTCCAAGACCCGCCTGCGGGTAGGCCGTTGCAAGCAAGCGTGGCGTTGTGTGTAAGGCGGCCCGCGGCTAGGTCAGTAGATGATGGGGTTTGTGGCCTCAGGTGTTGATCCTTCGTGGTTTGAGGGAGGGACGGGTTTCTGCTGGCGGACATAGCGGGAGTACGCTGGTTGGAGCAGCGTGGTGTGGGCAATATAAAGCGTGGTGGAGTATGGGTGTTGTGCTTCATCAATACCGTTGCTTCTTCTTCTGTACGATATACAGCTCCTCTCGTCGTTGCTCTAGTTCTGGCCATGGCTCATATCAATCGTCTCAAGGACGCCCGTGTCTTCGTGTTTGGCGGGACGTCGGGCATTGGCTATGCGGTGGCCAACATGGCGCTGTCGAACGGTGCGCGCGTCACTATCTCCGGATCCGCACAGCCCAAGGTCGACACCAAGGTCAAACAGCTCCAGGCGTTGTATCCCGATCTGCCAGCCGAGAACATCACGGGCTACGCCTGCGATCTGCTCGACGTCGCGAACCTTGAATCCAACCTGACCGCGCTCTTCGAGAAGGCGACGGACGGCGGCAGCAAGAAGATCGACCACATCGCTTTCACGGCGGGCGATGCGTTATCTCTTCCCACCGTAGCAAAGGTCACGCCCGAGACCCTCCTCGCAGGTTTCACCGTTCGCATTGTCGCGGCCAGCCTCGTCGCCAAGCTGCTCACAACCGGAAAATACATGCCGCAGTCCGTCAACTCGTCGTTCACGGTGACGGGCGGGACCAACACGCACAAGCCCTTCCCCGACTGGACATTCGTGGCGACTGTAGGCGCCGCTGCCGAGGGACTCACGCGCGGGCTAGCCGTTGATCTGGCACCGATTCGCTCGAACATTGTGATTCCGGGGGCTATTCAGACCGAGCTGCTGCAGCCGTTGTTGGATGGGATGGATGAGGAGGCAGAGGCGAAGTGGAAGCGAGTGGCCAGTTTGTCGGGCACGCTGGGGCAGCCGGAGGAGATTGCCGAGGCGTACGGATATCTTATGAAGGATAAGTTTGCGAACGGAAGTCAGGTAACCAGTGATGGAGGGAGGTTGTTGAATCCTGCTGGAAATTGATGATGGATGTAGTTCATCAACATCGAGCTTGCCGCCGTCCGCGCCGGTACAATACCATTGAGTGTATCTGAATGCCTGTTCCATTTTCGTCTTTGCCGCAGTCTACCCGTTCCCAGAATCGTTTCGGTCCCTCAGCTTCGGTCGTCGATTCTCGGGGGCATCAAGATTCGCGACCCTGATGATGAGCGACATATACTTGCACATCAACTCGTTCACTGCCCTCCCGGACTGGTCGATAGTCAGGTCAGCAAAGAAGCACTTGGCATCCTGTAGAAGTATTGGTCAGCGGTGTCCACGGCATACCTGGGCCCAGCGCAAATGCGGTCGCAGTAAAAACAAGAAAGGGTACAAACATAGCCAACCCAGATCTTCGTGATAATGCCCGTAATCTATCAAAACATTGCCAGAAGCATCGCCAAATCCAAATGGTGCCGGAGTTGCTGTTGCTGTCATCCAACTTACTCCTTCATTGCTCATATCCGCCTCTTGTGCAGGCGTGGCTGAGATGACGGCTGCCCAATCGATTGTCTGCCAATCTATAAGCTCGTTCTCTTTAAGGCTGTTTTGTAAGGGCCCCGGAGGGCTGCTCGCGTTATCGATACTTGGAGAGTGCGCGTTAAGGTATGGTTCAAGTCTGAGGGTGAGGAGTCAAGTATAAGTAAAAGAACGAATGGGTTCAATGTGGGTGTAGTAATCTAACCTGAGGTGAACTATTCTGTCCCACAGATGACAGACGGACTCGTCCAGCTTGTAGTTGACCCAGCCACAAAGACTTAGTCTGTCAAGTAATGCATCGGCAGAGTCGATGTTGAACTCTGCGCACGCAAGGGAGGACTGATGGACAAACCATGCGCTCTCTGCTGATCCTTCTGCCGAGATACCACCGACAGATAGGATCCAAAGAAGCAAGTCTGGACACGATTGCCACTCGACGCGCGTCGTGCAATTCAGGGCGCTTTCGAGCCGCTTGCTTGCGATGAAGTGGAGTTGATGAACGTCTGAAGGTCTCTTTAGTGCTTCAGTTGTTCGTACGGTGAAAATGATCAATGCAACACAAAGTGCGCCTTCAAGCGGTGTGATGAGAGGCTCTCTTTCGCTCATCCATGCGAGCAACAAGCACTCCAGCACGCATGAGTAATTTTGGATGTCGAGCGCGTCGAGCGGGCTCTCTGTTTCATCATACCAGGCGTTCAGATCAGCGGCAAGTATTAGCACAGACTCAAGCAACTCGACAAGAGACTCTGTCAGACCTGCATACCGGCACAGACCGATGAGATGTTGTGAGAAGTTCGGAACATAACCTCGTGGATGATGAGGGAAGTTTGCGGTGCGAATGTATTGTAATGTTGTGGGGTTAGGAGCTGCAAAAGCGGCTATAGCGTGTGCTGTAGTATGCCTGATGCTCAGTAAGCGTTTGCCAACCGCTTTGGGCCATGCACAAAGCGTGGTGTTACATACCAAAGTATAAAGGCCTGTAATATACGATTTGTGCCAACAGCACCTAGGCCACCCCGCAGATGTAACATCTCTCGCAAGCCGTTCAGGTGCATTGCCGTTGCATTCGGCTGCTCGTCGCGCGTTGCTTTCCCTCTGAACTGAGGCATCATCAAACCTTCTTCAACCGTCAGAAGGTTGAACACAGCACCAAGATTCGCGTCTGAGAAGCGAACAGCACGATCTTGTGCCGATAACGCCTTGTTCACCGCTGAGATGGCCTTTGCGCGATGATCAAGGATCGTCTTGACGGTACCCTTCCCAAAGACGAACATGTGCAGAGCAATTGTACTAAGCAAACTGTGCATGAAACCTCTGTTACTCAGTGCCGTATCAAACCATTCTGACTTCATCAGGGTTGACCTTCGGCGAATGTCAACACCGATTATGCCAGGGGCCATCTCATGGACGACTATACGACGAGTCAGCACTGTTGACTTCCAACGACCACAGACTTGGGACAAGGCTTCGCCTCGCATTCGCTTGAGCCTGCCGACATCCCGACGGTGGCGCATCGGGTAGTCTCGAGCACTTGACCTCAACCACTGCGATGGAGCTGCCTTTTGCGAGAAGGAACAGAAAGCTTACAATGATCAAGAAGCTCCGATACATCCTTGGTGATTTTGACACAAGACGTGCCAAACGGATCGAGCATGCCTTTGTTAGGCTCCCTTACGGACACGGTAGGTGTGAGCAAGATGCACTTGGGACAGAGTGTCTGGCCGTGGCGGACTACAAAGATGCCGCAATTCGAACAGATGCGTCGCTCACCCACGCCAGCTCTGGTTTGCTCGAACATAGGAAAATAGCCTTGTTGGCCGGACTCCAGGGTAGGACTTGGAGTAGTTGTGTTTGGAGTTGATGGTGCCGGGGGTGTACCGGCACTTCGCGGACTCGCACTTCCTTGCGCTCGTTGTTTTGCAGCTTGCTTGCTCGTTGACCATGGCCGCTCCCTTCTGGCCTTCTGCATAACAAACGAGCGAGCATTGCGTCGTCCTTGGCGAGATGCCTTTGCTTCAGAAGCATCGACAAAGAGGAAGTCCTGTTGGATTGGCACAGTTGGCTCAGAGCGTTGTATAGCCTTGGCGTTTTGATCCTGGTCCTCCATCACACGTTTTGCGGAACCAGGGCCAGCAGGAGGTTGTGTTGCTGACCTGATTTCGGGGGTGTTAGTGGTAATGCAGCTCAACAGGGTACGCCAAAGCGTAAGACGCGAACGGTATCAAAGCCAAGGTCTCGCAATTGATTCTTGCTCACCACCATCCTTACTCGCGTGTCCTTTGAGCGGTGCCGGGGTGCGACTGTCCCGTCTTAGCGATGGATCTGGGGTTCTCGGAGGGGCTGAAGTTGTGCAACTATCAAAGTCCGGATCAGTCCTAGGCTGCTGAGGCGACGGGAACTCGGAGCTGCCGGTGCCTGGTGCCGATATTGAACTCTTTGTTACAATGTGTATCTACACTTTTGTCCAAAGTTATCTGGTAAAACACGTCCCGGAATTGGCAAATATGGCGAGTCACGGTTCTGTGTGTTGCCGCCAACTGATGCTATGTGTCAAACATACACAAAGATAGCATCGCAACCCTGCGATGGTCGATTAGTCTGGAATTATGAACCCAGTATTTGCCTCTCGACTTCCGGGGTATAGGCCAATCGGCTGAGGCCGTCCATAGTTTCGAGACGAGACGCAGAACTGTAGACCCTTACTTATCGTGTCCTATGTATGCATGCTCTTGCAGTGTTTGATTGGTGTGATGAGGCAACGTTGGATTGGCTGGCAGTAGTGAAGAACGTGACAGGGTATTGCAAGGCTGCTCTTTTGGTCGGAGGCTGACACAGTATACTCACCTTCAGAAGACTATCTGTGGCTGAACGGACAACTTATCAGTTAGCATCGGTTTCTGCATCTCCATTGCACGAGCGGGTCTCCAAGGCAATCTCGATGTTGCGTTGTCGGACCTAAGATTTTGGTGCTGGCAGCCGCTGGAGCGGACCCACGTTCCGAGGCTGTTGTTCAGATCCAACAATATCCACGATGGGTCGTCGCAATTCACTCTCACTATCACCTGACCCGAGCGTGGTATTGAGTGAAGAGGTATCTCAAGATTGGCACTACGGGGACGCGCAGACGTGAATTATGTAAGGGGATGCTCCGCCTGGTACCATTGGCAAGAGCATCCAGTGGCCCTGAGCACGTCTCTGGCAACACCGACATGACGGCCAGCGATGGTCTTGCAGAAGGTGAGTCGCGCAAACTGGCTTACGTAGGCGAAGCCGAACTGTATGCATATACTGACTGCAGCGTTTGGCCAGGCCTCTCGCACATTACCACCGAGCTCCTCCGCAACGAGCTGCAACGCCGACAGGAGCAAGCCGAGAAGCCAGCGTGCGGATCGAAAGGCGGCAAGAAGCACTACAACACAGGCATCCATGTCTTTGCATTGGTTCTCATCCTTGCCCTGAGCACAGCAGGTGTGTGTACTCGTGGTGGACTGCTGCCGGCGCAACTGACCATGGATAGCTTGCTCCTTCCCCATCATCGTCAAACGATTCCCTGGCATCCCGGTGCCCTCACGATTCCTGTTCCTGTCGAGACACTTCGGCACCGGCGTGCTCATAGCGACCGCCTTCGTCCACCTCCTCCCTACCGCCTTCGTGTCGCTCACCGATCGATGTCTCCCGCACTTCTGGAACCGCGGCTATCCGGCCATGCCGGGCCTCATAGCCATGACGTCGGTCTTCGTGGTCGTCAGCGTTGAGATGTTCTTTGCATCGAAAGGTGCAGGTCACTCGCATGCAATCGACTACGATACTCTGGGTCACGATGACCACCACGCCCACACCCGGCCGACCCACAAGAGAAGCCACAGCTTCGGGAGATATAGCGCTGGCACTGGTCGAAATATACCGGGCATCGTTCTGCATGATGTAGAGGCTTCGGAACAGTCAGGTCTTATGACAGGACGGTCGCCAGCGCTCTCGCTTGTGTCGCCCACTACGCCGAGCGCACCAAACGGTCGTGCTGCCAGGCAAAGCATCGACAGCATTGACGATTCAGATCTTGACATAAGCCCTGAAGAGCTTGCCAGACAAGACGAGGAAGAAGACTTGGAAGACGAATCCCAGCTGCTGTCACATCCGCATCCAGCCCACGATTCACGCGACCCTTCGCCAGAAACGCCTGAGAAGACAGAGGCACAGAACCAGAAGCTATTGCTACAGTGCTTGCTTCTCGAAGCGGGCATTCTGTTTCACAGCGTGTTCATTGGCATGGCTTTGTCCGTCGCAACAGGAACCTCGTTCATCGTGCTGCTAGTAGCCATCTCGTTCCACCAGACATTCGAAGGCTTTGCATTGGGATCGCGCATCAGCGCCATCCGCTTCCCTGCTGGGTCTCCCAAGCCATGGCTCATGGCACTTGCCTACGGGACTACGACGCCTATAGGTCAAGCGATCGGTCTTGCAATTCACACCCTTTACGATCCATTCAGCCAGACTGGCCTGCTGATGGTTGGCTTTATGAACGCCATCTCGAGTGGTCTTCTGCTGTTTGCAGGTCTGGTAGAGCTTCTTGCGGAGGACTTTCTGAGCGACGAAAGCTACATCACTTTGCAGGGCAAGCGACGACTGCAGGCATGTGCTAGTGTCGTCGCTGGGGCACTGCTCATGGCATTGGTCGGCGCTTGGGCATAGACTTGTCTTCTTCTGGGTATTATATACACTTGATGCTTCGCAGCAGCCTCGACATGTGGCACAAATATGAGATCTTCGTAAATGCATAGTGCTATGCCTCCTCCACAACAATGTTGTAATATGATCAACCTTCATAAGGAGGTGTCTTCTTAGTAGTCTGTGTTACCTACCATCACCTTCCACCCCCGGCCCCCCAGCCTCAATCTCTCTACACCTCGCCACCAAATCACTAATATGCGCATCCTTACTCTCTGCACCCAGCCCCAACAGCGCCTCCTCAAGATTAAACAAATACTCCCTATTCTCGCCACTAGGCCCCTTGCTCTCTAAGATCTTCCGCGCCAGCGCCCCCGGCTCCTGCGGGCCCAGAAACTGCGGGTTCGAGGGGAGCCCGATGTACACGAGGCACCGGATGGGCTCCGCGTGCGCCGCGGGCCGGAACGGCGTGAACTGGATGCTGTACCCGTTGATCTCGCGCAGGTCGAGGTAGTCGCGCACCGCGCGGACGTGTGCCGCGGGGATGTGGTACGCGGCGCCCCAGACGCGCTCGGTGGGCTCGTGCTGGTTGGGTGAGTACATGTGAAAACTGGTTTCTGGGGAAGGGGGGAGGGCTCACGTGGTCGGTGAGGGTGGCCCAGTGCGCGTGGTCGATCAGGGTTACTACGCGCCCCGGGGCTTCGGGGGTGCCTCTGTGGTCTTCGCTCGAGGGGTGTTAGGGGGACTTTGTGGGGTGGTGGGAGAGGATGTACCTAGCCTGGAGAGTGTTTAGTTATGGGGGTTGGATGTCTTGGGTGGGTTGTTGTACCTGCCAGAAACGTCGGACGTAGCCTTCGATGTAGCCAGGGACACGTTGGTCTGTGGAATGCTTAGTGGGAATCATTGTAAGTCCAAAAAGAGGTGCATATACCGAAGTGTGGCGGTGGCTTCCAAATCAAACTCCTGTGCTATATTAAATTCCGTCCTTATGAATTCTGCAGACAGCATATACCCGTAGCCAAACAGCCAGAAGTCATCGTTGCTCCCGAACTCTTCTATCTCTTTCTGGTGGTCTGCCATATCGGTGTTATGCGAATGAGTCTCAAATGTCAGACATCGAAATGTTGTTAGACAATGACGTGGGGCAACAAACAGTGGGGCGTATGCAGGGCAAGTTGCGGAGCTATTCCGATGGCGCGATTTGATGCCATTCGTATCTTTCGTAGATCTTTTTCTCAGCTCTATGTATACAAGTTAAGTGTACAGATGTAAAGTACAACATATTACGAACCACCTGCTGCCCTGCTCATGAAGAAGCTTTTCAGCGGGCCCATGGCATTCACAGCGCTCAGTCCAATACTCCTTAGTCCTACAATTGGCCCTGACTCGATGCTGTACAATCGGTGCAGCTTGTCACAGACGCCCAACATGGCATTGTTCTCTGCATATCGCTCGCTGTTATAGCTCTCCAAAGCCAGTGTCGAGCCAATGTCCTGACCAGTTCGCACTGCGTGCGAAATTGTCTGTACCAGAGCCGCAGCGTCTCCCTGCCCTTGGTTCAGGCCCTGTCCTGCAAGCGGGTGTATAGTATGGGCTGCATCTCCCACGAGAGCGACTCGCTCGCCGGTATATGTGTCGGCGTGACGCATACGAAGGGGAAAGCCGGCAACTGTGCCAGCTTCGACGTTGGTGATGCGCATCGGTATGGCTCGCTCATCGACAGGTGTGTGCTTCTCTCGCCAGGCCACCTCTTCTGCTTGCCCCGATTCGAGCGTGTGCAGGTACTCGAGATCGGTTGGCGACAGCCTGAAGCCGGCATTGACCATAGCAACAAAGTCTTCTGGTGATAGGGCCTTGAGCCTAGCTGCGCGCTCCGGTGTCGTGCTCCATACAAGCGTTGACTTGTTACCAGGAAGGGGCAGCAGTGCCAGAGGTCCCGAAGGCAAAAATCGCTGGTATGCAATCTTGTGATCCTGTCCACCCCAGCCTTGACCTTCGATGCTCAAGCTAGCTACGACACCGAAACGATTGTAGTCGAAACCTCGCGACTCGATATCAGCGAACGTTCGGACAGGGCTGTTTGCGCCATCTGCTCCTACGAGCAACCTAGCAGCCAGTGTCTTGCCGTTTGACAACGTGAGGACGGGCCACGATGTGAAGTCCACTTGTTCCGTGTCTGTGCCCAGCTCGATCGAGCTCACTTTGGTGGAAGTGAACATGTCTACGCCCCCCAGTTCCTCCAGTCGGCTCAAGAGCATAGTAACCGTGTTTGTGTTCTCGATCATATACGCGATTGTAGTCGGCTGTGCGGGATTTCGAGGCGAGAGAAGTGGGCGCGCTGTATCCCAGTCGAAAGATATGCGCGCATCTGAGACGCCATCCCATACTTGCATCTCCTGGTATGGCTGTACTCGTGCTGCGTTCACATGCTTCCATGCCCCAATCTCTACATGCAGAAGTTAGATGGCACTTGTCGCATTGCTTCGTTCATTGGCGCACCTTGCAGGTTCCTGACGGAAGCGGGTGTGAGGGAGCTACATCTATTGGAGAAGCTTTCCAGGCTTGCATCTTTCGACAGTCTATTTTTCTGGATGTCCTGGCCCTCGATCAGAGCGACCTTCAGTCCTCTCGTCACCGGCGACGCCTTCAACCCCGCCAGCAAGCTCAATCCTGCCGGGCCGCCGCCCACACAGACTACATCGTAGACTTCTGGCGCATTTGCGGAGCTCGAGGCAAACCTCCGACCGAGGCGCATTCGCACTACCACCGCTGAGCGCGAAGCGAGCGCTCGGGGCGCTGCGAAAAGCAATCGTGGGGCCATGGCGATCTCAGAAACCCTGTGGCATTGGCGAGCGTGATCGGTTGGGGAAGTCGAAGCTTTGGAGCGGTGGTGTCATGGTGAGCCGCGCATGTTTGCGTTGTTTGGCTGACGACATGAACCCTCGCTCATCATCGAATCGGCTGGCTTCCGAGTGCGGCAAGATCCGCTGCACCAGCATCGCAATCCTTCGAGACTTCCAGACGTCCTTTCCGCTGATCACTTTCCCAGCTTCGACAGGACCAAGGGTTTTATGTCAATATTAGGCTCCGAGGATACTGGTACAGCCATCTCATGAAACAGTATACGGAGGTTTCGCCTCGTCATCGGGTTGCTACGGTGCCTGTGTTGACCGGACCAGACCCACTCTACAGTCACGCCCTGCAGTCACACCCGAGCTCGGACTGCCAACAAGCTACTCACCGTTGTCTACAGCCTCATTTCCCTATTGGATCGACGTGTCAACTGTTTTGTGGTTGCAGTTTCATTTGCGAACAGGCCATGAGATGCAAGCCGTTGGGCTCTGGAGAGTGGTTGTACAAGCAACGCCCAGTTTCCCCTCTCGCTCCCATGGTTACAAGGCCCAAGAGATCTGGAATCGCGTCATGTTGTCGACAGCTGCTACTTGGTTGATGACTGTGCAGAATCGCTGACCCTTCGACTGCACCTCCAAACAGTTCCTGGTCAGTCAATTTGACATCATCGACTCCCAATTTACCCGAAGATACTTACTTAGATCTTTCGAAGCACCCTTCAATCTACGAAGCGCAGTTCCGAGTTTCCTCGATAGCGAACTATTGTTGGGATGACATGGGGAGGAGAGCTTTGACCATGACGTGCAGAGATGCCAACCTTGCTCCAAGATTGGGCAGTCATTGGTATAAATAATCCCCACTTGACTTCGTGATAGACCCCTGTTGTTTAGATGCCAGTGTGCATTAATAGCTTCAGTATTGCTGTTTCATCATGGCCACCTTTGAACAGCGCTTTGGTGCGGTCTCAATATCTTCGCTGTCCTCAAACGACTCCTCTATAGATCAACCTCACCAATCCCCTCACCAATCCCCTCACCAATCCCCTCACCAATCCTCTCACCAATCCTCTCACCCACCCTCAGACGACCCAAGCATGTTACCGAGTATGAAGAAGCGGTTTCGAGCCTTCTGCAAGGGGCAACGTAAACTCTCCCAAGAAAGCCCTGCTAGCTCTCAATGTCAACAAAATATATCACCATCCACGACTGCACTGTCCTCCAGTGAAACCGAAGACCATTCCCCTGTGACAATCGCTCCACACGATCTCTCCCCAGAAGAACCAACCCGAAAGCGAGATCGCATTCAGCAATGGCTCGTTCATCATGCACAACGTCTCGACCGATTCAAGCATCGAGCCCATCGCGACTCAATGTTCGATGAAGCGGACCTTGTGAGAGAGCTCACGCGGGCTTCACAAGAGGTAAACGCTACAGTATCAGGTCCAGATGGCGAACCAATAGATCAACGCGTGATCGATCATTTCTTCATCCTATATCAAGCTTGTGGGAGTAACTGGAGAGACTCTACACGATGGGAACGTCACCAAGCGAGATGCCTCCGAAGACAGTGCGACATCTGTAGAACTCCGGTGAACACAATAGAGGGATTTTCCTCACCATTGAAGGCTCCCTTACCGCCGCCCAAGGATCCAAAACCGCTCACCGAATCGACTTCCTCTGACGATGGTCACCTCTCTATGTCAATGTGGCGCCCGAGATCCCGCAAACGCGAAGAGAAAGGGAAATGGCCAGCTGCCGGTACCGATGAGGAAGCCGCACACGCCTTGGGCAAGATGGTCCACCCCAAAACGCAGGCTCAAGAGAATCAGACAGAACGGTTCAGAAGAATATCGAGACGGCCCAGAGGTAACGTCGTGATCCGAGAGACTGTCCGACGCACACAAAGGAAGCCTGTTATCTGCTCTGTCGTCCCATATTCTCTGGACTCCTCCAGAATCCCCGTCCCTGCCGTCCCAGACCTGAAGCCAGCATCGTCGGCGGGCCTCGACCTACGCAACCTCGCCCACGCCACAGGCCGCCCGTATGAAGGCTGCCCCCTCGATGAAGGACGCCTACCCTTCCCCTTGGCGGGAAGAACGTACCTGCCTCCAACAGCACCCAAGATCAAACCCGCCCCAGCGCCCCTATACCTGAAGGACTCCTCACCAGCATCTTCAGACGAGCGCATCTTCCACATGTCGCCGCCTGCATCCCCGGACCTGACCCCGACATACGTGCAGCGCGGCTTCCACTCCACCATCAGACTCGTCGAAGCCCCCACCGATGAAGTCCGCAACAATGCCCCCCACGCTGTCTCGCGAGTCGAGCAGCGCGAAGCCGCCGACGCCGACGTCCGCACTCTGATCAACGACCTCAGCCATGATGTATCGCAGCCTCGACCCAGACGCCAACCCAACGCAGACACTATCTATAATGTAGTCAACAAGATGCACCGCGTCTCCGCCCCAATCACCAAGCTCCCGCCTACGCCCCCTGACTCGCGGCCCAACAGTGCGTCTTGCGCTGCGGACGTCGTGAACAAGTCGTACGGCGGCGTGGTGACAGCCGCGCATCCAGAGCAAGTGCAGGACAAGTCGGCGTGCAAGCTGTCTGATACTACTGGAGAGCTGTTACAGGATTGCCCGGTGTATGAGAGCCCGAGAGAGTCATGGGATAGGAGGTGGGCTGGGACGGCGAGGGGTCGTGGACCAGCGGGAAGATAGGGGTGGAAGATAGGGGTGTGGATATGAAGATATGGACTAACGAACTTACGAAGTATGGATGTAATGTGTAAAGAATGTAAACGACGGACAGATGAATAGGCTAGAGTTGTTAGGGACTTTTTAATCACACCATGTACCATACTTGACCATTTTCAGTCGCACGCTCGATGTCTCGTGTGAGAGCCGACGTCAGATCTGCCTTTGTTACACTACACTTACGTCGAGATAGCCACGGTTGTACGCTATACGCACCTAGCAGTAGCCATGGTAGTACTATAGCGTCTCTATTTCAACCTCACACATTCAAGGGAGGCAAGGGCAACATATCACGGACAAAATTGCCGTGGAAGGCGACAAGGGCAATGGAAGTAGAGTGTTTGCACGAGTGTTGATGATTCGCCAGAACTCCTTGCTGATACAGAACTAACAACTCCGGGCTACATGATGGTGATGCAAATGCTACTTTTTGCCAGTATTAGTCGCATCCTGTATGATGCGCCTTGCTAATTAAACTCCCAGTTTGCTTTCAAATGAGCGGCAAGTACCGTTGGGTATCTGTGGTGTGAAATGACTGTATGTATCCCGGACGCTATGCATGGAGAAGATCCGGAAGAAAAATTTACGTTTAATGGACGAGCGGCGCGGAAAAATCCACGGCTTACAGCAGGACAGCGAATCCCAAGAATACGCTGCCGAAGAGCACAGCCATGCTGGTAGCAGCGCCAGGGACGAAGGTGGCGGAGGCAGACGAGCCCGAACCCGAGCCCGAACTACCAGAGGTAGCAGCAGCGCCACCGAAGCCTGTAGCGGGAGGACGAGTGGTCGTAGCAGATCCACCAGCAGACCCAGTGGCAGATCCAGTGGCCGAGGAAGAACTCGACGTAGCGTTGCCCAAGAAGGGAGACTGAGCGCCACAAGGGTGGTCGGCACGGCAGCTGTCTTGGCAGGTAGCGTCGCCGTTGCAGTTGGCGACACACTGGTTGCCCCACTCTTGGCAGATGAAGAAGGGCAGCGTTTGGGAGTACTGGGTGATGTTGGGGGAGACGCCGTTATCGCAGACACAGCTGTAGCTCAACGCATCCTGTGGCGGTGTTAGCTAGGGTTTTAGGCAAATGTTGGGACTGTTGAGGAGCGTGAAGGAGGGTGAGCCAATGACGGCCATGTCCGTCTGAGCGCTACGGCATTGACACCTGCCCGTCATCACACTCCTCGCAGTCTGTGTAGTGGAATTGTGAGGCTTACGGGATCGCAGTCGTTGACCGAAGTGGTCTGGGTGGTGACGCCGGGCTGCTGAAGGCAAATGAGCGGGCATTGAGCAATGTTCTGGTCACACCAGAATTCTGCGGTAAAGTCAGACGCAGTCCAGACATGTCATGATGCTTGCACCTACGTCTGTTGGCCGGGGTGACGCTATCCGGATCGATGCGGTAGGGGTAGTCATTCTGAGTATTCTCCTGAGCTGCGGCAAAGCCGGCAAAGGCAGCGAGGCCGAGGGCGAGTGCGGAGTGCATTTTGACGGTGTGTGTTGTGAGGTTTGCAGAAAAAACTGGGTACGAGACTGCGAAGATGTATGAGCTTGGATGTTCAGAGGAAATTGCCCGAGGTGCGGAGTTATAGTTTGGAATGCACGTACCTATGCTGGCTTGGATGCTAAGAGTGGCACAATCTTAAAAGAGGAGACGGTCAGCGACAGACAGAATTCGAGCACGCTTTCGATAAGCAATTTCTCGTGCAAGAGGGCAATTCTCAACAGCGAGCGTGAGTGCAGGCAGAGTGGCGGGAGGGTGCAGCGCGGTATATAAGGGAACGATCATGAGGACGGCAATGGCGCACGTCCAGTGCTTGGGCCTATCTCGATCCACTAGCTCGGAGCTTGGGGAGTCTTCCCGGCACCCGCCACTCGATTTATTGCCGTCTCTCTTGGCCGTTCGAGCCAACAGAAGGGCGGGCAGCGCTGCATGTCTCGCCAGACGCTGTGTGCTGGTGCATTGCGCGGCCTGGGGCTTACAGGCCGCCGTGGAACACCATGAACGAGCAAAGAAATGTTGCTCAAGACCCTTCTCGGGTGTGCTCCGAACAATGGCGGTCTACATCCCTCCGTGCACGGTCGAATCACGACGCGTTATTCTGCCCGCCGTGGCCAGGGTCCCGTGTCTGCACATCATTGTGTCGCCAAAGCGAGGCAAAGGCAGAAACCCGCATCCTTTTGTCTGCTGCTAACGGGACTAAGATATCTGGCTGCAGCGTCGTCCCACCTTAAAGCACTTATCTACCCCTCACCTTCACGCACTTCATCTGACGACTTCCGCCTTCCCGCTCCACGCGCCACCCGCCCAGTCCGCTACTCTGTAGATGGATGGAGCTGGCGAGCTCTGAAACTGTGCACGAAAGCCCCCCATCACCGTCCCGTGAAGATGGGGCAAAGCCCGCCACCGCTCGTCCTGAGCGGAACAGCGTAGTCCCGCCGTACTGGCAGAGGCACGAGCGCGACAGTAATCGTCTAAGCTCGTATACCTCGGACGCTGGGGCTCGCATTGTGCTCGAAGACCATACCGATGAGGGCTCTGAGCAGTGTAAAGTGCTTTGGGCGAAGCATGTGTCAATTGACGATTACGTGGTTGTCAGCGGCACAGCGCCAGGACTCGGAGCCTATGCACCTGGCCAGTATGTTGTATGGAACTGCACAGTTGAGACGCTCGATGTAAGTTCTCCAAGAGCCTCACCCCGATCGAGAAGTGGTACACGCGGCCCACATATCGGCTTGCCCAAGCATACTTCCCTGCAGCCAATCATGCCATTTTGGCGTATTCCAAAAGAACGGATCGTGCAGGGAACCACCAAGATGCATGATACAGCTAGACAGCCTATCTTGAGGAGGTCGTTCATGTGGGAACGCAAGCACAGTCGACTAACTAACACCAGGGCGGCCCAATGAAGATTCGCAAGAGGTGTGTATCACCGAGATGCTGCCCCGTGTCTCTACTTACCCCGCTCCAGGTACTCTGAGTTCGAAGACCTTCACCAAAAGCTGGTCAAAACATTCCCTCATGCTGTGGGTTCCATGCCACAGTTTCCACCCAAATCGGTGGTGTGTAAGTCACACACCCTCAGCTCACCCCACTTCTCCACATTCGATGCTGACACGATCGTATAGCACGATTTAGACCGAGGTTCCTCGAGCGGCGAAAGCAGGGTCTATCATACTTCCTGAAGTTCGTTACTACCGTTCACGCTAGCGATATCGACTGACTTAATTTTAGCTGCGTCTTGCTCAACCCAGAGTTTGCGGGATCACCAGTTCTCAAAGATTTCCTGTTCTCGTAAGCAACAGCACGTGGGTGTATTGGATTTGTTCCTTCTAGCATGTTCTTATTAGTGTTCTGTCATGAAGCGGGTTGGATAGTCGATAACAGGATGATGACCAAGTCTGCATTTGAAGGCAAAGCCATGTACATATAATGTGTAATGACAGACCGGTACATACATAGTACATGTACGGCAAGCCGTGCAGGGGCCCTATGCGGACCACGAACCTCAAACCCAAGCAGTGCTGTTGCAAAGTCGATGTCGCAGGTCCAGAATGGCGGCACATGATTGGCTGCAACAACTGTGGCGTCGAGCTATCCTGAAATTTCTCGGAGTTCCTGCAATTTGATTCGATGAAATTGGTTCTAAATTGCAGCAGGACATGGAGGAGGTCGAATCCCATGTACGAGAGCTTAATCTGACCTCACAGGTGCATTGGTGAAGGTGAACGATCTAGCATACGTGCATATACAGCTCAAAGGCGGCCGACTGAGCTCGACCACCCTAACGCCGTCGCGCAGTTTTGCCTTGACCCAGCGCGACACCCTCAATGGCAGCTATGCGTCGCAGTGACTGAAAGATGAGCCTGCGAAACCAGAGACTTCCCCAGCAGCACCATGGCCAACCTCGCCAGGCCCCCAATGCGCTCGCCGACTGAACGTCTCGTGCAGACACGGCTCAATTTCCAAGTCGCGCCTCAGAGCAGTCCCCACAACACGGCCGTCTCGACGCGTCGCTCTAGCAAAAGCGGTCCCCTGGTCGTCCTCGACGACGATGAGAAGACAGTGGAGCAGCTGACGGCATCGCCAGCGCGTCCAGCACCTCCGGCCCGCACCGGCTCGAGGAAGAGGCCCTATGCAGCGCTGGACGACGCTGACACGAGACCACCCACCAAGGTCGTGCACCGTTCACCACACGGCGAATTGGTGCGCATTACGAACGGAGTGCAGACATTGCTTGATATAGATGCCGACGACGTGCCTTCAGGGCGCTCGACACCTCGGCCAGGCAGCGCAGGGAAGCTTGCGGTGCCCGTGCCGGCCGCAGACTCCAGGTCGAAGGATAGGAGGAGCCTGCGAAGCTCAGACGGTGGCTCGCGACTGAAGAGCGACCTCGCCGTCTACTTCTCGAGCTACGACGACATCATCGCAGGCCTGCCGAAGCCTTCTGGTGCGCCCCCTAGCTGTTGTACAGAGATGTCCATTGACCTTTGCATGTAGAATACCTCGACGTCGACACGCCCATATATATTGTCGACGAGCCCCCCAAGTCCAAGACTGCTGCACCGGCCTCACCCGAATCACTTCGCAAATCCGCAAGTCCTGCACGAACACGAAAGCCACGCGCTATCACACCTCCGCGCGATCCCTCGAACCCTCCCATACCTGCTGCACAATCATCCACTACCTTTCAAGTACTCGACTACAGCAGCATAGCCAAGCACATACGGAGCGATGGCGAACAAGATCCATTGGCCGATAGCTACTTCTTCGCACAACATCGTCGTGCTGAGCGAAAAGAGAAGCAGCTGCGCAATATTGAGAAGGAGCGCGCGATGCACGAAAAGCAGCAACTGGAGCGACTACTAGATGGACTACAAGGGCCTGATTGGCTCAGAGTCATGGGTATAACCGGTGTTACAGCTGGAGAGACACGAGACTGGGAGTCGAAACGAGACTACTTTGTCAAAGAAGTAGAGGCGCTTGTGGACAAGTTCCGCGTCTGGAAACAGGAAGAGAAACGCATAAGAGCCGAAAAGGAAGCTGCACTGGCCGCCCGAACGGAGGACGAAGATGAGGAGGGCGAGGAGTCAGAAGCCTCAGAACCTCATAAGGTAAACGGAAAGACCTCACACGTGAAAGATCAGCAACCCAAAGAGCCAGAGCCTCCTAAACCCAAGCGTCCGCCACGACCTCATGGCTTCCTCTTACCCTATATCCCGCCCGAACCTACAACGCCATTCGTATCCTTCTACACAAAACCACATCTACGAGCAGCAGCCTTGGGCAAGCACCGCCATGGACGCAATGCTACAGCCTTTGGGCAACCGATACCAGAGTTCAGCGAGCATGACTTCGAGCTGCCAGAAGACTACATAGACCCGCAGTTCCTGCGTGACAACGCGAGACAACGGAGAAGGAGACAGAGAGAAAGGCAGACAGGCGCGAACACAGAGTCAACTTAGCTTCGGCTTTCTTTCATTACGTACTCGTTTATACCCTTCCTTATATTTCAGCGATGTGGTAGCTGGATAGTCAAGTATTGTAGCATTGTGATACAGGCTTTAGCTCGTAGCTGGCCGAGGACCACATATGGTGAGCTTTTCCTGTGTAAGATACGCCGAAGAATAGCATTGAGCGCATGGCTATTGCTTGCTGATTCATGACCGTTCTTTCGTTCCCAGTCTGACTATCGATTTCAAGTCGTTTAATCCTGCCCTACCCTCCCATCCGTTACCGCACATATTCAGTACTGATATCGGCCCACGCTACAACCCTCAGGCTAGCCAGTCCCTAAGAACTTGACACTGCACCTCTGTTAAAGCCTCTGCATATCCCAGCATTCTGAATGAGAGTGTGCCGATCGGCCATGATCCGATACTGCTTCGTTACCACCCCAGTAGTTCACAGCTGACCTAGGTACTCCACGTTGTCTCGTCGGATCTCGGAAAACTCGGCTGTGGATCGAACGCGCTATGACAATTCTGCGTTGGTCTTTCTCAAGATCGTGCTTCTGAGCTCAGACGAAACTGCCTGGTCTGATGTTAATGGTTTGGGGCATCCAGCCCCACTCTACCTTAAAATGCCTCACGATCGCGGTGACTGGGGTGTTACCCTGTTCTCGCATGTGTGGCAATGGTATCTATGATCTCGGCACTTGATCTTGAGTGCAACAGCCTGCGGGCTCTCCATGTCCCTGGATATGGCACCATCCTTCAGCCATTTGACGGTCATCTTCCAATGTGTACGGGGTTTTTCTTTTGCACCATATCTCATACTTTCTTAGGGTGTCAAGATTACTGGGAAAGTCATATCCATTTGCACCTGCTTGTTTGTAGAGTCGACACTTGTGAGAGGTAACTGTGCAATCTTGAACAAGATGACTGGATAGAGTTACATGAGAAGGAATTTGTGCAATTACTAGGCTTAGATGTTTTCAGTCAAATTGGATCATTCTACAATCTCAGCATCAAGATGCTTAAAGTCATTTATGAAAGTTCCGCCTGAACAATGAATGTTCCGCAAATCCAGGGAACCCAAGTCTACTGATCGAATGTCTTACATCTGCTAGTTGGCCTGATGTTTCAGTCAAGGGTCAAGTTTTGGCAGCACCAACTGTGCGGAAGTCTCCCTGGCCCACTGACTCGATCAGACAAGGGACAGGGAAGAGGGGGGTCATGACTGACTCGAGAACTCGTCGTACAGCAAATCAGAACGTAGATATACCGCTGTCACCCTTGCGGCCCGTGAAGACGGTGGTTTCCTGTTTCAGCCTAGCTAGGACACAAGCGGCATGTTGATCGCTTTTGGCTCCACATGCACTCGTCCCTTCGACACTTCTGTCACAATACCCGACAGTGCAGGTATCGCACTCCACAGCAAAGCACGCCGAAATGATAATGTTGGCCGTTCCGCAGAATGCTTGTAAGAAGAGAGTCGTCTGCGTTCCTGCAGTCAACTTCCTTACACCACCTCCAACATGTCGACGGCTCAGGCTGTGTTGCCTCCATCGGGGACGTCTTTCATCTCCATTGATAACGTACTGATCTTTGCTGGTCTCTGGTTGGTCTACCAAACCCTCAAGATTATCTACAATGTATCACCGCTTCATCCACTCAGTCGCATTCCCGGCGACAAGCTAGCAGCCGCGACGTACTGGCCAGAGTTCTACCACGATGTTGTCAAATTCGGATGCTACACCAAAGAGATCGCGAGGATGCATGAGAAGTATGGTAAGCTAGGGGATTACTGGATTTAGGATGGGCGCATTCGATCTCGATGAACTAACTGACCTACTTGACAGGCCCGATTGTTCGCATCAGCCCGCACGAAGTGCACTGCAATGACATTTCATTTGCGGATGAAATCTATGCTGTGGGCGGGCGCAAACGCGACAAGCCAGTGCATCAGATCAACGGCTCAGCGTAAGCCACCCTCCATGAATCGCAAAATGCATACACTAAACATGTTGCGGCTATAGACTAGGGCAAGCTGGATTTGGTACAGCTGATCACGATTTGCATCGCCTTCGCAGAACTCCTGTAGCGAAGTTCTTCTCACGGGGAATGATTGCAAGACTTGAACCAGAGATCCAGAACCTGGCACAGAAACTGTGCGATAAACTGCTCCGAGAGTCTGGCCGGGAGGCATTTGATGTCACGATGGCATACAGCTGCTTCACGTCTGATGCTATCTCTGGTTACAGCTTTGGCGAGAGCTTTGGCTTCCTTGATCAAGAGGGTTGGTACCCCAACTTCCGCGAACCACTTGCTTCGATCTTGCGACCTGTCTTCATTTTCCGCTTCTTCCCGTGGACAAAGGCCAGTGCTGCACTTGGTAAATACCTGGTTGACTACATGCCTCCAAGTTCTGCTCTCATGATTCGTACGCTGCAGATTGATCTGCCCGAGAAGATGAGACAAGCTAAGGCCGATATCGATGCGGGTATCAGATACGATCGGCCCACTGTATTCGGCACGATCTTGGAATCGGATCTCGTCTCGTTGGAGAAGGAACCGCAAAGGTTAGCTGATGAAGCCGCTGGAGTCATCGGTGCAGGGACAGAGACGACGAGTTGGGCAATGGCTGTGATTACCTATCACCTCCTGACCAAACCCGAGCTTCTTACCAACCTCAGAACCGAGCTACAGTCCGTAGTAAAGGACCCCAAACAGCTACCATCGTGGACTGAGCTTGAGAACCTACCATACCTTGGAGCGGTCATTCAGGAAGGCTTGAGGCTGTCGTATGGTGTCTCAGCTCGTACAGCTCGTGTGCCGACTGAAGAGAACTTGGTCTTCCGTGGCGAATGGAATAAACGGTCGGTCGAGTACATTATTCCGCAGGGCTACGCTATAGGCATGTCAGCTGCCATTACCCACCATGACGAAAAAGTATTCCCCGATTCGTATGCCTTCATCCCCGAGCGCTGGTTGGATGAGAACAATCAGCGAAGAAAGGATGTTGAGCGCAGTATGCTCGCATTCTCCAAAGGCAGCCGGTCCTGTTTGGGCATGAAGTAGGTCGCCAGTCTTGTGGTTGAATATACAGTGCTAACATTTCCAGTCTTGCGCTTTGTGAGCTCAACCTGAGTCTCTCAGCACTCGTTCTACGCGTCCTCCCTCACATGCATCTGTTTGATACAACGGCGGAAGATCTGGCGTATGACCACGACATGTTCATTCCCATGACTAAAGACAACAGAGGCGTACGAGTCACGATTGATTAACTCAGATACCACAATATGTACTCGCACTCAACTCCGGTCTTTTGCTTGCGCGTTCTTCTATTCGAGTCGATACCAAGATTTTGTATAAAGTTATCTTTCGTTATGACAGTATGAATCCAGAACACATCAGCGTTGAGATTACTTGTTTGAGCAGGAGAAGAATTAGCGCGTTAAATCAGGGGTCTGGCTGGATTGCACAACTGACTCGACCCTCAACATGACACGGCTGGCTTGGTCATGATCAGCACGTGAAAGACGCAGCGTCCAACCGCACAAGGCCTCCCGCTTCCGGTTTCACGTGATCATAATCTCGATTCACCGGCGAAGAACCTGGAGTAGCAAAGCGCCGGCATCCGAAAGCCGACGTCTTCCTAATCGGCCCGACATTCACACGGTTGACAGCAGTAGTGACGACCATTGTGGGTCTCTCGAGTAAGAAATTTGTGAAAGCTGCTGTGGGGGCCGTAAGACTTCTAAGGTCTGCTTTCGCTCATCTGACGCAAATTCCTTTCGCGTGGCGCTACGGAAGGATCCCGCTACAATGGGTGTACCCTGTCCATGAACTGCGAATCACTGCCACGCAGACAATTCCTCCAGGATTTTACGAAAGTCAACGCTAACGAAGGTGTGGGTTTGACATTGGCCGTTATAGTAGTTGGCACGTTGACTAGGGCACGGGACGCTGCAGTTGCCTCTCAATCGGGATCTCCGAAATGCTTGAACAGGGACTGGGTTAGGTAAGAACAGGTCAGGATACGATGTCTTTAAGGCCTGCAAATTACCCACAGTCGTCGAGGACAGGAACCCTTGAAACTGTTGGGCCTGCAACATGCCTCTCCTGCTATAGTGGATCCCTTTACCACGGCCAACCTGGGCCCACTGCGTTGTATCCAGGAACGGCTGTTGTAGTGCAAGAGAAGTCAAGATCGACACTATACTACGAATGCCTGCCATAATTGCCTCCAAGCCTACCTTTGTATAAGGTGGAGCGCTGCGCAGTGCACTTGCAGTTTTTGAGCTTTTCGAGGTTGTGTCTCCGCCCATCGACTATTCCCCAGATCATCACCTATGGAGAATCCGAACGTCGATCCTGAAGCGAGGCTCATCACCCCGGATGGGTTTCCACTAACGATCATCGTCACATCGTGCGTCTTCCTCGGTCTTTCCATTCTTGCAGTGTCTTTAAGGACCTATGTTCGACTCGCAAAGGGCACGTTCGGTTATGATGATGCCATTATTGGTTGCGGAACTGTACGTGTAGCCTATCGACTTATCAACAACATGCACTGAACTCTCCCACAGGCCGTCTACACTGCAGTCACTGGTCTGTCGATATACGGTTGTCTCGTGGGACTGGGAAGACTCGAGAAAGATCTCAATGCCTGGCAATACTCCGAAGCCATGAAATACTACATCATCTGGATTCTGATGTATGTTGTCGGCCTAGCGATGGTCAAATCGTCCATCTGCATCACGATACAACGCATTGCTTCTACAAAAAAAGCGCTGGTCTACAGCGTTTGGGTTCTGCTCGCCGTGACATGGATGTCCTTCCTCATTACCTTTCTGGGCACCCTGCTCTATTGTCGACCAGTCCGCGCCATATGGACACCCACTTTGATTCTGAGCGGCGAGGGCTCCTGCGCTCCCGTGGATACGTTCGTCATCATCGGACACGTTGCAACAGTTTCTACAATTGCCACTGATTTGGCATTGGTCGTAGTACCGGCTGTCATGCTGTGGAACACGCAAATGAAGCGACAGGCAAAATTCCAGGCTTTCGGTCTGCTGTCGTTCGCTTCCATGTATGTTTTTGCATCTCAGATGGAAGTCAAATACTCACACACTACAGCGCATCAGTCATCACGATGGTCCGGATACCCTACGTCAACAAGTTTGAGAAAATGACAGACCTGCAATGTAAGAACACTGCCACACGGAACGATTTTGAAGCTAATGACGTACCCAGTCTGGGTCGCACACACCATGCTCTGCTCCAACATTGAAACCGGCATTGGTTGCATAGCTTCCTCGGTCCCCTCGTTACGCCATTTCTTCCGACGCGGCAACGACGGCAGTTCTGGTCCCAGCAATAATAAGAGGAGTGGAACAGGCACACAGCTTGTAACAGTGGGAGGGTCGCGCCAACAGAAAAGACTTCGCGACAGTTTTCGCAATCCTACGGATATTGGATTCAGCCTGTCGACTGTACATCATGGAAGAGCGGATGATCAGTGGGAGCGTCTCGATGGAGACTCGGATAAAAGCGACGCGCCGATCGATCCGAAGAGGATATACGCTGAACGAAGCTACGCAGTCGATATCGAGTCCGATTCGGAGGCAAGAAAGGGTGGCTACGGGCATGCTTTGTAGACAACACAGCGCCCTGTAATGACATTTATAGATATTTCGAAGACATCGGATACTACGACTAGAGCTGTTTGTGTGATAAGAGTGAGGATACAGAAATGCGTGCGTGCGAGATATTTTGCGAGGATCACAGTATCTACAGCAAACCTATTCTCGGCCTTGAAATCGCTGCGGGTATTGGCTGTTTTGCGCGGACTACGAAGTACTTCGTAAATCAGGAGCCGCGCGACTGGCGCCATACCATTTTGGGCCAAGTGAACTTTGATAGACGGAATGTTCCAGTTCAGAAGGTGAGGTGAAGTGATTGGAAAAGGCAAGTTAACAAGTATACTGTTCTATTCGCTAAGACCGTTACAGCATAATACCGCTAGTTTCTGCGGAAGGCACGAACGCAGGAAGGACAAAGCGAGGAAATCGTACGACAGAGGGCAAGCGCAGCTGAACAAACACCCAGTGAAAGCAATCGCAAAGGAACCGAAAGCGAAAGAACAAACACGCATCCTGCACAGTGCACCAAAGAATCCCACTGACTTGGAACTTGGCAAGCACTTACATTACTCACCACCTTCAATTTACCAACATCGCCAATCGCGACGGGACTGTTCTGAGCCAACGAGATCAACGGAAAAGGATCCAGTACAATACTCAACAGGCATTGCATGGACTACTATCAGTGCTCAACTGAAGCGCTGCGTCAGGAACTGCAGCGCCGTTCCTTCACTTCGTGTGGTAGCCACGATCAGCTCAGCGAGCGTCTTCAATCAGATGACGATGAGCAAGGCTCCGAGGCGACGACGATAATGACTGAAACCCTCATGACAATTGCGCGACCCGAAGTCAATTCAACCCGGACAGGGGAGTTCGGGCAGACATTTTCAGCCGACGAGCTGGTGAACCAAGGTTCATTTGACAAATGATTCCAACACAGCTACTGACCACAATGCAGACATCGTGTATTGGAACTTGAACACCTTCTTTCCGACCCTCCAGCTCTTTTTCGAATCCGGATTTTCATGTACGATCGATGGTGGTCAGTTACCAGGCGCCATTGTTGGTCTTGACTCAAGACTTCGATTTCGTCTGACAGACTGCGCGCATGAAGAACAAGGCCGTTTCACCAAAGGCATAGTACCAGAAAAGTTTGCACGTATGACTGCCAGCATTAAGATACTAGAAGCTACGGTTGCTCAGCGTACAAGCACCGGGGTGCGGCCCACAATCTCTGCAGCCCAGTCATGTAGGTCGAAGGTCCAGGGCCTCAATATCGTACGCGAATCTCATACAGTAATCGGACTACGACTAAGCGGCATGAACGAGATGGGGTACGTTTGGGCGAAGGTCGAAACACCACTGAGAACGGCTGAGGGGCGTATTTGGGGAAATGTGAGACTTGCTGGGCTGAGGAATGACATCCCAGCTCCTTTCCTGGGACTTGCAGCCGATTGCCCAGCAGCGGAAGGCAAGCTGAAGGTAGTGGAGAAGGGTAGCATAATCGAGCTGCCATCAACGACTTTGGGAGGTCGAGACAATTCCGGGCGAGTTTGGATATGAGCGACTGACCACGTCTCCGGCTTGGATATCTTCACGTATCATGTAGATTTGTCATGTCTAAAGATAACTCGACGTTGTCTGTCAATGTCAGCAAGTATCTACAGTAAGATGCACTGATACGAGCGTCGTATCTCGATTTGACAGTTTCTCTATCAATGATCACATCAGATAAGCTGAGCTCAAGGGTGTGACGACGTGGTGGGCTTTAAACCGTATGCAAAGCCACGCTCAATGTTGTCAGCTGGGAAGGCCACCGCGTATTGATTGGCCACCAGACGTTACTACATTTGTCAGGTACTGGTCCCAAACGATTGGCATCCGGAGGCTGCGGGTGTAAGGACGTTTGTATGAAGTGGGGTATGGCACCGAGACTGCCCAGACCGACATAAAGGTACCCACTCCCCGCCTCAGCTCACTTCGATTCTGCAATTCCACTCCAGCTCAATTCTATCGCACAACACACTCCTCGGTCAGTATAATTTTGTTATCTTTTTGCTTCTACTTACCGCTCAAAGATATCCACCCAACAGTCTCGAATCTTCAAAATGTCTGGCGCACTAGCAATCGTCCTCTACCCTCGCAAGGATGGCGCGACATTCGACCTCGACTACTACCACGCAACGCACATGCCGCTTGCCAAGGAGACATGGACGAAGCACGGCCTGAAGAGCTTCACCGTTGTTCAGCTCAGCCCAGAGAACCAGTACAGCATAGCCGCGACCCTGAACTTCGAAAGTCAGGAGGCGCTCGGCAAGGCGTTGGCAGACCCTGCCACGAAGGCGGTTATGGACGACGTTCCCAACTTCAGCAGCGAGAAGCCTGTCATTGTTGCTGGCAACATCACCCTTCAGGGCTAGATGCGGATTGTGTAAGGAGATGACGAGGCTCAAGTAGGCTGTATGGAGCTCTGGCAGAATGGAGGGGTAGCTCTTGTTTCGATGCAGGGCCCCGCACTAGAGCAGCATCGCCGAGGTACCTCCTCGCACTTCACATTGCAATGCATGACAATTACCCACGATTCATCGATCCAATTGACTTTCAGTCTGAAGCACGAAACACAATGCAGTCTTCTCCTCGCCGCTCAAGACATTCCCGCAATCTAGACCGGCTGCACCTGCCCTTTCTTTAGAAGCTCTCACATAAGCCGCGATGCCCTTCCTGGCTGAAGAGCACATCGACATACCCACTACTGATCTGCTGTCATGGATGTTTGATAAGCAGACTTACGATGCAGACAAAGCTGTGCGTTCATGAAAGCAGTAATGTAGTATAACACGGACTGACCATCAAAGATCTACGTCGATGCAGCAGAGCCAGAACGATCTATCTCCTCCAAACAGGCAAGAAGCGTAACAAAGAAGCTATGTGCTGGTTTCAAGTCAATTGGGCTGAAGGAGGGCGATTGCGTTTGCATGCTGTCCTTCAATGATGTGAGCTCTCCTGTCTGGCCCTCGAACCTCCTATGCTTGCTGACATTATCAGATATACTACTCGATGGCCTTCCTAGGCATTCTATCTTTCGGTGGCATCTTTGCCGGCGTCAACCCGTCACACACTACATACGAGCTCGCACATGCCTTTCAGACCGCCGAGATTAAAGCACTCATCGTCGAACCTGAGCTTCTCCCAAATGCTTTGAAAGCAGCTGCGCAAGTTGGCATTCCAATGACCAATATTTTCGTATTCGATCATCACACGTCGATTGCTCAGCCCTGGGTTGACAGTGAAGTCTGGGGCGAAGGACTTGGAGGCGAGGAACGATGGGGTGGAGCCAAAAGCTGGAGATACCTCATGGGCCACGGAGAGAGCGACTGGATAAAATGGGACAACGAAGCGCGAAGCAAGTCAACTACAGCTGCAAGATTGTTCAGCAGCGGTACGACCGGTCTTCCCAAAGCCGTCGAGATGACCCATCATAACTTCATTGCCCAACACACCATGGTCCTTGAGCACAAACCTCGCGACTACGAAGTAATCCGCCTACTATGCACCCCCATGTTCCACGTCTCCAACGTCCCACGCGCTCATACATCACCCCTCCGCGGCGGCCTGCGCACCTATGTAATGCGCCGCTTCGAACTACACTCCTGGCTGCAGAACATCGAGCGCTTCAGCATCACAGAGGCAAACATGGTGCCCCCGATGGTAATCCAGGTCATAAACTCCCCGCTCACATCACAGTATTCCCTCAAATCAATCCGCAACTCCTGGGTCGGCGCCGCCCCGCTCGCCGCAGAACCCCAAGCCCGCTACAAAGCCCTACTGCGCCCCGACACCCCCTTCAACCAGGTCTGGGGCATGAGCGAAACGAGCTGCATAGCGACTATGCTGCACTACCCTGAGCACGACCCGACGGGCTCCGTGGGTCGTTTTCTACCCAACATGGACGCCAAGCTCGTCGACGACGACGGCCGCGACATCACCGCCTTCGATGTGCGCGGCGAGCTGTGCGCGCGCGGCCCGCTGATCGTCAAGGGCTACTACAACAACGCACGCGCGAACGCGGAGAGCTGGGACGCGGACGGGTATTTCCACACGGGTGATGTTGCGGTACGGCGCCGCGAGAACGGGCTGTGGTACATCGTTGACCGCAAGAAGGTATGTATGCAGTGAGACGTAGCAAGAGAGTGGAGAAGTGCTGACGTGCAACACAGGAGCTCATCAAGGTCCGGGGTTTCCAGGTCGCGCCTGCAGAGCTCGAGGGCGTGCTGCTCTCGCACCCGGACGTCAGCGATACAGCTGTGATCGGGGTCGCCGCGGGCGGCGTAAACGCGGTAGCGAATGCGGGAGAGGACGTGAGCGAGATGCCACGGGCGTACATTGTGCTGAAGCACGGGAGCCGGATGGGCGAGATGGAAGTGCAGAGCTATATGAAGGAGCGCTTAGCTGGATACAAGCAGCTGGTCGGAGGAGTGCGCTTCGTGGAGGCAATACCCAAAAACGCCTCTGGCAAGATACTGAAGAAAGATCTGAAGGAAATCGCTAACAGAGAGATGAATGCCAGGCTGTAGACTACATTGCAGACGGCAAGGATGTCCAGTGGAGAACAGAGGTATGTGCATATACATTACTAATATCATCTAATCACAACGCTATTGGGATGTATATATACCAAACACGCGCTTTTGCAGAATGCGATTTCAAGTAGTGCTCCTATCCAATGCACCGACTATGTAGTTTTCTCGCCCCAAAATATATAAACGGAAAATATCTGTAGAACCCAATATATACTAAAATGTTGTAGAACGCTCCTGTAAGCAAGAAAACGTATAGCTGTACGATCTTGCTGTTCCAAGCTCTTCAATGTCTGTGCTGCTGCTGACCATATGGCCTCGTAGGTGGGTACTGGTTCTGGTTTTGCTGCTGCTGTGGTGGGAAGTACTGGCCTTGCATAGATTGAGCGGGTGTTTGAATCCAGCCGCCTGGCACTTGCATTTGAGGTGTCATTGGCTGCTGATTAAAGTACCCTTGCTGAGCGTACATTTGAGCCTGGCCAGGTGTGGAGAAGGCCATGCCGGGCATGCCGGTCGGAGTACCGAGACCCTGGGGTGTGCCCATCATGCTTGGTGCGTAGTTGCTCTGTGCATACATGCTTTGTTGTGCCATGGCCATCTGCTGATTCATGTTCTGCATCTCCATCATTTGGCGCTGGCGGGCTTCCATCTGTCGTTGCTGTTCCTGCATCTGGCGGGCTTCCATTTGCCGTTGCTGTTCCTGCATCTGGCGCTGGTTTTGTTGCATCATCCGCTTATCGATCTCAGCTTGCATAGCAGCAGAGTGACGATTCTGCTGCTTTGCGGCGGCTTTCTCCTTCTCACGGAAATCGATGTAACCTGTCAGCCCGTGTGAAGGCTGCTCCTGTGATTTTTTATTGGAGTTGGTCGACATGTCCAGCATGGGTGTTCCAGTCATACGAGCCACTTGCTCCTGCTCTCGAGCAGACAATGTGGTAGGCTTCGAATCAAGTAGAAGCTCCGCACCTCGGGAAGGTGGCCTGCTGAGCGTGAGTCTACTATTCGGTCGCGCAGCAGGCGAAGGTGGACCTTCTGGTGTACGCTGCAGATGAGCCCAGTCACCAGATCGTGTTCGGTTCATGGGTGGTGGTGTTTGCATCGTGTAGTTCATCAGGGCAGGAGATTGTTGCGCGGCGCGATGCAGTACCCACTCCTCTGCGTCGAGCTTGTGTGCGCTTGATTTGCGTGGAGACGCCATAGCAGGCTGCCATGCAACTTGCCGTGTGTCGAAGTCGTTAGGAGATGCTGAAGTGCTGCGTATGTGTAGTGCAGCATTAGGCGTGGTTCGTCCAGACGAGATATACGAGTTGCGATTATGCATTTCATTGGGTGAAGACGCGAGGTTCTCCTTCGAGCGTGAGAATTCATGGCCTATCGTGACCTGCCCTCCTGTCATTGTTCCGCCTGTACCTGGGCGCTTGTCGTTGAAACCAAGCGCATATGTTGGGCCAAAGTCGATTGAAGGCACATCGGCCGAAGGCTGGACCCTGGGGTCCAAAGTTGGGTGCGTTGCTCCCGAAGATGTATCCATCTGAGACGCGAGACCTGGGTCGCCAATTGTCTTCAAGACACCACTGCGAGGTCGGTCCTCTCTCCTCGCAGGCAGTTTCCGTACTACAACCTCCTCGCTATGCGTACTAGCATAGTCCGGAGTCGACGTTGACACAGCATCGTCATCGTAGCGGCTGCTCGATTTGCTCTGCTGCCTGAATAGTGAGGTTTCTGTCTGATTCAGGGCATCAAGTGCTTCAGGATCAATTACATCCTGTCGTAAACTACCGAGACTTGAGCTAGTGGTCGAGTGCTGCGAGGAGGAGAGGGACCGACCTGGAACTGGTTTACGGTGGATGGGGCCACCGCTGCTACCAGAATGCGGGCGGTGGGGGAGTTCCTGTCTCGTCTGAGACTGTAAGGGCACGCCATGCTCTGGCACTGGAGGTCCTACAGGTTCATACCCCGGCGGTGGCTGCACAAATTCAGCGTGTTCAACGTATGGTGACGCAGGGATTGTAGGCATCCTGTTTTGCGAGCGACCTTCGCGGGTCACAGGGCGTTGGGGGTTTTGCAGATGCATCTGCTGCCCGCGCTCCGCACCATACTCCCCGCTCCTTCTGCTGTGCAGACTCTCCTGGCTTTTCCAGGCAGCTGCCGCACCAGCTACCGCGATACCTGCTGACGAAGGGGCATTCGTAGCATCGACCATCTGATTGAGTGTAGCATTGTCGACGTGTGGGTTTGGTTTTATAGTAGACCCTGGCACTGCAGGCCGGACAGGCGGCTTCTGGTTTGAGGCATGCGCAAATGAAGGTGGGTGGTCTACAGGGCCAACCGGAGGCGCAGAAGCAGCGACTGGAAGTTCAGGCAAATTCACAGGCTCGTGGCCAGGAGATTCATCGGTGTCGGAACCCTCCAACTGTTGAGCCGACCCGTTCTGGGGAGTCCCGTTGTATACACCTCCATGTTGTGGGGGAGTGGGTGGTCTATCGTTGTCATCCATGCTGTGCTGCTGCGCCTGGCCTGAGCGAATCTTCTGTAGGTTGTGCACATTCTCGGATACCGATCGCTGATGACGTGGAGACGCAAAGAGAGCACTTGGTGGTGCCGAATCCACGCGACGGGGTCCTTGTTGTTCAAAGTTGGTTTCCCTCGTGGGCGAAGGTTGCCGAGTAGAGGGCTGTGAACGAATCGAGCCTCCGTCCTGGAATCTAAGGTTCCGTGTCGAGGGGGTGAACCCAGCTCGACTTACCGTATTCCTGCGGCCTCCAGGCACTGGACCACTGTCAGAGTCTGACACTGCGCTCATACGTGTAGACGTTAAATCTTTCAGCTGCTTCCTCCACTGCCTCTCAGACCAGGTCTGGCTACCATCTCTATTGATTAAGCCAGTAACGTCCCAAAGTTCGAGATACCCATATCGCCTATCATTAGGCATTGCGAACATAAGACCTCGGCTATCCAAGACATCTGCAACAAGCTTTTTCGGTCGTCCATAAAGATGGAAGGTATCGAATATTGGGAAGAGGAATTGCAGCATGATCTCAAAGCCTGTGATGGCGGGTCGCGACTCGGGCATGACGAAAACAAAGCCTTCCGTAGTACTCTCTGGCTGAGAGTGCACAGTGATCTTTGCCTCAATCTTGACCAAGGTCGATGAATCGATGAGAGGTTTGGACTGGGGGTAGATGGCGTAGCATGCAAACGCATCCTTGACTGTGGCGATTGGCTTGGTCTTTTTGGTTATCTTTTTCGTCTCGTAAAACTTGATGTCGCCCTTCAGCACGGTTTGCTTCTCATACGGATTCTTCTTGCTCTTCTGGTCCTTCTGCAATTTGGCGTACTCTTTCTGGTCTGGCGGATTGACGACGCACCAGCAGCGGCGCCAAGGAGTACCGGCACCGAAGCGCACGCGAACCCAGTCCTCATAACGGGCGTTTTCTCGGGATAAAATCATGCGAATGTTGTTCAGTGACTTGCCTTTGCCAGCAATCAAAGAGCCCGTGTATGCCTCCTGCAGCGTCGCGTGCTCGTACATGGCGAGTCGAATGGCAGCAGTCCATTGCGTCAGGGCGTGGTACGAGTCGAAGTGGAGAAGATATTTGTTTTTTGCGGCTGTTGATACGCTGAGGATGTGGTCGAGCTTCTTGCCGTCCTTCAGGGTCATGGCGGGAATCTGGTGGGTGTCAGTGGATGTCGGTTGTGTCGTCGCGGGAAACACACCATGTGGATTGCGGCATCAGTGAGATTGATGAAAGTGGGAATCACTTCGCGATCGCCGCCAACCAGATCCAGCTCGCTCGCATCCCACAGGGACATGATGGTGCCCACGAGCTGGACAAAGTACTCCTGCCATTTTCTGTCCGGGGCCGGGCGGCCGCCTGCATATCCGTCAGTATCACAGCAACGGATCTCCGGGCACTTTGGACGTACGGGTGTCTGTGTCGTGGAACTTGAGGAAATAGCCCTCCTGGTACAGCTTGTTCGAGTGGCTGTTCAGGAACGTAAAGATGCGCTGCAGCTCGGGCAGCGTATCGTGGCTGACCTCCATGACGGGCGGCTGGTACGTCTGTATCATGGACATAGGGCGTGAAGAGCGGCCCGTGTCGGTGCGCTGGCGCTGCTGCAGGGCCGGGCTGGGCGAGGCGCGGCCGCTATCGAGGTCATGCAGTGCGGGCGACTCTGCGTGCGGGTTTGCGGACGAGGGCAGCTTCGAGGGCGAATGGGTGGTGGGCGACGCTGGGCCGGGCGAGGTCGTGGCCGACTTGGACTGATGTGCGGAGCCACCCCATTGTGACATGAACGAGAGGACTGTGAGGGAGCGAACGGAGCGCAGCATTAGTGAAGTGCTCTCCTATCAACACGGCTGCCTCGTTAAGCAGCACGGCGTAGGGGTGCTGGGCGCAGCTATTTACCTCTTTTGGGGCGAGCCATGATGGGCGCGCTTTCCTACTGAGCCTGGACGCTCCTCCTCACTACGCAGCACTACAAACACCAGGAAGCGCAGGCAATCTCGCTGCGCGTGGTCGCCGCCGCTGGGTCAGCCGCGCAAGCCACGGATGCACCGGCTCGAGGCAAGGGCACGGAGAGGGAGCGCGGGAGCTAGATGCGTGCACCGGTTGCGAGTCTATGTAACGAGTGACAACAGACACAAGGGTCCCGTGGAGCAAGGAGATTAGAAACGTTCAGTACCTTCGAGCAGGCAAAGGCGCGCGGGCGTGGCCGTAGTTAGGGCGGCGAGTGCAGTACGTATTGTATATGCGGGCCACCGCGGTAGAGCGCAGCAATAATTCTCGGCGCAACGGCAGGGGTGCAGCAAAGATGACGACAAGGGGATCGCCGCAGCCGTGATGTGCTGTGATCTTAAGGCCGACGCAGATGTCACTCGATTCAACCGCGCCAGAGCAGGGAGACAGGAGGTAGTCGACGACGCGCGCTGTGGCTGGCACCGCTGCGAACGTCGGAGCGCCAATATATATGGGGGCTGTCGCTCCACGCTCGCGCCTCAGACTGGCAGCGAGCTTCCGTTTGTCGACGTAATGCAGTCTGTGCCTTTGGCGCCTGCTTACTGGCTCGTCGTATTTCATCGCACCGGTACCTGAGTGCCATGCTGCTCAATCAAACCGGATTCGTACGCCCGCCGACGGCTCCCCGGCACTACGCTCTCTGCTTTTGGCCGACCATGATGATATTGTGAAGGCGGAGTCCTTGGCAATGTCCTGTGGCTGTTGGCAGCGGCGGGGAAAGAACATGGAATGCTGACTGCGAGCAAACAGTACAATGCGAGGTGACAGGAACAGCTGCTCCACTTTCTGGACGAACGGCCGCTGCGTAAATGCTATGCCGCCACGACGGTGTTTCCAATTACCCTCTGTTCAATGTCGCCGTGTTGCTGCACCTCGTACCGACTAAGAGAGAGTGCATTGCCTCTGCCGTGTTGCGCGGCCTGCAGCAGCTTACTTATTGCTAAGACTTAGTCATCTTTGCAGCATCTTGCCAGCCAAGGGTCTTCCCCAGGCCGAAAAGAGCACAAGACGACGTTTATGATCAAAGGCCGCAAGCAGAGTAACAAAGGGTCCGCAGATCGACCGGCTTGGAAAACGCGATGGCACGATGACACGTGATACGTCATGTCGGAGACGAGTCCGCGCCTTTCGCTGTGCACAGGGGCTGGCACAATGTTAAATTTGACATCTTTGACAACATGGGCTTTTCTGATTCGTCAATCGCTTTTCATGAAGGGCCGTGCCAAGCGCAAATGCATGTATAGTCTAATTTGACCGATTCCGCTGAACATTCGTTGCCATTGCTATCAATATTTCATTCTCAAGGTGATTGACTGTGGGTATATCCTTCCACTGGGCCCACCCAAAACGCCGTCGCTGAATGCTAACAATCCGATAAGTACCCATTTTGCAGACTGATTGAGTCTCATACCATTAACTCCAGAAAAAATGCGTACAACCAGCACAGTGAGTCCCCCACCTCAGACATTGTGCATATGAATTAACTTATGAACGGGGCAGCTTGAACCTGGGAACCTTCATTCTCACGATCAATTTGCCACCAGACCTTTCGATCCTCACCAAACCAGTGTTACCGTTTCCATTGACGAGCCCATTAGGTTCGACGCTTTGCCGCTTGAAGGGTCTGTCCTCACTGTTCCCGGCCAACTTTCTCTTCTTATTGTTCCCATTCTTGAATTGTGCAAGCACCTCAGAAGGCAATCTGAGCTTGACGATTTTGCTGCGCTTCGCTTTTGGCTGGCTTTGCTTAGATGGTCCAGGCGTCGGTCGTGGGGCGGGAGTTGAGGTTGCAGATCTTGACGGGGGGGCTGGGGCTGCATTGGTTCGAGGTGGCGGGACACTGGGTCGAGACGGTGCCGGCGTCGACGCCCGAGAATTAGGTGCGGAAGACCCTGGCACGGTCTTGGTCTTGATCTTAATCTTAGGGCCTAACGTGGGGATCGGGGAGTGAATGGGCGATGGGGCCGAGATAACCTTTGGAATATTGACTGGCGCAGGTTTTGGACGAGGTGCTGCGGGTGCTGAAACTGGCACTGGCACTGGCACTGCTGCTGGTGTTGGTGTTGGCGCAGCAGTTGGCAGTGGAGCAGATATCTTTACGACAGAAGCCTGCGTCAAATCCTTCTTCGGCAGTGACACAGGAAGCGGGTTCGAAGGTTTCGGTGGTAGTGTAGGTGATTCCTGCTTGACCGCCGCCGACTGCAGTGTGGGTGATGCTTTGCGCGAAGGTGGTGCCGACATTGGCGCAGGGGATGCGTGCTTGACAGATGGGGAGAAAGCAGGCTTCGCTTTCGACAGAGCTGAAGGCGGCGGAGAAGACGCGTTCCCAGAGGTGCTCGATTTGCTGAACTTGAGTGATAGCTTGGGCTTTGGTGGTGCAACAATATTCGGTGCCGCAGCGCTTGATGCCACGATAGCTGCCGGTAGCGGCTGGACACATGCTTCTCGACGTAGCTCCACTGGCGCGGGTATTGGCAGTGGTATCGGTATCGGCGCTGACACTGGCGCTGCCGCGGGTACAAATGCAGGTGCAGGTGGTACCTCTTTAGGTAGGGGATGCAATGGCTTCGTACGATACCTCTCGGTCTGTAGGAACTGCAATTTTGCTTGGCCGAGATGCTTGACTTTCCAGTAACGTGGAAAGCGAAGCTTGACGGGTAGGGCATTCTTCCTGCGGTCTCGGAAGATCATATCACAGAAATCCAGGAGGTGTGTCATATCGCCAAGAGACAGAGTCCTCGAATTGAGGGCCTCTTCCAATACTAGTCGCAGTGTTTGGTTGTTAACCAGATCCTGCTTCAGTCCGTTGAGTGCTCCTGCTAGCGATTGGCGTGCGAGGCTCGAAGCACGGGCAGAATTGTCCGCTTCCTGATCGATGACAAGGCCACTTGTAACCTCTTGGGATCTGCTTGGCGTGAAGCTTTCTCCTGTCGCAATCTGCCCAATGGCAACATCGAAGATAAGGAGGAGCTGCTTTCTGAAGTAGGGTGAAGGATCTGATCGAACTTCATGCATCAGAAACCTTAGCATGCTGTCCTTTCGGATCATACTTAATCGGACAATACATTCCCAGGCTTTCAATCGTACATTGTCCGCATTGCCGAGCTGGGCGTACTGTGAAAACTCCGAAGGTTTAAACGGCATGACTCGATTGATCACCAGCTTCAGCGTGCATTCGAGACCGGTGGTTGTATAAATATTTTGGAAGGTTGGAATCCACTCGTCCAGCCGTTGATGACGAGTTAGCTCCTCAATGGCCTTCTTAGTAAAGTCAAATTCTTCCGCTTGCGCGCGAAAGTCGAATTCGGTCGTGACACCAGATGGAACGCTGATGAGGCACTCAGCTAGACACCTCATCAGTGTCGAGATGTAATGGTCATCACTGTAATCGTTCCCGCGGTTGTCATTGTATCGCATGAGATCGAGTAGAAAACGTTTCGCCTCCATGGGAGCTTTGCCGTCTTCGCCTTTGATTCTTGCAATTGCTTTGGGAATGGCGCATTGAATGAGGTACAGGCTTCGATCGGAGAAATCGTTGGATCTTGTCATCGGCGATCCTGGCAAACAAAACAGATCCTGGAAAGCTTTTTTTAGATGGAAGAGACCGATCCAGTCCAGACTCTGTTTCGCACTCTGGGCCAGAACATCAGCAGCCATGGTCCGTATACCGTGAAAGTATCGAGTGTCCATGAGCGTCTTGACGAGAAACGTCGATATAAGTTTATCTTCCTTCGTAGCCAGGAATTGAATGGACTAGATTGTCAGCCAACCCAGTGACAGGGGCACGATCACGCTTACCTCAGCCTGTGCAACAACGTCCTTATCTTGCTGCAACTGCGAGATGTACATATAGCTCGGCATTACAACCTTGGCCTTGCAGATCCACTCGAAATCTGCGTCAATGCGGATCCATTCATATGCTTCGCCCTCCTGTTGACGTTCGACTTCAGGAGACCAGTCGCCGAGTTTCCACTCCTGCTGTTCTTCAGGTGATGCGAACACGTCACCCAGCATGTAGAATGTGACATCCTCTTGTGCATCACCGGACGCGTCTAAGCCTGCCGCGGCCGCCAGTCGCTCTTTGTTGAGCCGGTTCCTCTTCAGACGCTTATACTTGGTGTTGTACGGGATTTCAACTTTGACTTTTGATGCGTTGATCTCGACAATGTGCTCATAAGGCGTGCCGTCAGCTTCGTGTATACGAATGGTCATGGGGCCAAGAAACACCGGCCAGTTCTGTGTTGGCGCCAAGTTGTGCATGCTTTCTTTGGTCTTTCGCACAAATTCGTCAGGAGAAAGTGTGCTTCCAAGCGCCAGGACATTCTGTTCTTGTTGGATAGTGAGCACTACAACCTGTTTCTTCTTGTTGAACTGTTGTTCACAGGTGAAGGTAGGAAACCCGGAACCCTCGATCCATTGTTTGAAAAATGTCTCAAGCTTTTGGTGGCCGACTTTCTCACATATGTCGAGGAAGTCATCGGTGGCAATTGCGCCGTTATCGTACTTGCCCTGTCGAGCATTGAACAGCATGCGGTACAGACACCTGTCAACACCATTCTTGCCACTCTGCTTGACGAGACGGTTGTGGAGAACCGAGAGAACGAGCAAGGCTTTGATTTCCATGAAGTCTTGTTCAGCAGGATGCAATTGCAGAAGTGGTCCAAGCTCGATCAGACTCGGCCGCTCATGATCCATTGCAACGATCTTGTCCACCATCTGCTTCTGTCGGAAACGCCAATCGTTGCGGCCAAACAGGTCTCGAAGATATAGCTCAGCCATGAACCATGAGCCACCGATGATTATCCAGTAATCGTAAGGGGAATAAGCTACAACGTCGACTCCGATCCACTGGCTGGCCACTGCGTGCACCAAAACACGTGTTGTATGTTCAAGTGGTTCCCAGACGGTTTCTGGGAAAAGCAGACGCGTGCTGCAGATGGAGAACGAGGCGGTGTGAGCAGCGTCGCAGTCCAAATCGTCCACAAAGGCCAATTTGTAGGCATTGCCAAACGCATAACTTTGAAAGCGCTCCGTAAAGCTATCGAGAGCGCGTGCGAGCATCATGGCACTATTCCGGACTTCATCCTCTTTTCCTGGTAGGCAGAAGGCATGCACCTTCACTGCATTTGATCCGAGGCGTTCGTCATCGGCAGTGTCGCGATACTCTGAAAGATCGACATGTTCGAAGGGACCTATGACGAAACCGATATGCTGTGGCAGAACCGGAGTATCGCAGGTGAAGCTTGCTGTTTTGCGAGACGCATCTGCGTGGTCCGCAATATCGTCGGTCAGAGCGCCTGAACAGATGACTTGCATTTCCATGGCTCTTTCCTCGGCAGACCAATCGCCAAGTTCATCGTCAATATCCGTCATAACGCTGTCTGCCTTATCAACCCCGCTTGCCAGAACCTGTCCATCTCCACCTGTCAGTGCTGGCGCTTTTGCTTTGCTGAGCGCATCGCCGAGTGTCCGCGGATACCGAATAGCAACATCGAAGAGGCATTTGCGTGTACCGTCGTCTATGCAAGGAAATAGACACGATGCCGTTCCCGGGAATGGAGAGTTCCGGGTGAAAGCATGAGGGTAACGTGCGTCTCCGTCCTCAACCCCAACAAATTGGAAGGCGTCGCGAAAGTCGTCCAGCACATAATCGATCTCAAGCCTCAGCGGCGCGTAGAAGACACCCTGAGCACTCTCCAGTTCGCCCACCTCTTCCGGTCGCACTTCCCGTATCTTGATCCTGTCGGGAACAAAGACGACCAACTCATCTGCTGGAGACTTCGGGTCCAAGTGGCGTGCTATCCGATCTTTCGCAAAGTGATACTGCTCCAGGCCCGTGCCAGGGTACAGAGTGAGGCGCTCGTGTAGGTTCGAGTAGCTGTAGCTTGCCGTCTGGCCGTCGATCCGGATGCGCGTTGGCTTGAGCTGCCGAGAGTTGAGGACGATCTCGCGAAAATGGCCCTTCTTGGGCTGAATGTCGAGAACTGTTTTGCCTACGACACGGCGCGGGCAAAAGCTAATGTCCAGCTCCAGCGACTGCTTCAGCACCGTGAACGTGTCGCCCGTCGAGGCATCGTCCGGAATCTCGGCCGTCTCGGTGGGCGCCATGGTGGGCGACGCAGGCGATCCTGCTCCCAAGAATGCGCGGTCGTGTGAGCTTTTCGAGGGCGACGGTGGTTGCTGGGTGCAGCTCGCCGGCAGGCGCGTTGTTCGGCCGCGATTGACGCTCGGGCCTCCGCGGGAGTTTTAGCGTGGCTGCCACTTCACCTGGCACCCGACGTCATTCTCACTTAGTTGCGCAACCAGCTCTGTATTCTGCGGAAGATCTCGAGGGACACATCATCCGGCAGACTTGTATAGTTGGTCCGAAGACCTTGTTGTCTTTCCAGCATCGACGTGTGGAAGAAGCGCAGCATCTCGTACGGTTGCATGCATGAGTAGCAAGCCAGTCAGCGTCCAATCTTATGAATGCCGTATACTTGACTCATGAGCAAACTTGAACCAATTCCGATAGCTCCAAGGTCACTATTGAAGCTGCGTTTAGTCGAAAAATGATCCTCAACTATACAAGTACTCACTGTCAATCAGCAATGGCAAGAACAGGATTTGGGGCGTTTCGCCTGCCGACGGATGCCCGGCCATGGGCTTTTATCGTCCAATAGAATGCATGCATGTCAATGTTACGTCTTTGTAGTCCCGAATCTATGTATGCTTGGTAGTACCACGTGCAAATTGAGCAGCTCCATTCCTCTCGGTTCCTAAAAGCCAGCGTGATTCGTCAGTCGAGGACTTACTGGTCACAAAAATGCCTCTTACTTCATGTTGTAAATACGGCATAGTCAATTTGAAACTGCACGGTAGGTATCTCGCTGCTCTTACATTTATCAACTTCTCTAGTACAGGTTTCTGCGCTCTCTTATCTGTTGATCAACTTACTTCTTCTCAGCTCCGCCTTGCCTTGAAGGACCTTGCTAGAAGTAGGCACTAACAACTTGTAGCCTATTCTATTGGCAGCATGGAGAGAATGGCTTGGTGTAAGCGAATGCGAAATGCAGATCCTACATCCCTGCACATCGCGGTTGTGGCGTTCTTAGCCTATAAGATGACGGTGACACATGTAAATACAGAGATTATAAGAGACGACTGAGTGCTATAGCAACAAGTGATCAGAGAACAACGAAGTGCTGCTTTTGCAATTTGAATCTTTTCCGAAGCTACAAATCTGGCGAGTCGCAACGTCCAAGTCTGCCATGACCATACAAACTATCGCAATTCACACCATCAGTGTGTGCGTCGGTTGCCTATCACTCACCATACTTGGTCTGGTCGCAAATGGTGTTGAACTGAAGGACCAACTCGAATATGCTGCACCTTCAGACTTGAGAAGTACTGGCTTGAGTTTGCTTTTCTGGCCTGCCTGCGGCGGCATCGTAGACTGCTGCCTCTTCCTCTTCCTCTGGTTGAAAACCCCCCTCCAAGATAGCGAAGTCAGTTTCCTATGATCTAGCTGGTTATTCTACGAGATGCTGACGATTATAGCGCAAGATCACAAAGAGATACCTTAACGCGCTTCTCTTTGTAGCTTCTTTCTTCTTCTTACGGCCGCTGATCGTGCTCATATACACCCCAGTCGATCATAGTGTGGAGGCATGGGCATGTGTATTATCGAATCGCGGTAGGGATGGCACTGCGGAGTCGCTTTGCAGAGAGTTACGAAGTGCGCGATTCTTATTGATTCCGCTGTTCGTGCTGGGTGTGATTTTCCTGGCGCTCGTTGCTTGGCTGAGGTTTGGAGGCTATCTAAAACAAACTCATTCAGATAGTGACACGACGAGGAACACGAGGTCAAACGATGTAGAGGTGTGATATTCGATACATGCATTGAGCCTCAAAGTTCCCGTAGTCTGAAAACGCTAGACCTAAATGGTGCTAGTGTGGAGCATGTCTCCACGCGACAGAGCTCTGCGACAACATGACGTTACATGACACAGAATCGCGTTTGTCCAATTGACGCGAATCTGGCCTTTCCTACAGACATCTGGACATGCCTATCAAGCACGTTCTCAATGTAGCCGAGGAGGCTGAGGAAGGATGGGCGAATTCATCTGCCCCATTCAGGCCTGCAAAATCTGGGGTCTGTGTTAACGAGAAGGGCGAAAGTGTAGGAAATGGTCTCTTCGCCAATGTAGATTTCGAGCCCGGACAGCTTTTGGCATCAATCAGGCGACCGATTATGGGCTCATTGGACACTGAGCGCTTACACGACACCTGTGCAAATTGCTACGTCTGGACGGAAGGCGCATCAACAGGTACAAGGACGTATGTTCCAGAGGGCGTCAAAGTTTCGAAGTGCGCAGGATGTCAAAGGTTCCGCTACTGCAGTAAAGTACGTGTAAATGTGCACCTATCGATCTCATTTGCTGACAAGCAACAGGCATGCCAGAAAGCTGCCTGGAACCGAGGTCACAAATACCAATGCAAAATATTCAAGAAGCTCGGTGATAGGGAGATTCCGAAGGCTGTTCTTGCATGCATGGATCTTCTAACAATGAAGAAGCACGACATAATACCGGAACAGGCGTGGGAGATGCTGCTCAGTCTGCCATCTCACATCGAAGACTTCAAAGCGAATGGGAACTACGGTAACATCGAGCTGATGGCAATGGGAGCAAGTCAGTTTTCTGTCACACAAGATTTGTTCGACAAAGACTTTGTAGCAGCCATGTACGCGAGGGTAAGCAAACATAACCTGCCGAACGAAGTATTGGGCTTATCTGGACACAGGTACTCACGAATTCTCTGACACTTATCACGCCTACACTTGACCCCCTGGGCATCATCGTAGATCCGATGCTAGGCCACTTCAACCACTCATGTGACCCTAACGCATACATCATTATGGATGGCGCCGAGGTGAACGTACGATCACTCAAGCCTATCAAGAAGGACGAAGAAATCTTCATCTCGTATATCGACACGACTAATCCCTACTCTCGTCGTCAACACGAGCTCAAACAACGATGGTTTTTCACTTGCAGGTGTGCCAAATGTCAGAAAGGCGCCACCCTTGAGGAAGACAAGTGGGCCATCGATAGCAATGATCTGCCCAAGGAGATGCAAGAAGCCGCCGAAATGATGACTAAGACCGAGGACTTCGCATCCGATCCAGCAAATTATGTCGGGAACTCGAAGATCGAGAAGTTCATCGCCGCGATCCAGGGCAAAGCCTATGCTGAATACGAGGCAGCTCAGCGCGCGACTCCAGAACAAGCAAACGAAATCATTGTGAATGGGATGCGCCTTTGTCACCAATCTAGTCTATGGCCAATTCATCGTCAACCGTTCGCTGCGCTTAGAGACGAATTGATCGTCAACCTGCTTGCAACGGGAGCGTACCCGGTGGCATGGGCACAATGCGCGAAACGCTACAAGCACATCCAACCGAAGCTCTACCCTGTACCGTTCCATCCTGTACGTGTGGTCCAAACCTGGCAGATGGCTATGTTGGCTGCTTATTTTGCTGGCGAAGAGGAGGGAATCGGGGCGCCCGGAGCAAACATGGGGCTGATCGCAATGATGCTCACAAAGCAGGTGCTCGACGCTTCGATGTTGAGTCACGGCCCGAATAGCGCTTTCACGAAGAGTGTGCAGAGCAAAGCGGATGAGATGAGTGAGGAACTGAAGAGGAGCCTAGGCGAGAACCCAAATAGAGATGTGATCAACAAGGAGCTTGAGTCGCAAAAGGAGATACTGATGGAGATGGGTGACTGGATCCCGTACTAGTGCCACTGCGTACGACCACGAGATAGTTTACCTAGGTACTATTGGAACCTCGAAAACATCGTCTGTGAAATCGACCGCTTGTGAGTATAATCAGTTTAAAGCAGAACTGACTAGAGCTTGTTGTCTTCCAGGGGTGTGCGAACCTAGCAACTTTCACGTTCACTGTCACTTGGCTGATGCAGCCCACCTTCACTCATTTCGGTGAGAAAACTTGCTGTTGGGTCTTGGCCCTGAGCAACTCTTCCTTGACCTCAACGATACACTCCACTCCCCACTGCACACCAACATCCGCCCTTACAACACTTGCGACAGTCAAGATGCCTCCAAAATCCGCTGCCAACGGCGACAACAAGGCAGGAAAGACGTACAGCGCTGATGTCGTCGCCGCGGTTCTATACGCCAGTGGTACCACGTCGCTTACCATGAAACACTACGAGTTGATGTCCTCTCTCGACGGCGTCAAGACTGCTAGTGCCTTCCAACATGACTTTCGTGCCGTCATCGCAAAGGCCAAGGAGCTGAAGACTCGTACCGAAAGCGGTGAGGTCTTCGAGCCTGTCCAGCCAACGACCAAGCGTGGTACGTATTGTTGTTTGTGTTGCGAACTTGCCGCCCTCTCACCTTCACCGTTGGCATGCCATCACAGCCTACTCTCACCTGCTTCACCCTTCCAGGCAGCCACAAAGTCTTCTTATCAAGCGGCCCACCCTCTTTCTTGACACTTCGTTCCACTTTGCTCTTTTGCATCTTCCTTTCTCTTCTCTACCACACACACCCTCTTCACAAAACAACGAGATGGCCAAAGCCGCCGACTCCACTGCTGGAGGCCAGAAGATGGTCTCGGCGGACTGCGTCGCTGTCTTGTTGATGGCAATGGGTCGTACTAGTATCTCCAAAGAGCAGCTCGACATGATGTCGGCTCTCGATGGTACTCGTTCATCCAGTAGCTTCGAACACCAATTTCGCTCCATCATCGCCAAGGCTAAAGAGCTCAAGAAGCGTGTCGAGGGCGGCGAAACATTTGCTCCTGTCACTGGCCTGAAGCGAGGTGTGCAATGTTTGCGACAGTAGTTATGGAGAGTTCAAAACGCTAACGACAACCAGGAGGCACCACACCCGCCACACCTAAGAAGCGCAAGGGCGATGATGCCGACGAGACGCCCACCAAGAAGCAGAAAGCTACTCCCAAGCCGCGTGGAAAGAAGGCTCAGTCTCAGCCCATCACTGCTCCGACTCCGCAGACTGCCGAAGATGCCGTCGACGATGATCTGCCCGCTGACATGGACGAGTTCATCAAAAGCGAGTTGAAGTGGGAGAGGGACTATGTTTAAGGTCAACGCTGGTACACCTCTTGAGCTCGCAAGGAAACGACCGCGGTTCAGGAGCTCTGTGACTACTTCTCTGACTTCGCTTTGAACTCAAAATCCCGGAGCAGCTGGATAAGGCATCTCTTTTTGTTTACTCTGGCGTCTATTTGTGAAGGCTTTCTTTCGATGGCTCTTCTCCTGCCCAGGTCTGTGGCATCTCTATGGCATCCGCCTTTGGCTTTTGTGACCGAGATGCCGTAATGCAGGGACCTCAATAGCGATTCAATCAAATGTCATTGCGAAAATCCACAGCATTAATACCTACAACGCATTGGCATGGTGATTGCCCGTGACGTGTATCGATAAAGAACGCGCCCATTGCATGGTACTATCCTGGCTTGGGTAGTGTTTGCTGACTCTCATCGCGATAGATCTTCTTGTGGACCATGATATCCCGGGGTCCTCGGAGCGTGCAGATGTGGGCACTCAAATGCCGTCCATGCAGGCGTCCACTCCCGGCGGCAGGACTCGGGTGGCTTTGCCCAAGCGCGAAGGGCGACTCTCTCATCGAATGTTCTTCGACCACTTCGATTCAACAAACAAATTTCCTTACAGTGGAGCCAATACCATCGCGAGTAAAATTACTCGGGCTAACAGCAAGGTTTCTAAGCCGTTTCGCACCGACCAATGCCGTCTCCACCAACAACAGTCCGCAGACCGCCGCTGTCCCAGCGGCAGATCCTCGTTCATAATCGATAGAGGGTGGGCATTAAAACAGCGAGAAGCCGCGCATCTGGCTTGGCTGGTCGGTCGATGACGTTGCCATCGACAAGCCATGAAACGGAGCGTTCGGTGGATTAGGCGCCCGAATGCGGAAGGCATGCGCTTGATGGCAAGAGAATGTTGCGTGCAGATACCCGCAACAACCGAGAACAATGGTGATCGTGTGCGCATTGCGTTGCACGAGGTCCGTCATCGAGGAAGATCGGCCGTGTGCAGCCATCGCTTTGTGCTCCAACGTCCGCTGCTGTGCGCCTTGTGTGTCCTGTCAAGGGAGCAGCAGGCTCAGCCCCTGAATTTCCCCAGATTATTGAGAGGCTTTTGTCTAGGCTTACCCTGGCTAGAGGAGAGACACGGGCGGCCGTTGGCGTACCTTTGGATGCGCCGGGATGCTCGACCAGGCTCCAATGGTGAGTGGTTCTGGCCGGCGCACACCTTTCCTACCTCGACCATAGAGGGGTGCGAAAAAGGGGCCTTCCAGGGGAATCCTTCTCTTAGCACCACGCCGATTGGTGCTTGACACCGACTTTCATTAAGCTTCAGGCTAAACCATGCCGCATCAAGGACCTAATTTTGCATTCCAGCCGTTGCTCTGGCGTTGTCCAGCCGGAAGCCCTCTGTGTAAAAGTCAGCTGCGCCCAGCCTTCACATAGGTTCTTAATCCCCAGGACATCGCCCACATTCTCTCCTTCATCTACCGATCGCTCCTCTCGCTGTACACAGTACCTACACTCGTTCTCTAATCCAACTACATACCCGTACAACACTTAATAACTACCTAATCAACCACCCCAACAAAATCAACATGCGTTTCTTCCAGATGGTCGCTTCCAGCGCTGCTTTCATCGCAGCTGCTCTCGCCCTCGAGATCAACCAGTACCCCACTGGAGGTGTCCGTGCCGGTCAGACCTACACCATCACCTACTCCCCTGCCGACAACACCCCGACCACCTTCATCCTCCGCAAGGGTCTGTCCACCAACCTCGGTACTATCGGTACCCTGACTAGTAAGTTGTATCACGTCTACTACTATCAAGTGTCATACTAACGGTTTAAACAGCCACTGCTACTGGAGGTTCTTACTCCTGGACTGTTGCCAGCGACCTCGCCGACGGTGCCGACTACGCTCTTGAGATCCAGCAGCAGGGCGAGACTCCCAACTACTCCGGCCAGTTCGGTCTGACCGGTGGCTCTGCTGCCGCCAGCTCATCTGCTGCTTCCTCGGCTTCCGCCTCTTCGGCTTCCGCTTCATCTGTCGCCTCGGTCATCTCTTCGCGCGCTTCGTCTGCCTCCGCTGCGTCTGCTTCGCTCTCCAGCCTGATCTCCAGCGCTGTCTCCAGCGTCCAGGCCACTGCCACCGGTACCGGTGCCGTCACTGCCAGCTCCAACGGCACCATCTCCTCCGCCACTCTCTCCCGCTCTGCTACCCGCACCTCGAGCTCTTCCACCGGCTCTGCCAGCATCCCCGAGAGCACTGGCGCTGCCAGCTCCCTCTCGTCCGCTCCTCTCGCGCTCCTTCTCGGTGCCGTCGGTGCTTTCGCTTTCCTCAACTAAGCGATCACGTCTAAACATTTTCATGTATTTATGCATCGGATATTTAGAGTCCTTGTTTTTGTTGATATCCTTCTAATGAGTTACGAGCGCCGCGGCGTTCGTTTGGGAGTGGGAGTGCTGTGCATTGCTTAGTCTAGTGCAGAGGGCCTTGTACAGTGGGCGGCAGACCAATGACACAATGAAACCATTATACCATTCAATCACGATCTTGTCTACCTATCAATTGATGCTTTTTAGCGATCTGCGATGGTCCGATGACTGCTTGATGATCATGCATAAACCCATGTCCGCATTGCTTTGCACACTCATCTTGAAACGCCCCGTTGCACAAAGATCGCCCTCGAGGCAGGTGTCATCGCATCAATCATGCTGCGTTCGTCATACGGTCACACAAAGGCGTCATTGTGGCAGTACTCATGGGGCGCTCGTTCTGCTCCCTTCGCAGCCTCACACAAGACAGGGACATCAAACCTCTCGTTTCTTTGGGATATACAGACGTCACTGAGCCAGTACTCAGCAGCGAACCAGGAAATCCGGAACCGACGCAAAACTCGTATCCCAACGCTCACCCGGTGATCACCCATGGTTCAGCATTCGTGTCGTGCTGGCTGCTGAGCTCCACAGCGGCCGCTTCTGCACCCCAGCCTTTTCTGCATGCACCCGCCTCGCATCACACAACCTCGCCCACCTTCCCATCTGATCGTTGCTTCGCCCTGCCACCACACGCAGACTCTTTTCGCGCGCCTGATCATGCACAAAATGCAATTGCGCACCCAACTCGATTAGGTAAATCGCCGCGCGCCAGGCGAGACTGTCTACGCGTCAATACTCGCTCGCGCGGCCAACACCCACCAGGCTTGGGTGTGTGGCGCTAGCGCAGGACCAGCCGTGATGGTCCACTGGCTCGCGTAGGGCTGGGGCTGGGTGGCGGGCGCGTTGCGTCTCCAGCTCCCTTCGATTGCACGAAACATGCCGCCGCGTCGCGTTTCGGTGCGAGACAGATGTCAAGTGCGAAGTACGACCGGGCGCGCCGGGGCTGAGGACAGATGTGCTGGGCGCGCGATGCGACGACAGTGCGACTCCAGCTCGACGACCGGTGAGCTGGGCGCCGTGTTTGGCGTGCTGCGCCTGTTGCGCGTTCAGCCGGGCTAGGCGTGGAGGCTCTTCTTGGTGGATTCTGAATAAAGACCAGTCAGAAGGACGTGGCAAAGGAAATTCTGCCGTTCCCGGCGGGGGCGGACTGTTGGGCCGATGGTGTACCAGAGGAGCATGTTCTTTGTGAGCTTGTTACCAGCGCCGTTTCTGGGATCCAGCCACACCAAATATTCGCACACCCAAGTCTAATGGCGTGCTGGGTGCCGTGTGTGTGCCTCTGGTTGGTGGTAACTGCTTGTTGCCTACTTACGCTGCCAGAGATCTGAAAATAGACATCAACACTGCCGTAGAGATGCAGGCTTAGGGCAGCTATGCAGACCGAGGCGGACTGATGCGCTGCGTACGGCTAAGTACTTTACTCCAGCTGTAACTTGAAGTTACGGTAGCATGGCAGGGTAGATGGTAGCCAAAGGCAGGCCATTAAGAAAGGTCACTGTAGAGACGTCGCCTCTGACGGCCAGAGAGACCCTTCAAAGCATTCGCCCATGACTTTTCTCGTTTCTTCTTGTCGTTGGCCAGGGATACTGGTTGATCAGATTTATTGAAAGTTACACAGAATTGACAACCAGAAAATCACTTACCAGGAAAACTTACTTGCCAGGAAACTTTGCTTGCCAGGAAACCTTACTTGCCAGGAGAACTTAGTGGCCAGATACACTTGACGACTCAAGAAACCCAGCAAGCAGGTACACGTTGCCACTATACATCGCACAACCGGATGCGCACAACCGGATGCGCTCAACGACAAGACGCACAGCGTTTCCAGTGGGGTGTAGTACTAACCGTTACCATACAGTCTTACGGCTTAAGTAAATGGGCAGTCCGTAGTGAAGGCACGAGCCGTAGCGTAGCCGCCCTGTCTTAGTCCGGGCCACTGTGGTTGGCCAGTCTACAGGAGTTGTAGTTGGCCAGTCTACGGGAGTAACAAGGCGAAATTTCAAATTGGTTCAAGTTTGAGTGCGCTCATATTGTATCAAGACATGCGATGTACAGGTTGTAGAGACGTCAGGACACGTTGAGTTGGCATATCCGATCGTTGATTCCCTGATTCTACTCGAGTGAGTAAGCACATTTTACTTCAATAAATGACTGCGTACCGTAGGTCGGTAGGACCCGCCAGTTCCGCCTACTGCTCGTCCAAATCTTACCTCTTACCGTAGCGTAGCTAAGCAGACCTTTGAAGCGCTGCAGACGCACTCAACAACCCCCGAGCATCAGCACGTAGAGTCTTGGGATAGACCCACTCCTCGCAGCATAATAGTGCTAGTGTTCGACTGAAGACACCGTCTACTTCTGTGTCGCAACGGTAGTACAATGGAACAACTCGCTGTCACTATTGGGTAGAGTATGGATAGGGGTCGTATATATGCATGTGGACTGATGATGTGTCGGATTAGGAAGAGAGTGTGCGATAGTACAGTGAATCAGTATCATGTGGTCTGCCGTTGATTAGTTTGGTCTCTTTCTATGTGTGTTTCACTCCTAAGCTTCGCACATGAAGACTGACGTTGAAGATGAGTGTTGAAGATGAGGAATGTACTCTTGACCAACGTTGGGGCGTTTGGATGGATGAGCTTTTTGACTTTCTTTGGGGGGGGGGGGGGGGGGGGGGGCAAGAAGCGATTGGATGCGTGGTGTGACATGGTTGGGGTGGATGGAATGAACATGATAGAATAGTTTGAGACGCTGTCCATTTGTGGCAGTGGACGGCATGGCTATCTTGTTTGAGTTTCAGGTTCCTCTTGTACACATATACATTCAAGACGTATAATTGTATGCTTTCATTTTGCGCGTTCATATCCATGTCCACATCCAAGTTTAAACAAACAACACCCCAGCAGCCCCAGCCAACGCCCCAGCAACACCCATCATCTTATGCTGCCCATTCACGCCCACCGGCGCCGCAGCAGCCGTACTCTGCACCGCAGCCCCCGTGCCGCTCGAACTCGCTCTGGAGCTGGACGCCGCCGCGCTCACACTCCGGCTCGACGCACTTGCGCTCTCACTCGCGCCGAGATCCGAGCTGGCCGCACTCGTACTCGCACTCCCACTGACACCCGCGCTCCCACTCCCACTCACCGCCGACCTCGTAACAGTAACCACCGTCCCCAACTCCGTCGGCAGCGTCGTACTAAACAGCCCCGTGATGCTCGGCACCGGCGCCAGCGAACTGCCCCCACCTAGCGTCGTCTGGCTCGCCCCCGGCCCCAGCGACACCGTGCTCGCACTGCCACTCCCCTGCGTCAGCGTCACCACACTCTGGCTCAGCGTCGCCTCGCTCCCCAGCGTGCTGCCCCCCTCGTTCGTAAGCCCCTGCACACTGCTGCTGCCCAGCAGCGAGTCCGTCTCGCCATCGACCTCGAAGGGCTGCGTCTGCGCCCATGTACTCTGGGCGCTCGTGATGCCGAGCAGGGAGAGCAAGGGCAGGAGGGCGGGGCGCATTGTGCCGCGTTTCGAGGTGGGGTAGAGCTTCCTTTGTCGCTGGGCGGGATGATTGGGTTGGTTGCGGTTCTGGAAGGAGAGTTTGGGGCGCAGAACGGGGTTGGTGGTGGTCGGTTGCAGGAGCTGGATTGTGGGGAGCAGGCAGCTTGCCATTGCGGCTTATTCTTATTAAGGTGTCTAGCGGCCTGGATACGCGGGGGTCGTCGTCAGCTCAGGCGTGCAGGTGGGCGGTGATTGGCGAGGTGGGTATGCGGAGCGTAGGGCTCGTGTTCGTTTATGGTAGTATAGTAGGTTGTTAGGTGGTATTGCTCAAGTGGACTCTGAGGACGCAATGGGAGCGCGCGCTGCCGATTTTAACATTCAGCATGCGCGCAGTCCTCTGGCGACCCCAGAATATTCGGACATCAGGGTTGCAGCCGCGACGCGCTTGACGTGCGGCATGGTGTGGGCATGGCGATCGGCGGGCGGGTGAGATGTGAGATGGAGGTTAGTGGGCGCTGGTTGGTGAAGGGTTCGGCTCTCCAATCCCTCCCGTGGAGATCGCCGAGGATCCGGGTAGTTGGAGCCGTACGACGCTGCTGGCCCACGAATGAACTTTTAGCTCGATAGCTATTAGGGCTTCGTGTTGATGCAAATGTGGTGAGAATCGTCGTGCGAGATCCTGGGTCTCACGTCAAGCGTGTTTCTGCTGTATCAGAACCAGAGCTCCAGCGTTTCTATTACAAGAAGTGAGCGATGAAGTAATCTGTGAGATCAGCAGCTATGCCTCGCTGACTTCACCTGTGTGCATGTCTCGGTTGCTGAAAATAGAGGACGCGAGCTTTACACACACTTTCATTTCTGGTTGGTAGTTCCGTCGTGCAGTGTGCGCAAGTCTATTTGAAAGCACAAGGGGTATGTTGACCAAGTATCGACTCCTCCAAAGAAACCCTGCTCCATGACTTGACCAAACAGACCGAGGTCGATGGGCACTCATGGTGGCGAAAAGCGACTCTACCTGCCATTGACGCCGTCGCCATGGCCCTCCAGCCGGTTCACCAGCTTCTTCACGCCGCTCCACTCTTCGTTCCTTGTCTCAACACCGCCTAGATCCTGGCCGACCTCGAAGACTGTCACGACGCCGTCCATTCCACCGACGGCTACGCGTCGACCCTCGGTCCTCTCCCAGGCCAATTTGTTAAGACTGCGGTTCATGTAGCCCATGCCTGTTGGCATGTTCGCAAAAGCGCCCCTCTTGCCGTCGCTCGGCTTGATGGACTGGACAGGGACTTCGGTGTCGACGTTGATGTCCCAGACTTCAAGACTGCCTGCACCGTCGACGAGTGCGAACACGGAAGGCTTGACTGGCGACCAGCGTACATCGTAGACGAGGTCTTCGCGCGCAATATCCAGGACCGGTGTGACTTGCTGTGTAGCACCAGGAAGAATGGCGTTGCCTGAGCCGGTGGCCGCTGGTGGACGGACCTTCCACAGCTTGACGCTCCAGTCCACACTGGAAGACAGGACGAGGTCGCCGAGATCGATTTGTCCCTTCGTGGGGTGGAAGTCCAGACTCATCACTGGAGCCGCGTGGCCGGAGTACTTGACTCGTCCGTCCACGCCTGCCTTCGCGCCTGCGCGATCGTAGCGGTGGCATGGATAGATGGAGCCCTCCTCTGTGCCGGCAAGGAAGTATGTTGGGTCTGATTGCGGGAAGGCGACACATGTAACAGCCATGTCGTCAGTCTTCGCCGGTGGTGGTGAGGTGAGCTCGAGGAACTCTTGCGGTTGGGTAAGCATGTCCACTGTCCAGCCACAGACGACACCATCTGTCGAGCAGGAGATGATGTTGTTTGCGTTTTGCGTTCCGACGATATCTATCGAGTAGACGGGATGTGTGTGCCCAGACCCTGTCAGCGGTGTTTTCTGCACCGGGGTGGACTTTGCACGAGTGTCCCATAGCAGGACCTGACCCGAGTATGCACCGCCGATGATGAGATTCGGGTGGAAAGGAGAGAACTTTGCAGTGAGGATGTCCGACTGGGCGTGGAATATATACTCAGGCCGGTCGTGCATGTGCATGTTCCAGACTTGTACCAAACCATCTGGGTCATGGGGAGCAGAGGGATTCTTTGTGTATGAGGCTAAGACAAGCTCCGGGAACTGTAGAATGTTAGCTGGGTCCAGAAAGACTGATCGAGCACAGTACCTTTGGCGAGAAGCCTAGATCCGAGATCATCCTCTTCTTGCTCCATCGATCGTCCCAGAACTGTGCGACCTCTTTGATGCGCCTGCCCTTCTTGCCTGCGCTGGTGCCGTAGCCCTCGTCCTCGTCGCCAATGTCTATGCCGTCGAGCGCGTAGTCTGCCAGAATGTCGTATCCAAGCTGCTGGTCCAACGCCCTCTCTAGCACCTTTGTGCTTCTCTCCACGAAGCCGATGAAGTCGTCCGAGTTCTCGACCGCGGTCAGCTCCTCGTTGGTGAGGGTCTTGAACGGGTAGTTCTCGTCTGAGCTCGCCACTGTGCCGTCTTGGGGCGCTTGTTGTGCGGTCTTGATCTCCTCCTCGATCTCCTTCCGTAGCTGGGCGCGGATCTCCTCGTCCCTCTCTTTCTGTCTCCGGCTCAGTCGCTTGCTGCGTGGTGACCGTGTCGGGCTCTCGTCGCGTTCTGTGTCGCTGCCTCCCACGCCTCGTGACTTCTGCGGGCTCCAGTCTATGCTTGCCTGCACGCCCTTGCTGTAGGTGATGACCTCTTTCTGAGTGTTGGCCTCGGCGGTGACCTGCCCGTCGCCGGCCGACTCGTAAACGGTGGCGAGCGGGCCAAAGGAGATGGTCTGCGACTCGCCATCGACCATGCGCGACTGTGCGGGCGACGCAGGCTCATTGTCGCTGCTGAGCTGTCCGGCGCTGACTACGGACGTCGGTCGCGTTGCGCGCACTGCTGGCGAGCCGGGCTGGGTCGAGCCGGGGCGGCGGTCGCCGAGGATGTTGTTGATGAGGCTGTCGACGTCGGCTCTGCGGTCGAGGTCCTGGCTGCGGCGCGGCGTGGGCGACAGCACCTGCGCAGCGGGTCAGTGTTGTGTATAGGTAAACAAAGCGGGCGGCGCACCTCGCCCAGCGGACTCGCCGTGCTGGACTGCCTGCCCGAGCCGGCCTGCTCCTTGCGCAGCTCGCGCTGCCGCTTCAGCTCGGCGAGCTTGGCCTTCTTCGCGAGGATCTCCTGGCGCCGCTGCTCAAACGAGGAGGCCTCCATGGTCGCGGTATGGAGTGTGGGGTGAGCTCGGGGCTCGTGGGCGCGCTGCGGCGATATGCAGGCGCGATTACGGGCTGTGTACGAAAGGCGTCAGATCCTACACCCCCCTCCCAGACATTGCCCCGCAGAGAAACAGAGAAATGCCGGCGTCGTTGCGAGGTGTGGTGCCCTCCTCCAGGTCGCCCTCTTAGTAAGGCGGCCCGTGCGCAGGTCGGGATGGACCGCAGGAATCTTGCGAACGAGCAGCTCCTCCGCCCACCCTCTTCTATCCGCCCCGACGCCGCCGTCACAACCCTCCGGACCTCGAACAGCGGTGCATCAGCCGTCGACGCCCCGGAATACCTGCCATTGGACACTCTCGAGCCGCCCCGTCGCAGCCGCACGCCCTCGCACGACTCACCATGTCTACCTCCGTCGGTGTCAACGTACGCTTCCTCCCCCGACGCGCGCTCACCCGCCGCTGCTACGGGCGTCTCGCGCTCCGCGCCGCCCTGGAACTGCAGCCCCGATGCTAACGCCGATGACGCAGGTCCTCCGATGGTCCGCCCTGGCGACCGGCCTCTTCTACGGCGCCTACACCCAGCTGTCGATATCCGCGCGTGAGCGCGTCCAGGCCGAGCAGAAGGCGTACAGCAACAAGGAGTCGCTGATCAGGCAAGCCAAGGCAGAGTGGGCCAAGACACATCCCCAGGAGCAGCCCGCGGCCTCTGGTACGTCCCCCGACCCTCAGATTGCGACGAGCGCTCCGAGCTAACGCTGCTGCAGCCAAGGCGAACTCGCAGGACCCCAACGCCGACCTGAACGCCGTTCTCGGAATCACAGAGAAATGAGCGTGTGAGCCGTAGAGCGTGGAATGTCTTTTCTTCTCCATCAGCATGGACGTAATGGCCGCCCGACGGCAGCCAAGAGGCGCGCTGCGGAAATCAGTCGATAGTCGATAGTCGGTGCGAGATATCAACCTCTTGTATTGTGTACCATCTGTACAGTATAGACGGCGGTTGGTCGCGATTTCAATATACATGCTTACTTTCAGCTTCGTCTGATTTGACACACGCCTCGCTACAACTCGCATCAAAAGCCGCGGTTTGAACTTGTGTGGTAGATTCTATACACGGTCCGTTGCTCGCCGTGCAAACCGAACTAGACTCAGGAGTAGAGTCCTCTAAACGCCCTGTCATCCAAGCCAACCACCCACCGCCCACGCGGTTGCCTGTCACCCGACAGAAGAGTAGAAATACGCGTACAGCAGGCCTCCCTCGCCCCACCTATCCACAGTGCGTGGCCTTAGTACGCCAACCAAAAGAGCATTTTGAATCCTACACGTAATATCCATACAGCGTTACATCTTACAACACCTCGCCCACAATCTTGGCCGCCTCCTTGTACGTCTTGAGCAGCTTCTCGCACTTCTCGCGCTCCGCCTTGATCGTGTCGTCTTCGTACAGCAGCTCCTGGAACAGGTCTTCCTTGTACAGGGAGCTGACGAGGCGGTTCTGCACGCCGTCCTTGGAGTGGTTGACCAACAGGTGCATAATGGCCTTTGGCACTTGGTCGGCAATCGTCTCGCGCACAATGTTGAAGTAAGAAGAAATGAGACGGCTGATGAGCTCCGTCTCCAGCGCTTCACGCTCTGTGAGCGCAGGAGCAGACTCGGGGTTCGAGGGCTATGTACGTTAGTGATGTGTAACACATGAGCAGACAATATACTCACAAATCCGCCCTGGACCTCTTGTATCGGGCTGCTTGGCTCGTCATCCTCATCGTTCATGTTGAACGTAGGTATCATTGGAGACGGTGCCTTAGGGTCGCCTCTCCTGATGCTCTGTGCAAAGCTAGGCTCGACGTGTTGGCTGACATGCCGACTGCCGGGTCGGTTGTCGAGTGTCAAAGCTGGGTTGTGTGCAGCACCGCCGTCTTTGCCAAAAAAGTAGTTCAAGAACCCATCTCGTGGGTTACCTGGCGGAGATCGGTTGCGGTTGTTGAGTTGACCTGAAATGCTGTTGTGAGAGCCGTTCATCAAGCGCCCGACTGCGGGCGACATACTACGGCTTGTTTGTGACTGGTGTTTCCTGAGCGGCATCGCCTTGTCGGCAACCTTCTGCGACTCCTCGCCATCCTCTGGGGTTTCACCGCCGTTGGCGCCGTTCAGCTCCTTGAGCCTCTTCTGTTCGCGCCTCTTACGCTCCGCATCCTGAATGGCCTTCTTCTCCCTGGCCTCCTTGTCTGCAATGACTGAAGACATGGCTGCGGCTGCGCCGAGGAAGTTGGGGTGATTTGTGTTGATATACGCTCGCTGGATGTCAATAAGCGAGGCAACATATGTCGAGCACGGCCCGAGCTGTTCCCTCAACAGATCTGATACAACTTCGATGAGCTTGCCTTGTAATCTGGGGTATCTGGTCAACTCAGTCGAGCCACATGTGTGGCAAATCTTGATGAGCTCCTCGTATACGAGCTCGACGCAGCGTTGACTGGGAATCTCGAGCAGCTTGATCTGCGGCTTAACAAGGAGGTCGAATGCCAGTTCAGGAACGAACAGGCTGGGTCGAGGTCCGGTAGAGTTTCGAATAGCAGTGCGGATGTCGAGGACAGACAAGTTCTGGGTGGGGTCAACCTGCTCGAGAGAATTGCCGAACACCGAGTTGAAGATGTAGTAGATTCTGGCACCACCGCAAAGCTCCTTGGTCGAGATCTCAGTAGAAGTACCATCAATGGAAGAGATGAAGGATGAGGCAAAACGGGTCATAAGTTGCAGAATCAGGGAGCCGCGGTGCTCTTTTCCTGTAAATGCCACATCTCCGTAGCTTGCCAGCTCCTGCTGTGTTTGTCCCATGAGAGTGTTCAGGCGCGCCTTGATATCTGGTAATCGGTCGCGAATATGGGACATGAGGGTCTGGTTGAGGCTCTTGGCCAGGAACTGAGTTCCACATCGGTTGGCCATGTTTCGGTAGGCTGGGTGATGCTTGAAAAAGTCGCGCTCGGCCTGTAGAGCATCCGCGAGAGGTCGCCCGCTCTGGATATCCGCTTGCGAACGGTTGACAATGCCGATGAAACCGAGCTTCAACGGGTACACACGTCCGGTCAGGATATCCATAGCATTCGTTCCGTGATCCATGAGATCCAACTTGGTAAGCACACCAATTGTCCTCTTGCCCATAGGATCGACATGGCGGGCCAACTTCAGTGCTTCCGAATTCACAAGATCGACGTTCGCGGGAGAGACGGCGAGAATAACACTGTTCGGCTTGGCGATATACTCGGTGATGAGAGTACGGGTTTGCTTCTCGATATCCGACGGTTGGTCGCCGATGGGTACCTGCAGCTGTTAGCGCCATGTCGTCCAAGGTAGATTCTGCGACGTACCTTTGTCAGACCAGGAAGATCGACAAGTGTCAAGCTGAGGACGTGTGGAGAATACACTTTCAGGTTGATCGGTTGCCTGTTGATACCCTTGTTGTTTCCTGCTATCCTCGCTGTCTCGGCCTCGATTTCGCGCCTGATCTCCGCAAAGTCGTAGAACCTTTTCCCGGGAATGTGCAGGAACTCTCCCCATTCCTGTTGTCCTGCTACGCTGGCTGGTGTGTGCGGCACGTGCACCTCATCGCCTTCCTCGGCATCCTCGCGCTCGCTCGGTAGGTTGATAAGCTGGAGGATAAGCGGTCGTCGTGTTACGATGCCGCTGCCTCGAGGGAGAAAGTCCCTGCCGACGATATTCTCGAGGACCGACGATTTTCCAGAGGACTGTGAACCAACAACAACCTGGAACAGTCAGTATTGAGATCTTCACAGGTCGTGAAGCGCAGCAGCAGAACTTTCGGCAGTGTCTGCTGCCGCATCGCAGATGCCTCGGCGGGAGGGGCAACGTACAATCTGGGGTAGATCGAGAGAATCATTCCCGATGGTGTTGAAAACAAGGTCCTGGAGCCTGTTGACGATGTTGAGGAGCTCCTCACCCAGCGACGCCATAACGCTGGTGGATGTGTGCGGTTTTGGAGTTCCTGGTAACTTTGGCGGCGTTCAGCAAGGTAAACAACAGCCTCGGTGGCTTCGAGATGGGTGCAGAGGTTGCGCAGGTGCAGGAGGTCGGTGCCGAGGATGTAGAGATCGCTTGCGCAGACGCGGTACCTGGATGCCTGCTGAATTGGGACTGAGGCTCGTGATAGAATTGTCGTCATTCGCCCAGGACCCAGGTCATAGTTGGAAGGTTGGAACGCCTCTAAGCACGTGACGTCTCCACAATCAAACATCCTCCCGGGGCCAGGCTACACTTCTCCTTAATTTCATGTCTCGTCAACATTCGCTTTGCATAAAGGAGATGTCGATAATAGGTATATCGGATGAAGTCCATGCTCGCGCGACAGCAAAGGCCGTCGCCATGACTTGCGACCGTCATACCAACATGCGCATGTGCCATTACAGACATGGCGCGTGCTGCTCGCTAACCAACAGCATTTCGCAGGCTGGATGATACGTCACGCACCCTGAGCGGTTGGATGACAACGGCGCCAGGTAGTCTTCACCGGACCGGCATTGCTGGTGCCGCAAGCATGTTGTTGTCCTTTTCTTGGGTCGGGTCGGTCGGGCAGTCGGGTATTATCGGTGGGCGGTTGACTCCAAAAGTCAAGTCACGAAAGTCACGGGCGCTTATCTCCACGACTATCAGCCTCAGCCTTATCTCGATCCAGCATTCGGTCAACAACGGTCACCACAAAACACGCTGCGATACCCCGGATTCTAGCCTCCGCATTCTTGCCGTCGCCTCTTATCTATGAAAACACTCTCTGATTGCTTCGGTTGAAGTGGGCAGCCCATGCTCAATGCAGCAAGTAGAGCTGCTAGGTCCTAACAACAGAGCAAACCGGGCAGTTATTAAAGGCAAGCGTTCATGAACGAAATCAGGGTCCCATGATCAACACCGCCCAGCTACAAGCTCCGAGGGAAGCCTATCACTATGATAAGGGCAGGTGTTATCAAACACCGCCCAACAAAGCGGTAAGTCTGTGCTCATTGAGGTCTCGGATGGTACAAAGGCGGCGCAAGTACTTAGACTTGTTGACCCTCTGGTATGCTCCTGCCATTTTCCAACTCTGCACCTACTCAATACGACACCTTCTATCCTTTGTCTACCTGCAGTCCCATTTCCCACAGCCCGACCATAAGCATCCGATCCCACATGCCTATGGCCTCCAAGACATTCAGTGAACTACAAGAAGAGGAGTACAATTCAACGACGGTTGGAACGATCAAATGCACGGCCCCAATTCCCTTCGGCGGTGAAGAGCAATGGCTCTACTTTCCTGACGATGGCAAATTTGACCTGTCGAGGGGATCAGAGAAGAGGATGATTGTTGAATGCGACAAAGAACGCCACAACCACACCGGGTTCATGTTCGATCCTGACAGTGCCATCCTGATTGTAGTCGACATGCAAAACTACTTCATCCACCCTCAGTACCGAGATCACGCTGCTGGTATCAAGGCTGTCGAGCCTACCTTGAGGGTCATTGAGCGGTGCAGGAAGGAGGGTGTTCAGATCGCCTGGCTAAACTGGGGCCTGACAGAGCACAACCTCAAGACCATGGCACCAGCAATCCAGCGAGGGTTCCACAAGACTCTGGGATGGCACGTCGGACTAGGCGCTCAGCTCCCCGGGAACCAGGGTCGTTGCCTCTTCAAGCGAACGTGGAACGCAGAGCTCTATGAGCCCTTCAAAGCGGTTGCTGAGCCTGGTGATCTATTCTTCGACAAGACACGCATGAGCGGGTTGTGGTCCACGACTGAGCCTCTCCACGAATATCTCCGCGCTGTCGATAAGAAGACGCTGATCTTCACTGGTGTGAACACCGATCAGTGTGTGTTCGGTACGGTGTCCGACGCGTACTCGTACGGTTGGGACTGTGTGTTGCTGGACGACTGCACAGGTACCATGACCGGATTAGGTGCTCAGGCTGTTGCCGAGTACAACATTGCACAGAACATGGGTTTTGTCACTGGAAGCAAGGAGTTTTGCGAGGCGATTACTGTTTGATATTTGATCATTTTCTGGCGGGCTGCGTTACAGGTGCGGCTGTCTGCTTTATTTCTCCCACAAGCGCATGCATGCGACTGCGTATACCCTCTTACATAGCATAATGCATCATGATAGATCCACCTGGTTGATGAAGCAGCCGTGACGTCCGTATTGGCCAATCAATGTTGACTGCTGTAATAGTTGAGGATCTGCGAAGTGACCCTGAATGACGACAAGGTGCAGGAGCAACATCAGTTTAGGAACAACCTCACGCGACGAATTTCCTCACCTACTTTCTACTCACCCTGGGTACAATCAAATAAAACCCGACCAGCAACTGTACTGAAAAATGTATGCACACATCTTGGTCGGCATTGCGAGCTTATCGCGGCTTTACGGAGCTGTGCATGCTCTGCCCACCGAGCAACAACCATTGCAATCGAATGGCTCTCCAGACGTCCAAAAAGTCCAAGCAGCGTACGTACCAGACGAATCGCTTCTTTCATCCCACCACCAACACAGCTCAGCCTCAGAGACGCCGAAATCATCCCCACAGGTACCTAAACCACGCCACTCCCATACTCCTCCCCCTCTAACCCACCCAGTCATCGACGACTTCCTCCCCAGCCTCACCCTGTCACTCTCCTAGAAACATCACTCCGCCGACCTCGGCAACACCCTCAACCCCAAACACCTCCAATCCGCACCCCACATCACCCTGCGCGAAGACACCAGCCCCGACACCACCACCCCACACCCAACCTACGTCCTCACCCTCACCGACCCGGACGCCCCCTCACGCAAGGACCCCAAGTGGAGCGAAATGTGCCACTGGATCGCAACCAACGTCTCCGTCGCGCCGCGCCACTTCTCCATCCTGCCGCTCCTCGAACACGGACTGGTGCAGCACGACAGCGAGCACAGCAGCGCTGATGATGTGGTCGAGTACAAGCCGCCGGGCCCGCCGCCGCGGACGGGAAAGCACCGCTATGTGTTCCTTGTGTTTGCGCCGCGGAATGGGACGACGGAGCCGTTGCGATTGGAGGCGCCGAGCGAGCGGCGGCATTGGGGGACGGGGGAGGAGGGGGGCGGGGTGCGGGAGTGGGCGGGGGAGAACGGGTTGGTGGCTGTTGGGGCGAATTTTGTGTATGCGGAGAATGACGAGCAGTAAGATTAATGGTCAGCGTGGTAGGGGGGTCTCGTTACATAGTGAGTGCAAGTTGTGTGGCGCTGTTCAAGGTTGTTTGTGATGTATATCATTCGTCTGTACATTATCGTGGATTACGTAGTCTCAAGCTCAAGGGGTATACAACTTGGACAGATACAAAAGAAACAAGGCCTCCCAATCCCAACGTCTAGTTCCATGCTGACTCTCTCCAACACTCAGCTCAACCGTGCTTAGCATATGTGGGCTGCTTGTTGTGTCTGCGTCCGATGCAGAACTCCACAACCCACGTCAACACAACAACAAGCATGAGCCCCGTGGCCGCCCACGTAAGGGCGAGGAACTTGCCGCCGTAGTGCGCCACCAAACCAATCTCATTACCCTTGTCGTTGATGATGTTGCTCGCCTTGACGATGACCGCCGTGACAAGCGCGCTCGCAAGGCCAATGGAAAGGAACGCCAGCACCGAGATGAGGAAGTTTACGCACGCGGACAGACGGCCGGAGAGCAGGACGGCGGCGGCGGCCGCCAGCAGCGCGACGAAGATGAGTGCGATAGCGATGCAGTACAGGACGAACATGGCGCCCATGAGCGCGTTGAGGGTCTTGATGCCCGTGTCGATGTCCTCGGGCCAGTTGAGGTCGTCGAGGGTGACGTCGAGGCCGGTGGTGCGGTTGAGCGCGTCCTCGATGATCTGCGTCGGGTCGAACTTGTACATGGCGCGGTTCTTGCTGCACTCGGTGACGTTCTTGCTGATGTCGCTCTCGGAGACGGTGGCGTTGGGGGCTTCGGCGGGGGTGTACTGGCCCTCGCAGTAGTTGAGCATGTGGGCGGAGTAGAAGTCCTCGATGCCGAGGCGCTGGGTGACTTCGCCGATGGCGTCGTTGACAATCTCGCTGCCGGTGTTGCTGATCGAGTTGAGCAGGTTGGTGATCGGGTTCGAGGTGTCGGTGGAGCGGGTTTCGTTGATGATGGTTTCGCCGATCATCGAGGTGTTGAGCGAAATGAGGTGGTAGTCTTCCATGAAGTCCTTCTTGTGACCAGCGAAGAGGCACAGGAAAGAGAGGATGAGTGCTACTGTGCAACAGAGCACTGGGAGGAGGGCTGTAAAACGCATGGTGGTGGATGTATTTCGTGTACTTTGAGAATGGCAGTGGAGTGGGCAGTCGCCTTATGATGTAGAGGAGGACAACGGCAAACCTCTGACTTGCAGCACAAAGCGATTGAAGAGATGAAGACAAACGTCAAAGGACCACAACAACGACAGCACATGTCAATCTTTATGCAACTTGCCTTTCACGCGGTGCGAGCATTCCAAGCTTGATTCGTGTTTCCATTCTTGCTTTGCATTCACGTCACTCAAGCCAGGGTTACAAGGCCCCGTCGAATCAGTCCATGCGGGCCAGGATACAGGCACTGCCACCCAACCTCAAGATCGACGAAATTTTGCGTTTGTATTGGCCAAAGGGGCATCAATGCGCACACCGACCATGTTGACGTGTAGGCGCTCTGACGGGCACTACGTCACTAGTCTGGGAAGCTTGCGCAGGGCTCTCAGCCTGTTGTTGCAGCCGCGCAGGGGTCCAGCAAGACGTGTTCTGCCGAGTGCAACCGAGCCCGTCGGATTGGCTGGCCAGGCGTGAGTGGCCACAGAAATGCAGGAAAAGGCGGAGGATTTTCAGAGCAGGCAGGTTGGCGCGACTGTGCCACGCAGCAAGATGGGGTCACACAGCCACCTGAGATACGAATCGAGGTACGAATCGAGGTACGCGAGCTTGTGGGACCTGGATGAAAATAGAACTCTTGAATAGTCTGCCCTTTGCGTCGTAATCTTCACGATGTCTGCTTCAAGTATATCAGCATGCTATCTCACGTCAAGCGAACGAATGGAGAAGAGAGGGTTGCTAGATGCACATTACGTGTATCAATGTCTATTGTTTGGGCCTTCGTCTAATCGTAAGGTCTCGTCTATCATAAGTGACCACAAGGAATGGTCGTCGTGAACGGGCATCCTGTGCCTCATGCTTTTGAGTGGCGTGGTATAGATGTTTGGTGTGAGTATGGTATACGCTTGCAGCGTGGTGCGCCCATGTCTACGATGGCGTCTTCTTTGTCTTGCCCGAAGGCCCGGTTGAGGGTGACTTGGACTTGGTGCCGACTGCGTCCTTGAAGGGCGAGTACGGCGCAGCGATCGAGTGCGGCGGAGCGCGGTGCCCATTTGCCAGCTTTGGAGGCTCGCCGGAGCCTGGCCACTTCTTCTGCTCGTCGTGCATCTTGTTAAGGGGCTCGCCGACGATGTGGTACTTTGCCCACTCGATCGGCGGGCACCGCACCACGTTCTGCGGCTGCGGTATCGCAGGGAATTTGGGCGTTGTCTTGTGGTCTACGTTTACAGAGTCTTTGCGCGCAGCTCCCGACTGCTGGCCGGCGGTGGTGTCGTCGCTGCTCTCGGCCATGTCGGCGAGCCCGGCAAGCGTGGGCGTGAGGACGTCGTGGTGCGCGCCTGCTGCCTGGGCGCGCTGCGCTTGCAGGGAGCGCATGAAGCTCTCTGGATCCTGCACGGCGGCATGCTTGAGCTCTTCCAGCGCCTTCAGGTCGCGCTTGCTCTTCTCGCGCTGGATCTGCAGCAGCGAGATGGCCGACCGCAGGGCGATGGCGTCGGGGTTCTCGCTCTCTGAGATGGGCACCGACGGCGGCTTCTGGCGGAATGTCGCAGGCGCAGGCGCAGGCGCAGAGGCGGGCGCAGAGGCATGCGCAGAGGCATGCGCAGGGCGTGGTGGGGGGTCGTTGCGGGGCCGGGAGTCGGAGCGCTCGATGGGAGCTAGCTGGGCAACCGTCGCGGTGGGCGTGATGGGGGAGACGGGCGGCCGGTCTGAGGTGGGCGACTCGGAGCGCTGCTGCGAGGCTCCCGAGGTCGACGAGGCGTCGCTCGAAGAAGCCGGCCGCAGATCCGTGTTGACCAGCAGCGCAGGCATGGCGGCTGAGGGTGTGGACGTCGCGGGTGCCCAGGAGTCCAGCGCGCAGTAGCGATCGCCACGGCCACGAGGCGGAGGGGCGGAGGCCGGGGCGCGCTGAGGCCTGCGGGCTCTCGGTGGGGCGCTGGGGCGGCAATGCGGCGCTGCTCAGATGCGCGCCTCGGCTGTGTGTGCCATGTTGGTTCGAGAGCGCGCGCGGGTTGAGGTGCGACAGGGAGGAAGGCAGCGCCTGCACTAGGTCTGTTCACGAGAACGGTGGGGGCTGCAGCAGAAGAAAGTGCATGTGGCTTGGCCTGGCCGGACCTGCGCTCTCGGAGCGACGCTGCTCGTTGACCTCGTCAACCATCACTCGGAGCGCCACGGCCATGGCGGCCTCCCATTCCCACTGCTGTTATTGCACGCCACAGTCGATTGGCTGCTGTGCCCGTGCTGCACACTCGCGCTGCGGCCAGGTGTTCACCGCGACTGCCTGTTCCGGCAGGACAGCATTCATTGCTCTAGCTCTACATAGCGAGTACATGTCACCGCGGCTCTCCCAGACCCCGCGCAGCCCGCCGCGTAGTCCGAGGCGCGGCTACGACCTGTCCGTCGTGGGCGAGAGCGTCCAGACAGTGGCCAGCGGCCATGGCTCTCTGTCGCAGCGCCGTTACGTGAGCTACCGATCTGGCCGACAGACGCCAAATCTGGTCGAGCAAGACCGACTACTGCGGGTGAGCGAACCTTAACACACCCTCTGGGCAACTGAGCAGCAGTTTCACGCTGATCATGCCATTTGGCTGTTCTCTTTCTGGTACGCTTGAGCCAACTCCAGCCAGTGCTCGGCCGACAATCCCATGTCACTGCAAATGTGCCGTCTTGAGTCCGCCACCAGGTCAAGCCAGCATGGACGAAGCGGGCATTTGCTGGTTCTGAGCGAGCGTCAGCCGCGGGTAGGCAGCCACAACAGTCCCTTGCAAGACCGTCTCCGGCCTGCCACCAATGGCTGCAGCCGGATCCTGGTTGCGCGTGGTGGAGGGCTGCCTCCGCTCGCTGGAGGAATCTGGACGAGGGCTCGCTTGTCGTTAGTAGCGCGAAGGTACCAGATCTCGCGTGTGAGTCGCTCTTGCTTTTGGGACCCGCTGCCCGTCATTTGCGCTTTCCACGTGCACCGCATTGTATTTACTCTCTTCTACCCCGTTGTCCTCGCTTCTGTTGCTGTTCTGCTGTGTCGTGCGACTTCTCAGCTGGCCGCTTTACGGCTGCGCGCAATGTGCTGTTGCTACTATCTGCCAATCACTCGCTTCTCTGCGACACACCGATCCTCGCTGCTAAACCCTAACCGACTGCCCGACCGAGATCATCGTCGCCGTTGTTGCATCGAGTCATGGCCTCAGACTTAACAACGCAGTCCCCGCCGGCTGGCCCACGCATACCAAAGCTCAAGTATAGGAACCCACTGCCGCCAGATCAAATCTCGCTATCGTCGCAGGTTTCATCTCAGGAGTCGACACGGCCGCCAACGCAAAGACAAGCCTCAGCTGCAAGTTCAGAATTCCCTCCGTCACCCTGCCGGCCGTCTTTCGAGACTGCTGCAAGTACCACATCCAGTCTGGCGTCCACACCGTCCAGCCACTCGAGTTCCAATGACTCCAAGGCGCCAAAGAAGAAGAAAAAGAGCAACTCGGTGTTTGGCTTCTTGTCTCTGAAAGAACCTTCTCAGGCGGCTTTCGAGCAGTTTGCCGAACAGCAGCGCAAGCAAGGCAATGGACGGGGTTCGATATCGCCCTCGAATTCTTCCGTCAAGAGTGGTGCCACGTTTGCAAGCAAGAAGTTGCCGGAAACCGTTCCCAAAGTCAATTCCAAATGGGATGGTGTTCCGGAAACAGTAAAAAAGCGCCAGTCCACAGCTGCTTCCGCCACCAGGTCAAGCAAGGACACCAAACGGTCATCAGGATCCTCGTTTGGAACAAAAGGCTCGAATCTCGCTGCACTACCTTGGAACGATTCAGAATTCTCTGTCATGTCAAACGAGTCCCGGGGCCCGCCCAACTCGATCAGATCCGTCTCACACGGGATCAACGCCGACATCTATCACAACGGACACTATATTCCCTCCTCGCCATCTGATAGTTCGCTGGCTGAGCCATCTCACTATCACCCTGAGGAGCCAATGGCATCTGGTGCCCTGCCAGTAGCCCATTCGGACGACGCCGAAGACAAGCCTCTGTCCAGGGACCAGTATCCAACAGTGCAAGATCTCGAGAGCGTAAGATCGATATCGCCCGCATCATCAACAGCATCAGTCGATACCATTGTACGTGCCGAAGCCGATGTAATCTTCAAGAAGATGAACGACCGTCCCCAGCAGCAGAATTTCTGGGGTGGAAGCGCGCCAGCCGTGCAGACACCCTCTGAGGCTGGTTCCGAGTCGGATGTGCCCGAGTCTCACGATTTTCTCTTCGAGCTACCGTCTGGCACCTCATCGCAGAAGACAGACTCTCCCATGGCATCGCCATCAGGCTCCTATAGTGTTCCAGATATCCACCACGCCGAACCACCAGCACCCTACACCCCATCGCCTGTTTACGACAACCCGCCTGTCCCTCACTACTCCCCCTCGCGGCCAGTCCAAAACTTCAGCCGGCCAATGGCATCTCCGACACCCAAGCCGGTCAGTTTTTTCCAGCCAACAGCTCCGCCGCCTGTGGCGCCATCATCCATTCGGTCACGGGCCAAGAGCTCCAGCCTTCCAACTCTATACGAGAACTCTATCGCCAGCACCGAGTCTCTGGAGACGATCCGGGATGACGATGCGCAGTCGATTGCGCCGTCTTTCACGCCATCCTCGATTGCGCCTTCTGAACTATCGGAGCACTGGCACCAATCTTCCCGCGACCGGCTTGGTCTGGGCGGGCAAATGCGCAAGAGCGATGTGCTGCCGTGGAACACAAAGGAGGAAACTCCAGGTAAGCCCAAGAGCAGACATCGTTTGTCATTGTTGATGAAGGGCGCACTACGGTCATAAGGTTCCCCTGGTGGTGAACTGCGACTAACTCTCGTGCATAACAGCTCGCTACAGCCAGCAACCATCATAGTTCGCCATTTGTGTTTATTCAGCGTTCAGCGTCAGCATCATGTCTCGAGCGACGGTCATCACCGTTTTACGTATAGATACCCAATCCATGTCAACATATCGGAGTCACTCGCTTCATGTACACGGTCACCAATCTTCAGTGCAGCATTTTGCCGTCATCACATCCCCGCAAGCGACATCAAGCAACCGCATGATCGCCATGACAGCGCAGAGCGGTGGTCGCCGTCTGATGTGGGCTAGACAGCTGGCGGCGCATAATGTGCGCCATCCGCCAACAGTAACGTACTAAATCTATCATGTTTAATTTCCGCCTAACCTACCCTTCTCATTTGTCCGCGCGGCTCCCCCGCGATAATGCAGAGGTGCTGGATGTCCGGGCGCGGATGCACAGTGCTGTACTGAACCTTATTTCGCTATGCACGATCCCGGACTGTACTCCGTGGATTCTTCGCATCTTCTACGCTAACCGTCGTTTGTCTCCGTGGACTGTAATTCAAATCTAACGGCCAATCACCGCATGCATGCTGCCTAGCCCTGCGTGATGGAGGGCGAGCCAAACCACTGATTTGTCGTTGAGCAAATTCAGCAAGCCATTTCTCAACGCAAAGTACCCCCCGATAGCTCATTCGCCATTTCATGCCGTCACACTTGTACAATATGTACACAAGTACTTACGTGTGCCATACCTCGTGCCGATCAAGCACGGCCGATCGAGCATCACCCGCCGGATCTGGCGCGACTCGGTACGAGTGCAATCTCGGTGTACGTCTGTGCGGAGCGCACTGGCGAGGGCCGGGAGTAGGGTGTACTTACAGTGGAGCAAGCCTTTTGTGGGAGATGTTCGGCGAATTTCCTGGTGGTGCGGGCGTGGGATGTGGCGTGGGAGAAGCGCTAGGCAAGGCAGATTTGTGCTGGGAGTGAGTGGAGTTTAGCGGTGTTGGGGTGGTTATAACTTATTGGAGTGATGACAGTTGTTGAGACTCGTGTGGGAGTGTTGGGCGGGATGCGTGAGGGTGTTTGTCGTGGGTGATTTGATATTCTATTCTGGGGAGGTATAGCTGCTCTAGATGATGAATTAAGTTACTTCGTTCTATGTTGATGGATAAACTAAGTTCCATGTCGACGAGTAAACCTACTAAGCTGGCAAACTCCCTATCTTTAGGGTTAGTGTCCAGTGCGCCTGCAGAATTCCTACTTCCTGTCAAATGACTGATACCAGCAGCAGCCAATCGCTCAAAGTATGATCGGCCACTAACACTGCAGAAATGCCTAAAGGATGAAATATCAGGCAACCTGCCGCTGTGAGAGATTCGTTGAATAACTCCATTGATAGGTGCATCTTCAAAGTTTTGCTCTTGCTGGACGCAGTTACCATAGTTTCATAGGAAGCAAGAGGGCTTTCGAGTAAGCCACGTATTTTCAAGTATACCCGAAAGAGAGGAAACAGAGGGCAATTGCGTATTCAGATCCACCGCTCCCACCTTCTGCGTCGAACTTATGATCAACGTTATTGCATTCTAACTGTTGTTCAAAGCGCCAACCCTTCTTTCATACGAAGTCCAGAAAGGCATTCTGCGAGTCTTTAGCCAGTATATCCAGAAAGGAAGCCTCAAAGGATAAGTAAGAAACGATATGTTCACATGTCCAGGACCATTGACTGGATGGTGAGACCTTGGACACACTGACTCACCCTTTTCCAGACAACGATCGCAGAACAAAACGATGGCTAGGCAGCGAGCCACAGTGGGACAACGGATTGCAGGCTTGTAGTCATTTCCGACCGGGACATGCATCAAGGCGCTGGAAACGATGTACCTTCTGGCACGACCGTTTGGGCATTTTGGCAGAGACTGCCGAAGCAGCTACGCCTCCAACAAGAGCACTCCTGCAAGCTTTGAAAGACAGCAAAAAGGGAGACCGATGGCTGAACTCGTGGGTCGCACTTGTTGCTATTGGGTTGACGCTTTTCTTTGGGTTGGTTCGGGACATCGAGGGGGCGATTTAAGTTTACAAAGCGTACTATCCGGCTGATTGATGTCGGGATATCTCCTTCGACGTACTACAAACGTCTGCTGCAGGCCGAAAGACTCCAACACGCAACCCTCTACCTTTCTTTGAACCCCCCTCTCATGAATCACAGCATCCCATCTTTTGGACCCCCCTCGATTGTTCGGGTGTTTCTTATATTCTCCGATAACAAGTGAGAAAGCGATTTGGCTGATAGCATTCGTAGATTCAGACTGACTTATGCTGAGCTACACAGGCTATCTACACGAATAATAATTCTTGTGATGACCTGTTCATATCCATCCAACCAATCCCAACATTTACGGACCCTTGTCGCCGCCATTCGTTGCCTACCACGGCGGGTTACCACGGCAGGTGTCCCCGAAGATCTCGCCAATTTTTCTACCCTGGTGTGATACCTGGTTGTGCTGAGCAGACATCATGACAAGATAGGCATCATTGTTGAGTCTGGCTCCACAGAGACCACGCTGGCTGCCACCCGTGATGCCCGTAAGCCTGTGGTGCGCATTGCCCCAGGCATCGCCAGACCAGCTCCTGCCCTGGCCCTCGGACGCCACCCACAAGCACTGGCCCCAGCAGCAGACGCCCTTGATTTCGTAGACCTGGGATTGCGTGTTAGGAGCGGGGTTTCTGTGTTGATCAAGGGATACTCACGCCGAGGTTGCCGCCAAAGTCGCCGCCGTAGTTGTTGTTCCAGGTGTTCCGCAACATCCAGAGCGTGCTGCCTCCGACTACAGTACCTCCTATGGTTGCATGGCATTCGTCGCGGAACCAAAGGCCTCGTTTGTTGAGAGGATTGGGAGAGGTGTCCGGCGAGGGAAGAGCTGGTGCAGCACTTACGCCAGCAGAAGCGGCGAGCCACGTAGCCAGGACAGTGACAAAGGCGGTCTTCATACTGAGAACGGATTGAAGGCTGCTTGGTGATGTCGAGGGGATGTGGTGTTCGAGATACTTCTCCAGACACGAAGGTTTGACGTCTGCTTTATACAACCCACATAGATAAATGTATACACACCTATGTCTCGAAGCCACCGAGTACGCTGAGAGCTAACACCGGCCATTTTTCACCGGCCATGCATCTCCCATAGCCATACGAGGAAGTAACGTTCCCTCGGAATCTTGCCAAGCAGGTGCCTAACTTGGCAATATCCTATTCGAGCGTGTCATACACATATCTACAATAGGCCCGTTGCTCGCCTGCTTAAAGTACTAGTCTATCGGCTAGCGCTTATAATGCGTGAACCACGATTCGCCCTCCGCGTCTCTGTAGTCGCGAGCTTCCTCAATTGTAGCCGCGTCGAATGAGGCGCCAAGCGGCTGCCCTGCAGTATGTATGCCCCGAAGCTCTTGGCCAATTTAACAATAACACGGCGTCCAGGCTGCTATCCGTTTCAGTGGTTAGACTTCAGGTCGAGAACCTAGAGTAACATGGCGTACTGCATATTGTCCAGTGGGGGAAATCTCTCAGTGCCATTGTCGGCGCTGTTGCCAAGGAGAGCAGCACCCGGTGAGAGCTATATCGTCCATGAACGCATGAACCTTGTCCTGACTTCCCGCATGCTCTGCTCTGCCGCCTCTTGTTCTTGGGGTCGGAGATTGAGATTCGTTCTAGCCCGTGGCAATCTCCTGCAAAAAACAAATAGAGCACTGTAGTAGCTATGCCGTTTTGCGTACGAGCAAGAGCCCGTGATCGTCCGCTGTTTGTATCTCACTCGAGAGTGTAGCGTAGACGTGCAAAGATCAGCATGGCGAAGTGGCTTGGACTAAACCTCCCACTAGTGCAGTTCCTACACATGCATATGTGGCTGTGCCGGACACAGCTCGCCATCTTTACCCATCGCATGCAACACGAATCCAATAAATGCCACCACCGGGATTCTCGGCGGTACCTCTGCACACGTTCTGGCCTGAAAAGGTATGCGATGCCGCACAGTAGTTGGGCGCCTTGAACCTATAGCTACCGCATGGTGGAACCTTGTGGGAAGCAGCGTTGAGGCATTGTTCGTCCTGCACGGCTTCTTCTGTTGAAGCATGCGTGAATCTTGCCTAGGATTTGCTTGTGGATCATGAACCACGACATGAGATCGTAGCCACCATTTCATCGGGAACATCGCGGGCTTCAATTTGTAGCTGGTGTGGCTATATTGAGCTTTGGCAATGCTGCTCGTGTTAACGTCGTCGCCAATCACCGACACTGGCGAACGTTCGGCGCACCAGTAGCAAGCATATCCGGACGTAGAGTCGTGAACTCAATGAATATAACGAACCTGAGCTTTTGAGATGCGAATAGATATACATACCGCCCCCTCTAATACGTAAACCGAAACCCGGGCGTGCCCTCCAACACCACTTTCCCCCTCCTCTGGCGCCCGTTCGCGATGTAGAAATACACGCTGAACAGCCCCACGACCGCGACAATCAACACATGGCTCCCAATCGACACCCACACGGCGGTCAAGTACCGCGGACTCTCCTGGCGGCGGACGATGAAACTCCCCGCGATCCCGCCCGCGCCGTTGCACGCCGTCACCGCCGCGGCCGTGAACACCCGCTTCCACTGGCCGACGACGTTGTTGGCCTGGTACGTCGCCATGGCGGCCCAGTTGGCCACGTACGCGCCGGTCGCGAGATACGTGCCCGCCAGGCGCGCGCCGACGTGCGGGCTGAAGCCCAGCAGCGCGAAGCCGACGACCAGCGTGGCGCAGTTGAACACGATGACGGGCCCGCGCAGGCGGAAGCGGTCGCCGACGTAGGACGATAGCAGCGCGGGGATGACGGCGTAGAAGTAGGGCGGCGCGGAGAGCAGGATCGAGTCGCCCGTGCTGAAGCCCATGCCGCCCTGCAGGATGATGGGCAGGAAGTAGCTCATGCTGGTGGAGACGAGGTTCTGGAGGAAGTAGAGCGTGCAGAAGGCGTAGATCTTGGGGTCTGCGGCGTGGGAGAGCACCGCGCGCCAGGTGAAGGGGGTCGGCTCGTGGTCGCCGCGGTCGAGCGCGATGCGGGCGCTGGCCACGCGCGCCTCCGACTCGCTCAGGAAGTGGAACGACGTGTGTGCGCGCTCGGGGAAGTCGGGCATCCACCAGTACGTCAGGACGCCGAGGAAGGCGGTGATGGCGCCCTGGACGACGAACATCCACTGCCAGCCCTTGAGGCCGTGGGCGCCGTCGAGGCGGTTGAGGCCGTAGTTGACGATGCTGCCCGCGGCGAGGATGGATACTTCGCCGCTCTGCATGAGGGCAAAGCGCAGCTGCTGCTCCTTGCGCGTATACCAGATGCTAAGCAAGTAGGTAAGCCCAGGGTAGACGCCCGACATGGCGATGCCGAGCAGGATGCGCAGGGCGATCATCTGGCGCCAGGAGGTGACGAACGCGGTGCACAGCGTGATAATCCCAAAGCACACCGTGATGAACGAGAACCAAATGCGCGGGCCGAACGTGCGCACCGCGATGGTCGAGGGCAGCTGGAACGCGATGCTGGCAATGGTGAAGATGAAGATGGACACGGAGTAGCGGTTCCCCACGTCCAGCTCGAGGTCGGACAGCATCGAGGTCACCGACGCCGACGAGATGACGCCGCTGTCGAGCAGGTTGAGACTCGCGAGCACGCCGGCGATGCTGCACAGCCGCAGGTCGACCTTGAATCGAATCCCGCTCTTCCACTTCTCCTCCAGCTCGTCTGGCGCTGACAGCAGCGACCCGTCGTCCTCGCGCTGCACCTCGCGCACCGACTCCTCCGACGCCTGGCTGGGTGTCCGTTTGACCATGGTGGTGTCTGTGGCGGCGCGGGAAAGCCCTCTAGTCCTTCTCTTACAACAACACGATATGTGTAGTTCTATACAACACGTGTAGTCCCGAGTGCCTCTTAGCGTCGACCGCGAGCGTCGCCAATCCGTAACTGCCCTCACAAGCAAGCCCGCTCACGAACCTCAGCGTCAGTCCAGAGCAGTACGATGCACCCAAAAACCCGACAAACCCTCTCATATAAGCACAAACCCAAAGCCCATGACGCGACGAGGCGAACCCAAGCCCCGCCCACAGAACGCGCTGGAAAATCTGCGTGCTTATCTCACCCACCCCAGCAGTGGTGCAATCCTCCTGCACGCAGGTGTGATCCGGGCCGCAGCCGCAGCCGGGGCCGAGGCTCGTGCGCGCTGCGTGCCCGGATTGGGTGCTGCTTAGCAGGCGCGGGAGCGGGGATTGGTAAGCGCTTAGTTATGTGCTCGGGGATGCTTACAGAAGGGGGGTGTGCGCTTGCGAGATAGACTGTGGATGACACTTGTTACTGATGCGTGGTAAGCGCGCTGTGGTTCCGCGGTGTTTGCAGGGCGTGCTGAAGGTGGTGGTTGGAGTGCGGCAGAGTGCGCGGGATAGTGCATGTGTGTCTCGCGGTGTAGGCAGGATAACGGTGGACGGAGATGCAAGCCTACCTGTGAAGTATCCTACTACAACGACAGCAAAGCAGAGAAAGCACACAAGACGCTATAAAACACTTCTTCGCCTACAATACATGACAATATATGTACCACTTACCGTTATTGCTAAACCCCAGCTCCACGCATCCATCACAACTACAGCTACACTACAAGTCCAGCACCAAGCCCAGTGATCTTCAACCCCCCCCCCCCGCCGTCCTATTGAGAGAGAGGGAGAGAGAGAGCCCAGATCCCCAACCCCGACCCTACCCCCACCGCGCTGACATTTCCAGGTTCGGATTCGGAGGCTTCGGCTTCGGAGACTTCAGAATCGTCGGAGCCACGTTATCTGCGGCCGACCTCCCAGACACGCGGCCAATGTAGGGACGACAGTTCATTGTCGCGTAATTTAACAACTAGACTGCGCAACGGCCGCGAGCGACGGTGTGGGGATGCAGATGAACGCATATATGTGTGTGCATGCATGTGTATGTGTGTGTGTATGTATATATATGTGTGTGTATGTATATCTGCACAACACATCGAATCCGACGCTGGAGTACTGCAACACTACGAACCAAGGGGACACATTAAATACTACTCTCCACTCGGAACTGCTGTACGGACTACTGCGTACAAGCTACTGCACGAACTGCTGTGTACCAACTACGGTGTACAAACTACTGTACCAACTACTCGGCCACCCCCGGCGCCGGCGTGGCGACCTCGACCTTGACGCCGACCTGCGGCTCCAGCGCCTCCGTGTCCTCGCGGACGGGTCTGCGGCCCTCGCGCCGCTCGTCGTAGTACACGTACTCGTCGCCGCCGCCACGGCCCCCGTACCGCGGGCCCGCGCGCTCGTACGCGTAGGGCTCGGGATACGGTTCGTAGCGGACGGGGGCGGGGCGGTAGTCCGGCGCGGGGCGGTACTCGGGGTGGTACGGGCGCGGGCGGTCGCTTCGGACGCGGACGAACTCGTACTCGGGCTCGGGGTAGTAGAGAGGCGGCTGGGGGTTGCGGTGGTCGTCGTAGAAGCGGGGCGGCGAGAAGTGGTGCGTGCGGTCTTGGATGGAGACGTAGTCGCGCGGGGGTCTCCTCAGGCCACTCGGCCTCCCGCCAGGCAACGACGATATTGCCGCTGCTGAATGCAGTGGTGTGTTTTGCTCCGTAGTGCTGGACAACACCCTCAAACCCAAAAGGCCGGGTGGCTTGATCGCAGTCGCTGCCGTGGCAGAAGAAGATCTCGCGGCGGTACTGTTCTGTTAGCGGCTTGAGCTTGTTGTCATATAGCCACTTCATGTTCTCCAGCACCAGCGGGGGTCTATCAGAGGGCTCCGCAGCATTCACGCCTTCATAGTAAGCGCGCCTTACGTGCATGAGGAGGTCCGCAGCAAACTTTGGGCTGTTCTCGTGGGTGAGAGCTTTGCCATGGTCCCACTCCCGGTTGATGAAGTCGTCCGCAATGGCGCTGAGTCTGTCACGAATGGGCCGCTGGGACTCCTCCCATTCCCGGTCCATGGCCTCTTTTGCTTCCTTGGAATTGGCATCCTGGTGACGGCGGTCAGTTTGCTTTGTCGGAAGCAGGGCTGCGCGAGACACGTGGTCGGCTTCGGCTTGTTGGGCAGCAGGCAAGTTGGCAATTAGGCGAGGCTGCAAGACGCTCCAGGCGTAGTCAGTCATTGGCTGGGAGATCTGGATGGCTGCCTTGAAGGCGTCCATGTGGCGCAATATGCTTGGAGCAATGGGAGGGTGCATCTGCTGGCACCGGCGCTCAATGTCCGTTTTCCGGGTGGCTTTGGCCTCGTTGGCATCATGGAGGTTCCGCTGCTGGTTTGGCTGGGCGCTACCGGAGTGGACGGGCTGGGGAGTGAAGACATTTGGCGGGATGGTGGGAGGCCTGTGTGCGTAGTGGTGCGGCGCTGCAGCTGTTAGGTTGGGCAGCGGAGGGGTACTTGTGAAACGTCTGACACGGCCGCCATGCATGGCAGCAATCGAAACACTTGAAGAGGACTTACTCGCTGGGACTGGCGCATGGAGCACGGGGGAGGCAGTGTGGCGCTTTGGGGATCTAGAGGGCTTGGGTGCGGCGGGTGGCGAGGGCGCACGCTTTGCGTGTTTGTACTTGACGGCCCAGCGCTCCCAGGCCTCGGCTGCCTTGAGGCGCTGCTTGCCTCGTGCTTCAAGGCCCTTGTACCACTCTTCAGCGGCAGCGGGTCCGAGAGCGAGAGCGTCCTTGAGCTCCTGGGAGATGTCGTCGACGTGCTGTCGGTAGTAGTATTTAGCAATCTCGACGCTCGCAGGGGTGGCGGCGGTCTGCAGAGCGTGGGCGGGAATGTAGTGGTGGTCGCTCGTGATGAGAGCGAAGGGAAGTGCGGGGCGGAGTGCGGAGGCGGAGGAGAAGAGCAGGCTCGCGTCCTGCAAAAGTCAGCAGCTGGGGGGAAGGGTGCGCCTACAACTCACTGTCTGGCATTGCTGCATCAGACAAGGGCCGCAGGCTCGGATGGCGAAGGGCCACACGGTGCGGACCATGGTGTCGCCTGGGCCCTGCTGCCACATCTTGTCACTGGAAGGGCTCGCGCCGAGCTTGCTACAAAACTGACAGGCCCTGGACCATACAAGCTGCCACATTTGCAGCTCGGTACGGCCCGGGAGGGGCTTGGGGGCACTGGAGTGGTAGGCATTGCGGGCAGAGGCCCACAGCGCTTCAGACTTTAGGAGAGGCAGACAACCATGCTCTGGTTTGGACAGGGGGACGTTAGACACGTCTGTGAGATAAGAATGAAAAGGTCGATTGACTTGGATCAACCGACCGAGGTCTGCAAGAGAACAAAAGGAAAAGACGTGCTGCCACACAGCGGGTGGCAGGCCGGCGCTGGGCCGCAGCTGGGGAGTGACAGGCGCGGGGACGGCCGTCGAGACCGAGTCCAGCCTGCGCTTCTTGTCCGCAGGCGGGCCCGCGTCCAGACGGCGCTTCTTGTCGGCAGCAGTGACGGCCGTGTCCAGGCTGCGCTTTGCGGGCGAGGCATGGCGGTGCATGCGGGCGGCGGCCAGGGCGTCGGCGTCGTAGAAGTCGACCGAGGACGCGGCGCTCGACTCGCGCTCGAACATGGCAGCAGCAGTGGCAGCGACAGTGGCGAAGCTCACAGGAGCTCCACCGACGATGCGCGGCAGGCTGCACACATGTGGTGGTGTGGTGGCGGGCGACGACCGGGGTCGCGGTGCAGACGGGCACGGGGCGGCGGCAACGGGCAGCGGGTAGCGGACGGCGTGCTTATGGCGACGGAGGCGGACAGAGACGGCAGCGCGTGCTGGGCGAGGGTGAGGAGGGAGCGGCGGCGAGCTGGTGGCCGGCGAGCAGCGTGCAGACGAGGCTCGCGGCGCTCGGCCTATCAGGGCGCAGTGAGGCGCGCAGCCCAGCGGCGGCCTGACAAGCTGGGACACGCTGGGACACGCTGGGGCCGGCACGTCAGCCGCGCTGGGCCCATGACGAAGGCTTGGCGGCGGGCGCTGTACCTACGTCGCCCAGTGCGCGTACAGAGGACCGCCCGCCCGCCATACGCTTCCTATACGAGCAGCCCACACCGCGCTCGTCACACCCACCGCGCACACAGAGAGCCTCCCACGCTGCTCTCTGCCTCACCCGCCCATTCGCTCCTCGCTCCTCTCACCCGCCGCTCCGCCCACCCCGCCGCCCGCCGCCGCCGCCGCCATCGCCATGGCCTCGCTCAACACGTCGACCAACGGGCCCAACATCACCCGCAGCTACCAGAACGTCGTCAACACCCCGCCGCCGTCGGGCTCGCAGGCCCAGTCGCCCACCTACGGGCAATGGGCCGTCTTCGCCGTCACCGCCCCGCTCGTCAGCGCCTTCCAGCACGACGGCGGCAAGGAGAGCGTGCTGAAGGTCCAGAGCACCGGAGGTACGCCGCCCATTGCGCCCAATTGAGTTCCGGCCCGCCTGCTGACCTGCGCAGAGGGAGAGCTGCTCGACCTGATCGACGAGTTCTCCGACGGCCGCATCCAGTTCGCCTTTGTCAAGGTCAAGGACCCCAACTCGTCGCTGCCTAAGAACGTGCTGATTGCCTGGGTACGAATGGTCCATGCTCTCTGCGCGCCTCTGCTGACCAAGACCAGTGCGGCGAAGGCGTGCCCGAGCGCACCAAGGGCTACTTTGGCAGCCACCTCGGCGTTGTCTCCAAGCTGCTCCACGTACGTGCCGTCGTCACCGTCTCATGGTCGCGCTAACCCCCGCAGGGCTACCACGTCCAGGTCACCGCCCGCTCCGACGCAGACCTCACCCCCGAGCGCATCATCCAGAAGGTGTCGGATGCCTCCGGCGCCAAGTACTCCGGCGGCGCCAACATCCCCTCGTCGAGCGGGCCGCCGCCTGTCGCCGCGAAGAAGCCCGTCTTCACCCCTACAAACGTCGGGGGCGGAGCCTCCGCCTTCAACCCGCTCGGCCGCGCACGAGCCCCTGCGCCGCGGGGCGACGAGGACGCTGATGGCTGGGGCGCCGATGCGCCAGAGGTCACGCGCTCGCAGCTCGAGAAGGTCGGCACCGCCTACAAGCCTACAAAGGTCAACATGGCCGAGCTGTCCAAGGGCAGGGACGACACCACCCGCTCGCAGAACGACCGCCCAGAAGTCGTCAGGGGCGCCTATCAGCCCATTGGCAAGGTCGACATCGCCGCCATCAGGGCCCAGGCGAAGGAGCAGAAGGACGACCGGCCCACCGTGGTCAAGGGCGCATACGAGCCAATCGGAAAGGTCGACATTGCCGCTATCCGTGCAAAGGCCGCCGGTGCGCCGTCGGGCTCGCCAGCAGCAACCGGCGCATCCAACGACGACGAAGAGGAGCGGCCCAAGTCGCTGGCCGAGCGCTCCGCCGCCTTCGGCAACCAGCCCGAGCGTCTCACCAGCCTGCCCAAGCCCAAGGTCGCCAACAAGTTCGCAGGCGCGAGCGCCTTCACCGGCACCAAGGCCCCTGCTCCCGGCGGCTTCACCGCCCCGAAGCCGGCCACCTCCGCGCCAGTTGGCACTGCGAGCAAGACCTTTGCAGACGAGGGGGGCAAGACCCCGGCTCAGATATGGGCAGAGAAGAAGGCCGCCCGTGGCGAGTCGGTCAACGCACCCGCTGCGCCCATCGAGGCCCAGCAGAGCGGCGGCGGCGGCTGGAAGAGCGGCTACACGGGCAAGTCCTGGGCGGCTGTCCAGACCACCCGCACCGGCCAGTCGGCCAGCAACCTCAGCGAACAGCGGACCGGCGATGCCCCAGAACAGGAGGAGCCCTCTTCGCCGCCCGCTGGTGTTGGCTCGCTCAAGGACCGTTTTGCTGGCGGCGCGCCTATGGGAGCTCCCGCCCTGGACAACTCGAGCAAGCCGAACGCTGGTCGCGGTGTCCCCATGCCCGGTCTGCCCAGCCGTCCCAAGGAACCCGAGTCTGATGACGACGACGTGCCGGCAACGCAAACCCAGCGCCTCCCGTCGCCGCCTCGTCAGCCACGCAGCCCGTCTCCCGAGCCTTCAGGCTCTCCCGTACGCATTGCTATGCCTGTAGCACGCGGAAGGGAGCCCGAGCTCTCGCCGGCCGAGGAGCAGCCTCCTGCGATGCCCAACCGCTCGCTTGCACAGGCCGCCTCGCAGGCCCGCGACCTCTCGCCCGAGCCCCGAGTCGAGGCAAAGGACCCTGCGCGCAGTGCTGGCGTCGCTGTTGCAGCCGGCACTTTCGGCGCTGCAGCAGTGGTCGGCGCTGCCGCTGGCGCTGCTCTCGCTCACGACGACGACGACGACACGGGCGCTGGTGCTGGAGCTGGCGGCTCTGGCAAGCGCGCCGTCATCGTCTACGACTACGAGCGCGCCGAAGACAACGAGGTCGAGCTCCGCGAGGGCGACCACGTGACCGACATCGACATGGTCGACGACGATTGGTGGATGGGCACCAACGCCCAGGGCGAGCGCGGCCTGTTCCCCGCCAACTACGTTGAGCTCGTCGAGGGCGACGACGACGCTGCCGCACCCCCTCCCCTGCCCTCGCACCCCTCTGCGCCCCAGGACCCTGAGCCCGCTCCCGCCGCTCCCGCCGCCGCTCCCGCCGCTGCAGGCCCCACCGCGACCGCCGTCTACGACTACGAAGCCGCCGAAGACAACGAGCTCAGCTTCCCCGAGGGCGCAACCATCACAGGCGTCGTAAGTTGTTGCGTGTACATTATAACTATTTCTAACTCTAGCAGGAATTCCCCGACGAGGACTGGTGGCTCGGCAACTACAACGGCGCGTCTGGCCTGTTCCCTGCCAACTATGTCCAGCTCGACGAGTAGAGCGGTTGTCCATGCAGGGTCCGCGGAGGATCCCTGGTACGGAGGTAGAAAGAAAGGAAGAAGAAAAATCGGAACCGCTGTTTGCGAGATGCAGCGAGCGCTGCTGGTTCCTGTTGGTGGAGGGGTATTCAGGTACTAAGTATTGAGATATTGGACCCTCCCTGCATATATCGAGTTATAAGCGTCTCTGATTCTGTTTTTCTCGCCGTCTCCACACGGTCTCAGTCCTGCATCCTTTCACTCAAGTTCCTACATCTCAAGACTCCAACGCACTTCCCTCGCAAGACGGCACGAGAAGAAATAAGCTCACAAGCACCCATCACCACCCACGCATACCCACTCGTATCCACCCACCATGTCTACGTCCACCCCACCCACAACACCCTGCCCCGCCCCCCTTTCCCCCATAATAACCTACCTCGCCCTCCTCCTCCTCTTCCTCGCCACCGCAACTCTCTGGACGAACCACTCCGCCCCGACACCTAGTCCCGCTGCAGTGCGACCCACCACCACCACCTCGACGTCCATTTCTACCTCCACCTCCTCGCTGCGTGAAGCGCGTGAAGCGCGCCTCGAGCACCGTATCGCCGAGCTCGAGCGCCGTGGCAAGGGACTGGGTGCGTCGAATACCGAGCTACTACTCGACAACGAAACCCTGCGGGCGCGTCTCGAGGAAGCAGAGCGCGGGAGCGCGGTGCTGCGGGCCGCGGGCGAGGGGCTAAAGAGGGCGGTTGGGGAGCTGAAGGGGGTTAACGGGCGGTGGGAGGACGCGTGTGGGCAGCTGGTGGCCGCGTACGAGGAGCTGGAGGCGGTGCATGAGGGCCTCGGGGCTGCGCGTGAGGAGCTCAGGACCGCCAATGCAGACCTGCAGACCGCCAACGAGGAGCTGAAGACCGCCAACGAGGAGCTGAAGACAACCAACGCCTCCCTGTCCCACCAAATCCATACCCAAGAATCCGCACACACCGCACTGCGCACCGCCGTCCGCACGCTGGAGTGCGACGCCCTGGCGTCGCAGCTCGAGCTGTACACGGCGCAGCGCACGCACGCGACACAGGCCGCTGAGCAGGGCGCCCGGATCGCAGACCTAGAGTCCGAGAAGGGGGACCTCGCTGCTGCGAACGGAGAACTCGCGGCTGCGAACGATGCGCTGGAGGCCGCGAAAGATGGCCTGATCATCGAGACCACCGCGCTCCGCGACCAGGCCGAGGGCCTGCGCCGCATGCACGACATCCTGCACACCGACTACCGCAGGCTCAGCGCCGACACCGATGCCCTGCGTGCACGCCACGAGCGCGAGACCGCGGTCTTGCGCGACGACGCGGAGGAGCTGTATGCCCGTGTGTGCGTGCTGGAGCGCGAGAAGGCGCTGCTGGAGGGGGGTCTGTGCGCTGGCGGGGAGGGGGAGGTGGTGGGTGCCGAGGGTGAGGAGGAGGGTTTTGAGTGGGATTTCGGAGAGCGTGTCGACGCGAATGGACTCGTACGCGCTGACAGGGGGCTGCCGGGTGAGCAGGAGGAGGAGGACGACGAGAACCTGGGCAGCGAGACAGGCGAGCGTCCGGAGAGGGACGAAGACCTCTTGAGCCCAGAGGAGGAGTTCGTGCAAGTGTAGCGCATGGCGGGGTCTCCGGGCTGCAGCATCACGGCTTCAGTTTTCACAGTACACATGACATGGATATCCCTGGGGTTGTATTTCGGTCTCACGTTTCTTGTGGTGGTTCTTGACGCCCTCCGTGGTGTCTTCCCTGGACTTGGTTAGTGAAGTAGAGTGAAGTAGAAAGATCTGTATACACCTCGACATTGCACACAACAACCGATATAGACCTGACGATAGAATGCTAACACAGCAGTCTACACTTCTTGGCTCGAAGCCGCGCGCTTGCATGCCGCGCACTTGCATGCCGCGCATGCACACAATTATAAGTTGTGTTAGATGAAATGAACTTCAGCTTTAACGTGCCCAGTGGAGACGGGCATCGTCATTCGGGCACGTAAAATCACGCAGTCCTCAAATCTGAGGAACTGGCCCAAAAGCAGGACGCAGTTATGAGAGACATAGGTAATCAGCCCTCATCAAAAACCATCTTCTTCGTAAAGTAGCAGTGGTTTCGGCAAAGTCTAGAGCCCACCTACGATAACAGCCAGAGCATGAAATATCGCACACATGGGAAGTGGGAGACGGGAGAAAGAGCGTGGTAACGTCAGTTCTAGTTCTGAGGTGGACGTTCTAAGACGGCGCGTGGAAAGCAGGGGATCGAATCACAGAAGAGCCCGCTCGCACGGTCCAAGATCGTGGCTAACAGTGCTGACTAAGCTGGCTACCTGTGCAGCTTGACAGCGTCTCAGCTCGCTGTCGAAAGGCTGCTTGTCCAGGATTTGCGTGTGTTTGTCAACAGGAGAGCAACACGGCTTCCTTGCAGTCAATCATCTCAGTCGTTACACCTCTTCTCGGCTTCAGCGTGAGAGGTCCTATGAATCGCATGTTCTTAAACAAGGCACCTCACTTCATGTCATGCCTTCCTCGCACGCGGCACATAGCTCCAAGCAGGATCACTGTGCTTTTACCACGCGGAGACGCTCTTGGCTCGACGCGTTTTTCAATCTTGAAAGATTCTTGTGCGACGTTCTCCTCTGCCAGGCGGATCATGAGGCCGGCCGGTGAAAGTAAGAGATCCACCCATCTCTCTTCTTCTGGGTAAAGATTCTAACCGTTATTGCAACCGCAGGCATTGACCTTTTCAACTATACAGGTGGAAGATGGCTTCGTCAGGACGCGCTAGAGAGAGATGCACGCCATGTACAGTTTGATTTCGACGCACTACGTCGCAGGATCATCGCGCTCTGTCCTGGTGCCAGATCTGTTACTTCGTATAGCAAGAAGGAAGGAGGCTTTAATCGGGTGTTTATATTTCACACAGATAACGCTAAACGTCTCGTCGCAAGACTGCCCTTTCTAGTGGCAGGACCGCGACAGCTGACTACCAATTCTGAAGTCGCAACAATCCAGTTCTGTAGGTCCTGATCTAAGATAGTTCAGAAAGGGTGGCTGAGTGACTAACTGCTTGCCTTCTGTAGTACAAAGAAAGACCAGCATCCCTATCCCGAAGATACTAGAGTGGAGCGACGACGCTTCTAATACCATCGGTAGCGAGTATATCATTATGGAACATGCGCCAGGGATTTCGCTACACGAAAAATGGCCAACGATGAGCTTACACGATCAAATCCAGTGTATACAAGCGATAATTCAAAAATTAGAAGAGGTTGTCGACCTCGACTTCCAGGCTTACGGCAGCTTATGCTTCGCGGATATCTCATACATCGCCGCTTCAAAGCTACTACCACTCGACCAGGAATTTACCATTGGCCCTCATTGTGGAGCTCGGTTTTGGGACAACCACGTTGGACAGTCCAGGTACTCTCACAATGTTGATTCCAACCAAGGCCCCTGTGAGTCGATCCATGGCCTCAATGTGAGCAGAACACTAAAGGCAATCTTCAGGGCTTGACCTTGTTGCGTATTGTGACGGTCTCGTGGACACTGGGATTGCCAAACTTCCCCCAGCCGACGCGGCTCCACAACGGCCACGCTACCGTGGGTCCGTCGAAACACATCGTCGACTACTCGAACACAGTCGCGCAGTACTAAGCAAAATGGCAACAGATTATCGTGTTCGAAAGGCAGCTGTTCCGGTAATGTTCCATCCCGATCTGCACAAACGGAACATCTTCGTCTCAGAAGAAGATCCCTCCGTTGTCACAGCTATAATTGATTGGCAATCGACTAGCATCGAACCAGCGTTCTGGTACGCAGACGAAGTACCGGACTTCGCGCAGCCCATTCCCGATCGTGTAAACGAAGATCGCATAGAGCCTAAGAGCGAGGCGTGTGCCCAAGCGTTCAACGCCTGTGTTTCATTGCTGGCCCCAAAGCTAGCAACTGCCAGATCAATGGACGAAGCCTTCTTCCGGCCATTTCGCTATTGCTATCGAACGTGGGAAGATGGGGCCGTTGCTTTCCGCGAGGAACTCATTCAAACATCGCTTCACTGGAAAGAGCTTGGTCTTGGGGGATCATGTCCGTTTCCTCTACCCTGTCCTAACGAACTCGTACACCATCAGCAGGACTACAAGCGCTTTGAAGCAGCCCAGCAGCTGAAGCACAGCCTATCAGGATTGCTTAATACTGCGCCTGACGGCTGGGTTCCCTCCGAACAATGGGAAGCGACAAAGCTGGCGCACAAGGAAACGTATGCAGGAATTTTGCAGGAAGTGTTAGTAAACGAGCAGCTGGACGATGACGAGCCAATCAAAAGCGAAGACGACCTGAAAGAGATCTGGCCGTTTGACTTGCAGATATGAGTGTTTAATCGGAGCTCGGACTGGTAAGCTACAAGGCGTTCTAACTAACCGACAAGATCAATATGTGAGTGGCTGCGCAGCAGCGTTGTGGCGCTCTTTGAGCTGAACATCATATGAAGTCGTAGCATCAAGGACCGCGTAGGGTGTCGAAGGGCATGAGCAACGGGTACCTATAACGCAACCCACCTCTCAATGCGCGAACGCAACACACGATAGCACAAGACTACCAAGTGCTGCGCAAGCAGATCGAGCAGCCGGGCACTACCACTGCCGCTACTCTGAGTACGCTGTCGAGCTTGTCCGCTGCAGTCTTTTGTTTGGCACCCTTGTCACCATTTTCTGACCTCGGCGGCCTTTTCGATGCCTGTGACCCACTTGGAACAACATTCTTCGGTGATGTTGTACCGTGGTGGATGACGGATAAGGGACATGTCACATGGCCGTAAGTAACAATCTCGCCCGCACAATGCAGGTACACTACCAAATACCACCAGGCGAGCACGTACGGGGAGTCGTTGTTGAAACATATGCATTTCCCAGAGGATCCTCTGCCAGTGGTCTCGAGCATCTCAATCGAAGACGCACCGGCACTTACTCCCCGTAAGCGTCAAAAACCAGCGAGCTGTCTTTCTACATCTTTTCAGAGGTAGGGCAAGGTAATACATGGGTATCTTGAGGAGTCCAAGTCCACGAGTGTCGAAAGGATGCGTCGATGAATGATGAGATCCAGCACCAGGGCACTCAACGGGCACATCTTGAATTCAACACAACCTCAAAACCAACCCATGGGTCTACCTCGTTTTTGGATCGTCTCAGACGTAATATATATGCTCCTACTAGTCTCAGCGAAGATCAGAGACGGTGAGCAAACGCGCGGAAGACGTTTCAGGGCCCTTTGCAATTGGCCAGAACTGTGTAGTATTTCAGAGAGTGCAAGACGTAGCGCCTTCCCGCATTTACCAAACTGCAGCACCTTGCACATTTGCACCTAGAAACTCCGTGGCATCGTGAACAGATGTGTAGTCTCGACAGGCCACACAGAGTATCATAGCAGAGATGCAGAATGGCACAGGAGTCGCCAGGTACCCAGCTACACTACGTAAACCTGCAGAACAGCAGTACTCATAGTCTGCGACCTCTGCATGACAAGAGACAGGCTGCAAGCCAGCAAGAGCGGGGAAACCCAACAGCGAGATCGAAGTAGGCACTCAACGCGACTCGAGATGGACCAAGCACGCTCAGAGAAGAAAATGTATTGAACCCAAAGAAACCCGGATAACCCAAATAAATTATCACAAAGAAAAGACAACTCGTGTCTGGATATTCGCGCCCCTGTACCTTCCCCAACCAGCCCCCTCGCCATGAACCATTCACGCTCACCAGATCTCCACACCGCGCCGCACCCCGCTCAACAACAGTCCTCAGCACACTCGCAGCAGTCAACACAGCACTCACACCCCTCCTCGCACACAAAACAACAGCACAGCACCGCCAGACAGCTCATCAGGCAGCCGCGGTCCTTCTTGGGCGCTTTCTGCTGCGGCGGCGGCTGCTGGTACATGGGCTGCTGGTACTGCATTTGCGGGGGGCCTTGCTGGTAGCCTTGCTGCGGGGGGTAGCTGGGCGTGTTAGCGTGTTGTTGTGTTGGGTTTGCGGGGGGAGACGTACCCTTGGGGCGGCCCGTAGGATTGCTGCGGGTACTGGGGTTGTTGTTGGTTGTTGTAGTAGCCTTGGGCGGACATTGTGGCGGCGGTGGTGGTGGGGGGTTGTTTGGTTGGTGCGGATTCAAGGTTTCGCTGGAGTTGGGAGAGATTTTGCAACGCGAGGATGCTGCGCTGCGTTTGGCGGTCGCTGCGGGTGGTGGATGCGGGGAGAGGTCCGGGGCCAAGCTTTGTAGTTGCTGGGCGAAAGCTTAAGGGGGTGCACGAGCCGCGAGTTGTGAGACGTGAGTCGAGGGCGGTTTGCAAGCGATGGGACGACAAAGAGCTGCAAAGCGAGAGGTGAGGTTAGAAGGAGCTTAGGAGGCAGGTGGATCAGGAGCGCGCGCGCGGCTTTAAGGGCGATCGCTCAGCTGCGACCAGCTTGGAGCGGAGAACGCATCATCTAGCTCTGCATGTGAGGACTGGTCACTTTGCATTAGCCACAGCTGCATCCTTGCGCGATGCCGCTTTGCAATTGGCGCCAAAAGTCCGGCTGACTTGGGATTCGTCAGCGCGCGCTGCGCCAGGGGTGGCTTTTCAAATTCTGCGCCGCTCGTGCGAGGAAGCACCGATAGCGCTCCAGGATGCCACCCAGGACGCCAGTCCCGGGGTGCGGCGTGCTGAGACGCAGGGAAAGCGCGCATGGAGTGACTAGACATTTGCGGCGCAGACGCTTCGTCAGCTAGGAATCGGGGCGCGCTTCAGCCACTGCGACTCCACCGATGTGCTGATGTGCTGCTAAGCTTCTGCTTGGCGAAAGCTTGGTGACGCAGGGGTGAAGGACACTGGACGCCGGGCTGTCTGACAGCTGTCACAGTGCTGACCCGCACACGGTTCACGATCTGCGCTGACAGCAGCTACATCGCTGGTCACCAGAAGTCATCAAAAAAGCCCGCACGCGAAAGAAGTGACTGCGTGATTTTTGGCAAGGCGGTCCGATTACGCGCGATACTGTGGCTCAGCGCTATGCTATCGAGTTCCATCTAACGCGCTCAGCCGCAGAACAGCCTATGGCCGGAATGCAAATTACAACAATTCTACCAACGGCAACGGCACGACGAGAAACGCGAGCGCAGAGCGAATGCGGCTTTAGATAAAACAATAAGATGTGATCCGGCGCCACCGTTTCTTCCGGGTACAAGGAGATCACGATGGAATTATGTACATGCGTATGTGCAGTAAAAACACCCAGCGATCCGGAGTCTGCGTGTGAATCACAGGTGAATGATGGTGTTTGGCGCGACCGCCTAGAAGCCGAATGGGTTTTGGGGAGCTGGGTGAGATGTTAGACTCGTGGCGGACACACGATACAGATGACTTACTAGCATTGGCAAGACTGGCCTTGCCTGTTGGCTGCGGCGTCAGCTTCTTTGCCTGCTGTGTTCCGAAACGGACAGGAGGAGCGGGACCAGTCTTCTGCGGAATCAACGGCTGTGCCATGGGCATAGGCGGCATTGGCGGCATTGGCGGCATAGGAGGTGGGCTTTGTCCAAAGCCGGTGGGCTGAGGCTGAAGAGCAGGTGGGAGGAACTGGTTGATGCCTGTAGCCTGAGGATTAAGTGGGGACGGCTGGAAGTTGTTGTAGCCTGTTGGCTGAGGCTGGAAAGGTGCCCGGGGTGGGTCTGCGAATGGGCTGCCATTGCCGAAGCCTTGCTGGAAGCCTTGCTGACCAAATCCAGTCTGCATTGGCTGCTGGAAGCCAGTAGGCTGTGGCTGCTGGAACTGGGCATAGCCGTTCTGCGGCTGTTGAAATCCGGTCGGTTGTGGCATGATTCCATTCTGCTGGAAGCCATTGTAGCCAGGGTTCTGCTGCGGGAAGCCAGTCATTTGCGGTTGCATGTTCATCATACCTTGCCCGGGAGGGCCCATTTGGGGCATGTTGGGGTTGCCCTGGAAGCCTGTAAGCTGGGGCATGAGGGTTGGCGGAGGGCCAAAGGCGCTGTTCTGCTGCGGGTTCTGCGGTGCTGAGGATGCTCGCTGGGGTGGAGGTGCAATGAGACCACCAGGCCCTGACTGCTGAGGTGCTTGCGGCCTCAGTCTTGGTGGTCCCACATTCTGTGGCTGGGTCAGGGCCTTGATAGCAGCGACCTGCTCGAACAGAGACATAGTGGCCCCTGTAGGTTGTGGTTGTTGAGCAGGAGCCGGCGCTGGCGCTGGCGCTGGCGCAGGGGCAGGAGCGGGAGTTGGTTCTGGCGCCTTTGGCATCTCTTCAGGCTTGAGCGCGGGCATGTCTAGAAGAGAAAGGTCATTCATCGAGCCTGTAAGAGCAGGAGGTTTTGGTGCAGGGAGTGCTGTCTGGGCAGGGGGCGGTGACGCTGCTGGTGCTGCTGGAGTCGACCTCGCAGGCTTCACATCCCACGCGTTATCGTCAAACCCATCAGCTCCCTCTGACTTCTTGTCAGGAACAGGCGCAGACGCCAACGGCGTCCTTGTCGCATCAGCGGGCTTCTTGACTGCGTCGTCGGACTTCTGCTCGAACGCCTTCGGGTCGATATCATTGTTCGTCTCCACAGGCGGGGCTGGGCGTCCCTTTCGAGTGTTGTTGCGCAGTGTGCCGCCAGGACCAGAGAACAAGCCTCCAGCACCACCGTCTGCACCGGCCTCACCAGCGTTGCGGTTGAACTGGCTGTCTAGGTGTTTCGTGACGCGAAGAATATCGCCTTCTTTCAGTCCCAGAGTGCGGAGAAGCGCGGGGGTAATATCAGGCAGATTCTCCTCGCCCATCTGATCCTTATCGAAAGCCTGAGCATAACGCTCACATATCTGAGGGTTGACACCACACTTAAGGAAGAAGTCAAACCAGTCATAGCCTGACTTCTTCTGGACCGATATTCCGGGCGATGAAGCAGCAGCTCTGTCGTTCGTACGAACGGTGCTTCTCCTTTTGATCTCCGAAAGTGGCTTGTCGTCGTCCAGTGAGATGCCTGTGACGTTCTCAATGTACTCCAAATCCTCCACGGACATCTTGGTAACTGGCACAGCAATCTTGACGCCATTGACTTTGTGCAAATGGATTTTGCCTTCTTTGAGTAGCAGGAATTCAGCTTCAACCTTGAATGAGCCGGATCGATCGGTCCACGTTCGTAGCTTTGAAGAATCTGAAGAGTGGTCAGCACGCATCGATGGTATCGAGGCATACACTTACTTGGTTTGGATGAGGATTTCGACGACGAGGACTTCGATTTCGAGTCTCTGGCGGAGCTATCACGCGTGCTTGATCTCTGTGAAGTACGACGATGGTCAGAGCTTGTTTGCAGAAGACTAGAACCACGGGCGGGTAAAGGCAGACCGGGCCCTACCTGATCACTTCGCACATCACTCTTCGGCCTGTCTCGCTTCGAGGCCTGACGAGCCTTCTCCTCTTCCTCCCGCCTGTTCTGCTCTACGACTGATCGGCCAGGGTTCGGACTAGATCGAGCGTTATTTAAGGAGGTCGGAATAGAAGAGGTCTCTGTTATTTCGACATAGTTAGCAGGGACAACACCCTCCTTGCCATTCTTCAGCCGCCGGACCTTCCACCACTCGTCACTGGCGGAATCGTCGACAACCAGGATCTCGTCACCAAGACCGACAGTGACCTCGTCGTCGCCCTGAGCCATGAAGTCGAAGAGCATGACACCCTTCTTCTGCACATTCGAATGCCCAGAGGCAGCAGCAATCACCTCGCGCAGGCCAGCGCCCTTGGCTGCACCTGCCAGCTCTCCAAGAGCTGACATGATCTCTGTTGCAGTGTCCTTGGCTCCGCAGTGGAAGTCGACACTCTTGCTCGGCTGCTTCAGCTCCATGAAAATATGCTTGCCCTCCTGCGAGTAGTACTCCATTTTATCCGCTGACCATTCCTCCTGTGCACCATCACGCGCCTTTTCAGGTGCGATCATGATCATGCCCCGGGGGATGTTGATACCCAGCGTGACAGGCATCTTCTTGTTCTTTCCAGGCTGAGTGAGATACTCATAGATGTTGTACAAGTGGTAGCCGGAGCCTGAAAGGGGCGTGTTGGGCGAGTTGTCGCGCTCGCGTGGCGAAGGATCGTACTCGTCGAAGGTTTTGGTCCGGTCTGGCCTGCGACGAACAGGTGACGGAGAGCGTGGAGGAGCACGTTGCGGCGAGTGGGCCCGGTTGGGCATACGAGGCGGCAGCGGCTCTTCATCGGATTCCTCGGGAGTGAACTGGACACGTTTCCGAGCGGGTTTGTCGTTTGGTGGAGAGATTGTCTCGCGCGGGACGGCCTGCTGCTCGGACTTCTTATGAATGAGGTCAGCTATGACAGCAGCGGGACTCGGGCGCGACTGCGGCGGGCTGTCTGGCGTGGGCGGGTCCTGCCCGTCGTCTGAATCAGGAGCTACAGGACGGCGTGGGGGCAGGCCTGGAGACGTGACTGCGACTTTTGGCACGGTCCCGCCCTTGATGACCTCGGTGTAGTTTGCAGGCGCGAAGCCGTAGTCGCCGCCGAAGCCGACGAGCGACCAGTCGGGGTCCGAGACGTCGTACACGTCGAGGATGGCGTCTTCCTGGAAGGACAGCTCTTCGTCGGTCTGGCGAGCATAGTCGTAGAGAGCCTTGGCCTGGGCCACGGGGGCTGCCTAGAAGCTGGGTCAATGGCGGGTCTGCGGGCGGGCGGGCGGACGACATACCTCCTCGATGTAGTTGTTCGGGATCAGGCCCTCGGGCTCTTCGGCGTCCTCGTCGTGGCTCTTCTTCTTGGCCTTCCACCAGTCGTCGTCGGACGACTTGTCCAGGACCATTAGCAGGTCGCCCTCGGTCAGCGCAATCTCATTGTCGCTCTGAGGCACGTAGTCGTAGAGCGCGCGGTAGATGCCGAGGAACACCATGGCGACGCGGGGCGGTGCGGCGCACCGTGTGTGTGTCTGAGTGTGTTGGGGGGTGCGGATGGCGAGGGATGGCTGGCTGGAGCGCGGCGGAGCAGACGGAGGTGGTGCCTCGAGGGGCTGGCAGGGGCAAGTGGCCGAGGCCGGTGGCAGTCGAGCAGCGCCTGGCGAGGGGGTGCACGAGCGGAATCAAGGCGATTGCTTGCCCAGGTGGCCGAGTAGCACCAAACACGTGTGGGGAGAGCGCTCGTGCAGTGCAGCCACGACGGCGAGACGGTCGCATCGACCTCAGCTCAGAGCCGCACGGCACTGGCCACCGGCCTGCGTCTAGCAGCTAGCTCCACCTTTACGACGTCAACGTGCTGCAGCTTTCCCTGGTTCCACAGACGACGGCTGCACCCTGCATCCTGGCCTCTACGTCTTCCAAAGCTTCGAGAACATGCTGCCCTGCCAATTCGCCCCGGCCAGCAGCCGTCGTCCTTCACGGCCCTTGCGGCCCAACACCCAGAGTCAAGCCATCTGTCGCCTCGGAGATTGCATCTGGCGTCAACGGGCACTTTGCGTTCAATTGAGAATATTGAGTGCTGGCAGCGTGTCGCTGCATGTATGAGAGATCGTGCTTGCGAGTATACATTGAATTTGTCTTTGTGAAGACGTCGAAGAAAAGCATCAACCACGCTGTCTCTCTACTGCTACGGCTACTGCTACTCGGCTTATTTCTTCGCGCTCGTCTTCCACGCCGCACTCCTGCTCTTTCTCCCGTTCGCTCCCTTCTTGTTCTTGTTTGCACCCTTGAACTTGAGCCCGCTCTTGCCCTGCCCCTCGGTCGCACGGTGACCCTCGAAGATGAAGCCCTCCCTCGCCCTCGCAGCACCTCCCTTGCCCAACATGGCCTTCGCACGCCCCTGCTGAGACTTCTCCTCCGCGGAGAATTTCTTCTGGTACGCACCCTTCTTTCCCGCTCGCTCCGACGATGGCGCAGGGCCTCGAGGCTTGTCCTTCTTCTTCTCTGCCCTGCATCGCGTGACGCGGAGAACGCGGGGGAGCATGGGCGGGAACTTCTTCTCGTTGAGCTGAAGAGCAGCCTCGACACCGTTCTCGTCCGTAAATTGCACGTACGCGAACCCCTTGCCAATACGCGTTTGCGCATCACGGATGACACGCACGTTCTCGATCTTACCGCACTTGCCAAACTGTTGCCAGAGACCCTCTTCGATGTCTGCGGGGATCTTCTTCTTCTTGCCATCCTCTGGTTCGACGCCCTTGCTCTCGTCGTCCACAAAGGGAAGGTTGCCGACAAAGACGCAGCGGCGGTTGTCGACCTTGTTGGGATGGGCAAGCCAGTCGACGTGCAGGTGGCGGTTGAGAAGAACAGAGCCGTTCAGGCGCTTGACAGCTTCGCGGGCAGCGGTCTGAGTCGTGTACACGGCGTAGGCGTTTGTGGACTTGGTGGTTGCATCCATAATCTCCTTCTTCGCAAAAGCTGCACGCTTGGGTAGCGAGCTGGAGAAGGCTGTGGAGCGGAAGCGGATCGACTCGATCTTGTGGGGAGGCTTGTTATCGGCCAAGTCTGCAATGAAGGATTCGAGGTGCTTCTTCAGCGCCTTCTCTGCTGACTTCGAGTTGATGCAATCAACCGAGACGTTACTGAGGAAGACTGTACGAGCAGCTTTCTCGAGCTCTTCCTCGGACTTGCCGTCTGTCTTAGCCAGAGACTCGTGCTGTGGGATCTCTATCTTCTCGGCGTCTTCCTCTGTAGCATCCGCAGCTTCGGACGCTTCGGACGCTTCGGACGCCTCCTCCATGTCCTCATCGCTGTCCGCAGCTGCCACCTCTTTTGTCTTGCGCTTCTTTTGCCTCTCCTCCTCCTCCTTCTCCTCCTCACGCGCCAGTTTGCGCATAAACTTTTCCTCAATCTCTTCCTGACCACCGCGCTTGCGCTTTTTGCTTTGCTTGTCGTGCTCTCCGGCTAGAGTGGCTTCGCGCAGCTTAGCCAGCTCTGCCTCGTTGTCAGAATCTTCTGAAGACTCTTCATTGCTCTCTGACTCTTCGTCGCTGGATGCATCGTCCTCAGCATCATCCTCCTCCTCCTCATCCTCCTCCTCGCTTGACTCCTCGACAGGCGCCTTCGGGCGCTTCTCTAGCTTTTGATCATATCGCTGCTTTGGCGGCGCTTGCACTGGGCCCAGCTGTACAATAGTTAGCCGGTTTACTTTGATCGCATGTTCGGACGAGTGCTGCATACACTGCTTGCAAACAACGAACTCAGTGCAGGGTCGAACGCTACTTTAGGCGCTGCGGCTGATGGCTTCGCGACCTTGGCTGCTTTTGTTTGCTTGTCCTTTGATTTGGCCATGGTGATGATTGACTGTGGTATATGTGCGAACGAGCAGCATTCACGAGCAGAAAGTTTCAGTGGGACCTGAAGGGCCCTGGCACAAGGGCCAATGGCAGCGTGGCAGAACTCCAGACCGCCTTCCGGTGCAATCGCCTATGACCGCCGGCAGCGGTTCGCCCTCCCGCGCGGTGAGCAACCGCGAGCTGCGCTTTGCTGCACACTCCCACTTCACATGCTCCACAAAGCGATACTCTTATCACCAGATATTACTGTGCCTCTCGCAGCTGGGAGAGGTCCTACCGCCACTCGGACTATCCTAGACACTGCCCTCGGCGCCTGCGCAGCCGCAGCGATTTTGACCCTTCTCCGCGCCCAGCGCCCAGCGCCCTCCACCCTCAACCACGCCTCTTCGTGCGTCGCAGACCTCTGATAAGGAGGCCAGACACGGCTCTGATCATATTGGCTGCGCGTCGACGCATCCTCTCGCCGGGGCGCATCTGGTGCTATGAGCGCTCACAATGGAACCACGACGGGCGTAACGACCGTGGCGCCCACGATATCCTACGACGATAGAACAGACGACGACGCGGCACACGGTATGGATACTGCCCTGCGAGCTACAGTGGAGAAGGACGAGCAGCGCCGGCCTTCGCCCATGACCACCCCCACCCGCCGGCCTGAGGTCGAGGAGCTGTCTCCAGTCACGCGTCCTGGGCCTGCGAAAGCCGCTACAACGATAATCTCAGCCGTTCCGGCACCGACCATGATCACAACAGACCCCATCGGCGCTGCCGAGGTCTTGGGTGCTTTCGACGACCACCCCGATGACCGCTCGAGTAGCCTCAGCGAGCTTGGAGACGCATCCGACGTCGAGTCCGAACAACCCACGCCGCTACCCATCGCAACCGCAGACCTGAACGAGAACGACTCCGAAGCCGAGACAGAGCGCTTGGAAGAGACACCGCGGAAGCTTATACGCACCGTGATGGATACTTCCGATGCACTGTACACACGAACACCGAGCAAGTTGGTGCATTCGAAGACTATAGAGCACGACGATTCTGCCCCGCACACACCCTCAGACGTCGCTGAGGACGAGATTATGGAAGACGCAGACGACGTTCAAGATCCACTACATGCGCTTTCCCTGGCAGCTGCTTCGGAAGCCGCAAGCCTCGAGCTGGCGGGAAAGAAGAGAAAGCGAATGAGCGCACGAGGCACACCTATCGACGACCATAATGACGAGCCCGCACGGAAACGCAGCGCGTCGGCAAAGGCCGCGACATACAACGGCACAACAGAGGATATCATTGAGAGCTCTGAGCATGTCGACGCCGAGGAGGAGCTAGATAACGCCGAGGAACGTCTAGACGAACTTGCCCGCGAGGAAATCGATCTGGAAGAGAGGCAGGCAAATCTTGCCGCCGAAGCTGTGAGCGAGTTGGCTACAATTGCGAAACACCCAAAACCTCGTAAAGGTGGCAGGAGGGGAAAGCGGAAAGCTGAAGATTCAAGCTACGCTTACACCGAAGCTCTTGCGACGACTGAGACCGTCGATGGCGATGCTGAGGGTGACGAAAACGAAGAGGACAGTGCAACACTTGACGAAGAAGGTGAGGCACATCAAGACTTTTTCTTTAATAACCTTACTGACGTCCTGAAACAGTCGCCAAAAAGAAGAGCGCAATTGATGAGCTTGCAAAAATCGAGAAGAAATTCAAGCTTTTCCGTGAGAAGTAAGCTTTCCGGCGGCTAACGCCAGACAGTAGATGCTGACTTTGATAGGCTTTGTGACGAGCAGATTGCACAATACGAGAAAGAGCTCGAAATGCTCAAGCAACCCGAGTGCCAGCATCCCGAGTACCTTGCGATGATCAAATGCATTGACGACCGAAGAGCAGACAAAATCGACTATGAGAAGACACTGCTGGAGTTGAAGCAACAGAACCTGGTGACCATCACAGCAGCTCAACGACACCAGATGCATAGCCAGTATTTCCAGACCGTGAGGGACGTGCGAGAAGACATCATAGCAGATTGCAACAAGCGTGTGTTTGAGCTGCAGCGTGGCAGGCGATCACTGGGCTGTGACGAGACTGAATACATGAACAAGCTTCCAGAGAAGCGTTCCGATCAGATCAGACAGCAGACGGCATACAATCTTGAGGTCTCAATTCTCTCTGGTGTGGCCAAGTATGTTGGCTTCCCAGCAGCGCCAGATATCAGCGCGGCACGACCTAGTGAGGTTGACGAGGATCTTCGAGCAATGAAGGTATGTTGATGAAAATTTCTCTCAGGAGGCTGGCAGCTGACTCGACGCTGCAGATCGCAACACATCCCACGTTACCAGTGCCACCGCCGTCATTCCGTACCTATAATCAGAGGACCACAGCAGATGAGGTAGCCGCTGAGAGTGAGTTCCTTGAGAGCACACCATGGGCAAATCCAAGACACCCATCGCATCAGGAGACCCGCTCACAGCAAGAGTCCCGTTTTGCACCAGGGCCATCACGCGTAGCGAGCTACCAGACACCAGCTGGGCAAAGACGAATCGTAGACATCAATGCTCCTAATGGCTCTGCATCGACGATCGAAGCCAACTCGAACCCTCCGTCATCCAACACACATAACGCACACGGACGAACGGGAGAATCGGAATCGCCAGTCATGCAGATGAAACGACCACCAGCAGAGTACACTTCGTACGTCGACACACCAGGTTCACACCCACGCAATATGGGCCTTATGGGCAGGGAGGCCTACGGGATACTGTCCAGCCCTGCTGCGCAACATGCCGAACCCCATCTGTACGAGCCCCCAACGCAACGCTGGGGTGTGCCGTCTGGCTCACCGGCCATACCTCCAGGACCGCCTGGCGCAAGAGCCGCGTTACCGCAGCGCAGCGGACTGGGCATGCCTGTGGGCGGCGGTCTGTTTGGACGGTGATATCCAACTTCTTCCATTTGTTGTGAATGACCTGTTTGCTTATCTTTGGCGTCGTTGCACCGGTTCCGGGCCCGCCACCTGGCGTTTCTTCTTGACGTACCTGCATCTGTCCAGGCATCCGGCGTGTTAGCATACCCTCATCTGTCGGCGTTCCTGCATGCGGTCCGCTCATCTCCGCTTCAAGTTATATTCTTTTGCGCTTCAGAGTTCGAGTGCGCTGGATACCTCCAGCAGTCATGGTCATCCATATTCTGCTAATAACATTGTTCATACCTCTCACTGCTCCTGTCCCGATAGAAAAAGATATCGCGTTTATTCGGTGATGCCATTCCCCTGACTACCTTCAAGTCCCCTCTCAAGCTTTGTGACGCTAGTACTCTGGTTATCTACAACTCACTTCCCAGGGACGGTCTGGGAGTAGCCGAGTATTGTCCGGCTACGATTCCGAATAGATTTTGATAGTGCATATCTTCCACCTCTTCAGTTACACGAGAGACCGCGTTGCTAAAGCTCTTGTCGTCATAGAAAGGCGTGCACGGGTAAGGCTGAATGCTCACTAAACCGTAACAAGTTCTCTTCTGTTCCAGCTTTGAAAAGGGCACAAAGCGTTCACCCTATCTTCAGCATTCCAGAACCACGGTCCTGTCAAAGCCCCGTACACTGTCTGGCGATGCTTGTTCTGGCGATGCTTATTCGTCGATCGCGCAACGAAAGACTCGATGGAGCAAATGCTACTGTACAGTGTCAGCAAGCCACGCCTCAAGTTGCCCTTTGAGTAAACCCAAATCACAGGTCGCAGGCAATGATTGGTGCGTCACTTTGCAGGACTTCTGTGACATCTGCGTGGCAGTGCAAGACGTCCTCCTCCTTGGCGCGCCAGCACCCTCGAAATCAGGCAAAACAGGCAACTGTTTGCCCTTGTGCCCTCCGGCGGCCGCCCACCACAACCTCACCATGTCATTGCCTTTGCGACGGTATCTCTCCCTCTCTTTCGTCGTCTTCTGACAACAGTGTTGTTGACAAGCAGACCTTGTTCTCATTGGTTGGCGATGAGCGCTTGACGACGGTGACGCTCATCAACCCTTCCCGCCATTCCCGATTCTTCACCGGCTGTGCGTGCACGGGGTCCTGAAGCTGGACGACACGGCTGCGGCTCTTCTTCGCAATTTGGGTGGGGCGGTGAACTGCAGTATCTCTTATACTAATGCAGCCGTGTGCACATGGGACGCTCTGTGATCTTTACTCAAACTACCCTCGAGGGCGGACAAGAAGGCGTAAGGCTGCAGCTGAGCGCCACTGAGCATCGGTAGGTCTTGATGAGTTTGAGTCTCACGTATTGCCTTCTGCAACTTCATTCTTTTCATTCGTCAGGTCTTTCTTTTGGTGTCTGCCAGACCTTGTGGAACGACTCGAGAACAATGTCGGGCGTCCATCCATGTGCTAACCTGCCATAGCAGACATGACGCAGCCAACCCACAGAATGAATCCCACAATTCGTTTCAGCCATATTGATGAAGCTGTATGTTTGTCTCCCAAGTACTTTCATGTTTGGGTTGTGACCGTTGCAGGGCTACGTCGATCACACATCTCAGCTGCAAAACCCGTACCTTCAACAATGGGACTATTCAGGAGCAGTCCAGTCGAGGCCCGGCCCAATGAATACTGTACGCGCTACCCGCACTCCACAGATTGCAAGAGCTCCAACTCGCCCGAACATTGTGCCGCCGCAAAGAGTTGTTCAGCATATGCAATTCCAACCGAGTTTGGAACACCTCATGATCCCGGAATCACGGCCATATTCTGCTGCTCGTATTGTAGACCCAATCGTGGATCCTATTACTCGACTCTATGGCAACGATGCGCCGTGGAACCTTTACCAGATGAGATATTCTGACGTTAACGATAGCCAAAATGCTGTCCAATATACACAAAAAGACATCAGCCAGTACCGCCAAAGACCTTGCTCGGATATTGATAATGTGTCTGACTCTGGTTACCACACGCAGCCCCCGCGCTCGGTTCTCAGCAACGAGCCTGGTCATGGTGGACAGGAATTATCTCCAGATCTTATGATCCAAGCGAGCAGAATGAATGTCAATGGCGCACCCAACGCGTCGCAAACTATGGTGCGCACGACTTCAGATCAATTATCTGTATCACAACACAGTAGTCGAAGTGGCGGCCGCCAGAAAAAATATTACTGCCCTGAACTGAACTGTAACACGGAGTCCAAGTGCGCATCTGATCACAAGTATGTATGAAACAAATGTGTACACTGCCTTTATGTTCTAACAATCAACGCACAGGAGGCATATGCTGAGGCACGAGAAGAGTTTCATCTGCACTGAGTTCGAGTGCAAGAGGGCTGGCAAAGGTTTCTCGACCATCAACGACCTCGACCGCCACAAGAAAAGTGTACATAAGATTGGCGTCGAAAAATCAAAGTCATACCAATGTGCAGCCACAGGTTGCACTCACCGAACCAAAATATGGCCGCGTCTCGATAACTTCAAACAGCATCTTGAACGGATGCATAGAAAGGAAAATATTTTGGAACTCATTAAAAGGTCAGGCTTCTCAAGTGGACGATGGAACATTCACCTTGCTGACGTCTGCAGTTCGGAATATCAACCGCAGGAGCCGGCCTCGATACAACAGCCGTTCTCTGTCGATCCAGCGCTGCTTGCAGGTATGGGCGATCCGAACGACAGCCTATCCCCAATGGGCGGTCAGGCTTTCTCCTACCATTCATCGGTATCATTTCCAACAGGATCTTTCTCGAGTAGTTCTCAGATCTCTCCAATCGTAGCTTCGGTGGATACGTCCTTCTCACAACGGAAAGTGCCTTCCTCCACTCTCGGCAATAGCACGTCGCCTGCGGATAATCGCCGCTTAACATCGTCAGATCACACATCAACCGCTTCGCAGAAACGTCGAAGACTGTCCAAGAGTCCGCCCACAAAAACAACCTCTGCCTCACAAGTCATGCCTTGTTCTACAGATAATCAAATCACGGGACTGGTACCTACATTGTCGAATGGGCCCCAGACCAAGGTTGAGCAACAGCGTCAGGTCCTTGATAAGTTAAAGGCCAACATCAACATCGAAGACATCTTGACGCACGTTCTTGGAACCCAGCAACAACAAGACAACAGCCAGCGCAATGCGTCGTCCATTCTCTCTGCTGATGAAAGGGCGCTTGCCTCGCAAGCAATAGCAGATCTTTTAGCGGAGGGCCGCAAGTCTAGGCGTTCCCAGCAACGTCGTTCAACCCTTGGATCTAATTCGAGTCTGCAGTCCTGTGGTGTCAATGGTTGCAAGTTCTCCGGTCGCCCATGCGACTTGAAGAAGCACATGAAGAGACATCAGAGACCCTACGGATGCACGTACCCCAAGTGTCACAAACGATTTGGAGCAAAGTCAGACTGGAAACGTCATGAGAACTCGCAGCACTTCCAGCTGGAAGCCTTCCGCTGCGATGTTCTTGTGAATGCGGGTAAGAAGTGCGGGAATCACTCTCACCGCTCAAAACAATTCCAAGAACACCTGGCAAAGGAGCACAACGTCACTTCAGACTCGCAGCTCGAGACAAGCATGAAGCGCTGCAGAATAGGCAAGAATTGCCAGGGCCAGTATTGGTGCGGCTTTTGCTGCGAGATTATGATTCTCAAAAGCAAGCGTAACGAGGCCTGGGACGAACGATTCAACCACATTGCGCACCACTTCGAGCAGGAGAAGAGGTCAATCGATGATTGGCTCTGTGTGGAGCAGGACAAGACGAAGAAGCTGCTGCGAGAGGAGGAGGCGACCCGCTATGCATTCACAGACGAGGCGGACGCAGGTGCAGATACTGGTACGAATGACAGCGACAACGAGCTGTCTCCAAACCCCGAGGACTGGTCATTGGTGAGCGCCGAAACGTACCAGACGCCAGCACAGCATGGCTCCAACGACCGAAATGCCCCAGCAGCGGAGCGAACTCCAACCATTCTGTGGAATTGCGTAAGTGGTCTCACTCCAACCAATGTGCATTGCTGATTCCACAGTGTCAATGTCAAGGCGGCCCAGTCACCCACTCGGTCCAACCTAGCTGTCCGGAATGCCCGCATCGCTTTTGCGACAGCTGTAGTCGTTTCTATGCTGATGACAGCGAGTTGGATTATACCCGTCATTGATTGACGTCCTGATGTTCAGTTACGTACCGCATTTCAGATATATGTTGTTTTGCAGTAACTAAACTTCTATCAGCGAAGGTACAGCCGTTTTTTCAAGGAGATCTGCTTAGCGGATCGAGTCGTTGTAGGTATTGCGCATCTCTTGTATCATCTGGGCTATTGTTATCTACGCCTCTTCTTACCATGTATCACTATTTCGACGATGAAAGCTGCCTCTAGTCGATGCAACCTAGAGCTTGTCATGTGACTGCCATATATACAAAGCATAAGACAACAACAATATCAATATCTAACATTTGGTGTTGCACTTTTGTCTCCACTACTATAATCGAAGTTGGTGTGGAGGTGGCACGGCTGCGTGTGGGTTGCAGGGATGTTGCGCCAAGACTGCTGTGCGGGAAGCGTGGTGTGGACACGGTGATAGCTACAGCTGTGACGCGGCCTCAAAGCAACACACCTCACTTTCTCTACCACTTTCCTTTTCCCAATTATGGCTGCCGTAGAGGAAGGTCAATTCCTCAAGCAGGCCATGGGCCGGAATACTCGAGGCTTGCTCCGCGTTGTTATTCTGTGCTTGATCGCAGGTGCAGCTGTGAGCAGTCGTCTGTTCTCTGTGATCCGCTTTGAGAGCATCATTCACGAGTGTCAGTACAGCCACGAGCTTTATGATGCGCAATTGGCTAACTGATGGTCACAGTCGATCCATGGTTCAATTTCCGAGCAACAAAGTATCTCGTACAGAATGGCTTCTACAGCTTCTGGGACTGGTTTGATGACCGTACGCCTCTCCTCCGCGCTGCTACACACATACGACACGTACCCACGATTCGCGCATTGGGCTGACACAAATAACAGGAACATGGCATCCTCTTGGCCGTGTCACCGGCGGTACTCTCTACCCCGGCTTGATGGTCACCAGTGGCGTCATCTACCATGCCCTACGCGCCCTCGCCATGCCCGTCGACATTCGTAACATTTGTGTCCTCCTCGCCCCGGCCTTCTCTGGCCTCACTGCGCTTGCGACGTACCTCCTGACCACCGAAATGGTTACCTCGCCCTCTGCCGGTCTGCTCGCCGCAGCCTTCATGGGTATCACCCCCGGTTACATCTCGCGTTCGGTTGCTGGAAGTTACGATAACGAGGCCATCGCCATCTTCCTGCTGGTCTTCACGTTCTTCTTGTGGATCAAGGCTGTCAAGAATGGTTCCATGTTCTGGGGTGCATTGACTGCGCTGTTCTACGGATACATGGTGTCTGCATGGGGTGGATATGTCTTCATTACGAACTTGCTGCCCCTGCACGCGTTCGTTCTGATCTGCATGGGACGCTACAGCCCCAGGCTTTACGTCAGCTACACTTCGTGGTACGCGCTCGGTACGCTAGCGAGTATGCAGATTCCCTTCGTGGGATTCTTGCCTATTCGCAGTTCTGAGCACATGTCTGCGCTCGGTGTCTTCGGTCTTCTCCAACTGGTGGCCTTCGTCGACTGGGTCCGCGCTCAGCTCCCCAGCAAGCAGTTCCAGACTCTGCTCCGCGCTCTCGTCCTGGTCGTCTTTGTCGTTGCTTTCGGTGGACTTGTCCTCTTGACAGTCGGTGGAGTCATTGCCCCTTGGACTGGACGTTTCTACTCGCTCTGGGATACTGGATATGCCAAGATTCACATTCCCATCATCGCCTCCGTCTCCGAGCACCAGCCGACCGCCTGGCCCGCGTTCTTCTTCGACTTGAGCATGATGATCTGGCTGTTCCCCGCCGGTGTGTACATGTGCTTCACCAAGCTGACTGATGAGCAAGTCTTCGTCGTCATCTACGCCGTTCTTGCCAGTTACTTTGCTGGTGTCATGGTCCGTCTCATGCTGACCCTGACCCCCATCGTCTGTGTTGCGTCGGCCATTGCTTTCTCGCAGATCCTTGACACCTACCTCGACGCGAAGACCCCGGTCAAGACCGAGCCCACAGAGACTGATGCCGCCGATGCTGCCAAGATTGCTGCCGCGGCTGTCCTGCCTGATGGTCTCCGCTCTACTCGCAAGCCCTACGTTGGCATCCAGTCGTACGCCTCCAAGCTTACGGTCGTTGGCGCTTCCGCGGTCTACCTCATGCTCTTTGTGCTCCACTGCACATGGGTCACATCCAACGCCTACTCCTCGCCTTCCGTTGTCCTCGCCTCCAGACTTCCGGACGGTAGCCAGCACATCATTGACGACTACCGTGAGGCGTACTACTGGCTCAGGCAGAACACTGCCAAGGACGCCAAAATCATGTCCTGGTGGGATTACGGCTACCAGATCGGTGGTATGGCTGACCGCCCGACCCTTGTCGACAACAACACCTGGAACAACACCCACATTGCCACCGTTGGTAAGGCGATGAGTTCCAGCGAAGAGGTCTCTTACCCGATCATGCGCCAGCACGAGGTTGATTACGTCCTTGTTGTCTTCGGTGGTCTTCTCGGATACTCCGGCGACGACATCAACAAGTTCCTCTGGATGGTCCGTATCGCTGAAGGCATCTGGCCTGATGAGGTCAAGGAGCGCAACTTCTTCACGCCCCGAGGCGAGTACCGTGTGGACCACGAGGCCACACCAACGATGAAGAACAGCTTGATGTAAGTTGCGGATTTGTGTTTATTTAACATGTTTGCTAATGCCATTCCAGGTACAAGATGTCCTACTACAACTACAACTCCCTCTTCCCCGCCGGACAGGCTCAAGATCGTGTCCGTGGCGTAAAGCTGCCTGCTGAGGGCCCCAAGCTCAACACCATCGAGGAGGCTTTCACCAGTGAGAACTGGATCATCAGGATCTACAAGGTCAAGGACCTTGACAACTTTGGCCGTGACCACAGCAACGCCGTGGCTTTCGACCAAGGCCACAAGAAGAAGAGGGCCGCGAAAAGGAAGGGCCCCAGGGTGCTGAGAGTCGAGTAGAGAACGCATCTGACAAGAGTTCAATTTAGCACCTGTACAGAAAAGATATGTTGATTAGCATGTTAACAGGCAGGCGTTTTGGGAAGAATAAAAGAACATTTGAGCCCAATGATAACACCTTCCTCGTGAGGACTTTGGAGAGCACAATACTATGACATGAAAGGTTTGGCAGGCTAGGTTGGCGATAGCGATTGGATCTCCGTGACCTCACCTTCACCTTGCAATAGCGTCGTCCGCCTAATTTCTTCCGTCGATCGGCCTTCCACTTGCCGCCTACTCTAGATCATCCTTCATTGACGCCTCTACTGCTTCCTCCAGACACAATACTAGGGAGACACGATCACGACTGTGTCTTCTCCCACGTGCCGCCAGGTGGACCTTCCCAGATCCCCATCGCACGACGCCTTCCTTCCCCAAACATAACATGGCGAACGAGGAGCAGCGCAAAGCGTTCGCCGCGTACATGGGCGGCGGCAGCAGCTCGACCGCGAGTGTTGGACAGCAAATACCGCCGTATCCAGGCTCGGTCGCCAACCCTGCCAGCCAGTATCTCTTCAACGTGTAGGTGTCTCTTGTCGGCGCCCGGGCGTTCTCATGCGCACAGCTAATACGTGTTGCAGAAGTTTTGTTGCTTTTTGAAAGTCTGGTGTGGGTTGGAGCAGTCACTCATGTGTGCAGCAGTTCCCGGGCCTGGGTGTCCCGCCAGCAGTGCCTACGCCTCCGCCGGCTGCTGCGAGTTCGGTCGCTTCGTATCAAGGTTTTCAAGGCGGGTTTCAAGGCGGGTTTCCCCCGCAAGCTGCTTTCGGTCAGGCTGGGTATGTTGAGTGACTGCCATCACATTATCGCAGTGTGTATACTTCTTGCGCATCTCACTGACGATCTCAGGTTTCCCCAACGTCTGCCGCCTCTCGGCCAAGGACAAAATCAGAGTCAGGGTCAGCCAGGAAGTACTCAACTAACGCAAGCCTCACCTGGCTACGCTCAGCTGCCGCGCGAATACGCCAGTCAGCCACCGCCGCCGACAGGATACAACACTGGTTGGCAATACACGGACCCAAGGGCACCACTCCCTGCCCGGACAGATCTAGTTAGGGCTACGTCTAGTGTCATGGCTCCTGTCCAGCGCAATGTTTCTACTCAGATGTTCAGAAAGGGAACAGAGGAGTACTTCGCCTATCAGCATCAAGCAGGCGAGGAAGCGCCACTACAAAATGTAGAGCAAACAGTGCCTGTGTTGCTTTGTCACACCTGCAGCGATTGCGGACAAATGCGGTCTGCGGGATTTCATCGGAATCACCCGGTCATACCAGGCAAGCCCATCGTTACTACGCCGTGTAGGAAGTGTAAGAAACGTAGTAGAAACACCCATCGTTCGAGGGCAACCAGCTATGCGAGAGTCAGGACGTGTAGAGCCGAAGAACCGTGTGACTGGCCTAGAGAACCTGTCCACGTTGATATCGACTACAGTGAGCGAAGAGGCCGGCGGAGGGATCGCGATGAGGTATATGCATCTTGGGGGACTGATCACCTTCGACCGCGTATCGTCACGGAAAGCTCAAGCCGCGCCAACCTTGGGCTGCGTTCAGTACAGCGAAGTCCTCCACGCGAGTACACAAGCGCCACTAGAGTGCGGGTTTCTTCGTTCAGTCCTGAACGATCAAGGTATGCAGGTGTCTGGCCACGGCCAGATGTTGTTGGCACAAGACCTTTGAGATCTGATGAGCAATACCATACTTCTGACGAGGTATGGCCGCCACCTGATGTCATCCGTACTCACTCGTATAGGAAGAAGAGTCCACTCCGCGTGAACCCGCGTATCATCGAGCTCTCTCCTTCGCCTCCGCCGCAACGGTCCAGGACTACAAGGGTACACTACCGGCAAGAATCAGAAGAGCGGAGACCTAGAAGCCCTGTGCGGCGCAGCGAGAGTCGCGTTCGTATGCAATCGCATCCTCGCCCCTACAGGACTGTGATACCGGAACGTCGAGTTGTCTCGCATTCGGACGATACTTCAACAAACGATGCTGGCTCAGAGTCAGCCAACCGTGGAATCCTCAAGCCGGCAGATATGACATACGAAACATCGTACAGGCGCAGAACCAACTTGCGCGATAGCCAGCAGAGCACGAATGTCGAGGTTGGAGGACCCCGTGTTCAGTTCGCGACAGAACGGAGAGATGATCCTCTTCCAACTGCGAGGCATGACAATGAAAAACACGAGCGACATCTCCGTTATGAGAGGCGAAGTTATGTCGACGAGCCCGCTTCTCCGCCAATTGATCGCATGGAGAGGCTTCACATTAGGCATTCATCGCCGTCTCCTCAAAGGGCTTTTGATGAGATTCGTGTCGATCGTGCACGTCGCATCTCACCTTCTCCACCTAGACGCTTCGAGGAGGTACACTATCGCCATGTCAGTGTCAGCCCTAAACAGACTCGAGAGCGTGCGCTTCGCCATTCGCCATCACCTCCACCGCATGAGCGATCAGTGCATCCACGATACCGCCACGTTTCTCGTACAAGGATCACTGAGCGTGCTCGGTCCCTCACGCCTCCACCTATCCGAAGGCAAATCACCTCAGAAGATGACATGACTGACTCTGAGGACGAGGGAGACGGGCCACTGGTCGAGGTCAGAAGCTGGAAGGGTATTGATGAGAATGGGCAACCGGCTACTTTTGTTGAAGAAAGACGGAAACCGAGGTTGATCGACCAGGGAAGCATAGGAGGTTCTGAGTTCCGACCGCTGAGTGAGCGGCTGAGCGCGAGGAGCTATCGCGAGGTGTGACGGTGCGGCAGGGGTACTGGTTATAGGGGTGGTATTGCTCAAGAGGTGGCGAGACGAGTCTGCTTCATTTTCAATTCCTTTTAGACTACTACACTCCTTCTATTATCTGTAACATACATCCTCAAGACATGATCTCCTGATCGAGACTTTGAACGCTCCGCTGCTCCTGGTTTTCTGTCTTAGCTACACATATGACAGATCTGGTCTGGTATGTTGTCTATATGTAGGCTTCATGGTGCCATATGCGAATTCTCCGAACAGTTCAAACTGACGCGAGAAATTGCCAGTTATTCATGTAGATAATTAGTGTAATGAGATTCATATATTGTTGAAAGTTGATGTGGTCTAGTCCAAAAGCGGCTAGCTGGTGAGATTACGACTTAGCGTAACGTGAAGGCTGCACTCACCCGTTGAACTTCACTTTACCTCTTAATAATCATCTTGGCGGGTCTCAACATCGAACACTGATATAGAGGCCTCTTCAGTGCATGATGTCGGTCTTGCAAACCCCACGTTCACGCACGCTCGGCACCAACTATGGCCGACGACATCGAAGTCCTTGTACACATCTCAGCATCTACTACACGACAGAACGATGAGCAATTCCGAGCTCTTGCCGATGCATATAACAACTTTAAACCACGTAGGATTCATCGCGATAAATCTGCCAGAAAACGAGTGAAAAAGAGCCACGTAGCAGGATTCCGTGATCAACCCCCTTCCACTACAGCTCAGAGGACCCCGACTTCAGAGGCTCCCGAAGCACCCGTGCCGACGGGCAGCAAAGAATCATACGGCAGCTTCCCGTCCGACCTGTCCTCTGGTGGGCATCATCAGGACCATGGCTCAGTCCCGGACGATTCAATGCGCCCACTCAGCCGCTTGGCTCAACTCGATCGGAGCTATCTAAGTTGGCGCGCACGTGCATCGCCCAGAACCAGTTCCAAGCACGATCAAGGGGAGGTGCAGATCAGTTCGGATGGCCTCGAAGATGCCGACACGGGATTTATCGAGGATTCGCAATCAGCGTTGCTGGCTGTTCAGAGTCAATTGCCGGATACCTTTTCGGCGATTTCTTCCGACACATCTGATGATGAGTATCAAGACGAGCCTGAACGACCTTCGCGCAAGTATAGTCCAGTCGGGAGTCCACCCTGTAGGATAGCTACAGAAGTGACACTGCCGGCTTTGCTGGAGGACCAGGTACAGGCTGAATTAGGAGCAAGCCCGTTAAAAGAAATCGTGGATGTGTCCGTAAGCACCGGCGACGCTTCTGAAAGTTGCGTTGATGCCAGTCTCAATCAATCGGACTTTTCCGATCTTCCAATCGATGCGTTTCCGCCTCCACCAGCCATATCAGTAGCGAGTCATGCAGCTCTGCCTTCACAGATAACAAAACACCTCGCGGCCATCAAGGCCAAGAACCCCAGTCGCTTCAAACCAAAACGGAAACGGAGAACCTTGGAAACCGACGAACGTGGGTATTGGCGTATTGACTGCACAAAATGGCCTCCGAGGATCCAGCAAGACTTCTGGTCGTCGCTTCATGAACACGTGTGCAGCGGGCGGATAGGGTGGGGTGCAACTTTGCATCGGGAAAGTAGCTCCATACATACATTAGGGCTTGTGAGGCTATATTGTTGGGGCGAGCTCATAGAACACATGTGGTTACTTATGTGGATTTGCTCGAAGGGAAAGGTGTCCGACTTTGGATCGAATTGGATTGATGCAGACGGCGTTGTGGTAGTTGAGATGAGTGGTGACAAGAAAGGAATATAATTCAATATACAGTTTATATAGCTTGTAGTATCTATCATTATGCCTTCACGAAACTGTTTCTTAACGACTTACTGCATGTTCCGTTTAGATGCGGTTAGTTGCGAACGGCGACTAGATGTTGGTGATCGACGTCCCTGCATGAAACATGTCGCGCTACAGTATCCGTAGCGCGAATGAGCGAGATCGAGGTGCTCAGCCCTCGACGTGTGAGCGCTCAACGCTGCACAACACCCGTACTTGTCATGGTCAGGTAGCGCAACGACAATCCGAAACTGAAAATGTCGTCAGAGTCACGAGTGGACAACGGCAGAGCTGCTGGCGGCTCGCGCTACGACGACGCCTCTGACAGCGACGACTACGACATCCGACCCTCCGCGGAACTGTCAGACGCGGATCACGATATACTGGAATCTGAGGACGAGCGCGAGCGACTGCTCACACAGAAGGAGGGGATCTCCGGCTTGTTCAGCTCTGCCGTAAAGATTGGGAAGCGCGATGGCGGCAGGAAGAAAGCTGAGATGGTCGAGCGCAAGAGAGGTCTCAACTCAGGGGCCAGCACACCCACGTACGACACAGAGGAGGGAATTGGCGAGTCGAGCTCGAGCTTGTTGCGCACGGGACGGAGCTCTGAGAGTGATGAGCAGCGGTTACTCGCGAGTAGAGTGCAAAAGAAGGTATGGCGTTTCGCGCAGGCTGAGAAGATGCAGCTCACGTTGGATTTAGGCAAAGCGATCGAGGCGATTGCGAAGTGTTTGTATCTACACGTCGATCACAGGTTTCTTCCTCGTACTGCTTGCTTTCATATACCGTCTTTCAAACCCCACAGACAGCCAAATTACAGCAGCATTTATGGCAACTGCTGTCTCGAACGGAACCTCTCTCTTCGCGCCAACAACGATATTGATTTCGCTCGACGGATTTCGCGCCGATTTCCTGTACCGCAACCTCACGCCCACGCTCAACCAGTTTGTAGCTGAAGGCATCTCCCCAAAATACATGCTACCCAGCTTCCCCAGCGTGACGTTCCCAAACCACTACACAATGGCAACTGGAATGTATCCTGAGGCGCATGGGATTGTAAGCAACAGCTTTTGGGATCCGGTGCTTGAGAAAGAGTTCTTCTACACCGATCCTGCGCGCAGTCTCCAGCCATTCTGGTGGGGCGGGGAACCGCTCTGGGTGACAGCAGAGAGGCAGAACGTCAGGACAGCGGTGCACATGTGGCCAGGATCTGAAGCACAAATCGACAACCAACAAATTGCATACGTGGACAAGTACAACGGCTCAGAGGTCCTGGATCGAAAAGTCGAACGCATTATGGATCTACTCGACGTACCTGGTCCCCAAGACATAGGCGCGAAGGCTGACGTCCCTCGTCCGCAACTCATCGCAGCGTATGTACCCAATGTCGATGGCGATGGGCACAGGTATGGGCCGAACAGTACGGAGATTCGTCAAACCATCTCCAGCGCAGACGCTTTGATTGGCGGTATTCTCAAGGGTCTGCAAGAGCGCAACCTCACCGGCATTGTCAATGTTGTTGTCGTCTCTGATCACGGCATGGCCACTACCGATGTATCCCGTATGATCCAGCTAGAGGACCTTGTCGATCCCGCCGAGCTCTCACACATTGATGGCTGGCCGTTGTATGGCCTCAGACTCAAAGACCCCAATAATCTTCAGCCACTGTACGAGAAGATCAAGCGCGAACACGGGGACAACCCAAACATCGAGATATATCTACGCGAAAACATGCCTGAGCGCTACCACTTTTCGCAGAACGACCGCATAGCTCCACTCTGGATCATACCAAAAGCAGGCTGGGCGATCGTTGCGAAAAGCGAATTCGACGTTGAAGAGGGCAAGAAAAATGGCGAGGTATATCATCCGCGCGGTCTGCACGGCTATGATCACGAACACCCTCTTATGAGGGCCATTTTTGTTGCTCGTGGCCCAGCGTTCCCTCACACACCAGGGAGTCGCATGGAACCTTTTCGTAAGTTCAAGGCTTCACCATAAATATATCCAGGGACATGGTGCTGACAGTCTGACAGAAAATATCGAGTTGTACAACATCATTTGCGATTCCATTGGCTTGACTCCGGCACCCAACAATGGCACGATGCGTCTCCCTCTGAAGCCGGTCGGCCTCCACGACGACGAAGATGACATGCCCAACGAAACGCCTTCTGACCCTGTCGGTATTCACTCGTTGGTCTCCGCGCCCACTCCTGCAGCGACCGTATCTGCAGTCATGTCCTCATCATCCAGCCTTGCTGCTTCGTCATCAGGGATTGAGGGAACGACTGCTTCGCTAGAAGCAAGTGTGTCCACATCAACTGAGACAAGTACAACAACCAGTGCACCGCCTGCGACGAGCAGTAAGCCGCCACATAAGCATTGGTGGGATTGGCTCACGGATAAGGCTGATGAGATTGAAAGTTGGGTTGATGATTTTGTGCACAAGCATGATCCTCTCAAGGATGACAAAGTCAAACAGGACGAATAGTGATAGGCTCAATTAACTACAGTTTGAGGTTTTTATGTGGAGGCTTGTATAGACATAGGAGTTTTTGTAATATTGATACCCAGCTTCTTCACAGATGAACGTTTCCTCCTCACGACCTGCCTGAATCCTGCACCAGTGCTTTTTTGGTGTAATAAAATCATAGTCATTGGTGGCCTGGTGCGACTGCACGATTCAGGCCTAATTGAAACGCGACTTCAGACTTCCCGTGGCCTGTGGGACCAAATTCAGCACGCAACGCGCACTCAAGGCCGTCATCGGGAAAATGACGCGCTCTCCTCGGCAAGTCAGTGGCCGACATGGCCACAGTAGGATTAGCGTCGGCGCGGATTAACTTGTGAGCATCTTGGTCAAGCTCTCACCACGGCAGTCAACAGCCTCGACGACACGAAGAGTCGCTCTAGGGTCGCAATACATGGCGACATAATTCCACGGCGCAGGCCCTTCTTTTCCTGGCGTTTTAACCGCCAAAACCCAAGACCAACACCAGCTCGAGCTGGACTGCTCCTCTTCCCTCCAGCAGCTGCACCCACAGCCACCACCTAGCAGCCACCGCGCAAACACAGGGTTCCAGCACCTGGCTTGGACTCTAGTCGAGCCTTGTACAATCTCAAGACCGCTCTTCGGCCGCGTACGCGTCGATTCGGTGTCTTCGCTGCATCCCCTACCGCCACAGAATCGCAAACGCCGAGATGAATCCAGCACATCGCGAAGGATGGCCTTCGTCGCAGGTACCGGCGCCTGGGCAGACACCGCAACAACAAGCGGAGCAGAACCAGAGACAGCCTGCGCGTCCGCTGGATTCCTACGGGTACGTTAGCCCCGCTCGTGGACCTGTCGCGCCAGATCTCAGGGATCCAGCCGCCATCAGGCGATCGCACGCTGTAGACGTGGGAACTGACAAGCACCTTCACAACAGGCCAAACAACCCAAACGCGCAAGCTCCCACACACGCGTCACCTGCGCAAGCCCCAGGGCCTGTGCTCCCGCCCCCCTCTAGTACGTCTCCCAGCAACAGCGGGGTTACAAACGCAACTGACCCCAACTTAGACAAGCCATTCTACTCATCGAACGCGGCTGCGGCCCACAATCAAAACCTGCCGCCGCTTCCTGGCTTGTCGGGTCAGCCTCCACACTCGTCGCCCCACCAATCTGCGCAAAGAGCGCCTTCAACAGAGGCAGGACCGGTCGCGCAAGGACACCAGATGCCACAGGGTCCACCGTACTCCCTACCGGGCATCTCCCAGACTTTGCAGCAGCAACAAGGCACACTACAAGAACAGGCCAACGCAGAAAGGGAACGAGAGCTGCGCGAACGCGAAACACGAGAGCGCGAGATAATGGAGTCGCACGCGGCCCAGCATGCTGCGCAGCAGGAAGAACATGCAAAGCGCGAGGCTGAGCAACGCGATCGAGAGATGCACGAGCGTCAGCAGCGCGAACAAGCTGCGCTCCAAAACCACTCTGCGCCAATCCAGATCCACCAGCCCGTTGCTGTAGCCCCATCGACACGAACAGTGCTTGGACCGAACGGTCTGCTCGGTCAGTCAAGTTCATTGGTAGGAGCAAACCCACTGGCTGGCCAGACAGGAGGGCCAAACGCTGCGGGCCCTCTCTACGGCAATGCGCCTGCTCAGCACGACCAGACCACGCCGCGCATGCAGCACGCTGTGCAAGCGCCAACACAGGCTCAGATGCTGATGCCATTTACTGGCCCACCTGGTGCCATGGGCATGGGTCAGGGTCAACAACCAATCCTCAATGTAAGTGGTCCAAGGCCTGCTTGTTTGGGAACCCCACTAAATCTGCTTTAGGACGCTCTAAGCTACCTTGACCAAGTCAAAGTCCAATTCGCCGATCATCCCGATGTCTACAACCGCTTCTTGGATATCATGAAGGATTTCAAGAGCGGTGCTATTGACACCCCTGGTGTCATTGAACGCGTTTCCACACTCTTCGCCGGCAATCCGAACTTGATTCAAGGCTTCAACACATTCCTGCCTCCGGGATACAAGATTGAATGTGGAACAAATGGAGATCCAAATGCGATCAGGGTTACCACACCCATGGGCACAATGGTCTCGACTATGCCTGCTCCAAGGCCTCTGTCACCCCCACGTAGCGCAGCCACAAACGGCGGCGTCGCAACTCAACAAGAGGCTGCATTCTATGAAACAACTCAAGGACGACCCTGGCCCCAGCAACAGAGGGCACCAGAGCACGCTGAGTCGCTGTTCTCGCCGAACAACCGTAATCTTGTTCAGCAACTGTATGGCGCACAGCAAGGGCAGCAAGGACCTGCACCGCATTCACCAGAGGCGACTACGCGCCCACACCCAGATGCTGCTGCCTCGGCGGCCGCACTTGCACACCAACAGGAACAGCAGGGCGTCTCTCAGCTTCAGAACGCAGTGTCTGCAGCTACCGGACGTTCTATGCTTGCATTGAGCGGCGACGCATCTGCTGCTCTGCCTGTGCAGGCACTGAATGGCGCGGTCCAGGTTGCTCAGATGGGTGGCCCTGGCGCTGAGAAGCGTGGTCCAGTCGAGTTCAATCATGCCATCAGCTACGTCAACAAGATCAAGAACCGCTTCGCGTCACAACCTGATATCTACAAGCAGTTCCTGGAGATTCTCCAGACATATCAGCGGGAGTCGAAACCCATTCAGGATGTCTATGCCCAAGTCACCGGATTGTTCAACGCTGCTCCTGATCTACTGGAAGACTTCAAGCAGTTCTTACCGGAATCAGCCGCTCAGCATAGAGCACAGCAGCAAGCCGCGAGGCATGCTGAAGATGCGGTTATGCTGAGCAATGTTCGTGGCGACGCTGCTGGGTATGGTCAGACGCCAAACCTTCAGCAAACCCCACGCGCAGATCAATCACGACTGCCTCCCATGGGCAACTTTGCTCCTACACCTACTGCGAACCGTGACAACAAGCGAAAACGTGACCGACAAGGGCCAGTGGCAGCGCCCATGCCCACACCAATGGCTCAGGAACCAACGATGTCGAACGTTCGTGGCGGCACCTTGGGACCGAGCGCTGCAAACAAGCGCGCCAAAACTGGCCATGCCGCGAAGCAGACCGTACCTGAAGGTCCTCCGGTCTCGCCAACTCTCACGCCAGCACTGCCGGAGCCCATCCCGCCAACAACTACAACCACACCAAGTCAGGATGAGCTTGCTTTCTTCGACCGTGTGAAGAAGTTCATTGGCAACAAGAACACAATGAATGAGTTCTTGAAGCTGTGCAACCTTTACTCACAGGACCTGATTGACAAAACGCTCCTTCTCTATCGCGCACAGTCCTTCATTGGGGGCAACCCAGAACTGTTTGCTTGGTTCAAGAAGTACATGGGTGAAGACGACGATCAACAGAAGACTCGTCCCAAGACTGTCAACTCTCGGGTGTCACTTTCAAACTGCCGTAGTCTTGGGCCTAGCTACCGTCTGCTGCCAAAGCGCGAGCGTGAGCGGGTGTGCAGCGGCCGTGATGAGCTATGCAAGTCCGTCCTGAACGACGAGTGGGCTTCTCATCCAACGTGGGCCTCCGAAGACTCCGGGTTTATCGCTCATCGCAAGAATCAATTTGAAGAAGGTCTTCACAGGATCGAAGAAGAGCGTCACGACTATGACTTCAACATCGAGGCTTGCAGTCGCACCATTCAGCAACTAGAGCCAATTGCGAACCAGTTGCTGACTATGAAGCAAGAGGACCGTACCAACTTCGTGCTTCCAGCCGGCCTTGGAGGACAGAGCGAGACTATCTACAAGCGCGTCATTATGAAGATCTACGGCCGCGACAGGGGCAAGGACGTCATCAAAGAACTGTTTGCCATGCCCTGGAGCGTAGTACCAGTCTTGCTGCACCGCCTGAAATGCAAGCTGGAAGACTGGAAAGCTGCTCAGCGTGAATGGGAAAGGGTCTGGCGCGATCAGACGCAGAAGATTTTCTGGAAGTCTTTGGATCATCAGAGTCTATCTGTGAAGCAGGCCGACAAGCGTCAATTCCAGCCCAAGTCTTTGACCAACGAGGTCCTCGTCCGTTACGAGGAGCAGAAGCGTCTGCGACAAGTCCAGGAGATTCCCCAGACTGAGTACCAGTTCGCTTTCTCATTCAAGGACGAAGAGGTTCTCTTTGACGTCGCTCGCCTGATGATCACGTTCGCGGATAACAACAGCGGCACTGAATACGCCAAGGTGGTTCCATTCATCAAGGAGTTTGTGCCTCTATTCTTCGGTCTTGACCAAGCCAAATTCGAGCAGCGTGTCCAGACATCAGGCCGCGAGACACCCAACGAGTCCGGCGATGACACACCAAGCCCTGACGACGATCTTGGCCAGCGATCGCAAAAACCGAAGAAGGGTGACTTGCGACGTGACGTACTCGATCCACGTGGCAAGTCCCGCAAAGACAAAGATGATAGCCTTGCGTCAGCAAGCCGGGATACAACTCCAGAGATCGCTTCAGGTGTCGAAGACGAGGCTGCCGCGGATAGCTCCAACTCCAATGGCCGTGACGAGCAAGCTGCGGGTAGCTGGGTGGAGTACTCAGCACAGCCTGCAGCTCTTGATGACAAGGAAATCGAGCACGACGAGCCATACAGACGTATTGAATACAACATGTATGCCAATGCGTCTATCTACTGCTTCTTCCGAATGTTCGTTTACCTATACGAGCGATTGCTGAAGCTCAAGGAGAGCGAGGACAATGTCCGCAAGGTCGTCAGTCGCGCAATGGAACCTAAGGCGGCCCGACAACTCAAGATGCTGGACAAGCAGCCGGATGATTTCTTTAAGGATACGTCTTCGTCTGCGAGTTTCTATCAGCAAGTGCTGGAGATGTTTCAAGACCAGATCCTCGGTGAAGTTGATATGGGTTTCATCGAAGAGACATTGCGACGGTATTACTTGCAGATCGGCTGGCAGATGTATAGCTTCGACAGGCTCATCAACTCACTCGTCCGTTTTGCTCTTGTCGTAGTCAGCTCTGACAGCAAGGACAAGAGCATTGACATCTACAACCTGTTCAGGAAGGACCGAGTCAATGACACCACGTCGCACAAGAACGAGATTAGCTACAGGAAGGCAGTCGAGAAGTATGCAAAGGACGCTGACACCTATCGCATCACATACGTAAGTCACCCCAACTTTGGCTCTCGGTATAGACTAACCCCTTGCCAGGATCCTGCGAAGACAGAAGCTACTGTTCGCCTTTTCAAGAAGGACGATCCCACATTCGACTCAAGCGCACTGGACCGAACCAGGCGTTGGCGCGCATACCTCGCTTCTTTCCAAGCTGTAGAGCCCACCGAAGAGGTGGACCACGCAAAGGTCCAATATCCTTACCTCAAGAAACGCCTTTCCAAGGTGGAAGACCTTCCCCAGCAGGATGATCGTCTTGATGTTGTGAAACACAGCGATAAGATTACGGTCTCAATCAGCCCACAAACCTACAACATCACGTTCATCAACAGCGAGCCCTTCGGTACCGGCGGCGTTCAGTATTTCACGCTTCCGGACACCGTCCGTGCAGGCATCAGCGAGAGCACATCGCAACCGAATGAGCAGTTCAAGGCCCTTAACGACACAAGGCGTGAGCGAGCTCAAGAGAAGCTTGTGCGCAACAACACTTGGATGAGGGATCTCAGCCGTGACGAGGTTGACTCCAAGAAGATTGTCTTCAAGAAGGGAATTGACGATGCCCAGCAATCAGGGGAGGAGGACGTTGAGATGGCAGAGGGATAATTTGATTTCAGGAATACGGCGTCTGGCGAATTGCACATCTCGAACACGAAACACATAACGAGGATGGGTGGTTTATGCTTGCTTACTGGCTTGTGGACAGTTGTATACCTGAGTGTATGGGCTAAGCGTTGGAGCGTGCATGTGAGACTGCGCAACGCAGTCGTGGCGTTTGGTTTGATAACCAACTTTATATCCATATCATGATTCGTGTTCTTCCGCGTAAACGAGACTGCCCTATCACTCTTGAACCCAAGTCCTGTCATCTGCAAGCTTGCTGACGAAGACTCAAGAATTCTTCGATGGACACTCGGCACCCTCTTCCTGCTCACCGTGTCCGACTGATCATCCGTAACCAGGGGACCCACCTTAACCACCGGCACAAGTAGAGGATACAACGACCGCCGTTCATCTCAGCGTCAAGCTCGCTTGCTCAGGTCGTCGCTTGTTCGTGATTTCGATCCTCCCCCGCACACTATCTTAAGCAGATTAAGCTATCAAAACTTCATTTGCATCAAGTACTCCTTGTCTCGAGCTGCAACACGGAAGAGTTCCGGCGCGATTGAAGCGGTGATCGCCCTTGTCGAAAGTTTCTGGTCATCTGCGTGATCTGCTGAATACTTTGAGGATGATAATTGTCCCAGCAAGTTCCATCTGGGCAGGCATCATGCTCGAAAGTGGATGGGTTCGGAGTAGCGGTGCGAGATCTGTACAGGCCCCCGGGACTCAATATGCGCCTGCTTCATCTCTTCTCAACAGAGTTGCGGTGAAGTCGTTCACATGCCATCGTTAGAATCATCATCCCTGGAGCGTAGGTGTGAATTGTATGAATCAACAATGAGAGCTGCACAGACGCCCGCGTATATGCAGATGCGACGATCTGTCTCAACGCACGTGTCTGGGGAAAAGGTGGCCGTAGCTGGCGGGCCGGCGGAGCTCACCAACCGGTCGCTCGGGCCTGCTTCCGCTGTCGTTCCCGCTCCTTCCGACGCCAACAAGGCCCGCACAACCTCTCAAAACAGTTTCTCCACCACTCGACCGTTCAAGTCGAGTTCCGGAAGCCTTCCATAGTAGGCCCGGAGCAGCCACGCCCGGTCCGCACTCCAGGACCGCCGTCGCCGCTTTGTTAATGTCGAATCACAGACATGGCTGCTTACCACAACGGCAAGCAGCTGGCATGCAACGGTTGCAATGACTGCCTCAATATGCACTCATCCAGTGCTTCTCTTTCAAGCTATCGCAGTGGACCTGGTCGGCTGTTCATTACTCTTCCCCATCGTGATTCGGACAAGCTTTCTGCGTCGAACACGCGCATGTTACGCTTGCAATTGCCACAGTCAAGCCCTGGCGCGCTTGGATCTAGATCGAAATCGCTCGAGAGCCTCCTTCAGCTGCAGATGAATTCCGTCGCGCTTTAACTTCGGTTCATTACTGTCCCGTCGACCAATAGTACCTAAGGAGTAGATCTGAGACGAGCATGCGTGCCGCAACTAGGTACAAGCCCTGTGCTCAATACACCCGGATATTCTACGTGCTTTCCTCTGGGTCCATGCGATGAGTGGTCTATGCTTTGATACTCGAGCGCTCAGAGTACTAAAAGATGACCATTCACTGGCATTGGATCCCACGCTTGTAAAGTCACTCGTTTTCCTGCCACCCCACCTTCAGGTCACGTATTTAGGGTTCGAGGTCACAGCGACCTGTCGACACCGGCGTGACACGCGGCTCTTCCTTCGAATCCTCCGACTTTCTCGAACGAGTAACGAGGCTGATTCGCTATGACTACCATGCATTTGGGCACCCTTAGCCCCACAGAAGACGACAATAAGACCATTGATTTCAAACAAGCAACTTTTGAAGTCACTCCCGTCAATACTGTCACTCCATCACTTACGCCCACGGCAACACCTGAGAGAGACGCCATGACAGGAAAGAAGCTATACTCGCTGGAGAAGCCAGATGACAGGGCAAAGGAGCTGGCCTCCAAGTTGACACTGGAAGAGCAGGTATGTCAAGGCCCGTGTAACGAAGAGCAACCTATGCACAGTCGTCAACATCTTCGCATCAGAGCTAGTTACTCGTGTATCCAGTCTCGTCTATCTACCGTTATGACAAATGGTTTTCGTCGCTCGACCTCATCTGACCGGCGGCGTTCTGTTGGTGCATTTATAGGCGACGTTACAACATCCTTCATTACCATATGCTAACCACTATAGATATCGTTATTGGCCGGAGTAGACTTCTGGCGGACGATGCCTATCCCTGACAAGGGAATACCGTCTATAAAAACAACGGATGGTCCCAACGGCGCTCGAGGAGAGTTCTTTACAAATGGCACGCCCGTGAGTTTGCGAGACAGTATCAAGCTGCATGTTGTCCGATGACTGACTGTGTAGGCGGCACTGTTCCCATGTGGAATCTCCATGGCCTCGACATGGAACGTGGGCATGATGGAGGAGATTGGACGGCACTTGGGAGAGGAGTGCAAAGCTCGCGGCGCAGATGTTCTGCTTGCACCTACAGTCTGCATGCATCGCTCCCCACTAGGTGGACGTAATTTCGAGTCCTACTCCGAAGATCCATTCCTCACGGGAAAGCTTGCTGCCTCGTATGTGCGTGGCCTACAAAGCAAAGGTATCGCCGCAACCATCAAACACTTTGTCGGTAACGAGCAGGAGACTGAACGCCAGGCCTACGACGCTGTCATCGCAGAACGACCGCTCCGTGAAATTTATCTCAAGCCATTTGAGATTGCTGTCCGTGATGCCTCACCATGGGCTCTCATGAGCTCTTACAACCTGGTCAATGGTGTTCATGCTGATGAGAACGAACACACAATAAAACACATCCTACGCGGCGAGTGGGGATGGAACGGAGCCATTATCTCTGACTGGACCGGTACATATGCTACAGCACCTTCGATAAAAGCTGGCGTGGACATTGAGATGCCCGGACCCTCGAAATGGCGAAAGATTGAACAGGTCAAAGAAGCGCTTGACAATGGCGAAATAGAAAAGGAAGACATCGAGGCATCTGCTGCACGGGTCCTCTACCTTGTGGATCGTACGAAGGGGTTGAGCAACACAACTCCTGAAGCTCCCGAACAATCCATTGACAATGTCGAGACACGGAACCTCATTCTCCAAGCTGGTGTCGAAGGACTGACGCTTTTGAAAAACGAGAACAACGTCCTACCCATCAAGAACGCGAAAAAGATTGCGCTCATAGGGCCAAATGTCAAGCGAGCAATCGTGAGCGGTGGTGGTAGCGCAGGCCTCAACCCCTACTACCGAACCAGTCCGTGGGATGGAATGCGCAATCGTTTTGACGGAGAGCTCACGTTTGCACAGGGCTGTGATAGTGCAAAGTGGCTGCCACTCGCTACACCATACTGCACATCCCCAGACGGTCAGCAAGGTGTACGACTTGAGTACTACCGTGGAGACAGATTCAAGGGCGAGCCAGCCGTTGTTCAACACAAGGTCAGCACGGATCTATGGCTGTGGGATTCTGCACCGATGGAACTCTTACCAGCATTCTCATTCAAGGTCAAATCAACTCTAACCCCTAAGACGACCGGTAACCACAGCTTCAGCTTCGCCTCTGTGGGACCTGGACGCATGTTTCTTGATGGCGAGCTTTTCATCGACAACTGGGACTGGACCGAGGAGGGAGAGGCTATGTTCTCTGCATCTCAAGACGTCCTCAAATCTATTCGTCTCACTGCCAACAAGCCTGTCGAGATACTGATCGAGTCAACCAGCGAAGTCCGTCCAGCTTCAAAGGTTTCTATCATTGGCCGTCGTTACGACTATGGTGGTTGCCGCATCGGTTACCAAGAAGAAGACGCCATCGACCGTCTCCAGGAGGCTGCCGACATCGCACGCGATGCAGACATTGCAATCCTCGTTGTCGGTCTCGATGCCGAGTGGGAGTCTGAAGGGTACGATCGCCAGACGATGGACCTTCCCAAGGACGGCAGCCAGGACCGTCTCATCGAAGCGGTGATTGCAGCAAACCCGCGCACCGTCGTTGTGAACCAATCCGGAACGCCCATCTCAATGCCATGGGTGAATCGCGCTCCTGCAATCCTACAAGCGTGGTACCAAGGCCAAGAAGCCGGTAATGCGCTCGCAGATGTGCTCCTGGGTAACGCATCGCCCAGCGGCAAGCTGCCTACAACATTTCCCGTGCGTATCGAGGACAACCCGGCGTACCACAACTGGCCGGGCGAGAACCTCACAACCGTGTACGGCGAGGGCATCTACGTCGGCTACCGCCACTATGAGCGCTCAAAGATCGCACCGCTCTTCCCCTTCGGCCACGGCTTGACTTACACCACCTTCGCTCACGGCACGCCTACACTGTCTACCACCGTGCTCACCGAAACCGGACACATCACGCTTAGCGTCCCCGTGACCAACACCGGCAGTGTAGCTGCGCACGAAATCGTGCAAGCCTACGTCAAGGACGTCAAGAGCAGCCTGCCACGCCCGGACAAGGAACTACAGGCCTTCGGGAAGGTCTTCCTACAGCCCGGCGAGACCAAGACGGTGGATATGAAGCTCGACAAGTACAGCGTGGGATACTTTGACACGAGCCTTGGGCAGACGGGCGCGTGGATTGCAGAGGAGGGCTTCTTTGAGGTCCTCGTTGGCGCGAGTAGCGCGGATATCAGGTACGTACCCTTCCAGGCTTCACTTTCGCGCGCAAAAACTGACTATTGTGCAGGGGTAGAATCAGCTTTGAAGTCAAGGAAAGCTTCCAGTGGATTTTCTAAGCGGAGGGAGGGGGCATTTCATCTAGAGATCGGGGGCACCGCGGAAGGAGCCCTTCTGGGTAGATTCTCGTGGGAGTGCATATGGCCCATTTGGGCCGTTGAAAGGAATTTTAGTATTTCCTAGTCGTGTTTGCTTGCTGCGTTCAGTCAGGCCGAAACACAGTGAGCGTTCGTAACGATGAATTGCAATTTCATATCTTCGTTGTCATAGGCTGATGGTCAGTCCATCGAAGTCACGCGTCACTCGTATCAATCAATATGTATAACTCCAAGTCTAAGTAGCTTTTTGCTTTACTGGTTCAAAATTCAGTACCATCCACATCGGTCTCTACGTATATACCCACGACACTACTCAATCAGCAACCGACAAACCTCTACCAATCCTCATCTCCTTTCCTCCCCTGCATAGCTTGTGATCTTAGCCTCAAAGCCTCTGCTAACCCACCCGCAATGCTTCCACTGCTATCTCGTGCCCCCGTCTCGCTCGCACTCCCCGAATACCCACTATCTCTACTATCGGGAGCGGGTTTGCGCGCCGCGGGACGCTTGGCCGGTGGTGCAGGCGGCTTCGGCTTGCCATTCGCGGGGCGTGCGGGTGGCGCAGGCGGAGGCGGTGGGGGTGCAGTCTTGACGATGTGCTCTTCGAGGTAGGCGCTGGGTGCCCAACCTGAAGCAGACTTGTCGAGGCGGGAAGCTAGCCACCAGCCTAGAGGTTGATTAGCACGACACTGGAAAGGTGGGGAAATGCGGGGACGAACCGTTGTTTTCCTTCTGCGTCACGAGGATGATTTCATCCTTGCGCAGACTTAGCTCACCAGCTGACTGCCCAGCAAAGTCGTAGAGAGCTTTAAATGTGGGTTCTTTAGGTGCAGCATGCGCAGCGGGCGGCGGTGGAGGTGGGGGTGGTGCTCGTGATGCTGACGATGATCTTGAGTGGTTTGCTGATCCATTGAGGGCTGCCACAGGCTGTGGTACTGGTCGAAGCTGGGGTGTGGATGCAGCAGGCGCTGCAGCAGGTACGGGTCGCGATTGTACCGGAGCTGGCATGGGAGCAGGAGGTATTGCTCGTGACTGAGCGGCGGCAGGAGCGGGCACAGGTCGCGGCTGCGCAGGACGGCTGGCGAGCTTTGACGGGCCTCCTCCTGGACCACCGGGCCGCAGAAGCTTTCCCTTGGTGATAGGCTTGGCAGCAACTTGTTTGCCCTTCGGAGTAGGTTTTGAGACAGAATTTGGGGGTTCGCCCTGTCCTGTATGGACTGTACCACTCTTGTACGTATCAATTCGCGCACCCGGATCTTTCACGACTTTCACCGATGCAGGCTTGCCAGGCTTCTTGTTGTAATTGATCCTGCTATTAGTCAGTGTGGTTCTAATGACCGAGCGTCAATCGACTTACGTGTCAGCGATTTGAAGATTCAATGACCCTCGCAAGACGTTCGTTAATTGTGTGAAGAATTCCGTCTTGAATACGCAGTTCACAAGCGGATCTGGCTCGTTCGGTGAGCTGGCACCAATCGAAAACCAGTCATCCTGCAACTTGGACGCGCTGACGAACTTGATAGCGCCGACAGGTATCGTTCTCTCGGCCTGAATCTGGACCTGCCCGTTGACCAGCACTTGCTTTACAATGTACACATTCCGCTTGGTCAGAATGAGCATGCGTCCTTCCGGCTTACTCGAACGACCTAGCTTAGACACTAGGGTCTCTGCTCTACACGAGAATGGCACCTCCTCATTGCTGGAGATTCCGATAGCTTGTGCGATTACTTCGCCTGGACCGCCTCGGTTTGCGATACCAAGATAGTCACCCATAAACCTTCGGGATCCTACCAAGCTGTATCTTCGCCTCTCTCTTCGGCCTGCAAGTACCTTGTGGCCTTGATCACGCCACTCAATAAACTCCTTGCCGCCGTTCAGCTTGCGCCAGAAGCGCTGGATCCGTGTGGCGCACTCGATACGATAGCTCAGGTAATTTCTCCAGGCTCGCTGGATGCGAATGGCCATATTGTGCCAGTAACGATCGCGCATCGTCTCCAGTGCAAATAGTGTCTCTGGAGTCTTGATAAAGACCTTCGTTACGCCCATCTGGAATTCCTCGGCTGGAATATTGGTGTCCTTCAAGATCTGCTTAGCACCGGCTTCATAACTTCCGGTCCATGTGTACTCTCCAGCGTACGAGCACTTGGGTGACAGCAAGAAGAATCGTTCCACAAACTTGTCAAAAGTCTGACGAGATGCAAATCCAGCTCGGCGAATCCGGACATTCTCTTGCAGGCCAAGATATTTGACCTGATGTAGTACATTTGCTTCATTGAACTCTTTTGGCGACTTGTTCTCGTTGGGCTTGATAGTACGGATGTATGATGGTCGGGCTTGCATGAGTGTTGTCACGAGATCATTCGCTGATACTTTGATCTTATCTCCAGCCGTGGGTGGTCGTCGTCTGTTGTCCTGATCGACTTGGTTCGGGAAGAGTGTATGAACAAATGGGTTGGCACTTTGTCCCAACAGATTAAGCAAGTCCTTCAAAAGCTGATCCTTGTTCTTGTCAGTCATGCCTTCCACAGCATATGCTACCTCTCCGGCATAGTGTTTGATGATAAACTGTCCTTGGCGGGGCGAGAAATTAGGATTCGATGAGAGTGCGTTGAGTCGCTGCACAAAGGTCTGATCTGCGGCTCCAGGGTCGGCGTGAGCTGTGGCGCAAGCATCGTTGAGCGCTGCGAAAACACCGGGTGGTCGCTTTTCTTCAATCAGCTCGCACACAACCTTATTGTCAAAGTATTTGATCGGTGTCCACTTGATCTGTTCCCGCTCGTACTCTTCTTGTTCAGCCTTCAACGTCAATTGAATAAAAATCTGTTGGAGCTTCTCATTGACGTAGTTGATGCACAGCTGCTCGAAACTGTTCTTCTCGAAAATCTCGAATCCGTAAATGTCCAGGATACCAATGGAGTAGGCTGAGGTGCTTCGCGCCTTCAGCGACAGGTTTACGCGCTCAACAATCCAATCGAAAAGGTTGAAGTAAATTGCTTTGGCCAGGCCGTCTCGCACCGATGAAGCCTGAGCCGGGTTCAGAGGCACATCGTAGACAGAACCTCTTCGTCCACCACGACTCGTCTCCATAATTCGGATGGTGAGAGCCTTGTTGACGTGCGCAGAATCGACCTCTAAGAGATACGCCACGAAATCGACTACAGACTGATCTGCGATGGTGGCGTTGCCTTGATCGTCTTCGATGAACGATACGTTTCCGAGCCACAAGATTGCAGATAACATCCGGAAAATGTTGTCCTGCTCGGCCTGCTGTAGACCAATGACCTTCATGGCGTTCAGTGTGTCCTGGAATTCGGCATTATCGTCGATGTTTGGTACATCGTAGCATTTCGACCGGCTTGTATAGAGGTACGATTGCGGTTGCTGCAGTCCAAATGTTTCTAGAATTGTCAGTATTCCTTTTTCCGCTTCCAATTTCTTTGTAGCTAACCTCTGTATTGGGGCGAGGCTGCTTTCGCGAACTGGTAAAAGATGTGGAAGTTGCGCTCATTCGTGATCTGGCCGACCACGCGCGACTTCTCGAGTAGGTAATTGTTGATGTTTGCTCCTACGGGCTCGCCCTGTGCGTTGAAGTGAATTTCAAGATACTTTCCGAATCGTGATGAGTTGTTGTTCCTCAGTGTCTTCGCATTTCCAAAGGACTCGAGCAGTGGATTTGTGGCCAGCACCATGTCCATCATCTCCTGAATGCCCGAGCCCTTGCCACCAGAGACTTTTGCAATGTACTGCATGAGTCGCTTCGCGGCTTCTGTCTTTCCTGCTCCAGATTCACCAGAGATGATGACACACTGATTCTCTTTGTAGGCATTCATGTTGTAGTATGTCGATTCGGCAATTGCGAAGACGTGCGGCGGTACCTAGTCGCGTCAGATACGAGCATGGATGTGGGACTGACTACCATACCTCCAGTCTGTTCTTGCCCTTGTAGCTTTCCAGGACTTGTTCGGTATAGATACCCACTGCCAATTGTTAGCACATCTCCTTTGAAGACCCTCGCGCTCCCACATACAGTCTCGAAACGGGTTCACAGATACCAGAACGTGTCCAATGTATGTCTGCGCCTCCGTCAGTTACTGTCATCTCGGTCTGGCGCGTTGCATTGACGTAGCGCGGGGCTGGCGGGGGCAGGTCGACGCACATAGATCTCGCCATTCTCGAAGCGCTTCTTTAGGTTGTCGTTGATAGCCTCGTTCGAGATCTTGCTGATCAGCGTCAGATCTGAGACTCCAACCTCCTTCTTCTTGGTCGTCTCGAAGACAGCCTTGGTCGCGAATTGGGACTGCGGCTGCCCAGGACGAGCAGCGCCGCCAGCGGCGGCAGCATCCTTCTTGCGCCCGGCGCGCTTAGATACAGCACCCTACAATATCCTCGTCAGCATCTGCAGAGTCGTGGTGGCGGGTGTGGGCGGGTGTACCATGGCTGATGCCCGACCGCAACCTCCGGAGTGTTAGGTGGTCGCCCGTTTGGCGTGTCGTGTGCGCTGCTGCACTCGATTCACAGCAGGTAGAGGCGCAGTGTGTGGAATCGATCAGGGTGTGCAGGCGCAATGTGTGAGAAGAGAAGGAGCGGCCTTCAGCGAAAGTGTGGTGAGTAAGATTAGTGGGCAGCGTTCCCTACGCCTCAGCAATCCTACCGACGATGTCACAGCCCACGTCGGCCGTATCGGATGTTGCAGCGAGTACGGCAGCCCGCACAGCCACACCCTGTTACGTGCAGTTACACAAGTGACGCGCAAGCCGTTCCGCCGCCGCACAACTCACTCCTCTGCATTCACAGTCTGCCAAGGATCCCTTCTGCAAAGACTCATTGTTAATGACGCGGCCCACCACTAGTCAGGCAGCAACAAAAGAGCATTCAAGCACTAGACAGTGGTGGTCATGAATGACTTTGCTGTTCGCGTTGCAAACGCTATGCTACAAAATGCGCCGATCCAGCCTGGAGGCATGCAAGACTTTATGAACGAGGGTTCGAATGAAAAGCGAACACAGACTCCCACAACATCGTCGACGAAGACGGATACGCCACGGAATATGCCAATGCCGAAAGTAAGAATGTCCAAAATACCCAAAACGCCAACGCTTGTCAAATCGAGAAACAAAAGCGCAAGGCTTAAAATTGAAAAGGAAAGGTCATGAGAAAACATCGCCACCAGAACGACCGACACTCGCCCAATCCAGTCGCTTGGTCTCCTCGAGCTGCGGTCCGGTCCACGAGTACTCCTTAGGTTCGATAAGGCGACCGAGGCCCCCTTCTCGCACCCATTCTTCAACGACCGCGTAGATGAACTCGATTTTCTCTCGAAGGTGGTTGCCTTGAGTGACTTCCTTGTAACCGTCTGCCTTGTCTGCCGAACCATATAATAGTTGCTGAAGAGACCCCTTTAGGGTCTCACGCGCCCTGACGTGTCTCCAAGGTACATTGCCCGTCGCCTCAAGTAGAGCGGTTGCTTCGTATGGAAGGCACAGGAAACTGGCATATCCTCCGTCCGACGACAATACAAGCTTTGTGTGGTCTGGGAAGTTGAACTAAGAAAAAGTTAGTCGGGCCCAAATGTCTTCGTTGCCACTGAACATACTTGAAAAGAACCATCGTCAAACCCCCAGATACCAACATTGCCAAGGCGCTGATAGAACTTGACGAAGTTTGATTGTTTTGGACCTTCCTTTACGACCAACTCCTCATCACCGAAAGTCGCGCACATGTACTTCCCAAATTTGTGCCATACAGTTCGAATCTCTTCGGTTCGTCGGCGATCTTGAATCTCGATTTGGCAGAGTCCCCGGTCCTTCTTGACAGTTGTGTAATAGTCGAGGGGAACGCTCTTCGCGGCCTCGCGATTCCTGCCGTTCTTCTTCAAGTGGTTATATCCGTCGATAGCGATTGCAGCCGTGACCGGATTCTGCTCGTTGCCCGTGAGTAGGGTTCCGATGCTACCATCATCCAAGACGTAGCCAACTCCATATCTACGCGAGTAGTCGACCCATTTTGTCACAAACGGCAACTTGGGAGGATGCTCTCTCCTTGATTTTGAGGGTTTCTTCTCAAGAGCTCGGGCGAGATTGTCTCGAAATGTGTATAGACGCGCCAAAACTGTGACTGGATCGGTAGCAGATATTTCGGCACCGACGGCGCGAAATCTCGACTCGCTTCGGATAGATGTTGAAAGTTTTGTGCTTCGTGTCGATATCCCGAACTGGGGCGCAGGTTCTGGGTTCTCCGTCACTTTCACGGTTGTCCTGATCGGGCGCAGTGGCGGGAGATCAGGGAGTCCGGTCTCCGTCTCTTGCAACATTTTTTTCGTCCCTTCCCTTGCAGCACGGGCTCGTGTCGTTGGTCTTGTCTCTCTTGGTACGTGCAATGGTGCTGGCGCAGGCGCCGTGGCTTCACTTGAAGGTGCAGAGCTCGAGACCTTGCGAACCGCACGTAACCTTGTGGGTTGCTTGTCTAATATCCTTTTAGCTGGCTCTGGCTCCGTCGATGCCATCTGCTCCTTTGCCGTCACTGGCTCATTCTCTTTCAACGCCGGTGGTCGCATCGCTTTTCGAACGCGAGGCAGACGTCCGTTGAAACGGTCGTTCCCAGATGTCTCTATCAACGCCTGACCTTCTTGTGAGGACTCTTTCTCTTCTGAGATCTCGCTCAACCCTCCAGGCGCAGCTTGATGAGGCCATTGCACCCGTGCAGGAAAAGGCACGTATACAACATCCTTGCTGAAAGGTATGTTGGGTTGCTTGCCAGCCTCAATTTCTTTCTGGCAATCACGAGCGACTGTCTTGTTCCTTCTGCTTCCGTATGCGCCGAATGCTTTCCCCGACTCGTACTCGCCAACGGCTGAGGCCTTGCACAGCGTCCACCATTCCTCAGTGTAGCCTCGCCTTATGATTGAAGCCGAAGGTGCGCGCTCCTTAGGCCATCTCGGAATCTTCGAAGTGCATCCGCTGTCTAGCTCCAAAGGAATCATTCCCAGTTTGAAGAACGGGTGTGCTACGATTTGGTCCGGTGTGGGTCGATCGTCCTCGTGTACAAGCAGTAGTGATACGATATCGCGCAAGTCATTTGTGATTTCGTTTGCGCACTTTGTTGGGTCCGGCCAGGAGTATTCTCGCGCCTTCAATTTGCGATAAATGTCTTCGCGCTTCGCTGCGTGGAAAGGCGCTCGACCAACAGCAAGCGTGTACATCATGATGCCAATCGCCCACAGGTCGACCTTCTCATCGTGGCCTTTGCCGGTCTTTTCGAGAACCTCGGGGGCAAGGTAGTTCGGCGTACCGCACATGGTCGTTCGCCGGATCGCGCCGTAATCGTTCTGGGAGAGGAGTAAGGCAGCAAGACCGAAGTCGCCGACCTTGACGTTCATATCCTTGTCAAGGAAGAGGTTACCGGTCTTGAGGTCGCGGTGCACGATGTTGCGCTGATGCAGGTATTTGATGGCCCCGCATGTCTGGACCATAAATCTGCGAATCTCGGGCATGGTGAAATACTTGCGCTTCTTGATGGCGTCGGCAAGGGAGCCGTTCTCGCATAGCTCCAGGACGACATAGGTGCTCGAGTAAAACGAGAAGGCACGGTAGAACTCGACGATGTTCGGATGGGCCAGCTTCGAGTGGATTTGCAGCTCAGTCACAAACTGCGACGCGTCAGCATGGATGGGTCGTGCATAGGCGCAGTCCGCGCACCTTTTGTGCCAGTTTGGGCGGCTCCATTTTTGATCTAACAATCTTCAAAGCGACTGTACTGCTGCCCAGGTGATCGTGGCCCAGCAGCTTTGCGCGGTGGCAGATGGCGAACCCGCCTTTCCCGAGCTGTGGCCCAGTTTCATATTGCAGGCCTTCGGGATCGTGCACCACCTCTGGTGGTGGCTCGGCGTGGACGGATGGGGCAGACATTCCAAGGGTGGGCGGTCGAATGTCGAATGCCGTGGAGGCGTGGACGCTGGTGTTGAAGTTCGGGGCGGGCTAAACAAACAGCTAAGCGGTTGCTATGCCAGACCCCTGTCGCTACCAAGCTCATGCGTGTGCTTGGTTTCATGACGCACATCCTGCAGAGCATTACGACCCATGTTGTCCAGTCACGAGAGACACTGAAATCGCTTGCAGGTCTCTTTCTCCCAATTCTGACCATGAACACTGTTGTCTCACTGTCGTTGCCTGCAATCTGCCCGTGGCAGGCGCAGTGACGTCGGCGTTGGGGAAATTCCGAGCTACGGAACGGAACTTCAGGCAGCCTCGAAGCAGCCATCACCTCTGCACAACGCTCGCTCCTGATCACCGGCCCCTCTGAATCTGGCGCATTATTACTGTAGTGTGTGCGACTGGAACACGATTGCTATGATCATCCTCTGCGACACCAATTGCCTTTTATAGCGAGTGTTGTTGCAGCATATTTGTGCAGCCCAGCATGTCTCTCACACTGAAGATCACCTCACTGTTCGTGAGGACGCTCGCGAAGCCGATGGCCGTAAGACCTGAAATTGCAACTGACTGAAGAAAGGCTTACATCGGGTAGAATACCATCAAGCGCAATGCTCACGAACATGAGCGTTTCCGCAGAATATGTGTCAGTTTCGCACAGAAGATTCACCGAGTCGACATGAGGATGCGTCTTGGTCTCCTACAGGACCCGGCCGTGATCGATCGTCAGATCAAGAAGGAAGTGGCGGCGGCGAAAGCCGCACGAGACAAGCATGCAACACCCACTGTTAAGACAGAGGCAGAGATGCAGGCCGAGGAAGAGATGACGGAGAAGGAGAGGGAGGACATAAAGAAGAGAACCGAGGAGAAATTCAAGCCACGCATCCGTCCCCTCTCCGAACAGAAGGCTATCGAGACCGGCGCCAATTTCGTCTCTGAGGCATTCATTTTCGCTGTCGGTATAAGTGTCATTTTGTTTGAGCAGTGGCGGCAAAGAAGGAAAGCAAAAAATGCTCGAGACGATATCCGGGAGGACCTTGAAGAGCTGCAGGTCGAACTGACAACTGTCAAGAGCGAGCTCGAGGAACTGAGAAGGAAGCAGCCCGATCCCGTGCAGCAAGGAAAGCTGCTAAGTTTCTGGAGAGGAAGTGGAGTCGCCGAGCATCAAAAGACGGAAGATGAGCATAGAGCTGAGGCAAAGATAGCCGTTGCAAAGGGAAAGGAAGCTAAAAGACTAAGAGAGCAAGCAGAAACTGAAAAGCCTGCAAGTGTAAGAGACCTGACAACACAAACATCAGCTCTTTCTCAGGAGCACCCCGCAACGGATGACAGCCAATCTCAGCGCTGAGTATTGGTGTCATCCAAATCTTGAGGGGTGGATCATGTCACTTCCTGAGCGAATCCTCTAGCCCACCGAGGAAACCGTTGATTACCGCTATACCGTCTTGCACCGCCTGTTGTAAACATTTTCTCCTCTCATGATACCCATCCCGTTTATAGACAGATGATAGGAATGCGCTTTGCGACTCTTGTCACACGAGATGTATAGTATGTACACTATCTTGGATCAGCTATATGGTCATAAATATAACAAACAAAGTTCCTACTATATTCTAACTTTGATCACAACTCCCTAGGGCATGGTTCCTGGGAGAGCTGATGGGCCCATCAGTCGCTCTTGCCTCTCTCGCCAAGCCACGTGCGTCAACCCCTGCAACCCAAGCTCTGACGATGTGCCCTCTTCTGAACACAGTCTCGTATATGCATGCTCACATAGGCTTTGCTTGCATTTGATCGCTCAGCTCCAGTCGCTAGTTTCGTGCGTAGTCTTCCACGTCAATGGTCTTTGTATGTAGATTGCTTCCACGACCCATGCGGTACGTCAGATTCTCCTGCGTCTAGTACAAAGCTCATCCTTTCGACATCAGTAGTGTACTCACAGCTGTAAACGTTGATGTCGTCGGATCTCATCAAGGACCCTGAGAGCGAAATGCCTCCGGCATCCAGACGTTCAGCGATGAGAATTGAGGGCATAGCAGTCAGAGCACATCTCACGGCCACCTCGCAGTGTGATCTCAATTCGCAAGTTGATGGACCTGCAGAGGGCAACCCGCGTTCGTTTCAGTTCACCGCCAGGGACGACCGCAGGCTGCCAGTCAATCATCATCACCTACATCAGCAGCAGCAGTATCCAGGTCATCGGCCTCATGATCAACACCCTCGATTGCAAGTCAGTCCCATGCGTCAGACTCACGTCACGCCAACAGCTCCTGCCCCCTTGAAGCAACACAAACCAGTAGCGGGTACCACAGTCGCTACACTTCTTCCGCACTGCACCGTCGAGACAATACTGAGCAAAGACCAAGTCATTGCAGTCAGTGATGTCGCTGGTAGTCTGAAGGAGCTTGTGCTTCTCGCGCTGGGAGCCAAAGACGGCGATGAAGAGTGCATGGGTAGACTTGAAGGCGCACTGGGCAGGGATCAGGGATTGACCGGCCTTGTAGACTTCTTCTCTGCCGAGTTCGAGATCGGGTAGTCCGACTTGTACTTCTCACTGTCGGTGCGAAGCAACGGCGCAACACGACCAATAATTTCTGTCCCTTCCCACTGATATCGCATGGAAACGAGATATCTCAATCTTCAAAAGCCACCAAGGCGCAATGGAATAGCAACTAGGGATATCATTCACAACACTCATCATACAGCCAGTTCATCTTCGCTATCGCTAGCCTTGACGCCCACACGCCTTGTCCCCACTATTGTTGGTGCCAGATTTAAGCTCCTCCTTTTCTGTGAACTAGATGTCTTGCCCTTGCTCTTGGTCCACCCCTGCTTCACATCGTTGAGAAAAGCTCTCCTGTTCAACTTGCCTGTCGACTTTGCGAGCAAGCCTGAAGATTGCGGGGCAGGTCTTGGTGTCTTGAACACAGGCGAACTGCAGAGAAACTTGGTAGCCTGAGGCGTCAAAGATTCACGCTTGATGCGTATGTGAGGGGTGGCTGGTTCGTCGCTTGTACCGATGAGGTCGAGGTCATCGGAGGACTTGGAGGACGCGCGGTAAGTGGCTTCCGGCCTGGTTTTCGGCTTTTCTATCACCATACGATTCTGACTCGTTGATGATACGACAACTCCCGACTCCTGAGTCTCTGGTATTGTACTGGGCAAAGTCTTGCATTGAGGTGGCTCTGGAGTGGGCGAGTCTTCGGTCTTGAGCATTTCGAGCTGTAGTTCGTCTTCGTTGCGGAAATCAGCGCCTTCGATCGAAGGAAGTGGTTCGTCGGGTGCTGGGTACATGTTCCCTTCGTCGTCGAAGAAGTGTGCAGAGGGACTGTCGCTGATGTCGGCGCCTGCTAACGAGAGGAGCTCGAGTTCGTCATCATCAAAATGAGAAGACGACGGGAGCACAATTCGTTCGGATGAGTGGCTTTCCTGTTCCAGAGAGTTTGGTGTTGGTAGACGATGCTCGGCTGAAGAGGTTTCTGGGATCTCCATGCTAGAGAAATAATGTTCTTCGTGTTCTTCGGATGTCGGTAGGGGATTCTGTGCAACGGATCTTGTCTTTGACTTGGTCTGGTTCTGATGGCTCTCGTCTTTCAGTCGGGTTCTCCACCGGTTGGACAATGCTGTGGTAGGCCAATCCGACCATTTGGTTTTGCTGGCTTTGATATCCTTGAAAGACATGTTGTGTAGCACCCTTCTCTCGCGAATATATGCATCGTCCTCTTCTGTGAAATGATATTTGCGAGTCAATCGAACTGTTTTGGCTTTACGAGCAGACGTTTTATCGACAAGATGAGCATCAAGGGGAACGTCAATATCGCTTCGCAGTGCTGGTAGCGAGTGTGAGCTATGTGGCCTTTCAACGGTTGTCTCAAGTGTTTGGGAAATTTGGTCCCTCCTCATTGGACCAGAGCGCATTCGTATATGGACCTTTGGGCTTCTTCGACGGGTGCCTGGAGGCAAGCTAACATGATCTTCATTGGTAGACGCAAGTGGTGCTTCCGTTACTACGGGCGGGGAAGATCTCGGATGTTCGGTTTGTGGCGTTTTTTTTATAGCTAAGATAGGCGGAAAGTACCATTTTGGATCCGCTGCTGGTTTCACACCATCTGTTGATGGTAGTGGGAGAGATGTGGCAGGTAATTGAGGTTGGACGGCTTGTCCGTTTGGTGTGTTCTGGAGAATGGTGAACAACGGCGCGACGACTTGTTGCACGGCTTGTACAATCGTCTGGTTCAAGCTGGCAACGAATGCTGCTTGCGCCTGCTGTCCGAGTGGTGTCTGTGGGAATTGTATGCTTTCTAGTAGGTTTGCTGCTGGGTTCGGCGTATTGGGGATGTGGGACGAATTTCTCTGTATAAATGCTGTCGGTACAGCTTGCGGTGTGGCAACGAGATTCATGTTTTGTTGCGCTGGAGTCTGCGCTGTCTCGCTGTCCTCCACGCTGTCCCTCTTCCTCTTTCGCGTTTGAGTAGGTGCCAACTCATCCTCCGATTCGCCTTGACCATCTTCGTCCTCTGAAGCTGTGTCATCTTCAATTGCAGCACCCAAAAAGCTGTCGACCATCGTTGGTCTATTCCGCGTCAGCTGTCGTTGCATTCTCCTGATATGTCCCCTGTCCACCACAATCTTGCCTGTATTCAAGTCGACCTCGTCGGTCATCGATTCGTGCATGTTCTCATATTTTTCGAACATCCTCTCAAGTCTGCCTTTGAACTTCTGTTGTTGTTTCTGTTTCGCTTCTATGTAATCGGGATTCGTCTCGTCCACTTCGATCGATCGGAGAATGCGCAACCGCTTTGCCGGCGTCTCAATCATGTTGAATGCGGTGACCGAGCGAACGGATGCCCCTGGGGCCTGGTGGGTGCGCCGGGTCGATGTTGTTGTCTCGGAAAGCGGTTGTCGCGAATCCTTGGCGGAGACTGTGTGTGCAGGAAGCTCGAGCCAAACGCGCAACAGAAGGGCTGCGACGCGCCTTCCCCTCGCGTTGAAGTGGGGCAACGGGAGCTAGTGGCCGCCTGCATGGAGCAGATGATGCACATCCAACGGCATGCTGCTCCGAGCATCGAGCTTCTCTCTCCCTGTACAAACATCACCGAGACTTGACATGCAGACAGCTAGACAATAACATCATGTCGAATGACCAGAAGAGTTATGGCCTCTATTGCCAGAAATGCCGAACACCTCTCGATGTCGATGCCTCCGTCGACCAGCTCAACCCTGCAGCCTTCAAGCTCCTAACCGGTAAAGGCAGCTGAACTTCTGTTTAATACTCTCTACTGACATCCGGAAGACTCAACTATCACAGCTCAGCAGCAGAACCAGAAGAACAATCCTCCACGCCAGTCGCGGCCGACATATCCATCCTCCAGACACCAAACCTACGAAACCGCAATACAGTCCGCAAGGAACCCCACATTCAAGCGCAATGTACCGTCTTCGAGATTCCAGCATGGTGGTCAGAATCCTGCCATGTCGTTCGTCAACGTGCACATGTCGGAATCGATGATGGACTCGCCTGAGCACCTACCCGCACCAGTACGCAGCCTAGATCAGCAGTCACCAGCTGAAGGGACGCAAACACAGCTCACCACAGTCGAAGCGTCGAGGCAATCGAGTAGTACTGCGGGTTCAGGGGCAGTTGGAGGAACTAGCCTTGCAGATGGTCTGGAAACTACACAGCGGATGTTTGAGATACTATCTGCGCGCTCAGACATCGATCACCCAATATGCGTTGAATGTACAGAGCTTCTGGTGGACGGCCTACAAAAGCGGCTTGGAGTAGCGACTCGGGAACGCGACGCATACGTGGACTACCTCCGCCGCGCCAACACAGATGTACCCAGCGCTGAGGAGGTCAAGGCCGCTGACGCAGCCCTAAAGGCCGCTAAGAAGGCCGAGGCCGCTGCCATCGCCAACCTAGAGAAGCTTGAAGAGGAGAAAGTAGACTTAGATGCACAGTTGGCCGCGCTTGAAGCTGAGGCTCGCCAACTCGACCAGGAGGAGGAGGACTTTTGGAGAGACCGGAACGCCTTCAACTCCACCTTGACAGAGTTTCAAAACGAGCGCGATGCTCTCACGGCACGGCATGCTCATGACACACAGATCTTGAATCAACTTCAACGAAGAAGCGTCTACAACGACACGTTCAACATAACGCACGACAACCACTTTGCCACTATAAACGGTCTCCGTCTTGGTCGCCTGCCACATCCATACGTCGACTGGCCTGAGATCAATGCTGCATGGGGCCAAACGTGCCTCCTTCTCGCCACACTCGCTGAGCGTCTAGGCTACAAATTTCAAAACTATGAGCTTTCTCCCATGGGCTCAACTTCCACTATCTTGAAGCATGAAATCAAGAATGGTACTTCTGTAGCCGATACGCGAGCGTCCACAGCTAGTTCGCCCAACATCCAAAAGCAGCGTCTCGAGCTGTATTCATCGGGTGACTTCCCTATCAATTTCGGTTTCTTGCACCGTAAATTCGACACCGCCATGGTAGCTTTTCTTGAATGCTTGCGGCAGCTTGGCGAATTTGTAGAGAATCAAGGTGTTGATGCTGGAAGTAGCTTGCGTGTGGGTATGGGCGGACCCGGCGTTAAGATGCCGTACGAGATACGCAAAGATCGTATCCATGATCAGAGCATTAAACTAGCGCTGAACAAAGAAGAGAGCTGGACAAAGGCGTGTAAGTACACACTGACATGTTGCAAGTACTTGCTCGCGCATGCGAACAATGTTGAAAGTATGGCTGCTAGGAGAAGATGATCTGGGCGAGAAGTATAACAATAGACGATACCCACAAACAAGTAGGATGGTCGCCTCGGTTTTTTAGCGGTTGCTGCCTCCTGAGTTTTTGCACACAAGTCCAGCCATTTACACGAGAAGGTCTGCACTAATGTAAGTCAAATGTGCTCATGCCTTCATCACTTGGTTTCGAGTGCATTATCACCAATTACACCAGACCCGGCACATTCGGACTCGAAACTTGCTTCACTTTCGTCATGGTCCAAAAGAATTCCCTGCTGATGGTTTTGACACAATGAGTGTGATTCATTGACTTGACGTACAACGTTATCTGATCTGCACTGACTGAGTTCAACTCCACTGCACCGCATTGTGTATTTACAGGAGAGGATTTCTCTCAACAGTGTACCTCCAGCGTGTATTAATAATCACGCATGGACCTTAAGGACACAAAGCAGAACCACCGTACACAGGGCATAATGGCAGCAATGTTACGCCGCTCAGGACGCTCTTCGTCGCCACGAGTCAAGCCGTACGACTACGGTGCGTGTCCGTCAGAGCCAACCGCTCAGGATAAGTATTTTTACACAGCGGACGGAAGTAGAGATCCTATTACTAACCAAGCGGATGAGGAGTCTACAGTGTACGTTTACCCCCCGAAGAACATCAAGGCTCTGCGCTTTGATGCTGCAAAATGGCAGAACACACCACGGCCACGAAACTACCACGGTATTTGGCCGCCAACATGCGCGTCGCAGTTGATGAATACTCGCATGTTGCTCCATGATGACAGCGAGTCTCGAGAAGCTAAGCAGTTTCGCAAGACAAATGGCGAGCAGGCTTTCCATGAGTGTTTAGGTAAGTTTTGCTGGCAGCAAACGGATTTACCTGATGGCATCTTCTGCGTAGAAGAGAACTGCAATCATACCGTCAAGGAGTGGCTCACAGGTGCTGCCAGCTGGGAAGAGCGCTTCGAATTCCAGACGCTTCCTCATATGGGGCATGGTTTGTTCTCGAAATGCAACTGGAAGAAGGGCAACATTCTGGGTGCGTATCTCGGCGAACTCATTCCTTCCCGTACCAGTAACACAGAATACTGCCATGAGGTCTTCATTGGCCCGGAGTTCGAGAAGACGGGTGCATCGATTGCATATATCGATGCTGAGCGCTGCGGAAACTACGTACGGTTTTGCAATCACAGCTGTGAGAACAACGCGAACATCTCCGAGGAGAGAGTAGGGGAGGAGAGGGTGCTTGTGCTTAGAGCAACTAAACGCATCGCCGCAGGTGAGCAAGTCACTATCGACTATGGAACGGACTTCTTTCGGGGTGGACAATGTCTGTGTAGGTCGGCCAAGTGCAAGTACAATGGTTATCCAAATATATGAACTCCCGTAGTTAAGCGATAGCCTGCATAATGCAGGTCCGTAGTTCGCTACAGTAACGACAAATAAGTACTTCTTCTGTCTATCAGCATCCGCTTCTGAGCTAGATAGATATAGCTCATGTAAACCTCTTGCCACCTCTCATTCTAACAAATCATCGCCAAGTCTCTATGTTACGACTAAAATTTGATACAGAGCAACGTAGCAAAGCATATGCCGTTGTGTAATGTGAGAAGAAACGTGAGGTCGGAGAGACTAGCTATGAACAAGTGGTCGAGCTATGGACAAAAGCTGACTGTCGTATCTTGACGTCGACCGTGTGTCGGAAGAAAAATAGCGAATCGGCCTTGCGCCACCGCATGCTCGTACCCAAAGCCGCAGGTGAGTCTGTGGCGAAGCACGTGCGGATAGAACCCACTAGGTAATCACGATTCTAGCGACACGCGGACCGCAACATGTCTAATTTCCAAATGCCGAAGTATTGATTTGTAGTTTTGTACGGTTACTAGTATACAATGGAGTCTTCGATCAGCACATACTTCAGCAAGATGTCCGAGGCAGGCTTTTCATTCACTGACTGCTCGCCTCCTGTGCAGTTGGCCTCGACTACGAACCTTAGGCTCCCACCACATGATGACAAAGAAGAAAACTTATGCATAGATTGAAAACCGCGCCATGCTGAAATTATTAGGTTCTATAGTCCTGAGATCGGCCATGAATGTCTCGACGTATAAAACGTTCTAAGCAGACTTTTTGTGAAGCTCAACGACAAAGGGTATCATGTCAAACGCCGCAGAAACGTGAAGCTCTAGAATCTAAGAGGAGAGTCGTCAGAGACGACCACCCATCTCTCCAGCTCTCTGGCTTGCTTGGCCTTCTGCATTGCCTGCGCAGCGGGGCTACCGGTGCGCTCAGGAACAACGTAGTTGTTAACGAGGCGCTTGACAATACCACCGTCAACACCGTTGCTGAGCATGAGGTTAGCACTACCACCAATATTGCCAGTGATGTCGTTGGAGCGAGCAACTGCAAGGAGCTTCTTCTTCAGAGCAGCCGGGTCTTGTCCCAGACTCTTGTCTTGAGCCATAAGTGTTGCCATAACGCCAGTGGTGTGAGGGCAGGCCATAGAAGTGCCGGAGAGGAAGTTGATGATATTGTCGCCAGTGCTCCAAGAGCTGAGAATTTCTTCGCCTGGGGCGTAGATGTCGACGCATTTTCCGAGGTTGGAGAAGGTGGAGACTTGGTTGTTGATGTTCACAGAACCCACGGTGACAACATTGGAGTTGCTTCCGCCGAGCTGAGCTGGGGTGGAGCCGCAAGCATCAACGCCGTCGTTACCAGCGGCAACCGAAACGTGAATGCCAGCCTCGCTGGCGCCAGTAATGACTTCGTTGACGGATCTGGCAGTGCCCTGAAGACCCCAAGACATGCTCATAATGGAACCGACAAAACCGGGCTGAGTCTTGCGTTTGTTGTGGTTGTTGATAACCCAATCCATGCCAGCAATGGTGTCGGTGGATGAGCCAGAACCATCGTCACCGAGAACCTTGACGGCAATGATATTGGCACCCTGAGCAACACCGAACTTCGCGCCACCAGCGGTACCAGCAACATGAGTACCGTGACCATCACCATCAACTTCAGATCCGGTAGCAGTGAAGCCTTGTGTAGCACGGCCAGTGAAAACAGCGTGGGTGGTTCGTACACCAGTATCGATGACGTAGATATCGACACCAGCGCCTAGAGCCGAATTATCGAAGCTGTAGGTAAAGTCTTGGCTCTGAGGTGATCCGGATGCACCAGCTGCGTTGGAGATGCGCTGCAGGCCCCAGGGGGCACCGGCCTTAGTCTCAACAAATGACTTGATAACTGTCTTCTCCTCGACAAACGCGACCTCATTCATGGCGTTGAAAGCATCGATACAATGGTTTCCGGCTCTGATGACGAGACCCGCAAAGACCGTGTTGTTGAACTCAGCAATGACATCGGTTTCCTTGATACGCATCTGAGCGTCTTCGAGGTTCTGTTTCCAGTTGGGGACTTCGTCTTTTTGAAACATGATAAGGAGCTCTTTCGCATCGTCACCATGTTCCATATACTGGATTGTCGTATTGCCGATGTAGCCATCTTGGGGAGCAGCAGCAGCGAGGAGTGATGAGGCAAGGGCCAAAAGACCAGCGACAGCAAAGTTGGTCCTCATTGTGAATTATAAACTGGATCCTGATCCGTTGAAAGAGGAGAGAGAGTGTGTGTAGCCGTTCTGGTGAGAGAGGGAGGTATGTAATAAAGAACGCTACTTCATGTCAGTGTTTGTTTTGTGAGACCTAACAGCGAACGACAATAGCTTGCATTGAAACAGGCAAGCACCCCGCCCAGGCGCGAAGGCACTCGTAGAAGGCAGCGGAGATTTGGTGATGCGTAAGCCAGACGGAGTTGAGACACCTGGTGGCCTCGTACAACAGTGTGGGGTAATCACGGTGAAGTGGCAGCCTTAGACAATTGAAACATGAGTACTTACGACGCGCGAGCTGCGAAGGCTAGTAGAGAACTCGTCAAGCGGAACGGGTATGAGGAGCTACGCGTTTGAGCCAAGACGTGCACAGCACAGTATTGGGTGAATAAGGATGCGGCTGGAGAAAGAGTCTCAAGACGAGAAACGAAGTGAAGGGACTGAGAGTAGCTGTCAAAAGAACGGGAACTACTATAAGGCAAGCACACCTAAAGAATGAAGGCGAGTGCTTTAAAGAAAGAGAGCTGTGGAGGAAAGAAGAACCAAGACTGGAGGGTAGGAGCAGCTTGGGGCTCCGCTCATGTACTCGTCACAAGTTTCTGGGCTACGAGCACCAAGCTCAGCGAAGACTCGTCTGCATTTGAAACAGCTTGGCAGTCGGCTAGCTCCCGCGACGACTATACCCAATTCACGAGCGCTATTCGCGGGCCAAGACGACTGGCCTGCTTCAGTCTCTCAAGCGGGAACAGCGGTGGCACTGGTGGAGTCGATGTGAGCATGAGAACCGGGCCCGAGGGCACGATTGGGGCCTTGGGAGATTGTACGAAGACGAACACCTTGCGAAAGCTGTATCGATCTTCACCCTAGTCGCGTAGAACAGTGCTCGCGCCCATGGCGCTGGCGACGGCGCTTCGTATGGACGTACACGAACGTACACAAATTTCAGCAGACGCTCGCTACAAACGGCACCGCGTTGCTGCAAGCCTCAGGGTCAACGCGTTGATTGGCTGAATCAACATGAAACACGAGAGCTTGCGACGCAACCCAACTCAGCAAGCGCCATCGGCCGCTCTCCGCAGCTCGTGGGCTTGCATAAACCCGCACTCAACACCGCGGGCTCGCCGCTTAGCAACGCACGGCCAAGGGGTCCCTGGCGCCTCGACGATTCATGCGCCAGAGAAACCCAAGCCGTGGCGTCCAACGACCGCTGTTGTGCCTGAGCCACCCGCAACCTGTGGCACATAACCGGCCTTCGACCTCGATTCGATTCGTTCCCGCTGCCCGAGTGCCGTGCACACCCATTTCCGTGCTGGTAAGCCGTCAAGCCCATGCAACTTCATGCATTCTGGACCACCTGGGAGCCATACACGTGTAAGCGGACGTTTCATCGCTGATTAAGGACAACAACAAGATGAGTCCCGTCTCGCTGCTCGGACTTGATGTCGTGAGCATGACTTACAGTGCCGCTGTGACAATGCCCTCTCAGCTGCTTGTGCATCATGAACGCCTCCACCTGGGGAACGGATCCCACGGAACTGTCGAAAAATCGATAACGTCTTTCAGCGTCGGTCGTGTTTGACACTGACATCAATCTCCGAGCTAAGCTCTCTTGCATGACAAACACGTCTCCCAGCATGTTGACAGCTGCCAACCAGCAGCCGTCGCGTAGCACGGCATGAATGTGTCGTAAACACCTCTCATGCCTCGCAAACATGTCCTCGAAACCAAATCGACGTTGTTTTAACGCCTTCAATGGCCTGAGCTGCGCCTCATCAATGCCAGGCAGCTTAGATTGACAACCCTGGCCTGGATCATGCAACCAATTTGCTTGCGCCGCATCGCTTAACGAGAAAGGCAGTGTTCCTCCGTCGATGGCCCACCATAGATTATTTTCCGATCATTGAAGCAAAAGCGGTGTGTGTCGGCTGCGAATAGACGACCGGTTCACCCCATCGTTGTTGCAGAAGAACCGAACTTCCGTGATGGTTGACCTTGTCAGCTGTCCGCGGCGGTTCAGGGGAGGGAGGGAGCGTTCAACGATGCCACAGATTGAAATGTTACAGGGAAAATGTACACACTAACGTTCCAACCCGACTTCATCATCATCTGAGCCTACGCCGATCTTGAATCCTCCTAACTACTATCAACTGAATGCTAATCATACTGACATGACAACCTAAACTTCCTCGTCGCTCTCGTCGCCCAAGAGCTCGCCTTCGTCCGGATCAACGACGGCGTAGTCGCCTCTGCCTCTTGCGAAAGAGCTTCTGCTCGTGTAGGTCCGACCCCCATAGCCACCACCACCCCTGCCACCAGATACCATTCTCCACAGACTGCCAACAAGCATGGGGATAGCAGCGATGATAGCCACGAGCCCACTGACAGCAGCGACCGGATACTTGATCCAGGGCGCATCTGAGTCGAACCCACTTCCAGAGTCACCCAGACGGATAGCGCCAAACTTGCCCATTCCGCTCCAATTTCTCCAGACGTAGTACCCAATGCCACCAGCTGCTGCGAACGGCAGAACGATCGCAAGGAAAAGGGCAAACCCGCCAATACCGTGCTTCTTCTCAAACTCCTCTTCGAAGCCAGGACAAGGATACACGGTGCCTACATGGTCAAACTCCTGACCGCCATCGCAAGTTGAGAGTGGAATCTTGCGGTAGGGGCTGTTATCCCAGTACTCTCGCGCGCCCTTTTTACAAACAGCCTTAGGGTCTTCAAGAGTGAGGCCAGGGATGAGCTTGCATTCGCCTCCAGGCTGGCGCTCGTAATTGTAGGCGCATTCGAAGTCGCGGCGTGTGCAGGTGCAATTGCGTTGAATCTCGTGCATATGATCAATGCGCTCACCGTTCCTGCATTTGGCGTCGCGCTTCTTACGATGATACTCTGCTACGTGACCAAACAAGCACTGCTGGTCGTCCTGCAGGGGATGTTGGGGCACCCAGAGATCGTAGTCGCCATTAGCGGGGTTCTTCTCATCGAGGTTACACTTCTTGGTAAATTCTTCCAATCCAGAGAAATCGACATTGATGGCAACCAGTTCCTTGCCATCCTTGCCCCATAACAAAAAATTGAGTGACGTGTCGCTAGGGACTGTGGTGATGGCATCCACTCGGACTGCGTGTTCTGCGAACTTGTACAGGTTCCACTTTTCGCCGCTGTCGAGTGAGTAGTACAGATGATCTGTGTCTTCGCCACGGCGTACAATGACGATGACTGAACCCTGATCACCAAATTCCCAAGCGTAGGCGCCCTTCTTAATCTCTTTCCATGTGATACCAGCATCAGTGGTCATGAATGTGCTGGCCTCGCCAAGAGTGCCCAGCTCTGGACCAACATTGCCCACACCGAGCATGAGACCAACAGCTGTAGGAGAAGAGTACGTCTCGCGGGGGTCTGAGCGTTCCGTATATCCGTGAATGTGCAACCCACACTTCTCAGAGTTTGACACATCGCAGGAGAAGCTGTTGCCCTCTGAATCTTTCCCTGGGGCCTCGAGAGGCGTCCATTCGGAGCCGTCGTTGTGAGTGATGCGCGTCTGCTTCTTCTTCTTGGCGCCATTGTTGACCTCGTTGATGTTTGTAACTACGTTGGCGAGAGCAACACCTTCCAGACCCTGCATCTTCTCAAAATCGACGTAGCCCTCAGTGTTGCGGTTGACGCCGTTCAAGCTCATGACGTAGGATGTGCCATTGCTGTTACTTTTAATGATCGAACCGTATTCTTGGTCTGGACGAGGATTGACAGTGACATGGAGAAAGATGGAGTGAGTGGAACTGTCAAGCACAGTGTAGGCTGTCTGGTGGTCGACGTTGAATTTGGGAGGGAATTTGGCTTCGGCGAAGTGGTTGGCATCCAGACTGGTCGACAGTTCCAAAGTCTTGCCATCCTTGCCCTTGGTCGCGATGATGATGAATTCAGACATTGTTGCAAATTCAACGACCGATTCGAACTTGACATCTTTCTTCTTGAACCAGTCATCACTCGAGACGAGTTCGATGGGAGCGCCCATCTCCTCTTTGGTGTACTGTTCACAAAAGACTTGCTCTTCTTTGACGTCGCGTCCGGCCTCACGCCAGACAAAGGCGCATTTCTTCACGTAAGGAAGCATGGCCTCCCAGCTTCCAGAAACACCGTTCTTCTGCGAGACGTATGAAACAGTGTGGCAGTCTTTGTCGCCCAGCTTCTCACAATGTTCACCACCGAGCCAGATGAGCCAGCCCTTCTGATTCGGGTGAAATTGTAAGATTTGAAGCATCTGCGTGTTCGGCATGACAGGAGCCTCAAAACTGTGAATACTATCCTTTAGGCCGCGGTCTTCCGAATAGAACACCTTTTTCGAAGCCGTCAAGAAGTAGACGTAGTTGTTCTCGTAGGTATGGGGGTAGATTCGTACGATTTCCTCATCGACGGCCTTCTTCCACTTCTTGCCGTGATCGTGGGTGATGTAAGCCTCGCGTTCCGAGGTCAGTAGGACGATGGTCTCGTCACGATCCCTGGCATTATCGCGATCGTCCCTATTCTGAGTGTCACGCTCAAGATAGTAGTGCTCCATGAAGTTGCTACCCTTGAACTTGGTGATCTCACTGGTGATCTTGTCGTTCTTCGGTGGAGGTCTCTCGGCATCGCCGCACGGCCTTTCAATCTCTTTATCGAGCTCGGTCTCGCCTTTGCACTGATTGCCTGGAATCTTTCTCCATCCTGAACTACCCTTGTACGTCTTGGCATCTCCTGCGCAAGCACCCTTTGGTAGTCTGACCTGGTCGGAAGGCTCGCATTTCTTGTCCTTGCCCTCGCCACTTGGTGTGAAGTTGACATCGCATTCATAGTCTCTGCCGGCGTCGCACTCGCAGGCCTCGAAGCGTGGTGTGGGGTCCTTGAATGGCTCAGATACGAAGCAGTCGGCGTCCCATTTGCGCCTCTTGAATAGTTGCTTATGGCCCATGACGCAACTTGGCTTGCCATCATCCTCCTTGCGAACTGACCACTCTTCAAAATCCTTGTCTTCACACTTCCGTTCGTGAAGTTCGGAAAAGTCGAGGTGGATAATGACATGTTCACGACCGCCGCCATCCTTTTTACTAGACGCGTAGAGCATGAACTTCTGGCTTGTTGAATCAGGCAGAGTAGTTAGCTCGCGGGCGCGGAATTTGTAGCCGATGTCGATCTCTTTCCAAGTATCTTTGCGCCCATGCTTGAGGGAATACATGACCTTATCAGTGTCGCCTTCGTCGAAAACTGCTACCAGAATTGACCCTTGGTCACCAAATTCGTACTTGTGAGCTTCTTCGAGAGCGAGTTCCCAGGTTAGACCGGCATCGTCTGAGACATACAAATCGCCGTCGGTGTATTTGCCCAGCTGATCTCCAGTGTTGCCTACACCCATAACCATACCAGGGGCTAGGCTGGAGAAAACGCGCCCACTGTTGTGGAGGTTTGTGACAGAGTGAAGGTGAAGCTCCTTGTCTTTGTCCTTGATCCGCAGTTTCTCAAAGGTCCTGCCGTCGTCAAAGCTGATCCTCGACTTCAATTTCTTAGTGGAACCCTTCTTCTCATAATCTTCCCAGTTGTCCACAACATTAACCATTACCACACCCTGTATGTTGGCGATCTTCTCGAAGTCTACATAGCCTCGCTCATTACGGTTCATATGCTCGACGTTCTTTGTGAAGTATGTACCGTTCGAATTGCTCGTATATAGTGAGCCCATCGCAGTGTACTTCGATGTCATGACATCGACCTGGATACTGTAGTTCGTCGACTCGAGGATCGTGTATGCGTCTTGTTCGACTTTGTGATCGCCAAATTCAGCATGATGCCAGGTATCGGTATCGGTGGTGACATAGAGAGTGAGTTCGCTCGAGTGATCAGCCTTCGCAGCAGCAACGATGTAGCCTTTCACAGCTGCCATGTTCGCCATGCCTTGCACAGTGCGCCCAGAGGACATAACTGGCTCGTCGAAATCTTTGAAGTAGCTGTGGATGTTAGCGTATATTTTGCCACGAAAGATCAGGCTGCAGCTTACTTATCGGAGTGCAGCAACCTGAAATCCTTCGTTCTGTCCGAGTATTTGCCTCTTGTGATACACAAGACGCGGTCATCGTGTTTATCGCTGTCCAAAAGGAACCTCTCGGAGCCCTTTGCCCATTGGCACATGCGGCGGTCTTCGATAAGAACCTTGGGTTCTGACTTGAAGCCATCGGTGGTATAAAATGTACGTCCGAGACATGGCGCAGTGAAGCAGTTCTCGATCTCGTTGACCAAGATCTTCTTGTTATCTGTCGCATGCCAGCTCAGAGGTGTGTCTGGCGAAGGAGGCAGCTCGGTTTTAAAGGACTTCCAAGTCTCTCCCTGGTCGAAGGTGATCCAGTGATTCGTCTCGCCCAGAACTGTGGCAACCTTATTGTCGTACGGATTCTTGAGGATACCAGCTCCGTTCAGTTCTTTCTCCTGCTTCCAACCCTTTCCAGCATCTTCTGATCTCCATATCCTCCCACTCTCGAGCTCCTGCAGTAATGCGACCGTAGAATCGTCGAAGTAGAGGATGTTCACAAGCTCGTTCTTGAATGGAGTGGTCTCGACGAGCGGCGTGTCCTTCTTGGCCGCGATAGAGGGCACGAGTGCCAATAGCGCCGGCAGCAGCAGGCCTGTGTTATACCGCATGATGCATAGAGGCGATAAAGACTGTGGATGGTGAAGGATGGGTTGGATGTGTGCTTATTTGACAGCTGGCTGCTTGCCGTCTGTAGCCTGGTCGAGCTGGAAGCAACGGCTTGGCACTGCTGAAACAACTGGACGCGACGCAACGGAGAAGCTGTGGCAAAGCTTAGGTAAGATACTCTCAGGTAGAACCTGTATTAACCAGACAAATGTGACAATGGAACCGGAACGTGCCCAAGAAACCGATGCTGTCGAACGACAGCTGATTTCTGAGAGTTACTGCTGGTGCTGGCGATGCGCGGAGTTCCGCATTCGTCATCCCTACAATTGGATCGTCGTCACTACATAAGCACGCAGCATTTACCACGCGCGAGCATGGTAGATGTTCGCCGTGAACCTAATCGAACTTTTCCGTCTTGTATATACCTGTCCTTGAGGTCCTTGAACGTTTTGTTATTTGCGTCAAGGATGTTGGACTGGAAACCTGACCACCAGTGAAGCTGTAGCTTGAAGCTGCGCAGATGAGTTGTCAAGATGCTATCCATTTTGTATAGCTATGCTTCTCGCTAACAAATTCAGATACACAGTGCTCATGTCTGTGTTGTTAGTGTTGAGAGGTCCATATTCGAAATGGGTTCAACGGGTATACGGCAAAGTACTGCAGCAGCACTTTCGCCATATTGGGAGGCTTCCAAGACTTTGAGCCGCTGCTTATGCCTGCCAATCCACAACTGCGGATACAGAGAGATCTTTTCATAGCAAGCGATTTCAACGTTATGTACAAAAGCGAAAGGTCTTGCAGCGTTCGGCGGTAACTTTGCGCCGACGATGCACCTTGGGCGCTTCGCGAGCGAACAATTAATGCTCATTGGCTACAACGTCAGCCTCCACTCCAACAATTAACTGTGCCTCCCTCAAGTAAAGCAAGATCGGTCTTGGTATATTCTGTATCGATGAGAGCAGCTTGCAAGCTTGCTACTTAAAGCATGATTTCGCGCCAGGTGGTACCTGTATACTCAGTCCATTCCCACAGCAAGTACGAGCAGGCTCGAAAAGATGTCTCTTGAAATTGAGCCTAATTTGATCAGGCGCGGTGTCTGGTAGGCTCATCAATTGCAAGTCGTTACATCACGCATTCTTTCTTACACAAAGACAGGATCAATTTGGACCATGGTTCTGTCATGGGCAAAACGATAACGACTGATACGCAAACTGGTAACATAATTGTTGCTTTACTCGCTGTCCTCTCAACACTGGGTAAGTTTCATACATTCATCTCGCCTATCAATTAAGCTCACAAGTCTCAGCCACTGCACACTTATGGCATCTTATTACGTTCTCGATACATCAACTACGTGCCACCGGACGACCAGAAGATGCGCTCTTCAGACAACAGCAAGCACTTTTGCGTACGCTCCCAGCACCGAGTGCAGTCATGGCAGACACCATCAAGTTATGGTGGGCTTGGCGAGGCAAAGCTAAAAGACCTTTACTTCGATCGCTGGTTCTCTTAATCATTGCCATTCTCTTTACAGTAGGAACAGGTGCGGCCAGTGTGTTTTCGTCTCTTGTTGTGGATACCACGAGTCTAGAGGTGCTAGTCAAGAGTCGCAACTGCGGATGGGCTCACCCAATACGCATTTTTGATAGGGGCATGGTCCGCCCTGTGAAGCAAGTCGCTGATCCGTACGCCAATCTCTGCTACACAAACGGAGCGAACAAAAGCGCGGCCAGACTCCCATCGGTTTGTAACAGTCTGGTGCAGCGTGAGCTACCCTTCACCACGACTCGAGTACCCTGTCCATTCGATAAGCTTGCTTGCGAACCAAATCTGGAGTCTGTCAGTTATGACACCGGACTCATGGATGTTGGGTCCTCATTCGGACTGAACCTCCCGGACTCCGATGGAGTAAAGTTCCGTCAGAAGATGACATGTTCCCTGATGGCTAGAAATTCGAAGTACAATATTGCTGTCGGGTACAGCGCCGCGTTCGATGGCTCTATGTCCCCAAATTCTTCGACTAACCCACGTTCGCTTCTGTTCGAATACGGTACAAATTATCGTGGATCCGTCAAAGGTATCACCTGGGCGGTGGACCAAGACGAATCAAGATTGCTAACCAAATATACGGTGCAGTATGTTGAGCTTCGTTCCCACTCGCAACCTTAACTAACATGCTGACAGTACTGTCCACAACTATACCAATCCCCTGGCCCCAGTATATCGAGGGTTTGATCCACGTCCCGAGCTCCGTCGCGATAACACAACACTTACAATCATCATCGTTGGGCTGAACAGTGTGACTTACTTGAACAAAGTCCGCGATCCGCTTTTCAATGCAACAATTCCTGTGGAATCGGTGGGTATTGACAGTCAGGGTGGGCGTCCGGTCCAGAATATATACCTCTCAAATCGATACGCTCAAGCCCTTGCCTGCCAGGAACAAGTAAGTCACATGATTTAGCAACACTGTCCCTACTTTAACCATGATTAGTATCAATTCTGCTACAAGCTACCGACTGGAGAAGACGAGTGCACCGAACTCGGCGAACTTCCTCTCAGCGTTTGGATAGGAAATCTCCCTCCCCCTCCGGACATTGATTTCAGTCCTTTCCCAAATGCGAACGAGATGCAGAAAACGATTATCCGGTTAATCGCTTCGTCTTCATACGGATTTAACGTCGCAACTGTCGCTCAGGATCTATTAGCAGGCTCACTTGAAAACCCGGACATCGATCGAGGCCTTCCAGATGATCAATGGCTTCGGGAGTTGACACGATGGCAAAAACAAATTCTGGCGGCGTTACAGGTTGCCATGATCGACTATGCAATTGGCCCTGGTTCACGCGACACCGCTTTTCCTGTCTATCTTCGACCAACATCAGATAGTGAGAAGAAGCTTTGCCAGATGCAGAAGATGAAAAAGTCCGGCAGCGTGGTGAACGTCAATGTCTTCGGTCTCTCCTTCATAATTGCATTCTCCGTCCTGGTTGCACTGCTTGATATCTTCATGCTGAAGTTTGTCATTTATCTGAGCAAGTTTCGCGCTGCGCTTGGACCGCGCGTCGACCGTTGGATTCAAGACGGCATATGGCAATTGCAGCGACGAGCCTACGAGGGCGAAGGTTACCGTAGCTGGACTAATCTGGAGGCCGACGTACCACTTACAACCGAGGATAAGCTCAAAGACTTGGCCGTCCTGTGGTTGCCAAGCAAGAGTCCGAACGTGAGCCAGGGGCAAATGTTTGATTCTAGTACGACCATCAGATCGCAGCGTTCGTCAATGGAAGTCACCGCGGTAGAGAACGCGCACCCGGTTGATGACGGGAACAACCGAGGGCTTGGGATACTAGGATGGTTCAGGGGGCGAGGGGCCCGCGACTGAGCAGGTTGGGGACACATCATGAAGGAGCTGGGTGTTCCACAAAAGCAAATGTGTCGATGTCATAGACCTCCTTGATTACGCTTCTGTGGCTGATGGCATTGCCAGGTGGAAATGCCATCGTTCATTTCAGCAGTTCCCTGTGTTTGTTACTTCAGTATAAGTCGAGTTGCACACTACTGAAGACCCTTTGAACATCCTGCCACTCTCAATCGTACATTTTTGGGCTAGTTATCCCCACCAGTAGATGGGTTAGCAGTAGATAATAGAGGTCACGAGACCTTTCAAGGTGAGACACAAGGAAAACCTCATTAGAACTGAGCGGAAAGAGTTTGACCACACCACTGATACTGCGTGCTAAACAGCACTACCCTAAAGAAAAGTGACCAAGAAATAGTTCCCAATCCAGGCAAAATCGACACCCAATTCATGCATTACCGCTTATTTAGCGAAGTGCAAGTCGTAGCCGAGCCATTTTCTGGCCTGGACTTGCTCGACTGTAAGTCCTGGATTGCCGTAGGTGAGAGGTGCAAAGAAGAGGAAGCACCAGGTAGTCGCGGCGAGGATGACACCAGCAGCGATCCAGCTTCCAAGCTGACTAGCAGTGGCGACACGCTCCCGAACAGGGCGAGATCGAGTCCTGCGGTGACCCTTCTCAGCAGGGGTGCTAGGTGTAAGAGGGTCCTGAGGCTCGATGCAGAAAATGAACTCAACGAGGGCACCAGTGACCAAACACGACGCAAGATGAGCTGGAAGATAGTGGTGCAGGAACAACTGACGACCCATGATGTAGAACGGAATGTAGTGAGCGGCCCAAGTAAGGAAAAAGAACCCGGTTGAGTTGTACAAGCGAGAGCGGGTGCGGTCATCGAGGGCATCCATACCGCGGCGCAGAGCCAGCTGGTCAGCGCCGATGATGCCGGCAAAAACAGCAAGGAGCGAAGAGGCAAGCCACCATCCGACTGGATTGCCTAGGAAGTAAATCTGTTCACGGGTGTCGTTGTGGGTCCAGAATGATACACCGCGGAGAAGGAAAGGCCAAGAGATCGGTTGGGAAGCATACGGGTGAGAGCTTGTCAGAGCGTTATTGTGGTGGAACATAGCTCGCTGAAGCTCGATCCACTTGCGGAGGAAGCTGAGATGCTTGACCTGTTTGACCTCCTTCTTGTTGCGCTCATCGTCTGCAGACAAGGAAGGAATGTCATCGACATACCAAACATTGCTGGACTGCTGGACGTTCTTGTTGCCATTGATCTCAGCTTGCTTGTAGGCCCATTCAGGCAGAGGCTTGGTGTGGGTCCACATGGCGACCTTGGTTGGCACATGAACAAGCTTGAAGTGGGATGACATGGTCCTGAAGTCACCCTTGCCCTTCTCGACCTTAATCTCAAACAGGGTGTCGTTGAATCGCGTACCAGCCGCCTCGTCTTTAGGAGCCGTCGTAAATTCTTGATTGGTAGGGTAATATGGAGACGCAACGTCGTGTGTAAGGAGGACGGAATCGGTGATGAGATGGCGCAGGCGGACAACGTCGCCAATCTTGATGCGCTGGCCAATTTCACTTGAAAGTTCCTTTGCAGGAAGGACCTGCCAGTGGTTGTTGGTATCATTGTGGGGGTATCCGGTGACCTGCTGCCCTTGGGAAGAGACGCGACCATCATCGTAGCGAAGGGGGTAGCGGTCGGTGTGGCTGTGAAGATAAACCTTGGTCTCCTTGTGACGCAAAGTGATCGTGTCGTAGTAGTTGATACCAACAGACTGAAGAGTCATCACGTTGTCGCTCAGAGTCTCTTGGAATTCGGGAGTCATGAAGTCGTCACCAGGACCGGACTTGCTCAGGATGGTGAAGTGGACCTGGAACCAAAACAAGTAGAGGAAGAAGGGAACAATGATGAGACCAACGACCCGAGCCGCGAAATGTTTGCCAAACTCGGGAAGAGACAATGCGCCCTGGCGGCGATTGACATCCATCAAATCCCAGAGATCGATCAAAACAGGTACACCAATCGAGAAGAAGGTGAAAACACCAACATACTTGATGGAAATGACACAGCTCAGGCTGATACCGGTACAAAGCAGCCACTTCCACCATTTGCGGCTGAAGGGAGCATGGCGCAATTTGTAGAATCGAATGTATGCGAGAACCGAGAGGGCCATGAAGAAGATGAGAGATGCATCAAGCAGAATCAGACGTGTCTGGCCGATGTGGGCGTTGTCGAGGATCATGAGGCCAGCAGCTGTGACGCAGGCGGGCAGAGAGTATCCGGACTCCCACATGATAAGAAATACAATGGGAACAGTAAGTGCGCCGAGAGATGCGGGCATGGCACGGTATGCGACGTAGGGAACGTGGTTGGTAATGTAAGAGTCTCCAATGTTCTCGAAGAGAAACTCGCCCTTGTAGCCAACGAGCCAGCCTGCGAGCGCGAACAGAAGCTTTCCGAGAGGGGGATGGACATCGAAGAAGTAGGTTCGTTGCAGGTAGTATGAAGCGAACTGCGCATTCCATTAGCTTTCCTCGAGCTCTGTGTGGCTGCTGGTTGTCCATGATTGGTGGCAACAGCAGCTTTCAGTGCACATACCTTGCCGAAGTGCACTTCGTCAAAGACGACCTGGTCAGGGTGCGAGATGCCCCAGAACCTCGTGATGAACGCAAGGCCCGTCATAATCGTAATCGCAAGTTTGTAGTCCCATTCTGACTGCTTCTGTCGCGGCTTGTAAGGCTTGGCCTTTTCGAGAAACTTGGTGGCCTTCTCTGAGACGAGTTCCGCCGAAGGTAGGTTTGGTGTTGTAGAAGGCTTCTTGCTGTCTTTCGCAGCGCGCTGCCTCACGCCAGCGGGGGAAGACATAGTGTATCAATCTGAATACAGTGTCAGTATAACGCGTCAGGCCATATCGCAGAAGCTGTAGGGAACTGACCCCGCGCAAATGATCCCAAAGAAAGATGAGTTGGAGAAAGAAACGTAGATCGAGGACCGGAAAGCCAGATCGCCAGCTTTCGTGTACATAGGAGATCTCGCGCTAAGCTCCACCTCCGCTGGTGAGGTTCGCGAGCTATGATTGGTCCACCGCAGCGGTCTCAGCTCCTTGCAGACCCCTTGAAGAACATTGAGGCGTCCAGAACCCCTTCTTGCACAGTCTCGATATGTTCACAGCGGCTCGACAATTCTCACGAATATCTGCGGAATCAGTGTCGCGTCTTAGAAGATACAGAGCCGTCAACTCCATATATTGCCCCTCCATGTCGCTTACAAAAGGCTAAGGATTTGAGTATCTCTAGAACATGCAAAAAAAGACTGAGCTTCGTATATTCTATCGTCTATCCATGCATGCTCTTGAGCCCAACCGGCTTTAAGACTAAATCCAGACCTGATTCAGACGCTGTTCATCTCATTGACAACTTTGAGATTTGATTTCCGCTCTCACTGACCCTTCTTCTCCTTCGCTGCTTGTAGCTTCTTCTTCTGCGGTAGCCTGTACGTAGTTTCGTATCCATACAAAGCACCAGCACCGAATACCATGATAGCTCCGACCTTCATAAGTCCGCTCATCTGGTTTCCAAACAGCCAAATACTCAGCATGAAGCTAACCAATTTCCTGATATTCAACACAATTGTGACTGTAACAGCAGATGTGTTGGCACTGAGAATGTTGACACCAGTGATACAGAGCAATTGCGTGCTTGCGTTAGCAAGAAGATAGATGATGTGCTGTGAAGTTGACGCAAGAAGCTTATTCAGGGTTGGTGGCAGTGTGGCGGCCACGCTGGGTGGAATTTGGAAAGATTGCGAGGATTGAAGGCGTGCAAACTGCGTATTCAGAGCGGGCGCGAAGGCTGCGAACATTGGGATGGATAGTAGATGCGAGTAGAACAGGTTAGCTTTCCAATCTTTGCCATGGTCGCGGTAAACGTCCTCGACGTAGGCACCCATATACGCGGAAAGTAACTGAGCCACGAGGAGTACGAACAGTCCAGCCTCGAAAGACGCTTTGTTTGGATCCGCGTTGGTCGTTTTTGTTTTGCCCTGAAATTGTTAGTGGACGATCAGAGGAGGGAGTGGACTTTGTACTTTTGATGACGCATCTGCCCATGCGGACACCATCACGCCCAGAGTCAGAACTGCAACGGAGAAGATCTGCAACGGAGTGTACTTCTTCCCACGGAAGTAGCCCGCAGCCATCGTAGTCACACTACCGAAACTCCTAAGGATGATGTGAACAGGAACGGAGATGTTGAATGCAAATGCCCAGTTGTTCAACATGTTGACCGTAAAAAATAATAGGGCACTGGTAACCCATTTACGAAATGGTACCGGTGATGATCGTAAGTAATAGCGGCCATTTGGGTCAAACTGGTAGTGCAATGTCGACAGACATGTAAAAACAAACTGGAAAAGCGTGATCAGAAGGCCGCTGTCAGGTTCTTGTCTCGTAGTGCGTCAGCGCATGCGTGGTGTGTCGACGATACTAGGGTTCTCACTTAACGATGGCTTCCAAACAATAGACCTATAGAATATCAGCCTTAGCAATCCAAACGATATGTGTCCTTACATTGGCGCAACAGCCTCCAAAAATGAGCGAGAAGCTGCTGATGATAGGCGCAAGGGCTGCCATGACGACACAAGTGGATGATGGATGATTGAGGGATTGATAAACGTCTCGCGGAGTCTCTGAATACTAAAGAGAGCTATATGAAGCGGAGATGAAATTGTTAGCCTCGCATTGTGTGATTCGTACCTGCCGACGTGTTTGGACGCTGACCGCATACTTAGTTCGAGACTGCGCTACCATATCATGACACACATCATAGGCTGCAAGTTACTTACAGTATGAATCTGTCTAGGAAGCTGATATGGTATCAACATAGGGCCATGGCCGTGGTGGTATTCAGAGGGTGTTCGATCGAGCTCCTAGCGGTCAACGTGGAGGTTTGATGCTGTTAGAGCCTCACCGCGGACGCTAGTCGTAATGGCCGCACCCTCCCGTTACCCTGGGCACCCAGGGCCAACCTGGGTAAACTTGAGCACGTAGGCGCATGTAGGCTCACGCACAAGCATAGGCAACGCTGAACTTACTTGCGTTGCTCTAAACCCAGTGTTCGATTTGCCCTGTTTGAGAGGTGTGTTCAACCCGGGTCGTTTTTAGACACCATCACCGAGACATCATTACAAGCGCTGTTCTGTAATTCTTTTGTTATTCACCACTGGTCAATTAACGTGGTGTTCCAATCTAATGCAGTCGTCTCATGCCTTCGAATTGCGCGTCACGTCATCATTCGTTTGGTCTCATGCACCCAGTCACAATTCGTGGCTTGATTCTACCTTCCGGACGCTGTTACCGTGGTCGTCGCCAATGATGGAGGAAGGAATAGAGAGTAATAGATCATCAGAGAAGAAGCAAGCGTATGCCTCTGTTTGGCAAATGTCCCTGCAAGATCAACCGTGCCATGCATTAGGTCCTTACAACGCTGAGAAGACGAAGAGCTGGGTGCATGTCAGTAAACGGAAGTGCTGAGCGGAGCAGACTACTTACGTTGTTCGTTGCTGCAATAGCAATGCTGTCCTCGAATGGATGCCAGCTCATGTGCAAGATCTTCTTGTTGAAGTCGATCTGATCCGCATCCGTCTCTTTCCTCATGCGCTGTCCTTGCCCAGCTGCGCCAGCGGCAGGGCTGCCAGCTCTCGAACCACCCTTCTTCCCGCCGTTGGGGCTTGTTGAAGAGTTCATCGGTGTGGGAATGCCAACCTTCTTGGCCTTGAAAGCCGACTTATCAGCTTGTAGGACCACCTCGGTGTCCTTCTCAGGGTCCGACGGGTAGATCATGAAGTTATTGTTGTAACTGCCAGTCATGACATTCTTAGCGTCGCCGGAGAAGACAACCTCAAACTTGTCGAAGATGCTATCATTCTCGTATGTGTCGCATAGCCTTGGTCGTAGGTGCTCGTGGATAGGAATGGTCTTCACAGGGGTTCGCTCCATGTTTACGTCCCAGATCTTTACGGTCAGGTAGTCGCGTGAGAGGATGTAACGGCCGTCGTGGGAAAATCGCACATCGGATATCGAGGAGATGATCTCAGAGAAGAAAGAACGGGAAGACGGGTCTTCTTCTTGCTCGAATTCTGTGAACGTTTAGTCTGGACATCCCCTGCTAGTTGAATGTGTGTGGTAACTCACGTTTTGCGTGCTGGTCGCACAGGGCACTCTCGCGCATATCTGCCAACTTGATTGTGCCCTTGGAGCTGGCGTACATAAACCAGTTGCAGCTGGTTGGGTGGAATTCTGCTGCAGTTATGACCTCTGTGAGCTCCTCCATATTGGCAGGCTTGATGTCGACAATGTTGAAACTCTGGTCTTGAATGTTCAAGTTCCACAGGTTGATTCGCAAATCATCACTGCTGATGAACGTCTCTCCATCGCTGTTCACCGATATGCTGTTGATGTGGTAGGCGTGTGCGTTGGCGTATGTCTTGCGCGGTACGGCAGCGACAACGGTGTCGTGGTGAGTGAGGCGAGGAAGTTTTAAATCGGTAGCGGTACGGAAGTGTGCATTTGGGTTCCTGACAGGACCGCCTCCACCAGCAACCCCACCTCCGGGCGTCAGCTCGTGTGATAGATTGTTTTCCGCCACAACCTTCAGGGACTTCTCAAAAACTTTCCAGAGCTTGATTGTCTTGTCATTTGTTGACAGGAGGTAATGCGATGCATTCTGGCGGCGACACCATTTGATCTTGTTGATCTTCTCCTCGATCTCGAGAGACTTGAGGTAGTCGAACTCAGGCTCGTGCGATTGGAACTCGGTATGGAACTTGTACTCGCACGTCTTCTTCTAGACGGGAATTAGCCGAATGTTTGGGATATTTGGGGTCGGCAAGACGTACGGTCTCGTTCCTCTCGAACAGAACCACGCGACCACCCTTGTCACCTGTTGCTAGGTAGTTGCCCGTTTGATCAAACTCGACAGTGGAGATGATGTCCGCTAGAGGGCGAAGTTAGTCATATCGCTGCAGGAACTGTGCTGGATTGCTCTGCCGAGGGTGGGGTGCTAGTGACGTACCTTCTGTTATGTCTTCCACATCGCCCTTGTCACCGAAGCACCTGGCCGGGTCAGTGCCATTCTAGAGAACAGCCCGCGAGCAATGCGACTGCGCGAACAGCTGAAGACTATAGTCTCAAGGCCTTCTATCGCAGCCGCCTGTTGGGGTCGACCTACTGTGTGAACTTCCACGTCGTGGGGTTACCCTCTGCTGCTTCTACCATGATTCCGAAACCAAGGCTGGGATACTCGGTCGAAAGCGATCAGAACCTTGTGCAGTTCCAGGTGCAAGCAGCGTGGACAGCCGGCGGAGAGCTGGCGAGTGGCGTGACGGCGGGGTGGTGATGGCGCCGCCGACGTTGGGGCTGGGCAGGCAGGTAATACTGGATGATGTAGTGGCAGCGGTGTTTGTTGGGTGGACGAAAACGGCGGCAGCAGTGGGCGAGGGCGTGTTGCGACGGTGCAGAGACCTGCGGATGCTTGTCGGCGGCGGGACGACGGGCGCGGGCGGGCGATGCAGGGAGTCTCGGTGCAGCGCAGGTACAAGATAAAGGCGTCTGAAGGGCACTTCCAGCTTCAAAGGTCCTTGACGCCCCGCGGTTGACCGCCAAGGCACCGGAGGCGCGAAAGGCGCTAGTCTCGCGCACAAGCCGTACTTCTTGGGCTTGATCGGCTGCGAGCTTTAGTCCAATGTATGTACCATCACGTATTAGTGAGATTTACTTTCCTGCCTTCTCCACACTATCTCTGCTCGGTTGTGATCCTGGAAAAGAGGTGCGGCTCAAGAGTGGAATAAAGAGGTTGGTGATCTTCTCAGCGATCTTCCGGTGTAGCTCAATGCCCTTATACCTACCTGCCTCTGCTAACGCCTCTTGATATTCCTTTTCCAAGCTCGTGTCTTCTCGAATTTCTATGCGTTACCTGGTACCGTCGCACGCTCATCCAGCCGTAAGCTCTTTATCAAACGTCATCTACCTATAGCATGCATAGTCAGAAGATGTCAGACTGGCATGCAAGCTCTAGGTCTCTGTGCACCGTGAGCACTTCGAGGCCAGCTTATTCGATGATACCCTCACTTCAGCAAGGACATGCTCGCTATTTACCAGAATGTGGGGGGTTGTGCATCCTGAATAGCTTTTTCGATAGGCCTGTAGGTCCCAAGAAGCTAGAGCATACTGCACATGCGGTGTAGGCATGGCAGATGAGTGGAAACGAGATACTAATCGCCAATTGTAACATTGTCAACGGAAACATAAACGCAGGTCACCATGTCTGCTGTATGCTGACACCGTTGAGAAAGAAGGCGCTCGAGGCATCGAGTGTGCACAGCGCCCGGGATCCCCACCACGCCGAGCAGCGAAACGGCGACTAGGCGCCTAAGATGCCGAGTTGAGCGAATTCTGTCATATCAAAGGTATGGAGGCGCCGGAAAGAGTCCTGGATGTCAGGACAACGGTGATGGGGAAAGGATTCCTACTGCCACTAGATCATATCTTTGCCAAGGCAGACCAGAGCGCGGGTACGTAAGGGGCCCTGAGAATTAGAGACGCGGCCCGTATACTTTGCCCTTTCGCCGCCTCGTTTCTCAGAATGTAGTAGGTACACTCTCACGTTGCGGGGCAAACGGTGGACTAAGAATGTAAGGGAGAGAATATAAAAATTCTATAGATTCCTTTCTTGCCTATATTGCAGGCAATATTTAAGTAAATATTAGCTTTACATACTACAATGACCACAGGTTCTGTATTAAAGTTAGTCAGCTCGAAGGTTGCTTATCTGCCTTTTTTTTCTGGAACTTGAGAGGCACGTTGTCCGGTGGATTCGCATCAATTGCTCGCAGTGCGGAGGGAGATTATAGAGCTGAAGGCATCTATGATGGAGTCCATCTTCTCATGTGGCCCTAGCATCCTGATTGCTATCGACAAGGTTACGGTTACCGTCTAGATCGCTTGGTGGGTAAAAAGATCCCAGGACGGAACCCAAACAACTATGAATATACACATCTGCTGGGGTAGGAGCGGAAGTACTTGAAATCCTAGTTGGCAAATCGCTAGTAGAGCATAGACCGTATCTGTTACATGTTCTACACGATGTTTAGTGATGGACGCATGTGCACGTAGGATTGGCTGCTGCGTATTGAATTTAAAGTCCAGATTGCTGAAGTTCTGTACTGTATTATGCATTCGGCCATTGTTACCCATGTAAGGCGGCAGCCGTTATTTCACCAGGTAGGTACAACACTTTTCTTAGATGTAGTGACGCTCGTTCTTAATCCGCAAAGCTGTCAGACCCTTGTTTATGTTGACAGCGGGGAGTAGGTACTTACGAAGAGCGCTGCGCCTTCTGTGTACATCTCGGCTGTCTCTGTTTCGCCATACTAACTAAAGGAGTATCGTATACGAACGTTGTATGAACATAACTATATAGGTAGAGTTCGTGGGCTTCGCTTTGACCAGGTAGACTAGACGCGCACTGAACTCTACGATGTTTTCGAGGACGAAAAGCATTCCTAGTACTGAGGGATCGTCTTTACACATCACAAAGATGAATAATACGCAAAGATTTACCACAGGCAAAGAGGGCATTAATTAGTGCACCGTAATACGGTGTTCTCCCGAATGCAATAGTGAGATAGTGTTGCACTCCAGGACCACGCTATGGCCGAAGCTAGACAAGCGCCAAGAGTGCTCAAGCGAGTACCCACCACCTGCACGAATTTCAATTTCAACTTTTCAACTTCGACAACTTCGATACTAACCACAGCACCGAACTCGCCATGTCCCACAGGAAGTTCGAAGCCCCCCGCCACGGGTCTCTGGCCTTCTTGCCGCGCAAGCGCGCTGCCCGCCACAGGGGTAAGGTGAAGAGGTATGCTCGACTCGCCCGCGACAAAATTTGCGAACAGGACGCTGACCAGTCCGCACAGCTTCCCTAAGGATGACCCCAAGAAGCCCGTCCACCTGACCGCCGCCATGGGCTACAAGGCCGGTATGTCCACGATCGTCCGTGATCTGGACCGTCCCGGTGCGAAGCTGCACAAGAAGGAGATCGTTGAGGCTGTCACTGTCATTGAGACTCCTCCCGTAAGAACACCGAGGATGAGCAATTGGTCGCAATCGACTGACAAATCTCGCAGATGATCGCCGTCGGTCTTGTTGGTTACATCGAGACTCCTCGTGGTCTCCGCTCGCTCACCACCGTCTGGGCTGAGCACTTGAGCGACGAGATCAAGCGTCGCTTCTACCGCAACTGGTACAAGAGCAAGAAGAAGGCCTTCACCAAGTACGCCAAGAAGCACTCCGAGTCCTCCGGCCAGTCCATCACCCGCGAGCTCGAGCGCATCAAGAAGTACTGCACCGTCGTCCGTGTCCTCGCCCACACCCAGATCTCCAAGACCCCTCTCAAGCAGAAGAAGGCCCACCTCATGGAGATCCAGGTCAACGGTGGCTCCATCGCCGACAAGGTCTCTTACGGCCACGGTCTTTTCGAGAAGCCCATCGAGATCTCTTCCATCTTCGAGGCCAACGAGATGATCGATGTCATCGCCGTCACCAAGGGTCACGGATACAACGGTGTCACTTCCCGTTGGGGAACCAAGAAGCTTCCCCGCAAGACCCACAAGGGTCTCCGTAAGGTCGCTTGTATCGGTGCCTGGCACCCGGCCCACGTCCAGTGGACTGTTGCCCGTGCTGGTCAGATGGGTTACCACCACCGTACCTCCGTCAACCACAAGATCTACCGCATTGGTAAGGGTGACGATGAGGGTAACGCCTCCACCGAGTTCGACGTCTCCAAGAAGCAGATTACCCCGTAAGTTACTTGATATGAATCATAGTAGGTCATCACTAACACAAAGCAGCATGGGTGGCTTCGTTCGCTACGGTGAGGTCAAGAACGACTTCGTCCTGATCAAGGGTGCCTGCCCTGGTGTCAAGAAGAGGGTTATGACTCTCCGCAAGTCTATGTTCACCCACACCTCCAGGAGGGCTCTCGAGAAGGTCGAGCTCAAGTGGATCGACACCTCCTCCAAGTTCGGTCACGGTGCGTACCAGACCTTCGCCGAGAAGAGGCAGTACGAGGGTACCCTCAAGAAGGACCTCCAGACCTCTGCTTAGAAGTGTTCTGGCAGTTGTTCGGAATTTCTTTGCAAAGGTTACTTGGCGAATGGGATAGGTGCAATGCATGGATGCCAATGATCATGAGCATCTAATGTCAAAAATTTAACGATTCCCCAATTCACACCCTACATGTCCTATCGCTGTTACCCATTGTATCACATGAGATGCCTTTGCTTGATCTGCGACTGGTCTGGTCCTCATTACAACAAACAGAGGCTGTTGCTGATTTCTGAAATCTGTCGTTCACGCAGGGCTTCACTACTCACTATTCTGCAGTCTCATGCTCTGAGACTCGGTGTGTACTCACTGGATAAAGCTTCTTCCAGCCACGCGGCAAAGTTCTATATGGGGTCGACATCTTGCATACAGGGGGCTAACGGGCTCATACAGTGCGCCGGCGCGGCATGCATTTAGCAAGTCAGAAGCCCTAGGAGACTGTTGTAGCTGTTCCATATTGGCCAAACCCTCAACAGATGCCGTGAGCTAACAGCCGGAGGAACTACCTCCTATACTGGGACATAATTCTCAATCTAAGTTTTGGACTACAGGTACACTATTTTGCCCTCAAGCGGTAGAGACAACGAGCGCCTATATGGTGAATTTCTCCACGATCTCAAATACAGCACCAGAAGACGTGCAATGCCTAATCGCAAATAGCATCCTCTAAAACACATGCGATACAAGAAAAATACGTGTGAACGATGCCGCCGCTCATAACCCGAGTGTAGTACAGTACATGTACACATCTGTCGACCATCAACGCACTTGTGAGCCCAGCCCAGGATGAATGACATCTACTGTAGTTTCTGAAAATCCAGTAATCACAACGGAAGAGAGATTGTGACTTTTGAAAATCAAAATCGCATCTACGACTTTAGTGTTTAATACATAGTACCTACGTGAATATGGGTGCTTGATGGAAACGTTTTCCGAATCGTGGAAATGTGGTGTGGAGGTTTTGTGTTGGATCAGATGCTCTGAAAACGTCTATGACGACGACGATATTGAGCGGGAATCTACAGCACCAGCACCAGCGGCGACATTGTCGGACCATTGCATCTGGACATGTGTCAATACCCAAGGTGATTTGTAAAATCATGCTGTCTGGCCATGTCCAGTAGCTTGCAGGCAGTTTGCTGGTGGTTTTGTGGCAATGGCAGTGGCAATTACTTATGAGGAATGGATGAGGCTGAACCGGATACGTCTGATCAGATTCAATAAAGACTGAACGCGTGCACAATGATGGGCCCACTCCGCACTGCAGTGCAACGTTCACCTGGGCCAAACATCAAAATTCAATCGTAAAAAGCCGGAGCGCCTCGATCCCGTTGCTCCTTCCTGAAGCCTCGGCCTTTCCGCGCCAATCAACGCACGTCAATACTAGCTTGTCATCGCGACTTCCTTCCATCATTGACTTGCAGCAATCGAAAACCGCCAAAGGTCTCACCCACCCCTCCGCTCTCCACCCCACGGCTACCGCCATCATGAGCTTCGCCAGGATGCGTCGCACGCAGTTTGCCAGCCAGGTGAGTTCCGTCTGAAGCTTCATGCGCCATGTCTCGCCCTCGAGCTCTCGTGTCTCCGACGTCCTCCGCGCCGAGGCGTGTGCCACGCATCCCACAGTACTCTTGCATGTGTCGACGAGGGCGTCCGAGCATTCTGATGTAGTTTTAAACGACGCGTGGATGCAATGGCTTCCTCTTCTGTATGTATAATGGTCAATGGCTAACTATTATCGCCACAGCTCTCGAAGAGCATCCGCACACCATCGCGCGCTTTCTCGTCGACACGGCCCGCCGCCCGTATTTTTGCTACCGAGAACCTAAAGGCCAAGGAGGCTTCAGGGTTCATCTCCAGCAAATACCCCGTTATCGACCACGAGTACGATGCCATTGTTGTTGGTGCTGGAGGAGCTGGTCTGCGTGCGGCTTTCGGTCTCGCTGAGGCTGGCTTCAACACTGCGTGTATCTCCAAGCTCTTCCCAACCCGTTCGCACACTGTAGCCGCACAGGGAGGCATTAATGCTGCCCTCGGAAAGTATGTGCACGCTGCCACATTTGACAGCGCACTGCAACGCTAACAATCATCGTAGCATGCACGAGGATGACTGGAGGTGGCATATGTACGATACTGTCAAGGGATCCGATTGGCTTGGTGACCAGGATGCTATCCATTACATGACAAGAGAAGCGCCCCAATCCGTCATCGAGCTTGAGAACTACGGCTGTCCATTCTCGCGAACGGACGATGGCAAGATGTACGATCATACGGTTATTGTGTTCGTATCTGACCGCTAATTGTTTCCAGCTACCAGCGTGCTTTCGGTGGTCAGTCTCAAAAGTTCGGCAAGGGTGGACAGGCATACCGATGCTGCGCTGCCGCCGACCGAACCGGCCACGCCCTTCTCCACACTCTGTACGGACAGTCTCTGCGCCACAACACCAAGTACTTCATCGAGTACTTCGCCACCGATTTGATCATGGAGGATGGTGTCTGCAAGGGTGTCGTTGCCTATAACCAGGAAGACGGCACGATTCACAGGTTCATCGCAAAGAACACTGTTCTGGCTACCGGAGGATACGGACGTGCCTACTTCTCCTGCACATCTGCCCATACATGTACCGGTGATGGTATGGCCATGGTCGCCCGTGCTGGTCTCCCCAACCAGGATCTCGAGTTCGTCCAGTTCCACCCTACTGGTATCTACGGTGCTGGTTGCTTGATCACTGAGGGCTCCCGTGGTGAGGGCGGTTACCTGCTCAACTCTGAGGGTGAGCGATTCATGGAGCGTTACGCACCCACCGCTAAGGATCTTGCCTCCCGCGACGTTGTCTCCCGTTCGATGACCCTTGAGATCCGTGAGGGCCGCGGTGTTGGACCTGAGAAGGACCACATCTACCTCCAGCTCAGCCATTTGCCTCCTGAGATCCTCCACGAGCGTCTGCCCGGTATCTCTGAGACCGCCGCCATTTTCGCTGGCGTAGATGTCACCAAACAGCCTATCCCCGTCCTGCCCACCGTTCACTATAACATGGGCGGTATTCCTACCAAGTACACTGGCGAAGTTATCACACAAGACGCTCAGGGTCAGGATCAGGTCGTTCCTGGTCTGTTCGCTTGCGGTGAGGCCGCCTCCGTCTCTGTCCACGGTGCTAACCGTCTCGGTGCCAACTCTCTTCTGGATCTCATCGTCTTCGGCCGCGCTGTTTCGCATACCATTCGTGACAACTTCAGCCCCGGACAGAAGGCCGATCCTGTTTCTGCCGACGCTGGCGCCGAATCCATCGCCGTTATCGACAAGGTTCGCACTGCAGATGGTTCCAAGTCGACCGCCGAGATCCGCCTCGCCATGCAGAAGGTCATGCAGACCGATGTCGCTGTCTTCCGTACCCAGGAGTCCCTGGACGAGGGTGTCAAGAAGATCCACGAGGTCGACGCCACCTTCGATGATGTTGGCATCAAGGACCGCAGCATGATCTGGAACTCTGACCTCGTTGAGACTCTCGAGCTGAGGAACTTGCTCACTTGCGCCGTTCAAACTGCCGAATCTGCCGCCAACCGCAAGGAGTCGAGAGGAGCGCACGCCCGCGAGGACTTCCCTGAGCGTGACGACGAGAACTGGATGAAGCACACACTATCGTGGCAGAAGCAGCCTCACGGCAAGACCGAGCTCGGCTACAGGAGGGTGGTCGGTACAACATTGGACGAGAACGAATGCAAGGCTGTCCCGCCTTTCAAGCGTACCTACTAGATGCGCTAGTGGTGCGGGTTTGAGACGCCGAGGAAAAGGAGAGAGGGATTTCGTCCTGTATTCTATGTATATTGGATGGTTGATTGGCAATGCATGTTAGAGATTTTGATCTTCAAGTCGTTCGAATATACCAATGCAAAGGTAACAAACAAACCCCCCTTTTGACAGTATGACGACTTATTCGCTTACTGTGCGTGTTCCATTCGTATGAATATCCTGGTACATAGAAAGTTCCGGACTGCTCGTGCGGCAGACCCAGACCCCGGATCATATAGTCAATTCTCGATGGCGCCTTCGGAGCCAGTATGGACCGCTCACGAACGCGAGTGAAGGGCGCTAATACTTGCCTGCCTACTAGACCCTAAAGACTTCACGAAATTCCTGGAGATTACAAGGTTTTACGCCCAGACCTGTATATGACAACTACCCCCTGGATGCGACCCAGGGCGGTTGTCAGTACCCGACACAAGATAGGCCACTATCTACCCCTCCTCTCTCTCCCCTACTCATCCCCCCTGCTACGAAAACTCTCATTGTCTTTTTGTATGACAATAATGGCCCGTAGCTAACACTAGGATTCTGGTACGCTCACTACCACATGCTCCCTTAACACACCATGCCACTTTCTTAACCAGCGGAGATATTAGCACTTATACTCCCTCGGGAAGACCTCCACGTCCACACCCGCACTACCCCTACAAACTTACACGTCTACTATGCCCCCAGGAGGCTTTACATGTACCTCTCATAGACGCAAATATTATTCAATCAATTGATAAACCACCTGTACGTATAATACCCCGTAAGTAATAGTCTAATATATCACATGTGTTAGATGCCACAACACCGTATTCTTAGTGTTCGCCTTTACTGAGGTACAAAATCGGGAAAAAAACACCGAACTCCTAACGTCAGGTCCCATCTCATGAGACTTGGGATGAAAGGGCAGTATATACTGTACCGAGCGAGGACTCACTATCGTGTGAGTCGTAATACCTTTTGGAGGTTTGCTTAGCTCAGTAGCTCGGTACTGAGGCCTAACACCTAACGGGTAAATTATATAGAAGAAAGTCCACTATAGGGGGGGTATATTTTACCCGTTAACGCAGTATTTTCTACCTACTTACGCGGTGTTTTTTCACGTTATAGTAGTTTTTTATATAGGCCTGTTATTCTATCTAGTATCTATCTATCTAGTAGAGGAAGGGGGGGGGGCAAAGAAGAGGGGGGGAAGAAAGTAAAAAGAGAAGGTAGAGCTGTAGGGGGGGGGGGGGGGGGGGGGTAGAGAGAGCGTAAGAAGAGAGAGAGGAGAGAGAAAGAAGAGAGAAAGAAGAGAGAGAGAGAATAAATAGAGAAGAGAAGAAGTATGTATAGGGGGGTAGAGGGTAGAGGGTAGAGGGAGAGAGGGGAGAGAGCGGAGAGGAGAGAGGAGAGAGAGCGGAGAGGAGAGAGGAGAGAGAGCGGAGAGATATATAAAAACAAGAAGAGGGGTAATAGAGAGATAGTAGGCTATAAGCCTTAAAGGAGGAACCTAGCTACGAACCTACAATAGAACTAGATACTAGCTACACTTCGGCAGTGTTGTTTACACTACACTTTTACTGTAGTGCTTATGATCCTATCCTATACTTAATTTAACAACTGAACCAAGTTACAATAATCTAACAGAGCAGTCGCCCTACATCGATGCATCTTGGAACCAATCAAAGGAGATGCTTCATCTGCACGTTGAACTGAAGATAGTGCTGGTTGAACCTGGTTCCATCACCCGCTTTCCCAGACGCTGCGAACATAGGTGTGGAGCCCTTCAAAGTACCATGAGAGCACACGCGTCCTCGTAGATGGCCAGAGGAGGTTGCTAGGCCACTGTGCGGTCAGACTCCTTGCCAATCGAGAGCTTGCCGGGTGCAGTTGACAAGAAATTCGAGGTGTCGTTTGTCACTTATCGCGCTACTGGAGTGCTAGGAATGAGTGCGATAGCTTGTAGAAAGATGGCTGGACCCTTCGCGTAGATGTCCTGAGATATAGTCTCTCAAAGTTCGGAGAAAACGTTTCAAGCTAATTGACTTCGGTGCAGAACTTGTAGCTATCGTAATACGTAAAGCTAAAATATAGCTAGGCGTTACCTATATTGTAGGTAAAAACGTATTCCATAGAGTTTCGGTGTATTCTCCCTACTTTACTGTCGTGTAGTAGAATATGTAGCTCACTCATCACGCAACTTGAGATAGTGGCCATGAACTGTCAAAAGATGCATTATGGCTATGTTCATAGCTCGATCGTGATATCTAGTCATACAAGAGTCAAGCTCCCCATCCGTGATGCAGTGTTCTCTTTCCTGTCTAACCCGCTCTAATTGTACTGCATGTAAGTTGCGGTAGAGTTGAACTTCAGATTGCCCTTGATGACCTTGTCCACAGCAGCCAGAAAGTCCTTCTCGGTAGCAACCTTTCTTCTAGCCCTAATCGCGAACATGCCCGCCTCTGTAGCGACACTCCTCAGCTCGGCGCCTGTGCTGTTCGGGCATAGACGCGAGATGAGCTCCCAACGGATGTCGCGCTCGACGCTCATACTCTTCGCGTGAATGCGAAGGATATTGGCGCGACCCTCCATGTCGGGCAGCGAGAACTCGATCTTTCGGTCGATACGTCCGGGACGCATGAGTGCGGGATCGAGAGTAGAGGGCCTGTTTGTGGCGAACATGACCTTGATGTTTCCTCGCGCGTCGAAACCATCGAGTTGTGTGATCAGCTCCAACATGGTACGCTGCACTTCATTGTCGCCTCCTGCGCCGTCGTCGAAACGCGCTCCACCCACAGCATCAATCTCGTCGAAGAAGATGATGCACGCTTTCTTTGTCCGTGCCATCTCGAAAAGCTCTCTGACCATGCGAGCTCCCTCACCAACGTACTTCTGGACTAGCTCTGATCCGATGACACGGATGAAGGTGGCGTCTGTACGGTTGGCAACGGCTCGCGCGCAGAGTGTCTTTCCGGTTCCCGGAGGTCCATAGAGAAGCGCACCCTTCGGGGGGTCAATACCGAGGTTGACAAAGCGTTCCGGTGACAGGAGAGGCATCTCGACGACTTCTCGCAGCTTCTCGATCTGCTCCTTGCAACCTCCCACATCTCCGTATGTGACATCCGGCTTGTCTTCGACCGTCATCATTGTAACCGAGGGATCGATCTTGGGTGGCAGAGGAAGCAAGATTTGGTACTTGTTGCGGTCGACGCCCACGCGCATGCCCTCCTCAATATCTGTAGGTGACACGCGCTCTCCGAGGTTGACAACGAACTTGGCGATCTGCTTGACGTTGATGACATATTTGCTCTTCTCGGAGTCCTTCTCATCTTGTATTATCTTGGTGCAGCGGGCGACTTGCAGGGGCTGCTCTTCTTGCATTCGTTGCCGGTCGGCGGCGATGTCCCAGAGATGTGGTGGTGCTAGTCCGGTATCTGATTCCTGCGGAGTATAAGTTGCTGTAGCTTGGTAGTGATGCGGCTAGTATAGCTACCTTAACGCCGATCTTCTCGTTTATTGTCTGCTGCTTGTCCTTGATCTCCTTCTCGAGCTTCCTGAGCTCCGCGCCGTAGGGTGCCGCGCCATACGTCTTCAGCACCTGAATGTCCCTGGGCGGTGTCAGTTTCTAGCTTTGTGTACCGACCTCCTAGTATGCCTACTCGTCGGTAAGAGGCGTGATCTTCTTCTCCTCGACCTCGTCGTCTGCGAAGTTCTTCTGGTACTTCTCCCAGCTCGAGCCCGTGGCGCTGGGCATGTTTGCGGTCTGCGTGGGGTGAGGGGCCGCTGGCTAAGCTTCGAGCGCTTTGTAGGTGTAGAAGGAATAGGAAGACGAGAGGGAAATGGCGAGAGGGCTGCTGGGTGAGTTGCTGTGGATGGCGGGCGTGGTGTTGTGTAATCAGTGACGGCGGCTGAGGCACTGATGTCGGCGGTCGGGGGACTTGGCATCGACTCCGCGCGCCGCGTGGAAATTATTCGAAGTTTGGAATACAGCACAACGCGCCTTCACCCACGATACCCCTCTTTTTGTCTTTGTTTACCGCATACAACACAAGATGGCCGCTCAGATCGCAAACGGTGGCAGCGGAAATGCCGCTTTCAAGGTACGAACCGCGATTCCGGAGCTTTGAAAATAGTGACTGATGCAGCCTGCAGGACAAGGAGAAGCCCAGAGCTGTTCGCAGCGCCAACATCATTGCTGCACGAGGTACGAGAAGCCTCCCAAGCTCCATATGAACGTATTGCTAATCAAAATGTATAGCTGTGGCTGATGCGATCCGAACTGTATGTCCCGTTGCGAAGTGCGGGGGAGCAATCGAGTACTGACATGGAATAGTCCTTGGGACCAAAGGGTATGGACAAGATGGTACGTACCTTGAAAGATCATAAGCATGCAAGTGAGCTGACCTATCGCAGATCCAAACCGGCAAGGGTGAAACCATCATCACCAACGACGGCGCCACTATGCTCAGCCAGATGAGCGTTCTCCACCCCTCAGCGAAGATGCTCGTCGACCTCGCACACGCCCAAGACATTGAAGCTGGAGATGGAACAACATCAGTCATCGTCATTGCTGGAAGTCTGTTGGGCGCAGCCGAGCGCCTACTGTCAAAAGGCATCCACCCCACCGTCATTTCAGAGGCTTTCCAGCGTGCAGCACGCGAGGCGATACAGATCTTGACAGACATGTCAATCCCTATCTCCCTGACCGACAGACCGACACTTCTTAAGACCGCGACTACTGCGCTGTCGTCCAAGATCGTCGCACAGGAACCTAAGCTGCCCATCATGGCAGTCGATTCGGTCCTGAAGGTCATTGACCCCAAGACCGCCAACAATGTCGACCTAAAGAACATCAGGATGATCAAGAAGCAGGGTGGAACCATCGAGGACAGTGAGATGATCGACGGCTTGGTGCTCAACCAGCCTGTAGTGAAGAGCGCTGGTGGACCCACAATCAAGGAGAAGGCACGGATAGGTCTCATTCAGTTCCAGCTGAGCCCTCCCAAGCCGGATATGGAGAACCAGATTGTCGTCAACGATTACAGGCAGATGGACAAGATCCTCAAGGAGGAGCGAACATACTTGCTCAACATGGTCAAGAAGATCCAGAAAGCGAAGTGCAACGTTCTCTTCATCCAGAAGTCGATCCTGCGCGATGCTGTGAACGACCTTAGCTTGCACTTCTTGTCCAAGCTGAAGATCATGGTTATCAAGGACATCGAGCGTGATGAGATCGAGTTCATCTGTAAGAGCACAGGTTGCAAGCCGATTGCGGATGTCGATTCTTTCACCGAAGACAAGCTTGGCTCTGCAGATCTCGTGGAGGAGGTCCAGGCATCAGGCGCACGCTATGTAAAGGTTTCCGGCGTTAAGTCGGCAGTATCGACCGTTTCTATCGTCTGCCGGGGAGCCAACACGCTTATCCTGGATGAGACTGAGCGCTCGCTGCACGACGCTCACTGTGCTATCCGCTCACTGGTCAAGAAGAAGGCTCTTCTCGCTGGTGGTGGCGCACCGGAAATCGAGATCGCACACCAGCTTTCCCTCCGCGCCCGCGAGTTGTCTGGCACAGAAGCAATCTGCTGGAAGGCTTTCGCCGACGCTATGGAGGTCATTCCCACAACTTTGGCTGAGAACGCCGGTCTGAACAGCATCAAGGTCGTCACAGAGCTGAGACATAGGCACGCACAGGATCAGAAGAATGCCGGTATCAGCATCAAGAGTGGAGGGGTGAAGAACGACATCGCAGAAGAGAATGTCCTCCAGCCCCTGCTCGTCAGCACAAGTGCGATCGAGCTAGCGGCGGAGACAGTGAAGATGATCCTCCGGATTGATGACATTGCTCTGTCGAGGTAAAGGTTAATCTATCCCGTGGATAGATGTGCACGAATCACAATGTCGGTTCAAGTAAGGCACTCTTGTTGAACTAGCAACGAGCAGTCGAAACCAACCATGAGTAATGAAAAAGCCATTGAAGCAAACTTTGTGCACCCATTTCAAGTCCACAAATCAATTGAGACTGAGGTGTACGTCAACCAACGCTGCGACTACCCTTACTTACATCAAGGCAAGCTGCTGCAGATGAATGTGTAAGCGAGGTCAGCACGTCCGTGTGAGCTTATTCTCAGCCCAGTCTCAGACCCACAACCGTATCTCTATTATGTCCACATCGATCGATACTTGCAGAGTGGAGACAGTAAGCGTTAACTCGCTCCAGATCCTAACTGGTCCATAGGTAACCAGGTCATTGGAGCCATCGCTACCACCAGGCCTGGGCGCACGATGCCGGGCTCTGCTTCCTCTCGAGTCCCTTGCTGCGTCTTCGCGTGGCCACAACACAGCAGTCGCGCAACAGCCCCTGCAGCATTCTCGAGCGTGCCACATTGCAAGTTCGATTCCTTACATACAATCAACACTAACGTGGTGATGCAGCAGCGCTGGAAATGCACGAGCTGACGCAAGGTATCTCACCAGCAGCGCGAACACGTCACGCTCATGCTAAACATTACAACGACGCATGCTGATGAGTCCGGCACCCCCATCAACCGAGCAAGTGGGAAAATGTAATTTCTGCCGTCTGACCCGGAAGGAATTCATGGCAAAGAGTAGGTGGGCATCATAATACAACTGTTATACATCCACCCGCTATAGAGGTAGATTCCAACTATAGCATAGGCATGCCTGCAATAGATCTACTTACTTCGGCACCCACGTCAACCGAAACCACGCCCCCAATCAACTACCCACCGACATCTGGTAATGCGGATCCCGTCTATCCACTTTCCTGCCCGTGCAAGCCACACACATCCTTGCCGGGCCACAAGGGCAGAGTTGCGACCTTGGATACCGCATCTCACGATCATTCGGCACATCCTGTGGAGCCGAGCAACCATGCGTAAGCTGTGACCGATCGCAGGATGCGGGTTGAGATCTGTGGGAGGTAAGAGGTGGCAGGGAAGGCATCCGGTGAATGTCGCATGAGGTTTGGTAGACTACTGTTTCAAGGCCGCTAAGGCTGCGACGCAGCCGCCTTGCGTGAACGACGGCCAAGTGGAGACAGGATCAGAGTTCTCGCGTGCTCCTTTGTCTTTCGTGCTATGCATTCTGTGTTGTGGCTTCATGCTGCCAAATTTCTGACTGCCGCGCTACACTCACGCTAGAATTACATTCCTTGGTAGGCGTGCATTCGACACAGAGTTGACACATTATTGGTCACGGCATTTCGCTGTTATGGTCTGCTATAGGATCGATAATGAGAAACCTGTCATTCGTTGTGGTGTGTATCCTCGAAACCTAGAGTATGGTAGTTGGTGGCACTGCTATGATTATCAGTTGTGGGTTGGCTAATGTCGAGAAGTCCTCCGGCAATGCGGTGTGCGATGTTCAAAAAAAAACCCCATAATTGCCACTCGAAATTGCTAGTCTTCTGGGACGGGACACGGCACGTCACTGCTAGATCGGCACTGTAGGGCAGAAGACGACTCGAGCAGTGTGGCCGTTTTTGGCCACATGCAACCCGGAGACTAGTCCTGCCATGACGCTTCCGGCGTTACACATCGCCATACACATTTCTAGGGCTTAGATATAACGGTCGCCATTGGACGCGACAGGAAAGCAAGTGAGCCGATGAAGAGGTAAGTCTAACGAAGAGACCTAACTCTATCTATAGCGAAAAACCTACACACACGTGGAAAACCTAGACAGCCATCTGAGAACAAAAGACTGTGGGCCATACTGCTGGCGGCAAGTGTAGTAGCCTCAGCCTCAAGCGCACTAACTGATGGTCACTGGCTCGGGGATTGATAGGCAAAACAGCGACGTTTTGAAGCGCGCGCGACACTATTCATTCGGCACTTGATTCTCTTTCTGTCTTCGGTCGAATGGAAATCATTAGAATGAAAATGAAAACGCCTCGTTCATGCATATCGTCATCGTACATAGCCGTGTATGTGGCTGGAAGCAAAACGCCCGCTAACATGCAACAATATAGTCGCTCGAAGATTGGAAAAACATGAGTCGTGAAGTGAGGAAACGTGACTTTAGCGGCTAGGATGTGTGCGATCGTCCCTTGAGGCTTGTGCGCTTTAGAAGCCGCGTGACAAGGTTGCCTCTTGGCTTCGGCTTGACGTAGAACGGTCCCTTGGTACCGGTCTGATCGTCCGTCAGAATGAGCTCTTCCAGGGCGAGTGGGTCATCTTGAATGGTCGCTGTTACTGTCGATTTTGGGTGTTGATTCTGATGCTGGTGCTGTTGGTGAGACGGGCCCTGCCAGCCGTATAGAGCATCCTCATCTGCTCGGAGTTCTGGCCGAGTGAGAGTCATGCGGAGAGTCATCTCACGATTCATGTGTCCAGAACTAGGGGGTGAAGTTGGTAGGCCGTTGGAGTCGATCGAAGACATCTGACGAGTGTGAAGACGGAAAGATAAACCTGTGCTGGAGGGTGTTCTCGGTAAATCAAGATCAGCGGTGGATTCGCCATCCGACTCGAGGCCTTGATTGTCGCAATTTTTGTTTTCGAGGAAGGACATTCTGCCATCTCTGAGGAAAGTATGCATGTCCCGGCTGAATTTACGCGAGTGCTTCGTGACTGGAGGCAGTTGATAATGAGGTACGGCGGCTTCTTGTTCCCGAGCAGATGGGAAGCCGAATTCGATGGCCTCGTCGAATTTCTGTGGCGACGCCAGGTACATGCGTAGTTTTGTCCTTGTTTCTGGATCCTGGTAGTACTTGGCCTCTGGATCGAACGTTGGTGTTGGTGGTGTATACGAGGAACGTCGTCCCGATAGTGCCGATGAATGTGAACGCTGATGTTGAGGGCGATACTCTGCTGGGAGAATGAACAGCGGAGAAGCTGGCCCAGAACATGTTGAGTGTCGACTGGGTGGGCCACCCAAAGACATCGTTCGTCTGAAACCTGCCTGTCGTGTCTTCTTTGTTGATGGTGAGTCCATAGTGTCGATGAAGAATACACTGCTTTCTGCGTCCCGTTCTTTCTTTGATCTTGGCGAGAAACCAAACGAAGGGCGGCGAGGGCTATACGTAGAAATTGAAGAACGACGCCCTCGTGATTCAACGCCTTCCAATGCGTTGGCGAGGTCGTTGGTGGAGAAGTCAAAGTGAAAATCGTGGAAACGCTGCCTGGCCACCTCGTCCGTGTCTAGGTCGTGATCAGGAGGAAGGAACGCCTGATCACACTTGGCTAGAAGGATGACTTGTTCCTCGCGGGAAAAATGCTGTTTCCGTACTTTGACAGGTAATGACAGGAAGAACGCAGCTTCTGCTTGCGTGAAACGGGGCTCCTGCTGATTTCCCACAGTACGAGCTCGACGTCTCGAGTGCAAATGTCGAAATGGTGTTGTGGAAGCTGCACGAGATGAGGAGCCAGAAGACGGCTCGCTTGTCTGGTCACCGGCGGCCCGCTGCTGTATTTGCAGTCGCTCGAAGGATGAAAAGTACTTCCTCCTGCAGCAATATGGGTTAGCTTCTGGCTGGCCTGCAAGGTACAGAACAATAATCGTGGAGCTCATGCACGCGACGACACGCCATTCACATTTTCGACAAATCAGAAAACGCTGAGACACACGTACTTTACTGACTCTGGAAGCGTGTCGTAAGCGACCTCTGGGAGCCGCGGAGGGACTGTCTTCGTTTTTCTCTTCATGGTTTCGAGTGCGATAAGGCTTGACAGCCGGATTCAGGGACATACGGGCCCTCCTGCAGCAGGATCACACCCTGGCAGAAGTGCGTCGACCTCACCGTGGGTGTTAAAAGATGCCCGTGGAATGATCGTCAAGGAGGATCGTCCAATGAAGGCAACGATAGACGAGCGAGGGTGCAAAGGGTCGAAGAAGCAACGAAGACGCGAAATAAACAAAACAGTGAGGGCTTATTACATACGAGCGACATGCACACTTAGAACGTAAGTACATGCGAGTCGGGATGCCAACAAGCCGCTAAGAGACGTGGTCCAATTCAGCCCGGACTCAGGAACCGAAAGTCAGTTGGCCGGTCGCGGCTCTCGAGAGTCGATCGTGGGTGAGGCAGCTAAAACGCTCTAAAACCAGAGCATTGTCCGTTATGGTGGCATCTAAAGAGCCCCCGCGAGCCACGACCCAGTCAAAACACCACAGCACGTACCAAGTTTGCTGCAGTCGTGACTGCGCATCGCCGCATGGTGGTTGCACACATCCCCGCTCTCCACTTTCTTCCGTCCGCTGTTTCAGGCCAACACTGCCGCTACGCACTAGCTTGCGACACACCGATTTGCCAACAGACCTCTGGCTTGCAGGCATTTGCGCGTACATTAGAGTTGTTCGCGTTAGAATCGAGTCTTGGTTTCCTTTGCAGGTGTCGTCATTGTTTGTTTTCAGCATGCCTCAACCTGACCTCGTGTCCATCTCATCTGGATCAGCCGGACGTCGCACATGTGCCATTTGTGTTACATTGCAAGCATGCGCTGTGTGACGCCAAAGAGCGAGAGGACATGCTCGATGCATGTAGCGGAAGCACTGCCAATAAGCATCTACGGTGATTACTATAGTTTGCGAGTACAAGCAAGGATATCTCAACACCCAACAACAAATTGCCGCCCCCAAAAACTTGCCCACTGTTATAGTCAAAAACTCCTGACCTTGTGCGCTGGACTGCCAATCTCAAGATTGCGGAATGGTAGCGCCATGTCAAAGCCTATTAACTTTCGGCAGAGCCCTCAGGTCTGTGAACAAATGAGACACGGCGTGTACTGCCAATAGAAACGGCTGTACTCAGCCTCATGCTCCAGCTATGTCGTAATAATACTCGTCGTCCAATCCTTCACGACTTGGTAAGATCGGCTCCTCCAACCCAACATCCTCGAAGCGCACGTTCAGCAGGCGTATCTTCAGTCCATAGCCCCCAATGAAGTTCACAAGCTTATTGGTGTCAGCCGTAATAGGCTGTTGGTTCAATAGCATAAGCAGGCCGTCCAGCCATTCTGAGGCAAGAGTATGGCTCTGGGGGTGCAAGTGGAGCAGAACAGACTCTTTGCGGCCCGCACCTGAGCCGCTGGATGCCTGTCGTGAGTGACTGGTAGCTGGCAAGTAGCCATGAATTGTTATTTTAGTCGAGGTAGTCGCTCGCTCGTGCGGGAGACTCTTGACCGTGCTGTCAGACGAAGAGGATGATGGTGCTCCTGCCGAAACGTTGCTCACCACAGAAGACACGATAGAGAGATCGACTGTCACTGCATGTCAGCCACATTGTCCACGCAGGCATGCACCCTATGCAGATCGGTAGCACTTACTTTTCTCCTGCAAGGCGTCCAACCTCGGTTCCGCTGATGTTTTCTCGTCGAAATCGGCGTAATGCAGATATCGTCGGTTGTGTGATAGTCGTACAAAACGCCACGCTGAGGGGACTGCACGGCTGAGAGTCTTGCTTATGACTGGCCCCGCACCCGAGCTATGATCGAGGCCACTTGGAAACCACCCGCCTTGGAGTAAGCACCTTATTCTCTGCTCTTTGACGAATTGGAGGGCCTCATGGTTCAGTTCTTCACGGACTTGGCTACGCAAGGTCAGTCTTGGCATTGACAGCGGAGCCGCCGAAAGAAGGACATACCGCAAGTGATGGCCCCATGCATCCTCATATGTGAGTTCGAGTAACTCCATCTGCAGCTCGCGCAGTCTCTGTATCTCAAACCCTGCAAGCTCTTCTTCGACATCCTTGATGTCCCTCGTGCGGGGCGCCTGGCCTACGACCTGCTCGATCAGTATCCGGACCAGTTCTTCAATCTTGTCGAAGTCCTCGACCTGAGCTCCTGCTGTCTTCCACAACCGGATGAGCGCATTGAGACCACTTGTGTGCACTCTCGACCAGTGGAGTAACAGAGGCCTAAAAGAACGGTCGAAGTTTGCCCGAGACTCCAGAATTGTGTACCGTTGCGAGTCCAGATCGTCTGCCCTTTCTACTTCAAAGTGTTCGTATAGAATGGACGTCACTGAGAGACTGGCCCGAGCAATTGGACAGCGCTGCTCAACAGGCTCTGCTGACTGCTCCAACAGGAGCTTCTGGAAACCATCTTCGTTCTTATAGACGTAGTCAGTAAAGTCCATGAGACCAAGGAAACCTGTAGCCTCGAATTCCCACGCCGGCGACTCGGTGTCGAATCCCAATCGCCTCCACTTCAGCTTCTTGCTGCCTAGAGCATCTCCCTTTTCAACAGTGCTGGCAGTGTGCAAGCCTCGAATAGCCCTTCGGTGATCGGACTTTTCCAAATCAACCTTCTCTTCCCGCCAATTGCGTAGCAATATTTTTGTGAGCGTCTGGAAGTCGAGTAACGGATGCGCCAGGTCTTGTATCGCAGAGCTCTGCATGAGAACATACACGCTCTTGATCACACCTAGCTCTTGGAGCTGCTTTATAAACTTAGGCGCCTCGAAGTCCGCATCGTGTGCGATAGCGTCGCGCATCAGCGCATTGATCAGCTGGAGCGAATTTGCGCAGAGGGCATGGTCGGCGGAGGTGATCTTTTCGACAAGCGAAGGAAGGAATTGTGGTTGGGTGTCGACTGCTGGCTTGAGCCGTTGGAAGCCAGTGACACCAGGTTGAGAGGTTCGGTGGAGAGGGTGTCCGACGATCGCAGCCAATACCGACATGGCACCTCGATTGACATTGACGAGCGGCTGCGCGACTACGAGATCAACTATCTGTTACCGCTCCGTCAGTCTTCTCCAGACGTTGCTAATTCCCGCCGTAGCACGCACCCTCACTATGAGATCATCTGTGACATGGTCCCAGCCCTTGTCTAGCTCCAGAAGGCGCGCCAGCGACGTGAGGCCATATGCCAGTGTGTTTCCAGTTGCATGCAGGGCCAGAAACCTAAGTTTTGGCAAACCGCCTTCGTACATGAACACGTCTGCGAATGAAGGGTCTCCAATGGCAGACTGCAGCTTGAATGCTGCCATCTTCCTAGTCGACTCCTCATCCGCTCCCAATCGAGCGACCAGCTCGGAGACGTTGACGCTGTCCATGGCCTAGTGACGCGGTCGCGTGCGGTAGTGAGGCGTAGATGAAGATCGTGAATGTCGCTGATTCATGACAAATCCCGTAGGACATGTCGAAACATCCTGTGTTAGTTGCCAAAAACAATATACTCAGTCGCAAGGTTGACCTCCATTAACGGGGGCCAGGCCGTCTATGTACAGTGGGCACGCAGCTCGGACGCTGCTCTGGCACGTGAAGCGCGTCGTGTGGAGACCACGCTTTCCCCTCCTGCATTAGCGTGGTGATGCCTTGCGCTAGGTCGATCCTCCGACAACAACCAAGATCATTGAGGTCTTCGCCTCTATTGTCGATACACTCATTCTTGACCGTCTTGTTTGTCTAGCATCTGCGTTCCCACGTTATACCCGCCTGCACTATATTCGACCGTATCAGCATCTTCATTTGGCCTTTCCACCACTTTGCCGCGGCGCGCTCCTTCGATTCAGCTTCCACCTGTTTTACTCTACACCACCAGTGGCCGCTGCCATGGTTTATATCACATCGGACCTCTTCGGTCCTGTTGACACACACAACCAATCGCCCCGCCACTGGCACGTCATGGCAGAAACACAGCACGATGCGGCCGGTCTGGGGAAAAGAAAGCGAACACACGAAGGAGACACAACACATCCAAGTCGAGGGCCCCGTCCACACTATGTATCGACCTTCGACCATAACAACGACCGAGCGTGTTCAACAGCGGAACATCGTCCAATGAAACAGATCAAACGCACCAACCACAAGCTCGCTCTGGTTAAGCCGACATCACACCTTATGGACACCGATGGCGGGGCAGCCCCACCAGTAGGCCTTACATATGGCCAGGTCCTGTCCCACGCCGTTGCCGACTTGCGAGCATGTCACGCGTGCAAATCAGCCCCGAAACGAAAGAGCGATCTTGAGAATTACATGGACTGCAAGCGATGCGTTGGCCGAACATGCTACATCTGTGCAAGGCAGTGTTTGGGCGGGTGTGGAAGGAAGGTTTGCAGAGAATGTACTGCAGAGGTCGGGCAAGAAAAGGATTCCTGGTGTCTGGACTGTCTCCAGCGGGATCAGTACATGAAGTAATTCGGATCATAGTCTGGAGTGGACAAGACATCGACATTGGTTTGGCATAAATTAATTCTTAGCATGGCGTAATGAGCGTTTGATTTAGCGTTGTTTGTCAGGATACGTTCAGGGACGTGTAGCACATGAAAGCGAAAAGGAAGGAACCACACAGATTGGGCTATTCTATTTGCTGCATTCATGCCTCATGGCTTTCATCTAGTCTGAGCAAGCATTTTCCAGCCTCTTAGCATTGGCCTACTCCTAATCCCAACACAACAATGTTGAGGTGCACATATTCATGCTATGACAGCTGACCGCTTGATCTCACGATATTGATGTGCCTGTTCGTCACACTTGGGTTGCTCAGGATCGGACTGGTCCAATGATGGTGACGGCTTGTGCGCGTCAGCTTTACTATCACGTCTGGAGCCGTTGTGCACAATCAGTGAAGACCATGCTCTCGAATAACAACCTGCAAAAGCAAAACGTAGACATCATATCACTTCCTTTTTCGTACTCACGTGTATTGATGCATCTACTTTTACTTCTTGACCTGGATGCTATTAGAGAACCTGTGGTTTACATTTCTCTATCGGCTTGGCAGCAGCGTTTGCTCGATTGGACAAGAGATTTTCCTTGCACAGCTGTGGGGATCGGCGAATTCCACGATTAACAGACAGGTATCTCCTCTGACCCGCGTCAGCGTGATCAAGGCAGGAACTAGAGTTTAGTGATCTTACGTCCTCGGATGCAGGTGCCTAGGAATGTATCTCTAGTACCTCAACACTTGGAGGCACCACACCAACAGACACCCACCAATCCCGCGGATTACCGGTTCAGCTTGCCGAACTTCCCAAGCCTGACCCAACAATCTGATGGCCATGTGCTCGCTCAGCGATCGGAGACGCGACCGACCGCAAGTGCTGCAGTGCAGATCTGTAGATCTTGACGATCTACGCTCGTGGTCCAACGACCTGTCAAAATTATGTGTTAATCAGCAAGCAAATGTGAGGCCTTGTCTGCATAAGGTAAGAAGCCATCACAGCTCGCATGGGAGGGTCGAGCACCTCGGAGCTTTGCGATGAAATTACCCAGATCTAATTGGCAGAAATGTGTGATAACTAGGTTTCGTTGTTCTAGCCAGCCTATGCTTTTTGTGTGCATTGTGAACAGCACGATTACCAAACACATAACATCCATGCAGATAGGCCGTTCCACGTTCATTGAGACCGAAGTCCAGATAGCAATGATGACCCCTTCTGACATTAAATTGGCGCATGCCATGCCCACAGCGAACAATTAGTGCCGTACCTCTCAGATACGCTTCCCGAAAACAGCCATGTATATCGTGTAGGATACGTGCGCGTAACATACTTTTGCTGTAAGTCCAAGATCGAAACACCTTACGTAAATCCGCCGACCGATATGGGCCATCCTCCATAGAATAGTCCAGAAAAAGACAGTACAATGCGAGAAACCATTGGAAAATAGACAGCAGCCAGGGTATGCCACCGAGCTTGGCCATTATGTCTGATGGAGCCCGCTAACGAAGAACGTGAGGGCGAAAGGTGGGTTACACATGATATGACCCAGCTCATGCCGCCACCGTATGTGTTAACAAATGAGAAAGCCATGCCGGCCATAGTGCAGGCTCAAAACCGCCAGCGTAATGACGGCCGATGGGAAATTTTGGAAAGTCGAATAGTGTATGCGATAACGCCCGTAATCCGTGAATGTTAAAATGGTAATGTACAGCAAGTCCCTGGGGACGAGTCTAGCAACCTGACCTGCATGTGTGACATGGGCTTCAGCGATGTGGGTGCTCATAAGGCCGCATGCCACCAAACTCGACGCCTTGCATCGCCGTAGGCGTCGGCGTGGCCCATTGAGTTTGTTGTGGCGCAGGCTGTGCTTGGGACTGCTGCTGCTGTTGCTGCAACGGTGGCAGCACGTTGTTGGTGGAAGCTGGTGTGTTACCCTGCTGTTGTGCGAGCATGCCTGTCATGCTTCCATATATATGTGGATTGTTCGGATCAAGGCGGCGCAGGCTGGTCCACATTGCGGTCAGTTCATTCTTCAGAAGCTCGTTTTCTTCCTGTGCTCGGCGCGAGTAGTCTGCTTCGGGTCGCAGTCGTGCGTTCTCGGATCGGGCAGCTTCATGTGCTCTGCCGAGGTTTTTGATGTACTCAATAGCTATCAGAGTATTAACATGAAGGCCCCGAGGTGCAAAAATTGAAACACTTACACTTTGTGAGAATTTCCCACTTGCTGGACTTACTTCCAGGAGAATTCGGCAGAATCTGATTCAGTTCATCGAACAGATTCTTCATCTCGCTGCGGCGCTTCCTTTCAGCCATCTTGTGGCTTATGCGAAGCTCTGGAGTTCGGCTGTAGTTCCCACTACCTTGAGCCAGAGACCCGTGATCAAGGCCCTGAAGACTCGTGACGCTGCGATGCTGCATAGAGTGGTGGTGGGTGGTCGAGATGTCTGTGTAAAATTAGCAAATGTACCTTATCGTGGATCGGGTGTTCGTGCCGTTATCCAACCGCTTCTGGCCAGAGGGGAGGTGTGAATCTGTGGTATATATACTGCTGTTGATGGATGTGGCAAAGCTATTTTGGCGCGATGGGATATGTGAATTCCCCGCGCTGGACTCACCGCTGCTGGATTGCCGCCTCTCGTCAGGCTCAAACTCGGCAGGGAAAGCCCAGGCATAACCCTTGGTGGGTGCTGCAGCCATAGGGTCTGGCATGCCCGACACGCTGCGAGGATTGGGGTTGATCACAGGTGCTCGGCGAGGAGGGTGGTTAGCACGGATGCCGCTATTGCGAACAGACGGCGACAGTGGAGAAGCACCGTTGATGCGTGCATCAGGGTTGGTGATACCTCGCTGATGCTGGAGGTTGGAAACGAGCGACACGCGCGATGTGTTCTGACTGTCGTACGGGGAAGCAGGGCTGATCTGAAGGTGACCCATTCCAACATTCATTCGACTGTCCACGCTACTGCGTCGAGAGTCGAAATGTGAGCTCGCATCAGTGCTCAAGCGATTATCGCCGAAACCCTGGTTGAGGGAAGGGAATGGCGCATTGTGCTGCATGCTTCTTAGCGAGTGTTCTCGGAGGTCACGAGCGACGTACCTGTTGAGGGTGGACAGCCTGATGCCTGGCCGAAGAGGGTGTGTCGGGCACATTACGTGTTGGTGAGTCCTCAGCGTTGAGAATGGTCTGCAGTTGAAGGCCCATGTTGTTGGACACGGTGGAGGAGTCTGTGAATGGTCAGCACTGGCAAGAAGGGGCCTGCGCGGGCCCAAGAGCAAGTGATAGGAAGCACTCACGTTTGCTCTGAGAGATGGACCAATTACCAGAATCACGAGCTTCGCGAGACTCGGAGTGCTGTCTGAATCGAACTGGGCTCTGTTCAGACGGAGAGAGGCTACTGGTGAGAGAAGCAATGGAGGGCAGAGCCTGAGGGTGAGACCCGTTGCCGGGCGCGGGTGGCCGTTGTTGAGAGACAGACTCCATAACGATGACAATGAGCGAGGGCCAGTTCCTGTTGCACTACCTGAGGTTGGGAGGCAAACCTGGGGTTGGTTGCCGTGGGTGGATGGTGATGCAGAGCGCCAGTGGTGGGTAGCTGGCCAATGAGAAGCAAGAGAGCGAAGCCCAGAAGGGAGCGTTAGAGATGGGCGACTCTCCCGTTGCAGCGGTTACTGAACCGAGTGGATGGTAATAAGAGAGGGTGATGATCTGGGGTCGAAGGATGGCAGCAGCGTGGAGGGGGAAGATGGCCAGGGAGTGCTGCAGGCTGGAGAGAAGGAAGGTCGAGGGTCAAGGGCGCACGGGATGTGACCGCTCCTACCCTTTGCGGTCGAGTAGACGTTTGGTGGGGCAAGCCAGCAGAACGAATATCCCGGGTGCGTGCCAAGCAAACGCTCTGCTTTGCTGCAGAGGCAGGCGCAGTCGAGTGTGATCTACACGCAAATAGTTCGGCTGGGCAGGAGTCGCAGGTACTCGCAGTTGCAGCCGATGTGAGCGATGACGATGCCGAGACGCCCTTCTTTTGGCGGACAGCAGCAACACCAGGCTAAACGAGTGATAGTCGCGCCGGCCTAGATGGATCATGAAGCTCTCACGAGCGCTCGTTGCCAAATTGGACGTGGCTGCAGTGCAATCCTCGGCGGGTCTGCGTTGCAGCAAGGTCAATTGCTTGCAGAACCAATCTTGCTTGGGACTGGTACACAGCGTCCTGGAGGCGGGCGTTCAGGATTACGCGATGACTGGCGTGCTGACGATCCGATGCAACGTGCAGGCTGCCTACGAGGCGCGCCAGAGGTCGCTGATGAGCTTTGGCCTGTTCCGGAGACCTATGGAGCAGCTGATGGTGGCGCCTGGAGGTTGCACACGTCGAGTGCGGTCGAACTGGACTCCCCAAACAGATCGGGCGCGGCGAAAACAAAGCCAGCGCGAATCAGCGCAGACACTCTGGAAATGGCTGCACGCGCAGGATGGAGACAGGTGGGTGCTAGGTGGAAAAAGGGCCAGCTTCAGCGGACATCAGGTCGCCTTGGGGTCGTGGGAAGGGTGAGGGCACTGAGGGGGCAGCAGCTGTTGCTCGCGACTGATGATTCAATGAGGGCAGCGTGCCTTGCATGGACAGGCTCCGTGCAGTTCCAAGGGCGCGGAGGGCACACAACGAGCCGGATAGAGACACGGTCAAGCAGCGCGCAGCCGGTGGTCTGGACGTGTGTGCGACCGCGGGACGGATTCGAAGTGGAGGAGCTTGCAGCGGAGTGGAAAGCCAACAGGCACGAATTCGATCAGCAAGGGCACCTTTGGGAGGGACCAATTAATGAGGGTACTGCTGCCCAGAACAAAGCCGGCCGCACGTGGGAATCGTTCAATCGAGGCCTCGTGTATCTAAACAAGCCCGTCTAGCGGCGGCAAGTCGCGACTAATATGGCGCTCCCTGGCTCCGCGCGAACTGCTGCGTTGCTCATGGGTCACTGGTCAGATGGCGGTGCAGATGACGCCCCAGCAGCACGACAGCTGCAGCGCTCTCAGCGCCGGCGGCCGCGACTGCGCACCAGTAGCCAGCATTCCAGCCAGCTGCCATGCGTGGGCCAGATTGAGAAGTAACTTCACCGTACCATGGTAGAAGACCAGCATTTGAGCCGTGTGAAGGCGCGGAATTAGTAAAGCCGCCGTGTACAGAGCATCGTCCGCCACGAGGGCCACCTTTCTCCACGTCTCCTGCCCAACCGGCGCGTTCGCCGGGAGAAGCAAAGTCTGCGCCTCACTGATGATCCTCACGGCCGACACTACGCCGAGTCGTGCATGCCGCATACAACAACACTGCCAGCACCATCGCAATACCTATCGCAATTGACTTTGCATGAGCAGCAGAACCTCTCCCTGTTTATCTATCAATCATTGCCTATCAGTGCGCGTGTGCATTGAAAGCTGGGGCTACGCTGAAAGCACAGTGTCCGAGCCGCAAACGAAGAGTCGTCCAAACCAAATAAGACAAGGTGCATGACGCCCATGCTCCCACGCGCCTGACAATCAGCAACCCTGAAATGTTTATGATTCAGAGCACCAACAAGGGAAGACCAACTGGTTTTTGAGGCCCTCCGAAATGCTCCTTGGATGCCTACAACCAGCAGGAATATCGAGGCCGCCCACCCTTGCAAATGGTCCCACATTGTACCTGTGGAGGGGAAGAGATGATCAACACGATCAGATCCTCGTCTCGTGAACAGCGCAATGCCAGGTGGGGAACCCCAAACTTCTCGCCTGTCACCCCTGGACCAGAAAGATTGAAAAGTTCAAGGATTGCGCTGTTCCGTGGCTCTGCGATCACCCTTCTCCCAGAATGCCCCCACGGCTTGTGCCGATCGATCACGGCAGTTACACGACATCGTCAGTGGTCACGGTGCCTACGGATCCTGTTGACGCAGGTCTGTGACTGCAAGCAACGCTGTTTCTGCGTGGTTCCAACAGATTAGGTCTACGAAAGTGGTCTCGTACAATCTTCCAAGATGTCAAGCAGTACTGCAGACCTGTGTGCATCTAGGCACTCGATTTCTCGAGATACTCACCCAGAGTTCAGGAACGCAAAGGCCCAGATGAATTACCACGTGCCTTACGACAACGGTGTCTAGGTGGTGGCAGAATTGAGGCGTCCCGGTAGACCTGCCTCCCCTCTGAGACAAACAATGAAGATCAGTCAAGGTGCGGTCTGGTCACAGTGTAGCACAAATGGACGGCTGAATCCCATGGTTACAGCAGCCTCGCAATTCCCAGCAAAGCGCGACCGACTCCTTCAGACGGCCTGCATCTCTCGTCGTTTCTGAGCATCTTCGCCATAGTCACTGGCTTAGCTCGAGGTGGGCGTCAGGTCCACCGCTGCATGTACGCCTCTTTGCTTGAGACCCGGATTGTGCGACACTACGCAAGAACCGACAACCAGGTTTCCAGAATAACGGCTTTCGTGTCAGGTGCCAATGCATGCTCTGTACACAAAACACCTCTCAGCATGGGCCGTGAGTCATGTCATCTTGGTGTTGCTACTGGCCTTGTTCTAGATGAAGTGATCATGTCTTTCACCGAGTGTCCATGATTTGGAAGAGTGTCTGTGTTCGTAATGGGGACATGTTGAGCCCTTGTCTTCGCCCTGCGTCGACCTGCAGATCTTGAAACTCCAGGATGCACGACTGATTACAGACAACAAACTACCTACCATTCTTCAGTACACACAAGCTACTGTACGTCAGCCTTGCATTGGCCGTATAACACCACCTTTTGAGGCAACTGCTTACACGACAGATGGGACGTCTGCGTACGGTCAGGTGGATCGTCGGCATCTAGCCTCGTTGCGAACCTTGGCTCTGGAAATATCACAGTTCTTCGTACTGCATCGTTGCTGTCCGATTTGAGCCACCTATTGGCTTATAGAATCTCAACAGCCTTTGTGTCGCCAGAGGATAACACGTTGCTAGGACAGACTCAAGCCGAAACACACGGATTAAAACCTCATGCTGTGCATCGAGCCTCGTAAGTCAACGGCCGTAGCCGTTCATAGGTGGAACTGTTGGGACTCTGGCCGTGGCACAGATGCAGTTGGTACATGGCTGGCAGGTGGCACGGCGTTCAGGTAATTGACAAGGCTCTGCAGCTCGTCGGCAGTTAGCTTTACTCTCCGAAGAGTCCTTCAAGTGACATGCCAACACAGTAATTTCGGGCCAATAGTTGCGAAATTGCCTAGTCCTCTCGCTTCAATCCGTGATCAACACCAGAGATACCAATACGTCCGACATCCGAATCGTACAACCACGTTGGTAAACTTTCGGGAAAACATTCCGGCGGCTAGATGCGCTCGCCCCTGAGTTCACTGCTGCACATCACATAGCGTGTCCCCCAAAGGTAATCTACATCATACCTGCAGCGGTAGCGGACGGCGTTGTGCCCGCTGGCTTGTGAGCACCGCCGACGACAATTTTGTTCTGTCAGTGATCGCCAAATCAACTAGCGGAATTTTAGCCAGATCTGATGTGGCTTTCCTCGGCACGGGCAAGACTTTCGATTGAGACTTCAAGTGGCATCATTCGAGCAATCGCTCAGGGGTCTGTAAGAAGCAGAAGTAAGATCTCAGCAACACGTTGCATCAACAGCGTGGTCCACAAAAAACCATGGTACAGTGATATTACTCCGCACTTGGACCGTGGAAGAGCATCCCACGGTTAGCAGCAATTGGCATGGAGCCACGGGTGCAGCGTCAATGCAAGAAACACGTTCACTCGCCGGCCGGCCCGCCTACAACAACGCCGTCGATCTGTCGCTCCTGCCCGAAAGAGAGATCTGCTTCCGAGCAGGGATCCCCAGCCCCACAGCCTATCACGTGCAAATCGCGTAGAGGCACCGCGGGATGCGCTTCCGTGAACACGAGATACGACGCGACAATCGAGGGACGAGGTAAGATGGCTGCCACTGCGTCTGCTGCACCCGTAGCATCTGTGCCTGATACTTCTGCAGGTGATGGACACAACGCGCCGAGCAGGTTAATTTTACCATTTTTGCGACTTCCACGCGAGCTTCGTGATCAGGTATGCTTCCAGGCTCCAGCTACCATCTTTACGACAATGGCTTACCCATTTCCAGATCTATAACCATGCCTTCAACATCCCCGATAAGCGCAGTGATCGCGCCCTTCGCATCGAGCGCCGCAACCTGAAGCACTTTTGCCCCAGCGCCGCCGCCCTACTCCTCATCCTGCACCACGAGTACTTCCTTCTCAACCGCCAGGTCGCCCTGGAGGCCCTCGAAGCACTTTTCAAGCACCATACCGTCTTTCTCAGCTGCGGACCCTTCGTCCTGAAATTGCTGCTCGAAGCTGTCGAACAACACGAGTCCGGCGCTCAATGGCTCACATGGTTGAAAGCCATCGAGCTGGACTGGGTCACATTCCCCGACCTGCGCATGTACCCGCCAGACCGCACGGAGGGGCGTGACGAATGGTGGTTTGAGAGCGGCGGCGGCGAAGGCCACGACAATATCGAGGTCGACGTCGACTACGTGCGCGGCGCTGCTTACAACGGGCACTACGATGAGCACGACCATACGGGCGGCTACTATGACGACAACTTCTACGACCCCGCCGACACCGCGCTGTACCCTGCATATACTCACCATGCCCCTGCCCTAAACCCCAATACCGCCGCGAATGACCTCTCCAGCCTATTCGACCACAATCCGTTCCAGGACGCTGAGGAGGCGTACCACCCTACAACGACCTCGCATACGGTGGAGGACTTGAGCACGAAACTCGATCTATTAGTTGACATGGAAGTCGCGCCGCTCTTCACATACTTCTCTAACACTACTTTCCCCCATCTGACCTCAGTGACCCTTCCGCTGTACTTCATCTCGCGCGAGTCCTTCTGGCACCGCCGCAACAGCCGTCCCGGCTACACGCTGCCGTTGAAGGTGCGGTACTGGGTGCACGTCGCCGCTCACGCGTTGTGTATGCTGGATGCGTCGACGACGCTGGCCGAGGTGCGCGTCAAGTACATGCCTTGGGACATCTGGGCGAGCATGGACAGCTGCGATGACCTGTCACGGATCGTGGAGCGGGGTGTATGGTTCAACGACCCTGTGACGGACGGAGAGGGTGGCGAGCGCGAGTATGAAGGCGAGGCGTTTCGGTGCGTGTGGGACATGCTAGTAGAAAGAGGGTTGTGCGCAGGGAATGGAGGGACGCGGATGGGTCTCCAGTCTTCTATCAGGCTCGTCAAGTGGGATGGCGAGATGGACAGTTATCGGGTAGGAGACGAGCTAGAAGTTATCTTTACAAAGGCTGGGAGGCACTCGCAAACAGAACCTGCACTCACTGAGTGATAGGTGAGAGTAGATCACAAGCATGAGTACTCGCTCAATTTGCGTTATGAATTGCAACTATGTCATCATGGTATACCTATGTTTGCGCCAGCTGGACCATGTTGCTGTGCCGAACGCGTCAGATATCGTGACAGCACATCCAAGCGTCTCGAAAGTACAGAAACAAATACAACTTGAAACCCCAAGAATGGTATCAAGACATACGCGAGCGTCTCGGCACTTAGAAGTCCCAAAAGCTCTTGTCCGCGCCCTTGCGTCCGCCCATACCGTCACCAGCGGCTTGGATACCCTTGTGGTTGCCAATGCTTCTATCATCAACAGCTGGCTCCGGCTCATCATCAAACAACGAAAACTGTGTGCCAGCACGGTTGCCCATGCCATTACCAGCGATGTTGATCTTGTATGCCGGCTGAGGTGACTCGTCATAAAAGCCGAAGTTGGACTTGGTAGCCTGGTGGGATTGTCCAGGGTTGCGGTTCTCACTGGACTTGCCAACGGGAGTGTTGTCGTTCATCTCCCAATGGGCGCCGAAATCTTTCGAGCGATTCTTGTTCTTGACGACCTTGGTCACGTCGCTCAGTGGTCGGTTGTCGCCATGAGCGGTGCCTTCATCATCGTCGTTGGCGGTAACATGATCTTTGTACAGCCCTTGACCCTTGTTCGATACACCACCCTTGGTGGGAGGTAGTGTCTTGCGCGCAGTTGGCGTGCCGTCGTCCTCGAATTCAAATTGGTGGCCAGTCCCAGGACGTGCTTTGATTACACGCTCAACGCGGACAGGAGAGTCCTCGACCTGCAAAGTATCAGCACAGCTCTCGCCGAAATGTTTTCTTGACACAAAGTTGTGAAGGCCAAAGAGCCGAACTTTCCTTGCATCCCGCACTTACCTCATCGTCTTCCCAGCTGAAGTTGCGAACGGCCTGGGGATCATTCTTTGGGTTTGTCTTCTCGGGTGTAACGAAGTCCTCAAAATTCCAATTGGCCTGGCTCTTGCTGTTGCCGCGAGGAGCCTCCTTCCTTGATGCATCACGACCACGAGGTGTCTTCTCGCTTTCGCCGTCACCAAACTCGAAGTGGTTGAACTTCTTCGGATTCGTCTTGGTGGCCTTGAGCGGTGTGGTAGCAGCAATCCTGTCCTCGTCTGTCTCATCAAACAATCGGTTCACCTGTGACTGCTTGTTGGCGCCTGCCTTCACTGGGAACCTCTGCTGCTGAGTCGATGGCGAGCCTGTGTTCTCGCCAACAAACAACTCAGAGTATTCGCGTGGGGGAGGCTTCGCGGACTGAACGCGAGGCGCTGTCGGGTGCGCACTGGGCAGCTCATTCTCCTCAATCTGGCGGCGTTCGAAGAGCGAGAGGGAGGCGTGTGGGTCGTTCATGGCGTTGCTAGTCGAGCCGCGCGAGCGGATCGAGACCTCGTCTGCGCCTCGTGAAGCGGTCGAAGGACGTGAAGACGGCGCCGAGTCAGGCTGTGCAGTTTGAGCGGATGACTTGATCAGCTTCGCCTGCTCTGGGCCCTCGCGAATAGGCCAGTTGCGGGAGCGTGCGCCTATCACGTCGATTTGCTTGAGCAGCGAGCCCTGATCCCAGTACTGGCGGATCTGTGTGATCTTGTCTGCGCTGTCGAAGTGCACAATGTGGACCTGCATTATTGTCAGTATGCGCTCGAGCACCTTGTGGAGGTCAGTTCACCATAGGGAAAGTGACAGTGCGGTCTGCCACAAAGTTGTCGTCCAAGCCTGGCAAGTACGCGCCGCCACCGTTCAGGAACTCAATCGTCGTCTCCACATCTACACTGAGCGCATGCCTGCCCTCGACTACGCTCACAACCTGCTGCTTCGTCTTCTTCAGCAGCTTCTCCTGAATCTGCAGATGCTTGATGATCGCGGCACTGTCGTTGATGCTGGTTAGGGTGGTGATGTAGTGCAGCGCTACTTTTTCCGCAAGATCGCCCTGCGAAGGACGGTCTAGGAACCGCTTGTATGTGTCGCTGAGCGTCATGGCACCGATCGTCGCAAATTCTGTCGTCTGCTAAATGTTGTGTAGTGTTGCGGGCTTAATAGATACGGTTGTTTGTGGTGGTGGGGGTTCGGTCGCACAAGCGCGAAATCGATAAACAAACAGTCTGCAAGGCGTGTTGTGGTCAGGAAAGTGAAAGGGACGCAGATTGCGGTCGCCTTTGCAAGCGTGATTCGGTCATCCCCAAACAGAAGCCACCGCGACCACTCCCTCCCTCATTTTGAGGGCTGTCATGCAGGGGCATCCCGCCGCTACTCGTGTCGCAACTGCGTTGTTGTTTTCTAGCCTCTTTTGGTTGCTAGTGCCACATGGAAACCTGTCAACTGCGGGGAGGATCTCCATGGCGAACGCGTGGAGTGCAGCACATGGATCGTTAAAAAGGCTTGATCGTTTGCCTACATACTTTGCTGCCCTGCTCTTATCAACCTGCGCAGCAGAAACCACCACGAGTGCGACGTGTTCACGTTCCGCATATGTACCAACTTCCGAGCAGCGTGTTGGCGTGTTTCACAGTTCGGCTGCCTAATCCCATTCACGTGCATCTTGACCGTAATCTCGCTGGGCTGCAAGCAAGACAAGGGTGTTTAAGTGTTATCACTATGTATAGCAATGCCATGCCTTGGGCGTGGTTCAACGAGATGGCATTCGAAATGCAGTAATATATACACAAAGAGAGAGCTACGAATGAAAGAAGTCGCTAGATAAAAACAACAAAGTAAGAAAATATATTCAGTCATCGCCAATCACGAAACTCTCTTCGAATTTCGCCTCCACGACTTCGTCAGCATCGAAGTCGAAGACACTTTCCCACTTCAACACCTCGCCCTTGAAGTCGAGGCCCACACTTGGCCTCTCCTTCACGAACCACGCACACACGGCACCTGCTGCACCGAAGATAGCGAGGCATGTCCAAAGGGCAAAGTTAGTGACCGGTACACTGACATCGCTGCTGACGTAGTAACTGGCACCGCTTACAGCGACAGCGAACGCTTTGAATAGCGATGCAACTTGCATCATGCCGACGACTGTTCCTGTAGAGAAGGCATCAGGTGTGGTGTTGAGGACAAGAAGAACAACAAGGACGAATGCGCTGCTTGCAAGGATGTGTTTTGTCAAGATGGCGAAGACAGAGAGAACCGGGGCGAGGCCAGAAAATGTTACCAAGAGAGCGAGGAGTGGTGTGATGATGTATATGGTAGGGAACAGGAGCGAGACCGTGCGGTAGAGCTTAAGCAGGCCATGTTTTTTCATCACCGTTGGAACGAAAGCAAAGATCGCCATGGCAGCAATACCGCGCATAGCTAGTACGACAATGCTGAGCCAGTCACATGGAATACCCATGCCACCGTGCCGTGTACTGCTTTGTCCCAAGTGTGGGAGGAGGACGTCGAAGGTTGCCGCATGAAGAGAGAGAATGCAGAATGACGAGAGGAGGACCATGAGGGAGGGCGCTTGCATGAACTGAGTGATGGTGATGGGATCGGGGTGAGCGATGTCGACAAGGGTGATGTTGGTGTCCTCCGAGCTGCGTGTCAGGAAGGCTGCTTTCTCGCAGTCCAAATCCATAGGCTCGGCTGGCAATTCGTAGTGTAGCGGCAGGCTCTCCTTGAGGAAGACAGAAGCAGCCAGCGCGATCGCAAAGAGCACACTTCCGCAGGCCAGTTCCGAACCAAGTGTAGGGAATTTCTCCCACACCATGCCGTATGCTTGCAAACTCTCCGAGACCATACCCTGGGCGAGCGGCCCAACGGAGCCACACAGTGAGATGAACGGTAATTTGGTAACGTTCCTTGCTCTCTCCTCAGCAGTCCCACTCAAATCCCCAATCATGGTCAAGCTGGTACACATGACAGCCGAGCTGACCATGCCTGCAAAGAACCTGAAAATAGCACAAGCCGCAAGGTTCGTCGCAAAGCCCATGCTCAGACAGCAGATCACCATGCTCCACAACCCAATCAGCGTAACACGACGTCGGCCCATGCGATCAGCCAGGTATCCCCAGAACAGACCGGTAGTGCCGCCGAACGCATACGCGCAATCGAGGATGCTGCGAAGATAGGATGTGGAGAGGTTGCCGCAATAATCGGAAGAGGAGAGAAGCATTTGGAGTTGTGGCTGTAGGCTCGATGCCATGATGCTGCATGTCGTGCATTAGCGTTGTTACATTTGACTCAGGGTCCGTGGAGTGCACGTTGAAAGTAAACATATGACAGAGTAATAAACTTACGCTTCAGCGAAAAAGATCAGATAGACGAGGAGCAGTTGTCTTGTACGCGAGTGTGCTGTTGAATCGGACGCGTCTGTGGTCTGGTTCTCCAGCTCTTCCTCGTCTTCACTCTCGCTCTCATAGTCGTGCAATTCCTCATCGTGCGGTACAACATCGTACTTGGCTAGCTCTTTGACTGGAATCAGACTCCTCGTTCTCTTGTGAAAGCCCAACATCCTGAAAACCGTGAAAATCAACGTGAATAGATCGAGAAAACTGGAACGGCGCAGAATCGGCGCGGATTCGTCGGAGGCAGGGAAACGACCAGCGTACCCTATAAAAAGATAGACAAGATAGGGATAGAGACTGGACAGCCTATGGAGGCTAAAGCTTTTCAAAGAGAGTGACAAGAACGCGTCTTTACGACGACGACGACAAGAGCCTCCGCCTGTCAAGGATAGAAGGCTGCATGACGGTTGAAGAGGAGGGGGCCTTGGTTCGCGAGCCGCTCGAGTGTTTCAAGTCCGTGCCACTTGCATCCGATGTCCGTGTCGACCCACTCCGCTGCTCAGCTCAGGGCGCTAAGTCCGACTCGTCTGCACCATCTATATCGAAAGACAGAGTCCGTGATGTCATCCTGTTAGGGGCTAGTCTGGTGAGGTCAGTGCTGGATTCAAGACCCTGTTCTTGCCGCGACTCAGGGTCCAGGAGAATTATGTATGGTTGCTATGACGCGACAGAGTCATTGACGCGGAATGTGTCACAAGATCAGAGTCACCACGTGTCTCACATCACGACGCAGTTTCGAAGACACAATATCCTCCACAATTTGTTTGTGTTGTATATCTATTCTACACTAAATATCTGATGATCTCAACCGCACCTTGCTTTCGCACACCCAAGCAAACAAGGGGGGAGATCAAATCAATTAAATGATGGGGAGATGAGATCCAGGAGTCATCTGTTTTGTGGATTTTCTGTTCTGGGGTGGACCGTGCCACCGTGTAGCAGAGAGGGAAATCCTGTGTTCCATGCCATATCCATACCGTAACCGTAAAGCGTCCGCTGTGATGTTCATTGTGCTCGCTATGCGCCGTAAAAACAAAGTGGTGAAGATCCTTATCCAAGTGCACGTCCGTCATCGTTTACGAAGCAGACCGGCATCTACTGCTGGTTGCTCGAGCTGAGACCAAGCATCTCATCCAATGTAGTGTCCAAGGTAGTGGAGTTGTAGAAGGTGTTGTTGTAAGGCTGAGCTCCGCTGTCAAACTGACCCCCAAGCTGGTTGAAGTCGGGGAAGAAGTTGGCAGTGTTGCTCATTAACAAGTTGCTGGCTGGCGCAGAATCGAACAGAGTGAAGTCCTCCGTAGGGCGACTGAAGGCCTGCATGTCCATAGTGTCCATGGCGTCTCCAAAGCCCTCATCCATCTGCATCTGAGGAGAGAAGAGAGTGAGATCGGGCCGTGCCATGGGTGACAACTGAGGAAGACCCAGCGTCTGGTTGGAAGCCATTGTGAACATGGGTTCACTGAAATTGAAGTCTGTGCTGAGAGCAGGTGTGTGCTGCTGGAAGCCCATGTTGAAGTTCGAGCACTCTGGGAATAAAGAAGCAGTGTGGTCGATGGTAACATCAGCTGGAGTCACGGCAGCTTCCATAAAAGAGTTTGGTTCGACCGGCGAGTTGCCGGAAGAGAAGGTAAGATGCGTGCCGTCAGTAGCAATTGAGTCTCGGCGGAAATCATCTTGGAAGTTGTGGAGGCTCATCGCTGGAGTGTTGAAGCCGTATGGATCAAAGTCATTCATCAGTGGCACCGAGGGAGAAGCCATGAAAGGTGTGATGGGTGTGGTGAGAGCAGCAGATTGTGGTGTACCGAGGAACGGTGTGAGGGGAGTGGCGGGGCTGTTGCTGACCGCGTGGCTCTTCTTACGGCCGTTACTCTTGGATCGAACGTATTCCCAACCGTGAGCTTTCTCCATGTGCTGCTTGCAATTCGACTCACGCTTGGAGGCGTATGTGCACGGAGGGTAGAGACACTTGTACTGCGCCGGCGCAGCAGAGTGCTTGTCGTTGACGTGCCTGTCGCGCTCCTTCTCAGTAGGCCATCCAAGATCAAAATACTTGCACTTCTCTTCGGAGCACTTCCATGGGCGAGAGTGAGTCTTCTCATGCTTGGTCAGGTCACAAGGGCGCTTGAACTCTTTCTTGCAGTCACGGCACATGTGCAGGACATCGCCGGGCTTGTCAGACTTCCTACGACGAGCCATAGAGCGCATGGCGTCATCGTCGTCGATATCTTCTTCTGAAAGAGCACGCTTCTTGTAAACGTGTTCCGGGCCGTTCGCAAGGGAGATGACCTTGCCATCTTTCTCACGAACGAGCTCGACTGGGCGGCCGTTGTGGCTGAGGCCACCACGAAGGGTGATCTTCTCATCACTAGGAACGGAACGGTTAGCCGAGCGGGTAAAAAGAAATTTCGCGGCACGGTCATACCGGGAGTAGTCCATATCGTCCAGGTGCTCTCCTTGGGCTTCTTTTTGTCTGGTGGCAGCCATGATTGCAGCGTATCTTCGGATCTGTTCGATCAAGTCGAGAAAGTAGTTGTTAGTGTACGGGCGGTCGGTTGGTAGTCGCTGGTCGCGTTCCGAAAGGTACTCGACAGTTGTGTGAAGCAGTTGAATTGATCGTTCGCAGAATCGAAGGTAAGATGCCGGTGTTGCCGAAAACTCCTTAAAACCGAGAAGAATGCAATAAGCTTTTGCACTGTTTAAAAGACAACGGATACCACTTACAGGAGCCAGGAAGACCAGGGTCTTTTCAAGATCACGGAGGTTGCAAATACTCTTCTCACCTATGCGACGAGGTACGTCTTGGATCAGAGAGTGAAAGTCCTTCAGCGACTCCTCAGCGAGGATGGGTTTGACGATCGAGTCGTGTATTTGTTTGCAAGCGTACTCGCCGAGAGTGTGCTTCTCTTCTGATACGCCCAATGCCGAGAACGAGCGAGTGACAGCAGAGTGGGTGGTGACGGAAGAGTGGATGGATTCGCGGGCACTGGTGGTGCGAGCGTCGCCTTTATGTATGTTAGATTGTGGGGCGTCCAAGATGAGTAGTTGCATTGAGTCCTTACTGTACTTGGAGCCGACGCTGGAACCCAGACCACTGTCTGAAGCGTGCTCGTGGGGGTTATGCTCAACTGCTATGGGCTTAGAGTCAATGTCCATAGGCATGTCATCCAGAGTGGTGCTGTCAAGCATGAAGCTGGGTACAGGAAGCACCTCAGGATCGTTGAGGATGTTTGCACCGGATACAGATGCAGCCTTGTGACCTGCGAGCTTCTGGTCAAAGTCCTTGAGCAGGTTGGCAACACGGCTGACACTAGGGTGATGGTCTTGAAGGAGGGCTTCGAGACTCTCAGTGCTTGTCGGTGATCTCCTGGGCATGAACGGTTGGTTCTCTAGGCCACAGATGTCGTTGCTCAACGACTTGGGTGACGAGAAGGTACCGGACTTGCGAAGATGCATGCCATGGGTGCTAAGAGGAGAGACGTTGCCCTTAAAAGGACGGCGGCGGGGGTGGCTGTTCTGGGGATGAGGTGCAGACATGTTGTATGACTGAATCCAGACGCGCTAAGATGGGAAGGAGGCCTCAGGTTATGAGTCACGGCGAGTGGACAATTCACAGAGCCCGAGGGATCCTATTGACCTATGGCCGGAACCGATAATGGTAGTGCAAGTCCTGGATCACGTTCTCATTGACCGGTTCGGAATCAGCGAGCTGGCGGCCGCGGAAAGACGTAGTTGATTGGCCGAATGATAGAAATGGATCAAGTGGAGGAGGAAGGGCGTGCAGAGTCCTTTCGTTGTTCGGCGTGGGGAAGTGGGCGGTATATGAAAGGCGGCGCAGTGCGGGTGAGACGGGCTGCGTGCGTGGCGAAGTGATGCAGAAGGGCGGGAGCGCAGTGCAAAAGAGGGGTTGCAGGCCTCAGGACAGAAAACAGGACGTAGGAGGAGTGATGAGTTGGGCAAGTTGAGAGTAGAAGAGAGGGAGGGACAGCACGAGTTGAGCACTCGACGCTGACAGCCAGGATCGTGGAACGGGATGCGCGGTCGCTGTTGCCTGAAGTTAGCGTGAAAGCTAAGCCCTAACGCCTCAATAACTCGCTGCCAATTCTGAGCTTACGCGACTATTCGCTGCGAGCATAATAAAAACGCCCGGCTCTGACGCAAGTTGTTCACCAGTGAGGGCGCCATCTGCCCCATTCTATTCGCCATCCGTTTCGTAGATGCGCGTTGTAGTCGTTGCCCGTGCGATTGCGCAGAGTTGCACTGTTGCGACAAATCACCGCCATTTCTGCACCAAAAGCAGAGCATGCACAGCCAAAATCGGCTGCAAAGGGCGGTCGAACCCACTGGCCAGGGAAATGCACAGCGACGACAAGGCTTGACCGGTGACCCACACGCAGCAGGAACGCCCTTTAGCGGCGAGTGTCAGTGGCCAGACCACGCCAGGGTTGGAAGTGGATGGCTTGCCTAAGTGGCAGTGCTGTCAAACCTCAGTTCCGTGCCGCTCCATGAACGACCTAACCCTGCCATGTCGTGAGCTGATGATGATAAGAAGCTACAGCGACGCTGCTGCTCAGTTGTACGTTTCGTATTGCGTCCTCCCCGTCGTTTCATAAATGTACGCAGTCCTGCAGGTGAAATGGGTGTGCGCGTACGATAAAAGACCACTGTCCAAGTGCAGTTCACCGGTTTGGCGCGTGTTCCGACTGGATGGCCGGGAAGCGGAGAGAACTGGCAGAACTGGAGATTACAGAGCTGAACAAGACATTCAAGGTGCGTCTGATTCTCTGCCACGTCAATAGTAGAGCCTCTACGGACCACTTCCGGTCCTCCGATTTCCCGTTCGCCCCTCGTGACTGTGTAGCGATTGCACTGTTCCAATTTCACCCGTACTCGACCAAGCACGAGACCCTGAGATGTCAATGATCGGTGATAGAACTGTTCCGTTGTCCGACCCGTATTTCGTGATCATGCTTGAACTGGGATATGCTAACAATAGCACAACACACGTCCACTCAACCAGTCTTCTGAAGACGTGTCTTTTTGACATGTAAGTACTGTCTCTTGTCGCAAAGTAGATCGTATAGCGCTGTGCGAAGGGTCTCTTCCTGAGACGCAATGACATGCATGAAGTTGCTCTTTGATCTGATCATGTATGTCTGGATTGTCTCTCAACTCAACTAAACCTGATGGTGCTACATTATACCTCCTGTCGTCTTCTGATAACAAATCATTGTACCATTAGATATATGACGTCAAGTTCACGTCAGTGCTTCAACATGTTTCCATCTGAAGCCATATCACATGAATCTAGCAAGGCCTACAGGGTTAGTTGTAGATGAGCATTGCGTTGGTATTCGCTGGGTCTTGGTGCGAGAGAAAATGGTGATGTATAGATGTTCTAGAACGGTGTGAGCAAGCTGCGTACTTTGGACGAGGATGTGCCTGTTGTCAAGCAGCGGGCGGGGCAGAAGTAGGTAATGGTGGTAGGGGTTCTTTGGTTGGATTGTGCAGTGAGTCGGAGGGCGGGGATAGAGCATTACTTCACGGACTAACAAGTTTCTTGTAGCTAGACAACAGGTGAAGAAAGATGATCAGCATCTGTACAGATCCAACAACGCCTACAACTCCTCCGATGCCTTCGCACCACACTTTTACGCAACGTCCACGAACCCTCTCTTCTTTCTCTGCTTTCCTTCCTCCTCAATCCGTTCAACGTCCTCCAATCTCACAACCTTCTGCTCATCCACTCTCTCGCCCACAAACCTGAGAGCCGCAACATTAAAACCGATCAAATCTTTGTTACCGCTCAAAGTTCTCCTCAGATCACTCCTCATGTCTTCGAGGACTGTCTTCAATTCCCTCGAGGAAACGATTTGCTTCTGGTGCGTCTTGACCATGAAGAAAAGAACGCGACATGTGAGTGTAACATTCCACTGTTTCTGAACCCAGATGCTGAGAAACGTGAAGAGTGCTGGAAGTGAGGCAAAGGGCAGAACAAGAAGCGCGTCCTGGAGTTGAGCGGCGGGAATCTTTGCCATGGTGTTCAGAACGTGACGCTCTGCTGAGATATTGCCCAGTGCCATGAACAGAGGATTGCGCTGTGGTGGCGCGATCTTTGGATTCGCTCGCTTCTGCACCTCCCACGCGCGGACGACCTCCAGATCCGCAACACCAAGATCTAGTGCTTCTTGGATGCGTTCTCCGGCTGTGAGGGAGCTGATTGTTTGTTTGGAGGCATCGACAGCTTCTGCGCGCTCGCCTGTCAGAGGTTCTTCGTCTTCGAGGGAATGGGCGAGTGTGTTTTCGTAGAGTTCTTCAAGCTCGCGTTCGCGCTCTTCCTCGAGGAAGATGGGCTCATCGGATTTGGTCCAAATGCGGATACTCTTGTCGTGCGAAGCGGTGACAATGAAGTCGCCGGTGCGTGCGAGGGTCATGGCCCAGATTTCGCCGTGATGTCCGCGAAATTTTTGTATCTGCTGGAACTTGTCGCCGTCCCAACTCTTGATCGTCTTGTCTTTGCTGGCACTGAAGAATAAGTGCTTCTCGTCGCTATCAACAGGATGCGGAATAAAGGATATCTGCATAATACTGTCTTCGTGGCCAAAGAGTGCTTTGTGGCAATCACCAAAGTCCAGACCCCAGATCCGCACGTTTTTGTCGGCTGAACATGTTACAATGAGCTTACTGTCACTCGATATCGACATGTTCAGTACCGGAAGCTTATGACCGTAGAGATTAAGGAAAAGCTTCAACGAGTCGACGAAGAAGACTTTTACGGTGTTGTCCAGTGTCGCGACAGCCAATAGCCTAGAATCGGGCGAGAACTGAACGCTCAGAACATCGTCGTTGAGCTTCAAAATGCGTGACTGAACGAGCCGGAGGCGAGGCATCGTGCGTTTTGTGCCAGGAATCTCTTCCTGGACGATCTCAAAGTTCCAGAACTTGACCGACTTGTCCGCGCTACCAGAGATGAGCGACTTGCCGTCAGGATGAACTTGTAAAGTCCAGACAGCGCCTTCGTGGGCCTCAATCTTGTCAAGTAACGATGAGGCTGCAATGTCGTATAACTCAAGATGACCTTCTTTCGTGCCCACGACAACAATCTTGTCACCCGGCAAGAATGCACAGCAAAGTGCGTAGCCACACTCTAGTGTGCGCAGGCAATTTTGGGTCTTGATGTTCCATATCTTCAGGCCGCCACTTGAAGCTGATGCCAGCATACGATCGTCTGAGCTAAGCGCCAGTGCTCGTACATCGTTCCTATGGCCTGCGAGCTCGACAGACAATGTGCGAGTGTAGTCTGGCACCTCGTCGGATTTCGACTTGCTTTTTGTAGGAATGTCGAATACGTCGATGAGGTTGTTGTTGGTGCCGATTAGGAGTTGCATCTTTTTCGACCCCCTTGTCTTCATCCACGCAACAGACCTGACTTTTCCTGCGGTCCGTACGGTAACGTACGAGGTGATGACATCACCAATATCTGCATCAGCGACATTGATCTTGTCTTCTGCCTCCTCCTCTTGCGCATCGCTGTTTGCCTCGTTCTTTCCCTTCTCGCGTCTTCTTCTCCTCTTCCTTGCTAAGCTCTTTTTCACCTCCTCTTCCGTGCGTATCCGCCAAATCTCAACAGCTTTTTCTGTGCCATGCACTGCGACATAGTTCGACTTGGGGTGGAAAGAGATGCCCTGTGTTCGATCTTTACCGGATCGATACAGTACGCCCCTCGCCGTGAGATAGCGTTGCTCGGAAGCTTCGCCAACGGTCGATCCAGCTTGTCGTAAACCAGGTAGATCGATGGCCCAGACCTTGAGTTCGCCGTCATTCCCTACTGTAATACAACCACTGCCATCTGGTGATACGCCCAACGCCCAGCACTCTCCGTTTGTTTGTGCAATGTGTGTCTCGATACAGTGCTGCGTGCCAATGTCCCAGATCTTCATCAAAGCATCCTTGCTCGTCGACAAGAGGTAGGTCTGGTCCGTGGCCATTTCCGTCTCTTCCCCGCCTTCCTGCGGCGTTGCTCCGGGATGGAGAAACTGCAATCCAGTGACCTGTCCCTTGTGCCCTCGTAGCTTGAACAGGCCAGTCTCAGAAACAAGGTCCCAGATGACGATGTCTGTGTCCTTTGCGCCACTGGCCAGTCGCACCCCACTCTGGTCGAAGGCCAGTGTGGTAACGGCTGACTTGTGCCCATTGAAGCTGATGATGGCGGTCGACGTCCTTGCATCCCAGATTCGAATGCTTCCGTCTGCGTATCCCACAGCGAAGACATCGGGGTCGGTGTCGCTTCTACGAATGACAGTAACCTCATCAGTGCAGCTTGCATCCCGCCACCTGCTCAGTAGCTCGCCCTTCTTCACATCCCAACAGAGGACTTCTTCGTTTGCGGCGGCGTATGCGCGTCCTGCTCCGGAGGACTTGGTGCCGGGTTGGGTGGCTTCGGCGGTCCAGACGAGGTTCGAAGTGGCAGTCGCAACGACGCCAAAGGCGTCGCTCTGCTCGTACTTGCTGTCTAGGAGTCAGTGGCAGGTATACTGAGTTTGCGCCTGCACTGCATACCTGTAGGACTTCACCATTATGCGCCACTAGTAAGACTTGCGAGCGCCCAGAAGAGATTCGAGAAAAATGAAAGATATGTCGAACAACTTTTAGGTCATCACTAGTCCGACTTCCACTGCTGTTGTTGGCCGCCAGTGTGAAAGGTGGTGCACTTTTCTCGGCAGCAGCTCTCGAAACTTTTTGGAAGTTGCGGCCCGCCCTAACTAAGGAGCGCCACAGCTCTGCACCAGCCACAGACGGCCCACCCAGCGACGACACTGGGCACCTCCGGCTCCGCAGCAGCCTGTCAGAGCTCCCCACCATACGCAGCTACACCCCTTCACAGCGCCAATACAGCCACAATGCTTCTCCTCGATTACCAGAATGTGCTCATTGAGTCCCTGCTGAAGGACCGCTTCTCTGGGTGCGCCTGCCCCGCCACTGCCTACACCGCAACCCGCCCGACTGACCGCATACAGGGGAGCTCCCGCGAACATCGACCAGGTCGTCTCCGACTTCGACGGCGTCACCTTTCACATCTCGACGCCCGAAAGCAAGACCAAGATCCTCGTATCTCTGCAGATCAAGTGCTTCTCGGAGCTGGTCCAGTACGGCGCTCAGGCCGTCCTCGAGCGCGAGTATGGCCCGTACATTGTGTCGCCCGAGTCGGGGTACGACTTCTCAGTGCTGGTAGACTTGGAAAACTTGCCGGAAGAAAAAGGTATGGTCATATGTCAATTGGGACACGGCAACTGCTGACGGTGGTTAGAGGACCGTGATGATCTTATCAGGCGCATTTCCCTCCTTAAGCGGAACGCTATGGCTGCACCTTTCGAGCAAGCTTTCGACGAGTTTGCACAGCTGCAGGAGGAAGCTTCCAAGTACACATCAGAATCAGCGCCCCAGGGCATGAAAGAGGGCGGTGAGGTCCGCGCTATTCACTACCGTGAGGAGGAAGCGATATACATCAAGGCCAGCTTCGACCGTGTTACAGTAATTTTCTCCACAGTGTTCAGGGAAGAGACCGACAGGATCTTCGGAAAGGTCTTCCTTCAGGAGTTTGTCGACGCCAGGCGGAGAGCTATCCAAAACGCACCCCAAGTACTTTTCCGTAACGACCCACCTCTCGAGCTGCAGGGTATCCCAGGAGTTGACACATCTGGTTCTGCCGATATTGGCTACATTACGTTTGGTGCGTCTAGCGCAACGTCCACAAATGGAGTTTGCTAACAGGAACAGTCCTTTTCCCTCGCCATCTGACAGCTGCTCGACGAGCGGACGTCATTTCTCACATCCAGACCTTCCGCGACTACTTTCACTATCACATCAAGGCCTCCAAAGCGTTCATTCACTCGAGGATGCGTAAGAGGACTGCAGACTTCCTCCAGGGTATGTGGAACTCAGTCCTTCACGTGAAATTCATGTATTTACCGTATCACAGTCCTCCGAAGAGCAAGGCCCGAGGCAGAAGAGAAGGAGCGCAAGACAGCGAGCGGACGAACATTCAGGGTACAGGCATAAAGCACATGGCGAGACAAGTAGTTTGTCGAGAAGAAGACAAGACAATGCCAAGCCAACACAGACATAACGTGACAAGCCTTGCTTTGAGCTTGAAGTGACTTTGAATTGAGACCCACACAACGTATCATTCTTTGAAGGTGTTTGTGGACCCCGAGGTTGAGGTAACTGATTTGGGTGCACGGACGGGTCGCGACTTCCACTCGACGCGTTCCCGCAGTCCACCCCACAACGTCAACACCCCACCAATCCAGCCCGCCCCTTCCTCGCCCTTTCTTCTGTTACCCCCACAATGTCTTCGGAAGCATCGCGACCGAAGTATGACAGCCTGCCGGGAATAGACACAGCACCGGACGTTTATGAAACCCCCGAACTCGCCGAAGATGTCTCGACAATACAAGCGTCCACAGCAATATCAGAGTCAGATTACGGAGACTCTGACCCCGACAGCTCTGCTGTAAACCATCAACGCTTGCAGACAGATCAGGCGCGCAATCGTTTTCAACCCTCACGAGTAGATGCCAATGGTGTAGACTTCTCCGACAACATCGCTCAACGGCAAGCATACCGCACGTACACACAGCAGCGGCGGCGGGGCGAAATATTGGGCGATGACAGCGACGAAGAACAAGAAAGCTTCTCGCGGAAACTCATAAGGGTGAAGCGCGAACTGCAGGAGCTGGAGGACGAATATGAACAGAGGAAGAAATCTGGAGACAAGACCAAAATTGAAGAACGAGACGCCAAGGAGGTGATAGACCTCATCTCAGACAAGGTCGATGAAATATACGCTAGCCGCAGAGGTGGTGCTCAAAGTGCAGAACCGCTGCTCGACCGGACAATACAGAGATTCAACGACTACGAACCCTTTGCGCCGAGCTCGAAGATCACAGCAGCGATTGCCAACCAGCCCCCTTTACCAGGCTCGCAGATTCAGAAGAGCCAACTAAATCATGTTCTGGCTCAAGCAGCGGAGTTCGACCAAAGAATCACGCAAATGGAGAGCAGCCTCGGGCTTAATGGCAACACCATACCGGAGATGAGCGAGGACACCACATCCCCTGTCTTCACAACGCTACAAAGACTTGAGCAAACGCTTGGCGCGATTGGTGACGCCTCGTCAAGCAATCTCGACGGAGCATCACAGCAGATCAAAAAACTGATAGAGGAGGCCGAGGATCTCAAGGAGGCTCGATTAGAAGCGTCGCGCGCCGGCTCATCCGAAGAAAGCACAACGCCAGACCAGGAAGCCAAGATCAATGCACTCTACGGTACTCTGCCCTCAATTGATAAGCTCTCGCCCATTCTGCCTCTTGTCCTAGAGCGCCTTCGCACATTGCGCCTCGTACACACCAGTGCATGGCAAGCAGATGAGGTACTGACCGAGCTGGAGTCGCGGCAGTCTAAGCAGGAAGAGGAGATAAAGAACTGGGAGAAGCAGTTGGAGCTGGTGGAAGAGGACGTGAAGAAGCACGAGAAGGCCATGCAGGGCAATGTCAAAGTGGTAGGCGACGACATCAAAATGCTCGAGGAGAAGATCACAAAGCTGCTGGCCGAGCGAGGAGAGTGAAGCAAGGGTCGCCAACGTGTGCATTCAGGGAGATGCAGTAAGAGATACCCATTTGCATTTGAGCAGGTACACGCCAGTTATACCAGAAAAAAGCAAGAAGCACAAACGCACAATGATAACAAAACCATGGCATCAAATTCCAATCCCTTCACTTTACCCTAACATCTTTACTACCAGCCAATCGCTGATTCAATGTTTCCCACAAATTGCTAAGCACAAAAGGATGTCTAACGGGGTCTTGTCTGAAACAAGCTGGTAGAGCATTTCCTACACTTTATGACTTTGGATATAACTTTGGCTATGATATGGCTTTGGCTACGATACAACAATCTCGCCCTCAGCTCTCAAGTCCCTGCTGCTAGCGCCTACCCACACTTTGTAAGTTCCTTTTTGAAGCTCCCATTTCTGCGCTTCCACGCTCCATACGCTCAGATCACGCCTGTCCAGCGCAATCACGACTTCTCGACTCTCACCAGGCTGCAATATGCCCACACGCTCGAAACCTCGCAGTTGTCGCTCAGGTGCGTTTGGAATACCTAGGTACAATTGTACAACCTCGTGTCCTGCTACTTCGCCGGTATTGGTGATGTTGATGTGCGCCCGGTAAAGTACCTGCCAGAGCTCAGGATGCCCGCCTTGCACGACTGGAACAGATTCCGACGGGAAGCTGGTAAGAGATGCATCCGCTATGCTCTCAATGCTCAGATCAGCGTGCTCGAAGGTAGTATATGAGAGACCGTAACCAAACTCGTATCTTGGCGTGATGTTCTGTTGATCGAATGCGCGGTAGTCGATATATAAACCCTCGGTGAAGTTGCTTTGCAAGAAGGCAGGGTGGGTTAGGTCGATAGTAGAGTTGAGAAGGTGGCCATAGTCTGACTCATTGCGTGCGACTGTGTAGGGCAGGCGACCAGACGGGTTCACGTCACCGTACAAGACATCGACAAGCGCGTTCCCACTTTCCTGTCCGGGGACACCTGCAAAGATAACTGCAGTGACATTTGGGTGCTCAATCCAAGAATCGACGACGCGGATACCAGCGCTGTGCAACACAACGATCGTGTTGCTGCAATTCTTCGCTACGTTGTTAACAAGCTGATCACTGAAACCGTCCGCGAGGCTTGTGCGATCGAAACTTTCAGAGGCGTAGGCGTTAATGAACACAAGGCACGCATCTGCGTTGGCGTATACAGTTGGGTTGACACCAAAAAAGTCCCAACGAAGGGTGCCGCGATCTGCGATGATGCGATCCTGGATCGCTTTGAATGGGCTGATCACGTATGGCGGAGTGCTCGAACCGGAACCGCCTGCTGTAATCAATGTGCCATTGAGGATTGACCAGCCGAAGTTCTCCTCATACCCGCCACCAAAACGAGCAGGGTTATTCCATGGCTGGGCCTTGACCTCAGCATCATAGCCATAGATGTTCAGGAATCGAGGGTTTTGGAGCGGCAATGTGTTGTTGACGTTCTTAACCAGAACGGTGCCAGCAGCTCCAATCTCTCTGATTAGAGACGCATGATCTTCGCGTACGTCCACAATCGGGTGGATAACATTGTATGGATACACTGCGTTCTCAGGGAAGCCTTCATCCTGGTTGACGTAAAAGTAGGCCGCGAGTAACCGCGCGTTCATATCGTCGAGTCTTTCGGATGACACTGAACCATTGGTAACTGCCTCTGTAAGATTGTTGCCCCAAAACTTTGCATTTGGCATGACGACATCAAGGCCAGCGTTAGCAGATCCTACCCCAGAGTGCTGTGCATCCCAGTCTGATACGACGAATCCCTCAAAACCGAGTTCGGTTTTAAGAATGCCATTGAGCAATTTGCTGTTCTGACAACCATAACTGTTGTTGGTGCGTTGATACGAGCACATGAGGGATGCGGCACCTTCCCTTAGCGAATCCATGAAAGGCCAAGCGTACAACTCATGTGTTGTTCGATCATCCACATTGGAGGACACCGCTTCGCCTTCTGATGTAGGCACGCGCCTGTACTCTTGTTCTTGATGCAGCCAATGCTATGAGTCTGTCAGTATGATGAATACATGACCAACGAGGGGACAAGATTACCTTCGGGGTCGCGATGACACCCTCCGCTTGTATGCCCCGCGTAATCAGCCCACCACCGACTCCTGCAAGGACCGGATCTGCCCCCAGGCCCTCCCAATTTCGTCCACCTCGTGCAACTCGTCCTATTGGGCCAATAAATGGGCCGAGCGCTACGTGTATACCTTTCCCGCGGTACTCACGCCCCAGGGCGTGGCCATACCTCAGCATAAGGTCTCGGTCAAAAGTTGCTCCAAGATGAATACCAGATGGAAATGATGAAACGAACTCCTGGCCACGTACACCGGCTGGGGCGTCTGCAAAACATAATTCGGGAATCTCGAGACGTGGGACAGCGCCGGTCTGTCCGACACAGGGGCCGGTGACTCCATGAGTTAGGTTCGACTTCTCTTCGAGCGTCAGTTCAGCGACTAATTGTTTCGCTCGCGCGTATGCCTCTGCCCATGCCGATGAGCTTGAGCCGCTACTGCTTGCTGGGCTTCATTAGCAACATGGATATATCAATGCTTAGGAATGGTAAACAACTCACGGCTAGGATAGATAGGCGGACTCTGGCCATACAGTGGTACCTCTGACTCGTTGGTATAGCCTTGAGATAGTGATGATCTCGAGAATAGGGCTATGCTCAGGGCAAGAAGATGAGATGACTTCATCGTGCAGCCGGTTAGAGTTCTCGTGAGGGTGTGGGCGAAGATTTGAAGTTGAACGAGAGGCTGGTCTTATAGTCTATGTTCTTACTCCATTTAGAGAGCACATCATGCTGTACCCGCACGTACGTGATGCATGTGCGCTGCATTAGCCTCGTAACGAGCTCCTCCCATCTCTGCCGTGGTTCACCCGTACTCCGCATCTTGGCCGGTAGCAAAGAGGGGAAGTGGATAGTCGTTGCATCGAACTTTTGAACGAAGAATTGTTTGCTGGCGCATTCTCCTGGATACCGCCAGTCGGGAATAGTTCCGAGTCGTCAATTCGGTCTCAATTGACGTCAGTACAGGGGTCGTGGCAGCCGCCACAGGGCTTGCGCGCAGCCGACTCGGAGATACACCATGTTCGATCAGATCATTGCTTTGCAAAGCTTAGCGGACTTCGAAGCTCATCTTCTTGGCACCATAGCGGACGTGATGGTCGCATGATGCGGACCGATGTTCGGTATCGGCAACGAAAGCAGCGCGTTTTTGTAGGCTAGTACCAATACAGAACAGGGTATCCACAGCAGATCAAATCGATCACTCAATCACTCATGGTTGCGCACTGTTCTACGAAGTAGGTACTATCCTAAGGCTCGTCATACAGTAGTACATGTGACGGGCTTTTCTAGACCTCACAATCTTTATCGAAAGTTACTTAATCGGCCTTTTGCTCCATTTTGTACTTACCCCTCTCGATGAGTTCTGTCCACACCCCATACAACAAGATGTGGAGCAATGCTCAGTGTCGTTGCGAAAGACTGCCCTATACCATGACTTCTCCGCGAGCTAGATGCAGTACGGGCAGTTAGATGGCCCTATCTACAGAGTCCGCGGGATGTCGAACCCAAGATCAAACTCAAGACGTGGAACAGTAATGAGAGCTACTAGAACGCTAACCACAACTTTAACTTTAGAGATAAAACAGGCTAGTTTTTACGTTAATAGTGGATCTGCTAAGATGGGTAGGCTGAACTACTGGTTCTATGTTAGTATTAAAATGGACGAATCGTTGAAAAAACATAAATGGGCATCTTCCTGCCGAGATCGATCAGAAGTAAAGAGGGGATGGTGATGGGTACCGCGTAAACCAAGAAGCCAGGGGCAACATCAGATACTGACGAAATTAGGTGTGCTAACAGGACTGTGCCTTCTAAATCTGGTACGTCGGGGATGTGTCGCAAAACGATTGACCTCTGGCGTTCTTTCATGGTATGTGGCGCAATTAACTGAGCATAGTGGAGAACGAATCGTTACCAACTATCCTGACCATAAAGGTTGACGAATAATGAACCGTGAAGGTCTTCCTTCCGGATCTGTTGCCGGCCTATTGAACGACTGCAGTTTGGCTCATTGCCAACCGTACCACCTTCAATACCCGCGCCTCAGTTTGACGTTAACTTCCAGTCCAGGATGTGCCTCCTCCAACAGCTTGCGCAGCTTGGCCAGCGCCCCTGCCTTTGCCGCCGTAGCCTCCGCTTCATCAATCTCCCAACCCCATTTGTTCAGAGTAACTTCGATCTTGATCTGCTTCAAACCGCTCAACTGCCATTGCGACACATTCAAGATATCCATCTAGAAGATGGGGCTCACGTCTACACCGTTTGCGCCCTTGATGAGGTAGCCGCGGTGGCTGTGCTGGATGCAGGTGATTGACTCGCGGTGCATGGCGCACAAGGATTGGATCCACTCCCGCAAGTGGCCGTTGTGACGACCTGCGAAGGTATTGCAGAGGTAGGGGAAGAGGTGGGACTCGGCGTAGATCTGCTGATTGACTCGCAAGAGTGCCAAAGCGTGCTTCACGGCGTTGTCAGCGCGCGGTGTCTGGCCGCCGCTCATGTTGATCGACCAGGTGTTGCCGCCAAAGGTGTAAGCGTATATGATGTTACGGAGCTCAGCGGGGAGACGGAGGAGATGAGATCTGTGTTGATGAGTGAAAGAGCTTCCAAAATTAGCGATATCATAAGACGGGTATCGACTAGCATACTGAGAGCTAAGTCTAGTCTCACCGCGACTTTCAGAAGTTGTCGGGATGGCTTTTGATGGCATTGTTGTTGTGTTTGATGATTGTAGTTGATGGTTGTAGTTTTTCGGGCGGTAGTCTCTTATAGTTGAGGGGATGTAAAGACCGGATGAGCCCTTCACTTCGCTTATATTGGGAGACGCCAAAGCAAGACACGCATCGCAGATAGTGAAAGCCTCGATTTTTCCAATAAGGAAGAGGTGACGATGGAGGTATTAGCGCTCGGTTCCTTATACAGGAAAACTCATTGAAGGTGCACAGGAGGGCTTTAGACTTGACACCCTTGTTTGCACGCGTGACCATCGATGGGAAATGCAGACCACCGAAAGCCGTAATGAGCTGATTAATAGATTCCTAGGGTTTCGTGTCACTCGCGAACAATGTCAATCCTAAGATAATACTACTCGATCAGGCTTGCCATACTGGTCTCCATACAATCACTGAACTGACGAAGAGTTGCTGCGCTCTGAGTCGATAGAACAATCTCGTTAGTAAACGACAGTCCTTACGCTGCAAACAGGCGATTATTGAAAGCAGTGAAGTTTCTAATGCGATCCAGTCTGACTCTTCAGGGGACTGTAGATAATTGTTGCCCAAACTTTATGACAAGAGCACCCAAAATTCGATCTAGGTAGTTATCAAAGTTTTCCCAACTCATTGTAGAAGAGCCATTGCATACCACACGTCCGTCTCGAGATCCATAGATGGAGAGTTCTGTGTCGAGTTTGGATTACATGAACTCATCCGAGCATCAAGGGATGCCCCCGTTTTGTAATCCGCTCTGCAGTCTCTTCTGCGGAACCAGGAATCTATAGCTACCTAGGCGTAGTAGAGTTTAAATAAAGTGTATTCAGTGAAAGCCAAACTTTTCCCAACTCAAGCTTTGGAAAGACTCCAAGAACGAGGGCTGACCAGTCTGAAGCAGTGTATAGTGTACCTCCTTGAGGGGGGGGGGGGGGTATGTAAGATTTTATAGTGCATATCAGTGCGCCAAAGACCAGCACAGTTCTAAAAGGTTTAAGTAGCTAATATTATATATACATATATATAACTACACGACAAGGTTGTTAGGATGAGCAACATGATGCCCAAAGTGACGCGCGACCTAGAGCTGTTTGGTTGGCTAATAAGCGAAGCGCTACGACTTAGCGTAGAATCGGAACCTCGACCGATCCGCGGCTTAGGATCGATGATGAAAGAGAGTCTGCGGCTGATTCGCATTTGCCTTCTGCGTCTAACAAGCTCGTGGTGCGCATGTTTCCCATCATGACGATTGTTGTGGAGCGGTAATTATGCTTGACGCGTTCGTTTCTAACCTTTATATGTTCCTTCCCCGGACTTCCTAGAGTTTGCCCTTGAACAGTCCTGTCGTTAAGCTGTTGATATGTCCCGAAACAATGAGCAGACGCCGCTGCTCCAGGAGAGGTGGAGTGAGGAAGGCGAGAGCCGAACTGTAAGATCGTGTGTCGCGTGTAAGCGTGAATTTGATCAATGCTAAAGTCGAACAGCTTCTACGTATTGAAGATCTTCCCACTGAGTACAATCCAAGAGAGTGGTCGAGATGGAATAAGATGGCCAACGTAGTCGTCATTGCATGCATGTCAAGTTTGTAGCATCAAATTGCCTTTTCTTACAAGAACTGATCAATACCAGTTTTGAGTCCCCTCGTTAGTAGCATGTTCACTCCAGGAATTGCGCAGATTGCTGAAGATCTTAATACTTCTACCACCGCTGTTATTGGTACAACTACCGGATACATTGTTATGTTAGGGATTGGGCCTTTACTTTTAGCACCGCTTTCAGAAACCTTTGGCCGCCGCAATCTCTACCTTACTTGCTTCTCTATATTCGCCCTTTTACAGATCCCAACAGGTTTCTCTCCCAACATCGAATTCCTCATCGTCATACGCAGTGTTACAGGCTTCTTTGGTAGTGTAGGCGTAGCCAACGGAGGAGGAACGATTTCAGGTAAGAAGCAAGATAAGTGATGCAGTCTGCAGAAACTGATTGACAGCTAGATATGTTCATTCCAAGTGAGCGAGCTGGGGTTTTCGGATGGTACCTATTAGGCCCTTTACTGGGGTGAGCGAGTCATGCACCATACACGATACCATTTGCTAACAACTCTAGCCCGACGATCGGCCCTCTGCTCGGCGGTGTGATCGTGCAAGAGCTTGGATGGCGCTGGACATACTGGATTATGGCCGTCGTATCCCTTACAAATACAGCAGCGGGCTACTTCCTTCTACGTGAAACATACGTGCCACGGATTTTGAGCCAAAAGAAAGACGAGTTCGAGCGTGAGGCCTCTGGTTCCGATGGCGCAAAGTATACGTACGAAGGCGAAGATACCCGACCGCTACGCCAAAAGATCCTGCATTCTTTAAAGCGACCACCGAAGATCTTCGCACAACCAATTGTTGCAACTATGGCTGTGTACCAGGCTCTTATCTTTGGAACGACATTCAGCATCTACACGAATATGCAGAAAATATATTCTGATCTATACGGCTTCAATACCGAACAAGTTGGCCTATTGTATCTTGGACCCGGTCTTGGCTTTATCTTCGCAGTCTTCTTTCTGGTACCTCGGATTGATACAGTATACAAGAGTCTCACAGCAAAACATGGCGAGAAGGCCAAGCCTGAATATCGCCTACCTCTTGCAAATATCGGTGCGGTACTTATCCCAGTATCGTTGTTCTGGTTTGCGTGGACGGTAGAAACTCACGCGCATTGGTTCGCATCTATCTCAGCGACCTTCTTCTACGGCATCGGCCAAGTCATGATTTTAAACTGCACTCAAAACTATTACATTGACAGTTTCGAGAAGTATGCGGCAAGTGCGATCGCAGCAGGCACTGTGTTCAGAAGTCTCGTTGGTGGCGTTGTGCCGTTAGCTGCGCCAGGGTTATTCGAGAAGCTAGGTTATGGCTGGGGAATTAGTGTGTTTGCCTTCACCGGTTTGATACTCGCGCCTGCTCCCATTCTCTTCTACATATTCGGCGAGAGGATCCGCGAGAGATTTCCTGTAAACTTGTAAGGCTTAGTCACACCATGGAGGAACCAAGGGTAGTCACCTAGTGCTACCATCTTCTTCAAGCGATCCCATTGGGATACACTCAACGAAAAAGGATGTTGTTACAGGACACAACTGAGTATTGAGCTGAGCGTTGCTCGCGTTCGAACCTGCCGAACACGCCACTACTCGCCGGGCCCATAACGGGGCGCTTCCCGACTTTCCTCTGTGCGGCGAGACACCGAAGTGTCTCTGCACACCACCACAACGCATGACCTACGAGCCAGCTCGTCCACACGTCCGGTTTGGGATTCCTCCCCGGCAGAGAAATTGCTCGCAGGCGTTAGTCTGATGGAGCAGAACAAGTTCGTTTCCACCGTGCCGCGATCCCGCGCAATACTCAACGTTCAGTGACCGTAGGCAGACCTGCACCTGCACAGTGTGAAACAGCAAGCTTGATATCCGTTGAGGACTCAGTACTCGCGCACTTGAGAGGAGATGATGAGTCCGTACGGAGTACATCACGACCTTGCATCGTGGCACTGACACCAACTGACGCCACCAATTGAAAAGAGAGTTGGTGCAAGTCCTGTGTTGTAAGAAGGAGGAGGTGGAAAGAGAGAAACAAATTGAAATCTCTGAGGAGCGGGGCAATGCAGATTATATGCCCACGCGCAGGCGCTAGGGCCTCAAGCTAGTGAGCTCACCGTGAGAGTGAAGGTAAGCTCAGGCAGCAGCTCCACAGAAAGCTACGCGGCATCGACCCTTGGCATCGCAGTCCCCAATGCACTGCCAGTAGCTGCACTCAAGTCTTCGAGATTCTGATCTGGCTGAGGAAAGCTGCCCCCTGGTTCCACTTCCATTCCGTCCGGACGAGATTTTACCGTACCCGACCATCCTTGTGCTCAGTTCGCATCTCTTGGGCCTATACGGTCACACAAACTTACCATGGCTTCAGCTCGAAGCTCTGGCGTTATCGACAACCCAGAGTCTCGGACCCACTCCAAAGCTGCACCGCCCTTCCGATTCAAGGACTACCCCTGGAGCTACGACGAATGATCTGTGAATTTGCTTTGACTACTGAATCAAATACAATTTACATCTTCGAAGAGGCTGACAAGCTACGACCAGGCGTGACTTCGACAGGCATCATGCCAGTTGGCGGTTTTCGGCAAGCGTTTGCATCCCATCATCGTTACAACGTTGAGCTGCCGAAGCCCTACAACCAGCTACAATACACATGCAAAGAACTGTATAGAGAAGTGCGCGGGATGGAGTTCCAACAAAACGAAATTCAATGCAATGGGTGGACGTTCGACACATTCAGAAGTCAACTGCAGACACACCCAAACCAGGCAGCGTGGTACGCCAACGTTCGTCTTGTCACCCTCATTGGAAACTTCTCTATCGGCCACCACGTAGACGAAACACTTCTACACGGAATTCTTAAGTTTGGCGAGACTCATCCCAAGGCCATCATTCGAGTGTGCGTACCAAACTGGAAGTTTGACCAGCATCTCCAGGGATTTCTTACTTTTGGTTATCGAATTCTTGAAGCTATTCGTGGAGAAGCTCCTCCCAGTTGGATCAAAGCGCATAAGGGTATGAAGAAGAACTGGCGCCGTGGTAAACACGTCAAGGATTTGAACATAGCGAACGTCCGCTTCTTCCCTTCAAACATGTGGAATAAGAAGACTGAACCTCATCTGATTGTCAAAATGCTCAAGAAAAAGCAAGCGTGCGTCGATAATTTGCTCCACGAGCACGGATCCATCCAAAAGGCTGTCGATTTCATCGGGATATGGGCATCTGAAGGCATTTAATACACTCTCCGTGTCTACATACACGTTCGATTCTCACTTTGTCCACTACACCCGCACATGCTTCTCCTAAAAGATCTGACTTCTGCATTCGTGACCTACTCAATAAACCACTTCTCGCCATCCACATCTCTACAATCTTCTAGGCAATTGCTTCAACTGGCATAATCATACATCCTTCTCTGCCTCGCTCCGTTCGTATCCTTACTCTCCCTCGCTTTCAACGCTGGCATAGACCATGTTCCATTCATAGCGCCCCCCGCTCCACCAGTTGCCATCGGTAGCCCTGTTCCTAAACTTGCCGTCGGATCTCCCCCGATCGTTTCACTCGGCAGATCCATCTCGACAATTGCCTGATCCCACAAGGCCATCGCAGCAACTTGCTCGGAAGCAATGGTTCCTGCGATAGCGATGATCTCGTCCGCAGTCATGGAGCCGGCGTTCATGGGCTCCGACTCGAAGGTTTCTTGCGGAATGGCCTCGGAAGACGTCGCAGAGCCGGATGAGGAGGTAAGTGTGCAGAGTGTGTTTGAGCAAGATGAACGAGCGAGGCTAGTCTTCGAGCCGGTCATGGAGCCGGAGACAGAGTTGGATGATCCAGACACAGGGTTGCTGACCGAAGGTGCAGATGTGGGCTTGGAAACGCTCACTTGGTTACTGGCGGGTGGACTGGTTTGTGGCACAGATGCTGGAGGGGCTGCGCTATTTGCTGGTAGCTGCGGCTGTGAAGTGATAGGCTGATCAGCTTTTGAGCTGGCAGGTGGTGGTGCAGCAGTTGTCTTAGGCGGATCAGCAGGCTTAGTAGGCTTCTTTGGTGGTTTCTTCGCTGCCGCATCCACCTGGAAGTCTCCTTCTTCTTCTTCAATGCTAGCAGCCTTGACCGGAGGAGCCGTCAATGTCTCCGGATCCTCAGGGTTACCAGTGCTCCACAACCACTGATCGTAGTACATGGCCAAAGACCAGTACAGGATATTTTCGATATTACGAGATGATTCGGCAATTCCCTTGTGTTTTGCGAGTCCGACAGCGCCAGCAAAACCGTAAGCCGACCCCCCGGTGCCTCCTTGAGTATCCGGGATCTTCTTGTCTGAAAACTCGTTCCTGACTGGATGAAAGAGTTGCGTATGCATGAACTCGTGGAACCACTTCGCGCCCATCTTTTTACCGAAAGCAGAGATATGGAAAGGCAACGTCTTATCTTTCTTGCCAGCCTGTGTGTAGGTTGTGAAGGTATCGGGTAACTTGGTCTTGGAAATGTCCCAGAGATGAGGTTGCTTGTCTTTCTCAAGCTGGTGCTGACGCTTCAAGTATTCTTTACAAAAGGTTATCCTGGAGGCGATCAGTGCTCATCATCTTTCAGGATATGATCAATGTAATTGCTATACCTTTCCGGGCCCTTCTCTCGTCCTCCCGTTGGCAGGTTCTTGTTAATTGAGGTGACTGCAGCCTTATTGCCCTGGCATGGCTTGCCTCCTTTAACCTTCGTCCATTCAGCACGATCCATGTCGTAAAGATACTGGAAGCCCGTTTCCAGTTTCTCAGTCGGCTTAGCCTTTGCAGTCTTTGGAGCTTTCTCAGTAAGCCAGTCATCATTACAATGGATGATCAGATTTGGCTTTCCAGACTTGGTCATACGGTCGAGTGATTCCCTCGTGACCTTGATGGCGGCGATGTGTTTCTTCGCCTCTGTCTCGAAATTCGGGTTTGGTGTGCCATCGGCTTTCTTTGCCTGGATTTCACCGAATAGAACACGGTAAGTCGCGATGATCTTGTCGAGTTTGTCTTTGCTGACTGAAGGCTTTTTGAGGTTGGCGCCAGCGGGTTTGCTCTGATATTCGAGTGCTGTAATGAGGATGTCCAGACTGTCTTTTCCAGCCGCTGCGAGTTTTGGCTGCAAGTCCATACTCTTGTCTATCAGCTGCTTTGCAGTGAGCGAGCCATACTTGGTGTTACAAGAAGCGTCGAATTTCAAAGCCCGCTTTGAAAGGTCAAACGAGAATGCATTAGCATTGACGAACAGCAATGCCGCACAAAGAACGTCTGCGCCGAAAAGCTTCATGATGTTTGGAGGAAAGAATGGACGACGGCTCCAGAGCAGTCAAAAAGAAACGAAGTGAATGTCAGACAATTGCTATAAGTTCTGTACAACGATGCAGCGTGATGCACTTGATATACTTGAGATGCGATAGTAGAGACAAGGATCGGACATCCAATCATACATGCTGACGCACTCTCGTAATGTCCGGTACCTGCCAAGTCTCTGTTGGGGTGGGTCGGTGAGACGGAAGCAGGCTTAGCTGAGGTTCAGTTTGTGCATCTGGCGAAGTCCGTCCTGTGGGCATTTATTTGTCCTTCGAAACGAAGGAGGCGTGAAGTCCGACATACGGCGAAGCGACCTTACCGTGCCACCAACAATGATCTTCAAATGCATACATGTCCGCTGGCAATCTATTTGCCTTGTTGACATGAATCAAGAAACAGAGAATTGTATCATACACAATCATCCTATGATCATTTCACGCCATCCGTCTCAGAAGCCCATGTCTCGGTCGCTATCATAACCCGTATCGCCTCCATCTTCCACACCCGATGGCACATCGCGTTTCGTGTCAGATGAATACACCTTGTCCATGTTGTAGGTACCGGATTCGACACGGTTACATAATGTACCCAACGCGAAAGCGATGTGGCCTGTCCAAATGAAGCCATTTGCCATGAAGCTTCTCAGCCACGCTGTGCGCTGCGCTGTTCCGTCCCATGATAGGAGCAACAGACAGGATGGCAGGGCCTCTTCAGATTGAGTCCAGACTGGGTCTTCTGCGTATACCACTGGCCTTCCATCGATGTCCCCAGACCAACAAGACGACATTGTGCTAGGCGGTGTGAGTCTTACAAAGGGCGCGGTATAGAAAGCCACTTACTTAGTAAGAGCGTAAACTCTGTGTTCAAATGCTTCCTTCTCCACTGGGGACAGATTTTGCATAAAAGTGAACTCGACGATCTCCAGAATCTTGTCAACGTCCTGCCATGACTGGTTGTCGGGCGTCAAAGGCATGTCCTCTAACTTCAATTTCGGCATTCCAACTTCACCACTAGTCCACGTCAAGTCCACACTACAGTGATCACGAACCGCGATATTCTGCCGCCATTGCTCGAAATCAACAGTTGTGTCCCATGCTAGGCTCTTGGTCAGATCGACGTGCGAGTAAAATCTGAATGTGACGTACAACATAGAAATCGAACCGTCTTGTTCTTAGCTTGATTACCGGTCATCTGTAAGATACTGAGCTCTTGTAGCCCTTTGACTCCATCATGCAGACCCATCTCCGCTCGCGAATCATTTGCATCTTTATCAATTCCAGTCGGGTAGCCAGAATCTACCAACTTGGAAACGATACAAACGGCGTGTGCATTGCCCACTTCTGCGCACGTAGTTGAGAGACCATCGGATTCCGATAGGAATTTGTCCGCCATTGCAAGTGTCGACATCGGCCGGAAACTCAAGTTCATCGGATAAGCTGTGTCAGAGTACTCCGAGGTATCAAACTTTAGCACCGCATACTCCCATGGCAGTTTTCTGGTAAGGTGTGCAATATCGGTGGGCACATCCGTGTGAGCACAGGTCGGATGAAGGCCCGGCTCGAGCTTTTGAAGCTCAAGAGAATATCGCTCCGAGCTGAATCCACCTTTTATATCTTTCTCGCCGCATAGGTCACTCCTGATGAGACCGAAGAACGCGTTGCCAAAGCAATTGCCCTGGTATAGATTCTCGACTACTGCCTGCTCGTGTCGAGCGACGAAGCGGTGTCGATTCAACAACTCAACAAACTGCTGCTCTTGCAATTTGGACATTTGCTTCGCATCTTTTGAATGCTCTAGCTCGCTCGTATCCTTTGTCTCCGCACTAAGGACATCGATAGTCCAGTTTCTTGATTCATCCAGCTCCAGATATGAATCGTTGCAAAAGAAGAGCACACTCGGCGCCTTCGCCATGCGCTGACTCATGAAACCTAGACCGGGCGTCTGGTGGTAGAACTTGTACCGGCTGTCTTCGGAGTCCCACACTTGGGAACGGTTCAGCAACAGAGGCGAATGAATGACACACAAACTTACACAATAAGAACCACAGATCATGTTCGTCGCTAAGATGCGTCCTGTACGCAGCTTTTAATCCATTTTGATGCAAGACATACTGGAGCGTCATGCGCCATTCTTTGCCGAATATGGATGCCTCATCTTCTATGGCGACGGCGGGTTCGAAACGCAAATGGCATACATCCAGGAAGGGCATGCTGAAGTTCGAGTCACTCTAGTAGGGAATCAGATGTGCTGCAAATATGTTCAACAGCGTCTTCAAGTAGGTGAGCACTGTATGATCATGATGATAGTGGCTGGAGTGTCGGTGACCGACGCGTCGTGATCGCTAGCCGTCTTCAGCCTTGCTCTGCGGCGCAGCAGGCAGGGATAGTGGTGAACACAAGATATATATACATTGTGTAGCGCACTCCTGTATAAAGAGTGTAATAACGATGGCCTTTAGTATCCCAGCCTGAGGAGATTGCGAAAGCAATGATGGGGTCCCTGTCAGGTGCAGCCCTCACCCACTTAGCGTATGATTACATAAACATGAATCTGCCAACGTGTCTGCATTCGCCAGTACTTCATAACAGCTCTCGCATGCATTCTCAGATGATTTCCTGGTAGAGATTTGACTGAGGTACCTGTATCTTCTTTGTCTGTGGAGGCGGTGCCTGATGACGAGCGAAACCTACCGATCATTTGCTAGGTTCCTGCCAAAGGCCAAATTGCCTCGCAACAACAGAAAGACGGATGTCCCTGCAAGTCGAAATAGTCCCACTCTTGTTTTAGTCCTACATCTAGCAACCAACGCGTCAAGGTATGTGTTCTCACGTCAAAGTATCAAGCTACAAATACCTCACCGCCCCAAAAACCAACTTTGATTCCCCATTTCTCTTCTTTCTGATCCAAACTCTCCATTCTAATCATCGCCTCGATCTTCCTGCTTATATCATCTTGCAGCCGTGTTCGCTCCGCTGCATCTAATTCACCCATGACCAGAATACAGGCCACCCACGACCCATTTCCATCCGCACCTTCTGCAATTGTCGGATGCATATCTGGTTGCGCGCCCGGATCATGACGGTACATGCTGTGATAGTATTTTCGATCATCCGTCTTCTTTGCAGACAAGGAATGCAGCACTTGATTCTTGACGTGGGCGAGTGGTTCCGGTGGTACAGCATCATCTCCCTCTTTGCTGGCACAGGAAGAGGTGTATGTGAGCGTGACGAGCGTAGACTCCGGCGCACCGAAATTCTCCCTCGTACTTGACACCTGAGAATGAGGCAGAGCTTGGTACTCAGTTTTGTCTCCCTTATTCAAAGAAGTTTCCGCATGTCTTTTGAAAATACCAAACGCAGCATCAACAAGCTGCCACACCATCGGCTCATTCCCAAAGCCATGCTCGCCCAACAAGACATTATTCTCACCGTCCACCACTTCCCTGGTATTCTCAAGGTCCAGACGTCGACTAGTCGCGTAATACGGCGGCGTTTGCCAGACTGAGATGTCATCCGCAAGAATAGTGTACAACATCTGGCCGTCTGTATTGATGTAGCGGAGAGCGTGAGTAACACCTCTGGTACTGGATGTGGGAGGAGTGCAATGAAGCAGGTCATTGAAGTGCATGACGGTCCAGCGCTTGAATGTCGCTGCGTTCTCGTCCGTCTCATGATGTAGACTGGGGCGCACGATCATGATGCCTGGGTGTTTGTCGGCAATGCCAGAGGCTGAACCGGAAGCTAGAATAAGGCCGTTCATTGCGTGTCATATATCGCTAAGGGGTTTTCAGACGAGAAACCAAGAAGTTTCGGTGTTGGGCACTATGCTGAACTACGCTGGGGTGCTTATGTACTTAGTATCTTGTCTCAGCTTACCGGGCTAAGGTGTGGAGTCCCGATGCAAATGCAGTGAGACCGTCGATCACCAGGAACCGATTCGCATGGAATTCGCTTGACCTGCATCCTGCTTCGACTAGAGATGGCGTGCATACCTACATAGGTAGATGTCGTGCAACGTTCAACAGGCAGTGCATGGGAACATGTGCTGACCATCTCTTTCTTGGTACCGTGTAAAACCGACAATCCAGATACCGGGTACATAAGCTCTCTGATTAAGTTTAGGCCACTTTTCGGATTCAGGGGACCGAACATCTGTATACCAACTATGAGAGGGCTAGACTTGACATAGTACTGCACATACAACTGTACATACAAGTAGTGATACGCATGATACCTTGAACCAAATTCGAGTAGCCACTTTTCCGTGCTACGAACCACGCTATAAAATGTTCCCAATATCATCTGTCATCAAAGTCACAAGTTAGCAGATATACTAGGGACTTGCCCGCCCGCTTATCTTTACGCCTTCGTTCACCACATGTAGGGCTGGCCCGCACAAAATGCCAGACTGCGAATAACTACATATACTGATCCACAGAAAAGTCACGTTCGCAACGCACGCTTCCATAGCGTCAAGCTGGCGTGCTTGGTCGGCTAGTACGTGTACCATGTGCATTTCTTAAGTCCAGCTAGATACTATACAAGCCAGGCCAGTGATGCCCAAGCGAGCTAATGGAGGGTCCTCGAAATTAGAACAGAAAGTAAGGAAACATAACCATAGCCTCCCAATCCCAGTGCACCAAGGCGTACCTTATGCTCAATGACCCCCAGAGCGCCAAAACACCTTAAGGAACGGTACACGAGCGGCGAAATTCTCGAGCAGAAGTGTCTGACAAGCCTGACGGACTCGGTCTGCTGAGCCTTATTGTGCTCACTTGGTCATAGTCTTTAGTATCCCTGCCTTGCCAAGTGCAGGAATACCGTATATTTCTCAATCTCCACAGTGTTGTCTTTGCCGCTCGCAAGCTCTCCATCCCTTAGTGCTTTCTCGGCGATAATATCTACTTCGATTCTGTTGACACCACCAACGAGCTTCGCCTCGAAGACCGGTTCGCCCTTCTTCTTTCCACCCTCAAAACCTGTGCTTTCGCTGCTGCCATTTATGCCTGCAGTTACGGGCACGCGGTTGACTTCGAAAGTTTTGTTGCTGTTGACTTGGACGTAGAGGCGGTACATGCGGCCCGTCAGGGCGATGGGAACTTTAGGTGTGATCTGGAGATAGGAATGCGTGGGTGAGAGATTGATAGTGGCGCTGTGGTGCGTCTTGGTCTTGCTCGCAGGGATGGTTATAGTCCAAGGATGAGGAAGATTGAGGGCTGGATGCGTGTTCAGAGTCAGACTGGGGATAAGGGCTTCATTGAGTTCTGTTTTGTGTCAACGAATAGCTGTGTGGTTGATAGGAAGTGACTTACTTTTGAGAGGCACCTTGCGGAAGACATCGGTACGGGGAATAGAAGGCGGGATATATGGTGTCGGTTGTTGAAATCCCGGGGTTGATAGGCCATTTTGTTGGCTATAAAGACCGTTGGGGTGTGGGCTGCCACTTGGCGGGCGTGACATGACTTGTGGCGGCGCCATGGCTGGGAGCGGAGTGTGAGCAGGAACGCTCATTCGTTGTGAATCTGGTGCGTTGCTGCCAGGTCTGATCGCACTCAATGCTGGCGACTGGACATCTTGCTTCACACCGTTCGCTACTGGTGACCCAGCATTCCGTGCTTGTGCAGCAAGGACAGGAGTAATGATAGTGGAAGGTACCCTCGTCCCAGAGAATGGATTCGACGCTACCGGTGTCGCGGCCTTGTCTGTTGGGCGTGACCGCCGTCCGCCCATGCTGTCGTTGACGTGCCGTTGCTGACGCTGAAGTGCCTCGTTGTCTACTATGACTCCGGGCGTTGCAGAGTCCCGGGCGTTGGGCGTATTGGACCCTGAGACCGGGCTTTGCCTGAGCTTAAGCTTGAGATTTGGTTTGGGAGCTGGGCTCGGCGCTGCACCAGACATGTTCAGCTTAAGTTTTGGCTGAGGTGGTTCATCCACCCTGGCTCTCATAGCTCTGAGCTTCTCCTTGAAGGTTTCCTACTGATGTTAGTGACAACACCACTTCAGGCTTTCTGTTTACGCACCTCGAGCTCCAGAGAAAGATTGTAGAGCTCGCTCCCGTCTTCGTTGTAGATGCGCGCATTGCTCCACACCAAACTCATTGCACTTTCAAAAGCATCCCAGCTCTTGAACAAAGTATGACCGGTAGGTGCGTCACGGCCGACCACACCCTGCACCTTCTTCTTGATAGCTGCTAGTGACATGGGATCTTTGATGAGTTGATAGTAGTCCTTCAGGGCACGAGTTGGAAGATTGAGGAACGGTTGAAAAATGGCAAGGTCGCCACTAAGTGTACGTTAGCATGATGCACCAATCGGTGATAGTAGCCCATACCCTGGATCCGTGTGGTCGATGATTTCTTGGATGATCTGCTCTTGCGCATGTTGGAAAGACGGTGTAGAAGCTCCACGAGTACCGGTCGATCGCGATTCTGGCGCGGCAGAAGTAGACTGTCTCGGCTTCAAAGGAACGGGTGTCTCTGGTTGTGCCAACGCTGCAGCGCGTCGAGGACGTTCTGTGGCTACAGTGGACGCGGGTGTGGGCGTAGCAGCAGCTCGTGGTGTGGATGCAATACGTGGAATTGGTTTCCCAGGCGGCATGTTCTCCTCGCCTGGAACTGGCGTGGCGACCGCTACGTAATTCCCATCACGGTACGCAGGGTTATGCTTGACCATCCAGTTGGAGGCGGTTTTACGAAGTCGCTCAGCATCCTCGTAAATGATCGACTTTTTGTCGTTGTATGCTTTGGCATTGTTGACGAGCCGTTTGCAGTCGCTTTCGACCTGTGCAAGAGAAGTATATTCGCCATTGTTGAGTTTTTCCTACTGTGCGTCAGTGCAATACTTTGGATCGAATGCTCATCGCGATGCCGTGGCTGCGGCCACTCGACTGACGCTTGAAGGTTGCGTGAGCTGCGGGCAGCAAGTGCTAGAAATATGGGAGATTGCAGCCGTACCTCAATCGAGTCCAAGGCCAGTGGCAGTTTGGTGAACTCGAAGTAGTCTGGCAGCTCGTCCTATGCAACCTGATCAGCGCATTGCCAAGGCGTAGTCGATAGGAGCACTCACCTTGTCTGGCAGTGTCATGAAATGCACTGCAATGGGCCGTCCGCTGTCCAGCATTAGTCCTATGTTCCCCCACTATGTATGCTCCCCATATGCACGTACGTCTTGTCTTTGGCCTGCTTCAAGCCATCCAGGAACTTCAAGCCCATCTCCGTTGTCGACTCAGCCGTCTCTCCGCTAGCGGTCTGCACGCACAGAAGGTATGGTCAGCAAGGTATTCCTCGATGTCTGCACACGTTGTGTTCTCCTTCTTTGGCTGCATCGCGACGGCGTCTGGCGTTCGCGGCGGCCGCTCGGTGATGTGAAGTGCTGCCCGTAGGTCGATCCAGACCGGAGTGTCGCGCCCATGTTCAAGTGCGCATCCCGCAACGCGCCAAACACAGCGTGCACGTCTCCACACGTCACCCACGATGCAGCCAACGCCATTGCGCGCCATTGGGGAGTGCACGTACCGGCGCTTTCTGTCGCTTTGCAGGCCGACCCTCGCCAGGGCTCAGCGCAACATTACCCGCCTTGCGCTTCGACGCACTCTCCATTTTCGCGTATTCGCAGTCGCGTCGTCGATCGAAGCCGGTCTCGACGCTATCGGAAGAATTCTGGGGTCGTGGTGCCGGTGCACTGCGTTGCTGGAGCTGGCCGTCGTAACCGCGTCGCAGTAGTCGCGAACTGGTGTTGCGCCAGGATGTGGAGCTAGGTGCTTAGTCACGTGCGACCTTAATCAAATTACTCCTCCAAAAGCTGGATATCTACCTAGAGCTATCTGACCTGTACTGGAGCAGCACAGATGCAGGATGCACAATTCCATTTTCTGTTGGTGTGCAATTATATAGGCTCACTTAGCCATGTAGGAGCCGTTCAAAATGGCATTGTGGTGTCTAGAAACTAGGCCCTGACGTTGCTTCAGGGTATTTGAACAGCAATATAAACCTCCGCTAAGTACCGCAGCAATCCGATCATGTTCGTTGAGACCAATTTGAAAGGTGCATGAATGAATTCATCACTTAGCTCTTCTTGGAAGCAGCCTCTGTCGCGGTCTTTTCAAACTCCTTTCGGGCCTCTTGCTCCTTCATCTCGCGCACCTTCGCAAGCACGACTTCGCGGAAGATGGCGCCCTTCGCGATCTGACTCAAACGGCTTGGTCCCTTTCCGGTTGTGCTAGCGCCGGTACCAGTCGCGTCTTCTGTCGTCTTCAAGGCCTTGCTTGTAGTGTGGTTTGCGATCGCCTCACCAGCCGTCTCCAGTGCGTTGGCAGGCACGTCTGCCTCACCAGGCACTCCCTCTTCCTCATCTTCCTGCATCTTCAGGGCTTCAATACGATTCGCAAGCTTGACCAGCTCAATACCGCGCTTGAGGCGAGCCTTCGCGACGTATGCGCGAATCTCGGGCAGCAAGTTGTGGTCGCTGGCAGTCTTGCCGCTCAGCCAGACATGCTTGAGCGCATCCTAGTATTGTCAGCCTTGCACCTTTCAGAGTTTGGAACCTCTCTCACCTCGCTGCTTGGCCTCTTATCCGGGTTTGGTTGCAGCAGCAGTGTAATGAAGTCCTTTGCGTCCTTGCTGACTTCCTTCCAGTAGCGCTCATGGAAGATGACACGGCCGTTCTTGCATTCCTCGATCAGATCTGCAAGATTCTCAGATCTGAATGGAGAGTAACCGCAAAGCAGTGTATACGTGATGACTCCCATAGACCACATATCAACGGGCTTGCCATGTCCCTTCTTTAGCATTACCTCAGGTGCCGCATAACCAAAGGAGCCAGCCATGGTAGTCAGCACCTCGTGTTTCGAATCGAGCATCTTCGCGATACCAAAGTCAGCCAGTACAAGGGAGGAGTTGGCTTCCCGTGTCAGGTAGAGGAGGTTCTCGGGTTTCAAGTCTATGCAACGTAAGCGCAATACTCATATGAGCGCGTTACAAATCGTACCTCTGTGGACGCAGTTGTGTTGGTGAAGGTAGTTCACTGCATCAAGAACCTGACGGATCGTCTCGGCAGCATCCTTCTCAGTGAACTTGCCCTTCTCGCAAATACGATCGAAGAGTTCTCCTCCGGTTGCCAACTGGGTCACAATGTAATATTTGTCCTGCAAGTTGTCAGACCTTTGACCTTAGTTTCTGCGTCCGCCTGGCGCGTACCCTCGATTCGAACCAATCGTGGAACTTGACAATGTGCGGATGTTTCATTTTCTGCAGCATCTCCAGCTCGTCATAGACCATCTGCTCGTTACCGCGGACGTTTTTCTTCAAGATAATTTTGACCGCGACCTTGCCATCTGGGCAGTCGGCCTCTCGGACAATGCCATAGGTTCCAGCACCTAGTGTCTTTCCAAACTTGTAGCGTGACCTGCGATTGATTTGCTCAGTACGTTTTCGTGTGCGGGGGGTTCTCATGAGGCACGGACTTGCGGTCATAGCTGTCAGGCTGGCCGTGCAGCTTGTTGAGCATGTTTGTCACTGCGATAGCGCATTAGTGGTTGTCAAAGCAGATAAAAAGGCTAAGAGAGAGGAGCGCAACTCATAATGGGCAAAGTGTCGCAGCAACAAGACTGCCAGATGTCTTTGTGGGTTGGGAGTAAGACGGGTTGGCCTTTATGACAGCGTGCAGCTGGTGGTGGGGGTGATGAGGGGTAGGTTGTCAACAGTCGATAACAATGGCTGTAGGGAGAAAGAGAGAGGCTCAAAGGAAATTGTTAAAGGAGGCGCAGAAAGTGTCAGTAATAGGCACTGCAGGGTCTTGGAAGAAGTTGAAGCTCCTGTGCGTTGCTGGTCGGTCTCCGCCAGGTGCGGGTTGGCGGCAGGCGCGTTCGTTCGAGGCGCAGCTAGATTGCTCGACGCACGCGCCTCAGGCATATCGGTTCGTAAGGCTGTGATATTTAGGGAGATGAGTATGGCTGTGCACTGGCCTAACTTGTCGTCGAAGAAGCACCGAGTTATAATTTGTCGTTCGCCCAGCAGCTACATCAAAGACAATGTTCGTGTCTTACTGTTGATTCAACATGCCATCAACATGCCGATGCACATGTCAGTCAGCCTCGCGCACATGTCATCTTCACTGGGCGAATCCTCTACGCTTAGTACCGACGCTGAACGTAGGTGAAACGCGCACGAAGGGACCCAGCGCCGTTCCTTCCGAACAAGTTCCACTTGCACATGTCTTGCCAAGCTGCAAAGAGTTCGAACAGCAAGGGCTCGCGTTTGCAGGGGTCGTTCATGGAGCAGTCGCAGATGACATCACACGCGTCAGGTCAACTTCAAGAAACCTGACAAAAGGGCGTTCTACAAAATAAAACCCTTTCTTCCTCTTGATCGCATTCTTCACGACATCATTCACGGATCTGTCTACACCCACGCGTATACCATTCTCACGATGACTGCCGCAAGCTTCTTCACTGCCCTCGCTGGCGTCATCGCTGTCATCAGCCTGGCTATCTTCCTTTTCGGTATCCCGCCTGAGCTTAAGCGCAAGATGGAGCGCGCAGCTCTCAAGACCATGGGCGAGAACAAGCTGTCCTACGTTGCCAAGGGTATGTCCTCTCAGAAGTGACTGTCAGCATGGCAAGATGGCCTGCTAATGCCAACCAGGCCAAATCGACAAGATCCCCACGTCCGACCAGACCGACCCTCTGCAGCTGAAGAAGGGCGTCAGCAACCTTGCCGGCGGTGCAGCACAGAACCCAATTGGCGAATTCACAGGCGAGGCTGCTGACAGCCTTACAAGCCCATTCACAGGTCGCTAATATGCTTGCGTCTGTAGTGCGAACCGCAAGCAACGTATAGGATACCATGCAGTTGAGCGCCAGCTCAGTACGAGACATGGCGCAAGCGTACGCGAGCGGCGCACTGGAGAGTGTAAAATCCTTCAAGGAGCAATCCGAGAAGGCGGCTGAGAAGACGCAGCAGAAGGCAGAGGAGACGTAGCAACGATGATGTTCCACGAATAACGACTGACGTAGCGCGGTGTTGGCGGAGACCCTTTTGTATACCCATAGCTCGACCTACCTAAAATCACCATGTAACCTGACTCTGATCTCCATATAAGTACCTCCATAATAGCCCTTGCCATCCCAGGACGATGCTCCAGAAAGGGATCAAGAACGCCGTTTTCCTTGTCTTGTGTTGGAAGAAGTGCATCCCAACTATTGCACCGGGCCAGCCGCCCAGTAACCCGAGCGTGTGCAATGTCCACTCGCTGACCCGCCACTCAAGATTCCGTGCCTGCATCTTATCATATCCATACGTGATGAATGTGGCACCACTGATAAAGCATGTATACGCGGCAGGCAGAAGGGAGGACTTGAGCGTGGGATTGATTGTGTAGAGGCGTGCGAGGGTGACGGCTGGCAAGATGAGAGACGCAAAGCCTGCAAGTGTTGCGAGAGTGAGGGGACGGTGGCGGCGGGGTGGAGGGCGCATGCTGGCTTCTGTGCGTGAAGAGGAATAGAGTTTGTCATGGGTGGAAGTCTCGGTTTGTCGATCTCCCGTTGTTGGCGCTGAGCACTAGCGCGACCCAGGGTGATGAAGTTCGTGATCTCATTCGTTTCATCATGTCCCCTCTCCTTCAGGTAGCCATTATACCAGTTCCTTTTTACAAGATGCCATAAATCTGTCTGCATGTTACGATTGTAGCTCACAACAAGAAGATTGAGTATGAATGTGCGTTTGGGGAAAATATACCACCGAATGCATTCGACATCAACTTTTCGCACTCAATTACATTCACTTTTCGGTTTACATCATCTCCGATCAACTTACTTGTAGTACTAACTGTCCTCTGATCCTTGTCCCTACCGTGCAGCGATCTTCCCTCGACGCACAGCAGCATGACCGCGTCTACAGCATGCACGCCGGCACTCCTCACCTTAGCCCGTTGAAGCTTCTCCTCAACTTTAAAACAACTTCAAATTCATTGTTTTAGTCGAAGTAGTCGCTTGCTTACGGATAGAACACTATCCCATGTATACACTACGGAACATGGACGGCATGGTTTCCCAACGCCGTCCTGGCATCGCGATCGTACGACCCAGACTTCACGACGACACGCAGCAGAGCCGCGCTCTGTTCCGGCGATGGAGAAAAGTGCACATGCGCGACATCTCATCCCGTCCCCATGATGAAGAACTAGGCGGAGCCTTAAAGGCACTGCGGTACACGCAGGTAACCGCCGAAAGTGGCGAGGAGTACTTTTACAACATGGTGCTGGGTGATACCAAGCTCATGAAACACATGGACTCTTTCCAAAACTCGCCTCGGCGGCTGGATCTGGTCAACACAAGGGCGCTGTGTGGGTGCGAGGAGCCAGTTCGACGAGACGGAGATGAGAATGCTAAAACAGAGCCTGTAGCGGTCAGCATTGTTTTGGCGGTGGCAGGAGTCTTTGACGAGATGTCTAGTCGTGATTTGTACACTTGCTCTTTGAATATGGGACAGGGTGCTGTGAGATACTACCTAATTATAATGACAGCGGGTCTCGATCGCACCACAAACAACCTTTGGATGTCGTATCAGGATCTCCCTATTGAACTTACTCCGGTTGAGAATACATCCTGTTGCAAACTCGTTACCTTGACTTTCATGGTCATACCAGACTCTGTCAATACGTCTTTCGGGGCTGTCACGAAGATGCTCTCGTCCCTTGTGACATTCCCTTGCGACTGCGACACAAGCGATGATCTACACCAGTCTATACGGTTACAATGTAGGTGCACAACCCCAAGGCATTTGCAGGATTGCAGAGGGCGAGCATGTTCGTGGTGTTTGGGTCGCTTGTGTGTTCGTTGGTGAAGATGTAGACAAAAAGCTGTTGGACGATAGACGTGAGGGAGTGGTAGGCCAAGTGGACGAGTGGCTTAGAATGATGAGGCTTAGTAGCAGTGTGCAAGACGTGGATTTCAAGATTGGGTTTAGGAAGGCAACCTGTCCAAGTCTTAGATCATTGATCCATGAGCTATCGTCATCTGACAACATATATTTGAGCGCTTTTGTCTAATATTGAATCGTTGACACCCTCTGTGCGTCTAGTCATCAATTCACTTGATTTCGAGATCCGTTCATCATGTATACACTGAAAGAGATCCGGGTAATTTCCTCCACTTTAGAGACTATTCGCTTGACATGAAGATTCTCTGTGAATCCTTTAGAGCGACCTACAAAGCGATGTAGTGTTTCGCCTTCTGTTGATTGTATGAGGTCTGCCATACATGTGCCTTCTACTTGGGACTCAATCAATACTTTGTTAGTGCCATGTCTGCTGATCATTCATGTTATTGGGATTCGGTAAGACTCCTGCACATTGCCGTTCGCATCAGATGATCCCAGTGGATGGCTGGCTTCGGTATGCTGCGATACAACACTGCTGCATATACCATGGTCAAGCGACTTGCATGGGTCATATGACCATATATACCTACTAGTGCCGTAGGGATGATGACATGATTCGGCTCTTCCGAGACAATATCATGCGGTCACTCAATATCACTCTCCAAACGCGAGACTTGTGGGCAAGAGCGGGAGGCATGAAAGCAGGCAGCTCGAAGCGTGCAGTTTTCGCGACCATTTTGGATTGCTATTGACTGCACAACGCTGTACATATGTGATTACTAACTATAGCATCACGATTTATGCGAAGGCGACAATGTATGAGTCAAGACAAATCGAACAAAGACTGCCAAGAATGTCCTTTGTTTGATGGAGCACGTTCTAGACTGCATTGAACAATTGCAGCTGAAGCTGTAGGGCTTTGAATGGAAGGCAGTCAGCGGATAAGGACCCTCAACACAACATATTACGGCCGCCGTCACAAGCAAGTCGCCAGAGGATGCATCCATGATCCCATATCGAAGGCTATCCAGCCTGTCGGTAGTCGGTACTTAGGAGGCACGGGAACTATTCCTGGTTCGCGGTTCAGCTATGGTCAGTGGCGTACTTCGGCAGCGGCAATACAATACGGAATCTACAGGTCAGACGGGAGATGCTCGGCAGGCAAAGACCAGACGGTATTATGCTGAAGTCATCAGATGCTGGCCCGACCGCATTACCCAGTCATCAGATAGATCGCACTATCGGAAATCTGGGACCTAGCAAGCGTTGGAGGCTGCCAACGTGGGCACGACCAGATCTCCACGATGCACTAAGTGAACATGTGGTTTGCGAGACGGTCGAGAATACGGTGTAAGGGTCATTGCATATCTAGCCCCCAAGGATCGTGATGGCGGTGGATACGGCGATACTAGGAAGGTTTGATAGCCAAGCTGCAGTTGCTCGTATCCGCAGGGCTTACTTCCTGTGTGCCAAGCATCATCAACCGGAGAACAGCCTTGGCGACTGCAAGCCATGTATTGGAAAAAGGCGAGGCAGTAGTCCTAAGCGAGTGATTAGAGAGAGAGATAGCAATGCTCAAAACGAACGTCGGGTATTGACGTAGCTGTAGAAGTGGGTAGGCAATGAAAGTGAATGATGAAGATGAGCACACAAAACTTCGATACCATTGTCTCATCGGCACATATGAAGCCTCCCGTGTGAAGCGAAATTGCACGTATGCATGCCATTTTGGATTTGCACAGATTCTGAGGTCTAGCGCTCGGACTGTTTCCAGATCGACAGCCGCAGCCCGCCTTGCTCTCGATCTAGGCGGCATTGCCGACGCGAGCTGAGGTCAGGGATCAGCAGCCTTCTGTGAAGCTTCCGAAGCGGCTGCCTAGGTAGTTTTGCGTGGACAAGTCGCTCAGGTGCCAAGCCAGACAGCAAGGCCAAGCAAGCTTGAAGGGCCTCTTCTAAGCAATAGGCCTGGCGAGGCGGGGGAAGGCATGGATGTCAAACGTCAGGAGCATGTCAGATGCTGCCAGCCCTTGCGATCGAAATTCCCCAAATTGGTGATTCCTTCATCTCACAGCAGTACCTGGAGGCCGTGGTGAAAGTCGTTAGCATTGTCTTTGAAACAAAACGTGATGAGTTGAGGTAGCGTAAAGCGGCGGTCTGAGGCTGAAAAGCAGTGTCGACCAACGCCTTGCAAATCCGGCCGCTCTGATCGCCGAATGTTGTTACCACGTGATTCAAGCGGGCTTTTGGCTTAGCGTCCGAAGTCTCGACCTCCATCCACTTCCCCACGGAAAGAATCTTATGGACAAACCCCATCTCTGGGCATGAGCTTAGCCCCGCGCATTAGCTGACAGCTACATCGAATTCTCGTTCCACGCACGGGCTATTTTGAGCCTTCCAGAGGCCCGACCGGTCCTCGCCTGCCATGAGACCATCGTTCTGTGGACAACTTCGGCTGGTGTAGGCAGGGGTCTACCCTGATCTTAGCGCTAGAATCGATGTATGTGCCGTGCGCTATACCTACCCAAGCGATGTTCAGCCGTGGCTTACTGGCAGAATTGAGAACTAGAAGCCTTGCCATGTCTGTTCGGTACATTTCGTCGCCGGCCCTTACCATCTCAAGTCTTCTTCAGACTTACAGCTCTCCAACTGGTCCAAATTAGGTATCGTTGCTCGCTTGTCCCATACTTCGCGAGAAGACTATCAGACAAAGAGGATAGTCATCTCAGAGCTTCAAGCTCTTGGCAGCAGCAGACCTTTGAAGAGTTTGGCATGAAATCATCGATCGGCGACTTGAAGCCTGTACAGTCGTCGAGCCCGCTCAGACAAGCATGACTAGCCCCATTGTCACTACTGGCATTGTGGCATAACAACCAAGCTTTGTGCACGGTCTTTGTGTGGTCTGGTGCTCACGTCTCAAGCATCTCCAAGGCATCGTCGGGTATGGCATTGACATCTGGACCTACACGAGGTGCGGCTGTGGGCGTACACTCGCCTGGACGGGTGGCCTAGCGGTGTGGCTGCCATGCGTATCGACGCACCGAGACTTTCACGATAGGCGCTGACATGAGGCTTTCACGAATATGGAGCCATGGCAGATTTGGATAGTCGAGCCCACTGGATGGCTCGAGAACGTCCAACAACATGGAGTCCAACGGCCTGCGCCGTGTATCCTTGATGTTCGATGGATATATAAGTCCTCGACAACTCGCTCTTCTCATTTTTTCATCAGCTCAAACCTTTTCATACCTGCTTCTCAGCATCGAGAACAGCCTCATTCCGGCTCATCGTTCTCATCTTCTACACAATATGCGCCAATCACTCTTCTTGGGCGTCACTGCCTTCTTCACATCAGGGGTTTTCGCTGGCGACAAAGACTGGCTCAGTCCAGAGTACAAGCAAATCTTCCAAAATCCCCTACCATTCCCCCCTGAAAAGTCTCCTCGTTATAGCTACACCAACAAGACCACTGGCAACACAATCGACTACTATGAGATCGACGTCAAGCCCTTCGAGCATCAGGTCTACCCTGGCTTGAAGCCTGCCCGATTGGTCGGCTACGATGGCGTGTCTCCTGGTCCCACAATCCGCACACAGAAGGGACGAGAGACAGTCGTACGATTTATGAACAACGGTGATAAGGATCTCTCGGTTCATCTTCACGGTTCTTACAGCCGAGCGCCTTTTGATGGCTGGGCCGAGGACGTGACTAAACCAAAACAGTACAAAGACTATTGTGAGTAGCTGTCTACTTCGTGAACACTTCACCACTAATCTTGGCTAGACTACCCCAATCACCAGAGCGCTCGCACTCTGTGGTATCACGACCATGCTGTCCACCACACTGCCGAAAACGCTTATTTCGGCCAAGCTGGCTTCTACATTCTGGAGGACCCTGCCGAAGCTAAGCTGGGTCTACCCTCTGGCCCGAAGTACGATCTTCCTCTCGCCCTATCGGCGAAACAGTACAACCCAGATGGAACTCTCTTTGACCCCGTTAACGAAAGAGACTCACTCTTTGGTGATGTCATCCACGTTAATGGGCAGCCATGGCCATACCACAAAGTCGAGGCTCGCAAGTACCGTCTCCGCTTCCTCGATGCATCCATCAGCCGGGCCTTCAAGCTCACATTTGAAGCTGATGGTAAGGCCATTCCCTTCCACGTCATCGCTGCCGATACTGGTCTCTTGACCAAGCCTGTACAAACTAGCAATTTGGAAATATCGATGGCGGAACGCTGGGAAGTTGTATTTGACTTCGGCCCGTATGCTGGAAAGAACGTGACCCTCAAGAATGGACGCGATGTCCAGCACGACGAAGACTACGCAGCTACCGACAAGGTCATGCAATTTGTTGTTGGTACCGGTGCCCCGGATACAACTAACAACGGCCCCCTCCCTGGTACTCTTCGCACTGTTCCCTTTCCCCCAAAGAAGAACGGTGTTGATAGGACATTCAAGTTTGGCAAGTCCGGTGGCGCCTGGACCGTCAATGGTGTCACTTTCGCTGACGTTAACAACCGAATCCTGGCTAAGCCTCAACGTGGTGCTATCGAAGTTTGGGAGCTTGAGAACTCCAGTGGTGGCTGGTCCCACCCCGTACACATCCACCTTGTCGACTTCCAGATCTTGTCTCGCACTGGTGGCAAGCGTCCTGTGCTCAATTATGAGAAGGAAGCACTCAAGGACGTCGTTCTTCTTGGCGAGAACGAGAAGGTCACAGTGATTGCACGCTACGCTCCTTACGACGGTGTCTACATGTTTCACTGCCACAACCTCATCCACGAGGATCACGACATGATGGCTGCTTTCAACGTCACTAGCCTTTCTGACTGGGGCTACCCTGAGACCACCAAGTTCCTCGATCCCATGGAGGAAAAATACCGCAGCAAGGCCATAAGCGCAGAAGACAGTCAGGAGGCATTCATCATGGATAAGATGTCAAAATTCGAGGCAATGGAGGCTTACAGCAATGTTGAGAAGCTTGAGGAGGCACTTGAAGATTACCGCATCAACGGACCACCTAAGACTCTTTCCACTGTTGTTGTATCATCCACTTCATCTACAGCCACTGCAGTACCCACAACTACTGGAAAATCTGCACCGGCGGTGGCTGCTACCACCGCCCGTTCATCTTCCACAATCACCTCAGCCGCAAAGGTTGCAAGTTCTTCAAGTACGAGCACAAAAAAGTCTTCTTCGACGAAGGCGGCGACGAGCAGCACCAGAAGAAGATAGAGACAGAGACAGAGTGGAGTAGAGAAACTGTATATACTAGCACAACTTTGTACATATCACGATTATACGAATTTTTATCAATCTTCAGAATATCCTGCCTTTATATCCAGACTGTGAGAAAAAAACTCCATCAGTCCTCAATTAACATGATAGAAGGGCGTGTATCTTGAGGCATTGCTATGTATTCATTACATGCATTCACTGAGAGACATCACTTTGTTGAACAGAGCATCACATCCGATGTAATGTAAGTAAATGTACTATTAGAGCACATGTGATCGTTGGGGCAACCGAACACGTATTTGATTTGATTCAACAGTCCTCAGTATCCAATCCGTTCCCACGAGACTTAGTGTAAGAATGCAAGCAAGGGACGAAGGCTCCGGTAGACTCTGCTCACGAGCTTCACCATGGTAATGGATCAGGTACAGACCCTGTACCGAGTATTGGAAAATCCCATACTCGCACTCGTTTTTCGCTCCAGCACCCGGATCGACGGTATCGCCCCGCGCTCTCGCTACCGTACTTTCACCAGTCCCAACTCAGCTGGAAACCTGCCAAGAGTATCCCGTGTGGCAAATACAAGCGTACCGATAGTCCGAATCGAAACCTTTCTGGTCGCGCCTTTTTCCCCAAGCGTTATAGTAAGATCTGGCAACGCGCGATGAACGATGTCTATCGATCCAGAACCACGGATCGGTAGGGCTGATGGCTGAGATCCGAAGACTAACGGGTAACAGTAAGTCTAGATCGTACAGCCGAAGACTACCGGAAGAGGAAAGGTGCGATTTGTGATTTTCTATGTTCTTAGTCTCAATGAGCCTTCCCGCATGTATTAGATATCCAGGTAGAACACCTAGAACAAAGAGCGATGAGCTTGCTTTGCCAAGGCCAAGGCTGCAAGATGTTGAGCTGAGATTCATCACGGAAATGGAAACCATGGATTCCGCTTCCGTTCTTTACACGTTAACTGAATGTTCACATGGTTGTTCTTTGCACAGCCGCAACTCACGAACCTTCCAAATCACAGAATGCCTCCTTGGTATGCAGCAACATACACGAACTTACGTAAATTGATGTATTTGCCAGATTACAGAGAAACTGTGTACTATCAATAGACAAGCATGTGCTCATCTCCTCAAAGTACCAGATCCGGCACGAATCACATGCAACAAACGATAAACGCATTGTACGCTGAGCTCTATTTCTGGTGAGGGGTAGAACAGCTCCTGATCATCCTGCATCCTCGATTTCTGTCCGAATAACGCCCCTGCGCAATCAGCCCTCAATTTATCCAAAAAAGGACTTGGTGGCGTGACTCTTATGGAGTGTATGTATCGACATGTTCGTACGGAAACGCAAGGATGCCTCAGACTCGCCCGGGTTGCACAGACTGCATTGACCGGCAACAATGAACACGATTGCAGCTGCCGACTGCCATGGTCCGCGCATGCCAATGTTCGCCATCTCCCCTAGCTCCCCTCGTCCCCTCAACAACGCATCATGCAATGCTGGAAATCCGTTTCGTCAATCTTTCACCTAGATCGATCGTCAGGCAGTAATGCTTTGATCCAGTCGCTTGATCGTCATGGTAATAGCGCCAGACTCCATGAAAGGCTGATAGTAGACGCGAATGGCTGCTGCTGCATCTTCGAAACTAACACTGTTGGTAACACTGTTGGTAACACTGTTGGCTGAATGTATAACTATCTCAATATCATTCATCGCAGGAAACAGAGGCTGAATTTCGAGGGCATCCAGGTAGAATATAGGAAATTGAAGTTCGAGTCGGATCATAGTGATTCGCTTGAACTGATGCGCTGAGAAGAGCCGGAAGGCTTTCATATTACGCCAGTAGTCTCTGATTACGAAAGTGTTCAGACAGATAGGCATCATTGCAGCTTCGGAGTAGATCTGGCGGCAAGAGCGTAGAAGAGCGACGCCAACACCAGGCTCGTCCGACAGCGATACCATTGTGGCTACGTTCTTCCTTCCCTGCTTGGACACTTGTGCCCTAAAACTGCTGCGACCGAGGGTATGCTCCCAGATACGATTCCTGATCTCAGGAGGCAGGCGTAGCAGTGGCGTATCCTGATTGTTTTTCACGCTGCGTATTTCCTTAGCTGTCTCAGCCCTTTGATAGAGTTCAGCCCGACTTACATGTTCATCTCCCCGCCCTTGGGCGTGACATTCAACAGTCCATTCTTGTACTTGTGGTAGCCGCGAGCGGGTCGCTTGACAATCCTGTTGTTTGGACTTGCAAGGCTTTTCTTGGCTACCTTTGCGGGCGTAGCAGGCTTGCGTGGCGCCATATCGGAGGGACTTGTACGTGGTTGCAGTAATGCGGGCGTGTGATGGTCAAGAGATGAAGGCCGCAGGTATGGTATAGCTGCTGCCTTCGTCGCGCTAGTGCAAGATGCGGAGCAAGTGAAGGTGAAATGAGTTTCTGAGTGAAGTGATACATCACAAGGTCTAATCGAGCGGCAGCGTACGAGGCAGCGTTGGCACGTACTAACAACAATGTGGAGATAATAGAGACGGGGAGAGATGAGACGTGTACATTACTAGCAGACAATGTATCACTTGATAATATCGCGATGTCACCAATTTTCGAGCTGTATACTTACTTACAGCGTTGACTGTGATGACTGGCCCTTACTCCTTGCGATCGTACTGCCGCTCTTGATCAGAAGATCCTTAGCATATGGTGAAGTACAGCGCAAGCCCAAAGGTCCGTAGCAGTAAACATAATCTGCAGCAGCTTTTTTTTTTGAAGATCACTCAGCAGAACGACCGTGCACTCAGCGTGAGTAATGAAGTACGTATAAATGCGGAATTACACTCGCCTGAGAGCTGATAGCTGTTCAAGATGCGAAGCAAAGAGAACAGGAGAAGCTATGTCTGTGAACTCATTGATGTCAGAGATCACAAATTGAAGTGAAGTGATCTGCGTGCATTGATACGGTAGCAACCTTTTGACTAGCAAGAACATGCTTGTCTTCGGAACGGAGCAGATACTGAACGTGTTGAGCTTATCTGGTAGCACAGCGGTGTCAAGGCAGACTTGACGACAAGTGCGCAGAAGTACCACGGGGTTCATAATAACGCACACCTTCAAGCACAGGTTATGAAGGATGATATCTGCTAGCACTGTTGTATGCTTGGACATGTAGGCCTAGAAACTGTTGCAAATCTCCGAAGGTAGACTTAATAGTGAAGACTTGCTATCGCTGTCTACGCTACGATACGATGTTAGTCTCTGCTTCACTCGAAGACCAGGCGAGTGCGACCTTTACTTCTAGGTTTTGCTCGTCTGACTTCGAGGTAACGCTCAATATTCCCAGCCTGAATTCATGACAGCCTCGAAGTCCTCCTTTGAGGCTTTTACTGACGCGACTGGGTGTGCTCATCGCAAGTAGCTGGAGATATTTACCCGTGGCTGGAGTCATTCTTGGAACCATGACAAACCGTGTGACATTATGTGACCGATGCGAAGCCTTTGCGCACCGAGGCTGTGGTGAATTGATGGGCTGTAGATGATGGTGGGGCGTGGTCAATTGAAGTGAAATTAAGTCGCACGGAGGCCTAGTCACTGCCAAAACGGTAGTTGGTGCCACGCAACTGCGAACCGTATGAGATCGCATACCCTGCGCAAATGTCAGCCGTGATATAAGGAGATTGGTTGCGTAAGCAGGATGTGAGGCCAAAGTGCAATCAGAGAGAAGATTGTAAACTCATCATTGAAGGTGCCTCGGCGAATCAAGGAGTCCAATCGCAGAGCGATCTAACATCCTCGACTCAAGCCCGGCTTCTTCTCTGTCTAAGGATGACGATATCGGATTTCATCATTGCACGATGCTGATGTATCAGGGAAGGGGTACGTACGTAGCGAAGAGCGCTGTGCTGCCGGAAGCATGCATTTGCTCCAGGTTCAGTAATCCAGGTCCACGGTATCGTCTTTCTGTACGTCTGGTCCCTTGGCTTGGTGCCAGGGATCCCACTCGTCGCTTTCGTCATCTTGATCGCGGTGATTCTTTCGAGCTTGTTCGCGGTTAGGCCTTCCATCTCTCTTCTTAGCCTTGTACTTATCACGATTCCTCTTGTTCCTAGCCTTTGTTCTTGGACTACTCGTCGTCCATTGCTGCTGATGTTTCAGTTTCTCCACACGGCCAGATGCAACCTTGTCTGTTTCCGAAACCGCAGTGGCAGCGGGTTGAGAGGGAGGGGATTCGGCCATAGCTGAACTCTCAGCGGCTGAGCCCTCTGCTTCTCCTTCCTCCAAACCAACACCGTTATCGCGTTGCTGCCTTCGCTTACGGATGATACCCTGGATCTCGGAGTGCCTGAACATAGCGATTTGTTCGTCGGTGAGAGTGCGCGGCGTACCGTCTTCATAGCAGCCTAGGTCAACTTCCTTCTCCTCGTAATACTCTTCAGCAGGCTCATGATCTATACCATAGAGGAAATGCTCAGGCGTAGGCGCGTTGGGGAAGTGTTTCGCGTGAAAGTCGCGTAAATCATCCTTGTAATATTTAGCGTGTTTTCGCAACACCTAGATAACATACATGAACTTACAACGGTGACTGTAGGGAGTTGGGGTGCCATCGTGGCCATTTTGAGTGAGCTGTAGTGGAAGGTGCCCGCTGTGGGCGGCTGTTACCTTCTTGCGAGTATGGTGTGGAAGAGGAAAGGCGTGGGTCTCGAAGTCGCTAATCGCTCACGTCTTCACGTGCCCTTGGCATTCCCCCGGAAAGATGACGTCTTTGCCTCAGCCATGTAGTCACCCAACACCATCCTTGTTAATACGAAACAAGAGCAATGAGACTATTTGCGCATCCCCTCGCAAGTCTTTGCCTTTTTCTCGCGTGCGCCGCAGAGTCACGACCCTTTGATACCAACCTCAAGGCGCCCATCGAGCAGTCGCCGCTGCAAAACTACATGATGCCCCCAAGCGATGCTTCCAGCGGGATCATCATCTCAGACTTGATTGGGCGGGTGGAAGACATCGCTATCTTTAACGGTCTGACGCATCACATCGACGCAGTGTCTGGTCGTCTTGATGATGCAGCGCAGAATGCCACGGTACTCGCGCCAAACAACACTGTTATGAAGAACATGAAGACAAAGCCGTGGAAAGACCCAGAAGACTACAATCAGTTTGGCGCGCAAGCCTACGAGGGGACTGGCGGATCAGATCGTGCGCAGAGCAATCTTGAACGATTCTTGAACCATCACATTATTCCGGAGAGTCCCTGGGAGGAAGGCAAGAAAGTAAAGACGCTAGCGGGAAACGAAGTTTGGTGGGAGTCGAAGAACGGCCAAAAATCGGTAAGTGACAGCAAATTTCAAAGTCATCCCGTTCATCGGCATCCTTCTCAGAACACATGCGATCTCTCTATGGCACTGATTATATATTGTCTCCTTGTTTCCTTTCTTCCATCAAATCATGGAATCAGTCCGGTTACAACTGGATCGATGGGTGAGGTGGCCGAGTTGGTTATGGCGCCAGGTTAAGGTCTTCCTCCTTAGCATTGCTTAGCGATAAGCTTCCTGGTCACGAAAGTGGCGCGGGTTCGAGTCCCGTCCTCATCAGCTTCGTTCAACAATGCTTGAGCACTCCAGGATATCTTTTTTTGGTGGTGTGGGTGCTGTGGCGGTGAAAGTCCGGAACGGCGCTACTTAGCGACACCGCGGCCCAGCCCTGCCATCCAGACTATCTTTTGGACCCTGGTCTTCTACTGTCTTGTTTTGTCAGGTCTATTGCTCAGTTTTTTACGTATACTGCCGTCCGATCAGCTGTTTGGCAAATTACAGCATCAGTCGGGAATGATGAATGGTCTCATCAGGACTCCTTCTCATTGGACTACACACACTTAGACAGGATTATTCAGTTGGATTTCTGCGACTTACTGGCTACGATAGTAATGGGTTGGATTCTACAAAACTGCCAAGTGGCTGGTTGAACGTATTACTGCTACGACCTGTGCTGACGAACCATGCAGATCCAGCCCGGCAACATCGAAGTTACGAGCATTGCTGACAAGGCCGCGAATGGCGAGATCTGGGTGCTTGGAGGCTCACTATCATAGACCGTGGAATTCCGCAAAGGAGTTTTCGTCCTCGCGGCTTCTCGAGACACTTTTCCTTGTGTGGTAATTCTAGGCGTAAGAGGCACTTTTGACCGCTTCGGCTTAAGGACACTGTCCGCAATCTGGCCAATGCCATTCGAGACCCGAAGCCTTACACATTCAACTCCGCATGACATAACACCCCAAGTTGGTAAGCTGTGGAGGCGGCAGCTTTCCGAACGTAATCTGGGAAGCTATCCCATCTGGGCAGTGAGCTCTACACCCCCACTCTACATGTACATAAACGACAATAAGTCTGTACAGGCTCAATCGCACAATCCAGTCTTCTCACATCCGACTGACCAAGTCCCCGCGCACTCATTATGAACTTTGAATCCGGTGACCTCGCTATCTGCGAAGTGTGCGGCACGCAATTCGACGTTCCCCTCTCCTCACCACCGGAAAACTGCCGTATCTGTCTTGTAAGTGACGTCAAATCCACTACTGCACTTGAGCACAACCAAAGTGGGCATGGATGCAGCATCAGACAACAAAGTGCTTTTTACGTTAAGATGCATACGCTTGAGCAATGTTGTCCAGTCGTACTTCGCGACTTGTTGGCTGCGATGAAGATGGTTAATCCTACAAATGTGTCAAGTGGTTGGCCGGCAGTGAGAGCTATAAAATTTCAGAAACAACAGCCCCTTCCATAGAAACTCAAGATCCACTTCGCCCAGCTAAATCTAACATGGTCAGGACCCTCGCCAATACGTTCCCGCCCACGGCCAAACCTGGACATCCCTCAATGCCGCGCAGGACACTCAGAAGAATGAATTTCACACGGATGAGCAGGACCCTCGCATCCACTATATCACAACAAAGCCCCTGACCCCCTCCGAACTCCCTCCCGGCCTCAGCGATAGCACAACAACCCGCAAGCAACTCGGCATTGGCCAGCGAGCAATCCTGCTGCAAACCGCCCACGGCAGCATCCTCTGGGACGCCATCGCCTTCCTCAACCGCGAGACCGTGGATTTTGTCAACAGCAAGGGCGGCCTAAAAGCCATCGTCATCAGCCACCCGCACTTCTACACCTCGCATCTCGAGTGGGCCGCGCAGTTCGGGTGTCCTGTGTACGTAGCTGCCGACGATGCCGAGTGGCAGAACCGCGCAGATGCGAAGGGTGTGCGGGTACTGTTCCGAGGTGCGCAGGAAGTGGTGCCGGGGGTGACGGCGGTGCAGTGCGGCGGGCATTTCGACGGCAGTTCGGTGCTGCACTGGGAGAAGAAGCTTTTCATTGCGGACACGATGATGAGTGTTCCTGTATGCCTCCTGTCACTCACAGCAAGCAACGACGCCAGCTAACAACACCCAGTCTGGCTTCTATAATGCAGGCCGTGCGGAAAGAGACCCGAAGACCACGGCGTACAGCTTCATGTGGTCGTACCCGAACATGATTCCGCTGCCGCCGAGCAAGATTCACGGGATCTGGAAGGCGTTGAAGCCGTACGAGTTCGATGCGACGTTTGGCGGCTTCATGGGCCAGAACGTCGCGAGAACGGATCTCAAGAAGCAGGTTTTGGATAGTATGAAGACATTTGTTAGAGTCGGGGGGCATGAGAACGCGGAGTTGTTTGAGGAGATGTACTGAATAACGAGCCTTTCAAGGGCGCAATGAGGTGTGTTCAGAAGTGCAAGGCTTGTATGAAGGGATTTAGGTGTTTAATTTGAATACGCTGATATTACATTGCTTGCTTTCGACTACACCATCCCACAATTACCTGAACACCAAAACCGAAGATGCTGCAACATTACCTCTCCTTCTCCTTGCTATCAATCTGCGCCTTCGGCCTCACAGTCTGCAATCTCAGCCACTCGCCGTTGAAAGCGTTCGTCAACCACCACGTCAGCTTATCGTATACAATGCGATTCGCGTTGTGGAAGTAGATGCTGTGATCGCTGTCCGGGAAGACATGCACGTCGTAGTTCTCCACACTTGCAAGGTCCAGTTTATCCAGCAGAGTAAGGGTGTTCTGCATGTGGACGTTATCGTCGGCAATGCCATGCATGACCAGGAAGCGGACATTCTTGGCGAGCGAGGCAACGTCGCTGATCGAGGTGTTGTCGTAGCCTGCAATGTTGTGCTGCGGCATGTGCATATAGCGCTCAGTGTAGATGGAGTCTGTAGACTTGTCAGTTGATGTTCTTTCAGCACTCTGCGAGGGTGAGGATATGACGTACCGTAGAACCGCCAGTCTGTAACTGGCGCAACAGCCATACCGTACTTGAATGTCTCGCCTGCGTCGGTCTCGAGAGTCTTTAGTGTCTGGAAGCCGCCATACGACCACCCCCAGATCGCCATCCGGTCCTCGTCAACATACTTCTTTTTAGCCCAGATCTTGCCTGCCGCGATTTGGTCGAGCGCTTCGTAGTGCCCAATATTACCACGCGTGATACAACGGTGTTTGCGCCCGAGGAAGCCAGTACCGCGCCCATCGACAGTCACAACTATGTATCCCAACGACGAGGCGATGAAGGACTGAAAATCGACGGTAAATTTACGATCGACTTGCTGGCTGTTGGGCCCAGAGTACTGGTAGAAGAGTACGGGGTATTTCTTCTTTTCGCTAAAATGCGGAGGTCGGCGCTCGAGGACGTTGAGTTTGAAGCCGTCGACTTCGATGGTATCGTATTTGAGGATGGGGAGCTCATGGGCAGCGGCGAAGCGTTCCAGAGATTTGTTCTCTTCGAGAACCTTTTCAAACTTCTCGGAGTTCGATGGCGTGGAGATGATCTTCTGCCATGGGATGCCCGGGCCTTTGTACGTGATGAGGGCGAATGACCCACCGGAAGAGAACGACGCATCGTGGTAGCCTACTCCACTGTTCTCAATAACTTCTTGCTTCCCAGTGCCATCGAGTTTGACAGCGTATGCATGGCGCTCGGTAGAGCCGCGCTCGGTAGAGATGTAGTAGACCAGGTTGTTCTTGAGATCTATACGTGATGGGGCGTCGACAACCTCCCACTCGCCTTGCGTGAGCAGGATCGGCTTATCACTGTCCAAGGGTGTGAAGTACCCGATATGGTCGTAGCCTTCATGGATGATAGTGTCAACGTAGCCATCGTGCTCGCGGCCTTTCGACGGGTCGGCAGGGACGAAGGTGGTTTTTTGGGACACTTCCATCCAGCCTCCGTCTAGTTCTGCTACGTTCTCGGTCCGGACAGTTTTACCTGTGCGCTTCTGCACGTCCATGAGGACGAGCTTCAGGATGTCGCTCTCGCGGTTAGTCTCTCGGACGAGTACTTGCTTGGTTGAGCCTGCCCATACGATTTCGGTGATCAGACGGGTGCCGTCTGCAAAGTCGTTTTCGATCTTGATATTGAAGACCTCGCCTTTCTCCACATCGTAGAACTCGAGCGAGACAATAGGGTTGGGTGCACCGGCCTTGGGATACTTAATGTCACGGACCTCCGGGTAGCTCTCCTCGCCAGCCTTTGGTTGCTCTCCGCTGGGACGAGAGAGGAAGTACTGAACCGGATACGTAGGAACAGTCGACTCGTCTGTGCGGAGGAAGGCGATGTATTTCCCATCTTCAGACCACCACGTCGCACTGTCGCCTGAAAAGACCTCTTCCTCGTACACCCAATCTGGTATACCGTAGAACAATTCAGCGCCACCGTCTTGGGTGATTTGAACGACTGTCTTTGAGTCGAGCTTGCGCATGAACATATTGTTGTCTCGGGTGAAGACCACGGCGTCCGACTGTGGCGACCACGACGCAATCTGAATTCGTGCCTTGGGATTCTCAGGATCGACAGGCTCACCGGTCTGTGTTGCGACATCGAATATCCAGTATAGACCTGTAGAAGAATGTCTGTAATTCTTCTGACGTTCGGACTGCACCAGCACCTTCTTGAAGTCTTTACTCGGCACGACCTCGCTTGGGTAGACATAAGCATCTCCAACCCTGAAGCTGTTTTCCTTGATCAAAATGGTGTGACTTTTGCTGCCTTTCTTGCCCTGATCCCTGATGTCCTCAACGACAAGGTAGTCTTTACCGCCAACGCCCTGCTCCAGCAGCAAGCCATCCTCGTCGTTGGGACCTGGTATCCATGACACACTCTGTGTATGCGGGTACCACTGCCCGCTCATGACCTGATCAAGAGTGACCTTCTTCCCCGAGCCTTTTGTAGAGCTTGCTAGAGGATCGTGCGGCCGGGTAGAGGCGTGCTTGTAGCTCCCACTGTATAAGAACGACAAGAGCGCCAGGCCCCATCCAATAATACAGATCGTGCCCACGATCCACAGCATGCGCCGCGCCTTCTTATCCACCGGCTTGAGAGGTTCCAGACGACCGTCCTCAATGTCCAGCTGCTCGCGGGCACGCCCCGGTACGTAGCCGTCATCGTCTGTGTACTTCTCGTTCAGTCTCGAGTGCAAGGAGGCGTTCGGTTCGCCGTCATTGATGTGTTCCAGTACAAGCGACATGGTCGATATCGAAGACCCGGAAGCTTCAGAACCGTCTTCTGAGACTCGCGCGGCCGCCGCGTGCCCTCCCAGCAGCTCCGCCTCCTCCTCGATCGTGGCGCGCTCGCGCGGCATTGTAAGGGTGGTGTAGATTGTGTGTTCGCGATTATATCATATTCGCATCCGTCCAGAGATGTAAGCTGTGTGAGTTCAGAGGTAATATCGCCCACAGTCGCACAGCTGGTGGTCAGCTGGCTGCCTGCGGTGCTCAGGTTGCGGCGACACGGAGGTGCCTTGAATCGCCGAAACTACCAAGCCACCCTTTGACACATTTCAACACTTCCAAAACATTGCGTAAGACAAAGAACGCGATGAACGAATTTCTATTCAGACCCTTTTTTGGGAACTCTATTGGAACATCTGGAAATGCCGAGGAACGTCTGCACTACACCGTTTGCAGTCTGGAATACGCCTCAATAACGGCGATTTGTTGCATGCATACCGAGAACGAGAAATTATCCAAGTACCTCCAATCTCGGTTTCGCAAATTCTATCGAAGAGTCTGGTGATAGATGTGAAACAGTCTGTAGTTGTGTGTCAAGAGCGCATGGGCTGTGCTGCCAGCAAGCTGATCGCACAAGTTCAGCCTCACGACAGGAAGATGTTTCTTCAGCTGAATATGTCGCATCAGCTTCTTGCACCGTCGTGTCCTAAAATGCTCGCCAAGTAGAATAATCCTGTTGCAGACTACTGCGACAGAGGACCAAGATAGTCCTATAGAATGTCAGCGAACTATCAGCGCAACTCCAGAACGGGCAATTGCATACCTCTTTCATGGTGCCAACTGCAAACATCTTGTCAACCTCAGATCGAATACCCTTGATCTTGATGCGAATATTTGTGCCCTTCTCAATGACCTGGTCTGCGCCGTCGGTCCATTGCGGCGGTGCTGCGTTTCCCTCGAATTTGATATCAGAAGGGATCATCTGTTCAGGGTCAGCTTATGCCTTCAGAAGGAGCTTGTCAAGGTCATCATACGTTGCGCGCGACGAAAGCTTGTAAAGAACCGCAGTCCACGAAGAAGCCAGAAGGAAGAATCGAGGTGACAATGCCATCCATCTAATCATGGTCAGCCACATGCACCGGTTTGCCGTCCTTCCAGTTCCAACATACCACTTCTCCCTTGTACGGCCGCCATACGATGGCCTTGTAGTGGACCGTGTACTCGGCAGAGCCTGACCCCGGCATCACCTGGCCATCTGTAATGTCGAACGAGTCCAATATGCACACAATGGTGTATTTTCCCGTGCTCGAACCCTCCTCCTTCTGCAGTAGCTCCTTGTGGATGTGCGAGCGGATGAGCGGACCGAAGTATGAAGGGTGCAGCTGGATGGTCTTCTCAAGCTCCTTGAGGAAGAACATGACTGCGCAGGCGCACGGAAGGGGTGCGTGGTTGGGTTATAGAGACGAGATTGTTGGCACGATTGCACGGTGATGGAGAAAGTACGGGCGCGGGCGCCTTCGTATTATGCGACTAATATCTTCTTGCGATCGCTGTAGCGACTGTAGTGAGCGACCGGCGCGCAAGCCTCGAGTGAGAGGCGCGTACCGCCTGCAAAGCTATCCTCTTCAATCCACGCTCCAGCAGTCTACGCGCAAAGCTCTCAAGGCGGTCGCGCCAGCTAGCGAGGGCAGTTCTGAAGCGGGAAAGGTCGTGGAGGGCGGATGCGGGGTGTGGAGTCCTTGGTGAATAATGCCAGGCCATGCAAGTCGCGCCTGCCTTCAGCCGCCGATTAGATAATCCGTGCCGGGTCGCACCTGCCAGCGCTGAGCGGCCGCCCCACCCATGTCGTGGAACCAGTCACCCTGCGAACCGTCTTGCTTATCACTGTGCGCTCACGGTCGGAAGCGTGGGATCTCGTGAGCACGTTAACGGATTCTCTCGGCCACTCACATTTACCAAGACATGGTTCTGGTTTCTCCCACACCTTGACACGCGAGAAAGAACCGCATCGGGCACCATGTCTTTGAATCTGGAGAAGCAGTTGCGCTTCGTACGTCATTCACAAGAGACTGAAGATGGTGGGCGTAGAGACTGACTGAACCACAGTACGGCGCATACCACCACAACCCCGTGGGTTCAACTCCTGACCGCGGCCTTGCACATGTCAACTGACGCCGCTTTTCGTCCAGGTCAATGTGGGGATACATGTCCTTTGCGTGCCCCCGATTCTGTTGACGGCATTTCTGCTCGTAAGCTCTGGCAACGCGCACGCTCGACGGCCGCTTACGTGCTGCTAGCTCACCAACACCCCCGCCGTTCCGCTGCCCACGTGGCTGTCGATACCCAACCTACCCCTCAACGTCGGAACGTTCGGCGCAGTGCTGTACTCGACCCTATACGTCCTCATGGAGCCGGTGGCAGGGGCTCTACTTGCGCCCATTCTCATCGGTGCGACTGCCTACGGAAACTACCTCACGACGACCTACGGCGCAACAGCAAACTACTGGGCAGGTGGAATCAACGTCGCATGCTGGATTGCGCAGTTTGTCGGCCACGGAAAGTTTGAGGGTAGGGCTCCTGCGCTGCTCGACAACCTTGTGCAGGCCTTTTTCCTGGCGCCATTCTTTGTGTGGTTTGAGATCTTGTTCTCCCTCGGCTACCGCCCAGAGCTGAAGAGTCGCATCGACAAAGCGGTTGAGGAGGACATTGAGAAGTTCAAGAAGAGCAAGGAACAGAATGGCAAGGCTCACTGAGTCTCACAGACCAGGCACGGTGGGTACCGGTTGAAGAAGGCTGGAGTTGGCTGTCGAAAGTAAAGGAGTTGTCGGAAGAGGACGCACAGACGAAACTGGGTGCGAGCTTGGTGAGAAGAGGAAGGTTACAGCATTGCGTGGGAGTACGGTGTCCCGGCGTCCAGTATATGCATGTGCAGTGGGTATGTACATCTACGTGGGAGCTGGGGACAGGATTGAGCATACTACAGCGATCATTTAGCGTTAATACATCTGGCATTGTCGGAGCCTGCACAGCCGCCTATGTGATGGACATATTGTTGGATAGATCGCCCGTCCCGGAGCTACTACGACACAACATCGAGTGCTCCGTAGGTCCTGGAGCTCTCCCCGGGATGTACCGAACGTGCAGGTCCTGTTTCAGTATATATCACGGGCAGGGTGACATGAACACTGCAAAAATTATGTGTACAATAACGACCTTACTTACTGCCAGGTTCCTCTTCCACATGCTGCAAACACTCACAATTATGAGGTGCTGGAGCATCCCCAGATCCCGTGTTTTGGTCGCTCCCTGGTCGCTTTTTGGCTAGCGCGTTCCTGTCTAGCGTGGGTTGCGCTTTCCTCCCGGGGACCGCTCAAGTCTTTTCCTCAGAGCTCCATCTCCTACTCCATCAACCTCTCCCCTCCTCCCTTCCTGCATCAATCTCAATTGGTTGCAGAGCCATCCCATTAGACTCTTGAGCACTGCAGTCATGTTCTCAAGGGCCATCCGCCAGTCCAGCCGCCGGGTCGCCGCAATCTCTGCCTCGAGCAGGATTGCTTCGGTAAGTCCATCGCAACTGCCAGCCATTGCGCCTGCCGCCACCTCCGCCGTCGTCTGCAGCTCGAAAAATCGGATCCCGATGCCATTGGCAATGCATTGAAGCTCCATCGATGATGGATTCCGGGTTGCAGCGCGCGGTGCTGAGATGGCGATGGGAGCTCCCCTCCGCCGAGCCAAGCCACGAACCACCATACTGACGACTTTTCCCACCACAGGCCCGCGCCCCTGCGTTCACCGCTGCTCGCGCCTACGCTGTCGATGCTAAGGCCACCCCCACCGAGGTCTCCTCCATCCTGGAGCAGCGCATCCGTGGCGTCCAGGAGGAGAACTCCCTCGCCGAGACCGGTCGTGTCCTCTCCGTCGGGTACGCCGCACCACACCAAAGCGCCGTCGCGGCCATTCAAAAACGCAGTCCGCTGACGAGGAGACAGTGACGGTATCGCCCGTGTCCACGGCATGAACAACGTCCAGGCCGAGGAGCTCGTCGAGTACGCCAAATTCCATTCTCAGCCGCCAGCAGAAGCTAACGGGATCGCAGGTTCGCCTCCGGTGTCAAGGGCATGTGCATGAACCTCGAGGCCGGCCAGGTCGGTGTCGTGCTTTTCGGTTCCGATCGTCTCGTCAAGGAGGGCGAGTCCGTCAAGCGTACCGGAGAGATTGTGAGTGCAGCGAGCTTGTACCGAGTGCCTCCCAGCTAACGCGCCCAGGTCGATGTCCCCGTCGGCGAGGCTCTTCTCGGCCGTGTCGTTGACGCTCTCGGCAACCCCATCGATGGAAAGGGTCCCCTCAAGACCACCGAGAGGCGCCGTGCCCAGCTCAAGGCCCCCGGTATTCTGCCCCGTCAGTCCGTCCGCGAGGCTGTCCAGACTGGTCTCAAGTCCGTCGACGCCATGGTCCCCATCGGCCGTGGTCAGCGTGAGTTGATCATTGGTGATCGTCAGACCGGAAAGACCGCCGTCGCCCTCGACGCCATGCTTAACCAGGGTCGCTGGAACAAAGGTTGGATTCCCTGTCAGTCCCAGGAGTGAGACTTTACTGACTTTACGTTAGGTACCGACGAGAAGAAGAAGCTTTACTGCATCTACGTCGCCATTGGTCAGAAGCGATCCACCGTTGCCCAGCTCGTCAAGACTCTTGAGGAGAACGACGCCATGAAGTACACCACCATTGTTGCCGCCACTGCCTCCGAGGCCGTAAGTCATCCACTATGTTCATTCATCTAGCAGCATTCAGCTAACTTACAAAAGGCTCCCCTGCAATACCTGGGTAAGCCGACGACGCCGTCGATGCTGTGATACTTGTACTGACGTCTTTCTAGCCCCCTTCACTGGTTGCTCCATGGGAGAGTGGTATGTAGCCATCTGATAGCAGCATATCGATATGCTAACAATCCCCAGGTTCCGTGACAACGGCAAGCACGCTCTGATCATCTACGACGATCTTACAAAGCAGGCTGTAGCCTACCGTCAAATGTCTCTGCTGCTCCGTCGTCCTCCTGGTATGCATTCCACGTCAAGACTTTGCGGCACCCAGGTATTAACTGAAATTAGGTCGTGAGGCTTACCCCGGTGACGTCTTCTACCTCCACTCTCGTCTCCTCGAGCGTGCGGCCAAGATGAACGACTCCCTCGGCGGCGGCTCGCTCACTGCCCTTCCCATCATTGAGACCCAGGGTGGTGACGTTTCCGCTTACATTCCCACCAACGTCATTTCCATCACCGACGGCCAGATCTTCTTGGAGGCTGAGCTGTTCTACAAGGGTATCCGCCCCGCGATTAACGTCGGTCTTTCCGTCTCCCGTGTCGGTTCCGCTGCCCAGGTCAAGGCCATGAAGCAGGTCGCTGGTTCTCTGAAGCTCTTCTTGGCCCAGTACCGTGAGGTCGCCGCCTTCGCCCAGTTCGGTTCCGATTTGGATGCCGCCACCAAGCAGACCCTCGCCCGTGGTGAGCGTCTGACTGAGCTCCTCAAGCAGAAGCAGTACAGCCCCATGGCCGTCAACGAGATGGTTCCCTTGATCTACGCCGGTGTCAACGGTCTTCTCGACAAGGTCCCCGTCAACAAGATCCTGACATGGGAGGCCGACTTCCTCGCCCACCTCAGGTCGAACGAGTCTGAGCTTCTTGCCACCATCGAGCGGGAAGGTGCCCTCAGCAAGGACCTCGAGTCCAAGCTGAAGGAGGTTGCCATTAGCTTCACCAAGAGCTTCACGGCATAAATGACAAGGGGTTGAAGAGTGGGTACTCTCTATTCCAAGGTTCTTGCGGGGTCAAAATGTGCTGATTGGTCTCTGAGAATAGATGTATAATAGAAGATGCGTCCTCGCCATCAGCTGTTTCAATATGAGAAGGTTCTTTTTCGTCATTGCAGCGACTGATGGGTGTGCGTGCGTGTCGGACGATACCTCCTCGGAAGACGGGGTTTCTGCGATCTCCGAGATGCTTTCCTCTGTTAGCGGTAAATATGCGGATGCAGACGTTGTATATCGCGAATCCATTTCTGTTCTGTTACAGATGTGTTGTGATGTGAAAGTTTGACTGTATTGTGAGTGTGTGGTGTTGACGCATAGATTGTGCAAGATGTCGATGTGCTCCGCCTGGCAGCTGCATCTTGACGTACTCCAAGAGTGTTCATGGACGTGCGAGCTGGTCAAGGCACGGAGTTGAGGTGTACCGCATAAGCAAACAACATGATCTCATTTGGAGCGTCTAGAAAGCCACAGTCCAACGCCATCTATTCTACAAGTAATCTACTCGCCTATTTCCGCCCGCGGCCCTCCTGCCCCTCGTCGTCGTCATCAAAGATATCATCCGCGACCTCGGCGGCATCCACATCATCCGTGTACTCATCGTCCCAGCCGCCGCGCAGACTGATATCGTCGTCCTCCTCGCGCAGCTGCTGCGCCGCCTCCAGCGCATCCGGATCATCCGCATACTCATTCTCAAGCGCGTCCTCACTGGCCCTGCGCACGCCCTGGCGCTCCTCCTCCTCGAGCTCGGCGGCCCGCTGCTTCGTCTTGCGGTACATGAACCAGCCCGTGGCGACACCGGCAACGGCGCCAATGGCAATGGACAGGTAGCTAATGGCTTTTGTGCGGGCGTCCATTTTGCCGCCGCTCTCGGCGATTTTCTCGAGCTGCGCGCCGATGAAAATGTGCAGCATCAGCTTCGGGGAGACGATGGCGGTGGCCAGCGCGTACGAGGCCCAGTGCACGGTCGGGAAGGTGGCGACGGCGCCGTTGGACAGCGAGTACGGCAGCGGGCACATGCGGATCATGACCAGCAGCTTCAGGCCGTCGTGTTTTAGCGTCAGGGCGAGGGCGGCGAAGCGCTTGTCGTTGGCGATCAGGCGGGTGACCATGGTGCGCAGCAGGGTGCGCGAGAGCAGGAAAGACGCGGTGCTGCCGGCGACGGTGGCCGAGGCGGCGATGAACCAGCTGGGCGGGGTTAGCCGTGGTGAGGTATGGGGCGGGGTGAGAGCATAGAGGGGGAATGATCAGACGGGAGCGTGACTGGGAGGCCGTACCCGTTGGGGAACCCGTAGACGAAGCCGGCAATGGTGAGCAGCGACGAGTAGCCGATCAGCGGCGGGAACGACACGGTGAAGATGAGCGCCCACAGCACCAGCCAGCCAGCCGGCACGTCGCGCCACTTGCGGGCGTAGGGCAGCAGGGCGCCGAAGATGGCCTCGTTGTACACCAGGAACAAGATGCTGGTGATGAAGACGGCGATGCCGCCCAGGCTGAACAGCACCTTCTGCACGGGCGACAGCTTGTTGTACTGGGCCAGGCCGCGGCGCTGCAGCATGGCGGCCGTGGCCGAGGCGCGCTGCAGGAAGGTCTGCGGGCGGCTGGGGGTGGGCGGTGCGCGCGAACGACTGCGAGCGGCGGCTCCAGATGGGCGTCTCGCCCGTGGCGTCGTCCTCGAGGGGCAGCGCGAGGGCGCGGGCGTCGTAGTCGTCGGCAGGCATGGCGGGCGTGGGCGGTGGGCGTGGCGCCGGACGGGCTGTGGCGGAGGAGCGCGGGACGGGCAGCGAGGCGCGGTGGGGTGGGATGCGTGAGGGGGACTACGGGGGCTCGCGATCGCTACCTGCGGGACATGTCGATGGAGCGGGGGGGACGGTGTGCTGGTACGCGGGAGCTCGACTGCGCGTACATGGTGGTCTCGCTGACGGCGTTTAGCGGACTAGCAGCGCCGTTTCAGCGGCATCCGGAGAGCCGCCGCCAGGGTCTGAGGCGGTGCAGTGCCAGACGTAGAGGGCGGCAGCTGGCAGAGCTGTGGCAGAGCCGTCACACGGTCACACGCAGCGTACACGGACGTGCAGCAGGGCCATTCCACGGCCTCTGCAGCCATTCCAGGGCACCGCTGCGCTGCTGGTACTCCCCGCGCGGTGCCCTGACGGCGGCCGACGCGCTGATGCACCGCCGGTCGCACGTGAATGCAGCCCAGCAGCGGTGCCCTGCGTGTGCCAGCTGCGGCGGCGAGGCTCCAGGCAGCGGGCCGGCGGTGCGTGGCCTCTCGCGGACTCTGTGTACAAATGCAGCAGCGTCCCCAAGCGTGGCTGGTTGCCCCAGCGTCCGACCTGGCCGAGGGTGCAGCTTGCCGCTTGCCGCCTCCGGGAACCAACAGCTCCCCCACACTTTCGACCTTCGAGTCTCCAGCCATCCGCGCGCGCAGGCTCCTGCTGCCCTCCGCGCTGCCCCCGCGCTGCCTCTGCGCCGCCTCTGCGCTGCCCGCCTCTCCCCCGCCGCGCCCGACTGGTGCAGTGGCCGCCGCTGAGCGCGCGAACCCCCGACGCGCCGTCCGCGGCTGCATCACCACCACCGCCTCCACCTCCCTACCACCCCATCCGCCGCCGCCATGGTGCCCGACGCCCTGTATGACAAGGCGCGGCCCATCCTGCAAGACGACGCCCTGGACGACGAGGACAAGACGGACCGCCTGGAGGAGCTGCTGCGCAAGGAGACGGGCCTGACGGGCAAGTCGCTGGAGAACGTCGTGCTGGACTGCCTCTGGCGCTACCGTGACGCCGGCAGCTCGTCGAGCTCGCCGCCGCCCAGCCGCCACACCATCATCCGCCGGCCGTCGCCCGCCCCGTGGCAGCAGAACCGCGCCCCGACCCCCGTCAGCCAGTCGCCGCGCCTCGTCAACCCGCCGCCCGGCTTCGGCATCGCCCCGCCTGCCTTCAACCGTGCAAAGTCGCACACGGGCACCGCCTCGCCCTTCACCTCGCCGCGTCCGTCGCCGCGCCTGGCCTTTGCCACGCCGCACATCCCCCACAGCCCCAGCCTCAGCGCATACCAGTTCAGCGAGGGCGCCAGCCCCAACCACGAGTACGGCGACCTCGACAGCCACTCGGTCGACTGGCTGGTCAATGACGACTCCGGCAGCACCGAGTCGTCGCTGCTGGGCGACGGCACCCTGAATGGCGCCGCCGCCGAGTGGGTCCAGCCCCAGGCCATGGACATGGGCCCATATGACATGCTGCGCTCCGTGCTGGGCAACGAGCGCTCCGACGAGGAGATCGAGGTCGCCCTGGAAGCCAATGCCTACGACCTGACCGCCGCCCTGCTGGCCCTGATGGTCGCCCAGAACGGCCAGGCCGCCGTCGCCACTACGCCCATGGGCAGCGAGTCGGGCTATCTGATCGGGAAGTCAATGAGCCCAGCCTACCGGCCGGCTACCCCTGTCGGACAGCAGAAGAGCAACATTGTGTGCAAGTACTTCCTATCGACCGGGCACTGTGCCCGGGCGGATTGTAGATTCAGCCATGACACCACCAAGACGCTGTGCAAGTGAGTCTCCCGTCCAAGCTATTACTATACGTGCTGACATCTCAGGTACTTCCTCAACGGCAACTGTCTCGCCGGCGACACCTGCTTGTTCTCGCACGATCCCTCGGCCATGATGGCTCGCATGGCTATTTCAGACGTCTCGACACCGCCTCTCCAGGCCGCTGTGCCCAACTTCCACATGTCCGACTTTGACATGTTCCCTTCTCTCCAAGGAGCCGACTCTCCGTACGGCGCCCCGCAGCCTTCGTTGGAGCAGCTCTACGGACTGACAGGCAGCGGCCACACCCGGCCTCCACCTGGCCTCAGCCCCTTTCCAGTCTTCACTCCTGGAGCTGGCAGTCGTCCTCAGTCGCGGACTGGCAGCCGTCAAGTCTCTCGTGCCACAACGCCGTCCGTGCTCGCCGTCGACGACAACGATGCCTTCCCGAGTCTTGGCTCGGCCGCTGCTGCAAAGACCGGCAAGCGACACCACGGAAAGCGAGGTGGCCACGGCCACAAGGATGTTCTGGCCTCGAGTAATCTGTCGGACGTCGTGCGCATGTCGCCAGCACCAGCGTCGCCTGTTCCAGCGCGCAAGGGCCTCAGGACTGCTAAGAGCTTTACTGGATCCCGCGAGAACAGCGCTGCCGCCCAGGCCATCCCTGCACCACAGCACATTCCGTGGCTCGAGACGGGCGAGAAGGGGAATCAGGCGTATCTGAAGGCTCGCGCAGAGGCTTTTAAGCATGGCAGTCTGCGGAATAAGTTCTTGCAGAGGTAAGTCTATTCGACGGCGGATTATATATGTACTGACTCCGTACAGTGCCGCACAAGCTTGGAATCGCAGCGATTCCCGCGCCGCCAAAGCCCTCAGTCTGAGGGGGCAGAGCGAGAACAACCTGATGCGTGAAGCTCATCGCGAGGCTGCGCGCATTCTCTATGAAGAGCGCAATAAACGCAACGACGACTCGAAGGAGTTGTATGTTGATTTACATGGTGAGCCACCTGATATCCATGACTGTTGCACTCATTGACATGCATGCAGGACTCCATCCGGATGAATCTGTATCCTATCTCGAAGGCATCCTCGTCAAACACAGCGCTTCCTCGCGCCCCGTCTATGCCATCACCGGCACCGGCCATCACTCCAAGAACGGCAAGGACAAGGTCGGCAAAGCCATCCGCGGCTTTCTAAACGAGTGGCGCTACGCGTTCCGCGAGTTCTCTGTGCCTGGCGACCGCAACAACGTCGGCGGCATCCTCGGCATCGACCCCAGCAGCTACGACAAGAGCGTTGCCGAGCGGCCGAAGGACGGCGAGGAGGTCGAGGACAGCAAGAAGGATGGCAAGATAAGAATCATGAAGAGAGACGAGGTCTTAGACGTGCCCAAGGGGCCGAAACGTGCCGTGTGACTGGTCAATGTCGAGCTGCAGCCAGCCAAATAGTAAAATAAGGTAGCCTCAATAAGAAAGGTCCAATCTACACTCTTCTAGACATGACGTGCTGATGATTTGGATTGCAGCGCAGACGGTGTGTGACAGCCTGAGGTGGGCGGAGACGGGGGAAGGTGCGCTCGTCCTGCTCTTTCCATTCCGAGCAGGAGCTTGCAGTCTCACCACACTTCGCTTCTCGCGAGAAGAAATCTTCTTTTCTGTCCTACCGGCCTGGAGACACTCGCCTCACCTCAGGCTGCAATTCTTTGCATCGTGTGTCTGAATGTAAGCACTGACGCACTTACACTTCACCACAGCCAGAGCAGTCTCAATTCATCTACCCAGCAAGCTCTCTTCAAGCACCAACAAAAACGATACTAAAAAACCCCTCATACCGCCACACCAGAAAGCAGAATTCGAACCACTCACCCACAGCCATGAGCAGCATCAGCACCACCCCGCGGCGCCCCAGCACCGCCCAACCACTCACCCGGACCCCGCGCCTCCCCTACGAAGCCGGCGAAGCGCTCCTCTGGGAGCGCCAAACCCACCGCCTAACCACCCATCTCGCGCAGCAACTGCAGACCCTGCAGGCCCAGCACGCCGCCTACGACGCGCGCATCCGGGCCGCCGAAGCCGTGGCCGAGGCGGCCGACGCCGCGGTCCAGCAGGTGCGTGGCTTGGACGCGAAGGTCTGCGCCATTGAGGCCGAGGACGCGGAGCGCCCGTTTGATAAGTGGGTGCAGGAGGCGGTGGGGCAGTTGCAGGTCGTGGTTGATGGGCTGAAGGGGGTGAGGGGGAAGGTGGGGGGGTTGGAGAGGGAGGTGGAGAGGTTGGGGGAGGAGGTTGAAGGTGGGGGTGGGTTGCTTAAAGACGTGGTGAGGAGGGTGGGGGTGTTGGAGGGTGAGAAGGAGGAGCGGAGGGAGGAGGTGGGTGTTGAGGATGCGGGTGCGGAGGGTTGCGGACAGGTGCTGGTGGATGATTCTCCGCTGATGGATGATGATCCGCTGGCGGTGTTCTACGGGATCGATTCGCAGAGGCGTCAGCAGTCGCCATTGAGGCAGAAGGGTCGGTTCGAGACGCCCAATGCGCGCCGTCAGGATCGTCCTGCGAGAAAGCGTACTGAGTCACCACAGCAGCGACGTGGCAACCTGCAACCACCAGACGAGGACACCGCGCTGCCGGAGCATACCTTTGATCCTCGGGAAGCGGCTCCCCCGGTCGACTACGGTTGGGAGAACACTCAGCAGTACAAGGACATGCAGAAAGAGCTTGATGAGCTTCGAGCGATGTGCAGGACACAAGAGTCTAAGCATGACAGCGAGACAGCAGACATGACGCAGCGTCCCCAGGAGACACTGATCGTTCCCCGGGAGGAGATTCTTGGATTCTCGGATGCTACTACTGAGGCAGAGGGGGAGAACGACGGTGCTGATCGCCAACAGTCTCGCATGGACCTCACTCGTGGCTCAGTGGATGGTTTGAGGCAAGTTTTCACCGCGTGTATGAGGTTGAGATATGACTGACGATTGGCAGCTCTGAGATGTGGCTGCCTTCGTCGCCACCAAAGCGAACAGAGACGCAGTCAGCCCGGCGAAACATCATGAAGCGGCCTTCCATCCATAATCCACGACTACCTTCAACACGACTGCCTTCAGTGAAGCAACGCAGACAGGACGCTGAGCCGGGACCAGATCGAACTCCTCGCCCTTCACTGTTGGCCAGTGCACTACCCCCCGATGAGACACGCACTGGCAACAAGACGACAGCGAAGCGGAAGCGTGTCGACGACGCTCCTGTCCAGCGAGTGACCCGGCCGAAGCTCGGTGACGGTAAAACCGCTGCTAAGAAGCCTGTTGCTGGAAGTGCGAGCAAGAGCAAGATAAAGGACGACAAAGTCGTTCTGGAGGCTGCTCCTTCAGTCCCTGGTGATAATTCTTTGGCGCCGCCTCCATCTCCCCGCAAGACATTGAACAATCAGGAGCCAGCTGTGAACAGTCCTGTACGGAAGACAGCACAAGCCAGCACAAGCATACCAGAAATCGACCCACTTCCCGTCGTGGAGCCAGCTGTGACGGTAGCTAAGACTGTGAAGTCACGCAAAAATGTCAGCAAGTCCAAGCAGACCAAGAAGCCGACTAAGCAGCCAGCACCTCAAGCAGCTAGTAGCTCCAAAACTCCTGCCGTTGTGAAGAAGGAAGGAAAGGGGCACCGACAGCCAGCAGGCGCATGCCAAGCGTGTCGTGCACGCCACCAGAAGTGCGATCGGACACACCCGAACTGTGGTCGCTGCGTCAAGTTTGGTATTGCTTGCGAGTATCCTCTTGCCTTCGGCTCCAGCGCGCCAGTCAATGGAGTATCAGCCAGTCCCGGTAAGAAGAAAGCACTGCTGCCTATCAAGAAATCAGAGGACGATGCCAATCCCGCGCACGACGAGCGAGAAAGATCTGTAACTGTCAGCCCTGAAGTACCGCGACAGCAGAGCCCTGCCAAACGTCCGCTTGCTTCGCCGTCAAAGAAGTCTGTCGCTGCTCCTACCGCAGCCAGCTCTCGCGCACCGAGAGCGAAGAACACACAAAATCCAAAAGCTTCTCCATCGAAGCAGAAGACGAAACAGAAGTAAGAGTGGTCTATGTCTTCATTCAACTGTCCGATCTTTTATGTCTCAGCAAACGAATACAAACCCTCGCGGTCCTCGACCGGAACCTCGAGGCTCGCTTCTTCAATGTCCTTCCCGTCAACCTTGATTCCAGCCCGCATAACATCCCCTGTCTGGACCGGCCCAACACCCTTCGGCGTGCCCGTCAGGATAATGTCTCCCGCCTCCAGCGTCATGACCCTGCTAATAGCGCTCAACTGCTCGGGGATACGGTGCAGCATCAGCGCGGTGCTGTCGGACTGCTTCATCTCGCCGTTGACAGACAGCCAGAGATGCGCGTTCTGCGGATCGGGAATGCGCGATTTGGCAATCAGCTGCGAGATGGGCATGAAGGTGTCGAAGCCCTTTGCAATCGACCATGGCAGACCCTTCTTCTTCGCCTCATCCTGCACATTGCGCCCCGTCATATCAATAGCAAGGAGGTATCCTATCATCGTCAGCCCTATGTTCCCAGCTCCCCCTAGATATTCCCCATGTATCCGCAATCAACCCCATAGAATCAATACATACCCGCAATAGCATCCAGCGCGCCCTGCTCGTCGTCCTCGCGCAAGTCCCGCACCGTCCGCCCCATGACAAGCCCCAACTCGACCTCGTAGTGCATCGTCACGCCGCGCGGCCGCAGCACGGGGCCCGCGCCGGGCAGCAGGATCGACGACGCGGGCTTGAGGAAGAAGAAGGGCTGCTTGGGCGTCGCCGAGTTGAGCTCCGCGATGTGCGCCGCGTAGTTGCGGCCAATGCACATTATCTGGGGGCGTTAGCCGGGCGGTGCTCTGCATACTGTGTGGTGTGTGATGCGATGTAGTGCTGTCACTGCTGTGCAGTAAAGTCCCAGAGCCATTGCGCGACAGCAGACACCATGAGCGATGCCGTGTAGCTGCAGTGGTGTCCACAGCCATGGCCCCTTCCCTCCAGAACCCCCAGCTCGCAGCAACCAACGCACGCAGAAACTCGACGCGATGCGTACAGGCTGCGGAGAGAAGAGAGAGCCACATACCTTGCGGCAATTCCGCGCAATGCTCTGCGCGCTCGCCATTTTTACTGTTCTTGTATAATGATAGTAGGAATAAGAGTAGTAATACCAGAAAATCGTGTATGTACAAAGAAAGCCGCACCAAGATTCCCACACAGACACAGCGAGACTCGCTCGCGCCTCGCTCCGCTGCTACTTCAACGCCCGGCGCAGACCCGTATCTGCCGCGGCCGAGGCCGGGGCGTGTCCCGTAGCGTGTCGTGTCGTGCCGTGCGTTCTGGGCCCCGCGTGCGTCATCGGCTAGCGCGTTTGGGAGCTGGAGCTTGAGCTTGGGCTTGGGGTTTGAATTTCGGGTGGCAGATGTTAGGTCGTCGCCGAGGTCGGGTTTGAGCTTGGTCTTGGTCTTGGGTTTGGGTTGGGACTTTGACTTCGACTTCGACTTCGACTTGGATATCACGGGGAGCACTGCGAGGACTGACGATCGACGGCTGGCGACTGACGGCTGGCGATTGACGACCCGCGGAATCTTACCACCTGCACACAGACTCAGCGCCCGTCCATCGCGCGCGAGAAAGAGACACACAGAGAGAAAAATGGCAGCACAGCAGAGCCCGGATATGCAGGTAGCCCAGATCCTGAGCGATCTGATGAGCCTGCGGGCGGGTGTTTGTGTACGCCCCCTCTTCCATCCATCCTGCACCCTCCATCCCCCATCCTCCTGCGTCCCAAGCGCCGCTGCTAGCTGCCTCCCACGCGTCCCCACACACATCTACATAGACATACACAACCTCCTTCTAACACACCCAGGACCCCGCCGCAGCCCTGGCCCTTGTATCCGCACGCCCCCAACCCGCGGCCCACACGCCCGACCAGTCCTCCGCACAAACCACCGCCCAACCCACCGCACAAGAGGGACAAGAAGAACAAGACCCGGACCTGCGTCGTGCAAAAGACCTCGTTGCGCTGCACTACGGCGTACGCGAGCGGTGTCGAACGGGGGCGCTGGGGAGGACGTTGGCGGGGGCGAGGGGGGATGTTGAGCGGGCGATGGGGGGCGCGTGAGGGAGAGATGGCGGGGGACGAGTGTGTCTAGTCTACGGGAAGAGGGGTTCGAGTTCGAGTGCCTGGGGCAGGGTAGTGAGAAGGCGGGGGTAAGGGTTTGGATGTGCCCGCAGGAATTTCTGCAGAGATTGTAGCAGAGGTTGTAGCAGAGGTGCTCGTACAGGGACCTACGGATCTGCGTTGCTTGCCTGCAGTACTCCACGCCTGATTCGTTTCCAGACTCCATGTGCGCGAGTACGCAGGTGCAATGCTATCTCCACGCACAGTCAGCCGCCATCTCTTGCCCGTGGCGCGCAAGAAAGTTTGCGGCTCGGTGTGTATGCTGGAGAGCCAGTGGCAATATCTGCTACAATAAATGCGCTGTTCCACATCATCAACACAATTAATCGGTTTCTTGTCCTGTCTCAGTGCTTTGTGTCACTTTCAGCACACAACATACACTGCAGGCTCATCATCTGTCTAGTCTAGCCCGTGATATCATAATTATCGAGCATGGGTTGCTGCCTCTCGAAATGTGTGATATGCTGCGTAGTGAGTGCTTTTCGCCTGGATTTTCGTGTATGTTAACAGCTCAGAAAATCATTCTAGAAATATTGCCAGTTCCGAGCTCAATCTGAAGTAGACAGTGTTGTGCAGATATGCTGCTACATATCAAGACCTGTTGGTATGAAATGGCGATGACGCTTTGCGAGATAGTCGAGAGGAGCCAGTATTTCCAAATATACCAGTCGCGAAGAACACATAATAGATAGACAAAGTGATTGCAGTGCTTGATTTGGATCAGATTCGCTCAAAGAATAACCACCCGCCGCTCTCCATCTCCAACCAAAACGGCTGACAATGCTAAGCAGCAATATATGTACAGTACGTCAACGCCCTTGGGCTTGTAAGACCACTGGGTATTGCACCCTCTCCGCGCATCGCAGTCTTGACGTCCAATCAGACGCCTCGCCTTGTCAATCTCAAAGTGTATCATTCTCACTCAATAGGCTTGTCCACTTGCCTAGCTGTCACCAAGCTAACAGGGTTGCTCAGGAGGTAGTTGCGGCCGCGGTCTCTGATGCCGATTCAGTGGTCGCAGCATTGACGCCTTCCGGGTTGGGTGCATCCATGATTGCGGGAGCCTCCTTGGTAGCCTCAACATCGGCCATCGACACGTCACCATCCTTGTCGGCAGGCGCCGCAGCAGTAGGCTCGGCTGGTGCCTCGACCTTTGGTGCCTCCTCCTTCTCTTCTGTCGGCTCAGCGTTGGTCTCCCCCTTGGTCTCCTCTGTGGTCTCCTCCTTCTTCTCGACCACTGGGGTCTCGGCCTTTGCGGACTCGGACTTCTCGTCGTCGGCCTTGACACCGTTGGTAGCAGCAGGTGTGGTCTTCTCCGCAGAGTCTCTGTCAGCAGAAGCCAGCGAAGCATTCCACTTGCCGAGCAGTTCCGCAGAGCGTTGCTTGAAGCTGTGCTGCTCTTCCTGGGGGATGTTGTCGAGCTTGATGATGGCCTTGAGGACCTTGTGGACCTTCGTTCTCTTGATGATCTCAGCCTCGAGGTCATCGTACGCTTCAAGCTGCTTCAGGTAGTCGGCCATGTTAGTCATGTCTTCGTCCTTGGGTGCCTGGTCTCGCGAAAGGAAACCCTTCTGCAACCGGTGTCGAAGGTATAGAACTATGATGGTCAATGTCTGCTCGTGATGTGAACAGTGGTGTACATACTCTGCTTCTCGCGCTTAGCGAACCGCTCTTCGGCAGTCATCTCAGGCTCCTCTGATATGGCTGGCGCAGGCTCTTCAACGGCCTTCTTCTTAGACTTTGTCTCCTTCTTCGGCTTCGCGGCAGAACCTTCCTTGGGGGTCTTATTGTTGAGCTTCAGCTTGGTAGTCTTCGGGGTCTTAGCCGCAGGCTCCTCGCCGTCGCTGCCATCCTCCTTCTTGCGCTTCTTTGTTGCCTTGGCCTTCTTCGCAGAAGGCGCTGCATCATCGCCAGCATCTCCCATCTCCACATCGTCCGAGTCGACCGCAGCCGTGCTCTTCCGCTTAGAGGCCTTGTCCTTCTTCTCCTTCTTCTCGGCTTCCTTAGCTTCACGTGCCTCAGCATCCTCTTGCAGAGCTGCTTCGTGGCTTGCGAGCATGGTCTTGAAGTAGGCCAGATCGTGGCCCTCTGCGGCCATCTCGTACGCTGACCACAGCGCCTTGTTCTTCTTCGCCGAGTTCCCGGCCTCGACATCCTTCTTTACGTCTTCAACATTGAATGTCAGGAGCTCGGTATTTACCTGCCATGCGCTGTAGGACGTCAGCAAATGCACTGAGCGGTGGGGATTACGAAACAAGACTCACAACTCGTTGGTACCGAGGAACATGATAGGATACCTGCGGTCTTTCGCGTTCTTCCCACCCTCGAGGAAGTCCTCGCGGTATGTGCCGTCGATGCGCTTCGCGCTGACCGGTCGCTTGCTCAGGAGAGATTCGGGGAGCATCTCCTCGTCGCAAACGATGACCGGCCACGGCTGGTACCCTCGCATAGCGACCATGTACATGTCTCCCGGCTGAGCATCGAGACGGAGCTCGGGTGCCTTCTTCTTGCTCTTGGCAGGTGTCTTCTTCTTATGCTCAGGCACGCCAGCCCCTGACTTTCGCCTGCTGTTACTTGTCTTAGCCGGGGTGGTGGCGGTGCCGTTGGTCGCGGAGCCAGCAGCTGGGGGCTCAGCTGCAGGTTCGGCGGCAGGTTCGGTGACAGGCGCGGCGTCTAGGACGAACGTCAGTATTTTGTTGGTGTCTGTAAGGTCCGCTGACACGACTTTAGGCCGTGGTGAAGCTGTTTTCGCGTACCCGTGTCATTGCTTGGTGCGGCTGTGTCGGGCGCGTCGGCAGTGGCCTCATCCTTCGCAGCAGTGGACTCCTCAGTCTTCTCCTTGTCTGCAACTGAAACATTGTCGCGTCAGCAAGCGCCGTGGGAGCTACGCGCAAGTTCTCTCACCTTCAGCGACTCCCTCGGTAGCGATGACGGCATCCCCCTCAGAGGGCTTCGCTTCGGCGACAGCGGGCGCAGCTGCGGCGTCTGCGGGACGCGTTGGGATCTCGGTGGAGATCGTAGGCTCGGTTGCCACGGGTGTTGCCGCCGCGTCCGCCATGGTTCGTGTCTAGCTTACGGTAGCACGGTCTGCTATCGACGCGTAGGATGGATGGGAAACAGCGATTAAAGCTGACGAGGTGTCGGACGCGATATGTGTACCGCGTACTTGATGGGTGGCGACGTGTGTTGATGACGCGCGGTGGTGAAGGTGGTTGGGTCGTGTCGTGGTGGAGTGGGGATTGTGAAGAGCGAAGCGTCGGGACGTAACTTTCAATTCTTGTCACGTGAATATGACGCGCGCTAGATTGGCCGCAATGCTGCCCCTACTTTGACCGCAAAAAATGGAGGTGCTTCCCTGACCGTACCGCAATCACCGCCTCCAGTTTGAAGCCGTTGCAGCTGTTGGATGTTGTGATCGTAATGCTGTCTCGTAATGTTGTTGGTGCCTTCCAAGGTTTGGCGCGATGCCTCGAGAGGGCCGTGCGTTGGAGTACAGGATCCGCCCCTCGATACGCAGCGCAGAGGATCCCACGAAGGCACTTGGTGAAGCCAGCAATATGCGATCGTGGTATGTGATTGCTGGTGTCCCGATGACCCTTGACTCCCCCTTTGGCGATCAGGCCTGATGGAAATGATGGCGTACGCGGCTGCTCGGCTTTTCCAGACAAGCCGCCAATGAGCTAGGCTGCGCCTTCCATGTCAGAGCGCGATTCGTCGCAGCAAATGGCAGTGGTGACATGTCGCACATATTGGACGCCCAACTGTTGTATCGTTAGCCATTGTTCGTTCTCTACCTTCTTACCTTGCTACAGATCACCTGTTCTCGCCATCAAATCGCGACCCGCGAATGATAAAAATACCACGACGTCAAAAGGGACCAATGATTGGAGAGTCGTTCACTGGAAGGCTGCAAGGCCCAATGCGATTTAACTACTGAGTACACATTAGCTGGAGAATTTAGGGGTCGAGAGATGCACTTACTGTACTCTACGCGCAAGGAGTTTGCAGGCCATGGGCACATAGAGCTTCTAGCATTCTCACCAAGTCATACTCTTCCCACGCTGTCACTGGCCTCGCTCCAACAATCCTGAAGTGTCCCCTCATGTAGTGGTGGACAAAGAATACAAATGAACGTAAAGGAGCTGACTGTCAGCAGGCGGTCTGCAGTGCGACTGTCCGAGAATCCCAGCGCAGGGTTCAAGATGATGGATGGTCTACAATCTGCCGTATGAGCCTTACTAAATGAATGACTTACGCGGAATTCTACTCCCGTGTGTGCCTAAGACTGGCCGCAAGACAGTCAGCCATACGTCTGCGTTGCAGCCTACATGACGCTTCTCGGGAGCTGCACCGAAGCTGCATCGAAGCTTTCAAGAGCCACTTGAAAGGCTTTCACACCTTCACGAAGGAACATGACGATACTGGAACGGAACTCAACCGTGAGTAGGCCTACCATATTGGGCATTTGCACGAAGTGCGAGTCAAACTCAGGCACAGTGGTGTAATTTCCGAGACCAACAGGTCTGGACGCGCTCGAGCGGGACAGCTGCGTACTCACCAACACCCTTGCCGCGGCTTCGTTGCGGAGAGCCTCCGGTGCAGATTGCTATCGATAAGCTCTGGTACAACAGCATACGGCCCTTAGTCCGGTGTGCTTGCATCCTCGCTGACTCTCTGTGATTACCTGGCTCTTGCTCTCTGATGGTGCTGGTCCATGTTGTCATCAGCATGACCGATAGCCCAGACATCGTCGTGGTAAAAAATGATAACTCTTCACACGTCGCTTTTCGGGGCGTGGAGTGACTTGAACACTTGCAAGCCAGCATCATCCGCCTTGTGCTATCCAATGACAGGTGTGTTATTGTGGGCGTCTAGACAGACGCAGCCTTAGGTATTGATAGAATAGTGTTCGACCAATCTGTGGTGCCTTTGGTGTCCGCTCAACGCAGTCATGGGTCGTGCAGAGCTCGAACCAGTCGTTGCATCGTGTAGAGTGTATAAATGCAGCGCATAACTCGATCTGCCTTCGAATATGGCTAGAAACCTGCAGAATGGGCGTGTGCTGTGGGCGTGGCGGTCGGCGGCTTGAGGTCATCGGTCGACCGAGGGGCTGCCGCGCAGCAAGCAGATCAAGCGGTTATGGAGCAGCGCCATCGTCGTCGCTCGCCAAACAATAATGGGGTCGGCGCATCGGAACGTTCGGTATCGCAGAAGAGCTTGGGCATTTGCTGATGCTGGTAGATATGGCGAAGATGGTGTTCGAGGTAGGCGGTTCTGTACGATCGAAATGGTCTGCTGGTCGCTACTATCGGCGCTCTATCACGTGCAGCCACGCGCAACCTGAATCAAGCAGCAGACGTCAACTGCATGAGGCTTGCTACGGCCATCGCTTATGGACTCTGTAAAGACGGTCTCATGACCGTGACAAACAGAACTGTAGATGCCTGGACGCCTTCGAGATTAAGGGACCTACCTCACGTAAGGACGTAAGGCGTGGTGGTACATAGATCTCGTCAGAAACACCTGCAGATCTTCGATCACTCTGACTATCATGCATGGCGTGAGAATCCCTGTCTACAAACACCAGTCAACCTTTTGCTCTTGAAACATGCTTTTTGGACTCTCGGATCTTACACGAGGCTGCAAGCGTTCACTGCGGGCTCGTGCTTCCATACTAGCGCGGGGAGTTGCAGATCAGGACATTTCTCAAGTTGCGCCAACAAGGTCCCCACTACACACAAACATGGCAACCCAAGCACCCTCCACAAATGGCGACCACAGTGCTGAATACAAGGCGCTGTGGGCGAACAAATACCGCGGAGTATGTAGTCATCGCATCTCTACCAGACCAGATGCTAACGATTGAACAGGCAACGGTAGAAGACCTCGACCCACCTCCAGCTCTCTCCGTCAAGCCTACAGACCCTATCTCATGGGCGCTCATGAGTGGCCTCGAACGCGACTACACGCACCTGACTGTCGTGTCACAAGAGAACCGCGCTCTGCTCGGATACATCAGCATCCCGCGCCTACAGCAGTTGCTGAAAGAGCGCAAAGTGAATGAGAATGACGCGGTTGAGGCAGCAATGCACAAGTTCCAGCGACGTGGGAGGCGATACAAGGTCATCGACATGGAGACGCCGCTTGAGGAGCTCGAGGAGTTCTTCAAGGGTGGAGTGGACGGTAGTGGGAAGCAGGACTTCGCGGTCGTCACAGATGCAAGCCGCAAATTTGTCCTTGGTGTCGCAACGACAGACGACTTGGACAAGTTTCTGAAGACAAGGGCATGAGAAGGTTCGAAGAGGAGACGGGGTTCAAGACCATTCTGCATTGCTCGGCGTTTGCTTCGGATACCACTTGGGAGGAGGTGTTATGGAGATGTCACAGGAGGGTTGATTCAACATTCCCTCCAAGAACTGGACTGCACGTGCACATGAAGTGCCAGACAACTGCAGCAGAGCAAAAAGCAATCTTGTAAAGAGTTAGCGGTTCGCCTATCGTAGATCCTAGACGTTAATCATGGTTAATTCCAAGTGATCGCCTGGTACATCTATGCAAGAGTACTCTGCACGCTTTCAAATGTTTTGAGGCTATCACATAAGCACATCACGACCATTTCACGACACGAAAGAAACTAGACGTCATGCTACCTTGGAAAGGCTTAGTGAGGCTCAGCCCTATCCGCGCTCCTCAACCATCCATGGATTCGGCAACCGACCCGACCCTGATAACCCGACATTGTTCCACTTGAATCTTGCAGGTCAAAACTCCTTGCCAAACGTGAGACTGCGCGCCTTCATGCGCTTATAACCCTTGCTACCGGACGCCTCGTCCCCTACACATCTCCTACGGTCGCTGGCATGCCCGCGCTTCTCCGCCTGCGCAGTCCTGTTCTCCACCTTCCACGGACCGTTCGCATACCAGTTCGCGCACCACGATCACGAACACAAATATGGGTTCCTGTAGCACAGCAGACACAGATAAGAGGCTACGCCCATCAGCCGCAAAACCCACATCTAGGCACAACCACTCCCGTCCCAGATGATGCGCCCCCACCCCCGCCGAAGTCGCCGTTCTACTTCGAGGCCGGATACGCGCTGTATGCAAAGCGGCCTAGTCGACCATTCCCCCCGCCGTTCCTTTCGCTGCCGTCGACCAGCTTCTCGGAGCCTCTGAGCACGTACAACAGGAGCCGTGACCGGCGACCGCGAGTCAACGGAGAGATGATACGGGGGGTCACGAACGGCGACGACGCAGTCCTCGTCAGCGACTACTTCATTGGCGCCAACGACGGCGTAGGCGCATGGGCTACCCGCGAGCGCGGACACGCCGCGTACGTCCACCCCTGGCATCCCCACACGCATCGTGCTAACACAGTCCCACAGCCTCTGGTCCAGACTCATCCTGCACTTCTGGTCGTTGGAAGTCGAGGCCGCGCCATTCTCACCCACGGACCCGCCCACCCCCATCGCATACCTCCAGACGGCCTTCGACAAGACCAAGGCTGCGGTCTCAGAGCCCAACGAATGGCACGGCACAACGACCGCGTGCGGCGCCCTGCTCAGCGCGAACAAAAACGACCAGCCGCTGTTGTATGTGACGCAGATCGGCGACGGCCAGATTCTCGTCATCAGACCGAGCACGAAAGAAGTGCTCTTCCGCACAGAGGAGCAGTGGCACTGGTTCGACTGTCCACGCCAACTCGGCACCAATTCGCCCGACACGCCCGACTCCAACGCCGCGCTCGACCAAATCGAGATCCTCGAGGACGACGTCGTGATCGCCATGACCGACGGCGTGGTGGATAACCTGTGGGAGCACGAAGTCGTCACGAACGTGTGCGAGAGCATTGAGAAATGGCGGAGCGAGGGCGTGAAGGAGGTCGAGGGGCGGGAAGTCGGCGAGACGGGGAAAGACGAGCAAGAGCAGAGCTATGCGGACGGTATGCGGTTCGTTGCGCAGAGGCTGGTGAATGCGGCAAGGGAGATTGCTGAGGATCCCTTTGCTGAGAGTCCGTACATGGAGAAGGCCATTGACGAGGGATTGAGCATTGAAGGAGGTAAGTGTTGATTGACGCGAAAGCTTGTGGGATACATTCTGACTGTGTGCAGGCAAGCTCGATGACATCAGTGTCGTCGCTGCTCAGTGCAAGAGGCGCAACGGCTGAAGCACCGATTCCATGTTGACGACACAAAAGCACACAGCTACCTCAACGGGCGATCGGTAGCGGACATGGCTCCAAAGAATTGGGGTTCAGCATCCAGTACTGCTAATGACGCTGCCTACGGCCATGGCACAGCCGTCCAAGCGCCCAACACGCGCCCGAGAATCGCCAGGCTCCTTCACGACAAGTGACAAGTTCACGAAGACATTTATGAGCGATATGAACAGCATAAGGAGGATTTCAGACATTAATTGGCATGGAATTTTAGTATGATACAAGCGCTTCTAAGAAAAGCATGGCCTCTCAGCGCACTCTGTGCAGGATCTATAATCGAGACACGTATGGCGGGTATCTGGCTGGGACATTGCGGACAGATCAGAGTTCGTTAGGCATACAAGTCTCCAATCATATGTCGGCGATCGAGCAGCTACGTTGATTCGCGATTCAGGTCCTGGTGATGAGATGATATACCAACCTAGTCCTCAGAGCTCTTCTCCTTTCTTGGTGGAGGCGAGTCCGACGGTGACCGTGTGGCGCGCTTTCTGTTGCGGCCGCCTCGACTTCGAGACCTTGACCTGCTTGAACTAGGAGAACGTTTACGTTTCTTGATCTCAGCCGGAGAGCCGGAGCCGACATCGGAAGAATCACGTCTGCGTCGTCTTACAGGGCTTACAGACCGTGAACTGCTTGATCTTGCGGCGCGGCGGCGGCGCGGCGGCGTGCGGGATCTTGACCTTGACAGCCTGGGTGCTGGTGAGCTTGCTTTCTCTTTGGGGGAAGCAGGTCGCGGTTGATGCCTAGGCAGCCTTCTGCTGTCGTTGCTCGGAGACCAAGACTTATCCCGTCCACCATCTCTTCGTTTGCGCCGCGGAGAAGGAGAGCGTCTTGATCGGCGTGGTGGCGATCTCGAGCGCTCACTGGAAGGCGAGCGTCTTCGGCGGCGGGGTGGTGTGCGTGAACGGTCTGACGAGGGTGAGCGGCGGGTGCGACGCGGCGATGGGGATCTAGAACGGCTGTTCGAGGGTACGCGACGGCGATTTGGTGAGCTATCGCGACGATCGCGTCCTCGACCACGGCCACTGGGCACGTAGATGTCACGCTCGCGGCGCAGTGGTGACCTACGCCTCCTGCCATTTGTCAGTGTGAGCTTTTGCACCAAGCAACTGCACTCACGGTGGAGGAGATCGTGAGTCTCGACGCGGTGCTCGACGCTCAAAGTCTCTACCTCCTCTACCACCTCGGTAGCCTCCACGGTCTCCTCGGTCTCCACGGTCACCGCGGTCTCCGCGGTCGCCACGGAAGCCACCTCCACGTCCTCCACGACCACGGCCCCGGTCTCCCCTATCTGGGCGCTCGTTGTCGCGGAACATGTTCACGATATCGTCCTGATCTGTCTGCTCTTTACGACGGGATTCGGCGGCGGCCTTCGAGAGCTAGGGATGTGTGTCAGCTGTGACCTGTAGGAAGCGTTTCGTGTAGCCTTACCTGCTCCTGCTGTAATTCGAGCTTCTTCGCCTCAAGCATTTCCTTTGGAACACCCATAGGGCTGTCTTGTGCACTAAGCATCAGGTCCCAGAGCTCTTTGCAAAACCCTGGGGTATCTTTGTTGAGAAAGCCGGTGAGCTGGATTTGGATCTCTTTTATTTTTGGCTGCGAATGTCAGCCAACGTCGTGGCGGTGAACGTGTAGAACTACTCACGTATTGACTCTGTTCGATCAAATTGTAGCATGTCTCCACGACAATGTCGTCTTCGTCGCCCAGTATATCTGTGATCTTCTGCGCGATCCACTTCTTCATGAGATCGATGTTCACTTTCTCGATGTCAACTTTACGATCGAACTCCGGGGGAAACTTGGTGGCCTTGAGGCGCTTCTGATCGATGCTGAGAGCCATGGTTGCTGTAAAGCAATGGCTCAGTACGTTGGGTAAAGGTTGAGGAAGGTTGGGCTGTGGAGACGCGAGCTCCGATGATGCATGTGGCTCGGCTTGGCACTTGCGGAGGTCCGCACGCGTCGCGTCCTCCGCCACCTTGACTTCAACAACGATCAATACGTTCTGACCCGAACAAAGTTGTTTGAAGATTTTCCAGAGCTCGTATGTTCAACCGGACGTGTTGACTTCGTTCATATTCCTCACTAAACATGATGTGGTGCACTTACCTCACTCCAATCCATGACTGCCTCCAAGTCGCAGAGGGCAGGTCCTCAAAGCCACGACTTCTCTCGTAGCCACGCGATGCTGCAAACAATTATGATGCTACCTCGGCGCTTCAAATCTTCATCCGTACTTCGTTGCCATTGTTTTGCTCTTCTCCCGCATTCATCACAGCCACTCCTTACCATTGTCATTTTAACACTCACTGAAGCCCTTTTCTCGGCAGGTCTCTGTTTCACTGATCAATATGTCAGACGCTGGTACACCGGCCGCTGTACCGGAGGATGCTCCAAAGGAAGAACAGCCTCAACCTGCTCCAGAACCAGCTGCAGAGGAGCCTCCCTCTGAAGAGCCACCTGCAGAAGAGCCAGCAGCAGATTCATCGCCCGAGGAAGCACCTGCCCCAGAACCTACGGTTGAAGAACCACCTGAGGCTACTGAACCTGAACCTGCTGTAGAAGAACCGCCTGCCGAGGACCCACCTGTCGAGCCATCCCCTGCTGAAGACCCTCCGGCCGAAGAGCCACCACCAACAGACGAAGCGCCTGCAGAGGAACCTGCGGAAGTTCCTGAGTCTGAAGGTAACCCCGATTCAGTCATTGATGATTTGATAGACATGTATGCTGAGGCCCCGCTTGAAGAACAGCCGCAGGATATCCAACTAGCTGCTGAACCAGAGCCCGTACCTGAACCAGAGCCAGAGCCCGAGCCCGAGACTCCGTAAGTATAGCGTCTCGAGTCTAGGCGTGATGTTGTTGACCATCTCCAGCTTGCCTCCTGCGTCGACCAAGTCAGCTAAACCACGAAAACGGGACACATTGCGCAGCAAATTAGCAGCCGGTGGCAAAGGAAAACAACGACTTCTGATGTTCACTGCCCCGAAGGAGACCAAGCCGCTGGTCGTGGCACTTCAGAAGGAGAAGGCGAAGGGCACAGATATCAAACCACTGGTGGAAGGCATGTTGGCCACGATTGCATCGTAGCTGGGATGTGCAATGAGACGCACTACCGTCATAGCTTACACATTACGAGCAAACCCTACATAGAAACCTATACAACTCCGTCCTACCCTTATCGGCTGCAGTCATCTTGTGAACAGGCTTCTTGCCAGGCACGCTCACGTTCTCCTAACATTCAGTGCTCCATCTGGTGGATGAGATGATCAAGCAGAAGATTCATTTCGTCGTTGTTCATGTATACTTTCCCGAGCGTAGTAGGACGTGTCTATATTATTACGACCCAATCTCCTGCACCTCTATCTACAATTGTGGAGTCTCTTTTCTTTCCCCGATGACGTTGAGGAAGGCAGTATGGACGTGCTCGGTCAGGTCGCTGGCCTGTAGTGAACGACCCTTCTCCTTGAATGCGAGCTTCGAGCACTCCCTTGTGATGCAGCTACCACCATACGCAGCCAAAGCCAGAGTCTCGCTTCTCTGCATGCTGTTGTCATGCTCCCAAATCCTGTCATGGTATGCCTTCCGGTATGCCAGTAGTGTCGCCAGACTGCCCGTCAGAGTGTCGCCCTGGCCACCAGAGCGCTTCAGACCACCCTCACCATCTGAGACAAGTGTGTTCTCGCCGTTGGAAATGTAGTCCTTAGCGCCCTTCTGCACAATTGTGACGCCACCAAATGCCTTGGACAGCTTAGAGCAGAGCTCAGCTGGGTCGCCCTCATTGACATCAACCCCCTTCGCCTTCGCCAACCGCCCAAACTCCACAACGTTGGGTGTGAGAATGCACTCTTTGCAGCCATCAACTAGCTCCGGGCGTGTTTGAGCCAGGAACAGACCGTCGGCGTCCAGCACAAACGGAATGCCCTGCTTCCTCGCCTCTTCAATCACCTTCGCGCATGTGTCCTGCATCAATTTGTCGCGACCGAGACCGGGGCCAATGACGATAACGTGTAGACGAGACAGCATCCCGACGACTTCGGCTGACACAGATTCGACGCTCTCAGACTGCGCAGCGTTCTTCTCCTGGCGCATGATCGGGTGCACCATCAGGTTGGGGGAGTAGGTCTTGATCACAGCGGCGGCGCCGGGTTCGCAGATGACGTGAGACTAAGACTGATGTTAGCTATTTTGGGGATTAGGTGAAGGAAAAGGTACCATATCGCAGCCGAGCTTTGCAGACGCCATGGCGGAGAAGTAGGGTGCGCCTGTGTAGTCCTCGCTGCCGCCGATGACGGCTACACGACCGAGTTGACCTTTGAATGTATTAGTACTGCTGTGACACACTCTTCAAAGATATATCTACCCTTGTGAAAGCTCTCAAGCATGGGTGGGACCATGTTGTACACCTTCTTAAGAAGGTCTTTCCTCGATACAGACGCAGCCATTGTGAGGATCTGTGGAATTAATTGCAGACGTTGGAACAAAGTGTGGGTATCAATCAAATGGTGCTGCAAAACAAGACGAATGCTTCTGGAGCTCAGAGTTGGGCGGGTAGAGCATCACTACGATGTTGCGGTTCTGTTTGATAGACGAGTTGTGAGGTCACCAATCGTCATGAAGCTGGTGGGACGGGCAAATGTGGGGAAAGCACAACGCGACGCGCCGCTGACACCTTAATTGCGACAACATCTTCAACACAGCTAACAGCCTCGTCTAGCAAACGGCTTCACAAGATAGAGAATGCAGTGTGTTTTTTTCCGACAGTTCTACAGCGTGTGGCTCACTGCGAGGAAGCCACGTTCTTCATGAACCTATCTCAATCTCTAATTTTTTTCCAGCATCGACTCTTTTGCAATATCGACAAGCTGGTAGTGTCATTACCATGATCAATCCAATTGCTGACCATGTTCTGCATTCATCTCTTCAGGTCTCTAGACAGTGGGAATACTTTATTCATCCTTGCCTATTCGAGAGGTACCAGTCGTATTAGTAGCCCAGCAGCAGCTTGCATGCGTGCAACACATGCATACGTTTGAATGCTATCTCAATAAGTATTACGGATTCTCAGCGGACGTGGATCTCCATCATGACAAGCCGCTTTTCAGCCCACGTGCCCTGTGTGGACATAGACTTGGAGCGCAGAACCCCATCTCTCAAGATTGTTCGTGTGAAGCAGCAAGGGTCTGTAATTACAATAAAGCAGACGTTTGCCTATAGATGTCCCTGGGCTTGCAACTGGGAAACGCATCCGACTGAAGTTTCCGCTTGCAATCACAGAGCAAACATTCGTGGGAAGCCATCACTTCAACTGGTGTAATCGATGCAGAGCAAGCGGAATGATCTCACTGTTATATTAAGACCATGTCTTGCGGATCTCAAAGTGCGCCATACATAAACGGCATCCAGTCTCACCATCACTTATCTCAAGTGTCTAAACTACGGAAAATAATGGGTTCACGTCAGATAAGTGAGCTGTAAGTTCCAGGAATCTAAAGGCTGATGTAAGGCTAATACCATGACCAAGTACTGTCCTCAACCAGGAGCAGTCACCACTACTTCGCCTACCTGCCGAGCTGCGCAACCTGATTTACGAGTACTCGGCTATCCACAAGAGTATTATCATTTTGGAAGATGACAAGGGCCTCTCATTTGTGGATGATACTGGGAAGGAAATCGAACCCATGGTCCTCTCTCTCGTCTGCTGGCAAACGTACGTGGAAACCGCTAACATGCAAGCTTCAATGCAACGTTTGGAAGGTAGTCCAGGTAGCATCTACAGTGTCCTGACGGGCTGGCCATTCCTAGACACGTTTCTGACGACTGTTCACATCAAGGCCCCTGGGTTCATGGTCTTAGAAACCCCCGACAGCTACCAGTCCATCGTGTCCGAAGTGCACGATTTAGTCCATTTCCTAAACATGAAGATGGCGCATGGAGAAATTGGTCCTTTACAAATTATGCTCACATCCACGTAATAAAGCAAGGATTTGGACTACGTAGATCTATCGACCAGGAGGATAATGGCAGTTCAGATAGTAGCTGTTCACCGTCTCCACTGACGTGATGCGCGGGTCCAGACTGTTTTCAGCAGTGATTCTACCATTGAGGGTTTGGTGGTTTTAACGTGATTATTTGGCAACGTCACGAACATGATGAGTGCAGTGGAAGAGGTATTTTGAGAGGCTTCAGGTCAATCGACCCTGCAAAAAGTAGATAGATAGTAACAGCTTCTATGGGAATCATGTACTCGCAAGCCATGCGTGTCATCGCTTCATATCCTCCTGGAAAACACCATAGCGCCCCCAATATTATAATGCAACACTAATGGCTCTTCCTCTGCGCATTGGCCAATGCACTGTCGAGCGCCGCAGTAACATCCACGTGGAATAACGGTCGGTTAAGACCCTGTACAACAGCGATCCTGCCCGCTGTTCCGCCTGAAGCATCAACTTCAGCACCCCCGTACGCCTTGGAAAGCTCAAGTTGCTTGTTCAATGACCCAGCATCGCTAGACTCAGCACTTTCGTGTGCAGCCTCGATATCGTTTGTGCGTACTTGTGACAGTGCGCGCTGAGCGTGGCGATTTTCCCGAGCCTCAGCTGCCGCGGCAGCAGAATCGGAGCCACCAATCTCGGCGACTGAAAAGACGGGTTTCCAGCGGTGGAGACCGCTCGTGTCGGGCTCGGGTGTGTAGTATCCAAAACCTCCAGCAGCGAGGGCGCGCTTAGTCCAACGGCTGTTGATGTTGCAGAAGTGCCAGTCCACTGTATCTGGTGCAGCGTATTTGTCGAGCTGATTACGGACGTCGATGAGATTTTGAATGGACGTAAGATCAACGTTGTTGACGGAAGAGAAATCCAAAATGATGGCCTTCAGCGTAGGGCGATCGTCAGATACGGCAGTATCCTTCCCACGTCGTGGACCGGGGTCGTTCCAAGGTCGGTCGCCGAGTCTTGAGTACGAAGATGGATTTGTGCGGCGTGTCTTCTTGAAAATCGTCTCAACAAGGTCGTCGAGATAGTGATTGGCGTTGGGGAAGTTGAATCCCTCGCTGAATCGATAGAGAAAGATACCTGGGTAAGGGTCCTCAAGTTGGATCTGAGGGTTGGAGCCATCGTGATGATCGATAGGCAAAAATATGCTGCGCACTGAGTCCTCACTTTCAGTAGGGTTCTTCTTGCGCTCCGGCTTGTCTTCGTTCGTAGGGTCAAGGAGGTGGTCTCCAATGACAGAATGGATCTTCGCACGGCCAAGGAAACGACCTCTCGCCTTGAAGGCTCGGAAAGCCCAGAGCGCTGCGGAGACGGCGACAGTGGTGTAAATACCGTTTTCGATACTGGAAAAGACCGTGACAAAGACACCAGCGAAGAAGATAGGCACCTCGATAGGTGAGATTCGCCAGAACTGGTACACTGTGTTGGGTGACAAGATCAGGTCACCCACAGCATGGATAATAACCGCAGCTAACGTGGCGTTTGGAATGTACCAAAACATAGCAGGAAGTGCATAGATTGCAAGCAGCACAACAACGGCTGTGATAACACCAGCAAAAGGAGTGCGCACGCCAGCCTTGGACTTAATAGCGGTACGCGAGAATGATCCGGTGGCAGGGTAAGCGCCAAGGAAAGGTCCCAGACAGTTGCTAACACCAATGGCGACCAGCTCCTGAGAGGGGTTGATAGAGTAGTTGTTGACACGACCAAAGGACTTGGCAATGGAGATGTGCTCAATGAGGAGAACAATGACGGTCGACGGCAGTTCCGAGGCGAAAGATTTGATGATGGGAATCGTTATTTGAGGAACGCGAGCGTGCTGGAAGCCTCGAGGAACCTTGCCTAGTGTTGAGACGAGCGGCTTAGCCCGGTGGTTTCGGTTGACAAGGTAGCTGATCAAGACGTAGAGAAGGATGATAAACACAGTGCGGAGCGTGTTCACGAAGAAAAACATCTTAGCTCTGCTGGGATATTTCTTCGCCAGGAAACCACAAAACCACCGGATGAAATACAGCAGGAAAAGCGAGGTGAGACCGAATGAAGCGTTAAGATTCGTGCGTCCAAGGTGTTTGAGGGTGTTGATAATGACTTTGTATGTCGCTTCGCGTGTTGAGAAGCCAGTGATACCCATCATGGTTGGTACTTGTCCAGCAGCGATGCTGATAGCGGAGCCTGTCATGAAGGCCGAGATAGCAGGTAACGAAATAACATCAACGATCCAGCCCAACCGTGCCAAACCGAAGAAGAGCACAATTGCGCCTGCGATGATGGCCAATGACGATGCAATCATATCGCGAGAAGCATCGACTCCTGTAGCCTCGGCCTTCAGCACGACGTTGCCCGTGACGGTCGACAGGACGGCGACAGGACCGATGGTAATATCCTTGGAAGTGGCGAAGAACCAGTAGATAAGTACTCCCATGAAGGAAGAGTACAGTCCGAATTCGACGGGAAGTTGGGCAAGTTTGGCGTAGGCCATTCCTTGGGGAACGACGACAGCACCGACAGTAATACCTAAAATATGTAAGAAATTGCTCAAAATGCTACAAGAAGCACATACCAGCGATAAGGTCACCAATGAGCCACTGGACGTTGTACCGGCCAATCCAGTGGACGAACGGAAAGAGACTGTAGCAATACTGCCCAAACTCCGCTCCGGTAGGAATCACTTCCCGAAACCATTCGGCAGCAGTGGGCTCTTCTTCGACGTAGGTATGCGCAGAACCCACTGTGAAGACACTCTCTCCACGGGTCACACGCTCTGAACCAGTCTCATTCCGGTAGTGAAGGTCGATACCAAGGGCTTTGGCGAGACCGTTGCCAAGTTTGTTCGCCATAATGGAAGGTTGTGTCCGTAGAGGGACAAGGCGAGCTGAGCCAGATGGGTATGGTCGAGACGGTCCGACAATGGTCCCACGTGCTAACTGGCCCTTCCAAGGGAGGAGTGAGAAGACAAGACTGACAAGACTGACAAGACTTGACAAGCTACCACATGAACGGTTGCCAGGGTTTGGCACTTATGTATCAAGGGACCAGGCACTTGGGAAGGCAAAGGTTCCGTGCGGGAAGTCCACTTCCAACGAATAGCGGGAGACTGTCCAGCAACTAGGCCAGTGATATCGAATTATGGGATGCAAATTCAGGTACCTCCGGTGCGGCAATGCAAAGCAGAAAGCTTGGGGAACGCCTCGAAATTGCTTAAAGTAGCGGCTTATTGCGTGACAGGAGCTTGTTGACTAGACGGACCAGAACGACAGGGTTGACGGATGGCGATGTCTAGGCCCCAGCTCGATGCAGACGCGTATGCCCAAGTACTGAGGATGCGGCAGGAAAGACGAATGTAAGAGACGAAGTTTTGGACCACCTTAAAGCAAGACACTTCAAGGTCAGAACTTGACAAGTGACATAATAATGTGGACATGTTGGCCCTCAGGCCTTGGGGTAGCATTGCTGCTAACTGCCGCGGTCGGCGTGCGTGGAAGGCCGAATGTGAGTTTACAGAGAAACTCGGCTAGAGCGACAGGGATAGTACACTGAGGATTCGCTAGCCGCTAACCGCACGCGATATTCAGCCAATGGTGTTGTAGAGATTGGCGGGTCAGAATGGCGTGCTCACAGGCAGTGATGTCGAATGTCCCCGGTGCGACCGACATGTGCATCTTTCGACAAAGGCACCTGTGCAATTTGTTCTTTTTATGCTTATTCGTTATTGCGCAGTGTAGTGACGACTTTTTTGCCGCGGTAATCGCATCCTCCTGACATTTTGCAGGACAGCCTTTGCACACTCATTACGCCGCCATCGACAATCGCGGGTAACCTAATTAAGGCTCTTGAAGGCTCTTTCAGTGTTGGAGCTCATGACGGAGACAAGTGCGTCACTCCAGGACGGCCCTGACTCTAGTGGGTCGGCGTGGGGCGCCAATGGGGTACCAGCTGCAGTATCCTCTTCTGGGCCGCTTTTAGAAGAGGGTCTCAACGACAACAAGATGACACGGAGCTGAGGGTGGAGCGGGGTGAAGGCGGGCTGGAACAAGCTTCTGTAGCCCGTGTAACTTTTACATATATTTTGGTATGACACCTTTCGATTGGTGCGGCGAGCATCTACCAGAGGGTTCACTCTTGGCTTTCAACCCGCCTTCCCGCAATAGGTTTGTGGAACGCATCAACTACATGAGCGCTCCGCAATACGAAAATTCGATGACACTGGACTTGGTACGTGAGATGACATCGTGCAACTGGAGCCAGAGGGTTCCCACCGCTCTACACAGTGAGCCTAAAGCATCTACCGGACACATGTGGACATAGGACTGTAAGAACTCGTAACGTCCTAGAACTGCATACTGTCAGTCTGGGGCGAACGCCTTTTCATGGTGCATACGATGAACAAATATACAGCGTCTGGCTAAGGATTTCTTGCATCTGTGAACACGGTAATCCTGCTTTGTCGCCTGTTATTGATTGTAGGCTCACTGGAATTTAAGAGAGAAACTCTTCAGACTCAGTATGCACTCTGTTCGTCACGTTTATCACAGCAGGTAACTGGTATTACCTCTCATGCGCGCGCTCAAGCTGAGAAAGGCTAGTCCCCAAAAGAACGGCACACTACACAGTATACACAGCTGTTCATCTCTCATAACACGACGTATGAGAGGCCTAGAGTCTGCTACTCGATCTTGTGCAGAGCCGAGAGGAACGGCATCGATTCTTTGGCGGATCTAAAACAGCGGTCGCTTTGACGCCACCAAGTGCGATGCACGGAGTTGAAAGCTGCTGTGTCGTGTACGTGAGCAAAGTGATGTGACGTTTTGAAATGAGCCGGCCTGACGTTAAAGGTGATGGTGATAGCTTGTGCGAATCCCGGCACTGGGCAACCGAAATACATGACATGGTTGTCTTCCCCCATAGAATGCGTCTTCCAAGCAACAGAGTTTTTGGAGCAGAAGAAGAAGTCCCTCCAGTCGATAAAGCCTCGGACGTGTTTGTGCGAAGCTGTGGAGAGAATGACGTCATGTCTCTGCAGTGTTGAGGAACGCGAAAAGCACACGACCATCGACATCTCTCGGCTTGAGCTTGCTGCTAAGCTTAGTGATGAACGCCACAGCAACTTTCGTTGCAGGACGGATGACTCAGAAGCATCTTGTGGCTGGGTGTTAATCCCGAGAGCTCGCACGCGGATTTACCGCTGCCCATATGCAGCTTAGGCGACAGGTGCGATCAGCCTCTCAAGCTCGACTCATCGCTGCTTCTTTCTTGACCTCTTTCCTCACCTTCCAGATCTGATACTAAGAACGTTACTGTTTGTACAAGCAGAAGCGCTTCTCCATTGTTCGCTGGTAGGCCGTTTCAAGTGTTGACGAACCCCGCCATGGCTATACCGATCCTATCGAGCATTGCAGGCTTCCTCGGCATCACCTCGCTTCGAGCAACCGGACGAGATGCCTATATCATCATCACACTGCGCTCTCTACGCATGTTCACGTCTGGAATCCCATCGTTGATTCTCGCATTGTTCTTTGCTTCGCTCAAGTTCCCGGACTCGAGGATCGGGGTTTTCATGACTTTGACTTTGCTTGGCGATGTACTTCTGTCACTATTGCTCACTCTTGTCGCGGATAAATTAGGTCGAAGGCGAATACTATTTGGTGGTAGCATTATGATGGCATTCTCGGGAGTTGTTTTTGCTTTGTCTGAGAATTTCTGGACTTTGTTGATCGCGGCTGTCTTTGGTATCATAAGCGTAACTGGTGCCGACTGCGGTCCCTTTCGAGCAGTCGAAGAGAGCATCTTGAGTGGCCTCACAGATGAGAAAACACGAAGCGACGTGCTGGCTTGGTACGTTACGTTCACCACCATGGCAGGAGCTGTAGGCGCGGAAGTTGCAGGAAGGGTTGTACACGCATTGGAGAAAAGACATGATGTGGTCAAGGCTTATCATGCATTGTTCTGGGCATACGCAGCTTTCGGGGTCGTTGGAAGCGTTCTGTGTCTGGGACTCAGTGAGCGTTGTGAGGCCGCCGGCGAGAGACATGCAGAGTTACAAAAACGTAGACGCAACGATGGAGAAGAAGAGGAAGTCCTATTGGAAGCTATGGCACCAAGTTCCGCTGACGGTTCAGATCACGAGGAAATACGCCCAGCGAGACACGCAGATATCAGGGTTTCGCCCAAGAAAAAGCAGAGCTATTTCAGTCAGATCTCGAAGACAACTCGCTCCATCATGTACAAACTCTGGATACTCCTGGCTATTGACTCTCTTGCGGATGGTATGACACCGTACTCCCTTATAAACTACTATGTGGAACAGAAGTTCCACGTCTCGAAGGCGACACTAGGCGACATTACCTCCGCTTCGCAGTTTCTTTGCGCTGTCAGTGCAGTGTTCGCTGGACCGCTAGCCAAGAAGATTGGGCTCATTAACACTATGGTGTTTACACATCTTCCATCATCGATCGCGAGCGCCTTCGTACCACTACCGAAGACCATTGGCCCAACAATCGGCATCCTTCTCTTTCGGGCCGCCCTCAACAGCATGGATCAGGCTCCACGCACAGCATTCATTGCAGCTGTTGTGAAACCCGAGGAGCGTACAGGCGCTATGGGTATCACAAGTATGGTCAGGACTCTGGCAATGAGTGTTGGGCCCTCGATTACTGGTCTCCTGTCAGGCAGCAACGCGTTCTGGGTTGCTTTCCTCGCGACTGGTACTTGCAGGATCACATATGACATAGGCCTGTGGGTACTCTTCTCTACTGTTAAGCTGGACAATAAACCTGTTGCAAGAGAAGACGACCTGAACAGCGTGGATGACGAAGCGTGGAATGGCTTATTGAGCGATAGCGATGATGACAGCGATCTCAGTAGCGATGGCAGGAAGAGCAAAGATCTCGAACGAGCCCAGAACCGAGCATGAACTATGGGCCAATGTATACTACGTAAAAGCTAGGACTCATGAGTAATTCCGCACATCAATTAGACTTCATTGAAGCATTTCAAGACATAGGAGCTGGACTCTTTTCTCGTCAGTATAGCTGATAATCTGTTCATGGTGTTTATTCTGATTCATGCTACAAATACGAGCAAGCCAGCGGTTTGAGGCTCTTTACCAAGAGAAAAAATATTCCTTCACTTGCTAGATGCAGGGTCTAATCCTCATTATTATTTAGTCTGATCGTTCTGGCAAGGGTCCATTGTCCTGGCATGGACATACCGTCTAGTGGAAATGAACGCATTTTGACATGTCGACGACCAAACTAGTATACACAAGCTAGCAGTTTGAGGAGCAAACTGGTGACGTACAAGGCTTTAGTAGTTCCTGGAAGCCATCGAAGTACATGCTGTATTGAAATCGTTAGGCTATACTTAGTCTACTCCGTGCAGGGGAGCAAGTTTGTCCACTACAATCATTCTGCCTAGTAACCTTCAATCGTCTAACACAAACTGCAAAGCTTTGACACGCAATTTCGGTAGCAAGTATAACCTTTGTCACATTATGCAAGCCCCTTCACATTATGATCAAGTAAAAAGAGTCTAGTAGCTCTGTCATTGGCTAGTATCTACACTACTTGCATATGAAGTATCAAAACAGGCGGTAACAGGGCCTTCCTGCCGCATCTCGATTCTATGGATAGGTTAGTCTGCGCAAGTCCGCAAGCACTGATACCACAAGCTTTGTCCGTTCCAAATCAACGCTTGACAAGGGGCATGCAGCACATATAACGCAGGTACACCTTCAGGTCACAGTCCATTCTTAACAACGAAATACCTCCACTGGACTTCACACAAGAACGAGTTGTGGTGAAAGCATTGATCCTTCTTGCCTGATACTGCGTTTTGCTAAGCGACTGATCGGACGTGCCTGTAGCTATACCAAATTGTGTAAGGAGCTAGTACTAAACATGGTAGGTACATACCGGTACTCGGTGCTACGGTCGGTACAATCTTATCGACGCTTCCTAGCGTCCTCGTCTACACCACCCGTCCATCACCCATCCATCACCCATCCGTCACAGACTCTATCGCAAATTCTATCAGGAGATACACTTCAGAATGTCGAACAACAGCAATTCCAACTCGACGCCAAGCGGCTCATCGAACGAGAGCAGTTCCTACACAGTGACTAGCTCCGGCACGAACGAAGCTGGAAACCACTACTGCCACCGCGATCCTGGTCCAAGTGCTGCGAATCAGAACTCTTACCATTACTCTAACACGTGAGAGACATAGTCTATTATCAGAGCGACTACTGATAGTACTACAGGGACGGCTCGTACTACTACTCCAACTCCAATGGCTCAACTTACTACAATGACGGCAACGGCGGCGCTACATACACAGCGCCTGGAGCCGGGAAGTAGGTGTGCATTGCGGGGTTTCGTTTGCGGCTCCTACTAGGATACGGCCAAATCCGGTATTAGCGATGCTTTCTTGTTGCTAGGGGTATCTTGGTCGTTCGTCTATGTGACTATATCAATTGTGTTCTCGCAGTCATAGTCAACACAGTTCTCGCGTCTTGACCGAGAGCTCGCTCAATTGGAACAGATTACAATACAATACGCATGATGAACAGTTAACTTGATTAGTTCTCGCGCCTTCTGAAGATACCTACCCAGCATCATGTATCTTCCATGGGTGCCTTTGTAAATAGCGGACCTTGTCACGTGCAGTCTCTATGTAAGACTGCACATAAACCTGTTTGAATGACCTTACTAGTGTATTAAAACCAGACGTACTTATACTTGAGCAGATCATAGATTCGTGACACGGGCCCACGGCTATGTACTGACGTTGTCGAAGCAGACTCTTCGTCCCAACCATGAAGAATAAGCACACTGTATGTCACGGAACAGTCAAACGAGAACTCAAATCCTTTCTTAGGATTGATGGACACCGGGGTGTCAGAAGGTCTCCGGACTTCCTGACTTCTTCCGACATCCCGGTTGACCTGCGCGGATTGGTGGAAACATGCGATGACAAGCTTGGGCCGCTACACATCTGCGGCCAGTCTGAATACTTACCATAGGTCGCTTCTCTTCCAAAAGGCTGCCTGATATGTGTGGCAGGATGTTGAGCAATGGCTCAAATTGGGTTAGGTCCATGTCGAGAGTGTCCAGGCTTGGACTTGATGGTCGACAAAATCTATACCTTGGAATCCCGTCCCACAGGTGACCTCTAACAACACCCTTCTTCTAGCGCCGCATCGACTCTTAAGTCCGTGGCCGCGGATACATATCGTGTGGTTCTGGGCTGAAAGTCGGTTGTTCGGACTTCATGTGTACGCACGTAGCGCAAGAACCAGAGGGAAGCACAAGGACTTGTGTGGTCGGGAAGAAGTGCGAGGCGTGCACCACTAGGTGTGGAGAGAAGTTGATGATTGGAAAAGCATTATTGCTCGGCAGTCGAACAAACGAGTCAGAGCATGTGCCATCTTACAACAGACTTGACGCCAAATTTAGGCTGACGGATGCATTCCAGTGCGCCCTCTCGGGTTGCGTTGTCCGCTCACTTATCCGGATACGGGAAACCTTGTTCTCTTTTCTACGGGTAATTATCCTTCAGCAGTGCGTGAGGCTTGAGCTGTTAATCTTTCTTGATCGCCGCCTGTAATGCAACCGTGACATTTTCTTCCAGACTCTTGACATCCTCGGTATCGAGTTTGGAGTGAGGTTGGACTAGAATCCTCCATTAAATCTTGGCACCCCACGCTTACTCCATGTTTGGAAAGTGTTCGTACGATGTTGTCCCACGCATACATTTCGGTTCACACCGTTGAGGCTCCATATGCTTCCAGATCCGGACAAAGTGCGAAGGATCGTGGCAAAGTCATCCCGCCCAAGGCTGCATGTGAGCTTCTCACGACCCCCACGTCAGACAGCAAATGCATGACTTCTCAACAGACGAACATGACCCCAATAATCAGGCTTATAACACCGGACTTCCCGCGTGTAGTGTTGTCAAGCAGCTCAGTGGGTTGAAAAGGTGACTAATCATACTATCTTGGCGATTCTGTGCGAACTTGTAGCATGGTTTCCACGAATCGCGACAGTGATAGTCGCGATTGGAAGTTTGGTGTTATGCCATGGGGTCTTCATAGCTGAACGCAGATGCCGTCCGGGGTACACTCATCGAACATGCTTTGCAGCAATCGAGTAGAAAGCTACGTGATCTGAGCTGGCCTTTGGAAGATGTTGTGCGGCTATATTATGCCATGGTGTTGACTGAGTTCTGAAACTGCCATAGATACATCATCCAGGTAAATGTGTTAGTAGAGCTGGTGCAGCTATGTCCCTTGAAGATATTCATTCGCCAAGACATGTGGATGTAGCAAATGAATGGATGGGCCGACTCTCAACCTCGAAGGTGCTGTGGCGTCGACCAATTTTACCGTCAGTACAGCCTCTGACCACACGCTCATGCATGTCAGAGGCAGCTGCAGGCGGTGATGGATAGCTTGTACAGATTGAGGGTGAAAGCGGGGAAGCTTTCCTCGGGACGCCAATTTGTGGGGTAAGACAGGATTGGCGTGCATAAAGATGCAGGCCTTTTACTGGGTACCATCGTGAAGTTGTGCACATGGGCGCCCAAGAATCATGTTCGATCTCATTCGATGGATCGTCCGAGGATGTTCGATCTCTTATGACTTAAGCGATGGTCGTTTGCGTCTCTGATTATCGGGTTGGACGCCTTGGCAACTTGACACGGTAATGTGGAGCAGCGGCATGACTTGTAAAATATCGGCATTTGAAGAGTACGAAACAAGAATTTCTTCTCAAGCATCGGGATCTCGAGGACCCACAGCGGAGAGCATGTTGCTGGTTCCCTTCTTGGACCTCGGCTACTGGCGTGGGGGAACATGAGCCAGGTCCACTGAGGATCAGGCACAGCTCGCGAGGCTGTTCTGTCGGGCCTGACTTGTCCGACCTGAATCCTGGTAAGAAACGCGATGTGACTCCAGGACCTCGGGTCACACCTGGTGCCGTTGCTGCCGTGTGTCTTGCTGTATCGAGCGGAAGTACCTAGGTACCCTCTACTCCCTGCATTATGCGTGGAGGAGTCTCCTCTCGTATTCTGTTGCCAGCTGGCAAAGAGCGCCATCTGAAAGTCATGCGGACTCTGTCTGCGCCTCCGCCTGACAATGCTTGAGCTTAGGTCCGCGTGGCTATGCGCTTGAGTGGAGTCGGAAAATGAAGTCCATGTTGCAGAGACATGAGGTCGAGAGATGCTCATGGGCTAGAGCGGAGCATGGACCAGAAAAACGCCACTTGAAGTAACAACGTGGGGGCGTTGTGAAAGCTTCGTCAAGTTGGCAAAGCCTGTCTTGACGAGGCGCGCATGTCAGTTACGCAGGGATGTGATCATCAGTGGGTTGCTCATTTCACCCAAGTAATGATGATGTTGTTCAGGTCTTGTGATCATCTTCCCTAGCAGGCTTTGCCACGTTTCAACAACCTCTCTATTCACCCCGCATCTGCTCCTCCGCAGTCATGAACAAAGCTGGCTATGGACCCTCAGTGAACACGGAATTTGCGGGGCCCACGGGTGCGGAATCAGATGATACGAGGAGGCGAAGACTGGTTGCTACCATTCCCCACCCCCACACTAAGATCCCCCGAACGGTCTCCACCAACGCCGTTTTGAGCCCGCCAGCATTTCGGATCGCGCGAGCAGTGGCAAGCATTGACCTATGGCCGTCTAGTATGCGTCCCAAAGATCGTCGCATGGCGCCCACCCTTGCTGTCGACCATCAGCCAAGATTTGACCCTGTATGGCTTGTCGACTGTGCAGACCGTGCGGCAAGCAATATCAGGCACCTGCTCCATTGGCGCAAACAGCCGTGCCTGACATTGGCTACTGCAGACACCGCCTCTTTGACCTGTCTGTGAAACCCTGACGGCTCTTGCGAGCGCCTCCTTTGCCTGTTCATCCCGAGCTACTACCTACCAGCCGTCAGCTGGACCCCCACACTCAGCCTGGCTCGTGAGCGGGAGCGTTACTCCATCCCCCGTTCGCACTATTTAAGTACCTCTACTATCCTAGGTAGGTGATCCAACCATTACCGTTGACGTATTTGTTCCGTTCGTCGCTCTGCTTCCCGAATTACTCTTTGTCAAAAAGTCTCCGCTTTGATCTGCAACCGATTGTTTCTATATAAGCACGTAAAAGTCTTAACTCAACAATATTTTTGGTTACCATGTCACCACTCCTTGACGCACCTTCCACCCCAGATAGCTACTCCTACTCCGACGAGCCTTACCAGCCCGTTCAATCAGCGTACACAATGAGCAACAACTCCAGCAACCGACCCCTTGTACCGGGGATATACGTTCCGACTGTAGCATTCTTCGACCCAGCAACAGATGACGTAGATGTCGAAACCATTGCCAGCCACGCAGTCCGTCTCGCAAAAGCTGGTGTTGCCGGTATCACAACACAAGGCTCCAATGGCGAGGCCGTCCATCTATCCCACAAGGAGCGTAATCTCATCACCAGCACAACCCGCCAAGCCCTCGATGCTGCTGGATTCGAGAACATGCCTGTGATTGTCGGCTGTGGTGTCCAATCAACACGGGAGTGCATTGAGCTCTGCGAAGAAGCAGCCTCCGCTGGCGGAGACTACGCGCTGGTTCTTCCTCCCGCGTACTACCAGGGCCTGTTTTCCAAAGATACAATCAAGGAATTCTTCAAGGATGTTGCCACGGCTTCTCCAATCCCGATCTTGATCTACAACTACCCCGGTGCTGTTTCGGGCCTGGATCTCAACTCGGATGTCATCATTGAGCTAGCACAGCACCCCAATATTGTGGGCTGCAAGCTGACTTGTGGCAACACCGGAAAGCTCAACCGAGTTGCCGCAGCCACAAACGCAGCCACAGTCTCCAGCCCTGGATCAGGCTTCATGTGCATGGGCGGCTCCGTCGACTTTACCCTGCAGACGCTTGTTGGTGGAGGATCCGGCATCATCGGCGGCACGGCAAACATTGCGCCAAAGACCTGCGTCAAACTGGTCGAGCTTTTCAAATCTGGCAAGCTCGCGGAAGCTCAAAAGGTGCAGGCCATTGTTGCCCGTGGCGATTGGGCGGCAATTCAGGGCGGCATTATCGGCACCAAGGCTGGCCTTGTTGCGCACTTTGGGTATGGAGGATATGCTCGCAAGCCGCTTCCCAGACCATCGAAAGAGGAGACGAACAAGTGGCGAGAAGCGTTTGATGAGCTTGTCAAGACCGAGAACTCTTTGTGAGATCACTCGCGTGTTTTGGACCGCATTTCGACTTGGTGTAGCTATATTCGAGCGTCATGCATTCATGTCAGATTGCTTTTGCATAGCAACGGTGGGCGGTCTTTTGTAGCACTTCAGCGTCTCATACATTTTCAATTAAGATTATTGTTCCTATCTTTCTCCTTCAGTGAAAGTGTTTTAGTCTGGCCCAAATGGCATGACCGGGCTATTTGACGAACAAGATCTGTACCAATGTTCTGGTGGTACATTCTGACCTGAACAACGCCGATGTGGGCACAGGCCTACGCTTCCGTCATCCGAACCTTCACCATGAGACCTGATCAGTCTTCGAACAGTATCTTGACACCAGCCTCCGTCAGCGACGCGAGTTGCTTGGCTACGTTATCCTGCCACTCCTCTTGATTCCAGAGCCGCATTTGTTTTTCATCCAAGTGATGGGTGATGAAGAAGAGTTGTACGTACTTCAAAGCGAAGGAGTCGATGCGAAGAGTGCGAAGGTTTGGTAACACCTTCAACATATTGTTCCCGAAAAGTTTCCTGCCACGATCCATCATCCAGTGCAGTGCTCGACGATCTGGCTGCAAGGTCTGAATTGATCTCCTCTGAACAGGCATCAACTGGGACATCGGACGTTTGTTGCTAAACATAGAGAAATCCCAGACAAAGATATTCTCTCTATACGAGGTCAACACAGTCTCAGAGTAGATCTGGCGACACACTTCGGGCAAGTGAAAAGCCGAGGACATGCGAGTGAAATTTTGGGTATGGTTGCAGAAACCTTGAAGAGTTTTGGCAGTCTTGATCAGGTCTTCATCCTTTTGGCAATATACGGCTCCACCTTTGCCAGTACGAGACAGTCTGCTGCGTAAGACCACCAGTTGTCCACCACATGCGAAACTCCAGATTTGGATTCGAATCTCGGCGGGGAGGCGTAGAAGAGGTGAGTCGGCGTTCTTCTTGACGCTTCGAGAAGGATCAGCATGAGAGACGATACACGTGACAATGTCCGAGCCTGTCTCACATGGCAATAAGATGAGAAGGCGTTTTCTCTAGGTTGAGAAGCCCGTTTTCGTAGCGCTTTATGCGACTGCTAGCTTCGGACTGTTGGACTGGACGCGCTGATGACTTCGACTCTTTCACTTCCGCTGCGTTGGGCTCCATTGCTAGGCGCACTCAAGCAATGTTGTTGCGTTGCGTGGTGTTATGTGTGTGTGAGGTTTTGCGGTGGCGAGCCGTGTGGTGAGTGGAAGAAGCAGGTTTGCAAGGGTAAGGTAAGGTGCACGGGCCCATATGCGAAAGCAACAAGTGAAAGGAAGGTGAGGGACTCAACGCTAAACACCTGTGACAACTTCGTAGTCATAGCAACGCTCATTACATCTAGACATGAGAGGAAATCGACAAAGGTCCGCTCGCAGCAAGATCAGGAACACGTACGTTGAACAAATCTGGAATGCTACCTGGGTACGATATCATATGCATCCAGACAGAAACAGCCTCTCAATAGAAACGATGTCTCTGGAAACGGCTCGGTATTTGCAATGTTTATTCTTTAACTGAAAAAATGGTGCGATAGACGAGAAACCCGTCGATCAAGGTGGAAAACACCAAGCCCAAGCGCCCAGAAGAAAGACCGAAGGTAAAAGAGTGGTGAGAGTGGCTAGATGGAAAGGCTGTCTCGTCACGATGTGTGGAGGCGTGCAACGAGCGGCATGTTACTTTTCAAGAATCGCTATGGAAGTAGTTGTTGATTGTCTGAAGCTACATAATCGACAAATTGTCCTGCCAAATGGCTCAAAAAGCAGCAAAGATACGCCAATTATATAATGGTATACGCCAGCCATGTACCAAAAACTCCGCAGCGAATCAAATCCCTCGACGTATACCTCAGAGGCAGTCCGGTGGGAGAGTCTGCGGGCTGATTCCAAACTCTGAATGCTCAGGTTTGCCATTTTGGTTCTGCTCTGAAGATTTCCGTCGCGATCAATGGCGACTTAGCTGACGGTAATGTGCTTACGTGGTAGCGATGCCCTCAATCAGAATGTTCACCTTGTCGCCACACAACCATCTTAGGGACGCCACAATCGGAGATTGACACTCTTTTAGAGTGTGATCGTGACGAGCCGTCGAATCACGTTTGCAAAGCGAGTGCAAACGTCTCAATGTGTGTCTTGTCAATGATATGGAGCTGAGGTTAGGCAATGGAAGAATTCCATCGTAGAAACGCATACTCCCGCATCTACGCAAGAAGGTGTATTCGAGCTGAATACTCTTGATGGCCTTTCTCTGACCCGATTTCAGGCTTTCGAGTGAACATCTTGATGTCATACCCTGATACGTGATCAGAAAAGTGTTTTGTTGATATGCTGTCAGAGCTGTCTCGGCATAGATCTGGCGACAGACTTCTGGGAGATGGAAAGCTGCAGGAAGTTTGGTGACCCGCTGCGTGTGTATATACGGCCAGGGACACTTCTTGAGACGTAGCGATAAATACGTCTTGAGATCCACTGCACCGCCTTTCGGGTAGCCTTTGTGGGTAAGAACCACAATGTTACCGCCCATTGCAAGGATCCAGATTTGGTTTCTTAATTCGGGTGGCAGGCGGAGTAGAGGCGACTTCTTGGCGTTGCGTCGAACACTTCTCTGGAGTGAGCAATCGATATAACAACCTTGATAACAGAACATACGTTTTCACCAGATGCGCAGGTGTCCTCTCAACATTCACGAGGCCGTTCCTATACTTCTTGACGAGATACGGGGCAGCACGCACGTGAGCGCTGGCCGTGCCTTTAGTCTTCTCTGACGTGGACTTGGAGACCCTTGCAGCCTCCACTGCTGGCTTGCGGTCTGCGATCGCTGGCTCCGATGTGCGAGGCGCCATGGTGACGGCGAGTCCTTGATCGTCGGTGTTGGCGAGGTAGCTCCAAGTGTGATGGATTGGAGGAGATTGAGAGTTTGGGTTTGGAGGAGCGGTGGGGCCGGCTGGGACTAGTTATAGCTGAAATAGCCGAGTGAAGTGAAGGGCTGCCAAGTAGAAGCCGCACGAGTGAAGTGAGAGGTGATAGTGAGTGAAAAGAGTCATTAATGTTTACGAACCGATATTCAGAGGAAATTAACCCAAATGACTGTGCCATCAAGTGGCTGTTGACGAAGAAAAAGAATAGCACGTGAGGCCATGCCTATCAGAGCAATGAAGTCCGCAGCCAATCCGCATTTTTTTATCGCTCTCCAAGACGTCGGGATGTAGTTAACATGCCGCGTAGCCATGCTCACGGGGGTCCATGCTAGGGAACTCGAAGACGAGCTCGGCGTTGGGATTCGCTTCCTTTATGTAATCGGTGAATTTGCCCACAAACTCTTCGACACGGTGAGCACGCTCTTCCGCGTTCAGCCCAAATCCAGTGAGAAAGTCGTCTTTGAGCGAGATATCGATTGCAAGGACGATCCTCTTGACCTTTGGGAAGACCTCGAGAGGGAACGTCTCTGGCATAGAGGAATCGTCGCTGTTCTCGTACCACCGGCCAAGCACGCATCCAGCTCGATAGGCCTCGATATGCACCTCTCTGATCGAGTCCTGATTGATCGGGAGGAGTTGGCGGACCCATTCGAACGCCTCCCATCTTTGGAACCGAAATGCATTATGTGAGAAGGGAATGAGTGCTGTCTCCATGTAGATCTGTCGGCAGACTTGCAGTAGGGCATTGGTGTTCGGCTTGAAAGTCCTTGAGTGGACGAATGTCTTCTCCTCCACGTACCGGCCTTTGTAAGTTTCGACGAAGACGACATCAAAGATGTTGCCGCCAAGTGTGTACTCCCAGATTCGGTTCCTGAGTTCTGCCGGCAGGCGAAGCAGTGGCGCCTCAGAATTCATCTTAACGCTGAACACTGTCAATGTCTTTTGCTCAGGTCAAGACTGTGGGTGTCTAGACTGACATCTCGAGATGCTCTCCGCATTTGCTGGTAACGTCAAGCAGACCATTCTTGAGGCGACGGGCAGGGTTGGGCTGCGATCTTGCTTTCATGACCCGGGACCAAGCTGCAATTACGAAGGCCCGTTTGTTTCGAGTAGTAGGGCGTAAGGAAATCCTCTTTGGCGCCATCGTAGGTGGCCTGGTTGTTTGCAGGCGATGTTGAAGAGACTGAAACTGATCTTGGTCGAAGAGAATATATGTGTATCGTGGCACCCTCTGACAAGTGAGTTTGAGACGCATGCCGCCTTCTCTCACCCTCAGATGACTGTTGGCGCTCACACGGCAACTCTTTCAAAGCGTACTTGCAACTGCGGATCATGTTTCTTCCACCTCAGCCTCAATCTGCCCTCCTGCTCCATCCAATCTGTATCCTCCAACTCACTCCCCGCGCACACCCACTTCTCACAGTCTCTCACCACCCCCGTATGCCTGACTTCAACATCCACCCTCCTCAAACCCCCGAACATCTCCACAGAAAACACATCCCCCAATTTCCTCGGCGCAAACCCTCGGCTCTCGACCATATGTCTCGCCTTCCATGTGACAAGCTTGACCTGCGCAATCGCTGCGCGTTGGGCAGGCTTGAATCTGGCAAGCCAGGGCTTGAATGCATCTTCAGACCGGAACTGGAAGGTATTGAGTGTGAATGGGAGAGACCAAGTTTCCGCATGGATTTGGCGGCAGGTGCGGAGAAGGGCGAGACTATGTCGCTGGGCGGTGGTGTTTCGAACTGTGACGCCCCATGGTATGCGTACTTCGCTGTTTATCTCGAAGGTGGTGTCGCCTAGTACGAGGGCCCATATTATATTGCGAAGTTCTGCTGGGAGGGAAAGCAGGAGCGGTCTTGGTGACATAGCCACATGTCCCGGATTTGAGATGGTCAAGGACATCTTCGAATTGGATTACAGCGAGCAGAAGCTGGCAAGGCTGAAATCTTTCCTAGACTGCGACTCTCCCGCATCTTGAGCATTCTTCGGGCGCTAACAGCGGGCCTGAGAGTAAATTTCTGTTGACGACTCCGTGCACGCTAAGTGAAGAAGCTGAGGGCGGGCTGAGCTGAGGTATGAAGAAAGGACCATATTTCGTACTGGCGTTGGACGACATGTGAGATCGTTTTCCGCCAATAAGCTTTTCAAATGCGTTCAGGAGCTTACAAGAACCTACCAACACTTCTTGTTTCAGCCTCAGCCAGCCTGTTGCGCAGCTCGCTGATGCAAGCCGTAAGGTTTGGCACGTGGCAGAACCGGTGTACATGCTGCAACTATGCGTCGACAGATGGGTGTTTGCTCAATCAGAGTTCTTATCAACATGGCCTAGACCATGGAAGCGGTGATAAATCTCGCCGCATGACGCTTCCGCTCTACTTCCTTTCTTCTTCTTCGCTTCGGCAGGCCGGCTGAGCTGCCAGCTACTGGACACTGACTCAAGAGATTTTCGAACACGCCCAGACCAATCGTGCCAGTCGCGCTCTCGAGACAAAAAGCCACGCCCGGAAAAGAGGCGCAGAACTAGGAATGGATGTTTGGTGTGGAGAGTCCGTGGTGTGAATCGACGGCGTGAAACAGGGTCTTGTCCACAACCTTCGAAACATCAACATCGGACAACTTCGCGTCACCCCAATGCTTCCACACCCAACAACACCGCCATTATGACGAATCTGGACGTGCTGCTACTGAAAGGCGCCAATGATGGCTTGACAGAGGAGAACCTGGCGGAACTGCGCTACACAATCCTGACCAAGGGCATACCCGCAAACAGCGAGGGCATGGTGCGCCTCCCTTCTCCACAACAACGGCCCTGACGACAACCACACACCCACACAGTCCTCACAACCGCAACACACCGCTAACCCCCGCCTCCAGTCCGAGCTCCGCATCTACGTCTGGCTCATCCTCCTCAACGCACCTCCCCTCCGCACCGATGTGTACCTCGACCTCGTGCGTCAAGGCGCCTCGCCCGCGCACGCCAAAATCCAAAACGACACCTTCCGCACCTTCCAGGGCGATCCGCTGTTCCGGCGGCGCGTGACGCAAAACAGCATCACGCGGGTGCTCAACGCGGTCGCATGGCGGCTCAACGACGCGCACGAGGCGCGCGTCAACGGCTGGCAGTCGCCGCCGACGCTGAGCGAGTTCGGCGGGTCCCCCAACACCAGCATCATCTCGCGCCACAGCTTCAGCACGGCCAACCCCAGCACCACCACCGACGCCGAGCAGATCGGCTACGTGCAGGGCATGAACGTGCTGTGCGGGCCGTTTCTGTACGCGGCCAAGGGCGAGGTCGAGGCGTTTACGGGCTTCGAGACGCTGATTACGCGCGAGTGTCCCGGCTATGTGCGCGGCAGCATGGACGGGGTGCACAGGGGGCTTGCGCTGGTGGACCGCGTGCTGGAGGTTGTGGACCCCAAGCTGCACGCGCACCTGATGGCGCACCGCATGGAGGCCAAGATCTACGCGTTTGCGTCGGTGCTAACCATGTGTGCGTGCACGCCGCCGCTGCCCGAGGTGCTGTTGCTGTGGGACTTTCTGTTTGCGTACGGCCCGCATCTGAATATCTTGTGTATTGTGGCGCAGCTGGTGCTGCTCCGGGGAGAGATTTTGAACAGTCCGAGGTCAGTTTAGATGTTGAGCTGCTTGGGTGTACTATGCTAATGTGCTATCAGCCCGAACCAGATCCTGAGGAACCTGCCTGGGCTGCAGGCGCGGAAGATTATCGACGTAGCTGTGAGCTTCTCGGGTCAGATTCCAGAAGATATGTACGCGGAGATTGTGTGCCATGCGAAGTAGGGCGGAGCAGGCAGTGAAGCATCACGGAGGACACGAGACAGCAGACACGATTTACGACAGCACGACCTTGCGATACCCACACGACTCAGAACACGACATTGAACAGCTGTAAAGTACGACGCAGAAGCCAGACACACGTCTGCTTCCGAAAAATGAGAATTCTATTTGCAATCCTTTCTAGTTGCCCTTCCTCTTCCTCTTCTCCCTCTCGTACTGGTTCTTCTCGTACCCCTCCTCGCCCTGGATCTCCGCAACCAGGCGCTTGTACTTGACCTCGTACGCAGCGTCCTTCTCCTTCTTCTCGCGCAGCTTCTCGCGCGCAATGAAGTTTGCGTCCTTGCGCAGCTCGCGCATGGCGCCCTTGCGCTCGCGCTTGTACTCCTTCTGCAGCTTGGCGGTGTCGGAGCGCTCGCGGTCCGCGTCGTAGTGCTTGGTCGGGTCGAAGGATTCCTCGAACTTGGGAATGCGGCTCGGAATTGGGAGTGGGCGGTGGTGGTGCAGTGTTTGCGGGCGGCGGGACAGCTTTGCGTTATTGAGGCGCGCAGTCAGGTTCTGCGTTGTGCGGGTCTGGTGCGCGGACTTGAGAGGACCGAGCAGTGGTGTGAAAATCTCAATGAAGGCGGGGGAGGCGCTCCAGAGATCGGCTGCTGTGAGGATATTGCGTGTGTGTGAGCTCAGCAGCGCTTTTGTGGCGTCAGGTGAGCGCAGGCAGAGCGATGTGTAGCGGATGAACTCGGGGATGTAGCGTTTCGCGAGCGTCTGGTACTGTAGGCACTGCGCACCGATGAAGGCGCCGGTCGCAATGTCGCTAGCGGAGGACGGCGTGGTGAGGCCCATCCAGCGTGCCATGAGGGTTATAGCGGGGGTGACGACTTGGTGGAAGTGGTCGGATGTTGGGTAGATGGTTCCAATGGCCGTCAGAAGCGCTAGGTCTCCTGGTGTTGGCTGGTTGGACAGCTGGAATGCTTTGAGGTGCTTGCGAAACTGCGTGGCGATCTGCACTGGGTATGAGCGCGAGATGGAGTGGATATGGCGGATGATGGACTCGATGACCGACAGCGGCGCTGCTGGTGTCTGGTTCGCCAGGTACGAGACGTGATCAATCAGTGCGCACGCAAAGTCGGCGAGCTTGTTCTTGTTGTCCTCTCTCAAGCCAGCATGGTACAGCGCTCGTATCCTCTGGATGACTGTGGAGGTGTCCTTGACATCGACCTTTTTGAAGACCTCGAGAAGCTCCTCGTGCGACCGTGGACACGGGTATGTGTACGCCAACTTTGAAGACGTCGTACTGGCGCCAATTGTGAGCACGCCTTTTACAGCCTTGGGTTGAGATTTTGGCTGCTCCACTACATCTTTCAGGAAGTCGGCATCGTCTTCCTCCATGGCCATTGTGTCGTCCACTTCAGCTTCGCTATCCGACTCCTCATCAGAGATGTCGGCTTCTGAGTCTGTAGCCACAAGATCGTCATCCAATATAAAGTCATCCTCGTCGTCCACGCCAACGGGTCTGGTTTGCCCGGGTGCTGGCGGTGCAGCAAGTCCGAACTCAGCAGCATCGTCATTGACATCAGACATCTCGTCGTCGTCATCATCGTCTTGCGGCTTCTTAGCAGGCTCCTCATCATCACTGACAGGCTCTCCCCTCATGCGCTTCTGGCGCCTGTCCTCGAGCTTCTTTAAGCGGTCAGCCTCCTCCTTGGCCTTCTCTTCGGCCGTCTTTGTCCGTTCGGTGGGCTTCGATCGCTCATCATTGAAGAGCTCGCGGACCCGGCGGTCGTACTCCTTATCTTTGCCTTCCTGCGACAATGTCGCGAGCAGCGCTGCTCGATCGGCGTTCATGCCGAAGTCGTTCTGCGCCACTTGCTTGATCTTTTCGGGTTCAGGCTTCTTGTTGATGTGGCCTCTCAACGCAGCAAGAACATCGTTCAGATCTTTGTCAAGCTCCTCCCTCAGCTCCTCGTCGTCTTCCTTCGCCTGCTGTCTCTCATACTTGTGCAGCTTGCTCTTAGCCATGACCTCCTTCATGACCTCAGCCTTACTCTTCTTCCTCTCCGGCTGATCCTCCCCTTCAGCCTCACCATCGCCTTCCTCATCGTCGTCTCTCCTCCTCTTCTTCTTCAGGAACCCATCCTCGCCATCACTATCACTACCGCTCACACTCGCAGCATCATAATCCTCGTCCCCAATCTCGTCATCAAACTTCAGCGTCTGCCCACCGTGCGTAAGCTCAATCTCGTCATCGCCATCCTCGAGATCAAACATATTCCCGCCGCGGTTGCGCAGCTGTTCGCGCTCGAACCGCGCCATCATCCGGTCGTCCATGCTCATCGTCGGATCGTTTTCACCAATTCGGCGATCCAGAATCCCACCCGTCTTGTTCTTGCGATTCATCTCCGGCAGCAGCGTCTTGCGGCGCGTCTCCTCGCCCGCGCTCTTGGTGACGCCGGGGCGTCCAAGCACCTTAGGTTTGGCATTTGTGGTCGCGTACTCGAATTTCTGCGGGCGGCTGAGGTGCTTGAATTCGAAGGGGTTGAAGGACTCGCGGATCGAGGCGAGCGCGGAGGCTTTCTGGGCGTGGTGCGAGGCGCTCTTGGACTGGGATTTCTTTTCCTTCTTGGATTTTTGCGGGCCCGTTATGCCCTGGTCGCGCAGCGACGCTTTGAGGCGCTTGAGTTGGGAGGGCGGCATTATGGCAAGCGCTCTGTGGGAGTTATTAAAGAGCGACGGGTGAGACCTGCGGCAATGCGAGGGTGAGAGGTGCTTGATGCTCCGCCATCTAGAAATTATTTTGGCGGTCTCACCGCCTTCTATTCGTGGACTAGCTCACAAGACCCCTGTTCCTTCCGCCGCGGCTGCATCATCGCTCTTGAACACCGCGAAGAGTATATGGCAGCACATCGTCCACGCCCGCCAGCTGCATAACATGGTCCCACGATCCTCGCCATAGCTCATCATGGCCCCCAACATACCTGACCGCTACCTGTGGCTCGGCCTTGGTACGCCCCCGTCCACCACCACCTCCACCCCAGCTAACCCTCCAGGCGCCCTCACCTTCCTCGCCATCCGCCACGTCGCTCACGGCCTCCGCACCGTCAAGCGCCTAACCACCGTGGACCGCCCCGCGCCCCAACCGCTCGGCATCCACCCCCCGACCTCGCAAGAAGACGCGATCAAAACCGCTTCGCTGCTCACCCTCGCGCAGTCGCACAACATCGAGATCCGCACCAGCGCCACCAAGCTGCTGTGCGAGCGCTTCTACGCCAACTCGGCCGCGCGCAAGCTGCTGCTGCGCGACCTGGGCAGCGCCGATACTCACGTCCAGCGCGCGGCGCAGCTGGCGTTCCGCTTGCTGCGTGACTATGGCGTGTTTCGCGCCCATGGGCTGAGCTATGGGTTTGGCGGCGTGGAGCCGCGCGGGCAGTGGGATGCGGGTGTGGAATGGACGGGGGGTACGCGGGCGCGCGAGTCGATCTGGGGGGGCGAGAGGGTTGCCGAGGAGGAGCGAGATGCGCGGCGGCGACGGAGGGAGGCTGTGGTTATTCATGACGGTGAGGGGAGGGTGGGGGAGGGAGATGTGTGGATGCGGGATCGAGAGGGGATGATGAGCTTGGATGTTGGGGAGCTGGTGATTGATGGAGTTGTGCATTGATTGACGTAGCGATATGATACCCTCAGCGAAATGCTATTCTGTTCCAGTTTCATGGTTGTTGTTATATATGTACAGTCTATATGTCCGCCCAAGGCGGGGTAATGGGTATTTTGTTGGTCCAAGTCTAAGATACATTTTGAATGGAGTTTATTCTATTCACACATGGTAGAATTGGAAATCGTGTCAACTCTACTCCTTCTTCGGGGTCTGAGCAGCCTGCTCCTCCTTACCTTCTGGCATCTCGTCCTTCCTGGCGCGCTCGTCCTGCTCTGCACGCTCAGCACTGCCCTGAGAAGCATTGGAATCACCGCTACTGGCCTCGGCCTCGTTGCTCTCCTCTGCTGCAGCCTTAGCCTCAACCTTCTTAGGCTTATCGTCCTCGTCAATGTCCTCGTGATCCTTGGGCGAAGCAGTCGCCTTGTTCTCGTGAGACTGTGCCTGCTCGTTCTCCTCTTCAATGAGCTCTTGCTGTTCCTTGAGGACCTCCAGACGCTGCTTGTTGGTAGCTGCACCTTCGGTCGTGCTCACCTCGAGCTCGATCTCGTGGTACAGCTCTTCGGGCACACTGGAGAGAACAGACTCCAATGCATCAATCTGCGATGTAGCATCGGCCTCCTTACCCTGAATGTAGACAAAAGCGTTCGAGAGGACAAGGATGGTGGAGGGAACACCTTGCTTGAGACGAAGGTCGAGCCATGTCTGAAGATCATCTCGGAGACGGCCAGGAGAGACACCGTATGTGCGGAGACCACGGCTGGCGCAGGCAGTCTGGAGCTCGGGTACGGAAAGGGTCTCGACACCTTCATATGCGATCGCCCTGTCGTCACGCTTGATTTGCCTCATGCGAACACGGACTTGGTAACGAAGGAAGTTGTCGGTACCAAATGAGGTAATGTTCATGTAGCGGCAGATCGAGACAAGCTGTGGGCGGGACAAGTTGTCGAGGGTCAGATCGTCCTTGAAGATCTTGCAGACCTTGACAATCTCCGCGGGGGTGGGCTTCTCGCCGGTAGTGCGGACCTGTGTTCGTCAACATCGCAGTTCAAGTTAACATCTCATGTCGGGTGTACGTACCTTGCGGAAGAACTCGGCAAACTCAGCCCTCTGTGCGTTCTCAGCGGAGATGGGCAGACCAGTCTCCTTCAGCGTTGTGCGCAGGAACTCGCTGACCTCCTTTCGTGTCGATCGAAGTCGCTTAGCCTTGGCGTCTTTCGAGGACTGGCCTTCGTATGTGCTGGGAAGCATGTTGGGGAACAGCTTGAGAGCGACAGGGAGCAACAGCTCGGCAAAGGGAACGATGACGAAAGGCAGGAAGGGAATCAGCCGTCCCAGATCCTGCACAGTACGTTGCAGCTGCACTCTCGTTAGTCTTCTATAGTGGCACACTGTCTCGAGCTCATACCTGTCGCCGCTCACGTCTTGTGAGCTCGTAGCCGGCAGCCATCTTCAAGGCGAGCTTGGAGCTGATCTTGATCTCAAAACCAAGCAGCTTGGTGCCGTCCCAGTAGTGCGCTGCCTCGTGCTTGACCTTCTCCCACAGTGTCAACTTCTTCTTGATCTCCTCTTTCTTTGCAACCGCCTTCTTCTCAGCGTCGGTCTCTGCGTTTGCCTTTTCCGAGGCGAGTTCGCTCATGGTGTGTGCATCCTGGGCGGCGGTCTTGGGGGTTGCGGTAGGCTCGGACTTGGGGACAATGGTGTCCTTCTCGAGAGGTGTAGCATTGTTCTGCTGGGCGGCTTGCTGCTCTTTCGAGGCGACGGGTTTGCTCGCCTGGTTGGGGTTGAAGCCAGACGGGAGGGGGTTGCCTTGTGTACTTGTCTGCGATGTGTCGGTCTGGAAGCTTCGGTACGGCAGCAGGATGGCAATGGCAGAGACGTTCTTGGGCATGGGGCGATGGTAGGGTCGGCCAGCGGTCCTCATGCCAGCCCTGAAGACAGCGGGCGCAGCCCGGGAGGCAGTTCGGGCGACGTACATGGCGGTGTCAGGGGTGTAGAGAGCGGCGTGGTGGTTCAGAAAAAGCGTAGTAGTACAGCAGAGGGAAGAAGAAAGCTATAGTACAGCAGTCGATCACAGCAGCCGGCCAGGGGCGAGGTGCTGATGCGGAATGCGAGATTATGATGAAAACGCTCTGACGAAAGAGCTAGAATAATTCAAAGGTCCCAGGAACAGATCGCTGCGGCCGTTCGCGCCCCGAAAGCTTGGCCTTCGTAGGGCTGGGCTCGGACTGCCGGCTTGGGATGGCGGGACCGCGACAGCTGGCATGGGAGAACTCGGGTGTGTTTCAGGCAGACGTCAACGCATGCAGGGCGCTGTTGGCCGTGCCGCCACGGACCGAGGCAGCACGTCAGCAGATTTGTCGCTCGACCGTCCACCCAGTTTCGCGCACGACGACACGCGGGCGCCAGCCAAGCGTCTCGGGGCCGAAACCGGTGATGCGGAGAAGTCCAAGACAGTTGGGGCAATAATCCGAGATTCTTATGTTCGCCGCGGCCAGCCGCCCCTCCAAACTCACCACGCTCGCGCTTGCATTTCCGACGACTTCACTCCTTTAGTGTCTGTGTTCTGTGTTGCGACTGCTTCCCTCCATAACACATCTCGGCCTGCTATCAAGATGATCTCTTGCTAAGAGAAACCCTCCCCGTTGAAGGCCTCGGCTTCCGTTTTGTTGCACCATCCCTACATCCTCAACAGTATTACTCATCTGCATATCTCCAAAATTGACCGGTCTGAATCGCAAACAATGGCTGTCCAGAATCTTTCAAGAGCGGCGCGAATTATCCTGGTTGGCGCACCAGGAGTGGGCAAGGGCACTCAGACCGAGCGTCTGATGAAAAAGTTCCCGGAGCTCTCTTCGATCAGCTCAGGCGATCTGCTCAGGAAGAATGTCAGAGAGCAAACCCCGCTGGGTATGCGCGTTCTGCGGGTGACAATGCATCGCTAACAGAATCCAGGCATCCAGGCCGAATCCAAGATGAAGGCCGGCGCACTGGTCCCCGACAGCATGATTCTACGACTCATCATCAACGAACTTTCAACGCGCGGATGGATTAGGGACAGCACTCTGCGGCCATACGCCGTGTATTCGAGCTCAGCGACCGTAGAGGAAACGACAGTCGACTCGGTGTCCATCCCGTCTGCGATCAAGACAGCAAAGTACACATACTCGGATCATCCCGAGGCCTCGTTTATTCTCGACGGCTTTCCTCGCACGGCAAACCAGGCGGTCCAGCTGAACGACATTGTGCCCATCAATATGGTTGTCAGCATCGACACGCCGAGTGAGATCATTATTGATCGCATTTGCAATCGGTGGGTGCACGCACCCTCAGGGCGTGTATACAATACCACCTTCAATGCGCCGAAGGTGGAAGGCAAGGACGACATTACCGGCGAGCCGCTTACGCGCCGGGCCGATGACGATCCTGAGGTGTGGAAGCAGCGATTACGGAGCTTCAAGGAGAACAACGAGCCGCTCCTCGAGCACTACGACAAGGCCGGCCTTTTGTGGACTGTGAACGGCAACAGCAGTGACGAGATCACCCCCCAGCTGTTCAAAGAGTTCGGCAGGCGCTTTGGGATACCTCCTCCCGAGATTATTGGCGGCCTGTAGTCTGTTATATACCATTTTGCTTGCTTGGATGGGTGGCAGGTTTCGGCAGCATGTCGACGACATGGCACGGCCTTCTGTGTGTTTCTATGTATTACGAAGCTCCGAGGTACTTGTATGATTGGGCAGGCACGGGTCTCTTTCACTTGTATATATTGACCGCCACTGGCACGCGCGGTCACGTTCCCTGTAAACGCTCATAATGCGTTGTTTACATCAAACTATCACTTTTGCAACATCTTCTACACACCCAGCATGAAGTTCGATCCGCACGGTTTTGCGAAGCACGGGCGCGCGTTTCGGTCGACGGAGCTGTGGCGCGGGGCTGGAGATGAGCTTAGCCAAACCACAGTGTCGTCACCGCCGGCGCCAGCCTCGACTCCACCGACCCCAAGCTCGACCCTAGATCCAACGACCTTTGAGGAAATCTGGAGCGATAGCGCCTCTGAGCACTCGGACGACTGGTCAGACGTTGCAGACCATCTTCACGCCCTTCAAAACCCCCCGTCTGCCCTCGACGCCCGCGCAATGGCGGAGGATTTCAGCGAAGGGCGCCTAGAGACGCTCGTCGGCAGCCCGCAGAAGGAGCTGGCAGGCACCCAGAACGCCTATGTCTCCTACCTGGTCTCTACAAAGGTACACTACAGGCTCGCGCTCGGTGCTGCGTCTCTGTAGAAGCACCGAAATGCTCACGCGTCTGCAGTCCGACTACCAGTCCTTCCAGAAGCCCGATTTCTCCGTCCGCCGCCGCTTCACCGACTTCGTCTTCCTCTGGAAACAGCTCTCGAAAGAGTACCCGCAATGCGCCGTCCCCCCGCTGCCCGACAAGCACAAGATGGAGTATGTCCGCGGAGACCGCTTCGGTCCGGACTTCACTCAACGGCGCGCACACTCCCTGCACCGCTTCCTGAAGCGGTTATCGCTGCACCCCGTGCTGCGGAGGGCCATGCTCCTGATCACCTTCCTTGAGAGCCCGGACTGGAACCAGCACATGAAGGGGAGGTCGTCCAGAGCTGCAAGCGGGTCGGAGCCTAGCGGCGGCCTTGTCGACGCAATTGCAGAGAGCCTCGTCAACACCTTCACCAAAGTCCACAAGCCAGACAAGCGCTTCATTGAAGTCAGTGAACGAGCTGGCAAGCTCACCGAGGATCTGAACAACGTCGAGAAGGTTACTGTTCGCGTAGCTAGGCGGCAGGCCGACCTCGAGCAAGACTACGCCGACCTCGCGACGCAATGCCAGAAGCTAACGACCCTCGAACCAGCGGTCGAGAGCACCCTGACATCGTTTGCAGCCTCTGTCACCACGACATCACAGGGCTTCAAATCCATCAAAGAGCACACAGACCAAAACTACCTCACCTCCCTTCGCGACATGGACGCTTACATCCTCGCCCTCCGCAACCTCCTGCGCACACGAGAAGGCAAACAGCTCGACTTCGAGGCCCTCTCCGAATACCTTGCCAAATCCGCTGCCGACCGCGACTCGCTCGCCTCGCAGCACGGTGCTGGCTTGGGCGCCTCGGGTTTCCTGCGCAGCAAGGTCGAGGACTTCCGCGGCATTGACCACGACCAAGCGCGGCGCCAGCGTGTGCGCAAACTCGAGGTCGAGATCGAGCGCCTGACGGGCGAGGTAGAGAACAGCAAGAAGGCCACCGAGGCTTTCGATGAGCATACTGTCAAGGAGGTCGCGGACTTCGAGAGGATCAAGGCAGTCGAGTTCAAAGATACTCTCGGCGATTTGGCTGATGCGCATGTCAATTTCTTCCAGGGGACTATCGAGACGTGGGAGAAGTTCTTGGAGGACATGCGGAAGGAAGAGGATGAGCGGAAGGCTGTTGCATCGTAGGCTGGTGCTGCAGTTGTTTTTTTGGATGGCTGTGGTGGGGAAACTCGAATGGAGGATGGCTGTCCAGATGGGGTTGCGACGCTTGACGCTCCGCGAGAGGCGCCCGTCGATGTGGAATTGGAGTTTACGGGCTTGCTGGAGTCTTTCCAGAGACAGTACCAGTGAGCCGCGGGGGCAATATTGGGTGGGACTGGGCTGATCGATAGATCATTAATTTACGAATCACGTTCAACATCGACCTCGTTGAAGATGACAGACTCAATTGCTACTCACACACGTGCCACCGGGTTCATTCACGGGATATCAGCATCGCTATCGTCCCCTGCAAACCCAAAGCTAAAGGTCCCCCCACCGCCCTCTCCGTCCTCGCCGCCCTTCGTCAACTCTTCCCACCTTCCCCGTCCCTGCTTGCTCCTCTTCTCCAGCTTCTCCATCCCCTCCGCCAACACATCAGGATGCTCCTCACCCAACCTCTCTACAAACAACTCAAACGCACGATCCGCCACATCCTCCTTGAACCCACTCACCTGCTCCCTCTGATCGCGCAGAAACCCCAGCACATCCGCGACCCGAGCCCTGGGTACGAAATTCTGCGTCAGCGCCAGACTCTCGTCCAGGTTGAGCACGAGATGGAACCAGCCGCTGGGCACATGCAGCACCTCGCCCTGATAGCAGATGCCCTCTTTGGCGCCGGGCGTGGCGCGCGCCAGCTCGTGGAACGTGAGCAGGTACTCTGCGATGCTGAGCGGGGCGGTGATCTCGCTCTGGTCGTCCGACACGATGATGCCCGGCGGCGGGGCGTGGGCGCCGCCCGACGGGAACATGAGCCAGTACTTTGACCCTGTGAGCACGGCGTTCCAGGCCGAGGTGGCGTTGGGGTCTTTGTGGAAGGTCGAGCCGCTGCGGGCGGGGCCTAGGATCAGCCAGCGGCAGTCGGGGCGGTGGGGGCCGAGGACGCTGAAGAGGTCGGGGCCGAAGCATTCCGGAGTCCAGTAGGCGGCGTTGGGGTGGTGGGGGGGGTAGCGATGTGTCGATGTTTGTTTTGGGGGCGAAGGCGCGGTCGAAGAGGTAGAGGGGCGATTCGTCGGTGTTATTGTTGATGTAGGTGGTGTAGGTTGACATGGGCCAGTCTACGGCCTCGGCGGTGAATTTGGTGTCGGGGAAGTTGTCGAGGAGGTACTGGGATGTCCATTTGCCGTACACAGGCCAGGCCTTGACCGGCTCGGTGAGGATGAAGGGTTTGTCAGTCCATTTGGCGGAGTACTCTTCAGGTGTGAGGTCGGGTAGGCGAGCGATGGCGTTGGCTGCTGGGATTCTCGTGACATAGGGATTGAGAGAGGTATGTGCACATTGGAAGGGGCGATAGAGAACGTCTGAAAAGAGATTCTCGCAGCGAATGTTTGTCACCTTCTCGGCTGGTGTGTTCAGATATGTGGCCCGCCATGTCCCTCGCCATGTAAAGTTCTCGGGGGAGGATCTGGGGCCTGTCAGTGTTTGCCAAGATTACTGAAGTGTGCGCGGATTGAGATGCTGGTCTCAGAAAATGATGTATTGATGTGGCAACCTGATGAACTAATCTGGGTTGACCTCGAAAGCATGAAACTTTATGGGGAGGCCTCAACTGTCGATACTGGGACAGCTCTGTCCTCACTCCAGACTCGCACAGACAAGTCTCGAAGAGGAAAGTCATTGCTGCTCAACACTCGCCTCGCATAAACTAATGCCGGCTTCGTCTGGAGCTACCGGTATGAGTCACAGCAATACACTGTCCCCTTCGTGGATGGCCTGACTTGGAGTTTCGCATCTTGTTCAGGTATGACTGGAATACTGGCTGGGGCTGGGGCTGACAGGAAAGTAGGAGTCAAACAACTGTGCCACTCACCCTACGAATAAGGCCCTCCACAACTCATCCAGCCTAGTGAATGCGTACAGCGCCCGACACGTACTCCCAAGTCGTATGAGAGCGTCGGCATCGAATGACTCAAGAATGTGGTTCAGCAGCTCATCAGGCAGCCTTGCAAAAGATCCACATCTTGATTTGAGGTTCACCGTTGCTGTGTACGCATTCCCGGCCGGCTTGACACCCAACGGATGCGAGGGCACAGCTGTTGCCACTTCCTCGTCGTCCTGTTCGACATGCACTGGAACTGTAAGTCTTCTCTTTTTGGCGGGCTGTGATTCGACGGGCGAAAAGCCAGGATCCTGTAAAATTCCCGGCGCCATGGTTCAACGACGGCGCAACAGATGTTCTGCAAAATTGAAAAATACTATTGTGCTGTGCACAGCTGAGCCAAAGGTAAGCACAAAGCGGCGAGGAGTCACAGGCCGGACCACGGGCGTGAAAGGCGAAACCTTGGATTGTTGGAGGTCGCCCCAGAACAAAACTAAGCGCGGGCGAGCTAGCGCACTTTCGGGGGTCATAAAAAATCACTTTTGCCCCGCCGCTTGTCTCTGCCCTCACCCACCGACAACTTTTCAAACACAACATACAAAACAGCAGCGGTCACCTTACGGTCCCTCTGCTACTCCAATACAACCAGTTCTCTCCCGACTACAGGCAGTGCCAGTAGTCTTTCGCACACCAAACCGCAATCATGGCTGACAAGGGTCTTGAGGACGTGCCTGAGGGTGAGTGCCTCTGAAATATTTGCACCGCGCTGCAGCGACGACCGCGACAGCGGCAGGTGCTCAGCGCAGGGCAACAGCAACTTTTCGAGCGCAGACTGACACGCCATGCAGGCCAGATCGAGTCCAACTACGATGAGACCACCGACTCGTTCGACAACATGAACCTGAAGGCTGAGCTCCTCCGTGGTGTCTACGCCTACGGTTTCGAGCGCCCTTCTGCTATCCAGCAGCGCGCCATCATGCCCGTCATTAAGGGTAAGTTTGACCGGCACAGCTCCAGCCAAACGCCAGTGACTAACGCTCGTAGGCCACGATGTCATCGCGCAGGCTCAGTCCGGTACGGGTAAAACCGCTACCTTCTCGATCTCCACCCTCCAGAAGATCGACTCCTCCGTCAAGGCCTGCCAGGCTCTTATCCTCGCCCCTACCCGCGAGTTGGCCCAGCAGATCCAGAAGGTCGTCATCGCCATCGGTGACTTCATGGACATCTCCTGCCACGCCTGCATTGGTGGTACTTCCGTCCGTGACGACATGAAGGCCCTCCAGGACGGTCCCCAGGTCGTCGTCGGTACTCCCGGCCGTGTCCAGGACATGATCCAGCGCCGTGTTCTTAAGACCGACTCCATGAAGATGTTCGTCCTTGACGAGGCCGACGAGATGCTGTCCCGCGGTTTCACCGAGCAGATCTACGATATCTTCCAGCTTCTGCCCCAGTCCACCCAGGTCGTTCTCCTGTCCGCTACCATGCCCCAGGACGTCCTCGAGGTCACCACCAAGTTCATGCGCGACCCCATCCGTATCCTCGTCAAGAAGGACGAGCTTACCCTTGAAGGTATCAAGCAGTTCTACATTGCCGTCGAGAAGGAGGACTGGAAGCTCGATACTCTCTCCGACTTGTACGAGACCGTCACCATCACCCAAGCCGTCATCTTCTGCAACACCCGCAGGAAGGTTGACTGGCTCACCGACAAGCTCACTGCCCGTGACTTCACTGTCTCCGCCATGCACGGTGACATGGACCAGGGCCAGCGTGATGTCATCATGAAGGAGTTCCGTTCCGGATCTTCCCGTGTCCTCATCGCCACTGACCTCCTCGCCCGTGGTATCGATGTCCAGCAGGTTTCCCTGGTCATCAACTACGACCTTCCCGCCAACCGCGAGAACTACATCCACCGCATCGGTCGTGGTGGACGTTTCGGACGAAAGGGTGTTGCCATCAACTTCGTCACCGCTGACGATGTCCGCATGATGCGCGAGATTGAGCAGTTCTACAGCACACAGATCGAGGAGATGCCCATGAACGTGGCTGGTAAGTTCCGCAACCCAAACGCAGAGATGACATGCGCTAACCCACTTCACAGACCTCATCTAAACAGCTGTTCCTTGCTTTCCAATCACTGTCCTCCATCCCCACTCAGTAAATCGAGTGGTGCGACTGGCATAGACGCGGTGGTGATTAATTCGGACGCGCCTGCGAGATCAGGCGTGCTTTGTTGATTCGGCACAAAAGCGATAAGTGGGACGAGCGGTCGTCTACCCATCGCGGCATCTTGGCGTTTGTCCTTTTCATGTGCGAAATGATTTCCCCAAAAGAATGTTTCTTGCAGATGATAGAGACGTCAGTTGGCTGGGATGTTTTTCTATGCAATCTACTGTTTCTTAGCTATTTCTCATGGGCTTTTTTGTTCTCCGAGGATGTGCTACGATCGATCGAGGCATGCCCGCGCGATGGAATACGCTTCCCGTGGTCACGCTTGTCTACGATAACGATCATGAGTTTCCTTTCATATAGAGATGCAGTTCAATTGCATGATAGTCACTGAAAAGTTCCCTGTTCTGACCATATCTCTTTGCGGTGCTGACTGCTCGCTGTGACGGAACAGCTCCAGAAGATTAACATCGTGACAACTATTTTCAAAGCTCATGGTCAATATCGAGTCCTGAGATTCGAGTCTGAAACTGGTGACGTCACTGTTCGCTTATCGATTACCTCGGCGACCCCTCGTGTAGCTGCATGGAGAGCCTCAATTGCCGAGCATCTAACTCATGAGACCGACAGCATGGCTCGCGCAAAGCAGAGCCTTTGCGACAATGGCGCTCTCTCCCACCTCAGTTGTATGTCTGTTACTCAGAGCTCTGCTTAAGCAACGCCTTCATAGAAATCTCGATATGCTGACAGCCATGTAGCAAGTACTCGCCCGCTTGCGCGCATACACTCCGCCAACCACGAATTACTATAATTGTCCCTTGAGCCGTCGCGCTGCCGTTCTGATCGTTCTCTTTCCCGACCGCCATGGCGACCTCAAAGTCGTACTTACTATGCGAAGCGCTTCGCTAAGGAATTATGCGGGCCAAGCTGCTCTACCTGGTGGAAAGGCAGACTCACTGGAAGAAACACCATGGGACACTGCCAGGAGAGAGGCATATGAAGAGATTGGATTGCCCCTAGATGATTCCAAGCTAAAGGGCTTCAAAGTGGAGCACCTCTGCGAGCTACCAGCGAACCTGGCGAAGACGGAGCTCGGTGTTCGTCCTTGCGTAGCATACCTATCGCCGAGCGCCTCGGACAGCGGTACTTCGTCTGGCAGTGACAGCGAAGTCGAGGATCGCCTGATTCCTCGTCTCGACCCCAAAGAGGTTGCCGCCGTCTTCACCGCACCCTTCCGCGCCTTCCTCCGTAAAGAGTGGTCCGGGCCGGGCCCAATGCCAGTTCAGAAGAACGGCACGCCAGAGAAATGGTACCGAGGCAGCTGGACAGACTGGCACGAGAGCCGATGGCGTATGCACAATTTCTACATTCCCAAGCCCCCTCCATCCTCCCAGGAAATGCGGAGGAATGCTGCCAACTCACAGCTCCCAGCCAAATCCTCCGAGCACGGGAGTGGTCAGCCCGAAGGCGACGATCCGAGGCCGGAACCTAGCGCGTTGGATGATCTGACGACGTTCAGGGTGTTTGGCATGACAGCGAGGATTTTGGTTGATGCGGCAAGGGTTGCGTATGGGGAGGAGCCGGATTTCGAGCATAATAGCCATTTCGGAGATGAGCGCTTGATTGGGAATCTACTGAAGATGGGGAGGCTGAGTGAGGTGAGAAAGAAGGGTGAGGTGTTGACCAAGAACGTAGTGCAACAAGCTAGTAAGATATGACCGTCATGCAATGAAGAAATTGTTGTGTTGCGCAAGCAGGCTATACTGTAGATCGAAGGTCGGCAGGAGCACTTGTCTCGTGTGGAACTTGTAGTCTAGCAACCGGGAACAGTGCTTCTCTAAGCACATGTACGGCGAACCATGCGTCTAGATGCTCTCCAAAAGACAATTCTGGTGTCTTGAGAGAAAGTTTCTACATAGTTGTGGAAGGTAATCACATCCCAACGTCTTGTCAGCTTTCGGGGCGATTTAAGACTCGGTATTTTCATAGTAGGCTCCTACTATTTCCTCTGCGATCTTAGTGGAAGCCTGTTTTCCTATCGCTTCATAATCAACCCCATCTACGCACCCTATAAAGAGTACCAGCTCGCTCTCCGTACACGCATTGCTTACTTTACCAATCCGCTCGCTGTTTGACCAGTTGCTACTTTATGTGCAAGATATCTGCCCCGTACCAGCGCCCACAGTTGAGTGGCCGGTGTAACATAAGTGCAGGAACAACTGTCCGTTATATTGTAAAGGTTGACTCGGTGATACGCTTCTCAGGCATGAGAGGACAGTGTCGATGGACGCCATGTCCATCGACACTGTAGGAACCCGCACCCAACAACAGTGTCCTCGAAGACTCCGTAGTCAGTCTGTCAGCCATCCAGAGCTATGCCACCGAGCAACTACATACAGTTTGATTAGATCGGTCTGAAGTGCATGTAGAAGTGCGCTTCTCAGTTTACCTAGCTGTATGGGTGACCGAGTGCTGTCTTCAAGCTGGGCACATTGGCGACTCGTGTCTATATAGAATATCAGTAGGAGCTCTATTTTGAGGCAGGGGTGGTGTCTTCGTGGGCGATTCGTGTATCACTGAAGTTCTAGGAGTTATACTTCAATCCACTCTACATATGGTCGATGTAAGCATAAGTGGGAGATGAGTCTAAACAGTTCACTCCAGACATTTCACAGCAGGACTGCACGAACTTTGATGGGTAATAAACTTGTTGAAGACTACGTAATCTTCTACGATTTGAGATAGGTGACCTGGAGGTAGAACACCCCTCCTTGCAAGATAATGCGCAAGCAAACGCCAGAATGCTAATCGGGTGCGACGTGTTGTCGCCCCATGCAAATGCCCGCCCAAACAGATGTGTCAGTATGCAGAAACTTTTTCTTTTGATGGCTCCTTGGCCTGGTATCATCCAAGCTCGCTGCATATGCGTAAAGGGAATCATCAAAGTCGTAATGCTGAAGCGCAATAGAAGTACAGAAGAAGCGAAGTTGTTTGTCATCAATCGCTCTGCGGTTGATGTGATCAAGTCGAAATGGAGTGGAGTCTCCGGCGGACGCCAGTCAGGAACTCGTCCTCGTCAATCCGTTGGAACGGGCCCTCTTCCTCTTTCTCGTAGAGCCCAGTGCTACCAAATGGGCCCTTGCCACTGAACTCGACATGCTCAGGCCAAAGCCCGTTCGAGATAACCTGCGCTAGGGCAAAGTCGCCGTGAACGGAGCCGAATCCAGGCTCAAAAATGCAGTCTGCGAAGAAAAGCTCCACATAGAGCTCCTGGGGAATGTCGCTCTTAGCGCGGCGCTGCACCAAGGCACGTGCCTGCTGCAGCAGCTTCTGCAAAGCATCTGTGGCTTCCTGGGTAGAGCGCCCGTGCTCGTGGCCGCACAGGTGAAGCGCGCGCACCTGCATGTCGCCCCTGAATCTGGCGTCTTCGTGGGAGAACAGGTCTGCGCACACAGATGGAAGCGAGATAGACAGAGTCTCGAGCTTGGGGCAACTGCGGAATGTCTCACAAAGGTGCTCGCTGTCGCTGGGAGATCCTGGGTGGGGATGCCAGAAGCCATCCTGCGACCGCGGGCTGTGCTCGAGTACTCGTAATGTGTTGCGAGATGCCTTGACAACAGCCATGACACCATCAATGGTGATGGAGGAGATACAGGTCATGTGGAACTCCTCAAGTTGGACGGCGGTACGAGCAATCGCAAAGAGATCGTCATCGACGATCGGCATGAAGCTGGTGTCACCGAAGATCTTCAATCGCCTCAGCTGACCGAAGTTAACTGACTGGAGTGCCATGAGGTTAACCTGGTTCTCTTTCTCGGCAGCCTGCTGAGAGGTGGGGTCGATGCACTGAAGCTCCAGAGATTCAAGGGGCTTGCCGTTGCCAGTCAGGAGCGTTCTCCATGAGTTTGCGTCCAAGTGCCGGATCGTGGTCCATGGAACGGATAGGCTGGTAAGGTTGGTGCAGTTCTTGAGGGAGTCGAAGATCATGCGGTTCGTCTCGGCGGTGTAGAAACCGTGGAACCACATGCGCTTGATCTTAGAGGCAAGATCCGGGAAGTCGTTGAAATTCCTCACAGTCTGCCTAAGAGAAGCAAATGGATCGCGGTAAACAGCAGTGCCGGTTGGGCGGTCAATGAGCTCGTACAAGGGGTAGCTCGATCTTCGGTTGGACAGCTCTGCCCATCGCTAGGAAATGTCAAACAGTGTCCTGCATCATGAGAATTGCATCATGCTTACCTCTCCCCCCTTCCAGCGGCGAATGTACACATTCTTCAGAGCATAACCCAGCGCCCACTCGTGCCATTGCCAGCAAACGGTTCGCATAGCACAGATGGCATCCCACTTGAGCATCTCAGGTGGAACAGGACCTCTCACATAGCGTTGGAGAGTTGACTTCTGGAGCGGCAGGGGTGCCTGAGAAAGGCCGAATGTGAAGGTAGGACCATCTCGAATATTGGCTTCAGCAACCTCCTCGAGGATCTTGGAAAGGATTTCGAACGGAAGTTGTTGGATGTGCATTGAATGATCGACAGTACGTTGGGTGGTATTGTAAGGTGGTCGACGATACGATGTTATTGTGGATGCCTTATGTGGCGAAATACCTAGGTAGTGATGAGGTGAGTCGTAGACAAGGTGAGATGCTTTGGTTCAGGTCAGGTGGTCTGGACCTCAGGTGAAAGTGGGAGGGCTGTCTCTTATAGCAGAAACAGCCCTCGCTCACTGGGAGTGCAGAATTTTATTAGACAAAGGGCACCATGGTATGTTGTTAGTCAAGAGTCAACTTTCCCCAGCTCCTGCAGCAGCGCCAACTGCTCGGACACCGGGTACAGAGTGGAGCGAGCTAAAAAGATCATTCTGGCACAAGAATGACACGGATTGACCAATTAGCCTATGAGTCTAAGGGTAGCACGCGTGTGCTTCCGCGACGGAGAGGCGTTGGAGAGCCTGGTTGCCGCTGCCATGAATGGATTTCTGTGATGTAAGAGCTTGCCAAGCGGTCCTTTCCCCGGGCTGGGCGGAGCAAAATGAGCGACTCAGCCGTCACGTGCGATGGGTCACAAGGCCAACTCTCAATTTTGAAGGGGTAACAGATTGATGTTCTTGACACATCGAAATCCTTTGGCAGGACTGTCCGACCACCGTTCACCACCTCGTGCCTGCTCAGCACTTCGCTGCTGGCGTCGTTTGCGACCGGTCTGTGGCGTCGGACGTTTGCAAAGCACGTCGCTGGTGCTGCCGATGCATGCCGCATGCCCCTCGGTGATCCATTGAAGCCTTGCACTTCACATCCTGATGCTCAGAAAGGAATGTGCGGAGAACGTGGCTTGCTCGACCCTTCGTGCACACACCCTGTTGCACAATTTCCATATTTCCGCATCTCCTGGCGGCTGCAACTACCTGTGTCGCCATCGGTGTCTGGTCTCACACCTTCGATTTCGTCAGTTGTCGCCATCATGTCTCATGCAGCGCATCCGTTTCTGCATCTTGACGTGTTATGGAGTCCTTCCATCTTGACCAGTGGAACAACGCGCAAATGTGGCTACCAAATGCTGCTGACTACAATTTGCTATTGCAATCCTATGATGGTATCTGGCATACCTCCTTTCGAGGACACTGTGATCTCGGGAACGATGCCGGAGCGGCTGTGGTCCATGCCATCGAGCTTTCATCCCAAGTGCGGACACCACCACAGAATTTTCACGATACTTCAATCTTACCTGCAGACACGCGTCTTTGGCGTCTGCAGGAGACGAGCTAAGCTGCGGCAGCATCGCCTTCGAAACAGCTTCTTTAGTAATCTCTTACGTTTCCGAACCTTCCCCGCATGCGACCCTTATGTCTCCACATGCATCGTTGAAGGTACGGGAGCTACTTTAGCTCGGGATGCACACCGTAAAAGATTTGCTTGCAGTCCGACTGCGAGGCTGATCTCTTCGTTTGTGTTACTGGAGGGCGAGTACAGACTCGTTCTGGCGCTGATGTGCGCAGATCCTACGCCTTTTGGCTATTGCCTTTGTACATCACATCCCTTCGATGAAGTTAAACGGAACAACAGTCGGATCATTCTGAGATCAACAATGCTTTCTATAGGGTCTGGAACTAAAAGAGACGCTACCCCGCGAAAAGATCTTCGACCCCTGACGGTTGGCTTTTGCCTCCTATAAAGCGTAAGGCTCAAATTGGCCTATCGCACGCACTTGCCCAAACCATCAGGGTCAGGTCCTCGGGGGTCGCCTGGTTCGGTAGTCCAGGATGCGCTTGCTATACACACGGACTCTTCATGTTCCCCAGCTCCAAGTCACAGTCACGAGGCTGGACGTGTGACACGTATGCTCGGCGCTAGACGCCGCAACACTACTGAAGGCATCGTGACCTTCTTCTTTTCGCCCCATTATTCCAAGCATCGTGAGATTTGAGGGCTAACCGCTTGAATAGGTAGTGTCTACGTGGCAACCATATGACGCCGATATGTGCACGGTGCACGGAGCATGGCACCATGAGGCGACACCGCACGATTCACGGATGAGTACGACAAATCGTCACTTCATCAGCTCCCTAATTGATATCCACATTTCAATGTGCACAGGGACAAGAAGTTCGTCCCCTCTCTACGGAGCCCCTGAGTATGACTCAACCAACATTCCACCTGCCCTACACTGAGATATGCAGCCGTTCCAACGCCGTTTCGTTGCGCTCATGGATTCGTCAGACTCATCTTTTGGAGACCGTCAAGATGACCCCTATAAGCTCAATGGCCTGTTAGATCGTCGTGCTCGTATCCGACATTCAGGAATGTAGAATGCCCTTATCGCAGTAGCACAGCAACACGGCTTCAGGTCGTTCATGTTGCGTGTTGAGGAACTGTGCAAATTACACGACGGGCTGTTATCTTTCGTTCGGCACGAAAAGCCCTTACATGACACCTTCAAAGCGCACACTTATAGCACAAGAGCACCTTTCAGTATGCTCCCTTTACACAACAGTGCTTCGAAGATTGCCAAGGGTCGGCATAGGAACTGACTGCCGCATACAGTTCGCTGCGTTCTTCGGCCCAGAATGAACTTCACTGGCACGTCGCTAGGAGAGGGGATTCCCAAGCACGACGAAACCACGGCATGATCATACATCCAGGGGGAAAGCGTGAAGCACTGATGATAAGTCGACACCGCCGCAACAACACACTATAACTTCTTCACACTTTTCTGGCTTGTACGGTGAATTGGTGAGAAGTGCCTCCAAGAGGACCTTGTGATGCTCGATTGAATGTGTAAATTGATTAATCAAAGGCTACATATGCCGCCACGCTTGAACGGTAAATCCGTGATCAGATACGCAAATTGAATTTGCCGACTCAGATCTTGCCAACACCCGCAGTATTTGCGATATTCGAACTAGCCGTGGCAGCACTAGCAATAGACTTGCCATTGAAGTTGCTGAAGAAAGAGGTATCAGTCCCTCCCAGGGTTCCAGAGCTTCCAAAAGCATTCAACTGGCAAGCGTGGCCCAAGTAGTTGGAGCAGGCAGTGTTGGCACTCGTAGACGGGCTGCCGAAAAGCTTGCCCCCCGAGTTGGCGAGAAGCGGCGTGACCACGTTCTGGAACACGGAGCCCTCGACGACAGCCTGGCCACCGGCTGCGATGTCAAAGGCGTGGCCAGAGTTGGCGTACCAGTAGTTGTTGGCTGCGTGCAGGAGGGTGTTTCCTCCAATCTTGGGGCTGCGGCCGGAGGTGTGGTGGATGTAGTTGCCCTTCATGGTGATCAGGTCTGAGGAGCCAGTCAAGTAGATGCCCCAGTAGTGGTGGCCGTCACAGGTAGCGGACCAACTGGTCGACCCGTCGAACTCGCTGTTCGAGATGGTGACGCGGTTTGAGGCACCGTTTCCGGCGACGAACATCTGGCGGCCGATGAGAGATACTTTAACGTGGTCTATGTAGATGTAAGTGACCGTTCTTGGGGTTTAAGGGTGTACTTGTTGCAACATACCAACCCAGATGAGATCTGAACCATCCACAGTCAAGGCATCTCCACCCCAGATGTACTGAGGGTTGAGCTGTTGACATTGGTTAGCTGACTGTCGAATAACGAAGGATCATCGAGCTTACCTCAGTGATATGAATATTTTGAATGATAACTAGCAAGTTCGATTAGTGTTGCAGAGAGGCCGGACGTCAATCCTACTCACCATTCTTTGCGCCGTTGGCCATACGCAGACCCTTTCCACGAATCACGCCCTTCGATCCAACTCCAATGATGCTCTTGTTAGAGCCTACATTGATACCCGCAACACCAGCGGTATCGTAGGTAACACTGATAGATTTGACGCCAGCACCTGCATTTCCGTTGGTGCACCAGGAGGCCTTGTTGATTGCGTCTTGACCACCATTACCCGGGCATGTGTTGGACGCTGGCCGACATCCAGTCTCAGTGGTAGTGCCTTCGGTGCCTTTGAAGTTGTACCTAAAGATTCTTAGTCAGATTATCTCAGGGTATGCTGGAAAATTCTCACTCCTTGTCCAGCACGATGCATCGAGCAGTGCTATCTGTAAGCCAGGTCTTCAACTGCGCGACGCTGGATGGGATAGCACATGCAGCACTTCCACCCCCCGTGGTCCCAGATGCGAAGCCTTCTGGCTTGCCGATAACAGCATACGTAGCTCGCTCTTCAAACTGGGAACGCTCACCCAGGGCAGCAGCGTTCACGCTAGCGATGGCACCTCCAATTGTAAGAACTGAGAACTTCATATTGTCGACGATGCTTAGGATAATTCGGAGAAACAGGAGCAGCCGCTCTTTAAATACACCATTGTGGACCAGACTTGAGAGACGGAGAAAATAGAGATTAGATACTATGTCTCCCGGCATCACGCGGCAGCCTTAATAGCCAAGGCCGTATAATATGCCATTGTACAACGCTAGATAGACAGCACTTGGAGAACGTAAGGCTTGGAGTAGTGGTCCGTGAAGACAAAGAGTGCCGGGCGGCCGCGTGGTCGAATGCCGGACAAGGATTGCCAAATTGCTTGTGTGGATGTTGTTGCTTAATCTCCGTCCTATCAAGTGGACAAGCTTCGCAAATCCTTGCTTTCATTGGTGTGCGCTTGTCTGACTGAGTGCTGGTACGTGGAAGCATTCAACCCCGCGTTGTGCAGGTATACAAGGCGTCCCCAGAGTCGGCAAACTCCCCGAAAAGTGGGCCGTGTTGTATATAGGAAACACGCGAAGGAATCCTCATCAACGAAGTGGCTGTGTGGCTATACAAGATACTCACGGACCAGTATAGAGTTCACTAAGACCCATAAAGGCTTAAAGGTAGTGCCGCTGTATTGTCGTGATGTCCGTCCATACGGTGTGGGTTTGTAGTTGTTCGCCTGTTACTGTATTGGGAAATGCTGCTCCGTCCTGTTGATTGATTGCCCCGGACAGATGAATCGCGCACGAACATATTTGCACTTCAACCCTGTCCTACGTCTTCCTTAGTTTTCCTGCAGAAACAGATGTCCCCCTGGGGTACCGTAATTCAACGGCATTGTCTTAGGTTTTCATCGACTAACATACTCACCTAGAAGGAAATAGACATTCGTGCACTTCTGATAGACCTTGCGTAAGATGTGCGCAAGGGGCTTGTCACTTTCTGGGGACGTCGGGGCTGCGTGCAGCTTACGACAATCTGTGCCGCATAGGCGGATTTGTCGACCGATTGTCCATCAATCCCATGTAAGCCTTCAAGCCAATGACTCTGCGAGATTGGGCCAGAGAAACGTCATTGGACAACCGTAAGACGTTCCATATGCCCGTAGTCTACACTTGGCTGCGAATATTGACTCCTACATGGCTTCTCAAGGAGTAAGCTCCCGAAAGGTCTGCGGAGGTGTTTCATCGTGATTCTAGAGCTCGTGGATTGATCTTTAGTAGGTTGTTATCGGGAGTCGTGTGAAAGACGCTTATCTTGCGGCTGCTGAAAAGAGTACGGTCCTGATATAGTGACATGGGTTTGTGTCCCGAAGAATTCCCGCAACGAAACCTGCTTCGTCGTTTTCTGAAGGTGATACGGTCTCATTCGAAGAAGTATTTATGTGTTGCGAGGCTTTGCAGGTAAGCGGAAGAGATGGCACTGCAGCAGATTGTACAAAGAGCTCTTCACGCTTACTGAGAACCCTAACCTAGTCCATTGGCAAAGCATGCTCGAGGCCAATCTCGAGTCCCGAAGGTTTTGCGTCGCAATGCCGTCGTCATCCAGCGTTAGAAGCGCTGCCTGCTTGCATGTGAGACTGCGAGCCAGACGGTGCGGCCATGAACTGTCGTGTGCTTGAAGGCGCACCAGCAGACTAGCCGGCAAGCATGTAGGTGGGAACCTGAATCCAACAGGCCCCGCAAAGGCCTCTCCGATCAAGAACGGTGGATGTGGTTCGTAGATCGTGCACGACGACGATTGATATCGTGTGGCGCCGAAGGTTCAGACCTGGGGCACAAACGGTGCGTGTTTCAGACACGGCTTCTAAGTAATGAGTTCGGTGGCTGATTGTGAGGTCGAGGCCTCATGTGAACGTACGAACGCGTACATTTGGGTACACGTCGAAGGCCGTCTGCTCGCTTTACTTACCGAACAAGAGAAGCATAAGTATGAATGCAGTGGAAACAGCACTTACTCAGGAGATGTGCACCCCGCATTACCGAAGCCCGTAGTGCGCATGGCGTTAGTCCAGGTACTACGGCATTTGCAACTTCGCGTGCTTACACAGCACGCTGTAAGCTGCAAGCGGGTCCGGAAGTCCCTCTCCTCCGGGCACGACGATGCTTGATAACGTCGTCCAGTGATTGTAAATCGCGCTGTACATTACGACGAAAGCGGAAAGGGAACCGCACTATTATGCAGCAAGGCTGTGCCAACAGGTAGAGCCTTCCAAATGGGTTGACAACCATTACATGAGCCTTTGATAATCAACGCCCCACATCTAGACGGCGCTAACGCAGCTCAAGTTGCATCATTCGAGCGAGCTTGACCACGATTGGAAAACAGCTCTATGCATCGATGGCTTCATCGCCAGACAATCAATGGCAATGATTCGATCGAGATGCTGCTCTCGGTCTTATTGGCTCGGCGTGGAATGCTCTCGCCCGTGTAATGTTTCCGTATATAAGGACTGATGCTACCCCTCTATCGTCAACCACTACCATCAATTGACCCCGTCCTTTCTGTTTCTGATACCCCAAATCCTTCACAATGGCTCCCAAGATCGCTATCGTCTACTACTCCATGTACGGCCATGTCAAGACATTGGTACGTTGCTCTCGCCATTGACCTCTTCTCCAACCTGGCTAACCTCCCAACAGGCCGAAGCTGAACTCAAGGGCATCCGCGAGGCCGGTGGCGACGCCACCCTCTTCCAGGTTCCCGAGACCCTCTCCGACGAAGTCCTCGGAAAGATGTACGCCCCGCCCAAGCCCACCGACATCCCCACCCTGAACGACCCCGCCGAGCTCGAGGCCTTCGACGCCGTTCTCTTCGGCATCCCCACCCGTTACGGTAACTTCCCTGCCCAGTTCAAGACCTTCTGGGACAAGACCGGCAAGCAGTGGCAGCAGGGCTCCTTCTGGGGCAAGTACGCCGGTCTGTTCATCAGCACCGGCACCCTGGGCGGTGGCCAGGAGTCGACCGCCATCGCGGCCATGTCGACATTGACGCACCACGGCTTCATCTACGTGCCGCTCGGCTACAAGACCGTGTTCGCACAGCTGGCCAACCTCGAGGAGATCCACGGCGGTTCGCCCTGGGGCGCGGGCACCTTCTCCGGCGCCGACGGCAGCCGCCAGCCCACCCCGCTGGAGCTGACCATTGCCACGGAGCAGGGCAAGGCCTTCTACGCCGCCGTGGCCAAGGCGCACCCGTGACTAGATACTGCAAAGACGGGGGCGGAGCAGCAGACTCCCCCTGCCGTCGTGGCGGATAGCGCAACGCCAAACACATCTACAAACCCCACAAAAGATAAAACAGAGAGCGGGACAAACGGTGCGGCGCCGACGACGCAGAGGGTCCCTGAGCAGCCTTCTGGTCCTCAGGAGAAGAAGGATGGCGAGGGCCCCTGTGGGTTACCGGCCAAGTGCGAAATCATGTAGTCGTATCTACAAATGAACGTTAAATGAACACTATATTGCAGAGAATGTGAACAACGATATTTCTCCATGTCCACCGCACAACTCCCATCAACCCAGAGCTTTATGCACCATTCTAGTATACCTGCACAATCACCAACAAACCAGTGCAGCACAGCAAGCAACAATGTGAAAGATACGAATAATGTGATTAATAAATATCTCCAGATGCAATATACACATGAAAATGCCATATTAAAATACTCGTCAACACCAATCGCGATGCCGATGATGCTGTGGTATCTTCCAGTCCAATCCAGTCCAGTCCAGTCGAGTGCGTCAAGTCATGTACGAAGCCGGAAAACGGGCCAGCCCACCTCTATATCAACGCCGGGAGAAAAAAAAGGCAAACAAGAAAGGATCCATAATGCATCATGATTAATTCCTCCATATCCCACCAGGCGCACTTGCAAAACATCTACAAAGCCGCTGTCATACGACAAGCTGGCTGAAGTCGACACCTCTCCGCTGCCGCTCGACATCACCGCTGTAGTTCCTATCGAAGGCGGCGAGACAGTGGTCGGGCGCCCAGTCGGAGACCAGGTCGTCGCGGTCGGAGTCGAACGAGGCGCGGCGGGCTGTGCGCTCAGCCCAGCCCGTGCGTTCGAGCTCAATGATGCCGCCGAAGCGGCGCTCGCCATTGGCGATGAAAAGGGACTGCCCGTCGGGCGTGAACGTCACGCCGCCCAGCGGGCCGAAGAAATCGAAGACCTGTTTCGACTCGAACGTCTGCGCGTTGATGATGCTGACGTAGTCATCTGCCTCAGCGGCAACGAGGACGCGCGGACCTGAGCCGACTGGGGAGAAGCGGAGAGCGCGGGGGACGCTGAGCTCGCTTGTGAGGACGGCGAGCGGTTGGTTCCAGTACCGTGCGTCCCAGACGGCAATGGTGGAGTCTTGGGCTGCGGTAGCGACGTGGATGCCATCGTCAGCCCAAGCACAAGCGAAAGCGTCGTCGGTGTGGGTCTTCAGAGTCTCGAAAGGCCGCCCTGTCTCGGCGTTCGTGATTAGTGTTTCTTGGAAGTCACCGACCACGACGCGCATTCGACCGTTGGGACTGGTGGCCGAGCAGTTGACGGCAGCTGAGTACTCGAAATTGTGTATGAAAGTATTGGTTGCGCAATCCAGTATGCGCAAGTGATGGTCGTTCGAGCAGAGGACTCCTTGGGGGTGATACGTAGTCCGTGATTCGAAAAGATGCAGATGGTTGACAATCTTGGAGTTTGTATCTGAGACAAAATCGGCCGTGCGGCCGAACGTACAGGGAGTGTCTGTTGTGGATGACAGATCCGTAATAGCATACTCGCCCTCGAAGGCACCTGCTATCAACACATCATTCAGAGTGGCAATGGTTGTGATGGAGCCATCGGCAGCTGTCTTCTTGCTCAGATCGAGGACTGCTTTGGCGGGCGCGCCCTCAGCATCTGTGCACATGACTTTCTGACCGGCTGCATATAGAACATCGTTCCTGGACGTTGCCGCCAATACGTTGCGCAGTTGGAAGTGGGGGAAGTACACGCGATGAGACGTGGTGTTCCTCCGAAACGAGAAGAAGTTGTCTGTGTTGGGGACTGGGGGAGTCCACTGCTGGCCCTTGTTAGCTCAACAATATCTTCAGCGGTGTCAGATGTGCCTACTGTGCGCGTCTCCCTCAGACTGGGCGACAGCCGTTCCTGCTCACACTCCCTCCGTTTGGCTCGTACAGAGCTTCTTGTGGTGTTGCGCACGCTCCAGTCGATGCCCTGGAAGTCGTACTTGTCGCCCTGCAGATCGTCGCGCGTGATGGTGTCTGGCACCTGGACAAGATCGAGGCCCGGGACAGTCGTCTTCTCCGGAGTAAGGTAGTGGAAGAAGGAGGTGATGGGCACGAATTGGCTCTTGTCCTTGATGCTCAGGTAGGCCTCGGGCCAGGCGGGCAGGGGCTCCAGCGAGGGCTCGGAGCTCGACAGGTGGGCGAGGTACGAGGGCGGCGGCGGCAGGTGCACGTTGTTGATGTGGAAGGAGGTCATGTCGCTGGCCGGCGGCGGCACGGCGTCGTACTGCAACTGGGCCATGATGGCGTGCATGTGGATGGCGCCGGGGCTCAGGGTGCTCGCCAGCAGCGGCGCGGGCGGCGGTGCGGAGAAGTCTGCTAACGATATGCCCCCGCCGTCGTCGTCGTCGCTGACGGCATCGTCCCCGTGGCTGGTGGGCGGGCGGCTGTCGGACAGCGTGGCGAGTGTCGCGGCGGCGGCGAGCACGCTGAACGAGGCCGGGGCGCCGGGGCCGGTGCCTGCGTCTGGTGCTGGTGGTGCGTCGGCCGCGTAGCTCAGCGTGACGTTGTTCGGGGCGGCGAGGTGCAGGCCGTCGTCGGGGTGCGGCAGCGCGGCGGGCGGGCTGGCCATGGCAGCCCGCGGTCGGCCAGCTTGTCGCAGAGCCACTGGGCAGCCGTGGGCAGCGGGCAGCGATGGGCGCGCGGTCTGCGGCGGCGGGCGGCGGCGTGCGTGTCTGCGTCGGCGGTGCGTTTGCGTGCGGAGGTGCGAGCTGCTGCAGTCAGTCGGGCGGGCGGCGCGGCGGCTCTCTCTATGGGCGGGCGCAGCGTGGGGTGGGCTGCTGCTACTGGACGACTTGCATTCACCGACGACACATGTGGACGCAGGCGCTATGTAGGGAGCGCCGAACGACGCTGGCCGCGCTGACTACTCGCTGGGCCGCCTGCACGGGAGCTGCAGCGCTGCAGGCGAGCCAGGTGCCGCATCGAGCGCGGTGGGGTGTCGCCGTCGGGTGCACTGGTTGCGCTGCACTGCGCTATTGGAGCTGCGCTGCTGCAGGCAGTCGGCGCGGTGCAGGCGATCAGACCATGCAATGCACGCACGCGAAGGGGCGGCTCACCCACCGCGCTGCTGGGGATGCTACGCCAAACCCTGTGGTCCGCGGCATGGCATTGCGGCGAGAGTGCGCTGATCTAGGCCAGGCACGCCGCCGCAGACCGCCCGCTCTCCACGATGCCACAGAGCTGGACGAGCTGGACAAGCTGTGCGGCCGCCCACGCAACCTCGGTCGCAGATCTCGACATGCGCACGCCGCAGATCTGTGCTCGCCGCGCTCGTTGCCGTGCAAGAGCCCGCTGCAGCCTGTCGCTCACTGTCAGGGCGACGCGGCCGGCACGGCGTGCTGCCTGGCTGCAGTTGCACAACGGTTTTAATCAACGAGCAAAGGCGGGGATGGGGTGTGCTACAGCTCACATGGCCTGCCAGCACGACAACGTTCGACCCTCTGCGCGCACCGCGAGCTGGCGACGTTGCACAGCTCATGCGTGGAGCGAATCACCCCTCGCATGCTCGCCAGCCCTCCCTGCCCTGTGGCTCGAGTGCCGTTTTGGTCTTCCTGCGCCCGTGTCAGGAAGCGAGACGAGATAATGTCAGTCCGCTTTGGGACGCAGGCATTGCACGAGAGCAGGAGTGGCCGGCAACAAGGCCACTGTCCGTTGCGGCGTGTAACGGCCACCGCAAGCCAAGGTTTGCACGAGTATGCTGTGCACGCAGTCGCTGGCACTCCACAGCAGCCGCCACACGGCAAACTTTGTCAGTGCGTAGTGGGGACGGGAGTGTCAGGTAGAAGGCATGACAAGCTGCCAGACGGGCTGTCCGAAAGGGGCGACGAGGCATTCAGCCTGCTGTCTGGAGGACGCGCCTTGTATCACCGGGACACTCATGCTGGGTGAAATGAATTAATGCTACAATTAGTCTAGGCGGCCCCTATACTGGCCAGTGCCAACATCTACAGTACCCATAAAACCGACAAAACTGGCGTGAGAAATACGCCCGAGCATCCTGGCAATGCAGTGAGAAGGAACGTGGTACAACATGCAGTCTTTTAGCTCGCCGCGCAAACGACTGGGCGGCTTGCTTTCCTAAACGACGCCACCATGCGAAAATCAGTTGTCATAGTATGGCTCATATCCTTGCTGCTGCTGCGGCCATCCCCCAGCCGATGTCGTCTGTGACCACCCGCCGCCGGGTGTCTTCAGTCTCCGCTCTGTTGGCGCCCAATGTTAGTGACAGGCATTCTCAGGGGTAATCGGTGTACCTTACCTGCTTCAAAGTCGTGCCACCTCCGCATCGTAATCTTGCTGCTGTCAAACTCGCCTTCATACTCCAGGCCTGCCTTCTTCGTCGTTTCGCCCGATGTCTTTCGGGTATCGCCCCAACTAAAATCATCAAACTTCCAGAACGCGTATGTGGGGAGCACAAAGTTCCAGATCGGAAGCGACAATAGATAGACAAGCATCCAAGCGACATAAGACCAGCGATGTGCCGTGACAACGATGAGGATCGCAGGCAGACCCAAGATAAGGGCAAGAAGAATGAGAGGGATGACAGGCGCCGCGGTGTTTAGCACGGCTGCTTTGATGGCAATAGCGACTAGAAAACGTTAGCGCCACAAAATTATGGATGTGGAGCACACAAGCTTACTCAGGTAGAAGGTGAAAGCGATGGCGGCTGGCAGAACCAGTGTTCCGATAAGCTCGACGAACACAACAAACTGCATACTGAAGCAGAAGGTGCCGCAGAGATCTCGTACTAGTACCAGCTCCATCAGGTTGTGGACTGTACTATTAATCCATCGCCTACGTTGTGACAGTAGGACTTTGAATTCGTCCGGTACAGTAGTTTTGCAGACGGCCTGGGGCACAAAAACCTGCTTACGCTTCGGGAACGTCTTGAGCATTAGTGTCGAGAGGTAACGATCCTCGCCCAACAGTAGAAGGTTCTTCTTGTGCAACGTGTCGACCACGTTCTCCGAGTAGTGCTCGACAACGTCTGGGTTAGCCAGAATAGGGACCCAATAGTTTTGTCCACCTTTGGGAGCCTTGATGCGGTACATGCAGAAACATCCGGGAAGGCAGGTAACACCTCCGAACACCGATTCGAAAGATTTGGCCAAGTGATGCGAGATGAAGTATCTACCGCTGTCAGTGGCGCGATCGTCATACGTTAGGGGCAATGCTTACTCAAACACCTGGATCATGGAAACCCACGAATCCCGCTTGTTGGCGATCTTTGTCTCGCCACAGAGTCCCATAATCTCTGGATCCTTGACCATGGCGGAAATCATGTGAGTCAAACTATCCGGGAAGACCTTGGTGTCGGCGTCGACCATGAGTACTATCTCGTAAAAGTCCGGCGAAATGCCAGTAATCTTCCAGATGCCGTTGAACATCTCGAACTCAAGCTCCGTCATACGTTCATCAAACATGACTTTTTGCAAGAATGACATAAGAATGATCTGACTGTCACGCTTTCCGCGGTTACCAGCCTTGGATTTCGTCGCCTCGTCAGGTGTACCACACTTGACAACAACCATCATTGGTACACGTTGCTGCTTGTCTGAGGCAATACGAGAATCCTCGCCGTAGTTGTAGAAACCCGAGTAGATTTTGGCCATGTTGTGTCGCTTCGAACCGCTAGCGACTGCAACATAAGAGTACGCTTGAACTTCATGGGGTAGTACAGCGTGGTCCTTCATCATGGCCAGTGCGATCTCAGGTGTGGTCAGATCTTCACCTTGGCCCTTGATCATACCGTCGCAAATAACCAAGATCAACTTGTGGCTGTTCGGATAGTCGGTAGTCGCAATAGAGTCCAATGTAGTACGCAGACCCTCCGCACCTTCGGAGTATGCAGTAACCAGACAGATAGAATGAGCCAAGGGATAACCAAACGGTTGCCATTCAGGAGGAGGTTGGGGTACAACGGCCTCGTGGATGAAGCCGGACGGGCCGGGTCCTTCTTCACCTATAACACTGGAGTAGCGATTGTCTGCAGATCCTGACAGAAGCAAGCTTGAACGTGACTGGCCCTGGGTCTTCGCTTCGAGATAGGTCGTTGGAAGGGTACCTTGGCTGGAGTTGAGTTGTCTGTACATACCGTTGTTGGACGAATTAAGACGAGATGTCGCGCTCTGGCTGGTCATGGTGGTTGGTGGTGCTCGAGTCTTTGATGACTTTTCCATAGCGTACGGGCTGGTAAACCTGGAAGTGGATGGCAAGAAGGTACTACCGCGCTTGCTTGAACGGTCAGGTCCGGCGGCAGGGTCTGCGAGTCGTGGAGGCGGACGGTAGATGTCGTCACTCCATTCCTCGATCTGCTGCTTCCTCTCCTTCGAGTCTGCTTTGCCGGTAGATGTCTTGTCGGCACCGAATTTGCGGCTGAGGAACCATTGAAATGCCAGGGCAAGCACGAACTTAGCGACAACGACAGCTAAGATGAAAACAAGCGAGATGTAAAGAACGACCTTGGAAGCAATGCAGCCAATGCTTTCGGTGTCGATTGAGCCGACCTTGATGATCTCGGTAAAGCAACGTGCGACTTGCTTCTCGTAGCTGGAAGAGTACGCACGGGTGACATCGATTCCTCGTACGGCTGGGTTGTTCTTAATGTCTTCGAAGATAGTGGGCACATTCACCTGGGTGCTGTTGAACCAATCAAGCAGGGATAGATCCATGACATCTCCACCCCAGACCATCAGGTTGCGGGAGCTGTTGCGGATGTCATCCCAGGTGAAGTACACATCACCGGCGTTCCTGAGCCCATAGAAGGCCCTGCGAGCGTTGTCAGAAGTATGGCATTGGAAGCCACCGTACTCGAGGAAAGTTATGTTCGGCTTCGAGGACCCATCCTGGTTGAAAGTGCGGCAGGGAAAGTACCAGCCAAGATTACCATTTACTTCAGGGATGCCAGAATTAGCCTTGGGTGTGATAAGCCCCTTGCAAGCACCGTTGACGTTCTGGAAGAGGAAACTGCCGTCTTGTCCTCCGTGCTTCTCGGGCAGGTCGAACAACACATTGGCGCCGGCCGGGACACCTCGTGCGAGAGGGTGTGTGGATTGGGCCAGATCATATGCTTTGCCATGGATGATCATGTATCCTCCACCCACCTCATTGGCGCGCAGGCGAACGTTGCCATTAGAAGGGCATACGGTCTCAGTGAAACCGAAGGTAAGGTAACCAACGAATGTACAGATCAGCAAGATGATGCTGACCAGACCGACTTTCTCTCTCCAAGCACGCTGCTGCGCCTTCTGCGGCTTGCCAAAGCACTTCAGGACGGCGTTCGGACACCAGAAGGTGATGATGGCGCAGTAGACGTTCCACAGACTCGGAGGGCGCATCTTGTCCTTCTCCTTCTGGCGCTGTTTCTCCAGGTTCTCCATTGTCTTGCTCCGTGTCAGCCTGCGCTCGACGTGCGGTGTCTCGTCGTCCAGTGGCGCCTGCTTGTCGTTGTAGCCGCCTCCCGACGCATTGCGCATGTGTGGCGGCTTTAGGTCAGTGCTGGCGGAGCTGACCGTCTCGGCCTCCATGGCATCTTCCATGATAGGGTCGTTGCCGGTGGTTGAGGGGTGGACGTTCATGCGCTGCGCATGCTTGCGGTAGTAATAGTTGGGGTCGCTCGGATCGACGCGGCGGCGCTCTGGGCGAATCAGACTGCGCTTCCTGCCCAAGTCCTGCACAGGCGTTGACTGTTGACTGCGCATGATGGGGTCGCGTTCCATGGGCACTGGCCCCGTGCCGGGCGAAGGAAGCGGACGAGCGTGCGATTGCGCGCCACTCTTGCCGTGGCTGTGTGTCCGGTCGTGAGAGCGCGTATTCTCGGCATCTGAGGTGCGGCGGCGGCGGTGTCGCTCCTCCCTCCGCGAGCCGCTCTCTGGCCGCTGTGGCAGAGACATGTCGAGGAATGCAGCCTCCCTGGCCGTGGCACAGCTCAGCAGACGATGGCCAGCAAGGGCCGGGACAGAAGGCGGCGCTATAGAGCCGCAGTCCCGAGTGAGGCTGCTGCTGTTGTGCGGCTGTTGTGCGGGCGTGCAGCCAAGCCGTGTGTTGCTGTTGCTGTGGGGGCGACGTGGAGTCGGCAGCAGGAGCAAGAGCCAGGCGTTTCAGCGAGAGGATGCGGGGGCAAAGCGAGCGACTCTTAGCAAGAGCGAGCGTGGGCGTGGACACAGTGCTGCGGTGAGCGACGGAGCGGCAAGGCTCAGTGCGTGCTGTGACTGCCCTGGACCTCGAGCGGGAGTTGAGAGGGCAACTACAGATGGCGCCGGCCAGGGGCAACAGATGGGCAAATCACATTGGCCACAGGTTCTATTTCGATCCATCTGCTGCGCTAGGCCGGACGGGACTTCGGGGCTCCAGCCGTGAGAGCATCGTGATTTCGCGCGCGCGGGCGATCGTTCTCGGCGATGGCAACAGACGCCATCCGTGTCGAGCGGGCGCTGTCGCGGCGATGGCGCTGCACTGGCCGGTGCGTCTTCGTGCTCGTTCTGCCATTGCCAGCCTCGAGACACTTGAGAGTCGCGCACCCTCGACCCACCCCCACAACACACGCGAACCAGCATGCAGCTAGACGCACTGTCGCCGACCCAGGATCCGTGAGCTCCAGCATTGCTGGCAATCCACTTGACTGAAGATCTTGCCCGATCAGACGTGCTTGGGGCCAGCAGCCATGCCGAGGCTTGGGACCCGCGAGGCTCACACTCACAGCACCACGGCACAGGCAGACGCAAGTTGTGCCTGTCCACGTCCTGTCCCCGTCCTGTCCCCAAATGCACCTCTTATTGGGAGCCTGACGGACACGGGACTGCGCCTCCAGACTAAATCCTCCCCCCTTTGTGCCTGCAGCGTGCCTCTGTAGCTCTGACTGACAGCCGAAACGCCCGGCGACGATCCAGGGTCTTAGTGAACATGAATAATGCTAGAGCCTCTTGAATCCTGCAGGGCCACTAGGGCCCCCCCACGAATCGTCCACAGGGTCAAGCTTTCTGTGCCTCAGTCAGTCAGTGACTGCTGCGATCCATGGATGCACAGCCTGGGATGCGATCCGCGCCTGGTGCGATGGCAGCACGCATGGCATTGCGCATGGCATTGCTCAGCATCGCTGCCAGCCAACCACCAGCCCGGCACCGGCCATGGCGAATGACGACCCCGTCCCTAGGTATATGCACGGCGAATTATTGCCGCACCTGTTGCGCACGGGAAAATGTACGCTACCGAGTGTGTATTTTCCTTCCATTTTGGGACGTCTGCCTCACCGCACCCAATTGCTCGCCAAGCGACACCTCCAGCAGCTGAGCCTCTCGAGACCTTCTTTGCTGACAGCATCCTTGGTCATGGCTGCTGTGTACGCTCTGAGCCCAGTGCGCTTCGGGCGCGCAAGAGTCTGCAGACAATAGCGCCCGGTCTGCAATTGCAAGCCACTTTGGGCGGCCAGCAGCTCGTGTTAGGGTCGTTAGGGTCCTCAGCAGCCCAAGCTTTCTAGCGCGAACGAAAGGGCTTGTGTGGGGCGCTGCCAGGATCACGTCTTGCTCCATCGTGCATCGTGCTTGCCATCTGCAAGTGATAGTGGGGAAGCAGCACGGCCGCGAATTCGGTCTTGTACAGCACTGCGCCCATCCTGCCATCCCGGCGGCCTCCAGACCACGGTTGGCTCTCCGTCAGGAAAACTGTGACGTTCCCAGTACCGTGTTAAGTAGCTGCACCAAGTAAGTGACTAAGTGTTCCACGTTCCACGTTCCGACGGCGCCGATCCAGGGTTCAGCGCATGCATGTCATGTCTTGTAGCCTGCCGGGCCTCTGGACATTCCACGCCACAACTTGGACGCTGACTGGGAGCAGACACGGCAGACGCTCTGAGGAGTTCCGCAGCCTGGCAACCTGTTCCGTTGCCATTTGCTGTCCATCGCGAGTTTGCTGCTTCCAGTAGCGCGCACACCGCCGATTCTACCATTCGAGCCGCCAGCATAGAAGAGAAACAGCACCACGCACCACAATGGCCGAAACGACTTCAGCTGTGCCCACAAGGGACCTACCTCCAACGCCTCCGCCCCATGGCGCCAACGCGCAAACTGGTGCGAGTCCCATCCGCAGGCCTCCGATTCCGTCCTTCAGCATCGACGAGCATGCCGACACAATGGCCGGAGGCCGCGATTCGAGGCAGTCCGGGTCGTCTCTGACACCAAGCTCCGTCGGTCACTCCAGAACACCGTCAAGAGAGACACCGGATCTAGCAAACAATCGAGACTCGGCAGCCTCGGATGCGGTGACAAGGGACATACCCATTCGGCAGCTGCACATCAGCGACGGTTCCTACGGCAGCCGGTATTCTCACGCCGGAGAGCTGGAGATGGCAAGCGTGCAAGATGAGCCTGATTCCATCTATACTCCTCGAGAGCAGTACCAAGCCGGTCACTCTTCGCAGCCCACCCCTCCGCTGTCCGCGTATCCAGCTCGCGACCCTATGCACTCTCCAGTCCATTCTCCAGTTCAGTCTCCAGGCACTGACTCCCACGGATTCGACTTTGGCAGCGGATCGCCCCTGCAAGTGCCCCGCACCACACACGTACGGCCGAACTCCGCATATACCCTCGGTCCCGAAATGAACACTAGTCGTCCTACGCATTCTCCACATCTTTCAGTGGGTGGGTCTCCGTCGCCCACCAGCTCCCCAGTTGGCTACCAGCGACAAGCCTCGGGAAATCGCCGGTCTCCAGACATCAGGCCTGTATCATATGTGGACTTGCTGAACCTACCTTACAATCAGCAGGTTGCCCCGGCTGCAAACATAGGGAGCTCGCAATTACGAGGTGCTGTGGGACAGAACGCTTCGCTTCTCGACACCAAGAAGACCCTGGATATGTACAGGGCCAATCTGAAGAAGACACAGGATAGCCCGGTGCAGTATGAGTTTGCACTGTTCATGGTACAGGTGGCACGTGAGATCACAGAAGCTGGACCGACACACGATGACCGCGGCCTGTCGCCTACTGAGCTTCTGAAGGAAGCACGGCAGATCTTACAGCGCTTAGCTGACCGTAGCTACCCGTTTGCGCAATACTATCTCGCGGACGGTTATGCTTCCGGTCTGTTCAACAAGGACAAGCCCGATTACGATCGAGCGTTCCCTCTGTTCGTTGCTGCCAGTAAGCATGGCCACGCCGAGTCCGGTTACCGCGCCGCCCTTTGCTACGAATTTGGCTGGGGATGCCGCAAAGACTACGCCAAAGCTGTGCAATTTTTCCGTGCTGCTGCGTCCAAGAATCACCCTGGAGCCGCTACACGGCTTGGTTCTGCATGCCTCAGAGGCGACATGGGTCTTCAGGGCAAGTACAGGGAGGGTGTAAAGTGGCTGAAGCGTGCATCCGAATCCGCCGACTACCAGTATAACAACGCCCCGTATGAACTTGGCCTCTTGCATGAAACAGGTTACGGAGACGACATCTTCAAAGACGAGGTATACGCGGTTCAGCTCTTCACCCAGGCTGCAGAGCTAGGGCATCCGTCCGCGGCTTTAAAACTAGGAGAGGCTTATGAGCACGGATACCTATGCTGTCCCAAGGATGCTGCTCTCTCGGTCCATTACTATAATTGCGCCGCCCAAGCCGATATACCTGATGCAATGATGAACCTTTGTGCATGGTACATGGTCGGTGCTGAGCCTGTATTGGAGAAGGACGAGAATGAGGCATATGAGTGGGCCAAGAAAGCTGCAGAGCATGGTATGCTATCGTTAATCTTTTCGCGGTCTAATGCTAACCAATCCAGGTCTTCCCAAAGCTGAGTATGCCTGCGGTTATTTCACAGAGATGGGCATCGGTTGCAGACGTGATCCACTCGAAGCGAATGTTTGGTACGTCAAGGCCGCTGGTCACGGCGACGAGAGAGCCAAGCAACGCCTTGCCATCATTCAAGCCGCAGCATCAGGCCAAGTGCACACGCCAACCGGTAATGAGAAAGGCAAGCTCAAGAAGAACGGAAAAGAAGGGAAAGACGGAAAAGAAGGGAAAGACGGAAAAGACGAAAACTGCACAGTGATGTGAGCTTCTTTTCGCAATTCCCCACAAAAGCTACGCATGCATGGAAGCAGCTTGCCCGAAGCACTGCGCTACGATTACGACATGGCGAATCTGCATGGTATGGTTGCATAGAGCGCTTCGGTCTGAGTGCTAGTTTCTTTAGGTTTTTTGGCATCTACGTTGTGTTTTATACCAAGATTCGAGCGGAGTAATGGAAAATTTTAGATGAGCAAATAATGGAAAAATAATAATGGTAATGCTGAACTTGTACAAGAGAGTGGCAGGGTCCACCGTTAACGATGGTAAGAGGCGTGGTTTCTGGTTATGGTGTCCTTGCTTAGGTATGTGTTTCACTGCCCTCGTTTCTTGCAGACTTGTAGAGCCCACCATAGCAACAGCTTTATATGCTCATATAGCTGTTAGACTATCACGTACTCACTATATCATGTATACATGTCCAAGGGTAGCTAAATATATTCTATAATGAAGCTACTACCTGTTCTGCAACATAAGAGGGCGCGTCTCCACAGACAAGACATTTTGAACAGCTTTCATATATCTATAAGATCGAGGCAGGTGATGCACTAATTGACACATCGTTAGCTGCTATTGCAACATTCAGGTCAATCGGCAGCTCGGAAGGTGATGCAGTTGTCTGCTCGCCAATGCGGTTGACCACGGCTTTGTCCGTCTACGGCGTTTACGTCAACCATAGAAGCGTCTTACGTATGTTGAACCCTTCTTTGCCCCCTCACCGCCACAAGGGCATGGCCGACAGCTACCCTCCTCAAGAACTGCAAGTTCCCAAAAACTCCTACAATCATGCTTATCGCAAGCGCCTCTCTACAGCCCTCATCGGAACACTGCTCGGAGTACTCCACAGGGCGTGTAACACACAGGGCGCGCTACTAGTGCTTCTCGTGTAACTGGCTCGCTTGACGTTGTTCGCCCGATCCGTACCTAGCCGGTACTAATCGGGTAACGACAAACAATGGGTCTCAAACGCGTGCAGGGCGTGGAGATGGGACCCCGATATCCCATGACTATGCCGCCGATACGGCAGGAATGATAAAGAGTTTCGGTCTACCCCAACAATTGTCTCTCGTACTACATACTTCTCAACGAAATTAGAGTTCCATCACCCCAACGTTTCAAGTATACGTGAAGCACACCGCATATCAGGCCAATTGACACCCACTTGACGTACACACACTTGTGCTGAAAGCCACGAGCACAATGGCGCCACCATCAGCCATAGAGGTCTCAGCGGTCTCAGACACAACCGGTGTCACTCTACCAAATCCTCTCACTGCTCCTGTGCAGAACAACGATCTGTACGGACGACGAAAGAAGACGGACAGAGCTCAATGGGGCACCGCAGCTCCAGCAAATACAGCAAACTTCAGACTGCGATCACACGACCACAAGCCCAAAGCAAAATCCTGGCAGCGTATGTTCCACTGACTGCTTGATAAGATATGGAAAGCTGACTTCTGTCGCCCAGACTATTTCAGCCATGAAGCGCGGATGAGGAAGGGTAATTCGCTCAAGGAAGCTGCGAAGTATTTAAGCACACCAGGTATTATATCTCTTGGAGGTGGGCTACCGTCAAGTGAATACTTCCCCTTCGAAGAGCTGTCGATCAAGGTCCCTACAGTGGGAAAGTTTTCTGAGGCCGAGACAAAGACCTCAGGCGTCATCATCAAATCAGGCAAGCATGACCTTGCGGAAAACAAATCCACTTTCGACATTGCAACCGCCTTCAACTATGGCCAAGGTGCTGGAGCTGCACAGATGTTGCGTTGGGTGACCGAGCACACTGAGATGGTACACGACCCGCCTTACGAGGACTGGCGATGCACGATGAGCATCGGAAGCACATCTGGGCTCGAAATGGCTCTGAGACTACTTACACGACCTGGTGACGTGATGCTTTCTGAGGAGTACACGTTTTCAGCGGCTGTAGAAACAGCACGTCCAATGGGTGTTCGCGTTTGCGGTATTCCGGTCGATGCCGAAGGTCTACTTCCCGAGGCTATGGACGATATTCTTTCAAGCTGGGATGTCAGCACTCGAGGCTGCCGCAAACCCCATCTCCTCTACACCGTTCCTACAGGCCAGAACCCCACAGGTGCCACGCAGAGCACTGAGCGTCGACGAGCACTGTACAAGGTGTGCCAGAAGCATGACGTCTACATCATTGAAGATGAGCCATACTATTTCCTCCAAATGCAACCGTACACCGGTCCTAACGCCCCAGTCGCCCCACCGCCCAAATCCCATGCCGAGTTCCTGGAAACCCTCGTACCCAGTCTCCTCTCCATGGATACCGACGGTCGCGTCATGCGTCTCGACTCGTTTTCCAAAGTGATCGCGCCCGGGTCCCGCATCGGGTGGGTCACCGCGTCTGCCGAAGTCATCGAAAAGTACCAGAAGCACGCGGACCTGTCGACGCAGAATCCGTCGGGCATATCGCAGCTTGTGCTCTTCAAGCTGCTGGATGAGCACTGGGGCCACCCCGGCTACCTCGACTGGCTGATCTACATCCGCATGGAGTACACCAAGCGCCGCGACGCTATCCTTGCGTCCTGCGCCAAACACCTCCCCCGCGAGGTCATGAGCTGGAATCCGCCCATGGCCGGTATGTTCCATTGGATGCAGGTTGACTTCAGGAAGCACCCAGATTATCCGGCGAAGACCATTGAGACGATCGAGGAGGAGATTTTCCTTAAGGTCATTGATCACGGAGCGTTGGTCATGCGCGGAAGTTGGTTCTATGCGGATACTGAAGAGAGCCATGATACACTGTTCTTCAGGGCGACATATGCAGCGGCGCCGGCGGAGAAGATCGATGAGGGCATTAGGAGATTGGGCGAAGCTGTGAGGGAGGAGTTCAAGCTGGGCAAGGCCAACGGTCACTGAGCGGGAAGTGTTTATAGTGAACGTAGTTTGGTTCAGTTGTAGCAATCGGCATTAGATAGCGTGCATTGAGAAAACTCAACTTGATTCCAATATAGTCCTACAGTACACATGTTTCCCCCTTGCCTGTTCCAATCATGAGCGTGTTCGATGCCCTAGACCCTCGCGCTTCCCCTCTGGAACGCAGTGCCAAAAGTGTACAGTCCAAACGTAGCCAAAAGACTCAGTCCAATGGGCAGCGGCTTGCCGGACTTAATCGCGCGGGGAATCGAGCTGCCAGCAAGTACTATCGAAGCAAGAAGAGCGAGCTCAACACCGTAGGGGTTGCGGTTCTGGATGCGCAGTCCTCCGAGGATGTAGAGCAGTCCGACGGTGACGCCTGCTGCGACGGAGGGAATTGATCCGGTACGGATGTATCCTGTGATACCTCCACCAGCAGTGAGAGCACCGAGAATGAGAGCGATATTTGAGAGAGACTGTGTGTTGTTAGTATGCATCGCAATTCGACCGGTGTGATTGGGTTGAGAGCCGGAGGAAGCTCTCAGAGGTCCTTACCATGGTTGTGATGGACGTTCAGCGACTGTGGTCAGCGATATCGAAACTATGGGCGAAACTGAAGCTTGAGTTACAGTTTAGTATCGTGTCCAAGGGAGGAAGCTGCGGAACTCCGCAAGCTGACAGATGACGGTACTTAGCTATGGTGTTGCGGGGAGCTTCGGACTGCCGATGATGCCGACCTGCAACCCTGCCGCCCGGGGCTTACGAATGTGGCCTCAACGTGCGTACGTAGCTCCAGCAAGCTCAACACCAATCCTCGCAACTCAATCCATTGTCGCCCGCTGCACGCCTCAGCTCGACTAGACTTCACAATGCCGCCCAAGCAACGCACAGTAGCCCCCCAGACCGTCCCCGGCACGCCCTACGCGCCCGCGAAACCAAAGACTGGAAACAACGCGCAAGACATCGTGCAGGGAGTATGGAGCCGCTACGTTGAGAAGACCACACAACGCACGAAGCTGCTCGACAGCTTCATGCTGTTCCTGGTCGTCGTTGGCGCCCTGCAATTCCTCTACGTCGTAGTCGTTGGCAACTTTGTACGTTCAGCCGCATACTCCTAGACCTTGCATGCAACGGCGCAATCGCAGAACTAGGTGCTAACGTAAGAACAGCCCTTCAATGCGTTCCTGTCTGGCTTCAGCGCCTGCGTCGGCCAATTCGTCCTCACAGCTTCCCTCCGCATGCAGACCAACCCCGAGAACAAGGCCGACTTCGAGAGCATTTCGCACGAGCGGGCGTTTGCTGACTTTGTGTTTGGGAGCTTGCTGTTGCACTTCTTCTGTGTCAACTTCATCAACTGAGCGATGGAATACAAGAGAAGCATGGATTTGAGTGTCGGGCATTCTGGCGTGGGCAGACAAAGTTTGTACAGGCCAGGGAATGAATGGTGTTATGGCGCAATGAATGCATTGTACAAAAGGTTGCTAGTAAAAGACTCGAAGTAGGGAGGACTCGCATGGAAGAGGTACTCTTGAGTAACCGAGAAGCAGCCAGCACGGCTCGAGTGCGCAGAAGAACCACAAGGTAGCGGCTGCCAAATACCCATCAATGCAGCGCAGTTCCCACCACTGGCAAAGACCCTAGGCTGACATATAGCACCTTTGTTCGCGCTGTACTTGCTCTGAACGTGTTGCACGTCGCCCCTTCCCTGCCTACTGTCACTACGCGTGATAGCGCGCTTTTCGCGACGCGTCTCACTTCGCTCACCCACATAGCGGCCTCTTCCAGGCCCACACCTCTCTTCCACCATTGACACCTTTCATCATGGCAGGGCCGTCTGATGAAGCCGGTGAGGATTCGACTCCCCTTTCGAGTCCTCCTCGCTCGTTCAACTATGCCTTCCGCGAAGACTCCTATTACACTGACGATCAATCTGACGGCTGTTTCGGAGGCGATCATGGTGCCACAAATGCCTTCACAGACACTAATGAATCAGACACAGATGAAGAATTTGAGTCGGATGGCCCTCACGAGCAGCACTGCACTCTCCACGTCGATTCATTAGCAACACACTGCAATGCTCTGACACAGACTCGCCAGAAGTGCAGCCGCAAGGCCAAGGTCTTCACCACAGGCTTCTATCCAGTATGTGGAACCCACAACAGATACTGGTCAATGAAGAAAGCGGGCAAATGCCAAGCTATGGAGGAGTGTGGGCGGATGTGTGGCCGACTCGCACCACATTCGCCTCCATACCACCTTTGCGTCAAACACGAGAAAGGGACCAGTACGCTCCCGTGCGGCATTATGGAACTTCCCACCGAACTACTTCTCATGATCTTTCGGTATCTATTTCCAAAGACCGTCGACAAGAATGGTCTTTGCCGCCACACCGGAGCCGTCTTGAGTGTCAATCGAACGTTCCACCTGGCAGCTTCCTCCATTGTCTACAACGAGCTTGAGTTCGAGGCTCATATCGATCGTTCTTACATCAAGTTTCTTGGAAGGACCTGGAACACGAACGGTGATGACAAGTACTCCGACATCAACAAAGCTCTGTGTCAAGCAGGTGCACAGCGGATTCGCAAGCTCTGTGTTGATGTAAGATTCGCAATCAGCCACTTCAAAATCAAGGGCATTGGTTCGTTTGGTCTCAGCGCCGAAGACTACGAACTCTACCAGGTGCGGGACACTGTGCAAAAATTCGTCGACATGCTCTCGCCTGCAACAGAGGACCAGTCCGCCACCAACCATTCAAGCCTCAAGCAGGTGGAAGTTCGACCAGCTCCTGGGCTTTCGTATAACTGGCAATCGGATGAGGCTGTTGCTGCGATATTCTTCGTCGTGGAGCCGTTTGTGGCGCTGGGCCCGATTGAAACTCCTGCACTCCTGCATTGTCCTAGACCGGCAGCCTGGCATAGTCGGATTCAGTTGCTGGCGGATACGATTGGCAACATTCATAAGGACGAGGCATATCGCCGGCTTCGTAAGATCTGGTTGAGATTCATGAGGGATAAGCTGAGTACACCCAACCATGTGCGACGAGGAGGGAAGTCGGAAATTCTCATCACCCGTGAGTATAAAAAGATCGAGGAGCTTCAAGCGCTTATACACAAGCATGAACTGGGTAAGTGTCCGATGTTCTGAGAGGCACAGATCCACCCACTGACTTGCTTTTAGCCACAAATACCAAGCACGGTTGGATGTCAAGTTCTTTCCAGGGCATAGAACGAGCTCTACATATCGCCCGCATAATCAACGCCAACGTCTGCAATGGTGCTAGCGGAGACCTTGAGCGAATGGGGCAAATTCGCGAAGCTATAACGAAGCGATGGGTCAACGCGCACCGCCAGCAGCAGCGCTCAATTTCTGCAATTGCGACTTGCATTAGCAGCATGTACCACTCCAGCTCAGAAGACCCAACAAAGAGCTACCCAGATGCTTTCGAAGTCGAGACGCTCGATTTGATTGAGACAAACAAGCCTGTCGATGTGGCATGGAGGGAGCTGGGTCAGCCAGATAATGCGCCTGGACTCATGGAGCGTGGTGTGACATACACCGAGGATTCTTTCAGGATCCATATTCGTAAGGGCGATGAAGAGTGTACGCGACTGAAGACGCCATCGATGGTTCGCCAGTTGAGGATGCTCAAGAGAAGGTGAGCAAGCAACATGATACAAGCCGTGCAGATTGGTGAAGCAGGGGGAATACAGAAGCGCTGATTAGCACCACGTGCGGTAGTTTGATACAAGTATGTATTCGTCGGAACATTTTAGCTACAGAAACATATACAAGAAGAATTTCCAAAAATGATATGTCTTGTGGTCATAATCGTATCTCGAGTCGCGAGTTTTACTTTTGCCTCCTGCGCATACCAACTTCGAGACCCAATGGTTTCCTCAAGAAGCCTTCTCTTGTCTCCATCTCACCCTGCCTTAGCTCAAACTCGTATCTCTTGAACACAGTGCACACGATGAGAGCCAGCTCCATCTCCGCAACGTTCCTACCAACACACGCCCTGGGTCCGTAGCTGAAGGGAATGAAGGCAGCTTTCTGCTTCTCGGTAACTTTCTCCCAACGCTCTGGTCGGAACGTATCCGCATCCGGGCCCCAGATCTCCTTCGAGTGGTGAATCGTGTACGCGGGAACAGAGAGCACGGTGCCCTGGGGGAAGTGGCGGCCGTTGATCGTCAGACCGGGACCCGGGGGAATCACGCGGGGCAGGCCGAGCGAGGACGTGCTGTGGATGCGCATCGTCTCCTTGATGACGTTGTCGACGTACGTCAGATCCTTGATCGCGGCGTACGTCGGCACGTCGTCGCTGGGCAGCGCGTTGTCGAGCTCCTGCTGCAGTTTGCGGATGACGTCCGGGTGCTGCAGGCAGTGGAATAGCAGGGCGCAGGACGTGTTCGAGGTCGTGTCGGAGCCGGCAATGAGCTGGGTGAGTGCCTCGGCGGTGAGCTCCTCGCGGCCCAGCTTGTTGCCGCTCTCGTCGCGGCCTTCCATGAGGCGCGCGAGCAGGTCGACGCGGTCGGTGTCTGGTCGGGCGAGGCGCTCGTTTACACGGGCGACGGCGATGCCGGCGAGGTTCTCGATGGCTTTCATGCCCTGGCTGAAGAAGGGATCCGGGAAGTACTTTGCGTAGGGCTTGATTTGCGGGAGGATGCCAACGGTTCTGAGCGGAAGATTAGTTGTGGTCCGAAAGCGCTTGGAGGGAGATTCCAACATACCCAGAGACTTCGCCCCTGCGGTTCAGGACCTCAATAGCAGGCGCAAATGTAGGCTCAGCATCAGGCGTCTTCCTAACCTCAGCGACATCCTTCCCTTTTACGAGCATGCCAAATGGGGCACCGAACGCCAGATCGCCAATGACGTCGAAAGCCAGGTAGTTGAACCAGTTCAGGGCGTCCATCTGGTACCAGCCGCCCTGCTTGGAGGCCGCGCGCTTGTCCCATTGATTCTGCAGCTCCTCGAGATTGTGGTGGATGTATTGTTCGAATTGGAGGACTGACTTGGCCGAGAAAGTGTGCGAAACAGTCTTGCGCTTGCGAGTGTGCTCGGCACGGTCGCGGGTGTTGAAGAGGCCGCGGCGGATCGAAACGAAGGCGTCGTAGTATTCGCTAGACGATGTCAATTGCGGCACGTTTAGTCATGGCTTTCTTCTTACCTCTTCAGCATGCCGTTGCCGTGGCCGTAGATGATGGGGATCGCATCGGCGTCTGCGATGCTAACATGGTGCGGTTGAATCCTAACCATCTTTCCGAGTCTCTTGTGCGCATCGTCGACAGCTAGATACCGCTTTCCTTGACGGGCTTGGAGGAGGAGCCATAGGTTTGTGAAGGCTGCCGGAAAAGGTGCAGGGACGTCCTTGATCTGCCAATTGCGAATATAAGGCAGAATGTAGTAGAGGACTGGGAGAAGGATGAGGGTATATGGCGTAAGGAAGATCGTAAGAAACATTGTGAAGGTTGTGAGGAGGGAAGAGACAAGATCGAGGACCGCACTTGTATAAGAGGAGTCGTCGCGCAAACGGAAGAGCACACCTTTGACGTAACCGCTTCAGCTCGATATGTTGATGCTCACTTCGACCTGGCGACGCGCCTTCCTTATATCCTGATTCCACCCACTGTCAGCTCCTCCAGGTCTAAAGCTCCAAGCCCCGACCTGGTCCAACATGCAGAAAACATGCTGGTAACGAGCATGCTTCCGACGACACCCAGGACCCGCACGAGACCGTTCAAGCATCGGCCGGCCGTCCTCGTCGTGGGGCGGACGAGTATCGTCCAATCAGACCCTTCTCCAATCGACGTTGCGAAGCCGATTCCAGGCTCCGGGACGCTGAAGGCTGGGCGTGGATACCCCGCAGTCCGAGTTTCCCCCGCCATTGGGATCCATCCTTCGGCTGCCGTCGTCTCGTGCTGCTCCCGATTAGGACGCGCGATTGACCGAGTCTTGTGCGCTGCACTGGCCAGAGTGGTAACCAGGGGTTGTGGGGTTGACGCAACTATGTGGAGTGTAAGATTGCCGACTCTCTGTTCCGTGAGCCTCAAAACGTCAATGCAGCGGCCATTGAATGTTGTGCATCGTAAGCGTCTCGGGAGCAGTGCGATTGGATAGCTTGTGCTCATCACATGTGATTTGTGATGATCATTTGTACACATCTAAGCAAATGCTACCACTTGGTTGGCACACTCAGAGGACTTCACGTCGGGCCAAACACCAACTTTTCGAGTAGGATGGCAGACAAATATACTATAGGTGAAGAGGGTCAGAAAGATGAAATTGCCAATAACGCAATAGGGACGTATGCCGTCGCACGTCAGCAGCCCGTTGAACAACAGCGTGAAACATTGATGATAAGGGTGTACAGGGTACTGTATTAGGGAATAAGCTCGTCTCTAACTAATCAAACGAAGCATCGTTAAGCTCACTACACTAACAAAAGAAAAGTGAGCCAACTCGCAACTGTCAACTCGAATGTGGCCTTTACGTGCCGTGGTATCATGCCCTAAAGTCATATCTCCATCTACATATCATCATCTTCAAAGAAGTTCAAGATGGCTTTGATAGCCATTGGGCCCAGCCCGTGTGGTGGGTAGCAAATGTAGCTCGGGTCATCGACCGCGCCCAGCTTCTCACGGAACTCAGTCTTGTTGGTAAGCTTGAGCTCGGTTGCAATCGCGTGGTATGCGCGGCTGAGCACCTTGACGCGCGTGCCCTTGACGTTGTGGCCAGGTGTGAATTTGGAGCTAGCTCCTCCGCCGAAGGTCACAGACTCGGCACCAGAAGCAGCGACCGCTTTGAGTGCATGGGTAACAATGTACTCAATCGATCCAGAAGGCGCATTGGGGAAGTCAAGCGAGTACTTGACCTGCCAGCCGTGGTCAGGAGACAGCTGTGCCATCGCAACGAAAGCAGCAATGGTGCCATCCGGCGTCTGTGCGATGTGATACTGGCGGTGCTCCTCGTCCTGCCATGGGTGGATGTTGGTCAAGTGCACTTGGCGACCCTTGCGGCCCTTCAACCAGTCCTCAACACGAGCATCAACCTGCTTCTTGACCTCTGGTGGTGGCGGCGTGCCAATCGCGTAGTCGCTGATCTTGACGCCTTCCTTCTCAGCGTGACGAATCTTACGCTGGACATCAGCGTCCTTTTCTGCAGGGTTATGGGCTGGGTCCACACGTTGCTCGCCGGTGACTGAGAATGTCCGCCAGTTGAACTTTGTGGCAAGCACCTCCTCTACAGGAGCACCAACGAGAAGCCAAAGTGGCTTGAGGTTGCGCTCCTTCTTGATGTACTTGAGGTATCCAGTCATTGTCTTCAGATACTGAGACTCGTGACAAAGAGGGTCACCAACAGTGATGGCAAAGCCGTCCTGAGGCACAAAGCCGACTGCTGCACCAGTGTTCTGGTCACGCCAAATCTCTGTGCGAGGCTCCAGCCACGATGTGTTGGTTGCATCGCCGTAGTTGGCAATGAGCTGTTCAATGCGTTGCAGATCGATCTTGGCCAGCACGCGGTCTTGTCCCTCCCAAGGTGGATGCATAGTGCTAGCCTCCGGGTGGCGCAGCTGCTTGATAACAGGCTTCTCAGGCAAGCTCTTGGGGTCGCGAGGAAACATTGATGCGTGACGGATGTTTCCGAGGTTAAGCAGAAGCATAAGGATACGCTCCAGACCAATACCACCGCCGCCATGAGGAGGTGCTCCCCATTGAAAGCCCTGGATGTACTCCTCCATGGTGCTAGGGTCCATCTTCAGCTTGGACATCTTGTCAAGCAGCACTCTGGAGTCGTGGATACGTTGTCCACCACTGAGGATTTCCTGACCACGGCAGAAGATGTCGAAAGAGTTCGTGAGTTCAGGGTTATTAGGGTCTACCATGGCGTAAAAAGGTCGCGCGTTGGCCGGGAACTTGTCCAAGACATAATAGTCGGTACCGAGCTTCTGCTTGATGACACGGCCGAGTTGAACTTCATCCCGGGTACCTAGGTCTTCGTTCTCGTCCAGCGGGTTACCGTTGTCATCTCTCCACCCTGACTCGTTGAGCATACGCACAGCCTCAGCGAAAGGAATGATGGGGGTCTGGTCCAGCCAGACCAAGTCCTCATGAGGGAAGTGCTTCTTGACAGCCTCGATCTCTGGACGGTACCGCTCGTAGATACCCTTGAAGATTGCCTTGAACGTGCGATCAAGGACACGGAGGACTTCATGGTAGTGCTCGTCGATTTGCATCTCGAGATCGAGACCGGTGTACTCTGTCAAGTGGCGGTATGTGTTACTGTTCTCGGCACGGAACACGGGGCCGATCTCGTACACCCTGCCGAAATCCGCGGAGATGGCCATCTGCTTCGCCAGTTGTGGACTTTGGGCAAGGAAAGCACCGCGAGTGAAGTACTCAACCTTGAAGACACTAGCACCAGACTCGGTAGCACCACCCTGCAGTTTGGGTGTGTGAATTTCGATGAAGCCTTGTTCGTCCAAAGCCGTACGGAAGAGATTGCAGATACCAGATTGAATCCGGAAGATACCTTGGGATGCTGTTGATCGTAGATCGATAACACGGTTGTTCAAGCGCGTCCTGTCTGCAATCCTGACGCGGTTGTGTCCTTCTTTGTGCTCGGCCGCAGCAATCTCGGCGTCGACATCGGCTTGTGTAACTTCGGCCTCGTATACATTGAAGGGAAGGTTCTCGGAGACTGCAGCTTCCACGTGCAGTGCGTGCACGGAGATTTCGACGTCGTGGAGAGAAGTTCCAGTAACCTCACCCTGCTTTGAGTTGGGTGCCTGTAAGATACCCTTGACAAGAACGACGCTCTCAACCTCGAGGTGTTCTGCCCAGTACAACATGTACTTGGAGATGTCTGCGTGCTCCATGAGCACACCCTGAATAGTGGCGAGCTGCTGACGGAACACAAAGAAGACGAACTTGGAGCTCATCTTGCGCAGGTGGTGGATACGAGCGCGGAAGATAACCTCCTTGCCAACATCGGCCGCCGTGAAGTCTTGGATCTTGTGGCGCTGTTCGTGCTTCCACTCACCAGCATAGCTGTTTGGGGGAACAAGGCCGTATTTCGCTTTCTGTTCGGGAGTTAACTCAGCGTTGGCTTGCTCCTCCATCTCCTTCCTTCTCTTCTCAATCTCCGCGTCCTTTTCTAAGTTCTGCTTGTGGCGCTCCTCCTGCTGCGCGTGCTTCTCGTGTTTACGCAGCTGGTTGCGAGACATGGGCTCCCCCTCGCGATTGATGGGAGTGCCATCGTCACTGGAGGTATCATTAAGGTGAAGCTTTTCCTTGACGACACGCATGGGGCTGCCAAGTGAGGCGCTTCGCTCATGGTGACGGTCCTTGGAGCCAGATCGACTAGGGCTGTGTGTTGCGCGGTGGAAGACGCCAGTCATGGACTTGCGGGGGGGCCCGCCGACACGATCGAGGCTTGACCGACTATCCGTAGGAGAAACGATCTGGTCGCGCTTCATCTCACCACTGGGCCTGTGGAAGATGCCAGAAGAGCGCGGCGTAGCTGCGGGAGACTGGGCTCTACCGTTAGCAGATACGCCTACTGGTGACTTTGTTCCGGTCGGCGACTTGAGGCTGTTCTCCTCCCCGGAGCCATGGTCACTGTGGCCTGGCTTGAGCTTCTCAAGCGCTTTCTTTAGTGCGGTTGGCATTGTTGTGTTCGTTGTGTCGAAGCTGTGCCCGGATCGCGTGTGGAGAGACTACCAATTCGCAAGGCGGGGCAAGCCGACGGAATGGAGGGGCAAGGACGTAGGGAAGAGGTCGGTTTGGAAAACGCGATCTTTGTGGGGAGTACGAAAAGATAATAAGGGCCTGATGTATCAATCGGAGAAGCCGGAACCGTAGTACCGCCGGGTTCCTTCTGATCGCGAATGCGGTGCTGGCTTCTTTCTTGCTGCACTCGGTATGACGCAGTTTGTGCACCCCGGAAGGTGTGGCGCGTGCGTTCCGAATGCGTCTCTAGCGTTGGAAAGCTTGTCAGGCCGCGCCCGAGAAATCTATGAACAGACCGCGGATGCGTCGGTATGACGTTTGTTTGATATCCGGTAAGATCCTTCGACTGTGATACGGGGGCAACCGATGAGATTGGGGAAGAGGTCGGTCAGCGTGAGCCTTTTGTCGCGAGTCCTTTAACAGGTCTTCAGCCCTCAAGGCCTTAGGACTTCTCAATGGCCTTTGACCATGCTGACGCATTGGCTACTGCATTGTCACATCCGACTGCTTGTGGCAACGATTACCTACCCACATGCTGAAGCACACTGAAGCTTTCCCAAGCCCAGCTGACAGGACCCCACTTCGAGCAGGTTGGGCCAAGCTGAGCTCACCAATCGCGCTTGATGAAACCTCTGACTGCCTCGTTGTGGACATCGTCGTGCAGAGCGGTCAGCCGTGCATAATCTGGAGGCCTCGAACGAATCACGATTACGCACAACAAGACGAGCTTCGATCCCTCGATTTGCCGACTCTTGCATGACAAAAGAAAGGTGGGTTCCAAATGCCAAAGGCCTGTTTGTCGATTTTCAGGTATTTCCCCTTGTCGCAACATGGCATTTCGCATGCTTATCACAAAAGCATGCATTTACCGGTAGTAAATCTTGTTGATGTACATGTCTAGACCAGTAGATCTTCATTAGGACGCCACACATGGAAATCACTTTCTTGTTGCTGAAAAGCGGGCTAACAAGTCCTCAATACCTAACTCTGGCCCCGAGGGAGCGTGTAGTTAGGAGAGAGGCTTGTAATTCGGTAGATATACCAGAAGACTACATAATATTTACAAGAGAAATAAGATAGCCTGGGGGTAGCTGAGGTATTCCTGGTTATGCAATGTACACCAAAACTGACTGTGCTCATAACCCACCCCTTTCCGTCTGCAAGATGAGAGGCCCCATGACCACTGGTGTCGCAACTTCGTCATAGTAATTCCCTTCAGTAGATCTTCGCTCATTGGCTCTTTTACGAAACGAGAACAGGAAATGACTTGCTAAGGCCCCTGTGATCATCGGCGACGTGTCTAGTCGCAGCTTCTGTTCCTGCGACGATATTTTGCTTGTCCTGCATTGCAGCTTACTGCCTCTCAGGGTACGCTAGATTCGCAGCATCCTCCTCAGTACTGAAACCCCCCCAGTGCTCAAACTCGTCTGCGAACTTGACTGCCGCCTTCTCGAAGTACTGCGAGTCGTCACCCCAGGTCTCTTTGATTGCTTTCATACAACGTAAAGCTATGTGGGGTTAGTGGGGCATCTGGGGAAATCTTGCGTGTGGTAATACCTTTGACGTAGTGTGCGTCTGTTGATTCAGACGAGTCGAGCGCCTTGTGTACAACAAACTTCCAGTCTCGTCCTTCGAGCTCGTACTTCTCGACGAGGGTGGGATCGATCCCAGGTCTTGTTTGCGCAATGTATACAGCTAACGTGAAAAGCCACCACTGTCGTACTAGGCTCACGTGGAACTTTGCTGGGATCAATGGGAGCAATACGCGGACTGCGTGTGACGAGGTAAGGATATGCACGAAGAAGAAATCGAACTTCGTGTTGTCAGACGCCTCTGTGCCCATCAATATCGAGACCGCGAGTTCCTGCGACTGTCGAAACGCCGCCTGTGGATCTGACAACTCCCATGCATTCCAATATTCTAGGAACGCTTCTTCTTGCTTTTCCAATACCTTCGAGATATCTCCGCTGCGATGCGGATATAACCCGTCAAAGCGGTTATCCACGCGTACTTTCTCTAAGATCTCATGGAGGTTCCCGCTGCGATGGGGACTCGGCTTTGTGTACGATGGGTCGTCGAGGTAGTTGTGGAGAGGGCTGTAGAAACATGCACCGAGAGCTAGCGCCTCAATTGCAACGGTCGTCGATCCGAGTTCGTACGCGTAGCCAAGGTGGATAAGAGGATGTGCGAGTCCGGAGATCATGCCATTGATGAGCGGTCTCTTCCCACTCAATAGAAACTCTTCCAGCACCAGCTCAATATTGTATTGTCTGAACACAAGCTGATCCTCGAAAAAGTCCACGAACGCGCGTTGGTACCTGAGGAAGGTCAGCGTAAGCCGGCTGCCTCTATGGTAAAACCCACTCTCGCTTGCCGAGGAAATCTCTCCAGTCATCGCTGGTGATCTCCGCCGGTGCATCATGCCATGGCTCTAGACCCTCAGCTTCCTTCTCATAAATGAGATTCAGGTGCTCTGCCGTGCCTCCAAGGATGTACGCGGATCCCAGGATCTGTTCTGCGAGCTTAGCAGCTACCTTCAGCCTTGATGGGCATTGGAGCAGCATACGTGCGGCGTGTGATTATGGAAACGCAGATCGTGATATATGATCGAGTAATTCGCATGGTTCGCCTTTATTAAGTGCTTCAAGGTTCGCGAGCGCTTCTCGGCGGCGGTCTCAATGTCGTGGACTTCGACAGAGGGAATGTCGATTGCTTGGTGATTCCCGCCTCCTCCAGTGAGGAATGCTGGTAGAGCTATTCTAGGCAGGGTGAACATAGTGAGGAGTTGTCGGGTGTGTTCTGTCGCTTGAAGCTGGGCTTGAAGCAATACAATGCAATTGCGTGCGGGGAGCAGCTCCATCATAACTCGGGCGCAGATCGCTCGATTGGGCATGACGTGACGCTTGGTTCGGATCATTACCGTGACCTCGCCCCGCTCGCAACCATTACCATTAGTGGTTGAGCTCCATCAAATAGGCGTGTGTACGGTCCTGTGCATATTTCGCAACAGAGGCTGTTTACTGCAATTCTCACGAACAGCTTTCGCAAGAACCCGGGCGAACGCACCGTGAAAACTCACCAGATGCTATTGAGGTGAGCTCTTACAGTATGACAGGGGTAAGTAGTTAATGTGTCACAAGACTTCGCAGCAGCTAACTGTCAACAAAACATAACCTATAGATGTATACAACATATTTCAGCTTCAATGTTAGCACTTTATTGTTTAGTCTAGTGTGCTTCACTATCACTTGCAGAGAGGTGCTGCTAGAAGAAGAATATTCAAGGATCTACGTTGATTACTTACCCCTGCTATACTGTAGGTCCAATTTGTCGCATGACAGTCAACTTGCAACTGAGACATCACATCCAGGAGCATGTTGACATATTGTCTAGTTGGCTTTCTATCTCTGAGCAATACCACGGCGACAACTTGACATATCGAACCTAACAAAATGCCCAAGCTACATTTCATGGCAGTGGTATAACGCTTAGTATTCGCCCTCCTCGACCTCGTCCTCCAGAGAATCGCTGGCAACCTCCTCCTGCTTTTGTTAGCTGTGCTTAAGGTTTTGCGGTGGATGGGGGCGATTACATAGTCTTTCTCGAGTGCTGCCAAATCCTCGCGAGCTTCGGAGAATTCTCCTTCCTCCATACCCTCACCAACGTACCAATGGACGAAAGCACGCTTGGAGTACATGAGATCGAACTTGTGGTCGAGACGCGACCAGGCCTCCGCAATGGCGGTGGTGTTGCTGAGCATAGAAACGCTTCGGTCGACAGCGGCGAGCTCGCTTCCGGGAACGCTGATGGGCTTGGTGTAGTTGATTCCGAGCTTGAAACCGGTGGGGCACCACTCGACCAAGTTGAAGGAAGACTTGGCCTTGAGCGCACCGGCGGCAGCAGTGCAGTCGCGAGGAACGATGTCACCACGGTACAGAAGGGCAACAGCCATGTACTTTCCGTTGCGTGGGTCGCAAACGACCATCTGGTTGTTGGGCTCAAAGCCTGAAATGATCAGTCAGCATTGCGGGAAGGCGATTCATTGGAGAACTTACACTGGAAGGTAAGGTCGCTGACCTTGAAGCTCTCGTGAGAACTCTTCTTGGCTGAGATGACGGGTGCGTAGCTGATGAGAGGGTAATGGATACGCGGGTAAGGCACAAGGTTCGTCTGGAATTCGTTCAGATCAACGTTGAGCGCACCATCAAAGCGCAGGGAAGAGGTGATAGAGCTGACGACCTGGGCGATCAGACGGTTGAGGTGCTCGTAGTTGGGCCTAGGAATATCCAGGCTGCGACGGCAGATGTCGTAAACCGCTTCGTTGTCAACAAGGAATGTGCAATCGGCGTTCTCGATGGTGCTGTGAGTTGAGAGGACGGCGTTGTAGGGCTCAACGACGGAGGTGGAGACTCGTGGAGCAGGGTAAACGGCAAACTCGAGCTTGCACTTCTTGCCGTAGTCGGTGGAAAGGCGCTCGAGGAGTAGAGCACCGAACCCGGAACCTGTACCTCCACCGAACGAGTGGAAGATGAGGAAACCCTGAAGCGAGGAGCAGTTGTCTGACGATCATCAGTACAAATTGTGATGCAACGTGGTACCCAGATACGTACCGGCGACGCGGCGGATCTTGTCAATAACACCGTCAACCATCTCCTTGCCAATTGTGTAGTGGCCACGAGCATCTGATACATGTCAGCGCTGTGTGTTGACGAACAAACTCCAGGAAACACACAGTTGTTGGCAGCATCCTCCTTGCCGCTGACCAACAGCTCAGGGTGGAACAGCTGGCGGTAGGGACCCGTGCGGATCTCATCGATGGGCTACGGCCATTAGCTTGCAGCTACGCAGCATGTACTGTGCAACGTACAGAAGGGTCCAGGTCGACGAAGATGGAGCGAGGGACGTATTTGCCGTTGCCAGTCTCCGTGAAGAAGGTCTCGAACGAGCCGCCCTCGTTGAGGTGCTTCGCATCGGGATCCGGGCGACCATCAGCCTTGAGACCGTGCTCGAGAAGGTACCTGAGGAGGCAGGGTTAGCTGTCGAGCTTCGTGATGGTGAACGTGTCGGGTTGCAAGACGTACAGCTCCCAGGCGCTGTTACCGAGCTGGGTACCGGCCTGGCCGATGTGGAGGTGGCAGATCTGCAGAGTTGGATGTTAGCACCTTGTGCTGAATGCCGTACGCAGCCTCAATCCGCGACAATGTCAGGGCCATTGGCGATGAACGCGACTCCTCGGTCCTCGGCTAGCTCACGCATGTTGTGCGGCGAGCAAGCGGAGCTCTCGTCTCGTCTCAGGCGCGTAGGAGGGGTGTTGTCGTTGAACAGGCAGACGTGCCCGGGGCTTGCAACGCGGGCAGACGTACCTCTCCTCGCATGGTGGATGGTCGACGCTGTATCAAACAGACTGGAGCAATGGGTTCAAGGTCGGAGCCAGGGAGTTAATTGAGAATCTCTGAAGTCGTTCGCTCGTTGTCTCACCGCCAGAAGCCCCCACTTTCTGCAGGGGCGTGTCGCGCTAGCTTTGTTTACGCGACAAGCGCTCCTTTCCATCTTAGTCTAGACCAGATTCAGGGTGCGTCCGTATCGAGACAGCTGCCCAGATCATTTCCAGCGATGAGCAGAATGCTTTAACGGGCCGTGGCTACTGCCATTACCGCTGCGATTCATGCAAACTAGGCACGGCTGCAACGTCCCGCCGAAAGCTATGTTGAACAGCAATTGCGCCAGCTGGGCCGTCAGGGTCTCCTCTCCCGCAGTCGCTACCATTCTTCGACATACCTAGGTAGTCAATGGAGCTCGCACCATTTAAAAAGTTGGCAACTCAGTATTAAGTAACTTAGCGTCACTCTTTCAATACCTCCTAGATGATCAAGACTACCTGTCACAGATGAATGCGATATTCTGAGAACGTTCCAATCAATCCGTGTATCTATGATCGTCCCTATGCACGCTCTGCGATGCGAACTTCAGAAAGCTGAAGTGCATGACCATGGCGCACTGCCCTTGGTCTGCTATGTTGTATCGACTGCAAATCTACCACGCTATAGCTTGAGCCCTCAGTCCCAGCAGTCTATATTAAGAAAGCAAACAATAAGTCAAATCACAAACAGACTAGTGGAATCGTCTCATCTCGATGTTATCGGTCCGTGACCGTGCTGGAGCAGCAAAGCTTCTCTCTGAGGTGATGGAATTGACCTGGTTCAGAGCACCAGATGATGTTGTCGCTCGAGGTTCGTCACTCGACCTTACAGCCCTGGGGCTGACCAGTCCAGTACGCGGATCGAGCTTCTCCGTACCACCCGGTGTGCTGTCGTAGTCGCCCTCAGGTATGTTGGCCATCCCGGTCTCTTCGTCGCCACCACGGCTACGGCTGAAAAACCTATTCCTGTGGTTGCGCTCTCGCGCTCCCAGGCTGCTATTCGTACCGACACGCTGGATGCCTGTGGAGTGGGCCGTGTCTTGAGACGAGCGCGCTCGATCCTGTGAGCGTGATGGCGAGGTCACTCTCACAACGGTAGCGCGTTGACGGGCCGCAACGTCACGGTCGTCTAGAACATCACCGCTGGGGTCGTCAATCATTCCCTTCATGCCCAGCGAAAAGTCCACACGTTTGCCCATTGCGGCTATTGATTCTCCACGGGACTGCCCGGGTTGGCGTAAGATGGAGCCACGGCGACCAGGCCCCGCAGCGTGATTGGCATCGTTGGAGCCATCTACTGCTGGCACGAAAGGCGCGTCTTGACTTTGGTTGTTGATGTGTCCACTCGGATTGTCGGGGTGGCCATTCTGCCCCATACCAGGCGTAGGGTTGTTCTGGAGATTCTGTAGGTATACGGGGAACGACTCCTTCTGTCCAGGGTAGCGCATGCGAGGTCCTTCGATGCCACACTCCTGGATAGACATTGTAAGCGCGCAGATAAACTTGTTACGGCGCTGTAGACGTAACAACTCGTTCTGCCAATTTGACTTGTAGAAGAACACGACGTTCATTTCGAGCCAGTGAACCTCTTTGACTGCTCTCAGTTCAGTCAAAATGTTAGTCTGATACTCCCGCTTCTCTGACGTAACGAATTCGAGTAGCATAGCGCGGAGATTCTCAATCTGTTCGAGCGTGGTTCCAAACTTGATAATGATAGGTACAGCTTCGGCGAGAGCTCCAGATCGGCGGTGGTTAAGAATGAACAGCGTGTTCAGGTAACTGTTTGGTGCTTGAACGACGTGGCCTTGCATCTTCTTGAACTCGGTGTAGAAGAGTGCTATCTCTTTGACGAAGTAGTCATCACCGAGTCCGAGGTCACCGCTGTTACCGTAAATCTGCACACGATCGCCAACATCGTACGGATGTTTGATGAAGACAAAGATGCACGATTGAAGAAACCTAGCTATGTGTCAGCACTACGATAGATCATCCGAGAGTCTTTCTGTCCACTTACTCTTGCGCGGTGGCAGAGAACAGCCATGACAGAGCCAAAAGAGTTGAGCCAGCGGATGTGAGCACACCAGATGCTGATGTTGAGATCAACGAAATGAAGACGATGATTGTGATGATAAGCACGATGAACATGAAAACATCGTCAAGCTTTCCGACGACACTATCAAGATCCTTCAGCGATGCGGTGATGGACTTGCGTTCACGGCCGATTTCGACACACACCGCCTCCAGTTCTTCCATGGAAATGTCGCCGTTCATGTCTTTGTCAAACATAGAGAAAGCAGCATCTGCTTCCTCGTCGCTCTCGAAGGCGTTCTTGAGGTCGTCAGAGTGTACTGTCTCGGTGTCGGGTCGTGCGAAGGTCCGGTACAAACGACGGGCAAGAACTTGTCCACCGCTGTTGGTGCTGAGGAGTTGAATGACAACTTGACTAGGGTGGTTGCTCGATGTGACCTGACGGCCAGTAAAATCACCAGCAACCTTTCCTGCAATGTCTCCAAACTTGCTGAAGCCCTCCTTGATATTCTTTTGAGCCTCACCCATCAATTGACCTGGAGTACGTGCGCCGGATGGTCCTTGATCATTGTGCTCGAATTCAGAGTCCTCCATAGCAATCTTTTGTTTCGAGTACGTATAAAGCTTAACCAGACTGCCGATTTGAAACTTATTCAGTTCGATGCGGTCTTGGTAGGTTCGAAGATGGAAACTGATGGCGATGAGCTGGATAATGATCTTCTCGACGAAGTTTAGGACGAAGCCAACGAAGAATGAAACAAGCACCTTGTTCATCGTTTTTTGCCATGGCTGCGTCTGTCCGTTCTTTGCTGGGTCGATGTTGTGATGTGTCATTGTCGGAAGGAAGGATACTTCGATGGCTAACCACCAGAAGAACAATGTTGCTGGCAACTCGAGCTGTTTGCCCATATCTCTCCACTTCTTGCTGTTGTTGGTGAACAAGCTAGAGACGAGACCAATGGGCCATGGAAGCAATTTTGCAAGAAGCTGCCACATGTCAGACATATTAACGAAGCGAATGTAGATAGCTTACCCTGCCAGCCCAAAGTGTCAACCAAATAATCATCAGCCATATTGAGAACCACACAAGCTCAACACCGCCAACACTCACATCTGGGAAAGCCAGAGCGCCGATCAAAAGCGGGATGAGGATAATGAGAACCAGAGGTGTGATGTATGTGAAGTACCTAACAATCCAACTCGAATTGTGCACCTTCTTGAAGAATATCGAAAACTTTGTAGTCGGGTTCTCTGGGGGCTTGTAGCGGGCCGCCTGCTCGTGTAGAGGGTTCGTCGCCGCATCGAAGTCGTCTATAGGCTCGTCGCGTCGGGATCTGACCCTCTGCATAGAACGACTTACGGATTGACCTCTTTCGAGCGCTTCGGCATCGATAATGCCCCGCTCGATCTGGAGTACCGCAAGATCATCATCAAGTCTGCTCGCCTGCTCGCGTGTCTGAGACGGTGACTGCATCTGCTGCGGGTAGTCGTATTGGGTTTCTACGGTCAAATGAGTTCCCGATCGCGGCCGGGTGCCGGTCGCCAATCTCGGTGGATTCGCTGGCGCTGATGTGTTGGACTGTTGGTGGCTCAGATCCTCGCCGACATATGTGCCGTCGTCGTCAGATGAGCGCTGGTGCGTCGCAGGGCCATGTGTGGTACTATCCATATTGTACGTTGGCTCGGGCCGCTCGTTTACGGGTGTTGTCATGTTTGCTGATTTTCGAAGGTCCAGCGACCTGAAGCGTCCGGCGAGCAGTCAATTACCGATGGCTGGTCGTATCTATACGAGATGTCGTAGATGAAGCTAGCAATTGAAGTGACGTAGCGTTTGTGAAATTTTGCCGTACACCAGAAGTTCCTTAGGCCGTCTAGTAGCGAGTGATAGTAAAAAGTGATGGTAAGTGAATGTAAGTGAATGTTGAGTATTATGAAAGGATGTGGGAATTCCAGACAATATCGGTGGACTTGGTGGAGAAGTGATGTGCGGCCCAGACGAGACTGTGAGATATATGAGGGATCCGATCGACCTGTTCATTTCGACAAGACGACGGCTGCCCCTTTGGGCCCTTGTCGCCAACTGGATTGCGAGGAAAACTGGGTCAAGAGCGAACAAGTCACGGCAGCTGCAGCTATGAGATCGACCGACGTCGATGGCGCGCATCCATGTGGATCCCAACTTACTCGAGGCTGTTGGGACAAGTTTGGTACGAAAGCCTATGCTTGTGGCCAGTGAACGCCCAGTAAGAGTGCTTGTCTGTCACGAATCAACGTTGCACAAAATACCGTTGAACTCGCCGAGATTTCCACATGCGACATACGTCACCGCCGAAGACTTAAAGATTGGAAACGCTAATTGTCGATAAGCTCCGTACACGCGTGCTTTGCGCACAACAACAATCGTCACAGCACCCAACCAACCTTACTGGTCTCAGGGCCTTCACGCATACAAAGCGCTGAGGACCTCCCGGGGGGTGTATAACGGTGCACCCGTTATCGCGGAAAGTGTTCTTGCCGATCCCACTCAATACCCCTGCATTTGAGCCGCAAGCTTGTTTGATTCGTGCGGGAGCGCCGTGGGGGTGCTGACGCGACGACCTGACTGCAACAGAAGGAATGCTGTCCTACCACAGAGGCTGCTGAGATCTCACAAAGCCCCAGTAATCTCCATGAAACGATCGGAGATATTGTGCAGCTGGGGTTTTCATTTTGCCGATAAAGTGGGCTGGTGTTCATAGCTGCCTGCAGGAAAGTAATAGACTTTCTCTTTTACAGCAAATACATCTTGGATTAGCTAAGACCCCCTGGCTACATAAAGTAGAGAAGAAACTCCATGAAAAGGGAGGTTAAACCCTTTGTATAACATGGTGCGTGTTGTCTGACTATCCCAACAACCGCATTGGGTCGCCAACACGAGCACAAGGGTTGCAGCATGCTTGGACAGATGAAGGCGGAGATCGACACACATGGTGACTCGCGTCAGGCAAGTTCTCTTCACATGTCGCCCCAAAATCCAGACACCGATCCCAAAGTTGGTGGAGCCTGGAGACTTTCGTGGTCGTTAGATCCAGTTTATACAATCCGGTGAGTAAAGCTTCCTGTAGTCGTCCAAATGCCTATCGAATTATAAACCACGGGTAAGTTTAGATCAAGTGCATAACAGAAGTCGGGGGTCTGCCTGCTTAGACACAGCTTTTGTGGCAACATGGGAGGCCTCGAAGCCGCATGTGGAGTCAAGTGTACGGGACCATCAAGTTGCCGACTCCGCGTGGACCCTATGCTGTCATTGCTCGTATTCACCGATAGATGGACGTGAGACCTCGGTATAAATCTGGCTGGGAGGACTCCAATATGCCACCTGCATTGTTCTGGCTTTCTTTCCGTAATCTAGCAGGATTGAGAACTAGCCACAAAGTACTATCATGAAAGCTGGATGCTAGCCTGTTTTGAAGCTCTTTCGAAAACGTCACATTGATGCGTTCAACACCATCACTCTAGAATGTCTGGGTATTTACTGGTCGTAGAATTCCTTCCAATCGCCCCATATGATGTCGCGTTCGTACTTCTGCATAAGCTGGCCTGTAGGGTCATCGCCCTTCACATGTGCCCATGCTCCAGCAAAGTGTATAACAAACGTGCCATGCACCCATACTTGATGCGAATCGTCAAAACATGCAATTTCTTGTGGGAAAGCATTCAGCTTCCACTGAGGCACCCGGTGCACAGTCTCAGCCATAGCTTGGTCGTCTTTAAGCAGCTGCACGGTCGCGTCTTGTTCGCTCATTTGCTTGTCCCTTCCCTTAGCTTCGTCGTGGATTGCGAAAGAGTCGTGGATCAGCTTCAGCGATCTCTCATGTCCACGGACGAGGAAGGAGCCGGAGTTATAGCCATTGCAATCGTGGGTAGTAAGGTAGTCAATGGCGTCGGGGTTTGTGACGTTCTTGAGTTCCTCTTCGATGATATCGGTGAGCTTGATATCCGTGTTGGTGATCAGAGTGTCGAAATCAAGCCACCATATCCAATCGTATTTGCCAGTCTTGATGAGACGCTCAGCCATGTTGTACTTCCAGAAGATAACGGCGCGGTCGGTGTGCGATTCGTAGTCAACAATGAAGTCGTAGCCATGGCGACGGGCGTAATCTGGAGCCGTTGTGTGAGCTTGGTGACTGTGCTATGAGCTTCAACTTACGGTCTTTGCTCTTGAGCGAGAGATGATGGTATGAGCGCTCTTCGGTCACAAAAGTCATAAGCGCCACACGAGGCGGCTTCTTCTGCTCGACGGGAGCTTCAGCAGGGACCGGCGCCGTGCTTACGGGTCCCTCTTCATGGGACGGGCCTTGGCTAAGCTGCCATCCGAGAAACGCAAGGAACACGAGAAGAAATACGAAGGCTGGAGGGATCCTGAGAGTTCGGACAAGCATCCTGGCGTCTGGAAGCTCCACAATGGAGGTAGAGAGATTGCCCGTAGATTTGACAAGTTGCAGCCTCAGCCAGCTACATTTCCGAGCAGGTCGTGATGGAGCGCAGCTTTGAATGTGCGAGGGGAAGTCAGCTCCCTTGGGGCTTGTGAGACCCCTGCCGAGACTGCAACCCAGGGCTCAGCTTATCCGCAGGACAGACCCGAGGGTCCCTTTGGAAAGACATGCATGAAGAGCCCACGGAAGATAATTGGGGGTGGGAACGATCATCAGGCACGACGAGGGCACGCGCGACGGCCCGTAATCGTCGTCGCTCTTGCCCAGTGGACCCTGACCCAGAAGGCCCTGGATGGTCGCCCGACCCCACCTCTCCATGCTGGACGCACGGTCACCTCCTGCGGCTGAACAACGACACATGTCCCACGAAATAACATTATCGTGGTTGAATATCTAGCTTGGTAGCCTTTTCGCGAGCATGTCCGGCTCCACACCCCGCCGCATAGGAGCTGGCGCTCCACTAAGAGGGCTGTTTGTGGACGGCGTCTGGCACTGTGAGTGCAATGCACAGCACTGCATGCAACACTTAACTAATGATCTCAAGGCGACTGTACTCCTCAGCAGCCAGCGAATCATTTCGAAGTGAAGAAGCAGGGTCCAAATCAGGGCAGATGGTGTAAGCGTCAAGATGCTGCGTATGCCTCAATGATCCCATAGGGACTGATCCACCGTAGTTCGACATGTCAGAAGCAGCCAGACGACAAATCTCGGTGCAAGTTCTTTCTATGGGACAGTGACGCTCATCCCCGGGAGGCAGCTGCTCTTGCAAACAATTCCCGTACCGAGTCTTCACACACGAAGATTCCCTCCAAGCGTCCAGCATCTCCTCCACCACCGTACACGATTGGGTCTGAGAGCAGGGAAGGTGCCCGGAAACGAGAGCGAGCTCACAGCATCGATTTGGATGATGAGTTTGGCTTCAAGGCCAGCGATGAGGCATTCGAAGACGATCTCTTGACTACAGTCGATACGCCCAGGAAAGCAGCCAGAACAAGTACTTTGGTGACACCTTCGACGAGACGCACTCTACCTTGGAATGTAGACCATTCCAATGGAATTCAGATGCCACAAACGGCTACTTCTCCTCGAGCTGGCCCCTCGTCATCGAATTCTCGCGAATGTGTACCGCCATCCTCTCAAACCGCTGGCACGCCACATCGAATTGCTACGCCTTCTTCTTCGCCATACGAGATGCCTAGACCTAGTCGCTCCAAATATATGGGATCAGAAGACCTTGCCCATGAAGTGTCTACTCTCTTACAAAATGCCAGAATCAAGCTCGATGTGCCGGCAGAAAACGATCTTATGTTTCTGCTGACCAAACATATGAAAGCCACAGAAGGTCTCAAACGAGGACGCGACGTTGCACGATCTACGATCAAAGCAAGAGATGCCAAAGTTACCGAACTTAGCTATCGGATCAACACACTTGAAGCAGAACTCGAAGCAGAGAAAGCATTGGTGAGGCACCTACAGTGGGAAATTGAAACTGAGGACAGTGCAAGCTGATAAGAACTTCGCTTTCGTCGAAGATTGATTACATTCGAAATGTCCTGCATGAGATGCATTTCCCGGCAACAGCACAGGTCCTGCACAGGTTCGGAAACGATATATGGCTTCCGTCCGTTTCGATGCACTGATCAAGCCCTTGGGACACCGCTCTGTCGAAACCCAGACCTGTAGGAAGTACCTTGGTAGTTTGATTTATTCCAGGACGAGATGCTCTCGGCTTTGCTGGGCTACTTTCCTGCGTAGGGATATCGATAATGAAAGTTCACAACTTTCAGCTGGACAGGCTTGGGAACATGGCGTCCACACACCAGTCACTCCCCGGTATTCCATGATACCCAGCATGGCAGTGGATACTCAAGAGAAGAGAACCCCGCTTAAAGACTATAAGCAACAATCCAAAGGCAAACAAGACTTTACCACCCCACTCTCACGCTGCAGAGCCGATCTTGCTGCAAACCCTCGGGACTGCCGTGGCACGTACGTCGCAATTCCCTTCTTCGGGGAGTAGGCGTCTACTGTAGCGATCCTTTCCGCAATCCTTTCCAAACCTAGGGGTGCATTTGCCAGCGAAGTTTGCGTGAGCACGCAATGAGACCTTGTAAGCACGAAATGAAAAAATAACGGCGCCTTCACTTCTCGTGGCTGACAAGCACTATGCAAGGTTGAGACCAGGACGGCGGAGGCCAAGCTATGCCCAGGCTTGTCAAGTCGGCAATCGGCAAGTGAGATGGTTGATAATTCGCCGGAAACGCATCAGACACGCCACACCTGACGTGCGCCGAACCTCCGCCCGTGTGTAGTATCCACATCGTGCAGCGGAAACTTGGCATCAAGATGGAGGCCGTTTTCGAAGTTTGTGTGGTACCGATGCAGTTGCTGGTCGGCTTTCGAGACAACAATCACTGCAATGGAGGCAGTGCAACCACGTTCAAGAGGGTTCCAAGCCTACTGCAGATGGTTCGAGACCTTCGTTATCCGTTACCAAATCATCTCTGAGATTCTATCCATGCCCAGAAGATTTATATGTACTGTGAATGTTCGCAGACGCCCAGGTGGGGCAACGCTCACGCCAAGTCAGAATATGAGGGTCGCATTGCGTCTACGCTTTGCCTAGTCCAGACAAGGAGGGCCGTCACTGGCGTGAACGCCGTCACCATGGGACGTGAGATGAACGTATTCAGGATCTTTGCATCCAGCATTGTCCTTGGCGTTGCCTTCCAACAAACGGCATACAAGTGCAAGCTTCGCCTACGTTGTCTCCGCTCGGTCTCTCCCATACCCTCTCCTGTCGTCCCAAGTCGTTTACCTTCCAGGAGGATGGATTACCTACGTAAGATTGGTGCATATCTTGCACCGCCCCCACCAAAGTCGGATGACGGACGTGATCAATGGCCCTCGCGTGCAGCCTTCCTTCTTGCTGCCATGGGCGGCTGTGCTGGACAAGGAAATCTCCTTCGATATCCCTCCGTGGTTTACAACAACTATGGACTGCAATGGTTCATTCCGTACCTGCTGGCCGTATTCCTCATCGCCATCCCTGCCCTGATCCTGGAAGTCTCCATAGGCCAAGCTTACCGAGGAGGCACCGTCATCGCATTCAACAACATGAACAGACGGTTAAAGGGGGTTGGAATGGGACCAGTCATTGTGTCCTTCATAGTCGTTCAGTACTTCACCGTCAATCTCGCGTGGATCATGAGTTACTTTCGCCATAGCTTCACAAGCCCCTTGCCATGGGAAAACCGGATCGAACAGTTTTACTGGAACGACGTGCTTCGTGTCGGCAATATCACCGAAGGGGGTCTGACCGAAGACGGCAAGAGTGTGGCAGCATATGTCGGTTATTCCAACGTATCTTTGATCGGTGAAACTGTCGGCTGGAGCATCTTTGTCTGGTTCCTGATTTGGGTCTCCATATTCCGTGGGGTCGGAATGACTGGCAGAGTCGTCTACTTTACAATGGGCCTGCCCATTGTGACCACTATCATCTTCGTTGGACGCGCATTATCGCTTCCGAATGCTAGCGAGGGTGTCAAACTCCTGTGGACCAACTTCAGAGGCGAGCAGCTCGGATCTGGCATTGTATGGCAAACTGCTGTTGGACAAGTATTCTTCTCCACCGGTATTGGTTTCGGGTACTTTACAAGCTACGCGAGTTACAACCAGAAGCATGCCAACGCTGTTATGGACGCGATTCTCATTTGCAGCAGCAATGTTCTGTTCGAAAATTTCGCCGCGTTCGCCATCTTCGGGGTTGTTGGCTACCTCGAGCTATGGCCCCAGCCTGACGTCCGGCTTGGTGCGTTCGTCGTTGGCTTCTTGACACTGCCGGAAGCTGTGCTGCAGATGCCAGGTGCAAATTTCTGGGCTGTTCTCCTGTTCTTCACCCTGATCGTTTTGGGTTTCTCCTCGGCATTCGTCATGCTGGATGTCGTGGTAACCTTGATCTGCGATTCTGGAATGGTCAAGGCTTCCCGCTCAGTTGTCGTTACCGTACTCACAGTCCTCTCTTTTCTTATGTGCTTGCCATATTGCACCGAGTTTGGTTACTACCTTCTTGATGGAGTTGACAGATGGATCAACAATATTGCCCTTATTTTCGTGGTCTGGACTGAGGTCACGAGTGCCACTACAGTGTATCGCTGGCACGACATTGTGGATCAGACTGGTATTGTGTCATTCAGCTTGTACAACTTCGGCTTCTTTGGTGCTCAATTTTTCGGTATAGTCCTCGCGCATGGCATCAACAATCCTGGTGTAGGTGCTGGAGCAGGCATTGGCTTCTACGTTGTGTTTACTGTGATTTCTGTGATCATTTCACAGACACCTGGCGTTGCAGCACCGTCTTTTTGGAACAAGAATGTCTTCCTGCGGAGATTTTGGTTCTTGGCTTTCTATTCCGTGAGTCTATCACGAAACTCAAGGGCTTACACTGACCATTGTAGGGCAATCAACTTCGCCGCGACCTTAATGTCATTGTCGGACAAGGCAAGAACTGGAAGATTCCTGCTTTTCTTCCATTCCTACTACGTTATATCTCCGGACCGGTACTCGCCATGATTTTCAGCTTTGCGTATCCGGAGTTCCACACCTTACGTTATGATCCTATGTACATCACAGGCTTCATTCTGGCAAATCTGACAATGGTGGTCATCATCGTCGGTTTCACCGTTCCCAGGTACTACGACGCTTTCATTCCGTACGAACGTCGCGGCGAAGGAACAGAACCAACATTCGCGATGGAGACCAAAGGCGAAATTTCTGGCGCGCCAGTCGGTGACTTGGTCAAGGCTGAGGGTGGGGAGGCTCCTTTGGCATACGCCTCGTCGCAGGAACACGTAGGCAAAGACGTTGAGCACGACAAGGAGGCACCGTCTTCATCACGATAATAGAAGCTAAGATGGATTCGGCTACTACTAGGCTATCTCGCTTCCTTAGCAAGATGTTCTGTAGTTTTCTATCGATTGATCAACTTACCACTTTCCCTCCGCTAGGATCGGGTGTGAAGAATTTGTAACACGTTTGTTCAGCAACATATACAGTCAGACCCATTTGTGGATACCTAGCTGCGTTTCAAGTAACGCTATTGGACAGGGTGTCACTTGCGCGCATTGTGCGGAATGACCAACGAAACTGCAGGGTGCGCGATATGTGCGAGTGATGACTCGAATTGTGGCAATCTGAGAATGGCAAATCGGCAACGCTATAATTGATTGCTTGTGAGCTCATCCTCGTCGTTTCGTTGTACTTCTTGTTTGCAAGACTCGACCGTACTGTTTCCAGTATTTAGTCGCACGAAGGTACCTACCCAGTTCCTAGCGCAGTTACAAGACAGGAAACTACAAGGCGACAACGACTTTACTCAACATGATGCCACCAAGGGATCCCACTTCCAGGACTCACGATCTGCTCCCCACAAACGCCACCACAACCTGTTTCATTGCTAACCTACACTGTCCATCATGTGTGGAGACTATACGCGATTGCTTAGGTGCCCTGATACCTGCGCCTGAGGATGTTCAAATCTCGATCGTCGCCCACACCGTCGTCATCTACCACAGTGCTTCTCTCCCAGTCAAAATAATTGCCGGCTCACTCGAAGCTGCTGGATTCGAGGTGCACAGTGTCTTCCAGGACAATAAGCCAGTCTATGAATCGCCTCACCGCGCTATGCCAACCGATCAAAACCGGAGTTGGTCTTCAAGGCTGGAGCATGCAATATCTGGGTGGACTTCTTCTGGGCCGCTCAGAGACGCAGAAGACAAGAACAAGAAGACGATACATATGGAACGGTGTGAGCAGTGTAAGGTCGAACAGGGAGGTATCCACTTGGGATTCGAGGACTGCAAGGGAACACCTAGTGCAGAGCCATTTTCGACCTCCAGTTCTAAGGATACGCTCCCCGTACAATCCCAAGGTTCCGCTCGACAGTCTCTCCACAGCGCCGAAACACCCACTCCTCTTGCGGTACACAGAGTGACCTTGGCTCTCTCAGGAATGACCTGCAGTTCATGTGCAAGGAGCATCGCTCATGCTTTGGACCAGCTGCCTTATGTGCATACGGCCAATATCAATCTTCTCACGAACAGTGGCGTAGTAGTGTTTGAGGGAGTGGATGTTGTTCAAGGCATCACTACCACGATCAAAGATTGCGGATTCGAGGCCAGTGTGCAGAAGTTGGAAGATATCACATTGGCGACACTTGCGACTGATTCTCCAGAGGAAGAATGCAATAAACGATGGCGAGCCACCTATGCGATCGGCGGCATGACTTGTGGCTCTTGCGTTAGTCATGTCAGAGATGCATTGGGACCATACACTTGGGTCGACCAGGTGAATATCAATCTGGTTGACAACAGCGCCATCATCGCATTCAGAGGCAAAGAACATCTCCCAAAAATCAAAGAGATCATCGAAGATGCTGGCTACTCAGCGACGCTTGGCAGCGTCATTGCAATAGACGCCATCGCTGAAGCCCCTCGCATGCGCACTGTGTCGGTCAATATCATTGGGATGTTCTGTGATCATTGCCCAAGCAATATCATACAGAGCCTCGAAAGCACGTTTGCGGGAAGGATCCGTGTCAAAACTTCACAGTTGTCATTGGCATCACCGATACTCGATATTGAGTATCTGCCAGACCCTAGAGGTGGCTTTACCATCAGAGAGATCTTCGCGACGATTACAGGCATCAATCCAGCCTTCCAAACATCAGTCTACCATCCAGTTACTATCGAGGAACGCGTCAAGGCCATGCATACGGCGGAGCGAAGGCGGACACTGCGCCATCTGGGCGTTTGCATTGCTGTCGCCATACCAGCCTTCATACTGGGTATCGTCCTCATGAGTTTAGTCCCAAAGAATAACCGTGTCCGGCAGTATCTGATGCAACCTTGGTGTGGGAACGCTTCCCGACTGAGCTGGGCATTGTTCATTCTTTCTCTTCCGGTCTATTTCTACTCAGCTAAATCATTCCATATCCGAGCTTGCAAAGAGTTGAAAGTACTGTGGCGTCCAGGTAGTCGGACATCTATGCGCCAAAGACTCACGCGCTTTGGTAGCATGAATATGCTCATGTCACTCGGGACGACGATAGCTTTCCTTGCGTCAGTGGCTGAGCTGGCGTTAGCTGCCAGCAAGAAATCGTCCGGGTCGATGGAAAACTCCTATTTTGATGCAGTGGTATTCTTGACGATGTTCCTACTCATCGGACGATTCCTGGAGGCCCTCAGTAAAGCTAAGACCGGAGATACTGTCGCATCACTGGGCGCACTACGTCCAAATGAAGCGGTCTTGGTCAACTCTATCAGCGGCGACACAAAGGTCCCGACTGATGTGCTCGAAATTGGCGATGTGGTTCGTATTCACCATGGCACCTCGCCTCCTTTCGATGGAATTATTCTGGAAGGCACTGCCAGCTTTGACGAGTCGAGTCTTACTGGAGAGTCTCGTCTTATCAAGAAGGGTGTTGGCGACCAGATATTTTCAGGTACTGTGAACAAAGGGGCACCGGTCAAGATGACAGTCACCACAATCACGGGCACGTCAATGCTTGACCAGATTATCGACGCTGTCAGAGAAGGACAAACTCGTCGGGCGCCCGTTGAGAGGGCAGCTGATACAATCACCGCTCACTTCGTCCCATTCGTAGTCCTTGTTGCCACGTGTACCTGGATCATTTGGCTTATACTGGGCTCAACAGGCGTGATACCGAAGAGCTGGAGGGATGAAGAGGCTGGAGGCTGGGCATTATGGTCATTGAGATTTGCCATCGCTGTCTTCGTGGTCGCATGCCCTTGCGGAATCGGGCTTGCGGCACCAACTGCACTGTTTGTTGGTGGTGGATTGGCAGCCAAACATGGCATACTTGTACGAGGTGGTGGGGAAGCCTTTCAAGAAGCGAGCTCACTTGATTGCATCGTATTCGATAAGACTGGGACACTGACACAGGGCGGTAGTCCTGCAGTAACCGACCATCGGCTTGTCCGAGCCGGGCAAAATCCATCGCTTACTTTCGCCGTTGTCAAAGCTCTGGAAGAGAACAGCAGTCATCCGATTGCTCAAGCATTGTCAAAATTCTGCAGTGAGCAGGTACTCAGTACATCAGTTCTGGTCTCCGTCGACGAGATTCCTGGAAAGGGGTTGAAAGGACTCTTCGACGTTAACGGAGCCAACATGAATGCTGTCATTGGCAACGAAGACCTCATGAACGACCACAACGTCTCTATTGATGTGGACACGGCAACCACACTAGAGCATTGGAAAGCACGTGGGGAGTCTATAGCAGTACTTGCCTTGTGTTCAGCCTACACAAACAACCGTTGGCAACTTGCTGGCCTTTTCGCCATCTCTGATCCCCTTCGACCAGAGGCAATTGGCGTTGTGAGCGCTCTCAAGAAGAGAGGAATAGTTGTTTGGATGCTATCGGGCGATAATCCTACGACAGCAAATGCTGTTGGCGCTCAAGTCGGAATCGCCGCCACCAACATAATTGCTGGTGTGCTTCCCGATCAAAAGGCGAAACAGATCGAGTACCTTCAGCAGACACTGATGAGGTCACGAAAATCGACATTGTTTCAACTGCCATCGATATTGCGCAAGAAGAGGCAGAGCAAACGTGCCACTATCGCCATGGTCGGAGACGGTATCAACGATGCCCCTGCGCTCACCACGGCAGATCTAAGCATTGCCATCGGTAGTGGTTCAGACATTGCGCTTTCGTCGTCCTCGTTCATCCTCATCAACAGCCAGCTCGATACGATCATCACCCTGCTAGACTTGTCACGTGTGGTGTTTCGGAGAGTGTACTTCAACTTTGGGTGGGCCACTATCTACAACTTAGTAGCGATGCCAATAGCTGCTGGAGTCTTGTATCCAATCACGACTGGTGGAGGGACAGACAGTCATGGCTCGCACAGCGGTGGGAAACATATCAGGCTAGATCCAGTGTGGGCTTCCTTAGCTATGGCGCTGAGCAGCATCAGCGTGGTTTGCAGCAGTCTCGCACTGCGGAGTCCCATCCCTTGGGTTGGATTCAACGCGGTGAAAGAGGAGAACCTGGGACCACATGAAGATGGTGGAGATGAAGCGGCACATGTGGTATGACGAGTAGTATATGTTGACCATCGCCGCCTGTGATGGTGTGTATATTCTTGAGCCACACTGCATGATGTGACTCGCTCCAAGGATGTATGTACGGAGGCTGACTGGTGTCTCCGCACTGAGCACAACCGCCTGATTGTACCCATTAGAAAGTAATCGAATGAAGATGAACGCGCCTCTCCATGCCCGTGAAACGCCCCGCTGCAAAATTTTTCGGATCTTCAACCCTGCATTCAATCGCACTGGTGCCACAAGGACCAATCCTAAGAGAACTTCCACCTGTTACCGCAATTCATGCACTCGCAGAATGTCGTCATAGGTTCGTCGGCACTCCTTGTCTGCGCCTGACTGTAAGAAACCTTCCTCTGTTTGCACTTTCCGCACTGGAATTCCGTGGAAATACTCTTCTCGACCTGTGCAACCATGGCCTCTCTCAAGTTCACTTCGTCTATCTTCTTGTCTTCTAGGCGGCGCTCTTCGGACTTCATCTCGTCGTGTGTCATGATCACAAATTTCTTCGGTTTGATCTGGCCGAGGAGGACTTGCTGCCGCAGAGTGGGGTTGGACTTGGCTTTCAGGTTCTGGAAGAGGGAGCGCATCTTCCCCTTGTACTCGTCGTTGACGCTGCCGGCGTTGGCGTAGGCAGCGGCTTCAATTTGCTTTGCGATCGGAAGGATGACATCGGGCACTGTATCTATGTCAGTACAAACTCCGGTGGATTTGAGCATTTAGACTTACGTTCGGTGCTCATATGCGCCAGACCGTCGTACATAAGGCGGACCGACATGTCTCGCGCATCATCTCCAGTAACCTCATAGTTGACCTTGTCTGTCTTATGGTTCCGCTTTGCGGGATCTACGCTGTGTTTTTGCTTGCTCTGACTAGGCGCAGGCGCAGGCGCAGGCGCAGGCGAAGTGCCCTTCTTAGGTTGCTTCTTGACCTCATCCCTCCACTTTGAGACCAACTCTGTCGCAAGCTTTTGGACAGCTGGGTCCTTGTGTGTACGCAGGCGGTTGATGGTCACACCAATTCGGGTAGAGCGTAGGATGTCCTCGGTCGCGTGAACGCCAGTTTTGAGGTCGTTCAGCAATTTGATGACGGAAGCACTGGGTTCATTCTCTTGAATAGCCTTGCCAATCGCCTTTCCCCGCAGCTCAATTTCCTTAGCATCCATGGCCATCTTCGTTCTGGCGGGTCACGCAAATGCGGATCCTGGGATTGACTTTCGAGCTAAAGGTTTCGCAGAGGCGCACGCGATATTGTTCGTGTCGATCGCTCGAGCTCGGTATGCGTTTGGTGATCTCTCGTCTTGGGAGCAGGGTCGCGAATGGGGGGCTGTGGCGCGACGACAGCTACAGGTTGGCGGAGTATGAGTTGGTGGTTGGGAGAGACAAGGCTTTCAAAGCGAGAAGTTGTTGTCTGCAAAGAGCTCGGCCTTGGCGTTGCCGCTAGCGCGAGCTGGGGTTCACTGGACGATATCGAGTGTCTGAAAACAATAGCAACAACGACGCCAACGACCGCAACGACCAAGATACTGCCTCGACGCTTCGAAATATACAACCGCACTCATATCATAGACCATGGCCGAAAACGCGCCTCCCGGGGGCGCTAATGCGGCCTCTGATGCTGCCTCGCGCGGCATGCCCTACTACGAACGACTACGACGCGACCTGCGCGAATCACTCCAAAAGAAACGCGTTCTGGATAATAACCTGGTGCGTACAAAAGACGACGCGCTTCGACGCGTTGCGCTTACTTTGTGCGTAGCAGCAGCTTGAAGACAACATCCTCCGAGTCGAGACGCAATATTTGGAGGAAACAAGCGCGGGAAACATCATAAAAGGCTTCGACAACTATATTAAAGGCGCGGCGACTACCACGACCACAAGTGGAGCGGGCACAGCGACACGGCGCAAAGCACAGGTCAGCGACGTAGACCGAATCTTCAGTCGAAGCTCGTCTAGTTTCCTGAGAGTATGTTGGCGAATACAACAGGCTGATTTGCAGTCGGCATTACGGCACTCATGCTGACCATGCACGTGTAGGAGGCATCGACACCAGCTTCTGCAGGAACAACTCCATCACATGCAGCTACGCCAATTTCATCGTTTCCCACCCGCGAGTCAAGTCAGCCTACAGCGAACGGCGCGAGGGGAGGAAGCAAAAAGAAGAAGGCCGGAGACGACGATGATGCGGACAGCGCATCAGTGAAGAGGAATAAGATTTCATACGGAAGAGAGTGAAGGGCCTAAGTGGCGACCACAGCACGCCGAACCTACGATGGTATCGTGATGCCACACGCCCTGGCAATCAAAAGATACGACGAGGCAATTGCAAGGCAGTTTGCATTGCGCGTCCTATGGATCCAAAGTGGAGAGCGAGAGGGACTTGTGAACAGATTAGGAAGGTTCGGAGGCATGAGCAGAAAAGATTGCGCGCGTGCCCGGTGGATAAACTGCAAGATGCACTTGCATCGCGGGGTGCGGGACGGCGTCGCAGCTTTCTCGATTCGAAGTGGGTCCCTCTGCGACCTTCACCGTTGGTAAATCATACGCTCGCTTCTTCGTCGGAGTGGAGATTACTCCTTCTGGTTGCTTACTTCCACTGGTGCAGAAGAGCGCGTAGTCCACTTGGCACACCGGAAAACGCGCGCGGAGGTTCGTGCCTTAGCAGCGCATCGGCTAGATTGAAGCGCGTCCCGAGACTCCGCCATATCGTCGATTAGATAATGGTGAGTACCTGGGTACAAGGTGCACAATGATGGTAGCCAAGCAGTTACAGATAGAAGATCAATCAAACCAGCCTATACCATGCACACAGAAGGGCATATAACTATAACACAGCACGTAACAAGCATCTTCTCCAAAGGATGCAAGGCCCTCAGATGTATTTCTGGCACATTTCGAGAAGGGTGCACAGGGCGCTGTTCGGCAGAAGAGTCCATGTTGAGCTCTCGCTTCATCTCACCTGAGACGTAGCGTGCCGGTGTTACGCTCTCACAGAGTCTGTGTGTAGGGTCCTGCGGGCTGCAATCTGCATCCTGGTAAATTGCAGCATGTGGCTTACTCGTAGCCAACCATAATCCAACTGCAACGCTTGGACGACAGCTGACAGCAACTCCAAACTGCTGTTTGATAACATGATCGTCAACTTTGTAAGGCGGGGAACAGTGGAACGACCGCGTGGCTGATGGCTGTGTAGAGTAGAGTTTCAAGGTCCCGAGGGCTTTGATATCGACATGAAAGGGGTGTTGATGTTCAATCTACTCCTCGATCATGACTGGCTGGTGGCCACTGCCAATGCAGCGAGCATTCCCAGTGGCCGCCCTCAGCTGTTCAGCCTTGTGTTTCGCGTCATGCGTGTCGTCGCGTCCCTTGCCAATCCTTCCACACTTGGAAACAATTCTCAGGCACAACGCACTCCCACCCGCTACTCAGGCATCACGATTGGGAGACAGCGAAGGCAGACTACAACCGACATGACAGACTAAGAAAGACATCCGACGACCATGTTGCGCAAGCGGCCACAACTCGTGTTGGGCGCTTCATGACGGTTGGTCCGATGACCCCAGTTAGCAAGCTTTGAACAGCTGTGACGATGGGCCCCAGCCGTGATCAAAGCATGTCAGGGTCCTGCACGATGATGTAACAGGACGCAAGCGGCAACCGGTGTGGGGCCACTTCGACCAATCACAGAATCGTGAATCTCGGATGTGGGTGAGATTGAATCATTGGCGTCGACATTGTCGTCACTGCAGAAGTAAGAGACGGTATTCGGTCATTGTCTTGTATTCAGCGGCGAGGTATGGGGCGCTGGCAAGCTCGTTCGACACGAGCGCGCCCGCGTTAACCCTCCCAGGATATTATACGAATAAGTGTGCGAACATGTGACCGTCTATGGTCAGCAATGTTGCTAGTGAGGGTGTCTAAGGTATTAAAAATGTAACGATGGTCGTGCTCTATGAAGACCTGGGTATCTGCCCATGGACCACAGGCGGTCGGATGTGATGAACAAGCTGCGAATTCAAACATCGAGAGAGTTCGTACTGATACAGGTGGGGAGGTTGACTCGCCCAGGAAATGGTACTCGTAATCGATGCGAACGCCGGAAAACGCCATGATAGCCCCTCGTAATGTGAGGTGGTCGGGAAGTAACCAACATCGTGGTATAGCGAGAGATTCGTCTAATTCCAACCGGAACTCGCTGTGCTGCGAAAACGCGACAGTGGATATCTCAAACAAAGGTATCAAAAAAGTTACATGGAACGATGAAAAAGGAAGTCCAAGGAAAGGTGTCGATCGTTCAATAATCGGCACTTCATACGTCGTCTGGCGATGGATGATCCTGGGCACCGTCGTTCTTGTGTACTTTGCGATGCCTTCTCAGGTTGGAGACAACAGAGAAGTGGCGGCCACAGCCCTCTACTTCGCAGGCGAATGCTATCAGTTGTTAGTGAAATTCAATGTGCGATGTTTGATTGGACATACGCTTCTCGCCGGTGTGGCTGTACATGTGCGTCTGTAGCGAGCTGGGGCGCGTAAAGCGCTTATCGCAAATCTTGCACTTGTGCTTCTTCTGTGAGCTGGAAGAGACCTTGGAGCTGAACTGGCCCATCATCGATTGCGGCGCAGGAGGCATAGATGCTCCCAAAAGCGCGCTGGGACGGGGCAGAGTCCTCGAATTGGTAAGATCGACAGACTCGGAGGCAGAGCTGTAGTCGGTAACGGATCCTTCACCGGCGTAGTAACCGTTGGCACCATAGCTTGCGGAAGAGATCGACGAGTGTGCTGAGTGCGTCGAGGGGAAACCGTACGAGTCGGTCGAGCTGCGGCTGGACCCCTGAGCGCCGTAGATATTCCGTGGTGTGATATCAGACTGGCTCAAAGAGACCATACCGCGGCTGGCATCGAGCGCATCGCTGAAGCTGCTGCGAGGAGCTTGCTGTGGCGCATTCATTCTGCTAAAGTCAACAAGTGAACTTTGGCGTTGTCGCTGTGTATCCATGGAGTATTCATAGAGCGCTAATGAGGGGACTGACGGGTGTGAGGAGCGACGCGCAGCATCCTGATATGTGTATGGAACCCGATCTTGTGTGGCATATTCCACCTGAGAGTAAGGAGCCGAAGTGGGTGCATACGTTTGGTTGTTTGGAGAAGCAGATGTGGCATATCCGCCTGTATAGCTCCTTGACATGAGATCTTGCGACGCATCTAGTAAGTCTTCTGTCGCGAATGGACCTTCCGGGAGGGCAATACCTTGTCCGAGAGGAGCAGCGGTTACTGGAATACCGTGGTACGGAATCGCGATGCTTGTAGGACGAGGCTGAGACTGCTCAAGTCCGGCCGAAGCATTGGGTGTGAGGGATGTCGAGTACAATTGCTGTGTAGCACCAGGCGCCGACACCCACGGGTTGGTGAAGTGTGGTGCTGCTGGGTAACGCAAAGCATCGTAACCCATGCCAGCAAGCTGGGTTTGCTGGCGGTTGTCTACGGCCATAGCCATTGCGGAAACAACGGAGATGTGTTGGGGTGGGAGACAAGAGTGGAGGGTATGCAGACAAACAAAGAAGAGTGCTCTACGGATGGTACGCGACTCTTGTTAATCCAACGGCTGAAACAGGTGGTTCGAAGGTCGGTCAACGTGGGGATAGAGACGATCAGTGGCAGGTGGTGGTGAGATCTGCGGGCCTTTTGAACTGGAGACTGACACTGGGGACAGCTGTAGTGTGGTTCGCCGAGACGAGTAATGATAAACCCCTCGGTATGCCGATCAGTTGACCTGTCCTAGGCGGGAGCTGTAGCGGAGGGCTGCGAGATTAGACGCTGAGTCCTAGCGGACACGACTGACTGGTGCTCGAGCGTTTCAGGTGCCTGTGGAGAAGGCAGTTGTGCAGCGGGCACAGGGGCGGACCGCGAGAGTGTAAGCTTGCGTGTCGCGGTGGTGAAGGTGCGGGCGGCCGCTAACGCATTCAGGTTGACGGCAGCAGACCAGCGACAAAGAAGAAAGGATGTGCGTAGCGTAAGGACGTAAGGGGAATTGATTGACTGTGGTGCGTGTTGTAGTCAGAGACGATGCAAAACCGAGTGAAGCTTTGAGGTATGAAGAGTGCTGATCAGCGGGCATCAATGGGGAGTTAAATTCTGTCTCTCGCAATCCATGCACATTCATCATAGGCTTCTGAGCCAAGCAAAGGCGCAACAGGTTGGCTTCACCCGCAGGGGTCCACAGCAACGCTAGCCAGCTCTCGGGGCTGCTTTAGGGTGGGTAGGTGGGGTCAGAAAAGTGAATAGCACCCCGGTCTTCTTCCTCCCGTGCCTTTGGAGTTTGTTTGGCCGATTCGAAGCGCAAAGCCTCCCGCCGTTCAGAAGCCGCTAAATCTGCTAGACCTTAATCTCGTGGCCGGCTACGCAGCGAGCCGTAAGAGGGTCCGACGGTGCACCGAGCGACCAGCATTAAGGCGTCATAGCTTGCGCCCGCGCGAATCAGCAACGCTTGGTGACGGGATGGCTGTCGTGGCGGCAAAGGAGCAAAAGCCAGGGTTGGCAGGCATACTCAATGCAGCTTTAGCCTTCACTGGAATCCGATGCTGCCGCTTTGGTACTGACCATTGAGCGCTAGGCTGAATGGCAACTTCCCGCTGTGCTGCCATGCAACGGGTGGCGGTGGAGGTCATTGTTCCCTTGTGAAGGATCCTACGACTGCCTGCATGCTTGCCTTGAAGCTGTTCAGCCCTGTCGCTGCTGCTATGCTGCTGTTGCTGCAGAACGTCGCACAGCAGTCGGAGGGCGGGGCAGGGCCAAAAAAAGGGGGGCAGGTCATTCACTGAAGATTGACAGGGGAGAAACCCGACCGCTAACCGCGTACTTTTCTCCACGTTGTTGCGCACACAGAATGTAACCTCTTAAAACCCTCCTTTAGTGCTGGTTCCGCTGTCCTCATGCCGAGCGCGGGGCCTCCCAACGTGCCCAAGTCGAAATTAGTCTCATGAGGCAGTGCCTGTGCCGGCTGTTTAAGCACTGGTCAAGCGTTTGATCGCCGTCCTGAGCTTCCTTTTTGCTGCTGTGGATCGTGGAAGTGTCAGCCCGTCCACTGAATGGGCGTACGCCACTTCAACGATGGAAGATGCAGCTAGGGTTCGCCGTACCTGCACATTCCACCCTCTACGAGAGCGCAATCCCGCAAAGGCACAGTCCCTAGCCCTTCGCAATGTGAGCTTGGCTCCAGTCAAGCACAAGAATCGGTGTCAGCTCCGGGCGCTTGACAGCCGAGTCATGTCTACTATTCCCGCCAATGTTGCAGGCCTCAACCTCCGCGACCGTTCAAACGTTTCCTGGCTCACTACAAAGCCCGTGTGCGCTGGCCTGTCATGGATGGTACTTGCGGGACACAGGAGGAAAGACGGGCTGTTAGCCATGCGATAAATGAGCCATGCTGTGGCCAAGGTTGAGCTCTGCTGACCTGGGTTAGCAACTCAGACAGTGTCGTCATTCTGCTTCCCTTCTGACCAATTATGTCATTGAACATAGCGGTCAGAGGTATGTACCCTCACGGGTGACAGAAAAGCTCGCACACCAAGATGAGCAGGTATCCAGCACCACCCACACAAACCTACAGCGCCGAGTAATAGCTGTCATCACACTCAATTGTCGCGCTCGTTTGGTAGAGCAATTCAATACTGCAAGGTCGTTGAGTAATAAGGTTCTACACAACTCCTGCTTGTTATGTATACAGGCCCACGTAAAGGTGTAAATATGCTTTCTATTGAATGCTTTCTCTTACCCTGTTCTTCTGGAAGAGGTCTTGTCACGAGAAAGTGATACTGTTCTGCATTTGATTCCACGCGATATTGCCCCGTTGGAGAAGTCATTGTCTTCCTTTACAACACCTAAATTGATCTCGCCCCTTTCTACAAAGCGGACGAGAATCCAATGAAGAGAGGCCTGCTACGTGAGCTTCCCAATCCGGGGAATAAGCAATGAGGCAACAGGGTGCTGGTGATGGTGGTGTGGGTGTGAGGCCGGAATCTCGGCGGTGTGCGGGAAATTTTGTCGCCCGAGTGACACTGAATTATCTGAACAGCCAACGATAGAGACTCCACACCATCTTGACGAAATCATGGCCCGCTCACGCGCTGCATGCGCGAGGAACATGCGGTCCTCTCTCCGTCACAATTCACAATGCACGAGACGACAGCGCGGGTGGCGAACCGTCTCCAACTTAGCATCCTCACCGCTCCGCAGTCCGCCCAAGTCTCCCCTAAGACTTGACCACTCACGAGCAGCTGCTGTCAGCCATGTTGTCCTCGCTAGCCTTACTGCTCGCTAGGCGTCTCATCATGCAGGGCACCTGTGGTTGGCGAGCGCCATCCGCTTGCCCCATCGCCCCACCGGGCTTTGCACATTCCAACCTTGTTGACTTGTATGCAGCGCTAGCATTGCCAGACCTCGCTTGTTTTTGGCGCCTCTCAAAGGCAAATGTCTACGGAATATGGCAGAAGTCGCTCTGCTAACGACATACGGTAAAGCAACCCCAAAGCCGTTGACTAGGTACCTACCGGTGGAGTCCTTGGATCAAAAGTACCAATAGTACAAAAGCAAAACTTGGAATGGGCTTCAACATCTCCATAGCCGCCACCCTAAACCAACGGCTCTTTCCATCCGTAAAGCTCGGCGAGCCTCCACAGTAGATAGGACCCTGCAGAAGCTACCATGTCAACATTAGTGAGTACAACAGCCCACTGTGCACTGCATCCAAACTTTGGTCGAGTCCACGGCGGCATTGAAGGGCCGCCAAGCTCACGGTGTCTCGTCAAGCTCTTGGTCCTCTTTATTTCCACAATTATGGATGGTTGTGGAAGGACCCAAGCACGCCGTCGCAGAAACACTGGAGAACGCAAAATGTCACTCGTGCAACTAGATGCCATCATCTGTGTGATCGTCTTACACACATTCCTCTCGTGGAATCGTGTCAGATCTCATCTCACATAGCACGAACCAGACGCGCGGCTCTCTAAGATCTAGGATCACACGAGTGTCGAAGCTCGTGGGTCTCCCTTCGTGTCCAGTAAATCAACAATAGGTTCATGACTGGAAATCTGAAACTTGCCCAGTTTGCCGTGAACAGCAAAACATTCCGCAACTGACTCCGCGCCTACTCAGGCCGCTATCGCTCGGCCTTGTTGGCTGTACCTTCGTATCATGTGGCCCGCCCTCCATTCGGCAACAGGATGGCACCAACAACACGCTAACATCGGAGGGAAGCTTCCCCTCTACGCCATCCCTCCACATCAACCAACCTTGAACCAACGTCTTCTAACACCAGTCAAAATCACGCAAGAGTAGCGACCCGAACTGGCAGGCCGAGTCAAGCCGATTAGACGTGTGAATACTTTCGCTATCCCATGTGACGCTGTACTCGAATCATTGCCTCACATCGGCGAGGCAGAAAGTTCGAGTAGCTTGTTCCCAGCGCAGCGGTATATTGCTCTGCTAGCTTTTTGGGCAGTGAAAACCTTCGAGGGGTACGGTAAACGTCTAGGGTGCTTTTTGCCAGCTCGGCCAATGGCACAGCAATGCCCAGCAATACCAAAACGCATCGGTCGCACGTCGGCCACAACTCATGTGCAAAGCGCGATGTAACACTCTGAAATGAGGCGCCGTTGCCAGGTGTCAACTTGTCAGATGGTGGCGGCTTCGCACTTGCATGTGCACAGATTCTACCGTTGGAGTCAGCTCGCAGCAGATCTTGGGCAGCTTTGGGGTCAAGGATGTTGCGTTCATGGCTAGCTAGATACCAGGAAATCGAATCCTCGAGGTTGTCACCCACGTGTCGTACGACGATCTTGCTCATCTCCCTTTACCATTGTGAAGAAGATCAACCTGCGAACACCCAATCCTTTGGTTCAAGTCCCCATTTGAGTTTCCAGGTCCCCATGCGAAAGGCACACAGTCTCGAAACAGTGAAGCGTATTTGACGACATGGCCGATCGTTATCAATTCTCCTTTTCCAGCATCCACAACTGCCTCCAGATGCAGTCGCGACCCAATCAAACGTCCGGTCACGGTCTAAAGACAGTGCATGAAGGATGGCTACCCGCTGCGAAGTGGGAAGCTTAAGGTGGAGACATGTTCAAAGCCAAAGCTAGAGTCACGAGAAGGTCCTGTGATAGTTCCTGGACATCTCAGGGGCCAAACCTGATATGGACGTGTTCATTGTGCATGGTCTATCTGTGCAGCTGTACTCCCGCATTTGTTATTTCCTTTCTGCTTGCGGACGCAGCACAGATGCATGCCTTGACTGAATGCGCGATGGCGCTAAACCGCGATAATTCTCCGTGCCAATAAAGTGAGGCTGTGGTCGCCGATACCATCTGCCAAAGGACCTCGTGACCTCCTCCACCATGGCCCGTACACAGTGACCAAACAATGACCGAATAATCGTGATTGGACTTACTCACAGCCCATGGAAAACTCCATGGGTGCTGGTGCTAGCCAAGGTGAAATGCGTTATGGTGCCGCGAGTTGCGCTGGTTGGTTGTGCTTATGCCGGCCCCGGGACGCAGCGGGCATCGGGGAAATGCAAAGCAATGCATTTATCCAGGCAAAGCAACACTATTCGTGCTTATTGTCGTGTTGTGCTCGCTGTACCCCTCAACATGACTCTAAATATTTCCTTCGTCTCCCAGAAACCGCTGGTATTCAACGGCAATAGAAGCCAACAACTGTGTCGCCAGTCCCATCGTTGCGACAGAATCAATTCGGGGAGAGAGTCTTCGGGGTAATTGTTTGCTGGCTTTCACGAAGACGCGACTCTGAAAGCGACGGTCGAGGCGCAAGCTGCTCTGCCCTACTCTGTGTCCGGCTATGCGGTAGATTAACAACGTCTGACCTGGCTTCCGGAGATTCCGTTGACCTTCGTGGGTTTGCTTCGCCATCCTGGGCATGCGAAAACCTCTCCATGTTCTCCTCTGTAAGTGGCATGCTAGGTTCTTTCTCCCGCCCCTGAGCGGTGCCATGGCGGTGAAGCTGCGGCCCCGTGAGTGACAGCAATTTGTCGTCACGTAGCTTCGTATCTCTCTCCTCAGCTTCGCTACGCCTCAAAGCCCTGTCTGCCTCGTTCTCCGATGTCCTTGCGAACGCTGCATCGCTTTGATAGTGCAGCCGGTCAAGTTGAGCGGTCAGTGCTGAAGCCGTTGTTTCAGGTGGACCTGGCTTGCTCGTGATTTGCGAACCATCTTTTGCGCTAACGCTGTCCGTGGTCGGAGGCGCCAGGGTGAACGGCGTTCCATGTCGATCAGGTATGTTTACGGATGGCTTTGCGGCCGCCGTTTTCCGCCGTCCCTCGATCGCCCACTTGACAAGCATCTAGCACGAGTCAGTAATTGTCCACCCTAGAATTGGCTAGCCATACCTTCTCGAGGAGCTTGCCTTTCACTGGCTTGGCCAAGTAGTCCTGCAAAGCGTCAGCCACCGGTCCTTGAAGTATAGGGGAAGTGTGTTGAAGGCTTACATCCATGCCTGCCAGCGTGCACTTTTCTTTATCACCTTGAATGGCGCTGGCTGTCATAGCGACAATAGGAACACCTCGAATTTCAGGTTTGTCCCTCCATGGTGCCTCTGTCCTGATGGCATGGGTGGCTGAATAACCATCGCGGATAGGCATCTGCATGTCAGTCGTTAGCTCCAAGATCAATATTGCATTGCGATTTTTACTGACTTGAACATCCATCAAGATGATGTCGGGGCGTGGATGAGATGGAGTGAAGTCCTGAGCGAGATAGTCCAAGACCTCCTGACCATTCCAGACTGCGTTCACCGAGAAACTTAGTTTCTTGATCGTCTTCAAGGCAATCTGCTGATTAATGTGGCTAAATCATAACATTAGGCACGGTCGACATAGGCCATTGAGTGAATAGACTTACTTGTCTTCCACAACCAATACGTGAGTCTTCTTCCGTTCATTCTCTGGAAGACTGGTCAGATGATCCGGCAGCTTGCTCCCAATGGGGAACGATTGCATTCGAGAATGCCCATTTGCTGACTCTCTAGGTGTCAATGGTGGGGTGTGATCTTCAGAGCTTCCAACAGACACCGACACATCACTCTGCAGTCTATCCGGGATCGACGCGAGATCAACCAACGGCGAGCCGTCATCGGAATAGGACGCCTTCGCAAACGGAATCCAGAACGTAGCTGTAGTGCCTTGGCCCAATTTGGAATCAAGCCAGATCTGACCCTTCATGAGTTCCACAAGGTTCTTACTGATGGTCAACCCAAGGCCGGTTCCGCCGAAACGGCGAGCTGTAGATGAATCGGCCTGACTGAACGGCTGGAACAAGTGCTTGCGAACCTCCTCCTCGATACCGATGCCTGTGTCTTGAACCGTAAAATTTACGGTAACAGAATCTTTGGATCTTTGAGTGATTGCGACACTCAACTTTACGAATCCGTCAGATGTGAATTTGATACTGTTCGTCAATACGTTCGTCAATATTTGACGGAGTCGTCCTGGGTCTCCGACGACTCTCAAATCTTGTTCCACTTCTGGCTCGATAAAGCTGTGATATGCCAGCCCTTTTCGTTGTGCAGCGAAAGACATCATCTTGTTGACATCTCGAAGGACGACACTAAGACTGAACTGCACTTCTTCAACATCGAGTCGCCCGCTTTCGACCTTTGAAAAGTCGAGAATGTCGTTGATCACAGTCAGGAGGCTGTTGGCTGACCGGTGGATGTTTTCCGCGCAGTCCTTTTGCTCCGCATCAAGATCCATGTCGAAAAGAAGCTCGCTCATGCCGATTACTCCAGCGATTGGTGTCCGGATTTCGTGTGACATGTTGGCCAGGAACTGACTCTTCATCCTACTGGCCTCGCTGGCAGCCGCCGCATTAGCCAGCAATCTTGAGTTCTCCTTCTCTTGCAGCCTCAGCTGATCTTCTCTTTCCCGCAGTTCTGTTATATCCATCGAAACACCAATAACGCCATCGATGAATCTTTCGCCTTCAACTCCCCCCGTTCGTACACTGCTCCAGCGCGGGACAAGGCGAGTGCGGAAGTACCGATCTGAAGACATGTATCGTTCCACCATCTCGTCCTGCGCCTTTCCATTAAGGATCTCTTGTATCGGCTCTCTCCAACGCACGCGATCTGGAGCGTTCATGTCGAACTGATCAAACATGTTTTTGCCGAGGATGTCCTTTCGATCCCTGTCTGGCCCCAAATCGCCTTCCATCAGGACCAGATTGTTTTGCCGATCAACAGCCCACAGCATGATTTTGGCGTGTTCAATAACCTTTTGCAGCTGCTCGCGTGTTTGCTTTGCCTCCTGCCGAGCCATGACTAGATCATGTATGTCGGTGCAAGTGCCGAACCACTTGATGATCTTCCCGGAGTCGTCGAGGAAAGGTATCGCTCGTCCAAGCATCCAACGCCACTCCCCGTCGTATCTTTGACATCGGTACTCCGTGTTGTATTCATCACCAGTCTCGAGGCACTTGAACCAAACATCCTTCGTTGTAACCATATCTTCAGGGTGGAAGGGCAATTTCCAGCCCTCGCCGAGACTCTGTGCTTCGGTGAGGCCTGTGTAATCATACCAGCGTTGCGAAAACCAATCGTGGAGGCCATCAGGTGTTGTTGTCCAGACCATGACTGGCATGAAGTTGGCGATGTACTCGAATTGCTTCTCGTTCTCTTCCACCTTTTCTGCTATTGCCTTGGTATACTCTGTAACATCCTTGAAGATCACAATACCACCCAAGAAGTCACCAGTATCCGGATTTGTGACCGGTTCCCCAGTAACTTCAAAGACGATGCCTCTGCCGGTACCTGGTTGTCGCATACCGAGTCGCACCTTTTCAAGGCGCTTCTGTGTTCTGCATACTTGTATAATGGGAAAGTCATCGACGTCGAGCATTTGCTGGAAATCCTCGGTCCAAACCTGAAACAGAGCAAGGAACGCTCGCTGGTCGCCTGAGGTGTACACTGCATCCTTGGGCAAAAGTCTTAGAAGTGCATTGTTTGGTATCCCAAAGCTCTCATCTTTCCACATGGAATATGCTGGCATGTTGATTGAATTAAGAAGGGCATCCTTCAGCTGCGTAGCCTTCTGGAAAATCGACGTTGTGGAGGTGTCCAAATCACGCAGCAAAGGTGGGCCACGAGGCGGAAACATCGGCTGCTGCATGGTAGGTGTGACGGCTTTGGATACGTTGTTTGAGCTGCTTCCTGAGCGACGACCAGAAGATGAGCTCGACCCGGAGCCGCGCGACTTGCTCATGTGCGGTCCTGTATGAGTGCGATTGACAACTCGACTCGAGGGGCGCGATGTAGTTGCTGACTGCGTAGTTGTGGCACTAGTAAAGGTCAAAGTAAAGTACTGGGTGTCTTCTATCCCCCATATCGAGATGATACAAGTGGCCTGGAAAGCACCGTGTTGTGAGTGCATCTTGTCTTTCTTCGTTACAGCACCGCCAGGGCCTCGGGAAAGAGGCGACACAATCACCTCTACCGAAACATCATGCACAGTCGTCCGCGCTAGATTCGTGGTGCTCAAACGAGGCAACGAAGGGTTCGATGGTGAATCAGGTCGGCTATTTGCAGTATGCGCAGTAGGTGTAGTATTGCCACTTTCCAACTGATCATCTTCTTCATTCGTGCTATTCTTCTGGGCATCGTCGATCACGCAATCCAGGAAATCCTTTTGTCATGTTAACCAACGAACAACATCCTCAAGCACTCACACGCACCTCCCAGGTCACTAGCAGTGGAGACCCATTTTGTAGAATATCAATACCCAGCTCACCCATGGACTTCTCTTGTAGGACCTCAGTTATCGAGAAATCATGGTAGGCGGTGCTCTCAAAGTCGATTCCGAGCAGGCGACCCATGGCCTCGTTCGCGATCACTACGGTCTTATTGGTCGAGAGAACCAAAAGAGGAACTGGGAGATACTGCAGCGCGGTCAAGGACGCCACCATAGCGGACGGCTGAGACGAGTGTATTGACATGGAATCGTTGCTGTGCAGCGAGCTTGGGGACTTCGGACGGTCGCTGGAAGGGAAATACCCGCTTTCAGCGTCCTCTAGTTCCTCAGGCATCATGTTGAGATTAGACGCGCAAACCGGGATTGTGGCAGTCTATGAATGCGCCCCAGGCCAAGGGCGCAGTGCTCCAAAGCCCAGATTGCCGGACGATCGTCGGCGAAGGCAGAACAGACCAGGGCTCCTCTAGGTCAACCGGGAGTACTTGAGGGAGTGGCGCAACGCTAACATGAGGGGTGTCGAATGCAGAGGTACCGACGGAGGCGTAGAAGGGAGAGAGAAGGCCTCGAGGGGCAGGAAATCGACTGCAAAACGTTTGTAAATGCGCGCCCCGGCGGGGATTTGCGGCTCTTCTAGAAGCGGATGATGGTGGTAGATCAGTGGCTCGGCGGCTGTTCTAGGCCACCCAGGAAGTTGCAGTAAGTAGATTCGGTTTCTTTCCTCTGCTGTTGGGTTGTGAGGTGTGAAGTTGGTGGGAACGACCGACCGGCACGAAATGCGCGCTGCGCCTGTCAAACACTCGGACTTGGGCATTGTTGTAGTGGAGAAGCCCTCGGTAGTTCTAGAACGTCACGTTGTCGGGTCTGCCAGACAAACATCGTCATTGGGCGCTGGCAACACATGTTGAAAGGGTCTTTTAGTGGGGGCCAGGAAAGACATCCGTCGCTCACGATTCGAATGCAGACTCGATTGCTAGATGCTGAAACTGGAGACACTCCATTTAAGCGCACGCAGGCCCACCGATCTGCGCCGATCGCATTGATGCTTTCCAAGTCTTGTGGATTTTGTCCTCCAGCAAGGAGCAGAAAATGCACTCGAAAGACTTCGAACTGCCCACGTTGGAGCGGAGTATTTCCCCGTGCAGCTGTTGCGCTTCGATCGAACTTCCAAAGGCCTCGGCGATGCGCACTGGCTCTCCTGGCTAGATGGGCACCCCTGCTCGCCTGTGAGCCACATGATGCATCGGCCTTGCCCGACAGCCTTGCACAAGTCAGGCATGTTTGCAGGGCTGCATGCGCGCGCAGTCTTTGAGATGGATCATTTTGCGATCGCACTAAGCCTAGTAGTGGTACAGACTGAGTAGGCCCTCTGTCTCCGTCTAATCCCCGGGTTCGGGATACCCGGTACCTACAACGGCTCGGCCATCGACACGTGATCGTGACCCTGGGTCTTGGCATTCGACAGGACAGCTCGAACAGCTGTCTCCTCGATAGGCAACACCATTGAAGCCAACTTGACCTTGCAGCCCACCAAAGAATACTTGACATTCTCTCTGACAAGTCTCAGCCTACTCTAGCAACAACATGTTCACTTTCGGCCTTGGTGGCCTCTTCTATGGTAGAATATCTAGCCATGCGCACATCGAATGAAGGCTGACTCCATGTGCAGTCGCCGTTCTCCTCATCAACGCGATAGCCATTCTCTCTGAAGACCGATTCCTCGCACGCAGTACGTCCAGATCCCGCGCAAGCCTCCGCGAACCCCGCTACCCCTCATACCACACGAAGACTGCTTGCAGTTGCGCGCAATGTACTACACCTTTAGGCCTTGCTGACGAGAAATGACAGTTGGTTGGACTGCGGGCGCAGCAGAGCCTGGCTTTGGGCAACGAGACGATGCGAGCATAAAGGCACGATTAATAAACCTGGTTTCTTCAGTACGAACACTTATGAGAAGTACGTCAGCGCCCCCTTGTCAGACATTTGGCCTAGAGACACACTGGGAACATCATGCTGACTCGGCCGTAGTACCGCTCATGTTCATCAACACACTCATGATTGTCTACCTCCTGGTTCTTGGGTGAACAACGCGCGCATACAAAAGCATTCGAGCCCGGCTTTCCACACCGAGCATCAGCATAGCAAGATGCGGGACTCAACGCGCCCGGACATAGGAGGACGTGAATGAGGCGATCCGCTGTTCGAGGCAATACCATTGGCACCAGACGATCGATGTGTAGCGCGGCGTTAGAAGGACCATAGGCTCGACCTACAACAAGAGCTGGAACTCAGGGCCATAAAAGTGTGGCAGACCAGCGTCAGAGCCGAGCTAGGGCGTCTATAGGCAGACTACATAGCCAAACGCCATGTCGTAGAAACGGATGGCAATAATGCAGACGTCACCACTCCAAAAGACACACTCCACGTACCCCGTAAACAGAAGCAAACCGGCACGAGACTTCGCATGGAAAGCGCGGTAGGATGCCAACTGCACACCCGCCCGAGCGCCCACCACCCTCTTCCATCCCATCACGAAAACACCACGGAGCCGTATAACCCACAGAAAGAACACAGCACCCACAGCACCAACCAGACCCATCCCACCGCCAGACAAGTGCTCCACAAGACCTAGTGTCATCTTACACTAAGCTTTCGTAAAACCAAACATTTGTAAGACTAAACAGCTGCGAGCTAAACATCTGCAAGACTTAGCATCTACAGAACTGTGCGTTGACAAGACCAAACATCTCTAATACCAAAAACTAACAAGACAGAGTATCCACAAGTCCAAACATCCACAAGACCCAGTGCTCTACAAGACCCAGTGCTCTACAACACTCAGTGCTCCACAAGACTAACCATCCACAACACCAACCCCCCCTCTCACGCAATCCACCTCCACCTCCACCTCGCATCCCACCGCCAGCCAGACACACACCACACACCAACCCCCCTCGACCCTCAACCCCCAACCCTCCATGTCCAAGACACGAGTCGCACCACATCCCAACAGCCACGCAGCAGGCACAAACCGCCGTGGTGGCGTGTGTCTACCAAGTACCTCCTCTACCAAGTACCTCCTCGAGCAATTTCTCGTAGTACGCGCAGGTGTTTATAACAACTGTGGGCGCGGTGTGTAGGTGGAGCTTACGGGGTATGAGGTATGGAAGTGGCTGGTTTGGGGAGGTGCAGCTGTATGTGTGTGGGTTGGGATGCGGGGATAGCAGTGTGGCTAGTATGGGTATTGGCGCGCTGCTGGAGGTGGTCGTGGCGGGGGTGTTGGGTTGCGTGCCGTGGAGTGTACGGTGGGGAGAATACAGTGGATAGTATACAGCAGGGAGCCTACAGCAGCGCAGACAGCGCGCAAGACAACGCACGAAGAGCCACCACAACCCAACCCAACACACCAGCAGCACGGCTCTCACCCCCTGGAGACGCCGGAGATGGTGTGACCACAATCTAAAGCACACATCAGCAGACACTCGACACTCGACATTCGATTAACGGATTCCCATTCGGCTATGCATCTACACAAGTCACGCGTTGCACGCCAGCACCATGCCATGCCATACCATGCCATGCCGCAAACCATGCTTAAAAACCCCCTTTGCTGCGTCCACTCAGCTACATATACCATACTGGCGCAACGCAACGCAACGCAACGCAACGCAACGGCGATGGCGCCCCGGCGGCGTGGGCGCTTCGGGTGCGGTATGCACGGGCGCCGTGAATGTACAAAATGCCCACTGATACAACTCTCTCTGTCTGTCTCTGTCTCTCTCGCGTTTCTTTCTGTTGTGGTTTCGCGTCTGTGTGTCGACGCATGCATGCAGAGAACGCGACGCGAGACTGTGCTGCAACAGCGGTGCTCCAACAGCCATGCTCCAACAGCCATGCTACATGCTCCATGCTCCGCTCCATGCTCGACTCCATGCTCCGCTCCATGCTCCGTTCCATGCTCCACGACAACGAACACAACACCTAAAACTTGAACACGCTCTTCTTCCGCCCCAAGCCATGGCCCTTGGGCTCGTCGCCGCCGCCCGCCGAATCCTCCCCGTTCGCCTCGCCCTTATCCTTGCCGCCCCAGAACTTCGGCTTGCCTTTGAGACTCATGCTGGAGTGTCTGAAGCGACTCAGGCCCGAGGCCTTGCCGAGCGCGCCGCCGCCGTTGGGGACCGTAGGCGTGCCGGGGGTCGCAGGGGTGTCGTCGGGGCTGCGTTTCCTGCTCTCCTCGGCAGCGGTTTCTTTGGAGGCGGCGAGGGCGGCCTGGAGTTCGTCTTCCTGGCGCTTGTAGTTGTTGCGGCGCTGCTGTTCCATTTCCTTGCGTTTCTGCTTGGCCTGGGCTTCGAGTTCCTTTTCGGCGGCTTTGCGTTCCTCTTTTTCGGCTTTGGATTTCTTGCCAAAGAGGCCGAGGCCGGCGTTGCTCTTCTTCGCGGCAAGGACGGGGATGTTGGTGCTGACGTGTTCGACGGGGTGGGCGTGCTCGGTCGAGTTGAGGGCAGGTGCTGTGGCGGCGTGGTTGAGGCTTGCGAACTGGTCCTCTTCTTCTATCGTTGGCGTCTGTGCTGTCGATAGTCGTTGGGCGTGGCCGGCGCCATTTGGGAAACCGTTAGTTTTTGGTGATGTAGCAACAGTGACAGCCTCTGGGTTGAGTTCTGATGCCTGCTTCGCGGCGGCTTCGCGTGCATCTGCTTCTTGCTCTTTCATCATAGCCTCCTCGGTTGTCTCCTGGTAGAAGAGAACATATGCGCACGCAAGGACGTTTTCTCCGCCAAAGAAGTTGCGCACATAGGCTTTGTCGACAGGCTCGACCATCTCATCGTCAAACAGAAGCCAGCCGCGGTCCTGGGTCTTGATGATGGAAACATAATGGCCGTGGTACGGACCGCCGCCGATGTGGACGACGATAGCATACAGCTCGTACAGCCGGTCGGGATCTTCCGCATCGTCTGTCGTGTTGAACAGGCGGAGATAGTACGGGTATACGACGCGGTGGAACAGCTTCTGTAGCCGTTGCAGATCCTCTGTATACTTGAAACGCTTCAGGTGCAGCGCTAAGATCTTCGGTAACCGTTTGATCTTCATCCTCTTCTCTGCTTCCTGCAGGCCTCCGCAGTTGTCGCAGTGGAACTTGTTGCGCTCGCACAGCATCTCTTCCTCGGAAAACTTTCGTAAGCAGCTGGTGACGGACGAGTGCTGCTCGAGATCGACCGACAAGTCCAGGAAGGCCTCGTCTCGCTGCGAGGTGTTCTCGCATGTCAAGCACCGTGTCTCGGATGTCAGCGTGCCCTCGAAGAGCTCGTGCACCCAACCGGTGTTGATATTGTTGTTGTTGTTCAGCGCAGGGGCGACGACGCCGTTCTGCTCGGTCTCGCCGACCTCTGCGATGCGTGACTTGGAGAACTGCTCGACGTTCTCGACGACCTCGTTCAGCAGCAGGTTCAGGAACTCGTGGGCGTCCTGGTGCATGGGGGTGCGGAACATCTCGTTGTCGCGGCGCAGGATCTCGAGGAACTTGTGGGGGCTGACGACGCCCATGCGCGAGCTGTTCGCGATGACGGCCTCGAAGATGTCCTTGAGCGAGGTGAAGAGCGACTCGGACATGCCGTAGGCCTTGGCGTTCTCGTAGTCCATGGTCAGCACGGGGCCGGCGGCCAGGGCCTGCTTCTTCTTGTACTCGGGCGAGTCCTTGTTGTCCTCGGGCTTGGGCGGCTGGCCGGGCAGCGGCGGGGCCTTGGAGGTGGGACTCGACAGCGAGTTGCGGCCGGCGGGCGAGAGGGCGGACTGGCCATTCTGCAGGTTGGTGTTGATGCGCGGCAGCGACTGCGGGCGCTCGAGCGTCTCGGGGGCGGAGCGGGCGGGGAAGTTGATGACCTGCTCGCGGAAGGGCACCGAGTAGTACAGGCACTGCACGACGGAATTGCAGTAGCTGGCGGTCAGTCAGAGGCAGCGGGTCAGTGGCGGCGGCGGCGGCGGCGGCTTACCAGGTGCTTCCAAACTGGGGGGGTCAGCAGCGTCGTCGCGCGGGGCGGGCGCACTCACATTCTCGAAGCCGAAGAACTTGTCGCTGCCGTCGCCGCGCAGAGGCCCGGCGTTGGCCAGCAGCTTCTCCAGCGGCGTCGGCTCGGGCGCGTTGGGGTCCTTCTTCGCGACCGGGTGGCCAGCGGCGGGACTGGCCGGGGCCTGCAGCCGTCAGTACGAGCCATTGCGCGGCGGCGCGTCGCAGCAGTCGCGGGGGCCTTCGCAGGGGCACTCACAGCGCCCGACTTGAGGCGGCCGAAGAACGAGCTCATCGTGGCAGCTCGCGGCGGCGGGCGCGCGGGGGGGCGGGCAGAGGCGTGCAGGCGGAGGTGCGGGCGAGGACCGGCGGCGAGCGAGATGCTGGGGTAGAGCCCGGGCGAGCAGACATGGGGCAGCGGCGCAGCACAGGTCCGTATTACTATGGCACAGCAGCAGTGGCAGGATGCAGAGCAGAGCACACGCAGACCGCACGGCACGCCAGCGGGCCTCGCTCAGCACGACGGCCGGCCGTCTTGAATCGTCCCGAGCGCGACGAGGCTTGGAGGCAGTCGGCCGCCCGCCCAAGCCCCCAGGCGTCTAGTCGTCCCAGTTGACGCGAACTCCGAGCGCCCGGTCTCCCCACAGAACCCCACCCATGCATGCGCAACCCTGCAGCCGCAGTGAACGTTGCCAGCGATCGGCACTGTCACTGCGAGTGCGTCACCAGCGTCGAGCGTCGCCGCCGCGCCTGGCTCCAAACCACGTCCTAGCCGGCCGGCGGCTAATGCTGCGAACGCGCTGATCACGGGGCCTCAGGCTCACGGGCTCACGGGCGTCCACTGGCACCTCTATTACTGCATTGCTACTGCTCGCGCCTGCTGCCGGCCAGACATGCACCGCGCGCGCGGGCCTTGTTCGTCCGCTGCTCACCTGTCCACGCCACATCACAAATGGCGCAAATCCACTAACCCGCCCAACAGCCATGCCCCATTTAGCCGTCCAGCCTCCGTCGCCCACACGAGCCTGCCCGCACCGCGTGGCCTGGAGCCTCCACCAACGCCCGTGAAATGCAAGTGCCGCGCAGTCGAATGCAACTACATGTACATGGTGTTACAACAGAAAGTAAAATAGAATGAAACGCAAACTGCTTCACAGCCGCCGCATTCGCTTGCCAGCGCCCAGCTCAATCGCCGTGCGGCTGTTGAGTATCAGGTCTTCGTTCCCGCCCGGTGGCGGGTTCTTCTGGATGTATTCCCGCCGTATGCGTGAAGCCTCGCTGTCCCAGCGGACCACTCGCTCCTTGAAGTCTGCTGCGTGAGACGTTGCACTGTCCCGTGCATTGTCAGCCTGCTCCTGGAAGGGCTTCTTGACGTCCTCGCCCGCCGTCCGCCACTTGAGGCCGATGGCAATCCGGACCTCCTGCTTTGACGCTTTTGCCTCTGGGTTGCCCGTGGCAGCCACACGCGCGTCGTCGCACTCTTTCTTAACAGTGTACCAGTAGTCTTTGGTGAAGAGCAAAAACGGATTCACTCCAGAGCGGCCTGGTTTGATCGGTCGCTCGCCAATCTCCTCTAGAATAGCACCAATAATGGCCGCCTCGTAGTCTTCGTCCTGTTGAGCTCGTGCTGTCTTTTCCGTCTGCGTGGGCAACACTGCAGGCGCAAACCCTGGTTTGAAGTCCGCGAACGAGGGAGTAGCTGGCTGCTCGAGCTTGATCTTCTTCTCCACCAACGGACTGGGGACTTCGATAGGCCCGCTCATTGCTTCATATACTTCAGCGGCAGCGCGGAGGCCTGACAAGTATGCGCCATGAACCGTAGCAGGATGCGTTCCACATGTCGCTTCTCCTGCGAAATGTAATGGACCATGCGGTCGAGCCATGACGTCGTAGTCGCCCGTCTGTGTCTTTGCGCCAACGTATGAGTAGCTGCCGCGGGCAAAAGGGTCTTTGCTCCATCTTGTGACAATAGCCTCTGTGGGAAGTGGAACCGTCTTCGATGCGAACATCGAACTCAGTCGGTCTGTAACTTCTTTGACCAGCTGGTCGTTTGACGTCGCCTCAGCGTAGTGAGCAGCATCGCCAGCCATAAGCGCAACAAGCGTTGGCTTGCCGCTGGTCTTGATACAGTTCCAGAACAAGTAGAATCGTCCTCGCCGCGCCCTATAGTCTTCAGGTCGGAGACTGGCTTCGTGCTCGGCTTCGTTCAGCAAGCCGAACATGTCACGGTCGGGCTCCCAGAAGGCCTTTTCGTATACTAATATGACCTTTACGCGCCATTAGTCACTGCAATCCAAACACATCCAAACACTGACCTTGTTGAGTAGTCCGAAGCCCATACGCTCAATCACACCCTGTTTCCAGTCGGGAAGAGGCGGCTGGAACGTTATTGACCCTGACTTCAAAACGCCTAGAGGTGTTGTCAATACAACTCGGTCAGCCTCAAAGGACTGTCCGTTGCTGCATTCAATCGTCACAGCTTTCCCAGTCCCGGTCTCCTCCGTATTGTACCGGACTGACTTGATCGGCGTGTTGAAGCGAACGTCCAGTTGGCTCGGCGACTTCCAGAGTCCTCGCGGAACTTGCTGGTAGCCTCCAATGACCTCCGAATGCTCGCCTTCGAACTCATTGCCCATATCCTGATCCCAACCGCCCAGACTGAGCTTGTTGACACTGACTGCATTTGCATATTCAAGATTGGCATGGTGCCAACTCAGTAGCCGCATGTCTCTCGGTTTCATGTCAACGATAGCTTGATATTGCTTGATACCCTCGTCCATAGTGTGACCCAACGTAGGGAATTCTGTTGTCTTCGCAACTGCATCCAAGTCTACAGTCTGTGTCATTGACACCCCTGCTTTGAGCCTCCACCCAAGATTGTGAATCCCCTCAGCCGCTGTGATGTCCGGGTTGAAGCCAGCACTAAGCTGGTAAGCTCTACCAGCCAGCTTCTCTACTCCCGTTGTAGGTTTATCGACTGTTGTCGACGCCGTACTCTTCGCATTAACAGACAACGGCGCGTCCGAATTCTCCAGTTCCGCAACCGTTGGTCCACCGTTATCGTTTGCGTCGCGGCCAAACATTATAAGGTTACGATCGCCCTCTACAATTCGCTGCGCGGGAGCTTTGTTTCGATAAACGCTGGCTCGCTCCAACACATCATTGTACAGCCTCTCTACCAACAGGTCAGGCTCACGGTCTACGGTTGTGCCATCGTAATCATAGAGTATCGTATTATCGCGTAAACCATGGTATGGAATACCGAGCTGCCCACGAATAATGGCGTTCAGAGGGTTGCCGTGCTCGAATCCTGTGACGATCTGCGCGCCCATCTCGGCTGTACAGCGGTGCCCCGGAGGAAGCGAAGAGTTAGTTTGATTGAGAAAGGGATGTGAGTACACCCTACCACCTACGCGTGGACGGGCTTCAATGACAACGATCTTCGGTGGACGTTCACCGTCGTTGAGTGGTTGATCTGCCAGCTGAGCGAAAAGCGCTTCCAGCTGTCGAGCGCAACCTAGGCCTGACATCCCAGCACCGACAACAATAATCGTTCGCTGTGAACTGTCCTTCGTTTTCTTCTTAGACATTGCTGGTACCGTATCCGGTACCTCAACGCATCCGAAGTTGATGTATCCGTTTCTGAGAAGCCACTGGTATGCTACTTTTGCAAGGCCAAAGAAGCGCTTGTCTCGAGTGCAACCTGCGGCTTCTTCGGATGAAACGTAGACCAGAGGATTGCGGTGCCATAATCTCAAGATCGCGTTCCGTATGTTGAGGTAAATGGTGACCTGCGCGTGGTTGATATGGTTCCTTAGAAGCCGATATTCTGTTGGATGCAGGGCAAACGGATTGAGTCTACTGCTTTCTGCTGCCAGAATGCATTGCCTGCCAAACTCTGGCCATGACATGTCGCTAGGTATGCTTGAATTTGCTCTCCACTCCACCGGCTTGCCTTTCGGAGTGGTTACTAACCGCCGCTTAGCAGTACGCTCATTTGATTGTAATAGCTCAGGTGTCGAAGATGGTTGAGATTCGCGGCTCAAGCTTTGTGGCGTTCTCGTTATGAAGCTGTGCTTGGTTGAGGCATCTTTCAGTCTTGATATCCCGTCGCTCTGATGAGTGACACTCCCATCAACAGCCTTGGATATCCCATTCCCATTGTTGTTCGAGTTGTTTCCGTTGATACCGTGTGTTCCATTCTCCACCGTGGAGTGCGGTGTATTTGGACATGGCAGTGGCGAGGGAGTAAGATTGAAACCATACGCATTCGTGAAGGGACCAGGTGTAGATCCATCTGCCTCCTGATTGCCGCTTTGATGACTGGTCTCCGATGTGTCGTTGTTCTCGCCGTAGTGCACGGACGATGTCGCCGATTCTCTGCCATAGCCAATGTTACTAAGCCCAGGCATAGGAGCGGTACCACCCTTCAGATCCATGCTTCCATGCGTTATTGGTAGCGACAGAAAGTCTTGGTGAGATTGCTCGAACATATCGGAGTCGTCATCCAGTGTATTTGTGTCGGCCCCAGACGCAAAGGCGGAAAACATGATGATGGCCTCCACCCGGGAGGGATAATCTCGTGCGAACACCTGATGTTCCCGCACAAGGGTTACAGATCGCGCAGGTCCATGCGACAAGATGTAAAGGGGATCCGAAGTATGTAACGAATGATTACAGGTCCTGCAGGCATGGAGGATTCGATTGTTGTAAAGATGTTAGATCCCATGCGCGGCGGGCGTGAGTGAAGAGGTTGAGCACGGGAAGCCTAGCCACACGAGTGGCCGTTCCTTCTTCGGCAGCCGCGTTTAGAGCGATCCCTGCGCAGCTCCATCGCACCCCTCTTCGCCGCCTTCTAAGTTCCACCCACTTCAAGCATCGCTTTTGGCTAAGACCTGCACCCGGAGATACGTGCAGTCAAAGGCCACCTTACTCGATCAGGTTGGTGTTGATTGAGCACCACTGATCTCGGAGCGCTGGCCCACACTTCTAGAACCGTAATGAGAACAAATTCTCCCCTCGTACAGCATTGACATCGCCGCATCGTCGAAACAACGGCAACACGATAATTTAGCGCACAGCAATCAGGTCGATATTCGATGCGTATTCGTGAGGGGTACTGTGCGCTATCCACCACGTAGCTCATATTCCACGTAGTCGACACGATTGATGTCTACATGAATAATAAAGCTGGCAGACGAACTTCGAGTTTATGAGGTTTGAAATCCAGACAGGTAATTCTGGTGGCATGAAGTCGCTCCTGAGGCATCTTGCGATGACCTTCCGCATCACTCGTCACCTGGAGTTGTGAGATACTATCTGGACCACTGACAGAATCCGATACTTAGAGATGGCAAGCAGCGCCCGCTATGGACACTTGGTGCTGAAACATGCATAGTCCGGGCAAATCAGTATGGCCGCGTTATCGAAGATTGTTGTAAACGAAAGCTGACATGGTCAACAGAGCGCGAACCCTCGACGCCGAGACGATAGCTGTCTTAGATTCGACGATATTCATGATGATTGGGCTTATTACGAGGAACAACCACAACATCTGAACACTATGAAGACCGTCGAAGACCGCTGTAGACTCTTCTAGTGCGGGTAGACGATCCTTCAACAAGCGGAGATTGAGCCTACAAAGGCGGGATTCATCAGTTTGCTTGCATGTTGTTGGCGCAAGGACCGTGTTCCGTGAATGAGGCTGGAGGTGGTGCTCGCAACGAGAGCGCCGAGGTAATAGCCTGCTATGTACAATTGTGCACGTTTGTGTCGTAAGCCATACGAAGCTGCCGACTCACGATGCTGATTTGATTCTGCCTTGCCGGGCAATCTTAGTGGTGACACCGATTGTGTATGTTCTCATTGTCGCTCAATTTAGAGCGAAGTATAATACGAAAGTGACTGCATTCGAGCATTATCGATCCATGTACTGCAGGTGCATGCAAGTGAGCCTATCACGTGGAGGCGGGAAGCTGGGCACGGGCGGCCAGTGATGTATTTCGATTGACGTAAATGCGGACCCCCGCAGCAACGTTGTTTACCAGAAACAACACCTTTTGCAAAACTAAACGATGCGATGGCCTTGGTCAGGCGACGATAATGAACGGAAGAAGACCGGCCTCGCAGCATGGACTGAACATTACAGCTCAGATGACTGGGCGGCATCGTTATTGGAGCCAAGGACCCTGATCCCATCTCTTGCGCTCACAGTGACCACCGTCGCTGGTGTTCGCCTTTACAAATCCTACCTACGGAGAATACCCAGCGTCAACCACATCAAACCCGACTACTTTCGGCGCAAAAGTTTGTTTGGTCAGGTCACAAGCGTTGGAGATGCAGACAACTTCAGACTGTATCATACCCCTGGCGGACGACTGGCAGGATGGGGCTGGTTGCCATGGAAGAGTGTACCAACGAAAAGAGACCAACTCATGAAACAAACAGTAAGCATGCACCTCTACTATGGCGATAAGTGCTTGGTCTTGCTCTTTGCCATGACACTGACAGGAATTGAAGCTGCACATTCGAATCGCGGGAGTCGATGCGCCAGAACTCGCGCATTGGGGCCGAGAAGCTCAGCCGTACTCAAAAGAAGCACTTGAGATGCTTACCGACCTCATTCTTAACCGACGAGTTCGTGCGCAACTATACAGACGCGATCAATACGATAGAGTGGTAGCGCAGGTCTACTACCGGAAATGGTTCTTCAAGAAAGACGTGGGGTTGGAGATGCTGAAGGCCGGCTTAGCCACCGTCTACGAAGCCAAGTCTGGGGCTGAGTTTGGAAATTCTGAAGCAGAGTATCGCGCTGCTGAAGAGCAGGCCAAAGAACGCAAGGTCGGCATGTGGTCGAAACCTGGACTATTACAAAGGCTGGCTGGCGCAAAGGCTCAGGGCCTAGAGAGTCCACGAGAGTACAAAAGTAGACATGCGGCAGCAGACAAGTCAAAGAAGACTTGAGCAACAAAGATTACAACACAGAAGTGTGTGAGGAATTCATCTGCATATTCAAGATTCCATGGCATCATGTAGATGTGAGAAGCACGCTCCACGGGGTACCATCATGCGACCTCTTGGAAGCAATGCCAGGTCTTCGCACTCGGAATCCAAGAATTCTGACTCTTCGATCTGAGGATTTTGATTGCAAGCTATGCCATCGCCCAGTCGATGATCAACGCTACTAGCGCGCACAGACGTGCCTAGGACGACAAAGAAGGAAATCTGCTCTTCTGACGCGGGCACCTCTGACGCAGTCTAAAGTACCGGTTTGAGTCGTAATGACTCCTTCGGTGTGGAATAGGGTCCGTGAGCTCTGCGGGTGACGGCAGCCCGCAAAACTGCTTCAAAATTTCTTCCCGCCAGTGCGCATGCCAGTGTTAGTGTTCGGCGCCGTTATCGGCCCTGATCCGAATGGTCTTTGTGTGAAGCACAGTGCTGGCTGAACGAGAGAGAGCGTAACGAGTGACATCGAGCCAGTGTACAAAGCCAATCAAGCAAGCGCAATCATGCTGAGTAGTCAATTGATTCATTTGTGTAATAAAAAAAAAGCATCAACCCTGGGTTCCGTTGACTCAAGCGGGCCCTGCGCACTGAACCACGGGTCTTATCGCAATCGGATGGAGCTAAAATCGGCAATAGAAAGTTTGGCAAGCTTCACATCTTCCCCACGATTCAATAATTCATATAGAGTCACATTCCCTCTGCTCTGTTGAGCTTGAGCTCTAGCACCCCTCAATCGCACCTTTAGCCCTCGAGCGACTTCCTCTCGCGCGTTCGTCGCCCTCTCCTCTACGTCACTGGGTGTTCTCAGAGCTCGGCTCAGCAGCTGCTTTACCGCCTGCAACATGGCTCTCTGCGCGCGTCTGGCACGTCGCGTACCTACTACGACAGGCCAATTCCGCAGCATTGCATCTTCTGTCTCTGCGCGAAGCTTCACATCTCGTACAGCTCGTCCTTTGACCTCCCTCCGCGCGAAGGGTGAGTCAACTGCGACATACCGCCAGCTGCGCGCTTTCACAAAAGTCTCGTCCACTTTCAACCAGACACAGGAAGCGCCAAATGCGCAGGCCTACCTTAACAGCGGCGCCATTTCTGGTGCCCGCGATCTCGTCGACGTGAAGAAGGTCTTGGTCATTGGTAGTGGAGGTCTCAGCATTGGACAGGCCGGAGAGTTCGACTACTCAGGTATGAAAGAGCAGATGCTAAAAGAGATGCTGCATACTAATTCGTAACGTAGGCTCTCAGGCTTTGAAGGCCCTTAAGGAGGCTGGCGTACAGTCGGTGCTTATCAACCCCAATATTGCGACTATCCAGACATCGCACGTGCTTGCCGATGAAATCTACTACCTGCCTGTCACCCCCCGAATACGTCGAATATGTCATCCAGAAGGAGAAGCCCGATGGCATTTTCCTGTCCTTCGGTGGACAGACTGCGCTGAACCTGGGTGTCCAAATGAACAGGAAGGGCCTCTTCGAGAAGTATGGTGTCAAGGTTCTTGGAACAAGCGTCAAGACTCTCGAGACTTCTGAGGATCGTGATTTGTTCGCAAGGGCTCTGGACGAAATCGATATCCCCATTGCCAAGTCGATTGCTGTCAACACTGTCGACGAGGCTCTCGACGCTGCCGAGAAGGTCGGCTACCCCATCATCGTCCGTGCTGCGTACGCGCTCGGTGGTCTGGGATCTGGTTTCGCCAACAACCCCGATGAACTCAGGGACTTGTCTGCTCGATCGCTCACTCTCTCCCCCCAGATCTTGGTTGAGAAATCGCTGAAGGGCTGGAAGGAGGCTGAGTACGAGGTCGTTCGTGATGCGGCTGATAACTGCATCACTGTCTGCAACATGGAGAACTTCGACCCTCTCGGTGTGCACACCGGTGACAGCATTGTCGTCTCGCCTAGTCAGACTTTCAGCGATGAGGAGTACCACATGCTCCGCTCTGCCTCGATCAAGATTGTGCGACACTTGGGTGTCGTTGGTGAGTGCAACGTACAGTACTGCCTCCAGCCCGACGGTCTTGACTACAGGGTCATCGAGGTCAACGCTCGTCTTTCTCGTTCTTCTGCTTTGGCCTCGAAGGCTACCGGTTACCCCTTGGCCTACACTGCCGCAAAGATTGGTCTCGGACACACTCTGCCTGAGCTCCCCAACGCTGTCACCAAGACCACCACTGCCAACTTCGAGCCCTCCCTCGACTACGTAGTCACAAAGATGCCCCGATGGGATCTGAGCAAGTTCCAGAACGTGAAGCGCGACATCGGTAGCTCCATGAAGTCCGTTGGTGAGGTCATGGCTATCGGTCGTACATTCGAGGAGTCTTTCCAGAAGGCCTGCCGACAGGTTGACCCCAAGTTCCTCGGCTTCCAGTCCGAGAAGTACGGCGAGAGCCTTGACTACGAGCTTGCGAACCCCACAGATCGCCGATGGCTCGCTGTTGGTCAGGCCATGTACCACGAGGGCTACACTGTCGACAGGGTGCACGAGCTCACCAAGATTGACAAGTGGTTCTTGTACAAGCTCCAGAACATCGTCGACTGCACAAAGGAGCTCGAGGAGATCGGCAGCCTCTTTGGCCTCAAGAAGGAAATCATCCTCAAGTCCAAGAAGCTCGGTTTCTCCGACAAGCAGATTGCCAAGGCTGTCAACAGCACCGAAGACGAGGTCCGCGCTCGCAGGAAGAGCTTCGGCATCAGGCCCTGGGTCAAGAAGATTGACACCCTGGCTGCTGAGTATGTTCCCCATCTCCACTCATCGATCTCTATGCTAACTTTCAAAAGATTTCCCGCTGACACAAGTACGTTAATGACCCTCCCCTGTGCTTCGTACGCTTGCTAACACGTTATAGACTACCTTTACGTAAGTCCCTGATCCCCTACCCTTGATCTCCTTTGTTTTGAGTACCCCTTCCTATTGAATCTTTCCCCTTTTGCCATCTCCTAGACTGGACTTCCCTGGATTGCTGGAGGTCATCAGCGCTACCTGCACTACTGCACGCACATCACACACCGCTCTCTGGAGGCCTTCATTTGATCTGCCTACCCGTTGTACACATCAATATTTTTTGTCCTGCCACTCTACCGGACGGCTCGTAGGAGGTCTTCTACACTACACGGTCACTGCACATATTCGACATGCGGTCTCTTGGAGGCCTCTAACGGTCTTCTACCTACTATTGCGATATCTGCAAGAAGTCCTGCCACCACAAGTCCGACCTTGACGAGCACAACAAGACAGAGAAGCACCGTGCCTAAGAAGCCAACCCACACCGCGACTCTTCGAGTGTGGCCCTTGCGGCTATGGCACCGACGTGCGCAAGAACTGGGACTGTCGCTGCAAGGGCAGGAAGCACCAGGCTTTCATGTTCGAGCTGAAGGCTACCTCATTGAGCTCTGAGCTCTTTGGGTAACTCAAATCGACAGCCTCGATCTTTTTGACGTCGTCTGATATACTCAACGCGTCATATATCCGGTGGCATCAGCTAATCGACACTGTCGATACCGAGTTGGAGCTCATGATCGTCACTATTCGCTCTGTCTGAGCGGCTCGTTTGGCGCACTTTCTGGACCGATTGAAGAGCCATTTAATGTCTAACTGAGGACCTTTACGCCACTTCATCAGATTTCCTCAACGCGAAATTTCGTCATTGTTCACACTTCTGCAACTACTAATCTTTACTTCAGACCACCTACAACGCCTCCTCCCACGATGTCTCGTTCGACGACCACGGTGTCCTCGTCCTTGGTAGCGGTGTCTACCGTATTGGTAGCTCTGTCGAGTTCGATTGGTGTGCTGTCAACGCCACCATGTCGCTCAACAAGCTCGGCAAGAAGACTGTCATGATCAACGTACGTTTCCCTGAAAGCCTCCAGGACTATCTGTCCGTCCCCAGGCCTTTGGAAAGACTCAATTGTAGTACACATGCTAACATATCGCGACAGTATGTAAGCTACAATCCCTGCCGCAGACCTCCCATGCACGGACCACTTTCCTCCAATTTTTGGAACTCCGGGTCCAACCCAAGTATACCCCTTCACCCTTACCCAACCCCAACCTCCTTTACTTGAATGTATTATGCTAACTTGACGGATCCAGAATCCTGAGACTTATGTCGGTAACCCCCGATTCCGCTGGTTTTGCCATTGCTGACATATTTTAGTCGACCGATTTCGACGTCGCGGACAGGCTCTACTTCGAGGAGTTGAGCTACGAGCGTGTCATGGATATCTACGAGCTGGAGACCGCCCAGGGTGTCGTTGTCTCTGTCGGTGGTCAGCTGCCTCAGAACATCGCCTTGAAGCTCCAGGAGTCTGGCAAGGCTAAGGTTCTCGGAACCGACCCTAACGACATTGACAAGGCCGAGGACCGCCACAAGTTCTCTTCGATCCTGGACTCCATCGGCGTTGATCAGCCCGCGTGGAAGGAGCTGACTTCGTACGAAGAGGCGAAGAAGTTCGCTGACGCTGTCAAATACCCTGTCCTGGTTCGCCCATCCTACGTTCTCTCCGGTGCTGCCATGACAGTCATCCGCAGCGAGGATGAGCTCGAGGAGAAGCTTCTGGCCGCCTCTTCCGTCTCGCCTGACCACCCTGTTGTTATCACCAAATTCATCGACGGCGCTCAGGAAATTGACTGCGATGCTGTGGCCTCCAACGGAAAGGTCCTTGTTCACGCTGTCAGTGAGCACATCGAGAACGCTGGTGTCCACTCTGGTGATGCCACACTTGTCCTGCCTCCTGTCAACCTCAACACCAGGATCCAGGAGCGCGTTAAGGAGATCGCCGACAAGGTCGCCAAGGCATGGAACATCACCGGTCCCTTCAACATGCAAATCATCATGGAGGAGGTCGAGGGTGCGGAGCCCAACCTCAAGGTCATTGAGTGCAACCTTCGTGCATCCCGCTCATTCCCCTTCGTCAGCAAGGTCCTTGGCACCAACTTCATCGATGTTGCCACCAGGGCTCTTGTCGGTCGCGAGGTTCCCGAGCCTACTGATCTCATGAAGGTTGACCGTGACTACGTTGCCACCAAGGTTCCTCAGTTCTCCTGGACCAGGCTGGCTGGTGCTGACCCCTACCTCGGCGTCGAGATGTCCTCCACTGGTGAGATGGCCTGCTTCGGTAAGGACCTCATTGAGGCCTACTGGGCAGCTGCTCAGTCGCAGATGAACTTCCGCCTGCCTCAGCCTGGTGAGAGTCTTCTCTTCGGCGGTGATGTCACAGCTGGATCTCTTCACTCCAACTCCCTGATCCAGATTGCCAAGTACATCCAGTCTCTTGGCTACAAGTTCCTTGCCGCCAACGAGAACGTCAAGGCTCTGCTCGAGAAGAGCGTCGAGGGTGTCAAGGTCGAAGTCATCGCTTTCCCCAAGGAGGATAAGCGTGCTCTCCGTGAGGTCTTTGAGAAGAACGACATCCGTGGTTGCTTCAACCTGGCCAAGTTCAGGGCCAACGGTCTGCTTGACGAAGACTATGTCATGCGCAGGAACGCAGTCGACTTTGGCGTCCCTCTCTTCATGGAGCCCAAGGTAAGCCAGGACTCTCATCTCCACCATCATCACATGCTAACAGTCCACAGACTGCTGTCCTTTTCGCTCAGTGCATGAGCGAGAAGCTGCCCAAGAAGGAGGGCATCCCCACCGAAGTCCGCACATGGAGCGAGTTCGTTGGTGGACGACCATTGTAAATGACATGTACTCATTATCCTGCTTCACGGCAGAGTAACATGGGAAGAATAAAAGAGCCATATACCCACCGGGGTCGGATAGGATAGGTCTGTGAGGCAAGCAAGACGGATCAACCTCGAGGAGATTTTGTGTCCTGTTTATACAGCGTTCTCGACTCATCTACAAAGGAAGTTTAGAGGAGTTAGGAAATGCTTTGGCATGAGGTTTGTGCGGTAAAAGGCTCTCCTCTCGAATTTGTAAGCTAGTAATTCATTTGATACGATCACCATATGTTCACTCAGATGCAAGTTGTCCGCAGTGATAATCGGATTCTATATATGCGTCTAGTTGTAAAATCACCCGTCCGCTGAGCATCCGAGCGCTTTAGTGCCTACTGAAGGGTAGCAGTAACCTGTCGAGAGCTTCTCTGAGAACTCAGTTCCCGCTGCGTTCGCGTAGACGGGTTTGCTCTCCGCGCTAGGAGAGTCAAGTTTGCAAGATCCATGGCATTTGCTCCCTGGTTGGTTCCGGCATTCTGAGACGCACCTGTACGGGTTCTTATACGCCTTGTCCTTGGTACAATACACGGATACCTGTCTGCATACTGAGCCAGCGTCAGTACAGCCTTGACCGCCGGTTAACGGGACGGGAACGCAAAGCGGAAAAGGGTCCTTGTTGCGTGTGCCCTTGCTATTCACGGCTGCGTGGAAGCTGTCACTGTCATCGTCATCCCACTTGGCTTGCGCGATTGATGTTGTGTTGAGGCTGAGGACGGGCTTCTGTGCATCTGGCTGAGGCGGTGCGATGGGGTTCGTGTTGTTGGTCTTGGAAAACCCGGTGGATCCCTCCACGCATAGAGAAGAGTCCGTGAATGCTGCAGCAGAGACGTCGTGCCACAAGCGGGTCATGTTGTAGATGTTGTCCACTGTGTAGTAGATGCGGCAGTCGGCGGCTTCATACTTGAATTGCAGCGGAGTAGTGTCTTCTTTTCTGATCTGATCGCGAAGATTAAATCCGCCGTACTTGACGAACATTGCGGAATCTCTGATCTCGGGTACTGTCGCGTTGACGTTCGTTGCGACGCTCTCGTCAAGGCTTCGTGCGTAGATCATGTCGTTGTCCAGTGTCCATGTGTCGTATGATCTGGCACCACGGGTACCACTGGCGGCTTGCATAGGCCCTTTTGTTGGACGACCTCCAGCGACCACCGTCTTCGCTCCTGCCTGCGTCATCATCTCGACAAATAGAGCACAGGCAGATGCGCAAAGGCCGTCAGTAAGCAGGACGATACGATCCGCCTGCACAGGTCGTGGTAGGAACGGCCCGATGCTGTTTTCAGGTAGATACCACGTTGGAATCCACTCATCGAAGGCAGCCTAAGAATTATCAGAGCGAGCTACTATCTCGGTGGCTTGAACCGACTTACGGTATCAAAGGTAGGGTTGGCTAGGTCATATTGCTCGACAAGGGAGAACTCGTCATCTTGCGCCCTGATTGGTCCCTGGTATTCGGACCAGCTGCTGAAATTGCTGCCAGTAACAGCATTGAGTCGATCGGTGATGACCCATTCGTTCGCTGCATTGTCATACTTTATGTACTCTTCCGTCTCGTTGGCTTCGCTCAGAGAGGACCACCATTCCGTGGTCGCTGAGCCCATTACATTGGCTACATCAAAGCTGCGCCTTCTGCTCCCTGCAAACGGGAACAGATCTGGAAAGAATTCTTTAAAGGTGGTGAATGCGAGCAGGGGAGTGCCTCCAGAGTTACGTTGGAGGTCGATCACGACCCTGTCTACACCTGCAGTAGAGATGTTGCGGACAAAATAAGAGACTGTATCCGTCCAATTCCCTAGTGTCTCTGGGACACCGTCAAAGCTTGGAAGGCTCAAGACGCCCGTGGAGATGTCCTTGTAGAAGTATCCAGACACGAGACCGGTGTAATAGACACCGAGGTCGTATTGAACGATGTCCGGGTCTTCCGGAAAGGCACCGAAGCTTGCCTCTGACCAATTCCCAGGAGCAGCCTGCACAGTGCCAGAGCTTTCCAGCGGGGAGGCAACAGGCTCAAACGAAGCAGGCAAGAGACCGAGCACGAAGTAGTTGTAGAAGTCACCACCTGTCGTCAAAGGGCCTGTGGCATTGGCAGGCTCGTTGTAAATCGCCACCCAAATGGTGTCCTTGGACGTGCCGTTCTCGTACGTGAAAGTCAGATTGTCGCCCGGGTAGAATGTGCCTGCACCGGAGAATGTAGTCAGTCCACCTAGAATGTCAAGTGTAGGATGAGACATCAGATCGTTCCATTCAGCATGCGGCTCAACATATCCCCATGAGTTTAGCGCAGCGTAGGTACTGATAAACTCGTTGACCTCCGTCCCGTTGATGGTGACGATTGGTGACGGTGTCCAGGGCTGCGATGCCTTCTCTGGGAGGAGGTCATCAGTGATGTAGATTTTTGGTGCCTGTTTGCCATCGATGGAGGCTGAGGTAATCTCGTAGGGGCTGCCAAAGGAGAAGGCTGATAGAATGCCGGCGTTCAGTATGACATGACCATCCTTCAAGGCGTACGTCAGGAGCTGGACGTCTGCCTCAAAGTCATACTGGTTGCGGTATGCACCTGCATCGACACGCTGTTGTATCTTCCCAAGTTCGGTCTCAAAATCGACTGCCGGCTGTTGATACCCTTCGGGAGGGTTCTTCAGGTATGCAAGAGTAGTCTGGAATTGGAGAGTTTCGTTCCAATAGGCGATAAAGCGCGAAGCGACGGCACTGTTGAATGGCACACTAGTGAGGCATTCGTAGGCATCGCTGGCAGCAAAGAATGAATACCCTATTCAGCATTAGCTTGATAAGAACGAAAATGCGATAACTAGGGTTGAGATGGTAGTAGCAACGCGTAACGCGCTAATTTTGACCCCTCCCCTCTGCTCTTCAACCTGGAACTGACTCACCTTCGTTCACAGCATCGATGATCTTTCCACAAATCGTCGATTGGGCATCTGAGGCACTTGCAGTAGTCGATGGTTCCTGCCGGGCAATTCTTTGCGGCACTGAGCGGGCAAAGCTGGAGGCCGCAAAGCCGAGCACCAACAAGCTTCTGCAGATCATCCTTTCGAATACAACAGCACAGGCAAGAGGCTGTCAGGATAACGATCTTATTAAATAAGGGGGCATCATTAATTTAAGCAATCTCGTTTTTATCGTTGATGGCGTTTGCAAGTCGGCGAGGCGGACGCCATGCATACGCTCAAATGGCCCCCAAATATACCTATTTGGGGGCGAGTTAAGCCGTCCAGGCACCCGCGGCAAAGCCTTACACCTGCATGTGCCATTTAGAGAATCTGACACCGGCTTCAGCCCCATACACATCGGGACTAAGTGCTGACTGCTCATTACAGGCCCCACTCTGTATGCGCACTTGATTGCAGGCTATTCATCTGCAATACACAACAAACTTCCACAAGGACTTGCCATTCACACCATAGACCCCCGCGTCCAAGATGGAGTACCTGGCTCCACAGCACCTTGACCAAAATATTTCTACAGACATCTTCCCCGACCTTCTTGGATGGGTGTTCGAGAGCGACGCCTTTCAAAGATGGCATCGAGGTCATGGGAAGTGGCAATTGCACTGTATCGGAGGACCGGGGTCTGGGAAGGTGAGCAAATCCATTACGTCGTGTGACAGCCTCAACAAGGAATCGCCACACCGGTGTGGTCCCTCGGAAGGCCACAATCTGTCCGAGCTTTGCTTGTCGTGGAGCTGGTCCTTTTCACTGTTGGTTCACAGAGATTCGGGCGCAAGTCATGTCATTTCAAGATGCTGAAAATAGATACAGTCCTACTGACACCAGAGTAGACAACGTTCGCGAGATTGGCGTCTCGGCACCTAAGGCAGCACCCTGAACATCAAGGCTGTCCTATCATCTTGGTCTGTATCGACAAAGACATCCCCAATTGCCAGATCGACTTCATCGAAGCCTTCTTGGTCACAGTGTATCACAACATTAAGGAGTCTGTCCTCCACCAGAGCGATGAGTCTGACCGGTTGTATGAGGAGTACAGCGACTTATGTGACCCTCAATCGATGGGTGCACAGAGGAGGAAACGACTAGGGTGTCTTCGTCAAGCTGTCCATGCGAGCCTTGAAGCAGCTAACGACAGTTACGCGTTTTTGATTCTTGACGGTATTGACAGATGTGGCCCCACAGTACGGTATATGTTGGAGACAGAATTGGCTGATCTGCAACAAAAAGGAACGAGGGTTCTGTTGACGTCTCGCTCAGCGGCCTTCGAGCAGAGAGAGGCTCAATGCGATATTCGCGAATGTCACAACCATGTCAACCAAATTCCACTGGATATGTATATGCTATGCCTTGACAATAGTTGCGAAGGCTTCACCATGTGTTTTGTGTGCAGAGACGCAGGCAAAACTTGCCACTCGTGGTGAGTTTCCATATGCCCTGGATTCTCCACTCTCTAATGTGTGCTACAGTAATGTCCACGACAACCTCATGGAGGACTATGATCATGTCAACGTCAGGCTATGGGTCCCACCAGATGTGATGAAGGCCTTCATTGCATGGGATTTGGAACGCGAGCATGGCGACCTGGGACTCAACAGTCGCGGTCGGAAGCCCCCTCTGTCTGCACTGGGCGAGAGTTTAGTGTCCACACGGGATGTAAAGCCTATCACACAGCTTGTCGACGATATCGAACTGAACTCATATGGAAACATTGCGATGGCACGGGCGAGATTAGACCTGGTGCATGATATGGAGACTGCTGAGAGCCTCGATGCCAGGAGACAACAACTTCCTGCACCTATCGTTGCCCTGTTCGACTGTGGACTCGAAAGCATCGAGGCTCAGCCCAAGCATCAACGGGCAATTGCGCTGAAAGCTATCGCTTCCGCGGGCCGGTATGATGACGGGGAGGCGATAGATGAACTACGTGAGCAATTACGAGGGTTCGATATCCCTGGTATTTACAGTGGGGAGGAGATTGTCGAAGCAACCAGGGGCTGGCTCGTCGACATAATGGTTGAAGGCCCACAAAGACTCAAGATCTATAACAGGAACTTCCTGTTCTATGTGGAACAGAGATACAATCAAGCTCTTCACCGAGCCGCCATACAAATCGAAGCCAGTAGCCGTCGAGGCTCTGCACTTTCAGAGTTCGGTACACCTCAGAGGTCGTCCACAGCTCGCTTTGAGCCACAGAACACATACGAGGAGCCACAACAGATCAATCCATACAAACTCTCAAGAACTATGACGACTATGCCGGCTATTGAAGAAGCACCTCCTCAGACCTTCATTGTTCGGAAAGGCACGGTAGCTTGGACATAATCTTGAAGAAGGCTATAGAACGCTATTCTAACCAAAACTTCCTCCCCAATCTCGCACTATATTCCTGAGGCGGAAGCTTCTCACTGCCAGCGGTCACTAACAGCCTACTGAATGTCTCCGCGTTTGCACCGCGGAAGTCAAACGCACCCACTCTGCGAAACCGATCTCCTTCTTCTTTATCAACAGACTCTAGAAGAATACCACGACCTTCGAACTCTATATCTCCGCTGCCATGTGTCTGCATGCTCTCTGCCTTCAGTTTTACCACTTTCTTTACTGACAGTACCACAAACTTTGACGGGTGTTCGCCGTTCATCAGGCTTGGGATAGTGTCTGGATAGGCTTCCATTTCGAAATTATTTTCATCGTGTACTCGTAGAACCCATGCTCTTCTAGTCTCGCTGAAGCGAAGTATACCGTGGTTGATATGCCCTTGGATAGCTATAGCGTAGTTGTGAAGTACTGGCTCGGCATTTTCATCCACTTTGTCGGCCTTTTCACCCTGACCGTAGTGGCCTATATCCTTCTGAGCTTTCGTCTTTGCATGTTTGACTTCCAGTACACTATCGCTCTGGACTCGTTGCGGCAGAAACGGTCCCGGACCTCGAGGTCTCGAAGGCAACGACGGCCGTGCGTAACGCTTCACGCCTTTGAGATCGAGTTCGAGGTCACGACCGTTGTGGTCGCACACTGTGCGATGACTCTTGTCGGAGAGTCTGTCGGCGATTATGATCTCGCCGTCCATGGACGCCCATGACCAAGACGGGATCTTTCGCCTTTCTGTGACAGGGCGCTCCTTGAGTTTGCACTCAGCAACCCGCCACGCTAACTGATCTTCGAGGTTGTCTTCCCAGAGGCCTTCGCCGTACTCCACACCCATGCTGTCTTTAATGAGTTTTGCAATACCCCAGAGTGCAATGAGCTTGTCAGAACGTTGTGTCAGGTTACAGCTCGTGTAATTCCGAACCGCACTTTGCCAGTAAACGGAGAGAGGCTGATCATTTGGTCCGGCGAGATCGCGACTGCCTTCGGGTTCCTGGAGGCGGCCTCTCCAGTGTCTGTCGGGTTTCGATGTCTTATCCATGGGTTTTGGTAAGCCGGCCGGAAGACTTTCACAAGCGCTCAGAGAAGGACAATCCCAAAACACCTGGCCCCGGGTGAAATGGAGAATCCGAGGTGACAGCATTCTTTCTGGTGTTGGGTCAGCATCTCGCTAGCATTTGATCTTTGCCACGTACCTTGGAACACCCACCCACGCGTGTACAAACTCGACTGTAATAGCTCACGATCCCATAGATCTTCAGGTACAACCCTCCATTTCTTGCCAGTGAACATGGATGAAGCTTCGCGAGGCGTATACTCGACTGGAGACACATCCATGGGTTCACGACTACGAAAGGCGCCCCCGTACTGACCTACGGAGTCCGCGATCGCGATATTGCAGTAGCTATTCCTGTACACCAGATGCATCTTACTTGCTTCACGTACCCAGTCCTCTGCACTGCCCTGGATGATACAAAGGCTGTCGATCCAGATGTACCCGATCTCAAGAAAGCGAGCAACCTCGATGGCTTGCCTGAAGTTGTTGGTGAGCATGTTCCACGACACACCGTCAGTCATGAACGACTTCCTGTTGTTATCGCGTAATTGGACGAAGTCGGGCTTTCCCCAGCAGTGCGACAGAGAACAGTATGGCCCATGAACAGTCGTTGTCGCGGTCTCTATTACCCGAATAGCGGACTCGGGTGGTCCACTGATATCTAGCAGACGGGTTGGGATGAAACGAGACGCTTTTGGGGTGGCCTTCCTTCGTCTCATGCAGTCTGTGTGCTGTTGGTCGCACCTCCCGACCCACTCGCGGATCTGACGACCGCCGTTCACGCTTGGATTTGTCGACCGACCAAGTTGTAGCAGCGTCGGTAGAGGCTGCAAATCTATGAACAATCAGCGAGATATCGAGAACGGTCTTGCTAAGATCAAGTGCCTACCTTCGTCAGGAAAGAGGAAGAAGGTTCTCGTTGGGAGATCAATATTGTCTAGATCTGCGTCCACTCCGACGGCAAGTCTCTTCTTCGGAGGCACATATCGAAACGTCACGACCGCTGTCTCCGGACTCTCTCGAATCTTGGCCAGACTCCTGATGCTCCAGCGATAAACTGGCCAGGACTCTGCATAGTCAGACTCCTTCAACCACGGCGCCACTCGCCTGATGTCTTTTCGAAGCGTCGAACAAAAGAGGCATCGATACTTCGACGATGGAGTCAGAGCGTCATAAGAGTGATTATGGAAGTCCCAGGAGACGTCGCTTTCCAAGACGTTGGCGATGCAGTAGTCGCACAGCTTCATGCTCGATGTATGTTGAGAGCTAGTTCGTCACAAAGGCACGCGGAGAAGAGTATAACAGATAGATCACACGCATCGTGGAGATTGTACACGGTGCGCGGATTCGGCTTGTCGCATATTGTTAGGCTACAGAGCCGACCGTACAGCGCGTGGGGGCCAAAACTGATTGCTTACTGCCACTGTTGCATGGTGCGACTGGACACCTGAGCATATATATCAAGCATCGGAAGATTTCAGGTAGCAATGAACCCAGATAACCTGACCCCAATATCCCCTAGGTAACATATGAAGTAGCTTTGCGCGAAGACATGTCGTCCAGGATGCAACAGCGACCCTTTCGGAGTACCCCGCAGCGCGACGGAACTTTCCCACCCGACAGCATTGAAGGACAAAGGAAGCAGCCAACGACGTCCCACTGTCCGTCCATGACCACCGCAAACAGCCATGCTGCACCACACTTGTTGCGAGGTCTCTCACCAAGTTACCGTATGGGGCAACTTGTTAGCATTGCGTCGAAAGTAGGCGTCGAGCTTGTAACCTTGAAAACTCCCTAACGCGGCAACCGTCAATTGCAGGCGTTGAGCTTCCTTGCAACTCTAACCTTAACCTTAACCACCTTCGGCCGACCAGCAGCCGTTAACAGCCGCAGGGCTGTCCTGGACCCCAGCACCGCTAAAGTACAGAGGCTCTCGCGTAGGAGGTAGTCGACAACGCAGCAACCATGGATCACGGACTTACAGCGTAGCTGGGAGATATTCGGCCTGGGAGATGTTCGGCTCTTGATAGAGTTTCTCGCATCTGCACATGGGATTGAGTCTGATAATTAACTTCTCAGGGTCTCTAATAGGGCTGGACTAGGTACCGACACCCTGCAGCCGACCTACCTAGCAACACGCGAGAGGCGACTCTGCGACAGCACAAGACACCCGTGCCCGCCAACACGTCAATCGCGCCCTCTAAGAGGAAAAAGAGAAGCACAGCACCCCCGGCGCAGCCCCGAACATACCACAAACAGCAACCCTCCAGCACCGCCGTGGAAAACAGGCGTTGGGCTTGGAAACCGACACCAGCGTAACCCGCAACCCTCGACGCCCAAACGCGGCCTTGTCCTCGGCCCCACGCCAGCCTCGCCCGCCCACGCGCTGCCCGCAACCTTCCGCGAGCAGCTGCCGTCGATTGCAGGCGCCGTGCTTGGCAGCCGTGCGCCTGCCCGAAGCGGCAGCTGTGGGAAACAGGTGCGGGCTTGACGGAAGTCTTGTTTGTGGCTCACGGCCAATTGCGGCGTGGGGACGGGGCTCCTGCGAGAGGCGCCGGAGATGGATGGGTTGGTAATGAGACCGGTCGGGCGAAATGGCGGTTTGGCGAGGGCGCTGAAGCTGAGGCGCGCGGTTTGGCCGAGATGCCAGCGTGAGTACGAGTGTAATGACGTATCGTGGCCGGAAAGGCGCGCGACGGAAGGGTTGATCACGCAGATACATGTAACGAACGTTGTGTGCAATTGTGTTCAGGTTGGATATATCTGGATATTGATAGAGCCCAAATGGCTAGTAGTATATAACAACGCAATCCAATGCCAACAAACCTAAGTTGAACGCCTGTGCTATGCAAAAAATACCACTTTAGAGAGAGCGATACATGTAGTGGCTCTGAGACGAATACCTATATCTCGTCACGTCTAGGGATGTAAATCTCCCAGCTCCTCTCGCCGGGCACCGTGCCTACCCACCAGTCGTACAGGCGCTTGGCCTCAAGAACAGCAATTGTGCCACTGTGAGATGTTAGTGACATTCCTGTAAGTGCGTGAGACGCGTGACTTACAACTTCTTCGGCATGTAATACCATTGGACCAAGACGTATCTGAAGACACGCATCACCAGCTGCCACTCTGCAACCACCTCCTCCCAGACCGTCATCTTGCTGGCATCCCAGTCGCGATTGAAGTCGGGAAGGCCGTCGTCCCTGTACTTCATCTCGGGTTCCTTCTTTTCCAGTGCAAGCTTCGTTTTGAGGACGCCCTGGGAAGGCTCTTGCGATACAGGGACAACCGCTTTAGGGATACCTTCACGCTCGTCGATCATGCGACGGAACTCTTTGATGGCTGATAGTGAATGGGAAAGACGGTCCATGGTGTTGATGAGTGCAACGAGTTCGGTCCTGCGGAGCGGGGGGTCCTTTGAAGAGTCGTTCTCATCGAATTCGAACAGCACCTTGAGGGCTGTGCCGTAGCCGTTCGTCTGCAACTTGCCCCAAAGGCGGCACTTGTCGCAGCCAACGCAGTCCATGATTCTACTCACGTTCCTGAAGCGGTTACGGAAATCTTCCTTCAGAGCAACAGTATCTGGGTCTTGGAACATGACGGTCTCGTCAAAAATCTCGGGACCTGAAGGGAGCGCGGAAGCAAGACGTAGAACAGAGTTCTTGGTGCGCAGATCCTGCTCAGGATCCTCAGAACAGAAGGAGTAGTCCTGGATGTGCTGCTTGATCTTTCCTACCGCGCGCATGACAAGCGCGTAGTTGAAGTAGATATTGGAGATGCGTTCGGGGTAGTTGTGGAGTCGTTGTTCGTAGCAGGAAAGATTTGGTCCCCATTGGCCGGTTGTCTGGTTTAGGTAATCCCAGCACAGGTGCGTAGAGATAGACGCATGCATGCCCGAAACAACGCGGTGGAAGACTCGCTTTTCCAAGCAGGTGTCGTCAAACTCGACGGGATCGAGACGTGCCACAGCCGTTCCGTGGGCGATTGCGGATTGAACCTTTTGCTGAACACCCCCCTCTTTCATGACGTTCCGCAGCTGGTTCGCTGCCATTACTTGCTGCTGATTGCCAAATCCACCAAACGGTGAAGCCCCTAGTGGGTTGGATTGTCCACCGGACTGTCCGGGAGCCATTTTCGGAGGCTTGCTGAAGCAGTTTTCACGGTAGATGGCCTCCCAGACCTGCTGGGCACCCACACCAGCGTATCCTGTGAAGCGCTCCGGGTTGTCCACAAGAGAGACGTAGTCGCCCTTGGCCGGAGCGAACGCGTCGTCGGGTACGCAGTAGTCGCGCTCGTCGCACTCGTCATCGTATTCGACTACGCAGCTCTCATCGACATTTTCGCCCAAGCTGCCACGAAGCGGCCTTTTCCTGTCTTCCTTCTGCTCCTTCTTGCCAGGGTGATGCGCCGTGGGCCCCTCCAGACGTCCCAACTCTTTCGCGCGCCAAACCAGCGGAATGTCCTCCTCGTTATCCAAAGTATTCACTGCGCATGCCACGTTGCCGCATATCCCGTTCTCGTCGTCCCAAAAGGGGCATTTCTTGCTGTACAGACTCAGGCGGTAGTGCGAGAAGAAGTCGGTGTCTTGCGTAATCGAGTGCAGGTAGGGGTGTACGGCTTCGTTCAGCTGCTCGAGGGTGCTGTAGCTTGCGCAGGCGTCTGACACGATCGCGCCAGGCTCCAGCTGGAAAGTAGTCTCAGTACCGTCACTATAGGTGTGTGTGGCCGCGGGGGTCGCTTTTTTGCTTACATTGCAGACGTTTGGTGGCGGGGATTTGGACTTTGTAGGCGCGGCATGGCTGGCAGCGTGCGAGCTACCCAGCAGCGAGAAGACTGCCAGGTAGAACACCTGCGATGCTGTGCGCATTTTGTCTTCTAGCTAGCTCAAATGTGCTACTACAGTCCTCCGGTCAGCAAACGTCTGCGATGTGAGTCTCAAAGCGATTGTAGCTCTGCGACTCGCGATGCCGGGTACACTCACAATTAAGAGTCGCCGGAAGATTAACGGCCGGATATTGGTGTGGGGTATGACAAGAGGCCAGAGTGCATTGAAACGCCGTCGACACAAATGGCAGGAGCACTGGGCCGGGCGCTGAGGGTAGGCGTGGCCGCAATAGGCAATCTAAGTCGAAACGGACGATCTGCGTAAATGAAGGACACGGCGTGACTATATGAAGAACACGCACTAAGCGGCAGGCAGCGAGCTGTGGAAAGGACAGACTGCAAGTTGGATTAATAACGTCGCCGGACCGGTCGTCTAATCACACGTTGATCGGACCATCCACGGAACCCGCAGTGGCGTTAGGGGAGGAGCGGAGCTGACAGATGCCACTAGCCGCGGATGCCACGCAGTAGGGCTGAGCCAGAGCCTCAACCTCAACATACCCATCCTTGAAAAATCTCCTGACTAGTGCAGGCACCGACTCCAATCAGCGGCGTTAGATTGCAGGTCTTGGTACAAATGAACAGCGCGACGACAGACCACCCCAAGCCTAACTGGCACGATGCATTCCCAGCGCCACGTGCGACAGCACCAACCATCACACGTGAGGAGGTATTGCCTGTCCTCAGCTCTGGTGACCTGCTTTTGGTCGATGTGCGTCGAACAGACTTCGAGGGCGGCACCATCAAAGGCAGCCTCAATCTGCCTGCTCACAGCTTCTACATGAACCGGGCCGTATTGTTTGATTTGTGCAAGAGAGCAGGCGTGAAGAAGGTTGCGTTCTATTGTGGTAAGTAACGCAACTCCATTGATGATGTGGGGAATGTGAGCCCAGTGTCATGCTGTTGCCGGGTGTTCGCCTCGCTGACTGCACGGTGGCTGAAACGTGTTAGGTTCGTCAAATGGCAGAGGCCCGCGCTGTTCAGGCTGGTTCGCAGACTACATTGCCGAACAAGACGACAATCAATTGCAGTCTTTGACCCTTGAAGGCGGCATCAAAGGCTGGGTCAAAGCTGGGAATTTGTACACGCAGCAACTGGAAGGCTTTGAACCCGAGTACTGGAAACAATTTGCATAAGCCAAAGTGCGAAAAAGGTATCATTGCTGCGACGCTGGCAGAGCCATCTAGTGTCTTGATATACATGCATGTAAGGTTCATTCATCATCATCGTCGTCATCCAAAACCACCCTTCGCGCTCTCTTCCTCTGTTTTACCGGCGAAGACACCTCCGAAGAGTCTATAACACAAATGTGCTTTCTAGTTGCACCTTTGCCCGGGTCAAGCAAAGGTGCATCGTTGTCACTGTCGCTGCTAACCACCGCGTCGTTGTCCGTAACGTCGCTAGTGAAGAGCTTCTCGGCTCTTGCGGGTCTCTTTGTCTTTGTAGCGGATCTGATCATCGCCTGTGTGGCCTTTCCGAGGCCATTGAAGTCAAGGTTGGGCAGACTCGATGCCGGGACTTCTTCTTCCACAACTGTGCTGTCGACAATGAAACTTTGAAGGTCTGAATCCAATCTCCAGAGAGAGTTATCTTCCGCCTCCATACCAGCCATGCTATCCTGAGAGCCTATAGTATCCGCTTGCGAGGCTATACGGAAACGAGGATCTGTAGGAGGTGGCGACGAGCCCTCGCCCTCCGCAGCCAGTGCCGATACCCCCCAATCGGGTGTTCTTGTCTGTGGTGTTTGCAAGATTACATTCGACGGTCGAACTGGCGTGTATGCAGCAATTACTGTGGCGGCTTCTTTCCGTGGGCGGCCACGAGCAGCGGGGGCCTCCAGCGGTACTTTCGCCTTTGGTTGGGATTCAGGTTTGGCTTTTGGCTTTGGTGCTGCCTTTGGTTTGGCTTTGCTTTTTGCTTTTGACTTGACGATCTCCTGTGATGCAGGATCATCATCAGCCCACATATCGTCGCGTATCGCCGGCCGCGCTGCTGTATCTGCGATGAGACTATTGCTGTCCAAACTATCCGACTCGTAATCGGCAAGGTGGAGGTTTTGTTTGAAGGACTCGACACGGTTGGTGTCCATATCGTGGACGCGCTGCATCATTGCTACAAAATCCCGTGTGTTTCGTCCGGATATTGACAGAAGGTGTGTCTTGGTTAACGTCCGCTGATGATCAGCGTATTGACCGAGATCCAGAGCACTAACCATCGGTGCGTCGTCGTCATCGTACACAGTCTGAAACCGCCTCTCTAGATCGTTCGTCTCTATTTCGTTTAGCAGCACCGATTCGAATGATGGTATCTCTATCGCCTCCTCGCTTGGGTACGTGATAACAGGCGCTTTCTTGCCACGTCCCTTAGGGACGATCTCTTCGTCCATCCGCCCCGCGGTAACGAAGCCGGTCAGAACACCATCCGGCATGTGGAACTTCTTTGGAGGCTTTTTTACTCGACCCTTCTTTTTGGGCTCGGGAAGCCAGTCTCCCTGTGAGTTCTCTGGAGGGATGTCGACGATCCGGCGGTCGACAACAGGTTTAACATCCGTTGGTACAATCCTTCGGGATGTTTCATCGTGAAACGTAAAATGGGACCCGTTTGCAATGAGCTCTTGCATCTTTTCGTAGCTGTCTTTGGCCTTGTTGGCATCGTTCTCCTCCTTTCCTTGCATTTGAAGCATGATGATCTTTCCCTCGCGCTTACGACCAGTACGCCCCATCCTCTGCAACATGCGGATCGGTGACGCCTTTGAGTCGTAACAGATGATGAGATCGACTTCACCGATGTCGAGACCTTCCTCGCCGATGGAGGTGGCAATTAGGGTGTTAAATTTGCCTGCCTTGAAGTCTTCGATTGCTTCAAGTTGCTGTTTTTGATTCATGCCTTCCGAGTTCTTTGCTGCTGCTTGGCCAACAAACACACGAGGCCGGATCATGGGCTCGTGTTTCTTTAATATGCGAGCAATCTCTTCAGCGCTATCTCGGAAGTGAGCAAAAACCATGATTCTGGTCTGCAAAGCGTTTGGTCCATCGCCAGCATTGACAAAGTGCTCTAGGATGCACTCCTGCACGTACTCGAGTTTGGGGTGTCCGGTAAAGGTCTCATCGTTGAGCCACATCTCTAGCCGAGTCATGAGCTTCTTGAAAGCGTCGCTATCAAGAATCTGCTTCTTATACTTTGACTTCGTCTTTTCGCTATCGTCCCTGAAATCCTTGAGCTTTGTGTAGAAGGGCGCCATGCCATAAAACTTGAGCAGATCCATGCCGTGAGAAATAGATGCCAGCAGAGTCAGGATAGTGCGGACCATGTTCTTCACACCCTGGTTCGCATGCCGCCCAGTCTCGTTTACCCATTTGCTTGCTGCCTGCGTGCAACCGAACGGCGTGAGTGTTCGCGGATCGTTGCTCCAATACGCCCCCATTCCCGCGACTTGGTTGACCAATGGCTGCAAAGCCTGGCTGTACAAGTCCATGCACATCTCCATCTCCTCGTTGTTTTGGAAGACGCGTTTCTCAACCCTACGCTGATGCACGTAGCTGCAGATGTCCATTGAGTTTTCGGTTCGAATCTCCACCTTCGAGATGTCAAGCCCATCGATGACCTTTTGGACCGCCTCGACATCGGCGCCTGGAGTAGCTGTGAGAGCCAGAACACGGAAGCTCTGATTGAAGCGTCGAAGGAAGCTGACTACCTCTACGTATGCGTATGATCCGGTCGCGCGATGCGCCTCATCGACTACAATGAGGACAATCTTCTTGGGATCTGCGTACCCGTGCTTGAGGTCGTTCAACAGTGTCTGTGGTGTCATGAAGAACACACGCTTGCTCTTCCACTCCTCTGATCTTATCCCGGTTTTGATTCCTCCCGTAAGCATAGTGGTAGCGGATCGAGGGATACCAGCGATACCAAAGCAAGCTTGAACCTGCTGGGCCACAAGCGGCCTAGTTGGCGCAACAAACACGATTTGCGAGTCGACTGTCCAGCGATACCAGTTTAACATGACTGTTGCTGCAATGAAGGTTTTTCCTAGTCCGGTAGGCAAAGCAACGAGGAGGTTGTGGAACAAACCTCTTTGCACGATGTTAAACTGATAATCGCGGATAGTTCCCAGGTTTGTCGGATACACCCATGTTTTCAGGGCTTCCTGGTCGAGTTTGTGGTGAGTTGGAGGCTCCTGCCTTTGGTCGACGACAAAATTGTAACGCTTGTTTAGTTGCGATGGTGGAATTTGACCGTCGACACCCTGTCTTCCAAATAAAGTAGTTTGTCGCAACCCGGTCTGAGGTGCCATGACTCTTGTACGAGTTTCCGACATAAAGGTGACGTCGTCCGCGTCCGGCTTTTGCGGTGATCCTGCTGAGGATGAGAACGCATCAGAGGGTAGGTCAGCGAGGTCCTGCGTGTAATCATAAGCTGCCGACGCGCCAGCAACTGCGGGAGCTTGAGCGAGCTGATCATCCCCGGGAGCAGATTCAGAATCCTTGGTGGCATTCGAGACTGGTGCGCTCGGCCGTGATGAGATTGACCGCCTACTAGGCAAGGCCATGGTTTTCATTGTATCCAGTCCGCTCCGCCTCGTAGGCTCCGCGGAGTTTTTGTGCACTCCGATACTGGTCGGCTTCGCCCAGATTGCGCCTCTAGGCTTCCACGGCGGAGAATGCTCTCGTGGCGGTTGGGTGAAGAAGACGTCTGTCATATCAAGGTCTGCTGTCGGGATATGTATGCGCTCTCGCCGTTTCTGAGCTACTGTAGCTCGTACAGGCGATATATCCTCCCCGTCTATTCCGTCATGCTGCTTGGATGTGGCCCTCTTATTGCGAGTTGATGGCCGCTTTCCTTGCAGTTCCTCAATCGTTGCAGCCGAATCATCGTCGCCACGTGCATTGAAGGACTCATTGCCGCTGTTGGCTGCAAAATCAGAGACGTCTTCGTCAGATGACCCTGCGAATGGTTGTCGTCGTCGATTCGGTGTCTGCTTGGACGGAATGGACTTGGCCTTGTCACGTGCCTCACTGATCTTACGGCGCTTGGTTGCTCGTGGCGACGGCTGGAATGTAGGCGTGTCGTCTGTTTCGACCTGCGTCGCCGCATTGAAGAACTCAGTGTCGTCGTAACCGTCGCCGTAGTCATCGCTATCCGACATAGTGTCGCACGGCATCAATGGTTGTTTCAACAGTGGCAACGATGCCTAAAGTTAACGCGTTGTTTTGACTAGCGCGTTTCTTTGCCGATCAGGCGAGAAAGACCCTTGCCATTGCTTCCGACCTGCATTAAATGAGTACCAAGCCCGCAAGCAACCAGGCCTCAAAGGGTTTGGTGTGGTCCCAATATATCCTTGCGAGTGCTAATTCGCCCGTGGGCTCATGGCGCCCCTTTGCAACGGTCAATAAAGCTGGCTCTTCCCCAGAATTTCGGGTAGTCCCTCCAGCACTTTCTGTACACTCGTTTTTTGCACAGATACTTCTTCAATTGCATAACACTCACTCGCTGTAATTTACCAATACACCTACTAATAAACAATACTCTCGTTTCTCGAACATTTCAACTGCATCACGCGACCAAACATCCAAAATGAAGTACACCGCTGTCCTCCTCGCCTTCGCTGCCGGCGCGCTCGCCCAGTCCTCCGTCATCACTGACGCTCCTGCGACTACATCTGCCCCCGCGGTTGCCCCCTCCATTAGCTGTGTCTCGGCCTGCTCTGCTGGTGATGTGTAAGGACAATTTGACTCCGCCCCATTAAACGCGCTTACACAGTCCAGCACCTGCCAGGCCAGCTGCTTAGGCATTGCCCGCCCCAACTCCTCCCAGGCCGTAGAGACCACGGAGTGCGCTGAGAAGTGCGACCAGGGTGATGGTTCCGCCGAAGCCACCCAGAAGTACTCCGACTGTGTTCAGGGCTGCATTGCCAAGCTGTTCCCCTCCTCCCAGACCGGTGCGGCCGTCCCCGGCGGCGCAGCCTCCGCCGCTGTCTCTGGTTCCAACGGTGCTTCCGGCACTGCTGCTGCGACTGGTAGGTTGAAATGACTTGTAGCAATTGACTTAGACTGACACTTACGCAGGCGCATCCGGCACTGGTTCTTCCGGTACCCAGACTGGCTCCAGTGCTGCGGCTACTGGTGCTGCCAACTTCGTCTCTGCTCACTTCGGTGGTGCTGGTCTCGCTGGTCTCCTCGCTGTCTTCGCCTTGTAGATGTCATCTGAAGGTTTTCAGCAAGAAAACAAACCGCTGCTTTAGCTGTAGTGGGTCGTGCATTAAGGACTTGAACTTTCGATCCATGTATCGAGTGCGGTGGTACAACTGAGGGGTAAAGCGTCGACAACGTGCGTCGCATGCTAGGTTACGGCAGTAGTGCGTAGACGCGTAACGTTTGTGTGATGGTTTCCAACGTACTATTGACGATTTACCTGCTCTTGCTTGACAGCATCTTGCATGTGACAGGGCTGGCGTCTGCGCGGCGGATCGATATGAGAGTGACTGGCTAGTGAGATAGCGTCGATAATGGATGAAGTTGTACACGGGTCAGGTGTTCCGATTGTATGACGTACAAAAGAAGCAGGAGGCCGGCATGACTTCCACTTCGTACCGTGAAAGCCGTTACCGAGACCGAGCTATCATGCCGCGAAGCTTTGCCGAGCCTCGCATTTTGATACCCAGCGTGATTTTCTACCTGATCTGTGATTGCACGACCTTTACAAATCACACCGATCCTATGGCAGTTTTGACAACAACTGTAGTTTGCCATATACCCAACATCTATCCTTGGGAGAACCTGTCGGGAGACGGGTATGTACTTCTCTCGAAATTCTGGAAGATGGGCGACGAGTCATCAACACTTGGCACCTGCGCAGGTCCCAGGGCAGATCCGGGAAAGATTTGTAAGTCACCGGTTGAAAGCTACAACATGTTTTGCTAGCAAAGGACCGTAAATGCCAGGATATCTCCTGGCAAAAGTATACGAATTGAAAGATGATAGTAACTGGTCCCCTTTTTTCGCAATACGAGAGGTCGATCTAAGGTCGCAAGGTGGATGCACTGGTGCCACTTAAAACATGGATGTTGGGTGCCTCATCAAACAAGAAGGATCAATACCCTTGTCTTCACAGAACACTACTATCACAACATGTTAATGGCGAGTCAATTATGGAATGACCTCTATATATACAATATGCCAGCGAAGGGCGCCCTTTGCTAGATCAGTCATTTCCGGACGCACGATAGCAAAGAAGGAGGGACGTGGGGAAGGTGGCTACTTCAGGAGACTAGCTCGTTGATGTGACGTGCAAGTTATGCTCTCACGTTGCAGAATAAATGGCGAACTGAGAATATAAGCCAAGTACACCACACGACAGTTAAGTAGGGAAAATACTAACAAACTCTATAAAATACTTTTTTACTTACAATATAGGAAGCTCTTATAGGTATGATGATTGCTACAAGTTCAGTATTCTGTAAAGTTGGTAAGCTTAGGGTTTTATCCGCCGTTTTTTCTGAAACTTGAGAGCTATGTTACGTCAGGAAAGCGCGACCAGCGATAAGTAGTTGCATGTCGCCCATCTCATATACGTTGACTTCCATGTGGTGGCTTCTTCAGCTTTCATAATTCTCCCCCAAAGTAGGTCTTCTCTTGTATTCTGAGGCTAATCTTGACTTCGCTGTTTGGGTCTTATCTGAATAAGACGACGCGGCCTTTCGCTTGTTTGAAGCAGGAGGAGTCGTGGCACCCACTACATCTATTAGCCTTGTAGGCGGTCTTTGTTGCAGAGCAGCGCATGAGAGATATGGACAGACGATCACTGCATAACAGGGATAGTGCTTCAGTCAAACCGGTTTCAGCCCATAGCAAACCAAGGTTGTGCTCCTAACAAGCGCGTGGTTGTTTAGTCGGACAATAGGCCGCCGTGAACGACAAATTTCGTGCCAGACTGCAAGTCATAGACACAGCTCAGCAAAATACCGTCAGCAAAGATGGGGGTGTATTTAGCTCGAAACGAAAACCAAGAATTTTCATCAGGGAGGACTAGTGGGGTGATTGCCCACAAGCTGCTATACTCGGATCGAAAGAGAGCTGTTGTTAACCATGTCTTAAAGGTCGCCGAGAGGTCTCGTCGAGGGCGCAACATGCGACACTTCCGCATGCGAAGTGCCTCCAAGCTTGCGCACGCTGTACCAAGTAGGCCAATAGTGCTGTGATCTAACGGTCTCGGTAGGCTGAATAATAATGGCAGCATCTGATACACCTAAAGCGAAGGGTCTCATGCGTTCTTTGGGCACGATGCAAGGGTGCTGGATCTGAAGAGATAGCGGACGTGTCGTAACGAACCAGAATAGTTTGCCGAGATCAAGCTGTGTACTTGGTTTGGAGGCATGTCGGCGTCATCAACACTGCACACGCCAAGCCTTTTCCATCTGCGCTCGTACCGAGACCAGTTCCTCACACCGCAGGTGGTCGTATCTAGCCTTCAGTCGGCTGTCTGCTTACTGTTGGAGGAGCTGGTAGACGCCAACAGCGAACGTGGCCGAAGAGATGAGGTCCAGGGCCGCGCCCGATCGTCCAATCAGACCCTTTCGCGTCTAGCGAATGGTGGCTGATGGTTGCATGGCGCCCGGCAGAAATGGTTAGCGCACGGCTGAAGTTTCGACACGGCCTCAGTCGTGGTTGTAATGGATCTGCCCCCGCTGGGTGACGGCGCGGACCTTGTCGCATGCATAGTTGAACCGCCGCGCACGAAGGCCGCCTGAGCAAGGAGGGAGGACTCGCTGTTTTTTTGACGGGTCACTTCGTTACTGGTGCTGATCACGGTCGGCCCGCAAAAGGATGAAGCCGGATAAGATTTAGGTGCTGCGAAGCAGTCGCGAATACGATCGCTTGGACGGCAGTGTTGCTCAAAACCGCACTGTTAGGTTGGTGATGGCCATCTTGGGGTGGGACAAAATTCAGTGGGAGTGTTGGTGGGCGCGTTCCTGTTCTTTGTGATCCCTTCAGGGCCTCACCACCACCCCTGCCGCCGCCTAGGCCGCACTAAGACATCGACACTTCTGGAGTTCTTGAGGTCGCCAACGGGGCTCGTGAACTGACTAGCGACACTTCTAGAGTTCTTGAGGTCGCCAACGGTGCTCGTGGACTGACTAGCGACACCACAAGGCAGTCCAATCGCAGTCCACGATCGGAACAACTTGGGTTCGCAGCTAATACGACCAGAGTCCTGTTATTGTTTTGACAGCACCGCGCAGCCTCGACCTTGGCAGCCGTGGGGAAAGTAAGCATCTGGCGATTATCACGGCGTCCAGTAGCAAGGCATTTGCATGGCCCGGGGCTTTTTCCTATCGTGCTTCCGGACTTGCTGGGGCAGCGACTCAAGGCGCAATGTATGCGGTTGTGATGCGTAGAAGTCAGATCGGGTGCGGGCCAAGGGGCGACATAGTGTGCTCGCAGATATTCCTCGGGAGGAACGCCTGCGTCGAAGCAAGTACAAACGCGGTGCGTCCCGATAGGAGCTGTCTGATATGGCATGCGTCAGAGCAGAGAGAACCGAAAATGGGCAGGTCAGGCCCGTGCGCACGCTTCTATGGACGTGAATGCCGCGATGATCCTCCCAAGTTCTCCCTCCGACACTTCCTCACACCCAATTCTAAATATCCTTCCCATCGCGCTTCCGCGCTTGACTCTGGATCAATACTGATTCTCACTAACCGCTCGACTCCTCCAACAGTGGATTATCCTCCACATTGCCACTTTTGGCATCCCAGAGTCCAGAAGTTCCGCGTTCTACGCCATTGGTCCTTCCATGCGACCTCGAGACTCGCTCTTCACGGGGCAACTTGTTAACATCGCACCCGTCTGAGCTTGCTACAAAGATCATCTGACACGTTTCGCAAACCGACTGCCTGACGGCAGGAGGCCGTCGAAATGGATGCACAGAAAGAGGATGGCGATGCTCAGTTGTCTGGGGCCGTCAATGCGGATTCAGTGCACAGCAAAGTCGACGCGCACAACGGTGAAGTGAACGACACCAACGCCACCGAAGGTACCACACCTTCCAAAGCAACCGGCAAATCACCATCTACCAGGAATTCAACGCCTGCACTTTCTACATCAGAATCTCAACCTCCTACACAAGGGCCCACTGACGCGACTACCACCATGGATGTGGACCAGCCACCGCAGGACACGGTAAACATCGATTCTGATTCAGTGCAGCCTTCGAGAAAGGGCTCAGAAGAGGCTGCTGCGCCGTATGGAACGCGATCGCGTAATCGTCCAGGCAGGTCGCGCATCAACTATGCAGAAGACACTGAAATGGATTTTGAGATGACCGCCCATGCGTCGACGAATGGGAACGCGTCTGATCCTCCGTCGCGAAATTCCATGGCAGCCGAAAATGGTCAATCTTCAGGTGTGAGTGGGAAGAAAGGTGCAGGTGCTGCACAGAGTAGTGCGCCGTGGGGTAACTCCGGACCCAACCCTAAAGACACACCAGCAACCCTCAGTATTTCCGGCTCGTCGGCAACTACACCAGCTCCTCAGGCCACCACAGCGCAACCCACATCAAAGCGGCGAAAGAATGCCACCAAAGATGCCACAAATGGAATCCAGGCAGGTGCGACCGCGCCAAGCCAAGTTGCGAAGCGCGCTGCCCAGGTCCAGGCCCCAGCAGCGGCCCCCTACACGCGAGAGTCTAATATGATGACATTTGAATTCAGCGGTGCCTTTCCGAAAGACGGCAAATTGCAGGCAGACGATGGACAGACCCTGTCCGTTAATGGTAAGTTTTGACCTTTCTTTGCCGCGGCTGACAGCTGTGATGTTGCGCCAGCCACGTCCTGCGGCTTAGCTTGCGATTTCTAATGCGGCGTCTAGACCAAGTGTACCTCGTGTGTGAGCCGCCCGGGGAGCCATACTACCTGTGTCGCATTATGGAGTTCATTCACAAAGAGAATGATCCAAAGCAGCGTGTCGACTCATTTAGAGTCAACTGGTTCTATCGTCCACGGGATGTCGGGCGCTACAACAACGACACGCGCCTGGTGTATGCAACGATGCACTCGGATGTATGCCCCATAGCCTCCTTGCGCGGAAAGTGCAAGATCCTGCACAGAAGCGAAATCGGCGATCTTGACGAGTATCGCAAAGGCAAGGACAGTTTTTGGTTCAATCAAGTCTTCGATCGCTTCATCCATCGCTGGTACGATGTCATACCTACTTCACAGGTCATCAACGTTCCGGTGAAGGTGAAGAAAGCACTAGACGAGCGCTGGAAATACATCTGCCTTGAAACGAGTCGGGTGAAAGAACTGACTAGCGCGGTGAAGTCCTGTAAGCGCTGTGTCGGGTACTGTGCATCGTAAGTCTTGGCCAGATCCTTCCATCTCACTGCTTGCTAAACGTGTCTAGTAATGACTCTGTAGAGTGCGCGGTATGTCACAACACGTATCACATGAATTGTGTTCGTCCGCCATTACTGAAAAAGCCGTCCCGTGGGTTTGCCTGGGCTTGCGGGCCATGCAGCAGAGCACAGGAGAAGAAGCTCGAAGCCCGAAGAACTCCATTAATGGGTGCGACAAACGAAGACGGCGAGGAGGAGGAGGTCATCGACGAAGAAGAAGAGGAGGCTGGTAGTGACAGCGCCACAACCCCCGACCCTGAAAGTCAAGTCGACCTGCACCCAGGCACCCAAGCTGAGATTGCCCTGGCAAAAATGTGGCCAATGCGATACCTGGGCATTCACTGCCGAGTGGAAGACGCTCTGCAATACGATGACAGAGCTATATACCCACGCGCTAGCTCTCGATTAGGACCCCGACACCAAGCGAACGTGAACGTTTGGCACGGCCAGGCTGTAGAATTTGTCAAGCCGGCAGAGATCAAGAAGCGCTATGTCAAGTCGACCAACAACAAGAAAGAAGGGAAACTGACCAAGGAAACCGTCGCAGCGATTGAAGCGGATAAGGCCGAGAAGGCCAAACGACCAAAGCACGTCATGGACGAACCTGTGGGTTATGTCCGCCGTGGCGAAGACCTCCCGAACAAGGACTCGAAATGCACCGCCGAGTTGACGTTCAAGATGCCCCCCTTGGGAGTGCACTCGACGCGTGGGGAAGACGATGCACCGACAGTCACCGAAGAGCAGTTAGAAGCCTACATGGATCGCGCGAAAGCCCTGGCGAAGCATGTTGGCGTTGAATCATACAACACTAACTTCCTCACCAAAGCGCTGGCACTATTCACGAAACACCAGTACGATGCCGACGCTGCATTGAAACAGGTTAAGAAGCTCGACAAGCGCAAGGACTTGAAAGAGCCGGAGCTTACCAAGGATGAAGAGAAGAAGTGGAACGAGGGCGTCGCTAAATTTGGTTCTGAGATCAGGAGCGTCCGCTTGCACACCAGCAAAAGCATGTTCTATGGAGATGCGGTCCGATACTACTATATGTGGAAGAAAACCCCGAAAGGTAAGGAGATTTGGGGCTCCTACAGCAACCGCAAAGGCAAGAGCAAGAGGGTTGAACCCGACGCGCAGAGTCGGCTGTTAGACGATGTCGCCGACAACCAGGATGACTCAGCCTTCGATAACGAGAAAGCTGTGCAGCGAAAGCGCAACTTTCAATGCAAGTTCTGCACCGTCCGCCACTCTCGGCAGTGGAGACGCGCTCCCGGCGTATCACCGGGTCAAATGATCCCTGCAGATGGTCGCGCCAAGGACAAGTCGGGTCATGTCGTGGCACTTTGCCTGCGCTGTGCGAACCTTTGGCGCAAATATGCAGTCAAGTGGGAGAACGTTGACGAGATTGCTAAGAAAGTCGCACAAGGCGGCGGCAAGGCTTGGAAGAGGAGGATCGATGAAGAGCTGCTCCGAGAAGTCTACGCCGCACATGTTGACCCTGCTCCTGCGGCCAGCGCACCGGAATATCTGGACCTTCCTGCTGCAGCAGCTCAAGTCGTGGGTGAGCCCGCGAAAAAGAAGCAGAAGATCAACGCTGGAAATGGTGACAGCGGTATCTCAACTCCCAACAATGAGCTTGCCAAGCGGAAAGAGAAGGAGAAGGTTGCACCACCGCCGAAGGCCCCAACCCCGCCGCCTGTCCCAGCGCAGCCGCGATTGAAGGTGTTACCTTGTGCTGTTTGTCGATCAGCAGATGGCGCACGTTTGGAATGCGCCGCCTGTCGCTTGACGGTGCACAAAGCCTGCTACGGCGTCGAGGACGGTCGACAGTCGAACAAATGGTATTGCGATACGTGCAGGAATGACAAGAAAGAGAGCGTATCCTATGTAAGTCTTCCGCCAGAACGTTCTTTACAGGACCTAACAGTCATCAGACATACGAGTGCGTCTTGTGTCCCCATAAAATCACAGACCAGGACTTCTATGAGCAGATCAAAGTCACACACAAGAAGAAGAGCGACAGGGACAGGGAGAAGGAGCGCATGGAGAGAGAGCTCATCGAGAATGCCAGGGAAGACTACCGCACTCGGCAGCAGGAAAAGGGCCGACCAATTGTTCCTCGAGAGCCACTCAAGCGCACCGCAGACAACAACTGGGTGCACGTGTACTGCGCACTCTGGCATGCCGAGGTGAAGTTCAGCAACGCCAATCGCCTCGACATGGTCGAAGGGGTTGGCGCAAGCACTCTGCGGTACGATCAGACCTGCAAGCTCTGCAAGACTTCTCACGGTGCCTGCGTGTCGTGCCTGCAGTGCCATGCAAATTTCCACGTCGGCTGTGCGCACGAGCGGGGCTACACCTTTGGCTTCGACATGACCCCGGTCAAGGCTACCCGAAGAGACACCGTACCCACAGTCACACTCAATGGGGACACGGGCACTATGGCAGCGGCTATATGGTGCAAGGAGCACAGTCCAAAGACCCCCGTGCATCCTGTTAACGAAGAGGTGGAGGGCACGGACATGATCGCCTTGCAACTCTTCGCTCGCGAGTTCAAGCAGGCGGACCTGACGCTTACGGGAACAGCACGCAAAGCCAATCTGGTCGACCAATCAACGCGAATCACCTCGCAGCCTGTATCAACAACCGTCAACCGACGTGCTTCTGCTGTCACTGCTCAGACACCCACTTCTGCTCGGGGTCGCACCTCCAATGCCGGACTACCTATCAAAGAGGAGCCTGCAGAACCTTCGATGCCCAGACCGGAGCGCAATTGTGCGCGGTGCAAAGTCGATGCTAGCCCACGGTGGTGGAAGATCGAAGATGCTGCAGGTGATGTGCCAAAACAGAATGGCGTCGAGACCAACGGGCATGTGGGCGAGCCAAGCCTCGAGAACGGACAGGTGCCGAACGGCACTGCTGATCATCCCATGGGCGACGTACCATCCGCTGTCAAATCGACAAGCCCTCGTTTGCATCTAGACACGAGTGTCGCAGCTGGAAGCTCGTACCTATGTCAGAAGTGCCACTGGAAGAAAGAGCAGGGTATTGATGAGAACGACGAGCGAGAGAGGTCGAAGTCTGTTCTCCCAGAGCCCCAACAACTCCCTCTCCGCTCTCCTGTGCAGGCGTTCGTGGCACCGCCACCTCCCGCAGCACTCACGCCTTGGGGCATTCCGGGAGGACCCCCGGCCCTTTCGAACCAGCCCCCGCCGTTGCCAGCATGGCACAGTGCAGGACCACCTGGCCCACCAGCACCATCGCATCCTCCACACCATCTTCAGAATGGCATAGGATATGCTCCGCACGCTCCTGTCGGCCATCACGCGCCCTTCCACGCACCGTATCCTCCTTCCAACGGATACCCCCCACACTCGGCAGCGCCGGTGCACCCCCAGATGCCACCGGCCCCAATGCGCCCTTACCCTCCGCCCTCGAGTGGACCGCCCCCGCCGTTGCATCTCAATAACAATGCGATGATGGTCAACGGTTTGCACTCACCGCGCAATATGCCCTACTCGCCCACACACCCTCACGAGTACCACTCGTCTCGTTCGACCGAGAGTCCGTTTGCGGCGCCTGCATCCTCAGTCCCACACTACACTCTCCACCACAACCCCGCGGCGGGCCGACCGGAGACGCCACGCGATACGGTGATGCGAGAGGCTCCGATGGTAACGTCTGCACCGACAGAACGTGCCAACACGGGCGCTAGCGCCAGCCCTTCGCTTCGTAATTTGTTGCACTGAGTTTTTGGCTTTCGTTATCTTTGTTTTGTACTATTACGATACCTTGGGCTCATTGGCAGGAGTTGTCACTGCCCGTTTAGCATTTGCAGCATAGGTGGCGCAGCCTTTTGTGGCGCAGCCGGTATACAGCTGGGTATATTGCATTGATTTATTGGGTACTGCAAGGGAGCCGGTGGCACGATACCACACGTTTCTTCATTTCGTTTGCGAGGTCTTGCTTGGCGGACGTTGCTTCCGAGGACCCAGGGCGTGTCACGGACATGCGCAGACTGGTCCTCTCGGCCCTCGGTAGATACCTACGGATACGTTAGATAGACCAACACGACTTTGCAAGACTGAGCCCTTGGCTGAAGCCCTGTGCTGTTGCAAGTGATATCAGCTGCCGCATCTCGTTCACTGCGCGCCACACGTGTCCACTCGCTGGCACGAGCCAAGCGCTGCAGGGCAAGGCTGGCGTGATGTTGGGCAGGTGCCCCTGTGTGGCGCGCTAGCGACGCGCAAGCGTTGCAGATCCCCAGCCCGAACCACGTTCCCGGCTTCGGCTCCAACCTCAGGCCTGCTATATCAGCGCGGCCGCGAGGACGAGTGTGTTGCAGACACGAACATGTCTCCGCGGCTGGCCGCCCAGCGACGCGTGTCCTGAACCCAGTGAAGTGTCTGCTGAACGTAGTGACGTGCCTGCTACCACTCCCCCCCGCGTCGGCACCGCAGCGCCGCAGCGCCGCAGCAACCCCTGCGCACGCCCTTGAAACGGCGTCGAGACCACCGAAACAGCCTGCGTGGGAGCGCGTCGCGGCTGCGACAGAGCGCACGTCGGAGCGCAGGAGCGCCGGGCTTGCAGCGCCGGGTGTGCCGCGCCACCAGTGCGGAGGGAACCTCTGGGGCGCGGTCCTTATCCCTTGGGTGCGCCGTTGCTGTGCGGAGGACGGGCCTGCTGTTCTTCTTCTTCTTGTTCGAATTTCGGATTGAGGATTTTTGATTCTGGTCGCTCTTTTACTATTAGGGAGATTCTGAGAGTTACGACTTACTTCTACATCTACATTTCTTCGAGAGGCGTGTTGTTCGTATCATTTACATCCTTTGTATTGTGTGGAGAGCACGTTGGAGATCGGCATTTTACTTCACTTCACACACATCACACATCCACATCTCACATCCACAATGCCGGTAGCGAAGAGATACTGCCTCGAGTACGTCAACGGCACGGTCGAGTGTTTCCGCGAAACGGGGTTCTGGTACACCACGGTACGCACATTCATGATTGTGTAGGTGTGTGGAGACTAACGCGAGCGCAGCACGGGCAGGTGATCAAATGGTCGATCCTGGGCAGCCTGTTTGCGCTGTTCATGCTGTGGTTCATCGGCGGGTATATCCACGCGCGGCGGCGCATGAAGGCGGGGAAGCCGCTGTTGAAGTACCATCGGGTGAGTGATTCGTTTCCACCCTTCCACCCTTTATAACCCCATCCATCCGTCCTTCTCTCCCATCCTTCGAATCTCAGGCTGATGTCACCAGTTCCTCGTCTCCCGCCAAGATCTCAACCGCCACACCCCCAGCGCCCAAAACAACTTCACCTTCTACGCGCCCCCCTCATCCCAGCAAAACCCCTACACCGCCCGGCCCAACAACGGGGGTGCCTGGACCGACGCCCCGCCGACGTACACGGGCGACGCGCCGCCGCAGTACTTTGCGCCCGGGGCGCCGAAGCAGGACGCTGGCGGGGTGGAGATGGGGATGTATGGTGGGCCGCCGGTGGGTCAGCAGGTCAGTGGTGTTGTGGGTGCGACTGGTGGAGGGAATGGAGGGGCGGATGCAGAGCAAGGACTCCCTCCTCGGCCGCCGCAGAAGGCCAAAGCGGTGCTGAAGGGGTTTACGGATCGGTTTCGCAAGTAGGCTGGCGTGAGGCGCGGCGGGACGGGATGTGCAAAAGCAATGAAAAGGGAAGTGTGGCTGGTTCGTACTTCGGGGGTATACTAATTGTTACTGGTACTGGTACTGCGGTGCGGGTTAGCTTTTTTGTAATTACGGTGCTAGTGCTGTTCAGCGTGCGTTGCGTGCGTTGCTTGGGGGTTTTGTATGCGTGCGGGTTGACGAGGTTATGAGGTTATGATTTGAATTCGAATTAGTAGTAGTCTATCCGGGCCTGGCGTCTAGATGATGTAGCCATTCTCAGTGCGGTGTGTAACTATTCTTTGTTCAGTGTATAGCCATCTCAGTGCAGTGTAGCCATGATTTGAATCAGTAGTGCATAGCCATTCAGTCCAGTACAGCCTTCAGTCCAGTATAGCATCTCAATCCAGTAGCCATCAGTCCAGATCCATGGCATCCTCGTCCGCAGGCCCAGCGCTTGTATTGTCTACCCCAGCACTTGTATTATCCACCCCAGACACTCCCGCCCTCCCCAGCTCGGTGACCCCGCTGACCTGCCTGTCCCTAATGCGCTGCCTTGCCTCCACAATGGCCTTGCGCACGCCGTCCCGCTCGTGCGGCACGCTCAGGCTCGCGGGCACATTGTACAGCACGACCTGGTTGTGGGCGGTCGGGGCGGGCGGCGGGCCCAGCAGCACGTGGCGCGGGATGCGGCTCAGGTGCTTCTCGATGTCGGACAGGAAGACCGGGCGGTCGGCGTCCGAGTCCGAGTCGGACAGCTCGGCGGCTAGGTCGTGGATGTAGACGCGGTGCGGGGTGTCGTCGACGGCCATGGAGTCGGCGGGGCGCGGGCGCGGGCGCGGGCGCTTGGGGGGCACATGGGGGGCGGGCGGTGGTGTGGTTGCGGCGGCGGGCACGGGGGTGTAGGCTGCGCTGCTGTCTGCGCTGCTGGCGTGGATATTCGCGCTGCTGGCGTGGGCGTCTACACTGTTAGCACTTCCACGGCACGCAGAACACACAACGTACCCAGGGCCAGGCGGTCGAAGCGTTTGCGCAGGCGCTGCTCGCCGTCGCCGTCGGCGGCGCTGTCAGCCGGCCGCTTCGTGCCGTGCGGTGTGGTCATCGCATGGCGGTGTTGGTCGCTGCCGGGCGCTATGGCGGTCGCCATCCATCACAGGCTGTGCAAGGGCGGTCTCACTTTCCTGGTCGTCACGAGGGTTGATGGGCGCGGCGGTCGCGCGTGTTTATCAGGAGCGAGCCCGCTTCTGGGCGTTTCGAGAACAGCGCAGAAGCGTTCCGAGCACGCAGCCATGCCATTCTCGAGGCACTGAGGACTGCAGACTCCCAGGCAGCATGGCGAACGGGCATGCAGTCTGTACTAAAAAATAATCTGCGGCGTCTCCTACACGAACACAGACGCACAGATTGCAGTGACTACCGCGGGCTTATCCGCTAGCGATGCCTCCAAAAATGAGCTCGTAGCTCCCCGCCGCTGCCCCGCCGCCTGCGCGTCTGCTTCGGCATGCTCCACACACTCTCTCGCGCTGCCCATCTGAGTCACGGCCACGCACTGCGACACGCCCGCCTCCCGCACACGCTCGCTGCGCGCTTCACCCTCTCGATCCCCCGCGCGGCTGCAACCATGGCGACCCAACAGTGGCCTGCCGCCAAAGTGCGCCAGACTTTCCTGGACTACTTCTCCGAGCGCGGCCACACCTTTGGTACGCCTGCCCTGTTGTATCAAGAGCCCAATTGACCATGCAGTGCCCTCGTCCTCGGTCGTGCCGCTGTCCGACCCCACGCTGCTGTTCACCAATGCCGGCATGAACCAGTACAAGGCCATCTTCCAGGGCACCGTCGACCCGTCGTCCGACTTTGCCCAGCTGAAGCGCGCCGCCAACTCGCAAAAGTGCATCCGCGCCGGCGGCAAGCACAACGACCTCGACGATGTCGGCAAGGACAGCTACCACCACACCTTCTTCGAGATGCTGGGCAACTGGTCGTTCGGCGACTACTTCAAGAAGGAGGCCGTGGGCTTCACCTGGGAGCTGCTGACGGGCGTGTACGGCATCGACCCGAAGCGCCTGTACGTCACCTACTTCGAGGGCGACGCCGCCGGCGGCCTCGAGCCGGACCTGGAAGCCCTCGAGCTGTGGAAGAGCGTCGGCGTGCCCGAGGACCACATCCTGCCCGGCAACATGAAGGACAACTTTTGGGAGATGGGCGACCAGGGCCCCTGCGGCCCCTGCTCCGAGGTGCACTACGACCTGCGCGAGCCCGTCAACGGCGAGTACAGGAACGCCGCTGAGCTGGTCAACGCCGACGACCCCGAGGTCATTGAGATCTGGAACAACGTCTTCATGCAGTATAACCGCGAGCCCGACCGCTCGCTGCGCTCGCTGCCCAACAAGCACATCGACACCGGCATGGGCTTCGAGCGTCTGGTGTGTCTGCTGCAAAAGAAGATGTCCAACTACGACACCGACGTCTTCACCCCGCTGTTCGACCGCATCCAGGAGATCACCGGCGCGCGCCCGTACAACGCCAAGTTCGGCAAGGAGGACGCCGACGGCATTGACACTGCCTACCGCGTCGTCGCCGACCACGTCCGCATGATGTCCTTTGCGATCGCTGACGGCGGCGTCCCGAACAACGTCGGCCGCGGCTATGTCGTGCGCCGCGTCCTGCGACGAGGCGCCCGCTACGCCCGCAAGTACTTCGAGACGGACATTGGCGACTTCTTCTCCAAGATCGTCCCCACCCTGGTCGAGCAGATGGGCGGCATGTTCCCGGAGATCAAGAAGAAGCAGCAGGACATCATCGAGATTCTTGACGAGGAAGAGAAGGCCTTTGCCAAGTCGCTGGACCGCGGCGAGGTCATTTTCGAAAAATACGCACAAAAGGCAAAGGCCAAGGGCTCAAACGACCTGCCCGGCGACGACGTCTGGCGGCTGTACGACACCTACGGCTTCCCCGTCGACCTCACCAAGCTCATGGCCGAGGAGCGCGGCCTGAACATCAACGACAAGGAGGTCGAGGAGGCGCAGGAGAAGGCACGCGAGGCCAGCAAGGGCGACAAGAAGGCTGCCGGCGTCGTGGTCAAGCTTGATGTCCACGATCTCGGCGCCCTCGAGAACATGCCCGAAGTCCCCAAGACCGACGACAATGCCAAGCACGGCCGCGAGAACATCACCGCCACCATCAAGGCCATCTACCACAACAAGCAGTTCCTCAAGAGCACAAAGGAGGTCCCCCAGGGCGAGCGCTTCGGCATCCTGCTCGACAAGACCAACTTCTACGCCGAGCAGGGTGGCCAGGAGGCCGACTTTGGCAAGCTCGTCATCGACGGCGAGGCCGACTTCACCGTCGACGACGTCCAGGTGTACGCCGGCTACGTCCTGCACACCGGCTATCTCGGCGAGGGCGAGCTCAGCGTTGGCAGCCAGGTCATTGCCGAGTTCGACGAGCTCCGGAGAAACCCCATCCGCAACAACCACACCGGCACCCACGTCCTCAACTACGCGCTGCGCGAGGTCCTCGGCAACGAGGTTGACCAGAAGGGCTCGCTGGTCGCGCCCGAGAAGCTGCGCTTCGACTTCTCGCACAAGGCCGGCCTGACCGACGCCGAGCTCGAGAAGGTCGAGCAGATCGCCTCGGACTACATCAAGCAGGACGCGCAGGTCTTCGCCAAGGACGTCCCGCTCGCCGTCGCCCGCGAGATCAACGGCCTGCGCGCCGTCTTCGGCGAGACGTACCCCGACCCCGTCCGCGTCGTCTCGGTCGGCGCCTCGGTCGACGACCTGATTGCGGACCCCAAGAACGCCGCCTGGAGCAAGCTCTCCATCGAGTTCTGCGGCGGCACGCACGTGCTCAAGACGGGCGAGATCAAGCAGCTCGTCGTGCTCGAGGAGTCCGGCATCGCAAAGGGCATCCGCCGCGTCATCGCCGTCACGGGCCAGGAAGCCTACGACGTGCAGCGCATCGCCGCCGACTTCGCCGCGCGCCTCGACGCCCTCGACAAACTCCCCTTTGGCGCCCAGAAAGAAGCCGACGCGAAGCGCACCCAGGTCGACCTCAACGCGCTCACCATCTCCGCGCTGACCAAGTCCCGCTTCCGCACCCGCATGGCCGCGATTTCCAAGTCCCTGCTCGACGCGCAGAAAGCCGCCGCAAAAGCCGAGCAGAAGGCCGTCCTGGACCAAGTCACCGCGCATTTCAAGGACGACGCGAACCGCTTCTGCGTGCTGAAGGTCGCGTACTCGCCGTCCGTCGGCAAGACCATCAGCGAGGTCGTCAAGACGGTGTCGGCGCCCAAGAGCGCGCTGAAGGACCGCAGTGTGTATTTGTTCGCTGCCAGCCCCGAGGAGGGGAAGGTCGTGCATGGGTGTTATGTTTCTGAGGTGAGTCCGCGATATCCTTACCCGCCCCTATCCTTACCCCCCCTTCCAAAACTATCCCGTGTGTGTATGCTAATCCAAACAGCCGTTCAAGGCCAAAGGCGCCGACGGGCCCCAGTGGGCTGCCTCGGTAACGCCGATTATCGGCGGCAAGGCGGGCGGCAAGGCGGGCGCGGCGACGGCGGTTGGGCAGGGGACTGAGGCTGCGCGCGTGGATGAGGGTGTTGAGGAGGCGAGGCGGTGGATTGAGAAGTTGGCTGTCTAAGGGGTGGGGGGTGACTGGCAATGCTATCGATGCTATGGATGCTATGAATGCTATGAATGCGACTATTAGTGTTGCTGTCAGTGTTGCTATCAGTGTTGCTATGAATGCTGCTATGAATGCTATACCAGTGATACTATGAATGCTGCTACCGATGCTGCTATGAATGCTGCTACCGATACTACTACCAGTGCTGCTATGAATGCTACTACCAGTAAGTACGACTGCTGATCGGGTGTGTGTGTCGTGCTATGCATTGTTGTGCTGTAATTGTACCCAGCACCACCCACCAAACGCCGGAAACGCTCATGTTCAACATATCAGGAATGATCAGTATTTGCATCTTTGGAGCAATGCTTCTGCCGGTGCGGTGCGGTGCGGTGCGGTGCGGTGTGTGTGATGCAGCGCCATGCTTCAACTCAACTGCGTTGGTGTGACACGATAGACGCGCTCTGGTGGGGTGGGTGGGATCTGATGGGTGTGATGTGATGGGCATGCTCTGATATACATACTCCGATACACATGCTCCGATAGACATGCCACGATGATCATGCCCGTACAGCCACGCCCAACACACACTCTACTGTACTTGGACTACTATATCAGAATTACGCAGAAGAGAGTAGATATACACAGCACACAGCACTTAGGCCTATCAGCATTCTCAACATCAGGTATACCAGAACCCGCGTGTTAGACCAATCCTAGCACTATGCACAACACCATCAGATCCCCTCTCCTGTGCCTTGGGACGGAAGCGCAACATACACTGTACCAAGCGAGGACTCGCTATTGTGTGCGTTGGGAGAGGACTCACTATTTTGGGCTCGGTACTGAGGGCTGGCGGGTGCGGTGGTGTGGTCTGGTGGATGGGTGTTGGATGCTCTAGGAGATGTACTTGTGTAGGTGTGTTTGACACGCGGTTTAGTGTGTCTAGGCTGCTGTATCAAGATTCTGCAGGTGAGAGAGTACATAGATGTACACAGCACTTAGGAATGCCAGGGTATCAGACATGTTAGACATGTTGAGACTTAGAGTTAAGCACTACTCCTGCAGGCGTGGACAACGCAGGGACATGCTGTGCCTAGATTGATACGATATACTGGCCCTGCCGTACTAGCCACGCTCCGCCGGCCCTGCTTTGACGCATCGGTCCTGGCACATGTGCTCTGATACATACTGTGTATATTCTAGCGGTACACCTCGGATACATCTATTCTAGCAGTACACTACCATACTCTCATGCTTCCATGCACCTACTCTACAGCCCGAACGCCAAACGCCACACATGCAAACCCGACTTGTGTCGTGTTGTTGATACACCCCCCCTCACCCCCGCCAAACAAGCCACACATACCACCCCACCCCCCACCCCACCACCCACCCCAGCCCACCCCTCATCTCAGCCCAGAACAGCGCCGCGCCTGTTTTCCTCACCGTGGTGCTGCCGTAGACCTTCGATTTCTTGGTCTTGCTGCGGTCCCAATCTACGTCATTCTGCGCGTGCGCGTCGGCGTCGAGCGCGGCGGTGTACCCCGCGTGCTGCACGAGCGGGAACGTGTATGCGGAGGACTGGTGGTGCGGGAGCGGCGCGGGCGCGGGCGCGTAGCCATATCCATTCCCATTGCCATTCCCATTCCCATACGCATATCCTCCTGCGCCTGCGCCTGCATACGCACCCCCGTCCGCGGGCGACGCAGTCCTCCGACTCAGCGACGCTCCCCCCGCCGCCGACGAGGTCGCCGCGTGCGCGTGTTTCTCGACCGCGGTGGGGAGCAGCGGCGCACTGACGGGCGGCGCCGGGGCGGGCAGCACGCGGGCGACGACGAGCGCGGCGCGGGCGGCGAGCAAGAGCAGCGTGAGCGCGAAGAGCAGCGCGTAGCGCGCGAACGTGCCGATCTGGTCGGGCAGCAGGCAGAGGTGTGTCTGCAGCGTCTTCTCCCCCTGGCCCTTGAGGGGCGCGCCCCGTGCATCAACGGGGTTCCACAGACTCACGGCCACGAAGCCGGGGCGCCGCACGCCCATCGCCCACGATATGCTTTTCACGGTGATCTCGCGGATGCCGCCGCCGGCGGACGCGTAGCCCCGGTGCACCACCTCGCAGTAGTCGTGGTCGTCGCCCGAGAAGGCGGCGCTGATGTGGCCGATCTGGGAGGTGAGCGAGGCGCTGAGGTCCTTGGTCTGCACGTTCTGGTACTGGTAGCCGCCGGACACAGATATCGCGTTTGGCGGGTCGGGGTCGGGCGGGGATGTTTCGCCGGGCGCGGGGGGCGAGGGCGGCGAGCGCTCGCGGAGCGGGCCGCAGGGGGTGCCCGGGGGGCGGTAGAGGGGGACGTGGGTGAGCAGGACGGTGGGGAAGTCGGCGACGTCGGTGTCGGCGTGGGGCAGCGGGGAGTGGGCGAGTTGGTCGGTGGGGATCTCGCGGTGCGGGAAGCCCGGGTACGGCTGTAGACCTTGCTGGCGGCGCAGTTCGCGCTGGACGAGCTTGCGCTTCTGGGCTTGGGCGGTGGCGAGGAAGTCGGCGGTGGGGCCCCAGATGTCCTTCAGTTCGTGCGGCGACGGCACGCCCAGCGCGCCCAGCGAGACGCTGTCGATGGACACGAACGAGTGGTTGCCGACAATGTCAATCCGGTTGCCGTCGCCGAAGTAGGCGTGGAAGCGGTCGCGCACGCCGAGCTGCACGCCCTTTGCGAAGCCCAGGTCGTGGTTGCCGGGCAGGCTGGTGATGAGCTTGCGCCCGGGCTGGCCTGCGCGCGGCCGCGTCCCGCCGTCGCCCCAGTGCGCGAAGAAGATGCTGCCAAAGCGCCGGTACTCGTTCAGCCAGTAGCTGTCCCCATATCGCTGGTACTGCTTCTCGGGCGACTTGGTCGTGCGCGTCGACCACTCGCGGCCACCATCAAACAGATCCCCCAGGAAGAAGACCGTGTCTGGGTACAATTCTGTCTGGATGCGCGAGTACGCGCGGCGCATGTACTGGTCGGTGTACTTGATGGTCAGCGGGTTGAGCGGCCACGGGCGGCCGGGGTACGTGTGCGGGTCGACGAGCTGGGGGTCAGCGACGAAGACGAGGCGGTGGGGGTTTGCGCCGGGTTCCTACTCTCGTTAGCCCAACCATATACTCACACATGCACGAGTGACCGACCCAGTCCTCCCACGCGTCCCAATTGCAGCTCCCCACCGCGCTGTCAAACGCCGCCCGCTCGCCCCAGTACACGGCCATCCACCACACCACCACCAGCGCGTTCGCCAGGCTAAACACCCGCTTCCATCGCCCCTGGGCCACGCTGCGCGCCACGAGCGGCTTGACGCGGTACAGGAAGAAGGCGCGCGCCGTGCGGTACGTCTGGCCCGTGAAGCTGTCCGGCTCCTGGTATGCGCCGACGGGGACGCCGTAGTCGTCGTACTCGGTCATGATCGGGGTGTCGAGGCGCGGGCGAGGCAGCGCAGCATTGTGCAGTCAGGGTCGGTGCGGTGCGGAGTGCGATACTGCGGTACAGTGTGAGAAAGGGTTGGCTGCGGTACACTGCGAGAGAAAGGTCGGCTGCGGTACACTGCGCGAGAAACGGTCGGCTGCGGTACACTGCGTGAGAAACGGTCAGCGTGCGGGGTGCGATGCTGCGGTATACTGCAATTGAGAAAGGGTCGGCGTGCGTGGCTGCGGTACACTGCGTGGCTGCTGGCGGACCCCCGAGGTCTGGGGAACTCCGCCGATCGACCGCTAGCGCCACCACACCATCCTCACATGCGACAGATGCAGTACGTGATCATGCAAAGGATATCATTCGGACATGCTAGAAGTACAGTACACCCTCCCCTTCTTCCTTCCTAGTACTCGAGCGTCACCGCCTGGCCCTTGACCTTGCCAATGACAATCTCGGGCGCGTACTTGGGAATCACCTCGTCGTCGTGCAGCATCTCAAACTCCTCGGACGCGTCCTTGCCCATGTGGCTGAACAGCGCCTGCGGGCCGCCCGGGTGCTCGTCGGTCCAGTTGGTCACGTCCATGACGATGCCCTTGACCGCGATCCACAGGTCGTCCTTTTTGTTGTGCTTGGCAATCTCCTCGAGCGAGAACTCCTTGTCCGGGATCGTGAACTTGGCCGGCTGGCTGGGCTTGGTCACCTTGCCGGGGTCCGCGGAGTCGGCGTCGCTCGACATGACGGGCGCCGCTGAGATCTGCGACTGCTGTGCTACCTTGTCGACACCGGTCTGCCCCTGCGCACCGCCGCTGCCCCACTCCACCGAGATCTTGCCGGGTGTGCTGGGGTCGATGTGCAGCGAGATCTGCCCGAGACGCGACACGGCCGACCCGCCGGCGTTGTTGAGTGCCTGCTGGAAGAGGTACTTGGACGCCGAGTCACCGGCAACACGGCCGTACACGACACACCCGAGCAGCGACGAGCCACCGAGACGGTTGGCGCCGTGGACACCACCAGCGAGCTCACCGCACACGAACAGGCCGTCAAACGGCTTGCCCTGCTCGTTCAGGCACTGCGCCTGGTCGTTGATCTCGATACCGCCCATGGTGAAGTGGAGAACGGGCTCCATCAGCGCAACATGGAATGTGTCGTTGATGTCAAACGGCAGGTTGTGGAAGTACTTCTTGCCCCAGACGTCCTTCTTGTCGCCCTTGGCAATGGCGTTGTAGCTTGTGAACTCCTCCTGGAGCTGCTCGGGGTTGATGCCAATCTCCTTGGCGAGCTCCTTGCCGGACATCTTCTTCATCAGACCGCGGCCCGAGTAATGCCTTGTGTGGAAGTCGAGCACATTCGACGCCTTGGAGTTGAGCACGAGGCGGATCGGCCACTGGCCCTTCTCCTTCTCCTCCCACATCTTGCCGGACACGTAGTCGCGGTGGCCAAGGTCGTCGCAGAAGCGCTGGCCCTTGTTGTTGAGCAGGATACCGCCCTCGCCACGGAGCGCCTCAGCGGCCAAGAACTTGGTCTTAGCAGTGGGGTCCTTGGGGTCGACGAGACCCGTGGGGTGGACCTGGACCTTGTCCATGTCGATGCCCTGGGCACCAACCTTCATCAGCATCTTGTGGCCGTCACCGGTGGCGTGGGCGCCGTTGGTGGTGGACAGGTCGAATGTGTCGGGTCTCCACTTCTTCAGCAGCGAGTCCTCTGTGAAGTCTGCAGCGTAACCACCGGTCGCGAGAATGACGGGACCCTCAAGAGTGGTCTCCTCACCGCCGAATGTGTAGGTGACGCCGGTGGTGCGGTTGCCGTCCATGTTGACCTTGGTGACCTTGGCCTTCTTGACGAGCTGCACACGCTCGGGCTCGGCCTCGGCCAGCTCCTCGAACCGCTGCATCAGGGCGTATGTGATGGCCATACCGGGGAACTTGGCATCGTGACCACGATGTGTGCGGGGGAATGAGTGGCCGCTGTTTCTGTCAGTCACCGTAGATATCCGTTTCGGTCTGAACTCACCCGAGACGAGAAACGAGCGTCAGGTCGAGGTTGAAGACATCCATCAGCCACTCGACGGCAGCGGCGGACTTGTAGGTCAGGACCTTGATCAGGTCCGGCCTCGCCTTGTCGCGCGCAGACTTCAGTGTGTCCTCGTAGAACTGCTTGACGCTGTCGCCAATCTGGTGATCAACCTGTGTCCTTGTGAGGGCACCGTTGATACCGGATGTGGCCTTTGTGGAGTTGCCTCCCATGAAGTCTGATGGTCAGCATTCGCATTTTGAATACTCGACTTTTACACTCACTGTTCTTGTCGAGCAGAACGACATTGCCGCCAGCCAGATAGATGGTGTGAGCAGCGCTCAGGCCGGACACTGTGGATGTTAGCCGTGCACATGATGCAGCATCTTGAACGTACAGCCAGCACCAACAACGATAACCTTCGCAGTCATTTTGGCAGATGCAAGCAAAGAAGGTAGGAAGAAAGTCTCGCGGGCGCAAATGCGGGTGAAAAGTGCGGAGACAGTGCCTTTGTACAGGCGGTGGCAGTTCCGTCCGCTTCGGGTGCCGAGGCTATGGGGAGAATGCGCTAGTGTCAGCGCATGCGGGTCTCCCCAGTGCAAGTGTGCCGGCCAGCCAGTGAGAGGCGCGCTGTTTGTAGGCTGGGGCCCGGAAGACCGACTGTTCGCTCCAGCGCCCCGTGATGCACTTGCGGGTTTCAGACTCGCTGCGCCGCGCATCGCATGTGAAGATGCAAAGCTCGGTCGCCTTCCACATGATGACCGAACTGCGGCGCTGTGGTTGGCTGAGACCGACGCCGGCATCTCGTCCAACGCGCCCAGAATCTGGGGTGAAGTCACGCGTGGAGCGTCTTTCATGTGAACACGCCCGAAACTGGCGGCCATGTATTAGAGCATCATCGAGTTCTGACAGTCATGACTGCAGCTCCGCCGCTCGTTTTCTTCACAGGTATTGTGTCCTTTGCCGACTTTGGCAATTTTGCCCGCACACATGTCGCTGCCACTTCAGTCGCCGACCGGCGTTTGCTCCACCAGAAACTGCCACGCAGGGGGCTGCATTGCCTGATGTGTGCTTGAGTCAATTGTGTTTGCTGTGACCGGGACGCATTATCCCTCAACGTAATCAATGCGCGAAGTTTCTTCCTCCTCTCAAGACAAACGCCCGTGTCCATGATAGGCTTCGTGACCTCGCTGGGGCAGTCCGAATTCCACTCGGGGTAGTCCACCCCGAGCGTCCATGCTGCGAGATGCTCGGCTCCACTTGACGCGACTGCGATTGAATGGTCTGAATAAAAGTTCACTGCAGACATATCTTGCACACTGATTGCCAGATCCAACATTGAATCTACCAGATACCCAACGCCAAATCATCACAATAGACAGCTCACCGCCGTCCTTTCCGCAATTTCCGTCAATTCCGTCAATCGGACACTGATGGAACAATGCGTCGGGAGGAAACCGCTCAAATGCGAGTTATAAACATGCACAGTCTGGACCCTGTCCTGCAGACTGCATCTTGAGACCTCAGTACGATGCTGACAACATCAGTTGTGGATGCTAGTGGCAAGCAGCCGACTTCGTCGGGCTCGAGTTGGCAAACAGCAAGTAACCGACGAACGCGCCCACCGCGACCGCGATCATAATCCAGCCATTGTATGTCATGAACAGCAACCTATCCCGTCAACACCCTAAAGCACGCGTGACAGAGCATCGAAAGCACTTACATGATGAAGAACGAGTAGAAGACCTGCGCCGCATACAGCGCAGCCTTGACGAGCTTCGCCTGCTGCTCCGCATTGCCTGCGTGTCTCCCTGGGTGAAGCAATGAGCTCGATTCATCGGCCGTGAGCACATCTTCGCGCGCGGGACTCAGCTGGCGTTCCAACAGATGCGAGACGGAGCAAGGAAAGCGGCCCCGGCCCCGCGCTGTGCAGCGCCCGGCGCGCGACGAGTGGAGAGAGACTCACCTCTGAGGTCGTCGCCGCCCCTGCGGGCCTCGAGCGCTTTGTTCGAGTGCGCTTCGTAGCGCCGAGATGCTTCGCGCACCGCTTCGTAGCCCGCGGTCAGCAGCACGATGCCGATTAGGGCGACGATGAGTGAGAAGGTGCCGCTGACGTGCCAGCTGCGGAAGACGATGCAGAGGTCGGTGGTGTCCCAGGTGAACAGCATCTGTGGGGGTTAGCCTGGCGTGTGGAGCTCGACGGCTGGGAGGCGTACGTTCATGTTGCACTTGTGGCCGTGGTCCATGCCGGGCATGTCGTGGTCCATGTGGCCGTGGTCCATGTGGCCATGGTCCATGTGCGAGTGATCCATTGTGTGCGTTCTGCGTTCTGCGTTCTGCTGTCTGCTGTCTGCGTGGGAGGGAGAGGTGTCAAGACGCTGCTGCAGCGAGGGAACGGGGCGTATCACGCGCGTCGCACCATCCCTGCACGTCGAGATCGCCGCCCCGCGGTGAGCAAGTTTCCCTCAGGGTCCAGATGGGTAAGCTACCGCTGACACTTGCACGCTGCAGCCGCATGACGCGCACTCTACAGCTCGCCACGACAGCAACTCGGTGACATCTGATCTGAAATGAGATTGCAGCACTAACAGCCCACAACCATGCACTCCCTCCGTCTGGCTGCGCGCTACGCCCAGAACCCCACTCCACGCCTGCTGCGGACCTCCGGAGCTATCACCCCACCGCGACACTTCTCCCGCACAGCACCCGCGCGCCTCCTCGCGCCGCCCTTGAACGTGCCGAAATGGTACTGAATCCGCTCTGCCTCCAAGCACCGCTAATGAGACCAGGGTAGCTGAGAACTCGCACATGCTCAAGCCGCCGATCAACAACTACTGCGTCTACAACGACAATGTCACCGTCATGATCGTCGGCGGCCCCAACGAGCGCACCGACTACCACATCAACGAGACCGCCGAGTGGTTCTACCAGCACAAGGGCTCGATGCTGCTCAAGGTCGTCGACGACAACGCCTTCCGCGACATCCACATCCACGAGGGCGACATGTTCCTGCTGCCGCCCAACACGCCGCACAACCCCGTCCGCTTCAAGGACACTGTGGGCTTGGTGCTGGAGCAGCACCGCCCAGAGGGGAGTCTGGACCGGCTGAGGTGGTACTGCCAGAGCTGCGGCGAGAAGGTGCATGAGGCTGCGTTCCACTGCACCGATCTGGGGACGCAGATCAAGGATGCGGTGAATGCGTTCAAGGCGGATACCAAGCTGAGGACGTGTGGAAACTGCGGTACGCTGTGCGACACAGCTCCCTCGAAGTCTGGCGAGAAGTCCGCGAAGCCGGCGAAGCCTGCGAATTCGGATCAGAGCGCTGAGGAGAAGCTGGAGGAAGAGGCCAAAGATGACGTGGCGGAGGAGAAGGGCAAGAGTGCAAAGGAAGCAGAGGCGAGTGCGAAGACCAGTGAAGGCGACAAGGTCCCATTCCAGCCCTCGTAGATGCAGTCGAGGCGCAGGCTTTGCTTCAAGCCCGGCGTGTAAAATACAGTGTTTCTATAAGACCTCACAGACCCTTCCACATGACCTTGGCGACATGGTCGGTCTTCTTCTTAGTCGGTCTGAGCAGGCCCAGATACTTGAGCTCGGCAAGCGCTCGCTGGAACAGTGCCCTGAGGACGTCAGTCTATCTTCGTAGCTATCACAGATAAAACTTACATCGTAATGGACTCGTCCTCACCATCGTCGTTCCCAGCAATTGCTTTGAACGCCGACCACAAATCAGTCACGTTGATCAGCGCTCCCGACTCGAGGTACATCTGGTACACGATCGCAGTCGCCGGCTGTGTCGCACCAAGAACCGACTCCTTGCCATCGACAGTGCCACAGCAATCACATCCCAGGTAGTCATGAGGCGACGCCAAAGCCCGCTCGATGGCGAACCGCGGCTTCGGCTGGAAGACTTCGAGATGGGGTGATTTGAGGTCGTACATGAAGACCTCGGAGAAGAGCAGGGCTTGCGGCTCGACGAGGGTCAGCTCGAAGAACGACGCCAGCTGGCGGTGGACGCGAGTGACCAGGTCCGAGTACGCTTGGTCTTGCTTGGAGAGGGCTGCTTTGTGCTTGGAGAGCAGGACTTTCTGCGCCACGACTGTAGCGCGGACACTGGCGTTTTGGACGTCGTGCTCTGTGCGGAGCGGGGCGGATGTGGTTTGCTGTTGGACGATGGTGTTGAACTCTGCCTGTATGCTGCTCACGTCTAATGTCTCTATAGCTTGCTCGGTTTCTCCTTCATATGGCATCTCTCTTTGCTTCGACAACTCGCTCAACGCCGACAGGAAGCTGGCGAATTTGTCCGAAGGCGTCTTTTTGAGACTGAGCATTGTTTCACGGAGGATTGGGGAATCAAGCAACTCTGCAGATAATGCTCGCAGCCAAATGGTAGACGCTTTAACTCTCGGTGTCATTTGCAGAGCTTCCCGGATACTGAAGAGGACCTGTACTGCGTGGTTCAGACCGGTCAATTCGTCCTGAGCCAAGTTGATGCCGTATTTGACGGCCTCGAATAATTCTCGGTCCGACCTGAGCAGGCTGCCGGCAATCTGGCGAGCCAAAGGGCCTTGCTCAATCCTCTTTTCGATGTGCCGTCGAAATGACGGCAAATTGCGTATTGCTGCAAAGGCACCTGCGTCTATATCCTGTAATTCTAGAGTAGAGTCCAGGAATATAGTCGGAACGCTCGGATAGAAGTGTGACATGTACGCGTACTTGAGACCATCACAGAAGTCTTGCACGTTCTGCACGTAGTCTTTCTGTCGGTCGAGCATACGCCGGCATATCTGTGGACCGATGAAAAGGCGATTGTCAAGGCTGGCAACGGTTGCGCTGAACAGCTTCTCGATGATATCGTCGGACTGCGTGACGTCAAATCTCTCACCTTCCAGATATCGCAGAGATTTCCCAGATATACGGTCTTCGAAGCTGTCTGCCGATGTAGCGATACCAAACAGGAGCACAAATGGAATGCGATCGAGCCACGAGCTTCACGAGTTAGCTTTGTTATGTGAATAGATGCTCCAACTTACTGAAGAAGATCAATCAGATCGATCAGCAGCCCAGCATCAAATGCTTCGCTGTCTTGGATCGTAACAACAACGCTCGACACTCGGTTCTTCTTCCGCCATTCCTGGATATGTCCCAGGTCATAGTTCAGCAGTTTCGGCCCGCGCCTTGACGGCTTCGGTTGATCCAAGTCATCTTCGTCCTCGTCCTCAAGCCGTGATGTCGCCTTTTTGATGAGCACCTTGAGTAGAGTCTTTAAATTAGGACACTCGCCAGAATTGAGGAGAACGTAGGCGCTATCCGTATCAGATCTGATATTGTGCCCTAGTCGCTCAAAGTAGGGTCCATGGGATGCAATGCTTGGCCCAGCGACTACAAGACCTGTAGGTATGGCAAACTTTGGTTCATCTGGTGATGATCCTGATGCCGAGACAAAATCAACAATGCTCCCTTGTGTCGCGCTGTCTGCTTCTTCGAGAGTAGCCTGCCACAGTTAGTCAAGTTGATTCTACAGCTCACGTGATGACTACTTGTATGCGTTGATCTTGCGCTGCCCACAGGTCGCGATAGATCTGGAGTCGTTCTGCAAGCTGTGGTTGAGATCGGGATTGCTCAATGCGCTGACGTTTGGGAGCCCGCTCTTCATCCTCAGGAGGTTGATATATGTAGCATCGCTGATGTTCTAAATCCATTGCTATAGAGTGATGTTTGCGAACTTTCAGCGTGTTGTTGAAGATGGATTTGCCAGGGTCCACAGGAGAGCACGGCGCGACGGCGCTAAGCACGTAGGCACGGGAACACGTGTATGCTTCACTTTGAACATGCAGAGGACGATCTTGAGGTACACACTTTGACACGTTTAATGGGAGCTGATGAGATAAGTTTTGCTTATTTCCATTGGGTATCTCTGAGTCCTATACACCATCCTTCCCCTGCAGAATCTTCATAATGCCAGCATATAATACCTGGCCTTCGGAAATGCAGCGATACTCATGTGCTGATTCACAAACATAGCACAGGGATGCTTTAGATGCATGATGTGCCCCAATCGTAGTCCATCCTACGTCACTTACTGATCGTCCTTCTACATGGTTTGACCGTAATCGCCTGCAAGAGTGTCTGAGTTCAACATGCATAAATCAATCGTGATCTTTCTCAGTCACTCCTGGGCAACCTTCCAGAACCGCATCAGGATACTGGTACCCGCAGTAGAGGCAGTAGTGAAACTCATCGCGGAGGAAGAGCAATACCTTTTCAAGTCGCTCGGTCACGGGCAATGCTTCGAACTCAGCGAGCTCGGGGTCTTCTGCTGCGAGATCACTCTCGAGCGTGGTATAGAAGGGTGTCAGGTCCTGGCCCAGTGCGACTTTGGTGTCGTTGTCGACATCACCTTCGTCGGCTAACGTGGGCAGTCGCGAAGCCAGGCTGTCGTTCAGCTCACGCCGCTGCTGCTTGTCTTGTTGTTTCTCCACCCTTCTTCTGACACGGCTGCGCCAGAGCACGTTGATGTCTTTGAGAGGCTTGTCGCTGGGCTCGGGGGTGCCTTTCTCTTCAGCCTGCTTCTCGAACAATCGCTCAGCTGTGCGCTGTGCGTTGTCAAGATCCCTCTCCGCCTGTTTCTCCTGCTGTTCCTGTCGTCGCACCTCAAGATAGTCGCCCTCTTCTTCTTTGGAGCGCTTGGCCAATCGGTCTGCCTCTTCCCACTGCTCGCGGAATTTGCGCTTCTTCTCTGACTCAAGACCAATGCCTCCCTTGTCCGCTTTGATGTCGACTGTAATGGGTGCTTTGCGCGCGTCTGCGGATTTACCGAGTGTATCGCCCTGCTTGAAGCCGAGTTTAGCCATCATTTTGAAGCCCTTGTTGGTTTCTGGGAGGGCTGTCGCGAGTGCTTCCTCTCGCGCTGCTTCAGCGTCTGCTGCCTTCTCTGCCTTTGTCTTCTGTCGCGATCGTGCCTCGCCCTGTAAACGCGTTAGCTTGCGCGACTCGAGAATTTTCAACACGCGCGTACCTCTTTGCGCCTGCGCGCGGCGCGCTGCAGTGCGGTTTCGAATTTTGGACCTTTGGGCGCATCCTCGAACACCATGTTCATGTAGTCATCTTCCTCGTCTGAGTTCGACATGTTGCTGGCGTGATCGTGGTGAGCAGTAAGGACGAACTGCAGCTCCCAAGAAGTCCGTCTTGAGCGACCCACATAGCGTCATGCTTGGCACCCCGCGTCCCTGACAGCGATCGCTGCTTCCCCAGACTCTTCTCCTGACGACATGCCTGACCTGCAGCCTCGTCTAATATCGAGTAACTAACATCGCCTAAACCTTGCGCTCTCGGCGCTGCAGTGGCATTGCAGTGGCATTGCGACATATTTGCCTCATTGGCTGTCTTTCCAGGAGATCTCTGAACCCCAGAGGATGCGAATGGCAACGAGGACCTGAACAAGCCAAATCAGCACTCGCTCCGATCGTATACACGTATTTGGCCGAGCAATCTCAATTATCATGAGGCCTATGCTCACGCGCCATGCGCCTGAGTCCCGTATCCATTCCAATGCACTTCTGCCCTCCACACGTATACCCTGGATGTAGCGCACAAATGCACCAGGTATTTGCCATAGCGTTATATGGGCCCGGCGATGGCAACGTGGTTGGGACTTATGCTGGAGTTCCATCTCCCAGCCGTTTGTTGAGTCGGTGAGGCCCTCCAATCTAACATTTGGCGCTCCTTCATGTGAAAAATTTGAGCCGCGGGTGTGATTGTTCTCGCCGCATCGAACTTATTGAGTGCTGGCTCACATGCTCCTTTGACGACCTCTTAGGCAAGAGAAAAGACCTTTTGGCTCAAAACAGGTGGGAGGCCGGTCTTGGGTGCTTCGGATTGGTTGTCGACAAGGATGCTTCCCCACAGCGGGAGCCTTTGGACGCCAACGATCCGCCAATTCCGGGGAGCGTTGCAGGGGCTCTTCGTTGAATTGCTTGGTAGGCCTTGCTTCTTCTGCTGTTCATCAGTCCTGCTGCCAATAGTCGTGGATACTCCACGCCTCCCTGCCATGTTAGAACCACCGAAAGATAGTCGAAGAGATGGCCCGTTTTTAGCTTCCGAGAACTGAGCCACTCAGCGTGCTCTGGTTCCAGATGTTACACAGCACTGCTACATTTCGAGTAGCGACGCAAACATGTGTCAGTCGATCCTTTCAAGTTAATGGTGCTCGTGCCTCGGCTTCGTACTATTCGCGAAGAGATGGTGGCAATCATCTCGGGGCTCTGCCATATCCAGCTCTGGCGGTTGAATGTCATTCGTGGCACACACCCTGTCAGTGACCGCGCCTCTGTCGAGGTCCGGCTCCACTCGCGGCAGCGCGCCTGTATACGATTTGGTCCGTGAGGATCTTCGTTAAGCTGGCCATGTGCTTCGATACTCAAGTTTTGAGTCTCATAAGGGTTCTCTTCCCCGCAAATCTCCACTCGGTCTTCGGCTCTGGGGTAGTTCTTATTTCACAGCCCTTGTGCAACTGTCCTATCGTAAGGTTTCGTAAAAAGCACATCTTGAAACCTCTGCCTGTAAAGAAAAGTGCATCCGAACATCGACTTTGATCCTATCTCGACAACTCACTATGATGGAAAAGAATGAGCGACCAGTGTCGGAAGAGGAGGTGTACACTGCACCGCGGAAAGGGGGTGTCATGAACAAACTTTACCCTCCTGGACCAAAGCCAGGTGCTGGCGGGCGGGTCAAGAACCATTGCAGGAAGTTCTGGTGGTGTGGTAAGTTTAACCTCTCGAGTACTCAAATATGTGCTGATGGTGAGTAGACTGCTGTGTCCTTATCGTCATAGTCTTGGTCGTTGTTCTGCCACTCATCTTCGTTGGCCTTCCAAGGAAAGCACAGAAGGAGATCAACTCGTCTACACTAGAGGTGACAAACATGGAAGTTACAAACCCGACCCCAGATAGCATCCACTTGAAGATCGACAACACCATCAGAAGTGACAGCAGCTACCACCCCAGGATTGAGGCCTTCCGTGCTGGTCTGTCTCTCGAAGGCCAGGACCCCTTTATCTACATCGACATCCCTGAAGCAAAGTCTGAAGGAGAGACATTCATCACCGTCGATCAGGACGTGACTTTCGAATCTTCTGAAGGTTTCACTGCGTAAGCCATCACTCAAGCCCGATTCCTCAAACACTCGCTTACGCAACAATCAGATACACCAAAGCTGTCCTTGGCAGCGAAGAGCTCACCATTGACCTCAACGGCAAAACTACAATCCACATCTCCGGCCTCCCGAAGACAGACGTCGACTACAACAAGAAGATCACCATGAAGGGTAAGTCAAATATCCACCGATAACATTCCTTCCTTTCTAACATCTTCCCACAGGTCTGAACCACCTCTCCGGCCTCAACATCAGCGACATCCGAATCCTCTCCGGCGTCAAGCAAATCCTGCCCGACGGCTCCAACATGGTCGGCACAGTGAACATCCCCAACCCGTCCGTCATGACCCTCGACCTGGGCAACGTGACCATGAACCTCGCCGTCGCCGGAACCTCGATCGGCTACTGCCTGCTGCCCGACCTGGTGCTGCGCCCCGGCGAGAACAGCGTGCCGATGCAGGCGCACGTCGATCAGCCCGCTATTCTGACCATGGTGCTGAGCACGTACAAGAACGGCGTCCTGCCGCTGGAGATTGTGGGCAACAGCAGTGTGAGGAATGGAGAGCATCTGACGTACTATGAGGAGGCGATCAAGGCGAATACTATCAAGCTGGACCTGGATGCTGCGCCGGCGCTGAAGGCGATTGGTATTAATGTCACTACCCCTGCATAGATGCAAGGTAGTAGACTGCTGATTGCAGAGTCTCAAAGGCGGGTTAATGACATGCTGCCAGAGCTGTAGATGATAACTGCAAAGTGGTCCGACTGGTGCTGGCCCAAAGATAGTCGTAATGAATTGCTCTTGTTATTTTATATGCATAGAACACATCTACTTATGACATGAGTTTGTTTTCTATGCCTTAGCATTGTCCGTTAGCTACTCAAGCCGTTTACTCTGCTGCCGCGGCGCTGCTTCTAGCTGTTCTGGAAGCTTGCCTTTGAAGTATACACTGTAGAGCCCAATGAATGATGTCATGTGACATTCATCTGCCGTCAATCCTCGTGTCAAGCACTGACCGATGCTCTAGTGAGCAGCGCAAAGATCGATGTCACCCGTCGCAACCTCGCAGACTGAACGGCCCGGCAGATAGACACAGGTTGGCGACTCGTATCTTCGCAACTTGCCGGCCTCTAGAACCCGCGGCCTCGGTCTCTCATTTCCGTCTGATGCGCGTCCTAACTCTGTTCGGAGCTTCTCAACCCGCAGCAGCCAGCCTCTTCTTCTTATCGCCCCCCTTAACAAACTCGACAGCTTTGTGGCTTCTCTCCTCAAACCCCGCGCTCTCCCCTTTGTGCCCTTCCATCCAGCAATTCCTGCAGTACAAGTCGCCCTCGCAGCCTAGACACTTCAGTGTCGCGTCGTCCTGGCAGATGATGCACCAAGTGTCTATCTCCTCATCGAGCTTCTGCTGCAGGCTGGACTGGACTTTGGGCGGCTTTGCGGAGGGCGCGAAGGAGGGTGCGGAGGGGAGCCCGAGGGAGTCGGTCTTAGGGCCTGCGAGGGCGGCGAGACGGGCAGTGAAGGCGTCTTCGAGCGCTTGCGTCTCGTCGAGGGAGTCTGAGGGCTTGAGGGTTGTTGGTGCGGAAGGAAGAGAGAGCGAGGTATCTTCTGTGTGGTCCTCGGTTGACTTCTCAGCATTTGGTTGCTCTGGATCGCGATCGGAGTAAGGTGGGGGTGGAGATGGAGGATCGTATTTCTTGCTGATTTCAAGTTCAGCCATGATGCGTGCTATCACATCGTCGGCCTCTGCTTCCAGCGTCTGCTTCTTGCCCTCGCCGTCTTCATTATCGCTGCCGCTGTCCTCTTCGTCACGTTTTGGTCCCACCGAGCCACTGCCAACATCAAACTCGACGTTTTCCCAATCTGTGAGCGCTTCGCCCTTGCCTTTGCCGTTGGCTGGCTGTCGTTGTGCAGCATTCTGAGCCCGGTCGTTCTGCAACTCTGGCAGGAGCGTCTTCATATCCTTGAGCAGCTTCCCAACATCACCTTGCTCTTCGCGACTCATATCCCACTCCTTCCTATGCCCTACAGCTCCGTTCAACTCCTCGAGCAGTTCTTCCAGACTCTTCTCATCCTCCTCATTGAACTCGACCGATCCACCTCCCACACCCTGGGCTGCACCTTCTAGGTAACTCGGCGCTCCGGGAGCTATCACATTATTTGCGGAAGCTGTGCGCGACGGCTGTGGCGAGCCGGAAGGCGATGCGGAGCCAAGGCGTGCGAACCGCGAAGCAAGGTCATCTGTATGCTTTGGAGATCGCGCTATGGAGGAGCTGTATGTAGTGTCGAGATTGACGCTGCTCTTCTTGAGCGCGTTCAGGCGAGCAAGAAGATCATCGTCCACAGATCCGGAGCCTGACATGGTCACATATAATAGTGTTGGACTACACCGTTTGTGTATGAAGTTGTGCTGTGCATTGCATGTTCAAGTGCTCGGAAGTGTGCGGGGAGATGTGGGGCCGCCAGAGCTCTGTGGCTATGCACCTTGCTCCTGTTCCTGGAGCGCTCCAAATATTTGTAAGAACAAGAACCTAGCCTTTGCGCAAGGTACGCCAGTGCAGAGTGAAGCATAGGAACATCTGTCGACCCACAACGTCGTACGAGCAAGCTCGTCACTGCGTCGCATGTATACAGCCGATTGCGGGAAACGATGATATCACAACAAGCAGAGTAGATACGTATCTTATATTGACAGATAGCGGGTTACTTGTGCTAGAGTTCTGAGCAAGCGAGAAGAGCCTATCATGTCGTGGTATCAAGCAATATTGAGCAGAAATAGAAGAGTGCCTCGGGAGGTATCGAGTCTCAAAAGCGAGCCCCTTCGTGCTGGAGCTTCCAGAGCTTCCGAAGCTACCCCTCCAAGCTTCAGCGTCATCTTGCGTGCTTTCTCAGCATTGTCTAGACCTTCTCTTCGATATATAAAGTGTTCAGGCCTCAGCTGAATCAGTCCTTGTTCAATTAAGCTCTCCAACATCAAGAATGGCTCTCGCACCCAAGTTCGCTGGGCAGAAGCTCGCTGCCGCTGCCATCCAACCCAAAGCTGTCCACACCATTGAGATTTGTACGCGCTGATCTGACATCATTCCACCACCTACAAATACTGACTCACTTCAGACCTCGACTACGTCTGTCCCTTCAGCGCCAAGATATTCAAAACTGTCTACAGCTCGCCTCTGCGCAAGACGCTCCTCGAGAAGTACTCCGATCGCGTCGTCACCATCTTCCGCCAGCAGATCCAGCCATGGCACCCATCCTCTACGCTTGTACATGAAGCGGGCTTCGCTGTGCTCAAGGTTCAGCCGGACAAGTTCTACGACTTCAGCGAGAAGCTGTTTGAGCAGCAGAAGGACTTCTTCGATGCGAACGTGGTGAACGAGACCAGGAACAACACATACAAGCGACTGGCGAAGATTGCAGGGAGTGTAGGCGTCAACGAGCAGGAGGTGTACAATCTGTTGGAGATTAGTGACAAGCCTGACAAGGACGGAGGGCTGAATGTAGGAAACGGGGTGACCGACTTTGTCAAGCTGCAGACAAAGCAAAACCGACTGCAGGGTGTCCACGTAACACCGACGGTCGTCTTTGACGGCGTTGTCAACAACGATATCTCCTCAGGCTGGACGGAGCAACAATGGGAGGAGTGGTTGGAACAGAATGTTGTGTGACTGGATGGTGGTGATAGACCAAGATTGTGATCAGTGTCACAAGATGCAGACATGTTGAAATGCAATCCATTGATGTGGTATCTCTGACGCCCTGTGAACCCAATGGCAGTTCGTGCGTATTAATAAACCGTCATACTTCCGCTTCGTCCCATGCCACCATGGTCGCCATAGTTCTTTCGTATGTCCACATTGTGACGGCACTCGCCGGTGCAGCCTTCAGTAGACTGACGGTCAAGCCACGGTACAGCCCACGCCTACCTTCGTGTTTCCATATGCGCATTACAGTACTGGTCACACCCCTGTACTCAGGGATGTTACCGTGAATGTAGCGCGCCAACATCGGACCTTGGACCTGTAGGCGCTTCCGTGTGGTATCGAGAGGGTAGACGACGGTCTTCGAAAGGATGCTAGCAATTACGCCAGCAGCGGCATCTGAAGTGCCGAAAGGTAGGGGTATTGGCGAGCTTGCCATGACTGGCTTCAGACTCTCATAGCTTGCAAAAAACAGCCCCATGTATGGCACAATCTGGCTCACACCAGCTCCAAGGCCGCGGAAGAACCCTGCAGGGCCCTCCTGCTGTGCTATCTGCTTCAACGAGGCCGCGATGGAGCTGTACACGCGATCGTTTCCCTGAGCAGCGAAGCGCGTGCGCAGCAAATCCAGCGGGTATGTAGCCGTTGTCGCAGCAGCACCGGCAGCTGCGCCGCTGACGAAGTTGACAGCCGAGCTAGGGAGGTGGAATGGCAGAGCAGGGTGCTCCAGGAGGGAGGACGTGTATGTGTAGGCGGAAAACTGAATGCTGCCGTACGCAAGGTACATCAGCTCAGCGGGGATATTGCCCTTCCATAGTCCCGTCAGGCCTTCCTGTTGCAGGATCTGCTTGAGGGTACCAAATGTTCCTTTGTAGACAGGGCCACCGATGCCGCGAACACTTAGTGGGTCGGAGAGCGAGTGAATCTGTAGCTGCAGGCGGATTTTGATAACATCGAGGGGAGCTATCACAAAGCTGTAACAGTTAGCATGGCGTAAAGGAGACCCTCAGGGCTAGGGTTGACAAACCGCGACACGAGGCCCGCGACAGCGCCAGCTACTACAACCTGCCGCTGAGAACCCTGGGAAATTTGTGAGCACTCTGTGAAACGCGAAGACGACATCCACGCCTACCTCATGCTTGAGCTGTGCGACACCCTCAGACATGCGCTTAGCAACTCAATGCCACACAGTAGCGCACACGTGCCGCGAACACGCGATGAAAGCTGCCGGCGGGCGATGGACCGTGGAAGTTCCCGGAGAAAAGGCCCAATGTTGGCGTGCGCGGTCGAGAAGGAGCTTGCGCCTCGGTCGTCGGATGGAATTGTTGCGGTCGGCATATGACATATATCTCCACGGAGGTCCCCAGCATTGAAGTACCGCAAACACCATGTCATTGAACGTTACCACCAAATTGCCTGCGCTCCGAACTGCACGGAGAATTGCACCGAGATATCAATCAGTAACTTCTGTGCAGAGACGGCACTTTTCATTTCGGTCTTTTTGGAGCAAGGCTGCAAGTTCGGCAGAGCAGGCGGAATGGAGCCCCGCGATTGACGGCCCTCATCGGCAAAGCAAGCTACAGGTCAGGGAGCAACAGGAGAAAGAACTTGCAGAAAAAGCAGCACAAGAATTCCCGGTTCCAGAAGAATCAGAAATCGGTCAGGTTGATGGTGCCCCTGCGAAACATATTGCTGTGGAAATAGATGGAAATGCTCGAGTTTTCGACACTGCCTTCTTGCGGGACAGCTGCTCGTGCACCCAGTGCAGAGACCCAGACAGCAAGCAGAAAGTTTTCCAGACGTCCGATATTCCGAAAGACCTAGAAGGGAGCTACAGGCTTGTCGAGGATGAAAACAAGGGGCCTTCAATCGAACTTCAGTGGAAGGACGACGTCAAAGGATATGGACCAGATCACCGGACACGACACTCGATCGAATGGCTGCAAAGGTCGATCCACCAAGAGGTCGAACTAAGAGGTGGCGTACGGCAGGATGATCGAGTGCTTTGGGACAAGCAGAAGATTACAAGAGATAACAAATGGCTTGACTACAACGACTACATGGGTCAGGATGAGGTCCTTTACGATGCTCTGACGCACTTGCACAAGTACGGTCTGCTCTTCATCAAGAATATCCCCGATTCAGAAGAGTCTGTAGTTAAGCTCTCAGAGCGCATCGGTAACCTCAAGGACACATTTTACGGCCGCACCTGGGATGTTCGCTCGAAAGCTAAAGCCGAGAACATTGCCTATACGCCTCAGTTCCTCGGGCTGCACATGGACCTCCTGTACACAACCAACCCACCACATCTGCAATTGCTCCACTCACTACGCGCTCGCACACCAGGGGGAGAATCGTTCTTCAGCGACTCGTTCAACGCCGTCAATCAACTGCAGCGCTTCTCAGCATTCCACTTTCGCACTCTCTGCAAGTTCCCTGTCACATACCACTACCACCACCCAACAGAGCATTACCACTTCACCCGTCCGGTAATCGAGCTTTTCCCCTACCCGAAATACAGCGAGCCCACAAACCTCGCGATCCGCCGCGTCAACTGGTCCCCGCCTTTCCAAGCCCCATTCGAAGCCCGCATCGGCAGCAACAACCAGACCTCGTTCCGGTCCTTCGTCGCTGCAAGCCACGCGTTTGAGAAGCTGCTCAGCGCCGAGGAGAACCTGTACGAGTACCGGCTCAACGAGGGCGAGTGTGTGATCTTCGACAACAGGAGGGTGCTGCATGCGCGCCGGGCGTTTGACGCGACAAAGGGCGAGAGGTGGCTGAAGGGCGCGTATGTGGATGATGATGTGTTCTTCAGCAAGTTGAGGGTGCTGCAGGAGAAGTATGAGGGGAGCTGGAATGCGGAGGGGACGGTGAGGCATGCGGTGAAGGGAGAGTGATTTGGGTATAAGCAGTTGCGTTGCATTGTATGGAGCTGGGGCGTGTCTGATATCGGTGAATGCATAGCGTGGGGCGGTGGGAAATGTGGCATAGATCTGGGTTGTACCTCGACGGTTCTTTCTTTTGTTCATAGTATCGAAACGTACATATTTGAGTAGACGGTCGAAGTTGGATACACTCCTTATTGAACTTTCCGATCTGATCTGCCACCGAGTCGTCACTGTGTGCTCGCGTGCTAGCGCGTTCATGGACGCGTCGAAGGAAAGAGCTTCCCACCCACATGACCTTCGCCTTTGTCGCTCCTCCTCTCCTCTCTCAACTCTCTTCGACGCCAACTACGCATTATCACACTGTTGTGTAGCCATAATGGCTCCCACCCTTCGGAAGAGCACCCAAGACAAGACCCAAGCCAGTGCCGATGCTGCAATTAAGAAAGGTTTCGTACGCAGACCTCCACCTCGAAGGCCCGGTAGGGCTCCACTGCCTCGCCACAAGCGCTATGCGAGTACCAAAGGTCTAGTCAACTTGAAGAAGACCTGGGGCTTGCAGCATATGTGAGTGATGGTCCTTGTCAGCATGAACATCAGAGTTGACGAGGCATAAAGCACGATCGCCAATGCCAATTCCCCTCTGCTTCGCCTGCCACCAGAATTCCGTAACATGATCTTCAAGTACACGTTGACGTCCAAGGTGCGCCTCAAGATGTACTTCAACAGTGTCCGCCGGTACTCGAGGAGCGGTTTCTCTACACGTCCACCGCGGTCCGCCGTCAGACAGCTCGGCATGCGACTGCCTGAAGTGTGTCGACAGATTTACTCTGAGACAGCCACTCTTGTTTACAGGAAGAATACTTTCTCTTTCGCCGTCGAGCTAGGAATGAGAACTTGGCTGAAGAAGCGATTGCCAGCTCAGCTTGAAGCCATCGAGCGCCTTGAACTTCTGGAAGGGGATACCAAGGACAGAGATAGGGTCTGCAAGGAGCTGAGGGAGACTGTCTGCCCAAACATACGCTGTCTGATCCACAAGTCTGACGCAGGCTTTGTTGGTAAGATCGGTCGTAGACGTATGGATTGGGACAGCGACTACATCAGTACAGATGATGAAGAGACATGGGCTGAATTTGGTGACGGTGAGGATTGATACAAGAACATCCTGCCTTAGTGAGCGACAACGAATGACGATACTTCCGAGGTGACTGGACGAGATTTTACAAGAGCTAAAGAGTGGCTCTCAATATCTCACTTTAATTTCACTATACCACAACATGAGTCTATTTCCCCATGCTGCTGATCATCTCCCTCTGTGTCGCCCTATCCTTGTTCGTCTGGCTGAGCGGCGGGATGCTCCTCAGGTCACCAACAACATCCTTGGCCTTGCCGAAATAGACCTCTTGCAGCAAGTTGCGCATCTTCAGCTCCATGTCCTCAACCATCTTGCCGATGTTCGCAACGTGTGAAGTGTCGTCCTCGACAGCCATGTCAGCCTCGACCTGGCGAACCATGTTACCAGACAGGTCCAGACCACCGAGCGCTTCGGAGTCAGTGCCGAGGGAGAGAATGACAGTAGAGGTCAGCTTGTAGTGGGCGGTACGGGCGCGGTCCTGCGCGTCGAAGACGTGAATGCTGTCCCAGCTGCCGGAGCTGCGTTGTGTGGGGTTGACCGCTGCTTGGGTCAGCTTAACAGCTTATAATATGTAATGCTGGTCGCATACCCTTCTTCAACAGCACACAGCCTGCAAAGCCATCGTCCATGTCCCAGAGGTAGACACTCGATATGCCGCCCTCGAAGTACCTGCCCGTGTTAGACCACGCGCGAGACGACCCCGCCAATGCACTCACAGCTCACGATACACGTCAAACGCCTCGTTCGCCTTGACCTCCATCTTCCTGATCCTCTCGCTTGGGGTCACGCCATCCTCAATCGGCGGCTCGAACTCGTTGCTCCACGGACTCCTCCAGCTATCGCCGTCGCGGTTGTAGTCGCAGCACAGGAAATCGCGCTTCGTCTTCGAGCACTTCTTCGCGGTGAGCGGGATATCGACGGATTCGAGGAGATCTTCTTCGAGCGCGGGGTTCAGGCTGATAATGTGGTCGACGTTCTTCTTGACATCCTTAGGGTTGAGGCGCCTGAGGAGGTCGCTGGGGCATGTTAGTGGGGCTGTTTGGGGAGCCTGGCGCGGGCACGACTTACAGGGCGCTGTCTATGGGGTCAGCCATTTTGTGGGAAAGTATGCTCTCGAAGAAAGATGTTTGGAGAAGGAATCTGGCGACAATGGCTCGGGCGGGTGCTGCGACTGGGTTGGCGGCGGCGGGAGCTCCTGTGCCTAACGCTTCCAAGGTCAGTGGCTCGGTGGTGGTCCGCGAGTCAGGCCAATAGTCGCCCATCGCGGCTCTGTGTCATTCGAAGGCTGACCTCACCTCTTTCATGCGCAATGCAAACAACGACAATGGATGCGTACGCAGCTCTTTTATATGAGCTAAATGGAAGTGATCGTGAGGAGTACGCTGGCAGATGCAATTCTTCACCGAGATACCCTTGCCCGCTTTGTTTGCTCTTTGATGCCTTCACCTGCTTTGCACTTGCCGTTTAGACGACATTTGCAGAGTGACGGATGGGTTCTACCATAGTATCTACTAGGGCTTCTATCACTAGGATGAGATAATGGATGTAGGCTCGCGGCTATTGCTAGCAAGATCTCGGTGCTACTCTGCTCTGCTCAGAGCTTGTGGAGTACATGCACACATCAGTTGTAGGGTATGACGACCGCCACAGCATACGCATCAGTACAGTCGGTTGGGATCAACTCTCTAAGACTGTATACTCCGTACCTGGTAGGTAAACGTTGCCGCCATAGAAGTCCACATGCATGTGGTGGAGTTTAGCTTCATAACAGCTGCCACTCCTAGTGAATCTTGATCAGTCAAGCTTTTGCCATGCCCTATTGGATAGTTGGACAGGGTCCAGATCACGTTCATCAACAGAGAGCAGGTAAAGCCGCATCAAGCGCGCATCCGCCGCTATCTGGTAGCATCGGCGCGCATTCACCTTCACTCTCTGTTCTCCCCTGCATGCATAAGAACCGTTAATACCCCGCCACTTCTCACCATCGCATTCCTCTATATTTTCCACCACTTGCAACTACCACAATTTGCTCCACACTCATATCACATTCCGTCTCGCTTGTACTTCGCCTCACTAGTGACCATGTCCGACACTTCCAAGTCTCCCGCCCCTGGCGCTGCCACAGAGGCTCCCAAGTTCACCGAACGCGAGCTTCAAATCCTGGGCTGGGCCATGCAGTCCTTGAAGTCAGGTCCTCCTGAAGTATGTGCCTTCCACTCCTCCTCTGCCGTGGACAGTACTAACAAGCCCAGATCGACTACGAGAAGCTGGCCGCCTTTGCGAGCATGACCAACCCACGTTCCGCTAGCAACGCCTGGGCCGCCATCAAGAAGAAGCTCACGACATCTGCTGATGGTGCTGTTCCTCCCACTCCCAAGAAGGCTGGTGGCCGCAAGAAGAAGGAGGACGACGGCGATGCCACCCCCAAGACTCCCCGCAAGCGTGCCATCAAGCAGCCTGAGGACGGCGATGCGTCTCCCAAGAAGCGGGGCCGTCCCTCCAAGGCCAAGCCCAAGCCGGAGCCTGAGGAGGAGGACTGTAAGTAAACACCATCGTAACATGTGCCGACTCCTGATTGTTGACTTCAATAGCCAAGGTCAAGCCTGAGCCCGACTCTGCTGATGAGCTCCACCCGGAGAGCGATGCTACCGTCGCTGATGCCGAAGAGGAGATCTAGGCCTCTCGCCATCTTGACGTTCGTGGTGTCTGCAGGTCTACTTCTGCCCGCACTAACAAACACACAAGGCACATTGCGACGCACATGCCATCGCTTCCTACGATTTGATTGTCACAACACGTTGAGCGGTGCTACTTTTACTTCACGACGCCATCTGAATGGGCAGTCGTAAGTTTTTTTCCTTATCTAATTTGTTTACGGTCGGGGTCGGGATTGGGTCAAGGCTTCTGTTCGGCAATGGATGCTCTTGGTGTGCATCACAGGACACGACAGGACATTCACAGGCGGTTTTGTAGCGGATTGCTGTCACACTGGCTTGATATGTACGTGCGTACGGCGGCGACGCAGCAGCACAGTCGCTCTCTTTCTGGGCAGCCATAGCTTTGCATGAATATCTTCTTTCTTTCAATTGCTCGCGACTTCTTGGTGAAAACATTTGCCGGACTCTTGTCGTGCTCAACGGCAATCATAGCGAGCACTCCGTTCGAAGTCGTGACTCTAGCCTATCTGTGTAATTATCTTGGTGTCGTGAACGATGCGGACAGGAAAGCTCGATCTGCGACATGACACTCTAAATCTTCCCGATCCTTTGTGGCGTCGTCGAATACAATCTGTCAGGGTATTATAATGCGGGCTACACGATCGGTGCCCTTCCCGTGAGATTCACGTAAGATGTGATGGCGACGCGAATGAGCACTGCCTGGTCGCTTCAACGTAGGCAGCCCCGTCAAACATTCGCTGGTTTTTCACCATTACGACTGGTATCAACAACACGAACACATGTGTGTTTTCCCCTCGGCTTTTACAGGTGCGATCAGATCTGGAGATCTCGGATTTGACGCAAACATGGCATCATAATGGAACGCTGACTTTCCTACACAGAAGCCAATACCTTACTTTGTAGTGAGCAAAGATCAGCAACAGCGTCAATACTGCCGACTTCCTGGCGGCTTTCCCTCAGAAGCTTTTTCACGACTGTCTCAGTCGCAGATTCTGCCTCGACGGCGACTTTGCCCCACGCGCTGGCCTCCTTCGATCCGGCCGGCAGTAAGTGGCTTTCGCCCGACAAGCGCAGCAGTGCCTCTTCTGTTTCCTGGTCCGAAGCAGCCAGTTGACTTTGGAGATATACGGCTTGCTGTAGCAAGAAGCGTTCATTCTGAGCTGAGCGAGCGAGCTGAGGAATATGAGGGAGCAGCTTTGTGATAGGTCTCACAAGGTTGGGGTCTCTGAGACTCTCAGCAGAGGACTTCGCGGCATCATCAGACTCCGTCTTTTTGCCCTCAGGCAAGGGCTCGTCCAGGCTCTCATAGGTCTTTATTAACTCCACTCGAGCTGCGATGTAGCGATTGTAAGAGGCACGGACGCGAGCTTCAGCAGACTCAAGGTCTACAAGAGTGTCCTCATGTACTGAACGTTTGATGGGCGAGGCATCCTCAAGAAACACCGATTCTTCCTCCATCTTGGCCAACTCGCCCTGCATCCACTCCACAATCTCGTTTCGCGCTTTTTCAAGAGCATTAATTTGGCCTTGAAGTCCAGATCGACCTCGGACTGTACTGTTCGCTTGTTGTCTGGCGATATTTGCCCGATCCATTCGGCTTCGTGCGTCCAGTACTTCTTGCTTCAACCTGAATATTGAACTTTGGTTGTCCTCGGGTTGAGCAATCTGCTCTAATCTCTCAGCTGGGAGATCTGGCTGCTCTCCGATGACTTCCTGAACGTGATCTCTTGGGTCATGATGCCGCTTGGTCGGCTGTGCACACAGTAGTTTTTCCAGAGATTCTTGAATGACAGTCAACTCTGCAAGCTTCCGACGCTGTCGGAGCAAGTTGATATATCCTCGCGTGGACTCGTCGTCTTGGCCTTGTCGTGGTAGGGTAGGATTTTCGTCGACGTGGCGGTTCTGGAAATCTTCCAATGATGTTTGGAGCTCTCGATGCTTCGCCTCTGCCTGACTTCTTGCTCGCAGCGCTTGCAGGTAAGTTATGCGCGATTCTTTCAAGCCAGGCGGATTTGTACTGGCAGCTGAAATGCCTAGCGGATGCTCGTGAACCATATGCTGATTTTGAGTTGCATGATTCACTGGCCGGAGACTGGATGTGAGATAGCGCGAGAGCGTCCGTCTGATCTTTAGCGTGTCATCACGAGAATTGATGTATGACGACAGCGCTCGGTCGACCCCAGAGATTGGACAAGCTGTTTCAGCTGGCATTGCAGATGGCGTATGTTTGTGCTGGTTTGCTTAACAAAGTTGCGCGATGCAGTGAACCTGAGCCGGAGTAACTATGTGAAACCGACCGATCAGATCCGTGAACTTTGATGGACGAAGTGTGGGTCACAAAATGCAAGACGAGCGGTGGTACAGTTTCAGGCCCTACAGTCTGTCAAGCGCAAAGGGTCCAAAACAGCGACGCTAATGCGCGATAACGCTAGGTAATCTGGGAAATAAACACAACGCGATCTCACGTGACGCTCTCCGAATCTGTCAGGTATGCTCCACGAACGGAGCACGAACAATCCCCAGTCTCTGTACGCGCGCAAGATCGCGAGCTAATCTTTGGACAGAGCATTTCTCGCATTCTTGGCGTGACATAAGCATTGAAGCTGCTTCTTCGCTTTTGTTTCGAGCCTCTCGGAGATTGCAAGATGATGGCTTGCATGCCCAATGCAAGCATTTCTTTTTCAGCACACAGCTGAGATTGCTGTCATCGGCTTGAGGTGTCCTTCATGGTCGATCAAGCTCGCCCAATGCCACGCTGGCAGGCGATCCTTGCTTGCACTCGACAGCAGCAAATGTGAGTGGAACTGACATTCATGCGACGTCGCTCGGGCCGCAAGGTGGGACACTGGAGCTTAAACAAACGGCTACCAGCAGCTCAGGGGCAGCGCCCAGCAGACTAGCGATGCGAGGTCCCCATCAGAGCGGCGCTGATAGCCAAACCCCTGTGTTGCGAAGGTTGCACAGGGAAATGTGCCTGAGAGATGTGGCGTTCGGTACATGTTCTACACATGCCGGCCGCAGAGTGCAATGATTTGCGGCGAGTGACGCGACGACGACAACGCATCGGCGAAGCCTGGCCAATGGGAGGTCCCAAGGGCTATGTATGGGCAAGGCAGCCAGACAATCTCGTAGGCGATGTGCTGGCGGGCAGGGAACCGTTGCAGGTCTAGAGAACAATCTCCAGTACGTGCACAAGGAAGGAGCCACACGTTGGAGGGCGACGGCATTGGCTCCAGGTTCAGTCGTTCGCGTTATTGGACGCACCCTTGTCATTTCGCTTCTCGCTATCCGGGAGCGTAGGTTTGCCTCAGAAGCAAGCAACTGCCTCGTGCTTCTCCTTTCCACCTAGCACCTTTTCGAGGCCCTGCAGCACGTCCTGAGGTACATTGCGCGACGCTCCCACTTCTTGCGCAGCCATTGCATACTTAGCTTCACCCCGGCCCTGCGCGCTTCACAAATCTCGCTCGCGCGCCCCAGCACGCTCCACGCCAACCGCCCTCTCCTAATACCCACTGGCCCCGCGCACAGTAGTCGCCCATTGAGGCTGCCTGTGCCGATCCAGCATGCCATTCTTCAAACATGTATTCAAATCGAAAGATACATCCAGGTCAGGGTCCAAGGCCGAGGCCAGCAGCGAGCCTGCACCACGGCCACGATGGGAAGACGCATGGTCTCGCAAAGATGTCGCCCCAGAAGAGATTCAAGAGCTCGTTCACCTTTGCACTCAAGAGATGAAATCGAGAGGTAGGTGCAGAAATGGTCCTGGCTCACAGGGTAGTCGGTGCTAATCTCGCAACAGCTGTCGACATGCCCTTCATACTCCTCCCTTTCCGCCCCACTTCCGACTCGAGCGCTTCACGAAACTTCGTGCGTAGTTTCTTCAAAGCACAGTACGAAGGGACACGGCAATATCGAGGCGAGAGTCTGAAGCAAGAGCTTCGGCTGTCCGAGCCACTGGTACGGCGAATTACACCCTCGGAGCTGGACCATACACTGACAGATTCAGACGTTGTGCAGTATCATCAAATGGTGTTGGAGTAGGCTACCAGGTGGTGTGGTGACTTGGGATGCCTACGAGCTCTTTCGCATTGGCGAATCTGGTACGCAACCACCACAAAACTAAGTGATTCCGCAAGTGCGAACTGACATGCCTCCCAGACTCGAACTTTGCACGTCATGCTTTCGATACGTTCATACCCCTCAGCGTCGACGTAGAGGCACGCCAGCGCATAATCTTCGATTTCTTTGACCTCTTGTCCGCGGTCGCAGCGCGAGGCAAGACCAATGGCATGGGCGGTAGGAAGCTGTCGCGCATGGCTGGCTGGTGGGCTTTTGAATTCCACGACGACGGGAATGGCTTCGATGGAGGTTACCGTACATGGGAGAAGTAAGTTCGGACACATCATGTCTAGAAGCGCATCGCTAATTGATTCGAACCACAGGGCAGCAGACGCTGCAAGTCATCTCTTCTTTGCGTACCTCCGATCACTCTCTCCCGATGCAAATGCATTGGGCGGCATTTCCCTTCCTCGTTCCTTACAAGCATTGCTTTCCCAAACCGAATACCCACCACAAGCGCCTGCACTTATGCAATCTCGTACGACAAAGGTAGTAATGATTGTGGACTCCGTTTCGCCAACGCCATTTGCATTATTACGCCGGGCTAAGAACTTTGAATACCGGGACGAAGACGCAGCGTTGCAGCAATTCTCGGCTTATGACGATACTGTCAAGGCGCTCACAGAGGAGTGTCGCAGAGTGTTAGATTCTATTGCGTCGGCGAATCAGTCCGTCACGTCACCGGCTGCCACTACCCCAGATCCAACTTGGTCTCGATTCGAGGACTTCGGATTCGCTGAGCTCTTGGACAATTCTGCTAGCGGAACAAACGGTGCTCCGGCAGCGGGAGGCACGCATGAGTTCTCTGGGCTTCGAAACGGCGCTCGCTCCAAAGAGACTGACTTCGGCCGGCCAACCACCCCATCCTGGGCTGATTTCCTTTCATCTGGGTTCGCTGATGAGAACAGCCAGGCCTCGCCCACCACTTTGCTGCTTCCCTCGCAGAAGCTCCCTCCGCTTGGCGAGCCGGCCCGTGTACACAGCTCCCAATCGCACGTACGCAACATAAATGGCTCCGAGGAAGACCTCGAACCAGGCGAACTAGCTAGCATAACCGCATTTGATCTAGATGAGACGTTTTGGTGGGTGTGGATGACAAGTCTTGCCAATGAGGAAACTCCCGATCGCAAGGCGGCCTTTGGCAGATGCACAATCATTGAGACACGTATTCCAGGCGGGAAATGGCTTATCATGGAGGAGCAGATCAAGGGCGCTGCCGCAGGACTCGAAGAAGGGGCTTACATTGCAGAGAAAAAGTCGAAGTTCAGCTTCACAAAACGCGGACGTCTAGGACGAAGAAAGTCTACTGGCAAGAAGACAGCGCCTGCTGCGAAGGATCCTTATAATCGAACCAACACAAATACGCCGTCGAGTACTATTGGCGTAGACCAGCACGCGCGTATACAGGCTGCAGCTGCTAAGTTGGCACAGAAAGAACGTGAACAGAAAGCCGCGGAACAGCGTGGGCAGCGCCGAGCTAGAATGGACGATACTACGTCCGTCAAGACGAACAGTGTGCTGACTCTGCAACCACATCTACTGAGCGAAGCCGGGCCTGCGATGAAGTGGGACAAGAGATTTGGAGAGGGTGCGAAGGACAAAGATGCCCTGCGGGCGCAGTATCTTGGAGACATCCATGCAGGAAAGGGCACCGATCTCAAGTCTACAGCTAACGGACGTTCCTCGCCGTTACCTCCTGAGATTTCGAACCGTGACCTGCCTGCGCTACCTAAATCTCAGACGAACCTACCTGCATCGAGGTCGCAGGTGTGGGAGAACCCTGCGAGCAACGCAAGTCAGGACGTCACTATTACACCGGTTCCGTGGCCCGAGGACTCACCCCTTCCCACACCTAGGCTGGAATCGGATGACAAGGCACTGGCTCCTCCACCGGTCTTGAAGACGTCGGTTCCTGATCATAGGGCGATTACGCCGGCGCCCACAAATGTTCGCCGTAGTGAAGAGCAGACGAAACAGCTCGAACCCAAGAAGCTAGAGAAGAAGAAGAAGGAAGGCGGTGGCGGTTTCAGGAAGCTTTTTGGCAGGAAAAAGACTGACATCTCCGCTCCAGCTGCTGTCAACCAGCCGAGGCCCTCGGAGGACGATTCGCAATTACGGGCACTTGACGCTGCCCGAAGCACATCTCGGATCTCACATCACAACCAGCAATACCGAGAGTCGTCGCCAGATGTCAGCATTAAGCAGGCCGAACCTGTACGTACGTACTCTCCAGCATTGGAACATAACCATTATCCTATGGAGCAAGATCAACACATGATGGAGCCACCCAGTCCGCCACTCGCTCCAGGCAGTGCTGCTCTTGAGCAACGCGAGGCGGATCGGGCTTTTTCGAGGTTTGATCAAGGACCCATGGAAGATATGCCAGCCTTTGTTCCCGAAGACAGTGACGATGAGGATTCTGCTGCTCCACCTGCAATCCACCGTCGACCAATGGGCCAGGAATCCAGGATACCTCGCCCAGTCACGCCACCTCAGCAGCAGGCCGCATATGGAAGGGATGATATGTCAGAAGACTCGGTCGATGTTGGCAGGCAAGCCTCACCTACACAGGATAGATGGGCGCAGATCAGAAAGAATGCTGCTGATCGCGCAGCACGATTAAGCGAAGAGCAGACGCGTCGCAGCCGAAGCCAAAGCCAAAGTCAGCGCACTGACGAAGGGGAGACCAGTGGTGAAGAGACAATTGAGAGCCGTGTCGCTCGTATCAAGGCCCGCGTGGCGGAACTGACTGGTAACGTCGATGGAGTGCCCGGCAGACCTGGCGGTGCTATGCGTTAGAACACTCGATTCATATGATCAGGTATGTCCAGGATCTATCTTACGGTGGGCCGATGGTTAATATCTGGTTAGATCTTTCACATGTCTACACATACTGCCTAATTCCTCAGCGTACAAAGAGCACAGATACCCATTTCCGTTTTGCTCTCGGACATTTAATACCCTCTTATGTCTTCAGCGTTTCTGCTTTTGACTTACTGCGCTTCTTATAATTCAATCTTTGTTCTCCAAGGTAATTGAGATGGACAATATCCATACAAACATATGGACCTAGTCGATTCATGCAAATAAGTATCCCACTTTGGCATGTAATGCATTTTGCAAAGGGCTTTCGAATATCAATAGATTCCTCATCAATAGATCTCGATTCAACGCTGTATTGTACAACCCTGCCAGCTGTTGTGCGGCTTGATCACGCTGCATATCTGACGAGCCCAATCGCAAGACATAGACAAGATACTCATGCGTGTTTACGAATGGAGTTCCAACACTGTCCTAGCTCGGTTTGCGGTGCGTGATCGGGTCATCCTCAATCCCGCTCAGGGAACTACTGGCAGCTGAGGCAAGCGTTTCGCCAATGGCACTCGAAAGTCGTCACGAAAGCGCAACCGATCACAGTGTCGTAGCCCATTAGCATTTAGTGTAGTTCAGTGGGTCGCTCACGGCTGCGTCATCCCGCGTGGGTGCATGCATAGCTAAATTTAGAGCGTCTGTGACAGCGGAGGCAAAGGTACGCGAGGGTGACGAGCTACGACACCACGACGAGGTTATGATGGATATCGGTGAGGCTGGGGCGCGTACAGAGAAGCAGGTCTCGCTGTCCGCTGACAGCGCAGTACGCAGTGGCTGGTGCGATGGCGAAGGGCGAGTTTGACGGCGATGCACTGCAGTATTGACGAAGCAGTGCTTTTGGGCGCCGCAGTGCTCCGCAGAGCTGTGCGACACAAATGCTAATGGTTGCTGGCACAGCTCAGGGAAACTGTGGCCGTGGTGTGTGTACAAGCAGCATTCCTGGCGACACACGACGAGATGGTCGAGTCGTCCTGGTCGAGCTCCCGCAATTCAATGCTACCTGCCCTTCGGACTGATGCAGACATTCTGCTCGCCTTGCACGCGCACTCGTTCTGCGGGGTTGGTGAGACAGGCCCGGCGTCATGGATGATGCACTCTGGCCATCTGTGCAGCGTGTGCAGGCACACGCATAAGGAAAGCCGCAAAGAACATCAGGGTCTGTTTCTGCATCTCCATCACAAACCGTCGAGGGTCTGTCAACGGCGTCCCGGCTATAATATGACCTATAATTAGCCCGTTTGCTACCGGTCTAGCCCAAGACGGGTGATATTAGCGGCTGCCGGTGAGTGTCATGATCGTGCTGTGACCAATTACGATAGCCAAGCTGCCGTGGCACAGGAAGCAAATGTCCGCGAAGGGTCATTTTGTCGAGCAGTGGCCCAGGCTCGACAGCAGCCCACGGCTTCTAATTATAGAGGCGTGCCCGCCGCGCCTGCCTCGATGCCTCTGCACATCATCTCTCATTCTGAGCCTCACGAATCTGGGAGCTCTGGGTACAGCTCTGCGTCGCGCACTGTGGCCATATAGTCTGCGAGCTGCGGCAGAACCAGCACTCTTCGCGCCGACTTTGGCCGCCCACACTGGCCTCCTGAAACGCTTTCGTAGTAACGTGGTTGCGCTCATTACGGCGCCGCCGCGCAAGCTAATCGACGCCGCTGCCTCGACGACGCTCGACTGCGAGCCACGCCATCACCGCCTCTACCCCTCCACGCTCGATGCGCGCTGACGCCTGAGTCTGCTGTTCATCATGGGTCGCCGAAAGATCGAGATCAAGGCCATTAAGGATGACCGTAACCGCTCTGTGTACGCCTTCCCCTCGACGCGCGCCTCCGCGGCCTATCGCTAACATTACGCAGGACCTTCCTGAAGCGCAAAGGCGGTCTGTTCAAGAAGGCACACGAGCTGTCTGTGCTCTGCTCTGTGGACGTTGCGGTCATCATCTTCGGCCACAACAAGAAGCTGTACGAGTTTTCATCCGGAGACATCAACGAGACCATCGGTCGCTACCAATATGTAAGTCTTTCCTTTCTCTTTGATAGTGGAGCGCGTCCCCTAATCGAGTCGCGCTGACAGGTCACGCAGTATGGCGGCGCGCACGAGCACAAGGGGCCGGAGGACTTCATGGGCAAGAAAGACGACGACGAAGAAGACGAGGACGACGACGGCGCGCCTCCGCGCGACTCGCACACGCCGCCGGAGCAACACGGCCTGATGCCACACCACATGCAGCATGCCCAGGCCTTTCAACACGTCCGTCACGTCACGCCCTCCGCCTCGCCGCCGATTCCGAACGGGTTCCAGCATCGCGGGCCCTCGCCGCAACCTCCCCACCACCTGTCGCGACCGAATTCGCGTCTGGAACAGCACCCAGGTCATGTCCGCCGAAGCTCCAATCTCGCTCCTCCCCAACCGTACCCTTCGCAAGCACCGCAGCCGCAGCCCAGCTATGCCTATATGCCGAACCCGCCGTTCTACAACCCTCAAACTGCTCAGCGGCCGCAAGGCCCGCCAGGTGCCCAGTACCACTATGCAACGCACCCTATGCCAAATCCTCAAGTACAGCAGTATATGCAACAGGACCAACGCCGACAGTCTATGCCGCCCGTGCCCCAGATGCAGCCTTCCCCGCAAATGCAGCCAACGGCACAGATGCAATCGCACCCATCTCAGCACCAACAACAGCAGCAGCAGCACCAGCAGCAGCAACAAATTCAACAGCAACAACAACAGCAAATCCAGCATCAACAACAGCAACAGCAAGCGCAACAGCAAGCGCAACAGCAGGCACAGCAGCAGCAGCAACAGCAACAGCAACAATCGCAGACACCACAGCCTCCACCGCAGCAGCAACTTGAGCGACCACCGCAGCCTACCATCACCGTCCCGTCACCACCGCAGCACCATGATTTCCAGAGCCCACCCCTTCCGCAGCCAAAGCCGTTACATGCCTCCGCCAAGCACAGTATATTCACACCTATCGACGATAGTCAGTCAATGCTAGCCGCGCATTGGGGTAGCAGTAGTATGGTTCCACCTCGCAGTGATCTTCACGCCGTGAAACAAGAAAATCGGTCGCAATCAATTGATGTAGCTGCTATGTCACGGCTCCAGCCAAACGGTCCTCAGTCTTTACAGCCCCTAAAGATTCCAAGCCCACAACCGCCGCTGCAACCTCCTCTACGAACGCAATCTACCTCGTCCGTACCCCCAATAGCTCCGCCCACGCGAACGAACAGTCTACAGATGGACAAAAACAAGCCGAAGTTACGAGTTCAGATACCAAGCGAGCATTCCGATGGAGGTAGCGCTACGGCCGACTCGTCACCCAAAGACTCAATCTCAGGCGCCACGCCAGCTCGCAGCACAGACGCCTCGCACTCGTCCGGCGTCGTTCTCCCACCTCCATCACCGTCCGCAAATTCCCTTCTCAGCGCTGGCGCAACCGGGCCCCCAAACCCTTTCGCTCGCCCACCACCCCCTACGAACAGCAACTCGTACGGCAGCAGCAATCGTGACATGGAGACGCCCATCTCGGCACTGCCGTCACGATTCGTTGAGAACGGGTTGCTTCCATCACCAAGCAGCTTCTACCCAGAGTGGGGTTTTGGTCGCGGTGATTCCAACATGCTGCCCAGCCCGTTGACTTTCCAAACACCAGTCGTCACAAACGGGCCGTCTTTCGCACGCGATGATTCTGCAGATCGCAAACGCAAGACATCTGACGGGGGCAGCGATACCAGTCAGAAGAGGGCGAAGACTTAGGTGTTCTTGACCTGTAGTACCATTTTATTCTTCCCTTCTGCTTTCGAGCGCGGCACTTGTTTCGCACATATGTTGCCTTTCCACAGCGTGCTGTTTTGTTCGATGTTGTAGGCGTTATAGGATACCCACGACACCCGAGTATGTTTGTTGTTTCGTTCAGCTATGTAATGCCATTGGGTGTCTTGAGTTCAAGACGCGAAGAATTGCACGATAGTCACGAAGATGGAGATGAGGCCTTAGGCGTAAATACCAATTTAAAGATTAAAAGCAATCTTCACTCACTCTGAGTATGTGCCTCTTGTCTGAACAGACGCGGCAATTATTTTCCCACCTTGACTGTGCGAGCGTTCGACTGCTCGACTGTGGTGCGTGCGCCTCCACTGGTTGACAGCCGCAGTTTGTCAGACCTCAGCTCTGCGCCGCCTTACCGATCGCTACAGCGATGACCCCTGAACAAGAGCCTCAACCCAGTCATCATCAAAGGTCGGGCTCAACGGGCTGAGTGTCCCACAGGCAGTGTTCATTCGGCATTTCCAGGCCGACCCCCGAAGAACATGATGCTGGGCTCTGATTGTGTCCTGTGCACTTTGCCGTTTCCGAAGACGGGCGTCATAGGGCAAGGGCCCCGCGCCACGGTTCAGCCATAACCAGGCTGTGAATTGGGCGTCGACACAAGTGTGGAGCTCAGAACATAATCTGTCGCCAATCTTGCAGGTCCGAATACGCAGCCTCTCTAAATACGCAGGCCCCGTTTGCGCCTTATATCAGCTCGCGCCTCGTGTGACCTCCCACGGCTGCTGGCACCAACGCCCCTCCTTTGCTCTCCCTTCGTAGCTCATACACCCCACCATGGCATACAACAAAGGATTCAACCCAGACAGGCTGCCCGCGCATGCAGAGCCAGAGCAGGTCCGTATATGTGCTTGCAAACTGATACGCCCATTGACACGTCCCAGGCTGCACAAATGCTGTCGCAGTCCTCACGGCCTCCACGGACATCGTCTGCGAGGCCGGACTACAACAAGCCCGCTCCACCAGTTCCCGGCTCACAGCAGTCACATCGCCCAGAGGAGCGCTACGGCGGCCGCCCAGCGAGCTATGACTCGCGCCCGCCTCCAGGCTCATTTAACGACCGCAACGACCGCTACGACTCGCGCTTCGATTCCCGACCCAGCGTCGGCAGCCCCCCACCTGCGAACTACGGCAATGGGCCGCCGCCGCAGAACTACCACGGACGGCCACCGATTTCTCAGGTGCAGAGACCCCCTCCAACACCTGCGCCGCCACGAGACGCGAATGATCGGGATGCGCTTTGGAAGCTGTTTGGGGCTGTGGACAGAGATGCCAGCGGAAGTCTGACAGAAGCTGAGCTACGGACTGCGCTTGTCAACGGTGACTGGAGTCCCTTCGACCCGCATACCGTACGCATGATGATCAGGTAAGCTTCATTGAGCCACTAGATAGGTTAATACTAATGGGAGCAGGATGTTTGACACTGATCGCTCTGGGTCTGTGAACTTTGACGAATTCTGGTACGTTAAAACGCGCTGTTGTCTGTTACAGTTACCTACTGATGCTTCTCAGCGGGCTGTGGGGATTCCTTTCTGCATGGCGCGGCCTTTTCGACCGCTTCGATGCAGACCACAGTGGTTCCATCTCCTATGTAGAGTTCAACGAAGCCCTGGTCGCTTTCGGATACCGCCTATCACAGCAGTTCGTTACCCTACTATACCGCACCTACGATCGTGGCGGCCAGAACGCGATGAGCTTCGACCTGTTCGTGCAGGCGTGCATCAGCCTTAAGAGAATGACAGACGTCTTCAAAAAATATGACGAGGACCGAGATGGATACATCACATTAAGCTTGTAAGTGCTGGCAGCAGTCGATGCGCCTCGGTATTCTGGCGTTACATGAACATCTACTAACACCCAAACAGCGAGGAGTTCCTGACAGGTGCGCAAGCTCTCTTCCTCTTTAACTCGATTTCCGAGTCGACTGATACTGGACTGTATTAGAAATCATCCGTCAGCGTTGAGCGAGCGAACAACTTCCAATCTAGCATCTGTCAGTTAAAGACATTCTTGGAGAGCGCCCTGGAAGCCTCGGAGGTTCGGCTGGGCTTTCCAACGGCACGCCGGAGACCACAGGACGGTCTAGCGTTTCGGGGCTATGGGGAGCGGGCAGGAGTCTTATGGTGTGGTGGGACTGGTGTTGGATACGATTTGCACGAAAGAAATGGGATGTGACAAAGGCGCTATCTTTGCAGTGGGCAGGGGATGTGATTTAGATACCCGTTTTGAAGGAATGATATGATGCAAGCAATCGAGGTAAAATCCCACTTTGACGGGCGACAGCGTGCATGCTATGGTTTTCGAAGAATAAGAAGAACATGGGCTTTGGAACAAGGAAAAGTGTGGAGACGCATATGTATCGCATGATAGGCAGGAGATCTAACTGACTCTTCGACTGCCCCGGCCTCTTGCTTGGAACAACGTGCAGGAAGGTGCGACCGGGCTTGGCTCAGCCTATCTCGACCCCGGTCTCTACCGTATAACTCAGCCTTCTCCACTTCACACCATCGCTCGGCTAGACATCGGAACAGGCTTCACTCACTCTTTTCAGTGTTTTCAAAGTGTCTCGCGTTATGCCACTTCCTCAAAAGCACGCCAAACACATTCTCGAGCCTCATGCGGCCTCCAGCCTTCCCAATGTAGAGTCACAAGGCTTCACATATGATCGCCTCCCCTCCGAGGGTCGTTGCCTCCGTCTGCTGACGCTATATCCTGGGCAATGGGAAGACACGATACGATGCTCGCTATCGACTGTAGGCCTCGACCCGTTGGACGAGAGTGCACCGTACGAAGCAATCTCGTATGTCTGGGGCGACCCAACCAAATGTCGGGAAATAATATGTGGCAACCAGAATTTGTCCATCACAAACTCTCTGTTTGATGCTCTACAGATCTTGCGGCCGTTGGTCGGCGAAGGCCCTCGTACACTATGGGCAGACGGTATTTGCATAAATCAAAGCGACACCGAGGAAAAGAGCCAACAAGTACAGATAATGGGCTCGATCTATTCCAACGCAATCAGGGTACTTGTCTGGCTCGGACACGATAGCCCCGAGAAAGTGGAGGCTGGCCTAGACCTGGTGTGTCAAATCGCAAGTAGAGGCTGGGACGAGGCGCGTCAAGGCCGTCCCAATCAACTCGAGCGGGCACTTGCGCCTCAAAATTGGCACAACTCAACCTACAAATTACGAGCTGACACAAATTCATCACCAAGAACAAGACACGCGTCGCGAGAGCTGCCCGAGTTTGCAGACGTGGATGCGCTCTACCCATTGTTCACCTGCCGTTGGTTCACTCGCCTCTGGATACTCCAAGAAATTGTGCTCTCTAAGGCAGCGGTGGTGGTTTGGGGTCTCGGAAGCATCAGTTTTGATTTGCTCGAGCTCGCTGCAATCTATGTATCCAGTTTTCATACAGCAGTGTTTATTGATACACGTGAGGCTATTCGCGGTGTAATGCATTGCATTGTTATGCGCGGGATTCGGCTCGCGCCGTGGGAGGATGACCTGCTTCTGGAAATTCTAGAGCTCACAAGAGATTACGAAGTCTCAGATCCCAGGGACAAAGTGTATGGTATGTTAGGGCTGAGAATGAAAAATCCAGTCCTAAGGGCATCCCACTTTCTCAAGCCTGACTATAGCCTTTCCGTTGTCGAAGTCTATACGACAGTTGCAGAGAAGCTCTGTTTCGAGAAGCAAGATACAGACGTTCTTGCGATGGTCCAACATGGGCCTTGCCTAGCTCAAGACTGGCCATCGTGGGTACCAGATTGGAGCCATCCTCGGACCAGCATTTTCATGAGCCGTTCGAGAAACACCAGCTTGGGGACTCTTGCCACTATAGAAAGGCCGTCTTGCACTACTTGCGGGAAGATAAGCCACAATGGACCTGTTGTATCCATCAAAGGTATTGTTGTTGGCGGTATTCGGCGTTCCACCGAGAACCTTAATGGTAATTCCTTTGGAGGGTCAAATTCAGAGTCGTTCAGGTACATTCAAAAGCTGTGCCTTGAATTCCAGGGCGATTATAACGAAGAAACAATAGCCTTCACGATGTCCGCTGGCCGGGGGCCTGACGGGCATTTAGCTGAGCCAACACAGTCTCGTCAGATCGCATCTCACATTGCGAGCTTCCAAAATTTTCTGGCTTGGAATGTGGACCAATATTTCATGACTGGCACTGACATACCACCTCCGCCCCAAAAGTATAATGCTGAGGTCCAATCGGCTTATCGCTTCTACATGAACATATCTGCCAACGTCATCGAGAGGCGCTTCTTCATAACAACCGGCGGCGATCTGGGACTCGGTCCTCTAGCAATGCAAGAAGGTGATCTGGTGGTTGTGTTGTTTGGAGGCACTGTTCCTTTCGTCTTGCGTCCACTTGGAGACGGCCAACACTTTCGTTTGGTTGGGGAGGCTTACGTGCACGCAATTATGGGTGGCCAGGCAGTTGAGAACTGGCGGAAGAGCGGTGAGCCGGCCACAGAATTCCATCTGTATTGAGTGTGCTGAGTGATAGTACGGGCTACACAAAGGGTTGACTTGTTGCTGAGACGATCACTTGCTGCCTGTTGTACACTTACTTTTCTTCTCTTCACTGCGTACAGAACCCGTGTGAGCATCCAGGGACCCAAGGAGTTCATGCACCGCGACACACCTTCCTTCCGCACGCCTGCTTCGCATATGCATCTGCTACCCTTAGTGGCTTTGCAGCTGCATTGGAAGATCCTGACATCCGGCTTCCAGAGCATTTCACCCTTCGCCAGAGTCCATTTCGTAGATATGTGTACCGCGGTACTTAAATCATCCAACATCATGTAGCCAGAGTCAAAGACTCCGGTCCAGTGTCCTGTCCAGCTCGCCGGCATCTCTTCCGCCCAGTTTCTGTCTAATGATCGCCCCGAGTCCATACAAATGGCTCTTCGGCCATTGCGCAATTCGCATACGACCGAAAAAAAGTAAGAAGTCCAGTTTTGTAGAGAAAAACATGCTGCTTGTCCATCGCTGACCGTCAAATCGCTAAACAGATACCGTGATACACTTGCAATGGCGCGTAGCCAAAATTCGTTCTCTGCAAGAGTGTGATGGCCCGGCTGGAGCTGAGTGCGATGCCATCAAGAAAACACCGTTGATCCACCAGAAAGCTTCTGACATTGATACTGGGTGGGGTGTGACTGAATGTCTCATTGTACACAGTAAGAAGCACCAAATGCATGCTCTGCAGTTCGGCGTCTTCCTTGTGTGTTCTCGATAGCGAAGCCTGTCTCGAACCAGGTGATCTCTGCCAGACAAACTCTTTCATTCGTCCAAGCCAGATGCCAGTACTTGCGTTGGGCTTGCATTCACAGTTCGGGAGCGCTATGGCTCGATTTTTGCCCATCGCTATGCAGGCGAAATGATCTTTAGTCCATTGTTTGCTATCTCAGACGTTTATTCTCACTGTGATATAAAACCAGATAAAAAACACCGGAGAGCAGTGTTAAAGACAACGCACTTGTACTTCGGTGCCGGCATGGGTGCCGAAAGTAGCTCGGCAGATAATTCAACAGGTCTCGAAGTATCAGGGTGGTGGCGCTAACACGCTCGACGTCTTCCGGTCACGATACCCCTAGTATTTCCATGTTACCAAGGCTTGGAGACTTACTGGCCATGGCCAGTTGTTGTCTCTTTTTTTTTACATTACAGAGAAAATGGGACAATTCTTCATCGTACCTCACCAGAATACCAAGTCACTCCAATCATCGTGCCAAAGAAATGCTCTTAGGTCATAGCATCACTTGAGATATCTTCACGTTTTCTTTAAGTGGCAGGGAGTTCAGTGATGTATGAACCAAACTTTGCATTACTATAACGAAGCTGCTCCCAGATTGGGATACATGATCCGAACTTTGCGTTACTGTGACTGAGGTGCTCCCCAACCGTCCCAACCGGTGTACATAAAAGGCGGATAATTGTAGCTCGGCAAGTAATACAAGCCGGCAGTGTTCTGCAGATTCTCTCTCCAAGTCTCCTCAGTCATTGGCATTGGACCAGTCGAGACTTTGCGGGTTTTGACCCGCTTTTGCTGTGCAGGCTTAGCATTTGATATTTCAAGATTTGGAGACAGTGAAGTGCAAGGAATTATTCGCTGTGGGTATAGTACGCGAAACAGCAGGTGAAAGAAAGGGGGGATAACTTACTTTCTCAGAAGGAGTCAACTTCCTCTTGGTGTAAGAGGGCTTTGGCTTCGGAGAACTGAAGCAGCAACCCATTTTGATGATGGTGGGGGGTTGGAGCTGGGTGATGGGGTGTGGTTTGGGGTGATGGTGTTGTGTTCGTACTGTAGCTTTGGGCTCGGAGTCTTGAGGACTTTGGATTTTGGGACAGTTGTACTCTGGGAGAGGATGTAGCTTGAATTGCGATGGTGGAATGACAAGAAATGAGAATGCAGAGATGTTTATATAGTCTGCGCATCTTACCTCTATGGATTGTTGGCTTTCGCACTTTGGTTCACGCAAGGCAATTGCAAAGTGTGAACCTATAGTAGAACATCTTCGCAGGTACGTCAGATAGTTCTCAACACAAGATTATAGGCCCGTTTGGAATGCCTGTGAATTTAATGGCAGAGTACAGCGGTTCGATAATGTGATTTTTATCGTCGGCAAGCCTGGTTCAACCCTGCGTTTTTCGAGGCCTAGGGTCCAACGCGCAATCCAATGAAATCACCCGCAAACGATTGGGGGGATTATTTTTATTATACCCATTGTCGAATTGGACTGGTCATGGAAACCATGTCTCGATAAAGGTTGATGAGAATTGATGGCAAGACAAGACAAGATCTGTTACTCTTGATCGATTTGAAAGCTAAGAGGTGTGCCACCTGGAATTTTAGTACCGACAAGAGTGAGCAAATCCACACGCAGAACGCCGTCAGGCTCAACGACAAGGGCAACAGCTGCTACTGCAGGGACAAGGTTAATTCGGAGGCGATGAATGTACAGAGGGTTAGGGCTCCTTACGGAGCCCATTCTCCTATTCAGTGAACGGCATGCTGAGAATGTCTTTTACAGAAACCGTTTTCCTATTCAGTAAACGGCATGTCGAGAACGTCCTAAACGGAACCCTTTTTCCTATACAGGGAATGAAATGCGCTTGTACATGGCAGATCTACTTCGTAATTCGAACTTGGACCTGACCATGTGACTGACCAGGTGGGCAGCCCGGGGTTGGAGACCAAAGTGTTCGGTCAGAGACACTAATTCGGGTAGGCTGTTCGTGTTTTGTGGAGTTTCTTAGAGAATTGGTATAGCCTGGTGAGCTTCCAAGACTGTGATGTAACACAAACGTGGCGCTACTCTCCACCAATAGAAGAGCGACTGACCCTTGCTGACGGGCCCACCCTTTGACGGCCCGAAACCTTAATGTCTTGTATCGTCCTTTTCCATCACAGTTGAGAAATATTTTTCGGGGTTTGTGCCACGCCGGACTGAGATGACATTACACCCAAGTGCTCAGGTATTGTTTCTGAATATATAGAGGCCATGTTAGCTCTTAGGTATCTAGTTCCCACCATGAAACGGAACGAATGTCATTGAGAATCCCTCGAGATATTGCCAGCTCCTAAAGTCGGTAGATCGTTCGAAAAGACGACACCATAGTTGAATTAGGTCTGACTACCTTTACCTCAGGCCCCCTTCCTTTGTTCCGAAGCCCTGGCGTAGCTGTGCAATTCCAATCCATCGCGCAATTTTCAGGTACGTAAGGCTGTCTTGGCGAGAGTTCAGCTTACTTCGAGCAATTAACTTCCCCTGTGCTGCTTACTTCGAGTAATAGATACTCCATTGTTCAGCTGACTTGGAGTAAGCACACCCTCTTGGCACGGTTTTCACGTCGTGTTCGTGACTGCTAGGATGCAGGCAGAATCATATGAAAGCAAGCAGCACCACCTCAAATTATTGTCCATCAAAACACATCCCCCCCAAGCGAGAACAATCCAACGGACAACAGATTCTCACATCTTTTTCAATATGCAGTTCTCTACCATCGCCCTCCTCTTTGCCGCCACCGTCCTCGGTGCGCCGACCGAGTCCCTCTCAGCCTCCGGCCTTGTCGTGCGCGGCGAAATGGACCAGGGTGATGGCTTCTACCGTGCCATATTTAACAACGAGACGGGCGTTGCTGATGTCGAGTTCACCCCTCTTGCTGAGCTTGCCAGCATTGATATCGATGGAGGATCTACGTCTGCAGTGGACGAGCGCAACCTCCTTAAGCGCGGTACTACTTGTTCTGGGCGTCGCTCCATCGATCTTGGTACACTCAACCAAGCCAATGTGCAGCTAGCCAACAATGCCAACGCTCAAGGCTGGCACGACAAAGGTCATACAGGCTGGGTAAGTCATGTCGTCCTAGGTATCGCACCTTTCATTTGCGTTGACTAACAGAATCAGGTTCACCTTGGTGCCGAGACTTCTTTCTTCTGCAACTACCAGGGCAACTTCCTGACCTACCAGTTGATCATTGACATGCATACTGTCGTCAGTCACTACTGCGGTCAGGATGGATACGGCTACGATCGCAGGACCAACGGTGGCGGCGCCAACGACCTTGCTGTTGGTCGTACCTGGCGAGGCGACCACTTCTGTTAGAGACCAGAAAAGGTTCTTCGAGACGATCGTGAGTACTTCAGCGAGGTCAATGTTCATTGTTAGTACTAGAAGTTCGAAGCAGAGAGATCAGTATATGCAGTCATTCATTTGAAAGCCGTAGCTACGCTTTCAGTTAGCAACAAAATCTTATCCTTGTTTATACGTCTTTAAACAATCAAACACTGTCAAGCCTGTGACATGTGCAATAAACCATATCATGATCAGGCAACAAATCCGTGCAAAGATATTGAATAACTCTACCTCTTATTCATGTGTGTGACAAAATGACACAGGTGGGGATCTTGCCGACGAAGGCATGTAGCTTGAGGGTCTTTGCATTTTACAACTACATCATGGAGTTTGGTTTTGATTGTTGCCGCCGCTCGATCGACACCTATGTCACGGAGGTATCAGTGGAGGAACTTGGTGACACTTCGTCATTTGCATGCAACACAATGTTACATTAATCTAGTGTGCTGCCAATGTTAGGAAGGAGTTGCTAGTTTTGAGTTGTAATGATTTTGTTGATATGGAAGTACAAACAGTAGCACTTCTAAGCTGTCTAACTGTCGTTCCAATGAGATAACGCCAGCGTCAGGGAAATAACATCGTGAGAAAGAGCGATGTTGTATTGATCGCGCGTATTGGCTCGACTCCTTGAAGAAAGTGCACTTTCTGGATAACTTGATCCAAATTCTTGTGTAACTGGCCGAAAGAAAAGCTAGCCTGTACTTGCATGCGTGTGGTGCTGAAGCAACGTTTGCCCACCATCCTCCATGTCTGCCTCTTGGCTTTTCACAACCGTGACAAACTTTGCGCCACCAAGGCCTGTACGTCTCAATGCAACTCGTTTCTTGAAATCAGGGGCCTTCCTGATATCATATTCTTCGAAAAGTTTAGCATCGTTCGTCACAGCTCGCCGGGCATGCTGAGCATCAAGTAACTGCGCGGCCAGTCCAGCTGTGCTAAGCCGTACGTATACCTGATGAACGTCTGGAGACGTTGCTTTGACAGCTAAGAGGGCGAGGACAAGACCGAGTATCGCAAACGCAATATTTGATACAATCAGCAACCAGAGTGCTACTTTTGGCAATCTCGTAATGATCGCCTCACTGCGGCGTTGTGTCAGAAGTGCTGGTGCAGGAACAGTGTGCACGACGAGCGGCACACTCATCTGCTTGCTCATTGAAAGCTCATATCTCTGAATGAATGCCTCGGGCGTGGTGCGACGATAGTTGGCTTGGAGGCTGACTTTGTTGCGACCAGTTATGAACTTGCCAACTGAGGCGAGGCTTGTCATTGAGACCATGCCTGCTACCGCGCCGTCACTTTCTTGTAGAGACAGCGATGTCACTTCCCCGTTTATGATATTGTAGGTTACATCGTAGACTGCGGTATGTCAATGCAGACTCGATGAGAGGACAGGAGTACTGACCGGTGGTGTTGCACTCTAACAGGAATATAGAAGAATTGGCAGATTCTTTTTGGATGAGCTGGCTTTGCAGATAGACATCAGGCAACTCTGAGTCTGGGGCCAAGACTTGTACTTTCGACAGCCAATGCCATGGGTTGCGGAAAAGGGCATTCGAGTCCTCTCTAGTCATATTCATAACGGAAGACTCGTTGAAGCCGTCAATGACGCTCATTCTTACAACACCACCAGAACCCCTGCTGTCGACAAAGGGCGGCGATTCCTTCAGGTATCGATGCCAGTCGTCGGCCCATGTCTCATGCGAGTGTGGGCCAAGTCGACCTGTGATGTTTCTCCGCGGCGAGTTCGTCATGCATTGGAACGGTTGTGTTCTATCGGTCGTATTCATCGGCCGGATATTACAGCTATTACGCGGTATCGCGGAGCATCGGTTGGACACTCCGTAAGTTTTACCTATCCAGTCCAGGCTTGGATCTACAACCTCTGGCTTCACCAAGACATAGGAGATGCCCTGCGCGTCTGTATAGTTGAGTAAGTATGTATCGACTGTTTCAACAACTTCAGTGAAAGTCGATAAGTTGGCAAGAAACAAGCCATCTTCCAGAGCTGAGCTCCAAAAGAACTTGTCTCCTGCAGGATCATACTCATCAAAGACCCACTGACCCAAGGTCCTGCTCAATTGATTTGCACTATTAGGCAATAACGAGAGCCGAGTCACACTGATAGCTTCGATGACAACGTGGAGATATGTGTCTGCTGCTTGTATCAACACACTGTGCCGATAGTCAGCCTCAATGCATGCTCTATGTGGGAGATATAATCACCTGGCAGCTAGTCCGAGTAGAAACACAGTTCGACATCGCCGCATCAGCGGGGATCCTTTGCTCTTTCCACGCTGATCAGCGTGTTTTTGCCTTGCGATCCTTTGATAGCAACTCTGCATCATTTCCAGCAAGAGAATGATCTCCGCATTGAGCAGTCGAATGAGATTACTTGCCTCGCGAGGTGTCGGCAACGTAGCATGCTCCTGATCTAGTTCTGAAGCTTGCAATAATTGGCAAGCAACTACGTATGTATACAAGCTCATTATCGCCGCCACCATTGCAAAGCTGATTGTTGACGATAATGATGACACAAATGCAAGACGACCGACAGGAAAGTCCACATAGTAATCCGAGCTGTTGGCTGAACTAGAAGTGTCATTGAATGGACAAAGATCGTGTTGTAGGCACTCATCGAGATCGATGGTGTGCGAGAAAACGATTGTGAGGATGGTGATGGTGAACGCAACCATAGGTACGACCACGAGAGAAGATGTGAGAATAATCCTGCTAGTGTGCGCACTCCATAGACTCCGTTTTGACACCTCCTCATGTTTGGCGGTCGAAGTGCTGGAAGCAGCCATCCTAACAAAAATTATGCAGACAATAGAGACGCAATGCTCATAATTGAGGAAAACGAGGCAGAAAAGAACCCATGGCCATCATTATAAGCGCCATCATAAAGAGCAGAGCAGTAACTATCTCGTCCTGCAGGGTTTCAGTAGTTTTTGAAGGCGTTACATCAGAGGGGTGCAGGAACCCTGACATTAGTGCATGAGAACAAGCTGCATCGGGTTGTACGAACCAATGTAGTTACAGTGTACTGATTATCTACAATCTTTTTTCCGAAACGGGAGATAGAGGCCAAGAGCCAGTACTCTGTGATACGCTTGGCAGACGAGGAGGTTACTATCAATGCTTAATTCCGGACCAGTCGGGCAGTATGGCGGGCTTGGCCTGCTTACATGCGTCGGGGTAACTGGGGTTGTGCCACCTTGAGGAGGCAGGTGGAAGCAGCGAACAACAAAGATCAGCGTCAGCTCGAGCTACAGAGCACCCAATGATTTCAATTGTAACAGGCTGTGCAACATTCAGTCTCCTCCAAGAAGGAATCATCTGGCGATCCGCACTCACTAAACCTTGGTTCTGCAATATCCTCATATACCGCCAAGTGCAGTCTGCTCTCAGCTCGAAGCGAGAAAGAAGGCGCCGAAGCCGACCAGTACTGTCCAGGCGATCGACCGCGAAAGTGTACCGGCGCCGAGCGCCATGCTGCTATCCGAAAGTATAATGTTATAACGATATATTCTCATAATTCAGATGCATTTCGATTACCAACGCGGCTGGAACGATTCGAGTGGGGATGCTCCTTCCTTGAACGACTACAGGGTGGGGAGACAGTCCCCTGGCGGCGCGAACCGCTCGCTGCGGCAGGTCAATCTGTGCCGAAGTATCATAACACAACACCGCAGTATACCGACATGGTGCATTATATTTGAAGCTTCTTGGTTCTGTTGCTACTTACTAAAAACGTCTCTGTTCCGGGAACCCTATTTGTTCCCAGTATCGTGGATAGCGTTCGGCACAGCACGTTCGGCACTCTCCGGCAGCGCCTCCTGGATTTTCTGCGGCACGATGGAAGCCTGTCCTCCGTTTTTAGCATGGCTCTGGGCGACCTCAGGGTCGTCGGTGTCTGCAGCAGTGTTGTCGGTCTGGATAAGTCTGATCAGTTTTGACCACACACTATTTCGTGTTCGTTCTTACGCTTTTCCCTTCAACGCCGGAAATGTGGCCAGGAGCTCTTGCCTAGTCCTACGTTAGTCCGTCGAACGGTTGATAACTTTTTGGAGCGATATACATTTACCATGTTCTCCTTCTTGCCCTGAGGCGCTTCCTGCTGAGCCTTGTTCGGGATGTCGGCGTCGGTTGTGTGGGATCCTGGCTGGCTTGACATGTTGACTATGGTGATTCTTACGTTTCAAGATGATGGGGTTTACTTCGCGTGATAATTAGGATAGGTTTTGATATGCTATTCAGTCTTGTGTTTCCGAATGATGGAATAGACCATTGCGTCACAAGTCGTCAAGATATCTGCGTGACACCCGCCTATACGTCATGACTTTCATTATCGCGAGCTTGACTCAGAATTGTATCTTGCGGAGTGACGACTGGTCGCATTGACTAATCGCAAGTTGTTGCTTGACTGTGTCTTGGTGAGGAAGTAAGTTGAACAGAAAGGGAGAAGTCGATAGTGGCGCTAGCGTGGGAGTTCCGCGGAGGGGGAAGGTCGCCAGGAGAAGCCGGACGAGGTGCCAACGAGTTCATTTGCGTTCCTGCCTGGATAGCTATAAGGTTCTATTCACTCTGACTCCGGTTCCTTGCGCAATGTTATAGATAGCGCCAATGACTTTATCAACGTCCTTGCTCTTCAAGGGTATTCGGTGTGCGCCTTCCCACTCTACCAGTGTCGTGGAGTCTTGCGAACAGTAATCGTGTAATAGTTTTCTGTGGAGGTGTAGTCCTGCATCAGCCATGCCATGCACATGCAAAGTAGGCATCCGCAGTATCGTATCCTCGTCCACTTCTTTACAGAATTGGAAGCCTTCAGACAAGTCGCTTGCGTCTACTAACGCTGGGCTCGACAGAACTCCTGGGTTCAGGTTGCTGAGCGGAGCTCTTCCTGCGAGTAAGATCCCGAACCGCCAGTGCAAGTCTGGCACTCCTGTAAAACCGACATCGATGCCTCGTCCCGTTCTTCGCGCCTCTGCTTCTCTGGCCTGCTGCTCGAGCAGAATACTTGCGGACATCTTCGCACCTTGGCTGAACCCCATCAGCCCTACCCATTCCCCTGTGCCACCTTCTCGGTCATCATCTTCCATTGTGGTCCGGATTGCATAGCCAATCTCTTCAATGCAGCTCTCGGCGTCAATCTCTGCGTGCTCTGGTAACCATCTCAGCCAGCGACGGAAAGGCGCGTATGAACCGTAGACGTCGATCACGTCGTGATGCGGGTCGCAAAAGAAGGGTGCATCTGCCCATACCAGACGAAAAGAGTGTTGCAAGTGTTTGATGAGTGATCGCGACTGGGCTTCGAAGATGGCTGCATTGACACCGCCGCCGTGCAGACAAAGTATCCTTGGTAACGATCTTGTATCCGGCTTGATGGAGGGGATCCGGGAGGCGGGTAGTGGAACTATTGAAGGCATTGCAGGAATTGAAGAATTACTGGATGTACGTTAGACGAGAGGCTCGACAAGCCGATGTACATATAGAAAGACGCACAGTGGAAACAGAGTTACAAGAGTAAGAGTAAGCTTAAAAAACGAAACATGTGCGAGCTGTCAACTAATAATAGGACGCCATCGTCGCATCCCGGATCTCACTTTTGAGAAGTCTTGGAAGTCCGAAGCTCTACTATTGGTATGGTCATCCATCGCTGATACGGCACCAATCCTCTGTACTGTAGCGAATGATGGCCTTCGCTGCGAATTCGGTAACTTTGTTCGCACTGCATGCCTGCTCATTGGCTGTACAACGACCAGGATGCTTTATGTGGTGATGGGAGGCTGAGTCTTTGATCAAAATTGTCATCGAGCGTGGGGAGCCGATGAAACGATCAGCGTGAAACTGTAGTGTGGAACCCTGATCATGCTGACTCGAGCTTAGGTCACCAATATTGAGCACAGTGAGCTTCCTGTAGTAGGTATACAGGGACGGTAAGTAGAAGCCTATATGAAGTGAGTTTCCTGAAGTGAGGTGGTTGTTGAAGAGGTGGTTAATGAAGAGGGGAATCTAATCTTATCAATCCATTCGTACCTCGGCAACCACCTCTCGCTCCTCACGACTCTCCGGGGGCAACAACACCTTGACCAATATGTGATCTTCGATCAACGAGCTTTTGCTCTTGTTTCTTAAACGTACAATATTTGAAAGCGATGATGGAAGTTCCAGTCATCATCGGCGTCGGCGACGTCAAGAACCGCGATGTCAACGACCCAAGAGAGCCAGCAACGCTCATGCTCGAAGCCATTGACCTCGCTCTCAAAGATGCTTCATCGAGCTCAGCATTGAAGCTTAAATCTTCAATAGACAGCATAGACGTCGTAAAGACTTGGACTTGGCCTTACCCTGACCTACCCAGCCTGTTGTCAGAAAAGATAGGTGTCCAGGACAGTGTCAAGTGGAAGAACTATTCCGAACATGGCGGCAATCAACCAGGAAAGCTCTTCGACGAGGCTGCAAAACGGATCGCAAAGGGAGAGTGCAAAGTTGCCGTCATCACTGGTGGTGAAGCGCTGGCATCACGTGCGTCATCACAACATTGCCCATCAAAAACTATATGCAGCTGCTAAAAGATCCAGTATCTGCATGTGCAGCAGCCAAAAAGCTGCCTCCGCCAGGTTGGACCACCCCCTCCTCGGCCGTAGATTCTGTCTTCACACCCACCGGCCGAGACCTGGGAAACAGTACGATCTCCACCCTCTGGCAACGTCTCTCCACTCACTCCCCTACAGACCTCGGCGCCATCCACAAGATCGGTGCCCCCATACACGTCTACCCATTGTACGAGAACGCCTTCCGCGCGCACCGCAACCAGACTCTCCAAGCCAACAACGAAGAAAGCGCACAGCTCTACGCCGACTTCAGCACAGTCGCCTCCACCCAGCCCTTCGCCTGGAGCCACGGCAAAACCCTCGACAAAACAGCCATCGGTACCGTGAGCCCAAAGAACAGAATGATATGCACCCCCTACCCGCTCCTCATGAACGCCTTTAACACCGTCAACCTCGCCTCCGCCGTAATCCTAACCTCCACCTCCATCGCAAAAGCCCTCGCGGTCCCGGAATCCCGCTGGATCTACCCGCTCGCTGGCGCCGGCACCTCCGACGCCTCGGAGTTCTGGGCCCGGCCCAACTTCCACACCTCCCCCTCGATCGAGCGCTCACTGGCCGCCGCGCTCGCCGCCGCGGACACCAGCCCCGCGGAATTGGACCTTGTGGACATCTACTCGTGCTTCCCGATCGTGCCCAAGCTGGCAGCGACCGCGCTCGGGCTGCCGATAGTCGGTGGCGCGAAGCCGCTCACGCTGCTGGGCGGGCTGACGAGCTTCGGCGGCGCGGGGAACAATTACAGTATGCACGCGCTGACGGAGATGACGCGGCAGCTGCGCGCGGGGCGGGGGCGGAAGGGGCTTGTTCTGTGTAATGGGGGCGTGCTGAGTTATCAGCATGTCGTGGTTCTGGGGACGGAGCCGAGGGCGTCGGGGTATCCGGTGGGGAATCCGCTGCCGGAGGTGCTGAGTGATGTTGAGGTGCCGGCGCTGGCGGAGGAGGCGCACGGGGAGTGTGTCGTTGAGGTATGTAGCCGAGATATGGCTGTGAGGCGATTGCTGACTTTGGGCAGACGTATACTGTTGAGTTCAATCGCGATGGGACTCCGTTGCGAGGCCATATTGTTGGACGGCTGAAGAGCAATAATAAGAGGTTTCTTGCCAATCAAGGGGATGAGAGTACGCTTCGGCAGATGGCGGAGGGGGCAGTTGAAATCGTAGGTAAGTCCGGATGGGTATGGCAGGATAAGAAGACGAAAGGGAGAGGCCTTTTCGCTTTTGACAAACCGGCGAAGTTGTAGTCTCGCTTGAGACCAGTATATTCACGCCCAGGGACAATATGGTCCTTCCTACACATCACGTCGCCCATAGAGCACACCACTCAAAGAAAGCCTGAACGATCTTAACGGCAATAATGCACAAAAGGTTGTAGTCCATATAATTTACAGCATGAAGCGAAAGCCCCCAAACGCCAAACACAGACCTCGTAATCTGCACCTCGCCCGGTCATACGACCTTAGTCGTGACGATGCTCGCTAACTTCATCACTGTCGTGCTATGCTGTATTCGGCCGTTAAACATGTCCATGCGTCGTCGCCGGTCTCCACTCATGCATCCGCTGGCACGCTTCATTAAAGGAATAGAAACGCAAAGCAACACGAACGCTGTCACAAAGGAAATGACAAAAGAAACGCTAAACCGTTGCAAGACATCTGAGATAGAACCCAAAGGCTAGCGCTCGTTGACAGAGTACTGGGTGTTCGGTTCCAGACTGGAGAGCGTGGAGTTGGTGTCCCAGGTCCCGTTGTCCGCGATCGTCTCGACCACGCTCCTGTCGATCACGCTCCTGGTGCTCTTCTCGCGCCGCAGCTCTTTCATACTCCTCTCGGACCGCGGTCGTTCAGAGCGCTCTGATCGTTCGGAACGCTCTGGTCGGTCGGATCGCTCGGACTTTTCAGATCGCTCAGGCTTTCCAGGCTTTTCCTGCTTTTCAGGACTCTGCTTTCTCTGCTCCTTCAGCCACTTTTGGTGACTTTCGGACTTTGTCGAATCCTTTGAGCTTCGCTTGGCCTGCATGGCCTCCTTGAAGGCCTTGCCGCTCTGCGACGACATTGGGCTGTTGGGGTATAGGGCCTTGACACCAGCACTGCGGCTCTCACACAAGTAGCGGGTTTTGAGGTCAGGTTTTTCAGTGCGCTCTGATTTTCCGGTTCGCTCGGTTCGTTCGCTGCGCTCGCTCTTTAGGGTGCGACTGCTGAGCGCATAACCGCTAGTTCGTCGTAGAGTCTCAGGGCGGGGGTTGATGTCTGGCAACTCGTCCTCAGTCTGGCGGGTACGCGTGGAGCGGCGGTGCCTCAAGGACGGATGAGCGCGATGATTCTGCAGCGACTCAATTTCATCCATAGCCTCATACAGTGGAGACGCAGGACGTGGTGGCGTGCTGGAACGAGAATGGGGTGGTGTTGGAGGCTCATGTTCGAGAAACACGGGCAGGGTTTCGCTGTCTTGAGGTGACTCCTCAGACAATTCTTCGATCGCCTCCGGGATAGAAGCAGTCTCCGCAAGCAGGCGACCAGTCTCGACGAACACCGCCTCCGATAGAGCCTTGGAAGCCTTTGAGGGGCCTGGCGTGAAGAGGCTCTCAACAGGTGGCGGCATACCAATAATGTTGCGTGGTGTTGCAAAGTCGATGGGCCCCGGTGGAGGACGTTGATATGCTCGCACTGGCTGACCCATAGGCTCGTTGAACGCAGCAATCGACGAAGGAGGTGGCGGTGGCGACCTCCGTCGTTCGGGTGACCGATCAGATCCCTCAACAGGAGATGGAGGAGGCGACTTGGCACTTGTTGAAGCCGTTTTCTCAGACATAGCCGGTGTAGGTGGGAGGGGGTTCCTGGGTGGGGGAACCATAGGCGGCGGAAACTTCCCAATTTCAGCATTTGTCGGTGAAGCAGTTGTGAAGGATGGCAAACCGGCTGATTTGAGCTCCTCCGCCCTTGCCATTACAGGCTCTGCATCATCGTACAAAGCCATTCCATGGTGGTAGATGCAGCCTTCATCGTTCTGTTCTCCATTCGCGTGGAAGTTCTCGTGCTTGGCTTCGCGGTAGATGACAGGGAAAAGTCTCAGTAGAAGTCTCGCCTGCGCATCAGCGGGATGCACAGTATCGGCCATAGAGGCTATTAATGTGCCATCAGACTTGTAAGTGCTCTCGTAAGCAGGCCAGAACTCGCCACCGGTGAACTGATGCTCTTCGTCGTACAGAGCTGGCATGGTAGCCGTGATCATTTCGCGCTCAAGACGAGCAAAACGCCACGTCTCAGCAGCAAGCTTGACGATTCTCTTGACGGCAATCTTGATTCCCTCCTCTTCTCTAGGATCGGCGAAATGTTTGATTGCATTCACGATTTCTTCGACGACGGTGCCAGCAGCGGTGTTAATACGTTGCTTTGCTCCGCTGCTTGTAAATGCAGCGAGGAGGGTCTGCTGACGCCAGATCGCTTCTTTCCTTGTGCTCTTGTCCCGGATGTGGTTGCTCATTGACAGGAACAAAGAGTCGGCCTTGTCGTAGCGGCGGCCCAGACTGAATAGGAAGGGCCCAAAGACTCGATACGTGATCAGTTTCGACACGGTGTGTGCAATGTAGGCAGCACGAACTTGCCTAAAGATGTCCAGTTAGTAAGGTGCGTTCTCAAGAGGTGTTTCTGTACGTACTTGGATGCCGGAGTATCGCCCAAGAAGGATGGAAGATTGTGAGGCACCTGAGCCAGATCCTCGTGCGGAGGGCGGACTGGGAGGTGTTTGAAGTGTGTAGCGGCCAGGTCGATAATCTGCTTCTGTAGCTGCGAGAACGACACTAAGCTGAGGCAAGAATCAGCAAATATCCAAAGGAGTACAGTGCAAAGACAGGGAACAGGTGCGACAAAAACAATTGCATTGGGAAACACGAGGATAACTGTCTAGCTCTACGGTCGAGATACAGTCCAGGCTGCCTGCCTTGGGTGCCATGTGCGCTTGCTGGTGGGCAGGCGCAAATGACCCAAGACATTTGGCCCTCCTCAGCACCATGAAGTCCTCCAAATCAAAAATGAACAATCCGAATGTACTTACTAGTATGTATCGCCCTTGCTTTTGATTTCTGCGATGTCTCCATAGCATTCCATCATCTTCTCCAGCCTAGCCTTCTCGGACTCAAGGTTGGTGGCGACGCTCTTGATGATCTCCTTCTCTTTCTGGCTCTCTGCCTTCAGCTGTTCGTACTTACTGAGCAAGTCGTCCCTTTCACGGGCCAACTCGTCAGCTCTTCGGTTCGCTTCACTGTGCAGCTCAGCCCAGGCCCTGTCAGACTCTTCCTTTGCCTGTTGGTAGTTGGAGTCCAGGGCCTCACGCTCTTCGCTCCACCCACTCTGAAGGCTGTCACTTTGCGCCTGGTGGCTTCTAATTAGGTCATCACGCTCCGCCAACCAGTTCTCGCGGGCTTCTTCGTGATCTCTCTGAGCATCGCTGAGCTTTGTCTCAAGCTCATCGCGCTCATCGTTGAAGCTGGCTTCACGTTCTTGCTGCTGTCGCTCATACTCAGCCGCTAACTCCTCTTTCTCAGCAGCAAGAGCATCCACCTCTTCCTGTCGTCTAGTTTCAGCAAGCAGATCGGCCTCTTTGAGCTTTTTGTCAAACTGAATGGCGAGCGCGATCTTCTCGGCATCATGCCTTGTAGAAGCTGCTGCCTTCCACTCATCAAACTCCCTCCTCGCCTGGGCCCTCTCAGAGGCATACATGGCTTCCAACTCTTTTACCTTGGTCTCCCAATTTTTGGTTGATGCGTCCCACGCAAGCTTGGTATCTTCTGCCTCCCTCTTGTGTTTGTGAGTCTCCGCAATCTGTTCTCGAAGCTCTTTGATCTGCTCCTTGGCTTCAAGTGAATGCTTGTTCTCAATGTTGATGATCCTTTCTTTCAGGTCGTATATCTCTTCGTCCTTAGCTCTTAGCTTGTGTGAGAGCTGACCATGTACTTCCTTCTGTCTTGCAAGCGAAGCGTGCAGGTCAGGGATAGCTTGGGATATACGGGAGAAGATGTCAGCGGCTTCACCGTCAAATGGAGAGCCGTTCTCTATAGCAGGCACGCCAACGCCATAGTCTCTAGAGGCAGAGGTGTCATGGTGTTGGTGTGGAGTTCCATTAGGAGGATACCCTGGTGGGTACTGGTTCCAAGTCTCTTGATATGGAGAAGAAGAGTTGTGAGAGGAGGAGCCGTAGGGATTAGGGTTTGAATATCCCGGCTGACTCATGCCATACCCATTTTGATTTGGATAGTATGGCGGGGCACCTGGCGCGTACCCATACCTTGGATGATACCCTGGTGGAGGCGGTGGAGGATTTGAGTAGTGCTCAACTGGCACGCGCGAGGCGAAGCCACTAGTACGGGGATGATGCGCTGGCGCTGCATGCTGTGGGTATCGAGACCCACTGCTGTCACGTGAGGAGACTAACGCCTCACCGCTTCGATCCAAACGTCGACGATGGACAAGGGCGGCATCGGAATCGGAATCGTCATCGTAACTAGGGACATGTCGCGTGCGCGCTCTCTCCACAGGTGGACTGGGGGCTGGCGGCCTTTCGTCAACGACATGACGAACAGCTTTTGGAGGGGCTGGGGCTGCACGCGATCGTGGGGCCTCGGGAGATCTGGACTTTGTCGCTACTGTGGCCGCGGAGTGAGGCGATTGTGGAGGCTGCTCTGATACAGCAGGGGTTGGTTGACAGGTGTCACGCTCGGCGTCAGAGGGACCGGGGTCTGCAGCAGCTACGGGAGCTGCAGGCGGCTCTGGCTCTGGTTCGGGACGAGGCGCAGGCGTAAGCGCTCGTGCAGTCTCGACAACCGCTGGCTCAACCGCTGGCTCAAGTGCTGGCTCAAGCGCTGGCTCAACTGCTGGCTCTTGGGCGATCGATTCTGGCTCTATCGCTGGTTCGCGTGTTGCTGTGTCATCTGCGATCGGAGGCTGATCAGCTTCTTGTACAGGAAGTTCGTCTGTTTAGGCGTTAGCCGATTTGATCGTGGACTGCACAGCGCATTGCGGGAAATCTACCTTTCTGCTCTACAACAGGCTCCTGTTCAGTAGGCTGAACCTCGGCTGGTTCTGGAATCAGAATCGGCTCTATAACAGAGTCTTGCTTCTTCTTGTTGTTCTTCTTGTTCTTTTTGCCCTTCTTTGCTATAGGAGCCCAGTCGTCCTCTGTAGCATCCTGAGGCTCAGGCGCAGGCGCATCGCCTGCTGTGGGGGCAATCTCAACGGGCGCTGGTTCCGCAGGCTCTTCTGAGGGCTTTTCGACAACAGGAAGCGGCTCAGCTGGTGCTACAACAGGCTCAACCTCGCTGTTGAGCCCATCTTCATGTGTGATTTCGGGCGCTTCAGTATCCTGCTGCTCTGCCTCTGCTGGTGTCTCCAGAGCTGGAGCTGCAAGCTCTTCACTAATAGCCTCGGTTTCATCCTTGGCTATTGGCTCAGAAGTTGCTTCTGGTGCTGTGGAATCTAGCTTCTCGACTTGCTCCACGGGTTCTGTCGCAGCTTCTGCTATCGCCTCTTCCGGCCCTTCCCCAGCAGTTAGGTCTTTGACAGCTTCATCCGTACTGGGTGCCTCGATTTCTGCGATAGGCTCCGCGGTTGGCTCAGGAACAGCCTCGGCGTCCGGTGCAGTCGCTTCAGCCTCAATTTGCTCTTCGGATAACGACGGAACCTCAGGAGCTGTTGTTTCCTGAGTAGATGGCTCAGATGTGGGTGCTTCTACCGCATCATCGATCTTCGCCTCTGGTTCTTCTGTCACTGTTTCTGTCGCTGTTTCTGTCGCTGTTTCTGTCGGCTCTTCTGGAGTCGACTCGACGATAGGTGCCTCAGGCGTCAGCTTTTCAAGCTCGACGGGATCCTCGACAGCTGGTGTTGGCGTCGGCTGAGGGCTTGCTGGTGTGGATGTGACGTCAACCTGCTTTTGCGTGCTCTTCTTCTTGTTCTTCTTTGCCATTATGGCAATTGAGACGGCCCCTGTGACTGAATGTGGAGACCCCGAGCGCCGATATCCTGGGGTAGTTATGTCTGGCTTGCACAATGCCTGGTAGCAATCGTCACGAGTGAGGCTATGTAATTGCGCGCGTGGCACTCTGACGGGGGAACATGTAGATAGCCAGCGAATACGCGCATTAGGGGCTATATAAGACGGGATGCATGGTGCATGAAGATGACTTGAGTTGGTTACGCACGACTGTCCAATGGGGGCGATTGCAGGGAGAGTGAGCTGGCAACGTAGTCCGAGCCGAGTAATCTATGCGCCCCGGGCGAAGTATATTCGGCGTCTAAAGACAGCATCACCAGCCTCGCACATGTGTGGGGCATCTTTCGCCACGGGACGTTCTTCATGCCTCTTACAACGGGCCACGAAGACACCACCAGACACGCTTCAGAACCATCAGCGTGAGTGAAGTGGCTGGGAGAGGATTTGGGCGGCATTATGACTGATTCGAAATCCAGAGAAGCAGATCGATGGGGATGTGCTGTCTGTGCTTGGGGTGCAGATCGGACCTCCTATGCAGGCAGCGTGATAGTGGGTATGTGGTGGCCTGCGACTGGTGCAACGTCAGTGAGCACGAGAACACGGCCGCTAGCTGCAGCAGCCTCCAGCAGGCGCATCATTAGTGAGCCGAGAAGAGCGGGTACGTGCAGCACGGCGGAGGTGCGGTGTGTGGCTTTGGGACGCATGGCCAGCGCAGCGGTGCAGTGGCGGCCTGCGCTCAGCGAGTCACGTGATGTCGTGCTCGCTCCGCAAGGCGCGTTTGGCCGTCGAGGTGAGGTTCGCGTCAACGGCTCCACCGGCGCGCCAACCACGGCCGTCCCAGCATGTCCACTGGCCGCGGGCCACATCTCAGACCGCCCAACCTGAGGCGGCATGGTGAAGCCACGAGCTGCGCGCAAGCAGCCAGTCGTGCTCTCGTCCGACGCTGAGGACAGCCCCCCGCCGGCCCCCAAGAGACCCAGGAGGGGCCCGCTAGCCAGTTCGTCCGCCGAGGTGCATGGCAGCAGCAATGCGAGGACGACTCGCGTGCAGACGAGACGTGCAGGGTCGCCGGCGCCGTCGTCGACTGTGGCGACCCAGAAGTCGCCCACTAAGCCGCCCGGGCAGCTGAAGACGCTTCATAAGCCCATCACTTCCTTCTTCCGCCCGGGACCTGTTCCCCGTCCGCAGGCTGTGCAGTCCACACCGACCCCCAGCCCTGAGAAGCGCGCCTCACCGCCGGACGACTTCGACGACATCCTCGAATCCTCCGAGGATGATCGCCGCTCCCAGCCACCCACCGCCCTGCCCGTGCGCAAGCGCAAGAGCGTGACGCCTCTCGCTGCCGATGCTGGCAGCGGCCCCAAGCCCAGCCAGAAGTTCCTTCGCACAGCAACCGGCGCTCGCAGCACGCCCCCGCCACCCCAGCCGCCTCGCAGAGAGCCCGTAGACGGGCGGCCATGGACCGAGAAATACGGCCCGCAGTCGCTCGAGGAGCTGGCAGTCCACAAGAAGAAGGTGTCGGACGTGCGCGCGTGGCTCGAAGATGTCTACGGAGGCAGACTGCGGAAACGGCTGCTCCTTCTGAAGGGTCCTGCGGGCAGCGGCAAGACCACTACCATGGCACTGCTCGCGCGAGAGCTGGGCATCCACATGCACGAGTGGAGGAATCCCACCAGCTCCTTGACCGCGTCCGAGGGCCTGGTCTCTGCGACTGCCCAGTTCGAGGATTTTGTCGAGAGGGCAGGCGCATTCGGCTGCCTCACCTTCGATGGGCCACAGCAAACCCCAACACAGGCTGTGCACAGCACCGACAGTAGGCAAAAGCAGCTCGTCCTTGTAGAGGAGTTTCCCAATACATTCGCACGTGCTTCTGCCGCCGTGCAATCATTTCGATCATCTGTTCTCAACTATCTTGCTGCCACCACTCCCTCAGCTACTACTTTCTTTGCTAAGCAGCCTGGACTCGGGCAGTCTGTGACGCCAATTGTTATGATCATCTCCGAGACACTGCTCTCTACGACTACGGCCGCTGCCGACAGCTTTACTGCCCACCGTCTGCTCGGCCCTGAGATTCTGACCCACCCCGGGGTGTCAGTGATCGAATTCAACCCGGTCGCCCTTACATTCATGACAAAGGCGCTGGATCTCACAGTGATCAAGGAGGCGCGCAAATCAGGGCGTAGGAACACCGTTGGGCCCCAGGTCATACAACAGCTGGCCGAGCTTGGAGACATTCGCAGTGCCGTATCATCGCTTGAGTTTCTCTGCTTGCGGGGAGATGACTCGGAGGGTTGGGGCGCGAAGGTCAACTTTTCGAAAAAGAAGGGGCCCAAGGATGTACCGATTACAAAAATGGAGAGAGAATCGCTCGAATTAGTGACACGGCGAGAAAGCACTTTAGGAATCTTCCACGCTGTCGGGAAGGTTGTTCACAACAAACGTCTTCCTGAAGATCCGACACATCCTGTGCCTCAACCACCACATTCGTTCCCCGAGCGACGCCGACCGAAGGCTTCGGAGGTCAACCTCGACACGCTCATCGACGAGCTCGGCACCGATACCCATACTTTTACTGCTGCTTTGCACGAAAACTATGTCCTCTCATGCGGGGGAGCCGACAGCGAAGAAACCATGGAGTCGGTGGACGGTTGTATCGAAGCTTTATCCGACGCTGACCTGCTGTCCCCGGACCGATTTGGCGCTGGCTCAGGTCGACGAAACCTGCAAGGCTCAAGTACAGACCATCTCCGCCAAGACGAGATGTGTTTCCAGACCAGCGTGCGCGGCCTCCTATACAACCTCCCGCATCCCGTGAAACGAATGGCACCACCCCCCGGCGTCATGGGCATCAAGGCCAAAGGACAAGGCGCCAGCACCGCACCCCCAAAGAGCGGCAGCGCCTTCGTCATGTACTACCCCGCCTCGCTCCGCATCTGGAAACAGCAAGAAGAAACAACCAGCCTCCTCGAGCTGTGGACCGCGCGCGGCCAGCGCGGCGACCTCTTCTCCACACTCCCCAACCAAGCGAAGTCCTTCCTCCCCAGCGGCGGCGTGGAATCATGGACCCGCAACGACCCCGCGTCGAAACCGCCCCAGTCCCACGCCACTGGCGACCCGCCCCCGACCCTTCTCGGCAGCGGCGCCTCCGCACGCTCCGAAATGCTCCTCGAGCGCCTTCCCTACCTGGCCGCTATCCTGCGCCGCACGCGGCCAGCGCCCACGACCGCCGCCACGCTCCGCGAGATCCAGAAACTCACTTCATTCCATGGCGCGGGCAAAGCGGGCGCAGAGGACGACGGCGAGGAGATGCTGGAGCAGCAGGGCGGGGAGGAGCAGTGGGCTACCGACAAGAACGTGCCGGGCACGCCGCGGAGGAAGAAGGGCGTGAGATTCGTTGCGAGTAAGAGCGAGGAGGCCGAGTCTGCGATTGCGGGGCTGGCGGCGAAGGGGGCGAGTCTGGTGCTTGAGGATGACGATATCGAGGACTGAATAAGTCGAGCGGAGGGGCTTCTTATACAGATAGATTCATCGTGTTGGAGACATCACGAGCACTGCATATAGTCAGATGTATGTTGTAAGCAACGATACAGACACGGACCCCAAACAAATGCATAAGTAGTCATAATTGATCTTGAGGTCTTGATTCGCTCGTGCGCGTTGCCAGCGCTCTGGGTATCCCAAGCAATACACGTAAATGCCACAACATAACCAACGCTAAACGCCTCACGCATGTACCAACAAATCACGATCCAAATCTGCTCTCTCTCGCCACTCCATCGTGGGTCTGTTGCACGTCAATCCAAGTTCACCCGGAGTCCTCGCCCTCACTGCTAAAATACCCCTGATCGATCCTCAGAATCCACTCAATCTTCTCCCTTTCGCTCTTCGCGCGGAAAATATACGTGTTCGTCTTCGCAAACACGGCGAAAATGGTGTCTTTCTGCTGCGGCGTGACGCCCTCACTCACATTGCGGACATGGCCGCGCTGACCACTGCCGCCGCCGCCGCCACCGCCCATGAGCCGCGCAATCTCCGGACTGTGATTGACGCGCGCGTTCTTGAGATTCACGGCGTTGAGCTCATCCCCGTCGACGCTGTATATGTGCAGATACGGCTTGCGGAACTCGACGTAGCGGCGGATCCAGCGCGTGTTGGTGGGGTCTGGGGTGAGGAGGAAGCTGGCCTTGAGCAGGTTGGGGTTTTTGGACACGAAGCGGACCGAGGCGGTGAGGCTGGGTTTGGGAGCAGGGGAGCTGCCGCGCGAGGGCGAGCGCGGGGCGAAAGCGGCACCGGCGGAGGGGGGCTCGAGATTGGTGCTGGAGAGGATGATGGATTCGGGGGGTTTGTTTGATGTCCACACGTCGATTATGCGGGTTAAGAGGGCCTTTTGCCGGTCATCTAGGTCTGTTGTGGGGGTCTCTGATGCCGTGACGGTAAGCATCTTCGGCGAAAGCACAGTACGTGCGAGCTCGATTTCTGCGATGCGCCGACGGCGGCGTTCGACTCCAATGTAGTCTTTCACGAGCGAGACACCACGCGGTGTCCAGTCGGCGAGGTCCTCCTCGCCCTTGACGTAGTCCTCGCGTGTGTTCATGCGCCAGAGGTCGGTGGCGCGCTTGACCGAAGTTGGACGGATAGCGACGTTGAAGATGCCGACGGTGGAGTGAACGACCTTGACTTGATTCCAAAGATTCGAGAGGGAGAAAAGGGAGTTCTGACGAATGTAGGCACGGTTGCGAATCTGCATGTTGAGATCCAGGGAGAATATCATCGGCTCATCAAGCTTCGCGGATGTGACGTTGAAGAGCAGGTTGGCTTGTACGCGGTACTTGTCCTGAGTAGCACGGTCAAGAAGAAGCGATCCGTGAGCTGTACTATCCCATCGTCCGATAAATTTTACGTTTGTGGTTCCATCAGCGTTGTCTCTGACAATAGGCGGTGCGGTCAGATCGATAGGCACTTCGCGCACAGGAGAGTCTATCCCGGGGGCGTTGCCAGATGCATCGATCAGACGAATACGGCCCATGCGCATTGATGTGACGTTTTGCCACTGCAAGGTGTCGCCGCAAGTATGTGTCAGGTTCACTACAACGCGTCTTGCTAGACCTTGATGTAGCTGATAAACACCAGCATCAAGAACACTGCTTTGCGTGACTTCAACAGGCTTGTAGGTTCCATCATCTGTGATTTCTTGGATTTGAATGCGTGAAAAGATGTCGTGATTATCTTCAGTGTAGAACTCCGACTCCGCTATCCGTGCGGTACGGCGCTTCTGCTTCCGCTGAGGAGCCTGATCTCGCATGTCGTCCCAACTGAGGAGTTTGTCAAGATGCATCGAGGTTACTCGGGCGAAAATTGCGACTCGCAGAAAGGTGTCTGGTGGGCTCGGATATGGTATGCTCATGCTGTGGAAGGTCTGGAAACGGATAGGCCCCTCATCAAACTTGTTCATGAACATGGTACTCGTCGCGCCCCCTTCTTTCAAGAGGGTTGGCAGATACAGCAAAGCATGAACGTCTGTGCCTTCCCTTTCGGGAAAACCTACAAGCTCGTGAAGTGTGACGCTGAAGTTGAGAGTCGTGGTCGGAGCTTCTGCGGAAGAGGGCTCCACAGACAGATGAATGATTCCAATTGGGTTGGCGGTATACGGTGAGGTGACGTCGAGTTTCATGTCTCGTACTCTCGATTCGAACACCGCAGCAAGTGGTACATCAACATCGCCAACACGAGAAAACTCGGGCATGCAAGGATCCGAGAAAGGGCTCTCTGGGTTGAAGTGCTGCATGTACTCAGGTCGGTTCATGTACTGGTGCATTTGATGCATTCGCCGTACGCGTTGACGCAATTTCTGAAGTGACCACAGATGTATCACCTCATGCTTGAAGTCGATCACGCGAACACCAACACATGGCTTCGGTGTGTCGTCCAGATCATCGTCGTCCTCCTCCCCTGTATCAGCAAGATTGATGAGGTCATAGGTTGATGGGACAGTTTGACCGACATCAACGATGCAGAACTGAAAGACGACGCTCTTGTCCATCTGCTGGCTCATGACTTGCGCTTCCTTTAGGATGGAAGCGTTCTGCAAGATTGTCTCAGCCATCATGACGTACTTCCGCTTTCGCCAGTGTTGGAATGCTGTTCTGGCGCGAGCGAGCTGTTGCTCATTCAAGCCTTCCTTCGTAGACGAGGGTTCAGCCTCTGGCTCTGGCTCAACACCCAGCTTTCTCAGTTGGCGCTCGAACGCCTCTTTCTGTTTCCTCAGCTTGGCTTCCATCTCATCTTTGGCGGCGCGCAGCGTTTCCAGCTCAACTTTAGCTTCTTCATCAGCTTTTAGCTTGGCTTGGAAGTCCTCCTTCTGCTTGTCTAGCTTGTCCTGCATGTCACTTTTCAATTCTCTCATTTTCTCGCTGTCTTCGTATTGAGGCGTGGAAGGCGAAGTCAGCATCGTATCGAGCGAGAAGTTGTCGATGGTTCCATTGGAAGCATACTTCTCACGTATGGGATAAGAAGATGTCGACTCCATGTCTTCTTCCTGCTCGAACAAACGACTTGTATTACCAGCCTTACGGTTATCCCGCTGTCTTTGCAGGTCGTCAATGATAGCATCGAATTCGTCATCTGGCAAATTTTCGAGACGCTTTTCCGGCCCTAGCCATGCAGCAAGTGCTTCCCTGCGCGCGAACGAGAATTCGGACTCTTTCCCACGCTGCCAGAAAGCGGGCGAAGATGCTCGCGGACTGTCCGGGTCGAACTCGGAATTTGCAATACTGATGGTGCTCTGCGTCCTGTCATGTCCAGGCCGTGGTGCTGGCGAGGGCGTGTTCAGTTGACTGGCATGTACCGTATGTCTCAGCAGGCTCTTTCCTATCTCGGCACGCTCTGCTCTTACTTCTCCTGGATTGTTGAATCGGAAAATGTGGAAGTCGCCGAGAATGATGCGGTGGCCACTTTTGAGTTGCGTCGGCTTGTCGATACGCAGACCGTTCACCATGATGCTCGCCCCTTCCTGTGGAACTACAGTGACAGTGCCATCCGCGTTCTCGAGATCGCAATGATGTGCAAGTATTTGCGATCCGTTCAAGCGAATCGTCGCAGTCTGATCCTTGTCATCGGAATTGCCCACAGCCGTGGTGCCAGGCTTAAGATTGTAAATGAGACACTCGTTCATAAGCGCATCGTCACTCAAGTTCACCAGATGGGGCATGTTCTTCGGCGTGGACAACCCAACAAAGCCCTTCTCGATGCTGATACCAAGCTCTTCCAAGGCGGTCTCACGCTCCTTGTGAATCTCCTCCGTCTTTTGAAGCTTCTCCTCCCACGTCTGATTCAGATCCTTGTACAGCTTCTCAGACTGATTCAGTTTCTCTACAATCTCGGCTTTGGACACCTTCTTCTCGGTGCCGTCCACCTCGGTAATTGTGACGATCTGCTCCTCTAGTGGTGTGCCCGCGGGATACTGTTCTGCGACCATACCACCACTGCCGCCCCCGCCGCCTCCACTGAGTTGGGAGCGAAGTTTTGCCAGTTCCTCATTGAGTTCTCGGATCATGCGCGCATTCGGATCTTCGTTGACAACAGCATGATTTTTGATTCGTTTCGCAGAGTCGGCGTATCGGAGTGTGGAAAGGGTTTCGTCGAAGTTGATATCGGCTGGTGAAATAGCTGCGACCATGGCAGTCATACTGTTTCCTCCAAGCGAATCTTTCAGCAGCCATGTCAGAACGGAATCTCGATATGGTACCTGCGTCTTCTTCTTTCCCGTCGACTGATCTGCTAGCGCCGCAATGACACGTCCCAGGGTCGAAAGAGATCTGTTGATCTCTGCACCTTCCTTCAGTCGAGCTCCTGTCGCACCAGTAGACTGCGCTCGTTCTGAACCAGCCAAATCGACCAGACTGATCTTCGCAACTCTTTCACCGCTCATGCCAGCCTGTACATCATGGCGGTTTTGTGTGAGGGTTACGGTGAAGACGGCGTGCGATCGGGAGGAGGTCTCGTTCATGTTCGTCGCTGCAACGGTACGGGCCTTGTTTCCTTCATCCATCAAGTTTTCGATATCTGGGAACGATTGTACCACCAGCTTCGCCAAGTCTTCAACGTATGGACCGGTCGAAGGGTGCTCTCGGACCCTGAGGTTACCCTTATTCGAAGGATTTAAAAGATCGCGAACGCGTTCGTTGTAGATCTCCAGATATGACACCTCCACTGTACAACTTAAGTTCTTGTCTTTTTGCATCTCCCCAATCCTCTCGAACATGTCTTGACAGATCTTAGGGATGATTCCATACTCCTGCCCATATCCCATCATCGAGTATGATTTTCCTGAGCCCGTCTGGCCATACGCGAAGATACAGTTATTGTAACCCTGGAAGGCGTTGTCCAGCAACGGTTTCCCCAGATCCTCGTGCAGGTTATCTTGTCCGGCATAGTTGGGCGCATCGCGGTCGAAGGACCAGTAGGAACGATCGAAGGCAAAAGCCTTTACACCTTCGGCAGCAACTTTGGCAGCCTTTCCTTGGAGGTTTGAAGGAGGTCGGAGAATGGTCTGGTCGCCTTTCATCTCGACAATGCACTGGGCATTGCGTTGTTTCTCTGTGGTATCTTAGCCAGTGGATAGGCCGGGAATCCGGGTGCAGCATACCTCGACCATTGAAGGGCCTACACCTCACCACCACCTTGATATTGCCGCCGCCTGACGCCATGATGTATGGCTTATTAATGTTTAGTTTCCAAGATTATGTTGGTGCGGCGTAAGGAGTGAACGCCGGGCAAGGCAGAGGTTATTTGGCGGTCATGTGCAGGACATCGAGGAGCATATACCACGGCGAGTCTGTAAATGTGGTACTAGGGCAGTAAAGGAGGCGGTCAGCAGTGGAGCGTCACGATTGTTGTGATCGAGTCGCGGCAACTAATAACACGCGTGGATCCTTGCCCATGCTTGCCGGCTTGGACCCTGCTCTTGGCGCCTGTCATCGCCCAATAATTCGAGCGACGGCTGGTGGGTGAAGAATATCAGAAACACACAGTTGAGCTTGTGCCGGTCATACTGCAGTCCCATGGCTGACGACATGTTTGCGCCGCCCGTGAACCGCGCCATGAAGGTGCTGGACCGCAGCTTCTTCCAGAAAACGGTCCCCGCATCTGCGGCGAGAATCTTCAAGCCGCAGGACATTGCGCGCTGCCGCAAGGAGCTGCAGCTCAGCAACGACACGCTCCCCAACAACCGCATACAGCCGGTCCGGCCAGACCCCGACGCCGAACGGGCGCAGAAGGGCGGCAAGTGCCTCGTCCTGAAGCCTGATATTGTGCACAACGGTGAGTCCCCTGCCCCGCGCGACGCCCCGGGGTGCTGAGTCTGAACGGCAGGCAGATCGTACCACATGGAGCCCTAAGCTGCGCGACCTCGAGCAGGACGGCACGCTCGGCGTGCTACCCTACCAGCTGCACCTCGACTACGACTACTTCAGCTACGCGGAGATCACGAGCGCGACCATACCCCCGCCCGAGAAGAAGAACGACGACGAGATACCCCAGGGCTTCACGCTGGCCGGCCATGTCGCCCACCTCAATCTGCGCGAGCGCTACTGGCCGTACAAGCACCTCATTGCGACGGTGCTCGCCGACAAAAACCCCATGGTGAAGACGGTCATCAACAAGCTGGACAACGTCGGCAGCGAGAACGCCTTCCGCACGTTCCAGTACGAGGTCCTCGTTGGCGAAGACGACCTCAACGTCGAAGTCCACGAGCAGGGCTGCACCTTCAAGTTCGACTTTGCCAAAGTCTACTGGAACACGCGCCTGCACACCGAGCACGAGCGGATCTGCTCCATCTTCCAGGAGGGCGAGGCAGTCTGCGACGTCACCGCCGGCGTGGGTCCTTTTGCCGTGCCGGCAGGCAAGAAGCGCTGCTTCGTGTGGGCCAACGACCTGAACCCCGACAGCTTCAAGAGCCTGGCGCACAACATCACGCTCAACAAGGTCGGCGACTACGTGCGCGCCTTCAACAGCGACGGCACCGACTTCATCCGCACCGCGTCGCACGAGCTCCTCACAACCGAGCACGCCGTCGACATCATGCCCAAGACCAAGTTCTCGCGCTCCAACCCGCCCAAGACCAAACCCGCGCCCCTCAAAACCCTCACGCAGCCGCGCCTCTTCAGCCACTACGTCATGAACCTGCCCGCGTCGGGCATAAACTTCGTCTCGAGCTTCGTGGGCCTGTACGCCAACGTGCCCGGTGTGCCCGTTGCCGACATCCGCAAGCTGTTCGAGACCCGCGACTTGCCCATGGTACACGTGCACTGCTTCAGCACCAAGAGCGACGACAACGTCAGGGAGAAGGAGGAGATCTGCGAGGAGCTGTCGCGGCAGATGGGATATACGCTCACGCCTGACATGCCCGGTGTAGACATCTATGATGTCAGGGATGTGGCACCGAAGAAGCGCATGTTCTGCGCTACCTTCAGGCTGCCGGAGGAGGTCGCTTTCCGGCAGGTGTGAGCGAGCAGGCGCTCTGGGGGAGGTGAGGTATAGACAAAAGGTCGGCGTTTATTCTCAAGAGCGGTATTGGATACCCATAAAGGCCTGTTAATGCATCTACTTTGAACCACCTGCTTCATCTTAATCGTACATTTTCCTGCAACATACTCTGCCCTTCGCCTAAAATCGCTATCAGGTCAGAGTCCGAACGTTGCCCAAGCGCTCCTCATTTCTCCACGGCCCCTCATAGATCCATCAACATCTCATCATCAATGCCATCACCGAAGTCATCCTCGGCCTTGATAACCAGCACGGGAGAACCTTGCCTCGCGTCGCCATCAAGCTCAACAAGCGGGGAGAGATCCATTCCCCCTGGGCAATCGTCCGACTCAATCGCAGAATCCGCAGTTGCTGTTCCAGCCACCCAGTCCGCAATCATGTCTCTCCCCATCTCACCTCCCGGCTCCGGCACGCCGTCCGTATCCCGGCGCATACCATCGCGTTCCATAGCGACAGGTTCCTGTCCGCCTGCAGCAACGATCGCACACCTATCCCCACGCTCTCGCTGCTCCCTACGCGTATCCAGGAAGCGCTGAACACCCTCGTGCAACGCGCCCCTAGCCTCCACGCCCTCCACCCGCTCGAAGCTTGCATGCAGTAGCCCGTCGACTCTGACCACCCACTGCATGATCGTGCGCTCTGAGACCGGCGTACCGAAGACATCGAATGCGTCCGTACTGTCGTAGCCCCATTCGAGGCTGTTGGCGGTCATGTCGAGTTTGCGCGCGTATTGTTCGATGGAGGAAACGCTTGTGTTGATGGTGAGGGATAAGTTGTGTGTCTCGGAGCCGAGGGGTGTGGAGTTGAGGGGTAGGGTGGAGGACTTGGTGCGGTGGAGAGTAGTGTCTGCGGTTCGACGACGCTGTAGGCGTTGGACTGGTCGAGTTGGTTGCGCAGTATCTATGGGGTTTGAAACGCGTGCTGAACTTGACATTTGGCTGGGAGGTGTGTTTTGGTGGAGCGCGAAGACAGCGTTCATCTCTCGAGCCGTGACTGTCGGGCGCTCGTATGGATCAGCTGATTTTGATCTGTGTGATGAACCTTCCATTGGACTATCCTGCTCGACGTGCGCTCGAGGCTGGTCTAAAACATCCTGTGGCTGCCTGTTTCTATATGTAGGAGAACAGGCCACATCGTCTGGCACACGTCTCGACTTACCGAAGAACTCACGAATGTCGGTATTGTTCTTCGAGGCCAACCTTGGCTCAGTGAGGCGTTCAGCTGCTGGTAACACCAGCGAATACCGTGAGCCAAAGGAATCCTCGGTCACAGTGACGGGCGGCGCTTTCTGTCGGGAACGTTTCTGTGGGCGAGCAGCTTTGGGCGCGTTACGCATGGGTTGTCCAAACCAAGCGACGTTTGATTGTGGATCTAGTGACACATTTGATTTTGTTTTGAGCCCTCTACGAGATCTCAGGTTAGTTTGTATTTCTGTTGGGCCTGTGAATGACTGAAAAGATGAATCTGGGGTCGAGGCTTGAGGTGCTGGCTGACAAAAGCCAAAAGACATTCTCTCATCGAACGATGGGTGCTCCAAGGCGCGATCCGGTCGGGGGCCTGAATGGGTGACAGAGGAGACGTTCTCTGAAGCAGCAAGTGGATTCAAGTGTTGTGTACTTCGCAGCTGTTCACCATCGAGTGTGTCCCTGTGTACGTTGGCTTGTGACATCGTTTGGGGCGTTAGAGGTTCGACAAGTCTAGACCGACCTGGTGTCGCCACTGGTGTAGGGGATCGAACCGCGCGGTTTGCATCTTCTTGGCTCTTTGCAGGACTCAGTAGCTGCCTGTTGCTGGTAGGCCCTCTGGATTTGACAGGGGCGTTCATACGAGCGATGGTCCAGGGGTTTGAGATGGATATATCGCGACAATCTTCTTCCTCCTCGATTGCGACAGGGTTGTTTTGTTGCAAGAATTCCAGATCTTCTTCGTCAATACCGTACATACTGGACCTCCATCGAGGTTGCTGTATCGGCACATTGAGCTCCTCACTGGGGCTATCTTGATGGATAGATGACAGTGTCTGAGATGATGGCTCCGCGTCTGGATCTTGGCCTGACTGCATGATCACCGATTTCTCGGACTGAATCTCTTCGGTAGAGTTGCTGATATTCTCGGGATAGTACGAGATCAGCAGGCGATCTACCAGTGTGATGACAAGGCTTTCATCGCCGAAGATGACATCGTCTTTTGCCGGCTCGACATTTGGATCATAGCTATCCACCGGACAGATGATGTTCAGGCAAAAGAAAGGATCTTTGACGTCAGACAACGTTGAATGAGCCTTACGTAGTCGGCTTCTGACAGCCAAGGCAATCTTCTTGAGAGTACCTCGCGTGGCAGAAACTGGTCTGGAATCGACTGAGATGAAAGCACCGTGATTTGCGATCTTTGACGCTGTTGCAGCAGGCTTTGGTAGAAATGCATGCAACTCGTAGCCGCTCATTTCAAGTGCTGTCCAGTCACACTGTAAGGCGCAATCCTTGCCGATGACTTTGAAAGCAGCATCTTCGACATTGGCATCGGCTTTCGGCGCATAGACAAAGTCACCTTTGTTGTTCTTCGCTTTGAGAACGTGTAATCTGAAACGCACGGCAGGTCTCGCAAGTGCGTACGCTTGGATGAGACGTCGAGTCTTTGCGAGGGATTTCACTGAATTCTTGATAACCAAGTCTCTTCGAACCCTTGCCGACTCCAGCAATCGTACAACCTTGACTGTAGTGCCCACTGGGTGAGAGTCGCGCTCGATCCTGTGTGATCCATTAGCGCTGTGGTTGCCTTACCCCCGAGTCGAACCCACTTCGTGAGTTCACCGTTACGCTGGTAAGTAAGCTTCACAGCCACTTGCTCACCCTCCACACGGGTCGTGATGAGGACGGCATCACTCATGTCAGCCATACTAGCGAGTGCTTCCCCACGGAAGCCAAGCCATTTCCTTCCTGCCTCCTTCAGGTCGTGGAAGTCTCTGATCTTGCTAGTGCAGTAGCGACGGCACGCAAGTGCTCTGTCCTCGCTGGGAATGCCATGACCGTCATCCTTAACTTGTATGAAGTCGATGGTGTTAGAGGCGATATCAACAAATATGCTTTTAGCTCGTGCATCAAGAGCATTGTCTATTAGTTCCTTGACCGCGGAGCTGGGATCAGTGATCAACTGATGAGAGCCGAGTTGTCGCACTGTTGTCGGTGGAAGTGCTGCGATCCCCGGCGGTGCATTGTCTTCTCTACCACCTATCATGCTCGGCAGGATATGGTATTGTATTCGAAATGAGACTGGATTCCGTCATGGAGTGGCAATCGTCAGGCTTGAGGTGAGCCAACTCATCGTGCCTTCCCTTCAGCTAGGCGAACCGCGTAGATGGGTCGACCGCCTGCCCAGATGGGCACGCAGGCGCCGCGCCATCATGTGACCAGCTTCTATCAATACAATCTAACAGCTTACAATCACTGTCTCGTTTCTGCACATCTTGATTGCGGTTAGTGGAGTCGCGATGTTGGAGCGTATGATCTGAAGTTAAGGATGCTTTCAATTTAGCCAATCAGAGCGCTGTTCTTCCGTCATCGGCAATTGTGAACTTCTACGAGCGCGCAGTCAGTTGGCTCCGTCTCTTCCACAACTACCTCTACCTAGCGATCCTTAGCAAGCGCATCCACACGCTATAAGTTTTGTCTTTACATCGATTACCACTTGGTGTGCTCCTGGACCGCCAACAGCCAGTCCCAACAAGCGCCCCACTTTTGGATTGCAGGCGGATGTCACGTGTAGAGGCTGGTTTTTGAAGTCAGTATTGATTGTACTCATGTTAATGTTCCGCGAACTGTTTTGTTAACCCTGTGTTTTTTAGGTCTGTAGCACGAAAACTCTCGCATCCATGTCGTACATAACAGAGGCTCAACGGTGGCGTGCGTTAGCCACACGTGATCCCAACGCCAACGGGCACTTCTTCTATTCCGTCAAATCGACACAGATTTACTGCAGACCGACGTGTCCAGCGAGACTTGCGCGACGAGCCAACATCAGTTTCCAAAAGACAATTGCGGAGGCAGAAGCGTTAGGTTTTAGGGCATGCAAACGGTGTAGACCGAACGTTGAGAACGAAGACCCACAAGACAAAGCTGTCGCGAAGGCAATGGGTTTCATCGAGGAAGCGGTGAGAAGAGGCGACGCAAAACAATTGAAGTTGCACGATCTTGCGAAGAAAGTCGGTCTGACACCAAGGTATTTCCACAAGATCTTTAAAGACAAGACCAACACAACGCCACGAGAGTACACGAACATAGTCGCGGCGCAACACAGTAGCTCAAGCCCATCATCGGGGTCCGATGCAAGCCCTTCGAATTTGGAGAACTTCGACTGGGACACGTTCGACATCTCTGAGCTGGCAAAATACCATTTCGATTCAAATTCGACATTGAGCGACGACTTTATGGTACAGGCAGCACAGATCACAGCTGCCGGGTTTGGGGAGACCTCGATTGATGAGCAACCGATACAGCCCTGGGTCATGGGATCACCCGACGGTGACAATTCAGATACCGACTCCACACTGTCAAATGAGCAGTTGTCAAGCCTAAGTGGATGGGACTCTACTTTTATCGATTTCGGACAGTATCCAAGTACGAAACCGATACTTATAGATCCGACATTCGACTTCGATATCAATTTGGCCATGCTACTTCAGAATGATATGGCAGGTACCGACTTCACACTTGATGTGACACCAGACTTCGACATGTCCGCTGTTTCATCCGCACCAGCTCCACTAAGCTGACCACGCTGTGTACAATGTAGATCAAGAGCGCATATGACCAGCGCAAAATGTGCAGGAAATGTGTACTAGACGGATTGAAATATATTGTTCTACTCTTGCTACGTTGATTGCGCCGTGATGTCGCTGACCATGAAAGTCGCTGCCAATCACCACAATCCTCATCAAGATCGCAGCCGCGGCAACTGTAACTGCAGAAGCGCATCCGCGGAACGAGGTTGTATACACAGGTGCAAGGCGACACTCGTATCGTTCGTTCGAGGAGAATTTATCTGTCGTCCCAGAGTCAGTACATGCAGCCGATGCGTGCTTGTAATGCGTAGGGGAATATTCGCTCTCAGCGACCGTTTTATAAGCAGCGACGGCGTAGCATATGTCGATGCTAGCCATACCTTTTCCGGCTCTTCCTATAGATTGATATGGTCTGATGTATCTCATCTTCTAGCGTGGGGAGGGGTATTTTGCAGAAATTCAAACGTACCGCTGATGAGGGATTGCTGGTAACCTTACTGTTGATTAGCAGAATGAGAATCTATCAAAGTGCGCAAGCGAAGAAAGTGCGACGCAATGTTCCGTGGGCACACGATAGGTGCGACGTGCAGGTGTGAGTGAGTTGACGAAGCTTGGAAAAAGTTGAGCGAACCCCAATGTGCCAAGGCGACTAACTGCATTCAGCAAAAGCCCTGACCTTTGATCTGAGGAGAGCATCAACTTAGCAATATCTCATACAATCATTATTTGGACGAACAAGGTTTTCTACTTTGTGCTACTGAATCAGAACGTGGGGTCCTCCTCGCTTATCGGGACCAGATCGCCCTTGCCCTGAAAATGGGATGTCAGTGCATTCTGTGGACTTAATGAGGATACTGACCTTGAAGACCTCAGAGATATGCGCCTGCTCACTCAACATAAATCTGCTGGTCTGGTTTCCTACATCGGCTAGCTTCCTCCACTTCTCTAGATTCTCCTTGTGTCTCTTGTCTCCGTGCGCGACCTCTGCGTTCTTCCAATGTCCTTCAGAAAACGATATCAAGGTTGTGATCTTCTTGTTGGGGATGTCATAGACAGCAGAGACTACAGTACCTGTCTCTTCAAGCCAATTGATCTGCCAAAGCTCCCCGGGACGGATGCACTGGTATGTTGCCCTCTGGTAGTTGATACGCCCTGCCATTGGACCTCCGTGGATAGCATAAACAACACGATCTTCCGAGAAGCACCAAAGCTCGTACCGCCACTTCTCCGGGTTGCCATCTTTGTCTTGTGCGTCGTAGTCGTAAATAAGATGCGTATCCTTGATATCCTTATCGAAGGATGGGTGCAGTGGAGTGTTCGTCAAGAAATCCGGAAGGTTGTCGCCTGGAGCCATGATTATGAAGTGTCTGAGTCCTAGTGAAAGCGTGAAAAGGGTTGACTTTGCTCTTGGGGTTGTACACATAGGAAAACCCTTCAGCTTTGTACTTAATGCGGCACTACCGGAAATGGATGACGTAGCACATCACGACATGTACACGCCAGACCGAGGAAGCATCTCCTGAGCTCTTCGAACACCATCATCTCCTCCTTCTACAGCTCTTGCTGCTGTTGTTGTTGTTGGTATAGCGGATTGTTTGATCGCTCACTTCCATATCGCGATCGCAGTTCGACGTTGAGCACATGGGTCCTGCATGACGCGCGAAACGAGAGTGGTGGCACAACAGAAGCGGTCAGCGTAGTTCGGCGCACAGTTCGGCGAGGCCTACAAACACCTGAGCGGACCGTGCTGCTTGTTCTCAGTCCCAACGCAAACGGCGGAACCGAATGCTCATTTGATTGCCGTAACACAAAACCATATGCCTGATCAGAGGCTGTGCTCACGGCCCCCAGCCCTTCCGGTGGGGGGTCATCCGGAAAGGTAAGAGGCATGAGGCAAGGCAGCAACTGTGGCACATCGACATGTGCAGGGCGGAGGAATGAAGTATCGCCCCTGTCACGTCATGACATCTGTGGCTCGAATCGAGTTGCGTCCTCGGCTCAACATGATAGACTTCGCGCTGCAATAATCATACATTGCCGCGATTGAGATAACAATATTCGAATGGCCAGTGCATAGTGTTTGGTTGGCACTCCAGGTCGTTGCGCCAACAAGATGTCCCCGCGCCCGAGCCGCTTCGCCCCCGTCCAGCCCCACCTCCCGCTAGTGCAACCCACTGTGACGGCTCGTCTGGCAGCCCTGTGAGGTGTTGCTGGCTCTAGACTCGTGCGCAGGTGACGACTTCGATGGTGAGTTGTCGCAATAATGTTGTTCATCACGCCGCAGTCTGAGGGGCCGACGCCGTCGGATAGGTTGAGCTTGTGAGGGAGCTGATGGTGGAGCTGGTAAGGCGCTACAGCGCAACCCATCTGCTGTCAGCGCTGCCCACACCAAACGCCTGTCCCTGCAAAACGCGACAAAAGCCCGCCCGCCCGCCAAACCGTGTCAAAGTTCTGCGTCCGCGCTCAGAAGATACTCTTTACCGACAGTAAATCGCGCGAGTCAAGGGAGGAAGAACGTGGTGCAAAGAGTGCCCAGGTAGTTGGTGGACAACAAGCCCATATCATTGGAGTTCTTGATCGCCGAGCTCAAGCCCAGGAGGACATGGCATGCGTAAGACCAGTCGGCATCGTCCTGCACCCCTGGGCCGACTAACCGAATGGAAAAGGAATATGTAGCGTGTTTCCACAAGGACTGCATGCCATTTGGTGGCGGACGGCCACGCTGGGAACTCGTACAGGTCACCGGAAACGCCGCACTTCCAGCGGTCAGGACTCTCTCGCATGGGGTTTTGTCCCAGCAGCAAATGATTGTCTCAGCGCTCAGTTACATTGAGTTACGCCTGTATCCAGCTAGTTTCGCGAATAGCCCTGGCTCTACCCCATGTCCACCGCAACTTGATCCCGGCCCGGTCATGCAGCGTCACACAGGACAGACGCAGCATGACAGGGGTCAACGGGGATACCAGGGCCTCTAGCGCACCCTGCTCACGGGTCATCTCAGCTGTTTATCAGCAGTATCGGGCACTACAATTCAGCCTTCTGTTCATGAGCCTTTCGATGCCTTGACACATTCCTCCTATCTTGCAAATCGCCTCTGTAACAAGATAACTGGCGGTATTCCCAAACAACCTAGAAGTCTCTCTACTCCTCCGACTACCCACTCACAGCCAACCATCTGGATGCATTCAATCTACTATGCGCCCAGCATGGGCAGGGAAGACTTTATGTCCCATGAGCGCCTGGAGGCTCTACGCAGTTCCGCCTTTGAATCCGAGCACGCCTGGCAATATGACACATCTTACATGGAGCACGAGGCAGCTGCGGTAGCGCTTGAGCAAGAGATCGAACGGTCGTTAGCTAGTATATCACCAGATGAGAACTCGGACGAGCAGATCAGGATTATCAAGACACAAATCACAATTCACAGGGAGCGACAAAAAGCGCTGAGGCCCCATTTAGAGAGCGGTAGTGGTGATTTCGATGGATGGGGGAACGAATGCACATTTGTGCCTGCACCGAACCAGTGGGGCGCGAATGGGGACCTTGATGAGGAAAGCGAGACTTTGTCCTCTGTATGTCTCCTCTCTCACCATGACATGCAAACGAACTAACGTTGTCCTAGATACACAAACTTCTCACATGGCAATCATCGTCACCAATCTCTGTCACGCCACCCTATTCACCACTTTATGATGAGCTACCATCCCCAGATGTTCCTTACTCTTCAATGCTGGACCCATACCAGGCGCCAACAACATACCACCTCCATCGCACACGGGAGTGGACTGGTCTCTCTGGCAGCCGCAAATATGTTTACACGGCACGTGAGCATTCAGACAAGTATGCCATGTACATGCTCGAAGCCATGCATCGTGGTGATAATCAGATTACTGCAGCCGACTTCTTCCGGGCTGCTGAGTATCCTAAAACCTGCATTCGCATACTCCTTTCTGGGATCGAGAAACAACGCCTGTCCACATCATCAAAGGATGCCGCCTACAAGTCGCGATGCATTCATCTGGATGCCAAAGATGCTTTTGCGCAATCCATCAGGGAATACCCAGACCGGCAACAGAAGATCCCATGGTCGCCGCGGCGCTTCACTTACGGAGGTCGACGTTTTGTATGGAAGTCCGGTGATTCCAAGGATGACTCGATGCCGGAGACGCTGTACGAGTTTCGAAAAGATTGGGCAAAGACAGGCAGCCGAACAGGAAAGCGGTGTGATGATGCACAAGCAACAAAGCTAGTGTGGGGTGAAAAGAAGAGGAGCGGGAAAGTCGACAGCTACACAATCCATTTCGCTGGTGGTATGGACCAAGTTTTTCGAGAGGTGCTGCTTGCGAGCCAGATGGCACGCCAGACCTGTTTGTTCACGGCGATGAATTAAACTCCTCAAAACATGGGGGATGAGAGCTGGACTCAAAGAGGGTTGTTTGCGTATGCGCTGCGTGGCGCGAATGAATGATCGACTGGATCGACTGCTAGAGAAATAGATACCCCGGAGGCATCTCTTTCAGGAGACTTTATGATACCCATACCGATACGATCATTAGTCGTACTTCATCAAATAGTTTGAATACCATTCGACAGGCGGACTGATTATCTTCTGTCACTGTCTTCCCATTTTACAGGAAATTCTTCTCATTCAAATTCAAGCGTCTCAATTGATTTGATTTGTTCCAATGGTGTGGGAAAGCATTTGGCATGCTTAGATGACCCCTACCAACAGTGACGTAATCGCCTTACAGCTTACCTGCTGAACACACCACTTTGCTGCAATATTTCCGTCAGCCTTACGCGTTCAGCAAGGTCTGTGCCAGCGTTGCCATTGAGCTGGGCTTATCTGCGCATTTCGCAACGGCCGCATGTGTCGCTGTTGCTTCCTTCCACGCTAAATTCTCACTCAGCGCTCCCCACTGCAACCGTAGCTTAACGCCTACCGCTTTGCGGTGCCTTGTTGTACCCGACAGTCTGTCACTGAGCCTCCAACCGAAAGCCATAAATGCCATTCACCGCTTTGGTTCAAGCCACCGAATTTCCACCAAATCAGGAGCTGAGATAGGCGAACGTGCATATTGTACCTTGCCAGCTGTGCATCCCCACGCGCACGAGACCCAGGAGCGCCCGACCATCTACGAACACACCGTTGTATACGATTAAGCATGGCTTCGACACGCAGCAACACACTTCGCAGCATCACTTCCGAGTTCTGCTCAGCTCTGATTGCACCCCCTCCGCTGCCTGAGCTTCTGTCGCAGTACTTCTCGAATAATCCCAAGATTACTGAGCATGGACCCGAGTGGGCACGATCTCGCCTTCCCTTCCTCGCGAAGACCTTCACAGGCAAAGATGGATGCGAAGAGTACTTCAAGCTGATGACCGAGACACTCGCGATGTCTCTGGGTCCAGACGCCTTTCCAGACGCCAAAGCCTTTTGCGTCGATGCTGAGGCCGGAGTGGTGAGTGTAGTAGGAAAAGGCTACTTCTCAAGCCAAAAGACAGGCAGAGGCTGGGATGAGCAGTTCATTCACAAGTTCAGTGAATTCGACGAGCAAGGTAGGATAGGACACTGGGAGATCTGGGCTGATCCTCTGAGCGCTTGGGACGCTGTCGGCGAGTGAGACAACATGGCGCAATCCTAGAAGAAAGGCAGTCGAGTCAAGAACAAGCATACTGTCAATAAAAATCTTTAAGCACAAGAATCTTCATTATTTCCAATCTCGCACACAAGATTGAGGCTTCGATGTACCTGGTTGACCCCGCACCAATCATCTTCACCGAGGCTAACCTTCGCTCGACACAGCTTACTCGAACAACACCAAACGGCATGTAATTTAGCAAAGGCGACCGCCCGTAAATAAGGTGAAAAAGTGTTCACGGTTCCAAGCAACAAGAAAAGCAACTCAACATGGCCTCTTCGAAGCAATCAGCACGACATGACCTCAACGACGACAAGCTGGGCAAGTACCTACAACAGCACATTTCAATTCTGAAGCTTCCCATAATATCAACGAAGATCGGATATGGGCAGAGTAACCCGACTTACTTTGTTGACGATGCCAACAATGTTCGATACATCCTTCGAAAGAAGCCCAGCGGAACCATCATCTCGCCAGTTGCGCACCAGGTCGATCGAGAGTACAAAGTACTCGAAGCACTTGGAAAGGTTAGCGGTTTCCCAGTACCAAAAGTGTTTTGCCTATGTATGGATACGTCAGTCATTGGGACAGCATTCTACGTAAGTCATACTACGCTTGAAGCATACGACTGGCGCCAACGATGTGATAGGTAATGGAATTCGTCAAAGGCCGTATCATCACCGACCCAAATCTCTCCACCTTGCCACCGACCCAGAGGCGCTCAGCCTGGTTCTCGATGATATCCACGTTGGCCTGGTTGCACTCCATTGATCCAGATACCATCGGCCTTTCGGGCTTCGGTAAGAAGACTGACTTCTACACGCGCCACTGTAACACCTTCTCGCGCATAGAATCCCAGCAGGCCAAAGTCAAAGATATCAACACAGGCAAAGAATTAGGTCGTGCGCATTCAAACTTCGACGAAATTGTTGACTACATTCGCAAGAACGTGCCCACAGATCGCTCTAGCATTGTCCATGGCGACTACAAGTTCGACAACCTGATCTTGCACCCTACTGAGCCGAGAGTCATTGCAATTCTCGATTGGGAATTGAGTACGCTAGGAAACCCGATGATGGACGTGTGCTACGCGTGCGGCCCGTACTGGAACCGAGCGGCAAAAGGTGGCGCAGTAAGGGATGATCAGGGCGGTGAGGTGTATCTGCCTGAGAACCAGAGGAGTAACGGGATGCCCAGCATGGACGAGTTGGTAGATGAGTATACGAAGATCGCCGGGTGGGATCCTAGGACGGATCAATGGGAGATTGCAAAGGTGTTTCACTTGATGCGGGTATGTACTTTGTGATGTGATGCAGGGAGATATCCGGCTAACATCAGGGGTAGGGCAGCACGATCAGTCATGGGATCCAAGCAAGGACTATCAGCGGGCAGGCGAGCAGTGAGTTCTCGCACATATACTTTGAAAACACGAAGAAAGGGCTGGATACGGCACTTGCGATGGTACGCTCGATGAAGGATAAGGAGCCGTCCACGAGCGTTTTGTGAAGCACGTGCTGGTATGTGGCATTTTTGATTTGCGAATAGTAAAGGTGCAGAATAGTAGGGGGTATATCAATCTTAGGCCAATGGAAACTTCAACTCGCGCCAGTCACAGCAGTATCGCAGCTTGACTCTATCACACCAACACCATCTAGTTCTTGTAGCTCGGCGGCGCAGCCTCAAAGCCCGCCTGGCTCTCAGCCTTCCTTGCACGCCTGCGCTCCCGCCTCTCGAGCTCCTTCGCGACGGCCTTGGCCAGCTTCCTCCTCTCCTCACGCTCCCTCTCCTTGATGATCTGCTCCCTGCCTTTGCCTGACCACACAGCGCGGAATTCCTTGCGGAACTTCTGCTTGAAGGTCAGGGTCTTGTCGTTCTCCTCCTCAGCCTTCTTTGTGGCGTATTCCTCCTCATCGTCGGTGTCGAGGAAGTCGTCTTCGTCATCGATCAGCCGATCGGAAGACTCGGCGTTGACGGCCTTGAGGTTGCGCTCCTTGTCCCACTTCTTGGTGCGCGAGTATGCGATGCAGCCCGTAGTGAAGAGGACGACGCCGAGCGGGAAAGTCACGAAGACGCCCATGACCACGACGAGTGCGAGAAGGTCTTCGTCCATTTTGGCGGTTGAATAAATATTTGGTACTGTCGGAAAGGATTTGAAGGACTTCTTGATGTCGTATGGACGTGTTGTGGAGGGTTTCGAGGGTCGGTGACTTGTTGCCTGATATAGGAGACGTGTGTTGCCACCGCCCAGGGACACAGTTGTGGTGCCGTTGCCGCGGCGTGGCGGTGCACATTCCACATTACGTCATTCATCGCATTTTCACGTGCTTCGAAAACTATGGGCTTCGAGAACAATCCCATCCACGAACGGCCCGATGCCTTCTATCTGCTTTCCTGTGCACAATCAATTGTGGCTTAGTAGAGTTTTTGTTATACTAATGAAGCGGCTGCTGAAGCATCTGATGCGCCGGTAGTCGCCCTGGCCAACCGATCTGCGCACCAAGTACTGCTTCTGTACTGATCCCGACAAGTACCCATGGTATGTACGTCTCAGACACAGCCTTGCAAATTGGTGAGTCCATTTGTGGAACTATCAGTGTGGTGTGGGTGTGCCGTCCAGAAAGCTGGATTATGGGAATGTCACTGTTGATCTCCGTACCAAGGTCTTCTCCTGACAATCAAGACTGCTTGGCTGTAAGCACCTAGAAAGTCAAGACTTCTCTTGCATCGGAAGTAAACATCACCGGCATGAGCCCGTGGGTCGGAGTTGTTCCTTCCCGTTTACCTCGAAACGTTTCGTTCATTTTGCCCAGCAGCTGCCACGCTGAACCAAGACTTCCAAGCTGTGGTCTGTAGCACTGCGAGTATTATGTCATTATTCGGAGGCATTTCGTATGTTGCAAAAAATGTATCACAACGTGATGCAAAGCTGGGAAGGGCCACAAACGCGATAGTGCATTGAAATTCGATCTCTATCATTGATCGGCCGTCCGGACGCGTTTAACGTCTCATCAATCTATATGCAGAATGTGATGCCCATGGTATATGTGCCCTTCCCGTTTTGACGCCAGCGCTATGTGAAAAGCAAATGCGAACGGAAAGAAAGTGGTTAGATTACAGAGATAGCCGCCGAGCTTCAGAGCTCCAATGTCTAAGTACATACGAGAGGCGCTGATCCTGCAGACGACTTGTAGGGAACTGGGAAGGGGAAGAACAGGGGAGGGGTATAAAGGAATGTCTGTTGCAATTGCAGCGCGACGCTTGTTTGCTGCCAAAAAGAGTGAATGAGAAAAAGACAAAAACCTTATAATCAGTGCGAGAACGACACCCGTGCTCATAGGCTCTGCAGAACACATTGGACTTGAGCAATTTGATGTTGTGTTTGCAGTTCAAACGGTGTGTGCGATCAGCCTAGTGGTCTGCGACATCCTCGTCCCTCATGGGGTACAGAATATCGCCGACAACGACGGATCGCACGTGATTAAACAGGACGAAGAACCACATCGCGATAATGGCGATGGAAAGACCGTTGCCGACGAACAGAATTGTTTCATCTTGCAACGCGTTACCAATTGAGATTGTGGCAAGGGCGAAACCAGTGTTGGGGAAAACCATAGCCCACCAACCCAAGTGGAAGTAGACAGCCCATTGATTGATAACCTGGTGACGAATTAGTGGTGATTTTGCAAGACTTGATGCGGAAACTTACGGCCATAAGGGCAATCATGAAGAACCACATAGCCAGCACCCAGAGAAACAAAGCACCGACAATGGCCAGAGTACGGATGACTTTGCCATCCAAGAGGCCGTCGCCCTGAATATCGAAATCCTCGGGAAGAGCGTTGGCCATACCGATGAAAGCCAAGCAGGTGAAAGAGGGTGGACCAACTCCGATGAACATGGCTCCGCGATGCTCGCGGTCTGGGTATCCAACCTGCATGAGGCGGCCAATGTAGTGAGCATACATGAGAATGGCGACCGTGAAACCAAGACCTTGACATCCGATACCCGCCACGATGATGGGATACCTGGCGCCCAACGGCTGGTCAGCTGCAATGGTTGCAGAAATAGTTCCTGAAAGCATGATAGGGAAGATGGGAAGAAGCCACGAGGGCATGAAGCTAGTCAGCTTGTAGGTGTGTGCACTGAACAAGAAGGAGTATTGGAATACAGCCAGACAGAAGGCGAAGAATGTGTAGAGCCAGAACGCGACCGACATGGTAGTGATAGCCCAGGCGCGGTTTGGGTGATCGATCTCATAAGCCTGAATGATGTACTTCTGCGTTCCAGTGATGATGGTGGCTATCGAGAGGAAGAAAGGCCCCAAGAAGAGGGCCTCACGCTCGTGTGTGATGGAACCCTTGAAGGCACCAGGGAACTTGGTAAATCTCAGAATCATAGTTCCCGTGACACCAACGAAGAGGATGAGATTGAAGATGAAGAAGACAGCACCGATGGTAATCAATCCGGGGAAAGCATGGGGCTGGTTGGCAATCAGTGTCGCAATACCGCCCGTAGCCATGGTCAGAGTGTACCAGGCCCATGTGAAATGGCGGAGACGTTCACTGAAGGTCATGTATGGCTGGTTCGGGTCCTTTCTGTGTGGCAACTTCGAGTTGTGATCCCAGCCGCTGCCATGGCCATGATCATCGTGTTTCTGCTTCTCGAGGTCGATCGAGGCTGGAGGTGTAGGCATAGCCATGGGAGGAGGTCGAGACGAGGGGTCGTTGAAAGGGTTATCTACCACTGTGTTCTTAGAGTCGATAGGATAGCCATTGGTATCCACAGGTCCCGTGAAGTAGGCTTCGCCCGTTGGGTAAGGACCCGCAGGTGTCTGGACCCAGGTGTTGGTTCGGGTGGTCTGCTGTGACTGAGCAGGATATTGGCTCTCTTGCTGCATGTTTACGGGCTGTTGAACGTTCATGGGCAAATTGCGGTTATCGTGCTGAGGAGGGCCTTGATTGATATATCTGTTATCCGGCTGGTATGCCGGTTGTGCGTACTGAACTGCTTGCGGAGGAGACACTGGTCGGACTGAAGAAGGAAGGCCAACAGTTGGTCCTGAGTACAGGGCAGGTCGCGGATCAGACTGAGGACGAGAGTAGCTTGGTCCATTGTTGTCAAAGTTAGGGCTGAAGTTGTTCCTGTCTTTGTTGTCGAAGGTCAATCCCTCAGGCTGGAATCGGGAGTCCATTTTTGATGTGAAAGAGGTGGCCTGCACCGTGGGAACTAACGAATGGAGACGCCTGGAAAAAAAGTGAAGGAATATGACATGCAGAAGGGTGTAGTAACAATTATTAATTCAGCACCGGGCCGTTAGGAAAGGAGATGGACGCGAAGTGCGAGAGGCGAAGTAATAACAAGTGGGGAGCAGAACCAGCATGGGGGAGTGGGCGTTCCCCAACCCAAGGTCGTTTCGAACCATGTACCACGATTGGCACTAGACAATTCTGGCGGTTAGCAAAGTGGCTCTGAGTAGCGACGTAGGGGTGGATTGGGACCTTGACAAGCTTGGCTGGAGTGATGTGTTGCGTACTTGCTCCTGATATCCACATCAAAGCGCCGAATAAGCTTTGCGACACAGGCAATGCACGTGCTTTTTCAAAGCAACCTGAGGTCGTCTTCGCCTCATCCCAGTCCATAAACGGAAACACATGCCTTGGCAGCGTCCGCTCCGCCAAGGTGTTTGGACACAAGATCTCTTGAGTGCTGTGATAAGAGATTTAATGAACGCGTAACACTTGCATGTACTGTTGCTTGTGTAGATGCTTAGAACGAATGGTTGTGCAGACTCAGGTACAGTCTGAATCCACTGCCGCGCAAGCATTGGGCTAGTGCATTTCACCGAGGTGAGCTTGGCAGACGCTCCGCTGTGAAGCAGAGCACTTTGGGGTAATGGAGTTGCGGATACACGAGAATACAACGACGGAAGGAGTCTGTGTTCAGGGAGGACGCGGGATGCCGCCGCGGACCAGGGAAGCCCCCTACCACGTTACGGACCCCCCTTCTGGCTGGACCTGGCGGTCTCTGATATGGATCACCATGGAATGGTGAAGACCGGCATCTCCCGATTACCAATTGTAGACTAGATGGAGGGTAGGTCCGGGACTTAGGCGGCGGGTAATTGGCTGCGGCTCAAGTGCGGACTGGCGCCCGTCGAAAAGGTGTGAAACGGGTGACGAAACGTCAAAAGCGGACCCAATTGTGTCGGATGTTGATGCCAAGCAGCACAAAACGCATCCAAGAAAGCGGCCCCACCCACCTGGCGACGTGGAAGCCACAGCCGTGCACCAGATAAGCTTGTCGTCCTGATAAGATCGCGGAATAATACACACTAGTTGCTTTGGGAGTGCAACAGATCCTGTCCGAGACAACCATGAGCGATAGGGTCGCCGTCTCAACAATGCCCTGGGCCCACTCAGTGTTTGAGTGTTGCACAGCCAAGCCTAAGCCTGAAGGCAAAAAGCCTATCTCGACCTCGATAAAAATGTTTCCCCCCCAAGTGTGTTCCAAAATGTGCTCTCGGGGGTAATTCTGCTGGAGCTGAAGTGTTACGCTGGAGCACAAACCCACCTGGTGGGTGGTCAACGTGTACACCGCCGATGAAAGTTATGCTGATCGTTACGCGTCGCTCTAAGAGATTGCGACCTGTGGCCCAACTTGCCCATACCTAACTTCTGTCGCTACAAGACGAAGATCTTTGGGGGCAGTGCACTCGGCCAATACCCAAGTCAGCCTTATGTCGCAATCGGGCCGTTGCTTGGGCTTGAGTTAGGCGCATTGATGCACAGAGAAGGCTCCACTGTTTGACGTAGACAAGACTGCACGCACACTGTGACGCTTATCGCCAAGAGCAAAGGAATGGCATTGAGGCTCAACGGGAACCAGTGATGCGAAGAAGATCAGCGCAAGGTGACGAAGCCGAAGGGGCTGGCCGTCCCTTCATGGCGCTAACAGGGCCCACTTGAAGAACACCAACCCTGATGAGCCTGATCATCGACTTCAAATTCCTTGCAAGGGGCAATGGATAATACTACTTATGCCAGCAACCGTAGTACACAGTCTACTATTGAGTCGCGCTTTAATGATCGCTGCAACTACGTTATGATCTCTGCCCGATTGCGACCATGCATCCAACTCCTGATTCAGCAAGGAAGACATTGCGCAACTGACAGGTATAATGCCATGCATGTCTTGGGCAAAAGTCCAATTTACCTCTTTATTGTTCAATGAGTCTTATCTCTCATACCTGCATTCTTCGATGTATCGCAAGCTTGTAGCCGTGACCGTCGGCGCTGTTGTTCTTGGCCGAAAGGATTCAGGAGTTGCAATCTATAACTCGATATCTCGTCGTGCTTGAGACTTCCCGGAGCCTTGGCATCACTTTTCAAATTATTTCTTCTCGGGTCACGTCAGAGATAGATCTTGATGCTATTACAGGGTATCCGCAGCCTCCCGTGAATGCAGCCATTGGGCGTAACAAGCAAGGATCAGACATTTTGGCGCCCAGTGGGGACGAGCTCTAGGTAATACTCTCGTATGCCGAACGCTTTGAGGCTGTGGATATGCCCAGGCCTGGAAAGGTACGTTCGCGGCTTTATTCCCGCTACCCTTCATTACACTTCCTTCTCACCCATGGTATTCTTTTCCGATAGACTTGGTCCGATGGATGTGCCAGTGATCCCAAAAGCCGAAGAGTCTTCCTCGAGTGGAACAACCCCGATTCGACGGGCTTCTGCTCCTGTAAATGTCCCATAAACATCGACCGAATCCAACTGGTCCATGTCGGGAAGCGGGAAGATGACGTTGAGACCATAGAAGACCGCGGCGCTGACAAAGAAGCCTACCAGAGTGTTAGTACTCGCATTACATGTGAGACACCCCGTCTACCACTTACCAATCAAAAAGGCCATGTAGTACAGTTGCACCAATGCCCTCGGCGGCGCGGCATCTCCTCGAACCGTGACAATCAGCCCGCCTATTGTAGGCGCCCATCCACAAATCCACGCTGGTATAGCCCGCCAATTGATTCCATTCCAAAAGAAATAGCAGGAGTCAGTTGTCTTATAAAGATGTGTAAGCCTGATCCTCCTCTTGCGCAGTAGGTAGTAATCAGTGGCCATAATACCTATAATAGGAGCTAAAAAGACGGAGAACGACGATAGAACAGCTATGAAGGTCGTGGCACGATTGATAAGCTGCCATGGCTGTACGATCCAGGCAGCGACGAATGTGATGATGGCGCCACGCCGTATATCGATATATCGGGGAAACAGGCCCGCCAGATCGATGCCTCCAGCGATAGCGTTGCCACATATGTTCTCGAACATTGCAGTAAAGGCGAATCCTGCAGCCAGGAAGAAGACGCCGGCCCGAGCCTTGGAGCTGCCGTTGCCGTTATCCATCATGACCATGAGCAAATCAGGAGGGTTCCAATACACTTCACCATATATCTTTTGTGCTGCCGATGCAGTGACAAGACCCACAAACGATACCAGAATACCAGTGATGAAGCAGCTGCTTATCGTACTGTAGACATAGTGTCTGCGGGCACTAGCATACCTCGAGAAGTCCGAGCCATTGGTGATTCCTGCCGCCAGTCCGCCAATACCCTGATTGATGCCAGCCATGATGAGCCAGGATGAGTTGAAGGGGGAGCCAGCAGGAATACTTTGTCCAGCACTCCAAAGCGGGCCTACACCTTTTGCGACAGCGAGAGCCCAAATCATCCAAGCCAGCATACCGACACCACACCAAGTACATACGATCTGGAACGGGATCTTGAACTTTTCAGGGCGGAGCCAGAGAAAGGGTGTCGATAGGAACCAAAATACGACAAATCCCACAAACTGATCCGTCGTGGCTGGCATGTTCGGTCCAAATGTATTTGGCATCCGCGCATAGGAAGGCCATATGGCTGTCAAGCACACTGCAATCAAGCGGCCCCCGTTCCAACCTGCCATCGATTAGCAGTCAACGGATCTGATCGTGACTATGACATACACTGTACAGCATTCCAGATGAAGTTGAGCAAGATTCTTTGCAGTAGTGGAATAAAGCTGCCTCTCATGCCCCAAGAATAACGATTCTGTACCGTAAATCCGATATGCCATGTCAGTCCGATCCACGCAATCAGCGTGGAAAACATGACGATAAGTAACCTGCTGACAACAATGATGAGCATAGCCTGGGGAACAGACAAGCCAAGTGCTAAGACACGTCAGCGTGTTGATACTCCTCTTGAGTCACACATACTCAAGTAAGAGCTTGGGGTTTGCCAGTTCGCAACGTTCAAGCTTGCTATGGCCCAGAAGCCAAAAAAGTTGAACCAACCCCTGCATGTTGTCAGAATCACAGTCGAGGCAGAGTTGTATCCTGAGGTACCAAGTTCGTCGCTCTGGTGGCAAGGGGATCAGGTCGCGGTTGCTCCAAGCGTCAGTCTGCTCATGTCGGCTGTCATCACCCTTCAACCGTACGTGTTGATCGAGTGACACTAGCCTCTGCCTCATAGTCATAATGAGAAGTTTGTTGGTATTCCAGGGCAGATGAGAGGATGGAAATTCAAAGGCCCCATCATCCTATTGAAAAGGCGGACATTTACATCTCAAGTTCTATGTTACACTTCAAGCCAAGTCAACCTCCAAGTCGAGATAGTCGGAGTTACTTCTCAAAAGCGGAAGCCGTGATACGCAGGTTGATAAAGCGACCAACGTGATAGGCAAGCCAGGTGAGGGGTACGCCGATTTAGATTATCAGATCAAGGTTGGCGCCATGATCGACAGCATGAATACCACATTATTCACGGGATGTGACGTTCTCCAATGGTGACAGGCGGGTACATTGGTGCAGCTGGCGGGCAACCGTCAAGGAAGGTGACGCCTTCTGCGGATGACGGCGCCCGATCTTCGCTGGTGCCCCACCACGCAGATTATCTTATCTGATGCAACTGCCTCGAGCTTTCTCTACCCCTCGTCTTGCTATTGGATCTCCGCCACCGTACACAAAATACATCGACGTCTAGAGTCATGAGTGCTTTGCGCAACTTGCGCATTGGTGTTGATGTTGGCGGGTAAGCGCCTGCCGTCGACCAGACTCAATTTGCCTAACATGACATTGCAGTACCAACACCGATGGAGTAATCATAGATCCCGCAAGATCAATCGAGGCCGATAAAGGAATTGTTGCCTGGTGAGTGATAACATTTGTATGCCACGATAAGAGCACGTGACATCAACCTTCACTCTCACCTCCTGGACCGACCATTCTTCTGACAAAGATACTTTCTCAGGCACAAGGCTCCCACTACGGCGGATCCAAGTCATGGAATTGCCGATGCGATCACTACTATGTTCAAGACCGCATCCGTGGATCCCAGTTCGGTCGCCAGCGTCACGATTGGGACGACACATTTCGTGAATGCGGTGGTGACCCGCGACTCCTCTCGACTCTCGCCAGTCGCAGTGCTGCGCCTGTCTGGACCATTCAGCAAGCATGCGCCCCCTTGTGTTGATTGGCCAGCTTCACTTCGCAAGATCATCTTGGCGCATTACGCCCTAGTGAAAGGTGGCCTTGAGATTGATGGCAGCCTCATATCAGACATCAAGGAGCAAGAAATTGTGGAGCAGTGCAAGATTATCAAAGAGAAGGGTATCAAGAGTATTGTGGTCAACGGAGTTTTCAGTCCAATTGACACCATCGAGTTGCAGGAACAGCGAGCTGCCCAGATCATCAAGCGAGAGCTTGGTGAGCAAGTGGATATCGTTCTCAGCAAGACTGTTGCTAACCTCGGCTTCTTGGAGCGAGAGAATGCTGCGATACTCAATGCCTCGATCCTGTCATTTGCACGCAAGACGATTGCAGCCTTTCAAGCTCCAATAAAACAACTCGGATTGGAATGCCCAGTCTTCATCACGCAGAACGACGGGACAATCCTTAGTGGTGAGGCAGCAAGCCGGCTACCTATTCGGACATTCTCGTCGGGCCCGACCAACAGTATGCGCGGCGCTGCCTTCCTTGTCGGAAAGCAAGAGAACAACGAGGCAATGATGGTAGTCGATGTGGGTGGCACGACGACAGACGTTGGCCTCCTCTTGGCGAATGGATTCCCACGCCAACAAGCAGCTTACTCTGAATTGTCTGGCGTCAGGATGAACTTTTCGTATCCAGACGTGAAAAGTATAGGTCTCGGAGGTGGTAGCCTGGTGAGGAGAGTCGGCGGAAAAATCCAAGTCGGACCCGAGTCTGTAGGCTACCGTCTACCCGAGAAGGCGTTGGTATTTGGTGGCGACGTGCCAACTGCCACCGACTACACCGTGGCAGGCTCCCTTGAAGTCACGATCGGTAAGCCAGAGCATGTGCGAGGCAAGCTCGATGAGAGCGAAATCGCAGAATTTAAAGAAGAGACCAAAGCTATGTTAGAACGTATCGTTGACACTATGAAGACGTCTCCAGAAGACGTTCCGGTACTGCTTGTTGGAGGTGGTGCCGTGGTAGCGCCAGATCGCTTGAAAGGTGCGAGCCGGGTCATCAAGCCACGATGGTCGGGCATCGCGAACGCAATTGGTGCTGCCATGGCCAGAGTCAGCGCTGTCGTGGACACTGTCAAGTCGACAGAGAAGCAATCCGAGAAGGAACTGCTGGTCGAAATTTCTGCAGAAGCCAAGAGGCGAACCATTGAGGCAGGCGCATTAGCTGATTCTGTGAACATTGTCGAAATCGAAGCACTTCCACTTCAATATGTGGCTGACAAGACGCGTTTTATTGTCAGAGCTGCTGGAGACTTTGACTTTTCTCGCGCACAAGACTTCGCAAACCTTGAGCTTACCAAAGTGGACGAGGACGCAACGAGCGTGAACACCGCACATGATGCAATCACGCCAGCATCAATCAAGGACACCACTTTCGAAAACGACGCAGTTCCAGAAGTTGACATCGCAGGCTACAAGCCTAAGATCGTTGCCCGTGAATGGTGGATTTCCGAGACGGACCTCGACTGGATCACAATAGGCTGCTATATCCTGGGTACCGGTGGTGGCGGTTCGCCCTACTCGACAATGCTGAGAGTACGCGGAATCTTACAAGCTGGTGGTACCATACGGGTAGTCAGTCCAGATGATCTCAAAGACAAAGATCTCATCGGCAGTGGCGGCGGTGCTGGCAGTCCAACGGTTGGTATCGAAAAGCTGTCAGCAGATGAGATGATGGACGCTCAAAACAGCCTCTACGAGCTGTTTAAGGGAGGTCGGGCGACTCACGTAATCCCTATAGAGATTGGGGGTTCCAACGGCCTTCAGGGCCTTGTCCTTGCCGCATCGACGAACATGAATGTGCCGTGCGTCGATGGCGATTGGATGGGCCGTGCCTATCCCACAAAGTGGCAGACTACTCCTGTGGTGTTTGGAGAGCGTGAGATCGTCTTCGCTCCAGTATGTGTTGCTGATGGCAATGGTAATACACTTTACATGCCTACAGCGCAAAGCGACCTGAAGGTTGAGCAGGTCATCAGGTCGGCTCTGAGTCAAATGGGAAGCGCAGTTGGTACAGCCGATGCCCCGGTCACTGGGGAGGAGACGAAACGATGGGCAGTTGAACACACCATGTCGCTTTCATGGCGCATAGGTCGGGAAGTCGCTCGAGCAAGAAAGGAAAATCGCATCGACAGCGTAGCTGAGTCTATCATCGATGCTGTGGGAGGGCCAGACACTGGCCGTGTCCTCTTCAAAGGCAAGATCGTCGGCGTCGAACGCAAGCTCTGGATGGGTCACGTTTACGGCGAGGTCATTATCGAAGGCACCGAGGCGCAATTCTCTGGGAAGGTTAAGATACCATTCAAGAACGAGAATATCGCCGCCATCCGTATGCACGATGGACAGGAAAGCAAGACTGGAGAGGAGCGCAATGAGGATGTGCTCGCCATTGTACCCGATCTAATTTCGGTCATCGATGCGCAGAACGGTGAGGCGATTGGGACACCCGAGTATAGATACGGGTTGTTGGTCCTGGTCATTGGAATTACTGCCAGCGAGCGATGGACCAGCCCGAAAGGTGTCGAAATAGGCGGACCCAGTGCTTTCGGTTTGACTCATTTGGAGTACAAGCCATTGGGCAGGTTTGTGAAACCAGTCAGCGTTATTGACGAGTTTGAAGAAAGAGTATGAAACTCAAATCTTGGGTGGAAGTCATGGCATGTATTCATATGACAGGACATTAGGTAGATATATTGTTAGATTATGCTGCCTCGACATCTTTTGCCCGTGAAGATCCAGAGTACAATGGCATGATGACCTTGACCGCGGCTTCGTAGCTCGTGAAGAGGATGCCGCCGCTAAACACCGTTCGCCCCAATCGCATGGTCGTGCCCTTCCAGAATCCGCGAATACCGTAATCAAGAAGAACGGTTTTGATAGCTTCAAGGGTGCTCGTACCCCTAGCGCTTTGTGATCTGGTCTTGATTACATCAAACGGTTGTGTTGCGAGTGTTGTAACGGTCCCGGCAACCGACCCGTTCGCAAAGTTGACAGCGGTATTTTGTGAGATGTCCTTCTTCTTCTCGTAGTCCTTCAGAATATTATAGGTCCCCATTCGGAATGCTGTAGCCGATGCCTGCTTCAGAGTGGTTCCTGCAAAGCCTCTGTACAGCCCAAAAATACCGTGCTCGTTCCAGATGACACGTGTAGCGTGAAGGCCTGAGCGGAATCTTTTCTCGTTGCGCGCATCGTCAATTAAGGCAGTCTTTATGCGTTCGGTTGGCGTCACTGCTGTGATAGATGCAACGACACCGGCGGTCATGCCAGCCAGCAAGTTGCGCCCAGGGGACAATGTGCCAGTCACTGGATCCGCGAATGACTCTTTGATCTGGTCAAAGAATAGGAAGCGTACAGCATCCTTGCCCACAGAACCAAAGACAAGTGCGCCGCAGCCTTTGTACAATGCACGCAGACCCTCATTTTGGTAGACCTGTGTAACCACCAAAAACGGGTTGCGCGGAGTCGACTGTCCCTTCTCTTGCCTTAATTGGACTCTGGTCTTTGCAAACTCGAATGGATACTAAAATTCGAGTCAGATTCGCGTCAAATTACTAACGTCGCTTGGCATATGTACCGAGAGAAAACCCTCTATGCCCCCTGCAATTCCGCCTGCGGCCAGCGAAACCACGGCAGGCGTGTTCTTGTCCTGTGTCGTGTGAGTCTGATTCACGAATATTTGGAGAGTGGCTTACATTTCCACCGGCAACCATTGCTATTTGAATATTCTAGAATTGATGAAGTTTAGATGGAGGTTGCGATTGGCGAAAAGATGCAAGTACGATTTGAGATAGCCGACGGGACCCATAGCCGACCCGACGGATACAATAGGAGTCGGACGGCAGCGACGATCATCAGCAAACCACTTATTCGTCTGCTTCGTCTGCCTTCATCCATCTTCATTATCACTTCTCGATGCATTCGTTCCGGCCAAGTGGTTAGACCCGTGACAGGATTTCTAGGAACTGGCGCAAGCGCGTCTTGCGTCACGACTGGGGTTGCTAAATCCGCAGCAACACCCACGTTTTCTTCTCGCTCGCCCTTTAGTAGTATTGCTATTCAATGGTATCGGCTTCGGAGCCATGCGTTCTTACCAACCTCACAAACGAGGCGCCCCATCATGTTTGGTCTTAAGATCAAAGAGGCTTACCGCCTTAACGCCGTTTGAAGCTTAACGCCGCCGAAGAAGACGCTGTCCGATATGACCGAAGACGGGAACGCTATGTACCTTCCCGCCTTGCTAGCTTGTACGGACCTACCACGGACGTGATCTCTTTGGCCGATAATGTCGTCAGTACAGCACGCTCGTTCGACCGAAATACGAATGGAGGTTAGATCGTGACCATGTGTGGGGTCAAGTTGCGCCGACAGGGCGGTTGAGAAGAGAAGTGTTCACGGACCTAGTAACGCGAAGAGATGTATAAGAAAGCTGCCCCATTTTCATTTCTCACCTGTCTCATTCCAAACTCATCATATCAGCAATTTACCAGCTGCTACGGATAACGTCGCGACTCAGTACCTGTACACTTCCAACTCAATCGTAAATAGCAATAGCTCACGGAGGACGTCACAACACCATCATGGGTTTCATCTACTCCCAACTCCTTGCTTCGCTTCCATCGCCCACATATGACTACACAGGAAAGACAGTCATCGTCACAGGCTCTAATGTCGGTCTCGGCAAGGAAGCGGCACGACACTTCACGCGCCTTGGAGCATCCACGGTGATCCTCGCAGTACGCTCGATCGAGAAAGGTGAAGCAGCAAAACGCGACATTGAGTCCAGCACACGTAAACAAGGCGTTGTCCAAGTATGGCAGCTCGACATGTCGTCCTACCAGAGCGTTCTTGACTTCTCAGCCAAGGCATCAAAAGATCTTGACCGACTCGACGTCGCGCTGCTCAATGCCGGCGTTGCACGAGGCGTTTGGGAAGAAGCCGAAGGCGAAGAATCCACCATCACTGTTAACGTGATCTCGACATTTCTCCTCGCCCTCTCGCTACTACCCAAGATGAAATCCACCGCCTCGAAATACAACACCCGGCCCAATCTCACTATTACCTCATCCGAAGTCCACGCCTGGGCCGCTTTTGAAGAGCGCAAAGCTCCCGAAGGCAAGATATTCGAGACGCTCTCTTCCAACGAGAAAACAGGCGCCATCAGCGATCGCTACATGGTCTCCAAGCTGCTCGAAGTGCTCACCGTGCGCGCCATCGCCGAGCAGAAACCCGCGCCGCAGATTCCCGTCACGATCAATAACGTCAACCCCGGCCTCTGCCATAGCGAGCTCGGGCGTGAGGCGGGCTGGGGACTGACGATCTTGAAGATGTTTCTGGCACGCAGCACGGAGGCCGGAAGCCGTAATCTGGTACATGCAGCGTCGATGGGCCCAGAATCGCACGGTCAGTATGTGAGTGACTGCATGGTGCAGCAGCCGTCGAAGTATGTGATGAGTGCAGAGGGTTGGAAGGATCAACAGAGGGTGTGGGGCGAGCTGGCGGAGAAGCTGGAACGCATTCAGAAGGGCGTGACGAGTAATTTGTAAGAGTAACGGGAGATATGTCGATGCTTCGCCTGCGATGTGTAGTCTAACACCGCTGTCTGGATTCACGATCATCCAGTACTTTCACGTATAACAGGATAGACTTTAATATGCGATATAGAGAGGGGGAGAAGAACGATTTCTACTATGACTACCATTCTGCCTGCGTTCCGGTATTCCTTGTGGCTAAGCAAGCAGAAAGACATCTGTCTAAGAATGCTACGGTATCTCTGAAGTCTCGATGGTCAGTTTCGTCTTCGACTAATGAGCCTTGAGGATCATCATATAAGAGATGCGCATATCTCGGGAATATAATTCTAGCCATACATCTACTGAAGTGTGAACGTTCTGAGAGACAACAGCATCTTTTGCTCTTGCAACTATTCTTGTTATCAGCACCGAAGAGCAGGTCAGGTCGGTATCGGCTATACATTATTATACCAAAGTCGGACCTATGTCAACAGCGCGAGTAGCTACCGTTGCAGTAGTTGTAAGCTTACGTCTGAAACAGGGTGTGAGATATGATCTGTCAATGACTGGCCTCTTGCTAGGTTGACGCCGGTTCTCGGTAGACTGCGCATGCTGCTTGCGCAGCCGACAACATCACCAGCGGCACTAATCGACGATCTTTCACTGATGTCAGCTATTTTGGAAGCTCTAGCGTTGCATATATCGATGCTGCGTCTCCATATAGTTGCTGTGTAGTATGTCAGATGTACGGCGCCAGTAACGACGGACGATGGTGTGGCTTCAGCGTTTGATTCAGCTGCCTCGCGGATCTCGTGATTTTTGAGGCTCTTTTTTCTACTGCAGTCCTGCAGTATACCAGCCACGACAGGATTTGTTTGAAACCCACAAAGGTGTCAAGTGGTTGGTCGGATGTGCACCAAGGGGATGCAGTCACTAGAGACGAGGATCCCATTCCAGAGACAAAGGAAAGCGCACATGTTGACACATGGGTCGTCCTGGTAGATCCAAGGCAATATATGGAAGTGCGGAGATTGAGGGGAAGTATAACCTTATTATACCCTGGTAGTTGCACGCGTCACTCTCCAAGCATGATCATCTCCCCTTTTGCACTCAGAGTATAATAATCCAAAGTGGGTAAGATTATCGTGCCATCGCACGTCTTGCATCTATTCCGTATGCCCAGAAGTCTAAGATATCATCGCTACAAATCGAATCATAACAATAACCGTCATCAAGAACGCGCGAAGCGTATCAAATTCGTGGATGAAATCGTGGTCGTGGCGCCATATCGCGCGATCATTACGCGACCTTGTGACCGCTTACCCATATATAACGCCTGAAGTCCATTCTCGTAAATTGAGACAAGCGCTTTTTGGCGCTGTTACCCTCCCTCGCTGAAACGCTCGACAAGATGTTGTGCAGTGCAGTTGGCTGCAATGATTACTGGGAACGCGGTGAATGCGCACCGCTGCCGGGTCGACTCCCGTATTGCGACTCATCATCGAAACCCTCGAAACTCGCGCCGTCATCATTCATGTGCATGTCCTCGCCGTCATCGAACTGCTGTCTCATAACCGGGTACATCATCGGGGGTGCCGGAGGCGGAACACCGACCTTGCTGATGTGCTCAGCCAAGCTGGGCTTCTCAGCGAGGTTATTGAGCATGGCACGGCTGGCATCGAGCATCGATACCGCGTACTCAAGGAAGTCTGCGCGCTTTGAAGAGACGGATAGTGTCCAGCGGTATTCGCGAAGTCTGAGCTTATAGAACTCAGCCTCTTCAGACGCTGGCGCTGTCGCCCAAAGAAGCGAACCGAATGTGCCAATGAGGGTGAAGTTCACCTTCGACGCGAAGAACCAGAAGGCCTGGAGGTGCTCAGGCTTTAGGCGGTTGACGAAGTCCATGGCAGAGATGAGACGTGTCTTTGCGGCGTTGCGGCACATGAAAAGGCCGTAATTATCAGGCTCCTTCGTGTCAAGCGACTGTACGATTCGGCGGTGGAGGGTGATCTCGGTTGCGAAATAAGCGAGATGCAGGTATCCAGTCGAGATCAATTTGCTTTTGCTCGGCGTATGCATCTTAACCTCTGTAGGCAGCCGCTCGTGCCACTGGCGAAGTTTGATCTGGACGGGCTTTGCCCGCGCCAAGATCAACTCTGTCGACTTCCGTCCGGCGTTCGCAAAATCCTGGATCGCTGTCTGGGTGTAGAAAGTGTCCATAACCTCCGCCATGATTTGGGTAAGACTGATCATCTGGGCGAACAAAACGCGGCTTCGTTGGGCTTCTTCTTCCTCTTCTTCTGTTTCATCCTGTCGCGTCTCGTACCCGTCTCCCTCCTCGTTGAAATCGTCTTCCGTAATTGGCTTCACTGCCCAGTTTGCGTTGAAAATATGCGACGGTCGCCCGTGGATAAGCGAGCTCCACTTATCCTGCATATATAGCGCCCACGCAATGCGCTTCCTCAGACCACGCTCCCAGTGAGGAATGGACCAAGATGTGCAGTCGAGGTGAAGGCCTAGCTCCTGCCCAATCGCTACCAACTGCGTTGTCAGACTCCACGAATCTGAATCTGGACGTTGTAACAACAGTAGCCCTGCCTGGACTGCGGACAGCTTTGGCCGCTCCATAGCTAGAGTAAGCGACCTCATCGCGATCGCCTCCAAACGAGCTGCATCTGGCTTCGAGTAGTTTGCAAGCTTAGGATCGAACGACCACCAGTTAAGAGCCAAGATATACATTCCAGCTAGCAGGGCGGGCGAAAAGCTTCTGTCGCCTGTTCGATACCGTTCGATAAAGAGGTGCTTCTGGATGATGGGATAGCTTGGGTGGACCACCTGGAAGTAGATGTCAAGAAGTGCGGGACCATGGGGATGAACAAGCTGCTCAACATGGCTCAGATAATTCGCCTCTTCAGCATGGTCTTGGGTGTGTTCGTCAGGAAGCATAATGAAACATTCATGATCATTTACTCGTCGCAGTGTGCCAAGATCGAAAGTGGACTCGTTGCGGATATCGAAGTGCGACAGACCGATAAGTGTAGGATCAAACGGCGAGCTTAACCCGATATACCTGCTGTGCTGGCGACGCTGCAGACCCAAGGTCTCACCCAGTTGAGGCAGGTGGATGTTTGCCGCCAGCAACGGCTGGGGCGGTGGGGGACTTGGCGCAGTTGCAGTGATGGTGGGCGTTGCGAGTGCTAGTGGGGGTGGCTCTGCATCAACAGACCTGCCGACAAGGTTAGCTGCATGTCCGTGTGTGACAACGTTCACAACGCGACCCAGAAGGTTTGGAGGCTCCAGACGACATGTAACAAAGTTTCATAATCGACTGAGTGTTGGGAGTACGCTCGCACGTGCGCACGTGACATTACTTTCGACTGAGTGGTGGGGTGATGTTGACGACGCCTGGACGCTGGATCGAACATGGAGCGTGCTGCAATGTCTAAACATACCTCTTTTTGGAGACGTTGGGTGAGTCCTTCTTATCACCGTCGACAACCTTCCTTTTCCTGGGTAGTGGGCTCTGCACGAAGGTGCACTCTTGCTTGTGGAACTCGCACAGAACACACAAGGCGGCACCTTCGTGAATCACACAACGGCTCTTCCTCCTCCTGCACGCGTCGCAAGGGCGTTCCCTTCGTGATCGTATGTTAGAAACAGGTCCGTTGGTCGAGGTCGGTTTGTTGGCAACAACGTTCTCTTTCCCCGGCGAGGCGAGCTTCTGTTGTTTGCGTGGACGAGCGGCAGCAATAGGAACCGGTGTCGCGCGAGGCAACGCAGGCTGTATAGCCAGTACGGTCGTCATATCGCTATCTGATGGCACAAATAGTGCACTGCAGATAAGGACGGATGTCGTAAGAGGGTCGGCGTAGGCCTGGGTACAGCAACAGGCAAGGTCTATACTACTGATAGACAACGGGCCGTTGGCTGGGCGCCGGAGAATAGGTGCCGGGAAGGATGCCAGAAGCAAGAGTGCCACGGTGCACCAGTCACACGATGCTGAGGTAGATAGGGCCCAAATCGGGTAGCTGCTGGGGCTTATCGCGTGGGAGTAGTGTAGTTGGCCCACAGGCTATATCCTGCCAGTCGGGCGAGAGGCACAGAGAATTGAGTAATCCCGATTTCTGTGGATAAATTCTTCAGTGACAGCCTCAAGGGCCTAGGTTGCCGGTAACGGCTGCGAGAAGTATAAGATGTTTGGTGGTGCGTGCCGTCATTGAATGCTTTTTAGGAGGCGGACACGTGCGGCGATGGCGGGCAAAGCCTGGGGTGACGATGAAGATCTAGAACCCTGTGCGGGGGGCGAACGGACACATAATCCAGGAAGTCGTAAAACCGTCTGTGTTGAGAGCGTTGTCGATGTCTTTTGAGGTTTACGCTTCACACATCTGCGAACATGTGCCTGGATGGCTTGTGCTTCTGCCCGTTACGTGATAGCAAACCGAATGCGGCTAAGTGGCAGACGAGCAACCATCTGCAGGGCGGCAGCCATCCGAGTACCAAGAAGATAAGAATGTAAGGGCCAATGGGAGCGATTTTTGCCCGCTGCTGCTTTGATGCGCGTAAAATTATTATGCCAACTTTTGGAGGCTATCTCTGGATCATCTCCGGCCTCTACACCGCGACGTAGTTCGTAGCAACACCAGCCAAGCACTGAATTGCTGTTAGGTACTCGGTATTGGCATATGCACGTCACCCGCGGTTCGAGCGACAACGTTGCCCTCCTCAAGTGCCTGACGCATCGTAATCTACCGCCTATCGTTCTGCGCGGACCGTTTGGGAAGGAACTCGCCAGACCGCACTTTGCCGTTTGACTACTAATGTCGGTGTTGTTGCTGGTTGAAGTGTGTCTCAGTATGTAATGGTCATGCAGAGTGATGCTGTGCCTTCGTAAGATTTCAACGTTTCTTTGAGTATGCTTGCAAGGCCGCTGTAGACGGGCCTACCATGGCAGTTCTCGAATCTGCAGCCTTGCGATCAAGCACCACACGTGTCCCCGGACCTGTGATCTCCGCTCCGCCCCAAACGCTCACGCTTCAGGCAAGGCTTCCACCGCTCCGAGACCGGCTGTTGAGCCCGCAAATCTCCGCCAATCCTCGTGGGCGCTTTTCAAAGGTCTCACCTTATGTCATACAGTTGCCCACCGTGCAACGCGACTCAGACACAGATTAAAGCCTTCCGCGGCGAATTGGGAAACGCCAAACCTTCCAAGGCTCCAGGATATGACAAGATCGATACATGTACGTAACAGTGAAGCTAGCAATCTACTTAGGGAGTAAGTCGGCAAGTTCAAACCTGCTCTCGTCCGGCGGCTGAAAGCTGCATGCCGCAGATGCACGCATGATCGAAATATCAGATGGCCAACATGCTTTGTGTGCTGCATCTTGTGTGAGCTGTGCAGTTCTAGCCTTGCACGTGTACCCAGCAGTACATACTACAAGCGGCGGCTTGCAACGTCGAGGCTGCACTGATCGCTCTGCCTTCCGTAGTCGTTTCAAGATCTGCTCACTGTTTCCATAGTTGCGGATGTTGTTACGAGAGAGAATTTTGCCGAGATCTGCATGTGAATGAAGCGGGGGCTTTCGACTGGATAACATCTCAGCCCGGCATTGGGTCGACCCCGGGCCGATTTAGTCCGGGGTACGTACTGACGGGGTTGGGCGTCGAGGTTGGGACGATGTTTAAGAAGCTCGATTCGATGTATGCGAGTGGAGCACTGCCGCAGCGTCATGTTGTCGCGAAGGCTTTTAGCACTCACTGTGCCACGCTGTCGATCGTTATACCGGAGGTCTCACAGCGCGTCATTGCATGTCCAAGGTCTTGTTCTCGACCTTTTGAGGCTCTGTCATCCGATACAACAACCAGTCGATATTCAAATTCGATACTAATTATCCATGCCAAACCTGCCACCCCACGATCATCTCTTGTAATCAAGCGAATCTCTTGTATCAAAGCAAGTCTCTAGTAGTGAAGCAACCTCGGTCTATGCCACCAGGTTGGAATGTCATCTAAAGTCGCTATGTAGTATGATCTTAAGAAGAGCGACCACGGGATTGAAGCATATGGGCCGAATGCGTAGATCGATAAGAAAATACGGATGATTTGCATCAGGGTCCCAGAATCCGGTGGATCTGGATCCGAAGCAAGAAAGGGTCTAGAAGTTGACGATGCTAGGTAGATAGGAACCTATGGGACATGTGTCTGCCACGTGACCCTTGCGACGACGGTTTCCCGGACCATAGACCGCTGCGTAAATCGTATGAGTGGTTTTGAAGGGCACCCGAAGTTGGGTCTGATATTTTTGTATGTGTCTGAGCCGTTGTACTACGATTTTTGAAGCGTTTTGATGGAGCGGTGCTTTGATTTCCCTAAGAATTGGCGGTAGCTAACATAGGTGCTCTCTGCTCACAAGCAACGAGCTTAAGACATACTCTTTCGCGGCCAGCTGCCTAACCGAGCTTGTGCAGCAGCCGTATGTACAAGGTCGGCCTTTCTTCTCGCCCACGATGGTACAGTCGCCATGGGAGCCCAAATGACCTGTAGCTCTGACTTCAGCACGTCGTTTGTTCCGCCATTATCATGTCGTCGTTATATCTAACATGTCGCGCTCAAAATAGACAAAGAAGCTGGATTGGGTCGCTGCGAGGTGCCATGTCCTATCGTGGATCCTAGAGGCAACGATCGCGATCGTCGAATCGGCAAGGGAAGCTTTCCCTCTGAATAGGTTGAATTGCCCATACGTTTAGTGCATGGGAGGCTGGTAATTGATCGGTCGCCTGAGGACCGTATCAGTATGATTGCAGGTTGCCAGCAAGATAAGGAACGTACTTGAAAAGAAGGATGTGCGGCTCAGGCTCGTGTACTTCGTAGTGTTCCCATCCTAAGCTCTGCGCACGTATCAGCATGATGCGCATGTCTCGCGCTGATTCTTCCTTACCTGAGTGATGCCGAGTGCTCTCCATTCCTCCTCCCACAGCAACTTCAGTGTGCCTCTAGCGCCATCAAAATAGTCTTTGGGAATGATCTTCAGCATCTGCTTGGGTAGTTGGACGTGGCGGTACTCGAATTCGTCGTCCGAGTATCTGTGTTGTTGTCAGCGGGCGCGCATACAAGGTTCCGAGTAAACAACGCACCTCGCCGAGTAGTGGATCGCGTCAACAAACTCGTCCAACTTCTCCTTCTCGTGCTCGGACAGTGGGCGAGGCTTCTTGTTGCGACGCGTGAAATCGATGTCCATATCGGCAGGCATTGCGAAACAGTGGGTGCTGCGACAAGCAAGCTCGTGTGCTCGTGCAGTGGGTTGTGCGAGGGGTGAATGTAGTGGGGCAGCGGTCGCGGAGTCGATTCACGAAGAGGCGCGGTCGTGGCGCGACTGTTTATGCTATGTCTGTGTGACGATGATGGCGCGCCGAGGTGGTAGAAAGAGAGAAAGGGTCAAGTGCGCGAGAACAACAAGCAGTTGTTTACAATGGTCATGGAAATTTACGGTAGACACCGCCGCGCACCGACCACGCGCTAGACTGCCTAGCTTACCGCTCCACTGCACCTGCCACGTTCCTATCACAACCGCGTCTGCACAACGGTTATCCATGAATGCGCCATAGGTGAGCCACCATGATACTCAAGTGCCAAGTGAGCACATCGTGCTTGTCATACATTGTGTCTATGCCTTGGAGGGTCTGCTAATCATCATGGCTGACTCTCCAATTCCCGACCAAAATATCTGAAGTCGGACTTCAGTGCGTTCAAGAACAGGACCGAGGCGTACACGTGTCAAGAGTGAAAGGACGGTTCTCGGTCAAGGGGAGGGTCTTAGTTCAGCACGCCTTGCTGTCTACTGATACCCTCTCAACCCGAGCATAAATCTGTTCAAGAACGCAGCACAATCTTTTCACCTGCTGCCTTTAGCGGATCAGTGAAAAAGTATCCAACCCGCCTTCTTTCACTCGGGTGTAGAAACAGATTCGATTACCCAGGGGGCACGGGTTTGCCGTCGCGGTATGTTGACAGAGGGGAGCAGGTTTGATCGAAACGACGTCTGAATGGACACATCAATCTAATAGTACGGACTTCTGGCCCACCACGGTATCCGGCCACTCCTTTAGTAGCTCTGCTGGCCGTAGACTAGAGAAACTTTTATCGCCCTGTGTGCTCGGCTCCTCTACAGGCCCAATCCAGCCTTCGTCCAGACCCAGGCGACAAATCAAACATTTATTCCCCGCCGCCTCCGCCCTACATCCTCACCGTGCGTGTACCCAGCACAACTTGCTCCTCCTCCTTCACCCTCCCAAGGGGCTGCGTTCTCTCGGCACCGCCTGCCCTCATACCACCCCTGCTAGTGCCCCTCTGCAACCACACCTCCGCTTTCTCCCCCTCAGCACAGTCGCGAACTCGCAAATACTGCAGCTCAACGCCGGCATCGCCGGCTGCTTGTGGAGCGCCGGTCGGCCGGTACGTGTTGTACAGCTGCACAGTGCTCTCGCCGTTGTCGGCTGTAGAGATCTCCTCATGAGGCATTAGGGCGTGAGAGGTGTGGTGTGCGTGGCGGACCTTGGTGTAGCGGATGAACAGCCATATGATGAGGAGGACGAGGATTGTTGCGGTGAGGATAGCAAGGGTGAGGACTAGGGGAGTTGATGGCATTGTGGTGGAAATGTTGGTGACTTGCCTGGGAAGACAGGATGGGGGGATGCCTGATGTTCAGCAGCATGTTTGGAGGACATGGCTGTCACATGTGTAGTCGTATGACGAAGTTTGGCTGTCGCACAGATCGGTCTTGTGCAATAGGTGAGGTTCTTAGCTTGTCATGTCACACCGTATGGAGCCTTCGCCTCTCTTGAAGCAATACGAGCTTGTACCAAAACTAGTGCGCCACGAAAGAGAGCCGAGTGGGATAATTGGCCCCTTCAGGAACTCTGGGCCAGTCGTAGCAAAGACAAAATTGAACATTGGGATATCTCAAAAGGAAAACTACACACACCGCACGCCTAGCCTCAAGCTCATTAATCCAAGCACATCGCCCTGTTCCAAATGCTCAAGTACATTGACGCGCGTAGCGTCACCAATTCTTCGGCTACGGTACTCCTCCAGGGTCATGTGTTTCTGCGCATCTCTTGCTCCATCAATAAGTCGGACATCATCCAAGCCAGCTAGGCGACGAGGAAGAACAACACAGCGATACTCAGACCCATCACAAGCGACCATAGCTTGATGTCAACAGTGTTCTTAGCACCAGTTGAGACGGAAGACTGCGTCGGACTGGGTGAGCCGGTGGTAAGTGTACCATTCGCCAAGGTAGCGCTTGACGATCCAGTCGACAGCGAACCATTAGACACCGCCGTGACGGTAGGAACAAGCTCGAGTGTCCTGGTAAGCGTTGTCTGAGTTGCCGACATGCTGCTGACCTCCTGCATCGAGGGTGAAGACGTGCTCGGGCTAACAATTGCCGTCTCGCTCGACGTACCAACGGCCACTGAGGATGTTGCTGGATACATCTGCGCCAACAGTACCATGACGTCTGCAGGGAGATCTTTGTACCACTGTGGAGCCACGTCGCCCGTGGGCAGGGCGATCTCGGTGTCGGTGCCGGTCGGGGTGGGCATTGCGGTTTTCAGGACTGAGAGGATGGAGAGCTTGGTCGGGTCCATGGTCGCTAGGTCCACATCGCGCGCGATAAGGTCTGCAACAGCATGGATGTTGGGGTGCACAGTGCTGGCGATGGCGCTGGCAAGAAGCGCACAAGTAGAAAGAATAGTCGTTAGCTTCATGTTTTGCGGTGTAAGATGGCGTGGTAAGCGTAGAATCGTGACGGCGTATGGTGCTGAAGTGTTGGAAGATCGTGCGTGCAGTAAGGTCGTTGTTGCTCTTGTTGACAAACAAGGTGAGCGCGAGCGTCGTAGGCAGCCGTGAAATGCGGATGTAGTGAAAGTGAAGACGAGTCCAAGCTTAAGATGAATGTCTACTCCAGGCAAGCTGAAGTGTGCATGCGAAATGAACCGAATGCTCGATTGCCCGAACAAGCCAAACAACGTTCTTTGTGCTTCTGAATGGAACAAAGAGAACGAAACAAAGAAATAGTCTGAAGTCCAAGCCGGGATTCTGCACGTTTGCCCAGGTAATAAGTCTGCTGATACCTGTCGCAAGGCGCCTAATACGGGAAGCAAGGCGTCTGATGTGGGAAGCAAGCGCACAGGTGTAGCGTTTCGACCAGTTATTGTGGGGCGTTTGATGAACGATTGTGCAACCACAAAGTGACAGGTGCAGAACGATTGAGACGAGATGAAGAAGAATAGCTACGACAAAGTAGTCAGCGCACTGCGCCCTGAGGAAGTGCTTGGAAAGAAGGGTAAAAGAGACTACAGCGCTCGAGGTAGCGAACAAGGCATGGTCCAGGGTTGTGAAAGGAAGAGATCTAAAAATTCTTGAAGCGCTCGAACTGTCACTTGAGCTAGGTGTCAAGGCAAAGAACATGAAGCCATATTTGTGAGGTTGACGTTCGAGTTTGGCCCTAGCGATGAAGGTGGTGGTTGTGTTTCGCGCTTAGCTTGCTTCATCGAGTGCTCCGTGACAGAACCATGTTTGGATGCTTCACACGGCATATCTCAGGAAATAACGTGCAACTTCGTCTCAGATGCAAGGGAGGATCCAGAACAAGCGACTGAAATGAAGAGAACTGGAACGTGACTATCATAGACGGTATTGGACGAGAAACGGGCACTCACACTACGCCAACTCTCCAGCATAGTCATACACAAGCCTCACCCTCTGCACCTCGTTCTTGTCAGTCTTCCGCACCGCAATACGCCTGACGTACTTCCTCTCCCCGCCAATCTCCGCGAAACCCCAGATCTGCCATGCTGTCCACTTGTTTCCCTCGTTTTCCACAAAAGCCTCAATTATATCGCCCTCTGCGGTCTCCTTGAGCCAGCCCTCGGCAAGAAATTTCGCATCTTCCTCTACGACACCCTTGCCCTTCGCTTCCTCGAGCACAGTAGCAAGTGTGGTATACCTGTTGCGGCCCTTGACTGTGCCAAAGAGATAGTCGGTGTGTCCACGATACTCCCAGTCGAGTGTGCGTTTCTCCGAGGTACCTTTTAGACCACCGGAGACGAGTTGGTCAATGTCAATCTGCACAGAGGTGCCGTCCTCGGCGACGTGTTGCTTCAGGTGCTGGGTTACAGTGGCAGCACCGAGTGCCTTACGGGTCAGCCAGCCGATGCCTTGGAGGGCAAGAACAGGCTCGAAGCTGTCAGACTGGCTCTTGTTCTGCCTGACGCGTTAGTGGAGCACGAAATGGTGGTCGCTGACTCCACATACCATGACCCATTTCCCTTGTAGGTTCTTAACACTGACAGATGCTGGGGCGGCCATTATGATTGGGATATGACTTTGATCTTTGCCAAGACTACAACGTTGGTGATGGTGATGCGATGGGATGTAGTGCAGTGCTCGACTCCTCAAAAGTGAATTTGTTGCGTCACGACCCTGCGGCGGGACGTTGAGGATCTTAAGTATGTCCCCGTATGTTTCGCCCAGCTCTAAGCCCCTTGTGCCATGCCTTTGTTAACAGGCCGCGCTGAGTTGTATGTACCTGCATGTGCGCGTCAGGCCAGATCAATGCCTAGGCATCTGCCCGATTAAGTTAACTCTTCCGCGGGGAAGCCCTGCACTGAGCGAAGCGAAGCGGTGCTGTGGCCCTTACCCCACGGTCATTAATCCAATCCTGGTAGAGCATCAACAGTGTACGAAATAGTGTGTGCTCGGTTCGTCTTGGACCTCGGAATCCCATGTGCGTCCGTCGAGGTCATTGGGCCAAAGCGTTCACTCTGCACGGCGTGGTGTCCGGGAGAGGTAGGCGCCGTTATTGGCGCGAGACGGAGGCCGGCATGGCGTCTAGCAGGTGATAATGTCGCAACATTCTGAGCATTGATCGGAACGCCGGTTCCGAATCAGGTTCAACGTTGAACGGAAGTCGGCGGCTAGGGTGGGAAGATGCCAGAAGAGGATTGAGAAGGAAGACAAACAGCTTACTGCTATTATTTTATAGTGCATCTGCGGGCGAAGAAGCTGCCTGATCGAATCACATGGTACAGTACATCTTCGCAGAGAGCTCATGTCACCTGGACGCGTTGCTGTTTGCCCTCAAGCACCACATAGTACACCCGCAACCCTAACCCCCAGATCCAGCACCGCGAGATGTTCGTCCCCACCGTCTACGAGCCTCTTATCAGTTTCGCTGAACACGCCTGCCAGGCGGACCTTCTTGACATCTTCTACCCTCTCATCGAACATGACTTGCTCGTATAATTGTGCGACCGTTTGACTTGCGCTCCATCCCTCTGCGATCATGTTCTCCACCACTTTTGCGATCTCGTTGTACCGTATGCTCCGGCTTGAGCTCTTGGGGAAGAGCGAGTCTGAGAATGTATTGAGCGTCGCGGCGGGAATCACACCTGCGATCTCCGCGATCGACTGTAGTGAGACGGTGTTCTTGTCTACAAGAGTGGTATCGGAGTCGACATCCATCTCGTCATCGTCGATGAGGGGCTTCCCTTTCCGACTCGGCTCCTTTGGTGTTTGTGTAGCGCTCACCAGTCTCGCTGCAGACTGCAGGAACGTGATCGCTTTTCTCAGATCACCATCGGAGACCCTGACCAGCTCCTCGGCTGCGCCCTGATCCATCATAACGCCCTCGAGTTTTGCAATGTCCTCGACACGCTTCACTGCGTTGCCTTGATCCAAGCTCTTGAAGCGGAACTTACTGCATCTCGACGCCAGGGGATCAATAATGCGCGTGACATAGTTACACACAAGACAGAATCTCGTCATCCTGCTGTACGTCTCCATCGTCCTTCTCAGCGCAGATTGCGCATCCTGCGTCATGCTATCTGCCTCATCCAGCACAATGATCTTGAACGGAGGACAAGGGTACTTGTCCCTGTATCTGACCATCTTGCCTTCACCACCATCCTTATCTTCCGTCATGACGTTATATGTAGGAGCGGAGCTGAGCTGTTGGCGCGCAAAGTCCTTGACCTTCTGGCGCACAATGCTGATACCGCGCTCATCGGAGGCGTTTAGTTCGAGAACGCGCGACTTCATGAGCTCAGGGCCGTAAAGCTGTTTTGCGAGAGCGAGGATTGTAGACGTTTTGCCCGTGCCTGGTGGGCCGTAAAACAGCATGTGTGGGAGGTTGGAGGATTGTAGGGTGCGCGAGAGGATTTGGATGGTGTTGTCTTGCGCTGTGACTTCCGAGAGCGTCTTGGGGCGGCTGTATGGAAGTGTTAGCTTCAGATGATGCCTCGAGGTGACGATGTGGATGGACGCAGTACTATTTCTCGACCCATGGTTGCAGGCGATCGGGTTGCTGCTTTGTGGACGGTGCTTTCGACAAGTTCGCTCGGGCAGCAGCTTGTTGCCGCGCTTTGAGGTTGAAGAAGTCAGCCATTGTGTGCGACTGCGTAGTGTCAAGATGTTGCGGGACCAGATGGCAGGAGCTAAAGTGCAACGCGCGACGCGCGACGCGACTGGCAAGCGCGCGTTCACGTTCAGGGCACGGTCCGCCAATGACAGCATCACACCAAAAGTCGCTTCTCAAAGTCGACACATTTGTCCTTCAATTGTGCAGACCTAGAATGCTACCTGCTTATTGGAAACCTCCTCCTACGCCAACCCATGCTTTGTTCGTAATGCCAGTCTATTCACCCGCACCACATGCAGACAATCGTTCGGTAAGATCTACACACCAGAAGCTTCAACCCGAGGAAAGCCCTACTTTCCCCTCAAGTTACTAGCCTTCAATCGCTTAGCCAGTTGTACAGAATCGGAGTCGGAGCCGTTAGAGGGCTGTCGCGCAAGGTTGCGGTGAGCTACCCCCCTACTGGCGGAATGCGGAGCAGAAGAAGACGAAGGTGAGGTGTAATGAGATCGTTTAGGGGGGCGCTCACCGCTTTCTTTGAGAACCGTTAATAACGTCGCCCACCCTCCGGTGTGCTGGAGTGCTGAGCCTTCTGATGGGTCGTGTGCCGATGCAACTTTGAAGAGAAGAGACTCTTCGTCCTGTGCCGTGCGTTAGAACAAAGCAAATTCCTGTCACATCAAACGTACCTTCGACAAAATGCCGAGATTGTGAACGAAGCTAAGCAGATGAAAGTTCGAAATGGCGTTGAGACCACTTGTTGTGTTCAGCGCAAGTCCGTTGGCCTTCGCGTTGAGCACCTTGCTCAGTGCCGACACATCTGCCATCTCGCCCATGATCTCGCGGTTCTCGATCGGGAACTTGCCACCTGTGAACAGGGGGTTGGGTTGTGTAGGGAAGCCGTGTGTTAGCGTGAGTAGCAGATATTCGACAGGAAAGTCAGGCTTCGCATTCTCCTGCACATTTGCACCGTGCTCGTTGATCCGTCGGTAGAATACTTCAGGGATGTATCGTGCTCGATTCAGAGTTTCGTTGTCCGCTTCATCTTGTACCAGCATCACGGAAGGCTCAGCTGACGGCTCGATGATGTCTGCACGCGCCATCTCTACCGCTGCGTTCGACGCCTGGTATGACGAGATGCCAATTTGCCCCTCTGCATCTCCGCTGATAACGCAAGTGACGAAGTTCGACCCAAACTGACCAGTCTCACTCCACTTCGAAGGTCGTGGGTGTCTGGCTTGGTACCGTGCCGCAAATGTGATTTCCAAAGAGGACAGAAAGTATGAATCTGCGTGACGTTTGCAGATGACCGATCCATCGCCCTTATCTGCATCCAGAAGATCTGTGAATATGACGCCGACCTTTTGCAGCCCGCACTGTGCAGCAATATCATCGATGTCCTTCTCGTTATCCCAGTCGCTCAGCGAGATGCCGTCTAGCTCATTCACTTGTGGTGGCTCGTAGATCGTTTCTACTATGGCCTTTGTCCCCAGCGGCACCTCTGTGTACTCCTCATATCGGCCGTATAAGAAGCCTAGTCGCTGACAGCCTGTGTTTCGCCAGAAGTTGATGAGATCATCTACAACTTGCGTCGACGCGAACTCCACGTGGTCAACCATGCGGTATTCCTGTGGCTTGAGCGAAATGGCACTGGGCTGACACTTTGTGCAAATTCCGTCGGGGAACGGCTTGTGGCCGGACGGGCAGTCTGGTCGTACGCGATAGTATGGTTCGTTGAGTGGCGGGATGTAAGAGCTTCCGAGTTCCGGCCTGTTCTTTGCAGAATTAACCTTGCGCAGATACGAGTGGAACGAGAGGTGCTTGATCTTCTTTTCGGCTAGGTATGCTGCATCGTACGGCTCTACAGGCATACAGTAATCGCACATGCCTTTCGGCCCATGTGTGCACATCCTGACATCGCGCTTGCGCGAGATTTTGCCGTCCAGCCTGTCGAGCCGGTCATCGAGTGGTGATTGCTTAACTACTTCCCACGGGTTCTTGATCAGCTGTGTATGGCCGCCGAGGGGCACAGAGGGTAAGTCAGACTGCTCGACAGCTTTGCCGTTCAGGCGGGCAGCGCCTGAAGGGACTGTAGGTGCACCGTTTGATGTCGCGGACTGCTCGTCGAAGGTCAGGAAGAGTTGTGCGCCATGTCTGTGAATGTGTCAGACGCGATGGCGATTTAGAGCTAGCTACCTACGATAGTCCCACTTGCTCGAAAGTCACGCCTTGGAGCGAAGAAAGCTTCCTGGCATCTCCTCCCTGAGGCTTATTGCTAACGGCGACACTCGCAAGGTCAGCACTCTTTGGTAGTTTCTCCGCCACCTGAGGCAATATATCTGTAAAGGTCGTCGTGGGCTCCACGGTGAGGCGGAACTGGCCCTCTTTGCTCACGAATCGGAGAATCATGACGTGTTTTGTCGGGGCAGGTTGAAGTAGAGAGGTGAGGGGCTGACTGTGAATATACAGCTGAGAGGAAAGTGCGGTGGAGGTGGTTAGGTGGCAGCGTTCGTTACCATGCGCGCTCGAAGCTCCCGGAACTTAGTCGTCATTGCCTTAGTGCTTAAGCCCGGCGGACAGGGATGTCCCGCCGCAGCTCTAGCGCGCTTGGTGAACGATTATCTGGCATCATTCACATCACAAAACATTCACACTCACCGTCCGGACCTTTCTTACAGTCGCTCTTTTACCTCCAGTCGGTCTGCGCAGGGATTTTCACCACCCAAGGGGAAATTGCAACATACCGCCCGCACGTAACTGAGCAAGTCTGCCCTGCAGCCCGCTACCAGAATGTGGCCCTTTGACGCCGTCGACTGGCTTATGCTCCTGATCCCCTTCGCCTACCTCTTCATCCTGATCGGCTCGCTCACAGTCTTCTCATCGCTATATCGCAAGCGTCAAGCAGCCGCCGCGTCCTCCCTGGAGCCATGGTTCCCACAGCACATCCAGCGCAACATCTACCTGTCGCTGCTGCACCAGGAAGACCCTAAAGTCCCGGACAGCATTCTGAAGGCTGCGCTCCTGCGCCGCGCAACAGAAGACATCCACCGCATTGTCCAGATCAGGAACGCGAAACAGGCACTCCAAGTTCTTCTGCAGCGAGGCAGCGTTGGCGACGATCTGTGGAAGCGATTTGAGCGTGCCGAGAAGGAAATTGAGGAGGAGCTCAGAGACGTTGTGCAAGAGGTGAGCCACTGACAGCGCAACACATGACATCTCAAGAGTCCTGCTGACACAACTCAGGCCAACGCGTTCGCGCCCAACTGGGGCCAGACCATCTTCCAGTCCGCCTCTGAAATGGCCCAGAACAACCACATCCGCGAGCGTCTAGACGAGATTCTCGCCAAAGCGCCCAAGGAATCGCAGTGGTGGACCAGTCGCCGCGCTGAGATCCAGAGCTCTTTCATGAAGGAGCTGGACGAGGAGCAAATTAGAAGTCGCGAGGGTAGCGTTGCAGGGACAGGGAGCGTTGTCGGCACCCCTGCAGCTAGTGTTGCGGGGAGTGTGATGGGCGATGATGCGGTCATGGTCGAGAGCCCAAGTGGAAAGAAGAAGAAGAAGGGCAAGAAATAAGTGAATGCTTGACATCGTGGTGGGAGCCTGGAGGATCGACTGGAGTGATGTGACATTGTGAGGACAGACGGAGGGTGTTTATTATACGCATTGCATGCCTGGCGTTAGGTGTTGGCAGGGCCACGATATGATACTCTTCTAGGATAGCATCGAGGAGATACGTCTTCCGATTAAGGCAACGCCGATTCAGCTTCAGACTTGACACATCTTTCGCTCTCGAGAGTCAAAGGGCATGGAGGTCAACTTAGTGTTCATGTGGTGAATTGCAGTGCTACAACGCCGTTCCCATATTGACCCAAACTCAGCCAATCTCATCGTACAAGCTCGTCTCGCTGTCTAATAAAATGGCGGTGCCTAGCACCAGATATACAGTTCCTCTGCTCTTCTTCATCTCCCAACACCTCTTCACCTCCTCACCATTGCAACTTCCTCTACTTCCTGACTGGTCCACTGACACCGGCACCGATAACGCTCGGCAGCTCTTCGCTACCAATTGAGTACATCATACCGATGATGGTCGAAATCAGGAAAGCCAGCATAACACCGGTACCAACGAACAGCCAGAAGGGGATCGAGATGTCCTTCTTCTGGCATGCAGGGCCAGCCCAGTCGGTAACCTTTCGGCTCTTGCCCTCACCAATGATGGTGGGCGAGCAAGCACAGCCGTATCGGTCCTGCTGAGTCTTACCCTGGGCCTTGTGCAGCAACTTGCACTCACCGTGGCCAGAGCAATTTAGCGTTGTTTTCTCGCAAGAGGCGAGGGTGTTGAAGAAGGGTGGCAAGATGCCGTGAACAGTACCGTTGCTCTTCTTTGCTGAGGTGAAAACGGGGAAGTCCTCAAGATCTGAATAGTCGGCCTTGGGCGAGGTGGATGGCTCGGGTGTGAAAGAGAGGAGCGCCTCGGAATTCTGACGGTTGCCACGCGCGTCGACGGAGGGCATGCCATAGTTGCCGTAGGGGGAGACAACACGGCGCTTCGAGTTGCCAGAAGAAGATGGCATAGTGACAACAGTAATGTCAAGACCGCGCTCAGCGAGGCCAGGAAGAGTGTACTGAAGAATGTTGCTTTCGATGTCGTCGTTCTTGTTGGCGCGGAAGATGGTCAAGTACTCGTTGTGGAGCGTAGTCCTCTTCAGTGCAGACAACGCGGAATCAGCATCGATGCCTGCTGAGTATGTCTTCGCCTGAGGATCAGCGTGCTTTGGCAGGGACTCGGCCTGTGTTGCAAAGTCCTCGATAAGGCGGTCATTGTCTGCCGAAGGCGGGGGGGTTGAGATGTCGAAGGATGTCGTGGAAACATCGCGCAGTTCTGCATACGTGTTAATCGTCGGCCATGCGAACGAGACGGCTGGGCCTACTGGCAACAAGACTCTCCTCGGCATCCTCTAGCCATACGAGCAATCGGGCCCGTGATGCATCCGCGTCCTCACCAAACAGCTTCTGCTGTCTCCCTCCATGCGTGTTGATGTCCTTGATCGCCTGGGCATCGGCGTCTTTGATCGAGTGGAATCGCGAGAGACCAAGGCGCTGGGCGAGGATCAGTCGAGCTGTTTCAGGGTCGATGGGCGATGACGCTGGGGCGGCGTGGTTCTTGGTGCCGTCGAAGGTGAAGACATGGCCGTGCTTCGCTGCTGCAGCGGCGCAGTACAGCGAGGAGGCGACGAGGCCCCAGGACAGTTTCATTGTGGCGGGGTGATGGGGTTGGGATGCGTGCAGCTGCGGCGATGATGCAGTCGGTGTCGTTCGTCGCAGCTTCCAAGCAGGCCCGTCCGTGCGTCCAGAGGCGTTCACCTGCTCTGATTCGCCGTCACCGATTCACCATCGCCCAACCGTACGAACTGCGCCGCGCAAAATATCATATTGATACAGGAACACCACTTATCGCTACAGCCTGACGAACGTCACGCCTGGCCCGCCCGCCTCATGTCTCACCACGTCGCCTCCCATCCCTTATAACGCCTGCTGCCTCCCCGCACATCGCCGCCATGTTCAAGGCTCAAGTGCTGCGGCGGAGCTTCTCCGTCTTCAACCGAGTGCCGACCTCAAGAATAGTACAGTCCGCCGCACGCGACGGTCACGAAAGCATAACGATACACCGAGTTCGAATACAGAAGCCCTTCCTCAGCAAGCAGCGACTCGTTGGCGCAGTGGCTATTGCTACAGCCACGTACGGGCTTGGACAGTACCTCGGCCTCGAAGTAGAGATTGAAGAGCGAGAAGTGGAAGATAAGAAGCCAGGGCGTTGGAAAAAACAGGTGCGCAAGGAAGACGGCACCCTGGAGGAGGTAGACGATGAAGAGGCAAATGAGATCGGAGAGGCCGAAGAGGAAGACGAGGAGGACGAGGACGAAGAAGAGTACGACGAGGCTGTCTTGTTCTTTCCCACAGGACTTTCAAGGAGGAAACCAACAACACTCTACAAAGGCTCAGACCCAGAATGGCAAGAGTTTAAAAAAGTCAGCCAAGACAAAGCGAGGGTCGAGAGGATACGGCAAAATTTAGTGGATTTGGTCCGGACGGCATTCAGTGCACCAGCATACGCTGCTAAGATCGGAGAGGTCGATCACAAGAAGGGACGGGTATGGATTGAGTTCAAGTTCCCACCTGGACCACCTCCCGAGTACGAGCGTCCGGGCTACGAGCTGACCGAAGACCTGGAGTGGCGGAAAACCACCCGAGATGTCGAGCCAGTCCATCATCACCGACTCCACAAGCTGCTTCGGCCCAGCGCAGCTGCTGGTGCGTTGTACGAAGACACAAAGAGAAAAGCAGAGCGGACGTGGAACGACATTGCTGTGTATATAGGATGGGCAGAAAAGACCGAGCATCTTACACAAATGACGCAGCAGGTCGCGACCCCGTCGCCGTCAACGGGTTCTGCGGCATCCTCTGCCACCGCCGCCACTGCCTCTCCGTTTGGCCCTTCGTTGCCTGCAGCTACACAGCAGCCAACGTCACCCTCATCTTCTTCTGCAGCTGGCTCTGAAAAGGAAGTGAGCTTTGCTCTCCCAGATCCCAAGGCGCTTACACTTGATCTTGGGCAATTCCGACAGGACTTTCAAAAGGCGAACCGGATCGTCGTCCAGAATGTACCACGTGGTGCGTTCGGAGTACATGCGCTGGTCGAAGTGCATGGGAGCAAAGCACGTTTGACATTGAATGTAGTTGGTGTATACGATCCGAAGATCAGCCAGTATGTCGGGTTCTCGATTCACGTCTGGAACATGACGCCTCACCGACAGTGGCCCGGCGGAGGCTCTTAGTGGCGGAAATGGATTGGAAGTGCATCAATGGCGTATATGGTTTTAAGCGTACATGTTTAGTCAAGTGATATCATGCGGCAAGCACGTCCGGCGTTTTGGCATTCATGGCGGCTGAATCTCTTCTCTGTCACGTACTCGCGGCCACCTTTTCCGGGCCTTTAGACAGTTCACCCGTCTCTTCTCTATCAAATGTCAAGAGTAAACATACTTACTATCCTGTGCCATATTGTTTACCCACCCTTCCAACAGTGCCAGATCCACGTAACACTATGCACTTACTCCTCCTACCCAATATAGTTGCCTAGATTACCGATGTCCTGCAGTAAGCCTCTCTGCGCTATTCATCACGCCAGGCATCTATCTGGAGGCGAGAGCTTTGGACAGAAGCCATGTCAAAGATTTATACAGAATTCGGCTCCTGTTTTGTGTCCTGTCCGTGCAGGCTCAGAAGCGTGATGGAACTCTCCTCTACTTTCGATCCGGTTCTTCTCACAAAACAACACTGCTTGTGTCTTCTTGTTTAGATATATACGAGAGACTTCCATGGTGTCCTTGCTTCAAGTGAGGGACATTTCAATCTTTTGGACGAAGACAGCGATCTTAAATGTACTTCCTCAAGCCAGTACTGACAATAGGTTTGCAAGACAACTCACTACAGCATCATGTTCTGTGTCATTGTAAGCACCGCCAAGATGATCTTTCGTTGCTCATGTCTTCGACTCGGAGTTTCTTCCATCTCTGTCGGATTTGACTGGATCTTTGCTCTCGCACAGTTCAAAGACTGCACACAGCACATGCGGGTGTCCCGAAGTAAACAAGATGACTAGACTGACGCCTCGATATGATCTTTACTCTGCAAACCTAATTGTGAAGAATAACACCAAAATCGACACGTATACGCCTCATGCATGTAGCCCACTAACAACTACGTTTGAGGTGGAAATGTTAGGTGTTTGCTCTTACACGGCTCAGTAACAGAAACGGTTGAGAAAGCGGCAATTATCGAGATATTGCAGCAGCAATATGACATGAAATTGGTCTAAAGGTGAAAAAATGTGTAAACTCATTTCGAGACAAGGATACGAGATATCAGAGACCACACCATCACAACGACGCTATAAGGAGAGTGAAAACAAAATCGTATCGGTCGCATATTACTAGTAACTACGGACTTGCAGTCAACAGGGCAATCTTAGTCGCGCCTGCCACGTGCTGTCGCCGATGGAGCTGCAAGGTAAGGCTGCTTGCACGAGTACATCCATACCACATATAAGTTGTACCAGGCGGATGACAAGTCTGACGCTCATACCAGCCGATGCGCCCGGATTCATGCCGAGTCTGCATCAGTACACTTGTAGCGAGCCCGTGTGATGCTCTGGGTCTGTTCGCCTCATTTGTTGTGCCAAACCAACGTTCGCAGCGAGTCCCAATGATCCGACTGTACATAACTGTCACAAATTAGCAAACTTGAATCGCCTGAATGGGAAGATACCCACATGTAACTCATGCTGCTCCTCAAACTGCTCTGTACAGTCTCTGGATGCCACCTGAACAGATACATAACCATAGCCCAGCTCAAACTCGCAAAGGCTGGCCATCCATTGCGGATCAGAATCCTCCGCATCTCTCCGTCTCCGAACAGCTCCCACCCACCTGCTCCGCCTGGAGTCCCAGCAACATGTCTCGGCTGCACAGCGAGTTTCGCCAGCGCCAGCGCCACTCGTGCAAATACGTATATGACGATCTGTTGAGAGACAGAGTTATGTATTGTGCGCCCGAAGACTGTGTAGCCGCCGAGCAGGCCGGCGAGGAACGAGTCGTAGTGGCGCTCCTTGCCTGTGGGAGAGGTATGGCGGAGGAAGAGCATAGTGGTCTTGTAGGTGAGGGCGAAAAGGCCGAGATTACGGGCATGCTGCCGTGTGGCTTTGTAGACAAGCCAGCATTTTGAGCGTATTCTGTTGACGTTAGTTCAAGATGAAGGGTCGCAGTGATCGAGGCGGTACGTACGTTCCCGAGCGGAAGAGGAAGATCATCCTTAAGTTTAATTAGCTTTCTGAAACCGAGGTTTACATCGTAGAAGGCGTACACAAGTGCGTGCGGGAAGCGCACTTTGGCGCCGTAAACGATGCCATTCCGTACACCTTTTACCAGTGTAAGGATGTCGTGGTACTTTGGGTCAAGAATAATTTTCTCCAGCGCAGACTATGAGAAGTCAGTGTACGTCTCTTGTAAGGTTCTGCACGCTTCCGCACTTCGAGTGCATGTAACTTGTCCATGTCGCGTTGCGGTATCTGAAGCCTCGGTACCAGGAAATGATGCGCCGCGAAAGTTTCCTTCTTCAAACTTGCTGTCGGCAGTATTGTCGAGGTTGAGAGGCGCGACAATGAAGGGAACAGTAGAAGCGTGAAATGTGGTACATTCGATCGAGTCGCAAGCCTGAGTGAACCAGCCGGCTATCGAGCTGGGTGCAGTCGATGGGCGTTTGGCCTCGGCATAGCGTCACATTATCGGCGAAAGCTTAGCGCGATCTGGGGCTTCCAACGTGGGGAAAGTGACAGGGGTTGTTGGCATGTGAGATTGCGATGCACGTTCACATGCTCGTGCTGGCAAACCGATGAAATCAAAGGCGATTTTTAGGAAAGTACACAATCTGTATGGCCTCGAGTATGTGAAGATTATATCATATCACTCTACATGACGCTCTTTTGAACCCCGACCAACGCCGTAGCTACCCAATGCTTCTATAGGGTATCGCGCAACAATGAACAATTCGTTACGCCCAAGATGATACTGAATGCTCCCTCAATCCATCCGCCTCTCTGGCCAGTGCTTCTTTAGCTCCTCGTATATGGTGAAGATGAATGCCGAGCTAGGAATTGACCGCGCGACGGTGATGCCGCATCCGCGATACATGCCCTTGATACCGTGGTCCTTCCACAATGCTTTCCCAACTGCGCCAAAGGTGGAACGGCCACCCGTCAATTTCCCTACATCTTCTGTCTGCATGCGCGACTTAATGGTGTCTGCAGGGTAGAACGCAAAGTTGTACGCCGCGCCAGCAATGGACCCGGCTGTCATACGTTGATAGATCGGAAGATCATCGTTGGTAGATCCGTTCATCTTCTTGAAGATGATCTTCATGCCCTCATATCCACCGAACCACGCTGCACCGCCACCAGTCTCACGAATCAAGGTTCCAAGCTGGCCGTGCCAGTAGCCAAGGATTCCCTGGTGTCGATATACCGAGACGATGCTGCTGAGCACGGTAGGGCGAGCAACGATACCCCCAGGTGTCTCTACTGGTACCTGCACCTTGCATTTGACGAGCTCAATAGGCGTGAGGAAGAGCGAAGTGATGGCCCCAGCGACCATACCACAGCCGAGCATCGCAGGATAGGGTAGGTCTTGATCGGGATTTCTCTTTAGCTCGGGATAGAATCCAGATGCTTTCAGGGTGTCTCCGGCAACTCGGTACTGCAACATGGTTAGCCGAATGCGCATAAGTTGCTCATCCAATGTGAAGCCTTACACTGAAGAACAGGGTACTTGTCTCAACAGCAGCACCGACCAGCGGCGCACTTATGCCCCTGTATATGCCAATGAACCCATCTCGCTGTAGGGATTGCTTGAAGCAATCCAAGGGCCCATTGTACCGCAGAGGGACAGTGTCTGGCTGTGACTGCAGGCGGACCTTGACTGTGTCGAATGGGTACTCAATGTATTTGCCAACAATGCCAGCGACTGAACCGCACACAACGTCTTTCAACGCCTCTTCCCCTTGCCCGCCGGTGTTTGCGACGGCTGTGGGACGTGTCTCTTCCACAATGACTGGTTTGGTCAATCCACCTCTTGCCCCCACCACCGATACCGGACTCTCGCGCAGTTCCATGGGGTTGTGCTGGTACTCTCGATTCGAATGTATGTTGAATATGCACAAGATGTAGCGGTCAATGTCTGGTCATGAAGCAGTGAACATGGTACACTAAACAGAGCAGCGATTGTAGGTGGTGAGGAGGGCGAGAGGTGTTCGCTCAAGCTGTTGGGCCCATAAGGGCAGGCGCGATATTATATGATTTGGCGAGTGCGGAAGGAGCCGTGGGCACGACGTAGCACACGGCGGCTAAGGTCTCGAGTACGCAGTGGACCGCGGGGTGGGTTCTGTAACGGGGTGTTGGTGAACGCACCCAAGGCAATCGGGGCCCGATATTGTACAAATGTGCAGAGGTGTGACGAAATTTTCAGCTAGTCTTGTGAGAACCCTGCATACGTACGACGAGCTGCAAAGGGCGGAAATGCCGCACAGTGCGTGGGAAGCTGAGATACGTAGTGCGAAAGACTAGAGCGCCGACGACCAAATGGCTCATATGAATTCCCAGCCCTGTGCCTTTTGATCTGATAACGAGTTATCTGATCTTTGGCTTTGCCAAAATCAACTGATCCTTGGATTGACCCACCAAACGGAGCGACACAAACACAGCCTAGTGCACCACTAGCGTCGTACCTATCGATACCGGCTCAGATTATTTTCGCTGGGGCGCGTTCGAGACTTTGGGGTCGCGAATGTGGATGCAACACCACCGAACATCACCAATACTACGCCCAACATGTCTGAAGTAGCAACAGAGGCGACCGCTGCGCCGGCTACGGCTGCCGTCAAGGGAATGAAGAAGAACGGTATGTAGCACCAGGCGTGACCTGAGTATCACAAGAGACTCAACGCATATCAGGCAAGCAGTGGCACGACAACAAGAGAGCCTTTCGGCCCCGCGCGAACCAGACCTCATGGGATAAACGTACAGCGGATAGGAAAGCACTAGCTGCTGTCAAATCCAAGGAGAAGGAGTTGAAGGACGAGAAAGCGGCTACAAAGCAGGCGCAGGTTGACCGGATCCGGGAAAAGCGCGCCGCGAAGGAGGAGCGAGAGCGGTTCCAGAAGATGGAGGAGAAGATGCACAAGAAGCGCGTCGAGCGCCTGAAGAGGAGAGAGAAGCGCAATGCCATGTTGAAGTCGTGAGGTGTTGTTGCAAGATGCGCGCAGACACAACAGACTTTCTGCGATCTTGGATGGGGTGGATCAAGTGGACGCGAAGGCGCTGCCTATTTTGCTACCTTCAGCACGGAGAAGCGCCAAAATAAGAGGATGCAGCGATACTAGGAGCAGGGCCATTGGGAGTCTGCCCGGGCGCGTTGAGCATGCATTGTGTACGGCGTTCTAGGGATTCATTTGCACAGAGGGGCCACATCAGAAACGCCACGCTGGCGCGTCACAGCACAGCGTTATGCAGTGCTTGCGAATACTATGTATACACGATAACTGAGGCGGTAACGGTGCGTCTGCGAGGCCCTGTTGCGGACGTGCTTCAATATGCCAGTGCGTTTGGTGAGCCACGTCGTTGTCACTCCTGCGCTCGCTTGGCGCAAGCTCAGGGTTCAGTGACGCAGCCGCGGCTCCTCCGTGCCTCATGCTCCTATCAACCCTCACCACTAACATGTCCACATGGATAACCTCTATCTGCACTCAGGTTACTCCAGGCCTCTGCGTCCCAATTTTTACGACCGCGACTCTCGACCGTCCATTCGTGTGAGCTCCGATCCGGATGCCAGTAGCCGGCGACCTCATCTGCACAAGCACAAGTCGTCGCATCGTCACCACCATCACCATGACGAGCACCGCCGCCATAGCTCCACGCGCCACCATGCCAAAGAAGTCGTGGCGTCTGCGCTGCAGCCCCCGACGAGCTTTGGAGATCTCCTGAAGCAGGCAAGAGGCAGTAAAAACAGCTCACCAAGTCACAGTCGCAGTCGCAGTCGCAGTCGACGACAAAGTCCGAACAGGGGAGAGGCCGGCAAGCAACAGATGGTGAGTGGCGATACTGGCCTTACCATACCGCCGCCAAGACCACTGCGGCGGGAGGAAATAGAACGAGAGGCAAAGAGGGTGGAAGTAAGGGAAAGGTGCGCATCACATAGGTCATTCACAGCTGCCAGGAATAACACGATGATAGAGAACTCCGCAACGCCCTACAATCCCTTTCAGATCAATCGCTCAAGGCCTCTCGCCGCCTCGATGATACTTACTATTCGATTCTCGAAAAAGTCTCCACGCTACGCCAGACTATTGGCACATTACAAGAGCTCTCTGGTCTTACGAAAGAACTCCACCGCAACTTTGAGACCGATGCTCAAGACCTCCTTGATGACGTGAAGGGACAGTTCGAGGGCTCAAACACCTTTGATGCACAGCAACACCAAGTTACGGCGTTGGAAGAAAGAATCAACGCGGGCAAGCAGAAGGCAGACGCGCTCACTGCAAGGTTGGTGGAAGCGAAAGACAGAGTTGATAGAAGGGCGAGGAGCGAGGCTCAGTGGGAGGCTAGCACAAACCGTTCGTTTTTGGCTTTCATATCGAGATGCGCATGCTAACGATGTATGTAGGTTGGTGGCGATGGTTTGGTGGCGTAGTAGTCTCGATCATCTCGCTCATCGTCATCTTGGTGGTTCTCCACCATCTGAAACCCATCCATGTGGAAACAAAACCGAAGCCCGCCCTTGACTCTGCTGTCAAGGCCAAGATCCTGGAAGCGCCAATACCGAAGATGGCAAAGGAGGACATTCTGGAGCTAGCAACGTCAGTCCCCACCGTTCGGCTGCAAACGCCATCCGCTAAGTCGTCTGCTGGGCTGGACGATCGGCTGCTGCGTAAGTTCGATGAGCTGTAATTTTCTTGTTGATCGCACATAAGATACCCTAGACAATGTCACCTGCACTTCATCCTTGTTAAGCCACTGTACGCCAAGTTACCTGCCGATCAACCTGCCGCCCGTCAGGTGGATACGAGTGCAGCTCCGGAGAATATGAACAATGATCTGTTACGCCCAACGTGCAGTTTGCAGCCACGAAGTATCACATGGAATCACGCATCCAATCACAATCGAGCCGTAAAGCCGAGGTGCTTGCAGCGGTCTCGTTCAAGCAATCCACCCTTGCATAAGGCTGCACGTCGGATCAAGTACCCAAATGAAACGGCTGACCGGAAGGTCAATTGCCTCCTCGATATGTGAAATACTCGCCCACCGGTGACCTGGTTCGAGCAAATCTCTCCGCAATCTGAGTGTCGGGGGGTTCCGAGGTGGGATGTGAGGTGTCAATGTGGGGTAAGCAGATATCGGCTGGTGTAAGTTTTGACGTATAAGGCTGAGACGGCTCGTGGGGTCGTGCCGCTCCTCCAATAGGGCTGAACTTACATCGTTATTTGACAACGCGGAACACGTGGATCAGGACAGCTATCCGTATCCTCTCAAGGTTGCCAGCGGCTGTAGACGGTTGTACATCCAGCGCTTAGGCGAGGTATACGGCGTGTATAGACGCCGCTGCCGGTGGCTATAAAGTTCAATGATCGACCCATAGGAGACCTGGGCAGCGATGACGAATGTTACCCTGGCGTGAGACTTGTCGTGAGTCAAGACCTCAGAGCCAATGAAGCTTGAACTGAGCAGGATCGGAGAGCAATTGGCGAATGAGCTGTGGCTCTGCAGGTCTGCAGGCAACTGTGAGCTGTCTTTCCCTTCCGTTCAGGGTCACGGTCACAGGATACTGTGCGTTGCTTCATACCCCTCTTCTACAAAGGACATAAAGCTAGAAAAACAGTCATCGTCTAATTGATTACCCTCTTGACAGACTTTCCTTGCCCTGGAGCATCTTGACATCTTGTACGCATTGATCTTGCATTGGCTTATCAGCCCTACCAAACACTGAAACGGTTCCTTTGCCTTTCTAGGATAACCTGGGAAGCCATTGGCGTTTGTGCGTACTGATCTTTCTTCTTCAGGTAAGTCACAGCTTGCCACATGTCTCTTTGTTTGTGTTATGCCCAGCAGTAGCCTGAAGCCGACACGGATGGCCAGTTACTGACTATTTCCAGTCATATCACAATGGATCAAAGTTACGACTCCATCGTGTCCATGGGCGAATACAGGCCCATGGTAGTGTCTCCCAACATGTCACCGCAACGGAACGAGACCATCTGTGGTTGCCATTGCGGATGTGGCTGTGGTTGTGCTGGCGACGGTGACGAGAGCGAGCGGCTGAGCGACAGCGTGACAGCGATCGGCTCGAGCGAGTCTGAGGATGGAGAGGATCCTGCGCCTGCCCAGTATACACCAGACCATGGCGTCGATAGTGAGAACCCTAGTCGCCCAAATCCTGGGGTCTTGTCACCGCGTGCCATGTCGCATCAGGTCATCGTTTGGCTTCTGGAGAGACCCGAAATCCTACAATTCAGCGAGACGTTGCTGGGCCGGGATCGAATTTCCGCTTCTTCACTGCTCTACAACGGCGACGAAGGCAGGACAGTGAGCCCTCTTGATGAGCCCTACAGTGTGGAAACCCTAAGCAGCGTAGGCACTGGTCGAGGAAACGTGCAAATAATATCTCCGGGTCCCGGAATCGGTGGATGGTTGCATGTAGTTCCGGAGAGAACTCGCGTTGAACACAGTCAACGCGTCTACATTCTGACACCTCTTCGGCTGAGCGCAGAATACCAGCATGCGCGTGGGAAGGTGGTCGAGCACATGCTCATACCAGATGAAGAATACGCCCCAAGAGTCTAGAGCAAGATTGGATTGTCTCATGGTGGTTCTCGTTGCATGGCGTTGGCGGTGGATTGTACTCCAGTATTACTTACATATCCGTTTCATGTTTGGCGTTGGTGGGAGACTGGCAGATTGTGTGGAACAAAATGAACAAGGGTTCTAGCATCTAGTCTATGTAAGCTGTGGTTAGTCAATATACTTGCTCACTATCACCCAAGTGTTCCTTTTTGACAAGCGATTACTTGAGGTGCATACAGGCGCGAACAGTCTCCTGAAAATAGCGGCGTAGGAGGATGTTTAAAGCGCATTCCTCCCCGCCCGTGCGTGTCCCGTGAGCATACAATGCATGCGCTAACGTTGGGGGGACCCGAGTTCATGGTCAAACGAAGTACTGCAGGCGATGTGGTGGTCGCTGCCAGGTAGGAGCAATCCCACTCCCGCGGGAAGAACGCGCCGCGGGTGCACTTTCGCTGTATGTGGGGGTGGCGCGCACGGTAACCCACAACAACCCTATTTCACCCGCACTCCGTAATCGCGAGCTTTGCTCGTCAATGTGCAAGTGGTACAACCATGCAGCCCGATGTTGAGGCGTTGCCTAGAGCGGAAGTTGGGCGCCGCGGCTTTTTGTTCTAGGTTTCGTACCGCGGGCCCGACGCTGGCTCCTGCTGCTGAGCATTGCGTGTCGTTTAAAGCTGATGGCTGTGTGTCGATATCGCAGGTGGCTTCGTAGATAGGGGCTCTGGCTGCGCGAACGGAGTGCAGTGTCTAGGAGAGCTACACAACCAGAGCCAGTCGAGGCAAGTGCGGAGCTGCAGCAGCGCATTCGCAGATCCCCCAAGAGGATTTCTCCAACATTTCGAGTCTCCAGGAATATCGGACTGGAGTCGTTGCCACGGACCCACAAGACCAACTGCTTGTTTCGACGAGTCAGGCGCTAGTCATCTTGATGCCTGCTGATTGTGGCTTCGTGTGCGTTCGTGACTCTGTGGTGCGGCCTTTGAGCGGTGCAGTGCCTCTCACGCAGGCTAACTCTTATTGAAGGTACGTATGCAGCTTAGAGGGTCTCACCTCGAGACATGTCCTTTGCTGGTTCATTGAAGCAACACACATTGCACTTGCGGTGAGCAAGCATTGATTGTCCAATCTTGGCCCATTGACACCTCACTGGGCCCGTCCGCGGATCGTTCGAGATCTGATCCCAGCGCAATCCCTTGGCTCAACAAGAAGCACCACCAGCTCATATTTGTCCAGACTGTATAGTGGCACCACAGCCGCACTCCTCCACAAAGAAAACCACGGGCCCCCCAGCCTCAGCGGCGAAGACTCACATTCCACCTCCACGTTCATTTCACACTTGCGGTTCTCTCGGATACTCTCCACGTTCGCTCCACCTTAGCTACGTCATTCTGTTGCTGCACGTCAAAACCATAGCTCGACACCGTCCGATCTCACATGTTTCCGAAGTTCAGCTCGTTAAAAGGCCTTCTGCAGTGCGAATTCGAGAAGTCTTTGGCCGTGCGGTTATTCTCTTTCGAGGACTGGTGAGCTTTGGTCGAATTGGCATGTGAATGCGCTCTGACATCCTCACAGGTACATCCCCGATCTCTGAATACTCGATACAGCCTATTTCAACCGTCGAACACGCGACCGCACTATTGCCGGCACAACAAGGACGTGTCTATTGCGCAGGTTATATGCAGGTTCGGTGGGAAGACTGAGACACAGCGTGCGCCGTCCCGAAAATCACACATCGCACAGCATTTGGATTGCATGCACTTTGCAGGAGATCGTTGCACGCTCCCGTAAATACCCGAATTTTGGGCGTCCCCGCATCGAGAGTGCGCACCCGCACGTCAAACGTGCAGCCCTGGCGTGACACTAGTCTACCCGTGCGACCGACGGCATCGCTGCGATTGGCAACACCTCACACGTCAGCCAAACCAAGCTCTAAGAACGTATAAGGGCACCATACCACTTTCGCGCCCAGGCTGTTTACATCATGGCGTCTGATGCTCCCCCAAGACGCTTCAAAGTAGAGCCTCTCGAGACCACTACATCAAGCTCCAAAGAACGAAAGCAAGAGTTGGATGAAGCAACGTCAATACCTGCTCGGAAGTTTGCACCTGAGCCGATTGAGACCACGACCAAGAGTAATCGCAAGTTTGCTCCAGAGCCCGTGGAGACAACGCAACGGACCAACCGTCGATTTGAACCAGAACCGATGGAAATAACGACCAAGACAAACCGACGATTTGTGCCAGAGCCGATGGAAACCACAACGAAGACTAACCGCAAGTTTGTTCCGGAGCCAGTTGAGACGACACAAAAGACAAACCGCAAGTTTGCTCCTCAGCCGATTGAGACCACACAGTCCACAAATCGCAAGTTTGTGTCCGAACCCATCGAAACCACACAGTCAACGAATCGCAAGTTCACCCCTCAGCCGATTGAAACTACACAATCAACAAATCGCAAGTTTGCTCCCAAACCCATTGAAACTTCCCAGAGAAGAGTTCGTCGGTTTGCCCCAGAGCCTGTAGAGACAACTGCAACGTCAAGCAAAAATAGTCGCCGCAAGTTTGCTAGGGAGTGGGACGAGACGACATCCCCTCGTAGATTCAAGGCCGAACCCTTGGAGACAACCTCGAGAGGCAACAGACACCCACCCAGCCCAAGAAAATTCGCACCACAGCTGATAGAGAGCGCTCAAAGATCACGCAAAGCAGGCGACAACACCCCAGCACTATTGCCATCCGACAAAACGGAGGCAACGCCTGAGAGCAAAGCCATAAGTGCTAGGAAAGCCCGGATTTTGGGCATTTCACCGTCGGCACCAAACAACACGCCAACCATCGATCTTCCACACAATCCTCTTTCTCACAACCCCCTGTTTTTAGAAATTCAGCGCTCGGAGTTACCTCCATCAAGACGAAGATCCTGGTTTTCCTGCTCACAGCACTCATTCCGCGTCCCAGATCTGGAGCCTATCGAATCTTCTGAATCAGAAGCGTCGAGTCCGCCATCGCCTACCACTTCAACCTCTGACCACTCCTTTATGTACAAGGAGGCTACACGAAGAAGAGAAAGCGTTGACGAGAGTTCTTCTGGATACATGCTTGCGCTCGCCGCTAAAGCTGCCGAAAGACAACTGCGCGAACAAGCCATGGCCGCTTTTCCCAATGACGACTTCCACGAGCCCGTCGACCATTTCATTGACCATGAGACGGATGACACTAATGCACAGGACAGACGTGGATCATCTTATAGCGAAGTCAACTGGGATCTGAAGGATATGCGAGAGTACCATGATCTCCAGGAATACGAGAAGCGAAAGTTGGAAAGGCGGACTGCTCAGCTGCAAAAGGCTGTAGTGACGACCGAGCCTGCGTTCAGTCCCTTCGGTAACCCGGCCGCTTTCCTTGATGCATCGACTACTAAGAAGCTTGCACAAGACCGTGAGGTCGAGCCGATGCGGAAAGGAGCACGTCCTCCTATGCTTGGAAAGAACATCAAGTTCCCACGATGTGCGTCCCCAGAACCAGCACGTTTTGATCCTACCCAAGGATGTGACGCAGTACGCACAGCGATGTGCTACTTGTCAGAACAAAGCAAAGCTGCTGAAGACGGGAGAGAAAGCTTGTGGTGTGGCAAAGGCAATGGCAAGCAAACAAGCACAACACCATCGCTCTGGTCCACCGCCAACAGCAGAGCGTCTAGTACCCATGGGCTGTGGGGTGGGATGTGCGTCAATAATGGTGGAGAGCAGTCGCCCCGGGGACCTACCGGTATTCTAACGCCCAGCCACGAGAAGGGAAATCCGATGTCACCAAACCCGTCCCCTGCTATGAGCATGAGTCTTTTGCCACCCACACCACCGGCATCATCGACCGACTTTGGCAATATCGACGAGAAACTTGCCATCGAACAGACCATTGAAGAGGAATTCGGTGACGACTTCGTCACTCAGGTTTATAATTACCTGTCGTTGGGTTATCCAGCTATGGCGCAGCCTTTTGACCCAGAATTGTCTAAAATCTCTGGTATCTCTGTGTCTGAGCTGAGGCAAGATGATCACCTTGAAAAGTCCTCAGGCTACATCCGTCTAGGCGAGGACGGAAACTTAAAAAATTCTGAGATAACAGAAGAGACATGCACGCGCTGGAGGGCTCTGCGCGTTTACATACAGGAATGGGCCAGGCAGCACCCTAAGATGAGCGAACAGCCTTCTGCCGAAAGCCATGGAGTTGCTGTAAGAAAAGGGAGCTGGGGACTCTGAGTCTTTGGCGCCTGGTCTGATCTACACTTGCATTTACTGGGCGATTCAGCGTGTGCTTACAGCGATCTGGCGTTTTCTACTTTTGGCGTTATCTTGCATACTGTCTCGATATTGCATGGCTTGGGTTTCAGCCGCCCAACACTGACATATAATTTGCCCACACGATAGTACAACCTGATAATCTATCTGAAGTTTGTTGTTGATGCACGATGCAATTTGAGCCAACCGATCAGAACCGCAGGTGCTTTTTGTACGCTCGAGGCATCTCAAAAGCATGCGTTCTACCTCTCAATGGCTACAGCCTACTGCAGGTAGCTCTGCTGCGGGACTACGGGCGCTATTCAACGTGCCAATGACAGAGCCCGGATCGCCGAGAGATCTGGGCTCAACTTGTGAGGCGAGGAAAGGCGAGGAAGACTCACTAGTTCCTGCGGCTCATCGTCCTGGGACCCGTGAGATAGCACAAGAGGCATAATACGCGAGGTGCCTGGGCGTTTCCCGTTGTTTCCTTATCGTGGGCTTATTCCTTTTGATCATTCATTCGCCATTACGCCCACGCCCACGCTGACGATAACGCGCACCTGAATCGTTGCCATGGATTCATACGGTTATCATTGATTCATGCGATTGTCGTTCGCATCAACAGTCGTTGCCCCTTTCGCGCACATGTGAGCTTTACATTCGCAATGATTATGTTGCAGTAATGTGAAAGCTCGAACCAACCCCGATTCTGAGCTGTATGTACGGCGATACCAACGGCACGGAGAGCTCTCCGATCGTCGCTGTAGCCTGCAGTGTCGACCGACCGTTTGATTTGAAACAGAGAGTCCCCAGAACATCATACGACTGTATCTGGAGGTAAGCTACCTCAAAAGAGACCTGCGGTCCAATAAGCTCGACGCCACCACCCGCGCATGTCGTGGTCCCTGAAGTAGGTACCTTGAACATCTTATCTCCTTCCAACCGCCACTACCACTCCCTGTCTCGGTACCCCAAGTTGTCAGGAGAGGCCTGAGTTTCGATGCAGGTGCGACTCGTAGGCGTTCTTAGCCTACACTCATGCCATCTCTTCGACGTTGTTCATGCGCTCGACTGCGCAGACCAACCAGATGACGATCTTGCCCCTTCTGCCATACCTAACGTCCGGCTGAAGGCGTGCGGGTGACATCGACGCTCCCGTCGCCCACGGTGCCAACGCGGCGGATCTCATCTCGCATTGACGGGTCGTGGGATACATACCCCATTGTGCCTCTAGGCACCGCCCCTAAGGCTCTTTGAGATCTTACCCTGGTCGTGATCATTCATACTAGGTATATTACGAGCGATCGCCTCCGGCCAATTCCTCACACGATATCGCGCACGGGTATGTACTAGTAGTCTAGAGATACGTGAGCCGTTAGGTGACCGGAGAATGGCTCGGCAAGTACTGGGGCCTGTTCGAAGGCTCATTGGGCTGTCTCACTCAAAGGTGGCCAGTTCCCTGGTGGGTGTTCATGTACTGTTTCCATTGTACTGGACTGGAGACATCGTAGATCGTTGTGGGACCCGAAACTTCTATATTTGTTTTACTGCGGCGCAGCTGCCTGCTCCAGCAGATCCACTTTGTCCAGTACATCGAGACTCAGTATTCGGGACATGGTCTCTGCTCCGCGTTCTCGATACCCTCTGTGATCGGCACTTAGTCTTGGTCCAACACTGAGATTACCCCTTTGAGGCCCTCTGCCAAAACTGCTCTCTCTTGCTAGATCGACAGCAATGGCTAATCAAGGCTTTGACGTGTCTTTCCAGCAGGAATTGGCTAGCCAATCATGGACACTATACGGCATTGGAATGTTCACGATAATCATTCGAACGTAAGTTCGCAAAGCCTACGAAGTGTCTCTATGACTTACACCGAGTTCGCAGTGTTGCACGATGGCGAAGAGTACGGAGTCCTTCACAATTGGCACTGGACGATTGGTTGATGTTGACGGCTGTACCACTATTCTACACAGGACTGATCGTCTGCTTGAACGTCATCGCACAAGGTGGAGGGAGTAATTTGTTTCCCCCAGAAGAGTTCTCCACTTTCTCGCAAAAGGACATAGAGGAGCGCATCAAGGGATCCAAGATAGTGATTGTCTCCGAACAAGTAAGTCAAGTCCCCCCTTGATTGCGTCTCAGATGATTGACAGTCCACAGTGCATGCTGAACGTGATCTGGACCCTCAAGGCTTGCATGCTGCTGATGTTTGCACGCATGACATCAGGAACGACGCACCTCAAATGGATCAAATTTGTCGCTGTGTACGTTATAGTTGGCTGGATAGCAGTGCAGATTGCCTTCTTCACAGCTTGCATACCCTTCCGTGGATACTGGGCTGTACCCGTCTCGAATCCTCAATGCACCACACTAGAGCACTTTGCAATCGTGCAAGCGTCATTCAACCTCAGCAGCGACGTCTTGATCATCGCTCTTCCTATACCAATGGTTGTGTCACTGACTCTGCCAAACAAACAGAAGCTTGGTCTGGGAGTGCTATTCAGTATGGGCACGTTTGTTGTAGGTTGAATTCTACGAAGCATCATCATCGTCCACTGACACTGCCAATAGATCATCGCTGCAATCCTCACTAAAGTCTACAATTTATCCGACGTATACGATACAGCCTACATGTTATGGTACACACGGGAAGCCTCGGTAGCTGTCTACGTAGCCAATCTACCAGGCATCTGGCCGCTGCTAAGGGAGCATATTCGCTTTCTTCGCGATCACACCAATTCATACATTACGGGACAATCTCGCATGCCACAATATGGCTATGGCTCCAACTACGGGAATTTGTCAAAGCCCCAGCGCAGTCACATACGCAGCACTATGGGAAATGTTGATTCGGATGAATTGGAACTCAAGAACTCATACATGAAGTCGGGTGCGCGGTCTATACATTCCTCTCCACACTTGCCGGGCGCGGATTCTAGATCTGGGAAGAGCAGTCTTGACAGCCAGGAGAGGGCACTCCACGGATTGGGAAGTTGGAAGGGGATGAACGTGATGGAGGTGCAGGTGGACACCAGAGTCGAGATACAAAGAGACAGCTGGGACGGGACAGCGGTTCAGGGTGTCCAAAGAACTCAGATCGAGGGAGGCAGGAAGTGATGTCTTTTTCCTGAGCTGTACTTTATTAGAGTTAATATTAAAGACGACTTTCTCCCCTGCTGATCGCAAGGTACTGATCGACTACACCAAGTCGCACGACCAAGAACCCTTTACTGCGCTTTGCTCTTCCCCACCTCAAATTGACAGTTAACGATAGCCCGGAACGGATCGTTAGTCAAGCGGGCGAACATGTGGAGTCATGGAGCCAAAGGTCCTTTTCACATTGAATGCAGCCTAGCGCACACGTGACAGCGCGAGGAGGATATCGCGTCCCTATTGGAGCGGCCACAAGCGTGGCTAAGGCGGCGTGCCTCTTTCACACAACGATGGCGCTACGGCTGCGCAGTCCTTCATGCCATAACCAGATGATCACGCAGTTCATAAAGCATCCCAAATCGACCAACTTCGACGGCGAGAACGACCGGTCTCCAAAGCGTAGGCGGACCGGTGACGTAATTAGGCCGCCGCCCACGCCACGTAGGAGTCGTAACCTCACAGCAGACGCAGGTGAATCGGACGCCGACAATGAAGATTCTATTATCAAAGAAGAAGAGAAAGATGTAAAGACAGATTTAGAGAGCGCATTGCCGCCTATCGACATTGGTGAACAAGCCATAGAGGCATATGAGGCATTCAAGGCATCTCATGAAGAAACCGCTGAGGGCGCAGAAGAGCGTCTGAAAGACCGTTCATGGGTCAGAGGGAAAAGTTCATTATACGTCGATGCGTTCAATCTAGCGCTAGACACCGTCTTGGAAGAAGAGAGCCATCTTTTTGACGAGGCTGAGACCAAAGTGTTCGAGATTTGGAGAGATTTCAACTACGAGGCTCAATACCTCTACGTACGCCTCTTCCTACGGAAGACGTCCGCATGGCATCGCATAAAGAACCTTGGATATCACAGCGATCTTTCTGATTTAGAGACAGCGGTCGAAACGCTACAACGCACGTTCAATCTGCCAGCATCGTCTGCTGAAGTCGAGATCCATCCTGGCGAGCAGGACGCGCCGATTGACACAAATTTGACGAAGGCCTTCACATTTGCGGACAGGTCCGAGGATGAGATTACAACGTTAGACGAGGCATCTTCCCTTTTGCGTCTCGACGAACTTAAGGCGTTGGCGAAAGATGCAAAGGTGCAAGGAAAGAACAAAAGGGAGCTATTGACGGCACTTCGACGAACGAGTAAGAAGCAAGCTGGCTTGGGACATGTCGGACTGAAACGGTCGGATACAGAAAGTTCTCGGCACTCCAGAACGTCGAGACAGTCTTCCGTGTCGGGCACAGCGACGCCAGAACTGGAAGATGCCGACGAGGCCAATCTTTCTGACTTGTCCGACAACGCTAACCGCGATGCGCATTTTACTCGCAAGATCATGAGTGAGACTGGGTCCTGCATCCGACTTTCAGCACCCGCCAGGAAGCTTTTTGAACGTGTGCATCTTGTCTTTTACCGCTCAACAGAATGGACCGAGAAGTCATTGACAACTATCATCCTGGCCAAGATAGCCCGCCGTAATTTCCCTGAGTATATCGTCTCCCGATCCGCAAACATTTTCGCCTCGCGGTCCTTGCTTCTGGAATATGAGGCAGCTATACGGACTCAGTTTCGGATTGACAGCATTCTAGAGTTCAACGGAAGGCCGACGGAGAAAGACTATCAAGAGATAGTTGATTGTTTTCAGGAGGTGTATCCTCGGTGGCAGATTCTTGTTGATGAGGAACAGCGCAAGGAGGATAGCATCTATCACAGTGGCGAAGGGTCTTATATACGCCGCTTGTCACCAGCTTGGGTGTACACCCGCATAATCCACAAGGCAATGTATGTCATTGCCCGTCGTAAGGAGCACAGGCTAGAGTACGATGTGACATCTGCTCTTGTCCGACAACGCCTCTTCCATCACTCCCGCCGCGGTGCTTGGTATCAGCGCAAAGCACTTTTAGAAGAGCATTACATGGCAGTTCTTTTCCCAACTGAAAAGCGTAGCGAAGAACAACAGAAGAAGCACTGGAAGCGTATTGCCCTACAAACATGTGAGGATGGTCTGCAAGACAATCTTGTCCACATAATGCACCATTACGACCTTCAGAAACGAATCACCAAGCTCGAGAGATCCCTCAACATCCCCAAACGCTCACAACACGAATTCACTCACGTGCGACTCACAAAACCTGTCGAGGTCACTTTCGAAGGAACACAAATTTTGCGCCCACCCACCTCGAACCGCCGGAACAGCTCCCCAGCCCCAAATCGCCGCGGTGGCAAAACAATCTGGATCGACCCGCGCGAAGCAGGCGAATGCAGCGTCGAAGCAATGTGTCTGTCTCACTACCGCAACCAAGGCTGGAAGGGCTTCCACAGCGAGGGCGGCATCATCCGCACGCTGTTCGCATACCTCTTCTACGACGTCCTGTTCACCTACGTGCCCAACGTCTTCCAAACACAGTACCAGACGTGTCCGCTTGATCTCCATACCGACGCATTCTACCCGTCGCGCATCTCGGAGATCAACGCGCGGCTGAACGAGATCAGCAATGGCGACGCAGAGCGTATTGTGCAGAGGGTGTACGCCGAGCACCACGAACGACGCACCTGTGTGGTCGGTTTGGATTGGACGTACGACGTCGCTGATCTGCGGGAGATTGTCCGCTGTTTCGACGGCGAAGCACTGGCCACGGTGTGCAAAGTCATGGCGCAGGAGTACGGGCAGCGCGGCGGCGGTGTACCGGATCTGTTCCTCTGGAGAACGGGAACCGGGGAGGGGGAAAAGGGCGAGGTCAGGTTTGCGGAGGTCAAGAGTGAGAATGATCGCTTGAGTGATACGCAGAGGCTTTGGATACATGTCCTCAGTGGTGCCGGGGTGGGCGTTGAGTTGTGTGCTGCGGTTGCCAAGGAGGTTATACAGAAATGAGACGCGAGATGCTGAGCCCTTGCAAAATACCTTCTAGAGGCTTGTGTCAGTTGCTATGAATGTGCAGAATTGAAGTCTAAAGCAAGGCTTGGGCGGGCTTGATCGACTGTGGGATTACCCGTCATCGCATCAGTCAGTCATTGACGACCAGTGAAAGCAACCGAGCGCATGGCATGAGCGGGACGTAGCAATCCCCAATTACTTGTAACGACAGTCTACAGTTTGCATAGCCGCACCACCCATTACAGTGACATATTCCCGACGACCTTTGTCGAGCGCGCAACGCATAGGTGTCAACACACTCAAACGCGCTTCTCAGCAACCTGAGGCGTCTTCTCGTCAATCACCTCGCGCTCCTCGGCCTCCCTCTCGACCTGCTTCATGCTGATGTGCGCAACCGTGGCATCCTCGCCGTCGAAGATCTTGCCAATCTCCTCGAGCGTCGGGCCCCGGGTCTCGGGGTAGACGAAGTAGACCCAGACAAGCTCGACGCAGATCCAGCACTATATCCGTCAAGTCAGCATTGCCATTCGTGAATATAGAGGACGCTCGTAGACTTACAGTGTAGAACAGCGCCAGGTTCCAGTGGTTTGGCAGGCGTTTCCAGGCGACGGGGTTTGTCTGGCCGCCGACGGCGAGAATCGCCTGCACGGTGATGTTCATGATCATGAGGCCCTTGCCGCGCAGACGGTAGGGCAGGATCTCCAGCGCGTAGGCGACAAGTAGACCGGACCAGGCGAGCGAGTAGAAGACGCCGAAGATCCAGATGAAGGGGATCTGCGCGTAGCCGGCGCTCGTGTTTGTCTCGCCCGAGCGCTCGTAGATGGCGCACGTGATGGTCCAGCAGATGAAGTTGACGACCATGCCTTGGGAGAGTTAGCTTGGGGGAGTGGAGTTGTGGTGTGAGTGTACGTACCGGTAGTCGCGATCAGGAAGAGCTTCCTGCGGCCGACCTTGTCGATCAGGGTAGCAGCGTAGAGGGAGACACACAAAGCCAGGATTCGCTCGCCGCCAGTGAGCTATAAGAAGTCAGCGTCTGCATCGAAATTCTTAGTGGTGTCAATACTTACACCCATCTTCTGGTTCTGGCTTGTGATGCCAGCGCCTTCGTAGACCAGGTTGATGTAGTTGGAGAACAAAGCATTACCGCTGTACTGCGAGATGATACCCAGAGAAATCAAGATAGCCAACCTCCAGCGGTTGCCGCGAGTCTTGAGGAAGTCGAGGTAGCTGGAGTTCTTGGAAGCGTCCATCTCCATGCGGATAGTCTCTTTCATCTCCTGGTATTCAAACTGGACAGTCGTGTTGTTCTTGTCGCCGTTCGCATGGTAGTATGACAGCATGTTCAAGGCATCTTCGTAGCGCTCTTTTGAGATGAGCCACTGGGATATTGTCAGCACTGAACAGATACACTGGTCTTGCGAGGCTTACTCTAGGTGATTCTGGAACCCAGTAGATGAAGCAAAGCTGGATGGCAGAGGGCAGACCCTGAAGAAGAGTGATTGACCTCCAAGACCACTCGTTGTCGGCTTGCGACGTGCCCCAAGCAATCCACGCAACGAAAAGAGCGCCCAGGTTCCACAGACAGTTGTAAACGGCTGTGAACTTAGCGCGATGCTGAGGGTGGCAGATTTCTGTGAGCAGGATGGGGGAGCACATCTGTGCAAAACTGTTGCCGAAACCAAGGACCAAGCGACCGGCCATGTAGGTCTCCCAGTTCTTTGCGAACGTGGAAACCAGAGCACCTGCGATCATGATGGAACAACCAATAGCGATGGGGATCTTGCGGCCCCACCATTCAGCGGCAAAGGGTCTGTATGGAACAGTCAGTAATTTGCATTACCATGAGAAGTGGAGCTGATTTCTTACACAATGAAGAAACTGACGATGGAACCAATGTTGTAGGCGTTGTTCATGAGACCCAGGCGGTTGTCATCAGGCTTGTTGAAGTATGCGGTCCATCGGTTCATCTGTTGTGACGAGTTCATCATCATACTGACACCTCAGTCAGCAAATAGTATGGCCATGGTTCGGTTTGGAACATACCCGTCGTAACCAGTGGTGGCCGAAGCAACGCAGAGAACGCAAGCCCAAAAGTAGAGCTTGCGCATGTTGGGCTCTTTCCGCCAGTTGACCTTCTCGAATTCAGGTGCATCTTCGCGGGCCGCAACAGCATTGCTGTTGGGCGCTTTGGCGCCGACAGCAAAGACCGGCATGATGGATCGGAGTTCCTACAGTGCGTGGTGGTATGAGGAAATGAGTGATCAACCCCCAGGGTATTTCGGCGTGGAGTAAGATGGGCACACTACCATCAAGTAGTATTTATGCTCGCCGCAAATCATCCAGGATTTGACTCCAGAACTCGACAGGCGCCCCATGGTGGACGGCCCGTCATGTGAGTTTGTCCGGGGTGCTTGTGGGGATTGTCAGACGAAGACCGAATCTCGCCAATGGATTGATACCAAGCCTGCCCTTTAAGCCACCCGTTGGCACACAGGCCCGACGAACCTGGGCCAAGAACAATTGTTTCATTGGTCATAGATCTTGGGATCCCTTACCGAAGCTCACCGCGTTAATGGACTGCGCGCCGCACAATGTAGCTCCATATTGAAAGCTGGGGGAGCAGGGAAGCCGCACCGATAGCACGCATTCTAAGCGTTGCGCATGCAAGACCACAGGCGCGACTAAAATTATTGGTCCGAATGTATTGGTGGGGAATTTACCCTTGACTACTGCAACGAAAAGAGGACCGGGTTGAGTTGTATGGTGCTGCTGTGATTCCGAATATGCATTTGCGCTTATAATTGGTACCGTGATGTACCTATCTTTTCCCTTGCGGGTCCTAGAGCATCCTGCAGGGTATCTCCGAGCTTGCAGATGAGTCGAAAGCACTGGGAGTGGCCATTGACTCCAGTCTGTCTATTCATGCTGGGTTTTGTTTGCGATGGAGATACTACAGGCTATCCATGACTTGCTGTCAATTCTGTGCATCTGGCATGGCAAGTAAATTTGACTTTTACCATGAAACGTGGTGTACCGTGCCTCGGACATTTCAGCTGTGCAGAGCACATCAGCATCACGCTCGTCGGCGCCACAAGCTGGTCGCTCAAGTCTGCAGCCGGCGAGACCTCATAACAAGACCACCGGGACTGTTGATCACGAGGATGCGCACGCCGTCGATACAAATGTAAGCGTGGTGTGAACCCCTTCGAAGAGGCTACTTGCTTGGAAAGGGTGAACTTCCCGTTTATCCGGACGTCGTGGATAATGTGCGCTGCAGCATCGGGCGGGATCCCCAGATTCTCGCTCTCATTGGTAAAACGTTCGTGTTCCGCTTGAAATCCTTCGCGGCATGGTTAAATCCAAACTGGGCGTCGGTTGGGGTGCTTGGCGATCTATCAAAATCGTGTCGTGGCGGAACAGGTGATGGGAACTAACGTTTAAGGCGGATTGTCTTGTCGAAGCTAAACTCTCGCCAAGAACACTTTGTAGCAGCCAATCATCAGTCGAACTGCACCTTCTGGTTGTTGACCGCCAAGCACAAGAGAAGGAACGCTTGTTGCCTCCTCCGCTGACCCGCGAGACACGAGCTACATCAGCATGGAAAGATGAGATTTGAATGCTGAACGTATGTTAAAAGACTATTATGTACTTTCTCTCTTATCCATCCACAAAGCTGCCGTTGATCATAGCGTCATTAATCATAAGGATAGGTGTTTCGCCGAATCCAATTCAACATCGAAGCTCACGCTCTACCGCCAGATCTGCCACTTCTTCTTCGGCTTTGGCGGCACAAAGCTCTCCTGGCTCATCTCTTGCCCACCACCACTGTAGCTTCTGTCGTCATCATCGACGCTATCATACTCGTCATCTCCAGCACCATTGCCGTTTCGGCTGGGGTAAGCAGGATACGACATCCGGTCATAGCCACCTCGTTCAGCATACACAGCCCTTATAGATGCAGTGGCAGGCGCAGGGGCGGGCGCAGGAATTGCGCGTTGAGGTGTTGGGTGTATAAAATGTCCATTGGATATGGGACGGGTCTGGCTCGTGGGTCGTGGCTGTCGACTGCCACTGCTGAAGTAATCACCACCTGCGGTGTCGTCTCGGGCTTGCATACCGCCTCGATAGTTGTACGGTGAGTCTGGTCCGGCACCTACGATGGCAGGGTGCGGTGGGTAGGAGTCGCGTTTGTAGGAGTCCCGCTTCGACTTGGAAGAGGTATGAGCAAGTACGTGAGCATCGTGCTCAAAGATCTCGTCGCCATGCTGATTGAGAATCCCACCCATAGAACGCCTCTGGACATCAGGAGACTGGGGCTCAGGCAGCTGCGATTTGTGGGATGAGTTGTGCGTGGGTGTTCTGTGTAAGGGGCCAGAACGCATAGGAGGTAGAGCTGCAGTTGGAGGTGCAGATTGTGATTGTGGGGCACTGCTGTGTCTTCTCCCTCCAACAGCCTCCCATGCTGAACCGTCAGTGCCATGGTTTGTAGGTTCCACGTCTACGCTTTGCCTTCGATTTGGTCCCATATCGCGCGACCCGCCCGTACGCGCATGGTCGACCAAATCTTCATTAGCATGGAACCCTGAGCTCAAACCAGTATCGTGTGCGGGGGCTTGGTTCGCAGAAGCAGTACGCTTGTTCCTAGATCCAAAGCCAGGAATCAGGATCCTGGGCCCGACCCTGTACCTTTGGCGAGCGCGCTCTTCCTCGTCGTCTTCAGACATCTCTCCTACGTCACTGTCAGTTCCACTCTCACTGCCGCTCTGCGAATAGCCGTCGTCACCGATAGTCTTCCTCTTTCGCCGACCTCCAAACATGCCCAAAAAGCTGCCCTTGCGTGGCTGCTTCTCGGTGGTGCCAGGCTCTGGGACCGTGTAGTTGAGCGTAGGCACCAAAAGGCGGTAAGGAACAGTGATGCCAGCGGGATCGTGTTGTGAGACCTCCATATTCAGAGAGATATCTAGACCACCTTCGAGGTTGATGAAGTCGCCCTTTTGTTTCTGTTGTAAGCCCTTCTTTGTCAAGACGCTGGGTCTACGACGAAACTCGGACGGGCGCTCGAGGGAGGCATTGTTCCGGGCTTGCACTGGTGGCAGACTTTGTGTAGAGTTGTGACGATCGCCACTGTCGACTGAAGCGCGGCGGCGAAACAGTGAAGTTAGCGAGTTGCGGCGAGACCGAGGCCTTTCACTCTCAGATCTATCTGGAGAGAATGATGATTGTGGTTGATTGTGTACGTCGGTCTGAAGCTCGTCGGCAGTGGCGTTCTGAGGGTTGTTGTAGTACGACAAAGGTGGGCCGCGTCCACGCGCGCTTGGTCGACGCGCCTGGTCACTACTGAATCTCCTGACCATCTGACGAGGATTGAAAGAGTCTGATAGTCTCCTACCAGGCTGGGGCCTTGTTTCAGGATTAGGAGTGCCCGGCGGTGACGACCCCGGCTTGTATTCGCGGATGCTGCACCAGTTCCGGTGAGGGAGGAGGTGATTGTTGTTTCGCTTCTTTCCGTCTACGCCATGAGTGAAGATTGGAATCATGTCTTCGTCGGTGTTGGCGTCGAGGTGATGAACCTTGTTGCGCTTATTGAGAATATCGGCCATCATATCTGGAGGAGGCGTATTGACGATAGCAGAAGAGATGACGTTGGGCATGTACCTGGCGTCTTTGTCTTTTGGTATCTTAAGCTTCTTGTTGGAGTAAAATTGACCTACAGCACCGAGATGCACGTCACCTCCAAGGATGGTCACACGAACGGATTTTGTCTCTGCGATATGCTGCAGCTCCTTGATGAACCAGTTTCGTTCTTCTTTGTGGTGCTTGGCCGTCCAGTGATCATCGAGGTCGTCAAGAATTTCGACGCCACCGTCGAATCTGTTGACAAAGCCACCAAGCAGACCGGCGCGTCCCATGGCTTTGATAGGGTCCATCAATCTGCTAGTCAATATGTTTTCGAGAAAGTTCAATCTTGGGTAAGCAATTGGCACTCCAAGGAGTACGATCAAGTGTTTGGTCTGACCCTTGATGATCTCATCTTCAAGACGATCAAAAATGACATCGTATGAATCCTCAGTCAAGATCTCGTCACGTTGTCGTTCAGTCCGACAATCCAGTCCCAAGAAGGCCAACTGTTGGCCAAGATGCATGAACACACTTCGAGAACGCTCCTTGATGTATGGTCCGGGACTTTTGCCGAGTACCCACGAGGGTTCTGTCTGTTCGGTTTCGGCAGGAACAGACTGGTGCTGGAACAACATGTAGTACTTGAAGGCCACAGCACCGATGCCAGTAAAGACTGGTGTCTGCATGAAGTGGTGGGGATAAGATCCGTAGCCCTGTGTTCATTAGTGCCTGAAGCTGGAGATGAGATGAAAGATGGCTTACGTCAATTATGTCGTGGTCATCCCATATGTTGACCATTGGAATCTGGGAGTTGGCCATGCCAAAGAGACCTTGTGAGAACCACATGGAATATCGATCCAAGTAGAACTGCTCCAGCTCATTCTGCATTGCCTCGGAGAATGGAGTATGATGTTTATCTAGCGGATTCCTGTTCTCGGTCCACTGTCTGAACAATGTCGTCTGCTTCATGGCAGCATCATTGTAGATTTGGTCGCCCCCTCCAAGCATAACGTGGAACGGCCTGCTTTGATGTGAGTTTAGAACGTCGCGCCACATTGGATCTGGTCCACAAAACTGCTTTGGGTCTACGCTCAATGAAAAGCCGTTGCAGCTGTGGAACATGACATTCATAGTCTCGCCCTTGGCTGGTACCCAGAAACCGACCGCAGGGCCGTTGTTGATCCTGTATGCAACACGTGCTTGCGCGCTTCCAAGTTCGACCTCGAGATTGAAGCGCCAAAACGTGACGCCTCGTTCAGCGTGCAGACGAACTCCAGGAATCTCTCTTACTTTACCGAGCTTTTCGCCGTCTTTTTTATGAATGCGCGTCGGTCTCGCGCCGGGGGCGCTCAGTGAACGAACCAACGAGAAAAGACCAGACTCGTCTTCGGTTCGAGACAGATCCTCGCCTTCGGCTATCTCGTGGACAGGTTTCACGTACATGGTCTGCCCGGTTCTCGAGACTTTACATTGTCCTTCGATGGGATCAACATAAGCAGGGTTGAGCTCATCGCCGTCAAGCTCCTGTGGTGGCGGTGGAAGGATGTCCATTGCCTGTTTGAAAAGACGTAGGACGGGCGTTTTATGATACGTTGACCCGGCGTCGGTGGTAACGATCATTACACTTCCTCTCCATATCTCTCGTTCTTTGCCCGCCCGGCTTTGGTCTCTTCGTAGGCCAGTGTATCGTAGCAGTGGTCCACACTTGAGGTGCAGCGGAGGATCGAAGATTGTCTGGGGAAAAGGCTCATCGGCATAGCCATCGTATGTAGGCTCCACATGTGTGCCTGACCGCCGGCGCCGGCCTGTTTGGTTCCCTTCCCACCAAGTGTTGTTGTTCGCGGTATTTGGGGTCCTTGTAGGTGTCATAAAGTCGAGGTCCTCAGCAACTAGAGTGGCAACGGGCGCTTGTCTCCACTCTTCTAACATGGGCGTTTTGACGTACGTCCGCTCGGGACCGTGATGGCGTGAAAAGCGGTGAGACTCGTGCACTCCTTGCGGGTGAATCTCATCATCGACGTCAGAGAAGCCGACGCTCTTGCGAGCGACGGGTGGAAGGGGAGAGTCGTATGGATGGACCTGAAACTGGCCGTTGGTTTGTGGAACGCGGTTCTGATCGATCTGTTGCTGCTGCATCTCCATACGAGCAGCCATGATGCCCCTGCTGTCTCTTTGGCTCCCATGCCGACCTGTCAGTTGGGCGTTCTTCGCAAATTGCCTGTCGTCAAAACGGGCGACCTCAGCTCCTCCCATGACGTCGTCGATGCCAGCATCCTCCAAGCCGAGCCCAGAAAGAGGAGTCAGACTCCCGATGGGGTGTTCGACTGGCTTCCGGTGGATGCGCTGTACAGCTGGTGCGGCAGAAGTAGCTGGTGCGGTGGGTGCAACTGTGCGGTCTCGAAAACTGGCTGCTGGTTCCTTGCCTTTGATGCAGGGATTACGCGCGATGTATGGATCTGCGTTGGGGACCTTTGATATGGAGGTGAGGCGTGGCTGCTTCTGTGAAGGGATGCGGTGTGGGGCAGGAACGGCGACTGCTTGAGCGGCAGAGGGGTCCCACGGATCAGAGAGGTCGTAGACCAGGCCATCTTCGGACTCCAGGTCGCTGATAACGGGGGACTTGGGGTGGCTTTGGAGTGGCGCCGAGACATTGCGCTTGTTGGATCCTGCGCGCTGGATGGCGTCGGGCACCATCTCGTAAGTCGGCTGTGAGACGTGGCGCTTGCTACTTGCAGGGCGTTCAGTGTGGTTCGGGACGGGGTCGTAGAGTGGCTCGGGCTGTGCTGCGAGCGTCTTCTCTTTCTCGGCGGCGTCGCGGGCTCGACGGGCGCGCATCTCGGCCTCGACGCGTTCCTGAGCGGCCAGCTCGGCCTCGAGGATGCGGGCGCGGCGCTCCTCTTTGCTGATGTCATCGAGCTTGCCCTCGAGCTTCTGGAGCGGCGACCGGTCCGGCACCGAGGGCTTGCGCTGCGACGACGACGACCGGCGCTCGACAGTGCCGGACAGCGGCTCGACCGGGGCATACGGGGGCGAGCGCAGCTCATACAGTCTGCCGGCGGCTGTCTGGATGGTGGGCTGCTGTCTGCTCGCATTGACCTGGATGGCAGGTTCGCGCGACGGGCGTGGCGGGGCGCGGGAGGCGGCCTTGTGGGCGTAGGGGTCCTTGTACGCGGAGGGCGGTGCGCGTGGGACGTCTGGGGCAGTGGGCAGCGACTCGGCCACGCCGCCGGGCTTGGACGGGCGGGGCTGGCTCTGGCGGCGGCGGTGCGAGGCAGCCCTCGGCAGGCCGTTGGCGGCGGGGGCCTGGACGGGGCGGGCGGTGTTGCTGGGGACGAGGGGCGCGGTGCTGGAGGCGAGGGGCGCCATGCCGGATTCCTGGGGCTGCGGGCGCGCGTCTGCCGGGCGGCGGTAGGAATTGCGGCGCTGGGGAAAAGTTTCGTGGTGCTGCTGGGTGGTCGGCGGGCTCGCAACGCGCGAGGCATAGGTGCCGCTGGCTCTACTGGTGTCCATGACGGCGGGCGCCCATGAAGGCGGCCACGTGGTGCGGGTTACACTGGCACGGCAGATCACTTGGAGGCGGCTCAATGGGCACGGCGTGCGCAATAGCTACCTGGCGACGCGGACGGGGAGGGTGCAGGACGCGGTGCAGGGCGTGGTAAGGATGCGCTCGCTGGACGGGCTCGCTGGACGGGCTGGACGGCGCGACGCTCTGGGAGGACTCGCAATGGACGCAGGCGGCCGTCGCTCTGCTATGCACACACGTACAGGCGCTGGAGACGAGGAGCAGGCAGACGCAGGGGCGGCGTGCGACTGCGCCGCCAGCTCATCACCACTCGAGTGCCAGCCTTCGAGCAAGCCACGCCAGCCCCCTCGGGCTTCCATGGCCTCCCGCGCCTCCAGCTGGGAAGCTGGGAAGCTCAGCGGCTAGCTAGCTCGGCCTAGGCTGGGCCCCACCGCAGCCGCAGTCCCGCGCGCTAGCTGCTTCCGGCCGCCGCTCGGTGTCTGTGCAGATCGCTGTGGCGCGGCCGCCGGGGGCTGCACAGCGACGCACCGCGTTTCACAGCCTGGAGCTCTTCATTGCGTCGCCGCTGCTCTGTCGCCCACCGCCGTCCCAGCAGACTCCCTGCCGCAAAGCGAGCTGCTGCCCGCCGCCGCCCTCGCCTCGCCACCGCCCCGAACCCTCGTTGTGCGAGTAAGCCGCCGCCGCGCCTTCCTCAATAGGCCGACAATAACTTAGTACACGACACCTTGCACTTTATACTGCACCTTTACTTTATACGGCACCTTTGGCTTTACACCGCGGCGCCGACCGCCCTGACCGCCTGACCGCCTGATCGCAGCTGGCTGCGTCTCCCAGCGCTGCTGTCCTCTTCGTCCGACAACCTCCTCCTCGCCCCTTCTCTGCCGTCCGCCATGCGCCTGCTCGACCTCCTCAGCGTGCTGTCGGCCGCCTCGCTGGCCGCCGCCGCACACCACCTGCCCAAGCGCAACTACGTAACCAGCGACTACTACGCCCTGCACGTCGCCCCGTCCGCCTCGCCCGCCGACCTCGCCGACCTGCTCGGCCTGACCTACGAGGGCCCCTTTGGCTCCCTCGACGACCACCACGTCTTCAAGGCCCCCAAGCACGACGGTGACATCGTCCAGGATGCCCGGCAGGAGCTGAAGCGCCGCCGGCGGAAGCGCGAGCTCGGCCCTGAATACCACCCGCTCGACAGCATCCACTTCGCCCAGAAGCAGAAGCTCAAGCCCCGCCATTGGAAGCGCAGCGTCATCCCCGCCCGCCAGGACGTCAACGAAGCCATCAACACACAGCGCGAGGTCGCCAAGTCGCTGAGCATCCAAGACCCCATTTTCAACGAGCAGTGGCACATCTTCAACGTCAAGACCCCCGGCAACGACATGAACATCACCGACGTGTGGATGCAGGGCATCACGGGCAAGGGCGTCACGGCCTGTGTTGTCGACGACGGACTCGACTACGACAGCGGCGACCTCAAGGACAACTTCTTCGCAGAAGGCTCGCACGACTTCAACGACAACGAAGACCTGCCCACCCCGAAGCTCTCTGATGACAGGCACGGCACACGGTGCGCTGGCGAGATTGCTGCCGGGAAGAACAACGTCTGCGGTGTTGGTCTGGCGTACGACGCAAAGATCTCTGGTGTGCGCATTCTCTCGGGCCAGATCACAGACATGGACGAAGCGCTGGCCATCAACTACGAGATGCAGAAGAACGACATTTACTCGTGCTCGTGGGGCCCCCCAGACGACGGCAAGACTATGCAAGCACCGGGCGTCCTGATTGAGAAGGCCATGGTAACGGCTGTGCAACAAGGGCGTGGTGGCAAGGGCTCTGTCTACGTCTTTGCCGCTGGCAACGGTGCCGCGAGCGATGACAACTGCAACTTTGATGGCTACACGAACAGCATCTACAGCATCACCGTGGGCGCCATCGACATGCACAACCAGCACCCCTACTACTCAGAGGCTTGCTCCGCGCAGCTGGTCGTCACCTACAGCAGTGGAGGCGGTGATGCAATCCACACCACAGACGTTGGCGCCAACAAATGCACAAGTCAGCACGGCGGTACCTCAGCTGCTGGTCCTCTCGGCGTCGGAGTGTATGCTCTGGTGCTGCAGGCTCGCCCTGAACTCACCTGGCGTGACGTGCAGTGGCTGACTGTACTGACAGCTGTGCCTTTCGACACACCCAGCGACTGGACAAAGACTGCCCTCGACCGCATGTACAGCCACCAGTTTGGCTATGGAAAACTTGACGCATGGGCCATCGTGGAAATGGCCAAGACTTGGAAACTTGTCAAGCCTCAAGCCTGGTTCTACTCCCCGTGGATGCATGTCAAGAAGGCAATTCCCGAGGGCAAAGAAGGTCTTGCAAGTGTATTTGAGGTTACTGGCGATATGCTCAAGGGCGCCAACTTCGAGCGCGTGGAACACATCACTCTAACCATGAACGTCAAGCACCAACGGCGTGGCGATCTCAGCGTCGAGTTGATCTCCCCGGCCGGCATGAGCTCCCATCTCTCGACTGCCCGCCGCGATGATGAGGACATTCGTGGCTACGAAGACTGGACCTTCATGTCTGTCGCTCACTGGGGCGAATCCGGCATTGGAAACTGGACAGTCATCATCAAAGACACCGTCGCCAATAACAAGAAGACTGGCAGCCTGACGGACTGGAAGTTGCGTCTCTGGGGCGAGTGTATCGACTCCTCCAAGGCTACCCTTCGTCCTATCCCCACCGAACACGACGACGACGACCACGACAAGATTGAGGACCATCCTGCACACACCACCTCAGTCGCGCTGCCCAGCTCCAAGCCGACCGTCACATCGAACCCCACTGACCACCCCGATCGCCCTGTGAATCAGAAGCCGACAGACGCTGCCGAAGCATCTGCCACGACAGAAGCAACACCAACACCTTCGGCATCCCCCACCGGCGCACCGGAAAACGAGAACGAGAGCCTTCTTCCTTCCATCTTCCCCACGTTCGGTGTCTCGCGCCGCACGCAGATCTGGATCTACGGGTCGCTCGCCCTCATCCTAGTCTTTGTGGCCGGACTCGGCGCCTACTTCTACATTGCGCGGCGCAAGCAGCAAAAGTCATCGCGTGACGCTTACGAGTTCGAGGTGCTCGATGACGTCGAGGACCGTGAAGAGACGGGCATGCTTAGCGGCGCAGCCGCGAAGAAGAAGGGTCGCGCGAGGAGAGGTGGAGAGTTGTACGATGCGTTTGCTGGTGAGAGCGACGAGGACCTGCTCAGCGATAGCGACGGTGGAGATGAGGGGCCGTATCGCGACCAGGAGAGGTTCAACGAGAAGCACGGCAAGCGCGATGACGATGACGGGAGCGAGGTCAGTGGAAGCTCGGCCGGGAGACGGAAGGAGTAGACGAGACGACGACGAGCTTGACTAGAGACGATGGAGCTTGCTTGACTAGAAACGACGGAAAGAGGAGTCTTCTGCTTATGTACAAAGGATGTAGGAAGGGGCATTGGGCGGCGTTGCGTTTGGAATTGCATTTGCGCCCGTTTGCTATAGACTCAAATGACTCGCCCGCTGCGAGAGGACGTCTGTAATATGCGTACAGCATTGAAATGGGTATCGTTGATTCTACATGCTTTTCCGCCCCAAACGCCAAACCATGCAAGCTCTCTGTGACTACGTTACGCTACGTTACGTTAAGCAACGCTTCGCTACGCTACGCTACGCTACCTTCCGCCCGACGTTGCCCACGCCGCGGCCAACCACGCTCACAACAATCTCGCCGCGGTCCTGGTCGCCGCCGTTCTCGCGGAATCCCCACCCACTGCCGCCAAACACCTTTGAGTCTCGAGCCAGCGAGATGATCTCCTCGCTAGCCAGCACGTCCTTGCCCAACGCGACTCTGCCGACGTCCTCGGACCCCATGGCCATGAGCATCAGCACTGTGGGCGCGGCGATCTTCTCCACGGCGCCGCCCTGCGAGATCTTCTCCAACAGCTGGTACGCGCACTGCTTGCCGATGTCGTCGGCTGGCACGCCGCCCTCGGGCGGCGAGCACACGTCGGCACTGTATAGACAGCCCGTGCTGCTCTCGGCGACCAGACTCAGGCCAAAGCCCACGGCCCCCTTCACTTTGGCGCCGGCGCTGCCCTTTTGCGTGGTTGGGATCAGGGGCGCGGGCGAGGCGTCGGAGAAGATGTATGTGTCGGGCACGAATTTGTTGAGGATGCCGCGGGCCTCGTGGATCATGCGCTCGTTGTTGCTCTTGGGGACCTCGACGCAGTAGGCGACGCCGCGGATCTTCTTGACGCGGCCCGGGTTGAGCAGGTGCAGGGTCTTGGGCAGGCGCACCTGGTGGTTGAAGACGAGCTGGACCTCGCCGCCGGCGCTCTTGGCGGGGCCCGGGGCGCAGCTGCGGCGCAGGATGCGCAGCTCGATATTGCGCTCGATGCCAAAGGGCTTGTATAGTGGTAGTAGCGCGGTGCGGACCGTGTCGGCGCTGACGTCGCCGCTGGGGGTCGCGCCCGTGACGCAGCCCTCGCCGTGCAGGATCACGTTGACCTTGTCCTTGGCGAAGGGCGACAGGATGCACAGCGGGATCAGCCACCACGAGACGCCCCTGCGGGCGCACTCGCGCGGGATCTCGTGGCGGATGACGCCGCCGTGGGCGCCGAGGCCCTCTGCCGAGCCGGTGATGAGGCCGGGGCGGTAGACGAGCGTCGTGCCCGTCATGCTGAACTGCACCTGGCCGCCATTGGTGACGGCGTCGAGCAGGCGCACAAAGTTGGTCTCGTAGCGCGTGAGGCCGGGGCTGGTCGACGCCGAGCGGATCTGCGAGATGCGGATCGGGCGTCCGGTGAGGGTCGCGAGCAGCAGGCGCGACACCAGGTGGCGGTGGCCCGTGAAGTTCAGCGGCTGCTGGAGCGCTTCGTCGACGGCCATGGCGGATGTGCGGGCGGATGTGCGGGCGGTGTCGTCGAGTCGTCGGTCGTCGAGGGCCTGGCGAGCCGGCGAGTGAATGGCGCGGCGGGAGCTTTTTTTCTAATCGATAACAGCCGCGCTAGCCCGCACCTGACCTAGCCCGTGCGTCTCTCCGCATCGCGTCCCTCAGCGCGTGCCCTCAGGTGCGATTGCGCGGTGCTCGCGGTCCGCGTCTTGCCGCCGTGTTTCTGCTGCTGCGGCCGTTTCCGCCTGTTTTTGCGTCCATTCGCTTTAGCCACCTTCGGCGAGCTTGCTGCGTCATCAATGGCTGTTCGCGTTGGCCAGACCCGACACGCAGCCCGACCGCTCTTGAAGATTGTCCGGGGGAAGGTGCATGCTGGACCACACGACCACGAAGAAGCCCCGCAACAGGAACATGTCCTTGAAGACTTCGACGCTGACCCTGTTCTTGAAGACTTTGACGCTGACCCTGTGTCCTCGGACGGCGAGACCTCGAGACCTCCGCCCAAACACTCAAAGCCGACGCAATCCTCAACAGACGACAACGACGACGCACTGAGACCCCCGCCCAAACGCTCAAAGCCGACGCAGTCCCTGAAGAGCGACACCGAAGACACACTCAGGCCCCCACCGAAACACCGAAAGCACACACAGTCCTTCCAAAGTGACAATGAAGACGCACTCAAGAAGCCCCCGGGCTCAAATCGAAAGCGGAAAGCAGATGCACTGCTGCCCGGACGAGAACCAGACCCCGAGCAAGGGTTGAGAAAACCCAAGGCCGCGAGGCCTCGCATCACTGCAGTTCGAGCACCAAGATCTGGCCAGTTTGAACAAAGCAGGGCAGCCAAGGAAGAGCTCCACGCCGGCAAAGCAGGTGCATCGACGACCCACACACCGCCGCTCTCATCACAGGGGAACGATTGGGGGCTCAACCCGCTGCTCCTTGCTTCGAGCCAAAGTCCGCAGAGTGGAAGGAGAAAAGACTACAGCTCCAAGAGCAAAACGTTCAACATACATGCAGCACTCCCTGCGACGAAGCCGAGCAAGGGACCAGTAAAGTTTGGAACCAAGTCCAACAAGCCAAAGACTCCAGTCGAGTACGATAGCGATGAGGATGACAATGTCTCCATGATGACCGACCCACGGGACGAGGAAGCGCCCGAACCGGAACCAGAGGATCCAGAGCTGCGTAAAGTTCCACGGAAGAAGAAGAAAGAAGCTCAGACAAACGGCAATACGCTAGAGCCGTCTGCTGTGGACGGTACAGAGCTCGCCAACCTCCTCAAGCCGACATTGCGTGAACAGCTCGGTCTGACCGACGACGCATACTCTTCGCTGCCGGCGTCGAGCGCACCACAAGAAGACATGGACACCCTCGACTCGTACGTCCGCGACCTGCCCGCCGAAGCAGACGAAGACGCCGCATGCCCCATCTGCCACGAGCGCGTTGACCAAGAACGCTACTGGGCCTTCTGGAAAGGCCGCGACAAGACGGTCAAGAACCAAGCCACCTTCTGCCACACCCACAGAGAGGCGTCTGCACGAGAAGAGTACGCCGCCGAGGGCTACCCGCCGATCGACTGGGCCACGCTCTCCTCGCGCATCAAGAAGCACCGCATGGACCTGTACACCATCCTCACCGGCGACGCCCCGAGCCCGTACCGCGCGCGCTACGCGCCCCTCGCGCTGACCGGCAAAGCCGCCGCCGCGCCCTCCACGCGCCGCGACCTGCCCCCCTCTCAGCAAAACGCCCTCGCCTCGTGTACCTTTGACGACGCGACCGTCTATCCAGGCTACTACGGCCCGCGCGGCCGGCGCCACATCACCGAAGCCGTGATGACCCTCCTGCACACGCCGATCGCGCAGTCGCGCGACCCCGTCGTGCAGACCTCGGGCCCCGCGACGTTCGTGCAGGCCGTGCTGGTGCCCGAAGTTGCGGTGCGGCTGATCATGGAGGACTTGCAGTGCGATCGCGACGCGGCGGACGAGGTGCGCGAGAAGACGTTCGAGATGGGGGTTTTGCTGCATGAGGAGATTGAGGATGAGGTGCTTGTGGGCGAGGAGGAGGGGGAGGGGGAGGGGGAGGGGGATAACGAGTATCGTGTTTGAGAGTGTCATATGCATTTTTGTTGTGTGGACGGTGGGGTCTCTACCGTCGTTTTGAGGTGCGTGGGGAGCGCTGAAGCGGATTTTGATACCCAGGTTCTTCTATCAGTATATGCATGTCGTGTAGAGTAGTCCACTTTATGTTTTTATGTTTCTCGTGTCATGACAGGCCGTGCATGCGCTACAGCTCATCGCGTTTCCTCCTCTGACCGCCTGCTTGTTGCTGCTCCTGTGTCTGCTCAAACTTCTCCCTCTCCACGTCCTCCTCCCACATCTTTTTCTTCGGGTTTCGAGGCTTGTCACTCTCCTTCAGCACAGTCCCGTCACCGCGGATCACCGGGCCTTCGTCGTCTGGCTGCTGTCTGTTCTCCCTTAGTTGAGGATGAACATCCTCTGCCTGCGGCTGCTGCTGCTGCTGTTGTTGTTGTTGCTGCGCCTGCTCCGCCATCTTGCCAACTTCTTGACTTACTGAGCCTGGGGGACTTGGATCGCCTTGGTGATAACCCCTGCCTCCGCCACCAACACGGATGTAATTGTTGGGCGGTGGGGCGTTGGGATCGAAGTTCCTCCGCGGAGGGCCTCCTGTCGCACTTGGCTGCACGACGAGACTGGTGCTCGAGCCGGAGACGACAGCGAGACTCGAGGACTTGGATGCGCCTGCGGCTGTGGTGATGCCGACGACGCCAAAGACGATGCGGAAGACGAGCTTCAGGGGCCAGATCAGGAACCAGGTCAGCGGGCCGTAGAGCCAGCGGCGGAAGACGAGCCAGATGATGGTCGTGATGAGGATGTAGAAGGTGGTCTCGAGGTACCAGGTATCGCTCTTGGTGCTCTTCAGCAGGGTGGTGACGAGGGTTCTGCTGTTTGCGAGAAGCGTGTTGAGGTCGGCGTACTTCTCTCCTAGATCGGCGAGTGCAGCCGTCGACTCTTCGAGGGTTTCCTGGGCGAAGCGTGAGCGAGAGAGCTCGTTTTGCATCAACGCATGCGTTCGTCGAAGGGCGGCTGTGACGTCGGACGAGGCCTGGGCGACAATCTCGTCCTCGTTGAGGCCCTTGTTCTGTCTGCGCTGGCGGTAGGTGGACGATGGCGTGGAGGCGCCGGACTGCAGGTTCGAGAAGAGGAGCTCGCGCTCCTTGAGCTTTGCGCGCTCGGCGTTGTGCTTGGCAACGAGCTGGGCCTTGCGGTACTGTGCGCGTGACCTGGTGCTGTCAGCGCGCGGTGACGACTCGCACGGGCGGGGGGACGTACGCTTTGAGGTCCTCGGTGAGGCGCGCGAGCAGGACAGCTAGCCGCGCGCGTTCGGCCTCCCTGGCGCTGTCTCTGCGCTTCGCAGCTGTGGCGGGGCCGTATTGGAGGACGTCCTCGACCTCTTGGCGCAGCAGCTCGAGTTCCTCCTCAACGGCCTTCAGCGTCTCGTGGATCTCGGCGCTCAGCTCCAGGCGCACGTCGGCGGCGTCGGCGTGCAGTGGCTGCGAGCCGGGCTGGAAGTCGAGCTTGGCCAGGCGCTGTATGAGCTGGGCGACGGACTTGTTGGACTCGGTCAGGGCAGTCAGGCGGGCGGTGAGCGTGTGCGTGGTCGCAGGGAGCGGCGCCATGGTGCAGCGCAACAGGTGGTCGGAGTGCGGTGCGCCTATGACGGAGGGGAGCCGTCCAGCGGGCCGTTCAGACCCACCGCGCCAGTCCACGGCGCCAGGCGAAAACTGCAGCACGGGCGCGGTGCACTGGGCGACGCATCCCGCGGCCCAGACGGTCTGGTCTGGCTCTCCTCGCAGTCTCGCAGTCTCGCAGCCTCGCAGCCTCGCAGCCTCGCAGCCGGCCGCAACACCGCCAGCATGATCACCCGCTTCCTGACCGAGGTGCGCGTCGCCTTCAATCCCTTCAGCCCGCGCTCGAAGCCCGCGCGCCTGTTCCTGTCGCTCATCCCCGCCGACGCCCGCGCCTCGGGCATGCTCGTCCAGTCGAAGCTGCTGCCGCGCACCAGCAAGGACAATGCCACCTTGGACGTCAAGTTCAGTACGTGTGCCCGCTCGCCCCGGTCCACCCCAGGCCCGCCACGTCCGCCAGCGCTGACCCGCCCGCAGAGGATGGCAAGCAGATGAACCTCGACCTGTCCAACATGCGCATCACAGACGTCATGGAGCAGGTCGACCGCCACTCGCGCATGCTTGCGCGTAAGGAAGAGCTGACAGGCAACTAAAGCCTTGGGGCATTGCTCGTCACATTGCTCGTCACGTCGCTCGTCACATCGCTCGGCACATCGCTCCACACACTGCTCCACACACCGCAGTCTTGCACACGCGTCTGCTACCGAGCACGCGAGCCGCCGACGCCAGCACCGCCATGTATATTAGCCATGTATATAAGAAGCATCACACCGAGTCACGGCACGGGCTGGAGCCACTGCATGTCAACATGACTATCGCTTTTGGATGAATCTATGTGTTTGGCCAAGAATAGACTTTTTCTCAATCGCAACCCCTTTTTCCGTCCATGCCTCTGGCCGTAGCCACGTCGATCCGTGGGCCCGTCATGTCTTCATTTGTTTGCGATGCGATATATGACCGTCTTCCACGAGAGCCGTTTCCTGCCGTCATTGGTGATTCCAGACGTCTAGCTGGAGGGGGCGCCAGAGATGTAGAACCACTTGTCGATGCTAGAGTCGATAGGCGCGGGGGCCTTGTCCTCGCCAGCGGGGATGCTCAGCGAGCTGGCGTCGGTCTTCTCGGCCGAGTGGGCAAGCGTCGTGTTGACGAGAGAGAGGTCGTTCTTGGCAGTCTTGCCAGCGACGAGCTTCTCCCACGCCTCAGCGCACTCACGGACAATGTCCATGGCGTACTTCTTGTTCTTGCACTCGCCGGAGAAGGCGAACTGGTTCTCGGGCTTGCCATCGGGGATCTTGTAGATGCGGAACCACTCGTTGGTGGCACGCAGAAGACCGGGCAGGTGGCGCTCGACATCCTCAACGTCGTTGAGCTTGGGGGCCAAGGGGTCGTTCACGTTGACGACAATGATCTTCCAGTCTGTCTCGCCCTCGTCGAGCAGAGCCATGACACCGAGGACCTTGACCTGGATGACATCACCGGGCTTGTTGACAAGCTCGCCAATCTCGCACACGTCGAGCGGGTCGTTGTCGCCATTGGCCTTGGTCTCGGGGTGGGTGACGTTGGGGTCCTCCCAGGTCTGCAGCAGCGGTCAGTACGCAGTCGTCGTGGCCGACAGGGGGCGGGCGTCATCGTACCTGGGGGAAGGCACCGTAGTTCCAGAGGTAGCCCTTGTGGGGGAAGCAGTTGCGCACGAAGCGGAGCTTGCCCTTCTTGATGTCCTGCTTGATGGGGTTCAGGGTCTCCTCCTTGGAGATCTGTTGGGGCGGTCAGTGGCATGTCGCCATGGCGGGGTAGCGGGCGGCGGGCGCTCGCGAACGCTCAATGGCACTCAATGCCGGGGCACTCACCTCCATCTTGGCGTTGCTCCAGCGGGGGACCTCGACGATCATGTTGAGGACCGTCTGCTGCTCATTGGCGTAGAGCGGGATGTCGTGCCATGCCGAGATCGGCTGGCCGTCCTTCTCGATGAAGACGCGGTGCTCGAGCGTGTTCGCCGCAGCGACCTTGCGGGTGGAGTAAGCCATGCTGGTGGGTGCTGACTTGAGAGTTGTGGAGGGTGAAGTGGAGGAGGAGAAGTGCTGCTGGATTTTGTCGAGGCGCTGGAGGGGTCTAGTGGGGCTGGCAGGCGCACGCGCAGGCGGGCGGTGTTGGTTAGCCAGTGTGACGAGCGTCTGCCGGCATGGGGCAGACCCAGGGCTCAGGATGGACAATGGCAGAGGGCGACCGGCTCGCTTGGCTACGTTGAGCCTCAGCAACGATCGCGAGCAGTGCATGCAGACGGTAATTATCAGGGGGCCGCTTAGCTCGACTGGCCGGCAACGCTCCTCGTGCTCAAACCGAGGTGTGGGAGCTGCCGGAGGTTTTCCACGCGCAACGCACGGACGGCTCCTGCCTCACTGAGTCGCTGCGTGGGGAAGCCACGCCTGTCATCTATCATTGCGTCTGCAGTCTGTATCATCACACCTGCAGTCTGCATCGCTCGCCTGCGGTCTGTCCCTGAACCTCAAATGTTTAATACAGTCTATGTGGCCGCCAGAAACCCCGGCCCAACAGCTTTGCATGCTCGGGCTCTTGCCTCTGTTCGACTTGATCCACTACGCCTACCAGTCCATCGTCGATGTCCTCCACCACTTCTCCCAGACTTGACTCTCCCGAGAAACCCTCAAAGCTCCCCTGGTCCAACATCTCGCTCTCACATGTATCTGCATCATCAGTGATACCCGTGTCCTGGCAATCACTGCCTTTGCCAACATCAAGCTGTGATGGCACAAGCTGCTGTTCCTGCACTACATAGGAGTTGGGGCCAGAGAAGTTCGGCAGACTGAATTGCTGCACACTTGGAACGTCAAATCGTGCTGTAGGCGCGTATGCAGTCACTCGAGGGGGAACACGTCGAGCTTGCTGAGCTGTGCTTTGGGGGCCAGAGGCTGGACAGACTCTGTCGAGATTATCTTGCGATGATACTTGCTGAGACACCGCCAGGGACGAATTGTTATAATACTGTAGTACTTCGTCTAGATCCGTTGGGCATTGCAGACTCTGGTATGATAAGGGACAGTTGGGAACATCGATAGAGATTCGTCTCTGGGCTGACGGTGCATTATCGTTTGTATAAGCCGTCTGATCTGAGCGCCCGACCCTGGGGAGGGTTGTACCCTCGGCGTTGATTTGAGTCTGCCAATGTGGCGGCTTCCAGGAGGATGAAGTAGCGCGTTCAACTGAGTGGCAAGCGGCTCGATCGATAAGCCCTGATTGCTGGAGAGAAGGAGACCGTTGAAGCGACAATGGTGACCTCGCAAGGCCTACGGATTTTGGAGCTATCGATGATACCTTGGGTTTTTCTGCACTACTGATGCCAAATAAACTAACTGAAGCGGGCATCTGTTCGCGAGCCTGGCTGTGTCTGTGATGCTGCACCTCCTCGACTTCCCGGTTCAATATATCGAACCGCCTACCTCCAACCGTGAGCCGATCTCTCGCTTGTACTGGCGCAGTACTGGGAGCGCGAACAGAATCTGACCATGAGAAGTAGCTGCTGCTCTCATGGCTGGGTCCCCCACGACCAGTCATTGGGTACAACGCGTTACCTTCAGACTCATTTGTTTGAACAGCAACATCGGATACGCCAAGTTCTCGCGCTCGTTCTGGACGACTGGGCCTTACTGCGGCAGATGACATCAATAGCGAGTGTGTGCTGCTTGGTACAGCACCTCCGTGAGTATCTGCCAATGCAGGTCGCGCCGAAGTGAAGTATGCAGAGACGTCTTCTTCTTTTCTCCGTGTGTGATCCATCTTGCGCTTCTTCTTCGTTTGCGAGGGTTGTGCAGCATAGTCTTGCTCATCATGGCCGTTTCGTAAAAACTTCATCTCAGAGAAGACTAGATCGGGTACTGTCATAGTGTCAGTCGATTTGGTACTACGCGAACCGTTGTGGGCTCAAGGCTCGGACGGTTGCAACGGAGTAGGCTTACGACCACGGCCCCTAACAGAAGCCGAGCTTTTGCCATTGCTGAAAAGCCCTGTCTTGTCCGGCGGCTTCAGCTAGACTAGTTGTCAATATAGCTGGCATTTCACGTATGTATAACACTGACTGTCAACCGATCCTTGGAGTTGGTTCTAGCCAAAGACTCATGACCAATACCGTTGTGTAGTTTCCCGTCACTTCTTTGCTTGGATTTCTGTTTCGATTTCTTGGAACCGATCGCACGGTCTGAGTGTAACGTCTGTTTTTGCTCCTTCAGCTTCTTTGACTGAGTGTCGTATTTACCCGGGCGTATCTTGCGGCGAGGTTGTCGCGCATAACGTTGCCTTGCAGCACTGCTGCCCACAGAATTACTAAAAGCAGAGTGAGCTGCTACGCTACATGCGACTTCGACGGCATCTCGGACATCATTTCTGGGTTTCTCCAGTGTTGAGATATCTTTAGGCCGCGACTGTGAAGGAAGCTCTTCGAGTAGCGAGCTGTCTGACGAGCTGCACTTTTGTCTTCGTCTTGTATGTGGAACAGGATCAGGCTGCTTTGGCAGGAGGAAATGCTCAACATCTGGTCGCTTGAACCGGACTGGACTCTCGGTCTCAGCAAGCCACTTTCGAATATCCATTTTACGGCCCGATTGTTGCATTCCACTGCATTTATGATAGGACAAGCGGTGTTGAGCCAGCGGTCCCGTCGGGAGAATCAAACCAGGTAGCGCTGGAGACTGTGACGATAAAAGGATGTTGTACAGCAGCGCACCGGGGTAGGCTGCGACAACGAGCCTTGAGCCCTATGAGGTTGACTTTGTGTAACCCGGAAGGAAGACAGGAAAATGGTGTGAACAGACATGGCGCCGCTCGATGCTGCTGGAATCGAGTAACGCGCATGAGTAGGGAAGGCATGTTGAAAGTGCTCGTCAAAGCTGCTTGGCCGCCAGGTGCCCTTTCCCAAGAGGCAGACATGACGGATATTGCACATGTCGAGCCTTACTTGAGTACTGGCAGTTGCCCAGGCGCACAAGGATCTGCCCAAATTTCACAGCCATCGTGCTGCACTCGCCATCGGCGTATATTGAAAGGCGTTCTTCGCCAATCGGAACTTACGAATACACCTCATCAACGGTAGACATTACACTCATAATCATCCGGCCACGGGTGAGTGCGGTCAGCGGTCTTGTCCCACACCTGAAGCCTGCAGCTGCCAGCCTATAGCCATCGCATGTCCCTCGTGACTTGACATCCGATACTTTCGCAGAAGGAGGACACCACGATGACAGCTTCTTTAGGTCTGTATGTATCGACTGTCGAGGTATGGACTGTGAAACTCGGGAGACGTGCGGTCCCCTTGTAAGTTTCGTGACGCTGGACGAGAATCTGCTCCGACATAGCGAAGTTGGGAGCTAGCAGCCGTGCGTCTTCAGCCCCGGATCCCTGTAACTGGATACCGATCGCCCTCGCATGCAAGTGCTGATAGAGCTTGCAGCTAGGGAGCAACGGACGCCGTTCTATCTACACTGGCGAGTGATTCGGCGAAACTTAAAGCAGCGTGTCGAGTATCGCGCGGAAACGCGTTTTAAGGGCAGATCTGCGATGGCTCGCGTAGGTTTTGCGCGTTGCAAATGAGTGAATGCCAGAAGCGCACGGTCTTTCCACTCGATCGTGCCGCAGCCCCTCCAGGTTCCTTGGATGTGACTATGACAAGCGGCCTGGACCCACCTGTCAATTGACCAATCCCACGAGGTGTACGCCATGTCCTTGGTGATGCCTCTGGTTTGGCTGCATCCGAATGCGCTCTTCACCTTCCGAGCACGCAAGCCGCAGCCTGTAAGGCCCTCTGAGCGCAGGCCGTTCGCAACCGTCCAATAATGCCCCTGCGTGCGTGCCGGCCCCTCGAAAAGTCGAATCAGACAAGTCGACCTGTCTCTTTTTGCCGGCCTGCTGCCCTGTCATTGGATCCCACTAGTCTGAAGCTAGCTATGGGTTGCATAATTCCGGCATGAGGAAACGCACACGGGACGAGCTAGCTCAGCTGGAGCAGAGGTGTGGGAGAGCTGGTGTTCTGCAATGAGGTGTTGGGCCAGCAAGTGAATTCATGGGCGCAATAGCCCTACTCTCGTCCTGTGCCTCCCGTGCCCTTCTCGACACGTAGCATTTAAAGCGCCTAACGATCGGTTCATTGGCCGCGAGCCAGCTCTTCTCAACTATCCCGCCGTCACCATCGACCCAGGTTCCTGCTCTTGCGTGAGCGCCAACCCTACACCAATCCAGCTAGCGTTCTTTCACTGGAGGGGTCCTTAGTTCTACCTGCCCCGCCAACCGACGCCCTCCACCTCGCTTTCTCTGCCCATCATCACGACCTTGCAGCAGACTTCTTCCTTCGTCCACACGCATTATCGATTGCTTGTGCCATCGATACCGAAACAGCCTGGTGCTTAAGACTAAATGTTCGTTCCGTCACGTTGCTTGTTATGACCTGCAGAGGACGCCGCGATGGGCTTCCTTCGCATGTGTCCTCCCAACTTCCTTTCTCTAACACTCTTCTCGTTTACCTGTTGTGAGGCTCTTTGTATCGCGTGCGCGTTCGTTTTGCTCGAGAGTCAGTATTGAGACAGTTCAGTGCTCCTTTAGATCACCATGTCAAAGCTCTTCATAGGGTAAGTCTGACCTCACTGTCACTACGAGGCTGCCACTAACATTGCGGTAGCGGTCTTGCGTGGCACACTGATGACGCAACCCTGCGCCAGAAGTTCGAGGAGTTCGGCCAAGTTGAAGAGGCAGTAAGTCACGTTCATTGAGCAAGAAGGTGCCAGTAAGCAAGCATGGTAGCTCACCTCACTACAGGTAGTCGTCAAGGACCGCGACACTGGCCGCAGCAGGGGATTCGGTTTCGTCCGTTTCGCCACCGATGCCGAGGCCGACACTGCTATGCAGAACATGAACAACATTGAGTAGGTGCTCCTACTTTGTGGCGCGATCGATCGTGCGCTCTACACGTCGTCTTCTGTTTCGCGCCAACGAGTCTTCTCATTGGAACTTGCTGATCATACATTAGATTCGATGGACGTACCATCCGCGTCGACAAGGCTTCTGACCGTGCCGGTGGAGGTGGTGGAGGTGGTGGCCGCGGCGGCTTCGGAGGCGGCTACGGACGTGGAGGCGGCGGCGGTGGTGGTAGCTACGGCGGCGGCGGCAATGGTGAGATTATGAGATCCAACACTGAGCGTTCTCTTACTAACTCGACGTCAGGCTACGGTGGCGGCGGTGGCGGTCGTGGTTCGTAACCACAATTCATGGGAGCCCGATCTTTACTGACAATTTTGATAGGCTATGGTGGTCAATGGGGCCCCCCTGGTGGTCAGGGCGGTGGTTACCAAGGTCAAGGCGGCTACGGCGGCCAGGGCGGCCAGCGTCAAGGCTACGGCGACCAACAGCAGCAGCAGGGCGGCGGCGGCGGCCAGTGGTAAAGGCTCTAGCAAAGCTTCCCTCACAGCGACGGCAACATGTGTCACAACATCAGCCAATTTCGTTGTTGAGGGTCTCAGCAAGAAGTTCACTACGTCCGGACTTCGATGGAGGACTGATGTTCGAGCTTTGACAGATACTGTGTCGGACTGGGATGGGTGCTGGCGGTTCAATGTGCTCTCGAGCTCCTATTTCAGGGCTTTGCAGGTTGTCTTGGAGTCGCACTGACGAGATGATTGATACCCATTGAATCAGGACTTGCTTATCTCAGGTCGTGGTTTTAGCTGTCTGACTCAACCCTATTCACGGCTTCTTCTTGTATCTGGCCAATTTCTGATGTGCATGACAAGGTGCTAGCATTTCCAAGCTTGCTGAACATGAACACCAAGTCTTCTCAAAATCGCCATTCATTCAGTATGCCAGGCAGACGATTCATGGAGAAGGCTCTGCTTCGTAGGCACCAGCTCCCAGAAAACGAGCGCTTGCCGGCAATCAAGCTGAAGTCGACCAGCTGGTGGCCCCGTCAATCCAGCTAGGTAATGTGTAACACAACCCTACACATGTTGCGACATGACCGTTATACAACATTGTGCCAATGCAGTTATTCTGTAAGACAGCCCAGACTGTCAGCTCAGCCAACGCATTGTGATAAGCCCGCATAGAACGCACCTAGCCGCCGTGAGTCTAGAGACGGGCTGCAGAAGAGTGCATACAATAGAGCAGATGCGGACTGCGGATGCAAGTGATCGTCGTAAGTCAGGCGCCCCACGCGCAGCCATGTTTTCCGGGTGACCCGCATCGCTGCTGCCTTAGGGGTTGGCGCAGAGGCTGGAACGTGGACAGGGAAGCAATCCGTGTCCCCGGATTGCTGGAACACAACCACCACCGGCCATTTCCAGCAGGCTCGAGGACATCATGAAGAGTTGGAATGGACATGATGACGCACGGATTGCACCTCAGCGGGCTCCCTCAGGCGCTCGCTTCCTGACTGCTGCCTTTGTTGCACTTGTCCTTGTGGCTGGATTAGATACCATCTTTCCCAGCTTCCAGCATCGATACATTCCGAACGTCGGTAACAAGCCACGGGTAGGAATCAGCCACGGCTCGAAATCGTTCGAATGGTCTCAGGTACGTGTTGACATTCCTAAGCATTAGCAATGTGGGGACCGTGCATACTGTGTCTCGTCCTTTCCTCAATCTACCCTTGCAACATTACAACAGCGGGTGGTGTGGGAAATGATAGACATGACACGGCGTTTGTATACCATCGTCAGTGACCGGCGAAAGATCTGAACTAGGTCTCTAGGCTTGAACAACATGGTGGTTCAATTCATATGTGTATTGTCATCTTGCCAAATCGAGGTCTTTCACCACTGTACGCTATGCGCTCTGGAATCTGCATCGTCATTTGTTCGAGCACAAATTTCAACATACTGACCGCCCACGTAGATTGAGGCCCAGGAATATCTCGAGTTCCATGAATGCTTTGACGGTTTTGAGTGTGCGAAATTGAGCCTACCATTGGACTATTTCAATGGCACGTTTCCAGACGCCACTGTTAGTGTGGCAATTGCGAAGCTGCCTGCGAAGGTATCCATCAATGACCCCAGATACGGAGGTCCGATTCTGCTCAACCCGGGCGGACCAGGGGGGCCAGGAGCGCAATTCGCGCTATCCACAGCCAAATCACTACAGTGGGTGGTGGACGCAGATTCGAAACCCACCTCAGCGGAAGATGATTCCCGATTCTTCGATATAATCGGTTTCGATCCTCGCGGTATCGGCGAGACTACGCCCGCCGCCACATGTATCTCAGATGCTGCCGCAGCGTGGTCCTGGAGACTGAGAGAGTCCGAAGAAGGTATCTTAGGCAGCTCAGACGCCGCGCTCGGTCGATTGTGGTCTATGACCCATGCGCTCGGTTCTTCGTGCAGACTAGCTATGGACGAGGAGGACGGTCCAGACGTGAAGCAGTACATGACCACTGCCTTTGTTGCTCGAGATATGCTCGAGATTGTCGAAAGACATGCTGAGTACAATGTGCATAAGGTCGCACGAGAAACGCACAACAACGGAAAACGTTCCGGCCCTCACACTAATTCACACCCAAAATATACTCCAGGAGAAGCTAAGCTACAGTACTGGGGATTTTCCTACGGAACATTTCTTGGCTCCACGTTCGCGTCCATGTTTCCAGATCGAGTTGGCCGAGCCGTGCTCGATGGTGTTGTTAATGAATGGGACTACGTCCATTCCTTAGGTAACGGGAGTCTGGTAGACAGCGAAAAAGCCATGGAGTCTTTCTATTCCTACTGTCTACTTTCTGGATCAACAGTTTGCCCCTTAGCACTGGAAAATACCACTACTACCGCGGAGATCAAAGAGCGCGTCGAGAGGATCATAAACTCGCTTTACCATAATCCATTCATCCTCGCTTCAGCAGATGGCCCAGAGGTCTTCACTTACTCTGACCTCAAAAGTACCATCTTCAGCAGCATCTATCAACCACACATCACATTTGAGATTCTTGGGCAACTGCTTGCACAGCTCGAAGCTGGTCATGGTGATTTGATCGACTACCTGTCAAAACCCTTCCGGCTTGATCACACGCTATCGTGTGATGTTAATGGGAATGTCAACCCTAGCATCTCGTATACCAATGATGTTCCGACATTCGCCATCCTGTGCGCCGACGGCATAGATCAGCAGAACCTGAGTCCCAATGAGTTTGTCGAGTACTGGCATCTTCTACAGACTATCTCGTATCCAGCTGGAGACCTATGGGCAATGCTGAAGATGAAGTGTGCCGCTTGGAAAATTACCGCAAGCTACAAATTCGATGGGGAGTATGGAGGTAACACAAGCTACCCGATTCTGTTTGTTAGCAACACCGCGGATCCCGTCACACCGCTGCGAAGCGGGAGAATTATGCAGTCCAAATTCCCCAATAGCAGGCTTCTTGTCAACGATCAGGCGGGTCATTGCTCTTTTTCGGCTACAAACCTGTGCGCATATGAAAGGATCAAGGCGTATTTCCAGACAGGCGCGTTGCCTGCGAAGGATACACTTTGCGTACCTCCACTCAGTACTTTCTCACTGAACTCAACGGATCCGGCCTCTCCGTTTTATGATCCCACACTTGGAACCAGCACTCAGATATTCGCTGACTCCAAAGCTCACACAGAACAGCAGAATATGCACGATGCGGCGAATAAGTTAAGGCGTGTGATGGCAGAAAGTGACATATTTGGTTTCAGTAGCCTGATCGGTAACAAGAGGGCCGTGAAACTGCAGCAGTTGGCTGCCTCAAGACATCACAATTAAGCACAGAGCAAGAAGGGGAAGATTAATCATTTGCCATTGCCTGGGCACCTCAGCATTGGGGTGTGGATAGGGCCATACATTCGTTATTAGACCCACATGCTACTTTCTATTTCAAACATCTCCCACCTACGCATGGCTGTTGAAACGACACAGTGAAGGTGATTTCAGCGTAGCATCGTTTGTATGAGCATCACGAAGGATGGAGGCGTCACGCAAATTACTGTTTTGTTGTATCAATATGAACAGCTCACTATACCTATAGTTTCGAGAAGTTTTATGCAAGTTTGCATTCTTTTGAATAGAATCTTATCATATAGTGATGACAAGTTGATGTTGGTTGACTGTCCGGTCGACTTCAGGGTATCAGAAACGCAATGTATATCTATATGTCAATGAATGGAGTCCTAGGAAGCCAGCACCGGAACGGCACTCTCAGCTGCAGGCTTCTTCTCGTCTTCAATGGACTGAGTTGCAGACTGAGTCGCGGTGGCAGCGTCAACCTTGTTCTGGGCAAGACGCTATGGAAAAGTTAGCTTTGGGATACCAATCATGTTTGGGATAGGACATACGAGCAGGTTTCGTAGCAAGACCGCAATAGTAACCTTGCCAATAGCTGGAACGTAGATTGACGCCTTCTCCTTCACATCAGGGTTGAAGTTGCGTTCGCTCGAGAAGTTGATGCACACAGCGCCATCCTTCAGCAGGTGTGCAGGTACCTTGTACTTCTCCCCCGGCACACCACTGATGACAACATCACTTTTGGAAAGGCAGTCCTTGAGCTCCCATCCAGGCTTCTCCACAACATCGTGCTTCTTCTTCCTGATGCCTTCACCTCGAGTAAACTCTTGCACGTCGGCAATGTCCACGCTGTACACAGTCGCGCCATCGTTGGCCAGCAGAGCTGCCAGTGGCCGGCCCACAACTTCACTTCGGTTGATAACAGTGATTGTACGCCCATGCAGCCTGTTACCGTAGGCAAGTATGGTGTTGTAGATCCTAAGATACTCGAGGATTTTGATAACGGCAAGTGGCGTGCATGGCAGGATGCTTTTTTTGGTACCGGCGGGATCGAGGAAGCGGATGTTCTGGTACATGTTGAAAATGTACTGGTGAGACAGACCCTCGACATCTTTATCGGTGGAGACGATCTGCTGCAGGTACTGGTCTTGCCTGTTGCCGAAGATTGGGTAGTAGACCATGATACCGTCGACTCTGGCGTCGTTGTTGGCGTCGATCAGAGCGTCTTCCAGCTCCTCGCGGTCGACTTCGCGCAGTTCGTAGTCAAAGCCACTGTCATGCATGAGTTTTTTGTCTCTGGCTGTCCGGCACAGACAGGAAGAGCAGCGCAATGGGTGGGCTCACTTCTCGTTGCAAGTCTTGCCCGTCCATTCTGCATACACTCGCGCGGCAGGATCGCTGCTTGAAAGGAAGCCCACAAGGAGTGGCTTACGATCGAGCGCCTTGAGACCGTCCTGGATTTCTCCAAGAAGGCTTTTCGCGATGTTGTTCGCGAGGATTACCTTGCAGTTGGGCTTGTCGGCGGCCATGATGGGGGGAAGGTGAAAGCGGGCAGGACTTCAGAAGGAAAGGTGGGAGGCAGTTGGCTACTTTACGCGTATCCCGACGCGAAGGACAAGAAGACGTTTGGTCTGTGTCATCCTAAAACCTCCGTCTGTAAAGGCGCCGCACTTTTCGTGGTGTCTTGACTTTTTTCTGCCCCACCGAATGCGGCGACCAATCAGCGGGTTGGGGAAGTTGCGTCATAAGCCGCCGCTCTTTGGCTTCGAAGCACTGGTACGGATCGCCGTCCTTCCAGTACGACCGACACAAGCCTTGAGACGCGTCGCGAGTATGTCAGACATCCAGCAATACCTGCTGGACTATGACCGTAATAAGAAGGAAGCGTCTGCCACCGCGCAGCGTAGCGCAATCCGTATGTGTGGGCATCTGGAGGGGTAGCATGGGACGAAGGCTGATCACGAACAGAACTGCAAAGCGGCCAATTGAAGCTTCTGAAGCTGGTGGGAGACCTCGGAGAATACTTCAACAGCGAAGATGGCGCAGTACGCTCGAAAACGGTTTCCTACCTCGCTGAGGTCGTTGCCGCGACGCCCCAAAAGGTGCTGTCGCTGCAGCAGCGGAATCTACTCTGTGACTTTGTAGTGTCCCGCACGGAAGACAGCGAAGGCATAGGGTCTTGTGCGAAGGCGCTGTTGGCACTTGAAGCGCTGGGCAAGTGGGACGACACGAGAGTGGTGGCCATACTGGAATCCCTGCTCAGCAACACACACCCTCTCCGCCAGTACAAGCAGCAGACGGAACGATACCCCGTCCTTCGACTCATCGATACACTCATGGCCAAATACCGGGAGCCCCTCCGCGTACATCACATAGAGAATGGCGATTTCCTGCCCCGCTTCATATCGTACTTCGATGGCGAGAAAGACCCTCGCAATCTGATGGTTGTTTTCTCCATTTTGCGGGTGCCCATGACTGAATGGAGTATTGGTGCCGACGCCCAGGACCTCTTCGATGCCGTCTTTAACTACTTTCCTATTACTTTTCGACCGCCACCGGACGACCCGTACGGTATCACTGCTCAAGATCTGAAGGACCGCTTGAGAGATTGCATATCTTCGACACCAGACTTTGCGCCATACGCCTTTCCCGCCTTGCTGGACAAGCTTGACTCGACGTCAATGAATACGAAGCGCGACGTTTTACAAGCGATCACCGCGTCAGTGCATGAATACGGCGCTCGAACGATCTCGCTTTACTCGATAACTCTATGGGATGCTTTGAAGTTCGAGATTTTAAACGTACAGGAGGAGGATCTCGCAGAGGAAGCTCTGAATGGTCTGGCCGCTATCGCACGATCTTTGTCACAGGGCACCAGCGGACCACTCAACGCTTACCTACGCCCCATTGTAAAAGAATGCAATGAACACCTTGAGGATGCGCCAACGAAACAGTCACAAGCATCTGCACGTATATTACACAAGATCGCGCAAGTGTCTGCTGAGGTCAACAACATCTTGTTAGCAGGTGTGCTTCCTACTTTGTTTCTGCTGTTTCAGAACGCAGACACCATGGCAAAGCGAAGGGGGCTACTCGAAGTTTTGATACAGTTGATCCGTGCCAACGTAGCCGAGTATGGTGACTGGCGTGCACCAGGCGCCTCCGGCGATCAAGTGAGCACCAATGCGTTAAGGGGATTCAGCGGGCAAGCGTTGGAGATCCTACTTAATGGCGTTGAATCAGCGCCAGTAAAAGAGGTCTCATTCCGCCTAGTGTGCTTGGATGGACTCCTACAGTTGTCTAAAGTACGACAACTCCTGAGCGACGAAGAGATTCGCCGAACAATCCAGGTCATTCAAAACGTGGTCGTGTACGAAGATCCATATGGGAAGGACGAGGTCAAAGAAGCTGCCGTGAGTGGTCTTGTGGAGATTGCACATCAAAAGCCTCAGCTTGTGGTCGACAATGCTTTCCCTGTCTTTTTGGCCCAGCTACCGGACTGCGATACAGATGGCTCAAAGAGCTACTCCTCGGTACTGGAAGCATTTGCAAAGCTTGCAAGTGAAGAGAAGATTTTCGACACTGTCCTCCTGCGATTAAAGAACAAGTTCAGCACTGCAGTGCAACAAGGCGCATCGTCAAGTTACTTGGTTGCGCTGTTGTCTGCCATGCTCTATGCCCTCAATAAGGGGGAGGCAAAGCTCTCCCAAAGCCCCGAAACGTCCACCTATTACAACGATATTGCACTACCACTGCTACAGCGAGCGTCCAGCTCAGACTCATCGCATCCGGCGGCTTTCAACGACGAGAGTACGCTCGATCTCGTCGGACGTATATGCGGCCTAATTATCAGATCACAAACCGTAGAGTCGCAGACTATGATTGCGACAGAAGTATACACACTTTTCCGTGGCACGACGCAATCCGAGCTGCCTCCCTTCAACCTCGACTCTGCGCCAGAGACGGACAAGACGATGGTGATCAGCACTCACCTCTTGGCTTCTTTTAGGAGAGAGACTGCCCTGCCATGTGAGCTGCAGCTTCTCACAACCTCACTGGCCGGGTACGCGCAACTACCGCGCCTTTCGGTACCTGTCCGCTCCGCTTCCCTGCGGCAACTTTCTCTCGTCATCAACAAATACTATTCCGCATCTGGTCTAAAGACATGCATGGACCCTTTGCTATCTGAATTCGATTTGTTCAGCAGCGAGAAGCTCGACACTCAACGTATACGAGTAATTTTCGCCTGTCTGAAAGGCATTGCCTTAAGGAGTAGCCCTGTCCTCAATACCCTGTACACCACGGTGCTCTCGTTACTTGCTCACCCGCAGCATGGCAGTACAGTGGCACACGGGTTCACAAGTCTGCTGCAACCTGACGACATGCTGACGAAGCAGAGCCACTGCCAGATCTCTGGATTGCACAAGCAGAAGAGTTTTGCGCTCCTCGTTCCCAGCATTGTGCAGTCCTTCCGCGAGGCATCAGCGGAGACGAAGCCGAACTACCTCATTGCGCTGAGCGGCATACTGAGGTGGATGCCGTTTGACATTGTTGTCGAAGAAGTGCACCAGCTTGTCACTCTGCTTCTGCAGTCGCTGGATTTGAAGGGCATTGACAACGTCAAGGAGGCAACGATTGGCACGCTTACGTCGACGCTGGTGGAGAAGGCGGAGCTTCTCGAGGAGCACAGTGGCAGCCTCATCTCACGGCTGCTTGCAAACGCCACAGTGGGCAAGGAGTCGGCACCCCAGGCCAAGGTTCGCGTCGCAGCGCTCCGCTGTTTGACGCTGGTGCCGGAGAAGTTCAAGGCGGAGACGGTGCTTCCGTATCGCAGACAGGTGGTCAAGAAATTGACGGCAGCGCTGGATGATAGGAAGAGAGAGGTTAGGAGCGCAGCGGTCAAGTGTCGGGCCAAGTGGCTAGAGATTGACGAGGCGGGCGATGATGAGTAGACGATGCGAACGAAGGTGAGGACGGTGCAAAGTTGGAAAATAGATTCAAAGATATCCCACTATACATTCACGATTCAACATTCAACATTCATGTGCAGCTGTTCGTGGATGTAAACAGACTTTTCATGTGCCCAGCTGCCCGCGAAGGTGGTATAAGCCGTCAAAGAACTCCCGAAATGCCGTAACGCCGCCCATGCAAGTCTTGGTCAAGGTTCTACTGATTCCTTGCCTTCTTCAACAAGGCCTGCTTCAGCGCGTCGTTGTCGACCTTGTCCTCGGCGGGCTCAGCCATAGTGGCATCGCCCTCGACGTCGTCGTCACGACTCCGCTTCAAGCCCTTCATTTTCCGCGTCTGCATGGTGCTGAAGTCCTGCTTGCCCGGGTGGATCCTGGCGACCTTGTCGCCCATGGCGTCGGTGGTGATGTTCTTCTTGGTGCGCTCCTCGCTGCCCTTGGGCTTCTTCAGGGCCTGCTTGAGCATGTCGGCGTCGGGGAACTGCTCGCGGCCCAGGGCGAAGTCGATGCGCGGGCCCATCTCCTCGACCTCGACGCGCGGCAGCTTCTGGCCGCTGCGCTTGGTCTTGAGCAGGTAGAAGCGCAGCTTGATCTCGGGGCTCGGGCGGGCGTCGGTGGGCTCCTCGGCGCTGATGCTGATGAGGTACTGCAGGCCCTCGACATCGACCTCGTCGGTGTCCTGGCCGCGGAACAGGTCGACGAAGAGGCTCTTGGCGAGGGTGTACTTGGTCTCGTTCGGGTCCTCGAAGACGGTGCCGTGGAAGGAGATGAGCGGCTTGAGGCCGACGCTGGGCTTCTTGTTCTTGAACTGCTGCAGGGTGCGGAAGGTGTCCGGGTTGATGTACAGCTCGAGCATGTCCAGCACCTTGTAGCCGAAGGTGCGCACCAGGGTGAGGCAGTGCGGGCGCTTCTTGGAGTGCAGCGACAGGGCGAGCAGCGAGGTGTCATTCTTGAGGGCGAAGAACTCGAGCGACGAGGCGTCGTCGAAGGGGTGGATGTCGTTCTTCTTGGTGAAGCGCTCGACAAAGGGCCGCTTGAGCGTGGCCAGGTCGGCGGCGGCGAGCTTGAGGATCTGCGAGGTGCGCTGGCCGGTGACGAAGAGCGTCGTCTTGGGGTTCTCGTGCTGCTGCGGCTCGCGGGCCTTCATGGCGCGCGCGGCGCGCGCATTCTTGGGCTTGCTGCTGGACGGCGTCAGTGGCGGCGACGCGGCGCTCTGCGGACGGGGCACCTACACGGCCTTGATCATGGTGGGCGGCTGCTGGGGCGGCTGCTGGGCGGTGCGAGCTGGTGGTGGTCGATGTGCGGTGCAGTGCAGTGCAGTGCAGCGGTGCGCCAAGATTTCGCAGCTGGCACTTTTTTTTGAGCGGCGCGCCCGAGTTGGCCCAAAGCGGCTGGGCGGCGGCGCTGCGCCGCTGCACCTGAAGGATCTGATAAGCGGTGCGGCGCGGGGCCCTGAGCAAATTCCGACGCCCGACGTCGCTGGTGGGGGGCGCGTCAGTCAGCCCGCGCCGAGCACGTCACGGCGGCCGGCGCGCTGCAGATGGCACCATCCATCCGCCGTGTGCGCAGTCCCACTGCTCTCGTGCTCTTCCACGCCCTGCCGCGCTGCCTCGCCCGTCCACCCGCCGCCCCCGCCCTCCCGCCATGGCCACCGTGCGCGAAGTCACCGACGAGGCCGCCTTCGCGTCCACCGTGCAGGGCCTGCCCGCCGGCACGCTCGCCGTCGTCTACTTCCATGCGCCGTGGGCCAAGCCGTGCGAGCAGATGGCCGTAATCCTGAAGACGCTCGCCAGCACCTACCCCGCCGACGCCCCGATTGCCTTCCTCTCGCTCAACGCCGAAGAGCTGCCCGACGTCTCCGAGCAGTACGACGTAACCGCCGTGCCCTACATTGTCGTGCAAAAGGACGGCCGCACCCTCGACACCGTCAGCGGCTCCGACGCCGCCAAGGTGCGCGCCGCCGTCGAACGCCATGCCGGCCCCGGCTCTGGCCCTGCCGCCCCGGGCCTGCCGCCCGCCCAGACAGTCACACGGCCGCCCGTCGAGAACGGCGCCAACGGCGACAGCCCCAAGGGCCTGGCCGCCTATGCGCCCGGCCCCGGCGACCCCAAGACCGCGCCCGAGTACAGCGCAGCCGAGCCCGAGACCACCAAGGAGGAGCTGCACAAGCGCCTGAGCGAGCTCGTCAAGGCCGCCCCCGTCATGCTGTTCATGAAGGGCACCCCGAGCGCCCCGCAGTGCGGCTTTTCCCGCCAGACCGTCAGCCTCCTGCGCGAGAAGGGCATCAGATACGGCTTCTTCAACATCCTGGCCGACGACGAGGTCAGGCAGGGGCTCAAGGAGTTTGCCGACTGGCCGACATTTCCTCAGCTTTGGGCAGACGGCGAGCTCGTAGGAGGCCTTGACATTGCGAGTAACCCGCACGTCCTGTGGAGACCTAGCTAACACTCGACAGGTCAAGGAGGAGTTCGACAACGATCCCGATTTCCTGGCCCAGTACGCGGTCAGCCAGCCAAAGCCTGCGTAGAAAGTCCGCCACGCGTCCAGGGACTCACCGAAGAGAAGTCGTATCCGCATGTTTTCGAATAGACAAGCCAACAGCGAGGAATGCGCCGCTGCTCAGTGGGACTCTGCAGGTACTATCTGTTGAAGAGGAAACCTTGTCGAGAGTCGTCGCTGGGCTTAGCAACCTGACCAAGTCGTGTGGCTCTGCTGGTCGCCCGGTCCTCTTGGTGGGGGCAGAGCCAGACTGTGAGCAGTCTTGGGAGGACGCGCTTGATAGCATTGATGAGCTACGACTGCAGCTGAACATTGACTTGAAACTCAAAAAGGCCTTTGCCAATCCTACTTATCCTGCACCATCGCAACGAAACCTGCCTTGCCAGTTGTCTGACTAACGCATACTACGTCTCTCTCGACCGCCACCGCTTTGTCACGCGTGTTGCCAAACCTATGTGCTTGCCTCAACCCCTTTCCTGTCCTTACTATCCGCGGCCTCGACAGCGTCCGCGGTGGGCTCGTCGGGTATGTCGACAATGACACCTGGATCTTTCGATCTACTCGCCAGCATCGCCGCGCGCTTCTGCAGCACCGTCAGCGTCGTGTCCCGTCGCGCTACAAGCCTCGCAATTCACCTCTTGCCCCAAGCGCCCCGTGTCCTTGTCCAGCTGGCTCAGCAGCGCGCCATCCGCGTCTTCGTCTGTCGCGCTGAGCACTCGGCTGCCACTCGTTTCGCGGCGCTTCAGCTCCTGCTCTTGCGGGCTCGTCGGCATGCCGTCTAGCTCCACGGGCTGCGCGTTGATCGCGGGCACCGAGGTGTCTATCAGGGGGACATGCGTCGGGACTGCAGCAGACGTTGTGTGCGTGAGCCTTGTACCAGGCGGTTGTGAGACAGGGGACATGGGTCCCTCACTGGGCGGGGAGATGGGTGTGGGGTTGGCCATTACTACCGACGACAGAGTGCGATGAGACTGTCTAGGACTATCTGTTGTCACGTCCATGTACAGCCCGCGACCCCAGGTGCGAGGGGCTGAGCCTCGCACGGCCAAACAAAGGGCCGGCGGCCTCGTAAGCCATGGTGCTGTCGCGATACAGATGACGTGGGAGTCAGGGTCCATGGCTGTCAGGTGGGGCATCGCCAGGGTGTCTCGCCCGAATGGGCCAGCCCTGCATTTATCAACGCCTTCGAGCTGCACACAAATGGAACAAAGTGATGCACCCCTTAACAGCTCTGCAGATCGTGCAATTCAGATGGTGTACATTTCCATTCAGGTACCACGCTCACATTCTGCTGCTAGTCGAGCATCACCCCCCACAAGAATCATTTGTTCAACCAACGTTCAGTGGTGGCCGTTCATCGGCAACTGAAGAACAACACCACAGCTGCCTTTCTCCCAGACGGGCGACTATCGAGTGATCGATTTTGAACATCAATCACGCTTCGTGTTTACCATGAACCCCATCGCGTACCCTTCACCATTACTTGGCTTTGCCTCAGGCTAAATATGTCAGGGAAGTGCGCTATCAACTACAGCTCAAACTTCACTTACCTCCATAAATACGGTTTGCCCAAACGCATTTGTTCGCTGACTTTGCGATTGGGCATTTGAGGTTGCTGGACTCTGCAGTCCGGTCGTATCTGTCTGTATGGGCATCCCACTCAAATCCATGGGGAAGAAATTATTTTGGGCATCTACACTAGGGCCCTGGATGTACGAATCCCATGCATCCTGGTTCTGTTAGCACGTCATGTAGATACCGAACCCTTGTAGACTTACCCAGCTGATACTGTCCGTGGGTGGCAGGTCTAGATTTTGGAACAGGTTCGCGCCAAACAGGTTTGAGAATGGACTCGACGTGTTTTCGACGACCCCAGGCCCAGACGTCGTGTTTCCACCAAAATTTGGCGCCATGCCAAGCGGCTGCTGTGGCATTGGGTCGTTCAGTAAGTTTGCCATAGAAGCCGGATACCGTTGATCAAACATATTTGCCGAGTTGGGTGTCATACCCCCTGTACTAAGCATGCCCAGTGTCATGGCCGCAGAGTGCTCTGGGGCCACGTTTGCATCATCCATTGGCGCGTTGGCTGGGAAGGTGGATGCCGAGGAAAAGCTCCCCTGTGTCTGCCTGGTAGTGCGGTCCTTTTTCAGTTGGCTCGACATGACACTCAACGTGGTGTAGGCTTTGTAAGCCTCCATTGAATGCTCTTTCAGGCCTTCCCAAATACCGACCGCTGTATCGATGGCATCAAGCATCTCGTCGAACCGATCAGAAGTCCAGGTATATTGGTCGTCTGAGGGCGGCAAGCGACCTTGATGTCCAGACCTGATGGTGTGATAGAGATCGGACGAGACTATCATTGCGGCAAGTAGAAAGTCGACGGTTGTAAGTGATGAGATAAACCACTTGACATTGCGTAGACGACCACCGGGTTGGCACTCCCGGTGCAATGTTGCCTGGTGCTGTAACATAGTCATTGACGCATTGATAACAGCCGTTCTCGAGTAGCTGAACCGTGCATGAACGCGAGCATATGCGAGATACTTCCTGTGCAAAACGCAGATGATCTTGAGAAACAGAAGCTCTAGGGTGAAGCGTTGCATGATCAGGGTTGACGTATCGCGAGCTGAGTCGTCCATAGAGCGTAGCTGGAGGTGTGGTGAGATAGTATCGTGTAATTCTCGGGCTTGCGTATCGAGCTTCATCACCTCATCATACGACGAGCATGTCAAGGTATCGATCAGCTCTACAGCCTCGCCCAACTTGTAGATCAGGCGTGTGCGGTTGATCAAGAACAATGTAGGAGTGGCTTCAGTTTCTGGCCGAGACTGCGGAAGCACCTTCATGTCTTCAAACAGTTCGTCGTCATACAAGTTGCGTGGGACATCGGTGTTGGTGTCCCGCGGTCGCATGATCGGTGGCAATCCAGCCTGCGCAGAGAATAGGAGATCGAACGACCGGATACAGGCCCAGACTCTCCGTCGCATCTCACCCTGGAACACAGAAATACCAGGATATGGCGCCGGATCTCGATGCATACCTTGCCGCATAGCCAGTCGTACTATAATCCCCGTGCTGATAAAGATGCCTACTTCTGCATCTCTGCTACGCGAGTACTCGGCGTGGACATGCAGAATCAAAGTCTCTAGCATACCTTGAGTTGGCTGTGTGATGTCAGCCATTACAAGGCATTGCGCAGTCAAATCTCGGTATTCTTTGGACATGGACCAGGATTTACCGCCGTACTCCGGTGGTTCGTCGCCTGCTCTTGTGTATGATTGCAGTGCAATGCACATCATCGAGAAGACTAAACCTAGCCAAACAATAGGAGTCTCATTGGGATTCAGCCAGTGGTTATCATACTCCTTTTGGAACGTAGGTCCATGTATGATGTGAATGCCAGGATCGTATGTATTGAAGAAGCGTGACACCAGAATGTCAGCGGTAGGTTTCGGTGGAAACTGGGAGAGGACCTCGGATCTCGACATAGGCTTCATCTGACCGTACAAGAATCCAGTGCCTGGCGGACTTTCTTCGTTGTGACTAGCTTTGTAACGCTTTAACTGGTCGTCATACTGTTTCTTGTGCTCGGCAAAGTAGTTCTTCACTTCTGAAAGCTAGTGCGCGTCAGAAAACAACCCGTATGTGCGCACGACTGGTACATACCTCGCCCAAAATGGCATACCAGTGTGCTTCAGACGCAAAGATGGTCTGATTGTTGTTGACCTTCATGACTCCAATCGATTTTGTCACCGTCTCCATCTCACTTTCTTCGCCCGCATCTTCTTCCGGAATGGACTCTGGCTGCCCGCTGCTCATGCCGCTGCTCATGTTGCTTACATCGAACTGGTGCTCCGAAGAAGCGCCATTAAGGCTACCAGCAATGGCTGCCTGCGCAGCCGCGGGTCCAGCGCTCTGTGCCCCATTGGTCATCAGCGAAAGGACCAGTCCTTCGAGTCGATCGATTCGATTCTGCATGTCATCGGGAGACGTAGCCGTGCCAGCGCCAACATTGTTCTTCTTGCGATTACCTATAGAGGCATAAGTGCACGATCCCGTATCTCCACGCTTCGTACAGTTGTCGCAAGGCTGCGCTCGATTGCATTTCAGTCTGCGTGTGTTAGCGACTAGGCTTCGTCTCGAATAACTCGTTCGACTAACTTTCTGTGACGGCATGGTCCGCACGACAGGGGGATGCGGTTCCTCTTGCGCACAACTCTAAATTGAGGATCTGGAGGTGACTGTCCAGCACTAGAGGATGTCGTGGAGGGTGGAGTGTGTTGCGGCGGCATGTTGGCAAGATTTCTGCGCGATGCCTGCTATGTTGTGTCCAGGGAGTAGCGGAGATAAAGCTTATTAAGTCCGGAGAAGCAGCGCCCTTCTCTGACGCGTTCGTAATCACCAGAGCTGAAATGAGAGGCGCTACGGCTCTACCAAGGAAGGATCGATGTACCAGAGGCGTGTATCTGGCGTGTGAACTGCAGGAAAGAATCTGCAGCTCGGGGCTCTAGATTCTTCGGCTTTGCGCCTATCTCCAGCTGATACCTGCTGGTAGGATCGAAAACCGAACACAGCTTCGGTACTGTAGCTGCTACAGATTCCGCGTGTTCCTCCTAGCTCTTGCCTGTATCAATCTTGCCACCGTTCGCCTGTCAACTCTGTAAGTCTGTCACGCCACCGTGCGGTCCGTATGCTCTTGCGAACGGGTGAAGTATTCTTCAGCGGCCGTTGGATTGACCAGAAGTCAGGCTAAACGTTGCTGATTGCGACAGAGCAGTATGATATCCAGAACGTATGCGCGGACGGTCGATCGCAATGCAAGCAGTGACGCTGATATTGAACACGGCCTCGCGCGTGTGGTAAAGTATTGACTGAGCGAAGATGCCAGTTACTGTTTTAAAGGTCAGCGCAACTCGCTGCACGGCTGTGGTAGACTCACCAGTGTGGAAGGCAGCACCAAGCAGAAGCGCACACACACACACACGATCGTCTCAGCCAGAAGCGCACACACACGGTCGTCTCAGTCGGAAGCTGTATACTGAGTGCGCTCAAGTTTGCGACACACAGTATGTGTATCAGAGGGCTTCAAGACGTGGGTGGTGTGGAGTGTCCGCTGAAAGGGCGCAGGTAAGATGGATGCGCCAGCTTGACTATCGAGTCCGACGGAAAGCGCTTGGCATTCGACGAGGCTTTCCAAGTCAAGATCGTTAATTAGGCTATCGTCGACCCTTACCTGTACAAATCTGACTCACACGCGACTAGTTTACCTATGCGTAGGCTCCCACAGGTGCCCCGTTTGTTCGGGTCAGTCTCAGCACTTGACCATCAAGCGCTGGAGACTGAACGCGCGCTGCGGGGTCGACGTGCACGCACCGCCACTGCTAGCTTTACATCAATCGCCCTTTCTGGCCCTAAGTGTGGAACAATCACATGTTTTGACATCTGCAGGTACAATTTTGCGCTGAACGCCCACAAAGTGCTCTGGCTTGTATCACTGGGAGCTTAGACACGAAATGCTCTAGATGTTCCGCGCAGCAAAACGTCTACCTGGCAGCAAGCCGCAACTTGCGGATGCCATTTACGCTATCTCCCTTTTTGCTATTTCCCCATGAGATGGCCTTCTCTGTTCTTTTCACTCAACACCATTTTTTCCTGCCCTGCATCCCACCTATAAAAACCACCAACACCGACGTTGTACTGGTAGTAATTCTCTGTACCGCTCTTGAAAAGCGCCTTGCGGAAGGTGATATTTATTCTTCCCTTGTTCGCGTCCACACCAGCTCTCTTTGGGATGCTGTGCAGCCACATTGACTGCGTCTTTCCTCTCATAAGTACCATGTCCCCAGAGCCTAAAGGCAATTTAATCAGTCCTGGATCCGTGGTTGCTTCGCCTTCCTTCGGTGCAATAGGCTTGTGCTTCATCAGGAAATCTCGTTTTGCACCAAGTGTAAAGGACGCAATAGATGGGTTTGGGCCGAGGAAACGCTCATCGTCAGAGTGATAAGATATACTGTCTTTTCCGTTGCCATAGTAGTTGACCAAGCAGAAGTTAAAGTTATCACCCGTGGTGCCTTCGGTAATCTTTCGCAGCTCATCCAAGCATTGTGGGATTGGTCGAGGTTTGCATTTGAACCGAGAGCCTTCGACCCTCTTGCCTGTCTGAGTGTCCACGATCTCGCCGTTCGAATCGAATCGGCAGGTTTCATCTATACCGAAGACTGTGGTGAAGCGTGGCGTGTTGATCTCAGATGTCTTGCCAAAACGTGTGATAGTATACTGCACTCGATAGAACGGCAACTCTTGACGCAAGAACTCGAACAGTCCTGTGGTAATAGCTGGCGGGATGTATGGCTGATAGTACACGAGGTCAAGATCGAGCTTGTCATCCATCAATACGCCTTCCTCGGCAGGCGCAAAGCCTAGTTGCTCTGTGAACGTGGCAGGCAAGTGCGGAATCGGGATGGGGTAAGATTGATGACACGACGCGCCCGTTGGTGTCTCGTACTTGATCTTTTTAGGCGCTGTCGGTTTGAAGAACCCGTCAAGCGCACCGCGCTTCATCGAGAGGCGCAGGCTGTAGCTCGCCAGAATGATCAATGCAAGAGATCAGCTTGTTAGTAGGGTCGCAGGCTTGTTATAGGCCTGTCAATTCAAAGTGGCAAATGTATGGGTGTCAAGAACGCAAAGGAGGTGAATGTGGTGCTCCTGACGTCACAGCGCGCGCAACAAATAGACGAGAGTAGTGCAACGCGACCTATCAATATCAAATACGTCATTGCACCAAAGTAACCAGTATACTTTAATACTAACAACTACCTAATATGTCAGTAGAGGGTAGTTATAAACTTTGTTTAATTACATAGAACCTATAGAATGTTAGGTTCCATCTTATGTGACTTGGGACAGAATGACAATATACACTGTACTGAGTAAAGGACTACTATTGTGTGAGTCGTGATACCATTTTGGCTTACCTGGCTTAGTGGCTCAGTACTGAGGCCTGACATTAGCTAATAAAAGAATTTTCTAATTATATTAGCTGTTAATTATAGGAGCGATCTATAGCTAACGTACGCTGCATATATAGATATTCTACAACGTGCCTAGCAAGGCAGTTATCCCCGCTCGGAGCTCTTTACTATTTGTAGTACTATGCCTATGCACGACGTCTACAGACACGCCCATTGGTTTAGACCAGGCGAACTGAGCCCTAAATCTCCCATTGCGTCATTGGTGGAGTGGCTAGTGCAGGCACTCCAGCTGCCCCCGCAGGCCATGTGAAGTAAATGCGTCAAGTGGGGAACTGGTCAAGGTCTGCGACGGAATTGATTGCCTCACAGCATCAACGAAACGACGGCAGTGCCTGTATCTTAGATAACTTGTGTGGTTTGTCTTCTGAAGATGCAATCCATTACAGACGCTTTAACGCTGATCCGCAACCCTTCAGTGTAAGGCCTACCATGGACCCCATCACTTTCAGTACTATAGGTACCAGCTGGATTACCTATCTTTTCATCAAAGCCGCTCACGTAACCGGACAGTGGCGACTCACCGCTGCGTACAGTCGAAATTTCCACACGCTGCAGGAGCTTATCTCACAACACGGAGGAGCGGTTCACGGCCACACTAAGTTGAACGATCTTGTTAACGATCCCAATGCCACGACTATCTACATTGCTTCTCCCAACATACTGCATTACGAACATGCAAGGCTTGCGCTTCAAGCGGGAAAGAACGTGGTCATCGAGAAGCCCTTCTGCAGCACAGTCGAAGAACTGGACGAACTTTATACGATTGCTGAGCGCATGGGGTAAGTGCTGATAGAAGCTTTCTGACATATCCAGGAAGCGAACTACAAGATCATGAAACAATCAATTGCAAGATTGGGACACCTTAATGGTGCGACTATCTCGCTAAATCAGCGCAGTACCGAGTGCGAAGCGGTCCTGGCCAGTGACGTTCCCAATGTGCTTAACCTTAAGATGGGCGGCGGGGCGCTTGTCAGTACTGGGGTTTACTGCATCTCTACTGCAGTTGACCTGTTTGGATTGCCTACAAAGACTGAATTCTGGCCCACCATAATCAAGACAGGCGTTGATGGTGTGGGCCACCTTGTCTTGCAATACAATGGCTTTATTGTACAAATACATTACAGTAAGATGTATAGCAGCGAAGCTCCATTAGAAATATTTGGAGAGTATGGCACGTTGGTACTGTCTTCCATCACAGATATTGGAAGTGTCAAGTTTTGTGATTCGAGAACGAAGGGTGTTGAGGAGCTGGCTAGACCTAGAGGATCAACACATTTCAATCTTGAGGATGAGGCTTTGGAGTTCGCAAGGCTACTACAAGGTCGAGATGCTAAGGCTCTTAAGAAGTACGAAACACTGTCTCGATGTGTTCTCGCGATTATGTGTGAGGCAAGACATGCGAAGGGAATTGTATTTCCCGAGGGAAAATAAGCTCAAGCCAGGGGATCTTTAATGCAACAATGACACTCCGCTTGTGTTGCAGCTGAGCGCATGATCTAAGTTTGTGCTTTAAGTTACGTCACATGCAAAGCTTATAGCTTGCAGGAACAGTTCTCTAGAAAGCGTAGAAGGCTGTTAGAGTATCGACCTTAAGCTTGAACTTGAAGCACTAGTTACTTATAGCTAGTAGTTAGTAGTCTAGAACTATCACACTATTTATACAACCTACTACTAAAGCAGCTAATATAGTAGAGAAGATGGAGATTGAGTATGGTTAGGTTTTAGATAAATATTTAACACAACCTACAGCTGTACTATACTACAAAGATCGAACGACTTGCACGTTCCTATCCCATATGTGCAACCTCCTCACCCAGCCGTGCGATAGCAGAGCTAAACAGTCTTGACAGCTCCACTATTTGTTACGATCACCGAACCTGTAATCCACCCAGCTTCATGGCTCACTATCAAACCAAAAGTATCGGCAATGTCTTCTCTTGTTGCAAGTCTGTCTTCAACAGAAAGGCTTGATATTATCCTGCCCACACCCAGATCTCGATGCTCTGGAGTGGGGCCTTGAAGAAAAACGTCCGTGTCGGTTGCTACTAATATGAGCGCGTTGACAGTCGTGGTAGGCATAGAGGGATGTTTCCCGAAGACGCCCGCCCAGGTACGCGTTACTGATTCCGTAGCATCCTTGGTCGCAACGAATAGACCAAAAGACCTGTGTGTCGGTCAGCCGAATTGTTCTGTCAAAATTCTACAATGTCTCCAAGGCATCGAAGATACCGCTTACTCATGGGCCATGCTCCCTCTGGTTTGGTCTAACGAGATAGTCACAATCCTGGAATGTGGCTGGAATACCAGCTTCTGAAACAGTAGGTCGACTGACAATGCCAGTGGTTGAATGTTTCCAATTAGACAGCGCTGAACATACTCTGTGTCTAGCTCTCCAATCGATTGAAGTTCATCGTAAGCAGCGCTGCTGAACAAGGATATGCAAACTGCCGCCAAGATCCTGCTCTACAGCCACAGCCAACCGCTGGGGAGTCTGTGGATCCAATAGATTGGCAGAAAAGCCAATCAAACTCGGCTTCTCGTATGTCTTCTCTGCATAATGGCTCGAAATCGAAGCTGCAAGTTCTTGAAAGCGGTGGAGTGATTCTGAAGAGGGGCAGGTGCTCAGTACCGATGACCCACGATACCTGGCTAGATACAGGACCATCGCACTGTTGCTGTTGAACGATCGCGCAGATACGCTTCGAATCCAGATTGTTCAACTGCCTTACTGACACACCGGTTGCTGGATGTCTGTTCAACCAGCTGCACGCTGATACAACAAAGATACCGAGTATTTCTAGTACTCTTCTCGCCTGTATAAGAGCTTTCTCGATGTCTGGAAGTGTTGCGCAATCGAGAATGCATAACAATGGTGCTTTGATTTCTAGTTTCGATCTTCCCCTGGTTGCAGGGCTGCATGAATCATGTTGGGCTAACACAGCTCACGAGAAACCAATCTCAAAACAGCCAGGACGCAGCTAAGACTAACTACTATCAACCTGGATTAGGAAAACTCTTACATTTACATGACGATGGAAGCACCAAAACCCCTAAAGGAATACCGGAGGCTCGGGGACCCAGAAACCCGAGAGCCCGATTCACCACATCGTAGTTGATCCTCAAAACACGCACCCACACCCATAAGCTCCAGCGCTTGTACTCCAAACATCTCATTGCCCCCCTATTGCACGTAGGCAACATCCAACAGAAGTATTGAGTAAGTGACCCAGGATCGGTGTAGCAATATCAAAAGTTCTACAGGATCAAAAGTTTGGCAACGAATCGCACAAAACCTCACGTCTAACGCATATTAACATAGACAGACGTACACGCTTTGATGATGCTGGGTCTTCCAATACGTTACCTCCGACCTACCACGATCGTCGGCGGTCTTGCAGTCAGCGGCGCAAGTTATGCGTGCATACGGACCATTCATGCCGAGGCTGAATGGCCTCCCAAAGTCTTTGGTCGTGGCCCAGCAATGGTATCGTTATCACTGGAAAGCAGCACGCAAGTGAACCACAACACCAAGCGCCTACGCTTCAAACTCCCGCACGACACAGACACCAGCGGCCTGTCGTTGACATCAGCGCTCCTCGTCCTCTCGTGGCCCAAAGGCCGCTGGCTTCCCGTGGCGCGTCCCTACACTCCCATATCCGCGTCCACTTTCCCTGGTGCGCTTGATCTTCTTGTCAAGCGATATCCCCATGGCAAACAGAGCACACACCTCCATTCTTTGCAGCCGGGAGATTCTGTCCTTTTCGCCGCGGCAATCCCCGGCTACAATTGGAAGCCCAACAACGCGGCGCATGTCACGCTGATCGCTGGCGGCTCAGGTATCACCCCTATATATCAGCTCGCACAAGGAATTCTGGACAATCGGGAAGATAAGACGAGTGTAACGTTGGTATACGCCGCGAACACGGACGACGACATTCTCCTAAAGAAAGAGCTGGACGCGTTCTATAGTAAGTTTCCAAGCAGGTTTAAGGCGGTGTATGTGGTCAGTCAGCCTGCTGAGGGATCGATGGCACGGAAGGGACGCGTTACGAAACAGCTCTTAGAGGACGCCACGCAAGGCGTGTCGAACAGCGAGAGTATGGTGTTTGTCTGCGGGCCGCCGGCTATGGAGAAGGCACTCCTTGGCGATCGGAATACTGAGGGAATCTTGATGGAGCTAGGGTACGAGAAAAACCAGGTCCATTCGTTCTAGCGTTGATGCTAGCAGAGTGGTTTAGCCGCAATGGTCAAGAACATCGAGGCTCGCAGAATGGACCAGGATACATCTATAAGTTCATCGTTAGGTAACAAGCCTCGCAAGCAACATCTCCTCTCTTCCTAAAATCCAGCAAATTCGTCGAAGTAGCATCATACCGCTCACTTGTAGTATCAAATACATACTCGCGGCCAACCAGGCACGACGCACTGTACCTTGTCTTCAAACAAGAACTGGAATCCTAGAGTCAGGTACTCGGACGAAATCTATGGCGCCAGAGATAGTCTTCGAGCACCCATAGTCCGCTGATGTGAGAACTGGTAATGCCTCTCACATGAGCGTGAGTCGAGATATCTAGCTCGGGCAGTGGCTTGACAGGCTAAGCAACTGTCGGGTTATCCAACCTCGTAATCCGCATGCCATATACCCAGTCGTATGGCGAGCGCGCGGCAGCAGGTTTTGGCCGATCTGATGTTGGTGCATATCGACGGTGAGGGAGGGATGCTACCAGACATGGCCGCATGGCTGCCCATTGATAAGGAGAGATCTGCGTGGACAATGCCACCGAGCAGAAGGTTGGCTGGGATCTCGTGGAAGACTCGCATTACATACAGGCTACAAGCGTGGAACAACCAAAGCTGTGGCCGGGGTAGCGGCTGCGGAACGAAGAAGGCATCCTGGGAAGATTTCATCGATGTTGAAGCGACCCGGTCAATTTTGGCCAGGGACGCAGGCGTGGCGTAGATGAAGAACCGCGCACAGGCAAACAGACTTACAGGCGTACTGGCAGGCAACGAAAGAAGCTCGCTGCAAGCTGATAGCGTTAGTTTACATGACAGGAGGCGCGCCGCCGCGAATTTCCGAGCTGGTGTTGATCAAGCACATGAGCAGCACCAATGGCGACAGCTGTGAGATCTTTAACTATGGAGTACCGTAATAACGTTGGTAGCAAAAGAACATAGAAACGTTGTGCAAACAACCCAAGGCAAGATTATCCACCAATACATGCCGCGCGAGGTCGGCGAGTTGGTGAAATATTGTTTGTGGTCCACCAGCCCATTTTGGAGGCAGATTGAAAGGGGCGTTACGTGATAAGACAGTGGCTGGGGATGGGTACGTGCGGGAGTCCTAATCAGGGAGTGTTGAAAGCTAGAAGACTTGAGCAGCTGATCAGGTGCGAAAATGAGTGATCAATTTTATCTATCGTCGTATCTACTAAGAGGATTGGTACTTATGCCAAATCTAATTGTGCGCGCTAATCCCTTTGTGTGCCGATCCTGCGTCCTTGTCTAATTGACTTGCTTCAGTTGGTGAGATCCTTCACGTTGACCATGCCTTGATCCGTTCGAACAGTGAGCTAGCTTATCTTTTCAACAGGGAGTAATCCAGTGATACCCATCAGGAAGGAGGCACTAGCAGAGACGCAAGCAGCCAGAAGAGTAGTAACACGAAGAAGATGAGAGGAAGCGCCAGTCGGGCAGCGAGCGAGGACGCATGGGAAGAGAGCGGTGATGAAAACACGCCCTCAGCAGAGCAGCAGCGCGAGGTGGAGTTGTGGACTAGCAATCAAGCAGGGCAACCAGGAAGAATTGCACTATACGGACATGCAGTTGAGTATCTTAGCCTAGAGACTAATGCCACGTACCACAGGTGGATTAGTAGGTAGTCCAGCAGCGGTCAAAGGGTTCATAGACGCTTATCTTACAAGTTAGACAGCTCTACTAATTTTTATACTTACTTACTTAAGACGAGAACCCCTATTTTGCTTTGACACTTCTTTATTATATATAATACGCGTGTCTATACACTCCGCACCTAGCTGTAGCCTGCGGCTGAAGTTGCTTTAGGTCTATATCGGCTAGATTACTAATGACCCGGCACGGAAGACATGAACAGCGCGCCGCTCCGATTAAAGCTCCGGCTTAACCTAGAACTCGTTGCGCTCTAGTAGACCACAAAGTAGGAACGTGGTTTTGATATTTAAACAGTTAATGCTGCGCTAGAATCACACCAACATCACCCAACTCCTGCATCTCAATTACATTGCCAGACACGCAAAACAGCGGAACCTCACGATGACTCGCATAGGTGTAATCTTCGTTCCTCCAATGCAGCTCATCGATGTTGCCCCTGTAGAGCTTTTTTCCATGATGGAGAAAGCCTACATCCAAGCAAACGGTCTTCCACAGGACATCGTTGATATCGCGCTTCCCAATCATAGCATCAAGATTGCCTTCATTTCCCAGTTGGGGCCTGATACAACGGCACAAACGATTCCAGGCCTTGGTCTTGCCGCTACTCATACTATTTATGATTCCGAAGTTGCCCCTGGGAATCTAGATATCCTACTCATTCCCGGTACAGATCCGAGCGCCGTCCTGGATGAGGCGATACTTGCATTTGTACGATCTCATGTGGCAGACGGGGTCGACCTTCTAGCTATTTGCACTGGAGTCTTTGTAGCTGCCCAAGCTGGCGTGCTTAACGACAGAATTGCCACTGGACCGCGCGGAATGCTTGATCGGTTGAGCAGAGCATTTCCGAAAGTAAAATGGCAGGACAAGCGATATGTCACGGATGGGAACATTTGGACCTGTAGTGAGTGTCTTCTGGGTCTTAGGGCTCGAATCGTATTGACCGGCTAGGTGTGATCACGAACGGGATGGATATGACTGCTACCTACATCAGCGCCAAGTGGCCTGATTTGCTCGCGAACACAGTCATCACTTTAGCAGACATTTACATTAGGTCTGCCGAATACGAAGCTCCGAGGATAGCATTTGATCAGATGTAAGTGTGCTACCATAGCCATAAATCTTGGTCCTCATCATTGCCAGGACTTTTCTCTAGTGCTTCATAGACTTTGTGGACATTATGGATACCTAGTGCACAGAGAGACTAAATCGCACCCTAAACTTGGAAACGAGATTTCTCTATCTCTGCAGATGGTGTTGGATTTTCGTCGATGTTGCTTCCAATGTCGAGTGTAGAATAAGGGATGACTGGCTTAGATAAGCCTTATAGCGACACGTAACAGCTTGGCATATATTCTTTAGCTCCCATCATCCGTGTGTGCTACTATATGCTAGTATTCAATAGGTTGCTATAGATATGAGTGATTGAAAGGAATAACCTCCTTGCTAAGAAGAAGTAAGATCTATACGCTAACGGGGAGTGCCCGGACTGCAAATTTGCTTGCACATGGCTGTGCAGTTCATCATTAGTCATGTTTGGAGAGCGATATACGATCTCAAAGGTGCTAACGTTTCAGCTCATCGTAAGTCGAGCGCTTCGCGGTACCGCAGTGGCTTAGTCCTGTCCAAGCTTCTAGACAGCGCGTCAGCCTGTGGGAAACTTGAAGACACCGTTGCAGGTCTAATATAAGAATGACATGAGTGAAATAAATTCGAGGTCGCATCAGAGTTCTGAGAGTCAGCTCAGGCCGTGTGATGGGGACTGGGGATCCATGCAACACCCGATATCTTGAAGGGATGCAGAGATTTTTCCCTGAGCATTGCGTGCATGTAACCTACTCATTTTACGTGTCTACATCCAATCAAGCTTAGCATTGATGATAGAAAGAACATCCTATTACGCACCAGCTTTATCCTTTCGAGTGCCTGCAAATACTGTCACTGCATCCCTGACTTTAATTCTCTCAACAATTTACCGGGTCAACAAAGCTCAAATACGCCTCCTCGAAATTCTTGCACAACTTCAAATGATTGAGAAAGATGCAGACAATTCAAAGTTGCGACTCCAAGTACTAACACTCTTCCAGTGGCAGTACAGTGTCACACTAAACTGTGTTCGAACAGTATCGGCAAATAAGTGGGATCATATTTGTCACAGCGAATCGTACGTTACTAAGCCATTGAAGATGCCCGATGAGCAGGGTTTGCTTTAGTTTGCACTGCTGGGCTGTTTGAAGTAAGGCATAGTCAATCGGTCTCGCTGGTGAGTCCGCGAGTGTTGTTGTCAAAGAAACTGATCGGTTGACGGTCACGGGGGGATCGAACGTCATGAAATCAGCAAGCAGCGTATGGTATTGGCATCAAACAGTGATCATGAATGTCGTAGATTGATCGAACAGGAAGACGAGCACGATGAACTGGAGAATTCAGTGCCATAAGAACCCAATATCCTCCAACATACTACGAACAGGCCTCACATTTTGTCTAACGACTGCAATTACTGCCATATGAACTACAATGCTTTGGTCATGTTCAAATGAAATTAAAATATGATTGATCCTGCAGCTGATTGTGTTGACAATTGTCAAACACCGTCCTTTTGCTGTAGAAATTGCAATTCTTCTTCTGTTGAACACCGACCCAGCGCGTCATTACGGTGAGGGAAACGAGCAAAGCGCCGGATCATTTCTTCGTGATTGCTAACAATATGGCACATGGTGCTCTTGAACTTTTCGTAGTTCTCCTTCCTGTTCAGTAGAACCATCCGGCAGTGCATAGACTCGCTATCCAGCCCATCACTAGATTTCTCAATCAATCGTTCAAAATCTTGCCACATATTGAAGTGCAGTCGACTGAGCGTTTCTTGGACCTCCATACTTTCAGAGTGCTCCAGAGGCATATAGAACCATATTGCGTACGCCAGTCTAAAGCGCACTTCAGGGACTGTGGGAATTTTCCGCTCAATCGCTTCGTAAGAAACATCAAGGGCTAATATATCGAAGAATGTATACGCAATTCTGGCTCGGGCTCCTCGATAGCAGTTGCGGGGAAGCTGATCAAGAAGAACGAGAATGCTGATCCAATGCAAAGGTCCTGATGGTCTTGCAGCATCAATGATATCGGCTGCTGTCGCTTGTGAGAGGTAAATTGTCTCAAGACAAGAACCGAACATCGACCTAACAAGTGCGTAAGCTGGTGAAAGAATGAGAAAGACGGCAGGGACTCAACAAATACTTACACACATTCCTGATCAAACGTGTTGGATCGTGAGAACCATGGCATGGCCTGTTCTACAGTAGGAGCGATTGTGTGATCCCGTTCATCAAAGTGACGAAACCAGAACCGAAAGATGCTCTCAAGAAAATCATGCGACAGCACTTGTTTGATGGGACGTAGCGCGGTCATTGTGGGTTGTTCGGGAAGGTGAGACTGAGGCTGGGTAATCCATTGTTGTGATTCAAAGGCTATCACGCTGATATATCGTCGTATGTGTGCAATGTTCATGCTGTTCTGCGTAAACGCATCCGATTTCGTCCGGATCCAAAATTGTCACACACTTCATACGACTCGGCGCCATAGCCTCGTGACCTCTGTATGATGAATTATCAGGGCCTAGATTTGACATCGCGGTGTTAACGACGTTCGGCCATCCGGAGCGGTGCCGGAGCCAGAGAGAGCAATCTCGGAGCCGGCATGGAACGAAACCTCCGTTCCGCTCATGCAACGTTCTCAATGCCGACGAATGCTCGAAAACGAACGCGAGTATCGTGAGAAGGTTACCAATCGGACGAGATACGGGCCAGTCCACCCTGACGGCTACAGGGGGGGGGGGGGACACGTCGGGCTGATACAGTGTGCCGGCGCGGCGTGCATCCAGCAAGTCGAAAGCTCTAGGAGAGTGGTGCAGCTGTTCTGGATTGGCCAAACTCTCAATGGTCACCCGTGAGCTATCAACCGGAGGAATAACCCCCCTTACTAACAAGTGGCGAAATCAACGTGCGACCTGGTCTTAGACTCAATTTAATTCAAAACACGGTTCGACGGTGTTCTCACTGCCTATGTGAACGAGCTAGTCCGATAAATGCGTACCACCCCATCCCAAATGGAAGCGCAAGTATAAGTGCAAATGCGATTATAATGCTAAGCGTGAAAGCAAGCGCAATGATAAGCGCGAACGGAATTATCTATTGGAGCGCAAATGCAAGTGCGCGTGAATGGAAGCGCAAAGGGGAGCACATAGGATCTTCTCGCAATACATAGCTGCAAAAACAATATTTAATTCTAATATCCTATTTAAATATTATCATTAAGCTTAGAGCTTTTCTGTGGAGATAATGGTAGTGCATTACTTGTGGCCATGTGCGAGTAGTGACTGTTATTAGCTTAGTAAAACATAAACTGTTCCTCTTGCTGTTCGCTTCTTCGCTCTGAACTCCTTTAATGACGGGCAATTGGCCAGTAAACTGTATTTGAAAGTCTGTTAGTAGTCTTTTTTCTTATACAGGATGTGACTTAGCCTGCTATCTTTCACAATTTGAGAACGTACATTTCAAACACCGCGCAATCAAACAATGAAGGAACCTTAGGTACCTTCTCCAATGTTTTTGATAGTCAAAGGTGGCATGATCTAATTGGTCTGCTTGGTGGGACAGGACATTACACTATAAGTCACGCTGATGAAGTTGTTGCTACTGCAGCATGTCTTCCTATCTTTGATATCGTAGGCATTGACACCCTTTCTACGATATTCATTTACTTTCTATATTGGAACACGTGTATTAAGCTTTGCTTAGATTTTGAGTAAGTAGACACTTTAGAATTACAGCGCTTACGAGTAAGGACAAAGCAACCACGACAAAGACAGGACATAACTACACTTAGAGTGAAACTCTTATTTGCAACTGGGAATTTAACAAGAAACTTCACTGAACGACAAACGTCTAGTATAGTTAGTCTTGCCTAACGTTACTACGCATTGACTGTCTCTACTAAATAACTACTTTTCTGCGGCAATCTTGCGAATGAGATTACACACATCTTCGTCCGTCATTCTATCCACGCCCAAGAGTTCGTTGTCGCCAGAGAGCTCAAAGCGTTGGGAAGGAATGGTCCCAGTCGACCACAAGATCATGTTACCAATAACATCCATGTCCACCTTGCCAGCCATCATGTCTGCAGTTGCCTCTTTCAGCTTCTGATCCATGTCCAGTGTTTCTTCCTCCCATCCATCCTCTCCCAAAGCTCTTTTGGCTAGATCCGCCATCTCCCGTTGACTTTTGATTATGTTGGAAATACAGAGTGAACGATTTTCCGTCTGTTGAGAAATTTCCAGCGATTTGGCGACCGCAGCGCCAACAGACGAAAGTTGTGTCCAAGCGAATGGAAGCAGACCATCGTTCAGGTACTGGATCCTTTTGTTGTAGATGTCGATTTTGACAAAACCGGTCCGCAGATTCCAATCCAAGAAAGCGCCGTTTGAGATGGTAGTATAGGTTATGCTTCCTTCGTGCGCAAGCTCTTTGATTTGCTCAAACGATTTGTTCTTGCCTTGGAAGACTAGCGGAGAACGTGCCTCAGAATTTTGAGGATCGACACTGAATTCTCCCATGACAATACGATACACTCCAGACGATACAGCTGCCTCAATGAAGCGTCCCTGGAGGGTAGGATCTACACCTGACGTTGCATCAACGAACGCGTCTTGACCGTGAAGAGCAACAGCTATTTCAGCAACAGAATCAGTGTTGACGACCTTAACGTCAACCCCCGCAGGGAACGTTTGCCCTTCCTTCCGGACAATGGCGGTGACCATAAACTTGGCCTGAAGAAGAGCGGTAAGTATCTCGGCACCAAGACTACCTGAGGCCTATAGACATTAATAACAGGCAATACATTGTTTCAGATTACGTACACCTCCAAGTGCAACGCTGCGAACAACTTTTGATGACATATTGAAGTTGGTGGGAGATTTGTTAGATTTGGATAACAAGGCTGTAAGGGTGAATAATGTGTGGATGAGTGCAATGCTACGTATTGCGATGCAAGCAGTAGGCTTTATATAGAACGTGCAGTACAGTTTACTCTATAGAGTAGACCGTGTTTCGTCCGGAACAGTATTTGTAATTGACAAGATAGATAAAACTCGTGGCTAGTAAAAGGTCTCTACAAACAGTAGTCCTAGACTCTGCTTTGCCGAGCCTGCAGGTTATACGCTAGGAAGCGGGTAGCCCCTTCGTTAGAGTATAGTAGTCTAGTAGAGGCAGGCCTAGTAGAGTAGAGGTGCATTATATAACATATCTAGCCTCTACTAAATACTAGTAAAGTTACTAAAGACTATCTCTAGACTAAGATTATTTTAGACTTTACTCTACTTTAACTTTATTTACTTAGTAGCTCTAGAGTATAGATAAGAATTAGTAAGTATTTTAGATCTATAACAGAGTTTACTTATATCTACTTATATATTAATTATTAAATTAAAAGTTACTAACTATATATAAAATATCTTTATCTAGATACTATTTATTTACAGGCTTTAAATATTTATTTTACTAAGTATCTTTTGAATAAGTTATAGCAAGCTAAGTAATTCTTATATTAGACTAACTTGTAACACTAGTTTATTCTACTATCTATTATAGACTTTCTTAGATTAGGCTAAGAGGCAGAGTATTGCAAGGTAAAATATATAACCTTTACTTAGTATTGCTCTACTTACGCCCTGTAAACTAAAGCCTGGTCAATGCTATAAGGCCCGGTCTCTAATCAAAGGCTTAGTCTCCCATCAAAGGCCTAGTCACTATCCTGGTCCCAACTCGTTCACCTAAACCCCGCAGATGATGTCGTAGTACCGGAACGGACGAATTCCTTCGTCCGGCTACTGCCTGTAAGCCAAAAGCTTCTCGGAGGAGCGAAATTGAATTGCTTACTTGAGAAGATGTCATCCTCTCCGTAGTGATCAGAGCATACCTGTAGTACGACACAAGGTGCGTCCTTCGGCTTACTTGTTACGTGTCTGCTAACGAATCGATGAACAGAGTCGACAAAAAGAACATGTTCGATTCCTATGATTTGGGCAAATATTGCCGAAAAGCGAGCACAACATCTGAAGAAGCCCAGACATGGTTCAACCGCGGTCTTCTATGGTGCTACTCGTTCAACCATGAAGCAGCCGCGCATTGCTTTGAACAAGCGATTTCATGCGATCCGAAATGCGTTATGGCTTATTGGGGTGTTGCATATGCTCTTGGGCCTAACTACAATAAATCCTGGAGGATGTTCACACAAGAGGATCGTAAGAGCTCTATTACGAAAATACGCGATGTCCTCACTCAGGGGGCAGATGTGGCCGCAAACCTCCTGCCAGTAGAGAGAGCATTGGTCAAGGCACTCAACACTCGTGTTCCTACAAGTGGCGATGATGTGCCAGAGGATCTCTCCACTTACGATTACGCTTACGCCGAAGCCATGCGCCCAGTACACGAAGCCCATGGCGAAGATCTCGATGTGATTACTTTGTTTGCCGACGCGATCATGTGCACTCGTCCACGCAGACTCTGGAATCTCGATACCGGAAAAACCACAGGTGCAGACATAGAAGAAGCGAGATCTGCGTTGGAGAAGGGGCTTGCACTTCCGGGCGGCCGCGATCACCCAGGCCTTTGTCATTTGTACATTCATATGATTGAGATGTCTCCATATCCTGAGCTGGCCATGACTGCCGCCGATCAATTGCGGCGCCTTGTGCCCGACGGTTCGCATATGCAACACATGTCGACTCATATCGACATTGCTTGTGGAGACTACCGTCGTGCGGTTGACTCCAATAACAATGCTGTACTTTCAGACGAAAAGTATTTCGCAAATGCTGGCCCTGCTGCTCCACTCTACCGAGTCTATCGGTCACACAATCTGCACGCTTTGGCGTACTCGGCAATGATGTCTGGGCAACGTGCAATTGCTATTAGCGCCGCAAAACGCATACCGGAAGTGTTGACTCTAGACTTCATGTCTATCAAGACGCCGCGGATGGTAGACTGGACCGAGTGGCAATGGGCAACTCTGCCCCATGTGCTGATTCGGTTCGGACTCTGGGACCAGATCCTGGAGCTCAGAGCACCAGTCGATTCAGGTTTGCTATGCGTTTCCACAGCTACTCTTAAGTATGCAAGAGGCATTGCGCTCGCGTCGCTTGGACGGATTGAACAGGCAGTGCAGGCCAGGGCCGAATTCGAGGAAGCTCGCCTATCTGTGCCGGGAGACCGTCTTTACGGCCCGGCCAGCCCAGCTGCACCGGTCTTAGCTGTTGCTTCGGCTATGCTGGAAGGCGAGCTAGAGTATCGCATGGGCAACTTCTCCACAGGTTTCGAAATACTCCGCCGTGGAATAGAGCTTGAAGACAAGCTACCTTATGCCGACCCGCCATTGTGGATGCAACCTCTTCGTCACGCTTTGGGCGCGCTTCTTCTTGAGCAGGGTCACTCTGTGGAAGCAGAGCAACTCTACCTAGAAGACCTAGGTTTTAGCGACAACCTTTCCCGTCGCAAAGCGCGCATCAATAACATTTGGGGTCTCCACGGCCTCCATGAATGCCTGGTTCGGAACGACAAGCAGGATTGGATAAAACACATTCGCCTACAACGCGACATTGCTGCTGCTAGTAGCGACGTCTCAATACATGCATCCTGTTTTTGCCGGCTTTCAGCAATGAACGTGGGGGCTTAGAATTGGATCGATGCAGATATCATGTGACTATCTTGTCCCTTTCAGTACCGCACTGCTTTTTCAAGGTCACCACGTACAAAGCAAAACAGAATTCTCAATTTTGTCAACTCACAGCTTCTTGATTTCTGCAAACTGTTTCTGCTGCTGGTCTGGAAGGAAGAAATGACTTTTCTTTACTACCTTCTCACCTACAGCAAGGTTCTGGACATCTCGAGACGAACTCGTTTTTCTGGAAAAGTAGTTTCGCATACACGTAACTCATTGTCATGGTCAGCTTAGCATTACGAACAGGAAAATTCTTGCAACAGCGGAACTGTTTAACTTTACCAATCAGTGCTTTGGACAGAACTATCTTCAAGAGCTTAAGACAAAATTCTCGGTGAAGTGAGCCAACCTGCGACCCGTGACTCGGTCGCTTTATCGCGTGAGCATTCAGGGAAGGACTACGTACAATCTTCCAGAAGCTACTAATCCCATAACCGGCCCGCGAGACTGCCCCTTACACTGTTCACCGTGTAATTCAAGGTGCAACTCTCTTAAGTCCGGCTTTTCTGCGAAGGTTGAAACCCGAATATTGCAGTCCCAATAACCAGTACGTGCAGGGTTCACATATCCCAGGTAGGACTTGACCTGAGAGCGGATAGGACCGGTACGCTAAGGCTGTTTGCTTGCTATGAATTCGATATTGATACAAAGGGGGCTCCTGTGCAGACTAGATTACAAATCTAGATGCTGATCTTGGATCGGACGTGTAAGCAGGTAGTTAATACACTAAAACACGTTGAGGAGCCTCTGTGGAGGCATCTCGTATTTCAATTCATTCAGGCTACCTATTGTATTGCAGGAAGTAACGGACCTTTTAATCTACCGGAGAATAGAGTCCGAGCAGCGCAAGGCAACCTCACCAATCGTGCGATGAGTTCGATGGCTATATCTTGATTTTGGCTTGGTGTTCAAACAGGACCGATTGTCCGAGTCGTTCGTAGCAGCAGCTTACGATATCATGAACAATGCGAGTTAGTCTTACCAGACTAGTTGGCGGTCATAGCGAGAGTGAGTTTGCATATTTAATACGTGAGGGACGCAGCTGCATCACTGTCATTCTGTTATATCTTAACTCTACTTTTGTCATTGGAAACTCGATTAAAACGCCTTCTTTAACTTAAAGAACTGGACGCAATGAGGTCCACTCCAAAGCCATTCGGTTTCATACATGCTTGCCTGCTACTCAGCTGCCTAGTTCTCGGACATCCCGAGAGTGATCAGGTTCCCGGAGATACTTTGACACGCTTCCTGTCCGCCATAGGTATTCAGTCCAACAGCAGCCATGTACGAAATATCAAGGTCAGCGGCTCTCAGTTTCGAACCAGGTCTATAATAACTACAATTTCTCTGGATACTATGGATCAAACAGCCGTCCCTTATGGAAGCCAGGTCATTACGTATTCGTATGAAAAGGACTGTCTGAAGCAGAGAATCGACAAGATTGCTGGCTTAGGAAGTATCTTCTCCAGCGCATTGCTGATATATGTTGGCTGATCTTTCGCAGCTCTTTGGGTATTTGCTCGTCCAGGACTTGAGCCCATGGACTATTCGGTAGTGGTCGAAGATTGCGATCAAGGGTTTGCTGCAGTCACTAAAGGAAGCTATTCCGTCTTCGAACCAGAGGCTGCCCCTGAGGGATTCCTAGATGGTACTAACCTTTCTCGATTGCAGTTCTGACGTTAACGGTGACTAGGATTCCTCTCCGCATACATGATCTCCGATGCTTACAAGTGGGATCCTTTGTTAATGGACAAGGTATGTACGACTTCGCTCTGGCTGACGAAGTGCTTATGCAATGTCACGGAAAGATCCAAACTAGGAACACCTTCACCGTACGGTATGAGCCAATCGAAGGAGGTTTACTAGTCCCGGCAGGTTAGTCATTACGCGTTGTTACTCTTGCACAATGACTGGTCTTGACTCTTGTTAGTTTTCGACCGCACTCTCAACATCTCAGTTCTCTTGCATCCAGACACCGACCTACCTCTGGCCATTCGTTCTTACGAGGATCACCCTTTCTTTGGACCTTCAACCAATGATCTCCGAGTATATGACTATGTATCTGCAGACGGTATTATGATACCGCGTCGTTACAAGGTTGTGTACAATAACAATCGGCTCATTACAGACTTCCTCGCCGATGAGGTCGTAGTCAATGGCCCTATCGAAGAGATTACCTTCAGTCCACCCACAGAACGTCAGGATGTCCACATCCATGTCGTTGATCACACACTGACTGCCGAAATTGGCGAGAAGTATGCCAACTACCTATGATTTGGTCGGTTCAACCAGAAGGCAACAGATTTCGATGCGCAACAGCCGTACCCGGACATGCCTGGAGTATGGGTGTTGCGATTGCCAGGTATTGCTTCATATCGACAGATTCTGCTTGAAATGGATGACTATGTTGTGGTCCTGGATGCTCCGTCGGAACAAGCAATGATACTGTTAGAATGGGTCAAGGTAAATATTAGGAAACCTGTGAAGCAGGTTTAGATAAGGCAACACCCTCAATTATATCACCATCGGGTCTAACTCAAATATTATTTCAGCCCACGCATCATCATCATGATCACGCTTTTAGTGTCAAGAGCTATATCGGTATAGGAGCTCAAGTTGTTATACTGATCATATGATCCAAGCTCAATTGCTATCAACACACAACGACCACGCTGAAGTCGGTCAACTTGTTGCAGCCATGGCAAAGTACCGTGTTGCTAAATCAGCCTTGTAAGCCCCCATCTCTTCGTTGAAGTGCGGAAACACTAATTATCTAACCAAAGTCTCGTTCCTGTGCACGGTGAGCCGAGTAAAATGATAGACGTCTACGATGGCGTAGGCTATTTATTTCCTGATTATAAGCCGCTCGACTTTGAGTACCGTGCAGACAACTGCACCACATAGTACCTGCAGGAACGTGGTCGGTGTTGACAAGGTGTTGTGCAATTACGCATATTCGCCAGCAACCGTCTCATCAGAGTCCTAGAGTTGGTTGAGAGCATGTGGGCCATGTCAGACCATTTGTCTTAGTACATTTTGCGAAATCGTCTCAAGCACCAGGAGACTAGGATACCATAGTGCATGAAGGGGTAATGAACTCACCAGCATGCATGCTTCGTTAATGGCAAAACTCGTACCATCTCTTCACATCATATTTCCTTGTCTTAATGATGCAAAGACTCAGTATGAACAGGTTAGACCATTCTTCATGTCCTGGGTCAGACCAATTGATGCTGTTGTTTAGAGATGCTGAACTTAGATACTTCCGAAAACATTATCTGACGTTTGCTCTCAAGATCTTATTGTTTTAGCTTTCATTGTCCCAATTACTAGATAAGTAAAAATCTATTATAATATATACTATAAGTTTGTAACTTTAGATAAGCTTAAGATAAAAGAAAAGGTATGGAAAGCTCCCATTAAAGGAATTAGCTAAAGTTTTTTACTAACTACTATCTATAATTAGTTATGCTAGTGACTGTCATTCTAAAAATCAGTAAATCCTGCTGCTTTATCATCCCGATTTATCATGTACCCGAATCTTCCCTTCTCGGCCTCTTTCTTCAGGTACTCAGGGACATCCTGATTGCCATCTACCCGCTTATACCACTGGAACCATCTGTCCCACAAGTCTTTCCCTTCTCTGATGTGCTGCACGATTCTGTCCCGGCTTCTGAACCTCTCGGCATTGAGATTCGTGTGGCTGAAGCTCTGCATTTTCACCAACATCTCCGCTATGGTCGCGAAGCAGGACGAGCAATGCCAGCCACTGTTCCAAATTGTGTGTAGTTCCGAGCTGGGAATCGATAAACTGGACCCATCGAGTTCGCGAAGGCTGGCTGGGAGTAGTGTTCTGCTCGGTCCGTGATACGTCGTTGCTTGAGGGTGGCGCCACTCTTCGCCCCGGTGCAGCCATTGGAAGCTGTAGTAATAGAAGACGCTTCGCAGGGTCGTCATTCGACCGAACTGACACTCGCGGAGTAGCTGTACAGTGGCCGGTCGAGGAATCTCATCAATGTCTGAGACTATGATGACATCGTCCTGATTGGGGGCGGCATCACCTGTGAGAAATGGTAAGACTTGCGTAAACATTGCGTTCCGCTGGTATCGCTCCATAGTCCATGCATGTGATTCGTATTCTGCTGTGCCGGGAACAACAGTGCTGTTTTCGACATGACCTAGAACATCTTTCTCCGGTGGCTCGAGAACATGGTGTATGATCTTCGCTTCGAATTGTTGAAAGTGCTTCTTGTTGTCCCCATAGAACATCTTCTTGGGCAAACCGGTGAAGGTGGTCGGAGCCTCAAGAACGACGAAGTAGTCGACCTGTGAAGCGAGCTCGTGAAGTCGGATCTCAAGCCAATCGAGCTCGGTGTTAAGCATGAAGAGGTCGTAGACTTTCCGCTTATTGTTGACAGGGGAGATGTGCGGATGGTACGGGGCAACACCGTGTGCAGAGCAGAGATTGCTACGCGCTAGAGGCGAGAGACGCTCACCCGAGGCTGCAAGGGATACATCATGGCCTCCGATGGCAGTATCGTGCGACGATGTGTGGGGATGGAGCGGAAGTACAGGGACGAGGTAGAAGGCGATAGTGCAGAATAGGCCAGCAGCAGCGGAAGCGGTAAGGATTCGTTTCCTAGTAGTGAAGTTGCTTCCAGTGAGCATGTTGATGCAAAGTATAAGTCTACGAGTTGATATGTGTGTAAGTGAGAGAGAAATCCAAATCGGGGAGAACAAGAACAGCGGAAAATAAGAAAGGCAGCCACTTTACTGCTTGAGATCCGCCGGAGTACCTTTAGAAGCCCGGTAAGGGGAGCCTGACGGCGAATACGAGATAGCCTTGACTTAGTCCCCGTGGCCTTCTTTGAAACCCCGGGAACATCAATAGACCAATGCGTGAGGGGCCGATCTTACCGCGACGAGTGGCTCATCACGTCTCATATCAACATCAGGGAGTAGAACCAAGTCGTTATATTCTTGGATTAGGATCCTATGTAGGAACCTAGGGTTTGGAGATGACTGTGAAGTCCAATTCGCTTTTGAGCGCTGTACTGCAGACTCTGCTCGCGAGTACATGGTGTCTAGCTACTATGCACTTCCTGGAGATCTTCTCAGCACGTTCCGTGGGATCAAATTCGCTTACTCAATTCACTTTCGTCTCTTGCTATCTATTGTCTTGGGAATGCTCTCTAGTAGAGTTTGTGTTTGTCTGTCGGAGGAGCCTAGACGACTGTCACTCGATGTTAGACGGTCTGTTGTCGTCATGTTATGGCTGATTAAACAATCACCCGGTGGTTTGATGGTCCAACGAGTGGAACTGCAAGGCAGATTCGGCGATCGCACTTGCAGAATAGTACGAGGCAGACTTGATTAGGCCGCAACAACAAAATCGGACCTACTTCACATTTGGTTATAGTCGCTTCTCTACAAAGCTGTGATAGTGGGGTGGCCATTGATGCGCTGGCACTGACCAAAGAGGTCCTGCTTCACTCTGGCGTAGATGGACTCGGATCTCGGGAGGCCTCATCTTGGCCCTGCTGCCGAAAGCCGACTTTCGTTATTTCGTATCTAGACTGTATGATAATTGGCCCGGTGGCTTGCATCTTCTTACTTTACGACGAATGATCAAAGGTATGTAGCCGGCGATCCATACTTCAGCCCCTTGAGCTGTTAGCGTCGTAACCTAAAAGTTCCAATTTGGGTTAGCACCACATTGCTATTGGATGCCTAATACCTACTTCGCACGCAAGGCTGACTCGTTATGTAATCATGTTCTGGAGTCTCGAAATTGAGTTGTTCCTTGATATCTTAGTCTACAACAGCTTACCGTATACATGTAACTCTGCTATGGAGAATAGAATAAAGCAGACACGAATTAGACATCAGGCCGCAGCTTCTTACGCTCGGTCCATGCTACCCCTATGCCTCGCCGTTAAGGTGCCAGGTTCACTGCTGCCTAGACACGAAGTACATCTCATAAGTTGCGCTGCATCGCCATATTGAGTTCTCAGGCTTGTTTCATGGATACTTATGACGCGTTTCCCAGGGAATTTGTGGAGATGCTTTGTCAACGGTCACTGACGTCTAAAGGATAAGAGATTTCACTTATCGTTACAATCATGTGTGTCTTGGCTGTAAAAGTGATGATTACTTGATTCTATGTTTTGTCTACGCGCTATTATTGAATTACTTTTGGGATATTTATGCCTTGACCACGACCTTGTGGGGAGCCTCCTTCTCCTCTGGCTCGTTGAAGATGTTTACGGGCCACCTTGGCTTGTTGGCAGTGTAGGGGATGTTGAAGCGGCGAGGCTCGTCCTTGCCAATCTGCTCGACCTTCTCGAAGTCCTCCTTGGAGAGCTCGATTTCCTTGAAGTTGTCGCGAATGCGGCTGGCAGTGACGGACTTGGGAATGACCGAGTGGCCGCCAACCTGAGCCCAGGCGAGGATGACTTGTGCAGGGGAAGCGCTGAGGCGATCGGCGATCTCCTTGATGGTCTTGTGCTGGATGAGCAGGGGCTCACCAACCATGTTGTTACCAAAGGCAGAGTACTCAGTAACGTGGATACCCTTCTCGCCCATCCACTTGATGAAGTCGGTCTGGAGAAGGCGAGGGTGACGCTCGATCTGGTTGGCGGCAGGTGTGACACCAGTTCCGTCAATGAGAGCCTGGAGGTGCTCCTGGGTGTGGTTGGAAACACCGACGGCGCGCGCCTTCTTCTTGTCGAGCTTGGTCATAGCCCTCCATGTGTCGACAATAGAGACAGAGTCGAGCATCTTGACATCACCGTCCTCACGAAGGGGGAAGAGGTTCTGGTGAACATCCTTCTGCTCGTCGAAAGCAACAGGGAAATGGACAAGGTACAGGTCGAGGTAGTCAAGACCGAGCTCGGCAAGGCAGTCGTCGAGAGCAGGCGCGACATCGTCAGGCCTGTGTTGCGAGTTCCAGAGCTTCGATGTGATGAAGATGTCCTCGCGCTTGATGCCCTCGCTGAAGGCCTTCTTGAAAGCTTGAGCAATCTCCTTCTGGTTTCCGTAGACCTTGGCAAGGTCAATGTGCTTGTAACCAGCCTTGAGAGCCTCGTAGACGGCGGCCTCGACCTGGCCAGGCTCGGCTTGCCATGTTCCAAAACCCAACTGACTGTAGTTGGCTGTTAGTGTACTTTCGTCATAGCTGCTTGTTCGTTTGTGTAATACTCACGGGATGGAGGCGCCGGTGTTGAGCTTTACTGTGCGACCGAGAGACATGATGTGAGATGTGAGATGTTTTTGGGATTGAAGTGAGGAGGAATGGTGTAGGGAGAGGAATGTTTATGGTGATCGAAGAAAACATGGAGGGGTAGCAGGGGGCGCGGGGATAACGACGGAGGTGGGGTGGTGGGGTCGGGGACGTCACCGAGCGACGAGCCACATCGGCGCCATTTCCATCTCGAGCACCAGTTCCGACTCACGAATCTTGCTCCGAGTACACTTCGTCTCCGACAATTGCGGTCTTCCGTGAGTCCAATTGGTGGATGGCTAGGGCACCGCGTTGCTGTGGTTCCGTTGAATAGGGACTATCGGCCGATTGTGCGAGATTCTTGCGATCAATGCTTGTGCACGCACATTTGACAAACTGAGAAGCCTGTATGGCTTGTTATAGTGGCCCACATATAGCAAAGACGCGCACCAGTGAATGAGAACAGAGAAGTCTCGTACTTCTACAAGGTTCCACAAGCTCCCACGCGTAGAGTATGCGGCTGAAGTGGCCAAGCCCGTAATCGGTTTTAGCCGTGCCTACGTCATGCATCGCACTTTCCCCGAAGTTCTAGGCACACGGGTCATTGCCATGATGTTCAGGCGCCGCCACTTGGTGTTGAACCAGACCTTCCATTTTAAATGGACCGTTATCACAAGCGCAGGAGTTGTGTGATGACGCTTTACTCCATACATCTCTCGTCCAGCTTGACAGTCATTATTGCTTGATCCTTAGTGTTGTTTCTAGCACAAGTCATTGCTGCGAAACTATCCAGAAATGCCACATGGACCTGACGCGGCTCTAATAAGATGTGGCTGCAGAGACAATCGTCATTGATATGTCACTCGCTTTGAAGATGTTCAACGTACTCTGAATCGAGTGGCTGCAAATGAACGCCGCTGCGAGGGTATATCACAGCAGACACTCATATGTATCAAACACATTGAAACTACTACCGACCAGGTACGGCTAATAGACACTCAATTCTGAGCTCTCATAAACATTTCGTAGAATAAAATCTTGTCTAGCGAAAACCCATTGCCTGTGTGGTCATCAGCAAGTGCGGGCTTCTTCTCAAATCAATCTTCTTTTAATTCTAGCCTAATTTGAATGTATCAATGCCTTAAAGAGTGAACAGCCAACCAAACAGCTCTCGCACATGATCCAAGTGAGTTGACAGAAAACCCCACCTTCTGGGAAGACGCAGAACACGGAACATGGCTCAGTAGTAAAGATACATCTTCCTTCCTCATTCTACAGAGCAAAGCTGTGCTAAGACCAAAGTTCAGATGACCGAGTAACATGTCAAGCCAAAGACACAAGATCTACCATGCAAGCACCTCTTTCTGTGCAACTTTGCTCAAAGCGCTCCCAGTCTCCCCCTGCCTCTCCACACGATCGTCGAAAGTCAAGCCCGGCTGCTCAGCAGGATGAATTTGTCTCCCCTCTCTCTGCTCTCTTTTCCAGTGCTCGTTCACAGCCTCACGGCAATTCTGCTGAAAGAAAATCGGCGCCTTCTCATACTTCGGGTGCAGCAGCCCCGCCTTAAACACGCCGCGATTCAGATTCGCCTGCGCGTTATGACACAGGACCTTGTCTTCGCGCATCACGCGCTCGTACATGTCGGCGATGAGATGGAACTCGGCGGCGGAGCTCGACGTAGCTTTGAATACCTCGTAGTGGCTCGTCGACGTGCCGTGGGAGTGCGGCAGGAACTTTTGGATCATGAGGAAGTGCTTGCCGACTGTCATGGATACGTTGGGGAAGTAGTATGTGCTGTGCACGTTGACGCCGAGGTCGATTTGTTCCTGGGTGGGGGCGCAGGCGTGCTGGATGTGGCCGCCCTCGAGCGCGGAGTCGAATGAGTCGAGGTTGAGGAAGGCTGGGATGTCGGGATGTGTTGTCGGGCAATGGTAGCACTCGTTGAAGTTATCGGATGCGATCTTCCAGTTGTACTCGGTCTCAAGAGTGTAGACGTGGTCTAGATTGTAATTCTCGAAGTCAATAGTAGCGTAGCGCTCCTGAACATCTACGTCTTTGAAGTACTGGTCGAAAGAAGTTTCGGGTGTGCTCTTGGCATCCAGGTTGATCCAGATAAACCCATTGCGATCGATCCTGGTGTGAATTGGGAATACGCTTTCGGAAGTGATCGCGAATTTGGTCAAGTCTGCATGACCACTGGCTTCCGTAGTACTGGTGTCAATCAAGATCTTCTTGGAACGCTTCGATATGTTGTGAAAAGCTTTGATTTCGTTCTCTTCATCTTTGATTATGATGACATCGTAGCCAGCGAATTGGTATCGGACGTAGTCACCGTTGTTCGGGAATCGTAGCATTGTTGTCATGAAGAGCCACCGGTTGGCAAAAACAGCACGGCGTTCAAACTCGTACATCTCTGGTGAAGTGTACCATGATGCAGGTAAAGCGCGTACTGGCTGTTGCTTTTCTTCCGCCTTATCTTCCACCTTTGGCTCGGCAGTTTTTTTCCTATCCCAGCTGAAGTACCCAAGAAGTCCAGACATCTTGGTATCGTGTAATGTAAACTTTTGTTCGTGGCAAGGGCGTGCGTGAGAGAATGTTCAGCTGTGATCTTCACAATGTTCAGATACAAATGTGAAGCAAGTCGGCTGGTCGTCACGGAGTCTTATACCAATAGATACGTGCGGTTCCGCTTATGGGCTGGTATCATTCAACTGAACCAGGTGACCTGTGTGCTCAAGCTTTGAGGCAACCGAGCGCGACTCGCCACAAGATAAGATAGCATCTGGGGTAACCATTGACTTTCTGATGGAAGTCGGGAAGATCTATCGAGTAAGCGTCGTTGCGACTTGCCAGAAAAGGGTAGCACCTAGCGTTGGACTGAAGTTCAGCCAATCGCGTTCTGGGCCCCATCGGGCGGAAGCCAATCGCATCGTCTCTTAAATAAGGCACTCGGCGTGAGGCATGGGTGATAAGCCAGAGCATGAAGATGTGATGCTCTCTGCTCGATGGCATGTACATGAGTCGGGAAGTTTCATAGACAGGCATCGCTGACTGGAGAAGCTCGGCGTTCCAAGTTTATGTAGTAGAGAGCATGAGAGGCTGCAGTAGTCTGGACAGTGAAAGTACTGGGAAGCGACCTATTGACACGAAACGCAACATACCATAGTACACGTGACAAGAGCGCCAATATGTGGGCTGGCGAATTCACTGCCTCTGCCTGCATAGCATGTCAGCCTGCGTCGATAAAGACGCCGTGCAGTTCGTACAACAGCCACCTAGTGATGGCATTACCGCCTGTGACAGGGATCTTTGGATGAGGAGAACTGGGTCTTGTGAGTGGGAGTTGTCTGTTGTAAATGCATCCATTTTGCCCGCAGCTGCTGGCTCCTAATCTACTCTTCCGAGCTTTGCACATTATCCACACCTAGAAACGAACTCAAGTTGGCATCCTTGTCCCAAGCAGCTCATGCAGCAGCGCACTGGGGACGCAGCTACACAGCCGTTTCCGCTCACCTTTCTACTCCTGGGCCTCTTACATGCAACACCCGCCACCAATCAATGTGAGATGCCAAATGCCACCAAAACGCCAGTGGAACAGCCCAAAATATGGCCGCTCGACATGCAACAGCCGTTAATGACGACCGATTCAACAGCCATTTTCGTAAGTAGAACATGGACCGTGTAGATCCGGGGAATGTGACATGAACTTCGTATCCCTGTACATGGTGCGAGCTCCCACCATGCCAAGCTGTCGAAGCAAGAAGGCAAAACACGCTAAACACCAGGCACTCCAATGCAAATGAGCAATCAGCTGCACTCACCCTGCTCCAGGGGTGCTGATTTGCTGCTGTTTTTGGTATTGCGGCGAACGATAGCTGTGCCGCTGCGGTGAGGCTGTACGATGGCTCTCCGCCGAAGCCTGTGGGTTTTGGCCATAAGGCGCATTTGGTGCGCTCAAGTCGTGGCGACGTGAGGGCGAGACGTTCATGTTCACACTAGGGGTCGCGATCTGCCGTACCGACGACTCGCCTGACATGGCTGATGTGGGATTGCTGTCTGCGTCCGTGATCTGCGGGGCGTTTCGCTCGTCCTTTCGCTTTGCGATACCACCCTGGCTTTTGGGTGATGTTGCAGGAACAGCGGCATTGGGATCTTTCCCACGTTGTTCCCAGCGACGCATGATTTCCTTGGCGCTCATGTCGGTCGCAGTGTCGTCACTCAGCAGCTCCATAATCTCGGGAGGCACCTGCTTGAGTCAGATGTGATAGGAATAAGTGAGCCATGCAGATTGCTTACCTCGGAGAACTCATTGTTATTCTCGATGAGATCAAACACAACTTTAACCGCACCCTGATCAACGCTGCGGACTTCTTTGTCGTTGCTTTCTCGCAGGATGTTCGGTGCCACCACGGTGGCAATGTTCCACGTATCCATCTTGTTGCCAGATTCTTCATCGACAGTGTGGAACGAAGACACCCAGTTGAGAAAGCAGAACAGGACCTCCATTGTGTCGCGGTGGGCTTTGGGCAGCAAGCAAAGCACCAGATGAAGAACCTTTTTTCGCTTTTCTTCATTCTCAATATCTATGAACGTTAGCAGAAGTACACCGCGCGGGACTCTATGACGTACCATTGGCGGTCATGAACAGCCTGTAGAGCTTCAGAGTTAATACGGGATCTGGCATTACTCGCAGGAAGCGCTTGAGGAGGTTTGCAAGGATGACCGGATTCTTCGTGTTCAGGTCAACCTGCTCCACTCCTTTCTGATCGATTTCGACTTCGAGCTCCCGCAGCGCCTTCAAGTTTCCGTTCTTTCGGAAGACGCCCTCGATCGACATGTCCATGTTTCTCATTGCAGTAATGGCGTCTTGTAGCAGAGCTGGAACCTTGAGCGCACCTGGTCCAACACCCTCTGTGCATTCGCAGCCTTTCTTTTCGACCAGCCACTCCAACGTTTGCTTGAATGTGGCATTGTCGGAAGCTGGTTTCTCGACAGTCGAGGGCTTCTTCGGCTTGCCTTTAGCTTTGCCAAATCCGATCTTGCCCCAGAAGTTGTTCTTCTTGGACTCAATCAGATCGAGTAGATCTTCCTGATTACACTGATTTTCATCGAGAAGCAACCCAAGTTGGAGCACCGCAAGACCTTTGAGTTTGAAGTATTCAAGAGGTGACAATTCCGAGAAGAAGGTGCGAGAGCGGCCATCAGCAACATTGTTCAGCTCTTGAGCTCCTGAAAAGTCACGTCGGTGGCCGTGGCGCACCTTTGCATTCTCTTGCCCAAGGAGGGCCTGACCACCAGCACGGAAGGCGTTTGGTCTTTGCTCTCGCTGCTGTTCCATTGCAGCCATACGGGCAATGTCGTCTAATGCCAGCGAGTTGACAGCAAGGGTGGCGCTATCCATGTCGACCTGATCGCGCTCGTTGACGATCTGCATGCCGCCACGCATTTCAGTGTTGGCACCAGCTTCGTAGCCTTCTGTCCCATCAATGATTCTCGACGCACGTGCGCGCTTCATCGTGTTGGACAGGTGCTTGTCCAGACGTGTGGACCGCAGGCGTTTGATGTCTGACATGGACTGCTCGTACGCGGCATTGGAACTACCTTGACCGGTTGAGTTTGTGTCAGAGCCATTGTAGGACTTTGATCTCGCGTCGGCTCGTAGGTGTGGTGCAAGGGCGTTGCCATTGTTGTCCATCCGGTGTCCAGCAGACGAATCGTAGCCTGTCAGGTTAGGGTCATCTACAGGTCATCATTAGTCGGACGAATGTACTCTTGGAAGCGACGTGCGAATTCTGGGGCAAGGCGTCAAGATGAGGATGCTGATCGGTCGAGAATAGTGTTGGTAGGGGCAGCTTACCGGACGTGTGGGGCAGCGCACCGCTGGAGCGCAGGGTCGCCATTAGGCGGGCATGAGCCACTTTGAGGAGGTGTACGTATTGGCGAAGCTTTGTGACGTGACAGAAGCCATTTTCGGCGTCTGGCTGTGCTGCCGCACATGCGGGACAGAAGACGTGTTTGGTCGAGAGACTCCAGTAGGCCTGCCTGACATCGTGTCGCAAGTCTGCGTTGCAGCCGCGACAAATCATGCAGCTGTAGTTGAAGGACATGTTGTTGAGGTGCAGGCATTTGTCTTCGACCTGGAGGTCACAGATGGGACATGCATCTGCCCATCGTGGAATGAGGATTGCTGCTTCGGCAGCCTGGTCCTTGGAGGCCTCCTCTTCGAGCTTCGCATCGAGCGAATTGACTTGCGCAAGGAAGCTGGTGATTCCACTCGAGCTTCGCGTCTCGCGCTCCAGCTTCAGGGCACCTTGCAAGCAGATACGGATCAGCAACTTGAGGTAGTGAGCAAGTCCGGTGACTAAAGACAGAAGCTCCTGCGTAACGCCGAGACGGCGAACGCCAGTTCCTTGCGATTGTGTGAGCAGGGAGAAAAACGCAACGACTTTCTTGCAAAGCAGTTTCGCTTCGCGTGAGTAGCTCAGGCCCTTTGGGGTTTTGGCAACGAGCTGAGCGTCGAGGTCGTCGGCAGCGGTGAAGAGCAGCTCGACGTGGATGATGAATTTCTTGGCGGCCATGACGCCGTCCACATAGGCGCCATTGCTCACGTGCAGCAGCATGTCGGAGATGCACGTGGCGGACTTCTCCTCAAAGGCAGACAGAGTCTTCCAGATCCAATTGACCTTGGCCTCGATCTCCTCTTCCTGCTCGCGCACGGTCTCGCGGATGGCATCGGTGGCGTCGGCCTCGGCGGCGGGCAGGCTCTCCATGATGGGCTGGCCGGTCGTGTGCAAGCGCACGTTCCAGTACTTGTGGATCATGTAGCACTCGGGGTGCCAGTGCTGGTTTTGGCCATTGCGGAAGATCTCGACAAACTGCTTGAGGATGGAGGTCTGGCAGCCGTTGCACCGCTGGGCGAACTTGGTGGAGTAGTGGTAGTGGCAGTAGACGCTGCCCTCGTGCTCGTAGTAGCTGTCGGAGGCGCCGAAGACGGTGGGGCACACGGAGCAGGTGAAGTGCTCGATGTGGTACTTGCGCTCGAGGGCGGTGATGTACGAGCCGCGCAGGGCCTGGCCGCAGTCGTGGCACAGCAGGTCGAGGCGGCGAAAGTAGTCGGTCTCGCACAGCGGGTACTGGCCCGGGGGCTTCTCGGGTACGGGGAAGAACTTGGAGGCGACAATCTTGCCGCAGTCCTGGGAGGGTCAGCGGGCTGGGACTAGGGCTGTGGGCGGGCAGCGGGCGCGGGCGCTTACATGGCAGGTGAAGCACTCCAGGTGGTATGTGCCGCCCAGTGCGCGGACGAACTGGCCGGTCAGGCCCTCGCCGCACTTGCCGCAGATCTTGCCGCTGCGCTTCGGTTTGGGCGGCTGCGGCGGCTGGCCATGCTGGACGGGGTCGGTCAGGGAGCGGGTGGGGCCGTCGGCGCGGTCCTGCTGGGTGAGGCTCTGCGAGCGCGGGGCGGTGAGGGAGTCGGACGGCGCGGTGGGCTGGCGCGCGAGGCCGTTGCTGCGCGGGTCGTGGGCGTGCGGCGGCGGCGCAGCCTGCTGGCCGTCCATGACGGAACGGGGGCGGGCTGCAGCGGCGGCGGCGGTGGACGGGGCGAGCGCGGGCGGCAGGCGGGCGACGGCAGATGGCGGGCAGGCGGCGAGCGGGACCGAGGCGACGGCGGTGCAATTGAGATGGACGCAGGCGGTGGGCGACACCGCAGCGCGGAGGAGGGGCTGCGGGCGGGCGGCGCGTCGGGGCGTGGTGAGGTGGAGTCGGAGGTGAGGCTGGCTGGTGATGCTGTCGAGCCCCCGAGGCTAGCGGCGCCATGCACTGCACACACCACTACGCCGATCGCACGCCCGCCTGGGAGCGGAGGACAGCCCCAAGCCCGCCGCGCTGCAGCGACTGCACCAGTGACCAGACACTGCACCAGACAGGGCATGCTGAAGAAGCTGCCCGCACCAGCATAGGCACCAGCACCAGCACCAGCATCAGCACCAGCACCAGCATCGGCAACAGGCACGCAGAATCAATGCTCGCATGGGCTCTCCCGGCCAAGGTGCATGTGCTGTGGGGTGTGTGCTGTGTTGTGCCGTGCGTGCTGCGTTGTGCTGTGCTGTGCTGTGCTGTGCGCTGTGCGCTGTGTGCTGGATGTGCGTGGGCCTTGCGCAGCAGTGCCGTCGCTGCGTCGCGAGAAAGGCGCTCTCTCGCGTTGCAGAATAAACGGCGATCTGAGAATCTAAGCCAAGTACACCCACCACACGACAGTAAAGTAGGGATAATACTAAAAAACTCTATATAGTACTTTTTAACCTACAATGTAGATAACTCTTAACTAAATCCTAGCTTTAGGTATTATAATAGCTACAAGTTAAGTATTCTGGGGAGTTGGTAAGCTTAGGGTCTTATCCGCCGTTTTTTCTGAAACTTGAGAGGCTGCGTCGCGAGAAAGGCGCTCCAAGGCGCGTGGCCGGGTGCCTGGTGCAGAGAGACGCGCCAGGGCTGCCCACGCCCATGATGCCGGTGCCTGCCATCGGCCGTGCCTGGGCTGGCTGCGTTGCGGGGAAAGCCGAGTCGTCTCGCGCCGCCGCCCGCCAAGAGGTGCCTGCGTCTGGCTGCAGGACGCGACAGCACCGCGCAGAACAGCGACCTCCACCTCCGCGCCGTACAGCGACCTCCCGCCACCGCGCAGTCTCCCGCGCAGTCCCCGCACAGCAATGGACTACGGCGACAGCACCAACCCCAACGCCGCGCCGCCGCCGCCCGTCGACTACCCCAAGCCGCCGCGGCTGGTGTCGCGCCCCAAGGCGCCCGCGCTGCAGGAGGAGGAGATGGGCACCGAGATCAAGCTGGGCGACTTCGAGCATGTCCACGCCCTGTCCGTCTCCGAGGCGCGCGCCGTCGTCACCGCCGTGCACAAGGGCCGCAAGAACAAGGACCCCGAGAGCAACCCGCTGCGCGACCGCATCCACAACGACAACCCCACCATCACCCACTTCCTCGACTACTTCGACAACTTTGCCCGCTACAAGGAGGAGGAGAGCCTGCACGCCATCAACGCCATGTTCGACACCCACCCGGAGCTGACCACGGTGGAGAAGGCGCTGCTGGGTATGCCCCCCGCTGCTCTGCTGCTCCGCTGCTGCGCCCTCGCCCGCGCTGACACCTGCAGGCACCCTCACCCCCGACTCGGCCGACGAGGCCACCACGCTGATCCCGTCGCTGGCCGACAAGATGGACACGGACTCGCTGCAGGCCATCCTGGACGAGCTCACCAAGATGCGTGCGTCGTCGCGCCTTCCCCCGCATGCCCCAACCTGACCTGCTGACTTGCTGAAAGAGGATCGTTTGCGATAGACGCTGCCGCCCGCTCCCCGCCCAGAGCGACACAGCTACCGGGCCCTGCCCTCCTCCGCTCGCACCGCCCGGCCCCTGGCGCCCGAACCCAACCCCGATCCCGACGCCCGCGGCCCGCCAACGGCGTCGCCGATGTCTGCGCCCCGCGCAACCGAGACACCAGCCTTGACCTTGACGTAGTGGGGAAGCACGTGGGCTCCAGCAGCCACGCGTGCGCGCTCAGCGCGCCTTGGTTCGCAGCACAGCACCAAGCACAAGTCTGCAGTATGCACCACCCACAGATAGTTAATCACCAATCAAACCCCTCCCAACCCTCTCTGTCTCACAATCATTTCCGTTCTCTCCTCGTCCGCCGTACTTAGATCTCCCGTTTCTTGCAGTTGTACGAACGTCCAATCTCGCTGCCCAATAGCCCGGATTCTGCAGGCGCTCTCGTCCGCGAAGCTTTCCCAGTCGGTCCTTTCACCCTCAAAAACCCCACCGATGTTCATTTCTCCAACGTTGCGCGGCCACGTGCTAGCCTTGTCAGGGGAAATCGAATGGGTCGTGTTGCGAGAGTAGGGCCGAACACGTTTCATGAGGCTGTCATGCCATTGCGACTGCGAAAACCAACAATTGACGCTATACAAACCCTCAAAGTCAGAACAACGCTGGAAGCAGAGCTGAACGTTGACGTGTGCTAGCCAGGGCCGAGCGCCACCGAACCGAGCCTCAACACCGCAGAACCGACGATTCCATTCGAGACAACCTCCGAAACCACAACACGGGAGTCCATGCTCGGCACGACTCGGGTCTGGTCAAACGCTGTCACTCGGGAAGCTTGGCCTTCGCATCCTCACGCAATATGACAGACCGCCCAGCTATGCAATCTACGGATGCGTTCGGCCTAGACCCTTGCGACAGCTCCCTTATACTGTGACACGTTCCTCAGCTCCACTCTGATTCTTATCTTCACGTCCTTCCTTTCCCTTCATGACCTCTTCAATATGAGCCACGCTGTGCGTGATGTCGCGATGGCGACGGTAGCTTCCACCACGGAGGCACTCGCCGCCTGGGATCCGGCCAGCTCCATCCCTACCTTGATTGGTAGCATACTTTCTGTCACATCCACCGCCCTGGTCATTCTCCTCTGGATATTCGCCGGTGGAAAGAGACGGCGCGATTTCAGATACGCTTTGATCTTGAACCTTACTGTTGCCGGTAACACCCCTCGGTCCTGCTCGGCGTTGATCGTGCTGACCCATCTCCAGAATTCATTAATAGTTTGAATAACTCCGTCTCTGGTGCCGCTGCCGTTGCGAGACGTAGGCCGCTGCTACCGGGTCTTGCATGCGAAATCAACGGCTGGACCGGTCAATTTTCAGTACAGGTAAGTGAGTCTACGCAAGGCAAACAATCACACACTATCCCCACCTTACCTCCTATCGAATTAGCTACTGACCCACTTTTAGGCCGTTGATTTCTCCATACTCGCCATCACACTCATTACGCTTCTCACGATCCAGCTACGCTCCTTCATCATCTACGCCTCTGCTCTCACGAAAGCGCTGATATGCCTTTCCATCTGGATCATTCCACTCTGTACCAGTGCGCATGTCCACCAGCCATCAATGATCCATCACTGACCGTGGCGCAGGCATCTATGCGTGGACAAAGAATTACTATGGCCCAGTGTCTGGTAACTGGTGTTGGATTGAGGCACGATACTTTCGACAACGTTATGCCCTCAACCACGGCTGGCGCTTTGCTATATTTGCCATATCACTTTGTACTTACATCTATGTTTTCCTCTACATGAGCCGCCGTCTCCGCCCACAAAATCTTTCGAACCTCAGCTCCAGTATCCCGGACAGTCTCGACTACGAGAAGATCAATGAAAAGCCTCGAGACGGTGCCGTACTCGCTGGCTGTGGTGCCACACCACGTATAAGTCTCGATCAAACGTCAGAAAACCCTACAGCTGAACAGTCCAAAAAGCATCGCCGTGCGGTCAGCAGTTTCAGTTTCGCTCGGAAGCTGACAATCGACACGACTACCCAAGGCACTCACGACCAACTCCGCACCAACTCGCCTTCCGATGACAACATTACCTCCCCAGATGAAACATTTGTCCTCGTAGACCTCGAGAAAGGGCCGGCTTCCAAAACGGCAGAACCGATCTTCACTTCGTCACCCATCAACCGAGTCATGACCAAGGTGGAGAAGAGCAAGATTAAGATCGACAGGGAGATTTGGAAGATGCTATTGTTGAACATGTATCCAGTCACGTACCTCATTCTATGGATTCCAGGCATTGCGAACCGTATTGCAGAGAGCATGGGACACTCCGTCAGACTGCTAGTCATTCTGCAGAGTAGCACGCAGTACATAGGTTTTGCCAACGCTGCAGTTTATCTGTACAAAGAACATGAAAGAGACATACGGGAGTGGTGGGGCGGAGTCCAGGGAAGGAAAGCGGCCAAAGCTGCAACGGCCAAAGTTGCAAGCAGCGATGCTAGTAGCGGGAGGATCACCAACTGGAGAAGTGTCTCGTCCTAGAGCTTAATCTACGACGCCCACAAATGATTCTAGGCCCTGGTTTAGAGCTCGCCAGGAAGTTTTCTTAGAAGCCAAAGTCCCGTTTACGACGTTTCAATATCACTTTTTTGCTGGATGCATCTCACCTCCACACTTACCTGACTGCTCAGCTCATAGCAAAAGAAAACGCGGCATAGAGCGCCATTCGCGAAATACGACACCAAGCTCGCATCTGTGTAGAAGATCAAATGCCAAGTCTACAAAGCTCCTTCACTTGCTTGTTTGTTGGCTGCCTACAGCCAGGCAGAGGATCAGAGGCAGAGTGAATGGCATTCTCACCTTCACTCAGCTGCCCTTGCCTATATATAACACCACACCTTTGCCCTACGACAGTTCTCTCGTCCACACTCTATACCTCGACTTCTCCACACCATCCTTTCGCAACATGAAGGTCTACATTTTCGTTTCTCTTCTCGCCGCCATGGTCACGGCCTCACCAGGCTTCGTGACCACGACCAAGCGCACCGGCGCGTCCGCAGTCGCACCCACCAACTTCCCTCCCATCTGCACATTCGACCCGGTCAAGGGCGAGTATGTCTGCCCGGACGTCTCTGAGGTCTCGGGCCAAGCCATCAAAGACACCGTCCCCAAGGCCCACGCTGCTGCGGTAGCCGCTGATTGCGGCAAGTGTCAGCACGACTGGGACGAGTGCATGAAGGTCCGCAATCCCCGTCCCTTCCTTATTCCGCGGTTCTTGCTTTGCAGTACTTACAATGTATGTCGTGGTGAGGGCGAAGCTAACACCGAGAAGAAGTGGGGCTGCTGGTTCTACGACTGCAACAACCCCTGCAAGTGCCAGGTCGTCAAGAACGACGCCAGCTGCAAGGACTGCTCGGCTGGACAGTGTCATGCTTAGATGGCCTCCCGAGCTATCGGGATCTCGGAGCTGGGGGTTTGGTTATCCCGTCGTTGGAACCTGTATCGGTTTGTGCTGAGGCATACTACTTTGGACGTGGCTGGATACTCGAGCGGATCGCAAACCACGGCTTGAGTTCCACAGCCGCTGGGCTTTCACTGGGTGGGAATAGTGTGGAATCGCTGGCCTGATGTAGAATAAGCCAGATCTACTCCATGCCCCATTTTTGCATTCAACTCTTGATGTGTTCTGCGCCATCAATATGATGATTAGCTTTCTGGATGTGCGCTACAGAGAATGGCGATCAGAACAAGCAAAGTTGGAACATGCCACTAGATATTCACCATCATTTAAAACAACGACTCCGTGCCAAGGTGTGTTGACCATGCTCGGTGACATTTGAGGTTGTGGGGATGGTGGACGAAGAGGGGCAAAGACTTCATGCTCGGCCCTTTGCGAGTTGTACTTGCCTTCTTAGGCATTTCCGATGGGGCATGCATTTCTTTGACATCGGGCTTTATTTCAACTTCATTCCATCTCCATTGTCTTCCTCCGCCACAGCTTCCCTGGAGTTTACTCGATCGGTGTTACCGGTTGTCACGAACAGTGCTGACTGTACTTACTTCGCCACAGTACTGACGGGTGTTCTTCGCCACAATATCCCCTGCTCTTCGCCACAGCATCCCCTGTGCTTCGCCACAATGCTCCACATTTGCGCGTGTGGCTGCACAACTTTCAACTTCAAAACATTGTTCTCGCTGATTATGAGCATCAGTACCAGTTTCTGATGAGTCGATACCAGACTGGCTGATTTCAGCCTAAATCACATCAGCCTTGTTCTTCTGTTACCTAAGCCTGGGCCCCCCAATGGCTAAGTTATGTCCAAACTGTGCGGCGACATTGTACTTGGCGGATGCGCATTCAGGAGAAGTTGCTTTGCGCGTGATGCGTCACCGCCGTAGACACGAATCATGCAAACCTCGCTTCCAGCTCGCATTCTTCTTTCGATATTGACAATGTCTTGATCAGGTGCTATGCATCCGGCCGATTGTCCCCGAAATGAGGCTGACCTGCCATTCAGGCTGCAGGCAAACATGAAGCCCTTTTTCAGCGACAGCTGAGTCATGCTGAATGCCTTGACCAACTATTAGCCACTCACCGACCTTGAGCAGAAAGCGCTAGCAGAAGTTGTTTGTAAATCCCAAACTCAAAAGCGGGACTGCCCGTCAGTGGAGGCCCCAATTTTCCCAGTCTATCAAAAGGCGCTGCTTCTTACTGCAACATCTCTCCAACGATACTCCAACATCACTCTCAGACGCAGGAACTGCCGAACAGTGACAGCGGTAGCCCCACTTCGGACGTTCTGGAATCTACATAGCCTGTGGACATCAACACCGATAAACAAAAGTGGGAAAGTGCAGCCGTAAGACCACATCGTCGCCAATATGCCGGAAACAGTCCTCACCAAATACCCTTTCATCCTGGTCACCGTTGCATCGCGCAAAGAAGGCCTTACACGTCAGCAATTCTGGGAACACAACGAGACCATCTATGCCCCGCTGTTGAAGCAGACTGCTGGAGTAGTGCATCCGCTTACATGGACACGGCGATACCACGTCGAGGACGACGACCTGCCCACGGGAGTTCCAAAGTACATCCTCGGCACCCCTGACGGTCTTGATTGGGATTGCTTCGGCGAGATGGTACGTGTCCGTCCGAATTCTGTCTCGAAACATGGTTGACCGTGTTGCAGACGTTCGCAGACGAACTACATTTACAGCAATTTATTGCTTTTATGCACAGCGACATCGCTGTGCCCATCCTAGAAGAGGAGGAGAAGTTCTGCGATGCTCCCAATACGAAGCTGCTCGTGATGAGAAGGGAAGTCAGTATTGGCGAACGAGCACAAGTGCAGAAGCGGGACTGAGGATATTGATTCATTGACATTGATGGGCGATGCGCGCAGCTTGTCTTTGGCATGAATGAGCGTTCATTAGCATTGCATATATTGAAGCAGATACTTACTAAGCGCCGGTTTCTAGCTTGTTGATACAGGTTTTACACAACATCAATCTATAGTTCATCTCGCCTGCGCGGGTTGGCAATGATTTCATCACACGACTTATCAGGACTCAGTATATGCTCTAATAGCCTAAATTCGGCTACAGCAGCTATTCTTTCCTAGACTTACCGCAGCATTCAACAAAGAAGGTGCATCTATTTCCTGACTGCGAGCAAAAACAGTCTTGGATAGCCAAGCAGCACTTTCCCGTCTACCGTCGCGGGATACGCCTCCTTCAAACGGTCCTCGTACGCCTGCAAGAACGACCTCTTCACGTCCTCAGCTTCCATCCTCAGCAGATACGGCTGCAGCCCTGTTCCCTTGACCCACTCCACTATCGCCGGTGCGTCCTGGAGCACATGTGAATACTTGGTGGCCCAAATATCCACCAGCTCTGCATGCGGCGCCAGCGCGTTGTAGAACTCCCGCACAGGCTCTATGGGATCCAGATCCGGCCTGCCCTTGTCTTCGAGGTTGCCGACCTTGGTGTCCTCGAAGAACGGGGTCCACAGTGCGCCGCGCTGCCGCGCCACGTCGCGCATCGCACTGTGGCTGAGCTCGTCGTAGTTATCCGGGACCTGGATGGCGAGCACACCGCCCGGCGTGAGGGTGCGGAACAGCCGCAGGAGCGTCGCGATGCGCGTTGGGCTGCGCAGCCAGTGAAACACCGCATTGCTGAAGTACAGATCTACGTGCTCGCCCTGCTTTGGGGCAAAAGTCGCCAAGTCGCCCTGGATGAATTCGGTGTCTGGGAGCGAGGCGGAGGCCTTGGACAACATGTCCGGACTAGAGTCCATGCCCGTGATGCTGGCTCCAGGGAAAGCATCGAGCAGGACTTTGGTCGAGTTGCCCGGGCCACAGCCGAGATCGTAGATGCGTGGACTCGGGGTAGTGATATGAGGGGCTACCTGCGAGATGAGATCGTAGACAGGGCGAGTGCGTTCGTTGCCGAATTTGAGATATTGGGCTGCTGACCAGTCTTTCTTCACGGGTGGGGTCGACATGTTGCGTGTAAAGACTGTGTTAGGACTGTACTGGTTGAAACAGGCAGCGCCAGCCCTTGAGGAAAGCAAGAGTCGTTTGGTCCCGGAGTGTCGATACATACGCCTTCTTTGGTAATGTGATGGCGATGCCAGCTCACGAGCTGTCGGTAATGGGCAATTAAAGGTAGTCAGTTGACTGCATCGGCCGCGGACAACGAGTGTGTTCATCGTTATGCACGGAGACGGTATCCGTGCATGGAGAATTTACGGCCAGATGAGAAATGTAGTCGCGGTCTGCAGGTCGTTGAAGATGACGCAAGTGGTCTGCAGGCTCAAAAAGTGGGTCAGAGTGGTCTGCAGGTCAATCAAGTCTGGCCTGGTGGAGAGGATGTGGCCAATCGGACTGCTATCCGTGGCGATTTGCGGGTTTAAAATCAATCTCCGGCGCCGCGTTCCTTCCACTTTGCCAGACACGCGACCCCAACACGTACTTCAGAATACAGGGGGCTAGCACGTCGGGCTGATGCAGTGTGCCAGCGCGGCATGCATTCAGCAACTAGAAGCCCCAGGAGAGTGTCGTAGCTGTTCTGTATTGGCCAAACTCACAACGGATACCCATGATCTAACAGCCGGAGGAACTGATCCCCTGTACGGATTCACCCATCAAGCAGGAGATTATTACATTGTTATCGAAGATCGCTACGGAAAAGGAGGGTGGTCGTGAACACGGGAGAGGAAAAGAGGCCCATGGAAGGCTGTCTAGCTGGCACCACCCATCTTGCCGGCCGTAACCTCCGGATATGCAACAGTGTCATTGCTGTACTCAATCGGCACATTTGGATCACTCGGAAAACGCGCAGACTCACTCGCAATCTGAACCCTGATGGCTTCCATGCTCGAATCGGGTAATTGCGTGCCATCGCTCTACTCATGATTAGCAACGGCTCCTCGCAATGTTCAGAACTGGAACTCACCGAATAAATTTTCCAGCTCAATCTCTCTTTCAGAAATGGAACAACATCCAGCGCCCCGAGACTTTGGATCTTCCCAGCTTCAATTTGATCGAGTAGGCTGTTTGTCAAACTAAGCGTACCGTGTAGAGTCATATCGGCAGCGGCCGCACGGCTGGTTAGCTTCTGAACCTTGCGCAGTGAACGCTTAGCCTGATTGTGATCGCTTGGCATCAAGACAGACCACATGCCTACGTCGGTTGACTCATCTGATGAGAAGTCACCTACGAGCGAGAACTGTACGATGAAAGTGGGGGGCAGGTCCAGCGGCGCTGCTGCCGTCTCAATAACCCAGTTTGTGTAAGTAGCATCTGCAACATCCGGAGTAAGAAGGTTCCCAATTTTCCCAACCCCCTCGCTCGTAAGTCTTTCTCTCGCGTTACCACTGTACAGTCGCGAAACCGTCGCTCGAGCAGACGCAGTGCTAGCCGAACGGGTGTCAGCGTAATCGTAACCAAACATCCTCCAGTCCATAGCCTCGTTCGTTGTCCAGAAGCTGCCAGGGTTGCGCCGGAAAGGAAGGAGTGGCGTATCTCCGTCAACTTCACTATTGTCTTCGACAAATACATTGCCGGCACTGCCAACATTGGATGGCTGAAGGCGGGCATCTGGGTGCTGCGCTTGGTACAGTGCGAACAGTCGGTCAACATTGCTGGAGGAAATTTTCAGTCTTGCCGTCAAAAGGTGCTAGAAGCAGAAGTACGTACGCATGATGCAGCCAAAACAATGGCTCATAGGAGGAATACTCGAGTGGCCACATGTGCCCCTTACCGCCGAAGCCAGTGGAGTAGCCGCCGCCAATCGCTCCATGTACCCATCCATGTACCATTTCAATGGCTTCCCAGAAACCATTGAGAGTATCGCGTCGAAAGGCAAGTGCAGTCTGGTCTTGAATTTGGCGTCGCAATTTGGCAAAGCTCGCCGCAAATTCGTGCTGACGCGACTCCTCGCCAGGGTTGTCTGAGGCCGGCCATCGAATTGTGTGGTTGATTTGCGTCCACTAATACTTCCTTTAGCCACGTGTCCGTCTTGCCGTGTGGATTTCTCACCTTGCCTTCAAAGCCTTTGGGTACCGGCTTGAAATCGTACTTGTAGAGCGGATTCCAGATCTCGATTTTACGACCCTCGGGAGTATCGACGACAGTCGTCTCTGACATGAAGAAGTCCGGCACTTCGCCACTCTGGTCGCCTTGAGACCAGTCCCAATATGGGATCCGGAACGAAGAGGCCGCCCATCGATAACGATCAATCTGATCCGCAGGTGCATTTTCGGCAAGTTGTCGAATGCGAGCATATAGTGCTTGCTGTTGAGGGTCATCAATTAACACAATTCTCAATACGCATTGCAACGCACCTCGAACAACGCGAGATATGGGCGGTGCCATCCAAGGAATAATGCCATGCTATGGGGGCAGTATCCGATACTGCCAGTCTTATGGCTCAAGCCTGGTGCGTCCAGCTGTGTCGTGTACGGTCTGCCATGAATGCCTGTACGACTAACGTTAATATCCCCCGGAGCTAGATCATGGCGCAACCTCACCAGCAAGGCCATAGTACGACAGAGGCTCTTTCTGATCCGCTACGTGCATTTGATCAAGACCGATGAGATAGAGGTTCCACTGATCTGGGTAGTTCGCTTGCATGTCGCGTACTTCCAGACGAAGGAAGGAGTTGCCTGTACGTATTAGCCCCGAGAGCACTACAACGAAGGGATGCTCTACCATCCTGATCGGTGGAGTCAATGCCCGTTACTATGATATCGCTGGATTGTCGCTTCAAATTAAACTCTGTAGGCGTGCAATTTGCGACGGAAAGGAACAAGAGGGCTACCAGAAGCCAGAAAGGCCGCACCGTAGTCATACTGAACAGAAGCGATTGAGGAGGGGTAAATCCAGATCTGCTGGAACAATGTCAGACCCTGTTCAAAATTTTGACCTCTCAATGGCTGGGTGCGGGCTCAAAGAAACGCAACAGAAACCTTAAATGAGAGGGGCATGGGTCAGGGTATGAAGAGCGCCATTCTCCGTAGAGTTTGCCCAGGCTATATCGGAACAATTTTTGCTGGCCGAGCGATTGAAAGGACGAACACTGATATCTACACGCAATCGATGTTGTCGATGATGCAGAGACGTGGTAAGGATCCGCTACTTGCCCTTACTTTGTTCCTGTTATACTGGTAGCGAAGCGTTGGCCCGACGATGGATACGTAACCAGCTTCTTTTGCGACAAGAAGTCAGACGAAGAACAGGCCTTTTGAATTCAAAAACAAAGGCGAGCAGTGACCGAGATATGGAATTTGATCAAGGAAAGAAAGTGGTAATCAGACTGGAAGCGAACACGATGAAGTAAGAACCAGGAAGCTGTATAACCTTCAGCACATGGCAAAGCAACGAGAATTGCGATTTTCATGGAACGGAAGCTTACTTGAGTAGTGCAGCTACAGCATTGGGTATTGACCAGAATTCGTGACCAAAGCTTTCGGATGGAAGACGCTCGGTCAATCGGCACGCGCTTAGATGAAGAAAGCGCACTTTCCCCGTATAGTTGCTGTGTATCTCCTTCCTTGTGTAGCACGAGTTACCTCATGGGTTGATTGTGCATACAGCTGTACAACGTTTTGACCTGCACAACACTCACGACGAAGGTTGCTCAGCTTGAAGATTCTTGTACCATTGAAACTCTCGAATCTGAGAAACCTCGGGCTGTTGTGAGCATATGAGTGGTTCATCAGCTCATGTAGGTGATCGATAGGGTCCGTCACACAAAGCGTGCAAATTTCGCGCGCTGTACGACTCAGCGGCGTTGTGTGAATCGTCCATCTGGCTGCGTGGGCGCGCAATTGGATGCTGAGTTACACATAGATTGTCAGTAACACATGGAGCGATGCAAGCGACTCAACAGTCTTCAGTCCTTGTGAATAGTACGTTGGTTCATCAGACCCAGCGTCGAATCAATGCTTAAGCGGAAGTCATACTTGCGGAAGATACCCGAAGTCGTACGTGCTACGTTGCAAATAGCCAGTTTTAAGAAAACCCATAGACACACTGCGAAACCATCTAAAGGAGATCCGCCATGTGCATGCAATCGGCCGAGGTGTACCTATGTCAGACGAAAGATCGCATGCATAGCTGTCTCTTCACACCCGATTGTCATGTCATTCTATCCGTTTGGTCGTGTCATCATGGTAGGTTCAGATGTCGTTGTAGCCAAGTAGTCGTTTCGCTAGTCCCTTGTCTGCGACTGCCCACGCCCAAGCCCTTCCAGCCTCACCACACCATAACGCTGACGGATCATCAGACTTCTCTAGCATGTGGTCCTTCGCCATACCCTTGATCTCATGACCTGTTGTGTAGGTCATGAAATGCTCGAATTGTTCTCCTTCCAGGGCCAAAGCATTGCCTGTAATTCCATGGCACAAACAAGGCTCCTTAGTCAGCAAACCTCGCTCCCAGATGCAATTCCGGGCTTTTGATACAACCTTGTCTATACGATCCACGAGATCGGGGAAGTATGTCCGAATAGCGAGTAGCGATGAAACAACTCCGGGTGCACCATGGCAGACTTGGACGAGACGATCCTTGCCTGGCGGGAGTGATGATGGAAAGTTACCACTCTCATACTGATAGCTGAGAAGAACTGTCAGCTCCGCCTGAAGTTTGGGCGCCCATGAACTGTCTGTGAGAACAATTTGGGTAATGATTCCGATCGCGCCATGCACCGCTCCAACGTAAGCCTTGCCATGCCACTTCCATGGCCGAGGACTATCCACGATGTTCGCAATAACCTCGTCAGCTGTGTCCTCTATAAGCTCGGTGATCTCCTTGCTATCTTTGAAAGCCCCACGGACCAGCCGCAACAGGTATAAGTAGCCAGCGCGCCCGTACAACCACTCGTTGGCCGCTTCGGGCTCAATCAGCACAGCCGCATGATCACAGAGTTCCCTGACGGTATCTTTGTCTTTCGCAGTCACGGCGTACAGAGCCAATAATGACATGATGTCGTTTGAAACACCGCATTTACTCGGTGATGGTGGCGGGAACTGCTTGATATTTGCCTGTGCCTGCTCGATGTATGCTGCGGACCAGGTATTCAACGGATAGTCGTCCAGCTTCAGATCTGGGTACTCGTTGTGAAGAGCGTAGAAAAGGTAGGCCACAGATATGGGACCGTAATAAAGACCACCGCCGGGCGGAATCTTGTGCGGTGGATAATCCGTGATAAGTCGATCTAGTGACGCTAGCAGCTGCTTGTGAGCGTCTCGCCGGCCCAACGACGCATCGTTTCGAAAATAGCGGGGTAAGCTCTTGGTCTGCTCCTGCGCCGCACCTGCTGTAGTCGCGTCTTGTTCGGGCATGTTGTGATGTGGGCTTGCTTGGTATGCGCGCGTTGCGAAGTCGATGACAACTTGCCGATTCAACTCGCGCGCGAGAGTAGAGTGGGGCTGGCTTCGAGATCAACTATGACGTCAGCGGGGCTGCAGGCGTGAAGAGCGAGGGACTGTTTAACTTACCACACCACAGAGCGAGATGATAGATTGAGTTGTTGATGAAGAATGGGGGCTGTAAGCGATATGCCAGAAAGCTGTTTGGCAGTCACCACAATGGTCCGCTTGGGCAGCACCTGCAGCGCACTTGGGCGCCCGCAATCACGTGTATGCTCTTCACACCCTCTCGCGTTGCAGGTTCAACAGGGAACTAAGGATGTGAGCCGTATAACACCACACAATATCAAAGTATGGAGATTGCAGGGTAACGTTATTAAACTCCTGGTTGCCTACAACTTAGGTATAGGTAATGCCTTATTGACTTTGAGCTTTGGGTACCTAGGTAACAAGGTAATACCTAGGTATCTACCTTAGTACTTAGAGGTAGCTGCAAGTTCTGTGTTGATTGTGATCGGCTTGAACGTTGCTTATCCGCCGTCTTACCTGAACCGTGAGAGACACCCTCGTGGCCGGTCAGTTAGCGCTCTACACTGTGCGCATAGAATCAGATAGAGGACTAAATAAAAGTATTCCATGATTTGAGAACACCCAGATTCGAATTTTTGTTGCATTAACATGCCCACTCGGATTGTGCGTCGTTTTTGGGGTCAAACGTTACGTCTACAATCATTGCTCGTTGGCAATTCTACATAGACAGTGTCTTTCGGCGACGTGTTACCCATCTCAGCTACCAGTACAACTTCCTTGCTCCCAACGTGATGTGCGAATTCCTGTTCGATTCTCACTAATCCAGCGGACTTCGCGACCATAGGCTGCCGATAATCTGGTCCTCGTCAGAACGTGAGTATAGCATGTACTGACAGCGGTACCTACCAGGAAGCTGTTGTGACATGTTGTTTCCGACATGCGGCGAAGGAAACCTGGTTGCCGCTTTGTAAACTTTCGTGCGCTGTCTACGACGGACGCAGAACACAAGACTAACAATGATTGCGATGATGATGATGCCTCCCAGAACTGCCCCAACGATTACAGTTCTAGTTGATGCTGGACTTTCGTTGCTGGGCACCTGCTTCTCGCTTGAAGCAGCAGCAGCAGCAGCAGCAGCAGCAGCAGCAGCAGCAGCAGAAGACGTGGATGATTCTGCCGGTGCAGATTGACTGGTAGAACTGGGAGATAATGACACAGGGGCTGATACTGTTGATGTTGACGACGATGTGAGACTGGTCACAGATATCGATGAAGACATCGCTACAGTCGCAGTTGTTACGGCATTTTGTGAGGTCGATGACTCTGTTATCGGACCTAGTTGCAGTTGAGTTACAGATTTTGATATTCGCTTTGAATCTTTCTTACGGTCAGCTGGAGTCATATCCTTGTCTTCTGGGCAACCAATTCCCGGATTGCAAGCCTCTACAAGACAGCACCCAACAAACCCTTTACTGCACCTATAGAAAACGCCACCATTTGGGCAGCTGGTATCTCGACGAAACGTTTGTAAACGCATAGCGATAAGAGGAAGGAATTGACTGAGTCTGCAAAGCAAAAAAAAAAACCAAGTTGGTTGTTTACTTACGTAGTACTCGGAATAAAGTAGCAAACGATGGGATTGTGTTCGTGATCTATTGTAGAAAACCAAGAAGCGCAAGGCTGAGATCAGGCGAGAGAAATGCAACGCGCGAACAAAGCGTCTTGACGAGGGTCTTTTGGCAAGGGATGCGCTCAATAAGTATGGCTGATGGCTTATTCCGAAACATGATTGTTGAGAAGGCTGACAGAACTTCTAATTTTACGCCGGCACAAAGGAGAATACCAGAAGTCAAAGAAGGGGACACACGTTCTCCTTTGTGCTCAAGCTTGAGGGAGGCAAGCTTCTGCGGCTCTCACGTTTCAACAAGCTTCGAGCTGACTAACCTCAAACCAAAACCTGCAGACCTGTAGCGACAATAACACCTGAGGCTGAAATTCAGTTTACCACTACCCACATTATCAGCAAATTCAGTCTATAGTCCTTCTTGAACATTCCTTGCTGTGGCCGCTGGGTTACTAATATACACTGACCTTTACAGCACGGCTCTCACACTCTCTTGGCTCGCCTTTCTTGGGCTTGAGATTTTATCCTCGGCATCGGCCTCGAACTCCCTAGTCCTCTTCTCAACATCCTCCTCACAAACATAACTTAACAACCAACTGCCCACCCCACCCCATCTCCAAGCTAGGGGATCCATCTCAAGACCCAACCCTGCTGCCTCATACTGGCCCCTCTCGATCTTGCCCTTGCCGTTAAATTTCGCGAACTCAACTAGTAAGCGATCACGTTCTTCCTGCTCTTTGCCATCGTGCACGTGGTAGAGATGCTGCTGTCTGTTTCCGCGTGACACAACTCGCTCAGTGCGCTCACGGCGGCAGCGCTCGTAGATGTCCAGTGCCTTCTTCTTTTCAGATATACTCTTGTTCTTGATCGCACCAAGACATAAGCCTAACACATGTCCATCTTCGAGCGACATACCAGCGCCAGATGCGAGGTATGGAAGTGTAGCATGTGCAGCATCGCCGAGGATAGTTAAAGCAGCAGAAGGGTGCGACCAAGTCGGATCCAGTCCTGGGCGAATCATCAGGCGCCATTTGTAAACGTCCTTGCAAAGAGCTAGAAGTTTGGGGATCTGTGGGTCCCAGTCTGCATATAGGGCACGCATTTCTTCAACGTTACCAGCGAGGGTATTGGCGCCTGCGGGCATATCATCTGGCACCAAGAGGACCATGTTGAACAGTTTGCCACCTCTGAGAACATAGTTGACTGCAAGGTATCAGCTGTATGAACAAAGCGAGGGAAATTTGAACTGACCAGCATGAGCATCAGGTCCAATCCAGTAGTTGACTTGGGGGTCTTCGACAAAATGTCTCAAGTCAGGGTCTTTCATCATTTGCTCAGTGTCCAGCAACAACCTGTAAGCCAGATCCCCAGTCAGTAGCGGAGGGTCTGGATGGCCTAGTAAGAGCTCTCGGGTCGCAGAATTAATTCCGTCAGCACCAACTACCAAATCCGCTTTGTATCTCTGCGCATTTTCGCACACGGCTATCGCTTTTGTAGTATCCTCGCTCGATTCGTACTCAATATCCACGACTCTGGAGTTCGTCATCAATTTCGCGCCTAGTTCGACCGCTCTCTCCAATAATGCCATGTGTAGATTTGCACGATGAAAATCCCAGAACGGTGTGCCACAATGTGCTTCATACTCGTGGAAATCCATATATGAGATCTTCTTACCCTTCCACCCGATCATGTTGCACAATCGCGGTGAGGTAGCCAGTTTTGATAAAGCTTCCTCTAGACCCCAGGAAACCAGAACGCGTGTGGAATTGGGAAGACATTGAATTCCGGCCCCAATTTCCCCGATTTCTGATGCTACTTCAAGGATTTGCACATTGTGACCTTCCAGTAAAATGGAGATGGCTGCTCCCAGGCCGCCAAGCCCAGCGCCGACTATTATGACCTACATATCTGGTTAGTTGGATCAATCGTGTTTGTATAGATGTGGATAACCTGCGTCGAGTTTGGTCGCAGCATCCCGCTGTTTTTGCTGGATCACTCGTGGTTTAGAGGGAGCCATGATGTCACTAAATACCAACGAAATGGAATGACAGTGGAATGACAGTGGGACGACAGTCCAGATGTCGTCCACAGTTTGATTCTTAAGCACAGCGGTTTGGAACGAAAGCTTTACCACTGGTCTCCCACTCCGTCTGTAGTTGCCACCATTCTGCCCACCTATCGATCGGGATGACCCTCACGTCGCACACGAGAGGTGCATACAAGCTTATCGTGCTAGCAGCACACTAGTGTATTGGTCGCAGTCGCAAAGTGGTGGTTAGAGGTGCAGCTACGGCGGGCCGGATGTGCGGGAGGTGAAGAGTGGGGGAAGAGGGGAACACAGTGCTCTCACGTTTTAGAGTAGACAGCGGATACCTAGCGACCTTCAATCTGAACAACTTCAACACAGTACTTGCAGCTACTATAATATTTATAGCTAAAACTTTGTCAATTAATTATGTATATTGTAGACAACCAAATCTTGTTTAAGTTTTGCCACGTGTTCCCCACTTTGCTGTTGCGCAGTGGAATATACTTGGATTGGCTGACATGAAATATACCATACACGTATGTCTACTTGAAATCTGTTGGCCCGTTGTAATTCACTAGTGAGTATGCTTCACCAGCCTTCTGCTTCTTCAGGATTTCACCCGGTGGCGCTGGTAATTTCGCATCCTTTGGCAGCGAGTTGTTCCTCTTGAAATCATCGCACATCTGCTCCATGGTAACCCATTCCACTCCCTCATGCTTATTGATGTGCTCAATGATCCGCTCGTGCATAAGCACAACGTGCGGCCGCCCACTGACATCAGGGTGAATGGTCATTGGGAACACAAACTCGTCATACTCTCGGTAGAAGTAATCAAAGTGGTCCATCCAGATTTGCTCCACATCTCGCGGATTCACCCACCCGTGTGAGTTCGCGCTTTTCTTCATGAACATCATTGGTGGTAAGTCGTCAATGTACCAAGAACCAGGTATCTCAACCAATCCCGTTTCCGTGCCTCTAGTGAGTGGCTTCATCCAATCAACTGCATTCTTTGAGTAGTCAATCTTCGTCCACTCGTCTCCTGTACGTAGCCAGTAACACTTGTGATCCTCGTGAGACATGCTGTGGTCGTACTCAATGCCGTAAGAGAGGAGCAGATCCGTTCCTTCTGCAGACGTCTCCCACCAAGGTGCAACTGAACCCCGGGGAGGCTTTCCGCAGAATTCTGTGAGCTGCTTGTAGGTTTTGTCCAAAACATCTCGTTGTTGCTCGAAGGTCATATCTGCAGGATTCTCATGGGAATAGCCGTGGAGACCAATTTCATGCCCTGCATCGCGGACTGCAGCGCAATCTTCAGGGAATGTGTCGAGAGAGTGACCTGAAATATGAGTATGAATGTGTATATATCGGGCTGCAAGGTATTTAGAAAAGACATACCTGGTATGAACCATGTCGCTAATCTTGATTTAGTGACATGTCTAATGAATGTGAAGTGGTTGACTCACCCTTGATGCCGTACTTCTCAAAAAGCTTTAGTAGACGTTGGGTACCAACAGTCCCTGCCCAAAGCCCTATGCCCTGTTAGACGTAGACGTTGGCTGGAAGGTCCCTCGTCGAACCTCTGCTGATGTCGCTGGTGGAATCCTCTCCACCGTAAGATCCAAGCCAACCTGCAACCTACGAGTCTAAGCGCTGTTCGCGGTAAGATTGGAAAGTCGTATTCTTACAGCATCGATGTCAACACCGTAGCTCACAAGGACCTTCTTCTTGCCCATGGTGATGAATCAGAAAAGTCGAGTGCAGTAATTGGAACTGGATTGGAGAAGTGCAGGATTGAGATTTTGCAGTCATGTTTGTAACAGTAAACATATACCCCGCCTATGTCAGGTCGGCCGTGGCGCGGGGTCCAGATGGTGATGGAGTGGAGTGTAAGGTGGGGGCGCACCGACCCACTGCTTATCGTCCGTGTTACGTTTGTACGGATACTTCAAGCTGACGAATCTTAACACAGAACTTGTAGCTATCATGATGCGTTAACGTGTTCCACCACCGAGCCGCGCACCCCACCGAGCCGCGCACTAAATGCAACTGTCTACATTTAAACCTCAATAACTCAACGCTACAACAAGGTATAATAGTGCGCAATAGCTTAAATTAATTGCCTGATTCTACTGCATCTTTCTTGCATGTACGCTTATTATGTCCTGTGTTGCCACACCTTCTGCAGTGGGGAATACCCCTGCTGCTAGCACCTGCCTGCACTCTCTCCTCACGCCTCTCGGCCTCAAGTTGAACCTCAGCATCCCGTTGGGTAACTATTGCTTCTGCCTCTGCCTGTGATAGAGTCCCTCCCTTCTGAATCCGCTTCTTCTTACGCTTTTTACGCTCTGAGGCAGCCTGATTTGCTTCTTTAAGCTTAGCTATTCTAGCTTCAAGCAACGTGTGTGAGTGTACCTTCAAAGTTGACCCCTTTTGAACCTGCAGCACCATCTCAAGAATAGACTCAGGTGAGGAGCTCTTATGGTCTCTTATCCTCTTAAGAATCAGCGTTGTTTGAGCCTCTATTTCCCAGGCGTTGCTTGGTGTTTTAGGCTGCCAAGGGGTACTCCCAGGTATAGGTGGTGTTGGTGTACGAGGCTTCACTTCAAGCCTTGATAGTACTACCTCTGGGTTATCTGGGACTAAGCCAGTTGCTCTGAAGCTTGATAGGATATTGCCCTTTAAGAAGGCTTGGTTAAATACTAGGGTAAATGCAGCCAGGAAGGCTTTCTTGTTAATATAGTTGATATAGCAGTTGGCCAAGACTTAGATCTCCTCCTTGTACGCACGCTTTAGTGGGGCAAAGCAACCCACATCAAGCGGCTGAAGGATATGTGAGGTATGGGGGGGCATATAGAGGGTGATAATCTTGTTCTCCTCACACAGATCTTAGAAGGCAAGTGACTTGTGGCTCTTGTGGCCATTAAGTATTAGCAGCCTATGACTACCCACTTTCTTAGCCTCTGTATGCTTAATAAAGTGCTATAGCCAGGCAAGCCCAAGCTCATTTGTTGTCCATCCATTATCACTAACTCCTATTCTCTAATCCTAAGGGTTGTGATACTAGGCCTGGTCGTGGTTCTTGGCTTTGAAGATGATGAAGGGTGGGATAACCCACCCTACAGCGTTGATGGCGGCAATTAACGTTACCTACTCCCTATCACCAGGCTGAACTCCAAGTGGCTTGAGGCGCCGCTCAGAGGCTGTTACTACCTTCACTGACCCCCTAACCCCTATCTGGAAGCCAGTCTCATCAAAGTTGTACGTGTCTTTATCTAGGATGCTATACTTGGCTTTGACGTTGCGTACAAGATCAAACCAGGGGCCTATAATAGCTGGATTGCTATAGAGGACTCGCTGGTGATCACGAGTTCGAGTTACTTGAGATTTAACCTTAGGTCGGCGTTAGATTAGCCTGTAGGCCCAGTTCTCTCCAACGTGAGTACTACCACGCTTAGCTAGTAGCTGGTTAGCCATCTCACGTACGTAGCTAAGCGTAGGGGCAAAGCCTCTAGCATTAAGCTTCCTAATGTACTGTATAACCACCTCCTCTTCATGCTTGTGAAGCCTTGATGAGTTAGCTTGGATATCGCGTTGTGAGGTTATTCCAGCGCGTCAGTTGCGGAGGGTGGTTTTAGGCACGTTGTAGATGGCAGCAGCGCGTTGCTAGCTTAGTGACGCGTCAGATCTGAGGGCTTGGATAGCAAGGATAATTCTATCTTCAACAGGAAGCAATTCAATATCACGTTGTTGAGGCATCATGATAGTAGTAGAATGTGATGAGGTCTTGGCAGAGGTGCGCGGCTCGGTGGGGTGCGCGGCTCGGTGGTGGAACACGTTAGACTAAACTTTGGTTAGGTGTTACATACGTTGTAGGCAAAAAAAGTATTCTATAGAGTTTTCCTACATCTTCCCCTCTCTACTGTTGCGTGGTGGAACACTCGGGTTACATCTTTACACAATAGTCCGCAGTTCATCCTACAACGTAAAAGCATGTACCGGTAGCTCGCATTCTATATCATCAAATCTGCAATCTGTTGTGGCAGTGACTCTTACTTTGCAGGAACGTCAGTAAATTAAGGATGCAACGATAAAGCAAGGAAAATGCAAATAACTACCGCGTCTCTATAGGTTGCTACCGCTTATAATGTAGTAAGCTTCTAACCAGATTTCAGCTCTAGTGGTTATTGTGACTGCAAGTTCTGTATTTAAGGTGGTTAGCTTGAAAGTCGCTTATCCACCGATTGGTATGAACTGTCGAGGGTCATCGTCTCAGTCAACAGAAGAGCGAGATCTCTTCAGCAAAGCATCAATGATCTTTGCGGCACCCAATGCTCTCTCTTCGTGTAGTCGGCGCGTGACAATCTGCACGCCGATAGGCATACCGTCCATTGCGTCCACGTCGAACAAGTTCCAGTTCCAGTGATCCAGCGGGTTTCTGGGTACGTACGTGTCCATAGTCATCGCTGCCTCGCTGTCCAGCTCTTTGGAAACTTGGCCAGCGGGTATCACTACTGCAGGATAATCAATGAAATTAAAGACTTTGGTGTATCCAACCCATCGACACTGGCGGTGTTGGACTGCGGAGTGGGGCATGACAGGGCAGAGAAGTATGTCAATCTCTTTTCCAGTCTTGGCGCACCGTGTCGACTTCCAAAGCTCCAAATATCGCTTCTGTGCCGCAGCCTTTTGCTTGTTCAGTTGCCAATATGCATAAACTGAGATTGGCTTCCCCCTATTCACTAGGGCCTCGACGTGCGGGATGAAGGGCTCACCGCAACTCTCGACATCTCGTCTGATGTCCTCGCCTCCGTCAGCTGTGTAGTATTGGTCCATGATATCGATACACTCCTGATGCAAATTTCCTGGACTCCAACTAATAATGTCATGGCCAGCTTGCTGAAGTCTGCTTGCGACTTCCTCCAGTACGCGTGCCACTGGGGGATGTGGTCGAACTACGCCGTCATCTCTCATGACAGCGATGCGCAGAGGTCGGGATTGCAGGTCTTCGAACATATCGGACCGCCAGGTTATGGGAGAGCATTTTGGATCATGGTTCCACGGAGTGGCATCGACGACAGCCTTAGTGACAGCAACGAGAGAGTCAATGCACCGACTCATCGGCCCAATGACCGATGGTACATGCTCCTGACCCTCGGTGGACACAGATACGCCCTGGTACGGTAGGCGGGTGCTCTGGGTTCTCGTTAGTACCAGGTAGGATGCAACGAACATGATGGGTTGCCTCGTGGGTATTAGCTTACACTCGGCTTCAACCCGTACAAGCCATTCATGTGGGACGGGATTCTGATACTGCCACCTATGTCCGTGCCCCAGCCAATTACGGTACCTTGAAGCGATAAAAGAGCGCCCTCTCCACCTGTCGAACCTCCAGGGGTAAATTCGGCATTACTCGGATGCACGGTCAGCCCCCATAGCGGGTTGTCGGTTTCACACCACTGCGAGAAGAAGATCCGTAAGCGTCCGAACGGTTGCCTCTGCGGAGGACGCAAGCCGGTGACGTACCATAATGGATTGGGGCAGATTCGATTTTGCGATGATGATGGCTCCCAGCTGCTTCAGGAGTGACACCAAAACACAGTCCTGCGTGGCTGGTTTGAAAGCACGCCCAACATAGCCCAGCGTGCTGTCAAATCCTTCAACGTCGAATTGATCCTTTAGGGTCATGCATACGCCGTGCAAGGGTCCCACGAGTTTGCCATGTTTTCTGAAATGTTCGTCGAGCGCATTGGCCTGCTCGATCGCCCCTTCAAAGAGAATCTCGGTAAGGCTGCGAACATCAGTCAAATTCCGGAACCATTGCAAGGTTTAACGTGCCAGTTTGTCTGTGCCGGTCAGCAATGTGGTCCGGAATTGGGGTTGGGAGCGGCGCCTACGCGTCTGTGAGCATCGATTGCCCTATACGAGTGTGGCGTGAGCATGGCACGATTATTTTATGTAGGGTGGCGCACAGAGCCCACATACCGATGCACATAGGCAGCACATAGCGTCGACGCGCTCACGGCGCCAGAAGCAATTGCTTGCAGAGTGTCATCGATACCATCGATGGCCTTAGCATCTCGGGCATTGCTTTTGGTGCTTCCAGGAGTGTCGAGCTGCAGAGCCTTAGCGCGCAGTCAAAAGGCTATTCGAGATTCTCTGGGAACAGGAGAAATACCTCGGAGCGAGCTCGATCTGCCTCCAGGAATTTGTCAATAGCTTTTTCGCTACCGAGCCGTTTCTCGCTAACGACCTGCAGCCACTGTGGCACCTCCGAGGCAGTCATGGCAAAGTCGTAGGTGTAGGTGCCTAGGTAGAATGTAATAGATCAGATGCAGGCGCAGATGGAAAATTAACAGCCTGCTCTTGCTATTCAACGTTCGTCGTTATCACACACGATAAGAGCACAGCAAGGGCAATGTCATACCGCCGTCGAGTCCCTAAGCGGCCGCGCGCGTGTAGACTGTAATAATGGTGGGCCCCAGCTCGGACCCGACGAGATGAAAGGTGGGGTTCTGCGCCCGAGGCGCACCTTCCGTCTGCCGCCCAAAACAACTTCGCAATGCACTGTTCTCGTCGTACAGCAAGCCCTTGTATGGATCACCTTATTGTTTAGGGCCTGCGACAAGAATTTCACCACTACTGCCGGGGAGCTCTTGGGCCGGCTATGACAGCCTTAGATCAGTTGAAAATGGGCACACCTCGAGCAGATGCTCGAACGTTTGCCCCTCCTGGACTTCTCAGGTTACCCCCATTTTCCAACTTAGCGGTCCAACAATAGAAACGGCCAGCCTTATAGCATGTCGCCCTCGATATGGAACCTCATGAAGCGCACAGGATCTGATCAGACGCCACCTCCTTCGCAAAGAACATCGCCTACCGGCCACACAAAGCTCCAGAAGATGGCTCCTGGTTTAACTGTCAAGTCGATTGACTCACGTTCCTCGGGTAGTAGCTTGGAAGTTGCATCACAATACTCGTATACCAAAGAAGATGACTACTCAAGCTTCATGAGCGATGTAGTAGTTGTCGGCGCGGGACCCTCTGGGCTCATGCTTGCGTATGTTACTAGCAACGTCTTTGCATATCAATCGAGCTGAACGATGTAGCGATAATCTTGTGAGGTACGGCATCCAAACAAGAATCATTGACGACCGACCTGACCGTACCTCGACCGGACGCGCTGATGGCATTCAGCCCAAGACAATCGAGACTCTGCGCCAGATGCGAATTGCAGAGCCTCTGTTGCGCAAAGGTGTGAAGATCTTCGACATCTCCTTCTGGAAGTCTTCGGCCGAAGAGCCACTGCACCGAACTGGCCGTGAGATTCATTACCCTCCTGTAGTTGACCTACTCGACCCATACATCCTATTGGTCCACCAAGGCATGGTCGAAGCTGTTTTTGAGAGTGACCTCCAAGAGCGGGGTTCGACAGTGCTACGCAACACGGCTTTCGAAAGCCTCGAATACACACCACAGATGATTCGACCATTGACTGTCACCTGCAAGCAAGGCGTTGGCCAAATCAAAAAATCGTTTGCGACTCGATATGTCGTTGGCTGTGACGGTGCCCACTCGAAAGTACGAAAGGCCATTCCCGGATCGGTACCTGTTGGCTCCTCGTCTGAGGCTGTCTGGGGTGTCTTGGATGGCGTGCTTGACACAGATTTCCCAGATATCTGGAGCAAGGTCGTTGTCCAGTCAGAGACGCTGGGTTCTGTGTTGATGATACCTCGTGAGCGTGGTCTGACACGTCTTTACATTGAGCTTCGACCAGGCTCAGAAGCGGCGGTATCTGCAGGCGAACAGACACCCCAAGAGTTCGTGCAGAGTCGTGCACGCGCAATCCTGCAACCTTATAGACTGGAATGGAGGAATGTCGAATGGTTCGGGCGTTACAAGATCGGTCAGAGGGTGGCTTCCAAGTTCACCGATGCCGAACGAAGAGTGTTCATCGCGGGAGACGCTAGCCATACACACTCACCTAAGGCTGCGCAGGGCATGAACACATCAATGCACGACTCTTGGAATCTGGCATGGAAGTTGAATTTTGCTGTCCGTGGTCTTGCAAAGGCCAGTCTGATGGAGAGTTACGAGCAAGAGCGGAAGAAAATCGCTCAGGATCTCATCGATTTCGACTATGAGCATGCCAATGCCTTCCACGAAGGTGACCCTGCTGCTCTCGCGGCTAATTTCACCAAAAACGTTGCATTCATCTCTGGGTACGGTGTTAGTTACACACCAAATGTCTTGAACGTGTTCACCAAGGGCTCCACACGAGGCCATCTCACACCAGGATTTTTACTTCCTCCCGCAAAGGTCACGCGCTTTATTGACTCGAACCCTGTCGACATTCAAACTGACATTCCTGCTTTGGGTCAATTTCGCATCTACTTCTTCTGTCATAATGTACAAAAAGCGACACCTTTCCTTGAGACAGTGTGTCATCAACAGTCTGGTATGGGGTCGTACGTCGGCCGAATCACCGCCGCGGGCAACGCTTCATACACCATGCAGCCTCCGCTAGCCGCGCCTCATGATCAATTTGTTCTCCCTGAACGATATACTCCTGTCAGCGGCATCTTCACATACGCTTTGGTCACTGATCAGAACCGGGACGACGTCGAGATCAAGGACTTGCCGCCTGTGCTGCGTGACTCTGCCTGGTCGTTTTACCTTGATGACGTTCCCCACAAGGATACCCGTAAGCAGACCGTCATGGACAAGTGGCTGGATGGACTTGATCAAGACGAGGTTGTGGTTCTCAATGTTCGACCTGATGGCTACGTGGGTACAGTGCGTAGATTCAACAGCGGCAGCAGGGACAACGGTATGGCAGCCGTTTACTGGATGGATGACTACTATGAGGGATTCATGAAAGATCAGTAATGTTAATGTATCACGAGTACATTTTGGCAGCATGGTCATGGCGTTGGTCTGTGGATTGGGCAACATAAAGGATACTCACGGCAGCATTGAACATGCTTTCATGGATAGAATACATTCGAATATTTTCTTACACGTTGCAGTTCTTGACAAACAGGTCTTTCGAGACTATGGATGCTGCCAATCATGCAACAGGCTCGGCATTCTGCTTAGGTATCTCCATTGCCACCAAAGTGCTGGCACGCATCGGCATCCCCACTTTTGAGTCCTGCACTTTATCCATCTATCGAGACCCATAATCTACCTGCAGTTAGAGAGCTTAGCATCAAAGTGTGTTGGAGGTGGTGTTTTCGGTCAGGACACGCGCTGCACTAGCCTCGTATCATATATTTGATATGCATACTACACAAACATGCCTCCACCGCTCCCACCAACCAGACGCCACTGCACCAACCCTCTGAGCACCATCATTCCATCATGCACCACTGCCCACCGAACCTTACTCAAGCACCTACTCACACACGCCGCAAGCCCGTTCGTTCCCCTCTTGCCCGCCGCGCCCGAGATGCCATCCTTATATCCGATCTGTAACAGCATCTCCGGTTCCGCCCGATTGATAGATTCAAGTAGACTCTTCATCTCACTCGACGGATCCCAAATGATCTCGTCTTCTTCATCATGCAGTGAGAACGGCAATAACTCACCCTGACCCGCCGTCGCAGGCGGAATCGGTCGAGCATACCACACGCCCCACACGACCAACGTGCCAAGATACACAGCCCACGGGTGGTGCCAGAGGCGACCGGCACCGACATCGAGTTCGCCGTCGAGAACATCGATGCCCTGACTCACGAGCGCGGCGGCATGCCAAACTGCTTTTCCAGCTTCATTGATGTTTTCCGCGACCCACTTCTTGACTATGCGTTGGCTGCGTACGTAGTCTGGGCGAGCAACGGGGCGGCCAAGGATATGGCGCGCGCCGGCGTAGATCTGGAGGTCAAGAAAGGGTGTGTGCAAGAGGATGTGGGCGGAGTGATACATTGCGAGTGTGGCGGAACGTATGACTTGAAACTCATTGGCGAGGAAGTGTTGATGAGAGGGAACGCGAGTGTTGTAGGTGTTGCAAAAGGATTCGTAGTCGGCATACCAAGCTGTGTAAGAGGCTGCAAGGCGTGATTGCCAATTACCGAGAGGACTGGCGGCAATGGGATCTCCCAGCGAGGTCTGGTCCCGGCGTTGCATGTCCCATGCTACTGACATGAGACCGTGCAGCAAGAGAGAACGCGAGAGATTGTTGAGGGTCTTCGGAACTGGCGTGGCGTTTGGATGCAGATACATCTTCAGACAAGACAAGAAGAGCGGAGGCGGGGGTTGCTTTTGCCGCAATTGATGCCAGCTCTCGGCCGAGTCCGCTTCCCAAAGCGACTGATTGCAGGGCAAATTTGACCGTAACTCAAACGCTGACATGCATAAGGACTGGCAGAACAATACTGCGTGCTGCGTATCCCACATGAAGCAGAGATAGGCGAGTCTGTTGTTGTTAGCGTATGCGCTCGTCCTAGCTTCTGCTAACATACCTTTTCTTCTGCTCAGCATCAACCCATATCCGCCAGTCATCTTCAAGATCATCTGTAGCTTCTTCTACTGTAGGCGGCCGAATGCTTTGGCATTCACTCCGACGGATCAGATTGATAAGCAGGCCATGGAAGAGATGGGACATATCATGCTGTTTTTGCCCAGCTCTGCTCTTTCCAAAGCACTCCACCAGCAGAATCGTTTGTAATACCCACAAGTCCGGCTTCGCAGAGAATCCAGCACTGGCAAATATTTGAGGCCTTAGCACATCGTGTATGCACACCTGATGTTTGTCAGCAGCTGCCTATCGCACTGTTGAAGCGTTCAGGACGTACTGCTAGCTGATGAGCATCTTTCTCGCCATATGTGGCCCCAAGCAGTAACAATGTTGTTAGCAGTAAAGTGTCAACGTGTGAAGGATCAAAGGTCGACATGTGCAGTAATGGGTACGTGGTGTTGAAGCGTGTCCAGAACAAGTCGCAGTACGTCTGGAGACAGCTCAAGGATAAGAGTGGATGGTCTCGCATGACGATGCTACCATCCGGAGCAGTAGGCTGTGTTATATCGATAAGATCTAAGATCTGTTGCCGGGCCAGCTCATCAATAATCGGTAGACTTCTCGAGGGCTGTAGCATGGACATAGGTCGCTCGATGTCAGGCAACAGTGTACTCATATGTGCCTCGTAATGATGCCGCATGGGTTGCCCAGTATTGGCAATGCTTGGTAGAGACAGATGGGCAGGTGTCTTGCTTTCTGGCGGCTGCTCTTCACCAATGTGTGCAGCGATCATAGGTGCTGTAGGGGAGTGATGAACTACAGAATCCGTCCTGTGAGATGGATTTGATCCAAATTCAGCCCCTGTCGACAGAGATTTGTCGAAAGTCAAGTGGTCAAGGTGAAGACCGAATGCATGGCTTGACTGCGATGCGTTGTGATTTGGGAACGAGAAGTTTGGAAATGTGTCGTGCACGGCTGCCGACTGTTGAACTTGTGGAACTTGGGCCAGATCCATGTCGAAAAGCCAATTGTAATTACTCATTGTGGTAAATGGGTTGTTGAAAGAGCTTGCCGTATCTGGATTGAAGATCTCGTCGAAAGGTGCATCGTCGAAAGCAGTAGGAACGAATGGGTCGGGCTCGGTTTGGTTCAAATTGGTGGACCAGAAACGCTGGTCTGTTGGTGAGAATGTCTGTACCGGGAGTGTGTTGGGGACCAGGGTTGTCGGCGGGTAACCTGAAGCGATCCCAGAATCGCGATCATCTAACGAGTTGCTGAGTGATGGATCGTGTGACACAGGTGGTGATATCGGGGTATTATGCTCGTGGTTTGCGAACAAAGCAAAGTCTGCAAGAGCTTGCAGCGTGTCGTCGTTCTCCTGTGGAGGCGATTGAGGCTTCTGGTTGTCTTTCGCAAGAGTAGGCTTCTTTGTTACGATCGTGCCATCAGGACCCTTCCACATACGTTTACCTAGATGGCATCAGTTCCAAAAGAATTGTGTGCATGTGCCATAAAGTCCTTACGGGTATTCAGAATGCCACAACCTTCCGCACCAGCCTCATCATCTTTCTGTTTGTGACGGGCCATGTGCCTGTCTACTCATGATGTCAGCAACGATGTTCCGGACACAATAGCACTCATTCAGCAAAATTAGAGACAAAAGAGTGTGGCATATGAGCCGAGAGACATGCCTCGACAACGTACAGTGGGGGTTGATCACGGCGAGGCGGTGTCTCAGAGACAAGCCTTAAGGGGTCATCTTGATGGAAACGCAAGCACAGTCCTCCAATAGAGTTGAGATGGACAACAAAGCGACGAATGAAATGTTGTACAACGGCGTAGGTAATAGATCTCACTTTCGCCTCACACGGTCGTATGGCTCATGTGTGGCATTGGAAAACATATCTTGGAAGGAAACTAGACTTGTGGCTTACCAAGCAGGTCTCTTCGTTTGAAATGAGCTCGACATCGGTCGCAAGTATGCTCTCCGGTTGAGTGATTGAGCAGATGTCGTTGAAGATGCTCGGCTCTGGTGAAGCTTCTTCCACATCCAGCATTCTCACACGCAAATTTTCTTCCCTCCACCTTGCCTGTGAGATCCCTTCTCTTGCGACTTCGTGGCATAGTGCTCGAATGATTAGACGTGATGGATGTCATGGCTTTTTCGCCGTATGTTGTTCGAAACTGTGATGTTCGCTGCGTAATTGAAGGTTGGGGGCGACTCAAGTTGTATAATGGGGGTCTGAGGCTTCCAGGCTAAGATGCCATTTCTCCACATAATTCCGATTCGGAGCGATATAATCCTTGTGGCTTATCATGATGAACTCCTCCGCTATCACGGCCGAGTTCCTGGCCCAGCTCGGGGCTATGGCGTTACACTAAAAGGCGGGGTGAACGGCGTCTCGGGCTGACAACGTCGAGAGTGGGGGGTAAATGAGGAACATGATTGGCACAATTCAGTTACGTGTGAGGCTAGAAGAACATTCGAGATGGGTGCACTAGGGTCTGATGCTTGTCCATTCAATGCACCCTGATGCAGAACACGAGTGGCCGGCATGGCTAGTGACACATTTGCGGCTCGCGTCTTAGTCAGGGCTACGATGTTAAGTAAACCAGCGAATCCTGGTCACCGCAATATAGGGCCTGAGATATATTTGTATAGTTGATAAGGATGGGTCTATGATATGGAGATAGACGCTGGGAGGCTATGTTAGCACCCGATCGGATCGGCTAATATTTGCCGATGATGAGGCGCCATCCGAAGGAGAACGTTCCCAGCCTTCCTTCGTCATTTGTTCTATAAGCAGCATCAAATATGGGGCTCGGAGACAGATGCAAGCATTTTAACATCTTTTCTGCATCTATTAACCAGCCTCCTCACCGATAAGACCTGCTACAGGTGCGCCTGCACATCACCGCAGCAACGTGCCTATCGGGAGCCCTCGCCTTGAGGACTACCGGGTAACATGCATACCTACTCCAGCAGATATCTGCGGCTTCGGGCATAGCAAGTGAGACCCATGACTTGCTAAGTAACTCAATAGCTGATGTATGGCGGGATGAGACGTGCCAACTTGGGTCAATGTTCTTGTCATTCCCTTTCTATTCATGTTCTACCTATGCAAACCCATCTCATATTTCGTATCCAACGCCAGCAATGCAAATCCCCTCGAGAATTCGCTGCTCAAGCAGCAACTTCTTGTCCATAGAAAGGATAGTCGGTGTAACCCTTTGCGTTACCGCCATAGAACGTACTGCGGTCATACTGATTCAGCTCAAGGCCCTCAGCAAGTCGCTTGGGCAGATCCGGGTTTGCAATGAACCAGCGACCGAAGATGACAAGGTCTGCGTCGCCGGATTCAATCTTGGGCACCGCGTTGTCGCGGGTAAAGCCACCGGCCGCGATGAACTTGACACCGCCCTTCTTCAGAATGTTGCGGAAGTTCACGAGGGTGTTGCCCTTAACTTTAACTGTGGCCTCAGCCTCAACGCCCTTGCCGCCATTAGACGTGTACGCGGAGAGGGCGTCCAGCTTGGCTTGCTCATCGAGGACTTCGTCAAAGCGCGGCTCGACCCTGGAGTTGTTAGGTAAATGCTCCGAGGCCGGGTCTTAAGCAATACTTACATGTGAACATAGACGGGCCTGACATCCTGGGGTAAGGTGGCGATCTTTTCGCAAAGATACTCCCAGTGCTCGTTGGGGTTACTATCCTTGGTCGACTGGAAGTAGTTGTAAGGGCTGAGGCGGATGCCAACACGATCTGCGCCAATGGCCTTCGAACACTCTTCGATGATCTCAAGGGGTAACCTCGACCTGTTCTCAATAGAGCCGCCATACTGATCCGTCCTATTGTTTACATTGTCGTGCAAAAACTGGTCGACAAGATAGCCATTCGCGCCATGAATCTCGATACCGTCAAAGCCAGCCTCGCGTGCCTTCTTCGCCGCGGAGCCAAAGTCTCTCACGATCTGCTGGATCTCGTCGACTGTCAGGGCGCGTGGTGGGTGCTCTGCGCACGCCGTGCCATCAGCCCAGCTGCCTTCCATCGGTATGTCGCTCGAGCTGACAGATTGTTGTCCGCCACGGAAAGAGGGTGGGGACGCTCGTCCTGTGTGCCACAGTTGGCAGAAAATATATCCGCCTTTTGCGTGAACGGCATCGGTGACCTTCTTCCAGCCAGCAATCTGGGAGTCGGTGAAAACACCAGGAGCGCCGGGATATCCACCAGCCTTCACGTTGTCAATGCTGAATCCTCGCGGAAATTTCGGACATGTAACTTACAAATTTCGCGATATCTGTAGCCTCGGTCAACTGCAAGCCGCCTTTGCTTGCACGCTGGCCAAAGTACTCGACATTGAGGTCACTGGGGACCGTGACACCATCGCTCTCTTTCGTCGATCGCATGCGCGTAAGTGGTGCTTGTACGATTCTGTGCTCAAGCTGGAGCGACCCAAGCTTGAACGGTGTGAATAGAGCAGTATCTTGCAGCGGCTTAAAGCCTGTTGGTGAGTCTGCTTTCGGCATATTTGCGACACTTCGTATGTTGATGCTGGTGGGAACACGGCAGAGAGATTGGTATGACAGTCGAGGAGCGCAGGAAAACTTCAATGATCACATTTTTGGCCCTGCAGCTATGTCTTGTACCTCCGTAAGTTCCACCGTAGCGATCGACCATCGTTCCACTCCCATGTTTGAATGTTTGTGAGTGGTGTTGCAGAAATGGGGGAGGGGCAGGCGCGAACAAGACGCGTCGCAGTAGGCCCAAACCGCCTGCCGTTGTGGAGCATCGCCTCCTCAGCGAAAGTGGGGTGCACGCCACGGAAAGGCACTACCAATCATTGATAACATTACGTGAGGATGCAGTGAATGCTGCCGATACTGAGGGGTCGGAGTATTGTCTGATTGCCGCCTAAGAGGTATATCATCTGAAGACCACTTCGAGTGCTGTGTAGAGGGTGATATACATAATTTTTTTACCATGGCTCTACCTATTCCACCGAAAAGTGCTGCATCGAAAACTCCAAAGGGACTCGACGCCACCAAGGCTCTAACACCATTCATCGAGTCAACTTACACCTCGCCAGATATTACGTGCTACGTGAACGGGAGGAGAACTGTCATAAGCAACCCCAACCCACATTGGACATTACTGGATTACATCCGCGCTCAGCCACACCTCAAGGGCACTAAGTTGGGTTGCGGTGAGGGAGGATGTGGAGCATGCACGGTGGTGTTACAAGTAGGAGACCGTCGGAGTGGGAATAAGAGGATACAGCATTTTGCAGTGAACGCCTGTCTGTTCCCTCTGGTTGGCATCGATGGGAAGCATGTCATCACCGTCGAAGGCATCGGGAGTGTTGACCGACCGCATCCCCTGCAAGAACGGATAGCAAAGCTCCACGGCAGCCAGTGTGGATTTTGCACTCCTGGCATCGTCATGAGCCTGTACGCCGTAATCAGGAACTCGTACAGAACTGAGACGAAGAAATTCCATCTCAGTGCACGCGACATTGAGATGGAAGGTCATCTGGATGGCAACCTTTGCAGATGCACAGGATATAAACCTATCCTGAACGCCGCAAAGACTTTTGTAACGGAAGATCTGAAAGGTCAGCTTGCAGAGGACGATGAGCCCACAACAGCAGACGCCACAAAGTTTGCGAAAGAAGTTGTGGATTTCACCAAGACCAGCAGTGCCGGCCGAACTGCAGTATCATGTGGTCGACCCGGTGGCTGCTGCCGAGATCGGCCCTCTGTATCAGAGGGTAGCTCATGTGATAGCAAGTCCGCTACGTCATCACCACCAACAGAGCCATCTTCAGCATCAGACGACGAACACATACCTGCAATCCTTGACGCCAAAAAGGAGCCCCACGGGGATCCTAGTCTTAGTGGAGCCGATTATGCGAAACCGATCAAGAGCAAGGAACACGATGCTGATACTGAGACCAAAGCGTCGACCACAGTCAGTGCCCCTCCTGCATCTTCAGAGAACGGCGTCCCTCGGATAGAGTTCCAGGAGTACATACCTGATACAGAGCTGATCTTTCCGCCCGCACTCTGGAATCACGAGCCCCAGCCGTTGTGCTTTGGAAACGATAAGAAGATCTGGTTCAGGCCCACAAAGCTAGAGCATCTGGTCGAACTGAAGAACGCATATCCGTCCGCCAAGCTTGTCGGTGGTGCCAGTGAGGTGCAAGTTGAAGTGCGCTTCAAGAATTCTGACTTTGCTGTATCTGTCTACGTCTCAGATATTGCAGCTTTGAAGTATACCAAGCTTCCGTCTGATGCCGAGTTAGAGAACACTCATGAGCTCGTCATTGCTGCAAATACGCCCTTGACTGAATTGGAAGTACTCTGTAGAGACGTGTACTCAAAATTAGGCAAGCGAGCCATGGTATTGGAAGCCTTGCGGAAACAGCTTCGCTACTTTGCCGGTCGACAAATTCGCAATGTTGCGTCCCTTGCCGGGAACATAGCAACAGCGTCCCCAATCTCCGACGCCAATCCAGTGCTCATCGCCGCTGGAGCAACACTGGAAGCTGTCAACAAGAAGGATGGCAGTATGGATCTTCCAATGTCCAAATTCTTCCTCGCCTATCGGACGACAACCCTACCACCCGACGCTGCTATTGCGCGCATACGGATACCAATTCCTGCTGAAAATACCCGCGAAGTTCTGAAAGCGTATAAGCAAGCGAAGAGAAAAGATGACGACATAGCTATCGTGACGGCAGCGTTTCGCGTACGCCTCGATTCCCAAGACTGTGTTGAAAGTGCGTCTATCGTGTACGGCGGCATGGCGCCCACCACAAAAGAGTCGCCGAAAACGCAAGCCGCTATCCTGGGAAAACCGTGGTTCCACTCGGAAACGCTAAATGCAGCACTCACTGGTCTCCTTGAGGACTTCGATCTTCCGTATGGCGTGCCTGGGGGCATGGCGGACTATCGCAAAACGCTTACGCTCTCGCTGTTCTTCCGATTCTGGCATGAATCCGCGGCCGAGTTGGATCTTGGCAAAGTCGACGAACAGGTTGTGGATGAGATTCATCGATCCATCTCAAGTGGCACACGAGATGACTACAACCCTTACGAACAGCGTGTTGTTGGTAAACAGGTTGCTCACCTCTCGGCCCTCAAGCAGTGCACTGGAGAAGCAGAGTACATTGATGACATGCCGCGACTTGACCGTGAGCTGTTCGGTGGCCTGGTAATGTCTTCAAAAGCTCATGCCAATATCATCAGCGTCGATTGGGAGCCTGCGTTGGCCATGCCTAGTGTGGCTGGCTACATCGACAAGAACAGCATCCCCTCGGACGTCAATGTTTGGGGCTCTATAAAGAAAGACGAGCTATTCTTCGCCGATCAAAAGGTTCTCAGTCATGGCCAAGTCATCGGAATGGTATATGCGGACACTGCTCTGGAAGCCCAAGCAGCTGCACGCGCAGTCAAGGTCGAGTACGAAGAGCTCAAACCGATATTAAGCATCGACGACGCCATCACTGCGAACAGTTTCTTCGCACATGGCAAGTATTTGAGAAAAGGTCTTGCCATTGATGACAAGATGGACGAAGCATTCGACCAGTGCGACAAGATCTTCGAGGGGACCACGAGGATGGGCGGACAAGAGCATTTCTACCTCGAGACCAATGCAGCGCTTTCAATTCCTTCTGGTGAAGACGGTGCGGTCGAAGTGTGGTCGTCCACACAGAACACGATGGAGACACAAGAGTTCGTCAGTGCAGTCCTTGGGGTGCCAAGTAACCGCATCAACTGCCGTGTGAAGCGCATGGGCGGAGGGTTCGGAGGCAAGGAATCGCGCAGCGTACCTTTCGCTGTATATACCGCGATCGCCGCGCGCAAGGAGAAGAGACCAGTACGCATCATGCTCAACCGTGACGAAGACATGCTCCTGAGCGGCCAACGGCATCCCTTCCAAGCGCGCTGGAAAGTCGGCGTGTCTAGCACAGGCCAGCTTCTTGCACTGGAAGCCGACGTGTACAATAACGGCGGATTTTCGCAAGACATGAGTGGCGCGGTGATGGACCGCTGCCTGACGCACTTCGACAACTCGTACGAATGTCCAAACGTCTTTCTCCGTGCCCATGTCTGTAGGACAAATACCCACAGCAATACCGCATATCGCGGCTTTGGTGCGCCGCAGGGAATGTATTTCGCGGAGACTATCATGTACAATGTGGCCGAGGGACTGGGTATGGATATTGATGCGTTACGGCAGAAGAACCTATATTCCGTTGGACAACACACACCTTTCTTCCAGAAGATCGATGAAGATTGGCACGTCCCCATGCTCCTGCACCAGCTGTCCAAGTCTTCCGACTACGAAGAGCGCAAAGCTGCTGTGCAAGCCTTCAACAAAACAAATCGCTGGAAGAAGCGCGGTATCTCTCTCATTCCCTGCAAGTTCGGCCTCAGTTTTGCCACGGCACTACACCTCAACCAAGCAGGAGCGTACGTCAAGATCTATGCCGACGGCAGCGTGTTGCTGCACCATGGTGGTACAGAAATGGGTCAGGGACTGTACACGAAAATGTGCCAGATCGCAGCACAAGAACTCGGTACGCCGCTGGACGCAATCTATACACAAGACTCGCAGACGTACCAGATCGCCAATGCATCCCCAACCGCCGCGTCATCTGGCTCGGACCTGAACGGTATGGCGGTGAAGAATGCGTGTGACCAGATCAACGAGAGGCTGGCGCCATACAGAGAGAAGTTGGGCCCGGACGCGACGCTCAAGGAGATCGCGCACGCAGCGTACATCGACAGGGTTAATCTCGCAGCGAACGGGTTTTGGAAAATGCCGAAAGTAGGGTACACATGGGGCGATACGAACCTCGAAACCGTCAAGCCGATGTACTACTACTGGACGCAGGGCGCGGCGACGAGCGAGGTGGAGCTCGACCTGCTGACAGGCGACCACACCGTGCTACGGAGCGACATCATGATGGTGCGCTGCTTGCTTTCCCCTATCTAGAACACAGTGCTAACATGTTAACAGGACGTCGGCAACTCAATCAACCCCGCCATCGACTACGGGCAAATCGAGGGCGCCTTCGTACAAGGCCAGGGACTCTTCACTATCGAGGAATCCCTGTGGAACACCACGTCAGGGCAACTTTTCACGCGTGGACCCGGCACATACAAGATCCCTGGTTTCAGCGACATCCCGCAGGTCTTCAACGCGTCGCTGCTGCGCGCCGACAACGACGGCAAGCCGCTGAGCTGGAACCACCTGCGCAGCGTGCAGAGCAGTAAGGGGATCGGAGAGCCGCCGTTGTTCTTGGGGAGCACCGTATTTTTCGCGCTGAGGGAAGCGGTCAAGGCAGCGAGAGAGATGAACCGGGCGGCGATTGGGCCGGGGCAGTGGGGATTGGATTCGCCGGCCACATGTGAGAGATTGAGGTTGGCTGTTGGGGACGACTTGGTGGAGAGGGCGAGGACGGTCAGGAGGGAGGGTGAGACGCCGTTTTTGACAGCTGTTGCTTGAGCGTAGTGTGATCTACTTGGATGTTCGCTTTGGTAAACATGTGAACATGATGCGTTTAATGGCACGTCTACTGTATCGTCGCTGATCACAAGCAGCTGAGAAAGTGCTGTCTAACATGTAGAAGAGTGCAAGTGCGACCACTGGTGCTCGGTGAGCCTCTGACGTAATCAAAATCGCGCGGAAGGATTTCTCTGTTGGGACTAGCAGAGTATCACCCTCGAACATGAGATCCCGCATGATTTGCCTTAATGCCCCCAGGGACGCGCGACGGGCCCGAAATCCTCACGCTCTATGCATCGCTGCAGACGTCTGTGCCTGCACCATGACGGCCGTCCAGAGTCCTGAGCCGCAGCAGTCGGCCGCCAATGGCGCCAGCGGCGCAAAGCGTAAGTCCCCACTGCAAACGCAGGTACACGTCCCCAGACTAAACCCTACCCAGCGCGCCGGAACTCGACCATCCTCAACCCACGGTCCTACGTCGCCGAAGAGCTGTCCAAGCAGGCGCCGATCCTGGTGGGCAGCACCAAATTCGAGCCCCTCCCAGATGCGCACAACATCCTCGTCACGGGCGGGGCCGGGTTCATGTACGTGGCGGCGCGGTGAATGTCTGTCGTGGCCGTGCAGCAGACTGGTGGCAGCAGGGTGCTAATGTGACGCAGCGCCTGCTGGTTCGTCCGCCACCTGGTGCTCACGTACCCGCACTACAAGGTGGTCTCATTCGACAAGCTCGACTACTGCGCGACGCTGAACAACACGCGCATGCTCGACGGCCGGCCCAACTTTGCCTTCGAGCACGGCGACATCACGGCACCGGCCGACGTCAAGCGCGTGCTGCGCAAGCACAACATCGACACCATCTTCCACTTCGCGGCGCAGTCGCACGTCGACCTGAGCTTCGGCAACTCGTACCAGTTCACGAACACGAACGTCTACGGCACGCATGTCCTGCTCGAGCGGGCGCGACAGCACGGAGTCACGCGCTTCATACACATCTCCACCGACGAGGTGTACGGAGACGTGCCGGTCGGCGCCGCCGACCTCAGCGAGGCGAGCATCCTTGCGCCCACCAACCCGTACGCTGCCAGCAAGGCTGCGGCCGAGATGATGGTCAGCGCATACCGGAACAGCTTCAAGCTGCCGCTAATGACAGTGCGCGCCAACAACGTCTACGGACCGCATCAGTTCCCCGAGAGTGCGTCACGAAGGAACTCCCAATCTGTGCTAGCTGACAACCAGCAGAGATCATACCTAAGTTCATTATGCTGCTGCGGCGAGGGCAGAAGCTGCTTGTGCACGGCGACGGCTCGCCGACGCGCCGCTACCTGTACGCCGGCGACATCGTCGACGCGCTCGACACCATCCTGCACAAGGGCGTCATCGGTCAGGTCTACAACATTGCGTCCAAGGACGAGGTGTCCAACACGGAAATCTGCCACCGGCTGCTGGACATGTTCGGGATCCCGCGCCAGAGCGCCGCGGAGCGCGACAAGTGGGTGCAGCACACGCCTGATCGGCCGTTCAACGACCAGCGGTACGCAACCGATGGCTCAAAGCTGACGGCGCTGGGCTGGACGCCGAAGATGGACTTTGGCGAGGGCCTGCGCATCACGGTGGACTGGTACCGGCGGTTCGGCGAGGTGTGGTGGGGCGATATCAGCAGGGTGCTGACGTCGTTTCCCGTGGTGGCAGGCAACGAGATATGGACCATGGAGGAGCATGACGAGCTGCCGTCGTCCGACGAGGAAATGGTGCCTGCCGCGGGCGCGGGCGCTGGCGCGACGTGGACGAAGACGGCGTGGAACAGGTTGCAGGCGTCGGGGGGGACGGTGTAGGAGGCGGGGGCTTGTGTTTTGCATAGACGGCCGCATCGGCGTTTGAGATACCCATCTGCGCATTGGAGGCGTACGCGCGTAATTGAGAGCTGCACATGCGCAATTCAAAGAAATGTCCATCTAGACTGTCCGGTGTCTTGCACGAGCGCGTCCAACGGCCTGCCGTAGCGTCATGCAGGGTCCAAGCCAGGAACACCACCACGACCGGGCACTCCCCACGGTGCACTACAGTAAATGCCGGTCGACGGACGCTGCAGACAAAGCTGCGCTCGTGCTGTGTCGAGCGGCGTCTGGCCAGTGTCTCCCCCAATGTCTGCGGCAGGTCTTAGTCGTGCGGTGCAGGCGCAGGGCCCAATCGCCCCCCGAAGCGCCGCAGCTCGCTCAGCCTTCACTGCGGCGTCAGCGTCCGCTGAGCACTGAGCACCCTTTCGAAACAGAGAACGCGACACTCGGCGCCCTTCAAACATCGCCCCTCGCCCCTGCAGACCCGCCCTCTCCTGCGACTGCCTCTCCAGCGCATATCCTACACACAGCACCGCCTGCACGCCGCCCGCACCACCTGCTGTTGCTGCCCAAGTGATCGCCAGCTAACCCCACACCCGCCGTTCAGCCGCAGTACCTTCGTCCAGGCTACACACCGCACCGCCGCACCACCACACACCGCAACCATGGGCTTCCTCAGCAAGAAGAAGGACGACGGCGCCGACACAGACCGCAAGGCCCTCTTTGGCAGTCGCAAGAGCGAAAAGGCGCCCGCACAGAGCAACCCTTGTATGTGCAGTGCAGCCGAGCAGCAGCAGCAGCAGTGACACGGCGACACAGCTAACACGCAGCAGACGCCGCCGCACCCGGCCAGGACCCCTACGCACAGCCGCCGCCGCAGTATTCGAGCTCCAACGACGGGTACCGCCAGGAGAAGACAGCCGCCGTGACCGGCCCCGGCCAGCAGTACGGAGGCGGCCCCCGAGGCGGTGGCGGCGGCGGATATGGCGCCCAGGGAGGCAGCTACGGCGCCCAGGGTGGCTACGGCAACGACCGCTACGGTGGCTCGCCTGCGCCGCAACAGAGCGCCCGCGGGCCCGGTGGTTACGGCGGGCTCGGACGCACCAGCTCCACCGACACAGACGCGAACAGGAACGACCTCTTCGGCAACGCCGCCCAGCGCCAGCAGCAGCAGCCGCAGCAGCAGCCCGGCGGCTACGGCTCCCAGTCCGGAGGCTACGGCCAGGCCACACCGGGTGGCTACGGTGCCAGCTCTGGCGGCTATGGCGCGTACGGCGACCGCGAGCTAACGGCCGAGGAGCAGGAGGAGGAGGATATCAGCGCCACCAAGCAGGAGATCAAGTTCATGAAGCAGCAGGACGTCAGCAGCACCCGCAACGCCCTGCGCCTGGCCCAGCAGGCCGAGGAGACGGGCCGCGACACGCTTGCTCGCCTCGGCGCACAGGGCGAGCGCATCCACAAGTATGTCCACGTTCACCATATGCCCCCGAGCACGGCTAACCACGCACAGCACCGAGCGCAACCTCGACCTCGCGTCCACTCAGAACCGTATTGCGGAGGAGAAGGCCCGCGAGCTGAAGAGTAGGTCTTGAGACACCGCCATTTGACAAGTTCTAACACCGCCAGCCCTCAACAAGTCCATGTTCGCCATGCACGTCTCCAACCCCTTCACCGCCTCGTCGCGCCGCGAGGCCCGTGACGCCAAGATCATGGACAACCACCACCGCGACCGCGAAGCCCGAGACGCCACCCGCAAGGCTGCCTGGGAGTCCTCGGCGCGCCAGGACGACCAGAACCGCACGATGCAGGGCATGTCGGGCGCCGGCAAGAAGGCCTCGCTCGCCGACCGCGCAAAGTTCCAGTTCGAGGCAGACAGCGACGACGACGAGATGGAGAACGAGATCGACGCTAACCTCGACGCCCTGCACGGCGCCGCCAAGCGGCTGAACCAGCTCGGTCGCGCTATGGGCGAGGAGACAGACAACCAGAACAAGCACATTGAGCGTATCAACCTCAAGACGGATAAGGTGGATGACCAGATCGCCATGAACAGGGCGCGTCTTGACAGGATCAAGTGAGTGGACAGTAGAAACATTTGTATATATGCACGCTAGGGAGTACTGGGTGTCTATGTTTGGATATTTGCTGCATGTCACGGCCGTAGAGTATCAAGAATAGCTCTAAGCCTCTTGTGGTGCGTGTCCCCAAATCTTCTCACCATCTGTCTACGGGTACATCTCCAAGCCAGCACACAACAAGCTCTGCTTCGCGCCCATTGCAAGCCTAGTAGTTGAGATTTATGCAATTGCGGGGCTCAAAGTGTTGGACGTTTGGCCCAGCAATACAAAGTACCGGGAAGTACTGTACTAGCTTGGCTGTACATAGCTAACACACCTTCCCCGCCTCCCATCTCCCCCAACCGTGCTCTCTCAGACGTAGCCTCGATCGTGGCAGTCCGGCTAGCAAGCCTGGTTGCGTCATGCCGAACCCAACGCCCCTCACGCTACCAGTAGCTCACCTAGCTCCCTCGACCACCTCGAGACCAGCTGCGAATATCAGGTTTCAAGAAGATCCAAAAGATATCCCAGCACTTTCCTAACACGCAGACAGCCCGGGAGTTTCGTGCTCTGAGTGAGATCTGGTTGAAGAGAATATTACTTGGACTGGAGATATTGGTGGTTGGATTGGAGATTGAATTGAAGATTGAAATTTGAAGACTGAAGATTGGAGACTGAAGATTGGAGACTGAAGATTGGAGATTGAAGATTGGAGATTGAAGATTGAACACTGAAGACTGAAGATTGAACAACAAAGCCCGCCATGGCATACGAACGAACAGGCCCGCACGCCTCGTCCCGCTCGGCCGTCCACCGCAAACTGCACAGCTGGACCTTCCTCCCCTTCCTGCAATTCTTCGGCGGCGGCATCTACGCCCCCGACCCCTCGACCTACGACCCCATCGAGCTACTCCTCAACGCCTCGGGCGACGAGCAAGACACGCTCACCGCGCGGTGGCGCGACAACAAGCTGAGCGAGCTGAACTTCGTGGGCGTCGTGGTACGTGACTGAACCCCAGCGCGGCCGCGCCACCACACCCCGCTGATCCCGCAGTCCGCGCTGCTGGCCGGCGTGCTCACGAGTACGGGCTCGTGGCCCTCGATCCTGCCCTCGGGCGAGCTGTCGCCGTGGCCCATCCGCACCACCTGGTACTGCGGCATCGTGCTCTCACTGTTCTCGCTCCTGACCGCCGCCGACCAGACCGTGCGGCTGCACCGCCTGTCGTCGCACCGCGACGGGCTGGCGAACCTGCGCAACCTACTCTCCAAGACGATGCGTCAGCGCGACTGTGAGGCTCAGGCGCGTGTGCAGCCCAGTCTGCTGCAGGTGGTGACCTGGCAGATGCCGGTCATGTTTCTGACGAGCGCGACGCTGTGCATGATTATCGGGCTATTTTTGCATGTATGGAGTGCTACGCCGCATGTGGGGCGGATGGGGTCGTGGGATGATGATTCGAAGGTATGTTGGCGTTGCGGGGGTGTGATGGAAGGGTGGCTAATGTGGGCAGGTCGCGGTGACGTATACGATTGTTGCGCTGGTTGCGATCATACTGTTTTGCGTGGGGCAGGTAGCGTTGTATTCACCCATTCGGAAGTGACCGTGAGACGACGGGTGGGACTTGGTGGTGGGACTTGGTGGTGGGATGGAGTGCTGGAGATGTTGGAAGCTGTGCATGTTGATATTGGCTTGGTGCCACTACCCTACGATCCGATCCGACTACGATCCGTCAATATCTTGCTACGAAGCCATCAATACGCAATGAGGAGGGGTGCAGGTGTTGCTTTAGTCGCAGCGCTTTGAATTGCGTGCGAATGCCAGGGAGCCGAGCCGAGCAAAGCCTTTCATGAACCTAGCACGGGATCACCCACTGGACATCTCTATTACGACAGTGTACTTGATATAATCGCTTTACGCATAGTCAGCGCCTTACTCGTGTTCTCCAAGTTGCCGGTCGCTGCAGCATGTTCCATGACTTGAGGAGATGCGAACATGAGATTAGTGTTCCAGCGCTGTGGTTCTGTGGGTCTGAGTGTAGTAGGTAGACTACAAATTGTGGGAATAAAATGTGGGTCCCGTCCCTTCATATCCTGGTACAAGATGACTACAGCACAGTGAAGGGAAGGTGTCTACCTAGGTAGATGATCATTTCTCTCTGACGCAACGGGATGCGCGGCGACGGCACGGGCAGTACGAGCAGTTCGTTACTGGTACTGAGACTACTGTCTCAGCTTTGTGACCCCCTGGTGTACTGCTGGACCGATGACTTGACAGTGCGGCGGAGGACGTGGAAGTTGGCTGCGAGGATAGGTAGGAGATGGAGGTATCAGCGCGGAGTAATGTTTGCCGAGCAGCGGTGGTGAGATAAGGCAGCGTAATTAGAGGAGCTGCTGAACTGTCTGGTCAAGATTGGAAGGTAGATACCTATGGCTGACTGGGCGAAGATGGGGTGTGTAGGTATGTTGGTTTGGAGCTACGGCGCAGCTGTCACCATGATCCTATTTTGTACTGTCACGGGTCTCATGTTGCCGCAAGTCCTTTTCGACCGCGGACTGTGGGCAAGACGGGTTTTGCTTTCAATTACCCGTCCATGTAGCGTTGTGTCAAACAATACGGCTACCGACCAGCGAAACTCGTAGGTAGTCAGAAACAAGCGCACTTTAGTCATGCCCCCTGAAAGCAAACGTGCTCTAACACCTCGCACTCGGAAGAACGTGCCGTAAAATCTGCAGTCACGATGCTGCTCGCCAACAGACCTCAGAATTGCTTTGAGTAATGTTGGCGTGTAGTAGAACGCTGAGGGGCATGCTGAAGAATCGCGTGGACTCGGCTTCGAGTGTCCAAAAGGCAGTGTCGATTCTGCTTCCACTCGTGGTCTATCAAGAGAGGATGACAGAGACAATATCATTCATTCGCACACTCGCCAGCGCTCTACTGTCCCGCCGAGCAATTCCTCCAGCAGCCTAGCCAGCGCAGAACCTCGGCTCTTATTCTTTCCACCACGCACACACCACAAAAGTCACACTTGAGTCTCGAGCGCTTCTGCAGCGGCCGAAAAAGTACTTCACTGTGCCGACACCCGCTCGCCATGCCCCACTCATCCTTCTTTGAACCACACACACGCCACCGCACGCGCTAACCCAGTGTTCATCTGACAACTCGATCCCAAGACGCAGCGCACTCCATCCGGCCAGGCTGCCGCAGACAAGCCGCACGTTGGTGGCGGAGGCACGGTGGTGCGGCAGCCAATCGACCGCGGCCTGGGCGCACAGTGGTCTTGGTGTGTCTGTTTCGGAGCGCGACAGCGAATAATCTGCGCGAAACGTCGGGCGTGCTGGGTAATCAATTGGCGCAGGGTCCTCATTGCTCGGGCTTGGGAGGAACAATGTGTATGACAATGTATCTACATAAGTGTGTCTGCGGAAGTGCGTAATGTTTCGTGCTCCGTCTGCGCAGAAACAACACGCATAGATAGGCCCGACTACGTACACTGCACAGTATATACATACATACACCACCACCTGCAACGGACGCGTGCACCTTCCCAGCCAGCGCAACAGACCAAGTGGGTGCGGCAGGCCGACCAGAATTGTGGGATCCATCCAGTTGTTCCGCGAAGCCTCGGAGTCCGAGATTACAACACGCGAGGTAGCTGCAGCCACCAGCATCGCTAAACCCCAAAGCGGGCGTGTCGATAAAAGCGTCAGCCGCACAATCTTTCTCACACCTGCGCCTCTTTCTCGCCTGCGTCTCTTTATCCACCCCTGGACTCCCTCGTCCTGGGCGGTTTTTGCAAACCAAACAGCAGAAACTGAACAACAAGTCAAACGAGACACCAAATAAGCTACTTGCCTCGACCAAAGTCCCACGCTCTCTTCTTCGCCATTCTTCCGGCTCCCGTTCGCTTATCTCACCACCAAACACACTCCACCACGCTACAAGCAACATGTCGATGAGTGCAGGCACAATCGCACTTACGGTCTTCGAACTCGTGGCTTTCGTCGGCATGATCGTCGTCTTGTTCAGCACCCTTGGCCACGGGGGCTTCAATCCGAGCGCACCGTTTTATTGAGATGACGAGACGGGCGGGCTGATGCTGAGAATTTGTGGTACTGGACAGTATGCGGGACGATACATGGACGGAGAGACATTTACCAGAGAGGGGCAGTGAGGAAAAACCGGAAAAGGTGATCAAGAGGAGGAGTGAGGAATTGGGGAACACTGCGGAAAGGAAGACCGCGCGAGGAGCAGGGTGGATATTGGGCATTTTCTTCTTTTCTTCTTCTGTTCTTTAGACTTGCGCTCGCGCATGCCATGCGCTGTACTGCGCTTTCGTTCCTGTAAATGCTTGCTCGATAACTCCTTGCCTTATACCCCACCACGCAATGCAAATAGATCTTCACAATGGCCACCTGGTCTTGGTGACTGCCTAGGCAGCTAGTGCTGTCGCGACTTCGGCTGTAGATGCCATGCTGCCATCAATGATAGCAGAATCAGGAGCCTTGACGCGCTTTGCTGGTTGTTCGTGCTCATGCTCTTGCTCAGCGCTTCCTTGCTGCAGGCTCTCCTTCACTCTCTGCCTTTTCTGCGCCTTGCTCAACTCCTCCTTGGGTATCCCCAGATGCTGGTCTACGACCTTCGCCTTCTCCAGCAGATCATCTACGTTTTCGAGCCCAAGAGCCTTGACGACATCAGCATAGCACTTGCTCTTATTCATGGCCTTGTATGCCTCCTCGCGCCCGGGAATCATCTGGCCGAGCAGGTACTTTGTGTTGCCCCAACGGTTCTCGACTTGGATCGCGAGCTTCATGTACTCGGCAACCACTGTCTTCCACTGGCTCTTCCACTCGTGCGGTCCGCCCTCAGCATCTGGTCTGAAGCAGCTGGGGTTCTTCTCGGCCTCAGTAGCAATCATGGCGCCGTCGACGTTGAATTCTTTCATCAGTGCCAGTGCCTCGGCCCGGCTTGTCACGTCGCCGTTCATGACGCACGCAACACCCGCAGCGCGACAGATCTCGCCAACCATCTTTAGCTGTCCTCGGATCGCCCTCTCCCTGGGCCGCATGGGTGTCGTGCGGCAGTGCACTGTGAGGCCAGTAATGCCCGTCTTAACCAGTCTTTCCACAAGTCTCCTCGTGTCCTCTGCATCATCAAGAATCCGAATCTTAACACTGATGCCGATCTCGTACGGCTTGCCCACTTCTTCCACCAGGCTCGTCAGAATATTGCAGAGCAGGTCTGGCGTCTTGAGAAGCGCAGCACCCATACCGCCCGCCGTCGAGAACGGCTTTGGACACCCAGAGTTGACGTCTATGCCTGCAACGTCTGCGGCGACCATTTTGGCGGCTTGCACGGCGCGTTCGGGATTCGCGGTGCCCATCTGGTAGATAAGCTTGCCCTTTTCAAGCTCCGGATGGATGCGGTAGAGTACGGACTCGCGGTTTTCTGGGTCGAGATTTGGGTTTACGATTTTCGAGGTTGGCAGGCGCGACCATTCGAGGGTTTGAGTGTGGGGGTTGAGGCGCCGTGTTGTGCCGATCATTGCGCGGTCGATAGTCTCGGGACCTGAAGTGCGTGAGTATGGCCTCCAGTAGTTGTCTTGAATGCGACTTACCCCACACCAGATCTGCGCCGTACTTCAGCGCCAACAGCCGTGAAGGCAACTCGCCGGAGCGCACCATAGGCGCAAGCACCACGCAGCCGCGGTAGTCGACGCCATTCTTCGGGATGGGTACGTGTGCAGGCTCTGAGGCAGCCATGGCTCTTGTTACTGTGCGGTAGAGGCTTCGTAACATAACATGCCTTGGGTCTGGAAAGAGCGATGAGTGAGGGCGCATCATTTGTGGAGTGGCCAATTTCTGCCACACGCTACCGCCTCTCTATTGGTACTAGCGTCGGTCGCGTCCGAACTATAGGGACCCGCACTCAGGCATCCTTCACAGTCACCAGTAGTTGCTGCTCAAATCAAAATTTCTTTTTATTGGAGGTAAACGGCATTAAATCTGGCAGGACGTCTCTACTTGGCTTTGTTCGACTTGTACGCCCTTCCTTATTTCCTGATATTTACACAAGCAGTATGTCTTTGACCGGGAGGCCCATCGCATCCACCTCTTTATTCATCAGAACATGCACATACGCACTGCCGATAAATTTGTAGGTCTCCGTTGGTCGTTCGGGAACCTGGCGAAGTACATGCGGCGATAACGATCCGTTGAACACACAGACTTTGTCGCCTGGAAGTACTCCCGTGTTCGTGATTCCTAACCTTCCATCCGTGGTCAGGAAAAGCTGAGCCTCATCGAGAGTATATTCCAACTCTTCTTTGAAGCGAGCGGCACCGGTGGATTCATCGCAAAGTAGCTTGTGCGCTACTGCTGCCCTTTCAAGCGGACGCTGAACCCACCGATTCGAGGACTTTTTAGTGCCTGAGGCCATCATCTTTCTGTGGTTCCTGCTCAACTTTTGCAGTGCCACGTAAAACGCTTCATACGACTCAATTGCTGGCTCGAAGTTAAACCACCCGTGGGTCAACGTTTTCCAGTAGATTTCTTCCCTCTCGATGTAAGACTTCAACAGAGGGCTCTTCCGTCTTTGAACATGTTGCAACCCTGTACATGCCTCGTGTAATTCCTCTTCCCATGCAGCGAGGCTCAGAAGATAGTTCCGCTCGGTCCGTGATGGAATCGTAGCGCACACCGAAGCAACTGTGTCAACGATGGTCCCGCCAATGATTAATTCTCCCAGTCTTCGCCCCTTTGTAGCCACACATGGTCGGCCACTAGCTTGATGTCTTTGAAGAAAAGAGGAATACCTTCGGCCGCTATGATGAAAATCTGGGACCCACGATGGAAGGCCAGGAATCTTCTTCTCTGTGAACGCACTGTCTAGCCACTGCCAAGACGTGTACATGTCGTTACCACAAAGTACTAATGGAACCGTTGCGGCGCTGAATCTTGTGTAGAGTTCTGCCGTATTCATACATCCATACATGTCTTCTTCGAGCACTTGGTACTGCACAGGGGTGAGTATTCCCAATATTCCTAAGACGCGATCCTGTGGCAGATGACACTGTCGATAGTGACTTGAGTCATTGGAGAGTCGCAACAAAGCTTGTGCTAGCTCAGCACGAAGAAAGGCGGTCTCTTGACTGAAATCTGCTTGCACCAGTACTCTCGCGATGACAACGGAAGTACCATATTCTGTTTCGAGGGCTAGTTTGTTCCATCCAAAGTCGTATAGTTGCCAATAGCATACAAGGGCATCAACCATCAGATGCTCGTCTATCGGATGACTGCCACAGAGAAATGTGGCCGATTTGGCTAGTGTAAACTCTTGCAAAATCCACACTCGACGAAACCATTGATTGCCCAAAAGGTGTTTCAATGATTCGAGAGTAAGAGGGTCAAGATCTCTGGAGATATGCATATCCACGTCCAGTTCAAAACTTTCCGCATCTTGTCCTTTGGAACGCCTCCAGGCGTGATGCCCTGCACATGCAATGACTGGAAGCAAGTCAATAGCATCTTGCATCAAGTCCTGATTTGATAGAAGACCCAGCCAGATCCAGACTGTCTGAGCTTTTCGATAAATCCTGTTCATTGACGAGATCTGACTCATCTTCTCTTCGGAGTCGCTCTGGTTTATACACAGGGCGTCAATCCAGATTGGTCGCAACGGCTCTGTGTGGCCCGCCTGATATTTGGATACCATCCTCCAGCCCCAATTCCTATCGGTCTGGTAGAAAGACGTTTCACGACTGTCTGTATCGTTTGTTTCACTCCCTTCCCACTCAATGTCGATCTCTTCCCGTCTGTCATCCTCTTCGTCGCTCCATACTTTGGCATCATCGTCCTCTTCGGTGCTCGCTTCCTGGTCCACGGTCTGTGGGCAACTGTAATCTCTCAAGGGGGCGTCTTGTTCTGGCATTTTCACGTCATCTTCAACGTTGCTCTCATGTATGCTCTCAGAGCTTTTGTTATTTGCAAATAGTAGCCTTTCCCACGTCTGTGGATATGTGTGACGATGGGCCAGATACGGCAGTGCGGAAAATAGATTGTGGTGAACATGGAGCCTCTGATAATTGCACTTGATCGGATACAGTTGATCTTGCGAACCCCACACATAGGAAAGCGCGTCGAATTCGACATCATCGTCAAGATCGACCACTTCCATCGTCCATGACAGTCCGTCTTCATCGCCTGTAGGCATCAAGAGTCTGATCTGACCACGGGAAAGAGGCCCGTACGTGAAAGGTGGGAGATCGTTTGTCTGCTGTTGCGACATGGCTAGGACATGAGCGCGTTCTAGCGAGAGTGATTTTGGTCGTTTGAGGAAAGAATTAAAGCTAGGCAGTCGTAACGAGGCTGGTGGGTGAACGTATCCACAGCTGACAACACGTGCACTCGCAGGATCTATGCTAACTGCATTAAGATGAGTGGAGACCTCAGTAGAAACGACATCGTGGGGGCTTTCCTATTGGGCAATGGAGTGTTCTTGAAGCATGGAGATTATATCACATACATTACATGAGAACATGAAGAACAATTTCTGGTTTAGGAGTCCAATACAGAGCTGGAAATAACGCCACTATTTGTGATGCCGAAACCCCCTATGATGCAAAAGGAATGCTCATGCTGCCGTAACTTCGTGAACGTAATGTCTCTCGTATCATGCTTTTGGCCAAAACGCCGTCTTCGTCCTCTTCATCTTCGTTGACGCACCTTTGTTGCTCCAGCCAAGCACCTCCAAGAAAGAATCCAATGTGAACTGAGCTTCGTCGTTCAGCGAGCGGTCAAGAACCCAAGTCACAACGGTGGTGAATATCACAACTCCGATCGCACAGACCCAATAGACCCAAAATTGGGGCTTGTTAGGGGCGTAGTTGTCCTGCATGCTAAACAAACTGCTCGTGTAGGCTAGCGGAATGAACAAGAGCGCAAGCAGGTTAAGGCGCTTGACACGCTTGGCTTCATCGAGACTTTGGCGATTGCCCGCGATGCTGGCGAAACCAGTCATGGATGTCATGAGATTGTCTGCTCGCTCTTTGAGGACTTGTAGGCGGAGGTATGCATACTGGTAGTCGATTTCACAGTCTTTCCAGTCATAAATCTTTTTGCGGGCACCCTTGATCGCCTTCTGCGCTGGTGATACGAGTGGAAAGCCCAGACTTAGGAGAGCATCCTCAATGTCGTCTCGGTAGTTACCACAACGACGTGAGATTGTTTGAAGGGCTTTCCACTGTTCTTGCTCTTCCACCCACGCTGTCGCCAGTTTTAGCTCCAAAGACGGCAACATGACTTTAATGTAATCGGCCAACTGAAGATAGTGTGCAGCCACAATCTTCTTCAGAAAAATCGCGGATTCGCTTGGGTCATTCCACTCGTGCTCCTCAAGAAGCCCGGACTTCGATTCATAGTAGTAAACAAGGTCGTAGAGCATCGACTTGTGCGGATGCCTGGGTCCACTTGGTAGCTGACCAGGCTTGAGTCGTGTTGGTGGGACGAACTCTGTATAGCCGCCCTGGAAAGGCTCATTGAGGAGGTTGACGTCAGGATCTGCGATTTCGCGAAGGTCATACGTCTCAGTCCTCTTGTTGTATACCTTTTCTCTTGGGTACCTGGTCATCTGTGCGAGCTGCGGGTCGCAAAGAATGACAACTGCGTTTTTGTTAGTGAACTACTGGCAAGAGCGGAAAGTCAGGCAAACCGTCCCAGCCCCCTCTCGTAGCAGTCTTCTCGGACCACCAACTAACCTTGCGCCTCACGATGGCAGTGGTGGTATTGCCTCTCCCTTCGCTCTTCGCGTTTGTCTTGCTTTTGACCTTGCTATTATCTGAGCCTGCAGACTTGTTTTTGAAGTCTTTCTTAATGTTAGCATGACGTGGTGCAGTCATGCCTACGTGACGTTTTGTTCTAGCACAGAAACATGGTACAGTTTCTAACGCTTTTGTGAACTCCCGCAATTCACAGTACTGCACGTGGAAGCTTTTCTCGGGGTCGATCAAGCTTGGTTGAGGCAAGGCATCGCTGACGGGTGTGAAATCATTACTCCAAACGCAAGTTCTCTCCTGGCGCAACCAGAAAGTGGGATCCATCCAGAAATGACCTCCAATTGCTGCGACAAAATCAGTCGCCAGACCCTCCATGATATATATGCGTCGACGATCATGATCTCGCACCGAATCTTTCAGATGTGTCTTTAGGTGCGTGGCATCTCTAAATTCAGTTCTTGTAAACTTAGGCGAACCGGTTGCAGATGCATCTAACATGACAACATGAGCGTTGCCAGCAGTCATGAGTGGGGCACCTCCGTCTCCAGCCAAGTTATTCGGGTCCGCAGTCCTCAGACCTGGATAGCAATCGCTGAGGGCTGCAATGTACTCCTGATACCTCCCTGATCAAGATTAGTGACATCGCATTTCTAATATGTCGTCGATTATCACCTGGTGTGCACAACCATGATCCAATGAGCTTTTCCTCGTCTTCCGCTTCCGGAGTTGCGAGTTGTCTCGGCGTTCCGTGCCCCACTGTCGTCTGAGCTGACGATCTGCCATTTGGTGAGGCTCCGTTCAAATTCCCCATCGGGACTTCGGTGATCTCTGCAGCCATCTGAGCAGCTGTACAACAAAGTCGAAAGTCTTAGCAAATGTATCGCCACATCAATTCAGACACGTTCACGAGCAGGATTGGAAGTTTGGAACCGGGAGGGCTGGGGCGAGCCGTTCGCGGGTGGAACGACTTTTCAAGCGCCTGCGGCTCTGCATGGAGGCGGAGCATGCATAGCATGGGGGCCAGAAAGCGCCACGTCATCCGTGCACCTTCAGCTGAGGGGGAAGATCAGCCATCTGTCGCATCTTGCGCTTGCGTCGCGCGCGCATCGATGCTGTGAGATGCGTTCGCCGGTCAATGTCGAAGGAATGTCGTTCGTAACACAACCTGAGGCAGCTGCGGGGCCTGTGCCCTGCTGGCTTTCAGGCAGTCAAAAGTGGCTTAGTCTGATCAGACGGCTTCCACCTCCATAGACCGGTGATTCCAAAATAGGGGGGGCAGACATGAGGCATGCTTTCAAGGCGTACTCCAGGATGTCATCAAGTCCATCAGTTTCGAAAAGCGATGGACAGACCATCACGTGAACAAGTAAAACGCTAATCTCTATCGGGACATTACGCACGTGATCATGTCCGTCATCGACCACGTTGTCCATCAGCATGGTAGCACTCCACTTCCCCAGTGCCGCAGCCGCAGTTGCCCCAAACGCATGTCACCGTGATAACGAGCACTTGACGGGTCATGCCGGGTACGTAACGGTCGGAAGATGGACTCAGCCTGCTTACGAAGGTACAGACGTGTCGCTCTCGCGTTTCCGATCCGTGAGGCGCGTTGGCCACGTCGCATGCCCAGAGCGTCAAGATCCAGCCTCACACACAGCACCCCGCTTTGTCATGGCCTCTGCTGAGCTGCTTCACAAACAGGTTGTTTTGGTAAAATGCATTATCCGCTTGAAGCGCGGTCTTGTCACAGCGCATGATTAGGCATTGTTGCTCTTGACAACGCCAATGGGAAAGCAGGTTCATGGACACTGCCGTACCTGACGATCGATCGATGCTCCAATCACATGTATGCCGGGACCCACTCACCGAGGAAAAGCGGTCAATTGCCCAACACCAAAGCAGCACCGCGCTAACAACACACCCAGCATACCTCCCGCATTGGGAGCCGAGTCATCATCAAGTATCAAGTATCGTCATCTGGTCAGGTGGCTGTAGGACAATGCTCTCAGGGATGAAGTAACTTATAACTTCAAAGCTCACCTCCAAACTCTGATCACCACACAACCACCTATTGTCGAATACCCACACCATGACCACAGAGTTGGTAGCCCACATGCGACTTTCGCATTACAAGGGCCTCTGGAAGGCTCTTTACGGCTCACCTCATGGCTCTGGAGAGCGTAAGGTGAAGCTTCATCTTACCTCTGCCCAACGTTGTTGCGTCGTCGAGATGCCCATTGTCTGCCACTACGAAGACAACCTACCAGTCCTCACTACCCGGGGCGTGTCGAAGTCAGAGTGGCTGGCCTTCTGTAAACTCGTCTCGGATGAGAGCGTGTTGAAGGTCATCTTCTTTGACGAGGACAAGGACTTCCTCGCCAGAATCGGCGCAGTGGGCGTCAAACCGCCCAAGACCGATCTGTATCAGGTCAAATTCCACTGGCAGGAGGACGATGAAGTTACTCTCGTTCTGAAGAAGGGCATGAAGTGGATCGCCGGGATTCTTGAGTGAAATGCAAGGAAGCACGTGCTCTCACCACAATTCTTGTAAGTCTCCTGTTGTTTGTGCAAGGCCTTTCGCTGACAATTGGTAGCACTCAGATTTCCGCATCTACTTATACCTCGAAAATCTACAAAACAGACTTTTGGGACGAACAACAAACCTCGACTTGAACTTTCACCAGCACATTCAAAATCAGCTACACGAAAACCGTTGGCAGTCAGCATTATTGCAGAAGTACAGATCCTAGCCTCTCTCTGCTCTTGATCGTTGGCTGTGCCATCGAAGCCTCAATCGCCGAAGTATGTTCTTGGGAAAGGGAAATTGGTCGATCTCGTCGCTGGAACAGGATCGAAGCAACAACGCTGCGCGCTTACAGCACGCTCGTCGAAAATAAGTCGTGGCGGGCTCCACCGCACAGGAGCTCCCGCCAATTGGATTTGCTCGCATCGCGAGTGCGAAACGCTGTCGACAACAAGGCATGCTTTTATCAGGACGGGAACAATCTGTATCTATATGCATCACAAATCATGAACTCCGTCTTTGCCCTAAGATTTGGACTCCCTCGAAAAAAACACTTCGCCTTCTAGGAGTGCGTTGTGGGCCAATGAAAGAGCATGTCGACAGATAAGGTGCGGAACTGACCGGAACTCGATCTCTGTCGTGTTTCATGACATTGGCAACAAGTTACTGCGCACACCGCATTCTGATTCAAGCGCGCATTGCTAGAACAACTTTCGGCAATAAACAGGGTTGCTGTCCGTCGTGCGCTCAGTGTGTCTTAGTCAGATCAAAGAACGAGTTTGTAAAGAAAGATTTGGTGACCAAGAACAGATTTGTGAACAAATTCGCAACACACAACAAATTTGTAATGAAGATCATAGCAGGCCGGCATCTGCATCTTGCATCCAGAATATTCCGCAATCATCAAGATCGACCTACCACGGGAGCTAAAACTTGCACTCTGAGTTGCGGGGATGTCACAGAGAAAAACCGGGCCCTTCACACGTGTGCGGCTCCAATGGTCTAACGTGCAATTCTACGCCTAGTTCCAGAAGAATTATTCTTCGGGTAGGACTCGGTGCTAGCGGGCGTCGCCCCCGGTAATGAAGCTGATAACGGTGTGCACGCCCTCGAAACAGACGATGAAGTCACAACAGCGGGCCCTGGCCAACGGCGAGCGATCGGCAAAGCACAAAAACTTCACGATTTGCTACTGCGCAACGACCACACCTGACAAATCCCAGGTGGGGAGCGAAAAGAGCTGATGAAGATGCTTGCGGGGATAGTGTTTGTGGCAAGGCTTACGGTGAAGAGGAGTGAAGATACATAGGGTGGACGTCGGCCTGCTAGGAAAGTCCTCAGCATACCAATCCTTCACATCAGCATTCACAACTATGTCTTCTACATCCGATTTCAATGGCTGGGTCGCCCACGACCCCTCTGCCGCCGATGGCAACATGAAGTGGGGCAACTTCGAGCCCAAGGCTTTCGAGGAGACCGACATTGAGATGGACATCACTCACTGCGGTGTTTGCGGTTCCGACATTCACACCCTTCGCTCTGGCTGGGGACCTTCCGATTACCCTCTCGTTGTCGGACACGAGATCATTGGTCATGTCACCAAGGTCGGCAAGGATGTCAAGGACGTCAAGGTCGGCGACCGCGTCGGTGTCGGTGCCCAGTCTGAGTGCTGCGAGGACTGCCGCCCCTGTAAGATGAAGCAGGAGTCCAACTGCAACAAGTTCACCATGACCTACAACGGCAAGCACCTGAACGGCGACAAGTCGTACGGTGGTTACGCCAAGGCGTGGCGTGGACCTGCTTCCTTCGCCATCCCTATCCCTGAGGGTCTCCCCTCTGAGTTCGCCGCTCCCCTCATGTGCGGTGGTGTAACAGTTTACAACCCTCTCGTCTCCTACGGCGCTGGCCCTGGAAAGCGCGTTGGTGTCGTCGGTGTTGGTGGCCTTGGTCACTTCGCCCTCCTCTTCGCTAAGGCACTCGGTGCCGACGAGGTCGTTGCCATCTCTCGCTCTTCCTCGAAGAAGGAGGATGCGACCAAGCTGGGCGCCGACCGCTTCATCGCCACAGGCGAGGACCCCGACTGGGCCACCAACAACGCCAACGGCCTGGACCTGATCATCTCCACCATCTCCGGCGCCTTCCCGCTCGACCAGTACCTTAACCTGCTCGACGTCAACGGCACATTTGTCCAGCTCGGTGCCCCCGACGACCCACTTCCCAGCTTCAGCCCTATGGGCCTGATCTTCAAGAACCTCAAGATCGCTGGTTCATTGATCGGCACCAGGCAGCACATCCGCGACATGCTGGAGCTGGCTAAGAAGACCAACCTCCAGGCTTGGGTCCAGGTCAGGCCCATGAGCGAGGCCAACCAGGTCATTGTTGATTTCGAAAAGGGACTGCCTAGGTACAGGTACGTTCTCAAGAACTAGATGTTGATTTTGCGTAATACCCAGTGCGGCCCAGGGCTGCTGTAATGAAATAGATTTTATTAAATTATCTCATGCTACTTGCGTCGCCGTGACCGTGACTCGCATCCTCTATTGAAATTTAGTAGTCTCTTCTTTGTGATTCATCACGCTTGGCCACGCCTCAAAAGCTTGCAGATGACATTACTCTGCGTGATAACAGTTGCATTGTGAGTTTCCAAGGCCGATCGTGGGCCATTCTAAAGGCAAAGCGGCTAAGAATCTCCGGTACAACCTTATACATCTCCATAATGGAGAGCTGTTACATACGGTGAGCTTCTGATAAGATACCACTGATGTAACGCGAACACTCACATGCTTACCGATGCAGGTTCTCGTCCCCGCATCGAAGACCAACCTAGCCTTTTCCATCGCCCGGTACCTCTCTTCGCAATCCAGCCATCTCTCAGGCCTGAATTTATGAGCATATTCGCCGAAAACGTCCATGTCGAACTGCACGACCATAGCATTCATGCCGATCTGTCGAAACATGAGAAACGACTTAGATATTGCTTGGGGAGCAACAAACCTTAGTTCCTGGCTTGAGATAGTGGCCTGAGATTTCCAGACTAGATACCGGTGCAAATCGCAGCATCGGCACAGCAAGTGTCGGGCAGACACGGAGTAATTCCTGAACGACCGCCTTCAAGTACGGTAGTTTCATGACCTAGCTACACTGGATTGGATGCGTCATAGAGACGTCTGGACGCTTACAAAATCTGAACTGACTGGAGTTGAGATGGTAAGTGCTAAGCTGTAGTGGCGAGGGAATGCTGACGCAACCCTCAGGTCATCTATGTCTGCCAGAACTTCTACTTCTGGTGTTCTGGTTTCCAGAAATCAATCTCCTTGTTCTTCTTCTCACGAATCTTTCCATCTGAAAGTGCAAAGCGATATTGTTATGCTGGGATAGCACTTTCGATAGGCTATGCAGCAGATTTCGGTATCACCATGCCCGACAGCCTTTCCGCATCAACGATCTTCAAGGCGGTTGATACACGGATCTCATCGATCGAGTTGCGAGGAGACGAGCTATACTAATTAGCAGAAACGGGAACGAGCAAAAGTGCTTCTGGTAACGATTACAAAATCTCAAAAGACGCCTCCCGAAACAGAGGCAAGCTATAAGTTGCAACATCGGGCAACGCTACCAAGCGAGTGGTGAAAGCGGTGTTGCAATGGTTTCGTCCGTCCCAATCTAGCCCTCAAAGATGCAAAGACGATTGGAGATTTCGTGTAGCTTTGAGAAATTGTAACAACGATAGCGAAAAACGAAACTTGAGCGAGAGCTCATACTTGACGAGGTCGCTGGCGCCTTCTTCGCATCATGATGAGATTATGGTGCCCAGGCTCTGACGTCACAGATTCTAGGCAAAATTCCGCAGCGATAGGGTGGTGCAGGCATAATAAGTACAGGGGGAACTTTCGTCCTGGCATTCTCCAGCTCAGATTGTTAATGAATGTCGACACACAAAAGACAACATAACTTGAACTCATAATGACACGTATTGACACGCCTAACCCACTCTTTGCTCGACTTTTGCTTACATAGATCAGGCACATTAAGCAACCGGGCTTCGATTACATCTTCTCAAGGTCCACCCGCTGAGTCTCACCATGGATCTTCGACAGAGTCTACTACTATCTGGAAGTTCTCCAAGCTGCAGAAGCTGAACCCGTTTGCCAAGAAAGAGACACCAGAAGAGAAGGAGATGAGATTCGCAGAAAAGAGGAGGAAGCAGGAAACAATTGAAAGATATGGCTCAGGAGGGCCCAAGGTTGCAAAGAGAGGACCCAAGGGTACAAAGAAAGGGTCGAGCGTAATGGCTGCTGGAGCGTTTGCAGGCGCAGGAGGAGGAGGATGTTAGCGGTGCTCAAGGTTTGATCTTTGACCGACGGAGAACTAGGCCATCGAATGAGTCCAGTGTACACGACTGCAGTCAACGTGCTGCACAGCGTCCGTCTCGTGCCTTGGCTTTGTCTGGAGTCCAGACCCTGTCTGCCTCGACAAGCCGATGGTACCCCTCATCGCCCTTCTCTCCGTCAAAGAAGTTATCGGATCGTCCATGGCGATGACACACAATCAATGCACCACATGCAATGGCGAGATCAATGATTCAGCAATGCATCTTAACAACTCGGCAGTAGCGCCTTCCTCTTGAGGCTAGTCGCGCCTACTCTCGGCCGGGGTCCAGCATCAAACACGCCCTGCGTAGACTCACTGTTCCACTCCGCACATATCTGCTCAATGCCGCCACCACGCTTACTCTCGCTCGCTCGCCTATCCAGTACGTGGTCCCGTCCACATACTGTGCGATTGACCTTACGCAATCCCAGCAAACCCCCGCCGAACCGCTGAACGGAACTCCGCTGCGTTCGTCGCCCGCCCCACCACCCCACACGGCCGGCAGCTTCACACCTCGCCAGCACGCCTCGTCATGTCCGAATTCGCCCAGTACACAGCGAAGAGCAAGGCTCCCGCGACAAATGGCGACAAGCCAATTGGCAGCGCTTGGGGCAACAAGCGCAACCCAGCTGCCTTTGACTTCCGCTCCGACGTGCACACCACACCGACACTCTCCATGCTAGAGGCGATCCAAGAATGCTCCCTTCTTGATGATGTGTCCATGGAGGATCCCACTACGCTCGGTCTGGAGAAGTTCATCGCCGAGCTGACCGGCAAGGAAGACGCTCTCCTCGTCCTGTCTGGCAGCATGGGCAATCAGGTTGCCCTGCGCTCCCATCTGCTCGCGCCGCCCCAAGCCATTGTCTGCGATCGCCGCTCCCATATCATTCAGTACGAAGCCGGTGGTGTTGCGTCGCTATCGCAGGCTCTCACCCAGCCCATCGACGCAAAGAACGGCAAATACATCACCCTCGAGGAAGTACAGAAGTACGCCGTCATCAGCGACGACGTGCACGCCTGCCCAACTCGCGTCATCTCTCTCGAAAACACGCTCAACGGAGCCATTATGCCCCTATCCGAAGTCCGCCGCATCGCCGCCTGGGGTCGCGAGAACGACATCATAATGCACATGGACGGCGCGCGACTGTGGGAAGCTGTGGCAGCAGGCGCAGGCACATTGAAGGAGTTCTGTGCTGAAATGGACAGCCTGTCGCTGTGCTTCAGCAAAGGCCTCGGTGCGCCAATCGGCAGCATAATTGTTGGCACAAAAGCGTTCATTAAGCGCAGTCGCTGGGTCAGGAAGACCATTGGCGGTGGCCTGCGCCAGGCCGGCGTGGTCGCCGCGCCAGCGCGTGTCGCAGTTGAGGAAACCTTCCTCGGCGGCAAACTCACAGAGTCCCACGAGAAGGCCAAACGGATACAGAAGCTCTGGACCGACCTTGGCGGCAAACTCGACTACCCCGTGGACACGAACATGGTGTGGCTGAACCTCGAAGGGCATGATATCGATCTGAATCACTTCATCGAGACGGCTGAAAAGTACGGGGTCCGCACCAGGGGCGGGCGTTTCGTGGTCCACTACCAAATCAGCGAAGAGTGCATCGACGCATGTCGCAAGCTCTTCGCCGATGTGCTCACTGGTAAGGAGGGCGAGGGCAAGAAGGCACAGGCACCACATGATCCAGAGGAGCTGAAGATGAAGGGTCAGGTAGATATCGACTGCAGTGCATGATGCATGGTCAGGATAGAGGATCAAATAGAGGCTAAAAAATTAGGTACCGTGTGATTTGACATGAGCAGTATCAACGCAGTCATCCTTTGTCGTGAATTGTATATTCTGCTTCTCTACAATCTCTAAGATCTTTACGCCAGGGTATCGTCATCGCCGTGGAAGAACCTCAACACAGCCTTCGCAACCACCAGCCCATCATGCATCCAATCCGCCCGCTCGGCCGCCTCCTCCGCGTCACTTTTCTGCACACTCCCCGCCTCAACTCGCATCTCCAATTGCCTCTTCACATACCGTTCATTGAACTCCATGTGCCCCTGACTTGTGAACAGCCGCTTCTGCACATATACGCCTTGCACTTGCGTATGGTCCGTGGTGCCCCAGACATGCACCTTTGTGCCGGGCGCAAGCAAATCCGTGGACGCGGGCGACGGCGCGTCCACGACGCGGTCCAGGTGCATCTGGTGCAGACGCAGCGTCGGGCTGGACGTGCGGAAGAGCTGCTGACCGACGGAGGAGAGGTCGAGCGAGGTGTGGGAGAGTTCCCAGGTGCCGTTGGGCGAGGGCGCGACTGTGGAGCCGAGTGTGCGGCACAGAATCTGGTGGCCAAAACATATGCCCGTGAATTTTATGTCGGGGCGGTGCGTCCAGATGTCTGGGGTGGGTTAGCCTTTTCATTTCTCTCAATTGCGTTTCACAGAAGTTGAATTGGGGAAATGTACATTTGATAAAGTCCATGAGTTTGTGGATCCACGGGTCGTCGCCGTGCGCGTCCCACTCGCTCCCCGTGATGAGGATGGCGTGCAAGTCGTCTGGGATATCGGCGGGTCCTGGCACTCGGCCGCCCTCGGGCTCGACGATGTATTGCATCATTGTCTCGATACCGAGTTGCGGGTCATGGTCGTCGCCTGCCTTAATGAACAGATTGTTGAAGACCTCGCCGAAGCCGCCAATTTCCCTCTGTGTCTCTGGGTGTGTTTCGTCTGTCTCCAGGACTAGCATGCGGACTCTATCTTCATGCTTGGACACGGTCTGGACGGCTGGTAGAGGGCCCATTGTGTGTATTGCTGTGTGGAAATGGTGTTTCTGGCTGTAAAAACAGAAGTTGGGTATCGTGGTAAGTTTTGTAGTCGAAAGAGTAGTCAAAGTCTTAAAAGCTGTCAAAGTCGTAGGGATTCGTGCCGAAAAGTTGGACGACGGTCGTAACTGCAGGGTTCGATTGATGACGCGCGCTGATGTGCACATAATCCTTTTCCTTAGCTAGCCAAGAATGAGGGCGTCGTCAACTATTCGTCAATTGAAGTTCCGCACAGCGAATACGCAGCCTCCGCTTGCGGCCCAGAAGAGCCTCCTCAGCCTCTGCGCTTGGCATATTGCGTCTTGTGGTGAGTCGGTGGCAATGACGCAAGGTGTAGCTTTCTGCAAGAAGTAGAACAGAAACACTCGATGTTGATGGAGAGAACAGAGGGTCCATTACGTTATGGTATGTTCTGTGAAAGCTTGTCGTGAACTAGATCCCGCTAAAACCGTTCCGGTTTCCGAGACCAAGAGAGCGGGGAGAGAAGCGACGGTGCCTGCTGGATCTCTTGTGGGTATCATGTGCATGCCCCGTGGTGAAGCATGAATGAGTCAGGTCAATTTCGTGTGGAGATGCTGAGGCTCTCGAGAAGCTGAAGAAGTGGAGGTTGTGTGTTCAGATCTGAAAAGAGCAGGAACGATGATGTAATGTGGGGTTTCATCTCTTCATTATGTTCTCGAGGTTGCCTGCCTCCAAGTCTATGTACATGACATGAGAATCAGTTCTTGACTCGGGCCTAGTAGGGAGGCGCGTTTATATTCTTAGCATACGTAGTATTGTAAGGCTGGTATGGTTAGAGAAATTTGGGGTCACAGTGTGAACCATCGCTGGTCACGGCGTTGGTTGGTGTGGATCAAAACCCAACGATCAACACATGTACAGTACATGACGACCAGATAGAAATGATACAAAGCTTATCTAGACGTCGGGTCACTGTTCCTATAAGAAGGTGAAGCTGCAACATCCGGCAATTCGGTTCAAGACTTACCGATCTCGGACGGCAATAAAAGTTATTCCCGGATAACGGTCTGCGCCTTCCTCTTCTACTTCATCTGCGGCTGCACCTCGCTGATGCAGAGCTGCTTTGCGTACATACACCCTCGACCATACAATGCCCCTGTTGTATCGCAATTGGATAGCAGCTGATAAGAGTGCCGAATGAGTGTGTCGTTGCAAGAGTCACAAGCACAGTTACCGGATATGTATCCAATGTGGCGCGTGTGCTTTCAACTACAGAATGCGCATCTCCACTTTCCGGCACTAGCTCTGCACCTTGGTAGGCTGCAGAATCCATTAAAGAATCAGGTGGCCCAGACTATTGATCTGCGCAGCCGTGCATCTGTCAGCACAAGTCGAACCCTCACAGATCGCACGATTATTTCTTATCTCATGATCTATCTCCGCGACGACTTAGTCCAAACCAATGTTGACATCTGAAAAGAACAAAGAGGTGGAGCATGAAAGAGATACATCACTAGAACTGGATGTTGAGGAAAATGGCCCACGCCAGACCTTGCAACGGCAGGTCTCTGGACCTCCGTATTCGGTGTTCAGTTCGCGAATGAAGATATGGATCATCTTCCTCGTCTCGATATCGGCACTGATCTCGCCATTTGGCGCAACGCTGGTGCTCCCCGCGCTCAACGTCCTTACAGACGTGCTAGATATTACGCCCACTAAGGCTAACATATCAATCACTACCTACATGGTAAGTGAGCTCCCCAAGCAAGGATTTGGGTACAAAGCTGATGTCGCCAGATCGCCCAAGCCATCGCTCCAGCCATAATCGGTGCTATGTCAGACACAAGTGGCCGGAGACTGTCTTTCATCCTCTGCTACATCATCTACATTGTCGCCAATGTTGGACTGGCCTTACAGACCAACTACGTAGCTCTGTTGATCTTACGTATGGTACAGGCCGTGGGCTGTAGTGCTGCCATTTCCCTTGCATTCGCCATTGTATCGGATATAGCGACCTCTGCCGAGCGTGGAAAGTACATGGGTTATGCGGGCGCGGGTATCTTGTGTGGTCCAGCATTTGGGCCAACCATTGGTGGTATACTGGCGCAATTTCTGGGATGGCGATCAATATTCTGGTTTCTTGCAATCTTCGCTGGTGTACTGCTCGTCCTCTTCACTTTCCTTTTCCCTGAGACCTGCAGGAATGTGGTAGGCAACGGATCAATACCTGCACGAGGCATCAACCGGTCCGTAATCAGTTGCATCCAGCAGCGCAAACTTGCCAAGCAGTCCACTCTCGCCGAGGAAGGCCAGGAGAGCAACGCAGACGCTCCGCCAGCAAGACCCAAGATCTCGTTGAACCCGCTCGCTACCTTTAGCATTTTTACCGAGAAAGAGTCTTGTATAATACTCCTGTATAATGGATTCTTCTTCACAGGTATGATGATCACGACATCATCTATTCCTGACCTTTTCAAGACGGCGTACAACCTCAACGAACTGGACATAGGGCTCTGCTACATTGCAAGCGGCATCGGCTCCCTCATCTCATCTCTGTCCATGGGTCACGTCGTCGACTGGAACTTCAGACGCCATGCTGCCCGCCTGAATATGCCTATCTCTAAGGGCAAACAGCAAGACCTTGGTGATTTTCCAATCGAGCGAGTGAAGCTCGAAATTGTCCTACCTGGACATGTAATCGGCATCTTGGGACTGATCATGTTTGGCTGGACTGTCAAGTTTCAGACACATCTAGCCGGTCCCGAGATTGCATTGTTCATCACGGGCTTTGGCATCTCGACTGCGTTCAACATTACGAATGGACTGCTCATTGATCTCCACCGCGATAAGCCTGCTGCGGCGACAGCAGCAGTGAATTTTGCCAGATGTCTGATGAGCGCAGGGGGGTCGGCAGCGATCATTCCAATGTGTAGAGCCATGAATCCGGGCTGGGCATTCACGTTTGTTGGATTAGTGTATGTAGTATTGATCGGCGTGGTTGTATGGATTATGCGGAATGGATTGCGGTGGAGGCAGGATGCGGCTGAGGCGTCGAGGCTCAAGATCGATGGACATAAGGAGGCAATTGCGCAAGATCGTGCTTAGTAGCGGTTCGACTGTAAGACATGTGTTCTTGAGACTCGGTTTTCGGGGCTGGCTGCTGCAGTGAGCTTCTGTACTGAACCCAGGAATTTCCTACCAGCCACTTGGCACTTCTGTAGAAACTACACCATCAGCCATGTAAACACTACCGAATCATTCTGTTTAGCTAACATAGTCCAACGAGAAAGACTCCTAATGGGACGATTCATCGTTCTTGTTTGATACTGCATTCTACCCAGTGACTAGTCGGACGTTCCTGGCGGTGATTGAAATGCTCGGTTGTGGAGCAAACGTGTTTCCAACGAATTCTGCTACTGCAACTGTCGGTTGCGACTTGCTCTCTCCTTTCGAACGAGTTTCTTATCCCAATTCTGTGACAAGTAAGCCAAGGAGTGGAACATAAATTGCGACTGCAACACCACTGTGTTTGTCGCGCCAGCCAGCGTGACCAGTGACCACGATCGCATGTTCTGTCTCGATGAAATACGACCAGGTGCCATCTCTGTACAGATCAAACATGTCAGATGATGTGCAGGCGCTCAAGGTCTCGTCCTATGCCACAGTCTGAACGATAGAGATGTCCCTCTGTTCGGTTCGCGTGCAGGAAAGCAACAAACCCAGTGACCGACATGACATTGTTGCGGAGTTCGACCAAAGTGTATCAAACTCAATTAGTCCTTAACGTACAGCGCGGTGACATTGTCCGATATATTTAGAAGTTGGCGACCAAAGACCCAGTAGTCACGGGAGTCGTAAGTGCACTCTCACATTGAGTATCAATTAGTTCAGTAGTAAGGGTCTGAGGGGTGGGCGTGAACAGTCGGCACACTTGTATGGGGGCTGTGCTTACCCGGACACTATGCTCTGAGCTCTGGTGTTGTTGTTGTTGTTGTTGTTGTCAAAGCCACAAGAGGTAGCCGCAGATAGCTTGTCTCTATGCAAGTTGCAAGGTTGTTCTCACTAAGTAGAGTCACGGGCCCAGGTTGGTCTAACGCCGATGTCTCCTGCCTTCCGAGCTTGTCAAGACTGGCGGCGCCCTGGGCCGCTGTTTGCGAGGAAAGCGCACACGGCAAGCGCATATTGTGAACATCGTCACAAGCGCTGCGCGGCATCGTACAATGCTCATTGGGGCCGTCGAAACTCCCAGGTCGTTCAGACTGGCTAATTGCACCCGAGGGCCGTGTTGCAACAGCATTGCTGTAGACGTAACTGGGGAGAAAAAGGCAACGACAACACGAGGCTTGAGATAATGGCGAGCCCGCCTCCTTCTTATAGGTCGCTTCGCATCCTGGTCCCGAAGAAGCTAGCGAGAGCGACAAACAAGCGGACCGCGCAGGCCGGTTCATTGGTCGCCTAGGCTCACCTTCACTTCAAGCTGAACAATACATAAGGCGCCAGGTTTTTCTTTTCTGTCGGGGTTTCTGTCGGTTGCACTCACCTTGACGATAATCGAACCACGATAATCATGGCGACAGAAGACGTGATGCTGATATCTTTCGGACCTCTGTCGAATTGCACCCTTGAACTCTGTGACCTCGAATGGAGTGCCTTCGGCTACCTACCCAACATCCCTGCGAATGCGACTTTCCTCGCTGTTTTCGGTCTGTTGCTGGTTCTACACTTGGTACAAGGCGTTCGGTACAAGGAATGGGCATTCATGTCTTGCGTGATAGCCGGCTGCTGCCTCGAAATCGCAGGCTATGTCGGCCGTATCATGCTGCATGCGAACCCTTTTGACTTCAACGCATTCCTGGTCAATCTAGGTCAGAAACCATGAGCAGCAAGCCACTTTCTGGGTATCAAGCGCTGACAATGGACAGTGCCAATCACCGTTGCCCCCGTCTTCTTCTGCGCCGCTATATACGTCCAGTTGACTCGAGTGTACGTATATTGTGCACCGTATCAGTATCCTCGAGATCTCCTAACCCTCTTCTTAGGATCAATCACACAGACCCCTCGAAGTCTCGACTGAACCCTCGCTTGATCACTTACATTTTCATTCCGTGCGATATCACATCTCTTGTTCTCCAAGGCGCTGGCGGAGCTCTATCGGCTGGCGCGATGTCTGAAGAGGGAACCGTGGTTGGAGTCAATGTGTCGAAAGCTGGTCTCATCTTCCAAGTCGTTACGCTCGTCTTCTTCATCGCTCTGTCTATCGATTATCTACTAGCCTTGAAGCGATCGCATAAGAAGAGCGGGGCGAAGCTAGAAAGGGCGCTGAAGATACTGATGGCGTGTCTAAGCGTGGCGACAATCCTGATTCTGGTACGATGCGTCTTCCGCATTTACGAGTTGAAGAATGGTTACTTCTCGCCTGCATTCAGAGACGAGGAGACCTTCATTGCATTTGAGTCTGTGTAAGTAAGAGCTGCCTTCTTGTGCGACCCGAGCGCTAACGAGGACCAGTTTCATGTGCGTTGCTGTGGCCTGCCTCAACGGTGGACATCCTGGTCGCATCTTTCACACTCGAGTAGTATCGATCGACAATACGGCCGTTTTGGAGACAACGCAGGTACCAAAGTAATTCACTGGCGCAACCGATCGTGGACCGCGCTCACATGGTGTCTTTAAGGGGCCTGACTGAGATGGGTGGCTGTTTAGTATACAAACAAGAAATTGCCTTAATGACATAAAGACCGACAGGTTTGATATGGAGAAGGAATAGATGAGCTATTAGGTTCGTAAGAAAACTGTTGTCGATGACGTGAGGTACATGAGGTTGCACGCACTGCATTCCCCGCACCCGAAGTCCGAGACAATCTGACCAATCACAGCGTGTAGAAGCTGAGATAGACCTATACCTCAATCCATTTCTGGCACGGATAATGGCTCTTGATAAGCGTACCGTCTATTATAAGTCAAACGAGCCTCAGCTTTCAACATGCCTCTGGTCTCCTGCGTTCATTCCTTTACAAAATGACCTCACAAGCTCGTAATTTCTTCCAACGCTTCCCTCCTGCAGAATGCCTTGCGCTATTCATCGCCACCCTTGAGCTTTTACCGTTTGGTGTTGCCGGTCTAAGCAACCCGACAGCCTTCGCAGATGGTTATGGACTGCCCATACAAGGATCTTCGACCACATCATCAACTTCGACAAAGCGAGGCGCCGACGGGTTATTCAGCGAATCCGCTACAGAAACATCGGAAAAGTCCCTGAGATCGTTTGAGGAGGACCAGAAGATTAAGAAAGCGCTGGTGGCTGCGATTGCGGCGCGGAACGTGCAGAACGGTGTCCTGCTGTTTACCTTTGGCCTGGTCTTGAGAGATCGCAGAAGTCTCGGGGTCGCGGTCGCGGCGGGTCTGGTGGCTACACTCGCTGATACGGTCATCGTAAAAGCCTACGGTGCAAAGGATAAAATTGCTGGCCATTATGTTGGGATATTTAACAGCTTAGCAATCGGTGGAAGTCTGTTGTATTGGGGTCGCAATGACCCATTGTGGTGAGCATCAGGCTCATTAAATCTATGGACGAGGGCAAGGCATACTTGCTGCGTCAATGAATTGGGAAACTACGTCAAATGTCATTGAGTCTCGAGAATACCAGGTTCTTGATCGGGGCTGGCGTTGCACAGCCCCCTCTCCAAGGCAGTGCCAGGCAACAACGAGTAATTTTCTTACATTACCTTCAAATTGACAATCTTCTATGTCAAGTCTCCTTTGATCTCTTACTCCTTGAGATTCACAGTATGGCCTATAAGCACGTATACTTGCAACTGGAACCTTCGCCTTTCGCGGAACTGGCGGGCTACGAGCAACCCGGCGCAAAGGAGCGAGCAGCAGCAGGAACTATCTCTGGAAAGGCTCCCAGGACTCAGCCCAGCAGATCAGAAATGCTCTTCCCAAGTCCTTTGGTTTTGCCCCACGATGATCTGAATTACGACCCAGATTGTTTGCCACAGGACTGCAAGAAGTGGCAGTCTATGAAGACGCGCAACAAAATGACGAATCTGAAACGCAAGATTCTGTACATCTCACGTGTACCAGAGATGAGTGAGGAAACAAACTTTATGCGTAGTTGGACGAGACTATGCATGGGCGGACGCAACGCGACTGAGATGACAAGTCCGGATGCTGAACTGTTCGTCGAATACCTCAAAGCCTTTTACCATGGAATGGACGTTCGAGTATTGCCACAACAGTTAAGTTGGAAGTTGTGGGACAAGTCGTCACGCCCATATCGTCGGGCCAATCTCCCAAAATTTGTAGGGCTTGCCGACGAAAACAATTCCATGACCCGGGTTCGCGTTCGTAGCGTTCCAGATAAGGCCTTTGCGGCCCAGCTCAATCTTGACGATATTCTTGACACTGGAATAGAGATACTTCCAGCTGATGCCTACGCACTCTTGCTTCTGGTGGACCACGACATCTACGAAAACGAGGACGATGACTTCTGCTGTGGTCGCGCATACGGAGGAAGTCGTGTAGCGGTAGTACAAACGGCACGCTACAGCCCAATGCTTGATGCGGCTGAAGGGATAGATCGAGACCACATGTGGCCAATGAGTCATTGCAAAACGTTTGTCGATGACCTGTGCGCAGTCGAGGAAGTTGTAGCAAAGGCACCAACCAAAGAACAGAGGAAAATGAGCAAAGAAAGCGCAATCAGAGCAGCTGTTGATGCGGCGAGTGGGTTCGCTGGAAATGGTGCTGGAGAAAGGGACGTGCAAGCACTGTGGCTCGCACGACTCGCGAGAACTGTGTCACATGAGCTTGGGCATTGTTTCGGCATAGCACATTGCGTGTACTATGCTTGTAACATGCAGGGTACCGCAGGTATGAAGGAGGACGTTCGCCAACCTCCGTACCTATGTCCGGTCTGCGAAGCGAAGGTTGGCCATGCCATCGTGGAGGAACTGCTCAGCGACCAAGCGCTGGAAAAGGAAACATGGGTTTCGCAACGATGCGTGGTGATTAGTGATTTTTGTCAAAAGTTGGAGACAGAAGGATTAACCACTGCAATGTGGAAGGGCCTAGATGCCTGGCTCTCGGACAGAATCAGGTAGGTTCGGTGCTGTTCGTAGATTTCGGTTCATCTGCTCCATTTCGTTACAAAGCCTTGGGACGTGTGGTGTACTTGAAAAGCATTTTGCGAAAGGAAGCGCTGTGAAATGCAATCGGCACAGAAATATCCTGCTCAAAGTCTTAGCATCTGTGAAGGGATAGAAAGGAGAGGTAAGGCTGCAATCACGGTTCCTTCCGTGTGCGGGACCACTTCGGCTGCAAGTTGACGTCAGTGCTCGATATGTGTGTCAACATCCTGCCCATACCAAGCTTCATTACCCACATAATATCCACGCCTGTCAATGCGATATCGCTATTCGTGAGACATGGCCCTTGTTCGCAACGCATATATTGACATATGCATGCAGACGCGCTGGACAGCCTCAACGAGGACGAGTCTCCATTAAGCATTTTGGTTACCTACTTGCTTTTGATGACAAAGTGAAGGAGGTGCAGGAACGAAACACCAGCCATTGACCAGTCATGTCCTGCGCTCGCAAAACGTCGGTCCGAGCACCTATCAAATTCGCCGCAGACTTCCACGTGCATTCGGTACGTGAGCGGCTACCTAACGCGATGGAGAAGGTCAAGACTACAAGAGCCGGACAAACGACCAAGATTGGCTATGCTCCAAACAAGCCTCCGATGCGCCAGGACACACCCATCATCAACACAAGGCGCATGATTGAACGTGAGCTTCCCCGCATTCTCGATTGGTCGGCACCTATGTGCCGTCGTAATCAGCCATGACGATCAACACTCTATCGAGAGCACCGTGACTATAAGGACGGGGCGTTGGACGAGTCAGGAAGACCATGTTCCTGAACAAGGCGTACGCCGTTATATGCCAAGTTCACAAGAGTATGGCCGTTGCTAGTGATGCAGGAAGACGATCGTGATGGCGTCTCTCAAGTGAACATAAATATTGGATCGTCGTACACGTTCTTGTTAACCAGCCAGCAACAGTCTTCGCTCACTATTCGCTTTCAACCGGTCCAAAGTCCAAGACGCTCAGTCTACATATTCCTCATTCAAGATGAAGGTCCAGGCTATCCTACCGTTCACTGCCCTGCTTGGCGCTGCTCTGGCCGCTCCTGCGCCAGTTGCCCGACAGGAAGGCGCCAGCTTCCCCATTACGGATATCATCGACACGGGTCTTACCATCAAGGAATATGCTGAACAGCTTGAGGCTGGTAATGTGCCCGAGCACGTTGCGCCTGCACTTTCGAAGCGCCAGTACAGCGGTGACACCTACAACCAGTTGACTGATGGAACTGCATGCCGCCCTGTCACCGTCATCTATGCTCGTGGTACAACACAGGAGGGCAACGTTGGATCACCTGATAGCGAGGGTCCTACCTTCTTCAATGCTCTTGCCAGCCGCCTCGGTGGAGCCAGCCGCATCGCTATCCAGGGTGTCACCTACCCTGCGAACGTCTTTGGTTTCCTTGCTGGAGGTGACTCTGCTGGTGCCACAACCATGTTCAACTTGATCAACACTGTAAGTGACACTTGAGGAGTTCTGAAGAAATGCTAACAGTGAGAAGGCCATCACCCAGTGCCCATCGACCAAGATCGTCGTTTCTGGCTACAGTCAAGGTGCCCAGCTTGTCCACACTGCCACACAGAGGCTCACAGCCGCTGCCGCTGCCAAAGTCAGCGCTGGTAAGTTCCACCATCTTAGACTTGGATTACAATACTGATCATAGTAGTCGTCACTTTTGGTGATGCTGATCGCGACGAGACATTCGGTAGAGTCGCTGCCTCCAAGGTCCTCATCATTTGCCACGATGGTGATAACATCTGTGACAACGGCATTATCATCACAGCTGAGCACCGAAACTACGAGATCGATGCTCCTGCTGCAGCTGCATTTGTTGCCAGCAAGGTCGCTTAGGCGGGTGCCACTCAATTGGTCCGCATTAATATACCTCGCTCCGTTGGCGACCCAGTCGATTATTTAGTCTGGAGTCATCGAGATATAACATAGTATTTAATTATGGCAAGATTAGCCGTTACTTCTCGAAAGATTTGTCCTGCTCAAACTCAAGACTGGCTCGACATAGCGGGACTGAAGCCTATAATTCAGCACAACATTGGAATGAAACCTCTAAAATTAACGGCAAAAGAAATCTCTTCTGTCAGAATTCGGGTTGGAACATTCAAGACATGGGCTCAAGAAAAGTTCCGTGGCTTGGCTACCAACTCTGAAGCGAAGGTTTGCAAAGCACCCACAGCTCTATTAAGACCCTACTTATGAGATCAATTGTGTGAATTTACAACTCAAGATCGACGAGCCAGCCCTTGCCTTCACCAAGTACAGCTGCATTTACCAACACAGTCTCCAACCATTTGCCATGCTTTCGAACTTGAGTTGCAACCCTATTGGTAACGATTTCCTCCAGCTTCTGAGGTGTCCAGTGCACCTTGGCTGCCCCACGGCCTTCATGGATGTGACCAAAGCAGCATAGCCTTGGTCGAGCCCTTTCCAACGCCTTGGCCAGCTTTTTGCATCCGCAGTGCTCCCCTCTCTTACTCACGTCGAGCCTATACCCAGACAGATAATCAAATGCAGGTGGACCGTGTGAGATAACAATGTCTACCCCTTCTGGCACAGTATTGCTACCCTTGTTAAACCTGTCTTCTTCATCGGCATACAGAAAGGCGAATTCTCCGAATTTGGGTGTATATGGCGTTGCATACACGGTGAAAAATCGTCCATCTTCCAAGGTGAAGGAATGTGTACCTTCATTCAGAAAGAAGATGCCGTGATCCTGTTGCGACTCGAGAAGTGAAAGACATTTTGCGCCGATTTTCATGTCGTCCTCGTCTTCAGCAAACTCCTCAAGTCACCTCGGGTCTAGATCCACATCGTGGTTACCAGCAATGACTAATTTGAGCTCGGCATCGATAGATTTGATGCTGTCGATGGCACGCTGGAAGCTTGGTAGGCCGCCGTACTCTGTGAGGTCGCCACAGTGGATGAATACGTCGACCTTAGGCGCAGGGTCTTCTGAAGAGTATGGCCATTCGTTGTGTGTGTCGGAGATGGCGAGGATACGAATTGATGGCATATTGACTTGGTGAGGTGGGTGGCCTTAGAAGACGGTCTCGGTTGTGTGAGTCAGAAAGTCTGATCCTGCAATGGGTCGCGGTGTAGATGAATAGGGTGAGTGGAACTGCGGGTTTTTTGTGGGCTTAATAAAAATACGTGTGACCCTGCGACAATACTTACCTGTAGCGTAGACCCTGATCCCCTGATCCGAAGTTGAGAGTGATCTTCTCTGTCCCAATCGACCACTAGATGGAGTCGATGGCTACCGAATGCTTGTAGTGACGACTACGTACAAAACCGTGGCATAGCCAAGGCTACATGACTGGGGTATAACTTAGAGTGACTGGGAAAGCACTGAATAACGACTGGGCGAAGAGAGGTCAATGCAGCGATATCTGAGGAGGGTTCTAAAATATTGATATGGCGTTGAGTTGTAGACTTCAAAACAACCTGAATAAAGTTTGACGTCGTTGCTGTCTCAAAAGTGTGCCTTTAGTTGATGTGTGGTGATCGTGATGAACGTGTCAGATCACTCATGGGATTCGCGACGCGCTCCAGCTTCTCACCCATCAAGAGCCTGATGGGTTTGCTCGAAAATTAGGTGACACCATTAGTGTAGCTAGACCAAACTGAGCATCTTACGCGTAATCTAGTTGATGTCGGAGCTCTCAACTTTTGTGTGTTAATCGTTGACCTTGTATGGTTTGCAGTTGTCATAATGGTACGAGATCTTGAGGTCAAATATAGACGAATAGGTATGCATCATTGATTCAAAGGTGTGTGTTAGCCTTCTTGGCCAGGTTCAATATCTATGGGAGAACCCTTTAGCTGATCACGTGATTGCGCGCTTTCTTGGCGCGTCGATCGTGGTTTCCAGTCCTCGATGTCTGCGCCAGCGACGCCACCACCTCCATACTCCGCACGACCAAAACGACCTATGAGTAACACACACTATGTTTAGGAACCCTCGAGAGAATCGCGAGCTCCCTGATACTGCTCGATTAATCCCATCAACGGGTCGTGCACCCTCGCCACCCCACTCCTCATCGAGAGTTGCGGACATGGCGGCCAAACCCATGGCAAAAAAAAGCCACGCCCAAAGGGAAACCAAGTCCTCCACCACCGAAACAGATGCAGACTACTCTGGTAGCCAAGAACTGGGGAGGCAAGACACCAGCGAACAGCGGCAGGAACAGACTTCGGCCGCAAGGTCCCGCGAACGGCAACATTATGGCTTTTTTCAAGAAAGCCGAGGATATCAACAATCGTATATTTCTGCAGGAACGTGGCTCAAATCCGATCATCGAGCTTGACAGCACGGAGGAGGACGTAGGCTGGAGCGATGAGGTCGCGGCTGCCAGCGGCGTCATCTCCTCGGCAAGCGACGACGCGACGCGATATAACGAGAGTGGGGGGAGCAACAAGAAGAGGAAGTTGGACGATGAAGCGCTGGTCTCCGCGTGTTCTCCGCCCCCTCCGGAGGCTGTCATTGCCCCAGCTGCTGAAGCTCTACCATGCAAAGCACCGGAGCTCCCGAAGCCCCGGACAAAGTCTGGCCCATTTGTGGACGACTCAGACGATGATGATGAGGGAGCTGAATTGCTTATTCCTAGACGAGGTACGATCAAGCAGGAGCCTACTGAAGATTTGCGAAGTTCTAAAACCCAGGAGGACTCAGCACACCCTGATGACGCAGAACCGACAGCCGATCACAGACCGCTCATCTTAAAAACTGAAGACACATCGCAATTTGAACTTGATGAGTTCGATGAGGCCGATCTTGAGGATGACGAGCTTTTGGAGGGTGAAGAGTACGATGAGCGGCGATGGATGAAAGAACAGAGGAAGCTAGAGATTGAAGCAGCAGGTTTCGAGGGCGATCCAGACGACTTCGATGCACCTTCCCTATTTCCCAACGAAACGAACGACGATGACTCGACCGACGAAGCGACCGACGCCACCACACCTACATGCCCGTTGTGCAACAGCAGCTTGGCAGGCTTGTCGGAACAAGAGAGCTCTGTGCACGTCAATGCGTGCTTGGACGGGAAGCCAATACCATTGCCTTCAACACCAAGGTCAGAGCGTGATAGTATACCTACGCCTATGACGACGGCAAAGGCTTTCAAGCGGCCAGTAAGGCCACCAAGAGAGGCACAAGCAAATCCATTTCAACTTGGAGCTAAGAAGGAAGGAGGATCAACATCTGCATTCTCAAAGCTGATGGCCGGTCACGCTGAAGATGCTGCATGGGCGACAGCTGCAGCGGCCAACAATGCGGCTAGAGGCAAACCGTCGTTCGAGCGCACATGTCCGTTCTACAAAATCATGCCTGGCTTCTTCATAGCTGTCGATGCCTTCCGCTATGGGGCAGTCAAGGGCCAGAATGCCTATTTCCTTAGCCACTTCCACAGCGACCACTACATCGGCTTGACCTCGTCTTGGTCACATGGTCCCATCTACTGCAGCAAGGTGACTGGTAACCTTGTAAGACAGCAACTGCGCGTTGACCCCAAGTGGGTTGTTGATCTAGAGTTCGAAAAGAAGACTGAGATTCCAGGCACTGACGGCGTCCACTGTACCATGATTTCGGCGAACCATTGTCCTGGTAGTTCCCTGTTTCTTTTCGAAAAAGAGATCAACAAAGGCCCGAAACTGAAGCTGCAGCGAGTCCTCCACTGCGGCGACTTTCGAGCGTGCCAGATGCATATCGAGCATCCTCTCTTACGACCAGATGTTATCGATGCAGTCAGTGGCACGAATAGACAACAAAAGCTTGATGTATGCTACCTCGACACAACTTACCTTACGCCAAAATACGCATTTCCGCCTCAGCAGCAAGTTATACAAGCATGCGCAGATATGTGCGTCTCACTTAATAAGGTTCGAGCCGACGAGACCGACGCTTGGGAGCAGATGAAGCGCGATCGTGCCGGCGCTGGTATGGCCAAGTTTGTGCGCAAGACTTCAACAGACGACCCCACAGAGCCACCCAAGTCGCCGAATCGCGGTCGTCTCCTGGTGATAGTAGGAACATACAGTATTGGTAAAGAGCGCATTTGCGTCGGAATCGCCAAAGCCCTTGGGTCACTCATATATGCACCACCCAATAAACAGCGCATCTGCCGCGCTCTTGAGGACCCCGAGCTCAATGCACTATTCACTACCGATCCACGGAAGGGACAGGTGCACATGACACCTCTCTTTGAGATCCGTGCTGATACTTTGGACGACTATCTTCGCGACTACGCAGATGTGTTCTCTCGTGCCGTCGGCTTCCGACCCAGTGGCTGGAACTACCGGCCGCCAAACTCGCGACTTACAGATTCACCTCTAGTGTCTACTGTTCTACACTCGTCGAATTGGAAGAGCGCATTCTCAATGAAAGATCTCACACCCCAGCGTGGCAGCACAGGGCGCGCATCCTGCTTTGGCGTCCCATACTCCGAGCATAGCTCTTTCAGGGAGCTGACGATGTTCTGCTGTGCGCTCAATATCGACAAGATCATTCCAACGGTTAACGTTGGAAGTGCGAAAAGCAGGGAGAAGATGAAGGTTTGGTGCGAGAAATGGGCGGCAGACAAGAAGAAGAACGGGTTATTCAGGTTAGGTGAGGATGGTTGGTGTTGATTCGGCTCGAGGATAGCATGGTGTTACAGACATTGGAGGTGCGGTACAGGCATCGTTGGTTCGTCAGACCTCGAGGGATAGTTCGCTGTGACGCTGTCATCCGAGACATCAAACCGAACACTTGACCTGCTTGTCCCAGAAACAAAAGTAAGCTACTCGCGGTTCAATTGAGCAGTGACCTCCAATACTCTACAGATGTTCCGAGCCCACCCCTATCCTCCAGATACCTATACTGATCCACGAACCATCGACACGCCTTACTCGAGTGTCAAGCGAGGCGTTCCACTCCAAGCTAGGTGTCTACTATAGGAGACTAACCGCACAGGCCAACCCCACGTTCACGATGGGCCGCTGACTCTACGACTCTCTTCGAATTGGGGCAAGTGAATCGAGTGCTTCGATGAATGACGCTAGTGTAGCTGAGGATGCGAAAGAATCAGATGACATTTAGTGATGATCAGCTACGAGCAAGCATGTTTAAAGTTGTTCTGAAAATGGAAGAGAAGGATGACTTCAAAAGAGTGAGATGCATAGAGAGCGGCCAAGACGCGCAACTGGCAATGCTCTCTACGGATGATGAACATCATTAAAGGACAGTGCTATCTCCCGTGGTAGCCTGACTCGATTCGATGTGGAGTATATCGGCTGATGTGTTGGTGGTCCAAGCCAATATGCTCCTATTGTATACTAACCTCTCGGTATCTGGCAGCGCCAGGAGATCATATCCACTCGGCAGCCTCCACCGTACGTAGTGGGTCGCCTGACATGTCTTTGCGCGTTGTCCCAGCGAGAGAACGCCGGATTTGGACCGCGACCTTGCCGCTGTCATTCAATTGGGTTTCCCCTTTTGTGTCACTGCGATTGCTCTTTGGGCGGTCTTGCGCGAGTTGATCGACCGCAACCAGACAAAAGTATGTTCAGTAGCATGTTCGGAAGGTACCGGGGGGATCTGCACCGTAAGAAGTGCCGGGTGCTGAAGATCGGTACCAAAAGCAAAGAAAGAGTACAAGAATCCCGACAGCATGGCGCGATGCTCACAGGGTACGACAACGTGGGAACGTGATCGACGTGAAAGCTGCTTGCGTACTGCTCGACTAAGCGTTCTGGCGTACTTTCCTTCGGCCCGCCTCATGGTCCTAGCATTGGGTTTGCGCCAACGTTTCGTTAGTGCACTGATATTTGAGCATAGCGCGCTGTGATGTATAGTTGTGCGTTGTAAGATCGTATCAATGGCTGTGGACTGAATACCGGTGACATCGCGCATGGCTGCTGGGTTGAGCTGCTAACACGGCATTTAAGCTTACCCTAGTCCAAGAGCGAGCGCATTCGAGTCCCGGCATTTGGTTCCGAATGGTGTTTCAAGTCATCTTAGCAGGGTGATGGGACATCAAGCACGTGTTTCAGCCCACGCTGTAACACATACACAAGAAGGCTCATGAATTGAGTTCATCTCCGCAAGTATGATCAGCGAAGCAAGGTCCTCTCGCCTCCAGTTTTGTGGTCGCTTGTGCGACAATTTGCTCGATGGCATAAACGAGATGTGGCTTGCTCCATCGCGGACCAAATTCTGAAAGGGCAGCTCTTGTCGAAATGAGCTTGTCGCATGTCCACCATGACCGGGACGCCTCTAGCGTCTCAACGATTTACTCGTCTGTCAGAGGCTAGCGTACCAGTTGCGACCAACGCAATGGTAGGTTTCCTCCAGCTCTGCAAACATAGTTTTACAACTCTCGGGTTGATGACACCGAGGTGGCTCATGGGATTTCACGATTCATGGTGCTTTCCCAACATCAGCAGAATCAGTTGACGCAGCCGAGTGTTGACAGCGGACAAACGGGAGACCCATTCATTTGCTACGCGCGAGTCAGAACGAGTCAGAAAAGTCTAGACATCGCTTCGTGTGGTTCGGATTGTAGGTCGCCGACATGCACTGTGTAAGTCCATTGTCTGTGTGAGATGCGATGACAAGAAGTTGGCCTAGAAATCCGCGAAATTCCGATCTTCGCTGTACCACACTCCACGTGGTGGCGGCGATCCGGTGTGAAGTCGGCATGGCATAGGTAGGTTGGTTGCAGAAAGTCTCTGTGCCCAGGCCAAGACCCACGCACGTGGAAGGCGGCGGGTTCCTCGGGACGCATCATCGCGACATCGCCGCCAACGCCTTCAGATCCCCCGCACAACATGGGTAATTTTCGCCGGGTTAGGAGGTAGAACATATGGCAACGAACCATTTTGTATCTGACTCTCGTAGCCGGATTGACAAGTTCTAAATCTGCTTGGCTCGCCACAGCTACGCATCGGTACCTACCGAGGCATAAAGCACTTGCGGCTTCTGCACGTCCGGCAGCCCGTGTCTGCATCTTCTAGCGGACCACGTTGCCTCTTATTAACGAAGGAAGATTCTATTTCCCGAAAGGGGGGTCTCCGTCATTAGCGATAAGCCGCTGCACGCCATCCCGCCCTTCGATGCGAGCACAATCTGGGGAGGCAAATGGTCCCCTGAGGCTCAACCATCAGCTGCACTGGTCGTGCAGCTTCAGGATTTGTTTGGCAACTGCAGGCTGGTATACTGATACATCATATCAAATGCACACATTCGGGATCATCGCTGCGAAAGATTCATAATTCGGTACGCTTACAGCGTCATCTTCGAAAACGGGATGCCGCTCCTATTCTCGGTCCACTTTTTAGTGTTCAGGGTCCTAATGGGCTGGCGCTCCCGGTGCCCTCTCCTCGCTTCAGGGTAGCATGGCTCTAGATCGAGACTCGAAGTTTCATATGAGGGTGGCGCTTCCTTGAGGCTTGAGCTCCCGTCACTGGTGCCCTGTCTGACACCCGACGCCTAACGCCGTGGAAGAGATTTGACGGATATACTTACTGCAGTGTGGGCCCATTCCGTCACGATTTTTCGAACATCTCGACATCATTCCATTGCCTACATGCCCAAGTCCTAGGGCCACTGGACGTGTATGAGTGACCTGCAGCGAACATGAGGTATCTTCAGTTACTGCTTCCATTCCTGGCTTGGATCTCTCTCGGACTTGCTCAATCATCTCCACTAGAAGTGGCTGTTGCCCAGCTCTCACCATGCGCGGTAAGTTTCGATCGGGAGGAATACGAGCATTTCTGACTATTAGCAGCAATCGTGCTTGAAAGCTGCCACGGAAGTGTCGATTTGTGGAGCTACTGACCTCGCATGCATATGCACAAATGCGAAGTTACAGAGCGACGTGGGGACGTGCTTGCTATCGTCTTGCACGCTCAGAGAAGCCTTGGGTATGTGGCGAAATCATCTGAATGATTTCAATAATTCTAACAGCTTCGTAGTCACGAAGAATGTCACTGCAACAGCATGCCATGCACCAGTACGGGACAAGAGTGAGAGTGCTCGACTCTTGAACACCATTCTTTCCGTCATCAGCGTCGCCTGCGGTCTGACAAGGCTCACCTACAAAGCAATATACTCCATGGCGGAATTGGGGTGGGACGACTACACCATAATCCTGACACTATTCGCCGGTGTGCCAAGTGTTGTTTTAATTGACCGGGCTTCCCTACCAGCTGGACTTGGAAAAGATACCTGGACGTTACCTTTCGCAACAATCACCGAGTTCGTACGCGTGCTATACGTATTGGAGATCCTGTACTTCTTTCACATAACGCTACTGAAGCTCACGCTCCTGCTATTCTTTTTGCGGATCTTCCCAAGGACCATCATTAGGAATCTCTTGAAAGGCACTATTGTCTTCACGATATTATGGGGCCTTACCTTCGTTATAGTTGCTATCTTCCAATGTCGACCCATCAGTCACTACTGGACGAATTGGGACAAGGAGCACAACGATGGCCATTGCATCAATGTGAATGCGCTAGCTTGGAGTAATGCCATCATAAGTATCGTACTCGATTTCTGGATGCTATTCCTCCCTCTATATGAGGTCTTCAACCTGCAGCTGTCATGGCGCAAGAAGATAAGTGTGGCAGTCATGTTCCTCGTCGGCACGTTGTAAGTTACTACAGCTCAAACTTGGTAGATTCATTGCTAATCTCCTCCAGTGTCACGGTTGTATCTTGCCTCCGTCTCAAATCACTTGTCAACTTTGCCGCCTCCACAAACCCAACCTGGGACCAAGTCGAAGTAGTCAATTGGTCGAACATCGAAATCAACACAGGCATCATCTGCGCATGCCTTCCCACCATCCGCGTCATGCTCGTCCGATTCTTCCCCAGCATCATGGGAACAACAAAAGCCTCCAGTCAAGCATATCACGCGAAGTACGGGTACGGGAACGGAAGCCGTGGGCTGGGCAATACCGTAGGGAGCAAGGGCGGGCAGATGAGCGCGCGCGGCGTAAATGAAATCACCTACACGAAGACATTCGAGGTGCAACATGCAGACAACGACGAGATGGAGTTGATGCAGGTGGATGAGTTTGGAAAAACGAGTCCAAAGGCAAGGAGTAGTAATACGAGTATAATAAGCTTGTAGACTAACAATCAATATCAGATTGTGTTCTGTTCAAAATAGTTCAATGCTGCTCTCACTTAGATCGAACCGTGTTGAAAAATCTCCACGTCTTTCACGACTGCGACTAATGCATGTTCTGATGCTTACCGACGACCAGATACGCGTTTCAACAATGAACCCAGTTGCTAACTTCAATCGCACAGCGAGAGAACAATGGATGCTTGTCACTGGCCAAGAAGCTTTCAAATTACACGACTGAAACCGTTTCTGCATCAAACCTATCTGTCAAGTTTAGTCATCCGTAGCACAAGCTCATCGGTTTAACCTTTCGACTACCTGCTGCGGTTATACGATCGTTTCACACAGCGGCTTTTACACTGGAACTCCTGTTTCTTTCTCTCTAATGTTTCCACCACTCTTACTTTATGCAGAGAACGAACAGCCGACCGGTAGCACAATTTGCCGTGGCATAATTATTTGTGAAGAAGTCAAAGAGCTAAGACTACTTAGGCGATGAATGTGCTAGCCCCTTGGTAGAGGATGAGATCAAATGGGCCGAGACTATATGAGAGGCATATGGAGCACAATCACTCCAGTTTCCGGGGAGCTTCCATGATATATGTCACGTGACCACACACGTAGAGGAGATGCATCCCACAACCTTCCCAAGACTGTAACAGAAGCTCCATTTGCTATGCCGCAACCTTGCTTTATGCTTAAAGGTACGCTTTTGGGTTTTCACGGCACAATTTTACCGGCTACCTAATCTACCACTACATCATTACTTCTTGGGTGACATCTTGTTTGTCCTACTAAAGGCTGCACTTCGCGTGGGTTTCAACAATGTTGTGGCCAAATGTACCTGCTACAATGCGACCGTAGATTCCAAAAGATCGAGCTAAGAATACGAGCCCATTTAAGTGAAAGACGCCAGGAGAGGCGACAAGATTCAAGGGTCACGATAAAATGTTATTCCAGTTCCTGATATATGTGTGAAACATTCTGATTTTGAAGATGACATCATCTCTATACGCCGTCCTGCCGTGAGTTTGCACTTGCAGTACTCAGATACTGCAACCAAAATGCCCTAGGGTTAATTTTGGAATGGGTTTATAGCGTGAAGATGTACTAGAAACAAGGAAGGCGACTATAAGTGCGAGTCTACGGTAGTTACAATGTGATGAAGTTGTTACACTCGAGCAGTTATCAACATTACCTCTATTAGGTCTCTGCACGTTGCCACAATTGACCAACCACGAAATCATAACACTCTCTACCCTTTGGCGATTGGACAACTGTCGTGGAGAGTACTCCCTTGACATGTTGCTAGCCACGCCGGAGAGCACTATAAGGACTGCCTTTGTCACACGAACACAAGTTGGAGGTAACATATTATCTTATAGAGAGTGAACTGTCACTACAATACAAACCGGAGACCTGGCTATATTGGATGTCAATGGACTTGCAGTTCCCGAAAGGGATAGAACAGCAGTAAACCAGTCTCGGTTTCTATTTTATCCACACAATGTGCGTCTCGTCACACAGACTGTGCAAAGTGTCGATGTATAGAAAGCTAATCAACAGTTTGCTTGTCTTTGAAGTAACGTGGTGATTAAAAGTGAGACACTAAGCACGCATCTGTATCCCTTATGAGGTGGTTCAAATATGTCATAGTCAATTGTGACAGCTGTTGTATTGAGACGATCTTCTAGTGTAGTTTCTATAAAGTGCACAACGCGATAACGAGTGAGCAAGCATATTCTAGCTTTTGAGGATTCTTTCAATGACTGTCTCTGCTTCTCTTTAGGCCTCAGTCTCCTGCTTAGGAATCTCAACTTCGCGGCTGGCGTAAACATCCTGCCTGGCGGTCTCGACAATCTGGCACTTGTAGGCAGGGAAACTGCGGGCTGAGACCTTAGCTTCGAATATCTCATCCAACTCCTCGAGTGAGCGACCCTTTGGCTCGGGAACGCAAAAGTAGAAGAAGATGACGCAGAGGAAGTTAGATCCGGCCCAGATATATGTGTATTTTGGTCCCTGGTTATCATGTGAGAAATTGTTCATCATTCGAGAGAAATGCACTTACCCAGTTCAAATCCTGAGGATTGACGAAGTATGGCGAGCAAAAGCCAACCAGCCAGGCGAGGAAGTAGCCCAAAGCGTTCGCGCTGCCAACTGTCCAGGCGCGTAGTCGTGAGCTCACAAGTTCGTTGGCCATAGGAAACGATGCTACACCGACACATGCATCGTAGAAGAACATGAAAAGCGCTGTGAAAGCAACCAGGACATTACCAGTGGCGATGGAGTTCGGACTGACACTTGCCGCGATACCGCAAGCAAGTTCACAGAAGCCGCAGGTCAAAGCACCAAAGATGATGAGGGATCTTCGACCAACCCATCGTTTCATGGCATAGATACCACAGTGAACACCGAACCAGCCGATGCAGGCATTCATGATGGAGTACTCAAAAGCCTTGGTGATGCCGGCAATGCTGAAGAAGTAGGTCTGATACCCGATGAAGAACCAGACGCCGGATGCCGTCTGGGAGGCTATCATACCGTAGGATAGAAGAGTGCGTCGAAGATCGTTGCCACGGAACATGTCCATGAATGATGTGGTTTTCGCAAGGCGCGTCTCCTCTTCAACTCCACGCAGCATTTCAGACCACTCGAGTTCGAGTTCCTCACCATGATCCTCACGCATCCTCATCAAAGACTCACGAGCCTCTTCAGTTTGACCGCGGTGTAGCAACCAGCCTAGAAAGTGTCAGCGAACTTCCACTTGTTCTATAGAAGAGGGTAGGTACGCACGAGGGGATTCTGGTACAAAGAAGAGGCCGATAGCCAAAATCGTGGGAACGATGTATAGACACGCCAGCGGGATGCGGTAGCTTCGCTTATCCATGTAGCTCTTGGTGTAGTTATCAATCAACGATCCAATGATCGAACCGAAGTTAACATAGTACGCAAAGAGTGCGACAAGAACACTACGAGTTTGGTCAGTACATAGTCAACACAAGGCATGTATTCAATCCTTACCCTCGAAGATGGGCAGGTGCTGCCTCAGTCGCATATACTGTTGAAAACGTGGTGAGATATCCATTGGCAAGACCAAGGATCAGTCTTCCAACGTAAAGAGCACCCGCAGAACTCGAGCCAACCTGAATTGCAACCGCAATAGCGTTTAGGATACACGCAAGCCAGAGACCTGTCTTTCTTCCAAAGTATTTCGAAAACAGACCGGCTGATATAGCAGAGACAAAGCTCCCAAGACTCATCAGAGAAGTCATGAGTTGTTGAACAGTGGACTAGAGCATAGTAAGTCTTACTTCTACGACCGACGTGATGGTTACTTACGTCAATGCCATAGCCAAAGGGACTGGTGGGGTCTTCGAAGCCAAACACCTTCAAGAAGCCGGGCATAGCTTGGAAACCACCCACAGCCGCTGTGTCAATGCCATACTGCATGTTTGCAATTGAGACAATGGCACAAATCGCCAGACATTTTCGGTTCGCCCATAGCGAGGTTTCTTTGAGTGCCACCATGTCTGTTTGACGACCGCTGTCGATCCTCGTCGATGAGAGGGAATTGGAGCGAAGTGATCTTGAGGAATAAGAGAGGAAGAAGAGAAAGAACCATTTGAACCTTGAGCGGCAAAGCCCCCACCAAGCGCACCATAGAGCTGCAGGGCATAGATGCTAGGTACCGGTATACTGTGCCGTTAGCTAGTTGCATTGGACTAGTGGCTAGACTCAAGGAAGGTCTCATGTTTCCTGGGGATCATGAAGCAGGATGCAGTGGCGGCTCGGAGCGGTCGCAATGCGGTATGCCTGCAAGTCAAGCGACGGGACTTGGAGGGAACGTGCTATCGCGGACATATGGCTCGCTTATGCGCTTCACATTCGATCGGGAGGCCGTCGACGTTGATTCTGAGGAGACCCCAAATGCCGCTTACCGAATATGGAAGCGATATGCACGTGTGCACGAGCGGCAATTATCCATGCAACCCATGTACATGTTCAGGATGACACTTGGCGTGCATTATCGCATGACCATCGGGAAAAAACTGGGTCTGAAGTTGTCGCATGGCCAATAGGCCAATTTCTACGAGAACACAACGCCGTGGACTGCAGCCTTCTGGAAATCACCCCAGCCTGCCAGGGTCCAGTCTCATCGGGGTCTAGGCGTAGTAGGTGCTGAGCCTGAACTTGCTGTCCCCATCGTACTTACTCAGATCCTTCAGAGCCTGCCTTCCTTCCCGAATGACGGTGTGCTTGATATCCGGGTTCCGTGGCTCAAATCTTACTTGGAAGGGATTTGGCCGCCAGTTTGATCCGTCACTGAAGGCTATTAATCAGCTGTCCACGAAAGAGATGACCAATTTACTTACGAGTAATCGAATATGTCGACTGGAATCGCATGTCCAGTCGTTGCATCAAGAGCAGGTGCAATTTTGAAGGCCCATGCCAGGCGACATACGCTAAGATATGCGCCTTGCTCAGCCAGAAACTTTAGTGTGGTCAGCTCGCGGTTGTACGTTAATCAGTCAGTGTTTTTACCTGACCGGCGCATGATCTTCGGCCCCAGCCAAATGTCATGTATCCCTTCCCGACTGGGAAAGGGCGAGCATCTGGAGTATCTAGATAGCGTCGAGGGTTGAAACGGTCAGGCTCAGGGAAGTCGCGATCGTTGTGGTGTATGGCCCATACGTTGCCTTGGACCCAACAGCCTCGAGGTATCAAGTAACCGTTCCAGATATCGTCCTGTGTTGGTGCATGCGGCATACCACCCACAATCGCAACCGAACGCCAGCGAAGAACTTCTTTGACAAAGGCACGCATGTATGGCAGATCGTCATCCGCTCCAGGACTACGTGACGAGCCTACCACGCGATCTAACTCTTCCCATGCGGGCTTCAGAGTCTCTGGGAAAGCTCGCATGGCAAGTACTGCGGTTATGAGTGTGCTTGCAGTGGTGTCAGCACCGGCCCCCAAAAGATTTGCCGCAAGACCAGCGATCTCAAGCTGATGCAGGTTGTACTTGGGTGCCTCTTTAAAGACCAGCTTTGAGTAATTATCTTGCTCACGCTCATTTGCCTCTTCTGCAAGGGCGTAAAAGAAGTCGACGCCGGTATGTTTTGGAACCGCAGCTTGACCCATGCCGTGTTTCCAGGGAGCCATCCAGTTGGGAAATTTTGCAAGCACTGTTGATTTCGCCCCTGTTAGCCTCTCTGTCTAATATGAAGGGTTTGAGATAACTCACCAGGGAACGTTTCCATGAGACGCGGGAAGTCCTTTGCAGGCACTGCCAATTCAGCAGCTTTATGCATTATGTCAATGACTTCGGTTATGAGAGGATCTTTGGTGTCGGCAACACGTCGACCAAAACCAATGATGGAAACTACACTTGTTGCATAGCGCTCGAAATGAGCAACGTAGTCATCTGGTGAAGTCAGGAGATCACAAGTAGAGACCTTGCTCTCGTCATCTTGTAAGTTCCTGTAGTTTTGCACCTTATGGTTGTGAGACTAAAGTTCAACTACACGAAGCTCGTCAAAATACCTGATGTACGCCAACGCCAAGATGGGTCAGCTTCCGGTGATCTCGAAATCGCTCTCGCTGCTGCTTTGTGATCGTGTACATGTTCAGCATGTTCCACTGTCCCGCACCGAGTTCGGCAAAGATGAGCATTCTCGGGCGGGAGCAGTAGATTCCCGCGCGCTTGACTAAGATCTCATGGGCGGACCAAGCATCGTTGATCCAAACAGTTGGGTTCCTAAGGCACTTTTTTAACAACAGTACGTGGGCAGCATTGATCAGGACCCTGACCTTCCGATCCAGAATGTGATGACTGGGGAATTATATTGTTTTGAAATCTGTTCCATGAGGTACCACGGCTTCACGTCGGGCAAGCTGAAAGTGTTTCCAATAATTGGCCATGGGCGTGGACCAGGTGGCTGTAACGGTGTGTGTCAGCAAGGGCCTTGTGGTGAACGGTCAATGTTACCATCTTCTGCCTCTTGCGTAGCATGTGCACATAGTCAACGGCCACCGCAAGAATGACAGCCCCAATTAGCGATATGAACCACGACTGAACAGTAACCATCGTGATGTATGATCCCACTAGGTGTGTATGTGTGTAAGGGGATAGATGTAGCTAGCCATTGGTTGCTGAACGCGTACTCAAGTACCTAGAGCGTAGCTGACATTCGAGCATACTAAACAACCTTGATACCCAAATGTCGCGCCGCTCGCGGCTGTTCCCTACTTGCTCAGCCGAATTTGCTAGTCCATTCCTACAAGGTGCCCATGTACCTCCTGCATAATTGTCACTGGGCGGTTCCTTGCACAACGTTTAGTGTCGGAAGACCTGAATGCAACATTCCCAGATGGAAAGAAGACCGGGCACCCACAAATTGCAGCGGCAGGCAAAATTTCCGCATCGAATACGATTCGGTCCTTGCTGTGCCGGGTGAGAGGAGTGTGTGGTGTAGATTTTTGAGGCGCATGCGGGCTGAGGAACGGAACGATCCTGCTGGAGCAGGCGGGGCCGACGGAGATCCATTGTCTGATGCGTGATTGGCCATCCTGCCGCGTTAGCCTCGCAGAGTCGGTCAATTATATTTACAGGGTCGACACGGGCCATGAGCGTCCAGGGTCGACAACATGAACGGCCCTTCTCCCTCTGTGCTGTGACGCTCCCGAGATCCACCCGCCATACGGATGCATGCTCGACGTGTCCCATAATCACAAATTGAAATAGCGCACCAATCACGGCACACCCCGCCCGCATCCGTGGTATCGCTGTGCTAGCGATGGGCGCGCTTCAATCGCGATATCCGAACGCGCGGTCTCGAATGAACGGTAAGAGCGATGTGCAAGATTCGCTGAGTATGGTAAATGCTGAACATAGGTAAGCATCATCACTGACAGCAAATGAGTCTGCATATATCTGGAACCATCAAGTCCTATGCAGACCCCTCTCCAGCCAATGACTGGCAAAGTCCCAGTTAAGATCATTGAACCGCCGTGCGGTGAAGTGACAGACCGTCTCCTTCAAAATTTAAGCATTCTAGGCCGCGTGGCAGTGGCCACTGAGCGACCAGCGCCTGCAGCATGCAGCTGCTCCACCGTGTGCTTCAGGTACATACATATTACATACGCCGGTGTGAAGTCAGGCCACGGCGGCTCCATTCGGCCCATCGCACGGGAGGATCAGGATCTCTGAAGGGCCATGATGCGCCGCGCTCGGCGCCACCTCGTCTCCAGTCACCTCGGTGGTGTGCGTAGGCCAGGAGACTGTGCTTCAAAAAATCGCAGGCGATACTGCCAGTGCAACACTTCCAGGGCATGAGGCGGCTGGCAACCTCTCCCTTGGCACGGCGTGATTTCATCTGTTTAATATTGTGAAAGCGCCCAGTGTAGCTTGTGCTTGAATCGGTACCACCGTTCGCTTTGTACGATCCCATCTGACCGCTATCGACAATCATGGGAGACACCAACGGCCCAAAGATCATCGTGACACTATGGGTCCTGACGGTGCTCCCGTTGGTGTTCATGCTTCTTCGCTTCTACTGTAAAGCACGATATTCAAAACTGTTTGGATGGGATGACACGCTGCTTGCGGTTGCTTGGGTAATATTAACTTTCTTCGCACCCGCTCTCGTTAACACTGTGACAGGTTCTCTCACTGAACTACACCATCTTTCTGCAGATCTCGATCAGATACGGCATTGGCCAGCGCTTTAACGACATCGAAGACAAGAGTGTCTTACCCACAGGTATATACTACATGTACATTGGCGAGACCTTTGGCCTGTTTTCTGTACCTCTCAGCAAGGCATCTTTTTGTGTCACTCTTCTGCGTCTCACGGTCATCCAATGGCAAAAACAACTCCTATGGTTCATCATAGTCACCGTGCAGCTCACGTTCTATGCTACAGCGATCATGACATGGGTGCAATGCACCCCATTTCGAAAGCTGTGGGACTTGGAAACGCCAGGAACGTGCTGGGATAATCGCATCGTCATCTACTTTAGCATGTTCGTTGGTGGTAAGTTTTGCAGGTGATTGAGTCTACAGACAAATGTTGACTGAGGTAGCCTATTCTTCCTTGATGGATTTTCTTCTCGCGATATGTCCGTGCCTCATCATCCACAAGCTGCAGATGAAACGCCGCGAGAAGTGGAACATCATTCTGGCGATGAGCATGGGGTGCTTGTAAGCCAGCAACACCGTGAAATACAAGGGTGTACGACTAACACAACTTAGAGCCGGTGTTGCGTGCGCCGTGAAGACCGCATATCTACCTTTGATCGGAACATGGGCCGACTTCACCTACAACATCGGCGATGTTCTCATCTGGGCCATCACCGAGTCCGCCATCACCATCATGGCCGCCTCCATTCCCTTCATGCGTCTTATGGTCCAAGACTTCACCAGTCGCGGCGACAGCAAAGGCCCGAGCTTCGGCAACACCGGCTCATATCGACTGGAGGACACACCACGCTCGGGGCGGAGAATAGGTATGAGGACCGATATCTCAGCGCAGAAGAAAGGCCTGGACACAATAGCACTCGAGGGCGATGATCAGAGCGACAGAAGCATCCTCAGAGACGCGAAGGACTGCGATCGAATCACCACGACTCGTGAAGTCACGGTTGCTTATAGTGAGCATGGCGATGACTCCAGCGCCGATGATCGAGTGGCAAGAATGTCGTAGGTGGGAAACCGTTTCGTTGGTCAGGTGCTGCATCAGTGGCCGGTTCACACTGCAGCGCGCACGCCACACTTGACTATTCCGTTGCATCTATCATATTCATAATGTTAATCCAATCTCATTCACATGACTCATTGCGTGGTAAGTATAAAACGGCGTTTAACACAGGTAGTTGATCTCTAGGACAAGTAACTATACACTTAAACCCTAGTAAAGGAATGTTTGATTAAAGGACAGAGGGAACAAAGAAGAGTGTGCATACTTGAACAGTCCTCCTCACTGCATTTTCATAGTCTATCAATACATCAGAATGTCAACAGTAGTAGACATGTCTATCAATGGCTTCAATCGCTTGTTTTTTGCCCTTGTAGACTGACCATCTACAGGAACCTGACCCACTACGGTATGGCTACACTATTGCTCATGTCTTCACCAAGGATTACCCGTCAACACAAGCCGTAGGATTCACGTCTACGGTCAGAGTACTGCCTAGTCAAAATAACAAGTGAAACAATGAAGAGAGTAATTTTAGGACCACGAGGCAAAAACCGTACCACTGCCCTGCAGCTCAGAACCATCCACTCCGGCAGTAGGTGTTCAAAGCCAATGAAGTACACGTATCTCATAACAAGTCAGACCCTTAGTTCTTTCGGAGTCAATTACATGGACAATCATCACCTCTACCCGTGCCAACGCCGCAACCCTGATACTGGTCGGAACGCCTGCACGCAAATACACCAGGAGACATCGCTACACTTGTGCTGGTCTGGAGATCATATGTAAGTGGCGCTGAATATCAGCAATGCTTGTGTAGCTGCTCTCGTGGAAGAGCACGAGGAGGTATGTTGGAGCCACTTAGAGGGATTCCGACTAGCTTAGGAGCGTCCCTATCAGCACGGTGATGCTCAGAAGAGCGGCTCAAGTCATCAAGCACGCGACAAATGACTTGGCTGCTCTGGGAGCTAGAGGAACGTTCCCCTATATGCTCCCTGTTTGGTTACGTCCCATCTGATCTTATGGCAGATCAGTGGTCCAATGTGATTACCTGGATACGCTCTTGGCTTCTTGATTCCTTCACAGCTACTAAGAGCAAACAAATAAGTTCTGTTACAGCTTAGTAAGGAGGCGTAGGAAGAGCAAATGCTACTGGTCCTGAGCTGTTCTATGTGCAGATCAGATAGGATTTGTTGGGATAGTAAGACAATGTACGATTCATTGCGTCCGAGAACTTGGTCTGGGATGTAGTACTGATCAGTGCGGCGCAATCAGTCTGTATCCCGCCTTTAGTGTATAAATCAGCGCTCGTTCCGAGTAAGGGACAATGAAGGAGGCACGTCTACACTGTAATCTGGTCACTGAAAGTGAGGAATGACTCACTTACTATAGCCGCCCTCGCCGAACTGTCCATCGCGGGCTTACTGTGAACCTTCTTCCCGCGGAATAGTGCAGCAAATCAAGTTCTAGGTGGTTCTATTTCACTAGCAGTCCTTGCAAACGGGCTTTCACTCACGCCAACATCTCGGCATCGACATGGACCCTGATCCCACAGCGTAGATTTCCAACGAATCGCACAATACACACGTTGCATTTGACAACCGAGCCCGTTACAATGCACGCAAGTCAAGATATCGTGCAAGTGCCTCAAAGCAAGCAACACTGACACGGCATCGCGCTAACACGAGGTCCAGCGACATGCGAAAGGCGATAGTGGACATACAGGCCATGCAGGCAAAGGAAACGATGGATGCCAGACTCCAGTACGCAATGGCGATGCTAGACATACAAGTCAAGCAGGCCAAAGACGCCATGGCAGCCAAAGTCCAGGACGCGAAGGCGATCGTCGACAGCAAGGCTGCGCAAGCAAAGGCCGCCATCGACACCGCCATCGAGGCCGACTCCGGAGCCCTCTATCAAAAGCGGTAGGTATCAACGTATCACGACACCATGCAATCCTAACACCCGCCCAGCATCGCCCGCAACAAGCAGCACTCCCCCCTGCTCCGCCTCCCCGCCGAACTGCGCAACAAGATCTACAAGCACGTCTTGGGCGGCCACGAGATCTACGCCCGCGTCGAAAACGCCCCCTTCACCTCCCGCAAAATCTGGCGCGAACAGCACGGCCTGTGCAAAGCCATCCGCGCCCTGCCCCGCACAAGCGCCCAGCTGCGCCACGAGACCGCGCTGCTCGTGTACAAGTACAACACCTTCCGCGTCCGCTCATACGATCTAGACTTCTTTTTCGACGTCGTTGGCGAGTCCGCGGCGCGCGCGCTGCGCCATCTGGTCATCGAGCATTGCAGCGTGCTGCTCAACACGAGCTACAGGCGGCTGTACGATGTGTATCGCCACGGAAGCCTGGCGCACATTGAGGTGCTGATTCGCACGGGGCGGGACGGCGGGTACCTGGCAGAAGTGCAGAAGAGGCTTGAGCAGGGCTTTGGGGGCACTGGGTGCGCGCGGGATATCGAGGTGGTGGTTGGGGAGGGCGAGATGGTGATTTGCTAGGGACGTGAAGGACGTGAGGCTCTACGAGATTCCTGCAGTCCCGTGGACGTCCTGATGGAGGCTTTTCCGGCAAGTCTGGGTTTTCGGGACCTCTGCCAACGAGGTTGCTGCTACCCACAGGGACGTGGACGAGAGAAGACTGGTGGATGGCACTTGCTAGAGAGAGCGGCAGGATTGAGTCTGCTGTCTACAGTGCGAAGATCACTGTGCAGAACAGTCGGATGAATAATAGATTCTCCAACAGAAATAGGGCTAATAACTCTTCAACAATAATACTATCGGCCTGTTTTGAGAAGACTCCACTGAAACGCACGTTGCGCAGATACTTGGGTATAAACCAAAAAAGCTGAGAAAGACCTCAATGTTGCCCCGGTATATCAATCAAAGCTCAGTGATGCCAGTAGGCTTCATGGGACTTGGTCGATTGGATTGTGTGCCTTACCTTCGTGTGCATCCGAGCACACTCATCGCCGGATCCAACCCCTGAAACGAGAGTCTTTGGTTCAGCGTGACTCAGTTGGCCAAGTCATCTACGCCCTTGTACCTGCCGCTCAAATCCCGCTGATAGTCATACGTGCCACTTCCTGGTCACTTCGTTGCGACACTCACGCACCCAACTCAACTAGTTACTGCTAAGAATTGACCCCTCGAACAGTCGCAGTGGACGCATCCGAGTGGGTGTGGAACTAGATGCGTGGGATCGTCGGGGTGATGGCGGGAGGTGCAGACACGGAACGGATGCAGACGCGGGAGCCTCGGGGTCTGGGTTCCGAGGGTGGGAAACGGGTGTGCGGTGTGTTGACTGCACCGACGCAGACCTTTAGCACGTGCGACGTTTCTCCGCGAGTCGGTCCTGGACTGCGGCGTCGATGGCGCAGAGGCGTTAAGCGTGTCGTGTATATATCTTCCGAGCGGCACGTGGGACTTTGTGGTCGGATATGCCAGGGCGCAGTCCCTTTTCTGCGTCTAACTCAAGCTATTTACCTCAGCATGATGGGAGGGTCCGCGACCAAGAGCTGTTCTGTGCTTCGCGCGGAGGGTGCCATATGGCTCGATCCCGGATCTCTGCGCTCCACGCTCCGAAACCCAGAGAGCACTGGAAGCAGATCACCCCTACAGCGGCATCGACGCCGAGCCGAACACTAGACAACTTTGGGGGGGGGGGGGGGGGGGGGGTTCCAACGCACACCACAGCACATACCTCTGCGCCGCTGGGAGAAGACGCCGGCACACTCTCCCCAGCATCCCTGACCGACAGCAGGCAAGCCTCAAACCACCCTCCGCACCCCAGCGCCACAGCCACACCACGGGCCCGGGCTGCAGTAGGTATCCTCCCAGCCACAGCCAAGATCCGGGGTATCCCACTAGCCAGATGCCAGTCTAGACGCAGGCCAGCCACAGCACCCCCTTGCCTCTGCGCTGCCGGAGCCTGAAACTTCGGCACCGCTTCGTACGTGCGTGCTGTGCTAGGTACCGTCCAGGTCCCGATGCCACCGCCCGTCGATTACACCTGAGCCGCAGCATCTCACGCCTGAGGCTCCAGCGCTGGCCCGTGGAGACTGCTCGCGAGGCTGCTGTGTCGCGGTCGCGGTCGCGCGACTCGCAGAGCCGTACCTGTCGGCGGAGCAGTACCTCGCGCTCATTGGTTGACTGAGGCACTAGGCCCGTTTCGGGATAGTCTGGGCGTGGCTAGTACTGATCAGGGACCGTCTAGTCCCGATGCGCGCGCTCCACGACGCCCGATCATCAACGTCACGATAAACGCGGTGTGCTACCATAGCGTGTGTGCAATTGCAAATGCACCCGTAATCGATGATGCAGGTGGGTATGGGGTAAGAAAGGAGGGACGGGACGGCCCAGCGTTGCTACGAGGGATGTGCAGTGACGCATAATACATACCTCAGGCGCCGCAAGAGTGCGTCTACACATGTCACTTCCTCGCACTGCGCTCGCACGTGTCCAACGCGGTATACACACACGCACTCCCTTGCCTATCAGACCGCATCGCTTGTGTCTGCACACAGCAACGCAGCCCGTCTACTCCACGCCACGACACCGCCCCACCGCAATGCCGACGACACGCCAGCAGGACGCCGCCGCGTCCACACTCACCTCGCGCTCCAAGCCCGCGGCGGGTGGGAAATCGCACCGCGCCAGCGCGACGAACTGCATGCAGCACTGGGAAGACGCGGAGCACCTTGCGTCGAACCAAGCCGCGTTCCTCGAGTTCCGCCGACAGTCCTCAGATGCCTCTGTGCCGGCGTCAGACGCCTCGGGAACATCGGACTCGACGTCTGGAGACCATGGCCCGGTTCACCCGGCTATGAAGCGCGGCCGTGGCGCTAATCAGATCGGCAACACGAGCAAGAAAGCGAAGAGCGCGGGGGGACTGGCGAAGGGGGATAAGACGAGGGTGCCGAGGGTGGGGCAGGAGGTGTTCTTTGACCACGGAGGGAAGGAGGGAGGGGAGGTGGTCGAGGTGTTGTACGAAGAGAAGGTGGTTGGGGGCGAGAAGGCAGAGGCGAGTAAGGAGGATCCGAGACTGGTTGTGAAGAAGGGGGAGGGAGAGGAGGGAGAGGTGTGGAAGCCGGAGGATGTGTGGTTCGATTAGAGCACGTGAGTGGGGCGGAGACGGGCGGGTATGGCAGCGAGTTCCTGGATTAGATAGTGCGAGTGATTGCAGATAGCGAGAGTGATTGCAGAGAGTTCTGTTGGTCAGGTCAACGGTTTCAAGTCGGCGCACGACGTGCCTGAGAGGGTCCTGAAATAGGCAGTAAGCACTTGATAACGCTCCACGCTTGGCCTCTCCGTGGCGATTCTCTCCGCTCGGTGGATCGGCGCCCCATGAGCACGCGGGACAACGCTCACGACTGCCGTGCCCATAAGCTTTGGCGGCGTCGGGAGCAGTTCCCCAGATTCCCGCACGAATACGGGTGGTTTGGATCGGAAATAGCGAATCAGCTACAGATCGGTGCTGTTTACGGTGCATTATTAGGACGAGCGTCTTGGATGCAGGCCTAGCGGGTCTGGATCACTGGAGGGTGCATTGTGAAGGGCAGCTGCAGCGGCGACTGGCGGGCAGCTAGGGCAATCTGCAGGCGTCAGGTTGCGCGCAGAGGAGGGTTTCGCAGGGACCAGTGTTGATGCTGCAGCGTTTGTCATAAACAAAGAGACGCTGTGTGACGTTTGACGTCGCCTGACCGTGGTGTGAGCGAGTCGTTCGTGCCTCCCCGCCCAAACAGGACAGCGTGCAGCCACAACGTGCGCTAACCGCCGCCGACAGCCGTGCAGCAGCCGGCTGGAAGCAGACAGGCGTCGGGGGATTGCTGTAGGGATGCAGACGTTGGACGCACGGCTGACGGTAAGCGTGAATGCAGATGCTCATCTCACTGCGCTGCGCTGCACTCATCGGCCGCAGCGCCTCGTCTCGTGCGCTGAGCGAACGTGCCCGTCAGGCGGGTGCAGAGATTTGCAGATTGGCATGGTGATGAGCTAGACGGCGTGGAGGAGCAGAGATTTTCAAGATTGGCACGGCGATGCGCTGCACGGCGCGCAGCAGGGTGACGGCCAGGACGTGCAGCAGGGTCACGGCCAGGACGCGCAGGCCACGGCCAGGACACGCCAGGACACGGCCAGGACACGGCCAGGAGCTCGCAGCAGCGAGCCAGGGCGGCCGGCTAAATAGCAGCAGCGAACGACTCGAGCGGCCGCGACAGGCGAGCGATGCAGATCACCGGGCCAACCGCGTCGCCCCATGCCGGGCCCCCTCGCACGACAGCTGCTGCACTCTGGCCGACGTCGAGCCTCGCCACGCTCGCGGCGCTGAAACATGCAAGAATGAGGGCGGCGGGCGTGGTGGTGATGCAGGCGGGCACAGGCGAACACAGGCGCAGCGCCGGGGCAGCGGGCGCCCAGTGCAGCGTGTCGCGCAGGTGACTTCAGAGCGGGCTCTGCCATCACTGGCGCCCTCAGCGCTCTAAGGCGTGGGGAATGCCAGCTGGATAGCGTCGCCGGCGGTGCGTCCAGTGGGTGCAGTGCGCCCGTCCAGTGCCCGAGCTGCAGCCGCGGCCTCTTGTCACGCTCGCGCCGTGCGTCCCGCCGCGCCGAGTCGTGAATGGCTGAGGCCCGTCCGCATCTGCAGCATTATTGTGTGCCCCTCTGCTGCCCACCCCAAACACAACGACCGCTCGCGACGCCCACGCCGCAACGCTCGCTACGCGCCAATTCGCCTGCCCGTGAGCTGCCCGCCCGCCCTTCTGCCCGTCTGCCCGTCTGCTGCCCGCCGGGCCCGCGATGCCGCTCGTCTAGCCGTCACCCGCCGCAACTCTACGCCCACACGCACGCCCAGCACCCTTCGCACCCGTCCGCCCGTCTGCACCGTCCGCGCCGTCCGCACGCGCTCGCCGGCTGCCCTCCCACGATGGTCTTGGCCGCGCGCACATAGCCCAGTTCCACCGGCCCCGGGCGACGCCCGTTCAGTCCAGCGGCCGCTATGTACGAGGTGCAGCCGACCACGCTGGCCCCGCCGGCCGTCACGGCGCTGCGCCGCGAGGCCACGGCCTCCAGTGCCCAGCAGCGCGTCAACATGGAGCGCACCGTCAGCCAGGACATGCGCGAGGAGAGGGACGACCTGAAGGAGGCCGCCGAGCACAGCCTGAACGTCATCATGGACCTGGGGCTGTCGGGCCACGTCCGCTACGTCAGCCCGTCGTGGCGCGACGTCGTCGGCACGCTGCCCGCCGCCGTCATCGGCCAGCCCGTGCTCGACCTGATCTTCGCCGGCAAGGACGGCTTTGCCGAGACCATCGAGTCTGTCCGCAAGTACGACTCGCGCAGCCACATCGCCCGCTTCTCCGTGCGCATGGGCCCGCACTCGCTGCTGCGCCGCAAGCGCTCGCGGCCCGCCGTCGATGCCGAGCACGCCGTGCCGCCCTCGCCGACCAAGGACGCCGACGAGGATGAACAGATCCTGAACCTCGAGGCGCAGGGCATCATGGTCTACGACCGCGCCACGGGCGCCGAGAGTCATGTGCGTAGTTCGTCTGGTCTGCCGTCGGACGCTAACAGTGCCAGACAATGTGGATGGTCCGCCCGTCCGTGCTCCGCGAGGTCACCATTGACCTGCCCGAGGAGCTCGTCGAGTCGCTCGGCGTCGGCGCAGAAGTCCTCGCCCACTACCTCACCGGACTGGCCGACCAGAGCGCCGACGACCCGCGCAACCATCCGCCGCCACTGCCCGTGCTGTGTCGCATCTGTGAGCGGCAGATCACCCCGTGGTGGTTCGAGAAGCACTCGGAGCTGTGTCTGCAGGAGCACCGCGCTGAGATGGACGTGCAGCTGGCCCAGGAGACGCTATCCGAGCACCGCAACGCCATTGTCCGCGTTCTGGATACCCTCGAGGCACAGGCCCGCCCTTCGAGAGCCGCGCCCGCAGACCCCGCAGCTTTGATTCAGCCACCCGAGTACCAAGGCCACCTGATTCAGCCAATGTCGACTTCGTCCTCTGGCACGCCGTCCGGGCGCAACTCTCCTGCTTCTCCACCCTCGAGATCCAGAGAGCGGTCCAATGCGTCTGGCTTCGGGCATCATCGAGCACGCTCCTTCGCTGTTCGACGGCCGCTTGCTCGCATCGTGGAGCTGGTGCTCGACTTGTGCGACACTGCACTGGAAGTCAACACGCCAGCCATCAAGGACAACATCCGCAATGCCTCTGAGATCCGCACGCAGTCGCCGCAGTCTGAGAACCGCATCTCGCAAGTGATGCAGTGGCAGTCGCCAACCTCTGGCTCGTCAGACTTCAGCGACGGCTTGAGGCTGCTCTGCGAAGACACCAACCGGCTGGCCAAGGTCAAAATCGAGGCCGTCTTCAGGCATCGACATATCCTCGAGTATTCCGAGCGACTACGCATCGAGTTCGACATCCTGGTCCAAGAGTGCATTGAAGCCGCCATCGTGAAGGCTGCCCGCATAGCTGCTGGAGAGGACAGCTCCTCAGACGACGAAACAGCAGAGGGAGAACCGCCGCCAGATGTAAATGACATCCCTGGAGGTGACGAGGGCATCTTCCCTGGATCCTTCGACGCTCCATCGGCTATGGCCAATGCCCTGCGTAACGCCTCAGACACATCTCTGCCCATACGAGTAGGACGTCGAGAGTCATCCGTGGCAGATTCAACAAGATCCAGCAGCCCGAGAGCCGGCTGTCAGACACCCAGATCACATGCTGGTCCCATCAGTATCGCGAGCCAAGGCAATCGACGGTCTATGCATTTCGAGAGCGATGCAGGCATGGAGAGCGATACCAGTATGCGGTCGTCAGTCCTGTCCGGCCCGCGACGAGCTGACTCACCAGCCAACTCGGAACTCGGTCTCAGCAGAGTAGCCAGCTCGAGAGAACGAAAACGCAAGAGCTTGATTCTGCCAAGTGTCTTCTCCAGCCGGCAACAGTCGCCTGCTCGTACCATGCACCCAGCACCACCAGCGTCACCCCTACGAACAAAGCCTCGTATGTCCAGCGGTGCCGATGCTTTCCATTCTCCAATAACATCACCCGTCTTAACGACCACCGACTTCTCCTCACCTGCCATGTCAATGGCAATCAATCACCACCGCAGGCAGTCGTCCACCGCTGGATCAGATGGCCCAAGAGGTCTGTCGCCTCGACTGCTGCCTGTCACACAACCGCAGCCACGCGCGGTACCTCCCTCCATCAAGGATTTCGAGGTCGTCAAGCCCATTAGCAAGGGCGCATTTGGCAGCGTCTATCTTGCCAAGAAGAAGTCTACCGGCGAATACTACGCCATCAAGGTCCTCAAGAAGGCAGACATGGTGGCCAAGAATCAAGTCACCAATGTCAAGGCCGAGCGGGCGATCATGATGTGGCAGGGCGAGAGCGACTTTGTTGCAAAGCTCTACTGGACGTTCTCGAGCAAGGACTATCTGTACCTTGTCATGGAGTATCTAAATGGAGGCGATTGTGCGTCGCTCATCAAGGTCCTCAGTGCTCTACCAGAAGACTGGGCGAAAAAGTACCTGGCTGAGGTTGTCCTGGGCGTGGAACATCTTCACAGCCGCAGCATCGTCCATCGCGATCTCAAACCAGACAATCTGCTGATTGATGCCAAGGGCCATCTAAAACTCACCGACTTTGGTCTGTCACGAATGGGTATGATTGGGCGTCAAAAGCGTGCTTTGAAGTCGGACCCCAACGAGCACGCGCCGGACCTGCTGAAGACAGGTCCTTTCCATCGTGCCGCCTCTGGCTCCTCAGCGTCACGATCTGCGTCTTTTGATCTCAACCCGTCGCCATCCACAACTCCATCGATGACGCCCGCGCTTGCTGGCGATCTTGGTCAGCCGTCGTACTTCAGCCTCAGCCGAGACGTGCCCCAGAGCCGCGAACAAAGTCGAAGGACATCGGGGAACCGCAGCGATAGCGCTGATAGCGATGCTCTGCAAGCCATGTTCCGTCGCTTCTCAATCGCAGACTCCAACTTTGGGCCTGGGCAACGGTCTCCCATCGAAGAGGAGGATTTCAGCGACAATGGATCGCCAGACATTCTTGCCCCATCGATGAGCAACTCTGCTGTTGCACAAGCTCAAAATCAGACACCGCCGGCGACAACACACATGCCGCCCCCGCACATGACGCTATTTGACCCAGATGACAGCAATGAGAGGAAGTTTGTTGGTACCCCCGACTACCTCGCACCCGAGACCATCGCTGGTAAGGGCCAAGATGAAGTGAGTGATTGGTGGTCGCTGGGCTGCATCCTGTTCGAGTCTCTGTATGGGTATCCGCCCTTCCACGCCGACACGCCAGACGAAGTGTTCCAGAATATCCTCGCGCGAAGAATCGACTGGCCATCGGAAGAGGAAGACATCTACGACATCTCAGACGATGCAAAAGATCTTATGAATCGCCTGATGTGCTCCGATCCTGCCAAGCGCTTGGGTGCTAATGCAGAAGAAAAGTATGCTAGTGGCGGCGAGGAAATAAGAGCCCACCCTTGGTTCGCTGACGTGAATTGGGAGACATTGCGCGATGACGAGGCTTCCTTCATTCCTGCACCTGAGAATCCGGAAGACACGGAGTACTTTGACACACGAGGAGCAGCCATGGCGAACTTCTCGCCGGAATTCGAAGATCAAGGCACATCGTCAGCCGGAACGCCGAGCGCCGATTATCCAGACCGGCCGCACGATGCGTTGTCGCGAGTGCGATCACAGGTCAGCGTCTCGACTATGAAGCGAGGCCTCATCCCGTTGCACATCCCGGCCCACGTCAGAGAAGGCAGGTCTAGAAGACTCAGCGAGCCAATGGCTACAGATGACTTCGGCAACTTTAGCTACAAGAATTTGCCAGTTCTGGAGAAGGCTAATAAGGATGTGATTCAGAAGCTGCGCGCAGAAGCAATGCTGCCGCAAAACAAGTCCAGCTCAGCCATACACTCGCCCACAATCACCTCGCCCTCGCCATCTCTCGAGACTAGCCCGATGATGCCCGGGCCGCTGCAACGCACCTTGTCCACCAACAGAGCGAGCGGTCGACCAGCATCGCCATCGGTCAGCGGACCGAGCTCTTCGCCCAGCCGAGGCTCACAGCCGTCGTCACCTCTGCTTGTACAGTTCAGCACTGGTCAGCACCACGACCGACGTAAGACATCCAGCAGCTCCTCAACGTTGTCACACTCAACCAGCAATCCAGGGCCCCTCCAATCGGGATTGTTCGATCCCAACCGTCTGTCTGGCTTGCGGCCATCACCAGAAGCCGTCTCGCCAGGCAAGCCCGCGAAGACAGGACCTGGCATGTCTGGTTCGTTCTCAGAGAAGCTGGGATCCAGTCCACGCCAGTCTTCCGCCGGACCAGCAAGCTCGCCACGTGCGCGGTCTCAGACACTCGGCTCTCAAGACGGCGACGTCGTGCGAGACCTCCTCCCAGGTCACCACAAGCGACGCAGTCAGGTGCTCGATGTCTCGCCGTCGTCGTCAGACACGGAAGATTCGCGGGCCAAGGCGCTGCTGCGTGTACAGCGTCGGAGACAGAGCTCTCGGCGGCTGTCGCAGATCAGCTTCGGCGACGGACCGTTCTTCCGGCCGCTCGACGTGCTCATTTGCGAAGACCACCCTGTGTCGAGGCTGGTCATGGAGAAGCTTCTCGAAAAGCTGCGCTGTCGCACGCTGACTGTCAATAATGGATCCGAGGCTATTCGCTACGCCATGGGCGAGGTCAAGTTCGACATCATTATGATGGAGTTCAGATTGCCGCAAGTCAACGGCGCCGACGTAGCCCGCATGATCCGCGACACCAAAAATGCAAACACAACGACCCCCATCGTCGCAGTCACCGGATACCTCAAAGAGCTGCAGGCCCCGCACTACTTCGATGCGCTCATCGAAAAGCCTCCCACTATCGCCAAGCTCACAGACACCCTCGGTCGTCTGTGTCAGTGGAAGGCACCGCCCCAGAACTGGGCGCCGACAATGTACCCCTCCATGATGCCCTCCGGCCTCAGACAAGAGTCGACCCGACAGGAAGACAGCCCGACGACAACTTCCAACTCGTCCGCGTTCTCGCACGTGCCCGGCTCCTACCGCGGGTCTAGCCGCGAAGACTCGATCAGCTCGTCGTTCTTCGGCGACAATGACAGTCGCACGAGTGAAGATGTGCCGGTCACTGTTGTCCGCGCGGCGGAGGAGTGGCATCCGGTGCTTGGGGTGGGGCGGTCGATGAGCGGGCTGGGGATCTCGGATCAGGATGCCGAGTCTAAAGAGCCAAAGGACTCACAGCTCCCCAAGACCCCCAAGAACATCAGGGATTCCATGGAGCGCATGGATCTAAATGATAACAAGGAGAGAGATCTAAAGGAGAAAGATGCAGAGCCGGCAATCCGCCGCCAGCGCTCCGCAGAACAAGTCGGCGCCAAGCGCCGCCTGCTGTCCTCGCGCAAACACGAGTCCGCCGAGTCCGGCGACGATGAGGACGAAGAGCTGGGCCACGCGGCCGCAAAGCGCAGCCCCACAGCCCTCGACCCGACATCCCCCAGCCCCGCGAAGTCGGGCGCGCACACCCACGCCCCGCCATCCCAGTCGCAGTCGCAGTCCCTCACCTACGGCCCGCAGACGCGCGACGCGCACGCGCACGCGCACTCACATTCGCACTCGCACTCGCACGCGCGCCCGCACGCGTCCAAACTCGGCATCGAGATGCTGCGCACCAACAGCCGCGGCAGCGTGGTCTCGGTCGACGGCGACGTGGCGGACCGAGAGCGCGGCGGGGAGCGCGAAATGGAAGTCCCTGGTGTGATATGCGAGGACGTTGGGGGCGAGGAGCGGGAGGCTTTTGCGTTGTTTTCTGCGCGGGGAGACGGGGGCGGGGGTGGTGGTGGTGGTGGTGGTGCTGCTGCAGGTACTGGAGGTACTGGTGGTACTGGTGCTGGGGGCGCAGGCACGCCAACACACGAGGATGGCGCGGTCACGCCGGATCCGGATCCCACGCCCCGCGCCGTGAAGACTGGATAGTCGCCGCGGGGCCGGGGCGGGGGGATCGCATAGCATAGCACAGCATGGCACTGGGCAGGAAGGCGTGTTGAGGCGGTTGTTGGATGGGGACTCGTTGGATGGGTGGGCGTGCGAGTCCGCGAGACGCACGCACGCAGACTGATTGACTAGACGGGACGCGACGGGACGGGACCGGGGGAGTGTGGACCGGGGGAGTGTGGGTGTTTCAATGGTAGTGCACCGAAACATGCATGGCTTGTTTATTTGTTTCCTTCTAAGCTTATGTACGACATGTCTTCTTCTTCTTCTCTTCTCTTCTCTTCCGTATCTTTACTTGTCTTCTCTTCCGTGCTTCTTTTTCTACTTTTCTTCTCTTCATGTCTTCTGTTCACCTCTTCTCTTCGTGTCTTTCTGCGCGTCTTTCCGCGCGTCTTCTACGCTGTCTACTTTGTCTGTACACGCTGCACATGGATTGCGTTTTCAGCGGCAAAAGGATCGTGTACGCTCGCTTTTCGAGGGGTGGGGTTGGTGTGGCGACGGGGGTGTGTGTATAGTGCGTGTGTAGTGTAGAGTAGCAGATGGAAGATTCCAAATAGGTATATGGAGGTATATGGAGGTATATGATATGGAGCGGGGTTGTCAATGTATTCATCACTCGTCATTCACTGCTCACTGCTCACTGCCTACTGCTTATCACTCAATGTCGCAGCCTCACACACACGACTCCAAGGAGACGGCAGCGCGTTCGCACAAACCAAGCACCGCGCAAATCAAGCACGGCAGTAACCTAGTCAACTGCTCTACGTCAGAAGACATTAAACGGCGCTGCGGAATCGGTGTGCGTGTGCACTGTCTGCGTGATCAGTTCGCGCTGGCAGGGTCGTGGCTCTGGATGCGGTGCGTTGGTGTGTCGTGTTGTGGACGCTTGCCTAGTGTGGAGGTGGAGAGGACATGGAGGTGCTCACTGTCTCGCTCGGGCTGCACGGCAGCTAGGGATGTTAGCCGGACTTACTCGTGTTTGCCACCACGCCACGACAACAACAACATGAGCAAACGCCGCTGACATTGCAAATACGTGCTTAGCGTCAACTACAGAGGACTTGCCAACCCGAGCTTCTGTTGTTAGAGCAGCAGGTTCGGTGAACAACGCAGGCCGAGCTTCTCCGCCAATCGATACCGGCTCGGACGGGAGCGCGCTTGGGCCAGGCCAAACGCGGGGAAAGCTCCAGCTCCTAGCTTGGAGCTCCCGGCTGGGCGCTGGACGTCATGCAGGTACACAGCGAGACAGCTGACCGTATCACTCCCATCAGAACGCGGTGCCTGAGTTGTGCCGTATTTGAAGCTCCTATCTGAAGCTGCTGTTTAAAGCAGGCCAGCCCCGCTCTCCACACCCACACCATCACCACAATGGGCGGCGAATCCCACACCCGCACCGTGCCCATGGCGTCGCACCCGTACCCGCAGCTGGCTGCTGGGCCGGTGGGCAAGCAGATCCACAGCATCTACTCGAGTCGGCTGAGGCAGTTTACCGACGGGGGGCAGTACCGCGAGCAGGGGCTGAGAGGGTGAGTTGACTGCACTGCACACTCCGCTCTGTGTGGATGCTGACCGGCCAGCAAACTCGACGAGGCCCGCGTCAAGGGCACCGACACCGACCACGTCAAGCTCGCCGTCTACTCGCCGCCCGGCCAGTCGCGCCCGCTGTTCAAAGAGGCCACCAGCCACGGCTTCACGCCCACGCACCTCGGCGCCTCGTTCGGGCCCAGCTGGTCGACCCACTGGTTCAAGATCCAGCTCACTGTCCCCAAGGCGCTGCTGGAAAAGGAACGCCTGGAGTTCCACTGGGACGCCGACAACGAGGGCCTCATTTGGACTGAGGACGGCCACACGGTCCACGGCCTGACGGGCGGCGGCGAGCGTGTCGAGTGGATTCTGCCCGACTCCTTCCGCGACGGCAAGCCGCACACTTTCTACATCGAGATGGCCTGCAACGGCATGTTCGGTAATGCCCCCGGCGGCGACTCCATCCAGCCGCCCGCCCCGGACCGCTACTACACCCTGCACACCGCCGACATCGTCGCTGTCAACCTCGAGGCCCGCGCGCTGTACTTCGACTTCTGGGAGATTGGCGATGCGTCGCGCGAGTTCCCGCAGGACTCGCTCGAGGCCCACGGCGCCCAGCAGGTCGCGAACCGCATCATGGACGCCTTCATTGCCGGCGGCGGCAGCAACGCGAGCATCAAGGAGGGGCGCAAGATTGCGCGCGAGTACCTGGGGGACGTCGACTCGCACAAGGTTTATGACGGCGACGAGGCCCTGGTCACGGGCATTGGCTACTGCCACATCGACACCTGCTGGTTGTGGCCGTTTGCCGAGACCAAGCGCAAGGTCAACCGCTCGTGGTCCAGCCAGTGCGACCTCATCGACCGCTACCCCGAGCTGCGCTTCTGCTGCTCGCAGGCCCAGCAGTACAAGTGGCTCGAGCAGGACTACCCGTCCACGTTTGACCGCGTCAAGAAGAAGGTCAAGGAGGGCAGCTTCCAGCCGATTGGCGGCAGCTGGGTCGAGCACGACACCAACCTGCCCGGCGGCGAGTCGCTGATCCGGCAGTTCCTGTACGGCCAGCGCTACTTTGAAAGCAGGTTTGGCAAGCGCTGCAAGACCTTCTGGCTGCCGGACACGTTCGGCTACTCCACCCAGCTGCCCCAGATCTGCCGCATCTCCGGCATGACGCGCTTCCTGACCCAGAAGCTGAGCTGGAACAACATCAACAACTTCCCGCACACCACCTTCAACTGGGTCGCCCTCGACAACAGCCAGGTCATCTGCCACATGCCGCCGTCCGAGACGTACACTGCCGAGGCCAACTTTGGCGACGTCAAGCGCAGCATCACCCAGCACAAGTCGCTCGACCAGGACCAGACGTCTCTGCTTGTCTTCGGCAAGGGCGATGGCGGCGGCGGCCCCACATGGCAGCACCTCGAGAAGCTGCGCCGCTGCCGCGGCATCAGCGAGAAGACCAGTCTGCTCCCGCGCATCAAGCTCGGCGACTCGGCCGACGACTTCTTCGACAAGCTGGAGAAGAAGATCGAGAACGGGACTGAGCTGGTCACGTGGTACGGCGAGCTGTACTTTGAGCTGCACCGCGGCACGTACACGACGCAGGCAAACAACAAACGCAACAACCGCAAGAGCGAGATCATGCTGAGGGATATTGAGTATCTGGCTACGCTGGCGACGGTCCGCAACGGGTTTGGCAAGAGCAGCGCGTACAAGTATCCCAAGAAGGATATCGATGATATGTGGGAGAACGTGCTGCTGTGCCAGTTCCACGACTGCTTGCCGGGCAGCTCGATTGAGATGTGCTACGACGATTCTGACAAGGTGGGTTGATGAAGAGTGTGTATTGACAGTGACTGACAATTGCAGATCTATGCCAAGGTGTTTGCCACGGGCGAGAAACTCCTCTCTGAGGCACTGTCTGAACTCGGCTTCGACGATGAGAAGTCGCTGAGCCCCGGCAGCGAGCTCTGCACCATCAACACCCTGCCCTGGACGCGCACTGAGATCGTAAAGCTGCCGGACTCTCACCCGGTAGAGTATGGTTTGGCGCATGGCGACGCTTTGAGCACCATGGCGATTCGCCCGCTGGCGTCTGCTTACTCTGCGGCCACGGCTACCATCGCGGAGACCGGCCCCGGAGTCTTCGAGCTGCGCAACTCGCAGTACGCAGTCAAGGTCACCGACGGCGCCATCACGTCGCTCTACGACCTCAAGGTCAAGCGAGAGCTGATCCCCAAGGGCAAGAAGGCGGCACAGCTCGTCATCTACGACGACAAGCCGCTCTACTGGCAGGCCTGGGACGTCGAGGTGTACCACCTGAACTCCCGACAGGAGCTCTCGCCCCACAAAGTCTCCATCTCGTCCTCGTCTCCTTCGAAGGTCTCTCTCACTATCGAGACCAAGATCTCCGACAAGTCGTGGGTCACCACCACGCTCTCCCTCCCCGCCGCCGTTGGCAACTCCCCCAGCGCCATCGAAATCTCCGCCGAGATTGAATGGCACGAAACGATGAAGTTCCTCAAGGTCGAGTTCCCCGTCGACATCACCAACACCTCTGCCGCGTACGAAACACAGTTCGGCATCGTCCACCGCCCCACGCACTACAACACGACGTGGGACATGGCCAAGTTCGAAGTGTGCGTGCACAAATGGGCCGACCTCTCGGAAGCCACGTACGGCGTCTCGATCCTCAACGACTCGAAATTCGGCTTCGCCGTCGCCGGCAACGTCATGCGCCTCAGCCTGCTGCGCGCCCCCAAGGCCCCCGACGCCCACGCCGACATGGGCCGCCACTTCACCAAATACGCCATCTTCCCGCACGCCGGCCCGCTCGACCACGCCACCGTCCGCAAGGCCGCCGAGTTCAACAACCCCCTACGCGTCGTCGCCCGCCGCACACAGTCGGCCACCGAGCACCCCCCGATCCCCTCGTTCCGCGTCCGCGGCGCGGACAACCTCGTCCTCGACACTATCAAGCGCGGCGAAGACGACCCGGATGTGTCGCGCGGCGAGCTGCCGCCGTCCAAATCCCACTCGGTTATTCTGCGCGTGTACGACGCGCTGGGCGGGAAGAGTCGGGGTATGTTGGAGTGGAGCGGGGTGAGGGTTCGGAAGGTGGTTAGGGTGAATGCGCTTGAGGACGAGGAGGGGGTGGTTGAGGGGTTGGTTCGTGGGGGTGGGGGTGAAGGGGGAGAGGGGTCTGGGAGTGGGAGTGGGAGTGGGAGTGTGGGGATTGAGGTGCGGGCGTTTGAGGTTGCGACGTTTAAGTTGGTGTTGGAGGACTAGCACGTGTTGGAGGATTAGTGGGTGGTTGTGGGGTTCAGGCTGGTGGTGGAGCGTCAGCGCAGAGAGGGTGGGGTGTCAGCGTGGCGACGGTGTCAGCGCGGAGACGGTGTTGACGGGTCACGCATAGTCCATAGTCCAGTCTCGTCCAGCATAGCATACTAAGCAAAGCGGCGTCTTCTTTCTTTGCGTTCCACGCGGGAAACGACCCAATCTGACTGGCTAGTGCACCACCGCGCCAGAAAGCCGGCGCTGCGTCTCCCGCCCCAGCCCGATGTACAAACAGCACAATGTACAAACCGCGCTTCTCGTGGCTCTGAACATGGAATACACCCCCCCTCTCTCTGTGTGTGTTGTGTGGAGGTGTGTGGCTGGGTTGAGGTCGAGACCTGGATTTTGATCTGGATTTTCATTCTGGTTTGACTTTAGGGTTCGGGTTGATTTTGATTTTGATTTTGATTTAGATTGAGATACTGACACTGATACTGGCACTGATACTGACATGAACACTGACACTGACATTAATGGGGCGTGCTGGATCCGCGCTCATGCAGCGAGCGCTGCAGCGAGGAGGGTGCGAAGCGTGTGGAGCGTGTGAAGCGTGTGGAGCGTGTGAAGCGTGTGGAGCGTGAGGAGAGCTGTGAGATCCGGGGGTTAGGAGAGGTTAGGGCTGAGGAGCCAAGGGGTTGAGGGATTGAGAACTAAGGAGTTAAGGGCAAGGGTTAAGGGTTAAGGGTTAAGGGTTAAGGGTTAAGGGTTAAGGGTTAAGGGTTAAGGGTTAAGGGTTAAGGGTTAAGGGTTAAGGGTTAAGGATTGAGGCCCAAGGGGTTAGCTCTTAAGTGCGTGCGGGACGAAGGAATTGTCACTGCAGAGCGCGTGCGTGGAGGCGTGGATAGAGCTGCGCAGACACGGACAGCGACGGCCCAAGGCGCAGTGTAATGCGTACTGGAGGAGTTCAAGTAGGGCAGACAGCATAGGGCTCGTGGCTAGACTGCTCGAGCAGGATGCGGGGGTGCTGTAGTCTGCAGTCTCTCTGTGTGTATTCGATTCATCTGTTCTCTTCGGTGTCCAGCGACTCAGTGTAGTAGTCAAACACCTAGCTAGGGTTTGCCTAACTGCAGACACTCGTTAGTTCGACTCCAGCAGCTAGTACGGCCGCTTTGGTGCGCTAGACCTACGTACTACTTGCTAGCAGTCTTTCCTTGTGCAAGTAAATAAGAGGAGGGCTTAGTCGAGAAAGGAGAGCTTGCTATTTGTTTACGTCTTATAGGGGGTTTTCTTGTACCCTGTAAGCGTATAAGGCGTATAAGCTATTAATACTCGAGGAATGTTGTAACAACAGCAGGTAATATAGGCCACCGGTACGGTTCTGAGTCCTCTACAAGGTGTATAAAAGCACTAGGAGGGTTGAAACTAGGGTTGATCTTTGTTCCTATACGTCTTATACGAGGAATCCTTAAGAACTACCTACCCTAGGCCTGCTACAGCTAGCCCTTTTATACCCACAAGTCTTAGTTAGCCACGGATAGATAAGGAGTAAAGAAGGTAACAAGTTAGAGCTAGGTTAGAGGGTATTCAAGTTAGTAGGCTATAGATAGACATGGGTTGGTACAAGCGACGAGTAAGAACCAAGTAAGAGGGTGTTCAAGTTGTTCGAGATACTTGTACGAATCGGGTTTTCGATGTTCGATTCTTACAAATATAATATAGGAGAAAAGCAGCATGTGAAGAAGCTTAGTTAAGTTATGACCAGTCAGTCACCTCTATTAACTGGTGGGTTAATTTATGACTGGTAGTAGATTCTTACATGATAGATTCTACATGATAGAGTGAACCCCCCCACCCCCTATAATACCTATAAACTGTCTTCTAGGGTTAAAGTACCTTAGCTTGGCACGTCTTCTATACCCCTTGGGAGGTTGCAGTCTACTGTATATATGGTAGCCGTTGCAAGACACGAATCAATAGCTTCATCATCTTGCATTCGGGATTTCGCGAAACCCCTTGTCCTTATCCTTCTCTCTCCTCCTCCTCTTAGTTCGTGTGCTTGCGTGGGTTCTGGGTTCGGGTTTTGGTTGTGGTTGTGATTGTAGTCATGGTTTCTGGTCGTGGTGGATGGGGTGAATAGGATACCTAGGATTGATAGGCGGTGTTGTGGGGAAAGCGGAAGGGTGTAGTGGGATGGCGGTTTGGTGTGGAGCGTTGTGATGTGTTACAACTAGAATAGACTGGACTGGACTAGACTGGGGCAGGGTGGGGCGCTCAAGTGTTGCAGTTTCGTGCTTGGGAGTTGAGGCACTGTGGATGGGCTCTGATTTCTAGGCTCTAGGATCTAGGTTCTGGGTTCTGGTTGAAGTGGACGTGTTGTAGATGGGATAAGGATAGCCGGACTAGAATCAGGTATATCGAAGGTATCCTCGCATCGGATCGCATCGCAACGCAACATAACGCACGCGCAGAGCGTCCCGCACCTAACGCTACCTGCTCAGCGTATAATACGTGGGCTGGGTATATAGAGGACCGGACAGGGTGGTGGTGCGTGGGGGGGTGGCGCTGATGGACCTGTGTGTGGACACGGGCACGCGAGGTGGGCTGGGCGAGCCTGGCAATTCTCGTGTTACCGGTACCTCTTGATGATCTTCTTCACCGAGTAGATCTTTCAAGCCATCCCAGCGATAACCTGCAACGTCCATACGAATCAAAAAGCTGGCAAGGAGTACGCCGCGTTTGTTTTTTACCACGATATCCCATTCGGTGTGATAATTTTGTTCAAGGACAGTGAGCTCCCTTGCAGTGTCCGAGCGCCAAGCTCGTGACCCAAAGTCGGCGATTGTTGACATATTGCCTACCGTCGTCGCATCGCTCTCAAGCATTTGTTCAGGGAAGTGGCTTATTGCTTCGACAGCAGCACGGAGTTTGTGATTGTTACCGCAAAAGCAAGTGAAGAGGGATCGTATAATCGGGTCTTTGTCAATCGCCATTCCCCGCAATCCAGGATACTCAAAGATTTGAATAGCAGCATGCTCATGAAATGGGAACTTGCGACGGCGTAGGTCAAAACCGTGATTAGAGTCGCTTTTGGTACCAAAGTCATCGAGGGCCAGATAGGTAATGCATGAGAGAGCCGTCCTGCGAGTCGAAGGTCTCAAAGCAGACATGGTCAAAGAGGTGATACAAATGAGCGACTCCACCATTTTCGTCGACGAGTTCAAATCCACCTTCGACTCCACGATGATACGTGTCTTATCAATGGCCTCACCACTGATAGCCACTTTCGATACCTGGGTAAATCAACTCATCGAGGCAACAACAGCTAACCAGCAACCTCTCATCGGGCGAACCTGGAAGCAAGGCCTCAAAGACGGTTACGCATATCTTCACACTCTCTTAACAAATGAGCCGTCATTATTGAGCCTCTCAGCCTTGCAAGACGGTACTCAGGCCGAACGTCTGCAATGGTTTCACCAAGCGATCGAAGGTGGTGACCCGGCCCAATTCAGAGACTTGGCTTGCAGCTTCTGTTACGCTCGATCATTTTTTATTACGACTTTCGGACGGATGGGCATCGGTCCCTCGGATACTCAGCCAGGCGATACCGTGGCAGTGATTCCTGGAGGCGGCGTGCCGTACGTCATCCGGCCGAACAGGAGCGGGTGGACATTGGTCGGGGAATCGTACGTCCAAGGTATCATGAACGGGGAAGTGGTTGCAGGATACTCTGATGGCGCTGTTGTCATGGAGTGGTTTGATCTAGTCTGAGCGAAGAAGTTTATAATGCTTGCTGGAATGTGCAGACCACATCTAATTTAGTGCATTATACAGGAAGCCCTGCTGTTTCCTGCATACCTAGGTACCTATGATATCTTGCATAAAGATATAATTTTATTGATGAAGCACGAAAAACAGGGGTATATCGCGGAAAATCTCACAAAACAGGCCAAAGCCCTCTGCCTGTGGCACAAACGTCGTTACGTACTTGTTGCAGCAAACTATATTTCGAGGATACCAACACTCACGCATCGTGAATCACGTGCGGGCATAAAGATATATACTAGAAGACATCTTCTAGGTATCCATAAACAGGCAAGCCTCTTCTTATCTTATATATAGAGCCTAGTCCTCCCCTATGTCCTATACACACGCATCCTGTAGCTATTTAGCTAATTTAGGAGTGTGTGTACCTAACTTGTAACTGTGACAGTATACTGTACGATAGTAGGGGGTGGTTGGTTTATATTGACAAGCACCAATAGCATAGAGCTGACTGTCGAGATTTAATTTTGTCCTGACGTTGAATTCCCCTCAAGCGTTTCCTTGTTGGGTTGAGTTTGGAATGAGACGAATAAGATCATATAAATCAATGCACAGGTCACCAAAATACAAGTGGATCCTATCGAGTATTCTATCAAAGACGTTGATAGTTGGGTCATCGCTCCCGATCATATTCAGAGCTATATTCTACGTTTTCCTTAATCTCGATGAGACGACAGCAGGTCTTCGGCTGCACAAGAACATACTGTTGAGGAGCGAATCGTTTGAGCCTGAAGAATCACGAGAGAGATCGTTTTAAACGTGCCACTAGAAGACACGATCAATATCAGTGACGTACTCGTAAAGAGGGACTTTTTCCTTTCACTTGGCAAAGAACATATATAGGTCAACTGAGAACAAAAGAAGCACGGAGTGGAGAACGCTAAGCTGTGTCTACATACCAAAGCCTCACAATTACTGACCCGCCTTCCTATTTCGACGATCAGGCTAAACAACAGCAGTCGCACCAGCCGCGGGTAAACTCGATGTCTACACTCGTCATTGTAGCACGCTTGTGGTTTCTCTCATTCCAGTCTGCACGCGCCCAAGAAGTGCAGTAGTTGGAGCCCGACACATCCGCACCCTTCTTAAATCCTTCAGAGCGACTGGTCCTCAACATACAGTTGTCCCGCTGATTCTTCAGGCATGATTCGTACCCGAGTGTTTTCGTAAGAGCATGCGTGCAGGATTGGGCTCACCACGGCGACTCACGGGGCAGCATCACTTTGGCTCAGCTGGTGACGAGAATCTCAGGCTAACAAATTCCTTTTGAAAAAGTACGCAGGATCTGCCATCTCTAGCGAGATTTTCCTTGAGGCTGGTCACTTCGAACAGCACAGAAACGCGGTCAAGCGCCAGTCGCGACGGAACGGTCGACTAGCACAGTCGCATATCTGCGCTATAAGGGTCAGTCATGCGGACTTTTGCGAATAATGAGTCGGGTGCAGCCATGGGATTGGGCTCTGCTGGACACTTACCTATCGTGTCCTGCTGTCATTGGTGGAGAGCCCGATGGGCAGCGTCGGAGCGTAGCCTCACTTTTGTGTGTGCTGATATAGAGAATGAACGCCAAAACTCAGGATGCGCACCAATTTAGGGAGTACATTGTTCAGAGAAGACGGGTTCTGATGTTGCGAGGTGAGTGCATGGCACGACATTGTTTTGGGTCGACACTGACCACTGTGGTTTAGGTAGTCCTCCATAGACACAACCATAAATGCGATACAGATTCTATTTACTTTCTGCTACTTTGCGCTCCGGCGGAGACTTTACGAGGCTGGAACGGTGGTGCGATATCGGGATGCTCCTTCCTCAGGTGCACTTTCAGCGCATCGCTCCGCTTGTATGAGCGTTCACAACCCGGTGCGTCACATTCAATGGGCTTGTTATCGCCATGCTGAATCTTTACATGTCGACTTAGGTTACGCTTCCTCCATTCTCCCTGGAACTGCCCCTCGCAATAACTACATGTCAGAACGTCGGATTCAGCACTGGCTTATGTCAGTGAGATTAGAAGCGCGGCAGTACCCTTGCTTTACCTATCTGTGGTAGATGTCGGGTTCGGAGACTCGCTGAAGTTCTCCGGATGTCTCGAGCTGAACATCCTGGGGTACATCGAGGGAGTGGTGCCGCTACCAGGAAGAGACGATAATGTGTGTCGAACACGCTGTACGCCTGCAGCTGGAGCAAATGACTGTGTCTCGGCACCGTTCCACTGTGATAACAAGACCGTCGAGTTGAAAGGGTTTCTAGAAACCTATCTCAATGTCAGTTAACTATCACCTACACATCCACGACCGGAGGGTGTGCCCCTACTCTATTTTGTGTACTCAAGTCCAAAGGGCTTCCGAGATACCCTTCGACAAAAGCCCAATCATCGACCATGATTGGCATCGCAGGTCCCCAGGTCGATTCGTCCGACGCAGAGAAAGGTGGCTCCGGCATAGTCGTCACATCGGTGAAATGTCATGCACAACCAGCTACGCCGCTCTTGAATTATATCAGTCGATATCCTCGAGGACCATCATTGGCAAGACTAAGCCTCCGGACGAGTGCTGCGCTGTCGTGGCAGGCAAGCAAGCAACCAGCGAACCGCCTACAGACCACTCACCCGGATCAGCCTGTGCGAATGAGAGTCGCCGACAGGGTCAGTTGTTTCTGGTTGCACGGCGCTGAGGCGATCGACAGTTGAGCCTCTGGCGTCGTGCCAGCGCAACAGCACGTTCGACAACGTGGCTGATGGCCACCTCAGAGGGACTGCATCCTAGCTGCTGTGCTCCGGCGAGTTCCTCCAAGGCCGCAACTCGACAGTGAAGACAATGGAAAAGACGAATCGCACAACAGAAAAAAAACCCTGGCAGCATCACTGCAGTGTATATCAACATCGCAAAACTTACTCTCGCACCATCGAATCAATGGCACCAAATATGATCGACTTGAGCGCAGCAGTACACACAATTAACAAGGCAGCCCCTACATCATAATCTAGCGCCTCGTTTAAGGCACTATATCAGGCCAAGTGCGGAAGCCAGCCACGAATGACTCCAACTGCACCAGGCGCTGACGGATGCGCTGGCACAGCAACCCTGGTCGACCAACAAAGCGACATGCGACACCCCCACACGGACTTCAAATTTACGCCACCGATCATAGCATATGTGGGCGGCGCGATGCACAGCTCATCGTGCGCGGGTTGCCGCATCGGCCTACGTTCACGTGGTGTTGGGGTGCATGAGGGACCGACGATTTGGGGTGGGGAAGGGGAATTTGCGGACTAGAGAGATGGGCTGGGGGAAGTGTGGCAGTGCTCCTTCATAACGATGAGCGAGTGGCGGATTCAAGATTGGATGGCAGGGTGGTTGACGTTCTGCAAGCTCGAGGGAGGTTGCTGTTGGTCTTCCTTCCAAATTCAGATCTGCCCTGCTACATTTTCTGTAGCTGGGCAGGGCTGGTTGAGTCACGGGGACAAGCCAAACGGGTAATCTCGTTGATATGTCCGCTTTCATGAAGCGGTGCTCGAGGGAGATCCAAAATATAGCCGCAAATCCAACCCAAATCAATACTGACACTTCCGCCAACCAAATAGTAGGAACGATAGCTTTTGCCGTAAGGAAATAGTGTGTCTTCGGTGAAGACACTTTGTAAGACAGCTTGGTAGAACATGGGTGCGAATACAGGGTAACGGGCCCATACACAGTATGGCAAATCTGAGTTGAGAAAGGAAATAAGCTCTGAAGAAATCCTTCGAGAGCTCGAAACAAGCTAACACCAAGAATCAGGTGTAGCGAAGAGAAAGGCGCAAACTGGAGAGGACATGTATGTTGCAGGGCACCGTGAGCTGTTCATGATTGGTGTGCATGTGTTCTGCAAGACACAAGTCGCTTTGACCGGTTTGCTCGTCGAAGAATGAACTCCCGAATGTGTTGTGCGTGAAATTTGGTGAGTCGGTAGGTGTGGTAGCTGTGTCCCGCGATGGTTGGACGATGCGTAAGCGCTTGCTTCGTCCTAGGGCCTCTTTAGGCAGCAGCGAATATGTCGTATTGATACACAATAGAATGAAGTAGTTGGTCAGCTTCAACTATGTCGATGCTGCTGGGGTTGTCGCTCGTTTAATTGACGAATCGTGCGCGATTTGATGTGTGCGATGGATTCCCTGTCCGGCAGGAAGTAGGTGTTCGCCTCACTAATGTGAAACCGACGTGTGATATCCATGATACGACAAATCTGACTGGTCCATCGGCATCAAGGTGTTCATTGGTTCGAGCTTAAATTGACGGCATCGAAGGACGGTGGTAAACTCGGGCGCGGTAGACGGTGCGGGTTGATGTCTGCCCGCAAAGGTAGCTAGACTTGATGTGTGTAATGTCACGACTCAGAGATTTGAGTATCAGAGGAATGTTGTCTCACTCTTCTTCGAGCGTCCTCCTTGGTCGGGTCGGACGTGGGCGTGAATGGACTTTGACCTGGTGAGCCACAAGTGCGTCACTACGTTTATACTTGCGCCTGCAGCCGTCTTCCTGACACGCGAAGGATCTTGACCCGCCCTCGCCGTGGATCGTTTGTCTGTGCCTAGTTAGGTTTCTTTTGCAGTAGCTGCCAGTGAATGATTGGGGGCACAAGTGGCACGACACGTTCTTTCTGTACTGTATTAGTGTATTGTGCCAGTGGGCAATGTAGACACAACTTACTCTACTCCACTAGACTGCGAGTATAGCGTCGTATTCGAAAGCGCTGAGTTGGTGGAGGTCAGACTTAGGTTCGAACCACCTCGCTGCATAGGCGTGTATTGGTCGGAAGAAAGGAACTGGGTGTCCTGTGGGCCGGGAAATTCTGAACTTGGTAGGTCATACACATGTCCATTGTGGCTTTGAGAACCCTGGGAATGCACGATGGAAGGATACGGAATCACTCCAGCTTGAAATTCGAGACCGGGCATCGAATCGTCCTGAATGAATGAGTTGTCTTCGTCGATATTTGGGACTGCGTCATAGCACATTGCCTGAGGTGGAGTATCGTAGGCGTAGCTTCCAGCTTGGGTGGTGGCATCTGATGAGTAGCTCATCGGCAGATCTAATCCTGGCGGATTTTGTGTGAAATATGCGAAAGTCGGTGGATCATCGGCCGAGGGTGTGATCGCAGGCTGTTCAAACCCGACGGCATCGTCGAAGGCGGCGACATCGTCGAAGGCGGCGACATCGTCCAGTAGGGGCACAGTGTGGTCTGTATTGTCAGCCATCTCCGACTGCCATTCTGAGCCCCAGGCCAACTGCGGCGACAGTCAGTGCTATGTCGACAGCTTTCGTTTACCAAATGAATCTGCTGCCCCTGCTTACAGGCTCGCTTCGCTGCGCTACACTGTCGTTGATAAACCCCAGCTCGGAGTTAGAGTTGTCTCCTCCATAGCTCATGAATTCTTGAAGCAGGCTGTTATTGTTGGATTCATCGTATTCCAGGTCGTAGCCGTACAGTGCCGGTGACATGTGGGTGTCTACGAGTTGCCCCTCACGTGAAAATCGTGTATCGAAAGGATATGGCATTGCTAGGCTCTGTGAAGGATGTGAAAACCAGTCTCAAAGGCGGAGCGGATCTCAACGCTATTAAGAACACACGATAGTATCGTTTCGTCTCGAATGTCGTTGGTCGCTTCACTAACACCGTCAGCATCTCCCGCTGCTTTAGCCAGGCTACCACACGGCTCTCATCAGGGCGTCAGTTGTCAAAGCGCCGTCTGAGTGACTCTCAGCTCTCAGGACGCCAGCGCATAGTATCGGGACGCTGGAGTGTACGTGTAGTGCAAGTAGAGGCTCTAGCCGTCGCATCCAGGTGCTGAGACCCCAGGTGACGAAGATCGGCGTGAGACGTGCGGCCAATCTCAGAGCCAAGCTGCAGGGCGCTTTGTATACCAGGGCGAGCAGAGAGCCAGCACCGAAGTTGCCAGGTGATGGGTGCTTGCAGGAGACAGCATCACTGTGCAGCTGCCAGGGCCGGGGTCAAGTTCGACCAGTGGGCGCAGTCCGTGGAGGTGTCCAGCCGTGCGGTCGGATGGACACCCCGGGCTCAATCCTGGCGGACTCGCACTCCATGCTCTAGACGGGGTCGTGGCGCTCAGCCACGCTTGTTGGATAGGATGTGCTGTCCCGCTCAAAAACACCATAGCCTTCACTGGTGTGATATCGCTGCAGGGATCTTCGCGCGGCGGCAGCTGCCATCGAGGCAGAAACGCTGAGGAACCGTAGGAAGGAGCAGCCTTGGGTGGGGTTGAACCCAACGCCTTCCCTTGACCCCACTCTTGACTTCAGCCCGCTTTGCAACAACACAACGTACGCAAGAACGGTCTTCTTCGACATCGAGTCCTCCATCACGATGCGGGGCGTCGATGATAATATCGGGCTGGGCACGGTTGCCCTCTCTACGGCTTTGTCAGTAAGCAGTCGTACGAGGGCCAATTCACAGGCTCCCGCGCTAAGCGACGGTGGTGAAGGACCCAAATGCCGGCCAACCACCGTCAACCACGGGGGTGTGCACGCGTCCCGAAAAACCAGGCAAAGGAATTAGAATTGCGGCGTCTGGGGGCGGGCCGTTTCGTGCGCCCGTAGCGACAGAGGGAGCGCAAGGTAACAATGCCGCAAACCAACAGGCCATTGAATGTGTGGCAGCCCTGTCTCGCGAGGCAAATATTTGGTGAACCGAGTCCCGCAATGTCGCACATTGGAAATCTTATAGCACACCAGTTGGGCGGAAACATGGTCAATCTATGCCCGAGCTGTCATGCAGACTGAACGGAAACCCTGTCCGCGATCTGGTCGCGCTGCACTCCTCACCAACCTCGACACAACACGTCGCACGCGGATATGACATTGATGAGCCGGGCATCGGCGTGTTCTGACAGCTCCAAGCTTGCCTAGGAATCGACGAATGAGATGCTTCTGCCGCCCCCCCTCAGCCGAAGGTTTAGCTCGATGTGGCTTTCGTACCGCGCCATCTCCGCGTTGACTGCAAGAAAAAGGCAAACTTTGGGCTTCAACAAGGCGTAGCAATGCCGTGCGCTACTTGACGCGTGCATATCCCTTCTCATGTATGCGCTGTTCAGCAAGTCTGCCTCGGAGAAGAACTGTGGGGACAGCGGTTTGATTGGAATGCTCAGCCGCAATGTTGCTGTGCAGGTGCACGACATCGTGTGTCACATGCCTAATGTCATGCTCAACATTGTACGCGAGGTTTGACAGATCTCAGGTTACGTCCTGAAGTCATTGAACGCCATTCGATTGTGGTACTGGTACATTTTGTTGACAGGATCAGGCTCAAAGCTTAGACTTCGCGTCTTCAGGCTTTGCGACCTCAACTAGCGTCTTGCCGGTGTTCTTTCCCTCGAACAGCCCGACCAGCGCGTTCTCTGCTTGCGAAATGCCACCCTTGATGATGGTCTCCTTCCTCTTCAGCTTGCCTTCTGACAACCACTGTGCGAGCTCTTTCCTCGCCGCGGCGTACTTGTCAGCATAGTCGAAGACAACGAAGCCTTGCATGCGAATGCGCATTGAGATGATCATGAGGTAATTCTGCACGTGTCAGCATAACATAAGTACAATGAGCGAATGAGGAACGTACCGAAGGACCCTGAGGCTTTTTGTTGTTGTACTCGCTGATGGCACCGCACATGACGAAACGAGAGAACGGCTTCGCCCTCGTCAGCGCCAAATCGAGGATTTCGCCGCCGACGTTATCGAAGTAAACGTCAATGAACCCCTTTGTGGCAGCCCTGAACTTTTCCTTGAACTTAGGATCCTTGTAGTTCAAAGCCTCATCAAAACCCAGCTCTTCCTTCAACCACGCAACCTTGCTATCCTCCCCGGCAAGACCAAGCACCTTGGCACCCTTCAGCTTCGCAATCTGACCAACAACGCTGCCCGTCGCGCCAGCAGCACCAGACACAACAACGAAGTCTCCAGCCTTGACCTGTCCGACCTCGGTAATACCAAAATACGCCGTCAAACCAGTCATGCCCAAGCAGCCCAGCGCATCTGTCGGTATCGCACCACTCGGGAGGTCCAGCGGCTCGACATCCTTCTCCTTGAGCACCGCGTACTCGGCCCACCCGGCCATGCCGCTCGCATACGTGCCGACGGGGAACTTCTTGCTCTTGGAGGCGACGATAAGACCGATGCCGCTGCCGCGCATGACAGCGCCAATCTTGACGGGGGGGATGTACGAGCGCGTCGGGTTCAGCCAGCCGCGCATCGCGGGATCCAAGCTCAGGTAGAGCGTCTGGAACAGCACCTCGCCATCCTGGAGCGATGCGGCGGTCGGCACAGGGTGTTGCTGTGCCTCGAAGGTCTTGCCGGCGATGATGGCGTCCTGCGGCCTCTCCTTGAGGTGGATAGATGTGTAGGAAGGCATGGTCGTTGGAATGAGCGGGGCGCTGTTGCTTACACTTACGACGAGCCTGAAAGTGCAGAGAAGCTTAGTCGGAGAGATCGAGAGAGGACACCGGCGTCTTAAGAAGATTCCTGCAACGTTTCGGCCGTATCAGCGGATTGCGTTACTCGAGCCGACGTCCCCGTCGTGGGGTGAATCGCGGAGAAGTGAGCCTCGGTACGGCGCTACTGCCGCATTGGGCTCGCGCCGTCGAGTCGCCCGCGCCCGTGCGCTAGCCTTCGGCCTCTTCTCCAGACCCGACCTCGGGAGTACCTAGGTAGGACATGATCGGAGTGCACGTTGCATGCTTCGTCAAAGTGCACATTGCAGCCCTGCAGTCACGAACACCACAGAGTCTGCGCTGTTGGATGGCGCTGTGATTCGCTATAGGGACTACGCGTGTTCAAAGCGTTCCACACCGCAGCGGCCGCAACTGAAACACACCTCCTGCTGCATCAGATGCACTGCATCCAGACACCCCGTAGCGCCTCGCTCGCATCGCTAGAACCGGCCCAGTAGCTTGCGTGAAATGGTACGGAATACTGATGATTGTGACGAAGGCTGCGGCACTGGTTTCGTAGCTTGTCGAGGTGGATGGGGGCGGAGATGTGTGTGGGTCGATAGGGACGTTGCTGTGTTTATTTAGCTCCGGATATTTGGCCAAATACATTGCTTGTTGGGGCCATATTGCTGTTCGTGTCGTTGAATATCTCGTCTCGACTATGTAATCACTGGATGGTGTCCGGACTGTGTTTTTGATATCGTACCTCCGACGTCGTCCCCCGATGCTGACCTGTGCACCTCTTGAACACCGTCTACTCCTCGGCGCCATCCATCTCGACATCGCCTTCCTCCTCTTCCTCCTCGCCCTCCTGCTCACCCCACCACAGCGTCGGCCCCAGCCCCGCTTGATTCATCGAGCCCTACACACGTTAGCACACATCCCGCACCCACACGCATAGCACCTACAATAACCCTCCACGCCGTGCCGCGCTCATCCACCACCTCGCCCGCCTCATTCCGCTGCTCAATCGTCGGCCGCTGATCGACCCACTCCTCCTGCTCGACGCGAAACAGCACCGGCTCGCCCTTGTCCAGAAACAGCTCGGTGCCCTCCGAGTTCCACACCCACACGTTCTCGCTCTTCTCGAAGCGCGTGTCCTCGAACAGATTCTGCCGCGGCACAAACACCTCGCTCGTGAAATCGAGGTCGATGGTGATGCCCTCGGGCGAGCTGGACTTGATCCTCCCCGCGATGATTTCGCCGCGGAACGGGCGGAAGACGGCCAGCCGGAAGGCGATGTTGATGTTCACGAGCCCCGTGCCGTGGCCGATCAGGCCCTCGGTTGCGGTGAGGATGTCCCAGAGTGCGATGCAGAGGCCGACCTGCGGGATGATTTTGTTGCTGTATTTGGTGTTTATGGCGTCTTTGATGGATTGAGGGGAGGGCTTGTTGAAGTCGTGCGGGGCCAGTTGGATTAGGTCTTCGATTGTGCTCTGGAGGGAGTTAGCACGTGATGCGCTGGGTGGGTGTCGTGGGGTAACAAGGCGCGACGCTTTCAAGAGTAGATAGCGCTCTGAATTTGGGGAGAGGTATAGAGGAGAACAGACAGAGTGAAAGACAGCTCATGAGAGACGGCGCAGTTCAAGCTGCCAAGAAAGGTTATACAGGCTGCGCACAAACTCAAGCAATACAACTTACAAGAATGAACATGATGGCGGCGGTCGAGGCTTCATGCTCTGCTTCTTTGACAATCAGGAGATCGGGCGTTGTGTCACCGCAGCATTTCAGTGGTGACTGAGAAATGTGAGCGCGGCTGGCGAATGACGGTTCTTTCCCTCCGCAGGCGCGCTAGCGCTATCGATAAGAAAAGATACAGCTGCGGACTTCCGGCGCGTCTCCACCTCGCAATTCTCGCTGGAAGTGTCTATCTGCACACAGGCATAGCATGTGAGGAACCAAGTCGCTGGAGTGCATACTCACAACCTACACAATGACGTCGTTCACGTTCCCTCCACCACCGCCACCGCCGCCAAAAGCGGCTTCGAACGATGCGCCGAGCTACTCGAGCCAACGCGGCGGCCCAGGTCGAGGCAGAGGCGGTGATAGAGGGCGGGGAGGCGACCGCGGTCGCGGAAGGGGTGGCCGTGGCCGTGGCGATCACAACTCCGGTCAAAGCCGCGGGAACGCGCATGGAGGACGAGGAGGTTCAAGAGGAGGCTACGGGAACAGCTATGGAGGGAACACTCAGCAGCCTCCGACATCATACGCCAACCCTGCGTTTGCGAACCAGCCACAAGGAGTCCCGCCGCAGATGAATCCGCAGGCCTTTGCACAAGCCATGTCGTTTATGTCTACGCCAGCCGGCGTGCAGTCGATGACGGCGTTCACAAACCGCATGTCAGCGCAGTACCCGCAGTCTCCGCCGCCAGCGCAGCCCGCGCCACGCTTCTCGCCCGGACAGCAGGCGGGCCAGAAGCGGAAGCGTCCAGAGTCCAACGCGCCGCACCTACCGCCAAAGAAGCCGTCGGGACCAAAGCCCCCGCGAGCGAAGGCAGCTGTGGCTCCACCTGTGCCGAGCTTTGGCTTCTCTCTCCCAGCGCCCACAGCGGCATCGAAAGCAAGCCAGAAGAAGCGAGTGAATCTGGGCCTCAGCGAGCAGAACGTCGCGGACGAGAGCAGCAGCGACGAAGAGGACGTGGACGAGGAAGCCGAGTTCGCCGAGAAAGTCAAGGTCGAGGGCGTCGCCTTCGAGCACAACGGCGAGATGATCTCGCTGCAAACCGCCGCCGACGTGCAAGCCTACATCAAAGACCGGCGCCGAAACTACCCCACGCAGCAGCGCATCCGCGACAAGGCGCAGGAACTCGCCGCGCGCCGCGAGCACGAGCTGGAATTCCTACACAGAGTCAAAGGCAAGCCCCGACCGACGCAGACCGCCCCCGCGCCCGATCCCAACCCGCCCCGCAAGCCAACCCACGCCGACACCGCCAACCGCGAGAAACTCGCCGCCCTGCGCAAACGCCTCCACGAAAGCATGCTCGCCAAGCGCCCGCCCGCCCCGCTCGTCGCCGGCTACGACAGCGACCCCGCGTCCGACGAAAGCTCGGTGCTGTCCGACTCGTCCGTGCTGTCCGAGTCATCTGACGAGGACGACGACGAGGAGGAGGAGGAGGAGGAGGAGGATGAAGCCAGCGACAGCGACGCGCCCCCCGAACCCACCTCGTCCAAATCCGCACCCCCGCCTGTCACTATCCCGCCGCCGCCCGCGCCGCCCGAGACGTGCAGGATCTGGGCGCGCGACGGGCGCTGCAAGTTCGGCCGCGGGTGTCGGTGGGCGCATCCGGCTGCGGAGAAGGGGAGCGGTAGGGAGAAGGAGAAGGGCAACGCAGGGGAGAAAGGTAACGGAGGGGATAAAGGTGCGGGCAGGGACAGGGAGGAGAAGAGGGTCGGGTTGTTTGAGAAGCTGGTGGAGCAGGAGCGGGAGAAGGCGGATCGGGGGGCGTTGGAGGCGATTAAGTTTCTGGGGCGCAATGGGTTTTTGGGGTAGTGATGCGTTTGGACGTGGCTGGGGAGGAGATGGAGGAGAGGTGGGTGTGGTTGTGGATGTAGGTGTTGATGTAGAAGCAGAATGATGCAGAAGATATGTCAAAGCATATGATGCAAATGAAGCACACGCCAAATCACACCCAGCTGAAGCAAATAATCCATACATACCACCATTCCTCACTCCCCAATAACATACCGACACCCCCCCGCCCCAACCCACACCTCATGCACCCTCCCCGCCTCGACGTCCCAGCGCGCACCCACGCCCAGCGTCTCTTTGCCTTCCCCTTCCTTCACTTCGCCTCCTTCTGCAGCACCCGGATACCGCATCGTCAGCGACCCGGAGAGGATCAGGTGTGTGGTTGCGGTGGCGTGGGAGTGGGGGGGGGTAGTGTGTGTTGCTGTGGTGGTGGGGTTAGAATTGCACTTATAGATGGGCTTGTGGATATCTAGGTATGCAGGTGTAGATGCGTATATGTATGCAGGTGTGTAGATGTAGGTGTGTAGATGTAGGCGTAGGTGCAGGCGTAGCTGTGTAAATGTGTATGTGTATGTGTATGTGCAGATATGTAGATGTGGTGGTGGTGTCACGTGCACTCACGGGCGATCGGTCCAGGTGAAGACGTGCGCGTAGCCCCAGGAGCGGACAAGGGCTTCTGCGTCAGCCTTGCTGGGGGGCTGGGGCATGGTGTGAGGCGGCTTGGAGATGTTTCAAGAATCAGGTAATGTGGTGGCGTCGCGAGGGGTGTGGTTTGTGTACACAATACCGTCGAGTTTCGATGCTCGACGCCTCGTTGACGCCTCGTTGACGCCTCTCTGTTCACGCTCGTGTGGCGCAGCGCGGGGTCAAGCCGTCGCGGTCTCCGCTGGACCCTGTGACGTCGGTCAACACGCTGTCAACACGAAGCAGGGTCTGGCAGCAACGGCTTGGAACGTTGAAGCAAACAGGTATGCGACCACTGTTGCGAGTATCACAAATGGTAGGCGACTGAGAGTATCGCTGCTGGCGATTGGTCGGTCACGGGTATGCGGGTGCCAAGTGCGTCGCAGCAGGGTGTTGACCGCCTGGCTCCCACCGCAATCGCCAACGTGCGTCGTCAACGTGCGTCGCGCCCGCTTCAGCTGCCCGCTACGTGGTTCAACGCGCCGGCCCGCTTGCTGTCGCTGTCTATTTCCTCCTAGACTGCGTCTTGCGGCGTGTGTTCTGTATTGTGAGCTCTGTCTGTCTGCCAGCTGTATTGTGAGCTCTCCCCGTCAGCTGTGTTGAGTGAGCTGACGTGTAGCTGAGCTGGCTCCCGACAACCTGCTCGTTGCGTGACCCTACGACCTCATCACTACTCGACATACTTCCACCATGGAGGCCAAACTCGCGGCCCAGGAGGCCAAACTCGCGCCCAAGGACCCCAAGCTGGGCACGCCCAAGACGGACCAGCCGCAGCTCCAGGCGGGCGGCGGCACGGCGGCCGAAGCACACAAGGCGAAGCAGGCCGACGTGCTCTCGCCGCTGGTGGTGAAGTACCTGCGCACCGTCTACGAGGAGATCATGCCGCGCTACGACCTCGCCACGCCCGAGGGCCGCCTGCAGTGGGTGACGCAGGAGCAGCAGGGCCCCGCCGAGGACGCGCAGCTGCTGCAGGACGGCTCCTTCACGCACTTTGCCGACTACTTCCTGTCGGATGCCGCGAACGCCATGGGCCCGCCGCCGCCCATCGACGCCTCGCACCCCCTCTCCAACTACTTCATCTCGTCCAGCCACAACACGTACCTCACCGGCAACCAGCTGTCGAGCGACTCCAGCACCGACGCCTACAAGAACGTGCTGCTGCGCGGCTGCCGCTGCGTCGAGATCGACGTGTGGGACGGCGAGCCGCCGTCGAGCTCCAGCTCCGAGGACGAGGCCGAGCGCATCGGCCAGGCGAAGCTGCCGCGCGACAAGGCGAAGCTGGGCTTCCGCGAGCGCCTGGCCCTGCGCCTGCGCGGCAAGTCGGTCGGCAAGGACGACGAGCCGAAGGGGGATGTTGTGTCGGGCGCGCAGGAGAGCGTGGCCCCGTGGCGCGGCGACTCGACCTACCGCGCCGAGCCCAAGGTCTACCACGGCTACACCCTCACGAGCGAGATGAGCTTCCGCGAGGTCTGCGCCACCATCCGCGACTACGCCTTTGCCGCCTCGGACCTCCCGCTGATCGTCAGCCTCGAGGTCCACGCCAAGGCCGCCCAGCAGGAGATCATGGTCGAGCTGATGACCGAGTACTGGAAGGGCATGCTGGTCGACCTGCCGCTGGACCCGGCCCACACCGCCGAGACCGCCACGCTGCCCACGCTCAAGGACCTCGAGCGCAAGATTCTTGTGAAAGTGAAGCGCGGCCACGCCAAACCCGCCCCCGCCGTGCCCTCGACCCTGCAGGCCCCTGCCCCGCTCACAAAGACCGAGTCCGCCACGAGCCTCGCCTCGACGCCCTCGGACGAGGAGAAAGAAATGCCCGACGGCCAGAAGCCGCCCCCGAAGCCCAAAGTCATCGACGCCCTCGCCAGATTGGGCGTCTACTGCGGTGGCTACACGTACAAATCGCTGACCGCCCCGGAGGCCCGCATCCCGACGCACGTGTTCTCGCTGTCGGAGAAGACGCTGCTCGAAGTCCACACCGCCACCCCGGAGACCCTGTTCGCGCACAACAAGCACTTCTTCATGCGCGCCTACCCCAAGTCGCTGCGCATCACGTCGGGCAACCTGCAGCCCGCGGTCTTCTGGCGCGCCGGCGTGCAGATCGTGGCGCTCAACTGGCAGCGCTGGGACTCGGGCATGATGCTCAACGAAGCCATGTTCGCCGGCTCCGGCGGCTGGGTGCTGAAGCCGGCCGCGTACCGCAGCGGGTCTGCCGCCGCGACGCCCGCGCAGGCCGTCGGCAGCGCCGTGCTCGATCTCAGCATCGAGTTCTTGGCGGGCATGGGCGTGCCGCTGCCGCCGGAGGAGGACGATCCGATGGACTTCAAGCCGTATGTCAAGGTCGAGGTGCATGGGGTTGCCGAGGGGGCGCTGGAGTGCAAGGCCAAGACGAAGACGTATCGGACCACGGATCCGGATTTTGGGCGCGAGGTGGTGGGGTTCAAGGGCGTGGCGGGCGTGGCGGGGGAGTTGACGTTTGTGCGGTATGTTTGTTTTCGCTTCCACTCCTCTTCTCCGGTTCTGGGTTCTGCGCGACGCCGCTGTTCGTACACGGTCGAGTCGCAGCTGTCCCTGCCCTTTCTCCTCCCTTCCCCCTCCTTTCCCTGCTTACTAACACCCCCCCCAGCTTCAAAGTCATGGACGACGAGCGCCTCTCCGACGACCTGGCCGCCTGGGCCTGTGTCCGTCTCGACCGCCTGCAGCCCGGCGTGCGGCTGCTGCACTTGTACGACGGCAACGGGGTGATTACCAAGGGTGCGGTGCTGGTGCGGATCCGGAAGGTGGTGAGTGGGTAGCTGTAGTTTGCGTGAAGTGGGGGAGGAAGTGGGGAAGGGGGGGCTGGTGCCGGTGCTGGTGCTGGTGCTGGTGCTGGTGCTGGTGCTGGCACTGGTATATATGCACTGGCACTGGCACTTGCACTGGCACTGGTACATACGCACTGGCACTGGCACTGGTATACACACACTGGCACATATGCACAGGCACAGGCACATACACTAACCATCTATCCTGGCATACGCTGTCTCTCTCTCTCTCTCTCTCTCTCTCTCTCTCTCTCTCTCTCTCTCTCTCTCTCTCTCTCTCCAACGCCTGCAAACCTCCTATCTCCTATCCCCACCCCTCGTTCCCGACCCCGACGCCCTGTCTCGCCCTCGCCCACGCCCCCGTCCTTCTTACCACCGACATCGATACGCATATCCATACGAATACGCATATCGATATGAACATCCATTCATGGCAGCCCGCTGATCCAGACTCCGCAGTTCCGGCCCCCCAACGCGAGGCTGCTGCACGCTGTGCCCCTGTCGTCTGCGGCTGTGTCTGCGCCCCTGTTGCCTACGCAGCGCTCCGCCTAGCAGGCGCGGCGGCTGCATCAACATCAGCACCAGCATCAGGATCGGGACCAGCAGCTGCATCAGGACCAGCTGCATCAGGACCAGCATCAGGACTCTCAATACCCCCGCCATCGCCACCGCCATCGCCATTACAGCGGCCTTGGGGCTCGTCGTTCACACGAGCGTGACCATGACCATGGCCATGTCCACAGCTGGGACTCTCGTGATGAGCCATACCACCTCCACCTCCACCGCTACCGCTACCGCTACCGCGATCCTAATCCCAAGACGCGGGGCGAGCGCAGTGTGCGGGCTGGTCTTGCGCTCGGGCTGAGGGGTGTGGGGTTTGCGCTGGGTCTTGGGGGGGTTGGGGGGCTTGGAGGCGGAGGTGAGGTTGGAGGCGGAAGTGGAGACGAGCGAGTGGGTAGCAAGTGAGTGGGTAGCGAGGAGGGGGGAGTGGGTAGTCTAGGAGAGGAGGGCTGGGGGGGGGTAGGGAGGGGTGAGTAGTGTGGGTGTGGCATAGCGACAGCGCGGTCTACGTCCTAGTGTGTATCTTGAGGGTATTGTTTTTTGCTTGTTGTTGTGCTTCTTCTTCTTCTTCTTCTTCTTCTTCTTCTTCTTCTTCTTCTTCTTCTTCTTCTTCTTCTTCTTCTTCTTCTTCTTCTCCCCCTACTCCTTCTTCTCCTCCTCTTTTTCTTGACGCACAGCACTCCACCATCCTACTCCACACCGTCCTACTCCAACACCGATACTCACCAATCCACCCCTGCCATTTCCCCCAGCTTTGTGTTCTCTGCTCACCTCGTTCTCCCATCCCCCCCCCCCCCCCCCCTTCCCCTCTATTTCCCATGTCCGTGTCCCATGGCCGTGTCCCATGTCCGTGTCCCACATCCCACACCCCGCGCCCCCCTTCCCAACCCACCACCTCCCTCAAACCCACCGCCCCGATCCAAAAGTCCCAGACCTTAAACCATTCGTGGTCGCGCCACACGTGTCTCCGCACCGACAGCCTAGACCGCGGGGCCGGAGGACGAGCGACGCGTAGGCCCGCAGCCGCGCATCTGTGGGATGTGGAGCGCGGAGGTGGAGGTTGGACTGCGGACTCGATTTTGAATTTGGACTCGAGACGGAGAATGAGGAAAAGAGGGGTGGAGGTTTGAGGCATGGGACTTGGTACGCGGCGCTTGGAGTCTGGGGAGTTGGATCTGGGGCTTGGAGTGCGTGGTGGGTTTGGAGGGGGGGGGGGGGGGGGGGTGGAGCTGGAAAGAGGAGGGAGTGACAAGGGAGATGAAGCGAGGAGGAGGAGTGCGGTAATACGAAGTGAGAAGAGATAGATAAGAGAGGCTGAGTAGAAATAGAGCATAGATGAGGCAGAAAGACCGCGAGGGAAAAGGGTGCAGAAAGGGGAAGAAAAGTGAGACAAAAGGTGTACACTGACCTTTGTGAGCGAAAATAAGACAGTGGAAAGAGTTAATCGGGGAGGAGTAGTATGCTGCGGAACGGAGGGAGGTAGAAGGAGCAATCGAAGACCATGGAGTAAGGATAAGAATGTTTTAGGAGAAGAGACAAACAGGAAACAACAAGATCAATACGACAAGACAAGACACCTATTCAATGTGCTTGAGAACCCGCAGCTTAAATGCCATGATCTCTCGCGCCCTTTGCACACTACAGACACACACTGAAAAGTACCACAAACCGTGCTTTCTCTGCCATTTCCCCCTAAAACACTCCTTCCGCTAGTTCGCTGTCACACCCCATATCCCCCTCATATCCCCTCCCGACATCCTGCTAGCACACTCCCACCTCGCCCCGACCTGCCACATACGCTCTCCGACACACTCACAACCAGTAACCCGCAACTCAGCCAACCCACCTCACCCAGCTCCAGCCCGTTCAACCCGCCTACTCCAGTCCCTAACCCGCACGCCGAATCCTACAGACGCACCGGATCAAAGCAGACCAGCGATCCAGCCCCTCAACCACGCGGTCCACTCGCCGCAGCAACTCACCCCGCAAAGCCGCAAACACGCAGAGCGCACACGTCCGAGATGCAAACACGCGGTGTGTCTGCGAGTCTACCGGTGCGCTGTGGCTAATATCAAGATGGAGAGGGTGTGGAGGACCTATGGATTGGCACGGGTACGTGATTCCCTACTCAATCACGTAGTGACTGGTTCAGCAGAGACAATGAGTGCGGCTAGACCGAGATTGAGGGGGGGCTGTTGTGTAGTTGGCAGAGAGTGCAACCGGGAGTGGCGCGTAGGCAGTGAGGAGGACAGGGCGGAGCTACAAGGAACAGTGTCCGTTGCGAGGCGTCCTGTCTCGCTGGTCTTCGGGCACGCATATCCTGCCATCTTTAATATTTTTTGTAGAGTGACTGCACAAACAGACGGCGTCTGGAAACACGTATACATCGGTGATTGCCAAGATATGAGGACCACCTCGAGACTAGCACGGTATGTGTAGTAGCCTTCTGATCTACAAGTAGTAGATAGCGCCGTACGTAGTTCCCGCCTTCATCCACGCCCTTCACCCAGCCGACCCAGCATCTCACAGCCACCTAAAGCCAAGTCCCGTCGCGATCTACACATACCTCGCAGTAGGATCCTGGATACAGCACGATCTGCCCATCCCAGCAGTCACTGCACCAGCGCTTTCCTCCTAGATAATTTTGTCCATCGCAGCAGGCGCGACACAGACGCCAGGAGCCTCTGGCAGGGTACCGCAGCCAGTGGAGTGAGAACTGCGGAGTTGCAGGCGAAGAGGAAGACTGGAGCTACAAGTACGGCGAGAGCGTGGAGTAGCGTCGAGGACGATTGCAGGGTCATAATTGCGGTAGCGTGGCGAGAGTGTAGAGTGTGGTGGGAACATGGAGGAGCATAGAGAAAGCATGAATTACGTAGCATGGCGTGAGTATAAAATCGCGTGGAGGGATGTAGTTGAGCACGACAAGACAGAGAGTGTGGGAAGAACATGACAATAGCATCAAGGAGTACAGTGAGAGCGTGGAGAAGCGGAGCGAGAAGATGGATCAACTGAGAGTCCTAAGAATAAAGAGGGATAGTGAGGTCAGGCAGTAGATTGTTGGAGCAGGAGACAAGCACGCGTGTAGTAGATCAGAGACTTGCTGTGTCGTGGAGTCCATCGTACCATAATTATATTGCTTCTTACCGTGGACTGGATCACATTCTATGATAGCATCTATCACATCGTCTCAACCTACATCTTATCTCTCTGTATGTGACGGCTTATCTCATCATGGACCACATCATGTTTCAGCATCCCTGCACACATCCTACATCATCCAACACAGACACAACGCGCGATGCAGGCAAAACCGCATGAAGGTTGCCTGCAAAAGATGACAATGTGCACTACATCATGACGGAAAACCTCACCGCGCCACTCCCATCTTGCGCCGATAGCGGAGTGCTTTTTGCGGCAGCTATTACACCATGATAAACGCCACACGGCCGCGTCTCAGCGCCGAGCGGTAAAACCAGCGTCGTGCGCGCCGATCGAGAATACGAGTCACCTCGTCAGCTGTAGCACCTCCTGCGCCTCTGGCCATCTCGCGAACCCAGTGTATTCCGACCCCCAGCTTCCGTGCGACACAACCATGCGCCTCGCCTGGCGCAGAAGAATGCCGTGCATCTGCCAGCCCGCGTGCGTCGGTCAAGGCAGCCGACCGCAAGCAGCTGACCCCCGGGGATGCGGTAAGCCAAACGAGTCTGGAGCGGGAGTACTTCCGCCCAATCCAGGCGGCTGTAGAAGTCCATGATCGAAGTCAAGCCGTCTGGTTGCACAAGATGATGACAGCGCTGCAGGGCGGGCGGTATAGGTTTGACTTCTCGGTTGAGACGGGTCAACGTTTCGTCAAGTCGGTGGTAGCCAACTGCAGCCTGAGAGCAAGCGCATGTGGCACACGTTAAGCAGCTAAGGTGAATGCCGCATCCGCGCGCAGCCCTCGTCGTCGTGGTATATTGCAGTAGCTCGGGTTGAAGATCACGATGTCAAGCACGCGCCAGATACTGAGACAACCCTCGCATTATGCTTGACACATCTGTCGACAGGTATGACAATTGAGTCTTGTCTTCTGCGGGTGGACCGAAGTATGGCGTCGAGTTGGAGATTTTGTGTCACAAGGCCACACCGTCATTGCGGGAAGGACATGTTGTGTCGTTGCGGTGCACGACGACTGAAAGACCTGTGGCAAGTTCCGCTCCGTGCAGACATCTCTTGATGTGGTCCTAGACCTGTTTCTGGAGGGCTGTGCTATCAACATCCGTACTTGACTGCCGACGAGTCAGTCCCTCACCGTTTTTGCGCTGTGTAACCGCAGATCAACCTGGTTCGTGTTCGAGTCGTTTGAGCAACAGAATACGGTATCCCGCGAAGGATCTGAATGTTCCACAAGCTAACGGGAGCTATGAAGAGCGGAATCTCGTACGTGTTGACTCAATTCAAGGTACTTCTGGTCAAGGCATGGTGTCTAGCGGTTCGGAGACATAGTGCGACGCAGCCTCGTTGTGCCTTCAATCGTCGATTGTCGCACCGTGCTACATGTCCCTACCAGATGAGGAGATACCTGAAGCTTGTCGTTCAAGTCACGCGTGTTTTCTGGAATCCACGGCGGGAAACAGGTCCGATTGACTGCTTTCGGGAAGTGTAGGTCTGACGGCCGAAGCATTGCACGCCTCAGATTATCTCGATGCCAAAACGCGGCGATAATCATCATAGTGACAATCGAGTGCCCAGTTCGTTGTTACAACGCACACCGACACTTGCGCTGAACATGTAACGTTGCTCCAACTTCGACATCGGTCCGATGTGAGTGAACGATTCTTGACTGACTGGAGAAGATGCAGGCGCTTGAAGGGATTTTCATGTATGGAAGACACCATGGCAAGTACCATTCACTGGTCAGGTTGGTGGGAGGCGTGATGGAGCAAGGTCTTGTAAGCGGAACGGTCCTTGCCTACCGAGCCGGGCGAAGCGTTACGCCACGTTTCTCATAAGTCCAGTTTCACAGTGCAACGAGACTTCAAGACTTGAAGCTCATTCGTCGCTATTGAGAAGCAATTCCACGAGCCTGGTACGCAGAAAGACGCCAATGCCATTCGGACGCGTTACCAACAAATCCAGTGTATGACCTATCGAGATCAAGTCGCTATGTCTGACTATCCGCGTCCCAGGAAGAGCGGTCTGAGATCACGAATCCAGAAAACTGAAGCTGCAGCAGTCGGCCCGGTACATCTCGTTGTGGGTCTATTCGACGAAAGGTTGATTATCGTGAGTTCAGGCCCAACGCCCAAGAGCTCGCCAGAAACGGAACTGCCCAAGATCATGATAGCTGGGGCGAACGGAATCACCGGAACTATAATCTCGGTGAGACGCACCAGACTGGTCGCAGCTGTCTATCACGACTCACTCTCACGCCAGTGATCAGTGTGGGTGCTCTTCCGCAACTATAAGGCTGCGTTTATTTTTCGTGTCAATTTCGCATACCTGCAAGCTTGCATGTAATTCGTGGACACTGACAGCCGTTTCAGCTACTGCCATGAAAAGAAGTCTCGGGGAAGGCGGCTGGTCTATATGCGGAACCGGGGAAAGTTCCCGTCGCGCTAGCGAGATTAGCGAGGTCGGGGAGTTGACGTCGGTTCGTATGGAAACGTTCGTTGCAGGCCAACTGTATGCGCTGCAGTGGGGCGTGCAGTGACATGTGCCGGCATCCAGAATCGATAAAGATGACGAGTCACTGTTGTGAAGCTCGACCCGAGTCGTGGATCGAGGTACCATCGTACACAATGTAAGTCAACCGTGCAACGACTGGAGCGGCCTGTGGTACAATCGTGCTCATGTGCCTGATGTATTGAGACGGCTATTGCTTGAACGAAGGCCCAAGTGCATGCGATCAATCAACACTGTCTTAGTCTGGACTAAGAGTCCCCCTCTTGAGTCTGTCGATAGTTACTTCCATGAGTGCGGGGCTGTGGGACAGGGCAGGGAGCGTTCGTCGCGTATCCTTGTGGCTGCATTAGCGCCAACTCTGAGAAAATGATAGATCTCATTTTCGAGTCTACAGCCTTGCCGCTGCTTGGGATACGGCAAATCAATCCTGATGAGGCTTGTATAGATCTGCAATGGTGCGACAAGCACCCGCGATGCGCCGCCGCCAGACTGGCGCCTCTGTTCCGCTGAGCCTAATGATAGGGTTGCTTTAGGGCTGTTGGCTGAGCCCACAGTAGAATTTAGCTGACAGGGATTGTCAAATGTTGTAGCGAAGATGTGAGAAAACGCCCTGCACGCACCGAGGACCAGGAAACACAAACGTACCCCTGTCAACCTCAACTGCTCCACCCGCAGCCTTCGGCGAGATCCCGGGTTGTGTTGAGAGGAGTAGAAGCAATCGGATGCTTTCGCTTGTCTTGGTAGGAGTTGGTTGGCATGTGTCTGTCCGCAGGCTCCATCAGAGTCGGTGGGACCACAATGTGCAAATGTTCCCGACGATACACAACGATCCTCTTCTTTCCCATGGCGGAGGTACATGAGGAAATGACTTCTCAAACCCTGGCACTGTGCTTCAGGGTCAGGCGCCACAAGCGTGCGTGCTGCAGCATGCAGCAACAGATTCGCGATAGGGCCTGTTGCCGTGCTGATGCTTGAGGGCGGCTGCGATACGTATAAAGTATCGTCTGCCCTCGTCTCGGATGTTCATCAATCAGCTCACTTCACCCTCAACCGTTCATAAGTCGCTCGCTTGCCAGAGACGCTTGCTGTTCTTCGCCATCATCAACAGTCAACGATATCATTCAACACTTACCAACTAAAACAAGACCGTCATGTGCCTTCCTTCTTCCATCGATCGCTTCGCCATTCCCTGCATATACGAAATCGAAGGCATCACCACCATGCCGGTATGTTGTCTTCTTGAGTACCACCTCGGTCGTTGATCAGTGGACTAACTGGGCCAGGTACCCGGACGCCGCTGCCCCGCCTGCCTAGAGCGTGGCGACACTGTATGGGTCATCCCTGGAAAATGCTGTCCGCAGTGTGGCACACCCGTTAACTAGAGGAACGATCCTTGTCTTGTGGTATGTGTACCTATCAATCCGGTGTCGACATGTCGCTGACTGCTTTGCAGGCTTTTGGTCGAAAACGCGCTTTCTTTACACTCGGGTTCTGCTTGACTTCGTATCCATCGGCGAATATTGGTAATGGTGTGAAGACTCTCCTGCATTTCAGCCCGGGCGGGACACTGATTACATTTACTGTTTTGGAGTTAGATGTGGCAACATCAACGGCAGCGAACGGACGCTCACGATAAAAGTTGATCTTGTACGATACTGAGAATAGACAAAGGATTCAGTTCAGCCTGCAATCGAAGCAATTCGTTCGACGTGTGTGACGTAATGATCCAGTGCTGTTCGCAATTGTGAGGGATTCGTCAGTTTTGGTGCCGCTCTGGCCCGCAATCTTGTCCATGCTATTGCAAGTAACATCGGGAGGTTCGATGCCGAAAACAGGCTTGTACTACCAGGAGTCACGCCATGCTGAGAACGTGTCTTGCTAAGTGAGACCTTGCTAGGTGAGACGTAGTGTGTAGAAGCGTACGCTCAATCGTTGCATAACGAAGTGGCAAACGGAGTTTAATAGCAGCGTCTGGTGACGAATGATCATCAGCTGGGTTGGCAATGATTGAGAGAGGTGGAGAGATCAAACAATGCAGTCAGGAGGCGACGTGACATGTTTGCTCTGCTTAGTCACGGCGTTCGAGCAGGGCAGGAGCGTTGGAGAGGAAGGTACCGCGATAGGTCCGCCCCGGCCTGGTAAACTCAATTGCATGTCTTGATGAAGCTGGAGGCGGTGTAACTAGGACTGAAACCGGCAAGATTTAAGAATGCAGCTGTGATTGTGGATATCTCAGATCAACCAAATATCATGTACTTGAAGTTAAGAGCAGCGACACGCCATCCAACTCCAATCGCAACCTAAGGCCCTGGGCGCCTTGCGTCGCACCCAATGCTGCAAACGCCTTCAGAGTCTTGTCCAGATTCCGTTTCTAATGCAAAATGTGTCATGACAGTCATATCGTGTGTCCATAGGGCACCAGCTATTTGCCTCCATCTTGAAGCCTTCCTCTAGTAGTCAAGAACCTGCCCCACAATGCTCTGTTCTCTTGCGGCGGTTGGTGTAACGATAAGTTCTGATACCCAAACTACTTGTACCCTTGCTGCCGTTGCTGTTTTCGCTGCTCTAGGGGACGCTGCTCCGTCTGGCGCTGGTGCTGGGTCATGACCCACTTCATCTTGTCTCTTGTCTCTTCCAACGATTGCACCAATCGGTCTGCCTCGCGCTCCTTTGCGGGCAGCGCCGCCTTGAGCTTGTGTGCCTCTTGGACCAGATGATCCATCTCCATCCTGTGCTCCTTCCTGTATTCCTCCATCAGATTTGTCAAGGCGCCTTCGCTGCGTGCGTTTCGCGACAGCTCGTGGTGGAGTTGGTCGCTGACGACTGCTTGCCGCTTAATCTTGTCGCGGTCTTCGAGTCGTTGCTTTCGCAGCTCGTTCATGCTTTCGCTGATGTGCTTGATCTTCTTCTCGTAGCCTTCGGTCATGCGCTTGAAGCCGTCTCGCGCCGTCTCTAGCTGAGTGTCTGCCATGTGCTTCGACTCGTACGCAGTTGCAAGCTGGCGCTGTGTTTCTGATCGTGTGTCGCCTAGCATCTTGAGTGCCTCTTCTGCCCTTTGCTCAGCTGACTTCCTTCTGTGGATTTCGGCGTCGAGCTGGGCTTTCATCTCTTCCAGCTTTCTGTCTTTGCGCTCGATCGCTCGTGCGTTGGTCTCTGTGAGCAGCTGCAGGTGCTGCAGCTCGGCTCGAGAGTCCTCGGCCTTCGTTTTGGCAGCCGAGATGCGTGTGGCTTCGTCCTCGCGTGCGAGCTTCTCTGCTCGCAGCTCTCGTCGTAGGCGATCATTCTCGGAGGTGATCTTATCGATGTATTGAGAAGTCTTGGAGTTGCCCGGCGTGCTTTGCGGGTTGCTATGGGGATTGGGACGAGCCCACTGCGAGCCTGGCGAGACGGGGGAGATTGGTGCAGCCATGTTGGGATTCTCGACGGCGAGCGGTCCAGAGTGGTTTCGTTGTGATGTGTAGGACATGGAGGCGGCAGGCGTGCGGCGGGCGTCGTCTTTGTTTGTACCGGCGGACCCGTTCATGTCACGCCCTCGTGTGTACTGCGCGACAATCTGAAAACTGAGCTCAGGGATTCGCGGTGCTGGTACTCAGACACACATGTTAGCATCGAAGCCGTTCGCCGTAGGAGCGCTGCGGAGATTGGAGCGCGCAGAAATGCCAAATGTGCTGTGGATAAGGCTGTTTATGCACCGCTAGATTGATGGGTGATGCAAGCCGTGTGTTTGGGAAGGAAAGCCGCTTACTTACCAATCTGGCCTAGTGGCACAGGGGGTCGTCCCTGCCTCTTGACAGCGGGCAAGCTGAACAGGCGCCACTTAGCCTCGCGATCGCTTTCCGCTGACATCTGTAGGTTGGTGAGAGTCCACGTCTTGACAGACATTGTGGACGAAGAGGAGACGCAGCCAGAACGTTGTGAGCCATTGAAACTCGTGCGAGGACGAGAGCAATGCGTTGCTGAGACAGCAGCTCCTCGGGGAACATCCCTCTCCAACGAAAAGCAAATTTCTTCAGATACTGCCACCACGTCGTACCTTGCTTGCGACCGACGTAGTGGCGCGACTGAACGTTGTTCTATTGCATGTTAATTTTTGTGTCAAAAGGAGATTGCTGTTGTCGCTGTGCTGCCCATCTTCGGTGATGAGCTGTACAACCTGCACGGCTCCACCGTCGCCTTGAAACGCTCAAATGCTTGCTGCACCCTCATCCCTTCATACCTTCTAACTTCTTACCTCCATACCTGGCATCGTCAACGCCCTCTCTACTTGATGGAGATCGTGCATCGCTCCCACCAATCAACGCTGCACAGCCTGCGAAAGCGGGGCGCCACCCCAGCAACCAGTGCAGAGTATCGAGTGACGTGTGCTCCTGGCAATCCTCAGTGCTTGCGCGTACAGCACCATCTCACGCTCTCTCGTCAATAAGCCATACTGACGATCGGGAGAGTGATTCAGCGGGTTTCGAGTAGCCCAGGCGCCTAGGCAAGCCTTGAAACAGCCATAAGTTTCGAGCGCAGAGGCGCCACGAACGGTCCCAGGGTTTGTCGCTGGAGGCAGGTGAAACGAGGACTGGGAGATCATGCGCGCGCCTGGATAGGGGATGAGTCGTGTGTCGAACGGTCGTTCGCAGATGACATATTCTAGGGTTGTGGCTAAAGGGCGGGCTGCTTAGTGATGTCGAGGTTGTTGGGACCGGGGCGTGACGACATCGTTCTGGACAATGAAAGTGCAGTTGTGGTGCTACATACGGGTGACTACTCAAGGTCCTATCTCCAGCGTGAAGGACGGTAGGGATTCGAGGATTTCTGCCTTGTTTTTCTGGTCTAAACGGTGTTGTATGCACACTGCTGACCACCATGGTTTCGATAGTGGCAAAAGTCGACGTGTGATCAGCTCCGCCCTTTTGAAGTGCCTACCAGTATGCGCCTTTTTGCGGGGAATGCGAGTATGAGCCAGAGAGATTATAAATCTCAGAACCTCATGGCCTTACCTCCGCTTCCTGCCGCGATATCTTGCGCTGTACACACAGGAGTGTAATGTGGCATTAGTATAAAGTAGAGCTGTCTGACCTCGACGATCGACATCACCATTGTACGCTCTGAGTAAACTACCAATCACACCTCCAAATACTCTGCTGCCTTCCATAATCTGACGACAACCATCAACGTAAGGTCCGTTGTCGGTCCGCCATCCACCAGCTTGTTCATATTACTATCACGACTCGCATATATATATCCTCAAACTGCACCCAGCTAAGGCCTCACCCCCTCAACTCAAGCCGTCAACACAGAGCCCAACATTATGTCCGGCCAATACACCCTCTCCCACCCCTTCCTCGCACGCGCCCCTCTCTCGGAGCCCCGTCCTCTACCAGCAACTGCGAGCGAGACAACACTGCGTCGCGACTCCACCGATACACTTGACACCATCGCCTGGGAGAAACAGCAGTTGCAACCGCAGCCCGGTCGTTCAGGTTTGCGCGCAGCGTTGTCGCGAGCAGCGAAGAAGCTCTCTGGGGGCGATGTGAAGAGTGCAGGTGAAATAGACGGTAAAACGAGACCCGGACCGGTTGACGTGTATGTTGTCGGGAACTATGTTGCTTGTGTTCCGCGTAATGACTGTCGTTAATAGCAGAGAGGACGGTGGAGGGACGGGACTTGGGAAGGGTGACGGCGTGAGGAGGCTGGAGCTTACAGGTGCTGAGAGGGAAAGGGTGGAAGTAGCGAGGAACACGTGCTCCATGCCACGGGGAGACTGGTTAGATGGAGGGGTGGCAGCTGATGCTCGACTAATGCGGAGGACGAGGTGAACGAAATGGAAATTTTAGATGGTCACTTCTGAAACAAATGAAACGGATATCATTCCTCGGTATATACAAGCCATGCCTTTTGATTCTCACATTTATTCTGTGTACGGCGAATTCCTCAGCTGGCTCTTGGTGAAGGGTTGCTCGCTCTTGATCTCGTCGTTGGCCAGCGCCTCAAGCTTGCGCTCGTTATCTTCGTACGCGAGCTTCTGGTACTTCTCAATCACAGAGGTCATTGGGACTTGGCTACCAGCGGGAACGTTGTAGGGCGAGCCGGCGTTCATAATCCTGTGTGCGGTCAGCTGTAATCCTATCGCTGGGTCTGTTTGCTGGAACGCTGGGCGCCTCCTTAGTCGGCACGTACTCGGGAAACCTCATATCAACGTATTCCTGGGGCTTGGCGTTGTTGAACAGGACGCGGTCCTCGCCCGCCTGCTCGACCATGCGCACGTGGAGATCGTTCCTCTTGGTGCGCTGCTCTTCGAGTTCGGTGTACTTGTCCACAAGGCGGGTAAGGAAAGGTCGGTCCTGGTCAGAGTTCTTCGACACGAGGTAGAGGCCCATGCCAGCAGGGATCCAGATGGTGGCCCAGAAGAAGCCACGCTGCCCAATTAAGTCAGCATTCACTCTGTTGTTCTCATCCAGCATTGCGCGGGGCTCCGAATCGCATTTTGAACTGGCAATGGGTGGGTAGACATACGCCCAGAGACTCGTTTACGGGGGCAGCATGGCCGTGGGCGTGCTCATCGTGAGCGTAGCGGCGCGTCTGGCGCGAGAGGGTGGTTCGGCTCGTCCGCGCAGCGGCTACTGCTGTCCTGCGAAGCGACTGCATTGTGTGTGGGGTTGCTATCGGTGGATGTGACGGAGCTGGTGATGATGAGCTTCGAGGGTGGAACTTGCCGAGCGGACGCTAAGACCCAATCGGGATTAGCCGTCTTCTGTAAACGCCCTCATCATCTGTGGCTGCCTTATAATTCCATCGTTTACGTGTATATATAGGCTACTGGTCGCCTTTGCTATGTCGCCAGAGTCAGATTATGACCGGCTTCGAGGATCTAGATGACGATGTGTTGTATGTGATCCTGGACTTTGTAAGCGCGTCTCTCATCGATTTGATTGGCTACTGACAGCAAGCAGTTGTACTTGGAGCGATTCGACATTCTTCAGAGCTTGCGACTCACCTCATCACGCTTGAAAGACTTCGTCGATGCCTTGGCTAATCGGACTGTATCACTTGTCGATGATGAAATCCACGAACGAATCACCTATCGCTTAGTCGAACGGTTGACCGACCCATCTGATAAGATACGTTACCACGTACGGGCTTTAAATGTTGTCGACTTCAAGGGCGATGAAGATAGCTATTGCCTCAATACCGCCTTGATTGCAGACTGTCTGCGCCACTTTCAGAGGCTCGATATATTCAACTGGAAATGCGATGCACCGTTACCCTTGAAACTTCTGGACAATGTGCAGCATCGCTTCCCCCGAGCACAGTTTTGTGCCAGTGTAAAATCGATCGACCAGACGCTACTTTCCATACCTCAACTCCATCGACTGGAAGTTTCAGTACCGTACGGAGAGATTTCTGGCGACCAAAGCATCTCTCTGTTCCGAGCCCTCAAGCAAGCACTGCTCCATCTTCCCAGTCTTCGCTACCTTTGTCTCGACACTCATCAGGATGCCACTGTTGGTCGTCTCGAAGGGGCTGCTCTGGATCGTTTGCAACTTCCATTGGGGCTTGGTGACCAACTGCCATCTTTGGTGTCACTCCATCTACGCAGTAACTACTACGTTTTTGACGTTGATCATTGCAAAGTCTTGCTTGCGAGTGTAGACTGCAATACTCTTCGCAGCCTTACAATCGGCGCTCCCAACCCGACCGCCTTCTTTGAAGTGTTCATAGGGAACTTGCCTCGGCTGAGCTACCTGGATATTCCATTCGTACCCGCCAGAGATAACCCGATAGACTTCCGTCTCCAGGCATGGACGAATTTTATTGCAAGGCTCGACAATCTCAAGGAGCTTGTCCTTCGTCTACAGGACTTTGATGTGCGGTCAGGTTTTGCCAAGATGTTGGGGGAAATACATGGACCTTCACTCTCTCAGCTAAGCTTGCAAGCAAGACAAGTGGATGGCCTAGGTCCTCATTATATCGGCAACATCCGCAAATTTCTATGGAAGTTCGTGAAATTGCGATCTCTGAGCATGGCGTTCCCCGACATCCGAAGCTATCACCGATGTCCTGAGTGCGAAGGCCACCAGTGGGGCGTAAGTGAACACCAACCCGCACAAACAGAGATCTTGCTAATTCGACCAGGAACCAAACCACTTCTCATTTGTTCCTCCGCTTCCCTCCCTGCGCGACGTCAACTTATCCATCCGAGCACCACCAAGTGAGCGCGCTCTGTACACGTACATCAACAAGCACGCTCACTGCGCCATCTGCCACCTGTGGGTCACTTTTGTGGAGCGATCTGAGTCGCAGCTCGAAACACTCAGCATACGCTTCTGGCGATGGGAAATGACCGGCCGTCAGACGTGTCTCAAAGAGGTGATCTACGATACTACGCGACTACGCGGGCGGCTTACTGTCAGGGTCCGGCACAATCGAGAGATTCCTGTTGTGGTGTACAAAGAGGTCTGGGAAGAAGTTCAGGACCGCAAGATGTTGGTGGCTTTTGAGGTCTGAGACAAGCATAGTTGATTGCAATTTTGGGTGGAGGTACTTTTAGGGACACAACGATTTCTTCGTTTAACGATATGCTGTAGGCTAAAAAACTCAAGATGAAAACGTGTCAACTTTATCTAAGCTGATGCACTGACCTGTGCAGTGGCAGTCAAGTTCGAGATTGTTGGCTGTGCTTTGGTCTCTTCATCCTTGCGAAGCTTCTCTTGCAAGGTTTTGAAGTTGCGTGCCATTGCGTTTCTTGTGAACTCTTCACCGGTGACCAAAGGATACTTCTTCAATGGGCCTTGGATCTTCGTGTCTCGAGACGGCTGATTGAAGAAGGCTATGCTGTAGCGCTCACCGTAGAAGTCGCCAGGCTCGCATGGCGCTTTCACGCGATGGAATGTGGACTTGAAGCGATCGTCTGACCACGACATGAGCAGATCGCCTACGTTGCAGACTTCCAACTTGTTAGCATTTGTCAATTTTCATGGAACCCATGAGACTCACCAATCGCGTTCTTCTCGGCATCGGGCTCTACCTTCGTCCAGGAATCCCCGTATCCGAATGATGTAGAAAGCTCGCGGCCAGGGCATATCTCAAGGCCAGATTGGCCGGCCTTTTGGAAGAGCATGGTCAACATGCCCCAGTCTGCATGTGCTCCGGCTCGGTGGAAGATCTCGCCATTCGCGTTCGGCAGCTGCGGTAACTCACGGTAATGAAGTAACCGGCACACTGTTTGCGAGTCAGGACGCGAGATGTCGTGTGCTTTGACGAAGTAGTCATCCTCGAAGCCTAGACCACGTGCGAAGCAGACCATGAGCTTCTCGCTGACAGATTGCACTTTATGCATGAAACTGAGAGATTCCTGACGGAAGCCTGGAAGTGTCTCATCCGCAAGCCAGCGACCTGGTGTGAATCAGCGAGTGGCCACTAGATACGCAGACTTTGTGATACTTACCATTCATACCCTCCCCAAACTGCATCTGATAGGACTCTTTTTGATCGGCCACACCAGTCGAAGGACGTATTTGCGAGTTTCGCTCCCACCCAGCATTGTGCTGAGGAGAGAACGGAACCTGTGCCTTGACACTCTCGTCTTGTCGGAAAAAGCGAGCAGATTGATCGAAGATTTGATCAACAGCTTCATGAGATATGCCGTGGTCGACAACGCAAAAGAATCCAACGTTCTCTGCAGCATCGACTAGTTCCTTAGTAATTACATCAATGCGGTTGTCGAAATCTCGAAGCGAGATTGTTGGCACAGGGCGGTCAACGTATTTGGTGGGTGCCATTGCAAGAGCGTTGAGTTCGGCTTGGCTGAGCACGTTGCTGAGAAGAGAGAAACGTAAGCTTGATTGACGACTCAAAGCATGCTCTTGCGCTTACCCATTCTTATATTCGGCCATGCTCGGTAGCTACGGACGAGGGCAAAGTAGGGCGTCTAGGAAACGCTCAGACAGCAGGTCCCGGTCTCTGTCGACCCCGCGGCAAGACGGCCGAGTAGGTTAACGAAGGCCGAGTAGAGATCTACCGTACGCTGACACACGTGATAGGTCGGGCGTTATTGGTGGTCCCGATAGCCACGGTAGAGCGGCGGAGGCGGGGCAAGCTTGCTAGTGCATGATAAACAGGGGATGGCCGAGATGTCCGTTGCCTGCCGACATCTCGGCCGTCCGTTTCTCGGCCGCACTCATCTCAGAGTTCAACGGCAACACAGACGCGCTGCCCGTCACGCACTCCTACTGAACTGCGCATCAACTGGTGTCTACACAACGAGAAATAATTCATCAGCCGGTTCTTGTCACGTGAGAACTGACCAGCCACTACCTAATTCTCGTGCTTCAATGGAGGAACCGTCGAGTGTCAAAGGTCAACGTCTTCGCCTGACTTGCACAGAATGTTACCGACGCAAGATCAAATGCGACAAAAATATACCATGTAGCACATGCGTCAAAAGGTTTGTTCTGCCGTGTCTATGTACGCAATTGCTAACCCGGTCCAAGAGGTCACGCAGATCTATGCACTCGTGAAGATGATAATGCGTCTACAACAGGAAACATGGTTGGAGAGAGCGAATCGATAGTGCCTGATGCTGGGCTCGTTCAAAACCTGATCGACCGTGTGAATCAGTTGGAGGCCCAGCTGCTCTCTCAAGCTGAAGGTGCACGGGATGATTGTGCTGTTCTGCAGCAGCCTTCAACACCCATCCCACGGACTCCAGGTCAAGTTGGAACAAGTCCTAGTGGAGACCATACTGGACCAAGTCCACACCCTGACCCTAACAGTCCCGGTCCGGAGCAAGTAGCTACTATTGCGCACAACGACGAGGACGCTGCGACAGTTCTTGAGTTCCTCGCGTGGGGCCGTAGTAAGGATGCCGACTACGGGACGACATCTCGGCAAACCAGTCGCTTCCTGTTGGCACAACAAGACAATGACATCGCTCACAATGCCATAGCTGAGGGAAGTAAGCATGCGACACTCGATTTGCTCGAGACGCTGCTACCATCACAGATCCAGATTCGTGAGCTTGTCAGCTACCACAACACATACATTCTGTGGTATCATGGGTCTTACTCATCATTGACGTTCGATGAAGACTTAAGAGAGTTTTTGGTCAACTTCCATGGGGATGTGCGACACCCTGATGCAGACGCCCAATGGCTGGCGCTCTTGTTCGCGATTCTAACAGGCAGCTTGGCTTGCGCGCCATCCGGCATCCGGCAGTCTTGGGGCTTTCAAGATAGCGAGAGTCTGGTATTAGCCCGTCACTGGTATGAGGCATCTATCTTGTGTCTTAATGCCGGCAATTATCTTGAAAGACACTCCATCAATGCCGTTGAAGCCATCGCCACCTTGACGATAGCCGCACACATACTCGGCAGATCCAATAGTCAATCGATACTCCTATCTTCGGCTGGGCGGATTGCGCAGAGCCTCGGTCTGCACCGACTTAATGCAGATGAGCGATCCTCTAAAGAACAGCTACGGAAGAAAGAGGCTGGTAGACGCGTCTTCAACCAGTTGTGTACACAGGACTGGTTTCAAATCCCCTTCTCCGAGTCGTACTCACTGAATCCGCATTTCATCTCCACTAGGAAGCCCGCAAATTGCAATGACGACGACCTCGAGTCACAACCCGAATCCGTACCAACGCAAGCAAGCTACTGCAACTATCGATACGACATCGCAGCACTAATGCCTCAGCTTCTCGATGCCACATCTAAGTGCAATACGCTGTTCACCAAATATGAACAAGTACTCAAGTACGACGAGAAGATGCGGAGGCTTGCGACCGAATCCATGCCAGCATTCCTGTCTACAAGTGCAGTTATTGCACCAAACTGGCCGGTATGGATTGGCTGGGGTCGACGATCAATAGCTATCTGCGCGGCGCACAAGATCATTATGATTCATCGAAAATTCCTTGGTCTTTCATTCACCAACACGGCGTTTTCCTTCACTCGTCGCACATGTGTAGCTGCAGCAAAGACAATCTTAAAAGAGGCTCTATCTGCAAGTGATCAAAATGGACCTGTCCTATGGATAGAACAGGCTTTTTCGGTGGCAGCCGGAATCGTGCTCAGTCTCGACATCGCCAACAAATCGCCAAAACAAGATGATCTCGATCAGCATGCGGCATTGATGAAAAGCACCATCGGCTACTTGAACAGTTTCAAGGGTAGTACAATGGCGGCCCGTGGTGCACTCCTTCTTCACAATCTACAGGAGGCGATCGAACGAGGAGCTTTCCATGGACTAGGGAAAAGGCAGCGCGATGTCGGAACGACTGAGACATTGCGACCAGCGAAGAATGCGCGTCTATCCAACGTCCCTCGAGGCGAGGCTCACACTCAGCGGACAATGAGGACAATGACGAATACTGCATCAAGGTTTGATGGTGCTTCAGAAGGCATGACATGGGACACGTCGACTTACCCATTTCCGATTGACATCACACTTGGACCCCAAGACCTGTTCGATGATTTGCTATCACTCCAATTCTGACCTGTCATGACGTAACATCTACAAATTCAATTCAGAATCGGTCTCGCAAAATCCAATCTCCGATGCCCGTGACAATTCAACCTCACTGTCCGCCGATGACCGGATGCCTTGCTGCATCTCCATATCCTGCAGCAGCCTTATCTTTAGGCAGAATCGAATTTAGAAATACACCTACAATGGCCGATATCACAAAGGGTGTCTCGACTGCGAGGTTGATTCCCTGTTGAAGACCAACCAGACTTTGATTTGGTCCATCGTATGTGAGAATCGAGGTGAACCATTCCGGTTGGCAGATATCCATGAATCCAATTCCGAGCGCCACGGTCAAGATGAATCGATCTCGCCGGGTCCACGGAATCAATGCCAGCACACGAATACCAGCCACTGCAATTGTCGAGTACAGGAAAACTTGCATGCCTCCTAGGACCGAGGGCGGCATAGAAGCAAACACCGCGCCAAACTTTGCGATAACACCCATTAAGATGAGATATGCGCTTGCTGCCCAGCCTGCGCGTCGGGAAGCACAGCCAGTGAGAACAATGACTCCGTTGTTGCCGACCTGCGAAACCATTGGAGGTCCAGTGGCGAATGCACTGAAAAGACTGCCGAGGCCGTCGCACAATATACCACCCTGTACACGGCTGCTGAATTCAGAACCCTCGATGTCTACGTCTGATAGCTCTGCCGTGACCAGAATGTCTGGGATGCACGATACGGCTTGACAAGCAAACATGATGATCAGGGGCAACACAAGTGTGCCGTCGACGGACAACTTGAAGGTGTGTACCCACAAGAAGGTTCCATTTGGGGCACTAGTAAGCTGTTCGGTTGACCAGTATCCAGTGGCTCCTGAAATGGCGCAACCCACTGCCAGACCGATAATGACCGCAGCAGACCGCATCAGTGGTGCCCCGATAGCTTCCACGACGACGATAGTCGCGAAAACACTGAATCCCAAGCCAATCAGCTTTGGATCTCCCCAAGGAAGCGGCTTAGGGGCTGCGATGCTCGGACACAGCTCATAGAAGCCTTCTCCTCCGTGGCAGTTGGAAGAGCCTCCCCAGTTCTGTAGACCGTTCCCGATCAGGTATACACCAATCAACGTGAGAAGAGATCCGGTGATAAGTTTTGGGAATATCTTATTCAAGGTCTTGGGAGGCACGAAAGCCATGCCGATCTGAATCCAAACACAGCAAAGCATAGTTCCAAGTACCGCCCCCCAGGCTTGCGGACAGGCGCCCTGTGTCCCATCTTCAGCTACAGGACAGGAACCGGATTTGTAACGAAGCGCCGCGTAATTGAAGACGATGGGAAGGATATCGAACGTTGGCCCGACGACACTCAAAAGTCCGGTGCCAATGAAAAAGGGCGTCTTCGTAATGTGTAGCCGAGTAATCTGCAGGGCGGTCGCGATACCAGTGGTTATGAAAGCAGTCGATACCAGGTACTGTGTCATTCCGGGCTCGAAGTTGAACGCGCCCGACGCAATAGCCAGAGGCGGTGAGACTATCGAGCCGATCATACAGAGAGCATGCTGGAGACCGAGTATGAGCGTCAACAGAAGAGGTACACGATCGTTCATGCCATAAAAGGGGGCCTTGTAGTCCTTGTACTTGCGGTTCAGCGGCCAGATGTTGGGCGTTATCAGGTAAAGGTAGTCCTGGGTTTATTAGCATTGGCAAGGAGTGGTATCTCTGTTAGAGCTCACATAGTCTCCCACCCATCCGTCTTTCGTGGTGAGCATATATTTCAGCTCCGCCAGATGTCCTTGCCATTTTGTAGTCACAGTTCCCTCTTCCTGAGTGCTTGTTGGCGAGTAAGTATGTTGATCTTCCGGTGTCTTCGAGTCCATGATCACGGTTCTGGTCCTCAATGATCCACAGACAGGACGAATCCATATTCACTGACGACCAGCATAGGTATATAACTACCTTAGACCATGACCAGCAACCAACGCATTGTCCGACTCCACTTCCCCGTCAATCTGGAGATAGGCGTTCATTGACACCGGGGTACACCGTAGCGACGTCGCTAACGTTAATACGTTGTCCTCTCAAAAGGCCTTTGATGCTACCTTGTTCAGTGTCGGAAGATACGGTCCAGATAACGATAGATACAGGTCCGCAAAATGAGGCCGAAGACTCGGCCGTGCAGGGATTGTATGCCACTAGCCCATTCTAGGTCCGACGGTGACCCACACTCACGTTCCGAGGTTCAGCTGTAGGTTTGTAGCAAGAGTCTTCCGCAGCTCATTATTATGGATCTTTCCCTCCAGATGGAGTGCCTACAGCGACCCCAGTCACGTATGACCTCGCCTGAAAATCTTATAACTCGAATCTCGGACGGCGAGCGAGCACTTCAACACCATGATCCAAAAGCATCTTGATGGGCCCACAACACGCCTGTTTATCCATGCCACCATTATAACTGTCAATAAAGAACGCGAGATCTTCCTCGACGGTGCAATCTTAGTCCAAAACAATCGCATTGCAGCGATCGACAAGACCGAAGTACTGATCTTGAATGTCGACGACTCAACCGAGATCATCGATTGCTCAGACAAGATCATCATTCCCGGGCTGATCAACACGCACGCCCACCTTGCCCAGTCTTTGTTACGGGGTCTAGCAGAAGATCTTCCACTTCACAATTGGCTTTGCGATGCCATCTGGCCGCTTGAAGCGAACTATGCAGACGAAGATGGCTATACAGCTGCAATGCTTACCATAGCGGAGATGCTCAAGACTGGTACAACATGCTTCCTCGAAGCCATGCTGACACATCGGAGCGGACTCGACAACGTCGTACGCGCTGTGCAAGAAACCGGGATAAGAGCCTGTCTCGTAAGACCCCCCCCCCCCCCCCCCCTCTCTCCAAACAACAACGTTAATCGAATCCAGGGCAAACTCATCAAAGCCGTGGAAACAAACCCCACCCTCAACCTCAAAGACGCCCGCGACCGCGACGTCTCATCCATGTCCCTCGCCAGCGCCCTCGCCGCCCACACCCAACACCACGGCTCCTGCGCCGACCGCCTGCACATGTGGTTCTCAGCCGGCACACCGCGGGGCACGCCCGAGTCCGCGCACGCGGCCATCGGCGCCGCCGCGCACGCCCACAACATCGGACTGACCATGCACTGCGCGGAGGCGCCACAGGACCTGCCCATCTACCGCGCCGCGTACGGCTGCAGCCCGTTCGCGTTCTGCCAGCGCACGCAGCTGACGGGCGCGAAGAGCGTGTTTGCGCACGTGGTGCATGCGGATGCGGCGGCGGGCGACTTTGCGGTGCTGCGCGAGACGGGGAGTACCGTGTCGCATAATCCGACGAGTAATCTCAAGCTGGGCTCGGGGGTGGCGCCGGTGCCGGAGATGCTGGCGGCGGGTGTGAATGTGGCGCTGGGTACGGACGGTGCGCCGTGTAATAACACGTACGATATGTTTCGGGAGATGCATTTGGCTTCTATTTTGCATGGGGGAGTGCGCGAGCAGGCTGGTGTGATCACGGCGTACCAGGTGCTTGAGTTCGCGACGATCAACGGGGCGAGAGCGTTGGGTTTGGAGGATCAGATTGGCAGCTTGGAAGTCGGGAAGAAGGCGGATATCGTTGTGGTAGCGCCAAAGGGCGTTGGTTCTGCGCCTTGGGATCCAGAGCAGGTGCTGAGTGGGGGAGTGGATCCTGTCACAACGCTTATTCACTGCTCAGGCACCGATGTGGACTGTGTCATGGTAGATGGAAGAATTGTGGTCAGTGGTGAGAAGCTAGTTGATATCACAGAGAAAGAATTGGTCCAGCGGGCTAGGGTTGCGATTAGAGGGATACGGGAAAGAAGCGGGATCAAAGCAAGGAATCATATGGAGACGCGGTACAAATAAGATGGGTTAATCAATTTCTTTGTGTGGAAATTTCTTAGTATCAATCTTTCAATTCAGTCTGTCTTCTGGTAAGTTCACCAGTGGTATCCATGCCATCGAAGAAGGTCCCGCACAACTATGTACAGGTCCATTTGGCTTTTCATCATAGGCGGAAGCACCACTCATCACCAGTCTCACGGCCTGCTCAAATACTCTTCGAACATGAGCGGTTCCAAGACAATCCTCCTCGCCGCTGTCACTAGGTCACGCTTTATGTCCTCCGTGACCCGTGGGTAATCTGGAATGAACTCAAAAACATTCTCCCAGGTCTCGTTTAGCCCATTTCGAAGGATCAGTGTCTCCAGGTCCATATCTTGTGTGAGTTCTACGATTTCTTCAAGAAACTCTGGCATGAAGTAGTAGTCTGGCCAAAGAGTGTCAATGGTAAGACTCTTGATTTCTTTGCCGTAATGCGCCAGAAATGATTTCCCGCATAGTTCTGTTTCCCTATGATAGATGATTGCAATCTCAAGTAATCTGGGTAGTTCGCTTTCGGGTGGGAAAGACACTGTTTCATCTTCCTCGAGAATGCCGGATCCGTTACCGTGGTCAATCGTCACCGATCTCAACGCTGGAAATAGGGTTTTCGTGAGACAAACTCGTGAGCATGATCCATGCTGACCGGTCAGGAGGCAGACGGCATTGTATTTGTCCCTGAGTGTAAGTGACTCCACTTTTGCGAAGAGCTTTAGAAGAGTCACATTTGGCACAGTACTGATGAAAGCGTGACCTTCGCCGAATTCCACGGCTAAGTCGAGCACCCTAGGCTGTGCACCGGCATCTGACAGGGCCGAAAAAAAAACAAATAGACCGAATTGTGCGCCACGTCCCCCGTTTCCGGTGGATCCATGCATGTGTTCAGGAATCTTGCTTCTACTGCTAGCGCCAGCGGGCTTGAAACGTTGAGGCGGCAGAGACTCATCCGAGAAATAGGCAGCTCTCTCTATGTTCTTCAGCTTTTGCACGCAAGTCGCAAAAAATTGCACGAGCTTGCCAATCTCCAAATCATTGACCACACGATCAATGTTAAAGTCGTAGAACAGATCCGGGAACCAAAGGGTATCGTCTTGTCGTACTTCTCTGAGTCCGCTCGTAAGATCCGACTCAGAGGGTGTTGCCCGTAGTGCATGCGACGGAGTCTCACCTGAGACATTGCATGTGAAGTTGATATCTTTGATCCAGGGTGTCAGATTTGGCTCTGTCGAAACAGCCTGAAAGTTGGACATGCTCTGTCTGGATCGAATGTCGAACGTAGTCACACCAACAACCTTCCCGAAAGCTCTCCATGAAGCATCGCGGAACTTGCGACAGACCAAGCGAAACCGAAGAGCTTGTAATGTGTCGGAAACACGAGTATGCAGCTCTGCTAACAGGCGAGAGACCTTGTTGCAATCAGAATGAGTGGGCTCGGGTGATGAAACCTCGTCGACGGCGTAGAGGAAAATGTTCTCAAGGATCTCCGTAGGCAAAGTCTCGACGAGGCCCAGAGGTAGTACCTTTGTAGCGTTCGTAGAAAATGACTCAGTAGGGCTTGCAGGTTGAGTCTCGATAGAGGCCGCAGACAGTGCCTCGACACGGCTCGCAGACAATGACTCGGCAGGACTCGCAGGCTTCCCTCCAGTAGACGTCAAAAGAAGCTCCTCAATAGACTCCGTAGACAGCTTCCTGGCCAGGCTCGCAGTCAGTGGCTCGACAGGGCTTGTAGCCGCCTCGATCTGCGACGGCGACGGCGCCATAGTATCTCGAGTAAGTATGGGTGTTGCGGTAGCTGCAAAGTAGAGTGTAGTAGAGTTAAGAGAGGAAAGAGAAGAGTGTGGCGAGAGCTATTTACTTATTTGCCTGCAAACGCGCGCGCCAAGCCTGGCCACGCGACACGCGTTGAAAGTGAAGGCAGGAGCGGTCTGGCGACGGAGTAGAGCTCTTTCACCTACCGAGACGCGGTGACAACAGTGCTGCGCGCCGGATTCCGACAGTCTGGACAGTGGATCAATGCTGCACGCTTTGGTTTGTGATTTATGTGCACCAGAGCTGACCTCGATATTATGAATGGACTTCGAGGGCTCAACAGGTGAGTGAGTATTATCACAACAAGCTCGTCTAGCTCTGTCTCACAACGCCCAACCGAGAGACCTGCAAAGGTCGTAGCTGATTTGTGTAACTTGGATGATGGCGAGGGCACAACGCACCATTCCTCCCATTTGCCGCATCAAGCTTCTGAGTAGCGAACCTAGAATAGTGTAGGGGTTTACTGAGGAGATGGAGATGGTATGGAGAGGGATATGAATCAGGAGAGAGAGGGAGACAGACAAAGATAAAGGGGGATGTGGATAGAAATAGGGAAGGAGACGGGAAGGAGACGGGAAGTGAAAGTGTGGAGAAATAGGTGTAGATAAAGATACAAATGAAGATGAAGCAAAAGCATAGATATACCGCCAACGTTCACATCACTTATCATCACTTTCCTCAACTAGCTCACATGCACGCGCGATCAACAGCTGTGCTCCACAAAACGCGCCAGTAACAAAACAGTATGTCCTGTCAACTCTCACAAGCCAGTGCAAGAGCAGGAGTGTATGCGTGTCTTCAGCATCTGCAAACGGCGAGAAAGGTAAGATAGTCGCTCTCGGCGCAACAGGACTATCCATCAACGGGAGTGAGGATGACAGGAGTTGGAATTGCAAATGGGGTGAGTACAGAGTACCCGCCAACGGTGATGGAGGTTTAAACGGCGGTACGTCACCGCAGAACTCAATTGCTTGGTTGAGGGGATAGGGTTCGCCGGTTTGTGGGGTTCGATAGACGATCCATGTCAAGTGATTTACACTATGCCAAGCAACACATACCATGTCAAGCAATACATACCATGTCAAGCAATACAAGATATTGACAACAAGAAAGGTGGGGGCCACAGGTAGTGGAATCTGTATTGAGAGGCTGTGTGCGGTCTCTATTTCTACCGTAATTGGAAGCTTATTTAAGGTTCTGCTCTAGGACGCGTAATATTATACTATCCAGGGTAATATCCCCGAGGTATACGGGCTAACGTACGCGGCCGCATGGCGATGCGAACGGTTCGGCTGCGAGGTACGGCGGTTGCGTTTGTATGCACTGCTGGGGATGGGTTGCTGGACTGTCGTCAAGTCGGCGCGGCAGCAAGGTGACTCCAGCACGCGTTGTGTGCAGCTGCTACTGGCACCGGTCCCTTACGTCACTCATTGATATCATTTGGTCGTTCATTCGTCAATCGTGTCTTATCGCCGCTCACTCGCAGGTCGAGAGCATCTTGCGCAGCACGCCCATCAGGGTCCCGTTCTCCAGCGCGGCAGCCACCCTCTCCTTGTCCCCCAGCTGCTTGTTCACGGCCTCGTCGGTGCTGTGGGTGCCCTTCTTGATGCGCACGTCAATGCGGAAGCGCGGGGGCAGGGCCTGCTCGAGGCGGACGCGCACACCTAGGCCGATGACGGTAGCGAGCGAGCAGTGGGTGATGGTGGGCGTGATCTCGACGAGCACGGTGCTGATGGAGGAGCGTGGCGAGACCGGGGGTTGGATGTGGATGTCGGGCAGGTTGACGACGGCTAGCGAGCCTAGCGACAGCGGGTGCTCGGGGTCGGAAATGGTGGAGATGAGGTCTGCAATGCGACAATTAGCCTGCAGCTCGCGCGGGTTTGACATGTGACATGCCATAGATCTCCTGCTCGTCGATGGCCTCGACCACGTCATCGTCAGAGTCACTGGCCGACAGCGGGTCGTCGAACGGGTCGCTCAGGTAGTTGTATCGCGGGACCAGGTCGTCGAACAGGGCGGAGCGGCCATGGTCGCGCCTGCCTGCAGTCGAGTCACGGCGGCGAGAGGGCAGGTCAGAGGGGTTCAGAATGGTCGGGTTGGCGTTGTCCTTGTCGTCCATGGCGGCTACCGGCTGGGTGCCAAGCAAGCGTCTACGGTGTGCGTGCAAGAGCGGGATCAGGCTATGCACCTGTTGTCGCAACGGCTATAAGTCGGTGCGCGTGGTGGCAGCAATTTTTGGTGAAGGAGCGCGCCAAGACCCCCACCATCAGCTCGTCATCGCGCTCCGGCAAAGGCAGGCAAAGACAGGTCAGCCCATCACACCCAATGGCATCTCCACCTCCAAACGGCCGACGGCAGCAGCCAAGTCAGCCATTTGCCAATACGAATGGCAATAATCTCCCGATAGATTACCCGCTGTTACAGGGGAGAAGTCAAGGTTTGTGGGGTCGACGTTGCTAGTTGTCCACACCTCAGCACACCAAAACGTGCCTAGCGCCTCCTTCGAACACCGCCAGGAACCTCCTGCAAGTCATGTATTGCTTTCGTTTCTCACACCGTACCAGTTTGCCGCACAGACGGACCTTCTTCGCAGCTTTTCGTCACGGCCAATGGAAGCAGACCCTGCTGCAAGTTCGAGACTGCTCAGCACACCGTGGGCGGTTGGCGCGCAAGCACTGCGTTGCAGCAGGTTTTGCATGCTGCGACCTCCATGGCGAGGACGGGGAGTGCCTGGCGAGCTGGGGTGCTCGATTGGGGCAAGCATCGCTGCCGACTTCGCCTCGGAGACAGTTGACAGCTTCTGCCGCTAGACGTATCGAAGCTTACCCGTGTCTTCCGCAGCACCGCGTGGGAACGTCGCGGTGCTCTCGCGTGCCGCCATAGCACGATGCTGCTACTGACCACTTTCTGATGATCAATGCAACCAGGCTTCCCTGTGCACGTTCAGGCACACGGACTCGCCGAAGAAACCCCCTGCCCAAGTACCCGGTTCGAAGTGCCAGTAATGCGGTTGGCTGTACACGTGCCGAGTGCGCAGATTCCGCCATGTTTCGGTCGCGGGAGCAGCCGATCAGATTCGCATTGTTCTGCGAGATAGCACTGCAGATTCCTAGCTCGTAAACCGTATGGTGTTGAGATTTCTAAGCCGAGGCTTACTTGTCAGCGGAGGATAACGAGGGCGTTATTATGCCCATGGAACAACCTTGTTACTCCGAGGATGCTGTCAAAGCATCTTCTGGACCAACAGTCTGCAGTTGTCGCCCAAATTATTCCACCCTTAGCGGGACACACCGGTTGATCAGCCGCAGCGTTGTTGCAAACAAAAGTCATGAGAACAGACCCGGCAATTTGGTACATACATACGCCGTCAGCTGTGCGAATCGCGCAGCGGCGATGGTGATTTGGAGGCTTCATGCAAAGTCATGGTCCCGCGCTCGGCTCAAACAGTGCCGCCCCATCAATGTCGCTGTCAGGCTTGCATTCGTGGAGGCGCCCGACAAGCGTCGGTGACGAAGGAGCTGTGACTTCGAGAAATATCGTTTATGCGGGCGGCCCTTGATGGTGAGGCGCCTGCCGTCTGAGCCCTGCATGATGGCCGCTTTTAATTCGCCGAGGTAACATCAAGATGGCATCCTAATGCGGCGATGGTTCTGCCACAAGTGCAGGCGGGATCATCTTCATGCCCAACCAGGCGGAAAAGCTCTGTCAAACGCAACATCGAATCTCAGATCGTGGAGACGTGGCCGGCGGATGCGGTGAGAGTCCAAAGCGACGCATCAGCACCTCCTGCATGGACCTGTGTCAGTTTCGCCGCAGGCCACGGTGGTGGTGCAAGACAGACGTCCTAAACATCGTTTCTGAATTCCGCCCCTGGACAGATCTGCTGATGATCTGAGCATGCTATGAAGGGCTGGAGCATAGGTCATCGCCATCGAAGCTAACACGGAGCGAGGCAGCGAAGTTGCGATCCGCTGCCCGCCAGGCCGTTTGCAGTGCTGACGACCATGGAAGCTTCAAAGCCTTGCCATGGTGCCATGTGCACGATCCACTCTGGAGGCAAACGGCGTCGACATCTGAGGAACAGTTTAAGTTGTTCGAGACGCGCGACCGTGACTCGGGCCTCGTAATCGCCTATCAGACGCAGGCCCTCGAACCCGCGTGTGTGAGACGTCTAACGGGCGGCAGTGTGGCTCTGAATTTCTTGCCGCACGACCCATGTAGTGCACCCGCCGCCTTTGTCGTGGTCCTTTCGACGTGCGTACGTTGAGAGGGACAGTTGCTGAGCAGTCTTGCGCCAAAAAAGCTGAGTGAGAGTTCTGTGTCGCCGTGCGACCGGGTCCGCCACCATCGTCAGACGCTGGCCCGTTGCTCGCCGGCGTGCTTAATAGCAGCGACATCCTTCAGCAGAGCGCGAGCCGCGATTCTTTTCACGTCTTGTTCTCTGATCTCCACTTTGCCGAAGACAGAAGCCAGCACACCCCTACGGCCCAGTGGCAGACACCCCCACAGCACCCTAACGGCAGTTCCCAGGTGCTACGGCACGCTCCTGCAAGTCGCATCCATCGTCCCCTCACGACAGGGCGTTCGTTTAACCCTCGCCCGCCCGGCCTGCATCTGCCCCTTCAAACACTCGTAGTCTGTACACAGGCGCCACTGCACGCGGGAACCACGCTGCGAACCTGCAACCCTCGAACATCGATCCTCGAAATCCCGGCATGCCAGACGTCGACTCCACCTAGGTCCCTACATGCTTGATCTGCCGTATATCCTAACATTGCCCGGCACCGCGGAGATTTCCCTCCGCTGTAAGAGTGTACATTAGCACCATCCGGCGACCTCATTTTACCCTCAGCTGAACTTGGACGCCCTCGACTTTGTTCGGTCTCGTCACCGGACAGCGGCCTAGATTTCACCAGCCAGACGCGTCCTGCGATTGGCCGGTCACCGCCTATACCACATCTAACTAGCGGTCCGCCGCCAACCCCGCGATCGCAACCATCAACGCCAGCAGCACAGCTGTCAGCCTGAAGCATGCCAGAGACGTCAGGACGGCCATTGCTGCCCCAGACGGCGCAGATGCAGAGTTTCACTTTTGCGCCGCCCACGCTGGCGCCGCGTGAAAACCAGCGCAGTAAGTCGGCGCGTGTCGCAATCACCTGCCGAAGTGGAAGGTGTTACTGACGCGCTGAGCAGACTATGTCTTTGTCGACGAGCACAACAGACACAAACGCCTCAAAGGTAGGAGACGTGAATGCGAATCACTTTGCGCTGCTGACCTGATGTAGTAATGAGAGCGTGTGAGGGTTGCCGTCGGCGTAAGATCAAATGCGACGCTGCAACAACCAATGCCTGGCCGTGCGCCGCGTGCATCCGCCTCAAGCTCAATTGTGTACCACCCACAGTCAGCTACGACAAAGACTTCAACGGGAACTCACAGACGTTCGAACTGGAACCAAGACCCGAGGACTATGGCCAGCCAGGCCCACCTGCTCAACATGACTACCCTCGTCATCACTCGATGCCGCACATCATGCCGCACCAGATGCCACCAAACCTACCCACGCCGGTCTCTGGAATGTACCAGCCTTCACCCTACTCTGACCCGCAGTCACAGGACGCCATGCAGTACCCTGCCATGTCTCAGTCACAGCAGAACATGAGCTATCCCCCGCAACAGGCGTACTCTCAATCCTCCGCCACGGCGCCAGCGATGGTTATGACTCCCCCCGAGACGGAGTCTCACTGGAGAAGCGAGTCTGTAACAAGCCTGACAGACGTTCTGGGTGAGCTCAGGATTGACCACACCGCCATTGCGCCCTACATCACCAATCAAAAGAAAGCGCTGGCAGAAACGCCTGCGCAAGAAGAGTACGAAGTGCAGCTTCCAGCCTCCGTCAGCCTGGACCACATAGTCCGCATCCCACCAGAAATGATGCCCTCGGAGGAGCAAGCCCTGCACTACTTCGAATACTTTTTCGCCAACATCCACCCTTACGTTCCGGTGGTGAACAGGTCTTATTTCTACCAGCAGTGGCAGAGTGCGCGCGACTCCATCTCTCCGCTCATGCTCGAGGCTATCTTTGCATGCTCAACCATGATGCTGGGCGACGTCGAGGAAGGCAACAAATGGCTCGCTCTCGCCTCGAGTCAGTTTTCCGTCCAGACGCTCTAGGCTGCTTGTACTGACATCCTACAGAACACGAGGAGAGCTTCAAGGACGTTTCTCGATTAAGCACCATGCAAGGAATGGTTCTTCTGATGAAAGCCCGCGAAGGCTCGCCGAAACGCGGCTACTTCTGGCGTTCCTGGATGGCAGTTGTTAGCCTTACAGCGATGGCGAAAGATCTGGAGCTTCACGAGCATTATGACACCCACCAAATGGGCAAATCTTGTGGTTCTACAGCTCACGACTGTGTCGCAAAGACGCGAGTCTGGCAGATGTGCATGGTGTACGAGGCCATGATTGGCGGTCCCCAAGGTAAGCGCATCGCCAAAGCTAGCGCAGCCAATACTTACATATAATAGGTCGTTACGACTACAGTGTTGATCTAGACACTGTGGACTTCGATATGCCGAGACTGATCCCTGGCCAAGATCCCACAGAATATCAGGTCGCCCGCCAGTTCATTCAGTATATCCGAATCGCCAAGAATGTGTATCTTTCAGCCTTGATGTACGGGAAGCTACGCAAAAAGACATCCGAATGGGCACTGGATCCGGCATTCGTAGCACACAACACCGATTTCTCCCTTTGGCAGCGAGAACTACCCGATGACCTCCAGATTTCCTATCCTCCGGATAACTCGCCTCCCTGGATCCCGTCGCACTATCTTGCGAACTTGCACAGCTATCAGGCGCTTGCAATTGTCATGCATTTCAGACCACAGGTCAATGCAGTAGCAGAGTCGTACGACGGTATCTGGAAGCAGCACATGATGACATGTTACTCTGCTGCAAAGACCATGTGCAAGCTGCAAGAAGCGATTCTGAAGACCTACGGCATGCCTGGCTTGTTGTGCATGCTGCGAGGCATGAGCTTCACAATCTACGCGGTTCTGACTTGCACAATGTTGCATCTTGTAAGTCTTTGACCAGTATCTCGTCTCGCGTCAGCTAACAAAGTAGGTTGCAATCACCTGCCCTGACCCAGATATCAACCGGGATGCTCGAGACTTCTTTGTAAGGCATATGCGTGTCCTGGAGACTTGTGCGCCATCCTTCCCGATGCCCGAGATGCAGGCCCAGGTGAACAGCTTACGCCAAGCCTTCTCCGCGGACATCACAAAGCCATTCGAGCTCAAACCAACTTTCCCATTCGGAAGTCCGCAGGTCGCTCCTCAGTCAAGCCCTTTGAGCAGCCAAGGCGCGTATCGACCTCGTCATCCGAGTCACCCTTCGCCGATGGAACAACCAGGTCAGATCAACTACCATGCCCACCCCATTACTCCACCGATATCGGCCTCAGACCTCGGTTCGAAGACTGACTCTCCTGTAGCTCAGTCTCTGGTCATGATGGCATCTGGTCAGCGTGCGCCACAGACGAATGCGGGTATGCACATGCAGGACAATGTGCAGTGGAACCCGCAACGCATCTTTGAGTAAGCTGTCGTAGCCTTTGCCGCCATTTATTACAAGACTAACATTTTATAGTCAATGGAATGTAGCCTTTGGTACGCCTCCCCCTACCGCGTCCTCCTCGTCATCCCCGCCGCTAAGACCCCATCCTCCAGGCACGAACTACGACATGCGTCCGCAGGATGGAAACTCGCCGAACTACCAAATGTCGAACGTGTCGCCACAGCAAAGCGGAATCCAAGGAACACCAGGTCATCTCCCCCCGGCCTCGAGTTATCCAACCACAAACCCATCATATGTTACCCCAACCATGTGGCAAGAGGTCGTCGCAAGCTCATTCCAACCTGGATCCAAGCGAGGATGGGATCAGGGCGGCGCAGCTGTGGTCGATCAGTCCATGTACAAACGATCACGATGAATCACGAGTAAAAGCGGAGCGCAATATGTGCGAGGATAAATTAGAATCGACGCGCTGAGGTCACTGAGCGTAGTTGAGAACGGGTTCGGCTCTGCTATCATGCCTTTGTCGCTAGCAGATCGAAAGCACTGGTGAAGTGGGGTGTCGGCGCGCTGACGGGCTGTTCTGCGCAATCGCACCGTCCAGGATCGCGCTTTGAGGCCAGGCTATCGCGATCAAGGTGCTGCCACCATATCACTTTCAAGGATACTGATCAAGGACGGAGTTGTCCGACTACGATCGCGATGTGTGTGCTGCGCGTCAGCATTTTGTGTGGATGGCTCAATACGAGACGAGCATCTTGGGCGCTACTGGAAACTAGCGCAATTGTACAGTATCGATAATTCGCCTTGCATTACAGACAGGGAACGACGAAAACGACGGGCACATGGGACAAGGGTCAAAACCATCTGGAATGGTCGCTACTGTACATTGTAATGCACGACTACCTTTGGCCGAAACAGAGCGGCCTTATTTTCAATCGACCTTCCTTTTTCGTCCATGGCGTTACTCGAGCTGACCTACAACGAAGCGGCCGCCTCCGGCTGCGTTGATACCTGACAATCAACATGAACAACACTATTGTTGAGCTATGATCTCACTCTGATATCTTGATCGTCTCCTGACGTAGAAGATGGTTGCAGCCTTTTGCAGGGTCGCGCGGTAACTTGTGGAAGGAAGACAGATTGCAATCTCGTCCGCCACTACATACAAACTTGCCATATCACATATCATCACATACAGCGACGTGATTTCTGCATAAAATTTACGACGCTCTATGTCTCTTCATAACAAGCGAGCCGTTCCCCCCACTCAGCAGATACACCTACAACCTACATTGCAGTCTTACGCACGCTCGCAAGCCACTAGCATCACATCTACCTGACCAACCTCAATCTACGACGTTGGATGAGGGGATGTTACCAGCGGTACGGGTCGTTCACCGATGTTGACCCAATGAGCCTTAGGCACGTGGGTGATTAAAGCACACTGCGCTTCAACGTTTCTCCCTCCATAATCCTTGCTGCGGTCAACACAGGCAAGAGGAGGCGACCCATATCCTAGACAAATAGGCGACCTTCCAGAAAACCTGCCTGGCGGTACCTGCATGGGGCGACGTGGACACACCCTGCAATACCAATTGAGGAACCACACAACGTAAGCGGGCTGCAAACCGCCCACCCACCACCTCCTTCAATTCTACTGATTCAAGTACAGCCCGTGCTGAGGCACTATCGAGGACCCTCTAACACGCTGCGATCCCGAGGCACGTTCGCCTGCCCTGATTGGCTCGCCAAGAGGATTTGCATGTGAAATGGCGCACACTCTGACTTCCTTGTGGCTGGGCGCCAGCGCACGGACTCCCTTGTAGAGAGAGCCCGCTTGCCTTCCTTGGGCCTGACATGGGCGCGCAAGTGGCACGCGTCACTGCACGAAGTCGACGCACAGCAACACGGGGAAGTAGGCCTTGAGACTGGTTCTCGGCCTGGGAGTTGTGTATGCGTTGCATGCAAGCGCTGCAGTCGTGGAGACGCACGCCAACGCCTACTCATCTCGCGGCTCGCTCGCGCTCGGCCGGCACGTAAGGCTGAGCCAGCCTCGCCCGTCGCTGTCGGGCCTGATATCCAGACCCCAGAGCAACAGCGTCACGGTTGACACCCTGCACTACCGCAGCCGCACCCTGTCTCGCATCATGTTGACGGCCACGCAGCAGGGCCGCAGCGTTGTGCCAGCCCTTCTCTGCTCCCCCAATTGCCGAGTCATGCAGCCGCAAACACCTCTCCCTTTTCCCCGAAAGCCAGCGGGTGTCTTCTGCCGGCGTATTGTAGCAAGTGCAGCCTACGCTCACCCGCAACATGAAGCACAGGCGCATCCTTCCACGATCCTGTTGCATCAGGACGACGCTGCAGCAGCTGACGAAGCAATACGTCGAAGCGTTGCAGCAGGATTCGCTAACCAGCCGATCTTGCAACTGCGGAGCCATCGACGTCTCCACGTTCCATTGCCACCGCGGGCGCCGTGCGATTCGATTGCCCGTGTCGGCGCGCACAACGTGCCGCCCAGATACACGTATCCACTCTGTCCATGCCATGCCACTGCCACACGGCGTGTCCCGCATCCTTCATATGGAAATCTTCGCCACGGTGTGAACGTCCACTGCTCATGATGGGAACCCTCGGCGCGCCTTCCCTGTCCTCGACCATCTATCGCCTCCCCTACGTACAAGTAACCCCCCCCCCCCCCCTGACGACCATCCCTCCAGCCCATGCACCCAACTCCCGCCCCCATCAGCCCACAACCCACAACCCACAGCCCACAGCTTATTGTACACTACCCACAGCGCACCCACAGCCCGCGCACCGCACCGCACGTGCGCAGCGGACCCCCTCGACCCCACTTCCCGAGCCAGCAGGCGTCGCCGGCGGAGTCGCAGAAGCCAATAGCCTGAAACAGGGTTTTTGGGATCGAACGATGTTCGCGGCGCGCGCGGAAGGGTGCGTACAATACTGTATATAGCGTGGAGCGTAGGTAGTGCGTGCGCGGAGGGGCGGTGCGCGGATGGGTAGGTAATCTTGTAGGTGCAATTGGGTGGCGTTTGGGAGTGCGCTCGGATAGGCAGTTTTGAGAGTGCGCTCGGATAGGCAGTATTCGAGAGAGTGCAAGGCTGCGGACTGGACTGGTCTGGTCGCGCTGGGCGGCGGCGCGGTGCGAGTGCGAGAGAGGCGGGTTGCTGTGTACACGGTAAAGGTAAGGGGAGAGGGGTCGGGCCGAGTAGTTTGGGTGGCGTTTGGGCCGTGGGGAGCTGTCCGGAGAGCAGAGCGATGGGCTCTGGGTGGTGAGGTGTCCGGAGTGCAGAGCGATGGGCTCTGGGTGGGTGAGTCGTGAGGTCTATTCTTTCACTGTGGTTGCGGTGTTGTAGCTTCTCGCGGTCTTTGGGGCTTCTCGAAGGTGAGTTTGGGCGGGCGTTGGGGGGCTGTTTAATACATCAATGGCCGGGGAAACATTGGTGGTAGGTGTTTCGAAATCCTTGTTATAGGCCTATATGTTTCGTTTTACGAGTCTGAGTCTTCGATACAGTGAGGAGAGGTACAGTGGCTGTTGAGAAGCAGGGACGCCTTTGTATCGTCCGCCATTGCACGGAGAACGTAGACTTTGCCGAGCGGTTTTCACTCAGATTAACGGTCTTGCGGCCCTGCGAGGGCGAAAGGTGACCATGTCTTCTCATACTGTCTCGATGAACTAAGCGCTCGTAGGCGCCGATACATCGTTGTCTGTCCGTCCGAACGGAGACTTTCTGTCGTTATCCTTAGTCTTTCCTCGTGTGGCAGAATTCTTTCATCCAGCACGCATCTTGTAGTCAGAGGTTGAGTAGGCGTTGGATGCAGTACATGTGAGGAATGGTGCGTTGTGCCATTATCCTGGTTCCATGGATCGATCAAGAGGTTCAAAAGTCTTGCAAGGTCGAATACTCCAGCAGAATTTGTTGCCAGACGCAGAAGATGTGAAGACAGTCATGCCAGCCAGATGCACGTATCGACAGACACCGATACGAACCAGCCAATACGTCCCCCCAAATCGCCAGCCTCCCACTGTCAGTGCCTCCGCACTCACGCCCCAGCAAGCCAACCCCCTCCCCGTTGGCCTCAAACTAAGGACTACCACGGGCACAACTACACAATCCCAGACTGCGGGGTGTACATTGCACTGCGCTCTCCGTCAGGCTATGCGCCGCTCCTCACCCCTGTTGCTGCGTACAACACAATATGGGCGGAACGAGTAAAACGAGCAGATTGCTTAGAGCAAGTAAACGACTTAACTAGTATCCCGCATCCCCCACACACTCCACACCCCTCTCCGTTCACCCCTTGTCCCTTTCTCTACTTCTCTACTTCTCCCTTTCTCTACTCCTCCCCTTCTCCCCTTCTCCCCGCCCAGCAGAACCACCACCGCGACACCCCGCAGCAGCAACGACAGCATACCACGGCTCGCAGCTCGCAGCTCGCAAAGGACGAGTGTAGTAGACGTATGGGCACGCGTTCAAAGTTTGGGAGTGTGCTTGGATTGCGCTACGGTCGACTTAGGTCGGTGTTTTGAAGGTCTGGGAGTGGTGGGGAGTGCGCTGGGGCGGGGGCAGTGCCAGTAGTATTAGTGACAGTGGCGGTGGCAGCGGCGGTAGCAGCGGCAGTGGTAGCAACAGCAGCAGTAGTAGTGGCGGTAGCATCAGCATCAGCACCACCACCCCCCATCGCCACGCAAACCACCACAAAACCAATTCTCGGGTACACACACCCGTACCCAGGAGTATGGTAAACAACCCGGCCACACCCTCCCGCCAAACACCAGATGCCGGGACAGTGGCTTGATTGCTACCCACAGATGAGCGCGTATGTTCCACGGACAGCGGTAGGGTTCTGAGTATAGGCCTAGGCTGATCTGCGGGTCTGGGCTGCTGTTGTGGTGGCGTGAGTAGGTAGGAGGAGGAGGAGGAGGAGGAGGAGGAGGAGGAGGAGGAGGAGGAGGAGGAGGAGGAGGAGGAGGAGGAGGAGGAGGAGGAGGAGGAGGAGGAGGAGGAGGAGGAGGAGGAGTGGCGGTACACGACACCACCCCACACCATTCGTCCCATGCAGTATGCAGTATGCCCCCGCACCGGGCTTCGGGACCGCACGAAGCGCCCCGCACCGCGACCCCCATCGCCTCAGCCCACCTTACCACGCCGTGTTGTGTCGAGTGTACTGCACCAAAGCTTTGGAACCGTGCGGTGGCGTTTCGCACACCCCATTCCTAGTGACCCATAACCGTCCCCATTCCCGTCCCCGTCCTCGTCCTCGGCCTACCCGTCCCGCGAGGTTGCGGCGAACCCACGAGCTACCTGGGTATCTGCAGAATCCCAGCGTCCTCGTCTTGCTTGGAAGCGACGCGCGCGGATAGAGTACACCACATGCAGCACATCACACGCAGCACACTACACCGCAGGACGCAAGCGCTCGACCGCTGCAAGTAGAAGACCGGGTACAGGTGGACATGTAGAACGCAGCCACCTCAGCACCGGGACCCAGACTGTGCACATCGAGATCGAGACCTAGACTGTGCACCAGGACCCAGACTACGTCTTCTCTTGCATCTCCTCTTGCGTCTTCTCTTGCGTCTTCTCTTGCGTCTTCTCTTGCATCTCCTCTTGCATCTCCACTTGTATCTTCTCCTACATCTTCACTTGCATCTCCTCTTGCATCTCCTCTTGCATCTCCTCTTGCATCTCCTCTTGCATCTCCTCTTGCGTCTTCTCTTATGTCTTCTTTTATGTCTTCTTTTACGTCTGGCGTCTCCACTTACGACTTTACTTGCATCTCCTCTTGACACCTCCTCTTGCATCTCCCCTTTCACCGCTTCCACCCCTTCCACCGCTTCCACCGATGACACCGTAGACGCTAGCAGACTTACCAGAAGACATGCTAACAGACTTACTAGAAGACATACTAACAGACTCACCAGAAGACATACTAACAGACTCACCAGCGGACTTACCTATAGCCTATACTCCTAGCTATGCTCCCATACTCCCAAGCCCCCAGCCCCCAGGGTCTAGGTTCGGGCTCAAGGAGCCAATCCATACACATACATACACACACGTATATATCCCAAACACACACTCACGGCTCTAATAACAACTATCAGACTCCCTGGCTTCTGGGCTATTTTAGATGCAGATATCAGTGCGCTTGTGCATGTGCATGTGCTTGAGCTTGTGCGTGTGCATGTGCGGGTTTGTAGTAAGACACAGGTCTTGCGTCTTTTTGTGGGGGGCTGCGCGGGGTTTGGGAGTGGTAAGGGGCTGCGGATTCTAATCCTAACCCTAACCCGTGGTGGAAGGGTGGTGGTGCTGAGGGGTAGACAGCATAAGGGGTGAGAGGCGTTGGTGGGGTGTGGACATAGGGATCTTATGGGATGGAGAGGGGGTGTAGATGAGGTGAGGGAGTACGGGGGTTTGATTCTTCTTTGCTGCTTCTACAGGTCCTTCTGACTCTTTCCCTTTATGTATCTCTCTTTCTTCTTCGTCTTCTTCTTCTTCTTCTTCTTTTCTTCTTCTTCTTCTCTTCTTCTTCTTCTTCTCTTCTTCTTCTTCTCCCCCCCACCCACGACATACCCCATCCCCCGCTCCGCCCGTCACACGCCCCCACACCAACTAGAAGCTCTACGCGCACACTTCCCGGGGTGCCCACACGCAACACCCCATCTTAACCCCCAAGCGCTTCACACCGCACTACCTAAGCATCTGCCTACCAGCACCAACGCAGCCAGACGCCCGCTGTACTTCCTCTACTACTATCCGCACGGCCGCCGACGCACGTGAGCACTATCGTACCGGACTCCCGACACGAGCGCTGCCGGCAGCGCTCGCAGCACGGCAAGCCGTCTCGGCACGCTGCGGGCCGGCTGCAGCGGGCGGGATAAGCGTGTGCGACAGCGACGCAAGGGGCGACGCGTGCTGGCGCGGCGGGCGAGTGTGGGGGTTGGGCTGAGCTGAGTATGTGGCGGTGGTCGTGGGCTCGAGAGGTTGTGCGAGGTAGCGCGGCGGTTAGGCACGGAAGGGCGTGGTGGTGCAGTGGAATGGAAGCTTTTCTTGTGCCTACGGACACGCAACGTGGGTGTCTGATACGGAGGGCGTGCGTCCTGACAGCTGTGGTGCTCGGGCTTGCCGCTTGCGCTTGACAATCTGTCACGAGTGCGCCGGTGCTAGTCCTGGCGTCGGCAAGGGCTGGGTGGTGCTGGTCGTAGGGCTAGACAGCGCAAGGCTGGCGTTCGCATGCAAGATGCTGCAGATCTGGCAGGTGTCGCTAAGCTACTGCACGCAGATCCATGTTCGGCATTCGATAGGTCTGGCTAGTCCGTAGCCGTCGGAGCTCTGCTCGCGGTGATCGTCATTGCGACCAGAAAGCTGCGTAAGAGACCGGTGAGCGTGGCTTGTAAAGCGAGAATGCAAGATCGGTGGGGCGAGCAGGTTGGAGCACGTGGTGTTGTTGTAGGGGATCTCACCGCTTCTTCAGCTGTGCGATTGGTGAATCTGCGCTATTCTAGCTCTTGTTCGGAGAGACGTGACGAACGAGAGTCTTTTGCTGAGTTGGTGTTGAAGCGTGAGTGACACGGCGCAAGTCGAAGTTTGTTGTCAACTCCTTCCACGTTAGTGAATCTGCAGCGACGCTCTCGCAAGCAGTGACGTACGTTGGTGACACAAAGACGCGGCTTTGGTTGAAAGAGAACTCCAGCGCTAAAGCTTCCGGGAGAACATGCGCTGACGAAGTGTTCCGTGATATCTTCAACCAGTTACCAAAAGGGGACTGCGCACCATCGTGCCGACGGAGCGTATTGGCAGTAGGATCGTTTTAAAATTGGCAGGATCACCATCCAGTACGAACAGCTCAAGAGGAACGACGAGAAGCGCTACTGCGTCTCAAAGTGCAGAACCGACATGTCAGTGGAATGTGGTGGCGGCGATATGACCTGCCTTTGCACAGTATCGCGTCAGCACAGCGAGCGATACGCTGATGTACAGGGCCACCCTTTGGGTTTTGCTCATTGAGGCGGTTCCAAGGCTGGTCATCCTAATTCTCCGTGATGGTGTGTCGACTGCGCCGCACTAAGCGCTCGAAGTTCATGAACGCCGCGCAAGGGGCTGCCACCACCCCACTTCAGCCTTGGGCGGCCTCCGGATCTGATCGAGCTCCCGGCTGCGATCTGTAGGTAACGGGCCGAGATGGAGTTGATGGCGAACTGTAAGCGTGGCTGGGAATTGCTTGACCCAAGCCTATCAGTAGAGCTGCTGCACGTTGCTGGAAATGCGCACAAATGACCTGCGCCAACTGCGGCTCTCAGAAACATCAAATCGGAAGCATTGGGCGAGTTTGGAGAGTCGTTCCGGTGAGTTGAACAGGCTCTGGTGCATTGCCTCTGCATCGACGCCAATGAACTCGGAGAGTACGTCGAGGGCTTCCCGGACACAGGGTTGGCTCATGTAGACTGTAACAGCAACCTTCGGAGTTTCCAACGTCGGTCTGACGACAGACTTGTGGTAAAGAATTGGACTTCGACATTACACAGACTTTGTGAGTGCAAAGAGGTCCATTGGAGACGTTGGATGCACATGCTCTGGCAGCATGTACCATGATACGCACATACGGGCTTAGCTGTCGGAGCCAGATGTAGCTGCGCTCGCTGTGGTTCGCCACGAGATGAGCTAGGAGGTACCGAGTGAAGTGTGACAGACGTCAATGCACGGCTAACGTGGCAGTCGGGTGGTAATGTCAGCTTTGGCAGATCGACAATAGCGTTCCTTCGAGAAACCGGCATTGTTTGCGTTCCGTGGCGTCCCGGTCCCGCATGAAGAGGCTTCGATGTGGGCCGCATGAAGTTACAATAGGCCTGTAATGTTGTGCTACAAGTCTCCGTATGCTCAGACGTCATTGGCGTATGGAATGCTCGTATACTTCCCATCGAAGGTCGCTCTCCGTTCGAAGGCGAAAGCGACAAATGTTGCAGTGAGTATACTCGGCTCTCACCACGCGCGTGGCCTGTCGAGGGGGCACAGCAGAACGCAGGTGCGGTCATCTGCAAGAATTAATCTGTGAAGCTTTGCAGGCGATCCTTGAGCTGTGGATCAGATATCGCCCTTCGGATAAATATATGACTGACCTTCCCGGCGCTCTAGACGCTGCTCAAGTCGCACATCTTGTTCTGGAATCTGCATCCACAAGACACTCAAAAAGGTATGAGGCTCGATGTCGTTAATTTCGGCTAGCTGATGTGTTTCAGCATATTGAATTTGACGAGGCTGGCCGATATTGTGGCACATTTGCAAGGGTTAATCGTATGATTGAGGTCTTGACGGGGATAACAGCGACGGACCCGCCGCGATACCAAACGATCCTCTCTTTAGGCCTTTCATACTGGAAAACAGATTAGCATCATGAGTTACCGCACCACAGAGAGCGCTTACCCTGGCATCTGGACTTCGCAAAGCCACGGACAAAGCAGCGCCGGGTACACACAAGACGTGCTCGGGTACAGCAGCCGCATTAGTCAGGCGCCACCGCAGCCTGGCGTCGATACATCATATTATCAGCACCAATACGGTGTTTCACAGTACTCGTACAGCGGTTCGGAGTCAGAGAGATCTTCGTACTTGCAAAGTACAGCGAGCCCAACTTGCAGCTACCCTGTCCAGACTGCAGGCGGATACCAGTCGAGCTCCTACAATGGTACCATGCCGCAATATAGTCCGCAGTAGGTTGACGGTGTCGTAGATGCCATGAGTCATCGGCTGACAAGTCGCAGGACTCAGCTATGGCCACAGACTCAACCAGGTCCCGTAGTCTCCGGAAGCCGGGGCATGGGGCAGGCGCACTTCATCGCGCCCCGAACGCAGTACACGGGTGCTCAATCGCCTGTCGTGATGTAAATGGAATCTTCCAGGTTTGAGAATGGCGCTGACACTCCCGGGTAGGAGCGCAAGTACAGACACGAGCTACGCCTACAACACCTGGCCTAGAACTCTGTCGCCAGCGTCTTCCAGCGGATATGCAACGGCTGGCGGAGCAGCGACGGGGAGTGGCAGCGAGTATAATGTGCCTTGCCCGTACAAATGCGGGACGGTGTTGACAGGTGTGCATGCTGTCGGCAACATGACCCGCCACCTCAAATCGCAGAACTGCATTGGTTCAGGGAAAGAAAAGCCCAAACACGTGTGCCCCGTGCAGGGCTGCGAGAAGCGGTACATTCGTTCCGATGGACTGAAGGTTCACCTTCGCAAGCGACACAACATGGCGCATCCGTCCGATAGGAACGGCAGCTCAGAGTACGATGAGATTGGATACGGGTACAGTTGAGGGTTGTTGTCGAGTCTTGCTGAACTTGTCGGCAGATGTGACGTTGACGTTGTGCGAGTTTAGCGTGCGTGTTTAGTGCTCTTCAAGCTGTGGATCAAGAGCTGTTATAGCTCGTTGGGTCAACGGCACTCGGTGGAGACGTCGGGAGGTGTTTCCCTCGATCACATGATGGGGAGGTTTTGGGCTCGAGCTGGTGTTGCCAGCGAGCCAGTAGAGGCTGATGGTCTGTAGCGTTCTCGTGTTGCATTGCGGTTTGTCTATTACGAGGTTGTGGTGAGGTTCAGTGAGTTGGCCAGGAGGGTCGACGGAATGAGCCCGCAGAGCAGGCGCTAGTTATCGTACCGCAGTGTCGGACCCTCGTCCTGACTGCCTAATGAAGCACCATGTTTCTTTCATGCGAGGTGAACACACGCATGGACGGTGCTGTGGGCGTCTGAATTATTGGCTCAAAGCGACTCCACAATGTGCGCGATTTCGGTGTGCAGGTTTATGATTTTGTCTTATTTGGGTATCTTGCAGTGCGCGTGCTAGACTGCATGTAGACGGGCATGCTCGTCTTGTTCATGTTGCATCCATGTAGCCGACCTCCAGGCAGTTTCATCAGCCCGTCGGCCTATCGCCGGACAAGGGACGCTCAGCAGGCGCTGTTGGCGGGACTGCGTGCGTGTACAAGCTGATCAGGCGCCTTCATTCTCCAGCTGCCACTGGTGCCGAGGCTGGCTCAGCAGCTCAAGTCTCCTCGCAGTCTCTGTCCTCAGGCTCTCAGCAGCCCGTAGAACAGCGTCCAGGTGAGCACGAAGCCGCTCAAGCCCCCAAACACATCGCCCAGCCACATGTCTCCCAGCGGCTTGTAGTAGTACTTCCCCGGCTGGCCCTCGGCCTTGAGGGCAAACAACAGCACGGAGACGGCGAGCGAGGCGACGAGGTAGAAGACGAAGCCCGGATAGGATTCGAGGCCAAGGGTACCGGCGGCAACGCCAAAAAGAGAGGCGGTCAGGTTGCGGATGTTGGAAGTGACCTGGGGGCTGTCAGCGGTGGGTCGCAGGTGCGGCGGGTGCGACGGAGGCGGGCGGGCGGCGGACCTGTGTGTTGTGCTGCAGGCTGGTCGCGACGATGGGGTTGATCTGGAGCTCGCGCTCGTCGGCGGTCGCCATTGTGTCGTGATGCTGCGGGCGATGGCGCTGGGGATGGGTCGTGAGCTGCGATGCGCTGCTGGCGTTGGCCCCACATATGCGGCTGATTAAGCAGCGACTGCACCGCAAGGCTCAGGGTCCACCACGCATGGTTCAGTGAGAGCTGGTCTGTGTTTCCCAGGCTGCTGCACGTGAGGGGCCGGACGCCATTGTGGTCCGCCACTGCATGCTCGTCCGTTTCGTGCGCGCAGGATCAAACAATTGTTGGTTGCCGTGACTCAGCTCGCCCTCATCTCGCGCTCCGGGAGAGGCCAGCCCTGCCTTCGTACAGGAGCACAGGAGTACGGGCTGAGGCTGATTAGCGCGAGGGCTCGGCGGATGCCACGGCGACGCAGACGAGCGCGCCCTCGGCGCCCTCGAGCTGCTGTAAGGCTGCTCCGGGCACTGGCTAGCTCGCCGTGCTAATGCACGTACCCGCCGAGGTCGTGGACGCGCCGGTTTCAAGGACGCTGCGACGGGCACGCTGTTTCAAGGCTGGCCGACGGCTGGCCAACGGCTGCAGCGACTGGGAACGGCACCAGGCACTGCAAAGCCCGCCAGCCGCGTCTCTGGGGCAGCTGCAGGTCATGGCCGCAACGGCGCTCCGAACCAGCGAACTCCCGGTGGCCGCGCCAATCGTGTGGGCCCTCCGCACTTCATCTCCGCTCATCTCCTGGGCTCCTGTGCTCGTGTCCCGAGTGGCTTAGACTGCGACCGGACCACCGCAGCTCTCCCTGCACTGCTCCTGCTCTACACACCCAAACAAACAACCCACCTGCTATACAGACCTTTGTGCCGCTATATCGCCAACCGCCATACCGCCAGCCTCGCCGCCCTGCGACCGCATTTCTGTCGACGCGCCCCGCGCCCCAGCCGTCACGCGCCGCATTCCACACGTCCCACCCCAAGCCACACCCGCACCATGCGGTAGAGACACCATGGAGAGCGTGATACATGAAGACTCGCCGCTGGCCGAGTTCCTCGAGGGTACGCGCCATGTCTGCCCTGCGCCCGCTCATACTGACAGCCCGCCTAGGCGAGGGGAGAGGCCGCTCGGCACCGCCGTCACCCGCTGCATCCACCGATGACGCCCACGACGCCCACGACGCCCACGGCTTTGCGCCCCGCGGGCCCTCGACGCTGCACTCGCGCATCCGCGACCGCCTGCCGCAGCCGCTGCGCATCCGCGCCAACCGCCACGGCTCCGTTGCGCGCATCCACCTGGCCTGCTCGGTACGTACGCCGCCCGCCTGCGCCGCGCCTCTGACCTGACCCCCGCAGAAAGCCGTCAACGCCCGCCTCGGCCGCGCCGACAACGAGCGCTTTCTCGAGCACTTCCGCTACCTGATCGTCGCCTCGCAGCTGCTGGGCGAACAGTCGAGCATCCGCACCGCCACCTTCCCGAGCCACGGCCACGGCGCAGGCCCCGGCTCCGAGTTCAAGGTCACCACCATTAGCCCCACGGGCGCCGTGCTCACCGCCGCCACCGCCTTCACCCTCGTCTGGCTGATCCACTGGTCGCGCCGCAAGTCGGGCTTCAGCAAGGCCCGCTTTGTCGTCGTCCTCGTCGTCTTCGTCTTCGTGGCCACGGCCTCGTACGGCCATGTGCGCCGCCAGTGGCTGCAGACGCTGCGCCAGCACGCCGTCGAGAACGCATCCGCCCTGGTCACCAACTTGCAGGCCTTCGAGGCGTCCACCTCGTCTGCGCTCGCCCTCATCCAGGAGGTCGAGCTGGTCTCTAGGGGGTACCGACTGTACGTGTATCCCTGCGTCTGACGGCCCACACTAACCCCATCCAGCTCTATGCCCATGCCGCCCATCTCCCGACTCGAAGAGCGAGGACAAGCCCGCCGCTGCCAACGCCTGCGCCGCAGCCTCTGGGCCGCCTACGCCACCATGATCCCCATCCTGGCCGCGCAGTGCCAGATCTTGAGGCGCCAATGCCAGGAAGAAGACATTGAGAAATACCTCGACGTCTACGAAATCAGCAATCCAGACCTGCAGGAGGCCGCCCTGGGCTACAGTGAGACCGAGTTCGAGGACATTGAGAGCATCAAGGCCCTGCGAGCGTGGCAGTACCGCCTGTCGACCCTGCGCCGCGTCTACCTGTGCTCGCTGCTGGCACTCCAGGCCGACGGCGGAAAGGCCGACTTCTCGAGGTGGGGCACGGTCGCCGATTCCATGATCACCGTGGCCGCGCCCACGGGAGAGCGGAGCGAGAAGTTCAACCAGGTTCTCGCCGAGGAGGAGCAGTTCATAATACCGTCGCCGAACAAGCTGCAGCCCACCCCCGGCCGCGAGAATCTGCGCAATTCGGTCCGAAAGCTCTCAGGCCTCTCCCAAGGCATCCGCGGCCTGCAAGCAAAGATGCAGGTCCTGCGCGAGGAGACCAACAAGAGCCTCGAAGACACCGAAGACGTCACCGAGCTCGGCGGCCACCTCATGGTGCAGTACGACTCGATCGGCGCCGACCTGCGAAGCCTGATCCAGGCATGGGAGACGGGGCGAAATGCGCTTGCCCTCAACATCGAACGCCACGAACGACGCATCTCGCAAGCCTCGAGCAGCGGTCTCCGCTCCCCCGTCCCCAGCCTGGGTGGTCTGACGGCTGTCGATGAAGGCAGTCCGTCTGATGCCCTCCGCGCTTTGAATGGAGAGACGCTGAGTCCGCAGCAGAGTGCTCCCCCGAGCGACCAAGGCAGCAACTCGGACGACGAAGTCTTCGAGGCCATCGCCATTCCCAAGACGCGCCTCAGCATGTCGAGAGAAGAGCGCATGCAGAGAATGCAGGCCGACCGCGCCCGCCAGGCGTCGCTGCGCGAGCAACGCGAAGCGAGTAATAATATGCTGCGCGAGCTCGAGAGCGTCATCAACCTCAGGCCGCACCGCCACACGCTGCCGGCCGGACGAGTTACGAGTCTATAATGTCTTTACTTTGTCAGCACCAGCTAACCCACCATCTACAGCCATCGCATATTGCAGCTATCGTGTTTCCTTGCCGGCGTTTGTTTGCACATCGTACAAATTCTGGGTCACCATATACCACATCGCATCGTTTGTCCCGTGCGCTGGGGGCATAATGTTTTACATGCAATCTCATTGTCTTAGTCCTAGTCTCGTGGGTTCTGTCCCAAGCTCTCGTTCGCCCAGACTGTCTGGCTGCGTGAGGAAGCTGGCGCGAGCGTACATAAGAACGAATAAAAGAATCGCCCTGATGGCACTGCGTCCGGAATGATCACTCTGCCGCACGGTCATTGGCTGGTGGCGGGCACTTTACGCGACTGATTTAGCGCGCTTTGGCGCGACGCGTACTTTGTCCCACCTCCTCTGTTGCCTCGTCCACACAACACCATTTCGCCGCTCCATTGCAATCTACTCTTTTATACCCCTTCTTCTCGTCTACGTAATACACAGCCAACAGTACGTCAGTGCCAGTGATCAATGTTCTCGCTAACAGACTCAGTGCTCGAAGCACGCTTAGAACAAGCCGCTCTCCTCAAGAAGGCATGTCCCGCAGCCAGCAGCGAGACTTCTGCTGACAAGCCAGGTCGTCGACGCCATCAAGGACCTCGTCCAGGACTGCAACTTCGACTGCAATGACTCGGGCATCGCGCTGCAGGCCATGGACAACTCGCACGTCGCGCTCGTGTCGATGCTGCTGCGGTCCGAGGGCTTCAACCCGTTCCGCTGCGACCGCAACATCGCGCTCGGCATCAACCTAGGCTCGCTCACAAAGGTGCTCCGCGCGGCGCAGAGCGAGGACATCCTCACGCTCAAGGCCGAGGACGCGCCCGACGTCGTCAACCTCGTCTTCGAGAACAGCAGCTCCGACAGGATCAGCGAGTACGACATCAAGCTGATGGACATTGACCAGGAGCACCTGGGCATCCCTGAGACCGAGTACGCGGCGACCATCACAATGCCGTCGGCCGAGTTCCAGCGCATCTGCAGGGACCTGAGCGCGCTGTCAGAGTCGGGTGCGTACTTGCTCCGTACAACGAACCCCGCTAACACGCCCAGTCTCGATCGAGTGCACAAAGGAGGGCGTCAAGTTCAGCTGCCAGGGCGACATTGGCTCCGGCTCGGTGCAGCTGAGGCAGCACACCAACGTCGACAAGCCCGGCGAGAACGTCGAGATCGACCTCAGCGAGCCCGTCTCGCTGACCTTCTCGCTCAAGTACCTGGTCAACTTCTGCAAGGCCAGCGGGTTATCCGACAGCGTCAAGCTCAGCCTGTCCAGCGAGGTGCCGCTGCTGGTCGAGTACGGCCTGTCCAACCAGAGCTACCTGCGGTTCTACCTCGCGCCCAAGGTGTGTTTATCTACATACTACTTGACCTGCACTAACCCCTGCAGATCGGCGACGAGGAGTAGGTGTTGTAATGAGAAAGTATTTGTAGGATTTTGTGGGAGTACAGGGCGTACTGCGCGGTTTGCATACGGCGCGTTAGCAGACGCTCCGAGATTGGCGAATAGCGGCTCACGGACGCCGCCAGGGCTCCGATGCCCCACCGTCGCCCCACGTCATCGCGTGGAATTTCAGATGAGCAATGACAAAGATTCACCCGCACTGCATCCCGTGATCTTGTTGTATCTACTGTCATGGCTTCCGACGCGCTCATACCCGAGACGCGCGTGCTTGCGATTGCCAGCCATGTAAGAGCGAGTTATGAGTTGCCCGGCGGGTCTAACGAGCGCAGGTAGTCCACGGGTGAGTGTCTCGGCCTAGCGCGAGGCCTGGCTGATGTGATAGCTATGTCGGCAACAAGATGGCGACCTGTGTGCTGCAGGCCATGGGCTGTGATGTGTCCGCAATCAACACCGTCCACTACAGTGTGTGCACTCATCTTCTCTGCCGCCGCGCTGACCGCCAGGCAACCACACGGCCTACAAGCAGGTCAAGGGCACCAAGACGACCGCCGCCGAGCTCGAGCAGCTCTACGAAGGCCTCCGCCAGTCCCACCTCACCAACTTCGACGTCCTGCTGACGGGCTACGTGCCCAGCGCCGACGCCCTCCGCGCCGTGGGCAAGATCGGCCGCGATCTCAAGTTCAACGCCGCCACGAAGCCCGGCAGCTTCTTCTGGGGTGAGTCAGCCGGCGTACATCATGCATATATCATACGCGATACTGACCCGCAGTCCTCGACCCCGTCATGGGCGACAACGGCCAGCTCTACATCCCCCCCGACGAAGTCCCCGAGTACAAAGCCCTCCTGCGCGACGCCGACCTCATCCTCCCCAACCAATTCGAAGCCGAGTGCGTATGCCGTCCCTCTTGCCCGCAGCACTACTAAACTCCCCTCCTAGAACCCTCGCCGGCACACCCATCACCGACCTCGCCTCCCTCGCCCGCGCAATCCACATCCTCCACGCCACCTACCGCGTCCCGCACATCATCATCACCTCGCTGCGGCTCACGCCCTCCGGCACCATCCCCACCACCCCTGAAGCCACGGAGACGCTAACCATCGTCGGCTCCACCGCCACCTCCTCCCACGAGCCCCGCCTCTTCCGCATCTCCACCCCCGCCCTACCCTATTTCTTCTCCGGCACAGGCGACATGTTCGCCGCGCTCACGGTCGCGCGGCTGCGCGCCGCCGTCGCCCAGGCGCCCGCGGCCCACGATCTCCAGCGCACGCCGAGTTGGCGGTCCCCGGATGAGGTGGGGGCCACGGAGTTGCCTCTTGCGCAGGCGGCGCAGTGGGTGTGTGCGAGTATGGGCGCCGTGCTCGGGCGCGTCGCGGATGGGGTTGGGGGGAAGATGGCTGCGTTCGATGAGCGGGTGGGCAAGGGCGGGGGCGGGGGCGCGAGGGAGGAAGAAAGGCATTGGCGGTTGATGGATGCGTGTGAGGTCGTGGTGCCGCGGTATGTGCGGGAGTTGGTTGAGCCGCGGGGGGTGGAGGGGTTTAAGGCTGTTGCTGTTGTTGTTGAGGAGGCTGAGGGGAGCGGGCAGGGGGAGGGGGAGGCGTAGGCAAGCTGGGAGTGTGTCCTGGCCTCGCATAGACGCAGCTCCACCCTAGACGGACTGCATTGCATTAGACGCGCGCGGTACAATGACGTGCTCATACAGCTCTGTAGCAGTAGCACATGTTCCACCCATGTTTGATTGCTTACCTAGAGTAACCTTACACTAGAACTACAAGAACACTGTGAACAGTATCAAGAGAGATGGAAGATATCGGTGCTTGTCGATATGTGCTGACCACCCCCTATCTTGGCATAGTATACTGTCACTGTCACGGGTCAGGTAACCACGCATCCTAAATAGCTGAACAGCTATAGGATGCGTGTGTAGGATGTAAGGGAGGACTAGACTCTATATACAATAGTAGTGTAAGGCACCTGTAAGGGGTAAGAGAGACTAGACTTCCCTATACCTATAGTACTACTCTACTGTTAGGGACTAGTAGGTTGTGGCCTAGTTCGACCCAGGACTAGTAGGTTGTGGCCTGGCTCAATTCAGAAGCTCAGTGGTTGGTGAAGGAGAACTGGCTTGCTGTTTGGTTTCTGCTTGCTTAAGCAAGCGTTCCCTTTGCTTCTCTCTTACTTGTATATATATCAAGCTGCCTCTAGCTCTCTCTTAGCTTAGAGTCTGCTATTTTGTTAGTTTAGTTACCTATCTCTTTTGCTATTAGATTGCTTCTTTTATACCTTTTAAGTCTACCTTATATCTACCTATAGTGCTAGGTAATAATATAATAGACTAATATTATAGACTTAGGCTAAGCAAAGATAAGTAGAAGAAGGCCTGCCTGTAGATAATCTACCTAGGTAGTAGCACTTTTACTTATGCATAAGACCTTCTAACAGCAGGGCTTCCTGCATTTTATACTTAAAAAGAGGTAGTCTGCACATTTTAGCTAGCATTATATTATATTCTAATCCTGAAACAATCTTAACGTCCTCTAGACTTTCCATATCCTAACATTCTGCCCCAACTTTTACCAATACCTTTGCGGTAGGCAATCCCATCTTTCTAGTTATCCACATGACATTGTACCATCTGTACGCCCAATCGGAACCAAGTTTACATCCGCTTGGGTCATGCTTGCAGTTATTGTGGCAGTTTCGGTGCAGGTGCGAAGATTCCTTGAATCTCCATAACGCACCCTGGATCCCTTCAGCTCCGTGGCCATCAAGCTCCATACCACCGAGACAAATCAATTCAATGCGAAAATCAACAGTCATATCAGACAAGTCCCTTTGGTACTCCTGTATCACTGAGTAGTGAGATATGTGAGGCACACCAATCTCTCGGCTCTGCTTACCGTAGATAAAAGGTAGCTTGCCACACTCCTCGTTATCTTCGTCGCTATCATCCCTGTTATCTTCTTCGCTATCGTCCCCGCCATCCATTTCGCTGTCGATCCCGTCATCTTCCTCGCTAATTGAATCACGTGGTGAAAGCCAGGCAATGATGCGGCGTGTGCGACATTGAATGAGAGGTGAGATCACAATCCGGGGATCCGGTTCTGCGGGCCAAGCTAATTGCGGCATGAATGCACATGCAGAGCCCTTTGGTGGCTTTTCAATCTCCTAGCTGGGGCCGTCTCTCAGTGCAGACCAATAATGAAAGTCCCGGACCTGGGTCAAGACTGCAGTATGATCGTCTGCTGCTCCAACGTTGAACTTGTAGTACCATTTGACAGCATGGAAGTGGCGCGCAGCAGGTACATGCAAGCAATGCGCGTCAGGCGGCACAACGCATGAACATGCTTCGTACATGAGTGAAGTAGAGACGCCTCCGATCCAACTAGCCCACAACCATGATGGTATAGATCCCGAGAATGCATCGTTCGGTTCAAAGCGCCTTTCAAGGACGGCGGGGGTCACTTGGACACCACAATAGGAGGGCACTGAAGAAAAGCTCTGGGATCCCGAAGAGCATGTGGCCCCTCATTGAGCGTGCCAGTGTAATCAAAATACCCTGAAATGCGTTCAAGACATCCCCAGGTACAGTGAGATCACGCTGCGTGTATGAACCGAGGTGATAGATGTATGACTCAATATTCGGAATGCCGGACCACATATCATGAAATATACTCCACCTATAAGCAGGAGTGACCCAATCGTAAGGCATCGTACCGTTCTCCTGCCGATTGAGTCTTCGGCAGCGCCATGAGATTGTTTGATGGTGGAAGATCAGCACCCTCCGAGACAGCGTCCACCCCTGGAAAGTCCACCCGCGAGTGTGATAGGGTCCTTGATCTCCGGCATCTTCTGCGACAGACGGATTGCGGTCCATCATGTGGCATTCGGACGTGAATCGAAATGTCCGATAAGGATTACGTCGTGGACGATCATGACTCGAACCCGCCAGGCCACTCTGAGCAGTACCTTCCGTCGCAGCAATCGTAAAATATGCGTTTGTATAAATAGCAGCCATAGCTGCCAATTGTTCGGCCTTTGTTTCTTGGTCATCCTGTACAAAATCGACACTAGGGTACAAAATCAGGCAAAAAACACCGCACTTTTAACAGGTAAAATACACAGGAGAATAGTTGTCAAAAACACTACAGAGGGGGTGTGTTTTACCTATTTACGCAGTGTCTTTTTAGGTTATAGCAGATTTTTTATACAAGTTTATTATTCTATATAGTATCTATCTATCTAGTAGAGGAAGGGGGGGGGGGGGGGGGGTAGGAAGAGAAGGGGGAGCTATAGGGGGGGAGGGTAAATAAGGTAGAGAGAGAGCGGAGAGAGAGTAGAGAGAGAGAGGAGAGAGAGAGGTAAAAGAGAGAGAGAGAGAGAGAGGAGAAAGAGAGAGGAGGGAGATATAACAACAAGAAGAGGGGTAATAGAGCTAAGAGGGGTAGGCTATAAGCCTTAGAGGTAGGTACCTACGTAAATTATAGAACTAGATATCTAGGTGTCAGGTAAAAAACACTACATTTTTAGGTAATCTTAGTATATAATAGGTAAATTGGCCTATTTACCTAGCACACTAGGTATCTACACTTCAGTGTTTTTTACACCGCACTTGTACTATAGTGCGATCAACCCATAGCAAGTGAAGTCCTAATTTGGAGATCAAAGTACTGTCTCGCACTGCATCTGGCAACTGGGGAAACTGGTTGTTCGTGCTGAAAGCGCCCGGCTTTCTCAGCTGGTTGAAGTTGTCTCGCAATGTCATGAATGGGTTTAGATCGTTGCCCCAAACGTAGCTCAGTGCCGCATATCGCTTAACGTGACCGGAAGGTACACTGACTAGACACTGTTGCTGCGCATCCATGAAAATCATATCCGTGTTGCACTCTATATCACTCCTTGGACTATCGAAAGAGTGACACTGTTCGCCGTGGTACTCATCACATGCATGCAGCCATCCTAGTATTGTGGCGGGATCGATCTCGTGTTCGTCTACGGCGACGCCAGCCCCTCGGAAAAGATCAGGTTGTCGTTCAACCCGCAGGAGGTCGAGTGCGTCTCGACGCAAGGATACTGGTGACTGGTTGTAGGAAGTATCGATGTCGAGCATCCAAGTGAAGAGAGGATTGCCAAAGTAGGAGATATGACCTGTGAGGGCAGGAGCCGATACACCGATATCCAATGCTGAGATGACAGCGGCGCATGTTTCACAGCTCGTATTAGGTCGGGCCTGCTGACAGTCCCAGTCAACACGTCTGCCCTCATCTGCATCTCTCTGAACTGCTGCTGCGAATGCCCTACATTCTTTGCTCGATTCACGCTTCGTCTCCAGCTTCGCAACGCCGCGTGGTTGCTTTCTCGTGCGCCCTCTCGTGGTGTCCTGGCTAGGTTGGATGAAGAGGCTGTACAATCTTGGACATGAATTGCAAGTACCTTATGCCGCTTCGTTTGCGAGGTCCGGACATTGTTGGAATTTTAGCAAGTCTCCAGCGCAGAGACGTAGAACAACAGCGATGTATCTCTATTATCTACAAACAAGGTAAAAGTAGTAGCAGAATGAATGCTAGAAACTGAATCGCACTTACCATAACAAAGAAGATATATAATTACGCAGGGTAGGTGTTGCAGGTCTAGGCAGCAGTCTACTATAACGGGCTAGGCCCTGCAGTGTCTATACATCCTATACACGCGGTGTTCGGCAGCCTAGCATAAAGCGTTTATAGGTTAAGATAGGATATTAAGTAGGTAGAGGTCTATAACCTATACTAATACTGTAGAACTAGAACGTAAAATCCTCTGTTACTATAACTTTACCAGTTAACCAGCCCTCTATCTGTTGCTGTAGGTCTTTGCCTGCACAAAGATACCATTTCTTTGCTCCTACTGTCTCTGTGTCGGACTGTTCTAATCTCCTGGTCTTGACACTAGCTCCAAGCTGCGCAATTCCATCGATTACATCCTGCACCTCTCCTTCAAGACTCCCAGTAAGAAAAACGGTTGTTACAGCCGCTAACCCGTCATAGTGTCTTAACGTATCAACTACCAAGTTGATATCTGCAACTCGGATAGTCCAGAGGAGTTTGAACTTATCGGGTTGGAGATCAAGATGCGGGGTCTGGCCCAGGACCGGCGTTATACCAATACCTGCTGCTATGAAGGGGACTACTTCAATGCTGTTGTCACTCTCGCTCTTGATATCGCCGCCGCCTTGATCGATAGTGAAATCGCCTCCGACGCCAAGGATCGGCAGTGTCAGCCCTGTTCCTGGATTTTGCTGGTAAAGAAATGCTGTCGCAGTGCCAAGAGAGCGAATTGTAATTTCGAATTCTTTGTCCAATCTTCTCTCGCTGTCTTCCGTGGTAGAGACGGAAGATGGAGTAGAGGAGATGGTGAAGGTACGGACAAAGTCGTCGTTGAGACTTTGTGGGTCAGAGTTATTCATGTGTCGGTACCCGGTATTCAGCTGCTCGTATAAGGATAAGGCAATCCATTGACCCGGTTTGTAAGAGAGACCGTCAGTGACGCTGAATGTGAGACGCGCGATTGTGGGGGTGAGGATGGTTTTCTTGACGAGCTTTGCGGTCTGGGGTGACGTAGCCGAGGGAAAAGTAGACCTGATATTGCCTTCAACCGCAAGAGTGCGCAGAAGTGGGTTATAAGGACTTTCTCCGTCAGGCCTCTTGTTTCCTCTGAACGAGAGACCTTGAGCTACAAAAAACGTGTCGGTCAATTCGATTTTGACAGCGAGGTTGGTGCCAGGTACAACATGTGCTGCGTCTGCGCCAACAAGTATCTCAACAGTCCCAGTCATGTACAGGACATCACCTGTCTCATATTGAGGGAATGTGACGCCGATGAGTGGATTAGTGTACGCATTTCCCAGAGACTGGTAGTATCGGTTGCCAGAGTATTCTGGAAACACAATGGTCGTAGGCGAAATAATGCGGACAAAGCCTGGTGGTCCACCACGGTGGTTTGTATCCATGTCAATGTTGGTGGCAGTTGAGAGAAAGAACATGTCAGCTTTCTCAATAAGGTTTCTGCCCTCGGTGGTGAGGTTGGGTCCTTGGGATTTGAGACTTGGTGTTGTCATCGCAGGTCGGAGGTCGTACTGATTGAGGTACTTTGGACAGTTTCCTAGGCTCTCTTCAATCTTCGTGACCAGATTTATGAGTTGTTGTGTCTTTGGCGCATAAACAGGCGGTTTCTCAACATCTCCCCTTGTTTCGATCTCCCTCACCGTCGCATGTACTAATTTTCCTCCAAGTTTGACTCTCTTCCGCGCGATCAGGTTGATTGCCAAAGCAGAGAACATCTTCCTCTGATCCTCGAGTTCCACTGTCTTACTCAGAGGATCAGTGATGATTGACTGCACAACAGGATCATACATGCCATCAACAAATGTTCTTATTCCGAGAAAGTCGCCTCCAATGTGCTCTGAAAACCCGGGGGCTCCACCCCAAAGCGCAGTCCAAGGTCGGTTTTGGTCGTCCAGCATTCCGATCGCAAGAAGGGGCGCGCGTTGAAGTGTAGATAACGCTTGAGGGGTAAGCGTAGATGAGGTTGGGTTGTCTAAGTCAGGGACGTGGAGGAGCTTTTGCATCTTCATTTCCCCTTCGCTCCAGCCCTTAGCAATAGAGAAAGTCATGATAACGTCAATGAAACCTCGCTAGAGTAGTTAGTGAACACTTATTCTGGCCCTTCCGGAGCCTAGCACTAGTGAAGACACTTACTGTTGTGTTTCAGGCGCACGCTGATTAGTGAGCTTGTGTGACCAGAACACTATAAGCTACAGAAGGACAGAATTTCGTGTCGGATCTAAGGGATCGAACGCTTCTTATATGCTCCTTCTCGGCCATTTCCAAAGCCACTTTTCAGAAGAGGCTAGTCAGAGGATGTGATGAGTTCACTAGTTACATTTGAACCCAAGGTCCCCAGCGCGTGGACCCACCCAAGCGCATAACGACATATTGCCCAGCTGCGCGTGACCACAGGCCATGAGTCATGCCTAAGCATTCAGATTTGGACCCCCATCTCGCTTCAAACTACGATACGATATCCACATCTATGTGATCATGACAACACAATCAGGTCACGTTCAAGGGCTACTGTGTAGGCTCAAGCTACAAGCTTAAGAGAGTCATTGTATTGTTATTCTTAACACTCAACATGTCAATACAATGTCTTCGTGTGTACCATCAATCTCACGTTGAGATCAGAAGAAGTGTCATGAAGTCTCCCGAAGAAAAATTACATGCACCTGGAATCAGCTTTGTGCCGAAAGCTTAATGCTTGTCAGACGCAAGCCATGCGCGGAGGGCATCTGGATCGCGGCAGTGGAATTTAATACCAGCCGACCATGGGATGGCTTGTGCCTCCGTTGGTGTTGCGGTGTCTGCAATAGCGTCCATCTCAAGGGAGCATTCGCGCTCTGCACGGAATGGAGGGAAGACGTGCTTCTTTTGCTCCTCCCCAAGTGGCTGGCGCTCCCAGGTGAAGAAATGCAAGAGTAGTACCAGGGTTGAGTAGAGTCCACGGTTAGCCACTATATGAAGGCATCAGTGATGTATTCACGGTTCTTGTGTGGGTGGAACCTACTGTCAATTCCTGGACAGACACGACGACCAGCACCATATGTCAAGTGTGTGACACCCAACTTATCACCGCCTTCGTATTGGAGATCCGTGCGTCCCTTACAACCGTTCAACCAACGCTCAGGAAGGAATTCATCAGGGCGGTCAAACGAGTCGGGATCACGGTTGCCAGCCAATAGGTTCATAATGACAAGCTACATAGATTGTTAAAGCCGTGGTAGTGTCAAGTGAGGAAGTACTTACCATGCCGCGAGGAATTTTGTGGCCGTCGTAGCTGGCGCCATCAAGCGTCTCGCGGGGGAATCCGAGACGCACCGGTGTGTAGATACGAGACCCTTCCTGTGGTAGTGTTGAATTAGTCAAAGCTGTTCGAAGTAGAGAGTAGTTGACGAACCGTGTGGAGCGCTTTGACGAATTCAACGCGATCATAGTCATGAGGCTTGGGTGGCTCGCCATTATAAACCTTTTGGATAGCATCATATCCGCTCTGCTGTAAGTCGGGGCGATGGGCGAGGTATCCGATGATCCAGGTAAGTGAATAGCCAAGATTGACACCAGCAGCAACTGTGGATGGGACGTCAATTTAACTCGTTGGCTTCTTAGAAAAGACGAAGTCGAACTTACTACCAGTGTACGAAGCCAGCAGGATCTCTTCATCTTTGAGAAGACCCTGGCGGATAATGTTGCCTAGGATCGAAGGTGTTTGATCACCGGATGCAACGCGATCTCTGAGACCGTCGAGCATCTTACCGATATAGGCCTGTTGCTTCTGGCGATACTCTCGCGCTTTCTCCTCTTTGTCATCGTATGTCCAGCTGCTGATACCGAGCGACTTCCCGGCTACGTATCGGAGCCAGCCCGCGCCCCGCAAAGCAGGAAGGTAATCACGAGCAGGCGATCCAATAGTGCGCTGACGGACTATAGCCAAAACTTAATGACGAGAATTATGATGTTTAGCGAAGTCGAAAACTCACAAATGTTTGTCTCGTTTTCAGCGAGCATTCCTACAACCTCGTCATCGAGAGGTGTACCCATGAGCTGCTCGGAAACTTGGCCAGTACCGAACCGGTGAAGCTTCTCAGCCATGTCAAGAGCAGGACCATTGCTCAATTCCAGAATCTCGCCGAAAAGCTTCTTAAGCTTTGGGTGAATGACGGGAGTGTACACAGGAAGAAGGCGGGGAGCGATCTGGGTGGAAAGAGCTTTCCGAGTCCGAGCAAGACGATCGCTGAAGGGTGAAGCTGTAGAAGTCATGTTGTCAGGCTATCGAGAACATACAATTCAGCTCCTTTCGAACTTACTTCCAACAGTCCAAATTCCGTTCGATGCGTAATCATTGTGGAACAGTTTGAAGGTTGGACGGGATTGGTAGGCAGGACCCTGCTGAACAACGGTCCGCGCGAGAGCCTTGTGACTATTTATGAATACCTGCGGAGCGGAGTCAGTTCAAATATTTCCTCAGAAAGCTGAATAATTGCTCACCGCTTCACGCTCCCCAAGGGAAACTCGAATTACATCTCCATACTTCTTGGTCCACTCGGCAATCTTCGTGACATGTCCGTTTTGTAACTAGATACTTAAGTCAGATGCCTCATCAGACTATTCAGATGAAAACTCACCTCCAGAAGGTTTCCGAAGACCGGAACACCAGGAGGGCCTGGAAGGTCTACTGTATGAGGAGCACCGCCGAGCAAACGATCAAAGAACCAGAAAATGCGGAGCAGGAATTTGCGACCAGCTTCAAATCCGCCTAAGAGTACAGCAGTGATTGCCACCACCGCCGACGCATGTAGGACACTTAGATTCTTCGCGGCATAAATAAAGCCCAAGGGAACTTCAGTGCCAGACACCGTCTCCGTTGAGTTGAAAGAAGAGTTAAAGATATTGCTCATCTTGATGGTAATCAAGCTTATGGCTGGCTAGCTATCTTCTGGTGTCTTTCTCGTGTATCATCGTGGCTCTTTATATATACATACGAACAGCTGGGGAGACTCCATCGCGCTAATCGTGTTGAGACTGATCAAGTGTCTCACACAGAAGATCTCTGCTTCTCAACAAGTTTTCCTGTTCATCTTCGTTAGTACAAGTTCCGAGCGCTCGAAACAACGAGCTCTGGTCCCACCTATCGTACATGAACATACTCTTTGTGGCATGTCGGTGTGCACCTTGGCTAATTTCCCCGGTGAAGCTGCGTATACACTGCACCACAGCCAATAGTCGATATTATGGTCACAGTCACGGCGGTTCTCTCAGTCAATGACCCACAAGCCCTTGAATTAGCATGCTGCGCGTACCCATGATGCCTCCTTGTAAACGACCCACTGGGAGTGAAACGAAGCTGATGGGCGCCTTTTTGGAACCATTAATAGCTCCACTTTGCTATTGTCGTATGGAGACCACTAAGGGTCGTGAATTAATTTGCGTCGTCATGCTACGCACCCTGCCTCCCACGGCAAAATCCGAGTCAATCGTACATCGATTCAAAGAGCCATACACTAGTACAGCACCATAGTATCTGCAGAGACTGTAGTTCTATATTGATTCAACAACTGTGCTTCATAACTTATATACTTGGTTAGGGGAGACGTTCATGTACCGTGAACACCACTGACAAGACACTCTCCGATTTCAAGACTGCCACTTCTAACGGTGACGCACGCAGCTAAGGCCCGATGATTATAGAGACTTGAAAACATCAGGGACGATAGGCCCGGATGTATTCCCCAGTTTCAAGGGGCTTGTTGTATTAATTGCTAAGCGCATGTCTAGTTCTTCAAGAGGACCGAGTGTCGAGCGTCTCGAATAGAACATGGAATTGCAACAGATGGCGCAATAATTCGTGCTCGTTTGAATATATCATCTCTGTCGATTCGAGCATCTGCATTCGAGCATCTGCACGACAAGATCTTCTGTATAATCTTCGAGGCTATCACGCGGCTTAGTTCATAGCTATAGCGTTATTCTCTATGTTAACAATGCTGTCAGATTTTTTACGAACAATGTTCATGAGATTTTACTGTTCCTTGAGTGTGTGACGTCTGCATATAGTAGGACCGAGCACAAACTATTACAGGCACTCGCTAATGGTATACCGTCCAAACGATCGGCCTCTAAACGATGCGTAGATGATGTACTAGCGCCGGCCTCGGCCGGCCGGGCCACACCGTGCATTACATAGCTTATGTATGCACCGGTTGGCAACGGCGTCCAAGGGTACGGGCCGAAGACGCTATGGCTCTTGGTAATTGGGCGCCTAGGTACTCGAGAGTAGCGCCGGTGATAACCTGCTTCATTGGCTTGATCATGTTACCTAGATCGTAGAGCGACAGAAGGGCCACCCGACCCACTTTCTGCTGCGGTAAGATCTTGTAAACCTTCCGACGGGATGCAGGTAACGGCACAATGCGGCGCACGTCTGAGCTCCTTTCAGACTAGCTTTTCTATCACACACTAACATCTTCCCTTCCTTATGTTAGATCCCGCAAAAGGCTTGGCGTGCTAAGTTTCCAGTGTGGAGCTGATCCTTCTTGTTGGCTACACGCCTTTGCATTAGTAATTATACTATTACGGCAGGTACAAGCTGTTGCCATCTGATACGTTTTGGTGCGTCTCGCGTCGTCTTCATAGCTGCCACATTGTTCCGGCAATTGAGACCAGCTTTTGCAATTCGCGAAACTCCAAAAGTGCTGCAAAGAGCTCCAGCGAGCTCACATCTCACAGGATCCAAGATGAAGCGCGCGTCGAGCATCACACCAGATTCGAACCAAAGTCCCTCCACGCCGCATTCCGCCTCCATGATGGAAAAGAACAGTAGCACTCCACTGCACGACAGGGCCTTCCATTTTGGAACCGACAAAAAGGGTCGAAACGTGTCCAAAAAAGACCCAGCGGTGCCGCCTAATGGCGGGTATGGTTGGGTTTGCACGATCTGCGTTGCCCTCATTAATGCGCATACCTGGGGCATCAACTCCTCTTATGGCGTATTCCTCGCCCATTATTTGAGAACGGAAACCTTCGCTGGGGCAACACATCTTCAATATGCGTTTGTGGGTGGCCTGTCCATCTCACTTGCAATGTTCATATCACCAGTGGCCACTCTGTTAACCCGCAAATACGGAACTCGCCTGACGCTGCTTGTTGGTACGGTGTTTGAGACGGCTGGGCTAATTGGAGCGTCGTTTGCTACCACTATATGGCAATTATTTCTAAGCCAAGGGGTAGCCTTCGGGTTCGGCATGGGCTTTCTCTTCGTCGCGTCAGTTGGTATTCCAGTGCAGTGGTTTACTACGAAGAGATCCCTTGCTAATGGGATCAGTTCGTCGGGCTCTGGGTTCGGTGGGCTCTTGTACTCCTTGGCAGCTGGAGCTATGATCAAGTCTATTGGTTTGGCTTGGTGTTTTCGAGTGCTTGGTATTCTAGCATTTGGTGTCAACATCGTCTGCATCCTCCTCATCCGCGATCGCAACAAGATTATTATGTCACGGCACAAGACTCTTGATGTCATGTTGATGAAGCGGCCAGAGTTTATCATTCTCTGTGGCTATGGCTTTTTCTCAATGCTTGGCTACATTGCGCTGGTTTTTTCCATGGCCGACTACGCAAGAAGCATCGGGCTCAACAACTCACAAGCGTCCGTTATTTCTGCTCTCTTAAACTTGGGCCAAGGAATCGGGAGGCCGCCGATGGGGGTACTTCTCTGATAACGTTGGTCGGATCAACATGGCCGGATCGGCTACTTTCCTATGTGGACTATTAGCCTTGGTCATTTGGAGCTTCGCAAAAAGCTACGGGTTGCTCATATTCTACGCCCTGGTAGGTGGAACTGTGGCCGGTACGTTTTGGGCAACTGTCAGTCCAGTTACAGTGGAGGTTGTTGGCCTTCAAGATCTGCCATCTGCACTCAATCTCGAGTGGCTGGTGACTGTATTGCCGTGTACGTTCAGTGAACCTATGGCTCTGGAGCTGGCTACAAGTGCAGGAGGCTATTTGAGCACAAGTCTCTTTGTTGGCTTCATGTATATCGCAGCGGCTGCGTGTGTGTTGCTGCTGCGAGGCTGGAAAGTTGGTGAATTAGACGAGATTGCACGACTCAACAGTCAACTTTCGGATGGCACGAGCACTCTAGACGTCGATTCGGGATCTACGAACAACAAAGCGAGAAAGAAAGGGCGAGAGACAATCCTGAAGAACGTTTGGAAATGGCGTAAGGTGTAAGGGTTGAGTTTGCACTTGTGACAGGTAGCTGTCTCCTAGTAGAAGTACAGTTTGTACAATATGAAAGATGTATCTCATGTCAAATGTGTTACTGATCACATCTCGTCAACTGTTTCGTACTGTCAATTCTAAATGAAAAATAAAACACTATTGCTAAAAGGGTTCGATTTAAACAAGGTAAGACGTTGTAATCTTTGGATTATAGACGCAGTACGGCAACTGTCTTAGGGAGGAGACGGTAGCGCAGATGCCCCGAAGGATACAAAAGGAGAACCTTTTGAGTTAGCTCCAGGCACGAAAAGAGTGTGAGGCGGACGTATGCCGTCTTCACTATCAACTGAGAATCCCTTGTTCGATCTAGAATCGGCTGACTCTAATGCAAGGTTCTCCAAGCGCTGATCACTGTAATACTCGAGTATCTCAGAGACTGCTACAGGATTTGACGAAGAGGCAATCACGGTGAAAATCCCGGATGCTGATGCCTTCTCAGCTGCACGTAGCTTGGTTTCCATACCTCCAGTCCCATTTGTTGAGCCAGGGCCAAGGTTTGAAGAGTCAACTGAATAATAATTCCGTTAACAAGGCCGACAAAGATGTGATCCGAACCAGAAAGACTTACTGCGTCTTCTCAATAAGCTGATGGATGTGACCACGTCGATCCTGGATGCATGAATGTCATACCGGGGATTACTTTCGTACAATGAGTCTACATCAGTAAGTAGGAATAGGTAAGATGCTTGAACCATCACCGCGGTGATGGCGCTGAGATAATCATTGTCTCCGATACAAATCTCCTATTTTCAACGCGTCAGTAGTCAGCACGGACTTTCGGATTGGATATCTCACTTTGGTGGACACAGTATCATTCTCATTCACTATTGGCACCACGCCAGCCAAAAAGAGCTTATTAAAAGTTCGAATGGCATTGTCGTATCGTTCGAGCTGACCGAAAAGTTAGATCTTGGCATTTCAAGGCCACGTATGTGTTGGATGTCGACACTTACTGTTGAGATGTCGTCATGCGTTAACAACATTTGTGCAACCGTAATGTTTTTTTCATTAAACACGTCTGACCACATTGAGATCATTCCACTCTGCCCAATGGCTGCAAGTGCCTTGAAAACTAGATAAGTGTACTTTCGAGTCATAGTGGAGTGACCAATCTCTTACCTGTTTGTCAGATAGTCTTCTAGGACGGGATACACGATGCGTCCGCAGTAATCCAAAACCAACAGCTCCAGAGCTGACGAGAATGACTCTATAGCCAGCATTACGTAGGGTAGCGACAGTCAACATCACACTTCGGACACGGGAAATTTGAATTTCGTTGGTAGCCTCGTGGATGATAGACGAAGTACCGATTTTAATAACGATTGTACGATTTTGAATGCAGCTGGTAGAGAGGGTTTGGGGAAAGGGCGATGCCATTGTCAAGGTTTCACGGCGAGAAGTAGAGAGCCTGCTGATATTGAGCGGTAAGCTGGCTCACAGCATGCAAATTTATCATTGTTGGTTACAAACGCAAGGTTTTCCTGTGGAAGGAAAGATTGTACACGATGCTCATGGGGAAATTCTCGGACTTTCAGACAGGCTCTTGCGTAGAGTGCATGTTACAGATGAATTAGAAACCCAATGCTTCTCGGTGTACTACTGCGCGTGGAACCGCGAAACAGCCGTGCTTGCAATGAAGAGCAAAGCAATAGCAACATAACGACATAGTTTTGAAAAGCACGAGATGTTAGATCAGGATGCTTGTAAATCACTCAATTTTGGCGGATCCGATAGACGCATCTTGAACTGTTCTCAATTCTATGCTGGCAACACGAGGCTTGGCTGCCAACGTTACAATAGGAGTAGCTCGAGTGGGTCAGCCGCCGCAGCCGCTCTTGTGACCAGTTATCTTGCAGAGTTTTGTAGATCAGTACTACAGAAAGAAAACGAAGGACATATCATGTTTCAAGCTGCCCAGGCCCCCTCCTTCTGAATGCGAGATGGAGCTACAGTTACGAGGCAGCATTTTACGCTAAGTGCGGCTTAAATTTAAAGGTTGACGGGTGCTGCCGGCACCGGGTGAACGGTCCGATTAAGATGGCGAGCAGACACATCGGTAAGGGACGGGCCAACCAAGACGCGAGAACGCGAGAAACTAGGTAGGTATTGTACAACATCTCGAAATCCGATTGGTCTCGGAGAGCGGCAGTCGTACTTCGTATTTTGGTCTATTCAGGCTATCCCCTTGTATCTTTGTTTATACCTGGCTCCAACCACCCTGCAGCATGCACCTTATCGACTAGGGTCTGTATTTCATGCTTGAACTACAAGGGGTTAGGTTGATGATCGGATGACGACATGCGCACAGGAGAAATAGCAAATCTGTCTCTGATCTTTAGGGCCTGTTCGGTTTACTATATCTATATGTTCGTTAGCTCTTTTAGGGAATCCCGAGTATACTAACTTCTACGCTAGCTAAAACACAAGGCAGAGAGAAGTAAATTACACAGTAGAAGCCATATATTCTATTCTTTACAAGGCTGCGTAGACCGCTGAAGTAGGCCTAGAAACGCCCGTTGTGCTAGAACACAATACAGATGCACTATGTTCTTGCTGCTGTCTCTTATCAGCATGTTCGCTCCCTGATCTCGTAGCGCCGTATCCCGCCCCAAATTTACCACGCTAATCTAAAACATGGATATGGAATAGGTATGGCCAACCGAACAGGTCCTTGCAAAGGAATCGTGGGGCTCCTCGTATTGCAGAAGGTCTGACCTTCCCACATCAAAAAGTGTGGGGGCTCGGCACACTTGACCTTCTCGGCATACACGAGTAGAAGTAGGAATCAGGATTGTGACTGCATGGCATAAGTGCCAAAGACGTACCGAGGGTGTGGGAATGCAGTACCAGCAAAATTAAATTTACCGGATCGTGACAGCATAAGTTGACCTGCAGCCCCTTCAGAGCATGAAAGCTGTTGCTATCGACTTCTCCAAGACATTTCTAATTCAATACAATTCGTCATACTTCCAAGGATGACCAACACCCTGCTGGAAGGCAGCTGCTGCTGCGGCGCAATTCATATCAGGTCTACCGGTGAAATCCAGGCCAAGGTACGAGACCAGTCTTTGCTTACCTCTGTCAGTTGACTGAGCATGCACAGGCTCTCTGTCACTGTCTCGATTGCCGTAAGATTACTGGCTCGGCGTTTTCGACCAATTTTATTGTCCCAAACGAGGGGTTCTCAGTGACAAAGGGCTCGCCCAAGTCGTTTAGCAAGAAGGCCGAAAGTGGCAATTTCATCACTTCTAACTTCTGTGGGGACTGCGGCTCTACGCTTTGGCGTCAGAGCGAGACGTTCGGTGATACCAAAATTATTAAAGTTGGTACCATTGATGGAACTGCTATCGAGGACATCAAACCAACAAGTGAGCTGTTTATTGCCAACCGCATATCATGGGTATCACCTGTTGAAGGTGCTGAGCAAAATCAAAACCAGTAGACACAATCCATAGCTTGTTGGTGCGTGGGCGTGTTAAAATTAACATAATGACGCTATCTTTCACCCCGAGCACGTTTTCACCGACGACCGTGACGTGAACTTCTCCTTTTTATGTTAGATTGTGGAAGGCTGTGTATTCGTCAAATAGGACCGCAGGTGGCCCTTTTTCGTCTGTGTCTCACGGCAAGACTTGAAGACAGCAAAGCCATCATTCTTGGCACAATAAAGGAGTCTGGGTGTTTGAGAATACTGCCGACAAAGACGATGCCATCAGAGTCAAAAAACTATAAGAGTTGATGTGTGTCTCTCTCACGGACAACATCGATCATCAACAGGCGTTCAAGAACAGTGTCATACAGATATCCATGAACATGCTCTTCTCCATTATCGCCTCAGCACTCCTCATGTGCGGCCATGGCGTTTTCGCCGCCCCAGACCGTAATACATTATCTGTGAACCGTCCCTCGAAGCCACTTCTTCGCTACACTGGCCCTGTAACACCGCCTCAGCTGAAGTACGCCTTCACCGCGAAGGTGGACTGGGACTTGGACAATGTACGTAAATGGAATCAGTCTATTACAGCACGAGCACTTACCACCGCGGCAGAACCACACGATTGAAACGCCAGTGGGAACACAGACTAGTTTTTGGAGTCGAGAGTAATTTACCCTCTGGAAACCTTGAAAACTCTCCGACACGCGAGCTGACAATCTCTCTTTCTAGAGGTTATTGGTACGACACAAAGGGTCGACAAATTGGCGAGGTGCTTCGTGCTAATGACGACGGCATTGTTGCTCCTGGGACCAACTACCTTGAGCTTGGTACGTATCTTCAAGATCGCAGTATAAGACAGGACTGATGAATTGCTGTTTGTAGTGATCAATTACGTCGTAAAGCTCGAGGACGGCTATTGGGCATACGCCACGCACACTGGCATTGCTATTCTCCGCCAAACACAAAATGGCATTGTGTAAGTCTCTTCTCCCGTGGGACTTCCTAATCGAATAATCTTACAATTCAATGCAGTCGTGTGAAGACTGAGTCTCCGAAGTACAAATGGCTTAACTGGGTTGATTTTATAGCCCCGGGCAGTTTTAACAAGACTGAGGTCAAGACTATACACCACTACTTTCCTACCGTAGGTTCATACAACATACAGTATAGTTTACCCTACTAACTTATATTCAGTCTGACTAGTATACTACTTACTAAACTAAGGAGTACTAAGGCATCCTTGCAGGTGTACTATAGAATCTTGTACCTGATTTCTGCTATTAGAAGTTGTTTCTTGTATTTTACGATCTTATTGTTTAGTTATATGTATACTACCATGTTTTATATATTGTTCCACAGACCTAGTATGCATATATCCTGTTAAGCTACATAAACAGAATATCAGGAATATTCTAGTAGCTTCCTCGTGGCTATTTTAGCTTGATTAACTATCGTTCTTGTTATTTAGGCTCGCATTGCTGTACATACTATCCTAATTAGAGCGAGTTACAATTGTGAGCACCTGCAACGTTCCTCATCAGGCTAGACTGACTTGGGGCGTCAAATCTGGCTACTTCCATGCCAATAAGTGAACTATGGCGCTCTTCGTACAGATTGCTTCTCAAGATCATATGCATACCGTACACCGACCCTGAATCGATTCTTATCTCGTGCTAGATGTTCCCTGCACTAAAGTAGACGTCCGAAGACCACTCGGCTGATCAGATTCGCTGCTTGCGGTTGGATCTGGGACGATGTGAGATAGTATCTACCTACTATTCTGATATCTATATATATGCGTGGGGGGTGTAAGCACTAATATGCAGAGCAGGACTTACAGGTAGCAGAGTATACACTCATGTGCAATGCAATGCGTGCGTATATTATGCTCGTGCGGCTGGTGGAGCCCGGACCCCTCTTCCTGGCGTCCCTGTGCTTGTCGTGGGTTTCTAGGAGCGTGGAACGCTGCGCTGGTCCTTTGGGCTTGGGGGTGCTTCGGCTCATGTTCAATACGTTGCGTGGCTTGAAAGCCATCTTTGAGCTTGGAATTTGCATTTTTATATAGCGACGGATAGATAGCTGACGATTTCAGAACGCGGTATTAAGAATGTGTTGGTCAAGTATCGGTGATTGCCAGGATGTGCAGACCACCCTAAGACTAGTACAAGGTGTATAGGACGGGAGCCTACTTGTCTGTATGTAGTGGACAGTATTGTAAGTGGTTCTTACCTTTAGTCATACACTACAACCTGTCAAACGAGTATCTAATAGCCACTTAGGGTTAAGTATGTATGCAGGTGTCCCACGGACAGCTCGCAGTAGGGGCCGACAAGCCTCAAGGCACTGCAAAGCTCTACCAGCGAGCGTCACGCACGAACGTTCGCGCGACGCAGCCGGCAGTTAATCATATGCCTGCACACTAACTCAAGGGTTTGCGCGCGCGCTTCTTATAGATCTCTACCTACATCACATCCTATCTTACCTATAAGCACTTTACGCTAGACTACCTAAGCATCTAGCTACCAACACTAATATAGCTAACTACCTGCTATATCTCCTATAGTAATATCTGCTGTAGTATTCCTATTAGCTGCTAACACGCACACAAGCACCCTTATACTGTAGACAGTCTAGTATAAGCGCTGCTGGTAGCAAGCTTACGGCATGGTAAGCCGTCTCAGCACGCTGCGGGCCGGGCTGTAGTAGCGGGGCGGGATGAGCGTGTGCGACAGCGGCGCAAGGGGTGACGCGTGCTGGCACGGTGGGTGAGTGTCAGTTGGGATGTTTTCTGGATCCTCACTTGCCTTACGAAGTACTGGACCCCGCTTCAGTTACCCGACTACAGTTTCAAGACACGTGCGCCAAATTATACTGAGACTCATATGATGTATCAGATTACGTGTAATGCTTACTCAACTTACGCGCCGCACTTCTCGCCGTCTGATTCTCATCCTGAGCTGTACATGTACATTTGCGAAGTAGACTCAACAACCTCGTCCCAAGCCCGGCACTATCTGAGTCCGCACCAAATGCCGATTGCATCAAAGGCATATTCCGCACAAAGCTCAATCCGCCCCGGTGTTACAATGTCATATGTAAGGATCGCAAAAGTTGAGCTGAAAAAGCTCGCTGAGCAGGACTTCGCCTATAGAGACGGGACGAGGCCTGGTCGCTTTCGATTTCTTGACTGTAAAAGATATATTGATGAACAGTTGGTCTGCATCCAAGAGTTCACGGGGCTTCCAAAGTCACAGTATGCCGCGACCTCGTACGTCTGGCGAGGGTTGAAAGCACAGCAGAAGTATGCTTGCGCCGTTCCCTTCTCTGCAAAAGGCGCTGAAGACGCAGATCCAATGTCTTTTAGCCTGTTGCACACCGCGCCTGTTGCACACCGTTTGTGTTGCTGCACTGCACTTCAAATGCCCCTTGCTATGGCTCGATCGCCTGTCCATCATCCAGACCAGCCACGGAGATATAAGACATGGCAGATCAGCAACATGTTCGATGTCTACCAGCAATGCAAAGTCTGTTTAGTCCTCCCCGGCGGCTTAGCGGGACTTGCGAGGCTCACCGAAGAAACACCATGGATCCATCGCGCTTGGACTTTACAAGAGTCGCTGGCCCCTCCGTCAGTCCAGGTCCTATATGAATGGCCTTGCGGCTCTTGCTTCCTACAGAGCACCAGACCTATCAAGGTCCTAGAAGTTGAGTCTCAGAAGGCCGCTGCAACGAGTCTGGACATGCTCATCGCAGCCTGCATGGTTTCTTCCACGGTAGAGTCAGGACATCCTGCCAACCCAGGACCTAGATCCCGCTCAACGGTCTCTGACAATTCAAGATTAGCGTTAGTAAGTCAAGGGCAAGATCCGGGCGAGAAGGCGTTTTGGAGTGAAGAGGAATGGTCAGACCACGTGACCAGCCTACTCAGGAGACCCAGCAAACTGACACCCAGGATCCTGAGCAATCGAAACAAAGCCGGACGTTTACACTGCCTGAACAAACTTCTTGCGGCTCTGACTCAGGACTCGAGCGAGGGGAGGGCAAATGCTATATGGCGATCAGCGCTCTTACAGACCTTGTCCAGGCCAGTGGACATGGTTTTCAGCATCATGGATCTCCTGGGCGCGCATCTCGACCCTGCGTCTTTCAGCCCCGCAGAGCGACACAACGCCACCGTTCGCCTCGCAAAACAGCTCCTGCAGCGGGGCTGCCGCGCAGAATGGTTAGGCGCCATTCCCAGCGCACGTATACCCGCTGGCCTGGGCACAACACCTATCATGCCGCAAAGAGTGTTGAAGGACGAGCTTACGTGGAAACTTTCCAAGGCCGTAGAGAGATATCCGGCCTGATTGGGGACAGGTATGGCGAGACGTGGTGGTGGCTTGACGGTGCGCCGAGAGGGTCAATGGACGACTTTGGTGTCCTGAGGATTCGGGCAAAAGCGGTGGCGGTAGAGAAGGGCGGGAAGTTCCCTAACATCACGTGTTGTCCACACAACCACGCCCCAGATCGATCCCATTGCAATGTCATTGTTGATTGCGCAGACCAGCAGCAGTGGCTTGCCAGGTCGTCAGCAGGCAGCGGCCACTTCGCTGTATATATCGGACGACGGAGTCGCTACCTACATGGTTTTGTTGGATGAGCTGAGGAAGAATGCGGAGCGCTTCTGATGATCTTGGGTCCATACTCGAACAAGGGCAGGCTTACCTTTAAGATCATTGGATATGCATGGGTTGATCCACTAAACTACATAGAAGATTGCTGGCACAAAGAGTACTTTAGTATCCATCCGTAGGTCAGACCAAGATTTGATAGCTCCTAAGATAATGATGGCTAGAAAGTGCGGACCACCTTATTTGTGGGATTTGGCAGGGGTAATGGCCGGACCAATCGAGCCAGTGCATCTGTCCAGTGCCACTTCCACTAGGGAACGGTGGGGTTGGTTGTCGAGAAAGTGAGGCAATCTCACAAGCCAACGCGGAGAGTGAGGCACAAGCACACCGAACACATCCATCGACGTAGAGTAGTATATCGCGATGAAAAGCGCAAAGGCGGAGCCACGCCTCAGCACCTGGCCAGGCTGTTCTCGCCCAGTCTACCGTGCGGAGCATACGCGGGCGCTGGACAGCGACTTACGCATTCAGAAAACTCAGGCAGGTATTGCGGTGTGAATAAGCGGTCCGTGTGTCCAAAGGGCTGCAGGACGCAGTGAGCCCCGGGAGGTATAAGCATTAGCCCGGCAAGATCGCTGGCTGGTCAGCGGTGTGGCATCGGGCCCCGTCCTGCACGCTCTTGTTGGGGACTGGAGACGTAATGCGAGCCGGGGGGCGGGTCTGGTGAGCCGTCGGCTGGTTTGGGGCCATGGCCATCAGGACCTGCGCGGTTGTTCCTCGCGGAAAGGGGTCTCGCGGAAGCAGAAGCACGGTGCGTGGGGGACGGATGGGAGGCGGTGCCGCGCGGGAGTCTGGCGGGAAAGTACAGCCAGCGAGCCGATCCGCGGCTGAAGCTCTTTGAGTGGGTGAGTCACCAGGGTGGCAGCGATGTGCGCTGGACAATCGCTTGATGGGAAAGAGTATGTTCACAGTGAGCAGAACGAAGACAAGGACTCTGGCCCAGCGTTGTAAATTAGTGAAAGGGGGCGTAGCCGTTGTTTTGCATTCCGATTCGCCCAGGGTCGTGCTATCTGCCAGTTCTCTTTTCTGAGTTCTCTGTTTTTGATAATGCGCTGTTGTTTGAGATGATGGGCGCGTTGCGTCGACACTCTCGTGCCAGTCTGTCTGGCTGCACAACAGCCGTGTTTCTTTCCCCTAAGCTCCCTGCATCGACAGCGCGTGGTACTTCTGCAGTCATGAGGTAGTGTTCAAGCAAGCTGCGAGCTATGCTGCTGCGCCGAAGCCTCCTGTGCTGCCGAAGCCACCAGCGCCGCGCACGCTCTCGTCCAGTTTCGATACGACGACGACCTCGGGCATGGCGATCTGAAATTGTTAGCACTAGTCAGCCACACGTGCTGTGCCCAGATATGCCCGACATGCTCAGAACACGCTCAGGGAATTCTTGGATATCTTGGGGCATTCCAGCGCCACAACTCACCTTCTCAACAATCAATTGCGCCACGCGGTCCCCAACCTTGACCTCGAAATCCACATCCGACAGGTTCGCCAGGATCACGCCCACGGGCCCGCGGTAGTCCGCGTCGATGACGCCCGCCAGCGTGTCGATGCCGTGTTTCGCCGCCAGCCCGGAGCGCGGCGCGATGCGGCCGTCTGCGGTGTGTCAGTCGCGCTCGTCTGGTGCTGCTCATCCACACGCCGCGGCCACATGGCGCAAACAGCGTGTGTCGTTGCAAGGAGAGAGAGAGTACGCACATGTTCCCACCGGCACGCTCACGCTGATATCCGTCGCCACAATCGCCCTCCCTCTTGCCTTAATCACCACATCCTTGGCCGCGTACAAATCGTGGCCCGCAGCATACACACTCCCCTTCGTCGGCGCACGCGCATGCTCGCTCAGCAGGAGAACCTGCAGCGCCTGCTCCGCGGCAGCGGCGGCAGCGATACTGGGCGCGACGGGCGCAGGCGGCGGGAGTGACATGCTGCTGGGTGTTGGGGTCGCGGCGCCGGAGTCTGAGGGCGTCGGATCGATGAGTTTTGTGCGTTTTGGGAGGGGGGAGGGGGGCAGTGAGGGCGGGTTGTGGGTGGATGGGGTGGGGGGCTGCGGCGGGCGTTGGGGTGGGAGAGGGCATTGCTGGTGGGCGTTTGTGTGTGGTGTGGAGTGGAGATGTGGGTGGGGCGCGACGCGACGCGACGAGACGCGTAGTGCCAAGACGCGCGCCGAAGGGGGAGGGGGGGGGGGGGGGGGGGGGTCTGCGACGTCGGCCTGGAGGTTGTGACTACATATTCAGCCTTTCTGGAGAGATATGAGCGATGATGAGCGACGTGCTGTTTTCAATTCTCAATTCGCGGCGTTGTCGTCATATTGCGTTGAGGCTGGGTTGCAGACGCTGCGGTCGGATTTTGGAGGGTGAGACTGCATTGACTCGATGCAGCGACTCGGTGTCGATACGAAGATGTCTGTTGTTTTGCTGTTATCGTGTTCAGGTTTGCGGCTCTTTTCTAGGCTCCTCAGAGCTTGCCCTGTGCAGTAGTCGCGTGATTAGTGAACAGTATGGAGGTGCGTCGCTGTGAACCTCGATGCTGCGGTTTTTTTCACATCTACAATCAGAATGAGGCACAATGATTCAAGAACTTCGCCGTCGTCACTTTTCTTGTCGTCCTTGCCTGTCGCCTTCTTTTGTTGTCCGTTCTGTGTCCGGCCGTTATCGCTTGTTGCAGATCCAAGCTTCACCTCCCGCCGCTTACACGCTTTACCACCTTGGCTGTCTCCACTCTTCTTGGGCGACCATGACCTTCCCCATATGCTTTGGGGACTGCGTCCGGGGTTGGAGAGAATGTCGGGGGGAATTCACGTCGTCGTCAGCCGTGGTGCATCCTACGAGCCGCAATCGAGTCAAGCTTCGGCTCACGGCTGCTGAGACTGCCGGCGTGCTTGTGCTCCACGGCAGAGGCGTCCTATCTTGAACTTGAGTGCAGCTCGGGTGGTGGTCTGACACGAGCACATTTGACTTGAGTGCATCGGGGTGCAGATCTTGAAGAGGCTCGTTGAGCGGCTCACATGATCAGAGCTGCCTCGGAGCACGGGTCTTGACGTCGAAAGGTTGGCGTGGCTTGATCAATAGCCCGCCAGCTTCATGAGACCTGGGCGTCCTATATCGTGACGGTGCCAAGTAAACAGCTGATCAGCGTGTGCTGATCCATCACCACCACAGCGTGATGCAGCAGTCGCGATCCCCAGGCTTTGTGTACCCCGCAGCAGCTGTCACCACGCAGATCCTCTCGAAGCCCGCGGAGACAGGGCCTCCCCATGGCACACGATCAGGGTCTCCACAGGCGTCGCAATCAAAGCTGCTCGACCATGTGGAGATGGACCTGGAGTCGTGCCGGCCATTCACAAAACCTCATCAGCACCAGACGCGGCATTTTCATGCACGACTCCAGCGACGGGCGTGATCCTGGGTCGACAGGGCGAGGCGTGTGGCTAGTGGCCTGAATCCTCCCGTGAGTTGTTCCAAGCGCGTCGAATCTGCCAGCCCGGAGGAGCCATGCTGCCGAAAGCCTCCCACCACGGCGGCCGAGACCGCGCTAGCAGGCTAAGCGTGCCACGCAGAGCTTGTTGAGCCTCCAAACACCAGAGGGAACTAATGCACCCCGCTGTCCATCAGTAATGCAACGGCCAATCGACGCCCAGAAGCAAAATTTTGCGGACAGCGACCCATCTGCCCCTTCACGATCCACTTTGTGGCCCATGGAGTCGGCCGATTACGAGCAGCGCTCGTCTGGAGCAGAGCCTCAAGCACGCTACCCTTCCAGCGGTATCCACGCATCGCGCCATTCCAGATGGCTTCCATGCCCGAGCTCAGACGAGCTGCTGGGAGCCTTGCATCGTGGCCGCATGTCAGCGCGTGGTGCTGGTCGCACAGTTCGGCTGACCAGCTGCGTGGAATGAACCATGGTCCAAGATGATCGTCATGGTTCCCACAAGCCATTATGAACATCAATGATAGCCACAGGATTAAACCACTCAAGAGTGACAAGAGATTCAAGCTCAAGCTGGCCAGGATGAGGTCAGCGGCATGTTGGCTGGTGCGCCCTGGCTCATCCACCATGCACCCTAAACGCTCACGGTCGGACTAGCGACCTATCACAGCATCTAGCATCTGTAGCTCCGCCTCGGCCTGCCGTCTGACCCTCCGATGGGGCTGCATGGGGAATATGTGTGCTCGTGATCTACTCTTCGATGCTGAAACCGTCACGGCACCGCATTCGGAATTTGCCACTGACTCTATCGCCATGGTGAGCGCAAGTCGAGGAACTTGATGAATGTATTGTAGGCATGTAGCATACTCAAATCAACGTGTCTTGACATGAATTCAAATGTAACAGCGCAGTGGCCCAGTCTGGTGCGCTCCAGTTCCAGCGCTAAGGCTGTTGGGGTACGATGCTCTACAGACGCAGTGCGTTCGGACCCTTCTCCACTATCCAATAATACTCTAGCGCCGTACTCCATGCTCCAGCCTGTGGACTAGTAGTCTGCCCATGGGACTCCGCACATCATGTAAACAGGCGCGAGTACTTAAGTCGATCGTCTGCCGCTGTTGAAACCATCCTCACTGCGGTGCCTCTCTTCTCTTCACACCCAATACAGCGAAGACATCTGCAATCATGGGTTTCATGCTCAAAGCCCCCCCTGGCACGCCGGGTTCGGCGGCACCTGCCATCATGATCGGCCTGTTCGTCGCCTTTGGCGGTGTTCTCTTCGGGTATGTCACTCCACTTTACTAATCAAGCATCTCTAACAGCCACAGTTATGATACCGGTACCATTGGTGGTATCCTTGGTATGGCCCACTGGAGAGAGCTCTTCTCCACTGGCTACAGGAACACCAAGGATGGCCTTCCCGATATCACATCGGAACAGAAGTCTCTCATCGTGTCTATCCTGTCGGCCGGTACCTTCTTCGGTGCTCTCACTGCTGCCCCTACCGCTGATCTCCTCGGTCGCGTCATGGGTCTCGTTGCCTCCAATGTTGTCTTCTGCGTCGGTGTTATTCTCCAGACCATCGCCACTGACATTCCCCTCTTCGTCGCCGGCCGTTTCTTTGCCGGATACGGAGTCGGTATGATCTCTGCGACCATCCCTCTCTACCAGTCTGAGACCTCGCCCAAGTGGATCCGTGGTGCAATTGTTGGCTGCTACCAGTTCGCTATCACCATCGGTCTGTTGATCGCTGCCATTGTCGACAACGCCACCAAGGACCGTCCCGACACCGGCTCGTACCGCATCCCTATCGCGGTACAGTTCGCCTGGGCCATCATCATGTTTGTGGGCTGCGCCTTCATCCCTGAGACCCCACGTTGGTTCATCAAGAAAGGCCGTCCTGAGAAGGCTGCAAAGTCGCTGTCCAAGCTGCGCAAGCTGGACCTCGAGCACCCTGCTCTCGTCGAGGAACTTGCTGAGATCACCGCCAACCACGAGTACGAGCTGTCGCTCGGCAAGGCCACCTACCTCGATTGCTTCAAGGGCAACCTTGGCAAGCGTCTCGCGACCGGCTGCCTGCTCCAGGCCCTGCAGCAGTTGACCGGAATCAACTTCATCTTCTACTACGGCACTTCGTTCTTCCAGAACACCGGCATCGACAACCCTTTCGTCATCACCATGATCACATCCTGCATTAACGTCGCATCGACCGTCCCCGGTCTGTGGCTCGTTGAGAAGTGGGGTCGTCGCAAGCTGTTGCTGTTCGGCGCCATCGGCATGGCCGTGTGCCAGTTCATCGTCGCCATCGCCGGCACCGTCGTCGGCACCGACAACCTCCCCGTCCAGCGCCTGCTCATTGCATTCGTCTGCATCTACATTTTCTTCTTCGCGTGCTCGTGGGGTCCTGTCGCGTGGGTTGTCACCGGCGAGATTTTCCCGCTCAAGGTCCGCGCAAAGTCCCTCTCCATGACCAGTAAGTCCACCACCCCAACACCACCACCACGCATTCAACAGCTACTAACTGATCGAAAGCTGCAACTAACTGGTTGCTCAATTTCGGCATTGGATACGCAACCCCGTACATGGTCGATTCCGGCCCCGGAAACGCCAACATGGGCGCCAAAGTCTTCTTCGTGTGGGGCGGCTGCTGCTTCATCTGCATCTTCTTCGTGTGGGCGATGATCTACGAGACTAAGGGCCTGTCGCTGGAGCAGGTCGACGAGCTGTACGGCAAGGTGTCCAAGGCGTGGCAGTCGCCCGGCTTCGTGCCCTCGGTGTCCTTCCAGGACGTCCAGGACGCCAACGTCGATGCGCGCCGCATGAGCCTTACCGATGCTGAGGCGCAGGCTACGCGCAAGAGGTCCGCGCAGTACAATGAGAACTACAACGAGAAGACTGTCGTTTAGGTATGATGGAATGTGTAATGCGGTATGAGGTGGTTGGACTCGGTGTTTTAGTTGGTATATCCATTTGGCTTTCAGGGGCTTGAATATAGCAGGTCCTGGTGTATATTCAATTGCTATCATTTTCACAACTCTTTTGTTGATCTGTCGCACTTTTGAACTGTCACTCCATGCACCCACTAGCACCGCGACCAACCTTGACTCTTCTCACAAAACCCAGCACGAACTCCACGCCTCACACGTCGCCACGGGAACAATAAATGAGGAAAGCGAGCAACTTAGATGGTGTTCGTGTGCCCGTTTTTTGTAGTGCTTTTGAAGTTCGCCGTTGCTGCACGTCCGACCAGTCGCTTGGCAAAACGCGGCGTCAGGGGAAAAGGCGTTTTTCGTTGGGATATTGACGTTCAAGTAGAGTTATTAAGATACAATTCTCTAGTTGATTGGCTGATAGCGATAGTTACAGTACATCCCACAATGTGCTAAGTGGACGGTAGGTGCAGCGTGGCAATTGGCGATCACCTGCGAGCGAGTGCACGACTATACCCTCGGGCCTAATAAGTAGGTATTCATTTACCATTCACACTGGCACCAATAGCATAGTGTATCGTCATTACTTCGTTCATTATCCTGAGACTAGCACTTTTTTGCTGAAACCGTTTGGCATGCGCGGTACCAAAATGAGTCCCTCCCAAACCAAAAACCTTGCCCGCAAATCACTCGCCTGACTGATTAACTTTAAGCTCGCCCATCAATAATGAGAACCCTTCTCCAAAAACCGCCATTGACCCATGGAAAAAAATCGAAGGTCGTAAATGTCCATCGTGCTCGCATGTAGCCGCCAAATGGTGTCATTGGCTGGTTCACTCGAGCAAAGCCAGTACTGTAGTTCAAATTGGAGCCCTTTTGCGCGTTGGAATGACGCATCTGTAGTCCGTCGTAGAAAGCTTTATTCACTCATCTTCCAGATCCTCCTCCAGCTGTGAACTCTTCTTCTCGAGCGCTTCACGCAGAGCCTTGCCCTGGACAGCGTGACTCTTCCTGAGGCGTGCAATCTCGCGTTTGTGACTGTCGTTCAGTTTCATCATCCTGGATGCATACGCGCTCATATCAGCAGACAACTTCGTGGTCTTGGCCACTACTTCGTCGACTTGTTCCTCCGCAGAGAGAATTGCCACCTTCTTCACTTGGATTTGAGACCGGGTGAGTCGGTCGGTTGCCTCCATGATTCTGTCGTATCGAGGTGCCTGCGGAGGTACGTAGGCGGAGTGACCTCGATACAAGCCTTGCAGCTGCACGCATCTCTCGTGAGCAGCCCGGAGGGCTTCACGCATCTCTTCACTTATACTCTTGAGTGGCGGATTCAAGATCTTACCGTCAGCGCTGATGTTGTATGGGTAATAGCTGTGCAATTGTTCAGCTCGGTAAGACCCGTCTTCGATATCATGCTCTTGAAAGAAGCGGACCATACTCTCATGGTCATACGAAGCATACCGAGGCAACACGATATCTTTTGGCGCTCTCCTCAATCTCGTGGAGGGTATGTGGAACCATTCTCGGGGATCATAGGTGTAGCTTTTGAATAACACGAAGAGGTCGCCCCCCGACAACAAGTCGTACTGGATATTTTGAAGACCTCCCACAGAATTGGAAGACCGGGAAGCCATGTTCGCTTGAGTGCCTGCTGACTGTAGATTGTTGAGAAGTAGGACGTTGATTGATCACCGGTGTCGGGTAGCGGGTAGTCGAGGGCTGGGAATGTATGAGAGTGCGAAGGTAAGATCAGAAATCCAAAAGTAAGTGCGTGAATCTTAGCGTCCAGCAAAGAGCTTAGTCGTCAAGGAAGTGTCAAGAAAGTAACGATAAATGAGTTGAAGTATCTCGGAGGTCGCACGAGTGGTCACTCGTGTTGGGTACCTAATAGGTGGGTAGTTTGAGTCTTGAGCTAGTGTCGTGTATCACAGTCCGAGTGCGAGTTTGCAAGTCCACGTGTCGAACGTCTCCAAGGTAGCGAAGAGGGTGAGTATGAAACGGGTAGTGGGTTGTGAGTAGCTCAAGATCGTGTTTTGTATTGGAGTGTAAGTGTAAAGTCCCAAACCCACAGTACCTAGATGGCAGATAACCCGAGTTTTGAGCTTATCTTCGTGTAGAAATGGTGGGTTGCGGGTTTTGGGTTGTGGGTTGTGGGTAGTAGATCGTAGATTGTAGTCGTGGGAAACTTAAAGGCTCAGCAATTTGTGTATTAGGTTGGAACTACGATAGTAGAGACACTAATGTTGTGAATGGTTTATTTAGTTAGGCATATAAGCCTAGGCATTTAGAGTTTCCTTGTCTCTTTTTTAAAGTGAGCAAAATTTGATATAGTCCTCTATCTAACAATGGAGAACCACATAACAACGGTAGCGCATGGTGTCTAATTGAAGTAGCTCAAGTATCGAACTAGTGGTCAATCGTGTTAAGTAACAGGTAGCTATAGGTAGTCTGAATTTTGAGCTTGTGTCGTGTATTAGTGTCTGATTGCGAGATTACAAGCAAGCATCTGGCAAGTCCTAGGTAGTAAGGAGCTTAAGTGTGAAGTTGGTGGCGGTTAGTGAGTAGCTCAGGCGTAAAGCTTGTGTCTTGTATCAAAGTGTAAGTGTAAGGCCACAAGCTCTAAATTTGGAAATTGCGCATAACATGCGTGTTCTCGCATTGCACGCACCGATACAGTAAGTAATACCTTAGTTCTGTTGCAAAGGCCTCCCAACTTCCCGCACTCGAAGAAATCCTACGGAGCTAAGCGCCTAATAAGTCTTAGCTTAAATCTCCAATTGATTCTAGGACTAGTGGCCTGATGGATGATTAAACCCTTTGAAGCCTTCCCTCCGTGTCGGAATCCAATCTCCGGGACTCTTCTATAAGTTCTGTTGGACACTCGTGAGCAGTATAGTCCACCCGGCTTCTCAAAGCCTGAATCTGGCGTTACACTAACTGCAACGTTGAATCTCTTCCAAGCCACCCATTAAAGTGAGATCGCAATGGCTGAATAATTAATGGTTGTGCAGTTGGTGTCAATTATCTTGCACCAATTGCAGCTCCGCAAAGGCTGTCTGAGGAGCCATGCTGGTATGTAGTACGATATTCGTTGGTGCCAAGTATGGTGGGCATCTAAAATTAGATGCTGAATATGTGAATGTACAATATCGAATGCCCAATTGAGGAATTGCGCGCGATGATATTTAAGAGCTGTGTACCCTACGGTTCTAAGCTTCTCATTCTCACATGTGCGAGGTATATCTTCAGAGCCATACAGCATCCGATCTCTCATTTCCAACCACTCCCCTAGCGTTCTGTCACCATGAGGTGCTTAGCCATAATTCTTGTCGCAGCATTATGTGGGCTCGCTCAAGCTGCGATAGAAGCCCATCATTTCGTCAATTCCCGGATCTGGGGTCCCGATGTTATGAGCATGCAAGTATGGGTTGACGGCCACTTGGTCTGTGACGGCGCGGAGTCAATGGAAATGATAAGTAACACGTCTAACTTGTGTATGAGAAACCATGACGGCCAGGGCAAAAAGGATTGCGCACCTGGGTACAGTTGGTGCAGTTGGGACAATGGGAAGCTTGGTCAATTAGAGTATTTTGGTATTCGCCCGCTTTCTTTAACCTCACCGTTGATGGACTGACATTGGAGAATGGAAACTAACTATCTTGTGCTTAGAGAACTCGAAACTAGTCTGGACGTCCCCAGTGGTTACTTCCGCGAAGGGAGACGTTGAAACTGAGATAGAGTGTGGATGTTTACCCGCTTTCCCTGACGAGTGCAAAATAGCAAAGTGCTATTGGGACGAGAACTGTCTGTCTTCGGACGGCAAGCTTCAAAAGTGTAGCTTGTGCGACTTCAAGGCCAATTGCTGGTCAGATCCGCGAAATCCGCCTGCCCTCGACCCTCCTAAGCCTTTTCCTTATCCTAAGAAGGCGTTCAAAGCCTTGATAGTTGGCGATTCTATTACTCAAGGACATTAAGGCGACTTTACTTGGAGATATCGACTATGGGAATGGTTACGCCCGTTGGGGGATGGCACAATTTTCGAAGACGTGGATTTCGTGGGACCATGGACAGGGACCTACCCCCCAGTGAAGCCCGAGACCGCAGAACCAAAACCGCCGCCGTTGATGGGTGACAACCCGGTCGGTAATAGTGACTCTGGTCCAATTACAAATCAGGGTGGCGCATACAACAAGGGTGTGAACTCAGATTTTCCTGATCGACATCTCGCCAGATGGGGATTGCAGGCAGCTCAAGTGAAAAGCCAAGTATTCACCGCTGTTGAAAGATACTCTCCCAGTTATTTGTTGCTTATGATCGGCTTCAACGACATTGGCTGGTTTGTAAGCGATGCTGATGGGCTCCTCAAGACTTTGGGCGAGATTGTGAAGGGAGCTCAAGCAGTCAACCCAAATCTCCAGATTCTGGTTGCCAATATCGTTCATCGTACTGCTATCGGCGGCCGTGAAGACCTAGTCGAAAAAACTACCTCGGTAAATACCAGGCTGCCTGGTTGGGCCGATGAATGGTCGACAGATAGCTCTTCCGTGAAGCTAGTCGACATCGCTTCTGTCTACAAATGTGGTACTGGCGGCTGTCCGGACGGGGTAAGCATCAGCATTGTCCTTTCATCAAAGTCTTCAAAACGCTAATAAATCGCATTAACAGTATGACGGGCTTCATCCCAATGCAGAGGGTGAATACCATATTGCCAGCGAATTTTCGAATGTACTGGTGAAAGATTTCGCCATCGGCAGTGATCGCCTCAAGGTTCCTGCTAGCATTCCTGTCCGAACTGCCTCGGTCCCATCCAATTTCAAAGTTACAGCTGCTCCCTCTGGTATGGTAGCTTCGTGGGACCACGTGTTCGGCGCCTTTGGCTACGAAATTCGTACTGCCATTGGTGATCAAGACTGGTCAGAGCCAATCAGGATAAGCACAAATGCTTATTACTACAGTTGGGTCCGTAAAAATGGTAGGTCCAGTTTCATCGCATCCTAAAAGACTCCGCTCCAAATTCGTTATTTCATGGATGGACAGCTCAACTGACCAAGTTCTGTAATACATAGACAAGTGGTCAGCGTCGGTGCGAACGGTCATGGGAGATGACATCAAATCATCATGGACGAGCACTCAATCAGCAACAGCAAACCCCCAAACCCCAAGACCACCCAGAAATGTTACTACTTCGCCAGCTGGGAGCTCCATGGTTGTGCGCTGGAATCCTTCTCTAGATTCTGTCGAACGCTATGGAGTCATCTACTACGACCAGACAGATAAGGGATTTGCGCAGAGTGTCGGTACTCACGCCAACTACTTGAACATAGATGGTCTCAAGATCGGTCACTTGTACACCGTTGCAGTACAGTCCTGGAACAGCAATGGCGGAGGTTTACCACAGCCTGCACGAGGGGTAATTCCTGGCTCGGGCCGGCCTTTGACCCCGAGGCTTCTCTCGGTAAAGAGCATAGACAATTACGAATTACAACTGAAGTGGGCTGCGGACGTGGTCTATACTGTAGGATATCGTGTATGGATCCGGAACACCAAGGATGGGAAGCCGGCGACTACAGATGAGTATGGCACAACCACAGATCTCACCTACAGTATTTTCTTCATGTTTTCTCCCTGGGACTACGAGTTCTGCGTCACGGCGTACAATGGGGATGTCGAGTCGCCGAAATCGAATTGTATGATTCCCGAGAAGTTATAAAGTGGGCTATCAGAGTATTCGCCTTGGGAGAGGTTAGAGGATCTCAGGTTAAGGCTATTTGGTTTAGCATTCAATGCCCAAGTAACATAGTATTGAAGAACTGTGAGATACGAGGAGAGAGAGCATGTAGAGGGGCGAGAAAGTCATATGTGGTTGCTGGGCCCCTTCTTTCTTCTGCTCAACTCGGCGCTAGCACGTCATCGTCGAAAGACGATGCTAAAGAAATCAACTACAGGATGTCAAGGTTAAGTAGTTAATATGTCGCAAGACTTCGCAGCAGCTGTTTGTCAACAAACTATAAAGAATAGAGGTGTACAAAGTATTTTAGCTTTAATGTTAGCACTTCATTGTCTAATCTAGTGTGCTTTACTATTAGTTGTAGAGAGGTGCTGCTATAAGAAGAATATTTAAGGATCTACATTGATCACTTACCGCTGCTATACTGTAGTGCCGCACAAAACACTGCAAGACATTAAATGACTTTTTTTTATTGCAACATACGCCCTAGACAAGCATAATCTAACTACATCATGATCAAGTACAGAGACCTCGCTGAGCGCTTGTGAACATTTAGCTTGCTTCTGAACCAAGGCGTTAACATCACCACTAAGAGCGTGTGCAGCGAGCCAGAGCTTCTTTTACCAACGCGAAAGCCTCTTCTTCGTCCCATCCGTCTCTTTTGATCGTGTTGGCAATTATTCCCAAAGAATGTCCCATCCATATTCGTAGCGTTGATGCGCAGGTGCGCGGTATTGAGCGTCATATGATTGTAGTTCAAAGGGCAATCTGGTTGGAAACGGGTAGTGGGTTGGAAACGGGTGATGGGAAACGGGTGGTGGGTTGTACTGGGATAGAGGCACAGGTGTGTCAATTGATCGGAGAGGCGAGTGAGGTGTAGCTACCTAGGTAGAGTGATAGGTAATAGAAGACTACGTAAGCGAAACGCAGTCACATGTAATCCGGACGTTCATGGTGACATAATCCTCATGTTGCAAGTGAGAAAGGCCGGTCTGTGAGGCTCAGGATGACTGGAACGGAGCGCGACTGTCTCTAATGCGCCGACGGTGACCGAGAAAGCTCAGGTGGTCGAGGCAGGATGTTCAGGTGTGCTTGGATCGTCTATCATGAGTCATTCGAGTGCATTTGAATCACGTATGTGCAGCGGGCAAGCAAGACATGGCCACGCTAAAGTTAACGCCAATATAACAGATGAGATAGCCGCCGTGAGTGTGTGCCTTACCCTTCATTCTGACCTTCCCAGGTTCTATAAACGGATATGTCAAGGGCACAGATAATCGAGCCGAGGCTATTAAACAAGGATAATAAAAGACATACAAGCGCCTAGAGGCATTCAGAGTTTCCTGATCTCTTTTTTCGAAGTAAGCAAAATTTGACGTAGTCCTCTATCTACTTATCACCTCACGAACATCCAATAGGGCTGCGATGAAGGGCTCCGCTATGTTCTAATACCGACGCCTTTTAGCCCAAACACCGACAGAGCATAAATTGTTCAAGGCTTCTATTCTCTTGCTTTAAGCCTAGAACTCTGCAGAATAAGAATGCAAAGACCGACTGCCTCCAACAGGTTCTTTCATTACGAGAACTATTAGCCTAGCTACTTCGTACTTCTACTACAAAGTCAGCGATGCAAAATATTAGACAATGCGCAGGCACTGTTGTAAACAACCCAATTGCATATTTTACATACTACGTTCTTGTGCATAGCTGCGTACAAGACAGAAGCCAGTACGACCTCGAGGTCGTACAAGCAGACCCTCAGATTCAAGCTACGACAGAGCCCGAAACAAAGCTCTGGCGGTAGGCCTCATAGTATCCTAGAGAAGACACCTCGATCAGAACGGCGGATTGAAGACTACGAGATATTTTACTAAAAGTGCAAATCATGATAGAAAGAGCTGAATTTCCCTTCGCTACACTACGCAGAGGACCATCTTGGAATGCGTATAGTGGGAGGTATTTGGCACCTCCAAGCCGGGTCATGCACGCAGTGCTTGTATCATGTTGAAAGACATTTCTATGAGGAAATGCAACGTAACTGCGGAGTTGGGGAGCTCTGATATTTAGCAACGCTGAAGATAAGCCTGAATAGGCATGAAGAGTCGGTAGATGCATGAGTACGTTTCAAATGCCCGGCGCACGAATTGGTTCGGGATCAGCAACATCGCAACTGTGCTCTGCTGATGAGGCCCCAGTCATTTGGTACACTCCATCCAAGATGAATTCTGTTCCTTTGTGGTATGTGTCTTTGTTTGGTGGGTGGCCGAATACATCTTCGGATGATCTGTTGCTTAAGCTGCCGGTGTATTCCGTAGACAAGAGATAATCGACTGTTCGGGCCAACCCTCCCGTTCGCACAAGCTTGTTGTTAATTGCGTCGTCTGGGAGACATCGCAGAAATGCTACTTGCATTACTGGATCGAGTTTCAATGACGCGATCATCGCTTGCACGTGTTGTGTTCGGACCTAAGCATACAAATCGATGAGGTGGGTGACGACGTATGGCGATAGCGAAGATTGCCTGAGTACCATGCAAGAATATCGACGGCATATGTCAAGTGTATGCGCCATTGAGTTGACGGCTGCGATAGCGAACTGGCGCTCGAAATAGTCCAGCGGGTCGTCAGCGATGTTGACCTCATCCGCCTGCTGCTGTGCTGCGGCCCCCACTATGTCATGGAGCATATCTTCTTTGAGTTCGCAAGAACTCTCCTTAATCTCCGAGATCCTCTCGTAGATATTGACGATAGGCCTGCGCTCTTCTTCGTCGCTCATCTCGACCTGGCATACCTGCTCATCCTTCGGAAAGAGGATGTCGTAGGCTTCCTTCCAACTAAACTTATCAGCACTCTAGAACTTGTGGACCTGAGCGTTCCTTATATGCTATTGAAGTGAAGATGTCTGTCATCAGACTCTCTTTCGTCTTGCCTTCTACAGGCGGTGCGGTGCCATGCGGTGACCTCGTCGTGGTCTGCGATCGACCGGTTCCATTTGATTTTGACTTCCATGGGTGGTACGATCCCTGCTCTTTTATAAGCCGTCGCTATTCTTTTGATATCTCGGACGTCGTTGAGAGCCTCTTCAAGGGAGCTGTGCTGACCGTTTGGAGGTATTTGATCAAGGAGCCAGCCAATGACATACTTCGTGTGTCGCTTGCCCCTTCTGCGGACTTCGTGAGGGTATTCCATGCCAATTGGGTAGCAGTGTACCGGGTGATGGTGGTAGAGGATTGATTCTGCAATGTTCTAACGTGATAAAATATCTATCGGCGGTCAATACCTACGTAGCAACGAATGCAATTATAGGTAGGTGAAAACAAAACTCAGAGTGAAGCTGCCTAAGTGGTTTGCCTTAGCTTGTGATCTTACGTAACACTCGAATTTGCAGACGACCTACTCTTGCCTCAATGTGCCGTGATTTTCGTGTGTCGGGTTTCCGGTGTCGAGTTTCCGGAGTTGGGTTTCTGGTGTTGGGTTACTGGTGTCGAGTTGCCGGTGTCAGGTTGCCGTTGTTGGGTTGCTTCTACAATAGCAGGTAGATAAAGAGTCCTTCTTCTTCAAGCATTAGGCAAGCATAGGTAGCACATTACCGGATGTAGTGCCAACTTCTCCTTCCAGGTTTGATCTGATTTTGGCTTTCTACCACCCACCACTGCTACCGATTGCAGGCTTGGCTGCGCCACACATACAACTAAGTTCTCAGTCCATACTCCCGACACATCTCGCTACTCGCTACCCGCTACCCGTTACCCGTTACCCGCTACCTGACTCAGTCTCGGCTGCGACTCACATCCACTCGTACCTATAGGCCAAGTTTTCAGAGTACCTATCTCTCACTACCTTATGGCGGAAGAACACTTAGCCTCTGAAGTAACGAAGGTTTGTAATGCTTTGCATTCAGGTATCAAGAATTAACTAACACGTGTCAGCGCATCCATGACTACCTCGAATCTATCTACGACAGCTCTGACGACTCTCTTGCTGAAGACGAGGAGCCCGAGCCGAAGCGCCGCCTCCGAACTGTATATGGCGCGTCTAAAAAGATAGATCGACCGAGAGAGAAAATATGCGATTGCGAACCGATGCCTCCGAAGTCAAAGCAAGCGCCGATCAGCTCAAGGAGTTATCCGAAATGTTACTACAAGAAAACAAGCGGCTCGAACGTGAGGTTACCGAGCTCGAGGACGATATGAAGTCATTGGACGGCGATATCAGTCGCTTGAAAGTTGAGAGAGACGAGAAGGAGGACTTATTGGGCCTCAAAGCAGTCGAGCTCGATGACGTCCAAAAGACTGCAAAATCTGATGTCGAACGTCTCGCCTATGCACAAAGGGCACTCCACAACGTCAGTGGAAATATGGAGAGGACATTACAACAGCTTGAACAGCTTCTGCAAGAGATCAAAATAGAGAGGCAGAACCATGCTGCTACCAGACAAATGCTCGCAGATGAGCAGCATGCCCACCGTAAGACGCACTCTAAACTCGAAGACGTTGTGGAGCCCGACACCGCACGGCTTGAAGATGCAGTGGAAGAAAGGGCCTAGTGGTTTTAGGAGGAATTGGGTCGAACTGAGATTGCAAATACTCGAAAGTTCCATGTTCGGAATACTTAGGAGTGTTCCGTGTCGCCATACCTCAGTCGATCAGGCCCGAAGAGGGAGAACAGTAACAAAGCGGTGGCAGAAGGACAAAGTCTGGTTCAACAACCACCCAAAGTCGGCTCCTATTCGCCAGAACTGCGTAAATGTAGAGGTACATTAATTGACTAGGTTCTCTACCTCTTATAGACCTGACCATCTTTCAAAGTCTCCTGCGTCAAGATCAAACATGTCAAGCATTCTGCCAACGCTCTGAGTTACAATATCATCTACAGACTGAGGTCGTGTGTAAAATGCAGGCACAGGCGGAAAATTGATGCCACCATTGTTGTGAATGGTAGTCATGTTCTGTAAATGAATACCATTCAGAGGCGTCTCCCGCGCAACGACCACGAGTTTTCTTCGTTCCTTCAAAATAACGTCGGCGGCTCGCGTAATTAGATCTTCGCCAAATCCTGTAGCCACCGCACTCAAGGTTTTCATGCTACAGGGAACAATTATCATGCCTCTGGTGCGGAAAGAACCACTTGAGATCGGGGCTGAGACGTCGGAGGAAGAATAAGACTTCGTTGCAAGAGCCTTGACTTCTTTGACGGTGTAGTCGGTTTCGTATGTCAGATTGGATGCAGCCCATTTGCTGATGATCAAATGGGTTTCGATGTCCATACGTCGTAACGTTTGGAGGAGTTTAACGCCAAGGGCTGCGCCGGTAGCTCCAGTCATGGCTACAATGATACGGATTGGTACTTTCGGGGCCATTACTCGAGTAACATCTTGGCAAGAAGAATTTCCAGTAATCGTGCTAAGCGCGGAGCTATCAGGGACTGGCTGTTCCTGTATTGGGCGAGAGTTGCTGGGCGATGCAGTCGATCCTTTCAGATCTGCGTCTGTATGAGGGTGTGACCTCAGAAGGTGCAGCGCAGGCTGTATAGACTTAAAGTTGGAGGTTGCACTCCTCATGCGAATGAACTGGAGCAAAAAAACTGCTGCTATGCAGCCTGACACTAGACCGGCAATGAACATGGCAACGTAGATAAAGGTAGTATGGAGTGGGAACACGAAGTTGAAGTAAATTCGTCAAAGGTGTATTGCGGACTTCTCTGCTGCTCATCGGTATTTATCAAGTCGACAGGACTCGACTGTGAAAAGTCATTAGAAGACGTCTTTCTGCCTTCGGCTTCGGCTTCGGCTTGCGCTGTGGCGGTGTTACAAATTCAGCGCGTGGCATCGGGATCGGGATCGGAGGGCTCGGATGCTACGGCATGACATCTCGTCGGCCGAATCACAAGACGCTCCAACCTTCGATCCCTGGAATTTGCAATAAACGGGTCCAGCGACTAGATATATATGTATCAACTCCCGTACATTCAATCATGTTTTCATCCAACTCATTCCACCTACCTAGTCAAGAGAATCGCCCTTATTTCTGCTACATTCAGCTGCACACGCACGAACATCATCTTCATGGCTCCCATCAATATTCCATCCCAACAGCTTGAGCCGCATCTCAACTTCCGCTGTTTTGTTGATGCCTTGAAGCATGACAATGACTTGGTGGAAATCAATGACGAGAAAGATCCCAACTTGGAAGTTGGAGCGATTATCCGAAAGGTTTGCGAGACCAACGATAAAGCTCCGCTTTTCAACAATTTGAAGGGGGCAAAGAACGGACTGTGGAGGATCTTGGGTGCGCCAGCATCTCTGCGAAGCAACCCCGAGCAAGTTTATGGTCGAGTCGCGAGGCACCTGGGGCTCCCCCCCACAGCCACCATGAAGGAGATCCAAGATCTCATGGTTTCACCTGCGAAAATGGAGCCCATCGAACCACGAGTTGTAGAGTCCGGTCCTTGCAAGGAGAACATTCTGTCGGATGGCGAATTCGACTTCACCACTCTGCCTAGCCCCATGCTCCACCAATCCGATGGCGGACGTTACATCCAAACATACGGAATGCATGTTGTGCAGTCACCGGATGGAAAGTGGACAAACTGGTCAATTGCCCGAGCTATGGTCGACGACAAGAATCATCTCGTTGGACTCGTAATTGAGCCTCAGCACATTTGGCAGATACATCAGATGTGGAAAAAGATTGGCAAGGATGTACCATGGGCCCTTTGCTTCGGCGTGCCACCCATGGCCATCATGGCCTCAAGCATGCCCATCCCCGGTGGTGTTTCAGAAGGCGCCTATGTAGGAGCTATGGCAGGCAAGCCGATTGATGTTGTTAAATGCGAGTCGAACAATCTGTACGTTCCAGCCAATGCGGAGATTGTTCTGGAGGGCACACTATCAATCACCGAAACTGCACCAGAAGGGCCATTTGGAGAAATGCATGGCTACGTATTCAAGGGAGATACGCACCCGTGGCCACGCTACAAGGTCAACAAAATCACCCATCGAAACGATGCCATCTTGCCCGTCTCGAATTGCGGGCGCATCACCGACGAGACACACACATTGATCGGTTCTCTTGCTGCCGCTCAAATTGGCGATATATGCCGTCAAGCAGGACTGCCTGTGGTCGAAGCGTTTGCACCGTTTGAAGTCCAAGTGACTTGGGTGGTGTTGAAGATTGACACCCAGAAGCTCCGTCAAATGAAGATGACGCCAGCGGAGCTGCGCCAACGTTTCTCGGATGCGATCTTCAAAGTAAAGGCTGGCTACACGATACACCGATTGTTACTCGTTGGCCCCGACATCGATATCTACAATTTCAAGGATGTTATCTTTGCTTACAGTACGCGATGCCGGCCTGGTACAGACGAGACCTTCGTCGAAGATGTAAAGGGATTTCCTCTCATTCCGTACATGTCTCATGGCACAGCGTCTCCAATCATGGGCGGTAAAGTCGTCTCAGATGCTCTGCTCCCCGTGGAATACACGGGAGAATCCAACTGGGAGCTGGCTGATTTCGAACACTCTTACCCCAAAGCGCTCCAGGACAAGGTGAACGCGTCATGGGAACAGATGGGGTTTAGGTCGGCACACACGCTCTAAGCTTCTAACAGATCTTACTTGAATAGTCGTTTGTTGTATCGTAGTTCGTATATCACGACAGATCCTACTTCTCCTCTGTACTGTAAGCTATGTAGATCGCAAGAATGCCAAAGGGATCAAATGTCATGACGGACCTGTTATCTTCAAATAGTCATGAGGAACTATTGGCCCAAGAGAAATGCTGATTTGCTAAGATCGTAGCATTTGTCCTGGAGTACCGTATCCAAGAAGATATGACAGCTAATTAATTGTGGAGTGACTTCCTGCACAGCAGCAGTGTTGTCGTGCCTTGCTCTGCAAGGTCACTTACAGTGATTGCATCTAGCGTTGGATTGACCCTATCTTACGCACTGCGAGCCTCTGCTAAACAAAACGCTAGAAGCTGCTTTTGGTGGTCAGAGGCTTCTTAGTACCGTCTATCTCGACAGTGTGGCGCTCTGAAGAGGTTTGGAGTTGACTTTTGTCCCCTCAGGCCTGCATCTGTACAAAGCAGACGACTGTAGAGGATCTGACCGAAAAGAGGGTTGGCCAAATACTAGACCACTCGAGTATTCACAACAAGATCTTTGGACGCTGAGTAAACCCTGAAATGAAAAGCAATCAACACGATGGATTGCCTCTGAAAGGTTCTTATGCTAGGTCCCTGTGAAGTCGCTGTTGAGGCCTAACCAAAACTGGCTATCGAGATCCGGTTCGGTATCTACATCCCATGGTCAGCAATCGTGAGATTGATGAAAGTTGAAGGCAGAACTCACCCCACAGGATCGTGTCAAAAGTGCTCAAAGTACTCTCGTCGAAGGTGAAAGAGTCGAAGTCTGGCAGATTGGTTACGTTGGATGAGCCAGATACTGGCTGTGTCGCAGAATTGATGGCGATGGGCGTAGCTAGGCTCGGTGAAGCCCGCTTCTGAGCGATTTTGCGTAAAGCAGCGATAGCTCTTGCATGTGGCTTGGATAGGCCGGTCTGTACAGTAGACCCACTGTCGAGACTGGAGATGACTACCTCCAGAAACTCATTTTGCAGACCGGTCAATTCGGCGCTTTTGTCTGGCTCACGCAGTAGCTCAAGCAAGAGTGCAGAGCTCAAAGCTTCGTGGAGAGTTGTCCAAGTCCTTACAGCGTACGTAGTGAGTCTATGTAGACACAGGAAATGACTAACCGTACTTGTGAGCGCAGCTTTGCCCCTCTCGGCCAACGCTGTCTTGTCGTCACAATCGTCGAGATCTGAGCCTAGAAAGGCAGGCCTGCATATTACTGAGATCATAAAGTTTATGTGAATGTTGATCGTATGATGCTCGAGACGATCATGCATTCTAAGGCACGCAGACCTCTCTTGTAAGTGTGGTGATGACTGAGAGAAGATACTGTCAACATGTATGAGGCATTGTTGCGACCGATTGTAATCGACCTCGCGGTTGCGGTGTGTCAAGTTGTCGGCACAGAGTCGTGTAATTTCCCACATCATCTGCGAATAGTCCAAGCTCTCTGCCGGTGTTGAGGAGGGAAAGCTTGATAGAGGCAGAGTGGGAGTGAACATTGGACGGTCAAAGCAAAGCGAAAGGATGCTGTCATGCTGTAAGATTGTTTTCCAGAGCTGCGACCGCATTTCCTTGTCTCTAGTAGAGAGATTGCGCATAGTCTTAACATCGTGAAGACCAACAGATTGCGCTAGCCTCATTGTGGTGCCAAGTAGCGCCCAAGAGGCGTCAGCATCTCCGTCGTTGCGGATGAACAAGCCAAGAAGAATCAAAGTCTGTAAGCAGGACGCAGTAGGTCGGACGAGATAGTTGGCTAGCTGGAGCGCGCGGAAGCTCTTTGATGCAAGATTTCGTGAATTGCTTCTTCGTTCGGATGAGTTGAGGTCGGAGTACTGCGCACCGCATGCAAGTACTGCAAGAACGAGCGCGATGGTTGCCGCTGAAATGACATCGTTAACGAATGAAACGCGTCCCTCTAGATGATCTGCTATCTTCAGCTCTAGGGGTTCTATGTCCATCAGTGGGCTCAGCGGATGCACAAACGAACGATATGACTGATAGTATCTTTGCTCGGTCAGCTTCTTGGGATCGAATCTCGGTGTTAGTGTATCATACTTTTGTATGTCTTCACGTTCAGGGAGAATAGTTTCGAGCTCCGAGAATCCATTGTTCCGTTCGTTGTAACACTGAAAAGGATTCCAACTCACAACATTCCCTAGAGCTAGTGCCGGGGAAACGTCACGGGCTACCTCATCGCCTCTCTCCGTGGCGAGTCGCTGCATGTATGCCGTGGTCGACTCCGAGCCTAGGAATTGGGTGTCTGTGATTGGTTCGCGTCTGGTCTTGGGTCGCGGCTGCTCGATAGGCGCTATGACATCTCCCGGCGTAGACCTTCCAGTATGATTTTCAAGATACATGCATATCGCAGGATGACCTCGCCTGACGCACATTGCACATGGTTGTCTGACAGTCAGCGCTCCGAATCAGAAGTACAGGGTCAGTGCAGGTCGTACCCAGCGTCGCATTTGACCTTGCGTTTTTTGCACGGGTAGCAGGCAACTTTGTTCCGAGACCGCCTCCTTTCTCTCAGAACTCTATCGGCCTCGCTCGCAGATCGAGAAGGTGTCTGCGAAGACATCTAAAATATAATTGCCCTTCGTAAGAATTACCAGATTTTGGCGCCTATCAAGGAGGGCGCGAGACAAATGAAGAAGGCTGCGGGTTGTGGAGTCCGGCGAGCTTTAGTAACAGTGTCCGTGCACTTGCACACAAATCATGCTCTAGCCTTTATGGGAAATAGAGTGAAAACAGAACGACAAAAGTTAACCTACATATCCTATAGAGATTAGTAGATAAGACTTATTAGATGATCGATGTATTACATAAAGATCCGAATTTTAGCGTGTGTTGATCTAGTTGCTTCAATCTGTTCCTTTTGGCAGTAGCACACTGCTTGGTCCCCGCAGCATAGAGACTGAACAGATGCCGCCATGCAAACGTTTCTATCGAGTTGCAGTGACCGCGGTTAAATCGTATTCTTGTGACAAATATCGCGGAGCAAACGTGATGGAGCCTACTGTATGGTGATAGTCGACATTCGTGCGAGTTCAGCCGGTAGCTGCGGGATACCATTATCAGACTCAGTCGACCAAGGTAGTCCCTCTGGTCTTTGACTCTCAAGGCCGAGATCTCCTCCAGATATGAATGAATGTGATAGCTGCCCGCATCCGATGCGACGGTACACCTGATCTTCACCGTTGCAGCCGTCGACAAGCTGTAAGAATAGTCCCAAGTAAACGAGGCCTTGATTGGCTGCTCGGAATGTGCCCAGAAGAGCGAAGCAGCAGTCCTTCAGTACCACACTGGACTCGTCGTCGAGATAAAGCCTCTGAGTCCAGAGAGAGTTTGAGTCGTCAAATGTTAGCCAACCACATGGCGGTAGCTGATCCACCCGAACTACTAGACGTGGCCCCTTCGCTTGGCGTTTGGACGTGTGCCGGCGTCCTCGCAACTCATAAGCGAGTAAGTACTGCTTGAGAGCCAGGCGTGGCAAGTCCCGATGGTCACTGGTCAGATAACCTCGTCTGTCCGGTCCGGGTCCAACCTGAGCGTGATCCTGTGTGACCACCACATCCTCAAGCGATATAACACAAGCTCTAATACTCAGTAAACCAGAACTGTCGAGCCACTTAGTCCCGCCTGAAGCCGAGTTTGGTCTCATGTCATGAACAGAGACGAAATGTGCCCGAGCCTCAAATGAGCTACGCTGCAGGATCTCAGGATACTGGATAGATCCATCCCAAGCTGCCCAAGACCAAGATGGTGCACGTGTGTTTACTGGCGCATTGAGTCTTTGCCCAGGAAACCACAACAGTCCATGGGAGATCCTGTCGCTCCATAATCCGGCACACCAGACACTTTCTTTGCGTAGTTGAATCTTCCGGGCCACACCCGCGATGGCAAAAAGCTTGTCCTCTTCCCTCGTCAAATCACAGTTTGTGTACATTTCCATTAGCGTCAACCAATCCAATGGTGTTTTGTAGCTGAGCCCAGCTCTCCCGTTCGAACTGAAGTCTGTCAGAAAGGACCGAAGATCCGGTAGAGCAGATGGTCCGAGAAAAGCTGTCCGCCCACCATGTCGAGCTCGCGGCTCGAGTGGGCCGTCTTCGGAAAACACTTCGCTTCCAGCCTCAGACAAAACGCCGTGTTTAGTAAAATGAAGCGTATGTGTGGCCAAGAAGCGTTCCTGCAAAACCCAGCCTCGCTTAGACAGAGCGCTGTTGGTGACATCCACCTCGAGGTCGGTACGGCGGTAGACACCCATGATACCTTTGAGCTCGCTAGTATCTGGCAGTTCGAACTCGGTCGCACTACGTGGCGACAAAGCCTTCATAAGAAACCCGTCAGAGTCGTCGGCCGCACAGTGCGCCGCCAGAATGGTCTTTGCGTGCATGAAGATGTCTCCCATGATTTTAGACTCACGTCGCCAATCATCTTCGTCATCTTGCACAATGCACAGCGCATCGATCCACAAGAAATTGACACCTAATCGCCGAGCTACTGAAATAGCATCTCTGAATGTTTGTGGCAGTACTTCTGTTGAAATGCCGGACTTGAGTTCATCGATCGTACGAGCAGTGGTAGTGAAGTGACGCGAGGTCCCCCACCGATGACTTAGAGCTGCATAGGGCTCATTTCTCGGACCGACCAATCTGACACGCCCATCTCGTGAAAGATCGAGGACTCGGCTGGGGTATCCGTTCAATCTGTGTTCAGAGCCTGCTTGTGGAGCTTTGGCCATCCACGAAGCTAGGAGGCTCCACTTTCGATCAACATCGAGACGTAAATCCTGCGGGATCAGCGTAAGAAGCGCTGAATCGGGAATATCCCGGCCGAGATCCTTGCCATCGATCACTGGCTTCACGTTAGTAAATTGACAATCAAACAGCAAAAGGGCTGCTAGTACCCGAAGACCAAAACAGGATGAAATTTTCCTGTACGGTAGTGGTATTAGATTCGCGATGTTTGGGCTGGACTTTGTATGTTACATGGAGTTGCAAACGAAGTAAAAGTGTGCTGTCAAACTTCCTTGTTGATAATTCCTCCGGTGGGTCTTGGTATCCCAGATGCGAGAGTCTGCTGTGAAACCACCGCGTGATGGCTGTTCCTTTGACATGTGACCATCTACGGTGCCGCGGAAACTGCAGGTGAAACTCTGGCTGCGAGCGTTCCGGGTATTGGAGAGATGCACTCGCAGACAACTTGACCTTTGGACCGGGATTCAGCAATTCTTCGAGATCGGTACCGCCGTCGGGAAGGTATAGATTTGTGGCATTGAACGTGTCATTGCTGTACTTGGTTACCTGGTCTAACAGAGTACCATCGGCGCCTTGCAGCATTCGCCAAAGGTTGCGACACATTTTACATCTTCTGGCTGACACTTTCAGATCTTGAAGTCCTAGAGAGTTGCATAGATGAGCTTTCTTCTTCGATGCTGGGCGTAATGAAGTGTCGAAGGTCTGGCTATCCCTGCTTCCTGCGATGAGCTGCTCTTCAAGCAGACTCGAGCTCGGAAGAACGCTAAATACGAGGTCTCTGCACCGCGCACAGGGTCCTGAGTCGCTGCCTGTGGTATCTCTTCGCTCACCCAGTTCTGGGACGACAGTCTCTGTGCTAGAAGTCGACCCGCGTCGTGATGATGGCATTCTGACAATGACAAACAGCTCTACGCTGTACGATTCATTACTACAGTAGCTGGAAAAATTGGTGGTAGAGTGGCAGACAAGTCTTTCGAGAGCGTCTTGAGTGAGGCGAGGTGCTTACATCTGTGGCTGTGCAATGTACATTTGCACAGCCACACCGTTTGCCTATCCCGTCATCGTCACCCGCTGAAGCGCTCAAGACAGATCAAAAAGCCTAAGATCGCGACGGCTCATCGCGACACGCTGTGCGAATTCCCAGTTCGCTCTTGCCATCCCAGTCACCCGAGTGCGGTGGTCATTGCGGGCTAATACCTTTTGCACCCAAGGGAATACCAAACACGCCACCCTCGATACCTCGTAGTTTGACTACTCACGCCTAGTGCCGAAGTCAAGCTTCAATGTCATATCTTGGTATTTGGCAGCGATATTGGCAGCGAATGGACCCTGTAGCAAGCCATCAGCTTGTTCGCAAATTTGGGCTTTGTCGACAACACTGGAAGCTCCGTGGCATCCATACTGATGCATGATCGCGCCTCTTGTGGTTGCGCTCCGAGGAATTTCCTAAGTTGCTGTACTGTGTGGTTGTCCCATTCACATTGTAAGCAATACCCTCTGGCAGCGATTCCAGAGCATCAGAGACACACAGCTATTCTTGTGCAGAGAACAGACTTGAACAGGGACTGAGGCTGTATTACGTCTTTACATAATACTCATTAGATACCAGCGAGCAGCTACAGTATATACCAGGTTGTCCAGCTAATTTAAGCACGGATCTCATCGATCCTCTCCACGGCATCCTTTGTATCGTAATCGTCGGAAATCTTCTCCTCTGGCGTGAACTCGAACACTGGAAACACGAATTAGCTTTGGGAACACTAAGTTGGTAGGCAAAGGGGAAATTGAACTTACAGTCGACCTGAGCAGTGCGGAACTTGCGAGCAGATACCCCCTTCTTGAACAGGTAATCGATCTCAGCGAAGCTGCGTTCCTTGGTCTCGGGCAGGAAGAAGAAGATCCAGATGACCCAGATCAAACAGAAGCCGAAGTAGAACAAGCCCGTCTTCGCACCCCAGTTCCATGCAGTCTTATCGTTGTTGAGCATGCGGGGGTTGAGCTGCTGCACAACAATCTGGCCGCACACGTAGAGCGAGCGACCAATGACGATGGTCTGGGCGCGGACACGAGACGAGGCCATCTCACCAGCGATAACGTATGTGGTCGGGCCGAGCGAGATCTTGAACGCAATCTGTACGAAGATGAGGAACACGGCAACGGGGATGGCGACGTCCTTGGCCGATTTTATGGCAAAGCCCAAGATACCAACGATGAGCATGCAGAGGCCGATAGATGACGAACCGTAAAGGTAGAAGGTGCGGCGGCCGACTGAGCCCATGAGGGCAATCGCGATCGCGGTGGCGAAAATGTTGACTGACTGGATTCCCATCGTGTAGCTGAAGGCGTCGGTGGGGCTCATGCCGATATTGCGGAGCATTTGGGCGGCGTAGTTGGTGATGGACTGACCGTTGAAGATCTGAATGATCCAGGCCATGGAGACGATCATCGTGCGGCGCTTATTCGCACCGCGGAAGCAGTCAGCGTAGCTGGCGTTCTTGGCTTCCAGCTTCTCCATTTCATTGGTGTGCTTCATGAGGGCAAGGGTCTCGCGCATCGACTGCTCGGTGTAGTGACCAGGGCTGGCCAGGCGACGCAGACTCTTCTCAGTCTCCTCGATCTTGCCGCGGCGAATGAGGTACCAAGGTGACTCTGGAGCGAACCAGGCAACGGCAAATAGAGGAGGAATCCACATCCACTGGAGACCATAGGGGATCTTCCAGCCCGCGTCGCCTTGGATGGTGATGGTGCCCTTAAGCACACCAGCAGCCAGGAAGGAACCAGCACCCCAGCACATAGACACCCAGGCGGTCAGGTATCCACGCATAGCAGTCGGGGCAATTTCGGCAGCGTAGGCGGTGGTAAGAGTCTGGAAAATTCCCCATGGGATACCACACAGGATGTTACCAGCAAGGAGCATCTCAACGCTCTGTGCGAAGAAGAGGACGAAGATGGTGCCAGTCATGAGGACCATTGCGCCCTAGATATCGGGTGATTAGCGCAGTCCTAGATCGAGTCGTTGCAGAAAAGCTCACCAAGTACACCCTGCGAGAACCGAAGCGGGACTGGAGATAACCGTTGAGCAGGAGACCGATGATCGAGCCAACGTTGTTACCGGCACCGATGATCGTTTGCCATTGGGTCGAGACAACCTTTACACCTTTCGCATCGATGGTGTTGCCAAACCTCTTTTGGTAGGCAGGATGAGCGAAAAAGTTGTTGATCAGACCGACGTCCATTCCCTCCATAATCAGAGCCATAGACAGAAGGGCAGAGTAGATGGCGGCGGGGCGGTATTTCCTGAAAAGTTCCATACGGGGGAGTTTGGTCTCGGCCTCGGAGGCTGCCACAGCGTTCTCGACGAGCTGATGCTGCGTCAAGTGAATGCCGCCATCAGATGTCACTGGTCGTGGCCCTGTCTCCGCCATCGCGGGGTCCTGCACTGTAGCCATTGTGATAACAGCCCAGTAAGATGAAGGGCAGTTGGCTTGCGAGCTTCACCAAGAATCTGACGCGATACGAAAAATTCGCGATGCAGATTCACCAGTCGATGCTGGTGAGGAGGAAAGAGGAAAAGGGCAGAGTGCTGAGGTGTACAAGGGGTGTGTGTATTAGGGATATATATGCCCTGCCTTCGGCCACCACTCCCCCGAAATTTCTTGGAATAAGTCGTGTAAGCGAGGCAGATGGTCACGCCCAGGAAGGGTGAAGGCGCCACGAGGGCCAAGATGCGGGGATTGATCCCCATGGGGTCGGTGGTGCCGCTTGCCCGGAATCCGATTGGTCTGCGCACTACGCCACACCGAGACGGGATTGGTAGCTGACTGGAAACCAAGCCAATAATTGAAGGAAATTCCCAGGGACACGAGTGATAACGGCCCTCGGGTGACATTGAAATTCCTACCAATAGATTAACTCGCATGTCTAGACGGTCTCAACGCAACTTTCGACATCGATGCGAGCGAGATCCGCCGCGCAACGAGACAGACAACTGGAGCGCATGGCATAGGCCTCGGCGGATCGTGGGTTGCCTTAAGACCGAGAGCCAAGGTCGGCGGACCCGAATGTGCAGGTTAGGCGGGCGAAGTTGAGTTTGGTGTCCGGTGACAGTGAGGCCGAGAGTGCGCACCTGGTTGAGAAGAGAGGGTCGCGGGGGACTATCCGCAAGGGTCCGGGGTGGTTAGTGTGTTACCTCCCAAATCCCAAATTTACGGATTTCTTGGGGAAATGACAGACTAGCATTAGTGGCAGGTATGATGCTTGTATGCGTGTGCGGACCACTCTCCCCACCATAAGACAGAATGCAATGCAGATGAGTACAGTACCTTGGTAACGGTAGAAATTGCGTTGCACAATTGGTCGTCTCCCACGTTATCACTATGCAGAGGCGTTGTACCAAGTATGTAAAGTCGATCAGAGGTCTTGGCTACCTAGGCACATCTCAGTTTCGTTGATGGGCGGTCGGTACACTCTCGCAAGCACCGAGACTGACAGCGATGGTACTGGTCAATATTCAGGATTGATGCAGGCTTACAAGTTGGTGGCGACCAGTGGGGAGCAAGGTGTGGGTAGTAGCAGATCTGCAGTCAGGGTGAAAGCGGAGACAACGTGGAACAAAGCATCGTCGGTAATATGGCGGGGGTACAGGCGACTGACAGTTTTCATTTCCGATCTGGCTGCAGATGACTTTGTTCTTCGACTCATCTTGGGACATCGTGTTGTTCTGTAGATCCTGGGTATATGCGGGGTATCCATGTCATACTGGATGCCATCAAAAGGGGTCAAGGCTGAGGCCGACTCTCAACTTCCTCTGATCTCCTATGTACATGAAATCGCACATTCAGAATTTCCCAATGAAGACTACAACACTCTTGACGAGGCTCTTCTTCCCCGTGGGGGGTCACAACGGAAGCGGCATCGGAGACGCGGCATTGGCGAAGCGGCTCGGACTATATACTCGCGAGACCAAACTCGTGATCACAGGTCAGCCTTCTTGTCCACTGCTCCCCGTTGCTCTCCGACCCATCAATACAAGTTCGCATTAGCTAGGACTCGCGTTCATTTGCAGGCGATGTAGAGAAAGGTAGTTGTGGAGACACTGCTGCACCGCCGAATACATCTGCTTTGTCGAGAAACCAGAGCGAAGGTCTTCAGTCCAATCGGCTCGCGGTCAAGGATGGACAGCCTCTTGAGCCAGTCCAGCCGCGAGCTCCGAAACTACCAGATTTCCTCAGGTCAGGGTCTGGATCCAGGAGCGTTGCAAGCCAGACTTGTGTCATCTCTGTGTCGATGACCCCATCCGGTGTGAACCGTTTCTCCTACCGGGCGCCAGGCGCGCACAAAAACACAGTCTCGATTACAAAGACGTCGGCAAATCAGGCGAAGCTTTGTTTTGCGCCTTTCGGGCTTCTCGGTATCTTGAAGCTTGTTCGGGACTCGCCTGCGCGCTCCCAACATTTTCCCGGCAAAGCGGTGAGGCACTTGCCCAGTCGCTTGGCATTGATGGTGTCCTGCATGATTGCTCTGTGATGCGTTACACTTCTTCGCTTTCGCTCCTGTCTAAGGTGGACAAATACCGAGTCTTCAGGAACTGTGTGCCAGCAGCGATGGTCAACACCATGATTTCTGGCAGTGTATGGTTTGAGAATACAAAGATGTGTAGAGTGGTTCGACGTTTCCTGAATCTTGTTGGTGGACGAGCAACAGGTGTAGGCGAGTGAGACTGCGTGGTTTGTTGTATTGTCTGCCATGTCGGACAGTCAATTGAAGACAGGGTGGACCTCGAAGGGTTGCCTCCACTGACCCAACCCTCTCGGGCTGATAGCACCAATCTCATCTCACAGATAACGGAGGGTCTAAGTAGACAATCGTTATTAAAGAGATGCGCCATGTTCTCGCTTGTTCTAGAATTACATTCATACCGTGCGCTCTACGCTCGACATAACCTCGTAGATTTTCCCAATGTCCATGAAATACCTCGTGACACAGTCGGACATTGCACCGTAGTGACTGCAGCTACGTTAGACCATCATGCTCGAGATCTCAGTGGTGAGCCCAATGTCTTCGTGATCAGTTTGACCGCACGTTGATTGGCCAGTGTTTTGTGTCATGATGGAGCTACGGTCAGTCTGTCTGAACGTGGCCGCCCAATCACTGCTCCCAGGAGGTATAACGAGACAAATGCCGAATCTAGGTCGTGTGGATCCCTTGACCTATATCACTTTATCTGAATCATCATTCCATCGAAAGATTGGGCAGAGACATCGTACATCGCGTCATGTCGATGAAATCGAGGGGAGGGCGGAGACAAAGCGAGTCGTATGTACATGCATTTTGTCTATGATCGTGTCGTAAGTTTGCGATACAGTGTTATCTGCATATGCTATCGTTGTCATTGTCTCATTGTCGAACCATACACAGTCAACTGCGAGATGTTTACAACTTGCCTCTCCTCGAATCCACGGCTTCGCGGAGCTTCTTGATCACGTCACCTGGGTCAGCAGCTCCAAAGACAGCACTGCCGGCAACGATCACGTTCGCACCAGCGTCGGCGGCTTGGTCGATCGTCTTTTCCGACAGACCACCGTCGACCTCGATAGGAAGGTCAGGATACTTCGCGCGAAGAGCAGAGACCTTGGGGAGCTCGGAAGCCATGAATGATTGGCCACCAAAACCAGGCTCGACTGTCATGATGAGAACCATCTGGGTACGCGTCAGCACATAACGCATGAGTGGAGTCTGCCAGCGAGCGCTTGAACAGTAAACAACAAGCAAGCAATAGAACGGCGAGCACATGTGCAGTAGCGCTGCGACAGCTACCCAAAAGAGAATGCCAATGAATGGCGCAGTGTAAGCCCGATTTGTGACAATGTTCTCGAAAACAGGTCGAACGTAAGCCGCCACTGGTTCTGGAGTTCGCATGCTTAAGCGCCGCCACAGCGAGCCGCCGAAGAGGCCAGCCCTACGGTGAAGTCTTCTCGACCACGCCAGATCGAGGCTTAGAACGAGCTCCTGCCGCTCCTGGCTATCGATAGAGTGTGAACGCCAAGATAATGGAATGAACTTACATCAGGTACCTCATCCTTGTTCGAGTTCTCAAGGATGTCCCAGAGCACATCCACCTTTGTACTCGGCTTTATAGCAATTCCAGCCTGCATTCCCTCGCTGTGAATATATTTGATCAACTCTTTAGGCGAGGTCTTCTGGTCTGAGGTTGCAGAAGGCTCTTGCGCCGCCGTGGAGGATATCGCAGCTTCGTAGTGGAAGCAGTACAAATCGCATCCCGCCTTCTTGAACTCGCGAACCCACTTCTGAGGCTCTGCAATCATCATGTGACAGTCAAAGGTCCCCTTTCCTTGTGCAGTCGTCGGACGGTCGACGTGGGAGCGGATCTTGGTCACGACGGGCGCGCCGAAGGTCATGTTCGGCACAAAGTGGCCGTCCATGATGTCGACCTGGGTGCATTAGTCATGTCACATGAAGAGTCATATCCATTGGAGCATACGTGGAGCCAGTCCGCGCCTTGGGAGATGGTGTCCGAACATGCCTTGCCCAGTGCTCCGAAGTCTGCCGACAGAATTGAAGGCGCGATGATTGCAGGCGGTGACATGCTGGGCGGTTGTGTCGCAGATAAATTTCTTATCGAAGCGGTGAAGATATCCGGGGGCCTATGAAAAAACAGACAGGCGGTGGAGATTGCTGATGTGACCAAATCTCACGATGGCTGCTTGGTGTTGACAGCGCTTGCCGGTGACGATGCCAAGCCACGTGGGGCATTGGTGGGGCATTTCAAGCGTCTCGCTCACCTCATGTTTATGCGAACTAGGTAGTCGTCACTTCCTCATTCATCCATCAACAATCTAGTTCACGCTCGCTAATGCCATTCTCTGATTGGTACACATATGCTGCTGAGGTCAATAGCGGTACGCTGCAGTACCTATCTGTTGCCCATCGATGCTTTTGGAAGCACTTGTCACGCGCAGCATGAGAAACATCGACGACGGGCCGCCATCGCGTCGAAGAGAGCAGAAACGGAGGAAACGACACGTGCTGATCAGAGCCGAGAGATTCAATGGTTTGCCCTTGAACAACGCGCTATTGGGCAGGTATGCTGTAGAACAGGGTTCACGCGTCCTATTGGCTGCACTGCAATAAGCTGGCGCTACAAATAGAGCAGCCGGGCGCTTACAGAGTGAACACCCAACCATCCCAGGCGGTGCATCGCGCACGACGCCCGTCTTTGCATAGCCTCACCCAGCCATGTGTGCAATCTGGCCAACCATCTTGCGGCAAGGACGGTCTCGACAGCGGGGCCAACCTTGAGCCGCTGCACGCTCCACACCACTGCCTAATCGGGCTCTGCTGCCACCGAGCGAAGAGTTGGCAGTGCAGCCTCGGGAGCCACGGTCACACTAGGTTAAGGCGTTGACAGGCGTCTACACCTGCTATAATCTTCCCTTGTTGGCGCTCACGCGTACCTTTCTCTGCCATTCCCTTCTCCACTTCGAGTTTTCTCGCTTCAAGTCTTCGTTGATCGAAGCATATTTATTATTTCTGTTTGAGTAAACTCGCTGTTGATCAGTGAATCCCAGGGTTATTGCCCGCCTTAATACCACCTACAGTCGATTATCGTCTTTGGACATTTTGAACGCTTAGCCAATCCCGGACAACAGTCTCTTAATACACCATAGCCATCATCAACATGCCTCAGACACTTGCACCTTCGGTCTACCAGACTGACGCCCGTGCTTCTTTCGACGAGTACTACTTCACAGCAGACAGTGCCATGTCTCCCCGTAGCGACGACGACTTCCCCACACCCAAGGCGCGCCTGTTCGATATCACACCACAGCCCTCTCCGCGTTTCCCACCCAACTCAATGACTGGCTCCGAGTTTCGCCGTGTGAGCCGCGCTGCCAGTGATTTCGATTCTTTGTACGATGTAACCGACGATGAGGCTGAGGTTCCTCTTCACGCTTCGGCATCAGTCAAGAAGATCTCTGGTCCTACACGCCGCACACGATTCCCGTCTCTCATCATCCCGTCGCCGACAGCATGGCCAACGATCGAGAAGCTGAGGAGCGCAACTTCGGCAGTGCCGATGACCCCTTCCGCTCTTCTCACACCCTCGCGCCACGTCCTGAAGATGATCAACTCGCACAACCTCCATGTCCCCGAGCACTCTGCCGCACCTTCGCTGGATGGGAGTTTGACGTCAGAGGAGCTAGATAGGTTGAGCTGCCCAGCTACACCTGACACGCGCTCCAGGCGCGACTCGTTCTCGACCGAAGATTCGTGGGCACCCATGCAGCTTGACTTCCAGGCTATGCACACTCTCCAGCACCTTGGAGAGTCAGCAGTGCAGGTGGAAGAGGAGGATGACCAAGTGACACCGCCTGCAGAGCCAAGAGCAGGACTTGAGATGCAGCAGATTTCGCGCCCATCCCTGGGTCTGACCATTCCTTTCGCTGCGCACCAGAACGACTCAGACGATGACACGCCAATCTCTGCGATCTCGATTCCTTCGCCCGGAGGCTTCTTTTCGTCGCTCCGATCCGACGCTCGTACTGCTTGGGCGCTGCCCGCACCAGCTCCCAACACCTCTACCGCGGAGAAGTTTTACGACCTCCCATGGGAGAGCCGCAAGCCTCAGCCAATGCCTGCTTTGCCAGAGCGCCCCCTTACGCTCAGCGGCGAGACTCTCGACGGCTTGGATGAAGTCATGGCCGCAGCTCGCCAGACAATTATGAGCCCAGTGGAGGAGAACGTCGAAGTCAAGGAGATCAAGCCCAGCGAGACCGTCTTCCACTACAACGAGAACTACAACTCTGAACTGCAGAAGCTCTCTTCCGCCAACCTTGAGATGACTGGTCGATGGCTCGAGGAGCAGGACGAGCTGGCAACCGCGCTTCGCGCCATGGGAAAGATGGGCTCCCCAACTCTGTCTAGCAGCACACACAGCCGTGGAAACTCTCTTGAGAAGCCTGCATTGAAGAAGTCGGTGACCTTTGCCGAGCAGATCGCGACCACTGAGGAAGAGGACGAGGAGCCCAAGAAGATCCAGACTTACGTTCAGGGTCTTGAGTACATCCGCTCCAGGTGTGAGAAGAAGGACACATTCATCCACCGCCAAACTCGTGCTGAGGCTTTGCACGTTCAGCGCCGCTGCAACCCCGCCGCCCACCGTGATCAGCTAATGGGCAAATTCGAGCTCAATGAGCCAGAGCGCCCAGCGCCCGCTCGCCCTGTGTCAGAGTTCTACGTCAACGACCCTACTGCCCTCAAGGAGAGGATCACTCGTGCTCAGACTGAGCGACAGGCACTCGACCAGATGCTGCCCGGTCAGTGGGTCAGCCAGGCACAAAGGCAACTCAACGGTGGCAAGTTTCTCGGTAAGCCCGCTGCGCGGTGCATCACCCGAGCAACCTCGCCCCGCATCCTTGATGTCGGCGGCATTGCTACCAACGACTGGGCCTGGAACGTAGCATACGACTACCCCTACGCCTCCGTGGTCACCGTCAACACCGCCGGCAACAACCACTCCCCCAACGTGGTCGGCCCCAGCAACCACAAGTACACCAGCGTTCCCAACCTGTGGACTCTGCCCTTCCCCAACGCCCACTTCGACGTCATCTCTGCGCGCACTCTGTATGAGCTGCTCAAGACCAACAAGCCCGCCGGCCGCTCCTCAGACGAGTACGACCTCTGCCTCAAGGAGCTGCACCGCTGCCTCAAGCCGCGCGGCGTTCTGGAGTTCTCCCTGCTGGACGCCGAGCTGATGCGCGCCGGCCGCAACGCACAGGCCATGGGCGTGGAGTTCGCCTTCAACCTCAAGACCCGCGGATACGACGCTCAGGCCAGCAAGACGTTCTTGCCGCGCGTGGCGAAGGCGGGCTTCAGGGACGTGCAGCGCGCGTGGATGGTGCTGCCCATGGGCCAGACGGCGGCGAACTGGAAGGAGGATCTGAATGTTGGCGCCAAGGTTGGTGCGCAGGAGAAGTGCATTGGTGAGAGCGGCGAGGTCGAGATGCAGGATGCGCCTGTGTTCGGCTCGACAAATGATGCGGCCATGCTTACGGGCGTTGTTGGCTCGTGGGCGTGGGAGCGATGGATGTTGAGGTTGCAGATGGAGATGGGCAAGGAGGAGGAGAGGCTCCTGGAGGGCGTTGTGCAGGTGCTTGAGGAGGGCGCGCAGGAAGGATCTGCGTGGAGGTCGCTTACTGGTTGGGCCAGGAAGTAATTGGAGATCTATCATCGGCATTTGCTGGATCGGTGTTTGGGTTTTCATGGGAGGGTACGGACAAGGTCATGATGGGATTGATACCACGCAGCGAATCTCTTTTGTTGTACTACAATACATGTGTCGATCACATCATTCATCATTGCCAATACTGCTTTTTCACGTGAGACACGCCAACTTTAGCGCCGCTTGGATGGTCCACACAGAGCAGCATCTATGAAGGTCGAAACACGTGACCGGCAGATCATCGGTAGATCTACCCCACGCGACAACCACAGCATCATCTTTCGCAGCGCCCAACACGCGCCTCGCAACCGCACCCGCACCCACACCGACCCACACGCCAACACGCCCCGAACAACACAACCACACAATCTTAGACGCGCACAGCTCCCGCCATGCTTTTCTTCAGGTGCGCACACCCACCCAGCACCCACAATGCTCTTGTAGCGACCCGCCAGCCCGCCCACACTCTCCACGCACGGCCAGCAGCACGCTGACACGGACACAGCTTCTTCAAGACGCTCGTCGAGCACGAGATCACAGTCGAGCTCAAGAACGAGGTCCAGATCCGCGGGACGCTGAAGAGCGTTGATCAGTACTTGAATATCAAGCTGGATAACGCGGAGGCGGTTGATGAGATTCGGTGGCCGCATTTGGTATGTTGATTGCTCTTTTCTGGACTCTTTCTGGGGGCGACTGGGTGGGAGTTGGAGGGGAGGAAGGACGAGCCAAGTCGAGTGTTTGGGACGCGGGCAGAGCTAGGTCAAAGAAGCTCCAACGACGAAGCTGCCCAGAAGGAGGCGTGCGACGCAACAGCTAGAGAGCACGTGGTCAGCAGGCAATTGCAGCTAACGCGCACCAGTGCTCCACCAAGGACATGTTCATCCGTGGCTCCGTCGTCCGCTACGTCCACCTGCCCTCGGGCGCCGTCGATACCGCGCTTCTCGAGGACGCGACACGGAGAGAGATCGAGGCGACGAAGAGCAAGGCGAAATGAGGGGTTTCGGAGACTATGCCGAATAGTTGAGACAGGGTCACGGCCATCACGATGAACGAGGCCGCCAGATCGCGGACGATAAAAGTCGCGGTGAAGGCATTATAGGAAGATTCGGTGGAAAATGTGATGATGAAGTCTTGCATGGCAGCGGAATTGGAGAGAGATTCTATCGTGGATCGCGATGGAGAGCATGATAATACCCATGATTTATGATCACAGCTGTTCACCGTTCACATCTGCTTCACGTTCTCTATGTATTCGTACTCACAGTCCCTTTCTCTCGATTTGGAAGGAACATTGGCTCGCCGGTACGTTGAGACTGACTTCGATCGTCCTGCATATTCAGCGACATAGCGCTAACATGCATCAAGTTCTCATACGAGAGCCATCAGACCAACAACCTATCGACAATCAATCCTCAGGTGAAGGCCACAAAATCACGTCCAAGCGCGTCGCAGTCGATCTCTGCAGTGAAACGTCGTACGATAGCCGCTTCTTTGTTTGTTTCCCACCCCAGCCCGCGCCGCACTTGTCTCAGATACCGGTTTGCTCTCAACGCACCTTCCTTCTCTGCACCCCACCACCAACTTCCTCCTCTCCAGCAACAAACCCCCTCAAGCACACACACCACCCACCTCCAACCTCACCACCACCATGACGATCCTCAGCCTCCTGCACGCCCTCAGTAAGTCCCCCGCCCCAGCCAGCACCTCACACTAACACCCCAGTCTTCAACCGCCCGCTCGCGCCCCCGCTCCCCCCAAGCAACCTGCTCGCCCGCCTGCCCACACTCCCCCTCCCCCTCCCGCACACCCTCTGGATGCACATCTCCGCCCTCTGCACCGCGGGCCTCGTCCCGCGCAACCGCGCAACACCGCTGCTCATCCTCGCCGCGTACCTGCTCGCCGCAGAAGTGCATGCGCTGTGGTGCTGCGCTAAGCTCGCGCAGTTGCAAGCGGTGCTGGATTAGCGGCTTGTGGCGCTTGGGGTGGGGAGGGAGGGGCGCGGGGCGACGGGGTGTGTGGCGTGTATGGCGGGTGTGCTGAGAAGGGCGGTTGCGCGGGGTGGGGGCACGGGGTGGGGGCGCGGGGGAGGGGGTGTGAGATTCAACTGGGTTCTTGCGGGCGAAGCTGGGTCTGGCGCTGGGACGTGTGGTGGGTTTCGGCAGCGCGTTGGGGTGCGTCACGGCTTGGGGTGATGGGGTCGCGTTGGCGTTGTTCAGTCGCGGTTCTCAGACAATGAAGCGCTGCTCTTTGGGGTCTGGGGCGGTTTCTCGGGTCCTGAAGATGTATCCTGTTTCCGCGCTCACGGCGAGGAGCAGGGCAGCGGCGACGCCGAAGAGGGCGCCGGGGAAGCCGAGGAACGCGCACGCCGCGTAGATGATCATGGTGTAGAGGTATGCGGTGCGGAAAAGGAGCAGGAGCAGCGGGCTTGGAGCTCTCATGTTGTGTTCGGCGCACATGGGCATGTGGACGGTCCGTACTCTGCGTACGGGCGGCGATGGCGGCAGGGAACCCGCAAAGCGAGGCGGTGCGTGGTTCGATAGACACCCCAGTCCTACCGAAAGTGAAGTGAAAGCCCCGTCTTCACGACCGCTTCCTTCACTGAAAGCGCCGTCCCAGAGTGTAAGTAATAGATACCGTATCGCCCAGGCCACGCGTCTCGCGGTCAGCTCGTATCGGTACCTGCGCTAGGTCTCACATCACGACGAGTTTAGCACACAGCTCGCGTTGGATACGGACCGTCCCCTCACGCACATCCAGCGGTCAGTGACGTGTCTGTGCACTTGCGAGCGGGACCTACACTTTTTGTGGGGCGGTGGAGGCTAGTTGCGGCCGGCGGTCGTGTTCGACGGCGGACGCTGGGAAGGCTGAAGATCCCGCACATGTCGGCATGCATGGCTGGTGGCTGTGTGGCCCCGCTTTTGTGTCTGGGAATAGCAGCTTGCAGTTTGTGGGGTTGGGGTTGGGTGGTGGAGATCCGGATCAGCCGAGTGCACGTGGTGGCCGTGTTGGAGGGTTCTACGCACTTGTTCCTCCGTACTCTGTGCACCGCAGAATATAGATAAACGTTGCTCAGGGTCTTCGGCGGAGGTGGAAGCCTTGATTTGCTTCGTGGTCCTTGGTTTCGGTGGCATGGTGAGTGCACAGCCAGTTCTGCTCGCTCACGAAACTATCCGGTCCTCAAACTTGATTTACTGTAGGCGTAGTGTAGAAAGTGTTATGGCTTTGAATTTGACAGTTGACCTGGAGTCAAGACATTTGGTACGTCAATCATTACATATGCCACGGAGTAGTGAGATACAAGAGTCCGCCTCAGAGACGAGCTCAACAGGTGGAGTGCGACACCCGTTTTGGACAAACACAGCAGTGGTAAGGCATTGCTCGTTTGTACCCGTAGTAATGTCATTGCTCATCTCTTGTGCGGTTTCGACGCTGTCAACGTTCCTGATGATAAATATCTTGCACCGCGCGTGAGAAGGTAAACAAATATTATTACTAGAACTTCCACCTCAATCCAGTGTAGGAATACAGAGCTATCCCCTACTGTTCTCTTGTAGTATAAAGCAAATACTACTGCCCATAACTGCCCCTCGAACTACCACAGATCAAGAGGATTTCTGCGATTCTCAGTTCGCTCTTGAATCGCGTCCCAATGCTCTTGGATACAAGTTCCGTTGAATCTGAAAAAATCTGCCACCGCAGATGGCTGATCTGCACCAACCAGGTCGAATCTTGAGTGAACAAAGCCAATGTCCCCATCTACTCCTAGATGGGTGATTGTGAAGTTGACCGTGTCAGGCGAGATGAAGGCCAACGACTGGAGAGTGTTTTCGCGGCCAGAAAGGGCATTCGGGTTATGCTGTATGAGATCCAAGGCAATGTGGTCGTTTACAGCGCGGATAGGGTCCCGGTCGATATAGAGCTTCTGTATGTACTGCTGGAGAATTGCGCGTTTCTGTTGGAGAGATGCTGCTCGAGGCGGGCAATAGGGAGTGGCTGCTATCATCGAGGGGAAAGCAGCCGAAAGGAGGAAGAGCTGGAGTAATTGCATGATGTGCAGTAATGGATCCGATGTGAATCTGGTTTTGTAAGTGCTCTCTGTGGAAGGGGTTGATGGGTATTTATAATGCCACCTTCGGGCCAATTGACCATCGGTCGGTGAACGCCGTGTCCGCTTTTCTTAAATCCCGATTGTACTCGTAAGCAGAACGGACTAAAGACGGAATTACAGAAAAGATGAGACTACTGGGACTTGTTTTCTCGGTGGTTTTGTGGAACTCTTGAGATTGCATTCGCCGATTCATGCGTAGACTTGAGAACAATCAAACGATCGCTGTATTTGATTACTACTCAAGCGTATCAGACCCCCATCTGCGATCAAAAAAAGCCCTAAAAAGGAAACAAACATGGCTATCCTTGAGTGTTCCCAAGTCTGAGAGAATTTTCAGCAGAGCATCTTCCCCTGAGACTCTACCAAAGAACGCACATTGTATCTTGTTTTGCAGTCCCAACGAGATGCATAGCCTACGGTATTTGTCTATCGAGCTGAAACAAGTAGTGTGATTGTTTGTCAAGGCCATACGCGCCGAATCTAAGGGCCTTGTGGCCCACTGCTCTTGGACCTGCGAGTCGGCCGAATAGAGAATGTTTGACCTTATTGGCGTGGGCTATTACCGTCGTACCGAGATTGAGACGCAGTACATCACGGATTTGCATGGTTCGTGTAGATAAGACCGTTGCGGTATGGAGTTTGGGTGCTGCGCGAGGTGCCGGCGAATTTATGCTGCTGAAAGGCACAACCCCAGATGGCAACGTCGTTCTCGCCCTGAACGAGCGTGAGCGGGCTGATAGCATTGGAACGCAATTGGGTATTCCTGAGCAAGGGGCTGATAAGCAGAAGGTAAGGTCAGACTCTAGTGTTGAGAATAGCTCAAGTGGACAAACTCCACTCCTTCTTACTATGCGTCAGAAGAAGACTGTGAAGTATTGTCTCTGTAGGTCAAGTAAATGGTGACAGTCTGGAGTGCAAGATCTTCCCCCTCCCAAACCACCAAACAAAAGAAAAAGAAGAAAAATAAAAGACTTCAAGGAAATGGTCAGCAAGGTATCACTGAGATTGTTCGCTGCGAAGGGAGGGAGGTTACGTGTATTTTTACGGCCCTGCACGGCTACCAGTATTTCCTGATTGTTTGAGCGTGGCTGACTGCATAGTGTACAACCATAGAGTTGGACTGAAAAGGTGAACGAAAGTTACATTTGCCTCTCTTTCTTCCAAGGTGAACTAGGCTAGACTATGTGCACCTAGCAGCTTACGTTGGCTTAGCACCAATGATTCGTTGGAAAAGGCTAACTAGACCGTCAATAAGAGAATTTTTCTCCTACAATCTCCTCGCTTAGAGCCCACAGACGCTCCGCGTTGTCTTCGCTGGAAGCATACTCCAGGGCCTTCGCGACCTGACAGTCATCCAGGAATGCACCTGAGAAATCTGTAGGTCTTGTTAGCTACATCTACGATGCTAGAGGTAAGTAAAGTATGCTTACCGTCAAGTCGGGGATCTAGCGCAGCAGCGACAGATGTGGCAGCACCCTGTTCCAACGTCTTCTCTTTTGGCATCTCCATTTGCTTTTGTTCAAACATCTTCATAACGATCGGCCAGCTCTCTGGATCCACACCAGCCGCTAATCCTGTCTGTTGGATGTTTCCTGGATGAAGTGAATAGCTCTTTACTCCCTTGCTTTCCAGTTTCCTAGCCAAAGCAACAGCGAAGAGGATATTGGCGGTCTTGGATTGTCCGTAAGCTTCCCAGGTGTTCCAGGGAGTAGATGTGAATTGAGGATCCGAGAAATTCACTGGGCTAAATTGATATAGCTTCGACGAGACATTGACTACACGAGCGCTGCCGTTGGCCTGCTCGAGTTGTGGTACAAGAAGATTGGTGAGAAGGAAGTGGCCGATATGATTAGCAGCGAATTGGCTCTCTACACCTTCACGCGTACGGACCAGCTTAGTACCCATGATTCCAGCGTTGTTGAGCAAGACATCGATCTTTGGAGCAAGTGCTGCGACTGAGGCGGCAGCAGTGCGGACGGAAGAGAGCGACAAAAGATCTATCTGGACGAAGTGTGCCTTGGTTGTAGGACTGATCTTCGAAATTACCTCGATAACAGGAGAACCTTTGGATTCAGTCCGGCCAAGGAGAATGATGGCGGAGGGTTTGGCTGAGGCCAGAGCCAGGGCGACAGCTGCTCCGAGACCGCCAGGACTGGCACCAGTTATGACGACTGTCCTGATTGTCAGAAAGCAAAAAAGAAGAAAAAGAAGAAAAACAGGGGAAGGTGAGTGACTACTCACAAGTCTTCTCAGCGACTTGCATAGGTAAAGCGGCGACCACGTCGCTGGCAGTGGTGGAGGAGTTAAACTTGGACATGATGATGTGTATTATCAAAGTGGACTGAGAATATCGATGTAGTAAATCTTAGTAGCTATGATGCTGTTCAACAGCGGACAACTTCGCTCTTTATATGCGTCCAATTCACGTTGCGCAAATTTACATTCTGATACCAACAGAAGAGAAAGTAAGCCAGCTCGCTATCCAGTGTATAATGCACCCCGAAGCTCCGTTATAAGAGTATGTCCGTCGTGGCTTTGTCAGTCAACGCTTCAAGAGAGGTCCGTGTTGTCAATGTTGTCAATGTAAAAGGGCAGTCGGTCTGATCTACCCAATCATGTGGTAGTCAGTGGGGACAGCTTAGCTAACATCAGAGGGATTTACTCAAGTGCAGTCGGGCCGACGCAAATCCAGCCCAGGCCCAAAGGAGCGTGAGACATGACTCAGATTTTGCGAAGACTATGCCCATCCCCCGCGTTATGGTTACTGAAGTTTGCAGCATTTTCCAAAATTGAGTCCTTGCTTGCGCATAATACCTATGATGCATCCCCGCCACTAAACCCCTTGTTTGATATGTTTCCGTATGCGTGGGAACACGGGCGATATTTTTTGTCACTGGCACGAATGGAAAGTCGAGAATTATCCGTGTGTTGGAGTTGCACGTCCGTACTTCCTTCTCGGACACAATTCACTGCCATGATGCCTTCGCTTATTCAAGCTGTATTGAAGATTTTTTTCTCTACAAACTTATTTTCTACAAACACATGCAGCTGTGTACAAACCACCCAAGCACATCCTCGTTGACTACTGACACTCCTTACACTATAAGCGGTAATCGTTGCAGACACCGAGATGTCGCTCAAGCAACCAGATTCAACGCCTCCTGAAAGTCCTTCAGAAACAGCCACTTTGCCTGCTCTTTCCATCCCTTCTGCTTCCATTGGTTTGCTGACCGAGGAAATGTGTCAATAACAGTTGAAACAGTGTGATCGTGCGCAGCAACTAAAAAGACGTTGTCCTGATCGTCAAAGTCTCTCACAGCTCTGATAGTACGCATCGCGGTGCTCAGATCGCTGTTGACTTTGCCAGGTTGGAGCAAGGGTACAGAGCAGCACTTTGAAGGAGCAATTTGTGCAAGCTGCTTAGCGGCCAACGGGTTCGGGATGAGGTTGGGTACATGCACATGCTCAGGTAGGGGAACGGATGCGGATGGTCGAATCTGGCTCGCGTGGTGGTACACGTCGCCAGTGAACAACATGAAAGTGTCCGGTGTTGTACGGGCGAGGCCGCACAGGTGACCCAAAGCGTGGCCAGGTGCATCGAGCAGGTAGAAACTGCCGTCACCAAAATAGTCCAAGGCAGGGAGTCCGCCAATCGACAGTTTTGTGTCCGAGAAGTCGAGTTGACGGACCTCGCGATTCGCGAAATCAGTCACCAGAACAGGCGCATCAGGCTTTGTTGGCCATCCGGGGAAATACTCGTCTTTCACGCCAGGACCGACGATGAGTGTTGCGCTAGAGGGGAAGGTCGATGGGTCCCCAACATGGTCGACATGCGCGTGACTAGTCCAGACGTCAGCTCAGCATTTCTAGACAGACAGGTTTGAACTGATGTACCTCCAGATCAGTGCCTCAATGCTGGCCCTATCAATCCCTTCACGTTCCAATAAATCTGCCACATTCTCCACAGGCTCAAGTATAGCACCCTCGATTGCTTTTACTCCCTGCACAACCTGAGGTGCCATATTCTCCCAATCTTTGCGGGCCCCGAGATCAAAAAGGACTCGTCTGACCTTGCCCCCTTTGTCAGTGCAAGTGAGGACAAACACATAGCTGATGCCTTCAAATCTTTCGAAACCAGGTATCTGTGGATCTGTGAAGACTGCGGCTGGAATGTTTCCAATCTTACAGCCGGTGTCCATGATGGAAACATCGACGGTGCTAGTAGATTCTGGGATTGATATCATGTTGTGGAATAACTCGTTGTTGAGGGTCGAACAAAGATTGAAAGTTCTCTGGAGCTAGGGATTCAGATGCGTGCAAGCAGAACTTTTATACAGTCTCATCGGGGACACTGCGGTGTCTTCTATATCCACTTCGTCTATTGGTTACTTAGTAACACCACTAGGCAGATTCTTGAGCTAATTCTGTTGCATCCCAGGATGTGTTGACTACAAGCGAGCAAAGTGAAGTACAGACCTGACAAAACTGGAGGGGGATGCTGTATACTTCGCGCAATACTGGTCCGTGAGCTCGGAGAGCTTATTTTGCAGTCGTAATTACACTGAACTCCACGATGCTACCTTATCTAGTCACCGAGAATGACGTGTCATTGCTTGGTTATGTGGAATATTGCTCCACAATCGACCTGGAGGCCCTAGCCAATTTGAGTTGGATATAGCTGAGCACCATCAGATAACTATCTCCTTATCATAGCATATTGTAGTTTTAGAACCATTAGTTACTACTTATTTTCGGTTACTTTATCTAAATTTATAATACATAAACACGCGTACTGTATATAATTGTTAAAGTTTAAGCTGACAGAATTAAGGGTATAGAGCTAAATATAATCAGAGTGGTAAAAGGGGTACACGATACAAAATAGTAGAGCCTAACCAGGGAGGACAATCATAGTCTAGATACATTTGTTTCTCTTGCTTGCACCTTGGCCTCTGAACCTGCTTATGACCTGTGTCGCTATGTAATCGGTTTGTAAATGGAGACCTGGTGGCCGCCTGGGCGAGCATCGAGTACAGGCTCTTTTATTCCGTCCGCTCAGCGTTGAATATTCTTCCTGGCTTTACGCCGAGTTACACATTTTGTCAACGAACTTTACAACATAGGCACAAGAACTTCCACTCGTGATCCCTATGATTTCAATGGCAACGTGAGAAGGCGCATTTGTCTAAGCTTATTACTTCACATCGATCTAACTCATCTCGTGACCGCTTGGAATTGTCAGAATAATGCTCCTACCCCATCAAGTTCGAAGAGAAAGAGCCGGTAGTTAGGGCTGGAGCGACAAGTGAAAGCAGCATGAATTTTGCCACCAACGCGCTTGGCTAAGCCACAAATAAACATCCTCCTGCCTTTAGGCACCTCCACATCTACAACCACTGACCTCGAATCTCCCGCCAGAGCGACAGCACGGTTCTTCTCACCATGGCCGACAAATGTGTCGACCTTACGATCATTATCGCAGAGAAAAGGGCGGCGAGGCAGACACAGCAGGGAATGGCCATTGGAAGGTCCCGGAAAGAAAAAGAATATCGTATTGACACAAGCAAGCTTGCGGTCTGACCAAAGTATGTCCTGGATGTGAGGTCCCTCTACCAACAGCACTGACATGTCAGGGCGTCCGAAAACCAGCAGCGCTCACCATTCCTCCGTCTTCCACCCGAGTTGAGGAATCGGATCTACCAATTCGTGTTGCAGGCTGAGTCTATCTTGATCTATGCGCATCGCATCAGTACCTTTAGCACGTCAATCGTCATGCACTCGTGCTGCTCCTTCACTTCACCAAGGCAGATTCAACACTGGAGGGAGGACGACCAGCTGACCTTCCTGCCAGTCGTGTGCCGTCAGGTTTACGCAGAGATGCACGCTCTTCTATACACTCTCAACAATTTCATCTTCGTAGACGGCACGGCAATGCGGTCTTGGATGTCTTGCCGTACGCTGAGGCAGCGCCAATTGATCCGCAGCCTCAAGCTCCCTCGTGCTGCAACCAACTATTACCAGCACCCTCCCAATACCCAGCTCGTTCGAAAGTTTCCGAATCTCAAGGTCATTTACATGGACATGTGGTATTTGATTACAAAGGCCGACAACCTGAACTTTACGAATGCAGAGGAAGTCCTTGGCAGAGAGCTCTTGGAAGTATCGGCGGCACAGGCTAATGAAGGTGGAGGTGTACAAGTTATTGCGACCAAGTTCCTACTCGCTCATTACGTCTTTGGGACCTCTCTTGTTGGGGTTTAGGCAAGCAGAAGTATTGGACGATTGAGGTGCAGCGGAAGAGATTAGGCAGCTGGGTTCACATTGGACATCGACGGACAAGACAACCTGTTCACTGAGAATCTCGCCTTCTCCTTGACGCCGAATCTGGTTGAGTTGCGTATGGTGGAAATCGCCCCCAGCACCAACCGTGGTTGACACCCTCTGGTCGGCACACGACGTTGGCTCCACACTTCTTTTGCTCGGGGACTGGGGTGCAACCATCACATTGGCTGAACCTGGTCAATGTAGCCGTGATTTCTGCGCGGCCAAGCATGAGTACCTAGATAGCATCAAAAATTATGTCTTACCACCTTTGCCTTCCATACATGCACAGTTCAATGAATCGCCAATCGAGTGAACTTTCACGGCTCCTCATTATCGCAGTCCCACGCTGGACAGTTATAGTAGCTATATTCGGAAATGGTCCATACTGCACTCATGTACAGCATCTGCGACTGGTGGCAGCGGCGGCGCCTCGCTAGCAAGACCCTCCGGCTTTTCTCGCAACATGGCTGCACGCGCTTGTATTCTGTCGATAGTCGTCCTCTGCTTGCCAGATTGATAGTGCTGTATACCACATCAGAGAGCTTACTGACCGCGAAGCGACCTCGGGAAGCATCGAATCTTCAAACCTACAAGACCGCATGTCGTAATACACATGGAAAGTCCAAGATTCGACTCTGCACACTCTATCATACATGAACTCAATAGGCACGGCACCACGACGTACTGGCGATTGCAAGAGATAGCGAAACTTATTCTTTCGCAAACACAAATTTTTTGAACGCGTCGCCAGCAGTGGCAAGAGCGACCTCAGAAACGCCGACGAGACAGTTCCCGTGCTCATCGACGACGAGCACCTAAAGTTTTATATGTACACCAAGGCTGTTGCGAAAAATTGCTTCTGTCACAAAATCATCGAACCCACGATACATTCCCACGCTTCTTGACTTGTGCTAACCTGCCGTCTGGTACTTATTTTTGGCTTCGGTGGCGTTGTCGTACTTCCTGAGATCTTCGACGTGTACTGTCGAGGAAAACGGAGGGTGCAGATTGGCGATAATTGTAATACAAAACACCCATCGTCATCCTTTGTACTAGTTTGTGCCTTGACTTCCTCGTTGACCACAGTGTGGTCTTTCACATCGGTATTGTCGTCGAGTTGAGAAGAAATTTCAATCATTCTTTTGCGATGCTGCTTGTTCATTACACCTCTGGTGATGCCGCCGCAGTTGAAGATGTTGTCCAGAGCCTCCAAGGACAGCCCAGTGGTTTCTGGTAGGAAGAAGTAGATCATCGGGATGAAGCTCGCATTGAGGACCGCGAATATCACGTAGGTTCTACATTCTGTCAGCAGACACTCGCTACGCGCCTTATTGCGTTATTTACCTCCAACTGATACTAGTCGTTGCGACGGGAGTAATCATGACGACCAAAAATGTGAAGATCCAGTTGCTCATAACCGAGAGGGACACGCCACGGCTGCGGGTACGCAGGTTGGTGATCTCTGCGGGGTAGAAGAAAGGGATGGCCAGGAATCCCTGAGCGTAGAAAGTGTTGAACAGGAAAAAGCAGGCCACTGCGACTATGCCCATTGCTTAACTGCCCGAGCCATCTTTGTTCTTAGTGACATACCAAATAGCTGCGGAGAGGACTGTCATGGAAACGGTTTGACCGGCCGCACTGATGAGTAGCAGTTTCCTTCTTCCAATCTTCTCGATAGTCCACATTGGTATCATGGCTGCGAATAGGTATTCGATTCCGTTAAAGCCACCAATCATAAGTGAAAGCTTGCGGTCTAGTCCGACGGAGTTTTCGAGGACGTATGAGATGTAGTATGTGAGAAGGTTGATTCTGTTGTGCGACATCAGTCTCGGCGGATGTCTTCTGGGTTAATCAAAGGGAGTGCACTCACCCACTGAGCTGCTGGAAGGCCATGATGCCAATGCAGAGACACATTCGGCGCCAATTCTGCATCTTTCCGCCGTGAAGAAGCTCAGCAAAAGACACATCGCCCTCGGCACTTTTCTCCACTTCTCGTGCGTGTATGATCGTGCTGCATAGGTTCGAGATAGTCACTTCGTGTGGCTCTTCGGCATTCTCGGGAATAGGGGTTATCCAATCGAGGACGGCCTTTGCTTCTTCGTCTCTGCCTTGTGCGATGAGCCATCTTGGAGATTCTGGGAGAACTGGGCATTGATCAGTCGCTACCATGACATATGGGTTACACCTTGGTGTACTCACACACGACCATGAACGCCATCAATAGTCCGAACAAAATTTGCAAGGCTGACAACACATTAGCTCCACAACACCAGCTTGTCAGAGACTTGGATCACGCACCTATCGGGAACCGAAATTGCATATCGGTCATATAATCAGCGCATGCATAACCCACCCTACAGGAACGTTAGCGAGGGAGATGAAACAGTCCTGCATGGCTCGGATCTTACCAATAAGCAATTACAACACCCCAGATGATGAGCCAGCCGTTGAACGCTGCGATCCTACCCCTCTCATCGTGTCCAGAAATCTCGGATGCCCAATTGGGGATGGTGGAGAAATTCAGTCCGTCTCCCTGGAGGAAAAAGTCAGTGGCTTTCCCCTTCGAATTTTAATTTGAGTGAGGCCTCACCAAGCCTGTAATGACTCGGCCCGCAATGAGTTGTCCCATAGTGTAGGCAGTAGTCTGGATAGTAGCACCAACAGCCATAACAATAACTCCAAGAACCATGCAGGTACGGCGACTGTAGTAGTCGCCTCTCATAAAGGCAAACATAGCTCCAAAAAAACATCCGATCTCGTAGATTGCTGAGATCTAGTTGTCAGCGTTCACTCTCCCACTGGTGCCCGCCCGGTCACTCACCAACCATAAGTCCAAGAGAAGCCGCATTGGGGTTTTTGAAGGTGTTGCTGAATGGCGTGCCTTCAGCACCTATCAGACCAGCCATGACGCCCTGGTCGTACCCCAGCCACTGGACGTGGTGAGACGGTTTGTTCAAGGAGATGGAAAATTAATGAGAACTATACGTACCAGCATTCCAAGACCTGAAGCGACCGCAACGGCGTTGATGACAGTCTGCCCCTGGCCTGTAAAGGCGAAGCGGCGGGCTGTGAGAAGTTTCATGGTGCGAAACGAAGATAATACGTCAGGGAATTGGCAATAGAGAAATTATCTTCCTTGTCAGAACCAGTCAACCACGGCTTCCTAATTCTGTCGAGCATGAAGGCTGTGAAGGTCTATATATGATGTTCGCTCGGCGTGTGCTGGTGTCTTCCGCAAGCGCCCGAGGCCACACATGGCTCGATGTACAGATCTGGGGTGCAGCAGATCCAATCGGTTGGGTGATCCGCGTAAGAGTGAGGGGACCCCGCGAATGAATCGCTATACCACAACGGCCGATGGGGAGGAAATACGCACTCGGTGACCCAGCTTGCAACTAGCGCCCTTGCCTCTACTGCTGTCCCGAACAGGCATCTAGAGCCACACCACCATGCTCCGATTGAGCTGGAGTCCCAGGTACCCAAGGCACACGAGTTCTCTGATTGATATTCCACTCTGGCAAGCTTGCCCACAGATCTTATCATCTTCAAGATGTCAAACATTCGATCATTCGAAATCTCGGTACCCGAGAGCCTTCTAGAGGAGACCAAGACAAAATTACGTTACGCTCGGCTCGACGATGGTATGAACAACGTTCAATGGAACGATCTTGAGATTGGCCATGTTGCTTTCAAAGAGGTTGTTGAATTCTGGCGCGATGACTACGACTGGCGAAAACACGAACGTTATCTGAATACTTTCAACCACTTCCGGGCCTCGATCACTGTCCCCAGTTTCAACGCTCTCGACATACATTTTCTTCACCACCGGTCGTCCAGGCCAGATGCGATACCTCTCATTTTTGTACATGGCTGGTATGTATTGCAAGCTCTGCACCTTAGATCCAATTGGGGTGTTGGCTTATGGGCTGCTACCAGGCCAGGATCGTTTCTCGAGGCAACAAAGTTGATTCCTCTTTTGACAGAGCCTCCAGAAGAGAGACAGGCCTTCCACGTGGTTGCGCCGTCTATCCCAGGTTACGGTTTTAGCGAATATTCCAAGAAATCAGGATTTGGCCTTGCGCATCATGCGGAGTGTTTCGCGCTACTAATGAAGGAACTTAACTACGAGCAGTATGTAGTCAGGTAAGGGATCAACCCCATCTCCCTCTCTCCTGGACTGATCGTGCGCTGTATCATTGCTTATGCTGCTAACCATCTTTAGGGAGGGGACTGGGGCTCATCCGTGGTCCGATATATGGCTCTAGACCATCCGGAAAGTGTTCTTGCCATCCATATCAACATGTTCCTCGCTTTGCCTCCAGTCGAGAAGAAAGCCCCTGAGAAGTATGCCCGATACGTTGCGAACGATTACAGCATTCAAGAGATCAGAAACCTTGAACGGACTCACTGGTTTGCGACTGACGAGGTAAGGATAACATTCTGATTCTAGTGCCAGTTTCGTGAGCTGACTATTCAAAACTTCAGCGTGGATATCAACGGATCCAGGAGACGAAGCCTGTAACTCTAGGCTATGCACTCCACGATTCTCCGGTTGGGATGCTAGCCTGGTTTGTTGGCAAACTCAAGGCTTGGACAGATGACTACCCATGGACACCAGAAGAGCTGATACACTGGGCATTCATCCACTACCAGGGTAGCCCAAGCGCCGCGATGCAAATTTACAAAGAAGCTCAAGCAGTTTTGAACAACGATGCATCGAGTATGCTAGGGAGATACATCTCGCAGCCAGTTGGAGGCTCTCTGTTCCCCAAAGAGGTAGGTGAAACAGTCCGATGAGATCTTCCAAGGCTAATGCGCGACACAGCTTTGGCTTTATCCACGTGATTGGGTTTCAGAAGCTTGCAATATCCGGATGTGGAAACAGCATAGCCGCGGCGGCCATTTCATTGCGTGGGAGCGACCGGAACAACTTGCTGCCGATGTGGCAGAATTTTACAGCAAAAATGGGCCTGTTTTTGGCAAGCTGGATCAGTAAGGCTGATTTATCTTCTGGGTTTGTCTAGCCATACAAGAAGACTCTCTTACGTCATTCAGTGAGGTTGTGGATGCTAAATCGATCAATATGTGCAGGTTCTGACTTCATACTGTCTGTGGTATGCTCGGGCCATACAACGGCTTCAAACCCGTGAAAGTTGCTGTCTGATCGCTCCTTAAACGCTCCCGGGGACGCGAAATTGCTGTAAACGTACGCTCCCAAGCAACATCACATCATCCAGCTTGCGCACGCCAACGTATCGCATTGTTGAGACCGTTTGGAGATCTGGGTGGAGTATTTACCAAAGTCGGCCAGCTGTGGGGTGGCTGCAGTGATGCTGTGCGCACACCAAATCTTTTGTATCCAAGCGAGACCGCTTGTGACGTCAGCATTCCTGCTCGATCGTTACGATTACTCACGCTGTGTCCCACAGAGCATGATATCTAACGATAGGCGCTTTGGAACATGCTTTTCACGTAATCCATCATTGACAAAAAGTGCGTGTATGGTCTGCGTGGTCTGTCTCACATTGAATAAAGTGTAGAAGAGCTCTACGAAGGCGGATGTGTGAAGAATATCGGAGTCTCCAACTTTAACTCGCAATCGATCTTCGACATCTTCACATACGCAAAAGTGAAGCCATGCATGTTGCAGATTGGTAAGTGTCACACACGAGTCGTAATATTCTCTACTTACGATTGCAAGAACATCACCCATACTTAGTTCAACCCAATCTCGTCGACTTCTGCAGAGACCAAGGAATTATGGTCACCGGCTACAGTTCATTCAGCCCACAATCATTCCTTGAGCTTCCACCGACCTTCCCGACCAAGGCTTCGCAGATGCAGTCGCTGTTCGAAGTCCCCTTGATCCAACAACTTGCAGCCAAGTACGGGAAGTCGCCAGGACAGGTTCTCTTGCGATGGGCTGTACAGAGGGGTAAATGCGTTATCCCAAAGAGCAGTTCTAAGGAGAGGATGAGGGAGAACCTGGATGTGTTGGGTTTCGAACTGGCATCCGAGGAACTGAGCGAGATCGCTAGTCTTGACCAAGGTCTGCACTTCAACGATCCTGGCGTCTACCTCCCTGGTCGACCTTTGCGCCTATTTGCATGATTCTTGCTACTTTTCAGATTGCGATCAGATAGTAAGGTGTCTCGCAGCCATTGTTTAAAGCAATGTAGAGGCCTGAGGAGGGACCGCGACGAGATTTGAAGCTGCATTTCACAGACATAGCAGTTTTCCCTATCTTGACACATATGCAGCCTAACAAGAAATATCAAAGTAAGACTGATCAAGCTAGAACAATAGTTAACCAGCGAGGTCTGCAGTCTTTCCATAACTTTAGGTCGACAGTGCCAATTGCGATTCTTCTCGCGACTCCGTCATCATCGCGACTGATCAACATGACATGCAGGTACCATATACTGTCCTCCATTCTTGGTCGCTGATACTCGCCAGACGTGTGTAAAGTCGCGTGTGTTTGAGCGTAACGAGAGTTCTCCGAAGCTATTCCAGCTGTGATGACTATAACTGCATGATCTTCATTCAACCTGAGGTTGTTGTTAATCCAATCCTTAGGTAACTGTGCCATCTCGCCAACGATGAGCCCATCATGACTACAAATACCAAGCTTCGTGTAGTCAATACTAGGCTGATGAATGGATCCTGCAGGCACGTGGAGCCTCACATAAGCAGATGTTGTTCGAAATATGAGTCTGCCAGGGCGGCAAAATGCTCCTACATCTGTTTTGTCAACTGTTCCGTCTGTAGCGACCGTCCATGGATTCTGGATTGATGTTCCCCATTCGAGACTGGCGTCTTTGGTAGGCATGTACCTCATCTCGGCATACAAAGGGTCAACAGCAGGGATCGTGTCCAGATTATCAAAGTTCACACCTTTGGAGAACCACGCTTCGTCTTCCAGGATTCATCGAAGACCACAGTCCTTGTCGACAATGTAAAATCGTACCAAAGTCCCGGTCTCCCATTAGTCTGCGACTGCGGGTCTATAGTGGCTGAATTTATGCAGCTGGAAAGGCCTCGTAGTGGTCATGATCTCGCCGAGCTCTTCTTGCGACGAGTGTCTATTACAGATCCAGTACGCTTGCCATTCGGTGATAAAGATGACCCGTCGCGACAAGGTGAACTCCTGGTAGGTCCAACCACGGCTATTCCAGAATGACTTGGAAATATTCGGGCTGAAGTTATCGACAATGAATCGATACTTCAAGTGAAATTTTCGATTCCAGTTCGAAACCTGCGAACGCCGAGGCCTACCAACCACACCGGGGAGGCCGATATCTAGAGGTATGGCCGCTATGAGAGTGAAAGATGCCATGTGATAGATGCGGTCCATGGCATTGATCTGTTCCAATTTCGCCTCGAGATCATCCTGTACAATACACAATCGGTCTACCCACAGGTACCGCTCACCCATGTCGGCGCAGAATCTGATTGCATCGCGAATCAGGTCTGGGATGCCGCTGAGCAATTTCAGGCATCCGGGCTTGCAAAGTTCATTCTGATTGGATTGTTCGAGCTGCAGCTCCTTTGCTTCTGGTGTGCCGCCCCAAGTGTAGCTTAAGGTCACATAACGCGAGGGAGGGGAGCTCGGTAGCTCAACAACGCAATAATCGTACGTGTTGATAGCTCGGAAACCAGCCGGTAGCAGTTCGTGATCAGCATCGAGACTGCATTTTCTCGTTTCAATGCTTCCATGTCTGGACTCATCTTTATGACCATGCTCGCACAAATCCAGTAGCCCACTAAACTGCGCCGTGTTGATGTATTCATCGTTCCATCGTACGACGGCGCTCAGATCTAGTGTCCCACGTCCGTAGGTCAGGTCGATTTGCAACCCAAATGTTGGTTGGAGCAGCTCATCCGGATTGTCTGACCCGGTGCATCTGTGCGTACCGAGGCCCTTGTCGTCTGACCAATGCTTCTTAGCTTCGTTGGGCGTCTTGTACTCGTCGAGGTGAGGAAACCGTGAGCGCAAATGCGAACCGAGAGGTGCTGTCATAACAAGGTAAATCACCGTGCGGATTGGTGCAAGTCGCTCTTGGCTTGGGTCCGGAAGGTTGGAATGATCAACGAGTCGCAGATCATTTGGCTCAGTAAGGTATAGAGGCATGCTCGTATTTGGAAATGTAGAAAGCGCTGGGTTTATAGTTCCGTACTGGCTCTTGCTAAGGCAGAAATGTCCGTAATCGCGTATTTCTACATCGAGAAGTTGATCCTCGAGTCTGTTGTCGTTCACGTTCAAACTTTCGAGGGCACCATCGCTGACTGCTTGACACATGAAACACGCTTTACGCGCTAGCATCTGGCCTAACGTGATTGACTTAGGGTGTTCCGAGCCCTTGTTGAGCCTTGTAGTGCTCAAGCAATCGAAGACATGATGTGCGTCATTCCAAATCTGGCAATTATCGCAGAGGCTTAGATTACGAAGTAAAGTCTTGTTGCATGTTCGACAGCTAAAGGCTGGCTCAGAGCCATCCTGAGGGTAATCTGTAACTGGCTTGGTAGCTTCGAGAACTAGATCAGAGGGTGGTTTAAGTCGTCTTTTGCTTATCAGCGAAGAAGCGGTTGGCGAGTTTTTAATAGCGCGGGATTGACTAGGACTTGGATTAGGCATCAAGAAGATGTTATTAGGTTACCATATCGTGACAAAGTTGAGGAAAGAGCGAGGCTAGGCTGTGTCCTAGTACCCCGCTATGTACAGCTTATCTAATACTTCAAGTCTATAAACAAAAAAGATATGAATCCAGATAAGAATATATAGATTTGGAAAACCAAGCTGTACTTTTATCTTACTCTTTAGGCCAGGACGAGAGCTAGGACATCTGTTTTTCATGGTAACTATTTCTTTCTGTTCTTATCGGTTCGTCGCGGCCAGCTCAACGCAGACATATTGTAAAGCTGAGAAGCACGTCCTTATTTCTCGCAAGTTAACATCTGCGACACTGCTGAGTTCTGTGCGGCGCCGAAGAGGAGCCGTTTACCGGTATCCACATGCGGAAATCGGACATTGAACCTGGATCCATCTGCCGAACCGTTCCCCTCACATCATTTATGGACTTTGTGACGAACCCTCAGTTACAGCGCAAGCGCACGAGCTGCTCAGACTGTTGACCTTAAGCATGCGTACACGGCAGCTGTATGTTGCAGATGCCGCAGCAGCCTATTGATCGCTCCTTTGCCTCTTCCTTTGCGGCTCAGCACAGAACGGCTGGAAGTGGGAAATGATGCGGCCTGCATACGAGGGTCAGACCGGGATAAACGGCGAGATTACATATCCACGTCAGCCGATATTACCCACCTGATACTTTCATCTTGCCTCCGACAACTGTTCCTCTTGCTCGACGAGCAGAGACGGACAACGTACCTAGGTACACGACCACCAGGACAGAAAGGTCTCAACATCATCTTGTCATATCCTGGGGGACAATGAAGATGGTCTATGTCGCCGTTATCAAGACCGCAATCGCACTTTGCACAGTCGCCATGGGAGTCGCTGCTGAATCGCATGTCCAGAACAGGACGGTAGCCAGCGCGACGTACGATTATGTTGGTATGCGACTTTCACCGTTTCCAGTCTTGCATGATCAGTGATCGACTTACGTCTCCCCTTGTCGAGTATCATATTGACTGGAGCTGACAATGAACAGTCATCGGCGGAGGTACTGCTGGGCTTGCAATCGCTTCTCGATTAGCAGTGCATGCGTCTGTCGCCGTTCTTGAAGCTGGCGGTCTCTATGAACAAGATAATGGCAATCAATCTGTCGTTCCGTACTATGGTCTCATCATGCCTGTACTTGGAATCGCAGAGGACTACCCAAAGAATTCACTGGTTGACTGGGATCTGCTCTCGACACCGCAGATCTCAGCTGGCGGTCGACGAATTCACTATGCGCAAGGCAAGACCCTTGGTGGTAGCTCAGCTCTCAACACCATGGCTTACCATCGGGGTACCAGAGGGGCCTACCAGCGATGGGCCAACTTGGTCGATGACCAGAGCTACGTGTTCGATCGGCTCCTACCTTACTTCAAGCGAACGTCTACTCTGACTATTCCAAACCTTGAGAAGCGACAAGCACCCAATGCAACTGCGTTGTACGATGCCTCTGCTTTTGATAACAAGCTGGGCGGGCCCCTTCAAGTTTCTTGGGCAAACTGGGTCGATCCGACTCAGAGTTGGCTCGCTCATGCTTTACAAGGCATTGGTCAGAAACTCGGCCCAAGTGGTCTCAGCACTGGCATCGTTGCTGGAGGGGCGTGGGTACCAACGACCATCAAACCAAAAGACGCGACGAGGAGTACCTCGAAAAGCAGCTACCTTGAAGCTGTGTTACTAAATAAGAAGACACAACTCACCGTCCATCTACACTCCCAGGCCTCAAAGATCATGTTTGACAGGAGCAAGAAGGCCACCAGCGTCAAGGTGATTAGCGATGGTGAGACATTCGAGATAGGCGCGAAGAAGGAGATCATACTGTCCGCTGGCGTTTTCCACTCGCCACAAATTCTGCAATTGTCAGGTATAGGTCCCGCTACGACGCTCCGCTTGCAGTCCATCGACGTCGTCTCGAATCTTTCAGGTGTCGGTCAAAATCTGCAGGATCAGATATTTTTCAATGTGCTGCGTGGGATCACCGTACCGAACACCGGCACATATCTCGCATCACCTGAGCAACAAGATATCGCTGTCCAGCAGTACCTCACCAATGCATCAGGACCGTACAGCTCTGCCGGCGGATACCTTTCATTTGAGAAGCTCCCTCCGGGCAGCCGCAAAACATTATCCCCTCGCACGTCGGATCTACTCGCTAAGTACCCTTCTGACTGGCCTGAGATTGAGTACATTGCATCCGGATTTCCGGGTGGCTTTCTCAACTTGACTACCGTCGGGGCCATTAGTGGCACGTTGTTGACGCCGACATCAAAGGGTAATGTGACTATCAAGAGCGCATTTATTGAGGATGCACCGGTCATCGACCTCAACTGGATGAGTGATCCAGCTGACGGAGAGGTACTTGTTGCAGCGTTCAAGCGTGTAAGAGAAGCTTGGAATAGCAGCGCGATTGCTGGTATCGTGGCTGGACCCGAAATTGCTCCTGGCGATGCAGTGGCCACCGACGCGCAGATCCTTGACTTTATTCGATCGGCAGCACAGCCAATCTGGCATGCGAGTTCGACGTGCGCAATGGGCAAATCTGGTGACAAGAGCGCAGTGGTTGATTCCATGGCGAGAGTGTTCGGCGTCAGAGGGCTTCGGGTGGTAGATGCCTCAGTAATTCCCTTCAGTCTACCCGGGCATCCACAGAGCTCTGTTTACATGCTGGCAGAGAAAATTGCGGATAGTATTCTCCAAAGCGTGCGATAGGCCGCCTCTGTATACACCTTCTGAACATCTTTCGATCAACGCCTATCGCACTTGTGACTTGGGGCTACTCCCGCCAGGTGGATTATGGTACTATATCTGCGCAAGCCCCCACTTTGACCTCCAATTAGGAAGTTACCCATTTCCAGAGTAACTTCTTCCATCGAAATCTCACCGTACATCTTCTTGAGTATCTTGTAAATCGCCCTAAGCTGTTTAACATTTTCGTCAAACCCATTGATTAGAGTGTTCTTGGACTGGAGCCCTTCTATCTGCAGTTCCTAGAAGAGAAGCGCTAGAAGCTAAGTTGGGATATATAAGGATATGGGTCTACACTACTATTATTGTATATTGATTGGCATCTATCTGTCAACGTAAAACACCATTAAAACAGCAACTTACAACTGTCTCTCGGCACTGCAAGTAGTTCATACAAGGGGCAAAATTCCAACAATGCAAAGCCAAATGACTCTAGCAAAAAGGTAGAACAGATCTTGGACTTTATGCCAAAAGTTCAGGTCAATGTAAGAGTGTGCTACGCGGCTGTTGGATTATGCAGAGTCCCGGTTAGCGAGACAAACTCGTCTTCAAGCTGCCTACATGCACAGTACTCAATAACCAGAATTTCTCCCCCAAACAAGAGTAAACTATCGTGAGATTCATCGTTAACTTGACGTTCTCGAGGATTTGCCTTTCTGGTAAGGTCTGCTGACTTCTCGCAGTGGAATACATGTAGGTAATTGCGACAACTAGGCTAAGCGGGATCTATGGGTTGTATGGAGAGTATCCATAGCTCGTTGTATCCTAAGCTCGACAGCTTACTTAGTCGCTATTCGATATCGATAGACAGCTCGATGTACTGATGTATTTTCAGCTCATTCAGTTCCGAAATCCCTGTGGAATCGCCCCACGGACCCTAATTCGGGTGGGTAGACATGATAAGCTAAGTCCTCCAGGCCCACAGAACCCCCTGTGGATCGCTTCGCTTGCTTTGTAAGAAGTATAGGCTTTGCTAGCAGTAGTACAGTGCATATTACCACTGTCCACATTTACGAATATGCAATTCTTATTAAGCTAGGGGCAGTGTTCGCCGGGCTGAGGTTCTAAGCACCCACAGCCTTAGCCTAACCCCTACCCATTCGCAAGAATACTCAAGCGTTCTTCAAATATATTAATAGGGTTCTCTGGGACCGTGATTGTAATGGACCTGCGTATTGCGCGTATCGAGGAGGTGTTTCTGGCTATAAGTCACGTCCTTTTCGGGGCTCGGATGGGATTCATATCCGTGACACGGACAAGGATAGATACCCAACATCTTACCAGCTTTCTTGGCGAATCCAAATGAATTTGGCCGTGTTAGAATCTGAATCGTGCATTCACTCGCTTGACCACCCACAACATTGTCGCCAACGCAGCCAAGATGTTCCATGAAACAAAGTCTTATTGGCCCAATCAATGCTGCTGTGATCTCGGCCCGTAAATCACGCATAGGTATACAAATTAAATTGACTATTCTATACGCGTGTTAAATGGAGTGGTAGCGGGTCTGCAGGGCGCAGTAACTATATAAACGTCCACCGATGCGCTGAATAGCGCGGCCCCACCACATTACCTTCGAGTGTGACTACAGCTTAAGCACTATCAAAGTTCATTGCGAGCTATCTCATCATGTTTTCCAGACTCTATGTGCTGGGACTTGTCTTTTTCTTCACGAATACGAACTCTGCTGCTGTCGACGATGGCTGCAAAGCTCTGGCCTCTCGCTACCCTGACAAAACTTTCTTTCCAGGCTCTGAGCGATACAAATTTGAGAACGAGTGTAAGTGCTAGTCGCGCTTTCGCAGCATCGAAAATAACCGGTGGTTCCCTGGCAGATTCCTGGACCTCAACAACGTACTTAGGTCCATCCTGCATCTTCGCTCCGCAGCGTACCAAAGATGTGCAGTTCGCTGTCCGCACATTTACCGAACACCAAGTTCAGTTTGGAATTCGCTGTGGTGGTGCTATGGCCATTGACAATGCCGCCAATATCGGACAGGAGGGTATTCTGTTGGCCCTGACGAACCTCAGCAACATTGCTGTCTCAGATGACACCAAGTCTGTCACTATCGGAGCTGGTGTGACATGGCCTCCGCTGTACGCACATCTCGACGATTACAATGTCACTGCGAACGGAATTCGCTCTGGTGATGGTGGAGTCGTTGGCGCGATATTAGGAGGGGGACCGTTCGGATTCATGGCCTATGAATACGGAATGTCGAACATTGCTAAATCATTGGAAGTAAGCAATGATTCAAACGCGTCTACGTGAAAAGACATGTGGCTGACAGATTGTCTTCGTAGTGCGTCCTTGCCGACGGAACCCTCGTAACGGCGAGTGCCGTTGAGCATCCGGACTTATTCTGGGCACTTATTGGAGGCGGTAACAACTTCTGCGTTGTTACAAAGGCTGTTCTTAATACAATCCCGATTTCCTCTGCGCTGATTGGAACAGTCTCTTGGGGGCCAGGAGTGTCGGAGCAATACATCAAGAGTGTGGAGCAATTTGCGCTCTACGGCGCAGAACACCCCAAGGCTTCGTTTGAGGGCCAGACCCGGTGGGTCCCATCTCGCAGCGACGAAATATCTTTCGACGGCTACCTTTGGTACAGCGGTGAGGGAGATGTTCCGGTCGGATTGGAGAACTTCACCGCACCTGTCCTGCCAATCACGAGAGGGAACATTACGAGGACGTCCATGGGCGTATGGAACAACGAGTTCAACTATGCTCCTCCCCTTGGTACGAGAGCTATTTTCCACTGGCTCACGAGTGCAGCCAATGCTACAGCTGCAAAAATCGCCTTCGACACTTACTTTGAAACGATCGCATCCCTAGCAGATGTTGAAGGATTCTCAGCCACGTTTAGCATGCTGCCGATCACACCTATTGTTACCTCAGCTCCTCCTGGAAACCCAATGAGTCTAGGGGCTGACGATGGTCCAGCGATCTGGTACGTTGAGACCCCTCTATGGTCAAGAATTGAAGACGACGAGCGTGTATTGGCGGTTCATGCTGAAGCCAACGCGAAAATTCGGGAGAGACTTACTGAAGCCGGACTTGGACCCCTTCCTTTCATGTATCTCAGTGATATACAGAAGGAGCAGATTCCCGAGACCTTTCCATCCTATGGAGCGAAGAACTTACAAAAGCTCAAGGCGATTCGACACAAGTACGATCCTAAACGCGTCTTCACCGATCTTGTGCCTGGAGGAGCCAAGATTGCTTTGTCATAGGAGAGAGCTTGGATCCGGGCTAAACTTGCGGAGTGGCTCGGATCGCTGGATCATATAATACTGTTGAAAAGAGCCGAGATGGCCCCGGAGGCTTAGGTCTAGTTTAGAATTTGTGTTGAATCAAGACAGAACCATCTTTGTATTTAGCTATAGGCAAACTACAACCACGCAAGGACTAGTTTGCTCATTTTTGTAGTATTTCCGTACAAGACCCCTAGTGCGTAGCATGATGGCCGACAATGGCCGAGGATTTTGAATCACTTTGCATTGCCAGCTAACAAAACTATCCATAATTCGCTTCCTTTATCATTTAATAAAATGGATTAATAACTAAACTGGAAAACTCCTGTCGCTTCACTAGAATATTCTTTCGTGCATACTCCTTGCCCGTTCGTCGGCCATTATCGCACGAAGTACGCCAAGTATCCCTCTTTTCTGGTCTTTAAGTAGTATAGAATAGCTGGTATTATCCGAACTTTGGACACAAAGCGAGTGGGCTGTGATCCACTATCAATATACATGAAGGGGGCTTGAAGGTGGTTTTGAAGGATTTGCATCTTAGCATCCAATGAGCATGGTACATCGCATTCGCTCTCGCTCTTCAATCTCGTGATCTTGGCACTTCCTCGATGGATTGGCCACCCTGTACCTCACAACGAATTGCAATCGGTCTCACGACTTCAAAAATCATCTTCATCGAACGATCAAGACGGTCATATCTCGGACGCTGATTTGGAGGCTAGTCGTCAAATCCTTCTACTATGGTGTCAGGCACAAGTACCATTTTGGTAACGCTAGGGATGATTGTACCCCAAGACGCTACCAAGAAGAGCCAGCCAAGAATAGCTAAGCTCTCATGTGGCTCTGTCGTGCACACACAAAAGTCAACGTCGTGCATACGCAAGAGTCAATGTTGTGTAGATAAAAGGATGAGGCGATAATACAATTGCGGCCTTGTTTCGATTTATGAGGTGCCCAGTACACCTTTTCAGCCTCTGCTGTGATTACGCACAGTAGAAAAAGACTGCGCGGAATATGGCTGCTGTGGTGTAAGGCATAATTAAAGTAGGCGGAGCATAGGTACAGGGATCTTGCTGTATACTTCGGGTATCTCACCGAAGCACGTCTTAAATAGTACCTGCGTACAGCAACTCACTAATTAACAATGTTTTATATCCAAAATAAGGCGATACTTGGTGCATTCTGATAAGTAGAGCTGTTTAGAGTACCCCTGTTTCTCCGGACCCCACAGCTACATTGCTTCTGCCAGACGCTACGTTAGGTACAAGAAACGGAAGACTCCGCCACAATGCTTACGCGGGATGCACGCCAAGCTCTGTGCCGGGCGCCGGAAAGGTGTTTCCAGTCAATTCCTGCTTCCCAAACAAGAAATCCCTATCTACGTTCAAGTCTGCGGGGTGCCATCGCTCTGTTGCCGGCGGGCGAGTACTTGGTGTCGTCGAGGTTGGACTCACAAGACATGCTCTGTTATCTACGGCATACATGTAGTCGGCATTGATACCGGGACTGATCCAGAGAGTCATTTCTGGGTCGTACTTTCGCTTCAGCTCGGACAGGCGTGGGTAGTTGCTGCCCCAAAACGAAGACTTCCAGTTTTCCTCTAGAACACTTCCCTGAACACATGGGTTAGCGAGCTTAGACTTCTGAGACGGAGGCATGTCCATACCTCGTTTATATAAGTTCCCATGTCTGGCGCTAGACGTCTTAATCCATTAGCATTCGTTGTTTCTGTCGTTGTGGCAATAACAAATGCCACGGCTTTCCTCCACCCAGGATTTGCCGATGTGTCACTTCCGTCACCAAATCGCTGTCCGGGTGTCATAATTTGCACACCAACAGAGCCCCCCGTCTCGACGAATGCGTTTGTAATGTTCGGGCTTGTGAGGTGCTCTGCACTGAAGAGGCGGCTGTCGTACGGAATGATTCCACGACCGTATCTGTACTCTGGAGCTGTCGGCTGTGGTACAAGCTCACCATAAGTTCCCTCGAAGAACTCTTTATAATTATTGAACTCAAAAGCCCGAGTTTGAAAAGGAGTGATACCAGGTAACGATGAGACATTCGATAGAATTGGGCCCCAGACATCATTCGCGTTGTTGATTCCAGCCTGCGTCCCCGGATGAATAGCAAAGGCTCGAATATGCGTCGGACGCACGTAGTATGTCACACTGATGCCTTTCTCATACAACCCAGGAGCTTCACGAAGAAGATGTCGGAGTGCAGCACTGGTGGGGTAAGTGCCAGGCTCTAGATCACTTGTGTCGAGCGTGGAGTTGATGTACCAGTTGTAACCAGTAATAGGAACGACTGGATGCGCTTTCCAGGTCGCCTGAACAACCACACCAAATGTGCCGCCACCTCCACCTCGAATGGCCCAAAATAGGTCGGTATTGACTTCAGAGTTCGCAACTCGCAGTTTACCATCTGGTGTAACAATCAACGCTTCGAGCCATTGATCAACCCCAAGACCGTACTGGGCAGTAAGTGGGCCGTAGCCACCGTTCTGGCCCCAACCTCCAGCTACAGCGACAGTGGCTGCGATAGTCAGCATTTACAGGAAATTCATTCTGGAGTGCCAGTATATTTACCTGCTCCACCGCTAACGGTGAAAAGCCCAGAATCAGCAACCGCATAGTTTAGTGGTAATCCCGCAACAGCCGGTCCGAACGACACTGCAGCCTGCACACCTTCGATAGGTTTTACAATATTCGGTTTCGTGTCAAGTGCCAGTAGAGGAAGCCCTTTCTTTGTAGCAGTGTACGAAGACATGACATGGGAGCCTTGGAACAAAGATAGATCAAGCAGAAGACCCGAGCCTGCATAACTACGCAGAAGCTGATCATGTCCCGTTGTTATGACTGACAGACGGATGTTGTGGTTCTTTGCGAACCTGACAGCTTTTTGAACATCTTCGACTGACTTGGCTTGCAGCCGATAGTCGGGGATGGGACCGTGTTCATCGCTTCCGTTGGTTGCGATGACGCCTGGGAGTGCCTCCCTCCACACAGAGACGTCCGGCCAGTCGGCATCGGTAGGCAGCTTTCGACAGCCAGGAGGAGTAGTTGTAGTATTTAGCTGGGCATGGATAACATCGGGAAAGATAAGGGCCGCTACTTGAAGTAGAATCAGTAGTTTCATCTTGTTGGTCGTTGGCGTCTGAAGCACAAAGAGAGCGAAGTTGAATAGATTCTGATAAATCGATCTCTACCTGTGTCACTAATTATATAGGTATGTGATAGCCTCTCTGCAGCTACCTTGGCAACTATGTTACTATCCTCAGTCGGGCAATAATCTATTGCGCCCTTCCGATTCCACTCCCTCGTCCCATACTAAACGCACTCACACTAACCATGTCAGGTGCTCGTATTAGCTCGGTTTCGTGACTTCGGCGCTTCGCACTCGGTTTCGTGATGCGGATCCTTGAACCATTCTCGATACTTAATCTATACTGCAATCTGGCAAAGCTATAATTAAATGTGGCAAGGAAGGATGGAAACAGTCATGGTGATGAAGGATGGGCTAGCTGCAGCGTCTCTAGGATGAGCATATAGAATCATACGGTAATAATCCACGTACCTGAAACCGTCTCCTGTATAGGTAGATAGCACTCTTTAGATAGCTCCTTTATTGAGGTAGAGTTTGAGCCTGGATAAGTTTGCTTAGGGAGCATGACGATTCCCAAATTGATGTTCTGGACCTGGTTGAGGAACACAGTGACGCCGACCTCTTCATCCTGCGACACTGGCGTAAAATCAACGTCAGCACTGAACTGGAAGACGGTATGTGTCTGACGGCGCATAACCAATGTGTAATTTCCGAGGTCGTAACCGGCGGTGTAGTTCTTGTAACCTGCTGTGATGCTTGCGAATGACGGCTTAAGTTGAAGAGTTCCAGGATGACCGGGTGAAGAGATCTCGTAGGATTCCTGTTCTGGCCAGCACCAAAAGCCAAAATGAGCCGGCAGAGTGGAGTTCGGTTCAAAATCGATGATATCTGGGTCAGTTATGAATGCGTTTGGGCCGGAAATGTTGTTTGGTGGCTCGAGATACCATCCTGCCTGGGTTCCACGAACTGGTTCAATGATTGGCCATTCACCGTCGTTCCATGTAACGTTTGTCAAAACCATCTCTCTTCCCATTGGATATGTTTTACCTTCCGGACCTGAGCGCCAGGCCAATGCGGTCGACCACCACTGCCCTCGTGCATCGTGGAAGAGGTCAGCATGACCGATGTTCTGGAAGTATTCATCTGAGCCTCGGTTGGTAAGAATCGGGTTGCCTTCGAAACCCTCGTACGGGCCGAAGATAGCGTTTGACCGAGCGATGACCACAGAATGATTCAAGCCAGATCCTCCTTCTGCAGTCATAAGATAATAAAATCCGTCTTTTCTGTACAGATGTGGGCCCTCGGAAAACCCTTCGCCAGTACCATACCATATCGATTTCGCCTCACCAAAGGCACCGGACTCAAGGTCGACAGTCTGGAGATATGTTCCTGCACTGGCAATGTACGCAGTACCGTCGTCGTCCCAGAACAGATCTGGGTCGATGGATTTCGCATTATAACGTACAGGATCACTCCAAGCATTATCGTCGTAAGGATTGATTGTCTTGAAGATGAGACCTTGATCAGACCCAGCAGGGAGCAGATTGTTTCTGTAGATGGTTATGATGTAAAAGGTCCCGTTGTGGTAACGTATAGTTGGCGCCCAGATGCCATCATTCATTGTGATAGATTGATCGAATTCCGGGTACTGGTCTTTGCGTGATAAGGCATGACTGGCTAATTTGAAGTTGGTGTTGTCTTTCGAAGCGTAAGTAGGTAGGCCAGGCGTTAAGAGAAAGGTCGATGCGACGCCAAAAGTAGTGTTATCCCAATCTGGCACGAAGACACAGCTGGGATCACTATGCCATCCGGGTAGAGCGGGATTATGACGTGTTTGATTTGATCCCGAGGCCACAATGATACCACTAAGCAGACTCAAGGTGAAGAATTTGAATGCCATGGCTGACGAGATATGAAGGAGAAATGAAGGTGGTTGGGACTTGGGACAGTGAACGAAGCCCTGCTGGTGTATCTTTCAATGAATCCAGAGTCAGTCATACTTATATACCCACTGTCAATGCAAATGTGCAATCTCCAAGCCAGCTAGCGCTCAACCGGTGCACAAAGTGTATCTGATCGAGATTGGTTAGGGCTGCGAACAATTCGTATGCTTGGATCAAATAAGGTACGCGTTTGAACAGAACCTCTTGATGCCCCTTCCTCATGTTTCCTAGGTTTGAAATAACCCGTATGACGTAATACGGCTCAGTACGAAGTACGCTGGTGATGCTGTGGATAGTGGTGACGTACCACTTTATCAGTCAATCGATCTGGGTCTTTCTAGATATTGAGAACTTACGGGAGTGCTATCTATAGTGGATAATGAATACACGGTTTATTTGATAACCATGTTTGACAGATGGTATCCGAGTGTGCTATGGCGTAGAAGTAGGCTTAATTGTACTCGTTCCAATGTCTACGAGATGCATGAAACAATATCGTTTCATGTGATAAGCTATCACTGTGTGACTGCAGAACGGATATGCATCTTTGCGATTTACATTGTTTAATCAAGTCTGTGATCTGTGCTAGATACATCTAATCGGACAAAACACCTACTGATTAGCCTTAACAAAGCACCGTGTATATGTATAAGCCGACACCGAAAAGGACTCAAACGAAACTGTAAGGTTGTAAGCTTACACAAGTCTCTAGGGGTATAGAGGAGAAAGAAGGTGAGTCAAGAACAACGTGCTTGAAGAATTGCACATTGAGATCTCCTAAACTATGGATGAGTCTGTAATGCTATATTGCACTACTCCAGCATCGATTCGCATCGGGCTTTGCTTACGGGCGTACGAAATACGCTCTTGTTGGTACGTGCTTTCTTCAGCGATACGAAAGTGTGAGTAGCACGGAAGAAACACATCATAGAATCAGCTAAAACTCTCTAGCACACCTCATTCAATTCGCTGGGAGCAACACTGGGATTGGTCGTAAAGTAAGGTTTTGCCATTAGCCAGGGACAGGCCAACCTCGGTCCAATCGGAAAAGTTAGAGTATCCACCTGCGTATCTCGTTTAGCACACCTTTTCGCGTCTTCACCAACTCAGCTGAGACCTATTTCCTATCCAGATCTTTTTTCATAAGGTCATGCGGAATTTGGTGATTGACGGGCAGATCAATGCGCTTTGCTGGCGGAAAGCGGTAGAGATGCTAGTTGTTCGTTCGACGGGCTGGTCTTACCTACTTCATAGCGAAGCCAGCCTGAGGTCGCGCATTGCCCGCTCAACATTTTCGCCTGCTGCTACCTGGGGTAGGTACATCGGGTAAGGAAAGGGTAGGCACCTTCGACACAAGGCAGCCTTTGTCCGCACTCGTCACCAACAAAGACAAGACGTTCTCAGGCGCCGACGGATCCCGTAACCAGTATTTCACTTGAGTGTGAAATGCATCGTGCAGCCGGGACGGTACGCGCGTGGTACTCCGACGGAGCTGCGTCCACGCCGGGTGAGCAGCGGAGTTTGGATTGTTTTGTATGTGAATGTGGAAACGGCAGAATCTCCAGCAATACGTTCGCTGCACGCTTGCTAGTGCGTCATTCCTGTTTTCTCGAGACCGGTCGTGGCCCGGAAGCCTATTTAGTCTGTCAGTCAGAGCAGAGGTTACAGAAAGTGTGTGATACTAAAGTTGAATAAAGGGCGATCAAGCCTCAATGGCGTCATTATAGCTTGTCAAGATGCGGGAAATGAGCGAGGCGGCCAGTGCAGTAGCTTCTGATTATCAGTACCTCTCTCTGGAGACGAATAGGTAATTTCTCAGGGCTCTGGATGATTTGATCATCTTGCTGTCGAGCAACCTTTCTCGAGTGCGTCATCAGATGGTGGTTGGACAACGTGTAATTACATGCGCAACAAAATATGTTCAGTTTGGCCTTCCACCCTTCCGCCCTTCCGCCCTTCCGCCCTTCCGCACTTTCGATATCGCGATCACCTTCAGCCCCTTAGAAAGCAACTGTCTATACACTCGGGTCAGGTTTAACGGCCTGGTATCTGTGAGAGTTAGCATCCAACATCTCCATGACACCGTCTTGAACTCGCAAACAGAGTTCGATCAAAACTCGCCAATATGGCTTCAACTTTGGACGTCCTCCACCCTAAAAAGCTCGATCAAACCATGCTTCGCATGTATATACGCCAACTATTAGTGTTTCCTTTTCCGGACGTCAGTGTAGACCGGAAAGAGGAGGCGCTGGCGGGCTTGGCCTTGGGATTGCTCGTTACATTGAAACAGTTCCCCTTTCTCGCCGGCACGATCGAACAAACGAGTCCTTCTACTGGAGCTATGACTGTGCGATATCCTAGCAGCATAAGTCTGGAGGATGTGTCGCGCATACTCAAGGTGACCAATCCAGGGATCGACGAACTCAGCTACGACACATTGTGCGAAGCAGGCATACCTCCATCACGTCTTCACAGTGAGGATCTCTGCCCAGTGTATTTGCGTTCTCATGCCGGATTGGACGACCAGTTTGCTGGAGGCCTCACTACGTTTGCAATGGGGGTTCCCATACCTGTTTTCGCTGCACAGATCAACTTCATCTCAAATGGACTCATATTGAGCGCATGTACCCACCATAGCGTTGTTGATGGCACTGGAATTGCAAGAGTCTATCAACAATGGAGTAAACATACTCATATCTACAGCAACGGAATGGGAATACCAGAGCAGATTAAAACATCCAGTCTTAATGGGGCATGGCATGCGTTTGATTCTCCAATTCTGGATAAACCAAGACTGGATCCCCCAGAGTTTCGGTATCCTGGCGACTTAGCTTGTAATCCACCATTGCGTGACGCTCCGTACGAGCTCCGTGCCAAGGTTATAGTGTTTTCAGTAGCTACAGTCTTTCAACTTGCTGACAGGCTTTCGGTGTTCAGTAAGAAGCATATTTCTACATTCGCTGCGCTCACGGCCCTTTTGTGGTGCCAAATCACCAACGTCCGCCGAGATGCTATGACCACGAAGGGAATCAAGGAAACGAAAGTTGGGGTTGCAATCGACCACTGCAAACGCATTGGATCCCTGCTTCTAAGTGATTATGTTGGCAACTGTGCAAATGGTATGACAGTATCCCTCCCTTTATCAACGATATCCTCAGGCGAAGCTCTGAACGGTAGACAATTCGCACACATCGCCGTCGCCATTTCCAACGGTCAAGGCGATATTGATATTGACTGGTTCAGAAACCGCTTATCAGCCATGTCCAAGCAAGATAACTCTTCAAGACTGCTTTTGAATGTCGACACTCGTAACGGGCCCGACGTAATCATCTCAAGCTGGATGCACATCGGTGCAGATGACGTATGGGCTATCCCTGGTACAACGAGCGCGGAGGAAGAACACAAAAATGTGCGGAGATGGAGATGTAAACCCACTGCTATTAGGAAGCCCCGATGTGCGAATGAAGGTAGTATCCTGATCCTGCCTGCAGGGAATCAATGGAGACTCCGTTTGGAATCTCGATCTGTCTGAAGCAGGTTGAGATGAAGAGGATGTCCGAGTCCTTGCTGCAGGATGATTAGACAACGAAAGTTGTCGACGGGTATTGTCACAAACGTGCAAGCAACTCTTTTCCTGTATTACCCATATTGATTCGAAAACGACCAGGCTCCATGATACGGCTATGAGCAGTGGAACATGTGCCTAATGGATAGCAGCGAAAGGGTCGACGCTGACACAGTTGCCACTTTTTTTCTAGATAGGCGGTTGGGGAACTCTGCACGCTCCCTGAGCGCCATCAATGTAGCGAATATGTAGGCGTTTCCAACAAGCGCATGCTGCACACTCGTGACTTCATGATTTTGTTTGCTGTGCCTAATATCAGGCAGAGAACCGGCGGAGTTTAATGTCCAGAGCATCGTACGGGCCGATCTTTTGTTCAGACGACATCTAGACCACGTTCACAAGTCCAACAACAAGTGCCCAAGTCACTAATACCCACATCTCCATGCTGCGACCAAAAACACTGGCTGCACCGCCTTCATCACTAGCCCTCCAATCAGCGACCGTTTTGTTTGTACCAGTACTATTTTGATGGCGAAGTCGTCACCACCAGAGCCGAGGAAGTCGAGTCTGAGCGCGGGGATTTCGACGGAGGCTGTGGCATTGGGGCTCAGGTGCTCTGCGAGGGCATCGCAGTACGGCGAGTCTTGGGCGTGTGTGAGCAAAGGAAGGACTGCTACGAGCGGGAAAAGGGAGGAGATTTGGAGGACCATGGTGCTATTTCTTCCTAGCACTTCGAGTTGTGAGTAGAGATGAAGTCAAGTGAGAGGACTGGAGACTCGCGAGGTTGATGCACGCCCTTGCTTTCTTCCCATCAGCGTAGCTATTTGTGCTCTCTCTCACGCTCCCTATGTCATCTGCTCGAATCGTCCAAGGCGCACACCCAAGAGGTCACCTCATGCACTTGGCTGCCCGCCTGAAATGCCTAAACGAACTTGGTATTGCTATTTGTTGTTGTTCAAAGGCTAACGTGCCTTTATATCCGGGGTCGCGCATGTCTAGCCTCATGTAGTTATGTAGCGTACTCACGTCGAAGACACACGCTAATTACCATTCAATTAAACCGCCATACGAGAAGCACTAATTAAATCTCCTAGTATCAGATTAGTCTACCATGAAAGACCAAACATGCTAACTCCCAATGAAATGATCGCGCATACTAACGTGATGATAAAAATAGTAACTACAATAGTGTCAGGCCACCTCTCATGTAACTTGGTATGGAACAACAATACATATTGTACCGAGCAAGGACTCACTATCAAGAGTGAGTCGTGATACCTTTTGGGCTTGCTGGCTCAGTGGCTGGGTGCCGAGGCCTAACGAATAGTCTTTAACCTGTGTTTGTGGGTACCTAGCTTTAGTAGCTCTCGAGGGTTGGGACAAGTCCGGCATCGCTAGCAGGCTGTTTTCAATTCTTGCGCGTAGTTACTTCTGATGCTCAATCGATTCTAGTCCCTGGGATGTCAGTCGAGCCGATGTAGACAAGTGGCCTGCTGAAAAGCAGATGCAGTGGAACTGATCGGAAACACCAGCGCACTGCACCGAATGAAATTCACCATTTGTATGCAAGTTGGATCTACAAGGTTTCGATACCGAACGTGGGGCTGCTCGGCATGCAACGTTCTTGAGTGAGGCGCTCTGCATGAGGAAGGCTGCAAGATGAGACACAACCAACTAGCCTCATTTTCTACCCCGCGAAGACCAGAAAACCCTCAAAATTATGCTGTTTCTGTCCTTCTAAAGTTTGGAGATAATCCGTGTGGTTGCAAACCCACGAACGGACGACGATTCGACAACACGCACATCAAGATCGCGGAGATCTCGCAAAATCAAACCCAGCTATGGCAACGGTATCAAGTTCGCTCAAACTTTTCTCTCTCTGTCGTGATACCATGGCTCGCTGCTTTCGTAAGTGTGTGGATTGGAAGGAGACTGCCAGACTTGCAACTGTGGCTGATGCAAGCACCGCTATCAAGGACTGTCTCAAGGGCCTTTATGGTGTGGTTGGGGACTACCAAAAGGTCATACAGTCATACAAGCGTGTCACAGACAAGAATGCGTCCTTCGAGGTAGTGTGCTCTTCGGTCGCCTGCGCTTGACCATCGTTTGTCTCATATGTTCTTCCAATTTATCGTTTTGTTTATTAATTCGTAAGCATAGTGACCTACACCATCGGGAAATCAATTATCTGGGTAAATAGGATCACCATTGCGAAATGTCACTTGAGAACTTGGATCTTCCACTCGAGCGGCTGCCTCAAACTTTCGGTCGCACTTGTCTTCCACGTCCGTAAGTCGCATGATCCCGTTTTGATCCACTATAAAGACGTTCTCGGGACCGCAAAGCCAGGGATACTCCACTGAAGCCGCATGCCAATCCTCATGGTCGCCGCCCAGGCATACTACATGGATCGTCTCCACATGCTTGAAGTTCAGGAGTTCCTGAGATTCGAAGCGGCACCAGTACTCTTCTGTATTGTCGCGCTCAATTTTGAGCTTCCTTATCAGCGGCGCAATTGACCCAAAGCAAGACAGTAGAGACGTCCCGATAGAGATCATGTCAACGTCCCAATTTAGCCAAAGATACTGCTGCGCGTCGGTATTCAATACGCCACGGTGGACTGCATCCTCGAGAAAGATTTGCTGATATGATCCAGAAAGATGGCCCCGGCTTTCTCGACATGCATGAAGCGGTGCTGGTGCGGAAGATGGTGAGATTTTTTCAAAGACCTGAGGGTAGACACTCATGTGATTGCAGTAAAGCTCGACAGTACGAGGTTCAACCGTCATTTCCCAAATGCGAAGGCGAATCTCTGTTGGGAGCCGCGGAAACGGACGAAACGTGCATTTGATCATGTTGTTACCAACCTTGTCTGGTCCGTTCGGTAAATAGGCTTCGTGCCGGGGATCCAAGGTTGGCGGCAACAAGGTTGATGGAGTTGGTCTGAGGGAAATGTAGCGAGCGTGTACAAACGTAGAAGCATGATAATTTAAGCGCGTATCCACGGGATTGGTAGGATTCTTCAGCTACACACGCGCACGGTCACGCCAAACGCACCTTCCAGATTTACTCAGAGCTAGACCTGTAGGGGGTTAGTGTATGGAACACGGGGATTAAAGCAGACTGTACGAATATGTGGGCGGGGACTGAGACTTGTGTTGGTGTGTGAGTTTTGTATTTGGAGAGATGTTGGTGGTTTAGAGCGTTGCAATGATTGCGGAATCGCTGTCGGTGTACCCTACATGTAATGAATAGACTGACGTGAAATTCTGTTCTTGAGCATTGTCTCTGTTGGAAACTATCCTACCCGTCTTGATGGGACTCTAGATTGGCAGTGTCACCGTGTTCAACCCTGCATGGCGTTAGCAAAGTCAAGATTTGGGATCATTTTCGAGGTAAGCCACCGCGTTGCCAAAAGTGCGATTTGTGTGGTCCTCGAGATGAGCTGTGTTGTGGTAGACTCGTCGTGAACTGCATGCATTACCAAAATAGGGACGCAAAGCCTGTTGTCTATCGAACAAGCTGGCATCTCAAGCGCGTACGTTGAGCAAAAAAACATGCTGTCGTGGCAGATGAGCGTTTCGAGGACGCAATCTTCAAGTAGCTAGGAATTGCCACAGATACGATAGATGCCCGCACATACAAAGGCGCTATGCAAGTGAGATTCCACACCGAGGTATTCGACACATCACACAGCCTCCCACTCCCCCTCCGCCAACCTCCTCCGCCCTAATAACTTCGGATCTGGGTGCGTCAACAGACACCTGCCCCATCCCCTCGGCACCCTCCCCATGCCAACCCCCCTCCTTTTCTGTCTCTCCCATCTCACCTGCCTCGCAACCTCCTCCCTCACCATCTTCCTCAACTTGAACCTCCCCAACTTCTCGATCCCCTCACCTATCACCGCCACGCTATCGGTAAGGTTGAAGAGGGTCTCCTCAATCTCCTCGCCCAACGTCTCAAACTCCTCCCTCCCCCGAGTTAATATCTGCTCGCCTTCCTCCCACATGTCACGCACCGCATCGCGCCTTAATAGCCCCATCTCCGCCATGTACTCGTCCATCTCCGTCTCAAACTCGCCCTGTTGTGCTACTCGAGCGTCTGCTGCTGCCATCTCGACCTCGTCCATCTTGTCGCTGACTTGTTGGGCGAAGTGCTGGAGTTGCTGCTCTTGGAGGAGCGCGAATTGGGCGGTGAGATGCGTGCGCAGGTGGGGCAGGAAGGAGCGCGCTAGCGGAGTGAGGGCGGGGAGGGGGGGGGAGCGGTTGCCGCGGGTTTCGTGGGTGGGGGACTGAGCAGGCGGGGAGGGATGGGCGAGGAGGGATTTCAAGGCGGTGGGGAGGTGGGATTGTACGGCGGAGTCGAGGCGGGTGGACACTGCGGCGGTGACGGTTGCAGCGTGCACAGGACCGGCGAGGTGGTCGGCAATGCGCTTGGCGACCGCGGCGTCGATGGCGGCTTCAGTTGCAGCTGCATGCTGAGCGTTTGCTTTGGCAAGGTGGGCGGCGAGGCGGTCGTCGACGAGGGCGCTGATATAGTCGGTGTGGTATTCAGTTCTCGCACGTGCGACGGCGGCGGCTTCTGTTGCTGGGCTGATCGGTATCGTCTTCGCCGACGAGTGCGAGCCGGTCGGCGACTGAGGCGTCCAGGACCGCGGCGGCAGGAGGGGTGAGCTGCTTCCTGCGAGATTCAGTCATGAGGAAGGCAAGAGGTAGACATGTTTGAGAACGTACCCTGCCTGGGGCGCTTGCGGGCGCGAGAACCTTCATACGCAGGCGGCGCTGCATCCACTTCATTGGCTCCATTCACTTCAAGAGGTGCAAATACCTGCCAGCTCGCTTTCCTCAGCCCTTGGTCAACGAGCAGGCCATCGACAGGGAAGCCAGCCAGGCCCTTGGCCGCCTTACTGAACGCTTTGAACGCGCTCAGGTGCTCCTTGTGCACAGATAGCTGGCCGAAGTCGAATATGACGTGGATCGTCGTGGCTTTGGCAAGGTCCATTAGCCGCTGGAAGGCAGGCTCACAGCCTGGCTTTGGGCTGACTACTGGCGTGCCCGCAGGACACCAAACCGGCGACGGGCGCATAATCGACATGTCGAGCGTCTTGAAGTCCGGTCGCGTCTTGCCCTTACCCTTGGCCGCCACTATCCCATCGAGCTGTGCCTGCGTCAAGGTTCCCTTCCCCGTCGACAGCTTGACACGGCCCGGCACCAAGTTATCGGCGTCATACTGCAGCGCAAATTGCAGTTCCGCATCGCCGTGAGCCGTCGGTATTCTAGCGACCAGCAGCAGCGTCGCGAGCTTCGTACCCTCACACCGGAAAACAAGGAAACACGGACATGGCGACACGCGCTGGGTGGGAGACAGATCAGACGCAGGATAGGCAAGCGCCTTGCAATTCAAGTTGAGATTCATACCAGCTACGCAATAACCACGCTTCTACTCACCTAATTCCCCTTGGCGTGACAGTCGCGACGCGCAAGGTAGACCCACCCACCCAGGCTTTGTTGGAGCAGCCCTGGCTCAGTGTACGTGCTGTTCACCACGACCACCACACACACCGGGTACGCGCACGCAGTATCCAGCCCTTAACCCACCCCGCGGACGGCAGCCGAGAGACGGAATCCACGCTCGGGGCGAGAGCCGTCTGCCTTTACCGCCAGGGGCCTTGTGAAGAATCGCAAGGATGGTGGGCGCAGGGGGAAACTCGATACGCGCAACGAGTGCGGAGGGGGCGGAGAGCGCGGAGAGGTGCGAAGGTGTGCGGGAGGTGGTGCGAGAGGTTGCGCAGAATGGTGGGAGGTAGACGTGGTGGTGATAGGGAAGTCGAAGAGGAGGGGAAGGTGGCTGGGAGCTAAGCGCGAACGCGCAGTCACGTGATGAAAACTGTTAGCGCGGCAGCGTCCGTGCACGTAACACGCGCGATAGGTTGCTATTACCTACCTAGGAAACGAAGGACAGCGACGAAGAGGATACAAGCGGAGATTCAGAGGACTGTACGTAGTGTTATTCCTCCCTAGCGCTTTGCGCTGTGAGCGAAAAACAAGTCAAGTGAGAGAAATATAGACCGAGGTCACGTGCTTGATGCACGTCATTGCCACCCGAGGTCGTGAAGGCCATTCGGTAGACAAACTTCAAGCAGACGAAATCAAGGTGGTAGAAGGGGATTCACGCGGGAGAGTTGTCACTTCGGTGCTGGCCTTTGAATTTGTACGATGCTATGTCGTAGCAATGACTATGGAACTTTCGTCTGCACAGCGACTTCGAGGTCCGGCGCAGCCACAAACGCAGACTCTGACGCATTGGGCCTCTGCACTCCCAAAAGTTCCCTCTGACTACAACTTCTCGACGGCGGCACACTCTCCTCTCGCCGATCTGCCGCGAGCCCAAACTGCGAACTCGCGTGCGTCGTAGAGCGCATCAAATCCTTCTCGGCCGCCGAAGACGTACTGAACGTCAGCCAGTGTAGTACAAGACAGTCCCAGAAGACATCGATCATGCAGAAGGTAAGACACATCATGCCCAGCTCTGCACCACCCGTGATGATGAACTGAATCATGTTTGCCACAACAGGGATCTCAGTCAGTACTGCGCCCAGAATGCTCTTCCACAACAGACTCCTGATATTCTTCTGTACGGCCGACTCGTCGTGGATCACTGGCTGGTTCTTCTTGCTGTCATGCGAGAGTGCTGCTGAAATGGAGCCCCCTCCACTCGTTTTGACGATGGGTCGTAGCAGGTAGATGAAGACGCCGGTGAGGAAGAAGTTGGTGACGAAGTTGATGACGGACCCGGGGATCGAGGCGGTGATACCGATGCCGAAGTGGCAGCGACCGTCTGAGTCGTACATGGTGGTGATGCGCTGGAAGAGACAGTTGATGGAGATAGCCGAGAATACCATCATCGCGGGGATGACACAAGCCAGGTATATCTTGTCCTTGCTGCGGCATACAAAGGGTGCTCGGACAATGTGGACGCGCTCGCAGAGGAAGAGATAGACGAAGCCTTTAGCCGTGATGTAGAACATCAGGCATACCCAAGTGCCAGCTGAACAGAGCTCATACGTGTAGAGCCCTTGTCCTGCGACTAGTGCTGCTGCTACGACAATGTAGCATATAACAACAATGTATGTACCCAGCAGAAACAACCCTGTAAGGTTTCGTCGCGAACGGATGGTTCGTTTCAGTCGATGTATCCGAGATCCTGCCCCCGAGTTAGTGTCGACCGTACGAGGTGGGTGTCCACCACAGCGTACCAAGAAGGAACGACAGTATTACGGTAAAGAGTAACGACAGCACAACGAAGATGGTCCGATCTGTCGCTGGTTCACCGGTCGTGATGTGTACGTTCTCATTTTCCCTCGCCTGAAGTTTCCCATCTCTTTGTAAAGCCGTGGCCTGCACAGCCGAACCCAATGTGACTAGAAGCCATGCACCCAAATGCATGCTCACAAATGCAGTTCTCGATGATCCAGAAAGACGCCCGATCCGGACGTTCAAGGGGACGTTGTTGCTCGAAAGTGGAGTGACAGGGGAGCCGCAGAGCGGCAGAGCGGGCCCTTCCTCAATTTTGGACATCAAGGCCATTGACGTCTCTTCTAGCTAGAGAAAGCAAAGTGCGAAACGCAAACACTGCCCCTAGAACGCCACCCGTTAGTGAGGGCAATCGAGTGGTACGACGCCGCTGCGCGGCTGCTGTGCAAGCCGTGCGATCCGCGAAAGGCTGAGCCACCGGACCAAGCTCCGTGTGGTCAATGTCGTGGCGAACCGATGTTGCCGCTACAAGATCGACAGGACTAACCGTTAGGAAGAGCACGCACTATTATCGCGGCTAAGGACGCTAACACTCCGCAGGGAGAGACGACTACTGTGTATGCCCTGATAGCAACATACTACTGACAGGTTGTCTAGGAGAATAACTAGCAGTCTTAAATTTTTACCAGTAGTTTTATATATCTGCGAGACATACTAGTACTAGGCAGGCTGCAGTCTCTTGACCTTAGTAGGCGGGCATAGCTTGGGAGAGCTAATCTATATGACTGTGTACAGTAGCCTGATCTGCGTGTTTTTCATTCGCAACTATGGCCTCCGGTGGTTCCATTCGCTTTTTGTTCCGAACATACTGCCTACTAACATCTTTGGTCGCCGCGCAGGGAGGTTGTCGCGGTGACACTTCGACTCACAACTTGAACAATTTGGTTGTTCCTTTCAAGGATCTCTGTGGGAAGGACATTTTAAAGGCTGTCGACTTCCTCGACCTTAGTAATGAGTCAATCGCTGCGTGATGAAGGCACCGCTGTGCTACGGCTTTAACTTAACGCTTTCCGAACGTCCGACTTCAGTTGCTGCCCGATGGGTGCAACCTTTTCAGAAAGCGATGGCGCAGCACAAACCTATACAGTGGAAGCAGTGATGCTAAGCTCATAGTTCCTGAACAGCTTATCAGGCGATTGCAAGAGTCTTGGTTTGCAGAGCTGCTGCAAGAAGATCGGCCAACTTGGTACAAGTACAGCCGCAGTGCAGTCCTCACCCGCGACTAACAAAGCTTCGTGAAAGCAGAGCATTGCAACTCCCGAAGTGTTCACTACAATTATCCCCACGACCAAAGACAGTGGGGAGGCAGCTACAATTATTCTGACAGTAGTCAGAACCGCAACGACTGCTACAACAAACTCGTCTTCGAACCAGACTGGGCGTTCAACAGGCGCAAAGGCAGGTATCGGGAGCGCAGTCGTGCCATACTGTTGGTGGTTATATTGTCGGTTTATGCGCGCATAGGCCGCGACAGCGCAAGAAGACCTTGAACGAGCCTCTGAGCTCTGATAGGGAATGTGAGGATGCCCAAAGACGGTCGAAACCGACAGGGCGTTGCCGAATCGCAGGCTCAGCATAACGGTCTGTTTAGCTCACCGGAGCTTGCTGCATATGTTCCACCGCAGACAAAATGTTTTTCAGCCCAACAAGATCCGATACTCGTAATCGATAGGTCTACTCGATATGAGAGATGAGTAAGTACTCAACACTGGAAGAATCAGGATCTCGACCACTCAGGTCAGGAGTAGACTCTTAGCGGGACATTCAAGACCTTTGATCATATGCCTTTCCTTTATACAGGCAAGTAGTCAATCGTGTCTTTCCGTATGCCGCTGCAGCTGTTATACTTCCCTTCCCTGCACTCTGACTGCCTTGCCCCTTCTGCGGAACTTGGTATGCTTCATGGCCTTGGCAAAATTGTTGGTAGTGCGGTTAATTGTTCAAACGGCGCTGAATGATGCACAGGTTCACGACTTGGCAAGAATAAGTACTCGACACAGGTCATGAGTGTTCAGAGCTGTTATGTTCACTGAATTCAACAACTTCCAAGCGTGCGTGTATCTTTGGCGTCTGAGAAGTGTAGTTCTGCTTCGAATATATGTCAAATCGACAGGCACCAAACGTCCAAGGGCCTTCCCTGCGTAAGTTTCTTACTCATTCGAGTAATCAAGGAGATTGAATTCTGCTGGAACTCCTGATGGAAGAAGTTCGCCCGACATCCCGGCCGAGAATCCTCAATAGCTATAATCCTTGCGAACCTGCCAAAAATCATGTGCTTGTATTGGATTGCTTTGTGCTACGTTTTGCGTTTTTGCGTTTTACTCCCAACTCCCAGTACTGTCTGGCTATATCCAATGGCAAGACATGGGATCTTTGCTTCTCGCTGAAGATCTCTAGAGGCGCTCCTTTTTTCCGGCACACTAAGATTGCAGTTCGGTGCTCCATGGATCCAACGGTTTGCTTCAAACCCTGCAGTAAGTTGACAAGTTTCCGCAGAGTACTCTGATGGGTTCTCTCCCAAGCCTCGAATCTCTCCCCAACCTGATCGCAGCTGATTGAGTGGACGGTGCCTTCCACATGCTTGCCAGTGATGAGGTAAGGAGTTCGACCGAACCATAGCTGTGGTACAGCTTGGCTGATCTTTACAGTCTTGTGCGCCTTCAGCTCTGCCAACGATGATGGCGCAATAGTATGCCCCCTGAGAATCACTTTGGTGTGCCCCAAAGCCCTTCTTTCCGATTCGACAGTAACGATTCCGAGACTGGCAAGCGATGTGACAATGTCCTCCACATTGTCCGCAGTGACCGGTGCGGGATGATGAGATTCGCTGTCTTCATAGCACGCGTCGACCTCAAAACGAACAATGCAGTCGAGACTGCCAAGCTTGTAGCGTATGACTCTATGGTGGCTGCTGGAATGATCCAATCCAGCCTGAGGTTCAGTGAAAGCAGTTTCAAAATTATGCCCATAACCCGAGTTGGCAGCCCCGTGTATCATAGACCGGGCATTTCGCTCTCGACGGCTCATGAACAGTGTATTGTTGATCATGTGAAGGTCAATTCGAAACGGATCTTGGCGTCTGCCTGCTGAGAAGTTCAGCAGCTTGCGTAGACTGTTCCGATTGACTACGACATCTATGTCGTTTAATTCCAGACTTTGATTCATGATAGACAGAGCTCGAAATGCAGGCTCAAAAGGAAACTTTGGGACCCGGAAAGCGTTTAGGTCGATGTATTGGTGGCCCGTGTCTTGGGCTAGAGTAACAGGGAGATCATTGGGCCTCCAGCGGGGAGGGCCACCTACATGGCATATCAGCCATCGATAAGACCGGAAGTTCGTGACAACACCCACCTGGTACCAGTATAGCACTGCCATCCTTCAACCAATTGTAAGTGCAGAGCGTGTCAAATCCGAGTTTCGACGAAACCTCGACTTCATCTTCCCGGAGTGTGTCAGCCGACATGGTGCTGATCAGCGCATTTGTGTTCTTCATCACCCAACTCATGTTTGACTATCTGCAAATCCCGAAGATCCTAATCGGAGATGTCGAAAGAAGGCTGGAGGACTGACGATTCGTTGCGGGCTTCCAGGTCGGGCTTGCAACTGAAACGCGCAGAATACTGTTTTTCGTGAGAAAACTGGCTGCAGCTGTTCAACTTATCATTGCTGGTGACGAAGTGTTTGCGGCTCAAAACGGACGAAGTGGCACTGGTGGGTTCCCAGTTGGCAGATTTCCCTGCAGTTTGTTACAGACATGTGGTCTTCGGCAGCCACGTGGCGTGGGACTGGTCGACTGCACTGCGGGGTAGGCGTGTCGCTGCTGCGTTGTGTAGCGCAGTGACAATAGAGAATTGCAGTGCCTTAAGGTCGGGAAGGCGCTGGTGATGTTGCGGTGTATGCAGAGCTGTGACTCGTGACTGTGGGTCCCCGCGCGGGATTCGATGGGTGTTGTGAATCCCCGTTATCGTTGGGTCGGGCGCTGTCGCGCGCCGCCCCGGCGGCTTCCCGCGGTCTGACAGGGACAGAGAAGACTGCAGCCTTCGGTGCTATCGACCCCTTCCACAGAACACGTACACGAGCAAGACACATTCGATCGCGCTCGAAAGCGCGTCGTGCAGTCGTCGCGCAGGCGCAGGTGGTGGCTTTCATTAAGGCACAACCAACTGCGCCACGTTTCATCAAAACAACAGCAAGCCCGGCTGGCACAATCGGTAGCGCGTGAGACTCTTAATCTCAAGGTTTACGTCGGGCTTTCCTTTCTCTTGAAACCGTGTCTACTGGGTTTTAGATCGACAAGGAATTGACGGTTGAAATTTATGCCAGTGAAAGGCTGTGCTGCACCAGTAGCAGGTGTATCGCACCTAGTTAGCGGCGATGCACAAGTCGTGCACTACATCTTCCCCGACGTCGAACTTTCTTTTTGGGTGGTTGTCACTTGGTCTTGCAGCAAGAGGGTGGTGCCGATAGGGAGATGGAGAGGGCAACCCAACTACGATCCCTCTCACTTGTCGTTCGTTGGGTACAATACCCAGCAACAAGCCGCAGCAGTACAAGTTCAGCCTACATCTGATTGCAGCCGCTGGATTAGTGAGAGCGTTAAAGTAGTAGGAAAACGCAACACAAACGATTGTACATACCTGAGTCACAGTCGCTGATTACAATGCAGTCCCTTCAATATCTTCGGAAGTGGCGAGCCGGCGTCACAAGACACCTAATTATGATTTATCATGCTCGTCATGGCCAACAAGCAGGAAGCCGCAATAACGTGCCCGTATAGACTGCACACTCAGTCAACATATGTGTAAGGCAGACTTCACAGGCACAAAAGAAGCAATCTGATAGCAAAAGAGATAGGTAGCTGTGGAAAGCTAGAAGACTTAAGCAACTGATCAGGGTCAAGAATGAGTGATCAATTTCATCTATCGTTGTATGTACTGAGTAGACTTGTACTTATACCAAATCTGATTGTGTGTGCTAAACCTATTGTGCAGTAATCCCGCGCGTACGTCCGATTGGCCTGTCTCTGTTGGTGAGATCCTTCATGCTGAACATGCTCTGATCGACTCGAACAGTGACCCAACTCATCCTTTCAACAGTAGCTAAACTAACAAAATAGCAGACTCGAAGCCAAGGTAGGGCTGGAGGCAGCTCGATATATATACAAGTGAGAGAGAAGCAAAGGGAAGGCCTGCTCGAGCAAACCGAAACCAAACAACAAGCCAATTCTCCATCACCAACAACTGAGCTTGTGGATCGAGCCAGGCCACAACCTACTAGTCCCTGACAATATGCCTTCAACGCATCGTCCCGAGGAGGGAGCGACATCTTGCTCAAATTCCTCAAAGCATTACTTCTAGTGGTCCCAATGAGCGATAGTGAAGGTAGTAGTATCTGCAGACCTGTAACCACGAGCTGAGGGTAAACGAATTGCAAAACCACCGTATCGAAGCCTAGCGTCCAGAACTGGAACCCGGTTGGCGATAACCTCATCTTCTATCTCAGACGCGGTTATCCTTTCGCAAACGAGCCTGGGGTACATACGACGAGTGTTTCCGTGTAGACGCCGAAAATTGCCCATCTTCTGCGAACCTCGCTCTCCCTCCTGCAGTCATCTCCGAAGATAACCAAGCACGTTGGAGGTGGTACACCAAAAGCGGAAGGCTGGTCCAAATACGCTGCTTTGTGCTCGTAATGGCTGGCTCCTTCGCTGCTTGCCCTAGTCCGACACATCGGCCTCTAATTTCGCATGAGGAGCTCCTGGCTTGTAAGCTGGTCGACTGTAGGTTCCGCTACTACGATCGACTGTATTGGTGTGTACCATATATCATGCAACTCAATTTCAAACACGTTAATGTTGTGATTCGGTTTGTGTAGCGTTTTGTCATGTTGTGCATTGAAATACGCTTCGCTGTACTTTGCCTATGTATATGGGTTTTGATCGATGTCGTCGTTGATTTGCTTAGCTGCTCGCTATATTTAACTATCCGCTCGGCGGGAGACGATAGTGAGGCTATCACGGGCTCGGGGTGTTGAGATCTGGCTGCGGCATCTGACGGGAAAGTCGATCGCGCGAAGCTTAACATCAACAATGAGCACAGATCTCCAAACCCATGAATTGGATCTGAAACAACTGGTGTGTGTAAAAAATTTGCTATGCTAGTGGCAAGCATTGTTAGAAGAGTCGTTGTGTCCTGCCAGTTGGCACAAGTGAAACTGCCTCTCTGGACATATGTACTTCATAAGGAACGAGCTACGCTAAATCCACTAGTCCTGGAGGAGCGGCACCACACCCCACACCGGAAATCGAGGGTTCACTGCCTCGCGCCGCGTGGAGTTCTTACCCCCTAAACAGATAGCAACCACTGACTGCACATGCGACGAATCGAAGCTGGCTCTGTTGGGCCTGTGTGTGCTTTACATGAGCCCCCGGAGTGTTCCTGGTGAGATTGGAGGGTTGATTGGGAATCGAGATATTATAGTGGTACAAGCTAGAGTTTGCCGTCTGTACGCGTGCCCCAAGCACTTTGTCAGAGCTACAGAGCGTGCCGTCTTCAACGTGCTCGCTCGGCCCGTCGGCAATGATGGATCGCCACCGACCATTTCCAATTACGTCATAGTGTTCGGAAAAGGAGCTTGCGAACTCTCAGACGCACAAATTCGCAAAGCTAATGACTCAAGTAAAATACGGATCTGGGGAAGTAAAAATCTGGGGGCCGCGTTCTCCTGCATTCAAACATCATTCGAGGTCTGCGACGAAATGGCCGCCATTGGACCAGACCCACCGACCGAGGACTTCAGCCACATAGAAGAGGAAGACATTGCGCCGACCAAGCAGGAAGTATCCTCGGCGTCTTATGTGACAAGGATCGCGTCCATCGAGCCGCCTCCCAATGGCGGATGGGTAGCATGGTCGCAAGTGCTAGGCGGGCACATCATCACGTTCTTTACTTGGGGTTTTATCACTTCCTTTGGCATGTTTCAAGCGCACTATACCTCCATTGGTCTCTCAACACCATCCAACATCTCATGGATTGGCGCACTTACTGTTTTCTTCCTGCTCTCAATCCCTCTCTGGTCAGGTGCAGCGTCAGACACGGGACATTTCAAGCTTGTGCTACGTATAGGTATTGGACTGTGGCTTATTGGTATCTTTATGACAAGCATTTGCAAAGAGTACTGGCAATTTGTGCTTGCCCAAGGGGTTTGCATTGGGGTAGCAAACGGATGCATGTTTGTTCCTATGGTCTCTGTTATCTCAACATATTTTGATGCAACCAAACGGAGTTTTGCAATTGGCATTACGTTATGCGGCTCAGGAACAGGAGGTCTAGTTATCCCAATCATGCTCAACAGGCTGATTGACCGTATTGGTTTTGGCTGGGCGTTGAGGGTATTAGGATTCATGGCTCTGGTCATGCTGTTGGTTGCGGAACGGCTGCTCAAGAAACGTCTCCCACCAAAGAGCTCAGTCAAAATGCTCGAATTGAGCGAGTTGAAGGATGCAGTCTTCGATCTTTTTGTAAGTAACACCGGTCAAGATTCCATGACACCATGCTGATTTGCCAAGATTCTCGGCTCGGTATTCTGCTTTGCAGGTCTCTGGTTCGCTTTTTTTTACGTGAGTATTATCCAGTTTGTCTTCTATTTCACCACTGATCTTGTCCAGATTAATGCCTACGCTCGGAGAACCCTAGGTCTGACGCTGGAAGAATCAATACCGCTCTTGTTGGTGCTAAATGGCGTTGGTATACCAGGGCGTTTACTGCCAGCTTATATCGCAGATCACTATTGCCGACCACTGACTATCAGCTTAGTCGTCAGTTTTGTGACTGCACTTCTACTTTACTGCTGGATTGCGATTGAGTCGACGGCTGGCATGTATGCCTTCGCAACGCTATATGGATTGTTTGCTGCGGGCTTGCAAGCCATGTTCCCTGCAACACTAGCTGACCTAACCTTGGACACTAAGAAGGTTGGAACAAGAATGGGTATGGGATTCGCGTTGTCCAGTTTTGGTTGTCTCATTGGAGGCCCTGGTGGAGGAGCATTGGTCGAGGCTGGCAGTGGGTCGTTTCTGTATGGACAAGTGCTTGCTGGCTCATGCGGTGTATTAGGATTTGCGTGTTTTCTGGCTGCGGCACTGATACACAAGAAGCAAGCAAAGCATCTGGAAGACGTATAAGTCAGTTTTACAATAGTTTGTCTGATCCACACCCTTGGTGGAAGATGATCATCAGCCCAATCACTTGTTTCCTGATGACATCGTGACCCATCAATCAAAATGTGTCTTGGATATGAAGTCCCCAAATCTTGAACGCCTGTGGTCTAGTAGGTTCGTGTGATGCTTCTGTCACTGTATTGACTGTATAGCTCCCCGAAGTACGTTTCTTGGAGCGCGGTCAACTCCATGGACATTATTTCCAGATTACTGCTGCTCAACCAAATGAACCTGGTACTTGCTGACCGTTCGTACATCTCGACGTCTTCAAGAAACCTTCGACTCACGGCTAATCTGCTCAAGTGCTTGTCGTGAAGGTAACGCGATGTACGCGCTGAACAGGTGACTGCATACTTTTGATTAGACAGGAGATTGTTTATTGTTCTACTGCAAAGACCGACAGTCAGATGAGGAATTCTCTCCTATTATTCCGGATATTCTCTTCCATATTACATCGTGGCCTCACAGTAGCTTTCAGAGCGTCCACCAATGTCTCTTCGGAACATTCATCGATGAATGTCATCCAACAAATCCCCTTTTCTGTATCGCCATGTGCTGAGCGTGCAACGCATTCGGCAAAATCACGTCTCAGAGGTGAGACGGAAGGTGCATCCCTGTAGACGATGCTTGAACTTTCTAGCCCTATGTTCCGTGTTGATCTTTCCCTAGCTACGGTCACGGCCTTCGTCACCGTATCCTTGTGATCAGTATCGAGGATTTTCTCCGCAAAAAGTAAACTTCTGCAATCAGCACGAACACCTTTCTAGCTTGTTTAGCTGTTTTCTCTTATGCTTATGATCCGCGTCGTATAGCTTCAACGACATGATCCCGGTATAGAGCCACTCAACATGATCGCTTACGGTGTCCACAGTATCATTGGAAAGCTTAGCTCCACATAGCCTATACTATCTAAAAAAGCATAGTGTTCCTAACGATGAGGGTACTAGGAACTGAAATATTGTCTGAACTTAGAGTTTAAAGAAGCTAATAGCTTGTGCAGGGTGGACTGGAACAACATGCCCTACGCCTTTCGCGCTATAGCCCACCAACTTGGTTCCATCACCATAGTTAATCCGAGTGTATGCAGTCTCTGGGTTATTCGTTGTGTTGGAGCCGAAGCTAGCCCCATGAATGTTACTCCACTGCTTCAAATCCTCAATGAAGTTCTGGTAAACCACAATGTTATCGCTCGTTCCGTGCCAGATCTGCATCCTTGGCCATGGACCGCTATATCCTGGATTGTAAGAACGCACGATGTCGCCCCATTGATTTGGTGTCTTTGTAACGCGACCCAAGGCGCAGGGATCGTACGGGTTGGGGGGTGTCCCGTCAGGAACTGCCGTACAGCCGGCTGCAACCCCAGAGTATACTGATGCGGCGGCGAAGACATCGGGATACACTGCCGCCAGTACGTTGCCCATCATAGCTCCTGAGGATGTGCCGACAATGTAGACTTTAGTTGCATCGGCTGAGTAAGTGTTTACAACATACTTCACCTGTGGAGAATTAGCCCTTGCGTGCACGCACAAGGGTCCGCAATCGACTTGCCATCTGCACGATACTTTGAGGATCGCCACCCCCATCTCGGGTCAAACTCTTTTTGGTACCAGCATCCCAGCAAAGTAAGTCATGGGTAGACGACGGATAGATCAGGATAACATTCTTCTGTTTCGCGAGTGTCGGCAGAGCGTTGTCCCTGTAATATGACTGTGCCGAGCCGTGACAGCCGTGCAACTGATTGGAGTCATCAGCACCGTCGTTAATTCTTGTTCTGATTGCTCAGCTTACTGCAACTATGATTGGGGCTTTAGATACCACGTTCGCGGGTACATCCACAAACATCTGTATGCCAGCAGGATTGGTGCCGAAATTTGACACCTGGGTGAGAGCGCCATTGACGCGCGCAAGGAAGATTGAAACCAGCAATGTATTGAGCACAAACATGGTGGCAAAACTAGAACAGAGCTAAATGATCTGTACTTTACACAGCAGACTGAACCCCGATGTTTAAATGCTTTTTACAGCACGTAACAAGTTTACACATGCAACGAGACTTGTGTTGCTTGCATCAGGTCCAGACCACCGTGTAGGCATCCTTTCTAATTGCATTGACTATAATGGCTGTCACATGCTTAATAAACTGCTGGAAAAGGCAACAACTCAATCGATATATATTGTTTTCACAGTCACCTTCTACATATAGTCTCCTCCTTGTTCCATGTAAAATACACAGGTAGAAGATGTGAATAATAACGCATGGAGCTAAATTGAATGACGGGAGGCTAGCTGGACATAGCTCTGATAGCCTATCCTACGTCACGGCTCCTTCTTGGGACCGTGCACACAGACAAGTCGAAGAAATGAAGTCCAAGAGGGCTCGTTGTTGATAGTCAACACCGTCATCAAATATCCCGGCTCATCCTCGGGCCAAGTGCATTTGGAAGGTGGATCGCCTGATCTCCCACCCAATCCGTCTTTGATGAGACTTCGTGGCGCCGAAGATGATCGGGTTAACGCACTCCGAACACAACTGCCGACAGTGCAGTGTTCGGATTCCCATGTCTGAAATGTATCGCAATTGCAGCATCCTTCTAAAGGATTGTCTGCCCGGAGTCGAGTCAAATTTTGAAAACTGGGAGTCTGGTTTGCCACAGCTGTCATGCGTAACAAGGGCGACTTAACCTAATCACACGCAACACAAGGCGAGGGAGCGAGAAGTTTATGCAGCGTCATGGTATGGATTGTAAGTGTAAGAGAAAGCTAACATAGATACGGGATAGTGCCTCCTGAAAGCTATCAGACCAGGTGTGAAGTGTCAGCGGGACGCATAAGGGTGCTAAAAACGTGCGTGCCGGACGGAACACTATATACTGCGGACACGTTCTCGGTTTCGGTATCGGTTTCGACAAATCGGGCACGGTGCGAAGCCTTGACATTAGTGCCCGCAGGCAAGCGTACCTCGGCCATAGTGTTAGCTGGGACTGTCACTTTCAACGTGAATACACCTTCGGCGGTTCTGTTCCATTGGCTTCGGGCCTCTCCCCAAACAGTCTGATAAGTTCCTGCAGCGCTCTCGAGGTCGCCAACGGGTCTTGGATGAATCACGAGACGGTCCTCCCAGATATCCGTGATGGTGCTCATGGATGTTGGTCGAATGCCAGCGACACTGGCATGGAGCCACTCGTCGATCTGAGCGAGGATCATGTGGTTTTTAGAATCATTCCGGTCCCATCGCTCGCCCATAGTGGTAAAACCTTGCGGATTGGCCACAGTTGAAGCCATGAAATAACCATAGCTTGGTTGATCATTCTGCTGTACAGCCTGCCAGAGCACATCATCTCGGCCTCCAACAGAGAGTGCTCGTACTATAGGTCCCATACCAATGGTGCCGCCACTCAGGTGTGGGCCCTGTCCATCCTTTGAAGGATATTGGTACGTGAGATCGACCAGCGCGTTCAAAACTTGTTCCCGGTTTGCTTCTGGTACAAGCCCGGCGTCCAGTGCGAGCGCCTGCGCCGCTTGCGTGGCGTTGACGGTAGAATTATTACCGAGATTAGTGTAGCGTCCAGTAGCGTTGTTGTAGAAGGCTGCATTGAATGCATTACGAATTTCCGAGGCTAGACCGCTGTAGTGGGCCGAATCACTGACGTGTCCGGTAAGATTTGCCATACGTGCCATTGCGGTGATGGTTAGGTAGTAACCCCAGGTACCGGTAATCCGACTAGATGTCCTTGCATCATCTTCGACCCAATCGGCTAGTGCAGCATCGACGATGTGGTCTTGCACCTTTTCGCGCTGTAGATACTTGACAAAGTTGATCATCTGGTCATAGTAGGTGGTCATAACCGTCGTGTCCCCGTACAGATCGTACAGAAAGGATGGCACGAGAACAATGCTATTACCCCAGTTGATCTCGTCTCCGAATCGACCGCTATAACCCCAATCATACACAGGCGCTTTCAAAGCAACGTTTCCGGCCATGGACGTATTTGCAATCGACTGTGCCTCAACCAAATGTCGCATGTTGGTACGTAGGAAAGCGTCGATGTGGACGTTGCGATATATGGCGCCCATAGGCATCGTGTAATCAGCTGGGTAAGAGAGCTTCTCACGCCCCGGGCAATCCGTGAATACGGAGATGACGTTACTCAAGAACGAATATCTTGACATGCTGTGAATCCGATTTAGACGAGCATCTGAAGAAGTGAAGGTCCCAGCCACAGGAACGGCTGCTTGTACGCGAGCGCCAGTTATCATGTCGATGCTTGGACGGAAACCATCTGGTAAGCCAGTCACTTGAATCCACTGCATGGCAAAATAGTTAAAGTCAGGATGCCAAGTCTCGCCAGCAGCACGGCCTGCAGTTGTGTACGTATTGAAGACGTCCGTGCCACGACTACCAACGCCAATCGACTGCTGATTAACGGTGCCATTGGCGTTGAGGGATTCGGCAGGTGTCATTTTGATGACCGTACCCGCCGGTATTTGTGGGAGCTTGAGAATGGGCCAGCCGGCAATGTTTTGGCCAAGGTCGAAAACCCAGGTCCCATTGGCAGGGTTGGTGAGTGAGACCGGTCTGAAGTACTCAACGACCTTAACCGGTTCGGCCGCTCTGGCCACAAGTTTGGTTGCCAGATTGGGTGGGGGTGCGATACCAGCCGCAATCCAATCAGACGAGTTCAGTCGAGTGCCGGATCGATCCCAGTCCTGGTCTTCACGACGAGCATCGAAATCGGAACCCGAATACCATGCGTCAGTAATCAAAGGGCCAAGCTTGGTACGCCACGAGCGATCAGTGACAATGGTATCGATACTGTTGTCTTCATATTTTATCTCAAGGCGTCCGATCAGACGTGGGGTAACTGATCTGTTAGCATAGATTTCGAGCGACGAGATCAGGAGAGAATAATATTAGTCCCCTGATCGAGAACTAATAACGATTTGCAGGCTTAGAAATGAGACAAAAGACGTACCTGCAGCACCAGCAGACGGATCACTAGCCGCAATATTATTTCCGGAACCGGTCACCTTTACTCCAGCAGAATGGGACAGCTGCAAGCCGGGAGTAAAGTTGATTGTGGTTTGATTTTGGTCGATAGCAGTTATCACACGTGACTCCAGTCTGTCACCACCACTGCCAGTATCAATGTTGATGCTGCCTTGTAGGTGGTATCCACTGACATTAGTCAATCGCACGCTCGTATCGCCAATTGCTGTTCCTTCAACAAGGGTTCCGTTGCCCTTCAACTGGCTTTGCCACCAGGCGTAAGGTGCAGTGCGGCCCACGCCAGGGCTCCTTACGCTCCGACGAACATAGGCAGGTCCATTGCCCAGTTTCACCCCGACAGTGTTTATACCAGGCTTTAGCACTCGTCTGACATCGTACGTACGGTACTCGCTGGACAGTTGGTAGTTGGAGTAGCCCGGGGCGAGAACCTCGTCAGTGATGGTCTCGCCATTCACGGTAGCGTAATGCATTCCAACTCCGGATAAGTACAAACGGGCGCCCAGGATAGTTTTATTTTCGGCAAGTTCGAATTGACGGATGAATAAAGGGAGGGGTTGGTTTTCCGTACGGTCAGGGTAATCGATCCATTTAGCCTCATGCCAGTCAGACTTGTGCAGCAGGCCGACAGACCAGGACGCAATCTCTGACCAAGCCGAGCGTTGTCCATACGCATCCCAAACTCTCACGCGCCAGACCAGCGTATCACGAGACGCGAGTTTGCCCTCAAAGCGAACGGATTGAGATCCACCTTGACGTGTATCGCTTCGCCAACACAGATGTCCTGTCTCCAGATCACGAGCAGATGCAGCCACCTGCACTTCAAAAGCAGTTTGCCGATCACCAGGGCAGGTCATCTCGGCGCAGTCCTTTGTCTGAATCAACCGCCACGCGAGAGTCGGATGAAGGTCTTCGAGATCCAGAATTTGGTCATAACGTCCATTGACACTCAAGTCAATCACTTTGATGGAGGAATTTTGAGCTACCACGAGAGCCGTAAGCACCGCGAGCACGGAAGTGGTGAATGTCCATTGGAACCTCATTTTCAAGGATGGGGTAAGTGTTGTACCTTTGGATAGAATCCAGACCTTTGTCACGCTTAGGTCTTATACAAGATATGGTAGCAGGAAGAAGCGGACAATGATTGCCCGAGGTTCTTGGCGGTGTACCTAACAATCTCTAAGATCTGCCTTAGTATTTGAGAATGCGGGGTAAAGCGAGAAGCTAGAAGCTTTGCTGTGTCGCTAGCACGACTTGCCGGGCACCGCACAACGCCGCGATCGTCATTTCCAGACAGGCTCCAGCACACAGCGCACTAATCAGCATCGGGTTAGCATTGCAATAGCGCTCCTTCCCCACAATCCGATCGTGGGCAGAGATGGCGACATGTGAAATAAGCCAGGGCCTCAGAGGTCTCCACATCACGTTGGCAGATCTGTTTCCCATGGTGATTATATTCGTCCATGAATGTGCTTACGGGCTGCTTCCCCTGATCCAGAAGATGGAGAGACTTTAACGCTCAGTCCTGGATGTTGCACCACTTATAATGACACCCGAACATCACTTAAAGATAGCGAACCCTTCGTTCAGTGCAATTGCTTTTTAACAATCCCATGACTCATGTGCCTGTCGCTGCAGGAAACGACAGTGGCCCAACTACCGACATCGTGCCGTTCTCCTGCATCCAGTCCAAAGAATAGGCCTGCGCCTCCCTTCGCCATCCTTTGTCCTACAAAGGCGACATTCAGCTCTCAAGGTGGTGATTCTAAGCAAAGTCGCAGGCGCCCGCCAAGTTCTGCCTTCGTACTGCGTCGATCACGCCAACAGTCCTTTCAGGGGACGTACCACAAAGTGAAAGTCGAGAAGTACATCGCCGCTGGCAAGACTTCGTTCGTTGTTAAATCGTGATACGATGTGTAGGTTGGTGAGCAAACCGAGCTTCGGACTAACCATACCGTGCGGCATGGACAATGGCAACAGCAAAATGCACTTTCACAGTTTACGATGCATCTATGCTCTCCAGTCAACGGGGTTGCATTCAAGACAGTAGGGTTTGCACATGTGCTATATCCCAGGTAAAGCTGACTGTATAATGAATCATAAAAGCCCCCAGGGCATTGCGATGGGACTACCGGTTTGACTCACGACAATGGTGTTAGGATTCGCGCTTGCAACTGCGGCGATGAGCCCATCTGAACGGGCCGGGAGATGCACGGACACCATATCACTACATGTAGTCTCGCTCTCTGACTCATGGTCCCTGCCGACGACGACGATAACAATGTCGCTGTTCCTCGCCAGCTCGACAGACTCGTTGATCATGCGGTTTTCATCGCGGGGGTTCTCGAAGAAGCCGATGCGCCCGCCATCTTCAACTTCCTCGCGCTCGAGCTCTGCAAAGTAGTCAATTTTGTAGGGCTTAGGTTCGCGGCTGACCAACTCAAGTACTAGCTCGTACTCGCGACTAGATTTCATGTATAGGTCAACACGTTGTTTAGGCGAGCCGTAGCCCTTGAACAGCGGAGACTTGGGCGACCACCAGTGGCGTTCAATGTTAAGGATAGTCTTTCCATCTAGACGGAGCTTACCAGGTCCACAGGAAGAGACTAATGATTGGTGAACACCGCTCGTATTGGGCGTGATAAGTGTCTTGCCGCGGTATGAGTAGCGCTCCCTGTGGTTCGCTCCGGTGGCAAGCCGTCATAGCACAACTCCGAGAATCACGTTAAGACTGATGCTCTTCTCCGCGAATCAACGAGCGTTGTGAAGCTGCGCCTCAAGATCGAACCAACGATGTTCAGTGGCGAATAACGTGACTCTCGGACTTGTGGTCTCCATGAGTAGTTACGCTTTTCTAAACAGCTTGTAGATACAATTACACTATGAATTAGTTCACGCACGTAATTATACTAGTCTACATGCAGGTGTGGAAAAATAGCAATGTCCTGTAATCTCGCTCCGAGGCCTTCCATGTTCTACAACAAACTTTATTCTACATCATTCGCAGAGGGAAATTCTTCCTTCTCAGGCCTCATGTACCAGACCTCGTCGTCCCAATTTGAAGGATCAGACAGGACCTGATACCACACCTCATAGCTGTGAGCGTACGTATACATCCACCCAACGTCCTCCTGAGGGTCTTCCGTCTCACCGTCTTCCCATCCTTCTGCGATGCTCTCGCACCTGCCTTCAGGGAACCGCAGATTCACCATCTTGACCACCGGACAGAGACCATCTGCGCGATTCAGCGAGCGCAGACAGATCTCGTCTACAAGGACACAGAAACTCCACCGAGGAGGCGCTATATGCCAGGGATGTATGGGCTTCCCGTGTCCATATTCGTGCGCTTCGCCGATTGCGGTGCTCCTGATCATGGCCCTGATATTATCGATCCCGCCCTCTATAGCAGGATTTAACACGCGAGATGGCAAGTCGCCAGCAACCCATTCCCGAAACGCTTCTCGGATTGTGTGCGAGTCTGCGCCTGCGAACCTCTGCTCGTCCTCCATAACCGTTAGTTCGAATTGAGGGTCCGATTGTATAGGCCCGAGCCACGGAAACGGTTGCTGAGTTGTTTTTGGGACAGTAACTGTGTCTCGGAGCAGACCTAATATCTGCTTCCAAGGCTCCTCACTCTCCTTTCCGTACACAGCTCGGTAAACCACAAACCCCCAGGGCGCGTCGGGCTTCACGTAAGACCACGGAGTGGAGAATGTGGAGTTGTTGTCGAGACCATGATGCGAGGACGCCAATACTTCCTCCATGTCGGCTGGAGTCCATTCGCGACCTGGCAGATCAGGGAGTGGCTCGCGGCTGTCAGTTGTGTTAGAATTTCTTCCTATAGTCTGTGGTTCATTCTGGCTAGCCCCGGTCAATGGCTTGCGCTTCAGAGCTCGAGTGACGGGTGCGGGTGTATTTGAGTCCTGTTTTGAAGAGTATGATCTGGTGCTTCGGCCGTAGCTTGGAGCTGCACAGTGAAATACCAGACCGCCGAGCCGTGGAGAACGGTGCTGAGAGAGAACTGGCCGGACTTGGATCGATTGAGATGAGAGACGCAATTGCATTTCGTATTAAAACATTAAGCGGGATGGATCGTGAAAATGTCAGTGAGTGGCTAACAGAAGCAAAAGCGTGCATTGTACAGGATTTTATATCAGCTCCTAACTCTAAAACGGCTAGTAGATCCTTAGCGTCCCAGTTGAATACATTGCACGGGACGCACTCTTTTCGGGCCAGACATATGGGGACGAGTTGAACTGAGCATAGGTATGATGTTTTATTCTGCTCTTTACACGCCACCGTGATTCTGGTGCATCTCCTGGCCAGTGAAAAGTGACGACCCAATCAAAGGAAATTTTGGAACCGCAAGGTCGTCGTATGGTCCCGGTACCACTGAACTGCCGTGATCAGGTCCCGGACATGCTTCGCGGCCGTCTCCGGGTCTACACGTGCAGCCTCCAACTGCTCCCAAATCAGACTCGTAGCGAATCTCATGAAAGCCTGAGAGTTCTGGCTCGCGTAGGAGTAGTAGTCCTGATCCCATTCCTTGAGATATGCGGGAAGATTTTCTACCCCTTTGTAATTATCGGCCATGAATTGAGCCACCATGTACAAGTCGCGCTTTGCTTTCAGCGGTCCATGCCAGTCGTTGCCGAATGTACCGTGATAACTGACGACGCCAAATGACTATCGTGCGGACAGCAAGGTTAGCAGAGAATCAAATGTTTGGAATGTTCAGAGCGACCCACCTTGTATAAAGCACTCATCAAGTAATTTGCAGCGGCAGGTTCTGTGCTTGGATCCAGCACCAGCTCCATCTGTTTCTTTATCACTGAGCCTGCAACCGGTTTGAGGCCAGTAGGAGCTTAGACTTGATGCCGTTCATGTCAGCGGACAGGTATATGAATGGACAGCGATAGCCCCAGCTACCGTAAGCAGTCATGAAAAGCTGAAGACTGTTTTGCGGCGAGTTCCAGTCAACCCCATACTTATCGGGGCTGCCAAACCCTTTGATTCCTTGGATGATCCCTTGGCCGAGATCCGGAACCTTGGCGCCGGCAGGGAATTTGGCTGTCAATGCATTGTACAAGGCGAATGGATCAGCTTTGCCTGCTAATGCCTTCGCTCCCGATGGCAGTATACCCGAAGCGGCACCCTCCAACCGCACGCGAGCTGTGTTGTGCTACAGGAAAGATCAGCGATTGACGTTCATATCGTGGGACGCATGATAGCGAGCGCTCACATATCGTAAAATTACCTCGGAGTGATGTTCTGTGTTCCATATCATTCCCTTGGCCTTCCCTGTGTAGTGGTCGACCTTCTTCTTCATATGTGATAGCTACCCGAAACAGATATCATCCGCCATCTTGATGCCTCCTTCCCATGGCAGTGTGACCAAGCTTTTCCCTTTCTCCAAATAAACATCCCCATATAGCGAAGGGTACGGAGCAAAGGGGATTTGGAGACGGGGTACCACCGCTGCGGCGAGTTGCGCGAAATTTTTCACTCCCACTCTGGCGCCGGGAAGATTTATACCTGGGGCCCGCTTTTGAAGATCTCTCCTCTTATGTTCAGAGTCGTCGCATGTCTCTGCGTCATCCTCGCAAGGATCATATTGCCCGGGCACGTAGTCTAGCTCGTCGGCGTCGGGATCCTCGCACAGTTCTGAGTCTGTTTCGCAAAGATCTGCATCGCATACCGGTTTGTTCAGGGTGTCCTGGTTTGCTGTACAGCATAGCGACTTCTCACGCCACCCTGTGTAGATGAAATCCGTCATTAGCATGATTCATCGAGATAACTAGGCAAAGGTCGAATGTCTTCAAAGGAGTGGGAAGAGGAAGGGGCACAACTCACAGCGGCACGTGCTGCTAACATCGCCGTAAGGACTGGTGGCGAGGGTGACCTCATCGCGGGCGCATTGATTTTGGACGCAGTCGCCTGAGCCAATCCAGTGGCATTTGTCAAAGGCTTTTCTGTTTTTCTTGCAGCAATAGTTCTGGCCTCCAGGGCCAACTTGGACACCAAAGAGATAATCGCGGCGTTTGAGGTCGCTTTTCGGCTTATCAGTGTTGAGGCATTCGATGCGAATGTTATACGCATGGGCCAATTTTTCCTCATCGTCCCCGCAGGCCTTGTCGTCGCTATGACACGATTAGTCCATCTGTACACTTCATTCCCATGTGCTTGCCTACCACCCTTCAGTCCAGTAACAGCCAGTAGTAACGGCTTCGAGCTCCACCCTGCAGCACATAGCTTTGCCTCCTCGATTGCATTGGTCTGTGTCGCCACCATCTTCAAAGGGGGTTGCCACCCCATGATGAACCACCAATCTTGACCTCCTTGTCGTGGCATTTGCCGTTGCATTCTATGCCACTACCACGCCACGTACACTTGTCCTTCATCTGTGCCGACGCAGGACAGCACATGGGCCATCCACATGGCTTATCCTTGTGATTCTTGTCGCGACTACAACCGTGGGCGTCGTAGCCCACGAGCTCCATGCCCTTCCCACAGTCGTACGACGTCACATCTTGGAAGACTTTCTTGTTAAAGACGCAGCCCTGGCCTAGAAACGCGTTGGCGGTTTCGACAAAGATTATTATACTATTACTGTTCTATAAACTCTATAAAACGCGCTCTAGTATATATAAAAGTCTAATCTACCTTGCAGCATAGGTGCACTAATGCGAATAGCAAGCTTTTCTGCTTAAGTTTCTGTGGACCTACACCTTTGGTTGGAGGCTTAGCAGCATTTTCGGGATCGATGCCACGGAAAGTCGCTGCGTTTGCACCGAAAATACCATCAGAGCGGCAATAGTCGCAGAGACTACGTAGCCAACACGTGTCCAGTGAACGAAGCTTGTTTCCCTCTCATCGTCCCAAGGCTCGGTGTGCGGCCGCACGCGCAACAGCAGCGATTTAATATGTGTACCTCCGCGCGAAAAACCACATATCATTTCAACTATTTGTGTCGCGGGAAACAGAGGAACCAGGTATTTCGCTTTGAATTTGGATGCGAACCCATCCATAGCCTGTAGGCTTTGCTAGTTATAAGATAACTTCAGCATCCCGTTTGCGCGGTTAAAGCGGAGGCTCTAGGTTTCCTTAAAGGCTTTCGCGAAATCTTCGCTCATGTGGCTCTTTGCTTTGTTGCTGTAGAGGGCGTGAAGTTGATCCGCGAGAATGGCGGCGTCTTCAATTGCGCTATTTCTGCCGTGGCCACTTATAGGATTAAACTACAAGACAGATCAGTTTGCGATCTTATATTCTTTCAAGGGTTAGAACTTACTTTGTAGGCGGCATCCCCAATTATCATAATGCGTTTGTAATGCCATGTCTTAAAAACCACCTCAGGAAGAGCCTGCAAGGTCAATGTGGTGCGCAATGCATACAGCTCGCCGAAAGTTACTATATCTATAATACAATTAGACGCGTGCTCTGCTGCTAGAGCGTCTTTTTATTCTTCTATATATCGCGGAATGTCTCCATAAATAGTTTTTAGAAGATATTTGAACAGAAACTAGTAGATACAATAGTTAGGCCCAGTAATAATAAGGTAAGAGTAGTCTTCGCTAAACATATTCTAGCAGGCTAGGACTGCGAATTTTTCTAATAGACTCGAAATGCCAAAGATGCAACAATACTCTGTTAGTATCGACTAGTCGCTAGCAGGGAAATACCCTAGACAGTCTTTGTCCGCTAATTACTATATCTTCTAGCAAACAGAACTATATATGCTATTAGCACTAATAAGGACATTGCTATAAAACCTTTCTCTAGCTGCTATTATAACTTTAACACTGCTATTTAAGAGTATAATCTCCCTAATATCTTTACTAGTAAGGATTTTTAATTTATCGCGCAAGTTATTATATAAGACCTAAATTATTATTTAATAATCTATAAAGATTATTAAGTAGCTAATCCTAATCTTATTAGCTCTAATATTTTGCATTAGAGTAAAGTAAGAAACTATAACTTACTACTTATTAAAGGTTTTAGATATGTTGTTAAGCGCTATTATAATCTAGCTGTTATTGTCTCTCTAACTAACAAAGTTGCTATAATCTACATCCCTAACTAGAGCCTTAACATCCTTATAGCAGCTAATCTAGTTAAAGATATACAGACTATATAGTAGAATCTCTATACTTGCGCCTAGATTAGGAGCAATTATTCTATATTTTTCTAGGACTAGATAGTTAATTCTAAGTTGCTTAAGAATGTTAGCTAGAGTAAGTCTAGTAATACTGCCGCCTACTATTAACACTTTTATATAATTTTTTACTAACATAATAAAAGCTTTAAGGATATAAGAAGATAAGATATAATATAGCGCTTAGTACAGCAAATTAATATTCTAAGCTAGATAACAAAGCTATCTGCTAATAGTGTTAAAGAATTAGTAGACCTAAAGAGGTTAGGGCTGCATTATTATATATAGTTGCTATCTGCGCTAGGATGCTAGAAAGGTAATTATTTCTATAGGTAGATGTCTAATAACCTAGTTTTTATTTTGTTTAGAGATATAGTATTTGCCCTAATTATGCTATCTACTAAGATTAATAGCTATATATATAGTTTATGCATATAAGAGATTAGACTATATATAGCAAATTAGAGATACTAAGAGTTAAGTAATTACTTATATAAATAAACAAACTATAAAATCGATGCTTAGTTTTTATAGTAGCAGTTAGGACTAAGCTAAGCTCCTAGAGCACTAAGTCCTTGTAGAAGAGTATCTTAGACTTACTTAAATATAGACTTTAGAAGCTTAGGGTTTCTAAGCACTAGTACTCTAGCATTAAGCACGCAAAGCTAGATAGTTTAGTCTTATTAGCACTATAGGAGGAGTTTAGGGAGGACCTAGTAAGACGCTGCTAAACTGTTAACAGCTGCGCTATATTCTGCACCTAAAATTTAGAAAAATTAATCTCTAATCTACTACTCTCCTTATAATTCAAATATTATAAGCCCTTAAGATATTGCAGCACTAATATAGTAAGGAATTAGCAAGTAATAATTAAGCTATTAAGGCATTAAAAATTTAATATAGATTAGCCTATATAGGAAGAAGGTACCTTATATAATATATTAAATAAGAGGCTAGCTTTAAAAATCGCCGCTCTATAGATTAGTAAGCAGCACTAAACTTATTACAGCAGTAGCCTCACCTTCTAGTTCTAATGCGATAGAGCATATTAAACTGCAAGCTTCTATAAAGTCTAATCTCTCTAGAAACCTAAAAAGACTACTGCTATCAATAGATACTTTGTCGACTTTCTTATTAACTTTAAAGCGTAGCAGCACATTGTGCTTAGAAAACTAAAGAGCTTATAGTAATAACTTAGCTCTACTATACCTTTATTAAAGGACCTTAACTATTAACTAGCCCTAGGCATAATTTAAATAGCTAGCCTTGCAAAAGCCTACTATGTTAAAAGCTTATCTTGTTGCATAGTATCTAGTTCTAAGTATTATCTTATTATTATATGCCTATAAGGCTCTGCTACAGATATAAATTCAGTTACCTTAGTATACTACGCAGACCTTAAGCCCTCCGCCTACTCCTACACATTTAATCCCTAGCACTTCTAGTATCTGTTAATTTCGCGCTAACACCGCTTAAGTTGTTCTTCACGCCCTGCTCTATGCTAACTGTCTTAGCCTGCTCCACTAAGTAGTTTAGCTCTTCTAAGGTCTCTCTACACAGATATTATGTTTGCAAAGACTCTAGTCCGTTCAGTGCAGGCTACGCGGCCATGACTGGATTCTCCTGCTTAGCGCTGGGATAGGTCGTCGAACGGTCAAGACCTAGGCTGCTCCGCTTAGGCCTGGAGGCGTCGATTCCGGAAAGCTTATATCGCCTGTTTGAAGCCATGCAGCACACTTTGGGCCTTGCGAAACAGACCGCAAGCCCACGTGTGTCCCTGGTGAAGACAAGCTAGTTCCCTGCGCAGCATGCAATGCTCGTCCTCTAGAGAGACGAGGGCCTGGAGCTCCTGCTGACGTTGAAACGAGTCTACTCGGTGGATAAGGTCGTCAAGATTAAATGAGCTGGCGACTTCTGGTGCAGCAGGTGGATGCGACACAGGCTGAGTTTAGGATGTTTGCATCTGCGACCGCAGTCCCTGTGCGCGTGCCGTTGCCCTAGCTATAAGAGTGTTACGATCTGTTACGATCTTCCTTTTGTAACCAACTAGCTGCTAACACTTAAGGAGTGCTAACACGCTTAGCTTAATATTATATAGGCTCTCCTATGCAGTGCAGTTTTATTACAAGTTATATAATAAGCTTATGCCTTGGTAGTTAAGCTAAAGTAGGTCTTATATAGAGCTTACGCAGCTTATATTAAGCTTAGTAAGCCTAGCTTATATAGCTTATATTAAGCCTAGTAAGCTATTATATTCTCTATAGTATATAGTAAGTAGGAATATAACCCTTATAGTTTATATTTAACCTAAGTATTAATCTATAATATTAGATTTTAACCTAACCTTTAAGCTAGATAGTCTACTCTATACTACTTATTATTACCTCTTGCCTTTAAGATAGATAGATTATATCTATACTCCTTAGTGCAAGACCCCTTTAGTTTCCCTAATAGTATTTATCTCTAAGAACTAATTAAATAGTATTTATAAGCTTTACTTAAAGTATAACCTTAATAGCTTATAAGTACTATTTAATTAGTTCTTAGAGATAAATACTATTAGGGAAACTAAAGGGGTCTTGCACTAAGAAGTATAGATATAATCTATCTATCTTAAAGGCAAGAGGTAATAATAAGTAGTATAGAGTAGACTATCTAGCTTAAAGGTTAAGTTAAGATCTAATATTATAGATTAATACTTAGGTTAAATATAAACTATAAGGGTTATATTCCTACTTATTATATACTTAAGCTGTCTTATAGAATCTTATAGTCTTATAGAACTCTATTCTAAAGTCTTATAAGATTCTTATAGGATACTAGTTATTTATCTTATAAGATGCTTTACTCTTTTAGTACTAGTATCTTATATATAGCATGCTATTATTGCCTATAAGGTAATAGCCTTCCTAGTAGTTATTATACTACTTTATAATATCTATCTATAAAACCTAGTGTTTTCTTCCTTAGAATTTATATTTATAATAAAAGCCTATCTTATTAAAGTTATATATATTATTATCCTAGATACTATACTTAGCTTTAATATTTACTATAAGCCTAAACTAGCCTTATATAAATCTCTAGATTTATATAGAGAGCTCTCTTATAGTTATACTTATAATTAAACTTTACTTTAAGGTTAGAGAAGTACTTAATAAATATATTAGGCTAGTTTATACTAATATAGCTTATATTATACTTAGTATATAAAGAATTAGCTATATTAGCTATAGTAGCTAGCTAAGGGGCAAATTCTTATATATTTAGCTTAAGGATATACTTAGTAATTATATTCTTCTTAGTCTAATCTATATTCTATTAACTTAGTATATAATTAGCTTATATAGGTTATTCTATATATTAAGTATATAGTATACTATAAGGTGCGTTATATATAGCTATAGCGCATTATAGTATAAGTATTATATCTTATTTAATTACCTAGAGTATAAGCTATATTATAGCTTCTCTTAAGGGCATAGATTAGTATTATTATTAAGGTATTGCATAGTAAGGTAGAGGTTTAGTATAGTCTTAGTAGAGTAATCTACTTACCTATATAATCTACTTACCTATAAAGTATATTAATACTTATCTATACTCTTAGTATACTACAAGTCTTAGTAGCTAGCTTAAAAGTATTTAATAAGCTATATAAAAGCTAGAGATAATATAGGTATATAGCAAGTAGGCTAGTATACTAAGCAGGCTACTTTTACTAAGACTATACTAAAACACTATTACTATCTAAATACCCCCTTACTAACTCTATTTTAATATATTAAAAGAGTATTAGATCTAGCTTGCGCTTTAAGCTCTTAAATAAGATATAAAACTCCTAGTATAATATGCTATAGCTATCTATAGAGTCTCTTAAACTATACTAGACTATTAATATATAGAATAACCTTTACACGTTAATACTATAGCTAACTTATATAATCTAACTAGCGCTAAGGAGTAGGTAATTATTATATGCATACTTAAGCTAGTTATATAAGAAGAGTCCCCTTAGCTTATAATTATAGCTAATATAGCTAATTCTCTATAAAAAGAGCGCAGTTTAGCCTCTATTAGCCTAAGGTAGGCTAGTAGGTTTATTTTGCATTAGAAGGAGCTTAAAATAGTCTTTAATTGCAAGTATAACTATAAGCAAG